AATATTATATATATAATATCTCGATCTAGATATATTATTATATAAGAATTATATAAAAAATATATAATTCTTATATATAATATTTTATTATCTAGAATCTAGACTTATTAATAGAAATATAATAATCTTTAATAATCTAAATAATATTTTACTATAATACTTTAATAACTTTTTACTAATAATCTTCTAGATTTTTACTAAAATATATAATAATATTATTAATATTTATTAATATAAAATTATCAAGAAACTTATAAAAAATCTAGTTAATATATCTTTAAAATATTACTAGTATATCTATTAATTTAAAAAAAGTCATATTCTATTTATAAAGTCTATAATATATTTAGAAGACTATTTTTTATTTCTTTTCTAGTATTATATAAATCTTATAAAATATAATAATAATATCAAGTTTTATAAACTATCTTACTTAGTCTATATTTTATAATACCTTATATATTAGAGATAGAAAATAATAATCTTTTATTATTTATTTATTCAGTCTTTAATAATTCACACAAAATTATATACTACTATCTAATTTCTATACTAATAATACTAATACTATTACTAGTAATTAACTAATTTTTATGAAATTTTTACTAAGTAAGTCTATTAATATCTTTTTTAAATATAAAAATTTCTTTCTATTTATATTATATAACAATCTATATAATAAAAGCTCTTTGATCCTATTTTAGTCTTATTTTAATAAGATTTTATAATTAATTCTAAATTAATATAATAATAACTAATTAATTAATTATTAGTTAAAGACTTCTAATTATTATTAATAATACTTTAACAGCTTCTTTTTTATATTAATATATCTTTTTAACTAAAAAGCTTTCTTAATGTTATCTATTAAGATTTTACTAATTTATATCTATTTTATACTTATCTTATAATATATTAATTCGTCGATTTTTATTTTTATTATTTTCTTAAATTATAATATCTTTATTCTAACAAGCCTAATCAAATAATCTACTTAATTCTAATATCTAATATATTTTTCTAACTTTAAAAAGATATCTAGATATCCTCTTCTAACAAAATAATATCTATTTATCTTATAAAACTATAAATCTCTTAAAATTATACTATCTTTTTATAATTTAATAATATAAATAAATATTTAATTCTAATAATAACTATAAATATCAAGATTAAAATATATAATATAGATTATTTAATACTAGTTTAAGACTATTCTGTCTAATATTTATAAATATATCTTAATATATAAAAGATTAAATAATTATACTAATAACTAGTTTATAATTATATAATAATAATAGTTATTATCAATAAAAACTAATACAAATTAGATTCTATTAATTCTAGTATCGACTATAAATAATAATATTTTGTTTTTCAATAACTTTCTAATCCTCTTTTACTTCTATTCACAACTTAAAATAGAAACTACTTATTTTCTAACTTATCAGAAATGATCTCTTTACCCTTATTAATAATAAGATCTTATTCCCTTTATCATCTATAACTTTTGACTTCTTAACTTATATAATATACTTTTTCCTGTTCTTACTCGATTTGATAATATTTATCGACCTATTTAAAGATTATATAACTCAAAATTTATAATCTTAAACAAGATAATCTATCTTTTTATAACAGAAATATCTATTCTTCTTCTATTATTATTCTATCCTGTCTTAGATTATCTATTATATCTATTTAAAAAAAAAACTTTTTAGAATTATAGCTTTTTTTTATAAGATTTAATATATTTTATTTATATTATTAATATCTAATCTATTTTATTACTAGTTTTTATATAATAATATACCTTATATTAGTCTAACTTTAATATATTATTATCTAAACTAATTTTTTATAAATATATAACTAATCCTAAATAGATACTAGAAATATTTTATACTAATAATATTTCTTTTATCTTCTAATTTATAACTATTTATAAAATATCTTATCTTATTTTATTAGACTATTTTATTATTTTAATATCTATAAACTCTCTCTCTAGCTATAAAAGAAATTTCAAGAAAGATTAGTCTTTTTATTAATATAATATATAAAATCTTTTATATATTTTTATTTAAAGATTAGAATCTTTATAAATATTCTCTAGATATATTAGTAAATCGAGAATATTTCTATTATTATATTAGATTTTTATAAATAAGATATAATTTTTTATTACCAATTTCTCTAATTAAAAAAAGATATAAATTAATTAGTCTTATAAGTCTCTACTAATATTATTATCTATTTTAAGCTTATTTTCTATCATAATCTTTTATACTAGTTAGTTAGATGAATTTTTTATAAATATTACTAGATCTAGAAAATATATATAAGACTATTATATAACTATTTATACTAGTTCTATTAATATTTCTATCTCTATTTAAGAGAGAACTAGTAATATCTCTATTATCTCTATTAGAGTTCTTGTCTTTATTATTATAAAAATCAGGACTATTATTATATTTATTAATAAAACTTTTAGTCAGACTTTTAATCTTTTTATCTATTCTTTTATAATTTTTTTTAGTATTATTTAGTTTTATATAAGCTAGTCTAATAAAGCCCGATTTATCTTTTATATTTATACCAGTTAACTTACTAGTATCTCTTATTATATTATAACAATACTATTATACTTTATATTATTTTGTTTTATCTATTCTATTAATAATTAGATTTATAATACAAGACTTAATAATCTATTATCTTTATTTATATTATCTAAGTTTCCTAATCTATTATCTATCAAATTAATCTTGATTCTATATTAGACTATTTTATACTTGAGCTAATTATTATAAGACTTTCGATATCTACTAAAATTTAATATTCGATATATCTACTATACCGATATCTCTATTCTACTATTTCGCTAAATTGATAATGATTTAGAGATAATCTGTTATATACTCGAATTAATTATCTAAAGATTTCTGTTATTCGCTAATATTCGACATCTAGTATATTTATTATACTAATATCCTTATTCTAATATTCTACCAAATCGGCAGCGATTCAGAGATATTTTATTATACTCGAGCCGACTATCTTGAGATCTCTAATAACTAATAAAAGTTTGGCTGTTCTGTAGGCAAAGTTTATCAAATATAAAAGGCTAAAACAAGACTTGATTTAATCTATACTAGGCTATAAACTGTGTTTAATAAACTTAAGGAAAGAAGTTTAATATACTAGTCCTTTGTTATTAGTATACCAAGGTTATATGTCCTATATGATCAACACCGGGCCATGGCCTATGATATATAATCCTTGATTAAATAGTTAGTTTTTTTATAGTAAAAATATCTATTCTCTTTTTATTATTATTCTATCTTTTTTAGAGATATTTATTATACTTATTTTTAGGATTTATTTTATAATTAAGATTGATTTATATATGATTTAGTATATTTAGTTTATATAATAGATATCTAGTCTATTTTATTACTAGTTTTTATATAAATAAATATTTTTTATTAATTTAATTCTAGTATATTCTTATCTAAATTAATCTTTTATAGTTATATAACTAGTCTTAAATAGATATTAGAGATATCTTAAGCTAATAATCTTTTTTTTATTTTTTAGTTTATATCTATAAGATATCTTATCTTATCTTATTAAATTATTTAATTATTTTGGTATCTATGAACTCTTTTTCTAGCTATAGTAGAAATTTCGAGAAAAACTGGTTTTTCTATTATTATAATATATAAAATCTCTAGTATATTTTTATTTAAAAATTAGGATTTTTATAGATTTTTTTTAGATATATTAGTAAATTATAGATATTATTATTATTATTATAATAAGTTTTTATAAATAAATTAGTATTTTTTAATATTAACTTCTTTAATTAGAAGAAGATATATATTAGTTAGTCTTATAGATCTTTAATAGTATTATTATCTATTATAAGCTTATTTTTTATTATAGTCTTTTATATTAGTTATTTAGATATATTTTTAATAAATATTATTAAGTCTAGAAGATATATATAAGACTATTATATTATTATTTATACCGATTTTGTTACTATTTTTATTTTATTTTTTGGAAAAGAACTAATAATATCTTATTTATTTTTACTAGGATTCTAGTTCTTGTTATCTTAAAGGTTAGAACTATTGTTATATTTGTTGATAAGATCTAGAATTATATTTTTAGTCTACTAAATTATTTTATAATTTATTAAATTGATCTTGATTCTATAATAATTGTTATATACTCGAGTTGACTATCCTAAGACTTTCTATTATCTGCTAATATTTGTTATTTAGTATATCCTTATACTAATATTTTTATTCTAGTATTCTGTTGAATCGGTAGTGATTTAGAGATAAACTAATATATACTCGAGTTGATTATTTCGAGGTTTCTGTTAATATCCTTATACCGACGTCTCTGTTCTAATATTCTACCGAATCGGTAGCGATTTAGGGGTAATCCAATACATGCCTGAGTTGATTGTCTCGGGGTTTCTAATAGCTAATGAAGGCTTCTTCTTCCGTTAAGTGAAGTTTATCGAATATGAAGGGCTAAAGTAAGACTTGATACAATCTATACTAGGCCACGAACTGTGTTCGATAAACTTAAGGAAAGGAGTTCAATACACCGGTCCTCCGCTATTAGTATGTCAAGGTCATGTGTCCTACGTGATCAACATCGGGCCCTGGCCCGTGATAAGATCTATTTATAAAATAAGTAAAATTAGTTTTATATATTTATAAATCATAATCTTAGACCTAAGTTAGATTATATAGAGTCCTAGTCTAGATTAACTTAATATCTTTTTACTAAGATAGTTCTATGATAATATATAACCAAGGACATATCAGAATCCTATAACCTCCTAAGAATAGATAAATAGAAACATTAATGAATTTTTATATTATATTTACTACAAAAATAAGAAGACTTTCTCTCAAGACTGTATAAGTTTCCCCTTTTTATTTTCTATTATAGTCTAAGCTTACACCACTCTAATTATGCAGCTGATACAAAAAGGCCCTCATCTTCTCATAGACAAGAAATGTCACCCATGTGCTCGGAAGGACACGGAAAAGATTAGGACCCAGCCCCTTGTAGAAACCGACTAATCCTTCCCTCATCCAGATCTGCTTAACAGCATCTGCAGTTCCGCGATATAGCAGATGTGCACCATAAGTCTGTAAACGTGACCGAACAACCTGGTAAGGATAAGTTATACACCCAGCGAATAACTTTGACAGGCTCGATAGTCCCAAAAGATCCATAGTGCCAAGCGCAGGGGGGATGCGTGCATCGCTCATTCTGTCCTCGGCTGGCTTGCCATATATCGAATGAAGACGGATGTTCTTCAGCTGCTCATAGGCCATGAACTGGAGGGCTCCATGGCTGACACCAAACAAAGCAGGAACCAGGCCTCGGTAGAACCCCAAAATGCCTTCAGTGTGATATATTTGTCTCACACCAGAGAGAAGTGAAGAATATGCGCCAGGAACTTGCGAGCCAGTTGACAGCATTCGGGTCTTGATGACCCAAATGGGGTTTGTCAGGACACAGGTGAGACCTCCTGAAAACAAATTCATCAATTTAAATGTGCAATGACTGGGAATGGAAGGGTTCACAACCTGCGGTGCCTGACGCCAAAAAATAGTCCGCCGAGGTAAGGGCGGCCCGGTCTCCACGGTACTGGCGGACTGTATCCTTCAAAATGCCGTAAGAGAAGAAATACAGTGCCCAGCTGGTGGAATTTCCGATTAGATTGGGAGCCAGGCCTCGGTAGAATGCTGTGTAGCCACCTTCCTGCCTTGCAATTTCACGGATTATCCGCCAAGAGCTGCCCAATCGAGTCGCGGACGATCTATCGACTGTATACAGAGTGTCAGAAAATAATCAAAGTCTCTGAATGTATCGGTATGCCAACCCTGTAGTCTAGTCTTCACCAGGTCTAGTGGATGAACGCAGAGCGTTGAGACTACCCCCGCAGTGAACCCTGCTAGGGTTTCCACAAAGGAAGTTGATAAGTCATCTTGGCCGGGCATGAACCAATGCTTTCTCCTTTCTGAGCCTCGTGGAGAAAGACAAAAAGATGAGGGAACAAAGGTGAGTGCTACAGAGTTTACGGGATGAATGGCTATGGCACCTTGTCCTTTTCTGCCAGTCCTGCAGGGCGGAACCTATGGCGGCAGACGGATAACATGCATCACGAGTCTCTACGGTGCAACAGGTTTGAGAGAAAAGTGTTCAACAAACGTAGGTGATTTATTATACAAGTACATGGAATAAACTTTCAAGAAAGCTCAGGGCCCTCATAAGTGCCCTCGTTTCAGAGGACCACATAGGATGTAGGAAGAAAACATTCGATATTTCAACTTCCTCGCTGCAGTTTTCTGATATGGACTACCGTGTCTGAAGGCCTCCAAGCTGGAAAGGAGTTCATGATTAAGCGAGGGGCGAGAACAGCCTGTGAATCGCGTTAGTGGGCTGAGGGTCGAGCAACGAGGTCGCGTTCTCGCTCGACATACTTGAAGAGGGATGGTTTGGGTTCACTGTAGGTGTATCCTTCCATGAGATCAGCGTATGTACTCTCAGTTTGAAAGACTGAGCCACTATGTTGGAACTTACCAAGGTAGATGATGAGAGGTAGATAACCACTGGGTTATCCGTAGAGTTAGCATATATGCATCTGGGTCCCACGACTGCGAGAAGTGCAGGATGCAGACTCACTAATGGATCGCAACTCGGGAGACATCAATCACTTTGGAAACGCGCTCCTATATGTAGAGAAATAGATGTTGTTAGTCTGGTGGAAGGGTACATGCGGAAGGGCTGGCCAATGACTACCTTGGTTTCCTCGGAAAACTGAACCATCTTGATTGGCAGTGATGCTCTGATAAGAATCCAAATAGAGTAGACAAAGCTACTTAGGTGTAGACCGCGGTAACGTGGGGGTTAAAGGAGATCAGTAAAGAGGGAGAGTGATTGAAGAAGTTAGGCTGGGGTCCGATCCCAGAGAGATTTTCGGCGCTCGGAGCGGAGCCCGCATTGGAAAAGCTCGAGCTCCATCTGCCTCCTGCAACATCTCTTCCCCCACACCTCCAACCAAAAACCCGTTTCTTCAATAAAAACCACGGAAGAGCAAAAATTCGATCTTGTCGAACTACGCGGACACCCTTGATCTATCTGCGCCTTTTCCAGGACCGATAGTTCAGCATCGTCATGTCAGGCGCGAGGCACTGGTAATAATATATCCCTTTGGGCCCCTAGGCATTGGTTGCAACCGCTGCTGACAAAATGAAGGGAGCAAGACAAGGAAGCCACTGTCTATGTGGGAAATCTCGACGAGCGCGTTACTGATAGCTTGGTTTGGGAGCTTATGCTGCAGGTTGGCCGCATCGTCAATGTTCACCTGCCGAAAGATCGTGTCACGCAGTTGCACCAAGGATATGGCTTCGTGGAGTTTACCAGTGAGGAAGATGCGGAATATGCCTCGAAAATCATGAATGGGATCCGCCTTCACGGGAAGCCAATTCGCGTGAATAAGGCCTCAGCGGATAAGCAGAAGTCAGTCGAAATCGGCGCAGAGCTATTTGTCGGTAACCTTGATCCCATGGTTACCGAACAGATTCTGTATGATACATTCAGCCGATTCGGAACCCCAATCACCCTTCCAAAGGTCGTTAGCCGGTGTTCCTGCCTGTGAAGAAATCAACGCTAATAGAATCGCAGATTGCTCGCGACGATAATCATGTGTCGAAGGGGTATGGCTTTGTATCATTCGGCGATTTCGAATCTTCCGACGCAGCAATTGCGAACATGAATGGACAATACTTGATGAACAAGCAAGTTTCTGTTCAGTACGCGTACAAAAAGGACGGCAAAGGCGAACGGCATGGCGATGATGCTGAACGTCTGTTGGCTGCTCAAGCTCGAAAACACAATGTCCAGCCACTAGCGCAGCAAGCCCCCTCGAATGCTTTCACTGGACCTGGCTTCACCCCAGCAGGCCTCCCAATTCCTAATGGCGATACCCACCGCCCCGTAAACGCGGGTTCACCAGCTGCTGACCTTGGTATGAACCGAGGTATGCCGTCTATGGGATTTCCCGGCGCCCCCCCAAACCGGCCTCCGCCTTCTTCATCACTGTCTACCCCCCCCGCCAGGCTTACCCGCCCGCCCACCACCTTCCCAAGCGGGCTATGGGGGACCTCAAGCTTTTCTGGCCCCGGGGTACAATGGAGCGCCCCAACAGCCTGGCTTTGCGCCAAACACGGCCCACCAAGCTGGATTTGGGCCTCCGGGGTTTGCGCCTCCCCTGCCGGGCCATCACCTCCATTGCCACCTGGATTCCAGCAGCCAGGATATGGAAATGCTCGATGAAGAACATGAACTTGAATAAGTTCTACGATTTCATGCTTTGTTATGTTGCTCGTCCCCTCAATGCAGTCTTTCGGCCCTGAGATTCACGGCCCCTATCTTTTGTTGTGCTTGTGGGCATATTGTGGATCAAGGGCTGATCCCTATACCCATTTTCTAGGAGGAGCTCTGATTTCCAGCCTTGACTTAAAGGACAGATATGTACTTAAAATCAATTTCATTGCTAAGGCGCATGAAGGGGAATGGAATGAATGGATGAATTGATTTCTCAAAACTCCACGGGCAACTCTACAGCTAGTGGGTCACATGGTCCCCTCGGCCAACCAAGGGTAAAAACATTTAAGATACGCATACTCATTTTCCGTCTCTTTTGAACTGGGGAAGGCCACAAAAAATAGACATGCATAGAAGAGGGAATACTGAGAAAGAAAGAGAAAAAGAGATGGAGATAAAAGTCACCTGATATCGATCCAAGATGTTACGTGGGGTGGGCCTTAGAATAGCCATTGAGACTTGTTTGCCAATAAGAGCGGTAGTAGAGAAAAGCACGTGCCTCAACCAAGCAGGAGGGCGAAAAACATGGTGAAACTGTAAAGATAGTGGGTAGGGCTGAACAAGGAAATCAAGAGAATGACACGAATTTGGGGTCTCGAGGCCGCCCATCGGGACCAATATTATTTTTTGCGAATCGTTGTGTAGTATAGATTCGCCTGGCTTCATCAAAGTTGACGTGCTGATTTCTCATGATGGCCTGTACTTCGCGCTTGGCTCTGATGTCCAAACCGGCTCGTGAGTCCCCGCTGGCAATGTTTGAAGCGATGTCGAACTCGGTTGAGCTAAGGCCGGCTTCTACGTCTGCCGTAAAGCTTGAGGGAAGTCGATCATAGATGTAATCTGGGACTGGCAGCAAATGGAGCCATCGAGATCGAGTGAGATAAAGCACTGTCATAAGTCCATCAGTGAATATTTTATGGAAGAGCGTATGTCCTTTGCAGTTGAGACTGACCAGTACCGGAGATAATCACGGAGAACAGGAGTGCGTAAAACAGCATGTATGCCATGACGAGCCACGGACGACAAGGAAAGCGACTCGACGGCGACCACCCTTTGGGGTCGGCACCAGTCCTTACAAGGGATTATATTGACACTGTTGTGGGCTTTGGGGAAGAGGTTAAAGCCACGCCAAGGCAGCGCTTCCTTAGAGATCCGCAACCTGGAGCCGGATGGATGCCTGACGGAACAGGTATAGTGGCGGAGCCGGTTATGCGTGCTTATGCAAAGGACCTGACACAGCAATACGGCCTTGTACACCCGTGGATCTACATAGCACCAGCTGCTCTCCATTCCTAAAAGGGCGCGCTTAGCGAGACGACTCCCCGCCCCGATTAGGAAATGCACTTCACACAGATCACGAAAGCCCGAATATCTCCTCTTGCACACCCAAACCGCTACCATGGCCGCCGAACGCACAAACGTTTCTAACGACCTCATCTGGCAGCTCACCCGTATGTTGCTCCGCATCTTCTGGTCTCGAATTCTGGCAATTTAGTGGCTGATCTGTTGAAATAGGTAACCAGAATGCCTATCTGGTTCGCCGCAACGCCGGCGGTGGCTCCCAGCTGTCCCGCGACCCCTTGAACTTGGTGAACAAGCATTCCTTCAAGGTACGTATTCTTTGAGAACTCGAGAGATGCGAGGAATTTCTACCGGTTGAGAATTGTTGACTTACATGCGACATGGTATACAGTATGCTGGTTATACCAACAACAAGGTATGAGATCTGCTCACCCTTTTATTCTCTGCCTTGGACTATGCTTACCCTGCAATAGGCCATTGGTGTCCACGGTAACGAGGAAGGTGGTGTCACTGTGATCACCAAGAAGCCCGGAAGCTCTCAGCAGCCTGCCAAGGCTGAGGTTAAAGTCAACTACGGTCCTAAGACTGCCACTCGCAAGTAAGTTCACTCCGGTGAACAACGAAGCATTAGTGTAAAGCTGATTGTCATCTGGATAGGATCTACAAGGGTGTCGCTGATCTGACCGCTAAGAACGGTTACCGCGCGGATCTCCGCGAGGAGGCCGTTGCCCGTGTGAGCGCCATTCGCCGCTCGCAGAAGCCCAAGAAGGAGACTCCCGCACCAAAGCTCCGCGGCGCCAAGGCCCGCAAGGCTGAGCAGGAGGAGTAAATAGCTCCCATGGTGTCAAGGGGTGAAAAAAGTGGCATGGATTGGAAGTAGAGAGGGTCTTGTTTCGCATCTACAAGACCACGGCAGGCCGGATGTCAACGGAGCTTGCCTTTCATACCTAGCTACTGTCTGACTTCCTGAGAAAGAAATCTCACCTTGGTAGGAATAAACCAGTTGAAGAAGTCAAGGCAGAATTAGAAGAAATACCAACGGATGTCTCGGTCTCTCATGAAATCGGATGGGTGACTCACCTTTTAGCCCTCCCGTTCCGAATGATCTTCTTAACCGGCCCGGGACACAGCTTCCAACCTCGGGCTCTTGTCATTTCGGAATCGCCTGGATTTGTAGCATATGCCGAGTAGAAGCCTGACGACTGACGACATAAGTATGCCCGTGTCAGGGTAGATCCGCCTTTTCCCGATTCCCATAGTCGTCGGGAAGAAATCACAAGCTAGAGACGAGAATAATCGGGATTCGGCGAAAATGCTCCCCAGTTCGGGTATACGGGGGGAACGTTACCCTTCTGGGACACATTTTTCGTCTTGTAGGACAGTCTCATGGATCTAGTTATTCCAAAGAAAGTAGAGTGACACCGATGGGAGTGGTAGCACCCAGACGATACTGTGGCGACGGCGACTGCCCCCAGGCCAACCGGTGATTGTGAGAACTTAAGAAATCTTAAGCAGCTCAAGCTAAACTATCTTGAGGCACCGGTAGGAGCTCCGCGTCCCCAGGCTGCGGAGACCAGGAATGCTGTTGACGGGAAGAGGAACACCAGGGACCCACCAGGAAACTCCGGGGTGCGTACTACGTAGAAAGTGCCCCTCAATCCCCCCCCCTGCCCCTCTTCTTTCCCTTGGAACTTAATCTAGGTTCTTCCCTCTTGAGTCCTCTTTCTTTCCACCTTTCCCTTGCAAATCACTGCTCCCATCTGCATCATGGTTAAAGCTGGTATGTTTGATCTGCCCTTTTGATGGTTCAAAGCTCATTCGACCTAGTTGTTCTCGGAGCCTCTGGTGGCATTGGCCAGGTCAGCTCAATGTCCAGCCATCCTGCTGGTCTATCACCCCAGAAAGAACCATATAAGCTCATCAAAAAATTTAGCCACTCTCCCTCTTGCTAAAGGCCTCTCCTCTTGTGGACGAGCTCGCCTTGTACGATGTCGTCAATACCCCTGGTGTTGCGGCTGACCTTTCTCACATCTCTTCGGTTGCCGTAAGGTCCCCTCCGCGTTGTCCATTGATTGATTCTCAATCCCGGGCTTGAACGTAAACTGACCCAACGGCTAGAAAATTACTGGCTTCCTCCCTGCCGACGATGGACTCAAGAAGGCCCTGACTGGTGCCGACATTGTTGTTATCCCCGCTGGTATCCCCCGTGAGTTCTCCCGGCAGTTATACTAATGGATTGATGACGTGATCTGGGGCTTGACTGACCAAAATAATCCCTCTAAAGGTAAGCCCGGTATGACCCGTGATGATCTTTTCAAGATCAATGCCGGCATCGTGCGAGACCTGGCCAAGGGCATTGCCGAATTTGCACCGAAGGCTTTTACTCTTGTTATATCGAACCCCGTCAACTCGACTGTGCCTATTGCTGCTGAGGTCTTCAAGGCTGCTGGTGTCTTTGACCCCAAGCGTTTGTTTGGAGTAACCACCCTTGATGTCGTCCGTGCCGAGACCTTCACCCAGGAATTTTCTGGACACAAGGATCCATCCCAGGCTACCATTCCCGTGGTCGGTGGTCACTCCGGCGAGACAATTGTTCCTTTGTTTAGCAAGGCGTCTCCCAGCTTCCAGATCCCTGCTGATCGTTATGATGCCCTTGTCAACCGTACGTGTTGCTTCGTCGTTCATAATAGTTACAAATGTGTATTGACCCGGCCCCATCTAGGTGTTCAATTCGGTGGCGATGAGGTTGTGAAGGCGAAGGATGGCGCTGGCTCGGCAACCCTGTCTATGGCTTATGCTGGCTTCAGGTACTGTTGAATCCTTCTATAGATGCCCCAAAAAACGCCTCAAGCTGACAGGTTTTAGATTCGCTGAGGCCGTGATCAAGGCCTCCAAGGGCGAAAAGGGTATTATTGAGCCTACTTTCGTCTTCCTGCCGGGAGTTGCAGGTGGCGAGGAAATTTCGAAGGCCACTGGTGTGGAGTTCTTCTCCACTCCTGTTGAGCTCGGGGTAAGTTGCAATTGATTCAAATTGTCATGTTCAAAAATTCTAACTCGATTCATCTAGCCCCACGGCGCAGAGAAGGCCATTAACATCCTGGATGGTGTGACGGAGCAGGAGAAGAAACTCCTAGAAGCTGCCGTCGCTGGCCTGAAGGGCAACATCGAGAAGGGCGTGGAATTTGTCAAGAACCCACCACCAAAGTAATGCTTCCCCCCCCTCTCCCAATCCTCCTCTGCAGCCCCTTTAATCCCTATGGGGATGTCTCTGCGCTGCATTGATATCCATCCAAAAAGGCAGAACCTTGCTAATTATTGTTATCATTGAAAGATAGGCTTTAAGTATGATGTCATGAGATTTTAAACCATAACCAAACACGAGGATGGCGAATGCACCGCGGTTGGGTTTGAGCAGCAAGATAAGAGATATCATGCATGCAATCAATTCGATAACTTAGCTTGACGACCTGTCAACAATTCTTAGCTTGCATCATGTAGCTAAAGTAGTCGGAAATGAGTAATCTCGGCACCGAATGCAAGTGCAGAAGGAAGAGTAGGAGCTTGGCTTTTCGACTTGGTCCAGCTGGAGTGTTGCCAGCGGGGATTCTGGGATTTGTCATGACAAGCATGACGATGTATTTGGGTCAAAATGCCCCCGTATGAAGCTTTGAGACCACTATTGCTCATGGGCGAGCCTGGACGGTTTTAATTTGGAATGTCGCTCCAGGAAGATCCGATGTTTCTGCTTGGACTGTGGTGATAATGCCAAGGTTCGCTAGGGCTCCACGAATAACACCGCAGGGAAACCAAAGATACTATATCAAACGCAGTCAGTATCTGTATGGCCGGGAGCCCAGGGAAGATCTCAAGCTATTGAAATGTTTGCATACCGCCTGAGCCATCGATATAGCCTCCCCCCGCACGGCCATGCTCATTCGAGCAAATGGCCGAAACGCACTGTCGGTTAAGACATAGACACCCTGTTCCGATACGATTAGCGTTGATAAGACCCCATGCCGACGTTATCCCGCCGATCAAAGCCTTTGTGTGCTGGACGAACCCGGTGATTTGTTTTCAAATTATCAATTTGTTTTCGGAAGAGGACCGTCCAGAGATCCTTGCAAAGAAATTTGATGACATCGAGGTTATCGGTAAATCGGGGGCGATCGCGAGAGAACCTGACATTCCCAGCGGCGGTTAGTGACAGAAATGGGGTATCATGTTGAGCCGGGGGGGTTATGACTGCAAAGCCAGGAGAGACGCCAGGGAGAAGAGATAGATCCTACCGCTCTGCAAGACCCTGTCCAACCCGGTATCCCAAAGAATCAAGGCGGAAGTAAGTTGTTTCTCGGACCTCATCATCCTCCGGTTCATTCTCGACGGTCGATATCTCTCTGGCAAGACGCTCTGCCATAGGCACCAGCTCGATCAGGAGAAAGTCGAAACAGGATGAGCTCAAAGTGCGGGCATTCGGATCGGAGACTGTCATGGGGGGCCGACGCATCGAACGACATTGTGTTTGTGGAGAAGTCAATGCTGGAAATAAGGGTGAATTCTTCGGGGAGGTTGGTGAGTCCGGATGGGTGCCAAGACTTCGGGGCTAAAGGGACATCTTAAAAAAGCACTTCTCCCCGCCAAGCCCATCAAATGTATTCGCCAGGTTCTAGTAGCCGGTCTATCTAGGGACGGTGGAAATTGGGAAATGGGCTCTGATATATCGGATTCTTGGCTCCCTGCACACATTCTCGCCCGAATAGTAGATTCGGAAGGAGGCGAAGTGCAAGACTTGCCCGGAAGGTAGAAGGGGAAAATAAGGCAATAAGCAAATAGAATCGGACCACGCCGGAAATATCTCAGTAACAATCATATGAGGGATCTTCAAGCGCAAATGCGGTACCAGGGTATGCAATGATTCGAAATGAGAACCCCACTCAGTGGGATGTGTGGCCGTAGGGTCTATGACTCAAAGGACTGCCCGCAATGGGCATCCCTTGTTGACTGGGGTGAAAGCTAGTAATTGGTCTTTTCCGAGGAGGCGCTGGAGATTCATCTTCCTCGTCGCTTCCTGTGAGATCAATGACCTGCGCGACGGGCCTCTTCTTGCTTGAGAAGCGAGCAGCCGACGTCGGAGTTGACGCCTCGCGGGATTGAGCTGGTGTCCGCTCGAGTAAAAGACTCGACGGCAGTGCCTCCTGTTTCACGGGAACCATGCCAGGTTCGCTAATCTCAACCAGGTCATCATCACCCTCTTCTGTGTCCGGTGTTCCACCCCCCCAATTTTACAGGATCGGGATCGGGGGCAGACCAAATACCATTTGGCTCCACGACCACCTGGTCTACACCTGAGGGGGTTGCTTTTAGAATGTCATCCACGTATCTTGGTTTAATGTTAGGGCGCCATCAACTGGATACAAAGATCGGATATCACAAGGTTCCTGACTTACTGATCCACTTGTAAAGATTCGAAGCTAGTCGCCTTTGAGCAGACAGGACAAGTCCATGTTGGAGCTTGCTTTTGTAGCTCCAAGAAAGAAGATGCGTCAAAGCACTGGTTGTGAGTGCACACTACAGAGCGGCACGGAACTTTAATTCGGAGGGTGGAAAGTGGACATTTGAGAGACATGATACTGGAAGTAGCCACAATATCCGAGTCCTCAGCCCGGTTTTTCACTGCAAACCATTAGAATCAAAGGAAAGAAAAGATTACCATGATCAGTCACAACGAACTCTCTCGTATTACTTGCTCTTTGGATATGAGCCTCCGGGATGTGAGCTGGGCGACCAGCTCTTCCACTGGATGTCGCCGGACCAAGTTAGCAAGAACAAAAAATTTCTGCGTCTCCCTATCGTCAGCCAAGTGCTAAACCATAACAACTGACTACAGAGCGTGCCTTACCTTTTGGGTTAATGCGTAGGTCATGACGACTTTGTTTGGATAGTTGGGTTTCTTCCGCAGATAGTCAGTCACATCCGCAGGTTGCGTTGTCCCTGGTCGATTTTTCAGGCCCCGAAGATTGGCTTTGACTTCGTCAAGATTGGCTTTCAACTCGACCTGATGAGGGAACGAGATATCGGATTTAGTAAAGGGAGTCAACCCTGAGTCGGCAGCACAATATATCATCACACGAAGATTCGGGTCCTTTTCCATATCTATGACGTGCTGCGGGGAAAGATAGACCTTAAACTCCACGTTATCTCTGGTAGACTCTCGGACTAGGTCATGTCAGTTGCCGAAAGTAACGTGCAAATGTAGAGATCGAACTCACCCTGGCACTCAATGGGCTTGGTGAGAGGAGTGATGACTGAGAAGAAAGGGCTTTCCTTGAAACTGGCCAAGCCTAATTAATCTTGTTAGAAACTATAACCTCCTTAAGTCTCAAATGAGAGCTCGTACCAGAGGAATTTGTACGAGGTGACATTGAGCCACCGAGGGCATTTCGAACTTGCGCTGAAGTCTGTTGTGATATCTGAGGCGATCGATACTGTGGATTCGGTGTAGTCTGAAAGGTAAGAGACCCAGGCACGCCGGCCTGTTGTATGCGTTTCTTCAAAGCATCGTAGCGGATGCTGTTCCCTTCTGATTGACACAGACGCTCTAGGTCTAGAAGCCGAGTGAAGGTTAGTATATGAACATGCAAGGTCATGAAGGAGGAATTCAGGAAGGAAGACAGGCAAAGACATGAGAGATAACAGAGTTCGAAAGATGAAAGCAAGGAACACTAACAATCAATGATTCGGACTTGGAGGGCCGCTTTCAGACCAGATAAGGGGGAGTCCCTCATTTCGAAGAAGGTCTTTCAACTGCGGTATTGTCAGAGTCTTGATGAGCGACACCAAGCGAGGGATCTCGGACGACTGGCCGGAGGATGCCATCGCGCGACCCTAGAAATAAATGCGCCTCTGACAGATTGCGATGCAGCCAGGCTGGAGATCTGGAAGGGCTACGAAATGCATGTCAATCGTCTTGTGGGTGGGAACTCTGGGTATCACGCGGCCATGGAGACCTAGTTCACTTGAAGACGTTTCTTCTCGCCCGGGCGAGGTTCGTGAGGATGACATAAGACAGCGGGCGGAGTTCCACCAGCCTATCGATTAGGTGGGCAGAAAAAAAAAAAGTTGAAAAGGGAACAGGCGGCTTTGGAACATTCTCTGTGTTCTCATTCCTTTTCAGGCTATTGCCATTTCTCACCATGGCAAAGAGTGTGCGAGCCAGCGTTTCCAAGCGCAATCGCGCAAATCTACGTAAAAATGTTTTCGGCCCTGTGGCCGACGCTCGCACAGAGCGACTGGCCGCCAAGCTTCAAGAGCTTGCATCACAGCCTCGACCATCTCAGGAGAAACCGACTGGGGAGCAGAGCTCCGAGAAAGCAGGTGTGTGTCCTGTTTTAGCTGCCGATCAGACAATTCATGGAATCTAATTACTATTTCAGGCGAAGATGCAAACGGTGCAAATCCTGTTATGAACGAGGATGGTAAGCTAGAGAATGATACACTACCAGAGGCCGTCCCACAGAAACAGAGTAGGAGGCTAATTTGACCGCAGAAATGGAACTTGATGCGAAAGCTTCCAAAAATCGAGTTCAAAAGGCCGGACGAGTTCAGAAGCGCAACCGAAAGCCGCGAAATTCCATGGTATTCCAGCCGCGGCCTTCGAAGGCAAAGAAAGGATCGAAGCGCAAGTAGTCAATAGCAACCCCCGCTACTATGGCTTAACTTCATTCAGCATCATACTAGGTTCAATTGGTCTCGAAGCGGCGTTACAGGGAACTAGCTCTATTCTCATATTTTTGTTTACCAACCTATTGTCACACCATGTGGTCAATCACTTATTCTCGAACCGGGTTATCAGAGGATCCTTTAGTAGCAATGCAAATCATTCTCAAAGAGACAATTGAGACATTTTCTCTCACAAGAGGAGGGGGAAGCGCTTGGGGTAGCCGATAAGGCCGGTATGAGATAGTGTAAAGGCGGTGTGCCTAATCGATAAGGAGTAAACATCAGCGGCACTCTCCTTCAGACATCCTTTTTTGAGTCTGCTGTGCTGTTGCGACCTGGTAGGTGTCTGGAAGAATGGCAATTCTTTCAGGACACTGGGCAGTTCTCCTCGCTAATTTGCTGGTGCCTGTGGGCATCCTTGTTTTCTCTACTGGTTTTTTCCCCTATAAACCGCTTCTGCCAGGCCTAGCCATACTGGAGGATATCGATCAAGATGTGCCCCCTGTCTTTGACAAGGTGATTTTCATGGTGGTAGATGCACTAAGAAGGTGGGGGTCGATGGTCTAGTTTCTGTCTGGTTGCAACCGCTAATATTGAGAAACTAGTGACTTCGTTTACTCTCATGAATCGGGGTTTCAATTCACTCAGAGGTCTGTTCCAAATATATATCCCTTGGCTCTGACTATTGAGCTAAACCTCATCGCAGTCTGATTCGAGATGGTACCGCCATTCCTTTCACGGCACGTGCAAGCTCACCAACGGTGACAATGCCTCGGCTGAAGGCGATTACTACTGGATCTGTCCCCTCGTTTTTGGATGTCATCTTGAACATCGCCGAATCCGATACCAGCTCAACCCTTGCCTACCAAGATACTTGGTTGGCACAGCTCAAGGCCAGGGGAGATCGCCTTGTGATGTATGGAGACGATACATGGCTGAAACTGTTTCCAGGCATGTTTGACCGTGCAGATGGGACGACGAGCTTTTTCGTATCAGTTGGTTTAACGGCTCCCATGATACCGAGACATGTTGCTGATCGGAGCTCTTTCTATTCCAGGACTTCATAGAAGTAGACCAGAATGTGACGCGTCATGTGGCCTTTGAGCTTTCCCAACCAGACTGGTCTGCTTTCATTATGCATTATTTGGGCCTTGATCACATTGGACACAAGGCAGGCCCCAAAAGGTGTGCTGTTTCTCGGGGGCCATGATTGGATCACTTTGTTCTAACGTTCTACTAGTCCTTTCATGCCGGCTAAACATAGAGAGATGGATGATGTGGTTAACGAGGTCTACTCAGCGTTGCAACAAGAACCACATCTTAACTCTACACTCTTCATACTCTGCGGGGACCATGGTATGAATGAAGCGGGGAACCACGGTGGTTCCTCGGCTGGGGAGACATCTCCGGCTCTACTCTTCATTTCTCCCAAACTAGAGCAACTGGGAACTCAGTTGCAAAGTCCAATCGGACAAAATGGTGATTTCGAATACTACCGGACTGTCGAACAAGTGGACATCACTCCTACACTAGCTGGGCTATTAGGGTTGCCGATCTCACGGAACAGTTTAGGAATTTTCATCCCGGAGTTCCTTAATATGTGGGATTCAGGTGAGTTTTCCCTTGTGGAATCCAGCGAATGTCGTCAACGATCTAGCCAACCTGACTTATACAGACGGGCAAAAGCTCAAAATTCTACATCGCAATGCTCGCCAATTATTGACAACTGTCGAAGCTACTTTTCCCGGTTCTTTCTCCAGCGAAAACCCTACTGGGCTAGATTGCGAAGTACCGGCTTCTGACATTGCAAGAGCCCAATGTCTTTGGTCAAGAGTTCATGAACTCTTCAGAGAGACAAATAAGGAAATGGCATTTCGAACAATAAGCCCTGCTCTACACGAGGTTCTAGGGATTGCACAAAATGTGATGAGCAGCACCGCTAGTAACTACGATGTGTCACGACTTGGCCTGGGACTCCTCATTACTACTGCCGCGGCACTGCTGGTTTTGCCAACAGTGTCCCATCAATGCGCACGATCTTATCACGCCGGCTTATTCCTGGCACTCATGGTTATCGGCTACGGGGCAATGATGTTTGCAAGCAGCTACGTGGAGGAAGAACAGCAGTTTTGGTATTGGATCTGCTCGGGATGGATCTTTTATTTACACATCAAATCGGGGGCTTACAAATCCAGTTCACATCATGGCACTGGGCTTTTCCATCGCACGAATGCTGCTACACTAGGATTGCTGATGGCGCAACGTATTCTCCGACGCTGGAATCAGACAGGACAGAAGTTTGCTGCAGAACCTGACATTGCTCACACTCTATTCTCAAGAAAGCCAGCCGTGATGTGGGCACTGGTCGCGCTGACGTATATGGACTCGGGCTATCACTTTCTACAAGGGTTACCAGCTGCGGTTCTACCACGACTCGGCGCTTTCGTTCTCCCCGCTCTGGCTCTTGTGTTCAAAATGAATTTCGTCGCAAACGACTCGCCGGAGCTCCTCGCCGATTCAATTTTATCAAGACTCATGGAGGCCTGGCCAAAAGACCTCTCTCTGGTTTGGCAGGCAAGGCTCGTCTTTGCATGCCTGACATGCTGTTCACTGGTTGCGATTTTCAATAGAGGCAACTCGAAGATCACAGGAGGTAAGTCTGAATTCGCTTTTGAACTGGCGGATGTCCATATTGATCTAGCTTGCTAGATGCGAAAGACTTGGTACATGAGGTGCTTCACCTATTCTTGATCACCCAGTCTCGGGGTAACAAATATCCCACTTTTCCTGCTATTCCGTCTTCAATCCATCATTCTGGCGTCCTTGAATCTCGATACGATCGAAGTGACCATCACAAGTATCATCTTCCAATACTTGACATTCTTTGCCTTGGGCGGCTCAAATGCAATCGGTTCGGTGGACCTTTCGAGTGCTTATAATGGTATTGGCAGTTATAGCGTCTTCTTGGTGGGGATTTTGACGTTTGCAAGCAATTGGGCTGGCCCCATATGGTGGGTGTCCATGTGCCATTCGCTTCGCCCACAGAAACCCATAATTGACCAGGGATCCGTTGCAATGCTGACATTTCATGCTGCGGTGACTCTCGCTTCTGTGATGGCCGCATGTACAGCTTTGAGAACGCATCTCTTCATATGGACTGTGTTCTCACCAAAGTATCTCTATGCTATGGTATGGGGAACACTCAATCATGTAGTTGTTAATTTGCTGGGCGGGTTGGGTCTCGCTGTCATCCAAACCCGGAAATAGTTTCTCCTAGCCATGAAGAAATCCCCAAACATTTCGAAACATGTTCAACATACAGCCTAGCGTATAGAAAGGCAAAATGGCTCATAAAAGACCGCTGAAGAGATCATCGATCGCATTCTTTGTGCTCTTGTGCTTGGAGGACTTCTTCTTGGACCTGGTCTTGGCCGTGCTCGGGGTGGGTCCTTTCGCTTGTCTGGCGGTACTGGACGTGCCAGCATTGGCGTTGATGCGCTGGACACGTTCTCCTCGATCTTCAATACATGGTTTAGTGGCGAATGTTCTTGATTCATGTCGTGTTTGTGCCTTGAGCTCTTGGTTGAACCCGATGGCCTTCGCCAGGCGAGCCAGAGTCGCTAATAAGGCTACGCCAAGGGTGGCGAATTGATTATCTGCAACAACTGATGAAAATGCCCTACAGATATGTAAGCAAAGAAAAGTTCTCCAGCGCGCAGCCATATCGAAACGCATACATGTAGCATTTTGGAATAACATAATTGATCAAATGTTGCCGGTGGGCGTGTGCGGCTGCGCACTTCATCGATGGCAAGTCAGAGGCGCTGCGCTTCAAAACAGCCAGCCATTTCCACCATTTTGCTCTTATATGCTGGTTCTTATTGCGATGGTAGATCAACTGCAGGACCGAATACACCGAACGAAGCTCTTGGTGGTCCATGGCAACGAGGGGCTTGAGTTGGAGAAAGAGACCCGTGGACCAGACATTTTTCTTATGCTTACAAATCATCTGCCCACCCGCTCGGAGTCGGTCATTCTGTCCAGGGCTATATAAGCCTAGGCTATCTTCCTCGCTACTGAATTTGGAATACAACCTAAGAGATAAATGTCTGAAGATAAACATAAAACAAAACAAAATAAAGATTAAACCAGAAAAGATAAGAGATAGCAAGCCTAAAGCAGTGCACAAGCCGTATCCATGATGGAACGAACCCTAGAAAGGAAGACGCATCGGCGATACAACTGCCCCTCGGAAAGCAAAGCCAGATCTTAAGTAATTCAGTTGCTCTCAATATTAGAATTGAAAAACAGGGAAAATTAAGGGTAACGAAGCCACTGTGCTGGGGAATTGGAGATGGTGTACGGGGTGCAAAAAGGAAGAATACAAGAAAGATTCTGCGTTCTTCCATGTGCCGGGGTGTAAGTACTGAAGAGCTGGGCATAGGATAAAGCTTGCTGGATCGAGGGAATCAAGCCATACTTCGCCCAGAGTTTTCACGCAATACTTTCAGACCGAGCGCTATCACTGACGACGATATTTGGAACTTCCAGCGTTAGGGAAATGGCAAACCAAGTGAGAAACAAAGACTCATCCACCACTGAAGCCACAGATTGGCTTCATTTGAACTCTTGTTTCGATCTGGTCATCCAGAAAGTGGAAGGTGTGAGACACACAACTTTGAAGGCGAAGCTAGGCATCTCGGCTCCTAATATGATCAAAAAGAAAACAAATATTGAAGCCGCATTGGTTTGCATTTGCGACGGTTTGAGAAGGTTTGAAGATTCAAAAATCAAGCGGGTTTGTAGGAGGCATGCAAATTTTCTCGAAAAGGGTTGCAGAACTTGAAGTACCAGAAAGTAATTGCGCCCAGAATTACATATGGGGATTGGAATCAAGATAGGCCGCGCATGATCGCCGAGGTAGTTGGCACATGTAATTGATGGGCAGAAAGTCCTTTAATGAGTGGAGCCTGGAGACCCTGAAGAATGAGAGGAGCCTGAGAAATGGTAAACACGAGCTCCTCGACTGGAGCACGGAGGATCATGTGGATCGTCATAGTCACGGCGGCCTCGTGCGGGTGTTTCGAAGTAGGTACCTTCCGAAGGTCGGCGACCTCGTGGTGGTCCATTTCCACCTGAACGGGGACCAACACGGTACAAGCCTAGTAGTTGAAGATCAGCCTTGACTATATGAATGTGCGAGAAAAGATGTACATACCACTTTTCTTACTACGGTCAACGCCTTTAGCCAGGGTCCAGAAGTTGTTGACCGGCGGGAACGGGGCTTCCTGACCAGCCAAGGAGCCAGCTGTATGAAACAGCTTCATGAATCAGCCATCAATTGCCCAAAGAGCCATGTAGTGAAGTAATTACCTTAGGTCGATTGTCGCGCAAGTCCAGCATGACAGGGCTGTTCCTGAATTTTTCAACCAATGATGCCCTCCCTTGAGAAGCTAGTGTCCGTAAATTAGCCCAAAAAGTCCATCCACCGGTAGGGATCCTGGGTGACTCACTTGCGTAGGAGATCTCCGCGATTTTTTCTGAGGGGCGGTTGTAGCCAGGCCTGTGGATTATTCAGTTCATTTGATCATGAAGCGCCTCAGCTGGGGAAGGTAGATTATGCGTACCAGTGCTTTCCCTCTCGAGCCGTCGCAAACTGATCAGGGATTAGTTAAAGATAGAATATGGACCAAGTCGTAGACTTACAGGAATGATATCCTCTGGCTGTAAGAGTTTGTTAGTTAATGGACCCCATTTAGCGAGCGATATAGCAGTAGCAGAAGCGTAATACACACCGAGAGAAAATTGACGAATGCGTAACCCACGCTAAGTCCCCAGCTGTAGTTAGTATTCAAGTCAATAAAGAGGCTATGGAGGAGCTCACTTCTGGTTTTCTTCGAAGTCTGCCCAAGGAAAAAAGGAAAAAGGAAACCGGTCAGTTATGTCCTTGATAGTTATAGAAAGAGAAACATACCCATGCGTAAGTAAAGGAAATCGTATTTGCACGCCGAAGTTTCGTCAAGGATCGCTTTGAGGTTGTTCTAGACGCAAGTCAGAAGTTTTCAAGATAGCGAGGCTCGGTTGAAGGCTTACCCATTTCATTCCGTTCGGAATATTCTTGAGCATGACCTGTTCCTTGATATGAGCATTCATCCTGCTAGCATTTTCAACAATGAGGCTTTACTAACCGTGGTTCGGGCGTCTTCTCCTGTCAAAATGTGCTGTGGGTTAATCGTTTGCGAAAGGCTGAGTGGAGATCGCTCAGGGGTAGCAGGCGAGCGATCACGATCCTCTGGGGACATGTATGGGTCGGACCTGTGGTCTCGCGTTGTCTCTTGGGTGGGAACAGACCAGTGGCGAACCTTGCCAGCCTCCATTCCTCTGCTGTACGGAAGAACTTCGATGACAAAGTTCTTTCGATGGAACGTCAATTAGCACACGTATTATCATGTCTCCTGGTCACGAAAACTTACCTCTTCTCTGACAGAATTAAGAGCTTTGACAGCATTCGCGGCATGCTGAGAATCAAAGTACCGAACTATCATCTCGTATTTGGTAAAACGAGCACTCGTAGTCGAATTATCCAGGTCAAGATCCTTTATAGCGTAAACTGGGCCCACGAGGTCGAGAACGGATTTGACTGCGCCAACCAGGCTACCTGCCGTAAGATTTGATCCTGGTCCACTATAGACAAAGACCAAAACTTGGTCGTCGAAGATGGATGCTTGGGAATTGGGAAGCCTGGCACCATGTTTGAATGTTGTGTCACTCACAGGCTCAAGGTTCCAGCTTGTATGATCCTCGAAAATTCGGCGGGTGAATTTCTGAGCCTCTCTGATATCGGTGAAACCAACCCAGAATTGACCCTTTGTATCAATCTCAACCAAGGAAGGCCCAATCTTACTTTTAAGATCCCTGAAAAGCTTCAAAACTTCCCTTGGTTCGGTGTATGGAGGCACACCACGTACCAGAAAGCGGCGATCGTAAGGTCGTAATTCTTTAGTAGCAGATATTGCTGATCTGACTTCTGATGATTGGTGATCAGCCTGAGTATGTCGCAGAGTTGAGTAGATACTTCCAACACGTGTGTGAGGGACATCGGAAACAATGGAAGGAGGCGTCTGGGGCACTGCACGGCTTGGCCGGGCTACCTGACCAAAATCGGAGGTTCTACTAGTGTTTCGTGGCAAAAATAAGGGAGTGTTATACCCAGTACTCGCCGAATAGCCCCCAGGTGGGAACCCTTCACCCGTATCACCCACGTAGCCTCGAGTAGTTGAAAAGGCCTTAGATGAGCCCCGGGTCATAAACGGATCAGAAGTCTGAGCGTTAGATACTTGCCGAGTATGAGATCCGTTGACACTGAAACGACCAGAATGATGAGGCTCAAGGAACGGCTCATGGGTTTCCCGTCGTTCCCTCTCAACGAAACGAGGCGAGGTAGGGCTGAGTGGGTATGATTCATAAGCCTGTGGTGCATACGAGGCGTATGAGGTCGGACGAGTATGGGTCACTTGAGGCGGAGTAAAGGCTGGCTCCAAAAGCGGATTGAAAGCCCATTGGGTCTGGTGGCTATCAAATTCAGAAAAAGAGTTTAATCCAGGGAAGGCAGGACGATAGTGAGTTTCCACGCGGTGGCGAACCCGAGGAGTCTTGCGGCTGGGTTCATGAGCACCCAATATGCCAGGTGCAGGAATGGCTGGAAGGGCAGCGGATGTGGTAAGCAAATACTGATTTGGACGATCATGCTCTATCTTAAGATGCATCATTGCATCTGCAGAGCTCGGCATGTTCATATGCCCAGTTTGTTGAGAGCCCAGTTGGGAAAATGCATGCGGGCGAGAAGACACTTCCAAGTGGCCCTGTCGAAGGAATCGAACAGGAGAGTCCCTGGTATTGTCAGCTTTCATGATGCAGATCATCACAAGGTATTCTCATACTTTGATTCGACAGGTCGGATACCTGAGCGGTGGTTGTCATCAAAATTGACGACACGGGCATCCATCTGACCTTCTGATGAGTACTGTAGCCCAGCTCGAAGGGGCGTCGAACTTTGAGAGGGTGAAACAGATCCCATCGTGGGAATGAATTAGAAGAACAAGATCCTAGGATAGTGGAGATAAGGATTGGCTGTCAAGGTGGATGGGGGATTAGGAATAGTAGGACGCGTTAGTGGACGATGTTCTCGTAGGTTCTGTAATTGAGATACGAGGAAATAGAAAAGATATCGTCTCAGTGAAGGGGGATTCTTGTGGGAAAGCAGCGTGGGCGACGAAATGAAAGTTTAGATCGATTAAGTCTTCGAAGACCACCTGACTTCCTGAGTTGCTGGTTGATGGTTGATGGTCTTTGACTGGTGTGAAGAGTTGAAGTTTGGAGATATTCCTAGTGATGGAGGTAGATATAAGCCTAGCACGTGCTCTTTTGGTAGCCTACTCGGATCTTACATTGCTGAAAGTTGAGCTATTCTGCAGGTGCACAAGCCAGTGAGTCCTCCAATTCTGTTATGATGAATGCTCTCCAAGCGCCAGTTGAAACGGTATTGGCATCGATGATGGATCTCATAACGTCAAGCGATTTGGCTCGTAAGCGAATTCAAGAACGCAAGGCAGTAAGCCACTTCTGGGTCCAGTTTGGGTCCGCCTTGGACTACGTTTAGTATTGGCATGAAGTGGCCCAGAGAGCAGCCTCACATGGGTCTAGAGTGGCCCTAGTGCCTTGATAGCTCTCACCCAGCGCGTATCTAAGCTCCCGCAATCTGCATCTGGGTCAATATCCCACATTGATTGTCATGCCTTGGATCAACAGGGAGAATTCACGCTATTAGGATGTGGCCATGCATTTTACTCCAGCTACCTCCCATAGTCTCATGCCTCGAGTCATCCTTGTTCTGTTCTGGGGTAGCTAAAAACGGTCGGAAGGATAAAGCAAATGTATCAATCTCGCCATGCTTCCTCTTGGGCAAGGAACATGGGGCAAGAAGAGAATGGGGCTCGGGCCATTCCAAACATGGTTAGCACCGTAGATCAGGAACCAAGGCAGACAACGTCAGGTGTTAAGGTGTCGATGTGTCCACCCCAGCTATCAGCATATCGCTTGCGCGTCATTAATCTGCGCATCCCGCATTCTGACCTCTCAAGCCACAGACCTGTCACAATGCCCTCTATGGCACCTGGGCTTCCCGAACCCCATGTGCTAAATCAGGTCAGAATGAATTACTCTTCGCATTGCAGTATCACCGTCTAACGCTCACCGCAGATAATCATCTCACCGTCGGATACCGATTATCTTGACCAACTCATCCCCTCCATTCGCGACTATAGTGTGGGAAATCGTACCCCCCAGCTGCTCCAATCCCTGTCCAGGTTTGCAAGTGACAAGGAGGCTGAGATTGAAAGTATCTGCAACACCAACCACCAAGAATTTGTATCATCGGTGAACTCCTTGCTTCGGATCCGGGAAGGCACCGTGTCCTTGACAGCAGAAATCTTGGATCTCAACCAATCTATTCAAACAAGCACAGAGCGTCTTGCGGAGCAAAAGAAGGCTTTGGTTGAATCAAGAGGCCATAGACAGAATATTGACGAGACTTCGCGCGCGATTCAGGACTGCTTAGAAGTACTTCGTCTCGCGAATCAGGTTCATGACCTGCTTGCCAAGAAAAATCATTATGCGGCGCTGCGGGCGCTCGAGGAGCTCCAGGATGTTCATTTGAAAGGAGTAACGCAGTATAAAATTGCGTTTATGATCCAAGGCTCAGTGCCTGCTACTCAGCGTGCTATCGCCGAAGCGGTGATGTCAGACCTAAATACCTGGCTTTATCGCATTCGTGAGATGTCTCAGTACCTGGGCGAGATAGCACTCTTTCATACCGACCAGCGAAAGTCCAGACTCAAAGAAAGGGCGGCGAAGATCCCCTACCTCGAAAACTTCAATCTCAACTCTGCAATCGAGCTGGTGGCGGATGAAGACGAAGAGTATGACCTTCTGGAGAACGAGGACCTGCAAGTCGAGTTTACCCCCTTGTTTGAATGTCTGCATATTCACCAATCACTTGGTCAAATGGACAAGTTCCGCATTGAGTACGCCAACACCCGCCGGCGGCAAAAGGATTTGTTAATACCACTTAGTATCACACTTATTGATGAGGATGGTGCGAGCCTCCATAACCTTCTCGAGGAGATGGCTGGCTTTGCTATAGTCGAGCGTGCCACCATGAAACGAGTCCCTGATCTCCGATCATCGGTTGATATTGACGAACTGTGGGACTCGATGTGTCAGGCAGCAGTGGGTGTCATAGCAAAAGCTCTTCATGAAGTCGATAATGCGGAAAGCATTCTGAAGATCAAAAACCTGATTGCATTATTCATGCAAACCATGAACACGTGGAACTTCCCTGTTCGGGTCTTTGATGAATTCCTTCTGAAGCTATTTGAAAAATATGCAGAGCTTTTGAAGAGGCGATTCAGTGATGACTTTCAAGAGATCGTGTCTACTGATGACTACATGCCTATGCCGATTCAAACCTTGGAAGAATATGACAAGGTACTCAATGTGAGCTGGTATACTCCGGACAAACCTCGTGAAGAACAAACTTTCCCCTGCATCCTACCTTTTTCGAGGATGTATCCACTATGCTGCATTGATATCCGCAATTTCTTGAATCAGTTTTATTTCTTTGCGAATGATGAATTTGCGCACCCTAGTGTCATTGATGAGACACTAAAGGAAGCTTTGGATGATCTCCTATCACGGAAGGTGTGCGACACTTTGGTGGAACGTCTGTCCTCGCAGTACCTTGGTCAAATTGTGCAGATTCTCATCAACTTGGAACATTTTGAATCTGCCTGTCGAGAACTCGAGGTGCTCTTGGCCGCCGCAAGGTCCCAGAATTCCACTGGCACGTCTATCGTTTTAAGGGCCACTGAAAAGTTCCGCAATAATAAAAAAGCAGCTGAAAAACGCATATTTGAGGTCGTCAATTCCAAAATCGACGACCTCATTAAGACAGCGGAATATGAATGGATGTCACTCACTCCCCTTCGGAACCAAGTAATTACATGCAGACATTGACTCGCTTCCTCTCAAATATCATGAACTCGACTCTTCTAGGGCTGCCGACGGAGATCAAAGAGCTAATTTACTTTGATGCCCTTAGCCATGCGGCTAACATGATCCTGGTGAGTAACTTCCTACTTGCCTCACTTCTTCTTTCTGAAGCACCCATTTTGCTAACATTATCAGGCCCAACCGCTTGCGCCGGAGGTCAGACACATCAATCCAAACGGCGTGTCGGCACTAGCACAAGATGTGGAATATCTGGCTCAATTTGTGGACAGTCTAAACGTTCCCATATTACGGGAAAACCTCGATGAACTCCAGCAAACCGTACAATTGATGCAAGCAGAGAACGCCGATGAGTTCTATGATATCTCGACCAGGAATAAGAAATATGGACGTGTTGATGCTATGCAAGGACCTGTGCTACTAGAAAAGTACGCTCAATATTCCGGTTTCTATCACTAAGAAATTATGCTAACCCAGCTTAGGTTGACTCGATCTGTCCAAGCTCCAAGCAAGGTTGACAAATTCACAACCTTATCCTCACGTTTCAAGAATGCGAGGTGAAGCTTATACTATATCCAAAGAGCTATTGCTTCCTTTACAGGACGGGCAGTTTTTAAATGCAGCAATGCGTCCAAGCTTGGCGTGTTTCAGCGGTGAATGCCTATACTATTTTGCATTTCCCCATTCACTGGTATCAATATTGCTGTAGATTCGCATAAGCCCATCATTGTAGGGAGGAAGAGAGAGAGAGAAAGAGAGAGAGAATAGAGGCTTGGAACAAAGAAGAAACCGGAAATCGCAGTCCGACAAGAACCCAAGTCGCCTAGGGGGAAAGCCACCGAATAAAAGCACCCGTAACCACGTTAGATCATCGAATCACACAAAAAGTCGCGGGTTCCCCCCGCGGTTTTCCAAGTTCACTATCTCGTATTAGAGTTGAGGCTTATCTAGAAAAACGAATATACATACCTGCTGAGGGGGCAAATGCGGGTAAGCAGCATACATCCCTTCGAACATCTGGCCTTGTGGTTGGCCATATGCAGCAGTGGGGTCCGACTGGACTGCTCCGGGGTACATGGTAGGCTGCGGACGATAGTCCTGATCCTGGGGCATTCCATGCTGACCAAGGGCACCATAGTCCGCGGGACCCATGTGAGCTGGAACAGCATGTTGCGACTGCGGCATCTGGCCTGGGGTAGCAGAGGGCCCCGGAGCACCAGCTTGGCTGGATCGTTTGGCATGGGAGGTCGACTCTTCACGAGGGACAATATCAATTAAGAAATCAAACATGTCTGATTTGGAGAGAGCCGCCGCAATATCCGAGCGTTGCAATGTGCGTCGCTTGTTGTCCTCGGCATGAATCCACGCGCGCATGGTCAGCTCTGTGATGAAGATGTCACAGCCTTTGGCGAACAAGATCGGGGCCTCAGCAGAAATCATCTTGACCTCTGGGTCGGCTTTCATCACCTTCTTGATCCGGGCAAGCGGTAACTGATGGATTTTGTAGTCGTGGTTATCGGTCTCGAGATGATTAATGACATGCTGCCAATAGGTCGTCAAGATATCACGGGCGGTACCTTGCAAGCCTTGGTTCACCTAGATAGTGTAAGATATGCTGTCATGAGGCTCTTCAATGAACTTACATTGGCCCAGGTCCCGGTATATAACTCAGCAAGGGGCGCGTAACCATGTGCAGCTAGCTGGTTGGGCATATTGACGTTAGTTGCAGCTCGAGGGTTCTCAGGCGTTTCGATGGGAAATTTGAGGATAGTAAAAAGGGTCTAAGGGTTCATTCGCATACCGCTGCACTGGCACCTGTAAAGGATGTTAGTACACAACTCATCATAAGATAGTTCCCGGCCGCGAAGGTATGCACTGAAGCTCTTGCAATGCTCTACAGGCAGCCACTCCGCGATCCCACGATGATCGATATACAAAGGGAGCTGTACCATAGTGTCCACCATTTCTAACATCATATACAGGTGGCTGCTGTTGCTGTCTGCCCTGCTGTGGACCACTGCCTTGAGTAGCTGGGTCCATGGCGAATCGCGTTTCGCGCCCGATGAGGTTGGGACAAACGTCGGGAAGAGGAAAGTAAGAGGACCTTGTAAACCGCCGCGCGGGACGACGACACGGACACTAAAAGCAAATAGTAGATCTCGGAACGATTTGATGTTGTTCTGAATTGCTTGCGACCCAATGCGCCTGCCAACTCAAGGTGGAGGAGGAACCGCGTCTGCGCCAAGCTTGGGGGGTGCCCCAGCTACGCCTGACGTTTCCGGGCTCTACCCATCCACGTTCATCTTGCGCGTTTCCTCCACAATGCTTCCGATTCTGCTCATTTTTCCAAATAATGAGTATCCTGTTTATGGATTTCTACAGACTGATGTAGCTTGACGTCTACAATTACGTGTTTGATTCGAAAACTATCAATGCGCCTGATTGGCGGTTCTCAGTTCATCCGCATTGATCGTACTTTTCAGTCCGCTTAGTATTGTGCACGTGATTTAGCGCTAACTTCGGGATTTCTTTCATCCGGGCCGCTGGTAATATCACCGAGAAAAAAAAAGTAAATCTATACTTGAACATCTTACTCTCCAAGGACTTCATCCCCCACATCCAGGAATGGCCAAATCAGGCCTGGTTGCTGTCGTGGACCAACATTCATCACAGGATGACTTGGACCTGACAGAAAACCAAATTCAACAGCTTCTTCTCGAAGCCGAAGGCCGCTTGCGTGGATCGGATGTCTCGATTTCCCAAGGCTCAGAAATTTCATCTTTGAGGTCGGTCGGGATCTTCAATCTCTCTGGTCATGCATTGAGCCCTAATTAACTCTTTTTAGAATTCCCAAGTTATCCTCCGGGTCGACCTTCGAGCCATACGTTCACCAGGGTGATGACATCGCAACTGTTGATTCCGCTCAATTGGTCGATTCCAAGCACCGGGAACTTTCCAACTCACTTCACCTACCTCAAGTGGAAGAGTCGAACAAAGTACGTAATTGTTACCCGTTGGGCTTGCCCGGACTTTCTGCCTTTTCCCGATTCGCTATGAGGAAAACTTTCCCAACGCATAAGCGCTTGATGCGGCGTAACCAGCCCGTCTTGGGCTGTGCTGCACCAGTGAGAGCATTTATATTCATAGTTACTCTGAGCTTTTCTGTTCTGTTCTTTTCTTTTTTTTAGCCACGGTCTCATCTTGACTTTCACACATCGGTCACTTACTAATGTATGTTGCCACCCAGGGCAAAGCAAAGGCCACCGCTGGCCCCGAATGGTTCAATCTTCCTCGAACAGAGATGACTCCTGAGTTCAAGAGAGATCTCCAGTTGCTGCGTATGCGATCTGTCTTAGATCCCAAAAGGCACTACAAGAAGGAAAGCGCGAAAGCAAAAGCACCCGAGTTCTCTCAGGTCGGTACTATCATCGAGGGCCCCACGGAGTTCTTCCGAGGACGTATCGCCAAGAAAGACCGCAAGAAGACATTTGTGGCCGAAGCAATGGCTTTGGAGCGCGAGAATGGGCGCTTCAGGTCGAAGTACGATGACATCCAGCAGTCCAAACAAAGTGGAAAGAAAGCTTTCTACAACAACCTACGTGCGAAACGAAACAAGAAGCAGAAGTGATTCCCATGCGATGGGGCTGCACGGATTTGTCTCTTACAGAATCGTCAGCGCTAGTTAGGGTCGTGACCTTTCTTCATTTCGGTTCACCCGAAGACATTGACCAGCACATGGGTCACCAATTTCTATAATAGGATGATCAGATCTTATTTCGCGGACAGCCGAACGAGACGTGATTTTCACTTACCTCCATGTCCAAGGCTGCTGTGCGACCAGCCTCCAGGACCTCCTCATGTCCCGCTTTGCCCTCCTCTAGCATGGCATTCAGTTCTCCAGCTGCTTTTTCTTGCAACTCTTGTTCGTCTCCGCGAGGCACTGGATCCAACACGGCATTGTTTGTCACGAGGCTGAAAGCAAGCACGCGCAGACCACAATGCCTGGCCACAACAATTTCAGGAACAGTGGACATGCCGACCACGTCCGCACCCATCATTCGAAGCATACGGCTCTCGGCTCTCGTTTCATAGCTTTGCAGGTTAGTCATGGTCCATGTCGGAGTGAGTCCAGTATGTCATCTACACTTACGTAGGGCCTCCCACGAAAGCATAAACACCCTCGTGCAATCGTCTTGTGCTTTGAGGCGGTAAAACCTCCTTCCATGCGTGATGGACATGACGGCGCAGTATGAGATCATATGCATCAGACAGCGGCGGGAAGCGTACTCCAAACTCTTCTTCGTTTTGCCCTCGCAGAGGATGGTTTCCGGCTAGGCCCGCCAGAAAGATATGCTAGTGGCTGTCATCAAATTAGCTGCTCCCTAGCCTAGCCAGAGTGAACTCACATCATTCAACATCATAATATCCCCCACTTTGAAACTAGAATTAAGCCCGCCGGCTGCATTCGTTACTATGATTTCCCATTGTCAATGCCTGTATAACCATAGGATTCGGCTGTTGAACGTACGCACGACTGTATCCACTTCCAGTAGCTTAAACACTCGGATTGGAAAGGTAATCAGATCCATCGAGCTTCCTTCGTAGTAACTTTGGAGCCACCAATCAGCCTCCTTGTCCCGTTTTCCTTGAGCCATCTTAATTTCAAGGGTCAGGAACTTACTGGGAGCGGCCAACCATGAATACCGCAGGGATTTTTTGTCCCAGCAACCCAAATACCAGTTTGCCTGCATGGCCGGCGACTGGTTCCTTGTTTAGTTATCCGCCTCGTTTGCTGTATTGGGTCACCTTACCGGTAGGGCGCGGAAAGTGAGGAATAGACGCATAGTCGAATTCTGCACGAGGTTCTGCCTGGACTGTGTTGGCCAGGCCACTTAAGCCGGAGCCGCACACAACAGCGGCCTGTGGATTTTGCAGGTCGACAGGGAGGCGGCTTTTGAGAAACAAAGCCGCCTCTTTCGCCTTTTCAAAAACGGACATAATGAATGGGACCTCGGTCACTAAGAGGAATGCTGTCAGAAGAACTGCGAGAAAGGGAAGGGCAGAAATCCTCCGCGGGTCGCGGGTGGGACTTTGCAATCGGGGGAGCTGCGGCGATAACTTCCAGGATTGTTCTACCGGCATTACTGGCCCTGGTTAGTGACATCCAGGCCAATGTGAGCATGGCCGTTAACAATCCCCCCAATGCATTACAATGGGTGATCTATCCTCGCCTCCTTCACATCCCGTAATTCAAGTTGTCAAGTTGGGTATTATATGGACACGGAACATATATAAACACGGTTCATTGATTATTAGTTAGCGCCTCAGTACCTGGGCACATGATACTATGCTAGACAGCGAGGCTCTGCTCAATACCCTGTGATACTACAAATTGGACATTCATAGACTTGAATCTACACAACAGAAAATTTGGACTGGAATGATAATAGTCGAGCCTTGGATGGGCCATCTGATGCAGCCATGGAACCTAAATGTCGGACGGGCGTAACCCCAAGGCGGTCAACCCCCCCAACTCCTACCCAAGAAAAACCGGCAACGCCCGCATGAACTACTCAGTAACCATGTTTGCAAACCCAGCACGCTCCTTGCTTGGGGCTACGAAGCATTCAAGGGTCAGTATTCAGCGAAGACTCTCGGATAGTTCGGTTATCCTGTTTGCTAATCGAGACGTGGGAGTAGCTTTCGGCTCCAATTCGCTCATTATCATCCGCCCGTCAGCCGAATTCACCACCAAAAAACCCTGAACAAGATGCCAAACCAGTCGCAGCCAAAGATTCTTCGCAGAAACAAGCGTAAGCCACATGCCGACTTACTTCCGTATCTTCAATGGATGATTGACCGTGGTCATGATACCTTAGGCCAGGCCCGTCGGTATCTGGGCCGCCCGAACAAGGGATCCAGCCCGAGTTGCCCGTGAAAGAATGGTATGATCGACTCAGCGCACTTGGGAACGAGACCCGCCTGCCACGAAGCGTGCAAGCGATATATATGCGACCTCTCCGGCGAAAGGCAGAGTATGGCCTCCCCGTGTGTGACCTCCAGCTTCGATCCTACAGTGTCCAGAATGTGGAATTCTTCGCCGACTTCGCCATTCGAGCTGCCTATTACCTTAACCTCCCCCGTATCAGGCCCTGTGCCCCTCCCACGCATCGTCGAGCGCTGGACTGTCCCACGGAGCAACTTCGTCCATAAGAAGAGCAAAGAGAATTTCGAGCGGATAACCATTCGGCGCTTAGTCCAGATCAAAGATGGGAACCCGGAAGCAGTCCAGGCGTGGCTGGCTTTCCTCCGCAAGCATGCCTTCTACGGAGTTGGTATGAAGGCTAACGTCTGGGAGCATGATAATCTGGGTAAGAACCTTCCAAATTCACCACGTACAGGTCAGGATTGCTAACCATGTAAAGATGCCGGGAAATCAATGGACAAATCTCTTCCAGAAGTCGAGAAAACGCTTGCTCCCCATCTATCTCTATTTGGCCATCGACAAGACAACTCGGCCAAGCAATCGATATTCGATACATTGCAGAGTGACCGATTCGCCGAACGCAAGAATATTTGAAAAGGCATCTGAAGCTGGAACTTGCGCCTGCCTAGCCTGGTTAGTCTGGGTGAATCTCATGGCGCCATGTACTTTATTATACTATTTGCAACTTTGGACGGGTCATCCCGGATCCCGAGTTTTGTAATTCTTTCCCATAAATCTACCATATTACATGAAAAAGCAAGAGAATAGGTGGTTTCCCACAAAAGTCACATTAACAGACCTCGACTGCGACCATATTCCACCTGTAGTAGGTGAAGAACTAGGGGAAGCACCGGGGGCGTGTTGACCCGAGCCTCAAACATCACGTGACAGCGCGTGCCTTTTCGCGGAGGCACGGGCGATACTGAAAAACCTCGAGCCCAGTTTCTCTGGGGCACAAACACGCGTGGCCAAGTCAGTATGCATTTATTGATGAGATATCAGAAAGAAGTTCCCTTTATGCTGGTGGGTAGATCTCTGTGTCGCAAGCGATTTGCGTTATCTCAGCAACATCGAGCTGTCACTACAGATGCCAGCTTAACACCCAGCACAACTCCTGTGATCTTTTCCGGTATACAGCCTACTGGAGTTCCTCACCTCGGGAACTACCTGGGTGCACTGCGTCAGTGGGTGAAGCTTCAGAATGCTGCCAAACCCAACACGAAGCTACTGTTTTCAATCGTGGATCTCCATGCATTGACGGTACCTCAGGAAGCGTCCCAATTGAGGAAATGGAGGGTAGAAGCGTTTGCAACGTTGCTTGCAGTTGGATTGGACCCCAAGAGATCCACAATCTTCTACCAATCGGCGGTAGGCTGCCACCACGATACTTACAATACTAGAGCCCCTAACAGCAGATCATAGGTGCCAGCACACGCAGAATTGATGTGGATTCTGAGTACGGTAGCCTCCATGGGGTACCTCTCGCGAATGACACAGTGGAAGGTGAGGTCTACCTGAGTCTTTTATTTCAAAGCGGACCCGGTGCAGCTAACAGGCCGTATTTAGAGTAAGCTTCAGTTGCCGGAGGAAACCACTCTAGATAATTCCGAGGCACGAGCACAGCTGCGCTTGGGTCTTTTCTCCTATCCAGTGCTCCAAGCAGCTGATATTCTAGTCCATCGGTAATTATCGTTGGCCTTTTAAGATGCAGAACTTTTCAACTGATATTTTGGGTTGCTCTAGAGCCACTCATGTTCCGGTGGGCGAAGACCAAAGACAGCACCTTGAATTCTCAAGGTATACAGCAAGTAGCTTCAACCACCTTTATGGGCCTATTTTCCCCACACCCGAAGCATTGATCTGTAAGTCAACTACCCATAGGGTCTACCACGTTGGCTAACTTCAAGCTAGCTCCTGCGAAGCGAGTAATGTCGCTCAAGGAACCTACAGCGAAAATGTCCAAGTCTCACGCTGATGAGCGGTCCCGTATCCTGTTAACAGACTCTCCACATGAGATCCAGAAGAAAGTCAAGGTTGCATTGACAGACTCAGAGCCGGGAGTCACCTATGATCCCACGCGGCGACCAGGTGTTTCAAACCTGATTGAGATTCTGAGTCATCTAGAAGAATCCAGTTGCGAGCAAATTGCAACCGAATTTCACTCTGCCAGCTTGCGGGCATTGAAGGAGCATGTCGCGGAGCGTATTGCGCATCACCTCCACGGCGTCCGCGAGCGATACTTCGAGATCATGGCCAATCATAGTTATCTCGACTCGGTTACGCAGGAAGGTGCTACGACTGCTCAAGCCAATGCAGACGTCACCATGCGACGGGTCCGGGATACTATAGGACTATGAATTGTTTTCCCATGTACCATCAGCCCAATTGTACGATAGTTAGACTTCCATATGAAACGGGTCATGTGACCCGCCTGCACGGAAGTGCGCGGCTCAGCTCAAGAGAGCCTTCCAAGGTTGGAACATAGCCATGATGAAAAATGTTTCACACTTGAAACTTGGTATGCGCAGTTTCCTGTACGTAGTAGAACATCAGGCCTGTGCCTCGGACTAACTCTGGAGCTTTGGATAGTGCCGCTTCATACAGGCCCAAAAAAAAGGGAAAAAAGAAACCATGGAAGTGGCGCCCACGCTAAGCCTTGAAGAAGACTAAGCGGATGACCGGGAGGGCGTCATCGATCCGCGTCATCATTTGCGTGGACCTCAAAACATCCTCTACCGTAGACTGGATGGAAAGGTTTTCTAATGTAGTCAATTCAGGTCAATCCAGTAGTACTCAAAAGAAAAATAAATGAAAAGGAACAAGAGAATGGCGAGGCATCGGGGATCCAACGATTCAAGAAAATGTACCCTTGAGACCTGTGAGGCGTTTCGCTGAGGCGCTTTACCCGGAGACCCATCTGTTCCCTAAATTAGTATCGCGTTCTCAGGCAGCAGGTTTGTTCTATGAACCCAGCCACATTGAGTCCTGGGAAACTTGAAGTCTGAGATAAGTACAAGGCTTTTAGAAACCGCACAATCCCTAAGATAGTAATGATTAAAACAGAGAAATAAAAAAGAAATAAAATAAAAAGAAAAACCAAAAAGAGGAAAGAGAATATAATCAGCAAACCCGGGGACGGATACGACAGTGGCACAGCGCATCCACTCTTTTTTCCCCGGCTGCTCCGTAACTAGATAATTCCCATAATTCCCCAAACTCCCCCAAAGTTTCTTCTCCCTCTTCGTTAATTTCCTTCCTTCGATCAACGAAACTTCCTGACCTATAATTCTTACCCTTTCGCATCAATCAACCCCCCTGAACCTGCGGGATCTTTTCTCCCCGATCTCCTGCCGATCGCAGAACATTCTCCGGGACGATCATTACCTGAAACCCCCCCCCAAAAAAAAAACGGAAAGTCTACAAGCCCAATGAAGAACTCAGTGGCTTTGCTGGTCGCCCTAGCTCTACCGACTTTGGGGAAACTGAGTCTACGCCAAAGAGATTCTCCGGCGGTGGTTGGGCTGAATATCAAGCGCAACGAGATATCGGATCCGGTGACGAGGGACCGTAAGAGATGGAAGCGTGACAAGACTGTGGGGGTCGCTTTGGAAAATGAGGTATGTTGTCCTGCATGGCCGCGACCAGCGATGCCATTCCGCACTCATCACTGACACGCTCACAGGAAGCGCTGTACTTCTGCAACGTTAGCTTGGGTACCCCCGCGCAGGACTTGCGTCTGGTCATAGATACCGGTAGTAGTGACCTATGGGTGAATGCTCCAAACTCCACCCTCTGTGAGGACCATAGAGAAGCCTGCGATTGGTCCGGTACATACGATCCCAGTAAATCTTCTACTGTCCTCCTATGTGAACGATGATTTCAACATCACATATGCCGACGACTCGGGCGCCACGGGGAACTATTTGACGGATACACTCAGAATTGGGGGCTCCTCGCTGAAGAACTTCCAATTCGGGGTGGGTTATACATCAAGCTCCGCAGGTATGTACTCATAAGGCCGTCTTGAGGTGGACCTTGCACAGTCTCGAGACGCTAACGACAACAGAGGGTGTTCTCGGAATCGGGTATCCGTTAAATGAGGCCCAGGTGGGCGTGGCAGGGCAGACGACCTATGCTAATCTACCCAAGGCCATGGTCAATAATGGTCTTATTCGATCATCTGCCTACAGTCTGTGGTTAAATGATCTGGATTCGAACGAGGGCTCAATTCTCTTTGGTGGAGTCGACACTGCCAAATATCATGGCTCTCTCGAGACACTGCCCATCCAAAAGACCTACGGGGAATACACAGCTTTCTACATTGCTCTCACCTCTTTGTCCCTGACTAATTCATCGGGGACCACCGAGTTTTCGTCCAAATCTCTCCCGTCCGCCGCCCTCTTGGATTCAGGAAGCTCGTTGACTTATCTCCCGGATAGTATTGTTACTGATATTTACGATGCTTTGGGGGTGACCTGGGAAGCTTCCCAGCAAACTGCATACCTGCCATGCAGCATTGCCAAGAAGGACTACAACATCTCCTACACCTTCTCCTCCCCGACCATCAATGTCGCCATTAGTGAACTCATTCTGGGATTCACCGGCGCCACGTATTCCGACGGGGAGGAAGCCTGCGTCTTCGGTCTGAATCCTTCCGGCGGCAGCACAAGTCTCCTCGGCGATACTTTCCTGCGCAGCGCATACGTGGTCTACGACATCAGCAACAACGAGATCTCTCTTGCAAACACCAATTTCAATACCCAGGATAGTCACGTTGTGGAGATCGGAACTGGCGATGATGCCGTACCTGGTGCCACGGCGGTTGCCAACCCTGTGACCACCATCGCTGTGGGCACTGAAGGTGCACGGATTGGTGGCGCCGGCGGGAGCAGCAGCACTGGCGTCATTTCTGGAGGTACGCAGAATGCAGCCGCACGGCCGACTGGGATGGCTTCGCATTTCGCGCTCGGATTGGGCGCTGCTTTGCTTGCCTTCTAAGGAGACTAATATTGCAGCGAGCCGGACGGACCGTTATCCGATACATAGAGATCATGATTGTTTTTCTTCGAACATCGCATGTTTGCAACCGGCGTTGGGAAATGTCCTGGGATTTAACTCGTATTTCGTTCTTTTCCATGTGTCCGAGATATTATTGGCGAATACATAGGATCTACGTGTATCGGGATGAACATATAAACCAAGAAAATAGAAATCCTTTTTTCATTCAAGTTGGGAATCTCAGTCCTGCGAGCTGTTCGAGTCACTACATAAGATAAGCGCGACATGCACGTAGCCGTCTCTGTGCTGGATCCCCTGGCTTGGCATTCAACGCGAAAACCTCACCCCCTCTGAGCGCTCAAACATGCCGCGGCTTCCCACAAGACTACTTCTAGAGTCATATCGCGAGAACCCACTCCTTGCACTCCTCCTCAAGGAGTGCCGCTCGCTTGATTCGGCCCGCAATGAGCTTCGATGGCTCCGTGAGCGGGCTCTGCGGAGTGGCTCGCGACACGCGGGATGGCAAATGCGTCTAAAAGCCATGTGTCACCGGCGCTCAAAAGGTGTACCGCTACAATATCTGCTGGGAGACCAGCCATTTGGAGACCTGGAGATCCTTTGCAGACGAGGTGTCTTGATCCCCCGGTGGGTCGCTGTCGCTCACTAGTACATCTCCCATCTCATCCTAACCTGCTTTTTCAAGGTCAGATACCGAGTCTTATACTTTCCAAGCGGCGAAGCTGGTCAGACAGATGGCCTTGGAGAGATCTGGAGAGGACAAGAATCCGAGGTACTCAAACCCTCTCCGTATCCTGGATCTATGTACAGGCACGGGCTGTATCGCCCTTCTTCTGCATGCCCTTCTTGCTCCGTATGTCGAAGACCTTCGAATATTGGGGGTTGATATCAGCCCTCGAGCTCTAAGGCTCGCCCAGAAGAATCTTCAACACAACATGAATCTCAGCTTGCTTACTCGGCGGGCGTTGGTCGATGTTCAGTTCCATCAAGCCAATGTTCTTGGCCCCGATGGTGGCTCACCAGTACCAAGCATTGAAGATATTTTGTGCAACTGGGATTCTAGCCACAAAATCTCTCGCTCCGGGCCAAAATCAGATGGCTGTGACTTACTGATTTCCAATCCACCATATATATCCGACGCAGACTTTCGCAACGGCACTACATCTCGAAGTGTGCGATTGTTCGAGCCTCGGCTAGCACTAGTGCCACCCAGCTCCCACCGCGTCTCACCGGGGGTATTGCCAGAAGACATCTTCTACTACCACATTCTCGTTCAATCGCTCAAACTGAAAGCCAAGATCACCGTATTGGAGTGTGGGGATATTCGACAGGCCCAACGAGTCATCAAGATGCACCGGATCTTGTCCTCTGGACATGAAGACGACTTTCGGGCGGGTCTCTGGCCGGACACCGAGCAAGACATGTTAGCGAATGGATTTCACCCCCCACGCCGGGTCGCGGGGTGTTATTATCCAGAGACAGATATAGATTTGTATTCTTCGGAATTACTTGACTAGTACAAGATCACACTTTCTGAGCCGCCAAATGGCCCCCAAAGTCTGTATAGTAGAATATACAGTGATGTCCTCAGTGGCAGAAAGTCTGCATATTCGATATCGTCAAGATGCATTCTAAGTTTGCGCATAACTGTATGTACAGCAGTAGGGAGACTGCAAGGCCTAAAGCCTACATCCCAAAGCTCAGCGCTCTGAAAAAATCATTAAAATAAGTATTAAGTGTGCATGGCCACAGGCATGCATTTGAAACACCCGAAAGAATAAGGCCCATTGAGCTGTCCGCGTTCCGAAGACAGAGTCCAAGACAGAGCCCAAGACAGAGCCCGGTTCTATGCAGTCCAGATGAAATACCATGCATTAACTTTCGTAGACAATTATGTACCCGAAGAATTTTTGAGCTTGCCTGTTCTCTCCTTACAGGTCTTTCTTGACTTCAGCAGAGTAGCTTCGGTCATCATCTCCTTCTACAGTCTTGAGAATGGCTTCCATTTCCTTAGCCTGGCGCTTCCATTCCTTGTCTCCCATCTTGGTCTCACGACGGAAGAGCTCTTCGTTGGGTTTGCGGTAGCTGCCACCCAAACGGTCCCACAGGGTCGTAAATTGGCCGTAGTTGTAGTTGAAATACAGGTGATGCATTGTGTGACAAGCAGCGCCGTTGACGACGGGACTGTTTGAAACGTATTCACCATCGTGGATGAAAACCGTCCACAGGTTGATGAAGCCAAAGAGGAAGACGTAGGCTAACTTTTGCAGAGGGAAAATGAATGGGAAAACGTGGTATGGCACACTCTGAGACCAGCCATCCAAGGGGTGGAAGGCATGGGAGGCGTACGGACTTGGCATAATCCACTTGTGATGAGGCTTATGTAGGGTCCTGTAGACCATTGGATGGTGCAAGCCACGGTGGATCCAGTAAATGAAGAAGTCGGTAAAGCAGATGAAGAAGGGGAATTGCAGGATGCTGTAGTAGGGGAAGGGCTCTTCAGCAACTGTGTCGTAGAGTTTGGCATAGCCGCGGACTTCAAGGACAAAGAACGGCGCAGTCAGCAAAGCCATTGGCGGCATGGCTCCCATGGCTTGCTTGATTTCCATTGCGATCTGGTTTCGAAGGAACTTGGGGTGCTTGTATGTTGTCTTATCCCAGACGAAGACGTATGAAAGGGAGGCAACCACGAAGTAGACGAGCAGACCGAAGATCCTGGCAATGGATGATTAGTACTGCAGGAATTGGAGCAGAGACAGCCCCTCAATAGAGCGAGGGCCTCGGAACGTACCAAGTGATAAGGAAGAAACTGGTGAACTGGCGGTAAATGTTATTCCGCGGCCAGGCACTCAAATAAGCATATTTTGAGGGTTCCAGATGAACCAGCTGAGTGGCGGGTTCATAGACAAAGGGCTCTGTGGCGCCAAACAGGGCCAAGGAAGTATTGTTGGCCGCATTCACGAAGGCTGGCAGGGATACGGAAGAGAGCGAGGACGGCAGCAGGGCCGAATACATGCGATCACCAATAAAGGTGTCCCATATTTCCAGAATGATATCCATGGCGAGGTCTGGAGGCAAGAGAGAAGAGAAGGTGAAGAAAGAAACCGATAAGGGGCGCGGCGAATAATAATCGAAGGCGGCATCACACCAGAGCGGAAGGGGAATTACCGATCGGGTAAAGGAGAAAAATATATCCTCCTTATGTAAGCGGGCCTCCATCTTGCCCAGGAGTCCATGCCTAGGTGCTAAGGTTGAGCTTTCCAAAGGTTCTTACGGCTGAATTGCGCCAATAATGAGATGAGCGGAAAGCGGAGTACAGCTGTTAATATGACCGTGGACTCCGTCCATCTATAGAGAGCAAGCTGGTTTCTCAGTTTAGTTACGAGGTGTAGGATGACTTAGTTAGCAACCCCTTGGAAAGCTGCAAGCCCCCATCGGATTTAAGATTCTTTAGGGTTCGGTGCCTGATAATGGAGGCGCTGAGGTGTCGAGGCATGAGTGGGACTTTGGGTAGTCGATGGCTGCTGCGCATAGACCTGCAAACGGGGTTCGTCGTCTTGAGTACTTCACCGTCCAGGTCGGTGTTTAGCTGGACAAGGAGAGGTAGAATCCAAATCCACACAGTTCCCACAGCTTTTGTCTCGTAGATGCCGAAACGCTCTTGGTCTTGGACCCGAGATGGACCCGAGATGGACCCGAGAGCCCAGAACTCGCCCCAGTTTTTGCGCTTCTCGCCTATTGCGTCGCTTCCCGCGTCACTGGCCCCTTTAGCCGCTCCCGTTCACACCCTCCCAAACTCAGCCCAGCCTCTTCCTCCTCTCCCACCCCCTCTGACCGTTTGTCCCACCCTATCCACCCATCCCCCCCCAAATCATCTCTCCTCTGGGCCCCTGGTCTGTTTTTCCTGGTCTTTTCATTGCAGTGGCTGGTGTGAACCCAGCGGCCTTGCGCTCTCCCTCTCCGGCTCTTGACGACCTTTCTCAGCTTCGTCGCGAAGCTGTCGCGGACATTCCCCTCCTTGTGATCCTCCTGTTCGCTTACACCGCTCCTACCTCGCCCTCACGCTCAACTAAGTCGCCATGTACAACGCGCACCGCGGGCTGGTCGCCGCTCCAGGCACCTCCCGCCTGACGGAGTTGCTGGACCAGCTGCGCCAGGAATTCGAGACTCAGTCTCGAAGCACTGGCGAATTCGAACATCAGTGTATGTATAAAAACGTATCCCGCCTTGCGCTTTGTTCGCGCCTGCCAGTGCAATGATATCCTTGGACCCGTTTTTTGATATTCGCCGGTCGTGCCTACGGTCCTCGGATGATGAAAATGCGCTGAAATGATTTCTAACTGGTAGATCATGCAGTTACCGGCCAGCTCCAGGAGATGGAAATGATACGCCAAAAGGTCTACCAGCTGGAGCAGACCCAAATCAAGATGAAGCAAGAGTCAGTTTCCTTTATCCCTCAGAACCTCTAGCGCTACTCTGAGCAGATGGGTTATCTCAGGTACGGGAGCTAACCTTTCGGCGTAAAGATATGAAGGTGAAATTCGCATGCTCCGAAACGAGCTTGAGCAACGCGGCATTCAGACCGTCCCCCATATCACGCCCGCGGCGCATGCCGCTCCCCAAGGTCAGCCGCCTCAAGTCGGTCATGGCCCGAGCAACCTGTTCAGTGGTATTATGGCCAACCAAGGAGGTAGTGGTCCCGGTCTTGCCCCTCCCCCTCCCCAGGATCAGCAGCCTCCCCATACCCTTCAACAGCCTGCAGCTGCCCAGCCTGGTCAGCCCCCGCAGAGTTCTTTTGGAGGATATCCACCTGGGGCTGCTGTGACCGGTATGTGAGAGTGAGCTGGGAAAGAAATTCTTAGCGCTAACCCTATCTGTTTCGTCTCTACCATAGGCTACGGTGGTCCTCCCCCTATTGCTTCGCCCGGCCCCGGCAAGGCTCGTCGCCCTCCGGGCCCAGCTACTCCTCAGCAGGCGCAGCTTGCCTACCCCGACCCCCGTGCTTCGCCTAATATTCGCCCGACGCCCCCTGGTGCCAATGCTGCAGGGCCGACTATTGTTCGTGCCGACCGCCCGGGTAACATGCTGGCTAACTGGAACCCCGATGACCTGCCGCCCTCGCAGAAGCGCGAAGGTTCTGATTGGTATGCCGTGTTCAATCCCGAGGTCCAGCGTGTATTGGATGTCGACCTAGTCCATCATTTGAACCATGACAGTGTGGTCTGCTGTGTGCGATTCAGCCGCGATGGTAAATATCTTGCCACCGGCTGTAACCGATCCGCGCAGATCTTCGATGTGGTTACCGGCCAAAACGTGGCTACACTGCAGGATGAGAACGTGGACAAGGACGGGGACTTGTACATCCGCAGCGTTTGCTTCAGCCCCGATGGCAAATACCTGGCTACCGGCGCGGAAGACAAGCAGATTCGGGTCAGTATTGATCCTCCCTTCTCATGCTTGGGTCCCCTTGGAAACTGACCTTTCGCTCCTTCGAACTTGTAGGTTTGGGATATCGCTTCGCGCACCATCAAGAACAGTTTTGTTGGTCACGAGCAAGACATCTACTCGCTAGACTTCGCGGGCAACGGCCGTTACATTGCCTCCGGCAGCGGTGACAAGACGGTGCGCCTTTGGGATATCTTGGATGACAAGCTGGTCTACACTCTCAGCATCGAGGATGGGGTCACCACGGTGGCCATGTCCCCCGATGGACATTATGTGGCGGCTGGCTCGCTAGATAAGAGTGTCCGGGTTTGGGATACCACCACCGGCTACCTGGTGGAGCGCCTCGAGAACCCTGACGGACATAAGGACAGTGTGTACTCGGTTGCCTTTGCGCCTAACGGCCGGGACTTGGTCAGCGGTAGTTTGGACAAGACCATCAAGCTGTGGGAACTGACCGTGCCGCGGGGTATGCACCCCCACAGCGGCGTGAAGGGCGGAAAGTGCATTCGCACTTTTGAGGGACACAAGGTAAGAATGCTCTTGACCCCTTGCCCACTCCCCTTCCTCGTCCGTTGTATTGTCTTCCTATTTGGTGGGGTTGCATCTCGGTGTGGGATTGACTCGTGCCTCTTTCCATTTCCATTTTGTTTTTTTTTTTCCCTTGCTAGCCGCGCCTATCTGGCTTTGACTGTTCCCGCGCCCCCACTAACCTAATCTCGCCAGGACTTCGTGCTCAGTGTGTGCCTGACGCCCGATGGCAAGTGGGTCATGAGTGGTTCCAAAGACCGCGGAGTTCAATTCTGGGACCCGGTGACTGGCAATGCCCAGATGATGCTCCAGGGCCACAAGAATTCCGGTAAGTACCTGGATGTCAGCGACGACGATCTGATGCTAATGCGCATTTCCGCGGAATTTAGTTATCTCGGTTGCCCCGCCCCAACCGGCAGTCTCTTTGCGACCGGCAGTGGAGACATGCGTGCGCGGATCTGGAGGTTAGTTGTCATGTGCCCCAGGGGGAAGAACCACCGCTAATCCTGATTTAGATACTCCGACTACTCGGGGCGGTAAAAAGGGATTTTGAGGACGTCTGGCGTAAATTTCGTTTTTTTTCCTTTTTGTCTTTTTTCTTTTTTTTCTGTTTTATTTCCCCCCCTACCCAACTTACTCTGTTATCTTATTTCGAACTTCCTTTTTTTCTTTCTCTGGTTTCTGACTTGCTGTTTGGAACTTTCCCTGGGTTGGGAACTCGAAACCAGCAGAGGTCCTGGTTTCCCCAGACGCAGTATGTTCCGACCGAAATGCAAATCTCCAAGGAAAGCGAACCGGTAGAAGCTGTAGGCAACCGATGGGTCACACAAAGGCAAGGCGAACCGATCGGATGGGACCCGGAAACCCTGGGCTGAATTGCCACAGAGCCTCTCAGTGGCCCGGTCATGGGTAAGATGACCTGTCGATTTCAGGAAGGTTGATCACCATGGGACAAGTGGATGTGTTGTACCCTCACGTCATGGTTCGTATTTGCCAGGAACAGTCTGGCCTTTTTCCAACCTTCAGGGGCCAAGAGCTGAAACCCGTAGAAGTTTGGGAATGGCCGGGCGCTATTGGCGACTTATCGGGTGGGCGCATCACGATGCGCCAATCAACCCGTTTGGTCCCCGAAAGGGCCGGGCCGCCAGGTTTTTGTTTTGGCTTCTATTCTGTGGGAGAGAGCAATGACCGTTTGCGTGTATCCAGATTCCAGGTCCAAGAGGGTTCTGAGGGTTCTGAGGGTTGCTGAGGGTGCTGAGGGTGCTGAGGGTGCTGAGGGAGCTGAGGGAGCTGAGGGTGCTAAGGGTTCTGAGGGCTGGTCCCTGGAGGCCCTTCCCCGATCTGGTGGAGCAAAACCGTCGCCAGTCGCGGCTGTCGAGTATATTCGCTGCCACACCGAGATTTCCTGATCCTGAATTCCCCCATTTCCCCCTCCATCGAATAGAATCCCTCCTAGCAAAAGTACGGCTCCTATTCGGTCGCCTATGATTCGACTCGACAAGATGCCCGCTTTTAGATCGACAGCCTTTCCCTTTTCTTCAACAGCCGCTAGTTCCGGGGCCAAAAAGAAAAAGCAAAAAGAGGGGAAAGCAAGCCCGAACAAAAATACCTTAGTGTTAGGAAAAGGGGGGGGAAAAAAAAGGGAAATGGAGAAAATAATAAAAGTACCCTCGTGGGCGCACAAGATGATGCGTCCACGATGCGGGCGCTTTTTAGTTATTTCTCAGGTCGCCTTCTGAACCCCGGGCGATCGTCCATGCACCTTTGGCCTCGAACTATTCCCTATTCCCCCCTTTGACGTATATGGTACTTATTACCAGTGGCTCCCTAGTACCTAGACTCGTACTACGGTATCTACTTATATAGATCAGACCCGGGACGTTCTCCTGAGGACCCTTGATCCTTCCCCCCCAGGCATTACTTGGAAGCCCTACTAGTTGCGCAGAACGGCCAGGATGGAGACCGTCGAGCCATCTTACGATCTACCAGGACATGGCGTGGGCTTTGGCAGACGACCCATGGAATCCATGTTCAATTACTATTCGCATCACTCCTCTGCGTCATACTCTCTCCCCTACCAGGCCCCAACCACCAGCTCCTATCACTTCAGCTCGCTGGCCCATCACTACGGCTCCTTTCAACCGTACGTGGTGGCTAGCCCACCGCCTCTGACTTCCCCGGGGCGTCTGGCAGAGCCAGTCAATAGTCTTCCTGATATCCGACCTGCAAAGAACGCCATCAACCCGGCCACCAAGACCGATCTGCGAGGCGTCGTGCCCGGTGTACCCAAGAAGGAAGACGGCGTCGATGTTGACTTCTCCACCGAGGTCGATGTCTTGATGAAGACGATCCAGGCCAAGCCTGAGCCTTCCTCACAGTCGTTACCCTCTTTGCAGCAACTGGCCCCGCCGGCGTATGCATACCCCATGACTCCGTCTCGTATTCTGACCAGCGAGAGCCAGCTGTCGAGATCGGGGAAGCAACGCAGGTACTCTTGCAATCTTCCTGGCTGCGGCAAAGCCTTCGCTCAGAAGACCCATCTGGATATCCATACGCGCGCACACACGGGCGACAAGCCATTCGTAAGTTGAAACGCTTTCTCCAGGCAAAGAACGGACATCGATCTGACCCGAGCTTTCAGATCTGTAAGATCCCTGGCTGTGGGCAGCGTTTCTCCCAACTGGGAAACCTGAAGGTGCGTCAATAGTCCCACGATCTTCTCTCCCCCCCCAACGCCACGTTCCATGGCTGATTGTTCCAGACGCACGAACGTCGCCATACTGGCGAGAAGCCCTATGAATGCGAGATCTGCCACAAAAGGTTCGCCCAGCGCGGCAACGTGCGCGCCCACAAGACAACCCACCTTCAGAACAAGCCTTTTACTTGCCTGCTAGATGACTGTCGCAAAAATTTCACGCAGCTTGGCAATCTGAAGGTGAGCCACGCTCGATTCATATCCCTATTTGCGTATGCTGAAGATCAATTGTTAACTCCCTACCCCATTCTAGTCCCACCAAAACAAGTTCCATTCATCAACGCTGCGGTCATTAACAATGCGCTTCTCCCAGATCAGCAACGCAGGGCCTGTCAATCCTGAAGACCGCGCAATGTGGGAGTATTTCTCGAGCCTCTACAAGAACAGCAACAAGGGCATCAAAGGTCGCGGCAAAGATCGTCGCATTTTAATGACCAAACAAGCACCCCTTCCGGTCAATATGCATCGCATGTCGCTCGATTCAGAAGAGGGCCATCCTCACGGTCGTCGAGTAGCCTACGATGATGATCAATTGACTGTTTATACCCGCGGCTCCAGCAGCAGCGACGGCGACGAGTACTATATGGATCGGCGGGGACCGACTAAAGTTGAGATGATGATATGAATATGTGTTACATGTACGATGAACAACCAGATCCAAAAGACGAAAAAATAGTTACAAACAAGCACAGGGGGGACCATTCTGGTTGGAACATGGGTGGTTTGGGGGGTGGGTGTTCTATATTGGGTGGCGAAGGACATATATATCAGCGGTTTAGGGCATCTTCTCAACGGGTTTCTAGATGTGATTTTTTTTTTTTTCCTTTCCTTCGGGTTTATGGGATGTATATGACCTCCAAAGGGGCATCTGTATTGTACCAGGGGATCGAGTTTCCAATGTAAGAAACTTCATGGGGTCTCGGGCGCAAAGAGTCACCTGGGACGGCCAAGATGATTCGACGGATTTGGATCTGATATCGTCTCTACTCTGTCGTTTCTAATCTTTCGTGCTAACCTGGACGGCTTGACATTGACACGAGGAGGCAAACCATACATATCCAGCGCCTTCCTCCAGAGCAGAGGTACGTGCACCCAGCTAGCCTCGATGAGTAGCTGATTGAGCCTAGATAAATCAATGACCGCATATTTGCTTTTGATTGATTTAGCATTGGGACGCTTTCTTTTCATTCGGGAAGTTCAACAGACACAGGCTCGCCGATTCGGTAGTGTACAGTCCCGTGTAGGACGGGATTTTTAGATCTTCAGCCATGAGGGCCAACCATGCAGTGACACAAAGGACGGAAAGGGGCGATACGATCAGGAATTGTCAGAATGGGCAAAGAAGATGGGAAAATAGGAAGGGTGTAAAAAAAAAAAAGAGCAATAGGGCAACGGACACAAATCCAGAAAATGAGAAGACAAGAAAAAAATAATTCATAGCTGGATGAACTGGAGGGCCACTAAGATCACTAGCACATTTCACCCGCCGATCTGTTGTCACATGCACCTATTGGCCATCTGCATCGGGAACATGGACATCCCCATCAGGCCCCTCACCAGGGACAGGGGCTTCTGGCTGAGACGGGGCTACGGTGCCCACCTGGGTGGCGTTGGCTAGAGCGCCAGTAATGAACGCCTCCTCGACAGCTAGTTTGCGCCGGAACGCACGAAGCCATCGACGGCCCCATTGGCGGATGAGATCATCCTCAGGTAGATCTCCGCTGCCATCTCCGCGCTCCATGAGCCCGTCGTTGCTGCCAGCGGCTACCGAGACGACCGAGTCCTCAATAAATTTGAATAAGGACTGCATCGCTGCACGTTCTCGCTCAAGGGTTTCCTCCAATACACTGAGTTGAGGCTCGTAGAGACCAGGCTGAATACGAGCGGCAACGATTTGCCGCATCCGATTAGTGACTTTGCCGACAGTAGCGGAGATCATCTCGAAGATGTAGGACTTGGCTAAGACGGTTCCAGCCGCCATCGAGTCGGACAAGGCCCACTCCACCACAGAGGTGGGGGTAAGGATCGTGTAGTTGAGCAGCTTGTCAATGATATCAATGGCGACCCCCGGCTGACCAGCCCAGTATTCCATGACAGAGGCGATGATTTGGCGGCGAGCAGTCTCCGACACAGCGCCGATGGATAGCAGTCGATCTTTATTTCGCTCAATGCAAGACAGGATGTGAGAAAGCGACTTAGAGCCCACATAGCAGATGGATGTCATTAGAGCGTCGGTGGATGGTACCTTGGGGTCTTCCACACCCAGTCCTTGGGCCTGCTCTTCGATCGCCGCAATCACGGGCTGAATTTCTTCATCGCTCGCCTTCTTTCGGATGAGCTGCATTAGCTCCTGGCCCTCCTTAGCATACGGAGTCACTATTTTAAAGAGATGATATCTTAGTTTCGAACCAATGAGCAATGAAGAGCAAAAGACTTACGCTCAGACAGATACTTAAACCCGGGCGCCTCGTCCTCCTTGATATCCGGGATCAACGGTAAGTACGGCTCCGGTAGAGTGCCTTTGATCCGCTGGGCAAAGCTAAGTCGGCATTCCTTGTCCAAAGCACCGCTGATGAATGCCATTTTGGGATGAACAGTAGGAAGTTCTAGATCATCGATCCTGTTGCCGAGTTAGCTCTGATTGTGACGAGTGGGCTCAAATGCTGCGTACCACTCGCTCCATTTCCACGTGAAGCCGAAATTACTCAGATGATGAGTGAACCAATCCAAGAAACGAGCGCTTAGCTCTACGTCCATGGTCTCGAGACTGTTGTAAAGAAACCGAATCGCACGGCCCAAGCTGGGCGCGATAGCTGCGGGGGCAATCTTGCAGCACTCCGTTAGAAGAGAATGGTAATACACAAGCTTGTGTTCCGGAGTCGGCAGTTGAAACAGCTGCGAGAAAACCGCATCCACTGCGACATCTTCGGGCTTCCAAGCTAGCGCTTCGCCAGCAAGGTCTCGCATCCTGTCGAAAGGCGTGGCTCGCTTGACAAAGATGTACGGGGTGAAATAACAATCCACATCAATCAGATACTTGGCCACGGCAACTCTGTTGAAATCAAGGAGATTGATGGTATCGACCAGGGCATCTCTCAGGAGAGACGAAGCCACGTTCGAGGTCGGGGGCACCGTGTCGATGTCTTGGTTAGCGTATACCGAGAGGTAGATCTCTGGGAACAATGGACGGGCTCCGTGTGGGACCGAGGTTGGGACTGTGATATCTGGGAAAGCGATCTTGTTAACTGGCTCAAAGGGATTCTGACCAGGCTCCTGATCGTCCTTTTCGATCTCCTGTACGCCTTTCCAAGGCCTTGGCAGGCATTTGAGCTCCCAGCCTTGCTCGGCCTCGGTTTGCAACTGCCCTTGCAGAAGGCTGATTAAACTTGGTCCAGCTGCATCCTGGTGCTCCTGAGGACCGAATGTATTCACCAAATCGACCAACGCGTGAGGGGTAGAAGCAATGATGTCCGTTTTCTCGAGGAGCGCCAGGGCTTGGGATTCGAAGCCTGTAGCAGGGGAGGCCATGACGTAGGGTATTGTGAAGAGGATAATCTTGACGAGTTCCAACCCGAGTAGCTGTATACAATCATGTCAGAAAACAAGTTCAAATGGACGGGGATTTTTGCCTACTCACGTCCTCTGACGATGTGGTCTGGAGGTCGACTGCGCGGTTGAATAACTCTTCAAGCAGCGCGAAAACACCGTTGCCTTCGAATAAGGGCTGCAGACCACCCAGGAAGCGGAGGAGAAGCTTAACTTCACGCCATGATCCTGAATCAATGTGCTTCTGTAGAGCTTCGCCTGCCTTCTTCAGTATTTCCACCCCAAGTTCAGCTTTGAGATTGTAAACAACCAAGGATGTCGCAGCAACAAAGGGGATTTTCATCGGCTGCTCCAAAACACTACATTAACCATTGTCAGTTAAGATAGGTCCCGCGCGTGGTGATTTCAAGTGGAGCGCACATACAGGTCGAGGGAAATGTTAACAAATGTGTCGCGCATGTCCGGGTCTTCGGAGTTCTCCGCAACTGACTGCGCAATTCTCATGATATCATCTTCGACTCTGCGAGCTGCCTGAGAGGTTGCGCACCGAGCGTTAGTATTCAGACAGTGACGCGCCGTAGGGTGAGGAAAGGCAGAACAAACAGATTCAGCGATGGTCAGCAGCTGCCGGCGAACCTGCACAAAGAGCGGTTCTTCATAGCGACGTCTCTGGGGGCGACGGTCGAAGTCCTCGTCGTCTAGAAAGTTAGATCAGTAGATCTCAAGAAACATGAACTTGGGCTATTTACCTCTGTAGCGACGCTTGCGGCCGCCACCGCCACCACGGTAGCCATTGTTCCGGCGTTCGTAATCAGCCATAATGCGCAAAGTCTGGACGAACAATGGAGACGAGAACCACGAGCCGAGAGAAGGAAGGTCGCGTTCTCAGAAGCTTCGATTTCCGGTAGGTCACTGCCAGCCCGGAGGAAAGAAAATCCAGCCCGAGGCCCTTCAGAACAGCAGCGATGCAGCCGCTTCTTTGACCGCCTATGGGTCTAATAAGACCAAGAGCCCTAGGAAGTCTACACATGCGTACTTCCTTGTTTGGAAATGACAGTTCTGCTAGCATTCCCCTGCCAATTATGTTTCCTAGACAAGGCACAAAGGCCCAGATTGGGAGACCCAAATACCGGCAGAGAACGTACATGTCTATGCTGGCCATTTCACCGTCCATCCGATGTATGGTTACTGCCTTTGATATGGGAATTGTGGCTCAAGGTTGGTCCATGTTGGATAGTAATGTGATACGTAGGTATTTCGGGATGCTATAACAGAATGCTCTTCATACATGACCCGTCAACAGGAGATCTCCTATGATACAACGGCATCTTTCTACGAGCCGTGAGACAAGGCAACCACCTGTTTCGGAAATAGGAGAACGTACAGCCCACCACCCCATCACCGGTAAGAAGCTAGGGAGGAACCTGGAAAGGTGCCTCCCAGCCGCAAAATACGAGGGAAGAATGAGGGTTGCGAAGCAGAACGGCGACAAGAAAGGCACATAGTTAAGGTGGAAAAGAAAGCAAAAGTCGACGGTAGATTGGAACAGAAGAACAGGAGAATGTGGGGGGGGGGGGGGAATGAAAATAGAGAACCACAAAAAAAAGATAATAACAGGGTTTCTAGCGTTGCAAAGTCGAAGGAGACACAGTGGTAGACCGTTTAAATGATCTCTTAGCCGAATCGAGATCGAACAGCCAGACCGGTGATGCATATCGAACTGCGAATGTCCCGGTCCATGTCGGTTGTCGTTCTCAGGCTCCTCCCTCCCCTTCGACTAACGAAGCTGTGCAGTCTTCAATTCCCGGAAGGTCGACTTGCACAGAAAGGGTATCACTTTTTCCTCCCAAGTGTCGCTGACACCTCATAATAAAAAAAAAAAAAAAGAACTCCAGACCATGTACCACCATTGCGTGACAATCATCAGTTCCCGATTCATTCTAACATCTGGCCAGATGAATTGATGTCCGGGATTCCATTCAGATACGACACAAGGATGTGCTCCCGGCTCCCATCCTTCCCCATGTTCCCAATAGATTTGGTAGTCGCTTAGATTGGCAGGCTGGTTTGAAGAAGAGACAAAACTCAGCAACACCGATGCTCTCGAGAGTTAACTCCAAAATACGACGTCACACGGATAAATCAGATCTCCCAGGATTTTCACGCACTGGACGGAACGCACAGTTGACAAATGTGTTGCTCACTAAAGTCGAGAGAGGGCTCAGTCGAGTTGGGCCATCATCTCCTCCTTGGTAAGCGGCTTGAAGTTGTTGATATCAAGACCTTGTGCTTCCAGAGCTGGGCGAGCATGGGGCGGAATCAATTTGGAGTTCATTTCGGGAGCAATTGAAAGTTCTAAGAGCTGCAATCAGTATATGGGAAAAAAAAAAAGACAGGTTTTGAGATTTCTTTTTTGGAGGTGCCGTTTGAACCAGCCTGTATAGCGGGGTACTGGGTTTCCCATAAGCCAAATTTTGGGAACTTACCGTGTCGTGAGAAGTCGAACAAGTTAGGCAGATCTTTGGCGGGGTTGTTGGGATGACGCGAGTCAGGTAGTCGGGTAGCAGGATCCCGGATCTCGTCAAAGAATGGGTGGCACATGGCTTCGATCGCCGACAGTCGCTGAGTGGGAGTGTACTCCAACAGGGCGGAGATAAGGTCGATAGCCTCTGGAGGGGCCTTGCGGAACACCTGAAAGATGGTTAGCACTGCAATTAGGGCGATCGTAAGCCGGGGAGGGGGTGTCCTCAAAATACCTTGTTGAATGGATGCGGCTTGATTTGCGGGAACTTATGTTCCATATAGTTGGGATTCATGGTGCGAATCTGCTCGCGAGTCGGAGTGCCAAGAACCTTGATGATTTCGACCAGTTGGTCAATACCTGACTCGCCGGGGAAGAGGGGTTGTCCCAGCATCAATTCCGCCATAACACAACCAGTCGACCAGACGTCTTCGAACAATTAGCTTTGAATTGACAAACTCATAATCGACCAGAACAGATGGAACATACCGATTTTGGTGGTGTAGTTGGTGGCTCCGAAGATCAATTCGGGGGCTCGGTAGTAGCGAGAGCAAATGTAGGACACATTGGGTTCATTCTCAATGAGGATTTTAGCGGAACCAAAGTCACAGAGCTTGAGGATCCCCGTGCTGGGGTCCAGGAGAAGGTTCTGGGGCTTGATATCGCGGTGACAGATTCCTTGGGAGTGAATGTAGGCCAGCGATCTGAATAACTGATAGATGTAGAGCTTGACCTCGAGCATTGGCATGGTGGTCTTCAGCTTGTTGAAGTAGCGCGATGCACGATACACTGTTTCCGGCACGTATTCGAGCACTAAGTTGAGGTACACTTCATCTTTCTAAAGTCACGGGGACACGGTCAGCCGGAGAGACGGGAGGGGAGATCCAGGATGTTACGCACTCTATCGCCGTTGGAATAATAGAAGGCCTTCAATTCCACGATATTAGGATGACGCACGATGCGCATGATCTGAAGTTCACGGTTCTACGCGGGGTCAGTGCCAGCTGAATGGAGGGGGCTCCGGATAGCTCCGTACCTTGAACCGCTTATCCTGAAGCACTCTCTTGATGGCCGCGTCCTCGCCGCTAGGGGCCATCTTCGTCTGGAATACCACGCCAAACGATCCATTGCCCACGATCTTGCACTGGGTGTACGAGATCTCCTTGGCCTCACCCGTTAGGCCATCTTGGACCTTTTCTCGAATGACCTCTGTGAGAAGAACGAGTAAGCGGGAGCACAACAATTGTTGGGGAGGAAGCCTTACCACCCATGCGCAAACTTGGGAACAGGCCAGGTCGACTCTGTGACATGACGGGGAGGTGTTATGGAGGATGAGGAAGAAAGAGAGAAGAATCCGTTTTGGGCAGGGTGTAATCGGTGGAGTCGAGCTGGGAGGGGAGAGGGGTGGGTGGAGGGGCGGCCGGAAGGACCGAACGGGCTGATGAGATGAGAAGAGAGGCGAGTGTTCTCTTGCCGCCAAGAATACACACAAGAGAAAAGAGATCGAGAGTAAATGGGGTGAGAGGGTAGCGAAAGCTCGGCCAATAAGAGGAGATGGAAGGGTAAATCAGAATAGGCTGGGAAAAGGTTAAGTAAAATTGGGCGGGTTCAGGGCGAGTTTTGGGGGGGTGACGTTGATGGGGGGGGGGCAGGGAAAATCCCCTTGGGTTTAGCGCCTGCAGGTTGGTCTTATTGGGGAGGGGGAGAGGGGGAAAAGCGGGTGTGGGATTCAAGAGCCCACCAGGTAAAAAGCGGGAGAATTTGTGGGAGAGTGAAAGTGGGAAATTGGCATAGAGACTTGTCTAGTGTTCGTAGCTACCGGAGGGGGGCACAAGAAAGGAAAATTAGTAACATAAAATTAAATCCCCCTCCCAAAAATTTCAAGAAAAAGAAGTAAAAAAAAGGGAGGGAGGGGGCGGGAACCCCAATCTTAGAGATGTCCGTCTGATTCCTTTCTCAACCAGACAGACTGGAATCGCCCTCCCTTTCTTCATAGGGTGTTGCAGCTTTACAGAATCACCTCAGATATGATCTCTCGACTTCCCTTCTACGCCTCTTCCCAGCTGTTGGCTTCCTGGGTTCTGGCACGTTCATTACCGAAATAAATTACGACCCAAAGTTACGGTCGGTAACATGACCTCATCGGTATAAAACAGAGCGCCTCCAGGGCCTACTGTGTACCTAATTTGATCCACCAGAGCATGAGCATAATGATAACATACAATCGAATATATTCAGGGCACAGTCTCCCGGGGTCAAGTACTAGACAGCACTAGGAGCCATATCCAGCCCACAAGGGCCAACCGCCCTAGGATCCGGCAAGTAGATTTCAAGAAGATCACCGGAGTCAAAAAGGTACGGAGTACAGATGGGGGAATGTATTAATAGATAGATAGAGAGCAAGGACGGTGCATGGGACTTTTTTTGAGATTGGACCCTCTCGGATTAACTCCTGAGTGGCCAATCCTATTGGTGAGCAAGAAGTAACTGCCAAAGGCAGTACTCAACGATCCGACGTCGCCAGGGTGAGATTCGTTCGTGCCCAAAGTACCGTTTCCTGAAAACGCCGATCCGGCCAAGAATGGGCGGGCCCGTAATGGCCTCGTATAGCGGCCCGTCAGAAATGCGAAACGGGCCATTGTAACTCCAAAGCCAAGCGGGTAAGGTAGAAATATTGAACGATAGGAAGAAGGCATAAGGCACCCAGGGATGAGGGATGAGGGATTAGAACCTTGAGCATCATGACACCCAATGCCAATCCCCAGTACCCGTCCAAACCAGGTCACGTTGAACGGAGGTATTGATGTTCCGTGAGTCCCGTGTCGGCTGACCGTCTGCTTCAGGACATCCGGTGATTCGCTGCGCTTGTTCTAACTCGTGACCGCGATGTCATCGAGTCCAGCTGACCTGGAAGCTTGGGCCAGGTGGCCCGTGAAGACGGCTTTGTGGTATAGAATCCGGAGTATTGGACTCGACTATTTCGTATAGATCTGGGGGCCTGGATCGTTCTGCCCCCTTTGGTGATCCGGTTTCAGAGCTTGAGCCACAAGCCATGCGAGATACGGCACGAACGGGACCCGGCAGGTCAACACCGAACGTCGATCCCCGGGCCTCTCGAGGCGTGTGCAGGGATCCCCGTGGCATGTGCGGTGAAAGTCGCAGGCGAACGCCCAGCTCCGAGCAATTGGGATTCCAGCTGTCAACTCCCGCGGATCAGGCACTTGCAGCTGGGGCTCTCCACTGTCCCAAATGGAAATCGTTGGGGGAGAAACCCCGGTCTAAGAAGCTTATGATCTACCTCAACAGCGCTGATTCCATCTGCCGTAGACTACATAGTACGGTCTACTGCTCCAGGGCCTCGTAGGTGAGGATTAATCCCCCCTCGAATAGATGAACTGCTTCTCTGCTCTCTAGGTAGTACCCCCCTCCCTGCCCGCTGACTCTGCTCATCCAGGGGAAGGCGCAAAAATGCTCTAGAATACTTCGGTCCCTAACTTGCCCCTGATAAGTTGCTGGTCCATCTCACAAGCGATCGGTCGACAGGCACGCATACCTCACAGCATGTATCCCAGATCCACCAATCATATATCCCAGGAGATCAACTCATGGCTCAATGGCTCCAGCCGTTGACAAAATTAATCGATCTTTTCTTTTCTTTTTCTTTTCTCTTTTTTTTTTTCTCATTTGACCTACCTCGCAGCTCGCAGCAGCCCTAAATGCGAAGGGTCAGTAGGTTGAGAAGTGCCTCCCTTGGAGGTTGCAGGTTGTGACACCCGTGAAAGAATACCCTGATACCGGTATTTACGAACTCCCTGCGCCTCAACAACAATCCATCCAGAAGCGACGGCTAGCGTAACCGCTTGACCTGTACGACAAATAGATCGACATCACCAGACCATGGACCTTGCCGTCATGCGACGCCGCTGTCATCCATGGGGTGGCGTAGAGTGCTCCCGGTCCACTTCCTGACCGTAGCACCGTGGCCAAGGATTTAGTGTCCTTGGGATATTCTCGGATCCGAGCATACGATCGTGATGGGGGAAGCCATGCACTGGCCCAGTTTGCACCGGTTTGCACCGGTTCTGCAGGTTCGATAATCCACCCTCTCTTCCCTCATTGGCGGTGTGCCTATTCTTTGCCCCCTTGTTCCAATACTTCTCGTTCTCGGTGGGACTGCCCCGATTTCCTTGAGTCTGTTGTACTCCGTACAGAGTACCAAGCCCATACATGCCGCAGTGGTTCCTGTAGATATCTCGGATTTCCCATTAGTATGGGTCCTCGGTGGCAGCTCATCTCCCGTGGCCAAGGGGAAAGGGAGGCGCAGCATTGAACAGGCATGGTATGGAAGCAAGGGCACATTCCGTTTCATGGCTCCCTGTCAGACACGTGGTGGTTAGGCGTGCATTGTTTTAGGCCGTGTTGCTACGCACATACCTTTGTAAATATGTGATTTGAGTTATTTGGAACTACGCTGTTAGGTCCAGGTAAAACCGCAGGATGTTTGTGTCTCGGAACTAAAGCTATGGTACAATAACATAGCTGAGACTTGTGAAGTGCAAGGCTGCACACACCGATGATGGAATTCAGGGATACACCAAATATGCGAATTATGAGTATTGCGCTAGCTTATTGGTTTATGAGGTCTTTGATGGCACTTGCGCTATTTATTAGGAGGATAAGGGATCGGCTCTCTCCTTTCATGATGATCCGAATTATACACGCTAATTTCCCTCGCCATCAATGCAGAAATTTTCTTTGGCACCTGTGGTCAAAGTCTAATCCGGGGCATAACGGTATCAATCGGCCCCTCTTTTATTGATATCTGAGGGGGGGTTCTCACGGACACGCATCAGTCTTCCCAGCCTCGGGAAACCCATTCCCCTCCATGCATGAAGAGGGTCCCTAAAGGCCTGGAATCGACAATAATAGGCCTTCGCTGCCATCATTCTGCACTTTAGTCTCTATTCACGGGGCACCGAGGTCGGGCATTGGAATCCTCTCGACTGCATAGGGTCAGAATGGGAAAAGCCGTAACGCAGGTTGACCCAGAAATAACAGCCGCTGCTCGCAGGCAGCCCAACCATGAGCAGGGAGTTCGGAGGGCGGATGCACGCCTATTGGGCGAGCGTTTATCCCCTCCAAGCCTCCTCCAGAAGCTTACCCACAATCAATTTCAAGGAACGAAACATTACCGCCTACAGACAAAAAGGCGACGGCGATTGGGCCAATGCTGACTGGGAGGGTCTTGCGTCCCCGCCCGCAAACTGTAAATACTTGAAACCATTCGCTTCTCGTCCCCGCAGGGTGCTTTGTCCGGGTCTGCCATTGTCCCGATAAATCACTACTGCCCATGCAGGTCGACCAACCCGGGACCCAGAGGATGGACTAACTAACTATAACGGTTGGGTGATGTCATCAGAGTGTAGGGATTATCAGAATCCCTATGGCCATGAGAGGGGAAAGTGCGGCTACCAATGTGAGAGCTGTCAATCGACCAGGCATACACCAACATCCGCAAGCCATCAAATCATCGCCGCTGAGCCTGTCTCTGTGAGAAAGTAGTGTAGAGAGTACAAATGAAGGGAGTCGCAGTTGCCCTGTGGTACACATAACATTGGACCTCGTGGGCCTGTGGGATCGGAGACCGACGTTCAGACCCTTCATCACGATTGTGCCCGAATCATCCAAGCAACGTATCTCAGTAACCTAATAGTAGCGGACCACGTATGTACATAGTGGTAATATGAAAGCCGGCATAAATTACGCTTTGGCACAAAAGTTACAAGGGCAGAGAGGGTAATTATCGTAGGCGGTGGCCCGATCCTTGGCTCGTAGGCGAGAGATTTCAGGTTGCTCGAGGTACATTGACCCCTTCTTAGGTACGACTAACCATGGGCTTAGAGATTCTCCTCCATATAATTTGGCACAACTCATTCGCCCATCCACCTTGAAGTGGGACGTCGGTCCAAAGATAACCAGGGAAATCAGATGGAGCTCTACCAAGACATTGGGACACAATAGTGGGGGGACCGGTGGAAACGAGAATTGAACGGTCTGCCCCATTTCCCACTAGAGACGCAGATGCAGAAGACTATGTTCAATACTTCCAGAGAGCTATATATTGCCAGGAAAATTTCTCTTACCAACTAGAGCCAGAAATACATAGTTTTAATTGGAGAAACTCTGATCCTCGTGCAAATCGATCAGAATGGTTTCTAGCGAGGGCCCTCGGCAGGCGACAAACTGCGTGCTTACAAACACGGAGAGTGGGCACTTTTCGTCGACTCGAATATGAGTGACGGCGCACGGTGTACTCGTGGTGTATTGTTAGTAGACTCTACCGATGGAGGCTTGAAGCCCATTGTGCATAAAACAGATCCTGGAGTACTTACTTCACACATGCAAGAGTCACTGTGCTTCAGCTCTGGCCTAAGATGCCAAGGTCTAGATTCGGTAGGAGCATTAAGATCCCGGCCAAAAAAAGAAAAAAAAAAAGCTTGTAGCGAATTATCAACGCGAAATTAGCGCAACAACTGCACTGGTAGCCAGGTCAGGTGATTGGACTGTGGTTCAAGTTGCAGCAGGCTGCATCGTCTCAATTGAGTGAGTCCATCCGTCTTACATTAATCTGGTATGCCAGAAGTCTACTGGACTGTCAGGCAAGCCGACGATGGGGTGGTCATCAGGGATCTTGTCCGCAGACAACTGAACGAGATGTACATGCAAAAATTCGAGAAGATTGTTTTACATTGATCCGTCTATGATGCGAAAACATAACCAAAACTCTCCGGTGCAGCCATGCGCCTCCCACCGCACCAAACCCTCGCCCAGCAGGATAAACAAGACATAGGACCACGGACCAAACAAAAAAAGTAATTTAAGACAAATTCAAAGCTGGAGATGCGGGAATCGGATGTTGGTGGGAAGAAGGTCATCGAAAGGAAATGGGGAGTATGAATCTATACAGTAGGCGAAGAGGGGGAAGATATTTGGAAAAAGGTGGGATCTCCATGGCGCCAAACAATTGTTGCTTGTATGAGCAACACGGGTTCAAGAAGGTATACCGTGAACGAAAAAAGACACGCCATGTCTATTCGAGCATCGGAGCGAGGAACTACTAAAACAAAGGGGGTGAAGGATGATTAGCTCGAGAACCGTGTGCCGTATGCACAAGCTTCGAGAGGCGCAGATCGAGAATTAGGCTGAGATTAGAAGGGAGGAGGAACCATATTGGTGGCGTCCATGCTCTCCTGCTGCTCCATCAGTTCCTCCCCAGCGATCTCGAGAGAGACAGCCATGCCAACCTTGGCAGTTTGCTAGGGAAAAAAAGTTAGTACCTAAATGATTTATTACCTTGAGAGGCGGGATTTCAACATACCTTGACCTGGTCAATCTCGCCCGCAAAGGTCAAGGAGATGGGCATGGCAATGCGCTTCTCAAGTAGACAGCTGACCTTGCCAGCGCTGTCAACCTGGGCGCGCACCGAAGAAGCGCGGAAGTCGTACTTGGCACCAATAGCCGTGGTACCCTCCCGGCTAGGGCCACCCATCATCATGGCAGCCGCGCTAGGAGCAAATGTGAGGTTCATGTCGACACCGGCTTCCACGCGCTCGGACAGTCTACGCCAGTAAGTAGCGGAGAATGTGCCTTGAGCCTGCAGTTGAGCAGTTCCAATCCAGTTATCACCCTTGTACTTGGCGCAGTAGGACAGAGCGGTCTCAGGGCGAGCATTCATACCCTGGCGTTGCCAGATAGCCTCAAAGCCGAGGGCCAAGCCGGGTGTAATCGACTGGAGGTAGCTTCCAACGAAGATACCGGTCAAACCGCCCTCGAGGCAAGATGGATTGAAGGCCTTCAGGGATGCGGAGAAATCAGCACCAGTGTAGTCATTGTCGAGCTGGAGTAGACCTTGCTGGCTGCCGGACATGATCTGAGCGTTTGCCTTAGTGACCAGAGCCTGGTTCCATCGGTAGTTGCCGACCGCAGCGAGGTTTCCGTCATTGCCGAGATTGCCTTGCATGAATACCTGTCAAGAAAATTGAACCTTAGCTTCACGAACATACTTTCAAATAGGACGGAGAGTCCAAGCATGAATGAATGAGCTGTGCACTATCTTACCTTGGGGCTTCCGTACATGGCAGAAAGGTTGTAAGGAGCCATGCTGCTCGAGGATCCCATGGAAAACGCATGAGACACACGGAACAATGGAGACATGCCAAAGACCTTAGTCAAGTCTGCACGAATCCCAGAGAACATGAAGTTGGTCAGCATGACCTCCTTCTGTACCTCTCGGGCTAGGTTGTCAACGGTGCCTGGGTTGGGAAGGTTGAGCTGCGCCCTTCGCTCCGAGAAGGAGTTGAATGCATCCTTGATAACTGCGGCAGCTGGGTTCTCGGTGAAGAGAGAAAGCGATGACGAAAAATCGGACATTTTGAAGGATTGGAGACGAAATTATAGACGGTGTCGTCACGCGATGTTTGATGGGTCGCGTAAAAAGGCAATGGGCAAACAGGGAGGATCGAAGTGAGCCTAACTGATCCGAGACGAGCAAACGACACAGACCACGGCAAGAATAAGATGAGGGAAGAGGCTGCAGGGGAAAGGGCTCCACGGATGAATCGGAGTTGTCTTGGAGGATACGGAGCTGAAGACTCTCCCGTGAAAAATGCCAGTTCCGCAGCGTCTTTGGTTGCTGCTGTCCGCCGGGCGATTATGTCAGCACGGACGCTTTGGCGGGGGCGCAATATCGTGAGGATTTGTGAGGAGTCAAAAAAAAATAATGACATTCTCGATCAGAAGGGCGTGTTAGGAACATTCGTGTTTTGTCATCCTGAGAGTTGACGATCCATCAAAACCATTATCCGGTGAAGTGGGTGGAGTTGTGTTGAGCCCGAAGGGTTCCCAGGTCAAGTTACGTGTAGTAACACAGTCCCACTGCCGATATCTACACACCTTCGTTATCATACCGCCTCAACTGCTCTGCCAACTCTGCTTTCCTGCGCTTCGTAGACTGTGCTTCCTGGGATCTCTGGGCTCTCGAACATCCTGTATCTTCTGTGACCCGTACCAAACGGACCTGATCGACCATATTTGCCGACCGTCGTGGACCGTTTGCGTCATTCCATTTCAACCCCGCGGCCATGGACACTCTATTGTAAGTCCTCCCGGCCATCACCAGAACCTACCGGAGACAAGAGGCAGCATACATTGCTTCCTATGGAGTCGGTGCAGCTAGTCCGGTCTTACTAAAGACCCATTTCATGACCTATATGAAGGTGATAACTGACTCCAAACAGGACAGCAGAGATCGTAGCCAACTCGCCTCAGTTTCGGCGGAAGTCTTCCATCTTTGTGGATGCGATTCATGATCTACCTGAAAAGGCTGATCTGGCTCCAGCACAGCTATACAGCACAGAATCCGGTCGACTCTTCCACTCAGGTCGGATTGTGATCATCACTGTAGGGCTACCCGCCAGAGGCAAAACGTATGCGGATCCCATTTTGTCATGATCCTCGGGACGAATCAACTAATTATACTTGATAATAGGCATATATCGGTGGCCCTAGCAAGATATCTTCGATGGTATGTTCCTACACTTTCCGTCTTCTTTCTGATTATTGCAAGCCCGAAGTTCACGGTACTGATCGGCGTCATGCAGGCTTGGTGTTAAAACAAGAATCTTCCATCTCGGTGACTACCGCCGAGCTACAATTCCATCTGGCGAAGATATGCCAGATGACTACTTCTTCGTGAACGGCAAGTCTTGTCCTAGAGGGCATTGGTTGCTCTATTACTGACCGTGAATAGCATCGGCTTCATCAGTTCTTCTTCGTCAAAAGATCGTAAGGAAATGTAGAGAAGATATCTACCATTTCTTGAACCACGAAAATGGACAGATTGCAATCTACGATGCTGTTAATCCATTACCATCTGGGAGGCGATCACTAGCAAAAGAGTTCGCAAAGCACGATATTGAGGTGAATTGAGTAGCTGCTTTGACAATCTGTACGAAAACCGCTGACCATTTTTCATTAGACCCTTTTCATTGAGTCATGGTGTGACGATGAACGTATCATCGAAGAGAACGTTCGTCGAGTCAAGATTTCCTCCCCGGATGTAAGTTATCAGTTCCAGCAGCACAAGATTGATACAAACTGATATTGTCAGTATGTTTCGTGGAACCCGGAGGATGCAGTCAAACACTATTTGACTCGCATTTCGTCTCGTATTCCCCAGTTCCAAACTATGGAAGAAAAGGATCTGAACTATATCAAGGTGGGTAAGGCATGTTGTAAGCTGCTTTATCACTGCTTATGTTTCTCCTAGATGATCAATGCCGGAGAACGCCTGATCATCAATAACCAAAGCTTTGGCTATTTATCGAACCGAATCGTTTTCTACCTTCTCAATCTCCATATCAAATCTCGCCGGACCTATTTTGCTCGGGTAATGTTCACCGAATTCCCATTTGTGAGAGCACTAAATTAATAATGAGCAGGCTGGTGTTTCCTTAGAAGCAGATTCATACAAAGCCGATGCCTCTCTTTCTGAGCAAGGGGAAGATTATGCCAAGAAGATGACTGAATGTCTCCTGGCTCACCGAGAGAGTGAACACAGAGCCACAGGAGAGCAGGGCGAAACAGGCTACGAAGCAAGACCCCTAAAAGTTTGGACATCAACAAGACGTCGAACGGTGGAAACAGCTAAGTACCTTTATGAGAAAGGATACACCGTGCGGCAGCGACCTCAGATGAGCCAACTTCACCCAGGAGTGTGTGAAAAGATGTCAGAAGAACGGATTCGAGCTGAGTACGCTGATGAGGTCTTGAAACACGAACTTGACCCCTACCATCATAGATATCCTCGCGCCGAGGTAAGATTGTATTCTTTTACCTTGTCTTTCCCATTTATCTCTGATTTTACTAAGGATTGGGGGTCTCGCGGAATGCAACAAAGCTAACGATATCAAAAAGTCATACCATGATTTGGCCGTTCGCCTCGAGCCAATCATCCTGGAGTTGGAGCGTGAGCAGAATGACCTGCTCATTATCGCCCACGAGAGTGTTTTGAGAGTCTTATACGGCTATCTTATGGCTTGTAATGCCGCCGACATCCCGTTCCTAGAGTTCCCCCGGGATGAAATCATCGAGGTATGAAGAGAATATGAGAGCTTCAGGCCAAATATTTACACTAATCAATACGGGTATAGATTATTCCCGAAAGCTACCAGAACGAAGCACGCCGAATCCATATACCTCAACTTCCGCAGGAGATTGTGCCTGCATCACCGGAAGATCTGAAAATTCCAGTTCCACCAAGCGGCATCGTTTCTCCTATACAGGGATTGAACAGCCCTCAGGGTGGTGCTTCTACTCCGCAGAGTGGGTTGCGCACGCCAAGTGGAATTCGAACCCCCCGCGAGCCGGAACGTATCCTGCAAGAGCACGTCGAAGACGTTGTCTAAGACCTCACTTGATTGAGGGGTTGGATTCTTGTCTGCTGCAAATAATTTTCATCATCGGAAATCTCATATAAAGAAACTCTTTTCGGTCTCTAACCACCATGCAGCGTTGACACGAATACAATGTTGTCCCCTGGTTGCAATTCGTAGTTTTCTTCGCCTTCGAGTTCCCAATCTGCATCGTTGATCAATACAAGAATGCCTGGTCGACTATCCAAAAAGTGTTAGCTTAAGTAGCTTCGATAGACCAATTTCACATACACGTTATCCTCCATGATGAACATGTCCTTTCTTTGGTCCTTCATCAGATTGTCAACCAAGTACTGAAGTAGATATGCAATATTCGAAGGATTGCCGTCTCCTGATCGAGCAGGTAGGCTGATCTTGTGTTGGCGCTCATTAGCGAACAGAATCTCAAGCCCGCCACTACAAGCCAGATCAGTATCAAGTTGTCCTACGCATCTGGGGAACGGGGTACGTACGTAAATTCGACGGTGATTGGGATGGAGTCTGACATGGCTTTACTCGGAGCTTGACGCAGAGTCACTGCACAATGAGTACTCTAATTCGTCTCTATGTCGAAGTAGTAGTTTCAAACGCAAGAAAAGTTTGAGGTTGTTGGAAAATGGCAGCGATTCGACAATCGTTGCCATTGAGGGGCGGCTTTGGAAGCGGTAAAAACCTCTTATCGATAAGCCACTTCCTTTTTATCTTTTCTATCTTTTTTTTTTTTGGGACAGCTCTTTGCTTGCACCCACGGAGATCAACACACTCAATCCTGATCTCAAAAAATTCCGCACGAGACATGGCATCCGTCACTACGGATTACATCAGTGTGGGAGGGAACCGGCATCCAGGGGCTGCAGATTGGGATGTCGCAACCGGAGTAGTAGCCTTCGGTGCAGACAATAATGTGGCCTTGTGGGAGCCTTTGGTAAGTCACTCGATCAGATAAGATCTTAGGAATTGTGTATATTAACATGAACATCCTTGAAGGATCCTTCCAACCGAGGTGTATATGCTCTTCTTGTGGGCCACTCCGACAAAGTTACCGTGGTCAGGTTCTACGCCTGCCCCTCCTCCGGCGTAAGATTGCTGCTTACCGCTTCGGCCGATCGTACTATTCGAGTCTGGCAACAAAATAAACAAGATCCAAGTACCTACAGTCATGCTGCTACCCTTGAAGGCCATTCTGGGTCGATCAATACCATAGCAGTGGCAGGAGGCAGTGATATCGTTGTATCGGGAGGCGCCGACGGAACGGTTCGAGTCTGGAGAATTAAGGCTCAAGCTGAGCTTGAATGCAGTTTACTCGAGACAATTACAATGAAGCCTCGGTTCTTCCCATTGGCTTTGGCGTTAAATGTCCTCGCCGGAGGCTCACTGGTGTTTGCAGTCGCGGGAACTACGACAAGCGTACAAATATTTGTATCCGAGAAACCCGAGGATAAAACCCATTTCCAACGACGTGCCATACTATCAGGCCACGAAGCATGGGTAAGGTCTCTCGCATTCGCCTTGGACAAGCAAAATAAGACGGGGGATATCTTGCTGGCCTCGGCTAGCCAGGACAAGTACATTCGTTTGTGGCGTCTACGCCAGGGAGAAGCAAGTACCCCAGCACCGATAGATGATGCTGATCCTTTACTGGGTGGGATGGAACCAACACTATCCAATAAAGCCCACGAATTTGAGGCCTCGGGTTCCAAATACTCTCTCACGTTCGAAGCTCTTCTCTTTGGAAACGAAGATTGGATATACACCACAGTTTGGAACCCCGATCCAACAAGGTCACAACTGTTATCAGCATCTGCGGACAACACAGTCACTATCTGGGAGCAAGATACTGCTTCAGGCGTGTGGATGTCAATAGAAAGAATGGGAGAAATCAGTGTACAGAAAGGATCGACCACAGCTACAGGAAGTACGGGTGGCTTTTGGAACGGACTGTGGTCGCCAGATGGCAAGCAGGTGGTGAGCCTGGGCCGTACTGGTAGCTGGCGAGTATGGAATCTTGACTCCGACGCTGACAGCTGGGTGCAAACGTTTGGAATATCTGGTCACGTACGTTCAGCTAATGGTATTCAATGGGAGCCCAGTGGGGGTTATCTGCTCTCTACCAGTGCAGACCAGACTACACGTCTCCATGCAGAGTGGCTGCGCGACGGAAAACGCTCTTGGCATGAGTTCTCTCGACCCCAGATCCATGGCTATGACCTGAATTGCATTGACACTCTTGGCTCCTCTCAGTTCGTCTCAGGGGCCGACGAGAAGTTATTGCGTGTTTTTAATGAACCAAAACAGATCGCGGCGCTTCTCGAGCAGCTTTCAGGCTTCAAACAACAATCTGCGGGCAGTGAACTCCCAGATACCGCCGAGATTCCGGTACTGGGCCTATCTAACAAAGCCCAGGGCGACGAAGCCCCAGTTGAGGAGGGCGAGCCTAATGATGCAGCATCAGTACCAACACCTGCTGTGTCTTTGAGCCTCGACCGCCCACCTCTGGAAGATCAACTGGCGCGGTACACGCTTTGGCCAGAACATGAAAAGCTTTATGGCCACGGGTACGAGATCTCCGCCGTTGCTGTCAGTCATGACCGCAAATTAATTGCTACTGCGTGCAAAGCGAGTTCGGTCGACCACGCCGTGATTCGGTTGTATGACACATCAGACTGGCACGAGATCAAACCTTCTCTGACTGCGCATTCGTTGACCATCACGGATCTTGCCTTTTCAGGAGATGATAAATACCTCCTCAGTGTTGGGCGTGATCGACAGTGGGCGCTCTTCTCAAGAAGCGACCAGGATCCAAATATATTCTCCAGCTATTCCTCGAACCCTAAGGGCCACTCCCGAATGATCCTTGGAGCCGCCTGGGCCCCTTCTGCCGACAAAAGAGTTTTTGCCACCGCTGGACGCGATAAGTCCGTAAAGATCTGGCAAGAAACAGATGATACCTTTATTTGCAAGACCACCATCCCCCTAACATCGGCAGTTTCGGCCGTTGCTATCTTACCCAGCCCTTACAAAAACTCGTTTGTCCTTGCCGCAGGAGAAGATAGCGGTGCTCTCTCTATTCATGGAATTGCGCTTGAAAGTCTTGAAGCACAGCACATGGTGACTCTTGACCAAGCTGTAGCGCCGTCCAGAGCCATCACACAGTTGTCTTGGCGGCCAGTGTCGACTTTTGACGGTGAGGCTAAGGCTCGGTTCGAGCTGGGAGTAGCCAGCGAAGATAACTCAGTCCGCATATATGCTATCTCGATGCCAATGGGACTTTGAGTGCATGGGTCCATATATAGATAATCCACGAGCAAGCGAAATGTGCATAACGAATCTATGTAAATAAGATCATAACCTGGTCGTGCTTCATGAATTACAACGACCTTGGAAGTGACTGGAGACCTTTCATTCTGCATTATGTATTAGCTACACACTGAATAGTTTGATGTCGATGTACATATCCTGCTGCATGTTTTCGGAGGCAGGCCGACGAGAGTTTCAAAAGACACGGGGGTCTCATAATCTGGATGTGCTACTAGGAGCGGTCAGAATGTAACTACATACTGCATCTCCAAGTAGAGAAATTAGTGGATAAGATGTCCCCGTGTCCGGACTCCTCCACTTTGAATACTTCGATCCTTGGGGACTTTTCTAGTTTCCTGATCCTCCAAATACCGTCTTTGTTGATTGTTTGTTTCAGCCCTGGAGTAATTTGTGAGATTTCGACCAATGAGAATGTTCGGTGGCACGAGGTACGACCTACATTGTAGGAATGCCGCAGCAAAATTGATACAGATATTCCCATCCCAGGAGGCTTTACCCACTCTCTTGACTTTGGTGGGAATACTTGCTGTGTCCAGTTGTTCTAAGCGACGGACAATGCCATCCTGATCGCGCATCCCCACGATGATTGTGGGTACACCGAGTAAGAAAGACTGTGCCCAGAATTTCAAGAGCTTTCGTTCATACTTGAACATATCTCTTTCATTTCGGATTTCCGCCGACGTCTTAAGCTCAACCCAATGGATGGGATCTTCCTTCCGCTCAGGCTTGCAGTCCCAAACTGTCAGGGTCAGTGCAAGAACTTCAGAGAGACCAGGGTTCCAGGCTCACCGGCATCGACTTCACCACCGAGAATCATTCGTATACTCCCTATCCCGGTCTTGACGACGGAGCAGTATTGAGCGCTGTTGTTGACCACTTCATTCTGTCGACCTTCGATTTCCTCCCGACTTACTGCGTCCCATGGTTGTCGCAAGACGGACAAGGCTTCGAACTTGTATCCTAGACGCGGATTAGAAACACATCGCAAGAGCTTTAGTATGAGGCATACCCCAATACATCATCCGTTCTTGAGACGCCATGCCGGGTGGCATCCTTTGGTTTCGTTGATTCTCTTTTTGTTGATTCTTATGGGCGTTGTTCTCCTCAATGAATCTGGACCCAGGTTAGTACTCAGATAGCGATTGAGGGCATAGAGGATCCACTCGATACCACACACATTGTATCCTGGAATGGTCAGCCATTGTTTCATGAAGGAGATTGCTTCGAGATTTCATACCTGGAAGCACGTTGCATTCATCTCGAAGCTAGGAATGAGGACATTAGTATATCAGCCAGACCGTGAAAGACAGTCAGATTGAAGTTAGCCACCTGCGTACCCGTTCATCATATCATACGGAGCAGCCAGAATCTATCAAATGCACATGAGTGTTTGCGAGTACCCTCGTTGATGCGAATGTAAGAAACCTACTTTGGTCATCATTCCACGCCATGTGATAATATCAGTTTCGCATTTCTTTCCAGTTTCCTTTTCCAGAGCAACTATAGTATCAAGCAACGCATCCAAATGCTCGTCAGCAGTGTCGTCCAGCTTTTGAAAGGTCTCAAAGCCTATATTCAGATCCACTGGGAGACTGGGAGGATAATAATAGTGGAGCGATGAATCCCCCAATGAGAAACGACGTTCTTGATCATAGGAGAAGCACGCAATTTCCTGTAAATCCGGTTAGCAGGGTTTTGTATCATTAGGTGGACTCCGATTAAAGACTCACCTTAGGGCGTCGGATTGTAGTGTTGGAGCCGCTGAAGCGCTGCACAGGCTGGATGTCAAAAAACGAACTCATGATGAAACAACGACCTTTGAGAGAAGTCCCTGGTTGTCGCTTCTGAGCATGTCCTATCCTAAGTCTCTAGAATCTGAATCGCCCTCAGCAACTGAAGCTCAATCGGGAGCACCGAAGGGCGACTCGGCCGGTTTAGGAAACGCGTAAGGGGCTCCTTTCTCGGACAGAGCACCAGTTGCGTGAAGCACGATGAATTCGGAAATGTGCGAATCGCGGTCCTGTAGGAGGAAATTACAGGAGACGAAGATGCGTGAAGTCTCCAGGTCACGTATGGAGCCGCGTCCCCACCAAACTTCAAATTGAGCGTTCAAATCGGGCCTTTCGAGTTCTCTCCCGCTTTCCGTCCATCGATCTGTCTGGGGGGGCTTCACTCTCGCTTCTTCGTGGTCTCGTCTGACGCAGCCATGACTTCTAAAATCGATAAAACGATTGCTCGGCAAAGAGAAAAGTGAGGACTTCCAGTTGCGCCGTTTCATTCAGCACAAGGAGCCGTCATGCTGACAGCCCACCTTCGCATCTAGGATCGCAGCCGGAGCCTACTACGAAGCTCACCAGCAATTACGGGTTATTGCTGCACGCTACATTAAGCAAAACAATTTCGATGCAGCCGCAGAAATATTGGCCGGTGGTGCGACAGCTCTGCTGAGAGCTGGAGCACAGCAGGGTGCCTCGGCCAGTGGTGGGGATCTAGCAATCATGCTGGTGGTGGAGGTCTACAACAAGGCAGAGTGGGGGATCTCAGAGAATGCAGATGATGGCGAGAGTCGCGCTCGTAAGAGTAAGCGTCCCGTGAAGCACAGTACACTTGCAATGTATCCATGCTAACTTGGGGGCTTCGATGATAGAGCGACTGATCGAGCTATTGCGCGAGTTCCCTTCGGACGAACCTACACGGAAGCGCTACATCCAAGAAATAATTGGCTGGAGCGGGAAATTCGGCCCTCTGGAACGGGGGGATCCTGATCTACATCATGCAGCAGGCTCGGTTTACGCAGAAGGTTGGTTGTCGACCCCGTGTTTATAGGCCCCACGTTCTGTCTAATCTTCCGCATAGATAATGACCCGTACGACGCCGAGAAGCATCTGATTCTTGGTACCTCCGAGTCGGCAGAGACGCTGGCTAAGCTCGAGTATGAGTGGTATACGCATGACGATCCTCACACCGCGGCCCTCTACGCCTCCCGTGCCATCTTTCCGTATCTCACCACCGGTAACATTCGCAGTGCGAACAAGGCCCTTCTCATTTTCACCTCCCGCCTGTCCACGGCAAACCCATCACTCGGTGTCCAAGAAGTCAGCAGCGCGAACTCGGACGTCCGGGTATACCCGGCCCTGCCGTTGCTCAACTTCCTGAGCTTGTTGCTTCTGGCCATCCAACGGGGTACAGCGGACCTTTTCCGCCAACTCACGACACACTATGCGGCCCAGATTCAGGAAATCGGTATTTGGGATGATGCTCTGGCTCAGATTGGCGAGCAGTATTTTGGCATCCAGATCCCCCGCCAAGGCAATCCACTTCTGGATATGATGGGTAGTATGTTCTTCGGTGGGCAGGACAACGCAGGCGGCCGACGGGCGGCTCCATCTAGCAGCGCAGCCAAAAAGGTTGAGGCGCCACCTTCAAACATGGAGCTCGACTAGATGTCTCACGGAGGTTACATTCAGCAGAGGAGGTTGAATATCCTCAATGAATCACATAATGACAAACGAGAGTATGCAGCAGAAGATTTAAATGTGATCACATCCGCACTTCCCTTTCTACCTCAAACATCCAGTTGTCGTCATTTAGCGAATTGGCCTTCTTGAGAAGGCTTTGGTGGACAATATCCAAAATTTCTGGGCCTGCGTCAGTAAATGAGACTAAATCAATGTTACTAGTTCGTAGCACTCTTACCATCCGGCTCACCACTTGACTGTCGATTCCGATGGCGGATCATCATATCGACCAGGGCAGCCTCGAATTCTAAGCCAGATGTGAGCCACGGGATCCCACGAGGTCCAACTATTCTCATATCATACTTTCTTTCTTCGTTTCAGACTCAGATGATTCAAAGCCCAATTCGGTCTCTTCTGTCTCATTCTCGTTCAGTTCCTCTCCCTCCTCGTTTACCAGGGCATTGCCCGGCAAGGTGGGCATATCCAGCTTATAGCCTCCATTTTTGTCCCGAACCACAATCTCTCTGTTTTCTGCCAGCCTGTTACTGCGCGAAGACGAGGACGAGTCAGAGACGGCAGGTTTTAGTCGATTCATTGGACGATTCGAAATAGCCGTGCCCATAGGTGGTACGGTGCCAGCTGGGGGGGCCTGCGGAGGCAGGACGACGGCTCAGGTTCTGGTGGAACAGATTTCGTCGTACTGAAGCCTGGTTGGAGCTCATACTGGCACGGCACGGTTGGGTGTTGGGGGTATGGAGTGGCAGAGGACGTGGAGGTGGCTGGTCGGAGGTGTTGAGGGGATGAATTCAGGAGACAGTCGGACCACAGACCATAAGCCCATAGATAGGCGGGTGTCAGGTGCAAGTCCAGAGGAGAAAGTGTCAGGCCTATCCTCCTGCGAGGTCACCTGCTAAGAATACTGCGTAGTGGAAGGATGTTTTCAGGAACAGGTGGTTGAAGACGAGGAACAACTCAGAGGGAAAAGGAAAATTGTGCTGGGATCTGGAATATGCCCATATGAACGATCCAGTCTCTGAACTAAGCAAGCACTTAAACAGCCGATAGTCTTCAGACTAGAGAGGCCTTCTTGAAGTACAGATTGGACTAAGATGTGTTGCGGTGGGTTAATCAGCAAGCCCCGATAAGCCTGGAGCTATCGCGGCTACGCGTTCCTGTTCCTCGCGTCTCCCGTGATCTCCTCCACCAAACATCACCGCCAATATGGTCCAGGCAGAGTCTTCGTCCAGTGCAAGGAAAGGTGCCAAAGCCGTCAGTGCTGGCGCCCCTACAAACTATGAACTCCCTTGGTAAGGACGGCTTGTATTCGGTTGGTTTCGACTGCTAACATTTTTGGCCCAGGGTTGAAAAGTATCGGCCCGTCTTCCTCGACGATGTGGTGGGAAACACCGAAACTATTGAGCGGCTCAAGATCATTGCCAAAGATGGAAACATGCCCCATGTGATCATATCTGGGATGCCGGGGATTGGAAAGACAACCTCCGTGCTATGCTTGGCTCGTCAATTACTTGGAGATTCGTACAAGGAGGCAGTCCTGGAATTGAATGCCAGTGATGAGCGAGGTCAGATACCCCGATGGCTGATACAATTCCATTTCATTACTAAATGACCATTATGCAGGTATCGATGTTGTCCGTAACCGGATTAAAGGCTTCGCCCAGAAGAAGGTTACCTTACCCCAAGGCCGCCATAAGCTCGTAATCCTTGATGAAGCGGACAGGTGAGTTGTTTCAAATTGTGCCAGTATCGCCCTATGTGGCTAACACCCAGGAAGCATGACTCCCGGTGCTCAGCAGGCTCTCCGACGAACCATGGAAATCTACTCATCCACCACACGTTTTGCCTTCGCTTGCAACCAGTCGAATAAGATCATTGAACCACTCCAGTCTCGCTGTGCGATTCTCCGTTATGCTCGCTTAACCGATGCCCAGGTCGTCAAGCGGCTGATGCAGATATGTGAAGCGGAGAAGGTGGAGCACTCCGAGGATGGCATCGCCGCCTTGGTTTTCAGCGCCGAGGGCGATATGCGACAAGCGATCAACAATCTGCAAAGTACCTGGTCTGGTTTTGGCTTCGTCAGCGGTGACAATGTCTTCCGTGTCGTTGACAGTCCGCATCCTGTGAAGGTTCAGGCTATGATCAAAGCCTGCTGGGAAGGCAAGGTGGATGCCGCATTGGAAACTTTGAACGAATTATGGTGAGTGCGATGTCTTTACTAGTGCCTTGACTTTCCGAGTCTAAACTTGCATAGGACCTTGGGATATTCCTCCCACGATATTATTAGCACCATGTTCCGAGTGACCAAAACAATTCCTACTCTTTCCGAGCACTCCAAGCTTGAATTCATTCGTGAAATCGGATTTACTCACATGCGCATCTTGGATGGTGTCCAATCCCTGCTCCAGCTGAGTGGCTGCGTCTCCAAGCTCTGCAAAATCAACATGAATGCTGAGCTTTTTCAACCGCCGAAGGCCTGAAGAAAAAATTAAGTAAAAAGAAGAAGAAAAGAAAAGAAAATTTTTTGCTTGGCAGCATACCCTCATGGCGTTGGTGGTCGAAATGGGATAGTTACAGTGTCTTGGGTATTTAGACCCGAATGTTATCACGAATTACGCTTTACCTTCCCTACGATGTGGACACCTTCTAATTTAGCTTGCTATCATTTCCCAGCTTGTAAGGTTTAAATGAAGCGGTATTAAGCTCTAGCTCCCAGGTGCTTTTTCCAGGCCTTCTCTACCACAAGAGCAGCCCCAAGCGCCTTTTCGTCCTCTAGCTTTTTGCCAATGATCTGCAAGCCCACGGGGTAGCCATCTACCTGGTCTGGATCATAAAGATTCCAGTTCCATTCATCATATGGATTCCTGGGCTCATAAGGCTCTGCTGGCAATCTATCCTGGTCGGCTCGGACTTGATCCACGGGGAAAGCCAACGCCGGATAATCCAAGAAGTTCCAGACCTTCATGTATCCCACCCACTGCGTTTTCCGGTGGGGAATACTCGTATGGGGGAGAGTTGGGCTCAGCAGAATATCAACGGGCTTGCCAGACGATGACCGGGCGGCATTCCATCGATCCAAATACTTCTTTTGTAGCTCGAATTTGCGCTTGTTTAGCTGCCAGTACTGGTAGATCGAGAAAGTTTTGCCGATGCCCGTGAACGCCTCGACGTGAGGAATAAAAGGCTCCCCACCAGCAGTCACTGCTCTGCGGATGTCTTCACCTCCATCGGCGATGTAGAAGCAATCCACCGTTGCATTGCACTCAGCATGGTATGTCGGGTTCCAGGGAATGACTTCATGCCCATCAGCTTCCAACACGGCTGCTAGCTCCTCCAATACCCTTGCAATAGGTGGGTGGACTCTAACCACACCATCATCGCGCATCAATCCAATGACCAAGGGCCGGGTTTGGATCTTCTGGAAAATATCCTCATTCCAGAATATGGGAGTGCAGCGAGGATCCAGGTCCCAAGGTCGGGCGTCGGTGACTAGCTTCGTGATGTGACAGATCGTGTCCAAATCTCGTGCCATTGGACCCACGACAGATGGGACGTAATCCTGGCCCTCCAAAGAAACCGGGGCTCCTTCGTAGGGGAAGCGACCGCTCTAGGGAACGTTTCAGCATGACAGACAGAGATGCGCCTATTCCATTACTTACTGAGGGTTTAAAGCCATAGATCCCCGCTAGGGCAGAAGGGATTCTCACACTGCCTCCCACATCTGTCCCAAAGCCCAGGATTGAGCCATGCAATGCCAGCAGCGCCCCCTCGCCTCCCGAAGAGCCCCCGGGATTGAGGGCAGGGTTCCGTGCATTCGTCGTGAGGCCCCAAAGAGGATTTTCTGTTTCAGCCCACTGGAGTTGGGTCAGGGAGCACAAATCAAGCGGTAGCAAGATTTTGGGGAGAGGAACCGGCTCACCATGATACTTTGGGGGAGATTTGACTTCGCAATGATGACAGCACCCAGCTCTTTCAGAATCTGAACGAGGACCGCATCTTCTTGGGCTGGAGCAAACGCCCGGCCTACATAGCCCAATGTCGTATCGGCGTCTTTGACGTTGAATTGGTCCTTGAGAGTGATGGGAATGCCATGCAAAGGACCTTTTAATTTCTGTGTTTCTTGAAACCGAGCATCCAGCTTTCTTGCTTGATCCAAGGCGTCCTCGAAGAAGACCTCAGTGAGACAGTTGGTCTGGCCACGGTTAGACGGTTAGATGAAATCTTGCGGAGATCCATTTCTGATTTCGTGCTTACGAGCTGGTGTGCTACTACGGCTCGTCGAATGTAAGCCTGGACGACATTCTCCGCAGTCAAGCCCGCTTGAATCATGTGAAGCAGCATTCTCAAGTTATCCATATCTGTAATCTCATTCCACTCAGCTTGATCCAATCGACTTCGTTCATCAACTTTGAGCGCTCGGGGCGTTCGCTGCTCGATATCGGGGACCAAATATGGCGCTAATAAACGATCCCTAGCTTCACGCTTCTGGGAGACTACTGTCTTCCACAATGTTTTGGGATGCTCATTTTGCAAGACTTGTTCTCCTGCACTTGGAAAACAAAGCAGTGGAAGCGCACAGGTGTAGCAGATTGGACGAGTATAACTGCCGGCTGGAAACAGCCCATGGCCCCTCCGGAGCAGCCATCCCCACTTCCGAACGAAGGATTTAGGGGCCGTTTGGCCGGTGAAAGTCCATTTGCCAGACCAAGCAGTCGTAGACTGCTGAACATGATAGACTAAATTTCATACGAATCAAATCCAAAGGATGTATCTCGTCGGAGGCCAGGTAATGATATAGTGGAGCTTTACCCTTTCGAACACGGTCAGTATGAACGACAAGGACAAGCTCACGGCCCATGCTTTAATTTGGCACTGGCCAGTCGGTGAAAGGCCCACGGGCATGAGAAAAGCCTGGATGATGCCCAGGGCCAGATCGACCAGTCGATAAGACTCGATTTAACTGAGAAGCTTTCTAAGGTTAGTAGGGCCGCGGGACTGGGCGGGGAATTCCAAGGTGGGTCGGAGATCTTCGACCTCCAACCTCCTCCAAGTTCGCGCAGCCAAGCCATCCAGGCCATGGACGAGACGGGGTCGAATCCAACAGGAGCGACCGCGTCTGCAATTCGCCGCAGCAAGGCGCCTGGGGTCATCGCCAAGCGCGCATGCGATCAGTGCAAGTTTCGCAAGATCAAGGTAAGAGAGCCGGCCCGCTGGCCAACGCGCGCTAATCCGCTAATCCGCCTACAGTGCAGCTTATCCCAACCATGCAAGGCCTGCCAGTCAATGGGCTTTGAATGCACTTTTCTTCAGCCGCAGAAGAAGCGCGGACCTACGGGACAGTAGGTTACAATACTCCCCTTCCCCCCGACCTTCACCGATCTATTGACACCCGTTAGTCGCGTGTCGCAGATAAGACAGCAGCAGACGAATATCGTCTCTAAACCCCCCCAAGAATCCTCCTCCGTGAAACAGGAGACTTTCCATTACCATGTCCCCACGACCTCCGGGGAGAGTGCCCCGTCTAGTTCTATGGCAGGGTCATCGTGGGCAGCGCAAGAGATGCCCATGCCCGTGAATAGTGCGACAATTGCTGCCCCCACCGGCCAACCTGCGGTAATGAACACCTGGGCCACGGAGAACGCGCCTCAGGGACCAACCCAAATGAGCTGGAGTGATCGCCAAGACGCTGAATATTGGCTCCCGGACCACCTGGGCGCCCAAGTTCCAGTATTCGAATTCCCAGGAAGCAACATATACCTGAAGCCATCACTGCCCTCCATTATCCAGCCAGTGCAGGATGTTTCGGCTACTAGTATGAACATGCCTGTGCAGGATCACCAGGTCATGCCCTTCTCCCCCGCTGTGGGCCCTTCCTCTGTCGGGTCCATTCCATCCGAATACCAGGAGCCCGAAGAATTTTGGCCATCCTCGATTAATGAAGCGAATATGATCCCATGGATAGACGTATATTTCGACCGGTTACATCCAACAGTGCCTGTTCTGAGCCGATCTTCTTTATTTACTCGCATGATCTGCCAGGAGCATCGCAAGAACCCTCAATTCGGCGCCATGCTCCTGTCTCTATGTGCATTTTCCTTGACCCAGCCGATCGAGATCAATGAGCGGCCGACTGCATCTCGTGCGTCACAAGCGCGGACCATGATGCATGAGGCGACCAAAATGCGGAGCTGTTCTGACTTCGGAGAGAACCCGACAATCGAGGCAGTATTGACGAGCTTTTTCCTCTTTGGATGCCTCTTTGGAAGCAACCAGCATAATGCTGCATGGCTTCGGCTTCGAGAAGCCCTGGATCTAGCTTCGACCTTGGGCTTGAATGATCCGCTCTCATACCGTGACCTCTCCGGAGAAGAGAAAGGCCAACGGTTAAGGACATATCTGGTATTATCGATTACTGAAAGGTTAGTCTCGGTTGTGTAAAGTCGCCTCTCATTTGCGCCAAGCTAACTTTGTCTTAAGAGCATATGCACTTCAACGATGGCATCCCGTGACATTCTCCGGCAAGCCTGGATTCAGCATGCGATCTGTGCATGAGTTCCTCCACAATGCGACCCATAGCCTAGTCTCTGGAATCATCGTACACAATGAAAAAGACGCAGAAGGAATGATGGGCCTTGCACGGTTGATGGAACTCTTTGATGCCATTGACGAGGATTTCATCAATTGCTGGAATCGGCGGTGCGACATCGACAGTGGATTCTGCCAGAAATTCACCGAGGCCAAGGCCCTATCGATGCATAACAGCCTTGAGCGGATCACCCAGGCCGAGCGTTACAAAGGATATGACTGGTTCGAACGTGCCAAAGTGGACGGCAATAACGACAATAATGCCTTGCTGGCCATGGGCTTACGCGAGACGCAAGCTGCAGACGTATTCATCACCCAAAAATGGGTGCATAATCGAGTCTGGCTCTTGTGTCTCAATCACGGCATTTTACGGTCTCATTCCGATCGGCCTGAGCTGACCTTTGGGTACGCCGTAACCGTTGCAGAATCCGCTCTTCAGATATGTCGCTCCCTTCGCCTAAGCTCCATGGAAGCACACGGCATAGGTTTTGTATGGTCTCCCCGACCCCCTTTCCAAGATCTCTCAAGAGACGATATGAGGGCTCTGGATTCGATGTTGCACATTGCTAATTCCTTCTGCAGACCGAGAAGATATATGATATTGCTGTTGGGGCAACGGACATACTCTGCAATATTAGTCCGCCTTACGGCAATGGAGTTACGCCCTTGGGTAACTTTACCGAAGCTCTATCCAGCACATCGACTCCACAGGCTATGGCGGAGGATTTTCTGTTATTGATGAGCAGCTTCCGTGGCGGAAGCCATCCTTTTTTGGAGAAGTACAAAGCCCACTTGCGCTCGCTACATATTCCGGGCTGGGCTTAAGAAACGATCGATGAAGGTTCTTTGATGCTTTTTCTCTTCTTGACGTTCACGTGTGTAAATACTATACGGTATAGGCTGGCGTTGTAAACTCATTGGGGTCATACTAGTATGCGAATACAAACCTACCGAGGTCCCTACCTAGGTAGTAGGAACCCGCTTCGAGTTGTGTTGGATGATGGCTTACCCGTGTGATTTGGGAATTTCATCAAACACCCAGCCCGTCCCACACCTCGGCATGCACGAGTGTTGATGGCGTGTGATCGTCTTGATAACTCGATTTTGCAAAGTACCGAATGCCGTAGAGCCGGTCTGAAGGATAGTAAACACGGGTGCAGATGACCGTCCGGCTGTTCACGAAGACTTCTAGCACGCTTTTGTCGAAGAAGGCGTGGATTTGAAGTCTTTCTTCAGTAGCCGTACCTTGGTCGTCCACAAGGGTAAAGAGAGTATGTGGGGCTGATTCGCGCCCGTGATTGATGTCGGGATTCTGAAGCGCCGGTCTATCAATAATGAACGTTTCGCTTTGGGGATCCCACGAAAGCGTGGTGCGATGCTCGAAGTCTAGAGTCCAACCGATTAGCTGCTTTCAAGAGGGACGTTAACTTTGAAATCATAACGGAAAACACTTACCGCTGCTGTGTGCAATTTCAATGCCTACTCTGCTGCATGACCGTGCAACCGAAAATTCGGTAACAAATTCACAGCGATTCGTACTCAAAGACAATGATACTCCAGGATATGCAACGTCTGGCTTGAGAGCCAAGTCCGAGATCTTGCTATGCAAAGCAGTCTGTCGAAGCCGGGAAAGCCGGCCGTCAGGGCTTATTCCCAAGGTATGTAGAGTGTATGTGTTTCCGGAGGCCTCTGGGACTGAGTTCGACAGAAGTGATTGATGTGAGCGGAGAGCGGCGGGCGTGCTTAACCTGGCGGAGTGTCGCGAGGCGCAACACACGAGGTAATGAGATCATGCCGCTCCACCCCTGCTTATGTCGAAGGCCATCGGGCAGGTCCTCCTCTGTGATCCAGCCATAGACAATCCGCTGCGAGGTCTCAGGGTCCCAGAAGGAACTGGCGGCATAAAGGCACCCGTGATCAAAAATTCCAGAGAAGGAGTATGTTGCAAGCGCTTCATCCGCCGTGGTGGTATCCGGAGATGGATTGATAGACATCCACATCTGCCCTCGAGGCGTTCGTCGACTGCGAGCATCTGGAACGCTCGATTCTGATGTCGAAGGCAAACAACCTTCTGCACAGATGACGAGGAATTCGCGGGTCTCGCCTGAATCATTGCACAGAGTCACTAAGTTGGCGACTTCCCAATTCACACCCAAATCACCGGACCAGCGGGAGGGTCGAAAATTAAGATCGACATCGACCAAGAGACCAACATACTGCCATTGCCGAAGATCCTCCGGGGATATCGTATAAACAAAGACAGCGGGCTTTTTACCCGAGATCCCACCGCAGAGAAACCCATACAGTTGCGGGGGATCCGTCTGGGACGCTGAGGGTTGTCCTCGAGCCCAAGTAGTGACAAAGGGATCTCGCCATCCAGTCACTGATAAGTGGGAAGGCGGCCCTGGAAGGATCGGGTTGCAATCTTGCCGTTTCCACGTCTTACCACCGTCTATGGAGCAGACTAACCCCAGCGATTCACAGCCAGCCACATATGGCAGAGTGTAGTGTATTGGAAGATGACTGACAGAAGTATATATAGCCGTCAGAGAGCCCGGATTCCCCTGTATGTCTGTTGGACGTAGACAACCTGTAAATACACCATGACTGTCATACTCTGCAGAGGGGGTTAAAGCCGGAGTTTGATCCTGGTTCCACGAGACGAGATCGGTTGACGTTGCGTGTCCCCAGGACATATTGCCCCAATCGTTCCCATAGGGATTCCATTGGAAGAACAGGTGGTATAGTCCCGTGGCCGGATCATAGCCCAGCCCGCAAGGGTCGTTCAACCATCCATGGGGAGCAATAAGATGAAATGAAGGCTTGGTTGCTAAGATCCTTTCTTGCTCTTTGGGATCTGATGGGAGTCGAAGATTCGTCGAAGCACATGGGTGCACTTGGTGTAGCAACATGTCAGTACTATCTGGCGTGCCGAGAAAGAGTGACATGGCCAGTTCACCGGAGAAAATTCCCGGGAGAAGAATCTCAAGAAACGCAAGCCATCGAAGCCACGCTATCCGCCACTTGATATAAGGGCAGGATCGTCCCTTGAATAGCCTGAACTCGAAAGAGGGGGCAAAGAATCGGAGAAACTCATGGCCTATGACGGCATCGGGAATTAGTCTGCAAAACGCTTCGGCGCGAAAGAAAGATCAGCTTAGGAAGGAGTTTAGGAGTTTCTCCGACGTCTCCCATATGGCCCAAGATTTTCGGCAGTAAGCTCGGCACGAGCTCCGCGTCTGTGGCGGCGGATCTTCGGCGAAACTTCTCTTGCGAGTGGACAACCCACGGAGTAAATCCTCGGATTTGACTTATGGGGCCTATGTGATATGCAGATCGCGGCTTTTCTGCATTCTGGACGAGGCTGCTCGAAACTGCTTGCGAACAGAGAGGCTCAACGGTGATGAGAGGCTCGACAGACATGGGATTCTCAATTGGGAAACCTCGGCGAATCCGACGGTCTTAGTCAAAGACCACTTGTCTTTCGACCACTGAAAGTCCTCGGTCATAAAATCTGGGGTAAGTCTATGCCGTGTTTACATCGATCTCCACGGGGAAAAACGCGTTGATCTCGCCTGTATCCCCGCAATGATCTTCAGTACCGGCGGTGAATGTATATAAGCCGCGTCGATGAGGGCGGACTCCTGGGTGGTCAGGATTTTCACCACGATCTGCAGCGTCATGAAGTCTGGGGAGGAGAAGGCCGACTCCACCGAAGTCGAGTGCATCCAACGTCCCAGTCGACAGAAGAGCGCTGTCAACCTGCTGCTTATTCTGGCATGTGTCGTCTTCGGTGCAGCCTCTTTCATGTTTGGATATGATGATAAAGTCATCTCACCCATCATTGCCCTGCCTGCCTTTGTGAGTCGCTTGAACATCACACAGACAGAGCATGGCCAAGCTGACCCATTTTTCAGGTTGAAAAGTTCCAGGGAGTAGGCTTGAATGGAATCAAGATTCTGTCTGCACGCAATCAGACGCTGGTGATTTCGCTACCCCTAGTGGGCGATGTCATCGGGGGTTTGGTGGCTTCGCCTTTGACCTATCGCTTTGGCCGAAAATGGCCACTGGTGGTAGCATATCTGGTCTCAGTGGGAGGAGGGCTCCTTCAAGTCTTTGCACCGAACCTGGGGGCCTTCGTAGCGGGTCGGGCGTTGAATGGAGTAGCCATTGGGGTGGCCATCACAACGGCGCCCCTATATCTGTCTGAGGTCAGGACTGCGCACAGAGACTTCCGTTCCTTTCCCTTGTGAATCTAACAGAAGAAACAGGTCGTCCCTGCATCTATACGAGGGAGAAGCGTCAGCTCTATCAATATCTTCAACTTAGTCGCTGGGGTCATTGGCACAATCGTGGTTTGGGGAACAAAAAGCCGCAAGGGCACATCGTCTTACCAGATCCCTCTTTCTGTACAGTGCGCTATCCCTGTTGTTCTCATTATCTTCACGCTCCCAATCCCCGAAAGCCCGGAATGGCTTGTTGGAAAAGGACAAATGGAACAAGCTCGAAAGAACCTTCGGAAACTCCGTGGCTCCAGCGACGAGCAGGTCGAGGATGAACTGCGGCTGATGATACTTCGCGAGGAGAAAAATCGAGAACTACGCGCCAATGTTAGGTTCTGGCATATTTTCAAGCGAGATCATCTTCAACGAACTTTGGTCGCAGGCTCATTCTACTCTTTAAACCAAATCTCCGGCATTATTCTGTCCACGACATACACGACGATCTTTCTCTCCCAGATTGGAGTCGCCGACGTCTTTTCATTGACCATTATAGCATCTTGCTGTACTTTGGCAGGCACAATTGCAGCCCCCCTCGTCATCGACCGTGCTGGACGACGTCCAACGGCATTTGTTGGAATGGGGGTTCTTCTTGTGATCGACACGGTTGCTGGCAGCCTTGCCTTCTATACGGAAAACAAGCATGCGACGGTAGCTATTGCGGCGTTGTCATTTATCTTCAACTTCTTTTGGGCTTCTTCTTTCTACTCACTATCCAATGTCATGCCTACAGAGATGGCAACGCCCAAACTCCGTCACTTTATCATGTCTTATACGATCGCCTGCCAGGGAATTACTGCAGTGATAACCACTCTCGTGGTGCCACACCTGACCTCGGCAGATGCCGCAAATCTTGGAGCAAAAACCTATCTTGTTTTCGCCGGCTGTATGGCCGGCATCCTGATATGGGTGTATTTCTTGATGCCAGAAACGCGTGGGCGAACATTCGCCGAGATTGATGAGATGTACGCCGCCAAAGTTCCGGCATGGAAGTGGCGATCCTATCAAACGAAGGAACAAACGAAGACCAGCGAATCAAGGAATCGGGCAGACGCTGTAAAAGACGCTCCAAATACTACCTGATATACACCAGGCATAAGACAACAGAAGTCTATCAAAAAGATCAAGGGATGAAGAATGTTATTTTCTGTACAAATGATCCGGCACCATTCCAATAAAAAGACAACTTTTTCCTCTAGCCTCTCAGCTGCACCTTTGTATTCTACAGTATGAACCAAACGCTCGGGTATCACGTCAAAAAACGCCGGATTTGACTCAAGGGGAGCATCTATGCTGCAATAGCGTTCTTGACCCACTTCTCCAGACCACCCTTGGCGATGATCTCTTGAACGTTGGGAGGCAACTCACCGACCTTGTGAGTCCACTTAGGGCCGTTTTCGCCCTCCTGAATCTCGATCTGGCTACGGCGAACGTCCCAAGTAAGAGTCCAGCCAGTCCGGCGGGTCAAGGTCTTGTCGCCAAAGGTCTCACGCAGACGGCTGACCAAGCGGGGAACCTCCAACCCCATCAGCGCGTTGTTAATGCTGTTTCGCGAGAAGATGTTTCCAAAGCTACCAGCCACCACCAAGGGGATCTCCTTGGCCAGAATGGCAGTAGCAGCTTGCTCACGAGAGCTACCACATCCGAAGTTGAAACCAGTCACCAGAATGTCTCCCTTCTTAGCGACGGAAGAGAATTCAGTGTCATAGTTCTCCATGCAGACTTGAGCCATGGTCTCCACGGATACATTGTCCTGGTAAGTGTATTTACCAGGGTAGATACCATCAGTATTGATGTTATCAGCATCACAGAACACAATCTCTCCAGAAACCCGCTCGGGGAAACCAGGGTAAAGTTCAGTCAAAGCATCATCTGAAGAGGCGGCTCCTTCAGCGGTAGTTTCAGGGAAGAACTCCTTTTCTCCGTCAGCGACAAGGTCATCCATCTGTCCGAGAAGTTTCTCAAGAGCCTCCTCAGTGGTAAGCATGCGGTCGGCTTCTTGGATACCATCGCCCTCGCCGCATTGAACGCCAGTCCAACCCTCGGGAGTCTCATACCAGCCAGGACCCGAAAGTTTTCCGGTAAGCGCACTTGCTGCGACTACTTCAGGGCTGGCCAGATAAGCGCGAGCATCAGTAGAGCCCATACGACCTGAGTTGGAGTTAGCGATCCAGTCAGCCTCAAGAGTGGACAAAACCAGCGGGTAAACTTACCCTTGAAGTTACGGTTCGAGGCACTGACACCAACCTCGCCAGGCTCAAGTAATCCCTATGATTTGGGTCAGTCTTCAATGATCTCTAGCATCAAGGCTTGTGGGACTTACAGTTCCCAAGCCGATACAAGGACCGCAACCCGCAGGTAAGGTAGTCGCGCCGGCATCTAATAGGACTTGCCAGTCACCGGCTTCTTCAGCTGCGAGTTGCTCGGGGATAGAAGCTGCAGCAATGTAGAACTTGACACCATCCGCAATCTTCGGGACCTTGCCATCGTTCTTTTCTGCCGCCTCCCTGAAGACGCGAGCCGCCGCCGCAATATCAGAAGCACGGGAGTTAGTACATGACACGAGGTAAGCCTTGTCAACCTTGATGTTTTCGGCTTCCAGTTCCTTCAGAGGTGTCGTGACCTTGACTGAATTTGGCCCAGCGACATAGGGAGAAAGCGAAGACAAATCCAAGTACAACTCCTTGGCATACTTGGCTCCCTTGTCAGCAGTCAGAGGGTTGGCAAAAAGCTCCTCGATAATCGGATGAGTGAAATGCTTAGCAGCAAGGGTCTTGAAAGGACCCTCAGCCAGACCCATAGCAGCCGTGGTAGCCTTGGCTTTCAGCCAACCCTTAAGCACACCGTCCATAGGGAACAATCCGGACAACGCACCCCACTCGGTGGTCATGTTGGCAATAGTGAATCGATAGTCTACGGGCAAGCTTCGCATGGTCTCCTCAGATCCAGTGAATTCGATGGCATGGTTCAAAACATCATCCTTGTTGAACAGACCGCAAAGGGCGACAATCACGTCCTTGCCAGTGACTCCAGCTGGTAAGACACCGGTGAAAGTGACTTTGGCAATTGGTGGAACCTGCCACCATGTACGCCCCGTGCTCCAAACACTGGCAGCGTCAGTTCGCACAATAGGTGTACCCAGACAACCAATGCCACCATAATGGTTCGAATGACTGTCCGACGCGACGCAAAGGGTTCCGGGGAAAGCAAATCCCTCCTCGGCCATGATTTGGTGACCAATACCACGACCAGCAGGGTAAAATTCAACGCCATGCATCTTGGCAAACTCCTCGATCTGCTGGTACTTCTGCAGGTTCTTTTCCGACTTGTTTTGCACGTCATGGTCGAGGGTCATGACAATCTGCTTAGGGTCATGCAGCTTGGAAGCTCCGATAGACATGAATTTCAAGGCTACCGGCCAAGTGTTGTCGTGTGTCATGCATCGGTGTGGAGAAATGGTGACATAGTCGCCAGCCTTGACAATCTTATCCTTGGCCAGACCAACGGAGTATTTCTGGACGATTTTCTCGGTCAACGTCTGCGGGGTTTTAGCTGTCTGCAATGACGCAAGGACTGAGGCAGTTGCAGGATCTTCGAGCTGTGAGTGGAAGGCTTGCGAAAGGAAAATTCGCGAGGTTGTCAGGGTTCGGCGCAATGAAGGGCAGCGTAAAGAGGCCCAACGCCGGCCAGAACTGGCTGACGGCATTAATCGAGACTGTATGACGTTGCCCAGTTAGTACAATGCACTTGGAGGAATCGAATTTCGGAAAAGAACGTACAGTCATGGTGGTCACCCCTACACAACCTTTGCAAGAACGCAAGTCAAGAAAACCGTCCGCAGACCGGCAAATGAACGGCCGCGCATATTTGAGATCTGACTCATCGATGCTGCGATTGGCTGTTGGAGAGCCCACGTAACAAACACAGCAAACATTTATACGAGTAAATCACATGATTATATGTTAATCATCGCATCTTCTGCCGATGTCGGCGCTTCGATTAGCCAGAAACTGAAGTAGAGGGAAAGTCAAGCATGTCAGATGATTGAATGAGAACAGCAGTTTGAGTGTTAACTTGAGGGTGAACAAATGAAGTGAACCCGATACAAGTCAATAGTCAGCACGATAAATTAGTCTGCGATTGCCTGATCCATTTCAAACCATCTGCCACCAAAGATCAACATCTTCATCAAGATGTAGATGGCGGGGTTGATCTAGAATCTGCTCATCGCGCTTGTAACATGCTAGGATCAAAAGTGACTATGAACACCTCGTACACAGCAAACTCGTATCTTATTCGAGGCCCCGGAAATCATCTTGCTGTTGAATTTTTGAATTATGCAAATGCTATGGCTGGAATCAAGTTTGTTATATGATACCCCGCTCCTCCTACAGCGACTGATCGCTTCCGCTCATTGTAATAAGAATCGAAACATCTTACGTTGACAATTCAAAGTAGCGCTACTTAGAGCAAAGGATACATCATTACCAAATACATGATGTCGCGGGAATTGACTCAAGCATGCGATGACTCTTAGAGTTGATCCGCCCGTCGCGATCCACACTTGATTAATTTTCCCCCTCCGTCCTTTCCTTCTTTCCTTATACTTACAAAGTCAACACCCTTTTTTTTGCGCCTCAAGGCCCTTCCAAAATGCCATCTCGGCAAGAAGTCTCCTACTTTGGAGCTGGGCCAGCTCCTCTGCCCACCCCCGTTGTTGAGGCAGGCGCAAAGGCATTCGTTAATTTCAACGACTCCGGACTCGGTCTCGGGGAGATCTCGCACCGTTCACCGACCGCAAATAAGATCCTCGATGAGGCCAAGGCGAACCTGACTGCCCTCCTCGATATCCCGGATAACTATGAGATCCTGTTCATGCAGGGTGGTGGAAGTGGAGAGTTCAGTGCTGTCGTGCACAACCTAGTGTCGGTCTGGATCAAGCGCCGCCGTCGCAGAGCAGAGGCCGAACTTGTGAAGACGAATCCAGGTGCTGAGAAGGCTCAAGTGGACGAGCAGGTTTTCCAGAGACTGCAGAAAGAGGTCGATGAGGAATTGAAGCTGGACTATCTCGTTACCGGATCCTGGTCACTCAAGGCCTCCCAGGAAGCTGCGCGACTAGTCGGCTCCAAGTATGTCAACGTTGCCCTCGATGCTCGAAAGAGCAACGGAGGAAAGTTCGGTACAATCCCTGCGGAAGATACTTGGTCATTGACCCCAACCAAGCGCGAAGGCGGAAAGGGCTCAGCATTTGTCTACTTCTGCGACAATGAAACCGTCGATGGTGTGGAGTTCCAGAGCTTCCCCAAGGCACTAGAAGCACAGGGTCAGGATGAGGAAGACGAGCGTCTTGTAGTGGCTGACATGAGCTCCAATTTCATTAGCCGCAAGGTGGATGTTCATAAATACGCTGTGATCTTTGTAAGTTGGGAAACGACTCGAAGCCGCAGGCAAAGTGGCTAATAAATATTTCTAGGGCGGCGCGCAAAAGAACATTGGTGTTACCGGAATCACCATTGCCATCGTTCGCAAGGATCTGCTCCCTCCTCACACTGCGACTCCTCCGGCTACTCTCCTGCATCGACTCAACATTGGTGGCTTGCCTGGTCCTGTGGTATTTGACTATGCCACTATTGCCAAAAATAACTCTCTTTATAACACTCTCCCGATCTTCAACCTTTGGATCGCGGGCCAAGTCATGGCTGATCTAGTTGGTGCTTTCGGGGCACAAAAGGTCAGCGGGCAGGAAGCTATCGCCGACCAGAAGGCTCAGCTTATCTACGGCGCCTTGGATAAGTATCCAGGTGTGTACCGTGTTGTCCCCGATAAGCGTGTTCGCAGCCGTATGAACATCTGCTTCCGCATTTGTGGCGGAGATGATACGAAGGAGAAGGAGTTCTTGGCTGGTGCAGAAAAGCAGTTGCTTCAAGGTCTGAAGGGTCATCGTAGCGTTGGTGGAATCCGCGCTAGTAATTACAACGCTGTCCCTCTGGAGAACGTCCAAAAGCTGGTGCAGTACCTTGAGTCCTTTGCGACGGAGCAGTAGGCGGTTGGAATGGACTATGCTCATTATTATTAAAAACGGGCCCGAGTTTAACCTATGACTCTTCTTATCATTAAAACAAGAACAGCAGAGGATTTGCATGACAACAATCAAGGTACCTTCCAGTGTTCAACATAACTCCATGGTATATTCCAAATGCGATGTACAGACAGGAGAGCACAAAATTTGGTGATACAGGCGACCAAGAACGATCAAAGTTTCCACACAGCCCATCCTTTGAGGTCCAAATCTCTTATAATTCCTTGAACAGGACCCTGGAGCTCCTGCCCTTGGGCCCAAATTTTTGGCCCGGCCATATAACTGATGAATCCTGCTGGCCCTGACACCAGGATCAGGTTCCCTTTGCGGGAACCATCCGAGGGTGGCCGTGTTTTCACGAAATTTGCAATATGCTTCTTACTAATAAAATGGTTATCTTCATCCAAAAAATAATCCACAGTGACTTGGCCGGGGTACTGTGATTTGAGCCCCTCCAATTCCTTCACAATTAGAGACTTTGCGGGGTTCGGTGCGTTCGATACTGGCCCAATGGACGGACTGTTGTTTCCAGAGCTGAACCAACCTGAGAACCAGGATTTTTGCGACACCGGAGCCTCAGGAGTATCGCTTTCACCGCCGAGAGCATCCTCTCGTCGCCGACTAGCCCAAAGGATGTGTATCTTCGGTTGGTGGTTCTCCGTTGTGCGGCTCAACAAGCAGTGACCAGCCTGCAATGCCGGGGCAATGCCCGTGCCTCCAGCAATGAACAAGACGTCCTGAGTTTCATCCGGAATAGCAAATTCAATTTTGGGACCTCGCATCTCAATATCAGATCCGATCTTCAAGTTGTGGAGGTACCGGGTAACCTCCCCAAATGGATCCTTCCTTATAAAAAAGCGGAGGTACCCTTCGTTCTCTTCGTCCACGGTCAATGGCGTCGCTGATGTCACTGGTAGAGGTGTATAGTCGCGACCAATCTGCAACTGGGGCTGCTTGAACATCACACTCCATATCCCTGTGCGCCAGGCGTTCTCGTAGACATCGTAATTACCACCACTCGGTATCCGCGGTCGAAGGGTGAAGAGACTGCTAGTAGCCGAGACGGACTCCCTGGACACAAGGCTATACTTGGTGAACGTCTCCTGGTTCAGGGTAGCAGACCCGGGGTCTTGCGACCGAATGTACGCGCCAGCTACTCCAGCCGCAGCAGTCACGAGAGCAATCCCAAGCCAGCGATTTCTCCGGGGAGCTGGAGCGGGGGAGTCCGCTTTGGAGGTTGAGGTCGATGCATAGCGAGAGCGAACTGTTACCCGTAGATTCCGGCTACGGGTGCCGTACGAGGGAATGGTCGGTCTCATGGGTTAGAGGGGAAGTTGAATGTGCATTGTTCTTCAGGGCGGATTAACAAGTTACGCGGGGGAATTGCAGAAACGGGCACGCCGATTGGATCAAACTCTTGAATCAACCTTTTCCCCCTTGGTCTATCGCGAACTCTCAGGCTTGCGTCTTGAACCTTTCACCCACCCTGGGATTGTTTGAAGAGAGATGGAGAGCCGTGTCCGTTTGCTTTGACCTCACCCAAGTCCTTCATCTAAATCGAGGCTCGTTCTCCCTGAGGATTCGAGTGTCCCAACATAAAAAAAAAAACAACACTCTCTCCTGGCCAGACAACGAGAATGTCGAGTGCATTCGGCCACGAAACCAGAAATGGAAACCTTGCTGCCCGCGTGACTCATTAGAACTCGCTTCGCTTGCTTCCTCATCGCCTGTTTCCGTAGGTGGCTCGTCGCGTTCATCGTCCCCGGACGGCGTCTCGTCCTCCCGCAAGCTCTCGCTCGAAGACGACGATCCTCTCGCCGGGAATGCAAACGATGTCTATCTCGAAGCTGGCCGCCAGCGTAATCTCCGCTCATATTCGATTTCCTCTGCCTTCGATTTCGGTGGCAACCTCTTCCCGCTCTCCCAAACACAAGCCGGCTACGCCCCCCTCGGAACTCCGTCTGCACTCGATCGACAAGGGGTGGATGGCTCGTTAGAACGCAACAAAACGCTGACGTACCTCAATGGGTTGTCTCTGATCGTCGGATTGATTATCGGCTCCGGCATCTTCTCTTCCCCTAGCCAGGTGAATGCGAACGCAGGCTCCCCAGGTGCATCCTTGATTGTATGGGGGATAGCCGGGCTGCTGGCGTGGACCGGGGCGGCGAGCTACGCAGAACTGGGTGGAGCAATCCCGTTGAATGGGGGTGCTCAGGTGTATTTGTCTAAAATCTTTGGAGAACTCCCTGGCTTCCTTTTCACATGGTGTGCGGTTTTAGTTCTCAAGCCTGGGTCTGCGGCGATTATAGCAATCATATTCGGCGAATACGTGGTGCGGGCATTTGTTGGGGCAGACACCGAGTCGGTTAGTCCGTGGATAAACAAGGCAGTCGCCTTTGGAGGGCTGCTTCTCGTCACGCTGTTCAACTGCATCTCGACGAAGATCGGTACTCGAATTGGAGATCTGTTCATGTTCTTCAAGTTCATCGCACTGCTGGGTGTCACGATCATTGGGATCGTGGTTGCAATCACCGGATTCTCGTCCAAAGGGAGCGCCAGCGAGGAATGGAAAACCCAGGGCTGGTTCCAGGGCACCAATACAGAGATCTCGGACTTCGCAGTGGCATTGTATGCGGGACTGTGGGCATTTGATGGCTGGGACAATGTGAGTATCGGCTTGCTTGTATGTGCGTCTATGGAAGGACCATTGCTGACGACTTCTTCGAGACCAACTATGTCACCGGCGAATTCAAAAACCCCAATCGCGATTTGCCCGCGTGATCCACACGGCAATGCCCTTGGTCATCTTATCCTATTTACTAGCCAATGTCTCGTATTTCCTGGTCTTGCCTCACGACGTCATTGAATCGAGCAACACGATTGCTGTGCAGTTTGGGGCGAAAGTCTTTGGCCGTGTCGGGGCTCTGATCCTCGCGCTCGTGGTGTCAGCCAGTTGCTTTGGCTCCCTGAACGCCACGACGTTCACCAGCGGACGGCTTGTATATGCAGCAGGCAAGGAGGGCTATTTACCATCGATCTTCGGCCGGATTGGTATCCACGCCACTCCGTCTCAGGCTCCGGGCGGTGGTGGTCGTTTACACCGTCGCTCATGGGCTCGCCAGTCTCTTCCAGATTCTTGGGCGATGACTCTCGATTCGGCTTCACCCCTATATACGCCATGGCCCTGAACGCCAGCATGACCACCATCTATATCATCGTTGGTGAATTCGGCACTCTCGTGACCTTCTATGGAGTGGCAGGCTATACTTTCTATTTTGTCACAGTGCTCGGCCTGATTGTGCTGCGAATCCGTGAGCCCCACCTGGAACGCCCCTACCGCACGTGGATCACGACCCCTATTATCTTTTGCTGTGTGAGCTTGTTTCTGTTGAGTCGGGCAGTCATTGCGGAGCCCCTTCAGACACTTATTGTTGTTGCATTCATCCTCACGGGAATTCCCGTGTACTACTGGCGCATTTTCAAGCGAGATGGTCAAGTTGCGCTCTCAGGCTGGAAATTCTGGAAATGGCGCTCGCGATAGATGACGGCCAACGGCCTCGAGCCCCCCCCCAGCTCCAGGCCTAGAGGGCTGCTGTTTGCTTATGATATTTGATACCCATGCATATGAACCAGGTGTAGGAAGAGAATGCCGGTCTTCCCTTCTACTTCCATTCAGTGCGCTTGTTGGGATTGGTTGTACAGCCTGTAAATGGCGTATGATGTGATGAGGATCTGAGCTTTGATTTTTTCTTCTTTTTCTGTTTTATTAAGCCCTGGTTTAGAGGCCATACATAGTAATTTTCTAATACAAAATCCCTTGCCAATCCAACAGTCCCTATGGGCCGCAGAAGGCCCCGGGGGGGGGGGCTCAGGTTTGACAACAATCCAGTCTTTCCATCACGTACGAACCACTTCCCTTTGCTCTAGCTTGTTTCCTCCGCCTATTGCCAGTCTTTGCCCTCGCGCACTGTATTCGAAGGGGAAACATTGTGGTAACCCGCGTGCAGCTTTCCTCCCATCATCTTTGGAACAACATTAGCCACTGTGACGCCTGGTCCTTTCCTCGTCACCATCTTCTCCACGCACTACTTTCGCCTTGCCACCTCGCGAGGCGAGGCTTCTCACAACCTCAGTGGCTCTATACCTGGAGTCCTCCTTCTAACCAACGATAGTCGGCCCCCCCCTCCCCTCGCAAGCCGGAACCATCGAGTGCCGCCAAGGGAAACAATATGGAGAACCATCAAGGCATCTGGGGTGGATACGTCGATGTCGTGCGAGGCTTGTATTGGTGTCGCATCTGTGCCAAATTCTTCGACAGTAAGGCGAAAGCACGGGAACACTGTCGCAGCACTACCAAGCACGTATGGTGCGATGAGTGCGAGCGAATCTTTGTCTCCGCCGAGTCTTTGGAGGACCACCGTCGACATGCGATAGTCCACCAGCACATCTGTAAGGACTGTCAGCGAGCCTTCCCATCGACACAGGCTCTCCGGCAGCATTACGAATACTCCTCGGCGCACCACATCTGCTTCTATTGCGACAATTGGCCCGACTTCCACGCCGTTTCCAGCCTCGATGACCATCTGCTGAAGGTACATTTCTACTGTTTTGACTGCGGCACCACCCGTGCTTCTCAATACGCCCTGAACGAGCATGCGGTGGCCGAGCACCACGGTTGTGAGATCTGCTTCAAGACCTTCTGGTCTGACGGGGCGCGCAAGGTTGTAGGTGACCACAGCGCTTCACCTCCATCTCTGAAGCACCCACTGATCCGCAGAACCAGCATATGAAAACGCACGACGAACGCGTATACCGGTGCAAGACGTGCCACACGCGCGCATTCACCAACTTCTCGCACCTTCTGCTCCATCTGGAACGCAGCCTCTGTGGGCCATACAATCGAGTCAAGCTGATGTCCTTGGAACTGCCATCCCGGCGCGACTTCTACGATGCGCGCAAGATACAGCCGTGGTGTTGCAAGAACTGCAATCGGTCTTTCGAATCCCCGTCCGCCCTGTTCGCCCATTCGAATGATAGCCAGGTTTGCAAGAACCTCCTAGAGGAAGGACAATGTCTCGCGGTGCTAAAAGCGCACCTAATGAGGCACTTCGTGACTCAGTCAGGCCCGCCGCGAGCCAACCAATCACGATGAACACAAAGGGGGGTGTTCGATCACAGTGTCTTATTGCCGGCACCGGCTGAGAGTGGGTTGTGAAACAATTTCGAGATTGTCCACTCTGCGGCGTTTTTTTAAGAGAGATGGGAATATGGTGACACCGGTGATCGGGCGGTGCATACGAGAGCTTGGTAGCGTGACATCGGGATGAGGATGCGAGGTTGCGAGGTTGCGATGTCGCAAGGTCGGGGACTCTTTCGGGTTGTGGCGCCTGAAGAACCTGAAGCTGAATTCCAATGTGTTTTGTATCTTTTTTTTTTTTGTCTCCTGACTTTTCCAATCTCCGTTCTGGCTGATCTGAATCCATCCCCTTCGATCTATCTTATCTTGTGTCTTAAAGTACTTGGAACCAATGCCCTCGCATGGCCCCCCATGGGTAGCTGCATGGGGGCTCCGGTAAAGTAGAGTTCTTCTAGAAGGTCGTTTCTTTCATGCATGAAACCATGACGCTCCAAGTCAGCATTCCGCGGCTGTTTCAAAGCATATGCTGCGAAGGTTAGTAGAACCCGAGCTGCGGGTCCGTGTGACAGGAGCAATTTGCATCTTCAGCTGGGGATGACCAGATGGCACGAGGCTCGCCCCGAGATGGAGTCCCAAAAACCACATGGCTGGACTGGGGCCGTTGAGGCTAAACTGTGCTATTCATAGAATCCCGACGCGGCGGATACCACGCCGATCTGGCCCCCCAGTTTTCTTTTTGCTTTATTGCTTAGTCTGACTCGCGGGTAAAATGTGGATGGGGTCCATTTTTGGCGGCTTTTTTTATTTTATTTTATTTGTATTTTTTTTTTATCTCTTCTGTTCTTTCCGTTCCTTTTTTTTCTCCCTTTTTCCGTCCCTAGAGCGACACGCCCGGATTCTTTGGGATTATAGTCAGCGAAGATACCAAATCCATGGATTGCCCAACCTCCGCTTGGCCCCATGGGGGTCAGCAGTACTACTGGTTATAGTACGTTGGCATTAACCCCGATCATGACATCAAACTTCTGCATGCCCGAATGCATGTCGGCAGCCCGTGGCATATGCAGGGGCGCAACGTGGAAAATCATCTTATTCTTATTTTTAGCGGTTGAGGGAGCCCTAAATGATCCCTCGCGATGCCTCCTGATCGGGGATATCAGAGGGGCCCAATCGTAACCGCCCCTTGTATACTTCACGATCTCCGTCCCCAACAATTGGCTTTCGCTATTCTTAGACTCCGACCTATCACAGGTCTGCAGAAACGACAACGCACCAAGGGGATCGTATACTGTAAGCGCTGCAGGGCAATGGAACCAAAAAGAATCCCAGGAAAAGAAAAGAAAAAAAAAAATACACTGGGAGGACTCTCCCTTCCAAGCCCAGGTGGGGATCCGCATCGCGACGCAAAGACTCCCGACATCAAAGGTCGAAAGTCAAGATTTCCGATCGTCCAAAGCTCTGATGCGCACCCACCATTAGCCCAGAAAAGCTCCAGATCGATGTCTCACTCTCAAACATGTCACAGTCGTGGGGTTCCGTCGAAACAGAAGCCCCCATACGGTAACATTGGTATAGTAATCTTTGTAATCGGGGGTAATTGGTGTATGAGTAAACCAAGAATGGGAACCTGGGAAGGTTCCTTGGATACGCCCTGCGATACTTCTAGGCCCTTTGTACGGCGCTTTTGAGTCACCACGTTTCTATATTTACTCGCCGACTGAGATGGCGGTCGACATGGTTCTTCAGAGGTCGAGGAAGAGTCGGGCGTGCCAAGGCGCCCCCCCCAAATGTGGTCAATGGTCCCCAAATGAGTCTGGGTCTGCGCTTGAGTTGCGTTGGGGGCCTTTTTAGTTCCTTCCCCTGTCGTTCTAGTTAATTTCCGACGATTATCGGCATTCTCGAGGAACCTGAGGCTGAGGATTCCCTGCAGAAAGGACCCACCTCGTACACCTTTTTCTTCCTGCTCCCTGATTCCCTATTCTTCTAGGGCCCGTCAAAGAGGCCCTGACTCAGATCGGTACAGCTTCTTTGGTCCTGCTTCTAGTGCTTGCCTGGAACATTTCCTCATTAGGGGGGAAAAGGGGGGGGGGAAAAAGACTCGTTATTACCAATACGCCTAGAGGTTTCTGGCCTAAATGAGGAATGGGGGCATTGCGTCGCTGTCAGGGCAGACGGACCCAGCTGGGAAAGTTGGGGGTTGTAAATCATCCTGAATTATAAATATGAACGGTGCCATGAGGTTCGTGCCTCAACCTAATCTTCATCCACATCCACATCCACTCCGAACTTGACGTTATAATAAGGCGTTGACCTTCCCTGCCCTTTCTCTTCACGAGCGAACTTGAACTTCTGAGGCCAATCTTCAATCCTTGGTCCTGCTTGCGTGACCACCGTCTGCGTCTTCAAGCACACCCGTACCCACAACTATATCCACTGCGGCTCCTCAGTGATCACCGGTTACTACCGCCAAACACAAGTTCACAATGGGTCGTGGCGGATACAACGCTCCTGCGGACAAGCAAGACGACGATGACGCCAACTGAGCCGTGGCCTACATCGAGCACGCTCTAGAAGAGCAACGGCCCACGGACCTACAGAGAACGAGCATGGAACCACGCATCTCCCAAACAGGCTCTACTACGCTTCTCGGTCCCCCTAAGCCACTAGATATCACGGGGCTGACAAATGATGACAAAACCTACACCACCTGGCGAGAGCAGTTGACGCCCGCATAATCAACTCACCCGCAGACTGCTCGGCCAAAATGGCAAGCTTTCAGGCGGTGGATCCTCTCCTGCTCTCCTCTTCGGTACTTCGATGGCGGGGGCCCAAGGTGCAGACGGGAATGGCAACTATGTACGATTGAATGGAAAGCGATGTGCTTTTGTGGGAGCTTAGCGAGCATGTTTCTGGCGCAATTTTTGTTTTTGAAGGCATTGGGAAGCATTGGGGAAAAGCCATAGACTGTACACCACTATAGATTTCACTTGAATTTAGCTCTGTTCGATTATGTTATTGATTATCACCGCTTTGAATCCACATCTGACAAAAGACACAAGGCTCCTCAGATGGGTCAGGCAGCTCAGAAATCTAGATCGTCTCAAGTTGAAGCCCTAGTCCGCAGTCCACTATGTACTTCTATCAAGTGCCACGACCATGCCCCTTGAAATTACCACCTTAAACCTCCAGGGAGTCCAAGTCTCAGTACCTGGCGTTCGAAAATGTACTATGAAAAGGAAAAAAACAAAAAAACAAAAAGAAGACATGGAGAATAAAGAAAGGAAAAAGAAAAAGAACACATCGAGGTTCAAGATACAATTGGACAAATCCTTATCGGTCATGACCATAACTCGCATATAGGGTTCACGGCCGACAGCCCACAAAGAAAAAGAAAGAGACCGTAAGGGAATTATGTACAAGGAGAGACCCATACGGCGCCCCTGTTCCGTACTTCTATACAGAATCAAGACGGGGTATGCAGATATGCCCTCAAGCAGGGGGAAAGGTAAACGGCACAGGTAAAGAAAATATGGAAGAGAATGGTATCATGGCTCCATGCTTGGCTCATCGCAAATGGACAGGATATGAGGGGGAAAGAGGGTCAACAGGGTATTATACATTCAAAAGGACACGGGAGGGAGGGGTGGGGGAGAATGCAAGGACAATGCAACGAGAAAAGGAGAATCGATCAAACATTAGATTAGTGTAGAGCTTCGGAAAGGGGGGACAAATCTTAGTCCAATAATTCAATCGGGTGGCTGGCAGATGACCCGTCAGCTGGGGGTTCAGGGGATGGCTCGTGCTGTTCGGACACGACGATTGAAGGGGGCTCTGACAAGCCGGATTCTTCCTGCGGGGGGCTTGGGAGGCCCTGTTCATCAGTGGCCCGAGCAGAGCCCCGAGAGTCTGTACGGGGGGGAGATCCTGGCTCTGGCACGGAGGGCAAGCCACCGTCAGCACTGTCTTTGCTTCCAGCTGTGGCTCCATTGCGTCTCCGTGCACGGCGGTTCCGGCGTTCTTCGTCCGCGCTTTCTCTTCTCCGTCGAAGGCGCTCCCCGCCGGCGTCGGAGTTACTTCTCAACCCTTGGAGCATGCTGGCGGCGCGGTCGGCCACATCCTCACCCTCGGAGTGGGCTTCTTTGGTGCCTTCTTCGCCGTCTTCTTGGGCCAAAGGAGGGCTCAAGAGACCGTGCTCGTTAGCCTGAGCATCGGTATCGCCGGCCGGCTTCGGTGAATTTTCGTCCTCGGCAGTGCCGGATTCAGGCACATGTTGACCAGAAGCCACTCGGACCTGGTGGCGCTCCTTGAGACGAGCACGGCGACGGCGGTCGCGCTGATCTTTAGCTTGGGGCGCAGCAGCACGTAACTTCTCCAGCAGCGAGTCCATAGCGCCACTAGCCGCGGGAGAGATGGGCGCGTCTGCGCCACCACCCGCGTTGGCAAGGTTGACATTCAGGCGCTTCCGGGCCAGGGATGCCTCGGTACGCTTGCGGGATTCTTCGAGGCCGATATTCTTCTCGCGTGATTTCTAAGGACAATTAGTGGCCGAGCTGTGGACGTGAAGAATAGATATGTTGAAGCGCAACTTACCTTCCATTCGGTCACGAATGAAGCCAGCTTTGCGAAGAAATCTCGTCGAGCATTTTCATCCGTATTATCTTCACCATAGAAGAGCATGATATCGTCATAAGTGTGAACCATTTCGTCGAGGTAAAGCTGCATCTGCTCGGCCTTGCGACGAGCGTCTTTCATACACCTCTGGACAACCTGGCTCACGCGATCTTGTGGATGGAAGATCTTTGGATCAGAAAGGTTCCCGGAATCCAGACTGCTTTGCACGTTCTTGATATTGGCAATGTATTTGTTCGCATCGGTAGCCAGCTGGTCCACGCTGACCTTTTGTAGGCCAATCACTCCAGCGATTTCGTCACAGAATGACTCCCATTCCGGGTACTGGTTGCGCACTATACGCTCAACCAGATCGGCGAAAGTGGTTTCGTTCTTGTCATCCTTCACCATCCCCAGACGAGCAAGGGAACTTAGCTTGAAACCTTGAGCCTGCTTGTTGGCATCGTTCATGAAATTACCAATATCCAAAATCAGACCGAGCACATTCATCAATGAGACAGAGTCCCGCAAAGTCTCACTGACACTAACGACCTCCCGAAGCCTAGAAGAGATGTACTCGTATTCGTGCTCGAAGGAACGAGTGAGGGCAAGCGCTCGCATTCTTGACCGCCAGTAGTGATTGAGTTCGTAGGAGGTGGCAAGGAATAGCTGGTCCTCTCGGGTAAGTTCAGAGGGATCTTGATCAGGTTCAGAGGTAGCGACACCGGGAACAGTCCAGTCACGTTTGTACGGTGCCATGAGCTTGTCGACATTGTCCGGGATCTTGCACATCTCCTCCCTCTGTAGGAAATCCATGACGACTGGATTGTCCAAGATCTCTTTATCACAGTGAATAATCATGCGAATGACCTCGGCCGGGGGAATTGGGAGAACTTCGCTAGAGCAATCTGGAAGTTCTTCGACATCTCGTTAGAGATGATTTGCTTCTTGTCCTTCATCTTCTTGGCTCCGGTACTGTTTCCAAATATCTTGGTCTCCTTTGCCATGAAGAGCCGTTCGACTTCGTCTAGCACACCTCGCTTTGCAAGATCGGTGTATTTCTGTTCCTTGGCTTCGGCCGTTGGAGTATGATGAGCCCAAACAGTCACTTGTGGAGTATCCACCTTGTCCCAATGCAACGCCTTGAGCTTCTTCTTGGGACGAATAAATGGCATTGTTGTGCTAGGAGCCACGGGGTTTTCGAGGGAGTAAGAAGCCTTCCATCCTCCGCCCAGGGGAGCATTGGGAGGAGGGGGAGGAGGAGGCATGAAGCCACCATTGACTCCAGGAGATGGAGGCGGCGGGGGCATACCGCGGAAACCCGCACCGCCAGGAGGAGGTGGAGGGGGAGGAACTCCAGCCTTGCCACCTGGGGGAGGAGGGGGAGGTGGTGGACCGGGGATAACGCCCTTCGCACCTGGAGGTGGCGGCGGAGGGGGAACAGCACTTGCACCGCTTGGAGGAGGCGGAGGGGGAGGAACCCCGGCGTCGCCACCTGGGGGGAGGAGGAGGAGGAGGAGGAGGAGGAGGAACGATTGTGGGAACACTGGGAGGTGGTGGCGGAGGCGGCATGGCTTTAGCATCAGCGTCCTCCATTTCCTCCGGCCTGGGAGCATCTGTCGGGGTGACATCTTCCGGAACAGCACTTGCGGATTCATCGACAGTCTCATCAACCTTTCCATTACCCTCAGGTCCTTCGTCGTACTTGGGAACCTTGGAAGCAAGCTCTCCTAGTAAACCGGTAGCTTGGGCGGGGTTCATACGCGGCCGCTGGAAGTCCGTCAGACGCGACTGAGTCTGAGGTTGATCATGGCCTGACTCGTCGGCCTCATCCACGGGCGATGGCACGCCTTCTGGAGTCTGGTCAAAGTCCGGCACGACGCTACGCTTCCGGTAAACAGATCCCAGAGCTCCCGGGTCCAGGTTGCGACGGGTGTTCTCCGCGAAGTCTTCACTGGAGTCATCTTCTCCATCCATCTTCTCTCGTAATTCACGTAGTCGATCAGATGGACCATGTTGGCCCCAGACTTTGCCTTCAAGCTTGAATTGGGTCTTTGTACGCTCCAATTGGCGTTCTAATCGCTCCATGAGGCGCTCGCGGTCCATAATTCCAGGTAGCTGCGAAGGATCAGGCTTCCCAGCTTCGCCAGAGGCATTGGCCCGCCGGGCATTGGATGCCGCGATATCCTGGGCATCCCGAAGCATGAGGTATAGTTCTCGGGTTTCTAGTTCGTTTCGCTGGAGTTCAAGGGCCCGCAGACGTTGAACTTCGGCAACCTCAGCCTTCAGAGACTCATTCTGTCGTCCTTGGAGATCAATGATACCGGCCTGTTCATCGATCTGCTTCTGGAGCTTTCTGACCAATCCATCAGCACCGAGCTCTACCTGCGCTTTCATCTCATCGCGCTCAGCAATAGCGGCTTCGGCGATCTGTCGAGCTTCCAAGGATTCATCGTAAACTCGTCGCGCCTCGGCATCGGTATGGAGACGGTCGAGAAGGCTCTGGACGGTGAAATTCAGCCCCTGTCGGAGGTCAAGATCAGGAAGCCTCCTGTCCATGGCCACATAGCTCATCATGGCGTCTACAAGCTGGAACATCCGCAATCCTTCTTCACCAGCATTCTCCCGAATAAGGAGCATATGCTGCATAGCCGACAGGAAATAATCGTGGGCCCGAGTACCATTGATCTTCGTTGCAATGGCATCTGCAATCTGAAGAGGATCACTCATATCCTTGACTTCGCCCTCCACACTATCCTTCGTACTGCTGCCCTCGCGTTGGAGCAGATCTTCATAATCAATAGCCTCATTTTCTCGGAACCGTTCAATCTGTTTGTCAATGGCTTCGTATTGGAAGCCTTCCATCTTCGTTAAAAGACGTTTGATCCCACAGGAGATGAACTGGGCCCGAATATGGCATCGCAGCTGCAAGTCGGTCTCGGCCCCATCGACAAGCATATTGATGAACATCATTGTCGATACAGCGTACTCCATGAGCAAATTTTCCATGCCAATACCCCCACTGCGGTACTCTTCACTGGCACCGACCAAACTTCCCAGTTTACCACGACCATCGATGGTGACCTCAACGATACGCATCCAGGCATCAAAGCGACCAGTCTCATTATGGTCATGTTTGACTTTATCCATCGCCTGGAGAACCTTCTGGTGGCCTTCGCCCTCGGCCCAGTGACACAAGAAGGTAAGAACCTCGCTGATGAGTTTCCGAGTATTTAGACGAGGTGATGAGAGAGAGCTGACAAGCGCTGTCAGAACGCCCATATGGTCGAGAGCGTCGTCTGCGCCATATTTGTTGTTCATCAATGCCTTAAGACATTTCGCAATATCATATTCACGATCAAGATCTTTATCGCCGCTGGGGGGTGCGGGGACCGGTCCGGAAGCTTTTCGACGATTGATTTTTTGTAGAACGTTGGTGAGAGCAACTTGACCCTGTGATTCGACAAAGGCTTTGACCCAGCTTGATGAAAAGTTAGCTTGTCTGAAGAGTGTTTTTCTAAGGGTCTGAATTTCAAGACTTACCTGATTGGTTGCGTTCGAAGACTGACACTTAGACTGGCGAGTTGCTTGGATGTGATTGTGTCGTCCATCACCTTCTTCACATACCACTCTGGGCTTCCTTCCTCGTCAGCACGCTCTAGGAGTCCTGGCATACCCTCATGGCCGTGTGTCTGACGGGCATTTTGTCTTCGTTTCTGCTCGCCTTGGAGCTCCGTCAAACGGTCCTGGTGAACCAATGTCCATTTCTTCGAGGCAGGATAGGATACCATTTGGCGTTTGGCTTGATCAGGGAGATTTTGCCAGCCTCGCTTCTGCATGAGCTCAAGGAATAGTTGGTCTACCACACGATCATCTCTTGGACGTGTCAAGTAATTATCATTTGGGCGCGAGAGAGGTGTCGTAGAGTGTGTTGACTGTTGCCATGCGGCTTGTGCATTTGACAAACGGCCTCCCCCTGAACTAGGGAATGCGGTATTGCGATCACTAGAATGCGAAGTGGTCAAGGTGCGACCAGAGCCATCGGAAGAAAAATAGTTGGAGCCGCGGGTATTAGAAGAGTGGGATGAGTATAAGCTAGCTTGATCCATGGATGTTCGAGAATTTGATGATGAGTCTATCGAGGAATTGTGATTGAAGCCTGCATTCGCGGTCGAACTACCGGGGCGTCCCCATTGCTGATATCTCGTGCCTCGATCCCCCGACGAACTACTGGTCATGGTCAAGTTGGAAGAGTGAGGAGGTGGACGGGGACCGGAAGGATGCGAAGAGGAACCATTTGGCGCAGACGAGCCATTCCATACCGGATATTGATGGAAATCTCCACCAGCTTTGCCAATGAGGTTAGGGGAGTGTTCATGGCGGGAGGAATCCGGACGGGACATGCTTTCGATCGCGACAGGGTTTCTTGTGTCGGATGGTAGGCTTTCGAATGGGATAGACGTAATGACGCCAGCCGTGGGAGCAAAGCTGCTGGGGTCGAGATCATGGCTCATGTCCATGGACTGAATCGAGGATCGTTTCGAATAGCGGGACGAGCGAGAACCAGCTGAACTCCCTGGCGGTGCAAGGCTGTCGTAGGATCCAGCGTAGCTTTCGTGGCGGTCATCTGCCGGCCTCTCCTTGTACAGTTTTCTCCCGAAAAAGGATTTTCCACCCGAAGTTTGCCTAGACTTGTCGGCATTGGCGGGCATGTTGGCGGGACTGTGGAGTGGCAGGACGCAGCATTAAGGGCGTCCCTCGCACACTCCAAATTTGGATGAAAGGGCGCAAAATAAGGTTGTTTCAAGAGCCGGAGCGGGGCTGATCGCTATGGATCTGGCGACGAGAGGCGATGACATCCACGGTTTCACGTCGGAATCTGGACTTTGTCCCTCCTGGCGAGTTAGTATACCCGTTTTAGATGTGGACGGCGGGGCCCGGAGAGGGATTCAAACAACAATAACAAGGGTGCCAGCACTCACCACAAACGCGCAACTCGCCAAAGGGGAGGGGAAGGGGGGATAAGGAGGGCGTGGCCGAAAAAGAGTTGCAGTATGCAAGTAGCAAAGCCAGGGTCGATCAAAAGCACGGATCCCTTAAGCGCCCAGCGACTTGAATTTAGGGGGCTTGTCACTTTCTCGGAGAGACCACCCCGGGGCCACGTGAGGTCAGGTGACAGGGGTAGAGAAAGGGACGTACAAGGTGGAACAGAAGGATTTTATGGAGGGACCTCGGGGAGGTTTGGGACGATGCCTTTTGTCCAACGCCTCACTTTAACTTGTCTCGTCCTCTAGTTCTTCGACTCGGGGGAACCTTGGCCGTTCTTTCGTTCATCGGCTTCATTTTTGATTCGGCTCGACACCTCGGGCTCGGGGTCCACCCGGCGGTTCTCCTTAATATCTTATCCTACCCAAGCGATTCCGAAAACTCCGTGACCTAAGGCCCTACGGCCTTCAATAGCGCGTTTTGCATGCTGGAGCAGTCCTAGGCCTACTCCATCGCCATCATGGGATCCTCCGCCAATTTTGCCAAAGTGAGATACTCTACCGAGCAGCGACAACTTGGCCATGGCGTCGTTATCCGGCTTGCAGGGCCTCCAGAACGGTTGTGCTAAAAGACTGTGTTTCTTAGACCATTTTGATGCCGGCGTCCATTGCACTCACCGTGTACCTACTGTTTAACCTCGTGATTATCCCGTTCCTCCGCCGCTATCAACGACGTTACTCTCCATCCCTCCCACTGCATACAATCTCCGCCCATACTGTTTCGCTGCGAGACCGAATAGCCGACACAATCATGCGGTTTTTCCTCCCTTCTTCATGGCGAGCTGGCGCTCATCTCGATGATCATCAGAATATTGACATCGACGACGAGGAAGGGGAGATGCTTGTCGGAATGAATAGGGATGCTGCCCGACGGCAAGCGCTTGGGCGCCGACAACCTACCACCGCAGAAACCGAAAGTCGACTTAGTCGTGAATTAGAGGAAGGGTTTATGGACGACAGTGATGAAGAGGATAGTGAACAGGGCAATGCAGAGAGCCGACGTTGATGGTTTCTAGAGTCCTGATTTGTTTAACGGGCTACGGTCATGCATGGGTGGCGTTTTGAATCTGCTGGGTATCAGCGTCCTTAGTAAGTTCGGAAGTCCCATAGTTGAGCTTTAAGACTTATGGTAGAATCCAATGTATGTTTTGCCTGCTTGACTGGATTCCTAGCATCTGAATAGAGCAATACACTCGAACTTGTAACCGACGTAAAAGCCACTTACAATTAATCAGAAGATTTATGATGAGATTAACGACACTCATTTCCATTTCTATCAAGAACGGCCCTTAAACCCGCCCGAGGCTAAAGCTCTACCAAGATCAGGAGCAGCTTGAGCCTTGGAGCATTCGGACACGAAGATCGGCATGGACCCACTTGATAGAGTGTGGGGGGGAGGTCCGGGCTAAACAATCCTTTATCTTATATATCAGAAGACAGTCGATGGTAATGAGAATGGAGAGTGCTAACAACAGCACATTGGGGGAACAATATTGAACGAATAGATATCAATTCATTGAAATCGTAGATACAAATTTTCCAGCGCTACCCGGACCTTCCCAGGCAGGTCCAATAAAATCACAGTTAAAAAGCAATGGGGAACCAATCACGAGGACTTTGTAGCATCCCCATTAATATATATATGCGTGTCGCAAGATTTTTACTTGCGCTGACCGTAAGCCTTGGTGGCGTATTCACCCTTGTGGACAATCAGGTCCTGAGGGCGGTAGTCAAAGCGGCCAGAGAAGTAGCTGTCCAGAATGCTCTTGGTTCCCTCGGCGTAGCGGATCTGAGCATCGATGGAGGTTCCCCGACATGTGAGGAACAGTGGCGTTACCACCGCCCCATGGGTGCTCGGCGTAACGAAGAGGGTGGTCCTTGGGAGCAGGCTGGGGGAGCCAGACGTCACCACCGTATCCACGGAGGTGGCCAGACTTGAGGGCCTCAGCGACATCCTCCTTGACGACGATGGCACCACGGGCAGTGTTGACAAGCCAAGAACCGGGCTTCATCTTGGAGATGAGCTCCTTGTTGAACAGACCGCGGGTCTTCTCGTGGAGAGGGCAGTTGATGGTAACGACATCACACTGGGAAACAAGCTCCTCAAGGGTGTCAACACGGCGGCAACCGATCTCCTTCTCCTTCTCGGGGCTCAGGGGCTGGTAGTCATAGTAGAGGAGCTCCTTGCAGTCGAAGGGCTTCAGACGGCGCAGGACACGCTCACCGATACGGCCAACAGCGACGGTACCGACGACCTTACCCTCAAGGTCGAACTCGTTCTTAGCGACAGCAGCGACGTTCCATTCGCCGTTGCGGATCTGGTCATGGGCGGGAACGAAGTTACGGACGAGAGTAAGGATGGTCATGACAACGTGCTCAGCGACGGAGACCACATTGGATCCAGTAACCTCAGCGACGGTGATACCGCCGTTGGTGGTGTTGGCAGCGTTCAGGTCGACATGGTCAGAACCGATACCGGCAGTGACGGCGAGCTTGAGCTTCTTGGCCTTTGCCAGACGCTCAGCAGTCAGGTAGCCGGGGTGGAAAGGAGTGGTGATGATGACCTCGGCGTCAACCAGCTCCTTGTCGAAAGTGGAGTTCTCACCATCCTTGTCGGAGGTGGTGACCAGAGTGTGGCCCTGGTCCTCGATCCATTTACGGATACCGAGTTCGTTCTCAGTGGTTCCAAGCAGACCAGGTTGCTGCTTGGAGTGCTCGAAGCCCTGGAGAATTGATTAGATGGATCTGAGGAAATGAAGCGTGAGAGATATAATCACTTACGTCATACAGAACAAGAAGAACTTTTCCCTGAAGTTTGGCAGAGGCGGTTAGCGTGCGTGCATTTGCGAAGGCAGGCCGAGCGAAAGCAGTTGTGGCGGACGGCTTAAGGAAAGTGGCGGGGCGCCTCAATTGAGACGAAAGGGATCGAGCAAATACCATTGTGAAAGTCTATGAAAGGATGAAAATGTGTAGGAAGTGAAGAACTGGAAAGGACGTCAGCAAGCCAGCCTTTATATGATGTGAATGCCGGTGTGACCCGGCTTGCAAGGTTGGAGAAGCGCCTTGAGCTCCAAACAGGTTAAGCCAGGAGCGGGGCAAGGAGAGAGTGGGGACGCGTCGCAGGCCCAGAGCTCCTTCTCAGCACTAAGGCTGATTGCGGGAAATCAAAAGCCAAAGGGATCGAGACGCGGGAGGGCCGGAAGTTAGGGAGAAGCCCCCGAGCCGATACAACATACCGTGGGATGATTCGTGTCAATCAAGTTTCAATCAAGTTTAGAGATGCTGAAGAAGCAAGCTTAAGAAGGATGATCGAATTATCTCAGATCTTGGGCTGACCAGGTCATTATATAGTCCAACCCCCTCGGGCCCCTCTTTCGGCTTCACCTTGCACAAACAACCGTGGGGATCCAACCGAGTCCAATACAACCGGCGCTCTCCTCCGAGAAGCGCTGGGACCGGATGGGGAACGTAACCACTTGTGGGCGGGCAGGTTCTCTCCGCACGAGGGAGGGGTCGCCTCGAAGTATCTTGCGCGGTTCATGCCCAAAACTATCGCCTCGATCGCAGCCTTCATCGGGAGTCTGTGCACTGCAGAAGATTCCCCCCGTTTGAGCTTGTCAGGACGGTTTTTGATATCTGCCCAATCTCATGCTATACTGTACAATCTCGTGCGGGGAAGGTATGTCTAGATTCCATACTAGGACTGCACAAGTACGTAGATAGTATAGTAATAGACTAAATGTGTATAACATGTTGCTACTCTCAAACGTCATACGAGCAGCTGTACCATTGCAACCGGAAATGGCACGACCCTCGATAGCACCGGACATGGCTTCATTCCAGGCGTTTTCCCTGTTTCGCCGTGGCTAGTCCCAATATGGACTAGCTCTCCGCAGCGGGGTCGCTTATGTAATGAGGGGTAATGAACTGAGTAGTTAGTTACTTAGCGCGTAGAGTCTTGAATCATAGAAAACAGAAAGTTTGAGCATTAGCAATATAATTGAGGCGAATGTCTGGATCCAACTGGTACCCCACCCAATTTCCTCAAAAGGACCTGGAAGCTCCAGCTCCGTCCGTTTCCTAAAGCCCCTCTGACCCCTGCGACCGAGCTAAACCCGCGATTCAGCCGGAGCTCGGCCGCGTCTCCGAATTTGCCCCATGACCCGCCCGCGACGAAAGAAGGCCTCCGCTGAGGAGGCTGTCGGGGAAACTGCCCTCACGGCTCCACCGGCTCTGACGGCTCTGAACAGCCGGTGGCGGGATGAATGGCTCGATTGAGACGTTTGGGAATTCTATTCTGGTTCTCCAATCTACATGAGGAATTGGCCGCCGCAGATACCGTCCTGAGGTCGCGTTCCTAATCTTCTTCTTACGCTAGCCATTGGCAAAGGATGGACCTCAATGTTCGGTCTGGCTCTAACTTGCAATGCGTGACAGAGATCGCGACGGCGTGTCTAGTCCAAATTCCGAGGTTCAACTTGAGGAGTTGATCATCTATCCGCGTCGCTTTTGTTCGAAGCTTGCGCAGAGCAGGTAACTGGCTCTGCTCATGCAATTGAACTTGCTGATCGTCTCAAGACGGGATGGGAGACCCTCGCAGGCCTCATGATGTTGAATGCGACAATCCTGACCTGGTTGATGGGAGCTTCCGACCGACATTGAAGGCTTGGTTTCCAAGCGATCATGCGCTTGGCTGCGAATTGACCACAGACTCATCAGGTGTGAATCCCTTCATTGACAAACTATTGCTAACTAAGTTCGTGATCGCTGTAGATCGATACCCCGCACGGCGCCACTTTAAACCCCAGTAGGACGTCCCGAGCTGCAGCGTCCAGAGCGCGGGATCGACGAGGGATGGTCGAAGATAGTATTGGAGACACCAGACCGAGAGTGTGACTTTCATTATATTGTCCAGTCTGCAATCACATGTGCATTGTTAAATTGATTGGTGAATCTATCGTCTAAATCTTGCCGGAATACATGTCCCTTTTCGCGACCATACAAAAATTCTATTGTACATAACCATGCCTTGATACGGACGGGAGGAGAGTTCAGCAGAGAGGGGGTAGATCACAAGGTAGTTGAGTGCATGGTTTCCCACTTACGCACGGCCTCCTGCGCAGCAGTCACTTTGAGACCAATACGAGCATCGAGTTCATAGCTTTCCCACCGCGCAGCCCGATCCAAGTGTTCCTTGCAATCCTTGACGAGCAACATTTCGGCTTCCGACCCTGGTTGTACAGGCTCAGTCGACAATCCGTGGTGAACCTGGTAGGTCGGACGCTCCATCCAGGAATTTGCAGCGAACTCGAAATGCGCCGCTGGAAGAACCCAGTCGTCTTTCAGATGGCCCTTGAAAACTGGCTTGTCATGTATCAAAACTCTGGTGGAGAGAATCATTTTCGCCTGCTCGTGGTTGCGGAGCGACCGGTGAACGGCTGCACGCAAGAGATCTAGGATCGCCTTCTCCTCTGGACCCTCCCGCGACCACGTCTTATTTGCGTCGCTTTCGCACCATGCGAGCCGCTGCAAAGAATCCTCTAGTTGGCTGTCTGTCATGCGACTATGGCCGTTCCAGAAGAAGATCATCTCCTCAATCGGGTCTACACCGATCGCATCCACCAATTCTACTCCCCATTCTTTCGCGCGCGCCTCCCACTTTGCGATCTTGCGGGTAACGAACACGTCGAATGGAAGCTGACGAGCCATGAAGCGCTTTTTACCTGCAAATTGAGGAGCCTTGCGGATGAATTCAGTTGCCTTCTCTGCGTGGACCTTCGCTTTTTCAGGATCGTCAAGATTCTGGCGATAAAGCATAGCGTGACATGAGCCAGCGATGTAGTAATACAGGGAACGGGACCAGGAGTTGAGATCCACGCACTGCGATGGTTAGCCGCCATGGCCCGACACGGAGCGACGTAAAAAAAAAGAGAGAAAGAAAGAAAGACTTACTTCGATGAAAGCTTCCGCACAGGTCTCGTAGCGGTGCAAGAAAAGAGCGTTCAAACTCTTTTCGAACACACAGAGCGCCTTGACCTGTTTCAGCTGGCTGTCTTTGCTCGAGCTCAGGAGTTCCAGCGCTCCTTCAAGGTCTTTGTTTGCACCTCTCATGCGAGAGTCCTCAAGAATCCAGAGCATACTGACAGGGAAGCGAGCACGCATCTCAGTCAACAACGCCTCCAGTCTTTCTTGTGGATAGCTCTCGTCCTCGCCGGGAGCTGCATCTGGCATGATATCACAATACCTAACAAAGCCATTGTAGTAACCCAGTAAAGCCAATGCTGCCAATCCACCGATCAGATTATGGAATTTACTGGCCTGCCAGAGCATCTGAATTCCACGCGCTTTGTCTCCGCGAAACCCAATGATCGATAGAAGCTTGCTAAAAGCCGGTGGGACCATCGAGATCAAAATCAACAGGATTCCAAAGCAAAAATTTGTTCCTGAATGCACGAAGACGTCGATCTCGTTCTTAAAAATATCCGAGTCGGGATCATGGTTGATGTTTGACCCTGGCGTGGAGGATCGCGAGATTTCTGAAGCGGCCGCCTCTGGCGTCTTGTTCGATACACTAGATGCAGCGGCTGACTTGGCCTCGGAATGGGCGCTGCTTCTGGACAAATCGCTTGATCTGGGTACAATACCCTTCGCGGCTTGCGCCTCCATAAACTTTTCTTCCATCTTTGCGATGCCATCCAAGGTAATGTATGCCTTTCGCAGTCTGTAGAAAGCCTTAATACTCTCGGTCAAACTCTCGTTCAAAACACCGACCACAGCACTCATCAGCTGGGCAATCGCCTGACAGAGAAGGTATTCGGTGCCGGGGGCGTAGATGTCCGACCGATATACATGGGGGGCGTTCGAGTTATTCTGGGCACGGTGCTGTTCGCTCGCAGCGGTCGTCTCTGCTTCGTTTAACCGTTCGGACGCTGTGCACTGTTCAGAAAACGGAAATCCCAGTAAAGAACAACAGTCATTTGAGAATTCGAACCTTGTCGCATAATATCCTGCTCAAACCCCAATGTCGCCCGGACGAACGCCACGACTCCTTTGCCTAGCTGTTGTCGGTCCCGCAAGGTCAGTACACAGCCTCTTGGCAAGCCCTACGTCATCGCGGCCCCCTGGAAAAGTGACACCCACGTTGTGAAAAGTCGAGTTTCCCTTGGCCAATTCGTTTTCAGCGCTTTCGACATCGTCGTTTAAAATGAAGGTAGCGCCTTTGCGGGGACGTATTAGTGTTTGTATGGTATGTGGACAAGGAAATAGACAACAACTTACCGGCCAGTGCCTCATGTACTTCACCCCGCTCAGAGTATTTCCGTCAGCGCCAGATTGTCATTTTCAAATGTTCGTGGCTAGAATAGAAGTGATCAAGGCAGAGAACAGTACATACAGTCTTTTTCCTCATCCGCTGAGTCATGGGAGGCATTGCCCGGCTTCTTGCCGTACAACCAAGAGCCTACACGCAGCATGACGGTCTTTGCTCAAGAAATTGAATAGAATCGCGGTGCACTCCGAGGGAAGGGGCCGCAGTCAAGGACGGATCGGGAAGAATGTCAACCGGATCCCCATGCGATGTGCACGCAGCTTTTCCGAGCACGGGGGGCAGAGGGGGGAAGTTTCATGGGAGAGCAAGTCCGAGGTTAACTAGTTAGATCGAACGGTTAAGTCCGATCTTAGTAAAAACACACAGGCCCCCAACTTTGCGGCTAATCGGGTTCTACGAAGGTGGCTGAGAAGCGAGACGTGGTTCGCTTCGTAGTCCATGAATATCTCCGGTGGGCTCCGGACCACAATCTGAATTCTGCGAAACAAATAGAGCCGTATACAGAATGTCGGTTCCATCGGAGGCTTGTCGCGCCTAGGATTACGGGCTCATGCTCCGAGCCTCATTGATGCAATGATACCCACGAATAGAAGCTCGCGCGTTTCCTGGGGCTTTTATTCGCCCTTTGGGGACGGAGATCTTTTTGCCGACGTTAGTGCCCACCCCAAAAAGGACTCGACGCGCGGTTCACGCGGAAGATAAAGGCTCGTGGAGCCACTAGGATGGGTACTCGATCTGGATACAAGTGGTTTGCTGACTAGTACCGCCTCAGAACAGCTTAGAATAGGCGGTACTGCGTATACTTGCACTGTGGACTGGGAGCATCACCGGCCGGAGTAACAGCACCGAGATCATCCAGCAACACGGAATAAAAAGCCCATAATCTGACCCAGAATACAAAGGTCTCCAAAATGAACAAACCAAATGAAGATTCGAACATACACGTGTCCACAAAACGAACAAAATCGCGAATAGAAAGATATGGAATCTGGCGTTGATGGATCCGATCTGACTTAGTCAGCCGTCACCGACCTCCAAACACCTTGGTCGACCAGAGCTCACCAGTCCCCCCCCGCATCCAGTCCTCCCTCTCCACCTTGAAAACGCAATCAAAGCCGAGTTCGAGTTTCTCAATCTCAGAACAAACAACGCCACATATTCACATCCGCCATGTCGAATCCCAATCCGGCCGAAGACAAGGCCTCCGAGCAGCCCCAGCAGCAGAAGCCGCAGGTGCTCGAAGAAGACGATGAGTTTGAGGATTTCCCCGTCGAAGGTAGGCCCATGTCTGTCTTATGCCATGCGCTGGAGCATACGCTGGAAGGCTCACAGAAAACTAATGTATTTGCTTAGACTGGCCCCAGGACGAGACCGAGCAGTCTGCCGCCAACGGCGGTAACGAGCACCTGTGGGAAGAGAGCTGGGACGACGACGATGCCGCAGAGGATTTCTCAAAGCAGCTGAAGTGAGTTTCTCCCGACGAGTTTCGGACTTTCCCCATTCATTCTGGTCCCTCCTTGTCAATGCCACAAGCCCGCAACACACCCGTCAAGGGCCTAGCCCGTGCAGTTCACGTCTCCTCTTCCCTATCGCGGAAGACGCATCCTTTCACACGTTTCAACAACTGCGATTCATGGCCGATCATCTTACGCTAATACTTTGACCTCAGGGAGGAACTCAAGAAAGTCGAAGCATCAAACTAGGCTAGAAAAAAAACAAACACGCATGAAATGAATGCCTTACGCATCCGCACCTTTTCCCAACCCCTCAATATCTCCGAGTACAAGTCGATCTCGGCGGTAACTTATCTACCGTGGACCGGTAAAACTCCACGAGAGGACATCCATTGGTTTGAGAACTCGCGTGGTGGGGGCGGAGACTAGGCTGGGATCATGTTGAGTCCTTCCATACGCTATACGGCGCTCTGGCGCATAAACGTACACTATACCCGCATTTAATTCCTGGGGAATTTTATGGGACAAATGGCTATGAATTACTTGTCTTGAAGCATTTGATTGCAAGGCCTGACCTGTCCTTGGTTTTAAGAAATGGATCTTATCACAAAAGCTCGCTCGGAGTATTAATATGATGACTTCACTGAAGATTCTGGCGTATTTCATAAGAATGCATATCCTACAAGTTTTCTCCGCTCTCACCCTAATGTTCTACTTTATCTTGAAGGTGCACTTGGAAATTTTATGGATCCGGCTTTCTCCTAGCAGTTGTTTGATAAGATCTTGAGCCTTGAAAATCATGAACTTGCGTACATTCAAATGTTTCTCGCCTGCTAACGCGATATGGTCCGACTATCACGCAGATTTGGCGGTGATCAGCTCTAAAGCTTCGGCCTCGTCTCTAACGAGCAAAGCACTTAGTCAAGCAACGAAGGGGAAGAGGTAGTTTTGAACTTCATGAATATTTTCTTTTTAGGAAAGAGTATTGGCTGTGTACATTACAGTTTCGTGATATGGAGCTTGAGCAAAAAGACATTAAACAGGAAGCAGAATCCCAGCTCACGCCATTGTCAATTTACTTACTGGACAGAGCAGCGACACCGGGCAGATCCTTGCCTTCTAGGAGCTCCAGGGAAGCACCACCACCGGTGGAGACGTGCGAGAGCTTGTCCTCAGCGCCGTACTTGGCAGCAACAGTGGCAGTGTCACCGCCGCCAATGATCACAATCGAGCCGGACTGAGCAGCACTCACGGCAGCGTCCAGAGTGGCCTCGGTAGCCTTGGCAAAGGGCTTGAGTTCGAAGACACCAGGGGGACCGTTCCAGAGGATAGTCTTAGCCTCGGCAATGGTCTTCTGATAGGACTTGACACTCTCGGGGCCGACATCGAGACCCATCAGGCCATCAGCAATACCGCTGGCGTCAGTAGCGGAGCCAACGGTGGCATCCGCAGAGAACTTATCAGCGGTGACGTAGTCGACGGGCAGAACAATCTCAACGTTGTGCTTCTTGGCCTTCTCGACGATGTCGCCAACGATCTTGCTGCCGGCCTCGTCAAACAAACTGTTACCAATCTTCACACCCTCAAGAGTCTTCTTGAAGGTGAAAGCCATAGCACCGGTGATGATCAGGCTGTTCACCTTGGGAAGCAAGTTGTCAATCAGCTGGATCTTGTCGGAAACCTTGGAACCACCGAGAATGGCGAGGAAAGGACGGGCCGGGTTCTCAAGGGCCTTGGCGAAGTACTCCAGCTCCTTCTTGACAAGGAAACCGGCAGCCTTCTGAGGGAGGTCAACGCCGACCATGGAGCTGTGGGCACGGTGGGCGGTACCGAAGGCGTCGTCTGGAGAGTGGAAAGGTTAGTATTGGCTGCTCAATTGCTCTGGGGAAAGCTTGATCGTGGGCCGCGCGCTTGGGGTTGTACATACTGACGTAAATGTCACCGAGGGCAGTCAGACCCTTACGGAATTCAGCGACCTTCTCCTTGTCGGCCTTAACCTTGTTGCCCTCGGCATCCTTGGAGCTACCTTCCTCCTCGGCGTGGAAGCGCAGGTTCTCCAAGAGCACGACCTGGCCCCCGGAGGCCTTGTTGACCGTCTCCTCAACAGCAGGGCCGACACAGTCATCAGTGAAGATGACGCTCTTGCCCAGATGCTTCTCGAGCACAGGAACAACAGGCTTCAAGCTGTACTTGGGGTTGGGCTTGCCGTCAGGGCGACCCAGGTGGGACATGAGCACGACAGCCTTGGCGCCGTGGTCGACGGCATACTTGATGGTGGGGAGTGCACCGACGATACGCTGCGGGTTGGTGACGTTCTTCTCAGCATCGAGAGGAACGTTGAAGTCGACCTGGAGTAGAGATGTTAGCCATTGCAAAATGGTGTGATGGTATAAGACATACTCGGATCAAGACACGCTTGTCCTTGAGGTCGACATCGGTGATGTTGAGCTTGTTGGAGAGAGACATTTTGAGGAAGGGTCTTGGGCAGTGCGAATACCTCGAGCGGGAAAGAAAGAAAGCTAGATGGGAGGGGGGAAGTAATAAGCAACTCTCCCGGTGAGTCGCGACAGTAAAGGTTGGAGGGGCTCAGGTGGTGGGGCGATGGGCCGGTGAGGCACACGCATCCAGATGTGCTGGGCTGTCGCCAATGCGGTACCCAGCCATGAGGTATTCTTCTAGAGCTCGTTACTTCTGACTGCTTACTGCTTTCGCCTTTGACGAATGTATCTTTTAGCTATTCAGTACTTACAACAAGGTCCTCTCAGGTCCCTTTGGTTCCTCGGGCATGCCACAATCGGGCTGATGCGGGACTGATGTCACTGGTCCCCCGATGACGCGGAACAGGTCGGACACTCTGGGGTCTTTGATAGCCTCGGGGCCAGGGAATTCTAGGAGCAATGTTGAGCGGGGGCTTGTACTAGTAGTCCGGGAAATGCGCTTGTTGCTCTCTAGTGGGATAGTCCGATGGCCCAAAGAAAAAAAACCTTGCCAGTGAAATTGCTAATCTCCTCAAAACAGAAATCCTAAACGCGAACTATATGTTGGCAGGACAAAAGATGGAGATGCAAGAAAGTACCCCGAGGCAATGGTCTCAGGGTGAAAAGTCAGACCTTTTTGGAATGCAACCAATCGCTTCCTCGCGAAACATTTATATCTCCTGTACATGGATCAAAGCCATTGCCGCCTAAACGCCGAGAAAGACAAAGGATTGCGACGAAAGATGTATATGGAGTGAGAAGACCACGGACATAATGTTTGCCGGATGGGTCGTCACTTAATCGATCGTTTCCGCAGAGTTGGTGAGCGAAAGGTAGGCGGTCCAAGCGATACCGACCGAAGACACAAAGGGCTAATGGTGTAGTTAGTAGACTTGAATTGGAACAAAGCTCTAGGGGTATGAATTCTCACGATTTGGAATTGAATGGGGACGACACGGAAGTTGAGGATCTGAACCGCCGGCCACAGCACGAAGTTTGCCTTCAAAGTAGGCAGATACACATCCCTAAACTTCTGTGTCAAGGCTCTCTTACCACCACCCTCGGCGATGGTCATGTAGGTAAAGAAGCAGCACAACCCTATCCCCACACAGGTCAGCCTTATATTTGGAGTAAGTATGCTAGCACTGCGGAGCTACTTACCGAATGGTGCAAAAATGAGCTGATCAAAGGCGACACGCTTCATCACAGGGAGAGTCGGGTTCACCTTGGTGAGAGGGAAGGCCCTGGACAAGAAGCCAAACCACTGGAATTGCAACGGGGCCATAAAGAAACCATAGGACATGAAACGGGTCAAGCGCTCGAAATCGAATGGCGGGAGCCCCTTCTCATTTCCGACTTCCCCGACTGCTGAGGGCTTGTGTTTGTCGAAGTCTTGGATCTCGATCATGAAATCATTGCTCCCCTCGGAACGAGCCCTGAAGGCTGTGATCAGCTGGGCAACAGTATCGGCCACACCACCCAGCACCTGTTTCCATCATCAGTATTTCCTTCCACCTTGTTTATGCATCTCAATTGGAGGGTGAGATGCAAGAATCCGGCGTATCGGCTTACCGCGTTGGTGACCATGGTGGTCAGCACTGTAGTCGCGAGACAAGTTAGCAACACCGTTATCACCTCCAAGCGCCCGAATACAGGCGGGCAGGGTCCATACCTGGCCTTTCAGCATAGTGGCTGTTGAATTTGGCCGCGAGGCGAGCAGCTACAGCCATCTCGACAAGGAATATGATCGTGTGCAGAAGAGGCTGGTGGAGAGGGAAGGGGAAGAAGTCAGCGAGGGGGTTCCGGCGTTGGGGCGAGGCTTTGCACAGGCGGGCAAAAAAAAAGAAACGGTAGAGAGAAAGGGGCCTGGCATACCACGCGACCGTAAATATAGCGGCGGTTTAGTCCATCAAGAACTTTCCGCTTAACGGAGGTAATCATAGTGGAGAGTTGACAGTGGGCCTGCGTGTCTTTCAGTGACGATTTGAAGGCAAGATTTCCGGGTTGCGGCGAGTATGACGAAATGGTGGACTGGAGGAGAATCAGCGAGCACGATATTCCCCTCCCGCGATTGAAGGGATGAACTGGGGGGAAGCGAAGATTCCTTTTCGAATGCAGGAGAAGGCAGAAGCTCAGAATGCCATCCAACTCTAGATATTCGAAATGTTCGGGTTCAAGTGGAGGATGTGACTCCGCGTCCAATGACTAAAAGTCAGGTGCCCTCCGGTGACGTTCAACATCAGCCCTTGGGGCAGCGGTTTGCTGTCGAATCAGCATCCAGCCCCCACCTGTACCAGTTGTACTACGATGCGGTCAATGACTAGGGATGTACGAGTTACGAGTGTATTGTTGGTTCTTGCTGCTGAGCAAGAAGGGGAAACATGTGTCTCCGGTTCCCATGTAAGATGATCGGCGTCCATACCGTATGTAGACAGCGTCGCCCCATCAGTTTTGTATCCTGTATCTGTACTTCGTACATAAGATTCTTTCCATATACTCGTACCTCGCACGACAATGCCTAATTTGAACTTAAGAAAATATTGACTACTCTTTGCTACTAGTACTCATATGGGTACTATCTGTATCTTGCATTCGGTGTGTTTAATCAAGAGCACAGAAAACTCGGGGCACCGCACAAGAACCCGTGTACCGAGAATGTTTCGGTCTTTCTATACCACAATCTTAGGCCAAAAGCACCGACGTCAATTGCATCTGGACCGGGTTTTGAGGGGGAATTCCTAGATTGAATTATACAATAGTATCCTTTCTGTGTTAAACCTCTATACATATGACTAATCACCCTATCAATGATACCGCCGGTAATTTCCATAATCATTCATCAATGTACATACTTTAACCCATGGATCCTCTATGGCCGCGGTTGATCATCCGCAAGGATGTCGGGCAAATCTCGGATATCGGTCGTTTCGTTCGTGTTCACATCCACTAGGCGCACTGCTTCCAAATGTAAAGGACCCGTGGCGAGTGGCAGGAGCTTGATTTCCGTGGAGTGGCAGGTTCCAGGCAACAAAGGTCTAATCCAAGTTAGTTGGGAACAGAGGCAGAGGGACGCAAGACAAGACTCACCCAACTCGAATGTCGGTACTCAAGCTGATCAGTTCAGCTTCCTGCCCAGCCACATTCTTTTGCATAGCATGGACGATATTTTCGTCTGTCACAGCCTCAGCCACATGGTCTGATTTCCGTTCCTTTCGCTCTTTCCGATGACTAGATACGGACGAAGAAGATGGGCGAGCAACATGACCCCGGGGATCTACACGCTTACGACGCGGGATCGCAATCAGGGCAAACTTCCGAGGGATTTGGGATCGATTCACAATGAACACGTCCCAGGAGAAAGGCAATCCGACTTGGACACGGACTGGTCCCGAGAACGAGATAGTGACTCCTACATCAGTCACAGAGTATGCTCGTTCTCGCAGAGAGCTTCGTTGGGCCGAAGTCTGGTTCCCAGAGGACATGGAGAGGCTAGCCGGGCGGTTAGTCCTTTGTAACGCCTGGCTGGGTCCACCAAAGGTAGGATTAAGGGCCATGGAGAAATCGACGTTTGTTTTCCACTCCATGGTAATTCTTGGCTGGCAATCCTCAGAAAGGCGAATCACGGCGCCTAGTGAGATGTCCAGCACACTCATCATGGCTGTGGAGGAAGGATTCGTCTCCGGTCCATACTCTGGAGTCAGTTTGTAGACTAAGGTGACATCATCCCTTGGCCGGCAGGTTAAAGGGAGTGCCAGGCCAGGAACATTGGATAGGGGTTCTAGAGTTCCTTCAGATATTTGAAGCTCCGCTTTATCAAACACCACTTCGCAGGTGAGAAATGGCGTCACTTCGAAATCAAGGCTGGCCACAGTGGTTGCGAGTCCATTGTAAGAGGTCAGGCGTGAATAGCGAATCCTAGCACTCGCAGCAGGTGCTACGCGGTAAGGGCGCGCTTGTTGCTGCTGAATGTTGTAGACTGGGTCTTCGTTATACGCAGTGGGAACCACACGAAGTAATCTGGACGCCGGTAAGAAAGGCTCTTTGTGTGATAGCCCTTTCCCAACGCCTAGGGGTTGAAGCATGTTGGTTGAGGCGGGAACAAGAGGAGGTAGATAATCATCTTCGGAATCCTCTGATCGCGAAGCTTCGGAGGGGTTCAAGGTTGCTGAAGCCATGAACAAGAGTGAGGGGTTTTGGATACGGTTTCGAGGGCGCTCTTCATATCGTTAGACACGTTCTCCATGGTTGGTTTCTCAGGATCGGCATTGGCTTACTGAGAAAGCTTTCGATTGCCCATATTAGATATACATGGTTTCCGCTGCCTTCGTCCCCCTCGAACTGATTAAATACAACCAGAGGTTCCTCCTCAATGTTAACAGCTCCTGAGAAAATGATCTCTCGGGTGGGCGTAGGGTTGTCGGCAACAGACTCTGCTGGTTCAACAGCATAGACATCTAGTCTTACTTCAAGTCGTGGAAGAAAGTGCTTCAGGGTTGATTCGGTGCAGTCAGAAAGTCGCAACACGATACGAACTGGGAGAGTTTCATCTGTAGCACTGATTGTAAGCCTAAGGGCTTTTTGAGAGTGAGGTAAAACATGTTAAAACTTGTTACATACCGTAGAACAGCATAGGCCGTTGTTTGATTGACGACAGCACAGAAGGCAGATCATCGGCCCCATCTTCGAGTGCGGAGGTCAGGGCCTCTTCAATATCCAGCTGGGGGAGGAAGGCACTACCGTTTCCAGAATCGCATGCCGTAGAAACTCGCCAGGCACCTCCAATCCAGGCATTGCAATTTTTTTTTTCTTGAGACACAAAAAAAAAAAAAGCAAAGCTGCAGGTCCCTTAGAACAAGCTGTTGAGGAGATGTTCGCGACAAATAAAGGAGATACGATAAGGTGAAAGGTGCAAACGGCGCATACAATGCAAACAGTGCAACCAAGGCCGAACGATGCAGAGCTTCGCGCATGCACCATGAGCTTTTTTCCTTTCGTTCTCAACCTCCATTCCAGCCCATATGGACACAATGAACAGCACCCCGGGCGCACCTGTCCTGTGGCAGGAGGCACGCAACTCGGATGGTCGCGTTTATTACTACCATGTGCAGACAAAGCAGACACAATGGACGAAGCCCGTCGAGCTGATGACTCCGGCCGAGGTAAGTACTTCTAAGTTATCTTGTCTTGGGTAAACCCAGTCTAACAGTGAGTTCTATCACAACAAAGCGCGCATTGTCGAGTCAGCCATACAAGGAATACCAGACAGAAGATGGACGCAAGTATTGGTACAACCAGGAAACAAAGCAGAGCACCTGGGAGATGCCTGAGGTCTACAAGAACGCGCTCGCGCAAGCCTCAGCCCCGCAAGCCCCGGCCGCGCAAACCCCACAAGCCTTGTAAGTCTATCTAGATTTAGGTTCAGAGGCGTTGTTTGATTCTTATAAGTATTCAGGGTCCCTGCCTTTGTCGCAGGCGGCAGCCTCACCCACCGCGACGACTACGACCGCCGAGACCGCCGAGACCGCGACGACCGACGCGGGCATGGGGGGGGTTGATCATAATGCTTTGATGCTTGCATCCGCACTCAACACCCAGCACGAACCCGAGCCTGAGTACCACACTCTCAAGGAGGCTACCACTGCTTTTGAGAAGATGCTCAGGCGTCATCACGTCCAGGCCGATTGGACTTGGGAACAGACTGTGCGGGCTACGATCCAAGATCCCCAGTACCGTGCCATTAAGGACCCCCGGGACCGCAAGGCAGCTTTTGAGAAATACGCGAACGACCTTCGCAACGAAGAGGAAGCGCAGGCTAAAGAAAGACTTGAGAAGCTTCGAGCCGACTTTAACACCATGCTCCAGCGTCACCCTGAAATCAAACACTACAGTCGCTGGAAGACGATCCGCCCTATCATTGAGGGTGAGACCACATTTCGGGCCACTAGTGACGAAAATGAACGCCGCCGGCTGTTTGAAGACTACATTCTTGACCTCAAAAAATCACACATAGAGCAGGAAGCTGTCACCCGCAAAGCTGCTATGGATGAGCTCGGTGCGATTCTCAATTCTTTGGTCCTTGAACCCTACACCCGCTGGTCTGAGGCCCAGGCGGCCATTGAATCCAACGACAAGATGCAGACTGATACCAAATTCAAGACCCTCACCAAATGTGATATTCTGACTGCGTTCGAAAATCATATCAAGTCGCTGGAACGATCTTTCAACGATGCCCGTCAAGAACAGAAGGCAGTGAAGGCTCGGAAGGCACGTCGGGCCCGTGAAAAATATCTTGAGCTTCTCAAGGAACTCAAGTCGCAGGGCAATATCAAGGCCGGTACCAAGTGGGTCAATATTCGCCCAATGATCCAGGATGACCCCAGATACCAGGCAATGCTGGGCCAGCCAGGATCCAGCCCTCTGGAGCTCTTCTGGGATATGGTCGAGGAGGAAGAACGTGCCCTCCGCCGTCCACGCAATGAGGTGCTTGATATCTTGGATGTGAGTAACGTTCATTTTCGCTGCCCGCCTTTAGCAATACTTACCCATTCTTTCTAGGACAAACGATTTGAGGTCACGGCGGCCACTACGTTCGAAGAGTTCAAGGCCGTGGTGGACACCGATCGGCGTGCTTCCGATATGAGCCCGGAACTCCTTGCGCTCATCTTCGAACGCATTAAGGAAAAGGTAGTGCGACGGAACGAGGAAGAAAAGCATGCCGCTGATCGCCACCATCGCCATGCCGTCGAGGCTCTCCGTTCTCGGATCAAGCGTCTTGAGCCTCCCGTGCGTGCAACAGATACTTGGGAACAGGTGCAACCCCGCCTCGAAAAGTACGAGGAATACAAGGCCGTCGAGACAGATGAGCTTCGCAAGTCGGCATTCGAAAAGTTTATCCGTCGACTGATCGAAAAGGATGAAGACAACGAAAATGATCGCGGAAATCGGGAGCGAGACCGTAACCGTCGCCATGACCACGATCGCAGTGGCCGTGAATACCGCGGAGGTCGAGGAGAGCGACGACGGGGTAGCATGGTCAGTCATTCACCTGAAACCGATGCGTATGAAGCAGACCGGCGTCAAGCCCAGGCCGACCGCGAGCGTTCTTATCGAAAGACCAGCGGATTTTCACCTTCTCGTGACCGCCACGACGACCGTGATCGAGACCGCTACCGTCGTCCTTACCGAGACTATGACCGCCGAGAGATCGAGCGCGAACGTCTGTATCTATCTCGTGGTGACCCTCACGGTAGCCGCGATGAGCTGGACTATGGGGGGGATACTCGCAGTGTTGCCTCCACCGATCGTCGCCGCCGCCGTGACAGCGATGGTGATAGTGTCGCCAGTCGCTCGGTGAAGCGCTATCGTCGTGGTAGTCGTGAACCGGACCACAGCAAGGCATCGGGCCGTGAGCGTACTCGGGAGCATTCCACCATCCCCGAAGAAGAGATCAAGAAAGAGAAGGCGATTCACTCTGGTAGCGAGGAAGGAGAAATCGAGGAGGATTAGACATGCTGTCGCTTTACACTGGCCCTCCAAGTCTCCGAATATCCCTCTGTTAGCACTTTTATTTCTCTCACGGCCTTATGAGCCTTGCGAAAGCATACCCTGGGGACGCTTGTACGAATAAACGATATCTCTGAGCGAATTGAAGGTGATTGATTGATTGACTTCTCATTGACGGTTTGGTCAGGCTCTTGGCCTGATTTGCCGGCAGATAATTTTATCTCCAGTAGCAGGAAACCCGCAGGCTTGTACGCAGCTATGATCCCTTGGGCCTAGAGAGTAGACTACTGGGACAACGCGCTTCGGGCCAGTTAGCCTCGCTGTAGAGCTAAGGCTTCCTTCCTCCGCCTCTTGATGGGATACAGGTATGCTAGGAGGGCGAATATGCCGGTATGCATCTAGCTCCACGCCGAGCGAGCCCGCTCGCTGTGGCCCGCTGTGCGGCAAAGGATGCTTTTGCCGGGCTCTTTTATCTGCTTCTCAAGTCCAGAGGCACTTGACCATTGCTACGTGAGAACCGCATGAAAGCCAGAGAGCGACAGTCGTTCTCTTTGGAAGATTCCGTAATTCAATCATCGTTTCGTTTCATGAACATCAAATATTCTCATAAGATCTAATAACCCGCGGCATTCGGCATGACCTCGGGGGTATCATCACGAAACCGGTTGGTGATGAGGTGACTAAACGACGCCGACCAGTCCACGCGCGGAGTCAAGGTATCCAAGCCCCAAAGCTCCGAGACAAACTTGAGAATGGAAGTATGGGTGAATTCACCGCCTCCAAAGACGGGCTTGTTCTGCACCACACCTTTCCCACCCAAGGGGAGATCAGCATTGCAGGGACCCGGATCCCGAGACGGTCAAAGTTGAAAGTGTAGGGCTTGCCATCGGGCGCCTTCTCGGTGTAGGTCAGGCTATCGCCCGGAGGCACGCCCGTCGGTGGATGTACATGGTCTGCAAACCCGCCGTGTTCATCCCACGTCACAATGAACAGAGTCTCGTTCCATTGGGGAGAGCCACGGACGGCATCATAGATCCCTTTCATGAAGTTCTCGCCCATGTTGACGGGGGACTTTGGATGCATGGACATATAATCACAGCACTCGGGATTGATCCAGGTAAACTGCGGGAGGTTCCCTGCCTTGGCATCTGTGTAGAAGCGGTCTATAGGGAGAACGTTGCTCTTCCCCATGCCTGATTTGGCGGTCCACTCGTAGAACAGGGCATCAGGAAGGAAGCTCGACGGACCAATATCAGTCGTATTCTGGTAGTTGATCCACGTGATGTTATTCTCGGACAACTGCTGGAAGATGCTCTTCTGGGGCAACGTCGAATCTAAGAAGGCATTGTCATTTGATCCGTGGCCATGAGAAGTTCCAGACGTTGCATAGGCGCGATTGGGATTCGTGGGGCCGGGGATGGATGCGAACCACCGGTCGAAAAGAACATAGTTCTCAGCCATTGCATTCGTGACAGGCACGAGGTCTGCGCGGGAACCTTAGTAGATGAACCTCAAAGATAGACGTACAGCCATTAGAAACCTGGTAACCTGGTTCTCGTGGCTGTGACAGATTGGGAAGAGTAGGTACCTGGGGTATAGTAGTTAATCACCTCGGCGGCCTCCATCATGTTCTGCTGAAGACCGTAGTAATAGCTTTGCTCGGTGACAAACCCTTTCATGGTGGACTGGGAGTAATCTGTGGGGTGGTAGTCTCCGAAAACTTGCATATTGCCGCCGGTAATGGTGTGGTCGGGGTCATCAGAGGCCACATTTTTAGCCGTGTTCGCTGCACAAACTTCCTGCGAGAACGGCTGCGAGACATTGGCGGGGTTGCAATAGCGAGTTTTTACTAGGCCGTCGATCCAGGGACTGTAGGTAAAACCTCCCGCCAGGGTGTCAAAAGACCTATTCTCCTGGATGAGAACAACTATATTCTTAATATTCTCCAGCGGGGAGCTGGTGGGCAAGGCTGCGACCCCCCGCCGAGACTCAGAGTCAGAAGAAGCGCAGAAAGAGACATCTGGGCAGCAGCTGGTCTCGATCACATTTTCAGGATCCCATCACCTTCATTTATCTATTTTCCAGCCCACTCACTTGCATATCCCTTATCTCGCACGAGGATCCTATTTGCTGTGTGATTGGATTTCCAACCATCTAGATCCACCGACGTCGGACATGACTTGAGCCCTTGTGAGTGGCTCAATCTGTCTAAGAGGCTGCAGGTTCCGATAGGGATCGCCGGTTGAGCCGGCGTACATGATGTTCCACCTGGGCATGATCGACATTGTTTACATAATTCCCCTCCTGGGATTGGCTTGGCTTCCCCGCAAACCCACCAGGCACACGCGCATGATTGGCGTGGCTTCCCAAGGAGGGGTTCCTGGTCCCTCCCGGTTTGTAGTCGCATCAGTCTCGGCTCATGATCAAGGATAGATGCTACATGAAATATAAGCGAAGACAATCAGAAGGCATGTCGCGTGTACATACCCTATTGCGAGGTCTCATGCGGGAAGAGAAACACGCGACATCCGAGCGGATTCACTTCCGCAGCTGATCATCCCTGGATTCTACCCTTGATTGAATATCCCGAGGCATGAAGAAATCGCAAATTTGAGTTATCTGGTAGTCGCTTGTAAGTCTGAGTTGGAGCTATTGCATGTAGACCTTGAGAATTCTGTCACTACCCCCGTCACGAAGACACACCGTGTTTCAGACCTCCCTCGCTTCAAATGGACCCCCGTCAAAGCCTTAGACGACTTAGAGGAACTAAAATAAGCGGGGACCCATTGGATGCAGTTGACGAAGTCCTTCTGATCTTCGATCACATGGACCAGCCGCCCGAAAGCTGCAAGGTCCCAGAATCGAATCGTCCCGTCGTCTCCGACGCTCAGCAGAAACCGCCCACAGGGAGAGAAAGCAAGACCTCTGACCCAGCTATCATGACCGATCAAAGTTTGGACCAGTGGACCATTGGCGTCCCAGATATTGATTGTTCGGTCTCTGCTGCCTGTGACGACAAATTCAGCAGAGGAGGGTGTGGGAGGTTTCCACCTCCCCCTCAGGTGCGCCATCCCAGCGAGAAAAGAGTAGCTTTCGGGGGGCGCCAATATGCAACACTCGACGCGCAGCTCATGTCCTCGGAAAATAGAGCGGATGGCCCCTGTGGAGATTTCCCATAGCGTGGCAGTGTTATCGTCTCCAGCAGACACAAGCCATCTCCCATCCGAAGACGGTGATATATCACGAACCCAGCCACTCTCTGTACAGACCGTCCGGATGCAAGCGCCAGTCAAGGCATTCCAGATTCGAATGGTGCCATCTCTCCCACTTGACGCAAGCTTAGAACCCCCTGGACGGAGGAATCGGACCGAAGTAACGGGGTGATTGTGCCCTAGGAGGGACCAAACACTGGCGTAGCCGATGCTGGGATCCCATAGCTCGACCATTGTATTGACGGAACAAGAGGCGAGCAGAACACTTCCTTCTGGACCACCAAAATCGACGCCAGTGACTTAATCGGAATGGGCCCAGATGGTTTTCGCGAGCCGTCCTTGTTCCCAGTCCCAGATTTTGATCTCACCGTTCCCCGCCCCAGACGCAACCCAGGGGTCTGTTGGATGAAAGGCCACACATTCAATGCCACATCTATGCGACTTAAGAGTGTATGTCGGTGCCTTTGGCAGCCAGTTCGCTGGATCAGTGATCTTCCTCTTCAACGCTGCCGGCGAGGCTTTCAATTCTCCTTTGAGACAATCTACCTCCGACTCAAGGTCCATGATCTGCCTGGCGTGAGTGACATCCAATCCAGGAATGGGTCAAGCCCTTTCTGGGTGAAGTCCCAGGAGGCCCGAGGGACCTCCAGTCATTGCTCTTACCTGCCGAGAGAACCGCAAAAGACTGGTCCACTTCTTCGCTAAGAGCCCTCCATACTGCTGTACCGCTGCATCTGGGAATTTTTCAACCTGTAGGCCTAGCTCTTCGCGTAAACTGGCAACACTGGGCGAACAGTTGGCCGCCGCTAAGTACCCAATTATTGCCTTATGCCTAGATCATCAGTCAGTCATTCTTGTCTCCAATTCTGGAGGCAGAGCCACCCATGCATCATCTCCATGAAAAGGGGGGGGATACAGTTCATCAGTTTGGCGAGCCGTCAAGACAGAGCCCATGCTTCAAAGTTGAAACTAATCAAAACGGAGGAATCTAAGGATAGTGTTGCAAGGGCAGAAGCTACGCATAAATACCAATCCAGGTACCATAGGACTTTTTTTTACCCTTATGGATTCTGCACTAAAAGAATGCAGCCACAAAATCACATGACCAAATGCATGCAAGGTAATCTCCATCTATCTGTCTTTGCATCGCAATGCCTAGGTAAAGACAAGCGTCTGGAGGACGTATCCCAGTACATAAATTGGATTGTGTCAAGCTAACAAAGAGCTAGTAGCAAGTTGAATGCTAGAGTTCCTAGCGCTGTCGAAAGCTGGACCCACGGGCACGCCTCGTCCACGCGCCGTTCCTACCTCCCCTGAAAAGGTTCCTTCTCTATCAAATTACAAGTCAAAAGCTTTTGTTGCGGGGGTAAAATGAATTATAACTCCGATCGAAACCATGCCAATCAAAAAATGTTTCCCGACCTAAGGAGACCTGGCATTGGCAGAATTCCCGGACCATATCCATAGTCCGGATATGCATGCAAATTGCACAAGACTGAAAAGCCTGGAATGGAACGATTGCAGGGTATATGACGACGGTTGTAAGACAGTGACTTGATTGATCCCGTCAGAGAAGGTGAAAACTGCGGACCTGGGACCACCGGGGTCAGTTGACCCTCAGATGGCAGAATCTGGGCTACCACCGCGATCTTCGTCATCATCCCCGTCTTCGTCGTCAGAGAGGAGGCCGGCACTGCCAGGGCTTACTGAAGAACATCGCCTTGCTCCCTTTCCCCGAATCGCTGAGGCAATCAGAACGCCCGAAAACGCCATGAACCACCTGGATCCCCTTTTGCCGCGGCGCCGCCTGCGCCGCCGTTCAGAATCGCGACCATCACGGTGGCGGTGACGGCGATTATGCTCATGAAAGAAGCCCTCTTCAGTTCTCTTCTTCCAGGAAGTAGTAGTTGCCAGCCAACTTCTGCTCCTGGTCGATCCTGACTCTGATACTTGTTGATGCGAGGGCGGTAGCTGTTCGGATCACGACGGAAGGTGACATCTAAGCTCTCCAAGAACTTGTTGCAGCCAGTGACCAAAGACTCGGGGGTGTTGGCGTGGGCTTTCACGGAAGGTTGACCATCGAAAACGATGACACGATCAGCGAGGTAGGTAGCCATGATGAAATCGTGCTCGACGATGAAAGCAGTCTTCTTGGTGTGCATGATGAAACGCTTAATCACACGGGCAGCGATGATACGCTGCTCAGAGTCGAGGTAGGCACTAGGCTCATCGATCAGGTAAATATCAGCAGGCATACCCAGGGCCAGAACGATCGCAACACGCTGCAATTCACCACCGGACAAGTTCTGCACTTCTTGGTCAATGAAATCGTCAAGCTTCAGGGGCTTGTACACATCGGTCTGGAACTGCGGGGAGAGGAAAGCAGCCTTGATACGCTTGAAGAACAGCTGACGAACGGTACCCTGGAACTTGGGTGTGATCTTCTGAGGCTTCATGCTAATGTTCATCTTGGGAACCGAGCCACCTTCATCCGGTTGCAAAGCTCCTGCAAGCATTCGACAGAAAGTAGTCTTGCCAGTTCCGTTCTCACCCATCATGACGATGATCTCAGAGTCAGTGAACCTTCCAGAATCGATCTGGAGGCTGAAGTTACCCAGAGTCTTCTTCATGTTCGGGTAGCTGAACGCGCGGCCCTTATCAGCGATAAACTCGTCTCCAGCTTCACTTAGTCGGAAAGTCAGAGATTCCTCACGGAAACGCAAGTTCTCCGTGGGGATGTGACCATCAAGGAAGATGTTGATACCCTCGCGAACGGAAGAAGGCAAAGTGACAACACCATAGACAGCGGGGCGACCGTAAAGTACACAAATGAAATCAGAAAGATAGTCGAGCACCGACAGATCGTGCTCCACAACGATGACATAGTCATCAGGGCGCAAAAGGCTGCGAATGGTGCGGGCCGCAGCGAGACGCTGCTTAACATCGAGATACGACGAAGGCTCGTCGAACATGTAACTATTGGAAGAATTAGTGGACTGATAAATATTGACCCTTTCAAGGGAACTGATAGGAATTTCAACTCACACGTCCGCCTTCTGCACACAGACCAGGCCAAGAGCAAAACGTTGCAGCTCACCACCGGACAAATGGTCGATATCACGGTCGGCAACCTGTCGCAGTTCTGTGGAAAATAGTAATTAGTTGATGCCACCAGGGAGGCCTAACCGCGGGAGTTGCGTACCGAGAACGTTCATAATCTCATCGAAGTTGCTCTAGCTGGGCGCGAGCCTTGATCAGATCATTGACCTGCTTGGTAGGCCCCTTCACGGCCCGCGGGATCTGGTCAACATATTGAGGCTTCACGACAGCCTTCAAGTCATCTTCTAAGACCTTGGTGAAGTAGTCTATGACACAGTTAGCCGATTGATATTTTCTCCAAGAGCTGAATACCGCGTGACTGACTCTGCAATTCCGAACCACGGAAGTACTTCAAAATTTCCTCCCAGTCGGGCGGGTTGTCGTACCGTCCCAGATTGGGCTTCAGCTTGCCACTCAGGATCTTGAGAGCTGTACTCTTTCCAATACCGTTTGTTCCAACAAGACCGAGGACCTGACCGGGACGGGGCATGGGCAGACGGTGGAGCTTGAAGCTGTTGGCCGAGTAGCGATGGGTCACTTGGGTCTCCAGGTTGGTAGGCAAGTTGATGATATGGATGGCGCCGAAAGGACATTTCTTGGGGCAGATACCACAACCAATGCACAAAGTCTCGGAAATGTAGGCGATTTTCGATTCGGGAGTCACTTCGATACAGAGTTTACCTGTTCTGACCACAGGGCAAGACTTCTTGCACTCTTGGCGACATTTCTATATCCATTAGTAGTTGATTCTTAAGCCAATATTCTGAACCCATATCCATACCTTCGGCTTGCACTATCGGGCGGCAAATTTCTTGTATTAGTGATTTTGTACTAGAATGCCGCGGGGTACTTGAAACGAACCTTGTCCGAGTTGATGATCGCAATACTATGAAGAAATATATCGTTAGTACTTAAAATCAAGCCTAGAACAAGACAAAGGGGTGATTTGATCTTACCGGGTAAGCTTGTCAGACATGATGGCGATTTTCGCTCAAGAACCAGCGTCTGGTACAAAACAGCCGGTCGCGATGAGGAATTAGATTCTGATTAAGACTTGGACCGGTACAGGGTGGAAAGAACCGCGCGCAGCCAGAGATATCGGGGCGCAGAGAAGCACCAAATTTTTTGCGCTGGACTTTGTAAAGAAGTGGCGAAGCCGAAACAATGAACACTGTCGCGAGGGGCAGATTTGAACAGACTTTCTGTGGGCAATATTGGCCTGAGGCCACAACGCAGGCCTGTTTTCTGTAATTATTTGTCTATGATTTTATTGGTGGAGAGAAGGCGGTCGGGATTATTGATGATCCGAAGCAGAACAAGTGACACGTTAATGCCTAATACATCAGGCGCCGAAGCTAGTTAAGCGCCGAAGCGAAGGCGCTAGTCCTGAATTAGAACCAGTAGTTGCTGCCTGACCCGTGAGGCCAGGGCCGATCCTTGCCTGGAAACCAAACCAAGCCGAATCAAACCTCCCCCAACTCTTCTTCGCTCCCCCGTCTCAGGTCTTCCACGCTTTCTCCATCTTCACGTCTAGTCCCCACCACCCCAACCCTTCACCATTCCTTTCACACATTGATTCAATATCTACCCCTTTGACGGGGTCACCACGCTATGGAGAGTAAGTGACTATTTATTCCCCATCTACATTCCCCAAAACGTACCGAATGAACCCTGTACCCGGGCTCTTCTCCGCGTTATTCGACCCACTGCCATGATCTTGGAACTGTCGATTCTCGCGATTTGAACCGGTCTGGTGAGATCGCTTCGCGCAGCCTGGTCCTTGTTTTCTCCTGGGTGGCAGTTTCTGTCAAACTTATGCCTGCCCCATCCCATGCCCGCGTCCATCCCACCCGGCATCAAAAAACCATCGATTTCATCAATCTGCACGATCTACCCCAATTCTTCCTCCTTTGCCTTGTATCTCCTACCACCTGAGTCGCGTGCCTCCCGCCTACCTTTCCATACGCGTTTGGAACCCCTGCCACCGTGATTTGGCCTTCAATGCTGACTGCCCCTCGGCCATAGCATCTAGCATGGTGATCCCATCGGGTCAAGAACCTCCCTCTACCTCTACAATGGCGAACGGCTTCTCACCTTCCCCTGTGTCCGACGTCGCCGCATCTCGGAGTGACGTGGACGTCAAAAGCGAAGCCAGCCAGGCCGAGCTCGTCGAGCCACATCCCATCACCGAATCCTCCCCCCGAGCCCGATGCCGCAGATGACTCCTACGCCGGCGAGTCAGCTGTTTCTGATGAAGATGATGATGAAGAAGAAGAAGATGTGGCGATGAATAACTCTGGCGATGAATTCGACCAGTACAGCCGTGAAAACTCTGCATCACACCCCGATCGCGCCGTCAAGCGCAAATCGTCGCCGCTGGATGAAACCAAGTTCATGCGACAAGACCCTGCTTTGTATGGCCTGCGTCGAAGTGGTCGCGCGCGTCCTACACGTACCCTCGCCGACTTCTCCGACTCTGAATCCGATAGCGTCGCGCCACGTCCTAAGCGCCGACGCAAAGAACAATCACAACAGCCCTCGAAAACTTCGCGGTCGGGTACTGTGACATCGGCTTCCGGTTCTGACAGTGATGAGTACGGCGGGAAACGCGCTCGTGCAAGCCAAGCCAAGCGTCGTCTCAAGCAAGCCGCTGTCATGGAGCCCTCTCACGCTGAAGTCCGCTTTTCCACCCGCAATGCCGCCAAGGTGTCGAATTACAACGAGGACGAAGATGACTCAATATTCGAAGAAGACGCAGACGAACTGGCTCCAAACTACTGGGGCAGCTACGAAGAAGATACCCGGCCTGCCGTGGATGTTGTTCTCAATCATCGCTTGAAGGAAGGCGTCGACCCCAAAGACCCTCACCTCGACCGCCAACACTTTGAGTTCTACATCAAGTGGCAAGGCAAGTCACATTACCATGCAACATGGGTGCCAAACGAGGATTTGCCGAACTACCGCAGCACACGTCGAGTGGACAACTACGTCCGCAGAGTGCTTAAGGAGGAGCTTCACCTGCACCTCGACGATGCCCCACCGGAGGATCGCGAGAAGTGGAACCTTGACCGTGAACGCGATGTGGAGGCAATTGAAGATTACAAACAAGTTGAACGTGTCATCGGCGTTCGAGAAGGCGAAAATGGCACCACGGAGTATCTAGTCAAGTGGAAGCGCTTGTTTTACGACTCCTGCACCTGGGAGTCGGAGGATATCGTCAGCGAGATCGCCCAGAATGAGATCGATCGCTTCATTGATCGCTCTGCTCGATATCCTGTATCTGATAAGAACGAGACCAACCCTGCAACACGCAAATCATTTGAGCCAATTCACAGCTCACCGTCTTTCCTACAAAACGGTGAGCTCAAGGATTTTCAAATTAAGGGCTTGAACTTTCTTGCTTTCAACTGGGTTAGAGATCGCAATGTGGTGCTCGCCGACGAGATGGGCCTTGGTAAAACTGTACAGACCGTCTCATTTATCAATTGGCTTCGTCATGTTCGCAAACAACAAGGACCGTTCATCGTGATTGTACCTCTATCTACCATGCCGGCGTGGGCAGAGACATTCGATCACTGGACGCCTGACTTAAACTACGTTGTCTACAACGGCAGCGAAAAAGCTCGTACTGTCCTTCGGGACTATGAATTGATGGTTGATGGAAATCCGAAGCGTCCAAAATTCCATGTCCTGTTGACAACTTATGAATATGCTATGAACGACTCACCATTCCTGGGGCAGTTCAGGTGGCAGTTCATGGCAATCGATGAGGCACATCGCCTGAAAAACCGTGAATCTCAACTCTACATGAAGCTGTCCGAATGGAAGTGCCAGGCCCGGCTGTTGATCACCGGAACCCCCATTCAGAACAACCTTGCTGAGCTGTCATCTTTGATGGACTTCCTTAACCCTGGTGTCATCCAGGTGGATGTGGACATGGATCTTAACTCCGAAGCCGCATCACAGAAACTAGCTGCCCTCACAGATGCTATCCAGCCTTACATGCTGCGCCGTACCAAGTCCAAAGTCGAATCTGATCTTCCCCCGAAGACAGAGAAGATCATCCGAGTGGAACTTTCGGATGTTCAGCTGGAGTATTACAAGAATATTTTGACCAAGAATTATGCTGCTCTCAATGACGGTGCGAAAGGAATGAAGCAGTCACTCCTCAACATCATGATGGAATTGAAGAAAGCGAGCAATCACCCGTTCATGTTTCCCAACGCCGAAGCAAAGATCCTGGAAGGGAGTACCAGGCGAGAGGACATCCTTCGCGCGATGATCACCAGCAGTGGAAAAATGATGCTGCTGGATCAGCTCCTCAGGAAATTGAAGCAAGATGGACACCGCGTTCTCATTTTTGCCAGATGGTCGGCATGCTCAACATCCTAAGTGAATACATGGAATATCGTGGCTATACCTACCAACGCCTCGATGGAACCATCCCCTCGGCAGCACGTCGCCTGGCGATCGAGCATTATAACGCTTCTGAAAGCACCGATTTTGCCTTCCTCCTCTCCACGCGCGCGGGTGGTCTCGGTATCAACCTAATGACTGCTGACACCGTCGTACTCTTCGACTCGGATTGGAATCCTCAGGCTGATCTGCAAGCCATGGCCCGAGCTCACCGTATCGGACAGACAAAACCTGTCAGTGTGTACCGCCTTGTTTCCAAAGATACCATCGAGGAAGAAGTCATCGAAAGAGCTCGTAACAAGCTTCTCTTGGAGTTTATCACCATTCAGCGAGGTGTTACCGACAAGGAGGCCTCAGAGATGCAGAATAAGATGTCTCGGGTCCTTGGCGAGCCTAACTCAACCGATGACATTTCCCGCATCCTCAAACGTCGTGGACAGAAGATGTTCGAGCAGACTGGTAACCAGAAGAAGCTTGAGCAGATCGACATCGACTCTGTTCTTGCCAACGCGGAGTTGCATCAAACTGAAGAAAGCGAGCAAATCCAAGCTGATGGTGGTGAAGAATTCTTGAAAGCGTTTGATTTTGTTGACTTCAAGGTTGATAACCTCTCCTGGGATCAAATTATTCCACCGGAGCAGCTCCAGGAGATCAAAGCCGAGGAGAAGCGCAAGGCGGATGAGAAGTATCTTGAAGATGTGATTGAGCAGAACAGACCTCGCAAACGCCATGCCCCAGTTGACTCACGGGACTCACGTGAGGAGCGCAAGGCCAAGCGTCAAGCACGTGCGCAAGTTGCTATTGACGATGGCGACGATGAAGAAAATCTTTCGTTGGATCCGAAGCGGCCTCTCAGCGAGAAGGAGTACCGCGCTTTGTCTCGTGCATTCCTTCGCTATGGTGATATGGCGGACTGCGAAGACCTCATTTTGGCCGACGCGCGGCTACAAAACCGCGATCGAGACACAGTCCGAGCTGCTCTCCAGGAGATAACCGACAAAGCTGCTGCCCTGGTTCACGAGAATATGAACCAGATGGAAGCCATCAAATCGACTGGCAAGAATCTCACCAAGAAAGAGCAAAAAGCGGTCTTGTTCGATCATCACGGTGTGAAGCGACTTAATGCCTGGACTATTGTGGATCGTCCCCCTGACATGCGTCTTGTCCGGAAGATGACAACTTCCTTACCTGATTTCCGTAATTTCCGTCTCCCAGAAGCAACTAAATTGGCCGACTACAGCTGCTCGTGGGGTGCCCGTGAAGATGGAATGCTCCTAGTGGGAATCGGACGTCATGGATTCGGCGCCTGGACACAAATCCGCGATGATGTCGATCTCGGCCTGGGAGACAAGTTCTTCTTGGAGGAGCACCGAGTAGAACGAAAGACTCAGCGTTTACAAGGCGAAGAGAAAGCAACCAAGTCCCCGGGGGCTGTTCACCTCGTCCGTCGAGCTGAGTACTTGCTGTCAGTTCTTCGCAACAAATACAGCAGTGGCAACAATGCAAGTGCGAGGCGTGCCGTGGAGAATCATCACCGGAACAACAAGAGGTCTTCGCGTGTTGGCAGTGGCAGCATGTCGGCTTCACCTGCTCCCTCGTCTCGCAAGGGACAGCGCGAAGCCGACCGGCCCCGCCAACGCTCCCATACACAAGGGAGTCGTGACAGCGAGCGTCACACTCCAGGCCATGATCGCCCCCGATCTGGGCATGATGCTGATCGTCCTCGGCATCGTGCCTCAGATGCTGGGGACGATCGTCGCCGCAAAAGTCATGAGAATGGCTCGGGCAAGGAGGACATGAACAGCTTGTTTTTCCGGCCAATTGTGGATAACCTCCGACGGGTTTCCACAATCACCGCTAAGAATTATCCAAGCAAGACCGAGCGAGCCCAAAAGCTCCGAAACACCATCGTCAAGATTGGTGATTTCATCAAAGACAATCTGGGGGGCAATCAGCCGATGCCTTCCCTGGAGCGTCGCCTTTGGTAAGACTATTGAGAAATTCCCTTTGGCTCCGTGAAGTTATTAATCGCAATAATAGGGACTACGTCTCGGTCAACTACTGGCCCAACAAAGAAGCCAGTGGAGCAAAGCTCCAGCAGATATTCGAAAGGGTGCAACAACAAGCGAACAGCAAAGCCCCGAAGCCATAAAGTGGCTTTTGTTTGGCCGGGATCAGCAAGCTTAGGCGGGGGTCTCCGTCTTGTTTTACGGATAATGAAAATACATACAAATGAGCAAGATAACTCTCAGTATTTCATGACATATGATTAGTCCCCTGCTTTTGGTAATGGTTCTTCTTTCTCTACTATCCTTTAAAGTGCGCGCACTATGGGCTTTATATCATCTCACCTTGAGGGATTAAAGTCAACAACAAATCTTCTCATTGAGTACATACAGGCGCATTGTCTTGCATGGCCTTTGCAGGCCTCGAATGACTTTTCATGACTTTTCATGACTTTTCTCGACGATTGCAGGACCGGCATTCAAGCCTCTGCCCGAGTCCGTTCTGGGATGACCAGAAGACTTTCCACATGGAACATTTTTGGTACGGCCAAGGTGCATTCCTTTTGATATTCTCTGTCCCTAGAACTTCCCCTCCACCCGTCTATGATCGTCGCATAACGATCAGCATAAAAATGTTGGGAGGCAAGCGAAGGCTCTGCGCATGAATCTCATCTCGCTTTTCGTACTTTCTTCAAGTTCCATGCATCGAGAGAAGCACCTGTGCTTATCTGTCCATACTCTTTTATTCTATTCTATTTTTTTTAGCCAAATGTATCCTATGGTGTGGCTTTCGGCATTGTCTGCTCTCTGTATACGTTCGCGCAAGATTGGTTGCTACTTTGCATTGTTCGCGATGTCTTTACCAAATCCAATGCAATGGATCCAGCTGAGGCCTCTGATCTAGCATGACAATGCAATGTTGTTCGATGCTCCATGTAGCCATGTAGCTAGGGAACTAGAGAATGGCTCCATTCGATAGAGTTGAATTATTTCGTAAATATGAAGCTTGCTGTTGTTACACTTGTCCATGCCCTCCTTTCCACCCATGAACATACCTCCCTGATGAGCACAGGTTACTAACGCCAACCACGCCGATACATGGTAATCAATCAAAATGAAAATGAAAATGAAAATGAAAACAAAGGCTGAGTAGAGAAGTAATCCCAGTCGCCGTCTGCCAAGAAGAAACATGAAGTTCAGACGAAGAGAACATTAGATGAGTCCTGCAAGGTCTTCTATGCAGCCGCAGCGGACGGTTCCACCTCCATGTCTCTCTCCTCCTTCTCCGCCCCCTTTAGATGTAACTCATCCTGCTGCTGCTGAAATTGTTGTTGTTGTCGTTGGAGCTTTTCCAAAGTGTTCGATGTACCTGCGATGTCTGCGGAAGCAGGGACGCCCCCCGAGCCGAGAAGCACATTGAAAAGACGCAGTTCTACCGCAGTTAGATCATCGAAGATACAATTCTTCTCCCGCCATGCGTCTTCACGCTTTGGGCGCAAGTCGTCCCATTCCGCCTTTAGTTTTTCCGACTCACGCTCTTCCCAAGCAATTTCTCGCCGGAGGACTCGGTAGAGGTCACGGGGATTGAGCCTCAGCTCTTCCTCGTCGAAGCCATGTTCGGGGCCCAGTTCGGGCATCGTCATTTCATCAACATCAGAGGTATCAATAGCACCGGGCGCGGAGAGAATAGCTTCAGGATGAGGGAGGTGTGGGCTATCAGCGCCTGGTTCGCGGGGCGGGTGGGAGAGCTTCAGACGGATACGCTGGAGCTTAGAAGCTGGGGTTCCGGCGACGCTCCCGGTGCCGCCACCCGATGTAGACTTCGAGTCTGCTGATCGGAGGGAGTCGATTTCGTGAACGGAACGCATGTGCTTCGTCAGGGCGTCCGACCGGGTGAAGTTGCGGTCACATTCTGGAGAGTGGGCGTCAGTGGGTTCTTTCTCCGCCCAAAAACGAATGGTGGGGAGATATTGAAGGCGGTTGCATCAGACGTACCAGGGAGAGTACAGTAGAAAGGTTTCTCTCGAGTATGACTCCGCATGTGAGCCCGCAATGCATAGGCACTGGCATGCGTTTGGCCTTTGCGATTGCATTCGCTCCACTCGCAGGAGTACCGCTTCTGCCGGCTCCCGATGTGCTCAGTGTGGATGTGCTGCACCAATCCATCCATGTTACCTAAGTCACCGGCTGTGCAACCTTCCCAGAGGCATACGGTAACTTGGTCGCCACTATGGCCATTATAGTCATCGTCTTGGTTGTTGCCCAGCAATCCGGCTAGACTAGGGGAGTTAGGGATGTCTCCGTCCGTGTCGGAAGAGATAGAGGCCGTGGGCGACCCGGGCGGGGGAATCTCGTCTTGCATCGAGGATAAAGGGGTCTGACGGTCCCAAGTGGCTGCTCCGGTGCGGCGACGCTTTGACGGAGGAAGGTTGGCAGCCGTCGGGGACGGCGCGCGGCTTTCATGTTTGATGGACTCGCGGTCCGAGTAGTCGGCTGCCGTGCCGACGGACGAAAGGGGGAAGCAGGGGAATCTCGTGACGCCATCGAGATATCAAGGGCAACGAAGATGGGAGGTTGATGGTCGAATCACCACAAGAGGCGTCGATTGACTGACGAAACCGCCGAGAGCTCTTGGTGAATCGCCAATCTGCGCTAGTCAACTGCAAAGTCACGTGCAAATACGAACATGAGATCACGTGTGGCAGATACGGAGTTTATATTTCACCGCGGAGAGAGTTTGCTTTTTCTCTTTGCTCCATTGGAGGCCCAGAGGGCAAAGATCTACCAAAACTTTACTTTCAAGGATCGAGGATTCTCGAGAGCTTTACATGATTGTGTTCACAAGATCCTCAACAAAATTCTTTCGCTACTAAATTCCCGCTCTACTTACATATTTAGGATACTTGGGACCTTACGGGTTACCCAACGTATTACCCATCGTCTACTCAACCCGTCGTGATCCTAAGTAAGTTCAGGCCGTGTTATTTATCTCTCTCTTGCGAATGATGAACAAAAAGAAGAATTCTGCAATGCTGACAACCTCCTTACATTAAATTGTGGGCGAGGTTGCATGTTGACTCTTCTACACTTGATCTGACTTGCGTTCACCTCATTAAATTGCCTCATTGCTCAATAAGTGATGCGTAAGCTCAAGCTAACCGCTTTCTTCAGATGTTACAGAACCGATCCCCTAGCATAATATATCTCATAAAGCATAAAATACCTTCAAGCGTAACGTCCACCGGCGACAGTATGGCTCTTGAGAATCGCGTCCACCTCCGCCAATTCCTCGTCAGACAACAGCTTGATACCTGAGGTATTCTGCGTCACCTTGTCGACAGTGGTACCACCGGGGATGGGAATAATGGTAGGCAAGCCGGGCTTGTTGCTTAGACTAAGGACCCAGCTCAAGGCGATCTGGGCTGGAGCCAAGCCCTTGCGAGTAGCCAGATCCTTCACCGCATTGATGAGCTTCTGGTTCTGAGCCCAGTTTTCAGCTTGGAACCGGGCCATGTGACTGCGGAAATCCCCAGCAGGGATATTCTCCGGGTGAGGGCGCCTGTGAGAGCACCACGGCCCAGAGGCGAGTAAGCCACGACGGGGATATTTAACTCGGCGCAAACCTTCGCAACGTCGTTGGTCAGAATATCGGTGCTCCACAATGAGAGCTCAACCTCGACGGCGGCGATCGGGTGAACCTTGGCCCTATGTAGCGATTAGCTTATGTTTGGATGCTGTAGATAGAGCTCTAAGTACGTACGCGCGACGGATGGTCTCGGCATCCACTTCACTTAAGCCAATGCCTCCAATCTTGCCCTCCTTGACGTACTCGGCAAGGACCTTGATGGTGTGCTCGACGGGATAAGCGGGATCCTGGCGGGCAACTTCGAAGATGTCGAGCTTCTTCTTTCCGTCCAACACGCGGAGGCTTTCGTCCACGGAACGGCGAATGTTCTTCTCTGAGCCATCTGGCTGGAGTTGGCCGGGCACCATTCCACCCTTGATGCTGAGCACCACCTTCTCGGCGTTTTCCGGGTACTTGGAGAAGTACTTATTGAGAAGATGCAGGGAGTTGTACTCCGGAGTGCCATACAGCTCCCCCCCCGTTCCAGAAGTTGGCGCCCAGCTCAAGGGCCTTGTTCAGAGTCTCGAAGGCTTGCTCTTGCGGGGCAGGCACAGGCCGCCATGTCAAACCTGCGGGCAGCGTATTAGCGATATCCTTTTCCGTCAATTGCCCCAACTTCGCGCGTAGTAAAGGAGTGCCTCTTACCCATGGTACCATAGCCGGTCGCACCGATTTCTTTTCCAACGAGAGAAGGCATTGTCACTGTACAAATCGAAGGGTAGGATTTGAAGATAGGCAACTTTGACAGCGTCTGAGGTTTTCTCGAAGTCTAGTCAAATGGCGAACAGCAGAAGAGTTCAAACTTGCGATGTCGAAGCCCACCCAAAAGGGAGGAGAAGGCCTCCTTATATAACCGAGTTGCTCCTGAAGATCGAGGAGTTTAGAAGCTTCTCCATGGGCTTCTTTTCGTCATCAGCGGGCCTGCCGACGGTGCCGTTCTCGACGGTGATTGGCCAGCACGGCACGAGCTAATGTACGAAAAAAAACCGCGCGTGAAGAATTGCGGTGGAGTCCGGACTTAACCTCGATCCCCGTATACTCCAAAATTAGTCGCATGGCGCATTTACGATAACGCCGAGTGTTCCAGGGACATCCTTGCGATGGAAATTGACAGCCTCTAGTCGGGCTCATTTCTGCTCGTTGCCCAGCCCTTTATCTCCGAGCTCTTGAGATGTGAGTCCGAGTCCTCAACTTGCTCGGACTCAAAACTGGTACTTGCCTGGGTTTGTAGCCGAGAATCTAGTTCCCTCCGGCAGTCCAGTGCCAACGCATCTCAATACTTCACAGACTGTATATACGCGGATAATGATGAAACTATCGAAATTGAAATCCGGGTTCTAGAGATGCTTAGTGGAACTGAAAATATAGTACTGGTGTCCGGGCATATTTGTGAAGTAGCGTATTTTTCTACATCGAGGCTGCTAGCAACAGGATTGAGAAAGCAAAATTGAAAATGGCAACGCTTGGAGTCCGTCTGCGTATCATTCAGGACAACCGGGGTTTCAAGTACGATGGGGCGTGTGCTTCATCTTCGGAGTGTCATTTCGTCTGAACTATCAACCATATCATTGAACCGATGGGCCAGCTCGGTATAAACCGCGTCGAAGATCACTGGTATATCAGACGCCTCGATGCGGTTTCCCCCCTTCCATCCAGCTCCGAACTGGATGTTATGGATAGGCTTGTCGTTCTCGTTCTTGATCGTTGTGGTGAATTGCACAGTGTCTCCGGGTTCCGTGGGAGTCGCGGTCGATGAGGAGGTCGCGCTGGATGTCGAACTTGAAGAGCTTAGTGTTGCGCTCGGGGTACGCTCATGGTCCTCAGGCTGTCCTTGCTCCGCCGTGACCGTAGGGGTAGGAACTAGGGCGGGCGTCTCTGATGGGACCGGAGGACCAACTCCCAACTCGTTCAGCAATTGTGCGATATAATTTGTAGTATCGGGGATTAGTCTCTGTAATTTGTGAGTATTGGTGTCGCGACTGTTTTCTCTTTTGGACCATCGCGTACCGGCTCTCGAGGTAAGAGGATCGAAGACCCTTCCTTGTCGACAGCGCGCTCTGGCTCGCGAATAGGATGCGCATAAACTGACGATACAGCCACAATGGTGGTCATGATAGTGGCTGCCTGGAAAAACATATTGCGAAAATTGGTTGATCCCCCCTTAGTGAATAGGGAACCGGAGAAATTGATCAATGAAACAGCTCACTTGGGCACAGCATGAGCTAATAGTGAATTGAATATATCCTTAGGATCAGCGCGCGCGAAGGGCGATCCTGGATCCACCGATGATTCATATAGCTGGGCCCTGGACACATCTAGGAGTGTTTTGCTGTGTTGTGGAATGAGAGGTGTTCAGGGCAGATGCCGATCTTCACATACCTCAAAGCCGGCATATTCATCAACACTCGCGGAGCAGTCCTCGGAAACTTCACATTGCGAAATACCATGGACAAATTTGGTTCGCTATCTGTTCTTATATTAGTTCTTTATCGAACGACATCCCATACTCGTTCCCTTTTGGATGCTGTCAAACCAGGGGCACCCGTGCAGGAGGTAGAATCTCGGGATGACATTTCCCACATTCCGTATAAGCCGGTTTAACGAATCAAATTCCAGAACCGTATCATAATGATATAGCCAGGATAAACTCCCCCTGGACCTGATAAGACATGGGGCCTGTGCAGAGCTCGGAATGACCGGTTAAGAACAGCCGTATGAAGGCCAGAGTCTGCCATTCATGCGCGCTCTAGTTACGGTCTTTTCCTAGGGATATGAGTCCAAGGTAACGGACATTTGATAGAGGAGATCGGAATTCTCTTATAGCCCTGTCCTAGTATGTACAATTTCCGCTTTCTGTTCTCAAGGCACTTAAACACCGTCGCCAAATCTGTAGTGGTTCATCCACCGCTAAGGAAGGTCAGTTGTCGGGAGTACAAGCAACAAGGGGCCTCGTCGAATTCTACCTTATCATATGGTTTAGAAGAATCACAGAAGCGCAGATCCGTGGCAAGGCGAATGACATTATCAGGGTCATTGTTCACAGTAGAAGCGTGAATCTGGCCGGGTAAATATTAGCGTTAAAATGTCATAGTATGCCTCACTCGCCCGACGTACCATGTGAGGCTTGTGCAGAACAACGTCACCAGCCTCATAAGCAGACATGAGCCACTTGCGACCGTGTTCCAGAGCAAAGCCAGCTGGGAATTCTGAAAGCAGGCCAGTTGCCATCATATTTGAGTTGAAGGCATTCTTAGCCTCCTCATCACTCAGGCCAGCCGCTTTGGCAGCCCTAAAGAAGTTCTGCTCCAACTCGATACCGAGGGAATCGCCTATGAGAGAATTGGCAATCAACGGCTGCAATATTAAGAAATTGCACAGATCACATCGAACGTACCGTTTTCTAAGTAGATGAGCCCTCCTCCATTACTCTTAATATCGCCCATAGGCACCCACGCAGTAATGCTGGTCGGATCACCGTGACGCAAGAATATCTGATCATAATGCACGCCAATAGGCTTTGAAGCAGGAAGGTTGTTCCTCAGCAGTGTGCGGCGAAGTGCCAGTGTATTTTGGCCCCAGCCAGAGAATCGGGCCACAAAGTCGTACAGTGCGCGGTTCTTACAGAACTTCTCTGCATACCAGTCCTGATAATGGGCGTCGAGAGCAAGATCAACGAACTTTGTAGCATTTTCGCCTCCAGGGCGCCCGTTGTTATCCGCAGCCCCTGCCCCAATACCTGGGAAGTCTTCGTAGTTCTTTGCTGAATCGAAAATACCTTCAACGGGCTTTGTACCGGGCTTCAGGACTCCGGTGCTCTCTAGCGAGGCGAAATACGCTTTTCTGGCCTCGAGAACATCCTCACGGGGAATCACGCCCTTCAGGAAGAGGTATCCGTCTTCGTCAAAGCGTTTACGGAGTTCTTCCATCGGAAGCGATGGATCGGATGGTCGGAGAAGCGCCGAGTTCTCTGCTGTTAGGGGACCATCGTTGACGGTTATGTTGTCTGCCTGGATACCGACCATGTTGGTTGCAATGCAAATGCAGGAAGTATTTGCTTGAAATGCAATCTGAATCAAGGGCGCTTCAAGGTAAGAACAGCCGGAAGCTCTCTCAATATTTATAGGGAACCATGCAATTCAGCCGGGCAGGCTGTTGTCATGTCCCATACTTCGTGGCGGGGTAAGCCACGATTCATCCGGGGGGTTCGCATCCAACCAACAGATAACAGATGACATCCCCACCCCGCTTTAACCAGCTGGCTTGCAATCCTGTGGACCCTCGATGTTGACCAGATGGTCCAGAGTCGCACGATGCCCCATTGAAACAACAGAAGAGTAAAAATCACCGCCTTACGCCGCGGAGTAAACTACCCAGAACAGCGCCAGGTGGATCCAGTCAGGGATCCACCGCGGGGAACAATTCCCTTCCTTTCAAGCGCGGGAAATTGGGAGACTCGGGGTCGCCTGTGACCGTGACTGGGCTGTTTCTGTTGCTCTCCTCCTTCAGATTCACGTGGGGTTTTCATTGAGCTGGTTTTCCGGCAATATACGTACACGTCAGGAGAAGAGCTGAGCTTCAAGTGGAATCCGGATTTCATCTGCTGCATTGATGGATGAATACTAGTACATGAAAAGCTACTTGCTCGTATCTACAACCGAAACCTAGTTGGACACATCACTAGATCATGGTTGAAGCACAGCACCTGAACGGAATTCTCCGTGCAACTTGAAACGGAATGCAGTCAACCCGAATGGAGAGATCATTATGCTCTTATCGCCTTGTCCATGCCCATCGTGATAGGATGTGGCAGAGTTGGGGCATGTGGGAAGCAGCACAGTTGGGTCTTTTAGCAGAAGTATGGCCAATCGGGAGGTGAGTAGTCTGCGCTATCTTGCTATATCATTCGGGGAAATGGTAGGGTCGCCGGTTGGTGGAGCTGTATTGGACCGCTTCTACAATTGAGCCCAAGTTCAAGACCCTCCTGAATATCGGAACCCATATACGCACCCTGGAGCTTCTCGTACATCATTGACACATACGGCGGGTATACTAGCAGCGCAATGGCCGCACGGATATTTGCTAGAAGCCCAATCTTGTTCCCATTATTCGCGCCCTGCATGTACCACGCGTTAGCTACGGCCGGTCCAACAGCATCATAGCGCTGGCAGGGCTTACGCTGACGATACCACTTTTGAGTTTCATGTGAAGATACGGTGTAGAGCTACGGGCAGAGGCCATTTCGACGAATTGATTCACATTGTGGTATATAACTAGCGCTTGATGATAAACGGACGCCGGTATAAAAGCTCCCAGAAGAAGAAAAGAAATCAGATTACACCCCACAGAGAAGAAAGCTTTCTCAAGTGCAATCATTTCTCGCCCTCTGCGGTCCAGTCCGAGAACGACCATGACTTCACTCCATCCTCAATGGTCAACTTCATCGTCTTGAAAATAATACTTTCGTAAAGCTGTCGGCCTGCAGCTCTTGCCTTTGCATGCCAGGGGCCTCGGCCCCCCAGCCTTGCATCATTTCGGTTTCTCCAGACACCTGGCCAAATGATCAGTATCTTTGAATGCTTGGGGTGAATACAAGGGAGGCTTTACAAGTTGCCAAGTTCTGCTCTCGCTCGTTTTTCTTCCCAAACCAATACTTCAGCAATCCACCGCTAACCACAGCTTCCTGGTGAGAGTGCGCGTCCAGCGCATACAGGTGATCTTGATCAATGTTCGGCAGTAGGGTGGACCGGAAGGAGACAACATAGAAGGACTGGGAAGTCCACGTGTGGCCCTCCGACTCCGCGAAGCGTCTCGCGATGTCGAATACTTCATCCCAGTTGAAAGATTCGAGATAGCCCGCGACGGCGTAATCATCCCTGGTCGGTCTGAGATAGGCCAGCGCTAGTGCTAGATATCGGCTCTGGGCATCGACCGTATTGATATCTAGAAGATGGGATGCCTCGTTGTACGGTGAGGCGACCAATCGGGTATCCAGTTCCGAAGATGGTCGCTCGGACGCTTCTACGAACGTGAGCAGCTGCCTCGCTGATGCGGCTTCGAATCTCAGCTCGTCAAAGTCCTTGGTAACCAGGTCATGGCGCAGAAGCCGCTTGAGGTCGATGCTGTCCGCCGGGTAAACCGGCCCATCTACTTTAGAAGCAGGGATGGCAGTGCTTTGGGCCAAGGAGGCTACGTCTGGTGCCATGTCTCTATTCCAACGAGCTAGGGTATAAGCGGACCCAAGAAATCCAAAGCAAGGCAAATGATGGTAGAATGGAAGATGTCGAGGGAGAAACAAAAAGACCTTAGGAATGCAAATTGGGCAGAAGAACGCTGCAAGGCCAAGGAGAAGCGTTATATTAAGTTTGAAAGGATCTGTAGGGATGCAAAGGACTCAAAAAAAGCACATCATCCCCCCCTACACACACCGCTGTCACCGATTTGGTGCCACATTCCCCTGGATTGCGAAAGATCGAAGAGCTCGAGCACGCCATTGGGGTGTGCCACAACGGAAGTTTGGGTCAATGCGGCTTCACAACTCCATGCAGTCGGGACATAAATGTCCACCGATATTAGCTGGTCCAATCCTTGCATCGACCCAATGGACCATCGTGACTAAAACATTGCTTTTGAAACGTTGACGTGGAGTCTCCACGTGTGGCGCCCAAACCCTAAAATGTAGACGGAACTTACCCGTCCAAAGGCGCAGACTTTGCGTTCCGAGATAAGAATGCCCAAGCGGGAAGTGCCTAACGAAAACAGCACTCGGACGCTTCATATTCTAACCTTCTATGGAACGATGCTCGTCTTCAAGCTGCACGTGGGTGCTTTGAAATGATGTTCATGTGTAGTTTCTACTTCATACTAATCCATATTCATACAGAAAAAAAAAGAAAAGAAAATGGTATCACGTGCAGCAAATGGCCCCTGATCATCCTCAATGCAACATCGAATACGCCGTAGTAAATGCAGACCCGCCGCAAAACAAAATCATCCCTAGAGAAAGCGGACCCCGCATAGATAGGCGGCAGCTTTTACCCCGAACAGCAAGTGGGCTCGACTATGGCTTCGCTGGCGGATCCATCTTGCCTTTCCCAGTGTCGAGTCTTTTCCGGGGAGGCAGTGCGGGGACCTTGAATCCATCCTTCTCCTTGCCCGGCTCCATGCTGCTTTGACCTCCACCAGTAAAAGTCCCGGAGTTGAACCAACGCCGCTCTTCGGCCTTGCGCTTTCGGGTGAGCTCAGCCTGTACCTTCGGGTCAATCACATCCAGTCCATTAGACCCAACTGAACTGGCGGTGCCCGTCGAAGTACCCGGCAAGGGACCATTGACACCCGCGACTCGCAGACCTCTCGCCTGAAGGGTGCTGACAGTACCGGTCTGGCCAAGTGAGCCGAAAGTGGCTGCAGCAGTATCGACCGGAGTGTTCGCACCCCAGCCCTTGTTGTTCTTGCTGAGTTTGGCTCGGGTTCGTTGGTCGATTTGGATGCCGCGAATGCGCCCATCCGATTGCTGACCCAACATGCCCATCCCAATTGTGGAATCTCCAGTGCCGAAACCCACCTCTGTTTCCTCCTTCCCGAAGGCCATACGGTTCTGTGCCTTTCGTAGCTCGGTCATAGCGACCGCATCCTTGGCCGCTCGTGCTCGGCGACCACCACGTTTCCGGGATGGCTTGTCGTCCGGGGCGGGCAGTGCTTTAATGCCAGAGTTGGGAGCAGCCTCTTGGAGCTTGTCGATTCGTTTCTGGCACTGTTGCTTCAGGTCTTCGCCCAGGGAGCCATCGGTGGCGTATTTGGATACATCGGCACGAGCCGCTAGGACCATCTTTGCGGAGACAATGCGAATGGCTTGCTTTTTGAGGTGCAGCGGGACTTGATGAATGAAATCCGACTCGTACAGGAATCCCTGGGATCGCACGCCGTGGTTGGTAGCAAGACCCAATCCCTCTTGTCGTCGGGAGGCGCCTTGAGCACCCAGGTTGCACGCTGGGATCTGAGAAAGCTTGCGTAATCCACCAGATTGGTTGAGAAATTGTGCCGCTGTGTGAGGGCCAATGAGCGTAGCAAGGTTAGGCGCGAGATCGAATACGCCTTCCTCGATATTCTCTGTCAAAGCGGTCCGCGCGCGGTCTAGAGCAAGGATCTTCTCGCATGTCTCTAGGACGACCTTGAGTTCAGCTTCGGTCAAATTGCGACCTTTGCTGGTCGTTCCTTCAATGGCAACAACCATGAGCGTTGCGCCGCCCAGAATTTTCTTCAGCGGGACACCAATCATATTATCCGACGAGTCGGCGATACTCTTGATGTCTTCAAGATCGGCATTTTTGATGATGGCGGCGACTTGGGCGTACGTGACAGCATTTGTGACGAGGTTTTCTAGCTCGGGGAATTTGATAGAGTAGTAGTCGCGTAAAATTTTGTGTTGTTCCGTGAGTTGATCAATAATGGAGACGGATTGCTCGAAGTTGTTTCCGTCGTGGAAGGCTGATCCTTTTGCTGGTTCCTTTGCTTCTTCCTGCTGCGCTGCTTCGTCTCGATCCATATCCTGATCAACACCTTGCTCGAAATCGTGCTCTAAACCTTGACCCATATCATAGTCCTGGTCATGATCCAAGTCTTGCTTCAGGCCTTGCTCTTGATTATGAATATGGTCTTGATCGCCCCCGAGACCTCCGAGACCCTCATCGATCTGGGGTTCCTCATCGGAGTCTTCGAAATCGCGCATCAAATCCACCGCGGCAGACATGATGACGGCTTGAGGCAACTGCCAGATACAGCTCTGGGTGAACGAAGCTGATCAGAAAGCTGTCTTGGAGTCACCGTGGCAGGCGCGGGCAACTCAACGTTTTCGTTGTTGCGCAGAAGAGATGCAGCTCTCAAGTTACAAATCGGCGAATGGATACCCGCGTCGGAAAATCTATTTTACCGATGTCCGAAACTGCAGTGCTCTGAATTGCCTCCCAAGGTTATTGGCCCTACTGCGCCAGAGCTATTTCCGGCCGGCGGGGGAAACCAAAAGTGCAGTCTAGATTTCAAGTTGGAGACTCCAGCTTCCAGAACAGCTGACAACCACAGGCCGTCATTCCCATTCAGTAAGGCTGGGCCTTCAAACCAGTTCTTGTGAGAGTCAAGGAATCTCACCTGTTCTTCTAAGCTTACCTTCTCGAATCAGTAATACCGCTGATTCACGTCAAATTTCGGTCCCAGTGACTTTTTTCGACTACTACCACTGCTGCCCGGCCATACCAACCCACCAACATGGAAGCCTCCCGTGGCCCTCCCAGGGTCAAAAACAAGGCCCCTGCGCCTATCCAGATCTCCGCTGAACAGCTGCTCCGAGAAGCCGTCGACCGACAAGAAGAGGGCCTTCAAGCGCCAACCCAGCGATTCGCGGATCTCGAAGAACTGCACGAGTACCAGGGGCGTAAGCGTAAGGAATTCGAAGACTATGTCCGGCGCAATCGAATCAATATGAACAACTGGATGCGCTATGCCGCATGGGAGCTTGAGCAGAAGGAGTTCCGGCGCGCGCGGTCGATCTTTGAGCGCGCGCTGGACGTCGATCCGACCTCAGTCGTGCTGTGGATTCGGTATATCGAGGCGGAGATGAAAACTCGCAACATTAACCATGCCCGCAACTTGCTCGACCGCGCCGTTACTATCTTGCCCCGGGTGGACAAGCTCTGGTACAAGTATGTCTACATGGAGGAGACCCTCGGCAATATTCCTGGCACTCGTCAGGTATTCGAGCGGTGGATGTCGTGGGAGCCGGAGGAGGGTGCGTGGGGCGCATACATCAAGCTCGAGAAGAGGTATGGCGAATTTGAGAGGGCGCGGTCGATTTTCCAGCGCTTTACGATTGTTCATCCGGAGCCGAGGAACTGGATCAAATGGGCTCGATTTGAGGAGGAGTTCGGCACGAGTGACTTGGTGCGTGAAGTTTATGGGCTTGCCATTGAGACTCTCGGGGAGCATTTCATGGATGAGAAGCTCTTCATAGCGTACGCCAAGTTCGAGGCGAAGCTGAAGGAGTATGAGCGCGCCCGTGCCATTTACAAATATGCGCTGGACCGGATGCCCGAGCCAAGTCGATGGCTCTGCATAAAGCTTACACCACATTTGAGAAGCAGTTTGGCGATCGAGAGGGCGTGGAAGATGTGATCCTCTCCAAGCGCCGGGTGCAATATGAAGAGCAGCTCAAAGAGAACCCGAAGAACTACGATATCTGGTTTGACTTTGCTCGGTTGGAAGAGACGGCGGGTGATCCTGAGCGCGTACGCGATACCTACGAGCGGGCAATTGCTCAGATCCCCCCCATCGCAAGAAAAGCGACACTGGCGCCGATACATCTACCTGTGGATCTTCTATGCCGTCTGGGAAGAGATGGAGGCCAAGGATATGGAGCGTGCCCGACAGATTTACCAAGAATGTGTGAAGCTGATCCCCCATAAGAAGTTTACCTTCGCCAAAGTATGGTTGATGAAGGCGCAATTCGAGATCCGCCAGATGGAACTACAAACTGCTCGCAAAACGCTCGGCATGGCCATTGGAATGTGCCCGAAGGACAAGATTTTCCGCGGGTACATTGACCTCGAGCGCCAGTTGTTCGAATTCGTACGGTGCCGTACTCTTTACGAAAAGCAGATCGAATGGAACCCGTCCAACAGCCAATCATGGATCAAGTATGCAGAGCTTGAGCGTGGCTTGGATGACTTGGACCGGGCACGTGCACTCTACGAACTGGGTATCGATCAACCGACGCTTGACATGCCAGAGATTGTGTGGAAGTCATACATTGAATTCGAGGAAGAGGAAGGGGAGTATGATCGAGTGCGAGCTCTGTATGAGCGTCTGCTTCAGAAGACCGACCACGTGAAGGTCTGGATCAACTATGCCCGATTCGAGATCAACGTTCCCGAAGAGGAAGACGAGGAGGAGGATGAAGAGGAGGAGCGACCCGTTAGCGAGGAAGCCAAACGGCGTGCGCGGGCCGTTTTCGAACGGGCCCACAAGGTCTTCAAAGATAAGGAACTCAAGGAAGAGGTTGGTGACGAGACGCACCCCGTCCTCCGGACTTTGCTAATCTTTCATTTTCAGCGGGTCGAGCTGCTCAACGCTTGGCGTTCGTTCGAAAACCACCACGGTTCCCCCGAGGACATTGACAAAATCGAGAAGCAGATGCCGCGCCGGGTCAAGAAGCGTCGCAAGTTGGAGGACGACCGGTACGAGGAATACATGGACTATGTTTTCCCGGCAGACGACAAATCCGCAGCCAATCTGTCCCGGCTGCTTCAAAAGGCGCACCAGTGGAAACAGGGCCAGGCGTAGAGTGGGGGCGCCGCTTGTGTTTCAGGATAGGTTTCTCCGTGAAGAACACACCCACGTGTGTACCAATGGGGGCCAATCCGTTCTAATAATCCTACGCTACTTATTATGCATGAAACCACATGATTCTCTAAGATCTTCCCCTCCCTCTAATAATAGGCATGATCTCCATGTCAACGTTGGAGAAACCGTACTTCGGTAGAATCAGGCCTACGATGGTGGGTCGGATTTGGGGTGATCGGTGCGAGTATTCCTGCAGAAGCATGACGGATCCTGGTGACAGCGTCCACGTTGCGGAGTCCGGGACAGGAGGAACTGCAAGGTGAGAGCAGTAAATGCGTGGCAAAGCGCTTCATTGATAAGGGATTGCTTTATGTTAGTTATACTAGTCCGTACAAGTAGCCAGAATGTGACGGGCAGATCCGAAGTCAGAGGTCAGATTCATGACCATGGAACCCGGAGGAATCAGGAAACGCCCCGATCGGGTCTTCAAAAACTTGAACTCTTGTTCCCACATGCCAGTAACTTCCGATCAAGCACGAGACTAGGAAATTTCCCTGCCTAGACAACCTTGACAGACTAAGCTTCAGCGCGGGCTGGAGCACTGTGGGCCCGTCCCATCAGGCCAGGGGAGCCTGATATACACGAATCTCTTATACCTCAAGACGTGGAATTAATACAGCTTCGCTTCTATCTTGCTTCCAAGAGTTCGGCTGTTGCAGGTAAAGCTGTGGGGCACGAGTGGCACGATCGATAATAGCATGCAGACAGGCTTGATTGGTTCCCTTACGATGAATTGTTGGACATGATTAGCTGAGAGTGCCCAGTTGCGCATTGTGCATCAGTAATTGGTGAGCCAATCAGGATGAGGGACGATAACCAGTCCAATCAGGCTCTCCGGACACGGAATACGCGCCCTCCCGAGCCATGGAACTCTCGGGGACTGATGGAACCAGCGCGTTTCAACCGGAGTTGGCAAAGGCCGGGTCAGGGGCGCTTCCAACTTACGTTGTTTATGTTTACAAGCTCCAAAATTGCTCCTTGCTGGTTTATAGAGCAGCACCTCGCGTCCTTGATCGTAAAAAGTGGGGACTGAAAAATCGGGCTGCAGGGCTGCACGGCTCACAGCGTTGGCCCCACCCAGGGGGTCCACGAGTACTAGTGCTACAGTACGACTTGACAGTCGGATTCGATCAGGATGAGAGGGAGAAATTTGACCGAATAGAGGAAGAGAGGAAGAGAGACCCGATGGGTAGGCGATGACCGCATGCACATAAGGACCTTCTACGCTATCAGCCGAATATCTCCATATCCCGCGTAGATCAGCCCAATTTGGAGCCTCCGGTAGGTTCGAGGGAAATTACATGACGAAATACCCAGCCCTGAAAATCAGGAGGAGTTCCTGAACTTTCGAGGGCCTGGAAACTCGCCCGTTACTCGCCGGGGCCTAGTGGGGTGTGCGATCTAAGCTGTGTTGAGTTAGATCGCCGCGAAAAGGTCCCCATCTTCCCCCATTTCGCTAACCTTCTGGCTCCAGGGGGCTGCGCCCTTGTCTCACCCCTTTGTGAGCCTTTCTAACCTCCAACCTTTTCGTTCCCTCGTCTTCGCTCGTTGTGCTGTGCACTCGTTCTTCGGTATGTCTTATGCCTCTGCTGTCTTAGATCTTCTGGGGTAGTGGAATGTTGTGCCTCGGCCGCTTCCGAACTGACACATTGTTGATTCCAGCTTCCATTCCTTCGCGACGTGTCGCCGATTCCAGCCTCCCCACTCTCTCGACTTTCCTACTGATTTCCGCTCTTTGCTGTCTTTGCTGCGCCGGGACCCCCAACACCTTCTCCTTCAATCCCAAATCTAGCTCAGTCCCCTCTCATTCCTCTGAGCCGACAACCCTTTGAATCCGGCAGCCTCGCCTCGATCCGATATCCTCCGTTGAAGTCTTGTAACACTACTGTGATATCATCCAAGGCCGATATGAGATAGTGCTCTGGTAGTCTCCTTTCGCGCTCAATCGGTTCTCCGTCGGCTGGCCCCTCCGCTTATCTTTCTTTCGTCGGCTGGTCTGGGTTGACTCTCACTCTCCGACTCTTTGGTCACCTGGCTAAGCAATCATGGGTGTTCCCATCCCGAAAAGTCCTCTCTCGGGGCGATTGCGCAGCCATTCACGACAACACATTTTATGCTTACTCCCCAAAAGGGTTTCAAAAGATAGATCTGAAGACAAATGGCACTTGGAAGTCGTTGGACACCAACGTCCAGGTGACGGATCCAGCATGCACCGTGGGGGACATAGGTGGTGATGCAAGTAATCAGGCGCTGTACCTCGTCGGCGGGACCGGCTCCCCGTCTGGTTACGCTGGCTTGCAACGATATTCCTTCAATGAGAAGAAATGGACCACCCTTACCTCCGAATCATCCGCCATGGTCGACCGCACGTCACATACCGTGGGATACGTCCCAGGAACATCCACGCTCGTCGTTGTAGGCAGCGACGGCTCGACCACATGGACCATCTCTACCAAATCGGATTCAACGTCGATGGATATCGAAGGTGGAACTCCTGGAGGCATGGGCCCGGTGACAACACCGACGATTCTTCCATGGAATGATACTTCAATCGCATTGGTCAGTGGTGACGGTGGCAATGGTGCAGTCTCCATTTTCGATTCGCAGGCTAGCCATTGGGTGGACAGCTATGCCGCTCTCCCCGCGGGGGCCGTGAAAGCATCGAGTCACCTGGCTCTGATTTCTGACTCGGACGGTAACTACGTGCTGCAGGACTTCAATATGGCCGCCAAACCAAACACCGTTACCAGCTACCAATTGTATAAGAAAGGAAAGCCGCAGAACCCTGCCAAGGAAGTAGGCGGCTCCTCTTCAAAACGAAGCTTGGACGATTTGCCCGCTTACAATGGCTCCTTTGCCGGAGAAACCACTCGCTCCGATTACGCTCTCGCTCAGAGTGGCAACCAGCCCGGCCTTGTGGTGATTGGAAGCGGTGACGACGATAATGCGTTGTCTATCTTCGACCAGTCTAGCAATGGCTGGGCTAACGCCACAGAACTGTTTTATGGAAGCCCCAACAAACAGTCCCCTCTGCATGCTACTACCACCTCTTCATCGTCCACCTCGACACCGACACCTACCTCTTCCACTGTATCATCGTCTTCAGCAGTCACCACTACGCCAGCTGCAACATCACCGACAGCGGCTCCCTCATCTGGTGGATCTGGTGTAAACCTGGGGGTGATTATTGGCGCTACTCTTGGTAGCTGCTGCGGAGCTATTCTGATTCTCCTCATACTCCTCTTCCTGCTTCGCCGGGCGAGACAAAAGAAGCAAGCGGGCGAAGGAGCTGGGGGAGATCCCAAGGGCAGACTCAGCTTCCAAGACCAGGGCATAGAACCCCTGGCCGATAGCGCGTACCCGATGGCGCGCAGTCCAGTTCCGGTGGCTGCCGTGTCAAACGACTCTCTCGCAATCATGTCAGGCAGATACACCGCCGAAAAGTCCCTCCAGCCTCCGCCCCCTCAGAGCTACGGATACGGGCTGTCTCACAGCAAGGGCCTATCTCCGATTGCCTCCAGTGGACTTGCGCCATCCAGCATGTACTCCGATGCCACAGCAGAGCCATCCCCTACGGCTTCAGCCACCAACAAGCCCGGAGACCGTACAACCGATGAGGGTTGGGGCAAGTATTTTGAGGAGAGCAATCCGCGAGATCAGGCCGGTCGAGCGACCGGATCCCCCGTCAGCTCAGTCTATGGAGCGGACCTCCCCGCGCAGGCGCCAGAGGCTGGAACCCGCTCCGCAGTAAGCTCGTTCTATACTGATTCTGATTACCGCGGCAGTGCCTGGCCCATGAGCAACCTGGCACCGCTCAACTTTGCTAAGCTTGACCGACCCCAGCCACTTGGCCTGGTCGCCAGTGGAAGCCCAACAACAAATCCCTCGACTAGCACTAGCCTCATCCTCCCCCGAGGGCCAATCAGCACGCATCTCCAGCGCAGACTCCATCAGCTTGAATTCCGAGGACGACCCACATGATACGAACTGGACCGGCGCCCAGAATAGTAGCTGGCTAGGCCGTCCACCTAGCAGCCAATACAGCACCAGCTTTTATAACAACAGCACCCATAATTTGCCGGGTAGCTTTCACCCCCGCCAATCGAACGACATGCGCTCTCACGGCCGTCGCTCTAGCGTGGTGATCCCGGACAACATCGACGAGCTCCCCACCCGGGGCACAGCACCAATGTCAACCCCGATATGAGCTGGTTAAATCTGAACGCCGACCGCTAAGCATGAATTTGAATAAGACCCTTTTTAGCGGGAACGATTTTGAATGCATTTCCTATTGGACTCGGAATTTCGCCCTAACATCTACCATCTACAGTTGATCACCTCTCACTATTCCAAATGGAAAGCCTCCACAATCTCTGTTTTGTCTCCTTCTCTGCATCCCACTCTGCGTCCTTCCTTGCATGGTGTTTTCCGGCCGTCTGATTATTGTAAAAGTTGCATCTCCCTTGCATCTGTCTCTGTCTCTACTTTAAGGTCTTTTGTGTGCGCGGGTAATTCTAGCGTTGCCTCACTGATGTTGCTTCAGTCCGATCCATGTTCATACTTGGACTCCTGTTCCCTGCTCTCGTGCTGATTGAGCTTCTGGTTATCTGGGTCCCGTTCTGTATATATTACGTTATCAATTCAAAAGGGTACTGGTGTGCCTGTGTATTTGTTCAACTTTCTTTTCCTGCCCAATCCTTACATCGTGGCTGTATGTCTCAGTTGATATGGGAGTAGTTTCTGGCTGTGGCTGGGAAGCTCCATGGTCTCCCAAGATGCTGGAGATCTGTAGCTAAATGCAGTTATGTTTCACCCATGCTTTACGCCCAAAGAGCTTCACTTTCCTAACCCGTTGCACGAAGACTTTATAAGGAGTCCATTATCCAAGTTGAGCCTCGGACTTTGTTCCCCTTGAGCAGTCGCTGTATATAATGGTTCGGCAATTCCCCCAAAACTTCGAAGGCGCTGTCTCGGAATGGGCTTCGATAATATCAAAAAGTTCTCGTTAGTTAAGTAGTTATATTCTGCATATTACATGTTCTTGGTATCCTTTGTATGGGGGGGGGGGGGGCATCCCGTTCATTATATCCATCCTTTAGTCATGCCAATGTCGCCCCGTGAAATTAAAAACGCCCATGCAACACCAAACTATATGTACTGATCAGGACACCGAGTTCAAATTGAAGAAAGAAAAGGCTCCCCTGCTGAGGAGAAGGAAAAAGAAGCCGAGCTCAAGAATCAATAAAACCTGCCCAGCCAAGAGGTCTGCCTCGAAAGACGACGGTAATCATTCGCAGCCGGACTCGCCGGCTTCAAGCTCGATTCCTCGACCTCCAGGTTATCAAACCGTGAATACCCCGATGTCTTCCCCGTATCCGAAGGAAAGCCATACGGACTATCCTTGTCCGCCTTGGCCCGGATATAGAAGTGAGAGTCTTCCTCTTCCATCCCAATATACCATCGCTCCTTGAGCTGTCTCCCCACAGGCCCACAGCCACACGCACCGTCGAGCCGGGTCGTCAGCGGACTATTCACAGCAATCGCGAAGAGATTCTGTGGCTCGGTGAAATCGGTGACCTGGTGGCCGCGGGCCTCGAAGATCAAGAACACGAAGACGATGGCGCTGGTGAGGAACGCGAAGACCAGGATGACGTAGAAGATGCCCTGCCACTTCTCCGTTTCGCCGGACGCGTACACCATCGCCTGGAGCGCGGCAGGGAAGTGCTGGTACACAGGCTCGTCGAGCATATCGTTGGCGCCGGAGTAATTCCAGCCCTGGACAAAGGGGGGAGTTCTGGGTGCTGAGGATCAGAGTGCTGCCAGCCATCACGGACAGCGCCTCGCCAATGGACGGCAGTTGCGGGCTGAGGGAGTAGGAGTCGGTGGCGTTGTCGTAGGACGGCATCATTTGCATGATCAGGCGCTCGCTGCTTGCGTCCGCGCCCGTGATTCCGGATCCTAGGGAGACGGAGCTGGCCCATTGGCCGACGACATTCTTGTAATCGGCAGACCAGATGCCTTCCTTGAAGTTCTTATCGTGTTTATTGTATTGGTACTTGTTACCGTCTTCATCGCAGTTGGCGAAGAGGACGGCCCCGCTGGAGGCAGCCCGGTAGGAAGTTGAGCATTTCCCGGTTTCTTTGGCGCGGATAGCGCACAAGACGTACTCGGGAGAGGAGATGCCTGGTTTGCCGAGAATGTAGATCGCGTTGACGGGGTAAAGGCCGGTTATATTGATGATGGTGTTGTAGGCGACCGGGTACGTCCCGAAGATCGGGGCTGCTGGCCGTATTTCTCACCGAAGCCGAAGAGATCGTCGACGACCGTGCTATTGTACCAGGTCGTATTGACGGGAATGTTGCTCGAGGGCTTGACGCTCCAGGTGGTCGCGTTGAAATCGCTGGAATTGGGCCAGGCGGTATACACGATGGGGGCGAGTTCCTCCGCGGTCATGCCGGCGCAAAGCACGTTCATTGCCGGAGAAGGCACCGCAGCTTCGATGTTATACTTCCCTCCCCCGGATGCGTCAACCGGCTGGCGAATTTGATTGATCCCGTCAAAGGCAGCACGGGGAACGTTGCCGTGCGGGAAAGCCGTGGTCACATTTTGGACAAAGCGGCCGTGTTTCTTGGAGAGCTCGGTCATGTTTTGAATTTCGATATAGGCGCCGATGACGGTGGTATTGTCCCAAATCGAACCGGTCGGTGGCGGGCGTCGATACAGGTTGTCCGATAACGGATTCTCTTCCACCAGCCCCGCCCAGTTGCTGATCCATTGCTGGTAGTTGTGGTAGGCACTTCCTACGTGTTCCAGGTCGAAGCAAGTCAAGTTGCGATTGTAGGGATCCATTTGCACGGAGATTGGAGTTTGGCACGTCCGCTCCAGATAGATGGTATTGGCAAAACTGGCCGAGACTTGACCGTAGAGCTGAATGTCCTCGACAGGCCCCATGATGAGTTTTGGAGATACTGTGATTGCCTGCGTAAATATTTTGGACGATGGAAGAAATAAGAGAGCACACCACAGCTGTTCTCACCTAAGGCTTCGGCGGCAGTGGTATATAGCATCGCTACAAAGGATGCGACCAATGCGATCATTCCGAGGAACGTGAGAGCCGAGTATCGAAGCGTCTGCCAGTGGACAATCATTGACCCCGGTTGCATGATCCACGTTCGCATGCTCATATCCGCGAGGCTGATCCCCCGCGAGTTCTTCGTCAACGCGCGGCGGCTCAGTACCTGGCCCAGAAAGGCCACACAGATTGTAACATAGGCCAATTCGATGGTCTTTGCAAAGAAAGCACACAGTAAATTGGCCGTCGACGGAGCCGTTCCGCTGGTGCTACCAATGCTCTTCCATCTGGGGCCCCAGATCGCAATCACCAAGTACGTTCCGGCGCCGCATGTCGCATAGAACGCCAGAATCAGGATCGTAACTGGAATCCATGATATGCGCCGTTTGAACAGAGATTCGCGGGTGGGACAATTAGGAAGGTGAACAGGGTGGGTTTGCGACAGGCCGGGCGAGAGGCCGGGGGTTTCTTGAGGAGTTTTCAAGAACCCCGGGGTCGTGGGCTGGCTGGGCTGGCTGGTGCCGCTAGAGAGATAAGAATCTCGTTTTCCTCGAGGGAGCGTCCCTGGTGGCGGAGATGGTTGGGAGATGCCCAGGCCGACTTCGCGAAACACGCTATCGGAGAAACTCTCTCTGTCGATGAAGATGGGATCGTCTTCGGAAGATGATCGCCCGAGAGGATGCCATGGCTGTGAGACCAAGTCCTCTTCTTCTGGGAGCAGCGAGTGCTGTGACTCTCGTGAGTCGGCCATGGCCCTACAGAGGAGGAGAAGCTCGGGGTCTTCAAGTCCATGGAGTTTTCTGGGGCTTTGATGCCCAAAAGAAAGGCCTAGAGGGGCCTTGGGGATCCACATCCAGTCCCAGACGGCCCTGCGGCTGATTGCCGTTGTGGGGGCCACAAAATGGAGAACCAGAGCTTCTCAGGGGGATCTCTAGTTGGCTATCGGGGCACTTTATCAGTCGATCTCAATTTGTCTCCGGCCAAAAAGATGCTTCAGCTTGGCCATCAACGGGCTCCGACAAAGCTGTGGTTTTTAACGCTCATCGTGGCCACGCATATCAACCACCCCCGGAGCCCCTTGACGGAGCCCATTGCACGATGCTTGGCAGCACACAACAGGCAGCATGGCATGAGGCAGGTTTGAAAACTAGCGCTTACGTGCAGACTAAAATTGTACAGTCCAATTGGGATGCGGCGGGTCGTTCGAACCTTGGAAACGTGGTCATAGCCCTACATAAAGCCCCGATAATCCAAAAATCTGCTTCGATCCAATGTGGGGGCATGGGGGGCCCTACATGGACTCAGCTGTTCTTTGAACTCACGAGGCCTCCTACTTTGATTGGCTTGCGGCGATGCCCGAAATTAGATCACAATACGAGCCAATCCAACAGGGTAAATCCCTGCGCTTCTAGTACAAGGGGCGTTCATTCGAAACGTCCCGGCTTGTTATCCAAAGCCTATCTATAACCATCCTCGAAATGACGCTATTTTAGACCAAAAAAACGAATGTTTATGGACCTTGTTTTGAATAGACCCCCCCCCCCTACCCGAGCCCTGGCTTGCAGATGATTGTACCAAAGTCCCAAAATTACATGATAGTCTATATAGCAGAACCAGCAGTTCCGCCTACCTACGTAGGGGCTAAGGTAGCCAGTATCAAAGACGAACCTAAAGGTGATCCACAAGTCTAGACTCATGTCGGCACTACACGTCCTCCTTCTTCCCCCTTCCCCACTGGGCCAGGATCTCTAGAACTCCATGAAACGCGCTTCTTAGTCCACAATACACCGTGGGAACCATACCCGTTTTACTAGGACTTTTTCTCAAGACGGGCATTGTGCTAAGGCAGAAGGCATTAACAGATCTCGAACTCGAAATCATCCCCTTCGCCACACGTATCTTAAAGCACCATTCTTACGGGGATTGCTATGATTACCCCAGGCCACCTTCTTAACTCTTCCTCTGGGGTCATAAACTCTGTATATAAACTTGATCATTCAGTATGTGGAATTTTAGTATGGTCCAATAAGGATTGGTGGTGTAGGATATATAACCATGAATATACATCAGTATTTGATGGGGTAGGTGAAGCGGTATGCACACAGACTTTTGCCCCCTATTGTACGAACATCAAACGGTATTCTCCGTCCGCGGCTCCAATCGGAACCCCCCCATTCCCACCATGTCCGAGGAGACTTGGCCACAACAAATCCATCGGAGGTGAACTTCGCTTTGCCCTCCCTCTGATGGCGGAAAAGACGAATGATGGTCCTTGCAACCATCACTTTCCAATTTATGCTCTCACCGGAATTATAACCATGTTCAGTGGTGTTCATCCCAAGCTCCTTTCCCATCATATAGCAGCGGACCAGTGTTTGCCAGCAGTATTTCAAGTAATTTCCGAGCTCCTCGCGATTTGACGGGTGTAAAGGATCATGAGGTACATTGTGCTTGCTCCTGGGTGGCTCGTAGTCGGCCAATCTCATGACTTTCAGTGCCAGCTCCATGGGCAAGCCCTTAGAACAGAGAAGTGACCGAACGGCATGAGTGTCGTCCGCCGAGGGCTTATGGGACCCAGCACCGGGCAGCCACAGATCCAAGAATTCATGGATAGGTACCCGTCCGTACAAGCCATGATCTTCTTTGTATCGGTCGGTCGAAGAGCTTAGTAGATCACCGGAGGCAGGATATCCCTTGAATTTATACCTTCGCCTTCGATGGAGTTCTCTGTTCAACAACCAGTGCTCTCCGTTTCCGGTGTTGGTCTCCAGGGACTCTCTGGATGAATCCATGTCAAAAAAGCGACGGTGTGGAAAGGTTGCCAGGACAGACTCGTCCCATCTTCGTCCGATCGCGCAATTGATTAGTGTTTTCTGATAGAACCGGGTATTCCTATAGTCCCTTTCTGGCGTTCTACCAGAGTTAAAATCCCAGGAGTTCTGGAAAGGCGTACGCCACGTTGAGGCAGATATAGACCGAGAGCATTTTATAGCATATCAGATTCCACCCAAGATCGTCGCCCTTTGGAAAGTCAGCTTGGAAGGACTCGGCATTTCTTTTTTTTTTTCGTCACCATAACTTAGACACTCACCCCAGTATCGTAACACGGCGCTCGACTGAACCACCTCCTGAGGCAAATATCCGGGTGAGCACAGACTCGTAAAATTGCATCCATTTCTCCGTAGAGCAACAGCGTCTTCACAACCTCCAAATTGAAGAAAGCATCGCCGTTCTCCTCATAAAACTGATAGCACTCGTTGTCCACAAGTGGTCGCAGGAATGCAGACATGAATCGCTCTTCCGAGGGGATAGGTTCACATTCGCACGCTTCGAGACCATCCCGGAGGTTACAGACGCCCGACGGACACTCGCTTCCTCTTGCCCACTTGCCCCGCCAACGACGGACTGTGGGCGCTATTTTTCGAACTGTAGCCTCGTCGAGGATCAAGTCCGACGGCTGAGGGATATCATACTTTTCGGGGTACTTCCGCCGCTCACAGACGGCATGCTCGTCGAGATTCCTAACAAAGGCGTCGACAAATCGGTTGAGATCATTTGCCTGGTGTGGCTTCCCCCGCGGGTACAGATTTGTGGCGAAATTATCGAACGGACCCGGTGCCTCCCACCTCAGATTTGAGGCGAGCAGGTGCCACGGGATATTGTGTGCTTGATGCGCCATCCCTGCGAGAAGGGCCACTGGGAAAGTCTATAAGGTCTGAGGACTAGAAATAAGAAAAATAGCGGGCCGTCTTGGGGGATCTCTCCCTTTGGAATCGTCGCTGATGGCGGGGAGATCTACACGGAGTCACGGACCTCGTTTTGACTATCCAGGCCTCCAGTCTAGTCTACTATATATAGGCTTAGCGTGTAATGTCCATACCGCTATACTTACCCTTCAAGTCACCCAAAGTACCTTCAAATTGTTGATATTAGCTACTAGTAGCCCTCAACCCAGCCAAAGTTGAATGATACCTGAGCTACAAAGAGTGGGGGAAAGAAAAGGAAAAGAATCTGGGAAGTACAAGATCATTATTCGCTTGATCATCGAGATGGACGTGCGAATGTAAAAAATGTTCTCAAATTGTTAATAAGCGGTACTTGGCGCGACTTCTTGCTGTTGGGAATATTGTATGTAATTTACAAAGAAGGTCCCAGTATTCAGATGGGGTGTACAGTACAACAATCACCATTGAAATACAAGATCGTCCATTTCCCTTGCCATTATAGGCTAGGCCATTGTATTGTGCCAGACCCACATTTCCAGGTCCTAGGGAGTGTGGTCTATCAGCGTCGTTACCGTAGACGGTGTAGTCACTCCTCCTCATCCTCTGCCACATCATCAGCGTTCCAAATTTTCTCGGAAAGCTCTTCAAGGTCATTTTGCGAGAATAGGATGTCCTGTTCTGCGGCTGTCCCAGGATCGGTCGGCCGTAACATAAGGCTTTCGAAAGGGATTCGAAAGGGGAGATCCCCAGTCACGATTGCGCGGCCGTCTTGTGTGATACGCGCATAGACGACCTGAGTTCGATGGATGTGCGAGCGCTGCTGGTCGTTGTTGGCATCTTGTCGAGCCCAACTTTCTAGTCGAATATTATTGTTGACTTTATCGACTCGAAGTGTGAGACATAATTCAGCATTCCCGTCTTCAGGACTCAGCAAATAGCGAACATCTGCATTTAATTTCTTGTCGTTTTCACTGACTGCGACTTCGAGTGCAACTGATGGCATTTTCATCCTAGGATGAGCAGATGAACGGGGTCTTCTCACAGGACACCAACTGTAATCGGGCTCTTTGCCTCTGCTGCTTTCTTCGCCTCTAATCGAAGCACCAGGATAGCCTCGAATAGCTTTATCGAGTTTCATTGGTTGGAGTTTCTGCAATATGAGATAATTTATTTCATGAGCAGCAGCACAGTGAATAAGAGAAGGCATCTTGATGAGGATTAATCCTTCAGTGATATCGAAAGACGAAATATGATAAGAGGTATCAGTATCAGCCAAGTTGATGATACTCTCAATCGACTTTTTGCCAGAGCGGAGAAGGAAGCATGCCGTTCCTTTCGAGAACTCAGAGGCAATGAGGTTGTTTAGCTGATCCTCTCCGTCGTAAGCAAACATTTTTGTAAATGGAATTAAACCATTTAGGAAACTACGACCAAGAATATCCAGTTCACAAACCTCAGCGCCATCCCTTGGTGGTTCGTTCTGATCATCCTGAAAATAGCACGGATAATATTATTGCAAGTTGAAAGATTGGATTTGCTTCAGAGAATCATAGCCAGTGTGATGTAGTTAAGTAGACCATCCCTCATAATGACGATCTTAGTTAACGTCACTCCCAAGCGGGCGCGCCACCCCCGACCAAACTTCCCACTCCACTTCACCAACCACCCTCCATGCCCCCAAAAAACGCGATAGACCGCTCAAATTCAGAGGGTAGACTTGGATTTGCTGTTCAAGCGATCAACACGAACAAAAAATCGCGTTAATACGCAAAGCGTCACGTGTTTATAACGTATCTCGTCAAACACTGGACCAAAGACTCCGTCGAGTTAATTTACGCGATAATATACGTGCTAATATTGTTGCCGTGCCTCACCGCCTTTTATAAAGTAATCTAGAGCTCCCCCGGGGCCAATATATCAACCGGCCCCACATAAATTGCCACAATTTATGGCGCGCCTTCTTGCTGTCGGGAATATTGTATGTAATCTACAGGGGTCCTAGTACAGTAGTCAGATGGGGTGGAAGCCCCCTCGACCACTGGCTTTCCACTCGGCTCGGTTAGCCTGGGGGAACCAATCACTCGATCGATCCAGATGCGCAGGTACTGAAGCACTCGCCGTGACTCATCAAGTGTAGTTAACTAATGTACCTAACTTAGCGCTGCTGGGCCACTTTGTGAACTGGTGGATTGAGTCACCCGATCATGGCGCAGTCAAGGTCATCTTCTATGGGTCGAGAGACGCGACTATGCCTGCACTTACAATTGTCAAGAGCCTGATATTTGACTACTAGTATCGGACTTGGCCAGAGTACCATCAATGCCACAGGAATTGTTAATTTTCTTGTCCGGCCAACGATGGGCGGAGAGTAAAGGGCCCCGATTTAATGTAGCCCTGGGAAGAATTGTTTACGTGAAGGTTGGCAACTACCTAAGAGTCCTATCGAAAGGCAGGATCAGGGCAAAAACGGATAATGCTTGAACTCCTTTATCAAATTTCAGCCACAAAAGCTGCAAACAGGCCAAAGAAAAGAAATGAAACCATAGGAGGAAAGAAATAAGATCCCAGCTGAAAATTGCCCCCAGGCGGAAAGAGGACGTTCCAAAGCACCGCAAGAGCCCCCTAAAGAGATTACCATCGTTTCATCATTATCAAAATCTTGCTCGTCATCCTCCAGGAACCCAAATTCCCAGTCGCCGCGCTCGATACGGCTGACCCTGTCAAGCTCTGACTGGTACTCCCGACGCAAGTGCTCCAGGGTCACAATGATGCGCTCTTTGGGAGACTCGACAGCTGGCTTGAAGGCGACACCGTTCTGGCCACCAATCGATGAGCGGCTGCCCCTACGACCAGCCGAGGAGAAAGACGCACTGGATGATCTCCGCTTAGAATTGAAGGCCGAAGGTGATCCTGCATCCACATCCTCCATGAAGACATTGCCATCATGGTCAGTTTGTGAGTTGCGGCGACCATTGGCAATGGGCGAAGCCAATGGACCCTTCTCCACAAGGATATACGCCTCACTCTTGTCGACTGACGCCAAAAGGTTGATAAGTGACAAGAGTTCAATGCGGATTTCCTTGCTTTCGGGATCATCTTCGGCGACCACAGCTTCTTCGCTCTTCAAGTTCTTCTTAAGGACCGCGGAACTGGAAGTCTCTCTTGCTTGCCGAAGACGCTGAACGTTGCGATAAGCAATCTCAGCGGCCCCCCGATAGTCATTTCGGGCAATCCGGTAAGCTTGCAAGATCCGGTGGTAGTCTGGCGAGCTTTCGCTCCCTCGTTCATCAAGGTCCAGCCACGAAGGAAAAGACTGTTGCTTCAGGGCGAATTTAAGTAGGGTATCATCAATGTGAGAAGCAATATTGGGGGTAAATGCCGTCGGGAAGCGAAGGATTTGTTCAAGACCCGCAGTGCTGGGACCTGAGACAGCCAAGATAGTGGATATGAGCGATGTGAGGGCTGATCTTTGCAGAGCAAGATCTGGGTACCGCGCTAGTGCAGAGTATGCCTGGTCAAATTGGCAGGTTTTCACGGAAGCGTGGAAGAGTCGGGAAAGCAAGTCAGTCCGCAAGCTCGCGTACTCGGGGGTCTGTTCGGCACATGCTTCGGACTCCAGGGTCTGCAAGGCCAGACTAGCAAACTCTGCAACGTACGAGAATGAGCGTGCTTTTTCGAATATTGAAAGGATGTGTTGGTAGTATTTCGGGATGCCGTTGTGGAAAGAGTTCACGGATACGAGGTCAAGAAGAGTCGACGACATCTCATAGAGGTTTCCAAGGGGTTTGCCACATGCTAGGGTGGGAAGTTATTGTCGTTAGTAATAGAATCTTAACACTATCCAGGATGAAAACTTACAGAGAAGATAAGCGGCTTTGCGGAAGTAGATAGCCGCAGTGTCAAATTCGGACATCGCGACATGCAAGCGCCCCTTCACATAAGTCGACCATGAGGTGTCCGCCTGGAAACGGAGAAAGTCCCAAGCAAGGTCGATGTTGTTGTTGGCAATGAGATCACACTGGATGTACGCCAATGCATTGGGGTATGCGACTTCGCCCGGTCTAGCAACCCAAGCCAACAAGTCTTTGACGCCCAATGACAACGTATAGCTTTGGGGTAGGCCAATTGTTTGATGCGGCTTGATGTGATGAACAAAGAGATCCTCAAGTATAGTCACAGTTGGGGCGTGGCTCTTGGAGCCACGATCCTTCAGGGAAAACACAGGCGTTCCGGGTTCGGCTCCAGACTGAGGTGACCGCGTGTGAGAGCGCTTCCGAACATTGGACCCAAGCCAAAACACCATTTCATACTCGCGAAGCAGATCAATGAATGTAGTAAAAAGTTCAGCTGGGTCAAATGTAGAGCTATCTGCTTGTTCAATCTCACCGTCCACAAAGGTGATGAGAATCAGCAGATTGAACAGTAATTGACGAGTGAGAAGCACTGTCTCGAAAACACCGGAGATGGTGACTCGTTCGCCGAAGTGCGTTGAAAGTAGTTCTGAGTCCTTGCCACTGAACTTAAGAGGGAGCGTCTTGATGATGAAATAGAAGATTTCACTATGGAGGTTTCCAGCATCCAAATTCTCGTTGAGTGCTGCAACGAGACCATCAAACATTTTATTAGAGATACGCTCTCCAAATTCACAGCGTTCACGGAAAGCCTCGATACGATCTGTGATCGACGAAGATGGCTCCGTGAACAATTCGGCCTCGAGGGCTGCTTCACATGCAGAGTTGAGTTCAGGAGAGAAGCGCTTTTTGAATTCCGCGGCGACTTTGATCAACGAGGATGCTTCCTCGTATTGCATGCCAAGTTCACTCGGGACATTTCGGTGCCTCCAACGGCTGATGATAGTGGCCCTGTCTTTGCTGAGTTCGAGACCAGAGTTGTAAGCAAGTAGTTCAGTGGTGTTGCACTCGCGTATCACAGCACAGGAGTCCGATAGAAGTAGCCAAGGTATTTCAGCATACGAATCATATGCCAGAGACACAGGTTCGAACCTGCGCTTGTTGAGGTCTTCGGCAACCTGCCAGAACTGACGCCACTTGGCATCAGTATCTAAGCGGTACCGACTGTAGTCCATCTCGTCTTCTGAAAACTTGCGTAAAGAGACAGTTGCTGCAATGGTCGAACATAACCTCTCTGCCAAGGGAACTTCCTTCTTCAACAAAATCGGAGAAGATGATGATGAAAGTGGTTTGAGGGCCTCTTGGTAGATCGCGATGGCGGTTTCAAGCACCTCGGGCAAGTACCTGTTCGGGTGCAATAGATACTTGAGCCATTCTTCAGTTGGATCCACCACATCATCAAGGGTTGAAGCCGGCAATGCCTCCTGGCGGTGGGTCTCAAATGTCGTTGAAACCCAGTTATTAGCCCAATCTGTGGTCAATGTCTGAAGATCAAAATGGACTGAATAAAGCTGATAAAGGCCATGATTCCTCCACAAGACCCATAGCTCCATGCCTTTGCCCTCCTCCATGGATTTCACTTGGAAGTCGGCAATACTCCAGAACATGTTCCCTGTCACGTCGGGGTCTACTGGGCGGAAGCTGTCGTTGGGGAAAAGATCCTCAATAATCAAATCAGACGTAAGACCACCCTTCACAGCCCAGAATTTGAACCGTCCTTCTTCAAACGGAGAGTAAGTCACCACATAAAAGCGATGGCTTCCATCCATCGCGCGCTCTGCGTTGAAAACTCGAATGAAAGAAGACTCGGCCGGGTTCAAGGTGTATGGCACGGTGTCGGGGTCCATTGGTCGGTTTAGTAAGTCCTTTGTCGCGGCAAGTTTGTTCGTAGCCATGTTCCAGATCTTCAAGGTATGATTGAGGCAAACAGCAAATACGTAGGTTTCGTCGGAAGTGGTAGCGATGGCATTGGCAACATTCAGGTCGAGATTCCGGTCGTTGTGCCGTAGCGAAGACGGTGCATTCCATTTGACAAGGCCGCGGAGTGAAGCCCCCCCATGTCCGTTCATCGAAAGTGAGAGGAGACCAATGAGATCCTATGAATCCATATTAGACAGGTAATGGAGAAGGAGGAACATCGCCAAGCCATTGCTTTCGGAGGCTTACCATCGTCCCCGGCTCGTCGGGTCAGTCGTAGCAATGCGCCATTGTCCAAGGAAATGAATAGTTCAAGCGGGCTGCTCGCGTGCAGTCGATGAGGTTGAGAAAATGAGAGCGGCGCAGGGACGCATGACTTGCTCCAATCCGCGATGTTGTTGTCAATTGAATCTACCTTCCGGAAGAACTCAGGTCGTAAAGACAAGGTGTACAGTTGTCTCGAGGAGGTGATCACAAATGCACTGATGACTTCGTGGCCCTCATAATCGGCAAAGGCTACGCCAGATGGCAGAATCTGCTCTGCGAAGTGCAATCGAAGGGTCACATTGAAATCGAAATGCTCCGAGGCGCTCTTCGTCAGGTCCACGCATTGAACCTCCAGGGTCTTGCTGTCGTCCACCACACGCCATAAGAATGTCCTCGGGTAGGTCTTGTGCTTGCGAAAATAGATCGTTCCTTGCGTTGCAAGGTACCGTTTCGCGAACTCGTCTTCGTCCTTGGCGATCGAGACTTCGGGGTGGTCGGTCGATGAGATCGAGAAGCGTGTCCGTCGATGCGCGCTTTCGGAAAGGTGAACGTTCGCAACGGTGGCAGACGAGGATGGCCGCAGGTCCACCCTCGTGTCCTTGTAGATTCTAGCCATGGTGAAGTGGAGACGCAAAAAGTCGCGGTCTTCAGACTTCCATGGCTTTGGCGGGAAGGTTGCGAGGCGGAAAGCTGGAGCTCTCAAAAAAACAAAGTCTTGGCGCGGGCGCGTGCTCCACTGGATTACTCACGCTTTACTAGTCAACAGAGCAGCAGTCTTTCCAAGGTTCATTTAGTTACCGCTGGGTGGTCAGATGATTTTCATTGGAGATAAAATAGAAACTGCATAGCTGCTATCCGATCCCCTCTGTACGGTGAATCACTACAATACTAATACCAGCCGGCGAGTCTAAAGGGGATATCCGTTCATGTAGATTCGTCAAGTCACTAATATCATATCAACAGTCATAGGAGATAGCGTAACAAATATGTGTTCCGAGCAATGCAATTGCCTTAATCATCTGCCATATCCTTCTCATTCGGGTCACCAATGCCATCTTCGTTGATAGCAAACAGGCAATCGCTCTCTGGGAAGACAGGGACTGTCATAGATCTTGCAAACACGAGTCTCACCACGGCCTTTCTTCAAGCTGAGACGAGTGGTACTAGCATGGGCGATGATATTACCACCAATTGGCTTCTTGGGGTCGGGGTTGAACATAGCGCTGGGCCCTCCATCTACTTGAGCCACAACCTGGTTGGTGATGACAACGGCAATACCGAACTCATCTGCCAGCCGCTGCAGGGTGCGCAGGAACTTAGCCAAATGAGTCTGTCGCGATGACAACTCCCCTCGCCCGTTAAAATCAGTTCGGTACAAAGAGGTGGCCGAGTCGACCACCAGCAACGAAAACCGAGTCTCACACATCATTTGCGATGCTTGAGTGAGAAGTGACAGCTGGTGATCGGAGTTGTATGCACGTGCATATGCCACATTATCCAGAACTTCTTCTCCCACGAGGCCATATCGCTGAGCGACCGCGAGAAGTCGTACCGGCCGGAATGTGCCCTCGGTGTCGATGTAAAGACACTTCCCTTCGCCTCCGCCCATATCAAAAGGCAGCTGGCAGGTGACGGCTAGAGTGTGACAGATCTGACTCTTTCCGGTTCTGAATTCGCCAAAGATCTCCGTAATAGAGCCCGTTTCGATACCGCCGCCGAGCAGAGTGTCCAGCCGTTTCGACCCAGTGGTTATTGAAATGAGTTCACTTCGGCGGGCGTGCATCTCAGTTGCAGTGGTAAACCCCATTGGTACCAATTTCGCAGCTGTATGACAATATATGATCAGCGCGCTTGATTCTTCGTAACGACATCCGTGCGGCGAGCGCCTCACCTTCTACCAATACTTTCGTCGCTTTTTGTTCCGAGATGCCTTTTATTTGCTCCAGCAGTCGCTTCGGCCTATCGAGAGAGATCATCAGTTGGGCATTGCTCAAAAGTCGGGGGGGGTTGTTTGAACATACGTATACGCAACTGCCTCCACTGTATGGTAGCCCGCATCGACAAACAGTTTGATATCTCTTCCAGTCAAGCCAGCAAGACCCTGTAGACAGGTATGAGTACACCGTTCAGTATATGGCTTTGTCAGAGCAATGGGCTGTCTTTTGACGTACCTCGAGCGCAGAAAGCGGGGTGGGAGCACCAGGGCCGGGTAGGCCATTTTCATCAAGCTCGCCTTGTGTCTCCATTTCCGCCAGAATACGAGCAGATGACTGTTTCTGGATAGATCTGAGGATGCGCAAGAGCAAGTAAAGGCCGTTGATTCTCCCGAAACCCAAGTGGACTCAGGCCAGATCAACACGGAACCGCGCGTTGGGCTTAGACGCAAAGAGGTGCCGTGGTTGAATTGCCCTTGGGACTAGACGAAGGGGCTTTTCAGGGAGCCGTGATGTGAGTCACCAGGCAACTGCACCTCGTAGTGGCAAACTATTAGCGAATAACTCGGGACCCTCGGACAGGTCTTTTGTTGTTGGCGGCACGACGCGTTCGGACTGTCGCGCGGTCACGTGTGATGTTCTGCCTAAAAGAAGCCGCGATGGCCCAATTGACCAATCGTTTTTACCTTCAAACGAGCTATTTGAAAAATGGATCTATTGTCACCGAGGCTCTCCAGGAGATTCTGCTTGGGGATAATAAAGACTCTACGAGTGTTGTCAGCTAATTTGACCTAATTTCAAATTCGTCTCATGATCCTAATCACGAATGGTGTAATGTATACAAACTGTACATAGGTGCTGAGTACTCGCAAACCAAGATGTGAAGCTCTCCTGCTCTCTAGGAGCCCTTCACACCACTCTGCCACCCATGTTCTGAAAAAAAGACGAAAAATAAAGAGTCAGCTAAGTCCCCCTGACTGCGGTCTGAAATTGATGAGCCCACTGCGGCTCAGTGTTTGCTTCGGCGAGCGATACCCTAAGGACATCGACTGAGTCGTCCGAATATTACAACTGCATCTTGTCACGTTTCTTCAGGCAATTCCTGCTGCACTTGTGTTTCGTCGTGCTGCGACCTGAAGTGTTCCAGGATTGACTCCCGAATCCGTCTTCCATGAAGATCTCTCAGTTTGGGGTCAAACTCGAGACGCCCTGTTGGCAAATTCATGTGGATACTTTCATTGAAGATTTGGCTGATTCTGCGCCTAAATTCCTCCGATGAGCGCCGGCGGATGAGGGTTCCTGTTGGACAGCAAATTAAGGTATGCGCTTCCATGGGGTGAATCAGCCCTGGTTCGCCACTTACTGGTCATCCGTGAAGCCCGATTCTGCTCGGCTGGAGGGCGAGAGCCAAGTTCTCTTGCAAAACCGTTCGTGCCATACTCATCGTCATTACCCGGAACCAAATCTGAATCCGTGCTACCGAACATTTGACTCGAGCGGAAGAGGCGAGTGTGGAAACCCGCACGCTTCTCGTTCCTGGGCGGCATGACGTTGCGACGATACAGGCTCCTGGGAGAATTAGGAGCGCTGTTTGAGATTGCTGGCCTAGAGATTGCGCTTGATCTGAAGGACTCGCACATGTGATTGTTTGCTGCGGGTATATCAAGATTGGGCTGAGGCGGTCGCCGCATTTCTGGCGATACTGGTGTTGGGGTCTGGGGAAAATTCTCAGGACTCATGGATGGGGAATCTAGGCTTTCTGCTCGAAGCGGAATCGGGCTCGGCATCGGACTCGCAGCTTGGCTCCTAACGGGTGTACTGGGGAGGCGTAGACTTGGGCTGGGGCTCGGGAGTCGAAATTCGCAACCCAGATTCCCTCGACATGAACGCCTCGTTTGAGGGCTCTTGCCCCAAATGGAACATCATCCAGTGTAAGGATAGGGTACAGCTCTGCCTCGCCCTCTTTTTGGCGGGCTTCGGTAACCGCATACCGGCGGACTCTCCAGTTGTTGTACAGGAGAACGCAGTAGGCGTAGAGCATGACCAGTATCTAGGGTGTTTCTTAGCAGAATAGAGGCTTCGGTGTATGGGATCTCGTACAATCAACGTTGCGAGTATCTAAGACGCGTTTGTGTCAGTGAAATGGAGACCAGCATGATCTCAGTTCCAATGTATAGTACGTACCAGGCTCAGCTTCTCCCACTGCTGCCAGGAAGACCAGAAAGCCATCGTTCTTTTCGGTCGGTTTGTGGTCTTTTTGTTCGAGTGTTGAAGATGGGACCTCCGTCGATGTTCTATCGAAGAAGTACATGAGGAGAGGCTGGATGGCTAGTAAGTTGCGTAGAACATCCGCCTGCGTACCTGCCTGTTTTGGGCGTTGGAGGAACGCAAAGCAACTGCAGCCCAGCCATAGATTCGAGACTAGAGTCTGTTACCTACGTATCTGGCTGCACGGCGACTACCTGCTGGTAAGTAGTAACTACGAGTTGCTGAGTTTCGTAGAGTTCCGGTTAGTAGCGCTTCTGTACTGTTGTGGATGAAATAGATATATACTATTCGGACAGCGCCTTCTTAGCTTTTTTTTTCTGAGTGTGATGAAACGTATCTGTGCGATCCGGCCCGGAACCAACATGGCAGGGAGAACCCAGCCTCGAAAACGAGGCCTAAAAAAAGAGAAAAACCAAAAAGAAAAAGAAAAAGAAAAAGAAAAAAAGAATCTCTCCCTCGGGGAATCGAACCCCGGTCTCCCGCGCTTATCAGATTGACAAGCGGAAATCATCACCACTAGACCAAGGAAGATGTTAGCCGAGTTCCACTCGACCACTTGGGGTTGGTTGATGCAACATGGACCACCTTATGCATGATAATCCAGTTCAAGTATATTGCCCCATAGTATCAGTAGCAGCTTCCAATGAGACGATATCATATTCGCCACCCCCCCCCCAAATCGAGGATACCATTAATTGCGAATAAAATTCGGGAAATTACTATTGCTATATCCTTCATGTTTAAAAATGCGCTCAATCCCGTGTTTGATCGCTCAATTCGAGCTACCTTCCTTATGTCGGTCTCAAGCCTAACTACTGGTGCGGGAATATATATACCTATCGGTACCACGACGGGACTCATATAAGCAGCCAGGGGGTTGTCGGAATCTCGTTTACGTCGTGCTCCGGCTGATACAAAAAAAGGCCCTCGAAGCTGCTATACCAATATATCATACCCCCATGAAGGAACAAGTTCCATTTGAAAAATTAGAGCTTATCGGGGCCAAATCGGGATGCCGAAGCCGGGAAGTCTTGCACGGAGAATTATGAGGACTCGGAGAGCATCAACTGCAGACGCAAGGCGTGTGATGCCAGCCGCGGATATTAGAATGCATGACACAAGCTTCTGGTGCTTGGATTCGTAACAGAATGGATCTGCGGGATCTGCGAGTTCTGCGAGGCTTATCTGGGTTTCCAGCCCATTCACAGCGCACGTCACTGTCACAGGGCCCCCCCCTTCTTCCCCTCTCTTATCATTATCGCCCCCTCTGCCCCCCTTCGCTTGACTTGCCCCCCCCAAAATACCCCAGAAACCCCAGCGACAGAAACTAAACCCGCACAAACCCGCACAACAATGCCTCAAATCTGATTATCGCTCTGTAAAATTCCAAGCTCCGAGCAGAAGATTGAAGTTGGAATTGACTGTTGGAATTGACTATTTCCTTTATCAAGCCTCGAAGCATAATTCCACATGGAACAGAGTTATGCCATTCCTGAGGAAGGTTTGCCTCGAGCTTACGAGTCGTCAGCGATCATGATCTACACCCGTGCATGCTGTTCAATGGATCTACCTGCCTTCTGTTTCAGCTGGAGCTTAACTATACAATGAAATTTAGCGCATAAATTTTTTTTTTTTCGCATTCGACGCGTAGAAATTATTCGAAATTAATGAATCTAAATAGACTTCTTGTAGAGCTCGAGCGCTCCTTCGAGCATGAGGCCCAACGCTGATATGAAACAGACGGAGGTGCGAATACAAGAAGCTGAAGACCAGAGGTCTTCAAGGTGACGACGTAATCTCCCCGCGAAACATTCTTCCTGAATTCTTCAAGTCCACTTGTTCATAACTATTCATTTCATTCCCATAACGCCATCAAGCCCCTCGCAGGCCTGAGACATACATAATGGGTTCTGTCCCCTCGTTTTGGGAGCAAGCAAATCATTATATCAAGCCGCCATGAGTCTGAACGAAAGGAATCTCGAAAGCCCGGTGAGCATTGAGAAGGAGCCAATGCATCTCGAGAACATTGAAAAACTCCCCGCGCTCGAAGAAGTAGGTCGGCTTGCATCATGGAGAGGAGCTTTGATTCTACTCGTTACTTGTGGCTCCCAGTTCCTCGATAATGTCTTCATGACAAGTTCGAACATGGCCCTGGCTTCCATCCAGGAGGAGTTCGACGTATCAAACACCAACTTGCAATGGATGATATCGGCCTATACCCTGGCATTTGGTGGGTTTTTGCTGCTCGCTGGATATTTGTCTGATCGGTAAGGACATCCCCGCCACTCTCACCTATCCACACTGTCTGACGGTTCATTATCACAGGTACGGTAAAAAGGAAATATTGTGTGTCGGCCTGTTCTGGCTGTCAACATGGACCCTGGCAATTGGCTTCGGCCAATCATTCATTCAGATCACTGTGTTCCGTGGTATCCAAGGCATTGGAGCCGCAATGACCGTCCCGTCCGCGATCGGAATCATCAGTTCGTACTTCAGCGGCGTTGATCGAACAAGAGGCCTCTCGATTTACGCCGCATCGGGCACCGTTGGCTTCTGCACGGGCCTGATCTTTGGAGGGTTCCTCACATCCTCCCTCGGCTGGCGATACATCTTCTACCTGATTGTGATCATCACTGGATCTCTCTGTATCCTCGGCCTGATTGTGCTGCCAAAGGATCGTGCCGACGAGAAGTTGAGACCCAAGATGGATTACCTTGGAGCATGTCTTTCGACTGCTGGTCTGATTCTCTTGCAGTTCGTCCTTTCCAGTGGAGGTGTCTACGGATGGGGAACGCCTTTCATCATCGGTCTGCTTGTGCTGTCAGTCTCCTTGCTGGTCGGATTCATTCTGCTGGAGAAATTTATCCCCAACCCACTTATGCCTCTTTCTCTATGGAAGATCCACAACTTCGCGGGACTCTGGCTCGCTGGATTCAGTAAGTTGACCAAATCATCTTTTGAAACCTGTCCTAACAAGCCACAGCCTGCTACGGAAGCTACCAGAACATCATCTACTACATTGTCCTAACAGCACAGCAAGTCGATGAGTTGTCTGCTGGTAGTACCGCTCTCCGGTTCCTGCCCATGGGAGTGATTGGTTTCGTCGCTTCTCTGGGTACAGGAAAGGCCCTTGAATACATGAATGCCAAGTATCTTCTTATCGCGGGCCTTGTGCTCTCCGTGCTCGCTCCTTTACCGAGCGCCCTGACTGTTACGTCTTCTAATGACTTGTACGTACCAGACCGTCCCAATGATAAAGAAATAAAAGCTAACCATCTGCTAGCTGGGTCAACACACTCGGATCATCTCTGATCAGCATCACCGCCGTGTCGCTCATCTTTGTTACCACGAGCACTACGATCCTAACAAGTGTGCCCCTCGACGTCAAGAGTCTCTGTGGCGGCATGGTAAGTGACATTTGTTCCATTTCTGATCCACCAGACGATAGATTAACAGATGATGCAGCTGAACACCGCATTCCAAATTGGGTCTGGCGTGGCCCTTGCTATCTCCGCAGCTACTACCCACGCCGTTGACATCAAGCATCACCATGGTCTTCCGCAGCAATACTCGACCGGTCTTTGGTGCTCGGCCGGCTTTGCTGGCCTGGGACTAGTGGCTGGACTGCTAACCGTGAGCCGAAAGGGCGCCGGGCCGGAAGACCGAATCAGCGGGGATGTAGTTGTTTGATGTCCTATACATATGCGATCGGCAATTGGTACATTAATACTTTTTGACGATATAGACTTCTTTTCGTTGTATTTGATAGTACGGAGGATTAATTCAGCGACGGGGCAAGCGATGACGGCGTGGTGTCAGGTTGATGAATTACAATACATAAGACCTTATTATGAACCCATTCAATTTCATTCCAAACCGCGACCGCTGATATCACAAAACACCCTGCAAAGACCAAAACCAGGAGGTTTCGCGACAAGAAGAATGCCCGATCCACCGATCCCCAGTCCTTGATTGGCGGATAGCACCCAAGTGGACCCTCCAGGCGATCCCAATCAAGTGGCGCATGTTTTTTTTTTTCGCCTGCGAAGCACGCGGGCGCATCAACGCCTGCATGGAGCGGAGCGCGTTCCACGAGCTGCCCATCGAGCCGCGGGGCATACTCTGGGAAGACAACTTCATTGACGCCGCGCACGAGCAGCGGCTGATCTCGACCTTCCGCGCGCTAGAATGGCCTGATCGGCCCGGACGCATATCGCTGCACTATGGCTACACCTTCGACTATAAGACCTTCGGGATCGACCCGGACATCCCCTACAAGGACTTCCCCGAGTGGCTGCGGCCGCTGATTCCCACCACCGAGTCTCGCGCGCCAGACCAAGTGTGCTTGCAATATTACCCGCCCGGGAGTGGGATCCCGCCGCACTCGGACGCGCATATGGCGTGGGACCAGCTGTATGCGTTGTCGCTGGGGGCACCGGCGGTGATGCAGTTCCGCCGGGGGGAGCAGCGGGTTGATATTGATTTACGTCCGCGAAGCATGATGAAGATGACAGGGGATTCGAGGTTGCATTGGACGCATGGGATCAAGAAGCGCAAGAACGATATTCTGGCTGACGGGACGGTAAGGCCCCGGGGGAACGGTGGAGTATTACGTACCGTTGGGCTAGAGAGGGAGAGTGTGAGTGTGGGAATCTGGAACTGTGCGATGTTGCTCAGCGACGACATGGGATGGAGAAAGAGAAACGATCAGTGAAGGAACTAAGCGCCGCGGCTACTGGAGCAGCGCAAGCTGGTTGAATAAGAATTTTATTCAAATTTTGACGATATTATGCATGTATAACAAATTAGTTGCTCATTGAATTGCTACAAAATTATCATACTATAGTATGTTTTTTGAGCATCCCTCCCCTTTTCCAATTTCAGCGATGCCCTTTTCAAGAAATTCCCGAGTCGGATTGAATCCCAAGCGAAAAGGACTTGCTCACTATGAGTCTATGTCCACTACCCTATCATGTAATGATTTCATGGGAACAGGGAATAGATCTTGAACGACGTGAAGCCCTGCAATAATTAAGTCTCTGGGACTTCTTCGTTGGCCAGGTTTCCCCTTTTGCAGCAAGTTAGCTTGAGCAGTAGAGCGTGCGGAGATGGCTTCTTACTTGGTCTTGCGACGATCCCACAGAATGCTCATATCGCCAACAGGCAGGCTGAACGGGAAGCCCAAAGCCTCGAAAAGCTGAGCAATGAGGAGGTAAAATCCTAAGAGACTCGCAACGAAAAGCGATGCTCCAGCTCCCTTTGTAGAATACAGTCAGCCTTCGTGTCCTTGGAAGTTTGCCTCATGGAGGAACACTCACAACCACGCATCTATTACCAATCGTCGATTCTCCCTCAGCGAGCGTCCAGTAAGCCGCAGACAGAAGGAGGAACACGAGGAGCAGCGATAGGAAGATGAGCGTATAGACTAGATTCGTACGTGTCGCGCATATCATGAAAACGAGCATGAGGACGCCCATTGTTATGAAGAAGAAAGCTAACAAGGTTAGACAGCCCGCCGAAAGGCTGGGTGTTCTCACTTACCATACGTGTTCATGAACCCTGCACTGGCCAGCCCGGCGGATGTACTAGTGGTTGATGAAGAATACGGTGCTATTAGTGGTTAGGGTTGTGATTCAATTGCTGGCACGAAGGGTCAAAATAGACTCACCAGCTGCATTAAAAGAAGGTATCATCGTTGCAGCGAAGGCAAACCAGAAGCCACCTGTAATCAATTCAGCGACACGATGAAACCCCAGATGTGTTGAAACATCTTACCGATGGTGCCGAATACGACGCAGGGGAAAGTGTTCCCGAGAACGAACTCGAGAATACTCGTAATGAGCAGCAGCAAGCCTCCGAGGAACACGATGGGACCACTATCGCATTGTCAGTCAGCCGATCGAATCCGACAAGAGGGACTTATGGTTTCTTACATGAAAGCCACTCCGTTACCACTCGCTCCTCTCCAGGCCATCAAGCAGCATGAAAGGGGGTGGTGGTGATGACGAAACCTCCTAGCGCCCTGGGACCAAACGTATTAGTAGAAAAGCCAAGGCTGAGAAGGCAAAATGGTTACACACAAAGGTGTTGGATTTCCCACCTGCTTCGCCAAGGCAGGCTGACGGCGTGTCATGGGCGTGAGGTAGATCTTCTCAAACTGCTCTGCCGTGAGAGTGACATGAGTTGGGATCGTAGAGAGCCCGTACATGCCGTTCTCTCTGCCCTGAGGAGAGACCTTCTCGCCGGTGTCACCATCCATCCTGAGAAGTAAAAGCCGAAATTGGGGAAAGGGAAGTTCTGTAGTGTTGCCCAAGAGAGAGCGATAGGAATGACTGAAAATACTCAACCTGGGGGGGGAGCGGAACCGTTTTATTAGGCTGATGAACAGGTCAATCATTACCCCAGAAACCCCCACAAACTAGCTATTGGCCACGGGAAAATGGAATAATCGAAAAGCTAGTGCCACCCAGAGAATTTACTCCTCTTACGGCGGAAGGGAAATCCATTGCGCGTGAGCTGCAAAGCTTAGACCTCGAGAGCTCTAGCTTTGCGGGGAATGACCCGCTAACTGGAAATGGTAAGAGATTCTCGTCAATGGCAGATCCAACCTGCGTAGCGTTCTCTGATTGGCAGGTCTCATTGAGGATCCGTGGAGTAGCCCCTAAAAGTCGATCGAGAAACGGTTTCCGTTTCTGGCCAAAGTTTGTTTCCAGGTGAACAGCTCCCGGAGATTCCCGCAAGTGTTCGTCAGAAGGAGCCCAAATACGCAGATCCAGGGGGAAATTACTAGGAAGATCTGCAAAGCAAGCCACTGGGCTCATTCCAATCTGAGCTTGTGCTCCGTCCAGCAGATCATAGGTTCCCGCAAGGGTTTTTAGCTTGGTTTGGGGGAACATGGGGTCGTCCCGGGGTTACTGTAGACTTGGAGATGCGGGAGCGCGGTAGTCATGTCGGAATTTGGAAGCTCAAAGTTGATTTGACTTGAAGTGGCTAGTCACGGCAATAGATACTGGTACTACGTGAGCAGGGGAGTTTGAGTACGATGGTCGACCTTAACCTGTTCGCAAGTGTATGGACCAAAATGGAGTACCAAATTCCAGCTCGTAGCCGAGATTGAAATGGTAACAAGGGGGGCATGTTTCTAATCACATAATTCTAGGTTATATCGCTTCATGTTGGAGCTACACAGGTGTTGCGACGGGGGATCGCTAGTACACAAAGGATAGGCTTGAAAAAACTAGATCATCAAATTCGACTATAAGAGCTAAAAACTAGTAACATTCATTCAATCATTTAGCATTGATGCGAACGCGAACAGTCTTCACTTGAGTGTAGTTGTCAAGGGCATATGAACCAAGCTCCCGACCGAGTCCAGATTCCTTGAATCCGCCGAATGGCATCTGGTAATGAAGAGTGTTGTAGTTGTTTACCCAAACGGTACTGTAATGAAGTTAGAAAAAGAAAAAAAGTCGCCCCGGGAGTAGAACGTACCCAGCCTTGACAGCATTGGACACTCGGAGAGCAGTGTCGATGTTTTTCGAGTGCACAGCCGCAGCCAAGCCTGAAAGAAGTCAGTATTTTGCCGGCAATGGAGTATAAACCCGACTTACCGTAGCTGGTGCTGTTTGCCAGCTCAATAGCTTCATCCTCGGTACTGAATTTCTGGACAGTGCAAACAGGTCCGAAAATCTCCTCCTTGACGATGCTCATATCCGAGTTCACATCAGAGAAGATGGTGGGCTGAATGTAGTATCCCTGCGAGCCGTGCCGAGCACCACCAGTGACCACTCGAGCGCCAGCTTTCTTGCCGGCATCGATGTATCCCATAATGCGATCGAATTGCAGCTGTGAAACCTGGGGGCCCTGGAACGTCTCCGCGTTCATTGGGTCTCCGACCTTGTTCTGCTCCGCGCGCTGTTTGAACTTCTCGATGAACTGCTCGTAGACAGATTCGTGCACAAGAATACGCGATCCAGCGCAGCAGCACTGACCGTGGTTAAAGTAGATACCAAAGTTCACCCAGTTGACGGCATCATCCAGATCTGCGTCAGGGAAAACAATGTTGGGGGACTTTCCACCAAGCTCCAAGGTGACCTTCTTCAGGTTGCTCTTTGCGGCAGTCTGGAGGATCTGGCGGCCGACCAGAGTAGAGCCCGTGAACGCAATCTTGTCGACATCCATGTGAGCAGCGATGGCTGCACCGGCGACCCGGCCGAATCCGGAGATAATGTTGATGACACCAGGTGGGAATCCAGCCTCCTTGATAAGCTTGGCAGCGTACAAAGCCGACAAGGGAGTCTGCTCAGCAGACTTGAGTACAACAGTGTTTCCCGTTGCGATGGCAGGTCCAATCTTCCAGGCCCACATCAACAATGGGAAGTTCCAGGGAATAATTTGACCACACACGCCCACCGGCTCATGGCGAGTGTAAGTCAAACTTTCTGAGTCGGTATCGATGGTCTGCCCGTAAATCTTGTCTGCCCATCCACCGTAGTATCGGATGCAGCCAGCGGAGGCGGCAACATCACCACGCGCCATACCGACTCCCTTTCCGTTGTCAAGGGCTTCGATGGTGGCCAGCGTCTCGGTATCACGTTCCATAAGATCTGCGAGGCGGGAAAGGAGTTGACCGCGCTTTGAAGGGGTGATGTGCTTCCATTCGCCATTCAAAGCCGTGCGGGCGGCCTTGACTGCAATATCCACATCGCGCTCCTTTGCCTCATGAACAGACACAATGGGCTTCTCGTCGTGGGGGGTTGACCGTTTCGAAGGTGGTACCCTCGACCCCAGGAACGAACTCATTGTTGATAAACCTATTTGCTTATATTAGCCCGTCACTCGTACCGAACGGCATTTCTGAATACATACAGGCCAGTTGGCTGCTCGTAGGTGAGGGAGACGGTCTTGATTGTTTGGAATAACGCCATCGTGCCGGGATGTATATGGAATGCTCGCCAAGTTGTGATAAGATATGGGTATCGTATAGAAGCTTGAAACCAGTATGTACAGATTGTCTGGATACTCTTGAAACAAAGAAAAAGAAAACGGCTTTCAGTTACTTCGAGGCCATTTTATGTGCTCTACCTCCCTCCGAGTCAAGCCGAGCCTTCGACATCCTAACCAAACACCCCGCCTATCATGACAATGTTTCGTAAGAGGATCAACCACGAGGACGCCCACAGACTCCCTTGGACCGAAGCTTCTTTCCTCTTGAGGGTTGTTTCCTAATGCAGGCGCTTGATCTCTGGACCGGGAGGAGGGGAGTAACTCTATTTCAGCTGTCGCCGAATTTGGCAAGTCTCTACCCCACACAGCCGGGTACTTTTGCCTGCGGGTGAAAGGGATCGTCTTTCTCTTTCAGGTAGGGGGCTTTCCTATTTGGGCAAGAGGCTAAAGGCTGCAGGGTGGGGAAAGCGGGGGGCGGGGCCCCGTATTGCGGGACAACACTCGCATTCCTTCGTCTCGTTTGGGGGTCGAGCCATTCCGGGGGGAGGTAGAAGCCGATACTTGGGCCTCTCGGCCCAGCCCGATGTGGATCTCGATTTTGGACTGTGGAGGCCGAGTTGCCCTCGCTTCGACGCAGAGGTGAAAGAAAAATTACTTCCAGTCAATATTTGAGGATGTTCTTGGTAGTGGGGTAGTCTTGCGCAGAGAACAGTGGTACTCTTAAAAGCCGAGGTAGAGCGGCTTGAATGATGTCATGAAATCTTGTAGAGATGTGAAATTGTGGTCTTAGGAGTAGTTCTAAGATAGGTTGAAGTAGTTTGAAGATAATAGGTGTCAAAAACTATTATATGGAGAGAAGGTTCAATTTCAGGTCATCAATTTATAACTATCATGCATCTGCCTACCACACGCCCCCCGGTACCCACACATTCGCATAAAAAAGACTATGTACATTCACCAACTCTCCTCAACCCCTATGCTAATCAGAATCGTAGGCACAAAGAGCCCGGCTCTCAAAGACACAGAAAACATTTACTCAGGAATCTCCAAGACGTAGCGACCGGCGATCTTGCCTTGTTCTGAATTGGAGTTCGGATTAGCAAGGAGTAAGACATGCGGGGAGAGAGGCACATACCCATGAGTTCAAAGATCTTCGGAAGATCCTTCAGAGGAGCGGTCTTGAAGGGGGCCTTGATCAAGCCGCGCTCGAAGAAATCAAGAGCCTCAACACCGTCTTGACGGTTGCCCACGTAGCTACCCTTGATGGTAATCATGCGGACGACTGTGTTTAAAACAGGAGCCTTCAGGTAAGCATTGGCGGGAAGACCAATGGCGACCACAGTGCCTCGGGACCGGACGTATTCTGTAGCCTGTTGGAACGGCTTCTCGGAGACTGCCAGAAGGATGACAGCATGGGCACCAAGACCGCCAGGGGTAGCAGCCTTCACATCGGCAACAAGGTCCTTTGATTGAGTGAAGTCGACAAAAGCCTAAGAGGGGCCAGGTCAGTATACTGTATTCAGCTTTGAAAACTTGTGTTTTGAATCTACCTCGGCGCCCAGGTCCTTGCACATAGCCTGTTTCTCGCTTCCACCATCGATACCAACGACCCGGAGACCCATCGCCCTAGCATATTGAATGGCCAAGGATCCCAGACCACCACCAGCTCCGACAATGGCAACAGTCTCACCAGGGCGAGCCCCTGATTCCTTGAGACCCTTGTAAACAGTAATACCGGCACACAGAACGGGGGCCGCTGCGTCAAGAGGAACGCCCTTTGAGATCTTCGAAGCCAGAGCAGCTTTGCCGATAGCGTACTGCTGGAAGGTACCATCGACAGTGTAGCCGGAAAGCGCAGCATCAGCACAGCAAGACTCATCAGTCTGGCGACAGAATTCACAAGAGAGACAGGATCCGTTCAGCCACTTGATACCGGCCGCATCACCAATCTCAAATTCCTTCACCAATTCACCCTTAGCCACGACATGTCCCGCACCCTCGTGTCCACCCACCAGGGGCATCTTGACAGGAAGAGGCCAGTCACCGTTCAGGGCGTGGAGATCAGTGTGGCAGACACCAGAGTAGCGCATCTTCACCAGAATCTCATCCGGGCCAGGCTTTGGGACCGGAATCTGTTTGTAGACCAAAGGTCCACCAACCTTCTCCGCGACCTGAGCCCACTGCATTTGAGGAACCGACATCTTGTTTTGCAAGTGTAGATGTGTAGACTTGATATTGAAATTTGAAATTGAGAGATTGGGTAGATCAGAAGATAGCCAAAGTGTGAAGTGTGATGATTGATGGGGAGATGAATCCAAAGAGAACCCCAGTGTGCTTTATAGATAGCTTGACCCCATGGGGTCGGGTCGTACCCACCCGAAGACCACCGCACTGGGTTTGAGATTCTCGAAGCTAGCGATGGTGGCGTAGAGGAACCACTGGAGGATTGTGTCGGCTGAACGGAGGCCAGCAAGCATCGAAAGGCGAAATGAGGTCGCCTAGACAGAAAAGGCAACACAGGTGCCACCGAAAGACCCAAAGAGGCAACAGGTTTATTATAGACGTGGGGGGGGATCGACCACGAATTTCCTTGCCGAAAGACCATCCAAAGCATTCGAAACTGTTGGGGGCTCCACATCCCCCGCCTTCCGAACCCACCCCGCAAAGACAATGACTGCGGGTTGCATTTCCGGGAGCATTTTGGAGCGGGGACCCCGGCCCAGTCTGCCACCGAGTCTACCACCGAGTCTGGCACCCAGCCTGGCACCAAAGCCCGGCCCCAAGGCTCGCCCCACTGCTGCCGCGCTAAGACCGCCGGAGGCTCTCCGCCGATCATGTCAAAGCTTCTCTGCTCGTCTTTGTCGCAGTCGAGGTTTGATCAAGTGGCCAGGGGCCTTCTAGATCGGGGCAAACAGGCCTCCTTTCACCCGAGCATGTTTACGAAAGGCCAGGGGCGACAGGGTCGAAAAGTGCGATCGAGATGCAAAGATCGACTCTACCATTTCATCATGAACTCCTATGAAGCATTCGCGAGGGATCTCGGAGCTAGTCCATATTAGGTTGACCTGAACTAGATGCTGGTTCTGTGGTTGTCACCGACATGTCATTATAAGTAGCAAGTGATGTCTTCGGGCTTGGGGGAATAGGGAAGCGTAATATATTGACATCTTCAATATCTACACAGATGCACAGCAGGACTTGCTGAATACTTTCAAGCATGAGTCCCAGGGTAGGAGCTTTCCCATCTGCTTTCCCTCCCCCGCCACCAAATGCACACTAACGCCCAAAAGAACCCCGAGTCTCCTTATCAGTCAGACCCTTTCATGGGCTATGGATCCGGAAACTACAAGCCCACTGCGGGGATGGACTCCGAGCCGACAGTCGAAAGAAGAAAGAAAGCCCGCAGAAGCTGCTACGGCTGCCAGCGAGCCCATCGGACATGTGGTACGTGCAAGGGTCAGTCATAGATGAGGCATTGCGGGTATGAACCAACACCTCTTAACTAGGCGACGAACGACCTTGTCAAACATGCGTCAAACGAGGAATGGCCCACGCTTGCTTTGACGGCGCCCGGAAAATCCCAAAGTATCTGGGCGATATGCCAGGGGTCTCCATTATGGAAATCAGCGCAAGTACGTCTCCGGATCCACAGACGGGGAGCGATGGTAATTCGCCCCGATGCATGATGGAAGGTGAATACTCGGTCATTGATTTCAACGCTGTCGATTCAACGGGCGAGCCCCTGCAATCCTCAGCGAAAAGGCGGAATTCAAAGAAGTATCCACGGAAGGACGAATGGGCGATGGGTGAAGCACAGGAAGATTTGGGTCTACCAAAATCTGACGGGTCCAATATCATGTCGACCAGCAGGCATACAGACCGGATTGATGGGACTCTCGATCCGTACATAGATGACTTCTGTATGTACGAGGATTGGCCTCCCGCTTCTCCCGCTGCCGATGAGAATATCGGGTTTACCATTAATAGTGGGTGGTCTAGTACATTCTTTCCAGTATAATTGGGCCAGGATCAAGCAAGGAGTTCCGGGGGTATTGATGGCATTGGGGAATTATGTTCGATAGGATATCCTTACGCAATCTAATGAACTGACACTCGAAAATTGTCATACTCATTGTATTCCTTGCCTTAGAAGTAAGGCGTCCATAACATCTCTATGACGTCATCCGTCTTCTCACGTCTCAACTTCATCTCACACGAAGCTGAGCACATTGCAACCTTGTCCTACTCAATCACGACCGGTTTCAGTATGCCGGATAAAATCATAGATGCTGCCCTGGCTGAGGTGAAGAGGACGAGTGACATTTCTCAGGATGTGCTCAAATCTGGTGCATATTTGTACCCCCCTAAAGGTAGGACTCGGAGACATGATCCATACCTTGAGCAGCGGCTGACTAGTGTCCAGGGTATTTTTTACTTTGCAGCTCATAAAGATTTATGGAAGCCCTTTCGGGCTCGTGCCGGGGCGACTATCAGTCTAGGCCTCGGCGTCACATCAGCGATGTTTTTCTTCACCTACGTGCCTCAGATGGCCGTAATGGCCATCACAAGTGGACCCCTTGCCGCGATCTCTGCAGGAGTTCTTGTTTTGAGCGAAAGCTCTACCATCACGAATCTCCTTGCCCGATCCTTCTTGGTCGAGGAAGCTCTGATTGACACATTCGATGGCACCTTGGTTGCCCGCGGCCAGGAATCTCTGGTCGCCGAAGGGCGGCAACTCAAGCCCAACTCCGGAGGAATGGATGCTATTGCGAGGCTCGGCAAGGCCATCTCTCGACCATTCACAAAAATGAGCCCACAGAGCCTTTTCAGGTCTCTGCTTTATCTGCCTTTGAATCTGATCCCTATGGTCGGAACCGTGTTATACATCACGGCCCAGGGAAGACGAATTGGCCCGAAGCTTCACGCACGATATTTTCAGCTCAAAGGCTGGAACTCGCGACAGCAAGATGAATGGTTGGCTAAACACAAGGCGGCCTACACCGGGTACGAGAATTTCCACACTACATGAATGACTAAATTATTTACGAAGATTTTAGACTTGGCATTGCATCTGTTCTGCTTGAAATGGTGCCATTCGTTTCCATTCTGTTTTCATTCACAAATGAAGTCGGAGCGGCCCTGTGGGCTGCAGATATTGAGAAGGCGGCTGCTAAGCAGGACGACAAGAAAGGGAACTAGTAATATTATTGCTGGTATGAATGCCAGAAGAATGCTTCCAACCAAGAAGAGTCTCATAATCGTTATTATTGCAACACATGTCATTTGAGGTAATGTCTTATGCTTGAACTGGTGACTATGCGATGGTTTCAGTGTTCTGCCGGTGGAAATGATGGGGGGGTATTCGTTTCATTGTACTATATTTGGAAGCTCTTCACGGAAAAATGGTCCTACTTTCAAGAGAAAAGAAATTACTGTTATTAATCTTAGGTATCGGCGGAATACTAACCTACGTAATAGTATTCGCGTCCCCTCGGAGCGAATGTACATGCGCCTTGAACTCCACATTATCCACATGAACAGATTCTGTGCCCTTCCCTTTAAAGTTAGTAAGCGCCTCCCCTTGAGTCGGTTCGCGCTCAACTACGGCGCCAACCTTTCGAGCCTTGCGGCCTGTGGAGACCCAAATATTGCGGTCCTTGGCGAAAAGATCGATTTCTTCCAATGACTTTTGTACCGTTTCCTGCAGAATAATTTAGCTTTATCCTTGTAGTTTCTGTTGATTGAACTTACAGGATAGAAAAAGAAGACGACAGCCATGGTATAACACAAAGCCATGAAAACCATGTATAGCTGCCACCTATTTAGTATAAAGTGAGTATATCGGACGTAGTGGTTATCCAAGGTTAAGGGCTTACTCTCATACCCAGACGAGTAGCCCCGGAGCCCTGAAGAAGATATGGAGCGGTTTCGAAAACGCGGGTAAATTAGACCCAATCCGCCATCAAATTTCCGACGGGTATTTGCGTGCATCGGAGTCTCTCCGCCCTGCGAGTGTGGGCAAGTTGCGGGGACATGTGGATTGCCACGGGGACAGGCACGATGCAGGTATCTGGACAGAGACCCTCACTCCTCCCGCATTGTAACTTCTCCAAAAAGGTCTCGTAATGGGCATTTCCCAGGTCACGGCGCCGTTATCACGGCTGCTCCCACCGCTGGTGCTAGGAGGCGCAGGGTTCAGTCACCAAATCATCAAAAACCCCAATGCATCACAAGCCAGAAAAGTCCTCGAACGAGCTTTCCAACTGGGCCTGCGGGCCATCGATACTTCTGCATACTACCACCCGTCCGAGATACTCCTCGGCGAAGCGTTATCACATCCCGAAATCTCCAGCCATTATTCGCGCGACCAATACCTGTTGATGACCAAGGCGGGGCGCATCAGTGTCAACCACTTTGACTATTCCCCCGCATGGATTAGGAAGTCCGTTTTGCGGTCGCTGGAGCGCCTGCGCACAGAATATCTGGATGTGGTGTTTTGCCACGATGTTGAATTTGTTCCGGAAAGTGAGGTAGTCGAAGCCGTCGGCGTGCTGATTGACCTGGTGCACGAAGGGCATGTTCGATATATCGGGATTTCTGGATACCGTATAGACATACTCTCTCGCCTCGCCCACCACGTCCGAGAAAAATATGACCGTCCACTGGACATTATTCAGAACTGGGCTCAGTTGACACTGCAAAACGACGTTCTCGCCAGAGATGGACTTGCTTTCTTTCGAAGTGCAGGCATCTCTTGTGTATGCAGCTCAAGCCCTCTGGCCATTGGTCTTCTGCGTGATGAAGGGGTGCCGGTAGGAGACTTGGGTGAATTCCACCCGCGCCCCCTGCTTTACGGAGTGCCACGCGAGCGGCTGCTCTGCATGTTGCAGCCCGAGGGGAGTCTCTTGCAGCGCTGGCCCTGCGCTATGCGATTCGGCGAGCCCAATTAGAGTCGTCTGACAGCTTTCGCGTAACAACGATCATGGGGATCACTTCTGTCGCGGAGCTTGAAGAAAACCTCGCCGTGGCTAGACAAGTCCTCCCTGATTCGAATGAGCCAAATTTGCTCTGGGCTACAGGGCCTGCCGGCCGTGAAAAACTCGACTCAGAGCAATCAAAGCAGGATGAAAAGCTAGCTCGAGAGATTCAAGACATTTTGGGCCCCTGGAAGAACTACAGTTTTCCGAGCCCAGGCGATGGATGGGATGTAACGAGAAAACAGCCAGCTGGTACGAAGCTATAATAGAATTAGGAATTAATCTTAATCTACCTAGGATGTCACTATTGGCAGGCGACCAATGTGGATGTCGACTTACCCAGTGCCAGATTTCGGATCTGCAGTTGCATTAGAAAGTGATATTAGTGACCCTAATCTTGTGGCCCTAGAAAAAGAGCACATATATTCCAAGTCACTGTATGATCAATCGCCATTTCCGTATGTCTCATGGCAAAGCTTCGGGGATTTGCAGCATATGGACCCGCTTTTCCACGTCTCGATCTCCGCTGGGGGTTCTTGCTTCTTTGCTTCCCCGCAAAGCCCTTTCCCCTGTCTGAGCTTACTTCACCATGTCTTATCGCAACCGGTCGCGGGTCTTGCGAGTATGCGATTCATGTACTCACTCTAAGCAACGCTGCAATGGTGAGACACCATAGTGACTACCCTACGTCCAGAAACTAATGACATTGCTAATGGTCCTGAAGTCGATGATGGTATGATGCCAATTTACGATAATTCAAATTTGAAATTTGACCGGAAACAAAGACCGCGCAGAAGCATGTTGCTATACAAAGACAGTAGGCAAGGCAGTAGGCAAAAGGGGCCGGAGACCTCCCATTGACGCGAACGGGAGCCTCCAGAAGGAGACACAGTTATATCGAGGAATGAACACCAGGAATGAGAAATTTCCACCTGATTCATTATTAACCCCGGGCTATCTTCTAACCTGGTGGTATGAACACCAGGATTGGGAAATTTCCACCTGGTTCATTATCAACCTGCGGGCTATCTTCTAACCTGGTGGTATGAACACCATGATTGGGAAAATTCCATCTGTTTCATTATCAACCTGCGGGCTATCTTCTAGCCTGGTGGCATGAACATCTGGTTCATTATTAACCCACAGCCTATTTTCTAATCTGATGATATGAACACCAGGAATGGGAAAATTCCACTTGTTCTATTATTAACCCGCGGCCTATCTTCTAACCTGGTGGTATGAACACCACAGTTAAGGAAATTTCACCTGTTCAGAACTATGATGAAGCTGCGGTCCAGAACCATCACAACTGGCCATTCGAGTCCAACTCGCCATACATGCTTGCTCATGTCCCCGCTCCCTCATACGGTCTTCATCCTACGGAGCCATGCTCTACCTCGCCAGCCTTGATCGCTGTTATCCTGTTTTTTACGTTGTCCAAACCGCTGATATTGGAGATTTGATGCTTCTGAAGCTCGCGAACGAGCCGGAATTAGCCTGGACCGCCTGTGTCTTTGAGTCTGCTGCAGGAGGAGGATCCGGACAACTATTTCAGCAGTTCTGGTCAGGCCAAGGCCGCCTTTCTTTTTCTAGTCGACATTATCTCATTCATCGTAATAAAAGGATGGCAGTCCCATCTTACTCCGAATAGCTCCACGAAGAACTCGCAACCAAATCCGGAACAACAATGCAATGGAAAGGGGATTCTTCCAAAGCAGTTAGGGTCCACAGGTATTATACTAGCAGTTACTATACTAACGCTGAAGACATCAGCAGGCCACTACAAGGCAGACACTCTGAAGTGGGAAGATAAATTGATGTGGCTAGTCCGGGCTAGCGGGCTCGGAATCGAAGATCAAGATATCGAGGTAGTTAGGACCACTGTTCTGCGAATTATATAACGGAGACTCTACCTTCGGGCGATGGATGATAGCTATGAGCGGCAACGTCTTGCCTACCTCTCATATTGGCTTATGATTACACTCACAAGCGTTCAAAAAAAAAGGTAGATCTAATTATATCTCGACCATTCACGGGGCTGCGGCGTCCGGGGTTCGCATAGTCTTATCCGTTCGGCCCCCGGTAGCCCCGATATCCCCGAAGTCTCTCAACACGGGGAGTCTTGCATCCTCCCGAGGTCTTGCTCTCGCAGCTGAAGTATCATAAACCACTATTGATTTGATTATAGGTGTAGCACCGAAAATTTTCTTATTCGAGAACATCCACTGGAGTTCTTGGCGTGAATCACCCATAATGCCAGCCAGCTATAGCCGAAGTTGTACATATTGTCGATCCCGCAAAGTCAAATGCGACCGACAAAGACCCTGCTCGAGCTGTTCGCGCACTGGCACCGAATGTATCTACCCACCCGGGCCCGGGAGAGCGCCCAAAAAGCCCCGGCTTCACGTTGACGAACGGGTGCTTAAACGATTATCACATCTCGAGACCTTGCTCTCACACCTGGTGCCCGAGACAGACAATGTCAAGCCGGGAGAGGCTAACCTTCAACTGGAAACCAACCAACAGGCAGTAGACCCAGCAAAGGAGTCTCTCAACGAAAGTCTGGAGCACCAGATGGGGCGACTGGTCATTGAAGATACTCGTAGTCGCTATGTGAGCCATGTGCTGTGGGCGAATCTTGGAGACGAAGTGGAGGAGCTACGCGAATCCCTTTACGAGCCCTCCGAAGAGACTGGAAATTCGGATGACGACTTCGCAGACCGCGCAACACCCGAGCTCTCCCCATCAGCTGGCATCAATGCCTCGATAATGGGAATCCAAACATTAGAGTCATCTTTGCATTCATATCATCCGCCCTTGTCCGAAGCTTTGACGTTGTTGGAGACGTTCAAGTCGGGGGTGGCTCCGCTAGTCCGGATCTTCCATCTCCCTTCTCTGATAAATACTTGCTGGGATGTTCTGGGCTCACCAGAAGCGACAGATTGCAACACCGAAGCCCTGATGTTCTCTATATACTACGCGAGTGTGATTAGCATGAGCCCCCAGGAATGCGAGAAGACCCTTGGCCTTCCACGCCCCGTGGCACTGAAGCAACGTCGGTTCGCCGTTGAGCAAGCCATCGCACGATCCAACCTTCTCAACACAGACAGCATGGTCCTCTTGCAAGCAGTTGCTCTCTTTGTAACGGCTTTGCGGAACGAAGATGCTTCCAGGACCTGCTGGTCTCTGACCGCCCTATTATTCCATACGGCTCGGGCTATGGGACTGCATCGAGATGGTGCTTCGTTTGGGCTAAGTCCATTGGAGACGGAGCTCCGGCGGCGGCTCTGGTGGAATATCTGCTTATTGGATATTCGGTCGGCTGAAAACGACGGCTGCGATCCGATTGTAGGTGTTTGGAATGAATCCTTCGACACAAAATTCCCCTTGAATGTGAATGACCGGGATCTATCGCCCGATCTGAAAGAGCCACCGCCAGAACGCGAAGGCATCACTGAAATGACTCTATTTCTCATTCGCTGTGAAGTAGTACGAGTCATGTGGAAGACATGTTATTTCCCTCCCATGAAAAACCCCAAAAATGAATTGTCAGTCCCGGAGCTAGTGGCTCTGATCAAGGACTTGGAGACACGGCTGGAAGAGCGCTATCTCAAGAAGTGCGACCTGTCTATTCCGCTCAACCACGTATGTGTGCTTGTGGCGAGACTGCTGATAGCACGCTTATTTCTCATTGTTTCTTACCCGTCGCGCAGGAAAGAAACAGCGCCAGGATCGACTGGTATCCGGGATCAGCTCTTCTTACTCTCCCTCACTGTTCTCGAAATATCGAAGAGGCTAGCCACAAGCCCCGAATTTTATCCTTGGAACTGGCATTCCGGAGCACATATACAATGGCATGCCATTCTAATCAGTCTTATCGAGATATGTTTTCGTCCGCCGTCCGACGAATGCGACCGGGCCTGGGAGTGCATTGAGGTGCTCTCTGAATGCTGGAAGATGAAGGAGCATCGAGGCCACTTCTGGGGGCCTGTGAAACGGCTTCAGGCCAAAGCCCGATGCATTCGTGAGCTCCAAAAGTCACAGCCGTATAGACCCGCAGCGGATTGGAAGGATCGAATGTTCGAGGAAGGTCACCAAAGCATGAAACACAGCCCGTCGACAGTGCCTGCTTCTTTTGCCACTTTCTCCGAGACAAATGAGAGCACTGGCTGGAGTAGCATGTTTTCTGATGACTCGCTGGAGCAACTATTTGAAGGTTTCCCTCATTCTTCGATTGCACCATTTATGCCAAGCCCTGCGGGGGTGAGAATGTTATTGGGACCTGGGGGGATTGAGCCGACCAAATCGAATCAAATACGAAGAGGCTCCCATGAAGACGAAAATCTGCCGAACTGCAACGCTTGCGATTGTACCCCAGAAAAACGTCTTGATTGCGCTTTGGAAGAAATAATGACTCAACCGGATCACAAATCATAGCGATGGATGATGCAATCCAGGAGAGCGGCGAGGGGTTTAGGAGCAATCTGCTTCCCAAACGCCAGCCCGCTGGACCCTGAATTCTGTTGGGCTGTCAGTTCTCCGAGCGGCATTTGCCACGTTTCGCCCCATTTTTTTTGGGGGGTGAAATTTTATACGGACCGATTGGCTCGGCCTACCGATCCACAGTTGATGCCGTGCAGAGATTGAGCTTATGCACTCGTGTGCTTATGAGCTTATCTGATGGCACGAATAGACGTTGAAGCTGAAGAAACCTGTCTGTAGAATACTTCAGCAGAGCCAAATCCATCATTAAGCAGTCTAAATCATCGACTGCAGGTTCCTCTGCCTCAAGTGTGCAAGAAAGGCCAAGATCTTGGGCTTCCAGCAGGAAATTGAATTCTGCACTCGCAATCACGCCATCGCCCCACTGGCCCTATTATGTAAAAGTTTCTATCTGCTTTTTAAGCTCCTTGTATGCTCTCTTTCTGGTGCTCAAAGAAAGCTCTCCTATATGCCACTAAACTGCCATGGCGTCTAACGCAAGCCCGGTCGCCCTGAACGGGAACCGGCGCCCGTCAAGGAGAACGAAAAGGCAGCCGCTGTGAATGAGACACAGGGTATCGGGGAGGTGACTCGATCGTTGCCTCGTTCAATCTTTAGATCTATCCCGTTCCAGATCGCGGTCGCAAGTGGTGTCTCCTTCACTGCTCCCGGCATGTGGGACGCCATGAACAACCTTGGAGCAGGAGGCGCTGCTGAGCCGTATGCTGTCTCGGCGGCAAATGCCCTGGTGTATGGTTTATTTGCTGTTGTTTGTGTCGCAGCTGGCGCTATCAACAACCGGATCGGCCTTCGCTATGGGCTCGTTATTGGTGCCATTGGGTATCCGATTTATGGGGGTGGCCTTTACACCAACAATTACTCGCCAACAACTTGGTTCATGCTGTTTGGCAGTGCCTTGTGTGGTATATCCGCCGGCTTCTTCTGGGCCGCGGAGGCTGCTATCATTATTGGGTACCCTAGTCCCCAGGACCGGGCCTTTTACCTTGCCATCTGGCAGACGGCAAAGGCTGCTGGCCCGATCGTTGGAGGAGCGATCAGTCTGGGACTGAATGCGCAGAACACAAACAAGGGCACCATTAGTGCCGGTACCTATATCGTGTTCATCGTGATCATGTGTCTTGGACTCCCCCTTGCACTGCTATTGAGCCCAGCAGAGAAGGTCCAGCGCAAAGACCGCACTTTGGTCGTGGTCCAGAAGCAGGAAACGTGGGCTGCCGAGTTCAAGTCTGCCTTGTCGCTCTTCAAAAGTCGTCGGGTTTTGATGCTCTTGCCCGCGTTCTTCATCAGCTACTTCTATAACGCTTTCGTGAGCACGTGGCTCACCGACTACTTCACGGTTCGATCCCGGGCCTTTTCGTCGTTCTTCACCAACTTCGCCGGTATCGCTTCGTCCTTCTTGATCGCGAGCCTCCTTGACCGGCAATCCATTCACATCAAAACTCGCGCCAAGGTTGGATTTGCGTCGGTGGTGACCATCCTCACTGGCACGTGGATCTGGGCGTGTATTCTGCAAAATCAGTTCTACAATGCGCCCGAACCACCTGTTTTTGATTGGTTCAAAGGTGGTTTCGGCAAATCCTATGCCCTTATCTTTTTCTGGACCTTCGGAGGCCAAGCTTTCCAGCAGTTTCTCTACTGGCTGGTGGGTCAGTACAGTACCGACATCTCGTCGTTGTCCTATCACTGTGGAATTCTCCGAGGCTTCGAGGCCCTCGGCCAGACCGTTGCGTGGGCGTACGTGATCCCCTTCCGAGATCTTGTGAGCGAATGACTAACAGAATCTATTAGGATGCAATCAGAGGGCAATGCCAATCACTTTGTCAGCATCGGTCTTAACTTTGGTATTACCTTATTGTGTGTTGTGCCGACGTGGATAGTCTTGTCTGGCCTCGAACACAGTCACGAGGTGCACGTCACCGCAGACGATATTCCTCTCAAAAGTACAAGATGATACCCCCGCATGATTTTGCAAAGTAGAAACCCGAAGCGATAGCTGCTCATGTATTAATATATGGATTCCCACTTGTTCACCTCATTCTTTTTGTATGCTTTGTAGATTTGAACCCGGTTATGCTGCCGTAGCGCAGGGGCCGCCCGCTTCGCATAGAGTTATGCGAGGCCCGCACGCCGGACTCTATGGCGGGACGGGGACTACTATTGAGAATAGAGCCTAGTCGCTAGGTGATTCCGGATCCAGATTGCATAATTCTTCTGGGAAAATTCAAATGACATTGAATCGCTTTTCGGTGCTTCTGAGAGCCGAACGGTCTCGGCGCATAGAGCAACCCAAGTCCCAGGCCTGACCTTAAGAATAGCCCGTCATGCCTCGATTTCATGCAATATGGTACTATATTGATCATATTACGATACACGGATATTCTAATTTGAAGCGTGAGGGTTAAGACTTGCAGTTTTCGCAGAGATACCTCCCCGTGAGAATCCCTATAGCCGACAGCATTGCGCCGCAGCCACCCTTGTCGAAAACCCACGAAGAAGCCAAATCTATGGTGTCGGAAAAGGACATAGAATCCCCAGCAGGGAAGACGGTTGATCCGAAACAGAAAGGCGACCTCGTGGAATTCGATGGCCCCGACGATCCATACATGCCGCTCAACTGGCCATTTCGGAAGAAGATCCTCACTACCATTTGCTATGGACTGACCACTTGTTGGATTACATTTGCCTCTGCTGTCTATTCTGCTGGGATTTCTGCCATCGGCGAAGACTTCAATGTCGGCTCGGAGGTCACAGCGACTGGAATCAGTTTGGTCCTCTTTGGATTTGCCGCGGGGCCGCTGCTCTGGGCACCATTAGGTGAAGTCTACGGTCGGAAATGGACCGTCTTAGTGGTATGGCTGAATAGACGAGGGGGAATTTGAATGAAGAAGGCAGACTGACCCTTTTTTGCAGCCGTATTTTATCGCCGGCGTGTTCTCTTTTGGCACGGCGACGGCCAAAGACATCCAGACCGTCTTGATCACCCGGTTCTTTACAGGCTTCTTTGGGAGTGCTCCCGTGACCAGCACGGGGGGTGTGATGGCTGATATATGGCGACCCCAGGTATTTGATGTTGTTCAGCAGTGTCCCAGATTCCGTCTAATGTTTGCTTCTGTTCTAGCAACGTGGCATAGCCATCGTGGCATATGCGATTACTCTTGTGGTAGGTCCCACAATGGCGCCCATTGTTGGCAGCGCGGTGACATCGTCTTATCTGGGGTGGCGCTGGACAGAGTACCTGTCTGGAATCGTGATGGTCTCCCAGTTCGTCCTCGATGCTCTGGTGCTCGAGGAGAGCTATGCCCCCGCTCTACTCACATACAAGGCCCGGAGACTACGATTTGAAACCCAAAATTGGGCCTTACACTCCAAGGCAAGTTTTCATCTCGTGGTTCAAATATTGCCCAACTAATATGCCCCCAGCAAGAAGAATTAGACATTTCTGTGAAAGAACTCGCGCATAAGTATCTTATTAGACCATTTCAGATGTTGGCAACGCCGATCTGTCTTCTGATGAGTATCTATGCATCTTTCGTATATGGTACGTGTGACTCGCAAGCCCCTCGGAATACCTGGCTAATCTTGTCGACGTGCTAGCTATTCTGTATGCTAATCTTGAGAGTGTCCCTATCGAATATCAGCAAGTCCGCGGGTGGAGCCCCGTCGTTGCTTCTCTCCCTTTTATCGCGCTGCTAATCGGCATCTTTTGCGCGGCAGCCATCAATATCTACAATAACGACTACTATTTCAAGCAATTTCGAGCGAATGGAAACAAGCCCGTCCCAGAAGCACGGCTTCCGCCAATGATGGTCGGCAGTTTTGCGTTCACGGCGGGACTCTTCATCTTTGCCTGTAAAGACCGAGCTTCCTAATTACGTTGCATATTTCGCTGACTGGGAGTAGGGACGTCATCCCCGCATATCAACTATTGGCCCTCCATCATAGGGATGGCATTGATAGGGCTCGGCTTCACCACCATTTTCCAGTCCGCATTGAACTACCTGATTGACACGTTCACGAGATTTAGTGCCAGTGCCGTGGCAGCCAACACTTTCTTGCGGTCGGGGATGGCGGGTGCTTTCCCCCTGTTTGTGGTTCCAATGTATCGAAGTATCGGGGTTGACTGGGGGGTCACCATCTTCGGTGCGATTTCAGCCGTCTTGATTCCCGTTCCGTTTATGTTCTTCTTCTGGGGCAAGCAGATCCGCGGGAGAGGGCAATGGAGCAAGCTTTCTCTTTGAGGGCCCGAGGACTAGGGCTACGAGTTTGGAACAAAATAGTTCAGTGCACAGAAAAGATAGAAAGATAGAAATCTGATTTCCAATGCTTAATCAGATATTGGATGACATCTCGATAGAGCACGCCTTTCCGTTACGAAGGCCGAACGAGAAGCCCGGGGTCGCCCCGGGGTGTAGTGAAGCTTGTGTACCAGGCTGCTGTCCTTTCCGAGGTGGGAAAAGGTCTCTTTGACAATAATGGTCAAGAGGGCCATCTCTCCGCGTGAAGATAGTTATCCACAAAGACACCCCGCATGGACAGTGCTTCATGTCATTGGACTCAGCTACTTACCTCCATGCAGGGCCATTTCATGTAAGTCGACCCTGTTGGGGATGCAAGCACGTTCTACGAACTGCCAGAAGACGAGGCGATAAGCTGGGGAAAGAAGTTCCGTCCGCAGTCGATCGTAAGCTTCTTGAGTCCGGTGACAATGTATGCGACCTTGTTCTTGCAGTCTGGCTTCTCGCTATCGACAGTAGAGTATTAACAACTATTCCAGTGGGCGTTCAGGCCCTGCTCAACCCAATCCTGCAACCTCACCAGGCACTTTCTTGCCCTGTTTTAGGCTATCGGAGGCTTCTTTGGAGAGTACTGTTCGTCATTAGAAGAGCGGAGGTGTGACTGCCCCAAAGACGATGCATCACAATAAGGGCCGAGCTACTCCGAGATCTAGACCTGGGAATGACAACATTATGGCAGATCATTAAAGGCCGAGCTGCTCCGAGATCTAGACCTGGGAATGACAACATTATTATGGCAGATCATTCTCAGTTCCTACGATGAGAGACCTCGATCGTTGGGCAACAGTCAACGATCGGAGATCGAGATTACCGACAGGCAACTTAGGGCACTAAGGCGGGTCCGGCTGCACTACGTGGCGAATTGTGGAGACACTTGTTGTTAACTAGTTCATGAGCTCACGCATGCAGGAGGAAGATCACCCAAGCCACGAAATTGCATCGCCGAGCAAGAACCCGGGGTCGAGCACGTGTCCAGTACGTGTGGGCGTTACGGAGATATTCTCTTATGTATTTGCTTGTTTGCAAAAGCAAGTGCTAATTGTCTGTGTTACTCGAAATTGTCACCGGAAGATTTCAAGATATGCGTTGGAGGGGGACCTAGAACCCACAGGGGCAGCTACATACATAGCGCGACCTCGGACGGCAGGGGAAAAGGGCCCCTCCTATCACCCCTTGACGGACTCGTTCTCCAGCCGCCCCCCCTACGGGCCGTGTTGGCGATCCTGTTTCTAAGACGATGTGAATCACCTGATTGTGGCTTCTGGAGCGATAATTGGATAGCAGTCTGTACCAGCATAATGGCTCGCCGACGGAAATCTGCGCCCTCGATCGGCATATCGCCGGCACCTGCTTAGCTTCCCGCTTCCTACACGCTATTTGTGGGTCCTAGTAGTTTGAGGGGGTGAACACCGTGCCAGTATCTAGACTTGTTGAAGATGAGAAATCGAACTCCCGAAGTTAATTGCTGCCTACCGATCGTGTGGATCCGAGTTATCGGCTAACCTGAAGATCATATTTTTGCTTCGATAATATGAGGGTGGATTGGATACCAATTATACATCATCCATGCTGCCTTTGTGGGAGCTGACCCGTGCCGATTCTGGTAGAGCTGACGTCCAAAATCAGGATCAGCTCCCTGCAACCTTTTAGCTCTCGCAGAGGGCCCACATAACACTAGCGGTGGAGCTTTTGTTCTTGTATAGTGCTGAAAGCATATCCAGCTATTTCTGATGCCAAATGGTAAAGCTTTGAACCAGAGCAGGGAATCGATGGTACTACTAAATCGTGACGATAATAAATAGAAGAGAAGAGAACCTTATACTTCTCAACAAATTAAGTCAAGTCATTACTTACTATAAGGTCCACTAGGGAGATTGAACCAGATAACTAGCCTTCTACTCCGAGGGAACAACTACAGGCCCCTCATTCATCCTATACAAGTAGTTAGGTCCACTCTTTCTAAGTCCTTTAGGATGCTGATAGCGCTTCAGCTCCACATACTACAGAGAATTGTGTGGGTGGAGTATTTGGAATATGTTTTTTTAGGGATAATGTTTAGATGATCTGTTAGTCGGATTTGAGCGGAGGGACGCTTTTAGTTAGGTTGACTGGAAAACAAGTGCGCAAGGCTTAAGTGTAACTCTACTAGCCCTGTAGATCAAACAGAAGTTCAGCCAGCCAACTAATGCCCCACTATATCTAGAATATGATATTTGATATTGTATAGAGTAATCACAACAAACACTTAAATCTTCTATTATAGGGGTAGAGGGAAAGGATATAAACCCCCCCCAAGACCGTCAGCTAATTCTCAACAATCATCAACCTCAAACCAATATTTCTTATACACCTCATCCCATCCAACAAACTCAATACTACAAAATGCGTTTCTCAGTGGTTGCATCTACCTTGGCCCTTATTAGTGCCGCCAACGCTGCTGTCTCGGCCCAGCAGATGGTTACGAACATTGATGCTATTACCAGCAAGGTAAGAGTTTAGTATACTAAAGAGAGTATCAAGCCTTACTAATATTCTTATAACTAGTCCTCCGAAACCAATGATATCGCGAAGACTATATCTATTACCAATCTCTTCAGCACCGTTCCTGTACGTCAATACCGGAGAGGATTCTTTAACAAAGACTAATAGTATTTTAGCAAGTAATCAACAAATTCCGTGGTCTCATCACGATTATTACTCAAGATAACGACGCCATGGAATCCAAGCGTAGCCTTATGGCTCGCCAGGAGTGCCTAAACGTCGAGGACATTGCAAATTGTCTTAAGGACCTGGAAGAAATTATCTCAGACCCCGCCGAGATCTTAGGTGGTGAAAAGAAGAAGCGCCAGAGTCCTGGCTACTCTGACACCGACCAGGTATAGTCTCCTACCGGAAATTTCCTTTTTGCTCTCTACATAGGACCTGTTACTAAACATTCCTGATAGGAGGCCATCTGCACCTCTTTCCGTGGATTCGTCGAGGTCCACCAGCAGCTCCTCCAGACTGTCATTGGCAAGCACGGCCTCTTAAGCCTGACGCCCTTCACTCAGCCCATTGCTCAAGTGCTCCGCACTCTTGAGGGTGGTGTTGACACAATTGCCTTCGAAATCATCGATAGTGTCCCTACCTGCGCTCAGGATGCCACCCAAAACAAGGACAGCCTTGACAAGACCTTCAACGATGCTCTTGACACTTACGACTAAGAGGACTATAGTCTGATGGTGCCGATGTAGAGATGTGGCTGTCAGCCGTTGGTCCATTCTGCCGCTCCCTACCGTCCTTGAATAGACCCCTTGAAGACAGCGTCGTCTGAACTACTGTCGTCCGACTATATACGAAAGTGGATAGAGGGATGGTTGGAAGTTGGGTATTAGATCGGTCGCTATAACCTTTTCCTTTTCCTTCCCTCTTTAGCTTTAGTATTCTAAATCAAAGCGCTGTTATTATAGCAGTTCTCTAGCAGTAATTGGGCTTCCTATTAGACCTAGTATGTATCTATAGATGACCCTCTAGACCCTCTACCTGACCTACCCTATAGGTAGATAAGCAATCGAGTTGTCAACCCTAAGGGTTGTATATCTAAAGGTTCGACCCTTAAAAGGGTTTTCTATAGATATACCTTAAGGTTAGACTTCTGTATAACCCAGTGTTACGGACCCACTTCAGTCGAAAGGAATAAGTCAACTACAACCAACCGGTCTGTCAAGGTTGACACACGCGTGACACGGATATCTTCTTTAATTTTATAACGAATAGAATCAATAAGGTAATTTTTTGGGGCCCGCTGAAACTGGAACCCGCGTGCGACCCAAATCCGTCTGCCTTTAATTCTTAGATTATTCATCGGGTTAGGCCCGTAGTTGAACAGCTGGCCACCCGCAGTCTTCTGGTGTTCCAATGCCTACCTCACTGCCATGACGTAGCAATACATCGGATTCGGCGTCCTGATTCAACACAGTTGGTCATCAATTTGAGCAAGGAGTTTTAGTCTCAATTTGGAACTGTCCGTAAATATATTCTACTCACGGAGCTTTCGCAATGATCCCTATCCTCAATTACGTGCATCGCGAAGGACGCGATCGTACCGCCAGAAGGCCAAAATGCTGCCATTGCAAGACTCAAGGCTCGTAATAGCAAGGAGGTCTCTCCTCATCGAACTTCAAGTGGGCCACCTGCCTAATATAATGGCCATTGAAGAGCTTGCGAAGGGAATTGCAAGTGCCGTTGAAAAATAGACTCCTTCAATGATCACTATATTTCACCTTGCTATCATACTTCAAGACAGCGTTCATATTGCATCATATCAGCGGAAGACCGATGATCATTTCCAGATCAAGCCAAGCGTCGAGGACCGCGATCCGGCCGAGTGCGGCCGTGACTCGGCGTTGTAAGTGGATCATTTCACGATGGGCCCTTCTCTAGGTCCGAGGAAGCTCTCTGATTTGTTTTGACTCGCACTAGCGGCTGTTGAACGGAGAACCCCGTGGGAAAGGGGATGTTGGATGGTATTAAAACAGCATGTGTCCCGGACTTTCTTCAGACCGGTCATCTCCCTGCCTCCCGAAAACCATCGAGTACCGTTCGCCTCCCCTTGTGCATTTCAAAGTATTCCCACCATGGATTTGGGACGTGCCTTGATATCACGCCGGCTCTTCTCCCCTTTTCAACCAGGGAGGTTCCAAAGTGCACGGTCTTTCAGCAACTCGTACTTTCGCTTCGCAATGCCTCAAGACCATCGCGCGACGTTTGTGGCATCGCCTGTGCAGTCTGATATCATCCCGAGGGTCAAGCCTCAGCAGATTCTATGGATTGGATGCTCGGACAGCAGTTACCAGGAGACCAACGTCTTGGATCTTCCTCCAGATGAGATGATGGTGCATCGGAATATCGGCAATATGATCATAGATGGCGATATGTCAGTGGAGACGACGGTGAAGCATGCTGTTACTAATCTAAAGGTACGGGCTTTTCGTCCAGAATCCAAGGTGAAAGTACTAAATCTGCCAAGGTCAACCATATCGTCGTTTGTGGTCACTATGGTTGTGGGATTGTGAGAGCCACTACGCGAGAAGGGCTACAAGGGCCATGGCTGAGGTGAATTCCCTAGGCCACTTCCGTTGAAAGTCGCTGACGCAGGCCCAGCAAACTCGATTCCTTGCACTCAAAACATCAACACAACATCGGAGATCTTCCCGCGCCACAGCGAGATCGAGTGTTCGTCGAATTAAACGTTCTCGACCAATTGCGTGCCCTGAAAAGATTCCCCGAGATTGCCACTGCGATGAAGACGCAAGCTTTGAAGCTGCATGCATTTGTGTTTGACAGAAACACCGGCGAAGCATCCCGGTTGATTGAAACATATTAAAACATCGACCACCGTCTAAATACCCCCTCCAGACCGGCCTCTATCCAGCGACCTGATGCATTTACGAAACGAAGCCATTGCAAGGGAATGGGATTCAATACTCTATCGACAGGGGATTAACGGATCAGGCCATCATGAGGGAACTTATTCTTTGGGGAGAGAATAGATCTTCTTGACATCCGCGAGGACGGTCTTGAAGTCCACTTGAAGATCCCGCAACAGGCCATCGCGCAGGTCGAAGACCCATCCGTGGACGATGGGGAACCCGTTGGCCTCATAGCTCTGCTGGACAGCAGCAGTCTTGATGACATTACGGCAAGACTCCACCACATTCAGTTCGATCAGTCGATTGTACCGGGCATCGGCATCGGCGATCTGGTCCAGCTCCTTCTCGTGCAAACGGTACACATCGCGGATGTTTCGCAACCACGGGTTGAGGAGACCCAGGTCGGCGGGAGTCAGCGCAGCCTTGACACCGCCACAGTTGTAGTGGCCGCAGACAATGATGTGCTTGACGTGAAGGTGGCGCACGGCATAATTGATCACCGACATGACGTTCAGGTCAACGTTGGGAACCAGGTTGGCGATGTTGCGGTGGACGAAGACCTCTCCGGCCTCGAGGCCCATGATCTCATTGGCGGGGACTCGGCTGTCAGCACAACCGATGTACCTGATGATGACCAGCGAATGTCAGTACTGACAGACCCTTTCTTCCGCTTCACCCTATGGTATGCCGAGAAACGTACAGGTAGTTGGGCGCTTGTCCGCTCGCAAGTTTCTCGAAGAAAGCAGGATCGGCCTTCCGCTTTGACAAGGCCCATTCCTTGTTGTTTTTGAAGATGCTGAAGTAATGCTCCATGTCGCTGCTGTCGGATGCCATTTTGGTGCGGAGAGAGGGGACCCTGGGGGGAGCAGAATTGGGGGGAAAAGACCGGGCTAGAATGCGAATGGCAGTCTAAATAGGAAGAAGGAGACCCCAAGTCGCAGCTGTCCCCAAAATTTCCAGGTGGGATGTAATTACGGGCGCATTACCCCAACGTTGAGTCACGACTGGTCCCGCATTCGGAGAGTCACCGCATGAACCACCGATTTTGCCTGCAACCCGCCGCATGATATTCCCGGCCCCCCCCACCTCCATTACCGCCCGTATCAATTCCGGCGTATTTTTACGCTCCCCAAAAAAGCTTCGAGATACGAGATTGGCATTCAACCTTCGGGAAATCTCGTGAAGCTCTCAATGGATGTGACCATCCCACGCCAAATGCCAAAACTCAATATGAGCCCTCGCGGTGCCTAGCCATCACGCTGATCCTGATCGGCTGCCCGAGTGCGGACACCGGGCAAGTTCTCGGTGAACTGGGGGGGCAAGCTGCATATTCACGACGTGCCATTGGCATTCTGCGCGGCTTTTCCCTGGCTGCTGAGCCTTTCGCCCGGACTCTTCGTTTTCCACGGCAAGAATTGACGAAAATTGACAGGAGACTTTCCGTTCGGAAAACTCGACGCGCAGCCTTAAAACCCTGCACCAATAAAATAGACCATCCTGTTTACAGGATCACCTCAATGAATTCTCGTCACCCGAAGACTGTTCTGAACATCTGGACCTCCAAACTCCTTGCTCTTGGTGGATCCCGCCCACCGGCAATTCCACGACGCCGCTGTGTCAAAGACCGTATTTCTCGTCAATCTGCTTATCTACTAGGATCATCTACTGAGTGGCTCACTAGACTTCGCTCTTAATGAAGTATAGCGTATAAGATATATACATAGCGGTATCGAGTGCGCTCCAAGCGTTTCTTCTGTCAATCCCTCCATTCTTTTCCGGAGTAGTTCTCCCTCAGTGGTGTCTCCGCATGGGCTTTTCCGAGCAATATACATTATATATGTCATGACCTACCGGTACTAGTTCGCCCCCGACCAGCCATGGGGGCAGGCCCAGCTATCCTCGGTGATGATAAGCCCTCTAGAGTGATAGGTCAAGAAAGACCTAGAAACGTATACTGGTACCAGTATTGGTTCATACTCCTTTAGTATCTTACCTTTACAGATAACCTCAGCGGCCCCCAGAGGCTCGGAGATCGAGTCCTATTATTGGCGGCAGCGCTACGGAACGGCAATATCATTCTAATACAATAGGAAGAAGTGGACCTCTGGAGAAATGTGTTCTTTGATGGTTGCTGGACTGGATAGATTGCACGGATGAGGCTGGCAACCTCGATGTAACTCTGGGATGTACTGGTGATGCACGTGGGACAGATTTCAACCCGATGCCCTCGAATTGTCCGCACCAACATAAGAGGATAGCCGACAGTACCAATTTAATGGGCATACACATTTCGCGATGACCCTAGCGGCAGCCTCACCGGTGCTGCATAGATCTGTCCAGCGGCGATGAAAGCCTGATTGGTCGAAGGCCCACAACTGTGTTTCCACCCGCATTCATGTCGCTGGACCAGAGACAGCGAGCTCCACATCACACTGCACTGCCCTTGCTAAGATGGATGACGTCTGGACACCTGAATCCGTCGCAGATATCAACACCCTATCGGAGTATCTCAGCGACTGCCGGCTACGAGACCTAAACCTCTCACCGCCCGTCGATTGCATGATCGTCTGTGCTTCCGAGGCCCTGTATGGCGCGGAGACCGTTTTCCAAGCCCTGCAAGATAGAGCTGGGGTCGCGAAATGTCTAGTCCTATGTGGCGGCATTGGCCATTCTACGCATCTTCTCTACGAGGCCGTCAGTCACCATCCCCGCTATTCTCGAGTGGGTGACGCGGTACGAGGTCTCCCCGAGGCCCGCGTGCTCGAAGTGATCCTGGACGGATTCTTCGAGCGATCTCTCATAATCTCCAACGGGTGCCAGATCCTTGTTGAGGACCAGTCCACGAACTGCGGTCAGAATGCGGCGTACAGTAGGCAGGTTCTTGAAACGGCCGGATTCCACACGCCGTCATCTCTTGTCGTCAACCAGGACCCGACGATGATGCTCCGCACAAGAGCGTCCTTTGAGAAAGTCTATGAAGATCTGGCTGTGCCTGTTTCGGTCGTTAGCTATCCGGCCTTTGTGCCGAAGCTGAGACTTCCTGCTTCAACGCCCCCGGCTGCTTGGAATTTGAGCTCTTGGAGACGGTCTCGCGCTTATGGTCTGTGGAACGGTTCCTCGAGCTGATCATGGGCGAGATACCGCGCGTGCGGGACGATGAAGCCGGCTATGGGCCGCAGGGACGGAACTTCATTTCTCATGTCGATCTCCCGATAGGAGTGGAAGAAGCATGGTCTCGCTTGAAAACGGTATTGAAGACATATACGTTGCGATAAGTCTGAAAGTCGTAAGCCCTTTAATAATCTTCCAAAGCGAAAATGTATCGTCCACGACCTATGGCTGGGGCCGATGACCTGGCTGATCCAACAGCTTCCATTGACCGGTGGCCACTTGGGCCGATATCAAACTTCCACAAAGTGGCGCAGGCTGACATTCCGGAGCGCGAGCTATCAACCTGGAACTCTGGCTCTGGAGTGACCTGGTCAGGTGGAAGCTGTGGAGACGAATCAAAGTTTAGTCAATGTCGGGGGCGATTTCTTCCAGCGATTGTTGGGAATCAATACCTTCATCTACTATGCCCCGGGTCTTTTCGCTGCGGTAGAACGTGACAATTACCAGGGTATCACAATATGCTGGATTTGTCTTGAAATATTCCGAAAATTTGCGTCGTGTTCGATGGGAATCATCAATCGGGCATATACTAGTATGTCTTCGTTGCATAAAAGTCCTTTCATAAACTTCTTGCGAATCAAGCATAAGACGCAGTATGGATCGGGCGAGGTTCTAAGCATGACCTAGGGCTTGTGCATACGGGAGAATATGCTAAGCACTAGCTGGAGGATGAAACGGAGGCATGGGTCAGGCCTCCAGCGGTCCGTTCGCGCCCGGAATGGTAACGGGGCCACCACGGGATTATGGGGTCGGGGACCCAAATGGGCTATGGTATATCGGGGGCCCAAATAGGTTTAGGTATTCTGGTCAGGCGAGATAAGGACGCAAGGCCATTCGCATTCTTATATCATGCCATCGGCCTGATGAAACGCCGCAAAAGCTGATACAATCTAGAAATACTCTCGATATTGCCAAATGGGGTCCATTCCGAACCCGCTTGAGTTCAAGATCCTCCGCGCCTCCGAAGATGACTTTGTCACGCTGGCTTCTGTTGAATCAATCGCCAACTTTCATATGATCAAAACTGATCCTAAAGACAGTATTGCAAGGATCATCTTCGGCCCACGCCCACCAAGTCAAGAGAATTGGGAGCTCCGAGCTAAAGGGCTGGTTGAGGAGGCCAAAAAGGGTTCTGTTTTGCGAATGTACAAAGCGGTTGTGGAGGAGGCGGATGGAAAGCAGAAGATCATTGGCTGTGCTTTCTGGTTCTTTTACACTGACCCGGAGGCTCTGGAGATTGAGGACTACGAGGATATCGAATGGCCCGCCCCTACGAACGGAGCAGCCGCCAATGAGATTTTTGGCGGTCTGGCTGCCCTCCGGAAGAAGTATATGAATGGAAAGAAGCACGCTTGTAAGTCCTGCGTCCTGTTGCATCAATTGGATCATGTTTTTCTTACTGTAGCAACACAGTTCTCCAGGTTCTCGCGACTCTACCAGAGTATCGTGGCCGAGGAGTGGCCTCTGCCCTTCTGCGCCAAGGAATGAACGATGCCGCGAAAGAAGGCCTGGATGAATTCTATTTGTCGGCCAGCGCGGACGGCCATGATCTGTATGAAAAATTTGGTTTCCGTGATCTCGAGCCCTTCAAGGTCGATCTAGAGAAATACGGAGGGGAAATCGTACGCCCATTATCGCGATGAGGAAAACGAGCGGAGATCAATAAGGTCACTATTTTTTTTTTCAATTTCAGAATAGAAAAGGGTCATATTATAAGTACCTTCCGGCTGTCTTTGATGGAGTCCTTTCATTGGCGTAGGATTTGACCGAGCCAAGGCTCTCCCGGCTTGAAATTGACAGCCGCGCGGTGCCAGGGGTGGGCGCAGCAAAAGTCTGCGTCCGTATGTGCGGGGTACCTCTGGCGTAAACGTTTCATAATTATGGACTATCCATGCTGCCCCGCCTTCCGTGTTGATTGCGTACGAATGGAATTAGCAAGATTTGCCGAGCGGCGCCAACCGCTTTCCAGGACTGGGGGATGCTTGTTGCCTTGAGTCACCCCTGGCCCTAACTGCTGTCGGAATTTCAAAGTATAAAAAACATTGGTTTCCCACCCGCAGTACCTGACGGAGCCGTGAATGAAATTTGAATCAATCAATCAATCAATCAATCAAACCCGCAGTCATTGCGGCCCAGTGGGGAACATGACCTTGTCCCAGCCGCAGTTCCAGCCCTCCGCAGACAATCCCTTCCAGACTTTGCTTACGGAGACAGGAGGAGATCCAGTGGGTGCTCAGTCTCCCTGTTGCAAGCGTCGAAGCATGAATCTAACGATGAGCGCGGGCCACAGGTTCAGTTACAGTCATGCTATACGCGCCACCGCACCAATAGAAACAAGCAGCAGAAAGAAAAGATCCTCTCTGAAAGCTTCAGCGGATGGGCAGTTGATGAAATATTGAAAAGGCTCGAAGGCCCGGAGAAGGAAGAAGGGTACCGGGACCCTAGAAACTGCATTTGCATCTGGGCCCGACCACCAGCCTCTGTTCGCAAGTTGATCCGCGATATCCAAGATGAGTTGAAGGCCGTCGCTCCATGTACGCTTATGCGGGTTTCCATGGGCGAACACACCCACTAACCTGTTATCCACGTCAAGCCATTTGGCTCATGCCTACGGAACGTCTTCATATAACGGTGTCAGAAGTCGCGCACTCTATGACCGAACAGCAGATCGCCGACCTTGTACACACTCTCACATCATCCAGCACAATCACTCTAGAACAGATTTCGAAATATCCAACCAGCCATCAAACACGGCTGCTTAAGCCCATGGTGAGCTTCGACTCTGCAGCACTGGCGCTCAGTTTTGTCCCCGAGGCAGGCGAGAAGCCTTACGCATCGGGGGACAACCACTACTACTCGTATCATCACCTCCGACGCGATGTGTTTGATATGGTTCGGCAGACTGGGATCAATGTAGCGTCGCGATACGTGGTCCCATCGGCGCATGTCACTATCGCTCGGTTCATTAACCAGAACGGATTCCTTAAAGCTGGCAGTGTGGATCGTGAGCGAGTGAAATTATTCGTTGAGACAATCGAAGACATCAACCGGAAGCTTGAGCGTGAATACTGGCCTCAGGAGAATGGCTCCATCAAGGAAGGGGGCGAATGGGTCGTTGGGAAAGAGCAGGGCCTGCTGATTCAAAAGGGTCAGATTTGGTATGGCAGAGGTGAGGACCTGCAATAGGATGCAGACTTAGAAGCCTAGCTTTTTGCGACCCTGGGGAGGATAGTGGTCCTTGTGTCGAGAGCCGAATAGAATCTTAGTTTGAGATCCCCAGCCAGTGTCAAAAAAGCAAGAATCCAAATAAGACTGATGTTCTTCCGGTCAGTCTACTAGTATTTAGTAAAAACCCCCTTATTCAAGGTCAATATCAAAAACAAAGGATCTACATCAAACTATCTTGGCATAACTCGCGGACAGAAGAGAGCTACCAAGAGCAATGTCCCCCGTCAACGCGCAGGTCGGAGCCGGTCATGAAACTGCTTCCATCTCCTAGCATGAACAATACGGGTGCTCGGTACTCATCCGGAGTACTTAACCGATAAAGCATGTTGTCACCAATCCACTGGTTCTCGATTCCGGGCTTCTGGAGCGCTCCAGCTGTTGCAGCCGTGCGGATGTAGCCTGGAGAAAGTGAATTCACCCGGATAAGCGGTATTCCCACGCGAGATCCCCATTCGGCGGCGAGCGAGCGGGTAAGTTGATGGATACCTGCCTTGGAGGCGTTGTAGCCAGCGGTATCGACCCCCTGGTACAAGTTAGAGCAAAGAGCCTATTCAAGGGGAGAAATCGCTCCGACCTTGTTGGTGACGTATCCGCTCATACTGGCCACCAAGACCACACTTCCCGAGTTATTTGCTCGGATCAATTCTCTGGCAAACGCTCGAGCAACCAAGAAAGTTCCTGCGACGTTGATATCCAGCATCCGGCGAAACCGGTCCACTGGGAACTCAGTAGAAGGGCCGTCTAATGATAGCCCAGCGCACGCCACCAGCCCTTTGAGGGGATAGCGAAGCGTAGGGATAAACCTTGCGAATTGCTCCGCCACCGCATTCTCGTCAGTAACATCTAAAGAATAGTATGATAGTTGAGCGCCATGCTTTTTGGCAGCGTTCTCTACATCGCCTGATATACAAATACCTGTCAGTGTCTCGCAGTATGGCTCTGAAATTAGTGGCGCAACTAACTCCAATTGGAGGCAGTAGGAGTCGGTGCAACATCCATGCAGACTACATCACCACCACTTTCAAAAACCGCGACCGCGACGGTTGTTCCGACAAAACCAGAGGCACCAGTAACTGATGATGGTTAGCATGGCAGCCAAAGGGCCACTGTCTCGATGGTTTTACTTAGGATCGTGCGGTGATCGAGCCGAAATAACTCCGAAACAGGTCGCGCAGGATCTCCCTGCGAGGGTTTGGTTTCGCGATGCTCCGGCGCGTGAACATTGCCGTCGCTAATGCTTGACATGGTGTGATATTCTCGAGTGAATCTGATAGAACGAAGAAAGAACGAAGCTTGCCTGCACCGACGATGTTAACCTACACCATACCCCATTTTCCTCGTGCGGGGAAACAGCGGGCTCATCGGGCCCGCAGAAGAGCATCTTGTTGGTCGAAACGGACGGTGGACACCCTGTTGTACCATGTCCTGCATTGTGGGGTCCGATGGACGGACCGTCCCACGCGCTGCATTTGTCTGGGCATCCATTTCTCCGTTCTGGTGATCACCAAAACCAGCAAATATCCCCTGGGGACTGGTCAAGGTCGACCCGGGCTACCATTGGTCTCTTGCTCTCTGCCATCGCCTCTGGCAGAACATCACCGCATGGATACTAGTATTGCAGTATTTCGGATGGGAATCCTCTAGTTTAATACGGGATCAATAGACGGTACCTGTGAGTGTCGCCTCGTGAATGAAACGAAGGAATATCTGGAAATAGGTCATTGGTTCATATACTCGGAGTTCCGGCTTGCAGTGATCAAATCAGCGTGATGAATCACTCTGTCGCTGTCCAGTTATTTCCAACCTGGCAACCAAGAAAAGCGACTATCACATTGTCGGGCTGGTCGGACGATAGTCTCCAGGGCGAGTCCGTGGAAGATGAGTCAGGGCCATTACGCATTTTAGACCTCTCACTGAACATTCCTAGGCTGGACAGCTTGTGTTGAAGCAGTACTGGAGTATTTTGAGATTCCACACTGAATTCGATATCTGAGCTTAGCAAAAGTATATAGAGGCCCGACTAAGGACCGCTCGACTCGTGCTGATCCTCCTGAGCACAGGTTAAATCCGCCTCGCCATCCGCCCTGGTACCCGATCTTCTGTGCCACTCGATTGTAGCCTCTTTTGCGGATGCGCTTACAATATGCGAATCTCTCGCTGCATGGCACCCTGAGCTGCCCGCCGGCCGCGAGACCGTATACTCAGAGCTCTGGCGCGAAGCGCGGCTGCCGAGATGCACTCCGACTTTGGCACGCTGGGCACGACATGCGGGGAACGCACTTGTCGTTCCACTCAGCAACATCCCTATGACGGAGGAGGCGCTGGAAGAGCTTAAGCGCGCTGTGGAATAACTGTAGACAGGCCACGAAAATGCCAGTCGCGTTTCTTGGAAAACCGAGTCCGAGGCTCTTGTTTGATGCAGTTTGCTGATTCTGTTAGCGAGTCCGACCCTACGATCTTCTGCTTGACTCGGCGAGTCAAGAGGCCCTTGCATGGATGCCGATTATGCGGGACGTGCCCGTGTGCCGTGCCGTGAACGAAAAGGTTCATTGCCAAGCTGATGACTCGAACACTCAGGTTGAGCACTAGACTGAGAGCTACCGGAGAAGAGACGATAACAGATATGATCCATTCCATTCGATCCCCTGGAGATTGGAAGTTGACCGTGGCCTAGATTAGCTAGCGCGTAGAGTAGGCTGGTGGATCGGTGGATCAGGGGCCCACGGGTATCATCGAGAGGCCACTGATCGCCCTCATATACCCAGCGGTCGGAAAGACTGTGATCGGAATCGATCCGAGGGTACGGATTGTGACTCGCTTATCTGCGAGCTAGCGATGCCAAAGTCCTATTGATCTGTAGATCTCCATCGGCATCCTGGTTTAAGTATTTCCGACCGACACCGACGTCACAGCTCCCCCCTCCCCGCTCTTTATCCTTTTTTCTCCCCCTCGACTCTTTGGAACATAGGGAGAGTACAACCAAACATGCTCTCTCGACGGACACTGAAGCCCTACGTGGCTGAATTCCTTGGCACTGCGCTTCTCATTGTCATCGGCGATGGCGTGGTCGCCCAGTGCTTGTTGTCCGAGTACCAGTACGGCACCTGGTTATCCATCAACATTGCCTGGGCAGCTGCCGTGAGTCTGTCGAGCTATCTGGCCGATCCTAGCCCGACGATCAACCCAGCTGTGACCATCTGCCTTGCCCTTGTGCGTCCGTCAGAGGGACAATGGAAGGCCATACCCGGCAAGCTCCTTGCCCAATTTCTCGGCGGGTATGTCGGTGCCGCGCTCGTGTATATCAACTATTATTCGGCCATCAGTGCTTGGGACCCCGAATACACTATCCCTGGAGGATCGATCTTGAGCCCGACAGGTCATCACTCTGCAGGAATTTTCTCCACGTACCCCAGCACCTATTTCGCATCGAACTGGGAAGCTGTGTTCTCCGAGGCGCTGGGCTCAGCTGTGCTGATGTTTGGTCTTCTCAGCATCTCCGACCCGGGGAACGCTCAGCGATTTATTGCTCCACATCTGTCGATCTTCCTGCTCCTACTTATGATCGGAGCGGCGCTAGGCTGGCAGACAGGATATGTAAGTCCTCAAAAACGCCTCGATCCGGGAGAAACGTACTAATGAATCCAGGCTCTGAACCCGGCTCGTGATTTTGGCCCACGCCTGTTCTCTGCGGCCATCTATGGGTCGGAAGTTTTCTCCTCGTCCGGTTATTACTTTGTCGTTCCTCTGTTTGCCCCTATCCTCGGTTGCATCATTGGCGCGGCTACTTACGATAGTTTCTTGTATGAGGGTGAGGGATCTCGTATTTCGGATGCATTAGACAAGGCTGAAGGCCATGGACGCCTTCAACTGGATTAGTCGGGATATCGGGTGCATACCTAGAGCTAGACTTGCATGGATGGTTAGATTTAGATACAGGGAATCTTGGTCATAGTGTCATAGCGTCATAGCGGTTGTTTGAAGGAAGGACAGGCAGTCGTTTGTTTGTGTTCATCGCGTGTTGATATCACAGTCTTTCGGATGTGTCGATTACCGGGCCTAGTATGAGATGAATTTGGAGATTCATTTTGAGATTCGTTTTCGAACATACTTCACTTCTCAATGGAGTTGCGAATCGCGCGAGTAGACTATCAGATATCTAGCTTCGCGCCATTCTGGAACGAGGGGACATTCTCTACTCCCACGGACTTCTGGTCTGGGATGATCTGCAAGCTGACCATGATAATCAAAAGGGCCCTCGGTAAGTCAAGATTTGGTCCTCGGCATTCGATGTTGCTTCCTTCGTACAGACAAAGTAGCTATATATACTCATTCCCACCCTCAATTTTCATAGCAAGCTCCCAGCCTTCATGCAAAGGAACAGCCTGCTTCGGAACTATGACTACCATTAAGAACCATGGCAAAATTTGTGCTTGATAGCTCCTAGTATGAATATATGCTCCACGGTTGGCCTCTTGTTTTCTAATGCACGTTCGAGTATGAAAGGTCACCAGTAAGCACTTGCCGTGATCCGCCCCCAAGCTGCCTGATTGGCTGGCCCCTGCAAATTCCTGCAAATCTCCGCGATTAGTGCATGTAACACAACGCGGTTGCTTTGATCCTGACCAACTCCTTTCATTTCACTGCTTTCTAACCCATCGAAGGCAGGATCGACACCTCAGCGGACATTTCTCCCAAACTCCATTTCTCTCTAGCTTCGAGAAGGCGCCACTTTTGGAGGGGTATCCATGGATAGCCAGGAGTTACGTCGCAACGACTCGTTAGCACTAGACTGTCCTTTCGCCTAAACAAGCAAGATCTTCTTACGACTCTGAAAGGTGAGGAGAGGAGCTTCGGACAATCTGGCTGTTAGCCTCCTAGGTATGTCGCACGAAGGACATGGAGGGTGTCTTGAGACGTGGGGGACCAAACAAGACTTTCTTCTTGCGATCGCCCATTGCCTTGGCATGTTATCTCGCCGGCGATTCCAATGAAGGAGCAGGTTATTTTTGCGTTTGACTCTGGTTGACAAACATGCGTTCGTATACGGAGAGACAGAGCTGGCAAGGGAAGCCAGAAGGTGGGGGTCCCTACGGGATGCCTGACAAGCCGAATCCTTGGACACGCACGGACAAAGCGATCGTGGTAGGCGCAGTTCTGGACAGAGCCGTTACGGGCTCGGACCTTTGCCTCGTCGAAATGGGTCTACCACAAAACTCCGGGGTCACAGGCACGAGTCATTGTGGGGAATGGCGTTGTTTGGACGGGACCACTCGGGTCTGGGTTTCAGGGCTTAGCTAAGACGCGATCTTTCAAAAGAGCATGGAACAAAGCAAGAGTCGATCGCTGTTGGTTTACTGAAAGAGAAATGAGTTGCAGAGGCAGATTTCATGTGGACAGATGTGCCTGCTTGTAATCTTCTGGTATCAGCGCAGCTCGGATGCATGGGATCTCCGTACACTATGCAGTGGATGCGAAAGCGCCCCCGGGCAAAAAGGGACTAGGGAGTAATCGCGAATGGGGCTATGTGCTGATCTGATTGCAACCCCTTGAAGTTGAATATTTCCATTTTTAGATAACTCCGAGTCCGCAAAAAGCATTGCGTTAGTTTAATTATACCACGATCTGTGCTGACACTAAGATCGGCAAGGAGTATGCCTCAGCTACTACACTACCCCTGCTGAAGGAAGTGCCGACTGCATCGTCGGGAGGCCCACTGGCCCCGGCAGTCATTCGATCGTATGTTGGTCTCTATGCTCTTGCAACATCAATTTTTCATGCTATCGATGACATGCGTTTCTTCTTGGCGTACTACTGATTCGCAAACGATGTCTCGAGACCGCCATCTTACCGCTCGCTCGGGCGTTTTACGGCATTTGGTGGACTGTGCTGAGGATACCGAAGGCGTCTACAATAGCTGGATCGACAACGGTCCAAAGACCGACAGGAGTCGTTCAATATCCGTGTATTCCAATTGGGTATGGCTACGACCCCACTCCGTGAGGTTCCGGCTCCATGGCAAATGATCTGCACAGAAACCCCGGGTTAGTCTCAGAGCAGAGACAACTGAGAATACTCGCATCGCAACGAGCCGCAGGTCCGATCAGGAGGCGTCCGGGGTTGAAAACGAACGGCGCACGGAGTATGGCTGGGGGTTGCCGGATTCGCCAAATTTGAGGAACCAAGCACGTTTGGTTTAGCTCCGCTTGGAAGGCTCTATCACTTCCGATCCTAGAGCCAGGCAGGAACTCGGAGAAGCCGTAACGGGGCCTTTTCATATGATTGCCAGGGGTGGTCAAGTGGTGGAAGGAAGGAAGACCAATGCATACAGTGTATCATCGCGCGAGCTAGCCCCCGCTAGCCCGCGCTAGTCCAGGCACGTCGGGATTGTGGTTGGCCATGCTATATTGGCGTCGAGTCCGGGCTTTCCCCCCTAAGCTTTCCTGCTAGCCCTGGTGCTGACAGCAGGTGCTAAGGGGGTCCATTTAAAGGTGAGACACGATGCATTCTGCCCGAAAGGGAGATCCTCTGTTCTGTTTCCACATGGTCTGTGGCAGGCCTGAAGGCCGCGTACTAACCCCTCTCAGACGAAAAAGCACATGGTCCGTCCCCTCTCTGGCTAGACTGTTCCGATGTATCAAAATGATACGATTCATGAATGCCAAAACGCCCCCCGAGCGCCCCATGCTCCACTTAGTACAACCTCAGGCGGGAGGGCATTGGTACTCTCTCTTCTATCTATATCGCATCCTGGTTGGATCTGCACTCATCGTGCCTCAACGCAACCCGCCCTTGTGGGTACATCGTTCGAGAGCTTACTTCTGTAGATTTACGATAGACATGTCAAGTGAGAGGTTGACCATAAATAGACCGGGGGGGGGGGGGACGTTCACGACCACATCTTGTACTAGTCTTTTCCATCCTCCACGCTCTTTGTGCTTTGGTGTCTGTGACATTTTCATTCCTTTTTGCAATTCTTGACGCTCTTTTTGTTCCGTAGGTGGACACATACCTCACTCCTTTTCTTGAGATGTTTGGATTCTCGAAATGGGCTGTCGCCCTCGCCGCCTCTGCAGGCATCATGCAAGCCGCTGCCACCGAAGTCAAACCCGGAGGCGCCAGCGATGTGAAGCTCGAGAACAACAACTACATCACCAGTCCCCCTCACTACAAGGGTGGCCCTACCGCCAAACACGCGCCCAATGATAACGCTCCTCCTCTCCAGCTGACTATCACAACCAACATCCCCGGTGCTTTCAACTCCTATGTGACTGCTTTAGATACTAGTGATGCGCCGGTTATGTTGAACCCCAATGGTGCTTGGTACTACCCAATCAACCCCGGAGACCTCGGGACCCCCCCCAGGCGATTGATTCCTCAAACATCAAGATCCCGCTGAACGGCCAGGGTCAGACCACCACCTTCAACATCCCCGGTTATTGTTCCTCGGGACGTATTTGGTTTGCGGCCGGTGAGCTAGAATTCTTCACTGTCGGCACCACCAACGGTTCTTTCTCTATTGTGCAGCCTTCTCAAGCTAACCCCCAGGACCCGAGTGCTGGGGTCAACTGGGGTTTCATCGAGTTCACCTACACCGAGGACGGTGGTCTCTACGCCAACATTAGCTACGTCGACTTCGTGGGCCTTCCGCTTGGTATGACTCTGACCACGTCCAACGGTACCACCCAGCAAGCTCTTGGTCTCAGTGCCGATGCTGTCACCAGCGTTTGCAACGACTTGAAGACCCAGGCTGCCTCTGATGGTATGCCATGGGACCAGCTCTGCCAGACTATCAACGGTACTGTTGTGCGTGTCCTTGCTCCTAACGATTTCGTTTCGGACAACGGAGCCGGCTTCGATGACTACTACAACGACTACATCGACAAGGTCTACAGCACCTTCACCACCGACAACCCCTTGACCATCAACAGCCAGGGAGCAAGCGGCAACAGCACCTGCACTAGCGACGGCACCACTCTCACTTGCGAGAACGACGAGACCCCCTACCAGAAGCCCTCCATCGGAGACATCTTCGGCTGCAACTCCGGCCCCTTCGCCAACACCGGCAGCGACACGCACAAGGCCAATCTGGCTCGCCTGTGTGCGGCTTTCAACCGTGGAACCTTCCTCGTGAACGGCGGGAACGTTCAGCCCGGGCCCCCCTCTGCCGAGTACTATACCACCTCCCCGGCCAACTACTATTCGGCGATTGTCCACAAGTACGAGGTCGACGGTAAGGGGTACGCTTTCTCGTACGATGATGTGAACCCGAATGGCGAGAATGCCTCCGGTGTGGTCTCGGCTCCCGACCCCAAGAATATCGCCGTGACTGTCGGCGGCCCGAGCCAGGGCTCTACTCGCCGCGTGCGCCGCATCCACCGCCACGCTGGCCGTCACGGTAGCGGACTGGTCGGCAGGTACAGCCTTGATTAGATCGTCTTGGAGTCCTGACGTTGTCGGATGCAATCTACTATTCTCTTTTAGCATCTGGTTGTTATACGCTCGTTTATATACCCCAATAACTGGATGATTCATGTACATATTTTTGTCCTCTTTTTGTGAATACGGGGCTAGCACTATGATCTACTCTGGGATGGAATACTATGAAGGCTTCGGAGCTTGCTGCTCTATCTTGTTGAATGAATCGGTCTTTTTGTCTGATAGTATCGCGTAAAACAGAGTACCAGTAATGCACAGCCTGGGGTCTAACCTTAATAAGAAAGGAACCAACCTTGTTTTGGGATAATTTTACAACTTCAAAGTAGGGTTCCCGGCTCCGGAGGCGCCTTCGTAGCTAATCAAAGCGTGTCGTGACATTATTTCCTCTGAAGGCTGCGCGCCCGCAGCGTATAAATAGGCCTCTTTCTGAACCACCTTCGAACCACTTAAACGGGGCTTGTTTGCTTTGCGTTTCGCCTCTTTGTCGCTTGATAGCTTCGGGGTTTTAGCCTTATTTGTAGGGAATACAGTCAGGCCCGAACAGTTGATTGATTGATTGATTGATGTTTGTTTCTCGGTTCTGTCAGGTCTTCTTACCCGATTTGCCGGCTGTTGGAGCGCCAGGAGGCAAGGGGTTGTAAATTACGGTATGGAAGTGAAATATATGTAACTCTGATCTTTCTAAAATGACAGGCATAGACTAACTATTTATACTGTGGGTTCCTTATATAAGAAAGGTTATGCCTACCTAGGTAACTATAGGCCAAGAAATGAACGAACGATAATACGGTGGTAACGGCACCGTTTGTGCCGACATAATTAGCTTAAGTTCATCGGCTGGATTAGTTATCGCCGCTTGGCGGGCAATAAATTGTCTCCAACGCATCACGACTTTTGTGACTGCGACGTTCGCCTCCTCCCCAAGCGCCACCCTCCGTCGACCTTTATTCCAAGATGGATCTATCTATATTCTGCCAACGCAACCTTCTCCTACACACAGGAGTCATTATCAAGATACCGGCCTGGTGGATATCATCCAGTCAACCTTGGAGATACTTTTAAAGATGATCGTTACAAGATACATCACAAATTAGGATGGGGTGGCTTTTCCACAGTATGGCTTGCGAGGGACAGAGAGTCAGTCTATCCCTGACAGACTTTGCTCATTCATAGCTAATCTCACGCCAGTCGCAATCAGTGGGTCTCGCTGAAAATCACGACCGCAGATTCATCGGTATCGCGAGAGCTGCGAAATTTGAAATATATCTGGAAAGGCATTCTCGTGGAGAGCTTTCTTTGAATTATGTGGTTCAACTGCTTGATGCCTTCACCCATGAAGGCCCTAACGGAGTCCACCAATGTCTTGTATTTGAATTACTTGGCCCTTCAGTTGATAAGGTCCTCGCAGACTATCATGAGAGCCACGAAAAGCTCTGGTCGGAAACCGTCCTCCGAATATCTATACAGCTTTTGAAAGCCGTCAAATTTATTCACAGAGCCGGCATGTGCCATGGAGGTGAGTTCGCTTCCCATTCTCGATTTATGCGTGGGTCGGTTCTATTATACTCACTTCTTATTAGATATTAGTGGCCGAAACATCGCATTTAGTTGCACTCATTTGTGGAAACAGACCGAGGAGCAGCTTTTTGATGTTCTCGGATTCCCGGAAGTTGAGCCGCTGACCCGGCTTGACGGGACGCCTTTAGGAAATGGATTGCCGTCCCAACTGGTTAAAGCAGCAGAATGGGTTGACTGGATAGACGAGGACGACGAAGATATCAGACTCTTTGACTTTGGAGAGAGCTTCTTCCAAGGACAGGAACCTAAAAAGTTGGCCCAGCCAGGTTCATTGAGGGTACCAGAGACGATTTTCACGGATAGTTTTGATTATCGGGTCGACTTATGGCGTACAGGTTGCGTGGTACGTCAACATATCTTTCCTTGAAGCAGACATACTCACAATATCAATTATAGATTTATGTTTTCTTATTCACGACTGGCCATTCTGGTATCTTGGCGAGGATGAAATCCTCATTTTCCAAATGATTGGCTTTGTGGAGAGGTTGCCGGCTGAATGGGAGTCTAAGTGGACATCGATGTTGAAGAGGTCTAGTCATGATCTGGAGCTAAAAGAAGGTAAACAATTTGATGCACACATAAACCTGTTGCTAATTTTGCTCAAAGATTATGGAACGTCGAAGCTTGAACGGAAGTTTGCTGGGTTGGAGCCTGATCCAACACTTAAACCTCTACTTCATGTGATGAAAGGATTGATGCGATTTTTACCGTCAAGTCGCCTGACTGCAGAGGACGCGCTTGATTTGCTTGGTAAGGCTCAAGAATAATGACAAATATATCGCTTGTCTACTATGAAGAGGAGCCTCGTCATCTAATACGGAAAATTCGTCCAACACATACCAAAAACGCCAATATTTAACGCCAACACGTCTTCCTATACTATTTCAATAACAGTCATCTCTTTCTTCACGTTTGCAACCCAGTTCCACAAAACTTCGGGCAATTCCGGGTCTGATCCCTCTGCCGACGAAGAATTCTGGGTTTTGATCCTTGTGTGTTCAAGTTCAAAGCCATCTGACAGCGTTACCTGACACGCTTGTCGAAATCCAGCTTTGGGGGTATTATCGGTCACATCCGATGCCAGCCACTCACTGTATTCTTTGACAGCTACGTCTGTGAACCCGGGAATCTTCAATGGATCCACAGCTCTCAGCCCCGTGGCATCACCCGAGCTAGTAACCGATTCAGTGGGATGCGACGGGTGAACATTGATGTTGATGGGTGGGTACGGCGATCCATCCCTAAGAATGTCACCACCTTTGCGCCTTTCATTCTCCTGCCTCTGCTGCGCCGCCATGTAGAGCTCATCCCCGATTTCATCTGGAACGTCTTTGTGCGTCTCCAGGATACCACCTTTCTTGGCGTAGGTGATTTCTATATTTCATTAAGGATCATTATGCCAGTCTTGCCTTGCTCTCACAATGAAGGCAAGGAGCCAAGAAGATCGGCATCCCACGTCTCTATACCAGAATCAAGGCCTCCGAACCAATCAATCAGATCAAACGTCTGTAATTATCAGCATACCAACCATGAATTAGTCGCTGCTCAACTTACAGTTAGATCCACTAAATCAGTTGGCAGCATCGAAGGGACGGTGGGTTCTTCAGATGGCCTAGAAGTAGTTTTTGGATCTGGCGCAGCAAGATCCTGGCCTCGAGTCAGCAAGTTGCACACTTATTTTCAGACACGGAAATACCTCAGGATTCGGTTGCATGTGGTTATATAAGCCCATTACATCCGAGTAGCTCTGGCCTTGGATCACAGCCTGACAGATTTGGCTTGTGTACCTAGAAGTTGCTTCAACCACTGGAAGAGGATCCTTGCCGTCCAGTTGAGCTTTGACAAAACCCAGAATAAGAGCGATACAGAAATAAAACTTGCAGCCTTTTCCTCCTGCTCCAAGCTGCTGCCCAAAATCATGTAATGTGTGTTCGACTGCTTGAAGCATGACCTTTTGCTGCGACTGGATCATGCTGCTGAGGAATCCTGGGCTGTTCCCACCCAGAGAAGCCGCTGCGGTCTTTTCTCTTGCTTGTAGAGATATTTCCACGCAAACAGTGACCACCGAATGATAAACTTCTTTTTGGAACATGCTGTTCGCCAACTGTGTGATTTGGGGGTAGACAAACTCGTTTGTGGCCGAACGCCCTCTTTGCGACAGTACATCAAGGGACTGCTCTAGCGCAATCTTTCTTGAGTATGAGTATTTCGGGAGCTGATTGGCGCTTGACGAGAATGGCCGATGTAGTGATAGCAGGAATTTGCGCATAATGAACAGATGAAGAGATTGAGCGAATCGGTGCTGAGCGACTTGAGCGGAATCAGAAGCAGAAGTATCATTGCTCGACAAGTAATTTTCAAATATAGACGATGAAACCTGCATTGAATGTAGCATTTCTTCACTCAAGCGTAGAACGTCATCATATGCGAGATCAAATTTCAAAGTATTGACCTTTTTCGTGATCGCCACTCGAAGCTGCAATGACCGATTGAGCAGCGTCTGATACAGTGGAGGAGGTAATATAATACCGCGAAGAGAGCCCGAGCCCTTTCTCAGGTCTGCAGTCCTTTCCGAGTCGTTGAATACCGCCGACGGGGGCTCGCAATCGCATTCGCTGAGATCCAATGAGGGACAGAATCCTCGATGAATGGATATCATGAGGTCGAGTTCCACGATCGTGAACCACAATCTGCGGCGTAACTCTGGCTGCAAAGATCTCTGGCTTTCTTTACGGAACCTTGATGGGTCTCGATGCAGACCTATCGACATTGCTGACCGAACCAAAAGCCCCGATGCTATCCATTCTTGAGACTCGTCATCATCGCCTGCGATGCTCAGACGAGCGATCAACAAGATACATTGGGTTTGTATCCTTCGGAGATCAAGGTCAGGGCTCGCTAAGTTGCAGGCGATATATGCCTGAGCCTCTGTTATCCATCTTGTAGCCTTCTTCTCGACATCCTCCCTCTCACAACGATCCAGAGACGAGCCATAGAAGCTGATTCCAGCGGCCATCACACCTAGGAGCTGGGCGATAAATTCCTTGTCCATGTGAGTCGCCTTCGGATCTTTCCAGAATTCGTGGTAATTCTCCAAGAAAGTGGGAATGCAAAGGGTCCGCCACGTCGGTTCAAAAGTGTTAAGGTATAACTGGACCAACTGATCGGCCACGCATCGCTGTGGTATCAGTTCATGGAGCTTGAATTCGCGGAGATCCGCTTCTTTTACACGCAGGTGCGCTCGTCCGACGAATGAGGAAATACCTTGAAACTAGACAAGTCAGCTTCATGAATTTGCCAAGATTGGCTCATGGAACTCACATATGAAAGTGTAATACTGTGGTTGCTGCGGCCAAAGTATCTGGTTCGGCCATTGATTCCTCGAAAAGCACAATCCGGTAAGTTGCGCACTCGGTCGTCTATACAGTCGTGTTGGGCGGAGACTTGTATTCCGGGCATATTATCACTTCCAAGAGACTTTGGCGTTTGAAGGGCGTCCTCTCGTGCAATCCCAGCATCAAACCGGGGATAAACACACTCGCCGCCTTCCTTCTGAAAAGAGCTATACCTGGGACCCGTTTTTGCATCAAGCACGAACATATGATAAGGTTCACTGCCAGTATCTTCGGGCGCTGTAGGGTGTCTCTGTCGCAGAGCTGGGGCAGGCTTGTGATTGATTGATTCTGACGATGCTTTAGGGGGTTGGGGTCCGGTGAAAAAACACTGCTCTCCTTTTTTTAGGTGAACGCAGTTGCTGCAGGGATGTACGCGGTTACATTTGAGCTTCCGCCGCCGACATTCAACACAGGAAAGCGGAGGTCTTCTCCTCCGTCCTTTTGGTGGAATCAATCTATCGGCGTCTTCGCTCTGGGAACACTGGTCATGGCCGCGCATTTTGCGGTATGAAACGCACCGCCACGCAGTGATTAGGTTGACTGTGCTCAATGGTATTCAGACGTAGGCTCTGGGGCAAGATATTTCATGAGACAGATAAGAACAGAGTTGTCCATGATTTCTAATATGCTAAGAGTCAGAGCACTCGCGGCATACTCACGTAAGTCCGGGGGTTGTGGGGAAACAATAGATCTTATTGGCGGAGTTAAGAAATGCTGGAGACGGAGTTGCTGTTTGTGTCAGAGTTCGGACAAAACTGTTGCAGCAGCCCCTCTATGGGCAACTCTGAGCATCAGTGACATTCTGAACTATACTAGTATTTCATCTGGATTCCTGGAAAGAGTTGCAAACAAATGGGTGTTCTTGACCAACTAGCTCTGGAACTATTGACTGCTGTGTGATCTACTGTACAGATTTCCCCCCATGATCAATAGCAAACAACTCCCTGTGGAAGCTCCCTAAATGCAACGCAACGGTCACTGCCTAGAAGCTAGGAGCTAGGACAAGAATCTCTCAAGTGGAAACTATATATAGATTCCAGTGCATGGTGCTTTGCAACTGCCATGATCGCACAGAGGTCACAACGCTGCTATCTTCACCATAATATCTTTTCATTAGTTCAACTTTGTTCCTTCGGTCTGATCTATTCCTTTCAGCTGTCTCCGTACATCTATGCGATGTTTGTTGACAAGGAGTTCGAGAGGAGGGAGACTCCGCCGGTCTAGGACTGGCTAGATGACGGATTCGGAACGAGATGATCGTGTCTATCTCCTGACGCTTGTGGGGCTTAACCTCATGTGCGACTGTCTTTACTGGCTCGTCGGAACGATCAATAGAGATGGTGGCGACATTATCCGTCTCAGCACAGCTGTGCGAGGTGTTGAAAGCACAGGGCAGGCGATCTTGTATGGCATTAACTCTATGAACTCTTCCGCCCTGTCTGGTGCAGTCACAGTCAAGCTGTCGTTATTTGCTGCATGTATTAATCTCTCGGCATTTGTATTTGTGATCTATAAAGTCGGAATCGTCGATGGTGTGAAAATTCATGATATTTTGCAAGATCAGGCTGTGGGAGATGCGGAGGACCCTGGAATCAAGAAAGATGACGATTAAATAAAATCACGATAGTTGACAGGTTTATTCTAGTCCAATGAGCATTCTGCAGATCGCACAATTACTTGTGAGGGTAGCCCGAGAAACATTCCGTATTTGAATATTGTCTCGAAACCAGTAAGCAGAAGGGCGCGTGAGCAGGAGGTCGCCCCATCCCGCGGATGAGCCCACGGGTGGATTGCGCGATCCACTCCAGCTTCCATCCTTGGGCAAAGCTACCCTCCGGGCCTATTAGAGTCCACACCCTCATTAAGCGATGAATCTTCAAGAGCAGCTGCAAGCCGATCCGCTGGAGCGCCGCCGGCTACAGAACAGGCTCGCCCAGCGCAAGTTTCGCGGTGAGTGGGGTTAGCCTCCCGAGGTCGTGGGAACTGGCCTTACTAATAAAACTACCACAGAGAAGAAGCGGCGAGAGGCAGACGAAATCCTTACAGGCTCAGATCTCAGCCACAATGGATCTTCCCAAATGTCGCGCGGCTCGGGAGCCAGCAAAGAAAGCTCCGGTGCCATTTCGACGATGACTGCTGACTCGGCTCATCCCTCGTCGAGAATCCCGTCACGCTAGACGGAGTTGAGCTGGGAGATATCGGGGTTACCATGAATACATTTGATCAGTTTCTTTCCGATGAGCATCCGGCTCCATATCTTCCCGGCACAGCTGGCTTAGGGTATTCATCCGAAGGAGTGGCACCGTTGGATCCCATGGCGTGGAGTGAAACGAACCGTCTATCAAGCCACAACTTACCACAAACAAACGACGAACAGGGTCTTCTGGGCGCACTACAGAGAAGAAACTCGGACTCAGACTTACGAACTGACACTCCAAACAAGAACCCACCACTTTTTCACTATGACGACCTCTCGGGAATACTAACGAAATCTAAGAAAAACGGCTGGCTTGGCAGCTTACACATCGCCGCTGCACGAGGCAATGAGAAAGTTCTGCGAGTGCTTCTTTTGAGTGGGAATGTCGATATCAACCAGCAAGACAGCGACAAACGCACACCACTGATCTATGCAGCAATGGAAGGCCGCGAGTCGGTCCTTCGCCTGCTACTCGCCCATGGTGCTCGAATAGGTGTATCCGATTGCGATAATCGATCCTCGATACACTGGGCAGTATTACGCCGAGATCGCAAAATGCTGCAGCTGCTATTAGACCACCGGGCGGAGCATGAACCGGACCTTGACATCGACACTCATGACTCTCATGGCTGGACCGCTTTACACATGGCCATTGATAGAGACTTTGAGGACGGTATGCTACTATTACTGAATCTGGGCGCCGACATGAATGCGAAGGCCGGGAAATGCCCTAATGTGAGCCGGGTGGTAGCTTATTTAGATTGGAAAAAAAAGATCTGATTATTGCGAGTATACATTGATTGACCATCTGTGGACCTGGGAATGCTATGTACTGGCAGCGCTCCTTTGCTCCTATATAACCATATTTGTCACGCCTGGGAAAGAGAAACTGCATTTTCTATGTACTGATAATAAGCACTACCCTTGGAAGATTTGCCTACATTCCACAGGAAGGCTCAATATTCGAAACTTTTGGGCCTCGATGCCTCCAGGTATCTTAGGCTGACATATCAGCGGTAGTTACCCCGCATGCGGCACCGAGGACAAACTTGAAGTGGAAAAAATGAAACAAATCAGTCATCGGACAATGAATTTCTATTGATTTCTTCCTCGTATTTCAGATTTTTGATTGCTGCTATCTGTAACTTTCCGTTTCATTTTGTTTCTCTTTTCTTTCTCTTTTCCTTTTCTTGTTTCTTACACTTCTCCAACAAGAAGCAGATGTGCGTCGTCTTACATCAAAATTATACCCCAAAAACGTTAGCCACAAGAAAAGAAAAATGGCGAACATTCAAACTGTAGTGGTCGTCGGCATTGGCCAGATGGGCACCAGCCATGCATTAGCCTACCACCACAACCCCGGCTACAAGATCATCAGCCTGGTCAACCGAAGCCCAATCAAAAAGCTTCCGGATGAACTGAAGGACTACCCCGTCCTAACAAGCTTCAACGAAGCACTGGCCCTGAAGCCAAATGTGGTCTCCATCAACACCCACACAGCAACACATGCTGATTTCGCCATAACAGCAATGAAGGCCGGGGCCCACGTCTTTCTCGAAAAGCCCCTGGCGGCAACAGTCGAGGAAGCAACCCGGGTTGTCCAAATAGCCCAGGAAACCAAGCGCAAGCTCGTAGTCGGCTATATTCTCCGCCACCACCCGAGCTGGGTTCAGTTCATCCATCAGGCGCGGCAACTCGGGCCGCCGTTCGTGATGCGCATGAATTTGAACCAGCGCTCGTCCGGCGACGAGTGGGCGATCCACAAGCGACTGCTCCAAGACGCCAAGAACCCGCTCATAGACTGCGGCGTTCACTACGTCGATGTCATGCTGCAAATCTCGGATAGCAAGCCTGTCCAGGTCCGTGGGATGGGACTCCGGCTCAGTGACGAACTTCCAGCAGACGGTCAGGTGAACTATGGCCATCTGCAGATTATCTTTGAAGATGGGTCTGTTGGCTGGTATGAAGCTGGATGGGGCCCGATGATGTCGGAAACGGCGTACTTTGTGAAAGACGTTATTGGACCAAGGGGATCCGTTTCAATCGCCATGGATGGGAAGGGGGATTCGGCCAATGTCGATAACCACACTAAGCTGTCGAAGCTGCGGCTGAACTCCGTTATCGATGGGCGTCCACAAGAGGAAATGCTTTCGATGGAAGATGACTTTACTCACAACGATCTCTGTGCTCGAGAGCAGCAGTATCTGCTTGACGCAATTACTGAAGACAAAGATCTCTTTGCGCACATGGAGGCTGCTGTTCGATCGTTGCGGATCGTGTTTGCGGCTGATTTGTCCATGCGGGAGAACCGCGCCATCGATCTTGTCGAATAACTTTGGAAGGCTATAGATTATTTACTCATGCTATTCCTCGCAAAAGTGAAAAGGGATAGGAAAAACTAATTATATAGCGAAAACAACAGGCAGCTCTAGCCTTTGTTTATATCATGGGCTGTATTCAATATCTACAAAGGTCCTTTGCGACAAGAGAATCCCGGAAGTGTTGCTCACGGTCTCGTCGCGACCGCTTCCTTCACTCGTGAGAGAAGAATACCAGCGACTCCTTTCATACCCGCTAGGTTTGGATGGCAGGGATTCCCCCGTCGCAGAGCCTCCATACTGAATCCCTCCACCCACGGGTCATCTGTCCCAAGAACGTGATCCGCACTCAGATCGTGAATAGGAACTCTTTCGCACCATGCAGACCGTGGCTCAGCGGCTAGCGCATAGGCATTCCGTAATTCCAAAGCCACGCGGCTATGGTGGTCTATTCGCTCTTGATTAAATGAAATGTGCACCCCCGGCTTCGTAGCGGGGCCAAGTAGGGCGAGGTACTCGACGAAAAACACGCGCGCATTGGGCGCCTTTTGGTGTATCGCATCCAATGCTTCACCCATTCGCTGGGCCAGCTGTTCTGGCGGGATAGAGCCGAGCACCGGTGGAGGGCCCAGGTCAAACCGGGGGATGTCCGATGCATTCCACGCATCATCGATCATGTTGCCAATATATCTCATATCATTTCCCCCGCCAGTGACGAACACATAATTCACGTCTTCAGGAAGAGACAGGATCTGGGGCGGAAAGGTGCAATTTCCTGATGGCGCGGTTTGTGGCTCCGTTATGATATTCAGCAAGGTTGCGCCAGATACAGTCAAATCGGTCAGTTTAGCGTTTAGCCCTCGCGCCACGAGACTTGGGTAGTTGTTCCCCGAGCGCATAGCATTAGGCTCGACTTGGGGAGGGATGCCCGGGCCCGCCGCGAAGGAACTTCCCAGGCTCGCAATGTGTAGTTGTCTCCCTTGTCTTCTGAAGTGCTCATTGTGTGGCGATTATGGTGGGGGAGTTGGAGGAAGATAATCTGACGGTGTCCGGACCGGCCTCCATTTCTAGAGTCCGCACCCCACTTGGGTACTAAGCCACTCCAGGCGATTTATGGATGTCAACAACACATTGGGATGGACCTCTTTTTCTGCAGGCTCGACGACTGCAACCAAAATTGAACGCAAATCTGAAAATAGCCTCATCTGTGACAGTCCTTGGCAACAAGCTACCGGTCGCTTTGAGTCCACGAGCATTCCCGCCACCGCAATAAGGTACAAGGCTCGAAGCAAGGGAGACCCAATCTGTACATTGTACCTTACACCTTGACGTGTCCATGGAAAAGATCCCCAAGGAGGATTCCTGTCTCGGAAAGAAACAGGGCAATTTCATTCTCAAGCCAAAGCCCACATGCCACGCGTAGGTGCGCCAGAGCGAGTCAACATCGCGCAAACATACAGATGCGATTCTAAACAATCGAATCTTCCGAAGGAAAACAGCTTCTTGAGTGAAAAGGAATTCTACCCAATCGTAGAATTAGCATGAAATGTAAACAGTATCGCACTGCTATCGATGGGTAGCATCTAGAAAGAGAACCCTGCCACCTACCAAGGAGCATCCCAACCCAGATCAACATTCAGGTGCCTTAGAATTTCGCTATTCTCCACGCAAGGGTCGGTGGGGGGGAAGGGCACTTCCAACGAGATACAAAACTGGGCCAGTGCTTTGCAAGGCCTTCTGCGCGATTTGCTTGTCGATTTTGCTGACCTTCACCTTCCCGCTCGAACTACGCGGTTACACTCGTGAGCTGGGCAGCGTATAGCTGCACAGGGTCACACGATGCTCGCCCATATCCTCTGGTTGTTTCCGATAATCTCTGCGTCGACATGGCTAAGTAAGCAAGACTCTGCTGTGAGAGCTCAACAAATCGACAATGATCCTAATGCATAAGTTCTAGCCATGCTGTGCTCGATGCTTGGGCACTGGGTGACTCTCGGGGAGCCACGGTATGGGAGGATGAGGCCTGGACAGACAATACCGTAGGTCTTTTGCATCTCCAGGTCTCGCGCACAGTTGACTGACCTATTATTGCTAGGTTCATTTCGGACATTGGCGCAGGAGAATATAAACCGATTTTCATGACTGGCAGCATCGTTTCCATGTTCTTCCTCAACCTCTCTTTCTACCAATTCTTGCAGCGAAAGGCACACGGAAGCCAAGCCTGCACATATCTCTCGTTTATTTTTTCGATCATTGGGAGTCTTGGTCTGGTACTGCTCTCTTTCTTTGATAATCTGGATTATCTGTCTATCCACGATAGCCTCGTCGCGGTCTTCATGTGAGTGTTTTCTGCCTCTATCCGATCAGAAGGATGCTGACCCCTAGCAGGACTGGTTTTCTTCTTAGCGCCGCCATTATTTGCATAGAATACTTTTACTACAGGATGTCAGACAAAATATACGATCCAGCCCTGGTGACCAGTTTCGCAATCAAGTCTTCGTTTGTGATTGTTGAGCTTGTGTTCATATTTGCATTTCGAGTCACCGCTGCGGTCGGAGATGCGCAGAAGAATGCAGCTGCTGTTTTAGAATGGGGTAAGTTCTGATTCTTGGACATCGGTTTTCATTGCCTAACACGAGCAGTCGTTGCTTTCATTTTCACGGGGTATATAATTTCTTTTGCGGTTGACCTCAGACCCTCTCCCGCTCTCGATAAACGAACGGACACCCATCACGAGTACCAGCAGCTAGAGATGGATATGGGTCCGATCAGCAGAATAATGATCTAGACAATAACAGGATCTCTTGTATCTATAATGTCTATTACCAATAGTATTCTTTTACTATCCAAAGCCAGGCATAGCCTTTTGTCACATGTAGTTCAATGCTCACCAGTGGAGAAATCTTGAATCATGATGAAGCAAATAATTGCAGGATGCCAGTGCAAAAAATTCCAGTTACTTCACCCGGTTCTCATCCTCAGTCAGAAATCGCCCATCCACTGCGACCGGGCCATGCGGAGATCCAGCCCGGGTGCAAAATCGTTTACATTCTCATCATAATGGATCATATAATCGAACCTCATTTCGTGTTGGTGCAAATAGACCTCTATGCAAGCCAGTTGTGGCGGAGGAAAAAAAGATTGGGTAAGGTAGGGGTACAAAGAAAAAAAAGAAGAGAAGGTGCGGTTGTCTGACCTATAGTCCAGCTTCCTTGTAACAGCACGGTGTAATCTGGCGACGCCACCCCAGGGTGGAAGTGTCTCTGCAGAATTGCTTCCCTCAAGGGTCACTTCCATTGCTTAACGCCTCCCAGCGTCGCGGATTACTCGCGCGAGTGGAATGACGACCCTTGGGTTCGTACCAGGCACCTGCACTGCTGACTTTCGCCGAAGCAAGGTTGCGGACTTAGCGGTCAGCCTTCCACTAGGTTATCCGTTACAGATTAAAAAATTTCAGCCATTTTTGGCATTATGACGTCCACTAGAGTTCGTCCAAAAAGGAATCCATCTCAATGCATCCTAGTATTCACCAGGAAGCAATATGATTGTAAGACCTGGATGTGTATATCCCCCCCGTCTTCTCCCTGGTCAATGTTTATTCATTTTGGGCTTCTCCCCTCTTCTGGCCATTCCTTGCGACCGTCGCCCGGAGCCGAGGTGACCGGTATACACTGATAGCTTATTATCACCATGATCACAATCTACAAGAACAGGCATTTCATAAGGTAGCGGCCCCTGTTCCAAGGGTAAGCCCTTGCATTTCTGAGTGTTTGGGGGCCATACGGCGGGACATAGTGGACGAACCTCCTTGACATGATGAGCCCACGAACCAGAGAGCTGTTGCAGAATGAGCATGAATTGACTGCCCGTTCGGAACTTAGGGTCGAACATGATGGAACTAGAGTTAGATACGCGAAACGCTGGGCAATGTCATACGTCTTCAAGCTGGAAAGATGTGTACATACAGCTACGGCCCCGCCATCGCGGTGGAGCAAACTCTCCCACCATCGCCTCAGAACAGATGGGTTTGGGGGCTGAAAGAGCTCAGCTATTAATACCAGCGAGCTCCAATGATGGGGTCCAAGGCCTTCGTTTCTCACTCGCTCTCACAGTTCAATTTCTTCGGGCTTCGCTTGCGCTCATCCTGATTCTTCTATGGGCCTGCTCTATAACCCGGAGACTGAACAGCCACCAGCGCAACCAAAGATGGCGCATGTGAGTTGGACCGCAGCTTTCATATCCTCGGACGAATAACTGATTGGGATTTCACGTAGTATATGAAGGGTGTCATATTCAGCATGGCCTATGAGGACATCATCGGCCAAGAATACCTCGAGCGACTGATCGACAATTTCTGGTCAAATCTGCTCTACACGTACTTCCCTCCTAAAAACGGCTTTGGAATCTTCCCCTGGCGCCAAATGGGCAGCCCCGAAGGCCGCAAGTCGCATCTCACGGTCGCACATATCACCGCCGACGGCAGCAAGACATTGATTGTCTTTGAGAACCGCAAGCCCCAAGAAGGCGACTCAGCGACGCCCGAGGAATGGGCAAGCGCCAGCGAAACGCTTTTCGCGAATATCCAGGCCACCCGCGAGAGCACTCAGCAGTCAAATACTATCTACGGTGCCGTTACGATCGGGACTCATGTGCGCTTTTACGTCGCGCAGCCCGAGGCTGCGGCCTTAGAGGATCTTCCCAGCGCGGAGACGGGCAAGGCATATGAGCTGAAGGACGATGAGCGCGAGATCCACAAGATCTTGACGAAGTTCAAGGACGAAGCGTTGACCTGATCGGGACTTGGAGTGGAAGGTATCCTAGGAGTGGCTGATTATGGTCAGGTATGATTGAACGGCAATGCGGCGTATGCGTAGGGACACGGATGTGGGATGATCCTTGTATGTTTGGCGTCACACTCGGACTTTTGAAAATAGAATCATATCCCTTCATAACATGAATGCTGAATGAATTATTCCCCCACGGGTTATCCTATGTACTGTGCCACCCATGCGGGGGCTTGGTGGAGAAATCCAGGAACTGGACTACAGAACCGGGGAACCCGAGAAAAGCTGGAATTGGAGCATACCAAGAGGCCTTTGCAAAGGCAAGAATCGACATCATACGTCTGCTTGTAGACTAGCGCCAGCCCCAAGCCATCCTGTGGCTAAAAGAAAGCTAGGAGTAATTCTCCTCGACCTGTATGAAGGCGAGCCGAGGGTGAAATGGAGGGGTGGATGACGTCGATGCCGGCCATGCGTCCGCCATGTAAATTGCAGGCCCGACGAATGGTGCGATCGGTCCTGATCGTCCATGTCACATCCGGGCTCCACTGGATCATGTGAAGTCGCAGGTAAAGCACCGTTGCCAATCTTTCCTATCTTTCTGTATCACGACACTACCACAATTCTCAAACATGCCTCCCTTCCGCAACTTTCTGGCTCGAAAGCCCCAAGCCAACGGCACGGGCCCAGATGGCTTCGACGAGGCTGATCTATCGCCCAGCTCACAATCGTCTCCTGTCGCGATCCGACGCAGTGAAGATCAACAGCCGCCGGAGTATAAAATGAGTGGTATGCGCCTGTCCGCCGAATTTCTTTGATGCGATTCTGCGGCAGTGGAACCCGCTCAATCGAACAATCTATTAACCGTCTCGGCAGTCGTGAATGACAGCGGCGTCTATCTTCCGGTACAGTCCCTCTCAATGCGCCGGCAAAAATGCCAATATTGAGGATATGATCACCGCTTACACATAGTAGCCGTCTCCACCTGAGAAGCAAAGCTTCTGGAGTCGTCAGACTGGATCGAAACGCACAACCAATCATCGGGATCTCGTCGATAATAATGAGCCTTTCTCGATATCACGCGAGTCCTTCGACTCTTATCGTCGCTCTTTTGTACGACTACTCCCCAATTCTCATTCTCTGCCGCATATCATCTAAAGCCGCGACTTCGAAGTTGGACAGGGGGCTAACTTAATCTAGGATATTTCGGCGCGTTCCCCAGTGACACACTCGGATGCAGCACCATCGCGCACTTCACTCGACTCCCGCTTCTCCCGCATCACATCGCCAGCGACTCAATCTACGAGTTTCGAGAAGCCCGAACCAATGGAAGAGGAGGTCTTCGAAGACGTCGGATTGACCGACGAGAACAAACCGAAGAAGAAGGGGTTCCTATCCCGATTCGGCGATTCCTCCGATGCGTCGTCACCAAACAGCAAAACGTCTACTCCCTTTGGATTCCACATCCCCGGTACCAGAAAACGCGGCCAAAGCGGGGTTGGGTCGGAGTTGAATCCCATACAACCATCGACTCCAGTGCCACAGGCTTCGACTGGGAATGAGTAGATGAAGTGGTTCATGACACCTCTCAATGATTTTCTTTTTTCTGCGGCGTCCCAGGTATCGCAGCATCACCCTATTCCAAGAGTGATACCCGTTTGAGATATGTTTGGTCTTGATGGATGGCCCACGCATAGGAAGTCGGAAGGGTTCCCTTCGTTTACATTTCGCTGTACATTTCTGTTTTTGACTAGTACTCCATTCTATTTTCCCCTTTGGCTTGGTGTGGGTATTGGCTCATGCCTATCACAGCGGCGGTACCTATATGCCGCGAATTAATGATGAATCAGACATTCTCGAAAGAATCCCAGTGAACGATCTTAAGCCAAATGAATAATTGATAGCAAATAATGTGGCCATGCCTTTTAGTAGTCCTCGAAGATCGACTTGGAGCCGATCCTTATCGGTGCAAACTGCGCAAACAACCGGCAAAAAAAACTTCCTCCGCCTGCAACCCCAAAAAAAATTATCCTTCATCACGCTGAGGATTTTCAGCTTGGATTTCCGCCTTTGGGATTTGTTATTTTTATTTTATAACGGAGACACCGTCGCTCCATTGATTCTACGCTATGGCCGGTATTAAAAGGCCTGTCGAATCCAAGGAGGATCGCAATGGAAAGCGGACCAAAACCAAGCAGGGCTCCGCACCCGCGAAAAAGTCCAAGGTTGATTCGGTGAAGACTTCAGGATCGAAAAGGGACCTGAAGCCCAGCAAGTCGGACAAGAAGGCTTCGAAGAAAGAGCCCAAGAAGAAGGCCCAGAAGGAGGAATCGGAAGACGAGGACGATTTCGACATTGACGATGTGTCTGATTCTGGCGATGATGGACTCGACGACCTTGAGGATATTCCTGAGGGTGATGTTGACATGGAGGATGCTAGCGAAGAGGCTGAAGGTGACGAGGAGGATAGCCACGAGGAACCTGGCAAGAATGGAGAAGTCGTCAAGAGTATGTTACCTGCTTACACTTTGAAAAAAAAAAAGAAAATATGAAAAGAAAAGAAAAAGTGCTAATACCTTTAATTATAGACAACAACAACAACTCGCGCGAGTCACACATTAAGCAGAAGGCCCTCCAGCAAGAGCGCAAAGCCGCCAAGCCCAACGCCGATATGATTGCCCGTTCCAAGAAACTGTGGGAGCTATTGCGTCGCAAGTCTCACGTCCCACTTGAGCAGAGGAAGAAGCTTGTCAAGGAACTGTTTGAGATTATTGACGGCCGCGTGCGGGATTTCGTCTTTAAGCACGACTCTGTACGTGTTATCCAAACCGCACTGAAATACGGCAATCTCGAGCAGCGAAAGAAGATCGCGCAGGAGTTGAAGGGTAGCTATAAGGAGCTCGCGCAAAGTCGCTATGCGAAGTTCTTAGTCGGAAAGTTGATTGTACACGGCGATACCGAAACAAAGGATTTAATTATCCCGGAGTTCTATGGACACGTCAAGCGATTGATCCGTCATCCCGAGGGATCGTGGATTCTCGACGATATCTACCGCACAGTTGCAAGCAAGGAGCAGCGCACAAGGCTTTTGCGCGAGTGGTACGGTCCCGAATTCGTTCTCTTCCAAGATGACAAGGAGAAGTCGGCCGATCTCACCAAGATTCTCGAGGCTTATCCCGAGCGCCGCGCGCCAATCATGAACTTCCTGCGCGAGCTGATCAACCAGCTGATTCAGAAGAAGAGCACTGGTTTCACGATGTTACATGATGCTATGTTACAGTATTTCCTGGCCACCAAGCCCGGCAGCACTGAAGCGAATGAATTCATTGAATTGATCAAAGGTGACGAGGAGGGAGATTTGGCCAAGAACCTGGCGTTCACTCCGTCGGGCTCGAGGGTGATGAGTCTTGCCTTTGCCTACGCTAGTGCCAAGGACCGAAAGCTGCTTCTCCGATTCTACCGAGACACCGTCAAGGTTATGGCTGGTGATCTCCATGGCCACATGGTCCTGCTTGCGGCCTACGAGGTCATCGATGATACCAAGCTGAGCGCGAAGTCTATTTTCCCGGAGTTATTGAACCAGAATGACAGCGAGGATGCTCGTCACGATGAGTTAGTGTATCAAGTGACTGATCTCACTGCCCGAATTCCCGTGTTGTTTCCCTTCGCGGGTGACCGTGCGAAGTGGTTGCTGCCCGAGTTGGATCAGAAGATTCTCAAGGAGGTCCGTGATATTAGACAGGAAACCTCCAAGAAGGACGCGACCGTCCGTCGCCAGGAGCTCGTCAAGGCTGCGTCCCCTACGCTCCTGGAATTTATCGCTGCTCGCGCAGAGACGCTTATGGGGAGCTCATTTGGGTGTCAGTTCATCTCCGAAGTTTTGTTTGAAGCGGACGGCGACAAGAATGCGGCTCTCGCTGCTGTCGCCAAGGCTGCAGGCACCAAGTCCGAGACACGGGATGCAGTGGCGTTTGGCCGCCTACTCAAATCCCTTGTCCAGGGTGGTCGATTTAACCCTGCCCAGAAGACCGTCGAGAAGGTCCAGCCCCCATTAAATTTCCACGGATTGCTGTACGAGCAGATCGCGGACGAGATTGTGGAGTGGGCCACCAGTGACAATGTGTTTGTGATTGTCGCCCTTGCCGAGTCTGACGATTTTGAGAAGCAGCAGGAGCTGCTCAAGACCCTGAAGAAGAACAAAAAGGCCCTTGAGAAAGCGGCACAATCGGGCGAGGGCGAGAAGCCCGGCCCCACCAGCAGTGGTGCTAAGCTGCTCCTCAAGAAGCTATGAGCATCGAGCGATGTATAATTCCCTGAGGTTCTCTTATTACTGTTTCATAGGCGTTGAACGTGACCAAAAAGCATACCATTCGAATTTGTCCATACGGCTGTTAGCGCCCCTTGTGTACAGAGTAGTTCGGCAATAAAAGTAGAGTCCCCACCGAGTGGAGCCGCTTGAGCTTCGAGACCGCAGGTTCAGGGGTTCGGTTCCCAGCAGAAGCACGAGCGCAATTGCATCCAATCCTCGCTTGCATGTCGTGCCTCGCATGGCCCTTGAGCCCGGGGTGCTCCCTAGCGGCAGCGAGATCCATGGTAGCACCAGCAGTAAAGTTGGGCTGGTAAGCACCTTGAATAAATTACCTGTACGGAGTATTCCGTTCGTACTTCTGTATTCTTCACAGGGCCCGTCCTGAATTTTAAGCGCAAGCACAGGCCAGGAGAATGGATCCATTGGCAGACCCCGTAATGAAAATTACTCCAAGGCTTGACCACTGTGGCTTACTCGGAAAATTGATTCTAAGTTAGTTCTACAATGGGGATTGTCACTGGTTCAATTTCATACAGGCGCAACTGAAAATTACCGATGCACACGACACCAAAAGGTGTCCCCAGAGATCCAGGGAGAACAGGGCTAGACCTTGGACGAGTCGAACTCGAAGTTGTCTCAGGAAGTAGCTAATTTCAGATACAAATGTACCCGATGCCTTCAAAGGACTGATGTTCCCCAATCAGGCAATGATCTCATCGCGCTAGCCCCATCCACTCCGTGGACTTAAGGGGTGTGTCCTTTTTTCCCTAGACCATAACGTCTTTCCCTCCTCTGAATCCCCCTCCCCCCCCCCATCTTCGCAAGGCCTTGGGCCACTGTCCCGCATGCCCTCCCTCACACTGACCGACCCGGACATGATCCTGCCCTTCGGCGGCAGCGAGCGCGAATCCTCGACTCCCTCCCCGCCCTCGCAGCTGGTGTATCTCTCCGATCTGAACGCTCGATACAATCCCAATGACCCCCACACGAGTTCTGGCGCTGCCAGCGCAGGGATCACGAACACTCGTCCGAAAAAGAACTTTTCCCGCAATTGGAGCCACGAGGACATTGGTGTCGCCAATACTCGTCGATTGTCGGATATCGGAGAAGAGCTGTCACCCACGCGAGCGGAGGAATTCGACAAACAGCCCAAACAAAGCCAATCAGCTCCGCAGAGCTCGGCTAATTCGCAGACCCAATTGGCACCCATCGACACGGAGCAACAGTCTGCATTGAGTCCTTCCAGTCCTTTGGCGAGTGCGGGGAGCGAACAAACGGCAAGCGGAATTGCCTCGCCGAAACTCAGCCACTCGATCTCGGCGTCGCCGATCCTCGCTGGGAGTAGAAATGAATCGCCGAGCCAGAATGAGATGATGCAGGCCGCTCTCCCAGCAGGTAATGCTATTGCCTCGGCCGCAGTGACGGGTAAAGGTCCTGGAGATGACTTTGCGTCCGCGATCTTGAGCAGCGAAGCTGAGCGGATCCTTGACAACGCAAAGAAGCGACTGACGGTACGTAGCGTATATATTCCCAATGCTCTTTCCCAGGTCTAATTTAGATTGCAGCTCATGGAAGGCAACCTGAATCGAGCTCGGTCGACTGTGCGCTTGACACCCTCCCCGTCACCTTCGTCTCCTGGGTACATTCGGCCTATCAACCCAAATCAGCCAGTGGGTAAATTATACAGAACGTTTTCCCGATCTGATCGCCGAGGCTCTGCGCTTCGACGGCAGTCTTTTGTTCCCTCGCAAGACGCCTTGAACAGCCGACACTCACGGGTACAAAGTGACACGAACTTCCCAGATGAAGCCAGCTTAACACCTGATGCGAAGCGATTATCACGTTCCGTGAGCGCGATGGGCGTCAGCACATCTTCACACTTCCATGACGACCGCTCGTTCCACTACGAGCCCAATCGTGCTTACCTTACACACCGAGCGTCTAATTCGTCTATGTCTATGCATCGTCCTTATGTGGAATTGCCAGCGCCAGCCCAATCCCCACAGCCGGACCAATTACCCCAAATTGCGCAATCATCCAATTCAAACGAAGAATCCTCCTCGGAATCGCCAAGGGGGCTTGGAATCTCGACAGAAAGCGAGTCGAAATCAAGCTCTAGCCCGGTTACCGGCTCGGGTCAACCCAGCCCGGTCTACAGCTCATATGGCCCTCCCAGCCGTGCTCAGTCCCAACTGCAAGTGCGGGACCTCCAGTATCAAATGAAGGGCCTGCACATTAAGATTTCTTCCCTGAAAGTGAAGAACCAAGAGGATAAAATGCGTCGTCGCAGTCTGCAAAGCTTGCGAACTCCTAGCCCCTTGACGGCCGCAGACCCCTGGTATACCAATGGCCTCGAGATGCGAGATGGACGAAGCAGCCGTGGCTCGAATGCAATTCATTCACCTTCAGCGTATTCTCGTGACTATCGCAACTCTAGAGAGCTCGCTTCGACGTATCTCAATCCGTATGGCAATGAACGGAAAGAGAGCCCAGTGGACAACACGCGAGGTAGCCTCACAAAGGGCTCATCCACCGCCTGGGAGAGCCAAGAATCGGCGGGTTCCGATAACCGGGGCGAGACAACAGCGAGCGCCTACGAAGATGCCGAGCAGGGCGATTTTGAGGATGGCGACATTGATCGAGAAGCCTTGGATGAAATTTTGCGCGAGCCGCTCGACGAGGACCTAGAGAGCCCAATGGATGATTCCCCTCTAGGAGCCCAAGTCGACGAGACCCCCCCACGAGGAGCGCGAAGATGCGTTCGACTACGAGCATTTCATCCTCCATAGTGCTCTTGGAAACTACTCGCGCCATGCAAGACATGGATCACACCATTCGAGCGCTGCGCGCTCTCATCAACGCCCTCGGCATGTACGCAACGACAGCAATATCTCCTCCGGTACAGACGCTACATTCGCGACTGCCACTGAAGGAGAGCAGCTACCGGAAGAAGAGGACGAGTTGATGTACTGGGATCGTCGTTTCAACCACGGTGGGTATTGTGTTTAGAATCAATATCAACTAAGACCCAAGCTAACATTGCTTTAGAACTGCGACACCATCACGATCCTGCTCACGACGATGTCGAGATCGAAACTGATCGCTCTGAAACCCCCCGCGGCTACCGCGAGGACGAGAGCGGCGCCAACACGCCCGTAGAAGACCCCTCACAGGCGCACACTGCCCGCGCGGGCGTACGTGACTCGTTCAACAATGGCTCAGCCACTCCGACATCACTCGCCGAATCGCTTGTCTCAACAGTGCGCGCTGCGTCGGCACCCAGCCCGCACCGGGACTCCGCGACGCCGAATTCAGGTGGCATCAACCACGACGACACGCAGATGCTAGAGCAGCTCTTCCAGAGCCTCGGTAATGTCTGCATGGATCTCCAATCCATCACGACATCCCCAACCCCCGACCTTAAGGCTGCAAAGGTTTTGCGGCGACGACTGGATGCGGCGCGGAGGGCTCTGGATGGCGAGCTGGATGCTTAGACGGTGTATATTATCGTTTTATACGTCCGTCACCTCCACTGATCTTATGATTGTACCAAGGCTCTGTTCTCCCTAGTAAACGTCTCCGCATGTCTATACGTCTACACTGTCCCTTTCTTTCCTTGATTCTTACGTGATACCCAGCGACCTTCTCTTTCCTCCCAATTACTTTTTTTTTTTACTTTGTTGTGTTCTATATCCATCTTGTGGCGTATGCTTGTCCTCTGATCCCATCGCTACTAGTAGTTGGAGGACCGTTGTATTAATGTACCATAGTACCCAGGTAATTTTGTTTGCCTGAGCCTGAAATACTAGTAACAGGGCATCTAAGCTTGAGAAGGGAACATGGTACATAGAATACCTGCCTAGCCCCTCCGGGACAAGGTTTATTCCACCAGAGGGCTGATCCACTCAAGCAAGCAGTTGGTGAATGGAATTAAAATCTGTAAGAGATCTCCCATGAGATCCCCATATCATTCAAAATAACACACTGTACAAGAAAAACACCTTCCCTCTATGACTACCCGACCAAGGCGCTTTCCTCACGGTGGCGAGCCCATAATAGCCTCCTGCTGAGGCTGCCCCTGCGCCTGCAGCGTCTGCTCCAGGACAACGGCATAAAACTTCCCCTCCTCTGACGTGTCATGGTAAGGACCGGCGGAGAGCACCGCCCTAGGAAATATCCGTCAGTATATCGCATCCAAGAAGCAACGTAAAACAGAACGCTCCAAGCAAACGAAGCAACGGAGATGCGCCCCGGGAAGAGGACCTATCACATACCATCCCTTGTACTTTGGCTGATTGAACATCTCTGTAAAAACCTTCAAGATGCGTAGCGGCAGCTCCAGTATTGATGGCAGCTCGGGCCCATCGCAGATGGGCAGTCCCAGCTTGTTTACGGGGAGATAGACGATCTCCGACTGGTTTTGCGGGTTGCGCGTCTCCTGGAAGACGAGGAGGCGGCGCGCTGGGTGGTGGAGCTTGCTCATGGTGCTGGTGTGAGATCACTTTTGGAAGATTCGAACAAGAAGGAGACTCTTCTCCACTTTTGTCTTGCGGCCTAGAGACTCGATATCTCAAGAGGGAAGGAACGTCAAAGTCCGCTTGGTTAGCTGCTGCGGGTTCTTTATTCGCTGTCGCGCGATCCAACAGGCCCCCGGATATGGTCCTGCAGATATACCGTTAGTTCCCGGGTGCAAGTAAGTCTGGATTTTGGCATGTTTATTGGGTCATATTACTTTCGTTGGCGCAATGGGCGCGTCAAAAAAATGATGCTTATCGCGTCTGGATCGGCGATCAATGTTCCCGATGCGGGGCAGAAAAGGGGGGGAAGACGCGTCGTGCTTGATTGGGGCACGATCAAGAGACAGATCTGGCTCGAGCTAGATGAATTGTCACAGAACTCTTGGCCTTGAGCAAAAGAAGAATTGAGGAATGTGTCGGTGGATCGTCATGTTAGGTTCTCCCCCATTTGCCGTGTAAAGGTGGGGTGGTCGATCCATGAGTAAGATTTCTACATTCGAACTCATGTAGTTTTGAGCCGATTCTAGACATTGTGAATGCCTTTTATAGGTCAGTTGGTTTGAGAATTTGGGACTAATGTATTTACTGTTGCTCTTCAAGTCTTTTTATGTTATAAACAATTTCTTTTACTGGGGCTAGTTATAACCCCAGGGATATCACGACCGTGAACAACTATAGCAGTACCGTTTTAGTATTAAGGATTATGCCTATCTCTTCAGTTTCAGAGACTAGTAATAGTATAATACATCATTCGAAGGCAATTCGAGTAACTAGCAGTATCGCGCCCTGGAAGCTGAGAGGCAGATATATCAAACACCTTATGAAGTCTACAAGTCTACAGGTGGACTGATAACGAAATTGTTCGATTCCACTGCTCATAGACGATCCTTCATGAGCTTTATTGACCTGAAACGCCCCGGGAGGCAAGCAAATATTAAAACAGGATAGCTAAGAAGATGATCGAGCCAAAATCCAGCTAAAGAGACTCGCACCTAGAACCCCTCAACACCGCACCGGATCATAGACACACAAGGGCAAAGAAAGAAAAAAACAAAGTTCAAATCCAGGTCTCTCTCTTCCGCATTCGAGAGGTAAATGCATTTCTGTTTTGTCACGAGATTTCCACCGGCGAGGACAACGAACCTCCTGAAATAAAGGGCAAAAAGCAAGAAAAGGGAAAAAAAGAAAGAGACAATACAAATCATAGACCCACATTATTCGGAGTGAGACAAAAAGAGATCAAGAGGTGGCCGGCAGAAGCAGGGCTGCACTGTGGCGCAGGTCAAGAGAGCGAGAGTCGGAAGGGTCGAAGATAGCGGACAGGCGGTTCTGAAGGTCAAAGGCTGGAACTTGTTAATATGCAAATGCAACAACGAATAGAGGGGTGATACTTACGAGATACTTGAATCATGTCGAACCAACGGATAGCATTCTCGTCGCTGCCATCAACGGCGCGCAAGGTACCACTCTCGGGGCGGATGGTAGTCTTGGGAGGAAGACTGCGCATACGAAGGAGCATGTGAAGAATGTCCGCGAACCGCTCAGACTGGTTGTAGTAGTAAGGGGGACGCTTGTCCAATGGCCAGCGCTGAGAGAAGCTCTCGTTGTCCCAAGAGCGGAACAACCAGCAGGTGCGCTCCACGCAGTTAAGCAAGATGATGGAGACGAGGAAAGTCTCAAACCAGCCAGTCTTCTGACGCTGGAGGAGGCGCCGCTCAAGGTCGTTGATCACAAGTTTGGCGAGTTGCATAGATCGCTTTTCCATGCCAGCACGGAGCTGGCTGCACAGCAGAGCATAGGACTCTGGGTCCGAAGCTTCTTCAATAGGTAGACGACCCTCGTCGTCGGGCTGGGAGAGAGAGTGCATCGACGTAGGAGGAAGAGTAGGGTTGCAGAAGGTCTTCCAGCCAAGTTCGGTGTCTACCAAAATGTGGGTAGCTACCCAAAGTTCAACTGAGCGCTCAAGCAGGTGGTCCTAAATTATTCTTGTCAGCAATGCTTCTAGGCGATTTCAATAAGGCATAGGCACGGGGCTCCTAATGTTACCTTTTCTGAGTTTCCGAGCTCAACCGCGAGTTGCAAAGTAGACTTCATGAAGTTAGAGGTCTCGCGCTCAATAAAGAAATGGGCCGTCTTCTTGATGTACATCTCCAGCTTGGTCGGGATGTCATCAGCATCAGTATCCAGGAGATAGACCTCCTGGGAGGGGCCGGAAAACTGGTCATCGCCAAGGGCCGACAGTTGGGGGTCGAGGGCTGTGACCGAAGGGCGGTGACCCTGGAGACCGCTGATAGTCACGTAGACACCGCTTTCCTCCAGGTGAGTCACTTCAATGCGGCCAGCATAGTGCTCAAACTTGACCTGGTTCTTGATGGAGTTGGTATCATGGTAAGCAAGCGTCGCGTGCAAATCTATGCGATGTCAGTTTCGTTGCCACAGATCCTATGTTGGTGTTTGCTTACTAGCATTGTACAGTTCGAACTCTTCCGACAGACGAGTTCGAATGCACGGCTGTTTCCAGAGCCGAGCGCTCTCCACACTGGCGCAAGTCGTGCAAGGTGTGTCGCCAGAGCACTAAGAGGTGAGTCAGTCATCTGTAGGGTATCTCAACAAAGGGAGGAAGCTCATACAGGTTTTTTCAGCATTCGGCACCGAATACAGGCGCCTCTCTTGCGCACCTCCTGCACCTCACGACGCCGCTCGGCAGTGAACCGGCCCCGGACCTTGGGCTTCGTCGGCTTGGTCGAGTTACCAAATTCGTTGACGAATCCTTTGGCCTGGGTATTGGGATTCATCGCAATCGGGCGCGGGTAGGAGGCGGCGCGCTGGGTGGCGGTTGCGGCGGTCAAGGACGGATCGTGTTCCTGCAAACTGTCAAAGAGGAGCTGCTCCTGGGTTGAGAGCTGCTGAGGCCATTGGCTCAGTTTCATGTCATGATCCCCGTCCAAAGGCGGAAGCCCATGTGGAACCATCTCGCTAGCGGATGCTGCAATCATCGACAGCTGGGACTGACGCGCGTTAGAGGTGGACTCGGGGGTCATGGAGTGATCACCAAGAGGGGGAGACATGGAGGCATGATCGCCGGAGGTGTGACTGGGAAGAGCCGGGATAGAAGGAGGGTTGGAGGCTTGAGGAGTTCCTGCTGATGAGAATTGATTGTTAGTGCTCCGGACTGGGGTCCCACAAAAACTGTGACCGGCGTGCGACTGACCTTGCTGGCCTTCCTCTGACTTCTCCTCGGCCGGGACCTGGAAGCCCTCGGCCTCAAGAGCAGGATCTACGACAACAGTCTTCCCACCCACAGTCACAGACTGGGTGTAGTTGGGACCACGCTTGGTCTGGTCGGACGCACCAACCTGGCGGGAAGCCTCTGCCAAAACATTCAATCCGTCAAAGTTTGGACGGTTGGGGAACGAAGAATCACCCTTTCCCTTCGCATTGGGATCCTTGTTGCCGTCGCCGTCAGTCAAGTCGGGAAGCTCGTGCAGTCGGAGGAGCACACGCTGGCGGTCGCGGAGGGGGATGGCCTGGCACTTCTTAACCAGGTGATTGGTCAAGCTGTCGATGCGGCCCTTGGGGAATTTTTCACCGCATGCCTTGCAGGTATGCTGGTAGCGGTTGCTCGAGTCTTCCAACTTGGGACCTCGGTTGAAGAACTCAAGAATGAGTTGATTGGGCTTGCGACCCATTTTGGAGACAGCGGGAGCGATCAACCCACGGGGCGTTAACGGGTTTGTGTCACGCAGCAGGCCTGAAAATTTGTCTTGGTATGCTTGTGGTGGAGGCTGCCTTGGTTCTATTGTCGCTGTCGCAATAAACCGAGATTCCGGATCGGTATGGATGAGACGCGACGACCACAACAATCACGGGCGCGATTGGGCGGGATTCGACCGGGGAGGAGGTGAGGAGGGGCGATAGCTAGGCCAGTGACCAGCAACCGCACAGTTTAAGGGCCAGGGCGTGGCCTAAATCGATTCTCGCGAAAGAATCAAGTCGTAGCGGCAAAACTGATGAAACTTGGGGGGCAGTTGGGGCAGTTGGAGGGCGGTCTGACGGTCGCAGGGGAAAAAACAACACGACGGCTTCACCGCACGCAAGGCGGTGATGACACCACGAAAAGGCGGTGATCCCTCGTGAAGGCGGTGGAAAAACGTCGAGTGGACAAGAAGCAATAACAAACGAAATAGGAGAGGTGGACAACGGGGGGAAAGTGGCAGGCAGGAGAGCAGAGAAGAGAGACAAGTCGATTGTGTCACAGGGGAAAAGAAAAAAGGAGGAGAGAAATCTCTGAACTGGCGGCACCTGCAGCGATGATTCTATTTGGCTTTGCCTCACCCACTCTTAGATGAGCACAATACAGTCTACATGATCACTCTACAAAAACAGTAGCGAGTAAATTCCGCAATACGGCTGGTCTGAGTAACAATAGCAGGTATTTCTGAGGCTTGCTGGCCCATACGTAAGCAGTGAATTCGACGTTCATGGTATCTTGAGTCATCAATCCTGTCCCGGGCGTCGTCACCGTCGGTCCGATCTACTGTGTACATGATGTTCCCTAACAGATACGGTGCTCCGGTGGCCGCCAGGCACACCCAACAACGCAAAAATTCGTTTCTCATCCCTTCCTTCAAGCAATCGACCGGGATTGGTCTTCATCTGCCTGGAATCACGGAGTACATTAGCGAAAAGGCCCCGCTGGTTCAGACAGAGCCCTTTTTTCCGAGCAAGCAGTCGCATGCTCCTATTGAAGATGTCGTTCCTGTGAAATACAGCAAAGCTGCTCCAATCTCTTCACCCGGGACAAATAAGAGGTCGATTCGACGCCATACCTTGCTACCGGGTAGGCTTGACGCTCCATGCCACTTAGATCCATCGTGGCCAAGACGCCTGGGTGTGGCCAGCCCGACCTGGAGAAAGCCATCACGGAAGAGCTGAGGAATCACAACATCCACCATTAATGACCTAATCTGCTCAAGTGTAGCGTCGGGCTTTGTGATCAAGCAATCGATATCCCCCGAGTCGAGAGCCCCGCGGCGGTAAGAGCCCGCGACAATTACCTGCATATCTTTGTCCGCTGTTTGGACCGCCTGGCACACGATTGCCCGTGGGCTTCCACCTCCTTGCGTGGGATCCGCAATGCGAAGTCATGGTAACGATCAACTCCAATTTGTTGGTTTTTGGTCAATGGAGCTCTATCGCGAAGATCACTGAGCGAGCGGTATCCTTGAGCAACCCAGTCCGAGGCCTGACGGAGGCCCACGCCGTATATTCCAAGAAATTCCTGGATAATACGATCCTCTTCAGTATTGCTGGTGTTATCTATTTGGCGAAGGTGGTCCGTGAGAACTATCTCCTCGATTTTGTCCGCAATGCGTGGGCCTATGCCTGGAATCATCTGTGCCTGGGTTCGAGTGGTAATCTTTTGCGTTTGTCTGCGAAGGGCTGCAATAGCTTTGCGATAGCCCAAAATATGCCAGTGGTCTGCATTCCGGGTATAGTAATCTAGCATCTGCTGCAGGACGTCGATAGTCCTACTATTTGGATTATCACGCCGGGCAGCTGGGTTGTATTCCTCCATACACGCGAAACTTTGCGCCCACGAGCCGGCAAGTTTTTTACCTCTCTGCGCGCCTGGAACATCTTCCTGTTCAATGTCCGAGACCTCGGACTCGTTGCCTGATTCGTCTGTCTTGGTCTCGTCCGCAGAGTCGTTTGCGTCGATGGGCTACACGCACAATCGGTTAAATACAAGCCATCCTGCGAGAGTTCCGCCTAGTACATACCAAATGGCTCGTGGCCTTCGTTTCGTTGATGATGTCATCCAGTGCGTTGCTTTCACCAGCTGCCGCATCAATATCTTTAGAGCCACCTTCCTTTTGGACAGTCTCACCCGCTGGCACAGCTCTTATTGCGTATGCAGCATCCACGCTACTCTCAATGGATTGCTGAGATGTCTCCATGTTCTGTTCTCGCCTGGACTTTTTCAATGGAGGTGAAGCGGCAGGCTTGGGCTCGGTTACGACGCTTTTCGTTAACGGTGGCTGCTCAGTAGGAAGTAGAGTTCCAGTCACTCGAAAACGAGCTTGAGAAGGATTTATAACTGTTGAGTACTTAAGACACTCTGGCGGGTAAGTGTCATTGACAATGGCAATATTTTCCTGCCCGGTCAGCCAACCTTGAGCATAACTCAGCCGCAATGTTAAGGTCCTACTAACAGGAACAGACTCCAGCTTGAGATGGACGACCAGGTCTTGGTAGGAAAGATCCTTGTCAACGATCACATGCGTTATAGTCGATGACCACTCTCGAGCCCATCGGGCACCGTACTCCTGCGCTCGCTGAATGCGTAATCGACGCAATGATGAGACATCATTGTTGGGGAAGAAGACTATGTGGTCAATAAAGGCATGAAAGCAGTTGTCTCTGGAGTACCTACAGAAAACGAGGTTCTTGAAGATCTGCTTCCCTTCTGGAACGACTTTGGCATTGCTCACCTTCCTCTTCTTTGAGGCTGGGCTGGCCTTTGTCCCAGGCATACTACTTGTGGAATAGGAACGGTGTGCACTGTTCAATTTGAGTGATACCGGCTGGTCAGTTGAATGCTTTCTGTTACCCTTGGAATGTTCTTTCAAAGGCTCGAGACTTGGGGCCCTTTGATTACAGGCAGATGGCTGTGGGTCAGAGTGAGCTCGAGCAAGCAACACGGGTTGTGGCTTAGAGGCGACAAGATCAGGTAAGGTTGGGGTGATAGATTTTTTTGAATCTCGGGAGCTAGTGATGAGGAGTTGCCTTGACAGATCATCCTCATCATCAGTATCATCTGAGTGATCGAGATGCTCGAGCGCCGTGAAGAAACTTTTCTTGGTGAGTGATTGCCCCGCCATAGCTAATCCGGGATCAGGAGAGAGAAGGCCTGTGTGAGCCATGGATCATGCATGGCAGGAATTTAGGCAGTGACTGAGATGAGATCACAGCAGTCCGAATCGTTGGCGAGGGGATCAACCGAGGGTGAAGGTCGTGCCTTCCATGGACGCGCCTGGTACGCGAAAGCGACACCAGGTCACGGGACTGCCAATTTTACCTCTTTAGGCAGAATTTGGACCCCATAGCCAATACTTGCCTAGGACGGATACGTAGAGATATGGTGACCTAAGATATAGCGCGATTTGGATAAGTAAAGTCAATAGGAATCTCTCAAAGTAGACTATAAGGGTTCAGTAGTTCCATATTAAGGAGAATATGATATTTCGAAGGGCACAGCTGGGTTACATATCCGTAGATCTCTTAGCTACACAGGCTACAATTGATTTATCTGAGTATGAACGATAGCCTAATGAGTCACGATCCTCGGAATTAATTGACAAGCGATCCTTTTTTTTGTACATCAGCCTCAGGTGTGAAATCTACCAATCATATCGAGTATATCCCTGTTCACGCGTGCATGACCTGCAGCAAACTATATCATGTGATCGACAATCCCGTTCGGGGAGTTGACCTCGATCGTGCATTGAACTCGGACCGTGTGCACAATTTGACAGGTTTCAATTGACGCTCCATCGACTGGCCAAAATGTGGAAGCCGTCAATACCTATTCGACTAGCAGCAGAAACATTTTTGCTCCAGAGCCGCTGTCTACGTTGCCAGTCACGCAACCCGCCGCTCTTCGCCCTTCGCTCAAACTCTGTACGTTATTACGCTTCACAAGATGCGCCAAAAGGTCCAGAAGATAGCAAAACAGAGGCGCAAACTACAGCACCGCGATCATTTGTAGACCCGAAAAGCCTGCAAAATGACAAGCCATTTCAGCAAAATCGAACCGCAAACCCCAGGCCATCATCTAAGCCTGGAGATCCGGACTTTGTGCCCCCGATATTGAGCCGTCCAATTGGCGTGGCAGCTCCTCCTAGAGAAGGGGAGAACACTGGTATTGATCCACGGACGCTTAGGCAAAGGCGCGATGACTTTGTCGACTATGACAAGCACTTGGCCCGTCGGAAGGAATTGTATGTTGAACTGTCGCAACAAAGTCAAAGACATCTGACAACAAAAAGAGGCCCACGCTAACCAACTTCCCAAACAATAGAACACGGCAGGTCGCAAAGCCCTATTTCCGAGAATGGTCCAACCTCCAATACCACAAGGGTAAGACCTTCGTGTCCAACCCGCGGCTCTTCCGAGGCGACAAAGCCCTCTACTTTCCCAACCTCCACGGAATCACTCTCGCCTCACCCAAAGACCCCCAAAACACCACTACGGTTCTGCGGGGCCGGGTCAGCATAATAAGCCTATTCTGCAGTGCCTGGGCCGAAGAACAAACGAGCACATTTACCGGCCGAGAGAAGAACCCCAAGCTCACCGAATATTTGGCTGCAAACCCCAACTATGCGCAGCGAGTAGATATCAACCTGGAACAGAACAAGATGCGGTCGTGGCTCGTGAAGCTGTTCATGGGAAACCTGCGCAAGAAGATCCCCAAGCAGGAGCACTCGCGTTATTTCTTGATCGAAAAGGGCTTTGACGAGAAACTGAAGGAGGCCGTCGGCATGATGAACAACTTCGTCGGCTACGTCTATCTTGTTGATGCTGATTGTCGGATTCGTTGGGCGGGCAGCGGCCCTGCTGCTCTGGACGAGTTGGAGACTATGCATAGCTGTTTGGAGAAGTTGGTTGCTGAACAAAAGGCCTCCGCCAAGCTGCCTAAGATAACCGTCTCTTGATATGTTTCTCTGCATATATATGGCATGCTTAAGGTACTGGTACTTGCATTTGGAAGGTTCCCATGTACGGGTAGCACGGATCCCGTCTCCATTGGATTTGTACATAACTGTGTAGAAATAGAGAATGTGTATAATAGAAATGAAGCATCGGACGCCGTTTCAAACCCAGGTGCAACTTATCAATCCCGCTGAACAGGGATCCCGAAAGGAAGATCCGCAAGCCCCAGACGCCTTGGAAGAAAACAATGGAACCGAGCCGCCTGCTGAAGCAATAGGCGAAATAACGAAGGAAGCAGATGAACTAATTGGGGTATGAGAGACTGAATGACCTCGCTTCACCGGAAGTAGAGCACCATTAAGAAACAGAAGCCAATAAATGCGCCGAGGATGATAGCATCCCTCCGCTTCTTGGTACCAATCTTGCCCATCAGATAATTCATGCCTGGAACCTGGCTAGCAGCACCGACAATACGTCTATTGATACTAGCTAGAGTCTCCCGCTGAACACCAAAGTTCTCATTGATTGCGTAGGCCTGACTGAGAACACCGTCTATCATGTTGTGGCTGTTTTCGACTCGTCCCCGCTCCTCGATCATGTACTCGGCCTCAGCAGCGCTGGGATTTGAGGCGCGATAGGCGTCGATATCGGAGCGTACATTGGAGAGGAGGTTTGCGCGGTCACGCGACTCTGCGATGGCAGATGTCAATCGTTGGAGCTCGCGGCGGTGGTCTGCAAGGATCTCGCGATGGCGTGACAGGTTATTTTGCTTCAGGGCAGAAGAGGTCAGGGTAGCTTCTGAGTCGAGGAGACGGGAGAGTTGAGCGATGAGTGCATCACGCTGTAGTTGGACAGACACAAGTCAGCTACATTTCAAAATCTGGGGCCGTATGCAGGTGGCGGGCCATACTCGTTCGAGGAGATCTTTCAGCTGGGATTCAATACGCAACTCTTCTTCCGTAGGATTTGGTGGAGGCTTGGTAAGGAAGAGAACTGTGCATAAGTGTGGAAAAGGTTCTCGGTCTACTCAGAGCTCCAGTCAGCGTTCAAGTTTGGGGGGGCATCTATCGGCCTCGGTTGGAGCAGCTGGATATATACCTGAGTCTCTAGAGACCGGGCCTGTTGGCGGAGCTGTGCCCAGCCAGAGCCGGTGGACGTCATTGATGTCAAGATATGAAGATGACCACTGGAATGTGCAACGCTTCAGTCCACTGTCTTAAGCACCACGGCCACCTCCAACGACGTAAGGCCACTGCGCTGGGGCACCGCCTGCGCTAGTCCCGTTTAGGCCGATTCCGTTTCTTGTCTCGACACCTGGACTACCAGGCCGCAACAAGAAATTTCCCATCACGTGCCCACAATAGTCCGACTCGCTTAGCCCTAGTCCCACAACCAACAATTTGCCCCGACCCGGACATCTTCAATTCTCAACGCCGACAACCCAGCACACACAACAACCACCATGGTACGTGCTCCATACTATCGCTCCTCGAAAAACACATCACTGACGGTATTTTTCTCCTATAGTCGTCCAAGGTCAAGGCTGGTCAGCTCTGGGGCAAGAACAAGGAGGAGCTCTCCCAGCAGCTCGAGGAGTTGAAGACCGAGCTTAACCAGCTCCGTGTCCAGAAGATCTCCAGCGGCGCATCTACCAAGACTCAGCGAATGTGCGTATTCGATTCCGATTCCTTCCCACGACTGGACTTGTGACGAGGCTGGAAGAGGGGCTTGTGCGATCGGGCGACATAACACGCGGGAAAAAAGTATCCATACAAGAGGAGGTAGCCATGCAAATCATGGGAAGGACATCACACAAACGACACAGACGATGCACTCGCCCTGAAAACAACCAACTCGCTGGATCCGGACACTACAAATTATATTTGCAGAAATACTGACCTGGGATTCTACCCTACAGCTCCGATGTTCGCAAGTCGATCGCCCGTATCCTCACCGTCATCAACGCCAACCAGCGCGCCCAGCTCCGCTTGTTCTACAAGGGCAAGAAGTACCTTCCCCTCGACCTCCGCCCCAAGCTCACCCGTGAGTTACGCCGCCGTCTCAGCAAGTACGAGGCTACCCGCACCACTGAGCGCCAGCGCAAGCGTCAGATCCACTTCCCCCAGCGCAAGTACGCTGTTAAGGTACGATAACTCCCGATGTGAGCGTGGGAGGTTTTGTTCGCCAGATTCGCTCTTCGGGTGAAATCATCCAACCGCTATACATCCATATACTTCTGGCTATGGATTGGTGCTGACAAATTTCAACAGGCTTAAGTGAAACAAAAAGGAAAACTTTCATCGGATCTGGAGTTTACTGGGAAGACGTACTTGCCCTTGGACACATAAAGCAGGACGTGTGATAGTGTGGACCTGATACCTCGCGGCAGAGTCGATTTTCTCTTTTTTTTTACATCCAAAAAATGATTTTTTGATTATGTATCTTAGAAGGATGCAAATCGACTCTTGACATGACATGACATTAGATCTTTCTTCAACTTCTTAAAGTAACACTCATCTGGATCATTATGATATTTCAGTCATGGGACTGGTACCATAACGGCTTTCTACTTTCTCCGGGTAGTGGCCAGCCGAACATATACCTATACTACATACTATATTAAAGTTTGTTCACTTCCGGAACACTATGGTAATCCTAGCAGTTCATACGCATTGCGGAAAAGAAGTTGACTGCATGGGAATCTATATAGAACTATTAATAGTAAAGCGCGACGTCAACTAAGCCTATGCAACAGCTACAGGCGCCGGTGTCCTAACAGCCGAAGACTGCCGCTGGCGCTGTTGATGCTGATGCGAGCCATGTCCAGCACTCTGCGCAGTGGCATCCTCCGGCTCAATCATCCACATCCCTCCACAAGGGCAAGAGCGCAGAAGATTGAGCTTCGCGGCCATTCTGAAGTACGGCAAAGAGCGCGGCAACGTAGTATCTCCCGAAACTTCACAGCAGCGTACACACCGGCGCCTTTTCTGCGGCTGCACAGCGGCATTGTTTCCAGAAACCGATGCACGTGGCCTGAGCACGGCCTTCTTGAGCATATCGACGTCTCGAGTGCGGCGGAAGGTAAGAGTGCGAACGTCACTGCCGAAACCCAGCCAGCTGTAGTCGCCGAGAACGATTTCTTTGCGATTGATCTCGGCCTTTATCGAGGGCACGGTCGACTTCAGCAGGGTTGCGACGGCTGTGACGAGGACAGGCGGGATGCGCGCATTGACAAGGAGTTCCTTTTCTGGAGCTGGGCGTTCGTTGTCACCGAAACCGGAGCCTTGGTAGGCGTGTTTCACAGCGGAGTCTACGCCGGCGATGAATTTCTCGTAGATGTCTACTCGGACGGGGGAAGATGCGAGAACTTGGCAAATCTCGGTGTAATATATACGTGCTTCATTGGGAAGCGACGCTGGGTTGATATTGGAGAAGCCTGCCTGGACGCCACGGAGACCACGGCAGGTGAAACGGATGAAGGCTCGAGACATGCTTGAGAGGAGGATGATCAGAGGGAGAGAGTTGGTGGTTTTCACTTTGGAAGAGCTGTTAGGAGAAAAAAGATTGCGGGAGGAAGACTGCTTTGAGGTCCTTACGCTTTTGTGTGAAAGCTTCCTGGTCGGTGAACAGACCGTCGAATTCATCAGCTAGATCAAACACCTCGCTTAAGAGGTAGCTGGCGAATGACAGGGCCCATTTAGTGTTTCCAAGTATCACTCGTAGAATTTCTGCAGGTGCTGTCAGTATAGAATCTGGTATGGAAGTCAGCGAGACTTACCAGGATCGAGTGCCTCGCCTTGTCCTGCCTTTCCATGCTGAAAGAAGAACGCAATCAACACCGCCGCATGGCGGAGCTGAATGGTTGCCCATGTCACAGCAGATGACAAGGTGCGAGGCTTGACACGTCCCTGAAAGCCCAGGGCCGCTTGCAAGCTTAGACAGCGAGGAATGTAAGGATGGCTCATCAACTTTTCTTGTTCTACTGTGAAGTTACAGTTGACGGGCAACGCGCGATACACCTCACCAACGAAGGTTGAAGCAGCCTCTTTAGACATTGTTAGCAGGTATATACCGGGGTTTGAAGCAGAGTGACATACCAGGTGTAAGTTGCCTTAGAGCAACTGTCAAAATGTCATCAGTATTGACATCAGCTCCACAGGCACGACTGAAAGTGAGTGTAAGTGCTGCGATGGCCGCGGAGAATTTGGCTGGTTTCAATTAGTCACCGCATCTTTTGTGAGTAAAATAGGTCACTTACATTCGTCAAAGACTTCTCCAGTTGACCCAAAGGTGTGCTCCATCAATCTCAGACGTGGCTGGCCCTCTGAGTCCAGGAAGACCGAAGCGCATGCATTGGGGGAAAAGGTAATGGAAAGACCAGGACTATCCATGGGATAATGAAACCCGGCCTGTGCCAGACAGGTCACTGTACTGGGATCATCTAATCCATTGAAGATGGCCATTGTCCGAATATCGTAGAACGTGATCGAACTGTCCTCAAATGTAATAGCCAAAGCATTCCCATGTTCCACTGCGTCCACGGAAATGATATACTTATCGCAATAGATATCATCCAGTCGCCGGAGGCCTATTTTTGATTTGGGCTGAGCATTGCTTTTCTTTGACGATAACTCATCGAATTTGGGGTGGAGGGCTTGGGGTGAAGTCTCTAACTGCCACCGCACAATGACACTCGATGGACCCTGCTGATCGGGATATTCGGGGGTTGCATGAAGAGGCTTTGAGAAGACTGCGAGGACCCAAGGGCTGGATGTTGAACCAGTGGGGCTGTCAATTTGACCGGGCATAACTTCGAGTCGCGATAAAGAATACGCTAAGTTTTGGAATGGCAACTGCTGGTCTGAATGTTCCTCCATACCCCGTGGGGTGGTTGAGATGGTGGCAGGAATGTCGATATTGCAATGCCTGAAATGGAAAGAGGGTATTGGAAAAGAGGCTCCCTTCTTTGCAGCCGCCGCATCCCATTGTTGTGGGTTCCAGCTAATTGATACTCGATAGAGGCACATTTTCTGGCACACGGAGTACGTAGCAAGAAGAATTCCAGCTGAAGTCGGCACCATAGACGCATGGGTGAGCAATCTGTCTGAGTATCCTGTGTTTTTAAGCTCTGCAGGTAGCTCGGCCCATTTGTTGTCTGGATTTTGGTATATGAGCCGGATTTGGCCTGCCCGAAGACACAGTAACCAGGGCATTCTTGTTGGCTGGGTGAAAAGGGCCTATAGGGCGCCTTCGAAATGGCGTGTGACCCCATCGGCCACTCACTTTGGCTGCTTGATGGAAAGCATGGACCTGCTGATAGTCAGATTTGACGGCTGTCATCCGGTTGCTTGGGAACATACCATGCGCTGGGTGCTCAGCCACATCAAGCCCACTATTTGGTTACTATCATCTCCAGCATCAACTGAAGCGGTACGAGTACCAGTAATGCTGTTTAAAGCGATGGAGATGGAAAAAATTGAAAGCCGTCCCATACAATCAACAATGGCAACCTCGGAGCCGACTTCATTCCATGACAAATGAACAAGCTGATTACCGAGGTGGGTTTCTGAAACGATTGGTAGGGGAGTTTCTTCACTCAGCTCCCACTTTCCATCCGATGCATTGCTCCGGAGATGGCGTACACTGACACGCAGCCCATCGGGCGAGATGTAGGCGATGCACCCCAGGCGGGACCAGGCAATTTTCCTATATTCAGAGTTAGCCTGGAACTACCAATAGATTTAATAATTAGAAGTGAGCCCTACTGGCAGCAACCTGACAGGCGCATCTCATCAAGCGATTGCGCTAATCCCTTCGTTGGGCGTAGTGTGGTGGGCAAACCGAGTCCGAGCGAACTCGACTCCCCGAAAAGATCATCAACGCTTAAACCTTGGTCCATGATCATTAGAACAGCCTGAGCTCAAGACTCAGCTGAGACTCAACCCTGTATATTGGCCGAATGGAAATTCGCCCCCGCATCACCTGCGTGCCGGTCTAGACTCCGCGCGCGTTGAGAAGATGATGACCGGGGAATTCCGTTGGAAAGTGGAGATCACACAGATCCAGAATCAAAGAAGAATGGAAACCCAGTTCGCTTGATGTATCTCTCCTGGGGGTGAGTTAGGAAAAATTTTGAAGGGTCCCGTTTCTTGTAGAGCCTCCCACTCTAGATCTCAGCGAATCCCACTACTATCAGACACTCAATACTCTATATTGTCCTCGAGTCCAACATCAACCTTCAGGTTTAGTCACCAGCTGTGTCACGTGAGGCGGCTGGTAGCCCTGCCAACGGTGTCTGGCCAACCACAGGGCTATATAAGGGCCCACATATGGTTCCTCCAATCAGAGGTTTCCTCACGGGCATCGAAATCGCCGCAACATGAAAACTGCCCATACAAGGATGCAAAACACAAGCAGGAACAGTCTGCTAGCTTCAATGGATTGGTCTCTTTTTCGCGTAGATGCTCCAACCCCCTCAACTCGCTTTCTGTAGCCCCCATTGCCCCCCAATTTGGACCCGGTCGCGAGCAAACGGCCATTGACGGACGGAACCATAGAAAGTGCCCCCCAAGTTTTGTCCAAGTCGAGGGTTCTTTTATCAAAACACGCGCATCATCGACGTGCGGCCCACCCATCCTACCGGCATACCAACACACCAACGCACCAACGCAACAGCGCATCGCCGTTGTTCTTCACAACCACATTCCTGGCGACTAAATCCTCTGGCTCCCCGTGGGTCAAAAGGTCCCAGAGGTCAAAACAAAGATCTGACCGGGCCCGTCTGTGGTTTTCCCTTTTTTTTCCCTCCCTGGCACCTTTTCCGGTCTGACCCCATTCACTTTAATATCGATCTCCCCTCTCCCCTCCAGCACCTGACCTCATATCTGTAACTCTCCCCTTTCCAACTCTCCTCCACCACCCGGGTTCATTGGTTAAACCATCCCCCATTGAAGAAATTTGGGCTCCTTCTTGCCAATTCCCTCTTCCATGTTCACTTTTGAAGTTCCCGTCTCGTCCCGCAAATTACGTTTCTGCTCGCTTCCCTCTCGGCGAAGCTGAAAACCCAGGGGCGCAGTTGCACCTTCCATCTCACCCTTTCCCAACTCTCGTCGAAATTTCTTTACACATCTGACCATGGATTCGGAGACGTTGTCAGACGTGTCGGACTTGAGCTCCGTGCCTTCTTCACGTGAAGCCTCCCCGTCGTTAGAGTCGGCGGTTCGGTACCCAACGCCTTCTTCTCAGGATGAGGATTCTACGCGCCAAGACTTCTCGCTCTGCCCGCTCGCGGCGCAAAAGAGGAGACGTAATCCGCTACCAAAGGAGCGCACCACCCAATATCTCGACCTAGCCAAATCATCCTACACACAGAAGGCGGAGACCGAACTACTGGTCAAAACTATACGTCATCAAAAGGACATTGTCGTGATCGCCGGCGCCGGCATCTCTACCTCGGCGGGTAGTAAGTTTCCCATCTCCCTTGGCCGCCTACAATGCGGGATATAGTCTCACACACGTAAAAGTTCCCGACTTTCGCTCCGCGGATGGTCTCTTCAAGTCCCTGCCCAAAAAGTACAACTTGAAGGCCTCGGGTAAGCTACTTTTCGATGCTGCCGTCTATCAAGATGAGAACCTCATGGCACCTTTCCACGAACTGGTCCGATCACTCCACTCTGAGTCTGCAAAGACCCAACCCACCAAATTTCACAATATGCTCGCGCGCCTAGGAAAGGAGAATCGCCTTAAGAGACTCTACACCCAGAACATCGATGGGATCGAAACTTCCATGAAACCCCTGGAGACCGAAATCCCTCTTAGCAATGTCAAAGGCCAGTGGCCAGTCACGATCCAACTCCACGGCAGTATCCAGAAGATGATCTGCCAGAAGTGTCGCACCGTGTGTGACCTCATTCCCCGAGAAGTTCCTAGCCGACCCGCCTGAGTGCCAACAATGCTCAGAGGTGGATGAGACTCGCCAAACCATCGGTCAGCGCAGCCACGGCGTCGGGCGCATGCGGCCCCGGATTGTCCTTTACAACGAATACAACCCCGACGAAGAAGCCATCACATCCGTGATGAACGCAGATGTCAAATCTCGCCCCCGCGTACTCATCGTTGCCGGGACCAGCTTGAAAATCCCAGGAGTCCGTCGTCTGGTTAAAACCTTGTGCCCCATCATCCGTGGTCGCAAGGATGGCGTCACCATGTTCATTAACAATGAGCCCCCAGTTGGCAAGGAATTCGAGGATTGTTTCGATTTAATCGTTCAAGGTTCCACCGACCAAGTCGCTGATTTAGTACAATTAAAAGACTGGGAGGACTCTGCGCCTTATACCGCGCCACTACCTGAGCCCGAGTTTGGTCCGCGACCGGAGAACGAGACTTCTGACTTGGAGCAAGGCAAATCCGGTGAGAATGTTGCTGTCGTCATACACACTCCCAAGAAGCGGCCTCGCAGTGATACTGGCCTCTTGACGCCCTCGAGCCGCGACGGTTCATCAATGGAACCACCGTCCAAGACGACAAAGATCGCGAATCCAGCCAGCCGTGGTCGTCAACTCGCCGACGTCCTAGGCAATAAGAAACCCAAGGCTGCGTCCGTCAAGGGCCGCAAGAAGGCACCTGCAGCTACGATCAAGAAGCCTAAGGGTAAGGCTGCACCGACGACGGCACCGGCGGCGAAGATCACAAACTTCACCAAAGTTACCAAAGCCAGCAAGGCTCCCGTCTCGTCTGGCAAGAAGGCAGCCCCCAGCAAGACAATGCACCTGGTTACAGCTACTCGGAAGAATGTCATGTTCCCTGGCCTCGTGAAGAAGGCTGGAGTCTCCGAAATGGATTCGATTGATCCCGCGTCGCTCCCTGATTCTTTGCCCCTGGTTGCACCTTCGTCCTAAAACTGCGTGGACCCCGAAGTCTACTTTCAGTTTTCAACCTCACCACATATTACCTCTTTTTTTCCTCTTTCGGATCTATTATGTCATGGTGCATGTCGGGCGCTCTGGGGTTTTGTTTCCGTTTTTCTTTTTTTTCTTTTTTTTTTTTATCTGTCCCTTTGAAGAATCATGGCTTGAATTTGCCGGGGATTATCTGCCTTTTTCTTTGTTATCCCCATCCGTCTTCTTGAGAGATACCACCGATAGAATACGGTTCATTGCATCCGGAGGCGTTGGCGTTCTGGCCTGGGGGGGAGGGCTTGCTTCATTTCAAAACAAGTGATATGTCTTAATGTGATCTTGCTCCATTATCGATGTGCTCCTCGCATGAGTTGAGCCAGTCATAATTGTATAGTTCAAGTTATGAGACATACATGCCTTTGGCAACTCGATTTCTCGGATCATGACCTGGCCTATGCAAATTGAGTAGACGTAGTGCACTGCCCTTCTCAACTACTTCGAAAATCCACTGCAGATACCATTTCGCACCTAATACCGTATAGTGAGTTGAACCTGAGTTCAAGAAAATCGATCAAGAAACCGTTCGTCATTATTTGTATCATACAGCAACGCCAACCATGCTGATCAAACCCACCACAAGAACTCAATATCTTAGCCAAGTCCCATGTCATCGCGCAACTGACTAGCAGGCCCATCCTCATCTTCTGTCTCCTCGGCATCCGGGTCCATCGGCCTCGGCGCCTTGTCTAGATCCTCCACCCCATCAATGTCGTCCTCGACCCGGTGGCTCTCCTCCTCTTCCTCTTCTTCTTCGTCCTCGTGTTCGTCTTCTTCCTCTTCCTCCTCAATATCTTCTTCCTGGGTCTCGTCCCCTTCGCCACCCCCGGCCCCTCCAGCAGCACCACCCTCGGAAGCGCGCTTCACCCGCTTAGTAGGATTATCCAGCATCTCCACATCCTCGTCCCCATCGTGTGGCGCTACGATCCCTGAATCGCCCTCTCCAGTCCCAGACGCGTCGCCTGCACCATTGCCATCGCTCTTCTTTGCCTTGCGCTTCCCGGCCTTGATCTCCATGTAAGCTTCCAGCTCCTGCTCGAGACGGCCGCGAAACTGGTCGAATTCGAGGTCTGTCAGGGCGGCGAAGACATCTGAGGGGGCAAGAGTGCGTTTCAGGGTGGCATCGTTAGCACTGCGGTAGTAGTGGATCAGTATTGCTTTTTTAAGTGCCAATGCGACAATGGGACGCCTGTGTAAGCGAGGATAGCTCTCGTCCCGGCCAGTGAAACTTACTGCGACGAGAGGTAAGACACGAACACCGTCGCGGCCTTCTGGATAGCAAGCACGGCATCCTTCTGGATCGTCGTATTAGGTGGAAGGACCGATTTAGCGAGACGGACTGTGAGCGAGCGCGGGAGGAGGTAGTCCTGAAGAAGTGGCGTTAGTGTTTGGAATCATGGCCGCCGGATTTTCCAGCTCTCGTCTAGAAAGGGGAATGGTGCCAATTATCCAGGCTGCATCCAATGCTTACTTCGACGCTGACGCCCAGCTCCGCCCGCGCCTTGAGCTGCTGCTCTGTCGCGGTAATGGGTTTGTCTGTGGGCTGGATTGGAGACAGCTGTGAGGTTTCGTCCGCCTCCGCCGGGGTCACGGAGGAGGTGGATTTGCGCGGTGGCATATCGGGTGGCTCTCTAATTGTCTTTGTTTGACAGAACGAGAAAAGGAGAAAGGCCAGGTACGATGTTTGGCGTTGAGTTTGCGGAGGGGAAGTTGCCGAAACGCGTCAATGGGCGATTCGCGGTGTGGAGACCCGCCTATTCTAATCGGCCCTTTCGTTATTTCTCCTTCACTTTATCGTCCTCTTCCAGTCTTCGAGGCATTTTGCCACTTTATATATACAACCATATCTATATCTTTCGGGACTCTTATTCTCTGTTGATTATTATATGTCTACCTTGCTGCCTTTGTCTTAAGCCACCGTCGTTCTGGGCCTGTCGTTACTCTCCTTGGATATCTCAAATTTATTTCGGGGTGTCAAGGACATACAGGCAAGAGATGAACGAAGGGACAAGAGTAATCAAGAACATCTCATACAACTGCGACCATAACCACATATCATGACCCTCACGTTCCCTCCAAGCCCTTCCACATGGTCGGCATTGTACGGTATCCCGCTGCTACTAGCCTCGCCCCGGGGGGGATTTGGACATCTAAGTAAAAGAGGACGCCCCCAGACAGCATCTCCAGTGGAAGACACGGCGCTATATATGAAATATAAAGTTCTCGCTTGGTAAGGAAGCCTGTCGTACATGGGCGAATCTGCTATTTTTTGCTGAGAATGTCTGTTCAAGAGAGCAGGTCTACTACCAACGACTATCCTTTTCATAGCACTTGATTGCCACAGAGAGTATGCAACCTCTCATCATACTCGCCTGTCTTTGACCTTCTTCGAATGTTGCTGGCTTGCGAGGCGTCGAGCGACAGGCAGTGTGAGCGTGAGCTCAAGCTCGATCACCAAACTTAGCCAATAGGTCCTCAATCCTAAAGATATGATGGGCCGTCTCAGCTGTCATAGTAACATCAAGTGATCCTATTGACGACGGCTACTTGGACGACGAGGTTCCGGCCAACGATGAGGACTCGAACAACAACAATATCACCATGCATCTACCCTGAGTCACTCCAATGCGGGGAGGTTATATATTTCAAGTTGTGCAAAAGGGATAGTCAATGCTCAGTCAACGACCAATCTCAACAATCAGTAACCGCTCTATGGAGGTCTGAAGAATTTGCTCCAACTTTGATACTTTGCTCCCAACGAAGAAGGACTAATTGTATGAGGTGAGGAAACCTATATAACACGCTTCGAAGATCTCGAGTCGGGTCACCCGGTAATACCGTCTCCTATGCCCTGCCGATCCTCTCCTCGTGGAATGGCATAATTAAAATGGGTGACAATGGCGAGAAATATCTCTAGCCAGCAGTCCTTCGATATTAAATTGGTACCATATACTAAGGATTGGAATTCCTCTATAGCCCTATCAGAATAGACTTGTATCACCACATCGAGCCGGGAATATATGCCAAAGTAGCCAAAGAGCTCTAGTTTCTACCTCTCAGCTTCATCCAATGTCTTCACCACCTTGGCAGGCGAACCAAGGGCAACCGAGTAACTTGGGATATCCTTGGTCACAACCGAGCATGCGCCAACTGTGACCCCATTCCCAATCGCAACACCGGGCATAATCACAGAATTCCCTCCTATCCAACAATCATCTCCAATGGTAACCTCTTTCGAATAGTCAGGGATCTCCCGTCGCTCCTTGACCGACGTTGGATGTGTTGCAGCGTAAATATGCACATTAGGCCCAAGGATTGTCCGGTCTCCGATCCTGACAATGGCGCAATCGAGGACTACAAGCCTGTATAATTCGTGTCAACGCATTGCCGACGGGCCCATTCTTTCCAATACGCACCCGAAGTTGGCATACACCCCGTCACCAACAATGATGTTGCATCCATAATCTACTCGGAGAGGTGGATCAAGATCAACGCCTTTCCCTACACATCCTAGGAGCTGTGCTAGCATGGCCTCGCGATCTCGTGCAAGGGATTCAGGGGTGGCCTCGTCTGGAAGATAGTCGTTGTATTTTTTGATGAGCTTCCGCGCCCGCAGTCGCCCTTCGACCAATTCCGGTACAAACGAATCGTATCTGTGCAGGTGTGTTAAGGAGACTCCGAGCATATCAGTATTTCGATGGTTATACTCACAGCATGCCTGAAATCATCTTCTCGTAGTCATCGCACCACGGCGTATTGCCGAACCTCTTGGCCAGTTCAATAAACTCCTGGCTCTTAGTTACGCGTGCCATTGCAGCGCTTGCTCGCAGAAGGAGGATCTGGCTACGTCTAGAGAATGCTTGACCGGGTTATGTGCGAGTAAATTGATTGTGCGGGGTCGAGATCCTCCGGGGCTGTGCTGTCGGGACGCGTCCTCGGTTTCAGTCGATATGAGATATGGGGACCTATTCCGGTGCAAAGTCAGGGGTTTACGTGAAGAGCAATTTCCGTCAAAGTTCAGAGTCAATTAAAGTGTCCTGCCTATCTCGACCAAAACCAAATCGTGCTGCCTACACGCTAATCCCCCCTTTGAGAGGGCCGAAGAAGGATCGCACGTAAGCAGAGAACTCGAATCAAATCAATCTGTCACTCCTGGTCCACATCAAGCGTGCAATGAACCTTGGAAGCTTCTCGTCCCAGCTTTAACACATGTCCATGCAGCTGTTGAAATCCTTCATGCAGACCTTGTCCAACTCGGTCATATCCTTGCCTTTCTGGGCCATGCAATCGATATTGACAGATGTGCAATTATTGATGCACATTCCCATCGTTGGGACCATCATGTTCTCGCATGTCAACATGCACTTTGAAAAGGTCTGGACACAAACGGTGGCGTCCACCTGCGCCTGACCACTGCATGTGTTGCCCATATCGTGGCAACCGGACATGCAGGGACGAACTTGTCCATGTCGTGGTAAGTCATCATGTTCTTCGCAAAGGACGGGGTGGCCATGAGGAGGCCCAGCAGAGTACCGGCAGTACAGGTATACTTCATTCTGTTTATATACTGGTCAGAAGCAGGATTCAACACTGCATTCAGGCAAAGACTGATAACTTACTTGTCGGTCGAAAGGCTGGATAGAGTAGACCTTGGGATGAGTTCAAGCTTGTGGGATGGGGTTTTGGGATACGGGGTGCACGGTGTGTTTTTATACCTGGCTTGTGCTGGAGTTTGCACGTCGCTGAAAAGACCCCTTGGCTTTAGGTTCCAATGTAGATCCAATCATACCTCGCTCCAGCGCCCGGAGGCCATATCTCCTGGATTTCAATCTGTTCCAGCAGATATAAAACATGGAACTCTCGGATGCTGCGGGAAATCAAGCTGAGCGTTTTAGATTAGATTTTTGGATGTGCCTCCAACTCATGTCTGGATCACTATCCATTGGCCCGGACTTTCCATGGTTGTTTGTTTACTGTCAACTGTCAGGATTTTCTCATGACAGGAGCCCGTTGCTCCATATGCCTATGGATAGTCCAAAGCTCGAAGTGAAGGTGGCACAGTGCCTCAGTCTTGTTCTAGGACTGGACATTTCTGGGTGATCCTAAGCTAAATATATGGGTCCGCAGGAGCTAGCAGGAGCTAATAATCTAGCACGCCTTCATCAGAAGTGATCATATTTTTGGGAGGATATCTTGCTGCTTGTAGTATGACCGCGGAAGCATCCAATGAAGGATATTCCATTTAGCTCGAAAAGATCGTTATCTTAGGGCAAGATCCGAAGTCGCACAGAATCTGCTGAAATTAGGTGTCACAGATGCGTTGCCATCCAGATTCCGGCCCACCCTATTGACCATAGACTCGTACCACAAATCCCCTATTCACAGAAAATGGGATGCCTATTGTGATAGGGGCAGTTTCAACCGGATGGAATCTTTGACACGCATGATACCTCTACTACTAGTAGTTCTCTTGTCAGGCCCGGTAGCAGGTAGAGTTCTCATAGTATCTCTACTTCAATCTCTTATTATTTATGGCATCTTCATTCCGTGTACGCGAGACAAAGACAGGGGACGACCATATAATAGTAATGTGAGATATGTCTTGGTAATAAGTGTAACAGGCCGTTAGGAGGCTTCGATCAGGATCGAGTTCTGGAAGAACTTAAGCCAACTCTAAGCTGGGCGCAGCGGGCGCAGCGGGCGCAGCTGGACAAGGTCTGGTGGATCAAAGTAGAACCTAGTGGATATGAATCGCTCTCTGGTGAAGCCGACCGTACGCTGGTGCAATAATACAAATCCTGGTGACTCTGTGCCCTTTCAAGTTGCCTCCAGGCAGAGAGACGTGAGCCGAATCGAGGAAAAGCCACTAGGCTGATGAGTAGGAAATCCCCAAAGCTCGATGCCAGTGTTTATATGTGAATCATGGGTACTCTTTCCGGAGGAAGAGAAAAACGGGCTTTCCAAGGCTCGCACTATCCTGTTATGCTGACATGTTGCTTGCTTTTGTATCAAGGCTCTTCGACTTCTCAGCTGCCAATACTTCAATCTCAAACGAATATGGAACCATGCATATCGACTATTATTACGAGCACACGCTGCGGGCTTTCCCTAGTCTATATGCCTCTGGCTATTTATTTTCCAGCGCTTCTCCTGGCAAACATACTCCATTATTTAGTCATGTGGTACAAGAAAACATCCAGTCCATCTCAAATACACTCAAGTCGGGTAAATTCCAGAGGGGTACCCTCTCCACCGCGATCAGTAACCACCAGCGCTGTGTCATGGTCTGTCTTCACAGGCTCATGCCAGACCCAAAAATAGTGTTGCCTCTTAACAAACAGGATCTGGCCTCCCGTGATAGGACATTGTCTGGGCCAAAAAAAGCATCCAGCGGGGTCATGGTGTGTTCGTGATACCGCAACAAATTTGCCATGACCATCATGACCCATGTAAGTCCCCGAAGCAAGGTTCCTGAAGCCGAGATACCTGTCTTCATGCTCGTCACAATGCCAGAACATCTCGCGACCGCTATTTATCCCCCAAGAAACCATCTTCAATTCACCATATTCAACTCCAAGGAAGAGGTTTGTTTGAGGATCGCGGATGGTATAGGACTGGCCTTTGTATGGAACCTGTCCTACAGATGATATATGAGACTGGATGGGGCTCCTAGACAAAAACAGCTCGCTGGGAGAAGTATTCGAATCTGGTGGTGTAAAGGTTTTATCTTCGCCGCTGGTTGTGACAGATTCCGTATCATGCTCGTTGATTTCTGCAGAATAAGAGGCGATACACTTCATCTCTCTAGATTTATTCGTGTTCGAAGGGCAAGTGTTCTTAAGATGTGTAATAAGGTAGGAAGCGGGGTTTGGAGCAGGGGACTGGAATGCCCAGGTGACCTGCACGAACTATAGTTCAGCGCATTCTGGAGCATCTTCGAGCGGTATTGATTAGCCTCACAGGATTCAGGTACTGTGTCATTCATAAAGTCACCCAGACATATCCGCTTTAAAGAGGAAAAATGCTAAGATTTCTTGGCTTCAACCCTGGAATTTATCATGTCGCTTGCATTAGGAATCGACAACACGAAATCATGTGATCAGGGACACAATACTGGCATGAATTGCTATAGCGTAAAATGCTATCGAACTTGAGGATTTCTATATTAGAAGAATAAGGTTCGTCTTCTCCATGGCTGCTTTGATCAGTATGCTCTAGCAAAAGCTTGGCTCTAGCAATCAAGGACTATCACTATAATTACTATGCACATCCAAACACTTCGGAATGGCTATTTTGGCTCCTCTTTTGCCCTCTTCGTACGATCTGTGACTTCAATTACAGGCCATCCCAGTCACACGCACGATACCGGAGACCCAACCAACGCTGCTCTGGGAGCATCAGGTTCGCAGAATGCCGATGCTGGACTACTTATTTCAATGGCCATAACGAATATCCTGGCCTTTAACCCGTCGATTGGCGGCCCTACATGCCCAACTCCTCCGATTTCGGTGCTTGTCTGCATTCAAAATCTGTCGTCTCATCCAACCACTGTGTCAAATAGCAATCGCAGTGGAAGAAGAGGGGCTCTCACTCTACCCTACAATCGAAAAGAGGACTCTAGCTACTCAATTACAAATTATAACCATGCTCATGTGAATTTCGCTCTCGTCTAGAGATATTGACAAATGCCGTTAGAACTGCACATCCAAATGAAAAACGCCCACTTTTTGGTATCCGGAGAAATAGAAACGAGAAAAAGATGATGTCGTAGATAAGAGACGTGGACAATATTTTTCAGAGCTCTACTCCGCCATCTCCTCGTCGTCTCCTTCTCCATTACCCCACAAGCCCTCGATGGAGAACTCCTTTGCCCACTCAGTAACAACATGGGCAGTATCCACGCCAGGAGCGGCGGCAGTGGCCGTGGCAGCCTCGGCTGTGCTGATAACAGGAAGGACTGGGGCGGTGGCCCAGCCTTGGATGCGGCCGTCTCTCCAGTCATTAATCACAGTCATAGCGGCGCTCTCCAGATTGGGCACGCCGCCCCTTCCAAGACGGCCGCGCTTGCGCGCGACCTGGATCAAGAAGTCTGTGGTCTTGTCACCGTTGGTAGGGAATAGAGAGGTGATGCCGTATACGTCAAGCATCTTTTGGATCAGGTTCTCGGACGCTGAGAGACGTTTCACTAGCAGGTGTACCGCAGGGATAGGGTCCTCGATGTGCTTTGGTGGAATAGCATTCAGCAGGATGAGACGGGCCTGCTCGTTCTCCTTGGACTTCTTGCCGGTCTTACCGTGTTGACTGGGGAAAACAATTCCAGGAGAGTCGATGAGCTTGAGCTTATTATCGATCTTCACCTCGCGCAGGTTGGTGGTCACTCCGGCTTCCGCACCTGTTGGGCAGGCGTTGCTGGAGCCCTTGTTTAGGCGAGCAGTCAGAGCGTTGATCACGGAAGACTTGCCGACGTTGGGGTATCCGATGACACCGACAGAGATCGCCCGCTTCAATTGCTTGGTGTTGGCATAGGACTTGAGGGCACGGAAGAGGGTCTCCGAAGTACCCTTGACGGTCAATTGCTTGTGGTCGAAGCTGTGCGCATTGGGGGCACCGTTGGAAGCTTTGAGGGGAAGGGTAGGGAAGTAGCGGCGCAGGTGCACCAACCAGGCCTTGAGCACTGGTGGTGGGACGAGATCGATCTTGTTCAGGATGAGGATCAAGCGCTTTGAGCCACCAGCTGCGGTCATGATCTCGTGCTCAACCTCCTTCGAGCGGGTTCCCTCAGGGTCACGGGCGTCCAAAACGTACAGGACCACATCTGCGGCCTCGGTGACGTTCTTGAAGACTTTGTCGAAGGCCCTCCGTGAGCTCTCCTTGATAGAGCTCTGGCCACCAACTAGTTCGGGGGCAGTCGTGTCGTCGAAAGTGACGCCGCCATCGTCGTCCTCGTCCATTTCATCGTCATCCTCATCCATCTCGTCATCTTCGCTCTCATGCTCTTCATCGTATTCGGTCGCACGAGCTCGGGCAGACGCAAGAAGGGCAGCCATAGGGTTCGACTCATCGCCTTCATCCATATCCTCATCCAGCAAATCATTCTCGTCGATAACAGCCGCCTGTTGATCGCCGCCGCCCTGGGCCTTTCTGGCCTCGAGCTTGCGGAGTCGTGCCTCCTCTTTGATACGCTCTTGTTGCTCGGCCTTCAGTCGCTTCTTCTCTTCGATCTCGTGGAGCAGCTTGTCCTTGAAGGGGAACAGGTTAGGAATGCCCGGGTCCTTCTTGACTTTAGACCGCCACTCGGGGTTCTATGAAAGCCGCAGCAAAAAAAAGTTAGAACAGGAACTCAGAAAAATGCAAGAAGATGATAAGTCCCATCGCCAGACTGGTCAGCATACCTTCTTTGCATTTTTTCTTTCCTTCCGCTGCTTAGCAACTGAGGCTTTTTCAATCTTGTGCCGCAAGCGAACGGGCACACGCTTGGAGTGTTTGCCTATGGAAACAGTCAGTATGAGGAGACCACAGGCTGGACAGAAGGAATCTGTTCACGAAAACTTACCGATTTTCATGTTTCCGGCTAATCGAACAATTCACGAGAACTTGCCTGTTGCAGTGCCTCCACAACTCGATTGGAAAAAAGTGAGTGCCAAGATTTCGATAAGCGGAAAATAAGTTTAGCCGATCGCCTTGACCAAACAGTGCAAACAGGCGGGTCCGCTACGCTATCAAGAAGGCCTTCCGACAGGACTTTCATCCAAGGCCAGCTTACTTTTAATTTTCTTTCTTTCTTAAGACTTATAGACCTAGAGTTGCTTTTGGAATTTTCATAATCCTTCCAGCGGGACTGCTTCATCTGCCTTGAACCCTCGGCGCATCTCCAAAGCAGCATAGCATTGCACATTTCATAACACCCCTCACCCCACTATGTCGACAGGAAGCTTCTCCGCGCCCTCGCAGGTTCACACCTTCGATGGGCTTTTATCTGACTTTGACGGCACAATTGTTGACTCTACCGAAGGTTGGTCTAGCTGCTACGTTAGACAAATTCCTATGTGACAAAATGAAAGCTAATGCGACTGAACAGCAATCGTGAAGCATTGGCACCTGTTAGTAGCCAGTTAGCTCGGGTAACAATATACAAGTACATCAATTCTAATAAGGCACACGCACAGAATTGGTGAAGAGCTCGGTGTCGACCCCAAAACAATCCTAGCCACATCCCATGGCCGCAGAAGCATCGACACAATGCAACTATACGACAAAACCAAGGCCAACTGGGAATGTACGTTCTCTTCACAACCTGACTGCACCCACAACTCCTACCAAACTAATACTAAACTAATACCCCGCAGACGTAAACTACATTGAAGGCCGCATCCCGCAACAATTTGGCTCTGACGCCGTCGAGATCCCAGGGGGCCGGGCTCTCCTCGCCGCTCTCGAAAACGCCGGCGCCCGCTGGGGCGTCGTAACATCCGGCACCTCAGCCCTCATCGATGGCTGGCTGGGCGTGCTGAAGCTCGCACGGCCAAGCGTGCTCGTTGTAGCGGAGGATGTCGACAACGGCAAGCCTGATCCCAGCTGCTATCTCCTGGGCCGCAAGAAGCTTGGTCTCGAAGACTCGACTTCGATTGTTGTGCTGGAGGACGCGCCGTCGGGAATCAAGGCAGGCAAGGCTGCTGGGTTCAAGGTGATTGCGCTGAAAACGACTCACTCACTGGAGAAGCTCCAGGAGGCGGGAGCAGACTGGATTGTAGAGGATCTGCGCAGCGTCTCGGTGAAGGAGGTTGTGGATGGGCGGGTTCAGATTGAGATCAAGAATGCGTACCAATGAGTAACGGGTCCGGGAATTGTGGCACTGGGGCTGAGGGTCAGATGCTACTGCACGGCCTCCAATCTGCCGGCGCTGAGTTACACGGCATACTGTAGATCTTATCATGAACAGTAACGTGCTCTCAGGTTGTACGATGACCATGGAGTTCGTTCTCGAAGTTTAATTCCTGTAATTCTTTCCTATTTCCTCGTAATCTCTGCGTATGTATTGGTCAGTTTTGGCTGGAGACTCATGCAGCCCAGCTGGAACCTGATGAATCTTGGTTGTATTAGCTCGAGCCATCCGAAATCCTGATCATCAGTCTGACAGAGCTTCGGGACGAGACGGGATTATCTGATCATATTGGAGGCCTAGTTTAGTCGGGCCCGATACAAGGGTCTGACCCTGCGCAAATCTAGACCGCGCTCAAATTGGAAATGGCGGGCTTGGGCACGTCTCGAAAGTCGTATCCAGGTCTATGAATGACTATAACCGCTATCTCCAAGGCCATGGAACTGCAGCCTAGGCCCCCTTGGCCATCACGCTAGAGCTTCGGCCGAGATGTAACCGTACGTGTCTTCCAAAGGAAGGGTCTAGATTCAGTGGCAACAAAGCTATTAGACGACAGGGATAAGCCATGTACGTCTCTTACGACTAAACACCTAATTCAAGATCTCTCGCATCTACGCACCTTTCCTAGGCTTTGCTAGAAAAAGAAAGGATGTCTGTGGCGACGGCGGTCCTGAAACGACCACAATGCAACCCTTGCAGGGTGAAGCTCCGTGTAAGGGCACGTTGCATGTCGTCGGCCGGTAGAGGTATGACGGGGATCTGTTTTTCCTGCCGGAACCTCATATATGCAACAAACACATTCGGAAACCCCAGCCTGCAGCAGAGCTGCGAACTGGCGTTCATGCACACGATCTAGTATAGTCAGTTGGGGAATGAATCCCCCATAATCTTCAGTTAAGTCTCTGGACTCTGCTCCTCGGGGCAATGCTCCGGGTGTAGAGGAATCGACGTCGCATGGCACGACACCTAGACGTAATTGTCAAACTTCGAGATCTGCAACCCGGCCACGGTATTCTGTAGAAGCAATTCACGAGGGGTGATTTACCCCGGCAACAACAAGGCGCAGTCTCCACGTAGCTTTTAGCCGATGCTACTCATCGACAGCGGAGCGGCCCTCAGGAAGAAAGGGGGCACACAGCTTTCTCCCCCCAATGAAAATCGAATACAGTATCCCCGGTGGGCACAGTCATGCAAGGGATTCCAGGGTAGAAGGCTGAGAAAGCAGGTTGCATCTTGCGCACGGTTCGAGCAGAAAGCTGCTCTGCCAAGCTAAGAAGCTGCCGGCAGGATCCCGAGCATCACGGCAATCCAAGCGCAGTAGCGTTGGAGGGCGGGGTTCCAACAGAGAGAAAAAAAAGAAAGAAAGAAAGAAAGAAAGAAAGAATAATGCCTCGATCGAACGGCGATCGACTGGCGGGCAGATCGCGTCGATCCAGCCGATTGTACACTACTGTACGATGGGACTTGATGGTGATCATGATCGCCCTGACGCATTGGCAGCATCGCTTCCCCTCGCAACAGCATGCGGTATGGCAAAAGTGGCAGGGAGGGAGCAAAAGCCCATCACGTACATGAAAGCCAGGGCCAGGTGCTCGTTTCTTTTGGTACTGGTTCCGATCTGGACCGCAGGATCGCGATGCGCTGGGTCAAGGTCGAACGGGTGTTGCGGGCGGATCCTGGGAACGGTCCCGGGTGCGTGGAGGGGCAACTGCGCTGAGGTCTAGGAGCTCTCGGGAGAGGCTATTGGCTCTGGCCCTTGACAAATACTGCCCCGGGGTCCAAAGCTGCAGGTTGCGTCTTGCGCATGGGCGTGATAACACCGCCACAGGCTTTTTGCTCTTTTTTTTTTTGGATTTTTAATCCCTTTTTGTAAAAATAGAATATAGAGGGGGGGGGAAATTATTTTCGCTTCTCAGGTGTGCCACACCAAGGGGCAGGTAGGGGGAGGGGGCCTGGTGGAACAAGGATGTGTGGTGCCTGGAATAGATAGGTCACAGCAGAGGGGGAACGGGGGAAGCCCGGGGCTTAGAAGGATTCCAGCCTACTGACAAAAACAGTTCAGCCTCAGACCGAAGAACCCCGAGTTCTGAATGCAGGCAGTCAGATTCACGGTGGCCAGCTGGATGGCGGTGCCCGTTGAGCCGGGTGGTACGCTCTCTGAGGCGAAGCATAAGGCGGGGAGGGGACGATCTGAGGATCCCCCAGGCCAACAAGGCCCACCTTTGCGCTTCCCCGAGAGCCTAAGCGAGTAGGACAGACCCGAGCGAGTGGAGAATATCGATGCCGCCTGCTGTCCCACTCTTCTTCGGGCGATCATGGTTCCTGGGGATCTTGGAGATTGTTCCTGAGACCGGAGCATTCTTCTGCTCTGTGATCCAGCAATTCTGGCACTATTGAAGCGGACCTAACCGCGCTTCACATATGGAGCCAAAAGTATTTGAGATTCTGAAGTCCATCGGAACGATCCCATCAATAGTGGGAGGGGCCTAAGCGGACCGTGCGCTGCAGATCATTTTCCAGGGGCACGTCAAAGGCAGATCCTACCCGCTTCCCCCTCGTTACGAATTCCGAACAAGTCTGAGACGGTGATCTGCCGCCTGAGTTGCGCTGCCAAGGTCCGACAAATGCCCAGATGCACGCCATCCTGAGACACAAGCCCATAAGTCCCCAAGGGCTCCTTCCCCTTTCGTCGCGATAAGGAACCTGCCGCACATGTCTGCCTCCCAAGCCACATTTGTCGATGTACAGTTGTATCGTGACTCGACATGGATGTTCGAACCAAGCTGAGTTTACTTCTTCTACTCAACGGGTATATGCCACTCTATCCGGATCGACGCTGTTTACAAGGTGGAGGGCGTCGGGTCCCCTTCACACTCTGGAACGCGCAATCACTATGGCCACACAGAAGGTGTGCCCCATTCAGGCTTCTCTGGCTACACCTGACTGGCTCTGCTTACATTACCAACGAACTTTGAAAAGCCCGATAGGCGCCTAATACGCGTGCGAGCCTCTTACATATGAGGCAGGAGAATACTAATCATTATTTTCATTGACCACGTCATGCTCACTCACGATGGATTTGCCGAGATGCGTGCTGGGGGGCATTCAAGGTTTTGGGTCGATCAGTAGCGTACCCGGTAGCCACGTTGTCAGCGGTGGTTTAAGGGTGGGGTCGTACAAATGTCAGCGAAGATCGTATGATGCGCTCTCGGGGCGATGGAGTCATGATTTGCAATTCCTAGCTCCACCCAGATCGCCGTCCTCCGCCCGTCACAGCTGGGAAAAGAATCAGCTAGGAACGTTGAAATGTGAGGTCATACACCTGAATCACAGTTGTTGGTTCGTGCCAAGTGGATCTGGCAAAAAGGAGTGAGAGAACCGCCAGTGGAGCATGTCTGGTATCTTTCGTGACGAGCTGCATACCTAGGTTTAGGATTTGAGAGGCTCCCACGCCTTTTCAGCCGTTATCCCAACCCTATCAAGTGATGAAAATTGACTTTTCCGGAACCATCCCGGGTCCATAGTTTAGACTTTGCCACTGGCAGCGCAGGGGGATCCCTGTGAAACGTTTTACTGTCAAGGGCCGAAAATCAAAAGTGCGCAGCTTACGGAATAGACCCGGGCGTTCTGATTTTCCAGACCGTTGAAGACACAAAAAGTGGCAGACCTGAAACAAGGGCTACACCGTTGACGCAGCCCTTGGGGTGCGACGAAGAACAAAGCTCTTTCGAGAAAAAAACGTAGGTCTCGCTGCATGCTGCAGGAGCCAGGGTGACACCTTGGCGGAACTTGGGAACGCGAGGCTGCAGCAGACCAATTCCTCGTGACTTGGGTGCATGGCGCCTCTCGATCAGAGTTGTTTAGCGCCCAGAGGCGAGCGAAGCCCATACGCAGGCAGCCAACCAAGCAATCCGACAAAAGGCGTCGGGAACAATGTCACCAAGGAAAAACAAAGCTTGGCGGGGCCCAAAAGTGATCGACGGGATCTGCGGACTATTGATGTTTAGTTGGGCTTGGCACACTGCCATGCGACTGGGTGGGTTCGGGTGCCCTTTGGGCTAGCGTAGAGGTTACCCTGGGCAAACCTCTGCCACGATCGAGGATCCACGATCGAAAGGACCTGCAAGCTACCAATAGGCTTTTCGGAAACCATGGTAGGCTGACAAGACATCTTGCTTCCGACCTCAATAGTGCATCTTGCAGCCTGCATCTTGGACCAACATCCCCCCCCTGTTCTTACACACAGTGGGGCAAATCAAAGGATGTACGGAGTACACAATGATGCACCCCAAGAACTACCGATGGTGAGATACAATGGCCGGGGGGAAGGGGGGGTGAAGAGACCTTGTACATCCAAGATGGAACCGTAGAGGATACCCAAGAGGGTCAATCTGCACCTCCATCCCAACTGGGATCGATGCAGGCAGGATCATTCGGGCTTCCGGCTGCAGGGGGCGCGGTCCATGAGAACAGCTCTGCAACCGGGCCTATCGCATGCAAAGTGTCCGATATTACGGTAATGAAGATTCTGGAATGTCCCCCAAAATGAGTTACCATGCCAAGAGGAGCTTACACAGCGTAACGAAGTTAATCAGAAGCCCACTCCAACCTAGATCAAGCTACTATTTGATTTGGCGTTAGTACGTAAGGCTCCATGATTTCCGTTGCATCTCTTGCCTCGACTCCACGGGTCTTGGATCGGGCTCGACGCTAATGCAGGAACTGAGCAGGACGGGAGAGAGACAAGAGATGATACGGCTGTTCGAAGCGTGGGTACGTCATGTTGGCGGGTCCTCATCCCCGAAACAGCTTGGGGGAGAGCTGATTGGTCGAAGGTCAAAGTTACAGGGTCCCCGGACCAACTCGGTGGTAAAGCATGGGGAGGCCCTTTCCCTTCAAGCGATTCCTCGTCAAGAGGCCTGGGCGCAGCACATGTCAGACTCCCAGCTTGCCGTATCGGTGCCGGATTTCCATGGAAATTACGATGTGCGTATCCTGGAACCGCAGCCGAGCCGTCTGGCGTTCTCCGCACGCCTACCATGGAACCTTTTGTTTACTCGTATTCAGGATCTCAGTATCGACCCTTGTACGCCCTATGGGCTATATGCAACCGCCGGTAAGGTCGGTACCGACTACGGTATAACTGTATTCTTTAGAAGGGTGGAGTTCGCCTCAAACACTAATCCGATCAGAGCCACGCGGCTGATTGGCCCACCGGCAGCAGATTTTTGGAGAGATCCAATTTATCTAGGGCTGGCGTCTGTCTTTGTTAATTCACGTAAGAATGTTATTTTGAGGGGGGACCTCGCGATTTCGGGAACGGCCCCATAGACCAATGCCGAATTTCTCGACCTCGACTCACGACCCTTGTGTCGCGTCCTTTGTATAGAGTCCAGTGCATTGCGAGTCACGGACCTAGGACTGCCTCCCCTGACCAGACTGGATTGGACTCACCGTCTGAGCCTGATCGTACAGAAGACAAGTATGCAACCCTACAGAGCAGCGAGGCTCGCCACCCCCTAGAAGAACCGCGCAGTCGGTAGCGCGACTCCACGGGCTGACGGGGATAGCACAAGTGGGGAGGCTTTTTCCTTTCTTTTCTGTTTTCTTTCAGCCCCGTCGACCCGTGGCGCGGGAAAGACTCCTGCCGCATATACTCCTTTATGGGGCTGTCCCAGACCTCCCCAAGCCCAAGATGATCCGATCTCACGCCCGAGCGCAAAAAATACCCCGAATTTCCTTGTCATCGTCTTTTTCCCGGTTTGGATATTTTGTTAAATTCTCGGAAGGAATAAGAAATATATCGCAGAAAAAAAAAAGTAAAAAATTATTCAAAAAAGGCCAAAAAAAAAGAAAAAAGAGAAGCACGAATCCGATTTACCTCCCATGATGTGAGAAAGGCCAGTGGACCCATAGAATTAAAGCGAATAAATCTACCTTAATCCCCTGATTAAATTAGAGAATTTAGGATTTTTCCCTAAACCCCGGAACGCTGTACATAAGGACGTATGGAGTATACGGAGGCAGTAATCTGGGAACCAAACACCTTTCCCCACCAATCACCGCGGCCCGTCCCCAAGACCGCCCTTCCAATTTCCCTCCTTCTCCCCCCAAATCTCTCTTTCTTCCTCTTCTCACCTGGCTTTCTCTTCACGCTCTGGGACATTCCTTTCTTTTTCGTTTTTGTTTCCGTCACTCCTTCTATCCCCACCCCCGTCTCTCATTAACGCCCTATACATTGTTGCTTTCCCCCGTTGTTTCGTCCCATCGGCCCTCTCCATGATATAGCCATTCGACCTCATCAAAATTGTCTTATTGGACAGCATTCCCTTTCTCTCCCCCCCCCTCCAAGTTCCATAATGAGCTACATTCAACCTCCATGGAACTACCCCGGCCATGCGGGCCTCCCCATGGATCATGCTCTCGCCTATGACCCAACCATGGTGCCACCGCCCATGATGCACCCAGTCGACGGCTACCTCTACCCACACCCTCCTATGGAGATGATCGACTACTACCACCAACCCATAATGGACTACGACGAGTACACCGAGAATCTATCACGGCCCCGATTGACCAAGGAGCAAGTCGAGATCTTGGAGAGCCAGTTCCAGGCGCACCCTAAGCCTAGCAGCAATACCAAGCGTCAATTGGCTGCTCAAACTAACTTGAGTCTGCCCCGTGTTGCTGTATGTATTGCTCGATGCCCATATATACTTGTTACGTTGTGCCGAAACTAAACATCTGCTCTTTAGAACTGGTTCCAAAATCGACGCGCCAAGGCCAAGCAACAGAAACGCCAGGAGGAGTTTGAGAAAATGCAGAAAGCCAAGGCAGAAGCCGAGGAAGCTGCCCGTCGCAAGGACGAGCCGTCCGAAGAACCCACGGAATCCAGGCCATCCTCTGTCTCCAGAGAGGAGTCCGAGCGATCGCCCACACCGACACCGCAAACCGAAGCCCCTTCAGTCGAGGGCAGTGCCAAGGCTGATAACCAGAAGCATCACAAGTCAAAGAGTGAGTCTGCCCGAGAGGCAACCTTTGCGTCATTGCAGCGAGCACTGAACGCTGCAGTCGCTGCTCGAGACCGTTTTACTCGTCGCGGCTCTCGAAGTAAACAAGAGCCTACGGAGGACGAGCCGATATCACCAGGCTCTATGGCACCTCCCAAGGCCGCTGCCAGCGCACAAGAAGCCCAGGCACCCGCAAGTCGTAGTCAGTCTTTCCAAGATTGGCCAGAAAGCAGAGACTCAGCATGGCCGGCGTCCCACGAGCAGTCGGAGAGTCGCTCATTTCCAATCGGCCAAAGTATCCCAGAGGTGCCAGGGAACGTCGGCGCGTTTTCAGGACAGTACCAGCCTGAAGAGTGGCAACAGGCCAATGAACACGGTACTTCGCACGGCGTGGGATGCGATTCCAACCTCGGATATGCCAACATGCAGTATCCAATGGGCATGCAGACTCCCGACATCTCAGTCACCCGCCGTGAATCATCCAGTGCACTGACTGCCTCTCTCGATGGCATTGGGATTTGCACCCCAGGAGCCCCTGGCATGCCGCAAGCTTCTTCGTGGAAGGAGCCCAGCAAAGAGCTTGATCTTGCCGCCAGGCGGAAGCGCCCACGTCCCGCTGCCATTGGCACCTCGAACCCTCGATCATTGGCCTCCTCGACTTCCATGTCGGCCTTGTCCCCCACAAGCCGTATGCCGAGTTCTGGGGCCGGCAACTCGATGAGACATTCCAAGTCTACCCAGAGTCTCAACTCACGCTATGCGGGTGTGCGCAAGTCGTCGGCAAATCAGCGATCCCCCCTTAACTTCACTTTTGCCGAGTCCGGCTCTATGAAGGCCAGCAAGGCTGAAATGCTGCGGCCTTCGGTGTCATCCTCCACCCTGGCCCCTCCTACGCCATTGACACCACAGGAATTCCAACACCTCCTGCCTGCTTCGCCGACCGATAGCAACTACTGCCTGTCTGCCCAATCTACGACCCAGTTCTTTCCTTCCTCGCAGCCGATGCAAGTGAATCTTGCATCGCCTCCCTCGACGCCCCTGGATCTCTACTCGCCCTTCGGCTACCAACAGGTTGCTCCCCCTATGTCTGCTCCCGCCCAAGTCAGCAACTTCCAAGAATATGTGCCCTGCGATCCCGTCCCCATGACGGCCCGCAGCTGGGCAGACTCCACAGCTTTGTCTTCGCCAGACTATCAGAGCGGGCTCCAGGTCCCGCACTCGAGCACTGTCTCCCCCCTCGGTTTCAACGCAACTCTTGAACACCCAGGCAACTTCATGGAGCCAGTTTCTGGCTCCCCATCTTGATCTATTCAATCGAAGACGCCGACCTGCCGGTTCACGCCGATGGAGAGAGGAAGGCATCCGAGTTTACGATGCACGAATTTCATGAGCAGGAAGCCCACCGATTCGCTGCTCAGCAAATGTCGGTCCATAAATCCAAGGGCTATGCATTTGCCCACTCCGCTCCACACCACTACCCTTAAAGAGGAAGTCCCCTCTCGATGGATGAATGAGTCATGTACCGCGATAAATATGATTTTGTTGGTCCAGGATGAACCGCTATGCCGCTATTCGTCCTTTGCGCGATCTGTTTATTATTTTCCTCAATCACCGCCTACTTGGCCACCTTTTGTCTATTTCCACCAGCTCCACGGGGCGCCTACAGTCACTTATACTTTTCTTATTCTTTTTTTTTTTCTCATATACTTTTGAGCCCGTCTCTTCCTTTCTCTTGTCTCTCTATTGGGGGTGTTTCCACCTTTTTTTTTCGTCTCTATTTTTTAGCTTACATATTCGGAAGCGTCTCCTTCTTTCTGTTTTCTGCATGTGTTTATTGGCCTGGGACTTTTTTTGGTGTGATATGACCTTTTAATTCTTGGAGGCCTATGGGCTCAACTTCTACTTCTCGCCTTCGTTTCTTTACCGAGCCTGATCGGCTTTTGATTGGGATTTTGACCTTGCATATTTGGCAGCACCTGGCTACTTTTTCTCCGATACATACTGTCACGTACCTATACCTTATTTTCTCTGTGATCTCTGATCTGTTCGATAATACAAAAAAAGGGATGATGTCTGCAGAAACAATTTGCTTTTCCACCGGGTAGAACGTCTAGACGAAGTTCAAAGGAGCCCCCCCCCCCTCTAGTCCACGAGTCTCGAGGCGATTTGATGTCAGCAACATAACCGGTGCCCTGCCTGCTTATTGGGGGCAGAACGGCCAGAACAGCGGGGCCCCACGTGTGCCGCTCGATAGGGTGACATCGCTTTCCATTTGCCGCTGGATTCGTCGCCAGTAAATCAGGAACCTCAATAAAAAGAAGATGCCGATCCCTCCCTTCACGTTCACCCTTTCGTTTGTATGCACCTCTGCCTACAATGAAAGTCTCAGTTCTTGTTCCGGCCCTTCTCGGTCTAGCGGCTTCTGTACAAGCGGTAAACATCGAATATACAACCGTGAAAGGCTTCTTTCTGCAGGACGAGACATCGACTGACCCCTCAACCTTTGACTATGTACGCGCATCAGCTGCCCATGGTCGCTATGGAGGCTAATCTCATCTAGACTGCAGTCAATTTTGGCCTGATCAATCGCACTTACCCCACTGATCATTTGCTTAAGCACCTGAGTGACTATAACACCCTGACACAATGGGAGCGCTTCTATCACCAGGTTCGGGAGCTCAATGAATGGTCTCCTAGGGATGTGGAGTACAAAGTCCTCTTCCTGGGTCGTCACGGTGAAGGATGGCATAATGCCGCCGAGTCCTACTACGGCACTCCAGCCTGGAATGTATGTTTACACTTCCCCCTCATCCCAAGCTTAACCACACTAAAACCCAGCGCAGTGCTACTGGGCTGAGCTCAACGGCAACAGTTCCGCCACCTGGTTCGACGCATCCCTCACCAATAACGGCATTGCACAAGCTCTGACAGCCCACACCTTCTGGCAAAAAGAGATCGACGAGCAACGCATCCACACCCCGGACAACTACTTCGTCAGCCCACTTCTCCGCACCCTCCAAACTGCTAATCTCACATTCACCGGTCTTTCTCTCCCAAAGGGCAGCGCCGCCTTCAACCCCACCATCAAAGAACTCTTCCGTGAAGGAATAAGCATCCACACCTGCGACCACCGCCACAACCGCAGCACCATCCACTCCCTCTTCCCCTCCTGGCCCATCGAACCAGGCTTCAGCGAAGAAGACGAGTTATGGAACGGCGTCACAGCCGAAACCAGCGATGCGCAGGACGCGCGCAGTGCTAAGGCCCTCGGCGAAGTCTTCTTCACCTCCGCCTCATCAAAGAAGGACATGTTTGTATCAGTCACGTCCCACTCGGGTGAAATCTCGTCCATCCTCCGAGTCATCGGCCACCGGGCCTTCAGCCTGAACACCGGCGCGATTATTCCTGTTCTGATTCGGGCAAAGAAGCAGGGGGATCAGCATGCTACTACTTCGTCGGTGCCGTGGACGGTCAGCGCGCATTGTACCGTGCCACCGGTTACTTCGGCTTCCGCATGTGTATGTCCAAGCAGCGCGGCGCCAGTGACGACTCTTCTTTCCGCTTGATTTTTCTCGGGGCTTGGTTTGGCTCAACGATCCTTCTGGGCAGGTATTATCCAGGCCCCTTCGGGTCCATATGTTTTAAGTCAACTACCAACTTTGTCGGCTTCTACTTTGAGGGGTGTTTTGCTTTGGTCTTGCTATTGTCTTCAATTTTGGACTTTTTCTCGGCTGGCACACCGGTTCTTCTGGACAGGCGTCATGTGGCCCTTTCTCGGGGCCGCATGTCAGGACAAATTCAGTTGAGTCTTGTGCCAACCGACAGCCAATGGGGTCGGATCTTGCGACTTGGGGACATGGATGTCTGGGAAGACTCTGAGTTCTGGATATGAGCTCTTGGCACTGAACGGGACAGACTTCCTCAAGGATTTCTCTGTGCGAAATGCGAACTTTCTTGGGTCAGGACGACCAATATAGCGAACAGTATAACGCGATTACAACCGCTTTTATTACCACGTTGTCATGCAATATCCACGAAAATAGTCGAAGGTCAAAAGAAATAGAACTGTAAAAGCCCATGCAAGAAATGATTGTAGCAGACACCCACTATCACTGGTATTTAGACGGGATGGGCCCAGAGCTAAAGTAGCCTGGATCTCTTTTGGGCGCATTTCTAAAAACTTCGATATTCGAGCTGAGAGCAAAGTGTAGGGATAAAGGACATATTTAATTGAAATAGATAAAAGAGAAAAGAAATGGGAAACAGGAATGAGTGGGGGGAAAAAATGATTGAAGGGGCAAAAAACGACGTCCCCGGGAAGGCTCGAACTTCCAACCTCCTGATTAACAGTCAGACGCGCTAGCCGATTGCGCCACAGAGACACGTCATTGGATGATGAGGCCACTTTTAACAAGATGGACCGCCGTAACTGTGATATGCTAGGTCTATGTGGTAGAGCGTGATATCCAGTTCCATATTCAACATATATCCAACCTAATGCTACCTCCGTGTTTATAATGGGATTGGCATTTTCCCAGTAATTGAGTAACTGATAGTAACGGAAAAGAATGAGCTTTGGAAAAATGCTTGTAGATACCGCTCTGCAGATATATATTCTAGTGGTGGTCGGTCCCGAGACACTTCACCCTGGAACTTTGCTACTTGTGCACTGGACATGAAGTAAATGACATCTGTCCTGTAATAAATCACTGCTGTTGATTACTTACCGCGTACTAGTAGATGAATAGTACTAGCACTGTATTCCGACACGCGGAATACTAGTTAGTCACCTAAAAGACCCGCAATCACTGCCAATCTTGGAAGGTTCTTCTACCATCTCGGTAGTTTCGTCATCATTGAACACTATATACCCCTTACTCAAACCCATTCTTTCTTATCTACCGTATAATCGAGATATCAAACTGTACAGCCAGGACCTCGTGAGAGTTAGCCGCTCAGCAGGTGAGGCAAGAGGAAGACCCCAAAGTAATGGGATTGAAGCGATGCCATAATGATGATAGGCAAACCACGGGCAGCACTTGGCATGAAAGATGCAACGGGCACAGCAGGAAACGGACGAACGCATCAAATGCGCTTCAGGTAGAGAGGATCCACAAGACTTCTTCCATCGCGCTGGATATGGCACGTCCACCCGTGATCAGTTTGATATACCTTGATATCAGATAGGAATAACGGTCGACTGGTCTACAATGCCAGAAGCGACCCTGTCACTAGCACTCAACTTTGCTGTTTATCGCTGCTTGAATATGACACGTCTTGGTCTGATCAAGGTGGTACGAAAGAGGTCTAGCGGCTTGGTTTTTTCTGGTGATTCCTCCTTCTTTCTTCTTCGTTCCCCCCACTTGGAAGCACGCGAGCGAGATTCTGTTTGCTCATCCGAGGGGCCAACTTGAGGAAGCTCTGGCTTGTATGTACAATATAAAAGTCCCCCAGAGTCTCTTGACACTCTTCTATTCTACTACCCAGTTTTTATCATTAATGCTTTTTGACGCAGTTCACTTGTGAATACTCTAGTCTTTTATAATAATGGCCTGGATGGTTCTAACCTTTACGGACGACTATTGAAGAATCTTCAAAAACTATATCCAGCACCTTATCTTACATACTCCTCCCCGAGGAGAACCCCCCTGCCAAGTAAGTGCTTAGTGATTGGCATTGTATATAATGTTGCTACTTCTGCAGGGCGGAAATCGGGTCCTAATACATAATATACAGCACGATAAATATATATCTAGAAGAGCATATGAAGATTCTCGTCGTCCAATGGTCACACAATGATCAGGCCTTGTGTGACATCGCTGCGGCCATAAGAGACCTCGACCGGAGGCGTGGGGCGATTATGCGAGAACAGCAAGTGATTGTTGCTATGAACAAAACCCGCGAGGACCTCGAAGCTCTAGCCGACAATCAGTTCGCGGAAGATCTTGAAAACCTCGTCCTGCACGCCCTCGACCCCTAGAGGTTGGGGGCAAGATTACGTGACAACGGGGAATGGACCCGTGGACAAGAGATTGCTTATGTTGCTTTGAAGTTCTGGCAAAATCATGTATATTGGGCTCGCCAGCCCCCGCTGGTGCATAAATTGATTAGGATAAAGAAACGACTGGAATCAACATGTTAGACATTCGTCTCAGTATCTCATAGATATGAAAAAGTAGGTTGAGAATGGGGACCCTGCCAAGACAGGCTTGAATTAGACTCGTCACGGTGTAGCAATGCAATTAAATACGCCGCGCGAAGCTTGAGAAAATCCAACATATCTCGACAATCTGTAGTAGCTCCGATACCCTTGAGTTGGTCATAATATTGGAAAAGTCTAATGTCCGTCTTGACTGGCCTGTCACAGATGACCCTGACATATAGAGAGGCAATCAATCGTTCGAAATCCTCGAGCTACGGCGATATAGATATCGGATTGAGCAGCTAGTATAGGAACTAATTATTATTGATGAAGGCAAAAAACCGAGCTCTATGAAGTTTTTCATAAGATTGATCTCAGCCGTCTTTCCTGCCCTGCTACCGGCCATACACCGGCATACAACTGGTCTTTTGGATTGTTATTCTGCGTTATGGAATGCTTTAGCGACGGAAGGCCAGATACTAGTATATCTCCAACGAACAAACCATCACCTATATCTTTCTTGACTGCGAGGGCTCCATTAGGACACCCCTACATGCGGAGAGGTCTCTTCGTTCATGTCTCCCCCATGCACAACTGTGTGAATATGACATATCCACTTTGAGTGAAAACCGGATTTGCTGGTGGAGCTCTCTTCCGGCGCAGCGCCGTAAGCGAGTCTCCGTGGCGCAATCGGCTAGCGCGTCTGACTGTTAATCAGGAGGTTGGAAGTTCGAGCCTTCCCGGGGACGATTTCTTTTTGTGTTTCTGAGGTCATGCATCTGCATTCCATTCCCGTGAAAGAGGTCGAGATAGTTGCTCTTTTTTGCTCGGGTGGCGTTGTGTGTGTGGTCAGACCGGAGCTTGGGCCCGGGCCGCAGTGGTCACCACTAGTCATTTCTTCCAGTTGGCCAATCGCTTGGGAGGCTTATTTTATTGCTTGACACGCTTGCTTTTTGGAGTTTGGATTGGCTATAACACTATTGTGGACTGACCAGCATTGTAGGATATAGTGTCGTGGATCATGTGCGTTCTTCGCATTATCGTTGCTCTCATACTAGTTACCAAGCCCTCCTTGAATTTCGGCTTGGTTGTTTTGTGTAGTATGTTCAAGTTGGAGACAGCAATCGGTATGTTTGGAGCCCTCAATAAAAACTATCACTTTTTGTCCTAGGAGGGTAACGCATTTGACTCAAGTTAGCGTCTTACTCCTATTATGACATCACCCAATGACTAGTAACGCAGAATATGAAAGAAAAAAAGAAAAAAAAAAGAAAAAAAAGAAAAAAAAGAAAAAAAAGGAAAAAAAAGGGGGAGGTTGCGTCCAAAGGCCAGCCATTCTGTGAGTCTTTCAGCGACATAAGGGTTGAAGGCATTTCATCGGTTCAACTTGGAATTGCGCAGCGCCAGGCTATATAGTATGGGCTGGTTTCCTGGCCTGGGCCTGCAATTTCGCAATGGCCAACTTAGTAATGGGCGACTTGAATTTGGACCGAAGAAATGGTAGATACTGTGCACAAAAGGTGGGCCTGTCATCTGCAGTAGATTTTGTTGATACCAAGCCCCCTGGATGGAAAGAGTGTGTTGTATATGTACGTACTTTTACAGTGGTCAATTTTGCAAGCTTGGTCTCCAGAATAGGGCTGCCCCAGATCCAAAATTTGACTCTGGGCTATATGACATAAAATTTGGGGTTAACTTAACAATTGGTCTCCGTGGCGCAATCGGCTAGCGCGTCTGACTGTTAATCAGGAGGTTGGAAGTTCGAGCCTTCCCGGGGACGAATTTTTTGAATTTCTTAAATTTTTTTTTGCGTTCTTCTATTTTGTTTCCCCACTTTCGACGTTCAATTCTTTCTTACTCTTTCTAACTATTATCTGCCCAACTGAATTAAACTTGGTCGTTCTAGATTCGATATCCCCGTTAACGCGGAGCAGGTGTCGTCAATTTAGCTACCTGCAACTCGGGAACAGCAAACGGAAACGCCGTTCGCAAGGACAAGGACATGGATAGATATAGACAGCAGGATTGGAGTCAAATGGAATACTGTCACTGACAAGATGCGAATTGAATATAGAATAGACAGCAACAAGGGTTACAGCCCTTAAAAATGAAAACGGTAATACACAGGCCAGAGAAACAAAACATACGCAAGACATCAAGGAATGGATTCACCATGGAGCTGCAATGCAAGGAATCAATCACCGAGAGAATAAGCAATGCGCCTCGGCCTCACGAAAACAAACCGCCGATTCCGTGGTGGAAGGACCCTTCTATCGACCATGTATGGTGGGAAAGAACAAAGGTGGAAACGTACATAGTCATAGTCCTGCAATAATGAGCAAAGCAACATAAAACGCCAGAGCAGGATCAGAGAGTTTCAAAACGCCGGGGGGCAATCTCTGGGCATCATAGAAGGAGAATAAGACAAGATTTGAGAGAAGAAAACCAAAAAGTATCGATCATGATAAAACCCGAGCTCAACCGGACGACAACATTGGGTATAGGAAGGCTGGCCCGGATTAACAGTACCGAAAACCCCCTCATCTCAGGGGTGTTGCAGAGGTGCAATGCAAGGGGCAGGAAATGGAAGGAACAACCAGGAAGATAAGTAGAGAGTAGCTGGGGATCAAGATAGAGCTAGGAGAAAAGAGACAAGTGAAGAATCCATGGCAACACGTCTCTGATGCTGGAGAAGATATCCCGTGCGAAAAAAACAAAAGAAATAAGAATAAAAAAAAACGCCCTCCTCCATCTAGACAACGCCAAACCGCAATCTAGTAGCCTGACCATCCACCTAATGGGCTACCAGACTGACCGGGCTGGGGCTGACTGGGCTGCATCGGCCCACCAGGCCCGGCAGGCCATCCCGGCATCCCGCCGCCACCCATTCCCATTGCCATACTTGCCTGCTGAGGATTGCCCATGAAAGGCTGACCACCTGGGGCTGCCTGAGCAGAGGGGTACATTGCCCGCGCCATACCTTGGTAGGCAGCGGGATTGCCCCCCGGGAAAGCCATGCCTGCCATAGCTTGCTGCTGCTGAGGGTGTTGCATCTGGTGAAATTGCTGCGGCATTTGCGGAACTTGAGGGCGAGGCTGATTGCGGGGGGATTGCTGGGGCTGCTGATTGTGGTGTAGCGGAGAGGGGGTCTGTTGAGGGGCCGTAGCCATCTGCTGACCATGCTGGGCGTACTGCTGGGGCATCACGCCCTGTGGGGTGGATGACATTGGGGACTGCTGGGGTTGCGATGGTGGCTGACCCCATACCTGCTGCTGAGGTTGATGCTGAGGCGGATATCCGTAAGGAGGTTGGACTACGCCAGCCATGGATGGGTTGGATCGCTGGTGCATGAGGTCGGGCCGCATGCCCGGCTGTAATCCCCGCACGGCCTGTTGGCCCATAGGTGGTTGATGCGCTTGCTGCGGGAAATTGGCCTGGCCAGCCATCATCGCAGCTTGATGGTGAACATGCTGGGCTTGAGATGGGTTCACCATGCCGGCAGGCGGAACCTGGGCGGGTTGAATGGGCTGCGATACCGACAGGCCTGAATCAAGAGCGGTCGTAGCCTGGGCTTCAGACTCAGGAGCTTCACGTGGTTTCGCATAGAATTCATCGAGCCCTTTCCGTCGGTAGCTCCTTTGGGACCCAATGAGCTTGTTGAACTCGGCGGCGTGTGAAGCCTGGTTGAGGATTTCGGCAGACGAGCTGGGCTGCGATCGATCTTGATAGGTCTGACCCGTTAACTCTTGACGTGAACGAGCCATGCTGTTGTAGTCTCGGAGACGTGGATCGTCCGAGGTAGCGATAGGGAGCATGCTGAGTTGCGAGATAGAAGAATCCGAGACATCCAAAGATAGACCAGGCGGCAGTGGCTCGTGCGTATTGCTGAAGATCACATTATTATGGGGGAGCGTCGGTAGTAAGCTGGACGTAGCATCTGCCGCAGCTCCATCGCGAACCTTGGAAGCACCCGGACGCTTCTCACCAGCCAGGTCGTCCTCAGTGAAACCCTGTTTCCTCGCTTTGCTTTCCCAGTAATCATCTCGAACACGACGGCCGTTCACAATCACGCGGCTACCGAACTGTCGGAACATTGAACGAGCGGAAACAATAGCAATTTGTCGAGACCGATAGGAATACGGAAGAATGTCCTGCTGGATGAGGTCATCCTTTTCAATTTGAGATGCAATGATCTTGTGCAACGATCGATTCTTGTTGAACAAAAGGTACGAATCTCTGTAGTTCAAGACCCTTGCACATTCCGTGGCGAGCATAAACAGTTTCGTGCTACGGTTCGGCACACGAAAAGTTCGACACTTATATTCGCGGTTGCCTTGCAGGTAGCCCATGGCATCTACTTTGGTTTCACCTGCCTCATCGAACTCCTTTGGAATGTATTCATCACCCTCTTCGTTCAATTGATCTGATGTGTGATCGCGAACCGTTGGCAGCGCCTTCACGAGAGTCTTTGTGGGCGTGGTCTTATCGGGTGGTGACGCAAGAGGTGGTGATCCAGCGTTCTGGGGTAAAGCTCGAGGTTGCATCTGAGGCGTCTGAATCGGAGGAGTAGCGCCCACTTGTTCGTTGGAGTTGGCGCGCGGGATCTTTGGAGGACGACCGCGCTTGCGACGACCTTGGTCTTCTATAATGGAAGCATTCTGTTAGTATATGACTCGTCTTGTAATGGATGCGACCGGGTGACTGGTTGGACGAATGACGAGGGCTGCCAGAATTGGGGGTCCATGGAGATAACAAAAAAAAAAAAGGAAAGAGAAAGAGAAAGAGGAAAAATAAAAGAGAGAACAAAGAGATTGAGATGAATAGGCGCCCCATTGCGCACGTACCATCATCCTGATCTCCTTCCGTATGGCCATTCCCACTGCGATCTGGCGTGCGACTACGCTTGACACCACGGGGGCTTGTTCCTGCAGGGATGGCACCGGCAGAGCAGATACTAGGAGGGGCATCAGTTTGGGAGAAGGTGGCTTGATAAAATGACAATAAAGGCAATGGGCACATGAGATTGGCCAGCCGGTCGAGGACCGTCGGCGCACGCGGGGCGCAGAGGGAAAAAGTTCGCGATGTAGGTGGTCAAACACGACCGCGCGAGGGACGAAACCGCGATAAAGCAAGAGGCGCGCGAGAAAAGGAATCACATACCTGAGTTACTCAGGTTCGCCGGATCGATAGTGCCCGATCCATCGCATCTCCTCCGAAGCCGTTCATCGTGGAGCCAGAGTGAGGTGTGCCATACATAGTCGAGAGATGGAACGACCTTAGGCCGCGAGGAAGACGCGTCGAGGGGTGGCGGGGAAGGACGCGCCAGGGGGAAGGCGAAGGCGCGGAGGGGGCGCAATTTTGGGGGAACGGGTAGACTAGGCTTGCATGCAGATGGGTTGGACAAAGTCGATCGCCTCTGGAGATGAACAGCTTCCTGTTCGTTCGGGAGACTGGAACTTTGGGAGGGGCGGGCGGTGAGGGAACTAGCTGCCCGGGTTTGCAGGCCACAACCTCCACCACGTGAGTTCGGACTATGTACACGCTCGTTTTTGGTCCCTAGCAAGGTGGGAGTACCGCATTAGAGAGTCGCCCATGCAGCAACTTCCAGACCAAAGGGGCGTCTAAAATGGTGCAAGGGGGTTTGGTTTCGGAGGGGTCCGGGGGAAGGAAATATTACCACTTCTGACCGTAAAGTAGTAAAGTGGAATGCGTCGCGTGATTGGTCACGAGGATGGAGACAGGATTGGAGATGAGAGGGAGATAAAAAGAAAAAAAAAAGAAAAGTAAAAAAAAGCAAAATGTATGCTATAACTAAAGACGGTTTGGCCAGATGCAAGAGTGCTCGTATTCCATCAAACACAACTCACCACGAGGTAATTAATATCCAAATATCAGAATTCTAATCCAGGCTGGGAGCAAAACCAAGGTAGGAATGGAGAATAGCCGCGACAGAACCGGTTCTTCAAGGCAAGAAGCTCCCGAGAGGGGAATTTGGGATCGGCCGCGGGGCTCCAGAGGGCTTCCAGAGAGGCGCAAAGGCAAGTCGAAGTGACAGTCTCCGAGATCGAGGACTGAACAATATTATTCGATCTAGACGGGGAAGCGGACGGGAAGTGCTTTTTGATCTGGGAGAGGCGCGGGTACGGCGCCGGCTACTACAGAGCAAAGACAAATGAGATTCCTCGTAGTGGAACCGTCGACGATGGCTCGAGCGGAGGGTGATTTTCCCGAGGTGGGACAGCGATCGAAGAGCGCTGCAATAGATACTGTATGGACCCTGCGTCTGCGAGATGGAGCCCAAGGCCGCAAAGGGGCGAGCGCAGAGATACTTGGTCGAAGACAGAAGTAACCGTCGCACAAAAGGGCGATTTACAGTTGATCTTCTCCAGCCAATCATGAGTGATCGTAAGTTAAGACCAAAGAGGGGTTGGAGGAAGCTTGAGCCGGGGGGACTCTCCAGTCTAGAATATAAAGCCCTTTAACAACCTCCCCGGAAACCCCTCTCTCCTTGGGTTCTATTTCACGCCGCCATCACACAACCGGCGAAGCCGTCACTGTGATAGGCTTCCCTTGGGTCTCCTTGAACGGTTCTGGCTGGACGGTGTAACTTGACGTGTCTTAAAAAAAGAAGAGTGCTCGAAGATCAGAAAGAAGCCATCTGAGCATTGTTTCACTCAACTCGAGTTTCCAAGGTTCTATCTGATGATTCGAACAGGAAACTACAGGCCGGATTGGATCGTAGTATTCTTTCATTCTATACGCGTTACGGACTATGCACGGGTTAGTGGGGCTTGCAGGCAAAAGCATCCAATCTCCATCATTTGCTGCAGGTCGGATTATATCGGGCAACATGGCATGGACGCTGTCGCCAGGCACTGGTAGAGAGCGCTATCTTTTTTGCTGCAGGCTTGGTTGCCTTAATTCTGCAATAATCATCCGAAACCCTTCAGGCGGAGGACCCATCTGTAAGACTCATGAAGAAAAAGGCCGATAAACTAGTGCTCCTAATGCTCTGAGTTCAGGCCGCATCTTGTCAGCCGGACGAGACAAACTAGCGATCTTCTGGCACTAGTAAAGTGACGGGTAGGGAGAGACAATCCTGCATCTGGGACAGTATTAATCCCTGATTCTCCGAAGGGCCATTTTTGGGGGCACGATATGTTGATCGTGAGGGGTATATTATTCAGCAAACCGATCTTTGCCAGGCCTCTCGCAATTTTCCAAGGGTTGTATCCTCTTCTACGGCAATCCATGGAACTTGGGCTCTTTTGGCGCCTGGGGATGGAATGGTCGGGTTCTGAATCTGCACGCGAGAGAGCCCCGCCGGGCCTAGTGCGTTCCTCAAGAAGCAGATGACCGTCCTCTCACGGTCACTTGAGATGATCAACGGTCCATGCGCTCAATAGGAGTCATTCCCAAATTGCCTAGACGCGCGAACTCCGCTAGACTCTGATAGATTCTGAAAACCGTCAACCGCCCCCCGACGGCTGTACGAGGTCGGGCAAGATATACAGCGTCACACAATTAACGACCCTCCGACTATCCAGTCCTTCCAAAGCGGAAATCCTCCTAGCCTTGATGTTAGTTCCGGGTCTCACAGCAGTCGGCGCGCAACTGCCGCCGTTGACAAAGAGCTCGATTCCCCCGTCACACCAGGAGAAAGCAACTCTACCTTTGGCAGCCTCTGTCGACACAATGTCGCTCTTGCAAGATTCGATTCAGGGAATGATGTCATCTCTTGTGTTCGGCGCATTCGAAGGTCACCATGCAGGACCAGCATTCTCCCCACCAAACCCACGCCGTCGGATGCAACATGCAGGCTGTCCAACAATGTTGAACACACATCTGATATCGCATTATATATCAAATTTCGTGTCTGTGGTATGATTGGGCTTGCCGAGAAACCCATGCGAACATGTTTATGGACGGAGACACAGACCCGGCATTTCAAAACCCTGCTACTGCTAGATCCCTCGAGGCTCTCCCCTCTCGATTAGCTGCATTGGCAAGCCCGCTATCACACGCTAAACCCTGTCTGGAGCCTTCCCCGTTCCATAGCGACCGTTTCTACGACTGAGACTATGCTAGGAGAATTTAGCGTGCTCATTCCCAAGAATTCCCTCTAACCCAACAGAGTGGGGCTCTAGTCTGTCAGCAGGCCCAGAAGGGAATGGGCAAAATTATCAGTTGTTGGACAATGACAGATTGACAGCCCAAGTCGGAGCATTCATAGCATTCTCCCAAGAGCCGACAATAATTCAAAAACAGCTTCTCCAAGGACCTTCTGGTGCCTGCCCCAGAATGCAACCGCGGCAGCAGGCAACAGCGCGGAGTGGCAAAAGATATAGGAGTAGATAAATAAATAAATAAATAAGAAAAGGGAAAAAAAGGAAAAAAAAAAACTAAAAAAACTAAAAAAATCCCAAAAAACCCATCACCGGAGAGGCAATAAAAGAAAAAGCTTCAAAATACTCCCGGAGAAGAATCTTAAAGCCATGGCCGGTACGAAATAGGCATATCCGGATCCATCCTAAGCCATAAATGGTTGAGGGCGGCAAAAATGGACACATAATGCAGCCTGATCCGTCTAGGGCGGATAGGCCGGGATAGTTGTGGCATGTGGCCAAGTTCATCACACGCGTCACAACCAGTTCCAAAATTGGGACTTTATACAGAGTAACAGGCATACCTTTAGGGGATTCGGAGCGTTGCGAATCGGCGAAAGCCACGAGTTGCACAACCCTGCAACGGCGAAGCTGCATCAATTCTGAAACAAAGAAAGAATGAACTAGGGAGAAGTGGGAAGAATGTAAGAATCTATCATAGCACCACGAGATAAGCCGGAGAAACTCTTTCTAAAATTATAAAATGCTGCCATTTTGCAGCCGAGACATGGAATCGGGTCTAGCATACCGCACGTAATTTTCGCGTTCTATTTAGAGCCAAAAATTGGCCGGAGAAACGAGCTGCTATAGCTGCGTGTAACTGTGGACAGAACCATCTCCGACAGGGTCCGAGATTTTGGATTGAGTTCTGACATCCGAAGATGGAACGGAGGATTTCATGGATCATTTGTGTATCACCAAGTTCCTGTTATAGGCTGGACTGCCTTTCCTGCCAATGATCTTTTGACCTAGTTTGATGCAGTCAGCATACCATCACATGGCGTAGCTCGATAAGCGTATTGCCGCGTTGGGCCATAGTTTGATAGATTGTAACTAGATATTGAGGTCGGAAATGGCCACTCCACCCTCGCCACGTTGCTTATGCTAGTATAAATCTTGTCGCACATGAAGAGAGGCTACCATTCATGCTCCCTGCCATGCTTCAAACCAAGCTGGCATGCTATGCGAACGGCGTCTTTACCATTACCCTTGTCCTCTCTGTGATTTTAGTAGAGTATACATCATCACGTTTACGGGACTACCGTCGATACGGATGCTAGGCCCGGCTTAGCAGGTGGAGAGCCAATTATAAGATCTGCTGCACTCCAATCTCTTATGGTGAACGTGGCTGAGCATGCTGCAGTATGAGTAGAGATTTTGCGGTCTACAGGGTGTTTAGTGGAAAGCGGGATTCTCGTATAAACATGAGAGTGCGGTCAGGTGAACAGCTGACAAGGACTTGAAATGCAGCTTATTCCTCTTCTGATTCATCGCCAAAAGGTTTTACTGATAGAAGCCCGTTCCTCGATTGATCTGTTTGTAATGACCAACAAAATACTGTGGACAGGATTCTGATACTAAAGAGTTTGACGAAGTGTTGTATGGAAACAGGCAAAATTCATGTCCCCGGTTCTTCAACCAACGCAACGTATTGCAAGGTATTATACCGTGAAAGATTACTACTCTGCATAAGCTAGATGCGCATGCGGGCCTTGGATCGTCCGCCGGGGTCATGCTCAAACCCAGCTTTCGCAAGTTCGAGCATGGCTACGGTCTTTGCTGTGGTCTCCTTCTGATTTAGATGCTTTTTCGGCTGTTTGGCTTTGAAACCGCCGTCTTCCCTAGAGGTGTTCCCTATGGGGCCGTAGGGTCCTCGATGTAGGACAGCATCGTCGAGGATCTTGGGGTTTTGTGCAACTCCGCAACCTCGGTGCTGCCTCGTTTTGCGAGCCTTCCCAATACTCTCTTATCTTTCATCGCCTCGGGATATCTCTGCTGAGGGTGGCAAAAAGCAGTAAAAACAGTATCATGTTCAGGAGTGGCCTTCTTTAACGCGAAACTTTCGACATTTGAGTTTTTGACTGTCAACTGAAAGAGGTCCTGCTGTGCCCAACTTTCCATTCGAGCCTTATTATTTTCGCAATCGACTCGAAGTGTTAGACACATATTGGCGTTGCCTTTATTGGGTCTCCGTAGCGAACATCCATTATTTCCCGTTGTCTTCAGTATTCACCACTGAAATCATAAGCGAGGGCGTTTTGGCCTTAGCAGGACCAGATGGAAAGGGTGACTGTCTTCTTAGCAAGCCAACCGTAGTCAGGTAATTGTCTCTGGTACTGGTTTTGCCTATGCTTGTAGCGCCATGAAAGCCTTCAAGGCATCATATAGTCCCGTTGGGATAGGCCTCTTTCGTATTCGGGAACTGATCTCGTCCGTAGCGGTGACACAAGTTCAGGAAAGCTTCATGATATGTAATCATGTCTCGAGGATCCGTGGATATCCAAGGGTGAAACCAATGTTGGGTTATTCACTTCTCCACTTGGTTCCCTCGTACCTTCCAAAATTCCAAGCAGCGAAATCTGGGCATGACTGTGACTGTATTCAGACTGCCCAGGTCGTATGCAGGCGGTTGATCCATAAATGTACGGACGAACATTTCACAAAATGAGTGATAATTGAGAGAACAGAGTATCGTAGTCGGCGTCAGCTTTAAGCAAGTCTATTAAGGGGGGGTGGGAAACAGAAAGAAACTGAGAATACACCATGAGTCTCGGATTTTCTTGTCGCTTCATTAGCCTCCTTACGCGGTATACTGGGACTCACATAGCTCATCATCGGGTTGTTCAACTGGGGAGACTGGGGACAGAGGTAGATGATAGGGCTCTCAGAGCAGCAAATTTAAGCCGTACAGAAAATTCCTCGGAGGAAGGCCACTCTGGTGCCTCTTTCTAATACTTTCAAGGTTGCCAAGGCGGATGTTCGCATCATAGTCCATCGTGAAGCCTATACGCTCACGTAGCTGCCACCTTTTTGACCTGCTGAACATTAAACATAAAGTATCCGAGGCTCCTCCAGATGCACGTCGTTAAGTATTTCAAAGAGGCGGGAGCCAAATTTGAGCAGGCTGTCTAAGCCGAACGGGGTCATATTAACGCAATTTTCTGCTCTCCATTCGCGGAACTATCGCAGAAACCACTCATAACGATCTTCTCAGAGAATTTGAGGTAGCTTCCGGTCTTCATTTCCGAGAAGTGCAGCCTCAACCAGTACTACCTAGGTATGATTGAGAGATGGACAAGATTTTGACAGTTGGAAATGGCAGTTGTCCTGGACATAATGATGATGCTGGACTGTCACAGATGATTGGACAGCTTACTGATCAGTCAAGGGAATGTAGGGTGAATATTCTAGATCGCGATTGGAATCACTAGGAAGAGAAGCCGGCGATAAAGCCCAAACTCGGTATAAAGAACTTGCACAATAGACGTTTTGTACCCAAGTCCAAGTCTGAGTTCAGACCTGCAATTCGCTATCTCTACTTCCCCTATTATGTGCAGGTGCCCCGGACGTCGTGGTAACTGTCAAAACCTCTCAGTACGAGAATTCTTGCGGCTAGATCATTGATGGATTCACAGGAATGGGATGGGTCAGGAAAGCTTTGCTAAGAAATTCCAGGACCCAGTTCAGGGAGCTCGTCGAGAGGAAAGGCACTGATGGGGATGATCAAAATGGCCGCACACGAATCCATCGCAGTCAGGTCATATATGTGCCGGTTTGAAGCAAAAAGCTTACAAAGTGAAATATTAGGGCGCCGATGACAACAATCCCAAAAAGAAAAATACACGCATACGCAGCAGGCATTTTTAATAATACCCCTGAGCTCCATTTTCGGTCCCGTACCAGAAAGGGTTAAAAAAAAAAATTCAAAACTATTGAATTCTCCAAAAATTCGAGCCCCCGGCGAGACTCGAACTCGCAGCCTTTGCTTTGCTGATTAATAGGAGAGCAACGCGCTACCATTGCGCCACGGGAGCATGTTCCAATCGAAATTTTCAAAGTATCCATGACCTTGGGCCAATTTTTCGATCCTAATCCGGACACGCTTTAATCGTTTGATCTTTGGGAGTTTCCGAGATGGATGGGTTTTATTAGTCTGGAAAAGGCGCTGGAAGCAGAACTTGTATCTAGCTACTTGAAGTCTAGGATTCACTAGTAGCACAACTTGAAAAATCCAGAGGCTTATGTCTAGGGTGAAGCGGGGTTTCAACGCCACTGGCTTGGACTAATTGCATGGCCGGAAACCTCCCGAATGGAGGTGGTTAAGGAGGCACAGAAACGAAAGTCGCTTATCAACTTTTGGTACCTGGCCGGTGGTACCATGCTAGTACCTAGTCACTTTCGTTTAGTGGCGTCTGGGTGTCCATTCTGGACGGTAGCAGCCTACTGCTATCCAGCACTAGTACCTCGTTATTTTAGAGATCTTTCATAGTCGCATATTTTCAACTATAAGTATTGTCACCCAAACGAAGGCGAATGTGTAGCTTGGACAAATTTAGATTCATTGAATGCCAAGAGAGCTTTCACCATTCATTGCGTGTACTCGGGTACGCGGATACCCTCCGGACTGAAAACCCCTGTGCTCCAAATCCGAAAACGAAGGAAATTGTAAGCGCCCGGGAAAGTATGCCGGCTTCGGCGCGATTTGCAGTGGGTTCACGATGGGGCCATAGCGGTGAAGGTCATCTGAACGAGCAGCCTTAGTAAGTACTCACTCTACAGCCTTTGAAGTGCACATGATGGCTTCGTTGGCAATGGGCTGAGGGTGGCAAGTCCTGGAACCATCGGGCGGGGGACACGTTTCAGAAGGTTGGGGGCAGTAGGGAGACACCAGACACGTTGGGAGCTATTCTCCGTACACAGCTGGAGGGGAGGGCAGTGCACCGCTGCTGCCGCGGAAGTACGGCATACGGAAAGAGAAACGGCAATGTTGCTCATTCACAATTGGCGGTGACTCAGCATGATCCAGGAACCGCCTGGGCAAGCCCTGGGGTGCAGGGGTACGAAGAGAACGGCGACACAGGATGGATCCAGGGGAAATGGGTCTCGAAGGGTCAGCAGAAATCGTTGCGATCATAATGACACCAAGCAAGAACAAGACCTCCCAAGACAGCTTGGAGAGGAAGAGCTTCATCCCCCGAGTGCTGCGTTCCGCATGCGAGTCTCGTCACGATGTTGAGGGCGAACGGATTTCCGAATGCGGTAATCCGGGTCGATCTCAAGTGGGTTACCTGTACAACGTTTCCATTCGAGAGTCAATCAGAACGGAAGATAAGCTCCGCCAAGGGCCCACGGAAGAAAACTCGAAGAATCAACTGATCAAAAGTTTGGGGCCGCACCCACTTCGCATCCACTCTCCCTCCACTCCAGTTGCTGGAAGGCCACTGTAGAGGTGCATGAGGGGCCCGGTGTACCCGCAAGGACCCACCACACGATGCTGAAATTTTCTGCGTTTCTAATTCTCAAGGGCGAGGCGCCCGACCACAGAGAACCGGCCGAGAATCAAGGGGCGCTTGGGGAGAAGAACTTGAAATCCTGGAAATGGCCGAGCTAGATCTCAGGACGACTGAGCGCTGCAAGCCAAAAACATTAAAACAAGGGCAAAAGCAAAAGGAAGCACGCGGATTGGCGGGATCTAGAGGCCTAGAACCGTAAATGGCGGACCTGCTGACCCGGTCGACCTTTTTGCGGCGTTCCCCATACCTGTAGATCCCCACCCGTATAAGACACTCTTTCGCCCTCGACATTTCTCATAATCTTTCCCCTCGATCCTCGAGTCAACCTACATCTACTTGACAAGAATCCACAATTCTCAAAAATCTTACGAATTGGTCCGATTGTATCAATTCATCACAAGAAATATATATATCGACACTCGAACAAGACTTTTTTTTCTTTCCTGGTCTGAGGACCAGAATGCCTAGTGTCGTTGACAGAATTACACCTCCTGCTTCACCAAAGCCAACAAGAGCCGAGCCTCTTTTCCAACAAAGAACAAAAGCCCGTTGGCCCCCCCATGGCAAACCGCAACTCCCTCCCCTACAAGCTCACAACTATCTCGAAAGAGAAGTTGACCCGGGAAGCTACTGCTCCCGACCCCGATCTGCGTCGATGTGTGGCCCATTTCAGATTACATTGTGGCTCTGTTCTGTGGACGGAGAACGATATGAAATCTCGCATGAGTGCTTTTGAATTTGAGGAAACCGACAGCGAGGCAGAGTCAGAAGACGAGCCCGATAGCCACGACCAGGCGGACGAAAAGCCTCGGGACACCGCCATTGTCACTGTGCAGGTCACAGAGTCTGACAAGAAGCATCAGTCTGCCCCATTACCAGAACACACTCCTATCAAAAGGAATCATGACTCCAAGGACAACTTCTGTTCAGTCACCGTTCAACCAATCGCTGCTTAAGCCTTCTCTTCTCGACCTCGATTCTCTCCACAATACCAGGACTTCGATATCCTGTGACACAACAATATAATGATAATGATGTTACGAGTGACGACATTGAAAACTGGATCTTGTATATAGAAAAGTATACATTTTAATCCATGTGAACTTTTTTTTTTTTGCTGGTCAATCGTGAATTTCTGGATATCTGGGTAGATCTTGCTGTACTAGTATTAATTTCACGCTTAAAAGTTCCAATTCGGTAAAAAAAATTCTCTTAAGAAAACCCTTCACCCAACCCGCCCCCTTTCCTGTTACCCCTTAGAAGCCGTGCAGACCATCGTGACTCAAGCTCCAGTCACGTGAAAGTGTTTTTGTTCCGAGTGGCGACAGGTGGGTCTCCGGGTGTCTTTTGTCACTTTTCCGGATCTATTTTAGGCCTCCAAACCATGAGCTCAGCACATGATCATAGACTATGGGAATAGGTTCGCGATCTTGGAAGTTCAGGATCGAAGGACAGTCCAGGATTATCGACTGTGGCAAGCGAGAGACATGTCTTCTGTCAGAACGAAGTCACCTAAAGATGTGGCGACCCACATGACGATCCCCCCCCAGACGAGTGATTCGCCGGAGCTCCAGCGACTTGCTCCGAAGGTTTCGAATGTCGTCGAATGTTCGGTGGCAACGGGCAACAACATGCTTCAAAGGGTAAGTGATTGGTGTTCGTGGAGGAGTCACCCCAGGGAATAAGGTATTGTCTCCACCGTCCCGCACCCCAGTTTGTCTGTGCGAAGGGCTCATATGACTGGCTGGAATGTCACCCGCAATCTTTGGCATCGCAATATTGATATAGGCTAAACGTCACCGTTAGGTTCCCAGGATGCTGAGGAGTAGAAGACCCAGAATCTTGCTATCGCATTGGGGTTACTGGATTCGGTATCCCGAGTGAGGCTGAGGCTCTCGAGGCGCAAGACATAAGAATGTCGTCATACTTGATACGCTGAATCGTCCCGTGACAGCTCATTTTTGGGAAGGGAAGCTCTCGTGAGCAGGGCTAAAGATGGCTTTATTTCCGCCAATTGTTTGTCGTGGATGGCTGTGGTGAAGTATAATCCTGGCCACGCCGAGCCAAGTGACGACACGCAGGAAAGCTGCCCAAGAGCTAGCTAGTTAAGTGTCAAGATCAGGTTTTAAGCAGAGCGTACGAGCCAAGGGGTCAAAATTGAGGTAATTATCACGAAAATAATTCAACGACAAATAGCGATGTCACACCGAATCACACTTGATACTCATGGATGAAAATTCAAGGGTGTTGTACAAGTCGCATGATTGTCATCGCGAGGCGAGTTCTTGGCCTGGAGCCCTTCCCGGTATTGTGAACCAAGGACCAAAGGCCTTGTTGCTCACTGCCCCGGGAAGTCGAGATTCGTACGTGGAAGACCTACGGTGCGGAAAGACATGGAAAAGGTGGATTGGATATCGAGGTCCTTCTAGCCTTCGATACCTGCATCAATCTTGCCCCACAGTTTCTCTCCTACTCTAATTATGCGCGGAACATACGAAAAGTCATAATCACACCCCCGCGACGTCCAGAGTATTTGGTATCACTCAAGTCCTTTGGCAAAAGATGCCCGTCCCCATTTGCGATGAGTGCTTCGGCCAGAGTAGACATCCCAACAACAGCGAAACCAAGCCGCTGATATAGCCTCACAGTAGCTTGGTTTTCTACCTTGACCATGAGACGCACAAGAACGCTTGGAGGGCTTGGTTGATAGTGTTGAAGATACCCAAGTGCTTCGCGACAAAGATTCCCGCCGAGTCCACCACCCTGGTGCTCGGGGAGAATGAACAAGCTCAGCATTTGCCATCGCTCCTCTTCTTGGTCCGATCTTGGATCCGGCTGCCCAGATTCCGCAGGCAAAGTGAACTCGGCTTGGGACAGCGGGCCACGAATTGTGACTTGGCCCACCCAGTTCACCCAGTCGGATCCATTTGCGCTCTGATTTGGCGCAGTTGCGGCGCAAATAAAGACTTCGCGGCCAGGGATTGTTAGGCGCTCGACCCAGTCCGATTCAGAAAAGGCTGCTTCGATATCATACGTTGAGGAAAATGAGGCTGGCGAGGCTTGCAGGGCTCTGAGGCGCAGGTCTCGGTATTTCTGCGCGGATTCATGCACTGCATCAGACTTCGACACGCGAAAGTAGGAATAAATGTGGTCTTTGGCCATTATGGAAATCAGCGAAAGATAATATCTAATATCTCCATAGTGTTGCCAGCGACTTTTGGAATTTGTAGTCCCTGGGCCGGTGCATGACACACTCCGGCGAATTGGAAAATTGCCGGGGTGCTCTTAGGGCGCGCGGCCCACTTCGATCCGGCAATTTTGAAAACTACCGGACGATCGTAGCTTGACCATCGTCCTGAGTAATCTGGCTTACTCGAAACCATACTGGACTCTGCTCTGGAATTAGAGGATATGCAAGAAAGCGGACTATTGGCCAACCCGCCAGATGGCCATCCCCGGAAGAAGGGACTCAGAACTCCAAGAAGATCTATCGCGCAAGGGGTCCCAGCCTACCTTACCTATCCCGGTTCTCACTAACCTGAATCCCAGATGCAACCGCTGTCATGAGCAGAAAAGCAAATGCTCTGGGGAACGGCCATGCCTGAGGTGCAGAAAAGCGGGGTGCTCTGCTCAATGTAGATATGCGCATCGTGATCGCAAAGTGCGAGTTGGTGAAAAGTAATTTACACTACGGGATCGTCTTCCTCCGACTAGAAGGGCTGACAAACTTCCTTAGCTATCTTGAGCAGCTTTTACGCGACAGTGAGGAGTTGCATGCCCAAAGGCATCAGGTATCCCACCAGGAACCCCCCAAGTGCTGTCAACCCGAATCGACTAGATACCTCTTTCGCGCGCCCCGCTAGCAACCCTGCGACAGTCCAAATCCAAGAACATGAAGAAGAGGCACCGTGGTTTCAGATACCCGAAAATTCTGATCTTCCTGTTTATACCAGCGAAGCTGCCTGTGCTGCGTTTGCCACTCGCTTGTGCCAATGCCTCCGAAGCGACGGACCCCCTATCCTTCATATTCCAAGATGTAGTTACACTGACGAGTCGACACTGTTCAGCCTGGGCCAGTCCAGCGTGGAGTGGCCAAGCCTCATTTCTGCAAAGCTCTTGTTGAAAACTGCGTTGGGCCATATCAACCCGGCCTTCCACCTGGTACTGAAAAGGGAGACGCTCAATACGCTCGAGAGCGTATACGCGCAAAAGAAATTCGATAACATTGCTTTGAAATGCAAGTATTTCACTCTTTTTGCGATTGCTAAGGTATATTCCATACCTCACGGACTTTCGAACACGTCGCATGTGCCAGGGACCGAATATTTCGCACGAGCTTTAGGTCTTCTTCAAATCCTTCCAGAAAGGCCCAGTATAATACATATAGAGATTCTTCTCCTGCTGGTAGGATCGGAGCCCGAAAATAGCCCAAGGCCGCTGGTTTATGGATACTGACTTTTGGAAGGCGTACTTTTGTCAGTTTCTGAACAGACTGCACTCAGCCTACCTACTGATAGGAAACGCATTGAGGCTTGGCCTGACGGCTGGCCTCAATCATAACGTTCCCTCCGGCCATAGCCTGGGCCCCATAAATAGGGAGCATCGAAAACGCTTATGGTGGTCTATATACGTGCTTGATCGATTTTGGGGATCGAAGTCAGGATTCCCTGTCCAGATGCAAGATGACGATATACACGTTGACTTACCTTCGCAATTGGCCACCGAAAACTACGGCGACCAGTTCTCGGACTCCTCATACCAGATTGCGTCTATCGAGCTTGCCAGGATAACGGGCAACACGACCAGGGAGATCTACACCAGGCCAAAATCGAAAGATAGCTTCCTCCAACGAGAGCAGAAGCTTCTTATCGAGTTGAAGGAGTGGGTCAAATCATTACCGGAGCATCTACGCCTCCATCCGGGAAAGTTGAATTCAAAACACACCGTCTTAATGCACCTGCAATTCAGCTATGTAAGTACCAAGGACTTCTGATTCGTACTGCTTCTTTGCTAAGTGTCCCATCTCTCAGTGTGTGACCCTGGGGCTTCGTCCAGTCTTGCTTCATCTAATAAAACGATCCTATGCACACAGAATGGAAGATATGCGTGACGAGACTGCTCCAGTTCTTGAAACATTGAGCGAAGCTTGTATCCATGCTGCACGATACTCCCTGAAATTGTGTATTGAAGAATGGACAAGCGGGTCTCTTGCTATATTCGGATATGCTTTTCCTGCCTTCATATTCTCATCTTCCCTGGTGTTAGTCGCTTCTAACCTGCTGACAGCCGGCGACCAGAGTGATGCAGCCTCCGTTGAGACAGCAGCCGAGATGCTCCAAATCTTAAGCACTTCCCACAACTTGGCTGCGAAGGATTTTCACGAGCACCTGCAAAGCGTGAGAGAGCATCTTCGCAGATATCAATCCGATATAAAGAACGCCAGTGGTGATTCAAACACAGGCTTTGCTCTGCAAAAGAGAGCCGGCTCGATACCACCACCAGCACATGAACGTACTCTCCTTTCATCTCCAAATTTGCCCTTTGAAGATAATCCAACAGATGGTCTTCCACCTGGAGGATATTCTATCCACGATTTTACGACAGAAATGGTGCTTGAAAGCGCCCTGATGCAGGAATTCTTGACCCAGAGTACGTCAGAAGTCGAGTCGCTTAATCCTTCGGGGATGTCGGACGCGTTCGATGCGGCGTTTTTCTGGCCGTACGATAGTGGCCTTCTGGACTCGTAAAGGCCTTGATCAAGAGCCGACTTCCATTTACCATGCCCCATTTATCGCCCCGTAATAGTTTCCATCAGAGCTTTGAACCGAACGAGTCAGCATGGGATATCCAAAGGGACGCTAGTCCGTTTTTGGATAACCCGCGCCCGCGAGCTGATTAAACTCATACGCCATTCCTATTTTAGGTTAGCGCAAATTCGTATCTACGACTTTTGTACCAACTTGAATCTCTTCAGAAATCCCGCGATGTGATTAAGGCTGAATATTTCAAAGTCGGTGCCCGGGCCCACGAGTATCCTATCACGTATTGGACGTAATTGCCCTTCGGGCCTCCCGAACCGGCTTGAACTTGGCTTATCGAGAAGATAGATCTCTGGAGATCTTGAAGGCAGCTAATGATCAGGGAATCAATACCTGGGATAATTCGAGTCCCTACTTCAACCGTAGAAGCGTGGAGATTCTCGGGAAAAAAGCACTCGAGGCATTCAGCATCCCCTGTGAGAAAGTCATACTGATGATCAAATGTGGCTTCCATGTTGGCCGATGTTTTTGGCCAAATCTTCGGACCTCGGACACATTATAGCAAAGACCACGTCCACCAAGGGGGTATAGATGCAGATACAGGTTATTGAAGGTATAGCGCTGACAATGCAGGGCAGTTGACGAACCTCTTGCTCGCCTGGGAACCACATACATTGATATGTTCTCGATCCACCGCTTTTACTCCATGAGACCAATGGAAGAGACCATGAAAGCCTTAGATGAAGACCTAGAGTCAGGGAAAGCCCGCTGCATTTGCGCACGTCTCCATGTGGGCCACCACTTTTGCTCAGATGTCGTGGGTTGCTGAGAAGCATGGCCGGACCAAGTTCGTTAGCATGCAGCACCACTGCAGTCACTTCCACGTGAAGAGTGAAAGATGGATCGCTTCTGCGAAAGCATCGGTATGGGACTACTTCCCTGGACGCTCTTGCTTGCCAGACAGCTCGCGCACCCGGTTCTCTCTGGCGTGAGTACAGTTGACGAGCAGATCATCAGGCGAATGGAGGAGATTGCGAAGAGAAGCGGTGGCCGATAAGCTGTGTTGCTTTGGCATGGTTCAAGGATAAAAACGCAGCCCCGATAGTGGGAGCCAGCTCTGTTGCGAATATTGGAGACTTGAATGAGTTGAAAGGGAGGATTTGAACCAAATGAGAATTGGAGCTACTGGGGGGGAGCTATATCAGGTGAGGCCTGGTGTGGGACATGTTCAGCAGGGTGTTTTCTGACTGCATCTTTGTATCTCGGCTCTAACTATCGCCCTTGGATTAATATTGTATATGTGCATTAAATCATAAGTACTTGTCTGCCACCGTACGATTGATTTCTAATCTTCGGATATAACACCTGGGCACCTGGGCCATCCCAGACTCCGAAGGCAAGATCCAGCTTCTGGACTTCCACAGCGTTGTTCTTCAGGTGGTCGACGTTCGATATTTCAAGGCTATTACGTTGGTAGAAGGATTACAGCGATTCCGAGCAAAACTTTGGACCCTGTCCCAGGAGAATGTCAGCTTCGGGAGCTTTGCGCTCTACGGTCGTTTTTACGTTGACGCGGGTTTCTTGCAGGTCATGCACCCAAGACTGGGGAAGACGATTATTCTGCTGCTGTAGAGCTCTGAGATCAATTAACCTAGGGCTTAGAGGCAAAACCGGCCACAAAGCCCGGGAGATGACTTGAAGTTTTACGAAGGTCCATGTTTTGCTTTTTGAAAATTTACCGCTAATATGTATGGTTTCAGTAAAATATTACCCACGATAATCGCCTCCCCTTTCCCCATTCCCCTCTATCCCCTCTCTACCCTCCTAATTATTATCATGCCGTCTAAACCGATACTACGGACTGCTATCCTTACGCTTAAAGCAGTTGGATTTACGTCTGAGCAAACTGCTGCTAAGCTGAATATTACTACATCTCAAGTCAATTCTGCCATCCGGAAAGCGCAAAAAAAGGGGTTCGATCTGAATCAAGCCAGAACTGGAACTCTTGTTCTTGAAGATGAATACGTCTTTGACGACGATCGGTCTGGACGCCCTCGCAAGCAAGAAGATCTTACAGAATTGATTCTATCAAAAGCTCGAATTGATCGAAATTGTGATCATATTGCAATGGAACTCACAGCGGAAGGCCACAGCGTATCAGCAACAACAGTTTGGCGAGTTTTGAAGAAAAATGGACTTGATAAGACTGAACCAACTCGAAAGCCTGGCTTGACTGATGAAAACCCTAACTCGACTGATAAACACCCTGATTCCAGCGTGGATTGAGCGGATTCCACACCAGACTCGGCGAATTCTGGAAACCACAGCTTGGCTCGACTACAAGGTTTCTCTTGGGTTCTTCTATAGTACATCTTCATGTATGATGATGGCTCTCCGTTGAGAGGTGGTCTACATAGCAGGGTGACCATTCTTTTAGACTCGGTCATCATTCAAGGGCGCTCGATAAATGCTATTTCTATAAAACAAAGTCCATATATATCTGAATCACCATCACATATCCAGACTCATGGAGTCATTCTCGGGACAACCTGACCAGGAGGTTTTCTTGCGAGAAAGAGGGCTCATAACTCTTATTTCATGGTGCTATCAACCAATTCGCGGTAGATCTTCTTCAGGTCAGCAATATCAGCCTGGAGCTCTTCCACCTGCTCACTCTTTTCACCGAGCATTTCAAGTGTAGTTTGGTATCGCTGGTCGATATCCTTAAGCTGATTTTCGAGCTCCTGGACACGCGCGTCGGAACTCCTCTTCTCTTCCAGCTCACGCATAAGATCGACTACTTGTTGCCGAGATTCGTCACGTTGGGCTGTGACACGCATGAGCTCATCCTTGGAGCCAGCACGCTCGCTCTCGAGGCGACGTACGGTAGCGCTCATTCGCTCCACTAGCTGGACGGATGGGCCCGCACCTACGGTCGATTCGGAGATTATATCGTTGATGCCACGTGCGGGAGCAGCTTGGGTACCGCCATACGCGGACGGAGTAGCTGGTGTGCCTGAGAAGAACTCATCTGGTTCAAAGTTGATCTCGGGAGTCTCCATAATCATGGATGGGCCTGTGGTGTTGAGAGGTGGCGGAGAAAGGGCCTCATGGGCGAGAGAGGTTGGGTATGAGTTTTGACGGGGTGGTGTGCCAATATCTGGGGAAGCAAAGGGGAAAGCTGATGATCTCCGGCTAGACGGCCGAGAGTCCGACAATGTGGATGGCATAGGATCGAGGTTGCTCGATCGGCGAAGGGATTGAACAGGAGATACACCTCGGGTTGGTTGGAGGCTGCTGACTTGGTCTCGCCATTTAGAGCGTTCTTCTTCCAGTCTCTGTGTCCAAGTGGCTTCGATGCTCTTCTTTTGCTCGCCGAGCTCTCTTTGAGACTCACTGAGCTCGTCATTTGCTTTGTCCAGTTTTTGCTGTAATTTTTGCAGGTCCTGGATGCGCTCCTGAAGTCTATTCTCAAGGTCGTGCTCAGCATCATTCGCACTCTCCACTTCCTCTTCGAGCTTCTTAACCTTCGTATTCTGCTCAATCTGTTAATCGTGGAAAGGGAAAATTCAAGACAAACATCAGACTGACCAGTTCCCGAATCTTCTTTCGTAGTTCCGCTTCTTTCTTGCTCAAATCATCCCGCTCTTTCTCCACACTTGCCAGCCGAGCTAATAGAGATCCCTCAAGCGTATGCCAATTCTCACTGGCAACAGAGTACTGCGTCTGCAAGGTTTCGATCTGTCGGAGGAGCTTGGCTTGCGTTTCACCCGTCGCTCCAGAGGAAGCTTCTTCAGCCCGAGATCGGAGACTTTCCATTTTGCTCTCCAGGACAGATTGCTCGCCCTTCAACTCGATCTCCAGCATACGTGCCCGCTCCTTCTCCTGATCGACTTTTTCCTGCAGCTCGCTGATTTCCTTTTTCATCTTTCCGTTGCTGATATCACGTTCAATTTTAAGATTTGTAAGCTCCTCTTCAAGCTCGCTTGCCTTGCGCTTCTCTTGATCTAAAGCCTCAGAGTTGGCCTTTGCTTCGGCAGATTCTGCACGAGCAAGGGCTCGACTGAGCTGTGCTTTCATCTCTTGCACCGTTTGGCTCAGCGCATTCCGTTCGTTCGTAACCGCATCGAGATCCTTATTCGTTTTAGTCTGAGATGAAAGAGACTCCATTGCTCTCTTCTCCGCTGCCTCGGCACGTTGGGCTCGGGCTTCTGCGCTGACTGCATCTCGTTCGGACTTGTCTGCTTTCTTTTTCAACTCCGTTTGAATCTTGAAATTTTCGGCAAGCTGCTGACGCAGTTTCTTAATCACCATACGATGATCCATCTCTGATTTTGACAGCTTCTGTCCTTCTTCAAGGAGCAACGCAATCTTCTCATCCTTTTCGAGCAATTGTCTTTTGGTGCTTCCAGGCGCAGCATCAGCAGCTGCGCTCTTGGCCGATTCAGCTGCCTCTTTAGCGAGGTATTGGAGTTTAGACTGTAGGGCATCAATTCGTTCAATATAACCGTGTATTTCTTCCTGTCGCTGAGCTTCGACAGTTTTCTCCTCATCTGTCATAGAGTCCGGAGGGAAGTCCACACTAATTCGCGGACTGTCAACTGATGGTCGAGTGAGAGAATTTTCGGGCGGCTGTATATCTGTTCGTTCCTGGCTGTTTCTATGGAACTCCGAAGGACGCTCGGCGACGTCACCCGAAGCTCTAGGTGACGATTCCACGGCGCTTCCATCGATTGATTTTCGTATCGGTGCATTCGAATCAGAGCTGGCTCTAGGTAGAGACGCTTCGTCAGCGGCATCTGATCCCTCCGCGACGGACGAAGCGTTCACTTCGACATCCATGCTAGATCGCGCACCGTTGCTGGGTGCTGGACTGGCAGCTAGTGATCGGTTTGGGGAAGATTGGGAATTCCGACTTGCATGGCTCGATTTGTTGGCCATCGCGCGCGCTAGGCGCTCCTGCAAGCGGTCATTTCGATGTGCAGTAGACGAGCTGCGAGAAATTGCTGGGACAGGGAGAACAAGTTAGCTACATCCAATGTCAATTGTGAGTAAATTGGTTCATACAGCCAGCAGGAGATTTCGATACCGACGGACCATTGGTCTCCTTCTCCTTCTCCTCCGTCTTCGCTGTTGTATTGGCAGGTTTCGACGGTTGATCCTCTTGATCCAAAAGAATGTTATCTAGCCGCGACTCGACACCAGCCACTGCTTGCTGGAAAAAAAGAGCCCACCCCCCATTTAGACTTTCCAGATTGCGAGTTTTGCGCCATGTTGGCAAGCGACAGGATTCAAAAGGTGCGACTCGGGCTATTTCGCCGTAACCACTTCGTGTTCAATTCGCATCAGGTCGGTGGGGGCTGTGCTCGGGCACGGGTCAGATTCACGTGGATATTGAGTGATCCGCATACAGCTTGTCTTATCCAATCTTGACTCGACCGGACTGGAGAAGCTTCTGTAGGCAACGATGTTTAGTTACCGGGGAATCGAGTGATCGTGGGATTATCGCAAAAATGTAGCAGCCAGTAACCACGTTGCAAGTGGCAAAGTCGCACAAGCAAACTGAAGGACCCAAGTCGCCGCCTGACTGGTAGAACCTCGTAAAGAATTGGTCCTTTGGCGGGGAGATGAGAGGGGAAGAGGACACACATGAAACCGATCTGTTGGGAACGGCGAGTCAGTCTTGGCGGAAGCTTCCGTCATCCCTCAAGCTTCCTCCACTGCTCCTCACTCCACCCTCGACCGCATCCTCCACAAATCCCCTCTTTTCTTCCTCCATAGATTGGGTCTCGTCCGATCACTATGTCGCTGGAGCCGCCCACTTACCTCAGTTCTCTGCAGAACAATATTCGGGCTCGGCCAATTCCCTGGGAGGGTGCCGTCCGGGCGGGCAACATCACCGATGAACACCTTAAGAAGATCAAGGCTGTGGACAAAGTGCGCAAGGAGCAGCGCGTTCATACAATCGAAGCGGATCTAGCTGCCTATTCTTCCCTTTTGGCTGGAGGCGCGCAGAGCAAGAGCGTCTTGGAGTCTGCCGCCCGGAGGACAGATATCGTCCAATACATCCTTGTCCTAGCTGCGGACCTGATCCAGGGTATGCTATGCATCTCTTTAGAGTGAAGGGGCTTTGGAATAATACTGACCACTTCCTCGTATGTTTATAGATGTCCCATCACTGGCAGATGCGCTCGTTTCTCACCCTGATCCGTACAAGCCATTCCTCCCGTTCCTGCAACAATCCAATAACGCCGAAGACCCCATCCCTCTTCTCACTTCTACATTTCTTACGGCTCTCGTATCACACAGCCTTGTCGCCTCATCCAAACCTGCACCCCGGGATGAAGACGCTCTACCTAAGCTCTACCACTATCTCTCCACCTTGACCAATAACCAAGACAGCGGTCTACAAGACATTGGCGTACAAGCATTCTCAGAGTTACTTCGGAAGAAAGTATCTCGTGAAATATTCTGGAACCAGCGGAAAGAGACCCTGAGCCCTTTGATCGAGACGCTTCGCGCTGCAGCTGGTGTCAAGGACAATGCTAGTATCGCGGCCAGCAGCACCCGCGGCATTGAACCTGGCCTGGCTGGTGGAGTTGGACTCCAACTGCTTTATCGGGTGCTTCTTGTGGTGTGGCAACTGACATTCGAGGGTGAACTTATAGGGGATGACCTGCAAGAGTATGCATCTCGCTTCAATTGTCTAGCTATTTACTGACCTTTGTAGGGATTATGAGATCATCCAGCTTTACACTCAACTCCTCCGTCTCTCGCCCAAGGAGAAAACCACTCGCCTGTTATTAGCTACCCTGTATAACCTTTTGTCCAGCAACCGAACTACTTTGCTCCCAGTTGCGACATTTGTCCGCCTGCCTGCTCTCCTCACCAACATTTCCGGTCGCCATTTGACCGACCCCGACCTGCTTGAAGACCTGCAATCTTTGACTTCCATGCTTGAAGAGTACACCAAGACTCAAACCACTTTCGATGAATACGCGGCCGAGCTTCAGTCCGGGCACCTGCGCTGGTCTCCCCCGCACAAGAACCCCACATTCTGGAAAGACAACGCCCGCCGCATTCTTGACGAGTCCAATGGCGCTCTCCCCAAGAAACTCGCCGAAATTATTTCTAAGAGCTGGGACAACGATAAGCAGGTCTTGGCTATTGCGTGTAACGATGTTGGTCAGTTGGTCAAGGAGTTGCCAGAGCGTCGCAATCAACTTGAGCGTCTTGGCCTGAAGGCTCGAGTGATGGAGTTGATGGCAGACAAGGATGAGTCAGTGCGATGGGAAAGCTTGAAGGCTGTGGGCGAATGGTTGCGATACACCTTTGACAGGTGAAGATACGCGCGAGGTTTCACTTTCTTTATTATCTCAGGTTGAGAGACTTCCCTTCTGGGGTTGAACATATTCACGTACTACACTATTGACTCCCTTATACTAGCATATACATCGACATTTAAACCGAGCATGCTTTCAATCACGTAGTGTTCTGCTGGTCTGATTGGCCTTCATTGGGCATTGATAGAAAACTCCCCGCCGATCGGTGGATCCCATGATAGAAGTACCGGCTTAACAGGAACCTCTGCGATAAGGCAAAGTGTCGATTTTTCCGACACTTCCAACTTAACTTATACAAACTCCATGAATTCCGCTCGTTCCCCTTGTTCCTTGTGACGCCTCGATCCTTGGAACCTCGAATTTGCCAGGCGCGGGCACCGGAGGTCTGACATTTCCCCGCAGAAATTCTTCTCTGGCTTACAAACTCCACTCCATCCCCGATGTCGAGATCGTTCACCGGCTGCACAAGATGTAAAGCAAGGCGCCAAAAATGCGACGAGCAACGACCAAAATGTGGCCGCTGCCAGACCGCAGGCGTGCAGTGCAAATATGCTATGCAGCTGCAGTGGGGAGGCCGCGCATTTTCTCGATCGCGATTCGGCGCCTGCGTCGACACCGGCAACATGCAGAGATTGGGTACGGACGATATGAGCGAGCATCAAGGCTACTGTTATCAAATACAGAGACTAACATGCTTCAGAATACTCCCCAGGTGAATTTATATACACCACCAAGGCTGGCGAGCGCAAAGGCAAGCCCGGCCCCGAACTGTCCCTCATACAATCCGTCGATCCTTTCTCCTCCTTATCATCGGAACAAAAGGCTCTTTTACACCATTTCATCAACGATGCCTCCCAAGCGACAGCATGTCACTCGGGCATGCAGCAGGATATTTGCCGGATGCTTGTCCCTATGGCCCTTCAGACACCGTCTCTCCTCTACGCCACCACAGCCCTCTCCGCTATCCATCTCCAAGCCCTCCAAAATCCCACTGGAAGCATTAAATCAGCCCCAGATATCGCCCGGTCCATGGCTTTAAGCCTTGAGCATTTCCGTAAAGAACTGCAGAATCCGTCTGCGCACGGCTCAGAGGCGTTGGTGGCGACTGCGCGAACCCTCTGTCTCGCAGAGATCCATTCCGGTGCCATCCACCCAAATTCATGGCGAGCACATATCGAGGGTGCGAGGGCCTTAATGAAAGCCACTGACAGTGGTGAAAACGCTACGGGCTCTGCGAACGGGTTCCGTCGGTATTTAGATAGATGGTACTGGTCCATCGTGTCGTTGACTGCGTTAACGGGTAACGGGCCCCCTATCGGTGAATCTGCGGACCCAGGGTCCGCAGATTTAGCTGGACGAAATGACTCACCGGATTATTTGGATGACTACTGGGGCTTCACGGTCAATTTAGCTGCGGTATTCCGCCAGATTGGCGCGGCCGCGTGGCGGAATACCGAAGCCGCGAAGAATGCACAGGGGTTCGTCGAGGGTGAAATAGATAGCAATGTGGAAGACGAGGCCGCATTGCTTGAGATGTCTGTCCGGCAACTCATGGACCGAGACGCCAGCTCACAGCCTTCGCTTTACCCGGGGGTTGCAGAGGGGCTGACGGCCGAGAGCGTGCAGCAGCTTGCGCTCTGCAATGAGGCATTTCAGCATAGTGCACTTATTCAAATCAATAGGAGGCTTCGAAGAGAGCCGGCTACATCGGCTATCATTCAGCAGTCTGTTCAGCGGATTCTGGAGTGTACGGCGCAGATTGGGCCATCAGCTGGCCTCAGTCCATGGGTTCTGTTGACGACCCCGTTGTTCATAGCGGGATGCGAGGCGCGAGGCAAAGATCGTGATACTGTTAGAAGCTTATTATCATCTTTGCATGATACGATTCACATTCCGAATGTGCTGCAAACTCTGAAATTCCTCGAGCAGTACTGGGCCAACCAGTTAAGCGAGGATGAAGATTGGAGTCATTTCCTTGGTAAGAGGTTATATGTTTGCTTTACATTTTATCTTCCACTGACTTCCTGTCTAGATCGTATGAATTTCGATTTCATACCTTACTAGAGTGTTTTAACAGTCGTGCTATGAGTGATGTATTTGTTGAGCGAATGAGCGATGATTTTGGGACGAACTCTTATTTTTGGGCTCTGATTGAATATGTCTGACTTATCTTCGGTGTCAAGGGTTTATCGGCGCACTATGGAATTGATGTGGGCGTGGACTTATCGCCATGGCGATCAAGATGTTATTCCAAGGTTAAACTGGCTGGTGTTATATAATCTAGTTCCGCTGATGGATATTTTTTCTTCTTTATTCTCCAGGCTTAAGCTAGCAAACATATGTGTCATTGTTATACTTCCGCGGCTTAACTTGGAGCGCCAGTCGTAGTTCATAGCGGGGCTGCTCGGGACCGTGTAATAATCAATGGTACGCGGGCCTTGGGGTCTGGGGGAAATGGGGTTTCCGCCAGTTGCTGCTTTGCGGGCTCCAGGGCTCCCATGTCCAAATATGGGAGATTCCAAAAATTGGAATTCTCTATTAAACAGAGTTGTTCAATGTTCGATGTAAAATTCGGTTTCTCCTGGTAAGAACTTTCTAATATCTATGAATATAAGCTTAGCCAAAGAGTGAAACTATAATAAACCTTAGCTTTTGGAAATTAGCTGGCTGAACCACCTTCTCATCTAAGCTCGGACTGAACTCGATCTCGAGAACAGAGCTATGTGCTCCTGAGCCCTCTCAGTAGCTATTGATGCTTTCAAGGGCCGATTTGGTAACACTTGTAGGTCGTCTTGGAGCCTGGCATCTAGGCATCAGAGGAAAGCTTCATGCTGCCAGCATAGAGGAAACCCCGGCAGTAACAATGTGCCGCTCTTTTGGTTTCAGCCAGTACTACTCCGTACTAAGGACTAGTCATACATCAATTTCAAGTTCAAATCCGCAGCTCCACTGAAATGCATTGACAGCTATGCAAAAGTACTACCTAATAATCCACTAATCAAACGCTTCATAGAAATCAATGTGCTCTACCAGTTCGCCCCGTATCCACGTTTATACCCAGGTCAGCCAGGTATCAAATGAGTTCCAAGGCAGGAGGCCATGTTCGTCTACGCTTGGATGAAGCGTCGGAGTCGTCATTGATACTAGGGGGGTAAAACAACCAACCACCCTGTCCAGGGATAGACAATGGTTCCGTGGATGTGTTCTCGATCTATCGTACTCGAAGCCACCTACGTTATCACCCTAGAGCATAAGGCGTACAAGATAAAGACCTTGCCTGACCTGGGATGAGAAATGCCATCCCCAATGAGGGTCTACGTCACGGGCGGCAACTATCATATCCAACGCAAGCCAGCCACCACCAGGTGGAACCAGTGCGACAAATCGGCTACCGATTCGGGGAAATACCCCTTGTTGCAGTGGATCGATCAAGTCAACTCTCCGCAAAGAGCACGCACACATCCAGAAGATCGTCATAGATAAGGGACCGGTCGAGACTTCTGGGGGATCGCGGCTATGCACAACGCAATCAGCCCACCCTGTTGCATCGGTTTCAGGAGACCCGAGACACCCTACCGGGCATCGGCAGCGGCTGTTCGATACCCCATGTCTCAAAATTGGGTCGCAATTGAATCGCGCAAAGGCTGGGTCGGGTCCCGCAATGATCACAGTTAAAAATACTATTGAATGGAGAATTACGACAATCGCTGGTTCTGATTGCTTGGCATAAACCGACAACAGTGGGGCATATCTATGCACAACATTCAGGGGGCCCGTCGAACCTACTGACCCGGTCTCGCGACCCTGTCTGATCCATTTCGATCTATCTTGAAGAGGAGCAGCAGAGATAGGAGGACGAGGGGGGAAAGGGGATGATCGGAGAAAGTTAATATCGGGGCTCGAGATACGAGGCTGCGCGAATCATCCTTCAGAAAGGCGAAAATGCGCAAGCGTTGTCAGATTCACAAGTTGTATCTGACCGTTGCAGCGCGAAAGAAAATCCCGGGCTCTTCTCGGCATTGGTTCATGCATGTCGCTCGATGCGACAATGTCTGGACTTACACACATGGACGCTTGGCCCGTTCGAGCAACATAGGCCGGCACCCAGCTGAGCCGGCAACACGGTGAGACGCCAAACTAGGAGGCCGGGGCCGTGATTGGTGGCTGGACACGGCTCATGGGGGAATGATGCCAGGAACGAGCACGTTCATTTTGGGGTTGGACGATGCACGGGCCGGAGGCCTCTTCCTCCCTGAGAAGATCTTCACGCAGGCTACTTGCGATGTTTTACGGGTTTACGAGCAGAGGGGTACGTGTCATGGACATATCGGGAAGATCTTCAGTCTATTCTGTGGGGGGTCAAACTGCCCGGATGAAAGAGAAATAGATTTTAAAAAGGAACCAAAATGGAGAGGATAGACAAAAACGGGACACGAAAAGAAATAAGAGAAATAGAACCGGAGTCTGGGTAAATAGTCGAGCGGTTACGATCGGATCCTTAATAGTGCGCTCCCAGCGCCATAGATGATAATGATGGTGGGCCGCCTTGCGTGGCGGGAAGCCCTGAAGGTTAAGAATATGCTGACGAACTGTGTACATAAAACGAAGGTACAGGTACTCTGGAGGTACTCCGGAGGTAGCTGCCCGTGGAAGGCTGGGGAGGCCGTAGAGGAATGAACCCTGGGGCCGAGAGAAGGCGGAGAAGACAGCTGGATAGGTACCTGGCCAGTACCAGCAGGCGACCTGTGTGGTTTTACCCCTGAATCGCCCCAAAAGCGACTAGCGCCCAGACCCGAAAGCCTCTTTTCTGTCTAGATCCTCGACTCAAGGGGCTGCTGGTACTTGCGGCCACTATTGATTATGCTATTTTTATTGGAACAAGGAGTTCTTTGAGAATTTGTCTCGATTCCGGGCTAGGGTCAGGATGTTCGGGAGCTCCAAGTGGGCCGGATTGTCTATAATGATGTAGAAACCGTAAGAAGGAGGATGTCACAGTAGGCGCCCCGGCAGAGAAAACCACGGCCCTTGGTTCAAGCCATCCTTCACGTTCACCCCGTCGATCACGCCGGCCAGAGCGCCCCTTGGCGGCGCTACTTCAAGGGCAAACTGTATTGAGATGAACAGCCAATAGAGGAGTGATTGGCCAGATGTACCAGCTCGCTCCATCGAGGGCGCTCGCCCCCCCCTGCACACTCCACCCTGACCAGCCCAGGATCCCCACCCACGCTTACTTGACCCGGCTAGGCGCTAAACTGCATAATGTCTGGAACCACGGGCGGATTGCGCCAATCGCCCCGTCGTAGACCGTCTCCTTTTTCTCCAAAAGTTCTGTCTATCACTTGCGGTTTCTCCTCTTTCCACCCCCCTAAAGCCCCCCTAAAACTTCAACGTGAAATCAATCCTTTCCTGTTTCGTCAATTCTAATTGGCGCGTGCCATTCTCGTTCCCGTGCGAGGCCATGACCGACTGTCGATCGATGGCTATTTTTTGATACTGCTTTGGCTTTCATGGCGTCCTCTCCTCCTCTTGCGGCCTCTCCCGCGCCTTCGATCTCTTCTCCAATCTCCTCCCCGCCGCTCTTGGCTACCAAAGTCCGTAGGAAGCCTTTGCCCGAGCATGCCACCCCGGTGACTTCTACCTTGTATAACCCCTCTCCCTTGTCTATCGAGGGTGATAAACCTACCTTCATTCCTCCTCCTAGACCCGAGTCCCTCTCATCTGTGGAGGCAGACTCACTGACAGTGCCAAGGAATCCAAATCGGTATGTACTAACTTGGAATGTCTGATCGTTTCCCCTTTTCCCCCCCGGGTTCTTTTTCCTAGGTCTTTTCATACTTGCCCTTTTCTCTTTTCAAAAGCTTCCAACAAAGAAGCCAATACCAAGAAAGAGAAGTGGGGGGGAGAAAATAGGCAAATGAAACGACCTATCCACCCTGAAACCCATCCAGCGTGACATGGCATATTCATTTATACATGTTCTTGCGGTTTCCAATCATCCGGACAACCCATCGCTTACCAACGTCACACTTCCCCAGATTCTCTCGAGGACGGAGCGCAGCACAACCTCTCCAAATTGATACGTCGGCCAACGCCGCATTCTTAAGGTCCGTAGTCGAGGACGACGACGACGACGAAGAAGGCGCCGACTACTTTGACGACGAATACGAGAACCAGTTCACGAATGGAATCGGAACCCCCCTACACAGCCGACTAGTCAGCGAGCCATTCATCCCCGTTCTGAACTCTCCTCCCCCTACACAGAGACGTGCAACGAGTATGGCACTGCACACTCTTAATCAACCACCACCCTTAAAGATAGACCTGAATGCTCGATCCATGTCCATGGGCCCGGATCCTCGGCAACCAAAGACTCCTGGAAACAAGATAAGCTCATTCTTCGGCTGGAAGGGCAACGCCAACGGCAATCCTCACGGTCAAACTAAAGTAGCCACTTCCCCTGGTGGTGAGTCAACAAGCACCGAGATCTCGGACGGCGGTCGGTCCCCTATGCCCTCGCCGATGCCTCCCTTGGCGAATGTCCCGTTCGATATGAGTGCCCGGAAAGGCTCGGCAGGACATCAAGTACCCAGGAAGCCATGTTCGCGAGCAAATTGTCCGACGTTGAGAATGAGCTGCGAGAAATCAGCTCTGAGCTGGCTGGCTCTATCCGCCGAGAAATGGAGCTGGAAGATTTGATTGAGCGTTTGCAGTCCGAGGGCCCTGACGCGAACCGTCGAACCAGTGATTATTTCTCCGATTCAGGGACTGGGTCAATTCGAAACCCATCCGATGCTGGTCGAGCTAGCGTGGAAGATATCGAAAAGATTCGCCGTGCTGCAGAGCAAGAGCGTGCGCAGCTGAAGGTCGAAATGTCACAAAAACTGCAAGACGAGCGAATGAAGCGGACTGCATCCGAGTCTCATGTCCAGATTCTGGAGAACCAGGTCCAGCAGGTATGAGGTCAAATATCGATGTGCTGTAGTCGCAAATTACTAACCATCTTCTGTTTCTAGCTTCGTCGTGACCGGGTAGAAAACTCGGATCTCGCTTCCAAGACATCAAGTCTCGAGAGAGCTCTCGAAGACACCAAAAGAAAGCTACTCGAAGAGAGGCAATCAAAGGATAACTTTGAAGACCTGCTGACAGCCATGCGGGTTGAGTTGGAACAGCTTCGGAACGACCGCGACATGCTCCGTCAAGGGAAGCCACCCCCATCCGAGATGCAGCGCCTAATTGAGGAGATCGAAGCCCTGAAGATCGAAAACGCATCGTTGGCCCAATTACAAGGTGGACGATTTGCCTCGATCGCCGAAGAGGGCAGTGCCCCCGCCCAGGCAAGCGGAATTCTATCATGGGCCTTTCCCGCTCCAACTCCCTCGCACGGAAACCAAGCGGACTCTCCCGATCAAACTCGGTGAGCGGTAGAGAGCGAGAGCAGCAGACCGGCGAGTCTTTGGTCGACCAAATCAAGAACATCGAAGCTCAGCGAGACGCCCTTCACCGAACTCTCAAGAGCCTGCTCGATCGACACGACCTGCAGGCACGCGAGTTCGAGAAGCGTGCTCGTATGATGGATCTCGAGCTAGCGCGCGCACAGCAGACTCCTCCCGCCGACCCGGATACGAGCGCGAGGTGCAAGGTTTGCGCGAAGATGTCAATCACCTCCGTATGCGAGCTGAAGACGCGCTGGATGGAAAATGGCAGTGCGAGAAGAACCTTGCCGGTCTGAAGATGGACCTGGACCGTGCCGAGCAGGAGACCAGCTCATTGAGAGCACTTCTAGAAGAGGACAACGCTGTCCTGGAGAGCGGCGGGGAAGGCTTCGCCGAGGTCATTGCCACTTCATCGACTCTGCAGGCTGCCTACCAGCAATTGCAGGCGGACAGACAACAAGCCGAGGCGAGCGGTGTCGGCGCAGACTTCGATCGCGCAAACCAGTTAGCCGGCCTCGTTCAGCAGCAACTGCAAATTAACAGTTCTCTGCGCAGCCGCCTAGAAAGCGAAATTAACAAGGGCGAGCGAGACCAGAAGATCTCTATTGATCGAATCACCGCCCTGCAGTGTCGAATGAAGCAGCTCGAAGATACCGTCCTCGCAGCCCAGAACCACGCTGAGGAAGAGATGAGCCGGCACGAGGACGAGATCCGGCAAATGAAGGAAAGCCACAACGCGCAGCTCGTGCGCATGAAGAATGGCTCACGGGCGCCCATGAACATGTCCCCCCGCCCCCCCAACGCGCCATTCAGCACGCGCTCTCCCGCCTGGACAAGACCACCAGCGGGGATGGAATCCCGCTTGCCGATGCCGTGCAAGCGTATGTCCTCGAGAAACGAGTCAAGGACCTCGAAAAGGTGCTCCGGGAGGCGGACATGGAGATGGAAGAAGTTATTGGCCAGATGAACCGCGCACAAGCCGATGTAGCGCAGCTGCAATCTGACCGGGACGACGCCCTGCGCCAGACCCGGCAGCTGCAGGCGGACATCGAGGCAGAGCGGGAGTCGCTGAGGGCCTTGATGGGCTGAGGTTGATCTTGGCTCTTTTTTATCTTTGATTTGAATCTGTATTCTCTCTTTGTATACCACATCTTGCGCCTGCATCTGCATTGAGACCGCCCTCTGGTGTTGTCGAGCATCCGGTGCCTTGGAGTTTGCCCGCGTGGGCTGGCGTTGGCTTGGATTTTTTTTTTTTTGCTGCATTTGATTTTCTGGATTTGAAGCATGTGGCGCCATGCAGACCGTGCTATTGATGCCGGTTACACAGGATTAGGGTCGGTCTCACTTGTATATACCACAGACCTCATCTTACTTTTGATAAATAATTGACTTGTACAGTATCCAGCCACTGGCTGGGAATATCTATTACATGAACCCTCTTCATTTGCGCATAATGGTCTTTATTGGGTAGCGACAACGAAAATATGGAACAGGGGCCTGATGGAGATTGCCCGTAGCTTCACATGCAACAGCTGTGTTTGTCGAGTTTGCATGGCAGCTTATCGTTGCTGACGGCAACAGATTGTCAACTTCCAGCTTGACCCATCACCCTAGAATCTAGGAAAAGACTTGAAGTCACGATTTCATTTCGTCAGCCTACTATCTTCTTGAATCGCGACGGCGGCGATTCTCCCCCGCGTCTCGTCAATCACCGGAGTGAAGCGACAGCAATCTCCGAGCCATCGCCATCAAAACAACTCCTAGCGCAACCCCAAGAAACCTAAACACAAGCCTGCGCGCGCCAAAAAGTCTATTCGCACAGAGGAAGTTGAGACAACTTCCACCAGCACATTATTTAACTCCAAGCTATCCCATCGAAAATGGAGTTCGTTCCAGGCAAGTCGCAAAACATCCCTGGAATCCCCACCTCCATCCTCTCAACCTCCCAAAAACAACACAACTAACAGTATCGCAGAGCAATTCAAATCCTTCCTCCAAAATGACACAATAAACTACCTCCGCACCTCCGCCCAGGAGCACCTCCAAACCCACCTCTCCCAAATCCGCACCGACTACGTCCAGCCCTACATCGTGGAACCCCTCTCCCACGCCCTCACCTACGCCTACACAGCATCCAATACCGACCTGCCCAGCATCTTCCTCCTCGTTCTCACAATCTGCCTGTCCCTCGTCATCCTCGACTATGCCCGCCGGCTGGTTATGTTCTGGGTGCGTCTGGTCTACTCGCTCGTCTTCTGGAGCGCCATCCTCGGCTCCGTGTGGTACGTGTATCGATTCGGCGCGGGCCAGACACTGCAAGATGCGGCGTGGCTGTTGATGCTCGTGGAAGGGTTTGTCGTGGATTTTGTGCGCAAAGCTGTTAGCGGTGACGATGGGGCGGGATTCGGTGCAGGATCGGGGAGGATGGATGGTCGTGGGGGCTGGGGCTGGGGAAGAGGGTAGTCAGGTCTGAGCTGGGCCCCTCCCCCGGAGGTGGCCTTTAGATAGGTTTACGGTGTCCTTTTGGCAGCTTCTCGGCTTGTACGTGGATCTGGTGGGTTTATAGTTTTGGGGGCCACTTGCGGATGTGGGGCTCTCGTGGGCGCTCTCTTTTTTTTTTATCGAATTATTGTCATGGTCGGGTGTTCAGTGCATTTGGTTGACTTAATTTCGTTTTCTTTCTTAATGATGTACATAAAATATTTCTGGATCTTGGGGTATAGGCCCATTTTGCAAATGATCAGACGGGTGGGCTAATTGAGTCGTCTGAGGGTATCTATGGTTTTGAGATGTCCATGCCTAATTCCTTTCATGGTTCCACCACATAATGTCATTTTCGTGTGAAAGCGGCGTAGCTTTGCGCGAGTCGGAGGGGGGATGTTTTGCGAAGAGCGGTCGTGCGAGTGACTGAGTTATTGGTGGGTGGATTGATATCTGGACTGCCACTATTGAAAGTGGCTTTTGATAGTATGAGGTGCCAAATAAGGCAGAGGACGGGTGAGCTGAAGAGGACGGGTTAGCTGAAGAGCTGCGACCTCAAGGTCTCAAGCCTCATGATCGGCCTCTTGCTCATCATCCCGGGGTTCTCGAGGCTCTTGAGCTTCGTGGAACTGAATGGCATCATCGATGTGGCTCAGGACACCGGCAACACTGTCCTCATCTTGAACATCTAGTTGGAGAAACGACACCATGCTGAAGTCATCAATTAGCTGGGCGACGGCACGATTCAGCTGCTTGAACGAGCCACCACTCAGCATCGCATCCTTGGCCATTGGGTTGGCAGTCACACTGCTATCCTCTTCATCGGTCTGCAGAAGCTGCACATCTACGTTGGAAAAGCGTCGCAGTTCACGACGAGAAATCATGTCCCGGACCTGGTCCATCTTGCTTAGAATGTTCACATGAGGGATCTCCAACATCAGCATCGCAGACATCGCACTGAGGGTGCCGGCGAAAAACTTGGCTTTGTCCACGACAAAGGTACTCTCCAGCAGGTACGCCGCGCACAGGTTGATGTTCAAAGGTCCTTGGCGAGAGAGATATTGGGTCAAGGAGGGAAGGAGAGGAATGTGGGTGTAAAGCTCGATCTGGCCGGGCATATCAAAGATGATCAGGTATTCTTCACTGAGCGGATCCAGGGCCTCGGAGAGGAATTCCAAGTTCTGCAGAAGAAACTCAAAGCAATAGATGAGACCGCCATTGGGGCCAAGCTGCAGCTCCTCCATCACATCCTCCAATGTGATAAGCTCGCGGATGTCGAGGTCGGGGGTATAGGCGAAGGATTCGGCGGCGGGGTCCAAGTTGACGTAGAAGCAGCTCCTCCGGGTAGTCTGGAGGTGCTGGATGATGGCGTTGCTGAACGTGGTCTTGCCCGCCCCAGCGGGGCCCATGACTAGGACACCGAATTTGGACATCGTTGTTTGGGGGAGAAAAGCAAAAAGACCAGCTAATTGAGCCACAAAGTAAGGGAATCTTATCGGTAGGTAAGATTTTCCGGTGGGGCCAGAACGAGGGGCCGGCCGTCTGACTCGTCAGAGCACGCCATTTTGGGCTGTTCGCCAGCGCTAGTTTTCTGCTGTCGGTCCCCGAGTTTGGCCTGGAGAAAAAAAGGTGCCCCACTTTCGCTCCCATATAGTTGACCCGTCCCCCCTCTGTTTTTTCTTTTCTTCATTCTCTACCTCAATTTCCTCCTCTTCCCTCCTCTTCCCCCCTCCTCCCCCTTTTCACCACACTACACTTCACAATGGGTGCTCCCGGTACTTTCCCCTTCACCTCCGAGTCTGTCGGCGAGGGTCACCCCGATAAGATTGCGTATGTTGGACCTTTACCCCTCCTGCCCTGATCCCAACACCCCCCTCTGTGGCCTTCCCGCAGAATCAATTAGAAGCTCAATGCTAATTGTATACCGTCGGGCAACAGTGACCAAGTCTCCGATGCCATTCTCGATGCCTGCTTGGCGGAAGATCCCCTCTCCAAGGTCGCTTGTGAGACTGCTACTAAGACTGGTAAGCTGCTGACAGCCCCCAATTCCCCTTCTCCTCTGCCTCATCTAGGCCCCAAAATCTGACATGACTCTCCTACAGGTATGATCATGGTCTTCGGTGAGATCACCACCAAGGCTCAGCTCGACTACCAGAAGGTCATCCGTGGCGCTATCAAGGACATCGGCTACGATGCTTCCGAGAAGGGCTTCGATTACAAGACCTGTAACGTTCTGGTTGCCATTGAGCAGCAGTCTCCCGATATCGCTCAGGGTCTCCACTATGAGGAGGCTCTTGAGAAGCTCGGTGCTGGTGACCAGGGTATCATGTTCGGCTATGCCACCGATGAGACCCCTGAGCTCCTTCCCCTCACTGTTTTGCTCTCTCACAAGCTCAACGCCGCCATGAAGGCTGCTCGTGTCGATGGCTCCATCCCCTGGTTGCTTCCTGACACCAAGACCCAGGTCACCATCGAGTACGCTCACGACAACGGTGCTGTCAAGCCTCTTCGCGTCGACACCGTCGTCATCTCTGCCCAGCACACTGACACTCTTTCCACTGAGGAGATCCGTGAGGTCCTCAAGGAGAAGATCGTCAAGGGTGTCATCCCCGCCAACCTTCTGGACGACAAGACCGTCTACCACTTGCAGCCTTCCGGCCGTTTCGTCATCGGTGGTCCCCAAGGTGACGCCGGTCTGACTGGCCGTAAGATCATTGTCGACACCTACGGTGGTTGGGGTGCCCACGGTGGTGGTGCTTTCTCCGGAAAGGACTACTCCAAGGTCGACCGTTCTGCTGCCTACGTTGCCCGTTGGATCGCCAAGTCCCTGGTCAATGCCAAGCTCGCTCGTCGTGCCCTTGTCCAGCTCTCCTACGCCATTGGTGTTGCTGAGCCCCTCTCCATCTTCGTCGAGACCTACGGTACCTCCGACAAGACCTCTGATGAGCTTGTCCAGATCATCCGCAACAACTTCGATCTGCGCCCCGGTGTGATCGTTCAGTCTCTGGACCTGGCTAAGCCCATCTACGCCCAGACTGCCAAGAACGGTCACTTCACCAACCAGAACTTCTCCTGGGAGAAGCCTAAGGAGCTGAAGTTCTAAGAAGCTTCTCTCCAGTGACCTTTTGACGAATGTGATGAATACGCTTTGTTTTCAACAACTCAAAGCACGTGCATAGACTTTATGAAAACCTATAAAATGTCTAAAGGGCGGTTCTCTCTTGGGAACTGATCTTTTTTGTTTAATTACCTGCATGGTCGCCTGCACAGGGGGGGCCTTTTCGCGAAGACAAAATTCAACATGATACCACTTTCATCGGCTGGGATGGGTTATTTGGCGTTTCTGGAAGCGAAATCTTCAACAACATATTACACCTCTTATCTCTCGTTCCTTAACGGGCTTGAATGAACTGAATGTGCTGTTGTACAATCAATTGATGAAGTCTTGAGGGTGATACGAGCCTCGGAGGATCGGCACTATTGGCTAGTCGATGCTCTTTCGAGATTTACGGGTCTGCTAATCTAAACATTAGCAACAGAATAATGGAAAAAAAAATTCAATGATCCCAACAGTACCTCTTGTAGTAAACAGTCTGAATAGTCCCAAAAGCATGCAAATCACCTGGGAGGAGATCGAGTTCGTGCTCGACTCGGTATGGTAGTCCACTTAAAGCGGGGAACGCGGTGTAGGGGCCGCGACGCGCGACGCCAAAAACCGGCATCTTCAATCTACCTCGAATGCTGCAGTACCGGAGTTACGCTTGCATTGGCGTCCCTTTTTCTTTGCCTCCGCTTATATGAGATTTTATTTGGCAAATTGATATTGGCATAATGAACTCCCTTTTCTAAGTGCGACTATGACGGCGCGTACAATTCCCAGCGCCCTGGACCCCCTCAGCTCCTCCATGTTGAACAAACTCCACGAAGCCCAACCGCCCACCAAGAAGCGCAAGATCGGACGTGAGAGTAGCTTTGTACAATGCTCAACAACCTCCATCGTCATAAAGGTATACCATAGACCCAGAGGGTGTATCACTCTCGAGTCCACCCTTGGGTCCTCTGGGCTAACTCACTTCCCTCTAGGCCCCGATTACCGCGTTGTCCAATGAACCCCTCGTCCTCAACCCAATCACTACTCTCCCGCGCTCCCGGCTACCCCTATCATGGATCGAAGACGCGTCTTGGTCGCACTCTGACGCCCAGCCCGGCGGCATGTTCGCAGCAGACATACCCGCTCTCGAAACGGACTTAAGCGCATGTACGGAGCCTACGGTTCTCGCCGTCCGACTGGCCCCTGACCGCGGGCTGTATGTCGTTGAGCGAGTGAAACGAGGCATCTACTCGTTGAGCCGACTTGCACGATGGGTCCACGAAGGCGAAATCGCTGTTGCCGTGAAGGGATGGCAGAGCACCCAAGTCGGGGAAATGAAGCCCAAATGCGAAGACAAGGCCGGCCTAGAGGCCGAAAGCTCGAATTGGTGGCAGGCTGCGCAGATTCCGGAGCCGCCTTCTGATCTGGGCCCGGGCGATGAGCTTGCGGGGCTGCAGGTAGCGGTGGTCTTTGAAGATGCGGTTGTCGAGGCAGGAAGTCATGGGCCTTCCTTTGTCGACGTACTCGAGCATCGTAGCCAGTCGCTTGTTCCTGCTGCTAGGAGGCCAAGTGGTGGAAGCTTGCGCATTGATTCGCAGGCTTCTTTTATTGCTGATGCTATGGATGTTGATCAAACGGCGGAGTCTCAGGAACTAGAGGTCAAGCAAACACCTGAAGAGTTGTTGGACGGAATGAGAGATAATTATCTCGAGGCTCTTTACGTGTCGAAGGTATTAGTCGTGCCTTTACTGATTTTGGATCATTTACTGACTTGACACGACTAGACATCCGTTGCCTATTTTGCAAAAGGCCCGCTTACACGTTGCCGTAACGCATTCCAATCGGGCGACGAAAAGTCACATTCGCCTGCTGCACTTATTGATTATTACCGTGAGGCCATTCTAGCGGCGAAGAAGATGGACACGAAATACCGAGAGACTCTTCCCGTTCTCGTGCGCGATGCTATGCTCGCTGTATCCGACGATGAAGCTGCACCTGCAGTTAAAAAGCGCAAGAGTAAGAAGAAGAAGCTGGGAAGAAATGGAATGTACCCAGAGGAAGATGGTTTTGTGCACAGGTGGTGGAAAGCCCGTGCTATGACAGAACTCTCCCCGGCGGATTCGTCCCGGGAAGCAGAAAGCAAGAAGCACATATCGGATCTTCGACTTCGTGAAACCCAGCTGCAAATTCTTTTGATCCTTGAGGTCATTGCTTTGGAGATGAGCACCAAAACGGATAAGAAGACTACTTCAGAGGAGAACGGAGATGAGAAGGAAGAGCCGCCAAAGTCAAAGACAAAAAAGCCGCAAGATCTCGATGTGCTTCTCGAGTTACATCTAGATCGCATGTGTATTTGGCATGCTGTTAGCTCTGAGGATACGTCTGCCGCCGACAGCGCCAAGTCTTCGCTCTTCAAAGAAGATCATATGTCTGGAAAGAAGGCTGAAAGTGACGGCGTACGCGACTTCTGCACCGAAGTCATTGTTCCATTCTACGCTGCGCGGCTGCCTGAAAAGTGCAAGCTCATCACTCGCAAATTTGGTGTTACCAGTGGCGTGTCACCTGGCAAAAAGTCCTCCAGCAAGAGAGAAAGGCTCGAGCCGGGGTCCGAGGTCGTCCGGAAACCACCGCAGAAAGATCACAAGCGGTCATTACACCGAGTTAGTACCGAGCAGAGGACAGCGACGACGACGACTCAGAAGGGACCACCAAGTCTCACGCGCTCTAATACAGCGCCCACTAAAGTGGGAGCAAAACGTGATTTGCATAATAGGCTGATGGAGCCTACGCTACCCACCATTGGTAATAGTGTACGGGGTGGAATCCAGCAAAGCAGACGTATGGAGCCCCGCGAGATTGACCTAGGTGGTTCAAGACAAACCGATAGCAAGAGCCGAAGAGCTCAGATTCTGGCCGAACAGAAGAAGGAGCTTGATGCAGCTATCTTGGCCCTGCGTAAGCCCAATAGAGAGCTTGTTGCGAAGGATATTGCCAACGATGCTACTAAACGTGCGTCTACTGGAGGAGGCAGCTCTCGAAAGCCGAAGAACCCAGTTCGCAACCCTCTTGGCCAGGGTGTTCAAGTCATGGCAACACCACGAGGTAATCGCAAAAAGGATGCCGCTGTCGGAATGCCCCCCCCTGCCCAGAACTCTTGTACCTTCACATTCGTTTGCTGGCGAAATGGAAGACCACTCCCTGGCAGAGTCTCCAGTCATGGTCCTATCTTCGGGGCGACGTGCCATTTCATTCTCGGGCCCCGATTCAGACCCTTTCAAATCTCGCAGCGTCCAAGCATCAGGACAGAACAAACGAAAGGCCCCGTCAACAGACCAAGGCTCTATACAAGAGACTCCAACTCGGCCTCCCTCAAGGCTTTTCTATGACCCAAGCAAGCCCTCATCATCTATAAACAAAGGGGCTAACTTGTTCCGAGTTCCTAAGCTCCCTGAATCTCGCAATTCCACAGAAGCATCTGACCCGTCGATGGTACCCACAACCCCGGTTTCATCCCGCCAAAAGGACATATTCACCTCCAGCCCTGAAGCATCACGGCCGTTGTCCCTTTTTTTCGGCGGAGCAGTCTCTTCTTCGATCATGGAGACACCACCACAACCAAAACGCAGCTTTGACGAAATGTCTGCTCCACGATCTGTACCAGTGGTCAACAGTGACACGACCACAACCACAACCACAACCATCCCAGCCCGCGAGCCAACCCCGCCAGCGATTTTGGGGACTCCCCTGAAAGATTCCGTCATGGTACCAGTGACCCCCGACAAATCTCAATCAAAATCCATCTACGAACAGCTGGGCTGGGACGATGACGATATGGAACTCTAAGGATTTCCTTCTGCTATCATTAGCGTCGGATACATGTATGCATTTTGCATTTTGCGTTGGCGTATCCTATTTTTCCAGTCTTAGGGCATAGCATTGTATCCTTATCATCATGCATTTTGACTCCTGTCGTGGAGTCGCCCGCATTCAATTGCATCAGTGACGTGAAATACTACCCCGAGGACTTAGCTTGGCCTTAAAATTCAATCATAGACAAAATTCATGGATATAAAGTATCACCTAGAACACGGATCTTCGATCTACGCATTGAAGTTGTAGCATTGGGGTGACGATGATATTCCAGATGGTTGTATGACTTTGGAGTTCCTGAAGAACCGTTGCTGGCAGACGACATCTATGAGCCACCCCCGGGGGAATAAATCAGCCACCATTGTTTTATGCCACCTTCTTGCAAACCATAACGGCAGATTCGGCCCGTCCCTCCTTCGCCTCCATAGCAGCCCTCGGGTCTAATTAATTGACCTAACATTTCTTCAGCTCAAGAACGTTTAATTTCAATTCTCAACAATGTTCTTGCATAGGAATATGATACACAAGAAATTCTACTAGCGAAGGGAAATGGCTTGAAGATTATCGGCTTCGAAACCAAGTCGACCCGGGACGGAGCGCGAAGTAGCCACCTACAACAGCCAGAACCCCGAGACCAAGCACGAGCGATGAGTCGCTGAACACGAGTTCCTCTCGAGCTTGAGCTACATGAGTGGGTTTCTTTGAGACGAGCAGGTCTTTCCCCGAGCCTTCAATTGTGTAGTCCTCCCAGCGCAGCTCTGATAGCTCCCGTTGGTAATCGATGGCCGTACTCGACCAATTATTTGTGATCACTCCATCGTCTTGCTTGTACCAACTTTGGCAGTTAGGGTCGGCAAAACTACTTGCCTGTAGCGCTGCTTGGATCCTGTCATTGAAGGTCTTGAGAGCTTTTGTGGTCGGCGTTATAATCAGAGTCTTTCCCGATTGCCGGGCTCTAAGTATCTCTTTTAGGATTGCGTTCAAATAACGAGATTGCGCCTCGATCATCAGAATAATGGAATTATGTCCTGAATGTTGTTAGATAGGGTCAATCCCAGCGTGATCAACAGATTTGGGGGATCAGACCAAGGTTTGTATTTGGACCGTAGAAAATGCCAAAGTTGGGCAAGTCCTCCACTTGCAGGCCCTTGTAAGCCGTAGCCCCCTTCTTCCAAATGTCGGTATGCAGGCGTCGCCCATTTCTGCCGATGACAGTTATGGGGTGCAGGAAATCCACGGTCTTGAACCCCGTTGCAAGGATGATAAGATCGTATTCTTGCTCGCCAGCCCCCTCGACTTCAATTCCCTTCTCAGTCATCCGAAGGATTCGACGAGTCTCCAAGTCGACGTTATCGCGAGCGAGAGCGGGATAGTAATCATCACTGATGATCACTCGCTTACAGCCAACAGCATATTTTGGCGTGAGGGGTTCCCACAGCTCAGGCTTATTTACCAGTTGACTCTCCATCATTTCTTTACACCACGTGCGGAACAACTTCGCAAAGTGCGACTCATTATCAGAGACCGCACTGTGGATCAGTTCACGATATTGCATTTGCAGAGCCCGCTTTCGCCAAAGCAGAGGTGGGAAGTACTTCAAGAGAGCTTTCTGAAGCGTGGAAACTGGAGCATCCTTTCGGGGAATGAGCCAGTTGGGCGTCCGCTGGAATACTGTGAGGTGTGCGGCTTCGGGGGCGATCTCAGGGACAATCTGGGCAGCGGTTGCGCCTTGGTGGAAGTTAGCAACTCTCGTTGTTTGGGATGGGGCATTTTTTTTTATCACGATTACCATTTCCAATAATTGCGATCCGCTTTCCCTTGTAGTCGTAGCTCCAGTCCCATCGAGCAGAATGCATCAGCTTTCCTTGGAAGTCATGTAACCCGGGGATCTCTGGCTCGTGCGGTAGATTGAGTTGGCCAACAGCTGACACCAAGAAATCTGAATCGATAACATATGAGTTGAGAAACTCGCTATCTTTCTGAGCTGAGACGGTGACTGTGGTTCTCCATTTGGCATTTGTTTCATCCCATTCCGCTTGTTCAACCGTCGAGTTGAACCGTATGTGCTTGTACAGCCCGTATTTCTCGGCGATATTGACCAGGTATGCCTAGATTTTACATGTCAGATATCGTGGATCCTTGGGTCCATCGCGAGCTTAACTGACGTATATTTCCTCCTGTCCGGGGTATTCTTTAGACCAGTTGGGGTTTTGTTCGAAAGAGAAGCTGTAGAGCGCACTCCAAACTAGATCGGGATGTTAGTACTACGTAAATTGATAGTTAAATATGGTACGTACCGTCGCAGCAGCAACCGGGATACTTGTTATCATTCCAAGTACCGCCTAAGGTACTGCCCTTTTCCAAGATCACAAAGTTATGGCATTGATTTCGCTTAATTAGATCAATTGCCATGCAAATTCCTACAGTGGTTTAGCGGATGTCACACAAATAGAAGCCTTAGGGCCCCTACCAGAGATCCCTGCGCCAATAATAACGACAGTGGCATGAGTGAAGTCTTTGTTCCCGACTGGAAGTCGAGTATTAGATGGAGCCATATCGAGAATGGGCTTGCGAGATTCTGGGGACTCGCAGGTTTGAGAAGATGCGGAGTAGCAAAAAGATTTAGCAGAACGCTTTTACAGAGTACTCATCCCTACTTAAATCTCCGCAGCATCCCCTCAGTTGATTTCTTGGGTTGGATTTTACCGAGGCACCGAGTATACTCATCAAATCAATAAAACGTCAGTCTTCCAACGAATTACTGTGCTGGACTCGAAGGTGGGAAATCACATCTGGGGGCGGAAGCGGGGACGGGGAGCCACTTTGTGGGGTTTAGACATTACAAGGAAACGTATATCCTTTGTATGAAAATTACACATCAAGCTGTATCATGAAAGACGAGGATTATTTTCGAGATCTTGGGTGGCGAATCGTAGGCAAGTATTGACAACCCCTCATTGCCAAGCTGCAACTTGCAGGAGCCGCTCGGATGTGGGAAAACCCCATATAGCAAGAGAAGTTCACGCAAATTACGCTGTGAAAGCGCGTCTGGGAGGAAAAGAAAGAATTCCTTTAAGTCAAGCAGTACTTAGAACTATTTTTTGCTCCAGATCCGGTAGACATAATCGTTAGACTCTCAGAAGTTGGCCACTGGTTTGTCGTTTGTATGCTAAAAGTACGGGGGTCGTATCCTGAGCACCGAGGTTAGCGTTCGGTGACGTTAGTTAGGCTGGATCGGAGCCGCAATGCGTTAAGTAGGCTGGATCGGAACCGCAATATGCCGCGAAAACGCCTCATCAGGGCAGATCAATTCCTTCTCTCTCTGCAGTCTGAATAATGTATTGCTTGACCTAAGGCGTATTAGCTCAATGCGGTCTCACCCCCAGAGGCACCAAAACACTCACCTTGTCATCTGGCACTAAATCAACGGCCAATCGCCCATCGTTGTCCCGTTTATCGGCTTCGGCCCCTGATTTGAGCAGTAAGATTGCTGCATCACCATGTCCTTCTGACACTGCATGGTGCAGTGCGGTCAAGCCATCACCATCTGTTGCGTTCACCGGGCTCTTTCCCTCTTCTAGAAGAGTCTTTAAAATTGGTACAGAGCCTACGGCCGCCGCGCGATGCAGTGGCAATTGTCCACGGATATCCTTCACTCGAGCGCTGCACTTATTGGCGATTAAAGTTCGCACAATAGAAATGTTGCCCTTGGAGCTGGCGAAATGTAGCGCATTCTATGAGGCAACCAGGACTGATTAATATCTTTGATAGAGAGAAAAACTCTGAAGCGGCGCGTACCTGTCCTGAGTTACTTTTGACATTCACGTCCGCTCCCTTCTTGATGAGCAAATCTACGATTTGTTCACCACCTGACTCTTTGAGACTGGCAGCAATCATGAGTGGCGTCCAGCCAGATCCATCCTGGTAGGCGTTAAACTCTGTTCGTGCAGATATATATAAGCAATCACCTACCTCGACATCCGGGTCAAAGCTCTTCACTGCAACTAGCAACTCAACAACGGGTAGATGATTGTAGGCAACAGCCCAATGAATAGGAAGTCGATCGTCATCATCTTTGGTGTTTGCGGCCTTGGGGTTGGTCTATTCCCATAATCAGTAAAAGCGTCCTATAAATTCGGAGGGCATCGGTTGTAGATGGTGGGTTTGCGGGGCAGCTGCATCCGAATCACTCACACTAAGAAGAGACTCCACGATCTGAGCTACCAAATATCGTCAGTATCAGCCAAGGACAAGGAGCCAGATAGGAGCTTACTCTTGCCCTCTCGGGCAGCCTCGTGTAGCTGGAACTTGGAGTTCTGCGTCGGATCCATGGCGTAAGGTGGAAATCAGCAATGCGACGATAAGAGCTGCGATAAGTGGAGGAGCGGCTCGCACCTGTGGACACCTGAGGCTGCTAAACCGCGAAAAGGTCCGTCGATTTCCTTTCTCTCGCCGCGCATATTCCCTTCAGTGCGTCCCCAGCTTTGTCCCTCGACTGAAGCCGACCTGGAATCCTCAATTCAAATGCGCTAGGGCCCCTCGTACTTTCGACCTCAACAGCGACCCCCGCGCAGGGTTCTCAATTACGCACACCTGTTGCAAAACTCAGACCGCGCTCTGCAACAGCACGGCACATCACCCTCTTAATACGCGTTCCTCGAGATCTACCATTCCATACCAAAAATGACCGAGAATTCGGTGGAAGATGCGGTCCGCGCCAACGCAAAGCGCACAGTCGACCTCTTCGGCCCGGAACATCTGATGCTGAGCCCAACTGTACTAGATGGCTCAATCGGCATGTCCTACCGACGAAAAGTGGAATACGAAGATGTGGTCCAACTACCACGAGCTCTAGAGGAGAAGATCCAGGCTGCCAGCGCGCGCTCGAAACGACCCAAGATCCGATCCGAAGCCCAAGAGAAACAGGCCGGGTCGTCAAATGCGCTTGTGAAGAGTACAAAGGGAGCTGGAACCGGGGGAGCTGGAGGCATCAACGACACTAAGAGTTTGATTGCGAGACCATCGGCTACTCAGCAGGAGCCTCCCGAGTGGCACGCTCCATGGAAGCTCATGCGTGTGATCTCTGGCCATCTTGGCTGGGTACGATCTCTGGCGGTGGAACCGGATAACCAGTGGTTCGCCAGTGGTGCTGCTGATCGCACTATCAAGATTTGGAACCTGGCGACTGGTGAGCTGCGCCTGACCCTTACCGGTCACATCAGTGCCGTCCGCGGGCTGGCAGTGTCCCCGCGGCATCCGTATTTGTTTTCTTGCGGTGAGGATAAACAGGTCAAGTGCTGGGACTTGGAAACCAACAAGGTGATCCGTCAATATCATGGTCACCTGAGTGGTGTTTATACCCTGGCCATTCATCCTCACCTGGATTTATTGGTCACTGGTGGTCGTGATAGCAGTGTGCGTGTGTGGGATATGCGATCGCGTGCCAACATCCACACTCTTACGGGCCATACTGGGACAATCGCAGATGTCAAATGCCAAGAAGCGGATCCCCAGATCATTTCTGGCTCTTTGGATAAAGAGGTCCGGTTGTGGGATTTGGCTGCTGGAAAGTCTATGGGTCGCCTGACCCACCACAAGAAGGGTGTGCGAGCACTCGCTATTCACCCTCGGGAGTTCACATTCGCCAGTGCTAGCACAGGCAGCATCAAGCAGTGGAAGTGCCCTGAAGGTGCTTTCATGCAGAATTTCGAGGGTCAGAACTCAGTCATCAATACGTTGTCAGTCAATGAAGACAATGTCTTGTTCTCTGGCGGCGACGATGGCTCGATGTCTTTCTGGGACTGGAAGACTGGCTATCGCTTCCAGACTTTGGAGAGTATAGCCCAGCCGGGTTCGCTTGAGGCTGAAGCGGGTATCATGACATCTACTTTTGACAAGACCGGACTTCGTCTGATCACCGGTGAAGCTGATAAGACCATCAAAGTATGGAAGCAAGACGAAAACGCGACACCGGAGACTCATCCGGTACAATTCAAACCTACTCTTCACCGTGAGCGGTATTAGAGATAATTCGGGCGTGGCATAACACACCTGTGTCATACCTTATGTATCTGTTTTACTCTATTCCACCCCCCAAGCACAATGATGGAGTTTGGCGCTATTTTTACAATATGATTGAAGGTCTTTTACTCCACTGCTATACTGTCTTTTATGTTGCAAATAATAAAAAGATGAGCAATGGACTGTAACCTATCGCGCATGTCTCTTTGCCTTAAAACTGCCGATGTAAAAGTTTTGCCTGCCTTCAATTGTTGCATTCACTCTTACTAGTACTCTCCACCTGGTACTAGCACACTCAAAGTGGCCAAAAAAAAAAAACTCGAAAGACCAATCCGAACGAACATAAAAGCAGGACTCGGAAATCCCCCGGTATAATGGCGATGGGATTTCTAATCGTCGCCCACTTTCGCCTTCGTAACCTTTTCTGGACCTTTGCGTACGGATGCCACGGGGGGCTCTTATGATTAACCTAGCTTTGCAATTACGACTTGACCCCTACCGAGGATCCGCTGCGTCCAAGGTTTCATAACGACCTTTAGTATACGGCAGGAACGTTGCACATCACAGTTGGCAACCATACTAGTAGCGATTGGCATCATGATGGGATGAAATCACGGAAATGTGCTTTTCATTATTCTAGTCATTGCAAAAGCAAACAGACCAACACCAGGAATGCTAGAACGGTATACATGAAACATGATCAAGGGTCAATGCCCAACCCAAAGCCTTTAGCCTCAGCATCCTCTCGAAACGCCAATCGCACGTCCTCAGCAGCAACCCGCAACCGAATTTTGCCGCTCCGTTCACCACGGGTCACAATGGTCGAGCCCCCGAAAAAGCTCTTAGTGCCAGTCCCTTGCTCAAGAGCGAGAACGCCAGAGTTCATCAGCTCCATGGCTGCGAACCCGAGAGCACGAACGCGAGAGCCAGAACCGCCTGCCAACAAGAAATCTTTCACACCAGCGCTGGCCGCATTGGCCACTGCGACTGCGGCGTCGGCTATGCGGCGGGCCTCGTCGAGGACATCACCGAATGTTGATTCGGTTATCCCTGTTCGCTGGACTCGAGCGAGCAGGGCTGCAAGGAAGAGTTTTCCTGATAGGGGAAGACATCGGAGAGATTGCTGCAATGGCGTTGAGGTAGCCTCCTGAATTGCTTGTTTAATAGTGGCGATCGTGACGCGGCCAGGCTGCGATTTTTCAGCGGGTTTGGGGGCAGGCTCAGCCGGTTGCTTGTCTGCAGGGGCCTTGTTGCGTCGGGCTGGCGTTTTGCTAGGCGTTGGGGGGAGATCTTCAGGCTCTTCTGCAATGGTGGCAGACGCTGAGTTGGCAGCGGCCGCTGCGTCCGCTTCCTCTTCTGCGATCTCAACAGCCCGCCGACAGATATCCAACGCACGACGAGCGTCACCACTGACAGCGGCAACTTTACGACTCGCGAACTGGACGGCATCGGAGTCAACAATATTTCCCGGTACGTTTGCGAGACGGGTGCCAATGATTTCCATGAGGTCTGTGTGTTTGTAACCTGGAAATGTGATGCGGGTAAGACCGAGACGACTGGAGATCTTGTTGCTGAGCGTTCGTTCTGGAAGATCCATAGTGTTCGCCACGGCCAAGACAATAAGTCTGGAGTGTCGGAGCGCTGGCCAGTTGAAGAAATTGTACATGACTGATTGATTCTTCGTCACCAGTTGATCAAGTTCATCCATTAGAACCACGCAAGAGACCCGACGTGGTGAAGGGTGAGAAAATTCTTGTTCAAGAAGGTCAAGCGCATGTGAAGGAGATACTCGGTCGCCCTTCAAGGCTTCCCAAAGCAGAGAATAGGATTGATGCGGATCTGTTACCTTCATCCCGTTGATCTCAACGAATATAAAATCATCCATATCTTCTGTATGCACCGCAGCATTGAGCTGTGCCACTACTTCTCGCACCGTGGCTGTCTTTCCGGTTCCTGGGGTCCCTGAGATGTAGATACAGGCACCGGTGCCCTCCATGATAGCCGCACTCAAATGGCTGTAGACTGTATTGAATTCTGTTGTGCGACAAGGCAGGGATTCAGGCACGGCTGAGACATGTAATAGGGTACGAGCTTGTCGATATGGGGAGGCAAAATGAGTTGGCGATAATACGCGAGTCCCCAGAGGAGTGAATTCCAGAGGCTTCTTAACAACAATCCGCTTGTGGGTGGGTGTCGTCAAGGGTTTCTTGCGCTGTGTCTTGGGGGTCCCCCCTGTGGCCGTTCGTTGTCTTTTCCGTGGTGTGGTCGGCTCTTCGTCTTTGACATTGACATACTAAGTAGTTATTGTCGTCAGAAAATTTTCAAATGAGTGCATCGCGCATCATCGACTCACATCGCTATCCACATTTTTGCGCTTCCTGGCTGCTTTCAAGTTCTCCTTAACCATGCTTATGAGCTCATAGATATTGTCCTCTTTGTAGACGTCCTCCCACACAAATTCGTCTGTGTATCGGCCTTGGACTTGACTCACGCCTCGTCGACAAACGATGCATTTATTGTACTCAGCCAATCGCGCCTTGTCTTTAGGGGGGCGCCGTTCGGGTATTTCGCATAGAAGGCGTCCTTCGACATCACGACAGCCTTTCCATTGATCGAGGAGAGCGGGTTGTTGTTGAAATCGGCAGTTAAGTATTGCTCATTCGGCAAGGCGTCGGCTCTGCGCTTGTTCCTTGTTGACAAAAATTCGTCCGGGGAAGCGAACCACATGATGTTGGCCAACTTGAGCACTCCACCCTCCTCGTCCTCATCCTCTTCCTCCAAGAACTCCGTGATGATTCCGACCCAGTCTTTGCCTGGTTCTGGGGATTTCAAGAGCACCACCTGGCCGATCCTGCATTCGAATGATCCCATGCGAGCGCCGATGATCGCCCGTTTCTTCTGCGCAGGGCGAGAAGACCTCCGACGTCGAGATGGCTTTTCTTTTTTCTCGTCATTCTCTGCTGCCTCGCCTTCGGCTTGGGGCTCCTCTTCGTAGATCCATTCCCATGGCAAGTCCTCGTCGCCGAGCTCGTCGTCGGAATCCTCTCGGACTAGTGCGCCTTTTGTCACCCATTGTTGGTTCCGTTTCCGCTGGCGTGCGGCTGCATTCGAAGCTCGCTCTTGGTCTGAATCGCTCGATGAATCCGTTTCTCGTGACATGCTGGATTGATTGGCCAGAGAACAAGGGGGGCAATTTCAAGGGTAAAAACCATGGGGCGCGTGCTGGGACGCGTTGTCCACTTTACTCCTAATCGGGCTTAGCCCATTTGCTCGCAGGACCAGCCAATCAAAAGCCAGATATCTACATATATCAGATATTGCTGGCAAACATCGTGCAGGCGTTGAGGTCATCGGGCAATGCCATGCGAATATTGGTGACAGGATGCTACTTCGTACTAAGATGCAATCCTGAAAACTATATCCCAATACACAATTGGCCACTACTGACAATATTACTGCAAATAAACAGCATAGCCTATTGTAAAGAGAGCAGCACTAGTCTTCTTTCCCCGTAACTCTAACTAATTTGTCGTCAAATCCATATCATGTTATTCTCACAAGTCTGTATACCATACTAAATAAGCTCCATAATTTGTATCTCTTTCGCACTCAGTCCCCGTGCTTGTGCTACAAACCTCTGACAACTAGAAGGACCATCTTCAACAAGATGGAGAGGAACCCATGATTTATTCGTGTGGCGCATCATATATCCAAGGTCTAAAGTCCCCATCATATGCTATCATACTTGGTGGCTCCCATTATGTCATACATCCTAGTAGGACTTAGCACATGATACCAAGGAACCAATTGAATGGTGTACTACTTATAAGACGTATTGATATACATCTACACTAGCTATTTTCTACAGAGATTTGAGTTAGTCGCGTGATTATCTCGTTTGCAGAGTATCTTGAGAGGCGGTGAGCATCAAAAGCTTAAAGTATCAAAGGTCTGGTATCTCTCTCTGAAGCTTTTCTACCTACCTCTCCAAAGCTCCAGACTCATCAACTTCTTCACTCTCTGATTCCTTCTCTAAAATCTTCTCTTTTCGTCCTTTCTAAAGGTTGAATTCTACAAACATGTCGTAAGTCGACTTGCGAAAATTACATGAGGCTTGACTAACTTAGTTTACAGGTGGGAGAAAGCTGGTGCGCGGGGTAAGCTGTCTTCGATACTACAACAGAATTTCAGGCTCGTTCAAAGCTAACATGATTTTATGTTGCTAGGCTGGGCTTTACCAGGGTATGGTGCGGAGACTGAGGAGGAACTCAGAGATGATAAGGGCCCAGAGGAAGAGCAAATTGAACCAATTTGGGAAGAGAAGGAAAAGGAAAAAGACCTGCTGGCCCTAAAAGAGAATCAGCAGATGGACCAACCGGCTGAGGTCCTCGACCTGCCTCCTCTGGGTCCGCGGAATCAAGTTGGGACTCCATACAGCTTGATGCGAAGCCCTCTAGGTGCCCCCCCCAGTCCCGCAAATCTCGCTCGCTCCAGCAACCTAAGCCCCACGAAGTGATCGGCAGAAGGCGTTGGATAGCTGGAAAACCGCCAGATGGTATATAGAGCGTCATTTTCATGCTTGGGTGCTTCAACTAATCTGAGATAGCGGTCATCCGGCTACCTGCGTCTTTCAGTGTCCCAAAGCAAGAGTGAGAGCTCCATATATCAAGGGAATAGACTTTGCAGCTAATTCCTTACTAGCCTTAAGAAGATTGCAGGCTACATCAAAGGAAGCCTCCCTTGGCCAGAAGCCAGAGAAGTGATCTTCAAGAGAATTGGGGTTAGTTCGGGAACATGGATCAAAATGAGCGAAAATGGGGATCGGGTGAGTGTTCAAACATCAAGTAGCATGCCATGCTTGACTAATCTGCAGCTCGCAGTGCCTGCATCTCTGGGGTAATGTGCAGAATGTGGAGAGGGCAAAAGCTCAACTCCAGCAGCTGATAGACAAGATATCTGAATCCCAGCTACAACCCTTCGAATCACCAAGTCCCGTACGCGCGTCCAAGTCTGAGACGAAGTCCTGGACAAAGCTCCACCCGGAAGATTTTAACACCACGCAAAACTCAGGGAGAATCGAAGAGCAAGTCCGAGAGAAGCTGCGTTTAATGCCCAAATCACCGACCTCAGATTCGATGGTAAGTAAATGCGAAAAGATGCTAGTTTCCAAATGCTCTGATTAATGGATTGCTGGAATCTCTAGTTCCTGTTCTCCTGGCCTTTGGAAGGGTTGTCGATCGAAGAGAGTGTTGGGAGGAATTCCGAAAAGCTCGACCCCATTTGCAAGGAATTTGGCATCGAAATGGAACTCTGGGCGAAGGACGGAGATTATATTGCCGTTCGGGGCTACAAAGATGACGATCTACCAAAGATCCTCGACCAGCTGAACGCAATATGGAAACAGGCTATGGCCAAACTTGCAATCAACGTGAAAGCTTATCTAGTTGACCCAGTCCCACTAGCCGAAATGCGAAAGGAAGTGATTCTGGTGAAGAGCCAACACCATAAATTCACCCAGCCATACCTTTGTGGAGACATGATATCCCCATCCGAAATAACAAAGTGCCTCGAACAAAGCGACTCAATCATGAGCAGGAACAACGAGTACATTCTGAAAAGCTTCGAAAAAGCTCTCATCGAGTCATCGGGTGCTGCCGAGCATCTTCGCATGCGTGTACACTTCGGCACCTTTGTGTACGACAGATATCAACAACCCGAAAAGGGCAAAGGCACTCACCTCTTCCATGACTTCCAGGCGATGGTTCGCAACAAGAAAGCGAGTGGTCGACTTCTTCCAGGGTGAGTAGTCCTCAAGCATAGCGCAACAGATTATACTAATATACAGATTTAGTCTGCGACCAAGGGAAGAAGACTTGATCATGAGATGTATCCAGGCAGACCACATCTTCGAGCAATTTGACCCCAGCAAAGATCTCGGGCATGTCCAGAGTATGCCGCCTAATTACTCGTTAGGCTTTGAGGTTTCTGGAGATGACGGGTCTCCGATACGCCTAGAAATTTACTACAAAGGAAACTCAACCACTAGAGCCCCCGGGAATGCTCAATGGCTCAAGATCGGCCGAGCTAAGAATGGAATTCCCCAGAGATATTTTGCTCTTCAGGTTAGCGTGACTAGCTTTATGAAGTGAGTTTCGATAACCTTCTTTTCTCTATGAAGCCACTGATTTTCTTCTAGCGCCGATTGGCAAGCCGACATCGAATACTTTGAGACGGTTGACGTAAAATACATCGACCAAAAGCTAGCTACATTCGCCGAACTGGTCATGCCAACTGAGGCTATCAAGTCATGCAATATAGGGTCCAAACCAGTCAAGAAATTCGTCTTCCCCGACGAACCTTTCGTGAAGAGCTTCGAGGAAAAGGCGGCCATTCAACTGAAAATCAAAGGAACCGACTACGTTTTTGAGCTCGCTCGCTTTGATAAATACAGCAAAGAAAGAGGAAGTTGGACCAAGACTCCAACAGTATCTTGGGGGGCCTCGCTTTTTGATCCTGCGTGGAGTAAGGTGCTGGGGAGCCAGCTCCAGTCGAGGACGCGTTTTCGGACCCCGGAGCCTTATCAAGGACTTGCACAGCTTTTTCCCACTGCGAATGGAGCCAATACACCCGCTGATCCTAATGATTCAACAGGATTCTGGGAGTTCATCGAGATTGTTCGTCGCATCGCAGAGGTCTTGGGGTGTGAGCAGACATGGTCTCCAATGGACCCCGACGTCAGAGACATGAACAATGTGCTGGACATAAACTTGGGTCTGCTTTTCTGACTGATCTTTCTGTTTGCATTTCAAATTCCAATGAGAGGAGCCAAGATAGACATCAGCAATCACAAAGCACATTCTACAATTCTAGACCGAACCATCAACTCCTCCTAGGCATGTGTCACCTCAGAATATTTCTAGTATTATGATATGTCCATCATAATTGCCAACTTTCTTCTTTTGGCTATTTGGCTGAAAGCCCGAGTCACCCTCATTTTCGAATACATACTACGCAAGCTATGCATGTCAGATAAAAAGGGCCTTATCTGACCGGTTTAGCGACTAATTTGATGTAATTTGTCCTCCATGTATCTTCTCTGAAGGCGATTGTCTTTGTTATAATATTTAGATAGCATTTGTCACCATTCAATGGGTAGAGCTTCAGGCAAGAATTCCAATTAACCTTGTGCAGCTTCTCCCGCAAGCATCTTCTGTCTTAGGACTATTTCAGAAATCGATTAGCTGTTGCTTTCATATTATCTTACGTCGAAAACACTCACCTTCTTCTGTCACCCGCAGCTGGGAGCTCTTGCCCTGTACGATCTTCTCCAGCTCCTGTAAGTTTGCATCCAAGCCCTTCACTTTGTCTTCATAGAAAGCAGTCGCTTTTTCCGGGGTCTACACGTAATCAGCCACCAGCCATTTCGACGGGTATCACAACGTCCCTTACCTTCTCAACATAGAATCCTGTGCCAACATCAACGAGCACCTTCTCTCGGTCCGTCAACCGACCCTTGACGTATAGCGAGCTCGTAAGAGGGACGAGGATCTCATCGCGGCCCTTCGTGCCCTGCTTCTCAGACCCAGTCACTCCATCACTGATCGAACGCACACATTCGCGGAACTTGGCCTGTGCGGCACGCAGCTTTTGGTGGGAGGAGGTAAGATGCTCCAATTCAGACGTAAGCCGGGTTTGGAGGGCGCGCAGCTGCGGGAGGGAGAGGGTGGCTAGGTCGACTGTCGATTGTTCCTCAGTGGAGGATGGTGTTAGCCAAAATGATCTTTTTACTGAAGCTTGGGAGGGGCGCGGGTCGAATTTCGTCGTCTTTTTCAATTCGACACGGGGGTAGACGTACTGGCACCGGGTGGAGCTCCTCCAGAGCCTGACTCAGAGGACATTCTGTTGTTTAGAACAGTAGAAGTTCTAATGTCGAGAAAGAGGGTTTAATCACGGCGCGCAGCGAAAGGTGATGCGGGCGGAGGTGGGGGGTGCCCGTTGCTACTTTGGGTTTAGCGCCTCATGCTCTACATCGCTGATGGCAGTCTCTCTTTTGCCAATTTTTATGAGAGAGACGGTGTCTTATTCCATGCTATCCTGACGCCTTAAAGTAGGAGAAGGATCTGGGGACGCTAGATGTTTGGTTCTACAGCTAAATTCGAAGATAGCTTGGAATAATTGAAGTACCCGTGAGTTTGAACTCGTTCCAATTTCGATGATCATTGTTTATAATATTGAGTTGTAGGTGTACGAGGGCGATGATAGGCAAAATGGTAGGATATTCGAATCCAAATTGTTGCCCAAACAGCCGAAGTAGATAGTGAAAGCAGGTACTACGGTACTATCACATCCTGATGTACCAAAGCGGAATCTGGAGACTATATGACCGTATGCTGGTGAAGCTACCTGCATCCTGGTGAAACCACGCCCTCCCACACTGCGGAAATGCATAATAAGCTGAGGTTGAGTCTCAAGCCAAATACTAACGATGAGACTATGGTGAACTTTGTCAATTTGAAGGACGCAGAGCTCTGATGGGAGAAATATCCTGGTTCATGACATATGCTAGTATACATGATGCACTTTGTGGAAAGCGCTAATTTACAAAACTCAGATTAGCTAAAAATCATATCAGAGCTGCGAGAGAAGTTCTTCGACAAATCCAGGTAATCTGTCGAGAGAAATATCTTCTTTGATGCCCAAGCGCCGACACTGCACCTCCAGTGTCTGACTCTTCTTCCAGCCGTTACCGACCACGACAATCACGGGATATCCGATGAGATCCGCATCGCCAAGTTTCCAGCCCATGCCCTTGTCCCGATCATCGAGGAGTGTGTCCACCTGTGCAGAGGATCCAGATGGGGGGCTGGCGAGGCTATCATACACTTGTTCAGCCACAGCATCCAGACCTTTACCAGGGACTACGACGACCTCATAGGGAGCAATCGCACGAGGCCAGTTCAGTCCTTTCGCGTCGACTAGCCGATTTGCGACAGCGGAGACCATGCGAGAGACTCCGATGCCGTGGCAACCCATCTGCATCGGAACAATCTGCTCTTTGCCCGACTTCACATCCGCGGGCGACGCGCCATCAATTAGAGACGGATTGACCGATACTGAAGCCTGCAGGACATCACTGTACCGCGTGCCCAAGTGGAAAGTATGGCCAAGCTCAACGGCAGGATTGCTGGTCAATGAGCCTTCGGCACACTGAGAACACTTGTCTCCGTCATGGACCCGGACAAGGCTTAACTTGTGGGAAGATCCGGGAAACTGGTCGAGCATGGAATATTCGACTTCCTCGGCAGTGCAGCCAGCTTGCTGGAGCAGATCGCTCAATGGTGGTCGCTTGTAAACTCGCACCTGTGAATCGTACAAGTCCAGCACTCGCGGCTTTCCTGAAGCAGATCGAGTTTTGACATGGGCGATCCACTTTTCAGTTGGATTCTCCACACTGAGGTCAAGATCAACGCCAGCTGCCGAGGCAATCGCCTTGACAGCGTGAGAGTTGACGTGACGCTCCACTGGCTCCGCTGCGCCATCTTGCATTGAGAACTTGGGGTACCAGCCCCGGAGAAGCGTGTTTTTATCATGAGATACGGCTGTCCACATACCAGTCGAGATGGTTGGGCCTCCTTCGGAGGGAGATTCTTCTGTTTGAAAGCCGACAGTGTTTGAGCGCTCGGGTTCATGATGGCCGTGTGTCTTGCCATCGGCGAGCTCCTCGTTGTAAACATGGTCACAGTTGGAGCAGCTTATCACACGGTCTTCTCCCTTCGGACTAACGAAGTGGTACTCATGGCTAAGGCTGCCACCCATATTCCCAGAGTCAGCGGCTGCAACGAGATAGGGGACTTTGAGCTCGTCAAACAGCTGTGTATAAGCATGTTTGACCGCTTGGTAGGTCTTCAAGGCCTCAGATACACTGTAGTCAAATGTGTAGAGATCTTTCATAATGAATTCTCTTCCACGGAGAAGCCCCTGCCTTGGACGTGGCTCATCTCGATATTTTCTTGCTGGTAGATGTTAGCATGCCGTGTGTATAGGGGAGAGCGCAAGTGCTTACATATTTGGTACAGTCTGAGAGGCAGATTTTTGTAGGATGTAGTTAGTCCTCCCACGAGGGTCGTGATTTCTTCCTCGTGAGTTGGTGCCAGGAGGAATCGGGCTTCTTTTCGATCATGGAACCGGAAAACTTCCGAGTTTTCGCTCAGTCTGCCCGATTTCTCCCATAATTCCTGAGATGAGATAGATGATAAAGAGACCTTAGATGCACCTGAGACAAGGCTTAGCTGGAAAGTCTAGGAGTTATTAGCTAGCACACCTACCTAATGCACGCATATGCTTGTCAATTAGACGCTCCAGTTTATCCTGAACTCGCAACCCCAGCGGGAGCAGATGGAATACACCCGAATAAGCCTCGATTAAAAATGTCAGTCCATAACACTAGCATGAAGAATAAGTAGCATACCTGTCTCAAGAAGCCTCCCCTAATCAAGAGGTCATTTGCATCCTCTATAACATCGTCAAGTTAGGATTAAATTAACAGTCCTCGCAGCAAACATACCAATCTCGCCATCGACTGGCTTCTTTGAGATGCCACCAGTAGGAATCCAGAAATTCGAAACACGATTCCGTCCGTCATACTGCAATTGATCAGTTCCCATCATGCGATTGTGCCAGTTCTAGACGCGTACATGTAACCCGCATTGCTGAATACGCAGCCCCGACGCCCGCCTCACGCCAGGCAGACGACGGGTTACCAGCATACTAATCATATCCAGATCTTTGAGCAATAGCCCTCTGAACCAGAAATCCCCGAAAACCGCGTCAAACAAGACAGTCGGGAAATTGTCGCGGCCACCAGGAGCAATCCTTATCGGGTGGCCCGAGCGTCCTGATAACGGGCGGCCGCAAAAGATTTCTCCGTCAATTTTCTCTCGAGTCGAAAAATAACCCGCAACTCCCAGACACGGCCACAATGGGTAAAGGGAAAAGCAAGCGTTCGTCAGACGTCCAGGAGACCCTTAAAGATGGGGTCCCCGCTGTTTCCGAGACCCAATCCGCGCCAGACTTGCCACAGATCGACGAAAGTGCCTTCGCTGGTCTCCGACAGAAAATCGAGCAGCGGTTGAAGGACCAGAGCTCTGGCAAGGAGAAGGGAAAGAAGAATGGCAAGGCATCTGCACCGGCAGAGAAGCCGAATCCGAAGAAGGGAAAGGATGCTGCGCCTAAGGGTGGGAATAAACAGGTTTCTTCTGCACAGGGCAAGAAGCGGGACCGCAATGGCGACGTGATTGCGCGTGAGGATAAGAAGAAGGCTGGAAAGCCAGGAAAAGCGGGAAAGTCTGAGAAGGAGGACAAGGACGTGGAGACTCTTCGCCAGGAAATTCTTGCGTTGGGTGGCACCGAGGACGACCTCGAGTTACTCGCTGATGTTGACTCCGAAGACGAAGTCGAGGGTACTACGACTAAGGATGGTGACGATGACTTGCGCGATGAGCTCGCGAAGATTCTGGGAGCTGCAGGCCATGTTGTGCCTGAGGATCTAGCAGATGAAGACGTCGAGGAGGAAGAGGAAGATCAAGAAGAGGAAGAAGGAGAAGACGATGAGGATGAGCTTAGTGAAGACGATCAAGGGAGCGATGCCGAGGACCCTTCCGAAATGTCTGACATTGAGGAGACTCCAAAGCAAAAAGCAGCCAAGTCTGAGGCGCCTGAGACTGTGCACGTGCCTAAGGAATATGCAAAGCTCGTGAGTACAAGCTCCGGAGAAATTTCACAAATACATGCTAACCCGGCGTTCTTTACAGGCTATTCTTCCTCGATCTGACTGGTATGCAGTTCCTCTCCCGCCAGTAAAGGGCGCAAAAGAAATCAATGCGCTGCCACGGCACTTGATCGACCGAGTCCATGAACTCGCCAAGTCTATGCTCCAAGAGGAGAACGACCAATATGCGGAGGCCCAAAAAACCTCAGCATCTTCTTCTCACAAATTCTACTCGACTATCATGACATCTGGTACTCTCAGTGATAAAATTTCGGCCCTGACTCTTGCTGTACAAGAATCCCCTCTGCACAACACCAAGTCCTTGGAGACCCTTATAGGCCTTGGGAAGAAGCGCAGTCGTGCCCAGGCCGTCGAAGTATTGCGCTCGCTGAAGGATATGTTCGCTCAAGGTACCCTGTTGCCAAGCGATCGCCGACTTCGGTCTTTCCACAACCAACCCTCGCTCGTCGCCGCTTTCCAGGGCGCCGGTGGCCGCTGGAGTGAGCGCGACCCGCTTCCTGGCGGCTTACAAAAGAGCCACCTGATTGCCTGGGCATTTGAAGACTTTGTAAAGGAGCAGTATTTTGAGGTTCTCAAGGTGTTGGAAACCTGGTGTAACGATGAGATTGAGTTCTCTCGATCTCGAGCTGTTAGTTACGTCTTCGAGCTGCTGAAGGAGAAGCCAGAGCAAGAAGCGAACTTGCTTCGTCTGCTGGTCAACAAGCTTGGTGACCCTGGAAAGAAGATTGCGTCGCGCTCGTCATATCTTCTACTTCAGGTCCAGCAGTCCCACCCGCTAATGAAGCCTTTGATCATCAAAGCTGTGGAGGAGCTCCTTTTCCGCCCTGGCCAAAGTCAACATGCTAAATACTACGCTATCATCACATTGAACCAGACTGTCCTCAGCTCAAGGGAAGAAAAGGTTGCTGCACAATTGTTGGATATCTATTTTGGCATGTTCGTTACTTTGCTGAAGCCAGCAGACAAGCAAGCACACAAGGGCAGATACCAGGGCAAACATGGCCACAAGGGCCACAAGGGCCATAAGGGCAAGGGCCAGCCCGAGAAGGGCGAGGCCCAGACCGATGAGATGCGCGAGAAGCTGATTTCAGGTGTCTTGACCGGTGTCAATCGCGCGTACCCTTTCACCGATTCTGACTCAGACCGGTATGTCTCCGTCATCTCTTACTCCTTGCTATGCAATATAACTAATATGTCTCTAGTCTCTCAAAGCACATCGATACCCTTTTCCGGATCACCCACTCTTCGAACTTCAACACGAGCATCCAGGCTCTGATGTTGATCCAGCAGCTTACTTCATCTCACCAAGTTGCCAGCGATCGCTTCTACAGAACTCTATACGAGTCGCTCTTGGATCCTCGTGTTGCAACATCCTCGAAGCAATCTCTCTATCTCAACCTTCTGTTCAAGGCCCTCAAGAGTGACCTGAACGTCCGCCGAGTCAAAGCTTTCGTCAAGCGCATCGTCCAAGTCCTCGGAATGCATCAGCCCAGCTTTATTTGCGGAGTTTTCTACCTCATCCGCGAACTCGAAAAGACCTTCACGGGCCTCACAGCTCTTCTCGACCAACCCGAAGACAACGAGAGCGACGACGAAGAGGTGTTCCGCGACGTTCCCGATGAAGACGACGAGCCTGCGCCCACTCCGGTCGTTCAACCCAAGCCTAAGCGCGAGCACGCCTACGACCCGCGCAAGCGCGATCCCGAGCACAGCAACGCCGACAGAACCTGTCTCTGGGAACTTTTGCCCTTCACATCTCACTTCCACCCTTCCGTCTCACTAAATGCTACTCGTCTGCTCGAACACGAGCCCATGAGCGGCAAGCCAGATCTAACGCTGCATACGCTCAGCCACTTCCTCGACCGTTTCGTCTACCGCGCGCCCAAGGCCAGCGCTGCCTCCCGCGGCGCCTCTATCATGCAGCCTTTGGCCGGTGGAGAGACTGCGGACCGGTTGGTGGAGGCTGGCAAGTCTGCGCAGCTGGGCATGCCGCTTAACTCGGAGAGCTTCTGGAAGAAGAAGGCTGATGAGGTTGCCGCTGAAGATGTCTTCTTCCACGAGTACTTCACCCGAGTCAACAAGGATAAGGCTCGTGCTAAGAAGAGTAAGGGTGGGAAGGATGAGGATGAAGATTCGGATGCTGCCATTGACGACGGAGATGGCCTCAGTGACAACGAGTCGGAGATCTGGAAGGCACTGGTGGACTCGAAGCCTGATCTGGAGGCTGGAGACAGCGATGATGACATTGACATGGACGACTTGGCCTCTGCTTATGATGACGACGAGGACGAGGAAAGCGAAGGTGAAGGCGGCGATGACGAGGTCATATTCAACGACGAGTCCGACGTGCCGACCGACGATGAAGCCGAGGAGGACGACTTTACTGCATTTAGCGACGAGGAAGGTCCCGCCACCGCTCCCAAGAAGGCTCCCAAGAAGGCTCCCAAGAAGGCGGCCAAGCCCGAGAAGGAAGAGGACGAAGAAGACGACTTTGACATGGACGTCTCAGACGAGGAGGCCTTCCTCGACAGCGACGAGGACCTGCCATCGGACGTGGAGCTGGGTGGAGTGGAGCTGCCAGACGCCAAAGCGGAGCCTTCGGAGCGCAAGAAGCGCCGCAAGCTCAAGCACCTGCCCACCTTTGCTTCGGTGGACGACTACGCGGCCCTTCTGGCGGACGAAGAAGAGGGCATGTAGATCGTGTCCATGGCATGTGTCTTGCATGTATTACCTGCTATTCTATCAAAAGTACTTTTCTGCATTCTCCCGTGCATACCATATTCTCATCCTCTCGATGGCGTTATGGGCCTGTGTTGAATATATTTTTTTTCTTCGATGTATGTATCCCAGCTGGGCAATAGCGGCGATGATCCCCCCCGAGGACAAGGGGCCCCGTACCCAGTATACTGAAATCCAATAGTGGAACTTGTTTTTTTATGTGTCCCCTTACTAGAACCTTCGAAGTCGTAGAGTAATCTCACCGTGGAGTACTGTACCTGAACAGGCAAACGGTCAACACGCACATTCAAGAGATTGTGGCGGCGCGCAAATCCGCCACGGGGCGCTCCTGACGTTCTAGAAAACAAGGAGCATGCAAACTCCTCTTCCTTACAGCGAACTCTCAGGGGTAGAGGCCGATCGTACGGGAAATGAGCCAACTGCAGATGATCCTGTTGGGGGCTACGTAGTCAATGGGTCTATTTTGCGGCCATCACGCAAGAATTCCTTGGATTTTTACCGCGGATATGTGGTTTCGGCATGAGGCCATCGCCGCTGTCAAGCACGCAAGAGCGGGCCATGGAACCAGCCGAAGCCGACACTTTAAGCCAGGAAATTTCGAGTAGATTACTCCATGTAATGATTACGGCAATTTATATGGGAGAGTTTTCCTGCGTTTGACTCCTAATAATTGTCAATCTATTCTTGGGCCCCTTGGGGCTTGCTATCTGCTGAGTGCGTGATAAGCCAGATAGTAAGTTACTAGTACAACCTGAGATAATGTATCCTGATGTAGTATGATAAGTCCCTTATTAGCCACTGGCCTCGGTAATTACACCATGTATTCTGCCATACACAGTAATGGCGCTTGGAACCGCGAGGACCTGCTCACATGGGGCATCCCGGTACTGCCAATGTCGCCTCCAGGGCGCTTTAGAGTGATGACTCATCCGCACGTGGCGGCTCGGGCGCCGGACGGTAATAATACCCGTACCTGTACGTATTCCGTACCAAACCCGCGAACATGCTAGCTTTATCTATGCTATCTAATATCTATGTATCGACTGGATTTAATTTCCTTGTGTATGCAGGAATTCCTGGGGATCAACATGGCCTTAGCGGCCGTATGTCCAGTCCCCAATGGTGCTCCCGCCGATTACGACCCTCTTGCCTAAAGGCGCCCCATCGCTCTCCGCATGCGGTTAAGCACGACAGCGCCGATCGAATCAAGCCCGGTGAAAAAGGGCACTGCACTTGCCCACCCATGTTTCCGGGGCGCTGCTGTCGCAAAGTGTCTGATCCCGACCGGGGAATCCTGTATCTTATGGGGCCGTTCATTTGACCACTGCTTGCGGGGTGGAACCCTCTCATCCACTCGATGCTGTGGCTCAACGACTTATGCGATGCACGATCAAGTGGACTCCGAGGTTCAGCATCGTTCCCACCTGTCTTCGGCGGCTGACGGAGTCCAGAACTGAAATGATGTAGCCGATCTTGAATCCTGTTTGTTATCGGGTGAGGTCGACGTTCGACCATTGCCCATTCAGGGCAGGCAGTCCAGCTCTCTTATCATTCAAGATAGAATGCACGGGATTTCACCCTGAGTCAGGATGCATGGGGAGGCACGGAAAGTCGAATGAGGAGGTTCCATCCAGGTGGTCCGATCGCCAGCCAAACCTTAAGCCTCCCGCGTGTGTTAGAGCGTCGGCGGCGCCGTGGCTGACACCGAAAACCTTCTGTAGTAGCCATTTTCAGTTCAGCCCTGATCCATTTCTCTGCTTAGGTATGTAGCACGTCATATTCTTGTATTCCGGATCGACTTTTTTTTTTTGTTGAATCTTCTTCCGGCGAATGGATGCGGTGGGGTGCAGTGGACCCCATTTGCTAATTGACCAGGTATTCCCCAGAACCAGAATTACCGTCTTGTAGGGGTCCTTGGCCCCCCCAAGCATGGCGACCCCGGTGATACGCTGGCTTGCTGGCTTGCCCTGGTATATGAGATACCTGAGATACCTAAGATACCGATCTTGGCCAGGTCTTTTGGGCCTTTTCACTTTTTCGCCTTTTCGCTTTTTCTCCTTTTAGAAAATTTCTCTATTTGCTTTTTATTACTTTTCGTACCCTGGGTTTCTTTCTTTAAAAAAAAAATCGCCGCCTCCTCCGCCTCAATCCTTATTACTTTGCGATTGCCGCCTCGGTACTAACGCTTCTGGCCGAGAAAGATCAGCCCTTCTGGTCCACGTTTCCTACTTCAACTTCATCACTACCTTTGGTCAGCTTTCCACGGTATTGAGTCGCCTGAATAGTGCCAGTTTTATGTCTACGAGGATCGCGGATTCCGTCTTTTCTTACTCCACTGAGTATCGCCAAGCGCGGTTCGCCCGCTCCTTAAGATCCAAATGGCTCGATCAAAAAACGCCGCCCCAGTCGATACTCACTCGAGCGACACTGACCGCACCCCCAAAATGAGCGAAAAGTTCGACGGCGACCTCGGCGACCTCAATGGCAAGGACGTTGAGGGTGGCTTGAACCATGTCGACTCGAACTCGACTAGTGAGCGCATTGGTCGCCAGATTGAGATGGAGGCAGAGAACGGGATTAAATATCGGACTTGCAGCTGGCAAAAGGTAAATTGTGCTCCCGAATTCCGCGATTTCTCCATGTTACCTGGGATCGATGTCCGCGCTTCTCTCACGGTTGGAAACCCTAACCGGGAATGATGGGGTGCGAGTGACAAATGAGGACGGAGGGGTTAGAAAGAGAGAAACATGCGACTGATCCTCGCTCACCCAAAAAAAAAAGATTGCAATGGCTGATGATTTGATTAGACTGCCGCTCTCTTGTTCTCCGAGTACATCTGTCTGGCCATGATGTCGTTCCCTCAGTCGTACTCAGTTTTGGGGTTTGTTCCCGCGATTATCTTTACGATCTTTATCTCGGCCGTTGTGTTGTACACTTCTCTGATCATTTGGTATGTCGTCACTCCGAGCGTTTGACGGGTCCGGTCGCGTGCTAACCCCAATTCCCCACAGGCGCTTCTGTCTGCGTCACCCAGAACTCCGCGATGTCTGTGACATTGGCCAGTACCTGTTCTGGGACTCCAAGATCGCGTGGTGGGCGACCGCCGTCATGTTTGTTCTGAACAACACCTTCATCCAGGGTCTGCACTGCGTGGTTGGTGCGACCTATCTTAACACGATGACCGACGGTGGCGCTGGTGTCTGCAGTATCGTCTTCTCCGTTGTCGTCGCTGCGATCTCATTCATCGTTTCGCTGCCCCGTACTTTCGACGTTCTTAGTCACATTGCGACAGCATCGGCATTTTTCACCTTCATCTCAGTGCTTCTGTCTATGATCTTCATCGGTCGACAAGCGCACCCGCCGAACTACGACCCATCCGACCCGCCCATCATCTCCGCTATCCCGCTGGCCGGCACCACTTTTGTGAGTGGAATGAGCGCTTTTCTCAATATCAGCTACACCTTCATCGGTCAGATTACTCTGCCCAGTTTCATCGCGGAAATGAAGGAGCCCCGGGACTTCTGGAAAGCCGTCACCTCCGTCACCGTTGCCCAGGTCATTCTGTACAGTCTTGTCGGCTCTATCATCTACGCCTATACCGGTGCTCAAGCTACCGCGCCCCATGTGTACATGACTTCGCCCGCATTCGGCTCCATCGCGAACTCTGTGGAGAAGAAGGTTGCGTTTTCGTTCATGATTCCCACCCTTATCTTCTTGGGTGTGCTGTACGCGTCTGTCACAGCTCGATTCGTCTTCTTCAATATCTTCGACGGCACTCGCCACAAGACTAACAACACTGTTGTCGGCTGGGCCTCATGGGCCGGGATTCTTGCCGTCCTCTGGGTTCTTGCTTTCATCGTCGCCGAGGTTATACCCTTCTTCTCCGACCTTGAGTCTGTCCTGAGTTCGCTCTTCGACTCTTTCTTCGGGTTCATTTTCTGGGGTGTTGCCTACATCCGCATGCGCCAGGAAGACCACGGCCCTGACTTCTGGAAGAAGCGTGGTCTCCGCGGATACATCGGTCTTGCAGTTAACATTTTCCTCATTTGCATCGGTGTTTATTTCGTGTCCGCTGGTACATATGTAAGTATTCCTTTGTTCGTGATACATTCTCGCGCTTTCTAACATCAACCGCTAGGCCTCGATCGAGTCCATTCTGATCAGTTACGACTCAGGCTCTGTCGGCAGTGTCTTCTCCTGCAAGGGGAACTCTCTGTAAATTCGAAGTCCGCGGGCGGAGCTTCGACATTTCAGCTTTTCATATCGCACATACTTCCACCATATTTCCTAGCACTACCTGCATCTGGTCTTTTCCCACCGACTGGTCTTCTATCTGGTCTACAAGGACGAGATTGGAAGATACAGGGCCAAAACTGCTCTGTTGTTTATTCATCTATTTACTTTGACTTCAAACTTGCTCTGAGCAGGATGATTCGGTGATACCTTTCTGTTTTGGAATTACTCGTACTAGTTGTACGTGTAGGATGTGCCTTGCATTGGACTCGCTCTGTTTTTCGTTATCTTATTGCCCTTGCTCTTGTTTATAATTTTATGACTGAAGTCAGTTGGGACGTCAGGTTTGCACCGCGCCAGCCCTCTTCATATACACGGGATTCAATTGAAATCAGACGATTAGACTCAGGAAGTACGCATGTTCCTGGTTTGTTTTATCGCAAAGCAGTATTCCTTCAAAGACTAATCTCGCAGCCTTGAGGTCTTCAACGAAATGAAACGATAGAATTGAGAGGAGAAACTCGAACTTATCTCGCTTCTGCTAGTACTAGATGCCCAGGATGCTCCACTCTCCATCCCCACGTAGTCCACAACTTCATTGAAGAAGACTTTACCGGATCGGGAAAGCAGCTGTAGTCCCTATCTACACGTGACTTTTCCGATGCGCTTCCCCGAGGAGGGTCCTTGGGGCCTTTTTTTTAACTCTGCTATTCCTTCTCTGTGCTTTATTCTCCCTCCAAACAGAATTGATTCAATATGTCGAGCGTTCGCAATTTGAAGAGAGGCGTTGACCTCGTCACCGCTAGAGCGGCTGCCCTCCACGCACCCCGCGCCTCTATCAGCTCCACAGTGCTGCGGCGGGAGCTATCATCTGCCTCGGTGCGCCCAGCTGCCCGCGCCCCCAGGCCTAGAGTTGCTTCCCCTGTGGGAATTGCACAGGCTGAGCCCCAGGCTGTTCGATATGCGTCGAGCTCCAGCGAGCCGCTGCGCAAGACTCAGTTGTTTGACCTGCACGAGGCCCATGGTGCCAAGATGGTGCCTTTTGCCGGCTACTCCATGCCCTTGCAGTACGCCGATTTGAGCCATGTAGAAAGCCACGCTTGGACTCGTGAGAAGGCCAGCATCTTTGATGTTAGCCACATGTAAGTCTCTGAACTTGTTCGTCGACATCATTGCATCCAATGGGTTCTGATAATCATCGGCATATAGGGTGCAACACCACTTGAGCGGCCCTGGTGCTCTTGAATTGCTGATGAAGGTTACCCCGTCCTCCCTCGACAAGCTGGCTCCCAACACTTCTACTCTGTCCTGCCTTCTTGAAGAAGGAACCGGTGGTATCTACGATGATACTGTCATTACCCGCCGTGGCGAAGACAAATTCTACTTTGTGACCAATGCCGGCCGCCGCACTGAGGACCTCGCCTTCCTCAAGGCCGAGATTGATGCCTACCGCTCCAAGCACGGTGCCGACAGTATCAAGTGGGACGTCCTCGAGGACCGCGCTCTGATTGCCCTCCAAGGACCCAAGGCGGCTGCCGCTCTCCAGCCTCTCATCAATTCTGCCAACGCCTCCGCCGACCAGACTGACCTGAGCACCCTCTACTTCGGCAACTGCCGTGATCTGCACATCACTCTAGCCGACGGCAGCGCAAGCGCAGAGCCTCTATTGATCTCCCGTACTGGCTACACCGGCGAAGATGGCTTCGAGATCTCTATTCCTACTGCCGCCGACGCCACTCTTCCCCAGCAGGTTATCAACCTGCTTCTGAAAGACAAAGACACCGTCCGCCTTGCCGGACTGGCTGCTCGTGACTCCCTCCGTCTTGAGGCCGGCATGTGTCTGTACGGCCACGACATCACCACCGCCCAGACTCCCCCCGCCGCTGCCCTCGGCTGGGTCGTTGGCCGCGACCGCCGTGACCCTGCCACCGCGAACTTTAACGGAGCTTCCGTCATCCTCTCACAGCTCGCTAGCCCGAAGACCATTCCACAGCGCCGTGTGGGTCTGACCGTGGAGAAGGGTTCCCCAGCCCGCGAGGGATCTACTGTCCTTGACCTGACCGATCCCGCCAATCCCGTCGAAATCGGCATCGTGACCTCCGGTCTGCCCAGCCCCTCGCTCGGCGGCACCAACATCGCCATGGCCTATGTCAACACCGGATTCCACAAGAAGGGAACCGAGGTTGGCGTGAAGGTGCGCAACAAGGTGCGCAAGGCTACCGTTGTTGGTATGCCCTGGGTTGAGAGCAAGTTTCACCGCCCATGAGGGTAGAGGCCTTTGATATGTTTTTGACGTCCTTTTATGTCCTTTTTTTATATGTCCTGAGCGAGGATTGCACCTGTATATATTGATTTTTGTCGCAATTGGGTCCGCTGATGCATGCGTCCATATCTTCAACATTTCAATCATTCTTCAACAGTTATCTGTAGATACATTTAAAACGGAGAGAGATGCAGCTTTGGAAGATCAACTATAGTTTTTACGATCATGATAGGCCGTCCTAGTATCACTTGGGCTCCAGTCACAGCTGAGACAGCTTGCTACTGCTACTAACATTGAGTCAAAGTTGTATGTTTCGAGTCAGAGCCGAATGTCCAACTAGGAGTCTAGTTCAATCTGTGGCTCCAAATCTACACGAACAATGCATACTCCTTGTAACTCTTTAAGCTAAAAGTAATGTTCAAAACTTGAAGTTTGACCGTCTATGCTCCGAGGCTCACATTCTAGATAAAATATGTACATCATGTTTCACATTCCACCAAGAATACTAGTACCTCACCCAGCCCGGCGCAGGTCACCCCACGAACTTGGAACGATGCTGTAGGAGCTCTGAAGCCCGCAACCCTAATGCCCGTGCCCACCACTCCATCTCCGGCCATGGCGCGCAGCGTGCTGACCGGCACCTACCCCCTTATACTCCACCCCCTCGCCCGAGAAAGCATGAGGATGAAACAACTCCGCCTGCGACGACTGCGTCGACAAGGAAGGCGGCAGATCACCCGGCCCAGTCCCCCACGAACTCTCATTCTTACCAAGCACAAGGACCAGGCTCTTCCCCTCTGTAAAGAAATCGTGATCAACCCAGTTCTTCGTATATGGCTCCCCGTTCAACGTCGCAGACTGGATAAAGCCCGAGCCCCCGGTGTTATTCGCCGAGTTGAACTTCTCGAAGTTGAGGACGCGGATGGTCGCCGTCTTGCCTGTTACGGGGGACGTGATGTCCACGGCCTCGAAGAAGGGCACTGTGATTAGGTAGACGCTTTGGCCTGGGTTCGGAAACAGGCCCATCATCGACATCGCGACGAAGGAGCCCATGGCGCCGGAGTCGTCGTTGCCGGGGAGGCCGGTGGGGGTGGGCGCGAAGAAATCGGGGATGTACGTGCGGACGCGCGCGGTGGATTTGGCAGGGCGGCCGGCGTAGTGGTATTGATAGACTGTTAGGAAGGCAGGCTCGTTGCCGATGTAGGTTATGTTGTTGTCGTGGAGGTAGTCGAGGCGCGAGACGAATTTGGCCGGGCCGCCGAAGAGGGTGATTAGGGCAGCCATGTCGTGGGGGACGAAGCTGGTTGGAATGTGTGAGTAAGACTGGTTACAGGAGGATTTTATGGGGTTACAGGGACGCACAATGAGTATTCCCAAATGCTGGATTCGAAGGTTTCGGGACCGGTGTTCTGCAGAGAGCAGATGGCGCCGCTGGTGTCGATATTGGAGCATTTGAGAGGGTCCTGATATCCCCAGGTCCCATTGAGATACTTGGGCTGGAAGAACCCTGTATAGCCGGTTGGCTTGCCGTTTGGGAGAAACGACTCTTGATCTTTCTTGTACAGGTTTTTCCAGTAGCCGGAGCTTTCTTCGTACTTCTCTACATCGGCTGATTTGCCGAGGCCACGGGCTATTTGGGCAATAGCAAAGTTGTTGTAGGAGTACTCGAGGGTACGAGAGATGCTGCGAGTCATGGTGCCAAAGCCGAGGTAGTCAAAGTCCTCCACGGGGATGTAGTTCTTTGATTTCCAGCTGACGAGTCCGCCACGGCCCTCGTTGGACCAATCGAAGGGCTCTTCCTCGGCGTCTTTCTTCACAGCAGCATAGCCGTCATCCCAATTAATTCCGTTAGCCAGGCCTTTGACGTAGGCGTCGGCCAGGATGTTGTCTGCGTTAGAGCCGCCTTGTGTATAACCTATATAGATCATATGTTAGATTGAAATCTTGTTAGAGGTAAGAATGATTCGTACCCTTGCACAGCGACATTCTGCAATCCGGCAACCACCCAAGATGACGTTGAGTTTCAATCATGGATCGTATCATCTCAGCGACTGCGCTTGGATCAACAAGGGTAAGGAATGGGAACTGAGACCGGAACGAGTCCCATAAACTATTGCAAGTTAGCTCCATTGAAGAACATCGGATGCTAGCACATACCAATAGAAAGAGTCAAAGTAGGGCTCTTCACTGCTCCAGAGAGGGTTCTCCCCGGTATAATTCTGAGGATTCACCATGGTACGGTAAATGCCACTGTAGAAGTTGGTAAGGACTGAGGGGTGAACAACATTCCGTGAGACACGGATTGGCTTGAGCTTCTCTGTCCACTGATCGATGGCGTCCTGGTGGAGCTTTTCAAAATCAAAATCAGGAATCTCAGACTCAGCATTCGAACAAGCCTGGTCAGAGCTAATAAAGCTTAGGCCGACTCGAGCTTGGACTTGGCCATCTGACGGAGACTTGAAACGGACGAATCCACCACCCTGTGCAAGTTAGCTATGATACCTTAAGCTGCGAGGCTGCTGATGCTCACCGGTAGTGGATACCCGTTGATCCCTCTCGATATCTTCAAATCATGCACCTCGGCACTTGCCCTTGCATCGACAAAGATACCGCTATCGCGTAGACCAGCAGAGCTTTTGAAGTCGGCACAGAAGGAAAGATCGTATGTCCCACTTCCAAAGCTAGGCAAGAACTTAGCAGTACCCGTCATACGCCCGGTCTTCTCGTTGACGGAAATCGTCGCATTATCTTGCCTAGAATCCGACAGATCGGTCAAATCTAGGAAAACAAGCGGACTAGTCGCCTTGGTGAAATTGAAGCGAAAGAGTGTTGTATGCTGAGCAGCAGTCATGTCCACATTAACGCCCGACTCCAGCCCAATGCTGAAGTATCCAGGAGTCGCCTTCACCGAGCCGGGTGTATACTTCGTTTTCCGGGCAAGCTTCGGGAAAACACAGCCGTCAACATCGTCGCCAGCGCATTCGGGATAAGCAAAAAGAGGGAAATTGCCAAGGGAAGGACTACCGCCAGTTCCGGAGTCGTGCATGCTCGAAAAGCCTGTGACGTTGCTGCCATCGTACGCGAAACCGCCCTGGTTACTCTCGGAGTCGGTATCAGCAACGGCCTTGGCCATCCCGTAGGGCAGAGAAGCGCCAGCGAAGACATTGCCTGGAGATTGAATATGATTAATCCTACTGGAAGTTCACATTGTTCCTGCTCGCAGCTCCCCAGGGAGACCTTACCTCCATTGGCGGTGCCGATCAGCGGGTCGATATACTGGAGCACATCGTAGTCCTTGGGGGCAGCGGCCAGCGCGCGACTGCTGGCAAGAAGGAGCGGTAGGTACAGCGAGCGCATGACGAATAAGATTAGGAAGATCGGTTTGGACGATCGCTGGTATTTAGAGGCCCCCTTCCCCGTGTCAGGGGCGCGTCGTGTGCCTGGCCGTGCAGCTCAGGCATGCGGGCCCCTGCCGATCAACCCCGCGTCGAGAGGTTGCATCGCTTTATCGGTCGAGCTCTAATGCAATGCTAGTCTCAATCAATAGGTTAATTTCCGTGGTCTAGGATGTTATTGGCTAAATCGGAGTTAATATAGGTAGGTTTTCGGACTTTTGGGGCCCGAGATCCTTACATCCTGCCGTCTGATTGAGGAAGTCGGAGGACGGAGTAATACGGATAGAGGCAAGGCTGATATTCATTCATTAGCGCATTATGCATTGCGCACTAGTATCTCTAGCTAGTGCTTATCGCGCGATACCGATGAAACACTGATGGAGGATTCGCTAGCGCCGCTGTGTCTTGCTTGATTGGTATCCGGCCCAATCAAGCTGCTTGCCCGGTAGTTCGAAATATCCATACAGTCCGGGCTAATTGAATCGTGATACTGTAAAGCTGTCCAGGGTGTTGATTTCTGTTCCAAGTTGAATGGAAATCATGGTAATGGAACACAAATTGTAGGGGTAGGCGCCGTGGAGGGCACTCGCAGTATAGAAGATCCTTTGATCGATTCCAATGATACTGTAGCATGAGTTACCAGTAGACGTTATGCCCTACATGATGACACTGTTTCAAAGATTTGTAGCTTGGTCATGCATAATCCGACGTAAAGCAGACTAGGGGCGGGGGACGATGAATATACTAATACCAGAGAGCATCATCAGCGGAATGGGGCCCAATGGCCCCAGAACTTATAATGGAGGATCCATATATGCCTTTATAGTGTCGAGTGCCGATATCGGCAGGAGCCAGACTAAGGGGCGCGATTTATGGGGTAGATGAAGGCGGAATTGTCTGTCTGCCGTGGTCTAGTATATATAATCACATGCCACGGAAATCATAGCAATCGATCAAAGAATAGGAAAATATGAAATGCTGGCTTGATTGCTCGATATAAATTTTGAAGGTCTGTGTCTCGTACAGAGTCCTAAGGTGGAGTGAATTATTCTTTCGGGTGAACCGGGAGCTCTTGCTCCTTGTTCAGACCAGGGAATCGGGAACCCTTGTCCTTGACCTTCTTGACCTTCTTCTCCACCACTGGAGGTGGATAGGCCTTGGCGTTGATTTCCTGCCACTCGGTTGAAGCAGCGTATTCCTTTTGGATTGGCTCCATGATAGCATTCAATCCCTTTGAAACAGCAGGCTTCAGATCTTGGGGGGTAAGCTGGACAGCAAGTTAGCGCTTTTTCCAGCCACAGGCTATGAGTGACAAAAACATACCACATCGTTGGTGTAGTCTTCTTTGACCTTCGCGATATCGGTGTAGACCAGAGGTTCACCTTCCCGGCGCTCAACAACAAACTTTCCATCTCCTGAAAGGTGGGCCTGTGGCAAAAGAACAAATTCGACAAGTGCAATGATGCCGTTGTTCTCAACCACCTTGGGGATAGCTTCAGCCTTGCGGATTTTCTTCGCGATGTCCTCTGCACTGTCGAGGAGATCGATCTTCGATGCTTCGTCGGACGAGCTCATCTAGATTCCGGGTTAGCTCGAATAAGTAGAAGTATGGTGCGGAATTGACTAACCTTTGCGCCCTTCAATCCGGCAACCATGGGTGTAACCTTTATAAAAAGTCAATACATATATGATGAATTAGAGAATATGGGCTATCGAACCAGATGAGCGCCTACGAGACAGTTAGTAAAGACATTCATAATAAGATCAGGGACAGTTCTTACGCTTTCGGTAGCCAAGCTTAGGTAACCACTCGGTGGCAGCAGTGAAAAGTTTCCTCTGCAAGACAATACGTTAAGTGTCAATTCCTCCTTGATTTTGGAGCATCAACATACTTGATCCATACCACCCAATTCTCCGTCGCACTTCAGGTACTCCTCGTCAAGGACCTGGAGAAGGGGGTACAACAGTCCAGAGAGTGGTGGGCTCGCCGACTGCTTCACGATTTCAGCACCGGCCTTTCGCGCATCGTGCTCGGACTGCAAGGTCGTTAGCTATCTGATATCTTGAGCCCTAGGACGAGAGTAAATACCGTCAGAGAAGCCAGCTTGTACAGATCCATAACATATTCGGGGCTCTTTTGGTAGGAACTTCCGAGGACAAACTCCAATTTCTCGATGGGCGCACCGGCGGCCTTCAGAAGTGATGTGATGACCTTCTCGTAATACTTCACCCGGTTCTCCACCAATTCTAATGGTGCCTTGAGGGAGTCAAGAAAAGCATGGATGTCGGCGAGCAGGATGACAACCTCGCAACCGGCTTTGAGCAGCTGGGCGATCTTGATCGCAGGAACTTGAAGCGCATTAGTTACTGATACCACGCGGGCAGTTGTGCGCGTCCTGAAATGCGGGCAACGAAGCAGAGGGTTGTATTTCCAACATACCCAAGTAGCCAGTGTGAGGACGTCCGGTGGTCGCGGTTCCTACAAGATCAAATCATCAGCCTGTGGTCCTTGGCTCGCTGGCCATTGGTCCATACCCCAGTAGATGCGCGGGTTCTTGCCCTCTGCGAGAATGCTCTCAATCAATTCGGGATTGAGGATCTCAGCGAGATTGTCATTGATCAGATCGAATCTCTCTTTGGCAGACGCCATCTTGAAAATCAAGGGGATATACGTTGGCAAGTAACAAGAAAAAAAAATAAAAAACGAATACCCAACGAGGGGCAGGTGAGTCAGGCGGGGAAAATTCCGTTCTGCTGTCAATTTCGCTGATCACTGGCCGGATAATATCCGTATGTCCGTGAAACGATCAATCGAATACTTTTGAAATCCTACTCAGCTATCTTCTACAAACCAACTCATATCGCAATTTTCAACGAGTAGAACTATACCTCACCATAATACCCATGGGTGCGCCGTAAACTTGTGTTTGAAGGAGATCTTGGATACTATGTTTAGGAAGGCGGTATGGAAGGCGGTGTCTTGATAGTAAAGTGGGAGCTGATCGAGGGTGTCGGCGAGTCTGGACCACCTTTAATAGGATATTCTGGCGGGAATCATATATTGAGAGTCCGTATGCTATCAGTTGATCCCAATGAGTGCCTTCAGCTTAAAACGGGAATAGCGACGTAGGACCAAACGAACCCACATTGGGTCACAACCCTGAAAGGCCAGGTTAGTTTGGGAGAAGCAAATGTCAAGGCCAAACACTACCTACAGACAGAGACCTACAGGTACTGTTTATAGCTTAGATATCGAAAAAAACAGATTAGAGAGAACGACTCTGCTATACATTTGACACAATGTATGCGCACTAGTTAGCAGCCAAGACATAAGACGCGACTTCTGATATGCGCCCCGTTTACCCCGTACATGCGGTCGACTTTCCCGATTGCGATATACCGAGGTAACTTCTACGGAATCCACTCGCCATCCTCAACCATTCTTTGCCCAACAATCAATCTCGGCGCTATTGCGGGTTCGAGGCCCCGTAATCATGTTTCGTCGACAATTTCTTTCTCTCCCTTCAATTGCTGCCTCTGTTCCCCCAGCTCCCCGAATAGCACCCTCCCCTTTCCGGTCCCTCCTTCGCGGTGCTAAAGCCTCGCGCCAGCCCTTTATTTACCCCAGATATACTCGCCGTTATAACTCGAGCAGTGAGTCGGCTACCTACCATCCGGGCATTTCAACAACCCTCTAATGTCTGGATCGCCGTTGTGCGTCTGCTAACACCTGTCCACAATCTCAGCGACCGCACCGAGACCCAAGACTCGTTTCCGCCGTTTCATTGGTTTTGTCACAATCGCAGCACTCTCATTCGGTGCCGGTCTAGGCTACAAAGCCCTTGAAATAACCCTTCGCGTCATGGCTTCCCCCGTCCCAACCGACGAGGAGACTCTCTCCCTCTACGAGCCCCAAGACGAGACCGCGCGTGTGGTCGACGAAACGCTGCGCGGACTCCCCGAAAGCATGGGAACTCCGCATGAATCCTGACTTCAAAGAGTCACGCCCACACCTAAAATTCCCTGAGATTATACGCGCCCGCAGTCTGACAGCCGGGACGCTCGCGGGGCCCAATAAGATCGTTGTCCCGCCGTACGTGTTCAGCGAGAAGAGCGGCAAGTCTCTGGTGTCATTTATGTACCTAGGCTCGGACGTCTGTGGCCACCCTGGCATTGTCCACGGTGGTATGCTGGCTACGCTTTTGGACGAGGGATTGGCGCGCTGCTGCTTCCCTGCGCTACCGAATAAGGTTGGCGTCACAGCGAACCTGAACTTGGACTACCGGGCGCCGGCCATGGCCGACCAGTATGTCGCGCTGCGTGCGGAGACCGTTAAGGTCGAGGGCCGCAAGGCTTGGGTCGAGGGCAGAATTGAGACCGTGCCGCAAGACGGCTCGAAGCCGGTGGTTCTGGTTGAGGCTAAGGCTTTGTTTGTTGAGCCGAAGCAGGCTGCAGTAAGTTCTACATCTCTTATGGCAATTGTAGTATATGGCTAACTGATTCCCAGACTATGTCTAAACTGGCCCGGGGTCTCAACGAATGAAATTTCTGCCCGATGGTGGCAAACTAGTGGTTCCTGGTTCCTGGATTCGGGGATCCGGCGTTTGGGAGATGGAATTAGAGCATTGTAAATTAATTGAAAAGATAGGAGATCCTTCGCATATATCAAAGTGTTACATATCAAAAGGCCCCTCGTATAGTCGTATCAAGACCCGGAAGAAACACTAGTGGGCGGAATACCGTATCTGCAAAAAAAAAAAGACCCCGCGATCTACACCAGTCCCGCTCCTACCGCGCGTCCACCGTTTGGATTCGTTTCAGTACTTCTTCTCTCCTTTCCCCTGTTTCCTTCCTACAACCCATCCATACCTTCGAAATGGCCACGTAAGTCAATTGACCAACCCCTCACTCCCTCACTCCCTCAATACCCATAACCACAGCATAACCACCGAACCATCTCAACATGCAACTAACCAACCCCGCAGCAACATCACCTTCCACGCCTCCGCCCTAACCCGCCCCGAGCGCAGCGCCCTGCGCAACCAGCGCGGCCTCACAATCTGGCTCACCGGCCTCAGTGCCTCCGGCAAGTCCACGCTGGCCGTGGAACTGGAGCACCAGCTCCTCCGCGACCGCGGCGTGCACGCCTACCGCCTGGACGGCGACAACATCCGCTTCGGCCTGAACAAGGACCTCGGCTTCAGCGAGGCCGACCGCAACGAGAACATCCGCCGCATTGCGGAGGTCGCCAAGCTGTTCGCCGACTCTGCCTCCATCGCGATCACCTCGTTCATTTCGCCCTACCGCAAGGACCGTGACACTGCCCGTGCCCTGCACGAGGTGCCGACCCCCGGCGAGGAGACTGGTCTGCCTTTCGTCGAAGTGTATGTCGATGTGCCCGTCGAAGTTGCGGAGAAGCGCGATCCTAAGGGCCTGTACAAGAAGGCGCGGGAGGGTGTGATTAAGGAGTTCACTGGTATCTCGGCGCCGTATGAGGCGCCTGAGAAGCCGGAGGTGCACATTAAGAACAACGATGATCTGCCTGTTCGGGATGCTGTGAAGCAGATTATTGACTACCTTGATGCTCAGGGCTACCTGCCTCCAAAGAAGGAGTAGATGGGTTGTTCAAGTTGCTTCATGATGCGGGGTTTGTATAGTGGAAACGTACCTGCTAGCGTCAGTTTATGTATCTGGTGCTCGTATTTAGTGGCGCTGGAACCTAGGTACTTTATATACGTTTAAGATAGAGTTGCTGCAATTGATACGGGGTGGTTTCAGGAGTGTAGCTCCGTTGAATATTGTGGTTTTTCAATCGTACCTAGCCGCTTTCCAGGAGGGGAGAAAACAGCAAAAAGAAAATGCTCGAGATAGTCTGTGCTCAATGAATATGGGTGTATATATGTACGCAATACAACTTTGAAACTTGCTGTTGTATCTCTTACTGGAAATCGAACTCGTAGAAAACATACGGCGAGTACTCCGCGCCGCCTTCGCCCGCGGCATGGATCTCGCTGGGGTCGTCACGCTTGACACGTCCCTTCTTATCACGTCCAAATGCATTGCCAGCGAGGTACGAGTACTTGTCGTCAAGGTTTGCCTTTGCCTTCGCCGCTTGCTTCGATGATGGGGTCTAGCAGAGAAAAAAAAACAAAGTTAGTCATTAAACCCCAAAGTGATCTTGCGAGAGAACATACCCGAACTAAAGCGCAAACAAAGTCCAGCGGCAATCCATACCGCAGAACGGTCTCAACAAATACGCGAAGAACAAGCACGTGGATCCAGACCATCACGGCCTCGCTCCACGCCGTCCGGCCCAGACGCAGCGTCTCGCCCCAAAGCTTGCGCTCGTCGCCTCCAACACGCTCCACCTCCTTGCGCTCCTCCTCTTTGCCGCCCTTAACGTACTTAAAGTCGCGGGGAATCCACTTCTGTTCTCGGCACTTATGTACAAACTCGGCGCTGTGCTTCTTGAAGGTTGTCACCGCGTACAGAGAGAACTCGCTGTCCTCGGCGACCAGCTGGGCGGACCGTGGCACGACCATGGGCGAGATAGTCTCATATGTCTTGATGAAGTCCTTTGTGAGCTGCGACGGCACGGCAATTAAGTGCGTCTCGATGTACTCGGAGTCCTGGACAATGGAGCGGGGGTCAACGATTGAGGCGAGAGATTTCGTCGAAAGGTTTCCACTACAGGGTAGGTTAGCTGGGTTGTGGAGACTGGGTGAGAAGCAGAAGACGCACGCTTGTTTCCGCTGGAGGGTGGACAGGTTGTTCTTCACTTGATTATATTGCGAGTATTTGAAGCGGATGTCGTTGTCGATGCTGGCGGCTTCCTATCAGGCGGAACATGTCAGATTAGCACTGGTCGCTGGATACAGCATAACGAAGCATACCTTCTGTAGAAGATCAATTAGTTCCGCCAGCGGCTTATCGGCCCGATACTTGACCTTATTCCACTGGAAAGTACGGAGATACTGATCAACAGGCTCTGGAATAGGTTAAGAAACTGCTCGATTTCCCCAATGAGGACCGGAGAGACGTACTATCATTGACAACCTTATTGTGCGCAATTTGCGCCTCGTCGCCGTCAAGGATATTCTTCAAGGCATCGCCGACCTTGCTCACGACAGCTTGGCAAGAAGTCTCAAGCTTGGCGAGCTCGTCAGCCTGCTGGACAAGGGCATCAAGAGTACCGATCTTAAACTCCGGGATTGTGAAGTTGGCAGCGGAGCCATTCTCGGGGAGATGGTGGCGGAGACAGCTTCGAGGGCCTCGTCGTGATGGTGCGAGGGGACAATGGAGGAGGGGAGGGACAAGAGGAAGTACTGGCTGGGCTTGGACATGGTGATGGCAGCAGCAGCTGGAGGAAAGAAGAAGTAGGGAGCCAAGGATCATACAACGGCCCTAATGACGGGCATGGGGGGGGAAATGTTGGGGTTGGCACTGCACGGGATGGAGCTAAGCGTGGTCCTGATGTCGTAGGCGGTCGGCGGTGATTGGGTGCGGGACAAGTGGAGGTTCATCTTCAGTCGCAACGGGAGCACTACTAGTTCTAGGACAGCTTTTGGTCGGAGTATTCTGTAGAATATCATTTTGATTGTTCATTAAAGATAATCCGAGTGTTCAATAGTTACAGGTTTCAATCAATCTACATAATCCGCATTCGGCCTGCGATGGATATGCATAAATGGACACTAGCTTGACTGGAGCGTGCAGCGTGTCAACACAAGGAACGCCAGAGACGGATAGTCCGACTCAGGAGGAAATTTGGTCACTAGTGATAGATAAAAGGAACGGTGTAGGGTATTTAGAAAGACCGTAGGGGCCAAATAGGAAATGAGTAGCTTCGAACCTGCGGAATATGTAGAACGGGGAACCTGAGATAAATCACATAGCAGGGTATCTGTATCGAGCATGCGCTGATCGTGAACAGAGGGAAGAGGAGAAAGAAAAGGTGGGCAATGGAATCAGTCGGAGTTCAGTGACCAAAGTGGTGGTCTCAAGTCTTCCAAGCGTCGAACTGATTAGTTGGAAGGGCGTACGCTAGAGGTGAGTCGTAAGCTCAGACAAACAATAGCAAAATTGAATAGGCGTGAGAAAGAAGCATCAAAAACTGAAGAAAAAACCTTGAATTTCCAACCTCCAGCCGCTAGTTTGAAATGGGTACCACCCGGAACAAGATGAACGCAAAAACACAGAAATAAATGAGTAGAAGAGCACGATTACTGGTAGTGTTGTAAGCCCATGAAGATCTCCTGGGTGTGCTCAACCAAGAATTTTAGAACCTCGTTCTTCTTTTGTACATCGGTCATCTCCCGTGCAAGGCTCTCTGGTCTCATGAGGGTCGGGGCGAACACGACGGCAATGTTCTGACTTGTCATTAGGTTTTCTTCCTGGCGCTCGATGACGCGCTTCAGATGGAACATGAGGAATTCGAGTACATCGCGGTGTACGCGAGGAAGCTGGGAGAGCTGGTGGATCATGAAGTCAACGCGGGCGGCATGCTCCATCTCCTGAGAATCGATAATGGTCTCGTAAACATCATACGTAATAAGCGGGTTGGGAAGTTTGCGGAAATATTGCTTCAGAGTGGAAGTGACGGCATGAATATCGAGATCGGGGTCGGAGAGGTCGTAATCGAAGGGTGTCTTCTCGAACTCGTCACGAATGACCTGAACCAAGGAGGCAGCGCCGGACTTGCGGTAGATTCCTTCCATATCCATTCCTGTGGAAAAGATTAGCGAACCGATCAGAGGGAAAACAGAGAATGAGAATGAACAAACCTCGTAGCTCGACTTCTTGGATACACCGAGTAACAATGTATGGAATGATACTCTTCTCGTTCTCCATCCGAGCCTCGAGGTCAGTGCCGAAAAGTCCTAAGACTGGAAAATTAGTCTTCGTTCCATATTATCCAAATATAGGGACCATACCAGTAGGCTCCGCCAACGCCGACACACTGTCTGCATGCGACAATTTGCCTCCCTGCTTTCGTTGGTTTCCAAAGAAACCAAATCCTTGACGACTGGGGTCCTGTGTTTGCGAGCGAGGCAAGCTGGCTTCACTTTCGCCCATAAGAGCTCCGCGAAGGCCCTTGACGCCCTTCGCCACGTTCTGACCGCCCTTCTTCCAATTGAACTTGCGAGGTTGACCCTTGCGAATGCTGACAACCTGGGGACCAGGAACGACAGTTGCCGTGGCGGGTTCACCATCTTCTGAGATATGAGCCGTAGAGACAGATGCAGCAAGTTCGCTGACAGTGGGTTTCAGGGCTTCCAACGAGTTGATGGATTTGTCCTTCGTATGGGAAATACCAAGCCCGTTAGCGCCGCGGTTGTTGTCCTGGTTGGATTTGTAAAGTTCTTGGATCTGGTGCACTAATTGATTGTTAAGCTCGGCCAGTTGGGCGTTCTTCGAAGATAGCTGCTCGAACTCTTGGAACGCCTTCTGCTTCATGCGGTCGAGGTTGCTGAGCTCCTCAGTCAGGTCATTGCGTTTTTGAATCAACTCTTCAATCTGCGGAGAGTAGGACTCCTTTAGATTATGCATAGACTCGGCAAGCTCGCGCAGGACATGATTCGAGAGCTTTCCGAGATCCAGAGGCCCGCCAGCCGCTCCGCGCTTTTCCGCTTCAATGTGATCGGTAAGTACTGATAGCTCGCGCATAACAATTTCCTTCCGTGCGTCCAGGACAACCATTGTTGATCGCTTCTCAGAAAGCTCTGTGTTAACTTGCTTGACATCAGCTTGGGCGCGAAGAGCATGTTCCATCTCCGCGATGCGTTTGCGTTCCTTGCGCAGCTCTGAGCGGAGTCTGCTCATCTCCTCAGACTGCGAGCTGGTAGTGAGAGGACTAGCGACGAGGTCTGTGTCAACGGTGTTGCCATTGGTAGGTGATTGAGAGACGGTCACATTTAGCACTTTGCTGGTTCGTGGGCTCTTCACAGCCGAGTCTTGGGGCTTAGTAGAGGAGTTTGAACCAGAACGCATGCGTAAGAAACTATCGACATCACCGCCTCCAATAAGACGCGCCAGATCTTCATCTTGAGAAAAATCGCTGCTGGTGTATCTCGGCTGTGGTAGGGACGGCGAGCCCGCATTATCCAATGGCCGAGAGGGTTCAGAAAGTGACGCATTGCCTGAAGTAACGTTGGCTTTAGGATTATCCGCGGCAGCATCAGGCAAAATGGGGGAAGCATATGTTGAAGAACTAGGAGAGGAGCCCACCTCCTTTCTTGGGATGGGGTGGAGTTTGCTCTCCAAAGAATCCCCCCCGCTTGGGTGGGTGCATCGATGGATTGAATGGGGGCGGACCCCGTGCAGAATCCGCCGATCCCAGCTCATGAAACTCGCGCAGGTCATTAGAGGGGTGTGATGAATGGGCTGTATCAAGAAGTGTGCTTCGTTCGTCTCGGGGGTGAGTACTATCAGGGCTAGACCCGCCGGAAAAGGCGCTGGTTTCTCGTAATGCTGGGTGTAAATCGGACGGGGAGCTTCGGCTAGACTCTGCTTTTCCAAATTTAGAAAGATCTGAGAACGGTTTCTTGAGCTCTGAACCATTGGTGCCCTCCAGTTCGCGTCGTGCTGCTTCCGTGTCGTTGGTGCGGTCCCAGTTCCTCTCTTGGTATGCAATGTGGGCAGAAGAAGTATCAGTGGAAGGACGACCGGTAGGTTCATATCCGTCACGAGAAGCCCTAACCGATGACTCGCCAGATCGACCGTTACTGAAATAGTCACGAGGAGCCTCTTGGATAATATGTGACTGCCGACGATTATTTCGTTGTCCTTCATTAGGATCGAAGGCGAGAGGGATGAGGAATTCACCACCACCGTTGCCACTATCTGCGACCGAATGACGCTGCTGAGCTGCCAGATGGCGACTGCTGCGGTATGTGCTGGAAGGAAGAATTAGGTCGTCTTGAGCTACTAGGTCAGTTTCTGCTTGTAAAATGGAAGAATGTGGTGTCATACCTTGGGCAGCAGTCTCTGATCGACCCATAGAGTCTTTACTACCAGGTAAAGCTTCTGTTGCTGCTTCCACATATCCGGTTTCGCTTGGAGTCTCGTCAATCGAGCGCGTCTCTTCCATGCTAGGAGGGAGGGATGGCAGGGACTTGTCTAGCTTCATTCCTGATGTGCCTGGCCTTTTGGCCTGAGCAACTGCTTTTTTTTTCCGCCGCCGTTGCATAAGAGACTCATGACAGTCCATACAAAATATGCCTTGTGAAGTTCGTGCGTATCGTAAGTTCTCGATCTTTCGCTTGCAATTCCGGCAGCGGAAGCACTGAGCACAGAAAGCCTGGTCTCCGGTGAGAATAGCCAAATCTTCGATCTTGTTCCCACATGAATTGCAGCTGTAGGTACAGTTGCTACAAATCAAGGAACCGTCCCCGAGGAGTAGGAGGTGGGCGTCTGAGTCGAGAAGGGTGTTGCAGGTGCTGCATCGAAAACAGTCGATATGCCATCTCTGTCCAGCTTCAGGCGAGTCAGTAAAGCTTCGTTTATGCAAGTCAGCCAACAAAGGAAAACATCATGTGGGCTTACAAAGCTCAAAGGCCTTCCCCTCCTCGAGGATCTAGCGGAAAGAGGGTTAGTTAGTTGTACCACCACGGCCAATCCCTGATATTGCATACCTCTCCACAACCCATACAAGGGAAGGACATATCCTCTTGCTCCATCGGAGACTCTGGCTGTAATGTCGGGGATTCCATTTTGTAATTTTTGTTTCGAACTTTTTTAAAGGGCGAGAGGAAGGTCGTCAGCCGCGATCGGTATTAAGGCCCGCAGCTTGAATTCCCGCAGAATTCACTCAGGGCGAGCGCAACTCAGGATAACGGGGGAAATATTAGAGTAGAAACGCTTGCGCTAAACATCCAGTGTTCGCGTCGCAAGCTCAGAGTCACCTTGGCCTGAGATGTGCCCTTCTGGTAGAGGAGTGGTTGCGCGGGTTCGGAGAGGGGAATGCGACAGGGGGCTGAAAGAGGACGGTCTGTGGATGAAGCGTTAGCCGACGATGAAAAGAACCATAACTGTTGGTTTAAACTTGAGACAAGACTGGGCCATCCAACTCATTCCTCGGGGTCCAGAACGACCGGTGTTGAGTTGAACTAGGCAAAATGATGCAGGACCACCTGGCCGTATTGACGACCATAACAATGGCCCCAAGGGTCTTTTTCCCACAAGCAACAAAGATAGAAAATAGAATTCACAAACGTACCTGATAGCGACCACACCGCTAATCCTCGTCCCACGGAATGTTTCAGAACGAAAAACGCGGGTGTTGCGACAAGCGCTGAAGAACGAAACGGAATGGGAGTTGCCCCTCGCGGACGCTGGAAGATCAGATAGGCAGGTCTGGGGCGGTGTCGGAGAAGGCTCCTCAGGGGAAACGCTGAATTAAAGGCAAAGCATCGAAAAGTCGAGAAGCAAAAGCAAAAGCTTGCCAAGGTTGGGAAGGGGGGAAAAAAAGAAAAGTTGACGTATTGCAGATTGCAGGGGGGGCAAAAGACAGTGCGGAGGGAGAAAGGAGGATGAAGTGGCAGAAAAGACCGAGTCTGGACAAGCTCATCCCCCACGAGCCCACGACCACACCCAACCTGAAATGGACGCTGGCAGGATGGTCTCTCTTGCTATCCTGGATCGGTTCTAGTTGCAATGAGAATGCAGGTCCCAAGCCCAAGGCCGAGTCCGAGTCTAGATTACAGTTACCACTACACTATGGACGCAATGACCTAGAGAACGTGCCACTCTGTTGCTCAGCAGACGAAGAGGCTTGCATGGTCCAATCATGATTATGCGTCTTCAGCAAAAGCAATGGGTTGCCTATTCGCTCCATGATCTGCACTTTAATGCCACGACGGCAGCCGCCAGGAATGGCCCCTACTCCGAAGGACTTAGTTTCGCCTGTACTCCGTACAAAAGTAAACTTTACTGGCTTTTGGGTGTCCCTGTTTTTTGGCAACAGAACTCGAATTGTACACCAATCACGCAGGGGATCACCCCGACAGAAAACTCCCAAAATGACACTGTGCAGCCTCTCCTGGCACGGCTTCTCTGTCTCAAACACGCTCTGATTCCCGGACTACCCCTGTCCTTTATCTACTAAGTACGGAGTACCAGGGGTGGAACCGCCAGACCCACGAAGATATGGAGACCCGCGCTATTCATAATCCGCGCCTAGTCTTCGTATGAACCAGCAACCGTGGCTTTCTTAATTACAAGCCACTGTTGCCCCCCATGAGCGCTAGTCCTAAACATCCGCAAGGCCATCCTTTTGAACTCAATCCCGCTTCCTGCCGAAACTCTCATGGCAAGGCACCCTCGTTTCCGTCTTGCCCCTCAAACTCCCCCATCAAACTCCCCCCTGAGAATCCTGCCCCCAGACTCTCCAGCGTTTCAGGATTCTGAAACGCCCGTGTCACGTGGTGTCCCCGAAACTCGATATCGAAATTACGATCCGGCTAATTTGGCCAAGTTGGTATTTTCCCAGGTGCCGAGGAACTGCTGCACGTCCATCGGATGCTAATAGCCAGATCTGACTAGTTGCGGCGAGGTCGACGCCGGTAAGATTGCGACACCTACTAACGCGTCCCTGCTAATGTGGATTGGGTTGCTCCTCTCCACAACCAACACACGCCGCTTGACCCACTTTCCATATTAACATCGTTGTCCAGGGTTCAGCCTTGTTTACGCAGTACATAGGGACTAGAGCATACATTAAGTTGGAGGTGAAGAATGCTGCCTACTTACGCTGTGTAGAGTGGTTAATCTACGATCATTCAAGTGTTAAGGAGTGACCTTCCCAAGCTATCTACGCCACTAAATTAACTATGTTGTTGGGACCGTTCGGTCAATCGAAGTGATCCCCACTCTAATATCCTCCATTGCCGCAGATATCTGTCATCTAGGCCCTTGCATTGCCTGAGCCATATGATCAACCAATTATACGCCCCAGGCCCCTAGAAAAAAAATGAAAACTAATATTAGCCAAGTGGATAATGCTTGAAAAAGGAATTGGAGTATTCTGTTGCTCTCTGCAGTGCCACCTGTATGTCTCGTTTCAAACGTTTACCAGTGCACGGTTAACGAGAATTGGCACTAGGTGCATAGGCCAATGATTCGGATCAGCTGCTCGCCGCCTGTGTCAAGTAGATTAGGCGTTTTTGCGAGGGCACTTGGATCTGAAGCTCGTAAATTGAAGGATCCACTCTCGGCTATCATTTGCTTCTTGGCCGAGCTATCTCGTGCACAACGAGCTTATGCAGATTTTTGACAGCCTGTGGTGGTACGTGCACATGTTTTGAGATACAGCCTTTGCATAACATGCCTGATCCAGTTTCAAGCGATCCAAGTCAAGGACCCGCATGGCTTGCTGAGCACTAATATTAGGCCGACGGTCTGTTAATAGCAACATTTAGTGTGGGTAGGGCACGGGATCTTGCACTGGTATCCTTGTCAAATTACTAGCACGACAAGACGAACTAGACAAACTATAGGAAAGGGGCTTTAACAGCATCAAGGAGCCTTGGTAGACTTTGAAGTGAGGGATCTTTCATTGCAAGTCATAACCAATGGATCTGTGACCCAGCTCTTAGGCCTCGCTTCGCCATTGAAGCGATCAAAGCGACCCAAGCGCCCGAACGTTGCCCGCCGGGAGTCACGAGGGGGCCGCTTGCTACAAATATGTCAGGAACGCAAGTGCCATGACAGCGCCCGATATTGAGCCGTCCAGATCAAGTCTCAACATTGAACTCAAAAGGTGGACGGGGCACATTTGCGGGGCGATTGACATCATGGGGCCAGGGCCCGGCTGTCGATCCCCAACAGGTCCACAGCCGCTAGGGTCAAATAACATACAGCATGAGAACTGATACTTGTTCAAATGGGCTGACCGTCAAGACGTTGCAATCGGTCGCGAATAGCGTCTGAGTCCTCATCTTCCTCTGCTACGTACTCTTGCAGAACAATACGTCGCATGAGGCGGCGAGGTGCACGGCGCCCGGTGAAAAGTTCAAACTGTGCAAATCCTTGCTCTGGGAGGACGTCAAGTCCATCTAGAGCTCCCCAGCCTCGATGCGATAAGGCCCTCACTTGTTTCATGAGAGGGGTGTTGAGGGGTTTGTACGCCAGCTAAAATGACGTCGTTAGCGCGGGCTTGTATCTTGGAGGGGGATTGGTTGCTTACATCCACAACAACGCCACCAGTTGGGCTTTCGATCCACTGGGGCGGGAGTTGAAAGTTGGGCGCCGGCTCGCCGCCTATACTGTGCGCGGGGATACCCGAGACGATGATAGTTGGTTGTTTGAATTCTGCGGGCCAAGGATCGTGCGACGAAGCCAGCGTGCTGACTCTGGGGCGATCGATCTTGGCTTGATCATTGGAGTAGAGGTCTTGGCGGTTGTAGTGATGAGCGACCTTCTCTGCATTTGCAAATGTGCGATTGTAGACGAATACATGCTGCACTCCCAAATGAATCATCGAGTAGACAGCTGCGCGTGCCATACCACCGGACCCAATAACTAGACCAGTGGTTGAAGGGCGGACTGCATTGGCTGGTGAAAGGCCGCGACGAATGCAGTTGCAGATACCGATCCAATCGGTATTGTCGCCATGAAGGCCCTTGACGGGGCCAGCTTGGGCCTTCTTGAGATAAATGGATGATCCCTGAGAGAGACGAGGATCCGCGTCGTCGTCGCCTCGGATAGGGATTAGAGTGTTGACAGCCCCGATGGCTCTAGCATGTGGTGACATGGAATGCAGAAGGGGTATGACTTCGGTCTTGTATGGAAGACTGACACTGGATCCGCCAAAGAAATGATCTTCGACCAACTCATTCAGACCTCGTAATGTAGGTGATTGGAAGATGGAGTAGGAGTGAGGTAGTCCGCATAGTTTGAATGCGGCGTTATGCATCGCGGGTGACATACTGTAGGTCGTATTGGCACCAAAGACGAAGAAACGCATTGGGTCCAGTGTAAATGAACTAAACAGGGCTTTCTGCGCGTCGCATGCAGTGATAGATGGTTGAATTCGAGTGGGCTCGTGTTGTGTAAGAGAAGAATGGGTGACTGGGGTTAGGACGGGGTTGAAACAGCGAGACATACGACCGAGGTGTCCGGTATTATATGCAATCAATGGGATTTCAGGGCCTGGAAGGCTTGATACACGATGTCGGAATCGTTCCACCGCTGCATTGTCCTCCATTGACTCAGCCGGCTGGCACATTCGTACAAGGCCACAACCGAGTCGTTTGGCCCTCTCATAGATTTTTAAGTACTCGTCTCCATCCCAGCCACCAGGAAGAGGTCGAAGGATCTCAAAATGGCCAACCACCGTAACATAGCCTCTGGAGCTTATGATTTGAGAAAGGATGCTGTCATCTCGAGAGAGATCGACAGTAAGAAACGTCGGGGCTAGTCTCAGCCCATGTCGAACAAGATTTAAGTACGTTTCGTCAGTGGTACGAGCCATAACTGGATGAAGAGGTGCCCGGGGTGAACAATGACTTTCGACATGGTAGATTATAGGAATAATGATGTTGCGACGAAGGACAGATACAAAGCGGCTGATTGTGTCTGCCAAGTGCGAGTCAGCGCCTAGATGATCTGAGGGGCTAGTTATGTCAATGGCCAGCTCGAAGGCGTCTGCACCAAATTCAAGCTCTTCAATATCTAATGACCTCTCGCAAAGAATTGACAGAGGGACCGATATCGCGCTCGTATAGGGACGCGACTGGACAGGCAGCAAAGACAGTGGGAAGGATGCATGCAGACGGTTGAGCTCAGTGGCGTCGCCGGTCACAGATGCGATGAACCGAAGGAAATCCCTCTGTACGCGTTTGAGTGTTAGGAATGGAGTAGGTGCCTGTGGCCTTTGTTCTGTAGGCGGGCCTGGTGGTGGATCGTGATTATCCTTGCCATTGTGGTCGCCGCTAGGAGCCTCGGAGAGGTTGAAGAATTCCAAGTTGGAACAGGCTCTGTATATTGGACCAGAAAGTTCCAAAAAGTGTCTCACTTTGTGAATATCCCAGACTTTTAAGTACGACTGAATGCTCTCCGGATCTCGTGTCACATGAATGACCGGATGTGTCTGCGCATAGTCTCGGAGGAGCTTTTGGCCACTGCGCTCCATCGCCCCCGCGCCGCATGCAATGATACAGCCTTCCTTATTGTCAAGGAGCATAGACTCAAATACCCTGGCTTCTTGTTGACGGTATATGGCATGGTCATTGTCTTTTTTATATGCTGCGCGGGAGCATCCGGTCATGGTTTGAAAATATCGGTCAGCATCGATTAGGCGTCGCCCGGAGGTTGCAGCCAACATGACGGCTAGGCTTGACTTTCCTGTGCCACGAATTCCGACCAGGACAATCGATACCGTAGGGCTAAAGTTGCGTCGGGTTTGTAGAGGAAGGGTATCTGCGAGGATCGGTGACGCTCGATTGGCATACATATCTCTCAATGAGGCGGGATGTGAGTATGAGTCGGCATGGAGGTCGGCTCGTTCGCTCGGAAGACGTGGAGAAGGGCGCGAAGAGGGCCTTGATGATGGCTGTGAAAACGAATGCACCTCAGGGGACCAGTTAAGCGCGTTGTTCTTGCGAGAGACATCTTCGACCTCTTGCAATTTGCGCTTCGGCGGGTGGATGAGGGCTGACATTCTGGTTAGGCCGGAGTGAGGACCATTGCCAGCAATGATCAGTTGGTCCCCGAAAGTACTAACTGCTCCGGGAACTTAGGGAAGCGATAGGTCTGGTTAGGTAAGAAGTGGGTGGGCAAATTTAGTTTTGCGGGGATGAGAGCCTCGGAGATGGCGGCTAACTGTAATGTTGGAATGTAACTAGTCAAGACTAGAATAAGCTGGCGGACAAACGCTTAGCCGCGCCCTCGTGTACGGATGGGGTTTCCCGCGGGGTCTGCAGGCCTACGATTTTGCATGAAAACTCGAACCCTATAAGGAACGAGATCCGCGATAGATACGGAAATTCCCCAGCATAGAGATCATTGTAACGAAATCTCGATTCGGCCATTGACCGAGGTAAATTCCTTCACTCAATACCTAGGGGACTATACGTAACATCTTTCTTATGCTAGGTGGGGCTTTCTTATTTGAGCTCCCGCCGCTTTTATGAGGGCGCTCAGAGTCAGACTCACTGAGTAAATTTCAGTCCGGGTACAGGGAAGCATGGGTCTGCCTTGTTATCGCAATATACGGACACTAAGATACGGGAACATATCCTAAAGACTGTGTTACACTGCTCTTCGGATGATACCGTCTCGGCCGTTCTAGGTAAGAAAGACCAGTCAAGTCACATAGAGTATTTCCAATTCATGAGCGCGGACTTCCAGAGGAACTGCTAGCAGAGGTAGAGGAGAATATCCTGCTAAAACCAGTAATGGTTGAGATTAGAAGTCGGATCGAGTAGCTTGAAGCTCTAGGCGACCAAACATCCATAAATGCAGAGAGACTGGAATACAGAAGGATCCTGGTTCGATTCCGCCTTTCTGAGCTGAAGGCCGAAGAAATACCAAAGCAGCTGGATACGGGAAGAGAAGAGATGAAAGAATTCTTAATGAAGGGAAAGACGAGCGGACATTTGATGATGATGGAGTTTGCACACAGTTCCAAACCTTGAATATCCCCAATTTTGCGCCAATTTCAACCTTGACGAATTCGGACGGCGAGCTCTCTTTCGAGCTTTTTTTTCGATGGAATGCTCCTCGTTGTAGGAGACCTAAAAAATCACTGTAAACGTGACTGATGTGATCTACCTTCCACAAGAAAGCCCCGTTAAGGGTCGCTATCCAACTAGAGGTTGTAATGAAGAGATTACACGGTGAGTTGTCTAGCCGCAGAAGAATGAAACTATACTAATGCTTTTACAGAATCTAATACTGGCCTCAGCGGGTTACATTATCCAGATGAGAAACCGAGTCAGTACTTTCTCTTCGCATTACTGAATATGAATGGTGACTGTATATGGAAGACCATATACATTGTTATTTGTGAAGTTATGTAACTACAGTATGGCCCTGTACGCATCTGAACCTGGGGCTATCTGACAAGCAGAGAATCTCCATATGAACTAGTCATAAGTCCACTTCTGTTGATTGAACTTTGGCTGGTAGCCATAGTTTAGATTATTTATTGCACATATATGTGCTATTGTGTTGCCTACTACTAAAGGGTCGGCATTGGCAGTGGCCTTCCTAGGGTAGGCTATTCGATCGGCACGCTGGAGTCTTAAGATCAAAAATAGGAGGGTCAACAATTAACAGCCACAACTAACAGCCACAATTAACAGCTACGTATTGGTAGTGTATAAAATACATCAAGCGGCCTCGCATAGGACCGATCCGAATTGCCGTCGGGATATCGCCCGGCATGTCAAATCCAAGCAACCTTCAAACGCTTTGCCGTCCCCGCCGCCGTTTGATCACTTTCCATCGAGGACCAGGTCGAGAGATGCTATTATGCGCAGGCGAGGGAAGGGATGGGCTGTGGCTCTCTTGATGAGCCGGCAATATGGAGCTAGGTTGACCGCGAATAAATTGAGCATGGCGGTAGGCCCCCCCCGATTTTGCGAAATCCATAGTAATAAAGTCGCCGAACAAGAGATTTGTAGGTTTTCGTGGAAATCCTTGCAAGCAGATGTTCTGGAAATTTGTTCTCTTGAGCGAGGACGAGGGCCCGCCCATCTTCTGACCAGTGCATTGCATCTGTATTTCTCGGATCATCAAGAATGCTTTCAGCAGTTAATTAAAACCGAAACAAAATTGGGTGTTGCGTTCGAGTGTCTGTGGGGGAGACACATGGGGAAGATTTACTCACTCGCTCAAGGTTTGGATAAAATCAGATAAATGTAATCTGGATCTTTCACCTGTAATGGTCATGGGCTGTGGATTTTCGTGTTGCATACTGTTTCCTGAAACAGAGTCCCCTGCCTCGCCTTTGTCACGTAGTTCTTCAATGGTTGGCTGAATAGATTGATTACTGCAGCGTTCATGAACCTCCTGTGGCAGGGGAGGTTGATAACTGTCGCTTACAGCATCCTCTCTCGGGACTCTGGCGTCAGAAGTCCCCACATTTGAAGCGGCTTCATTGGGAGGATTCGCTCGATCACGGCCAAATTCCAGAGTTTTCCTTTGAAGAGCAGCCTGCGGCTCGTCTTGGAGGAGTTGAGCAACTACATCATGATGATTCGTGAGACGTTGCTCAACCACCAGCATCTTTCTCAAAACTGCCGTCGCCCAGTTTAGTCTTTGCAATATCATAGAGAAAAGACTGGCCATGGGCCGCTCACCTTCATGTATTGTCTGCCGAGTATTGTTAAGCTCCTGTAACGCCGTCTCAATTGACCGAAGTTCCTTTTCGCAATCGTCTTTATCGGGCCAAGGGTACAAAAACCGCCAAGGCCTACCAGAGCTAAGGAGTCCGAGGTCAGATTCTGGTAGTTCGACCAAGGATTCTCCGATTTTTAGCTTTGATGGGCCTTCAAAGTGAGGGCCGGCGAAGAGGACGACCGTCGCCCAGGTCAATGGTGGCCCCTCCCTCACAGAGGGTGTTGGGGTCAAAAAAAGGGTTTCTAGCAACTTGCCCAAGCGAACACTAGCCAATTCATGTCCGCGGCCGGAGGCAATACTTCCGCCCCTGTCTAACACTGACAGGTAACCCTCCAGGTCGGCCGAGAACTCGGAACTGGATTTATCCATAGAACGGAGAGGGCGAAGGCTGATCCCATGGAGGCACGTGATGAAGTCCTTCGCTCCGTTAAAACCAACTCGGTGAGGGTCATCGACAGTTCCATCGTTGGTGGGCATCTTTCATGAACCGAAGGTCGTTTGAGTGGCCCCTGACTAGTAATATTCTCGGTCATCGGGACACTTCAAAATTGGAATCGAACTAAGCTCTCTCTCCGATCTGATTGGTTGAATGGCAGAGCGGAGAGGCCATGGCGATTAGCTGCGTACACAGCCACTGCTCTAGCCACACATCAAATAACATCGTCGAAGCCTAGCAGGAGCACCGCATGAGGAACACCATCTGTTTTGCCGATTCGAGTACAGATGCGTTACGGAAGTAGTCCTTTCTGGCTGCTGCTTAGGTATCGGTGGTCAAAGCTATACGACGTTTGGATAGTTCTTCGTCGACAGCTTGAGGCCTTGCTAAACGTGTGCGAAGGACTTTTGAGCATTCTTAAAGATACCAGCAAGGGCTTGCATCTCTACCATAAGCTCGCTCTTCTCTCGTCGGAGATGCAAAATTTCCAAGGTTCTGAAATCACCGCTTACTAATTTCGCTGTAATTTTCTCTTGCGGATAAGAACAGGCCGGTGCCTCGTGAGCCAGATATTGGAGGATGCTTATTCTTGCACATAAAGACTCCTCTAGAATGCCTAATATGGCTGGCTTTGCCTTTACACCCCCAGACTACCGGCAAATTATAGTGGGACGGGTGTGAGCCGGCCCCATATGTGCTGCTCAGTGAGAGTTGGCCAGGGCGAAGCAGAAAGCCCGTGCGTCGCTTGGCGTGGGAGCTCTCTTGTCAGCTCGATTTACTCTCCGGGGAAATACCGGATAAGCGCCGGAAGTGTTGTTGATTGATGATCTGTATAACCGATACATAAGTTGCGGGGCCATGTGGGCCCGCCTACGCCGTTATTGACTCAGTTCCATCGCGGCATCTTAACATCCGCTTAGTCAACAGTTTCCAATCCACCCAGTGCTGGTAATTATACATATGCGGCGGACAGTAGTAATCCATTGGCCAGTGGCCTTCCTCGGAAGAGAAACCCAGGGAGCCACGGGGAGCTACCGGGTAGTCATGTGACCTCATTTCAGTAAACCCACATGAGGAGTTATAAAGACATATACACCGACACATGATCTGTTGTGAAAGAATATGAGGGAGAAATTACATCCGGTGATCATTCAATTGGCAGTATAACATGCTAGTGACCTTTGTTTGTCGTTGTCTTTGGAATTCGTTACGGGAGAGGGATGGCTGATCGGATACGCCCAGTGAATCGGTTCTCTAGTATCGACCTGGACTCTATGGCCACAAACGTAATATCAGAAAATGAAGAAAAGCAAAAGTGAAACATGTTGTTTTCCCCGTATCTATTGGAACTGGGGACTGTTATCTGCCATCACGGGTTTGAGTTGGCCACCCGTCCTCGGGGCCGTGGTCGTAATGGGAAGCTAGATTCTCCAAGGCTGTCTTCGTAGTTATGGCCCCCGGGGTCCGGGGATATTGTTCCAGGTCCGGGGTATGGTAGCCGAAGTAGAGTGGGGAAACCCGGGGACCCCTATTCGATGTAGTCCTAGTCCTTCTCTCCTATTTAAAACAGCCAAACAATCTTCTTGGTTTGTAACACCGAAAGCTTCATATCTTAAGGAATTCTCAAGATGCATCCCGCGGGTGTTAATCTCATTCCTCCCCCAACGGACCACAAATATGACCCCCTCCGGTGGCCCCGTTGGTTAAAGATATCAGTCGTGCTCACGACATCTCTAACTAATTTTGTGTCCAACATGGCAGGCGCTGGCCCTTCTGTGGCTATAGGGAACTTTATGCAAGACTTTGAGAAGTCTCAGGAACAAGTGACTCAACTTTTGACGGTATGCGCCCTCTAACATTGATTTGTGCCCTGTCGTCCTCGGAACGCGACCGGCTAACATGATCACATCAGTTCAACTTCCTTCTCCTTGGTATCGGCAATATATTCTGGGTCCCAGTCGCCTTGAAATTCGGCAAGAGGACATCACTTTTGCTAGCAATGACCTTGCAGATGGGTGCTCTGATTTGGTGTGCGCTTGCCAAAGGCTTCGACAGCTTGCTTGCTGCCCGAATCGTACTTGGTTTTGCTGCTGCCGCGGGAGAGGTAGGAAACGAATCGCTGAGAAGCGCACCTTTGCCCTCTATTCCCTTTTCCTCCCTCCATTCAGCTCTCCTACCTACACGATCTATCCTTACTGATAAGTCCCTTTCAGAGCATTGTTCCCGAGATAGTCGCAGATCTCTTCTTCCTCAGTGAACGGGCCACCATGATGTCCATGTGAGTACAGCCTGAACCCTATTACACTTGACATGGCATCTGACCTAGCCCTGCTTTGTTGAGATATGTTATCTTGATTTCCTGTGGGACTGCTGTTGGCCCTCTCGTTGCAGGCTTTATGGTCCAGTATACTGCACAAACATGGAGGAGTTACTTTTGGCTCTGTGTCGGATTGGCCGCCGCCAACCTCGTCCTTCTATTCTTTTTTTGCCCCGAAAGCAACTTTCGCCGACCCAATTACGAACCTGATACCCAGATGGAAGTTCACGCCATTGATGATGAAAAATTGGCTGGAGAATCGAGTTCCAGTTTTGTCGAAAACGTTTCGGGAAGTAGCTTGGGATACACTGTTCATCTGTTGCCACTCAAGGAACGCCTTTACTTGGTTCGATATGATGCCAGTATAAGTTTTTGGAGAACCTTCGTCGAGCCCCTTAGATTATTGCGCTATCCGTCCGTCCTGTGGACTATTTATACTTACGGATGCGCCCTGAGCCCGCAGATTATCTTGATGTACGTCTCTTGTCTAATCCTTCTTCGGTGAACAGTGCTGACACTCCTCTACCTTTCAGATTTACCATGTCCACACTCCTTATGCCTCCACCATATGAGTTCTCATCCACGGATGTAGGGCTCATGGAGATAGCTGCGATAATAGGCTTTCTGGTAGCCTGCTTCGGTGGCGGGTATCTTTCCGATATTATCACTGGATATATCATCAAAAAAAACCAGGGTGTGACTAGACCCGAGCAACGCCTCGTCTCGTTGCTTCCGGGAATGTTCGTGGCCCCAGCAGGGTGCATTCTGCTTGCCTTCGCATGTCAGGAAAAGCTCAGTTGGGTTGCGATAGCTTTTGGATTCGCAATGGGTAAGTAGTTTTCACTCAACACTTTTTGCTGCACTTCATATTGACGGCCGTGCATGAGCTGACAAGAAGTAGTCTCTTTTGGAGAAGTTTACACACCAAACATCGCTCTTACCTATGTAGTCCATCGCCATCAGGAGCATGCCGCCCAGTCCCTCGTTCTCATTAACATTTTTAAAAACATTCTCGCTTTCCTATTCTTGTACGAGGCCGTCCCTTGGGTTATTTCTCAGGGCTTCATTCAGGTTTATATGATTATGTTCATGTTGAACATGCTTACCTTGGTCCTGGCTGTGCCACTCTACTTCTACGGACCCCGTGAGCGGGAATAAACTACGTCAGATCTTGCTCTGATCGTCTTGCATCCTTCAGAAATTCTGCTGTTCCAGTGAGGGGAGCTCAGAGGCTTCCTGTCGAGACATCCAGCGGTATCTTACCGCTCTACAGGGGTTATACTGAGTGGCCCACCTTTTTTTTGTTCTTATGTGATGATTTTGTATCTTAGCATTACGATTGTCGTAAAACCGATACCTTCGGCAGCTATGGATATTTCAACTTGCCCCATGATAGTCGTTCTTCATTTAATCAACCTTCTCATCCGAGATTGGTTCCGCCTTACCCCTCTGTAATCAAGGTATGAGAACAACAATGAAGTCTCTAAGTTACCTACAGCTGATAATTGGGTCAGAGCTTTCGAACCCATATTCCTTGTTGTGGCTTTGATGATCAGAAATAGTTGTAAAAAATTTGTGTAGTATTCTGGTGGGATTACTGGAATTAACTGTAATGTCTTGTCCTCCCGACATAGTTATTACTTGGATAAAATCTCCACTTCGAACTTTATCTCGCTGGAGATCGGGGATTATTCGGACATAGGGGAGAAGTACCGGAATAACCGGGGATAGGCAGGAATCATAGGTCCTTTGAATAAGATATTATTGATCGTTGACGATCAGTATAGAACAAGTCTATTCAATGATCTGTGCAAACAATCAGCCTCTTAGCCCAATCTCCTGCTCATGCTGCATTGCATTTTCGATTGCGCCCTACCACCATCATGCCTGTCCCCCCTCAGCTGGAGTACAGCTTCACTTTACATGTCGATTTAGATCATCCACTTGATTTTGGCTCCACTGTCTTCGGAGACAGACGATTCATCCCTATCTCCGGCGGTAGCGTATCCGGGCCTAAGTTGAACGGCAAGATCATACCAAATTCGGGAGGTGACTGGAACACGGTGCGTTCAGATGACGTGGTACATCTCTATGCACGATATTCGATCCAAGCCGATGATGGAAGCATGATCGGCATTATCAACGAAGGGTACGGCCGAGACAGCCAGAAGGCCATGAAGTCTGTATTTGAAGACGCCGATCCCTCCTCCACGTCAATGGCAAATGGGGGCAAGGATTGGTACACGCGCACGAGTCCTAGATTTGAACTTGCCACGGAAAACAAGAAATTCCAGTGGTTGATCAGCTCGGTGTTTTTAGGCGATTTGAAGCCTCCCACTCGACCAGGTTATGTTGAGATTGATGTGTACCGGGTGTTATAAGAAAATTGATTCTCTCTCTTCTACCCCATTGTTTCGTCGCTATTTTGGGAAGGGCTTCTAACCTATCCATACTACTTTATTTGGTAGGCTGCGAGGATATTGGACTACACGATTGATGTAATGATAAAGTTACGAATAGGGTTTCCACCAAAGACAAAGAAATACTTACTCTGGGACAATTACATCGCGCAATAGGAAGGGAAGGGGATTGCGAAAGAGAAAGCCGGTGCAGAGGTTATAATAAGGTAATTCGAACCATCCATTTTATTATTCATTAGCTAGCTTCTAACAATGTAAGCGAAGCCGCCTCTCTGCCTTGTCAAGTGTTTGCTGGGTGTTATGATTTAATGACCGTACGATTGCCTAGATTTGAAACTGAGCTAGCTGAAGCATCTTGATCATTTTCTGTACAGAAGATGTTTTCGACCTAGCATAAATACGGAACGCTTGTGACTTGCATGCTATTCTAAGGAACGTAGAGAAGAACGGCCTTGATTTTTTTACAATATACTAGAGTCAGATTGGCGAGATTGGCGTCTCCAATCATGGAGTACTTTGCAATCATTCTCGGCTTAAATCTCCTCCAAGTAATGCTCTTGACAAGTTTCTTTTACTCTGTGTTAGCCTTGGGTCATTAAATAGCATGTTACTTGATCAACTTCGTACTTCATTCCCAGACGAGTGAGACAAGCAGATGTTGCTGACTGCTTCGCCAGATGGATAATCTTTTTCATGTCGTACGAGGGTCCCATCTTTCTATGATATATCCTCGTCCAGCATTCATGCAAAGACAACGTTGTTTCGCAAGGTGCCAATCTTTGAAATAAACACGTCCATCTGGGTCCCAGGAACTAAGTACTTAGGAGGGCTCAAGCCAGCACCGACGCCTAGTGAAGCAAGTTAGGAAAAGATCAGTTGCTGATTCTCGCGTGTCTCGAACGTGGAGAAAATCAATGGTCGTTGGTTTGGTGCACTTACCACCGGGAGTCCCAGTCATGATGATACTGCCTTTTTGCAAGGTAGTACCCTGAGACAAGTATGAAATCAAATACTTGCAGTCAAATAGAAGATCGGAGATGCCCTCTTCTTGGCGGACTTCACCATCAATAATGGTCTTTAACTGTAGCAGGCTTGGGTCTGCTATTTCCGAGGCGGCTACTAACACCGGACCGAGAGGGGCGAAAGTGTCAAAGCCCTTAGAGAAGCCCCATTGCGGAACGGAACCAGCGTAGGCAGGGTCTCGCTGGAGCTTTCTGGAGGAAACGTCATTTCCAGCAGTATAAGCGGCGACATAGTTCAAGGCCTCTTCCACCGGGACGTCCTTGGCATCTTTTCCAATCACGATGCACTAAGGTCAAGGTTGGTGAGCTTCAAGATGTATGTAATTCTAGTCGATAGTGTAAAACGAACCAATTCTCCTTCGTAGTCGGCCTGGTCGTTTTGAGCGATCTTAGGGATCACCACAGGTTCTCCATGGTCATGGATAGTGGTGGAGGGTTTGAAAAAAATGAAGGGGAACGGGGGAGGCTTGCGTCCTGCCTCTTTGACTATGAAGGGGGTTTCAAAAATCAGTAAGATATTTAGGAAATGAATAATAGCAGAAATAGCCCATCCAGTCCATACATACTGTGTTTGGCATAGTTTAGACCAACGCAGCGTAAGATAGGCACATCGCTCTGGGCCAATGGCGACAGTATCTTCTTGACCAATACCGTCTCTGCTGTCAATTTGGTCTTGCCTGTGACATCGTAGATATCATCTCCGACAAGCACCTTAGCTTCAATCCGATCCTTCTCAGTAACAAATCCAAGATCAATCTCCTTGGTCTCGGGCAACAAAGGCTCTCCGCGTAGGATGCGGCCATCAACGGCCTCAAAGCGAATCAGACGTTTCCATGGAAGAGCCATCATTGAGTTAGGGGACAAAAAGTGAAAGATAAATGTAGGGAAGTTAGGGTGTTGTTTTCAATGATTTAATAGGAACGCGACAACGAGTTCCAGGGTGGAGGAGCGGGGAAAGGCCGGCATCGATCCCGTACCTCCCGGGGGCTACAGATCTCCGGCAGCGGAAATACAGACTTGTGCGTCCAGGCATAGTTCAAAAGTCCTTTGTAGTTCCCAGAACAAGCTGGCAACAGTAATTCCAATTTATACAAATGGAGGCTAAGTAGGACCCGAAGGAAAACTTTGCTTTTACGATTGATGATATCGTTCAACAGTCTGGCTCTTTATAAAAGCTAACAAAATAGTGACCTGCCTTTAATTGGCAACCCAATTCCCGTGCAGACCAGCCCTCAGTCTGATAGGAAGTAAGATAGTAGCTCGGGCCTTGCTGAAGTCTCGACAGTCTAGAAGATGCAATTCACTGGACATGGTGCGATAGTTATTCACCAAGGCCAGCAAATATCCGTCGCCTTCATCTGCAGAGCCGGCCCGTGGGATAAAAACAGGTTCCTGAACCAGATGTGTGCGCCCCGGAAAGTAGACTTCTGTTTCGCCCGTGCTTCCGTCATGATGTGCCAGCGCATTATAGGGAGGATATCCGCCACCCATGACCGGGCCGATTGCTGGGAAGTCGGTCCCTAAGCGGGGATCCATGAGGTCGAAGTAGCTATGGCGGTACTTCCTTCCAGAAAATCGTTCATCAATGCGATAAAATTCTGAATTGCCATCGTGCAGAACCTCTGGTTCAGGAAGGCTTCCTTCTTTGGCTTTTGGGTCCACGGTAAAACGTGTTAGTTGGCTATGGATCGTCGCAGGATCGGGCGAGTTTCCCTGAGCATCGGGCCACCAATAGAAGACATTCTTGTCACTCAGTCCGAGATCGAAGACAATCTTGCCGTCATTCTGCTCATAGGCATTAGCCGTATGGCCAGGGAATGAGTTCTTGTAGGTGAACCACTATCATTGTGCGTGAGAAATTAGTGAAACGGAAAAGATTGATTTTCTTAACCTAATTTCTTACCTTGACATCGGATGATTTGGCACCGTAGCGGGGGATTACCCCGATATAGAAGGGAGTCTCAGGGCTCCATTGCCAATGTTCTCCACCTTGCTTCATCCTTTCGAGATCGCATAACTGGGGCATCACAGGAAAAAGAACCTAAGACAAGACAATAAGACTCGTTAGATGGTGAAACCATGTCGAAATGGGTGAGAAGAAGCAAAATTTACCCAGTTCTGCGTCACCGCGAAGTCATGTATCATTCCACAGACAGGGCTCACTAGCCACAAAGTCTGAGTAAAATCGCCACCGGGACCGATTGTGTAATAACAAATGTCCGGAGTGCCGTCTCCCTTCGCTTCATACCCAAAGCAAATTAATTCTCCAGTCACTGGATCAGTCTTTGGATGGGCCGTGAAAGTCACGCTAGGAAGCTGACCATCGAAGGTATATAAACCCTTTGTTTCCAGCGTTTCCGGATCCATAGCATATGGAGGAGAATCCTCCTTGAGAGCCAAGAGCTGGTTGTTGAAGCTGACGATATTGGTATTCGCAGTACTTCTGACAGCAAACTCTACCGCATCAGTGAACTTGTTCCGATACTTCCCTGATTAAGAACAGTTCTGATTAGCCCACCTCCTAGCGTAACTCAACAAGAAATATGGGTCGGAATTGTCATACCAATAAGCGCGCGACCGGCTTCCTTCTCGCGGACGAACTTCTCAGTGCGAACATATTTTTGCTGGAAGGTCACAGAACCATTCTTGATACGGAATGCGCTGACATTCCCATCTCCGTTGAACCACTACCCAAGTTAGTGTCTGAGCGGTACCGAGAAGAAAGTGACCAGGAAAGTTAGACGACATACAGGATCATTTTCAATAAAAGGGGGGAACTGAGGATCAGGCATGACACGGTAGAAAGTACCGTCAATGTCATTGGGGAGATCCCCATGCACTTCCAAGTGGCGCACCTCTCCCTCAAATCGGCACGGCTTCATGAAGTCTGAGAATTGAGGGCGGTCAGGAAAATGCTGGGGAGCCGAGGATGCCATTTTTGGCACGTAATGGAACGCTAGAAATGATTCACAAGGGGTGTGGTGAATACGAAATGTTTTCTCTACAGTTGAACAGGACCAAAGAAGGTTGAAATAGGTTTCATCTTCGCGTCTTTAAACACCTAGTTACCCCACAATTGGAAATAAAAATGGGGCACGGGGAGCCCGAATCCAAGCCCGTCTGGAAATACCGGGGGAATACCGGGGAGACACCGGGAACAGAAATAATATGTCAGGCGATTTCACGGATGTAAGGTGACAGTCTTGGTTTGCACAAACTCCTCCATTCCCCACTTAGACCCAAACCGGCCCCAGCCACTTTCGCCATGTCCTCCGTGAGGCAAAGTTGGCTCATCATGCACAGTCATTGAGTTGATGTGAACAGCACCTGCCTTGATAGACTCAGACAACTTCATCGCGCGATAGTGGTTACTGGAGATGATGGAGGCTGATAGGCCGTAAGTGGCCTGCTCGGCGATCTCAATGATCTCCGCTTCAGAATCAACCGATACCATACCAACAACTGGTCCGAATGATTCTGTCTCGTAGAAAATCATGTCCTTAGTGAGGCCAGTGATGACGGTCGGGAGATAGTCATGAGGTGAAAGTGGTGTCGATGGCATTGGTGCGGTGTAAATCTCCGCTCCCTTAGCTTGGGCATCTGTCACCAGCATGTCCAGTCTGGATTTGGCAGCCGGCGAGATGACTGTAGAGGTGCAATCGATCTTTTGTACTATGGAGAGAATCTTTTCCTCCAGAATAGAAGCAATGGCACTTGTGGTAATGACTAGATCAGTAGACATGCAAATCTGACCATTCTGTTTCATAAATGAATAAATTGAGCTTTGCTTGAAAAACAAAATTCGACAGTGAAGATATTTTTCACTTACATTCAAAAATGCACCCTTGACAATTTCTTTGGCTGCTAAGTCTAGATTGGCATCCTCCAGTACAATGGTAAAATTCTTGCCTCCTAGTTCCAGCAAGACGGGCTTCAGTGCCATTGCTGCTTGACTGGCGATGATACGACCGACCTGCGTAGACCCTGTAAAATTGCACTTTTTAACGGCACGGTGTTTGATCAAAATGTCGAAAATTTCTGGGGCATCCTCAGGGCGATGAAGAAGAAAATTGACCACACCAGGAGGGAAGCCCGCTTCCCGAAAGAGTGATGCTATCAAATAATGGATTCGAGGACTGAGCTCAGACCCTAACCAGTAAAGTTAACACTCATCGAAACAGAGAACGCAAGCCATAGATTGCAAGGGAAGTGGCCGAGATACCTTTCAGGATAGCAACATTGCCCGCGGCGATAGGCGCGATAACTGCACGGAAGCCCAGAACTACTGGAGCATTCCATGGAGCAATGCCTAAGATGACTCCAAGGGGCTCCTTAAAAACAAATCCATAGGACTCTCCTTGAGTGAAAGGGATAGAGCCGGTAGTTATTGAGGTGGTAAGACTTGCGCACTCCTCAATGATGCCGATGCTATCATTAGTGATAACATCGGCCCAAAGTGCGCCGCTATGAACTTCTTCATCACAGAGTTGCTTGACTTCATCTGCTCTGCCTCTTCAAGACCTGAATCACCAATTAACATGGCCAATTTTGACCGTTTTCTGTGGAGAGTTTCTCAGGATGCTCTTACCGCGGCAAGTTTTAGAAGGAGTTCACGTCGCTTGACTGGTGTTGTCTTGGACCATACGGTGAAAGCATGTGCACTGGATTCTGCAGCTTTTATCGCCAGCTCTTTGGTCGCACCTTGGAAAAAGGAAGAAGGAGAACTGCGAATATTGGGAATTGCCATCCATCTCTCGCGGGAAGGAAGGACAACGTCCTCGCCATCGATGATAAGTGGCACAGTAGTAGTGGTTTCCATTTTGTGATGACGGCAGCAAATTTCTAAATCCTCCCCAATGCTTCGAAGAATGTTCTTATTTAAATATATCTCAGTAAGCCATTGTAAGAAACCATGGCCCGAAGAACATCCCCGCCATAGCTCCGGGGAAATATCGGAAGTGGGGGGCCGAATGTCCCGCGAGGTATACGGACATCTTCGGGTACCTTTTGACCACGGGCGGGGCTAACATTGTGTGGGGAGTGAAGAGGAGACTCGCGCTAAATAATTTAATATAGCGTTTCAATCGTTGTATGGTTCTAACAATCCAGCTATGTTTTCTCCCATGCCTCATCAATGGCCTTCTCGGTATCATATCCATAACACCACATCTGAGTGGCAGGATCGCTCCACTGGTTGGGACTATGGCTGAATGGAATCCCTTTTACTTCGGGGATCATTGCGGCGTCTCTCGCCTCTTGCATGGGGCCATCGGCGAAATGCCAAAGATGGCTGTTAAGCAGACTGGCCTCCTGCATCTGACCAGCACGTTGCATTCTGACCTTCTCGAAAATGGAAAGACTCTTGGCTAGCTGTTCTTTGCTGTCAACCTTTGACAGAGACCGTGCAAGAGCCACTCCGTCTTCCACCGCCATGGCGGCACCTGTCAAAAGTTGTTATTTTGGGATCATAGACTAGTACATATCAATATCAAATGAAACGTACCTTGCGACATATATGGCAACATCGCGTGAGCGGCATCTCCAAGAATAACAAGCTTCTCCGAAACCCATTTATCCAGGACTGAGCCACTAATGAGCGGCCACTTGAGTGTCTTTTCCACCAAGCCAATAAGTTTGGTAAGACTTCTCGAGATGGTTGGGTTAGTGATTCGTAGGAAAAGGAGAAGGGAAAGCGGACGGGGAATCAAGATTTACATACACCGGATCCCAGTTTGCAAACTCAGTCTTCATATCTTCAACAGCCTTAAGGGGGTTCCATGTAGTGGGATCAGTGCCATCCGGATGAGATAACACCATGTTGAAGGCCTTGCCCGCACCAATAGTGTAAGTCATGACATGTCTCGAATCCCCAATCCTGTCGTAGAAATCAATATTGAGATTGAGAAGTTTATTCTCCCTATCTTACCAGATATTCAGAGCTGGTTTCTCAAGAATCCATGAGACTTCTGGATCATTGCGCATTCGTTCCACATCTACTGTAGCGCGATAGGCTGCAAAACCAGGCTTGCGGAAAGCCATATCCTCTCCGCCAAGGATAATTTTGCGAGCAACAGATTTGATTCCTTTTTGGTATTAGTCAAATAGATCGGAAAGGAAATAGGAACATACGACTGACCATCAGCAGCGATTACCAGATCTCCAGTGTAGATTGTTCCATCAGCAAGCGTGATGCTTCCCGCGGCCGGGTTGTAATCCTCAACCCGCGCTCCCAACTTGATCTCAATTCCCATGTCCTGCACCTTTTGACAAAGAGCGGAATGAAAGTGAGCTCTATGGATCACGTAGTAGGGGGCATCGAAGTTGTCTGTAAACTCTGGAATTAATTTCGTTTTGCCAATGACGTTGCCGGTCTGCCATCTTCTGAAAGAAATCGACTCGGGCTCGGTCACGTAGGGCCTCAGGTATGGTTCTAGCCCCAACTTGAAAAGAATTCTAGTAGAGTTGGAAGGGATTTGAATGCCAGCTCCCACCTCCCCAAGTACGGGTGTCTGCTCGAAGACCGTTACATTGTGGCCACTTTGCGCGAGCGCAATAGCAGTGGCGAGGCCTCCTAAACCAGCACCAACAAGGATAATTTTCAGAGGGACTTTGGCCTTGTGCACGCTTTCCGAGGTCTGGGTTTCCGGGGCCAAAAACGGCCTCGCAAATTCTAGGCAGTTGCTAGGGTATGTCGGCATCTGCAATGCAGAAGCGCCCGCTGTCGCCAAGTGAGGTACAGGACTCACATCAAGTGCGGCAGCATCGTGGGGATGAAGCGAGACCCCATTCGATTCCATTATGGCTCAAAAGAGAAAAACAATAGACAAACTTGCAATGCTAAGGTTATCTTCCTTACGCGGTAGAACGAATTATATCGAGTTGCATTCCCCGCGCCTTCCCCGGACCCCGATATCCCAGTCCGTCATTCCCGACGTAGCCCCGATCTCAATCAGTCGCCTATATAGCTCTTTTGCAGTCTTCTTTTCAAGATAAAGGGCATGACATCTTGACGAATCATCCAAATCCTCAGCTCTTCCGCTTGGAAGGACATTTGTATCTACTGTCAAACCCCGTTATCATCAGTAATATTCCGAGACACCTAGTCATGGCTCAGTTCGTTGAAGAGAAGGCCAGTGGTGACACAGCGGAGCAGCTTCTTCAAGATCTTTCAAACAGCAGGACTCTTCCATTATGGACACAAATGACCCGGCTCAACCCGCCTCTACCCAATCCGACGGCAGTTCCCTTCGTCTGGGAGTACGAACGCATTCGCCCCAGCCTGCTGCGAGCCGGTAATCTCATTTCCGAGAAGCAAGCTGAGAGACGAGTGTTAATGCTGATCAATCCAACTCGTGGTATGTGGTGAAAGTTGTCTACTTCCTTGAAGTTGCGGCCAGTAGAGACGTTCTCTTGTTCGTCTAGCTGATACTCCAAATTGAAGAGGCCCCCTACACTACCGACACCCTCTACGCGGGCCTGCAGCTTGTCATGCCCAATGAGACTGCCCCTGCTCACCGGCACACTGCCTTCGCCATGCGCTACATTATTGAGGGCAATGGGGGGTTCACTGCCGTGCACGGCAAGAGAATCCAAATTCAGAAGGGAGATGTGATCCTCACACCAACCTGGAACTGGCACGATCACGGGAAGGATGGCTGTGGACCTATGATCTGGCTGGATGGTTTAGATTTGCCCAACTTCCGCCACTTCCCCGTTCATTTTGTCGAGCACTTTGAGCAGCCTAGATATCCTGCGGAGAATGTCGATACCAGTGCCTCGCCCATTGTGTTCCCTTGGGCTCGCATGAAGGCCCAGTTAGATCAGGGCGAGGGTAACTGGACTACGCAGCGATACCTAAAGAAAGACGGACGTGAAGGTATTCAACCCCTCTGTTTTACTACGCTGTGATGTGTCTTTGTAAGTCGGGTTTTGTGATGCTAACGGCCTCAAAGTGAGCCGTATTCTTGGTGGCTGCGCCGAGAGGCTCAATGCTTCGACCTCGTCCCCCGCCCGTCGCGAGACGACTTCCGCTATCTACCACGTTATCGCAGGAAGTGGCACTTCCCAGGTTGGAAATGAGACTCTCACCTGGAAGACTGGCGATACTTTCTGTATTCCGTCGTGGTACAAATACCAGCATTCCGCCAACGAGGGAGAAACGGTATATCTTTACCGCTTCGATGATAAGCCAATGCTTACAGCCCTTGGATTCTATCGCACAGAAGAGATGGATGTCGAGAGCCTGGTTTCTGATTAGGCATAAGGGAAGTTGCAGTATTGCGTTTACTCTCTAAACCTTGATGTACGTTCATCGAAGCCTGAAAGAGAAGTATTGATCAAGTTCAGGATATTGTGCCAGGGATTCATTCATAAGATGATATATTCGATGAAACTGCTGTTCGTATGGATTTGAAGTGACCTATATAGCCCCCCTGCCCGATAATCGTGACCAGAATTTGCCACACAGAGAGCAGATCCGTATTCCTCAATTCCAGGTTGATAGATTGTAAGGTATAGCTCGCTGAAGACTTCCCTGGTATCACGCGCTAAACAGTAATCCGGGAAGACCTATTATGCTGCTTAGAGTCAAATTTGGGTCCAAGCGTACAAGTGATGGACCGCTTCCCCTGATCCACGTCTTGACTACGAAATGCCTGATTTGAACACTACATCGAGAACCGAGGTCCGCACTGCAGGCATCCTAAACACGCCCATTGCCTTCCGGATCCTGGGACGATCCTAGAAGAGCAAATTCTCACAAAAATGTTCGTGTTGATGCATCTGGAGCCCCGTGCTTCAAGGTGTGGTTCTAGACAAAGCGTGACCTCATGAAGTGCTGATCGAGATGAAGCACACGAGTTTGGGCCATACGGTAAGCAACTACACTGGTCTCGGAACCCCCCACTCTCCTTGTCCGGTTTACCTTACTCGAACTGGCAGACTAACATTACCATAGGATACTGTTGTCCAGCATGGTGCCATTTACGTTGGCGATTACCCGGTCGTGCTAGGACACGAAGCTGCGGGCATCGTACGTCGGGCTGGCCACATCATTTAATAGAAGACCCTGAGCGAGTGCGGCGTGGATTTTCTCAGTTTTAAGACGCACAAGATTCGAGGTGCCATAATATTAGTTGAATTCGATATACCCGCGCTATACGAAAATCAATTAAATACTGTCGGATACAGTGGATATCCACTATGCCATTATTCCAGCTCTGATTGATTACGTGATTTCTGTCTACAAGGCCTGGGGACTGCAAATAAGCGTAAATAGTAGAATCAGACAACTTTCGCCCGTTGGATGAACCACACCGTTGGTCCATAGGATGCGGGGAAGGTCACCTGATCTGGGGTACTTCCCGGTGCTTCCCCGTCCTTTCCCCGTCCGCTTCTTACCCTTGATCGGAAGAAGCCGACAGTCGGTCATCCCTCGCCTTTTCTCCACGTTCTCATCACAGCGAAGATTGAGAAGGAAATGCAGCATCCAGAACAGCCGGACGATGTTCGTGGCGATGCCGGTAACAGTTTAGGCTCAAAAGCCTACGCCGTGAAACGCCGCCGAACGTCGTTAGCGTGCGACGCATGTCGTACACGGAAATCTAAGGTATTCTACATTGTGTACTGGTGCTTACATGATGTCCGCATGAACAGCTAATCAGAAACTACAGTGCGATGGGTCTCGTCCCAAATGTGCCACGTGCACCAACTTCGGGCTGGAATGCCTCTACACGCCATCCAGCACGTCGACCAATCTGATTGTCAATAAGGAGTATGTCATGCCACCCTGGGCGCTGAGAGCGTCCAATTACCTGTCTAACTATGAGTGTTAACAAAGGAAAAGCTATCTGCAGAGTTTAGAGTCCCGGATTGTGACACTAGAAGAAAGTCTGCGCACCGTCAGGGCTCATATTCCTGGCTTGTCTCATGATGTACATGACGGGGTTGCCGTCAAGAACAGGCTCGATGAACCGCCGGAATTAGCCCAAACAGAATCCTTAGCCAACATCGCAGACACTGAAGATTCGGTGGATGCAATGGGCACCGTGGCCTTTGCCGATGAACAAGACTGCGGATTTTTTGGTAGGATTGCAACTTTGCAGAGAATATTGAATCTGCACTATGTAAATGGAAGAGAATATAGACTGACTTCTCGCAGGCCCATCATCCAACATCGCCTTTCTACGTCATTTGTCTAGTGCATTATCATATAACGCCAACTCCCCAGTAACGGCTAGTTCCTCCTCTTCTACTGGAAAAATATTATTGGACGGCGGCTTTGTTAATGTGTCTCGCCCTCCGTCGCCAGGATTGAGTGGCATTGATTCCACATGTAGAAGACAAAAAGAGACGGACATATTCGCACTTCCTCCTGCTCATGAGACTTCTCAGCTTGTCCATAAATATTTCACCGATACAGGCCTCCTTTATCCCTACATCTACCCCCCTTCATTCCTTGAAACATATCGAGGTATGTCCGAAAGGCATCTCAAGGTTCGAAGAACGTGGCTTGGGCTGCTCAATATGATACTTGCAATGGCCAAGATCACCGCCGCTCCTAGCGGGGAGCCAGCAGAAGAACGCATTGCTGCCGCCGATGTGTTCTACAAGCGTGCGTTAAGCTTATGTGGCAAAGAGATGTTGCGGGGAACCACTTTGGAAGTGGGTGGGTTGTTTCCAACTTGGGTAATCTGATGCAAAGATCATATTTATTGACATAGTATAGTGCAATATTTGTTGCTGACGGGCCAATACATGCAAGGCACACAGAAATCCGTTCAGGCGTGGACAGTTCATGGGTTGGCCGTAAAAGCCGCCCTTCAACTTGGCCTTCATTCTAAAGATGCCTCGAGGGTCTTCTCACCACAAGAGCAAGAAATCCGAAAGAGGACTTGGTATGGGTGCGTAGTACTTGACAGGTACGGAACACAGGCTAGTTTTGCACGTCCTATTCTTCGGCTTACGAACCCCTCTCTCCGCCAGAACTTTGAGCATGACCCTGGGGCGGCCAGCAGCTATACCTGACAACTATGTCAAGCTTGATCTTCCGACAAATTATGTCGACGGTGGTGGTCCTACAGAAAGTCCGGTCGTAGACAACAAAACTTTTCAAATGAGCGTGGACTTCTTCAGCTCCACGATGTAGGTTTATATATTCGACATTTGTGTTTCATGCCCTCGCAATGGACTAACTATCGCCAGTCTACTATATAAACAGCTCTTCAACATTGTTGACCTACTCTATGGCCAGAATCTCGGTTGCGATCCATCTCTCACAGTCGCCGAGAGTATCAGTACCATCCTTTCGATTGAACGTCAACTTGTTGTTTGGGAAAAATCACTCCCCCAAAATATTAACATTGCAACAGCAACCAACATTCGTGAGGGCAACGAAGATATGCCTGATCCACCACGGTTCTACTCTATGAAGTTCAGCGTTATTCTTACTCTTCGATATCTCCATCTCCGCATTCTTCTGCATCGCCCTATTCTTGTGAAATTTCTTGATGCCTGCGGAAAAGGCGGCATTGATAATCATGAAGAAACGTTATTACAACAGATTGGATTCAATAGTATTCAAATCTGCATGGAATCTGCCATGAGCATTATCGATATCATTCGCGAGTTGGTACACTCATCGGGGTGGCATAAAAACCTCCTTGGTGCATGGTGGTACACTCTCTATTACAGTAAGTGAGCTTCTCTGATCGATCCATTTGTCTCTTCGTACATTGGACTTAAACGTTGACTCCTTGACTCACTCCAGCATTTCACTCGGCATTGATTCTCCTTGGAATGATTCGAATTAGCAAAAATAGCCAGCCTGCCACAACCTCCCTATCGCATAATATTGATGAACTCATTGCCTACCATGGCCAGGTCGTTTCAATACTGTACAAACTAGATTGCGGCAATCGCATCGTCGACCGATGCAGGTGTTATCTTGAACAGTTCAACAACACAATCAACGCACCAGGTAGGAACTGTCCAGAACGTTTATTTCCTTATCTACTAAAGAATTCGGCAGGAGAATTGGAGTTGAACCATGTCGGGATAGGCGGTATTCCCTTGGGCGGCTCCGGGACTAACGCGGAGTCTTCGCCTCTGGGTCTGGAATTTGGCGAGTTTCTGATAAATGGTGATTTCTGGTCATTGCTGAACCGACAAGAATCTGTACCAAGCGAGTGATTCCTAGACGATCTCATCTTCGACCTGCGCGAGAGCAAACTGGTGTTTGTCTGATCGAGTTGTACAGTATGTGTGTGAGAGATATCATTTAGTCGATTGGTGAGAGTTCTGATGAATTCGGGAAGATGATTATAGATTAGCTCAGAGTGCCAACCTATAGGGTCAATTACCCATTATTACGATGACTTCGGCCCTTCTTTCACGGTGGATCCATCGGTCAATTAGGTGAAACCCAAGGGCTAATGTCGATAATTTCGGAGTCAATTTCGGTCAATAGTGGACTTAGGTATGGCGAACCATTTTGGTATGATTCAGGTCATAGATCAGTCTATGTTGACTATGCGGACCTTCCTCGAATAGGTCCAGAGCATCTCATTTGAGCCAGCTCGTTGCTCAAAGGTAAGATAATGGACTTCTCTAGCGGGCGATGACTCAGGGCAAGCTATTCTAGCTTATAGCAGACTCTTCCAAATGTATCAAGACTAATACTATCATGAGTGGCCCATGGTAGAGCCAGTAGACGAAAGGTTCCCAGGAGCATGCAGTGGGGCCCGCCCAGCTTTTTTTTAGGCCCGCTCAAGTGTATGCCCGAGACGTGCTCAGATCTACTCAGTAAAAGCAGCGAGGGGCTGAGCACTAAAATCGAAAAGGAAAGTCACAATCGGGCATAGGAAATCCGGTACACAGGAGATATTAGAGGAAACGAAAAGGAATGGTACGAGCTCGGGCCTTAGCTCCCTTTACGTATAGAGAACAGTCATCCGTTCTGACTTTTTTGCCTGCCCACGACTAGTTCACCGCTGTCATCTGCCGTTCCCCACGTTCCCCCAGGATTTGATCTCAAAACTGCGCAGAGGCTTCTTTCAGTCCTTTAATACGGACGTCTGGTTCAGCCTCAATCGCATCGCAGGATCGTTTTGTCACTGCGGGGGTAGAGGTTTAAGACGGAGCTCGCCTGCCCTGCTTCTCGACTGTTCCCGCGGCAAAAGATTCACCCACCCTCTGCATGGAATTCCATCGCAGGAATATGGCCCCGGCCTAGTGGATAATCGAAACTGTCACTATGAACTCCAGCCTGCGACAAGCTTCTGGGACGAGTGGGAAGACGAAACGTCGATACACTGACCCCAACGATGATGGCAAAATGAACGCGCCGGACGATGCGACTATCCAACCAAAGCGCCAGCGGGTGTCGCGTGCCTGTGACAGCTGCCGCTCGAAGAAGGATAAATGTGATGGAGTTCAGCCGGTCTGCTCCACGTGCGCCCAACTTTCGCGGCCCTGCACCTACAAAGCAAATCCCAAAAAACGAGGTCTACCAACGGGCTACATACGGTCGCTGGAGCTGCTATGGGGGCTTGTCTTTCAGAGAATTCGAGGTAGCGAGGACGTGATGCGTGCCTTAATGCGTTCCATCAATCTTCCCAGCCACCTTGCGACCATGAACAAGGAAACGGAGGGTTCCGATACGTTGATGGCCTCGTTCAAAAATAGCGCGGTCTTGAAAGATATTGAGCAGATACTGGTCACTCTGGATCAGCCCGAAGAGCAGCGAGAACGGAATATACAAGCCTATAGCGATGAAGACACTCCGTTTGATGTGGACGAAATTCTTGCTTCCGCTGATGCCCACGAATGGCATGTCCCAGATGAACTAGGACAGCGTGAGACACCATTCTCAGCTATCTTACCACCGGCTCGCACATCTACAATCGCCGGGACACCCAAGCGGGCTTCTGCATCCCAAATGCAAGATGCTGGAGTTCAAGCAGACACGAGTCATGAAACCCAACCGCATAACAACATCCTTTCTTCTGGGACCGACAACCGAATGGAGTTCTCCTCCAGCCGTCCACTTCAACTTCCCTACAATGCTTGGCCGCTTCTTGATATCTACTTCTCGTACACACAATGCTGGTTCCCTATATTGGAGAAACATGACATTCTTCGTACCGCCTTCCAATATACCGAGAGCGACGTGTACGTCGCCAGTACATCATCTGGCTCTGGTAACCATGCTGCTCTCTGGGCTGTCTTAACATTAGCCTCGCTCCAAGACGCTTCCATCCCTGTCCCTCGAGGTTCGCATACAGAAGGCAAGATAAATTCCTTGCAATTTTACAACACTGCCCGCGATCTAGTTCCTTCAGAAAATGGACCCTATGAGGTGGGACACGTGCAAGCGCTTCTTATATTATCCCTCGTTAAATTCGGCCAGCAGGAGTGGACACCTGCTTGGATGCTGGTGGGACATGCTGTGCGAATTGCACGGACCCTTGGTCTTGACCAGCCGCCGTCATCATCAAAACCACAAGAGCAATCGAAGCCGGCTCAACAAGCCCAACGAGCCAAACATGTATTTCTGGGATGTTTTGTACTCGAAACACTCATTGCTGAGCAGACCTCACAGTGTCCCTCTCTGCGTAAGGATGACCTCGTCGCGGTCGGGGCAATCGATGAAGACGGCTTAGAAGAATGGCATCCTTGGGAAGACCAAGCAGGACTTCGACCTTCCCAATCCTCGAGGGCCTCAATGCAGCGTGGCCCACTACATGCCCTAAGCACCTTCAACCGTCTCATATCACTCATTGCCATTCTAAACGACCTTTGCTATTACAAGCGAGATCCGACCGTTTCCAGATCAGAGCTTGAACTTCTCGAGGCTCATCTGCAGCGTTGGGCTACTACACTTCCCAAGAGTTACAGAGTAGATTTGCAAAGCCGCCCTTTGAAGTCCCCCTCGCCTCATATATTTGGGTTAGAGATGACCTATCAAAGCATTGTCTCAACACTCAGCTTACAGATTGCTGAGCGCGAACGCGACCAAAACATACCTGAGAAACCACACGAGTCGCTTGCGAATGAAAGCTGCAGACGGGCTATCCAGCTGGCGCAACTGTACTTGGATACGTATAGCTCAGCAGCTGCTCCTCCGACATTTGGTACGATTCTAAAATTCTGCATTCCAAAGCGGTCCGCTCGCAGACACATCTCAGATTTAGAAATTGCACTCCGAAATAAGGTTCAATCCATCTCATCACACCTTGGTCAGATTTTTTGTCTTCCAGACCGCGCCTATGGAGACGAGAGAGCTCAGCCAATAGTGCTATCCCCAACAGCGCAGCATCACGGCCTTACAAGGACGAATGACCCAGGACTAACCCAAGAGTCCCAACGCATGGCCACATCACGTCATCTTCATATATCTGCAACTCACGCTTTTAATCATCCTGCTACAACGCCCGATGCTTTCCTCTCTGCACCCTGGCTCAGAGCTCCACAGAGCATTGATGATGTGTCATTGTTCTCTACACCTGCTCCATCATTGACTACTGTAGGTGGTACGTCTGAGGACTCAGTTCAACAAGCACAGTTCGACGGAAGTTTAGGAAATGGTCTCCGTCATAACACATCTGCACCTCCAAAATCCCACGCTGGCCCAAACATGATGCCAGCCCTCTCCCAGCCTTTCTCAGCAGAAGACCAATACCCAACTCATCAAGGCACATCATTTGGACTCAGCACTTTTGTTGATATGGATGGATACGTACCACCGCGGCGACAACAACGGATCGCACCGGACTTGGATGCACTATTCGACGAACTCGCATCTCTCGATGGCGCTGATAAGTCTGGCTCCCTTTTCTCGTTACTTATCGTTTTTGTACTGATTTGTTGCTCAGGGCCGATAATGCGCCTGAATTTATGCAAAACCTGGGGTTCGTCGCCAATTCCAGCATTCCAGAGATGTATTCCTCCAGTCAGATTGAGCCCTTCTTACTGGCGCAAACACAGCAAGTGCCTGGGAATGGATCTTCATCAGGCACGGAAAGAGATTCACAGCAATTGAGCATGGTAGACCCGTCAAACCGATGATGAGAGAATCGTCAGGTCGAGTCAAGAACTCTGTATCCTTTCCTTTTGCTGATGAGCCCAAGATTTCCATCACCTCAGTCCAGGGCCACGTTGCCTGGAAATTGGCCGCTTCTGTCTTTGGAAGTTGTTTTGAAAGCATCTTTCTTCAATAAGCAACTCTTCGCAAATCTCCGCTGGCATGCCCAATCGTTTCCTGAAGCCACATTCGTGCTGTATCGATAAGCCGGGCCAGGCACTGCCTGTCTTGATCTTGCGGATAAGTAAGTCCCAAATAGTGCCATTACTCAGTATTCAAGAGACAGGCGCCATTATCTGACTTTCCGGGCGCCTGTGGGCGTGCGACCTGGTTCCTGTATGGCACGGTATGCCCGGATGGTCTGCTCAAATCGACTCGCCTAGGCTAAGGAATTATCAAAGAATTTGATTCTCATGGAATGACCCTCAGGGGGATAAATAGACTCTTGTTCTTCGTCAAAATCTCTTAGATTTTACTCAGGAGCCATATGCTTAAGAAATCTGAGGGCTTGACTCCGAGTTCGAGATATATCTCATTGTAGATCAACTTCTGTTGTGAGACCAAACTTGAGTCAGTATGATCTCAAGGCTAATCCCCCTCCCAACTTTAATAAATCCATGAATACGCATAGAAAAGACCAATCTACAGAACTGCCTTAGTCTCTTTCTTCTCCTTCTCCTTGAAGTTCAGCGCCACATGCTCCAGTGCAACCTTATACCCATAAACACCCAATCCAACAATAATCCCCGACGCCTTATCACTGAAATAAGAGTGGTGTCTCCACGGCTCCCGCGCATGCACATTGCTCACATGCAGCTCAATGAACGGGATCTCGACACCGAGCAGCGCATCGCGGATCGCAACGGATGTATGCGTGTACGCGCCCGGGTTGATAATGATAGCGTCGACATTGCCGCGAGCCGCTTGGATGCGGTCGACAATGGCGCCCTCATGGTTTGATTGGAAGGTGTCTATGCTGACGCCCAGCTCGGTGGCTTGTGTGCGGGCGGACACTTCAACGTCCGCTAGGGTGGTCGAGCCGTAAATATGTGGCTCGCGGGTGCCGAGGAGATTGAGGTTGGGGCCGTTGATCAGGAGGATGGATTTACCCATTTTGAGGATTCTATTAGGAAACCTCGAAACTGGGATGTGTCTTTTAGGAATCTTTTTCCAGAGGATTTTTTGGGGGGACTGAGCAGTATAGCTGATGTTACTTTTGGTCTGATTCGCGAACGCGATTCTCCGCATTTGCCCCTCTGCGCGGCTGAGCGCTTTGCCGTGTGGGGTTGAGGGTTGCTGCGTATCAGCAGTTCGGTATGGAACTTACAGTATCAACCTACTGACTTGATAACTCTACTAAACTAGGAATGAGAGCATGTTTATATCGCTAATAGGAGTAGGCTCTCTGGATGAGGACAATTTTAACTTGAATAGGGCAGATATACATTGGTACAAACAGTGAGCCTGACAGCCTAACGTAGCTAATTCGAGACTATGTCTCTTGTACGGGGCTGATAAAAATGAGATTGCGGGAAATCTCTAATGTATCATCAGCGCGAGAAATTTAGCAAGACGAAAATATTCCTTTTTCAAAATCTGTCAATCCCCCAAAGTCATCAGTGGTGACCTTGAAATTTCCAGCATCAAGCAGAGCACCCATGGTTGGAAACTGCCTCGTTCAGACTGCCCAAGAAAGGGCACTTTGGTTGAGATTTTCTTCTGCATTAACATCAATCTCCATGGAATTATTCAGCATCTCGAGGACATCCAGATGCCCATTCTCGGCGACGTATGAAAGACGTGTCCGACATTTTTCGTCTTGTGTAATCGAGCTGCCTGCATCAAGGAGCTGGACTATACCTCTATAGCCACCTAGAGCAGCTGAAACAAGAGGAGTCAGGCCATCTTTATCTTTTGATTCGATATCCACCTTTCCAGTATCAAGGAGACATTGGACCACATCTTGGTGACCATACTTAGCAGCGGCAAAGAGAGGGGTCTGGTCGTCTTCATCCTTTGAGTCGACATACACCATTCTAGTGTTAAGAAGAAGTTGAACCATCTCTTCGCTACCGGACTACGCCGCAAATCACAGCGCAGTATGACCCAGTGTGTCCTGTTGGTTTAAATCCAGCGACCGCGCATCCCGGAGCATCTGGGATAACAGCTGAGAAAGACAAACTCCTGACGCTATATGTATAGCGTTTATGTTGTTGCAGTCATAGAAATGTCTCAAGATAGGAGCTTGTGTACCGAGAATCATCCGTGTGTCGATAATGTGACTTTCAGGCCAATCGAGCTGACTTAGGAGATACGTCGGACATGTTTCTGCATCTTCACCCATTCGTGTGTGCTTTGTCGAATAACTCAGTCGCGTATTCCAGGAAATGAAGCTCGGGATCTCCAATTTCGGCAGCTGTTGAATGCTGTAGGATTGCCATGCGAAGATAAGCGATGCACGATCGTGAAAGGTAACAATGAGCCGTGGATATCAAGAGCTGCGGAGTGGTAGGGCACCCAAGGAGAATCAGTCCATCATCTGCGAAAAAGTCCTTCACAGACTGGTGGATAAACTGAACAACGGGGCCGTTTGACGACGAGACGACTTCGGCAAGACTATAGCTTAGCGCTTTCATTTTTTTATCAACGTCCCCGTCGGAAATGAAATCCACGGAGTCCTTCTGAACGTATAGTCGTTGATGTTCATCCACATGCTTGATTACCATAGCCCATTGTAGCTCTGGGATTGTTAGCGGTCTAATTGAAAAGCAGACCCACTGTTTGAGACTCAGAGCTTCGCTTTGATCCTTGACAGTTGTATGTTCTGAGAGTACAAGCTACTCAATTCTCGAGCAGCTTTTTGAATTCAGATTTTGATTTTGGCATCTGATATGCCCTCGTGCTTCATGCTGGGTACGCGGTTGACCATGAGACACACCCACATGAATAAGCCTTCGGCATGATGCAGATCGCTTCTTGTATTTCCCTATGAAGATTGTTGCTTGAAAGGCGGGCTTCGACAAGTTTCACGATATCCTTTCTGTTCTCTACGTCCATTCGGATCGTGGGTCCTGGCTGGAGCTTGAGAATAGGACGGTAGCAGCAAGAGAAACAGATGCTGAATGTATGTGCTGTAGGTAAAAGGACCGAAAGGAAGTGCTCAAGGTAAAATATCAAATTGGCGGCTGCTTCGTTCCCACATTCATCAAGTGCGTCAATGTAGAGCACGACTGAACGTGCTTCCAAGACTCTGTTGAGTGAAAGTTCGAAAAGTGACTGCATTTTTGGCACAGTCCACGTCCACCCGAGACCTGGCCCGCCAAATATTTTCACTTGTTCTTGAAAATGCCAAATGAGGCCATGTAGTGACTCTGGGGACTTTTTGAGGAGTTGATACAGTAGAGAGCGGAAGAGTCCAGAAGAGGTCTTCTGGAGCTCATGACCTCGTGCATGGAAAAAGAAAGAGACGTTGAGGGCTGAAGTGTCGAAGAGTGTTGGAATCTCTCGAACAATAAATTTCATGAATGTCGGTTTCCCAGATCCAGAGTGTCACTGGATCCAGATATGGCCTCTGTTCTCGGCAGTCCATGCCTTTAAAAGCTCATGGCTCAGAATCCATTCACATGTGCCATCCCAGGGGACATTAATCTCATCATGTCGGGCCTGCATGTCTTCAAAGGCCAAAAGATCTCAGACATTCTTCTCTGCTATGAAGATAATCTGTGGAATGGCCAAATTTGTGGGGAGTTTGAGAATGATCCGGCGACAGTCCACCTGCGCTGTGGTCTGTACTAGCTGTCAGAGCTGCCTGAAAAAGAAGTTGATGAATGATCAGGACTCGCATATTGTGACATCGCGGGCTGCACTGATATTCCCAAAGGCAGAGCCACCTTGCGCGTAGATAGAAAGCTCGCTTAGGACAGCGGGTTAGCATACATGGCAAGATACAGTGGACCTCTCAACGTACCAGCTGTTTTCATGCCTTGAACGTTGTTTCGTTTCATCAACACCGCAGGCATATGTATAGGGATATCCTTTCCTCTCCGAGTCGGGATAGGTGCTGGATTGCCCATTGATAAAGGAGATATGGAGACCGGGTCTGCCCTAAAGGGTAGCGACCCAGTGTATTCAATGCAGGTTGGAAACCTTGTCGCAACCCTCCAAGATTCAGCCACTTCGCACAGCACAGGGAGACCATTGGACGGCCCATAATCATCTACCTGGTCCTGGAGTGAATGATGGATCCCCTTGACATGGGAAAATGTGGGAGCTGGGATAGCCCTCACGGGTAGCGACCCAGCCTACCAACACACCGGAATGTTTTCATGATCCTCCAATCATACACTCTCTCGCTCAGGACTCAATGACAGAGGGGCAAAGAGATAGACTGCCGAACACTAAAGCAAGCCAGTTCAAAGTGAAGTGCGGAGCTGGACTGCCCCCTGTTAGGTTGCGGCCGACTGTGCTCAGCGCGGATCGGAATGTTGTCACGATCCAACTTCATTGATGACGTCTGAACAGGCATTAGTGACGAGAGGAGAGCCCTATCGCCCACCACAAAACCGACCCGCAGCATCCTCAATACGGAAGCTCCATCTGAACACCTACCTGATCCCGGAACGAATATCGGGCTCCCATCAATGGGGAGATGCGGAGCTGGGCTTCCCCACGGGTAGCGACCCAGTTGGCTCAACGCAGATCGGCATATTGTTATGATGCCCCGAATATTCAGCTCTTTCGTACAGGACTCAATGTCAGAATCGGGGGCAATTGCCCGCTGCAAAGAAAATGGAATCGGCCCAAGACTGCTGTGAAGGCTGTTTACCCAGATCCAAAATGATGGAAGTCGATGGCATACAATCTGTTGGGAGAGCTAACAGACAACGAATGCCACCGAAATCGTCCATGATGGCTGGGACTCAACGCCGATGGGAATTCGTCGCTGGCCCGGATCCAAACAAAGATAGATGGCAAGTGCATGGAATCGTTGGGCACCTCTAACGGCTGTGACCCAGGGCCTACACATGCGGGGCTTGCTGCCAAGTATCAATATCGTTATGGTCAGGAATCAACGAACAGAAGTATCCATCTTATACAGTCAGCTTTGGCAAATACCTCAGAGGCCCTTCGTTTTCTGCCTGCATTGGAAGACACCGACAAATCAAGACCAAGGCCGAGAATCCAGGCTTCCGGTGCCACCAATGATACAAGGATCATTAGCGCATTCCGGTGGCGACCCAGCTTTCAACCCGGAACCAGATATGTTGTGTCAGCAGTATCAGACCTACTGCGCGACGAGCGGAGAGAAGACTAGCTGCTTGCTTCTTCCTCGGGATAGTTGTCGGCTAGTGCAGGCGAAGGGTCATACAAGCTCTCACGCAGCCTTAGAGGGCTACGCATCGGTGAACGAGCAAGCATAGGAGAGAGTATTCGTTGCAATGGATGGGTTGTCACGATGGCCAGTGACAAGCCTCGATAGGGAGAGCCAGACTATTTCTGACTCTTGAGTCGGAATTGTTGGCAGACAGGGTAGGAACAGCGGCGGGCGCAAATAGGCGAGGACAAACAGAAGCGATCAGGACCAAGCCACATTAGAGGAAGCCACGAGCAGGCCCATCGACCGTGCTCAGGCTCAGTGGTGAGATCTGATGTGGTTGAGAATCCTCTGGATCTGACGACAGTCAGTCTGTATATGGAGGCTGTCCCCATTTCGAATACGGGTCGAGCGGAGGATACTTTGGATATTCAGGTCTCGAATATCCTCGCCGACATCTACATATTTGTAGAAGCGTACCAAGTGTCCAACGCTCAAGATCCCGTAAACTGGGGTCCTTGTGCCCCAACGCCGCCGCCCATGGGTATTAGACAGGTACTGCCGCAGCTGATTCCTGCCTTGTGTCCAGGTGCTAGCTTCCCCTTCGTGGCCGTGCTTCTTACATTGGACAATCAAGAACTTTGATGCCCTTCTACCAACAGCCGGATATTGGTAGGTATGGAGGTCCGAATATCCTGCGCGGCCACGTTGGCGGGAATGCCGATCCTGGGGCCTGGTCACGTAGCCATTTTCGACCCTGAACTGCCAGGTGAGGATAGTATTCCACACCCCGTACAACACACACTCGTATCGTTCTCTGGGGATACGGTTGATCTCTGCTTGTACGGCGGCGAGGCTCAAATACTAAAAACACCCTGTTAGCAATATGTGACTTCTGGCAACGGAATATTTAACTTACGTTCACCGCATTTGCCATTTTGAAGTATCAAAGTGTAAGAGTGTAAGATCTTCAAGTTACCACGAGAATGGGATTCTTCAAACTGGCAGAAGAGGATCTTTGGAATCTTTACGAAGGGGATCTCAAGTTATTTAAGCTACTTTCACTTTCAAACAACGGCAGCCGTGGTATGATGTTTTTCATAGTGAATTTCCCGTAGTGAATGCTCCGTAGTGAATGCTCCAGTGAATGTCCCACAGTGAATGCTCCGTAGTGAATGCTCCAGTGAATGTCCCACAGTGAATGCTCCATAGTGAATGGATTCAAGAGTCCCTACAGAGCTCTTGGCGATTACGTCTGGGGCAACGCGAGGAGTAATGAGTTGCGAGTAAATAAAGCTGCGAAAAGGGTTATCCGCTCGATCCGCTTATAAATGGAATATTCAAGGATATATTCTTAATAGGAGATATAATAACAGAAGCATTGGCTTGAAAGGGCTGGAGAATCGCCATCCTACTTCTTGTGGCCTCCTTGCCACCCTGTCAATGATATTGGACGCATTGAGGTCCAGCCTAAAGTGGAATGACAGTGTGATAGAAATTCTAACTTCTGCTCTCGGCATTTACACATTTGTCTTTGCCTACACTACCTATCCTTCTTACACTATTAGTAGGGGTAGTAGCGAGCCAGTGACTTATAGATATTAGGTCACTAATATTAGTGCCATCAGAGATGCAGTCACTTCAAGCTTCAAGGTTCTATCAGATCAATTGGTCATTTTATTACTATGAAAATGAAGAAATTCACATTTCGAACTACATAGCTGAAAATCCCTCTGATAGTATATGGAATGAAAGTAAAGCTATTGCTAACATTGACCCTCTTCTGCTACTACTGGCTTCTGCGATGCATATCGTGAGCGCCGATTTAACAAAGCTTATTGAACAAAATCCGCAGTCCAAATTTACCAGGGCTCCTGGTTTCCCGTCGAATTTCCACAGCTTCCCACTGTGACTTTCGAGATTGGAAGCGTCAATCACGCCAACAACGCCGGCAGCACTGTCTGCTACGGAAATAGCAGCCTCCTTGAACCCGAACGCGTCGGCACCCCGGTTACCGAGGTCGGTCTGAACCCAACTATTGTGCAATCCTTGGTTAGTAATTGGCAAAGGAAAGCAGGACAAGGATCCCTTACCCAGGGTCAACAGGGAAAGCGTTCAGCCAGGGGTCCTCGACGGAGATAGCCTTAGTATACCAGTGCTGAGCCCCCTTCGTGGGAGCATAGGCAGCGTTTTGCATGTGAAGGAAGTTACTAAAGATGGTCAGTATACCAATTTCAACGGTTGGTAACTTGCCACTCATCTCGCATCCATAGGGGGTGTAGTGTTTGGAACTTACTATGGACATTGTTAGTATTGAGGTTTGTTCAGGATAGTTCACATGGATGCTCACCGTGAGGAATGCAGAGCTGGACCCGATGGTGACCCACTTGGGAGCCTTGGCCTTCTTCAGAACAGCACGGAAGGCCTGGTACAGATAGATGAAACCATAGATGTTAACATCGACGTGCTTTTGGATATCTTCGACCTTGACTTCGATCACTTTGGGCCAGGAAAGAGCAATACCAGCATTCGCGACAAGAATGTCGATGTGGCCGATGCCCTTGGAAGCCAGTTCTTTTACGGCAGCAGCAGGATCGTTAGGGGACAGAGCATCAATCTTGACAATAACTAGACTTGTGCCCTCGGCCTTGGGTAGTTCTGCCAGCCCTTGAGAGGTGGAGTGGCTCGGGTCACGAGTGGCTGCAATAACAGTGTGGTTGGGCTTTTTCAGGTACAGCTCTAGGATTCCCTTACCGATGCCACGGTTGGCGCCGGTGATCAGGACGATGGTGGATGCCATGGCGAGATTGGAAGCTCGTTTTATGGGATAGGATTTGGCCGAGTGTAAAGCCGATAGAAATGGTGAAGGTGTCAGAGACAGGAAGAAAGCATTGCCCCGTCCTAGTGCGGAAATATTTATCGCTGCTACATGACTAGAACTCATTACATGCTTGGTAATCGCTTGATGGAGGTTTATAATCATGGCACTGTCATGTTACCTATTTCACGAGTCAATCCACGGTCCTTTTCTTGTTGACTGGCTTCGAGCTGCGAAGGTGCCTGAGAGGGGTCCGCATTGATCTGACAGAGAAATGTAATTGTAGATATCGATTGGCGGGTTCTGCTTACGGGCCCCGCATCTCCATGCGCGGTCAGCATTACCCGTATGCTTAGCGCCGATTACTGTGGGGCGCTGGAATAAGAATCCTGGAGATCATTCGGTACGTAAGCACTCAAGATCTTTGAGTGGAACAAGGTTGATGAGCTACCCGACCGTCCCTGGATTGGAAATCAGATTGTAGCTCAAAGCTTCAATCTTTGAGGACAGTTGCATCAAACGGTGAGTTGAACTAGACCCGGAGGGAATCTCAATTGAAGTATGAACACAAGTCTAACAAACTCATCAATACGAGGATGCCAGGCAACTCTGGATATTCAGGATAGTCCGGGCCCAGCGGCAGAACCTGCCGTTGAGAATCTTCTCAAGTCACTGCAGCCACCCAAGCAGAAGAAATTTGTGGAAAGCGAATTTGCCAAGCGCGAGGGTGTTCTTTGTGCACCGAGTTGTTCTTAGGCCCATCCACGACTTCAAGAAATATGCGAAGGAGAGCGTGGAGCCTGTTCTTGGAGATTTTCACAAAGCAAAGCCAGCTACTTCTCTAAGAGCTGAGCGAATCAGAATATTCCAAAGCGTTGATTGGGCCGCGAGTGATATTGGCGAGGTTCCAGCCCGGGAAGGTCGAGTTGAAGTGGAAGTTCTCGTAGCCGGCGTGAACTTCAAAAGTCAGGGAATATTTACTCAATTATGCCAATGATTGTCTAAACATTTCTTACAGGACGTCGCGCTGACTATGGGGAATCGTTCCAGAGAATGAATATACCCTCGGTTACGAAGCTGCTGGACAATTAATTAGGAGAAAAAAATAAAAATGTGGGTGGTTGTTATGGTGATGGTAATGGGGCCGAGTGCACACAGACTTTTGCGCGGATGGTGTAGTTACTCCATTGTTGGTAAACACGAAGAACCAGATCTGGTTTGCCCTGAACCGCACAGTACTAACATGATGTGATGGTCTGACCTGAATGGGGCTAGTTTCTATGTAGTCCTTCCTCCCTGCATTCTATTCCATATGGCATGATGCTCAATGGGAGGTGATGCAGACTCGAACAGTCGCATCAAATTATGGAACCAACCCGTGAGTACGTGGATATTCGATACAACATCATTCTGAATCCAATGTATCATATCTTAAGACTTCGGCAGATTGCTTTGACGTTGCTTGGATGAAAACGATCTCCTCTACCCTCGGTGAATGGAGCGCACGAGAAGGGCGATGGCCAGGATAACAAATAGACCGTAAGCGGGGAAAGAGGGTCGATAAGCAGTATGGTCCTCAGTCTTTCCAAAGGGAGGGCGCGATAACGACTTCGTCGACTCCATATGTGTCTTTGATTTTTCATCTTGATTGCTGGCAGCCGCCCGGGCCCTCTCTATCGAGATCCGACAATCAGTGACAAAGCCAGCCTCGCACATTGCGGCCAGTTTTTCGTCATCATCTTTGCCGTGTAAAGTAAAATGCCTATCTTGGTCGTCTGCCAAGGGCCGTTCGTCCGCTGCGAAATCTCGGGGTACCAGTTGAAAATTCGAAGTTGGCTGCGACACGGTCAGAAAATCCATTGTGGCTTCATCTTCACATCGTGCTTGAACACAGACTTGTTTGGGTATGGCAACTGCGGAGACCAACGAAGCGACAAAAAGGATGGTTGTTACACGCATGATCGCGAACTGACTGACTTGACCAAAGAAATACACCATGCGACAACTTGTTCTGTTGATGCCTAGGGGTAATGTAGATAATGTGCGTATTCTGGCAAGCAGATTGCTTTATATTCCTCTCAAGTAGTGACATTGGAACAAAGCATCTCGAATCTAGAGACCAACGCCAAGACCAAATCGCACGGGCGTGCAATTGGCGCCGGAATTAAGCCGCGGTGTCCGAAGCACGCTGACAGATCGTAGTGCGCGTTTCAGAACTCTTGGCAATGCTTCATGCCGTTGCGTTTCTTCGTTATCGAAAAGCGAATAGCATAGAACGATCTTGAATATCGCCAGATACATGCCTCCTACAGCTTGCTATCTCTCTAATGCAAGAGTCTCCGTGACGTGATCTACACACAGCAATTCACACTCTATCGAGGAAAACACTAAACAGACTGCATCCAGATCTCGTCTGCCTAATTTTCTTGGCATGACGACTTCTTCTGGGGGGACGATATATGGATTTCTAATCAGCACAGCAACGTTCACTCCGCCTGATTGGCTCGAAGTAGCTTAAGTTTAAAACCTCGTGTCCATTGGCTGACCCGAGCGAATCGACATGGTTTTGTCCATTGCTTCGGCAGGGATAGAAGGTGCACTGCCACATGCTTGTCGAGTTTCGCCCAAGCCTCAAGTTTTCGTAGTGCAGTAGTACAATAGTAGTAGTAGTATTAGTAATTATTAACGTCCAGAGAGCTGGCGGTGTAAACCGCTGGCTCCTAGCCTCCTTGGGGCATAGGGACGTGCTAAGCTAAGATTCTATCTTTGCCGAAAATGGCAGCTACAATGCACCAGTTGGCGGTTTGCCTTAGCCATTTTTCGTCCACACATCCTCCTAGAAAGCAGCTTAGAGCGTAGAGCGGGCCAAGAAGGCCAAAGTTTGCGACTGATCCGAGGACAATGTCTAGTATCCTTTGACGGAGGTAATCCTAAGTCTTTATGGGCCTTGCCAAGATCAGGGCGGTCCTTGGATGCGGTTGCCGAAACTATGACAATCCGAAATGCTTTCTGCTTAAGAGTCGAGGCGATGACTATAGGAGGGAATGGGTGATGACGAAGTTTTAAGCGAAATGCCAGAACCTTTGTTGCAGTAGCTTTTCAACAAGAGGCTCAACGAGCTCAATAGCCAAATCTTGACTTGCTGGTCGTTAAACGTGAAATGCCGCCGGCGTTCCTAAGTGGGCGCATCGTTCAGCATTTCAACAGGTATGAGCTACATTGATCAGATTAGCTTAGCCGAATGAGGCTATTCTAATGTAATTCGTTACTGTTCGCCATCCACGTAAATACCCCAGAACTCCAATTATAGAATTCTTCCTCCGTTCTTCTCCTACCTCCCCCCAACCCGGGGGAGGAGAGGGAGCACAACCAAAGCGCGGTCCAGCGACAAGGAACGTCCTTTTCATCATTGATGGATAAGAGGTAGCAAAAACATTGACCTTTTTTTTTCTTTTCTTCTTTCCCTTGTTTTCGGTAGGTGTGTATAAGCTAACTAGCCAGATAAAATACTTAACATCCTTTGAAAAGCAACAACAAAATCTTGGATGGACACAGGTCCAGAGTAGCAATCCGTTGAAAATAGCCATTCCAAGAGTATTGTTAAAATTCTGCTAGGATTTCCCTGATGATGCGCAATACTCGTGCACGAGTTGACAAACCACTGCGTGGAAGACTGCCGAAAATCAAGTCCATCAAATCCAGACACAGGGGTTGCCAGTCCAGAGAATCATCGTTAAAGTCTCCAAGATTATCCAACTCCAATAGAATATCACCGCGGAGTTTCAACCGGTCGCTCCAGAATGACTCTGGTACATTCAGCATAAAAACAGATAGAAAGTGTCGCAGATCTTCGATGTGATACCCGTGGTATTTAAGAGGGCAGAGAAACCCCAATACCCGCAACCAACATTCTTTTGGGAGTCCGCCGGGGCATGGGACCCTGTGGTCTTCCTTTTTCACTCGATTGGCGGCTATTGCAGCTTGGATTTCAGGAATAATCCAGGGACTGGTATAGATTTCCGTCCAAGCACCCATGGACCTGTAGTCTCTTTCGTTTTCTATGTCAAAATCTACCTTGGTCCAGAAATCGACATCGGCGTCATCGATGTCAAACCATTCCAACTCATCTTCCTCTGACGTGTCAGACCTTCCCCACTCATCTTCCTCTGACGAATCCGAATGGTAACGGCGTTTGGAAAGAGTCTTGCGACGTTTGGGAGGAGGCTTGCTACTCCAAAACTGGTCTATAGTCCGCATCAAATGCGGAAGTCTTTGCTCGACTGATTCTTTCCCCTGGATATGACACATGACTTCCCAGCAATGAGCGTGAAAAAGGAACGCAGTGCACTTGTCGGTTGGTGCAATGCCCTCAGCCACGGTCTTCTTGAAGACTTTTGCGGGGAAGAAGGAAATAAGTTGCTTGGAACCTTGCGGTGAAGTCGCTGTACCACAAATCCGGGCGAGATTTTTATCCCTCGGGGCAAAGCAAGCGTGATACCCTCCGCCTGGGGGCGCTCGGTATAGATTTATTCCCGTAAGCTGGCACTCAGAGTCAGAATTTGAAGGCAGTGTCACTAGATTCCATGCATTAGATTCTAATCTTCTTCTTCTTTTTTGAAAGAACCGGCTACGAACCTGCTCGGAAAAAGCTTTCTGGTAACCAGGGGTACCTTGTGAAGTATGCATTTTCCACTTCACTCGATGGCACTAGCATGTGCTCGGGGGGCTGTTCGTTCATCTGGTATATTTCCCCCAAAGTTTAAATCGATCCTCTTTAAGAATACGGAAGACAAACTCGTTCCATGTCGGAAATCGGTAGTCGCAAATAACAATCCCACAAAGAGAACAAATTGGAGAATCAGCGTGGGCCCCCTTTCTACTGTCTCTAACGGACCATAAGGATGGCATCCTGTAAGTCGGTGAAACACACGTTGACAGAAGGACGGGGGTAACAGAGAAGAAAACAAAACAAATAATTGAATACTAGTAGCCAGAAATAAATAGTACTAGGAGGGACTGAGTGATGTGAGGGAGACGCCATAATGATTAGTGCTACTAGTACCATATTACATTATCAGGTTGAGACTCTGAATACATATTTTCCCAGATTAACTCCTACAAACTTGGGACGTATTATTTCCATTTCCGAAGTTGGCTTATCTTGGCTTACACAGTCCTCTCCTTTCCCAGTGGTGATCTGATTCGCATCACAATAGAGGTAGAACCATCTGCTTTAGGCCTCCTAGCTAGCGACCTTGCATCTCCTCACCACATTAAATGACAAGTAGACATGTACAGGTACCATGGGCGCGGAACAATGGGATATGGCGGAAAATCCCAGTCCCATGGGACACCGTTTGGACAGATGTTACCCTGCGAGTTTTCGTCTATTCCGTGTCCGTTTCCGCCATCTCACCAAATCCCCGCTCAAGCCTTGTACAGTCTGCCATCCGCGGCAACCTCCCCATGGTCATTTCCAATAGAAGATGGACCAAAGAAGAGAGATGCCGGGTGATATTTCCTTTTTAGCAGCCGATGGTATCATAGCGGACAAAAGTCTGTGTGCATACGGCTTCAGCTACCCCATGAAATACTTATATATATTCATGATTACATATCCTACAACACTAATCCTTATTGGATCATACTAAGATTCAATATACTGAATAATCAGACTGATATGCAGAGTTCTATTGCTTAATTCCTTGTATAATAGCCCTAATTTATATACAATCTATCTATCCTTCTTCCCACACTTAATATTAATATATCATTCTTGATCTAGTCTAACATATCCTATATAATACTAATACACTCTTTAAAATAGACAGATCCTCTTAGATCTTTCTATCTATGTAAGATCTTCAAATATACAAAAAAATTAACACTTTAGTATATTCCAGACTGGTTCAATAGGGTTAAGATCTGGCGAGTGTACAGGCCAATCTTCAACATACATACGGTGCTCTTTAAACTAAACTTGTCTATCTTTCGCTACATGGATCTTTGGTCATCTTGCCAAAATATCATTCCAGATTGATAGCGATCGATGCTATGGTGGAGGTGTAGGAGAGAAATAAAAATGTAGGTGCTGGTTAGGGTGATACTAATGAGGCCGAGTGCACACAGACTTTTGCGCGGGTGGCGTAGAACCTGGTTACCGCGCAAAGATGCCGCCGGTTTGAGCGTAGAATTCGGGCTATAGCCTCGTGTAGCCCGCTAAGGGGGCTTGAAGGCTGCGCTGGCCAAAGTGCGAACCTCCGCTGGGATAGGCGGCATAACACGATATGCTCGGGGATCTTGCGGCGCTCGCAGGAGCAGTTCAGCTTAGCACCGTTATATCAGTATATCAGTATGTCCTATTCCGCGAGTCGCTTTTCTTCCCTCGCTTACCGGTATAGGGTGGGATCTTAACGTAGTATCCTAGGACAGTATTTCCATACCTGGGATAATCCAGTGCTAGAACTTGGAAGCTTCGTCTAAGGGATGAGTAGAAACCTAATGAAGGGGCTTTTCCTACTGTGAGGCCAAAAATTGAAGTAAGAGAGTACCAGTAGCCTTATACCCAACTCGACTCTGAGAGCTCCTTGTTCCCCCCTAGTCTACTCCAAATATCTCATCAATTATCGAGTCCCTTGAAACTAACCAATATTACTAGTAGCTGCTGGAGGCTGAAGCTGACATCCCAGTGTGAGTCTTCCCAATTTGATATGGATGCCCCAGAAGGGCCTGTACAAATGGCTTTCTAGTACTCGTAGAAGATGGAAGTTTAGAAAAGGTTATAATAAGTTGACATACTTACCGATGTCCATATCGGAAATTCTTTTTCAAAAACGCCTTGAATGAAGGTCCTCATGCAAACTTGGCAGTGTCCTCCACCTGCTCAGTAGCAAACTTAGTAGTTGAGAGACCAGACTCCTCAATGTCATGACGGAAGCGCTCCTCGTCCTCGTGCAGCTGCTCAAGCAACTGCTTGTGGGCCTTCCAGACAGGCTTAATCTCAAAGAGCTGGTCCATGCTCTCGAGAGGAATGCCCTTGGTCTCGGGGATAAGGAAGTAGACGAACACAACCGAGAAAATCATCAGGGAAGCAAAGAAGAAGTAGACACCATAGTCCATCTTTGCGAACATCTGGGGAGTGAAGCGGGAAATGAGAAAGTTCCAGAGCCAGTTGGAGGCTGCGGCGCAGGCCTGAGCCAGCGAACGCATGTTTGGATCGAACATTTCCTGTGATATGTTAGGCCATTCGTCCTCGAGGAATCACTAAGCGGCTATCACTAACCGAATTCAGTACCCAAGGGGTACCGTTCCAAGTAGGAGTATAGAAGACTGTCCAGAGGTAGAAAAAGAACATCGCGGCAATACCACCACCGTCAATATGGGCCTTGGGGTTTTCGGTCGGGGCTGCTATCTTGATGTATGCGCCGACGATCCACATGCAGATAGAACCACCGATAGCACCGATTATGAGAAGATTGCGACGGCCGACGTGATCAATCAGCCACAAGAGCCAGACGAAAGTGATGACAAATTTGACGACACCAAAAATGCCAGTAGTGAACAAGCTGGTGTTCGTTCCAGTAATACCGATACTCTGGTGAGAAACATGTTAGTGCCTTGGAATCCAGCAGTTTGGCAGGATTGATGAAGTCACCTTGAACACCGTTGGGGAATAATAGTTGATGGCGTTGATGCCAGAGCCATTCTGCCATAGGAACAGCATGCTCCCAAGGAACAGACGGTACATGACCTTCTTGTTAGAGCCGGCAGCCTGGAAAGGCTTCCAGAAGCCCAGACCAATAGTGGAACGTTGCTCTTCCAAAGCCTGGTCGATCGCGCCAATCTCTTCGATGATATAGATATCGGTACGATGCAGCCCACGGACCCAGCAGAGGTTCTCAATGGCTTGTTCACGACGGCCTCGCAAGAACAACCAACGAGGAGACTCGCGCAAGAAGATACCGCCAATGACCAGAAGACCAGCAGGAATCAACTGAACTGCGAAAGGGATGATCCACTGCTCGTGGCTAGGGGCCATGGTGGAGTCGACACCATACTGTCGGGCAGGATGTTAGACCAGAAAGCAAGGGACTTATGAGTAGGTACCCACATTAATCCAGAAGCCAACAAGGCCACCAGCCTGCCAGCCAAATTCGTACACACCCACTAATCTGCCTCGAATGGCCGGGGGAGCCAACTCAGAGATATAGATAGGAGTGATGTTCGAGCCCGCACCAACACCCAGACCAGCCAGAACACGGCCAGCATAGATCAGACCTAAACCCCGCTCTCCATTGGCACCCAGCATAAGACCTGCACCAAGGATGAACACCAAACCAGAAATGAGCAGCGCAACCTTGCGACCCCAGAAGTGACCAAGTGGATAACCGAAAAACGCGCCAAAGAAGGCCCCGGCCTGATAGCAGGAGACGATATTGGCGCTGAGAAGGTTTGTGGCGCTTTCGTCCATGGCAGTAAAATTGAACTCCTCTTTAAACGAGTCTAATGCTAGCGTGGTGCCAATGAAGGCACTGTCATAGCCGATCATGCATGATGTGCAAGATGCCACCGCGGCCAGTAAATAAACCTTCCAGTTGTATACTGCCTTAGGCGTCGGTCGGTCCTCGACCAACTTGAGGAGGGTCATGATGTGGGTCGAAAATACTGATAAACATACAATTGAGAGAGGGGAGAAGGTTGAGCCGACGATGCGAAAGTGCACCGGGTATTCGTAAGAATAATTGCCACTAAAGCAAAGCGTGGCAGGGAGCGGTATGTCCTTACGTAGAGAAGGGGCTCAGGGAAACGAAAGACCTGCATAGCGCCGGGCGGGCATGATACGATCTAAATAGTCACGACTCCCCCCCGAGTCCTGGGGAACGGGGGAAAGAGAAGAAGTCTGGAGCATGCGGGATTTCGTGGGGATTGTGGAGGCGGAAAATTGAATAACGCACTCATGGCTGATGGTCCAGAAATGGAAATTAGGCTAAGGACCCGGGAAAACGTAGAACTCGTGCCTCTGGTCGGATTCTCATTGGCAAAAAAGTTATTTGTGGATTGGAGCTTGGCTGGATGTGGAAGTCACCAATGGTGCTCCTTGCTCGCGAGCAACTGGTCGAATCGAACGACGAATGCCGCCTTCCAAGGCTGCAGTGGGGCATTTCGGTACTTGGCCGGGGAAAATGCAGGCCAGGCTTCCCCGCAGGCTCTGGGGACTCTGGGGAAACCTTGATCAATCCGGGGAACCAAACACGCGTTAATTCTGCTTTTCTGATAGGCTGAAGCCGCAAGGAATGGTCAACTGATTCAATAAGCAGCCGGGTCCACGTGTTAAAGCCTACCAGAATACAGCCAATAATGGGACTGGCAGGTCGGGATAAGCGATCTCCCGGCTGGAAGCATGCCGATCGACATTGACCTCGGACTCCACACCGACTTGCTACAGCAGAAACCCCCCTACCGTTTTCGGCATAACCGTCCTGAACTGAGAGGACCAGCTCAGGCTATTGGCTTCAGCGCGCACCATGGCCCAGCTTACACCGCTTCGCTGGGTAGGGGGATGTGGTCAGTGGGAAAGCGTTCAGCCCGCGTAGATGGGCCAGCGTAGGAAGGAACGTGCCCATAGTTCTTGGCTGGTTAAAATGGAAAACATACTTGAAAGGGTTGTCCTGTACAAAACGCAATCAATGTAACAGAATTAGAGCTTTCTCAGATGAATGAACATCGGATGGACTACTAGTAACTGAGGCGAACCTGGCCGAAGCGCGATCGGCCGTGAAGGAGAAAAGCGTTTCTCCGCCACGCCTCCGGATCTACATTTATGACTTCAAAACCCAATGGTTTCGAGTCCCTCAGCATGCCCGCGCCCGGATATAATTACTCGCATTTGCAATCTTCATAACAGCCCTTCTTGCGCCAAAATATACAAACTCGAATCCTTTAATCCCTTCCTAATGGCCGCTGCCGCACCATCCACCCCGGCATCCGCCCAATCCCAACCAGAGGAACCCATCGCTATCCCCTCGCATCTCGACGGCATCGCCTACCTCTACGGCCATCCTCTTCTCAACTCCTTGTCCCCCCCACTCCACTCAACCGTCTACAATGCCTTCAATCTAAACTGGCAGCAAATCCCCTTGTCCTCCGTGACAGGAACCTCCGCCACCTACCCCCCACCCTACACCAAGTCGCCCTCTATCGAAAAGTTCCTCGCCTCAATTCGCTCGAACCCCAAATTCGTCGGCGCCTCAGTGACAATGCCGCACAAAGTCGCGATCATGCCGTATTTAGATGACCTAACTGAGCACGCCCGCCAAGCCGGCGCCTGCAACACTATCTTCCTCCGCACCGACGCCTCCGGCGCCCGCCAGTACGTCGGCACAAACACCGACTGCGACGGTATTCGCGAAGCCCTGATCCAGAATGCACCGGATCCCTCGCGCTTCCGCGGCCGGCCAGCCCTGGTCATCGGCGGTGGCGGCACCGCCCGCACTGCCATCTATGTGATGCGCAGATGGCTCGGCGCCAGCCGTGTGTACATCGTCAATCGGGACGCGGCCGAGATTGCGGCCATTATGGCGGAGGACCGCCAGCGGAACCCAGACCCGAATGCCCAGGCCCCGCTCATTCCTGTGACGGATGCCAAGGAGGCTGCTGCGCTTGAGGCGCCGGCGGCGATTGTCTCGGGGATTCCCAATTACCCGCCTAAGACGCCAGAGGAGTTGAATGCTCGGGCTGTGATACAGGCATTTCTGGGGACGGCGAGTACGGCTGCAAAGCAGCAGGGTGTTATCTTAGAAATGTGCTATCATCCTGTTCCGTGGACGGAGATCGCGCAGCTTGCGTCGAATGGCGGGTGGACGGTGATTCTGGGGTCTGAGGCGCTGATCTGGCAGGGTCTGGAGCAGGCGCGGTTGTGGACGGGGAAGGATATTGTTGGCACGCCGGGCGTTGTGCAGCGGGTGAAGGATGTTGTGACGAAGACCATCGCTGAGCGATCGGCTAACAAGTCTAGCCTGTGATTGTATTGGGGGGGGGGTGGCGCTTATTCAAGGCCGGTAACGATTGTATAGAGTTATTAGAGATGTCTTGCATTATTAGACAGTTCGCATCTACTGTGAAATGCGCGGCCTTTATTGTGAAGATATCGGCAATTAATTGTACTTGAAGACATGGAAATCCTCTAATGCGTCGAGAATAGCTCTATACTCCGGGCCGGGTGTATTCCAGACGGCGGACTCGCTGCCAGACTTCGCGCACAGTGCGTTCCTGTGACTGGCGGCCCGATTCAGTGTCTGAAGGGCCAGCCGGCCTGGGAAGGTCACAATATCAGGGATGTTTCCAACGTAGAGATCGGGATATGCAAATACCTGATTGCCAAATATAATCTGCTCCCAAGCCGTACATCTTCAATCGGAGCCGTATCCGGGTCCTCGGGGGGGTTAGCTGTAGTAACAAGGCCGCCAGCCTCCAACAAAATGGCAATTCCAGCAGCCACATCCCTATTCAGTCAGCATATCGACTTTGATACCAGGAACATTCCTTATAGAGAAAAGAAAAACCGGACTCAGACTCACCACTCCCAGCATCCGGCCTCCCACCAGATATCGAATGACCCCATGGCCGTATACGCTAGATCAAGGGCCGCGCTGCCCAAACTGCGCATTCCATGTACCATACCGCCCTTTCCATTGCGTCCACCTACTTCAGCGGCCATGTTGACGAAGCTCTCAACCTTGCGATGCATATTCCCGTCCGGAATGTCACGCCTGTCCTTCCCCCATTCACACGAGAAGATACACTGCGACGGCGCCTTGACCGGCATGGGCGGAATGGACGGTTTGCGAATCAACGGGAGTTGGCGCTTCTCATTGAGCCAGGCACCCCGGCCCTGCAGGCTGAAAAGAGCTGGTCTTGGAACGGTGCGTAGATTACACCGATGACGGGGCGATGGTTTACTATGAAGCCAATGGAGATGCAGAACATAGGAAAAAGGTGGGTGTAATTGACGGTGCCTTTATATATCGTTATTTTGTAACTCTGGCTTAGAGACTCCGATTCTCACCATCTAATGGGTCGATACACCATGTGGGCTTCTCGTCAATCAGGTAGTCACGCGATTGGCCCTTGGCATAGGTTTCTTCGCCGAGGAATCTGGGATGGTAAGCTTGGGTTCGATGGGCGAGAATCGTGGTGTGACAAACTTGTGCTCAGGATACTTAGCCTGAAGGGTATTTCGAATGAATACTTCCACATCTGCGGTACCAAATCAGCCTTTGGGGTCTATGTACGTTTGTCCTGACCGCACCTTCGTCCGTCTGAGTCACAATATCAACGGCATTGTCTTTCTCGTCGAATTTTTGCGAGTTTCCTTCGATTCCTGAAATACGTTTCTCTACCCGCTTCATCAGAAAGTCTCCTGCCTTGCGTCCGAGATCTACAGCGAAAGCGTAGATTGCGTCGAGCTCATCTTGGCTTAGCTGGGAGCTTGCCATGGCGGGGTTGCAGTGGGTGCGTTAGCTGAGGTCGTCCGGGACGCTGGGCGCAGATATTGTGGGAATTTCGGGTTGCCTGCCACTGTCGCTGATGGAGTGAAGAAGTGCCTTGTGTGTTGAGATAGATGGGGCTGAGTCACTAGGGCAATCTCCTAATTTTCACCGTTGATAGCCGGTGCTATCAGCTTCCCCACTTGCAGCGGAGAGCGGATTCCGATGCCATAGGAGCTTATTCTATAGTTGAGCCCCAACTTTAAGCTATAATTGAAGATGAACTGTAGCCGGAGATAAAAATAGAAACTCGTTTGTTTCAAGTCACGTTTTGGTCTTTTGGGTAGATTGTGCTCATAGTTTCCAATTCAAATTGTCAACAAGACAGAATAGCAATACAAATTTGATTTTCTCACAAAAAGGAAGAATGCTACAAACGGCGAAGCACGATAGGAATGAATGATGATATCATTGAGAGAGAGGGCTTTCAGACCAAGGTTTGTCAATTTGTAATCTTCTTGGACCATTGTACTACTGGGCAAAACTCGCCATATCGGCTGCATGGAAGATCTCTTCCTTCTCGGGCGGATAGTATCTCCCAATCCCCGGCCTCAGCGAAATATACGACGGCGAAGACCCATGGTCAATATCAAGGCCACTGTGTGACTCGGATATCCCCGACTCCAAGACAGCTCGTTCAAATGCGACGTAGATGAGATAAATACCAGCGCGGAGCGTCAGCGTCTTGTGTGGACTCGTACATACCAATCTAGTTTTACTGATAAGGTGGGGCTGGACTCGTTTGATGCCCTCGATAATTCGGATTGGTTTCTTTCTGTATGATCTTTCATTGTCTTTTTACCCTCAAGGCGGGGTTTCGCTGAATTACCCTATTCATGCGAGAACCTTGACGACAGAAGACTGCTAGTACCGGTGCTAAGAGTACAGATAACGAACTTAAGCAAGCACATGAGGTTAGCGGGTCCATTGCAGCTCTTGCTGACATGGGTAATTTGCCTCATAATAATACGTGTTGCTATTGCAGATTGCATCCGTGTTCTGGCGGATTATTGGTCGGAAGTATGGATACCTGCTGTACACGATACAGCGCCGTGGGGCTGACGATTAACACCAGCAAGGCATCCATGCCAAGGCGCCATTACTTGACCGAAGGCTACTAGATGTACTGATTACAGCTTCGTAGGCAAAGTCTCGAGAGTATTAAATTAGATGGCTATATAAATTGTTATCAATAACCTTTTTGTGTGTATTCCTAGGACTCACGTTCTCAGAATCCTCCAGAAGCTATGTGCAATATATGATCAAAAGCCTACTTTTAACGCAAGATCAAGTAAAGAGAATAAAACGGGGAAGACGAAAACAGACAAACACCATCCAATGACGTGATGTAGGCCTGTGGCCTACTGATGTAGTTGCACGTGGGACCTCGCCCGCTCCATATTGGCTTGAAGTCGAGCCAAGTGGCTATCAGAACAATGTTGAAGGTCCTGGCCCAGCGGCAAAAATGCCGTGCGACGCACGATGTGTTGAGTGGGGCCGGGCCGATTCTTGGGAGATGATTGCGGGTGGGAAAGAGAGGGGGAAGAGGGGTCGAAAATGCTCCCAAACTCGTCGCTTTGCAGAGAGAAAAGAAAAAATAAACAGTGGGCGGCTAAGCCCTCTATCGCGTAAAATCAGGTTTTCACGCTAGCTGCGACCAGCGCTGCTCGCGCAGGGACTTCTCTTCCCCAGCGGCTTCGCGCGAACCGTCCACTTCGCGCTTCCATGCCCAATATTCACCGAGACGAAGCTCGGCGTAGCTGGCGTAGTCGAAGTCGATTTGCGAAATTTGGGCTTGGATCAATGCCCAGACGCCCCTGTGGAAAGCAGCAACGTCAGCACTTTTACAAGAGCTCCTTGTAATCGGGTAAATACGTACCAGTAAAGCCCAGGAATACCACGGAATCGGTCGACGTCGTCATATAATCGGGCAACGATCTCGGCTTCAGCGGAACTGTCGAGGCCCCGGTGCTGGCAGTAGCTCTTGGCGTACTCGGCCATGAATTGACGGCGCACTGATTGTGTGGGGATCATATTGTAATCACAGTCATAGCCAATCCATTCCGCGAGATGGTTGGCGATGTCAAAAGCGGCGGGAGCCGGGACTGCATATTCGTAGTCGATGAAAGTGACTGGCGCAATGCCATCTTCCGTGGATGCGCTTTCGTCACTTGGCAGGACAATCACATTGGCGCATAGAAGATCGCCGTGGGCGAAAACGAGCTAGAAAACGGTCAATAAAGCGATTCCGATTTAGGAGGGGCCCAGAATCTAAAAGAAAATGAAGTGACGTACCCCGTCTTCGCCAATTCCCTTCCCATCGTCCAGTTGGTCGAGTACCCAGTGAAGTTCCTTTTGCAGGGCCAATCGCCGGTCCCGCTGTTCGGCCGTGTTCACCGGGAGAGCAAGAATCCATTTCTGGAGTACAGCCCACATGGATTGGCCTGCACGTCGTGGTTGGATCAAAGAAATCCCCTCGTCCTGCTTTCCAAGAGTGGCCTGCCACTCTGAAGACCCAGTCCCTTCATTCGGAAGAACAGCGTGCCAGTGTCCAAGTTTTCGAGCGACTCCCCGTAGACCGGAGGCGTTACCAGGTCCAAGTGGCCGCAAGGTTTCCCTCGAATAAAGCGGTATAGGGAGTCCGTTCTTAAAGCGTGCTAACAAGGGGGGGAGCAAGACCGCGGCCCGCGAGAAGAGCGTGGAAGGAGGTTTCTCCTAAGCATGAAAGGTATGTTAGCATGCCCTAGGATTCCAATTGCCCAAGATGGCGGGAGAGTGGGAATAATCAATACAGCGAACTGCAAGCAATTGTGTAAGTCCCGGGGATTCCGTACGTTCTCGGTCTATGAGGACCTCAGTGCCCATGCCATACGCCCGCATCAAAACAGCGTCATTATCAATTTCCTCCTCGGTCAAGCCAGGTTTGCGGTTGATGATTTTAAGGAGCTGCAAAGGCCAGTTAGACAGATCGGTAGGTAGATAGGGCGCAACCTATCTGGGCTGCGGGGAACGGGCGGAGGGAACACACAGTGTTGGTGATGCCGTCGGTGAACCGCACAAACTCGACTTTGTTTCCCGGGCCTTCCCAGTGAGGGAACAGAGTCAGAATGAGCCGGAGGGCAGTAGCTTGTGAGTCCGCGTGGCTGTAGGAAAGGGGAATGTACCGCAGGTCCGGCGTCACACCGTTCTGGCAGTCGTAGGAGCCCATATTGTCTTAAGGGGGCGGCGGAAGGGGTGGTGGGAGGCAGTCGTACGGGGCGCAGGACTGGGAGCAGCCGAAGACTTCAGCGCTCGCGCTGGACAAGAGCAGGTTAGCAAGGCCAAGCCCATGTTAGGACGGGTGGCGCGTCTCACAGAATTTCTTGCAGGAGTTGGAGACGGGAGATCTGCAGAGAGGGAGAAGAGTCGCAAAAACTTCGAGATGAGAAAATAGCTGCCTGTCCCTGGGAGGAAACAGGTCGCATGAACTAAGTTTTCCGCTAAGCCTTTCGGAAGCAAAGTAGCAATTACGCCTAAAAAGGACGATGGGGCAAAGAATTGAGACACAAGAGGGGAACAAGCCTCGTGCTTCCGACCCGTGATTGGAAGAGAGCGGGCCCCCTAGGGACGAGAACTGGATTGGCTCGCCATTGCTTCATTTGCATTTAGTGTTATCATAGGAGCATTTGGCTGCTCCTAGCAGGCATGATATACAAGATCTACCTCGGATCTCCGTCATTGGAATAATACTGGCCTGGTTTAGAGATAGCGCTACTCCACCTCGACTGTCCCAGCCGTTACAGCGTACAACCTACAATGCAAATGCAGCCCGGTGGATCAAGTCACATCCGGAGCCTTAGGAGAATTTTGGCACCTTCTGGCCTTAACGAGATATAGTTAAGACCAGGTCTTACCATAGCCTTGTGGAGGCTCCACTGGTGTCCAGCGGGGTCATTTTCACATGCGCCCAACGCCCGACAAAAGGGGCATCCAGGGTCCTGGTCAGCGATTGCCTTGTGCCCTAAGCCCTACATCCCCGATCGGGGCGTTCTTCTGACCAATCGCCCCGCTGTCGGAGATACTCCCGGCCCGGGTCCACATCGGCACTAGCGCCAAATAATTTTTCCAGTGTATAAATACGGGCCGGTGCGCGCCCTGGGCCCTGTTTTTTTTCTTCTTTATCATCAGTAGAGGTTTACATACCATATGTAAATTTTTATACCGTGGCTCCATCACAGATGGCTTGCTGAGGGTTGTCCTTGTTGCTTAGGCATCCATGGATTTCCTTCCGTTCCCGGCTCCGAAGAGCAAATGCGTCTCCCTTTTTCCCAATCACATATGGCTGAGCTAGGGTTCCCTTCGGGGAGCTCCATGGGCTCTAGCTGTGGAGGGGGCGTGATATACCTTCTTTTTAAAAAAAAAAACTTTGCTATAATGCGGATGGCTAGATCTTAAATTCTGCCAACTGTAAAATTCTTTTTAAGCTCCCTGCCGAGGTAGTCAATCCGTACAGGTTCTTCGCTACGAATGAGGGTACTACGGATGGCATGCTCGTCCCAAGGGTCTAAGAACGCGCTTGCTTTCTAGGCATGTGTTGAAGGGTATTGATTCCACGTCAATTCGTTCACATTTTCATCGGGTGGTCATGCATAGCCCTAAGCTTTTTTACCCCGAGCAGTACGTGCAGGAGCTGCTGGGTCATATCATACCTAGCAGATCTCGTATCCAAGGCACTTGAAGGCACTATAAGACCGAAGAAAGCTCTTCGCCAACCTGTGGTTCATTATGCGCGTCCAGCATTTCCAATCTGGATGCGCTGTCCAGTCCACTTGTCATCACTGCGCAGGACCGGCCAACTGGTGCCATCTGCCTTGACCAGGACCAACTCGAGCTTGGTGCCCAGCACCTTGAAACTCGACTGAGCTGGGTCAATCGGAGCAAACAGCCTGTATGTATCCTGGTAGCGCTTGTTGTCAGTCGTAGGAAGGTCGAAGGTTACGGTATCGGCGGCTAAGTTCACGCGGGCACGCTCTTTATCGATCTTCTTCAGGTAGAGCGACACGTTCACGGCGGTTGAGGTCTGGTAGAAGTCGTTCCTGTAAAGAAAAACACAGATTAATTTGAAGCGATAAAAAAAACCCCTGTCACCGTGAGCGCAAACTTACCGCACAGTTTCCACCTTCTCCTCGCCGGCTGGCTTGGGCTTGCCCACGAACAGATGTCTTTTCTTCTCCTTGCATCCGGGGATCTTCAAGAATTCGTCAAACTCCAGGACGCGGCGCTTGCAGCAAGACCATCCTTTGCTACCCTCGTGGAACACTGGCTCTCCTGGGTGGTGCACACACTTCTCGTCCTCACGGGCGGATCCAGTATATGTAGCTCCACAGCCCTTTCGCCGGCATGTGGCATTGGCAGGGATCTCCAGATCAGGATCATCTGAGTCGGGCTCCGGCGGTGGCGGGGTTGCGGCAGAAGGTGTCGGCGCGACAGCAGTCGAGATAGCCTGTCTTTCCGGCACCTTCTCGACGGGGCTCGGTTCGGGGGGGAGGCTCGACTACTTTAGGAACTTCGGGGGCCGGTGTGTCATCGACAGTAGAATGCTTGCCGGTGGTACATGGCGGGATGGAAAGGAATTCCTCAAAGGTCAGAACGCGGGGTTTGCAGCATTTCCAGCCTAAAAAGTCAGCCTCACATTACGAAATGAAAAGGGAACCAGATAGAGTAAATGAGCTGCTACTGCGTTTGCTCAATACCAAGCGACCGTTCCGGACGCAGCACCGATGGGGAATAGCTCGAACACCAAGGTACCTTACCTTTTTGACCCTCGTGGAACACTGGGGGACCCGGATGGTACACGCAATCTTCCTCCGGATCGGAGAAGGCTTTTCCACATCCCTTGTGAACACACTTGCCGGCCATACCGAAGAATGTGCAGCGAACCAGCTCTTAACGAGATGGAAGGAGGTATAAAGAGGTTTTGCGGAGAGAATTACGTATAAGGCATTCGGCCTGACCTGGCGAATGTTACCTAATGCGGTTTAGCCGCACGAAGCTCGAAGGTTCCATCACGTCCTGTTTTGTCTTGGATTGACCACACAACTGCGTCCCTTTGATTCGTCTAACCACTCCATCGCAGGGTCTTACTTAGGACCGTCTATCTCCAATGCTGCCCACGCGTGCCCTTTGGGGTCAGGCTCGCTTGACCTTGTTTACCCGGGCGGGCTGCGGTCTTTGCGATACGGCGAAACACACTGTGGTCCAACTCCAGAAACGCCGGCCCTTTGAGTATGTGGAGGTAGACATCATGGAGCCTGAGAAGAAGGCATGGAAGGATGTTTACGATTATGACGTCCCTGTCCTCCATATCCAATCTGTCAATGATGGTCTGCCGAAAGAAGCAGAGCTGTCAGACTCCCGCAAACTCTTTCATAGATGGACTGAGCAGGACGTGGAGAAGATGGTTGATGAGGCTGAAAAATAAGTCTTTTGATTCGTTTTCCCTCGTCGGTCCCAGGGTCCGTCACTGGTTGCACCAGGCTTGTACAATACATGATGAGTCTGACCTGAGTCAGACCGTGCTAGGCCCGCGGCGCTCTCATATACCCTCCCGTCGGAAGAGCTATCCAGTGGAAGCGGCTCAGGCTGACCATTATCTGGTATTTTATTGGCATCATGTGCCAATTTTTGAGACTTATCTGTGCATGGCATATTATGTACCAATACGAGCGTTCTGTTTCATCAAAGCAGCAATCTAAAAACATGCCTAGTATCATGATCTTCCCAGCCTTCCACTTGCAGGTTGCTAGTAGTCCAACACCCTAATGGTCAAGGGAGCTGGTCAGTGAAAACTAACCCAAATAAGAATTGATTATTGCTAGGCTATAAACGTAAACATATATCCAACAGAAATTAACGAGAACCCGGACTCCACGCCTTGGACCATAAGGGCCCCATTACTACAGAGAGCTGACATTCTCTGCCCTGCCAGCGTGGCTAACATTCTGTGCTGCTTCAAGAGCCTTGACCACTCTGTTCAATAGTTTTTCCGTATCATCAATCCCCACACTAATCCGAACAATATGCTTCGGCACACCATTCGCCTCAGCCCAATCCAGCTCGCGGAAGTGGGCCAACTGCGAGTATGGAACCGCCAGCGTGAAATTCGCCCCGATACTCGTTCCCTTGCATACATCTAGAGCATCATAGAAAGCCACCGCCCTAGCCGGCTCATGGAAGATGATGCCTGAGAACGTACCCGTACCCGCCATTTTCGCGGCGGTACCTCTCATACAGGTGCCGCGAGGGGACCAGCGAAGGGTAGTAGACAGTCGCAACGAGCGAGCTTTGAGAAACGAGGTTCGCGACGGCCAACGCACCGTGGCAGCAGTACTGCACGCGCTCCACGAAATCAGGGCAGTTGCGCGCCAGCACGGCGATATCGCCCGGGAACAGAACATCTTCCCACGATTTGGCCAGGCGGCCATGGATGGACTCGTAGAAGGGGGAGTCTGGGTTCACAATGACGCTCCCGCCCATGACATCTGCGGCGCCGCTGAAGATCTTGGTCAAACTGGTCATGACGATGTCCACGTACGGCAGCACGTCGACGTTCACGAAGGTGCCTAGGGTCTCGTCGCACGCAACCACAAACTTGTATTGGTCTGCGAGTGCTCGGATGCGATGCAAATCGGGCGATGCAAGTTGCGGGTTGCTGGGTAGCTCACAGAAGAGTGCCTGGATACGCACTCCATTTGCTAGTCGCTGTTCGAGCTCGTCGAGGTCTGCTTCGGTTCCTTTGCCGTAGAGGATCACGTTGCCCCAGCCACTCCGTTCGACACACTTGACAGTCTCGGCGTACGGCCACCTAGAGAGTGTGAGACGCTTCAATCGGTTGGAGAAGGATAGAGCTTACCCGTAGATCACGACTTGTGAGTCTTCGGCTGACGGACCCTCGGGGACGAGAGATCTTGCGACTGCATAGATACCGGCCAGACCTTTTGAATACAAGAAAACATCATCGAGGCGGATAGGTGCATGGCCCGGACTATCAGACGCTGCAGAGGTCGCAATCAGTGACTTAATCGAAGTTATTTCTGCCGCCGTAGTCGAGGGTGGAGGCAGCGAGGATGCGTTTTGAAGCTCGTCTAAATGAGCCTCTGGGGCAGTGCAGAACAAACTGCTATCGCTCTGAGATTTCAAGAACTGGAACATCCCAAGAGCATATTCAGCGTGTCGGCTCGTGATTCCGTCTCCTGTTTCTCGCCAGAAGCTCATCGCTATTGGCGCGAGATCGGTATGGTAGACCACGGCATAGAATGTGGCCCAGCGGTATTCCTGCTCATTGTGGATGTCTCTTCCTTCATTACATAGGGTGGGGTGCCTCGCTGGTGGTACGAAGAATCGAATGGGCGGGGAGAGAAGGAGACCGGTGTTCTTTTCTGCTAAGCTGTCGACCAGGCGCTGAGCGGCAGGACTTGAGGGCAGGATCATGCATGAAGCGTTGGTTCTGGACAATTGCAATCTATCTAAGACGGCAGCACCGAGATCTTGGATAGTGGAGTTGACGAACAGCCTATTATTCAAATGATTAGCTTTGGCTTCACGGAAGACGTTTCCGCCGGGATCTCTGTTAATACCGTGGATAACCAGCTTTCATCTGAGAGACCACCCATGGCTCTCGAAGCGACCAACTCACAATTGAGTTCCACGTTGGAAGCGAGACGCTGACAGCCTGTCTCACACATTAGCTATGTCACCGAGTCTTTGGCCTGTACTAGTCTAGAACGGGGTGGCTAACGTGAGCTTCATTGGGGGGCTGTGATGTCCCCAGCGGCAGTTGATGAGGTGAAGAAGGCCTCATTTTGCACAATTGATATGTTCAAATCCAGTGCCAGCTTCTCTGAAGCGGGGCTCCTCTCTATTTATCATGAGGTTTACATTCCCCACCAGTGGAGGGACACCCGAAAGGGTCAGCAATGCAGAGTACTTTAGTAGGTAATCGCTATGGTGATCAGCTTCCAGCTGGACGATCTGTGAAGAAGTGGAGCTTTCAGGGGTTTATTTACTAATAATACTCCGTAAAATCGACGGATCAAGCCTGAAGCTCAGAGCTGTATGATCTGGTAATGACGATCCAAGATCTAGACCCACCACGGAGGACTTCGAACTCAATCTAGTGTCAGCCGAGCCTATGTATGGTAAACTTGTGTTTGCCTAGCTATCAACAGTAAGCAATAGGTATTGATCCACCCAATCACAGCAGGCAGCACGTTCACACTCTTCAAGGTGCATGGTGGCGGACATTAATGGGATCGACATGTCAGAAACACCGGGGGTATAGAATACCGATTTTGAGAAAGAGAGGTATCCAAGTTGAACCACTGAGGGCCAATGCCACATTCGTATTGGCGTTCCCAGCAAGTGGATTTCCCACCTGGCTGAAATAGTGTACGCAGGACTAATACTAGCGTGTTCCAGGCTGAGTTCCTTGGCTTGTGCGTAAACAGGGGATCTGCATCTATGGAGGGTTTTCTGATTACCCCGATTGAGATGGCACTAACGGAGCCCCCTCCGGGCTACGATCGTGGTTGTCAAAGGAATACGACCAGACAATGGCATGTGCCAGTGGTCAAGACCTGGTCATTGATGGGGTCATTTATGGTTGCGAGCTCAACTCTCTATCCCGCAGAGGACTCATGCGGAGCCGAAAGTTAGATACAGCGGCATTTTCTGCAACAGGGGTAGATCAGCATACATTAGGCCAGGTTCATCCGAGATTTGTGTTGTTCTCCACATCGGTTCGTGCCTTGTTCAGCTCGCGCCACTTAGTGCCTACTTCCGCCAAGTTCAATCTGATTTTGGTCTCCACACCTTGTTCAGCCGGCGCCACGAGTCGTGCCTGTCTCCCCAGCCGAATATCCCGCTCTGCCAAAGGACTCTCAATTGAAGGGCTGCGTGTAAAGCCCTGATTGGTGTGTAACTCCATGTAAGGTCTGATGTACTCGTAGCATTTGGTGGCAAAACTAGAACCACGATCTGACTGAAATTTGCGACCCGATCCGTCATGACGGATCGGATCGACGCAAACTAGTGGCCCAAGCGGTCCCAGCCACACGGGAAAGATCAAGGCCTTGCATGCGCAACCCTGCAAGAAGCTGTCAGTATTGCCTCGATGGTCTTCCCGCGCCGGGTTCTGATGTAGATCCTCGTGGATCTCGCCAGAGGTGAAAACCCCCAAGACTCCTCCCACCCCTTCCACCCCTGTAAATCTCTCTCTGGGTCAAAGACTGCACTTCATGGCAACAGAGCAGACACCCCTTCTTCCTCCCTCCGACGACGCTCGGCTAAAGCCTACAGTCGCGATCGGGATTATCTGTACTTGGATTGCGACTTTTCTGGCCGCTGCCGATAGTACTGTGACGTCTACTCTCTCCGCGACCATCGCCCATGAGTTTAACTCCACTTCCCTTGTATCATGGCTGGGGACCGGGTACCTGATCGGCCTCACGGCTACGCAGCCGCTCAGTGGGAAGCTGAGTGATATCTTTGGACGGCGCGAGACATTTTGCTTTGCGTCGGTGATGTTCACGATCGGGAATCTGACGTGCGGCCTCTCCCAGTCGAGACCCGTCATAATCGTCGCGCGAGTAGTGACCGGAATCGGCGGTGGAGGTTGTATCTCCTTAACGACCTTCATTTTATCTGATAATATTCCATTGCGCAGCCGCGGGTTCTGGCAGGGCTTCACTTCTATATGGTATACCGCTGGTATGGGGTTGGGAGCGGTCATCGGCGGCGCTGTCCACGATGCCTTTGGTTGGCGCTGGGCATTCATCGGCATCGCACCCATCTCGTTCATCACCGGCATTGGCGTCGCGGTCTTTGTTCCGGATCAACGCTCTCAGGAACAAGGGTTCCGGACGATGTTGAGCCGGGTCGACTTCTCCGGTTCGCTGACATTGGTCGCGTCATTGGTCCTCCTGTTGATCGGCCTCAACCACGAAGGCGATCGCATTGTTACTACTACTTTCGCCATCGCCGTCCCCCTCGGCCTGGTGCTTCTGGGCGCCTTCTTGCTTGTCGAATGGCGCTGGGCAAAAGAGCCCATCATCCCCATGTCGGCGTTCCGGAACCGCACTGTGGTCGCCGTGTGCCTCACCGCGTGGTTCGCGTCGATGAACGCCTATGCGATTGTCTACTACGTCCCCCTGTACTTCCAATCCCTCGGACTATCTACCAGTCGAACAGGTGTCTATCTCCTCCCCGACGGGGTAGGCTCCGGCCTTGGTTCGTGTCTGGTGGGTCTTGTTATTGGATTCACCGGGAAGTACGGGTTCTTCCGCTACTCGATGCCGTTCCTAATGTTCGTAGGCGCGGTCGGGTTCTCCTCAGCGACCGAGCAAACCCACTGGGTTCTGCCGGAGATCTACCTCTTCTGCAAGGGATTCGGTATGGGAGGATCAGTGACGACCCTGATCCTTGCATTGCTCCATGCCGTCCCCCATGAGCAACATGCCACGACCACCTCCGCGTACTATGCGTTCCGATCCACCGGGTGCACAATCGGGCTCTCTGTTGCGTCAGCCATCTTCACCGGTCGGCTGAACGAGCATCGTGCTGCCACGGGCTCCGTCTGCAACCCGGGCGAGAGCTGCTATGCGGACGCGCTGCACCGGACGTTCGTGGCGGCAGCAGGATTTGCTATTGCGGGGCTGGCGTCGTCGTTCTTTGTGAGGGCTTACGACACCAAGGGGGAGTACAAGAGCGTCCAGAAACCCGACTGGGAGGAGTAGATCTAGGCTGGTCTTATCACGATCAAATTTGTTAATCATAATGCGGGTCCAATGGCCTTGTTCTCTTGTATTCTGTTTGCGGTAAAAAGATCCACTTCGGCGCGTGTCGGACCCAGCTGCACGATTCGTGGGCGATTATCGGCAGACTCGGATCCGTTCCAGGAAAGGCAGCGATTAATCAGTCGAAAGATCTCGACAGGCACAGCGTCGCCCAGCGAACTTGGATAGCTGACTTATCGTATTTTCGCCGAGGTAACGCCTATTCGACCCCCCAAGCGGCGAAATCGCATGGGCGCATCCTCCGATCTCGTCCTCTCGAGTGCTCAAAATTCCTATTTCCATGGGTCAGTCTTCGTACCAACACGTCATCTCCTGGTCCTGACCCAATGATCGCCAATGCACATGGGTTGTGCCAGTGGTACAGGTGAACCGCTCTAGAACACCCCGCTTGATCAGCATGAACTTTTCCGCCTATGTGCTTAACAAAATCCTCATCGATTGTCATAGGGCAACGCTTAATTGCTTTAGATAATCCAGCTTTCTCAGCGTGGAGTTCTCGACACAGATCTGATAAGCAAGATCCTGGTCTAATTTTATACGATGACGCTCGAACCGCTGGCAAATATGCCGTGGCCTGATTGGCGTAATCAGAGTAGCCGAATCGACCCCCTCGACTTTTCCACGACGTTAGATTTTTTTTTGAGTTCGTATCGCTGGGATTGTGATAGATATATGATTGTCCAAGATGTTCAAAATACGGCGCTGCGAACAGTCTCTCTACGAGGCAGCATGCTCGCCCCATAGGCCAATATAGCGTTCTCCGAGGGAAACATGCAGACCGGAACCCGCCGACATGCATGGACTCCCCCCGCATTGAGTAGCAAAAGCCCCCCCCGTTCCCCACACGGTTGTGTCCATGGCCGCGAGATCCAATGGGAAGCTTTAGCTTAGGAATCACCGTCGGCCCAGAACTTCTCCACCAGTCAAAAGATGACAAACGGCGTTTCGGCGAGGCTCGTAAGGTTGTAAATACACCTTCGGCGATTCCTTTAAAAGGTGCGGGGTTCCTCCCCCTCTCGTGAGGTCTCTCCTTTCCTTTTCTTCATTCCATATACATATTCTCTCCCTGTATTCTCTAGCAATCATGGGTGAATGTCCTGTACACAAGAAGCCGGCCAATGTCGCCGGTGGCGGCACTCGCAACAACGACTGGTGGCCCGAAGGCCTCAAGCTTAACATCCTGCGCCAGCACACCGAGAGCACCAACCCCATGAGCAAGGACTTTAACTATGGGGCTGCTTTCAAGAGCTTGGACTACTTTGCCCTGAAGAAGGACCTCCACAACTTGATGACCGACTCACAAGACTGGTGGCCGGCGGACTTTGGCCACTACGGTGGTCTGTTCATTCGGATGGCCTGGCACAGCGCTGGTACCTACCGTGTGTTCGACGGCCGCGGTGGCGGTGGTCAGGGCCAGCAGCGATTTGCGCCACTCAACAGCTGGCCCGACAACGTCAGCCTCGACAAGGCTCGTCGCCTGCTGTGGCCTATCAAGCAGAAGTACGGCAACAAGATCTCCTGGGCTGACCTGCTGCTCCTCACCGGCAATGTTGCCCTGGAGTCAATGGGCCTGAAGACCTTTGGTTTCGCCGGTGGCCGTCCTGATGTCTGGGAGGCCGATGAGTCTGTCTATTGGGGGTGGTGAGACCCAGTGGTTCACCAACGATGTCCGCTACCGTCCCGAAAAGGACGAGGACAAGGCCAAGCAGAGTGACATCCGCACTCGTGACCCCGAAGATCCTTTGGCTGCCGTCGTCATGGGTCTGATTTACGTCAACCCTGAGGGCCCTGATGCCAACCCGGACCCCGTTGCTGCCGCTCGGGATATCCGCATTACCTTTGGCCGCATGGCCATGAACGACGAGGAGACCGTCGCTCTGATTGCCGGTGGCCACACCTTCGGTAAGACCCACGGTGCTGCCCCCGCCAGCCATGTCGGCAGCGAGCCCGAGGCCGCCGGCCTGGAGGCCCAAGGTTTCGGGTGGCACAACAGCCACGGCACCGGAAAGGGTGCTGATACGATCACCTCTGGTCTGGAGGTCACCTGGACCAAGACTCCTACCAAGTGGAGCAACCAGTTCCTCGAGTACCTCTTCAAGTACGATTGGGAGCTCACCAAGTCCCCTGCTGGTGCCCACCAATGGGAGGCGAAGAACGCCGGCGACATCATCCCTCACGCCCACGACAGCAGCAAGAAGCAGAAGCCTCGTATGCTGACCACTGACTTGGCTCTCCGCTTCGACCCTGTGTACGAGAAGATCTCCCGCCGCTTCCTTGCCAACCCCGACCAGCTCTCTGACGCCTTCGCGCGTGCCTGGTTCAAGCTGCTGCACCGTGATATGGGCCCTCGTGTCCGCTGGCTCGGCCCGGAGGTCCCCAGTGAGACTCTCCTGTGGGAAGACCCTATCCCTGCGGTGGACCACCCGCTGGTCGACGTCGAGGATGTCGCTGAGCTCAAGCGCGAGATCCTCGCTACCGGCGTCGAGCCTACCAAGTTCATCGCCACTGCCTGGGCCTCCGCTGCTACTTTCCGCGGCGGTGACAAGCGTGGAGGAGCCAACGGTGCTCGGATTCGCCTTGCCCCCCCAGAACAACTGGAAGGTCAACAACCCCGCTCAGCTGCGTGAGGTTTTGACCGCTCTGGAAGATGTCCAGCGCCGCTTCAACACCTCTCAGACCGGCAACAAGCGCGTGTCGCTTGCTGATCTGATCGTTCTGGCTGGTTGCGCCGCCCTCGAGAAGGCCGCCGGTATCCCCGTGCCTTTCACTCCCGGCCGCACTGATGCCAGCCAGGAGCAGACCGACGTTGACACCTTCAGCTTCCTTGAGCCCTTCGCCGACGGCTTCCGCAACTACGGTCACTCCACCGGCCGCGTCCGCACGGAGCAGATGCTTGTCGACCGCGCCCATCAGCTCACCCTGTCTGCCCCCGAGATGACCGTTCTCGTGGGTGGTCTGCGTGCTCTGGACGCTAACTACGACCGCTCCAACGCCGGTGTCTTCACCGAGCGCCCTGGCCAGCTGACCAACGACTTCTTCGTTAACCTGCTGGACATGAGCACGGAGTGGAAGCCCGCTGGTGCCAACAACGAGACCTTTGAGGGTTTCGACCGCAAGACCGGCGCCAAGAAGTGGAATGCCACCCGGGTGGACTTGATTTTCGGCCACCACGCCGAGCTGCGTGCTCTCGCCGAGGTATACGCCTGCCATGACGGCCAGGCGCAGTTTGTGCGCGACTTCATCGCCGCTTCGGACAAGGTTATGAACCTTGACCGATTTGATCTGCAATACGCTGCCCCCTTGAGCCGTCCTGCTCGTCTGTAATTTTTTCTTATATTCGCTGTTGAAGATGCGCTCATCTTCTGCAGATCATGTTACATAGCAGTGACGAATTGCTCTATGGAACCACAAATTTCAGTTTAGCCTCCGTTTTGTTTCATTGATCAGGTTACGGGTCCTTGATCGCAATTGTGTCACTCTTTTTGAACTTGTATGATATTTACAAAATGCAGTGCTCAGGTTTCTATTTTCCAGTGAGGCAATATCTTCATGTTATTTCAACTATAGGCCACGGTTCTTAACCCCGAGTCCTGACTTGAAGAGTGCTTGCGTGTTCGTATCGCCCTCGCTTTTCTCTACCTTAAAAGTTGAGACTTGGCTAGAGAGCTCATTCGAGGTTCGGGGAAGGCATCCATGGAATGAAAGGGCTTCTTCGGATCAAAACGGCACAGATTGGTTCGAGGGCTGTTTAGCCAGGGCGAATCAGATGCACGAACTATAACGGTATCGTATACAAGTCCATCTATCATGCAAAAAAAAAAAATCCAGAAAGAGACTACTTCCAAATAGTGGTTCGTTGATCTATTTATATCATGCTTGTACTTCTTCGAACCCTACGGGTCAAAGGTCTCTTCATGGAACGAGCTAATGGAAACATTTAGTGCAACGAAAGACGACCCTGCTTCTCCAAGTATCTGAACCATGCCATTCTATGCGCATATCGAACCCACGGCGAGGCACTAGGCTCGTCACCCACACTCGAGCTACAAAAAGCCTCAAGGCCCATTCCCGCTTGATCCCAAACTCAGACGGCGGCATAAAACAGGCTTTCAGACAATCAACCCTCCCGGTGACGCTCTCCAAACCGCCCCGGCCCTGACTATCACTACAAAAATGGAAACTTCGTCATTTTTCGACTTATGACCTTTACTAGATTATCTATTCAAGTTTGTGTTATTCGAACTGAGATATGTCAAGAACAACCGAGATGCGTTGAAAGCAACCGAGGCGTGTTAAAACGGCAAAATGTCACAATATTATCGGGCATATTTCATCCAATTTCATAAGAAAGCCCAACGCATTTAAAAAAAAAACCCCCAACGGGTCTCAATTTAAAACACAGTGTATTTCCTAATAGTATATTCACCCGTCTGTCTCAGCTTTCTCGTAACCTGGTGTAATAACTATGTTCTGGAAACCCCTCCGGCATGGCACAGCTCTAGGGCATCTCACGCTACACAGCAGCAAGATCAGCGATTCATCGACGCAGGTGATTACTTTATATTTAGATTGATGGCGCGGGCGTAACCATCCATAATTGGGCTGGTTGTGTTAGGACAATCCGCAATTGCCCGCCTGCAGAGGGTCTATACTACCGCCCTCGGGGTCCACGGGTATTATATTGTTGCTATGAGCTTTGTGCGGTTAAGCTGGTTTCTCTTGGGCCCTAAACAGTTCAGATCTATCCATCTGTTTTCGCATGAGAATAGGACCAAGTGCGCCACAACCTTCGGGAGGGAGAGAAAGACGGGAAAGGGACTACTAGGAATGGTATAGAGGTCTTTTGGAGGGCTCTATATTGTCTGTATGGCTACTATGGTTCGAAATTTCGTGAGGCTTTACAGTTTGGTGATGCGACTGTCAACCAGAGAGAGGCTTATATATATGTTTATGATGTGGCGTTCATGTCGCGTTCGATCATCGTGTAGCTTATCATTCTGGGAGACTTATTAGGGCTGCTAGGAGATGGAGAATATGAAGAACATCCACGGGCCTTTGATAGAAGATGTCGGGAAGTGCTCAATGACTATCAGGAAGAGAATTCGCTTTCATTTCGCCTACAAGAGTGGGTATCGGGAAGAAGCTCTTATCGTTGTATTTCGAATGTCACGTGGGTATATACACCAGTTCCATTGCGCGTTCTATGTCATTATTATGTCTATTGGGGCTAACCAGAGCCACCGCGGGGTTTCTCATTCCATATCGTACAAAGATCTAGAACCAGGCAATTCCAACAATCAGGCCGATAACCACAGCCATACAGCTGCTGCGCAGCTCTGTCGAATGCCGGCCAGCAGCGTCCGTATTCTGGTTCATTGATGGATTATGCGATTTATCCACATAATCCGGCCCGTAGGCGCAATCGACCGATTGCGGCTCAGATGGTGAATTTGACATTCCCGGGGCTGTAGCCTCTGACTGGAAATTTGAGAAAACAGATGTGGTGTAGCTTGCCCCGGACTTGATCACGGATTTGATAGCCGCGGGGGCGTTCTCCGGAATGTCCCACAGGGCTGTCGCAGCATGACAGGCCTGCTGCCACGCGGCACTCCATGAAGGGAGCTCAAAATTTCCGAATGTGGAAGATGAGAGGGAATAGATCGTATACGAAGGCGAATCAGATGAATTGTGCAGCGGGGTCGGGAGAGGAGTGGCGTTCGAGAGGGTTGTATTAGGATTTGACGCAGGCAGGGCGGTCGGTCTGCTGCGGTTGGCGAACGGAGTGAGAAGCTGGTAGTGGTCTAGTTGCTGAACAACGTATGTGCGGAACTCGCCGGCGCGGCGGGTGAACGTGAATGAGGAATCGGAGGAATAGGCGAAACGGCTGGCATTCGATGCGGACGCCGTCTTGCCGGGGGCATCACCGGGCCATTCGCCCGGGAAGACCGCGGACGATTTGGGCGCCGCCGCGACGGCGCGAAGTTCCAGGCATTGCGGCTGTCCAGGAGCTGCTCGGGCGGCGGATCGGAGATGCTTTCCTGGATGAGAGGGACCTCTGGAAGAGACGTTAGCCGTGGGGAAAATCGCGAATTCGGAATGCGAGGCCGGGGGGGAAGTACGTACGGCGAGGGCCGTATGGGAAATCGGCGAACTTGTAGATGCTCGATAGCGACAGGGCCAACGTGAGCAGCGAGAACACGACCAAGGCCAGCAGTGGAAGCGCGCCCGGGTTACCCAAGCCGGGTCGCATTGTCCAGGAGCTTGACGACCACTTTGACGTGTCTTGAGGGGCTAATTGTGGCCTGCCATTTGAGTGTCGCAGAAGGCAGGATTTTGGATGTTCAGGGTGATCGTCGAGATCGACCATAGGATGCAGGGGGGGGGGGGTTCGGCAAAGAAAAGGAGAAAACGGGGAAGTAAAAAATAAAATAAAATGAGGAACAGAACTCGATCCAAATCAAAAAATTAAGGTGATTTTCGGATCCAAGGCAACGACGATCGCCGAAGCTGTCACTAGCTTGGCAAACCCTGAAATTTGGACTTTGTAAAAAGGAGCCGGGCCCTCCGTAGCCTGTTTTTGCTCACCCACGGTTTTCTCGCTCGGCTCGTCCGACATGACGTAGTCGAGTTGCAGGTATTTGAGCTTTGCTCGAGTCTGATCTGCTTACGATCGCATCCTGGCCGCTATTGTCTGGCCTTGACCTCTTTCATCGCTCGAGGTCGAGACTCGAGTTCGAGACTCGAGTTTACTCCGAGCGGGCTTCTCTCCCGCTTCCAGGAATGTCAGCCTGCAATGCCAGGCAATAGTGAGCCTGAAACCTGAGGCCGGAATCCGGGTTTGTACGAGCACATCAACCCTCGACCTTGGAAACGTTTGGGAGCAAAAGCACAGTATTCCGGAGTAGAGCTGCATGAACCAAACTCAATAGTCCATGCCTAAATCATGTCCAGGAAACTGCAGATTACAACCTCACTATCTCCACCGCGTTGCATCCCCCCCCCCGTCCTGCCAGCACGCTGGGAAGCAAAAAAAACCATCGAAAAAGCAAAGAAAAGCAAAAGTTACTCCGTGCATGTGACGAGCCTAGTTCAACCTGGCAACTGCCGCACGCACCCCAAGGAGGAGAAGATCGGCCCAGCGGCGTCTCACTCGTAGGGGGCGTGCCGTGCGGGTCACCCCGTTGGCTGAGAGGGATCCGCCCAGCCCAGGATGGGAGAGGAAAGCAATTCCTGCAGAACGGCCTCCTATTTCCAATTGGTTCTCGCCAGAATAAGAGGCAGCAGGGTACATATTCGGGTCCCTCCTGAAGAGGGAGGTTGCACTACCTGCCGGACCTGCGAAAGAACTTTACAGCGCTCTTTGTCTTTCACTTGCCAGCCCCACCTTGTATCCACCTTTCGTGCCTAGCGGCATACTTAGTCGGAGCTTTTCCGTCTCAGTCGAGGTTGGTCTCCGCTGTGTGCTAAACTCCGTGCCCGTACCATCTGAGAAGAGGCCCCCACCCCCGGGGGCCAGAACGCAACTGCATGCAGCGAGAGAGGGGTAAAATGCTGCTCCCCAGCAAAAATTGATGCGCAGGCATATGAGAGATGCGTGAAAAGAAAAGGCAAAGAAAACAAAGTATGGGAGACCCGACACAGTGGTCAGACTTCATGCTTGATAACGAATCGTTATGCGAATCAATGCAAGGATCCAGATCCTGGACTGACGTGGCGCATCTTCAACATCGAATGACAGGTATACGCCGGGCTCGTGGAAGAATTGAGACAGGACGGCTCATAATATTTCAAAGGGGAAGGGAAGAGATTGGATTCGTATATTAATTGGCCGGCTTATCAAGAGGGGGCTGGAAAAAAGAAAAAAAAATTAAAATAAAATAGAAACGAATGATCAAACACTAAATGCATGGGATATCTCTATAATACATCGTCAAATCGTAATATTAGTCGGACCAGCCCGACCACTATAATGCAAGCGTCAAAAACTGACCGGTCCTGTTACGCCAGGAGGTCCCCATAGGCAGACATATCATGGAACAGCCAGGATCGGCCGGGCGATTCCATAAAGGATGGCAGCCATTCAGGGAGAGTCACGGAGGGTGCCAGCTGGGCCCGTTCTCCACGCTGGCGATGGAACGACACCAACGCATGCTCCAGTTGGTATCCACCAGCGTAGGAAGGGTGGCTGGCACCATTGATCTCCGGGATCGCGCCCCCATTCTCCGTGTTCAGTAGATCGGGGCTCCGCAGCGACGCCCGCAGCGTCCCGTGGAGACTTTCAAGAATCTTCACGCCCCGCTTCGCAATGCTGTGCTTCTGGCCCTGGCGGCAAAGTAGATTGAATCCGTCAAAGAAGATGGCGTAGCTGTGGCGCAACTCCTCGTCGGGCTCAATTCGAATGCCATCCAGCAGCAGATTCCGCTCATCGGCTTGCACCGAAAGGAGACAGACGCCCAAGGCGGCTAACGCTTCCACGAGAGATGTGGGGAAAAGGAAGAGTCGCTCAGGCATGCCGCCATCCTCGTCCCCACTGAGCATGTAGAGTCGAGCTATGGAGGGGATGATCTTGCAGTTGATCTCCATGAGTTTGCGGCGGTGGCGGAGGGCAAGCATGTCGGTGCGGTAATTGTGATGAGCATGTTTGTTTTGATGTAAGCTATCACAGGGGTCGGAGAAGGCTCGGTACAGCGACGCTTGCGTGCCGAGGAGGAACATATGCAGCATTTCCCGCTTCGAAGGGAAGGTCGGTTCCACTGCATCCCAGGAGGTGTCGGGATTGTCCAGCCAGAAGGGCGGGGGTAGCTGATCGATGATGACTTGCTTGAAACGCTCGGCGAAATCTTCGATGATGGTGGGAGTCACTTGGTCCTGCTTCCAAGACGGAGGACTCATGAAGGCAGTCAAGAAGCGGGCTAATTTGATGTGAAATATGCGGTCGGTGAATGGGGTGAGCATGTAGGGAGTGACTTGGAGGGGTTGCATGTTGTCGATGGGGAGCTCAATATCGAAGTAGCCCTCGGGAATCAGAGGCCAGTGACCAAAGAACGCCGAATGAAACCTTCAAGAGATTAGAGAGATTGGTTAGCAGGGGGATCTGATCCAGGCCCGTTCTCAAGACATACCGATCCCACACATAGAGGTTCCAGAATGCTCGTCGGCGAAACTCCTTCTCCAAGTCCGTGAGCGGGAACCCGGGGTCTTTCAGATGTAATCCAATCTCATGGGCATCCTTCACGGTCGCACTGAGTGTGGCCCAGCATTCGCGGACGCGGGCGTAGTTCTTTAAATACAAGACATGGTAGAAACGATGCTGGACGGTCGTGAGAGTCGGCTTCTTCGAGCTGGTCGTCTTCTCAATCTCGTCAGCAGTGGAACAGAGCCACTGCTCGATGGTGGCGATCGGTGCGCTAAAGACCCCAGCGGTGGGATACCGGGCGTGGGGTAGACACTGAATACTGAGCAACGAAACTCGAATCATGAGCAATCCGAAATCCAAATCCTCATCCGAAACCTTCATGTCTCCCTGAACCTCCTTCTTCTCCTGGGTAATCCACCACGCCATGTACCGAGACTGAAACGCTAACGGATCGACCATCTCGAAGGCGCGATTGATCTCGTGCAGGAACATGGTCACGAGAAAATCCATCACCGATTTTTCGGGCCATGCCTTTGGCCGTAACCGTGACTGGGGTTGTATTCGTGGTGAAGGTATGGCATTTCGTTTCGGCCCCACCAGCGGGGGGGAATCCCTGTGACGGTGGTTAGTGGATTGGGAGAGACGGGAGTTTGGCTTCGGGTGCTGGCGACGCGGGCCGGGCCCAAATACGTACAGAGGATAGAAGGCAGAGGTCAATAATCCGTTGGTTCCCGGCGAAGCGTAGCCCAGGGCCTCGAGGGTTTCGACGCCGGCTGAGGTCGAGTCGGAATCGTATGAGGAGAGGGTGACGGACGTCTCCCGATCCTCGCTCTGGTCGATGGTGGTGGTTGAGCTGGACCGTCGCTCATTGTGGTAGACTTTTCGATTCCTGCTATTAGTGCGCGATGGATGGACGTTGGAATAGACACATAATCGCTCTACCCGCGGCCAATGCAGTGGTTGCAGGGTTGCTGGCGATTACACTTTCAGGAGAGGTGAGCGCGGACTCTAGGGGTTGAAAGGCAAGGGGGGGGAACTGATGAAAAGGATCATACCTTCTGCTTCCTCCGATTACACTCCAGACACGACTTGATGGGCTTGCGACGAGTCCTCTTCTCCGGTTGCATGGTCGCTGAAGTCGGAGAAGAGATTCTGCAAGGATCCTTTTAGGCAAATCGCGGTAGAAACGGGTCTTTTAGTGTTTTAGTACTCCGCAGCAAGCAGGTAAGCGCCAAGACGAAAAAACGGCCCCCCCCCCCTCTGCAGTTTTAGGGAAGCTGGGGAATACTCGATCCTCGGTACTTCGAAGTTTGGGAAGGGAGGATCCTTGGAACAAGTTAAGCTTGCTGGCCCCAGACGCCTTAAATTAAGCAAACTTGGTGGGGAGCAAAACAGTCCACCGTTGGCATCTAACGGATTCTTCAGTCAGCATCATCCCCGGCTTGATATGTACGCAGTATCTGGGTTTTTTTTTTTTCTTTTCCCTTTTTCTTTTTATCTTTTCTTTTCTTTTCTCTTTTTGGGAGGGGCCTGCTCGGGTCCTCCTTACCCACTTGGTGTCAATTTAGATCTTCCGTTCGCTTGTGCCCAGCTTCTTATACTCAGTGTGCGAGAATAAAGGAGCAGGGGTGAAGAACCAAAAGTACCCCCTCCAACGAACAAAGAAACTAGTTCCTCACTTAGTGCTTCGCGCTGGCCCCCTCCCGGTCTGCCTACGAACTCCCAAATCCCGATGTTTTTCACCTCTCTTTCCTTTTCTTTTCTTCGTTCTGCTTTTAGTCCAAGTATCCTATGACTGTACCTGATAATGGTGTGCGACCGTAGGAAATCTCTTTGGTTTATGATAAGCCTCGCTTCGCATGGGGCGCAGAACGGGGGGGGGTGGCCTTAGCGGCCAGAACCGGTTACGGGGTGTACCACCGCACTAGGAGGCCACTAAAACCAACAATGGGTCTTGGCTCTGTCGCGGGACTGACCGGGGCGACGCTTAATCGTCTCTTGACACGTGTGGGCTCCAAGCACAAAATAAATTAGAAATAAAATAAGAATAAAATTCGTCAGGTGAGCGTTTTTTGTCCCAAATAACCTTGGCCGGGGAAGGGGAGACCGCATTGGGCCTGCCACAGATGGACGCCCCCCCCCCGGGGGCCAGTTGACCATAGCTTGGTCACTATTTGGCGCGTCGCCGGAGGGTCATCCTGATCTTGCAGAACCCCCTCTTTTGTTGGTCCGGGTTGATCGACTTCGCTCAAGCCATATTGGCTTCTGCACGGGCTCTGGACGGGCTCTGGACGGGCTCTAGACGGGAGACTAACTCCGTCCACGAACAGACGTCCGTGGTTGCTGCCTTGTTAGTGTCTGGACCAGCTTCAGTTCGTCAAATGTTGGACGACTTGCAGATTTTAGTTAGTAGCAACCTGCGGAACAATTTAAGCGATCAGACAACGCACCAATGATGCCCAGACGGGATCATCCTTGGTCTGTAGGGCGCTGGCTCCCCGGAGTCACTTTCCCTTGTGGAAACTGGTCCACGACTGAAAAAGTCCTGCAGGATACATTCTCGTTTTCAAACGTAATGTATTCGACGCATTGATAGCGATATTCGTATTCGGCAGCTTTCAGCTGTCATTGGGGTGGGCGACGCGACTTGGGAGGATCCACGGTTGGGTAAGGAGGCGGTCGAGGGAAGCGTTCGAGGAAGGGGAGTCCCCAGCAGCACCCCTTCCTACTTATAATCGTCCTAGTAACGCCTGGACTCCCTCGTGTGACTCACAAAGCATTAGAGATAGGACCAAGTCGAAACTTTGTCGTCTTGTGCGAGCTAATACCCGACAAAGCTTATGGGGAATGCCGAGTGCTTATGACCGATCAGGCCCCGACAGTATGCAGCTATGAACACAACTTGGGGCGAAATCCAATGGCATCATAAGATGTCGTGGAAGGGGCGCAGAAGGCTCCTCAGGATGTCAGCCGAGATCTGGTCAAGTATGGAGCTTTGACTTTCAGATCCAAAGATCCTACCAGATCTACCCCTTAGCGCACGCGCCTCATAACCTTAAGGGCAATCTTCCGCCATCTGATACGAGTCTAAATACACCTTCTGCCGGGCTCGGCAGGGAGAGTTGATTCCAGCAGTCGCCGTGCTATGAGGCTGGTGAATCCGCACTGCTAGAGGCCTAACGGACAGTTCCGAGGAAGTGCGTCATTTGCATTCTCACCCCCGGTCCACATATACCTTGATTACCATGAAACAGCCATATTCCCAGCTTGATTGTCCCGTACGAATCAGACTCCCCGAGCTCCTTCAATATCCCCGTGGAACCCCGAGCTTTAGAAACTGCATTCGTACCCCTTTCCGACAGTCCTTGAGGCGTTGGACACCGAGGCTCACTCGAGAGCAACAAGCTACCCAATTGGTGGACAGACCAGCACAGATTTATGTTTTCCTAGTACTTTACAGACGTCTATGCCTCATGCAACGAGCATCCTTGCCATTGTTTGCTCAGTTGAACGTCTCTTCAATACGAGAGAGACCCTTGAACGTTGATGCCAGATCGGCTGAGCACTGCAGCAATTCGTATGCTGTATCACCATAACCTTAGGAGAAGACAGGAATGTGTCAAGCCAAGGTCTGGCTCACAGCTTGGAGGAAACGTAAATTGTCCTCCACAATTCAAGTTCTCACATACCTTATACCCCATAGTCCTATATTGTGGCCGCCCCTTGTAGTCATCCCTTTGTTCCGAGGAATCTGAGGCACCCTCCTTCAATCCCGAAGCTTCTCCTTATTTTATTACTGTGAAAGGAGAAAACTACTTCTCATCATGACAGCTCAAGTGAGAGTATGCTCAGTGCTTGAGCACAGTCCTTATCTCCAATCCCTAGGAACCACTCCAGCGGGCATTCACACGAGACGTCTTAAGAGCCGCCTACGAGGCTGAATCCATCACAAAAGTGCCACATTGGCCCACCATCTCAAATGGGACATCCGCTCATTTCACCCGATATTTTCGTGAACGAGCCCAAGTCAAAGTACGTGTCCAATGGGAGCATCCAAAGCATCGACGAGTCAGAGGTGCTCCCGGACGGACAGGGGTTCGAGAGCACCATCCAGCTTTTCGGCTACGAGCCGCAGCCAGAAGAGCAGCCATGGCGACCGCACGTCCGCGACTGGGCGGTTTTCATCTGTATCGTCATTCTAGCGATGATGGATGCCTTCGACTCAACGGTTTTGATTCCTGTGGTGCCCGTAAGTCCTCAACTACAACGGTTACCTACGAGCGCCAACTAATTCCGGGCTCAAATTCCAGCACCTAGCGAGCGAATTCGACAAACCGCTTGTCTCCATGCTATGGGTAAATACGGCATACCTGCTCTTCAGTACAGCAGGTCAGCTTTTCTTCGCCATGATGGCGGATGTCTTTGCACACGCTCCGCTGTGGATCTCAGCAGCCGTGTGTACGACCGTCGGGACGGGTATCTGCAGCGGCTCGATGGGGGTCACCGAGTTGATCGTCGGTCGAGTGCTGCAAGGTATCGGGGGAGGTGGGTGCCTGAGCATGTGCTTTGTCGTGATGGCAGAGTCGACGCCCCCGGCGATTCATTCGCGGTATTCATGCTATATCCTCTTGACTAGGTTGATTGGATTTGTGCTAGGGCCGATTGCCGGGGGTCTGTTCGTGGATAATGCGAATTGGACGTGGGGGTTTTATTTCAATTTTATATTCTGTGCGCTGGGATTGCTTGCGATTCCCTTTGCAAGTGATCTCCGGGTTCCTAATAATCTTCCTCTCAGGAAGTTACGTACTCTGGACTGGTCGGGTGCTGTGATGGCCATCGTTGCGCCGGGGTGTATGGTCATTGGGTTGAGCTGGGGCGGGATTCTGTTCCATTGGGCTGAGTGGCAGGTTGTGGTGCCTCTTGCGGTAGGCGCTGGCGTGTTGATTGCCTTGGTGCTCTATGAGTCGATATGGACGTTGCGTCCTCAGTTCGGGGCACGCGTCTTCCGGAACTGGCCAACCGCCGCGACTTATATAGGATGCTTTTGTCATGGATTCGTGGTAAGTTGGCATCCGACATACCACTGTATCATCACTAACGCTTTATAGCTGTTTGGCCACTTACAGTTCTTTGCGCTCTATTTCATGTTTGCAAAATACTTCTCAGCTACCCTCTCTGGGGTCGCGCTAGTCGCCATCCTTGGGTTCGCAATCATGCCCGCGGCCGTGGTCGGCATTATCCTGGCAAGGGAGTCTGAGTGCTCGAAATTCGTGATCTCCGGTGGCTGGATCTTAACGACTGTTACCGCTGGATGTGCTATTGTTCTTGACCCCAGCACCCCAACGGTCGGATGGGTGTTTCTTTTCTTTACTGCGGGTCTGGGACATGGCCTGCTTCTGTCCAGCTACAATATCCGCACCCACAGCCTCCGCATGGAGGAAAGCGGCACCTTCTCCACGCAGCCAATTACTATATCCATCTTCACGCGGGCATACGGGATGGCAATTTCCGTACCTGTGGGAGGTGTCATCTTCTTGAACCTCTTCGGCCAAGCTCTCTTCGACGCAGGCCTAAGTCGGGACCTGAGTCACGGTGCCCGAGGCTATCTGATTTCGATGAATGAAATGCAAATGCCAGCAGCGACAAGAGATGCGGTCAAGTATGCTGCAACAGGAGGATTGCAGGCTGTCTGGGAGCTAATTGCAGTGGTATCTGCTCTAGGTGGGGTTTCATCTGTCGCGCTCTGGAGAAAATAGCTTGTTCTTATAGTGCCGATGTGCAATATCTCCGAGTTTCTCTAAACACAGCAAAGACAGTGTGAATCTACGTAAATTATCATCGCTTCCCTTGGCACCATGATTGCGGGGATTGATTGGACGGTCTAATCCCCATGCTTGTTTATGGAAATTGAACGTTGAGGACACTGCGTAGTATCATTGCGGTGCAATAGTCAAATAGATCAACCTCGTACAATGGTGAGAGAAACAATCAACCATTTTTGTCCCGGTTAGAATCGAACTGGGGTTACAAAGAATCGCATGGCACTTCCTGTAAGGAGAGCCGCGAGTTGTTAAGCTTGGTTCCAGTCCGCCAACGTATGCACTTAATGCTTTGTGTCCTCAGCATTAGACGATTGGACCTCTGTTAGTGGGATTTGAGATTATGGTGTAGTCAGCAAGTGGCAAGATCTGGAGGGTAAATCATGTAGCATTCAAGGGTCATAGGTTGATGGAAGAATGATTCCGTTGCACCAGTTGACACCGTGCGAGATCACACAACGCCGGGATATAATGCTAAATCAGTAAGGATAGAGTACACGGCACTTCATCGCACGAGCAGGATTCAGGTTCGGCTGAGCCTCGCAAGCTCCTCCTGTCTCATCTTCTCATGCTCCTGCACACGCTCGGGGACGACTTCGTCCCGGCCTCCTTTGATCTTCCAACCGCGCAGTCGCGCCTTGCCAAGGTCGTGCAACGTCTTTTTCTCCACTATACTGTAAAGCCCGTCGTCGCGATCGAAATTGAAAGGCTTTTTGAGACAGACCGGAGGATTGGTGATAATCCGCGGAATCCTCAAGCTGTTGACAGACTGGCAATGCATCATCAACGGATGTAAGAGGATCACATCGCCCACCCTGCCCGTCATTTCATGGAACTCATCGCATTTTTCAAGCACGGTATCATAAAAGTCCTCTTTCAGCTTGCGACGCTGCCTGCCTCGCGGGATCATGTACGGCGACACACCTTGCGGGTTATGGTATAGAAACTTTGCAACTTCCCTCACTGAATCAATGCACACCATGGTGCCACCGCCGTGCTCTTCAATATCACTGAACAGCGGGATCACCAAGAGCCCCTGCTCCGGTGAGTCGAGGAAATGAACGAAGGAATCTCCATCAACATGCCATCCCTCCAACTCAGCCGGATGGGGCCACTTGCCCTCCATCTCCGCCGTGCCCAGGTTGACGATAAACGCATCGTTCCACGTCGCCGACTCTTCATCGAGGCGCTCTTCCCCACCGAGCAGCGCACATATAGCGGCCCACGCCTTAGGCGCGAACGTCTTCACGGGCTCTTCCTTGTGCTCCGGCATATGCGTGCATTCGGTCGTCCATGTTGATTTGTCGGTGGGTGAGAACCCGAGTCTGGTCCAGATGTCCGCCGTCCATTCGGCCGCCTTGTCACGGGAGAAGCATTCCGGCACCCGCAGGTAGCCATATCGTATGAAATGGGCAATTTGCTCCTCGGACAGTTTGTAGTCGCTCATGGCGTGGAGGCTGGGGTCGGGGGGGGGCCCAATACAGATAGAAGGTCATTGGGTGGGCTGAGAGGGCCCAGAGAGGGCCCAGACTTCCGCCCTCCCCGGATCCAATGCTCCAGAGAGCAGGAGCTGACAAACTTCTTTCCAGTCCGGGGGGGATCCGTAAATGGCTGCCTATTTCACCTTTTTGGTACCCATCTATAAGTAGAAAAGCTTATATTTGAACGCCACGATTCCATTTTTGGAAAGGTTGGGCCTTGAACTTGACTGTGCTCAAAGTTATGCACTGGCGTGCCGAGGTATTTCACAACCCGGAATGACGATGTCCAACATGACTGCCATGATCGAGCAAGATCTAAGCCATGTGTTGGGGAAATATTCTGAGAATTCGAATGACCATAGGGTGAGTCTGAGCTCAATCCAGATCTTTCCGCGATTTACAGCCCTGCTGCCGCCGTCGAGATCGACTTGTGCTTACCCCCGTTGCACAGCCGCCACACCGTAGATTCCAGGTGGATGAGGGATATATTTGGGTATTAAGCAGTTTCCAAGCTTTCCGTGGCTGGGCACTAGCGTAGGTTACTGTCCTAGGCGGATTATGGAAATCGGGGATTTTCTTCGACCGCTCCTAATTATACCAACCACAGCCCATTCTCGAAGTATAAAATGCCCCGAACGCGCTTTCCTCCAATATCGTGCTTTCCGGCCAGAGTCGGGTTTATGGACGTTACACGGTGTTCACCGAGCGACCAGACCTTTTGATCTTCTTTCGATTGGTGCCCTCTTGCAGTTCTTTTATTACGTTGTACACATCCCGTACACACTATTCTTCTCTCTCTCCGCGCTAGTCATCTCGTTATTTCAGTCTTCCACCGCCATGAAGTTTCTAGCATCAGCTATGGCCCTCCTTGGGGCACTGTCCTTGACTTCAGGGGCACCAATCAACACTACGAATGAACTACCCAACGGCCTTCCGTTTCCAAGCGCCAGTGAGCTGGCTGTGATCGAGCAGAACGCGCACGGCACCTTGCCAAACGGGCCACCGCCCCCCGTGATCAGCAATAAGGGCATTAACAACCTTCGACTGATTGCTTTCAATGAGCTTTTCGAGGTTGCATACTTCAACGAACTGATTACAAACATCACTGAAGGGAAAGACGGATATCGGTTCACCGACTCCGGCGATCGAGACGATGCTCTGAGATCGCTCAAGGCCATTCTGGCTGTAGGTCATTCAATTCATGCCTTTCCATGGCAGGGCTAACCGTATGTTGCGTGTATAGCAAGAGGAACTTCATGCGATCAGCGCGAATGATGCTCTAGTCCATTTCCATGTCCACCCCATCCAGCCTTGCGAGTACACATTCCCAGTCCAGGACTTCGATTCCGCCATTCGCCTCGCATCAACCTTCACCGATGTGGTCCTTGGTACACTGCAAGATGCGATTGAGAGGTTTGTCCTGGGCCACGATGCCGATCTCGCGCGCGAGATTGCCGCGGTGATCGGCAACGAAGGTGAACAGCAGGGCTGGTTCCGGGTGCTGCAAGCCAAAATCCCGAGCGCACTCCCGTTCCTTACCACCGCGGATCTCAACTATGCTTTTAATGCCGTCAAGAGCTTCACTGTCCCCGGATCCTGTCCTAATATCGAGGAGATCCCACTGCGCACCTTCGAGTCGCTCGAGATCCTGGAAGCACCAGGTGCTAAGACCGAGAACATTACCTTCACTTTCAACGATCCTGAGGACCAAGCGGGTCATGGGCTGTGGATGACTTATATCAACCAGCTTAACCTTCCCATTGTGGAGCCTCTGAAGGTGATCTCGAGAGAGGGAGATAGTGTTACTGCGCAGGCACTGTTCCCATATGATGATCACGAGCTCAACGGACTGACTATTGCGTCCGTCACCACGAGTGATGGCCCTTTCAGTGACGCGAATGAGGTGGTCAAGTGGACACTTGCTGGTCCCGGCCTCATTTCCGTCAATTAGTTGCGTGCTCTACCAGTCGTTTGAGCACTCCAGCGTTATCATTAGGCCTATGGCTGACTCTTTGATAACTTATTCTTATCTCCTCACGCCTCGGCTCTTTGGCTTATAATCGATTTCCATTAGTTTGGTACCTCAATCCTAATTCTTTCCAAAATCCATGTTCCCTCAAGTAAGTACAAAATGCAAAAGAGTGTTCAAAGGGGTACGATAGAATATAAACTAGCCCCATCCGGACCCAAGAGTCTTTACTACAAAGCAAGTTGGTATACTAGATACGCAGTATCTACAGTCTGCCCTGTCCAGCATTGGCCTTAACACTGGAAGCAACCTGACTAGCTGAAGTAGCAGAGGCGATGTTCTTGCCCTTGAAGTTCACCAAGAATCCCTCATCACTCCGGCTGAAAGCTCCAGAGCCCGAAAGGCTGTTCACCTGACAAGTACGGCCCAGGTAAGCACTGCAGGCGCCGGTGCTGCCGCTGTTCGAAGTGAAGAGCTGCCCGTCAACGGGCGACTCGACGGGGGTATTGATGTCCGAGAACGCATTGCCCTCGGCGAGGACGTAGCCGCCTGTGCCGATCTCGAAGGCGTGGCCGCTGTTGTTGTCCCAGTAGTTGTTGACCTGCGCAGTGGTTGGTTAGCTGTGGGAGAATCTGTGTGTTGAGAGGAGGGACTGACGGCATGCAGAAGAGTGTTGCCCTGGACCTTGGGGCTACGGCCACTGGTCTTGTAGATGTAGTTGCCCTTGAGAGTGACCAGGTCGCTGGAGCCGTCGAGGTAGATGGCCCAGTAGGTGTATCCGTCGCAGGTTGCGGAGTACTCGGTCTCGCCATTAATGAAGTTGTTGGAGATGGTCACGCGTCGGGAGGCATTGGTGCCGAGAACGATGTGCTGGCGACCAATACGGGCAGTCTTGGGTGGATCAGCGAGTGTCTCGTTCAGTGGCTGTACGGGTGGAACTTACAGTAACGTGGTCGATCCAGATCATGTCCGTCCCAGCGAGAGTGATGGCATCTCCGCCCCAGACGTACTCGGGGTTGATATCGGTGATAGCAATGTTCCTGTGGCTTTGTCAGTACCGAACTTGTCGGATGGAATGGGGGGGGCTCGCACTGGATTATGACATTGGAGACCCCGTTGGCAAGACGAAGACCCTTGCCCTTGATGACACCGCTCGAGCCCACACCAAGAATGGTCTTGTCGGAAGCGACGGTGATACCCTCAACACCAGCCTTGTCACTAGTCTGTGTTAGTACCTGAAGCATTCTTTTGGTACGGCAAGGAGCCTCACTAGGTAACAGAGACAGCCGGAGCACTCGACTCGTAGTTCGAGCACCAATCGTTCTGGTTGATCGCTTTCTGGCATCCGGGGGCAGTGCCCCAAGGCGCACATCCAGTGGCCGTAGCTTTTCCTTCGGTGCCGGTGAAGTCGAAGGTCTTTGACAGGACAATTACTCGGGGCTCGCTATCCCCGAGGTATGAGACCAGCTCACTAGTCGAAGAAGGATAGACAGGCGTCGCAGAGCCACCACCGGTGACGCCCTTCGCGAAACCCTCGGCCGAACCAGAAACACCGACAGCAGCGGCGTGAGCTGCAAAAGCCGCAAGGAGAGCGGTGTATAACATGGTGAATTTAATGACCTGAGAATGACAATAATAGTGGTGTGCTACATTTTACTGGGGGGGGCTCCCCAAAATGTTTTATGTAGTTTGTAGAGCTGTGATGTACTCCGTAGTTTATCCACAAGTGCCGAAACGAGTTCCACTTGGTAGATCCAGGCCTATTCGCCTTTTACCTTGCAGATATTCCTGTTCCTGACCCTCCACGAATGAGCATTACTTGCCTTGCCCGTGATTCGCTCGCACACGTAAACTTCAATTTCCATGCGCCACTCTGGATAATTCTGACATCTGTGTCTGGTGGTAAAGTGGGAAAGAATGGGTCAGCGAAAATTACCCACCCAAATTGCCGGCCAGGGGTTGAGCCAGAAGCAGCAGATGAACAACATTATTCCGCCTCTAGATTGCTTCCAGTATGGGGTTGCGAACTAAGCGAGTTGCTACTAACGGCCTCGCGGTTTGAGGGTGGCCGTCAGACATGAAGATGTTTCAGCTAACACCCCGCCAAGCTCGATTCGGTACGATTCCCATCTATAGGGCGACACTTGACCTAGTCAGGATGTGGGCCGTTCTTGTCGAGTTGCAACTGTAATTGAAGGGCGTTTCATCTGTGGCTTCGGAGATTCGCCGGCATTTCTCCTGTCAAAAGGTTGTTCTCCACATTGCATCAAGTGGTAGGCCATGCATGGATTGGAGTAGAATAATTCTTCCGTCTTGGCGGTACTGCTTTCGTTCTCACACTGCCTCTTATTAACTGGTGATGGTATCTAGTCACGATCGAATCTGTCGCAAGCATGGAAAGTCGAGATTCTTGTTTACATTTATTTCCCGGTGGGGGCGAATGCGGAAATGCCGAAGCCTCTTCCCAAGAGCTCTTGCACCTCATCTTTGGGTTACCGGGCGCAGATATAAAGAGTTGGTGGCTTCCTAAATATGCTTCCTTTGGAATACTTCGTGTATACAATGATCCGCAATAAAGCTGAAGGACCATGCCCCCCGCCCCCTCCGCGCGCCCGATGTTCATACCGGTTAAAAGATCAACAGGCAGTTTTGCAGCTATAGCACTGAGCACTGCCCGGCCCACGTTCAGCTGTCCATAGACAGCAGAAAAGCGTGGGTTCATAATGAATAACCACTAATGCAGGGTTTTAAAATGTCACTGATGCTTCATGCGCTTACCAGAACCTCATGCATGACGAGCACATGGGCATCAACCATATGGGCATTTAAGATGCATAGGAAATCATTGGAGGATACTTGTCTCCCCAACTAAGATCGCGTTGTTGCCTCACATTGACGAGCCCAAGCGCCTTTGCAGCAATGTACTACTGACGATAAAGGCGAGCAGATACTTGAAATAAATCACATTCATTATTTGTACAAAACTTCACCAAATAGACTCCTTCCCTGTGACATTCTTGAAGACCTCCTGCAAGTGCTGCCAGACTTTGGCCCCCGCATCGGCCAGCCTAAGCTCAGCCAAGACCTCTTGGACCTTTGCATCACCACTTTCACAAAACTCGTCCAAGGTATAAACGCCGCTTCCAATTGCTCCATCAGAGCCAACAGCAATGTCCTTCCCATAATTTGGCGGATCTTTGCTCTGATTTTGAGAAGGGAACCTGGAACTTGTCGCTAGGAAAGTGTATCTTTCTCCAGTCTCGTCCAATGGCATGTAGGTAATCTTGGGGCCGATTGTTCGGTACATGGCAAACCCTACCTTGAAAACAGCCGGAAGAATTCCTTTCATGGTCTGGGCGAGATCAGTGTCTACAAAGCCGGGGTAGCTGTAGATGAAACTAACGTCCGGCGCTGTCTCGGCAAAATGCTCCAAAGTCAAGGTCGACAGAGACGAAATGTGGCCCCGCGCTTTCCACGGTGCTATACTGCTGCCAGAGAGATCTTTCATATCAAGCGGGCCCTCTTTAGTTCCGGCGAGGACGGAAATCACACGACTGACTGATGGGGATTTCCGAAGAAGGGGAAGCAGATTTGCGATGAATCGCATCCGGGAGTAATACCCCAACGCCGTGATCAGCATGAGATTTTCCGAGGTTTCTAGCTGTTGTTAGGGTCACGCGTGCATATATTTTCGTAGTCTGATGGGGTTCATACTCGTGCTCATGTCCAAAGTACCCTGACTCTGGAAGAGAAGGCTGATGTTCTCCTCCTTCGCTTTGAGTTCCTCGCAGATTTCATCGACTTTGTTGAGCAGACTAGCATCCGCTTTGATGAAGGTATAGTTCCCCTCTGGACTTTCTTCCCGGAGCTGCTTCAAGATTCCATCGGCCGCTTGTTGTGATCGGCCGATAAAGTAGATGCGCGGTTGTGGTGCATGTTTGGCGTAGTTCAGTAGACTCGTCTTGCCAATTCCTTTGGTCGCCCCGACAAACACAGCAACAGCTTTGGGTCGCAAGTATCGGCGCAGGGCTTTATTAGAAGCATGGACCGCCGTTAGCTCAACCATCTTGCCAATCTGGTGTTGTACTAGTCGGTTGAGAGATTCTTCGTTCTACAGAGCATATGTGCAGGCGGGTCCTGGATCATTAAATAGGTCAGGGCTACGATACTGTCACTGCAGCCGGTCGCGGAGAACTCGCGAGGTCCCCAGCGTCATCGTCTTCCAGTTCGAGCCACATTCCCAGCTGCGATCCTGCCGACGGACGAAGTTTGCCCCGAGGACGTTATCGATTGGCTCCCGCATCTGCACCCCTGGATCAAACGGGGCTTTCGAGGCTGGCGTGCGGAGATAAGGTGGGGGCTAAAGATGGCAGCTAAAGGTGCCCTTTTATCCCCGTTCCTTGCCCCGTTTTGGGCATTGCTGGCTAGAAAAGAATTCGAACCGTGTTGAATGCTGTGCCGACTATCATCCGTGTTAAAGCCTAGCTTCCATGAAGTTCCATATTGACGGATCTAGCACAGCCACTTTGCTTTCATGCGAAGTGACCAGCAGCATGATCGAGTCGAGATGTGTAGACAGTTCCTTCAAACAGAACAAAATTAGACCTGAATCAGTGATTGATCACTATGAGCGCAGGTCAAGCTCCATTGCCAAGATCAGGTTCTCCGATCCATGAGCGGTCAGCCTACTTATACTAGAAGTACCAGGGGTGCTGCGCACCTGGGCATCAGAAGCCAGGATAGAGTAAGCATATGAAACCCGTGAATTCCCAGTTTATAACTACACCCGGTATTTTGCATAACGCCAAGTAGATTCCTGGCCCTCGGATCCGTTCTACTTGAATAGAGCCAATGGAATTCAGAGGCGCCGGGATGGCCTCCCAGATCAATCACCGAATCCAACACCGAAAAGTATCAGGCAAACCTGGCAGCCTCCAGCTCAAGTATAAATTGAGTCGAAGTGTCTTCAGAGTCGAGTACTCACTTCGGACTCATCTAACAATCTCCCATGACTCTCAAATATCTCATCACAGGTGCTACCGGTGGGCTGGGAGCATCGGTGCTGTCCTGACCTCAAAGCCAATGTCCCCGCCTCAGAATATGCCGCAGCCTCCTCAAGCGAGGCCAACCGAAAGCGATTTGAAGACCAAGGCATTGCTTTCCGGGTCGTGAACTACGATGACCCGGAATCTCTAGAGGCTGCCTTCCAAGACGTCGAGAACCTCTTCTTCGTGAGCACCAACACTTTCGACGTGCAAAAACGAGAAAAGCAACACCAGAGCGTCGTCGACGCCGCAAAAAGACAGAAGGTTCGGCATGTATGTAACCCCCTGGCAGTCCTCCTAAACGCAGCCATCATTCTAACATCAAGGCTTTTAGGTGTGGTATACCTCACTTGCCTTCGGTGGCTTCAGATCGGATTCTAAAGCCGACGTCCAGCAGGCTCATCTCTTGACTGAGGAGATGTTGCGCAAGTAAGTCCGTCCCTCAGCCCCGGCAGGGTCCTCAGCACCCGGCTGACATTCCATATCAGAGCCGATATCAATTACACTTCTGTGCGCCAGGGCCTCTACGCCGATGCTTTCCCGGTGTTTATGAATTGGTACCCCAGCACTTCAACCGTATATCTGTCAGGAGATGGCCCGATCGCATTCACTCTACGGGATGAATTAGGGGAAGCGACTGCACGACTCATGATTCACGGGGGCCACGATCGAGAAATCGTGCTCCTGACAGCTCAAGAAACCATCACCTATACCGAAATCGTAGATCTCATCAACGAGACCACGGGCCGACAGGTACGAGTGAAGACTGTACCACCAGAAGAGTTCGTGAAACTGCAGTCGACAAATGACGAAGGGGGCAAGTCGGCGGCGTTCTTCAGCAGATTGACCTCGTGGAATGATGCGATTGCAAAGGGCGAGGCTCAGAGCACAGATCCGTTGATGGAAGAACTGCTGGGACGAAAGCAACCCCGCCCCGAGAGGCGATTCGCAAGCTATTGACGGAGAATCGGGACTATGAATGGCACCAGAACTATATTAATCGGGGTTATTTGACGTTCACACGCTGTCAATTTAGGGATATTCCATGAGTGGTTTGGCACTGGCATGTGAGTACAAACAGGTGGCCGAGGCTGACGTCGCGGAAAAGCGTAGTTGGCTCTCGGCAATAGAATCCGGCCCAGCGTTTGGTTCGGGTCATGACAGCCAGTCAATGGAGCGACAGAGGTCAGGCACTCTCGACAAGAAATAGCCATTTGTATCAACGTAATAGCCCGTATAGTAATTCCAAATCTGGCCTCGTTGATACCAGGCCAACCTTCGTATTTATTGCAGCAGTCGGCATTTGAGCGGCGCTGGACGCTCTACGCAGTATGACTCGCCGTGTGCGCCCGAAGGCTTGACAATTAGGCGCGCTGTGATTGGCTGGATTACCTTACTCAGCCGATCCGACCGTGAAACCCGAGGTTAGTGAGAAACCGGTCCTCCTTGACTTCATTTTGTCGCCTCTTTGTGCTTTTGGTTGGCTGGTGATCCTCAGGCCCAATTCCTGGCTCAGAACCTCTCTCCTCTCTTAAAGCTCGCCGGCGCATCATCTTCCTCCCTTTCATCTCCCGCCATCACCAAACTCCGCCATGGCTTCCCTCCGCTCAACATCGCGACTCTTCGCTGCGTCGCGGCCTCTTTTCCGGCCCGCTTCGTTCGCTCGCTCGTATGCCACTGTCGAGGGAACCAAGAATGTCGAGCCCAGTCCCTCCGAGAAGCCCAACTTCAAGACCTTCAAGGTCTACCGTTGGAACCCGGACACGCCCGCTGAGAAGCCCACCATGCAGAGCTACCAGCTCGACCTGAACAAGACCGGCCCCATGATGCTCGACGCTCTGATCCGGATAAAGAATGAACTCGACCCGACTCTTACTTTCCGCCGATCCTGCCGTGAAGGTATCTGTGGTAGCTGTGCCATGAACATTGACGGTGTTAACACTTTGGCCTGCTTATGTATGTGATCGCATGGACTCGGAATGAGCCCCAAATTCGCTCGAAGCCCCGTATACTGACATGAACTTGCCAGGTCGCATTCCCACCGACGGTGCCAAGGAGTCCCGCATCTACCCACTGCCTCACACCTACGTCGTCAAGGATCTTGTCCCGGATCTGACCCTCTTCTACAAGCAATACAAGTCTATCAAGCCATACCTGCAGCGCGATACCCCCACCGAAGATGTGAGTGAACTGCTATCCTGTTACATATCCTCCAGGAGTTTCCCGTAGACCAGTGACTAACACCCCGCACAGGGCCTGGAGTTCCGCCAAAGCCCCGAGGACCGCCGGAAGCTTGACGGTCTCTACGAATGTATTCTGTGCGCCTGTTGCTCAACCTCCTGCCCCTCATACTGGTGGAACAGCGAGGAGTACCTCGGACCCGCCATTCTCCTCCAGTCTTACCGCTGGCTGGCCGACTCCCGTGACGAGCGCACTGCCGAGCGCAAGACTGCCCTCGACAACAGCATGAGCGTCTACCGTTGCCACACCATTCTCAACTGCACACGAACCTGCCCCAAGGGTCTGAACCCTGGTAAGGCCATTGCGGAGATCAAGAAGATGCTGGCCTCGAACTAAATTGTGTGGATATAAAACGGAGTTGGAAGTTTCCTTTCTGTCCAATGTCTTGCAGCCGATTTCCTTATTTTACCCTGTTTCTTTTTTTTTTATCCCGACCCATTACGGATGTTTTCATAGGTGTAAATTGTGGACGAATTTTACAGGAATGTACTAGAGGTCTAGTTCACTCAAGACTTTTTTGCCTCCTTTTGCTCCCTTCCTTCTGGCGGGAATCGGGCGTATACTTGCGTCGATTCGGGTACTCGGCTGCATGCCATATCGCCATCCTGGTCGAGGATCCGTAGCCAGCGATCTGATTGGCGGGTCATACTAACCAATCACAATGAAAATGCATTCGCGCTGTCGCATTTGCATTCGACCCAAGGGATTTAATTCTGGGCGACCAAGATTCTCGTTTGGCTGCATCCGTTTGGCCATGTAGTATTGTATCTGGATGGCTCTTGGGTTGGGGGAACCTACTGCGGCTATTCGTTTTCCCCATTCGCCCCATCCGCATACCCGGCCCTAGGAGAAGCCTTGTGATATGTTTACCGCACCTGTTATTGGTCGACTGACAGCGATCACCATTGCTTACTTCATCGCCATCCATGATGCCCAGGTGAGTGGTAGGTTTCCCTGTGCGCATCAGATATCGCTATGGTATCTCCCCTCAGACGACAGCTAATCCTGGCTAGCTCAAGTTTTTTCGTACTGGTATCCAGCCGAGTCAAGTAGTTCAGGACTCAAAGAGTACCCATTGTCTATGATGTTTCTTGTCGGGAGAACTGCTTCGCGGCTTACTCAAAGGTATTGTGACGCATGCCAGGTGCATGGAGACCTCCATCTGCCCATGCTTCTTTAGTGTCTGCAGGGCTTTCGGTGGAGTAACTGCATGGACTGAGCTGCATAGGAATTGTGATTTCGGGTGGGGGTTCATGACCCTCGGTTGCAATTATGATGCCAAGGGATTATCCATGTGGATTGCGTGGTTTCGATGTGACTGGATACTAGGATGCTCCTTGGATTGATGTTGGTCTGACACGCTATATTTAGCAGTCGAGAGGAAACTCGGCATAGAGCTTGTTCCCTCGGTCTTTTTCTCTTTAACCCGTTCCAGCCTAAGGTTTGTGAAGATCTCTCTTAGCTTGAATACATCACGTTATGCTAGTAATGGACTCTTCGACTATCTTGATATATGTAACTCCAGCTCTGGTACTATTTCTCGGTTGGAGAGCCTACCTCATCGTACATCGCCTATACTGGCATCCACTGGCTAGTTTCCCCGGTCCCAAGCTTCCAGCGGCCACTTTTCTGTATGAATTCTACTACGACGTCATCAAAGGAGGCATGTATATTTGGGAAATTGAACGCATGCACGAACGGTATGGTAAGTGTCCCTTGGAGTCACATTTGAGAATCTCAATCACTCAATTGACACAATGGAGGCCCGATCGTCCGCATCAACCCTCGAGAGCTGCACATCAAAGACTCCCACTACTACGATGAGATATATGCCGGTGGCTCTCAGAAACGTGCAAAGGATCCACAGTTCACCGTCGCCTTTGGCGCACCCCATCTCTTGTTGGCACTGTTAGCCACGATCATCATCGTCTGCGCCGCAGCTTCATCAGCAATTACTTCTCAAAACGGTCCATCTCCTATCTCACACCGCTGATCCATGAGCGACTTGATCTTCTCACTCAACGCTTCGAATATGCCTTCGTCAACTCGAGAGTCCTGCATCTGGAACTTGATTTTGCTGCCCTGACGGCCGATATTATCACACAGTATTGCTACGGTTGGAGCTACGGATACTTAGACGAAGTGAAAAACTCAGCCAGCAACGACCTAGTCGATGCGGTAAACGGTGTCATGGCCATGTTCCACATCAACCGCTTCTTCCCCTTCCTCATCAACATCTTCCTGCATGCGCCCCCAGCCCTGGTGCGCTGGCTCCAGCCATGCATGCGGGACCTGTTGGACATGAAAGCTAAACTGCGAGAACAAGCCGGAGAAACGCTCGAGAAAAGGGCTTCTGGGAAATGCGAACCCGGTGCTGAGAATTCCATCTTGGAGGCTCTAGTTGCTCCTCACGTTCCCCCACAGGAGAAGACGTTAAAGCGCTTAGTAGATGAGTCGGCCCTTCTCGTCAGCGGGAACAGAGACAACTGCCAGAGCTATAGCCGTGGCGATGTTCCATGTCATGGATAACAAAGCCATTTGTCTGAAACTTCGAGAGGAGCTGAGGAATGTGCTACCAACAGCGTCTTCGAGAGCGGCGTGGGCGGATCTGGAACGATTACCCTTTCTTGTGAGTGTCAACTGCTCGTATGATAAACACTTCCTGATGTTCCCAGACCGGGGTTGTAAACGAGGGCTTACGTTTGAGTTATGGGATGATAGCTCGTCTAGCTCGCATCTCGCCTAGCGATCCTCTGTTTTATGGGCCTTGGGTGATCCCCGCTGGTGTAAGTTGATTAGTGAGCTGAGGGGAGGGTATTCTGTGGTAGGAATGCTTATGTCTCGCAGACTCCAGTGAGCCAGTCCAGTTACTTCGTCCATATGGATCCTTTGATATTTCCGGACCCGAAGAGGTTTGATCCCGAGCGATGGATCCGCGCGCGTAATGATGGGATTCATCTCGGCCGGTTCATTGCATCCTTTAATAAGGGCAGCAGGCAGTGCCTTGGAATCAAGTAAGTTGTTTTGTGGCGAGAATCGTGAATGCTTGATTTTCATAAAAATAGTCTTGCATACGCAGAGATATACATGACGATAGCTCATGTAGTGCGACGCTTCGAGTTCACGCCCTATGAAACGACTACTGATAATATTTGCGTATACCGAGAAACGGGGATTGGGTGTCCTGAGAACGGTTTCTTCAGTGTAAAATGCCAAGTTGGATCTATTATCCGGGGCTGACTGTACACCGCTACTCCAGGGTGTTGGAGAGTATCTTGGCTGACTGGTGCTGGCAATTGCGGACTCATATGACGAGATCTCAATTTCTATTCCATTACTGATTGTCTATGTCACTCGTATATTTCATACCCTTGGTTTCTTCAGCGCTCTTAAGCTTGTCAAGTGAAATTGAAGTAACCCAATAAGATGCTCTTAGGGCGGGCCCATCAGGAGAAAACCAACCCAGAGAAACCTCTTCACAATACAAATTCAACAAGATGCAAGATATCACTTGTAGGCGTAGTGGGATTAAGCGTTTTTAAGTCATAGTAACAAAGTCCGCGCATTCTTCCTGGATATATTTATTCGAGCCCACTCCCGTCTCCGCCAACACTCAATTCTGTCCAACCAGTTCCAAGTTGACTTTACTATCCTGTTCGAAGCGATCCCTTGCTATGCTATGCTATCCACCATAAGACGATTCAATCTTATAATCCCGCGATAAAAAATGATTTCGCCAGAAGACATACCACCCCCTACGGCACCGGTTTCTGTCGACCCCACGACAGATCTCACTAACAACGTCGCCGTTGTACTGGAGCTAATACTATCGTAGCCTAGAATGTGCTCGCAACTGACTATCCATCTTTTTTTGATGGTACTTTTACTACTGGCGACCCAGGTTGTACCGGGGCGCTTAAGAGTTATCACTACGATGATGTCGAATACAGCGTTGACCCAAAGGAGATGCATGACTTGATACAGCCGAACTCGGGGATTTTCAGGTAAGTTACCATATTTCCACCCACTCAGTCATCGGTGATTCCTGATCATGAGATATATCTCAACTTCTTCTACACTGATAAATGTAAGGAATCAAGGAAAGGCTTTGGCAGGAGAATGATGAAGGCGAGCTCCACTTTGCCGCCACTCAAGATATGATCAAGTCTCTGGTGCGCAGTTACCTTACAATGCCGCTCCCAGCTTGATTCCTGGCCTGAAGTACTGGTGTTCTCATTGTGTATAGCCGTTCTCTTGGCAGATTCAAAGCTCTACGATATCTTGATAGACTAATCTCGTTGAACTCACCCTGTACGGGTGTGTTGGTGTTTACGCCGTGGCTCCAAATTTTTCGGAAATGCTAGTTTAATGTGAGTCTGCAGATCACAACAAAAGACTTCTATGTTTCCCCATCGCTCGTCTTGATTTTCAGGCTTTGAGGGAATTTTATCAGGCTGGCAGCGGGCCCGAGTCGCATCGCGAGTGGCCGGCTCTGCAAGGGGTTCATTGAAGGTTGGCTGGGGAATGTTCGACCGCGTGTTCAGCCCCTTCAATAAGCGCGACAAGCTCGGCCTGGCTTCTACTAATACTAACCCTACGAATGCCCATTTGATAAGTTTATTTTATACTGCATAACTACACTAAAATGCATCTCACATTCGGGGTCATGACAACCCCAGGTCACCGTGTAATCTATAGTCCACAGTTCCACCACATTTACTGATGTCTGGTCAGGGTATTGCTTTTCCGGATTGTATAATTAAGGGTGGCTAACTCGTGATTTCATGCATGTGGATGTTAAAATGCCAGCCCTTTTGCCTCTACGAAAGTTGATCTGTCATACTATCAAGCCGCGCGATTGATTCCCGCCCTCCAGGATGCGTGCTCTACAGCTGAGATGAGCAATTGATACTGTTCCTGTACCCAAGCCATTGCTTGAAGGGGGTAATTCCCAGATGATCATTCCTCGGAAGTAAAGTTGATTGGTGAAGGAATCTCCCTGCCCCTTCACTTCCATACCAATAGGCACGCTTGCCCCTTATGTTATGCTAAAGTCGTCATCCTCCCAGCCTGGCTGTTGATCTGCGTCCGATTGTTTACTAGGTATGAAGGACGCGGTAGATAAGGAGCACAATCAAGAATGGAGATCAACATAGCAAAAGCTTTTACGAAGAATATCTACATAAATCCCACATACCCCTTTATCCTAGTCTAGCAAGCTTACCTTCTTCCGACCCTGATACACTCCTTTCGCCCCCGAGGTATACTCCCAACACCGACAGCATGCACCCCTCATACATCTCCTTGGCGCTCTTCGCCATTGGCGCAATCGGTGCGCCCTCGTACCCACGCCCCGAGTCTAGTGACCCATTCGACACCTTCCCCTTCATGACGGGTAGCTCTACTGTGGAAGAAGATGACGATATGGATGATCCTCTCCCTGCGGCTATGGGTGCCATGATGCAGGCCGAGCAGGTTGAAATGGCTTCATACTCTGCCCCATCAGTCAAACCGACACACATGGCTGCGGCAGCTGCCGCCGCAGCTCTTGGTAGCGACGCACCTGTTGCGAAGCCAGACGTCATGGAGCAACCTCAGGTTCCTCAGGCTGAGCCCTCTCAAGTGGCTACGCCTAAGCCTGAGCCGCCGATGCCAGCTGTGGAGGCTAGCCCCTATGCCTACCTCCTCCTCGGCTCCCGTTCCTAAGCTCGATAACTTCGTACCGGAGATTCCTAAGCCTATTGCTCCTTCTCCAGTCCACTCCAAGGCCCATGTCAACCCTGTCCACAGTGCTGTGATGCACGTCGAGACATCCACTCCAGTCCACAGTTCCAAACACGTTGCGACTCCCACCACTCCCGTCCGCAGTGCCATGCAGACCCCCATGCCTAAGCCTAGCTCTTTCAGCTCCAAGGTCAAGCCTACTTCCCACCCTTTGATGGTCAAGCCAACTCGCCCTGCTAAGCACAGCGTTATGGCTTCCTCATCGAGCAGCAGCTACTCGCACACCCCTACTAGCTCTGCTGTTGCGAAGGCCACTGCCAATCCTCTCGCTCTTGATAAGGTTCTTGGTGGACTTCCCATCATCGGTGGCCTTCTGCAGGGTCTCCGTTAAAGTTATAAAACCGACCAATTGTTCTGCTTTTGATCTTTTCCATATATCCACAAGGGGGAACGGTGTTGGGACAAGTACTTCAAAGCATGTCTAGTTATTCCAGAAAATATCTTTTAATACAAAGGCGTTGATGGAGCAAAGCAATATTCCACATACAACATAAACCATAAACCCCAAAAATCCGAACTAAATCTCACCCTAGGTTTGCACTCACGCTTGAGGGTCCTCCCCGTCGACCCCAACATATCCATGCACCGCTCCACAGCCTTCTGCATCGCATTCGTCGCCTCCTCCAACAAAGTCGTCAAAGGCACCTTCCCCGCCTTCTCCGCCTGCACCCTCACATACTCATTATTCAACACCTTGTTAAGATTGACCTTCGACACCCCACACGCAATACACTTCTGAAAAATCTCCTCCGTAAACGGATCCGCCCCATGAAGCACCAGCCTGACCCTATCCCCCACCGCCTCCCTCACAGCCCTCAACCGCTCATACTCCAGCCGGATGCCCCGCGGCCCATACTCGCCATGCACGTTCCCAAACGCCGGCGCCAACCACGTAATCCACGTCCCGACAAACTCCCGACTCTCCTCCGGCGTTGTCAGCAATCCCTCCAACACAAGAAAATTAATATCTCAGAACTGTTGTAAAAGAATTAGTAACACAAATTCCTAGAGATTGAATAGAATAAAGATATATAGAACTAGGAAGAGACTAGTTACTAGGATCAAGGAAGATCCTAGAAAACAACTAATATGTCACGGAACAATGGGATTTGACGGTTCTTTGCCGTCGAATCGGCGGCGAAAGCATCTTTAAAGCTATATCGAGGCCCTTTGAGCCAAAGTCATGTCATTCGATGTCGATAAGCAAGGTCGTCCGGATCCTCCTGCAGTCCTATTGGTTGGATTAGGGTTGAAACCTGAGCTGGGGCCAAACCCCTGGCGAATCCCCATATAAAAGGGGCTGTTTGTTTAGAAGAAAGAGTAAGCTTTAGTCTTTGTTCAGACTGGAACCGGACAGTGGGATCCCATCGAATACCACTATCTCGCCTGGTCAACTGGTGCCACCCAAATCTGGCAGTTCCCTTACAACTACAATCTTGCCTAGTCAACTGGTGCTACCTAAATCTGGCAGTTCCCTCACATCTAACTATTAACACTTAATTCAAGAAGCTAGTTAGATTTAAGATAATTAAACTAACCCTAGATAGAAACTTTACCTTTCATAATAATACAAGACAGAAGTACCTATCTAGTAGCAGATATTGTCTCAATCGCAGTAACCTATTTATAATTTCTAGGTTGTAAAGTATATCGTTTTCTATAATTCTAGCCTGAGTAACAACTTTAGCTGTTACTGCAATCCTAATTGCAAAACCCGTTTTGTCAAAGTTATAAATATCTTTGTTAGTAATACTATAATCGCGAATTACACGATTAACCAAGTTAAACCACTCCTTAATAATCTTAGGATCCTCGTTTTAAGCCTTTTGATAATTGTATTGTCGCGATAAAACTACTCGGAGTTTAGGATGTCGTTTCACGAAGTTTGAAACCCAATTTTTTCCAACTGTTGTTGTTGTAGATGTTCTACGACTTACAAGTAATATATTTACCATCTCACGAACTTGAGACTGTCGGGGAGCTGCTCCACAGAGATCTAGATCGAGAATCCATTGTTTTAATGATTCCTCTTCAAGGTTTGTCAATTTGGTGTTGTTGGCACATATATTATCGCGCGATTTAACTCCAAGGAGTCGTCGCTCAAGTGTTCGACGAGATACGTCATATACACGCGATGCCGCGCGTACTGGCGCGATTTTTTTTGGACTTGATAGCTTGGACAGCAAGTTCAAGTCTGTAAATTTGAGCGATTTATCACGGTTTTTGGAGGCATGGTGGATGGTTGAAGAAGAGAGGTGGGAATTTTGGTTGGGGGTGGCGCGCTCGCTTGGGAGTTACGTTATAACGTGGTCCACAAGTGAGTTCCGCACATAAGAAAAGTTATGAGTATTCGCCAAGAAATAGGCGACTGGTAATACAGTGGTAACGGCACTGCGTATTCCGACATAAACAGAAGCCATAATTGGAGCCTAAATTCACGTGATGACACGTCAATAGCTGAACCAACACCCCCGCTTTCAAGGCCTCCGGAATCGCGGAGAGGTCTTCCAGATTATCCTCTCTGCGTGGTGCACAATGAGTGGTGTCGAACCACTTGCCATTTTTGGTGCTGTTGATCTCTGCTTAAAGTATTTCGTCAATTCAGAGCTGGGATTGAGGGCGAATTAATGCTTACCATTTTCTAGATATGGAGGAATTATCGTATCAAAGTATAAAGCCTTTCAGCTATCCGGAACCGAGATCGAAGAGCGAGCGTTGGCCATCGAAGCAGCATGGATGAGAATATCGCAACAGCTGGACTTTTTGAAGCGAGTTTGGGAATCTCTGGATAAAGCCTATCAAGAGCTCCAAGCACGTATCCTATCTGTTCTTGAAAGAAAACTCGCAGATTCTGTCAGGCAGATTAGCCGGCTTGAGATAAGTCGTCCCCGAAAAAGGCGCTGGAAAGTTTGATAGACGCAAGGCAATAAAGTATGTTTATCTGAAGGACACTCTCTTCCAGGCGGTACAGAATCTTCAAGAATGGCAAAAAGAGTTTGACACTACATGGTTCTTGATTCTACTGATGGCAGATTCTGCAATCGACTCAGAGCTGAAAAAACGCACAAGAAATGAGAAATTGTCGACTGCCAGACATATTCGAAGAGTCATAAAACCCGATTCCAGCCATCACGATGGGAATGACACAATTCTACCTCAGAAAGATTTCGAGTCCGCAGAAGTTTTTGGAATACCATTTTCTTCATTCAAGAAGATTAAAATCTCAAAAGGATTTACATTTATCTTGGATCCCTCAGAAGTTTCTGATAGTAGAGTTGCTTCGAAGCTTGCAACTTCTATACTAGCCAGAGATGTTCGAAACCTGGCCACCAAGCTACGGGAAGTTGATCCAAATGAATTTCACCTTCTAAAATGCCATGGCGTGGTCCCCAAAAATGAACCAGGTACCCAGCGCTTACTTGCGTACGACTTCATTTTCGATCTACCGCAAGGAGACTTTGAGCCCCGAAGTCTCCGGGGTCTTTTGTTATCGAAAATGAGGTACACTCTAGGTGAAAGAATTCGGCTTGCGCAGCAATTCGCCACCGCTATTCATTACATTCATATCCTTGATTTTGTGCACAAACGCGTTAGACCAGAGAATGTGATGATATTACCCACGAGAAATGATCCCTCATGTGTCGGCCAATTGTTTCTGCTCGGGTTTCAAGAATTTCGAGCAGCGGAAGGCAAGACATTACGACTAGGTCACTCTGATTGGTCGCACGAAATATACCAGCATCCTGATCGTCAGGGAGACAATATCAGCGAGGACTATTACATGCAACATGACATATATAGTCTTGGAGTTTGCCTTCTTGAGATTGGGCTTTGGGGCTCACTTATAAATCACGACGGGACCGGGAACACGTCGCTGATCCCTAGTGCGCAATCGAAAGGCTTGCTTCTCCAAAAACATTTCTTATCACTAGCAGAGCAGGAGCTACCGCTTTCAATGGGTGATAAATATGCAAAAGTTGTCGTCAATTGTTTATCTTCCATGAAGACATCAAATTTGCATGCCGATGGTCCAAGTGAATTCGAGGACGAGAATGGATTTCTGATTGGAATCAAGTTCATCGAGAAGGTATGCTATATTGGGATGTCCTTTTTTTCTTGTTTTAAGAGAGGCAAAACGGCTAAAAAAAAAAACACTATCTAGGTGCTTCTCCTATTAGGCGAAATATCAGTCTGAATCCATGGATATGTGGCAGGGCACGAGAGATAGTTGCGGAATCAGAGATACTCGCAGGATTGAATGTGTAGTTCAATGTGTCTCTGGCAAGAACTCTGCTCGATCCGAGTCATCAATTTCAAAGATCATAGTAAATTTTTCGGGTTCAAACTGACCTTCTTTATGATAATCGAGACAGCTATAACATCTCTAAAACCTAACATCTAGTCAAGTAGCCAACTACCATAACCAAGGCCCTTTCTGCCAGTAGTTTTGGTAGCTTCTTATCTTTTCTCCTCCTTTGAATTAATAACATATTTCATCACTGTCGCCTTAAAAATCCATGTTTTGAAAATAAAGCGCTCCCTCGAGCTAATCTTCGCTTATCTTCTGTTTGAATTCGAGTTAAAAATATTCACGGACTAAAGATGCACCGGCCTTACATGATCTTCACGTGAGCTGCAACGGAATTTATCCTTACTTGCCACTAGCATCGCATAAACGGTTTACCACCAGTCTCAAATAATGGCACGCCTATGCGATCCCATATCTTGTTCAAAGCTGGAGACCTACTTTCAACCCAGTGATCTCGAAGGGATAGAGACCGTCCACGTCCATCGGATGTCAGATGAAGCTCCAGGGTTGCGCGATATGACCCGATCCGAATATTGGCGGCGAACAAGGAAGATCGGGAGCGGCGGGTTTGCTAGCGTGTGGTTGGAAGAGTGCACCTTCAGTCAGGGGCTGGGAGGTCCTAGAGAAGGCAAGCTCAGAGCTATCAAGCAAATTGAGTTTGACAACCAGCTTCGGTCGACAAACTATAAGCATGAGCTTGAAATAATTGCCAAATTTTCGCATTTGAAGGTCAGTCCAAGGAGTAAGTTTCATTTTCAAGACTTTTCATGAGGCGAAAGTTTGAGGGCAATCCTAGGGGCTTTTTGTACGCCGCCACTGACGAATGCAGTATGAATCACATTTTGTCAAGTCGTTCGGATGGTATGAAACGTCTAAACACCTCTTCATTGCAATGGAATATTGCGAGCTAGGAGATTTATCGAGATATTTTCATCGAAACCCGCCACTCCCAGAGGATCATGCACAAGATATTGCGAGACAAATACTTTACGGTCTAGATATAATGCACGAAAATGGGATTGCCCACCGCGACTTGAAGCCAGAGGTCGGTAAATGCTCCGTACGTTAAGATAGCAATAATTAACGCAAGCTTTAGAACATATTCATCAAATCGTGTCCTCCAAAAACCTGGTGGATCAAGCTTGGAGATTTCGGCATTTCCAAGCGTGCAGAGGAACTTGCGCAATTACATACGTTCATAGGCACCAGTGCATACATGTCGCCCGAGATTCAATTTCGCAAGCCAACAAACATCTTCGCAAACGATATTTGGGCTCTTGGTGAGATTATCCACTACGCATTAACAAAGTCTCATGTCTTTCCCTCGCTCGAATCTCTCGCAAGCTACAAAACCCAGCAAGACTTTCCGACCAGCAAACTTGCAGAAGCTAGAATCAGTGAAGAGGGTATTCAATTCATTCGAAGAACCATGCATCCTGATCCTAGTATTCGAGAAACGGCGCCTTCGGCGAAGTCAATTGTTTGGATAAGCGCGACAATATTAGAAGCCCATACCTCTCGAGAAGGTACTTCTGAGCTTGCAGAATCCGCCTCATCGCCTATGTCATTCAGTCCAAATTCCGCCGGCCAATACATACCTTCGGCCTCACGTTATAGTCCAACTGAATCAGAATTCACTTCTGAGATATCAAGAGCACGGGATTGTGAAGAATATTCTCTCATCTTTACGGAGGGAGGCATCCACGCAGCATCGGAAATAGGAAATCTTCGAGCAATCAGAGCTTACCTGAATGCGGGACATGATGCCAATAGCCTAACTAGCGAAAGGAAAACGCCTTTGATGGTGGCCTCAGAAAATGGGCACCTAGAGATTGTTCATGCGCTTCTTGGGGCGGGAGCCGATTGTCAAGCAGCAGACAAATCAAGGTGGACTTCGCTCCATTTGGCGGCCAATAATGGACATGAGAAAATCGTTGCTCTGTTGCTTGCGGTAGGTGCGGCTGCTGACCCTATCAACTTGGATATACGTACGCCACTTTGGTACGCTTCGGAGAAGGGTCATGATGCTGTCCTGAAGCTCCTAATGAACACCGGCAAAGTAGACATGGATATCAGAGATAAGTTGGGGCAGTCGGCTCTGTGGTGCGCAGCATACAATGGGCATGCCAATATTGTCAAACTATTACTTGACTCAGATATGGTGGATGTTAATGCCAGAGGACTAGGAGATGGTAGGAACCAGACGCCAATATGGTGGGCTGCTCGCGAAGGCCATGATGCTGTCGTGGCACTTCTTCTTGGGAAGGAAGGAGTGGATGTCGATACTAGACTGGGAGATGATTGGAACGAGTCTCCGTTCTTTTGGGCAGTACGCAACGGGCACGAACGCATTGTCCAGAGGCTCATAGAGACCAGGAAGATTGAAATTGATCTTCGTAACAAGGACAAACGATCGCCGCTATTATGGGCATGTCGCAATGGTCACGAAAACATCGTCAAGCTTCTCCTGGATACAGGAAAAGTGGATCCCAATGTATATGACCAGTGGCGCGAAACGCCATTATTTTGGGCTGCACGAAATGCACACGATGGGATTGTCAGGGCCTTGCTGGCCACGAATAAAGTGGATGTGGATTCCAAAAATGCGTGCGGTAATCACGAGACGCCGCTATGGTGGGCTGCAAAGCAAGGGAATGACTCCACGCTCGAGATCCTGCTTGCTACAGGACTGGCAGATGTCAACACTCAACGTGGCAACGGCAAATTTGAGACGCCATTGTATTGGGCGGCGCGAAATGGACATACGAGTGTGGTCAAGCGTTTACTGGCTACGGGGAAAGTAAATCACCGTATTAAAACTGGCGATGGTTTCACACCTCTAATGGCGGCTGAGCAAAATGGGCATTATGAGATTGTTAAGCTAATTGCAAACTATTAGCTCTTCCCGAAGGCCGATGTTATCTGTGGCCAGTCCCGTATCTTGTGAGAGACACGTATGCATGGAAGCACAATTAACGTACAGCTCAGGACATTTAGTAGGATTCTCGTCTTTCTGGATCAGTTTTTTCTCATTAATTCTAATATAGACGTGATTTATTCAATAAGAGTAGTAAGTAGTGTCAGTCGAGTCGACTGCCTCTCACTAAGTTCTGCCGCCAATCACTGCCTAGACCCTAGCAGCTCTAGCTGTCTGGGCCCAACGCTGCGGCACGGGAAATAGTGTCCCAGACTTGCGGCCGTGAATTATGTTATCCTTTATGGTTTGCCCGAGCAGAAGATTAGCCACCAATAGATAATAACTAAGTATAGCTTTACTCCACGTGGCTGTCGGCCGAGTTTTGTCCCAGTTCCTATTAGCTAGATTATTCCAAAATGAGTTGTGGGAATATTCTCGGCACACTGTAAATTAAATAAAATTAAGATAATGCTTAGGCTCCTGCAATGCTTACGAAGTTTTCTGATTGAAATATATTAGAAATACAACTGGTTGTGGCTTCACCTTGTACCATTGTTTTGGCCCATTGGACTGGTCTATCCACCTCACCATCGCCACGAATGAAGCAAGAAAGACAGATAAAAATGAACATAAAATGGCAGGTATATTCAGGAAGCCAGCTATCTAAGGCCCTTAAGATGTTGCCTGACAGTGGCCAATATAAAAACTTGGTTGTCGCTAGTTCCTTGCCAAGACCAGCCTCTCTTGTGCTCTTTGCCCCGGACAGACACCATTCCTTCATCTCCAACGGCTTCAACACTACAAGACCCAGCGTTCCTACCTCTTTGCGGTGGTCGCCAATGTCGGCCCCGGCGGCGCCAGTCGCACCCTTCTCCGTGGCCTACCGCCAGCACCCTGAGAAATACAACGCAAGAGGATCAGGGACACAAGTGAAGCACGTGGTGACCGACACCCTTGCGCTGATTGCCATTCTCTCAGATCCTGCCAATTACGCCCCGCTTGAGGCGGAGAAGGCAATCGCAAAGGATTGGTATCGTCGCTCTCACGAGCCTCCTGTTAATGAGCGACCCTGTGTGACTGATCGCCCGCAGCCCCTTTGTGTACCTCCGAGCAAGCGTCAGGTGCGCGTAGAGCCCACTGCTAGAACTGCCATGGCAGGATGAGGGTAGTCCGCACGTTTCCCTTCACTGCGACGTGCGTACTACTGGCTTTGCTTTGGGCGATCACAGATATTGGACCCGCATCGGCGATGTCCAGTACCAGCCGTTGTCGACGTTATTTCGGGGCGACTGCAAAGGGTATTGTCTCATCGTGCTAGATATCTCTGATCTGAATAGCGGTGTTTAGTATGGCATTGCGGCGTTTAACATGCGCTATGTGGCCCAGCTTTCGTGGTACAGCGACACGGGAGGCTGGGATCCTGTCGAAGACCCTCCACCACCACCAACAACAATAACAACAAAACCAACAAATGGAAGAAGGCGAACACCTAAGGTCCCTTCAGGTAGTTGGTGGGCTGACCGACTTCCTACGGATCACCATGCCAGACACTGACATATCCACATGGGAGACGCGGCTGGAAGTGGTCGAGAGCGATGTATCTACCGCTTCATTCGAGACAACTCCATCCAGCATGTTGTCATAGACTCAAGTGTCTGTGAACACGTGGGTCAGACGGCTCATGGAGCGGAGCCAACAAGGGGAGGAAACGGACGAGCAAGACGAGGTCGTGGGGCAACAGCGGCTAGAGCAGGGCCTCTTGGAGGCACAAATCGAGGTGGAATAGTTCGAGACGGAAGAACCCTGCAGCAAAGGTTCGCGTTATGGTGGAGAGCTTGGCCCTTACTTTGCTCGGCCGGCTACGGTGATTGAATGAGCGACTATCCCTTTTAAGCCACATCTTGATATTGCCGAGTTGAAGTCTTCTGGTTATTTCCCAAGAAAGCGTTGCGGACGTGTAAACGTGCAAGAACTGTAAAATCAACTCAGTGGGGATGCCTTGGTCTTCGAATACGTGCAGTATATGTCTCGCACAAAAGAACCATTTCATATTACATTGATTTGAAATCCCTCCTATAAACAACCGGGTCTGCAAAATAGCAATGTAGTAGACAATATCATGTACAGAACATATATACTTATCTCCAACCCCCTTTCCCGCAGAGTGAACCGATCAATCAGCCAAACGGGATCTCCAACTTCTGAAAGCGTAACGACCCCATAAGGGACGACGAATCACAGTGCCCCGAACACGGGTTATCATCATCCAAGGCGTCCAGCTTACTTGCGGTATACTTCTTGTCCGCAACCTCCAGTTGGAAGCCACACTTCTCAAAGAATTCCGGTCCTTCATCGATAAAGGTCATGTCCGTCCCGCATTGATCGATGTATAAGTTAGCCTTAGGCGCCTCGCAAATGTCCGGGAAGGACCAAATCATGGCGTCGACGACGAAGATACCATTCCAAGTAGCATCTGGAGCAGGGCTAGCATATCGATGGCAGAAGGATAGGGGGAGACTCACGCGGGGTATAGGCACTATATGAGTTTATCGAGAGTTGCTGCGTGGGTGTAATCGTCCGACCAAAACACAAGTCTAAGGTTTCTTTAGGCGCTGACGTTTGCGTTGGGCAGGCTGTGGTTGTGGTGGATGAGGGGTGAAGATAAAGATGTGCAGTTGCAATTCTTCCTATCTGGGGTTTGAAGTATTGATTTTATGGCCCGATCAGAATGTTGGGGAGGGCATTCACTCATGCTCTGTGTATGCATTCTCGTCATCGAATACAATGTCGTGTGGAGGATCTAACTATTTGGCAGCTAAACCTTTTTTATTGTGACTCTGTATGTATTTTTATTAGCCGACGAGGCTACGTCAATATGAGTCTTGATGCTTCTTCCGGCGGTAAGACCGGACCATACTACCCGCGGAATGGATAGACGTGGGGGAATGCCTCATTTTGAGCGAGGGCTGAAAGCAAAAGACAGTGTAATAAGTCTGGTTCAGGCAGAAACAGTCAAAAAGTGAACATAGGGCAACTTGAATGCAAATAGATTGATGCGGCTACTCTATATACTTCTAATTGCTGCCAAAGACCTTAATCACGCTGCTGCTACTCTCCTTCTCCAGACCAGCTCGTTTAGCAAGGAAGAGCACATTCAGCGCAGAGTTTCCAAGGTACAATGGACAGTGCAAATCCCGCGCCTTCTGCACGGCCTTCTCCAAGCGCGCGATAGCATCGCTGATCGTGGGTGACCCGGCCTTCTCGCCGATACGTCCTTCAATCATCTCCAGCCCCTTAGTCACGAATTGCCGGCTGGATCCTGCGGCATCACTGACAAGCGTGAAGAATTGCTTGAGGTCGACTTTGAGGTGCCGCGCAAATGCCACGGCCTCGGCGGCCGCGACCAGGTTCGTTACTTCCATCATGTCCAATACTAGTTGGAGGGCTTCGGCTGTTTCGGTCGCAGACCGGGTGTCGGAGACGCTCAGGACAGGCTTGTTATAGTAGTGGCGGACCATAGAGGCATCGTCGACGGTGGCGTTGCCTTGCAGAACGGCGGAGAGGTAGACCTGCTCGGCCGAGGTGCAGAGTGGGAGGGGAAATTGGTTTTGTCGGGCGGAGGAAGTGATGATGCCCTACAAGAGTAAGAATTAGCAAATCGCCTTCTGTGAAGAAGTTCGAAAAAGCTTTGGGCACGACTTACGACATCTTTCAGGATAATTGAGATCGCACTAGCTCCCGGGTGCCAGTCCTCTTCCAACAAACGTTGCAATCGATTCTCGTGCATCCATGACCATGCATCTGAAGCCTTAATAGCTTCCGCGGCCTTGGTCGCATCAAGGCCAAGCTGAGCTGCAAAGCCCATTGCCTCGCTACCACCAAGAATATGGATTCCCGCAAGCACCTGGTGCACCATCTTCATGTTGCTTCCGGCGCCGACGCCCCCGGGAACAAGATAGAGCTTGTTCGAGTCCGACATGGCCTCCAGCAAGAACCGGCCGCTTTTTAGTGCCGTGTCAGACGCACCAGCCATGATTGAGAGGGTTCCCTGTGCAGCACGAATTGCGCCGCCAGAGACCGGGCGTCGATGAAGAGGATGTCTCCACGGCCAATGGATTGCAGCTCCGCGGCAACGGACTGGGCGTATGAAGCCGGGACCGTGGAAGTGAGGATCAAGGTCGCGTTATTCGGTAAGGCTATTATCCCGATTGCCTGTTAGCGTGTTCTGCGTCGTAAATGGTAGATTCTCTAGCAACGCAAGTACACACCCGATACTATACCGGCCTCGCCGAAAAGAGCTGATTGCGCCTGGGCCGCCGTTGCCACCATGCAAACATAGTATTGCTTTCCACTGGCGGACTCCTGTAGCGAGGAAGCTGGGATACCACCGGCAGCTTTGAAACGTTCGACCGACGCAGGAATACATCGAAGCCGTGCACGGGGTATCCTTGCTTGACGAGCTGGGTGGCCATGCCGAAGCCCATGGCTCCGAGGCCGACGAAGCCGATAGCTGGCTTAGACATGATGGCTTCTGAAATAGAATGTTGAATGCTGAAAGGTTTGGAAGATCAATTGAAAGGACTCGACGCGCCCTTTAAACAACGTGGGGGTGAGGGGCGTCACCATCTGGGGGAAATACCCGAAGGGTGGGATGATCGGGGCAACTCCGATGCTGTTTACTCCCGAATCGTCCAAGAATGGGAGTCGGATGAATCGCCGGGTAAATTAAGAAAAGCATGCATTTGTAGCTAAAAGGTCAAATCGATAAACCAACGCAGTCTATGTGAGATAACTATAATGAAAAATATCAGAGCCTAGCAAATCCAGCAAATCCAGCAACCCATTCTCTAGCTGTACCTAGACCATGTCTGATCTTTTCCAGCGCACTAACCATCCGGCCCGCAGGTTAAACCGAGATTATGTTCAGCAAAGAGCTGTGACTAAGTAAGCCGACAGTAATAGCTGAGGGTATAATGACTTCCCTCGGTGGAGGTCAAAGCAGAAGTTCTGTGGCTCGTAGACACCGATGAGGATAAGCCATCTTGACTAGATCCATACTCGCAGCCTGCGGAGTAACCAGGTTGGCCCATAACATGGCCGGTGATAGTATCTGCAGGGGCGTTGATAGTATATGCAGGGGTGTTCCAGTCCTGCCCTTGAGGGCGAGCATATCCATCCTCATCTGAGCTGGGCCATTCATCGTCGGTCTCAGATTCGCTTGGGGATTCTGAAGAACAGGTGGTGTAGCCACACTCAGTTGAAGACTCAGACGGGGTGTCCAGGTGGCCAGGAGACTCGGTCGAGTAATCAGCAGAGTCGGTCGAATAGCCACTCGAAGCAGAAGAGTCGGGTTCCTCCCGCGAGAAACGACGGGGAAATCCTACTATTTGGCCCTCATTGGATGAAAGTCCAGTCGAGTAGGGCAGCCTGCTTCCAAGATAATCAGCCGAGTCATACTGATTCTGCTCACATTGACCGCGAGGATGGAGTCCATGATGGCAATGCCGCTCAATTCTCGAGTGGGCGCAAGCACCCGCGTTGCTAGCGGACATGTCGGGGCATCTGGGGGCAGAAATCGATGATCCTTTCTAACAGATGACCACACTCGTCACAAGTTGTGAAATGGATGATGCACATTTTCAAGTTAGCGTTGCTGTTGACGCGTTGTTGTTGAAGCTTGTTGTCGCTGGTGGTGAATAATTTTTACGTGGCAATGGATGGCCATTTTATGCACTGCTCGTAAGAAAAAGAACGGCCGGGAGAGACAGCGTCAGTAGAAGAAGTCCCAAGCCTCCAGTGCCATTGTTTGCATGTTTAATGCTGACACAAAGAGTATGCGAAGGGTTTTGAGAATCTCATTTTGGTTTTCCTTTGTCTGGCGAGAGCCGAGGCATTGCAGTCATTGAGCCCCATGGTAAGCCGTTGGAAGATGTAAGACATTGTAGTTTAGGACTTACGCTCGGATTGTACGGTTGAACGGGCATCGCTGTTCTTCAGCTTGAATAAAGAGCGGATTCTGGGCATTGGCGGATGAGCTTCAATAGTGCCGTTTTGTTGCATGATCCACTATGTTTTGAGATAAGTAGGTTGAAGACATTCTAGCAAGCTATGACTATCATGACCGTAGACCGACGGATACCAGACGGATCATCACTGAGCCGTGGTGGTGGCCTAAAAGAAACGGAGGAGACTGATATAACAGGTGAGCTGCTGTACTGGACTTGAAGTCATACTAGGAGCACCTCGTCATCCACCGTTGAGATTTCATCCCTACTAGGAGAGCATATAGCCTTTATTATGGCAAGGTTATGCGTGCAGACTGTTATACCAATCGAGAACTTCACTCAAAAGAAGTATGGAATATGACTGCCCTTGTTCTTACCATACCATTCATGACAGAAACTCCAAAATCCACGTCAAGTTCTCATGCTTACGCTGCTTCAGGCAATGGGGGAGTATTCGTGAATAAATATCGTAAATGATGGGCTGGCAATTCCACCCTCCTTTCATGATTCTGCGCTCGAGTCCAATTACCAACCGTACATAGCAAAAGATGGTATCACGCCAAAAACGTCCAAACCAAGGCACCAGAACGCATACCTGGCGTAAATCGAAGAAAATAGGATATATCAAACATAAGGATCATTGTGTTGGTGGCGGTGGTGGACGCATCTCCCGGCTGGGGTCTGGCGGCTGTACTTGAGTCTGGAAGATCTGAATGCGTTTACTGTTGTGCCAAGTTGCGAGTTTCACATGGCACCGCCCACACAGATGATCCACGTCCTTGAGAGAATCCATCATATACGGAATACACCCTAAACAGCAGAGGAAACAGGCGATACCGGCCCAGGCACTAGGTGGAAAGTCAGATTCGACATCCCTTCAATATACGTCTTCTGATCTCTCGATCATCCGTTCAGCAGTGAGCAAAACTTACTGGGCTGTGTTTCCTGAAACTCCCTCTATCTTCGTCATTTCCCGATATCCACAGCTGGGACAATCCACTGGCGCCGGTGCGGATTGTAGCGAGTGCAAAGGCACCGCAGTCGCATATCCAGTCGGCTGCCCGAAAGGTGTAACATAGGGCTGAGGACCTCCATTAAGAAATTCGATCGGTTGCCCAGGGTAGGCTTTTACGTCTGAAGGAGACGTAGAGGGTAGTGTGACTGGTGTGCGTCCACCCCGAGTTGGCCCGGGTATCCCTTTAAGGGCTCTGGAGCCACGGGTCGGTCGTTCGGGTGGACGACTTGTCCATACAACGGTGCGGGCATCATGTTCGAGCACTCTGTTGGCGCGGCGGACCATGTGCTTACGCGATTGTCGGTTGACATTGGGCTAATGGGGTGTGTGGGGGGAGCAGCAGTTTCTAATGCGACGGGAATGAGGCCTGGGGGTGGGACGCGATGTTAGTGTGTGGTCGCAAGATTCCTGGATTGAAGTTTACCTTCGTCAGCTCTGTTCTCCATGGTGGCGGTCGGCCGCTTATATTAAGCCAAAGAATGATTCAAAATCCAATGCCAAATACGAAAGACGAAGTGCTAAAGAAAGACACGGGGCCTGCCCTTCTCAAAAGCCCTTGGCGGGATAAGTGCTTATATAGCTGGGGCCGAATGGCCGACGATGAACCCCAAACCTACAAATAGCACAGATAGCAAGGTCTGATCGGATCGCCCAGATCGTCCAGTAGGACTGGCAGAACGGCTGCCCTGAAAAGCACGCGGAACTCGTGGCAGGAGTCCTCGGTTTGGTTAAGATTGGCCCCCTTCATGCACATTCGCCTTGGTGCATCTCGAATACTACAAATGGCGATTTCGCCCCCATAACATTGGCCAACTTGGCCCGCGCCACGACGCTAAGTGCGCCAGGCTCTTCTTGGACCCTTTCTGAAACAGTATTCTTATTGCCGTCCGGGCTCTCTCTTCCTTCTAGAAGGGACGTGGCAATGGTAAGATCGCGGTTGCACTGTTCCCATCTCAGCATTATTTCTTTTGCACAGATTCGATGTCACCTGGCAACCCTTGGTTGAATTGTGACTACCAGAGGTTTCCCGACTGACGCTGTTGAACGGTCTATTCCGTTGAGGTGTGTCGTCGGAGCTTAGCTTCGTTCTATGCATCCAAATATAGCCCAAAAAACATAAAAGCCCGACAAATCAATTGCGTGCGAAGACCCCCGGGGGACCCATACGCCATCCAGACTTTAGCCCCGAATAAGTGGGGCTTAACATCAAGCCAATTAATATCTGGGCTAGCGCATCAACCCCCAATTCACAGCCAATACGCTGTGGCTCTGAGTGCCGAGGTCTTGTTTTCACTCATGTTTTAGCGTGGCCTATCACACGTTAAGTCTTGGACATATGTTCTACATAGCAGTCTCGCCAGGGTTGCAGTGACCCAAACACCCTATCCGGCGCCCAGCACAAGGATTTCCTTTCAGACACGCGTACCCAGTACTGGGTGCCTGAATGATCTGACTTGCAGGTGCTTGTTCCTTATGTATCTTGCTATAGTCGATCTGAGCGCCCAGGAATTGGAGAACAAGTCTATGCAAGCTAGGGCGTAAGGCAACCACAAGACTGATCTTAGGTGGAGAGAACTGAACTAGCTCCCGTCGGACTTACAGCAGCTTCCTATCTTAAGTTTACCAGTAATCTGCAAGTGCTGTTGGAAGGTTAAGAAATGCTTACCTTTTGGCTTCCTTGTGCTTGCGGCCAGATCACATGTTCTGCTACTATGCAAAGCACCGACGGAGGGGCCAGTCAGAACTTGTTCCGCAAGATGAATTGTTATCTTCATTAGACCAACCTCTCCTGTAAACCCGCCAAGTGCATTATCTCCAGTGGAAATAGTCCGGATTTACCTGATGCAGCCGGCTCCGCACGATCTTCCGGCTTCCGAGCCCCACCATGACGAACATGAGGAACGTTGGAGACAACCTGGAATACACGTTGATCAGTCGTTTCACCTTTATATAAGGAAAGACTGTCCTCGTCCGTTTTCCCATCCCTAAACAATGCTCAGAATGGCAAAGTCGATCCCCTCCACAATCAAACTTGCCAGCGGTTATGAGATCCCGCGCCTAGGCTTTGGTGTAAGCACACTTCTAATACCAAATCTACATGCTCGTGACTAACTATTGCATCAAAGGTCTATCAAACGTGTGTAACTCTTGCCTGCTGCAAGTCAGCTCTCGGGAACTCTTAGCTGACCACCATACAGACCCCCAGAAGATGCGGAAAGATGCTGCCTCGAGGCATTCAAGGCCGGATATCGCCATGTACGCCACCATGTTCCCTAAATTTGCTAGTAGGAAACTAATACAGAGTTTAGATCGACTCAGCGTCAGGATACAAAAATGAAGCTGGCTGCGGCAGTGCCATCCTCAAATCCGGCCTCCCCCGCAGCGAGATTTTCTTCACGTCCAAAGTCCTAAAAATCAACTACAACGACGCCAAAGCTACCGTCGACAAAACCCTTTCCGAGACAAAACTCGACTATATCGACCTCATGCTCCTCCATCAGCCCTATGGTGGGTCTGAAGGCCGTAAAGGCGCTTGGAAAGCCGTAAGCCCACCTCCTTCCCCATCCCCCATCCACCCTACAATGAACTCACCGGCCCTAGCTCGTCGAGGCCGTTGAGGCCGGGAAAGTCCGCTCCATCGGCGTGAGCAACTATGGCGTCCACCACCTTAACGAACTAGAGCAGCATATGTGCGAGCTCGAGGCCGAGCGCGGGCAGGGGAAAGGCGGCGTTTTAAGCATCAACCAAGTGGAGGTGCACCCGTGGCTTGCTCGCCGGGACATCGTTGACTGGTGCCATGCGCGGGGCGTCTTCGTCGAGGCCTACTGTCCGATTGTGCGTGGAGCGCGCTTCGATGAGCCGGTTCTTCAGAAGCTGGCGAAGAAGTACGGGAAGGAGCCGGCGCAGGTTCTTATCGCTGGAGTATCGATAAGGGGCATATCCCGCTGCTAAGAGTGTGACGTCGTCGCGAATTATCTCGAATGCTCAGGTCTATGATTTTGCGCTTACGGAGGAAGAAGTGCAGGAACTGGAGACGGATGAGTATAGTCCTGTTGCGTGGGATCCGACTGTTGCGAAGTTGGAGGAGTGAACGAACGTCATTTGAAGTGTGGCTGTTAAGACAACGGTACTCGATTGTGGAAGGAAACAACAAGTGCAATTCATGTGACAGGTCAGTGTATCTTGGGATCCGGAGAATAAAGAATAAAACAGCCTGGCATAAGCCAATGAACATATCTGAAAGATTTCTCGTTCTAAGACCCGTGCACGGCCTTGCTCGTTCAATGCTACTTCTGAGGGAAACTCTTGAAACGCTGTGCATCTCGCTTGCCATGGCGAGCGTGATCGTATGACTCGAATGGGTGACCCCAGAAGAACCTCGCGCTTTTATGGCCACCTCCCTGAGCCGCACGCCGAAGCTCTGCTTCGCGCGCGCGCACCTTTTTTTGGTAGTTTTTGGCCCCTCGCTTCTTTGCCTTCTTTGCGGCAACCTGCTCGGCAGTTTGACCAGTCAATTTTTGTCTGAGCCAGTCCATTATACTGGGCATATTGATTTCATTGCATAGGTTTGGCTGGGTATAGCTTGAGCGATAGCGATCGGAGGTCAAAATTATGGACGAAGGATGGAATTAATCAACGCCAGCTGGCCGGTGGCTTTCATTAGCTTTGCACGCCGGGAGTTTCTCCGGGATACTCGTACATACTAGAATTTTGACGTGTTTTGTCAGTGGCCAGAGGGATTTCAAGATCATTTGGCAAATTATAGGGGCGGGACGGCTTACACGAATACGGCCCCCACGTTCAGGCGACCAAGCGGAATAGGTCATGTTGAATAGCTTACGATCTAGTTTATGTTTCGTTTGAACTGACAAAATAATTCTAGGGCCACATTTAGAACAGTCGATTCAAATGCGTTCTCCAGTGTTGATCGCATAAATACTCAGGCTTGTGTCTGCAGGAATGGAGTCCTTGCAAGCCGCCCGGCAGTCACTTACTGCTCGTATCCAGAGGCTACTCCACCTCGAACCCGACCTTGGGTGTAAACAAAACCTTGTGGCTATTTAAAACATTGCTAGCTTGGCCCTGATCCTATGGAACAGTAGATCTAGGATAAAATCCGGGTACGCAGCGTAAAACATGAACCGAAAAATGAAACCGAAAGAAAAAAAAAAGAACGAGGGACGACCGTGGTTCGAACACGGGTCCTTAAGATCTTCAATGCGTGGTGTTTCACACACATATTGCAATCTCACGCGCTACCACTGTGCCACCGCCCCATGATTGAGTTTTCTGCCGGGTCTTGGCTTCTTGAATCAATGTTCTATAGAGGCCGTTAGATGTCAACATTTGGATCAAAAATCTCGATGGGGAAGAAAGAGTGTAGGGCTAGTGTGGTAAATCGTTCATGCCAACTCGAAACTGGATTCAAAATAGCTAGACTTCCTAGACAAAAAGAGCTACCGGCTGCCCGTATAATTTGAAAAGCATACCGATTAGTTGTCCATCTGTCACGGATTCCAGCTAGAGGTGTGCTATATCAGGCTTGCCTAGGCATATCCGCAAGTCATGTGCGGATATAGTGCCTTTTGGCTTAGTTGGTGGGATATTAGCTCAGGGATACCTCCGGAGTACGCCGTGAGGGGGGTTAATTGATAATCGTATCCTATGTAAAGTCAGGTGGCTTCGGTTCTGTGTCAAAGATATTCCAGCTCTGCCCGATAATCATGAAAACATTCTTCTAATTGAATATGCTCTTATATCCATCATCACGTTCATGAACAAAACTCGTATACAGATGTACACGCAAGACTTTTCTCTCTTTATCCAGATGCCGCTACTATTTCCCGGCTCTCCCGTTTAAGACGACGATCACGAGTCTCGGCCGACTCTGGAAGATATCGCACTACAATAGCAAATCCGCCAGCAATCAAAGACATCAAGACCCAGATAGCATAGCCTCTCAGGAACTGAGTCCTTGCCCCGAGAGCAAACAGAGTAGTGAAAAGGGCAGGAATGAAAGCCCTCACAACACAACTCCCGGTCAAAGCCAGTGCATTCAGCGTCCCTAGCACCCGCGGCGAAGGTGAAATATTGTTCAAGGAAAGCTGAATAGCCGTGAAGCTCATCGCCACACCGCTGCCGAGTGCTAGTGCGATAGGAGCAAAGACCCAGAATGCCGTGGTGGACACTTCGGTGTTAATACGCAATAGGGCACTCGCGGCAGGGTTGCACATGAAGAAGATTGGGTAGGCGATTCCACATATCCGCATGACGCCATCTGAGCCGACTCGCCGTGCCAGGACAGGGAAGATCAACAGCAGCCACGAAGCTTGTGCGAAACCGTTGAGGCCCATCATGAGGGAAATCTGCCGGGCACTGAAGCCAAACCCCCCGAGCTTTGGAGGGATGTACCAGAACACGGGGATGATAGCCGTGAAAGCGTTTGCAAGGACCATGGTGTGGAGGTAGACGTACAGCACGATAGCTACGCCGGGTGACTTTAAAAGCTCCGTTGTGGAAAGATTGACGCTCTTGACTGGGGTATCCGATGCAGACTCTTCGTTGCTTTCGGCTGTCGTCTCCGGTTCCTTCACCAGCGTCTCACGGACAAAGAGGGCTGTGAAAACCGCGGCTGTGGCCGATATAAGGGCAATCACCAGGCTTGAAAGCGCGTATGGGAAGCGCAGGAAGAGTTCAACATTTCCGAAGGTATCTGGGTACTGGTGTGCCGGGTCTGCAAGGGCGCCTCCGATGAGCGGCCCGAGGAAGATTCCCAGGTTTCCGGCGAAGGCGAACCAGCTGAATGCTCGGGCCTGGGTCTTGGGAGTGCTGTGCTCGGCTATCATCGTCCGGACCGTGACGATGGTTCCTGCAAAGACGCCGGCCAGACATCGGAACAATATCATTTGCGGGATGGTTTTAGCGAAGCCGAAAAGGCCTGTGGCGACCGTCACACCGAACAACGAAAATGCGAGCACTGGTTTGCGTCCGATTCGGTCAGATGCCCGACCCAGAAAATCATGACAATGGCTTGGGTCAAGGAAACAGAGACTCGATAAGTCCGCTGTAAAAGCCGATATCTGAGTCAGGGACGCCGGCATTATCCTTGACCATCTGACTGATGTAAGGGAAGATGGAGAAAAAAAGCCAGAGGCTCGACACCGCGGGCATAGCAGAGAAGTAAGATCTGGATCTTGTCTAGCGGCTTTCCATCGGTCTGGCTAGAGTCACCTTCGGACGAGCCATTGGGGTGATCTGCTGTTCGTAAATCACCGTTCGTAGCCGTGCCGGACCTTAGGAGGGCGGTCGACTCATCCACGGGACTGGGGCCATGCGCACTGCTTGGCTCCTCAGAGGCGACCATGACTTGAAACTTGAAGATTGACTGTGCAAACCCAAATGGCACCTGTCATATGTGAAGAAAAGAAAGGTCGAACCCCTCAGGTGGTATAATAAGCGTTGATATTGTCGAATCGGCGGAAGGCGGTCAAACTTTGCTTACGGAGTTCAAAGCCGGACTCGAGGTCTCTTGCTTTGCGGTTGTGGACGGCTTTTATCTCCTTATCTGGAGAGCCCATGCACATGGCTGTACTGCGTAATCGACTGCAGCCTTGGAGGAATTCCAAGATGACCGGACTCCTCATGTACAGCCCTTCTCGTGGAGCCAGGTCCTGATCCGTGCTGACTTGGCCGTGAGACCATCGCTGATTAGTAGGTTAGTACCTGAGCTGGAACGGGGCGCTATATCACGCTCTACGCAGTCCTAATTGTGCAAATAAGTGGCACTGACCATTTCCGTAAGTGAGAGGTTGAAAGGCGTCCCTGGTCATAGTCCTCGGAGTTCGGGACTTCCTCGTCCCTGGCCCTGCATTGGAATGGGTCGGCAATTTCGGGGGATCTTACTCCATAGAGAGCGGGGTTGGTAGATCCTATTCAGGAACCAGTTGGCGGCATTCATGCTCCTCGAGCATGTCGAATTGCAATCATTCTCAGAATGCGCGTAAGAGCCAATGTCCTTTCCATTCTTTTTGGTCAAGCGGTGCCTAAGTAAAATAGAACATCATCGATAACCTCGCAGCACACGGTCTTGAAATCATGCGATATTGTCTCGAGATATCTTCGTTGCAGGGTAGCCAGCTTTGGCCCCCACCGAAATCTGGTCTATTAGTAGCGTCGCAGGGGAATCGCCTCCTCCACCTGGGGGGTATTCCATGTGTGAGAGGCTGAGAGTATCCCCGCAGATCTCTACTACATTAGTGTAAACGGGTGGCCTACTTTCTTTTATTGCCTTGGCATCCGCCATTCAAGTATCTGACCATTGCCGTAGAGATCCTAGACTTGAAGCAACCATGCATCAACCTAGAATGGTCGCAGGCTTGGCCCTGCTTACGACTGCGGCTGCTGAGGATCTAACGCAGCATGTTGATCCATTGTGAGTTTGCCATTGAGCGACCTCTTCGGGTGACCGGGTGATCATTTACTGACATGTGCGTAGCATGGGCACCGAGGGTGGTGGCAACAACTTCCCCGGAGCAGCGAGGCCTTTTGGTATGGTCAAGATTGGCCCGGATCTCTTCGATTCGAAGTCAGACGCGTACTCGGGCTATCTGCCCCAAGGAAACTTCTCTGGGTTCAGTCTGATGCACGAGCAAGGTACCGGCGGAGCACCCAAGTACGGTACCGTCTCCCAGTTGCCCCTGATTGGCGATGTCAGTGACCCCTTGTCCAATATCACCGTGCCTCGCAGCGGGACGGACGAGGCTTCTGTGGGCTATTATAAAGCTACAACGGGAGAGGGGGTCACAGTAGAGCTCAGTGCGTCCTCTCGGGCTGGGATTTTCCAATATACCTTCCCCAATGCCTCTTCAAATAATGTGCTGGTGGATGTTTCTCATGTCTTGCCATCTTTCCGTGGCCAGGGCCTCGGCCAGGGGTATGAAGGTGGAAATATCACTGTTTTCGGCGACGGGCATTATGAAGGCGCTGGTGTGTATAACAACGGATGGAACGAGGCACCGGACTGGACTCTCTACTTTTGTAAGTGCTTCCTGAGCGTTGGACGAGTCCAGTCTCATATTTTCTAGGCGGTTATTTCGAGTCGTCCGCGACTAGCAACAAAACCTATACAGCGACTGGTTCTTCTAAGAGTACCGAGGACCCCAGCGGCGCTGCCTCGGCTTCGTCTGGTTCCACCCGTGTCGGTGCTGTCTTTGCATTCAGTGAGAGCACTGTTGTCTCTCGTGTGGGTATTTCATGGATCTCCACGCAGCAAGCCTGCGACAATGCTCAACGGTGAGATCCCAGCAAAGACCTCCTTTTCATCGGTTGTGAGCGACGCTGTCTCGGAATGGAACACAAAGGTTCTATCAAAGATCACGACAGACAATACGAATGCCACCAGTTTGAGTCTCCTGTACTCATCTCTTTACTTTATGCATTTAATCCCAACCAACCAAACCGGAGAAAACCCCGGGTGGTCGTCATCTGAACCATACTATCAAGACATTTTCACCTTCTGGGTAAGTCCGTTGAAGTGAGCCTCATAATACGAACCTCCTGACTCCTCCATCGCAGGATCTTTTCCGCTGCGGCACCTCGTTGATGCAGGTGCTCCAGCCTGCCTCATACGAAGAACAGATCCGGTCACTTATCGACATCTACCGACACGACGGCTATCTGCCTGACGCCCGCTCATCTAACTACAATGGCCGCACCCAAGGGGGCTCCAATGCCGACAACGTGCTCGCCGATGCATACGTCAAGGGCGTCCGCGGTGCCGTCAACTGGGACGACGGATATAAGGCCATGGTCCAGGATGCCGAAGTCACGCCACCAAATGACCCCGTCGACCCGATGGCACCAGACTCGTCGACTCACGACGGGCGTAGCGCGCTCCCCGACTGGATCCAGTACGGCTACATCACTCCTACGTTCAGCCGGGCGGCTAGTCGGGCAGTTGAATATGCCGCGAACGATTTTGCCCTGTATCAGGTTGCCTCGGGGCTAGGCAAAGACGACGATGCGCAGAAGTATCTCAATCGCTCGCGTAACTGGCGGAATCACTGGAACCCGGCCAAGACTTCGCTTGGGTTCTCGGGCTTCGTCGTGCCGCGCGATACCTCGGGGTTTATCGACTATGATGTTTTGAACGCTGGTGGCTACTGGACTGATCCTTTCTATGAGGGAAGCTCATGGGGCTATTCTTTTGCCGATGTTCACGATATGAAGCATATGATCGAGCTGATGAATGGCACTGATACCGTGGTCAGCCGGTTGAACATCATGTTTGTGGATGGGGCCAAGGGGTCTAGCGGGACTATTTTCGATCCAACCAACGAGCCGTGAGTCTTCCGTCTTCCGTGATTCTCTATGATCCGTAATCGCTGACGGATTTTCCCAAGGATGTTCAACATCCCTTATCTGTACAACTACCTAGGCCGGCAAGACCTCTCTGTCGAGCGATCCCGCCAAGTCGCCAAGGCCGATTATACCACTGGAGTGACCGGGCTGCCTGGAAACAGCGATGCAGGGGCAATGCAGACTTGGCTCCTCTGGAACATGATCGGTCTGTATCCCATTACGGGACAGACCACCTTTCTGATTCATTCGCCCTGGTTCTCGTCCATGACCATCGATTTGGGCGATTCCAAGACCTTGAAGATCACATCGACCGGTGGAGATGGGAATGGCGACAGTAACATTCAGGTCCAAAGCCTCAAGGTCAACGGCAAGACGTGGACGAAGAGTTGGTTGACCTGGGACGATGTATTTGCGCAGGGTGGCACACTGGAATTTGAGTTGGGACCGACCGCGAAAAATTGGACCTCTGGCGAACTGCCTCCGAGTCCTGCGTCGTAGGCTGGAGACTAAATTCCACTGTACATTATTTTAGAAGTGGTTGGGGTTCTTGTGTATACATTACGCCTGTATAGTAAACCGCCCCCCCGGAGACGTCATACTTTACAAACTTGGACTATTCCTGCCATTATTCCAGCTCCACATCAAGGTTAAATTTTCCTACGAAAACATTGCCGTAGAAAAATAAAACTATCTTCAAGCTAGAAAAGTCAAACGGGAAAAAAAATCGATCCTTCCAGGGCTGTGTTGCCCCTTTTTCAACGTCACACTTCGCCTGGAACGGCGCAGGTCCAAGCTCTGCATCCGGCGAGAAGTTCCATGGAAAGAGCTCCGTTTATCAGATCATTCTTTTTGTGTAATCCCTAGCCTATCGAGAATGAAAGAAGGGTCTGCCTTCAAAACAAGATAGTTTGTTTGAGCTAATTTAATCCAGCCATGTCCTTTAAGAAAAAAAAAAACCACCAGAAAGTTGGAAAGTGGGCAGATCCAGAACATCGCGGGGCCCGAGCTCTCCACATCTCCACCCGCAATCGCAGCTGCGGCAGCCAATCACCCCAGCTGGGGAATACTCGTACCCTGAGAGGGGTTGATGCGACCTCCCCTCTTTTCTTCTCTTCTTCATCTCTCAAAATGTCCGCAGCTGTGATCCCCGACGGAACAGGTATCGTCACTTCCCCCCGCTTTGGAGAGCGCTCTCAATTAATGCGCCCCAGGTGTCCTCACAATCGATCCGTGGCTGGAACCACACAAGGATGTGCTGAAGCAGCGGTACAGCTTGGTGCAGAAATGGGCGTCCGATATCGAACGGTCTGAGGGTGGACTGGAGAAGTTTAGCAGGGTAGGCCTCGATGACTGTCCGCCTTGGCGCAGTTCCAATCGTCGCAAGCTTCCAAAGAGAACCTATCGTTAACGATCTCTTCTCATCTCTCAGGGTTACGAAACCTTCGGTCTGCATGCGCTTCCAAATGGTGATATCACATACCGCGAGTGGGCACCTAACGCGGTGCAAGCGTCGCTGGTCGGCGATTTCAGTACGTCCCCCGCTGTCGGACTGCTAGGAACTGCAATACTGAGACTTTGCAGACAACTGGGACGTCAATGCCAACACAATGACCAAGAATAACTTCGGGGTTTGGGACGTGACGGTGCCGGCCAACGGCGGCACCCCAGCCATTCCCCATGACAGCAAGATTAAGGCAAGTCGTGGAACCAAAGAGAGTAAATCAAGAAGGCCAGAAATACTAACATAGGGGGGCTCTTGTTAAGATCACCATGGTTCTGCCCAGCGGAGAGCGTATCTACCGTGTCCCTGCGTGGATCAAGCGCGTCGTTCAAGACCTCAGCGTCTCGCCTGCATACGACGCGGTGTTCTGGAACCCTCCTGCGAGCGACCGCTACAGCTTCAAGAACGCGCGGCCCAAGAAGCCCGAGAGCCTTCGTATCTACGAGGCCCACGTGGGTATCTCGTCCCCCGAGACCCGCGTGGCAACCTACAAGGAGTTCACCAAGAACATGCTTCCCCGCATTCAGTATCTGGGCTACAATGCTATTCAGCTGATGGCCATCATGGAGCATGCGTACTACGCCAGCTTCGGATACCAGATTAATAACTTTTTCGCTGCGAGTAGTCGCTATGGATCACCAGAGGACTTGAAGGAACTGATTGACACTGCGCATGGTCTAGGCTTGGTGGTTCTGCTTGATGTTGTGCACAGCCACGCGTCGAAGAATGTACTTGACGGACTTAATGAATTCGATGGCACGGATCACCTTTACTTCCATGGTGGTGCCAAGGGCCGTCACGAGCTGTGGGACAGTCGGTTGTTCAACTACGGTAACCATGAAGTGCTGCGCTTCCTCTTGAGTAACCTGCGGTTCTGGATGGAGGAGTACCAGTTCGATGGATTCCGGTTTGACGGTGTCACCAGTATGCTCTATAAGCACCATGGAATCGGGACGTATGTGGAACCCCCTTTCTCATAGCCAAAGTCGTTGATTGCTGATAATCTGCAGGGGTTTTTCTGGTGGCTACCATGAGTATTTCGGCCCGGGGGTGGATGAAGAGGGTGTGACGTACCTTACCCTCGCCAACGAAATGCTGCACAGCCTCTACCCCGAGGTTATCACCGTCGCTGAAGATGTCTCGGGCATGCCAGCGTTATGCCTTCCACATGCTCTAGGTGGCGTCGGCTTTGACTACCGTCTCGCCATGGCTATCCCGGATATGTACATCAAGCTTCTCAAAGAGAAGTCCGACGACGAGTGGGACATGGGGAATCTGGCACACACATTGACAAACCGTCGCCATGCCGAGAAGACTATTGCCTACGCCGAGAGCCACGACCAAGCGTAAGTGATATAAAACCCAAAATCAAACCTTGGAGTCTGCAAGACTAACAGCATCCAGCCTTGTTGGAGACAAGACCCTGATGATGTGGCTCTGCGACAAAGAGATGTACACAAACATGTCCGTCCTAACAGAGTTCACCCCCATCATCGAGCGCGGCATGGCCATGCACAAGTTAATCCGCCTCGTAACCCACGCCCTCGGCGGTGAAGGCTACCTCAACTTCGAGGGCAACGAATTCGGCCACCCCGAATGGCTCGACTTCCCCCGCGAAGGCAACGGCAACTCGTTCTGGTACGCACGCCGCCAACTGAACCTGACCGAAGACCCTCTGCTGCGGTACCGATTCCTGAACGAATTCGACCGCGCCATGCAGCTCACCGAGGAGAAGTACGGCTGGCTGCACGCGCCGCAGGCATACATCAGCCTGAAGAATGAGTCGGACAAGGTCCTTGTGTTCGAGCGCGCTGGGCTGCTGTGGATCTTCAACTTCCATCCGACCCAGAGCTTCACGGATTACCGGGTCGGGGTCGAGACTGCGGGTACTTACCGTATTGTCCTGGACTCTGATGATCCTGCCTTCGGTGGCCTGGGCCGGAACCTGAAGGAGACTCGCTTCTTCACGACTGACATGCCGTGGAATGGAAGGAGCAACTTCACTCAGGTGTACATCCCTACGAGAACTGCTTTGGTGAGTTCCCCCCCCGTCCTCTTTTCACTGTCTTCTCCATTCTAACTTGCCGGTCTAGGTTCTCGCTCTAGAGGAGACGCTGTAAGGTCGGAGGGAAGAGGGAATATGATGTTTTGATACACGGCGAATTGCATATTTGGATTTGGACCAGCCATTCATTTGACCTTATTTGGTCATAGATTGCTTAGTTGTAGGGTGTTTTCAGTTCGAAAATTGTCTTGGTACGAATATTTGCCACTTGGGCTCTTGTAAGCCAGCCGAAGAATAGCAGTCATATCCGCACGGTAGGGCCTGAGGCTCCTGGATAGTACAGTAGAGACTACCGCCAGTGTCGGTGGACAAGAAGCTGCAAGTTCTTCAGGACTGCAAGTAGATGCGTTGCGGAGACGTTCAAATCCTGCTCCAGCAGCCAACTTGAGCCAGCAGGACGTGATGTTGCCCTCTCAGCAAGGCGATGTCTTCATGCTTGGATGCTGAAGTTTCAAGCATGCTGGACGCTAAGTCATTCCTCTCACTACCACTAGTAATAGATGGCCGTTGGATAATAGGGAGGAAGGGGGAGGGGGGAGGAAAGGTAGGTCGAAACAAGCAAAGAAGTAACATTATTTTGGACGTTATGCACGATTGTACTTGTTCCAGTTGCACACCAGTTCTAGTACACATCGCAAACGTTCTTCGAGTTTATGCCCACTTCTAAACGTACACCGTCCAGCACCCATTTAGAGCTGCTATACCAAACTGTTGTCGGGAATTTTTTTTTCTACATACAAGACTGGACATATTACGTTGGAACTCTTGAAGTCCTCCTCTCAAAATTACAAACTACATACTACAGGGACAGATTACCAGAACCAACAGTCACCACAAAGGAAAATACAATTGAGCACCAAGGTTTCTCAAGGCCGCCGCAAGGCCATGGAGTTTTCAACTCTAAATACACAATAATGAAACACAAGCCAGCCAGACGGGATGCATGTCCGACGAGGCTTTAAAATGCCGCAAGGGGGAAAAGAATCTCATCAACTCGCTCAGTTAGACATGGCACGTCCACCTCCTCTCCCCCGTCACTAGCCCAAGATTCGTATTTCCACAAGTTTCCATTCGCAACGCATCTTTCTTCTTCCCTTCGAGCATGGCAAGCAAACATTCCATGATCCCAGAACAACGATCCCCAAGTCTTACTAACTTTTCGTCCTCCGTTTCCGGACAAAGTATCAACCACCGACGACATCACAAGAACCAGAAGAATTCGAGTCCAAATCCCATGGTAGGGTTCTTTTCTTTTTCTCATGAGACGGAGTATTATACACACATCTATAAGAAATGATGTCGAATGGGAAGGACACCGGACAAAAGGAAAGACTTCGGACAAAAGGGAAAAGGTTTTGGGCATGGAAAAAGCACCAAAGATCGCGGAGGTTCCAAAAAAAAAAAAGTTGGAAGATGAAAATGGAAACAAGTTTGATACTAGTTCAAGAGGCGTTGTACAGGGTTTGAGAGGCTTTCAAGCCGCCGCTAGCTAGCAAATGACAAAATTACATTTAGGCCTTGCCCTCGAGCTCGGCCAGAATCTTCTCACCCTTGGCACGGGCAGACTTGAAGTCACCAACCATGTAGAAGGCGTTCTCAGGGAGGTCATCACCCTCACCGTTGATGATAGCCTTGAAGGAGGCAATGGTGTCCTTCAGGTCAACAAGCTGACCCTCGATACCAGTGAAGACCTGGGCGACAGCGAAGGGCTGAGACAGGAAACGCTGAAGCTTACGGGCACGCTCGACAGTAAGCTTGTCGGCCTCAGACAACTCGTCCATACCCAGAATGGCAATGATATCCTGGAGAGACTTGTACTCCTGGAGCATCTGTTGGACACGGGAGGCGGTGTTGTAGTGCTCGTCACCGATGACACGGGGGTCGAGCATACGAGACTTGGAGTCGAGAGGGTCGACAGCGGGGTAGATACCCAACTCGGAGATACCACGGGACAGCACAGTGGTGGCGTCCAAGTGGGCAAAGGTGGTGGCAGGGGCAGGGTCAGTCAAATCGTCAGCGGGCACGTAGACAGCCTGGACGGAGGTAATGGAACCCTTCTGGGTGGTGGTAATACGCTCTTGCATACCACCCATGTCAATGGCCAGAGTGGGCTGGTAACCGACGGCAGAGGGGATACGACCCAGAAGGGCAGACACCTCGGAACCGGCCTGGGTGAAACGGAAGATGTTGTCGATGAAGAGCAGCACATCCTGACCCTCGTCGTCACGGAAGTACTCGGCAATGGTCAGACCAGTCAGGGCGACACGGGCACGGGCACCTGGGGGCTCGTTCATCTGACCGAACACCAAGGCGACCTTGGAGTCACCGTCAAGGTTGATGACACCAGTCTCCTGCATTTCGTGGTACAGATCGTTACCCTCACGAGTACGCTCACCGACACCACAGAAAACGGAGTAACCACCGTGGGCCTTGGCAATGTTGTTCTAATTAAATGATTAGAATCCAGCACTCATTGAAAGGAAGGGAAAGCAAGCCGGAAAAAAAGGAAAAGAGAAACTCACAATCAGCTCCTGAATGAACACGGTCTTACCGACACCGGCACCACCGAAGAGACCAATCTTACCACCACGGGCGTAGGGGGCAAGCAGATCGACGACCTTGATACCAGTGACCAGAATCTCGGCCTCAGTGGACTGCTCGGTGAACTGAGGAGGCTCAGCGTGGATGGGGTTGAACTTGGTGGCCTTGATGGGACCACGCTCGTCAATGGGGTCACCAGTGACGTTGATGATACGGCCGAGAGTACCGGCACCGACGGGGACCTTGATAGGGGCGCCAGTGTCGTGAGCCTCGACACCACGGCTCAGACCCTCAGTACCTAGGCGGCGTTAGTGGAAGGTCCTTTTTTTTTCTTTTTTGTTATGACGGTCGTCGGGGCCGATCGGGAGTGTAGGTCCCCCTTTGCGGTGGAAAGGGACAAACTCGGCGGCTCAGCATAGGGAGAAGGTAGCTTACCATCCATGGCAATGGTACGGACAACATTCTCACCGAGATGTTGCTATAGAGATAAGGTTAGCTTCTGAAGCTTGCTCAAGGGATGAGCCAATCAAAGGAGCACATACAGCAACTTCCAGAACGAGCTTCTGGCCGTTGTTATCGGTGGTAATGGCGTTGAGAATACCAGGGAGCTTGTCACCCTCGAACTTCACTATAATATCGCAAGGAATCAGTCAGAGAGAGTCCAGGAGAGACGATTGAGATCGATTGCGATGCGTTTCTGGATGAATTGGGGCCCGGAAAAAGATTTTCGCGATGCCCCAGATCCGCCAGGGATTTCGGGACACGTACCGTCAACGACGGCACCAATGACCTGGTGAACCTTGCCGACCTGGGCAGAGTCGGTGCTGGCGAGACGAGCAGAGAGAGCGGGAAGGGCATTGGAGCGGACAGGCTGGAAAGCGCGGGCGACGGGGGTCGGCCGGGCAAAAGTAGCCCTCCCCGAAGGTCCGGGCGAGACCGCTAAGAAACACGAGTTAGGGGGTGAAAAAGATCCAAAAAGCGAAGAAAATGGCCGTAGAAAGGGGGGGAGGGAGTGTAGGGCAGCAGGGCATACCTCTTGAACATGATGGAGGTGTTGAAGAGCGAGGTGGTATTAGAGGATAGGGAAGGTGTGGATGGAGGAAAAGAGGGAAGAGGAGGATGGGAAGAGGTTGGTGGACTCTTTCGCACGGGAACTGGGCGCCCTTAGCCTTTCCGGGGCGGTTTTGCCGATGGTCCCGTGATGAACCGACCTCATTGACCTCCCCAGCTGCGCTCCCTCTCGTAGCGGCTGCTTATCTACATCTGCTAATGTTATAATTGCTCAATTTCAGTCTTCTCCCATGCTCTACAATAACTATAATCATGTTGGGTTGACTTGTTGCTGGGACCTTTCCATCTGGTTGCTGGGGTATTCGCACAGTCTCACCGACCCGCTTGGCATCCGAGAACAGGGACGAATCCACCCTCGACGTATACGCAGGCTCCCTACCAGCTTCAAGCTTCATGGGAGTACACAAGACGGCGTAGAAATGCTCGACTATCTGTGTAAATCGCCACTGTAGAGCTCAAAATTATGCATTATCCCCAATTCGACCTCCCAAGAGAGCTGCACTGACCTGCAGGAGCTTTCCCCGGCAGAAAATCTCTGACGTGTAAAACCGGGACCCTCGAGTTTCATTCCGAAGGAAACAGGGTCTTTGGAAGCCACCTCCGCCAAACATCAGGAGAATGTCCATGGAGTAAACATGCAGACACACCCTCCAATTGCATGAATCATACTGCTTCTGCTAAAATCGCCCCAGCTAGCTAATTCAATGGCTGTCGGGGACATGGCACCGGTCGACAGGGGTTCTCCGCACGAGCTTCGCTGTTCCGAAACGCTCCGGCTTGATGCGCCCAAGGTATAACCAGGTCAACAACATACACATGAGTACTTGGAACAGCCTTTAAAGAGGGAAAATCCAACATATTTCTCTATGGCTACAAAAGAGATACATTGATTATAGCACAAGTACGGGATACACGCATTTTAGTATGCCAACAAAAAAAAAGGGTAGAAAATAATGCCGAACAAGACGCGCCAAAGAGGCTCGCCCCTCCTACCCAGGAGGGAACATGGCAGGCTCTAGTAAATGTGCCGAGGTCTGGGATTCCAATGTCCTCGATACCACTCGGTCGGACATGGACGAACACTCCCCCCTCTTTAGACGTCGATATCTGCACCTTGTTCGTTCCGATCGGGCCATTGGCCACTTTATGACTTCTCGGCAGGGCCGCTCTGGACGAAGCCAGCACCCTCGTAACCCTCCTTGCCAACACCGTGGATGGGGTTGATCTTCTCAGCCTAAAGAGGGAAGAAATTTTCGCGTCAGCAAATGTTCGGATATCAGGAAGCGAGGAGAAGCATCAAAGCCAATAACGGCCATCCACTAGCGAATTCTCGCGGGAAACAGGGGGAAAGTACCTTAGCGTATTCGTTAGAGGCCTCTTGCCACTCCTTGGACATGGTCTTAGGCTTGGGCTTGGCGAAGAGGTGGATGGTGTAGAAGAGGGCCAAAGAGGCGGCGAGCAGCTGGGACACCTTGAAGAGAATCTTGAGACCCTCACCCTTGGGGGCCTCAGCACGGGGGCCGTGGGGACCAAAAGCAATCCAGTAGGCTGTGAGGAAGTAAAGAGAGCGAATGTTAGCGGCTGCGATAGAACGTGAAATAGCCTGATATAGGAGACTCTGTGACGGCCTCCGGAAAGACAGGGTTTGTGCACAAAGGCAGAAAATATCGACCTCTGGCTTGGAGTAGATAGTACATACCGGCCTTCTTCTCCTGGAGGGTCAACTGATGCCAGTCAACCTTCATGCGGTCACGGAGCTGCATCCACAGCTCGGCCTGCTCCTGAGGGGGCAGAGCCTCCCAGCGCTTCTCAATGCCCGCAAGAGTTGGGTTCGAGATAGCATGGTCCGAGGCAGCGCGGACGTTCAGAGCGTTCAGGGAAGCAATTGGACCGGCGCGAATGGCGGCTGGGCTGCGAGGAACAGCGCGAGCGACGGAGCGAAGAAACATTGTGCGGCAGGTGGGAGGTGGCGGGACCACGTCGAAAACGAGTCAATGGATGATGGAATGGGTATGGCGAGGCCAGGTGAGTCTGGATCCGCAGAGGACTCGACGGGAGAAGTGAGTGGAGGGGGGGAAGGGAGATGGGCGAGGAAGACTGAGGTTGCTGGTTTGAGGTGGAAAGAGAACGAGGATCCGGACTAGCGCCGTTCTGGTTTGACTGCCCTCTGATTGGTGGGCCGTGGCCTCACCCGGCCGTCGCCTGCCAGTGAGGAGCATCATCATTCTCAGCATTCGTTCGGGCGCATCGTACGATTTGTTGTGGGGGCAGTAACTGGGCTATGCTGCCTGAGAGGTCTATCGAGGCAGTCTAGTGACAATCAAGGTGTCTCTTATCTCAATAACCTTATTGGCATGAATTGAAGCCTCCCCAAAAAAACCTTCACCCAACGCTAGCCCGGAAATTCGTACCCGGCAGACTTGTACTGCGTACATTCGTCTCTCCACGCACACAGGCTTTAGTCTGGCATGCTCTTTGCTTTTGCATACAATTTGGCAGCTGGAACGGGAGGACACAGTCCTACCTAATAGTAGGTAGTTGATGTCACTACAATGAGGCATACATTGTCTCATTAGTTACCTACCCCCCGACATTCTATACATGATCCTTACAGGGGAATTATATCAAGGCTGCTAAGTAACCATTAATGGAAGTCTGTAGCAAAACTCTCAGTATCAATATCACAAGTCTATGGCAGACTTGCATGTATCGTGTAGCCATACGTATCGCAGACAAGAGAGTATGATTCCACCATCCGCTGTTCCCATCGCAACCGCACTACAAGCTCAATCAAAATACAGTGGAAAAGTGGACGGTCAAATTTCCATGATAAATCTACAGCCACCCAGCCCTAAAGATCAATTTTCTTGTCCACCACGGTCTATCCAACCAGCCAGCAAGACGAGCCCGACCAGTCATACCGACGGTCCATACAAACCGCTTAAAGACGCAGACACAACAAAACAAGATGTCGTCCGACCCAGGGAAGAAAAAAGCCGTAGTCGTAAAGGTCTTTGCATTGCAAGTAGGAGAGGGTAAGAGAGAGAGGGGGGAAAAAAAGGAGAAATGGTATGCAAAGAGGAAAAAGGTTTTATGAATTCGGTCGTAGCGCGGCAATCCGGGGGTGCCGGTCAAAAGCCTCTACCGGCTGCGCAGCGCGATGCTAGCCGGTGCAAGTGTCTAGTTAGCCTTGCCACCGCTGGCCTCCTTGAGGACGGCCTTCCACTCGATTTCGCTCTTGTCATCGGCGTGGATGGAGTTGGCTACGTTAAGGGCGTTTCGGAGGTTCTCGCGGGTGCTGGCGTAAATCATGGACCACTGGATGTGAGGTTAGCTGGAAAATTCCGCTGAAAAAAAAAAATGCCTGCTTGGGACTTACCAGAGTAGGGACGTTGGTGGGGACCCAAGAAATGAAAATGATCTTGCTTCTATAAGATTAGGCTGGTCAGCGAGGGGTGCTGAGAAATGTAGAAGGACATTGCGCATGCGTACCGCTTGCCCTCACCACCACCAAGGTCGTATTCAACATCGTAGACTGCGTAACGGGGGCGGTGTTGCCCTTGCTGTCCTTGGCATCGACGAGCTTGGTACGGAAAACCTCGTAGTCCGACTCAGCGCCGAAGTCGTCGACAACGACGGTCTTCTTGTCGTCGGAGATCTTGAAGATGATGTACTTGATCTTTCCGTGGCTCAGGCGGAACTCATTGAACTTGTTGATGCACTCGTCGGTGACGGTAACTCTGCGGGGTAAATGTCAATTAATTGGAAGGGAATGAGTTGATTCGTGGTATTTCGTCGTACCCAGATGCGAGCTAGAAACCAAGTCAGCATTTGCAAGCAATGTGAAGAAAAGCCATTGCGTTATACTCACAGACATGATGGCTTGTGTGGATGAGGGAGAACGGAAAAGGGGGGAAGGATGACGAGGTCAGCTAAGGCGGGCACACGATGTCAGTGGCTGTGTTATTATAAATCGCCCCACGACGGAGATCAAGGCCTTGGTCGGTATCACCGTGAACGAACAGACCAAATACCGACTCAAGGTCAACCAAAGAAGGAGGAATACTCACGAAGCAACGGGAAGGAGATGTATGGGGATCGAATTGTGAGGAGGCAGAGGGGTTCTGTTGCCCAGGCGTTGCGATAGTGGGGGTGGGTTCCTGCACGTGATGCTGGCGCACCTCTTTGGGAATAAACAATCACCTCAACGTACCAAAGATGCTGAGATACTCAGGTGGCTCGGACTTAAGAGAGGGCATTTTATGGTTTTATGTGGTTTTATATTAGGCATCCAGACGAATGCTGGCAGCCTAGTCCCAGGACTCCCGAACCATCCCACCGTCGCATACCGCAATACATCGACAAGAGAGAGACTTGATGTAGATCCTGACAGGCGAACCTGCAAGTCATTCTGCTGATACAGCAACCCACTTGAGGCTTTTACCCTAGGCCAAAGGCCGAGGCCTTACGCAGCACAAAGTACATAACTTACATCGATGTACTGTACCTAAATGTGGGCACTCTTAACCTACCTAAGTATGGGACTACATCCTGACACGTCACTTCCCCGCCCTGCGGAAGAAGAGTATGAGAAACGCACTGGAAACTCATAGCATCTCATTTTCAAGATACCATATTAGGCTGCTCTTTAGAACTCAACTAGGACATGTGAATAATTTGGGCGAAAACCACAGTGAAGAAAGTAGAAGCCTAGGCCTTGGGCGCAAACTTGGCACGAGTCAGGTCGGCGACAAGCTTTTCGTTCCAAATGAAATTGACACTTGGATGGTTAACGGTAGCCTCAGACCAGCGCTTGAAACGTGGGGCCTTCTCCAAGAGAACAGGCAGCTTCGTACTGACGAGGGCGTGCTCGGGCTTGCCGAAGCTCAAGATTCGGAGCAAGAAAGACCCCGTCAGAACCTAGATGTTTCATGTTAACACATCGATACGTTCGCAATTGAGAGATCCAAGGTTTTCCTTAGGGAAACGCGATTGGAGCCATACCTCAGCCAATGTAAGCTTCTCGCTGCCTCCGAAGAAGGGACCCTTGCCCTCGGTCGACGCAAGGAGGGGCTCAACTTCCTTCAAGACACCAGCGATCAAAGCCTCGGCGGCCGCATCACGCTCCTGCTCTGATGCAGCGCGGATCCCAGCGAACAAGTGAGGGAGGACCTTGCTGATGAAGGCATCTACAAACAAGTTGATACGCGCGCGGGTGATTGCGTTCTCAACTGGGGCTGATGGAGGGAGCAGGTGAGAAGGGTGAGCATCGGCGATGAATTGGGAGACAATGGCGGATTCAATGATAATATTTCCATTGTATGAGATAGTTGGGACGAGTCCTCGCTGAAAGCAAGATTAGCTGTGGATTCATTTCGGGTTCCGTAATCTGATCCTGCGCGACGGGTCCCCTTCTTCGAATGGAGCCTCTCCTTGCGCTGCACTGGTCTCTCCTGCTTGTCTGGAAGCACTTACGGGTTGATATCCAGGTACCATTGCTCACGAGGAACATTCAGGTCGATGATGACTTCCTCGTACTCGAGCCCCGATTCCTTCAGAGCGATGTGAGCTCGGTGGGCCCATGGGCAGAGGTGGTTGGTGTAGAGGATGATCTTAGGGGTGGCCATATTGAGATATGTTCACTGTTAAAGATTGTCCATAAAAATGGCAGGAAACGGCTACTTATTATCGCGCCATGCCCTGGTGAGGGGTAACTACGTGGATTAGTAACATGGGGGATTGCGACACCGAGCTCCAGGGCTTGACATCGAAGGATTACCAATTCCTCCGCTCGGGGGCTTTTAAGAGCCCAAGTTCCAGGGTACCAATTGCTCCGCTCGGGGGCTTCTAGAGCTCAATCTCAAGGGAAGAATTCGGTAGTGCTACCTAAGCAATAGTACTTCAAGGCCACTTTTGTAATGAGATTCGAGTCTAATTATGTACATACATTAATTCGGGCCCTATTTGTAATTATTCTCAAGACGAGATAAAGGTTATAGAGAAGAAAAACAAGCCACCCGAATGAACCTTGCGGCCGGCTGCATCGAGGCTGAGGAGCCACAGGTACATAAAAAGACAAAACGAGATCAAGACCAGCATCAAATAAGGGCCTCGCTTCCGTTGCGCCAACATACGATTTCACAAGAATCGATATCATCAGAAGCAGATACAGTTAAAACAAAGAAAGAAAGAAAGAAAGAAAAGGGCAAGAGTAAAGGTTAGGCACGAAGTGATCGATCGCCGAGAAATGGGGGTATATAGAATGCGAGAAATAACTGAACGCAGAAATCGACAACCGGGTCGGATAGGGCGTCGGCTAGCCAGAGGGACGAATCGCATGGGTTAACTTGCTTGCAATGCTGATAAGATGGGAGAGAATGTTGCACACGCTGTCGTCAAGACGTAAGATGGCATGAACCAATGGGATATGCTCCAATTGCTCATTACTGGTCCTCCTCGTCCTCTTCTTGTACACTGCCCTCGATGATTTTCCGCCAGTGCTGCGGCAGGCAGACGCAGACCAAGGGAAAAGCCTTGATCTCGCCAGATGGTGCTGGAGACGGGCCTGCCCGAGTCGAGCCGTTGGAGACACCACTGTCTCGTTGGGCGCGATGAGTTTCGAAATCCTCTGCTCGGTCGTGTAGACGCACACCCGTGGCCCAGCCATCGTCCCAAATACCAATAACCTTCAGCATTTCACCACGGTCCAGCTCGAACTCGTCTCCTGCCCGTGCAGAATAGGCCCAGAGAACGGCGACTTGGTCACCTGGGTGAATATCATCCTGCGAATAGTAGTCCCGGAAATAGGATAGTTGCTCTGACTGGCCGCTTGTAACTCCCTCGGGGGAAGAGTACGAGTATTGGCCAACAGTGCCAGACCTTGGAGAGCTATCACTTTCTAGTCCAGCCAGAACAGAGCTACTTGATAGCGAGCCGAGGCGCTTTCCGGTGACAGGGGGGATTCTCTTAGACATGGCCCCGGGGCTTGCACCCGTGTTCTCGGAGTCGGATGTATCACTGCCATACTTTGCACCAGCGAACATAGCGGCGGATGTTCGCGAGTGGGCAGGAGAGGAGCTCGGAACTTCACGCAGCGCGGACATGCGTGCAACGCGGCCACCTGGTACAATGTTGTATGGCTGAGGGCTTTCGGCCTGCTGCATTGGCATCGATGGCGAAACTCCCTTTCGTTGTGGGTTTGGTGCATTCAGAGCAACCTCGCTCTGTGAGTCACGGCGACGGCGCCGGCAGCAGATGAGAAGCAGGACAATCAAAGCAACCAAAATGGCGGCACCTGCGACGGCTCCTACAACTGCACCCGCAATCTGGCCACCGGACAAACCGTGGCTAGCACCAGCAGAAGCAGCGGCGCTGGTTGTCACTACAGGCTGTAAAGTTGCTGTTGAGCTTGGAATGGTAACGCCTGAGCACTTGCTAGCCACGTCAGTGCTCTTGCAGCACGTGTCGGTTGTGTTGCCGAAGGTCGAAGAGCAGTAGGTACACAAGCCGATGGTGCTGTTGGCATAACCACAGTTATCGGGTTCGTTGGTCGATCCCTCCACACAGCTTCCGGTGAGAGCCCTTGACGGATGAGCGCAGATTTCGAAGTCGGAGCGAATTTGATCCATATAATTCTTGTCGGTGCTCGCGCAAAGCTCGGGATTAATGACGATTTCTTCCTCGCTTTGGGCCATATAAGAGCAGGTGTCGGCACATATGGGGGCGGATTGGGCGGGTGAGAGATCGCAGTCTTTGATTGAGCTCTGTACAATGCTACTACAGATGACGCTGGTGGTATATCGAGCATAGTAGTCGTTCAATGCGCTGCTGTTCACCCCTGAACATCCTAACAAGTCGACATATCTGCCCGAGTCAGTCTCTTCCTGTCCACGTAGGGTTTTTGTTCGAATACCTACTTGTTTGAGATGTAGGGATAGCCAACATAATCAGTTAATGATTTATCGAATGATTTAACATCCGTAACGTTCTTGAGCCATGGACTGTCGCGTAGTCAGCATCATCTACTTTTTCTCTTTCGCGAACTGTTTTGAACTTACAATGATGCGTATTGGCTAGAGTCGGTAGAAACCGAAGAGCTGTCCCAGGCTGGACAAGCAGCAGATCCCGAAAGGGAGATGCAGTTGGCAACCATTGTCGGATAGCGGTCGGTCCTATGAGCCGATACGCCTGCTAATTCCCCGAGGAATGTCACGGCGGAATGTGTCAGAAGCTGAAAATATCGGGAGCTCACTGGCACATGTTCTTTGCGCTGCTTGTCGTTCGGGTATCGTCTTTCGGCTCAATTAACAAGGCAGACCCCAGGTCTTCCGGATGCCTCAAGCAGGAGAAAGGAAGAAAAGACTAGATAAACGAGTGGCTTCGGGCGGACAATTGTCGGGTACCCGCAGGAAAGATCAGAGCCCCGTAGGTGCTCCGTAGATCGAATTGAATCGAGAGAAAGGAAAGGAATAGCCAATCGAGGGAGAGCGAGAAGGAGAAGATGAGGCGTCGAAAGATGGTCTGGGCTTACCGATTAGGGACTCGGCGCCTGAGGTATTGGGAGCTCGCGAAATGGGGGGAGGCGGGTCGTCAAAGGGGGAAGATGAGACGAACAGTCGATGAAACAGGAAAGGCCCAGCTGAGCTTCGGTGGGCCTAGTGTGGAAGCCCCGGCTGTTCTGCAGTTACCATACGCCTATAAAAGACACATCCGTCGAGTTGGATGAGACCAGTGCGTGGTAAAATGGCGGCCGATTCTAGGGGGTTGGGAGCGTATCGCTTGTTTACGGGTTTCCCGTTCCTGTCATGTATCGAGGTTTTGAGCTACGGCCAGGCTTGGGCTGGGAAAAGCCTGGGAAATTTGCACTTCTGGGAAATTGACCGTAATATGAGAAATCGCTGATTGGCCCGGGGCTTGACCATCTCCTGGCGCCATCCTGGCGCCGTCCTGCCTAGTCCCCATCTGGTACCTGGCGTGGTTGGGCTTCTCCGCTTCCCAACCTCCTTTGGGCTCTTCCGGCCGACGATCGCTATCTCTTGCTGCCGTCCTGGAGGATTTTTCAAATTCACGTCACCCGAGGTCCTATGCCTTACTTCTTGGGAGATGTGCCATCCAAAATTTGGTCCTGCGAGGGACGGGAAATCTGATGCAGGTGCCATCTGTGCGATGCAAATGAGATGCATATGTTTATTTAGTAGGGGCGAATGGACGTTGGAGTCCCGCTTTGGCGTCTCCGACCAGTCATCTAGGAGGCTGGTCGATCCATGCAGTAGACCGATCACTACCAGGGAAGTCCAGCACTTTTTATTGTGTTCGTAGGATCAGACAACAAAGATGATACAATCATCAGAGATGAGAGATCGCTGCAGTTCAAGTGTGGTGGAGCGTTGATGGATCGGATATACCCCACTTCAAGTGGTGACAGCTCCAGTCTGAATCATCTATATTTCATCTGCCCATGTAGATGCTGCACGGATGCCTTTCTCCATATAAGATTGATCTCAACGGTCCAAACCCCAGAAACCCAACATGATTGGACCATGGTTGGTGCTGGTCAGGTGATCAACGTCATCTGGTTCCCAGGCTGCCACCACCTGATACGAGTCACGACTTCCTGGATTTACCACTTTGTACAGAGATATCAGAGGTTGTTGATAAGCTGCGTCTCGACTGTCACTCTACAGAGCTCTTTTCTGCAAGTGACAACCCACATTTCCAGCGGAGTCATGTGTAGCTCCGACATCTTTCTGGCCGTCCTGGCCGTCTTTTTCCCGCCTATCGCCGGTGAGTTCCCCGCCTTGATCCCTTGCGACCCATCCATTCAAAGACTGACAAAAGACTGACAATATCTGTACGCAGTATGGATCAAGAGAGGGATCTGCACCGCAGATTCACTCATCAACTTTGCCTTATTGATACTGGGCTATGTCCCCGGCCTCATCCACGCTTGGTATATTATCGTCCAGTATCCCGAGCCCGATTATGATGACCCAGCATATGCGCCTATCCCCAATGATGCCGAGAATGGTCGTGTGACTTACTACTATGTCTCACACCAGCCTGCCCAGCGCTCCTATGGAACCACCGACCAGCAGCCGCAAGCTCCTCAGGCTCTGCCGGCTGGAGCGGCAGGAAGTAGCCATGGGCCATCTCAGGGCGAGGCTCGTCCTCCAACCTACGCCGAGGCAGTGCAGGGCGACCACAAGATCCAGACTCAGGACTAAACCACACGTCTGTACTTGATTATGTTTCAGCGATGCATGTCTATCCTGGAACTTGCGCTCGACTGCGAGGCATCATAATCCCGTGCGACTTATGGGTTCAATCATTATTTTACGAAGGAAATGCAGTTCATGAGCTGGAGTCCTTTAATCGCTGTTAGGATCAAGGGTTGGCTACTATCCCAGTCTTGTACCAAGCGCTGCAGATAGGGCGGGTTTTATTTCGAGAAACAATTGCAACTTTGCATAAGGAATCGCTCAGGCCTTCGTCTCGTAGAACGACCATGTAGCCTGTTCAAGATCAGTGCCTATTTATCTCCTCGCCTGCATCAATGTTTGGAGTTATAACGAAAGAGATTTAAAAAAGGTCCGTCGGCACGATCTTCGGAGTAAACTCGATGGATGGCACCTTATCATGCCTTAAAATCTGGCCTTCCTTGAAGGTGCAACCATTTTAACGGAGCTACAATTGTAAGGAACAGGTCGGAAGTGGATAAGGATCTTTCTTGGCAAATTCTCAAGCTCATAATTTCTCTTTCCCTCAAGTGCTACTGGTGCTTTCACTAACTGTATTCTTAAGGAAGCCCGCTGCACTCAAGCTATACAATACCTCATATGTACTAATAGTCCTAAACTTTGGATTGGGAGTGCCAGCCATCCATGGATCTTCTCCTATTTATCATGTCGGGAGGATTCCCCACGTAGTGACCCCCGGCATCGGGTATTCTCACCATTCAGAGGGGTTTGGTTGGAATTTAGGATATTCACGTTGCACTTAAGTGCCACTGGGCATGTTGCCAGCCAGCTGGCTATGCTACTAACTTATTTTAAAGGCTACTGTGAAGTAGTCTAGTATACTCTGAGATATATAAAACCGACTCTACCGGTGGACGGTTTCGCGACCACATCCACAACGAGAGCCCTGAATCGTGATTGTACAGTACAAGTAAAGAAACCCTCTACCATAGAGGTGATAGCGATTTACTTGATCAGAAGCCGAGAGTTCCAAGTGCCCATAAATCGAAGTATAGACATGCCAAACAACCAAGCGGTCAAGCCCCATCTGATAAAACAGATAAGCCGATAAGCCGACCCAACCCGATCCTCCGAACCCTGAAGTGCTCAGACCTGAACCTCACACAAGGCCTATGGCCCCCTCATTGGCCATGCAGTCCATGCCATTGATCCTCCGAACGCTACGACCGAGCTTCCCATTCTCCCGCATACCCAGGCCCGGCCTGCAGCTCCCCCCGACCCCCATTCTCAAGCCGATCCGAAGCTTTTCGGTATGCCTACAATGCCAATTCCGTCCGCAACCGAGACTGCACAACACAGCCGACGATAAGGAGAAGACGAAGTACCCATTAGGATCCGAAGCTGAGACTAGAAGCTCCGTAACTGGGTTCCCGCCGGAGCTTACGCCCCCGACGGAGAAGGAGAAGCAATCTGAGGCAGAGGATGAGAAGACCGAGCGGGAGCTTGTGGAGAATCTTGAAGCGGATCTCGAGAGAAGAAAAGAGTCTGCACAGTATGCTACACCTGAGGCAATAGCTGATATTGAGAACGCTGTGGGTGGTCTCAAGGACAAGGTTAAGCAGAGGGAAGAGGCGAAAGCTAGTGCTGGTTCGAACAGGACGCAGACCGGACGACTACCGTCCTTCCTGGAGGAAAGACGGTCGCGGATATCGAAACAATTTACGGAGATGATGGATAATCTCCAGGGCAATGTGTTTGTTGCGGGTCAGCGGCTAAACGATTTGACTGGGTATTCCAGCATCGAGGCTTTGAAAAATGAGATCCATGAACTAGGTAAGTTCTTGTGACTGTTGACGGATGGGTAGCAACGGGACTTGGTGCTGATATAGCATAATTACAGAAAACGAACTGCGTGACGCGCGATTGCAGGTTAAGAAAGCAAAAGAAGCATATCAAGCCGCAATCAACAATCGCTCGACGTCGCAGCGCGAGGTGAACGAGCTCCTCCAGCGCAAGCACGCCTGGTCCTCTTCAGACTTGGAGCGCTTTACGCTCCTGTACCGCAACGACCACGCCAACGAAGTTGCCGAGGCCGAAGCGCAAGAAGCGTTATCGAACGCTGAACGTCAGTCTGAAGAAAAGGCAGCACAGCTGAGCAAGACCATCCTTTCCCGGTACCATGAGGAGCAGGTCTGGTCTGATAAGATCCGGCGCATGAGTACCTGGGGTACCTGGGGCCTGATGGGTGTCAACGTGCTACTTTTCCTCATCTTTCAGGTTGCCGTGGAGCCATGGCGCCGGCGCCGACTAGTCAAAGGATTCGAAGACAAGGTAGTGGAGGCACTGGAGAAAGAGAAGGCTATTACCGAGGCATATATGCCTTCTATGGTTTCTAAAGGGTCTCAAAGCGAGCCTGAGCCTGCTCCTGCTTTAGATGCGCCCCTGACGAGTGAATCCGCATCTCAAACTACCGAGGTCTTTCCTGTGAATGCCTCTTCATCGCTTTCCTCCCGCCTCGCCTCTATATCTCTTTCACCCTTCTCTGCTGAATACTGGCAGCAGGTTCTCCACGAGCTCTTCAGTGAGGACAATGTTTATCTTTCACAGCGGGAGCTCACCATGGCTGCCATACAGAGTGCAGCAGCTGGAGCAGCCGGGATGGCCATCGTGGCTCTCGCGATAGCTCTTGGAAAGTCTCAGTAGATATTCTCTGAGTTTTGAAACTCGATGATATGTCAATTAGCATGATGTCTATATCTACTCGGCTGTTTCAACCCGATAGACTAACGGGTCTTGATTCATCTTTTGTACAAAAATCAATTCAACTTAGCTGTACAGCTCCACGTGCTTTTGATTTTCGCAGAACAGCCGCCAAATTAGAAATTTAGTCACCCACCAATAGGAGCTACAAGTTGGAGATGAAAGTGTTGGGAGGCTACACAGGCAGGGAAGTTTCGGAACAAAGGAAATATCATGACTAGGCAATACACGGGGCGATATAGAACACGAAGTATATACTCAAGCAGACCAGCAGAAAAGCAGGAGCAGCGTCATCTCGAGTCTGTGAACGCCCAAATCAAAGCCAAAAGACCAGGGAATGGTAAAAAGAGGCTCATTTTTGTCCATATTAAAACACGGTCTCTTATCTTGACAATGACACAGGGCCGCTCTATCTAACAGGGAAAAAGCAAATCACAAACACGCACACACTGTGTCCTCCTCCACCTCGCTCTTCGGTCTAAACGGTTGGGAAAATAAAAGAGATGGTTTTTGTAATAAAACAAATCGCTTAACCGATGACCAGGGTCTCGTCCTCGGGGAAGCTGTACGCAGGGACCTCGAGGTTAAGAGGAGCAGGGCCCTTCCGGATACGGCCAGAGATATCGTAGTGAGAACCGTGGCAAGGGCAGAACCAGCCGCCGTAGTCACCGGCCTCACCGATGGGGACACAACCCAGGTGGGTGCAGACACCCAACATGACCAGCCACTCGGGGCGCTGCACACGGTCGTCGTCCGACTGGGGGTCACGCAGACTCTCCCACTTGGTCTCGCGGGCCTCGTCGATCTCGCTCTGGGTACGGTGACGGATGAAGACGGGCTTACCACGCCACTTGATGATGACCTGTAGTTGGGGAAGAAATCGGGTCAGATAGGGTCGATTCAGGTACGCAGTTGGATAAGGATACGTACGTTCTTGCCCTCAGGGATGGCGCCGAGAGCGATCTCGACCTTGGCCTGGGCCAGGACATCGGCGGAAGCGGACATGTTGACCAGGAAGTCTGTAGGGGCGAAAATGGCATGGTCAGTCTTGCTGAATCGAATTCTGGGATTATTCCGGATGCGTCATCCAGTTTGCAGGACCCTCATTCTTCCTCCTCTTTCACATCTTTCGTCTGCTCTGAAAAGAGAGGCGTGGGACAAAAAACCTACCCTGAACGGTAGCCTTGGCTCCGACGGCGGTGGCCAGACCCATAGTACCGGCCATGAAGTAGGAGAAGACCTGGTTGGAGCGAGGGGACGAGTTGGACTTGTATTTGTTGAAGTTGGGGATCTTGAGGGTGGAACCACGCTCGCCAGAGTTCACGAAGGGGCTGTCGAAGGACGACTTCGCATCCGCGACTCCCCTCCGCTGCTGGCAGGAGGTGACGGCGGCGCGGGTGGAAGGCAGCTGCTGGCGGGCGCAAGAGCGCAGCAGAGTGCTGGAAGCGGAGGAGAGCGACATGGTGATGCAATTGACCACGGGAGGGAGGGGTGGTGGCAGCGCGGCGTTGAAGGGCAAGAAGGCAAAGAGGGAGTGGATGAAGCCGGGAAGTCGACGTTTGAGTAGAGCTTTCGCTAGCGATCGGAATCACGCGGACGCTGATTGGCTGGTGCGGGTCTCCGGGAACTCGACGCCCAGCATTCATTATCATTACATAGAGACACGTGCCAATTGACCAGGATTCATATTTATTCCACTCTCTCTATATATTTATTGGTAATTAATTGCGTTTTATTCAGTCTGGGTCCAACGTAGACCCGTAGGCAGGTTTCGATACGCATCGACGTACCATTGCCTCTCCGGGAGCAATCCAAATAATGAAACCTGCATTCGACGGCAGCAACATGACTCGGCATCCATCAGGAAAGTCATAAAACGAGCCGACAAAAAAAGAGAAAAAAAAAAAAACCCGGAACTCCGAGTGTAAGAAACCCCAACATAGGAAACAAGCCTCCATCGACGGGCCGAGGCCAACGCCGTGTCCATTCCATGTTTCAACCTTGCATATGAACATCGTTGTCTTGTTCAACAGTACGGTCAGCGATCAGGACGCTGACAGGAACTCGAGTCGCTGTGGGTGATTGTAAAGGCTCTTCTGGATGTGTTACACCTTCCTCTTGTGGACCGCCATTCGCATTTGCCGCTGATGTGGCGCCATTCAATGTGCGTTGGCCCTTCTCCAAGTCTTGTGTTGTCTCCCTTGCCTTCTTTTCCTTGAACTGCTTGTAGGTCGTAGTTTTAGGGATCACATCGGCGAGGAACTCGAGGTTGTCGATATGTGATACAGCCGTAGCTACCAGACGTGGTAAGTAAAGGCGGATGATTCGAGTTGCTATTGTAGGCAGCTGGGCTACTTACCTAGATCTTTGTACTGCACAGTCTTGCGTGGTTTCCTTTCTGACTTGACCACATTATGGCCCTGCTCGGCAAGATATTGAATGAACATTTCCTAGGATGGGCGTCAGCGCTTTGTCTCGAAGTAAAACTGGTGGGCGTACTGTGGCCATGGCGATGACGAAAGTCGCGTTGTTCGAGCATTGCACAATTTCATCGTCTAGTTGAATAATCTTCTTAATGCGAGAAACTGTTGGGCTTCTTGTTAGCCACGGAAGAATAGGTCGCGCCAATTTCTATACGCACTAGGAAGGGCACTCTGGCCACTGATCTCCTCCGATTCCCCCGCGTTTTTTGCTGACATGATGACGTCGCAAGGTAAGACCAATACCAATGTTTAAAAATAGGTAGAAGAAGCAGGTAAACCGTAGATCCCGAGGTAGCCCGTCGCGCGCGAAAAGTGTTGAAGCGACGAAAGCGCAACGCGTGCGGGCGGTGTTATCTCAGGAGGCTCCGTTATCGATCACTTGGCGCAACTTGTCTTTCACAGCTAGATATCCACTCTGTGAAACAACTCTCCAAATTTAACCTGAAACTCCCAGGTTCTTTCCCACGAACCCAGTCCGAAGCTACGATAGCCCTCGGTCCCTCAATTAGCGTCGTCCCTGTGACCTTCAGCCCTAGCGAATTCCAAACCCCTGTTGCGGGCGGAATCGCATCATCGATCTAGCTCTATGCTGACTTTACTGCTGCGGTCGATGCCATGACCTCCCCGCTCCCCTCCCCGGGCGGTTTTTTACGATCCCCTTCGATTCTCTCGGAGCGCCGTGACATACGCAGGCTGTCTGGCCGGATCGTCTCTCCATCAATAGCTGACCCGACGCCAGCCCCCGAGGGCGACAACGACGCCCCCGCAATTACAGACGAGATCAGCGAAATCAAGCGTTATGAAGACTTTACGACAATAGACTGGGTGCAAGATGCGATATACGAGCAGAGCCGGCGACGAGCGAAGCGGCGCAGTGGGAGTGGATTCTGGAATCAGGAGGGCACCTTTGGATGGAGACGTAAGCTGGTGGAGTCGTACGACGCTGGTCAGGCCTGGCTGGTTGTGACGCTGGTAGGTATGGCAATCGGGCTCAATTCAGCTTTGCTGAATATCATTACGGAGTGGCTGTCTGATATCAAACTGGGGCACTGTACAACTGCGTTTTATCTGAACAAGTCGTTCTGCTGTTGGGGCGCGGAAGGGGGTTCGTATAGATTGCTCCATGTGTCGTATCTTCGATCAACTAACCTTTGGGGCAGGCTGCCAGGAATGGAAAGCATGGACTGGATTTTGGCCTCTCAATTATCTGGTTTACATCTTTTTCGCGGTAAGGACTGCTTATGTTGCATGTAGTTGGCCCTATAGCTAATGGTTTCCTCAGATCCTTTTGACATTCGTGGCCGCGATTCTGGTGAAAACATTCGCACCGTACGCTGCTGGCTCTGGAATTTCTGAAATTAAGTGTATCATTGCTGGATTTGTCATGAAGGGATTTCTAGGTGCATGGACTTTGGTCATCAAGTCTATCGCATTACCCTTAGCAATTGCGTCAGGCCTGTCCGTGGGAAAGGAAGGTCCGAGTGTCCATTTTGCCGTGTGTACAGGCAATGTGATCTCGCGGTGGTTTGGGAAATACAAGCACAGCGCATCTAAGACTCGAGAGATCCTGACGGCGTCAGCTGCAGCTGGTGTCGCAGTGGCTTTCGGTAGTCCTATTGGAGGAGTTCTCTTCTCATTAGAGGTATGGCATGCGGGAGATGGGTCTGTGGACCAATGGCACTAATATATGAACAGGAGATTGCCAATTATTTCCCACTCAAGACTCTCTGGCGCAGCTATTTCTGTGCCCTGGTCGCAACAAGCGTTCTCGCTGTATGTCTGACCTAACCTTTCCGCAGAATCGTTGCTAATTCGAAACAGGCATTGAATCCATTTCGGACGGGACAGCTGGTCATGTTCCAGGTTGCATATGACCGCACATGGCATTTCTTCGAGCTGATCTTCTTCATTTTCCTCGGTATCTTTGGCGGTCTCTATGGCGCATTTGTGATAAAGTGGAATTTGCGAGTTGCATCTTTCCGAAAGAAATACCTCGGAAAATATCCTATCGCAGAAGCTGTCTTCCTTACAGCTCTCACGGCTTTTCTCTGCTATCCAAACATGTTCTTGAAGATTAACATGACTGAGATGATGGAGATACTCTTCCGTGAATGCGAAGGTGGACATGATTACCATGGACTTTGCCAGTATGAAAGGACTTTCCCCGCTCCCGAACTGTGTTTTTCTAACCTTCTCTCTAGAAAACAGAACCGATGGCATATGGTTATTTCGCTGGCCATCGCTACGGTCTTGCGTACTATCTTGGTCATCATATCATATGGCTGCAAAGTACCCGCAGGAATCTTCGTCCCGTCCATGGCTGTCGGCGCCTCGTTTGGCCGCATGGTTGGAATCATGGTGCAGGCACTTCATGAACATTTCCCCAACTCTGCGTTCTTTGCCTCTTGCGAACCCGATGTGCCTGCATTACGCCAGGTACTTATGCGTTCCTCGGCGCCGGTGCAGCTCTGAGTGGTATCATGCATATCACGATCTCTGTCACCGTCATCATGTTTGAACTGACTGGAGCTCTGACCTACATTTTACCTACAATGGTGCGGACTGGTACTCATCGTATCGATTATTCGCAAATAAACGCTAACTTTCAGTCCAGATTGTCGTGGGTATCACCAAAGCCGTCGGCGACCGGTTCGGAAACGGTGGTATCGCGGACCGCATGATCTGGTTCAACGGATTTCCTTTCCTCGACAATAAAGAAGACCATGTCTTCAATGTTCCCGTGTCCCACGCCATGACAACCGATCCCCTCTCCCTCCCAGCCTCCGACTTCCCCGTTCGCGAAGCAGAGCACATGCTCAGCGACAACAAATTCCAAGGATTCCCAATCGTGGAAGACCGGAGCAGCAAGACGCTCGTCGGGTACATTGGACGCACAGAGCTCCGGTACGCCATCGACCGGGCTCGCAGCCAGGGGCTGCTATCGCCTCGGGCACGCTGCGTATTCACAAAAGAGGCCGCCGAAGCTACTGTTGCGCGCCGGGCGTTCGGACCCCAAGCACGGGCAGCGGATACCTTTGACGCCATTCAGGCTAGCGTCGGCGCTGGCGTTGTCGATTTCTCTCGCTATATTGACCCTACGCCCCTGACTGTTCATCCGCGTCTGCCACTTGAGACGGTTATGGAGATTTTCAAGAAGATGGGCCCCCGGGCGATTCTGGTTGAGCACCGTGGTCGTCTGGTTGGGCTGGTCACGGTGAAAGACTGTCTGAAATACCAGTTCAAGGTCGAAGCAGAGGAGCAAGCGCTGGCAGCGACGAGTTCATCTGCGTACAGCGCGCTTGGGGGACATTTGAACGGCCCCGCGCCAGAAACGCTGGATGAGCGTCTCTGGGGTCTGATACAGAAAGTGGTACGCTTTGTATCGAATCCTATTGCTCATCGGTCTGTCCGGCTACGGGATCGGGATACTGGGAGAGGAGCCGAGCACTCTGATATCCTGGATGGGACGGAAGACGAGGGGCTGGTGGAGCTGGTGGATAGAGATGAGCGCCCTGCACGAAGTCGCTAGTACTGTAACGATCATGCTGATGTAGGACTATAGAGCTATGGAAATGTTCAAGTGTCGGTTCTTCTATGACTTGGGCAGATGTCTCTCATGCGTACTAGCTGATCAAGAGGTACATACACGACTGTCGATGAATATGGACCGTAAAGCAAGCTTCAGATCACGCACCCTCTCGCATTCCGACAAGAATACAGCCAGCACCCATCATGGCGGCACCAACCCACCAGAGTCCTCCGACGGCCTCCTTAAAAATGATCATTCCAAATAGTGCGGTGGCTAAGAAGTTCGCGGCCGTATTCGTAATTGATACCTTTGTGGTCGACGGCCCCGCCGTTAGTGCTCTCGTAAAAAGGGCCCACATGATGATGTTGCAAACGACATTCAGACCAAGACAAGCCTAGAGAGAAAATCAATATCTCATACCAGTCAAAACCGTAGGGAGGTCGCTTACACCGCGCACAAGCAGTTCGAGGAAGGGCGAGGAATCCAGGCCAAAGAGATGAGCCAATGACTGTGCAAAAGCAGAAGTGTTGTTGTCCGTCGTCCTATAAGCTCCGTTAGCTCAGAGTCTCTGGAGATTATTGGTTTCTCGTATTGCGACGCGCATCGATAAAGCATGGCGACTTACAGCTTTGCAAAAAGCCCATTTAGCGCCGCGAACGCGCCACTAGCCACGGCCACGAGAATCCAGGGAGTCTTCGAGGATGCCCGAGCTACGGGAGTTGCCATGGTAGACTATCTATATAATATGCGAACAAAATTAAGGCTGTTGGGGACTTGCAGGGGATCCCGGATGTGTCCTAAAGAGAGGAGAGGAGGTCTGTATGCCAAGACGGATCTGCACGATCCACGACTTGCCTTCATAACAATAGTACGAGGAAAGAAACAATTCAGTCTCTTAGACTATATGATAATCTTATAGATGCCCACGACTAACATACAAACGAACTATGGCGAGAGACGCTGCAATCGCCACTGATCCCCTCCGTCAATACGTACATACCTGAACCGATCATGCAAGCGACTCCGACGACCCTGCCAGAACTCAACAGACTCCGGCACCAAACGCACGCCTCCCCAGAAAGGCGGCAGAGGAATCTGCTCGACCCCAGCAAACCTCGCCTCCATCTCCCTCACCTGACTCTCCAGCAACCCTCTCCCATCCTCATCGTCCGTCTCATCGATATCAGCGGGGACCTCCGCCCCATTCGCATCCTGCAGTTGCGCCGCGCTCTTCCTCCGCTGACGCTCCGCCAGCTGCTCCGGCTCCGCAGACCACAGCACCTTGCTCTGCCAGCTCGCCCACGCCCCGATCTGACTGCCCCGCTCGCGCGTCCGCCAGTACAATTCGCTCTCCGCCGGACTGAGCGGCTCCAGCATCCCTTCCACCCGAACCTGGCGCTCCACGGACGCCCAGCTAAACGTCAGCGCGCCCCATTTGTTTCCGGGCCCCGGGGCCTCTAGGGTCGGGATTGACGCCGGGCCCTCGCTGCCCGCCCCTTCGCGGCCGAAGACCTGGCCGCCCTTCCCCTCGCGACTGCCCCAGTTGCTGTAGACGACCCAGCCGCGCTCGTCGAGTTCCTTCAGATAGAGGATGCGGGCGCTGACACGGCCCGAGGGCAGTTCGGCGGTGGCGAGGGTGCAGGTTTCGGGAGCCGCGCTGGGTGGGAGGCGAGGGTCGCGGAACCAGGAGTGGAACTGGTGCAGCGGGTTGGTGGCGTGCATCTGGGAGATGGTCAGAGGGGGGGTTGGTGACGAATTGGTGGGCGCGGGCGGGGTGGGACAGAATCTGGTTTTCGGTCGTGGAGTTGGGCGTGGAGGTATCGGAACGCAGGGCTTCGGCTGCATGGAGGCGGCTGGGCGCAGTTGCCTGGGCTTGGGAGGATATCGAGGGGTCTGTAGCTTGGAGCTCTGGGGTGGGTGCGATATCGCCAGGTGCAACTGTAGGTCGCAGTAGTTAGTTTGGAGAGCCTGGTGGGAGTATTCCCCGCGGAGAGCTTGTAGTCTATCTTTTTTTGCCCGCGTAGAGGATGGTCATTGGGTTGAGAGGTGTCAGGGCTTACATATCAGCTTTTTCGGACGCCGGCTGGCGTCGGGGCTCTCGTTTTGCGACATGACTGCGTTGTAGACTCTCCAAGGGTTTGTTGTTGCGCAACGGAAAAAGCGAAGGTGGGGTAGAATGCGGAGACGGGGAGATGAGTCAAGTGGTCTGGTGGGCAGAGGAAGACGAGAGAGCATTTATACACAAGCTCAAGTTCGTCGTCTCAACGGGGGACTGAAAAGACGAGCGGGAACCGGGGTTGATAGTGGGAGGGAGTGGTGCCATTTAGGCTGCAGAAGCGTTCCAGCGCCTGCTATAATGACATGGGTTGGTTTCCCGCATACAGCGCCGCCGCATGGAGACATTTCCAGATTTATTCTACTGAATATTGCTAGATAACATATCAAGTCGAAGATTTGTATCCTTCGAAGAACAGGCACGAAGCTCAAAAAAGCTTAGGATGCAAAAAAAAAAAGGTTTAAAGTTAAGAAAGTCTTCAGAGCCTGAATGATGTTCCGGTTCGCCCTAAGATCCCGAGCTTGCGAAAGGCTTAACAAATTTCTTGATGATCAAAACCAAGTTGAAGGCATAATTTCAAGACTAAATAACGTCTGGGCAATTGGAATATCTGACAGAGTTTCCATAGCTTGCATTCTTTGATGCCCAGCCATAGAATCTGCAAGTCAATCGTACCAAATCAACTTGGAGCAGCCGCGGGTTGGATGGGCTTGCAGAACTTCGCCTTAACCGCTTTAATATATTTGTCTTCCATCAGCTTCTGGATGATGGGCTGCTCATTATGCGCATCAAAGGCTTTCTTGCCTGCATATCGTTCAAAAAAGTGGAAAAGAGTCGGGTCATCGCTATCACGCGCCAAGCAGTAGTATATGGAGCCAGGCTCGAACTCCGCTAGCCGCGTTGTCTCGGCATAGACAGCTTCAAGGGAGTCCGCATGCTCAGGATAGGCATAGACGAGGCCGAAGATCACAAATTCGTCCTCGGGAATATGTGGAAGCTCCGTCACGACTGGCTCGTCCTCGAGGCCTCCCTTTGTCAAGTCGGTTTCCATACTGATGATTGGACTGACAGTAGATTTGGATTGAGAGGAATTCGGGGACGGAGGTTGGAGTTTGTGAAGTTCTGGGTAGTATTCGGTCTGAGGCTGAAGAATTGAAGGGAATAGCTGGCTTTTAGCTCACATTAAATGTTGCACTACACGAGTCGTATTGCGCGGAGTCCAGTCTAAACCAAATCGGGATGTCTGTAAGCGAAGACACCAAACTGGCCTATCATAGTAAGCAACTAGCAAGTTCTTATCTACTCATTGACTAATGGAGTCGGTGGCAAAGATAACTGCTGTTGCATGTGGTTTGAAGCCATACCCTCGCCCCTATGATTGGCAGTTCGGGCTTTACTATGCATCAGGGTCCCCTCGGATGTAAGACCTATTGACTACTGACAAAGAATAGGTCTAGCTCCAATACGAACTTATGCAATAGTCTCTGAGTAGATAATCTGTCCAATGTGACAATGTGTTCGATGCTTACGGCGGAAAATGGCCAAGACCGCAGTGTTTTCAATTGAGGTACGTAGAAGGGTATGTACAAGGGCCCAGTAGGCCCCTCTTATCATCTAGTTCCCTAAAAGCAGATCTCGATAGTGCTGTATTCGTGTTATCATGATGCGCTCGTTATAGGACAAGACAAATAGGGACTGCGCCATTGGGGCAAAGGATGCTCAATGCTGGGATTACTAGGACTAGGATCCACCATCCAGCGCGTAAATTGCTGGTGCTTTGTTACAATGACTTTGCAAAACTATTCCATTGACTGCTCCATTCAACAGAACAGAAATACTAGTATAGCTTGATCTTCCATTGAACCCTCTATTAGGAATCTGCGGAATCTGCGGAATTTGGAAAGCTAGTAAGACCCCAAGACGGTAGAGAGCGCTCAAGTTGAGACGTTGATGATAGTGCTCCCAAAAATTTGTGCTCGGTCAAAAGGCAAGGGCTTGCCAGAAAAATTATCAGCTAGCCAGTCATCAACAGCGACCCTCAGTTTGTTAGCCAAGTACCGAACTAGCACATCATGGTAATACCGTAGACCATTTCCAGCGATGTCAACTGGAAGGGATAGACAATAAGGTTGGCCAGTTGAAGGACCCTCTGCAATACCAATCTCCATATGGTCGAGCTTGTACGCTATCCACTTGAGCAAAGACCGATCCCCAACATAGGCATGCATGGGGGTAAATTGGATCGTACACCAATATCGAGTTGTCATAGCTGGATGCTCTAGATTATTGTGAAGGATACGGTGAGTGGTCTTGAGTAGAGAGACTGAAGTCTGTAAGAGCATGACTTCATTTCGGCGTTCAAGGGAATTGGTCTACTATATATGCCTTTCGATGGTCGAAGAGAGACATTAGCCTTGAGCATGGTTGTTTCTAGTTCTTTCAATCCTTCAGTTGCATGAGTTGCACAACCATCCCGAGTCCCCTTTAGTGATCTAAGTAACGAATGATTACAAAGGCTATTCATCTTTAATAAGGTATAATAGCATGGTCTTGCAACAATAGCGAAAGAGTAATGAATGTCTTTATAAAGACAATGTATTAGGAGGACCAAGGCCTTTAAGTGGCTGGGCTCAAATCTAAAAGCAATTTGTGCCTGAGACCAGTCAATAATGCCTCGAAGAAAGATCTATAGTCCATCTCAAACAATAATCTGTGGTATTCAAAGAGCGGGATGACTTGCTTTGAGTACTCACGTGTAAGAACAGCTCATCTGCGGCTGCTCTGGGGTGTCACCACGCCGACAACCCCAGCCTCCCTGATTTCCCTACTTATATCATCCTTTCCGCTAGATGGTTCCTCAAATTTTGAATCAGGATAATCCGAGCTAGAACTCGATTCGACTCCTGTGGAATAGTCCTCACAAAGCACGCTTGTTGCCTATAAGCCTCATGCAAGTGTTGAAAAAGACAAAGGTTGACAAAGTTTAGTCGACTCGGATGCTCCATGTAGTATTGTTCTGACGGCCCAATAATGGGCACTGGAGCTACTGTCACGCAATGCGACCATTGGTCCCATACCAAGTGCATTGCTAGATGAAACCATAAAGACTCCATGCAGCCCCTTGCGCTACAAGCCTATGGATGGGTGCCCAAGGGAAGAGGTAAGTTGGGGAGTACCAAGTATGCCCCTTCGACACCGAGTGTACAGAGAATGGGAAGACGCATCTCCCCCTCGAGGGTCGCTACCCCCGAGCTCCGTAAGATAAGCTCGATTCGTGCACAGCCCTCGAATGATTAAGGGGTACCTGAAACTGTATCTGTACCTGGTGATATGGGCCTGAGTCTGGTGGTAAATTCTTGGACTTGGAGTGCATTCTCAGAGCCGGATGTGGACAGCTTGCAATCAACCCTGGAAGGTGTCAGATTTGAAGTCAAATAGCTCGCATTTTCAGGGTTTTAAATCCCTCCTTTTCCCCGACTGCAGCGGTTACTTCCAGCTCTCTTTTGTGTCATTTTTGAGGCGCCAGTGGGTGCACATGTGATGCATTGATTTACCCCTTGGCCCTCAAACCACTAGGCCAACTTCCCCTACACCTCAAGCTTGGTTATTTAAAGCGTTGCGTAGATCAATGCCAATTCATTCCGATACTAGACGACGACATCTGTAGCCGTAGCTAGGTGGAGTAATGATGATGTATTGGAAACTATCTAGTTAGCTATCCTATAAAGACCTTAGAACAGGCAGCATAATAGCAAGGCCAAGCATTATTATTAAGGTAATTGGAGCCCCCTGGTATTCGATCAGCCTAATCATACTAGGAGGGACCGAAGCAACATCGTTACGGAAGGAGAGAAGTGATCATAACTTTTTTTTGTAATTTGTCCTCGGCGTACGATAGCGCCATGCAGAGCTGAGAGTGGTCTATGGACACATTAAATCAGAGTGGTATACATATGCCATTTTAGTCGCCGTAACGCCGTTCACGCTTGATGCCGTAGATCATGATAAATCAAAAGAAGAGAATAAAAGAAAAACAAAGAAAATCCCCCCCAAAGACCAGGTAAACCCAACCATTGCCGCCCTACACGCGCCGAACCGGAAAAGTCACACCTTCGGGATCCAGCCCTGGCGAGGTGATGTAGGGGTTGCACGACACCAGCATTAAATTGGTATGTACCTGGGATAAGTAGCCAGGGCGCGAAACAAAAAGCATTTTAGTAAAAAGGGAAAAGGGAAAAGGAGAAAAAAGAAAAAAAAAAAAAAAGAGAAACGGGAATGAGGAAAAAGAGGATAAGGGTTCACGGGATTTAGATGGAAGGAGTAGCGCCGACCAGGTCAATGATCTTGCCGGCGACGGCAGGTGGGTATCCGCGCGACATCATCTCATTGACGATGCGGGCGGCACTCTCGCGGTCATTGGCACCGAGGAAGGCACGGGTCATAGCTTCATAGGTGCTTGGTTCGCGCTTCTGGATACCGATGCGGTCGTAGATGTTCTTGGCCTTGGCGACGTTGCCCTCGGCGGCCCATCCGGCAATGAGGATGTTCGCGATGTATGCAGTCAACTCCACGCCACGGGTGGCCATGCCACGGACAATGGGCTCTGTGTCCGCAACACGCTTGTTGGCGACCATTCCCTCGAACAGAGCCTGGTAGAGACAGGGCTGAGGGCGCACACGGCGGTCAGCGATGACAGAGTCGAAGACCTGGCGGGCTCCGGCGAGGTCATGTTGGACGCAGCCCTGGCCATGGACCACGGCAGCGTAGTGCACGGCTTCGGGCTGGTGACCGGCGGCCTTCATGGAGTCGAGGACCTTCTCGACAGCATCCATGTTGGCAGGCTCGATAGACGCGTACGCGTCGATGAGCAGCTTGTAGGTGTGCATGGTGGGCTTGATGTTGCGGGCCTTCATGCGCTCATAGTAAGCGAGGACCTTGGCGCGGTCGCCCTTGATGTTCAGGAAGTACTGGATCATGGAGTTGTAGGGGGCAGGTCGAGGCTTGTAGTTAGGGGCAGCCTCCATCTCCTCAAACATCTCCTCAGCAAAACGGATATCGCTGACACGGCACAGGGCGTTGACAATAGTCCCGTAAGTCACGCTCGTGGGGCGCACACCGTTGGCACGCATCTCAGCGAAGTAGGCGAGACAATCGTCGATGCGACGAGCCTTGCCCAGCTTGCCGATGAGAGCATTGTACAAGAAGGGAGTAGGCTCAACACCCTCGGTCACAGCACGGTTGAAGATTCGCAAGGCTTCGGAGGCTTCGTCATAAGTCTTGGCCGATTCCTTGAGAGTGGTGATGTACAAGCCGAAGGTGTTTGCGGATGGAGCGGCGCCCAAGCCAGTGAGCTCTTGGTGGAAGTGATCAGCCAGTTGACGATCTCCGGTGTTCAAGCATGCAGCAACCATAGCATCGAGAATAGAAACCCAGCCGTACTTGACTGCGTTGTAGGCAGGAGTCAAAGGAACATCCTCCCGAGCCATGTTGTGGATCTCGTTGACCAGGTCCATGCGACCAATCTTAGCAGCGGCAGTAATCAGCTTAGCGTAGGTGATATAGCGAGGATGACGGCCAACGCGACGCATGTTCTGAACACGAATCAATGCCTCCTGAAGATGGCTCTCTGGGCGGCCGGCGGTCTTCTCGAGCTCCTCCGCGATGATCATAGAGCCTCTGAAATCAGTGGTGTTGACATAGGGATCAAATGATTCGGGGCCGGATGAAGGAACGGTCAGAGCGGTCTCAGTCAAGGAAACAGGGCTATGGCGTTCAGAGGCGAATGATGCTTGAGTGGAACGCTCCACATGATCCTGCCACTTCTTCACGATGTCCGGGTGGGAAGTGAGAATGACAGGCTTGGCAACAGCCTGGTCAACCAGACGCGTAAGTTCCGCGTCCAACGGAAGGGAGGTAGAGAGAGCCACATCAAGCATGTGCGCAAAGCGGATGGGATTGGCGATGTCGAACTGGAGTGACTTGTCAGACGCAATAATGCTGGCTTGGACCCGCAGGGCTAGAGTAAGGTCAGCGGCATTAAGCTGGGTGATCCCCATTGGACCGAGATTAGCAACAGCATGCTCCGCCAGGGGAGAGAACACTCCACCGTTGTCCACCATGGACCACAGGAGGGTCATGGAGGCTTGGGGAGAAATCACAACGCCAGGAGTGTTCATGAGGACCTGTCCGAAGAGATAGAGCGACTCGCTCATCTGCTCCTTGGTATCCGATTCAGGTTTGGATTGACTGCGGATGTTTCGGAACATGTTACGGGCCTCCTGGAGACCGGCCTCGATTTGACCACTCTTGAGAAGTGCGATGGTGTACATTGTGGTCGGCTGAATCAGCTCCGGGGTTGCGTGACCCACAGTGTTGAGCATGATCCACAAGGATCGAGCAGCGTTGAGGTTGCCCTGGCGAATGTGAAGTGCAAGCAGGGAGATGGCAGGAGTTTGACGCATTGCTGGGGAGGTGGATAAACGATCATATGCCTCAGAAGCGGTGGCCAGATCACCCATGTCAGCTGCGGCGATGCAAATCTTAGAAATGGCCTGATCACGAGCCTCCTCACTCAACTCAGTTTTGGCCTTTGCAAGCGCTTGAGCGTGTTCCCCAAGATCCAGAGAGTGTTGAACAAGCGCATCCTTCACAATCACGGACTCAATCACAGCCCAGCGGTCATCACGGTTCTCGACCTCATCGAATGACGAGCGGATTCGGTCAAGGAAACTCATGGCGCCCTCTTCCTTTCCACACCCTCAGATAAGCATGGATGAGAGCAGCATAAACCTCGCCGTCTAAGCGTTGCACGATGCTGAAAACCCCCTCGTCATCAGAAACAGCCAGGCTCCGATATTCATTGTAGCACTCGACGGCGCTCTTGAGATCCCCAACGCGCGCAAACGCATCGATCATAGCTGGGAAGATAGAAGCGTGCGGAACTACTTTTTGCACTTCCATGTGAGCATAGATGCGCACCATGTCCTCCACCTTACCCTCCCGAGCACATGCGATGATTAGCTGACGATAAACACTCAAAGGGAATACAATGCGGGGGAGGCGGGAGATCGCGGCATCAAAGAGTTTCACTGCGATCGACAAAGAGTGGTCCTCAGCGATGATATCTCGTTCCAGTTCACTTGATTGGAGCATGAACTTGCCAGGCTCCTCCATTCCACCGAAGCGCACGCGGTCCGCTTCCAATGCCTCCTTTGCGTTGATCGCCTTGTTGGCATGGGTTACAAGCAGCTGAACAAGCGTCTCGTAGGTGTCTTCATCCGGCACCACATTGCGGCGAAGCATGTCAGAGTAGACATCCAGTGCCTTGGGAATGGCCTGAGCCGAATCGGGGTGCAGCTGGATGGCCGCGGCCAGCAGGGCATTATAAGCATCCACGGTCGGAGTCAGGCCATCTCGCAGGATATGGAAAAAAGCCGCGGGGATGTCAGCAAATTTCTGGGCTGTGGCCAACTGAACGATCTGGTCAGAGGCAGCCCGCGCCTCTTCCGAAATCTCCTCTGAAATCAGATCCTCAACTGCGGATTCTCGAGAGGCCGACTGCTCGCTGGCCTCTGCATTATCAGCCTCGGCTTGCTCCTCCTGAAGCTGCTGCATCTCCCGCGCAACAGCCTCTTCCACTTGAGCGCTGACATCCTCGTTCACGGCGGCCTTGGTCAGGTGGGGGGACACATGAGATCGGTCTTGTGTGGCGTGATCGTCTTCTTCAGTCGATGGCTTCCATCCGATACGGCGCTTGAACTGAAATTGCCGCCAATCACTATCGTCACCGGTCTGTTGGGCATGCTGCCAGGCCGCGTAGTACGCGGCTAACCCCATATCCCCTGAGCCCGAACTCCCCTGGCTAGCCTTGGCGCCAGCGCCAGACGAGCTGGAGGCATTGGAGAAAGCATTCTGAAGTTGGGTCCGTGTAAGTTTGGCTGGCTGGGTGGCGAGATGGTTGAAGGTTGCTTGGGACGCGTAGGAGGACTGCGACGCCGCGACTACGGATTGAGCATAGCCGTGAGTGAAGGCTTTGGTGAAACTCTGGCGCGCGAGGTGGGTAAACGGCTTGAAAACCATTTATCTAGCGGGTGACCTCTTCTTCAGTGTGAAGAGGCAATACTGTTTATGAAGAGAGCGAAGGTCAGATCGCGAAAGCTCTCAAAATCGGTACGGCATGATACCGCTGCGCGGCTTACTTTGCACTCAGGATAATAATTGAGATGCAGGTTCATTGAACGACGTAGTCGCCAATGAACGCGCTTGAATCAGGGTATTGAGGGGAGTGATTAAGAAAGACCTAAGTGACAGGTCGGGTGTGAAAAACAAAGGAGTAAAAAAAGGGTTGAACGAAGAGGAACACGGAAGCCTAAAAGTTGGAGATTAACCCCCGTTAGAAAATCCGTGGGTTTCTGGAAGGAGACGGAGTCTCCCAGTGGGCCTGGATAGACAGGTTTAGAGCCGATCTTCTCCGGAGAATCCTCTGGAGGTACTCAGTACCTTCGCTCTACCCACCAATTGGATCTATGTGTCGATAATTTGAATATAGGTCGCAGAAAGGGCTCTATTCATTGAGACATCGTATTGATACATCGACACTTTGGAAAAGCAGATATGGATAATACTCCGAACGTACAGCTACCATTCAGGGAGGTTCTCCTATGATGGCAGGCAAGTATTGAGTACTCGTCCTGCCAGGTCCAAAAGGCTGTCCCTGGCCCAATTGTGGCAGGTCACGAGGCCTACGGACCAATCCGCGGGCCGGAGATGAGCCCAAGCAAACGCGAGCCAGCCAACCGGAGACGCTGGCCTTCTTCCCCGCCAATCAGAGCCCGAGCAATCTCGCCCTGAGTGAGTCACCCTGTTCCAGCTGGTTTCCCTCCCGGTTCTTTTTCTTCTTTAACGGTCCTCGCTGTTTACAGTTGGCCCTTCGGAGGGGCGGAAGTCCTACCTCCGCCGGCCTCGGGGTAAGGGTTACCCTTGCCCGGTCTTAACGGGCTTTTGGCTCATCCCCTGTCCCCGAGAAGCATTCTCCGGGCTCCATTCTCCCATCCCAGGAGCTGACTCCAAATTCAGCCCCATGCGCGAATTTAGCTGATCAAGCCACAGAGTTCATTAGGAGCCCAGAAGCGCCAGCTTACAGCCATGATGACATCAAACGTTGAGGAAGGTTATCAGATCAACATATTTTTTTTTATCTTCGGGCCAACGAACCTTGGAACGGTCGGTTAGCCGCGGATCACGTGGATATATTATCTTACTCACGTGACCAACATGTAAGATCGATCTATCCATCATGGATGTTTCTTGTTCGGTTTCTCGCGGGCATCATCCGCGGGAGCACTGATGAGTTAGATCTCTTCAAAAGGAATGTTGAAGACGGGTTGATATTCACTTCCTGGTAGTTACGGTGAGTACAGATAGGTACTACATCGGGTTAAAGGAAGCTGTCGCATTCGAATTATGCAGCAAGATCGATCTACTTACTATGTAACGTGATTTACCTAGGGCAGCGCTTCGAGGAAACCGCCAAAGATCCGACTGAATTGAGGCTGCTCCGCCACTAATGGCATGTACTCACTACGTCGAAGCGGCAGCTGACTAGAAGTCACCTTGAAGAATTTACAAAGCGCGCGGCGGCCCATAAATTGTCATTCGCAAACTAGTGAAATCGAGGAATATCAGTGTATATGCTCTTTCAATCAAATCCCAGAAAGGAATCAAGTTTCACGCAAGAAATTAGACCAGAAGACGCACAGCACATCTGACTTGATAAACTGATGAATTTCGGAGTAGTTGTCAAGGCATTGGTTGGCTTTAGAAGAAACTTGGACTGAATTGTTGAATTATCTGCTGGGAGCCTGACTTCGAACCTGTCTTGGGGATTGATCCATCTCTAATCCATCAATGTATATGGTACAAGTCTTCTAGTCTTTTGTAGAGGTTCGTTGGACATCTGATATCATTCTAAAGAATCATGTCTACCAGTAACGTCAAAGATGAGTCTCGTTCCTTGGGATGTGGCCTGTCGCTACTCAGGGTTGTAACACATCTCGCTACGAGTTGAAAGCGCTTTAGTAAACTTCGGAAAATCCGGCCAATGTGTCGGATTTTCAAGGGGTTCTACACCCAGTCAGATACGATTAGGCCTCTAGGAAATGTATGAACTTGATGCGAATAGCCTGTCCTACTAGTCCAAGTGCCAGTTGTATAATCTTTCGAGCGAATTAGTATGGATAGCTTGGGCTCTTACTAGTACTGAAAAGGGAAAGTCGGGATGTATCTGTCATTTCACAGATTTCGTGGGAGTCAATAGCTGTCATTGTATCTGAGGACTGCTCTTCGATCCTTAATTGGCAAGTACACCTTATGTATCTGAGGGTACTTCATGGCCAAGCGATATGATAGCAGAATGTGACGTCAGGTTGTGCCGCATCCTGGTAAGAGGGTACGAAAAGATGCCAATTCAAAGATGTGCGCTCGGACAGTACGTAGGGGCCATCTGTGCTCGATCAACTTCCGTGTCCTATTGAGCCCCCACAATCTTTGTGGGGAAGCCTGGCAGGGATATTGCATCTCAGCGCACGACGTTGCTTGGAACACGACGCAAATCTACTAGTTAGTAGAAGATATACGTAAGCTCGAGCTTGGTTGCTGCCAAATATCTTTGTAGTCCTATAAGTGGCCGAGAGTGTGCATGATTCTGCTGATCTGCTGGAAGCACGCCAGCCAAACCCTAGCTGCTTCACCGCATACGCGTGTTACCTTTTCGCGTTGATCACACGCGACACAGGCTATTCGCTTGGTTTCCTGCAGCGCTACATGAAGATTCGTCTATAAAAAAAAAGCTTGACAGTAAAACGGGTCGACATGCTGGTGACTAAACTGCACCTGATCTATCATCATAGTCCTCGTACAGCTAGGAACTTTCAGGTGCTTCAAGTTCTCTGTGTAGGAATGAAATGCCAACTTGAAGCCCAGGTCGATGAAATATTTTGAGTGAACCGGTATTATGAGCCTTTTAGCCTGGCCGTTTCATCTCCGAGGTATTTCCGAGTTCAAGTAGTAAAAAAGAACACGACGAGAAGCGTCGAGAGACGAGGGCTGTGAGGATATGACTCTCACTTATATCTATCCCACTACGGAGGACGTCGGCAGCAATGGCCTGACAACGTAAAGAGCCTGACAAAGTAAAGAGCAACGGTGTGGAATTCTGTGAAATTTGATCGCTGATCTCGGGAGTATGGGCTGACAATTTCCCAGGCAAAAATTCCCAGGTCCACCCTGGCTCTCCACTAAGTACCCGTGCCAAATTGGTTACATCATCGTTCCGTCTCCTTCTTGGGTGGGCCAGCGGTACAAGTTATTCTACCGTGACACGTCCACACGGCATGCCTCTACCGTGACACGTTCATACCGCAGCATTCGCCTTCCGCCTTCAGCTCCCGCCATTTCTATGAAAAACCGAGAATTAAGGGATCTTACTAATTGCCTCAGGGTTCGGAGTCTGGACATAGAAGGATCGTCTTCTTATTGGCTCGCGGAAGCCAAAGGGCAGCGAAGCAATGCCAAGACCAACTATGCAGCCGGCGGGTTCCGCCAACTGAACCCTTCGTACTAAACCATTGAAATTTAGGAGGATGATACTGAATCGGTCGATTTCCACGTGACCGGCGGGATTACGGCCTCTGCGCTCTGCGGAGCTTTGGGAGTGGAACAACCTCAAGTGGGTCAACAAATTTCGAGGACTCTGGGCCAGAGTCAATTTCAACCAAAGGGTGTTTGTTGCTCGCCACTCCCAGAGCCACTGGATATGGTCATATGTGCATAACTCATGTGTAAATCTTGACTGACAGTTAGCTAAACTGTGTAGTTAGTTACCTAATCATTTAGCTCATTCAAGGTCTGAGCCAGTGTGAGGGGAGGCCTGGCCATTCGAAGCGCTCCACGCCAGAAGACGCCCTACAGGGCTTATTCGAGTCACACCTTCTGACCAGCCTTGCCGACTTACCGACGAGCCGTGCCATGGGTTGGCTATTCTCCATAGGGCAAGGCGACGCCACAGGATTTTGCGAGTCGGAACTAGTCGATATGTACTTGGCGAGAATGGGAACTACTACTCCGTACTCCGTAGATGCAGCTCAATTCTTGTACTGGCAGGGCCCCATGTAGGGCTGCGCAGGGATACAGTCCATACGGCGCTGGAACAAAGACCATGAGACATGCGCCTCAAGCGTGGCACCACGATGTCCCCATGCCACGTACCATGAGGCACGTTTTCTTCCGCCCATCCAAATCGTTCGGCGGCCCATAGCGGCTTCAAAATGCGGCATTCATCGACAGCGGATGTTCTAGAAGTGGGTCTGAGATCGTCCCTCCCATGACGGTACTGACTTCGCGCTGAGACCCTGGCCCGCGTCATCTGTACCTGACCATTTCGTACTCGTACCCCGTAGAGTATACTTCGATCCCAGGCGAACTGATGAGCGGTAGGAAATATTTCTTTCTAGAATGCATAGGACAAGCCCAAGAGTTCCATTTGACGGCCCTTTGTTACAGAGCCATGGACGTACCGGCCACTTTAATTCCATATATCCGAATCGGCTTGCCTTTGCCGTCTAGTCGGTGCCGGCGTTTCCGGATGAGCTTCAAGTCTGATGACAGTCCACATAGTGTGGTTCATGCCCTCGGGGATTGCTTGGAAAGTTAATTCTCGTTAATTTTTTCTTCCAGGCTGTGGAGGAACAAGGATTCTGGAAAAGTGCAATGCTTATAAATTGAGCTAGGTCCCTGTTTGGCCCGCATGATTTTGGAATTTTAGTATTTAGCTCGCAGCTTTCCAATTTTTTTTTTTTTTAATTTTTTTCTTTTTGGTTGCGAGAGGGATTGCCAGAAAAAAAAAGAAAAAAGGAAAGCTCCCTATACGACTTTCTAACCTTTCCATCTTTTTCTCCAAATTCCCGAAGCACTTATACGAAACATTGATAATGGTGGCGCAAATTCTCTCGCCTGTCGCGCATCCTCCAGAGCGCATTGCCGGGCGTGGCTCTGAAAGCGACAGCTCTGTAGACGAGATCGCAGACCAGAAACAGAAGCTCTTCGCAACAGCATTGGGCAAGAATGGAAAGGACTTAAATAAATCGGCTTCTCCCAAGCGCTGGAAAACATTTTGGGCCTCATGGCGATATCTATTGAACCTAACCCCTAAAGAGGTGGACGATTTCATGGCATCGTACGTCATTTACAATCTCGATTGGTCGGACGAAAAGCAAATGACCGAGACGCTGGGCCCCAACTATCAAGAGAAAGTTGGCGACTGTTTGAAGTCGTACTACGGAGTGCTCAACCACCTTTGCGCGCTGGGCGACGTGGAAAAGATGTATATCCCCCCGTGGATGAGCAAGAAAGCAAACTGCCTGGAGAATCAAATCCTGTACGAACGTTCCATCGCGCAGGACATCGGCCTTTCCGCCGGCGACAAAGTCCTGGACCTGGGCTGCGGCCGCGGGCGAGTGGCGGCCCATATGGCACAATACACCGGCGCCCACGTCACCGGCCTCAACATCGACCCGAACCAGATCGCGCAAGCGAAGCTCTTCAACGAGGAACGCGGCCTGTCCAACTCCTTCGTCACCCAGGACTTCAACTCCCTCCCCCTCCCCTTCGCCGACGAGAGCTTCGACGCCTTCTACCAGATCCAGGCCCTGAGTCTCTGCAAGGACCTGCCCGCTCTCTTCCGCGAGGTCTTCCGCATCGTTAAGCCCGGCGCTCGCATTTCTCTCCTCGACTGGATCAGTCTTCCCGCTTACAACCCCACGGACCCTGAGCATGCGGAGCTTATGCGCCGGGTCAAGCCGTTGATTGGGGCCGTGGGCACCCCCACCCAGGCAAGTCTGGAAAAGGCGCTAACGGACTCCGGGTTTGAGATAGTGCGGTCCCAGAACGCCAGCATTGACGGGCTGCAGGCCCCGCTGATCGACACCGTTGACTTGTACTTTCGTACCCTGCGGCAGGTTATTCTCGCGCTGGTCAAGGTCCATGCGCTGCCGCGCCATTTCAAGACCCTGATCAATCGCCTGTGTCTGGATGGACAGGCTTTTGTCAAGATGGATACGATGCGCCTGGCCACGACGAGCTATAGTATCATTGCGCGCAAGCCTAAGGCTTAAGCGAGGTGTCTCTACACCAGGACTTTTTATAATAAGCACGGACATGCTCTGTGTGACAGAGCGGGGTACCTACTAAAACCTGCGTTTCCTTTCCTTTCTTCTCTTTTTCTTTTTTTTTTTAATTGCTGATTCATATGGGTTTCCGGGCCGACCCACCCCCGGGTTTCCATTAGTTCTGGTTTGACCTCATACTGAATTCCGCCTTCTTTGGAAATACCCTGTACAGCTTTAGAGTTAGATGGTCTTGGAGTTCATGGGCACTTTGGTGCTTTCTATGACCTTGCAGCTTGGAGTTTTTTTCTTTGCTTTTTTCTTCTTCTCTTCTGTTGGAGTTCAATGTCTATGTCTGCATCAGTTTTACCTGCAATCGATGAATTGCATTGCCTCGAGGAGTAAATGTTTCAACGGCGCAAGTTGTTTCTACGCAATCGCTGCGCTGACCACGAAGTTTCGTTGCTGGGCGTTTATCGACAGCTACCATAGACCTTGACAGATTGGGACGCCTAGGGATAAGGGTTGTATGTCCCATTCCCGTAACAAGGCCCGTCAATCTCATACCCACTCACATTCTGCACTGGCACTCCGTCGGCTCCAAAACGAAGCACATTCGACCCATAAGTATACGGTAGCCACCCGAGGGCAGGAGGCCCCTTCACAGGATCCTTCAAGAAAGCAAAAATCATATCTTGCATAGTCTCACTCGTCTGAGCCTCCGCCTCAGTCGGGCCTGTCGTGGCATTCGTCGTATTCAGCCAGTAAGTACCGTATATCATCGGGTTATCCGAAGAATGATAGGCCCCAAGCCAGGGAAACGGCTCCACATGAGACCACCGTCCAGCATACTGGTAGCGGTAGGTAAGGCGGTTCGCAGCGTGACGCATGTTACTCGTGTTTGCGGTGGCACAGACCCAGCCAGAGAGGGTGCCCGCGACAATGGCCGGTTCCCAGGGGCCGACTGTCACGTTCGAGGAGGGCCATGGAGCTAGCGTAGCGTCGTTGTTGGCGACGTCGGAATAGATGCTGGGGATATTGGCGAGCTTCCCTTCCGCAGCCCTGGCAGTGTAGTTTGAAAAGACGAGCTTTTCGTCAATGATCGGATTGAATGAGATTGTCTCGTTGGTGGTGCCGATGAAGTTCGTTATCTGTGTAGCAGGGACGTTTTGGAAGCACTGGAGCTCGGCCTTCGGGTTGTTGGGAAAGTCACAACCTAGACTCTTCGCCACAAAAGTAAAGTTCGTGTGCGAATAGTCCTCTGTGGCAGTGCCCTTCAGCGCGGTCCCGGACTGGGAGAAGCTGCTTCTCACAATCGGGTTATCCCAGTAAGCGTAGTTGTGGTAATCAGTACTAATGGCACCTGCGGACTGGCCCCAAAGTGTAATAGCCTCCGGGTCTCCTCCAAAGGCCTCGATGTTCTCATGGACCCATTCAAGGGCTTTGCGCTGGTCAAGAAGACCGACATTGGGCGAGTCGGAGCCTGCAGCGTTGGGAAAACCGAAGATGCCCACGCGATAGTTTACAGACACCACAATATGTCCCTGGGTACGGCTAACCCAACTCTGGGGCTTCTGGCATATAACGTCTACTCCACCGGATGTGAAGCCTCCACCAGGTAACCAGACAATGACTGGAAGCTTGCTGCCTTTGGCAACATGATACGGAGTCCAGATAGCCAAGCGGAGACAGTCCTCTGACCCTGTCTGCAGACTCTGGCCATTGGAGTGATTTTGGTTGCCGTTCTGTGGCAAGAAGTAGGTTCCATATGTATTCCAGAAACTTGGGGAGGTCCCCTCGAATTGAGGACATGAGGGAGGGAACCGCGTCGAATAGATATGTTCGTCGGAGTGAGGCAAGGTTTCTGGAGGTAGAAAGCGGAATTTTCCCACCGGAGATTGCGCATATGGAATGTTTCGGAATTCCCGAACAGTTGCATGGTAGGAATTCTGGACGCCTGTGAAGATGCCAGTATTGGTCTTCACAGTCAAGGCGGAATCGGAGGTCGCCTTTGAGCTGGCCCGTCCCACACTGGCAAGCCAGAGCAAGGACACGAGGAATTGCATATTGGCAACTAGAAGCAGTCAAGGGAATATTTAGGCTCCGGTGGAGATGGCTATAGGGTTTCAAACTTCGGGTTACCAAGTGTAGCCTTTTTTCCATCTTTAGATAGCCTTTGAACTGACCGGGAAGATTGCTATGCGGAAATCCCGAACCCCTGATCTGAGAAATGAACTCCAGAGGACCTCCACTTGAGCAAGCCACTTTCTAAGCTTATTATGTTATGAGGGGTGACGGCACTACGCCTATGGCTACTGACTGCCGATTTATCCGCTCTTTCCGCAGACATCTCAATGTGATTTGTGGGGTGTGGATGTTGATTGCCAAACTAAGACATATTGAGTGCAAGATCCCCACAAAAGTTGCTGGCCCCCATGTACCCCGCCCTGGCTAACCCTTCTCTCGGGTAATAACCAGAGTCAGACTCGAAAGTAATACTGTATACTGTCAATGATATGGCTGTGTCATGCCACCCGAAGGAATAAATATCAGAAGAAAGTCCCAGCCATCGATAGGCATGGTGGGGTTCTAAATACCTTCAGGGCCTTCACGAGTATGTATGACGCAGAAAAGCATATTCATGATATAGTAGGCAAATAAGCACAGCGTAGGAAGACACATTTAGCATGTAGTCCTATAGAAAAATGAACATATGTCTTTGAGCAGTTCTCCCTACTAGTGCTACTGCTATCACTTGTAATGAAGTGCCAGGTCCCTGTCACAACTCATTGAGGTGCGGCATCTTCACCAGCCGCCCTCGCTCTTTTGTTGGCTATTGGACTGCCTTCAGAAGGCAATACAGTATAATCAAGTCTGGCATTGGCACTCCCTGGACCACGCTTTCTCGCAGCGGTTCCCCAAGTATGTTCTCAATTTCAATTAGATTTCCCTTCTGTACGTCCGTCAGCATGCTCGGAGTGATATCAAGTTCTCTCAGGTCAATGTAAACACTCTGACTGAAGAATCTGGGACATAGATCATGACCAAAAAAGAGACGAGCTGCTTTTGCAAGTTCTGGAAACTACTAAAATGTTAAATTTTTTGTATGTTTAAAGATGTTATATAGATAGGAAGATCTGAAGGGGACTGGGCTTATTTTAAAGAGTATATTAATCTCATATAGAATGTGTTAGACTAGACGAAGATTGATATGTTAATATTGAGTATAGGAAGAAGGATGGATAGATTATGTCAATGGTGGCCTACGTTGGGAACAGAAAAGAACCAGCAACGGCGCTCGTATTCGAGATACTAGAACTAGAGGAGGGGAGGAGAGAAGAGAGGCGGAGGAGTTACTGTAGCGACCTATCTACTCCTACGCGAACCTCTATCCCATCTACACCCACCTCGTAGTTCGGACGGTCCTCTTCCAGCGACAGGGCGGTAACGGGAGGCAGAATAGAGCGAGCGGTGACAGATTATATATAAACCTAGATTATTATACAAAATATTAAGTAAGAGAACTCTGTATATAAACCTGATTATTTAGTATTCTGGATTTTAGTATGATCCAATAAGGGTTGGTGGTGTAGGATATGTAACCATGAACATACATCAGTATTTGATGGGGTAGGTGAAGCGGTATGCACACAGACTTTTGTCCCCTATTGTACCAACACCTCTAAGTTTCCCCACTACCAAGATGTTCTTATCGGCACCCATAGTTGGCCTTACTCGAGGCAAGAAAAGGCCGGAATTATGGGTCAATATTCGAAAAATCATATTCATTTGGAGAAAGCCTTTCGATTCTCTATTTTGGAAGTCTCTGGCATGTCAAGTTTCCTTGTAATCCCCAGCGTAACTTAGTTACGTGGCCTTTGACAATTAACCCGACAGCAGCTCGCAGACTCGAATTCTTGCCAAAGAAGGAAAATAATACGAAAGACACGAACGTAAGCAGAAAGGAGCACCGCTATAGGGCGATAAGAAGTAACTCGAACTACCCCGCGACGCCTTCCAGTACATTGCTCCACCCGGAATGAGGAAAGGCACTCGCTTAAAACGCTGGCTAGTAAGATAAGAGATAGCACGATTGGCCTTCGGCATATTAACACCAGAACCTGCATTACCATTTGCTTCCATTGAATCTTATTTTGCGTGTCGCGTGAAGGTAGCTTCTCCCGTTCCATAATAAATAGGATGACAGACCGCAAGATCTCCCTCGAAGAACTCAGTCAGCATCAAGAAGCGGAAGATGCTTGGATGGCCATAAACTCTGTTGTTTGGAACGTCACCGGTTTTGCTGGTATTCATCCTGGCGGTCCAGATATTATCCTGGAGTACATTGGCCGCGATGGCAGCGACCAATACAACAGTGTCCATAGCTCCGGACTTGCCGCGAGGAACTTCGAAACATCCCAAAGAATCGGCGTCCTGGATGCCCCCACCAAAAGTAATACAGACGCAGATCGTGACAACAGAAACCCAAAGCTGGATCGGGAATTACCTGGTTTGGATGAGATCATCAACCTTCACGATCTTGAAGATGCTGCCGAGAAGTCTCTGAACGAAAGGTCCTGGGCCTATCTGTCTGGCGCAACAGACGGCAGCATAACGAAGAACAGAAACTGCAGCATATTCGAGGAAGTTTATCTTCGGCCGCGAGTTGCAAGGCCGGTAGGTTCGGCAGATACAAGAGTCAAGATCCTTGGTGACGAATATGATGTGCCTATTTTCAACGCTCCTGCGTCACTCATGATGCTCGCTCACCCGGACGCCGAAATAGCTCTTGCGAAAGGGCTAGCCGCAAGTGGCAGCACGATAGTGATTCCTACCCTCGCGTCCTACTCGACAGATGAGATCGTTGAAGCTCTCCCGAAAGGCCATCCTTTCTTTTTTCAGCTTTATACAAGTCCGGACAAAAGCGTCCTGGACAAGATAATAGATACGGTCGTCAGGCTACAGCCCAGAGCCATCTTTGTTACTGTGGATCTCCCAGATTTTGGCAAAAGAGAAGCAAATGAACGATACGAACGGAAGGTAGCGAAACAAAAAAAAGACAGTTCCAAGACAAAGCAAAAGTCGAACCAAGCTCGGTCGGCAGGCGTTGCTATTGATTCAGATCTCAGTTGGTCCAAGATCCAATGGCTTCGAGAACGTACAAATTTACCTATTTTTGTCAAAGGTATCCAGTGCGCCGAGGATGCATTACAGGCCTGGAAGATCGGATGTCAAGGAATCTACATCTCGAATCACGGAGGCCGAGCGGCTGATACGGCGCAGCCCACGCTACTAACCTTGGCTGAGATCCGACTCCGGTACCCAGAGCTCCTGGAACAGATGGACGTCTTTATCGATGGTGGCGTTCGGCGAGGAACCGACGTATTGAAGGCCATTTGTCTTGGGGCGAAAGGCGTATGCCTTGGTAGACCCTTCTTCTACGCTCTGATGTATGGGCAGGACGGGGTTCAATATGCAATGCAAAGTAGGCTATGCCGGGTGGACCCGATTTCTCTTTTCTTTTTGGTAATCGCTAATTTGTTATGCTAGTTCTCAAAGACGAGCTGGTGACAGCTATGAAACTCTGCGGCGTTGCTCGCCTTTCCGAAGCTCACCCTGGACTCCTGAACACAAGAGCTCTGTTGAACCAAGTCGACTACGGAACAGAATTCAGAAGCAAGCTATGAATGCAGAAAATGATATGGCTTGATGGCGGCGCCGATGTGCCCCCTCACCCTCTATCTCTGATAAAGCGCAATGTACCTTTTCCCCACCGCTCTGTGTTCGATTCGTCTGGAGCTGCATGGTCCCAATTCGCCGATTGGCTCTCTAGACTGAAAAACACATGAAAATATCCTGGATTGAGCCACCACCTCATCAATGAAAGGCTGCCACGTCTTTGCTCTGACCAGCATAGTTGATATGCCCATTAACCTTAACCATGCATCGAATCTAAACTCTTGAGAGCATGATCAGAAGTGCAGCTTCACTGTAATCATCAAAGTCAAGTGTAGCATCCTTGAAGATTGTAGTGATCTGTAAGAAAAGCCTGGTTTATTTGATCTATGGACATTGTCTACTACGACCTCAGGCGATATCTCCCCACGATACCATCCATCAAGCGGCCAAACTGGGCCCCCTAAATTGCGGCACGCTAGCCTCTTTGGGAGATTTGGATACATCCTTGCTTCATGCGCCCTTCGCACCTGGCGCCCTAGGTTGATTGTCTGCAGTCCGCTGCACCTACTTACTCTCATCAACACCCGCGTTTGACTGGGCCCATAGCGAGAACTCCTCGCTTCCGCCCTAAGACCGCTGCAACCGCACCACCCCGCACCCGCATCCAACACCCCACCACTGCCTTGTTTTCTCCCCAATTTCACAACCCGGCCTTGATATGGCTCCTCGACCATCATCCGTGACGGCCTTGTCAGCGCCTGGCAAGGTTCTTCTCACGGGTGGATACCTTGTCCTCGACCGCAATTACACAGGAACGGTCTTTGCTCTGGATGCGCGCATCCATATCGTCGTGCAACAGCTGAGACGGGGCGCTCGCGGAGGTACGGAAGGCAAAGCTGCGCCAAGTGAGGCGCAGTCTGGATCTGCGGCTGAGGAGGGCGAGGGTAAGGATACTATTGTGGTGCGCTCCCCGCAATTTGTGGACGCTATCTGGGAATATGCGATCCAACGATGCGAGAACGGCGGAGGCGTGAAGGTCATTCAGAAGGGAGAGGGGTAAGGAGTGCCACATTATTGCTATGGACTGGCATAATTCGAGTATGGGGATTCTGATGTGACTGACAAAGTGGTTTCTAGGCGCCGCAATCCTTTTGTCGAGACCTCTCTTAACTACGCATTGACATACATCGGCTATGTTGCCGACTCTAAGGACTTCGGCTCATTGTCGATCACCATCTTGGCAGACAATGACTACTACTCGGAAACTGCAGGATCGAGAGGCCCCGCTTCGCAAGCTAGGGGTGGGCGCTTTGTCGACTTCGGTGTTCCACTTCATGAAGCCCATAAGACTGGCCTCGGATCGTCGGCTGCTTTAGTGACGGCCTTGTCTCCGCCCTGGTGATTCACCGTACCATGCAGGCTGAAGACCTCGGCGCAGGCCGTGATAAACTTCACAACCTGGCCCAAGCTGCCCACTGCGCAGCCCAGGGTAAGGTAGGCTCCGGCTTTGATGTGGCCGCTGCGGTGTACGGCTCATGTCTCTACAAGCGGTTCTCGCCAGCTATCTTGGAGTCGGTGGGAGATGTCGGCTCAGAGGGGTTCGAAGAGCGCCTATTTGCCGTGGTCGAGGATGCTGACCCGGCTCACCCGTGGGACACGGAGTGTGTCGACTTCGGAATGCAATTACCCCGGGGAATGCAAATGGTGTTATGTGATGTTGACTGCGGCTCACAGACACCCTCAATGGTAAAGAAAGTCCTCGAATGGCGAAGAGAGAACAGCAAGGAGGCCGATATTCTCTGGGCCAGTCTACAAAATAACAACGAGCGACTCCGCCAGGAGCTGAAACGTCTGGCACAAGACCCTGATGCCAATACCGATAATGAGTTCACCGAGATTAGCACTCTCATTCAGCGTACCCGTCATCACATCCGCACCATGACCCGCCGGACGGGCGTTCCCATCGAGCCGAGTGTGCAAACAGAGCTACTGGACAGAGCCTCCGAGGTTGAAGGTGTCGTCGGTGGTGTGGTACCCGGTGCAGGTGGATACGATGCTATCGTCCTACTTCTTCGAGACGACCCCTCGGTCATGGGCCGATTGAATGAGCTTTTCGAAAACTATGAAAGTATGACCGAGGACGACTTCGGAGGAAAGATCGGCAAGGTACGACTATTGGGAGTGCGACATGGATCAGAGGGTGTCAAGAACGAAGTGCTTGACCAGTACGCTGGCTGGGTCTAGACAGCATAAGGCTAGACTTGCGGTCAGGCATGATGGAACCTATCTTACACGATCACATACTGTACTGGCGAATACTTGACTAACCACCTCTAACGGTGTGACACTTGACTCAGAGTTGTCCTGCTGGTATCTTCCCTTCCATGTTCATATTTAGGCCTGAACCATAGGGAAATGTGGAATAAGCCCAAGGCAATCACTGATCTTGTCCATCTCAGGTCCCGAACGACCCGTCTCCGTAAATCAATGTTTGCGTACTTTATCCTATCCGATCTCTGGCCCTTGCTGACCCGGGCAGCGCGTTCTTTCCTCATAACTGAGATCATAGCTGCATATACTATGAATAATAATCATACACTTGGGGCTCATGCGAAATGACTACAGGTACCACTAAGGACTGCCTCTCGCAAGAATGAGCATTCAAGGCTTACTATTCAGATACCTGGCATGAGCGTCGTAGTCGCCCATGCCACTAGTACTGATAACAAAGCTATCGCCGGCAGAATGGCAATGAATCCAGTCGAATACAGGCTCTTGATGCAAGCCTTTTTCTATGTCTGCTATCCCCCATGCAAGTATATGCTATATCCCTGTGCGCTAATGTCGAGGTGTGTAGCCAAAAGAGCCTTTAGACCTTATGTGCAACCATGTGCTTTCGAACTTTGATTCGGCCTGGGGATTAGCTGAGTATGGAATTAGCCCTGTGTATAATCCCCGGTCTTTTTGCAGGGATGTTTTTTCTGATGTCATGGACCCTGGAAGGTTTTTTCAGTGGCCGTCTGCTGGTACGTATACTCGAAATGCATTAACTTCAACTTGAGTTTTCTATTCTCACGCGAGAGAAGCTCATGTGGCTCGCAGCTTGCAAATGGCGCAGCACATGAACCTCGTTTAGTTGTATATTAAATGCCACAGAAAACGAGCGTATGACAATGCGTCGTATGCTGAGCTTGTGTACGAAGTACCTCGCATCCAGTACCGGACCCTCTCAGAGCAGGATTTCGCGGTCTCTTTGGTCCTAGACTCGGCAAATCCTTTCGCCCTGGTATACTTGAGGTCTTCCTGTTCATAAGAAATGCAAAACCTTGACCCCTAGAAGTTCAGATTTGTCGAAAGCTTTACGCGAATAGCCTCGGCTACTTTAGGGTTCTGTACATCGACGTTGATTGCCCCGTTCCGCCAGCGTTCTGAGCCTTACGGGACCGCCGATCCTCTTCCCGTATTTCCTTCACCCCCCTGCCCCCTCATGCTCCATTTGACCTCGTGGAGGACGACTCTGGTCCCTCAAACATATTGAGTTGAGGCCCGCGAAGATTTCTCACAGGCCAAAGAAGGCCACGAGCAAGAGTTGGCGCGAACGTCTAGCCGACCCGGGTCCTCCTCACATCTGGACCCCCGATCGACCATCTCCTCTCGACCTCCACCCTGACCTCATCCAGTTCCCACTTCTCCCAGCGTTGCTCTCCTTTGCTTCCTTTACCAGGGTAGTCACAACCGGGCTCAATTATCCATACCCATCGGAGTTTTCCCACCATGTCTTTGCCTGAGCACCCAGACTCCGGGCCCCCCAACCCCAGTCTCGAGCCCAGATCGGGGGCATCCACCGCAGACGGGCAGAGCGCGACCCCCGCTACAGATTCATCAACTGCAACCCAAGTCCCCTCATCTACAGCGACCCCTATCCCCACGGGCTCGTCAGGCAACGCTCCCTCAGGCGACGCCTCGTCAGACGACACGGTGCATGCTACTCAGACTGCAGCCGGTGGCGAAAGTTCCGCTCCCGTACAAGAACACGCTCCGACCGCCGCGACTGGCGCAAACACTCCAGTCGTGCAGCCACCGATCCCTGAAACCTCGCCAATGTCAACCGAGGAGCCCAAGGCGGGCGCAGAGCCCTCGACGGAACAATCGGACGTGGAAGGGAAGGAGGCCGAGGATACCGGACCTGCACTCCATATTACGTTGCTTCTCACAACGGGCTCGCGGCATCCGTTCACAATCGACGGCAAATACCTTCGGAAGCGCTCGGTTAACGTGGAAAACTATGATCCGTTTGCAATGAGCGTCTATACTTTGAAGGAATTGATTTGGCGCGAATGGCGGTCCGGTAAGTTGTGATCCAAGGAGCTCGAGCTTCCAGCATGAGCTGTCGCAATGCCCCCGAAAGTGTTAAGAGCTAATCATTATGTTAACTAAAGACTGGGAACCCCGTCCGTCATCTCCGAGTTCGATCCGCTTGATCTCCTTTGGAAAGCTCCTAGACGACAAGTCGCCACTGTCCGGTACGTACTATGAGCTCAGTCATGCTATCTCTACATAGGATAGCTGGCTTCGTTCGTGCTTTCCTACTGTATCTGATTCTAACAATTCATTACAGAGTCGAGATTCAACCACGATGCCCCGAACGTCGTCCACATGACTGTGAAGCCGCAGGAGGTAGTTGATGAGGAAGACGCAAAGGGCACAAAGGCACAGTACAGTCGGGAGCGTGTTACCAGTGAACGCTCCCCGGGATGCCGATGTGTGATCCTCTAATCGTATGCTTTGGTCTGATATCAAAAGCCCCAAGCCTCCTTGTTATGGGTACGCTGTGATCAATGATGCTTATTACTAGAGACCCTCGACCAACCTGAGTGCAGGATCGACATCTCCCAGCCCAGTCGAGTATGGCTCTTTTACTTGTTGAATGTGCGCTCCGGAAGCGGCGTTTGGATATTTTGCTTCTCCGCTCTACACTCTTGGCTTCTTATACCCATCCTATTCTTTCCTTTGCCTCTTTCCTCGGTCCATTTCTCTCCCTATTGCTTCGCATCTCAGTCCCAAAACTGTATTTCTTATCTCGGGACTTGTATCTATCATCCGACTTTGTTTCTTCCTATCTTGTTGGTTCTCTGCGGGCTTTTTTATGTAAATGCTCTGCTGCATCCAAGGTTCTATCGTTGTGGAGTCTGACCCGGTTTACAATGAATGCTTCTTACCCTGATCAAATAAAGGCTTAACTTTCTGCTTTCTGTCAAAGATACTGCATAGTCGGCTTCGGATGAGACGCATAGAAACTTGAAAGCAGAATGATGGGGCAGGTACTACTACTAGCTAGCTTCAAGCTGTTGTTCTACTGCGTTTGCCTGCTTCAATCCAACAGCTTACAAGTAGATTTCTTTCGTGGATGGTCCATAGGAACTTGAAGGTGGTACTGTAGCTCATCGTCTGGGTATACTTAGAATTGGAGCACTACTAGACTCCTCCCAAGCTTACCAAGTCTGATGTACTAGTATTAAATAAGAGCGTCGTAATGGACAAAGTTCTCTCTGTTGAAGCACCGCATCAAATGAGACCAGATTATCAGTTCAACAATCCATTATCTATGATAGACAAAATCATGATAACCAAAGCGACTACTTGAACACGTGGGGCAAAGAACCAGAGAAAATCCGTGAAAGCATAGGCCTCATATCTAAAACTCGATCTTCAATCGCTTCTCCATCTCATCGTGGAAGGTAGGTGGTTCCCTGAATTCGTCGCCTGCAACACCCATGTTAGTAAAAAGCCCCAGTCCTGCCTCGAAGGCTTTATTCTTCTGGAGAAACATACCGTGGAATACATCTTCCCATCCAATCTCGGTATCCCGACCTCCAAGTACCAGGATATCCTCATGAATATTACCACCCTTCAGGCCACCCAGCACGGCAGGACGGAAAGTGCTGTCCCGCACAATCTTCAGCTCCATTCCGCGGCGGACAGGTTCGGCGATACCATAAGCTCGACGCAGGCCTTCCATCTTCAATGAATCTTGCGTTGCACGCCAGGCGAGGAGGCGGGCCTCCAGTGGGTGTGTGGAAGATGGGATTTCGCTGAGACCGGGGTTGTTGGTAGAGGAGGAAGTGGCATCGGCGGGGAGAGTGATCTTGTTACGAAGGGTGTCGGGCAGACCGGGTGCTGAGGGAGCTCCTTTTGAAGGGCGTGTGTACCGAGTCGTAGTGTTGGAGGCTTGGGTTGGGTTGCCCGATGGGGGAGCAATGCGGAGAGACTGATCTGTGTTAGTTTATCTTCTTTCTGTCCGTGATTCCATCTAACAAAGTGTATCCATGTCAAAGACAGATGCATAGCTCAAGCAAGAAGATTCCTGATGCTTATGGCAACCTGCGGCGAATCGGAGATCCGATAGGTTTGAGATGCAATGGGGGATTGATAGCTCGATAACGCACCATTATTATGGATGTGGATTGGTCTCAGATAGAACGAGATATTCCTGGTGAGGGATACAGATTCTGCGAACTCCGGAATGGTTGAACGCAAAGCAAGAGATAAAGAAAGGAAAGCTGATGACCGTAATGCGGAGCACTAGGCAGAGAAGCGGCGCGTCCAGCTCCTCCGGCGTCGAGCAGCCACCACTCCCGCAACTTACAGTCACGTGCCGTAGATCGAACATTTCGGACTCCAGTGCACGGGGACTAGATATCAATCACCAACCACGCATAATGCCCCAATTATTTTCGCCCTTGGCCCTTAGGGCCCTGCGGACCCTCGTACAGCGCCCTACCACATCATTAAACCCTATTCGCAACCTTGCCACCACAACGGCTGCCCCCGGCCCGCGATCACCTCCCGCGTCAACTTCCAGCCCGTCTTCCGCACACCGACAGCTGTTGCCCTTTCAGGGGCTGCTCGTCAGTTCTCCAGCTCTCCTATTATTCGCGCGACCTACAACCAAGTTCGCCGTGGCTGCCGGAAAGGACAGCGTGCTCGTCGGGCCCGATCGCCCGCGATCAAGGACCACCCGGCCATGAAGGGTGTTTGCGTGAGGACTGGTATTACCAAGCCTAAGAAACCTAACTCTGGCGAACGAAAGATTGCGAGAGTACGGCTGAGTTCTGGAAAAGTCGTGACTGCGATTATTCCCGGTGAAGGTATGCAAAGCTTGGAAGGCGCTAGGGCGCGAGGCGATTTCGTAGGCGATTTCGTGAGCTATTTGGCTAATGGATACCTTAGGTCACAATATTCAGCAGCACAGTGTTGTCCAGGTGCGTGGTGGCAGAGCTCAGGATTGTCCTGGTGTGAAGTACACTCTGGTTCGTGGTGCTATGGATTTGGTAAGTTTACACCGATGGAAGCTGGGTGGGAGGTCTTTGCTAATTGATTTCTAGGGTGGTGTTGGAAGCAGAATGACCAGTCGGTCCAAATACGGCACTAAGAAGCCAAAGACCAACTAGATTTCATAAATTTTGGGGATGATATAAGGTCCAGATCAGCCGGTCTGGGATTCTGTTACGTGGTTAATCCAACTGCATAGTCAGAAGCACGTTACCTTGAAGCTCTTGTATTATCTTTTCCGTCAAATTACATGTATCAATATTCATTCCAAGGTTATTGCATTTTCAATCCTTAATGGTTCATTTTCATTACTTTGAGTTAAGAATACAGAACATAAAACCGGGGCACCCAAGTTTCAAGCAACAAGAATGACTTGGTTCATTGAGAACCCTTCGCATTCTGGTAATCACCTGGGCATGCATCGAGTCTCCGGGAGTAAATACAACATAATCGGGCAAGGTAATCAGACAAGGCACACGTGGCCATCATGTGAAGCTAGAGATAAACCCAACCAAATAAACATGGGTTGCCAGCCCAAGCAGATAATCCGGTTAATACTAGTATCTTGAGTCCCCTCATTCAATTCTAGCGGAGTAAGGTGTACAAGCATTTTGCCAGCGAGACATTTCCCGCTACCTCAACACCAGGCTTGGCAGCGCAATAACCAGGCTCGTGCTTCATGATTTACAACATTGAAGGCAACAGCGAGGGCAAGGGGAAAAGAAGAGCTTAGCGACCGAGAACAGTGAATTACTGCTGGTCGTTCCAGCCTTCGGGCTTCTGCATTTTGGTGATATCGAACCATCGGTTGGTGCCTTTGCCGCAGTTAGTAAAAAAGTATTGGAAAGATAATAGTAAGGCTTACAAGAGTATCCCTTCCAGTCGAAGTTGTCCTCAGGCTTGCAGTGGCAGCGAAGATCCAGCCTCGTCTGCTCAGTAGTCGGGCAGTGTGTGAAAGGCACGTGGTAATAAGCAATGTCATTGAAGAAGTGTATTTCATCCTTTTTCAACATGAGAGATGCAGCGATAGAATGGACAGGCGCATCGCCCCATCGCTCGTAGAAGAAGCCACCATCGTGGTCCAGGGAGTTGAAATAGTCAAGGTACTGCTGGGATCGCAGCCATTCTAAGCTGCCGATCTCAAAGTTTGACCACTGTAATGTATGTTAGACTGAAGTGAGAACTGACTGTTCAGGATCTTGACTTACGAAGTGGCATTTATTGTAAGTCTCACCGCCGTCTTCACTGATGAACTCCATGGCATTGTCTTCCGCAATGTGCTCCGGATGCTTCTTCATGAAACTCTTCACGCTGTCCCAAAGAGTGGGGATAGTATCGATATACTCGTACAGACTGATGACGAAACTGTACTTCTTGTTGTTCTCCTTCATGAAGCGGAATGGGTCGGTTGGAACATCACAGAAAAGCTCGATACTGGGCTCCACGCGCCAGTAGTACTCGTAGTTGAGCATGAGGGGGTGACGGAAGAAGAAGCCCGATTCGTAACGGCACATATGACGGTAGCTCACTGAGTCGCCGTAGATGATCTTCCTGCGACCCATGTCTTCCCGCACTTCGGCGGCCTTATCTTGGTCAATCCACTCGGGGAACGACCAATGCTCCTTCGGTATGCGACCATAAAAGGTGTTTCCAGATACAAGAGCGGTGGTGAGCTTCTTGAAATCATCGCTAAATTCGCCGTCGTTCAAGAAGACCCAGTCATAGTTGTAGTTGCGGTTGAAACGGTCCTCGACGGTTCGGATAGACCTGGCGATATCCCAAGTGTCGGAATTGCGCGCAAGAGTGACAAAGGTGGCATTAATACGCTCATGGCTGTTTGGGCCAGCGACCGGTGGGCGCTGTGCTTTGAAATCTTCGTACGTGGGATGACTTGAGGGGAATGAGGCTGTGGTTGGGATCTGAAGAGATGATCGGGAGACGAGGAAATAGAAGAAAGTCACACCCTGTTTTGCTGCTATTAGCCCGAATATCGTGCTATCCAGCAACCAAGGAAATGGAGCGCTCGATAGAGGATTCCGAATTCATACCACTAGAGCAAAGACCAGATATCGTGCCGATCGCGGTACGGCCATATTTGATGTGGGGGGGTTCAGCGCCCGTGAGGCAGATAAAATAAACGAGTGTGACAGGGCGATCAGCCAGCAACTTTCAGGCCAGTCAACGCTGGGGAGCGAACATCCGCAAGGGCGCAGGGACGGATTGAATAGGGCGACAAGAATGAAGAAGTTCAAGGGTCTCTCAAAGGAGACAGGGGAAGTGGAGGAGACTGGGCGCGAGGCCGCGCAAGACTATGGACAACCGCTTTCAGCCGTGGGAGGTTTCACCGGATCTCGAGAATCAGGTCACGGGGAGGCAAGCCGTTGTGGAATGTAATTGGAATCCGAGGTGAGGTAACTTTTGGCGGACGAGGATTGTAGGACTCGTGGTAGCTTTCTTTGGTCGGGGAAATTAACTGACCGTTGTCGCCACATTCGACCGGGGGCCATCGTGTCAGTTACGGGGTCTAATAACTGTATACTTAAAACTACAGAAGCTCCCGGCTTGTCTCCAATCGCCAGATCTAGGAGAAGGACATGATGAGTCCCTAGGGAGAATGACATCCCAGGGATCTTTTGACACAAACTAAGCTCTTCCTTACATGGTATATATGCACCCCGTAGCACCCGTACATACTGAAGTGTCCAGATCGTGCCAACTGCGATCATAAAACACCGGGCTTGGCGTGGCAGCCTCAGGCACCCGCACTTCCCAGAACTTCACCCTCTCTGGCTTAATTCCCACCCCACCATTGACCCTCATCTTCTCATCCTCCCCTCCCATCCTCCATTCGGCCAAGAATGTCGTTCTTTGGCTTCAATACCACCCTTCCGAGGGACCGCGACCACCCCCCGTCCGGTTCCCGGGGGTTCTTTGAGAATCCTGATCCTTTCGCCGAGGTTGCAGCGCAGGCGCTTGACGATGATGACGCGTGAGTTCCATTATCATAGGTGGCGATTTATTGATCGGAATTGAAGATTGACTTCTATAAAGCATTGACTTCGAAGATACCTACGACGGCCTTGGTGACCAGCTTGACGACGATCAGGATGCCTTCAACGACGACACCTTTGGTGGTGGCGGCGCAGATGGTGGGAAGGTCGGTCGTGATTTCGACTTCTTTGGGAAGACCGCGCAGGTTTCCGATGCCATTGGCGAAGAGCAAGTCCGATTCGCCCTCCAGAATCCTCAGACTGCGCGCGTAGCTCCCCAGGTTTCTAACCAGCCTGCTGCTGAGCCCCCAGCGAAGCGTTCCGGCTATGAGAAGTACTCGGACCCCGACTTCATTCCTGATCTACAGGCCAAGTCGAGTGTCTGGGGAATTCCGCAGAAGAAACCGGAACCCAGCATATCTCTACCTCAGAGCCGGAAGATGATGAGTTTGGAGGAGGTTGAGGCGCAAATGCGCAACCAAGGAGTCCATCCTTCGCATTCGATGCCCCCGCAGATCCAGGATTCATCCTACTTGCGTCACCCTCAAGACCTCCCGACCCTTCCCGACGGCTTTCCCAATTTGCCTCCAGAACTGTTGCGGGCTCAATTCGAGAGGGGCGGGCTGCCACCACACATGGCTCCTCCTCCACCTGGAATTCCGGAGCTATATGCTGGTGGTCCAGGACCAGCGCCGCCTGGACTGCCTCTGCATATGATCCAGAATAACGTCCCACCCCAAAATATACCTCTCTCCGGCCCTCGCCATGCCGGCCCTCCTCCGGGCCAGCGAAACCAGCATCAACAGCAGCAGATGGTGCCGCCGCCTTCCTCTCGGGCCGGTAACAACGGATTACCAATTATTACCAACCCCCAACAGATAATGCAATTGACCGAGGATCAGCGTAGCGCCTATTTGGTGGAAGACGCCAAACGGGCAAAGCGCAACCACAAGATCTTCCTCCTCTCGCGAGGCAACGGTTTGATGACACCTCAGGACAAGAACTTCATCACTCGCATTCAGCTTCAGCAGCTTGTTGCGGCTGCTGGTAATGTCGCTGATTCTGATCCGGAAGCAGTGCTAGCGGAGGACTTTTATTATCAAGTTTACAGCCAGATTCGCGGCGCTCCTCGACAGCACCCTCATCAACCTTTAGGCCACTTTGCTCAAACGTACCTCTTGCAGACTGGCGCTCGGTTCGGGGGACACGGGAACCGTCGTGCTTTCCAAAACGCCGATAACCACATGCAGCGAATGCAGCAGCAGGTCCAGCGCGCGGTCGAAGCCGCCAAGGCCAAGCCAAAAAACAAGCAGCTCATTATTGAGGGTAGCCTGGGAAAGATCTCCTTCAGTAACGCCAAAGCGCCGAAGCCGATGCTCAATCTCAAGCGACCAGATAGTTCAGAGGGAACTCGACCCAAGAAAATACAATCGGATCTAAGCATCAGCGATCGTAAATCAATTCTTACGAACATCGAACACGTCTACAGTACATTGATGTCCATGGAAGATATGGAGCGGACCATGCCACCGCCACCAGAGGACGGTGATGCCGATGCGATCCAGGAGCACTTGGAATGGCGACAGAAGGTTCACTCCTTGAACCAACAGCTTTGGAAGGCACTCAAGGTCATGGAGCCAATTGTTCCCAACTCAACAACCCCCCCACCCATTCATTGCATTCTTGTCATATCCCAAGGGCAAGAAGGCCATCCCTCGCATCTTCCGTCACATCGACCAGGAGCAGCGTGTCACTATTTTGACGATGATTGTGGTGAACCTGGACAGCTTGGATGTGGTCCGCCTCGCGCAACCATCTGGTCCAAACGATGCGCAACTGCCTGTCGCGGTACGTGAGGCTATTGATTTGTTCTCGCTCGCTGTCATGCCAAGCTTGCTTGGCTATGTAAACGAGGCACCTTTCAATATCATTATTGGACTCCTGGGTCTGGTCATTGCACAGACTCAAGTGGTGTCTGTCGCCCGCACCAAGACCGGTCTTGGAATTTTGACCATGCTCCTCAGCCGTGCCGAAATCGTCAAGGAGGCTGGGCAGGCGTCCGAGCGCGATTGGCAGCAATGGGTGGAGAAGTTCAACGACCTTTTCGATATGCTCGAACCTGGGTTGGCTGATATCTTCCCTGGCTCCATCAACTCCGGTGATGACATGTATGTGTGGCAATTCTTGGCCGCTGTGGGTATTGGCGCCAGCCCTGAGCAGCAGCAACGTCTGGTGATCGCAGTCAAGTAAGTGTGATTCATATCGTTCTTTGGTGAAGATGTTCGGATGATCTAACTCATGTTTTCACAGGGACCGTGTCATGGAGACTGTTGGATACAGCAAGACTCTCCCTGCTGACATGGCTAGCCAGCGCCTGGGCAACGTCAATCTGTTCATGCGCGCTATTGGTCTGGATGTAGAGCTGCTTGGTTAAAGCAGCTTCCGCGGGAGCATCCAAGCCCGCCCTTGCGGGATGTACTAATAACATTGAACATTGCACAGGCATGTTCGACCCAAACTCCGAACCGAACAGGTGTCTCTAGGCCTCCGCTGATAATGAGAATGTCCCTCTAATTCAGCTGCACTAGCGAAGGCTTGCTGAAAATGCAAGCCAATGTGCTGGCCCTTTGAGACCCGGGAGGGCAGCGTACAATTCCAAGCATGTCCTCCCTAAAGTCTACTAGCTTGACCCGGTTATTCTTTCCAAGGGTGCACCTATTCTCCAAGACCGGAGGAAACTTTTTTTTTTTCTAGAGTTCGCATACCAATTCATATTCCAAGTTCTGTTCAGCCTTCATTTGTATTCGTACTTTTACTACGAAGGCTTTGCCGTTGATTCGACCTTACTGGAACGTATCGCTCCACAGCATTCATGATACGCGCTATACTAGGATACATTGTGTCCTTGGAGGGCTTTCAAGCTCTAGGCCGAATTTTTACGAGGCATATTATCTATGGCTGTCCCGGCAGCAGCTTGAAGGAATAGCAGGTACATAGCATAAAATCAACTGCTTCATTTGGATCGAAGATGATGCTTTCAGCCTACACTCATCAGTATTCCACATTAGATTCCATATGAAGTGCCGCTGGTTCGCATCGGGTTCGGCGGTTCCCGCATTCGGTGCCACGTAGTCATGGACCCTGAAGACGGGATGGAGCCGGGAATGTGATTCGACAGCCTCAGTGGAACCTCTAGATGGAGGCAAGATTGACAGAGGCCCAGTTCCAAGCTCTCCCGGGAGATTTGGTCTGGCAATCTTCTCCCGAACGGACAGACACGGGTGTTGGGGGGTGTCTCTTACACCGCCAGCGCCGATCTGCGATCTACCTGGAACAACCAGGTCCATCGATCAGACTCAGGCGTCAACAACACAAGCATAGCTCAATGCAACCATAACGCCGTTTCTGCAGTGGCGCCATCCGAGCAGAACGGGGCCCCCTATACCCCGGAAGCCGTATGAGGCGTACTCCGTACGGGGTATAGTGTTTGCGTGCGTAATGCAATGATATGACGGGAGGGGGCCACCCCACCTGCGTTTTTCCCCTTAAAGCGTTGCCCCTCGTCCGCTTTGGCTCGGGGTTCCTTTTCTTAACCTTCGTTCCTCTTTGCCCCTGAATTTTCAGATCCCTTTGCTTCAATCATGCCTACTGGTTCAGTTCTCGTTGCCGGGTATGCCGCATTCGATCCATAGTTGCAATCTAAACTAACCGGCGCATAGTGGCACTGGCTACATTGGCTCCTTCACCACCCTAGCTCTTCTCGAGGCTGGCTACAAGGTTGTCGTGGCCGATAACCTATACAACTCCTCCGTTGAGGCTTTGAAGCGGGTTGAGCTCATTTCTGGCAAGAAGGCCGACTTCGTCCAGCTCGATGTCACCGAGGAGAACGCTTTCGACAAGGTGTTCGAGGCCCACCCCGACATTGACAGCGTTATCCATTTCGCTGCCCTGAAGGTACGGTTGGTCTCGACGCCAGATACCTCAATTGGCATTGGATTCGTACCTAGGCCCTTGATACTGACCATCCTATCTATCTAGGCTGTTGGCGAGTCTGGCGAGAAGCCCCTGGACTACTACCTGGTCAACGTCTACGGAACCATTAACCTCCTGCGCTCAATGGTCCGCCACAATGTCACCAACATTGTCTTCTCTAGCTCTGCCACCGTCTATGGCGACGCAACCCGCTTCCCCAACATGATCCCCATCCCCGAGGAGTGCCCTCTGGGCCCCACCAACCCCTACGGCAACACCAAGTTCGCCGTCGAGAACGCCATCACCGACGTGATCAATGCTCAGCGCAACAATGCCATCAAGGCCGGCAACGAGGTCGAGGCCAAGAAGTGGAACGGCGCTCTGCTGCGCTACTTCAACCCCGCCGGTGCCCACCCCTCCGGCATCATGGGCGAAGACCCCCAGGGCGTTCCCTACAACCTGCTTCCCCTGCTCGCCCAGGTCGCGACCGGCAAGCGCGAGAAGCTGCTCGTCTTCGGCGACGACTACGACTCCCACGATGGCACTGCCATCCGTGACTACATCCACATTCTCGACTTGGCTGATGGCCACTTGAAAGCCCTCAACTACCTGCGTGCCAACAACCCCGGTGTTCGCGCCTGGAACTTGGGTACCGGCAAGGGCAGCACTGTCTACGAGATGATCAAGGCTTTCTCTACTGCTGTCGGCCGTGACCTTCCCTACGAAGTCGCTCCCCGCCGTGCTGGTGATGTTCTTAACCTCACTGCCAACCCCAAGCGTGCCAATACCGAGCTGGGCTGGACTCCCAAGTTCACTCTTGAGAACGCTTGCGAGGATCTCTGGCTCTGGACCAAAAACAACCCCCAGGGTTACCGCCAGGAGCCCCCTGCTGAGCTGCTTGCGAAGCTTAAGAAATAGGTACAGAGTGGGAAAGGTCAGGGACAAAAGTAGGGATGTTTATTGCCATAGAAAATTCTGGTAGAATATACGAAACGAATTTCTTTTTTTTTCAAAGTTGGCCACATATGGGCTATATGCACCCGTAATTTGATACTAATAGATTGGAAAGGGGCTGTAAAGAGAGACGCATGTACGGCCCAGAGTACATCGAGAAGGCCACTCAGAACAACACCTGTACTGTCTCGTTGAACCGCGAACCGTCCATGTATGTAATTGTCAAGTCTACCAGATTGGACAAAACTTGCCCGGCCTAGAAGTCTCAACGCCGTCACAGTTAACTCACGTTTTCTAAGTAGAAACTATGGACCTCTCATCTGTTTACACGTGCTGCCCGAATCAAGCCCGGTTGAAAAGCCGCTTCCGATCGAACGGAAGCCCTTTGCGCGGATATTCCTCGATCCACCTATCAACCGTGCTGCAGGCACAGTCTTGAATCAACCACGCGGTCCAAGGAACAGGCCCGAAAGTAAATACCCGGATAGAGAGACAAAGCGGAGAAACCCTATCTAGTGGCGTCGGGGTGGCGTCAAGATCCACGGGGAATCTCCTAACCCACCGTTTTATTTGCAAGAGTAGGTCCAGGTCAGCCAGTACGATGTGCGCGTATTCGAAACGCACGTTCACGTACTGCTCCAGCGGCTGGATATCGAGAGCCTCAAACGTGGTGGCGCGAGTGTACAGCTCGCGGTGGTTGAATGGAAGGCCCTTTATAGGAGACTCGGCGATCCATTCGTCGACCACTTCGCGGGCTTTGGCGACAATTTCTGGCTTGGTTGGATGCTCGCTGCGCCGTAATCTGACAGGGATGGCGACGCAGTTGGTGTTGGATTCCTGCATGGATATGAGAGATACGTGACGATCAAGGTCGAGCTTGGTGGCATCGGTTTGGTGTTTGATGGTTTTGAGGAGATCTGTGTCAGTCAAGTAGCGCGTCTGAGGATGAACGTAAATGTTGACGTAGACGAGCTGGGGCATATTGGCGATTGCCCGTCAGGAGGGAAGTGCTTGGTTGTCAAGGGTGTTTATTGCTACCAATGTAGCTGGCTTCTCAGCATTAAGCAGGTTTGGATGAAAAAGCCAACTCACAAGGAGGAGATTTTGTTTCGATGGACATCCAGAAGGGGCCGAGGTCTTTATACTAGAATACACGGGAGACCTGGAAGGGGTTTTGTTATAGTCCTCAATGGACTGAAGCCAGATACTATGCAATGACCTTCATGTTGATGGAGACAATCGGATGTAAAATACCGCTATGAATGATGCTTCTGTTAGCCCGTATGTAACAACCTAAACTGAGAAAAACCGGCAGTAAAGTAGCTGTCACTCATTTATTCTTTTTGCTCCGTCTTGAGCCAGGGGTTTGTGCCTTGGCCGAGGAAGTCTCCTTGCGAGTCTTGTTTTCAGCTTCCGTTTCCTTCTCTTTCTTCTCTAAAGCCCTCTTGACAGCCCCTTCCTTCTCTGCCTCTTCGATCTGCTTCTCACTGAATTCCCAAATCCGCTTGCCCAGGTTCTCATCCTTCACATCAGTTCTGGCGTAGTCCATTTCGTGACATTCTTTGATGAACCAGCCACCCTCTCCACGTCCATATGACTCCTCCATCGCAGCATAAATCACACTTTGGGCACCTTGGTGTGGAGATTTGAGAAGAAGCCACCAAATAGGCCATGTGATCAGATACAGCAACAGACCCCAGAGCGAGCCACGCGTGATCCAACGCCGAGTTCCAGGGGTCCGCGTTAGACCCGGGTCAACGACAAGAACGCGAGTGCAGGGCGGAAGACCATCGGGACGTTTGTAGGCATTCAGGTGGCGTTGGAAGGAGTGGGCGAAAGACATGAGAGAGAACTTGCTTAGCGCGTAGACGCCCTTGGGCTTAGCAGACTTGGACTTCAAGCTCTGAGGCTGCCGCTTGACCGACTCCAGGTCGAACTTGGCACCGATGTATCCTGAGCAGGTTGTGAAGATGACTCGGACGTCACGATGGGCGGGCTGCACGCGCAGGGCAGGACTTAAGATGCTCAACAGATGGAAGTTGGATAGATAGTTGATTTGCCATTCCTCGTCAATCCCGTCGGGTGTGTCCTTGCGAGCATTGTTCGGGGGTGCTACGCCTGCGCATAGAATGACAGCGTCGAGACGACGGGGCGGGGTGTTGTCGATCCATTTGGTGGCGAATGTGCGGACGGAATACAATGAGGCCAAGTCAACTTGCTCGGCGTATATCAATTGGTTACCCGTTGACTTGCGCAGGTCTTCAATATACTCGACGAGGAAGACATCGTTGGGGGGTTGTTTAGTGAGTAGGATGACTTGAGCGCCGCGGGAGGCGAGTTCGTAAACGACCGATGCACCAATGCCCGATGTGCCCCCCCTAAACAAAAGCTGTGATTAGCTCGTATGCTTATAGGCGTTTCGGTGTATGAGGGTATTTACCGTCACCATCACCACTTTCGAATGCATCATCCGCTCGGAGGTGTTGCGGGCTCCGCCGGAGTAGAACTTAATTGCACCTATGAGGAGAAGCCATGGAGCAATTTTAATAGTTGACCAGGCATAAGGGATGGCGGAGATGCCTTCCTGGATGCCATGGGCTATAATTGGGATAGGCATCGTGAGGATGGTTGAGTTAGAATAGAGTATTCTGCTGGGTAGAAAAAGAGGTCGACTTGTCCGCAGGGCGACTCTTATCGCCTCTTATCGCCGAGTGCTCCAGACACCACATGGCCGCAACATCGCCAACTTTCTCCTTTTTCCTCTGCATGCGTTGAAACTGTACACTATATGGGGCTAAAGACATTAAGGTAGCCTAATGTGAGAAGATGGAGACCGGTCATCCGACATTTTCTGTATATCTGCGCTATGAACCTAAACACCGTAACCCTACGTAAAAACTACAAACGCTTTCCGTTATTCAGCCTCCAACGTGGACAGTGGAAGGAGGAGAACAAGATAAAGAGCCCACCCGAAGGGGAAGAATCAAAGAGAACCCTGGTTATATGTCCATGAAACGAAAGAAAAGATGGTATCACAACAGCGCTGAAGTGGGGACAAAGCCAGCACAGAGACAGATCGGTGCGACAAACTGAGTAGTGGTTTAAAAGAACTTGTATTTCTTGTCCTTCTTCTCTTTCGGTTTCTCCTTTTCTTTCTTTTGGGGCTTTCCACTAGAGGGAGGGTGAGCACCACCGTTAGAGTTCAAGGACATGTTCGCCATTGCCGCTTGTGGGGGAGCTGGGCCTGAAGGGGCCACAGAAGGCTTCTTCTGTGGCGGGGCAGCTGGGGCAGGAGGTTGTTCGCGCTCAAAGAGATGTGCGGGGGCAGTGGGCCTAGGGCGCTCCGCGGGAATATCCAGACGTCGCTTGTCAACGCTGAGGTCACCTACCTGGCGCATAAACAAGCCTGGGGTGAGCATGTGAGTTGTAGCGAGGAAGACATCCCGGTTAAATGCCTGGGAAATTTCGTAGCAAGAGCGCGACTCGCCATATGTGGCTCCACCCGCCATGAAAACGATCAGTCGTTGACGAGGTTGGTCGGTAGAGCGCGTGCGTGCCCATGTAGGCTTTGCGCTGCGCAAGGAAGCCTGTTGAGATAGCATCACTTGCTGTACGCCCCCATCATTTTCCGTGTGGGGCCGGGTGTAAGGGAAGACTGTCGGGTCCAAGGTCCCTCGAACCTGCTCCTCCAGCATTTGCTTGACACCCAGATCGTACCGGGTTAAACTGACTTCTTCTTGTTCTGGAGCTGGGGCGCGGCGATTGAACAGAGGTTGTACTGAGGATTTCTCATCCTTGAGAGGCTTTTCTACACGCACTCCAAGAAGATCGAGATTGGCAATAACTTCGCCGTTCTTGCCGGGGAGCTGGGCGTGGGCCATCAGTTTTCGAATGTCACCACCTAGCAGACCACCACGATACATGATGTACAAGAGAATCAGTCGCAGACGATCTGGGCCAAGAACGGATTCATCGTCAAGTAATTGCACAAGCTGTGCTGCCAGATTCTTGGCTTTCTTGTAGTTTTCATCGAGACCTGTGGCGAATGATTGCTCAATAGAGCTGACCTCGAGGAGCTTGTTTTCCTGGAAGAATTTCATGCACTCCTCAGCCATATTCAAGTGCAACGTGTACGCATCTTTGCCCTCTGTGAACTCCGTTAGACCTCCAAGCATATCCTTGATTGTGTTTACGCTCGTTTTGTCATTGCTGTAAGCCTCCGTTAGTATTGTTCACCGTGAAGATTTTGGATTGACAAGCATACTCCTCGGCGAATTGCGGGTTAGCTGCTCGGAATTTGGCGAAGTCTTCTCCAAGCTTCTCGAGTAGTTCTCGCATGTGCATATGTCTATACGAAACCCACACTTTATCGTGCTCTCCGAGTTCCATCTCCTTGATCTCTTCATTTGGCTTTCCTTGGTTGATAATGGTCTTGTATGTTACCTTATCTCCGTCCTTAATTGGTAGAAGATCATGGACCATGCTTTGGAAGGTGAACTCGTGAAGAAGAGGAGCGAATGGGTCCATCGATCGATCCACAATGAGTAACACACCCCGAGGCCGATTTGTTTGAGGTGGAAAATCTCGTTGGAATTGTGCAAATTGGTCGAGTTCAGTCTGGACAAACCGCGCGAGGTGGGAACATAGAACACTTGCTTCGTGCGTTGGAGCTCGAGGTTTATAATATCGAATAATAGGATACTCGCCCAGGCATGCGCATAGTGAGACGATCTTAAGGGAAAAGACAAAGATTAGCCACTATTTGAGAAATCATGCTGTCTAAGTGTACCTTCTGCGCAAGTTCTTGAAGATGATTTCGGATCAGGTTATTGCAAGACGGGTGGAAGAGAATAGGGAAGCTCCATGGATCCCGGAAGGTGATCAAGCGTGACTCGCGAGGATAAAAGTTGATGTTCATGATGCGGTAGTCTGCAATGCGATTGCGGGCCATTTCTGACCGGTCTAGCCGGGATCGTAGTTGTGGATCGAGGACTGAGGAGATATTAGCTAGCTATACTCGAACTCGACCCGGATTGCATTCGCGAATGTCCACTGACAAGATGTCCAAACCAAATAGGCTTTCCGGTAACGTTCAACTTCAAAGTCGGCCATGAGACAGTCCACAATATGGCTTTCAGCTGAGAGTATGTAAAGGACGTCCATGTCCTTGTTGAAGGGGCGGCGGTGCTCGATTTGTTCGACATCTGCGGGGGTACGAAGAGATTTAGCTAGCTGTGTTGGAGGCGCATAGGGCCAGTTGATTGCTCACTGGAAACGTTGAGATTGAGGATCTCCTCTTCTTTGACGGCACTGTTGATCAGCTTTCGGCTTTTGTCGTCGACCACCAGAACTTTCCACTAAACAAAAGGCAGACGTCATTGTCAGTCACAGCCGAGAAGGTGCAAGGTCGGGTGGGAGGGGAAACGACGAACATCATGGCCGACGGTTTGGCGGATTGTGTTCAAAATAACTATTGAAGACACGCAAAGTCAGCCAAAGCGCTGAGAACGAGAGTGCCCGTATCGGAAGAGGCCACCTACTGTCGCGCTGGATGTCAATGATAGAGGTGCCCATGGTGGCGGGCAGCGAGCAGCCCACTATACTGGGGCTGCAGGAGACAACTGGAGGTCACGCAGTGCGCTGCACGAGGAGAGGTCCAATTCGGGGGAGCCGAACGAAGAGAGTCGGGCAGGAGAGGTATTCGTGGCCTTGTAGGAGGTATATGAAGGAGAGGGATTCCCCACCATTGGAGCTTGCAGAGGAAGTGGATCTTTCGGGTGGCGCGCCACGGAACGTTCTCCCGGTTGAAGACGATTTTCTTGAAACCACTTACGCCGCTGAACCCAATCAATCCTTGTCGCAAATTTCCTACGCTACATGGGCATGGGCCATGTTATTTGCGCGCTAATGCCTAATTTCTTTCGAGCCTCCGGGCCTTTAGCCATGCAGTGCGTCGGCATGAGTCGCCGCTCACTCGTCGGCATATGGCGACTGTTCCCACGAACACTTGATCGACCTTTCACCACATCCTCTCCTCTCCTACGATCGAAAAAGAGACAAAAGCAGAATGAGCATCCCAAAGGAGGATCCGAGCGTCAAGGATCTGACGCGAAGAAGATCGCAAAAGCGCTGGGCTCCGTGAGAAAACCGCCAAGTATCACAGAGCAACGAAATTTCAGCCAGATGGTGGAGGCAGCTCTATTGGATTGCAAAACCAGGCTTCGAGGCCTTGGAGAGCTGCCTTCGACATGGGACCGATTCGAGCGCCAGGTCATCAATGCTTGCCGTGTTACGGATTCGAATCGGCCTCAAAAGACGGGCCCGTTAACCATCCTGAGAGCAGCGATGCACAAGGCATATATCACGGCAGGCGCACAGGGATTACGGGATGAAATAGAATATATGGTCTATGCGGAAGATCTCACAGACAAATTCTCCGCTCCCAACCTCGAAGCGCAACAGAGACTGGCGGACCTCCGACATCCCCCCCGAGTGGTATCCTCGCGCTCGAGCGATTCAACGAACAATTCATCTTCACGTCGGACCTACGAATTCAGGGAAAACATATCACGCGTTAAAACGGCTGGAGACATCTAAGAATGGGTTCTATGCAGGACCATTGAGGTTGCTTGCGCAGGAAGTTTATCACCGCTTCAAGGACCAGGGGATTCCTAGTAGTCTTGTGACCGGAGACGAGGTCAAGTCTCCGGAGGATGGCCAGATCCCCCACATAGTGAGCAACACAGTGGAAATGGTCAGCATGGGGCAAGAATTCGAAGTGGGAGTCATCGATGAGATTCAAATGATTGCGGATTCCAAGCGAGGCTGGGCTTGGACTCGAGCGGTTCTTGGAGCAATCACCCATGAGCTACATCTATGTGGTGAAGTCCGCGCAGTTCCTCTTATTCGAGAGCTCTGTGCTCTCACGGGAGACAAATTGGAAATTCACCGTTATGAACGGCTGAATGGTCTCGAGGTCGCGCAAAAGAGTATTCGAGGCGATCTCAGTAAACTTGAGAAAGGGGATTGTCTGGTGGTATTCTCCCGAGTCGGCATTCATACCTTCAAACAAGAAATCGAAAAAGCGACTGGACGAAGAGTTGCCATCGTTTACGGTGGCCTTCCAGCGGAAATTCGAACCCAGCAGGCGAACCTATTTAACGATCCAGACAACGACTATGACTTTCTTGTGGCCAGTGATGCCATCGGTATGGGATTGAACTTGTGAGTAGTGGCCGTTTATGCTTTTTTTTTTTTGTGTGTGTTTTTGTTTTTTCCCGTTTCGCTTTGACTCCCGGGGGGGCACTGCTAACTGAGTAATAGGAGTATCAAGCGTGTCATTTTTGAGACTCTGATCAAGAGGACCAAGCAGGGTTTAAAGCGACTCACCGTTTCCGACATTCGACAGATTGGTGGCCGGGCAGGCCGCTACCGTGCTGCTGGCAGTACGGAAACCGTCCAAGATGCAGGCATTGTCACTTCATTCGACGAAGTTGATCTTCCACATATCAAGGAAGCCATGGATACTGAGCCTCCACCTATCCGCTCTGCAGGGATATGGCCGCCAAACTTTGTCATTCACAAACTCGCGGCATACTTCCCGCCAGGTACTCCCTTCGAGTATATCATCAAACGGCTCCTTGAGCTCGTTCAAACAAATCCTCTGTTCTTCATATGCGAGGGTGAATCTCAGCTTGCCAACGCTGAAATCATTGATTCAGTGTCACAATTGAGTGTCACGGATCAGTTGACCCTTATGGCCGCGCCTATGGACTCGAAAGGTAGCCTACGCGATGTCTGCTGCAGCTTTGCCGACTGTGTCGCAGAGAACAGTCAAGGGCGGCTGCTCGAAATCCCGGGGCTCAACCTGGAAATCTTGCAGTCACCGGTATCTGGAAACCGCAACTACCTGAGTGAACTAGAAGCTCTCCATCAGTCGATGATTCTCTATTCCTGGTTAAGTTTCCGCTTTGGTGGCGTGTTCACGGATCGAACGCTTGCAGCGCATGTCAAGGAAATTACAGAGCAGAGAATGATTCGAGCTCTAACTGAGTTCTCTGCTAACAAAACCTTGCGTAGAAACACTGCTCTTCGTCGTGAAATCGCCTTGCAGAAACAGCTTCTCTTGGAGAAACAAGCAATGGCCCAGAGCGGTATCGAGGTTCCTTCTGGAGATGACGCGGTCGAAGATGCTCCTTTGTCTGAGATCGAATGGCCAGATGACGCCGAGGCGGCCGAGTCGGAAGCGCCTTTGGAAGGGTTTGAAAACAGCACGCATGATGAGGTTATGTCGCACCCTCAGCCACAGACACCCGTAGTGTGATCGCTCTTACAATAAAGATGTACAATACAGTGTAAATTATGGGAATAAAATACTCGCATCAGCATTGCCGGCCATTTAACTGGAATATCAGCAGTATATTTAGCTAATTCAATACTAGTACTATCTTTCGGAAACGCCACAGGCTGGCTGAAAGCAAACAATAGCGTGTACTCCATTTATATTCCATCTATAGCATGAGATAACTATCGACGACTGAAGCACAGGGAAGTGCCGTTTGGCGGTGAAGCCGCGTGCGATAAGGCTCTTATCGGTGGCAATGTCGGCGGGACTGATTTTCCGCGCCTGCTGCATGCTTTTTGGATCGGGTCTTCACTTGAAGCTCGCGAGATCAACAGCTCATAACTTGCGCGCCACTCCCTCCATTGCGATCTGACAACGCAAGCTTCGTCGCTTCTACCCCGCCAGCAAGGGGTCCCAGGGACGTCATCATGGATGATCTGGAGTCACTGGAGCTGCTCTCGCTCGTGTCGCGAGTGACGAACGAGCTCCAGAACCATCTGGGTATCAATGACAAAACCCTAGCCGAATTCGTCATTGACCAGCATCTGAAATGCAATGGTGACTTTCCAAAGTTCAAAGCAGGGCTTGACGAGATGGGCGCCGAGTTCCCACAGAGCTTGATGGAGAGTATCGATCGGATGGTCCTCACGATGCATCCCAAATACAAGGCAAAGAAAAAAGAGGCCTCGGAACCCGCCGCGGGTGATACAATGGATGAGCTCGATGCTCTCGAGAAAAAATCTCGAGTCTTCAAGGGGCTGGCTGTTCCAGATACAGAGAAGCGCTGGGAGGAAAAGGATTACCTCGACCCAGCAGAGGAAGCAGGTGCTATGGATGATACATTTGCTATGCTGGAGGGGCTAGCTGGAAAGGCTGAAATGGGGAAAAGGCATGCTGATGAGCCGCATGGATCCAGAGAAGATAGGAAGAAGAAGCGGAGTCGCAGCCCTGACTACGATGACAGCCGCGGACGCCGACACAGAGACCGATATCGCTCGAGGTCACGGAGCACACGCCGGCGCAGCAAGAATGATGAATTCGTGGATGAGTTTGGGCGATCAATTGGCCGGTATGGAGATCAGGGCGACACCCATCGCAATGGCCATAGCGACCGCCGAAAGCGACGAGACCGAGATCGAGACCAAGACGATGCGCACTTCAACAAACCACCACCTGTCGAGCTTGACGATCAACCGATCCTCTACAAGATTTACGAGGGGCGTGTAACAGGCGTGAAAGACTTCGGAGCTTTTGTGAACCTACAAGGAGTTAAAGGGAAAGTTGACGGTCTCGTCCATGTGTCTGCGATGCAAGAAGGGCGAGTGAATCACCCCTCAGACCTGGTTTCTCGTGGACAACCGGTGAAGGTGAAAGTTCTCAGTATCCAAGGAAACAGGATAGGATTATCTATGAAGGAGGTCGATCAAACCACCGGAATGGATCTTGTACCCCAACGTCGTCTGGCTTCTGGCGCGAACATGGAACGTCTTGATGGGGGATCTAGTGATCGATATGGAAATCTCAGCTCGGATGTACCTGTCATCGAGGAATCAAATGGCCGGCCCAGAACTCGCAAGCGTTTGACTTCACCCGAGCGATGGGAGATTCGGCAGCTTATCGCATCTGGGGTTGCATCAGCGGCAGATTATCCCGACCTGGAGGAAGAATATAATGCTACGCTCACCGGAGAAGGGACATTTGAGGAGGAGGAAGACGTGGATATCGAAGTCAGGGATGAAGAACCTCCATTCTTGGCTGGTCAGACTAAACAATCCCTCGAGCTTTCTCCAATTCGTGTTGTCAAGGCCCCCGATGGCTCTATGAACCGCGCTGCTATGTCTGGCACTAGCTTGGCCAAGGAGAGACGCGAATTGAAGCAACAAGAGGCTCAGGACAAGGCAGCTGAGCAGGCTGCTGAAGTGGACTTGAATGCGCAGTGGCAAGATCCTATGATTGCACCAGAGGATCGAAAGTTCGCCGCCGAGATTCGCAGTGCCCAGCCCAAGCAAAATGAAGCAGAGCCGGAGTGGAAACGGGTCACCATGGGGAAGAACCCATCCCTTGGCAAGCGTACTGACATGTCTATTAAGCAACAGCGTGAAAGCTTGCCTGTCTTCAAATTCCGGAAGCCGCTCCTAGATGCTGTGCAAGATAACCAGGTCCTGATTGTTGTCGGTGATACTGGTTCAGGAAAGACTACCCAATTGACGCAGTATCTGGCCGAGGCTGGTTGGGGTAACAAGGGCATCATCGGATGTACCCAGCCTCGCCGTGTCGCCGCTATGTCCGTTGCTAAGCGTGTGGCCGAAGAAGTGGGCTGTCGCTTGGGTGCCCAGGTCGGATACACCATCCGATTCGAAGACATGACAAGTCCAGAGACTGTGATTAAGTACCAGACTGATGGTATGCTTCAAAGAGAAATCTTGCTTGATCCTGATTTGAAGAAGTACTCCGTCATCATGTTGGACGAGGCGCACGAACGAACTATTGCGACTGATATCTTGTTTGGACTGCTCAAGAAAACGATCCAACGACGGCCCGACCTTCGTCTGATTGTTACCTCGGCTACCCTGGACGCTGAAAAGTTCTCAACATACTTTAATGGCTGTCCTATCTTTTCAATTCCTGGGAGAACATTCCCCGTTGAAATTATGTACTCGAAGGAGCCTGAATCCGATTATCTCGATGCGGCCTTGATCACAGTCATGCAGATCCATTTGACGGAACCCGCTGGCGATATCCTTGTTTTCTTAACTGGTGAAGAAGAAATTAACACGGCCTGTGAAATTCTCTTCGAGAGAATGAAAGCTTTAGGCCCCTCAGTTCCTGAGCTAGTCATCCTCCCCGTCTATTCGGCTCTCCCAAGTGAAATGCAAAGTCGAATCTTCGAGCCTGCTCCTCCCGGCGGTCGAAAAGTCATCATCGCCACTAATATCGCTGAGACCTCAATCACGATTGATCAGATCTATTATGTGATTGATCCGGGTTTTGTTAAACAGAAAGCATATGATCCAAAGCTAGGGATGGACTCCCTTGTAGTCACCCCTATCTCCCAAGCACAAGCTAAGCAACGCGCTGGCCGTGCTGGCCGAACAGGCCCTGGCAAGTGCTTCAGGTTGTATACTGAAGCGGCGTACAACTCTGAGATGCTGCCCACATCCATTCCCAATATCCAGCGGCAGAACTTGGCTCACACAATTCTCATGCTCAAGGCAATGGGAATCAATGACCTACTCCATTTCGACTTCATGGATCCCCCTCCAACGAATACCATGCTTACAGCCCTGGAGGAGTTGTATGCCCTGTCCGCACTAGATGACGAAGGTCTATTGACCCGTCTAGGTCGCAAGATGGCCGATTTCCCCATGGAGCCTGCCTTGGCAAAGGTCTTGATCGCATCAGTCGATATCGGCTGCTCGGAAGAAATGCTCATAATTGTGGCCATGCTCTCTATTCAAAGCCCCTTCTACCGCCCGAAAGAAAAACAACAGCAAGCCGATGCTAAGAAGGCCAAATTCCACGACCCCATGGGTGACCATTTGACCATGCTGAACGTGTACAATGCTTGGAAACAGTCTAATTTCAACAATGCCTGGTGCTTCGAGAATTTCATCCAAGCTCGTCAGATTCGCCGTGCGGAGGATGTCAGGAAGCAGCTTCTAGGCATCATGCAGCGCTACAAGCATCGCATCGTATCCTGTGGCCGAGACACCACCAAAGTACGCCAGACATTGTGTACTGGCTTCTTCCGCAACGCTGCGCGCAAGGATCAGCAAGAAGGCGGCTACAAAACCTTGGTTGAAGGAACACCTGTGTACATGCACCCGTCATCTGCACTGTTTGGCAAGGGCTCGGAGCACGTCATTTATCACGATCTTGTCCTCACTACGAAGGAATACATGCGGATTGTGACGTCGATCGAGCCCAAATGGCTTGTCGAGGCCGCTCCTACGTTCTTCAAGGTGGCGCCTACAGACCGGCTGTCGAAGCGCAAGAAGGCCGAGCGGATCCAACCTCTGCATAATCGCTTCGCTGGCGAGGATGACTGGCGTCTCTCTGCTCAGCGCCGTGGAGGAAGAGGTGGCGGCGGTGGCACATGGGGTTAATATTATTTGTACTTTACAAAGATACCAGCACTTTTACGAATCTTCAAATTTATGCAAACCATATTCATGGTAACTTTAGCAGATAATGATTAGTACGAAATAAAAGCCGATAACCAGAGGCCCTTGTATAGAGAAGACAATATGATACATGAAATGATCTAGGCCCGCGCAAGCTCTTCCAAAACCCGCTCTACAGTTCCGCCGCTCCACGCATCCACCCGCTCTTGATCAGCGGTCTCATAGAGCGTCCGTGCAAGAGCAAGAAGCAGTGCTGTTTGTTTGCCCTCAGACTCGGCAGCTTGGATCTGGATCCAGCTGATGATTGCCGCACGAGTGATGAGCGTAGTGCTACCACCCACCTGAGCAGCACGGTAGACGATGTGCAAGATTTTGCGGCGGGCGGCGTCATTGAGGCTAGGTGATTGGTAAAGCGCGAGGATTCGCTCGAACACGTTTGCGCGTCGGAAGATTTCCATGTCTGCTTTGCTGCGGAGGCTCTTTACGAAGAGATTCAACAGCCAGTCGATCTCGTCGAAGTAGCCGTCATCCAGTTCGGGCTCCTGAAGGAAGATCTTATCGATCCAGTAAGATGGCAATTTCTCCAATTCCCAGGATGGAGCTTTCTGGAGGAATTTGTTGACTTTTCCGTACACTTTGTGCAGCGGATTGATGAGGACGGAGAGGCAGTTTGAGGCACATTCGGTGACTATCCATGGGACGGGCTCTTCTAAGCCGATGCTGTTGACCGTCTCCAGTAGTTCTCCGGTGAGAATATACACAGAACGCCAGTCGCTATAAGAGGAGTCCTGGGATCAGTTAGGATTGACTATGTCGCTATGTCGCTGTATTGGGACGATAATGATCTTTACCTTGAGCTTGGCCATGAAGCGCACAATGTTGCTGAAGGCTTGGCGTCGGACTTCCTCATGCTCAGACGAAAGACATAGCATCAATTCTGCGATACGGCCCTGCTCGACTGCTTCTTCAATTTCGTCCCTCTCCCACTTGTGGAGGGCATTATGGGAAGTGCCTTCCGAGGGCATGAAACCAAAGATTTCGTCCAGGTCCACAGATGTGGAGTTTTCGGCTTTCTTGGTCTGATGAGCATCAGAATCGATGTCCATTTTGTCGTCAGCCTCTTCACCTTCGACATCCTTGAAGCATTTTTTGAAAGCGGACCGTGCCTTCTTGGTTTCAGTGGCCTCGACTAATAAATCTCGAGCTGCTTTGAGCGATTTCTTATCCTCACCAACTGCTCTCAGCTGTCCTAAGAGCTTTGCAATCCATGTAGAAACGGCTATTTGTGTTTCCTGGTTCTCAGCCTTGACAACAAAAGGCCATTGCTCAACAATAGCAGACACCAGAGGACTGACAGTCGCGGTGGCCTCTTGAGAGTCAGCTAAAGATCCTACCAGATCCAAATAGTGAACAGGCTTCTTCGCAACTCTGGAAACACAGTTGTCAAAGAAAATCAATTGACTGTGCAGGTCACTTCCCGAGTCTTCCATGCTGGATAGAAGCGCGTTAAAGGCCTTAGGAGGATTTTGGAGAATAGAGTTCTCCCCGAGAATAGTTCTCAACAATACAGAAATTCTTCGTGAAGAGTCTCTATCTGAAGTGTTGATCAACACCCTTAAAATAGATGTAAATGGGGAATATTGCATAGAAGCTTGTGGCAATCAGTACATGTTTGCATGCGCGGGGGTAGTAATAAACTTACCAGGTTTCTGCCACCAGCGAAGTGACGCTGACTGCTGTGCAATCCGGAGAACACTCTGCAGCTGGTTCAAAAGCAGCTCAGAATCATCAGCACTAAGATCTTCATCCTCTAGTCGCTTTAAGACATCTACCAGAACTAGCGACACATCAAAATTTTCCTCGAGCGCAAGATCAGGCATGATTTCGTAATAGCAGGTCAAAATCTCAGCAACAGCTTCTTGCTGTTGCAGATCCTCTTTAGGTGTTCTTCGGAAAAGGAGTACAACGTCTTTCACCGAGGGACATCGCCGCGAAAATTCGGCTAACAGCTTCGAAGAGGCTTGGTTCCAAAAGAGTTGGGCCCGGCCATGATCGGCTCTGAGGATCTTTAGGACAGCCCGTAGTTTATTGAAAGCCTGGGTCAAAATTCGCACAGCGAACAGAGTTACTATTTCTGTGTTCATGTTGAGACAACGGGTGGTAGTCTTCAAGGTGAGTGGGCGGGGAAGAATATTTTCAATGGCCACCGAAACTGGTGGAGGGAGCAGGGGCTCCTTATCTCTGAAACCACAATTCGTCGGAACAGGCAATTGCACGACCGAGAAAAGAAGAGCGGACTCTGCCATCCAGGAAGGTGTGACCTTAGGGTCAGCCTCAAACATGACTTTCTTAGTAAAAAAGTCGGCGACCAACTCCGGCGCCGCTCTGAAAATTGTCACGAGTAGCTCAATCTGGAGACTGTCCATATCAGGACGAAGACATTGGGCGAGATGTGAAAGGGTATTATTCCGGACAGGAATGGACTTTTGGAACTTGTCGACGTAAATGGGTGAATCGAGACCCAGTTCAATGCAACTGTCATCCTCGGCGGGCAAGTTTTCAGGATCGCTTCCCGCTGGATACCAGCCCGATTCCGGGAGAAGAACGCCCAAGCCAGGTGTCTTGCAAACATTCATCAAAACACGATGGATCTCGTTCGCGATCACTATATTATCCGAATTTGGCTCATCGGATTCTTTGTCATAACCGTAGAGAGTGACTAGCCTCTCCATGTTCCCTCGGTTGAAGAACTTGCTCTTGGACTTGCGAGGCAAGGAGTTATCCTGCACGATGTCTCTTTCAATGGCTTTGATTATTTCCATCACCATATCCCGAGGGTCCTTCCGAATATTGTCGAGAAATGCTCTCATAAGTTTAGGCTGCTCAAGGATATCGCTTTTCTCCAGCGTGCTCTGCACCCTCATATTAGCGAGCAAATAGTTCTGGGCATTCCTCCTGAGAGTGGACTTTTGCGAGTCATCTTCGCGAGCTTCAAGCTGTGCTTTGCTAAGGAACAGGAACACTTCCAGGCGCTTGAACGTGATATGGCGGCGTTGGTAGACTTGTCGTGCGACTGCGCCTCCATCAAAGGTGACGATCTCTGTGAGTAAACGGAGGCATGGTGAAATTAAGTGTTCCTTGGCTTTCAAGGCAGTCAGGCCACGGTTGAAAAGCCGGAGCTGATCCTTCTGGAGAAGATGCTTGCACAGCGCCAGGCCAAAGTCACGAAATTCTAGCTCGTGAGATATGGTCCTCAGAAAAATGGCCAGCACAGATGGAACGCTGGTCAAAAGAGTGTCTTGATTACTGCTTTCACCAAAGCTCCATGTTTGGATCAGATCAGGAAAGCAGACAGCATCTCCACCCTCTTCCTTCGCGGGAGTGATTTGCTTGTCGCAGTAGCCCTTCAAAATATGCAGTCTCTGGGCCTTGTCGGCCTCTTTTTCTGCTTTGCTGATAGAAAGCAGGAATTGCTTGAAATGGATGATAGCTTTGATTTGAGGATTAGTCCATGTACTGGGCAGGCCGCTCTAGGTGGACACACCTTTGTTAGCCGCCGGGCCATTTTGTTGAAAAGTCAGCAATTCGCGCAACTGAGCAGGCGATGTAAAGAGGGAATCATTCTGGACATTCGAATCCTCGTCCAGCTTTCTCCTCTTGGTCCTGAACGGATGCTCAGTGACGTGTGCCATGATTGCAGTGAAGGATGTTATTTTTTTTCCGGTGATCGAAATTGAAGTTCCGATGCCATCGAAATTTAGCGGGCGCTGATTGGTTGGTGCAGCTCCGCCCGCCCCTTCAACTATAATCCGCGGGGCCGCAGAATCTTCGATTCTACAAGCTTTTCAGTTATGCTTTATTCATGTGATGCTGGAGATCTCATCTAGTATCTAAGTAGGTGATTCAATAACGTAACTTATCTGAATTGGAACTGAGATTTAAGTATCATTATCACTAGTAGCAATATGTGCCTCGCGCACTTCAACTCCAACCTTCATTATATATTCGAGTGTCTGTTCATATTCGTAACAGTACCAGAGCTTCTAGTGGACTGCTTGCGGTGAGCTGCGCAGCTCTCGCCTCAGCAAGTCGTCGCACCGCGAACGATGTGAGTGTCGTGTGAATGATGAGAAGCTTCGTGACCTGGGGAAGAATGGTCTTTCCCCTTAAGCAGTTACAGGGTCTAATCAAGCGACGTTGTTGTCCTTGTTGGAATTAGTGGACTAAGTATCTTTCTCCAGGCCTGTTTCTTTGCTGGTTACATGATGTGGCATACCTTGCTTGATGATATGGTGTTATCAAGTTCAAGCAATTCCCCTTGGGAATGGCTAGCACTGCTTTATCTAGGAATGCTTCTAGGGTCACTCAGGAATATTATCGGCTTGATCATATTGTCCTCTTCCAAAAACGTCAATGCTGGCCAGAAAGACAGACAAGATAACTTCAAATGACTCGAAAAGGAACTCAGCTGCCAGGGTCAGCGCTCCAACCACAATCAAAGCTGCATTCAAGCCTGACATAAGCCTGCAGACATGTGTGAATGGTGCTGAATCCAGAATCTTGCTTTCTTAACGGCATCGAGAAGCAATCACTCGCAGCACTGATCTTCAGAGATTTCAGACGAAGATACAGTTCAGATAGAGATAGAGAAGGATATGGAGCGGAGAAACTAGCAGCCTGTTTGACGGCTTCCGATCTCCCATTCAAATTTTATTATGATAATATCATCTGAAGCAGCATATAGGAGTAGGTGCAACTATTGGAAGATCGAAAGGATGCATCGGCGAAGGGTCAATTTATTGTGGCTTCGCTATTGACAAGCGAATTCCAGAAAATATACATTCGTGATAGGACACGTAATATGGCATCGAATACGAACATGGCTATCTTTATCACTGCATAGATCGTCTTCGCCGTTTTCTTCGTTTCATAGCCATTCTAGTGTGGTTACTTGTTTGGCAGGGCACCAGTACCGCTGCCTGTTGTTGCCTGGAGGGTCAATCACTACCTGCTTGTGGTCACCAAGTCTAGGAAAGAGCCTGAAACTATGCCAATGGCAGAGCTGTTGTTACTGGCCGGTTGCTATTAATTGGGTAGCAAGCAGTGGGAGCAAGTAGGTCGCTTCGTTGACTAACGTATACGTAGCCCAACGAGCAATTCCTGGAGAGTGTATTTTCGAAAAGAAAAAGCAAATAAGAAGATAAGAAGATAAGAAGGCCATCTCCCCGATGGGAAAGGGGCAGAAGGATACGTGCTTTCGATAACAGGAGCTGGTAGTGAAAGGCTCAAATAAAATCTTGTCTCCCTTTGCGGACGTCCCATACCTTACAACTCCTTCCCCCTCATTCTCCACTTCACTCTTGCACAACTGTATCTCACCCTGGTTCAACTCTCTCCTCAGCTCATCGTGAGCCCCTGACCACGGAAAAGATTAAGATTTGTCCTCCGCGCCTCTTCAGGTTGCTTTGAACCTTCTGGGATCGCACTGTCGCATAAGGTGGATCATCGATTTTTGACCGAACCGACTCCGCCTTGGTTCTCGCCACAAAGTGGCTTGCTCTCTCCTCTACCTCTCCTCTGACCCTTCATCCCCGCAAACCTCCTTTCCAACGAAATATTCCGTTGTGCTATTCGCTTCCTCGTCATTAAATTCTCAGCGCCATACCAATACCCTCAGAAGCTTCATCACCCAATGAGCGTGTGATAATTGCTGAGGATATCGATCGCACAGACACGGCCGTCATGGCGCGACGGTACGAGATCGATGAGTTGCTCTTCTTGCGCTCATCGCCTCTAGTCGCGAAGCCTGCTGGCCTTCCACCCATCGAGGAATGGATGTATGTTTCCCCCACAATCCCCGGCAGCTCTCACTGTTCAGCCGCAGACTCACCCAACTCATCTAGGCCTCAACCTGACCCAACCACGCAACGTAAACAATCCAATGCTCGCGATCCTAACAATCCCTCCGAAACCACGACACACCGACGACCAAGTCTTTTTGAAGCTCGCCACATCCCTCGAGGCTCTACTTCAGGTGCGTTAGTTACCTCATCGCTTCAACTCCCCCTGCAATATCTTGCCCCACCACTTGACCCGAAAGCTAATCTAGCATGAAATATATATAGAAGACATAATCCTTGGACCTCCTAAGACTGCATTCGCATCCTCACGAATTGGTGGCAAAGGCTCATCTGACCTGACAGACCGTCCCCCGCGGCCAGGCGACTCCGACGAGAAGAACGAACGGTTCAATTTCAAAGACCGATTCTTTCGTGACAAAGATACGCCAGAGCGGGACCTTGAACGGCGAGATGGAAAGCCTCCGTTGAACAATCGGCGCGGAGATAGAGAAGATTGGACGGCTGGACGCCCCCGCCGCACTTTTGGCCCTGAAGAACAAGAGCGAAAGCCCCGACGCACCGCCGAGTTCGACCGCTGGGATACTCGAGACGGCCCTCGTGACTCAAATAGTGAGCGGGGAGTCCGAGAGAAAGAAAATCGCTTCGCCGCTAAGAAGGATGGCCCACCTGGACGCTCCAAATTTGAAGGCAGCTGGTTCCGTGACGAGAATAGCCATGATGCTGCCGATGCAGGTGATGACGACAAGCCGCCATTGCGTACCCGTGAATGGCGTCGCGAAAAACAAGGCAACGATCGCGAATGGAGCCGTGGGGCTAAGTTCGATCAAGAGCCAGAGTGGCTTGATAGTCATGAACGTGATGAGCCGCGCCGCGCACACACCCAAGAGGATTTCGAGCGTTGGAAGGAGCGGATGAAGGCTGGAGCTGGTTCATCTCAGCAGACCACCACTCATGAGGAGAAGAACGAGGTGCCCGTCGAGCCTCAAATCGCCCCACCGAAGCCGGAGACTCGCCGTACTGATGGAGAGATTTTCAGCCAGGGCGCCACCCCATTCATGTCTGATACTTCGATGGAACGGTTCTTCGGCATTCTCGGAGATACCAAATCCCAGGCTTCCCATGAAGTCAGTACCCCCACTTCTGCCGATTCAAACTCAAAGCGAGAAGCCCCCGGTAGCAAACTGGGCAAGTCCTCGCGCTTTGCTGGTCTTTTCAGCCCTCCCCCTGATAGCCCTACTCGAGCACCCCCGCCAGAGCTGCTGCCAATGCCTAAGCCTCCACCTGGACTTGCACCTGTAAGCTCGCAAGATGCGGATCAGGAAGGATTCCAACGCATTCTGAAAATGCTCGGAGGCGGAGCTGGTGGTCGATCCTCCAACGCGACGCCTAACCAAGTTGACTCTTACCGTCAGTCACGACCTCCATCCATACAAGAGCAGCCTCGAGTTGCAACCAATGTATCGTCTCCAGGCATTCAACGCCAGGAGTATGCCAGCCCTGGTCATGAAAGTCCTCAAGGCCACGAAAGAGAACATCTCCTTCGTCTCATGCAACAAGCCCGCATCACACCTGCTGGAACTCCCCAACAAGCTGCTGGGGTAGGCTCTGTTCCCGCTCCTCCACCTGGCCTGGTGCCAGAAATGATGACTCGCCCTCCTCCCGGCCTCGGTGCGCAGAAGACACCTAATTTTCTAGATGACCCTGCCATTGCCAACATGCAGCGCCCGGATAGTGATCAACTCCGCCGACGCCCAGTAAATGCCCCCCCCTATGGGTTACTTTGACGACGCTCCTTTCCCTCAAGGTGCACAGGGTCCCATCACCCCTGGTGGCTCTCGTCCACCTCAACCACCTATGCTTCAGCGGCCTCCCGGTCTTGAGCATATGCCTCCCCCCTCCCTGGATGGAACGGGCAGCCTCAGCAAGGCAATGTCCCCAGTCCTATGGGCCCTCCACCGGGCATCCACTCAGCTACCCGTGGTCTGGGAGCGCCCAATTTCCCTCCAGGCATGATGCCAATGCCCGGCAACGCCCCTCCGATGAATGACCGCCAGGCTTTCCCTCGTGGCCCGCCCCCTGGGATGATGCTTCCGCCGGGGTACATGGGAGGACCTCCTCCACCTGGGTTCCCTCCCATGGGGCCTCCCAACCCGGAAATGCTGGGCCTCGGTCAAGGTCCTTTGGGACCCGGCAACCCCGGTCCTCAAGGCCCTCCGCCTTCGTCGCGTCATCTCCTTGAGATGTTTGGCCAATCTAGCGGCGGTGACATTCGGGGCGGTATGGTCCCCCCTGGCCAGTTTCGGTAGATACGACCCGGCGCATTCGATATCGTCTGCATTCTATCTGCTTCGTTATCTACTTTGTACTCAATCGCAAGCTGTGGCTGGATACCTGGGAAATAATGATTAGGAATATGAATTGCAAGGCCTACTTTGATCTATCGTAGCTCTGCTCCACGAAATGTATCACTCTAGTCATTATCAAACACCGGTCCTAGTATCCTTCGTACTTGAATCTCTTTTCCTATTTTCCTCTAATTGAATGGGTTCAACTCGCTGACACTGCATCTCCGATTCAATAATGACCCCTTGAGTTCACGCTAGATCTCCATCTCCCTGAGCTGTCCTGAGTATTGCTATTTACTACCGATCGGGACCTCAAATCCAAAATCCTTTCTGTTCTACTAGTCGGTGTCACTATTCTTGGGGCGGGTACTTGTACTTGCTGGGAGCTTTCGAGTTTGCCATTGGACATGGTCGGACCCATATGAGGAAAGAAAATATAAAATGATGGATCTTTAATAGCAGTATTAGAATTAGCACGTACCGCTTGCCGGGAAAGTCGCCGATCACTGTTTGATGAGTTTACACCCAATAGTTAAGAGATCTTAGCATGATAAATCCAACTGTCCCTGGTGCTGGACCCTAGAATTTCCAATTAGTTCAAACTCATAAACCTGTAAGCCTTTTAGAATCCGAGATAGAATAGTTGTAGCTAATTTGATCTCGCGTGTCTGTTCAGTTATATATGTTCTACCACACGGAGCAGATTGAAGATTCTGCGTCGGTAAGCGAGCCATGACAGTCGAAGAAACACATATGATAGTGTCACTTCAGAAAGAGCATCTACTGATATCTGGCCTCTATTTCATAACGATCAAGTAAGATATGTATTTAAGAACGAATAGGGTAAATCTCCTTGTTGAACAAGACTTGCTCAATTTTTCTAGATATTGCTCAGCACTTTTCAAGCACAGCAGGGTAAGATCTTCCGACTCAAACTAAAGCTCAGAAAGAAGCATCAGAGGGGTTTCAGAGCTAGGGAAGCGGCCTGAATGCTTCGCGATGGCAGAGTGATCAACCTTGACGATGGCGGCGCAGTAGGGGAGAGCCCCATACCGGGCTCCCCCCGAGCCTATGAAAGCCTTAGGCTCTCAGACAATCCAAGCGTGTATGCTCAGATCTTGGAAAAATTATGTCTTCAATGGTCTTTATTACGAATGATGCATGATGTTTTCAATCAAACAACCAATGCGCTTTACAGACCCGCTCGAAATCAGCTTCATGTCGTTATTCTCTTCTTTTCGTTCTAGAACTTTATCTTGCATAACATTATACCTAATACAGTTAAGACTACCCATGACCGGTATTTAGCGGTATTTGAGTACAGGTGTAAATAAACGGATGAAAATAGTCATTGTATTTCTTCGTATAGGCCTTAAATCCTTGCAAACAAATCAAACAAATCCAGGCGTTTGTCTGGCCACTTCTACAGTTTGCATTCCCACCTTCACTCCTTCTCGTCTCGAAAAGAATCAGGCAAAGGAGCGAAAGAAAGTATACTGCCTAAATAATAAGCAAAGAAAACTGGTGGGGCATTTTTAAATAACACATCTATTATCTAAATTTTCAGCCCTCAATGATTCTACCCGCCTGTTGAACCTGGGAACCTAAACATGCTAACGTTGAATTGACCAGAAAACGTTCACAATGATCAACTACCCTGATAATTCTCAAGCTCAGGCATCTGATCTCTCGGACCAGGATTCGCAATACGCCCCTACCCCAGGATACTACAAAGATACTCCACCCTCATGTTATACATTCAGCCCTTCACCGGATTACCACCCCCAAGACGGCCCTGTAGCCCCAAGCTTCCCCCGCAAGAAATACCTAGACTTCTTCAACCCTGTGAGTGGGAAGCAAGTCGACCGGAAGAAGACTTCCCGCCAGAATTCATCCGATATATAATGGAGTGGAAAGTCAAGGTGAACAACCGGTTTAGGTGGGAGGACACGGTAAAGAGCGTGACTCTGATCCCAAGCGCTTATTGGTCTTCAGTGCTGAAAGGTAATTTGGAGAAAGTGCTTCAGGAGAGAGTTCCACATAGCCGAAGGGTCCGGTCGGATGGCACTTCTGTGGTTATAGCGGTCGACGATCGCAAGCACAAGAACGTAAAAGTATGGTTCCAATCCTATGATATTGATTGGACAGCGGTGGAGAAACAATTCCTCGCGTGGGGGAAACTTTACACTCGAGGCAAGGAATTAAGGGTCACGATCATCTTTAATTATATAGAAGACAATCTCCTTTCCGGAAACGTGGCAGGTAGGGGCGACAAGCGAGGGAAGTCGTCTGTAACGAACAAGATGCTTAACGAGCGGGAGGCACAACTTGATGCAGAGGAGCATGTCTCTGGACAACAGTCAATCTGGCGGGCTGTCTACGGCTTGATACGTTGTCCTTCTCCATCTTGTCACCTGGGGCCACATTTGCTGGTAAGATCCTCGTGGTAAGAAGCACTACCAATTGAGAACGCATCATTCGAAACGCCTAATTGCGTATGTTGAAGGGGGTGGCGTCTTGGAGTGCCAAGATGATGTCCCTGAAACTATTCGTGAAGAACTATACATGGAGGAGCAACAAAGACTGGAACATTTACAGTCCAAGAGCAACAAGTCGCTCGCCTTTAGAAGCTGTCCATCTATCAACATCAGCTTCATGGGAGCACAACCTTCTCTTCCAGCCGTCAATTCTACCGCAGCATCTGTATTGTCTTCTGAGCAAAACCAGCAAGGAATATTGCCCACAATCGATAGACCACGCGACGTGGCTGTAAGGGAATACAACGCCTGGCAAGAAACGAACGTCATCGACGAAACCTTAAAAGCTCAATTTCAGCTAGCGTGTGATGTCACGCTCGCTAACGGCCTTGACCTTGAACAGATCCATGAGAATCGGGATCCGAATTTCTTTGTCAAGAACGGAGTTGTGGTAGGTATTGCACGCCGATTTGTAGGTGACATCGTAAAATAGGCAGGGAATATAGGGATTTAACGGGCAGATTTATAGTGCGTGGCGGTTTGCTATTGCTATAGACTTAGACGTCGTTTTATATTTCATTGTGTGCTTCTAGCTGATTTGTTATGATTCAATGCTATACCAAAATATATCATTTCCCAGACTCATATAACACGCCCTCTCATTACAAAACGCGTCAAGTATTATATTATTACCGTGATAAAGGTAAGTCAGTACGTTTCGATGACCACGCCAGCATGGCGGAAATAACCAATCGTACTAAGTTCTCGAGACCCTATAGCTTCGATATATCTCTCAAGGAATACTTGGAATCCTTACTCCGGGCTCTGTTTATATTTCCGCCAGAAGCACCTGATAAATACCTTCAGCTCGGAGAAGAACTCCTCAATAGGATTCAAATCTGGCGAATAAGACGGCAAATACATTAACTTTACTCCAGCAGTGACACACATCCCTTTGATGCGGTCAGAATGGTAGAATGATGCATTGTCCATGACGACGACCGATTTTGGTTCAGGCCACCTTCCACAATACTTTAGAAGCTGCTCAATAAAGTCTTCGAACAGGGCCGCATTAGTAGAGCCTTGGAAAACACAAGAGAGGACAATGCCGTCCTGTGCGTATACAAACAGGATCTGGTATCGCTGGTCACGGTGGAATTTAGATATCTGCAATAGCGTCAGGCCTAATAGAGACCAGCCAGTGCGTCTGAACCCGATTCGTTTATCGCATCCAGACTCATCCACGTACACCAGATGATAGGATTTAAAGTCCGATAAATTGTGTAGGTAGAAATCTCGCAAATCGGCGTTTTGCTTCTTTACTCTATGTCAAGCTACTTTTTTCGACCAGCCGACCGAAGCAAGAGCCCGTTTGATACTTGAGCTTGTCACCCAAACATGGAACTCGTCCCATAGAAAGAGTACCATCTCATCTATATAACCCGGGCTTCTCGAGAAGATGGTCACACAATGTCTGGATCATCGGGGGCGTGGTGCTACGCCGCCGGCCGACACGGGTTGGGGGAGCTCTGACATTTCCGAACAGGCGAAGATTCTTGCGAATATGAATGATTGAGCGCTTGCTACACTCAGCGGCTTCGGCCATCTGTGACGAAGTCAGTGATCCGCTATGTATCATGTCTCGAATCATCTCAAGCTTAGATGGAGGGAGCCGAGGGGCCATTTTTGGAGAGACGGTGAAAGGCGGCAAAGAGCATCGTCAACGCAGCATAGATAAATGCTTTCTCCATGCTCACCCTGCTCACCCCTCTGCTCAGTAAGCAGATGAAAATACCTTTCTCAAGAGTCTTGGGGGTTGCTGGGGTATTGGGAAACGCACGTGACTGTCGGGCCTTCTGGTTCTTGGGAAGTTAGTGTTATCTTGGCGACCTGAAAACTGCGGGGCGTTGATCAGTGATCACAGGAAACAAATCAATATTTTCAACTTCGTGAACAGACATTTGCTCTTGAGTGCCACTTATATTTCTGAAAAACTGGCCGTTCAAGGCGTGTACAAACCGAATGGATCTACGGAACCTATTTTTTGAATCCTAAGCTCAACTGCAAAAATATAGGTTTGATCTTCGAGGGCTGAGAGGGCTTGGGTTTGGTATTCCGGCGTGTTGAATATTCACTGGTGCATATGGAAGAAACACAATAAGACAAAATCAAGATACGTTACTACGGAGAACAGAAGCAGGATTTTGATCTGAGGTTATAGAATCCCTGATCGAAGGCGGCTAGAAATGAGATTTTGTTGTAAGAGTGAGAGGAATATGACACGACCCGATGAGCAGCCAATCGCCAATGTCGTTGCATGTCTGGCGAAAGAGAGGGATGAGTTGGGCGATACTCTGAAGGCAACCACAAGAGGTTGAGCCTATTATAGGTAATCCATGAAGAGTCACCGCTCAGCATATATCGATGTTGCTCAATTGGTGAGATGAAGTAGTCAGGCACGGGCGTCAAAGAGCCCATTGGACTTACCTCAAATGTACCAACATTTGTGTGCAGGCGATTGATATCAGCTTTATCGAATTCAAGAGAAGTTATAGTGTTGATAGGGATAGTTGACACACTCTGGTTCGTGGCTGGATCCCAGATCCTGACTGTATTATCATCCGACGCTGATGCAAGTCGGCTTCCATCAGGCAACCAGGCAATCGACGTGATCATACGACTATGGACCTCGAGAGCGGACACGCTCTGGCCTGTGGCTGGATCCCAGATTCTGACTGTCTTATCCTCCGACCCTGATACAAGTTGGCTTCCATCTGGCGACCAGGCAATAGAGTAGACCGAATAAGTATGTCCTTTGAGAATGGACATACTCTGGCCTGTGGCTGGATCCCAGATCCTGACTGTCTTATCCCCTGACCCTGATGCAAGACGGCTTCCATCTGGCGACCAGGCAATAGTGTTGACCCAATTATTATGTCCTTCGAGAATGGACACACTCTGGCCTGTGGCTGGATTCCAGATTCTGACTGTCTTATCCTCTGATCCTGATGCAAGTCGGCTTCTATCGGGTGACCAGGCAATCGACCTGATCTCATAACTATGGCCCTCGAGAGTAGACATGCTCTGGCCTGTGACAGGATCCCAGATCCTGACTATCTTATCCCCCGACCCTGATGCAAGTTGGCTTCCATCTGGCGACCAGGCAATAGTGTTGACCCAATTATTATGTCCTTCGAGAATAGACACACTCTGGCCTGTGGCTGGATCCCAGATTCTGACTGTCTTATCCTCTGATCCTGATGCAAGTCGGCTTCCATCAGGCGACCAGGTAATCGATCTGATCTCAAGACTATGGCCCTCGAGAGTGGACATGCTCTGGCCTGTGGCTGGATCCCAGATTCTGACTGTCTTATCCTCTGACCCTGATGCAAGTCGGCTTCCATCTGGCGACCAGAAAATAGAGTTGACCCAATCAGTATGTCCTTCGAGAATGGATACACTCTGGCCTGTGGCTGGATCCCAGATTCTGACTGTCTTATCCTCTGACCCTGATACAAGTCGGCTTCCATCTGGCGACCAGGCAATAGAGTAGACTGAATAAGTATGTCCTTCGAGAATAGACATGTTCTGACCAGTGGCTGGATCCCAGATCCTGACTATGTTATCCCCTGACCCTGATGCAAGTCGGCTTCCATCTGGAGACCAGGCAATAGAGTAGACCGCAGAGAAGGCCGACCTGCTATGACCATTGAGAGTAGACACACTCTGGCCTGTGGCTGGATCCCAGATCCTGACTGTCTTATCCCCCGACCCTGATGCAAGTCGGCTTCCATCTGGCGACCAGGCAATAGTGTTGACCCATTTAGTATGTCCTTCGAGAATAGACATACTCTGACCAGTGGCTAGATCCCAGATCTGGACTATGTTATCCCCCGACCCTGATGCAAGTCGGCTTCCATCTGGAGACCAGGCAATAGAGTAGACCGCAGAGAAGGCCGACCTGCTATAACAATTGAGAGTGGACACACTCTGGCCTGTGGCTGGATCCCAGATCCTGACTGTCTTATCCCCCGACCCTGATACAAGTCGGCTTCCATCTGGCGACCAGGCAATAGAGTTGACCCAATCAGTATGTCCTTCGAGAATGGACACACTCTGGCCTGTAGCTGGATCCCAGATTCTGACTGTCTTATCCGCCGAGCCTGATGCAAGTCGGCTTCCATCGGGCGACCAGGCAATCGACCTGATCTCATAACTATGGCCCTCGAGAGTTTGAAGGCAGGCACTCCAATTCTCCTCTACTACTGGGTTATTCAAAACCCAATCTGGACCCTCCTTCTGAAATGATACTCTCGTCAAGCTCTTTGTTGGGCTAAAGATAAGAGGCGAGCAATATACTTGCAGAGGGCTGCTTTCAATTGCTGTCCTATGATATCGAATAAATCTAGAGGCGTCTCGAGCTCGATTCAATAGCATTCCTGACTCTTTTCTCTTCTGTTTAAGTGTGTCCCTGTCAGAAGAGAAGACCATCTCTATTCAATTCTAACCACTCACCTCAATAAAAATCTCGAGCTTTCGCATCACTTGGATACCATCCGAAACACATCTCAAAATACTAAGAGCTTCCAGCCAGTGGAGGAATTTTTGCTGCAGAAAGGTATCCACGCGACCTCTGTCATCAACTCCCAGCTCACAGGCTCCATTAAGCAGGCTAGCTTCAAGATGGTCTATCCAGTAGACACATGAGTATTCTACCGCTGCTAGTGGATTTGGGCTAGGCTTGCAGATATCCTTCGTGTGGAGTCCAGGTAATTTGATATTCCAGATATCCCGTTGAAGTGTCTTCAAAATAACGTCGAGAGATCGTATAAATATCATGTCGTGTTCAGCCTCTATACCCCTAGGAAGTATCTCACTGAGTGCTTCCTTGAGTAAAAATTCCTTTGCAGACTGATGAACAAAGACAATAGTATGTTGCCGTAACGTTAAAAAGGATCCACAGATTGCGATTATCTCTTCAAGGGCAACAAGATCATCGTAGTCGTCGTTGTCCAGTAGTTCAATGAATGAAGTCAGTTCGTGAAGTGTAATAGGCCGAAAAACTGTTGACATGATTGCCAGTATCTCCTTGCAGAGCTCGGCATCTTCAGATTCGCGAACCTGGCCAATCATTCGACCATATAGAGCCTCCAACCCAGGAGGAAATGATTTTAGCTTCTTGAGTACATTTATTCGTATCTTTTCAAGATTCTGACACACCAAGGCTACCCAGAGGAAAGTACCTTGCGAGTTTGACGATAGATAGGATTGAACGCTATGGCGAGTTTTATCGCTGTACTTTTTCGCTTTTGCCAATTCATCAACTTTATGCTGAATAAATTGATCCACTGCTTCAGACACAGACGCCTCGTTCAGCTCTAATGAGATCGGAGCTAGCTGGGTAGCAATGTCAAGCCGCTCAGCGATTTCAGGCCAGTTGCGGCTGGAAACAATCCACTTTATCTGTGGATTGACTGACGATTCCTGGACAATTAAGTCTAGAAGGAAACGGAGCCCATTAGTGCACTCATCTAAAGCATCAATTATCAAATAAGTCGTCTGCAGTGTCGGGTCGTTTAAAATGTCCCTGAAGATTGTTGACAGTGCATTCCATGCATTGACATCCTCAAAGAGAGTCTTTCCTGCATAGTCGTACCGAGCTCGCACATGGTGGAGAAGAGATGAATGATTCTTGACAAGTAAATATATCAACCCCCTTAGGACCGACGTAGCGCTGTTGATCCGCATGTCGGTAGCCTGACAGAAAAAGAACGAGATGCTCGCATTATCTCCATACAATCTCGTCAACTCTTCGATGACACCACATAGGAGCATCGTCTTGCCTTTACCAGGATCACCCCTGATCCAGAGAAGGCGATTTTTCTCGCTATCTTGCCATTGTTTGAATTCTTTGTTGTCTAGAATCCAGCGATATGAGTCTTTGAATAGTCCGCCCTTGGTATTCTCGATACGTTCTTTATCATCGACAGGATTGGTCGCACGTAAGTCGCGAAGGCATTCTTGATTCAGCGTTTCGGATTGTACTGAAGCCGATCACTATTACTAGCCGTAGATTGCAGTCACATCTATTTTCACTTACCAATAGTGACATTCCCGACATTCCCATGTATAACCCCTGCCTGAAATCCAGAGTTTTTTTCGCCGTAGGAAATAGTAGTTGCCATGGCTGTTGCGTATGAGTTTTAAGGAGGCTCAAATCCACGTTGGACCTCCCAATCCCCAATCTACCCCGCTATCAGGTGATCTGATTCGAGACAGAAGGAATCGCCCGCCTTGGTCATATTACCTTATAATCACCTTGATAGATGATGTGTCTTTCCATTTACACTATTTAGGAGTTCAATAGATGAACGTAGCGCCATCTTCCTTGAAGTTGCCGCTGAAGACGAAAGCTCTAATCAAAGTGACGAACCTTGTGGTTAATCGCAGGGTAACGATTGTATCTGTGTTTCAGGAAAGTTACAGCACTGTATTAGTGTAATTTATCCTTACAACACAGTTCAAGACCCTATAACAGACTAAACCAAAAGGGGACTAGAATATTTCAGAATAAAGTTCAAAAAAAAAAATGAAAAGAAAACAAAGGTGAAGCTGATTTCGAGCAGCCCTGAAGTCGAATAAACTTCCCCCGTATCCGAATCTATGGGGTACGGAGGTCTTGGCATTTAGGGCTATGGCTACTCAAGCAGGTTTCTTGATGCTTGTCTACTCGCCCTCTAGACTGCGGGATGAAAATTTGAACCGAGAATTACTGTGTGCTGATGCTCTTTTGAGGGGTGCTTTACTCCGGAAATGGTGCTTGGGAATAACTTTCTGTCTTTTCTACCAGCGGTTACTCTCATGTTCAGCAATTCTATCAAATAACATGGCAAATGCAATCCATCAAATATGGTCTTTTCATGCAAAATGTGGACTATGAGATCTTCGAATATCATTACACACGCTTGTGGAAACGACGCGCGTGATAACGACGACTATGAGGCAGGAGGCCGTCGATTTGTTGTCGAGGCAACACCATGATGCGTCACAAAGTAATCGAGTCAAATTAAGACTTTGAGATACTATAGAGAAGTGTTGATTAGACTGAAGGCTAGCATATCCGTCAAATGGTATATCACTTCATCCTAGCTTTAGATAATGGAGCTCAGTGGCTGCTGGTGCTGGATGTGTGAGCTGGTGCTGGATGTGTGAGCTGGTGCTGGATGTCTGATTTTCGTCTAAAGTGCCATGGCAGAATGAGAGATGGTGTTTCGAAATGAATAACTTCTTCCCCAAACTTTCTCTTCTCTGCAAGACCGCGAAAATGCTTTTTTCGGGTGGGCGTCGACGCCGTAGTCGGCGCAACAGGCAAGATGGACGTGCTTCTGGTCTTCCAACTCTAACAAGTACGCTTCCCATCAGCTACAGTATCTCTTTCCACAGAGCTCCTCTTCCTCCTGCCTATCCTGTGCGCGAGCACCAGATGCGTTTGAGATCTCACGATCTTCCACCTTCCCCACCTGAGGAAGGATATCGAGTCAACAACATGCACCGTCATTGTAAGTTCCCATGTCCTCCCATGCTCACGCCCAAGGCACCTAAGCTGACCGAATTTCGAGCTGCAGCAAACGATAGCACACCCTCGAATATCGGTCTTAACACTGATGCCTTTTCCGATGCCCAAATTGTCCGTGAGCCTTTGCTGCCCTCTTTCGCCTGGATGCTAAACGACCCCGAGGATTCTGGAGAAGATAATGAAGAGTATGAAGACCGTGAAGGACTGGATAGGCCCTTCTTGAGTGGCTATGACTCCTCCCCCAGCAACCGTGTTTGGGATCAACGCAACCTACCTGTACAAGACTTCGAGATCTATGAAGATCCTCCTGACCAGCCATCCCGACGCCCTTCCACGCCACAGAGCCTTGGCAACCCCGACTCTGATAAGGAGAATCTCCTCCCCTCCGAGGGGTCTCGATCTGACTTGTCCTCGAATGAGGACATGGCGGAGGCCTTAGGCCAAGGCCGCCTGCCAGGCGAATGGACTGTATTCGAAATCCCCTACGTTGAGCCTTTGGCGGAGCGGTCTCTGGATTCGGCCGGCAACCTTGTCCGCAACACTGTGCCAGCTCCTATTTTCAGCCACGGGGTAAGTATTTTTGCGCACCTCTTGTTATCTTTTTATTCGCCTATTAATAGTTTGATTGACCTACAGGACCTGCGTCGCCTAGATGACGAGCTCAGTCGTCGTCTGGCTGTCCACCATCCGACCGAGCATGACCAGGCCGAGCGTGGCTTCCCTAGCCAGTATGATAGAATGTAGGGAGAAGGAGGTGCCACAGCGGACAGAGGAACACATACGGTATCTGCTACCATTTGAAAATGGCCTAAACTAAGGATCAGCTTTCAGCTCTCTTATTCCTCAGAGATTCTTCAAATGAAATGAATTTTAAATTTAGTGTACTAATAATCAGACATTTACCTGCCTATGAAGACAACCTCTCAACCATTTTCCGAGTATAAGGTAATAAATTATCGTCATGATGATGTAGGCACTGTACACTGGTATTGGATGCGAAATAGTACAGGCTAAGATCTGCATAGTTCTAATTTTACTGCCCGTGAGGACTCCTCGTAGATCCAAAGAAATGCGTATTTTTATTTTTAGCTAAATATCAGGCAGTGCAACCTCTCTCCAGAGAGCCGAAATCAAATAGAGCAATCCACCTGCCTGTAAATATCAAAATAGCTATCACCACCTGTCTCTTGACCCGATAGTCCATTGTTCTCCCCCCAGCCTGTCCGCATTTAAAATCATTCAGTCGCTTCAAGGATATCTGGCTGGTTCTTGTTATTCTGATGGCCTGGGACATCTGTATCTTCACTTTGTTCGTCGTTGTTCAAGAAATTCGCTTCTTCGTGCTGAGGCGCCTCACCAGCTTTCTCCCTTTCCTCTGCACTGGTCATATCCTTGTTGTCACTCTTGGTTTCAATGATAATGAAATTCTTTCCATCGTCTCGAACATCGCCAAATATTTCTAAAAGCTCTTTTACTAAGCTGCGTTCCGTCGTAGCCGAAGAGCCCATGTATTGATCAATTTCTCGGGTTTTTCGCTCTTGTATCTCAAGCATTCTGTCGTCGAGAGAACCTTTAGTGACAACACGGACGGTCTCGACTGTTCTCTTCTGGCCAATGCGAATCAAGCGACTTTGGGCCTATAAAATGGTTATTATTTGGTAAATAGAGAATGAAAAGTACAAAATCGGCCCACCTGATCTTCTATGGCTTCGTTCCACCAAAGGTCAATAAGAATGCACTTGTTCGCGCATGAGAGATCCAAGCCAGTTCCACCGGTCCGAAGAGTTGCTAGAAGAATATTTACTTCGCTGCTCTCGCGGAAATTCTTGAGGTTGCTGTTGCGAGTGGCATGAGAAACGTTTCCGGAAAGCTAATTTATGACTTTTAGTATCCAATAATGAAGATCCCTTCCACTGAACATACCTTGACGAAATTCCAACCCTCCCGCTTGCAAATTTGCTCAAGTATCTTGAGAGTGTTCAAGAAAAGAGTGAACACCACAATTTTGTTGCTTCTATCCTTCATCCAGCATTTGATGATTTCGGAGACTTTGTTAAGTTTCGAGCTAGGGACCTGGGGTCCAAGGACTTTGATCCAGTCCTTTTCATCGCCACAAGAGGGAGAATCGTCGGAAGTATCATCCTCACCAACGCTAAAAGGCAGCGGATGATATTCTTTCCTGTTCTCCGCTTTCTGTTTGCCTTCTTTGGTTTGATCTTGATCCCCGGCACTCTTCTTGCGCTTTTGAGCTAAAGGAATTAGGCTGATTTCCTTGTCTACCTGCTCAGAAGAAGCATATCCTTCGATAGGTGTCTTGCACGCTCGACAATTTGGCGTAGCTATTTCGTTACCCTCGTTCACAGTGAGACCGTAAAAGCATTCCTCGCAGTACAAGTGATGGCAAGAGGTAATGAAACCACGGTGTGGTGGGTGACGGCAGACGGGACAATGAACCCTCGCGTAGCGTTCTGTCCACTCGTTCATATTGCGTAATTGGAGCATCTTCCTCCGGAACCCCTGAATGATATTCCCTGCTTTCTCGGAATCGGTGGCTCTGATTCTATGAGGATCTTCCAAAGAGGCGGTTGGAACCATTACGAACTTTTCCATCGTCAAGGTAGACGAGATGATGCGCGCTGAGTCTGTTTGATGGTCCTCTTGGCACTTGGCAATACATCGGAATCGATCTAGAAGCCCTGTATTGAGCAGCAGCTTTCCATCGATGTAGTTTTCTTTTTCGTAACTCTGCCAAAGTGTGAGAATATGACTGGATGCCATACGTAGCGCCAGGAACATTGCGAAGATTAAACCCCACTGAATAGATGCCTCCTCTCGGGCTTGCTTTGCTATTCCCTCTTGTGTTAGAAAGCCTTGTGGACCCAGCGTTGAGAAATTCACTCACTATTTATTTTCTGGATCCAGCTCGAGCCTATCCGTTTATAAAGAAGGGCTTCCGGCTCATACGGGTTGACATAGACGGTCTTGGGATCAACCCCTGGCAGTTTAACAATTGGGTGACCGAAGAGCTTTGTCTCGTAGGTATTCCGATGAAGAATCAGAGCGAGAAGCTCAAAAAGGGAGTCTGAAGCTTTTTCATCACTCTAGGTAGACAGGAGCAACCAAGGACAGTCAGTAAGAATGTATCAAAACTTGAAAACCCCGGGGCAACTCTCGTTTTTCGTTTAAACCAGTTTGAGAGACATACGGTATAGTTCTTTTCAAAATCCCCCATTGTCATGCAACCTGCAATTCGGAGGAACTCGAAGTACGGGAATAGTTCATCGATTTTGCTGAGTCTGCAAGTCAGTAAGCCGATTGATGAGGTATTCCCAATGCTCAAATTCCCGACTAATGTATATATTTGGTAGGAGGGATAACAAGCGTAAGATGCACCGTTGTATCTGAGCCATTGTTCTGTGAAAAAAACACTGGAGCGCAACTTACTTGTGGAGGGGTGTTCCTGTGATAATCCATCGTTTCTTTCCGATCAATTTGCGAGCTGCGAGTGAGGTTTTCGATTCCGGATTCTTAATCTCATGAGCCTCTGCATATAGTGCGAGTATGAGTATTCATCCAGGCCACTGTTGCCAGACCACAGATACTCACCGTCAAGAATGATCCGATACCATTCCACTTTGTGTAAAGTTCCCATTCTACTGCTTTGTATTCCGCGAGCGACTTCGATCGCCTCAGTCGAAAGACCTTTTGGTGCGACGGCAGGTAATGGGTATGAGCTCCGTACTTGCGAATAAGAGGCAAGTCTGCATTTTGTGAGCGGAGTGTATGTAATTCCATATTGAGAAAAGTACTTACACGATGCCTTGCATGGATACGACATCCACCGGAAGCTTGTGACTGGGTTTGAAAAGAAGCACCCCACCGGTAATTTCAGGATCGCAATGCGTGGTGAGATGATCGTACCTCAAGCAGTGTTTTAGCCAAATGGAAATCTTCTACTGAAACATCGAGCTTACCAGTGATGCAACAGACCAGCAGGAGCAACGATAAGGGTACTCCTGGGTGATCTTTTCCGAAGGAAAGTTCGATCATCCATGATATTTGCCATGGCGTCCACGGTCTTACCTAGTCCCATGGAGTCGCACAGCATTCCACCATTGGTCATAGATCGCTCTCGTGTTCGCTGCAACTGTCAATACTTATTTCAATTGCTAGGTGAGTGGTTGTAATAGCTTACCATCCATGCGGTAACCAGCACCTGGCAAAATGAATTAGTTTATATCTCCAAAAGAGAGAACAGGAAAAGACGAACTTGGTGAGGTTTAAGACTTATGTCCAGACCATGGACTTTCCAACCATTTTGCCCATCAGACGTTGGCGGATGATTGAACTTGTTGACTGATCTTTGTAATTGGTCTCCGTCCCTTTTTTCGCCGGTGTACTCAACGAGTCGATCAATGAGGTCCTCAGTGTTTGTTTCCTCGAAAATAGGAAGTTCTTTTGAGCTGGCCATCTTCTGGAGACTAGCGGTGATTCTTTTCGGAAGAAGCCGCTCAAACTCTTGGATAGTCATTTTTGAAGTCCGCGATTTGCCAGAGGCAGACACTTGAGTGCCCCTGGAGGTGATTCTGTAGGTATGCCCAAAACAGTATTTTGTGAGTATGCCGATAACCCCTCTGATAAGCGTGTAGGTTTCTTTCGAGGCTTTTGAGAAGAGCTTGCTTTTGTGGAGCCGCCTTCCTCGCTTAGTTCATGGGAGGCTCTAATAGAGGAAACTTGCTCGTCTTTTCCCGTGCATGTTTTCATACGCTCGGGATTCGAAGAAAGAAGTTTCGGTTTAATGGTTTGGTGACAATGGAGCTCCCTGTGTTGATTAGATACGGCGTATTTTGCTGCGGTTGAATAGAGGATACTGACGAGACGTTTGCATCACATCCTATCAAAGAATCTCCTGAATCGGAGCGGCCTGCATGGCCTAGTCGATCAGTATTGGTATTTCAAGGTCATGAGGATTTTATTAGAGATATTTGACCGCGAATAGACAGTTGAGTTGTACTGATACCTTTTTCTGGTTCGGATAACTTTATATGCTCCAAGTCAGGAAGAGACACATCCCCCCTTTTCGGAGAGATATTTTTGTCGGTGGGAGCCATAACCACTATAAAGGAGTACTCTCGTGATTGATAGATCACTGGGTAAATTGATGAAGAAGGAATGAGGGTCTGTGGTGAGCAAAGGTTAGTGAGTCAAAAGTGCAAACAGCAACAAAAGGGTGGATTTAAGGGCTCCCGTTTGGAATTGAAGCGGACCAATTGCAGTTAAGTCTGGATAGAAGGGAAGGATGAGGCACAATGGGTCTTCGGACAGTGACAAGCTGGTAGGAATTGAGCAGAAGTCACACAAAGTCAGACTCACAAGGATTTGCACTGAAGGATGTCGATGGTATTAGAGAGAGATGGTGAAGAAGAAGAGGAGGAGGAGGAGGAGGAGGAGTAGTGGAGAGTGAGAAATATGATGAGAAAGGACAGTAAGAAGGGTGGGTCGTTATGAACCAGGCTTATGGCGAGAGTAGAGATAAGGAAGAGTAATGACGGGAGAGCGAGATTATGGTGGAAAGAGGTCAAAAAGGAGCAAATTAGAAAGAGAGTGTAGGAAGGCTTGTATATACCGGAAGGGCTGGAATCAATTCTTCCGAGTACAATAAAACAGATGGTATCAGGATGGAACAAGAGTATCGAAATGGGCGTTAAACCAATAGAGAAGTCATCTAGCCTTTAAGTGGTATTTGCAACCTATTGCGGCGATCTTCCAACTGGTACTTTTTTTGATTCGTTGTAACCATCCTCGCCCAGAGAGTATCTTATATGTATGAAGTGTTTGCCCAACACCTCTCACGGAATGATGTACATGCGAGAGCCTGGGAGGACGGTATAAAAGGGCGGAGTGGATGGATACCAATGTATAGGGGTGCAATACTGCCGAAGCCTGTACATGGAAATTGCATAGCAGGACATTGTATACGAAATATGATTTGAGACAGATCTTAAGAAGTGTCTGTATAAGAAATTAATCCATTTCTGCAGGGAAAAAAGTTACAATGACTTGGATTGGTATTCACCAAGCTCCGACCCAATGCGATGAAGTTGGTCTCCATGTCACGGTGATGATATATTATTAATGACAAAAATGGACTTATTCCAGTCCCCGAATAAACGCCTGAAATGGTAGATTGAATGTCTCGGGTATCATTATCATGCAACAGCCAATAGATAGCATAATGGTGAAAAGGGACAGGGAGAAACATCAGCCAAGCAGCCCAGACAGTCAGTTGGTTTACTGTGCTGCGACCATCGACGGAGAGCCAAACTCGTCAGGGGAGTGCTGCGGTTGAGCCTCAATTGGGCCGAAAGATATAGGAGGCACGATTGGTTTGATCTCCTCGGGTATGGGGGAACCCTGATCTGGGGCGGATACACTGGTCGCGTGCGATGTGTCGGATTCGGCGTCTGTGACTGCGGATGCCGTGGACATGTTTTCTGAGAAAGTGTAGTTAGAAACAGACCCCGCGGGTTCATCCACAGCGACAGGCTCTGGATCGGGAAGGTCTTGAATTTGCGGGGCAGGGCTGTCAACAGCTTCATAGAAGAGCATAAACACGCCGCCCTGGGACATGGCGTGTCCTTCGCTGACCATTTGCACATCGTCATCGCTGAGCCGAAACCAGCGTTCTGTTTTCTCTTTATCCCCTTCAGCCTGAAGGACCTCTTCTGGGACAGAAGCTGGGAACTCGTCGGTTTGGTATTTGCGGTAGCAAATGTAATGCCCGTTTTCGTGTCGACCATAGTGTGTGATGATGGCCCGAAGTTCATAATGCCTGCTTGGTAGACGGATGGCGTGTGCAGGCTGAGGAAGCATAGATTCCGAAGGATCCATAACCCACTGTTCAAAGGAATTGCCGGATCTGTCGGCAGCATTGGCTCCGAGGCACCAATCATTTAGATCGAGGGTTTTGGGAAATTTGACAGCAGCATGGTTCTTCTTGAGCATTCCAGTCATCTCGTCAAATAGACTGCGGTTGACATGTACCACAAGACTCTGAGGAGCTCGGGCAATGACTGCTTGCCTGGATTTAGTCGAAGGCACCCGATTCTTCGGTGAAATGTGACACTTTTCAGTCAGGGTTTTCTCTGCGAAATCATCTTCTTCGATGGCTGTGTTGACAGCCTCTAGGCGTGTAAGCGCAGATTTTCGGACAGCGTCAGATAGGCCGGGGGTCTTTGGCCCATCATGCGCAGAACCGACATGCGAAACGTCACCAAGCAAATTATGCAGCTGGTCCTTAGCTCGTAACAACGTACACTTGGCACATTCCACACCTTCAATAGGCTCCAAAGTCATGTATTGATCCAGGCATTCTTGGACGTGATATTCAAATTGTCCACCAAGTCGTACCGTGAGGCAATTGAAAGGTATGAGCGAGAGGCCTTCCGTCCAACCACATGTCATGCAGCCCACCCTTTGCGCCAGTAGGCCTTCCAGAGGATTACGCAGGGACGACTTGATTACCACGTTGGGAGAACCGTCATCCTCACCATCGTCATTGATGTCTTTCAAGATGTCCTCGTCCCGGCCAACCATCTTCAAACCCATATTCCTGGTTTGGCCTCGCGAGGCTTGCTGTACTTCGACATCGATTTGGTCCACAAGCTTCGAGAAATATTCCTGCGCATCTTGCTGTTGCCAACTGCTCATCGACTTGAGCTCCGCGGGTATCCAAAGTTTGTGCCCGGAATTTGATCCGCTGTTCAGATGGTCGATTATTCCTTTGAGTGCCTGGTGTGTTGAGAACGGGCCCTTGTCTGCCAGACGCTCGAGATTTCGCCCCAAGAATCGGTCGAATGATTTCAATGACGCAAGTCCCTGGATGATGCTATTTTGATAGCAAGAGTTGTCCCAGTTTCCCAGGCCTGGTGGAGTAGTGTCTTTGTTGTTTCCTAGTAGCGCGCCTCCCAGACTAGACAAAGAGCGCGACCGTCGGAAGAACGGGAAGACGCTGTTATCTAAGCCAAGTATGCGTCGCATCGCCTCATTTTTGGCCGCAAAACTCATGTCGGTAGGATTCGAAGGGTAGGACCCGGAGGGCGAAATGCGTGTATCTAACGCGACAAGAATCCAACTAGGCGTTGCGAACACTAGAAGGTCCCAGCTGAGTTGGATCAGGGAAATCGGGACAAACCCAAAGTGATCAAGGAGGATGTAAATAGAGAATACGGCAAGACCGGCATAAGCTATCGTCTGGTTGTTTTGTAGGAGACTGAAGAGTGTCTCATCGTGGCTGTTTTGACTGGCGTAATGGATGGGGCCGGACGAATAAATGTCGACTCGCTGCCGAGCATTCATGGCGGAAGCAAAAAATCGGTAAGGCTGCAACAGCAGGGGAGGTACCTGTTGAGCATGAGCCGTGAGATCCCACAGAGGGTAAGTAGTGAAAGACGCGAGGCAAAAGAAGTTGGAGGTGGAGAATGTGACAACCTGTGGTATAAGCGACGCCTCTGTTTGGTCCGAGGCTGCGCTTTATGTCTTCCTCGCTCCCCGCAAAAAGTTTTTTTATCGATAGCAGTCTCCCCACAGATCTTAAGATTGCAAAACATAACTATGGCGAAGAGCAAAGGTAAGCGAAAGTCCCGTCCAGTTCTCTATGTGGAATTCAGGACGGCTTTACTAATAGCGTGCTAGCCCATTCAAATACTCGCGCAGCACGCCGGGCTGCTTCCCCAAGCTTGGATGTTGACCGTTCCTGACAACTGCCCCGCGAGCAGAATCTCCGACAGCCCAGCGCCCCTCCGTGTTGGCCAACCGTGCGAGCTCTGGCATTCAAAAGAAACAGAAAAAGCAAAAGTTATCCAGGGCGCAGAGATTGCGACAACAGAAGGGCATGGAAAGGGCTGAGGCTGTCTTGGATCAACTCGAGATCAAGAAGGCCAAGAGCATTACACGCAGCAAGATCGTCAAAGCACGAAGGGTATGGACTATGATGCATAATATGCCTGTAAGCTGTCTTTTTTAACTGACACGCTCCGCCTAGGGTGATTGGGAAGAACTGAACAAAAAGTCGTCCGCGTTCGCCGCTCTCCAACAAGATGAAGAGGATGAGGACGAAGACGATGATGCCATGACCGACACAGTCACACAGTCAAAAGAAAATCCTATTACCTTCTCATCCACGGGGCTCCATCCGGGAGGAATCCCTGCAGTCGCAGATCCTGCCCCAATCGATGAGGACGATCAAATTACTTGAGCTTAAGCAACCTCCACCGACACCCGATCCTGACGCGACCTATTTCCTTGGCCGAAGCTGATTGATCATGCGTTCAATCTCGGTAGCCGCAGGCCCGGATGCTTTATTTCGGAGGAGTTCCAAAGTATTCAAGTCTTTGGCCTTGTGTGCCTCTTCACCCGCCTTGACAATCATTCCACACTTGACCCACATTTCGATACGCTCCGCGACAGACAAGTTGGTGCACTTGGGGACGAACAAGGAAGCAAGCTTGGTGTTCCCAGCGCCAAGCACTTCATTATAGAAAGGCTGGTTCTTATGTTAGCGCACATCGTACAGCCAATGATTGAATGAAACGATTTCTTACCTCCCAACCGATGGGCGACTTCTTGTTCTTGTTTAATTCTTCTAGCTCACCCCAGTCGCGCTTGGCCACCAACGCTCTGAGCCTCAGCCACCAGTAGGTCTTCTCGGGCATCCTAAACTCGCCCTGCATCTTTTGGGCGCGCTTGCCGTAACCAGCTCGGATAAGCCTGTAGATAGTTTCGTTCAAACTAAGACCCAAGAATTCCGTGCGATCGGCCAGGTCTTTGTCCAGGGCTTCCTGAGCTTTGAGCAAATGAGATGCTTCCGATATCAACTTTTGCTGGAGAACCACCGTGGGATCCTTGGAATCAGATAACAGCCGCGAGGCTAGTTGCAGCTTCTCGATTTTCTGCTGAACTTGGTCCGCCGCTAAAGCCTCGACTAGCAATGCATTGGATCCATCAAGTGGGCGGTCATCTTGGTAATAGAGATCCTTCAGCAACTCCATGTCCTCGTCCCGAGCAGTTGCTTCCACCAAAGCCGAAGCCATGGGGCGGGTGTTGATCATCCGGAAGAAGCTTGCAAGAGGTATCTTGCTCTTAAGATGCAGGAGAACAAAGTTCACCAGATCATCATCGCCACTTTCAATCGCCTTGTCCAGAGCTAGCTCATCTTCTTCCATGTTCAGCAGAAGTGGAACTTGTTTGCCAGCTCGAGGCTCATGATTCAACAGCCGTGTTGCAAGATGCGACCGGCCTTCATCATAGGCAGTCTGAGCAATCATTTCGAAGGAAATACCAGGCTTGCCTTCAAGTCTCTGGACAATGAGCTTGCACACGGCCTCATCATCTACGGTGGACACTCTGACTTTTTGACTAGCCCAGTGAACGTAGATCTTGTCAGCGGGAATTTGGAGGTATTCAGACACCCTAATAGCAAGCAGATATTCATGGCGGTTTGTAAGGCGCTCAACTAGACCCTCAGGCGTCAACCGCAGGTACTGTGCATATGAGATAGGGATGCCAATTTTGTAGTCGCGAACTGCTGAGATGACACGGAGTTTTTCGGTCATTTCAACAAACTCATCGCTATTATAGAGCTCAAGTACTGATTTCCCGAACGAAGCAGCTTTCAGGAGTCTCTTCTGCCAATAGCTGTCGAATTCATGACCAGCAGCCTTAATGCATGTGTCCACCGCTGCAGGGAGGCTGGAACGAATACGTTGTATATTTTCGTCTGCCTTGGGCGACTTCTTCTCCATCTGCTCTACTGAATCAAGTAGGACTGAAGAGGGAGACGAAGCCCCAAGGCGGAAGATTTCCTCGGTGGTGCCTGCTTATGTTAAGGCAATTATCTCTTTCGGGGTGCTCAGATGTACTCACCATCAACCTTGTGGAGGAACTCGCAGCTATCATTTGTGAGAAGATGTACTCCATCAAATTCCGGTATTACGTGGACACGGCCGTCGTAGTAATATCTGTGGGATGTCAATCATCTCGAAGTCGTTCAAGAAAACACTAAGGCCACTTACTTGGATGCGGCACCACTAGGCCCAACAAGGTGAATCTCGTCTTCCCATGCGAGGACAACGGCTTCATCGCCACACCAATTCACGGAGCTAGGTGGCACCCGTGCCTTCGAATCGTATTCACAGAGTTTATTTTGGAAGTCATTGCTAACTACCCAAAGCTTTCCTTCGCTGGTATAAAGAGCGATGAAACGACCAGTTGGAGACACACCTACGTGTTTGAATGGGCCATCTTGTAGGATTTTATCTTCAGCATCTGTAGAGTCAATTAGGAACACTGTCTTGTCAACCGCTAGAAGGACCTCCACGGAGCGCGAGAGAGTATGAGTCGGTGAGATCAAGGCCCATGAAGAAACTTCTCCCTCTGGACAAGGGGCGAGCAGTTTTGGGCGTGGCTCGTCATATTTGGAGACAGCAATCAGCTGGTTATTTGAAAGCAAAGCTACCAGTCCCGAAGCCCAGAATTGGCAGGCCCTGACACCGTATTCTTCCGCGCCCTGAACGTATGTTAGCCTGTAGACTTGGACTTCGCTAATATTGAAACTTACATTCCCGAGAGAGAAGGAGGTGAATTCGCCATCTAGGCCAAAGTAGCGGCGAACGGTCCCGTCTTCGGCGACCACTAGGAGTTCCTCTTTATCGGACCAGCCGAGACCCCTGATTGTGGCTTGCTCCCACTGGTGGATGGTCAGTCGATGTGTAAAGTTAATTGTAAAACAGAGGGTGAAGCGTACATGGATTCGATTGATCAGCTTCCCAGAGTATGAATATATGTCAATATTCGATCGGCTCTGGGAATCGCGTAGCCTCACAGGCTTCGTTTCGTCACGATACAGCGCTGCAATGAGTTCCTTGTTAGCTCTGAATTATTTAACAGCGACACTACAGCTCTGGGTAGGCCGTACCAATAGTCCCACCATATGGTGCGCCCGCGACAATGTAGTTCTCTAACTCAACTTCATCGTCAAAGACGGCGTCATATACGGTGATTTTGCGGTAAAAGCTATCGCCGACTTTTTCCCAGTTGGCGAGCGGGTTTGAAGGGGCCATTCCGAATAGGGATGATCATAAACGATGGCCTGGAGAGACCGTCCAGCCGGATATCTTGTGTTGATGAGTTGGGATTGGATCAAGTGAACCGGCTGCTGTCCGTGGGGATTTGCGCTAGTCTATTTTTGGAATACTCGATCCCCGTTTGATCAGGCGTTAAGGCGTCGATATGGTTCCTGGCCCCAGTCCGCTCCCCTCCGCCTTCGTGCTTCCCGTTTAGATTACGTCCACTATCAAAGATTCATTGATAGCGATCGTGATGGATAACTCGGGCCTTGAAGAAGCTGCACAGCAGTTATCAGATCTTGAAGTGGCTTTGTTTTTGTCGCTAGCCGCCCGAGAACACTGTCTGATCGAGACTACGATGGAATCTATTGAAGACGTCGCGAAAGGGTTAGCATTGGTAACTATGACCTACAGAAGCATACTTCGATGAGAAGCGGCTGCATTGACACCAACTATAGATTTGCTCGGAGTCTTTTGCTTTATCATCATCAATTATTGATTGTTGGCCCACTACTTCTATCGAGGAAGTACATGACGACATTCTGTCTGTCGATGCACGCAAAGTCCTGAGCCGACCAGCAAATCCTCGAATGAAGACTGAATCTGTATGAGTGGATATAACGCATAGTGCATACAACTCTCTAACAAACCCAGTCCAGTATGATCTCATCCTATGCAGGTCGTCGAAACGGAAGCAAATCCCCACTTCCTAGTGCAATCGATGAGCCAAATCTCGTCAACGTGGTCATTGCCAAAAATTTCAATTCAAGCAATGACGATCTGCAAGTCCAATTCTTACAAGTAAGACACCTGCGAGCCGGCTTTTGAGTATCAGCTAATAGACCTGAAGCTCATGCGAGCTAGGAAACTTGTGACGACGAAAGGGGCTCTCTCTGCACCTGCGGATTTCCTTTTCATTCCCCTGGTAGTCCGAGAATCAGACCAACTACACCCCCCCAATCAAGTCGCATTTGGTGAGTGTCCAGTCTGTCAATGCTATGTAATTCAAGCTAATTTATAGTCAGAATGACAATCTTTTCATCTCCCATTTCCATGACCACCTGTCTTCATACACTCACCAGGAAGAGGACGATTGGAATTCTGAGGGAGAAGCGTCCACTTCATCAGTCATTCACACACCTGGGCTCACCCCTGACATTTCCAAAAATATAGGCCCAAAAGTCGATCAACAGGTACAGCTGCCTTTAATTATGGCCGCAAATTTTTTCCCAGGGCTAAAAATAATGCACAGATGATTGAGGCTCTTCGTACAGCCTGTGAAACAGTGACTACGAGCGCCGAAGTGACTCGTTACATGCAAGATATTGTCGTGTTTCTACGCCTGAGCCGCGCAGTTGCTGGGGGCATATCTGCGAGGGCAAACTTTCAATTTATCCAGTTATCACGGTAAGATATTGTCGACACCAAAAGAAGAATTCACGACTGGCCGTCTAACTATGTCTATAGAATGCTTGCCCCTTTGCATGGGATTGACTATTTGACCCCTTCCATTGTCGTGCTGGCAGCAAGAAAGGTGTTTCGCCATCGGATCGTTGTCGCAACGCCCGCGGAAGACCGGAGCATACAGTACGGCAGCGATATAGGTGCTGTTGCTCAGGTTCTAGCTGAAGTGACCCCGGACTCAATTCTGGACGGTGTTTTGGCGTTAGAGCCTCCAGTCTGATGGGCTCCTATAATGAGTGTTTGAAGATACCCCGTTTGAGAAGAGAATGATTTTTTTGCAATTGAAGAACTCCAAAGATGAAGAGCAGGACCAGCCATGTCTAATCTATGGACAGATCGAGAATAGCGCACTCTCGAGAAAAGTTGGTCTTCAAGGCACCGTTCAAGCTTAGATGGCGCTTGTTGGCCTGACTCTTAAGAAGAGATCTTGCTGCAAGAACATCTTTTCCTCGCCGGCCAAACTATTCTCACCATCATGGCATCTATTCCCATGGTTTTGGCGGTTAGTTCTCCAGATGGCATCTGTGGCTTTGCAATGAGCTCGCCACTCTCTCAAGACAACATCGATCTCGGTCTTCGAGTCGCCAACTAAAGCATCCATCTTGATATCATTTCTGTCATATCCAAATGGATCCTCCAGTTGCGAACCAATTCCTTCGATCCCATACAGTGTGAACATCACTAAGCTGACAATTGGGATAGCCCACCACCCCATTTCATCGACCATAGCAAATGGAAGCACACATCCGAATAGTGCAAGCACTTGCTTTTGATGAATACTTGGCGTATGAGTTAGCACGGTGCTCAAGATCAAATAATCCAAAAAAGAAAGAAAAAAAGAAAAAAGGAACAAAAAAAAACTCAATCTTACAGGTGGGCCACTGGCATAGGCGTCAATTTGATCGTTTCCATGCGTCCATAGGCATCAAGAAGCGAGTTCAACTGGGCCTGCATCTGGCTCGCGCCAGGGGCAGGATACCAGCCCCTCTGTTCACCACGTTTGATAAAGCCGTCCACCAAGAAGGTTAACTGGAAAGGCAAGCCCAGCCCCTCATCTTCATGACCTTGGAGCCCAGAGGGCAGCAAGCCCGCATAATCTGGGTTGAAGGCAGCCGTGCCTCGTTCATCGACATCATTTCCAAAGATCCCCCCTATCGCCCATGCAGCACCCCACTCTGCGCGTAGATGGTTCTTAACTGCAAATGGAATGGCCATCAAGATGCGTATAGTGCGCTCGATATCTTCCCGTTCAGCAGGAGTTGGGGGTCCTCGGGTGGTGCTGTAGCTGTTTGTAGCGATAGTGCGTACAAGGTTGCGCACGCATGTATTCATGGTGGTCATTCCATTGCGACCATCCCAGAATCGATTATAGGATGTCTGGTTTCGAAAGACGAGGATCAGACCCACGACGATGGAGAGGGAAGGGATCTTTTTTGGTCGCGCTGTGTGAGTTCTCTTGTCGAGGTTTGGAACACCGAGGCGATATTGCCAAAACTTACGATGCTGTTGGGGATTCCCACTGTATCGAAGACATAGGTGTCGAGGTACACGACGAAGGCTGTGAATAGGGAGTGCAGCAAGACTGGCACCAATACTTCTAAATGAATAGCCCCTTTTATGAATCGAAGAACCAAGGGCCATCTGCATGTGTTAGTATCATAATTTAATAAACATTGGAGTTCCTGGCGCCAGTGTCGTTGCGAACCTTCGAGGCTTCCGACGCGACGATAGCAGGTGCGGGTGTGTGTCGCGCCGCGAGTGATGGCGAGTGTAGGTGTTTTGTCGGCTCAACACCGGCGTGCTGGGTTCGCTGAAGGCCAGGGGCATGATGAACTGGCTTTCCTAGGTTATCTAGAAGTATAACCTGCGACGAAGTTGGGATTTATAAGCCCTGCAGCGCTGAACATGCCACCCGGCGCCATGAAGTCGAGGTGGGGAAAGTGATCGTCGTTATGCACGCTGACATCGTTGCTGCACCACGCAGCCACATGTCAGGGGCGTTCGCATCCACTCCACCTGTCATGACCTGATTCTGCGTTTGATTGGTTGTGGTTTCTTTTCTTTTTCAGTATCAACGTCGTGTAACCAGTCCACTTTATTGTTCAGATCTGTCGAGTCCAAGTAAACACGCCTACGGCCTCGTTTCGAAGCCCCCCCACATATGTTTCATATGACACAACCTCGAGAATCTACAAAATCTGTCAACAGTCTTTTTTCACTCTATGCATACACAATTTGAAGGCCTTTCGCTCACCCAATACCTCCTGTGCAGGGCCTGGACAAAAAGTGCCCAGTCAAATTCCTCACATACTTCTTAGAATCGCTCATGGGCATAGTTCACTTGCATGTATTCTACTTCGTAGCATGATCGATAGTATTCGGTATAGTACTAGTATCTGGATCTTCGTCTTCTTGCGACTTGTAAAGAATTACAACGTCCATCATCTACTAATTAATCAAGGTACCAAAACATAGGCCTTTAGGGCTGCATTAATAGCAGACTGTTAGCGTAGCTTTGAAGGCCTCTCTTCCTCATGCGCGCCCACTGTGGTCGTATTGTTCAGTCGTTTCGTCCTTTCGTCGTTTATGTAGCGGCTTCGTGGACGCCTTCGTAACGGTAGGAATGCATGCGGCTTCGGAGGTCTTGTGTAAGTATCTCTTTTTGTCAAACCTTCTTCCTTGTACTTTAAAGTAGCGATGGTAATATCTTTCCGTTTCTAAAGTTCCCTATTCAGAACTTATATAAATACATTTCCTTAAGACACGAGAGTGTCTTCCTATCAACGGTTTCCCTACCCTTTGGGCTCTTGATCCTGGGTCTTCCAGTTTATTGATAGAAGCTTGGCGTGGGTGCCGCAAACCAGGGAATGGTATACTAATTAATATTACAACCACAAAGTGCAGTCTTGCTGAAGGTTTGAATGTACTAGTCGAGTAGTCAGATTCTGTGCGGAAAAATATTGCTTACAGTGCCGGTGTTCTTGAAGGGTACCAGTATCATATTAAATTGAGTCCACTAGCTTTGTATAAGAGAGCAAGATTACCTTCCCAAATATCCAAATCCCTCAAGTTTCACCCAGCTGTAACTTTACCAGCCGTGGGGATGAATGCTAGAAGTTGTGGGATTGAAACACTCCAATAGGATAGGCGCGCGTGGCTTTGAATTTCTTGGTCGTGGTACTTGTTGCAGTCAGGCTAACCTGAGAAGTGTTCCAAGGTTCGCTGCATGCGTCATTGGATAAGGCCTCTGCAGGCAACAGTTCCACGCACATGGGCGATTCAAATTTGTAGCCACCTTCCCAGGATTTGAAGAATTCGGGAGCCTGATCCGAGTAGTGATTTAGTCTATGGTATTGCATCGATAGTGATGGATGAGGCGCACTCTAAGTCCGGAATGAGTGGAGTGGATTATATCACGATTGTTAATTCTGAGATATTAAATTCAAACTTGAACTGACATATGGCGGGCAAAGACAGAAACGCAAACAACAATAGCTTGAGGTCGAGATGGACTATGCTAGATCATGATAAAGCCGGATCTGGTGCGATTCAACTAGAAGGGACGGCAAGGAAAGTCAAAAAAGGGGCCTGATGTGCCAGAGATGCCACGAAAATCATAAAAGAGCCTAGTCTGCTGAAGGGTATATCGAACAAAGGTGGATGCGAGAAGGAAAGGGCGGAACGCTGAATTTGCCAAAAGCACTTGATTTTGGGCACTTTGTGGACGCCATCGTAGAATGTAGCTCATGATCAGCATCCACCGGGTGCGCTGGGTTAATGCGAGCATAGGAAAAGATGTAAAATGTGTGCAAATACCACCAAATGATTTTTTAGATCAGAATGTCCAACCCGAAATAGAGGCTCATTGCATGACAGCGCGACCGTCGAATGCCAAGGGGCCAGTGTCATTTCGTGGAGTAAAGGGGTTGTCGTCCGACGTTTCCGAAAAAACCCGGGGTGTCAGCACGAAGACGGGACGGTCCAGGTACATTCAGCGGCTGAGTTGACTGCCACCCAGGAATGTTGCTTGTGGCGCTGCGAACGAGGTCATCCTTACTAGTATTAGGCGCAGAGGAGTCCGAATTTCGGCCGTCTTCTGTGTCTGCATCGAGCCTTTGATCATCTTGCAAATGCAGATTTTCCACATCGGTAGCCAGATCCGGTTCCTCATGGTTGACACCGTTGGTGGCTAGATCATGCACCGGAGGGTGTGTTTCAGCTTGAGGCAGCTCGGGGACCGATGCTGGCGACGCCTCGTCTTTCGCCTCAATCTCGTTCTCAGCCTCACCATTGATTTCTGGTTGGTCTGGCGTATCATCAACTTCGGCACTCAAATCAGTAAAAGCTCGACAGTTGGGGCACTGGAACATAGGATAATCTGGCGAATGAAGCAAGCGGCTAATGCATTTGTAATGCCAAACGTGGGCACAAGCAGCCATGAATAAGCATTGATACGGGCGCTGGAACAAGATTAGCTAAAAGAGTCAGATAGGAAAGCAGAAGAGACTTACCAGAACGGAACCGAGGCAGATCGAGCATTCACGGCAGCCGGAGTAATCAGGGTTGTCGCCCTTTCCGAGATTTTTGATGAGACTTTCGGTATTTTTACTGAAATGCCGTTAGTTTTGTTATAGGAACAAATTCCGGGGGAGGAGGGATGAAGGGTTCATACTTAAACTCATTGGGTTGCTGCTGCCACGACCGATTGCATTCGACGCGAATACGTACGCAGCGGAAAATCATTTCCTCGCCGCCCCGAAAGTCAATTCCCAGTTGCACAATGTCTCCGTCCTTAATGGAGTAAAGGCGGGACGCCATGTTCGGTTGGCTGAGCCGCATATGATTCAAGAAGGTACCTGACGAGCTGCCTACATCTTTGACGTGCCACTGCCCGTTCATGTACAAAAATTCGCAATGTTTACGACTGACAACCTTCGACTTGAAGCCCACGGGTGCATCGGATGGCTCCGTGGGGTTTGGGACCGGAACGCCATCCCGCTCAGAGTAACGTCCAACTTTGATCACGCAACTTTCGGAGGGTAGTGTGCGGCTGATTGGGACGAAAGGTAACGAGGGTCGTGAGCTTTGGTAGGTATCGGTGTATGGGAAAAACCGAATGACCGCCTTCTGTTTAGGTTTCGACGAGGAGGAAGCGGCGGTATCAGGCGTTGCAGCATCAGCTGGGGTAGAACCGGTCAAGTCGGGATTTGCTTGGGTGGGCGGCTCTGGGGAGGCTGATACGGGTTCTGAAGTAGAAGCAGTTCGATCCGGGCGTTGAGTGCGACCATGCACAACGGAGGAGCTTCTCAGTCTAGCCATAACACGCGCGCTTGAGCCAGATTCGTCAGGGGGGGTGGAGTGCGAAGAATCGGTGGATGAAGTTGGGTTTTCGGGAGCACGAGAACTCGGGGCGGGAGCAGAAGTGAAGCGGGACAAAGGCGGCTGCTCAGATTCGGGGCATGGGCAGTAGGCGAGTGCCCAGGTGATTCTGAACCACCGGAAGACAACCAAGACAGACGACTGCCGTTGCGATTCCGTTGCCCACTTGGGGATGAGAGGTTCTGTGTGTATGCTCGAAGCTGGCTCAGACGACGAAGCCGTCCTGGGCGAGGAGCATCGGGAAGCGAAGTGGAGGCGGTGGCGGTCGAGGCAGACATGATGTGCGCACGCGTCTTTCTCTCCGCACGTCAATGAGGGGAAAGCAAACAGGCCAAGGGTTCAATTTTGAAAAACAAGAAATTGGGGATTTAAGGGTCTGGCAACCTCAAGATGGTCGGAATCCAAGGGAACGTGCCGAACTCTGGGAGGGGGAAGCCGCTAAAAGAAGATCTGCAACTGGGCTGAGAAAAAAAAATTGTCTTTTTAGGCCATGCTCATGCGAGGCTAAAAAAGACGAGGATTGACGTGAAGTTGAAGAAGTGTACGAGGAGTCAGAAAGGGAATCTCCAGAAGCCGAATCCGGGACTGTGACGATATAAAGAGAATCCTGGAACCAAAGGAAGAGGAACCAAATATCGGAGGGGATCCGCTTTGCTCTAAGACTCTTTTCTACATTTTGACTTGCTGACCACAGATGACCATGTATGGGGCCACTCTCTCCATTGCCACTAGTACCTTCAGGTTGGTCATAAGGTACTTCCAGACCGTCTTAACTAAGACTTGGTGTCCATAACTAACGAGTTACCTAGGTAGTCTTTATCTTCAGCAAACCCACTGTGCCCTTTTTCTTCCCCTTCGGTCCTCTGGGATTTACTCAAGCGCCTGTTAGATGAGACTGGAGCCCTGTATAACCTGTCGCTTAAGGTAGCTTCAGGTGCCTTTGCGCTTTGCGGGGGCAGATCCCGTGTCTCTCTGCCAGTGATTCTTGCGCTAGGAGAATGCGGCAAAGTTAAATACTGGGGATATACACTTGAAGAATCCATCCAACTTGACGAGAAGAAACTCGAAAGACTCCCAAGCTCTCAGATGGTGGTATCCGATCTAAGACCGCACTATATTGTCTAGTTACTTCACGCGGACAATCTGGTGATCATCTGCGTCACTTTGGGGCTCAGTGTGTCCCCATCACAAGGCGCTCTCCCGCGATGGCAGGCCGGACGTCATTGGATCCTGGAGCTGCACGGACCCCATCGACGGCGAATGCGGGAGGCTGGGAAACACTTCATTGAATGTGAAGATCAAATAGAGATATAGACAATGGGTATCATACCAGCATGGATAGCATGGATAGGAGGGGCTCTTCCTGCTAATTCTCTTCTCGTTCTATCCGTAAATAGGTCTGTAGATCAATCAATAGCACTTGAAAGCGCGAACAAATTCCTGCAGGCGCGGATTGGTTGCAGCTGCCGCGGGATGATGCGCTGCTGGAGCTTGTTATCGTGGAACCCGCATTGCAATCCTGGAAGGCATTAAGGTCCGGTTCGAGATAAGAATATCAGTCTTTCCAGCTCATTTTTTGGGGCTTTCTGCTTTCTGCGCTCTGCATTTCCTGCGTCGCCGGATAAGATCACCCTGTCATATGCAATCGAGGCAGTTATGAGGTTCCGCGTGTATCGGATCTGAGGGGGCACACTAGTGACAGCTCCTGCAACCTCGTCCTCTCTTCTTTTCCCCCCCCCCCTCCTTCCCTACTTTTGCTTCTGATCTCCTACCACATTTATTCCATCTACATCGCTCGTCCCGCCTTGCCCATCTTCGTTGAGACCTAGTCACGCGCCAGGGCCTGTGTTCCCCTCTCTTCCTTCCTGTCTCAACCTCCCCCCGAAAAAAGCTTGCGCATGCTCCCCAGTCCAGCCTCTTCCCCGTCAACCCCCGACCTTCCCCGCAAAAATTTGGTTGATAACCTCTTTCTCGATCTCAGTGTGCGCCCGGTGGCGGGTTGAGGAGGCATGAGTGGAATCGTGAACACCTGCCTGTCGTGCCTGTCGGGCTTCGACCGATGGTGTCATATTACTGACTGTCTCGGGGCTGGCCGCTCGAGGGATGGCATTTATGAAACGGCGCTCGCAGATAACGAACGAGAAGCTGTATCGGATGTTCTGGGATTCTTAGCAAAATGTGAGCCGTCTCTATCCATCAGTCATGTGGATAAGAAACCCCCGACCGGAAAGTCCTGAGACAATACTTTCGTCTGGAAGCTAACACATCGCCCTCGTATCAGCGCGCTGAAACCGACTTCTTTACTGGAGAGCCACTAAGAGCCTTGTGTACCCTGGTGTATTCGGAGAATATTGATCTACAACGGAGCGCAAGCCTGACCTTTGCCGAAATCACCGAAAATGGTGCGTATGGATGACCGTTGTCATGGATCCCTTCACTAACATGTGTTCACTTCGTAGATGTGCGAGAGGTTGATCGTGATACACTGGAGCCCATCCTGTACCTGCTCCAGAGCTCTGATATTGAAGTTCAGCGAGCTGCCAGCGCCGCCTTGGGCAACTTAGCTGTCAACGGTTCGTTTCCCCGGATTAAACTGCTTCGCGCTTTCTGACAACTTGATATAGGCGAGAACAAAGTCTTGATAGTTTCGCTTGGAGGGCTGGCCCCTCTGATCCGCCAGATGATGTCGCCCAATGTCGAGGTGCAATGTAATGCGGTGGGATGTATCACGAACTTGGCTACGCACGAGGAGAACAAGGCGAAAATCGCGCGCTCGGGCGCACTGGGTCCGCTAATCCGACTCGCGAAAGCAAAGGATATGCGTGTCCAGCGTAATGCAACGGGCGCTCTTCTCAATATGACCCATTCTGGTATGTCACTCTGTACTTATATCCCCCAACCGTTGGCTAACCAGAACCCTCCAGTCGATAACCGCCAACAGCTCGTCAACGCCGGTGCCATCCCCGTTCTTGTTCACCTCCTCTCATCCGCCGATGTCGATGTGCAGTATTATTGCACAACAGCCCTTAGCAACATTGCCGTCGATTCGACCAATCGAAAGCGTCTCGCTCAGACGGAATCCCGTCTCGTTCAGTCGTTAGTCCACCTTATGGACTCGTCAACGCCCAGAGTACAATGCCAAGCTGCTTTAGCTTTGCGCAATCTTGCTTCAGATGAAAAATATCAGCTGGAGATTGTTCGTGCCAAGGGTCTATCTCCCCTGCTTCGACTCCTCCAGTCTTCCTACCTTCCCCTCATTCTCTCCGCTGTTGCCTGCATTCGCAATATTTCTATCCACCCTCTCAACGAATCGCCTATCATTGAGGCCGGCTTCCTGAAACCTCTCGTGGATCTCCTCGGAACCACCGACAACGAGGAAATTCAGTGCCACGCCATCTCTACGCTCCGCAATCTTGCCGCCAGCTCCGACCGCAACAAAGAACTTGTCTTGCAGGCCGGTGCTGTACAGAAATGCAAGGACCTGGTTCTCCGGGTTCCGCTCACTGTCCAGTCAGAGATGACTGCTGCTGTCGCTGTACTGGCTCTCAGTGATGAGCTGAAACCCCACCTTCTCCAACTCGGCGTCTTTGATGTCCTGATTCCTCTTACTAGCTCAGAAAGCATTGAGGTGCAAGGGAACAGCGCAGCTGCTCTGGGCAATCTCTCATCCAAAGGTGAGTCACCTGCTGTTAACTTTACAATATTGACATTGCACTAACAATCATTCTAAGTGGGTGACTATTCTATCTTCGTCCGTAATTGGTCAGATCCGAATGGCGGTATCCACGGTTACCTGCAGCGATTCCTCGCTAGTGGCGATCCAACTTTCCAGCACATTGCCATCTGGACTCTTCTACAGCTTCTAGAATCCGAAGACAAAGCTCTCATCGGGCTTATCCATAAGTCAGAGGACATTGTACAGATGGTCAAATCCATTTCTGACAAAAACATTGAATCTGACGATGAAGAAGTTGACGACGGGGAAGGCGAAGTCGTTGCGCTCGCACGCCGGTGCCTGGAGCTTCTTGGGGTTGGTCCAAAACAAACTCTTGTGGAGGCATAAAGGCTCCAACCTTGTTGCTGCGCAATGGTATTTCGGTCCTATTTCCCTCCGCTCTGACGCTTATCTTTTCTCTTCCTCTTTTCCCTCGGGTGTTAGCTTGGGCATTATGTACCGTTGCAACGGGTTCTGTCAGCGGGTATTCGGAGTCTTTTGTCTCTTTGTTCCCTGTTTCTTCAATGTCTATGTATTTGGGTCGGTGTGTCTCTTGATTCCCTGTTCCTACGCATACATGGTTGTCTTGTATCCATGCTAGAAGTGACCTTTCATAATTAATTGGTCTTCGGTGCACCGTATTCATCGGGTGAATGAGCCAACTTAGGCAATCCAGGAGTTGAAGTTAATGGGAGTCGACCTCCTGGGCGGACTCGTAGTACTATGGGCGGGGAAACCTACTTCCGGGCCCGCTCTTCTTCCGCTGAAAAAAAAGAAGGTCCAGGAGCTCCAGCCTTTACCTCCAGCTCTTCAACGACGCCCAAGGGCTTCCTTCTACAATGGCCACTTCTCTCCCATCGGTGGCGATTCCAGGCCAGCGTCTTGGCTCCGTAGCTGCATATGCAGCTGGACCAGGCACACACATCCAACAAGCCAACATTTACGCCTCAATTGCTGGTCCCGTTGTTGTCGATCCTGCACCACCAAAGACCCAAAGCAAATCAACGCTCCGGGTCTCTCGAGTAATTCCTGCCCCCTCCCGTGGAACTTTATCTGGAACTTCCCAAAAACCGCGCTACAACACTCTTCCTGCGATCGACTCCATCGTCCTTGCCCGAGTCACACGCGTGCAAAAGCGACAGGCGACAGTCTCTATCCTAGTCGTGCTTGACGAGTCAGCCGCGAACTCAGATCCATCAAAGTCTGCTTCAGACAATGATAACGTTGCCTCTATCCTGACTTCGGCAGCGAACCCAGAGAACCACAGCAATACCGATGAATTGCGTTTCCAGGCGCTGATCCGTAAAGAGGATGTGCGGGCTGTCGAGAAGGATCGTGTCGTCATGGACGAGATGTTCCGTGTCGGCGATATCGTTCGTGGTTCTGTCATTTCTCTAGGCGATCAGAGCTTCTACTACCTCACCACAGCTCGCAATGACCTCGGCGTTGTTATGGCCCGCAGCGATGCTGGCAACATGATGTTCCCTGCTAGCTGGAAGGAGATGAGAGACCCGGTCACTGGTGTCGGGGAGCCACGGAAGGTCGCCAGGCCATTCTGAGGACTCAACTGTTCGCCTGTGACTGTGCATAAGACAATATTCGTCAACAACTGCCGTGATGATACCCTAACAAGAACAGGGCTGCTATTCACACATTGGTCAATAAGGTACAACTCCAATATGGATCGCGCCATAATTCTCAGTTGGCAAAACACCTCGCATTTTCAATACCAGAGACCACGAACATCTCCTGTCCTTTGAAGTGAGTTTCAGCTATTAATAGCACCCATACTTAGGTATGGTTGCCACGATTCGGCATTTTGCCTATTTACACTTGGCCCATGACTCAAGTGTACCCACGCTCCAGTGGAACCCCGCTACCTGCTCCGCAGACATACGTGATACCCATTCAGTTCAGAAAATGAAAATTATTCGATTGCGCACCCCACAAGCTACTAGCGTCATTTTTCTTGATCAACGGCGTTGACACATGTGCTACCAGCACATGTCTTGTGTAAAGACACCCCTCCTTAGTATACACGGTCGAGACCTATCCATGTCGGGCTGTGTTTGTCAATGGAGGCAGATCAAAGGAATCTTTGGATTCGCGCAGAGGACTCTCAATCCCTGCGAACCCCCTCTTTTACTACTTCCCTGTCTGTATCTTGTGGCCGGAAAGATGATCTCGGGGCTGTTACATAACTCGCTTCATTAGGCCCGCCCCTTACTAGTCATTGTACTTGATTCCCATTGAAAGATAACTCCTTGTAATAATCAACGAGAAAAAGGCATGAAAGCAAGAACCAACCCATTTTGTATAACCAGTAGCTATGTACATTGAATGCAGAATGAAAACTATGTGGCACATCTACTTCTTCAACGTCTTCTGCTTCTCCGCATCAATCAACTTGCGCCCCTGCACGACTAACCCCTTCCGCGAGCGGACAGCATCCATATACCTCTTCGCGACATTCTCCTTATCCGCAAGCTCACCAAGGTCTTCCAGCTCCTCCTCCGTAGCAGGAACCCAGAAGGGATCTTCATCCAGGGCTTCAAATCCAGCAAAGATGAGCTGCGGCTGCGCAGCGCCGGAGGTACGCTTGCGGATCTCTTCCGCGAACCCGAAAGACTCGGCTACCGGGAGCAAAGCCAGGATGGTGAAGAAGGGGGTTCCTTCTTTCATTACCTCGGATTGAATGCGGCCGCGGCGGCGGGTAATGACACCGTAGACTCGGCCAAGGACCTCGGCTATTTGGGGGAAAGTGTAAGAATCCTAGTTTGGGAAACCAGGGTTGATGGGGTTAGACACTTACTTGTTGCTTGGATCTCACAGCTGTACATCGCAAGCATAATCCGTGGGCTCCAGTCTAGAAATCCTTGCGAAATGCCATCACGTACTAGCTTGATCGCTTCACCTGTCAGGCGGCCCATATCCACCTCGTCGTTGGAAGCTTGGACAGATATGTCCTCGAGGAACACAGCTGTGCCTTGCAAGGGCTCGTGGCATAGAGGGCCTTGGCTGGTGGCCATCTGGAAGGCATATGCGATCTTGTCGCAGAAGTCGCGCACCAACAGTGCCTGTCGATTATCATCAGATGCACTGTGGATGTGGTGTTTCTGGTCATCCAGAAGGCTAGGAGATGGATTAGCAACTATTGACTCGCGATTCGTATCCATTCTGGTTCTTGACTCACAATTTATCGCAAGTGTTTACCGCAGTGCCGTCAACGAGTATGTTAGGGCCGACTCGTCGAGGACCGAAGGCAGTGATACGATCAACGACATCCTTCCATAACTCCTTATCCTCCTTAACGTTCTGACTGAACACCTTCCCTAGCTCCTCGCGGAACTCTTTCAGGGAAAGAATAGTACCTTCATTTGCTTCTCCCGCAGCATCCGCATCTGCCGTCTCGGCAGCCTGGCCATTATCTGCTTCGGACGTTGCTTCGGCCGCCTTCCGCTTCTCTGAATGTAGTCGCTTGATGGTACCACTCTGTTTCGTCAGAAACTCTGTCACGGGCCCCGGCAATGGAACCACGCGCAATCGCAGCGTCATTTGCTTGGATGCAGATACCGCCTCGACGCATCCACGGCCTAACTCAGGTTTCTTTGGCGGCGCCATCTCGGGGGCGCTGACAATCGTCTCGCGGTAGGGCACGATAGCTTCACCAGTTTGGAAATCACATTTGGCGAATCGTTCTCGTAGATCCTTGACGCAGCGCTCCAGGTGTAGCTCACCTGCAGTGAGAATGACATGTTCACCACTGGGGAGCACCTCATATTGGGCACATGGATCGCTCTGTTCCAGAAGACGTAGACCGGTGACCATTTTTCCGAGATCGGCTGGGTTGACTGGCTCCAATGCTACACGCACGATTGGCGTAGCGTTGAGTGTAACGCCTGCTAAGTTGACGCTGCCCTCAAGCTGGCTGCAAAGCGTTCCAGTTTTTAGGACGTAGCCTGCCAACCCACCGATACCGAATACAACACCAGCTGGAACAGATTGGAGAGGCTCAAGACTTCGGCCCATCATGAGGTACAGGTCTGTGACGGTGACCTTCTTGGGCTCTGGGTTGGCATGGGGGCTTGCAGGCGAGAACTTGGGCGGCAAGACATAGATCTCGTCTCCAACATTCAGGGTACCGGAATAAAGACGGGCGAATCCAATCAAGCGCTCTGGGTCCTCCTTCTCTTCGGGCTCTGCAGGCTCATCTGCCTCGGTGATTAGGGAGGTGTTTTCAAACGCGGAGGTCATTCGGGCGAAATCGTCTGTTTGGCCGGGATTGGTCTCTGCCTGCATTTTTGCAATCTCTTCTCGCTTGCGCCTGGCTATTTCTCTGGCCTCATCGGCGGTCATTGTATTTCCACCGCGTTTTTTGCTGGATGACAATTCACTTTCTGGAATCGCGACCATTTTACTCACGTATGCGACAACTGGCTCATTAGGTCCGGTCTTGAAGTTAATCATGGCGTCTTTCACTTCTGGCGCAATTTTGTCTGAGCCGGGAGACGATTCGATCATCTCTGGGAGTCGGGTAGCTTGCGCAGACTTGGGACTTGGGAGGTACTCGATCACTGAGACGAGAACAGCTGTTGATAGAGGAAGCCAGGCCGAGAAGAGTGTCAACATGATGTTTCGTGAATCTCGTGAGCGGAGAACATAAGGTGGGATGGTGATGTTCAACGACTTCGTGATTTTCTCCAGAAGGACGGGATCTCTACTATATGGTTAGAAGATATCTATCATTGTTGGAAACAACTTGACATACCCTTTGCCTTTACCGCCGCCAGTGGTTGCTTCATAGGCAGCCCAAATGCTGTCTAGGACTAGTTGCACGAACATTGGCTTCAGTGCTCTGCCCTTCAAGTGCTTTTGACCCAGCACTCTCTTTGTTTTTGGGTCAAGGTAGAAGTCTCCCCATAGCACTTTCTCCAAGACAGCGCGCTTGATACCGAGCTTCTTTTCGTAGATGGCCGCGAACTGCCTGATAGTGAAAGCCCATCCATCCACCGCGCTGCAAAAGATGACATTATTCTTCTCTGGTGCGAAATAGAGGTCTTCATCATCTCGCTCCTCAAAGTCAGCGACATCAGTTATGCTCCCAGCAGCTTCATCTTCCTGAGTCTGCTTTTTCGACTTGTCCTTGGCATTGAGTCGATCTTCCATACGTTCGCGCCACTGTAGATCTTCTTCCATCCGCTCACCTTGATAGAAGCTACCGATGACGGCATTTACCTGCTCCAATAGCCTGCTCAGATGCGCGTAAGCCTCACTCGGGCTCATCATGAGCTCGGTGACAAGGCGGTCCATCTTGTTGATGCATAGAATGGGCTTGAGCTGCTCGACCCAAGTTTGACGGAGCACCGTCACGGTCTGACTGCAGACACCTTCCACGGCATCGACTAGTACGACTGCGCCATCGCAAAGACGAGACGCAGTGGATACCTCACTGCTGAAGTCGATGTGGCCAGGCGAGTCGATCAAATTGATCAGGTACTCTTTTTGGACCGGTGCGACTTCTGGGGCAGGGCGCCGAAGCATGGAGAAGAATAGTGAGATGGCAGACGACTCCATAGTAATACCGCGGAGCTGCTCATCTGGTCGGGAGTCCAGGTAGCGTATCTTGCCCGCCAGCTTGGGTGAGATGATGCCATTGGTGGCTATCAGGCTATCCGTTAATGACGTTTTGCCGTGGTCCTACAATTCAAAGGTGAGTAGATAGCCATCATAATTCGACTGGTGGAATTCAAAAATCCATCCAAATCTTTCTGCGGAAACTTACAACGTGGGCTAGAATGCAGATCTGCAATATTTGGTTTAGTATAACCGCGGCGGGACATCAGGTGGGATGGAGGGGCAGAGCTCACATTTCGAATGTCTTCCGGCTTCCGCTGGAGGCGCACCAGATCTTCGACATTCACCACGGGCATCTTGGTCGGTAGTTCATCCAAGAGCTGTGTGTTTGATCTAGAAAGACAGGGAGCGGTGGTGGGGTGAGACAACTCGGAAGTGAAAAATTGTTACTGAGCTGGAAAATTGGTGAGCGGGCGGGTCGATACAGGCTTCCCTTCTACCATGGCACAATGAGAGAGCCTGGATCTTGTATACTTAACGGCTCTTTCCACAGTGGAAAGCTCTATATTATAATAAGCTACTTATTTTTCTTTATATTAGCACCTGTGAAGATCGAAACCCGCGTGGCACCAAGCCCAGTTCCCAAATGGGACATGAATGGATCTTACCCGGCTTGACTCACCATGAATCATTCCAGTTCCGCGAGTCTTTAGATCCCTGGATAAAAATATTGGCCAGACCGCGTTATGCCTTACGAGGTGACGGCCACCTCATACACCAGACATTACCAACTAGTAAGATTCTCTTCAGCGTCCATTGTTCAACTTGGAGACCTTGAAGACCACTGGGTTTGCCTACTGGTAGCCGATATACTGCTAGTATTAGTACCTGATTGCTGTGAGCAATTTGAGATTGTCTGGTACCGCAATTTATATTCCATAAGGTTTGCTAGTATCTTGCATTGAATATGGAGATACGCCCTTGAATTTGGCGTCTGACTTAAGGTATGTATTTGCGCTACAATGTCATGAAATATAGGGTATGACGGAGAATGCCGATAATTCGTGATTTTGTGGTAGCTTAATGGTCTTGGATAACGTCCAGCGCTATTATTGCCGACCTGCTACTCTTCGTCGAAGGAGAGCTTGATCTTTTTAGCCTTTTTAGGCTTTCGAGAGGCGGATTGCTTAGGCTTTGCGTCTTCTACAGCCGTATCTGTCTCTGCTTTCTCCCTCGCGTCGTCGCCAACGACCTTGACTTGCTTTCGTTTTTTCTGTCCACCCACTTCAGTGAGGTTGCTTTGTGTCTTGGTATGAGCTTTGGCTGAAGGGTATGTCTTATCACTGTCCGCAGATTTCCCTATTGTCGAAGTATCTTCATCCTCGTTTGGAGGCTCTCCTTGCACTAGTGCCTTGTATTCTTCCTTGGAAATGACTTCATTGCTCTCTTCGTCAACGTAGACAGGCTCGTCATCATCATCATCTTTGGCTTTGGGTCTGCGCGGTCGTTCAACTGGTCGCTCTAGACGGCCAGATTGATCGCCATATTGCCCTCGGAGCTTCTGGAGGAATGCTGGCTCCTGTCGCTCTATATGATGTTATGTTAGAATACTTCAGAATATAGCAGGATAAGGAATGCGCACCATAGGCAAGCTTGGGATTTTTTGACATGATCGCGATGAAGATCGCAAATATGAGATCAAAAAGACTGCGCCGGGTCCTCTAGGTACTTCATGTGTAGCCCACAAGACTAGCGTAGCAGAATTAAATGGCTTTCTGCCATTAGATTGATCTAATCAAAGGCGGTATTAAATGCAAGTGAGGCAAAACGGGCGAAATTCGTTTGAGGTGGTTGGGTCACGGCAGCTCCGCCTGCGCTAAACCACAATAGGACACATCGAAAAGTCCAAAGGAGCCGCTTCGCGACGAGCTTCGTTCTCAACCACTCCTCACTCGCTCACTCAACCAACATGCTGTGTGCTAGTAAGTGCATCATCGTTCTGATGACTGATGAAAACTCAATTTGCATCGCGATTCTAATAAGTTCATCATTGTAGTCTCTGGAGAGGCTCCTCAAGTGCCTGTCGTCTCTCCCAAGAGCGGTACGTGACCATTGACTTTGCGATTGCATGACATATATTGACGCCTATGCAGGCAGTTTATTCGAGAAGCGCCTGATTGAAGCATACATTGCTGAGAACGGCAAAGACCCTGTGAATGGCGAAGAGCTTGCCGCCGACGAACTTATCGAAATCAAGACCCAGCGCGTCGTTCGACCCCGACCCCCCACCCTTACCTCCATTCCCTCCCTTCTCAGCGTCTTCCAGGAGGAATGGGATGCGACAGTCCTTGAAACGTACACACTCCAGCAGAACTTAGCCCAGACCCGCCGCGAACTCAGCACTGCGCTCTACCAACATGACGCCGCCGTGCGCGTGATTGCGCGCCTCACCAAGGAGCGCGATGAGGCTCGCGATGCTTGTCAAAGTTTAAGGTTGGGGCCACCCGTGCCTCGGGTGATGACTCCATGCAAGTAGACGCTGCTGGTTTGCCCCCAGCGGTGCTGGAGCGGGTGGAAACCACACAGGCTACGTAAGTGAGACCCAGTCGCTAAGGAGCAAGGATATTCACTGACTTGGGAATGTGCTTATAGGCTTGCCAAGGGTCGCCGTAAGCGTCCAATTCCCGAAGGTTGGCCTACCGGCGATGCTATCTCCGAATACAAGCCTGTTGAATCATCCGAGCCTCTGTACCCTGGCGGTCATACCTTGGCTGTGAACAACACAGGAGAGTTGGCTCTGGTTGGTGGGCCTGACGGATTGGCTGGCGTTTATTCTCTGCCCCAAAAATCAGTGGTGCAGACCCTTAAGATCGATGGGGCTGTCACTGATGCTCTCTGGGCTGGTGATAAGGCTGTGATTGGTTCAGCTACTGGATCGGTGAAGGTCTTCGAGAATGGCAATGAGGTAGTAAGTTTTAGCTCCCATGCTGGCGAAGTTACAGCTGTCGCTCTGCATGCCACAGGCGATATCATTGCTTCGGTTGGTGTGGACAAGAGTTACGTGCTTTATGACCTCTCCCAGAACCGGGTGATCACCCAGATCTTTACTGATTCTGGTGAGTAATATATCCTCTCGCCTCTTGCTATGCACCCAATTTCTAATAATCAAAACAGCTTTGTTGTCGGTGAACATTCACCCAGATGGCCACCTTCTGGCTGCTGGTGGTGCTGATGGACAGATTAAGGTCTTTGACATCAAGACTGGTGCTGGTGCGGCAGACTTCACCATGTCAAGTCCAGTCCGAAGTCTCGTCTTCTCCGAAAATGGTACTTTCTTGGCAGCTGCCACTGCTAACTCGACTACTGTGTCTATCTGGGACCTTCGCAACGGCAAAGAGACCAAGGTTCTTGACATTGGTGGTCAGGTCAACTCCATCTGCTGGGACTACACCGGACAGTTCCTTTTGACTGGTGGACCTACTGGTGTCACTGTCCAGCAGTTCAACAAGTCGGCAAAGGAGTGGAGCGAGCCTTTGAGGAGTGCTGTCCCGGCTGTGGCCGTATCCTGGGGCTCTGCGGCTCAGAGCATTGTGGCCTTGAATGAGGGGGAGCAGTTACAGTGCTGCAGTCATGATCAAATTAAAGCGGAAAAATCATGTAATTTTAGAGCTGGATACCTGATTTCTCTTTCTCTTCAGTTTATGGTGTTCTTTACTGCGTTCACAACAGCTCATGGGCAGGAAATTTACCCGTCTTCTTCACTAACAGTTACCGGTGCACATTCATTACATTCAGTAAATTCACCTAGACCCCTAGACCACTTGAATACCCATCTAGATATTTCATATCTATATTCACTACTGTGCATTCAATGCATTTACTTCGAACTCTAGAATACTTAAACACCCACCAAAGCAGGCCATTGTGCTCTCTCTATCTCTGTTCATCAGATTGCTTTGTTCTCTCTTGTCTCAAGCCTTTGGGATTGATAGCTTGATCGATCAATTCCATCGTTCTTTCGACCTCTCCGCAGGTAACTATTGTTCGGCTGACCGCTTAATCACCCGGGCCACTCACCGCCCGGGTAAATCGGCAAAATGTCGTACCGCTCTGTATCCTCGAGCCCTCTCCCGGACGACAATCCTTTCGTCCCAGGTCGACAACCGTTGTTGTTGGAGGAAATAAATTGTTCGAATTGCAACTGCCGCTTTCCGCGCATGGGGTTGAGTGATAGGAGTGATGAGATTAGCTTCCAACGCATGGCAGCCAGGCTCAAGGTACGTAGTGGTCCTCAAATAAGCGTGGGGCGCCCACTGATAATGGAATAACCCTGCGGACTGACACTTCTTTGATATCAAGGCAACGCAACAACCAAGGTCAATGTCACATGAACAAGAACCAGAACAAGAGCGGGACCAGCATGACCCCTGGTATCCCTACTTCCACCCTCCTACTCCTCCTCCCAGCTACCGTACCACTTACTTGCCACCCCCTCGGATGGCTGGAGACGGCCTCGACTACCGGCGACCGATGAACACTACTTCTCAGGGGGCCAGTGAGCTCGATATCATTGATCTGACCAACGAACCTGAGTCTCCGCCGCAAGTGCGCCGCCAACAAGGCGCATCAAACTCGTCCCGGGCCGGATTACCGCGGTTTGAAAGAAACATTCTCAATGACGCTCCTCAAGAGATAGTCAACCTCGATGATGACGAGGCTGACGACGACCATGGAGAAGGCCCGTCAAGCCCGGATGTGCTATTTGTTGGAGAGTCCACTCGTCCACGGCCCCCCACGTCGACGTTGGTTTCCGCTCAATAATATATTTGCAAACATTCCCAGTCTGGCACAACCTGCATCCAACCCCACAGGTGCTAGAGGCCTGTTACCACCGACCTCCTGGATTGGCAATCCCCCTCTATCTGGAAGAAGTCAGGACTTTGACACTTTGATCATTGGCGACCCACTTGACTTTGACCTCGATTATGAACTGCCTTCGTTTTCCATGGGACCTAGCAGTCGGCCGGCACCTAGAGAACGAGATACATACAAAGCCCCAGCCCCTCCATCCCCTGGATTCACTCGTACGATTGCGGAACTTGAAGAAGGCGTGGCGGTTTGCCCCCACTGCGATCGGGAGCTAGGAACTGGAGATGGCAAACAACAAGAAATCTGGGTTGCCAAACCATGTGGACATGTTCGTGACTATCTCCCCGTCCCTTATCAGGTTTTTTTTTTTATCTCGTCTTCGAAATCTAATCATTTTACCCAGGTCTACTGTGGCGAGTGTGCAGAAAACCGGTCCAAAGCCAAGGCTAAAAGCAAGAAAGCGAACGGAGCCCAAAAGCCCAGAATTGAGCCTTTCTCCAAATGCCGGGTCGAAGGGTGTAACAAGCAAATCAGTGCTCCAACGGCCATGATCCATCTTTTTCTTTGATTTCTCTTATGATACCCATGGTTTACGGACTGCAATGCATGGAGGGGCGTTTCTCCGGTGCCAATTCATCGTTTCGTTCTGCTGCTGATACCCACGACATGCGGTGGCGTTTTATTTGTCTTTGGTTTGGCCTTCGTGCTTCGCTCTTTTTTTTCGTATCCAATCTGTTCAATGTGAAATCTCAAGGGGCAAGATGTTTGTACTCATGAGACACGTAGCTCAGATCAATCTTCATGTATCTTTAAATCACTTCTCAGGCACTGAATCTACCACTCGCGCATATAGATGCCTTCATTTAGGAAAATGAGACTAGTTTCTCTGATTACGAGAAGACCCGCAGGAGTAGTCCTTCTTCTACGCATCCTCCATAAGTCGAAAATCAGACGTCGGATAGAATAAAATACAATGAGCTCCTATGGGGAAAAAGGTTTGTTTGTCTTCGATTCAATAGAGTACAATGCAAGGCAGGCCATGGTCGCTAGAATACCAATGCCACTACCGAAGATGCCAGAAGATAGTGAAAAAAAGAAATACATATATTATACACTGCGCAGATCGCCATGATATGGTGACCAGATACCGCGCACACTCTCATTCATACTTGTCACCGGCTTCTTCGTCCGCTTCAGTTTTTCGCCGCTCGCATCCTTCAGGATCATCGCCTTTTTGAGGATCTCACTGGGCTCTAGGTTTCGGGTGCAAATAGCCTTCTCTCGGCCATTGATGTAGTAGCCCTTAATTACTGGGTGTTTGCCAGGCCGCGGAGCGACTCGGACTTCAATCTGGGGGTTCTCGGCGGCAAAGTTGGGGAGAGTTTGGGTCAGGAATTGCCTGGCACGTGGTATCAGCAAAAGAGAGTCATATAGGGAAATAGACTAAGAGGGAGGCTTACAGCATGCCCCGGGAGCTGCCACCATAATTGCAGTAGTGAAAGTCGAGCCGCTTGCATTGAAGGATGAAGGCACCGACGCCATTCTAGCAGGGATTTGCAGATTAACAACCGTCTCAATTCACATCATAAGATCCTAATATCCTGAGTAGTTACTCACCCTGGCGGCCGTCACCGTCCGTATTCCTTTAACTGGCATGGTTGTGATTTGATTGATGAACCTCCGAGTCGCGAAGTCCAACGGGTTTACAATTTCTGGTGCACGTGAGAAGGCGGTGAGGAAGCGCTAATAGCGGCTAAGCGCGTCTACCGCGCAACACTCTTTCCTACAAACCACTGGAAACGCGACGCCTCTCACCCTGAGAAACCTTGCCAGTTCACTGCCCCTCGCCGTCCTTCTCGTACCGGACGCACTGCGCTGAGGACCGCGATGACTGACAAGCTTCCCCCTCCCTTGCTGGCCCTGTTCCAGGCCCGGCCACCCCTTCGCTACATTCCTCCTACCGACCGTGCCCCGGAGGAGTGCAAAAAAAGCACTCTCACTGGTGTCGCGCAGTACCTGTCTGCCGCGGAGGAGTTCAAGAAGGAGAAACCTTACAATCCCACTGAATGCTGGTTGCAACGCAAAGCACGCCAGAAGGCAGAGAAAAAAGAGCTCTTGGCCAAGAAGCTAGCTGAAGGACTGGCGAACTGTATGCACCTAGCTACATCTCCACAGGACCTGGACTAGATTCACTAATGGCCTATTTTACGTACTGCAGATGACCCATCGAATGATCCTCATGCACGAGGTGATCCTTACAAGAGCCTCTTTGTTGCCCGGCTCAGCTACGACGTGAAAGAGTCAGACCTAGAGAGAGAATTTGGCCGCTTCGGTCCTATTGAACGCGTAAGTAGTTCAATGACTCCTTTAGACAACAGAAGCACCTGTTTAGCTCACATACCGCTTCCAGATTCGCATTGTCAAGAACGAACATTCTACCAAGAAGCCCAACAGAGGTTATGCTTTCATTGTTTTCGAACGTGAGCAGGATATGAAAGGTATCATCCCCAGTGTCACATCATTTGCGTGCGTTTGGAGAGTCCCTAGACTTCAGTGTATGGTAAGGAAAACGTTGCTAACACAGTCATCACCAACCACCAGCGGCCTACAAGGAAACAGATGGAATCCGTATCAAGGATCGCCGAGTCGTCGTGGATGTTGAACGCGGTCGCACCACCAAAGGCTGGAAGCCCCGTCGCCTTGGTGGCAATGTCGGAGGCCGAGGATACACCAGAGCCGCGCCATCTCGCCCTATTGGACCCGGTGGGTTCCATGCACCATCCGGCCCAGGAGGTTTTGGTGGAGGATTCCGCGGTGGATTTGGAGGTGGCAGAGGATTCCGTGGAGGATTCCGTGGTGGTGATCGCTTTGGACCCCGTGGAGGCATTGGTTACCAAGGTGGTCGCCATGGATTCGGTGGTGGTGGACAAGCACCTCCCAATGCCCCCTCAGGTCCCGGTGGAGGACGCAGTGGTGGCTTCGGCGGACGAGGTGGTGGAGGTGGGTTCGGTGGTGGAGACAGATTCGATCGAGGTGTTACTGGCAGCAATCGCGAGCCAGTTCGTCCCCGAGACAACTACGCAGACCGAGACCGTCGTGATGACCGTGACGGCGACCGTGACCGCTACCGTGACCGCCGCGACGACCGCAATGGAGGAGATCGTTACCGGGACCGAGACCGTGAGCGTGAGCGCGATCGATACGGTGGCCGGGAAGATTTCGGACGCAAGCGACCCCGTGAGGATGGCGCGCAAGACGACCCCCGCTCCCGCCGACGTTACTAAAGTTTCTAATCTCGGATTCTCATGGATGGCACTACCTCGCTCACCCCTTCAGGAAGCAACTTGCTGGTGGGTATCATTGATCAGTCTCTATTACATCCTTGTCTCCCCACACGGGTAAGAGGGTAAGGCACGAATCAGTGTTTCACACCAGGGTCGAGATACCTTATCACAGCTCTATATCCCGATCCAAGCTGTCGCCCCTTCATCCTGAGGTCCACTTGACTTTTCCCTGGACCAGACTTACGTTCACTGCCAGGGGCTTTCTCGAATTCCTCGGTCTCTTTCATGTGTTCCCACTTCTCACGCTGTTCTCGTTCCTCTTTACGTATCCCCTCTTGATGTTTCTTTTACTCTACGTGTCTTTATGGGCTTTCTGGGTTGCCGGGCTCTTTTCATTTTACGCTCAGGGAGTAAGTATGTACTTTAGTTCAAACTAGTTCAACCAGTCTTTTCCAGGTGGTGGAGTCCAATGGCACTCAGGTAAGACCAGGTAAGGACAATTCAATGACCAAAAGCAGTCATTTTTCTAAGCAGAATAAAATGGAGTTCCTTGGGTGGGGCCGTTTTCGCCGCTATACTGTACTAGCATGTAGGATAGAATGTATAAATAGTTTTTTTTTCCTTTTCATCCAATGTGGTATCCATGATCATAGGCACATCAATTGAAAGACCGGGCTTCCAAAGATGGAAGCAGAAGATAAGGTCCAGTATATCTTGATAGAATGAATAGAGACAAATGAAAAAGCGCCACCCCAAACTCCAGAAAGATGCCCACAGAATCTTTTCTCTTTTTTTTTTAGTCGACACGACAGAGATATATCTAAGCCTAAGCATCGACATCCATACCACCTTGCTCTAGGTTCTCCACTTCATTAGTCTTGCGAGACCAGTGCGCCTTAAGATCCACCTTGAATTCAGACGAGGTAACACCAAACATCTTCATGAGGGTAGTCTGTCGCGAATCCAAAATCTGGCCCTTCCGGCAAACAGGGTACCCCTCTTGGTCTTCTGTCAGCTCGAGCATCACCTTGCCCTTGACCAAGCGGGTTGGCACACCGAGCTTGCGAAGCGCAGGCTCCATGGTGTGACTGATTGGTTCGTCCTGGTCGGCAGGAACCTCTCCAGCTCGTGAATAGACCAGTCCGTTGGGAATAGAGAATGAGCGGGTGGCCTCCGTGCCGGCACGGGCAAAGTCAGATGGGCGGAAAGTGTTGAAGTAGTCGATAACAGACTCGGCGGCGCGGGAGGTGAAAAGAAGGCCGACGGCTCCAGTCAAGTGCGGCGTGACAAGGTGCAGGTTTGGTGCGGCTTCGGTTTCGGGGCTGTCGCCCAAGGCCTTTGCCATAACCTTGGTCTTACCGAAGAAAAGACTGAAATGAGGATGTTAGCGGGGTTCATTGTATAGTTTTTCTTGAGTTCGCGTGTCCAAGTAATTATGGGGTATTGAGATATCAATGGATGGAATGGAGGTTTCACTGGCGCTCATTGGAGTCTGTGGAAATGCCACAGGGATGGAAAGGACCAGGACTCGACATACCGGCTGTCTGCGAACTCGGCTCGTACATCCTTCAAATATGTGTTCCGCATGTTGTCCACGGCGAAGACAAACAGATGATCATATTCCTCCACACATTCCCGAATATTGGCATAGAGACGGCGGGTTTGCTCCTTGTGATCCTTCTTGGCGGTCTTGGACTCTTGGACCACGCGCGCACGCTTTGAACGAGGCATTATGATATGTTGTGGGGGGTAACTTAATATCCAACTGGAATCTTTAGATCTCAGGGTCGCTCCGAGTGTGGCATTTTTTTTCTTCGCTGATAACCGGACTAAAAGTTTTGCCGGTCCTTATCCGACCCCCACTAATCCCGATGGGGCAACCAGCTGTTCCTCCGCTCGACTCCTCGCGAACCGTGTGTTGAGAGGGCGGGATCCTCGACGATCCAGAAAAATGCTGGACTTCATGGAATATATCCAGATTGCCTTCGCGGAGGCAACAAACTGGAATCGCGACAATTCTTATTTATCGCTGAACACGACTGCGCAATGTAAGTTGTGATTAGCTCCAGGGAGACGCGAGCAGAGTGACAGCCATTAACACGGGTCATAGCAATATTGGATTTCTCTACCCCCGAGAGACTGCGCGTCCGCTTGTCTTCGCTGTCCACCCCTCATTTTGCGACCAGCTACAGCCTCGGCACGGTGGGATTGCTTGACGGTTCCGTCTCCTATCTATTCAGCACTGTTCCGTTCCACGACACCCCCAGTCGCAGTGCCTTGGTCCCTCTAAGAAAGATCTCCCCGGGATATCGCCAAGTACATGCCCCAAGTGCCCCAGCCGAGACATGGAAATGGGGCTCTCTTCTAGATGGAGTCAATATCCCAGGCCTTAAGAATACATCATCGTCGTCGTTAATGGGTGATGAAGAGAACAATGCGATCAACGATGCGAGCAATTCGAAAGCGACGCTCCTGCATGGCTCCTTACATCTTCCGTCTCCGACGACACTCAATGCCTTATTCCTACGAAGGATATCCTCTACCATGCAGCTGTCATTAGCAGTATGTTCCACTCAGGGACCTCCGCTGTCCAAATCGGCGCCGCAGGCATCAATGCTAGCTACATTGTCCCACGATACCGGCAAATACAGCAATGAATACCTATTCAGTACAGATAACTCCTTGTTTGGCTGGCGAGGACTCTGGAATTTTGGACCGGATCCCAGGTACCCCCGCGAGGGTTCGCCGCCTGCGCCTTCACTCCTCTCGGCTGGCGCAGAAGCATACTACTCGCCCATTTCGTCCTTAATTGGCATTTCCACAGGCTTACGATTCAGTACCCTGCCTGCCGCGACCGAAGTGCCCGTGCAATCATCCTCATCTTCCTCCCACCCTTCCCCTATCTCATCCTTCCCATATACTCTGACCCTCACCCTCACGCCGATCACTGGCTCGCTCTCCACAACATACTCGCTGCGAGCGTCACCGAACCTGGCCTTCAGCTCGCGGTTCGGCTTCAATGTCTACAGCTGGGAGAGCGAAATGGTTGCCGGCTTCGAGCTCTGGCGCCGGAACAAGAAATCAGATCCCCTCGCGGACGATGATCTCGAATGGGCTCGCCGCAAAGTGCGCCTGTATGACTTTTCCACCCCGCTCCCGGGCTCTGCAGCGCCTCCGCTTGCCTTGGACCCGGTGCGCCCCGAACCTGCTGTCGTATCACCCGAGGATAGCAACACCGAAGCCGATGATTCGGTCATCAAGCTCCGTGTGGACCAATCCTGGAACGTCCGATTGCTTTGGGAGGGTCGAGTCAAGGAGTTGCTCGTGAGCGCGGGAGTCGGGCTCGGCCCGGGCTCATTCTCGATGGGACCCAATGGCAGTGGACCCTCGTATTGGCGCGGGGTGGGGGTTTCGGTGATGTATTCTTCATAGGGGCGTGGTTTTACATTCAATCACGCTCACTATCACGTTATTTACCTTTTTTTTTCTTAATTCCTCTTTGACTACCGGTGGAACGCCCCGTCTACGATCCTGTCCAGGATGTTTAATACACCTTACATGTGAATATGGTTGGAAATAACCTTGTACATAGATTCATGATAACATTTCTCACGTTCGAAGTTTTTGACACTTAGTATTTGGGCTCTATGCCTACCACATGATGGCAGAGCTACCTATGGATATCGATAATCTAAGGCACCTTAGATGCGGGCGTTGATGATGTCGACGACTGCAGTAGCAAATTAGCATATAACACAGGCGAGGTCTCGTGGTGATGGAAAACTTACAAGCTGGCTTCAGGCTGGCACCGCCAACAAGGAAGCCGTCAACATCGGGCTGGGTAGCCAGCTCGCGGCAGTTCTTCTCGCTAACGGAGCCACCGTAGATAATGCGGACGTCCTCCTTGGCCTTGGGGGAGATGGCCTCACCGAGCCACTTGCGAATAGCGGCGTGAACCTCCTGCGCCTGCTCGGTAGTAGCGACCTTACCGGTACCGATAGCCCTAATTCAAAAGCAAGCGGGTTTAGCAATATCCTCGAATTAGAGTGGCCTTGAGCGGGGCCTGGCCGCGATGGGTAGCTTACCAGACGGGCTCGTAGGCGATAACAACCTTCTCCCACTGCTCCTTGCTGAGCTCGGCGGCGGCAGCGTTCAGCTGGCGGGTGACGACCTCGATGGTCTTGTTGGCCTCACGCTCCTATTACCAAACAATCGGGTGTAAGCGGGGAAGAACGTCCCAGAGTCGCGCCCCGGTGACCCACCTTCACCGGGACGAAAAAACGGGTAACTTGGCATGACGTACCTCCAGGGTCTCACCAATGCAGAAGATGACAGAGAGGCCGCCCTCGACGGCGGCCTTGACCTTGCGGGCAATGAACTGCGAAGCGCCAGAAATCAGTCACTGGGATGCGCATGGCGATTGCGGAGTAGGAGCTGCTATAGAGCTCGCGGTCTACATAGCTTGAAGATTCTACATACCTCGTCGGACTCCTTGAGGAGGACACGGCGCTCGCTGTGGCCAATGACAGCCCAATCGATCTTGGTGTCCTTCAGCTGTTCAACGCTAATTTCACCGGTGAAAGCACCGTTAGGCTTGTCGAAGACGTTCTGGGCGGCAACACCGATCTTGGGGTCGGCCAGGCTGCGGGTGAGAGTGAGGTACACAGCGGGAGGAGAGATGACAACCTCGGTGTTGCTGTCGAGCTTGGCAGAGTTGAGGTTCTTCACGATGTTGGTGATGCTCTCAGCAACACCGTTCCTAGAGAGAAAGTCAATGGCCCAGTTCGACGCGGTAGTCTTCCAGAGTTGGGAGGGGCATGGAGGGGCCCTCGCGCTTGACGTCACGCGTGGAGGGGTGAGGTGAGGAGCAAGGGACTTACATCTTGAAGTTACCACCGACGAAGAATTGGCGAGGCATTTTGGGTAGAGTGTGAGATTGTTCTTTTTTAGAGAAGACGGGGAAGGAAGAAGAGGAAAGAAGCAGATTAAGAAAGTTGAAGAGGTCCAAGTTGGAGGGGCAGACCCGAACAGTCGGCCCGGCACGGGCGCTTGGCCCAGTAATTATCGTGCTTTTTCGCATCGTCCCATCGCCCCGACTAAAAGCTTCGGTGCTAGTCATGTTTTCCTCCAGTCTTGTTTGATTTGTGTCTCTTATACTCATAGATTGTTATTCGACTCGTATCCTACGAATGAAGTCTGGTACTGTTGGGCATGCTGGCGGCTGTGTACAACGTGGAAGTATATCATCAATGCGGGGCCGTCAATGACATAACCGGATCAGGAGCCCTGGAGCCCAGCAGTTGCTACCTTGGAAGCATGGAAGGTGCACAGGTTTCAAGTTCCTATAGAAACTCATCGGCTGTGTGGATAGTTTGTTGGTCAGTCCCAGGTACTTGAAATAAGGACCTTAACCCAAAGAAAAGGTCGAACTGAGAAGTAGACCCTTGGGACTGATGTTTATATGTTCGTGTCACATGTATCTACTAGTACTTGTGTCCGAGGTAGTGTTGAGGCTAATATTTCAAGTTTAAGGTGAGCTGGCGTGTGTCTAGTAAGCACCGTTCAACCTTCTGTGGCGCGAAGAAGAACCGAGAATGAGCTTCCTCACTTTTTGTTCAAGCTTTTGCCGATGGCCGTTCTAGACGATTCGACCCTCCTCCATGACGAGAACACGATCAAAGTCCAGAACACTTGAACTTCGATGAGTAATAGCCAGAATAGCACTTGAAAGAAAATGTGAGCGGATAAGGTCTGCATAAGTTCTTCCGTATGCGCATCGACAATGAATTCTAGGTCTAGCGTTTTTATCAATATCTGCAATCTCATAGCGCATCCTGCGTGTTGCTTTGTCGCACACCAGAACATTACCGTGACGCACAATGGCTCGTGTAAGACAGACTAGCTGCCTCTGACCATGAGAAAAGGTATTATACTGTCAGGAACCACAGATCTTTATCTTCGACGACCTTCCGAAGATGCACCGCTTTGAGGGCGTCGCAAATAACGTTGTCGGAGCTCGTAGCAAAGAAATCGATATTTTCCCGCACGGTCCACTTATTAAGGAGGAGTGAATCCTATGAAAGCCCGTTGAGGGATTCTCGCAATCGCTGTCTCGAAATTCTGGTAAGGTCGAGCCCATCTACCAGGATTCGACCATCCGATAGATCAATCATATGGAACAATGCTGCCACAAGTATGCTGTTTTACTATATAGAAGATAGTTATTTCGAATTAGAAAATTTCCTCATCACGCGTATGCGCGCATACCTTCAAGTTCGACCACAGATAGCGACCTTCTCGCCCGGCTGGGCAGTAAATGGGATGTGGTCGAGAACCAGCTTGGAAGAGCCACTGATAGACACGAATCAGCAATTAGCCCCCCGAGGATCATATGAAAACTACCGTAGAGGCATCACTTACTTTAGGTTCATCCAGCATTTTACTACTGTCTTCTTCCAGATCCCAATGTTGATGGTGTTGGTCAGCGCAACTCCCATGTCGTCAGCAGAACCCTTGCTCAGCCGGACGACGCCAATTTGACGGGGACAACGGCGAAACCGCCCATGATGAAGTCTCAATACTAGTCTGAGCTAGTACTGCGCCATCACAAGTAGATAAAATGGTCGCTGTGATGCTTCAATCTTGGCCTCTGAGGTCGAGAGGCTAGTTGCCTCCTATGTTGGGAAGGAACCGGCTATGATTTCTTCCATGGGGGTTGGCACCAACTCGAGCGTCTTCTCAGCGCTGGTTGTGCAAGGCGATCTCTTTCTTTCGGATGAGCCCCAACCACGCATCGATTAGATTCAGGGAGAGGACTTCGGCGGCGACCGTTGCCTTTTAAAACATAGCGACCTGGAATGTCTTGAGCGAAAACTAAGAAACGCAGCTTCATCACGCCTACAGTGGAAGAAAGTCTTGATTTTCGTTTGAGGGCCTGTACTCCATGGAAGGATCGATGTTCGATTTACCGGAGATGATTAGCTGAAGAAGCGCTATAAGGCCATATCTCTTTATCGATGAAGCACATTGAGATAGGTGCTACTTGTCCGAAGGGAAGAGGAATATGTGATTATTTCAACATTGATCCCAGTCAGGTTGACATATTGATTGGGTACCTTCATCAAATCGTTTGGTGCCGCCGGAGGATATATCGCAAGTAGCCGACAAACGATAACCAGGCTCAGAATGTCGAACCCAGAATTCATATACAGCAAAGCGCCTGCACCTGCCGTACTAGCGCAGATTATGGCTTCGATTCAGATAATACATAAGCATGTGGAGGAGAAAGGAGGTGGCGGGACCAGTCTGAACCCTCTGGAACTCATGCTATTTCCGTCGTGGACTGAGAGGTTGGCCACACCGTCTACGGTAACGAGGACTCACTCATTGTACCTGCGCTTCTGTTGAACCCAGCGAAAATGCCAGCTTTCTCAAGAGAAATGCTTCGGCGGAAGGTCTCCGTGGCCGTGGTTGGCTATCCTGCCACTCCAATGCATTTGTTGCGAGTGCGCTTCTGCGTTTCGGTCACACACAAGGAAGGGCAACTTAGTTTACGGTATGTACTTTCTTCTTGCGCTGAGCTGATCAAGACCCTCCAGTTGAAGTTATCATACCATAGTCTCGCTGTCAATACCCGTTCATGCAGAATGACTCGTCTTATCTCGAAGAATGTATGGGAAACGATCGAGATAGCAGGACGTTGATGTACTGATTGGTATGACTCAACCAGAAAAAAAAATGAAAAAGAAAAAGGGAATTGTTCCAGAGTTAGAAAGAGAAAGGTAATTTACAGTGTCAATTGAAATGGTGATTCTTGAGTAGACACTAATGACCCTTGATGCACGCCTGCACGCCATAAAATGTCAAACAAAATGCTAATTTCGGTGCTCTTTGGCCACGCATTTGAGCAGCAAAGAGGCGAAACCACAAGAGTAGGGATATCAATATGAGAAAAAATGGAAAGCGCATGAACGGACATATGTACATTTTCAAAATTGGGGCTTCAACGAACGGGGAGAATGGATGACATGTGAGAGAGCAGTGGCATCCCAGCTCATACATGGTAAGCACCCATAGCACCAGGCAGTGGACCATCAAGGTCAATGTCTTCAACGGCGGTGCGGTTTTCGTTGCTTTCGCGGAATAGGTTGCCAAAGTACTTCGCGGCAACTTCACTTTCCTGTTTAACCTTTGTAACCTCTTGCTTCCGCCGAGCAAGGTCCTCAATGTCCTGAGCGAGACAAGCCTGCAAATTGGTGGCAGGCAAACGAAGAATGCGACGCACCTCGGAGGAAATGCGGTTAGCGTTGGAATGCACGTAGTCCATTTCTGAAAGCTTTGCCGCAATCTTCCGAGATAAGCGGGGAGGTAAGGAAGTCGGGATGGACGACACCACGAATGCGGCGGTCAAAAGAGCTGCAAAATTGGTCAGTCATCAGTAAATTGAAGGAGAAAATCAATGATATATAGGAGACTCACCAGCAGCAGCGACACCGGGAAGGAAAAGTCGACGCAGGTTATTAGGCCCAAGGATCTTGACTGCACTTAACGCGCTGTCGACCCAGCTGAAGCCACCTAATGCTCGACTGCCAAGCACGGTGACAGCTGTCATCGCCATACCTGTTCCAGCCATCTTCTCTTGTCGCTCCCAGAGACCAGCAAAATCGAAGAAGTCCCACAATTCGACCTCGGTGTCGACTTGTCGAGCAAGGGCATGACGACGGCCACGACGGAACATCAGGTCTCCGCGGAAGTTCAGGGGAGAGAATTTTTCTGGACCAACGTGCAAAAGGCCAATGTTTTGAATGAAGCCCACGCCTTGGATGGTCTTATCCCGGGCATATTCCTCGCATCCTGTGACAGCTGCTGAGATTTGATCCAGCATGGCCAGCTTCAGGTCATCGGCATATGAGAACACAGCGAAGAGGCCGGGGTACTCGACGCCCAGATCAGCATCTGAAACGCGATCAATAGTTTGAGTCAATGTATTCCGCGTATAGTTGTAGACATCGTCGCATGATTCGTCAATGGCTTTATCAACACCATCTCCCAGCTCGCTCCTCTTCTTCTTGCCATTCTCATATGCAGGTTCCAAGTCTGCCAATTCGGCTGTAACTCGGGTGAGTTCTGACTCGGCAACCTCGCGGTTAACCGTAGCAAGAGAGGTGATATCAGCGAGAAGGTTCAAAAGATAGGTCCTTGCCGGTGCGAGTTTTGAACGGGATCGCTTTTCGAGAACAAAGCGTCTCAAGGACGACTCGAGATTTTCAAAATCTTGAAGCTTCTCCCTCTCTTTGCCCTTGTCCTTCCCTTTCCCTTTGCCATTGTCTTCGTCATTCTCTTTGTCGGAACCGTTTCCATCATCGCCACCATCACCGCCTCCACCGCTACCAGACCCAGATTGAGAGGTTTGCATCGGCGGGGCCACTGGAATAGCATTGCTCGACACGAAATGAACGAGCTCAGCAGCCTCCTTGTAAGTCCGAGGGCTGAGCTTGTTGACCTGGTCAAGAATCATGCGTTCGCAGCGTTGTTTGTCACGGATTTGGTCGAACCCGTTTACCACCATGAACATATAAGCTTTCTCATGTGCCGCGTTGAGGATGAATTCCTTTGCGGAGAGGGTAAAATGGTTGGCTGCAGAAACCACGAAGACAACCACATCGATTTCCTCTTGTCGGGCGAAAACAGCGGTCGTCTTCAGAGAGTCGGCGTTTAATCCCGGAGCATCAATCAAAGCAATGTCGACGACGCCATTGTTGAGCAGGGACTCGTCAATTGTCCTTGCATCCTTCACGTAGACCTTGCATTGCATGTATTTCGAATTGTCCACCACAATGTTTTCGAGTTCGCTCAGTGAGTAGACATCGTATGTGCTTTCATCATGGCGGTTATATGGCGTATCTTTGTGCACAGCGTGTACTTCCTCAACCCCGGCATTCTCTCTGGCATTGAGAACTTCACAAAAAATACTGGTGCATGGCTGCTGGTCCTCCGGTAAGACTTTGCGCCGAAGCAGAGCATTACAGAAAGTTGATTTCCCAGCATTAAGATCTCCAGTAATCAGGACCTTACTTGAAGTATCCTCAATTCGCTCCCGGAGAGACAAGAGATGCTTGATGCTCTGGCTAATTTTTCCATCCAATAATGACGCAATCGAGGCCTTTTCGAGCGAGTGGACCAGCTCGGCGTGTGAGAGAGCACCCAGCTTCAGATCCAGCTTCAGGATGGAGAATTCTTGAGCGATTTGTGGAGTCACCAATCTGGGTTCAACAGCGGGTGCGCGCGCTTCCGCATTTGCACTGGATTCGCCCATGTCCTCTGGGTTTACTGTGCTAGCACGCTTGATCTCGGGGCGAGATGGAGAGCCGTGTGTATTATTCTCGTCTCCAACGTAGGAGTGTGCTTGTTGAAGCGCCGGACGCTCTGCGGACGCGGCGCCTTGCACGGTAGGGTAAACCGCGGGCCATTTGCGGTTCATATCCTGGAGTTCCTTCAAGGTTTCAACTGTTCTGGAGATTGCGCGGCCGAGTTTAGTCCGGTTCGAGTAGCTGAAGAAATATGGTTAGCATCTTCAAAAGTGACTGAGTTAGATATACATACAAGAGAAGTTGATGCACATGGCTTGCAACAACTTGCTTCTCATTTTCAGCTGCAGGATGCTGTGAGTCAAGGATCACCTCTGCGCTCTTTCCAACAGATGCCTCACCTTCTGGATTCCATTCACCGGGGCGTGTTGGGGTATGCAAAGGAGTCGGTCGGTCCTCCATGAGTCCAGCGCGCCATGCGGCACTTGAGTCTTCATGGGCACTATCACCAGCAATGCTTCCTCCGTAGCCTGAATCATGGGCTAAGGAAGCCATCAAAGCCGTAGCACTTTCCGAGGTCGAACCATTACCCACTGTCATGTAGGCCGGCGGGGGCCGGTAAAAAGGGCTTTGCTCCTCTTGACCAGGAGCTTCGTGAGACGAGCTGGCCTTTGAGGAGCCATCACTGGCGAAATAATCCTGACTCATGGCGATATGAGCGTGGGTATGTGAGCCATCCGAGACTTTGTTTGTTGAACAGGGACAAAACCTGGGATGTGACGATGATTCGAACCAAAAAGGTTTAGGGCGCGCATGTGACTGCGCGCATTAAAACTTACGATTCTTTGTGGCCTTAAACATGAGGTGTCATTCCCTCACTGAGTTAGCTCGGCGGGAGCATCTCCAACGCCCGCCTGATGTCACTGCTGGACTGTAAATACTAGGCAACCCCTCCCTTTCCCCTCTATCTTGACAAGCAACCCGGCCTATTCAAAGCCAACATGAATGTAAGATACATGGCACTATCGCCGCTTATCTTCTTTTGACTGACCGCTAGCATAGATCGTTGAATGGGCCTTCGGCAAGCGCATGACACCTGCGGAACGTCTGCGCAAGCACCAGCGAGCTCTGGATCGAACTCAGCGCGAATTAGACCGAGAGCGCACAAAGCTAGAGAACCAAGAGAAGAAATTGGTACAGGATATCAAGAAGAGTGCAAAGAATGGTCAGATTGGTGCCTGCAAGATCCAAGCCAAAGATTTGGTTCGGACACGACGGTATGTTGGGCGGCCCTGTGGTTGATGGGGTCCGAACTAAAGTTTCAAAGATACATCCAGAAATTCTATCAAATGCGCACACAGCTACAGGCTATTTCGCTCCGCATTCAGGTTTGTGACTCTTCTTCTTCCACCTTCAGCAGACCCAAAGAAGCTAATCGCAATGCTTTTCTAGACGGTGCGAAGCAATGAACAAATGATGCAATCTATGAAGGGCGCCACACATCTCCTAGGGAGTATGAACCGATCTATGAACCTTCCGGCTTTGCAACGCATCGCCATGGAGTTCGAACGCGAAAACGAAATTATGGATGAGCGACAAGAGACAATGGACGACGCAATCGACGAGGCCACTGGGATGGAGGGCGAAGAAGATGAGAGCGAAGATCTTGTTAAGGAAGTTTTGGATGGGATTGGTGTCGACTTGGGCCAAGCAGTATGTGACCTCCCGTGCGTCGGTTACAAATGGGAGACCGATGCTAACTTACTCATCAGCTTGGCGAAACACCTTCCGATATTCAAAAAAGAGTCAACCGGCGAAGCAAGGGTTGCGCAAGCAGTTGGTGGTGGTGGTCACGCTGACGATGATGACCTCCAGGCTAGGCTAGACGGTCTTCGGCGATAGTGGCAATAGTCACAAATTCTTGCTTCTCATGACATCCTGCTCTATCCGGCGATTCCAAGGTTTTACATGCCTGCCTTACAGACCACCCCTTTACTGTTATACTCGAAATTTTGATAATCTCCCTATAGCCAACTACTAGCGTATGATACAATCAATCAAGGCCATTGCTTCCTTTTTCTAACTACGTCTGTTGCGACACGCTGTACAGTAGAGAATACTTATCTTTGAGGCTAGAGGACATCTTTTAATCTTCCTGATCTAATGAAGCTACTAAGAGTGGAACTAAAGCAGGGAGGGCTGCTTATGGAACTGGCATTGTACCAGGTTCTGGCAATCTTAAGAAAAATTCGCATTGATTTGAATATTTTCTTCAACTATCCTCTTTTGTAGTCAAAGGATCCTTGGATGGCCAAGATGGCAACGTCGTAGTCTTGCTTCATGTCCTCCGAGAGGACGGTTCTCCCATGGCCAATAACCATGGAGCATCCCGTAAATTTTGACGCAAAGTTCCATATTATTTTCCTTCGCTTATCATGTTCAGTTGAACATAAGGTTGAAGCCTTAGGTAACATCATATATTTTAGTACCCTCTGTGGTTCTACGATACTAATTGACCGCCAATAACACCAGCAGCGGTCCTTATAATTTTTACAGAGAAAGGAACAGCAGCATTTTGCTGCAAGCACCGCCTATTGTGTAAACCTTCTAATTGGCTAACCCAGTGCGTGGGAATGCGGATTCGGTGTCTGATGACTTCGACTCAACTTAAATACCTCTCCCTCGTCACCTACTGCGCAGGATATACCTTCCGCTTCATTCAGCCCCCCTAGCACAGGTCTCAAAGAAATCGTGAAGACATCCCATTAAGATTCACTATGGATGTCCTACCGCCACCAGACTACCTTCCCGTCCAACCGAGCGATTACCCTCAAATTCCAACTCGGACGCCACCAGCGACTCTTGAGGTATTGCGTGCTTCTTGTGTTAGCGGTGATATTCAGACATTTCGGGAGATTCTTGAATCACAAAGTTCGTCGTCAGACGGCTTTGACATCTGCGACTTCTATGCGATAATGATCGAAGCCACCAAACGAGACGACGTACAGTTCATCAAAGAGCTCCTTGATTGCGGCTTGCCTATGGATCCGCTCTATGCTCTGGAAGCCGTTAATGCGAAGGGAAAGGATGCCCTGGAAGTATTCCTTAAAAATGGATGGGATATCAACCAGCCTATGAGCGAACTCAAACCTACTGTACTAGGGTAAGGCTCGTCCCAATAATCTTGACTATATCATCGATGCCGTTATAGCATTTGTTTAGGTATGCTATTACAGATGAGGAGATGGTAGCTTGGCTCCTTGACCATGGAGCTGATCCTAATCGACAATGTGTTATTGATTTCACTCCACTTTCCCTTGCTGTCGAGAGCGCGCCAGTATCAGTCATCCAGCTCATGCTCAGTCGCGGCGGAGATGTTCGAAAAGGCCAACTTCTCCATCACGCAATTGAACGGAATTCGGATATCATTGCGGTCTTAAGCCTTCTTCTAGAAAAAGGGGCATCTATCAATTCAACTATGTACAAGGATCATTATCCTTCTCGGACGCTATCCTCTTTCATGCTCGGAACGCCTCTGCATAAAGCGGCTGAACTCGGCAAAGCGGATGTGGTTAGCTACTTGGTCAGCAAAGGAGCGAACTTGAATAATAAAGATGCAAAAGGTCGCACAGCCCTGGAGTATGCACGAATGTTAAATCAGCGGGAGGTTATCCATGCACTCGAGAAAAGCAAGTAGCTTGTCCTTTTCTTCTTGATATGCTCGGTCATGTATCACTGATGTTGGATGGTCTGGTCTACGATTTAGGCTACTGTTCGCCAGCATTCGACATTAGTTATCTTAAGCGCGCTTTCCTGTACTATTTTGCAATTAACACAATCATATTCAAGGCCTGTATAACAATAGCCAGCAAGAGCTTGACCATGCTGATACTGCAATCGAACCTCTTGACGGTAGATACACAGTATATGACAAGTACTATCCGAAGCTATCTTTCCAAGTGTCCACTATTCGCCCAAGGCGATCGAGCCTAGAACAGTCCAGACTAGGAAATTGTTTGAAGCTGCACACATTAGCGGGGAACTATAGATAAGTCACTACCTCGGGCATTCCAAAACCACGCAATTCAAGGTGCCCAATGACAGGCTTCTAAGCGTGCCGACTGGAGTTCTCCCTTATTTGCTACACGCAGGGGGCGGGCGTGTAGCCTTTATGAGTCATTTTTTGCCGGGTCTATGACTACTGATAAGCTGTGTGTAACCGCCAGCCTCTTTATTGCAGACCTGTTCAAATGCATACACCGAGACATGCATATTATGTCGCAGATAGAAGACATCACGTCAAGATACCATTTGACCACTCCAGAATTCGAGACACTCTCAGTACGTGAGGATGCGGCTCAAAGCTTTCTTCCCAGAGTGGATCTTTACTCCAAGATGAAGCATTTGCTGTGGATGCGGGACAAGATTTGACATGATTGGATAAGTGATGCGCAGCTAGGGCGGCGGTCTTATAGTTATGTTTTCATTGGTCCATTATTTTCCGCCTAAAACATCAAACTCCTGGATTTCTACATAGACAAAGAGTAAATAACGCAGCGTTACGAAACGAGAATTTTCAAATGACAAGAGCGACATACTTCGCTATTGCCCATCAAAGTTGATTGTAACGGAGAATGAAGAATAGAGAAGCTCTTGAAATCTCAAGTATAATATAGCAGACTCTAAATAGACTTAAAGAGTGAAGACCTTCTGCTATCTTCCTAGAGATAAATACTACCATTATGAAGCAGCACAGATTGGATTTGACAGGAACAGATCCCACCTATATACGAAAGCTTATCGCTCACCCCACATTGATCCTTATCGGACTGCTTATCCTGCTCTTATCGGATCCGGCATATATTGGCACGTGATGTCGTTGTCCAAGCTGCCCGAGCTTCTTCTCCGAGAAAGTAGTCTTCTCCACCTTGTGCTAGCGGAGTATTCTCGCGCATTTTCTCTGATCGTGAGAGTTGTCCACTTTGGAGGCTTCTGCAACCATGGCCGCAGAGTTTATAGGCTACAATGTGCTTGTGACTTTGCAAGAACCGCCTGGTGGGAGGCTCCAAGGTCAAGTCGCTGACGTCGTGGGTCGGAATCTCATGCTTCACAATGGTGAGTAGCTCCGTGGTAGAGCATCTCGTTGGTCCTACCGAAGCCTAACAAATCTCCGTTTCAATTCCAGTCACGCTCTTGTGGAATGGCCAGCATTTTCCTTCCTTTACCATCGATGCCTCTGGGATCACGGATCTGTCGCTACAATCGAGTACTCCACCTCTCCAGAAAATGCCTTCGCTTCAACATCTCCCTCAACCTACGGCTCCTCTTTCCAATGCACGTCTTCAACAGCAGTTTGTAGACCCTGCTATCCTGAGCTATTCCAAAACTACCTCAACGCCAACCCACACAATGGCCCAGTCTCAATCAGCTTCACAGTCAACTCGCCAAGCAGCTGCTCCGACTACAGCTTCGCTGACGGAGCCTTTCAGTAACCTTGAGTTGACCCCGGGGACAAGCAGCGGTAGTGTCGGGGACCAGAAGGTCCCGCCCGCACAAAGCGTGAATCCCTCCAAGCAAGCTTCGCGACGCAATCGCAGGGGCAATGATGGATATGTGGGCAAGCACGGTGTTGCAGCGAGTACCAATCCAAAGAGCAAGGGCTGGCGCCAGACAGCCTTTGTGGAATCAGTTGGTCGCGCAGCCGATATCTCCCCGGAGCATCCCAGCAAGTCAGCCGCAACGCTCCGCAAGAAGACACGCCGCTCCTACGCGGAAGATCTTAGTGGATGGGCCACAGAGGAGGCAACCGACATCCAAGAACTGGGTGAATTTGACTTTCAAAGCAATCTTTCGAAATTCGACAAGCGCCGAGTATTCGAGGAGATCCGAAACGATGACACTACTGCTGACGAGGCTCGCCTGGTAAGCTTCAACCGAAAGCCTAAGCCTGGAACCAATGGTGGCAAGAACCTTCACTGGTCTGAAAATGTCCTTGATAGTCCCCAGAACAGTGATACTGCTGAAGAGTTGGAAGCAATCAGTGATGCCCGTCACAGCGGTGAAAATGTCTCTGGGCGTGGTCGATCCAGAGTACCTGCACGGACCACTCGCAAGAATAGCTCCATATTGATGCAGATCAATACCCTGGGGCGTGGACAATTGAACGCCTCACGTACCACAAGTCCTCGCCATGCTCGGTCGTCCGTCTCGCCTATAGTTGGTACGAATCCACCTGTGGCTTCATTACGCCTTGCGACTACAAACCGCAGTTGCCCGACGGTAAGTCCCCTGCAAACTCTCGAGGTTGAGCAGATTGCAGTGGCTGAGTTCGGACTTACGGACGATATTCTCACGGAGAATGCGGGACGTGGAATCGCTGAAGGGGCTGTCTATCTCCTCTCCAGCGATACTGCTGCGCCTACTATTCTCCTTCTGACTGGTAACCATCGTACGGGGGCACGGGCTATCTCTGCGGCACGTCATCTGAGAAACCGTGGTCACCGGGTCACTGTTTGTCTTCTCGGGGGCGATTCAGCAGCCGAGCTACTCGAGAATTGTCGCAAGCAGTTGGATATCTTCAAGAAGAGCGGAGGACGTGTGATGAAATGGGAAGATGTTTCTGCTCGACTCTCGACCTCTGATCCTACCGTCAGCCCTGATTTGATTATCGACGCTCTCTTCGGCATGCACCTTGCTTTTGATGACCTCCGAACCGACGATCAAGGTGTTGCTTTTGAGATGATTTCCTGGATGAACCGGAGCACCATCAATGTTCTCTCGGTTGATATTCCTCGGGAATGTCTGCTTCGGGTGGTATGTGCCGTTCTCACGCTTGCTTTTTGAAAGACCGAGTGCTAATTTCTTTCGATAGGTGATGTCACTCTAGTTGAGGGAGCCCGTCTCTGTGTAGATGCCTCGTCGGTTGTCTGCCTTGGTGCTCCAAAAACAGGTGTTCTCAATGCTCTCACCTCTGGTGAAGGTGACTCGTGGAGTGTGACCGTTGCAGACATTGGTATTCCCCAAATTGTTTGGCGCAAATATGGCACGCGTCGTCGCCATGGTATCGACTTTGGCAATCGCTGGGTGGTTCCGCTGCGTTTTCAAGCTTCGATGACTTGACCGACTCGATTTCACGATAACGAACAGAATCATTTACGGCGTTCAATTTCTTTCGTGGTTGCCGGCCGGAGTCGGGGTGTGCGTTTACAGTTCGAAGCTGGGGCATGTATTATTATTAGCGTATCAAAAGTCCTTACACGATTGTCAGCAGACGTTTAATATGGGTTCGAATAGCGACGCCATGGTGTTTTATCTCGATAGCAACATGGAATCTGACTCAGGTCCCCGTTTAGCACAAGGATCCTTCCTGCTCTGTTGCTGCAAGCCTTTTTTCATAAAACGCTCCACGTCTATTTTGTAAATAGTTGCTATGGAGATCATCCCAAGGATACTTGAATCTGAAAGCGCGAACTCACTCCGCCCGGTGAATTCGACTCGAGAGGCTGTCAGTGCCAGTGTAATTGGATATCTAGTTCGGTCACCAACACGACACCACGGCCGTAACGGTCCCTCTTATAGCTGGACAACACCTATTTGCATTAAACTGCTAGTAATCACCTAATAATGTATCTAAGCCCCACAGAGATACTGCGAGGCCAACCTTTAACGTTTCATGATCTACTTACTATGACGCGGTGCCACGTGACCGTCACGACGCGCCAGAACCAATTAACCCGCATTCGCGGGGATCGACCAGTTCCTCAGCAGCGACCAGCCAGAGTGAATCTCCTAGCCATGAAGTATGGCGCGGAATTCAACTTCCGGTAAGCCAAGATGGAATTTCACAGACGGGCCAAACAGTGGACTGATTATTATACAGACAAAGAACACCCGCTTTCGGGCGCGGTTATCTGCTTCACCTCGGTCCCATTCGAGCAAAAAGTATGTACGACTTGGGATTTTCAGTATCATGATGTTTGCATGGAACGCTAATGTAATCCGTGCAATATAGACCCAGCTCGTCAGCTTCGCGAAAGAAATGGGCGCAATTGAGCGGCCTGACCTTACCTCGGAAGTGACACACCTACTTGTCGGCGCTACGGACTCTCCGAAGTACAAATTTGTTGCGCGTGAGAGGAACGATGTTGTTGTTCTTAAGCCAGAGTGGATTGAGGCGGTGCGAGTATCATGGATGGAGGGGGAGGACACTGACATACACGCCCTTGAGAAGCAATACAAGCTGCCAACTTTCATCGGACTCACTCTTTGCATTACTGGTTTTACAGATAGTAAGTTTGTTGACCTTGTGGCTAGATAATACAGTCAGCTAATGCATTCACAGTGGGATTTCGTACGAAATTGCATGATGCTGCAGTGGAGAACGGCGCGGAGTTCCGCAAGGATTTGACCAAGAGTGTGACGCACCTGATCTCTCGGAACACAGAAGGCGAGAAGTACCGATTTGCAACGCAATGGAATATCAAAGTTGTGACCATCAATTGGTTTCATGATTGCCTGGAGCGTGGCTTAATCCTTGACGAGGAAAAATATCATCCATCAATCCCTCTGGAAGAACAGGGCGTGGGAGCATGGAATCGGCCCAGGGTGGATGAGAAGAAAGAATCAAGGAGAGCGAAAACCATGGCTAGCGAGAACAATGCAGATCTTCGTCCACGGAAAAAGCTGCGGAGGTCTGCTAGCACCAAATTGGTCGGTCAAAATGAGAACATCTGGGGGGATATCATAGGCGCCGGTTTTATGAACGAGACGGCTGTATCAAAGGCCCCAAACGCGATGCCGAACGAACCGGCCTCAAAACCTGTTCTCCAAGTAGCGAAATCTTTTGCTAAGGAGTCTACGTTTGCAGAAACGCAGCCGCGCCCTCGCGACGAGGAAGCTCCTAAAGTACCGGATGGCTTTCTTGGAGGGTCATTCTTCTATATCCACGGATTCTCCCCTAAACAGGTATGGTTTACGATTATCGTATGCTTCAAGCTAGAGCTAATCCTGGGTAGATGGGTGTCCTAACTCGCCACCTGGAATTTAATGGAGCCCTTTGTACGGATTCATTAAGTGAGTTTGCCAGCCCTACTATACCGAAGACAGGACAAGGACTGTACATTATGGTGCCTTACCAGACTCCGAGGTCGAAAATTCCATCAACAGATGAACTGGCCTTTGAGTGTGAGGTTGTCACTGACATGTGGTTGGAAAAATGCCTTCATGCACGAGCGTTGGTCCCTCCCGAAAATCATGTTGCGAGCACACCTTTCCCCAAGTTTCCCATACCTGGCTTTGAAGACCTGCGAATATGCTCCACTGGCTTTGGGGGAATCGACCTCCTGCACGTCTCTAAACTGGTCAACCTGATGGGCGCCTCGTACGACGAAGTCCTCACGCCTAAAGCCTCTGTCCTAATTTGTAACGACCCGCAAAATGCTAATCAAGACAAACTGCGGCACACCCGAGAATGGGCAGTACCAGCTGTTTCGGCAGACTGGTTTTGGACATCTATTCAGACTGGCCAGAAGAAGCCATTCGACCCGTATCTCATCCGGAAGCAAACAACACAGCCAGTCAGTGGTGTAGAAAAGCCAGGGGCCGGGTTTGACATTGAAAAACCAGAGATACCGCAGGATGTACCAGCCCAGGATAGGTTAACAAAAGCGCCTGAAGGGCACGGCGGAAAGCAGAAGGCTGAAAAACCTTTATCTGTAAGGTCAAGCAGAGACCGAGTGATGTCCATAATAGACAATGGCTTTTCCCTAGAGGATGAAGATGACGCACCAAAACCATCGGTGCCAGACTCTCGATCTCCATCCCCTGAAAACCCAAGCGAAGCCCCGGTTACAGAGGCGCCTGCCCCCAAGACAGCCGAGCCAGATCGTCCCAAAGCATCTGCTGAACCATCAGCACTTGACACCGCGCTAAAAGGCTTTTTGCAACAAGCGCAAGCTGCCAAATCGCGGCAGCAATCAGAGAATACAACTACCCAGCCGGAAGCCCCCCGAAGGAAGCGCAAGCCTCTTCTCGGGCGGGCACCCTCGCATTCGTCTTCCAAAGTGCTCGATACAGCTGGTGCACCGTCTCGCGCCAGTTCCATCGACACTCTTAATGACGATGGGCTCGGCTCTGCCCTTGAAAGCGAAGGCTCCTTCTCGCGCACTAACAGTCGTGCCAATGACCAGAGCATCTCGTCCATGTTCAGCGGAAAGAAATTCGACTTTGATTCATTAGCAAAACTTCCCGGCCGCGTTGACGACGAAGAAGATGAGGAAAACCACGAACCGCCTATGACGCAGCTAGGCTACGAAGATGCTGACGCTGCGGCTATGAGAGCTGAATTCCTCCGCAATGCGGGAAAATTAACTGACAAAACTCAGCGGCCTGATTCAAGCTTGCTTCTGGGTGAAGTTCGTGAACTTGAAGATGTAGGATGGGCTTCTGGACGACGGACCAGACGGCAGCCTCCTAAGCCGGATGAGATGTAATTATGCCCCTGCATGCATTAGTCGGTTGTATCATTTGGGGAATATTCTTTATTTGGCATTGCATTGCGGATGGCGCCTTCTAGAGTATATGGAGTTATGAAAAGCGATTTACTTCCAAGGTTGGAGGTTTCCATATTTGTCATCAAAATATGCGTTCAATTCCACCAGCCTTCCATGATATGATATATGCCCCAATTTAGTACAGTCCATATGATAGAGTAGAGAAGGAGAAAAGGTACAGTAGCCCTGGACAAAGAAAAAGGGAGTCGGGATTAGATGGCTGTCAAATAGTCCATCAAGGATATCACTATGGTGTATCCATACATGGGCAAAAGAATGGTCCCAGGTAGTCATGATGAAGAAGAGATAGGAAACGAAAAAAAAAAGGATTCTAATATAAGAGACCACGCTTATTGATATCATATACCATCAAAGCAGTCGTCATCAAAGTCATCCTTCGAGGTTGGTTTCTTGGGCTTCATCACTTGATTAATCGAAACAAGATTACTGTAGAAAGCCACCACCTTGGGATGAACCATGACCTTGCGCGGTTCGAACCTCGTAACTTGTAGCCCGGCTTGGGAAGTAGCACGACTGAGCGCGACATAAGCCTGGCCCTTCTCGAAGACGCGGCCGAGGTCGACCTTGACACGCTGTAGTGTCTGACCTTGGGCTTTATGAATAGACAGGGCCCATGCCAAAATCAGGGGAATTTGTTGACGCTGGGCTTGCACTTCCCCATTGGGAAGCTCGATCTTCCATACTTCAGGCTGACACAGGAGATGTCGCTCAGTACCGTCGGGCTGAACAAAGTTGACCAGCGGCCACTTACGGGCGGCCACAACCCCCTTATCGTGTGCCAGGGCCTTGAGCTTCTTTCGGGCACGGCTGGCGCTGTCCTCGTCGGCAGGATCGCCACTACTAGTAGTCGCGAATGCGTCCTCGTTTTCACGGTACATATCGAAGTTTGCTTCGTCCATGAAGGCTACGATTCGTCCGATAGAACCGTTCACGAGGGTATCTTCCATGTTCTTGATGAGCATTACTTGAGCGCCCTTCTTCAAGTGGATAGTCTGTGGAGCCATGCAGTTGCTTAGCAGCTTCTCGCGATGCTGGGGATCCTGAATGGTTCCAGAGTCGACAGCATTGAAAGTCATCATTTCTCCAGACAGCCGTTGCATGCGTGCAGAGTTAGCATTCTCGACTTCGGCGCGAGTAGGAAACCTGCCGACAGTTAGTAGATGCTCAAGATTAGCCTTCAAAAGCTGGGTCGTACAGTTCAGTCGCTTCGAGCTCGTCATGGAAATCAAGTGGCCGGGACAATTTTCGGAATGCCTCGATTGTTTTCGTCGACAGATTTCCCAATCTCATTTCATTCAACATTGCGGCAAATTCGGGATCACGCTGACGGAAGACATGTGTGAGGAGAATGGTATGTTGGATTGAAGTGTTCCAGGTTTCTGCAGCGAAGGAGAATTTTGCCTCCCTGTTGCTTCCTTCAGGCACAGGAGGTAATTGGAAGAAATCTCCCGTTACGACCAGCTGGATGCCTCCAAATGGGCGTCCGTTGCTCCGAAGACTTCGGGCAATTGCCTCTAATTTGTCAAAAAGGTCGCCATCTACCATGGACACTTCATCAATGATAAGAACCTTAGTACGTAGCCAACGATTTCGGGCCTTCTGGTTCTTCTTGATCTGTGCAAAAGATTAGCTGGAGGTCTCCATCTAACGACACTATTTCTTACCTTCTTGACCAAGTCAGGCACGGGCTCTTTGCCCAGTCCAATTCCGGCAAAGCTGTGAAGTGTAACACCTTCAATATTACAGGCAGCAAGGCCAGTGGATGCTGTAACTGCCACGCGGTCTGGTTCTCGCTTGTATTTCATTCGCAACTGCTTGATGATTTCTCGCATCAGAACGGATTTTCCTGTACCAGCAGAACCGGTGAAGAAAATGCTCTTTCCTTTGTCAACAACAGCCTCCAAAACAGACTTTTGTTCCTCGCTCAAGTAGATTTTTGGAGGCTTGGATCTGTCATGAAACACCTTCAGATCATCTCCCCTTTGTGTTTTCTTGTACTCCTTTCTCAACTCTTTCTGCTCTTCCTTGATAGCACTCGCACTCTTGTTCCAGATCTCTGCAGGCTTCCTTCGCTTTGGTGTGACATGTGTATTCTGGGGATCTTCAAGCTTGAATTGATTTGCAACCCGCTTGAAGTCCTCAACAGGGTGTTGGCTTGCCTCGGTTTGCCAAGGCAGTTTTCTTGGCCTTGGGGGTGGTTGATAGTGCGAAGGAGGCGACGAAGACCACGGGAGTTGGTTACTACTTGGAGGCGCGAGGTGTTCCTGCGAATCAGGCGGGAGGTCGGGATAGGCGATATCTGACTGGCCAAGGTTGGGGTATGTGACTGGGTCTGGCTTCGGAACAACCGGGGGTTTAGGAACGGTAAAGGGAAGCGGCTCATCGTCGTCGAGGTCTATCTCATCATCGAAGTCGTTTTCATCGAAATAGACATCAGCGGAGTGGAGGGAGCCGAGGTTCGAGCCGCCATTGTTGGCCATCTCGATCTTTCGCTTGACGCCGACAGATGGTTGGGCGGTGGATTTCGATTGGGCCGGCGCAATCGTGTTTCCCCGAAGAAAGTTAGCCTGGAGAGGCTTGGAGTTCGATCCGGGATGCTCATTTACTGCCTTCTTGAACATAATGGATTCGTCTGGCGCGGGTCGCGACGTAGATGAGTACGCGGAGACTTGGAGCGGGCCTCGCGAGCAATTCACGAGGGATGGAAGGACTTTAGGGGCACCGCAATCGAGCTCGAGCAACATGCATGGACCGAAGCCCGCGAGAACAGGGCCTAAAGGGGGAGAGGGCGCTTAAACGAAATATCCACAAATCGACGTGTGACAGACGCGTTTATCTATCTCAAGTTTTGGCGTCTTCTCCACCAAATAACACGAGCCCGCACTATCCCCAATCGGGCTAGCGCCTACGTGCGTCACTCTTGTCTCCAAAGTTAAATCTCGCGAATCCAGAAGTTGCAAAACTCTAGAGCTCCTGTAACACAATGGGGAAAGGTAAGTACGTCGTATAGATGCTTTCGCCAGAATAAGCTAACAAATTCTTTTTGTAGGAACCGACAAGCTCTACGTAAGATTCGCCCCCGCAACTCTCATCTCTTCGCGACAACCTACAGCCTTCGCATTGCGATAACCCGCTAACATTTGCTTCAATTCAGATCACGCACTCGGAGTGGGCGTCAGAGGATGCATATGGAGCCAGCGCTGGCGCTGGTGTCTCCAAGTCGAAAAGAGGAGGCCCCCATGCCGCATTCAAACGCCTTCCGTTCAATTTCTGCTCTCTATCGCTACAACCATTCTCGCATCCCGTCTGCACACAAACGGGAGTCATCTTCGATCTGACCAACATCTTGCCGTGGATCAAAAAACACGGGACAAACCCAGTGGATGGATCACCTTTGAAAAGCTCAGACTTGATCAAGCTCACATTCGCGAAGAATGAAGAGAACGAGTACATCGACCCGGTGACCTACAAGGTTTTAACCGATAATACGCACATTGTCGCGCTACGAAATACCGGAAATGTGTTTGCTTGGGATACAATCGAGCGACTAAACATCAAGGGAAAGATCTGGCGCGATCTGGTCACCGACGAAGAGTTCACCCGCAAGGATATCATCACCCTACAAGACCCGCAAAATCTCGAGTCGCGTGATCTCAGCACTTTCAACTACATCAAGGAGGGTCAAACGGGCGTTATCGAGGGACAGCAGACCACTGAGAGTGTGAACACCAATGCGCTTGGCAGTTCAGCCAAGATTCTCAAGGCCAAGGAGGCGGTGGCCAAGGCTCGCGCTGAGCGCGCTCAGCAGGCTGGATCTGCTACTCCCAAGGCCGTCGCGAAGCCAGGACCAAATACGACCTCCAAGTCTGCCGCTTCCCAATCAGCAAAGCCTACGCCTTACAATGCAGCACGATACACGACTGGTAAAGCCGCTGCCTCTTTCACCAGTACTGGAATGGCCGTCCATACATCCGCCGAGCTTGCCCTTCTCTCCGAAGAGGAGTACATGTTGAAGCGCGGACGAGTCAAGGGCAAAGGCTACGTACGTCTCGAGACTACGGTCGGTCATTTGAATTTAGAGCTTTATCCTGAATTCGCTCCGAAAGCCGTGTGGAACTTTATTTCACTTGCCAAAAAAGGTTACTACAAGGATGTCACCTTTCACCGCAATATCAAAGGGTTTATGATCCAAGGTGGAGATCCTACGGGGACTGGTCGGGGCGGCGAGAGTATCTGGGGCAAAAACTTTGCGGATGAGTTTGATGGGCCGCTAAAGCATGACAGCCGTGGCACACTGAGCATGGCCAACAAGGGCAAAAACACCAATAGTAGTCAATTGTGAGTTTATCTCTCGATTTTCCTCCCCCACCCCCCTTCCTCCCGCGCTATGGGGATGTTTATCTGTGCAGGAAGTACCTAAATTGCGAAGCTGGGTACTTGGGTGCTCCACTGCGTATACGACAAGTACCATTGCGTATCTTACATAGCAAGATGAGAACGCAGTGGGCCTTTCCAATAAGGCTATCGTGCAGATGCCTTTGGCCCCCATATGCGGGAATAATCAATTCAGTTCGCTAACGAATCCTATTCAGCTTTATTTCTTACCGAGCTCTGCCGCACCTTGACCGCAAACACACCGTCTTTGGGCGACTAATTGATGACCCGACTCCTTCATCGACCACTCTCAACAGTCTTGAAACCCACCCGGTAGAACCGAATACCAATCGGCCCACCCCTGAGGTGCGAATTAAGGACGTGACCGTGTTTGTTGATCCCTTCGAGGAGTTTCTCCAACAGAAGCGGCGCGAAGAAGAACCAAGATCTATCTACCACTAATGACGACGATCTCGGTGATGTCGATGACAACCAAATAACTTGGACAGGCAAGCGAGTGCGTGGGCCGGGTACTAGCTCGCATGACGCTTCTTCGGGCGTTGGCAAGTACCTTCAGGCCGCACTAGCCGAACAAGAGGACGAAATAGTGGAATATGTCGATGAAGATCCTGAACCGGAGCCTGCACGCAAGAAAGTTAAAGGAACAGGCGGGTTCGGGGATTTTAGCTCATGGTGAGGGATTCTGATTCAGCGATAACCCTCCCTCTCCGACGGCAAATTCCGATGATGGTGAGAATGCCATGGGTTGTTCCATTCATCCTGGCCCGTACGTATGCCAATCGGGGATGACGATTGTTCAGGGAGGTGTGACCTTGTTGATTCCTTCGTCCATCATCAGGATCGACGGTGGCGCTCATTGGCAGGAGGTTCGATCGATGAGGGGCCCAAGAGCGGAAGTGGGCATTAGCGTTGGGGGCTGAGAGGGCCAAATGCTTAAAGCACCTTCTAATATGCACTTGTTTCTTCTATGACCCCACTTGGCATCCACCAAGGCATAAAGGTGGCCCTAAGCATTATTCACGAGAGCTCAAAATAGGTCCACTTAATTTCCATGCCTATTTTCAGCAACGACATTAAGACTCGGTCTAGCAAGGGTACCTCCTAATGTGAATCTCCTCCCCGTTTGCCCCAGGGTGCCCCCACGATTCTTAAAATAAAATCAAAGCCTAAGGTTTCCTCTAAAAATCTTTAATCTCCGGAGCGAAGTTCAGGCCCACCAGGTGGCTAACGTCGTGGTCATTCCCTCGCCCAATCTGGAGGAGTTGGATGTAGATCCGCCTGGACTGCCAGGGAGACTTCCTGGGTAGGCCGAGGGAGGTATCCCGACGTAGTGTGCATAAAGCAGGGCTCTAATTTGGCAACAACGCAGACTTCCCCTCTCGAAGGATCACAGTTCTCAGCCAGTTACTGGGTAAGGATGGGATAGACCCGGACGAGTCATGCAGGAGTAGGAATGTACTTGGAAGAACATCATTTGTCTCCCCAGATTACTGTAGAAGGAAATGAGTCGGTTGAGTCAGTTGAGTCAGTCTTTCGAGTCGTAGGAGCTCGCATATACTAGGATGGACATTTGGATAGACATTTGTGTAGACATGTGGATGGCTGGTTGGTTGGCGGTCTTGATAATTTGTGCCAACTGCTCCTCCTATACGGAGTATAGTACAATGAGTGGTTTGTCGATGATTAGTTCCCTGGGCTCGTTCTTTCCAGGCTTCTTCATCTCGATCCCTTTCCGCTGTCTTGGGAAAAGGCAGACGCCGCCGATTAGGTCTCCAAGGTCATATTCCCCACCGCTTGGCTTCTTATTTGCTTATTGTGGCTTGCGTTTCTTGGATCAATTCCCCATCCGGATTTCCCCCCATTGACGTCTTCCCCAAACGGCCAATCTCGCATTGTCCTCCTTTCTACTTTTGTGAATTCGGCCTTGTATTGGATCTTCAGATCATACCACTCTTGCCAGATCCTGACTCTAGGGAATTTCCTTCCCTTACCTCTTCCGTATCGGTAAGTTCCAATTCCAGGTTGACAAACCTCTTATGTATCTTGTTTCCTGTACCATCATCATCTTCAACCCCCAACATTATCACCATGCTTGTGTGCTTCTATGAGCTGGCCCCCCTTCGGTGGGGTCCCTGATCGATGTCAAGCCGAACCACAACCCAAAATGGGAGCAAGTACCATATGGCTTAAGTTACTTTTCAGTAACCTAAAAGCTAATGGGACTAAAGCCCGTCTGACTGGGGCTCACCTCGCATGGCTTAGGCGTGCCGTGTATGGCCCCCTCGTCGTCAGGATCTGGCCCCGCTCAAACGGGCGCTTTTCGCCGCTTCACGCCCCCATTTTCGAGGAGTTATACATTAACGCTCGATGCCCGTTTGGCCTTGCGAAGATTTCTTTCACTTTTTTTCTGCTAGTTCTAATCCTTCTGTTGATGCCTGTTACGTTTCTCCCCTAATAACACCCTTCACCCTTCAATTGCGTGCATGACCTCATAAACTCTGCTATACAAAATCTCTAATTATGTATCTGGACGCGCCCCAGCCCGTTCCGTACCAGACGGGCACCCCACGTCAGCCCGTTTCCTACCCGGCTGCGGTCCGCCCTCACGCTCACCAAGCTCCTCATTCGGGAACCGTCATCATCCTTACGTCCCGGAGGGACACAACCAAGCTGGCAGGAAATAAGCGACGCAGTTATCCTCAACAGGGTAGTGGGTTACTGAACAGAATGTTCAGTGGCTCCTCGAGCCCCCCCAAAGGTCAACCCCCCGCGCCCGGAATCGGCGCTTCACCCATCAGCCCCCAATCAGACCTCACCAGCAAGGCTTCCAACTCCAGCCCCAGCAGTGGTGTCCTCCGCACTACTGCTTCCTCCGACCCGCCTCCTGTCGTCGAGAGAAAGCGTCGTCCCAGCACCGTCAACCGAGCGGTGAGCTCGTTCATCAGTACTGCTCGCAAATCCTTTGCCCATTTCGACAGTTCAGAGGACACCCACACCACTTTCCAGTCCACCTCTCCCCCCATCCCTGAACATTCGGTGCCGAAGCTGCGGAGTATGGACCAGGCTTTAAGCACCCCGCAGGGGGATTGCACTAACGCCGCCGGTGATTCATCCCCTACTGCCAACTCGACCTTCCGGGTCGGCGTCACCGAAGACCGGAACCGAAAATGCCGTCGGACCATGGAAGACACGCATGCCTACATCTACAACTTCCTGGGCCAGAATCCATCCTCCGGCGTGAATGGCTCGTCTCCGCAGCAGAATGATCAGGCCGAGACCGATAATGGCTACTTTGCAATCTTCGACGGACATGCCGGCACATTCGCGGCCGATTGGTGTGGGAAGAAGCTGCACGTCATTCTGGAGGAGATCATGCGGAAGAGCCCCAACACCCCGGTACCAGAACTCCTTGATCAGACGTTTACCAGTGTCGACCAACAACTCGAGAAGCTTCCCGTGAAGAACAGTGGCTGTACTGCAGTAACAGCGGTGCTGCGATGGGAGGACCGTGTAGCCAGTTCCAACTCGGCAACCGGCTCTACCACGGTGAAGACCGATGATAATGATACCCCCACCCAAAACAATGTTCCGAAGCTCCCAAACGCTAGTCGCCAACGGGTGCTTTACACGGCCAACGTCGGTGATGCTCGCATCGTACTATGCCGCAGTGGCAAGGCTCTCCGACTCTCATACGACCATAAGGGAAGTGACGAGAATGAGGGGAAGCGCATTGCTAATGCTGGTGGCTTAATCTTGAACAATCGTGTCAATGGTGTCCTGGCCGTGACCCGTGCTCTGGGTGACTCCTACTTGAAAGACCTCGTCACCGGGCACCCATATACGACTGAGACAGTGATCCAGCCCGAACAGGATGAGTTCATCATTCTAGCATGTGATGGTGTATGTTTCCAAACCGACGTCCTACCCTCCTTTACAAATCGCTAATCAATGGTTCTAGTTATGGGATGTCTGCAGCGACCAAGAGGCCGTCGACCTTATTCGAAATGTACACGACGCACAAGAAGCTTCTAAGATGCTGGTCGACCACGCCCTGGCACGTTTCAGTACCGACAACCTGTCCTGCATGGTCATTCGCCTTGACTCAAGTCGCTCAAAAGCAGACAAAGCACAGAACGCAGACTTGAATTTAGACACCAATGTCAAGCCTGCGAGTGGCCCCGACAGTGTCCTGAACAGCGCACGTGTGACCGACGCAGACGTCTACGACATGGATGACCTGGACCGCCAGCTCGCTCGCGGCGGCCTTTCCCCATCATCGCCCCGCGCTGCCCGGTGAAGCGACCAGTAAATTGATTTTAACTTGCACATATGTTCCTTTCTTGTCTCTCTTGTCGCCTTCCGGTACTTCCATGAGAGCAAAATAACTAGGGTGTCGGGTCTCGGAGTTTTTGCTTCCAGTGGTTATCTGTTTTCAGTCTTCTTCCCATGCTTCTGAGTTATATTGCACATTGGCGTCATTCATGATTTGCACATTTCCTCTGGTTCCTAGTGTGGTAGCCATTGATAGTTTGGGACAGGGCCGTGGTGCTTGGGCCATTTTCTCTCCATGTATTCAAATTTCCTGTCCCTTTTTACGCCTGGATTGACGAGACTAAGACTTTCACTACTACTTCTACCTCTTCTGACACATTATCTACAATGGCTTGTGTTATGGCATTCCTCGTTGTATTGTTCCTGCGTACGAGTATATCCTGAACTGTTGGTCTATTATCATTGGATCGATGAGACTTGGATGTAGATTATGAGGTTTCCATGTATGGTCACAAGTCATAGCAGGTTCAAGTCCCTTCTCTAAGCTACTCTGCATCATATTTAGGACCCTTAAAGTCCCAATTCTTTGATTAATATCTGTACTACTAGTAGCCCGTCAGATTCTGGTCTAGAAGTAGTGCACGTAGTCTTTGGAGAATCTTTGTTCGTCACTAGTGTGATTGAGAATATCTAAAAGTACATATGCAGGTCTCAATCCGATATTGATCGGATAACAGGATGACAAAAAAAAATACAATATCACCTTTCGCCAAAGGCCGAGAAAATAGAAAGAAGGAAACACATATCAGTAGGAGTATCGCTCAATCTAGCAAAGACCAGCAATCGAGGAGACAGGGGGAAGGGGGCGAAACAGCGTCTGAGGCGACAAGCACCTAGCTAAAGAAGCTCAACTTCTTCTTCTTTTCAGGCTCCTTAGCTGCCTTCGCTGCCTCCTTCTGTCTCATCTCCTCCAACTCCTCCAACTCCTCAATGTTCGCTGGCTCTGGAACTCCCATAGGCATGATCTGAGCATCAGGGGAGAGCTGCAGCTGACCGTGTCTGACGTTTTTAGACCAATTTTCCGCGAACTGGGCATCGTGGACGTCCCGCCAGAGGATTCTCACCACTTCCGGCTTTTTGGAATGAGGGGACTGGTAGGAACAATCTCGACATCCTCGCCCTGACTCTCGCTCATGCGAGCTTCCAGATCCGCGACATAAGCCTGGTTCTCCTCGGCCTTCTCCTGTGCCTCCTTCAATGCGGCTCTCCGACGCTGCCGCGCCTTACGAGTCAGATATCCGCGCTTGCCATCCCTCTCCAAAAACCCGTCCGCAATCGCTTGGTCCTGGATGGAAACCACAGCCGCGATATCAGCGACAGAGGTGGCCCGCTGATCCATCAGCACGCGGGCGCGCTCCTTCTTCTCCATTGTCTTGCCGATGCGCTTCAGGTTCATCTTGTCGAATTCCTCTGCCTCCACGGGGTTCTTGGGCCGCTTGGCGGCTAATAATTCCTCGGTCACGGTGATCATCTCTGGTGGGGGCGAGAGCTGGCGCTGCATGGAGAACTCGCGGAGGAGCTGATAGGCGCGGAGGCCGAGCCGTGAGTTGCTGAAGTGCACTGAGTAATAGGGCGCCCACATGTCGCGGCGGAGTTCGGCGGGGACAGTCTTTTTGCCATGGTATATCAGTTGGCGGAGGACGTTGTTCTCCTGCAGTGCGTTGGTTAGCTTAACCTCAACAATCGGGAGGCCATAGGATGGACGAATGCTGCCATGGGACAATTGTGTTGTCTTCCATCTGGAACTCGCCATGCACCATAGTTAAGGTGGCTTGTCACGTACTTGTAAGTAGCGGGTCAATGAGTAGACCACCTGCTTTGTCCGCACGTTGGTGTAGACGAAGATATTTTTTCCATGGGAGACGGAGTCGAGGGCTTTCCGAAGCCGCATAGTCTCCCGGTGTTCATGTTCTTTGAATGCATTGGAGCCCGGTTCTCTTTTCTTGCCCTGGATCGGGATTTGCGGATCGATTCGTGCCTTCTGGGTGCCAGTCGCGACCCTGGTCGACTCGATGATCTTGTGAGCCGCGGAGTCCAAGGCCTTGGAGACCTGCTTGGCCGCCTGCGTTGTGGAGGCCATTGGGGCCGATGTTGTCACTGCGCCCGGGGGAGGACAAAAGGTGCAAACCGAGACCACGTCGAGAGCGTGAGGGTGGATGGTCGCGGGCCGGTGTTGAGGGAAGAAAGACCGGAGGTGGATTTTTTGACGGGGCAGACGGTAGGCTTGGCACCGCTTGCTCTCTCCGCATCGTCTTACCCGCCACGACTCCCTTAGCTCCGGACATTCTGGCTTTCCCACCTTGTGAATAATGCCTTTGTCATTGATATCAGCTTACAGCTCATAATTCTATATTCCTCTTGCCCAGGAGTAGTGATGGAAGGTGTGGACTCGGATCCGGGGCACGATGCAGGATCTCGTCGAGAGCGGCCATGGCTATACGCATCGGTACGATTTGCACCCATTGTGCCAAGCAACCTTCTTCTGATCGAGTCCCTAGAATCGCAAGCTACGCCATCTTCATGGAGTCTCTGTCCGTAACTTGGCAGCTACGCCCCCCACGAGCCGTGCACGCGGCAAGACGATTGACGAGGACGATATTCCCAATGCCCTAAAGTCGCCCTCGAAATTGCTATCGCAGAAAGAGACACGACCACTGCATCCGTCACGGTCATTCTCGGAGCTCAAGTCGCGTCCAGCTGAGGACGGCGATGCAGTCACAAAGACCGAGTCGCGTGCTTCCCGTCGCCGGAGTCTGCTACCTTGGAACGATCCCAATCCTCGAACGCGACAAGTAAGCTTAGAAGAGATCACCAAGAACCGTATGGCGGATACATGGATTTCAATTCATTGCGATGGCATCTTTGAACCAATCTACATCAGCGAGGTGATCGAGAAATCGACCAACCCCAGCTTTCAGTTCTTTGATCTAAATCAATGCGGCCCTGTCGTCTCTCGAAAGGACTCCTTGACTCTGAAGCTCTGGTCAAAGACCGAGAACGCACCCGAATTCGCCTTGCTTGTAGAGTTGCAGCTGAATCTACGATCCCTGCAATTTCTAGGGAAAACGCTGGAGACCTTCCACCAGCCGCTGCCTGCCAACTCCATTCTATTTCACTTCCCAGATGGCGTGTACACCAATCTAACAGATCTTCCGTCGGCAGAGCCACCCCTCGTTGGAGCGGGTCAACGAGTTACGGTTGACGGGACTACTTTACCAACTTCCTCTTACGACGCATTGATGCGACTGGCTAACCTGGATGAATGTGTACAAGATGCGCTAGCCACGAGAGAGAAACTAGAGGCGCAGATTGAAGATATTCTCAAGAAAAACGAGGTTGAATTGGGTACAGAGGCTGGTGCTGCTAAGGCCAAAGATCGACTTTCCTCAATTAAACAAGCTGTTTCTGCTGAACGTAAGCAGCTCCGCGCAACAACCAAGCGGAAGGAGGAATTAATCGCAAGTATCAAAGCCAGAAAGCAAGCGATGGAAAGGGGGCGTCTCGCCGAGGACAAAACTCGCAGCCATCTTCCAGACGCTCAACAGAATCTTGTCTCGAGTGAACAATTGCTACAACAAAATTCAGTCGAAACCAAAGGCCAGATCCGACGCATTGCCGAAGACCTGATGCTTATCTACCCCATCGACCCAATCCCTGGAAAATCATTAGCCTTTACCATTGTCGGGCTCCCGCTTCCTAATTCTAATTTTGAAGAAAGTGACCGCGGGAGTGGTCGCAGCTGCGCTGGGATACACTGCCCATCTGGTGTATCTGCTCTCCTTCTATCTGTCCGTGACCATTCCCTACCCTATCAGCCCGAATCTGTCGACCTCCTTGATTCAGGACCCGGTGTCCCAGGACCTCCCACAGCGGACATTTCCCTTGTATCCGGTGAATGTCCACTACCGTTTCGAATATGGAGTCTTTCTCCTGAACAAAAACATCGAGTTTCTCCTGAACAAAGCAGGCGTCCGCGGCCTGGATATCCGACATACCCTCCCCAATCTTAAATATCTGCTCTACGTCCTCACCGCCGGCACCCAGGACATTCCTGCGCGCAAGGCGGGTGGGGTCCGTCGCCCTTCTCGCAGGACGTCTAACTCCATCTTTGTCCCGCCGGACTAGTGCCGATAGTACAGCATCGGGTGAATTGGTTCATGCGCGCAAGGCCTGGGAGACGGTCACGCGAATGAACGGTAGTTTGAGCGTGGATCATGGTGGGCGGGCTCTGTCGCCCATCTCGCCCCCTACCGGGTGATACTCCGAAGGTTTATGTATATTTCAGCGTCGTCGATTCGTAATACCCTATTTGTTTCTCTCATAGATTTCCTAATAGTTCTAGACCCCTAGCGGTTTGATCTGGCCAACGGGATTATTGAGATGTAGAGTAAAAACGCGAAACTTGCACGACAGTTGCAATGTGAAGTGATCTTGTCTTGATATGTCACCATACTTGCTAGTAGTACCTAAGTAGTATTCCAACACGTTTTTTGATACTCTACTTAAGAGCCTGGAGCTTGGTACTACTTGTCTAGAAGCTCTATAGACTATAGCTATAAAGAAGTTAGATATAGCTTCTTCTTCGGAATAGGTATCTTACTAGTAGTTGACTTTGATAGTGTTTCGACCTTAAAAGGTACTAAAAAGAGTAAAGAGTAGTATTAGATAAATTCTAGCAAGTTAGTTTCTTGGTTTTGTTTCTTCTCTTGTAAGTAGAGTGCCTTGTAATCAGGCTTGTCGTGCTTAGCCATGGCTAGTAGCCTCTTAGCCCTTCTAAAGGAGACAAGCCAACAGTCTAGTTCGACTTAATACAGACTGTCTCTTATCGCTTATCTCTGACTTACCATGTGATACATAGTCACCTGACATGGAAGAATATATAGGATCCGATAAACCCTAGTCTTTTCGCAGAAAATGACAATAACTACACCATATTACTCAAGTTTCAACATTTATAGAGTAGAAAGACGTTTAAGGATCATGATAGACCCTTAGAATGAATTGATATCTGCCTCACAAAGACACAGCCTGCAAGAGTAGTTTTAGATTCATTCCAATATGCTTTTATATCTAATCATCCGAGCCCTGGCTGGTATAAGGCGTACAATAGCATATGATTCCTGTTGTGCCTTGCTGGATGCTGGTGGGTATATAAAGGCCGTCCTTTCCAAGGGGCTGTTAAGCAAGCATCTTCCTTCGATTATCTCACAGACTCATTGCTCTCTTCCCTGTGTAGACCTCGGAACCGCCCGCGAGCCGCCCTCTGAGGGCCGCCCACGGACCCGCACTTTTGCGGGCGGAGGGCAGGCTCTTCCTGCCCGCGGGTCGGGTAGGTCTCTACCCTGCCCTCAGAGGGCGGCCCTCGGAATATTTCGAGGGCCGACAAACATGACAAACATAGAAAGCTCTGTGGTTGCATAAATTATGCTAGTTTTGACTGTAATTTTAGGTATTTGATATACAGCTAGGTCCTTTAGAATAAATTATCATGATTAGGGAAAGCGTGTTGAAAATATCAAATAATTGCTTCAATTCATGTTATTTCATACTATTTCTAGGGCTAGATACTATAAATCAACTCTCATACCCTTCTAAAAACCTTGAGCGCTTTCGAACCCTTCCTGAATGCCGAAGTTGTGTGTTTGGTAAGTCAGGCTCGCCCTCTTCTTCATGCTCTCCATTTTCTGGCCCTGTTGACGAGGGTTGTTGTTGTTGCGATTGAGCTGTGATGACTGCAATCTGTGTAGTATCAATAACTAATCCTGCATCATCAATCTCTTCGTTATCGCTAATTGGCTCAAGGTATGGAGTATTTAGATCTTTCGCCTCCTGGTTGGCCTGTATCTCTTCATGTAAGAGATATTCGTTGATTAGAGCTCGTTGACCTTCTTCAATCTCAAACTTTGATGTACACATGAACATCATCAGATCTTGAATTGTTGATGGCTTTAGCGAGCCTCTCCGGTAGTGACAGACATCCCGGGCAGAGTTAAAGAGGCGCTCTACACCTGCCCCTGTTGCAGGAATCGAAAGCACGTCGCGTGCAAGGTTTGCAAGCGCTGGAAATTGATGCTGGTGATCTTTCCAGAACATACAGACAGGAGTTCGTACAATGCCTAGAATATACGTTAGTAAAGACTTTATAAGTGAGATATTATTAACTTACCGCTATCAAGATACTCCTTAAGCTCATCAAATTCAGTAGATGCTAAAGGCTGGGACTCTTCCGCTCCACACTCCATCTCAAGCTCTGAGATAGCGACTGTAGGTGATTGAGCTTTAGATATTGATTGTGTATCGGCATGGTGTCGTTTATAGGATTGAAAGTAATCCTCAAGACTTGCTCGGTAGATTGCACGCCAGTTGTTATCTGGATCATCCCAGTCCTTTCCTTCAAAGAATTGAAGCTTTTGTTGCGGTGAAAGTATCGTGCCAATGGCATAGAGATTGCCATCAATTGTATCCGTCATACCATAATAAGTTGAAAGCTTTCTCTTTGCGGCCTCGAGAGAAGAAAGCATAAGCTGCTTCCAAGCAACCTTTTTCCGTCTTAACGCACTCATTGACCTTTCAAGATGATTGAAGAGCTTGTTGTAGATGCTAAAGACTAGATGAATACTAACATCCTTAGTCTTAGAAAGAAGAGTGGTGAATTTGAAGAAAGGCTGGGTTATCCAGAGAAGATACTCAATTTGTCGCCACTCCTCTTGACTCAATGCAAAGTGGTCCTGATCATACTGCGAACAAAAGTCATCAAAGGTTGATTGAAGCCGTTTAGCACGTCGGAGCATCAAAAACGTTGAATTCCAGCGAGTTCGAACATCCTGGATAGGAATAAGCCTTGGTTCTTCCTTCTGAAGGTTGTAGAATGACTCGCGCCGTTGCGGGCTTGCGTTGATGTAGATAGCAAGGTTTCGGACCTATATAATCATAAAAGAGTTAGTATTGTTAATAAGGTAAGAAAGTAGGGGCATACCTTGTTAAGTGTATCAACAATTTCTCTTTTTTGTTGCCTTACACGAAGAGAACGGAATCGTTCGTCAGACCAATCCATCTCCACATTTTCATTCTTTGGAATTGCCTTTAACTTCCCAAGAAGATCATTCAAGCTAAGCTGAATCACATGGGCAATGCAAGGAACTCGAACGATTGTAGAACCATTATTCAGCTCAAGTGACTGTAATGACTCTTGTATACTTGACATTAACGTGTTATTGTTTGATGCATTGTCAGTTGTCACGGCAAGTACTCGATCTGCGATTTTATGCTGTCGGAGAAGCTTTAAAACCACATCACTTAGATTCACACCAGAATGGGATCCAGATAAAGGTTCAAATCCAAGAAGCACCTCTTGATATTGCCAGTGTTGGTCTAGGAAGTAGCCAGTAACAGCCATAAAAGCCTGTCGAAAGGGAGATGTCCAGCAATCTAGTGCTAGTGAAAGTTTTGCGTTTGGAGGAAGCTTCTGAAGGATAGATTGTTGCTGCTTTTGGACGTACTCTTGTAGCCGAGATCGTATTGTTTTTGCTGAAGGGATATGGGGTTGTGTAGGGGCAAGTCGGGCAAAGGGTAATAACGTCACGGAACTCTGGATGTTCAATGAATTGGAAGGGAAGACGTGATAAGGTGATCAATTGTAGAAGCTTCTGCTCCCATGCTTCTTGCGTAAAGACTTTTGTTATATTTGATGTGTTCTGTGCCTATTATAAAAGAGAATGATTAGTAAAACATTAGACTATATGTCCTAAGTGATACATACTGCATTTGCGAGTAATCCCTTGATATTAGCCTTCTGGCTAGTAGATTTGCGACAGGTTGGACCAGCTAAGTGCCGATTAAGGGCAGTTGTTCCATACCGCCCACTTGCTGGATGATCAAGGACTTTCTGGCATTGGCGACACTTTACCCCTGGTTTACCAGTTTTTGCGTTGGCAACTTGATCAAATTGTTCCCAGCATGCCGCTGTACGGTTACCACCCCAATTAAGTCTTTTCCTCTTCCCAAACTCAGTCTCCAACCACCAAGCGACGAAGTCATCCTTTGACATTTCGGAGTATAGGATGAATGCTGGTGATCGACCAGGACCAACACGCTGAAGTGAAGAAGGAATCAAGGGTGGAGTAATTGGAGTGAGAAAATCGGGATTTGATGCAGATTCAAGTGTGTGCTGACTTCCAGAAATATCAGGCGTTGGGAATTGATCATTCGAAAAAGAGAGAAGAGCATCAACTGGATCACCATCATATACTGATGAAGAATAGATATCTGAGAACTGGGACATTTGGGACATTGTTAATCAGATGATCGCTAGTAAAGCATGATTTGAAAAGGGAAAAGCGACTGGTTTCTGGAGAAGATACCTACTAAGAAAGCCCATAGGCTCTGGTAAATAGAATTATTGACTAGCTTGAGTAGCTTTCCAATATAGCTTGACTATTATCGAACACATCAACTATTGACCCACTTTAACTTATTAATCTCCCTATGATTGGTTATTTATTGAGGGCTGATTGAGGGCGGCCCTCAAATCGGCCCTCAAAATATGCGGGCGGCCCTCAACCAGCCCTCGAAATGTGCGGGCCGCCCTCGAGCGGCCCTCGAGCGGCCCCCAAACGGCCCTCGAAAACATGCGGGCCGCCCTCGAATCACCAATCCGCCCTCGGTTTTTCGCTGACTTGTGTATCCCCTCAAATCTAGTGATGCTTTTAGTTCAAAGATTATTATGGGGGCTCTTCTATTAGTAAATATAGTATGATTAGACTTTATCGGGGGGCTCACCTTATAAAGAAGAATTATATGATATTTGGTGAAGAATCAAGAATTTATGAGATATGTTTAATGTTCTTGTTATTCCTACCAACATGACGTTGTAAATATATATATCTAACCCAACCATATTGAACTAATATATTCAAAAATCATCTCCTTTCTATTCACCCTCTACCATTTACTTTTGGAGATTCAAAACCTGTAATATAATCATTACCTACTATGCTTTATTACAATACAACTAAATTTCTTATAATTTCATAAGACTTAAATAGTGATACCATGGAGAATAAACTATAAACAGGAACAGGCTTAAAAAACAGTAATTAAATAGAATGAATCAGCAGAATTATACATCTAAATGAGGAATAGCCAACTTTTTTTATGCAAATGAGGGCGGATAAGGGCCGCCCGCGAGCGGCCCTCTGAGGGCTGAGGGCCGGGCGGAGGGCGGGAGATACTGGCCCTCGAAATGTTTTTGACGAGGTCTATCCCTGTGTTCTATCTTCGGAAGATGGAAAGCCCTTCCAATCCCATCATTATTGACGATGAAGAAGTCATAAGTTCAGACGTACTTGCAGAGAATCCTCGACCACAGAGTGTCGGAGATGTGGATTTAGTAGGTTCTATATCTGGGCCTAGGCAAACATTGAAGACCCAAAAGTACGTTTTTTAAACGGACATGTATACTGTGCTCTCTAACGACAGATGATAAACGGCGGGGAACCCTGTCACTTGGGGCTGTTAATAAGGCCTGAGCGGGTTTACTACAGTGACTTGGGAGGAACCCAAGGCCAAAGATGTTGCGACGAATATTTAGAGCCTCATTCTTATAGGCTGACACGATTGTCTACTATTCGCCCAGGGCGGTCGGGCCTAGAACAGTCCAAACCAGGAAATTGTGTGAAGCACACATTAGTAGAGAACTATAGATAGGTCATTACCTGGGGCGTTCCAAAAGTTCACGCAATTCAAGGTGCCCAATGACAGGCTTCTAAGGGTGCCGACTGGACTTTCCCCTCATTTGCTATGCGCAGGGGGCGGGCGCGTAGCCTTTACGAGTCATTTATTGCCGGGTCTATGGCCAATGATAAACTGTATGTAACCGCCAGCTTCTTTGCCGCAGACCCGTTCAAATGCATACACTGAGACATGCATATTGTGTCGCAGACAGAAGGCGTCACGTCAAGATACTATTTGCCCACTCCCGAATTCGAGACATTCTCAGCACGGGAGGATGCGGCTCAAAGCCTTCTTCCCAGAGTGGATCTTTACTCCAAGATGAAGCATTTGCTATAGATACGGGACAAGATTTGACGTGATTGGATAAGTGATGCGCAGCTGGGGCGGCGGTCTTATAGAGGTTTTCATTGGTCCATTTTTTCCGCCTAAAACATCAAACTCCTAGATTTCTTTGAAAAGAAAGGGAATTAAAGAGCAGGATTCTCATATGGCCACCCACTACAGTACTAACTAACTAGCATGAAGCTAAAACGCAGCCAGTACTCGGGTGGGTGTCGCCTGGGTGCGCTTTACAGTCGCGCAACTGGGGGGTAAGCAGGGTGAGTGCAGTATAGACGGGGTAAGAACCAGCCCTTGTTGCTAGGATTGGCTGGACGAACGAAACGGCGAGGCTGACTTCCAGCTTGCCTTGGGCAAGGATAGGTCTTTGTGAGATGTTGACCAGGCCGCCACCATTACACCTATCCTGATGCTGATTTTGAATCGTCTTTACTGGCAGAGTTAGTCAAATGTACTATTGTGTCATTTAAATGCAAAGCCTACAGAGTGTTGTTCAGAATTTCGGCCCATAGCTTCCCGACATTCTCGGCCAAACAGTTTCATCGATTCCAGATGCCTGCTAAGTGGAGCCTTGCTACCCTTGCTCTCTGGGTGTCTTGCGGGTTGGTCAAAATTCGTCGGGTTGAAACTTAGATAGATGGGCACTATTTATATAAACATCCACTTATATAGTGTCGACTATGGAATACATGAAGAAATAGATTTGCTAAATACGTTGTGTAGATAATTGATCTTTGTACGTGCTCTGTTTATTATTAAAAAAAAGAAAAAGAAACAACCCAATAGTGATCATTCGTAGGCCCAAATTAGATATGGAAAAGGTGATAAGCATAGCTAGTAGGTTCACTATCATGTGTCTTCCACGTCCAGCCACGCTTTTAGCATTCTTAACATGACATCAGAAGTGGATAGCATCTCAGAAGGTCCGCCATCGGCGTTCCGGCTGAACGCATAGCGCAAGATAGCACCAATCTTTGCCGCTTTCTCGGCCATAGACCGAATGTTCTCACGACGCAGGCTGCCGTCATCCTCGATCCCCGACACGGCCCAGAACTCGGTCCAGAACATCTCCCAGAGCCGTGGCCGGCAGGTATAATCGTGCCAGCCACTTAGATCCATGAAACCTGTCATCAGAAAGAGACAGTCCAGCTCAATGCCGAAAGGTTGCACCGCTGCAAGGGACCAGTCGACAATACCTGTGATTTCGTATGTGTCTGGATGGACAAGGATATTGGTTTTGGAAAAGTCACCATGCTTCAGAACTTGAGGATATTCACTGGCGAAGAGCCGAGGTAGGATAGTTTCAAGTTCGGAAATAATCGAGATCGGCACTACAGCCGACGGCGACGCTTTAAGGACCGCTAGTCTGCGGGAGATTCCAGCCTGGCATTCGACACGTGTCCGAGTTTCCACAGTCTGAGGTGCAGCCCAACACCGAGCAAAGTACCTTGATATTAAAAGTTAGCAACTAGCTAGGAGTATTTCGCCAATAAATATGAGTTATAGGAGAGAAATGACGATTATACCTAGCGAGATGTATTATAAAGCAAACATGCTTGGCTTCTTCATCAGGATCCATGTCGGCTTGGTAGCTAAGCCTCTCCAAGCACGCAACTCCCGGTAATAAGGGCATGCTGTAGATACTTAGTGGTGGATCTGAACCACTCATAATGCCGTGGTTTCTCGCGTGTGGGACCAGGCACCCGTGAATAACCTGAGCTAGTCTGACCATCTCCTCATCGAGCCTGGACGGTGATTCTCGAAAGGACATGATAATGCTTTCATTATGATTTCGATCCTGATTCTGAGTCCTAGTACAGACGATGGTGTAGCTCAACGACCCTGGGACGTCGACCGGATGGACTTCTGACGCCTCAGAAATGGAAAGAGCAAGTCGGTCGCATTGGCTCCGTGTCGGGGATTTACGAACCATGAAAAACTCATAGATGGCTTTCTCAGCCCAAGATTTTTCAGTCATTTCGCAGCGCAGTCCCAAGTTCCTCCAGGTGTAGCGGAGAATGCCCAGGTGGAGACCAAGGTAGTGTTGTAATCTTGGCCCTGATCTCGATTTGAAGCGGTGTGAGCACAGACCATACGGTCACCCCTACATATGGACCACCTACCGAAAAGATCTTTAAGGGCTGTGAAAAGACAGACACAGGAGATGCTTATTCATCTGGTTCCTAAGGACTTGTCAGGACTTCGGTTATATGTGTTCGGTCTACTCTAATTGAAGGAAATTGCAAGAAGGCAGCGAAACCGGACAACTGTTAAGTTCTAACGCCCACTTTGTGGGATGCCAGGTAGAATAAAACAATAGCCATTTAGCATAGACAAGGTAAGGGAGTATTATCTTCAGGGAATTTAGGCAATAATCCCTTCACCTCGAAGAGCCTTCTTCAGCGACTCCACAGTGAGAGGCTTTGAGTCCACAAAGACTCCATGGGTGTTTTTCTTGGGCGAGTAAACTGTGCCGCCCTTGCAAGAAATGATCCCATTGTCTCCGACCTTGAAAGACCAGCCTGTTGTGATGGTGGACAGACCCAGTCCAATGACGTCTTTCTCATTTAAAAGAACAGTGGCTTGTGGCCCGACCTGAAGCTCCTTATAAATGTGGTCCTGAGGACCATCCAGCAGTTCTAGAGCAAGCAAGTCGGCCAGGTTGTTCTGTCGGAGAAAGTCCGCAAATTCTTTGAAGAAATCTAGTTCAATACTTTCTCTCTTAAAGGCTGCTTCGCCTTGGTGGAACTCATACGCAGCAAAGGTCCCATCTGGTTGCATACGAAAAACGTGTCCGTGGACAGGCTTTCCCGCCAGCTCTTCTGCTGGTACGGGCTTGGTCCAGCACGCCTGTGTCGTATCCGTAATTGGGAATTCGATACCGAGAAGGACAGTACCCTTGGGAGCGGTAAAATGACTGTGGAGCAGGTGAATACCGAATATGTCTTGAGCTCTGTGGCGGACAAAGATCTCCCCCACAGCCTTAAGCATAACATCGGAGATTTGAAGCTGCTCCTCCGGGTGTGGGAGAACGTTGTATCTAGAAAATATAAGCGATATTAGTAAATAAAGGACTTGGAAGATCATACATGCTTCGTGAGATCTCAAGATCTTGACTAGTTGGGGCGTGATGGAGGCCAGCAATCGACATAGAGGGCATGACAGCAGCAGTGGCCATGATGGAAGATATGGGCGGAATTACTTCCTAGAAGATGATGGTACAATAACGAGGATTGACAGGATCAGAATGATCTAAAGTGCATATATGGCGAGACTTTCATGCCTATTTATGCTTTTCAGGTGCCCCTCTATGTAGTACCAGGCTTAGTTTTTGCCGTATTATAACTTAATAGCTCAAGAGAATATTGGTTGGGGGTAATTATGCTTTTCGCTAATGCGGTTGGGTCTATCATGGAAGTATTGTTCTCCAATGAGATGGAAGTCTAGACTCCGTGATGATGTGGCGAGTGTAACAGTGAGCGGGGTATCTGACTAGAGCGGGGTATCTGACTAGGACGAGGCTCAAATCGAAATTACTATTGGGGGGCTATGCGCCTTGTTGACTAAAATAGAAGTGGGTGATTGCGTTATATGCAGGCGCGGCTAAGTGTTGGAGCAAAGAGGGACCGTTGTACGTAAAGTACGGTAAGGTCGTGAAATATATGTAACGCTTATTGTTCTAGAATGGTACAACACCCTAACAATTAGTTATGGCATATGTCTTAACATAAGGAAAGTTGCATGTAATTATTCGTATGTCCCGACACTAAGGGCGAACAAAACAAAAGTGAGTGCGACGAATTAGAAGCCAATATTTTGGATACCCCGCTCCGGTAGAGCCCCACCACAAGTGATATAACCAATATCATCGAACCTTAAGAGTGCACACTAGTGTAGTGAGTGCATTGGCCCGTCCGAGTTCTCACCTCACTTTGTTTCTCTTTCCAACGTATCGTTTTCAGCTATCTTGCCATCAAGCCGTGCTGCGAGATCTAAGTGGTCTAAGTTATCGAGGTTGTCACGCGGTGCATTTACCCCAACACCTTCTCCCACTACTCCCTTCATCATGACACCACAGATCACAAAGTGGGCTGACTTTGCCTATGTGTCCGAGGAATTCGACTCAGAAACCCATGAATTTCAATACACGATGTTCGCTGTCATCGACTCGGATGACGTTATCTATTACGGCGAACTGCCTATCCGTAAAGCTGAGATCTCGTTTCAGCAAGTTATGGCCACTCTCAAGGCAATCCCTGACAGCGAAATATTCCCAGCACTGTCTAGTGCCAAACAGCTTACTCAGGCGCCACCAGAGCTCGATAATGCTCAAGTCTTCATCAAGCGACCGAATATTTCCCAATATGATGTGTATAAGCGATACAATGTAGTACACCTGCTCGCCCAAAGCTTTTTGGAGGAGGCCTGTACCATGGAATTTCTTTCCACACACCCACATCCTCATTTCGTACAGTACCATGGCTGCTGCTTCCGGAGAGGTTACCTGACAGGAATCGTGCTTAGCCGCCATCCGTGTGACCTGAAGAACTATCTCAATCGCGGAGTAGGAATTATCGATAAAAAAGTATTCATGAACGCGCTTGAGTCCGCCGTTTATCACTTACATTCACTCGGTTGGGCACACAATGACCTCAACCCGACGAATTTGCTAGTCGACGACTCTAAGGCCAATTGTGGAATGCCAGTCCTGATCGACTTTGGCTCGGCTAGGAAGATGGGCAGTTTGCTAGGAACATCCCGGGGTACAAGTGGTTGGATTGAGGGTCGGATTGAGGACTATACCACTTCTAAGAAGGAACATGATATCTTTGCCCTGGAGAAAATACGACTTTGGTTGGACAACCCGACTATCGACGACGATTAAACGGGAAAATAGACATATATGGAGCCTATCCACCACTTGGCAAAAAGCAAGAAACTAGTCTTGCTACAATATTCAGATTGCAAAACCAGAGTGAGCTTATCGAGATTCCCACAGAGGGGAGATACAACAACCCCATCTTCCGATCGATATTATGCATAGCATGGACACATTTTTCTTGGATCGATATTTAAGGAGTTGTCATTACAAGATCATCCAACCCGTTGGGTGTGACGCGATATCTTGACCTGCTTTTTCGGGGATAGTGCTGAAAAATGGGTAGGTGGCCTATCGGATATTTGTCAAAAACAAAATGTAGAATCTCCTTCAATCAACAATAATAGCCATATTACCGAGTATATTTCTCACTGGCCAAGATGGTGCAGGTAATACAGCCAGGTATTTTGAATCGAATAAGCGCCCAAACAATCGAGAAACTGTTGAAGAAAGCATAACTGAAGCTTATATCTTAGAGCACTCGGCGTCTAACACATCTACCTCAGAGAATCGTCCCATTCCGCTCACTTTTATATTTGAAGATTCTATCCATAATGGTCCCATTAAACAATCGAAACAATACCGTGCATAGGAGAAAGGGAGGAAGAATCTTGAAGGACTAGTTGGAGCCTAAGAACACACAATTGGTAGTGTTCTTTTCACCTCGAATCCCGAAAATATTACAAAATCTTAGGGACATGAATTGACTCGATTTGAAATAAGGTTTCTAACCCAGGAGCATCGGTTTCGACAAAGATGAAGGGGTTCAAAGTCCAGATTCTGATAAGAGTTTGGATGATGCTTTGGGTCAACGTCACATTTTAATGGAAAGAAAGAACAAGGCAAGATGTCCAAATATTTCACAAGATAAAATGTCTATTGATCAGTAGAAAGAGTAAATAAACATACCGGGAAAGCTATGTAAATGATGGCGTCCCTTGCTATTGTCAAGTGTTTCGGCTCTCATTGCGATAGTATTCTTGATATGCGATAGTCCATAATACCAGATCGAAGCATTACAGTTGAACTCACGTTTGATATCATTCATGATATCACACAAGTCGGGTCTAAGAGCCAGGAATGAATGAGCCATTCGTGGCTAACAAGTGGGCATTAAGAATGTTGATATATAGAAACTGACCGATCCACACAGATACGGGCCCAAAATGCTTCACGCTTAGTTACTGTGCATAATTGAATTGCTACTCCAATAAAATGACCGCCCGTACTCACGTCACATGAAAAAATTTCGAGTCAACAATCTCTGGTTGAGGTAGCCTTCATGTACGAATGACTCTAATACTTGGGAACTTGAACCTTATGGCTTTTGAGCGTTTGATATGCCTACTTTGAGAGCAGTTTGCGCCTGGTGCCATTCACTTGGATGGATTTTCGGCGCCAAGACGTAAGCATTCTCTTAAGTTATTCTGTAGATCTAGCTTATCGATCATTTAATGAGATATAGGCTGTACGAGAGAAATTAAATACTCAAATAATGTACTATCCACAAAGCATGGTGCGAAAGCGTCCTAGCAAATGACCGTTTTCAGATAATAGTTTCTCTACATTTGGAAAAAAAAGCAGTTGAGTATTCATCCAACTTACCCACCGCTAATTTCGCCTTGTTATGATCTCTGAATCTGTGTTCAGATATCATTGAGATCTCACTGTTCAATTCAGGTATAAACTCCTGATTTCTTTTTGATAAGTGACATGATCTGATAGTGTATGATTTTTTGACTTCACAAAACGAATAAGCCTTCGATAATTGATACCTGTGAAGTAGGAACACTAACTAGCTTTATGTTTTAGTACTATTTAATCTTTATTTATCTAAATCTCCCCTTTATCTGTCAAGGAACAAAAGGATTCAACGGCGTAACGCCATCGAAGTGATGTTGAATGCCCTTTAATAGGATGTCGAACCCCTTTCGCCTGGTGTCGGAACACACAGTGCTGTTACCACTGTATTACCAGTCGCTTATTTCTTGGCGAATACTCATAACTTTCCTTGTGTAAGAGATCTACTGTAACTATAAATATTCAGTGCCTGTTATTTTAGAACAATCAGAGTTACATATATTTCGTCTAAATACCGTACTTTACAGACCTCCCTCCTTCTAACGATCCAACAATAGGGCTAGGGCCTAGCTTGAGACCAAACCCCCCTGACGAACCTCCCTACAAAAGGGGGAAGTCTGTTTAGCTGAAAGTATAAGCTTTAGTCTCTGTTTAATCCGAACCCTACTAAAGACTCTCTATCGAATACTACTGTCTTGCCTAGTTAACCGGTGCTACCCGAATCTGGCAGTTCCCTCACATCTAGCAGCATTCTCTTGCTAGGTAGCGACAAGAAAAAGAGATGGCAGACCGGAAGGGACACCTTATAGGCTATTTATCACTACCAGCAGAAATACACGCACGAGAGTAGTCTTACTCCTCCTTACCTACTGTTATCCCAATTCTCACCTATATCTCCTGTACTTACCCTAAAGTAAATTGTGATATTGTTTCAAGGCTCAGGGCTATTAGAGAATTGACTGCGCTCTGTATGTGGCTAAAACGTAGTTAGTACTCGGATGGGTGTCGCCCGAGTTTAGGGTGAGCAGGGTGAGTATGCTATAGATAGTATAAGAACCAGATGATCTCTAGGTGAGATCCTGCCAAGGATACACATGCACTGTATAGAGGAGCTCTCTGTACTCAGCTGTTACTAAGTATGGTTGGCTTATCTTAATCTGCCTGAAACCGCTGTCTCTTACTCTTATTACTATGATTAGCTAGTATAAATAGTAACATTCTCGGTCAAATAGTTTCACCGATCTTGGTTACCTTCGGTAGACTCTCTTCTAGAGCCCTACCAGAACACATCTGACTAAACAACTTTCTATAATATATATGACCGGAACTACTGCTATCTCCACCTGGCCCGCCACGCTTGGGTGATCGGTAACAAGCTCTGATCGATCTACATCGTTGACGCACGACGACACGACGACGCTGCCCATGGCCTTAGATTCCCACTCCCAGCTCTGGGAACAGGGCTCGCCGGGGACTCCATCCCAGACTAAACAAGTGACATAATCTTCTAGAAAGGTACCTAGGTACGAGCTTTGCCTAGCTTTTCTTATTGGAAAACGAGGAGCTTAGGAATAGCATGGCATTCATGTTCATTGAGTGTTATAAGGTTGCTAAATTCTTGTGTGCTTACAGCTTAGCGCATGCTTTGGTTGAACCTGGGAGCTCTGATATTCAATGCCACTACCTATAAGCTAATGGTAAAAATTCCAGGCAAAGCTATTACTCCTCCTCCTCCTCCTCTGCAATCCAAATAGATCTGGCAGCCTCCTCAAGGTCTGCTTGCGAGAATATGATGTCCTGTTCAGCGGCTGTCTGAGCATCGATTGGCCGTAACATGAGGCTTTCGAATGGGATTCGAAAGGGGAGGTCCCCGGTCACGATTGGGCGGCCCTCTTGTGTGCTGTGCACATATATGACCTGAGTACGATCGATCCTGGCGCGCTGCTTGTTATCGTTGTTATCCTTCCGTGCCCAACTTTCCATTCGAATCTCGTTGTTGATGGGATTGATTCGAAGTGTAAGACACAGGTTGGCATTTCCATCGTTGGGACTCAGCCAGTAGCGAACATCCGAATTCAGTTTCTTATCATCTTCTGTGACCGCCACTTCAAGAGCAACTGTGGGCATTCTGGTCTTAACATGAGCAGATGAACGGGGTGTCCTTGTGGGACACCAACTGTAGTCAGGCTCCTTGCCTCTGGTGCTTTCTTTACCTGTGATTCTCGGTCTAGGAAAGCCTTGAATAGCCTTATCGAGTCCCATTGGCAGAAGCTTCTCTATTATTAGGAGATTAATTTCGTGGACAGCGGCGGCGTGGGTTCGAAAAGATAATTTGAAAAGGATCAACCCTTCAGTGATATCAAAGGACGAAATAGAATAGGTTTCAACCGACTTGATAATACTCTCGATCGACTTTTTTCCGGAGCGAAGAAGGAAGTATGCTGTTCTTTCCGAGAACTCAGAGTCAAGGAGATTGTTCAGCTGATGCTCTCCGTCGTAAGAAAATGTTTTTGTAAATGGAACCAGATCGTTTAGAAAACTATGATCAAGAATATCCATTTCGCAAACATCAGCGTCATCCCATTGGTGGCTTATTCTGGTCATCTTGAAAATAGCACTGACAATAATTGCAAGATTGAATTTGTGTCAGAGAATCATAGCCACGACGATGTAAGTAGGGTGATGTAACTAAGTAGGGATAACTAAGTAGAGTGATGTAAGTAGGCCGTCCCTCATAATGACGACCTTATAGTCTTGAATTATACATTCCTTTTACCTTGCTCTCACCTTGCTCTCACCCTCCTCTTATCCTCCTCTCAATTTTTATACCATTTTCTTACCTTTCGTCTACACGGCGCTAAACACACCCAGGGACACTTACTCAGACTATAATAGGCTCCCGAGGTTGTGTGTACTGAATCCAGCGAACTGCCATGCCAGTTAGAGGCAAAGCTCGCAAACTTGGCTTGACCTATCATATATTCTAAGCTCCTTTTTAGGAGGGAATCTGGCAAAGGTTCAGCAAAAGCAAACCCTGTCAACTAGAGTATTATAGCTGCCAAACTGGCAAAGGTAGAATCTTAGCTTGCCTGTCCCTATACCCCAAGGGAGGCTAAGAGCCGGCGGCATATACCGCCAGCCCCCCTGGATGTTAATTAATACTACAACTATTACTACTACTACAGCATGGCAAATTGACTTTAATTTCGCATTTTAAGGCGGAGGCCGTAGTCCTCGAGACCAATAGGAATGCGCGCAAGGGTCGAGTCTACCCCGCAGACTCGATTTATTATACAACGAAAACTCAGCCGGGCAAGGCTCTAGGGCTATCACGTCGGTAAGGGTAAGAAGGATAAAAATTAGGCGATGTAACCAGTCCGATGAATTACTAGTAAAGGGGAAAAAAAAACTAGTCCACTGATACCTCTCAATAGCAACGGCTATCGCCTGGCAGGAGAACAGCGTCCAATCGGTCCGCATTCATAAAATCGACCCCCACCGCCCTTCAGCTTATCTTCGCTTTGCATCGGCTTCCCAGGCCCCATAGCTGCTCGCCCACAGCACTTCTAGCCCAGCATGGGACAAGTCCCCAACAGCTCGGGCCATGATTCCGAAAAGTCCCCATCTCTTACCCCGCAGCACAGGCGCGGCTACCAGGCTTGCGATCCTTGCCGCAAGCGAAAAGTCAAGTGCGATCTGGGCAGTACGATTCCCCTCTCCGATCCGACAACTCAAGGCTAATCCTACATGCCCATGCAGGTGTCGATAATCCACGGCCCCCGCCATGCGTGCGATGCCGGCGAGAAAGTAAGCGATGTGAATTTTCAGCCACTCGTCGCAAGCGCAAAACCTCCGAGCAGCCTGAAGAGGGCGAACATGAGGCCCAAGAAGCCGTTCTTCACCGCGACAAGCGGATGATGATCGGCGAGGTCCCCAAGAAAGAGAATCTGCCTGAGGCTTCCCCGTTCCTTCCATCCGAGCCAGCTTTCCAGTCCGAAAGCTTGCGCGTGAGACAGCGCTGGTCCGAGCAGCAGCAGCAACAACAATTTGCTGCGGCCTCCAATGCTCTGCCATCGGTGCGATCCTTGCAAAATGCCCCGGCGGCCTCGTCTGCGAGACATATTATGGAAGCGAGGCATCAGCGATTGCCTTCATACCAGACCAATGAGAGAAGCACGGCAGCTGGCTATGGAGGCCAGCCGATGATGAATCGCACGGCGGTTGAACTGCTTTCTCCAGCTATCACAAATACCCACGACGCTTTGCACTTGCTGTCCGAAGCCGCTGGTCGGACGGAGGATCTGAACCGATATGCCGCAAGACAATCTGTCTCGTCTTTTAACTCGGGCCCGTCACCTCTGGCGCACGGAAGTTCTCCAGGAATATTAGCGGGTCCTTTGTCCGGACTCCTCGATCCGGTGCGTCAGGGAATGGAATATACCAGGGTACAGGAATGGGTGCTGGGGATCCCTAATGTCTCCCAAGAAAGTCGTCCCCATGAAGGCCCAACGAACCAGCAAGACCCAGGATACATTGATGCAGTACGAGCATGGTCAAGACTGCGTTTCGTACGGGCAGGATGGATGACGGTCCAGGAAGGAATGGATTATGTGGCATATTACTATGAGAATCTGGCGCCCATGAGCCCTGTGGTGACGCCCGATTACTCGCATCCCTCGAAGCATCGCACGTTACTTACCGAAGAGCCTGTGTTAGCGGTGACCATCCTCACAATCGCCTCTCGCCATCTGAAACCCAAGGGAGATGGGGCTAGCACCCGCGCTTTCTACATCCACGATCGGCTCTGGTCATACTTGCGAGGCATGATCGAACGGCTTTTCTGGGGCCAGGAGAAATTCGATGCTAGCGCCCCAGGGATGAGCAGGCCGCGTGCGTTAGACTTGGCCTCGACTTCAGGAAGACCCCTCGCGAAAGGGAATCTAAGAGCATTGGGTACGGTTGAAGCTTTACTTATCCTTACCGATTGGCATCCTCGGAACCTGCACTTCCCACCCGGCGATGATGAGAATGCATTATTGGACACAGATGCCCACCCACACAGTCGCCTTGACCTCGACAATGATATTGATTCATCGGGCACTAAAGGACCAAATTCCTCTCCCGAAGGTAGACTTGCATTCCAGAAATGGCTGGAGCCTGCTTGGAGATCTGACAGGATGTCATGGATGCTTTTGAGCACTGCGCAAGCTCTTGCATTTGAGCTTGGCGTATTTGATCAGAAATTGGAGCAAAAGGGCCCCCTTGAGTCTCCATCTGAACAGTTCCGAAAACGCCGACTCCGCAGATTGATCCTTATCTTTATTACGCAAAGCAGTGGCCGACTTGGAATCCCATCTATGCTTCCTTTACCGGAATGGAGTGAGGAGGCGCCATTGACCAGTGGGCCGAAAGACCTGCCTTCGGACCATGATAAGATGCAAGATTGTTGGATGGGCATTTCAAAGCTTGTCTACCAAGCGAACCACCAGCTTTTCGCGTCGGTCGAGCAAACCTCTGAGTTGATCAAGAGTCGAAGGTACATGGAACAGATCGATTGGTTCCAGCCGCAACTACGAGAGTTCAGGCAGAACCTGGATCGGGTAAACAGTGAGTCCAAGTCTAATACAGTACCCCGAGCTTGGCGCTAATTGTAATCAGTGTCTCCGGCTATGCGAAGTATTCTGACGATTGAATACGAATACACAAGTAAGCGTGAGTCTCGACATTGGATCGAACAGTACTGATCATTCCTAGGGTTATACGTCAATTCTCTTGCGCTCCAAGCTGTTGTTGATCGGTGGACCAACATGTCCAGCAACGAGTCTGCCCAATCCCAGCCAAATCAGGCAAACACAGGGCCGTCACCTGGTAGCACTGGTTGGTTCCGTACTTTGATGGAGCTTTACCGGGTCAATGAACCGTACATACAGGAGGTTGTAGACGCTTCACGTCGCATCCTACAGGTTGTTCTAGAAGGTCTCGTGCCGGGGGGTCGCTTGAAGCATGCCCCTATTAGAACGTTCTTCCGGATCCTGTCGGGAATGATCTTCATCCTGAAGGTAAGCAGAATATCGACAATTCCAGACCTCACTGTGCAAACTACTAATCATCTCCTGCAGACATTCACCCTCGGAGCTCAAGAGGACGATGTGCGAGTCTCATTAGATTTGCAAGACCGGACTGTGGATGCCTTGCGCACCTTTGTGGTTGACGACGTGCACATCAGTAACACCGTTGCTCGCTTGCTGGAACTTTTGACTAATAGCATCCGCACGCGATTCTTGCGGTTCGCACCCCATGACCGCGGCGCCGACGGCGATGGGCAAGACCGAGGCTCCGCTTCTGCCTCGCGAGCACACTCGCCCGCTCGCGATAATATTGCGGGTCGGCGTGCTGGTTCACAAGCATCCTGGGGACCAGGCTCGGGCCAGGATGCAACTTCAAGCGGCAACGATTTGGGACTTTTGGAGAACAACGGGGCCAGCGGACATCCGTCGATCGGGTCAGGCCATGATCCGCTCGCCAATATTCCTGCGCAGCCGATTAACTCCTCCAATTTGAACGTTTCGTTTATGCCGCCTCCTCCGTCTGTGTATTACAATTATTATGATTCAAACTCAACTGTGCCGGCCAATGAGCTTGAACGGTCGTCGTCGGATCATCTGATGTCTTCGCATGCCGTTGGAGATAGTAACGGGGGTAACACGTCACTGCCAGATTGGTTTGCCCTACCGCTGGATCAATTCTTCAACAGCTCCACTGCCGTCGTTGACCAGGGTCTGGGTGGAACCGGGCCCATGCTGGGGGAGTTTGACATGCTAGAAGTATTACTCAACGAAGGCTTTGACGGCAACACGAACGGCGATGGGGAATCTGGAGGCGGGGGGGCTAGCATCTCAGTTCCTTCCATAATCTCCAGGGACGGTTTACGACCTTAGAATCTGATGTGCGCGCTGTTGCTTGTGGAGGGCTTGACTCTATGATGTATTTACTGTTTTTTTATCTCGTTGACGCTATATACCCCCACCCTTTGTGGCCATTGTACGAGGCGTATTTTCTGCATTTCTTCATCTTAAGAGTGAATCTTATTTCCTAGCTCTTAATCTGACTGAAACAAGACCTAGCGTAGACCTCTGGGCCTATCACCTGCCCGTTCGGTACATCCGACACACCAGGCTTATTCCTCTTCTAGCTTAGTAGCTTTTGTCTCCTTGGATTCCCCGAACATTCTTCGCTGCAGGCTTCGAGATGAAAGGAACGCCGGCCCAGCTCCGGTCTCCGTCGGGCCTCAAGACTGCGGGGCCCGCTTTCGCCTGCCCTAGATAGATGATACTTTTTTCACATGCTGCAGATTTGCTTCTGTTGGTCTCCCTGTGTCGTTTTAACCTCCAGAATAAGGCCCACGGGTGGCTTGGCCTGCAGGTCGTTTTACATAATGACTATGCCCTTCCGGGACCAGTGTCAACTGTCAAACGGCCCTAGCCCATAGCAATGATGTCGATGAGACCGCATTAGGATTTTGACGAGCTCATTGTGTGTGATCGCATCCTTCCCTATCGCAATGCTCATATTGCTCATGCAGTTCGTGATGACTGCAGGGCTGCGGCATGGCGCTGATGGCGGTTCCGGCTCGAGGCTTATGCTATTTTGGGCTGGTCTGCCTGTCGATCTGGATGATCAGGCCCTCCCAGAGAGACCGAATCCTCAACAGAGACCGAGTCGGACCTTGCGTTGGTTTCTATATCGTGTTTCGTACCCTTGGAGAAGTTCTAGTATTTCGTATAGAGACTACATCTCGACATATTTCGGGCATTATCTATGAGCGCAATTTATTCTTTCCAATTGATGTCAAAAGCGGCACTATAAGGCTATTGGTGTCTATTAATCAAAAAATTAAGTTCCTCATATCATATAGTCTTTATCTCGTCCATGAAAAGCAAAATATGGGGTTGACCATTTATGCGCAATAACCTATCTGGGTAAGCGAATCCTGGAGAGGATTCTGTCGCGTCGCAGTGAGCCTTGCCCCCCTCCCTCCCCCGTAATCGTGCAGGAATGGTCAGTGGATTAACTGTGACAAGCATATCTTGGCACCTATCACAGGTAGAGCGTGCCGCACGATCGAAGCCGTGTAAATCATGGGACTTGCGTGCAGAGTGTGGAGCCCAGCTGGAGGCGGGAAGATCTGCCCCCGGTTCGGTGGTGTGTTGGTGACGATCGTCGCCCCGAAGGATCAATGGTCCCCGGAAACCTCTGGAGCCCATACGATTAGGATGCGGTTTGCGGGAGAACAGGCCGTCAAGGGTCACATCGCCTCCGAGATGATCACGGATGAGCAGGGCAATCGGCAGGCGTTCGTCTAAGATGGCCGATCGTGGATTTTTTCCGATGCAGGGACCAACGCGCAGATGATCTCAGGGCGGACTCCGAGCGGGCTTAATCTGTCTGCATCATGATTGAATATCGATCATATTCAAAGCTATCGCGTTAGATGAGCAGTGCTGAAGTCGGGTGGGCCTAGACCAGAATGCAGGTGTTGGACACTTGAAACACGCCTGTCGACTGACAGGACAGGGGGTCTGGACCCCCGTCGCTAGTTACAGATTGTATACTGGAGGCAGGTTGGCTGTTGCGGACTCGAGCTACTGCTTCAGCAGCGATTTCTCGGGGCCAATCAGCATTCGCCCCCCCTGGGGGCGAAGCGATCGGTCTTTTTCAGGCACAATCCAGCGAATGCTACCTTGAACAAATCAACAAGACGGTAGAGGGCGATAGGGAACGGGCGCAAGGCCAGGATTCATCTGGTTCTGGAAGGGATTGGCTGTACAACCCCGATAAATGGGAGATGATCAACAGGGGACTCCATCCACTAACAATGCATCACTTCAATCCGCCCCCCGAGAGAGTTCTCCGCCAACTCTGGTTCGTCCGTTTCGCGCGATTGGGCTGGTCCCTGGTCATTCACCAAACCCCCCACAGCCCCACAACACCGATGATTCCATGGACTCTCACATCCACGCCCAAGTACGCAGTAGAGGCACTGACGCCCTGCGCGGCCCCTGTATGGGGATCGACAAGGCAGCACCGAATCGATGGCCAATTCTTGACCAACTTCGTGCTAGCTTAACCACGGACTTCGCCGTTCTGGAACGTAGATGCAGGAGGCCGTTGCATTGGAAGCCTCTCCCCCCGCCTTCGTCTCTGATCTAGTGCTATCAGACCCTCATCACCTAATCCCTCACGAGAGGTCGTTCCCCCTCTCTGTTTGGTTACCTCCTTCAAATTGCCCTGGAGGTGGAGACCCCGTCGGTCAACTCTGGCTGGCCGATGGACTCCGTGACGATCTCAAGGTTTTATGGGTCCCCAGGCCTACAGCAGCCTGGATCGGCGCCGGGAGCTGCCAGGAAAAGCAACTCTGCCCTCCTGAATCTTTAGATGATGGTGAGAGCAGGGACCACTTGGGCTCCAGTCTTTGGAGCACAAGGCGAAACCTTCGTTGGAGGGTATAAAGCAGCTGTGGTCGCCTGTCGACTTGTGTTCTCCATCCACCATCAATCTTTACTTCACTCTCTTTCTTCGAAAGTCATTCTTTGAATTGTCACCATGGTCGTGTTCAGCAAATTCACCGTTGCCATTGCCGGCCTGGCTTCCATGGCCGAGGCTGTCCCTACTCGCAAGCAGTTCTCCGTCAACCAGATCGCTGTCCCTGCTACCCGCACCAAGAGCTTCCACAGCGCTTACGCTCAAGCCCTGAGCAAGTACGGTGGTGAGGTCCCCACTGCTGTTAAGGCTGCTACCGCTGCCAGCGGCTCTGCTACCACCACCCCCGACAACAACGATGAGGAGTACCTGACCCCCGTCAACGTTGGTGGAACTACCATGAACCTGGACTTCGACACTGGCTCCGCCGATCTGTGGGTCTTCTCTTCTGAGCTCCCCGCCAACGAGCAGGCTGGCCACGCCATCTACCAGGCCAACAACGGCACCAAGCTCGCCGGTGCTACCTGGTCCATCTCCTACGGTGATGGCTCCTCTGCCAGCGGTGACGTCTACAAGGACACCGTCAAGGTCGGCGCCGTCACTGCCTCTGGCCAGGCTGTCGAGGCTGCCTCCAAGATCTCCCAGCAGTTCGTCCAGAACCAGAACAACGACGGTCTCTTGGGTCTTGCGTTCAGCTCCATCAACACTGTCAAGCCCAAGCCGCAGACTACCTTCTTCGACACCGTCAAGTCCCAGCTGGCTTCCCCCATCTTCGCTGTTGCTCTGAAGCACAACGCCCCCGGTGTCTACGACTTCGGTTTCGCTGACTCCTCCAAGTACACCGGCTCGCTCGCCTACACCGATGTCGACAACTCGCAGGGTTTCTGGGAGTTCACCGCTGACTCCTACAAGATTGGCTCCACCGCCGGCTCCGGCAACCTGAAGGGCATTGCTGACACCGGCACCACCCTCCTGCTCCTCGATGATGACGTTGTCTCGGCCTACTACCAGCAGGTTGAGGGTGCTCAGAACGACCAGTCCGCCGGTGGCTACACCTTCGACTGCTCTACCAAGCTCCCCGACTTCACCGTCACCATCTCCGGCTACGACGCCGTTGTCCCCGGTGACCTGATCAACTACGCCCCCGCTTCCCAGGGCAGCTCCACCTGCCTCGGTGGTATCCAGAGCAACACCGGCGTTGGCTTCTCCATCTTCGGTGACATCTTCCTGAAGAGCCAGTACGTTGTCTTCGACTCCAACGGCCCCCGCCTTGGTTTCGCCGCCCAGAAATAGACGGTGAACGACCGACTGCAAACGACCAGGATGTGACTTTCCACTCATTACGTTTTTCCGGGAAGTTTGAATGGTGTGTTCTTTTATTGATGTATAAGTGAAGATTGTGGCTAGCAGGCTAGCAGGACTGGGTTTTGAACATTCAGCCCTAGTCAGGTCCTGGCCGGCTTGGCTTGTACATGGTGTATATGATAGTGCGTGCCGTATATAATCCAATCAACGCATTGCTCGAAAATATTTCTGTCCAGATTTCGTAGGCACTATCCTTTCTCGTCCTTGATTCCAAGTGGTAGTAGTCTGAATTCGCTACTCTCATATCTCCAAGTCTTGTGCATTTGCCTATACAGCTCCCTCTTTCCTGGAACCTATTCGCCTACTCTTCTGGGCTCTTGTCCTTTTTATTGAACTCCTAGTAGCCCTGATTTGCTCATTATAACCACCTCTCTCCTGTGGTATATATTCGCACCGTGACAGGAGCCAGAGTATATATCGGCCGTACTACAAGGTTGTACCGCGACCTTCATCCCAGTACCTCGGTATTATCCGTGTCTACGATCTGACGGCCTCCAAGTTCCTGGTCTATACAGCTTCAAATCCAACAGAAACGAGCCTCTGCCTAGCGCAAATGATCGCAGAAACGGTAATCATAAGGCCAAAGCGGACACCTGGGCGAACCTTGTTCGATGCTTTCGATCCTTTTCAACTTCTATGTACAAAAGTATTTGGTTTGTTCTACTTTGCATTTGAGCCTACAACACAAGAACCCAAATTATGGCATAACTGATTACTAGCCAAATCTGCCCCCAGATATTCCCCGAACGGTTAAATGTATCTGAAAAGGCACTAGACATCACTGGCAGTTGCCTGAGATTGGTCTTCTTGTATTCCATGAAGCGATAGCACAGGCAGTCCATGCGTCTGGTTGGGTGGAATATATTGACAAGATTATACAGGATCGTGAGACTATAGCGACCTTTGTAGCGGACGGAAAGACCGATGCTCAGGCCTTATCGTCTTCAATTATCTTCAAGTTGGGCGGACCTTTTCCGTAGTAGAAGCATCTTTGTTGTGCTATTGCCAACGACATCTGTTCCTCGTGAGGCTAAAGAATACTTCGTCCGATTACGGGTGGAGCCAAGAATGCCCAGACCGACGGGTGGCGGATCTTTCTTGCGATCCGCCAAGTCCCCCAGAAACCCCAGACACCTTTGGGCACTCGAACTCCATCCTACACGGTTTTGTTTTGGCCCAGGAGTCCCAGAAGATTCTTGCTGGCGCAGATCACTCGAGCCGATCACTCGACCTTCCACCCTTGGTCTCCGCGGACATATCGACTCCCCCTCGCCCCCTCTCCGCTACGACCGTCCCCTGTCTGCCTAATTGACACTGGTGAACATCTGAGAATGGCCGCTGCTTGACGCATCACAGCGGAGCAGTATATGCCAAGTAAACGTGAAAGGAAGCCGAGAGGTCGCTGTATGGGCTTGCAGCGGACCGTCAGAGCCTAGAGTGCTTGACCATGGCAGATGCGACGAGGGTGAGGCCGCGTCAAATTTGGGCGGACCCTACTACGACGACTACGCATACGTATCTTCCCGGCTGCACCCCGATTTTACTGAGTAGTGATGGTACGTTTGCCCCGTCACTACCCCGTTCGATCCTTTGGACCCTGGGGGTCGAATAAGGCCAATCAAACTAACACTTTGTCGGGCAATAGGTGTGATTCATGTAAATCAGTCTTTTTCCTTGACACTCGCCGAGAACGCTGTGTTCGAACCGACCTGCACAGGCGACCCGTCGGACTATACCCATACCTCTGCCGTTCTCGACACGCGTGACCCGTTCTATTCCTCCGTTACGCCGCAACTGTACGCTATCGGGTGCTGTACAGTTGTCAGTTATATCCTCGTGATAATCCTCCTCATTACACCACGCACATTCTACGTCGGCGGCCCCGGTGGCGGTGCAAACTTTTTGAGTCGCCATGGTATGATCAGCAGTTCGTATAGCGGAAACTCGTCAGTGGTGGGCGTTGGTGGGCGGCCATGGCTGCAGAAGGTGGCCGCGATAGGCGTTGCAATATCGCTCACGATTGCGACCGCAGACTCTTTCAAAGTTGCCAAGAATCAATATGAATATGGATTCTCAGATGCCGAGGCCCTCTCCCAACAGGTCATTGATGGTCGAGAGATCAGGATTGTCCGGATCATATCGCAAACTTTCCTCTGGCTGGCCCAGGTTCAGACATTGATCAGACTGTTCCCGCGGCATAAGGAGAAGGTTATGATCAAATGGGCTGGGTTTGCGCTGGTCGTGTTGGATACCCTGTTTAGTATTTTGGAAAATTTCTGGTACCAGAGCACGTCTACTCGACCCAGATCTTATGATGATGCTGTTTCGGCACTGAGCTACTTGTTTGAGTTGGCTCTGAACTTGTTGTATGCGGCATGGGTGATATTCTACTCCATTTCGAAGCATCGCTATGCGTTCTTCCATCCGAAAATGCGCAATATCTGTTTCGTGGCACTTTTGTCCCTGGTTGCAATATTGATACCGGTCGTGTTTTTTGTCATGGACATTGCGAGACCGGAAATCGCTGGCTGGGGAACCTATATCAGATGGGTAGGATCAGCGGCTGCAAGCGTGGTGGTATGGGAATGGGTGGAACGCATCGAAGCTCTCGAACGCGACGAAACCAAGGATGGAATCCTTGGTCGTGAGATATTTGATGGCGACGAAATGCTTGACAACACCCCATCCGAAGAAGTTGACTGGCCACGATATTCCTCTCATGGCTCCGATGGCGGAAGTGGAAACGGCGCGTCTTCAGGATGGGGTGGCGTAATGGGTCTCGCCCACCGTCCTTTACGAACACGAGTGGGAATCTCTCGTGACGGCGGCAATCGTGGTCTGAACAGTTTATTACATCCATCAAATGATGCCGCAGCACCCCGGCGTCAATCTCACTCCCGCCCTACGCCGCCTCCCAACGTTATCACTCCAGTGAGCCGCGCAGACACGAACAGTGCCGCTAGTACGGTGTACAATGTTCGATACCATCCGGTGGCCAGCCCCACGCCACCTGTGCCCATGCCGCATATGGAGGAAGAGGACGAGATAGAAGAAGAGAAAGAAATAGAGGTCGAGGCAATGCATGCTGGGGGTAGTATTGCGCAAACTCTCTCTCCCAACGATTCCCGAGAGCAATCACCCCAAATCGTTCAAACCGACCCTCGTTGGCGAACTTTGTTGAACCCATTCAAGCGAAGGCGTGCATCGCTTCCCAAAGAAGTTGCGTCTGCGCAGGCTGGCGAGGAGGCAGTTAACGGCGAGGCCAACTATATGTCGGGCGACGAGCAGGGGCAGGAGCGCAGCCGCCCCGCTACTCAAGTTCGAGGCAATCACCCCTTCTTTTCGCTTCATCGCAAGGGGCCTTCTGCTGCGGAGGCTGGCGACGCCTCTCTGCCGGTCACTGTGATCCCTGCTCGAACCCGCAGCCACCACACATGGACGCAACAAAACCAGCTCTTGGAATCAGCTAGCAATTTACAGTCCCGATCAGGTCCAGCCGTCCAGTCAGGCCGCACTCGCCGATTTGGTCGGTCTGACCGCGGCAACCTCCCCGTTCAGGTCATTCCCCTCCCAACCGTCTTCATCCGCTCCATGGACTGACGCAGACATGGATAATGGACACGGAGATTATGTTCTTCGCTATGACCCAGAGTCTGCGGCTCTTGTCAGCGAGCGGGTAACCAATAACAATTCTCGCGAGGGGCCTTCTATTCCCTCCGACCAGGCTAGGTGGTCCGTATCATCTGCATCGGAGATCAGGAGCGAAGAAGGGGTTACTGCGCCGGGCGAAGCAGTACCACGGGATGAATCACATACTTCTCAACGTCCTGATCATAGTCAGTATTCTTGATATCCAACCGAATTCCATCTGATTGGGAGATTTCAGTTTGCATTATGTCATAATAGGAGAGCTGGCGTCTTGAATTGGCTTTTCTTTTCTTTTCTTTTCTTTTTTCTTTTTTCTTTTGGGAAAGGATGGGATTGGGGATCTATCCATTCCCTGCTGAAGATACCCGAGGATACTGGATCAATGTTTATATAAAATTAGCCGAACATAACATAATAGGCCTTCATGGAAATTCTTGATCTTGGGTCTCTCCTTGTGGAGCACCGGGGTAGATGCCACTAGAGCAGGCGAAGATCGTCCTCGGATTTGGCGGTCGCTTACTGGTTGGAGTGGAGCCTTGCTCGGAGTCTTTCAGCTCCGAGCACATTGATAATCCATCATCCCCAAATCGAAGAATTCGAGGGGAAAGCTGTCCATGTTGTGGCTCCTTGTCGCATCATGGCGGCCGTAAATCAGAATATGCTGGATGCCGGCGTCATCTTTGAACGGCCACGCGGTGCCTCGTTGTTGGTGCTGCCGTTGAATCTGATCGCCCAGATCGTGTCAAATGTAAGCCCAACCCCCCCCCGCTGGAAGCGAAATGAAGAACTGACGAACGCGGGAGGAACATTCAGGTCGAAGATGTCGGCGACCTAGCAAGACTATGTCGCACATGTCGTGTGCTTAATTACATGTCGCTCCCCCAGCTCTATCGCAGCTTGACCCTCATCTCCTACGACAAAATTCGTTATCGCAATGAACGGCCGGAGGGAATCGGAAGTGCCAGCCCGTTCACCATGGGGCTGAACACAGTAATTACTCGCCCATCCGCGACCTTAATCCGATCTATTACATTGAAAGGAGAATGGAAAGCGCACGACTTGGAGGAACATGCTCTTGTCGGGCGAGTCCCGGACTCGTCAATGCTGTTGAACATTGCGGTGCGGGCGGCGGTGGATCGCATGGCTAACTTAGAGAGCTTCAGCTGGGAACTCAACACCAAGATGCTCGACATCGTTTATGCGGGACTGGCTCAGTTGCCTCGACTATATTCGTTGACGGTTCGGTTCGCTAACAGTCGGCACCCACAGCCAACGTGCGTACTTCCGCCGATGCCACATTTGCGGGCCCTGAAGATCACCGACATAGACCCGTTGTGTTACCCCGACGATATTGCCACGTTGCTTTTGAAAAGCAGAAAACTGCAGGCGTTAAAGCTTCACTGGTCCCCGCGTATGCGAATCGCCCAAGAGCCGAGCGTCTCGCCGCATGATTATTTTCGAAAATGCATTTCCGCGAAACAGCCTCTCGCGGTCAAACAGCTTTCGTTCCAGAATTTATACGCTTTTCATAGTGAAGAATTCAATTTGGCCTTCGATCCGACTACGGTCGAGGATGTCACCTTCTTGAGTGGAAGCGACTACCTGGGTCTGGCAAACAGCTTCGTGGAGCTTAGCTGGCCGGTTGCGCCTCCACATAAGCATTTGAAAATCAAGTCGATGCGGATAGACGCGATCACAAAGCGCAACGCAGACTTCTTATCAAACTTCAAAGGTCTGGAGCGTTTTTACATCGTCAACGTCACGTCCGAAGGAGCGGACAGTTTGAACTCAGTACGGTCAGACCCGTCAGCCTCATCCGCTTTGACGCCTCCATTGTCTGAACATCAGAATCAAACCATTCCTAATGCGGGGTCTGAAAACTCCCCTGCAGCGTCCGGTTCCCCTGCTAGTCAATTAAGTGCTGGCCTAGGGGTACAAAATAGCTACCTCGCAAGCATCACCCTAAACCACGGTGCATCATTACGTCATCTTCTTCTCTCCTCCAAATGGCCTCTCTCTAACCGTGCGATTGCACGCCTTGTGCATTCGTGCCCTAACCTGGAGCAATTGGCCCTCGCCACCGAGTTCCATAGCATGGAAACCCTCGGCCTCCTCGCCCCGTTCCTTCGCAAACTCGTTGCACTCCGCCTTCTTATCCCTGCCGGGACACCTCCCCAAGCAGTCACCAAGCCGTACCATCGTCTGTTCGTCCGGTTTACGCGGATACTCAGTTGTTCGATATCATGAAACGCTCTATGTGCGATGAAGAACACATCGCACTCGCCAAAGAAGCTATAGAGACGGTGAATAATGCTCGCAACCTGGCCGAGCTCGTGGACGTTGACGACGAAGCCTTCATGACGCTCATGGGTTACGACATGGCAGACGAGCGAATTTGCGGAAGCCTCAAGATAGTCGGAATGGGCTGGAAGGCATTTGAGCTGCGTGAAATTTACAAACAGCCCCTCATGCCCGCGGACGAAGATGAGCTCGATACCCCAGTAGAAGGCCAGAATTTCGGTCGTCCCCATCTTCCCGCTTCCGCATCTCAATCTCCCGCTCTCAACGCCAATGGCTTCGATGTTCCCCGTGCCCCCGGATCTGTGTCTGTATCGGGGACTCCAGTCCCAGCCTCAACGCTCGGTAAGCGAAACCGAGATGATGACAGCGACTCTACCGACAGACAAACCGTTCCACCTGAGTCCGCGAGGGTCGAATTCCGCACAATGAAATGCGCCGAGCCCGTAGTCACGGATGATGGGTACGTCCTCAAGCGTCACATGCGGCGAGTTGGGTGGGAGACACTTAAGCATTGGGAGATCTGGGCACTGGATGAGCAGGACATTTGAGTACCGGTTGAACAAAATTTCTAATTTCTGATCATTTTTTACCCCCCTTCCGGCGATCGTCTGATGTATATATATGATGGCGGCAGAGGAGTTGGGATATTCGGGCTAGAATCTTGCGAGCTTCTTCAAGTCCACCTTTTGGCTCCGAGGCTATGGCGTTTGGGCGCTTCTACCATACCAGATTGTGTCGTTTTTAGCTAGGTTGCAGCTGGGCGAACTACGGAATACCAATTAATGAATTGAACCTAGTATCAAGAGCCAAACCTGGAAACATCTTGTAGAGTCTCAACTGCCAGTGGTCAAGGTCTGTCAGCTGGCCGCCCGATCGGTATCATGGTATTACTGAAAGCCTACAAACGAGACTGCGTGAAACAAGCTGCGGCGAGGTGCTCCTTCTACTTCCTCGTAGAGCCAAAAATTTGCCAATGATGAAAATCTAGCTGCGCCTTTCTTGGAAAGTAGGCAGATTTAAACATCGACTATAACCAGGTCTATGATCCAGCTGGGGTAATACTGCTTTCTTTTCTTTTTTCTTCTTTTTTTTCGAACAGTAAGTGTACAATTCTGGGATGCGCAAGTGGACCAGTCGACGCAGCCGAAGAACGACTTCTGTCTATCACCGAAGACGGAGTTACAAATGGTCCGGAGAACGCGGTTTCTTGGACTCGGTCGAAGCCTGTGGAGGAGCCGAAGTACACTGATCGACTATTTCGTCTGGCTGGGAACCGTGTTGAATGCGGGAGACGGGACCGTATACCAAACCTCGCGATATCATTGACTACAATTTAGAGTAAGATAGATTCATTTTGTGGCTTGAAGTAACAGTTCCTTGTTGCGCCTGAGGCTTAATGTCTAGCATCTTCACGGCCCACGGGCCCCATCTAACTCCTTACATAGTCTGTGGAACATAGCTAATGGCAGCATGGCTAGAGTTTCAGCAGCATCATCTCCAGTATGCGGTCTATGATGATGGTCCTTCTCTCTCCGCTTTTCTTCACCATCTTGGGCTTTCGTCCAGATTATGGTCGCGATATTTAACGCGATGTCAACGTAAGAGTCCTATTCTGACTACTTTGAAACAGTTTACTATATGTTTGAGAGAAAAGTCCCAGTCTCGGTAATTTAGGCTGTTCCGTACTTTGTCCGGCAAAGGTGCCCCAAAGAACAGCCTGGCCTGTGCCGGAAATGTCGCTGTGATCGCTTATCAGTGAAGGTGCAGATCGGGTATGTTCTCCACCAGGTAAAATCCATGACGAGGCGATCGGGTCCGTTACGTGTATTCTTTGAAGGGAGCCACAAGGGACGAGTAAAGATAAACGCCTTTGCTGGAGAAAATGCCGACGGAAATATCCTCCTGGAATTTGAAGAATGCCAAGGAAGCAAACGTGTTGATTCACGTTCTGCTGTGACCCTCGAGAGATTCAAGATCCCACACCAGCGTAACATTAGGGTTTCCTGTTTGAGCCAGACCGGCAGAATTTTGGATGAATGGTGTTGGATTTCCGATGAACGCGCTTCTCATAGGATGCACCAAGCGCCTCTGCTGAAGGGTCCTGAGTCCTCTGTCCGGCCTGTCCGTAGTCGGTCGCATCAGGACGAGGGATTCCCTTTTCTTTGCAGATCAAATTTCGTTGATCGGCGACCGCGCTAATTACTATTTGCTCAGAATCCTCCTTTTCCCTTCCTTTATCTTCGCCCAGACGCAGGCAATTTTGCTCATGGCCTTCACGGTTGTCGACTCAAGAGACAATGTATATAGAACCTTGGAACGGCTTCCCTAAACGATTAATCGACCGTTTATTAGTGGGTATCCCGGATTCAAGTCGATTTAAGCTTCAGCTTGGCTTATCGGGGGCCCCGAGTATCGGCTCGCCACTGTCAGAACTTATTTGGCGCCGCTAATGATAGCGGCAGCTGAGATGGTCCTTCCGTGCCATTGACGGGTTGAACTTCAGGGTGCAGAGACTGACCAATCCGTAACCATTGCCAGTCGGGATTTAAGAAATCCAAGAAATTCTAGAAGGATTCGAGCATTAAACCCCTATTCCGCCCGTTCTCCATATCTCCGGGGGTCCAGGAATGCACGGCCTATTGCAGAACCTTTTAGCAGGGGCGATCAGGGCCGATTAGGGCCTACGAGCCCACCGAACCACTGCACGGGAGGCGGCCGCCAGCGTCATGCTCAATCTCCCGGCCGTAAAACTGGGCCCAACCGTGGGCTTGAGCAGACAAGGCCAAACCTGAAACGTCGAAGGCTCCACGCGTCGACGTGTACTCTTTCGGCGCAGCAAATGGCGCCACCAATCACTGCCGCCCGTGGTCACCGCCCGCGCTGATCACTCTTGCCCCTAAAATGTCCTGCGGTTTTGCATTTTTCTCCCCATCACTCTTCTACTCACCCATAGTCGCTCTTTTGCGGGTTCAACTACTTCACAATGGCAAACGGTCGCTCTTCTCAGGATGAACGCAAGCTCGAGGGCGGGAGCCAGGCTCCCCCCCCCGAGCCAGGGTCTGCACCCTGCCTTCTACATCATGTGTGTTACCCCTTCCGGCAATCCCTACTCGCAATCCTGCTAATAGTCCGCCAGTTTGTGGATTGGATTGAGTTCCAGCGTCATCCTGTTCAACAAGTGGGTTCTGTCCGCTGCCAAATTCAGTAAGTTTTGGGGATCTGCCGTTGAAATCGTGAAGCGCGCCTTGCTAACCTCTGCCGCTTCTAGACTTCCGTAAGTGTTTCCTCGAGCGCATTCGAAGATCCCTGTGCTTTTTGATTTTCCACGATTCTCTCGACGTAGAACTAATTCCTCGCCCTGTTCAGCCCTCTTCCTCACAACATGGCACATGGTGTTCGCGACCTTGGTGACCCAGATCATGGCCCGCACCACCAACCTCTTGGACTCCCGCCACAAGGTCCCGATGAACGCTAGCACGTATAGGTGAGTTCTCCCGCGCAATCCATGTTGAATCATGAAAAGGCGCCGCTAACACGACAGATCACAGCCGCGCTATCGTCCCCATCGGCATCATGTTCAGTTTGTCTCTGATTTGCGGTAATCTTGCCTACCTCTACCTCAGCGTTTCCTTCATCCAGATGCTGAAGGTAAGGAAAAACACCCTTGGAAACCTATGCCTCCGGCGCAACATACTGATAGCTCCATTCCAGGCCACCAACGCTGTCGTGACCCTCTTCGCCACCTGGGCTTTCGGAATTGCCCCGGCCAACTACAAGCAGCTGGGCAATGTTACCGTCATTGTCATTGGTGTCGTTATTGCCTCCTTCGGCGAGATCAAGTTCGACATGCTTGGTTTCCTGATCCAGGTCTCTGGTATCATCTTCGAGGCCCTCCGTCTGGTTATGGTTCAGCGCCTCCTCAGCTCCGCTGAGTTCAAGATGGATGCCATCGTCTCTCTCTACTACTACGCCCCGGCCTGTGCTGCCATTAACGGTGTCGTCACTCTCTTTACTGACGTTCCCCGCATGACTATGGGTGACATCTACGGTGTCGGCCTCATGACCCTTGTTGCTAATGCCATGGTTGCTTTCCTCCTTAACGTTTCCGTTGTTCTTCTTATCGGCAAGACCTCTGCCGTTGTTCTGACTATGGCGGGTATCCTGAAGGATATCCTGCTGGTTGCTGCCTCCATGATCATTTTCCGGGACCCTGTCACTGCTCAGCAGTTCTTCGGTTACTCTATCGCTCTGGGAGGTCTCACCTACTACAAGCTTGGAGCTGAGAAGATCCACAACTTGGCTACCGATGTCCGTCTCCAGATTGGCGAGTACCGTCGCACCAACCCTGCTTTGGCCAAGACTATTGCCATCGGTGCCGTCGTCAGCGTCATCTTGCTTGTCCTGTACAACGGCGCCCCCGCTCCCAAATTGACTACCTAAAGGCCCCAATGCCTAGTCACTCGTCGCCTCTCATGCTGCTATAAGCTCAATAGTACCCGCAACGGCAACGAGCACTGTGCCAAGATCAAGATCACGTATGACAACAACAGCTGCTGAACGCGTTCTTTTTATTTCTTCTCCACCTATGCTGTTCATTATACTTTTTGTTTTTTTTATTACCGTTTCGATAGATGGGAGCGGTTTCTTTACATCTCCAGCGCGGAGATTTGCATGTAAATTTGGGCGGGATAGAATGACGTCCGGTGGGATTCAAGGCGAACAACAATATTTCAGGCTGGGTGCCTCCATGTTCTAATGACTATTCCTTCATTCGCCTGGAGTCTCGAAATAGACCAATGGACATTTTTTAAAAGCCGATATTACGACGTGTGGATAATACTCTTGAGAATGATTCAATCCAGATGAACATTATCGGCTACGGTTCTTGTTTTGTTTGGCTCTGTGAGTTCGAGCCGGTCTGATATGGTTCGAATCAAGGGTGGCGAATGGTGGAAGATGGGGCTGAATGAGGGCTGAATGAGATGATGAACAGAATGACATGAACACCTGCACCTGCACCTCCAAATCAGACTTGCTGCACCGAGCGCACCGAAACGAGGCTGCACCATTTCCTACCATTTCCACTTATATCTCTATCATGCAAATTCATCTGGAGCTTCTGGCTTCTCGCGATGTTCAGCTTGAAGCTTACAGAGGGTTTCCATTCGCTGTTACCTCATCAATACACAAAACGTTGGGCGAAAGGTGTCCTTCCAAACTGTGTCGCGACGCCTCTCGATATTCTGTACGCAAGAAGAGGGACAAGAGGCCTCCTATGAAATGCCCTATGGAATGAAGCAGAAATTGAAGCGGATAAGGCCCTCAAACTATCGGACCTGAGGTTGCTTGCTGATTCCGGAAGCTTGTTCATGTCACGCTGTCGGATCAATACGAACTTGAACATCAAATGTTGAACTGAGACAATAAGAAATTTTGATCAAATAATAGAAGAACTTTGAAAACTAAAAAAGTCTAAGTAACCTAAAGTATCTGGAGGATACAGTCTTTGTAACTTCGCCGCTGGGAAGTATATCCTGCTGGATTGTAGTCCAAGTCAAAGCGAATGTTTTCCCAGAGTGTGTCTCCAGTCCCGGCTTTAGCCTTACTAACCCATAGATCATCACCGGCTCTCACTGCACATTGTGTTTTCAAAGTCAGTCCTCGGAGAGAGCAGATCATCTTCGGCGGAGCGCCAGTGGCCGAAGTGAAGAGCAGCGTGGCAGTGGGCGGTTGAATGGATAAAGCTCTGCTGTATCCAACACTCCAGGGGTCCTGGTCAGTGTAGGAACCGTTTCTTTCATCCATTTCTCGAAAATGCCCATTGATCCGGTCTGGAGTCCAGGCGTCGTAGTCCCTTTTCAGGCCGTCCGATATGTACTTTTTCATCACTTCATCCCCCAAGTTGTAGCCCAGCATGTGTTCTATGCCTATTAGTATTGAAGATGGCATAGTTACTATGGATTTCCTTATCGAGGATGAGGTATTCGGCGACGTCGTAAGTGTCGATACATTACAAATTCGTACTTAGTACTTAGTTCGCTTCTGAAATAGAATGTTGGTTCATACCTGTTCTTTAGCTGCTCATATCATCAAACGTCCGCACTAGTCGTGATATTGTTGCGAACTTCCCGTTCAAGGTCCTCTGGTGTATAGATTCTGTAGTTGTGCAATACTTCGTTCAGTTGTCTCTCGACCTTTGAAAAACCTCATCCATATGGTGTTTTAGCAGGTAAAAAACATGATTGCCACGGGCCGTACCTTGTTGCTTTCAGGGTTCTGAACTCTTGCTCGAAAACCTTGATTTGATTGTATATTTCTTCCGCTCGAGCTCTTCTCTTCGGACTGTCTGGGTAGAAGATGTTGCCCATGCTCATTCCTTGACCCATGATGTTGTGGTGGACAATGGGCTTGGTAGGATATTTTTTAAAAAATGATTTAGATCTGAACCCTATGTTCTATAATGTGGGGTCAAGATTCCTTGTTCACACCATCTGACAACGATGGATTCTTCAATTTCTTATCTGCCCAGAAACTGTGTTCTATCTGACAACAGTAGATGTCAGGTAAAATCTTGGTTAGAAAAGAAATTGTAGGACTATGATACTAGAATATCGACTCAGAAATCTACATATCGTGATGATAGTGCTTTTAGCTTCTACAATAGAAACGATGATCATTCGGCGGCCAACTGTAGAAGTACGTGTTGAAGTGGTAAGAAAGGAAGGCTACATCTATTCAATGGCTGGCCACTCTGCCTATGATCTTATCCTTTCGTACGATAGTAACAAAGCCAATAGAGTCTCTTCAAGATGTTACTCTTGATTTGCTCTACAGCGTCAGGCAAGATGGGCGCAGCGTTTCTGGCGAGATGTGAAGCCAATTATTCAAAAAGGGTCAGATAGGGGATAGGATACGACTGAGGGAGGCCGATACTACTACGAGTTCGGAGTGAAATAACTCGGTGGTAGCAAGATAATCACACTAATCGCTGACTATCTTATATATTGCGTGGTTTGTGTAGCGAGCGCCTTTTGTGGATCTAATTCGTACAAATAGGGGCGCCGAGCCTTCACTCGAGTTATCTCTGCGGCTCCCGCAGCGCCCTCGTGGCTTAACAAAGCGTATCGTGATACGAGACATGCTTCGAGGTATATTGCGGGGCAGAATTTGGTGGATGGCGGGTTGGGTCGCCTTATACTGGGCCGGCTAAACTCCGAGGATTGATAAGTGGGACTAGACTATAAGATGTGTTTAGGTTCGGTTTATTTTGGATTGCGCCAATAACTAACAATTGAGGTTTAGTAAGCTCAACCGATGGACCCATAAATATTTAGATGATTTCATCCCACGTAAGCCCTCCATAGAACAGTACTGGATGGAGATAGCGGTACTGGACGCCTCGCAGGCCCGCCTTCTTTTTTACACTTAAAAGAGCGTTTACTCTCTTCCCTGTACCCAACCGGCCTGTGTCTATACTTCCGTCTCAATCCCATCATCTGCAGACTGCGCATCTCGCGAAAATGTCCATCACCCACATAGTCCTTCTCCAACTCAAGCCGGATGTCGACCCCGCCGCCATCCAACAGGTACAGCTCACGTCCTGACATCGTTTTGCTTCTCATGAACTCAGTTGTATATGTAGGCCTCGATGCATTTCCTTTCATTGAAGGATACCTGCGTCAATCCCACCTCGAAGCAACCATACATCCTCAAGATCTCAGGAGGAAGTGACAACTCGCCCGAAGGGCTTCAGGTATGGGATGGCATGACTTTTCCTGGCAAACCACTAACCAAAATGGTAGGACGGCATATCCCACGCATTCGTTGTCGAATTCGCCAACGAGGCAGACCGAGATTACTACGTAAAGGAGGACCCGGCCCACCAGATGTTCAAGCAGCAAGTTGGTCCGCTCCTCCAAAAGATCCAAGTTATCGACTTTGCCCCCGAGTTGTTCGCAAAGGCCTACTCGAAGAGTCTTGCATAAGAGTCAAAAAAAAATGAAAACAATTTGATTGGCTAGACTGGTATTCCTAAGCGTAAATTCATAGCAACTTGATCATAATTCATATTCCTCTCTCAATGACCCTTCGGACGCACGGTAGAGAAGTTTTTTATCCAATTTAAGTAAAAGTCCGCTGGGACGCGCTGCGGTCCGAGTCCACCCGGGGATCGAGCTTGTTGCCAATGTTGGTGTCATGAGGCCCCGCGGTAGTCTGGCTTCTGGGGTTATTGTAGCTACTGCCAGCAGGCACTTCGTTGTAGCCCCCATGGCCGAGCTCGGGGCCCGTTGCGCGATAGGAGCCCTGCGCAGTATTGGCGCCATACGCCGCAGTTGATCCAGAGGTAGGATTAGTGTAATCCGTAGAGCTAGGAGCTTGGGTGTGACCGGTCACTGGGGCATCGTAGCCGGGAGGGGCACTGCCACCATGGCCCAGCGTGGAAGTGAGCTGGGGGTTTCCGGTTGTCGCATGGCCGGGTTGCGTACCGCGGTTTTGGACGCCTGAGCTCACGCGTGGGTCGACCATGTCGGACTCAAAATGCGGTTCGGCGGTCCGATGAGCAGGATTGGTGCTGTAGGGCCCGGTGGCTGCTTGCTGGTGGAAGTTGCCAGCATCGTAGGACTCTGCGGGGCGGTTGTAGGTGTTCGTGTCCACGCGCGGGTCCAGTTTATTGGCAAGGTTCGATTTGTGCGGAGGAATCTGGGGCTGGTCTTGAGTGCCGAAACGGGCATTTCCAGGCTGGCCAACGCGCGGGTCGAGCTTGTTGGCTAGCTCGGAGTTGTGAGGTCCCGTGGTCTGGGTCTGATTGGTGGTGAATTGGGTGTTGCCAGTCTGACCTTCCCGGAAATGACGGTTGTCTATATCCACTGTTAGTCTGGTTGTGACAAGCTTATTTGATGGTTGGCCATACCCAAATCATTCCCCAATCGTGGCTCGGCCGTGTTGGGGTGAGCAACGCTTGTGTTGTACGGCTCTGAAGTGCCACCAAGAGCCTCATGGCGGACTTGGGTGCCTGGAAGCCAGTGATGAGCAACTGAGGTCTGTTTGAAATAGTTGTGAACTCCTACCTGGAGTGCTGTCCACTCGTGGGTCCACCTTGTTGGCCACGTTGGAGTGGTGCGGTCCTTGGTTGGTAGTGTGGTCTGAGCTTGAATTGGAGGACAGGCCTTCCTTGAGACCAGTCAAGGCATCTTCTGTCTTCTTGACAATACCCATGATGAAGTATGTAGTAATGGAAGTAAATGTTTTTGTTGTTGTGGAGAAAAACTACTTCTACAGACCGTGGAGAAGGTCTTTATAAAGGCTTCTGGATTTCAATATCAGGCCCGTGGGACAAGAATGACGTCGTTGTAGGTACACAGGTACGCGTCGATCATTATACAATGCTTGCTACTCAGGAGCTCGTATATTGTCTTGGCTGATGCGTTCGTGAGCTGTGAATGGACTGTCGTGACATGGCCACTCATGAGAGCTTACATGCGAACCCCACATTTGCCACCACATGACCTGTTTTCCCGCCCCCCTTGGATCGTTTCTTGTCGCTACGCTCCAGTCAGAAACATTTCCCAATATAAATGAACTCAGCATTCCGTCATTCACCAGACATGTATCCCTATATTGGATCATTGACATATTCTACAATGCAGAGTGAGCCCATAGTGATCGCTGGGGCGTCATCCATGGATCCATGGAGATATGATTGTTTGTGGGGGTGTATTAAGAAATTATATTGAATATGGTACATTTAGCCTTGAAGCTGGTGAAAAGTGCTAGCAAGCATTTTACCTCACCAGGGTCGTAATGAATTCAAATAATCCAGCATCGGTCCATTCACACGTTTCAAAAGTAGAACTCACGAGTGCTTCCACAATTAGATCCCACAGAAAGACTAACTTGAAGCTTCTCAATAATCCAATAAATCGCCATACCCCTCGATATGAACACCGGCGATTGAAGACAAGATTCGAGGTTGTGGTGCTCAGCAAAAAAGTCCACGGTGCCTAGGGTAAACTAAGGTGGCCTTGATAAGCCCCTAGGCTAGCACCCGAGGGATGCATTGGATAGGATACAGTTTCTATATATCCTAGTTGTTCCCAAAAAAGCTGTAAGACTCGGTTCCAGCGGATAACCGAGTCAGGTTAATTCAAATATTCGAAGACGGAGAGCCCTATTCGAATTGCTGAGTACTGTACCGGTGTCCACCACGGAGCCTGATTCAATGGCAAGCTTGGCTAGTTTGGTAATCTCGTCGAGAGCTGTTGGGGCATCCCCTTCCACAATCCGGCCCTTAGCCGCATTGATGCTTGAATCTGTCGCTAGCAATGGGTAGCGAAATTGGAGACATCCGAATACGCTCATCAGGCGATCATTGATGGTGTTTGGCTGAGGCCCTCCGGGTCCACCGATAGAGCTGCGAGCCCCCTCCCCGTGCAGCATCAGGAGTCAATAAGGTCGCCACAATATAAGCTTTACTCTACAGCGCTACTTTTCCATGGGCTTCAGCTATATACCCATCTTCAGGCATTTACCCTCTAGTCGCATGCTCCAAAAATGGTGCGACTATTTGAAAGTCGACCATGTGCTCAATTTCGAGGCCGCTGAGAGCTTCGAAAACCTTTGTTTGTCATTTTAGCGGCAACGAAAAGGTTCTTTTTCGGCGATGGAGCATGGCAAGAACCAGGAACCAATTCAAACCATTTCCGAAGAACACCAAAGCTGGTGGAAGAGTCGATCAAATCTGCCATATTTCGATCCATAGGACATGCTTTTCATAGTGGCTTCGTTTGTACCGCTGTACAAGGCGACCCAAATGGTACCTGTGAAGGAGTTATTTCCTTGCACCGCCGCATTTTTCGGATGATCGATTTTGCCCTGTTAATGTCATCAGTGAAGGGGCGCTGTCGCTTTTACTCCATCCATTAGCACTCTCGTCGGCACTAGCGCAGAATCCTGGGAGCGTCTTGCAGAGGTCGGCGGTGCATAGAACTGGAGACGGCGGTTGCTTTTCGATAACGCGACACGCGATTTTCTTCTCATAATGTGGAGCGGGTGTATAATATGGTATCGAAAAAGAAAGGTGACGAAAAGACACCGCGGACTCAGTGCAATCTATAGATCGATACCCACGATCGCATGGCACGCCGCTAACTGAGTCTCCACAGTCGGCCGGTCGAATTCAACCTGTGTCGCATTGCGCTTGGCTTCCAAAACGGGTGGCAGACGCGATGGTGGCTTTGGGTAAGCCGGAGCAGATCACTTGGGAACATTTTCAACGTCACCATGCCGTATGTATGAAGTCACTAGTGAAGATCAATTTTCTCGACCGCCAACATTGGAAGAAAACCAGACGAGTATTGGACCCGCGTTGATCAGTGCTATACATCTCTCTAATCTTATTGTTTGTTGGAAGGGGAATGTCGCTGTTCACAAACTTTCTGTTGATGGAGGGTGTTCCAACTTCTGTCCTGTGCCTTGTTCCTCCTCTCTTCTTTCTCTTCAGGTATAGTACCCCAATACCGGTGCCTCCTACGATTTCTTAGTGGCTGTCACATTTCCGTCGACAGCTTCCAACCTGTAATCTAAATCTAAAGATAACAGCCAGTGATTGTATGAACTGAACCCCACCTGGGCAACTCCAGAGCCGAGAAAGGGTCCTATTTAGGCACGCTCTAATATGGCAGTATCAAGGGACTCGATATCATTTAAGCTCCCCTTTGCAGTGGGGCTAAAGTGTACAGTTAGATTCTCGGATAAATTTCCGGAAATTCTATGAGTCTCGCGAGGTTCATCTCCAACTTGAAGCTCTTTCAAAGGTCTTTGGAAAAATAATATCGCGTGGCGCAAGCGCAAAAGGAAGATCCAATATGAGCCAAGAAGACCCAATTACTGTCGACCAGGTCGAAGCTCTTGCTCGCAAGAAGCTCCCCCGCCAGGTTTACAATTACTACGCATGTGGCGCGGATGATGAAACAGCAGTCGCCAGGAACATCGCAGATTTCAATAGGTGTGACATGGCCCGAACCGCAAGAAGGAGAGAGGTACTAATCTACGTGTGAAGCCTTTATATTCTCCCCAGAATTCTGCGTGATGTATCAAGAATCGACCTGTCAGTTGAAGTCCTCGGTCGCCATTTCTCGCTTCCGATTGGGATTGCGCCCAGTGCTATGCAGAAATTAGCCAACCCCGAAGGCGAACTTGACGTTGCAAGGGCAGCTGCATCCACAGGAGTGAATATGACTCTCTCGTCAAACTCTACCACTTTGCTCGAAGACGTCATCTCCGTTAGGCAGAAAGGTGATACTGCTGCACCGTTCTGGTTCCAGATCTACCTGACTGCCGATCTAGAGCTAAGTGTTCCACTAATAAAAAGAGCGGAAAGTACGAATCTCCCCCAGAATGACCAAACACTAGAAAAATATTCTCTAACATAACAAAAAGCTGGGTACGAGGCGCTCGTCCTTACCGTGGATACTCCCGTCCTCGGGAACCGGATTAATGAGCGACAGCAACCACTCGTTCTTCCGACCGGGATCAGTCTCGAAAATCTCCCGCCAGTGAGAGAAGAAGACAAAGGGAAACCAAGCTTCAATCGCCGTCTGATGGATGCACGGACGGCGAAGCAAGCCAGCGAAGTACTACAAGAATACGGGGACAGGACCAATAATGCTGCTCTTACGTGGAAATCAGCCATTGATTTCCTTCGCCGAACCACCACGATGAAAATTATTCTCAAGGGGGTCCTCGCCCCCGAAGACGCTTTGCTTGCGATCGAGTATGGCGTTGATGCTATCGCTGTCTCGAACCATGGTGGTCGCCAGCTTGATTGCGTCCCGTCCACCATCAAAGCGTTACCCGACATCGCGTCGACTGTGAACCGCCGAATCCCGGTCATTTTTGACGGAGGAATCCGTCGCGGAAGTGATGTCTTCAAAGCGTTGGCTTTAGGCGCAGATTATGTCTTGGTTGGACGACCCGTGTTATGGGGTCTGGCTTACAAGGGCAAAGAAGGTGTTGAAAATGTGCTGAATATCCTCGAACGAGAGTTAAGCCGGACGATGGGGCTAGCAGGGGCTCCTTCTGTCAAAGAAATAAACACTTCGTATCTTCGTCATGACCTCGAGGGACGCCTGAGCAGGCTCTGAATGTTTGGTGATATTCATCATTCGCGGGAATCGAACAGTGAAAGATACAGGTCGCTTGGACAGAAGAATCAGCTAGATTTGTCGTGCAGCCACCTATACTAGCTATAGTGATCCTGACCATTACTCCTCGTCATTGTTCAAATTCATGTTGTCCTTGGGTAGGTCTTCTCTGCCGTCTTGCCATGTTGAGCAGTTCATGCACCGCAAGGCCTGTTCCTACTCAGCCCTTCCACTCTTGACGACGTACGCATCAGCGGAAACGTACCTCAGCACTGATATACTTTTTGCAATATCTGCATCGAACGGTAGGCTTGATGATCTTGTTGTGGGAGACGAGCATATACAGATGGGCCACTGCAAACAGCGTAAGGCTGACCCCGGCAAAGTTGACGAAGTTCTCGATAAAAGCACTATCGATCCCAGAGTTAAAAGGTCCCGTCTGAACCTCCAAGTCACAATACTTACCCCCAGGCCAACACAAGCGCCCCATCATCCCGGGCTTGTTTGACCGTGTTATACCCTTCGCCCTCGACAAAGTTGGGGCTCTTGGAGAGGATCGCGAACTTCTGATCCATATTCCGATTCAGAAACGGAAGCAGTGAAACAACCGGCAAGACCACATCGGACACAAAAGACGTCACGACTTTAGTAAACGCATTTGCGATTCTCCACGTGGGTCACTGTTAGTCGTGGGCGACAACGGATCTTCGACCGGAGGGTTGCTCACATCAAACCCAGCGCGACCTCAAGAACGTTGTCGCGAGCAGCAAAGTTCACGAAGGCATCCCAGCCGTGTCTGACGCGCTCCTGCGCGCCCTGGCCAACGCGGAGCAGAGCTTCAGTGCTTCCGTCGAGTCCACGCATGGCTGCTTATTGATATTGAGCTACTTTGTACAGCACTGGAGGTGCTAGCAGGGGAGCTTTTGAATCCCTCGTGCAAAAGAAGTGGGGGGGTCATTTTTGGCGTCATGGCGCATTGACGATCAGTCATGCGGAAGCGATGGGGAGGGCGGGGGCCTCTGCGAACCACTTGACTTGAGGGGCGTAGCGAATGTCAGTGTATTGCAGCCATTATCGATCGAGAATATGATGCAGAAGGGTAATTTCGTGATTTGCGTTTCTTATGCTCGTTTCTTCGACCCGTAGAGATATTATACCGTGAGGTGGAGACATCTTTAGTATATATTATTTGGATGTACGGGATAATGGTGATAATGGCCAGCTACTAGACAAAGTTCGCAGGTGAGGAGAGTCGAAAAGTCGTCTCCATTTCTTTTCCTCCTAGTATGTCGCCCTGTCGAACCAGAGGTTGGTTGGACCCACCAGCAACATATTGGTGCTGCGAGATGTGGGGATTCCGCTATAAAAAGCATCGATCTTAACCTCGGAGATCGAGTTATCTTGGCGCAAGTGCTTTAACTGATTGAAGGAATCCGGATCAGAGTGGAGAAGATCGACCCGGCAGACCAGATCTGGTTCCCCCGGGACCATGCGAACTACCCTTGAGTTCTAATCGGTGTGAATCTTTGACGACATAAGAATCATTTGCATCACTGTTCTCATACGGCCTCTAGCCTAAGCAGCTCTGGTATCATACAGAATCATGTTCGCTTCATAAAACATGAATCCACGAAGGCAGATTACATGACTAACCAATATTCCGAACATCCTTATTTCGGAGGCGGGGGATAGGTCATCGGCCCCGGCGATGTATACGGTGACATTAAAACCGTCCCCCTCTCAACGGCTGCTCGGTTGCGCATCTGCTCCCGTTTCTGAATCTCCTTCTCATCCTGGATGAGAGTGCAGCACAGGCAGCAGGTTCCTCTCACACAGTCTGACCCAACCCCGCCATCGATTCCGTATGCCCTGCGAGTTCTGGTATGTTGTATAGTAGCCAATAACCCTACCAATATTAGCATCCCGCGCATTGAAACCTTTCCATAGGAACGTCCGAATCGGGAGGACCTATCGGCGAACTTACATTGACATCCGCATAGCAACGCCATTCCTGTGCAGGCGCCGTTGCAGACCTTATATCCGAGCATATTTGTCGGGTCGTCTTTCTTCGACTTCATCCCCAGTCGATATTGTGTCTTTCCATAAAGAATACAGGGACAAGCTAACCCGAGACAGCAAGTCCCAAGGTTCGAAAAATCGCATAGTCCATGATTCCATGCACCTCCCTGGACATCTTGGTTGGGGTGCGAAATTTGGCCGGGCTGGTGGAAAGTTTCCAGATCTTCGAAAGTTGGCGCCTGAAATGACCTGACGGCCGCAGGAGGTGGAAAATAAGGGATTTTAGGTGACTGTAATGGATTGCTGTCTGGAGCGACCGTTATAGTATCGCTTCGATTGGGCACATCTGGGTTTATCTTGAGGGGTATGGGTCCGGGGGAGTTTGGGGGCTGTGGCTGGAGGGGCTCCGCCTGTGAGGTGGGGTGTCTTTGTTCAATGGCATCATCAATGGGGGCATAGAGAGCAGGATGCTGCTCCGGGGGCGGATATTTAGAGTATGTTGGTATAAGTCCTTCCTCCTGTAGATGTCGCTCTTTCTCATTAGATATATACTGGTTTTGAGGCGACTGCGACCATGTCTCCCTGCGGAACTCGACTGGATGGTGGTGCGACGCTGGGCTCGCATTCATGTTCGGCGTCGCAATTGACGAGGTTGGTGACGAAAACTGGTATTGATGCTCTGGCGAAGGGCTTTTATCTAATGGCGTCTCTGTAAATGAGTAGCGGCGGTTGTGGCTTGGCTGCGCCTGCGTATTGAGCTGCAACGACCGGTCCATATTGAGCGTAAGTCAGGGCACGACCGCAATGAGCAGGTATTCGTATCCGACTAAGAGCGCTATTTGCCAATGGTTTGTCTTGCTCGAAAGCGAGAAAAGGATGTTGCCTAATCAGGGACCTCGGGCGATCACTGCGGCACAAGAGTTGCAGCTCCCGTTATCGGCGAATATACATGCAAATCCTCGACAAGCGGCTGATCTGCTGAAGATCCAGGAATATGAGAAGCAAGGTCGATTGAAGCGAGTTCAAGAGTCAGGAAGGAAGAGTTCATGCAGGAGAAATGGAAAGGGGGGGGGATGCGAATAGGCGGAGTTATTAGCTGAGGGGGGGCTAGATTCAGAAGTCGGGGGAAACCATGACATGAGTGGCTCTGGAGCTTCAGCTTCGTCTAAGGTTAGTCGCTAGGGTAGTCGCTAAGGCCGTGATTTCGAGCCTACTGCAGCTGCTTCACACCATCGCGGATTCTGGTTGGATCATGATCCGCCCGGCACATCCCGTGGGGCGTTGGGGCCCCCGCTTGTCACTCGTTATCACACTCGTTACTCGCTTGGCTCAAATAATGTACCAAATAATGCCATAGAATGGAGCGCACAGGAGTACTTTTGGACTGCACTTGCCCCTCTGACATCATAACGCTGAGATCTATGAAGCTGGAGAGGAACAACGGTCGATGCTCAGTTCCAAGGGTAAATCATGAACACATACTTCCCCGTGGGTAATCTATTCGAAGAACTTCACTGACTAGGCTTAAGGAACTAATAGAAATCACATCGCTCGATAAACTTACTCTGCAACCATGCCAATCGGGAATAGGACATGTTACAAAATTTCGACCCGACTTGCAAGACTATGGATGACGCTGAAGAGCCATAGCTAATCTTTCGCTATGTTAGGCTTGGAAGGGAATCCGAGCTTGAACTTGAACTTGAATAAGCTAGGCCGCGGACTTGGAGCTGATGCCTGCGAATGATTCTCGTTGATACTCACATCCCAATCATTGGCAATCATCATTTAAGGCACTGGGGGCAATTCGTAGGTGCGTTATGGGTATAGCTTGAACGCGTGAAGCAATCACTACAATAGCACATGATCGCACCAGTGGATGATTCATAAGCTAATACATAACAGGTATGGTGTTCTAAGATAAAATTTGACATATCTAATTCAAAAAGTTCCCTACTCAACCTAATATGCTGGGCAAGTCCCGAAGGGTTTCATTTCATGGAGATTTCCTTTTACGTTAATGCGACGAAGGAGATAAATATTCTGACTACGCAGCCATCAACTGTTCAATATTCTGGATGGCCTGATCATCAACTCCAACAGATGCTGCCTTTTTTTTTGTAGGCAAATTCCTTTTCGTATGAAAAATGACTTTCCGCGCACGATCCTTGGCTGGCTCCGATATTCGGATCGGTCTATCGTTGATTTGTTCGTAGTGAGAAGTTTAAGCAACCCATGCTTTCCACCACATACGTTAGTCACTCTCCGTATTTGCTGTAACAAGGGGGATCATTGTCGAATTTATATCTGGAACCCTAGATCGTAATATCCAGAGCTCATCTTGACACACGGCCCCAAGCCTAGTTTTAATACTTGCCCGAGGGGAACTTACGAAACACGCGTACTTGTAGTGACACTTACAGATGAGAATAACCATCATCGCAGCACTTTTTTAAATCCCGTATCATCCAGAGTAACCCGCCAAATTGAATCAGCCCAAAGCCCACGAACCTACAACGAGCCCTCCGACCATCTGACGGACGCGGCCGAGCTTACCAGTAGCTGATGAGGTAGCACCACAAACTCAGGCGCTCCAAGGCATGCAAGGTATGCGAGGGCGATGGATAATATTGGCGAAACATACTTACGAAACGAAAAATTGTATATGTTGGGTTTACGGATGCCACTGTAGCACCAGTGACATGTCCATGCTTCTGTGTGATACGGCCAGTGGAACTAAGACCTACTTTGATGAGGCATTGTGATTTTCAAGCCTAGGATCGCATTCCTCGTTCAGTTCAATCCACTGATATTCATGAGCTGTTTTCAAGTGCCGAATAACCAAAGCCAAGCTTCTTATTGTCCGGCTTATAGAGTGGCTCCGCCAGCTTACTTCGTCTGGTATGCCGCCGAGATTAGAGGATGTAGCATTGCCCGGCAACACAGGGTTTGCCAGTTTGCCAAAACGAAGACGAAACGGCTCCAATCACGTTGGTTCGAGATACAGTACTGGTCATCGGCTCGTTATTGGAAATTCGGCGGTTACCAAGCAAGGGTGCTATCCTAGTCCTTGCAACCCTGTCACATGGTGATGCTCTGCCTGATCATTTCAACGCTGTGTAGCGTGGGGAACGTAAGGCCAGCTGTTGCAAGTTGAGGGAAGAATCCGCAGTGGACTGACGAGCATTGCCAGCCATGCTTCAGACGCACACCAATTTCCGAATAACCATGTCATAACAGTCCTTGGAGGAGCCCCGGTCCAAGGCACAGCCGTAAAGATTCCTAGGAATTAGGTTAAGCATTATGGGGCTGCGACTACTCCTGGAGGATTCAGGGAAAGGGGTTTCCTTGGGACGAAACCAAAGAATGCGTCGGATCCCCTCGTAAATAAAAAGGAAAGCAAACCACAAAACCAGGGATTGACCCGACAGAATGAAAGAGTTCCTAACGGCGCCTATGATTGTCCGCGAGGCCAGCACGCGGCATGCAAGCCGCATCGTGATTGGCAGACAGCAGCTGCAGAAAGCGACATGATCAACCCGAGAACTTAACCCTTCAGAGCCTTAGCCGATTCCTTGCTGGTCTGGCGAGTGGTCTGAAGCTACCTCCACCTTCCGTCCTCCCCGAACTGCTAATTCAAGGTTTTTCGACGATGATCATGTCTGAAGTCGGCGTATTGTGGGATCTAAAGGGTGAAGTCCAAGTCTGCCAGAAGAGGTCGGTGAAGATAAGGGGGTTGGGGTTGGGATTGGGCTGGGGGATCTCAATACTAGAATGAGAATAAAGCTGCCGATCTGTACCCTGGTTGGACAGCATCAACCCTGTGCTGATAGAGCATAGATTGAGGGCGATAAGCGGAAATCCTTCCATTGAGAAGAGGAGGAAGATTCGAAAGAGTCCGGGGTAACAGGAGATGAGACTTCTCTCCGAGTTATTTGTTCCAGATTGCTTCCTGGTCCACTTTGGCCGAGTCAACTAAATTAGCTCCATCGCTTTTTGAGTCCAAACTCCATTGGATCAACCATGACTTCATTGATTGGTCCCCCACTGGATCTCCAGGGATTCTGCATCATGGTATAATCAGAGCTTGATCGAGGTTCAAGAGATTGTACGCAGTAGCACCTCCCAAGGTTTTCATCCCCACTCATAAGACCTCAGGGCGGTGACGCTTGTACAATAAGCCTTTTAGGTTCACTCAGTCCTTTATCTCTTCACTTTTTCTTCTTCCCACGACATTCCTGATCCCGGTTATCCGCCCGATTTGCGGTCAGCCTCTCCCAGTAAGATCTTTCCCTCTTCGAACGTGCTTCGACTCCCCAATTCCCGCACTTCACCCATTCGACCTTCTATCCTAATCCGTGTTCTCGGTGCCCCCTTCTCCACTGCCTTTTCGTCTTCCCTCCCTATCCTTGTCGTCTGTACCGGCCGTTCACCCCACCTCTGCTCTTGCGAACCAACCATCCTCACATTTGCATTCCAGACCATTCCGAACCGTGCAGGCCTGACCAATGTCCTCCCCATGTCAAACCCGCCGCCCGCTCCCGAAGATACCCTGCCTAGCCCCCTGGTGACACCTGCCGCGCCTGCCCAACATGATTGCTCGGAGGACGTTGCGATCGCTCGGGCCAGCCCACGTCACCACTTGACGCGAGGCCGACACCAGTCCCAGGGGGCTCAAGAGGCGTTCTCGCCATCGCGCGCCGAATCCCCCAACGTGCATCAGTGGTCTCGTCCTGCTGCTCCCTTTGCCGTCAAAAGGTCCTCCACGGTCCCGCTGGATGCCCCTCTCCATCCTGACACTTTTTACAGCCCACAGCTGTCCGAACGAGACAGTATCTTTGCTACCCACTATCTGCCCTCAGAGAGTGGTGCAAACACTCCCCAACTCCCCCCGCACAAGGCTTGGAAAATGACCGTCTGGTGAATGCTATTCCTACCCTGAATGATGTGCCCGGATCTCCAAGTCCTCCTTCCAAGGTCTCTCCCCATCATTCCTACGTCGACCCTTCCCGCATGGAAGTTGACGTCCGCAGACACTATCCATTGCGCTCCCCACTGCAATATTCTTCCGCCGATGTCTCCCCATTCTCTCCCTTGCGCTCCGCTGTCTTCACCGCAGATCAGGTGAAGAGCCAGGAAGGAAAGCCCGGCATCCGATTGGTACCATCGGTGCCTACCGCTGAACCAGGTACGAAGATTGATGCCTCTCAAGGCTCACTGGCTGAACGCAGTCTTCTTCCCTCTGCGCTAGAGAATGTCTCCCAAGCCTCTGAAGCTCTAGCCTCCTCCGCACCTGGTCAAGATTGGTCGCTATTTGGTCGGGAACCCTTCAGCCCCTTTGGAGACCCTTCAGACAGTGCTACGGTGGAACAGAGTGTAAGCAGAGGTCGTCGCGGGCGAGTGGACAATTCAATTGAGGCCAACCTCGCGAATGCAGAGCCTGCATCCAACGTGCGCAGTCGTAAATCAAGTCACTACTTAGGCTTATTTAAAGAGAATACCGCTACCTCGCCGGAACGAAAAACATGGGATGACCGCACTCACCCCCAGAAAGAAGGCGCAGAGCCACCAGAGCCCATGATGGGATCTCAATTGCAGAGAGCGAATCCTGCAATGGAGGGCGAAGGGACCCTACGAAAGAGTGTATCCCTTCCTGTCCTTGGAGATGCGCCGTCGATGGAACCGCAGCCTTCAGCACAGTCACCATGGCAGGCAGAAGCAGATGATCTTCATAAGCGTCGCCCACCAGCACTCCCTCGAAGTCTCCTCGAAGAAATCAGGAACTTCCATCTCACCCCAGGAGGGCGACACGGCTCATCATTTTCCAAGAGTATCCCGACACAATACTCGGAACGTGGCCGGGATTATTTCCAGCAACAACCCCATGTTGAGCGCTTTCCAGAATTTAGCCCCAGTGAAGAGGACACTCGCCGGGATCTTGCACGGATCGCAGAGGAGGAATGCAACGAGGAGCAGATATCTTCTGCCGTTTATTTCCCCCACGAGCGGGTGAATGAACCAGGAGGACTTAATGTCCCGGGTCAGCTCTCGGACGATCCGCATGCTGTTCAGTCGATTGAGATATCAGCTCCAGAGCCAGGGCATGAGCTGATGTTGGTCTCTCAAGAGCGTCACATCCCTGCAACCGAGAAGGAACTCGGCCGCGTGGATATTTCTATCCGTTCTAGAAGTGAAAGTAAGATCCTGCACGGCGATCTGTCCGGTTTACGGTCCCCAACAGAAAGTGGAGCAGACTCCTTGGGCTCTATTCCCGAGCACCATGTGGATTCTACATGCGAATCAGAGGCATCTGCAGATGAAAGTAATCAGTCAGTTATCGAGGAGTCTAGTCTTACAGACGACGCTGGGGTCACGCCCACCGCTACGCCCACCCAACGCTCCCGTCTCTCTCTACGTCGCAAAACCACTGGCCCTCTAGGGGCCGTAGAACTCAAGCCTTACAGACACCAAGTCGGTGGCCATACAACCGTATTTCGCTTCTCTCGCCGTGCTGTTTGCAAGCAGCTGAATAATCGTGAAAATGAGTTTTATGAGCGCATTGAAAAGAGACATCCTGAGATGCTGCGTTTTCTGCCACGGTATGTTTTCAACGTCGATAGAGCGGTTGTTTGCGCACGGGATCCCCAGAACGCGGGCTCTACCGAGCGTGCATGGCGGCCTTATCGACCTATCCCCTTTGGCATCAACTCAATTACTAACCTGCTGTCAGTTACATTGGTGTTCTGAACGTCACTTTCTCTAAAACATCGAAACGCGTAAATGGCAATGCCGATGACCCTGCCAGCACCCGCTCGAGCCGAACCAACGGAGTATCTGCGGATGGGACTCAGCCGACAGAAGCCCCAGAGCCACAGCGGATTGTGAGCCAGAGTCAAGTTACAGGAGTGACAGCCAAGGTTGTTCTTGAGAACAACCGCCATATCATTCCTCAAGATCTCTTCTCCCGCCAGCGGTCACGCTTAATGGATGATCCGGCAATCAACCGGCCCCATTCAGCAGATGGACGTGATTCAAACTCGAAATCGAGCACCTCTCGGACTCCCCAGACGAAGAAGTGGGGCGCGACGACCGTGAATAGAAAACTCAAGGAGCAAGTTCTCCGCGAGGTCTTCAGCCCGCCTGCTATACATCACCACCGCCGACATGCACGTGGACCTATGCATCTAGCCCGAGCCACATCGGATATTCAAAATCCACCCAGCATCTCGGATCGACATGGAAGCTTACCGGAGAATGGGCTGTCAAGATCCAATCCTCGTTCCTCAGCGATGAGCAAACGAGAGAGTCTGAACCCTGCGGCGAAAGACATCATATCGTCCAGTCGTGACGGCCTAACGTTGTCATCCTCAGCATCGACGGCTTTGGATGAGAATCGAAATAGCCTTGAGAGTCCCACCCATGAGAATGACTCTAACCGGACACAGTCCCTTAATCGCGGCCAGGCAGTACGGCGAAGGCATTCTGGAGGTGGTCTTCAGAGGCGAATCTCGATGGACTCGAAACCGGGAGATTTGATGTTCTTTGATGACGAAGGATATGGTGGTGATAAAGAGGATGATATTTTCTCCATGGAGAGCGATGCTCCAGTGTCATCCGAGTCCACGGCAGTCAGGCCAACTGTTCTCTCCCGTATCCGGGAGAACTTTGACCGATGACAGTCCGATGAGAAAGTCCGCGTCTTCTGTCCAGCCGTCTTCTCGTCCCGCGCCAAGTGATACCCGGCTCACCCATTTGCCAAGTAACCCTAAGGAGGCGAAGCCACAAGAAGATGACCGTGTTCAATTCTTCCTCCTGCTCGAAGATCTCACTGCTGGAATGAACAAGCCTTGCGTGCTAGACCTCAAGATGGGCACTCGGCAGTATGGCTTGGAGGCAACGGAGAAGAAGAAAAAGTCCCAGCGACGGAAATGCCAGTCAACAACATCACAGCAGCTGGGAGTCCGTCTTTGTGGAATGCAAGCTTGGAATGTCAAGAAGCAGGAATACATCTTCGAAGACAAGTATTTTGGACGTGACTTGAAATCCGGTCGTGAGTTCCAAGACGCTCTCACCCGCTTCTTGTATGATGGAGTCAGCTATACAAGCGTCGCCAAGAAGATTCCGATCATCCTGGAGAAGCTGGCTGTTTTGGAATCCATGATTCGAAGACTGAAGAGATATCGCCTTTATGCCAGCAGCTTGTTGATCCTGTATGACGGCGAGCAAGCTGCCCCTCCACCAAATCCCAGCCATCAGACCGAGAACCCTACCAATGGGAGCAAATCCAAGGACGGCCACAACAATGTGGACGTGGAATTAAAAATTGTGGATTTTGCCAACTGTGTGACTGGAGAAGACGAGATCCCACCAGACACTCCTTGTCCTCCTCATCATCCCAATGATATTGATCGTGGGTATCTGCGCGGTCTTCGCACTCTGCGCATATACTTCCAGCGGATTCTGAAAGAAGTAACAAAGGATGAATTCCTTGAACGCGGCGAGGGTGAGGGCATTGCTACTGGTGCCCAGCCTGCTGATGTTCCTGATATGCCGTCAAACCAGTTCTGGGATGATAACGTGATGGAGCAGGATGTCGGGGAAGTTAGTTTCTAAAGGCATGCTTGTTCTTTCCACTTTCCAGCATCTACCGCATACTTCTCTCTCCAACCATCGGCGTTTTGAAATAGACGGTTGCCTACGGTCAAGAGTTTTCTACATCGCCAATTTTTTTTTTCTTTTTTCTTTTTCTTTTTTTTTCCTTTCTTTTTCTTTTCTTCGTGGTTCTTCTTCGCGTTTTGGATCCTGTCTTCATGATAGCACAACTCACGACCCTTATGGATTATTGATAACCCAACATCCATTTCTCGCTGCATTCAGGGGCCTTACCCAGTCTTACTTTGTTGGCTTTTTATTGATGCATCGGCGTTTTGCATGACTAAGCGCATGAGGACTCACTTTTCATTTTCGGAGGTTCAACTTCTACTTCCAATGCTTGGCTTGTTTTTATTCATTATACCCCCCATTGGGTTGACGGATGGTCTCGGCGTGTTTTCTTTTCAAACAAAGCTTATGATTTGCTTTGCGCTGCATGTACATGATATTCCCGAGTTCTTCTACAACCTCCAAAATCAACAAACTAAAATAAACTCAAATACCTAAATACAGAAGCACCGATCCCGGTCTTCATCAGATTCCACCAAGAACCCTGTCAGCCTCGGTTGATGTCACGTGATTGATAAGCGCATCGCCGCCTTCAGCTCGAGTTCCAACCTCGCCCTTACAGATTTCACAATCGTTCAAAGCCGGTAATTCGGTTTTTTATACCACGCCAACATACCTAGTATTTTCAGAAGCACGGGGCTGACCGGGATGACCTTGCTTGAGGCCCAATGACGTAGTGTGGAGCGTTGACAACAAAGCAACTGATCCACCCAGCTGACACGGACGCTTATCATTCGCCTACCGGCGATACCGTCGCCGCAGGACCGCGAGATCTTGAACTCTTGTCCGGCGGTGAAATACCTCCCAGAGCACTGCGCTGGGCTCATAACTATCACGGGCTTACTCCTCAGCCCATTCCGACACCTATCCCTTCTGGGGATCTCATCTGGAGCACCAACGACCATGCCCGGCTCTAGCAGCCATGCCGACCCTCCGATCGATAAGCGGGACTTCGATGCGCACCGATCTCTCCTCCAGGACGGCGTGAATGGGTATGAAGGACAAGGAACACCCGGGAAGCGGCGGTCACGGGCCGGCTCCCGTCAATCGAGGGCATCGTCTCGCTCGGGGCTGCTCAGCGGCAGCGATGACGGGCTTCTCAACGATGTTGTTGAGGGGATTGTCGAGCGGGACATACGCAAGATGCACACGGAAGTCGTGCGTGTCATAAGCTTCGTTTGGGGCGTAGTTACCTGGTGAGGGAAGGACCTGTTAATGTCTAGCGGACGTTGTTCATGCTAATAAACTGCTCTGATAGTCTTGGTGCTGGGAGCATCACTGGGTTCTCATTATACGGCCACCTTCTGCTGACGAGGCTCCAGTACTCCCAACTCAGGGTCAATGCTGTGTCTATCTCGGCGGCAGTTTCAATGTATCTTCTCGTGCCAATTTTCGGCTACCTGTGTGACCGGTACAGCCCGTCCCCTCTATCCTTACTTGCAGGGTTCTTGTTTGGTGGAGGGTACATCGTTGCTGCTTTCACCTATAGGAGTGGTCCGCCTCCAGATGTCGGAGGCAACGGGATGGCCATTCTGGGTGATGGTCGTTGCCTTCATTGCTATCGGGATGGGGACGAGCTGCATGTACCTTGGCGCCGTCGCGACTTGTGCTAAGAATTATGGGAAAGGGAAGCACAAGGGTATTATGCTGGCCGTGCCCATTGCTGCATTCGGTCTCAGCGGGATGTGGCAGAGCCAACTCGGAACCTATGTTCTATACGAGCGAAAGGTCGACGGCAGTCGTGGCGATGTGGATGTTTTCCGATACTTTCTCTTCCTGGGAATCTTACTTTTCGTGATTGGCGTCATCGGTACGTTCGCTTTGCGGATTGTGGACGACGAGGAAGAGGAGTACATTGATCGGACGGTCGAAGATTTGGAACGGAGTGGATTGCTCGAAGAGAGTGAATTCTTTCGACCTCGGCATGAAATCCAGGCTGCATACGGCACATTCAACGCCGATGCCGAGGAGGGGTCGGTGACTCTCTCTGAGGAAGAAAGACAGCAGAGGAAGCGTGACTTGGAGCGAGAAGAGGAAGAGCGCCGGAAGAAAAATTGGCTGCTCAACTATGAAACCCGAATCTTCCTCCAGGACCCTACTATGTGGTGGCTTGCTGCTGGCTTTTTTCTGGTCACCGGCCCTGGGGAGTCATTTATCAATAATGTAAGCTGCCTGATTTCACATATTTCTTTGTTCGTTTTACTGACATGACCAGCTTGGTACGGTCATCCCAACCTTGACCCCACGATCATACGCTGCTGCGGCTCCCCCCGCAGGTCTTCCGTCAACACATGTCACCACCATTGCATTAACCTCGACTATCGCTCGTCTCCTGACTGGAACGTTATCCGACTTTTTCGCACCAGTAGAAACGCACCTCTTCCCTCCAATTCCTGAAGACCGTCGTCGAGCTAGGCTCGAAGCTGAGCAGGCCAATCGCCCCACACTTTCGCGCATGGTCTTCCTTCTCCCATCAGCACTCATCCTGTCCTGTGGATACCTTCTTCTCTCTACCCCTCTTCCTTTAATCGACCCGCCACTTCTTCACCTCACCACTGCCCTCGTTGGATTCGGCTACGGAGGGGCTTTCTCCCTCACGCCGATCATCATCTCCGTAGTCTGGGGCACCGAAAACTTCGCCACAAACTGGGGCATTGTTGCCATGATGCCAGCACTTGGTGCTGCGCTTTGGGGTGTCATATATTCTACTGCGTACCAAAGAGCTGTCAATAGCGGCAGCGGCTTTGCAGACGGGCAATGCCATGGATGGAGTTGCTACGGTTTATGGGCCGTAACATCTACCATCAGCGTCTGGATTGCCGTTGGTGTTTGGTTAGCGGCTTGGAGAGGATGGAAGAAGCGTGGTATAGTCGTTTAGCATTCCTCCAGGAAGGGTGATACCTCGTTTTCCTTCTTTTATAAGCGCTAGACAATCGCATCTAGAATGTCAGGTCGACACCCATGTAATGACAGACTGTCAAGTCAGTAAACTTTCTATGCAACCACGTAATTTATTCACGATCTTTTTGCCCATTGATACACAAGATACCCAGAGCATGGACTGGAGTACGAGGGTCCTGAGGCAAAACCCTCGACAACGGATGGGTCTTATTGTTTTCCCCAACAGGTGTATTAACGGGTCTATTGAAAGAAACTAGCTCGAAAGAACGGGAAGAGACAATGCGTGCGGTCCACCCTATAAAACTGCATATAATCTGGCTCTCAGTTACCCTACCCATCATGATCATTCAAGGCGAGCAACCCGTTCTTTTAGAACTCAAGCACACCTTACGATGCCCGGAGTTTTTAGGCGAGTAGCCCGAAACTTTCAAGTTGTTACTGCACGCAGGACAATATGTGCACTGATCCTCCATCAACCTTGCCACCGAGTGCGCAGTATAATAGCTCAGATCGTTCGACGCCCGGTAAGGGCCAACCCTAAGAGAGCACGACATATACGTGTAAATATTCCTCCTGCTCCCGATATTCGACCGTGCCTGGGACATATTATTCAGAACCTGGAGACAGCTGGATTTGGCCGCAAGGTAGTTTGTACTACACTTGATGCCGTATGTCACCCGCTTCTCGAGGTTTTTCTGCGCCTCGTCGAGCGACTGCTGCCCGATCGTCGTGAAGAGGTCGATGATGTCGGTATGGGAGTCGGCCCTGCTGGTGTTTCCGTAGAAGTGCAGAGCGTCGGCGTAGAGGTCAGGGTCGGAGGTTCTGTAGCCCAGGGCATCTTCTTCGATGCTTTGCAGCACGGTCAAGTTGGTGTTCTCGATTATGCCGGTCTGGGGGTTTACGTCGCCGGCAATGTGGTAGCGGGCCCATACGGCGTCGCCGAAGCGGCCCTCGTGGATGGCGGCTACGTACTCGCTGGCCCAGGGTTCGACGAGGGGAAGCCGTTGGTGGCATTTTGAGATACTTCATCGGTGGTGAAGTCGAGGAACAGCTGTTCGACGAGATCGGTGGTGCTCAGCTCCAGAGCTATAGCAGCCCGTAGGTGGAGGAGGAGGGCTGCGAGGAGGTAGGATGGGACACGCATTGCAGAGTTACTTGGAAAGAGACGATAATGTCGAAGAATCAATTACTCTCGGATATAAGAGTTCGAAAACCCCTGCAGACGTGCGGAAGGTCTTTTTTATACCACTCAAGGCAGTCTCTCCTACATTCACACTTTCATTACGCTATCGGCTCATAGGGAATATCCCTCGAGGACCTCAAGGTCCAAACTGGATTGCCTGTTTCCAGTGGGGACACAGGCCCTTTCGCTTCGAATCCAAAATGGTGATTAGTGTGGTCGAGGTTTTAAAAAAGAGGCCTAGCGTCGACAAGGGTATGGATACCCGCGTCGATGTTGGGATGACAAAAGTGGGTATTTGTGGACTGAGGTTACAACTGAGGTTATCAATATCAGGAGATGCCCTGCAAGGCCAAGGCGCAGGTAGCCTGAACTCGAAATCTTGATTAATCCAGAATTGTCACGACATTCACCCCACTGGGCTATCGAAGCAAGCAGAAACATGTGCATATAATCGTAGGTACCGATATTGTAGTCAAAACGCTGTTTATTGTCCTACTACATTATCCCTACAGATGGATCCTAGGAACGAATCCTGCTGATTCGCGTGCAGGCTGCTTTCACGTATCTTTCAGTGCCAGGCTGAGGGGCTCAGGCACACTCGGCGCTTGCATGGCCCCTGCATCGCGTCAACCTTAGAATGGTGAAAAATGCCTCGTTAGGCCATACAAAGAGAGGCTAAGCTTCCGGCCCCACGCAAATATTGTGTTGCCTTGGGGTCACAGTGGAGACCTCTGAGGACCTCTACGGTCGAAAGTTGGTCTGACTTGGAACTGAAGGCATTCGAGCCTAGGCAAATTGATGTCCGCTAACCTCTACATATTCGAGTTCACAGAGCACAGTCCGATCTGGTTCGTTTTCGTACTGCGCAGGCGTTCTTGATTACTTTTATGTATTACTTGTAGGGTTTACTCTTATGTTCTCTTTCAGTTGGTTCAGAATAGCGGGAGAGCCTGGTAATCTCGCTCATAATCCCGTCAGGGCCTCGATTCAATACTATGGAAAGCAAACTAACTGTCAAATTCATCCTTGAATTGAGCTCGCAGCTCCCGAATACTTTGCTTGCCAACGCGCAAAAGAAGCTCAATCACCTCGGGATGTCCATCAGACTCGCTCGTCCGTTCGTAAACAGTCGATAGCGCTTCTGCGTAGAGGCCTGACTCCCCAGTCCGGTATCCCACGGCATCTTCTTCGATCATCTGGAGAACACTCTTGCTTGTGTCTCCAATGATGCCGGTCTCGCTGTCCACGTCCCCGGCGAGATGGTAACGTGCCCACACCGCATCGCCGAATCTGCGATTGCGGATCGCGTCCACGTATGCGCTAGCCCATGGTTCCATGACCGCAAGCCCGTTGGTTTCCCTTTGAATGATGTCTTGAATAGAGAATTCGAGGAAGAGTTGTTCTGGCACCTCAGTCTCGCTGGTGCTCATCGTCACCTGTAGAATAGGTGGTTTGGGATCGTAGTGTCACGTAATAAACGTCCAGATACCTGAATATCGCTACCTCTTGTCCGCAGTCGATATGGAAAAGGCTTGAGACTGAGGAAACATGCGCCCGCAGATCGATGTGGTAAATGGAAGAGACAGGATAGGACGTGAACACAAGCACCATGATGTGACCGTGGCCTCAGGCTACTTTAGGCAGCAGTCTCAGGCAACAAGTGTTTTCGTCCTATCAGGATGGCCCAGCAATATTCCTCAAGGACTCCACCTATGCGAGTCTCCCAGGAGGGTTCCATTCATGGTTCTAGGGGTGGCAGAACTGCTGAAAGTTGACGATGGGCCCTCAGTTGTATCCCCCGGTTCCGTGTATTGACAGAGCGAGCAGGAAGAAAAGACAGCGGTGGAGGTATTGGGTATTGGATACAATCTAGAATAAATGCGGGGTGAAATCGTGAGATAAAAGGCTCCCTAGCTAGTGATGTATGCTTTCATTATGGACATGAATTTCTCGGCCGCGGGCGATCCTTCCCTTCTTCCGCTCGCGGCCGAGAACTTTTATACAATATGGATGCCAACGTTGATCAGCTCGCTAATCGGCAAACAGGAATATTGTAAGATCATTCCGTTGTCCTCTCTTCAATATTTACCTCTTTATCCGCGGCTGTTTCAAGAGCTACGACGCCTTCTTTGGGAAGGACGAACTTCTTATCGATGTCTTCAAGTTCCAATCGGCGCGTCTCGGGGATAAAGAACCACCCAAAAACAAAAGCGACCGCCGAGAGGGATCCATAGATGAAACCCAGTTTCCCACCAAGATAAACATGGTGCGGGGTGTCTGCAGTCTCCAGGTAAGGATACGAAAATGTCACAGCAAACCTTCGAGGGATGAGCAAGCGCAAAGGAAAGATGATCAAAGTCAGGGAGGGAGGATACGGCGGAAACCAACTTACTCAGTGACCAGCTTGACAGTATATGCAATCTGGAGAGTCTTCTCACGAAGTGGAGAAGCAGGGAGCTCTGCACCCAGGACATAAACCAGCGGGGCCCAGCCCAACGACCAACTGAAGCTGAATAGCATCAGCATGGCCACGATGCCTTTCTTAGCATCCATGTCAGACGAGTCGGCAGTACCAAGACCGCCCATCGTCATCAAAGCGATCGTTTGAAATGAGGAGCTGACGTGAAATAGCGCCCTACTTGAAGTTAGCGAGACCGTTCCTGATCCAAATCTCTGCATTCTTGCTCTCTCAAGCTGCAGCAACTCGAGCCTGCTTACCGACGACCAACTTTGTCGATTGACAGCGCCGAAACACAGATAGCACCAATATCAATCGCATTAATCCCAAGCGTGACACTGAAGGGATTGATCGACTTTAGTTGCTTCACAAAAAGCGTCCCGTACTGCGAAGCAAAAGCCTGGCCAGTCGCCTGCTGGAAGAAATTGCAAGCCACGACAATAAACGTCCGCCGTCTATTCTGCCGAGTGAACAGATCGCGAAACTGCTTCTTTTGCAGCTGGACAGCGACCTTGTCGGAAAGATCTTGAAAATCCGCTTCGGTCTGTTCTTTGGAGGCGTCCTTCGGCCGCAACCGGACAAGGGACTCGAGGGCTTCAGCGTGTCGATCTCGAAGAAGTAGCCAGCGAGGTGATTCAGGCGTAAACCATATCAAGGAGAGGACGATGGACGGCACGACCAAAATGAGTCCAAAGGGAATCCGCCACGCTGCATCGGTCTGGATGGAGGATGTCCCACGCGCGATAGAAGTGACGACCAGACCCCCGACCTTGATACTAAGCCAGTAGAGTACACATATGCCGCCGCGGACCTGAGCGGGTGCGAGTTCTGTCAACGCCGTAGGGATGACAGCTAACTGCATGCCGAGATAAACGTCTTGGAAAATGATTAGCCTCTTAGGGCAAAAGGGGGGATACGTTATCCAAAGCACTCACAATGCAAAACTCTGCCGGCTTGTATTTGAGCTACCGTCGTCGAGCTGATCAGGACTGCGGCGCTGCCAAGGGCGTATACATTCATGCTGAAGACACACATGCGTCGCCCGTAGGTGTTGCTCACGTATCCGCCAATAAACACGCCGATCAATTGCCCGCCGGCTTTCAAACTGTTGAATAGGGAGGTGAACAGGGGCTTCACTTTCCAGGTATCTGTTTTGGGGTGGTATACGCCGAATTGGCGGGCGAACGAGTCCATCGCCTGGCCAGACGAGAACGCCTGGTCACTGAAGCCATAGTTGAATGCCGACAGAACGAGTAAGCCCGTTGTGAACAGGAGTGTGGGGCTTATCGAATTCCCCTTCCAGGCCATGTTAGAAGAGAAGGGTTTGGAGAAAACCTTAAGAACTACATAGGATGGGGCTCCGCCGGTTATCAATCAAATCAATCAGATAAAATAAGATCGCGGAACGACGGATGGAAAAATCCTGGGCCTCACTGAACTCCGGTCCAGCCCGGCCAGATGCCGCCAACCCCGATCATCCTACCAGACAGTTTCGAGCTTGCGTTGAACAAAATCTGGCGCAGTGGATCCGTAGCGCCGGCTTTTCAAGTCTTAATATAGGCTAAGCTTTACCGATTGGACATCCGTGGGTCAAGAAGCGAAACGAGGCGCCCGCAGCTCCACACACAATCATGCTTTACGCAGGCACCAGAATTCCTCGCTTAAAAATTCCACAGGTAGCGAGCGGGACTGGTTCTTTCTCGAGATAGGCGCCGAGCGTCTACAGATGGTATCACTTGGAAAGCAGCAAGGTAGCCTGCAGAGGTAGGCGAATATGTATTCATTATCTTTGTGTATACGCTAGATATCAGTTGATGAAGGATCAAGGCCTGTAAAAACCTTATAGAGCCGTTTGCTCGCAGCGGGCCCAATGCGAGCTTCGGTCAAGGCACCGTTCTTGTTTGCCGATTTCTGGATCACAATCAGCCGGTGGCACATTGACGAGAATGGAAAACTCCACGACGAAACAACGAGGATCGAGAACTTAAGACTTACCCTAACGTCTTCAAGCATTGTGGGGCCATGTATCCGCATCCCGCGGACTAGGTCGGTAACGCTGGTATACTGGTTGGTGATTCCGTAGGCCATTGATGCGGTAATCCGGTTAACCTCTCCAAGCATCTTCACAAACGTGTCCAGCTTGTCGTCGCCAGTCTTGACCTGTCCGGTATCCATACAGAAGGCAGAATCATTGCCTTCGATTCGCTCGCGACGGTAGGGAATGGTGGAAATGTGCTCGGTGAAATTCTTGATCCATTCCGCCGATTCCGCGGGCACATTGCTGTGGTGAATCAAGCAGGAGTGGGCCACTTGGAGACTAAGAAGGGCATCTTCAATGGTATCATCATCCACGGGAGGAGTAGTCTCTGGCTTGTTTTTCTTCTTCCTACCGCGGCCTCGGCCTGTAGTAGGAGCCTCGGTAGCGGCCGGTTCATACTGAGCTAAGACTTGCGCCTGGTATGCCCGATTTCTTGAATTCGAGTTTTTGCGCATCCAAGCAGTCAGTCCTTCAATGAGGTAGATGAGTTTGTGCTCTGGGTATGCACTCCGGACTTTGAGAACGTGTAGGTCCAGGGTCTCTTGCTCTGCTTCGGCGGATGCAAGTACCATATCCACAAAGTCTTGCGCGGGGAGCCAGCAAAGGATATGCTTCTCGTGTGCTATGTAGGAGGGACACGGCTCCCAATAACCCAAAGCTTCATTGTATGTAGCATTGAGCTTGCGGCGCCATTTGATCACGTGGGGGATAGGGCTTTCAAAAAAAGTATGTTGGACACCAAGTCTTTTCATGAACTCCACGGCTTGGTTTCCAAGGCTGCTCCCCTCCAAGGACGATGCTATATCGATGATCATCTCTGGCGTGGACTCCTTCTTATCAACTTTCAACTTATTAACTTCCGCGATATCTGCAGCCAACTGCTTCTCTTTGGCTTTTTGTTCTTTCGCTTGCAGCTTTTTCTCCTTTTCAAGCTGGCGATCTCGATCTTTCTGCGCCTTCGTCTCCGCCCGCGTTTTAGCCTTAGCCTCCTTTTCTTCCGTGCTCATCTTGGTGGGTTTCCTAGCCGGTCGCTTGGGCGCCATAGGCTCCTCTACGCCATCAGAAAAGTTCGGAAGTCCCATAGAATCAAGAACAGCCTTGCGATTCCCAGGACCAGCCGGCCTGTGCTTGGCCTCAAGACTGGAAAGCAAAGCGGCGGTTTTGCTGGAGAAGGAGGCACCAGAATTCCCCGTTTGTCCAGCACTGACAATATCAGCAAATCCCGGCACCGAAAATGGATCGCTAAATTCTTCTATGCTCTCCTGCGTAAACTTCGCTGCTGAGATATTTGCCGTCGGCCCAGCGCACGAATGGTCGTCATCATCGACGGTGGTGATATCTGAAAACTCGGGGATCGTTATTCGGGATATAGATTTCACCGGCTTAGAGTGAGATTGAGGTGCCGGGGAGGTGAAAATCGGGTCTGAATCTTGCACGCTCTGCGCGCGCTGTTTCCTTGCCGCGGCGGGGTTGGAAGGTGGGAGGAGGAAGTCATCGTCGGACCAATTGAACGAAGGATCCGGAAAGGAGTTCTCAAGTGCTGAACTTATACGGCGCAAAGGCGAGCGCTTATCGCTGCTGATTCGTCGTTTTTTGGCTGGCTTGTTGATGCTGTCGAAATCGAACAAGGACGAGTCAATTGAGTCCGACGAAATCGGGTCTATATGGAGCTGAGGGTGGAGAGGGCGTGAAGAAGTTGCCGCATCTAGCGTCTTTGTTCGCTCTCTCAGATTCTCCTGACCAGGTGGGTCTGATGAGAGCAGATCAATCACGACCGGCATGGTGGCTGCTGCTGTCGAGGCATTCGTGGAGCGCGCGTGGGCAATACAGACGCGGGTGGCACGAAGTCAGGTGACTCTTATCGCTAGGACTAAACACTAAATTATAACTAGCCAAAGTATTACGACATAAAGTAGATGAACAAAGTAAGATCTGGGGTATTGGTTCGGAAGCTAGGTGTAATAGTACCAATATCCAATAACTAGGACGTTGAATACCACGCCGCTGACAAACATGAGCATGACAAGCACATCTGCCCAAAAGTCAAATGGCCGCCGATCCGCGGCGAGCATAGCGGAGATGGTTTCCTCCAATCGATCGCCCAATGCTGTTAGTGAGAATTCTTTATCAGCTCTTGATTTCCCGGCATTGGCTATCGTTTCGAGCTCTGTCTCGCTCAGTTCGTAAAGCACTTTATCAATGATGGCTGTCCAGGCCTCGTCATCATGGGCATCTCGGAGCCAGCCGGTGACGCCGTCAACGATAGTTTCCAGGGGACCGCCTGTGTTAGAGGCCAGCACTGGAAGACCTGCACGCATTGCTTCTACCGGTACAATCCCAAAATGCTCATTGATCGGGGTGTAAAGAAGGAGCTTGGACTGCAATAGAAGGGTATCTTTGAAGGTAGTGGGGACAGAGAGAAGGAAAAGAACATCAATATCATCCGGAATCGACAGCGCCGATACGACAGTTTTCGAGGTGGCCGTCTTCAGCCCGAGGCCAGTGGCAAGCTCATCCAATTCTCGATGGTACTGGACATTTTCTTGCACGCGATTATCATAGCCACCTATACAGCGCAAAATTAGCTAGATCGAAGCGCATGGAAATCCGTTTTCAAGACTCACCCGCGATAACCAATCGTGTGCCTTGCCTTTTCACGAAGCCCAGTCCATTGTATGCCCGAATGGCCAGCGCCATATCCTTCTTGCGCTCGAACCGGTTGACGCTAAGCAAGATCTTCTTGCCGCCCCAGAGGGGCTCTGCAGCTTTGGCTTCCGGCGCAATCGCATCTTCATCGGTATCCACGCAAGGATAGACAACGTCGATTTTACCGATATTCTCCTCGCCAAACACATTGTCTACAACTCGGCGCGAGAACTTGGAGTTTGCGACCACCTTATCCGCTGCAGCCAGCCCCCCATCCCTCGATTCCATCAAACGGATATCGGTATAGCCGCTTGACCAAGCGGAGAAAGGTCGATTTTTCCGGCTGTACGAGCAATTGGTCCGGGAAATGGCAATAGAAAAAGGATGCGCTGGCGCTCAGATTCCTTCGGCTTGCTGAAATGTTTCAGAAATGGAACACAAGTGGACAGCTGATCGACGATGAATATTTGATCGGTCTTTTCGTTCTCCTCTTGGGGGCTCTGTTTCTCGGTTGCTGAGTTCGGTGCAGTCTGCGGGGACTTTAGCTCCGATAGAAGGGACGCGGTTAGGTGTAGCTGGCGCAGTCCCGCCATGAGGATGTGGAAGCGTCCGAAGAGCTGTGGAGGAAAGATGGTGTTTCCGCGAACGCGCACGTCGAGAGTCCCATCGCGCGCCTCCTCGAAACAGTGCGACTTGTCGCAGTGAGACGTGTAGATCGTTACGCGATGGCCGCGATTCTGGAGGGCGAGGGCGACGTCAATAATCAGGCGTTCAGCACCACCGATGCCCAAGTCGGGGTGGATGATGGTGACGTTTGCGGGCGCAAGACCCGGCATGTTGTCTACTGATATTCTGGCGCTGTCGAGGGACTGATCTGACATGAAGCTAAAGCTCCGATAAGAACACGTGGGAGGCTATCACATGATGGCCTCACGGCTTTTACACTGATCACTTGTATTACGTATGCAGGGGGGGCGGTTTTTTGTAATCGCAGTGTCAGATCTATTTCGATCAAATGAGTAGCTCAAGCATTTAGCCCTTGGCCCCGTATAATATGGGGAGTCCAGTGTTGATATGGCGAGTTCGGATAAACATCCGCCAGGCTATTCTTTATGCCGCCGTCGTCGGCATCGTCGTCGGCATATTCGAAGTCAAGAAGCCAACAAGTATGCCTGCAGGGCAAGTAGGAAGAAATGAGCACCTGGGAAGCGCTAAGCGAAGGAAGCGGGTCAGTTCTGCGATCCTTCTGATGTTGACTGAGCAGCTTCAAAATTGCGGGGTTCGCGAGTGAGTTCGGCAGTGGAAAAGATGCGGGAAACCAAGTGCCGTTTTTGCCGGGGAAACTAGGCGATCTATGCGATAGGGTGGTGTTCCTTGTACAGGCTGTCTCTTCCCTTCGTCCTACCTCCTGCTATCCTATATCGTTCAAGCCTAGGATGGGAGAGGAAGAGAAGGTCCAGACGAGAGTCCCGACAGCGCAAGATGAGTCGGCAACGAACCCCACGCCTTCGAAATTGTAAGACATTTCAAAAGCGCCCCTAAGCTTCGCCAAGCTTTTCGCACTTGGATCCGATAGGTGAACCCTGGAGACCTTGGGTGCTCTTACGAAGCAGGACGGGGTGAAGCGCCCTAGACCAGAGAATTCGATGTTAATCAGTTGACAGGCGCCATGTCCTCGTCGTCGCCGCCGGCTTTGTGACGATGTTCTTGACTTGCGGCATCATTTTCTCCTACGGAGTATACCAGGCTATCTACCAGGAACTCGCTGGAGAACCTGAAACACCATTCACAGGGGCATCCTCGTCGGTCATCAGTTTGATCGGAACACTCGCCATCGCACTAATGTCCATGGGCGGGCCCTTCGCCACAGCATGGTCGAAGCTCTACGGCCCGCAACCTGTCATTGCGGCCGGGGGGATGATCTTCGGTCTTGGCTGTATCCTGGCTAGCTTGAGCGAATATGTCTGGGAATTCGCATTGACTCATGGCTTGCTGGTGGGGATTGGAACCTGTTTGGCGTATGTGCCCACTATGTCTGTCGCACCTACTTGGTTTAACAAGCGTCGGGGGCTGGCGATGGGGATCGTTATCTCCGGTTCTGCCTGCGGAGGCATGGTGTGGCCACCGGTGCTTAGAGCGATCACTGCCAGTATTGGATTCCGCAATGCTCTCCGGATCTCCGGGTGTCTAGTTTTTGCCCTTGTGCCGGTCTCCGGGGTGGGCATTGGCCTGGGAGCCGAATTTCCAGGCTAAAGTTGCGGACCAGACAGCTGGGCTGACGAAGAAGACTGGTTGGACGAAGGTGCCTTTGATCAATTGGAACATTGCCAAGTCGAAGAAGTTTGCCGGGCAAGCTTTGGGCTGCTTTATACAGTCTGCAGGCTATTCGACGCCACTGTTCTTCTATGCTGCCTTTGCTCAGTCTCTGGGATATAGCAAAAGTCAAGCGGACACCTTCATTACAATCAGCAATGCCGCCAATTTTGTGTCGCGGATTGTGATCGGATACGCAGCTGATAAGCTTGGGCGATTGAACATGTTGTTTTTTACCACTGTGGTGAGCGCCTTCTCCGTTTTTGCATTCTGGCTTCCCTCCACATTTGTCGACAAGACTGTCACGTCTCTTGCATCGGAGGTACTTTTCATCTTTTTTGCGATTCTCTATGGGTGCTTTGGCTCTGCTTATATCTCACTTTTCCCGGCCAGCTTGGTCGAGCTGTTCGGTGTGCAACACTACACTTCCGTGAATGGTGCGTTGTATTTCATTCGAGGTGCCGGTGCTTTGTTAGGAACACCATTGACAGGATTGCTGTTAAGTGGCCAGTCCGCATTAGAGTCCCCATACAACTATGAGAGGGTGGCAATCACTGTTGGCGTACTGCTGTCCGTTGCAAGTCTAGCCACGCTGTGGGTGCGGATCGAAGCTTCTTCTGGCAAGCAATGGGCGTGGAAAATGTAGTCCTGGATACCCCAACAAATGAATTACTCTTCGCAGGGATATCAAGGAATGAAACAGCAAAGAAAGTACAAGTGGTCCGGAAACAGAGCCGATATCGTCATGATACTGGCAAAGTAACTTATTAAAGCAGCGGCAGACTTCATTCAGTATTAGCGTCAGTGTGTTTGTCAACCAAACCTACTAGTAAGACTGATTAGACGCCATTACCTATTCTGAGCAGGAAGATGAACGCCAGCATAAACAACGTCAATACTGCTTCGACTGCATGCATGTTCTCTAAGCAGTAAGAAAAGGCATGAAACCATCCGCACGAGTACGAGTCTGCTGTTCTCCAATCAACTGCTGCACTTGTTCGTCGGACAAATTTCATGCAACTTAGCTTGAACTACAGTACGCCTGGGTTAGCTAGTTACAGGAAAGGAAATGTCGATCTCAAAGTATCCAACATTCTGTGAATTCTTAATCCTAGTACTGACAACCTTAGAAGCTGTAAACATAGAGAGCAGCCGCGGAATATCCTAGAAAGGAACGGTGTGCACCCATTAATCTAGATAATACTGAGAAAATGTACAATGGAGAAATCCACACAAGACAAGAATCTACCAGTCATAAGAATATTCATGTGAATATCAGAGCAAGCCGAAGTGGTGGGGATGGCAGAAATAAAGATCAATGTGCAGCGAAATGTCGGTTATAGCACAGAGCAGGCAGAAGAGGTATCGACGATTCGACATGAAGAAAAATAGAAGAAAAAAAGTTTCATAATACAGGGAATTTAGCTTGAGTGCAGAACATTGATCGGGGAAATAAGGGGGTATGAAGCAAGCAAAAGAAGACAAGAAATGGGGTGTTAAGTAAAAAGTGTACATCAAGGAGTGGGAACAACGGGCGTAAACACGGCTTTTTGTCAGACTTAAGAAAAGTAGACGGAAAACATCAAGCCTAGAAGCAGTTCAGAGTGCTCTTCTTCTTTTTCTTGTTGAGCGCGTTCATGCGCTCCTCTAGCTGGGCGCGCGCAGCCTCGGCTTCTTTGCGGGCACTGCGCTCTTCCTCGACAGCCTGCAGAGATAGACGGGCGGAGTTGCGCTCTTTCCGGAGAGTGGAGAGCTCGTCTTCCAATCCCCAGGCCTTCTTCTTCCAGGCTTCGCAGTCGGTCTTGACCTTGCTGCTTTGGGCCTCGAGGTCGCCAAGCGCCTCTTCCAAGGTGGCAGTCAGCTGCTTCTCGGCGTACAGGTGTTTCTCGATTGTGCGGATGCGGGCTTCCTGGTCCTCGACAAGCTGGGCGTTCACCAGCTCCTTGCTAGCGTGTCGAGAGGCGGGTGGAGACACACTGCCAGTGCCATTGGTCTGAGACGCGATAGATGGGAGGGGAGGAAGGGGAATGGCAGGTGGAGGCGAGGGCAGAGATGCTGCGGATGAGCTCTTGCGGAGGTTTGAAGTCAGAGAGCTGCTACGGTCGTGAGAGCCGTCGCCACTATTCTTGATTTGAAGCTGGTGGTTGTTAGACATAATGTAGTTGGAAAAGAACCGATACGGATCTTACCTCGAGCTGCTCAATTCGCACCTGGTAGGTCTCAGCTTCTTTCTCCAGAACAACGATCCGGGCCTTGGCATCCTCCAAGGCCTGGTCACGCTCTTGCTGGATCACAGAGAGACGGTTGTGGTGCTGATCGAAGCTATTAGTGATTTGCTCCTCGAGCTCCTCAACGAGTCGCACGCTCTTCTCCTTCTCGGCGGTGATCTCTTCAATAAGAGCCTCTTTCTTCTTAATCGCCTCATCCTTCTGCAGAAGAGTGTCCTCCAGGGTAGCAACCAAGAGAGCCAGCTCGTTAACCTTGGCATCCTGGGCAGCGCCCTTCTTAGTCAACTCCTCCAATTCGCCGCTCTGGGCAGCATTGGCGTCAATTTGCTGGCGCAACTCTTCGTTGGCCTCCAAAAGCTCAGCATACTTGTCAGAGAAATGCTGCTTCTGAGCCAGGACGTCCTGGAGCTGGTCGGTCAAAGTATCAGCGGTCACATCAGAATTGAGAAGGCCGGAAACAGCCTGGAGCAACTTGACAAGCTCATCACGAGACTCCGCGATTTCCTTCTGCAGAGCTGCCATAGACTGATCATGCTGTGCATTTCGCTCAGCAAGCTCTGCCTCGTGCTCAGCCTGAGCGGCCGCCTTGGTCTTCTCCTCCAGCTCGGCCATCTCACGCTTATGAGTGTCCTGGAGGGTTGCCAAGTCTGCCTTGTGGGTTTCAATGGCAAGCTTCTGATTGGCAATCTCGTGCTGGAGCTCAGAGACGCGGGCGAAGTCAGCCTCGGAGGGATCCTCGACGCCCTTAGCAGACTGCTGGGCGGCAAGTTGTTCTTGGGCAGCCAAGTGGGATGCCTCCAATTGTGAGATGGTCTCCAATTGAGTAGCGACGGTGGCCTTGTGTTCTTCGATCTCCTTGTTGAGTCTATCAACGAGTTCTTGTTGCTTGGTACGTTCGTTCTCGCGGTCCTGGTGAACAGCCTCCTTGTCGTCGCTGCTGTCGCCGGCAGCGCGCTCAGAGCGCATAGCCTCAACAGATGCCATGGCGGCCTCAAGCTCGGCCAGAGTGGCAGTGAGTTGCTGTTCGGAAGCTTGGAGAGAGCCCAGCGCCGTCTGGTGTTTGCTCTTCCATGCGGTCAGCTCACCCTCCAATGCGGAGATCTTCTTCTCGTGCTCCTCAGCACCGGCATCCAGAGCCTTTGTTGCGTTCTCTTGGCTACGGAGGAGACCCGTGAGGGTCTCAATCGCGGCCTGAAGCTCCTTCTCCCTAACTTCGTGGGCTTGGCGGAGTTCATTATTCTGATTCTCCTGAGCAACGATCTGGTCACGGAGTTGGGTGACAAGAGCCATATCCACCGAGGAAGCGCCACCCTGCAAGCTGGATCTCTCACGGGTGAGTCCAGAGATGATGGTGGCCTTCATCTCCATTTCCTTCTTCACATTCTGGTTCTCAGCTTCGAGGGTTTGCAGGCGCTCCATGCGCGAAGCAAGCTCGTGCATGGTGGCATCCAGGTGGTTCTCGTAGACAGCCAGAATATCTGGCTTGTCAGCAAACTCCTCATTGCCAATAGTGCGCAGAGAGGTCAGGGCTCGGTGCGAACGGTCAGCACCAGACAGAAGATTCTGGCTAGTCATGCGACGGATCATCTTGAAACCGGGGGTGGTGGGAGAAGCGGACTTGGTGCGCTGGGCCTCAGCCTCGGCCTTAAGCCTCTCAACAAGGGTGAGAATCTCCTCGTGCTCGGTCTGCAGCTCAGTATATTTTTGAGTCATGAGATCCGCGTCTTCCTTGTGCTCCGCAAGCATTCGGCGCATCTGTTCCACCTCTTCGTTTTCGGGGTGAATCGTGTTGTTGGTGACTGGGGTGTCAGAGCCTGAGCCATTCTCCAGTCTAGAGGCATCAGATTCGCGCAAGGCAGCTGAGTCCTCGGCCGAGGACAATTCCGAGGAGAGCGATTGCGAGAGTGAATGTTGTGCTCCACGCGTCGAGGTCGGAGCGCTTCCGTCCTCTAAAAAAGAAACCGGGCGGGACTCTGGGTTCTGGGCAGGGGCCGGGTGACGGGCTTCGTCCTCCCTGTCCTGGCGAAGTTCCGCGAGGGCCTTGAGGGCTTCCTCGTACTTGCTCTCGAGCTGCTCGTATTCGGTGAGAGTGGTCTCGTGGCTGAGACGCAGGTCAAACAGCTCCTGGGTCACTGTCTCAAGCTTGTCGGCCACGAATTTTGATTGCGCGGGGCTGGTGATAGTATCATCAGAGGGGCGGCGGGCCTCAAGTTTACTGGTAGCATTCTCCAGAATTTTCAGGTCATCAACATGTGGCTTGGGTGAGATCTTGAGTTCTTCATCTTCGGGGATAGTCTCCGACAGGTCCTCATCGGTTTCCGGGATGGTCGTTTCGGTGGCTTCATTAAGAACGTCCAGAGAGGGAGTGTGACGGTGAGGGAATTTTGGTGACGTAGAAGTGTATGATTGGTCGACGTTGTTCGCATCAATGTCTTCACCGTGCTTATTACGGCTGTCGAGATCATGAAGGAGATTGTCGAGCGTACCCAGACCACGTTGGCGGTGAATGACATTCTCAAGACGGATGACCTCACGTTGCATGAGCTCCATGTCTTGGTCAGCCTCAGCGAGGCGGTCCTCGAGCGTTGAGATGTACTCCTCGCAGCTAACTTCGTTTTCGCGAGCACGAGCAATCTCCTTGCGGAGCTCAGCTACGATGGAAGCATGCTGCTCCTCGCCAGTCGACGCGCCGTCCAACTTGGATTCCAACTCACGCAGGTAAGCTTCATTGCCAACTTCTCGGTCCAAAAATTTCTGAATGCGGGATTGAAGCTGTTGATTAACTGTCTCGACGTAGGTGCATTTGGTTTCGCGCTCCAGTAGTGTGCTCTCAGTAGTCGCTAATGAAGCGCGGGTATCAGAGAGCGAGGCTTCCAGAGACTGGATGGTCTTCTCGTATTCCAGCACGACCTGCTCGACAGACTCAGCGAAAGAGCGCGAGCGCTGCATCCGCTCGATGGCGTCTCGGCCGATATCAGCTGTAGCGTCATCGGCATCAACCTTGGCGGTCTCTGAGTCGCTGGCCAAGGTCGAGATCAGCTTGGTGTGGCGCTGGCTCAGAGCATTGTAGCTCTCCTGAACATCGAGCAGCTGGTTTTGCAGCTGGATTTCGCGCTCGTTCTTGCGTTCGTTGCGCTCCGTTGACACAGCTTCGCGGCGCTCAGATCCCTCGGAATTGCGGATCTGCTGGCGAAGAAAAGCCACCTCGGCCTTCAGACGCTCGATAAGAGCCTGCTTGTCGCTATCGTCGGCGATCTGCTGGATGCGAGGCTTACTCTGGATTGCGCGCGCGCGCTGCGCATATTGAACGGTGTTGAGGGTTTCGCTCAAGTGGAATTCCGCTGGTGTCACACAAGCAATCATGTACGTGATGGCGCTGCCGCCCAGGGAATCTTGAAGAAGACGGGTAAGTTTAGAATCGCGGTATGAAACGTGGGATCCGGATTGGCGCGAGGACAATTGGGAGATGACCTTTCCAAGGGCGGCAAGACCAGCGTTAATTGAAATGCCTTCCTTGGCGCGCTCGCCAGAAGCACCGGTGTTTTTCAGACGTTCGCTTCCTGCCAAATCAACAAAGTGAAGTTTGCTGTCCACGGTCACAGATTCGCTGGAGTAAGAGTCCACCGGCATTGACATGCGCTTCTCCTTGGTTGATGGAGAGGCAGGTGAATTTGATGGAGTCTTGCGCTGAACGAGGTTCAAGCTGAACACGGCGTGCGAGCGTGACGATTTGGCGTTGATCGCAGTCGAGTCCGTTTGCCGGATGGTGGAACCAAAGTTCAATGCGCCGATCAAGTCCTCGAAGGAGTTGATGTTCACCTGGTGAAGCCCGGTGAGAATAATGCGTCCCTTGGCATCTTCGCGAATGGTGACAGTACTGCGATCAGCCGCGGAGGTCGAGTCAGGAAGCAGCAAATCCCGTAAGTGTTCATTGTAGATCTCGACGTATGTGGCCTTCAACTGCCACGTCTTTTCCTGCTGTGGTTTCCCAAAGCTCGATGCAGAGCTCATCGAGTAGCGCTGCGGAGTTCGGAGCCCAGTGGGGTTGGAGCCATTACGATTGTGCTTGGGGCCGTCCAGTTTCTCGAATAGCAATTGCGCAGCGCGAGGAATGATACCCATCGCCTCATCATGGCTCTGTTCGCTAGGACCGGAGGTACCCATTGTGTACGATTTACCGGCACCCGACTGGCCATAGGCGAGGATCGAAACATTGTAGCCCTGAATGAAGGAGTTTACACTGTCGCTAAGGTATTCCCAGACTCCATCCTGGTCGACGGTCTCGGCGAAAACACGGTCGAAAACGAATAGCTTGCGGCCTTGTGGAACATCGACTGCTAAGCTTGTCGGGGTTGTGACGTGGACCATGGAGCGCTGGAATCGCTGGGGAATCAACTCGTAACCGGGGTCAGTTGGTTTGAGGGGGGGCGAACTCGAACAGCTAGACTTGCGCATTAATACTTATTTTCTTTTTATAGACCCAATGTACGTTGATATCATGACGGGGTGTGAGAGGGTAAACATTGGCGGCTCCGGCTATATTTCCAAAGGGCCCACGTACCAACTTTGACTGCGGTCTTTGCTTCCTCATCAGAGGCGCGACTCCCACCCTGTCGGCTGCTCATGCTCATGCGACTCCCACTGCGGGGAGTGCGCATTATAGAGACTCATAGGCCGCGGGGCAGGCCCCGTCGGCGATGCTGGCGGTGAAACCGTCATATCTCTCCCCTTGAAGAGCCACGCCGGGTGGGACAAAGAACAGGGGAAGAGGGGGTAAAAGGGGTATCAAGTAGAACTATGGCGTAGATCGGAAGGTGTCACAGAGTCATCAGGCGTAAAGAGTAGAAACTAGAATGCGGAGGAGGAATGTTAGTTGACAAAACCCCTGACTATGCGCATCCTCTTTTCTGTTTCTTTTTTTGGATTCAGCCAGGAAGCGCCCAACGTGTTTGCACCAGGCGGAAAAGTACCACAGTGAGATGCGGTCAGGACATACCAGGATTAATTCGGACGATGTACAGTCCTTGCAAAGAATAATTATCCCCTAGGGGGTTTTGGGGGGGGGGGGAGAAAAGGAAACAACCTGGAGAATTCCCACGGCCGTGCACAAGTCTAGACTAGACGGGGATTAGCACCGATTAAGATGAAGGAGGACTCGGGTGCGGTTGACGGTGGAGCCCAAACGGCTTTTGGAGCCAAGCGAGGGGTCTCGTCGGTGCTTCAATCCACGGGTCCGCTCAGGGGAGGTCTGGTTGACTTGTGGTTGAGGGGAACTTTTGCAGCAGTAGAAACTCCCCAGCTTCTATACTCTAGTTCGCGATGAGCAGCACAAGCAGATTCTTAATTAGCCGCTTCCTACCGCTTCCTACGCTCGACGTGCCGTCATATCGCCTTTTGTAAGAGACAGAAGACTATTCAAATGCCTTCTCCACGGCCGAACCCGCGATGATCCACGGTTCCTGTTGTTCCACGCGTGTCTACGCGTGTGTCAACATCTAGGTTCGATTGTCATTATCTTGCTTCTTCTGGCGGCTAAATGGATACTGATAAATTGAAGAAATAACTCTATCCCATGAAAATTAAATTACTCCTATTTTTGCAGTTCGTGAGCCACCCCAGCCGTTCGTTTCGGATTGCCGTTTAGGTTACCACTACGGGGCTTGACGGTCCAAAAAGGAGAACTACTAAGAGTCAATCTATGAGTTGGACAACGGCATTTACTAGATGGGAACAGACAGCCGGGCACTGTTTATTGCGACCAGGGTGACTGTTGGATGCTTTCCAAGCAAGCCTACAAATTTCCCTACAAATCTCCCTTTTCTGGTGTATCGTGCATATTCAAGCCGCGGATCCAGAACCTGCAGGTCTCTTGTACATGTACATGAACTCAAAAGTAGGCCAATTGTACGGATCGACCTTGCGAGCCTAGGCATAGGTTTCAACCTAGTTATCCTACTTATTTGAACCTTCCAGTCGAAGAAATCATCCGCGCTCCAGAGCCGCCGATCTTTGCGCCTTTGGTTGGACTGCTGGGCCCATGCGGGATTATTCTCCCCTTTTCCCGTCCCACTGCAGCAACAGCAATTCTCACAAATCCCCCAGAAAAGTGGTGTCTTCCACCAATTTGCTTGCTATTGATCTGGAAGCCTGTGTCCGTGGTCCCAGATTGGTCCAGCTGAGGAGAAATGCAGATACCGAGAATTGGGGATTCGTTTCACATGGAATTGTAAGATTGAGAACGTGTGCCTAAAAACGAGATGTGCAGGGAAGACCGTAATTTAGGCCTGCATTTTTTTCAGCTCCCCATTTCGAAGATCTAAGGCTCGCTCGCCGCTCTCCAATGGGCAGAATCGTGGAGCCACGTCTGCTCGTGCTCTATCTCCCCTAAATGTTCCGTGCAGGTTCAAGTTCTTTGTATCCTCCACACGAACCTGGGCCGGGCTTCTGGCGCTACAGATGATCGACCTCGTTTAATACCGACATTGTATAGCCCTTTACGGAACAGACATTGGAGATTAACTTTGCGTCAATGGACTACACACCAGGTTCTAGATGCCAAATGTCGTAGTGTTATGGGGGTCCAGCCCCCCTGGTCTTGTGCCAGTGTCAGGCCTATTAAGATAAAGGATCCTTCGATTCGCACGAGGCTCCACCAGCCTGTCAAGACACAATCGCGCGCTCTGAAACCCGAACCAGAGGCTCCGGGGACCAGAATGGAGTCGTTGACAGCTGGGCCTTGGGTTGCATAGCTAGAAACTAGACACGTATACGGAGTATTCAGCGAGTATCCTTACTAATGGACAGTTTCGCCCCCTTTTACTCCGTTTGACAGCGCAACAAATCATTTACCACTAGTATATGCAGAAGTCTTCCATGTAAACCAATTGATCAATGCTCGACTCCACTGAGGGACGTTGGCCCAGCCTCGCCCGGTCCGGTTCGTTGCCGGACAGCGCATGCTTTAAAGCACCATAAGCACCAGCGGCCCACCCGGTGTTTCATATTGGCTCCACAGAGCCACGATGGCATGACTAGCAGCACAGCTTGGGCCTTTTTCGTCTTGATTGCCGAACGCTGGAGCTCCAGCCTGTCTTGTTACGGCAACGATAGTACCTTTGGAAATTATGAAGACCCACTATGGCATTTGTCTGGTACCGCGAGCTAAATAAGCTATCCTATGGCGGTTGGTCCCCAGTGGAGCTATGCCACCGGCTGAGCTGAATCAAGCGTGTGGATCGGCAAGTTGGTGCCAGAATGTCAGACTGTCATTTCCGAGTGCGCTGCTTCGGTAAAGGGCTCGGCGACTGTTTCAGGTTGTGCCATTTGATACGTAGAGCACTAGTTCCTCGTGGAAGGAATCGCAGGAAGCCTCTTCAGCATCTGGCATTGCGAAGGTTGATAGTACACCCCTAGGGCATTCGGCAGAGTTTCAGACCTAAATAAGCTCATATTGATATAATAGTTTCAACGGAAAAGTGTGGATCTAAGGATCTATCCAGGGCATCCACCAGTGGATACCCAAGTCTATCAACAGAAAGCTGTATATGCAAGCACCGCCAGTTTTTAAGAACTTTCAAACAACGCAAATGCCCCGGGTAATATCTCTGAATAAGATCAAAAGCGACAGCAAATCTAAACAAATCACGTCGAAGCCGCGCCGTCGCCATTGGCAACCTGGGTCTGGGCCAGGCTTGGGATGTTTTCGCCCTTGAGATAGTTCTCGAACTCACCGACCAATTTGCCGCCATCGACCCAACGCTGCCGATAGGCCTCGCGCCTCTCGGCAGCCATAGCGTTAAGGGTAGGCCAGTAGACAGAGTGGTCGTACTTGAATTCCACATCGCCACCCACAGTGTTCAGCAATTGCTGTGGGGGAACATGTTTGCGGAGATCCTCGTTAAACTTGATCTTCTCGCGTGTCAAGGGGTCAATGAATGGTGTGATCAGCTTGAAGAACCCCCAAATAACCCAAGGCACTAGACCTGAATTAGCACATACAGTCGAATAAAAATACTTCTGACAGTAGACTTACCGTTGATAACGAGCGCACGCCCCAATCGCTCGGGATAGTGGTTTTGCAGAATGTTCAAAGTCTCCTTGGCCTGGGCAATAGAGGCGTTCTGTCCAGACTTGGTCTCATTGAAGTTGATGATGAGCGCGATAGTCTCCTGGTTCGGGCCCATAAGCTCGATATCCCGCTCAAGCATGTAGACCAGGTGCTCAACCTGACGGTCACTCTTCTCAGTATTCTGCCTAGAGGGCAGAAGATAGTGGCATGGTCGGCCGTGAATATCGTAACCAGCAATGATTTGCTTTCCAGTGGCGTTCTCGACAGAGATGTAATCGGGTGTCAATTTCTTAATATTATACTCTCGACGCCAAGTCAGGGTGTCGAGAAGTCGGGTCTGAGCCTCGGACACATTCCACTTAGTTGCGCGCAGGTATCGAAGCAGACATTCACGAGTCAACCACATGCGTTCGTCGTCCGTGATCGGCTCAGTGGGCGCGTTTTTTCCAGCCTTGGTTGGCACGGTCTCCCATGAAGAGACGGTCTTGAGAACTGCATCGTACTTGGACTTCTGGTCCGCAGTCAATTCCGCAGGCTTGGGCGGTTTGCACGATTCAAGCGGTGCAGGGAACGGCTTCACCATGGGACCTGATTCCGCTTCATATGCGGGGGGCGGTTCGGTGACCGCCTCCTTGTCCTTGGAGGCTTCTTGGGCTTTGGAATCGGCACCCATGTCTGGATTAGGGGTTAGTATTCTCAGGAGAACACCGAGACTGAGGGCAAATCATCCATACTTTTCCTCTCCAATTGTTTTTGTTGCAATTGAGAAAAGCCTCTCTTGGATCGACGGGCCCACTAGAATCTTTAAGTGACCCGAGCTCGATCGCAATTCATCTTACCCTTTCGGGCGTTGCTTAGTCACCCACACGCCCGCGCGTCGCGTCCGACTCGCCGCAACTCGGCGAGGTATTGAAGCTCGACACTCGTCTCTTGACGAAACACACCAGGCTAGTATGGATGCCACGGCTAGTGAGCTCAATGAGCTCTTCAGCGCTTCTTTTCCCGAGGGTCTGCCTCAAGATATCCTCGGCGAACTCCAGTCAATTCTACGGATACACTCGATCAGCGCGGAGGAACTATTCTACAAATGGGAGTCCTACAGCATGAAGATGGGAGACGAGGTGAAGTTGAGTATGGACACCGTGCGGTCATTTAAGCAGGATGTCCAGGAGGCATTGGAACGAGAGACCCGCGGAAAAGCTGGTCGTCAGAATGAGAAACGCAATACTGTGATGGCAACCCCGCGCGCCGCCACTGGCGCTGATGTGTTCGGGATGTATGTAGAAACTTTGCCTTTCCAACGAGATTTGGCTTAACTGACCAATTTTTAACGTGGTATAGGCTGGATGGACTCACTCCGAACTCCTCAAATGCGCGACCCCAAAACGGAGCCAACGGCTCTGTGAAGCGGAAGGCTGATTTCACATCGCCCGCAACACCAAAGGTTGGGCGAGTCGCAGATATTGGAACACCGGGTGCGAAGACACCCACGTCTTCCGCAAATGGTTTCTCCTCTCAGTATGTCTCGATTCCCCGTCTTGAACTTGGTCCCCACGTCGCTCACAACCCCCACAGAAGCGTTCCTTTCGCAGAACGCCCTAACCCCGGACAGACGGTGGAAAGTCTGAACTCCCACCTGCCTCTACCAGATCCTCCCATGGCTCCCTTTTCCGAAGCGCGCATTCGACCTACCGCGAACACTGATCTCAAGAAGTTTGGGTACAAGCCGATGGGCATGAAGCTGTCAGAAGCATCCGAGATTCTCGATGATCGCATTGACGAATTTACGACCATCTTCCAAGAGCGATACAGCTCCGACGAATTGACTTTCGGCAGCGCCGCTGTGCAAAGTACAAGTGAAATTATTGCGGTTGGGCGGATCGCCTCAGACTCGTTAGAGGGGAAACTGAATCCTGCCTCGCTAGTCCTTGAGACTTCACGCCGAACAGGAGCAGGACGAAGGGTTCCTTTGAAGGTAGATGCAGTGCCCGGGTTGAACTTCTTTCCTGGTCAGATTGTAGCTCTGCGAGGAATCAACCCCTCGGGCGAATACTTTACAGTCAAAGAGATCCTTCCCCTCCCTCTCCTGCCCCCGGCAGCATCGTCGGCAGTTGCCCTAGAAAACATTAATGAGCGCCTTGAAAGTGGGGATGCGAACCCACCCCTCAATATCATGGTAGCAGCTGGGCCTTACACAGCGGATGACAATCTGGATTTTGAACCTCTCCAGGAACTGTGCCAGAAGGCTGCAGACAATTACGCTGATGGAGTCGTTCTTCTCGGGCCATTCCTCGATATCGAGCATCCACTGCTTGCTTCCGGAGACTTTGATCTACCGGAGATCAAGGGCCTCGATCCCGATACTGCAACCATGACGACCATCTTCCGACACTGTATTTCAACGCCATTGGCCCGGTTGGCTAGTGCCGTGCCTAGCATCACCATTTTCTGCGTGCCTTCAGTACGTGACATATTGAATCGCCATGTGTCATGGCCACAGGAGCAGATCATTAAGAAAGACCTGGGCCTGCCTAAGCAAGTGCGCATGGTTTCCAACCCAGTGACTCTATCCTTCAACGAGACCGTTATCGGCATGTGTTCTCACGATGTGTTATCAGAGCTGCGCCGGGAAGAAGTGCTCCATGGCAGGCCCACCGAGGGCAACTTACTGACCCGCCTACCCAAGTATTTGATCGAACAACGCCATTTTTTCCCCTTATTCCCTCCAACTGCCCGCTCGAACCTTCCCAAGCCCGGGGCGGAGAACGGTGTAGCTACAGGTGCTATGTTAGATGTGCCTTACATGAAGTTGGGCGAGTGGTGGAACGTTCGACCCGATGTACTCATTATCCCCAGTATGCTTCCTCCTTTCGTCAAGGTATGTTTTTCCCTCTTTTCTCAACACTGCTCTTTCTCCTCACTTCCATACTAAAACCTTAGCTTCCAGGTTGTCGACAGTGTCCTCGTCATCAACCCCGGCACTCTGTCAAAACGCCGTGGAGCAGGGTTCTACGCACAAATGTCAGTGCACCAGCGATCCATTGCCGAGGAAGATCGGGAGCAAAAGCAGTCTCTCGACCACAAGCTATACGAGCGAGCCAGGGTAGATATCAACCGGATCTGAAAAGCTTCCGGCTGTTCTGTACAATCGCACCACTTTATCGGCATTAGGTTCCAGCCGGAGACAAAACACAGTCTTGTTTACATGCAGGCCTTCGCCTTGAGACTAATGACGAAAGGGCTACCTATGGCGACCCCACTGCCAACAGAAACGAAATCAATGAGACTCAATCCCATCCACCCAGTACTCCAACCCATGCTATTCTATTTCGCCCCATTCATGAACCGTAATGCAAGACCCAACCCCAATAATAACTCATCATAAAGCCGCATCCCATCCCCTTCAGCGTAAACAAATTGTCCTCCGCCCCCCCATCTTCCTCCCCGCGCTCCGCACCCGTATAGCCGGAGCATCAACGGCCGCCGCACCCCCCGACCCAGACCGCAGTGTCGCCGCAGGCCCCAAACCCCCCCGCCGCCGCCCCCGTCGCCGCAGGCCCAACACCCGTATGCTGGAGCACGCCCCCGTGTCCCTCGCCGTTCACAAGCGCCTCGAGTCCCAGATCGCGCCACACGGCCTCGCGTCTGCGCTCCATGGCGCGCGTGATCCCGAACGCGGCGTGCTGGTCGGGCACGACGTCGTCTTCGTCTTCGGGGTTGGGCGGCTGGTGCTGGGGCTGGACGTAGATGTCTTCGACGGGCAGGAAAGAGGGGATCGCGGTGGGGGAGGCGGATTGCTGGGTTTGCTGGGATGTTTGCGGGTTGGTCGAGGGGAGGTGTGGGGGCGTGTGAATTCTTCGAAGAGGTCTGCTAGACGCGGTTGGTGCATGTGGAGGTATGTTGCGGAGGAGTCTTTGCTCTGGGGAGTGAGGTGAGTGGATGAATTCTAGGAAGAGAAGGTTGGGATTGGGGTTACCATTTTGGTGAGCTTTAGTTGTCTGGATGAGTTGAATGGAGAGATTGGAATAGGAGGAAGGTTTTGAGAGGTTGCGGGAGGTTGCGCGACGTTCAAGTTTTGGGTAGGAAGGACTTTCCTGAAGGTGCAGGTTTACGCAGTTACTGGGGAGCTCCAGTTTGGGTGGGTCCGCAAATGAAGTGGACCACCCCGCGGAAGATACACTTTTAAGGCCATAAGTTTATAGGTTTGCCTACGACTGTGTTTTCTACTTGGGGTGGCTTCTCGCTATTCGCTACAGATGCTCATTGGGTATCAGGAACTTATGGGAACCCTGGGCATGCAACAAAGACCCGAGGTCGGAGGGGCCATACCGAGTCCATCTAATCTGTAAATATCGAGTCCACATTAAGACCACATTGATCGAGTCTCATTTCCGAATAGTTCTTTAACTACTAACGACAAATGCCATATCAGTACATCCTCTGATACAAGCCCGTGAATTTACGCCTTTTGGAAATTGAAACCTTGATATAAGAGGCCATCAGAAACTTTTCATACGCAACAATCCACGTCTTCACATATTCGTGCTCATTCGGTGCACGATAGGGACAGCACTGGGCGGCAAGCTACCCATCTCCGTGACAACCATGTCCACATACTCCGCGGGGGTAACATCGTACATCAGATTGAGCAATTGCAAGTTCGGTGTGTCTTTCCACGTAGCGAGGGGCACGGGAGGGTTAGCTGTCGCCGGTGCTGGTTCCGGCTTCGGGATGTGAGCTGCGTTTTTCCCACCCTTCTTGTTGGTCTCGGGCACAGGAGGAGCAGCAGCGGGATCAGGTAGGCCGGTGACTTGCTCTGGCTCGTTGGCAGCGACCAGCTCATCGGCATCCGCAATTTCGTTCACCACGATACTGTCCAGAGCGACACGGTCGGTGAACTTGACGGTCTCGCAGCAAACGATGACAGGCACTTCGACGCCTCCAGCCCGCTCCTTGGCGGACATGGCGACTAAAGCAGTACCCACCCGTGAGTAGAGGCGGCCGTTACTGGTCATGGCGTGCGCGCCAAGGAACACCTTGGTGGCGTCTTTGATCGCGTGGCTGATTCCGTGCACAAGCGAGTACTGCACGTCCAGGCCGGCATTTGCGAGGGCGCGAGCAAGGTTCTTGCCCTCGAACAGGGGGCGCGAGTCGATGATTGAAACACGGAACTTCTTTCCTTCCTTGTGCGCTGCCAACAGACTCTGCTTCACGACCGAACTGCCCGCGAATGTCACAATGACATCGCCATTCTGGATCTTTTGGGCGGCGCTGCCTGCAATAACCTGATCGGCTACTGTAATCTTCTCTCTGATGAAACTGTCAATGAAATCGCACAGAGTCGCCTTGGCGGCTGATTCGGGAGTGGCGGGGTCCATGGAAGCAATAGATAGCTTCAGGGCTCGGATAGCATTACCCTGGCTGATTGAAAGAGGACGGCAGGTCGAGAGGTAAGTGATCTGATGTGAGAGGTGTGTCGTTAAATGACGAGCAAGCGAGGTACCCAGGGGCGTAGTATAGCTTTCAACGACCTGGTCAAATGAATCAGCATATCCAACCCACAAAACAGTGTTTCCTTAAACCGGAACTCAAATAACATACCCGCTTGAAAGCAAGCATCGTAGCAACACACCGGGCACTGCTCCCGCAGACCACGTAATCCCTCATTTGCAGCCCCAAAGCCAGCACCGCAGGGTGCACTTCCTTCGCCGCACCAGAGACCGTAGTCCGGCGCTGCTGCCCATACAAGTGGCCAAAAACCGCAACACTCTTGTCCTCCTTCTTCTTCTGCTTTTGCTCAACAGCACCAGCCCCGCCCGCGTGGGCCGCAGGCATCGATCCGCGCCGCGCATACGGAGCCTTCGAGCCCTTCTGAGCCGCGCCACCAGCAGCATCTTTCTTCGGCGTGTTCGGAGCCCGCTGGCCCGCCGGAACCGAGCTGCCCGCAGCCCCAGCTCCGCTCTCTCGCTCCTGTCTCTCCTTCGCGCGCCGGGCGGCCTTTTCTGCCTTGGCTTTCTTCTTCAATTCGCCTGCGCTGAGGGTCTTGTCCCCGGGCGCGGCAGAGGCATCGGCGGAGGCTGCGGCAGCGTCATTCTTGGACTTGGCCTTTCCCTGGTCCTGGCCCTGCTCTTTTGCGGATTGAGGTTGCGGTAGTGTTTCGGGCTGTGCGGGGCTGGCGCTTTTTGCGTCGCGAATGGGTAGGGATTGCGAGGGGGGGAGCTTCGCCTGTGGATTGGGTGGGAGCTGGGGTGGTCGCAGCTGGGGTGGAAGAGGAAGGCGCCGAGTCGACCGGGTCCGCCATTTTGAAAGGCTCGATCTCGATGTCTTGGGGGGTGGTGGTTCTTGGACGGTGGTGGGGAGGCAGAGTTGAGTCATGGAAAAAGATGTGATGCCATAAGCGGCCCACCGAGCGCCGCAACCCTAATCTCCGCACGCGCATGGCGATGTATGTAGATCCACGCGCATGGCGATGTATGTAGATCCACGCGCCAAGCAGTGCAAAATGGGGCTGCTGTGAAAATCTGAGAGAGAATTATGTTATGAAGAGACTACCAGTATCATCGCCAGCTAGGTCTTGTTCAGTCACGCAAGGCCTAGTCCCAAAACTTTGTTAAGAGGTACCACGTGGGAAGCAAACGAGAAGGCACAAAGAAGACGACTTAAAGTGTCTCGTCAGAGGTCATTCGTTATTCATCTGGAATCTCGCTAGAATAGAAATAGACTGGAAATAAAAGAGCAAAAAAAGGGAGTAACTCGAAACGGGCCTGGCGAGAACCGACCGTTGCCCAAATAGTCTGGCTCCAGCCCAAACCATAATCAAAAAACAAAGAATGTTCTGTACTGGACCGCCAACAAACACCGTATCTGCATGCCTTGCAAAAATGAATAAACAAGAAGAGAAGGTTAGATCTTAGCGAATATTGGCAGGAATGTTTCCCAACACCCGTCGCTTGCGATTCATGGCTTGCTCAGAAGGCTTCCATCGTTCATGATCTGTGGCTAGCTTGCGCTTGAACATACTCAACTCTCCCAAGAGGTCTTCCATACGGGATTGCATCTGGACATCTTGGCTCGCATCCCAATCTACGGTGTTGTCGTCCTCCTCGTCTTCGTCCTCGTCTTCCCAAACCCCTGAATCAAGCTCAGGGGAGGGGGTGCCAAATGCACCGACCGGCGAGCCCTCCCGGCTGCAGCTTTCTCCTGGGGCCATGTTCTCTGCCCCTGTCGTTGATGCAAGACTGGCTCGGTCACGCTTTTCAACGTTGACAGGAGGGATCGGATTTTTCAGACTATCCAAAGCAAGCTTGAGGTGTCGTCGCAGGGACTCGTTCTCTGTCTGTAATTGGCGGATCTTGCATTCGCTGACCATCTTCGTTTCTTCCATCAAACGTTGCATGGTCGCCACCTGCTGCTGGTATTCATCCAGCTTCTCATTCTGGGCTTCGGTAGCACGCTGGGTTTCCGTTGCCTGGCTCACACTGAGCTGCAAGTTACGGATCGTTTCCGCCATTTCCGCGATCTGCTGGTCACGCTCCGCGGCGGACACATGATCTTGATTGACACGGGCTCGAGTGCGGATGTGCTTCGCCTGGTCGGCGTATCTCAAAGTGGAAAGCGTTTCTTCGTAGTCGGCAGGGGCAATACATGCAATCATTGCCGTCTTCGAATTACCGCCGAGGCTGTCCTTCAGCAACCAAGTAAGGATGGAGTCACGATAGGGGACCAATTCTTTGCCCTTTCTTCCGCCGCGACTCTTCTTCGGGTCTGCCAACGCCGCAATGACACGGCCCAAGGTGGTGAGTGACTTGTTGATGTTCGAGCCTTCGCGCAGCCGAGCCCCAGTTGCTTCGGTCGACTTAGCTCGTTCGGAACCTGCAAGGTCAACGAGCCGAATACGGGCGGTCCGCTCTGTAGTCTCGTCCGATGATAGATCATGGTGGATCTGCTTGAGCGTGATGGTAAAGACAGCATGCGATCGTGAGGAGGTATCATTCATCTTCGTGCTCGCCGTCGTCCGAGACATATCACCCTTGCGCATGTTTTTCATTAGCTCTGCGAAATTCCTTACTGTGAGCTCGGTCAAATCTTTCACATATGGTCCCTCTGATGGCGACTCTCGAATGCGAAGGTAGTGTGGCGGGTCTGTCCGTGGGACCAGCAGATCGCGTACATGCTCATTGTAGACTTCAAAGTAGGATACTCGAACATTGTAGCTCACATCCGGGGACGGCGAGTCCTCAATACGCTGGAATAAATCCTCGCACGTCCGAGGAATCAAACCCGGTTGCTCTGGCGTGCCCATCATCGTGTAACTCTTTCCCGAGCCCGTCTGGCCGTACGCGAAGATACAAGTGTGATAGCCCTCAAAATTGTGGTCCAAGAACTCCTCGCCGAGACAATTGTAGACATCCTCCTGGTGCGCGTAGTGATCATCTTCCTCGTTGTGCGACCAGAACGAATTGTCGAAAGTGAAGTTCTTGTCCTCGAGAATCTTGCCACGAGCCTGCGACTTCGGCTTTCCCTGGTCGCGTATGCTGGGCTTCGGCGCTTTCAGCTTGGTCATTTGCGTATGCGGGTCCATTTCGATCAGACATTCGGCATTGCGCTCAATCTCTGTTCCATGTTAGCAGCTTACTCCCCGCCAGATCACCTATCGTACGTGCCCGCGCACGTCAAACGTCTGTCTCCGGACTGACCTCTGGGTAGGAACTTCCGAACGCGCACGACGACGCGCACGTTTCCTCCAGGCGACGGACTGGCTGCTCCATCTTGGCGGGTTGCGACGCCGCTTTCTCGGGCGCGAAGGGAGGGGCTGGAGGCGTTGGATCGGAGGGCGGCGGCAGAGGCGGAGGTCGAGACCACGCTGGGCGAGGTGATGCCTGTGAGGGCCGAGAGATCGGAAGATGTGGCGGAGGAGATCGAGCCAGGCCCTGGGCTCTGGTCGAGGTGGCGATAGAAGCGCGGATCCAGCGCCATTTCCCTACTGTATTCCTTCAACAACTGTACACAAGTGTCGACGGCGTCGCGTCTTCGTTCGACGAGGTGATGGTACATGCAATCAAGATGTGGTACAGGAATAGGAGTATTTTGACAACGGGAAATTGAAACGAAAGAAAAGGGGGTAAGTACTGTTGTGGTTTCCTATAGAATCAAAGGTTCATCTCCAGTTTTGGCGGGGGAGGTCGGGAGGTAAACACGGAGGCGTCAAGTGTTTCAAGATACGCTCATGCTATGGAATGCACCGTCTTTCCACAAGCACAATTCTCCAATAGGTAGAGGGGGATTCAACTTAAGATACCAGCGACTGTAGAAAAGAGATGAGTTTATTTGACAAGCTACTCGGCGGTGTACAACCGACAAAAGGATGCGATGGGCGGTTGCCATAGCAATGCCAAGGGCCGTGGTGATGCGCGAACTACTAGTCCTACTAGTGCACAGATCGGAGAAAACGAACTCCAGGTCATGGGGCAATTTGGTTTCAAAGTCACTCATAAATCATCATGTTCAACTCAAATCACATATCCAACTTAATCAAAATCGGCGTGCATGGCATCGAATGGATCGATGTCGTCGGCGCCGTCTCCTGTTGGACCGGTGGAAGCAACATCCGGCACCGGATTGCCAGTTGAATCCATTTCCTTAGCGAGTGATTGAATCGGGCTTTCGTCCGAGCGCTTTGCCTTCTTTGCGGTGCGGTTGGCTGCAGCTTGCTGTCGATCTGCAGTCTTGTGGTCCTGCGTGGAGTTGAAGAGGTGGCGCTGTTGGTCGGCGCCATCAGGAGCTTGGAACTGGGTACCTTTCGGAGCAGGCATTATGGACTCGTCTGCCTTCCGAGCTAGTTCTGCGGATCAGGCTGATTAGCATCTATCGAGCTAGCTGCCTCACACGAGTAAACACGAGTAACTCTGCTCGAGTTGCCCGCATGGGCAGCACGAAGTGATCCACGAGTATTCATACCACGAGAATACATATCACGAGTCCTGGAAGACTAATCAATGTTTTGGTGTGGTCATGGTTGTATGTCACCACTAGGTCTTCGCAAACATCCTCTCTTATATACCTGTGGATGTCTGGGGCGGGGGTCCAATTGATGATTCAGTATGACGAAGAGAACCACTTTCCTCGTATCTTTCTCCGCATTTGCTGGGATCTAGGACGATCGGTGCCACCGATTCCAATAATTTCTCGAACAAAGGTCATGAGCGACGACCAGCTTCAGAATACGGGACCCAATCGCATAAGTGCTAAGTTGGTGGTTAACCGGTGCAGCCCACGGATCCGGAGGCGAAACATGGGGTCGAAGCTCGCCACACACTCGTATCTGCTCCTGACTTGAAGGAAATCACCGCAGAGAGAAAGTTATGGTGCTTGTGGCGACCATTTGATGCTCATTCTATGCGGTTTTGTGGGTGCAGAGTAGCTTCGACCGCGGGTCGTGCTGAATTTTGGCAGCTGTATACTCGCTTCACGCCTGACATTACACATGCTTGTTCAAGAATTAGCATACTAGTATTGAATATTTTGATTGATAATACGACTACCCGAGATCGTTTGGAATCATTTGGCTTCTCAATTAATCAGAAGATCCGCAGTCTCTAGTTATCTATCGGAAAATCATAGGCTTAAGTCCGTCCAAGCCGCCCGAGGTCGTTAGCTATACCACTTGACCTGATAGCTCCAGACGAAAGATTTCAAGGATACATCGGATTGGGGTGATTATTACTTTCAAGCAATATAATCCAGAAGTAACCACCTAGCCGCCGTGTCAATGATCGACGAAGCTGGTTATCTACTAGTACTGATGGCAAAGCTCAAGCAAAAAACGACCGAGAGCTTACCTGGTTACAAGGCGGGCCATCAAAACTCATCTCGAATGGCGCCATCACCAAGACATGAAGAAGATATTGAGACGAGACCTGATAGGACGGCGACTGCTATACTCTTGCTTATGAATGTTCGGTGTCGGATTTTAGCAGCACCGAACGAGAGACCCTCGTGCAGGCCCCCCTCTTTTTCCGTTTTTGTCCCTCATTGAATCCGAATGCTTAAATCCGAATCCTTACAAAGTCCATAAAATCATAGGGCAACCCCAGCCTCTGCGGTGCTTGCCACAAAATTCAGAGCTCCAGATTATAGGTAAGAAATCAAGTACTTCAAGATGCATGACTGTTGTTTGAAAGGCTTCAAGTGGGAGGGCGAGCCTATCGGCCGCGAAGAGACCTTCGCCGGGAACTCGACATACGTAAGCGGCAACAACAGCGATGTCGCTATTCTTGTGATCCACGATCTCTTTGGATGGACATTCCCCAATCTACGGCTCCTGGCCGACTCGTACGCTGAGGAAACCAATGCGACAGTTTACCTCCCGGACTTGTAAGTACAGACTACTCGCGTCGCTCTAGCCCAAGTTGATAACTTTATGTATTCGAAGCTTTGGTGGCGAAGTCCTCCCTTTTGACATCGTCGCCAAAGATCCTGCGGAGTGGGCACCACTAGACCTACCTTCATGGGCAGCACGCAATAACAAAGAAGTGCGTGAGCCCGAGATCTTCGCATTTGCCAAGGGACTTCGGGCCCAGTATAAACATGTCGCCGCTGTCGGGTCCTGCTACGGCGGATGGGCCGTGTTCCGGCTCGGTGCGAAGGAGAACGACGGTCTCGTAGACTGTATCTCCACGGCGCATCCCTCCTGGCTTACCAAAGATGAGATCCAGGCTGTCGGCGTCCCTGTCCAGATCCTCGCGCCGGAGATCGATCCTGTGTTCACGGCAGAGCTCAAGGAGTTTAGTCAGAAGACTATCCCGTCGCTTGGACTGCCGTTTGATTATCAGTATTTTCCTGGGCTGGAGCACTCGTTTTCCGTGAGGGGAGACCGGGCGAATGAGGCTGAGATGAGGGGCCTAGAGAGAGCTAAGAATGCAGCTGTGCATTGGTTTAAGCAGTGGCTGCAGTGAGGCGAGGCGAGTGGTCCACATGGAGTCACTTCTGTAAGCAGATCCTAGGATCAGAAAGTTCGAGGCTAGATGAAATCCAACAAATTTCCGATCGAGATGCAGTCTCATATTTGTCCGTATATCATATATCCCTAACGCAAATGAAGCTCTTCACATCCAGACCACAACGTAACAGGACTCCCAAGCAGTCGATGGACGACACACTTAGGTCAAGGCTGAGGTTTCATGACAGAAATTGATACACGCACCGTCGTCCAGATTAACAGGTCTACGAGAAACGTCGTCGGATGAGCCCATCCATCCTGTCGAGAACGATACCTCAACCGTTTCGGAACTCACGCCTCACAGATGCCACGTGAAATGCGAATGGGGACCTGTCTAATCATACTTAGACAAGCAGGCTACTCAGCAATTATCTCTAAGCCTGGGGGCCGGACATTGCTGGAGCATCATCCTTATAGTGGACACTAAATTGGACCTACTAGTAGTATAAAGGGATCAAACAGCGAAAAATTGGATTTGCAGCAAATTAAGCCATGCGGAAGGGTATATGAGAAAGACAAAGCTATTATGCTAAAGTTGCAATAGATGGCGAGATAGTTTCAGTATAGATCCTCAAGATTCTTCAATTCCAAGGTCCCTCTCCTTTGCCAAGGTCATCTCCTCGTCCACGCTGGCAGCTTTAAGCCTTTCTTTTCGGGCCTGCTCCTGGGTCGAGACATACCGCACCAGGCTCTCACAAAGCCGATCGAGCACCCACTCAGGCTCAGACTGATGAGCCAGCATAGGGCTACTCTCGCCGATCCAATCCCAGTTCAAGACACCGTATTCATCCTCTTCGAGGGCGATGGTATTCTCATCACCCCCGGACTGACTGGGACCAGCAGAGGGGTTGGACGCAGAACGAGGGTTTGTGAACTGGATCAGGCGAGTAAACTCGACCCATTCTTCGTAACTGTATCGTTTGCGCTGCCCAGAGCACACATCCTCGGTTACCCGACGGATCGCAAACGCTAATTGCTGCGCGAGTTCGAAGGGTGACGGATTGGGTTGCTGAGCAAGCTCCTCGATTGTTCGCTGAGGATGGTTGCGGGCCGAGTTTCTTCGGGATCGAGACAGGATGGGATCTTTGTTTCTTTCAGCATCGCCACTGCCAGCCTCATCTGGAGTATCGGCACCGATCGGGAAGCCTCGTTCAACGCGCTTTTTCTCCTGGTGTCTTCGGAGAGCGGAGCGCAGAAAAGGAATACGTGCGATAAAGCCCCTGTAGGTCCCGGCTTCGGGCAAGATGAAGACTTCGGCAACTTTTTTGGTTCCGTGGTTGAAACTAGCGACGACAGTGTCACTCATTTGCGAAATAAGCATAGTCATGGTCGGGATCGCCACCAGGGACCAGAAAACGAAAAACGGTCGACCGGCATTCGACTGCGGTGTGTAGTCACCGTATCCGATGGTCAGAAGGCAAACAAAGCAAAAATACAGAGCGTCAAAGTAGCTCCAATCATGCTCAAGCAGCCAGAAAACCACCGCTCCACAGGACCAGACGATTCCAAACACTATCACGCTGATGACAAGATCGTTCCAGCGGCGAAATCGCATAGTTTCGTACTGAATGGCTCGCATGGCATCAAATCGATCTTTTTCCTCCCTCATAACAATCACTTTCGGCCTTCCACCAGTGGCTAGAGTATCAATGGCACTGCGAATGGGCTGGTGCTTATGATGTGGGTGGTAAGCAATCTGGGATTCTCTCCTTGCCAGCGCTGAAATCGCCGGGCCCGTTGTTCCAGCGCTATCCCCTTCCTTAGAAGTGATGGTTCGGTCGAAAGTCCATTGTCGCTTTGATTCAATGTGTTTTCGGACAACATTGTCGTAATGGACTTCCCGTGCGAACCGGTGAATACTTGAAACGACCAGACCAAGCATGATCACGCCAATGACTGCGTAAGGCCAGATAAGCCCTTTTCCCGTGGCAGTCTGAGCTGTCACGTCACCGAATCCCAGCGTTAAAACCGTGATATCGCAGAAATAAAGAGCATCTGCAAATGAGATCCCAAGGACGCGCTGGAAGATGGCGGCTCCAATGAGGAGCCATGCAACAAGTGCCGTCATTTGCAGAATCAAGGTACGTTGGTCATCTGTGAGTGAGAAGTGCTGCGGGTACCTTCCGAGGAAGTAGCCGAGCATGTTTATCATGAGGAGGACACCCAGTAGGAAATAGAGCGCGGCTGCAATCACGGCGCTCCAGTAGGCCTGGGAATACACATCGTCAGGTCCGACTGGAGGGGCATAGATATGAAGAGACGCAGTGGCGGCACAAAGCTACGGGCATTTGTTAGCGTGAATCCGTCCTATATTCATAGATCACTGGTGGGCGAAAACTTGGGAAAGCTTACAATGGCTGGAGCTAAAAACCACAAAATAATGGTAACTGGGAGAGCGATAATATACCGAACAGCCTGAGTGAAATTAAGTAGTAAGAATATATTGCCTACCACACCGCAAACGAGCGAGGCAGCATTCATCCCCGTGCTCCTATACAAGATTTGAGGTAAGCCGCGACTCATTTCATCTTGCGCGAGGCAAGGTCTCCGAGGTAGCATCTCTCACCAATGGGGGTCATCATAGCCTTCTTGGACCCAATTCCCCGCAGGGCCTGTACTCCTGGAAATGATCCTGCTCCTCCACGGCATAACCAGCGCAACGATTGACATAACATTGGCTAGCGGCCCGGCTGCCGCCGCTACCAGAGGAATGGCCGTCGACGCGATCCACCAAGACTGCGGCTCATCGTCCTCGGGCGGTCGCATCTGAAAATTCCCCTTGAAACGACGCCAAAGCGACGCCTGGTCAGCCTTGGTGGCCTCGTCCGAGGATCCATTCCGCATTGTTCACCCGGCCCCAGGCGACCGGGTCCAGCTGGTGGCCGGTGACAAAGTCGACCAGCGTAGCTTTCGAAGCTGGGCGGCGAGCTGCAAGTAACCGGTGCTCTGTATTTATGCCTTGGTGTCGATTTGGTTATGGACTGCGCGGGTTCGAGTTTGTCTCTCTGGGCTTACGCGGTGCCGTGGGCTCCCGTCTGCCAGTTTGAGAGGCCGTGGCAAGATCTAGCTCCTCGATTTGTCGGTTTAAACCCTAGGCTCTAAGGATAGAGTGCTGTGAGCTGGGTTGGTCCACGACGCGAGATGCTCGGCATCTCGAAATGATGTCAAGCCGCATGGCCAGATGATTGGATCTGCGTCCCGTGACTCCCCACCTAAAAACCATGGGCCTTGTGCCTTTAAGATCAGGAAGTGTATGGAGCTACGGCTAAACAAAAATAAAGTTGTAGATACAGATCATGGGTCATAGATCTTGATTACATATGGATCGGGGAAAGTACAACCTCAAGGCTGCCAATCGCGTGGTACCGATATCTCTAGCCTCCACCCAGTGAAACGTGATAATCCACATTGCTTACGGACGTACTTCTGCAGGTAATATGCATATATGAGTGCCAGTATTGACTGTTATACGCTCCAATCTTAGTCTTACGTCCAGTCGCTGAAATTCCAATATATAAGCTCAACACTCAGATGGCTGGTTCTACTGACTCTTCTACGCTGTCCTACGGTAAGATACTGGCAGGTTCTACAATGTCAAAGACAATCAGGACATTCAGACGAAACGAAAATCGATTTAACAGAAGAAAATCCGAAACTACATACATCCAAAAAAAAAAAAAATTCTCAGTCCAAAGATACCAAACTAGGCCAACAGAGCGCCAGCCCAACTCGACCAAGGCCCATCCCCAATCGCAACGGGAACATTAACCTCAATACCCTGCATCCCTCCTTATCTGGCAATCCGCCCATCAGCCCAGGTGCCATGTGCATCAACCTTATCGGGGCTAAAATCACCCACGCATGCAGCGTAGCATCCTGCATCTCAGCCATCTGAACCTGCCACCCATATGGTGGTCAGCAAGACCAACCCCAACCCAACAAAAGGATGACCAACAAAGGATGAAAGGGCATGTCACCTGCTGAGAGCCCCCAACCCCGAATAAGCAGCACAGAATGAGCAGAGTTGCCACTGTCTCTCTTACACACTCCCTCTTCCTCTTACCCCTCTTTTTGGTCCAGGGCCCTCGGACCCCCGGGACCCGCAACCACTGACGGGCGCTGTCACCTGCAGGAGCTGCACGGGGTGGCCCACTGGGAAATGCCGGTTGGTGGGTTTGGGTCTGCGGAACGTCATAACGTCCGCAGTACCTGCTTCCGGGCGTACAGCGTACCGCTTACGCGGACAGGGATGTAGGTACGAAGGATCAAGCGCCCGCTGGGGCAGGGCTGCCTTTTTAGGATATGGGGAGGGCGGGCAGCGAGGGGCAAAATGTGAAGGGCAGGTTCTGTGAGTGGAAATAGGGAAAGCGAGGAGACGATTACAGACGTAAGTGGCGAAACGAAGCTTGCAAGGATAAAGTAGGAATTTGGAAAAAAAACAGGATGATTTGTCTATCGGTGTTTAAGGTCGTGGATCTATGTACAACCTGGCATCCGTCGCAGAAGTCAACGGCAAACTAGACAGAAATCAGAAAACAAGAAAGCCAGCGAACAAAGGAAATGACCAAGGAAATATCAAGATTAAGCAAAGGCGCAAAAAGAAAACAGGACCGCGGAGAACAAAGTCTCGCGAGATGGTATCATCAAAGCAGAATGACACGAAGACCAAAGTCAAATCAAACGCAGGACCGCTGACGGCCATCAGAGAGGACGCCGGATATCATCGAGTAAAGAGGACGCCGCCCCAAATGAGAAGAAAGAGGCGCCGAAAACCATGATTCTTTTTTGGGGGGGGGGGTCGCCCCGCGCCAGGGCGCGACAAAGCTGCCAACTGAAATAAGGCAGCAGGAAAGAGTAACGAGTAAAAGCCAGCCGAAGCCAAACCCAACGCGCTGCAAATGCAATTTAACGAAAATGTCAAATGCTCCGTGTATGTAGAGAGAAAACAGGAGGAACTGCAATAAAAGCTCCCATCGGGATCACTTCCTCTTTAAAACGGGGGGATTCCCCCCGTGCGGTACCGTATTATATTGGGGTACCCTTTCTTGGAAAGGTTGTTCAACAAAGGAAAAGTTTTGGTAGTGAAAGAGTCGGCCTATTTGGCGGACGGTCGGCGGAGGATATCCTCGCAGTTGGCGTCGAAACGCATATTCCATAGTCGAATGCTGTTCATCAGCTTTTCGGTATTCTCGAGCTCGCGGTCGCGACCGAAGATCGATTCCACAAATTCACATCCCGCATTGCGCCCCATTGAGACGGAGGCTTTGCCACTTTCTCGCTTGGCGGCCTTCCACATGAAAAGCTCGCATTGTTTGAGGAGCTTCTTGAATCGGCTCCACAAGCGGTCGCCACTCTCCAGGAAATCTTCCACTGTCTCTGCAGCCTCCAGGTTCTTAATGCGTGGCAGACATTCGTCCGCACGCTTGACTTTCCCCGCGAGTTTGATAAGAAGTAGCCATAGGTCGCCGGCGACGTCGGCCATGGGAGTTGAGGCTCCGTGGTGGAAAACCGTCCAGTCGTAGATCCACTTCCCTAATGAGTTGGCATCGAACACAGAGCCGAGAAGAATAATTGGGGCTTCGGTTGGGTCCCAGTTCTTGATGGAGTAACCTGGTGGAATGCCAGCACGTTCCGCATCCTCCTCGGTGGCGGTTGCTGGTGGCTTCGCAGCGGGGGGTGGTTTAGGCTTAGGTGTTCGGGTTGAGGTGGACTGGCGGCGTGCACGGGAGCGACGGGCTGCATCAATGTCTTCGGGATTGGGAACCTGGTTGAAGTAAGAGTAAGAATCAGTGGCTGGGTGTGATTTGCGTTGAGAGTATGACGCGGTCCGACGGTGCTGGTAGCCAGCAGGACCCTCTCGCTTGGGGTTTGCCGGTGGGGGACGGCCAGGGCGGGATCGGGGCTCGCGAAAGCCATATGGAGCATCGTATGCATCGTCGACCACATCTACGAAGATGGGCCGGCTCTGCGATTGCGCGTTGAAGGTGAAGCCAGTACCGAGGCCATCCCCCATAGGATGACCGGTCGTATAGGTGCGACGGTGTTTGGGCGGACCCGCGAAAGAAGCACTTACATGATCGTGCTTGCGCGGGAGCCCATAGTCCGGCATGCCCTCGTAGTATTGCGATGGGTAGGCATAGTAACCAGGCTCCTTGGTGCCGGCGTAACTGGCCTTGCGTGAGTGCTTTCGCGATGTTCCCCGGGGTGACGTATAGGCGGTGGCGTAGGGCGAAGCGTAGTAGGCGTAGTGAGGGGAGGTTGGAGGCGACTGGGTGTAGTCGTAAGCCCACCCTTGTGGTGGAGTCGAATAATGATACATTATCGGTCGAGCATAGACGAACGAGACTCGAGACGCCGAGAGAGGGAGAAAAGAGCTGAAGGTGGGATCTCGGTGTAAGAACTGAAATCACACAAACGACTTAAGGCACCGAAGGCGAGAAATCAACAAAAGCAAAAGCAAAAGCAAAAACGAGCCGGATATATTATACAGGATATCGTGCACCAGAGCAAAGATGGACGCCGACTGAAAAAAAAAAAACTGCAGGTCAAAAAAAAGGTCAAATAGGACCGTCACCGTGGTACGGTTACCGATCGAAGAGATGAGGGATGACACTGGATATGCTGGAGGTGCATTTGAACGTTGATCGCTTTAACCTGCGAGAGGGAGGGTTGAAGTGCCCAGATAGACTGGATCTCTAGCTTTCTGAGACCCAAAAATGGTTGTAGAGGAAGGGTAGGGGACTCGAGAAAGAAGAGTCCAGTTGTGTGTGTGGGAAGAAGAAGAAGCGATCCGGGAGGAGATAATGGAGACTAAAGTGGAACAGGAAAATTTCCCAGAAATTCCCAAGGGAAGGAAGTTAAGTCAGCGCGAATGGATGCACGCGAACCAATCACAACCGGCCGGGGCTGGGGCCGTCGTGCCGGTTACGCTAGAAGTTCGTGGCGTTTAGACTCGCTGCTTCTTTGGTTTATTACCGTAAGCGGATTTCACTGCTCCATGCTCCAGCAGGGCTGGTTCGACCTGAGCACCCGGTGCATTCAGAACCGCTTTCATTTCCCAGATAGCATCCCTAGATTGGCAGCTTTGTAGAGGTTTCTAGAGAAGATTCTCCGAAGTTTAGATTCGTCTTGGTCCAATAAGTATCTCTATGATCCCATGGGAAAACCAACACAGCGACCCCTCAAACTAGTCCAGATGGAGACAGTCGGCTTCGACGCTACCACACAACCCAAGCCGACCCCTCTCGTTGCTTAGGGTAGCGGCCAACTGCATTCTGTCTTCGATTGGGTAAGATCTGGGATAAATCTGGAATTACACCATGGCAGAACCTGGAACCGTGAAGGTCAATATGCCCACTATTCTTTCTGTCGTCCTGGATGTGCACCCAGGTGGTTATCTCACTCGATAGCAGAGATGCGTGTTATGGGTGCCATGTGCGAGTCTTCCAGAATCCAGGCCAACTATGATTCCATTGTACAGTTCATTGCTGCATGAACCCATCTTTTAGCTGCAGCATGTCGCCTAGGTCGCCGTTGCCCTATTGGGTGAGACTACAGCAGATATCGATTTGTCCACACGCTGTCAGGTATGCCTTGTGCTACTGCCTGACGCTACAATAACCTCGCATTTCACGATCGGTTCCATGGTTGGGCGATATCAAACTCGTGGATTTGATACGGCCCAGCCCGTTTCGTTCCAGTGGTTCCAACGACTCCACTCCGGTCGCTTTCACCTCTCCACATGTTGCCATGGCAGGAACTATAGCGTCAAGCCTAGGAAAGAGGAAAAAGTACATCCGGATCTTTTGCACAGGTAATTTTTTTTTTCTAAACCCACAGACTCCTTGTATTAGGCGGCCTCACCAAAAGGCTTTACCGCCGCTGGGCAGCAACGGCCTTTGGGCGGGAACGACAGTAGAAGAGAAGGCTTTGCAGACCGCAACTTGCATATCCACCTCGCGGTAGGTAGGACAGAGTTTTTCTTGTCCAGGAAGAATTTATTTTTGTTGAATTCTCCGATCAAAATAAACAACAACCCGACACAACAGAGGACTAGCCTAGGGCTCACAAAGACTCCAAGCAACAAACCTTGGAAGATCTTGTGTCAGGCTTTAGCGTGTCGAGGGTACCTAGTATGGTCGCAAACTCTGTAAAGACCCAAGAATGTAGATGAGTACGGCTATACCTAGGCAATATTCTCTACTAGACGAGATTACGCCTGTGTGTACTGTAGCAGTCCAGTCCTTGTATCTAATATCGCGATGTCTATATAGATTACAGTGCGAGACCAACCCTAAGTGGGTAAGTGGACTCGCTTCCAACGAGATTGGCTCCCCCCCCGCGGATGTCCTCCAGCGATGACGTCCAATCCTGCCAACGGGACCAGCTTGCTTTCGAACAGTTGGAGTCTTCGATGCCAGCATCCAATGAGGCCCAACCGGGTTGGCTATATTGCCTATACCCGCTCGAACATCGCACCCACCGGGTCCGCTGACCCTCGAATACCACGCTCCACCGACTGCCAGCTATGCTCACGCACCAACCACAGGGATGTAATAACCACCATTTTCTTTAAATTGTTCGCGTCCTTACAGAGCCCGATCGGAATCCCAGGTTCTCTTGGGCTGCCCTTGATTCCCGCCTCTTCGATCTGATTCATCGGATGATTCATCAGTATGAGTCAACCGCCTTCGAGCATCCTATAATTATCGTAGATGCACCGTCTGCGCCCCTATACTGGGTCCCACTAGGTCCCCTCCTGGGTCCTGCTGGGTCCTACTGGGGCCTACTGGGTCCTTCGCTGGGTCCTTCGCTGGGTCCCGACCCAGCCAAACGGAGTACAATCCTGCGCCACCAGCAGGCAGCGCCGATCCTGCAGTGTTGCACATGGCGTTTTAATCATTTTCTTTTTTTTAGGTCTTTTTTGTCTTTTCTTTTCTTTTTTCCTTCTTTCCTTTTTCCTTCTTTTTCTTTTCCTTTTTTTGATTCCGCGCTTCCTTTTTCCGCCAAGGCCCCATACTCTTGGAACCCTCTTCCAATCTGGTCACGCACAAAGTCTTGCATCGTCCTGCAAAATTCAGGCGGCTCTTTCGTCTGGGTGCATAAGGCCTCTACATGTCCTCTGCGCAGGACACACAGCTGCGCTCTATTTTTATCTCAGCCCCTGTACTTTCGGCTCGGGGGCCTCAGCTAGAGGCAAGAGGCAAGAGGCGAGAGGCAGGCACAGCAGAGCTGACATCTCGACTCCCTGCGGAAAGACTGGATGGATGTACTGCGGGGCGTTGGGGCGCTTGTGTCAACGGGCTGGATTCCGACGAGTCCTCTGCAGCCTTCTCCTCAGCGCACGGCCTATATAGCACGTAACCTGTAGAAAGCTATGACATGAGATACTTGATTGGCTTATTGCCTGGGGTGCTCTTGAAGGAGAAATGATTTCGATTTGAACATAGGCATCATTGACATATACTCATAGCGAACAATTCTACTGTTTAGGCTGACCACGGCTTGGCAGGGCAACCCAGGTACAATCCCTGAATCCAACCATAACAAAGAAAAAAAATAAAAGAAAAAAAAAGCACTGACAATCCTACAATCCGTTGGGATGAATTATTGATTTTATTAATCATTTTGAAAAACCGAGCCGCGTCTTCAGTTTCAGGGGGGGCAGCGCGTGGCCATACACCACCTCGTTTCGAGGCTCTGTCAACGGATTTCGCGGTAATTTTGCCCTTTCATTCCTTGTTTTCTGGACTAGAATTTTCCATTCCTGAGATTAGTATGAGACATAGAAATCTCATTTCCCAGTCCCCCATTGGCCCTGCCGCCAATATCATAATGCGCGGCGTTTAGTACATCTGATGGATCGTGCTTCCCCCTTGCGGGCGATATGAGATCAAAACAAATCCATCCCCAGTAGCAGTAGCAGGCGCCGAGGAATGTTTCCATCCCCAATTGCCTACCCCCTGGCCTCGTTGCATTTGATATGGATTTCTGTTGTGCGGTGAAAAATTTTTCGAGCTCATTTCGCTAAGCGTGCACTGTTCACATAGAGTCCCTGCTGCCCTGCCCTCCCGAACCCTAAGCTACCGCTCCTGGGTTTTAGGAATAAGGGGTTGCTCGTGGCTCCGCCCCGTGCCGGCCAGGGATTCGCTTCCTGTTTAAGTGAGCGCCGAGGATTGAGAGATTGTGGCTTGTATGCAATGTATATCAGTGGTCCTGCCGGCCGATCTACTCCACAGGAGCTCTTAGCAGGCGGGATGCGAAGCGGGTTCCGCGCCTGGACCGGAGCTATAATATCAAGGATGGGGCATGAGTCAGAGATTTCTCCCGCTTGTCCCAACGTTGTATCCGTGTGGCGAGGCGTAGTCATTCATGGGCTAGGCGTTTTGTGCCACTAAAGGAGATAGGAGATAGCACGAGTTAGGGCCGAGGCTGGGAGAGAATCATGGAGTGATAAATACTGCGAATGAGTAGAGCCGGGTACATTATCTATTCTGTATCTCTACGAAAGCTTCATGCCTAAGTCGCTAGTAAAATGCTCAAAGGAGTTAGATTAATAGCACCCACGCAGCGAGAACCAATAGACCTATCTACCGACAACCTCGAAGTGATTCGACGATGCCGCGGCTGACTGCTGCCCATTTCCGGAATCCGTGTTCCACAACTTGTTTGCCTGGGTGAAGATATGTGATGGAGCCTGGGTCCACATAATCATACTGACTCGTGGTTGGCGTCGATTTGGCAGATCGATTCAAGTGCAGATGTCGATATTCTAATGAACACCAAGTCTGCCCAACTTGAAATTACTATTCACTGCTAGTACTATCTAACTCGTAGCATTAGGAGCTTTGTTCCAGGGACCCAGACCAGATCAGTTTCGGACCTGACCTTTAAGTCCCGGTTGAATCCTCACTTGGGCTATCTCTGAGTGTGAGTCTAGGGCTGTAACCACCAGAACTGAGGGCTCGACATTATGCTCGTACGTGTGAAGAACTCTCCTTGATGTCTAAATCCAAGTTGGAGGGATTTCCAAATTGGAATTGGTTCAATCCCGTACCTGAACACTCTCTGTACACGAGTCTTTTTCTGTGAGAAGTCGGACGGGGGGGCTCCTGCATCCTGCTGGCATGAGATGAGTCTTAGACGTGTCTGCTAGCTCTGCTAATCCAAGGTCCAAGTTGAGACGTAGGAGGAACAAAAGAGCATCGAGTCGTCGGAAAGCCAAGCTCCGAGTCCGTTAGAAATCTTTCGGTCCTCGTCCCAAGTCTCACGATTTCAGATAGTTCCGTATTTCTGCAACTTAGACAGCACAGAAGGCCTTGACAATCCGCGTACGATGCCTCCGTATCTTTACTTCGCCAGGCGAGGCCGCTTGCCGTGCTTTCTTTGACATTGTGAACTCTATGGTCGGCGCAGTGTCGGGGATTTGAGCCTTCGAGCTCGACACGGTGGTGGATTTCCGGAAGTTCGACGGGCAGATCACCGATAACCTTCGAAGGACAGTTAAGGGGTACAATTATATGAGGTAGAAGACTTAAAGTCTGATGAAGATCTAGGCATTCCACGGTTGAGGAAGAGAACACAAGAGTAAATACTTGTAACCAAGTTCAAAGTCGAAGGAAATACTAGTAAACTTTGACAATTCTTGAAACGTAGGAAATATATATCTGCAATATCCCACGCTTAATACCTAGGTACCAGGAGAAAGCCCTATACTGTCCAACCTCAAGGAAATATATCAACAGGAGAAAACATTAGAGTATCAAAAAAGAATGGTATCACAATCGCCGAATGCGCAACGGTCCGAGTCGCTCAATTTAACACCAATCCAGTACCAACTCTCTGATAAGAGATCTGCATACCAGTAGCCAGATCAAAAAAGGATAAGCGTGTCCATGAAAGCCCAGAAATATAAAGACCAAGTTCTATGCCACCATATACTCCCCATCACCTCTCTTCGCTTCCATAACACGAGACCAACGGAAAGCCTGAGGTGTGATAGCCTGCGTCTTTCCGTCCAGGACAGGCGGAGTACCAAACTCAGATGGATAAACAGGATAAGACGACGCTTCTGAGTGTTCTTCCCAAATCTTCTCTAAGAGCTCTAGGCAAGAGATATTGTTGACAAACCCGGAGTCTCCAGAGATATCTCTGCAACGATCACGTATGGCCTTGCGGTGGTTCTCTTGGACGCACTCTGAGCCAACGATGAAAAGTGGCCAGAGGAGATAGACGTCAGATTGGACGGCACAGAGGCAGTGCATAGCTAGATGCACCAAGTGTTGTATACGAGGGTGCTCTGATGGTAGGCTTGGCTCCGCTAACCGCTCACAGTAGAGTAGTGCTGCGTGGCGAAAGCACTCAGAGATCTGATATACATCTTGTAGATTTTCAGGAGCCACGTAGTACTCCACTTCTGGGGTCGGGTCAAGGGCGAAGTTCGGAGAAGGCCAGGTGGTATTTGTTGCGGATGGAGGGGGAGAGGGTATTGGGGTAGAGGTAGGAGGGTCAAATCGCCAGGATTCGAGACGCTGCCGGAGTGAGTGCCATTCGGCCCAGAAAGCTGGCGAGGAGGGCCTTCTGCCTTGGTCGCTACTTTGCGGGGGTGATGGTAGCGAAAAGCTGTAATCGTCGCCGGGCACAGACCAAGATGCACTGGCGTTTGGAACGTGATTCCATCCAGGAAACAACATGGCGGGAGGGAGAGAGGCTGTAGGAATGGTTACATCTGCAGGAGTAGACTCGGAGGGTTGTTGGTCCTGGCTTAAGAGGTTGAGGCGTCCTAGCTGGGAAATCATCTTGAACAGGCGGCCATCGCACCCAGCCAGATTCTCCAATCCCCAGTGGCCGTCTGACACTGAGCTGATTTCAAGACACTTTCCACGAAGCTGAACATCGCGATTGTTTGTCGTTGCGGTGAGGGTATCTAACCAAGAGAACATGCGCATGAACCACTTGAGTTCTTCAGACACGACACTCGAATGGCGCATGCGAATCGCAAGAAGACGGGTGACACCTGCAAATTGCGTGCGAAATTCCGCGACACCGGTATCACATCCGTGGAAGAGACACAAAATCAGGAGCGTAGCTAGGACAGAATCCGATAACCGACGGCGAGGATCTGCCAGGTCGGCATTCAAAGCTTTGACTGCCACCGCTCGGTGATGATTCTCTTCACGAGCATACCCTTCCGTGACCGAGATGCCGTAGCGATCCTGGAACGCCTCATCTGTGAGGGCACGGTGGGCCATGGATGAAAGGCGAGCTGGAAGCGTTCTCTCGGTTGAGAAATGTTTGCGCTCACGCCGCTGCCGTAAATTACTCGTGGCAAGTGTAGCAATAGCTTCTTGAAGGGCTTCACTTTCATTTGCCAGACGCAAGACGTGGGTTCGAAAGGGATTCGACGGGCTGTCGAAAGCCACGATCATCGGAGCGATGACTTCTGCGTAGTAACTGATGAGATATCGTAAACGAGGCGTACGTCCTGTCGATCGCGCTAGCAGCAGCTGTGAATATGAAGGCGAATGGCTCGCTGTCCATGAAACTTGAGTGTCACGGTCGACATTTTCATATTCTTCATCCACATCAGCTCCTGGTGGTGTTATCCTTTGAGAAGGCTGGTTCCTTGGGGTTTGCCATACTGAGACTGGCGAAGATTGCTGACTATCAGGTACATAACCAAAGGAGTAATTGAGCGATGCCTCGGAGACGCTTGGACTCGAGCGATGGCCAACGTGGGGTCTGGTTGGCAAATGAAGCCCAGGTCGCACGGGAAGCCCTAGGATTTGGGGCGGAGGGTTGTTTGGAGATCCATTTACCCATGATAGAGGGTCCGGCATATCCATTGACCAAGACATGCCTTGTGATGATCCCGACGCATTTGAAAAAGCGGATTGGCGACGCATATCGGCATCCATGGACTCCATCGCGGGCGGATTCACAGGCAGAAACCCTGCTCCTATCGGAGGAGCTGAGGCAGGAGGAGGCACTGACGCCTGAGGAGTCTGCGGTTGGCGGCTGGATGATTCTGATTGCTGTTTTTGCGACTGACTTCGCGCGCTAGAAGTCTCTTCAGTTGATTCCATGACCGGTACTTTCTGGCCACGCAGTTTCCCGCGGCTGGCGACTCCTACACCCCATGTCAACGTTGTCTTGTATCCTGAACATTCGCGACCGAGCTCCAGGCACTGGGAACAATAGGGTCGACGTCGATCGCAACGAGCCCCCCTTTTCGAGCAAGTGAAACAATCATCTGGGGCTCCGCTGACCACCGTTCGCTTGCGTCGTTTCCGTATGGGGGCATTCTGGTCGGTTTTGCGGGATTTAGCTCTGGTTGTAGGTTCCCGCGCCTTGCTCGCTGCAGCTTCAGTCATTGTTGGTAGATTGTGGAAATGCCCTGGAGTGATCCCATCAAGGGACTATCCGGGGGCGGCGCTGCGAGTGCTGCCGGCTTCTCAAAACGAGGCGTCCAGAATGGTATTGAGGCAACGGGAATCGGCGGATACGGGATGGGGCGAGCCTTTCAGATGTGGCGCAAAATCGTACAGGGTATTGGTGTTGGTCTCAAGTCGAAGACATAGAGGGGAGTTCAAAGGGAAGATTTGGAGATTGCGAGAGAATATTGGGGGAGAGGGGCGAGCACGAGAGTTTGGGGGGGCGAGTGGGTACTGGATGTCGACGATCTGCCCGTGGAGGACGATCCTCTAATATTTGAAGGTAAATGTGGGCTGCGTTGCGAAATCCCTCACGGTCCCCACTTCGCTGGGCGATCTGTCTGAAACCAGAGAGGCTCGGCTGCAGTTCAGATAAGTTTGGGGAGATTATCAATGAGCCTAAAAAGTCCCCAGCAGAGCCAAGATAAGCCAAGTTGGGTCAAGTTCAACCAAGAGCAGCAGACTACGAAAGTTGCGGGATGCCTTTGACCGGCCTCGGACCATCCCATGGAAGCGCCTCGCCTGCAAAATCGTCTTGGGGCCTCGTATTGGGCTTATGCAGGGGCTATACCAGTAGACTGATAAGATCCGATCCTGTCCAAGTAGGAGACTACGAGGGTTCTCGATGGCAGTAATCGCCAAGCATACCGGGGAGCAATCTGACCACCATTAGGGGCGACTTCTAGCCCGGCAATGCTTTTTCTACCATCTTCCTCCACCATCCACCCAACCACCTCCGGCCCGAGGCCTGGTCAACAGTCCACGTCACTCGCCTTTCCCTGAGAATCGTCGATCGTTACGCCCGTGCGCCCGCCACTCGAACCGCCCGTACTTTGTGCTCCGCGCAAAGAGCCCTCAGGGATAAGGACACTAGGGGGGGAGGGGTACTTTTCCAACGCCTGTTACGGCCTTACACATAATCCATTGCGATGGGCTTGTTAAGGCCCGGCAAGGGGAGGTCCCTCATCCTGGCCGTTCTCGCCACAATCCTGGTCTGCACCGTCTATCTCTACTGGACCCCAACGACAGCCTCGTCCACCGTGTCCGTCGTTCCGAGCACGGCTTTCGAAGTTCCGTTAATAGAACGCCAGAAAGACTTTTGGAAAGCATTCCACCCTATCCTCCAACGCCATGACCCCGATTGCCCCTATCCGCAGAAGCTCGAGGATGCCGGCGCGATTCACTTTGATCCCAACTCGGACCGTCCGCTGCCGGATATCACCACAATGAATGAGGAGGACCAGAAGAAGATGGAGCAAGCGCATGCAGACTTCATTCAATCTATCAAGGCTGCAGGCAAAACCTTGGAGCCGGCACATACACCAGGCAAAAAAGGCCTAGTATCAACGGCCGGCGCGAAGTACCTGCCGGTCTTTGTGTCCACGCTACGTATGCTGCGTCGCGCTGGATCCACACTGCCCGTGGAGGTCTATATGAAGGATACTGACGAGTATGAAAAACATATCTGTAATGAGGTGCTTCCGACTCTTGACGCACGTTGCTTGGTGCTGGGTGATGTCGTGGGACAAGACATGATTGCGCACTATCAACTCAAAATTTTTGCCGTTCTCTTCTCATCCTTCGAAGAGATTGTTTGGATGGATGCTGATTGTTTCCCCACTGGGAAAGCCAGAAGACCTACTCAGCTCCGAGCCTTTCACATCCACTGGCTTGGTATTGTGGCCTGATTTCTGGGCTTCTTCCGTGTCGCCGTTATACTATGAGATCTCGCGCCAAGAGGTACCTCCGGTTGCCGCTCGTCAATCCTCAGAGACGGGCGTCTTCTTAGTATCAAAGAAGACGCATTTCCTGCCACTTATGCTAGCGGCCTACTATAATTACTACGGGCCCACGCACTACTTTCGCCTTCTCACCCAAGGAGGCCCCGGAGAGGGCGATAAGGAGACGTTCCTGGCAGCGGCAGCAGCGTTGGGTGCGCCGTTCTATACGGTTAGTGAACGAGTTCAGGCAATTGGCCACCAATTGCCTGACAAACTGTCTGGATCAGCCATGGCCCAGGCAGATCCCCGCGAGGACCATGCCCTTACCTCGCAGGGTAAATGGCGCATCAAGGATCCTGCAGTGGGACCAGCACCGCACATCTTCTTCATCCATGCCAATTACCCGAAATTCAACCCAGGGGACAATATCTTTGGGCTTAGCTGGGAGACCGCTCCCACCGTTAACACTGATGGATCTGACAGCCGTGCATGGACGGCTCCTCCCGAAACGATCCAACGCTTTGGATACGACATTGAGAAAAGTTACTGGGAGGAGATCAAGTGGGTCACGTGCAATTACGAGAATTTCTTCAAATCATGGAAGCAGAAGGCCGGGCTCTGTGAGAAGGTCAAAGACTACTGGAAAAATGTTTTTGCTGAACCCCATGCGGATGACCCAAAGTTCACACAGGGGGGGTTGACCTACGGAAGGCGATGTCTATTCATGGGAATTAGACGACCCTTCACTCCTTGAGCGAGTTCCTGCCCTTGTCCAGCGTGGGTGCTGCGAGGCAGCAGCACATCGGCCCCGTTTGGAAGGAAGATCTCGACTGGATCATCAGTGACAGTGGCTTTAAGCTCAAGCCTTGTCATTGGTGGAGGCTGTATAAAGTTGGAGAGAACTACGTGTAACTGGGCTATCATGAAGTATTAATGTATATTATCAAACCAGACTTATTTTGGATTACAACTTATTAAACATAATGCATATATGACCTATGAAACGGAACATGATCGGCTGATGCAAGTTCAATTTAGGCATCTTGGTTTGACACATTTGCGATTCAAATCGAGTCGCGACATAACTACTAAAAATACTACTAGCTACCGCAATCTACCGCAAATTTGACACGGCATCGAAGACCCCTTGGATATTTTGGAAATTTTTTTGTAGGATTTATTTTATGCTCTCTCAATGCTTCAAAGTCGTCATATCGTACAAAGTTTCCCCTTGTTGTTGAAGACTTCGACATTGGGGGTATCAGGGTATATCATCGCATCATACTCGAATAATTTATTTCTTGATGCCCTTCTCACGCAGACGCTGCTCATCCTCAGCCTGCAGCTCTGCGTCAATTTGAGCTCCCTTAGAGGGCTGGTTTCCGTGGAGTTTGGCCTATTTGACAATCATGTTAGGCAATTGCGAACTTGGAAGATGAGTGACAGTGCGATCTTACCGGCTTGGTAGCATCCTGCTTGGAGAGCTCAGCCTCGGGATTGTAGACACCGTTGTGGTGGTGGTCAGATTCGGGCTTGCGCTCCTGGGAGGCGAGCTTGTTGGCAATGGAACGCTGGTCCTTGGAGTCGAGGTTCTGGTGGCTGTGGGTGGTGCCCTCCTTGTAGCGCTCGCGCTCGTTGAGCACAGACATGGGCTCGTTACGCTGGTCACCAGCCTCGTAGAACTGGGGAGCGCCAACGCTTGACTGACCGGCAGAAGACATTTTGTGGAAGAGATTGAGGTTAAGAGATCGAGATAGATTGACAATTGAAGAGGTGATGAAGAAGATAATTAGGCCATTTCATGGGCATGTATTATATAGCAGACCCAAGCTCTGGGCTGTGATGTCATGTCCAAGTCACTGAGATCATAATTGTGGGGCAACCTCCATGGTAGCCAGAACACCCAAGGAATGCCAGACAAGGTGATGTCGTGTGCGCCTCGGACCCTTTTTTATTCTTGCTGATGGGGAATCCAGGAAGCTTGCTTACAGGGCAATCGTGGTTTTGTGACATCGTTCGTGCACTTTGGGCGCAATGAGGCTCCACTTGTATACTCCACCCTATTTGGTCATAGGCGTAGACGGCCAAAGGTTTCTCTAATCTGGGTTAGGCCAGCGAAGCTGATATAATCTTGACCGTGAGGGACTGTTTTCCGACATACTGGCGTTTGGGGAATCAACACAACCCCTTGTTCTTCACCTATCGCGAGAACTTGGAGTGGTAGAGCCTTTGTTGTCACGACCACGATGATCTTCGGCAGCTCTGCCCACCAATGAATGCCCTTCCGGCTTCAAGTTGGCAACAATCGCTTATCACAAAGCCAGCTTAAATTCAATTCTAATCAATTCGTTCGAGGTTCATATATGTAGCTACTGCTCACGCTCAGTAAGCTCACGTAGTATCGAAGCTCCAGAACCGAGGAGTCGATTAGGCAATGACTACGCCCCGCTCCGCCATCGGAGCCCAAGACTGGCCAATTGATTTCAGCTAACTTCCGCAGCTAGCGGACAACAGGCCGGTCATGCTGTCGCCTCTTTCTCCTTGGGCCAGAGCACTGTCTAGAAACATAAGGCCTCTACAGACATTCGTCCAGCTCTCGTACCCTCTGGCCCGGTATCCCTGCCTAAAATCAACCGCCGCAATGAGCACCAATTCTCAACCGGCAGTCCAGCCCCGCTTCCAAACACTCTTCACCGAGCTTGAAAAACGGTTCCAAGCAACTAGCCTTGGTGACGATAAATGGTATATCCTGGCCACCTCGACCATAGCCGCCAGCCCCGACCCGGAGAGCGCAGAGCAGCTCTACCTGCACCTTATAAGCCAACCAGCATACTCTACATCACCGGCCCGCCAGGCCTTAGTCCGACGACTCCGCGAGGCATTGGTAAAAGCAGTGCCTATTGTCGGAGTCTGTAAGCCTATTGAAGCTATCCTGTCGATCAGCAAGGTCGAGCGCGACGAGGACAAAGATTACACATTCACCCGCAAAGACTGGCAATGCGACCAAGCGAACCATGATCGCGGCGCAGCATGGATGCAGAAATTGTATGCGCGCAATACGGGCGGAACTCTCAATCTTTTCAATGCACACAAGGACTTCTCATGGCTGTCTGAGGAGATCACCTATGGCTTATATCTATCGGATCGCCAGGTCCTGGATGACGTGGATACCCAGTTGGTTGTGCTGCCCGGCATCATGAGCCAGAATCTGCCTAACGAGACTCATTGGCATATCCGTGGAACGAGGCGACTTGGACTTCCTAAGTCGGAAGTCCAAGTGATTTGGGATTGTGTTCAACTAGTGGCTCAATTTTTCGAAGTGAAGCTGAATAAGGTTCCTACGGTTGAGGCGGTTGAGTATGATGTTTGAGGGTTGATTGGACCATGTTAAGGCCCCTATTTAGAATATATCATGAGCATACACCAACTTATTACTGTCGAACCACCAAGTCCAATATAGATTAAGCCCCCTTGAATAACTAAAAGAGACGCAAAAGAGTGCTGGTTCTAAATCGTGAATCTGGGGCAAGCAAGGTGATAACGATAAGAAAAAAAGTTCGAAAGCAGCCGAGGGGCGGAGAACCCAATTTCCAAATTTACACAACCACCAACAAAACGAACCCCCTCACAATGGGCAAGCGTAAGCAAGATCTTAGTGACGTGCCTATGAGCGGCACTGCTGACGACGATGACTCTGGCGACGTAAGGACACCGCGCCGCGCAAACATGGACAGCCCGCTCACCTCGCGCAGGACACGGAATTGATCAATGTCGACTTCGAATGGTTTGACCCGCAGCCTGCAGTCGACTTTCACGGCCTCAAGAACCTTTGCCGCCAACTATTCGACAACGATGCACAAGACTTTGACATGTCTGCTCTGTCAGACCTGATTTTGTCGCAGCCAACACTGGGTTCAACTGTCAAGGTCGACGGCAACGAGACGGATCCGTATGCCTTTTTGTCTGTTCTCAATCTCCAAGAGCACAAGGTATGAGCAAGAGCCGCTTATGAAGGTACTTGCGCTAATTATAGTTGTCTCATAGGATAAACCCGTCGTTCGTGACCTGACAAATTACCTCAAGAATAAATCTGCATCCAACCCTTCTCTGTCTGCCCTCTCCGATCTTCTTTCGCAAGACCCAATCCCTCCAATTGGCCTAATTCTTACCGAGCGATTGATCAATATGCCTGCTGAAATTGTTCCGCCTATGTATAATATGCTGCAAGAGGAGATTGCCTGGGCGCTTGAGGATAAGGAACCCTATAGCTTCACACACTACCTCATCGTGTCGAAGAACTACAAAGAGCTAGAGTCCAAGCTCGATGCTGAGGAGTCGCGACCACAAAAGAAATCGAAGAAGGGCGGTGATCCGGCTCAGCGCTTCTTGTTTCATCCAGAGGACGAAATTTTAGAGCGCAATGCGGTATGCTCCGGGGCCTTCGAATACACTCATCAGCACGATGAGGGCCACTCGGACTCCAAGCGAGCTTTCCAAGAGCTCGGTATTGTCACCAACGGTAGCTTGATCCTGATAGAGGCTGCCAAGTTTGAGTCAACGGTTAAGGCTATGATGGAATACTTCAAGCCACCAGCTTGAAAAACTGCGCGAGGCGCTCAAAATTCATGTCTCTTTGATGAAAGATCTATTTCTTTGTTTTGCTTCGCCTAGCTGTCACCTTTCCACGGGGCAATTGCTTTTATAATCGAACCATCAGTAAGAAAAAAAAATGTTCATAAATCATGAGAACCCCTCCGCTTTACTCCCATTGAGTGCCCTTTAAGCGTTGCATGAGGTACTCGACCTCAACAACCTTGGTCAGGGGAATGACACAGTCCTTTCAACATGTTAGCCAATCCATGCAGGACACCGCGAAAAGCAATGGCTTCAACCTACCTTGTAAATAGCAATGACGGCGTCACTATTGATCTTCTGCCCCTTCTCAGCGGGGAACGCAGGGTCAGTGCCATACGTCTTCGCCTTCAGGCCCAGCCGCTCCAAGACCTTCTGCTCGACCTTGGTATCCGTGATAGCGGCATCAATACCATCTCGGTCTCCCGCCTTGATCAGCTTGACAAAGGTCTCCGGGTCTTTCTGGAACTTGGACTCTGCCACAAACTTGCCAAAGTGGATGCGGCGGGATAGCGCCTGCAGGCAGGCCACATCGCAGGTGGCCGTGGAGCCGTAGTTCTCCTGGGCCTCGCCGCGGTCTCCTTGCCCAAACTGGGGGCACACCGCGGGGAGGATCTCCTCGATGTATCGCTGCTTGATCGTGGCGTTCACGTTGACATTGTTGGCATGGAGGATACGGGGATACTGCAGTGGCTGCAGGACGGGTTCCTCGAGGACGTCGGGGAAGAAGGGGTATTCATCGGGGGATTGGTAGCGGCGGACACGAGATTGGATTCGCTCTTGTTCTCGGAGAAGGTAGTCCATCAGCGAGAGGGAGCTATTGGGGATTTTGACCCCGCCGGGCTGGTAGATAGTCTTGTTGAGAGGGAACTGGACGCGTTCGATAAGATGGAAGGTGATCGTATCCTCTAAACGACTGCAAATTGAGTATATTAGCTATGATTTCCTGGTTTGGGTCTTTTATCGAAGTTCACGTTTCGAGCGTCGAGTGACAATTGCGTCGCGACTTCAAACTCGTCCCGCGGGGAGGGGCGGGGAATCGTGTAAATCATCATGAATGCGAAAACGAAGAGAACAACGTCCAAGAGATACCCACATGAGCTGGAAACGAATGTTGGCCAGATCCAATGCCTTGGAAGCATCAGAGAGATCAATTGCGGTATTCATGGCCGTATCCATGGCTTGTGGAAGTTGGTTGTGAAGTAGGTGAGAGGTAAGAATCTCCAAACACTGCGAAGTCGGCGAGTTGAAGACCACCGCCTATTTATGAGAACCTAAGGCCGTAAGAATGCCATGGCGGTCCGTATTTGATTTGATAGATCCGGTCCATTCTGCACTCTAAGATACATGCTTCCCGTGTTTCAAACCTTACGCAGCAAAACGGACGCAGCTGCAAGCTTAGTCTATGAGTATGGACGGGGTCGGTGCTGGCGCACTAACCAGCAGCAGCCTCAGCGGTGGGCTTGCAATGGCGGGCGATAGTCGCATAAAGCAACGGGATCTGTTGATCTGTTTACTGTGGTATGGACACTTATTACTGCAAAGTAAGGATGCTATTTCTTCCTGTTGATCTCGTAATTAGCTCTATAAGCTAATCCAACGAGGCTTTTCTGCTCAAGTAAACGTAGGTCTAGTGCAAAAGCTGGCCAAACGGAGCTTGTGCCTCTACCGCTCTCCACCCCGTTCCGACGAAGTCCCAGCCCATGCAACCTGCGCCTTGCTGCGCACTCACTAGCGTTCCGATCGGCTATACGCAAGTTGACTCGTCTATATTCCCCAGGGTTGTCAAGAGTCCCTGGCCCGAACCACCCTCCGCGGCGCTCGGAACGCGGTAAGGTATCGCGTGGACACACGATTGTCACTCCTGCAACATCCGAGCTCCAACTTCTCAACCGCGCATGGGGCTTGGTTGATCCCTACAACTATGGAGAATCACCGCCGTGACGACTCGCCTTCCGGCCTTTCTGATATTGTAGAGGGCGAAGGCTTGCTCGGTACGGGCATTACAGTAAGTCTGTCTCTTTTTCTCTTTCTTTTTTTGGCGGCTATGCCCCTCTAAAAGCAACCCGACTGACGACCCGACAATAATAGACCCGTCATATCGAGGCATTCGGCCGCAAGGTGACCTCAACCGCAGGTCACTTAATAGGCCCAGCCGATCAGCAGCAAAGTGCCATCTACCAAAATGCCATGACCGACATCCACCGTGAGCTACGTCGGCCGGCGGCGCAGCGCAAAGTCTTCTCCCTCAGCCCAGACCACCCCGACGGATCTGGTGCGGTCGAGGCTGTCGACCTCTGAAATCCAATCGCGTGCTCTCTCGTCACTTCCTGATAACCTCCTTCACGACCTCCCCGAAGACTCGAGCTCCTATTCTCTCTTCCAAGGCTTCCAAGCCACGCTCCCCGAAGATGACCACGCACATAAACGATCGCACCGGAGGCGGTCGTCTAAGGGCGGAAAGCTCTTGAAAGATAGCGAAAAAGGAGGTTTGCTGACCGCTGGCCCGGCCGGATTGAAAGAAGAGCGCCAAGTACTTAGTCGTCGACTAGACATGATGGGAGTCCGGAAGAACATGTGCAGCGCGGAGATACACGAGATCGATAATAAGATCGCCAACTTGCACAAAATGCGTCAGATTGTTCTCGACCGATTAGCCGGCCTAGAAATGGACGAGGCCGCCCTGGAACATGATTGTGAGTGGATTCGGACGACAGATAATGCGAGCCTAGCTTTTACTGACTTGGTGCAGTGACCGAGATTGATATAAAATTAGATGAACTTCCAGAAGAGTCTCTTGGAGAGTCTACGATGACTGAGACACCCAAATCACTGGAGGGCCAGGAAAATTCTTCAGATGATCCGGCCATGGAGGCCTCTTTCATGTCGGAATCGATATACGAGAAGATTCCTTCAACCCCTTCAAGGAGTCTCCGCCATAGATCTATAAGTATGTGTGATCTCGGGCTGAATTATTCTGATTCAATGGCTGACAAATTCCTTTACTAGGAAAACGCTCCATGCCCATCCTCCATGAACACTTTGCGCCGGGGTCATTGATCAAAGAAATCGAAGCGCATACGGATATGGTTACTGCGATTGACTTTGACTATCCGTTCGGAACCATGATTAGCGCCGCACTCGACGATACCGTTCGGGTCTGGGACATGAACGTCGGACGGTGCTCGGGACTCCTGGAAGGCCATCACGCCTCAGTCCGATGCTTGCAGATAGAGGACAATATCGTTGCGACAGGCTCGATGGATGCATCCGTCCGATTATGGGACCTGAGCCGTGCTCGGACCGCCACCAATGACAGCAGCCGCTTAAACAAGCATGAGCGCGTTGAAGACGACGAACAATCCGCCCCCGTACTGCCCTCTTCCAACCTGGAAGACTGTCATGTGTTTTCGCTGGAGGCACATATGGATGAAGTGACTGCCCTTCATTTTAAGGGCGATACTCTCATCTCTGGATCTGCCGATAAGACTCTGCGCCAATGGGATCTGGTTAAAGGCCGATGTGTACAGACCCTGGATGTCTTGTGGGCAGCAGCACAATCGTCTTCGTCGACTTCTGACGGAAGCTGGCGCCCATCTGGCCGCCTTCCAGATGCCTCTGCTGACTTTGTTGGGGCAGTTCAGTGCTTTGACGCTGCTTTGGCCTGTGGAACCGCTGATGGCATGGTGCGTCTCTGGGATCTTCGTAGTGGTCACGTTCATCGAAGTCTTGTGGGCCACACCGGCCCAGTCACCTGTCTCCAGTTTGATGATGTGCATCTGGTGACTGGTAGTCTTGACCGGAGCATTCGGGTAAGTTCATTCCATAGCTGGTGCATACTTTCTTCCGTCGCTAATCCTTCCACAGATTTGGGATCTACGAACGGGATCCATTTACGATGCATTCGCCTTCGAGAAGCCGATCACAAGCATGATGTTTGACCAAAAGCGAATCGTGGCCGCTGCCGGTGAGAATGTGGTCAAGGTCTACGACAAGGCTGATGGACACCATTGGGACTGTGGTGCTGGCGTCGGGCTGGACGACGAGGGCCCAATGCCCTCGACGGTCGAGCGTGTCCGCATCAAAGATGGGTATCTTGTTGAAGGACGTAAAGACGGCACGCTGGGTGCCTGGACCTGCTAAAGCAAAAAGATCTTCAGATCTAGGATCAGGTTCTGCTACAGCTCGGCCTGTCTCCCCTTGACATCTGCTATCCTTTGGTCTCACTGTTTCAGCCCTGTATTCTGTTCTTGTTGTATAGTAAATCGATTCCCTGTCTAGAAAGATGGAAGCAGTGAGTAGGCGTCTTGAGATGGGCTGATATTAGATCTTTGGACTGTACTTAAGTGATATTTCTACAGCTTCGTTGGGGAGAATAAAGCTGTAGAGTGGAATGTCGTACATATCACCTAAAACGAGTGAATAAGATCATAATGAGTTTCATCCAAATTCCCCAGCCTTTCGTCAATTTGGTCTGATCTTGAATTCCATTCTGCCGATCGCAACCCTTTGCAGTGTTTGGTGCGGGATCCACCCAAACTGGCTGCGATCACGTTCCGTCGCGCGCCTGCGCGTTTTGATTGTCGCAAAGTCTGGAACCGAGCTGCTAGGCATTTAGCGACTCCCACTTGCTAAGCTGGTATATTACCTTTCTACTCGTCAGCGCTTACCTCCAGGTATCCTCTGAACGATCCTGGAGTCAGGGGATTGTCGTCCCTTGGCAACAAGAGTGGCTGTCTCTACACTGGCGTCTATGCCCCCGCAGGGTCCATTAGACCCTCAATATTGAGTGCAGTCGTTTGAACAACATAGGGCTTCTTGAAGTCTTTATTCAAACTGCCTGTTGTTTTTGGAACGGCCCGTGAAAGGTATCGCGCGCAAGATCTGACCAGGCTCCACGCTGCAACTCGACTCGGATGGCTGTACAAGTACCTCGAGCGACGTCAAGGCGCGACCTGAGTGCCTACGAAGATATCGACGATTTCCAATTTACGCCACGAACAGCTTGGAAACCACGGAAAGGGCCTCTTGCCAAAGGGCCGCAAAAGGAGAAAATGGCTGGACGATATGGAAATCGTGTCCGGCAGTCCAGACGAGAGCCCACCCCTGATGAAACCCAGCTATTCGAGACTCTACGTGAAGCGACCGCTTCTCCTTCGAAAGACAATCAACAATCCGACTCTACACCTTCACCTCCCGTTCCGAGAACCGTATCGACGGACTCTAGCCCCGCTGCCGACCCTCCTTCCGCACGTCGCTTGTCAATAATTTCAGACTCTCCTCTATACCCCTCAATACTTCGACAAAGCACGTATGACGGTCCTGCTGGAAGCACTCCAGATCGCCAGTTCTCTCGCCAAAGTTCGATCGATAATGCGTCAGAGGTGTCTTGGAACCTAGAGCGGGATGTTCACGAGGACGATTTACAGCGGACTAGGCCACGGAAGTACCGTGGTGAACCCCATGGGCAGAACATAACAGCTCCCCCCCGACGACCTTCGGGGATAGCCGGAATTTCAATGATCGAAGAGGAGGAAGAGCCAGAATCAGATACCAGGTCTGTGTCTGCTGGAGAGCCTACTCCAGAAGCTACGCCTGAACCTGAGCCTAGCGCCGGCTCAGGTCCTCGACCAATGCCTGAATCACCCCCCACATCATGGACCGCACCTGTGCGCACGATAATTCCACAGTGGTTTCGTTCGGAGCGCACGTCAGAAGAGCACGAGTCAATCCCGGCTGCTCCTAGAGAGAGCTTTTTCAACCGGTTCCTGAATACCACTTCTACGCAGCAAAAAACCCACGAAGACGAGCCCAAGCCCCCCCGGGAAATCTTGGAGCCCCATGTGGATCCTGGCTGGCTTGGTGCTACTATTGTCGTTGGCTTTTACTCTCTTATCACCGGCTGGTCTGGTGCAGAAATTTGATATCCCATGGCCTTTTGGTCACATTCCGTTCGAATACACGCCCAACATGACTGACTCATCTGCATTTGTGAGCTTAGAAAGCCAACTCTCCAGTATGAATGCTGAATTGTCGTCTTTGTCCAACGAGCTAGTGGCCATCCGATCACAGAAACCGCCAGAGTCAATACCGACAGAATACCCCGTGGACCCAGGCCTACCAGGCAAACAAATCCACAGAATCAACTTTTTATCTCCAACCTGGGGAGCAGCTATTGACCCATACAATACTGCCCGGACGGCCGGTAGCAAATACAGTCGCCTCCAACGTTTTCTGACGAATGTGGCTGGCATCAGGCCCGCTTTCCACGGCCCCTACCCTCCTATACAGGCTCTTCTACCTTGGAAGGAGCCAGAGGAATGCTGGTGCCACGATGATACTTTCTCTCAGATCTCCATCGTTCTCGGCCACGATATTGTCCCAGAAGAGGTTGTGGTTGAACACATCCCAGAAGGAGAAACCTTGAACCCGGGGTTTGCGCCACGGGACATTGAATTGTGGGCCCACTACCAGATCGTGCCTGTTGTAGAGCCCGTCGAAGAGCCCGAAGTCGCTTCCTCTTGGTTCTCTATGTTCGGAGGATCGGCGGGGAACAAGGCACCTGCCGAGGCTGATTTACCTTCCAAGGCACAACCGAAGGCTGACTCCCGTACTAGGAAGGATCTTCACGACATCCTGATGAGCTCCTTGCGTATCTCCAGCGAGTCCGAGCCAGAAGGTTCCTATTCGGATGACCCGGCTCTTGGGCCCAGTTTCTACCGCATTGCCACAATGAGATACGACATTCATGCCTACGACCACATTCAGCGATTCCCTGTGAACACTGTCATCGACATTCCAGGAATCCGGGTGGACCACGTTGTCTTCCGCGTAAAATCGAATTGGGGGGCGGAGCAAACGTGTATATACCGACTAAAACTACACGGGCGAGTTTGAAATCGCCGTCACGCATGGCCATCTGGTCTGTGTGAGCTCTCCACGTACTTGTAGTATTAGATGTGCTTTCGATCTTGTTTTCCGAGTGGCTTTAGCGAAAAGAGCGGTATCAGGATTAGCAGCGACGCATTTGCATTTAGCGTGGGCGGCGTTAAGGATAGGACAGAAATGAGAGCATGAATTGTCAATTGACCTTAGGCCTCCAATCCTGCAGGCCCAAAACCGACCAGGGGTTGCAGGTTGCAGAATGCAGCTCTCAAACGCCCGGGCGCTTTGACCTGGCATTGGGCTCGATGTGCTGTACTCCCGCTGGGCACTTTTAAGCGCTGGACCCCACAGTGGCTATAAGGATGTAAACAAAGTCCTTTGCGCCAGGAAACCTGAATGTTATTTTTGTTTCCTCCTGTTAATTGTTCGTCCTCCCCGGCTCTTTCTCTTCCCTGGACTTCCCCTCCTCTCTCTCTCGGAATTGACAATGGGGGTATACTTCCAATGTTCCTGGCACTGGGCTGAAGGCCTTCCTCTTGATGCCCCTAGATCAGAAGAGGAAGCCCTAGCCCAGATCGACCGGCTCTACAAATCCGGTGTGCCGTTTTTCAGCAAAGAGATGATTGGCGACGCCTGGGCCAAGATCCAGCAACTCAATGCTCCGGGCAGTAAGATCCAGCTCAAGGGCCCAGATGGCATAGTGATCGAACACGAGACTAGGACTGGCGAACTGCCGGACCGATATCGCGACTCAAAAGCCTCCCAAACCGAAAGGGTTCTGTAAGTATCGTTCTCGCGGCTCAAATCTTCATCGTGAACTAACGGAAGAACAGACAGAGACCTGTTCTTTCTTACGTGCCCTATGCGCATCTAAAACACCGGCTATACTGGCAGAGCTACTATGATGAGGATACACCGCCCTGCTGTACCATAACGCTCATGCACCCTACCATCACAAGACGCATAGGCACCCACGAGCCAGTACCTGATCCGGAGCTGAGGCTGGATCCGGAGCCCCGGAGCCAAGGTGAGCTGTTAGAAGCATGGAGTAAGAAGCAGTTGGGCTGGATCAAGAGCCCTATGTGCTCCAATCTGAAGCAGATTCTCTCATCATCCGCTGCAGATCTAGATATCCGTCAGATCGTGGGGTTCTCGCTGGGGTCGATCTCCCACGATATAGATGACCGCAGCGGCTACCAGCACGCGCTGCTACTGACTCTGCGCGATTGGCTGCTGGAGGAGCGTGATGCCGTCGTGCCTTGCTATGTGCAGGATCCGATCTATACAGAAGGTGATAGTGTCATTATGAAGGAGAATGATGTGGAGATTCTGGATGACCCGTTGGGTTGGTTAGCGATAGACGACACATCCATTGTGGTTTCTATAGCCTCTAATGTTGCGAGCAAGGAGATAGTCGCCGACATTGCTCGTCCGGCTATAGTCATCTGGGGCCGGGTAGGGGACAATAACTATGACCAAAGAGGAAAGCTTTCTCTGTAAGTAGTGCTTGATGCCCTGATGTGTCCCTGACTGATAAGGGGTTTGATAGGACCGATCCTGACTCCCCGAGAGTCCGCAAGATGATGGAGGGCTATGAAATGTTTGAATTTGGAGCTGATGACCATGTGGGCGATGTAGTGGTCTATGTCCGACGGCGCAGGACCAAGTGCCACGAAGGGAGAGCCTGTCTTGGTATGAGCAAGGTTTAACACCAGTTGACTAATTAGCTAGGTAGTTAAACTAGTCAAGCGAATTGCGAGGTACTGGGCATCTAGAACCTACCATACGGTTGAGATGGGCAGTGATGTTCCAGGCCGTTGATCGGAATCGCCCACAGTCTAAACAATCTACACATTCGTTCGCCCATCGCTGACTTTGTACGCAGTATTCCTGTAGCGCGCGATTATGTTTATGGTGGCCTGAACAATACGGCGGCTACCGGATTGTGGGGTCCGGCGCGTATCTGCTGGGAACAATGCGGCTATGGCTTCGACGCCTTGGATTGCAAACTTCGGAGCGCCGTTCGGACCTTTCCTTGTAGAGAAGCAGAGTAAAACCAGAATAGCCCTTCTTTGTACCGGAGGCTTATTTCCCCCAACTTCAGCCCTTCCCGCCCCTCTCACCCTTACCTTATTCCATCCCTTGGTCTTTCTCACACCACCCCACTTCGGTCATGACGAAGGCGGAAGACGCTCAACCTCACCTCACCGAGCATTCTGTTCCTCTCGGTCACGCGCCTTTTGTGCAGCCATCCTCGTACCTTCGCCCTCCAATGGCCTCCGCAGAGAGACCAATCGATCGAGAAGAGCGACAAGGCCTGGTAAGTTTTGCGCCTTTTTTGAGGCCAAGAATTGGCTCCCCGAAACCCCCGCACTCAGCTTTCGAATTCCCAAATTGTCATCCCACGTCGCCCCGCAAATCAGCTTTCTCCGAAAAGCTTGATGCGATCATGGGTCATTCAGACCGAGTCCATCGTCAGACTCAGGTCTCACAATTGCAACAGCGCACCTTGTTTGGGGCACGGGACCGGAGCCTATCCAGATCGTGACTAACGCAGCGTCAAACAGCGTGCCATTCGCAATTTTCTCAAGGTCCGAAATTCCTACGATGTTCTTCCTCTCAGTTTCCGCCTCATCATATTCGATACCTCGTTATCAGTCAAGGAGAGCTTGAATATCCTCATCCAGAATGGCAAGTGGCGCCAGCACTCCAAGCGACATTAAAGCACGGGCTGACTGAAATCGGGAAGTACAGGTATCGTTTCAGCTCCGCTGTGGGACTCAAAGGCGTCTAGGTTCGCGGGTCTCCTGACTACCTCCGACTACATCAATGTTATTCAATACTACTTCCAAAACCCCGCCGCGCTGGATCAAATTGATCAATTCCGGCTTGACAGCCTGCGTGGTGCGTCTATCCGTTCCGGTGCATTTCGAGAGGCTGAAGGGCCCAGGAAACAATAAGGGCAGCGTATCGGGATTTGCTAATGTGATTTCTGCTTGTATACAGACGTTGAAAAGGCATTGGGCGTCGCGCCTCCTGAAACTGTCTCCATCGACCCTGAACGACCACTCTATGAAGCATGCCGGCGTATGCTCCAGTCTCGTGCGCGCCGTATTCCCCTCGTTACAAACGACAGCCAGACCGACAGATCACATGTCCTCAGCGTTATCACCCAGTACCGTATTTTGAAGTTCGTCGCCGTTAACGTTCCAGATACACAGATGTTGCGTCGTCCATTGGGGGAGCTCCTGATCGGCACATATGAGAATATTGCTACAGCCTCAATGGATACACCTGTCATTGATGTTATTCATATCCTGGTGGAGCGCAGTATCTCCAGTGTGCCGATTCTGAACTCGGAAGGTGAGCATATGTTTTTCCGGCGCCGATCCGAGGCATTCCAACAGGATCGGTCACTAATCTGTATCGAATGTAGGCGTCGTCTACAATGTCTTCGAATCCGTGGACGTAATTGCTCTGATCAAAGGAGGCGTGTATGACGAGTTAGGTAACACAGTAGGAGAAGTCTTGAAAAAGCGATCTCCGGTAGGTTGCGAATTATGTTCGTTGTTGATACCAGCCAGCTAAGCCTAGCGTCTAGGAATTCCCGGGTATCTACACCTGTTCGCTAGAGGACGGACTCGACACCATTTTTGATACCATCCGCAAATCTCGGGTCCATCGTTTGGTGGTGGTGGACGAAGCATTCAAGCTCAAGGGCGTTTTAACCCTGAGTGATATTCTCCACTACATTCTCTTGGAGGGAGAGCCTGACGAAGCATCATAAGGCATTGGCCGTCCGTGGATTCCCTTTCACGCTTATACATATGACTCCCTCTTGCATGAAACCGGCGTTTTTGTTGATTATTTCGTTCGTGTCTGGCAGTGCTGTTATCAGAACATTGATCGCCCAGAAGCTCTAGGCTGTAATAAGGGCACCTGTGCTATTTGAACCTCTCATAAATGTACAAGAGTACAAAGGTAATACCACGGTGTCGTGTGGTCGGAATGGGCACCTAATTCCCTCGCCAGAAGGCGCCGAGATGCGCAGGAATAGAGGTTCTTCCACCAGTTGACGAGGGCACCGTCGCTCCTTCCTGTGTTGTATAGATATACACCTTCCCATTCTCAGAGAAAATAACATACTGTACAACTTCCAATGAGAATCATCCTCGCAAACTTCTACACCTCTGCTCATCAGTTCCCACCTTTGACTTATTAGCACCAACCAACCTTCTAATCTGCCTTCCAAGCAAGCTTGCAAATATGCCTTCGCTACTGTCTATTTTCCGACCCCCTAAGAACAGAACCACCTCTGCCCCTCCCGGGAACTGTCAAGCCTGTCCTCAACGCCGCCGTGGACGACCTCTCAGCACCGACGGTCCTCAGACCACGGTGCCAAGCGAGGAAAAAAAGACGCTCATTCATCTCCATAACACACTGCCAACTTTGGTAACAGACGATCGCACTTCGCAGGCCCCGGCAGCAAGTGAGGAAAACGCAGCGCCACAGGAGGAGCAGAGTGCGTCCAACGAGTTTACAGTCCTTACCCAGACCGATGTTCAAGCCTCGCCAGATTCATTGGACGTCGCCAGTACACCACCCATTGGATCCCCCAAAACAGTGCACTCCCAGAGCCATGAGGGAGAGAGTCGTTCTCGATCTCGACATAGTTCTCGCCGGCTCAAAAAATTCATGTCTCGTTTACACTTGGGTCAATCCCGGGCCCAAAGCACAGTATCTGAAAGCTTAACCACTGCAGTTCCCCAAATATCCCGGGTTCCCCAGGTGCTGCCCTTTGCTCAAAGCCCCGAACCGACGACTGATCCTATCAAGAGGGATCCTCCATCAGGCGACCATCAGCCAATCGAGCGTGAGGCCCTTGAGCAAAGGAACGTCAGCGCGCAAACTGTAGAATCTCAGGAGTCAAATCACACAACGGAAACTGTCAATCGCCGTCCCTCTCAACGGAATCCACTGTCTCTCAACGAGCTGCCGGACGATGGGTTTTGGTCTGGCATTTTGCACTACGAGGGAAAAGTCGAACATGTCTTTGAAGGTTCCGATCCTTTCTCCGATGGGAAAAATATTGATTCCCGGCATCAAGGCGTTGCATCTTCCTCCAGATACACTGGCAGCGAAGATCAAAGCACCCGCGGCACGAGACATTCACTCACTTCGCAGGCTATCAGTCAAGCCGAGAGCACTCACCTGCCATCTTTAAAGTCGTCCAAATCTCGTAACAGCGCCCAGGCGGAGCCATCCATGAAATCGAGCAGGGCTACTTCCATGGCCAGCCATGCAAGTAGAGGCAGTCGGTTGAGCAGGATAGACCCATTAAGAGCTACTGTGGCATTCAACCAGCTGTCCGGTCAGCTTAAATTGCCCATTAGCATCCCTCAAGAGGACTCTGAGGCGGCACGATGTACGGCTAATGTCTCGCATGACTTTATTGCAACGACTGACTGTTGAATAGCGGAGGTGAAGACGGATGCCGAAGAGGATGAACACGTTCGGGGACGATTTTCATTGTACCCGCGACGTTCTCGGACAGGTCAAGTAAGGACATCGAGATCTCATGTTACCCTTGGAGAATCAACACGCCATCCTGCCCCGAAACTGCGACGAACCAAGACTCTTGCCAATCTACGCCTTCGTCAACCGCCTATGACCTCATTGCGAGGGAGGACGGTTGAGACCCTTGCACGCATTGGGGGGCATGCCTATCTTATGTTGCCGATGGACATCGCGCCCGCTCCGTTGCAATTGCCAGCTTGCTTCGTGGCGACCATAATACATCTGCGTAAAGCTAGTAAGTACCGGAGCTGTTCCCCAAGGTCATTTCCATGACCTTCAGGTCATATATCGTAGTCTAGCCCGCTGACTCGGGTTCCTGCAGCTCCCCATCCGGCCGAACTTTTCGTTGAGCCTGGTGACATCAAGGCTGCCACCCGCCTGTACAATCACTTCGCGCGCCAAGTGCTGCTTGCAGAGAAGGATGAGCGTAAAATCGCGATGACGACGCGTGTGGTCTCGATGCCCGCCATCGAGTCTGAGTCAAATGCAACAGCCATACTCAGTGTAGGTTGGGTATTCAATGGGCTGCTTGCCGGTCTACCAGGTGGGATCCTCGGCTCTGCCCGTCTCTACCACATCTTGAGCTCGATCTACCTTCAGAACATACCGAACCCTGGTCTAAGCCGGCTGATTGCCTTGGCCATCATGGCCCTGACCAGTGAGACGCAATGCGCTCTGATATGCGGCGTCTTTGCGCTCTTCACAAGCTTGTTGCAGGATGCGGGGGACCGTCAGCGTCAAGGGGAACCGAGCCAAAGAGCTCGGGACTGCGGCCCGGTCTGTGGCGAGCACGTTGACTCCCGATGGACTGGCGCGGGTATTTGGACCGCTGTTAATCGGCGGGCAGGATCGCGAACGAGCCACACAACGTGCAGTGGAACAGGAGGTGGAAGAGCAGCGGGTGATGGAGCTGATGATTACGAATTGGCGACCAATCTGCCGGACTCTTCGCGAGTTGACAGGGTACAACCCAGGGCCAGGAAGACGGGAATAAAAACCAGTGGCATGATCTGATGCACGAAGACTTGGCCTGCTTTTGCTTCGGGTCTGGACTCTTTTGTGTTGAGAGATCTGCGTAGAGCGTTGAGGTGATTGGGGGGGATGAATATCCAGGGTTGTTGGATTTCTTGCTTGTTTTTTTTCCATCCTATTGCTAGGCTAGGGTCTTATAGCTATCGAACTCCGGCCGTGTCTTGAATGCTAGTAGTGTACGCAGTATGCTTTACTTCTTGTTGCGGGTCCACTTGAAACCCAGTTTTAGTTACATTCTGGCAGATTCTGGTAGATGTAGAAGGCTGACGGGGCCATCGGAGGGACGTGAGTGGTTGGCTTGACTTCCCGGTTCGATAAACCGACCCTAAACGCCCGGCCCAGAGCGCCCGCTGATTGGCTGGTCCAGCTTGCCTTTGGAGAAGCTGTACTTGCTGGTGTTTTTCCCAGTGATGTCAAGGAAGAGCTACCCTCGTTACTGGGGTAGATATGGGGAGGGGCATTGCAGGTTTTCTTGCTCCAGTTCTTATGCAGCTTAAAGTGGCCGCGGTCTCGCCTGCCATGGCACATTCCATCCCCGCTGTTTGTCGCGGTCTACAAATACGCTTGCCAACTTTCCCTGTATCACTGCTTTCCCCCTCCCATCCTGGCCCTGTCCTACACATCCGGGCTTCCACTCCTCGCCCTGTCCACGTATTCGCTCGGATCTACTGGACCGCTGGAAGTTCTGTCCGACCGTGGCTCCAATCGGCCGACCGCAACTCGAGCGTCCTCTGTCTCAAGCACCAAGCCAGCCGGATTCAACCGTGGTTCTCCTCCTGCCATTGCACCCAACCTGGGAATCCGACTTCTGTCTTGACGCCCAAGACTCTGTGCGCGCGATTGGGAGGGTGGGCTGAACTATCCCCACACGTGCCTTTGTACCTGGCAGCCTGATAAAAGCTTTATGCTGGACCTTGGATTGCGAAACATAGCACGACCCTCCTCTGTTCAGCTCCTCTCGATAGCTCCTACGATCCACTGCTATGTCGAATGGTAACCTGAATCCCCACATGTCGAGCGAGTTGTCCATCGCAGATCGATTGAATTCTGTTGAAGCGTCGCTTTCTGCCGCCAGCGCATACTCCGGACAGTTTATGGGACTTCCGATCCCAGAAGACGAGAACCTGTGGACTCTAAGTCCTGTGTCGCCTACAATGGGCACCGGGGCTTGGACAAGGCCGATACCGCCGCTCTATGTACCTCCGCGCTCGAAAGGGATCTCAAAAACGCACAAGTCCGAAACGGTCAGCCCACGCCTCCTCCATACGAAGATCAACATCTCCACGAGTCGTCCTCTTTCGTTCTCGACACGGCGAGCCGACGACGACGTGCACGAGAATGCCAGATGGCCGCAGACAGCCTGAGCCCGGATCTAGACGACTCGCCCCAGCTCGAACGTGCGAAGAGGGCCAAATTCCTCGAGCGGAACCGGCTGGCGGCGAGCAAATGTCGACAAAAGAAAAAGGAACATACCCAACAACTCGAGTCTCGGTATAAAGAGCAGTCAGAGAAGAAAGAGCAGCTTGTGGGCGAGATTGCTCGCTTGCGCTCAGAAATCCTCAATCTGAAAAACGAGGTGCTCAAGCACGCTCAGTGTGGCGACGAGCCCATCAAGCTGCACCTGGCTCAGATGGTGAAGAAGATCACTGACACCGATGGCCCGGCTCCCCGTTCTCTTTCCGCTGCCGATTCCTCTATCGAGCTGATGGATGGTTCCATTTCACCGGAGGATACTGCCCTGACGCCGACGCCGACTACAGGGGCGCAGCCGGTGACTTCGGCCCTTTCGTTTGGGTTTGATGACTCTTTGGAGCCCGCTTCAGCGGCTGTGGCGCAAGCTCTCGAGCAGGAGATGCGAGAGGAAGAACTTCGTCGGAACTCCAGTGCCTCCATGCTATCGGAATCCTCCTACGCCTTCTCCGCAGATGATCCCTTTGAGGACCTCATCAATGTCTAACCCACTTCTTTTTTTTTCTCTCTTTTCCCGCCTTTTTCTTTTTCTCATGATAACCAATGAACGCGGCGTCCACGAAATCAATCTTTTGATTCACTTGTTTGTTTATTTTTCTTTCTCTTTTTTCAAGTTTGCGATAGGCGGGGTGATTTTCTCAGCGAGGCGTTGAATCCGGATGGTGGCCGGCGTTAATATCGACGGCTGTGGTTATGGGACTGGCTACGGTGCAGCATGATTCCCTTCTCCTGGGCTGCCACTACCAAGGCTTTTTTACTACCCTCGATTTTTGCCTTCTTTCTTCACGTGTCTTAGGACGTTGCTTTCATGTGAACTACAACTGCGATTCGGAACATGTGGCTTTTTGCTGGAGCCGAGGCTCTCTTCTTTACTAGTACGTTGATAGGACTTTCAATGCACTGTCTCTCATGAGAGGGAAAACTGAACTATCGACGCCTCCATGCCCAGATAGGAATTCAATCCGGTCTTTCAATCTTTCAACGACCATACACCGCGCGCCTTGTCGAATTCATCGCTTAAAACCCCGACAGGCACAGGATAAAGACCCGTTTATTCGTTGGGGCTTCTCCCCCAAGAGAACCATCCCAGCCCAATTTCAAACTCTGCACCATCGTCAAAATATCCAACCCATTTATGATGATCTCATCTTTCAGCATCTCATCACGTTCCCGCCTTCGCATGCGAGGAGCTTTGGCTTGCATCGTTGCGAATCATCTACATTTGCGGGGGATTGTGGGCCTACCTTGATACAGTAGAGTGATGGTCGGTCGTCTGGGTCGAGGAGGTTGAGGAATTTTCCGCTGTAATGTATATTGATCCTCTCGAGTGGGATCGGCATGGTTGTATCATGAATTTATTTGGTTACTTTTCGCAGTCCAAGGTTGGCTCTTGATACTGAGGATTGGAAGCAAAAATCGGATGGTTCAGGAGGGAAGCCCACGACAAGGACCGATTGCCGAACCTGTCGGTGAGCAGAGACCAATTCTATTGACGATGGGATAGCTGACCCGAATCAAGAATCCGTAGGGTCCATTGTGACGGAACTCGGCTAATTGCAAAAGATGCTGTCCACCAGGCAGAGTGTGTGGCTAGTATCAAGTGCCCCAGCTTTCGTATTTCAAAGCAGCACGCAAACGTGAGCTTCTTCCCCCTCCAGCGATTTGGCCATGCGAGCAGTTGGAATGCCGGCATCAAGCAATCACCGAACATGTCGGGCTTGGGCCTCAGCATATTGCTTCTTTTCATGACCGCACTACTGTGAGCTCCCGGGCTGTTTCTCTTCTCTCTTCGGAAGCAGATCATCTTGCAGTTCTCGCTCTCAGAACCAGTGATCAGAAACGCTGCTGTGGCGGGATATGCATTGTATTATCCGTGGAGATGAGCCCATCAGTAGATGGTATATCTTTAGTGGAGACTCGTCATGTCCTTGCTGTACGACAGAACGTCAAAGCGATGAACTACCTGCGGACGAGGCTGGATAATATCTGCGACTGTACAGATGGAGCACAGCTGGTCCTCATCACATGTCTCTTATTTGTTTGTCTCGAAATGCTGTAAGAAGATCGCAGCACAAGTCCGCAGTGGTCCGAGGAATCTATCGGACATTCTGGCTCAAGCTTCTCTCCATGACCGCTGGGGCATTCATCCTGGGATGTCCGCCATCCAGAAGCTGGGTGGTCTCATAGATCAGCTGACCGGCATATTCGCTTGGATGGATGTGGATCCAACGCCTTTTGGCTGAGGAGAGCCTGTCGTTTGCACGGATTATTCGCAAGAGCAAAAGGCCGTGGCCTCATCATACCAAGAGGAGCATACTAGACATAAGCAGCCGGACACTGGGAAACCAGATCCTTGACTGGGCTCCCCGGCACTGCTTAGAATTCGTGGGGATTCAGAGAGCTCCCTTGTCTAGGATGTATGCAGTTGAAAGTCCTCCAAAACCATTGAGCCCTCTGGCTTTCTTTCTTGCAGCAGTCAGAATTCATGATTGGGGGTCCGGGGGAAAGACAACCCCCCCCTCGCTGTAGTCGCCATACTACTTGGATTGCGCCACTTCTATTGCTTCTTCCAAGTCCACACTTGCCGAAATCCCACAGAGCTTAACTGCAATCGGTTTAGCTCGTGTGAGAGAAAGGTGTCATGCTCTTGCGAATAGTTAACCCTTTTAGATTGATAACCTCATCCGTGCAGACGCCAAGATCCTCCGGGGTAACCGTGACCTTCACTCTTGATCCGCCTCTCATTCCTTTCTTGTACATGGTGGCCATGAAATGTCGCCAGCCCTTGATCCACCGCAACGCTATTGCCCTACTTGGTCAAGACCCCCGTCCAGAGGGGAGGTAGGAGCTGAGGATGATTGGGCGATTTGTGCAGGAAATGGCGAAACTTGAAGAGGCAGCATACCTACGAGCGAAACTAGAGATGGGACGAGCGACCAGGTTATACATGAAGAGTCTCGGTTCTGTGGTGTTATTCTACGCCGCTACAGAGACAGGGATCGACAGAGTAGTCTGTGCTCAATTCCTTCAACCGAAGGCGACGATCACTGAGAGCTTCTTCCACCTATGAGAGATTATACTCGTTTATCTACGAGGAGCTTACTAGGAGCCAGGATATGCGACGATATGCGAGTACTCCGTAGTTGATACCCACGAAGGCCCGTCTTTGCCATTGCTACAAGCACAATTTGCAGTTTGCCTTGACCCTGCGTGCTCATATGTATGTCGGTCCTTCCCTCCGGATTCGAGCTGCAGATTGGGTCGGAGAGCCCGGGTAGGAGCACGGTTCCACTCCCTGGAGATACCATGGTTCGACCCTTGAAGTTCCTGAATCAACATCCCAATCCACCTTGGAACATGGAATCGAGCGGCGTAATGCATGGGACTATCTTCGGCTTCTTCTTCGAAGTTGCAGGCGCCGGTGGCTGACCACGCAGCCGCACCCGGACGCCATCAGGATGACTCCCCGCATGGCTGTTTCTAGACTTGTTTCCCTGCAGATTCTCCCAAGTGATCGCAAATTTAAGTTCCGACGGACATCCGACCGGTGCATTTCTGCAGGGCGGACTCGGTATTGACAGCGAATGGGGAAGACCCGATAATGCTAGTGGCTGAGGGCTTGATTGACACATTCAGGAGGTGGTACTCGTCACTTAGCCTCGTTGATTGGTCTCTCCCCATCCACGGATGGCTTATTCTAACCCGAAAAGATGCAATCACTATTCCTCCGGGTCTTCCACGGTCGTCCTGAGCCGCTAAAAGGGCACTCGATTGGACGCTACCCCTCTCTGCGTTCTTGCAGAGACGCCGCCAGATTTCCCCACTATTGTTCAACTGATACGAGAGACAAGCTTTCCAGGGCAGCTGGCGTCATCTCCGCGGAACTCCTGAGGTCTTTCTGATCTTGTGCTGAAGAGACACAACGACCTGGTGACTTTTTTGTTTCTTTTCTTTTTTTTTTTTGTTTTTTCTAATCGGTTTTCATGAGAAAAGCACGAGAGCAAGTACTCACCTCGATCTCATCATAGGGCGCCATCTGTAGGCCCAATGTGACCATCGCCCGGTCACCAGGGCATGTATGGATTAGCGTTATCTTAGCGCTGTGGTCAAACTCCACAGAATCATCCCAGCCTGGCCCTGCTCGGCATCTAATATCCACCTGTACAAGGCTAGTGTCCCGTTACGCGATATCATCTAACTCAATTCCTCTATATCCTTCCGGTGGCGCCCAAGATTGGCCGTCCTGGCGTGCTTGTTTGGTCTTGGAAGCCCCATGCCATGGGGTCCCGACGGTCTTGATGTTACATTCAAGTGGAAGCTACGCGTTGTCTGGAGCTAAGCTGACGAGAAGCTAACCTTGTCGAACGATCGAGATGACATTAGGGCCTCACGGCCCACGATCCAGCTATATATAAAGCCAAGTCTCTCCCTTCTCCTCGTACTCTTCATCCAGCAAAGCATTCTCAGCCTGAATCCGGCCAAGCCCTTTTTTTTCACTTTCATATAAAACAGAAAGCTTTTGTCTTTTGATCCAACCCTACATAATGAAGTTCAACGTTGCTCTCAGCGGTGCTCTCTTCGCTGCCTCTGCCCTGGCAGCGCCCCTGACGGCCAAACGCCAGGCTCGCCATGAGGCTCGCCGTCTTGCTCGTGCCGAAGGTGCTAAGACCCAGCGGCACAGCAACCCTCCCTTCCAGCCAGACACTCATGATGTCCTGCAGCTCAACAGCACCTCCCACGTGCAGTACAGCTCCAACTGGGCCGGTGCCGTCCTCGTTGGATCCGGCTACACAGCCGTGACCGGCGTGTTCACCGTCCCAACTCCCAGGCCCCCCCCAGGTGGCAGCAGTAGTGAGGCTTACTCCGCCTCCGCCTGGGTCGGCATCGACGGCGACACCGACGGCAATGCCATCCTGCAGACCGGCGTCGACTTCACCATCCAGGACGGCGAGGTCTCATACGACGCCTGGTACGAGTGGTTCCCCGACTACGCCTACGACTTCAGCGGCATTGACATCTCGTCGGGAGATGTGATCAAGGTTACCGTCGAGGCGACCACCAAGTCCTCTGGCACCGCCACCGTGGAGAACACCAGCAATGGCCAGAAGGTCTCTCACACCTTCACCAGCGGCGAGGTCGAGGCCTCCTTGGGTGAGGTCAACGCCGAGTGGATCGTCGAGGACTTTGAGCAGAACGGCAGTCTCGTCCCCCTGGTTGACTTCGGCACTGTGACTTTCACCGACGCCGAGGCTGTGGACAATGGCGCCACTGTTACGCCCGCGGGTGCTCAGATCTTGGACATCAAGCAGAACAACCAGGTCCTCACTGATAGCTCTGTCTCTGGCAGCTCTGTTACTGTCAAGTATGTTTAGGTGGTGGCGTGAGAATGTTCGGTCAGGTATGATTTCATGAGAGGAGTGGAGGATGCGGATCTATAAATGACATTTCATTTTGTATATACGATGTGGGTTCTGACGAGCCAATCGCGTGACGGCTCCACTATATGATGCATCTTCAGCTTGATCGTGATCTCGCGTACTCGTAGGCTGTAGTTGCTACTCTACAGATATCGTTTAGGGCCATTCTGTTCATCGACATACTGGGCTGCTCAATGGCACGTTGCTAAAACTGAATGTGATGCCGATCTGCTCGAGCAGCTCCATTGATATGGACGCTGGAGTCGTATATGCAAGAGGAGCTACCAGACTTTTCCCCTTAAATTTCACGACCTAATCATGTTGACGAACCTTAAAGCCAAATTAGATAGCCCTTTAGGAGCCTATTCAATAAATGATCATTCCTCCATCTAGCTACGGCTACAAGGCGCTTCTATTACCTACTTGTAGATAGCTATATTATATATATCTTTTAGATAGTATCCTACATTTCTCACAGAACTGATCAAATAAGAATTTCCTAGCTTAAGTTGTGTTAGATTCCCAGACCGAGAATCGTATCAGAGATCCTACATCAGTGGTGGCACGGTCTAAGACTGAACCGGTCTTTAGCTCTTTTAAGGAGTCAAGTGATTTATCAATCGCTTCACCTATCCCACTTGCGTCGAAGAGTTTTGTAAGCCGATAATGGCAGTCTAATAATATGCGGCTTGGGAGCTTAGATCCCCACTCAGGCTCGGTTGGATCAACAAAAGTGACCTATTGGAGGAGGGATGGTCGTATTTCGATGGGAAATCGCCGAAATACAACAAAGTTGTATGTATGTAGAGCGCCAGCCTATATCTGTAATCAGTTTAGAATGATGGCTCTTTCTAGTTGCTAGGGCCGGAGAATAGACGCACAACTGGCTCAAAGGTACATTGGAAATGTCCAAATGCATAGTGCATAGTACCTTGAAGCGTGAGACCATTCTGGATCTCATCGATTGCTGAGCTCCGTATAACCTTACGCACCTCGGGGAAATATCTGTAAAGAGTTTCCCACATATTCGCAACCACCTCTGCACCTGGCTGCTTTAATTAGCATATAGCCTTTAGTAAGAACGATGCGATAGAGGATCTGAAACCGATCAATGTACCGTTAGCGGAATTTGCGAGGTTGTTCATCGTTGGCCGGGATAGTGTATCCGGGCTTCTGGGGGTCTGTAGATAGTTTAAGGTAAACCTATTGACCTGGTTGAAAGCGTATAGGCTTGTGCGATCGGTTGAAATGAAGCGTCTCATCGATTACTTTGCCCATCCCACTCGCGTGGAAAAATTTCGCAAGTCGATAGTGGCAGTCTAATAAGACGCGGCTTGGAAGATTAGATTTTGACTCAGGGTGGGTTGTATCGACGAAAGTGACCTGGCTAGGAAGGTATGCGCCTCATTTCGACAAGTGCTCAAACGTAACGAGGTTGTACATGAATATTGAGGATAGAAAGAAGGATAGATGAGTTATATGCGAATAAGGACTAGTATACAAAATATTAAGCAAGGTAACTCTGTATGTAAACCTGATTATTCAGTATATTAAATTTTAGTATGATCCAATAAGGATTGGTGGTATAGGATATGTATCCATGAATATATATAAGTACTTTACGGGGTAGGTGAAGTGGTATGCACACAGACTTTTGCCCCCTATTTCTCTCATCATGTAAGCGATGCATTAAATGCCCAGGTGCCATAGCAGCTTCATATCAACTTCATATCAACTTCTTAAGAAAGCCCTTCACCGTATCCTTTTCCTACCACGCCAACGCCCGAAAATCCATAGCACAGATACCACCATCCACCCCTACCATGAGGAACGCAAACCATATAGATTGAAAGAAAGAAACGCCATCATCTATCGTTACCTATCATTATGCCTAGAGCCCTACTCGTAGAATCAGATCAGGATAAAAAAGTCCGCAAACAACTCCTTCCGCACAAACTTCGAATCCGCCCACGCCCTCGACGTATCCTGCCGCCGAATCATCTCCTCGAGCAACAAAAGCACCTTGTCCGCCGACGGATGCCGCGTAATCGACGCAGGCTCGTTCTCCCGAGGAGCCACCGCCATCCGCTGCATCTCCTGCAGAATCCACCGCCGCTGCTCACTCGAGCCCTCCAGCCCCGCCATGAACAGGGGCCACAGAAAACTAATCCTGAGGTGCTCCTGCTCCGTCTCGACCGACTCCGCCGTCGCCAGCTCGACGATCTTATCCACAGCCTCCTCGACCCGGTCGGTGCGCGGGTAGATCGCGAACGCGACCCGGTGCAGGTAAATAAAGTTCGCCAGAAAGCTGGCGATGTACTGGCGGAAAGTGCGGCAGACTTCCAGCGCGACAGGCCCGCGGAGGGTGTCGGTGAGGGCGTCGGGGTGCTCATAGATGTCTATGACGGCGGGGCGGGTGTGCCAGAGGGCTTCGAGATCGGCGCCGACTTTGTGGGCGATTTGGAGGACTTCAAATTCATCGCTGAGGGTGCCGCGGCTGCGGTGGTGCAGGTCGATGGAGACTATGCGGCGGACGTTTTGCTGCGCTTGTACAAAGAAGCGGAAGGCCGGGCCGACGAGGGCTTCGTAGATTAGGTAGCTGGGGCTTTGGAATTGGTCTTCGGCGCCTTCAAGTTCGTCGTCTTTGTTCTTTGCGGGAACAGGGCGCGGAGTCGCAGATTCTTTCAGTGCTGGAGGGTTGGCGAGGTCGTCGAGGGTGTCTCCCTCGCGACCAGCGATGAGGGCTTTGACGTCTAGAAGGGAGACCCATGATACCATTAGGTGACCAAAGCCAGTCCAGGCTTGAGTGCGCGCATGAAATCGTTGGAGGAGGAGATATGATGTTCGGAGGTAGGACGTGCCCAGAGCGCAGAGGTCCGAGGATGAGAAGAGCTGGGGGCTTTGTTGAGTAAATCAGGTTTCGAAGAAAACTTGAAGGAGGGATGAACGAGCTTACCTCGGAAAGCATGAGGAAGAATACAGTCGCGAATATTTTGATCAATCTCGGTTCAGCCACGTCTCCGAGTAGATATTTCTGGATCTCAGAGCTTGATACTTGATGGTACGTCGGGGCCCAGCGCCAACGTTTCCCTTCCGCCACAGACTTGTGAATATCTGCATAGCAGTAAATAGCATTTAGAAGCGGACTAAAGGTTCGCGCATACGCAAGGACAGTAGGCACCACGTACTTCCACTCCATCGTGACCGGCGCAAATATGCCCGCCGGCGGATCAATCGCGAGGAAGTACTGAAGCAACTGGTCTTCATACGAGCCATTGCCAGAACCAGACCAGCTCCTTCGCAGGGTAGTTGCATCTGAAGTGCTACCCGCTGATCCTCCGTCAGCCACTGAAGACGGGGCGTCTGAGCTGAACGGCGAGCGGGTTCCTCTCGCCAATTGATCTTCCTCAACATTTGTATTCGGCACCACAGCTGGTACCGATTGCGGCGTTGCACTGGTATGGAAATTTGCAAGGCCACTAGTCAAGTCCACATGCTTCTGTTCCAGGTCCGCAGTTATCCCTCCCATAAATTTAAGCATATCAAACGCCCCACCCAGCTCGGGCGGATATGTCTCGGAGTCTGTCGCTGGAGCAGGGTTCGTGCGATGGTGGTCATCCGAGCGGAGCACCGTGCTAAAGAAATTGACATCCGGTGAGCGCTGCCCTGGATCACCGGCCACAGCTGAGGCGGAGCTGCCAGCAGGCGAAGAGGAAGCAGGCTGGGGTGCCGCTTGTGTGGATGCGGAATCGGACGGACGAGAGCTTCCAGCCGGGCTGTGGGAGATGGGGGCTTTATAGACGCATCGCAGTCGCAGTCGGTCACAGTTCGCACAGCTTGGCTTCGTCTCATCACAGCGCACTTTGCGGGCCCGGCAGGTCAAGCAGCCTGTCCGTCGGCGTGGCCCTGACCTGCCAGTTCCACGGGCTTTGGGGACCGAACTCAGGGCTTCTGTCAGGCGGCCAGGGGCTCGTTTCGGGACGTCCATGACGAGACAAGGAGCCTCGAGAGTGTCGCACGAGACTGGGGCATGATTACTGGGTGGTGTCGGAGATCGAAATATCGATGGGGCGTGGCGCGATTTTCCCCGCAATAACGTGGGTTCCACGGGCGAGTTGAGACAGAGCTCGTTCGGGCGATAACGAGCTTTTGTTGCTATGTTGCTACATTCAGAGCCACTAGTACGGTAGGCTAGAGTTCATTCGTCAAAATCTATACAAAAGACGAAAGCATTGCGTACCTTCAGGGAATACCAGCATACAGATGCACCCCAAACTCCACGTGGAGAAATTACGTAGTGTTCCTGGTTCCGTACAAGAGTACGTATAGTATGAACAGAATCGATCGTTGGCCATAAACTGGAATCAAACGCTCGAGTCGGAGCTCTCTACGTCTACCTCGACTGGTTGGTATGCCATTTTATCTCCGCCCAAGCACTTCGATCGGTGCAACAAGTGGCCTCTTTCTTTGCGCACGTACGTCGCGAATCCAATGGCTGCAACTGCAACCGCACCGGCACTGATGAGCACGGGATAGTAGAACTTCTCTGGCTGGGCCCATACTATGGTCGATGCAAAGGATGCCATCTCAAAGAAGTTCTGCAATGCCATCTCTGTCGCAGAGAACCGAGCACGTGCTTCTTCCTTGACATTCTAGAGAGAAATTAGCACGCGATGCATATGAAGCTATCTCGGGAATAGGTGATAACTTACCTCTTGGACCAGGAATTGGGCGGAGAGATCGAAGCCCCAAAGCCCAACACGACTCAGTGCCACACCCACGATCAAAATCCCAGCAGCCAATCGAGATGTGGAGTCCCAGAAGATAAACCCGGCGGCGGCGCCCGCCACACAACCGAATTGCCAATTCAGGAACCACAGCCCTGATCGAATAGGTCCGATACGATTCATGATGAACGGGGCAGCCCATGTTCCTGAGATTTCTGCTGCAACGGAACCAATCCGCATGCAACTGATCTCCAGCGAGTTGAAACCACTGTGAAGAAGATAGGTAACCATGGTCCCCCCAAAAGATAGGACAGTCAGGTAGAGAAGGCTCAGCGCAAAGGATGGTAAGAACACCCTACTTGTCACATACTCTTTCCACGGGACCATCGCTTGACGCAAGTGGTTGACAATGCCACGAGCATGACCGTCATGCCCCTCTGTAGCATCTTGGTCAATATTGGATCTCGGAGCCCTCTTGAGCGCAGGGACTGATCGATAAACTTGGGCAATAGCCACATATTCAATCACAACCGATGTGGTATTTATCCCAAGTACAGTCCAGATTGCGATGCTCGAGGAGATGCTGTCCAAAAGAGAAATGAAGACAGGGCCAATCAATTTGCAGAAAAGGTCGATGCGCCTCATTGATGCATTCAATTCTGCCGTACAAAATGTGAGAATCATGATGGTTATGCCCAATGGGTGTCTTACCTTGTCTATCCACGTCGATGCTGTCCGATATCACAATCGCCTAGCAAGAACATAATGTCAGCAAGGACACTAATCACAGTCTCGCTCGAGCCATACCCAATCTCGTTCGACCGCTACTGTATTAGCGGTAGAAGCCAGTTTTTCGAGGCAAGCAAGAAGTCCCGAAGCAACAAAGAGGGCAAGTCTGGTGCCCTGATTTTCATTGGAGAGAAGAGCAATAAAGCACAAGCAAGATGCCGCAACGGGAACTCTTTGCCAAACTATGAGTTCGTCAGCCAATCCCGAGGGAGTTGCTCGAGGACCTTCAATTGAAATATGATTTACGAACCAATTGAATGCCGTAATACCACAAGTCGGTTCAGCTGGTCCACCTTCGCACCTAGCCACGACGAAAGTACAATGGCGGATAACGCCCGCGCGAGTGCATAGATGGAGGCGTAGAGCAAAGTTCCAGGGAAGACGGATGCCAGGAACAGAACCGCGCCAAACTCGAACATGCGCGAATTCCATGCAGAAAGTGCATGTGACGTATAGAGTCGAATCAACACAGACCGTGCATCTGGCACAGGGCTCGTAGCCGTCAAGGGTTCTTGCGCGGCGAGTAGAGGGGTATCCCCATCGATGTTATTCTCCGATCTCCGACCGGTTTCCGGAGAATTTCGATCCATATTAGTACGTCTCACCAGGAGGGTCCCTCAGGTTCAGAAGTGGCTCATGGTGTAAACAGATGGTACAGACGAGACTGATGGTTGCAGTTGGGAGGAAGCTTAAAGTTTCTGGCCTGGAGGATCCGGGTGGGCTGACCAAACCTGTTGGGGACCTTCGAAGATTCTGATTCCTGACTTGAGCCTGTACTCTATCCACTCCAGTTGCAGACCTGATATTATGATATCATGATATTATGTGACGACTCGATGTTTTTGAGATATCTTAAAATATTTGATGATAAATGGTAGAAACAATGCAACACCACCAGTATAAAAATCTTACATGACAATGCCAAAGATTGTCAAGCGAAGGTAGCAAAATTACACGCTATGAACAATCCCTTCTCTATACCCATCGCCAACCGTGGTTGTCGCTGATTGTGCGACGGTTGAGCACCTCTGCGACCTTCTCACGCACTCCCTCCTTCTGATCCCACTTCTTCGCAAACTCCTCGATCGTCTTCTTAGGACCAAGCCTGCGCTCACGCACGAAGGCCTCAATGTCGACTTCTCTGGGCAGAGCAAAGCGCTCATGTGGGTAACGGGTGTAATCGCCCTCGCTCAGCAGCTTCAAGCGACTTTCGCCATCGGGGATCTCGAAGAACTTCTCCACATCTTCTGCGGAAACATTTTCAAGCTTAGGCGGCTGCCATTCAGCCTGGCGAGGGGGCTTTGACATAAGACGGGCCTTGACACCCTCGATGAAATCGGGGTGGCGCATGAACTTGCCAGCAATAGCGTGCTCACGCTGGAAAGTCTCTGAGATGCTCCACTTTTTGCCCAGACGCTGTTGGCGCAGAGTCACCTTGAGTGAGGTTGGGGAGCGACTTGAAAGAGTTTCCAAGGTCTTCTGTGCCCAGGCCTTCTGTTCGGTCTCTGCCTCCAGTGCTTGGAAGATCTCCTCCACGGTGTTGAAGCGGAAACACCGGTCAATGGCATTACGCAGCTCACCGGCCAAGAGGATAGGCTCCTCCTGGAGACTGGGTAGGCCAAGCGAGAATTCAGCCATGGTCTTGTTAACGAGATCCAGTCGCCCGGGCAGGTCAAGGTCGTCTTGGAATACCAGCTCCGAGAGTCGCTGGGTCACGTTGGCCAGAACGCTGGAGTGGAGATAGTGGGTAGCAATGCCAGAGTACAGAGCCTGTACACCGTTCAGGCGCTCTGAGGTGAGGGCCAAGTAGGTGCCGGTCTCGCCATCCAATCGTGGCAAGAGAAACGAACCTCCTACGTCGGGGAAGAAGCCAATAGTTGTTTCGGGCATGGCAAAAACGGTTTTCTCGGTAGCAATTCGGAACGGGGCGTGCATGCTGAGACCGACGCCGCCGCCCATGGTGATTCCGTCCATGAAAGAGATGACAGGCTTGGAGTATGTGGCGATCGAGTGGTCGAGGCGGTATTCCAGGCCGAAGAAATCGGTCGATGCTTGTGACCCAGACTCTCCCTGCTCGTTCTGCAGTGCCAATGCTGCAACATCACCGCCTGCGCAGAGCGCTTTCGGACCTGCGCCGGAGATGAGGACAATGCTGGCCAGGTGAGACTTTTCCCATTCCTATATTATGCCATGGCTTTTAGCTTCTCGATCTATCGTCTCTCGCAGATTTCATAAAAACGCACCTTCAGTCGGGGGAGAATCTTTCGGACCATAGAGCCATTCAGGGAATTAAGCTTCTTGGGTCGGTTCAGTTCAATACTGCGCAGACCATACATGGAGTTGAAAAGGACGTCGTTCGGTTCGTCGCCGGGGAGTTCTTTGGGAATATCTGTAGAGGTCGACATCTTGACGATGTCAGCAAGATATATCGACAATCAGGAAGGAAAGGTCTTACCGTAACAGCTGCCTGGAAGGCAGGGTTCGTTACTTTGGCGCGTAGAGGCATGGGGGGCGACAACCGCGAGATCCAGCTCGGCGGCGAGGGTAACCGGGAGACTGGGCGAAGTAACATGAAGACAAGACCCGATGGGTGAAAACGAAAGGAGGAAGGGGGGGAAGGTTGATAATCAGATGTTTTCTCCGCTTTAGCTTTACCGTTTGACCTCGGGAAGTTTTGGGTTTGGATTTTCTTTCGGTCCGAGAACAAGCGCTCCGCCTTGAAATCAGTACCCGTAGATTGCGTACTAGCACCCATGGATTATTAGGACCTCCATGTTTAGTACTAGTAAGGGCTTGTAGATGGACTCTGTAATTGCTATTGTCTACTAGTCATGTACGATACTGTTTTAATATTTACTAATACCCAGCTGTAGAGCCAGATGTTTAGTACAAAGGGCGCGCATCAAGACCAATTTCCAGTAACAAGTTCAGACAGTCCAAATTCTATTTATACACAGGGCCAGGATACAGGAAAGAAAGTTGGAGACAAGTTAATACATGGACCACGGCGCTTACTCGAACGCGCTCGCAGGCCGGCTTCGTAGGTCTTTTGAGTGTGCTGCCAGGATTTTGTCCAGTGCTTGTTTCTCAATAATCAACCGCGAAGTCTCCAGCAAGTTCTTTACATCCACCTTCTTCAGATCTCGGATGGTCGCATATTTGTCCATGCGAGAGACCTTCTCAAACAATTCTTCGTCAAAAGACTTCGTAATAAAGGTTGAACGTCCGTTCTTAGTACCCCAGCCGTTCGCATGCAAGTAATTTTGAATCAGATACGGTGTCGCTTCAGCAGGAAGCGAAATCTTGTTGTCAATGACAATCAGCTCTCCGCGTGAGAATCGGTAGCTGAGAGCAATGCGCCATGCTTGATCGTAGATCTTCCTTGGCAGGTCGGTACCAAAGTCACGGGGGTGAGGCCCATGTGCAACACCACCGCCTCGACGTATTGGCGACATCTTATCGCCCACACGAGCTCGCCCGGAGCCCTTCTGTGGGAGCAGCTTCCTGTGACTACCGTGCACGTCACCCCTCCACTTTGCGTTGGCTGATCCTTGTCGGGTGTTATCGCCCTCGTATACGACTGCGCGGTGGAGAATATCCTTGCGAATTGGCAGCTGTAGTTCTTTCTGCGAGTACTGCACCAGGCGCACGGGCTCCATTGAAGGGAAAGCATATGTCATGATGGAGACAGGAGCATCCCATGGCGCGGGTGGTTTGGCGACTTCGGAGATCGATGGGCCATTGGCTGAAGCCTCGGTGGCCATTGAGCGGGTGAGGCACCGTCCCTATAAGCAAGAAAGGATTAGTCCGTGTAAATTGATATGCTTGCGTCTGATCCGTCTTCCCCAAAAAAAAAAAGATTAAGGATCACGCGGGCATGTCCGTACCATCACGGCCTCGGCGCCAGACCAAAGGCCAGATGAGCTGCGCGAAAGCAGGCGCAGCGCCCGAAGAGCATCGCTTCCAGGCATTGTGTATGTGCCAGCAGGGTTAAGGCTAGCTGATGTGAAGTGGTGCTGTGTCGGGGGATGGAGGAAAGCAAAAGTTGATGTTGAGGCGGTGGGTGCCAGCAAAACTCGAAGGCCTCGCGCAGAACTCTGAAAAAGTTCCCCCCCGAAGACAAGAATACCCTCCGTCCACTCCACTCCCTCCCTCACCCACCCTACCATCTCTCTACCATGGCTCATTGCGAGCGGGTAGCGAAGCCTGTGCTTCAATGCCTTCGCAATTCATACACACGAGCCTTGCCTGGCATTCAGCTTCAGGCACGTGGCTTCCAGTCATCTGCTGTAGTCGGAGATGCGCAGCCCGAGCAGCAGCCATTCCATAAAGCCCCGGATCCGGCACTAGTGTCAAGTCCTCGGCTTGAAAGGCGCTTGATGCGACAGGGTGTCTCTCCCATTGGATCCCGCCGTCGCCGTGCAGCACTCCAGACCTCCGAAGGCATCCCATTCGAACAACTGCCCTATCAATGCTTCCAGGAGGCCCGGAATATTCTCCAGGCAGACCGTGCCGAGAAACTTGAGGAGATTGAGAAGATGCGTCAGAAGATTGCCTATCAGGAGGCTCTCTCGCCAGAGGAGGCTGGTGGAGAGAACGCGAAGAAGTCCCGTGTGACTGCGATGCGGCTGCACTTAGAGCGCCTCAAGATCTCAGCGGACATCAATGATCCATTGGTGAAGCGCAAGTTTGAAGATGGCCAAGGTACGGCCTTCCCCTTTCCTCCTGTATATATATCACAGGATGCATTCAAAACTAATATATTGGTTTCGTCGCAGGTGACATGAGCAAACCGATCTACCGCTACCTGACTGATAGAAAATGGCGAGAATACCGACGCAAGCTTCTCGTCCAACGTATCACACAAATGAAGGTTATCCCAGATGTCCTTGCCCACTGTGATCCCGTTGTCGACGCCAAACTATACTTCGGAAGGCGCCAGGTCCAGCCGGGCGACTTCGTGGAGGCCAAGACTAGCATGGAAGTGCCTAAGCTTAATGTGCAAATGTTTGAGGCTGGAGAGAAATTAGTCACTATTGCTGTCGTCGACCCTGACGTCCCTAATGTGGAGAAGGACAGTTTCGACTTCCGGACACACTATCTTGCTGTGAATGTGCCCCTCTCAGCTACTTCTCCTCGGATCGACCTCTCCCAGCTTTCAACTGACTTTCAGGTGGTTCTGCCCTGGCTCCCGCCTGTTGCGCAGAAGGGCAGCCCTTATCACCGTCTGTCTGTTTTCATCATGGAGCAGAAGGATGCTAAAGCGCTTGATTATGCAGCTGTCAAGGCCCAATCGGCCAGCCGCGAGCAGACCCTCCTTCGCACCCTCGAGTCCCGATACCAGCTGAAGGCCATCGGAGCTCATCTGTTCCGTACCCAGTGGGACGAGACCACGGCAGAAGTCATGCAAGCAATTGGTTTCAGCGGATCGGATATGGAGCTGCGCCGCAAGAGGGTCGAGCCTCTTCCATACAAGAGAAGAAACCCTTCGAGTTTCCGTTAAACGGGCCGTGTAATCTTAGATCTCCTATCCCAGCATTTGTCGCGAGTATAAATTTGTATTGTACAATTGAATGTATGAATATGCACCTCAGGACGAAGCCCCGTTTTATATCCGTATCTGAGAACCCCAAACTCCATGTAGATGCTAGATCGCGCTTGTTTTCAGAGATGGTCGTGCAGCTATTCTTCTTCCACTTGCGCTGGTTCCAAAGAATTGCGCACCCATTTTGCCCGCCACGGCGGCCAGACACGTGCCACGACTTTCCCATTGATAAGACCTAAGGGTATTGGCCCATACATTCTGGAATCCCTCGACCAGGCAGATTATCGCCGCATACGTATGCGTGGCCCGTAGGAACCTGGAAGCAACAAAGTAGAGCGTTAGCCAATCGCAACCCCATAACCAATCACGCGCAATCTCCAGTAGCGGATTGAAATTCACTCGAAACATACCTGGATCATACTAGTAGATATCCCCGCGTCCTCGCTGAGCGGCGGGTCGCTACAGACAAAGTCTCCGGGCATTCCCACGACTCGCTTGGCGGCTTGCATTTCTAAGAAAGTCGGGTGGCGGAAACGAACAATATCGCCAACCTGAACGTCTTTTCCATGCCTGTAATGGCGCGATACAAGGAGCCAGTCCCCCCGCTGGTTGAGGGTTGGGTACATCGAGGGCCCGTCGGAGAGTTCGATGATTGCAAACTTGTAGCGAAAGTACAGGTAAGAGCTACCTATACCGCTGGCAAACCAGACATACTTGATCGCAGTCCGTGGCTTGATCTGCGGTTTGATCCTCAGGAGGCTTCTGAGTATTCGCTCCATCACAGGCGCTGTGTGGGCATGCTTTGATCAGGCCACTGAGTTCCTCTCCGATATGTTTCTCTGCCTGTGATTTCGGGTGTTGATATGTCATGTGACTCGGAGGTCCACCGCCCACTTAAATTTCAGTTTTTGCTGCTTGCCTGCTTCCTTTCTCTCTAAAGCTCCATCCAACGAACCACGAAGCACGCTGATGAAACAGTCGCAATTACCGGTGTTTGTGTTTGTGTTGCCGGTGCCAAGACCCCACCCAAGTTGATCGCTCATGAATGTATGAGGGTATCAAGATCCTGGGTTTTCGGACAGCGAACACTAATTCTCCAATCTCATCCTTATTACAACGTAGACCCTTATGGATACCTCGCTTCTACATAAGCTAGAGCTTGCCGTCGCCGAAATTCAACACCAGGACGCGCAAGTGTGGACAATGAAGCAAGAATAACATACCTGGCGGTAGTCTACTACCTGCCATCCCCCAATTAGTTTCATTCTTGACCCCATTTCATTATGGGACTGGGTCTTTGAAGCTGGTGCCGTGGGGAGACATCCGTTCGAGATACACATGTCAATTCAATTTGTTTGATCTTCATATCTTTCGCAGAATACTGCTTCTCTCTGGTCACTACTAGTATGGACCAGACGTCAATTCTTTAGCATGCGCCCCCTCCCCACCTCTTGACACAGTATCAGCATCTAGAGATCGTTAGCGATTGCAGCCACATCGTCTGGACGAGGGGATAGAGATCAGATTCATCTCCATTGGTGTCGCAACTTACCAGGATGCTTCTCAACAGGTGCAATTCCCTCCCTGTTCTTCGCTTTCTGCCGATGATCCACACCAAACCTCTCATTCCTATCCTGGAGTAAACCGTCCAAACCGCCAGGGTGGGCTGATTTCACGCTCTCGGGGGTCGTGAAACTTCCCATCAACTGGGGCAGCCCAAGAGGTACAACGTCTCCCCGATCAACCTGCCAGAAGTGAAAGGTCTTGCCGTATAATGGGGCGATATCTTTCATTTCAGACGTTTCCGCGGTATCCCATACGGCACTGGGCACGCCTGCTGGTGCAGGCATAACGAGCATACCGCTCTTGACCTCAAATTCATGGGAATGCCACAGCTTGCGCTCTTCAGATGGGAGTGTTTCAAATAGGCGAGGCGATACCATGTATTCTACGCCGATGAGACGAGCGTTGGCATGGGGCGAGTCATATATGAGGCATTGCCGGACGTCTGCTCAGGAATTTTCGTTAGATCTCGGTCATTACCAGGCCTTAAGTCGGCTGTGATCTCTGCTGTACCTTCTGTCAAGTGTGTGCAGTAGTGATTAGCCTCGACGCAACGTGACGGGTCGTTGGCGTAGACGTGGAATGCGTTCAGATGGGCGCAGATCTGCTTCACAGGGGTGAAATTTTGGACCATGGATGCACCGGTTTCGAGCACATGGCTTTTTGTAGTTAAGGGATCTCCTGGGACCCCTTTGGTCTCCTTTCCAGTGTTCGTGGCCATAGTTGAGGTCGTCGTAAGCTCTACTGGCTGTGCTGGGTCAGAATTCCCGGACTTTCTTGGCTATCGTCTGCGACTGAACCACGCAGGCTTTTTAAAGGTAGCAAACGGATTCTTGTAATGTGACCACTATATCACTTATAATGACCTCATGCGCCGACCGTTTGAATGGTACTAGTAGGTTTTCCATGTCCACCTTCAGGTTTGCGCGCTTCTATATACCATGGGCTGACGTCACAATGATATTCTCTGCCTCGTAGCTCTAACATCTCAAACCTCGGTCGGCTTGACTACCCTTCAAGCTGCAATCTTACTACTTTTGATGAGCGAAAGGACAGGCAACCTCCCAACTCCACCCATGGAACCGGACTGCTCCTGCTGTACGCCGACCGCGCCCGGCACGCCGATATATTACATCCAATCTAGTTCACATCCACTTGGGCATATTAACTCTAGTTCATGCAAGATGACTTGACAAACCGATCTTTGACTCTGTCTGGTTATTCCTGAGCAATAAGAAGCTTTGGAGCAACTTCCTTCGTCCGGTCTAATGCTTTCCGCTGGAGAACAGGCTCAACGCTGATCCGCGAAACACCGATGGGACAATGCGGCAACTGCCAACCCATCCGAGGTCTTCGACGCATTCAGTCGACCGTCTGCTTGGACACGCTTTGTCACTTACCTGGGTGATTCTTCCCGGTGCAGATCCGCCCAGAGAAAACAGTGGTAGCCCCAGCAGATATGTCTTACCGCGCTCGATAGTCCCGTCAAGCTTGCCTCCGTTCAGCAGGACATCGCAGCGTGTATTAATCGCAAGATGCGGGACAATAGAATCCTTTGTCGCTTGTAATGCCTCCTGGATTCGGTTGCTAGCCTCTGCTTTGCTGTGTAATTTCTTTGTTTCACTGTCGACGTCGTCCAGGTTAATTCCAAAGACGCCGGTTTCGATTAATTCTTTCGCAATTGAAGCGAGCTGTGCTCCACAGCCGTCTCGTGCATCCACTTTGACAGCTCTTCGCAGATGCTAAATGGCGCTTGCAATATCTCTGGCTGACCAGAGCAGTTCCTTGCAGCTCAGCTTATCATCGCTCACACCGGCAGCCTCTGCCACAGCGCAGTTTCCAGTGGCAACCGCCTTGCATTGGGGCAGAGATGCGATTACCTTCATAGAGACCCCGTCAACTATATTTGCAAGAATGACGGGCTGATAGGTCTTATGCAAAGCTTTGAGCTCCTTTGCCAAGATGTGTCGGGGGCTCATGAGGATGGGGATATGTTGGCCGTGAATACTTCCTCACCTTAGCTCAGTATACAGATTGGAAACAGTTTACAGTACTACCCTGCACGATCCTTGACATCCTTCCCAGGCCTGTCATTGAGAGCTCTATGATTTTCGCATGGGCTTGCCTGTGTTCAATTATTCATAGAAGGCGCCCCGAGCAGAATCGCGTAAGATTCTCAAACATTGGTTCTAGAGTCGAAGAGTTGTTGATTTGGTCCTGGATGTTGAAGGGTATTCAAGTTCTCCCGAGTACTGCATGGTATCACTAGCGCATCCCACTCTCATGCTATTGATCGGAGGAGGCAGCAGCTTCGATGGCTATCTTCAAGATCTTCGGTCATACTGTATAGCATCAGCCTGTCGAATACAGAGAACAGAGCCTTGCATCACTCGACACTACGAAGGTAGTATGATCTGGATTCGATATCTCAAGCTAGCTCGAGACTTCGAGTCCAGGCTGATGTCACTACATAGCGAGTCCGAGCGGGTCGGCGTACTCGAACGTCATGATATAGCCTCGTGAAGTTGAATGCGAGGCGGGATTGCCAGTGCATTGGACCTCTCCAACTTGAGTCTTGAAGTTTCCTCAGGTCAAAGAGCGAATTCTGTGAGGGATATGCAACATGAACGCAATAGCACCTAGTTCGTTGGATGTATTGTTTCAAGATCAGAGTGAAATCGTTCATGCATATAAGATAGATAATACTGCCCAGGTGTATACGTTGCTTGCCGTTGTCAAGGCCATTCATCAGTGACAATCGGTCCAGGGATCCCGAGAATTGAATATGCACCTGCACTGGTGTTTCGACAGGATGCTTGATGCATCAAATCCCCGTACATGCAGCAGTGTAGTAGGACCTCTTGTGACGTGAAGCGTTGTGCTCGCTTTCCCCCTTACCTCGGGTGTCACAACCTCGATCAAAACTTCATAAATAGATCGATTTCAGATCCAAATCCCAGCACATTGCATATTATTGCAAGCTACTGTCAACCGGAAGCAAGCCAAGTTCAGCAAAACCTGGACGCAGATCTAACCTGCAACACCCATGCAGCCCAGTTCTAAGCTGCATACCTTGCATGGCTGCGATCCAAACCTCCCGCCTCCCCAAGAACCAGACTCAGACCAGGGAGTACTGTAATCCTCGGCCCCAGCCTTACAGTATGGGTGCTAGCATCTTGGCTTTGCCTCCATCAACTGGGCCTATTCAACTATCCGCAGACTTTGTTTACGCAGCCGAGTCTACCGTGCCATTCTTCCCCCTACTCCTTGCTCCATAACGTAACCCCCCCACCCTTTTTGCACATTCGAGTCCACCATAACTGGAAAACCATGGGTCCCTGGTCCTCCAGAACCCCGAAGAAACCCTTCCATACTCGCAACAGCCAAGATGCCTAACAGTGGAGCAGAGACACATGATCCATTGATCGGCCGATGCAGCTGCGCCAAAAACGCGACCATATACCGGTCGATCTTTTCACAGGCTAATGATTCGTCAGCACTAAGGCTGCGTGGATCCCGAGAAATGGGGCGAAAGGGGTGAAGAGGGGGGAAGATGGGTGGAGATGGGCGGAAGAGTGCCCGGAGCTCGCACTGCATTCTGGCAGTTTCTCTGCCGGAAGAAACATTAAGGAGACAGGAGAGGTTTCCAGTTTCCCCGTTAGGAAAAGTGATTGGTATCTCCACTAGGATCTACAGAACTTGGAGAATGGGAAGAGAAAAACTTATTTTGCGCTAGTTCCGCTCGAAAGCCCCAAATTTGACGGTCGGGCAGGACGGGATAACTGGGGCTTGACTGGTTTATGGAAGTCCGCGGTACGGGAGTCTTCCATGTTTGCGTCGACCCTTTAGGGAAGGGATGCTCGTGGTGGAGTAAGGCGGGTTGCAGGTCCTCGGCGTAGGATTTCCACTGTTATAGTACAGTGCAGTTGAAGATCGGTCTCGTTTCTCGTTCCGGGAGGGGTTGGACTCTAGCGGTCGATCCACAGGCCCAATCGGTGAGGGTTGGGGGTGTTGTGCTAAAGGAAAGAAGCCGCGAGCTAAGGGAGTCCAAGTTAGTGAGTAGCAACTGCATGCGTAGTCTCAGGGGATCTTGTTGGACAAGGCTGATCTATCTCCGAGGTCTTCCGTCCTGAGTATACTAACAAAACGCAAAGCCGCTAGGCCTGGCCATCGGCCTTTTGGGATTGGCAAGGTCCACCAGATTGCTTGCGTGGTCTGGTTCACGAGACTAGCCTGGTAAGATTTCCTCACTAGCCTGTAAGCCACCACATGGTTGCCCCGGTCCGAATTTGGATAGCGCAGCCTTTAGTATTGATTAACATACGCAACTATACAAGCTCTGTGTTTCATTCTGCGGCAGCTGATGAAGAGATGGGGGCTCAAAAGGATCAAGTAACACGACGTGGACTCGAGATCTCTTCTTGACACACCTCGGCAGTAAGTCATTAACTAGTTAGTTACCTTCTAAGTTGACTTATGCGTACATGTTAGATAACGGCACAATCGGCATTGAACGACCACAAGTATAGGCCTCAGCGTTACACCATTCAGAGTTTTCCCTGCTTTGACGGGGCGGATTAATGACTCATAACGCTATAAACCCTATGCGCTGTTACCACGGAAGGCCCGAATCACGAAGTCCAGGCGTCGTCATTGTTTTGAGGTTTGGGACTTTATCTAGAATTCGCCACCATCGACACAGCTCCCCGCAGCCGCTTAGATAAAAATAGAGAAGCGCCCGATTCCGTTGGGAAGGCGGTATTCTTAGAAGAATTGTCTCGTTCGTCCCGCAAGCAAGTAACCGCAATTAGCGTTGAATGAATCGGATTCAAGGCGCTGAGATAGTTTCATCTTACTGTATGGGAAGGAATACTAGTAGTTGGCACCCCACCTTAAAACGGGCTATGGGCGCTAAGCCTGGCTGACGAGGGGGCGACATACTACGTAAGCTCAGACATGGGCAAGGGTATAGTTTTGCGCCGCTACTAACTACGAGTGATTATTGGGTAGTCCAGCTACTCTGTGGGTGGTCACGAAAGGCGTCCGACTACACTGTGTACGGCCTGTCGGGCTGGTGCCACCGGCGTACGGTGGGACACACCACCGCGGTGCTAATCTCGAAAGGCCTCAAAGGAGGGGCAACTCATCAAGTCCATCAGAAGACCGGTGTAGGCATCTAAGTTTTCAATAGTTCCGTGTCCCGCATTCGAACTCTCGAAAAACCGGCCAAGTCAAAGCGCGATAGACTCCTCCGTAGGCCCGCCATTACGTTTGACGTTAGCTATTTCAGCCGCCTATGCTGTGTACCCTGGCCTAGCATAGGAAGATGTACCTCTCAACTGGGAGTCGATCGCCGAGGGGCAAACCCCTCTTTTCTTTCCGGTAGTATAAAGTTAAGTCTCCATCACACGCATGCCAACTGGTGATTACCACCATGCCTTGCGGCATGTGCCATCTTGCTGCAGTACTGGGCCACTTTGCAGCTCCTTAAGTCCCTTTAGCTGTGCTATGCGCTGATTGCCCCCTCTGGAAAGGGAGGTGGGGAATAGGATGTAGCGCAGGAGAGGCATGCTTGGGTGTTACAACGTGTGATAAAATCCACCTTCAATATGATTGTGAGGATCAGCCGGGCGGCCCCCCCCTCCCCCTCCCTTTCCCCTCTGGGATAGGGACGAAAGGTGGCCGTGTAGAGTCTCAAGTCTACAATGTACTCTTGTAGAGATAGCTGATCTGCCAATTGTGGTCGAGTGTGAAGATGGACATGTCGCAGCTGATTTGGGGCGGACTGGGTGGAGAACCCCACCTCGTCGTTCAAAAAGAAACCTGGGGAGTTCAGGCGCCCCTCTGGGCAAGTGTAGCACATGGATTATTGGAGGGAGAGAAACCAAACTGGCGAGGTGCATGATTGGCCCAACCCCTGATCTTGACCGCTTCCCGAGATTTTGACGGGCGTGCGAATGGGGGAATGGGGGGCCTGCTTGGGGCTTGGGGCTTGGGGCTTGGGACTTGGGACTTGGAAACTTGGCGAGCACCAGTACCTTTTAGACCCGTTGAAACTTCTGGGCCTTTTCCTCGCCCAGTATGCTGCTGTCTGACGGATAGGTTTCTCATCGGGCCAGACCATCTCGACCCACTTACACCTGGGCCTTGCGTGGCGTCGCGCCTCAACTCTCTGAACTTCGTGACTTCCTCCCGCTTGGAGGTCGCCTGCATGAAAGCCCGGACTGTGCCCGACGCCGGCGCACGGGTAAATCCGAGTGGGAACTCTATCGTCGGAATCTTACGATGACGAAATCCCTTTTGCGGCTGTGATGCTTGCGGATCAGCCTGCAGAGGGCCCCCGAGGCGTTATGTGCGTTACGAGCTCGTATCTAACCGATCGGGAGGAGAGTCCAGACTGGAAGCCAATCTGCATATCGGACTGGTATAGGTCCAAAGGCCGCATAATTAGCACGTAGTTTGATTCTCAAGCACAGTCTTTGCTTGCGTTGCCAGCCTATCGGGGAACGGCAGGCAGCTTCGGCCCTTTTTTTCCGCCACGGTTAGCTTCGTATAGTACGAAATCCTGTCCTTCCCCTAGTGCAGGTTTCTCAAAAAAGCAAAAAAAAAAAAGAAAAAAAAAAGCATTGCACACGATAGTCCCTATGCCCTATGAGGTGCCTCATTCGGAGGATAATCGGATCCCACCTGAGCTTCGGATCGTCGCAAAAGGACTTCCCCCTTTCCTCGTCCTAACCCCTTCGAAGTTTTTCCGCCCTTGTACGAACCAAGCATGAAGGAGCAAGGCCAAAAGTGTTGGGATCCCTCCGAGCCCCCTCTCCTGTACATAATAAGACGGAAGGGACGACGTAATCAAAAAATTACTCTGATGGGAAACTCGACCGAGAGGGGAATTGCTCATCACGGGTGAGATATGCTAGCTCCTGCTAGTCACTATCGAGCGGCCCTGGATATCATCGTGCACGGCTCCCTATAGGGGGGGGGGGTGGTCATCTGCTGCTACACACTTAAAGAGTGATGACATGGCACTAAGGCAAGCCAGATTCTTGAACCCGTAGCTCCTCCCGCTGCATCCATGGGGCTGGAATTTTAAGGCTAACAAAGCTAAGAAGGAGGGAGGGGATCATACGGACTAATCACAAGGCTCGAGTGAAACATCTAGAAGACCAAGGAAAGCAGGATCTGCCCCGTTTATCTCCCCTTTCGGGAATTAGGAATGGAGGTCGCTCAGCACCAGGAACCATAGGAAATCAGCATTCGCCGGAACTTTAGGCGAGTGGCGGAGGGCCAACAGGAAGACGCAAAGCCAACTGATCAGCCTTGATCGATCAAAGTATATACAAATTAAGTCTCGGAAAGTGCCCGCCCATAGCTACGGTTCTACGGAGATTGGAGTGTTGACCTGGTTCTTTGTTAACCTCTTGCTTATGCAGGATAGATTGTCCAAGGCTCTCCAAGAAACTCTTTTTGTTTTTTCGTCCCATCGCATTAGTGACACGCTATTTGTTTGTATCACCAGGCGAGTGTTTTAATTTTTAATGAAATTTTTTTTTAATCCTCCCCCCCCTAGTCTTGTTTTGTTTTTTACTGATTTCTTTTCGGCCACAATTATTGGGAGCTACTCCCGGATCCCCCACATGTGAAGCACTGGATCTGAAGTAAGGAACAGGCCTTTTCGAGATTGACGGCCTAAGCTGAATAGGCATCTGTGCCGCCGGGCTGGGCAGCTTCTGGAAATTGATGACTGACTCCCATTGCCCCACTTGCAAGTGGCCCCTGCAGAGCAGGAAGTGGACCGCTGCATCATGCGTCCCGAGTGTTCTTGGGTCGCTTCGTGTGATAATGATGTGGACAAAGAGTGGGTTTGTATTTTTGCATGGTACGCGACCTGGGCTGCTATAGGTTGATCCCTGCTTGGCCACTAACGGTGTTTGTATCAGTCCTATTCAAGGCATCTTCTGAGACAAGGAAAAGCGGATAGAGCTCATGGGGACGCTAGAGATAATTGGAAGGGCCAAGATCCCAACAATCTGCCAGTGAGCGCCCGAGAATAGACAGTCCCTCCAGAAGGCCCAGGAGACCCAGAAGACCCAGAAGACCCATGGGCATCACCATGTCAAGGCCGTTCATCCGGAGGGTCCGGGCGTAGGAACCCGCTTGGCAGAGGCGCTAAGCACGATCAGATCCGCCCACGTTATACCGTTTGTCCCGTTTTCCCTTTTTTAAACTCCACCTAATCTGCTCAAGGCGGGTCTCTTTGGCGCCCTCGTACTCGCGAGATCCTGGGATCCTGGAATCCTTAAATCCTTGCTGGGATTCGGCAATGTAGCAATGCAGCGACGCAGGGAACTGGTCACATCTCGGTTCTTTGCTTGTTCAACTGTTATCCTAGTAAGCACACCATAGGAACCTCAAAAACAAGTACTGGTATGGGTACTAGACAGGGGTCTAGGTCGACCTCGAGACGCTTAGTGGCTGGAACCCCAAAAACTTTGATCAAATGAGCTCAACTTGAAATCACATCGGGGGGGGGCTCCACGTTTCAACGCTTACAATTGCCGAGCTCTCCGCCCCAGTCACCATAACAAGCCCTGGGCTAGAGCTCAGGCTACCCGGCTCTGAATGAAACAGGTCCACTGCGACAGCGCGTAGCCATGCATGACAGTTACGGCGTACAAACCGTACTTGTGGACTCATGTGATGGGGGAAGAGTGATCATGTTGATCTTGAAAATGCAGGTAACCAACTGAGCAATAAATCCAGGCGCCGATGATTGGCTCAATCATCCCTCTTTTCTAGGATCGGAACAAAAACGAAGGGTGGCGATGATGCATCTCCTGCATAATGTCCGGCTGGGTTGAAAGCGCATGCAGCGGAGAAAAGAGCCACGGCTATGCACGGTACGAGATACAAAGCTGTTGCCAGCCCCTCGACTCTATAGATCCAGGCGCATGGTATCCAAGCCCCCCAAAAAGGAAAGAAAAAAAAAGTATACAGAAAAATACGATTATTAAACCCAAAATTAATCTAGACTGCATGGGAAGAGGATCCGTGACAAAGCCACCACTATGACGGAGTCCTCGCCGGCAAACCCCCCCACAAGGGTTACTGGGACTCCACCTGGAAAAGCCCGCCTACAGGTCAGAGGATGATCTTGAGAGCTCATCACATTGTACGGAGTAACCCTCGCGTAAATGGGGGAGGAACGCTATGGGCCCTACTCTTTTACCCGGAAAACGAAAGGGTCCTTTTTCGCATTCTTATTGCAGGGCTGATCAATCTCCGGTGAAACGAAGGAACAGCAAAACCGGTCCAGGGCGGGCGCTGCTCCAACTCTGGAAGTTAGGACCGCGGATCGCCTTGGATTGTTTACAAGCATTCCATAGTCTGAGGGCCCAGGGACTATGGCACTATGAAACTGGGAAAGAAACTACAAAGTACCGAATGAGAAAACCAAGAACCTAGAAAGGAGAAGTATGTGGGTAAGAAAGCCACCGGAAAAGGGGAAGGGGGGAACAAATAAAGAATTCCCAAAAATCGTCCCCCCACCCGCAAAAAAATAGTTAATTAACACACTAACACAATTCTCGGAAAGGACTGAAAAAGAAGGGGGGCGAGAAAAAAAAAAATAGCCCGGAAGGATAAGCCCCAAGCACAGACGACTTTACAAAACCATTCGGTCGGATCCCAAAGAGAGTGGAGTCGAACCAGGCATTCATCTGTTTGTTGGAGGCGCTAACTATGACTCTTCCCCATGTTCGCCTCAAAAGCATGTTCCACGCACTACGACGTATGGGTCCGATTATCCTCTCTTTTGGGTATAGTGCATTCTAGATATACATCCTCCGGAATATTCCTGGGTCCTGGCCGAAACGGTGGAACGCCCATCTGATTCATCATGGATTCGACCCGTTCCATGGCCCTGTGGTTCGTGGGCTAGGCTCCTTTCGTTAGTGTCAACGTCGTGTCATCCTAGCATGTGCGGTGGGATCGTGGAGCTGGGGCGGGTGGTAGATCGCCAGCCCTGGATTCCCTTTATAATAATCGCCTGCTGGCCGTGTTTGACCCTGGATCTCCGTCCCGTCTAAGCTGTTCTTTAAAACCTGCTGGTCCCATCCAGGGACTTCCCATTCGGTTACCCGTTTATATACTCCCATATCAATCTGCTTCCCCTCTCTTCCACACTCCCCCGTGGAAGGTCAACTACTCAGCCAACTACCCAGCACATTTCGCCCCCTTTTGCTGTCCTCTCATACTACCAATTATATGGCCGATTACTGTTACCCGCAGGCCTCTTCGACTGGCTCTCCGTGGTGCCCAGAAAATGCCTTGTATGACCAATCCTTCAGCATGCAAGACCTGGCCCGTGCTTTCCCTCGGCCGCGACATACTCGTGTGATGAAGCCGCGGAGTGCAGGGAACAGTCCTTCCTCAGCAGTTCGACGGAGGGCTGTTGGGAATTCCAATACTATGTATGGTCTGCCCAGCCAATATCAGTCCTCGCTGCAGGCCGCTATCCTTGCATCCGCTGCACAAAGTCAACGCCCAACTAGTTGGCATCCATCGTCCACCAGATCCCGGGGTATCTCTCACCCGCCATATGCAGCCGGCCCTCTTCCAGAGAACTATGGTGTCGATCAAATCAACGACTCAAGTCTCAACCTTCTGTCCGTTTATGCCAATGACAACACCTCCGCCTACTCGATACCTGAAGGGCCCGCGATGTCTCCAGAAGGCTACGTTCCTTTCTATCTGGACAATCAAGAGGCCACGGCACCTCTGCCCACGCCAGCACTTTCGATTCCAAGCTCGCAGGTCGAGTCAATGGCATGGGACACCGTTCCTACTCCCGCTGATTATTCAATGCAACCAACTACTTCCGACGGCTGGTCTCTCGACATGCTGTCAATGGCCAACATCCCCCCTGCGGAAACCACCTGTCCCAGCTATGTCAGTGTGCCATCCCCAGGCGACTTCAGCGGCCCCTCAACCCCCAACTTCTTGCCCATCCAGCAATTCGACGAAGTTCCCGCCCAGGCCACAAAGAACGAGAAGGAAGAAGAATTGGTCGGCATGGGCCTGTACAATCAACCGGACGGATCTTTCAGCCATTCCCAGCAGGGTCTTCTCGGCAAGGGGTTGAAGCTGGAGGACTCTTTCTGTCCATCGGACGAAGAGAAGGATGACGAAGTGGAAGAGGAGCCCGAAGCTGCCCCGCACATGGCGCCTGAGCAAGCGCCCGTGCAGCAGATGTCTCTTCCTAAACAGCCCTCCAAGCAGGCTTTGAATCTGCTCCACCGATCTTTTTTCTTTGACACAGACGATCAACTGGATCAGCAGACAATGACTGCAGCGCAGCCATTCGTCAACCTTAACCAATCGTGTATGAGCTACGGATACGGGTGGATTTGATCGGATTGACCACCCGGTTTCCGACGTTTTTCTAATTCTTTGTACTTTCGTTTAAGCGGCATGGCATAGCATGGAGTTTTCTTTTTCTTTATTTGGAGTTGGGAAGGAAACTCGAATGCATGGATACCCAGGGATCATAGGATAGTTCGAGACATTGCTCAACGCTGTTTCACTTTGTCAGTCAAAATAAATTACCAATACTCAACCCAGTACTGTTATAACATTGAATCTGCGTCAGTAGGATAAAGTGACCTGGAGCGTATACTTGCGACGGCTCTGATTGGATAACGAAAGGAATTCCCGGTCGGCAAAACTCGCCAAAAGGATTAACGATCATCCGAAAAGATTTGGTCTGCTTCAAGACAGCATATACTGGTTCAAAACTAGAATAATCTCGAAATCAGGGTTTCTTTCTAAGGACCCTCCAAGACGAGGAGTATGGCAAAAGTCATTTTCACCCCTTGGAAGACTCAGGCCCAGCTACTCAGCGTACGTGACGAGTTTTACCCGGCACCCGCCTACCATGGCCCCGACATGCGTTCTCACGCTTGCGCAATAGTAAGTCAAGCGCGTATCTGTAACCGGCCAAAAGATTGCCCGTATTCTAACGTTAGAGTGACTAGGTTGAAGCGTGGAAGTTGCGAGGAAATGTGCCGCACCACGTTGAAGCCACCGCGCTTTTGACGGATGCGATCCTTCACGATGACGCGCAAAGCAACTCCATCTTTTCGATCCGCGCCACATATTCTGCTGCTTTCTGTCGGTGAGTGTTGGCCCAGCTATCCTTTGGGGAAGGGGCGCAGGGTCTACCGTGCCTACTGCTGTCGTTGCAAAAGCAAAAGTCCTCAGCTCGGCTAAACTAACTGAGGACCCAGATTCGTGACTGGTCTCGTTGACTCGAAGATCCCCGGCGTGCGTAGAACAATGTTCCAGCGAGCTATGGATTTGGGGCTGCCAGCTTCCTTTGTCGAGCTGCGTCACGAGGCAACGCATCGTGAGCCGCCATCACTGGTGGTACTGCGCAAAGCTACACAGCGATCCCTCGAGTGGCTGTGGGATAATTACTGGGCAGGCATCGACGACATCGAGGCCATCTCAAGGCCTGAGCATGGCAATGATAGCTCATTGAAGGCAGTCCTCAGCGAGATCTTGCGAGAGTTTTCTGCTGGTTCCGGCTCCCAACAGGTCGCTAAAAAGCGGAAGCGGGACCAGGAAGTCTCTGCTGCGGCTCATATTGTTTCAATATGCAGTTCGTCCAGTGAGGCTGTACGGGTCTTGCCTAGTATCTTGCTGGAGGACTCTTTACTAGTTCCTCCGAAGAGAAAGTAAGTTTCCCATATGGAACAGGGCGCGTAATGTGCAATTGATCTCTGACTGATTTACCAGACTTGGCGAGAGCATGAGCGAAAGCTTTGACAAGTGGGACGCTGTTCTCAAAAGAATCACGGAAGGATTCCCCTCTTTCTTGATGTATCTCGCCGAAGTTCTGATTCACGGTCTGGTTTTCAACCCAAAGATGAGCTCACCACAGAATGCATCTGCAGAGGCTGTGTTCTTGTGGCTCAGCCATCTGTTGGCATCCGAGAGCTGGGAATCCCACCAGGCGCTCTGTCCACGTAGTTATATCCTAAGTGCCTGCGACGAAAGCCCCAACCATTGGGCTAAGTTGTTGGGGAACAATTACGAAAGCAGGGCCACAAGAAGGCAAAGACTGTATCGAATCCAAAGACAGTCAACCTTCCTAGTTCAAAGAAGAATGGCGTCAATACCCCAAATGCACCTTCCAGCACTACACAGATGCTGGCAGAGTATGGGTGGGAGACGGCTGAGAAGTGGGACAGTCGGCCTCTGGGCGTGACTTCGACTATGGCATGTGTATAATCTATTATCTCATATGTGCTGCTGGCAGTGCAAAAACAAAATACGATTGGCTCCTAGTAGCCTTATTCCATCTTTTATCCTAAAACCATGAACTCGCAATATCCGCTTGTCCACCCACCAATCAGAGCACACGGGTAAAACAGTGCGGATAAATGTTCGACCGGTGACGTCGATAGGTAATCAATCCGCGCCCAGGTGTCACTATATAATGAGCAATAAATTTCCCCGCTTACTGAGCTTTATCTTTACTGGTGATGAGTTTCGTAAGAGCCTTTCAAAGACTTAGTTCTCGCCCAAGGATTATCCAGCAAACAAGAGCCATGCATGTCCAATCAATTCCTATGTGTAAGTGAAGAGAGCTCTCGTGAAATGAGCCGGTCCATGCCGAGCTTCGCGCGTATCAACATGTCAATCGTGCAGCTAACGAAATTTCAACACAGGGACGGGGAAGGGCAACAACTATGCCTACCTAGTGACAGATGAGCCGACCAAGAAGTCGGTCATTATTGACCCTGCCAACCCCCCAGAGTAGGTCTGAGGTGATTATTCAGTGCTTTCATGAACACATATTAACCTAGCTCTTCTAGAGTGGCCCCAGTGCTGAAGTCTCAGATCAGCGAGGGCAAAATTGATTTGACCGCGATTATCAACACTCACCAGTGAGTTCGTCAGCTAGTAGCCTGAAGAAACATCTGCTTACAGACGAGTGCAGCCACTGGGACCACGCTGGAGGTAATGACGAGATTGTATGGCCCCTTGGAAGCTTCCATCATAACGACAGGCTCTGACACCTTCTAGCTGAAACAATTCAGCGGGCTTCAAGTCATTGGAGGCGCAAACTGCCAATCCGTTACCAAGACTCCTGCTCACGAGTCTACCTTTAAGATCGGAGAGCGGATTCTAGTAAAGGCCCTGCATACCCCGTGCCATACGCAGGACAGCATCTGCTATTTTATGCAAGATGGGGATCAACGAGTTGTATTTACTGGAGACACTTTGTTCATTGGCGGTAGGACTCCTCGATCCCACGATAGAAAGGTTTATGGCCCTAATCATTTCAACAGGCTGCGGTCGTTTCTTTGAAGGCAATGCCGCTGAGATGCACAATGCGCTGAACAAGGTACTGGCAGCCCTGCCAGACGACACCAAGGTCTACGTATGTATACTCTTACCCCTCCTGATGGTCCTGTACTCATGTCACACAGCCTGGTCATGAATACACCAAGCAGAATGTCAAGTTCTGCATCTCCGTGTCTGAGTCTGAGCCGATCAAAAAGCTTCAGGCTTTTGCGGAGGCGAACAAGGAAACCCAGGGCAAATTCACTATCGGTGACGAAAAGGTACGAGCATTGTCAATATTTCTCCAAGAATCATCCATGCTGACACTATTCTAGCTGCATAATGTATTTATGCGTGTCCAGGTAAGTAAGAACAGATGTCGATGACATTCAAGTGCTAACCTTCCAATCAAGGACCCCGAGATTCAACAAAAGGTTGGAAAAACTGATCCAGTGGACGTAATGACTGCACTGCGTGAAATGAAGAATGCGATGTAGATACTATCATCCATTGAGCATCCGCAAGCTTAATGAGACACAACTGCAAAAGAATACCAAAGGCCTCGAATCGACTGCCACTAGTAATAGTATTCTAGTAATTCGAGAAGATTTCCACATAGAGGCGACCCGCCCTCGTGAAATTACGGAAAGTCAAGGGAGCTGGCTCTTCTTGGCTCCCAAAACGGTCAATTTCGTGTCGATCTCGTGTATCTCCATTTTATCCATAAGTTATTGAGCTCAGAAGTTTTCGATGAGTCCCTAAACATGAGAAAGCGCCTTCTCCAAGAAACGATGCGCGACCGCACCGACGACGCGCGTGAAGGGGTGGACCGACGTCATACCCACTTTTCATCACCCGCTCAATCTCTCGTTCGTATTCCAAGAACAGAGCCAGACCATAATCCCATCTTGCATCGAACATGAAGCCCACTTGATTGAGCCACAACCTAGTTCAACTTCCACGCGATGGACCACAATAGTCCAATGCCGCCCCCGGCCACCACAGACGAGGTACGTCTCCCGCAAGCGCGGGGTTCTGCAGGAAACCGGGCACTGATCCAAGATTTGTAGAGCTATGGTGCGGTCAGCGACTCCGAGTCGCAGAATCATCTAGAGGTATGGTCTATCTCACCCCAGTTTGAATTTCGCAACTCCCAACCTTTCCACACGCAGATCGTCTTCTACCCCGACTCAAGCCACCGCCGCAAATCCTCCTTGGTTACGATGGACAAACCTCGGATGAAGACCTCCCCCGCCGATGCGCAAGACCGGACAACGGCCTGCTATGTACATTCTCTGCTTGCGAGCGAATGGGCGACACCTCCACTGAAGGGTGCACCGCCCGAGGTAATCCAGACACTGACGGAAAATGAGCCTCCTATTGATGCAAAGGCCGTTGGCGAAGATAACGTCGTCTCTGTCGTGGACGGTGATAACAAGATCTTGAAACCGGAACCGACAATAATTCAATCTCGCCATTTGACCAAGCGCCAACTCTCTGACATGGCCTGGAACGTTCGGAAATTGTCGAAGAAGCTGGGGAGCATCAAGCTTAAGTTGACCGTGAAGAATGTGTTTGTGGTGAGCAAGGTGTATGATGAGTCGCTGGTTAGCTTAACAAGAAAGGTGACAAAGTGGTTGCTTTCTAAAGATCGCGATGCACCTTACAATGTGTATGTGGAGCGTCGTTTGGAAACACACCCGGACTTCGGAACCCTACAACTCCTGCAGGACGAGCCGTCCGCGAAAGGGCGTTTGAGGTTCTGGGACTCGAAACTCGCCCATGACCAGCCGCATCTGTTCGATTTCGTGATTACCCTTGGTGGGGACGGCACTGTGCTCTACACTAGCTGGCTGTTTCAGCGAATCGTCCCGCCGGTCTTGTCCTTCTCGCTGGGCTCTCTCGGTTTCTTGACCAACTTCGACTTCGCTGATCATACGAAAACCCTTGAGACCGCCTTCCGGGAAGGAGTTGTCGTGAGTCTTCGGCTCCGGTTCGAATGCACCATTATGAGGAGCAAAGCTCGGGGGAAAGATCCGCGTTCAGACTCTTTTGCAAAGCGAGATCTCGTGGAAGAGTTGATCGGCGAGGAAGGCGAGGATACATTAACGCATACTCCGGATCGAGTCTATGAAATCCTGAACGATGTAGTACTTGACCGTGGACCAAACCCTAGTATGTTGCTTACCCGTGATTACTTATATCTACAGCTTGGATGTCTAACCGACCCTGCAGCCATGTCTCAAATCGAAGTGTTCGGCGATGACGAGCATTTTACTACTTTGCTTGCCGATGGAATCTGCGTTGCCACTCCGACGGGGTCGACGGCGTACAACCTTGCTGCAGGAGGCTCCCTTTCCCACCCTGACAACCCAGTGATCCTAGTCACCGCCATATGCGCCCATACACTATCTTTCCGACCAATCATTCTTCCCGATACCATAGTTCTTCGTATGGGCGTTCCCTATGATGCGCGGACAAGCTCATGGGCTAGCTTTGATGGCCGAGAGAGGTGAGACCCCTGGCTGACTTGATTTCTCTGCCCGTCAGTACTGATTCTCATCTTACAGAGTTGAGTTACACCCGGGCGACTACGTTACTGTGTCTGCCTCCAGATACCCTTTCGCCAACGTTCTGCCTCCCGGACGACGCGGAGACGACTGGGTGCAAAGCATCTCGAAGACCTTGAATTGGAACTCCCGTACGAAACAAAAGGCCTTCAAATAGGTCTACCTGCCAGGAGGTACTGAAGGCAATTTGAGGGCATGGTACCACTTAACTCCGAACATTTATCTGATTTGAATGGATTGTCTTTGGCTTGAGCGACTACTGGATAGTCCCATATGTCAAACAAATAAATGAGCTTGGAGAATAGACACGAATCCATGACAAACTCGCCTGATTTTCGATTTTCGATTTTCGATTTCGATTTTCCGATTCTTAATTTTCAATTTCCAATACGTACAAACATCTCGAGACTTCTGTCCGGTTGCTATGGCGCGGAAGCCCCACAGAAGGGAAAAAAAAAATTGGCGCGCGGAAGCTATAAAAGGCCGCTGCGCGCCCCAAAATTCTTCCCTTCTTCCGCATCCTTCATTTGGGTCAAGGTCCATGCAAACTTCCCCCAGTCCCCTCTGGACATGAGGAGATGCTCGAATTCGCCGCCATCTACTCACTAACCAACTAATCGGTAAGCGTGCAATTTTTTTTTTCTTGTCTCCACCGGTACCAGCCATGGCCTCACGGCCTTCATATGATGAAAATTTTTTCCTACATTCGCAGTTTCCACGCGAGCCATCAATCGAACCTAATCTAGATGGTGATGTGCGCAATATCTTCCTTGGATGTCTGATTGAATTGGCTGGTCCTTTATGGATGACCTTTACTATCTTCCAGATAAGAACCTCGCTAACCTGAAGATAGTTTACAGAAGGCTTTGCAACCTTTCCCAGATATCTCGACATAGACTGGAGCTGCTCCCGTTCAAGCGTCTGCGTGTGTACGATGGTTGATAGTGCTCTGGTGTGCCATTCGACTCTTTGCACTCCAGCTGGCCATTGTACCGCTGCAGGACTCTTTGCTTGGGGCTCTTCTGCTAGCATACCGAATGAATGAAAAGCATTTTGAGAATCCATTTGATTACTTGTAAAACTCCGTAGTCGTAAACCTCGAGCTCTTGCAAATTCACGGCAGTAAATTTCAAGCGGTGTTGCACCCGCGGGCGATGTGCTCCACCGTAGATCGCATCCGCATCTCAAACTCCGGAGCAAGTTGACCCCCTCTACCACCTGCCACGAGCACAAGACCCTTGATCGATTTGATACCCCGCTGAAACACCATACCCGTGACTGTGCGCATCGCCTGGAGAACACGCGGAGCTCTATCAATCCCTGGCCATGGCTGCGCCGCCGAGGCACTCGACCATGCTGTCCATCAGCAATGCGGGCACATCTCAATCCACAGGCACCGACAGAACACAAGTGCCGCAGTCGTCAAGTCCAGCACAGACATCAGGCTTGCGGGTACCTTCAAATCGCAAAACCATCTACGACCGGCACCTGAATCGAAGTCGCAATGCAGAGCTCAGCCGGGCAAGCTTCGCTTATTTATTCGGCGAGATGGTCACATATGCCCAGCGGAGGGTAACAGGAATCCAAGACTTGGAAAAACGGTACGCATACGGGGCAACAGCAGTCCAAAGACTTGCACCTCCATGGGCCATCATGAGGGGAAAACAATAGAACCAGGGCACCGACTGATCATTTCACCAGATTAAATGAGCAAGGATACCCCCTCGGCCTCCGTCTGCTCGACCTACTCTTCTACCGCTCCACCTCCACCTCCTCCTCCGCTCTCTCCAGCTCCTCCACCTCCTCGTCTCCCCCCCAACCGACCCCTTCGCATCCTGAGTCTTCTCCATCTCATCCACGGCCCCCTCTGGCGCCTCCTTTTCCAGCGCGCGGCCGACGCTCTCGAGCACTCCGTTTCGGCGGAGACGCCCAACGAATATATGATCACAGACAACGACCCGTTAGTGAATACGTATATCAGCGTGCCGCGCGAAATGAGCATGCTCAATTGCGCGGCGTTCGTCGCGGGAATCATCGAAGGCGTGTGCGACGGCTGTGGGTTTGAAGCGAAGGTTTCGGCCCATAACCAGCCCACGGAGATGTGGCCCAGTCGGACGGTGTTTCTTGTTCGATTTGGAGAGAGCGTTATGGAGCGGGAGAAGGTGTTGGAGCGGGCTGGTGTTAAATAGGTTATACGAGCTATTCTTTCTAGACATTCGAGTTCCTCGTTTTTTTGGAAGGGGGCTAGCGGTACAAATTTATTTTACCCGTATGATATTACTTCCTATGGACTGCTGAACAGTGCTCATCTGGGTATGCTCTGAACAATACTTGAACCAATATAATGTGATATTTGATATACAGAACGACCAACATAGCCTGACTGTGGACGTTATATACTCAGTACCGATGCCAGAATGAAATACGCCTGGCTCCGCCCTCTTCGCCTTCAATTCCAACAATCTAGCCTCTGGAGCCCGCTTGGCGCTGTCATGCTCGCGCACGTGGGGGCCTACAATGAGGACGTTTGGGACTCGGAGTCGCGGGCATCATAGTATCCGACGGAGTGCAGTTTGAGCCTTGGAATAGATCTATTGGATCTTCGAGATCAGGAGAGCTTGGATGCTCCCTGTGCTAACGCAGACTTTGGTCCCCAAGTGGTGGTGCGCTCTGAGCTGGCACTTATCTGCATATTGACCTAGTTACAAGCTGCTTATGGGGCATTGTCTGCTTCAATGTCAAATTGGAAGCCCGAGAAGCCAGATACCGTGTGGGCAGAATGAACAGGCGAGTCCACACGATTCCAAGTTAGCCGGCCATGGTTGCTGGGGTTGAAGTGGTACGAGGAGTGAATGGACCCGAGGAACTCCGAGGCCAAAGTCCTTCCAGGCCAAATTGCTCGAGAATTGGCCCATTGGGTCAAGTTCGCAGTTGGACTGGAACCTTGTGGATTTCATGACCCTGTGCATCCAGCCCACTCAGCCCTACGGCGATCCGTGGTATGATTCGGACGTGCATATGCAGCATAAGACACGCCCAACAATCACCGCAGTATCGTTTCCAATGCCTCGGCCAGTGGTGCTTAACTCGTGACATCTAACTGCTTCGAAGTAACCTTAGGATCTGCCGAGCAGGCCCAATACCTGGTACTAGTCAACTCTGGTTAGTCCGGGGTCGTTGCGGTAAGCTTATTTGTAAAATTTCTAGCCGTGAAGGTTGATTAATAGTTGACTAGAGCACAGGAGGGAAACGGCATTGAGCGCATAGGAATAACCAAATATCCTGTGGTTACATCGAGGTATGGTGCTAAGTGAATAATATCCATGGAATTTCCTAGCAGCATATTCTCGATCCATTGCTGGCCATTGCTGGTATGGTGGGTGCCCAGCCGGTGTCTCTGTCTCGCCCAAGACAACCATCGGAAACATTCCATGCACGGACTGAGCGTTAGTGGAACGATAGGAGAAATACCGGTCATGGGTCAACTCGAATCTCCAGGCGTCTTGAGTGGCCATTATCTCCCGAAGTTCGCTTCTCCTCATGTACTGGGTGGCGCTAAACCGAGAAGGGAAACTGAAGCCTACGCCCATACAATACCCGCCGAAACCCCAGTGTTGCCCCAGTTTTTGCTCCAGTCCAACCCCAGATACCAGTCACATTTGGGTAATGTCATGATTAATTGGGATTGTGGTAGAGCTGTTATCGGGCTTTCGACTTCATCCGCCAAATAAGTCGCATGTCGCCGTCGATTCTGGCCCTCTATCCTTCTTCATCTCTGGTGGCACATACCCCGTGCAGAATGCATGATAGCAACCCTTTGCCTCTCGGAAGCATTTGAGCCCTATTCTCTTTAGAAGACTATCAGTATGGGCGAAAAGCCAGAGCCTCAGGAGATTGGTCCTTATGAAGACCATGGAGCAGAGAAAGCCTTTGTTGGTCCTGCTTCAGACCATCTGGAGAAGCGCTACAGTCTCCTGTCCGTCATTGCCTTCGCTTTCACGACGACCAATTCATGGGTAGCCTTCGCATCAGGGATTGCAGTCCCGTTAGCATGCGGGGGAAGCCCCGGCATAATCTACGGCCTCATTGTGGCAGGCATCGTGATCGGCACTATTGCGCTAGGATTTGCGGAATTGGCTTCTGCATTCCCATCTGCCGGCGGTCAATATCATATTGTATTCATGGTCTTCCCGTCTTCAATGCGGCGGGTTGCTGCGTTTTTCACGGGGTGGCTCTCCATCATCTATATCATGGCCGCCTTAGTGTCCTGCAATATCTTCGTGGCAAGCTCGATCCTGGACCTCGTTGCACTCTGGAACGAGACATTTGAGATCCACGCCTGGCAGACCTATTTGCTGCATGTGGCATTGTGCCTCGTTGCGTTTTTCGTCACATCCAGATTCCCTTCGGCGATTGGCCGACTTGGCATTGCGATCTTCTTCTTGTCTCTCGCGGGGTTTGTCGCCTCTCTCATAACCATTTTGGTCGTCCATAAAGACAAGCAGTCCGGCGACGTGGTTTTCCGCGACTACGAGAATACCAGTGGCTGGTCAGATGGATGGGGAATGATCATTGGTATCACCGCGTGTCTATGGGCGTTTAGTGGTGTTGATGGGCCGACGCACCTGGCTGAGGAAGTACCCAATCCCAGCCGCAATGTCCCCATCGCCATCGGGCTTGCCATTGGACTCGGGTTCATCACCGTTTTGGTGTGGATTATCGCGCTCATGTTCGTCGTCAGTGATGTCGATGCCATCATCAACTCCCCCGTTCCCATCCTGGAAGTATACAACCAGGCCCTCGGATCCAAGGTGGCTACCACTATCTGGACCGTGTACTATATGGTCATGTTCTACGAGATTGTGCTGAACCTCTTCATCTTCGGCGGCCGAACCATCTGGTCCCTGTCTCGCGACGGTGGCCTTCCTTACTCCCAGTTCTTTTCCCGCCTCCAGTGGAACAGTCCAGTGCGTGGCATCGCTCTGATGCTTGTTCTTGAAGTGATTGTCGGCATTCTCTACATTGTGTCGTCTGCCGCGTATAGCAGTTTCATCAACCTAACACTGTTCGCGCTGAATATCACGGTGGCATTGCCCCAGGCTGCTCTGCTCTTCCGAGGTCGGGCCTCTCTTCCTGAGCGAGCCTTTTCGCTCGGGAAGTACGGATTCGCTGTCAACCTTGTGGCGACTCTGTTTGTCATTTTCTTCTCCATCACCTTCTGTTTCCCAACCTTCATGCCTGTGACGGCGTCATCTATGAACTACCTGGTTGTGGTCATGGCGATCGCCATAATCGTGCCGCTGGGGCTATGGTTTGGAGGGCTGAACAAGAGCTTCACGGGGCCCCAGGATATCATCGAGGTATAAGCACTTCAAATGTAACATATCATCCACCAAAATTACCGAAACCTTATGAATAGTATCTTGCTCATGGTGCTAGTCGGAGGATGCAGATGGTTTACTCGGGCATGGAACCTGCTCGGTTCGAGGTTGACCTCAATTCCCAATGACCCAAGATATCTGGATGTGTAAATTCGCTAATTCTGAGACTCCGGGCATGCTCAATGCCACTGAGCTGTTGCATCACTTCACCTTGGCGCTCTTATCGAGCCATCTGGTACATCTCTTCCTCCTACCGCATTTGGTGAATAGAATACAGATGGGGTCCACCTCCACCTGTGTGGGTCTTTAGTATTTCGAAGCGCATACTCCGATTGACCCATGCTGCGTCTAGTTCTGTACTGATTACCCAGAGTAACGATCTCGTGATCCACAGATACAAGATAAACCCCACGCCAGTACAGCGAGGTCTCTCCAGAACCCCCCTTCAATTCAACAAGCATTCCGCTTAAGAATGACTTCCTCGAGATTCCACAAAGCAGCCGTTCTTACTGTACGTTGCATACATCTCTCAAATCTACCAACCGATCCATGAAGTGGGTCAAAAGGGAAAAAAGAAGTATACTCACTTCCAACAGTCACCCCAAGAACCCACCGCCAAACCAACATTCTCCATCCAAACCCTACCACGCCCAGTCCCCGGTCCGAATGAGCTCCTCATCCGCCTCACCGTGACCTCCCTCTGCGGCTCGGACCTAGGAATGGCCCTTGGCCACATGGGCCCCGTCGGCGCCATCCTCGGCCACGAAGGCGTCGGCCATATCGCCGGCATCGGCTCCAACGTCCCCTCGCAAGACCCCACCGTGCAGCTGGGCCAGCGCGTCGGGGTCGCCTGGACGCGCGATATCTGCGGCGTGTGCAGGTTCTGCGTCGACCTCGCCCACGAAGGCGAGACGCGGTGCGCCGAGGCGCTGCACTCGGGGAAAGAGGCGTACCCCGGCACGTTTGCCGAGTACACGGTTGTTCCGCTGCGGTATCTTGCGCGGATCCCGGCCGCGTTCGACGGGGTGCCGGATGAAGAGATTGCGCCGATTCTGTGTGGCGGGGTGACGGCGTACAAAGCTATCAAGGGCTGCCAGGTGACGCCGGGGCAGTGGGTGGTGGTTTCGGGGGGTGGTGGCGGGGTTGGGGCGTTGGCTGTCTCGTTTGCGCGTGCGATGGGGTATAGGGTTATTGCTGTTGATGCGGGGGCGGCGAAGGAGGGCTTCTGCAGGTCCCAGGGTGCGGAGCACTATGTTGATGTTACCTCTGGAGAGGATCCGGGGAAGAAGGTGCGTGAGTTCACGGATGGACAGGGCGCTAAAGCTGTGATTGTCACAGCTACTGCGGCCGCGGCGTATCAGCAGGCGTTCGACATGCTGGGTCCTTTCGGGACATTGATGTGTGTGTCGATTCTTCCGGAGGAAGCGAGGGCGACGTTTCATCCGTTATGGATGATTGATAATGGGTGGACGGTGAAGGGTTCGTCGGTGGGAACCCGTTCGGATATCCTTGAAGCGTTGGAATTTGTGAAGCGAAGAGTTGTGATCCCCAAGGTGCAGTGGGCGCAGTTGGAGGAGATAGAAGAGTTGATGGAAAAGCTTTCGCGAGGTCAAGTAAGTATTCATTTTGATGCGCTTGTTTTCCAGTGCTGACCTTTCCGCAGCTCGAGGGGAAATACGTGATGAAGCTATGAAAGGACATGTCTTAATGCAGTGCGATAGTAGTTGCAAGTGCGAGTTGAAAAGCTGGCTAATATCAACCTTTCGGTGGAAGATCAACCTTAGCGTTTCAATCATTAAGAAAGGGGCGAGGTATATACAGAAATAGCAGGATGCCCCTATGCAAATTTTTTCTGATGAAGACTCCATGCCAACGCCCCTGTAGCACTGGCCTGATAATAATTCCGTGGCAATGATCATGAGATATCTAAGTACTATCCACTCTTCGCCGTTTCTCTCGATCGTCGTATGGCGATGGACTGCGCTTCCGCCGTTCTCGCGAACGACTTCGATCGTCCCGATATCCACGTCGATCGTATCGCGGGGATCGTGACCGTGACCTGCGGCGCGATTGTACAATGCTTGCATTCGCACCCGTAGGCCCGGAAGGGCCTGAGCCACGGTCACCAGGCTGATCAGGCATAAAACGCTCATCTGTAATCCCAATGGGCGGACCATTCGGCCGACGCTTATTCTGGTAGCCCTCGCCGAAACGGCCAGTATCCTCCGTCTTGAGATCGCGGTACCGCGTGCGTCCCTTCTTACCAAGCTTGGTCATGTCACGCACTTGCATGTACTGGGGCAGCGTCTCGGTAGCCACTTCGTCCACGAACCGTCGGCCCATGACATTCCGTTGATCGAGTCCTTCTTTCTCGAGATCGTCGCGGTAGAACGCTCCCTTGTGGAAGTACCGTTGCATGAACCCCGTTTCGCCGCGATTGGCTTCGCGCTCAGCCTTCTGCTTGGCGATAAATTCCTGATCTTCCCGCTCTCGCTCTTCAGCTGTGAGATTGCGGCGGCGCTCCACTTCCTCACGCTCTTTCTCGGCCTGTTCGATAGCCTCACGCTCGCGCTTCAGGCGCTTGAACTCTCGGAGCTTCCAGGCGGCGTATTCGCCTTCTGGGTCAATGCCGTCGCGGTCGTCGATTTCTTCTTCTTCGTCCGCTTGTACCAGTTCGTCGTCGTCCCAGGCCCGGTTCCCTTCCGCGCGCGCAATGGCGGCTTTCTCTATTTGTTCGCGGACGAGCTGGTCGGCCTTTTCTTGTCGTTGAGCGCGGCGTGCTTCACTTTCGGCGGCGGAGTCTGCTGCTGCCAGCGGTGCCTGTGCCTGATTGGCGTTTTGACCTGCCGCATTCCCCCGCTGGCTCTTCTTCACGAATGTAGGTCGTACCCGGACCCGGGGTGCCTCGTCTTCTGAGCTGCTTTCTTCTTCTGAACTCTCTTCTTCGTCCTCTTCTTCTTCCTCCTCGCTTTCTTCTGATGCTACCGCCGGACCTGGTTTCGGGGCAGTCGTTTGTGGTTGCGCCTCTGCGGGTAATGCAGGTCTTTCTGGTGCTGGTGGTGCCTCTTCTTCATCAGTCACGAATCCCTCCTCGTCTGAATCATCTTCTTGGACTTGAGGAGCTGCTGCGGCAGGAAACGAGGACGCCTTGGGAGGTTGCTGTTTCCGGCGCTGAGCCTCGGCGTGTACTCGTTCTTGTTCCCTTTGCGCTTCTACATCATCCTCTTCCTCCTCGGATGAAGACGACTCTTCTACAAGTGGCTTTCCTGGGCGATAGCGACCTGGCCTGACCGGGTTCTTGGTCATCCCCCGGTTGCGGGACACGAGCGGAGGCATGGTGATGAGATGAAAGTGGAGTGGCTGAAAAGTAGACCGAGGGATTCGACGAATATGGAAACCTTGCCGTTTAGGCGCTCATTGCGACAGCGCAAGCAGGGGAGTATGAAGCTCGAAGTCGCAAGACAATTCTGGATTGCCGGTCGCTATCATCACGTGACGATAGGCACTCTAAAGTATGACCTGAGATCTCCATCAGTCGAAAAGTGCAATTGACGGCCATGAGAAACGGAACGAATATCTTCTTCAGTAGTCATTGAATTATAACAAGCAAATATTTACTACTATCAAAACAACCCTCTTGAAACATCTGTCGCTCTACATACTCCTACTGTCAAAGACCTGAAAGACAAGCTTAAAAGCATCACGTGCTCACGCGTCCCGCCAACGCGCCGTGGAGTCCCTAACCATCGACAAATCACTAACCATCCATATCACACCAAACTACCAAATCAAAGCGGAATTTCTCCTAAGCAAAAAAATGTCTCTCCAGACGCCCCGCATCTTGCCCGACCAGCTTCACAGCTTCCACCCCAACAGCACCGGCCAGCGCACCCCTCACACCGTGCGCATCCTGGGCACCGTGAGCGCGCTGCACGGCGATACAGCTACCGTCACCTGTGGTGGCCATGGAGATGTTACTCTGCTCCTGAAACCCGACTCACATCTTCAGATGGGCAAGTTGATTGAGGTTGTTGGGAAGGTGACTGATGTCGAGGGTGGGAAGCTGGGGCTCCGGGTTCTGGGGACGACTGATTGGGGCAACCCTGCTGATTGTGGTAAGTTCTTAAAATGCTAAGACTGAAAAAATTCTCTGTTGTGGAGGAGCCGGGGGATATCAGAGACTGATCTGTCCTTGTTCAGATTACAAGATCTACGAGCAGGTCGTCAATGCGACACAGAAAATCAAGACAATTTTCTACGATGCGGAGTAACGTGCCAATGCTTGGTAGCAGGGTGGAGGGGAAAAGGGGGTGCCGTGGCGACTTTGGCTGTCGAGTTATGCGCAGGGAACGAATGGGAAGCGTCTTGTGCATGATATGTAAATCACGTACTTGGGAAGACAGTGATATGGTTGCATTTTCTACGAATGTTATGACTGTTAACAGACAAGTTATTCTCGTAAACCACTGAGCACAGAAATGTAAATCGGGGGCACTTAGGGCTTAAAACAGCCATTGAAAAGCTAAACACATCCGAGTCTGAGTAGATGCTGGGTGCTCTGAACAATTCGTTCACATTGATCATAAAGTAATTTGAGTAACCTAGAGCAAGTCTCTGGAAGAGATAATCATAACACGCGTACCCAACACGCTTCTAGCGATAGTGTAGAGAAGGCCATAGAATGCGCTTCTGGTCATAACTCCAAACCCAAAGGAAATAAGCAAAATGCATCACGGCAGTGTAAACTAATACAGCAGCCTGCTCGAGCGGCTATGCAGAAATAAACTATCCCATACCCCGACGCCTTCGCTAAAATCAAGGAATCAAAATCAAAATCAACATGTAAAAGAAAATTCCGAGGTATGCCAGAGCATTTATGCACTGGGTTCGGCTGCTTGGTTCGCAGTGTCTTGTGTGTTTTTATATTCCGGCTTGGAGGTTGGATCCTGGTGGTCGTCATGAAGTGCATCGGAACTGAAGAAGCCCGAGTCGGGGAGATCATTATCCCCAAGGGCGAAGAGGTTGAGGCTGGAGTTGCGAAGGTTCTCGTTCATCACGTTGGGGTCAGAAAGGATGGCATTGATCAAATCATCACCTTGTTCGCTGCTGTCAGACTCGTTGGGAGAGATATACCCCGAGGGGAGCCAAGTCGTCCAATCCTGGCCACCACTACCATCACCACCCAAGCCGAAGTAGTTGGAGTCAACATTAGGATCGTCGAACATGTCTAGCATCATGGGATCCAAAGGCTGGAATGCTTCAGGCTGCAGATCTTCACCAGAGGGTGGGGTCATGTCCTCATTGCTGCCATCTCGTGGGCGAAGACTCATGTCCTCCTGATCTTCTTGAACCCGCTGCAACCGTTCTGCTGTGAGTTGCGTAGACGAAGGAGATAAGCCCACATTCCTGCGTCGGTTACTGCTTGGTGAATCGGACGGCAGTGAAAGTCGACGTTCATGCATCTTATTGCGGCGACGGGGAGTTGGACTGAGGAGTGGATTGAAGTCCATGGAAGGGCTCTCAAAAAGAGCATCCAGGCTGTTCACCTGCAAATTGGGGTCGTCATTCTCCTTCGCCGGCGTACTTCTGCCTTTGTTCGTAGCGATACGGGGGCTTCGGCGGGGCGAAGATGTATTAATCATTGACGGGTCCATCTCCTTGAGGCGGTCGTCTTGTTTCTGGGTAGAGGAGAAGAGCGCCCTCCGCAAAGGCTTCGGTGTGAGAGAGGCCTCGTCCGTATGAGGCATATTGCGATTTGCCATGTTCCTGGCCGGGCTTGATTGGATGGCTCGCCGTAAGGCTTCTACAGCAGCGTCATGCTCCCAGCCGTTGTTTTCATTGAACATGCCAGAGTTCGGAGGCTCAGCGCTATTAGCGCGACGTTTTTTGCTTGCAGACCGATCCATGTCGTGCTCTTCATCGTGTTCCATATCATACTCTGCGCCAGGCGTGATCCCAGGAGTGAGTCCGGGGGTAACTCCATCTTCAGGTTGAACGGACGAGGCTTCTGTCGGAGCTGGAGATGACGCTGCTCCTACGCTGGATGCGACCGCGACCTTGCTGCGAGTTCTTGTGGAAGGGTTTGACAGTGGGCCGCCGCTGGTCCGGTTCCGAACAGGGCGCTTCTTTTTATTTGGGGCGTTCTTGTCGGTTGACTGCTTGTTCCACTTGTTCTCTGGACGCATGGCCTTGAATTTGAATAACCAAAGCCCGCAAGGATTGCAAAGCAAGACTTGAGACCATTCGTTGTCGTCCGTCGCCAAGGTTTTCTTGTAGACCTTGTATTTTGTCACGACGTCTTCATCATCACGCTCAATTGACACATAAAACAATGTATGGGGCTCCTCCATCATGGCCTTTGCTTGCTCCTCGTTGCCGACAAACTCCTTCGACCAGCCCCGACGCCAGGTGGGAGTTTCAATGCAGCCGCAGTTCTCACAGAAAGGTGGCACTTCACCGGCTTTGATAGCTTGCTCGAGACGGTCCTGGATTTGCTTCGTTCTCCTTTTTGCGCTCGCCCTACTGCGCGGTCGGCTACCGTCAGGTTTGGGTGACGGGTCAACAATATGGAAATCGCTCATGGGCCCCGCCCAAGTCTGAGATTGTTGAAGGGGAGGGTGACTGGGTGGAACGGGATCACTAGCCGGCACGGGAGGAAGAGACATAGGTGCGAGAGCTTGGGAGCCACGCGGTGCTTCTGTTAGGTTCGGTGTTGTTGGGGCGGGTGCTAATGGTTTCGGGGTCAGCCGTGGACCGCTGCGTGATACAGGCCTGGAGGTTGATGAGACTGGGCGTGGAGCAATCGGTGGTTGCTTCGCAAATCTCTGTTCGGCGAAGGCTGTCTCTGACTGAGTATCATTTGTGGGGAACATGGTGTTCGAGTTGTCCTGTGGCGTGCCAGCCATGCTCACGGGAGAACTAGCCTGTACTGCAGGCCGCATGAAATGAGGGACATTGTGTCCAGTCGTTCCCTGGGACTCGGCTCTTTGTGATTCCAAGGGCGTAGTAGCTTCTTCCTCGGGGATATCATCGAGACCAGCGCTCATGAAGCCAGAATCGGCATCCATACCAATAGGAGGCAATACGGGGCTGGATTTGGGGGGCAATCGGGTTTCCAAGACAGGCGGAGAAGATGGCATAGTGAATGATGGTTCAAACAATCCCTGGTAGCGCTGCTCTTCAGGAGAGTGAGTCGTTTGATCGCTCACAATATCGTCACTCATCATATACGGACTCTGATACGAGCTTACCACCGAAGACTCCCTTAATGAGCTTGATTGCAGCTGACCCCGGCGAACATTATTGGAGACTCGGTGGATTGGGGTTGGTGGACGAACAGGCTCCTCGTTAGACTGCTCGGCAGCAATGGAAGGGTTCACAGGAGTCGGGCGATGGATGCGGACAGAAGCGGCGGTGCTGGCTGCAACACGGAGCGAGCTGGGCTGGCGCTCAATGTTCATGTCGGATCTTCCAGACCCGCCTGCCTGGTACAACTTCGCTCTCTTGCGAGGTTGCGAGTCCATCTGCTCCTCTCCCCCACTAGCATATCCAGATTGCAAAGATTCTCTGCGTTTATGAGGGGGTTGGGTGTGGTAGTAATCGCTATCCCGCATTGATACACTCGAAGATGGACGAATCATATCACTGCTCTGGACGAAGCTATTTCTTTGTTGGGACTGATGGTGTGCGGAGTGAAGAGGCCCACCGGGTGTGGACACTCGGCTGCCATTTGCAAAGGAATGGGTAGGAGATGAAGATCGAACTGACTCGTTGCCAGCATAAGTCGAAAACTCGCGAGGGGTGGCACCTTCACTGAGCATTTGGTGAAATCGTTCAATACCGGAATGATCCACGGGTGAGCTGGCATGGTCTTGCTGCTGGCCTCTGGAGGCTTCGTTAAGACCCGGATTTTGACGAACAAAGTTGGCCCAAGACTGGGTATCGAAGTCTCGTGGAGCAGCATTGGCCTCACGGTATTTTTGCATGTTATCCAGGTATTCGCTCTGCATGACGGTAGGCACAGGAACTAAGCGCAGTTTGACTTCCAAAGTATCTTGACCTGCTCCCTTCGAAAACAAACCCATGGGGTTTTTGCATACGCGCCCGGTGACCATGGTCTTTGACTGATGTGCGGGAGCATCCGGTGTTGGTGAAGCAGAAGCGAGAACCCATGACAACATTCCTTGGCCCACCAGGGGTGTCTCGTATCTGAATAGTCATAAGCGTAGACGGTGTAATCTTTTCCGAGTTGTGCCACCAATTCCGGGCTATGCAAAGTCAGCTTCTAGTTGTATCGGCCGGGAAAAAAAAAGGGTGTCGAGCGGCTCACCTAGCCGAAACAATTGCCTGGATACATGTCTTCAGCTCGATCACGCCGATTACAGTATTCTCATCCAGGTGAGCTGATTGGATTTCAAGCACATGAGGCCAACGGGCAAGGCAGTTAGTCTTGTACTCATTATCAAATGTGTACAAGACCTTCACTATTATGAGAGAATTCAAATATTAGCGCCTGCGTATCAAACCCGTAAGAGAAAAAAAGCCATACGCCTCATTGACCGGACGGTGATTCCGTCCTCAGATTCCATTTCACCAATCTCGTCGTTCAACCATGTACGGTTGATGAGCGAATTCAAAAATCCAAAGGTCTCAAGAGGGAAGAGGGACGGGAGAAGAGAGGTGTAAAGACGAAATATTGGAAGGGCGGTTCACGGATTGCAAGGAGGTGGGGACCCGAGGTGGACAGGACGTGGTTGGAGATTTTGAACCAACGTAGTATTGGCACACGACGAGTAGGCAGTATTGAAGTGATCTACCAACCACACATATCGATCAAATATCTCGTCGGCCGGGAGAATGGCTAGATTATGCAACTGGTCGTGCGGCAAGGCCTGCAGGGCTGGAATGTTAGATGCCGATCTAGGGCACAACGTTGAGCTAGACACCGCCTCGTAGCAAGGGAGAAAGACCAAGGAGGTTGAAAGAGGAGGAAGAAGAAGAGGGGAAGGTTGCAGCTGCAGGAGGTGAGGATAAAGAGAAAGACCTTACATGCGCGGGTTGAAGCTCTGACGATCTCTAAACAAAGCGTGTACGCGACGTGACGGAGCCAATCGCGCTGCGCGGTCGCGGGTCCCGACCACCTTGATTTCCGAACCTGCTCGGCTGCGCGCTAAGGAGATTTGGGCTTAGCGCCTATAGTCTGTCTTCGTGTTCTGCGATCTTGTATAAAGAGCTGCGATAGATGTGATCTGCCACCCTCTGAGCCCAGAGAAATTGAATTTCTCTGTATCTTTGCAACCTACAAATATTCTGTGAATCCCTTCTATGGCTCAAGGCGGCGGACCTATGATGGGTATTGCTCTGCAAGTATTGCAAGGAACATTAGAACAAGGTACAAATATCCCAACTGACCAGAGATACCAGTATTTCACACTTACTAGTAGGAGATAGAATACATACTTGCTTAGTAGCTCAGTTTGCCCTCAGGTCTAGGTGGTGTACGCTACACCGCCAAAGAGGCCGCTTTGGTTGGTTTGCCCTTGCCAATTTGGCAGTAAGCTCCGTGCTGCACCACGTGATCAACCGCCTCAAGACTGCAGCATCTTCTAGCGACGCCGGAACGACTTCCACAGCCACTCATATCCTCCATCCAGAACCATGTCAGCAGCTCCTGATACCAAGGTCCAGTATGTTCGCTCCCACCCTGTTATCCATGAAGACATTAGCTTACCAAACATCCAGAGACCTTCTCGCCAAGCCCAGGAGCGAGCTCACGTACGTGATTCCCATACCAAGTGCAAGCTTCATATGCTTGTGCACAGAACCTTGCAAATTTCCTACCTTCTCTACCCCACATATACACCTTTCCCTACCAGCAGAGGGGGCACGGGCGCAGAAAGTGCCGCACACCCTGCGTCTCCTCTGGCGCCCGTTCTCTTCTACATCCCACTTCATGCGCGATCTGAAGACATACATGAATCGAAAAGCTAATCTGTTCTCCACCCAATAGTGAATATGAGGTCGGTCTGGTTGAGGAGCACGAACTCACCGCCGGCCCGTTGTCTCTACTGCAGACCGCCACCCGCAACCACCAGCAGGTCCTGATCTCTTGCCGAAACAACCGCAAGCTGCTGGCCCGTGTCAAGGCCTTTGACCGACATTGCAACATGGTCCTCGAGAACGTCAAGGAAATGTGGACCGAAAAGCCTAAGGGAGCAAGCAAGGGTATCAACAAGGATCGCTTCATTAGCAAGATGTAAGTTATAGTCCAAATTGCCTATGCCACGGTCGGTCACCGTTGGAGTTTATGTCCTTGGCTGATACTAATATCCTACAGGTTCCTCCGTGGTGACTCCGTCATCCTTATCTTGCTCAGCTGAGCGCTATGCCCTATTTTATCCCTCTTGCGCGTCCTCGTCTTTGACCATCCCTCCATTTAACCTGGTTCCTCAAAAAAAAATCTGCCGGACGGTCTGATCTCCTTTTGCGCTGCAGATCATCCATGTGATCTATGAAGGGCTCATACAATCCGATCTCGATACCCTTTATTTCTTGTTTTCTGTTCCTTTGCGACATTTTTCCCCTTACTCCTAGCCACCCCCGCTAGGCCTAAACTAGTGCAATGGTGGACTCGTGGTTACATTCAATCTACAATAGTGCTTCCAAGGATCTGTTCGTCTTCTCCTAGTTCAGGCTAGAGGAAACGAAAATATTGCCGGCGTTCAGTTGATGGGTTTTATGGTCGCGCTCTATTAGAGCGTTTGCTGGCGTCATTCCTTGGGTCGAGATTCGAGATTAGGCAATGGATTCCAGATTACGATTCGAAATGTGCGGTGTACACTGTAAAACGTGTGGTTGATCCAGTGACTTTGGACTAAAGTTTCTAGTCAATTTCACGCTTGCATTACTCGTGGCCTGCCAGCACTTGGCCTAACATCTTTTTCTGAAACCATCATGAAAATAGAGGCTCTCAAACGCGATATTGCAAATAATCGTAGCGATCCTAGTAGAACCCCTCATCATCATCATGAACATTATATTATCACAAGGCCCGCCAACCCAAGGACCAGGTATATAACTATGTATAAGAAAATAGGGAGCAATCAACCCACCTCGGTGCCAAAGTCTAAGCTGCATTAACCAGCCCAGTCAAGAACTCACTGAGACCATAGGCACCAGGGTCAGGAATCTTGCCAATCCAATCTCCCTCACTGCCAACGTAGACTGAGCGACCCAAGCTAGCCTTCATACTCTTAGTCGATTCAGTGCCCTGCTGAGCAGCCGCAGCCGCAGCCTTAGGATCATGCTTTGCGAACAGCGTCTCACCGAACGGCACAAGCGCATCGATCAGAGTCCGGTCGCCAGGCTTCGCGGGCGTGTACCGACCTAGCGAGGTAATGGAGTGCTTGATGGCCTTGGCCCAAACCTCAGTGGTGGCTTGCTGCGGGGAGCCGGTGTCCTGGTCGCGGAGGCCGTGGGCCAACGCGTTCAAGAAGATCGCGTAGATGGCGCCGGAGGTGCCGTCCATGACCTCCTCAACGACATTGACGATACGGTTCACTGTGCTGACGATGTCGTCGGTCAGAGGGGGAGAGGGGTTGTCCAAGAGGGCTTGGATGGCTTCTGCGCCGCGCTTCAGGCCGATGCCGCAGTCGCCGTCACCGACGAGGGTATCGAAGCGGGTTACTTCGGGCTCAGCCTTGATGACAGCTTGAAGGCCGGCGCCGAGGACCTTCTTGACGACGGATGGGTCGACTGGTGTTACTGTTAGTATCGGGAGTTGTAGAAAGGCTGGTCGGAAATAGACTTACGCTTCATGTTGCTGGGCTGAGATTCATCCAGGTTGCTATCCTTCAGCTGGACTGGGGTATCGATGCGGTTCTCCCAAGTCGATGGGTTGATCGGGACAGACCAGCCGATCGCTTCAGCGGGGGCATCGATGAGCTGGAGCATGGTCTGGCCAGCGCCGACATCCTTGTCGGACAGCTTCAGGAGCGAGACACTGAAGCCCAATCCGTTCAAACTGGTCAGGAAGCTGCCCTGGATGACACGGACAGGCTTGATCTGGTAGTTGGCTTCCAGCTGACGGTAGACCTCGTAGGTGAGGCCCGAAAGTTCTAGTGGACTCACACCACCAAGGTTGTTGATGAGGAGGACAAACTTATCCTGAGGAGTGCGAGTGATATAGGCGCGATCCTTGTCGCTTTCATCAAGCAGCTGGCGGAGCATGGTTGAGACCAGCTCAACCAGGTCCACCTTGGTACGGTGGGAGCCCGGCTCATTGTGAATACCCATGCCAATCTCAACTTCGTCCTGCGCGACGTGGTCTTCAGGCGCCCCGCGACCAGGAACGTGGACGTGCTCCAACGAAGCCCCGATAGAGACAAGGTTGTCATTTGCAAACTGAGCAAGAGCATAGACCTCGTCCAGAGTTCCGCTACACATTTGTTAGCCACGAGTTTCTTTCTGGTTAATATTTTAGGCCGTGCTCCGAACTTACCCAGCTTCGGCCAAAGCACCAGTCAACTTCAGCAACAGAGCAGCACCGCCAATACCACGGCGACCAACCTTGCCGCTCTTTTTACGACCAACACCAACGTCGTCGTTCATGGCAAAGAATTCCGTCTTGATGCCAGCCGCACGGCACTTCTCCGTGGCCATACCAAAGTGCAACACATCGCCAGTGTAGTTGTTGGGAATAATGAGAACACCGCTGTCATTGGGGACACGATCAATGCAAGCTCTGCTAATCTGCTCCGCGGCAGGCGAGGCGAAGATAGTACCGGCAACAGCGGCATCACAGAGACCGTGGCCTACAAAGCCGGCGAAAGCGGGCTCGTGGCCCGAGCCACCGCCAGTCACGACGGAGACCTTCTTGGCCCTGCGAGGCGCATCTGGGCGGCGGAACACGATCTTGTTGTGCGAGTCCAATGCAAGGGAGGGATTGGTGAGAGTGAGAGAGTGGAGCGCGGCCAGAACCAATTGGTTCGGATCGGAGAAGAAGTGCTTTGCTGGAGGGCGTTAGTTGACCGCTGAATTGCCCAAGTGGCGGGGAATCCTCCTCGCATCACTGAAAGCGGGGACTAGCAAGAACTTACTCTGCATAGTGAATATTGCTTTTTTCTGATGATTGCGGAACCAGAGATGGTAGAACCAAGGGACTTGACCGCGGAATTACAATCTTTGAGCTCTTTACGCTCGAGGCTTCAAGCTTTGCAAACCGACGGAGCTGATTCTTTCAGCGCTTCAAAGTCTCCTTGGGAAATCTGTAGGAGTCTCTCAAGGTACGAGTCCGGGATTGGACTGCGACAAGGCGGGGAAAAGTGGGGGATGCACGCAGAAGCTGGTATTGTCAGTGTTTCACGCCCAGATGTCATAAGTCTGTGAGATCATTGAAATAGTTGACCGCAGATGCGGTTGAGGTATATTCCAAGCGATCTGGGATTCTGGACTGGGGGGGTGCGTGGAGATCACTGTATGCACTTACGAGCTGGAAGTATACGCGGGAAAGAGTTGGGATTGTAAAACTTCCACAGAGCGCCCTCGGGAGGGAGGGGGACTCTTTATGCGCCGGGGAGCTCCCACCGGATCCGCATTTGTCGTGCTCCCAATTTTCTGTTTGGAGGGCCAATGTCTCGCCAGGACCCTCTTTGGATGAGCTGGTGCTCACATGGCCCCATCTTCAATGCGATCGGTCTGGAACTGGGGCATTTCGGCTTACCCTATCCAGCTATTCCGACCCAAATTTGCCGCCTCCAGGAACATTACACCTTTTTATCGCCCGAGTAGTTCCACTGGGGCAGCATGGACTGGCTGACCTGTGAATCCATGCAATCTGGGCGGATCCCATCCGTGGGGCTTAGGGTGCGATGTTATCACTGGGATCACTGGTACCAGTAGCCCCAGCATCGTCACTTCTGCTACTGTTAATAGTACCAATAGTACTAGTATTGCGGTTATCCCAACTCGAACTACACTTATTGATGGGTACCCACGATTCGGAACTACCAATAGCTCCCAATCAACTATTCTAAAATTGCATGATACTAGTGAACTTCGCGTGGTAATCTCATAAAGTTGCTTGGAGAATGAATCGCGGGGAGGTGGGGGACCCCGGTGGTGATTGCATAGATCAGAACTACGCAGAATTCCAATGCCATCTGGTCCCCCAACCACTGGCACTCGACTAGGGAATAAAGACTGAACGGAGCAGCTATTCACTCAATGGGCTCAGGGGTAAAAGAGCAGTCCAAGTTGCTTCAATGGCAGGTCTTGTTGTTTCCCTCTAGCGCGGGGCTCCACTTTTCTTGAGCTCGTGACGTTGTGGTGGAGATGATCACGAAAATTGCCTCCTTGGGACTTCCGGGCCTCGTTCGTCACAGCTCCGAGCACAGTTCCATTTTATTCTGGAATAAGTAGTATGTGCTAATCACCTCAGGCTGTGTCCCAATCGTTGAGGGTCGGTAGGTCTACTAATAATGGGCGCTTGCCTTGCAATCGGAGAATGAGAGCCCCTGGCAGCTTTGGCTCTGTGGGAGCGTATTGGGCGCAACCCGAAAATCACGGGCACGCATATCTCTGGAAAAAGTCGAAGCTGCTTCGGTTTGCATTCATTCCCCATGTATTACTAGTACGACCAGGGGCAACATGACAAGAAGATACATTCAAGTTTACGTGTGCTGGGAGGCTATCGCTGGCAAGGGTCCCGCGGTACAAAACTACCGCGCGATAGTAATCATGACAGTACTACGTTTGAAATCTCATCGCTGGAAATTCATCAGAAGCATGGCAGTCCGATATCAAACCGGCCCTCGATCTATGCCACATAGTTGTATGTGTTGCCATCGCCCCGTTCCATATAGTCCTTCTCGATCAGCCTAGAATCACGGTCCCAGGTTAGCGATGAACGATCAGCCACAAGTCTGGCGGGGCTCTTACTTCTCAATGTTCTGCTTAATATCTGCAGGCTGCAACGTGCCTCGGCTGCGAGTGGCCGCAATAACGTCCGCGATCAATTCGGAGTGCTTGATGGTCTTGCGGCTCTTCATTATTCGCACAATGGCGGCTTGTGTTTCGTAGTGCCGGTCCGCTGCGACCCGTTCATGTGTCGTCTTGTTCTCCTCCTTGGTCTCTTTGAGTTGAATCTGGTTAATCTTAATGCGGAGCTTCGGGTCTTCGAATCCCGCGTTGTACGCGAACTCATCCGTGTTCTCCACTTCTTTGCCCTTGGGCTTCTTAGTGAGGACTCGGTACTTGGCGCAAGCTAGGGATTGGAGAGTTCGCTTTAACTCCGGATCCGCTGTGAACAATATTAGAGGATGTCATGGCCCTGGGAAATGGTAGATCTTGCGAATAATGTCACTTACAGAGACCTGTCTCTTTCTGGATTTGCGAGTAGCTCAAGCTCTCGCCATCTGAGACTTCATTGAACAACAGGAGCACGGTTGCCTGGAAAGAACTGACCACAAGAGACTTGGACCCCTTCGGGAAATGAGCACGCAGCTGGGAATGCGCTAGCTGGTGCTTCCAAGTGAGCTTCCGACCGTTATATTTGCCGTGGTAGAACTTCTCATAGTCGGCAAGGGCCTTCGAGACATCCTGCGGGATTCGCACAGGGACATCGGGGTATGTAGGCCACGAAGCGGCGGATAGGACACTGACATTCAAGTCAACGAGGTTTTGGTCCTTCCCGGTCTCCGCGCGCAGTGCATTGTAAGCGGCCATCTCGTCCCGCGCCACATCCATGTCTTTGAACATGGACTCGAGGTTGTGGGTAAAACTGGCGCCACATTCTACAGCGCCAAGTCAGCACAAAACAGCATCAGCCAGAAATCGGGACGTAAACCAACCTTTCTTGAGCCGCACTAGCATACTCTTCTCTGCTTCATCACTAGCACTCCGATTCATGAGAAGACGACGGGCAAGATCATTCTTGTAGAATGCCTCGAAGACAGCTTTCCCTTGCACTGAGCGGAACAAGTCTAGGACCTGATCTAGCTGCCGTTGAATCTCAGTGTTTTCGTCAGCCAAAGGCGCATCCTGCTGACCAGGAGTCATCGCCTTTAAGCCACCCTTCAGTAATCGGTCAAGATACTTGGCAATCATTTCACCAGTCTTCGAATTGTCTGTACCACCGGTAGACTCGGATTTCTTGGTTAAGTTCATAAAAGTGTCAAAGGCCTTTCGGAGAGTGTTTCCGAGCTCTGAGTCTGCGCTGAACGAATTCGTCCAAATATCATCAAGCTGTTGTTTGAATGCTAATAATCGGACAACCATATCTGCCTCATGCTCTTCGTCAAACACAATGCCCGAACCTTCTTCAATGATGTAACTTCGAAAAGCTGTCTGGAGTTCGCCGCCAAGCTTGCGGCGACTGAGGAGGCCATACAGTTGTTTCAAAGCGGATTTGTTGCCCGACCGCATCAAATTCACAACTTGGTCTTGCTGGAGAAGGACGTCTTCATGTTGAGTAATCAATGTCTCGTCCAACAGCTCAGACAGCTTCTGCTTCGTGCTTCGATTGAGAGAGTAGAAGCCACATCGTGCGACCTCGCTTTCGATTAAGCCGTGGCTTTTCTCCACATATGAAGCTAGTGAATTTGCTGACTCGCGGGCAGCCCACGCTGTGACGAATTTTCCTGTACTGGAAATAAAAAGTGGCTCAAACTCACTATTGTAAACGTCCAGGTTGTGGAAGAGTTCTATGGCCGCTCGGAGTAAGCTGGGGTCTGAAACGCCACCAGCTTCTTCGCCACGATCGACCGAAATAAGATCGCAGGCACCTTGCAAAACCTTAGGTTTAAGACTTGGATCGGCGAAGACGTAGGAGCGGAATTGTATCAATCCCATTTCATGGATCACCGGGAACTCTTTGGAGTGTAGCAAAAACGACTGGTCAAGATAGTAGAATACCCAACGAACAGTGATCTATTCTTCCTTAGCTTACTCAACCCATTGTTGAATTTCTGGACTTTCGATCACTTACCAGTCTGGAATGCCATGAAGACCATGCTTCAATCACCGTCCGAAGTGTATCCACGTTGGTACCACCCCCAGATCTCGCTACTAGGTTGTCTCGAAGTTTACCAGCCACGTAATCTTTGCATCTGCTCTGGACTTTCTTGGCCAGAAGTGCAGCACGATCTTGTCGACAAACATTCTCGGCGCCTTTGTAAAGTTCCTCCAATGACAGGCTCGGCTTCTTCCCATCAAAAATGTCCGACAAAGCTGAATCCAGTTGTGACCATATCTTGTCGAAGTAAGGCTCGTGGTTGACCCGTGGGCCCGTACGAAGGTTCTTAACGACGAGTTTCTTGGCCCCAACATTAGGGCTGAAATTGCCCTGGCGACCCGCAGCATTAAACGCCTGGGATTTTACCGGCGCTGAGTTCTGCGCAGGGGCTGTACGAGCGCAGACTGCGCTATTCTTGGACGGAGAACCAGCGAAATTATACATCTTGTTCGGAGAGACCGGATGGGAGGATGATTCCGAGGGAGAGATGGAGAAGCGGGACCGCTTAGAGGTCGGTGAGGAATGCACTGAGAGGGGATCGTGAGAAGATTTGCTCTTTGACAAAAGCTCGGATATGGTTCGCTGAGACTGTGGCTGCGATGGCTCTCCTTGTTCGGGGAGCTTTCTCTTGCCGGTCGATTTGCGCTTGCCACTCCTCTGCTCGGAGTCGCCGGTCGAGGGCTGCATCTACCCGGTTGGGTTCGAAGGAGAAGAATCTCTTATCCAAGGGGCCGTTGCGATGAGAGATCAACCATCACCTCGGGCGGAGAAGGGGGTGGTCGATAGGTTGAGGCCTCGGGAGGTTGAGGGGAATTGACGTCGGCTCTCCCTTCACTTGGCTCCGCACGGCGATAAGATAGGAGCTACGAATCCGCGCACACTGGGGAAAACCTGCCAATGTTGAGCGATCGACTGTAGTTCTTTTGGAGAAAAAGAAAATAAAACGGAATAAAATAAAATAAAAACACAAACAAAAAGTGCAATTTCGAATTTGAAAAACCTTCCAGGTTATGGGAACCTCATGATATAATTAGTGGACGTAGAGGCTTAATCTCCTCGTCATGATCTTCATGCTAATGGAACTAATCAGAAGATACAAGTTCCTGACTGTTATCGCACAGACCGAATGCTGTCTCCTAGTAGGCGATTGCTAGGTACTAAATCTCATTATACTCTTCTTGATGTGTTATTGTAGACGAAAAGCAAGATCAAGATATGGGCCCTATGCATCAATTCGTAATTGGGCTGTAGAATCGCTAAACCTACTTGAACCAGCCTGCACTCCGCCTATGTTACATGTCAACGCCCCAATAATTCCCCCCCATGCAAAATACTAGAAACACGACCCTGTATCGAAGAACTCAGGAAAATATCAAAGGCTGAGTAGTCTGTTGCCTTTCTTCCTCCTCGAAATCAACGAAGCCAGACGCCGTCACTAGAGCCATGAACGACTTCACCAGCTCGCAGAGAGTTTCCTGTTGATCGGCTGCTGCGCTGCCGCCGATTTTGGCAAATCTCTTGAAAATACCAACCATGCAGGTGCGGTTCTCTGCAATAAAAGACAGGGTCTGTGCTTTGATCTGCTCGTTGTGGATGCCACGCGAGAAAACCGCAGAGACAATGACTCGGATCACAGACAACAACAAGACGTAATATCTCCGCAGAGAATCCGGATTATCCATTTCTGGGGAAATTAGTGACTGTGCTTTGCGTTACAACTGGGAAAAACTTACCAATGCCGATGTCTGGATCGGTCGCGAACAGTTGCGAATCTCGTACGGCCTCAAATAACCCTGACTTTATGACACAGGTCGCACCACTCTTGGTCTGACATAGCTGCTGAAGCACTGCAAGTAGTGACTCATAGTATGAAAGAAGGGCGGGTATATCTGCAGGGAGGAGAATGCGTTAGAAGGGTATAGCACTGCAGAGTAGGAACGAGAACTCACCACCTGCTTTGGCGCCGTAGAGTTCGTTCGGCAGGGATTTGATGGCGTCGAGGAACAGACTGAGATAATTGGACTGAGAGACGAGTTCGGCTAAAATGCAATCGGTGCGGCTATCCAAAATTGCCAGACAGTTCAAAAGCAAGAGAGCAGCAGCGCGACAAGCTTCCTGGCCGGTATAAGCATCATCACAGATAACCTCAACCAAACCTGGGCCAGCAGTTTTAATGATCTGCTGGCTGTGTCGTCGGAGAGTCTCGTGAGTAGAATTGGAGGATGTTATGCGTGCAATGTAATGAGAGCTGATGCTGTAGAGGACCTCGCGCAGAGCCACATTCCCAGTGGCCAGCGTGATACCCCGCGTGGAGACTTGGAATAACTGATGGAGCTTTTCATCAATGACATCTCCACTTCGCGAGGCACGCGTGACGGATATATCGGACGTCAAGCAGCTGATCAACGTTTCTGCCAGCCGGCCAAGCTCCAGTGCCTCGGGCGTATCATTATCGATGGCTACCTCGAGCTTAGGGAGTATCAATTGGATAGCATGGAGTATGAATGTTGGCTTATTTGTCTCGTCGATGACAGAACAGGTGATGATTGTGGTGATGAGTTCTGCCCATGAACGAAGGGCAAGGTAGCGGGTATGCTGTATTTGACGAGATTGGTTGGTCGCATGGACAATAGCCTTCAGAAGATCTGCCTCAATTTGGAAAGCCTCCTCAAGCTGGCTTCCTGGAGCACTACCAGCCAACTTTGCCTTCTCGATTTGAATCAGTTCCTCAACTTCGGCCATGCTGTAGAGGGTTAAAGATTCTTCTTCCTCTCTGGCACAAAGATCAATATCAATGCCCCTCAGGATATTTAACTGAGACCCAGAGTACTGAAAATTAACATCCAGATCTGCGATGTCAAAAAGATCGAATACAGACGGGTTTGTAACGGATACGCCTTCAACGGTAGAGTTTCCGAGAAGAGTTGATAGGATCTCACTTTGTAGAGTTGGAGATCCAACCTTTGCAGCAGACCTAATCTCAGTCGCAGCATATGCGAATAGATGGCTGCGGTAGAGCAGGAATTCCGATAACGCTGAAGGGGCACCGGAGGTCCAGAACCCATCATCTGACACGAGAAATCCATCCCATGGGCTGTTCGGACCGACAATTAATTCTCTGCTTAGCATATTCACGAGGAAAAGGCGAGAGCGCATCTCAGCAAGGGTATAGTACGATGCTAGCTTTGAAGACCAAAGATGCCGTAACACGCTAAACGCAATACGCTGCAGATGAATGGCCCATGAGACAACGGACCCATTCAGCTCGACAGGCCAGGCCTGCAAGAAATCGATTGTGGCCTGTAATAAAGACCTTCCATTCGCCATTAGACCTTGAGGTGGGACATCAAGCACATTGCCCACACACCCAAAGCCGAGTAAGAGATGAGCGACAGTAGGCCGGTCCGTGATCATTCCTAAGCAACGATCCAATAGGTTGAGTATGCCCTCCCGAATGACATAGCCGGTTGCGTCCGCGCCCCAATCAAACTCTCTTTCATCGGGTTGCATTTGGTTCACAAGAGCTCGAGACACGCTATCAACATCGATCTCATTGGCAAGAATCTCCACGATTTTATTTGACGATTGCCACTTGATGATTTCCGGAGAAGACATTTTGTTGAGCTTTGAAGAGCTCGTCAGTTTCTCCAAAAGAGCCAACGACGCTATCGTGAGTTGCTGGTGACCAGTGCCGCAGTACAGGCAAAGCTTAGGCACCAAACTCAGGTTATTGAGCATACTGTCCTCGAAACAGGCAAGCGTTGAGTTAGAAACATTCGTCCTGTTTCCACCCTGGTTCTTGACCAGGGGCTTGACAATATTGAAGTACGTAGATTGGAGATCCATGACGAGATTCATAATCTCAATGCTACGGATAAGAGTCAAGACGAGAACAGAATCAGATGACGCCTGGGCGACCTCATCGATATTTTGCTGGCTAGCCGCAAACAGAGCCTTGAGAACATCTTCATTGAAAAGCCATTCCATCACACGGGCGAATGAGTGAAGGCGAACGTAGGTGACGAGGGCTTGTGTTGTGTCTGCCGAGTCAGAAGGAGATTGCTGGCTTAGGACAGAGACAAGGTTCTCGTTGAATGACCCCAAGCTTTGTGCAGCAAAATTCAAGCAATGGTAAGTCAGAAATCGAGACTGCTGTTCATTCAAATCTTGGAGTTTACGAGACATCGCATGACCTAGGATAAAGTCCACATAGGGTTCAATGCCAGGCATACGGTATGTTCCACCCAAAGAAGACGGGAAGGGAATCGAAAGGGGGTTGATGAGCAACTCAGAAGCAGGAATTGACATAACCAAAGTGTTTATCAACTTGACGAACTCATTGGTTTGATCGAAGCTTTCGCCAATCTTCTGTAAAACCTGCTGTTGGTGCCACAAAGCCGGGTTGGAAATTTGAGAAGGAGCTTTGCCGATACCCATAGTGCCAGCGGAAGGCCCAGAAGAGCCCGAAGGTTTGGCAGATGCGGTTGTCGAGCCTCCTGTGATTTGGCCTAACAAACCTGGAGTAGTCCCAGTTGACAGCCACTGGTCTAACGAGATCCACATTTCGTTGCCTCGAGTTGAGTCTTTGTCCGTCATCAACGCTGAGAGGGTAGCGAAAATGGTAGCTCGAAGATGAGTTGGAATCATTCCACTGCATAGGTCCAGCAGCGTCTTGACGACGTTGAAGGATTCATTCTGCAACATCCATGTTCGGATGTCATCACTCTGTTTGCACAAATGCCCCATGAGACGTAGATAGCAAGTCAGCATCACTGGGCTCTCTGGCTCAGTCATATCCACTGGCTCCGGTTTGCGCGCATGCATCAAGCCCTGTTGCGCGGCAGTGGTACTGCTCGAAGACTTTTCCGTGATTCGGGTTGCGTAAAGATGCAATTCAGCAAACATTTGAGTCCAGCTCATTGTTGTTGATCGTCTCATTTTCGAGGACATGAATTTTTCTTCCTCCGTAAGAAAACGGTGCGCAGCAGTAGCATTCTCTTCGCCTGTGGAAATTGAGCACAACATTTCGCAGAACGCACTGACTCGTGGGACCGTCTGCCGCTTAGAAGCCCACTGGAGGAACCCAAAAAGATTCGAGTCGGTGTCAACCCAGAACTCTTGGGCCGCTTCTTGTCGGTGCTCGAAAGAGAAAGCGATAATCAGAAGGAGCGACTCAAGGTGTGTTCGTGCCTCAACTAAACCACGATGCAAATTGGATGTCAACCCATCCCTTAGAGCTGTTATTTGCTCCAAGCGTTGGGTGTCCTCCTCTGCTTTCAGCTTGCGGACTGCGTCTGGCATGTTTGCAATACAGGCTTCCACAAAAACCTCAAAATTCTCCATGAGCAGCTCTTTCGTGCTATCAGCGCAAGTCTCAAGCTCTGGTAGTGGAACAACACTATCTCTTAGAAGCAAGGCCACTAGCTCTGTTCGCGCTGGATCAGCCCATTCCTCGCTGTTGACAGCTGAGCAGATGGCAAGAACAAAATCGAGAGCACCATCGTCAAGGGCAGTCATGAACATCTTCGTGCGATCGGCAGCCTCTTGCTCAATGTCAACACCTGGGATGGAAGACGGATTTTCATCGAGATACCATCCACTGTATATTGGCAGCCAAAGGGCAGTGATTGCTGATTGAAAGCTTGGTAGCTTGTAGGTATTACCGTCTTTAGCAGTGGTGATGACCGAATGTAAACTGCGAGCGACTTCTTGGTTTCCAGATCCTTCTGGAGACCCATATTGAACGAAGGCAGTGATTGTGACTGGGATATAATGAATCAACAAAGCATCAAACCGCTCCTGCTTCTTCAACTGATTGATGAGGAACCGGAAATCCTCAGCAGTGGTGAAGGTACCCTTGAAGAGGTGGAATATAATAGCGCCCAAAGACTCGTGCTGCGATAGCAGACTGCGACGCTGAAATTCGATGGCTTCCATCACTTCGTGGTCGACATCATCGCCAATAACTGAAGCCTTTTGAAGTTGATCGGCGATAAGTGAAAGATATTTCGCAATGTCTCCCATGGCCTCCATGCATTTCCTGGTGAACTGCGATGCGGGATGCAATGAGCCTGGTTGAATATCTAATATGAGGGCTCCGGCTCGGCGCATGAGATCCGTTATTTCTTCGTTTTCCTGGTAAGATGAATCTGAATGGTAAAACACGAGTCGCAGGCACTCTAGGAGGTATGAGCGACTCTCATGGTATCGCATGATGGCGGCAATTATTGGGGTTCGATCCAGAACTTCCGCATCTTCTTGGGCGGCCATAAACATCGCAGCTGCTCTGAGTTCATCGATATTCAAAGCATCAGCCAGCTGCAATGCGCTTTGTTGAAACTCCTCGTTGATTGAGTACTCCTCGTTGTCGATCGTGATCTTCCCTGTACCAGCGCGTCAATGCAGTCAGCATACATTTTACATAGCAATTGAGTACAAGACATATGTTGAGATGAGCAAGAAGTACCTGAGAGGATCTTTTGACGACTCGTGTCATTCTTTGCCGGTTTGTCCAGGAGTGCTCGAAAGGCAGAGATATGTGTTTCCAACCCAACCGCTAGTCGCTCAAGATTCGTCGGAGGAATTTGTGTCAGGGCAGACAAATCCTGGAACAGGCCGCGCAGGCCTACCAGGGATGTTTGTAGGTCTGCCATGGCGGCGAGGAGGGTAGTTGGAGTTGGAAGGGAAGCTCTGTAGCTCTTGTTTTGTCTTGAGGCGGAACGCGATCAAAATTCCGGGCGGTCATAAGTTATCACTTTTCTGCCGCTCCACAATCAAGCAATCGTATCACTTGCTTCATCACAACCACGCGCCCCCAATATGCTCACTTAGAGCTAGTGGCTTTCGTTGGTGTCTCAGGCAGAGGCGTGCCCAGTACAACGATCACTCTTCCAGCACTATGGGAGATATTTTCATCAATAAGGCGCTTGGACTTCTGTCATCGGATAAACAGAAGGAACGCGCTGACGGCCTGGCAGGTATATTTCAAAGTTGTCCTTAATGAGTACAGTACTAATAGCGAGCTAGACCTCAAACATGCCTTGCAGCAAAATAGACAGAGTTCGAAATTGTGAGCCTGATCTTCTGGAAAACTAGTGGGATAATACACGGAAGCTAACGCATGCACAACCCACTCAAGACAGGAGCTGAACGATAAAGCCTGCCACAAGATTTTCGAGTCGCTTTTCCGATTTGTCGCGTACGAAAAGCCGAGCTATAGTCGGGTGCAAATCTCAAACACAAAAGCCAAAAACGCTTCTGCCACCCGTTTGTCGACATGCGCATCGGTGCTTCGAACCGCGGTTGACATATTTTGCCGAAATCTAAGAACCAAGACGGTTCGCTCGATAATTGATCACATCACAGATACTCTACCTATCCCTGGCGAGGGGCTCTGGGAACCACTGAGTCTGGATTACACCAAAAGTTTGACATCGCTGCTCCGCCATCCTCCGCATATCGAGCACCTCGGAGACTCAGAATGGGAGAAATTGGTCGACTTTTGTATTACGACAATCAACCTACAAAGAAGTGATGAGAGCCAGTTGAGCCTTAGGAGTGGCCATCGATCAGTCCCCGACGATGAACTGGACAGCGGTGACTGTCGTTCAACGCCAGCCAGAGCAACTCCTGCTCCGGTCATCAGGGAGAAATTTGTGGGCGACAAAAATGCCACCGAGGAAATCCTATTTTCTATTCAACTTCTGACTGCGAGCCCGGGTGCCCCAGTGCAAGCATCGGCTGAAAGCATATTACAGGGACTCACGGAGTTTGTCAGATCACCATCCATCCTAGCAGGGAATGCACACCAGCTTGCCTTTAGTAGCATCAATGCAGTCATTAAAAGAGTGTTTTTCGACCAATCGGACCTGGTTCGGCCATTTCTTATTGGGCTGGTTCCAGTAATACGCCGACTGTGGGCTACTAAGCTCCACAATCTCAAGGATGAACTACTCGTTACTTTGATGCTATGTACAGTTATCCTCACCGACGGTGTTGAAAGACCCACGGAGATGCTTTCTCATGCAGTCGCAGGCTTGGCAGAGACAATGCAAATGGAGTACATAAGACGAGCTGAAAAGGAGCTCTTGAATATTGATGAAGTGATTTTCTATCAAAGAGCTTCTCGAAATTGTCAACCGATCTATGGCCCCCGCTTGGGCTCTCCTCGATCAGAGCACATCTGGACTGTCATCTGGGTCATGTCTACTTTGCTGAAGCTCTCCGATTCTATGACCAGAAAACTGTCGACCACTGCTCCTATGCCTGACACACCAAATAAGAGACAACGCCTCAGCTCCGCCATCGATGATATCATACGAGACGCCATATCGGCGCCCGGCGCCCGTCAAATCTGCGCGCTCCAGCTCATACCTTTCCTCGAACACACATTGGACTCGGTAACCAAGGAGTCTTTGGTTCGGCAGCTGATCCCGAATATTGTCGATGACAGTAATACCATTGCATCGTGGTCAATGATTGCTCTGACAAGGTTTGTAGCTTTACAACCTTCATATATGTTATGTATCAACATCATTTGACTGACCAATGTAGTATTGCGAGTGGCTCAGACGCCAAGTCACCGCCACTCATTGAATGTTGGCCCGGGGCAGTAGAACTTGCTACTCGTGCATTCTCCGCTTCTGCTACGTCTCGGTCTGCGTGCAAGTTGATTGCCGCGACTTTAGGCTGCGATTTGCTCGAACTGTCGATAGTCACCAAATTAGTCAACTCGTTGCTCTCATCTGCCAATCTGAACGGCCCTTCTGCTCTTTCAGATGCTTCGCTAGAACTCTGGGCGTTAGCTGTGAGGGCGAAGCCCCAAATAAGCCCCGGATCTGCTCAGAACTCCACCAAGCAGGTCTGTAGCTGGTTGAGAGAGATATGGACCATTGGTATGTTTTTTGCATCCACATTTTCCTCCTATTATCTTACCCTTCCTAATTTTGCCCCCAGGATCTGTATCTGACAGAGCACAAATCGCTCAGATTGCCATATTCGCCCGCCCCATTGAACTTCTTAACCTTTTTCTTGCGTGCACCAATCGACCAGCTGAGTCCACGCATCCCAAAAACACGATGCCACTGGGCTTGGTTGGAAGGGCCTGGTTTTACTTTCATGAAAATCGGGAAATCCTTGAGTATCTGTTTGATATTGGTGATACCATCAGCAGTTCAGACCCATGGAGGCGACATGACGCATTCTCCACCAGCGTGGCTAACCGACAAGAGTCTGATGACATTGTAGTTCTAGAGCTTCTTCGTTCAAAATCAGAAACCTTTCTTCAGATGTGGAGGACAATGACTGATGAACGTTCTCATCATATAACATCGGATACATTGCAGATTTTCACTTCCTATTGCCTGGCGTGTTCCATCTTTACGGAATACCTTCCCGGCGAACTTTCTTCAAAGTTTCAGGACCTCTCGAAAAATTGTGAGTCTCTATGGAGTGCTATTTGCGAATTTCTGTCCTCCTCGCATAATTCGGATTTTATGCAGGCTTCGCTCGAAGTACTCGCACCAATTATCCCAAGTCCTTCATGTGATTATCAGTCTGCTGTGTGGAGGGGCCTGTCCTCGCTTCTCCTTCCCTACGCAGATGTGCTTGAGATTGCACGACAGGGCCATAAGCGCCATGGCACGATGCTAGGAGACATGATGGATCTAGATGATCATCTAGCTACTAGAAATGTTGCGCTTTCTCATGACGAGGCCATCCTGGCTCTGAACAGAGCGTCGACTCCCCTGCTTTATGATTCGGCCTCTTTTCAGCGTTGCTTGACTATTCAAATTTCTTTTCTTTTACGGGCACAACCCAAAGAAAACTTGACTGAAATGGCAATCCACTCGGCTGTAATTGAGTATCTGACTGGATTGGATGAGACAGATCTTTTGTCTGCGCATAGTATCATGCCAAAAATTTACCAAGAATGCTCCAACATGAGTCACGATGGATTACTCAGTCTTCTTGAAGACTTAGGCGAAAAATGTCTTCAATCATATGAAACGGAACGCTGTGAAGCTTTTCACAGTGTCTGTATTCAGATGATGACAGCTTTTACGGCTTCTTGGGCCCACGCACAGGACCATACTTTGAGCGAGTCGGCTATGGACTTGTATAACTGGTTTTTGGAGGTCCTACTAGCGAGGAAGCGAGCATCAACCCGGGTTTATATTGCCTTGTCTGAGCTACTTCAACGCGCTCAAATCACCAATCCCTCATATGGTAATTCACAGTCACTTCCATCACCACGCACAAGTCTATTCACGATTTTGAATGAGGGTGATGTGCAAGTGAAATTTAGTATCGCCAAGTTCATCCCAGGTCTCTTCGATCAATTTTCTCTCAAAGACCATGACGCGATTTTTGATGATGTCCTCAAGAGCTTGCCTCGAGACCCGGACTGGATCGAGGGAATCGCCCTCCGGCTATTTGTGTTGTCCCGATTAGCTTCTAGATGGCACACATTACTGCGAAGAAGCATTTACCACTTGTTCGAGACTCCTGCCCATGTCCCAATGTCTTTGAGATACGCCCAAAAATGTGTTAAAATTGTCTCCGAATCCCTGGGCCTTCAGAATGAGCGGCAGCTCTTTCAGCTTTTCGCCTCCCAGATACTTTACACTTGGACAGAGACACAATCTGTCATGTCCATGCCGTTCAGCATATTCGGCTATGCTACCCTGAAGCAGATGCTCATTGATGTGAAAGAGGAGATTGTTGGGCAGATGATGATGCGTGGAAAAGACAGCGAAACCGAGGAACTGGCAAACTATATTGGGGAGCCACGTCTTGAGATGCTGAAATCTTCTTTCCATAAGGCGGAAGCATACAGCATTTCCAAGGATATCAGCACGCCACCGGAGCAAGGAAGTCAACCCAAGGGTGTGGAAGTTCGACTTAGGAAGCTACTAGGGACAGAAGGGTTCATGGCTCAGATAGAGACGCAGTTTCCCCAAATCGTGGCCAATTTTTTCAAATCGCTTGACCGCTATGACCAAATTGAACGGGCTTACGCAAAGCGTCCAGCGTTTCGATATGCTCTTGATATCAATTCACAGATCTCCAGCAGATGCAATAACCCCAATCCTCTGCCTGCGAATCAACAACCGTCTTTTCGGGCCCGTTATCTCCTGGATGAGCTTGACTTCCTGTGTAAGCGGACTGGATTTGAGGTAGAGTCGATTTGGACTCCAGCCCTTGCTGCATTTGTTTGCCGTTCTTTATTGGAGACCATACACCCTGCCTTGGGCTCACTCCACACATGCTCTGTTGTCCGGAAGATCAGGATCTTAGTATGCTTGGCCGGCCCAATCATGCTCCAAGATTACCAATTCGAAATGCTTCTGCATGCTTTGCGGCCTCTTTTGAATGACCCCCACTGCTGCGAAGATACCCTCTCCATCTTTTGGTATCTTCTCGAGGCTGGAAAGCCCTACCTTGAAACTACCCCTGCATTTATGGCTGGGATATGTATCTCTACATTTGTGACCCTTCGCAAACTTCTAATCTCCTTGGAGTCTGCCCCCGCGGAGAGTCAATTGGGAGCTGCTCTGGAAAACATTCGAAAGTTTCATCAATGGCTCCGTGGATTTGTTGAGAATTTCAATTTTTCGAACATCAGTGACAGCGCGCAGAACTCATTATCTCGCTTCACCAAACTCGCACAAGAATATTCTATGCCCGACCAGCCATCAAAGCCCAAAGTTGAGAAAGAACTTGTCTTCGAAGTGCTTAATGATCGTGATTCTGCACAACCTCTGCTGAGTATTCCTCTTGCTGAGCTTGTTCTATCGCTGTTATGTCCCGAGTTTGAACAAACAGCCGAGGGAGATGACCACCTATGCACTGTCAGCCCAGGGTCGGGGTCTCACATTGTCTCGCTCTGGAATAGCCTTGACAAGTTTGATGGCGGATCAGCCTATCGTTTGTGGGCAGCACGACTCATTGGGCGTTCATTCGCTTCTACTGGGAAAATTCATGAAAGCCTGTTGCGAGAGCAGGATCATCTACTTTTCAAACCACTGGCGTCGCATGATCGCGATGATATTTTCTCCAACTCTAAAACCAAGATCCTCCGGATCCTCAGCGATAAGCTTCCAATGAATGATCATGTCGAGGCCGGTTTAATTGAGCTTACTTTGCAAATGATTCTCAACAAAATTGCTGACAACCCTGATCTTCAATCTTGCGCTGAAACCATCCCCGAGTCTCTGGTGAAGGCGTTTATTTGGAATCCTTACATTTGTCCCCGGACTGTACTCTCTGTATCAGAACTCGAAAGGTGCAATCAACCTGATATCTGTACTCCAACAGCGTCTGTGAAAGATTGGGCACGCAATATGTCTTTGTATCTTTCAACTGCTGCTATTGGAGACCCAGTGATTGGCTGTCTTCGCAAAATTCTCAATGTCATTCCAGAGCTAGCTGTGCAAACTTTGCCATACATAGTGCACGATGTGCTCTTGGCAGAAGGTGAAAGGAATGGTCCGATCCGACAAGTGATTTCAGATTGCTTCAGATCGATTCTACATGATGTCAGGGAAGAGTCAAAGCCCCATGCCCAGACAGTGATCAACTGCATTCTCTACCTAAGGACTCAACCAGCTCCTCAAGAAGCAAGCATCATTGAACGCGACATGTGGCTGGATATTGACTTTGGAGAAGCATCCTCTGCGGCGCATAGATGTGGGTTGCAGAAGACATCACTCTTATTCCTGGAAATACAGGTATCTCGAGTTGTCGCAGTATCTCGTCGCTCATCGGTTGCTAAGTATGAACCTCCAATTGACCTTCTACATGAGGTTTTCAAGAACATCGATGACCCCGACCTTTTCTACGGCATTCAGCAAAATTCATCCTTAGAGAATGTGATGGAGAGGCTAGAGTACGAAGGGTCTGGCTTCAAAAATCTTCTGTTTCAGAGCGCCCAGTTTGACAGCGAAATTCAAATGTCAGATAGCCCTGATCCATTCAGGGTTCTGAAGGCACTGAATTCAACAAACTTGCAAGGAATTGCAAATACCATGCTCTCCGCACATGGGGCCGCGAAAGAAGCTCCGGCATCCTTTGACAGTATGCTACAAGCGGCAACGAACCTTCAGAAATGGGATGTACCCGTATCATCATTTGATGATTCACCTTCAACGACAGTTTTCCGAGCTTTCCAAGGTCTGAATACGTCGTCTTCGGGGACAGAAGTTGCTGAATGCGTTGATGACTGCCTTCTCAGAAGTGTAAATAGCCTAGTTGACTCAAGGCGCTCAGCTATTCAAATAAGGAAAAAGATGCGGTCACTTGGAATCCTCACAGAAATAAGTGATGTGATTCTTTCGGCGTCACCCCAGGAATTTGCGGACCAATGGGATAAAATCGTGGCCAGAGGCGCTTGGCTGAAAACTGAAAGGTACCATTAACCCCCCTGCGATCAACAAAATTTCACGGCTTTCTAATTGAACTAGCTACCATGAGGTTGGGGAAATACTGAACTGGCACGAAGCACTGTTCTCTTCCATTAAAAAGAATGATGTTCTCAAGTCCAAGTCACAGTTGACCTTAGGAGATTCCCGCCTTCTCGAAGCAAAGGTCTTTCGCCAGTCTTTGGATATCACACGGAACCATGGCGTATCGCAAGCATCATTGAAAGCAGCAATAACTCTTTCGAAACTGGCAGGCCCCTGCGCTCAGCTGGGGATCATGATTGATGGAGTGACAAATTTTGATCTCGCCAATGTCCTATGGGACCAGGGCGAAATGACAGCTTCCATTCGTATGTTACAGCAGCTAAAGGGCCAGGGGGACCTACACAAGCAAGCAATCCCCCCTGAGTCGATCTGAGCTGCTTGTTACGCTAGTAGGTTCTTCCTCAATACCACCCTTGGTATCCAATATCTAACAATCACATCAATAGGGCCATCATGTTGCCGAAGCGCGCCTGGAGAAGCCAGATTCAATCCTGCAGGACTACTTATACCCGGCAGTGAAGGAGCTGAAGAAAGGTACAGAGAGCGAAACCGCAGGGCGGGTATACCATGGCTTCGCAACATTCTGCGACCAACAGCTCTTGAATGCCGACGGGCTAGCGGATTTTCAGCGCGTTGAGCAGCTACGGAATCGCAAAGAGAAAGAATTGCTCGGCTTGGAAGACATGATGAATAATGCCGAAGGACGAGAGAGGGAATCCTTGCGCATGTTCCGTGCTAAAGCCAAGCAATGGTTCGATCTCGACGACCGAGAATATCAACGACTTTCGCGAAGTCGAGAGGCTTTCCTTCAGCAGTGCCTTGAGAACTACCTTCTCACATTGAGGGAATGTGACACCTACAACAATGACGTTCTTCGGTTCTGCGCACTGTGGCTGGATAAATCTGCGAGTCAGATTGCTAACACGGCTGTTTCCAAACACATCAATCAAGTCGCCAGTCATAAATTTGCGCCTCTCATAAATCAGCTTTCCTCCCGCCTTCTCGATACCTCTGATGAATTCCAGTCCCTACTGACGAGCCTGGTCTACAAGATTTGCGTCGAGCATCCCTTCCATGGCATGTACCAAATTTTCGCTAGCAGCAAGTCCAAGGGCGGGAAAGACCCATCCTCTCATTCTCGTTTCCGGGCAGCGAACAAGCTGGTCGATCGCCTGAAAAACGACAAGGACATTGGCCCTATGTGGGTCGCGGTTCATAACATGAACATAACCTACGTTCGGTTCGCTGTTGATAAGCCTGATAGCAAATTCAAGACCGGGGCAAAGATTCCACTCAAGAAACTTCAGACTGGAGAGCGGCTTCTGCAGGATGCAGCGACCTACCAGCTGCCACCTCCAACAATGAAAATCGAGCTCCGAGCGGACAAAGACTATAGCAAAGTACCGACTGTTGCCAGGTTCTCTTCCGAATTTTCGATTGCGTCGGGTCTCAGCGCCCCCAAGATCGTGACCGCCATCGCGACAGATGGGGTTCGCTACAAGCAATTGGTAGGCTTATCGGTCTTTATGTTGGGCATTTCGCTAATGAAATGAATAGTACAAGGGTGGAAACGATGATCTGCGCCAGGACTCGATCATGGAGCAAGTTTTTGAACAAGTCAGCAGTCTTCTCAAGGATCACCAACCCACTCGCCAGCGTAATCTGGGTATACGGACATACAAAGTGTTGCCTTTAACCCTTAATGCAGGCATAATTGAGTTCGTGCCCAATACCATTCCCCTTCATGACTACCTGATGCCGGCACATCAGCGATACTTCCCCAAGGACATGAAACCCAGTGCTTGCCGAAAGCACATCGCCGACGTACAGACCCGATCCTTTGAACAGAGAGTCAGAACTTACCGTCAGGTCTCAGAGCACTTCCATCCGGTTATGCGATATTTCTTCATGGAGAAATTCAACAACCCTGATGACTGGTTCAATAAACGGCTAGCCTACACTAGGAGCACTGCTGCAATCTCTATTCTTGGTCATGTTCTTGGTCTTGGCGACCGACATGGGCACAACATCCTCCTGGATGAGAAGACGGGAGAAGCTGTGCATATCGATTTGGGAGTGGCCTTCGAGCAAGGTCGCGTTCTACCTGTGCCTGAAGTTGTGCCCTTCCGCCTCACTCGAGACCTCGTGGACGGGTTTGGGATCACAAAGACCGAAGGTGTCTTCCGGCGCTGCTGCGAGTTTACATTGGAGGCTCTTCGGCAGGAATCCTACAGCATCATGACTATCCTGGATGTCCTGCGGTATGACCCGTTGTACAGCTGGACTGTCTCTCCCTTGCGGATGAAAAAGATGCAAGATAACCAAGATGCTGGTGATGGACCACCTGTCCTCCCGGGTGCAAATGATAAATCTTCAACGAATGAGCCCAGCGAAGCGGATCGGGCCTTGACCGTCGTTGCAAAGAAGCTAGGCAAAACACTGAGTGTCACTGCCACGGTCAATGAGTTGATTCAGCAGGCAACAGATGAGCGAAATCTCGCCGTGCTCTATTGCGGTATGTATGACTTGCAAGAATATTATAGTTCGAAAGCTAACTTTTGCTAGGTTGGGCAGCTTATGCTTGATGTCTTCTTTTCGGCCACCTTTCCTGTTTAGGCGCTTCTATTCCCTACCTGTAGATAGCCTTCTTATGTATATCCTTTAGACAATAATTCTGTTTTTTCTCTAAGAAACTGGTCAAATAAGAATTTCCAAGCTTAGGCTGTGATAGATTTCCATATTGAGTATAGGAGCAGAGACCCTATATCAATAGTACCATCAGGCTCTATGACTGAATAAGTCTCAAGGTCCTTCCTTGGAGTCCTTCAAGAAGCTAAGCGTTTCATCGATTACTTCGCCCATCCCACTCGCGCGGAAAAATTACGCAAGTCGATAGTGGCAGACTAATAAGACGCGGCTTGGAAGATCGGATTCTGATTCAGGCTGGGTTGCATCGACGAATATAACCTAGCTAGGGAGATATCCTCATTTCGACAGGGAAGTGCTCAAATGTAACGAAGTTGTGTGTCAATATTGAGTATGGAAAGAAGGATGGATAAATTGTATGCGAACCAGGGCTATAATACGAAATATTAGGCAAGGGAACTCTGTATACAAACCTGATTATTCAGTATACTGAACTTTAGTATGATCCAATAGGGGTTGGTGGTGCAGGATATGTAACTAACCTTGGAACCATGAATATACATTAGGTAAGTATTTGATGGGGTGCTTTGTGGGGAGAGGTTGGAGGCGCTTGGCGGAGACGGGCTGAGCGGCGCGGTGGGCGTGGAGATGATTCGTTTTAGGTGTGCTTGCGCTTAGGCATTGTAAGGGGATGCAGGGGAGAAGGATGTAAGAAGAGAGGTCCGATGGATGGCAACACTGCAGTTAAATCTTGGAGACTAAATACGTGCGTTGAAAAGAAATACCCTCCTAGGGTCTGAAGGCAAGAGATATCCACGGTAGAACAGAAAAGCCTAGCATTATGACAAAATATCAGGCGGTATTACCTAGGTAACTAGGTCACGCAACTCCCGCTACATCGCAAGATCATATGGTTTTCCAATCACGCGAGTACACTGCGGGAGATTTTTCCCTATTCAAATGGTTCATGCACTTGAAACGTTCCTGCGCACTATTGTCTTTACAGAGATGGTGAGCGTTGAATTGTTCTTAGAGACGGGCAGTTTCATACACAATCACCGAGTTCATGGTACAGATCTTAGGATAAGGCATTCATGCCTAGCTTCGGGCGATGCCGGGGCAATAATACATTGGTTCCCTTGGCAAAAAGCACCTCGCTTGGATAGGTTATGATCCTTCCTTAGTCCGAGTATACTTTTCAGGTCACCAAGGTCGATTGGGATCCATAGTTTACCGACATAAAACTTGTTGAGAAGCCGATAACTTGCACAGCACAAAGAATTCAAGCTCCCGTTACCTAGTAAGTTACTAGAGAAGGTTCCTTAATTTGCGTCATTAGATATTTCTTAAGAGCTCGGCATATTCCAGAGAATCTGATTTGTGACACATCGGGGGGACAGAGTGACAGCGCAACTCATCGCATAGAAAGGGTACTGGAGAGAATTCCCCCGCCCCCATGGTTCTTGAAAAAATAGTAACCAATCATGTCGAAGTATAGCACGATAATCCTTAGGTTTGACATGGCCTTCCCTAACAAGGGCTCCAGTATGCGAAGATTCTACTGCGGGGAGCTTCAAGCAAAGGTAGCAGCGCCCGGCGAAGCATTGCCAGAGGATCCCGCATGGTCGTCATCATTTCGACGGCTAGGAATGGAGATTTCAATCTCAAAGCCACCAGTTGGAGAATCGCCGTGTATCTCGGGTGTCTTCTTCGATTTCTTTCCGGTGGGAGTGGAGGATTCTTGGGACTTGGATGCGTCTTGAGCCTCGCTATCCTTCGCTTTTTTGGAGGCGGCGGTGCGGAGCTTCTTCATCGCTTTTCGGACCATTGTAATTGCACTCCTTTCTTTCAGACCGAGGGCGTTGCTCAAAGCATCCCCATCAAACTTGGCTCATTAGCTTTCCAGACATACAACATCCCTTGATGTTGGTCAAACGAACCTGGATGGGAGTATCGGATGTGGCGACAGCCATCAGCACATATCGCACTTCAGCATCCGTGAGACCCCAAAATTTTTCTTTGGAGTCAAGACAGACGGTTTTCTTTGGCGGCATCTTTATCAGAAGAGGGTTGTGCTTGGAGTAGGTTCAGTTTCGGTTGAGTCCGTTGGGTTGGTGTCTTGCGTAGCGCAAGGGAAAGGTAGGGAAGGATGATGGAAGATCTCAGAGTTCAGGTAAGAGAAGTAGCCTAGGCAGTAAGCACTTTCTTCGCATGTGCAAATAAGCAGCCAGGTCGTACTAATTCCCTTGCTTTACGGATGTCCGTATCCAGAGGGGTACGCGCCCATGTAGCTTTAGGTACTAATCATATCTACGTGTTTCGTCGAGTAAACTATTTTTGTAGCAGTAGAAGCATACTAGCAGCACCTCTCGTTCTGAACAAAAAGATTTCTTAGTATCACTCGCACGAATTTCAAATAGATAAGGTCTGTACTGTTTGTCCTATGATTGATTCAGAAATACTTGCTATATGGACCTGACAACTCAGGTCCCTTTCAGCATAGGCAAATAGCACATAGTCAACGGACTTCGCAGCGTAGGATCATTATATATAATGGATAGCAAAAGCAGATTTGCTTCGCGAAATGTAGCGAACGTTCTATAACTAGCGCGTGCAAAGAAATGTGGTTGTTCGGTAGTCCCAGCCCTCTGACAGTCCGTCCTGTTTTACCGCTCAGTGTCACTCGGTGGTGCTAGACGCTCCTTGCGATCTCCTTGCGAAAATATCTGCCCTTCATACACAATATATATCCATTTCTGTGGGGGGCTAATCAAATAGTGCACTATTATTATCCAGTATCCAAGATACTCTTCCCTGGTGGGCTGGAACAAAGCGACAACTCGACGGAAAGCCGGAGGTCAAAACTTTGAAACTGTTCGATTTTACTAGTATGAAATATCTGAGTGCTCTCATATTACCTCTTCTTTGTCGATCAAACTGAATATAATAAATTGGTAGGATATAGACGAGCTACTACTAGATAAGGCGCGGTGCAGGGGTCTATCATGGCCAATCAATATCTACCGCTTATATCAACGGCCATCGACTCATGAACTGAAGCCCAACCCCCGCTTCTTTGCCCAATGCTCAAGTGCAATTGGGAGTAGCCCACGCGCTATATTCTCAGGCCTTGAAAGTCTTGCACAAAAGCTACTCCATGGCAATCTGCTTCCTCACGTCTGCCTCTCAACGGATCATCTGAAGCGAAAATCTGAAGCAAAATGTCGACCGAGATTCGCCGTATGTCACCAAGTGCGCGAGCCAAGCTGAAAGAACGTGAAAGCCTCCAGACCACACCCTACCGAGATGCGGGAGGGTCCATGGCCATCGGATACGGCATTAATCAAAAGTGGCATCCTGAGGAATATGATGCCATCGTCGCAAATCCTACCATTGAACAATGCAACAAGAGCTTTGATAGGGTCCTTGCCAAATTTGAAAGAGACGTTCAGAAGAGAGCTCCCAATTACCATGAGTGTAATCAGAATATGGCCGATGCCATCCTTATGTAAGTGCCTCAGAAAGCCCCTCTCTGGTTCTTGATTTTTCCTGTCTAAAGTCCTACGATTGAGCAATACTCTAACTGTTATTGTATAGGCGTGCTTATAATGCAGGTGCCGATGGCGCTCTAAAAGATCTCAAGGGACCAATGCAGGCTAGGGATTGGAACGAGGTCGCGAGACGAATGGGTAGTACTTGCACCAAACACAAGGATGGGGGTAGCCTAGCCAAAATTAGGAAAGAAGATCAGGAATTATTTTCATCGTCAATGAACCTCGGACCCGAAGGCCACGAACCACATCACGATACGACCGACGTCAACGAAGCAGACCAATCAGACGGTGACAAATTTGAACCCCACGGGATGCCATTCGCTCGAATCGATCTAGGCCGCGGCTGCCATTTCGGTGCGGGCCTTGATGATTCTGGCAACGCGCGAGTCCAGATTGGCTTCAACTGCATCACAATGTGATGCGCATTACGGAAGCATCGATATTAGCGCTCAAATTACTGCGAGATGATTGATCGAGGCGATGGATGGAAGATCTGCCCCAAAATCTGGCTGTGGGTGCCAAGGAAAGGAATTGGTCATTGTGGATGATGCAGATTTCGCCGGTGACTATATACAGAAGGGCCAGATTGACATATGCATGCGAGTTCTATCATTTACATGAGGCAGAGTGATGTCTTTGTATTGGCAGCCTCTATATATAAGCATGGACATGCGTGCGCGGAGTGGAGGATTTCACTGCACAGGAAAGCTTACATGAAGAGAATGAAGATAGCCCCAGGGTCCAGCTGTTTCAGCGCATGATTGCAGTGGCTATACACTGGGGGAGATAAGGAACCACCGCGTTCCGTAACGATACTGCCAGAGGAATATTGAGCAGGTCCTGCAAACATGCTCGGCTACTTTTCAAACGTCGAGGTCTTACGGTCGACTTGCCGATGTCGTCGGTGGTATGCCAAACGAAAGGCTTCGATTGATACTATACATCCCAGGGAAATTACCTAGTAATAAGTATTTCAACCCAGTGACCGTGTCGTGATGGGTGTCGGAATTTTTGGAAGTTGGCGGGTCCAGTGGTGTCAATTTGAATGACACTAAAACAGGCAAGGTGAAGGAAGGTACCGGTAGCTCGGAGGTAGCACAATATATAGTTAGACAGGCCCAAGGGACCTCCCCCCTTTCTCCCCTTGTCGCTTTACTAGCATGCAAGCGAGGTATCTCAACAGAATGTGGAATTAAATCACTTCAGGTTCGTATATTGATCTGTCTCTAGCATTCAATTAAAGATCTTTCTGCAGCCTCCTATCCGACCGTACGATGTCGGTACAATGTCGGTTAGACAGTGAACAGTATTAGAGCGAGAGTAATATATCATAAAACCCAGTCGGCCTCCATCGAAAGCTCGCGTAGCTCAGTTGGTAGAGCGCAGCACTAGTATGACTCCTCTTCTGAGGTCTTGCCATGCTGAGGTCTTCAGTTCAAATCTGGACGTGAGCAGTTTATTTTTGGACTTTTTTTCCCTTCCCTCGCAAAAAGGGGTCGAAATGTCCCCATGAGAAGAAAGTAAATATTAGAATCAGGGCACTCCTCTCTTATTTTCTTTAGCTCGATGCCTGGTATGCACAGTATATACGTCTCTGTTGCATTTCTAGCGTTTGCTCCCCACCCGCTCTTTCAATTAACTGGAACCCGTTCACGGTGGGTTGTCCAGATCAAAGCCACGTGACTATAACATTCACACTTCGTCACATTCACTTGTTGCCACACCGCCCTATATTTCCCCCCCCAATTCTCCTCTCTACCGCCCTTTACTATCTTATCGCCTCTCGTTCTGCCCAATTTTACCTTTCTATCACTCGCACTCTCACTACAACGCTCCTGCCAAGGCACCTGGAAGCCACATTTCGAAGTTACAAAACGTCAAGCTCTCCACATTAGCTATTGAACCACACAACTGAATCATGAGTCGCCGCCGCCCTTCCGTGGTCGATCTGACCACCCCTACCACGCGGCCACGCTCGTCAGTCGGATCATTGGGTCTTCAACGCCCCTCGGCGTCTCCCATCACGCGCCGCACAACACGACGTATGTCGGCGCAGATGGAGCAGATGGAGCAGATGGAGCAATTAGAGCAGCTGGAGCAGCTAGAAGAGATGGAGCAGCCGGTGCCAAAGCGCCGACGCATTGATCTTGATCCCCAATCCTCGACCTCATCCAACTCCCAAGAAGGGGACCCGCCCATCGATTTGACCGACGCCGAGGAAACTCGTGCGAAGCAAACACAGGAGGCCATCCAAGCCCAGCAGCCGGGGGAGCCGGACAAGGTCTTATCCGCACTCGGTGCATACAAATGTCCAATTTGCATGGATACGCCGGAAGATGCGACCACTACTGCATGTGGTATGTCAAACCGACACAATTCTGGGATAGATATTGGAAACTAACAAATTGTTCTGTATAGGCCATCTTTTTTGTCACCGATGCATCATAGAATGCTTGAAGCGTGCGGATCAACGGACTGACGACCATTCGAAGCAAATCAAGGCTACCTGCCCGGTCTGTCGCAAACTGCTCACTCGCAACGAAACGAGTGGCCCCAGAAGAAGTTTGGTCCCACTGAAGATCAAGCTGATGACCAAGAAGCGGTCTGCGGTCGTAGTGGCCTGATTCCCTACGCTGGAACCCACTCTTTTTGCTTCTTAATCACGGCGTATGATACCAATGGCGGGGCCAGGCGTTCTTTTTCTCATTGAATATTCCCTCAAAGCATTATGCGGCAATGCCGATGGCACGGAAGCTCGGGTTGTGGTCAAGAATCAAGCCCCAGAGGCTTGTCGTGTGCTTTGTAACTATTCACATGACGCAGAATCGAATTTCCAAGAGACAAGTAACAATGTCCAGCCCCTGTATGAGCTACTGCTATTCCAGCTCTGCATTCTACTTACTCTAGAAGCTGAAGCCCACATGGATAACTGAGGGAAAGAAACGGGTCCCATCACAGCGGAGCACGTGATTCCGACGCTGCGCAGGAAACTAGCCCCGAGAGAGCTAGGATAGGGCTACGAGCATGGAGCCAGCCTATTTGAGGCACAGCTGACGGACTAGCGAAACACGGATTCCGACCACTGATAAGGATCGTCCTGTATCACTCGGGCCCTACTACTGTCCGAGCTACACGGGTTTCAGATGAACAATAACGCGTCTCTGAATACGAAATATTCGAGGCCACCTGTCGCGAATTCTCTGTGATTTGACCTAGCAATTTGAAAATGTGAGATACATGTTCAGCGAACAGGTCACCTCTATTCGATACAGCGAGGACGACGGTGGCCCAGCCACGGTTGAGTCTTCCGGTAGCCTTTCAACAGCCCAGTACGTTTTGGTTGTTGCTTGTGACGGGCTGACTTCGCGGACTCGGGCAATTGGGCTGGGTGGCAACGTTCGAGAGCACATGCATCCGTTGTATAGCTGGGCGGCTTTCTTCACTATCAAGAAAGATTTGATCGATGAAAGCAAGCTGGTAATATTCTACAGTGCCCCGGGAGGCCACCTCATTGGAACTGGGCTTAATCCATCTGGTGGTAACATTATTGGATTCATGGCTCTTCATCGACACCCCGATGAGCAGTCTATACACTCATTCCGGGAGGCCTCGAAACAAGGAATCGATGCGACTAAGAAATTTGTCTATGAGCATTACAAGGGCAGCGGCTGGGGAACAGACGAGATCCTTGCGGAGATGATGGCCACGGGCGAGTTCTATTCAACTGAATTCGCCCAAGTCAAGCCACCCACTTTGTAAAAGGGCCGCGTGGTTCTAGTTGGAAATGCAGGGTATGCATCAGGACCGAGCAGTGCCGGAACAACGCTTGCCATGGTTGGCGCATACTATCTCGCTGGCGAGATCAGCATAAATCCCGGTGACCTACAAGCAGGTCTTGAAGGCTATACGCCGCGAATAAAGCCTCTTGTTGACGAACTCCAAGGAAATCTGCCTTTCATTCCGGGTATTTTCGCGCCACAGTCCGCTTGGGCGCTTTGGCTGTGCAACCAAATATTTCGACTCATCGCCTGGTCAAATATACTTGAGATTACACAAAGGCTCCTCGGTGGTGTTTTCCAGAATAATGAAAAATACTCTCTGGCGGAGTATGAATGGGCAGCATGACACTAGTTTCGAGACCTCTTTTGACGACCGCCATTTGCCATAGATTCTCTTGTGTTTAGGAAAGACCGTTTCCACTCAGATTCAATAATATAACATGGGATATCGACTTCTAGTCGAGTCGAAATTCTGCATATAGTTCAGGCATTGACCTTTCCGTATTCGGCATGATAACTACTTACTAATCAGCGCTATAGTTGCCTGATTTGGGTTAGCGCATATCTGGAGTAATCCGGACGTGACGCAGATATCGCGATAAACGCACGCCCAGTGAACACACATCGTCGATTAACCACCCTTCCGTACCTTACCTGACGGAGCCAAACGCAGGCGGCCGTCGCATAGCTACCATGACATAGGCCGGCAAGGAAATTTCCATCTCAGACAATGTTATCGTGGAACTTAGCTTGCGCTCCTTATTCCAGGGGCGTGGCAAGGTCCGCACGTCTGCAATTACGGCCATCGCCTCGAGTCCATGCGCGACTCTGGCGGTTTCATGCAATCGAGAGCATCCGAAGCTACTCAACCCCGTTCCACGATGAATCCGCCTCAAAGCGATCGCTTTCGAGTGAGCCGCCCGTCACTGCCTTCCCTGAAGGTGCTTCAAACAATGTCACTAACCAAACCACAGTCCCCGCCTCCCCTAGGTTCAACGAAATCGGCGTTCAGCAACTGAGCGACTATGTCCACCCCCAAGTCTTCCCAAGCAAAGGCCGAACGCCAAACCCTGAGCTGATCGCCCTGTCCCGAGATCACCTTGCGAGACATGACCTGCTAGGCAAATCACAAACCGGAGCGGAACCTATTGCGTTTGATCTCCCAGCGATCCAAGGCAAGACGCTTGACGAGCATTTCCACAAGCTAGGCATGGATGCATCCGAGCCATATCTATCCAACGCTAAGTATTACGCAAGTGTGAGCTGTCCATCGAAACCGCGAAAATGGGTGAAACGAAGTGGGTGGACCAAATATAATGCAGATGGGACTTCCGAGCCAGTGGATGCGCCCAACGAAGAAATGATCACATTCGATACGGAGGTTATGTACAAAGATCATCCATTTGCGGTGATGGCATGCGCGGTCAGTCCGACAGCTTGGTATGCATGGTTATCCCCATGGCTTTTGGGGAATCGCAAGATCACATCCATCTCATTCCACTTGGCGATCCGTCCCAGCCACGTATTGTTGTTGGCCATAATATTGGATACGACCGAGCGCGCGTTTTGGAGGAATATGACTTGCGCCAAACGAACAACTTCTTCCTGGATACCATGTCACTTCATGTCGCTGTAAATGGAATGTGTTCTCAGCAGAGACCAACATGGATGCGCCATAAGAAGAACAAGGATTTAAGAGACAAGATCGCGAATGATCATAATTCGGTGGAATTGGCTTCCCTGGTTGAGAACAATATGCTGAGAGAAGAAGAGGAAGAGCTTTGGGTGGGCCGGAGCTCAGTGAACTCCCTACGCGATGTGGCCAAATTCCACTGCGACGTGACTATTGATAAGGCGCAGCGAGATTTCTTCGGGGAGTTGGATAGAGAGACTCTATTGACAAAACTCGAGGAGCTCCTGGATTACTGTGCTGCTGATGTTTCCATCACCCATCGTGTCTACCGAAAGGTCTTCCCTAACTTCTTAGAAACATGCCCACACCCGGTGAGCTTTGGTGCGCTACGGCACCTGTCGTCTGTGATCCTTCCTGTGAACCAGACATGGCAGCAGTATCTGGAAGATGCGGAGCGAACGTACCATAAACGACTTGATGATGTGCAACGGAAACTGATTGAACTGTGTGATGAAGCTTTGAAAATTAAAGAGCAGCCCGAGGTCTATACGGCTGATCCATGGCTGCAGCAGCTGGACTGGTCTGGCCAAGAGATTAAAATGGTCAAAGGGAAGAAGAAGGGCGATCCGCCACGCCCTGCTGCTCGGCAGAAGAAACCCGGGATGCCTAAATGGTACAAAGATCTGTTCCCATCCAGCAATGCCGACATCAACCTTACTGTGCGAACTCGGATTGCGCCGATCCTGCTCAAATTATCATGGGATGGTTATCCGCTGATTTGGTCTGACAAACACGGGTGGACTTTCCGAGTTCCTCATGATCAACTCAAGAAGTACGAAAATCAACCTGTGATCCGCTGTGACATGGCCGAGGAGAAAATCATTGAGCTCCGCGATGACCGGAAAAATGCATATTTCAAGATTCCTCACAAGGACGGGCCACAGGCCCGGTGCACAAACCCTCTGGCCAAGGGCTACATGCAATACTTTGAACGTGGAATATTGTCGTCTCAATACGCACTTGCCAAGGAGGCTCTGGATATGAATGCGTCCTGCTCTTACTGGATCAGTGCGCGAGATCGTATCATGGGTCAAATGGTGGTCTACCAGGATCAAATCCAGGAGCAAGCGGCTGCGACAGGAGACGACGACCATCGACTAGGTTTTATTCTACCTCAAGTGATTCCCATGGGGACAATCACCCGCCGAGCTGTGGAGAATACCTGGCTGACAGCAAGCAATGCGAAGGCCAATCGAGTTGGCTCGGAACTCAAAGCTATGATCAAAGCGCCACCTGGATATGCATTTGTTGGGGCGGATGTTGATTCGCAAGAGCTTTGGATTGCAAGTCTCGTTGGTGACGCATCTTTCCAGATCCATGGTGGCAATGCAATTGGTTTCATGACTTTGGAAGGCTCCAAATCTCAGGGAACTGATTTGCATTCTCGCAGCGCAAGCATCCTCGGAATTTCTCGCAATGACGCCAAGGTCTTCAACTATGGTCGTATATATGGAGCCGGCGTCAAGTTTGCTGCTACTCTTCTTCGCCAATTCAACCCCTTGCTGACAGAGAAAGAGACCCAGCAGACGGCAGCAAATCTGTACAAGGAGACTAAGGGCGTCAGAACCAGCCGTCGTCTTCTAAGCGACAATCCTTTCTGGCGCGGTGGTACTGAATCTTTCGTCTTCAATAAATTAGAAGAATTCGCCGATCAGGAAAGACCCCGTACGCCAGCTCTCGGCGCCGGGATCACTGAAGCGCTCATGCGTCGCTTCATCAACAAAGGCAGCTTCATGACGTCTCGGATCAACTGGGCTATCCAGTCATCCGGTGTCGACTACCTTCACCTGCTGATTGTTGCTATGGACTATCTGATCCGACGATTCAATATCCAAGCTCGCTTAGCGATTACTGTGCATGATGAAATCCGATATTTGTCAAAAGAAGAAGATAAGTACCGTACTGCTTTGGCATTACAAGTTGCCAACGTCTGGACGCGTGCCATCTTTTCCCAGCAAGTGGGCATTGATGACCTGCCACAGTCGTGTGCCTACTTTTCAGCCGTTGATGTCGACCACGTTCTCCGCAAGGAAGTTGACATGGACTGCATCACTCCCTCCCACCCCCACGGCATTGCACCTGGAGAAACTTTGGACATTTCTCAGTTGCTAGACAAAGGTCAAAAGGCGTTCCTTGATCCGTCTATAGTCCCCGTATCCCCACCACGCCCCGAGAAATACCCCTATACCCCACGGGAGTCTGTCATGTCTGCTCTCCAGGGATCTAACGATCTTGCTTTCATCAGAGCTCAAATCACCAAAGACGATAAGGAGCTTCGCGAGATCATCAAAGAGCAAACCCAGGCCGCTGCTACAACCAAAAAACCCTCAACTCGCTCGACCACCACGAAGTCTCGAGGCAAGTCGACTGGTTGGGCCTCAGCAGAGCCCCAGCGGGCCGTTCTCATGGACGTGGAGTCCGGCCTCTATCCTGATTTCCGAACACCACCACGAACTCCCTCTCCCAGCTCCCAAACCCTCTACCGTCCTACCTGGAAATCTCGACCGTCGGCTCGGGCATAGACCTGTGGCAGTTCTTCTTTCCTTTCTCCAGTTTACTTTCCCCTTCCAGTCTATCTCCTTCTCTTTTCTGTATCTAGTTCACCGATTACTTTTTTTTATTGCTGTGGCGACAGCACGGTTTATGTGTGGTGTTGGCGGAAGAGCATTGGGTTGGCGCCTATACCTGGGGAGTGTGATGTAATAATCATGTACAAGATTAGCGATATAATCCTATCTGATCTCGATATAAAACCATCTGCAACGCCTTGCTCGTTGCTAAACTACCAATGGACTCCAAATAATTGTACGCGGAACCGTGCCAATCGATGCCTGTGGAGGAGAAAACCGGGGCAAGCCAGGGAAAGTTGCCTCGCAGTGACGCGGGGATGATCTCCTGCCTTCCCAATGTTTAACGTAGATCTCCCCATTTTTGTTTCCACGACCATTATCGCCTATTATTTACTTTTTTGGAATTCGCACGGCATATCCTCGTGTTGGCCAGCGGCGTTTCGCGATACCTTCAATTGGTCTGACGGCGAGGAGGGAAAATGTCCATTAGTACGGTGACTTCATGGTACGAAAACGACCCAACGGCTCTGGCCTTTCATACGGAGCAGTGGAAAGTCATTGGCATCGAACCACATGAACAAGAGCTGACTTGTGTTCGATAGCCATGCATGTCGAAGTATGGAGAAGCCCACCCCGCATGATCCCAGAAGCTGACATTTAAGTATTCAGGGCGTCACATAATATGGGAGTCTACTTTATGTGCGGCAGTCCTGATAATCAGTTCTGCTACTTGGTATGCATTGATTAACACCGGCAATTAGGCGACGGAGTAAAGCCAGCCTGTTCACGGTGCGCCCGATTGTAGAAAAATGTGGATGGCCAAGCCTCGTTATCCGCCACGGCCTCGGAGGTCGCCATGGACTGAAGTACGACTCCAAACAGCCCTGGATCACATTCAGCAAAACAAGTATGTCTCTATCTTCTCTACGAGGCCTGTCTGCTTATCCGCATAGAACTACAGTTCGTTGATGAAACATGCGATCTCGCCAATTCCTATGGTCATTATTCACCTTCTACTACTTCGCATAATGGTCGAGATGTTCAAGGCTCCAGATCTGTGTCCCCATCGTCGTATTCATTTTGCAGTACCTCGCCATCGGCAACCGGAATAAAGCCGCCGCAACACTTGCCAATATCATCGCCATTCTATTTTCGGACCGAATCGGGAGAGGGCTCTAGGATGTTAAGCTATAGGCAGCATAATGACGCTCTCTTACCACATTCGGTTCCATCAAGCAGCCAGTTGGGATCTCAGAGACTCAGCGTGGAAACATACCACGAGCTTTGGGACTTCAATCAGGAGTGGCTTGCCAGGAAGCCCCCCCAGCTTTGTGCCGTTGTTTTATGGAGTACCGGATTCCTCGAAAAGCGAGGCTCTCCCCCGCATATGGTACCTAGATGATTGTCATGGTATGATAGCAGGCCGAAATCCATTGAGCCATGCACACTGATGATTTGCGCAGTGATAGCAATGCAGCATTGGCACTTGACGCAAATGCTGCTGACAGCCTTCAATCCCAAACTCCCGCAAATGGGGCTGAATCAGCGAAGGGCGGCGGCCGATGCAGAGGTGGAGTTGTCCCCCCTCTCAAACCAGTAAGATCTAGCGCGATCGCTGACGAAAAACCAGGCCGAAATTAAACAAAGTTTATTCTCCCTGTGCGGGATAGGACTATCCAATAAAACCGCTCCAGACCCCATCGCAGCATGCATGGGGATTTCGATGTGTACGTTCATCCAGATTGCTGCTCGGAGTTGGGTACTCAATGCTAAACAGGAGCAGGGGACGACCGAATCACACGTAGACGTGAGCAAGAAGCGTTACTAGATGTGCTTATCAGGACGGAAGAGCGTCAGGGGCTACCCACAAGGCACCGATTCAGCTGCGAGAGGCGTGGAATTGGAGGGAGTTGCGCGAATAATACCCATCATGTTAGGTATCGCCAGTTTCGTACTTTTGTTACCAGTAATTTGCCGTTTAAATCTGATATGATACGTAGATAAAGAACAAGGCCCCGGGAGCAGGACTGAATTGGCACGGGATGCGGGTCTGGCTGGCTGACCTTGCGACGCGAGACCTCGTCATCTTCCCAGTTTCGCCAGTCGCGACAAATCTCGAGGTTAGTTTCATCTTATCATCCTCGAGTATCGGCGCTTCAACAACGAAGAACGCAGCGGGCATTGGTGCCCTTGGACGGTCTCACGATGACATCCACCATAGGCCTTAGCGCGTCGACCGTCTACCAGAACGGTAAATTTCTGATTCGGTCCATGCGGGCCTCCGACATCCCAGAAGTCGCTTCCATCGCCTCCACCGAGTATTTCGACTCCGACCTGAATACCTCTGCCCCCTCCGCCATGAATACCCCGACGACGTCACCCGCCGCTTCGCGCAGATGATCCAATCGCGGCTGCTGGACCCCTGCAGCATCAGCTTTGTCGCCGTGGCTCCCAACTCGGAGACCCCCGACAAGCCCCTCGGCTACGCGCAATTCACCCGGGTAGGAAACGACGAGGTGGTGCAGCGCATGCTGGCCAACAGGGATACGTTCTGGTTGAAGCTCAGCCGGTGGTGGTTTTCGTGGCAGAGGGCGATCGCGAACGACCTCTGGCCAGACCGATCCATCGACAGCGAAGCCCTCGACAGGTACACCAAGTCGAACGAGAAAGACAACTACAAATACTGGGAGTCCCCTGAAATGAAGAAGAAATACGAGAACCGGTGGATTGCACAGAGCGTGGCCGTGGCCTCCGCGTACCAGCGCAAAGGCATTGGCCGGAAACTTATGGCAGAGGTGCTTATCAGGGCCCAGGAAGAGCAAGTTGTGGTCGGATTAGACGCAAACGAAGAGGGCGAGAAGCTCTTCCAGTCTCTTGGGTTTGTATTGCGCGGGCGCTTCTCCATGAAGATCGGCCCACGGGCTGGAGGGATTATGAAGTGGACACCTGCAAAGACCCCAAGGCAGGTGTGAAATGGGCTTTTTTTCCCCTTGGTTATTTTCGGGTGGCGTTGTTTGATTGATTTTTCCCCTCCGTCTCTCACTTTGACTCTCTTTTACAAATTTCCTACTGTCTTGATGCTCAGGCCTACTATGATACCTTGTATATAATATTTGCTCGCTTCTGTGATGCAATGATGGACATTCCCCAACAAATCTATTTCCTTCCTCCTTTGTCACCATTTCTGAGTCAAAATTGACCATCTTCTTGAAGAGTCTCGGGTCTTGACCTTTTGTTTGAACAGTGTCTTCGCTTCTCCAAAGGTGCGATTCCTCGTCTCTGAAAGACGGAAAGAGCTGTCGAGGGCAGACCAGACTGTTCTAGGAAATACACAATGTAGGAAACGAGTGGCGCACATAGCGCTTGAATGAGGTAATTCAGGACGGCATTTTCTGTGCAGCGAATATTGGTGTCTCTGAAAACAACCCAGTCGCTGTTAGAAGGACGAGTCTTCTTTCTCCGTGTTGATGATATGCTCCATCAAGGCCATTGTATTACTAAGAACTTCTGCGTTTTCCCATCCGCTCTTTGCGACTCAGCTACCAGGGCGACTTGGGTGCGAAGAAGGTGCCTATGGCCAGAGGCAAGATAAGGCCCATTGCGCTATGCCCACTCTCCACTGGAGGACAGGAATCCACGAAGGACGCCGTTCTCAAGCAAAGTACCTTGCGCTCCAGAACAGTTAACCAGCATAGCTAGATACGATCAGAACACGTCTGGACATGCTTCGCTGCGTATGTTGCCGATAAACATAGGAAAACGCCCCGCAGGATACCAAGCGAGATACATGTAAATACTGACGGCGAAAATTGGGGGAAGATGAAACAGTCATTAGAGACAGACATGAAATAAGGATCCAGTGACAACCAACCCAGTCAGCGGCCAACATCGTTTCTGATCGAGGATTGCAGAGTGGTGGTAATCTCGGACGGGCCATCGTTGGATAGGTCTCCCTAGCGTTTCCGAAAAGATGAAGGAGGCGAAGAAACCGCTAACAAGGGCATGATCTAAACCCTCCATTTCAAGAGCTAGCGAGAACCACATTGACCAAAAGGCAGCCTTGGCGTATTTTTTATATCGTCTCGTAGACCCACCTCATGTCGGTGTGCTCGTCGGGCTTCTTTCAGAAAGCCGAGACCAGCGATGTCAATTTCCTCGTCTTGGCCGCACACCACTCCGGTAGTCGTTCGGTCTGCGATATCGTCCTGGCGCCCTGCCATTTCGACAACGAAGGCACAGCATTGAGCTTATATAGCGGTTGGCGACTTGCGAGAGACGTCGACATCTCTAAACAAAGCCGAGGCGCAACCCCATCAATGGTGACGACGAGTTCATAGTTCCGCATGTGGGGGCATCCGGGGAACCCCAGATGGGCCCACTGGGGCCAACGTTGGTGGGACCAGCGCTTGGCAGAAGCAGGCTTGGATCCGCTCCGGTGTGCAATAGCCCGAGACCTCCTTTACTTCTCCGGGCTAGAAGGAGGGCACTTAAAGACCGAGACTACTAACCCTCGTGCAAGCGATGGTCGAATATAGCGCGGACTTGAGCTCGCGGTAGGCTTCACCCTTTGGGCTCACTTCTAGCGGTTACCTCAGTCGCCTTGTTCTGGGACGGACCCAGCTTGGTAGCTTACCGGTAGCTCCAAAAGCTTGTTGTACTGGCTTTTTGATTGTCGACATTTCCAATGCGGAAGACGAGGCCGACTAGATGCTATCGTCGTGCCAATTAAACAACCTGCGATGGCTCTCTGGGAATGACTCGCATGCATTTCAAACGGGAGTTTGTTTGAAGTGAAGGGGGAGCTAAGTCTAGGAACCTTTGATCAATCATCTTATTCGAAGAACAGATACTAGAATGGAGAAATGCGCAGCCCAATGGAGGGAAGCGGCAATTCGCCGATCAGTAAGGTTCGTCCAGATCATCAACACCTAAAAGGTCTTTAATTTTATGTTTGCTAGTGTACAAAGATCAGGCCCGGTGGATCCTCTAGTATCTGGCCTCAAGAACTTCCTTGGGCAAGTCATCCTCCGATGGACCCTCGCTGTATGCGGGTGTCTGGGGCTTGGCGTGGCGAAGGGAGTGATTGGATTCAGGAAGGATGTTTCTCTGGTCGATAGCCTCATCCTCATCTCGAGCTAAATGGAAGTGCGTGTGAGTATCCAGACATTCCGTTCGATATCTAGGGAACGAACCTAGCTGCTGGTCAGAGTCGGCACCTTCCTTCACGGGATCAGTATGGTCCACGTCCTCATCGTCGACGACCGTGGGCACGAGTTGGTCCTGGTTTGCAGGCATCAGGATAAATGACAGGGTGTATGCACCGGTAGTTACAAGTAGGCTAGCTTGAAGAATAGATATTGCTCGGAAATTGGTGGCGAAATCCTGGCCAGCCCTGGGGCAATTCAAGCTATTTATGCTAGGAGGCTCTTGATCAAAGAGCAATCCGTCACAGCTACGAAGTATCGAAAAGTGGCCATAAATTCGGGAATGTTTCCGTACTTGGAAGGTGAATAAGGATGACCGAAGACTGATCTTAACATGACGAGCGGTCAATCTGCAAGCACCAATTTCCTATCCTGGAGAGAGATTTGTACTTCCGGCGATTGGTCAAATATCTGCTGGTAAAGAACTTGAATATTCTAAGGTTCTTTGACTAGATGTCCAGATCCTCTAAGCAAATGAGGCAAGCTAAGATTGGGTTTCTCCCTTGCGATCTATATGCGGCTCACCGTGGCAAACTTCTAACTATAATCGACCTGACAAAATCAAGAATTGAGATCGTAGATGACATTGTAAAAAGGCACAAAAAATGATAGGAGACGTGGTCTTTGCGGGGCTATATATGGGAGTCTCTTGGGTTAATAGCATTCAACGGCGATGAGTGCAGTCGGGGGCTATGGAGGAGCTGACTCAAGGGCTTTGAAGGAAATGAGCATACTAGTAGTGCGTTTTATGAATAATTTCCTTACTACTCGAACATCTGCTGATTCGGATGTGGCATTAGCCCAAATATGCTGTCGAGGGCACTGGTGGACATGCGGCCTTTTACAAAGCTCTCGTTCGAGGCTTCGAAGGAAAAGCGCTTCTGGTGGCACTACCTGATACCAGTCCAGCCCGTATGGATTTTACGAATACCCACCTGCAAGAGCCCGGAGATTGAAAGCTACGAATTACACAGATTCCGTCTGAATGGTTGCAGAAACAGACCCGACCGTAGTAATAGTCGCAACTATTGACAGCGTTCATCACCATCATATAGTCAGAGCAATGAAGCTGGCACTTCGTGCTGTTAGTGAGAAGCCCATGACCGTGGATGAGGTGAACGCCGATAGATTCTCGGCTGTGTGAGGGAAACCAAAAGAAAACTGTGTGAGGCCTGCCACGATCGATACGTACCGCATAAAAGTAGGGCAAGAGAGCTGCTGACCAAAGGTGATATTGGAAAGCCTCCTTGGATACGTTTTCAATGGGTGCTCAACTCGAAGCACGGTGGGTACAGTTTCCAATGATGGCATGGTCTTCGCATAGGGCGACTTGAAATTTCTATAACAAAGGGAACGCCGAGGCTCATGGAGTGATAATGTTCGCCCCACCCTACGAAGGTTCGGAAGGGACACAGACCCTGGGTTGCTCGAGGATCAGGTTCAATTTTGTATGTCCTCATGCATCATATCATAGATCCAAACCTGAACAAGAGCAGATGTCTCCTGGGATCCCAGCATTGAGATCGAATGAATCTCGACGCAAGGCCGTCCGGAGTTAAGTGGAAAAAGCCGATTAATCCCAATTTCCGATCGTAACTCCACGTTCCTCGCCATAAATACAATGCCATGGTCTCTGATATTTTCCCAATACTAGTCTTCTCTCTATCATATTGCTCAATCAGGACCAGCATGACTTCTGTTATTGTTTTTGGACCGACTGGTAATGTCGGCTCCTATGTGGCACGTACCGCAGAGGCGCTTGGAGCCAAGGTCTTTCTCGCCATGCGAGACCCGTCGAAGCCCATTCCAGGACTGAGCCCCGAGCAAGAAAAGAATGGAAATTACGAGAGAGTCCACGCGGACTTGTCCAAACCCGATAGCATCACCGCGGCAGTGAAGTCATCAGGTGCCAAGCGGGCATTCATCTATCTTATATGGGGATCAGATCCCCGGGCGACGATCACTGCTCTCAAGTCGGCAGGCATCGAATTTGTGACATTCTTGAGCAGCTTCACAATTGCCGGCGAGCTACGGGACATCGCTCCTTCAGAGCCCGTCCCCTATGCGCATGCACAAGTCGAAATCGCGCTGGATGAGATATTCGGCGAGGAAAACTACGTGGCCATTCGCCCAGGTGGGTTTGCCACGAATATTGGCCAATTCAAGCACGGCATTGCTGCGGGTGAAGTCAAGACCTATGGATCGGATTTCCCAATGGACGGTATCACCCCTGGCGACATGGGCCGCGTGAGTGGCACGGTGTTGGTGCAGGGCTCAAAACATGATCAACGCAAGGTTTACCTGTATGGACCTCAACTGGTCACCTACGGCGCTGCCGCTCAAGCTGTGGGAAAGGCCTTGGGGAAGGAGGTCAAGATCACGACTATTAGTGCGCAAGAGGAGCTGGATAGAAGTGTGAAACAAGGCGTGCCCAGGCCGTTGGCTGAATATCTAGTAAGCCTTTATGAGAAAAACAAAAACGGTGTCCTGTATCCGCGCGTAAACTATGAAGTTGGTGTCCAGAATGTGGAGCTCTACACCGGGCGGCCTGCGACATCTTTTAAAGACTGGGTGAAGGAGAACAAGGATCTGTTCAGCGTCTAGTTCATGCGCTTGTGTCAATTTCCTAATGACCAGCCATTCTCGAGGGAATAACGCTTATATCTGAACATCTGCTTTTTGTCAAGAAATTCGATTCCTTGTCCTTGTAAATCTCGAATTTCGAGACTTCCAAGAATAACAGCAACTACCCTCGCCTTGTCAACCGAAGATCTCTCTTTTCCGAGTAACGTTTCCCGGTGTCTCTTCTCACCATAACCGTCTATATTATAGCTACAAATGTGAAGAGGAGGACGTATTGTGGACCCTTGTCACTGACCACTGCGTATATGAAGCTATCCCTCTTTTCGGCTACATCAAGGTTGAATCAGGAAGGACTGGCACTTGAAGCTTGGAATGGTGAGTATCTGCCTGAGATTGGCATACTCAAGCCCTCCACGACGAATCTGTTGATAGGGAGCCTTGAAAGAGGTACCACCAAGCTAGTCATCAGTGGGTAGGATGGGACCAATACAGTAGCCATAAAACCCAGGATCCGTGGGATGATTACCAGTGCTGAGATGATCCACAAATAAGACATATTGTCAGGAAAGGAAAGGTACTGAATATGCGCAAGCAATACGTCTGCTTTTATGACTGACAAAGGCGACACCAGCATTCTTGCCGAGCGCCGCAATCCACTCGACGGAATATTGTCTGGAGAAGATCAGTGCAATGTGATTTTCACTATTTCGAGCCCTTTCAGTCTATCTTTATCGACCAGGACTCCAAATGAGCATATGGCGCGCCTGTCCGATCTATAGTGGGATTTCAAGCCTGCACGTCGCAGAGCCAAAACAAGGAACACAAAGTCGGGAAAAGTGTCCTGTGCGCCAGTCTTGGGGCTCTCCTCAAAAGGGGCCCGCCTGCTGTGATACATCCATGACTTGGAATACACAGACGCCACTCGGCCCAGTGCTGAATCCTTGATGTCCTGATTGGCCTTGGTGATCTGCCCCCTTGTTACCTGTAACGTCATCCCCCCCGCAGATAACCAAGCTTTTTGGCGTGTTTCAGCGCCAGCTGCAGCCCGCTCAAGGCTTCGCAGGTGTCTCGCAGATGATTACTACGATCTAATGTCTTTCAAGTTTTCCTCTTTATCTCCGCCTCGAAAGAATTGAGTCCTACCTTCCAAGCCAATGAGACTAGCCTTATGACAACCTCGACGCGGCGCCGATCCCCGCTTGATCCATTGTCGCCATGAGCGTCCATTCTATCGACTACGCGCAGCGCCGGACGAATCACCCCGAATCCCTACCGGACATCGACCTTGAAAATGGTGCCCACTCGCCGATGTCGCCCGGCTCCCCCGTTTCGCCAACTCGAAGAGACACCCAGGCGCAAGACGCGTTCAGCACCGCCACGCGAGTCACCTCGGCTGACACAGCAACAAAACGTCGCACACGCCGCTCCAATACAGCCCGTTCATATCTACCGGAGGGATTTCCTGGGCTTGCGCAGGATATCAATTGGCAGCCGGGAGCAGAGCCGGGGATCGATCCCTCCAAGCCACTTCCTTCTTACACTTCCGAATGGGCGTCAAATCTGCCAGGGGATCACCAGCAGGACTGCGGAATTACCGTCGTTGATTTTTCACAGCATGAAATGAGAAAGTATGAGTTGGACAACGGTACTCTCCAGCAATTCCTGGCACGAGAGCGAGAATCCTGGGTCCAATGCCGGTGGATTAACGTGAATGGCCTAAGCTGGGATGTCATTCAGATCTTGGGAAACCACAAGAGACTGCATCGCTTGGCGATTGAGGATCTGGTCCACAATACGAACCGAACAAAGGTCGACTGGTACTCCGATCATGCATTCATCGTGTTGACTCTGCAAAAGCTGGTCAAGATGCAAGAAGCAGACCCCGACTCCGATTCCGATGATGAACAGTCGCCACATGGAACTAGGCAGAGAGAAAGGAAGCCGTCAATCGAGAGTGACAAGAGCTCCATATCTTTGCGACGCCAGACTAAGCGAGGTCTTGTCTGGGAGGCCCTGAAGGATATCTTCAGAACAAAGCGTCCCCCCCAGCCCCCGGGAGAAAACGACAGTGGGGGTTAGCGTTCGTCCTGGACCACGCCGAGGGTCATCGAAACGGACCTCCGATTTTGGTGACCTGGCCAAGCCTAATGGAACGACCGCGAGGACTTTGCAGCGATTTCGAGGGGGCCCGAACGAGGATCGCATCGAGTTCATGGAACGACATGCAGTCCTGGCAGCTAAAAAAACTCTGTGTGACCCTCGAACAAGTCTCGCTTTTCTTGCATGCTGACAACACGGTCACATCGTTTTTCGAAACTAGTGCCGATGATATCGAGGCCCCTATTGTCCGTCGTTTGAGCTCCCCGGAGACCATGCTTAGGCAGTCGTCTGACGCAAGTATGCTTTTACAAGCTATCCTAGACGCAGTGATCGATCTCGCCATACCTGTGACGATGGCATACCAGGATGCGATTGGCGATCTAGAGCTGGAAGTTCTGACGAACCCGGATATCGATCAATCCAAGAGTCTGTACATCTTGACATCGGAAATCGCTGTTCTGCGCAACTCTATGCAGCCTATTGTTGCTGTTATCAATGCTCTTCGTGACCACCGGTCTCAGCCAGTCGGAACTCCTGGCTTCGGCGTCAAGCGTAACGGGTACTTTAGTTCCCATGGCGCGTCTGACCCTGTGGAGCCCCAAATAGAAATTGCCCCACCGAACTTGAAGGGCATAGGAGGCACTAGCGTCACTATCAGCCCCATGTGTCATACATATCTGGGAGATGCCCTAGATCATTGTATCACCATGGTTGAAGGATACGACCAAATGCGTCGTGCAGCCGATAACATGATCGACCTTATATTCAATACCATCGGTATGCCAAAGTCCATTGAATCAGGCGCGAAGTGAAAATACTAATGCCTATATAGGTGCTAACCAGAATGAGAGTATGAAGCAGCTAACCCTCGTCACTTGTCTATACCTTCCAATGACATTTCTCACGGTAAGCATATCAAATTTGGATGCTATGGGGTTTCATTAATTAGGCAAAACAGGGCTACTTCGGAATGAACTTCACAGATTTTGCTGGTATCAAACATAGCGATGCTTACTTCTGGCAAATTGCCATCCCGTTCATCTTCGTTACAACCTGCTTCTTGATGTTTGTGCTTCCAGGGCTTTCCAGCAGAATTCCCAGGCTAACCCTCTCCTTCTAGGCGAGATAAGATCCAACGCTATGCAGTCGTGCTTGCGCAAAGACGACTTATTACCAGCTCGAGGAAACAGCGACGTGAGCGGAGTGAGCGGAATCATAAATAGGCTGGCGTGGAGTCTTTGTTTTTGTTCTTGTACAGTTCCTTGGAGCGGGAGTCTGCTGTTTTCCGTATATTTCCCCTTGTCATAGCGGCTCTCCAAGTTTTATATAGGTTTATAGAGGCCTTCCTGAGCGGATGGAAGGTGGGCTTCTGTCACGGTGTACACGATGAACCTTTTTGAAAGTGACGAAGCAAGTATTTCCAGTTTAATACGGGCCCAAATAGTGTCTGGTCGTGTTCTACGCGGGCAGCGTCTGGAGAGACGTGCCTCGTCGGCACCATCGAACAGTTGGCGTCTCGTGAGGGTGAGCGTATTCAGAACGTAGTCGACATCACGAACTGATACGAGCTGTGGCATTATCTGTAAAAACACCCAGGTATATGAATATGAAGCTTTCCGAGACCCTCCTTACGTCCTTGTGCTGTTGTCATCCATGTGGTTTCGAGTTTCCGGCTTTCCCAATCTCTGCCGAGTCAGCATATGCTAGTAATCATGACAGCAGGAATGGCAAGGTGCGTCGGCTACACTGCTGCACCTCCTCAAACCAAGGGCGAGGGAAAATTGAGTGATAGAAGAAGTCAGGGTTGACAGAACACAAACATAAAAGCAAAAGTCAGGTCTTTTCCCGAAGGGCTGCAAACGCTCCAATCACGACCGCATATCACTGACGTCGGCCCGCCTCGCGTCCGCGTCGCGTCTTCCAACATTTTCAAGTTCGCCTCTTACATGTTGCTCCAACGATGAGCGAAGAGCTAGACCAGAGGCCAGCCAAAAGACAGCGCTTCTTTGCCGATGAACCACATCCTCCGGCTCTGACCGACGGAACTCTGCCCAGCCGCGACGCGTCGCCCGAATATCCCCAATTAGGCCAGAATGGCAACGAGAATGGTAGCCACGCCAAGCATCAGCCAACTCAGGACCAAGTGACAGCGACAACAGAAAGCCTGCCAACAGCCGAAGGATTTGATGCAGACCTGTTCACCAGTATTATCGGAGAACAGTTACCCCCCGACGCGATCCAGACGATCTCCGCCGCCGCTTCCCAGAATGTCGAACGTGCAGTGAACATATACTTTGATGGCTCTTGGAAGAGGCCGGCGAAGACTACCATTCGAACAAAGTCTACTAGTCTACAAAAGAATGGAATCTCACACGGCAGAAGTGCGGATGGTCCCAGCTCCTCCCTTTCTCCAGACTCGGCCTTGCGTCGATTTCCCCTCGTCTCGCTTTCTAGGAACATTCGGGGTAGGCGGTTGGGCGACTCGGAGCGGGCCCGCATTGCTTCAGCATGGCGACCCAGTCAAGATCGACCGTGTCCGGTCTCAGCCGCCTTCCAGGCGAGGGAAAGGAGGGAGGGTGTTCGTCAATCATAAGAGCGATGTGTTGACCCGCTTCACCACCGTTGCTGGCCAAGAGGTAGGGAGATTGCCCAAGGAGGAGGCCGAATGGGTGTCAACCCTGATCGACCAGAAAGTGTGTCACTTCGAAGCCGTCTGTGTCTACAGCGACGAGCGCCTTCGTGTGAACGACACCATCTTCTTGCAGCTGCGGTGCTTTATGCGGAAAGAGGCATTTGAATACGGTCCATTCTCTGGGATGGGGAGTGACGATAACCGTTCCGTGGGTCTGTTTGAAGAGAAGGAAAGCACGGAGGAGAAGAACCTGCGGCTTCGTCAAGTTGCGCTCGTCAAGCTTTTTGCTGCCATCGATATGAAGCCAACGTCCATCAACCCAACAACCGAAAAACACAAGAGAGAAGGTCTGCTGCGCGCTGCCGAGATGGCAGAGCAGTACGATGGGGCTAAAAAGGAGAGGACGAAGAGTAATAAAGATACGGAGGAGTCCTCGGAAGAGGACGATACTCAGGAGCTGGAACAGGATCAGCTTGATGCTCTTTACCAGAAGGCCCAATCCTTCGATTTCAGCATGCCGGAGGCCGAGCCGGCTCCGACGTTTAGGCTTAGTCTCCGAAAGTACCAGAAGCAGGCTCTTCACTGGATGCTTTCGAAGGAAATGGACAAAAAGCAGGTTCGGGAGCGCTCGATGCATCCACTATGGGAGGAATATACCTGGCCGACGAAGGACAGTGATGACAAGGATCTCCCTGTCTACGATGGAATCGAGAACTTCTACGTGAACCCATACTCTGGCGATTTGAGTGTAGACTTCCCGACCCAAGAGCAACACTGCCTTGGTGGCATTTTGGCCGATGAGATGGGACTTGGAAAGACCATCGAGATGCTAAGTCTGATCCATTCCCATAAGATTGAGCCGGAGTCCAACGGCCCTGCTTCAGTCAACGATCTTGCCCGTTTACCGGACACTCCAGGTGTGATCCCTGCCCCTTACACCACTCTTGTTGTAGCGCCTACATCTCTCCTTTCCCAATGGGAGAGCGAAGCGCTCAAGGCATCCCAAGAGGGGACTATGCGGGTCCGTATGTACTATGGAGCCGATAAGACGGTAAATCTTCGAGAGCTCTGTTGCGCATCACAACGCACAACCGCGCCGCATGTTATCGTTACGAGCTTTGGCGTCGTGTTATCCGAATTCCGTTCCCTTGCAGCTCAGCAGTCCGGTGCTTCTGGCGGCTTGTTCTCCGTGGAGTTCTTCCGGGTCATCCTGGATGAAGCTCATACGATCAAGAACCGTCGTTCCAAGTCGGCTCGTGCCTGTTACGAGCTCAAGGCGGTCCACCGTTGGGTTCTCACAGGCACGCCCATTATCAACCGACTGGAGGATCTGTTCAGCTTGGTACGGTTCTTGAAGGTTGAGCCTTGGAGTAATTTCTCGTTCTGGAAGACGTTCATCACCGTGCCGTTCGAATCCAAGGAGTATGCGCGCGCATTGAATGTAGTCCAGAGTGTGCTGGAGCCTCTAGTTCTTCGAAGGACTAAGAACATGAAGACCCCCGAGGGTGACCCCCTTGTTCCCCTGCCACCTCGCACAATTAATATCGAAGAAATTGAGCTCTCCGAAAAGGAACGAGAGATCTACGACTGCATTTACACCCGCGCCAAGAGGACTTATAATGACAACATGGAAAGAGGAACTCTGCTCCAATCGTACTCGACTATCTTCGCTCAAATCCTTCGCCTTCGTCAAACCTGCTGCCACCCGATTCTCACTCGGAATAAAGACATTGTTGCGGACGAGGAAGTTGCCGCCGCCGTGGCGGATGCCACGAATGAGTTCAAAGATGACATGGATCTCCAAGAGTTGATCAACCAGTTCACAGCTTCAACGCAAAACCCAGAGGCGGAAGACCGCACTGTCAAATTCACTGCCCATGCTCTCCGCCAAATTCAAACCGAGTCCACGGGCGAGTGTCCTATCTGCTGCGAGGAGCCCATGATCAACCCAGCGGTAACCGCATGCTGGCACAGCGCTTGTAAGAAGTGTCTCGAAGATTTCGTCAAGCACCACATGGACAAAGGCACCCAGCCACGCTGCTTCAACTGCCGTGCCGATATAGACGCCAAGAACTTGTTTGAAGTCGTCCGGCATCCCGCTTCGCAAGCTCTGCCGGTAGAGGAGGCCAGCATGAGTGACGCCCCAGGCCGCTCGCAGCCTGCTCCACGTATCTCTCTTCGACGGATCAACCCTCTTTCCCCCTCAGCCCAGACATCCGCCAAGATCTATGCCCTCATCAACCACCTCTCGCGTGTCCCGCCGAACACCAAGTCTGTCGTCTTCTCCCAATTCACCTCGTTCCTCGATCTGATCGGTCAGCAACTTGACAAGTCGGGCGTTTCATTCGTCCGACTGGACGGCTCGATGCCTCAAAAAGCTCGCAAGGCGGTCCTCGAAGAATTCCAGCAAACAGAAACCTTCGAAGAGGATATCGAGGACAGCGCAGATGAAATGCCCGGTGTGAACGGCACCTCCAAAAAAAATACGGTCAAAAAAGCCCTCGCCTACAGTCATGCTCATCTCGCTGAAAGCAGGAGGTGTCGGCCTCAACCTCACAACCGCAAGCAACGTCTTCATGATGGATCCCTGGTGGAGCTTCGCAACCGAGGCCCAGGCCATCGACCGTGTCCACCGAATGGGCCAGACGCGCGATGTCTCCGTGACTCGCTTCATTGTCAAGGACTCTATTGAAGGGAGGATGCTCCGGGTCCAAGAGCGGAAGATGAATATCGCTGGCTCGCTTGGGCTGCGTGTTGGCGGTGACGATCCGGAGGAAGATAAGAAGAAGGAGAGGATTACGGAGCTCAGGATGCTGTTTGAATAGAAAGGATATATCATTCATAGAGAGGTTATATCATGCCTGGTCAGGATGCTCGGGAGTTCCTAAAGCTTATTCTGGTATTACAGTTTGGCTTTATTGATATTAAAAGTTGTAGGCACTTAGCTGGCTCAAGAGCTTGAAAAGCAAGATCTCAAATTATGCCGATTCACAGCCAAACAAGAAAAAAGAAAAAGAAGGAAAGAAATAGATATCAATAATCCGTAGATAATACATTAAAAAGAAGTCCGAAAGAATCAGTAACTACCCAAAGCTCCAGCCAGATATAGCCACATTCTCATTCAAAAGAGAACAGCAGAGATAGGGTCCGCCCGAACAGCGCGACCTCCACACTTGAGCTCAACATCTACTCGCTCGAAGTGGACTTCTGGCTGTTCCCTCTGCGGTGCGTAACCTTATTCAGAGTCTGCTTCACCTTCGCCATCGGGCTCGTCTTTCCGTTCCCATCACTGCTCTTCGACGAGTTCTTGGATGAGTTGCCCCCCGAATCACCTACGCATGGCCATTAGCAGACTCGTCCCTGCCATTCCGCAGTTCAAGCCACGAACTTACTCCGCTCGCTCCGAGCCGGTGCCGAACCCTCTTCCTCCTTCTTTAGCTTCGACCGCTTCTGTTGCTGGGCTAGTTTCTCGTCTCGCTCGAACTGCTCTGCGGAGTACTTTGCCGGGCCTTGCGGGCCCCTCAGCGCCTCTTGGCTTACTTGCGAGTTAGGGTTGGCGGGCCTGGCGTTCGAGGAGCTGGCGGCGGCTGTTGGGGTAGGGGCAGCGCTGGATGAAGTCGCTGTTGGGGCGGGATTGCTGGTCTGGCTTTGTGAGCCGGTGGAGGAGCCCTCTTGGTTGCGCTGTTCGGAGGGTGAGGGGACGGCGATGACATTGTCGGTTTTGAGGCCGTTGGTGGCGCGTTCGCGGGTGCCATTGGCTTTGTTGAGAGAGTCGCCGGAGAGATTGGGTTCTTGAGGGGCTGTGTTTGCGTCGGTGGAAGGGGCCTCGGGTTGTTCTGGATTGACAAGGTGTAAGCTTCCAGTTTTGCGATGGTGAAAGAGGGTTATATCATGTATGAGAGCATCATTGATTGAAGGGTTATGATGTGTAGTGGGGGGGGAGCTTTGATATGCCTCGTCATCAGGCAGAGAGGGTGGTCGCCACGAGGTATCAAGACCGAGGATTACTAGGATTACTATGATTCACATACCATCGCGATTTCCAGCGTCATAAGGATCATTCACGAGGCCCTTTCCTTGCACGCCAGAAATAGGTTCTTCGCCGTGGGATACATTGTTATCATTTTTCTGGGCAGTATCGCCCCCCCAGATCGCCTGGGAGGCGACGTTCATCACTTGATGGACGGTTTGGTTGACAGTCTCCATGGTTGAATGCAGGGACGGGTTGATGGTTCAACAATAAGAATCTCGTGAACGGGAAGTAGAGTTTAAGTAAGAATGGAAGTTGGAGAGCAATTGCGGGGAAATGACGATTCTTTGGGTCTCTTTTCAATGAATCAAATACGTCAGTCTGGGGGAGCTTCCGTTGGAATCAGAACCCCTTCTTGTTCCAGCTGTCGCACACCGATTGGAGCTGATTTTGGGTTACGTTGGGCAGAGCTCGAGATTGCGTTTACCCTTTATAGACCCCTACTACGTCAGCGGAGTCTTGCACCTGGCGATATCCATAGCCTGTTACTGCCATTGGATCATCGTGGCTGATGTAAAAGCGACAGTGATCGCCATTGTATGATGTCACGTCACGTGGCCATACGAAGTCCAAAGGATACAGGAGACACCAGGAAAACCCGTAAAATGGTCTTATCATAAGAGACTAATGCTAACTGTTTAAGTCGTAGTGCGCCCTTAGCTTATGCTTTGGTGGCTGGGGGATCGGGGATGGAGCCTCCTCAGGCTTAGGGCCGCCTAATGGCTGGTTGGGGTCGTAACCGATACTCTTGACGATGCCAAGACCCTTCGTTTTGCCTTCACGGAAAAGCACCCGGTCCCCGACAGCCAAGAACTCAGGCCTTTGGATGAATCGGAAAGCAACAAGCGCTCGATCGCCGGTGCGGATGAATGGGCGGTCAATGTCAATGACGGAGCAGGTCTGACTGACCGCTCCTACGTGGAGCATCGCCTGGTACTTGGGCTTGATAGTGGTGGCGTGCGACAAAATTAGAACTACATGCAGGGGTCAGTATATAGGATGGAGAATGAAAAGAAAAAAAAAAAGAGTCCGCCAATATATACCTTCTGCCACGAATTCGCGATGTACTTCGGGTGGGTTGTCCATCTTCTTCAGGACGACCATTCCCTTGCGTACTTCCTTGCGGCGAACGCGCTTCAGTGCAAAAGACGCGGACTGGCCTGCAGCGGTCATGTTCACAGAAATTCGCTTCCGCTCGATTGATTTGATGACGGTGTTGGTGAATTGGCCGAGCGAGTCAGGCCCCACCACAACTGAGTCGCCTGCATGGATCATTCCAGACTTGACCACCCCGGACACCACGGTACCAACATGAGGAACAGAGAAGGTGTCGTTGATCAAAAGTTCGAAGGGTGCACTCTGGTCGTAATGGCCCCGGTAAGGCAGAATATTCAGGAAGGTTCGAACTAATTCAATGTTCTGGCCGGTGACGTTGGAGACCTGGAAAATCGGACATATCCGTTGGCTGACGAACTGTGCTGCTGTACCGATGGTCTCCTCCATATCCTTGACGAAGATAGGGATTTTGCGCGCACCAGGGGACTTGAGGATTTTAGACAGTTGGGTCAACGTTTCTTGTAGAATCTGAGGCGGGCAGATGTCGATCTTGGTGACAATCACCATGACAGGCACGTTGAGCGCCAGAGCAATCCCCAGGTGCTCCCTGCTCATCCCGATCAGGCCGTTATTCGCCGCCACCATCAGTAGACAGTAGTTCGGGCTGCTGCTCAGCATCCCAAAGACAGTAGTGCGCAAGTAGCGCTCGTGGCCTGCAAGGTCAGAGAAGGAGATCACCTTTGCAGACCGTTTCCCGATCTCCTCCCAAGTAAGCTTGCGGCCCGAGGTATTGCTGACGATATCACCGTGGCTGTCGAATCCCATAATCTCCATACCGACCGAGCTAGTTCGTCCGCTCTCGATCTCGTGTTTGTGCCGGAAAAGATTGACTCGAGCTTTCCCACGGCCGTCGTCAAGGCCCCCTTTCACGAGGACACCAAGCATGGTGCTCTTGCCTGCGTCCACATTGCCCACGACTGCCATTCGAATCTCGGCCATATCCTCCATGTTGTTGGCACTTTGCCGAATGAGCACCTTCCCCCAACAGTCCTTCATCCGCTCGTTCTTAGATGACGCCTCTTCAGGCCCTCCGACATTGTAAGTGAGAAGGACCCGGCAATGCGCTGGTATTGTCTCGGTGGCTTCACGTAGACGCTGAAGCGCAGTTTCCCACTGCGACAAGTCGAACCCCATTGAATCACCGCCGTCCTCGAGACCCAGGTCGAATATGGTTTCGCCCAACCCCTCGTCAACGCGGGTTTGTATTACGCTCGCGAGATCCTGTAGCTGATCGTCCGTGTCATCGCCCGTGCCAAGGAGCAGGTCCTTCAATTTGGCCGTACGGGGTGCATCCGACAGGCCGAGCTGGTCGAGAATCTCGAGTTCAGCATGGTCATCCAAGTCCCGCGACATGCCACCCGTTGAGTACCCGCTGTCACTAGGCGCGACCACCGCAGATCGGTGGGATTGCTGTTTCTCGGCATACTCGGCGAATTCGCTAAGAGCCTGGAGGGTCAGCGGAGAACGAAGCCGCGAAGGGCAATCGCGTGTTCACATACTATTTCGCCCCGTTTGCGCTCTTCGGCGCTCGATTTTACCCCGTGCGTGGGCATGGTGGAATGCGGGGCTGTTGCGGTGGACTCCTCGAGGTGGTGACGTATCCGAAACTCGCGTCTGGTGAAGGCACGCGTTCAATTCTGTATTCGAGTGATCATTGCTTGGCTGTTCTGGTTATAAGAACAGCAGTGGAATTGTGGTATGGTTGAAACGTAATGGGAGAGCTTGGAGGATGGGGGCGATCGGGGCTACTTTATCGATAACCTGTAGTCGCAGGTGGGCGAGTCATTTGCTTGAGTCATCCTGGAGCTTCCCTCGTCGGCCTCCCGTTTTGTAGGCGTCAGCCCACGCCTCACTACGCCATAGGCTCAGTGAAGCCTTTAGAATACACTGGGACTTGTGCTGTGACTAACAGCGGGACAGGGATCCATGGCAGTGTCAGCCTTGGGAGTTTGTCTACGGGGAGGCGGTTATGAGTCGGTGGAGTCGTGAAAGTGCTTTCATGGAATCTCAGATCTAATTTCGACTGGATTGTGGTATCTCATATTTTCCATTTCATCCACAGGACTATCCTCGCCAGACGCCGGTTCCTTCTATCAAATTCGGAAGGCTGTTTAGGCCTGGGGGAGATCAAAACGACGGAGTCACCTATACATCCCGCATGAGTCAATATGGACTGTGCCAACGCCAGGGGGGCAGTGCTCAGAAGCGATATTCACTAACCTCGAACGAAGAGCATCTCCTCCTGCTTCTTGATTGTCTATCACGGGGCCCATTTGTCAGTTTTTTGCCAATGTGTCAATAATCGGTCCAGGTGTCCTACCCGCAGGTTCTCCTCGGTCTCATCGTCTTCATCCACGACGTATATAGTCTCCTCGACATCGCCTAGGACAAGGTTGCAATGACTGTCATATGCCTGTGTCGTAGTCGTTCTGTCAGGAGGGGGAATCGCATGACGAGGCTCACGGGCAGAGGTGATACTCACGTGGAGTCGGCCCTTCAGTTCGCGGTCGCCGCGCAGTTTCACGAAAACAATCTCATCGAGAGAGACGCACAAGGTCCAGAGGCTCCGCTACAGGGGCGCCTGTATCCTCGTTGTCGGCCATTGTGGATAGAAACGAGCGTGAGGATCGATAACGAACTCCCGGTGGTGGGACAGAATCAGAGCTTCGGCAGATGCCTAATTCGGACTAGCGCCAATAGGACAAAATTGCTGAGTCAGCGTTCAATACCCCGGGTTTGGTCACGTGTGACGGGACTGGGGAAACTGGGGACACGAGGAAGTACCCGCGCTGGGGCTCTCCACTTCTGGGCCCATTACTCCCTCTGACAGTTTCTGATGATGGGACGCGTGTCTATAGCTACTTAGAGAGCACTTCTATAGAATATGGCGAGTCGATCGCGTTTGGGTCTGGCAAAGGATCTAACTCTTGCTACTTGTGAAACCATCTGGTTATCCTCCATGGGTGCAACTATGCAGCGGCAGAAGTACCAGGTACCCCCTCATCTTAGGGGTCGAAGCGCAGGATCCCCTGTCAGTCGTGGCCGGGCGCGTCTCTAAGCGTAATGTAACACAAGTAGTCCCCTCGATGTGCTTTCCTTTCCCCTGTTCCTGTCCTCCCATACATCCTGAATGATCCAAGTTTCTGTTTTGATTCTTCGTTGTCGACCATGAGGAGGTCTAGCTTCTGTCTGGACAGAAGAGGGCTCCCCCTGGATCCACTCCCCACAGTCCAGACCCGCTGAAGTTGATTTCCCCAGATTCTGTTCTTCACGGCCCAGTCGTCCCGGCCCCAAAGACGCAAGACCGGCTTCCACCTTTACCTCATCTACTACAAGGAATGGCCCGTTTCTCCGATCAATTCCACAACATGCCTCGAATCCTCCAGTACACAGATATTCGACAGCTGCCGATGAGCTCCATGTGGCCCTCGTCAACGCCGAAGTAACAGGCGTCACCCCAGAAGAAGAAGCAGAGTGGACCGAGAAATTCTACCGTACCCTCGAAAACGCCCAACCAGACCAAGTAATGGCCGCCATGATCCACCCCCGGTCAGCAAAGCTCGTTTCTACGCTCCCAGAAACCGTCTTCGTCGAAGCCCTCTGTCTACTCTCTCCGGCCCATTTCATCGAGCCCTACCGCGACCTGCATCACGCCCTTCACCCCTGGTCCACTCTCTTAGCAGGCATCAAGCGCCTTGAGAACCGCTTCGACGAGTTCACTCACAACCTCCTCACCATCCGCGAGTATCGCATTGATGGCCCCTATGCCATGGGCCTAGCTGAGTACACACATCTCCTCGCATGCGCCGCATCAATGGGCAACGAGGCCCTCACCCATAAGATCTGGCACTGCATCTTCCACGAAGGCCTCGTGCCCAACGCTGCATGCGCCGAGTATTTCACCGAAGGCCTTGTCTGGTCGCACTGCTACGACGGCGCCCCGGCCTACCGGCTCCGGCCGCTGGAGCGCCATCTGCGCAACCGCAGCTTCTCGCAGTGGTCTTCGTGGCACGCACGAGTGCGTGGACCCGAGTGGGCGGGGTTCGGCGCGGGCAGATATGACGTGCTGCGTTTTGTGGAAACGATGGTTAATGGCCGGCATAGGCTAGGCCAACCGCCTGACGAGCGGATGTATGTGTCGCTGATGATTGCGGCAGCGCGGATGGGGAAGACAGATGGTATTCACGGGGTGTTGAAGACGGCGTGGAATGTGGATGTGGAGGCGTTGAAGAGTGGGGAGCTAGAGAGGAGGCCCGTTGCGGTGCCGATGGAGCGCAGCTCGGCGTTGTACCCTGGGCAGCGGTTGCTTTTTGGGATTGCGCACGCGTTGGGGACGAACGGGGATATTTTTGGGCAGTGCATGCGCTGAAATTTGTTTCGGACTCTTATGCGGTTCCGATCGAGGCGAGAGTGTGGCTGGAGTTGCTTGAGCGGGCATTTGTGTTGTCCAGGCCGAGGACTAGAGGGCGGGATAAGGAGGCTGCGAGTGTTGGGCAGGTTTCGTCGGAGTTGGTGCGGATTATCTTCACCACTATGACAGAGGAGCCATATAATGTTGTCCCGAATATGTTGGCATGGCGGTTTATGATGAAGATCAGCATGACGGATGGCACCCTGGATGAATTCAAGGGCTATGCGCAAGAGGCGTATGACTTGCTGCGCAGAACAAGAGCACGGCAGGCGGAGGCATACGAGCTCATAATTCGATGTCTACAGCCATCACTGGGTGCGGCAGTAAGGCAGATAAAGCGAGAAGGCCATGACATCAGGACGGCGAGGAAGCATGGTGTTCTACACCACACTGACCACTTTGACTCCCCGCATCTCTCAGATGCAATCAGCGCTTATGAGATTATTCGGCTAGAGGTTTACCAACAAGAGTACCTCCTCAAGCGCACGATATTCAACGCCCTCCAGGTCCGGGAATGGGCGGGCACGCCAGACGAACAATGGTATTACCAAGAACGGCCAAAAATGATGCAGGAATGGAAGGATTTCCTTCCAGAAAAGATCGTACTGACCACTCCCGACGGCAATAAGGTCAATTTCCAGGGCAAGACAGCTTGGTCGCACCGTATTTGGCACCGGGCCAGAACGCACCAATCAAACGATATAGAAACGATAAAAACCTCTTTGCGCCGGCCGACACGCCTCAGTTACGAGAGGAAGTCAAATGGGATGAATTACTCGCTGCATACCCGTTCTTGGATGATAAGAAAACAGCGCCTTGCCTGCGCCGCGTGTTCCGATTCCGCAAAGAACCCTCCGAGAAACTGAAGAAGCATCTGCTCAGGCTTCGGACATCCAGCGTTGAATATCCGCCTGACAACCCATTGTCTTCCAAAAACAATCCTAGCGGAGAGCTATTCGGGCGTCTCGCTGCACTAGGGATGCTGAAGTCCCCAAAACATAGTGTGTACAGGCTGGATGATGATTCGTTGATTTAGGAAGGTCGGAACTCGAGTCACTTTTCCATGGTGTAAGTATAAGCGGGCACTTCTACTTCCTCATGACCGTGATCATTGATACCCCTGTTTATGACTGAAAGAGCGATGTGTGTACCACCACGCTGGACCAGCGGTTCTCATGAGCAACGTCAAAGAGGTCACGACATGAGCGTGCTAAGATATCGCGATATTTCCTATTGATTATTCTGCATAGTCAAATGTACAAAAGCATGTTTACTCTTCTTGAGAGATATACAGCTCTGTAGCCGGGATATCGTGAATGCACCATTCGGGCTCCTGGGACAGGCCACAGACGGGAAATCCGGAAACTCTAGACCCTCTCCTGCTTCAGATCGTTCATGAACATGTATCGACTAATAGTGATCCACCCCCATCGGAACCAGACCATCTGGCTCTTGTGCCCCTTCGTCATAGCAGACTGAGCAGTGAACCACTCCGCAATAGAATTAACGAAGAGCAAGCGCGCTGGACCCGCCCCATCCTTCTTCGCCCTTGACAGCCGCGCAAAGGTATTCGCAAGAGCACCCTGCACCATGGTCACTGGCACATCCAGCACGCCCACATACTTGCGGTACATCGGAGTCGAGGTCAGGGTATACAGGGTAATCGGACAGGCATAGCCAGCTTTATCCTGCATAAGGCTGCGTATAAAGTGGCGGGCCCCGTGGTACAGCGAGCGGTGGTTAGGGTGATTGCTAATGCCCTCTTTGTCAAAGGTCAAGAGGACGTCGATGGTGGCGGAGGGAGGTTTACTCGAGTTTTTCTTCGCAGTACCGTTTAGAGTTGCGGCGACCTCTGGGGCGAACGCGGTCGCCAACAGGCCGGAGATATCTTCTTCGGGCCACGACTTGCTCATACTATCTGGGAAGCGAGAGGGATCGTCAATGACAAGGACGTCTTCCTCGCTGCGCAGACCGAGGTGGAGAGCGCTTTTTGTGAGTTCCTTCCTGCGTGTCTCGCCTAGGCCGTCGGCGTCGCCGGTGCTGAGGCAGAGGATCTTCAGGTGGTTGCCGAGTTCGGGCTTGGTAAGAGCCAGCACTGTCGGGGCGAAGAACATGGCTTCGTCATCAGGGTGTGCGATTAAGAGGCAGATTCGCTTGCCATGGAGGCTTGGGAAATTGCGGGTGAAGGGGGATGACGAAGTCGCCGAAAAGCTCCAGAAGAGGAGAAGCGCACTGAGGGCTACTGCAATGGCAGTCAAATTGGATGTTGGCAACGACATTGTGGCGGTAGAAGGTAAACGGACGCAGAGAGTAGCTCCAGTAATCCTTAAGCTTTGCGACGGAGATCGACTCTGCGCTAGCTCCAGTCTTATGAGAGGATTGAATTTGAGAAACAGGACACTCGAGGCCTTCTTGCTATCTGAAGCAGTCGAGCGATTTGATAAGAAGGATCAATCGCACAAAAAATTGGTGTATGCGACGGCGGGGAAGCACAGGCACATCCCACTAGTTTTCGCGATACGCGTTGCAGGTGGAGAGATGACGGATTGAGGGCGACAGGGGGAAGCGTTCTGATTGTTGTATGAGATTCGTGGGCATTTCATTCCTGTGAGGTTATTCCCGGCCACACAGCCATTAGCGAAGTGCTCTGTTGACCCAGAGCTGAATCTGAAAAAAGGGGAAGTTCGAATTATGATTCTGTTGACGGCCGATCCCCCGGACTAGGTCACGTGGCGAGATTCCCCGACAAACTGGGAAAAGATCATGACACTGCATAGCTTAATTCTTCTAGATCAATTGCGTATATATGTATAACCAGCCTTGCTATTCGAATCGCAGCTCGAAATTCCGAACATATCAGGTTTGGCGGGCCTTGGATATTTCGATCTACTGGCTGTTCCACTTCGGCATCAGAGCTGAACTGTAAAGGTTTTGCATCCTCGGGCTGTTGATGTTAATGGGGTTTAGTCGGCAGAATGGCAATCAAGAACCTACCTCAGAGCGATTCGCACTGAAGGCCAAGATCGATCGAGTTTATTGGTCGGATGCTGGGCAATATACTAGACCGAACGCTGATTCCAACGACCCTCCATTTGAAGTCAAGTAGAGTCTATGGTCTTACTATATATTCTCTGCATGATCAGGAGCCGTATTTGAGTACCAAGATCATCTGCACTGACAGAGCTGACGCTGATAACAACTTGAACATGATTGCCAATAACTAGCTAGCAGCTACCGACTGTTTCACCCGAACGGCTACATCCTAAACTATCCCAGTATTTTCCTCGTATGACCATGTAGCATCTATTCTTCTGGCGGTGCTAACAAGACAACTAGAATTGGATTAAATGGCTTAGTGTTTGAAGTCTGAGAGAGCGGCCCCTTGGGGCTTTGGCAGCCCGCGCCGCCCCGTCATGCAGAGCTTGAATGTTGCCATTGTCCTGATTATCTCGACATAAGGCGTTTCTCCGGCCACCGCACACTCGTCAGGCGTGATGGATCATCATCTCCGTCCATGAAATCCCATCTATGGATAATTTACCTCGTACCAGCTGTCACTTTGATGATGCCATTCTACAGAAGGCCATGATGCCAATCTGATGCGATCTTACGATATTGTCTATTATGCTTGTACCAGACCTACACGATGTCACGTCGTCATCGACGGCCAAACATCAAAACACACCAGACACCAAACAATCCAATAACCCAAATTAGAAACCACTTCCGATGAGCACACCGATACTCGATCCGACCGGATTCGGCTCGGTGGCCCCATGATCAAAGTCACGCCAGCTTCTAGACGCCGGGCCGGGGCCCTTCGAAGCGGGTATCTGTCATAGATTCTGTGGCTGAGGGTCAGTGAGGACCCTTTTAGCAGGTACCAAGTTTTGAAGACGGGACGCCCGAAGGAGGACAAAGAATTAGTCAATACATAATCCGCTTGGGCCCATTGACGCTCATTCTAGACATCACGTTGCCCGGGCCCAGTCGAAAAAATTCGTGTCCTGGTGGGGTTGATGGAGCCGGAAAGCAGAAATTTTTCCCCTTCGTGCGCGCTTTATTGGCGGTGAACCGCGGGGGGGGGTTCCGCCAGGGCTCTTTTCATCCTACTCCAGGTCGAGAGTTGGAGTAGTTGAATTAACATCTAGGGGCGACTAAAATAAAAAAGCAAAAACTAGATACCCGCATGATGTACCCCGTGTCAGACGCAGAAGAGCTCGAATGACGCAATTGGTAGTCGCCTCAGATACATTGCGCCCTTCCACCGCCAAGGCAGTCAAGCTTAACAAAGGCCATTTAGAAGGGCTGTCAGAATTCGATCAGATAACTGACTCACACTGCGAAAGAGGCAAGTAGCCAGAGAACCTTGGTGGATTGGAAGAGCAATTGAGGCGCTAGACCGGAAGGGTCGTCCGAGATCGACCCGAAAGAGGAAGTCCAGCGGAGACCCGGCCTTACGGCATGCCATGTCGCACACCGTTGCCTCCCTACATTCCATTGGCGGAGACCTCCGTCAATAGGATCGACCTGCCGACGTTCAGCTTGTACGATCCTCTAAGGTTGTATTGAAGGCTCTAACTTGGCCCTCCAAAAGTCAGCCCCCGGGCTTTGGGCCGTACCCGTCATTCGTAGCTCGGTGTGTCGCAAAGGGGTGTGGTGATCCACGTGGGCAAATGCTCGGTGCAAATACCGGCTTACTTCCAAAACTCCATAACTAGGGGGTAACTGTAGATGATGTTAGCATAAGGCCACGGAAAGACATTCCCGATCCTGCTACAGCCTACGGGGGGATTTTGGATCATTTTCCGGATCACCATCATCTTCCCCCTCCTTCCCCGCTACGGTTCTTTTCATGGCGTGATCCGGGGAGTCGGTCGTAGAAGGCGAACCCTCCGCGGAGACGTGACTCACGGGGATTGCTAAGCTCCTGTAGCACGGAGTGGTTAGCCCCCTGATGCGCGAGCGCCAAAAACGAGCTCCTCCGGGAAGGGAGTGAGTGCATGATCGGAGTCACAGCTGCAGGTCATAGTACCCGATTCCTCTGTACAACGAAGGGCCGTTCCCTTGATGCGTCCTGAGCCAGGGGCTACTAGGCAATCTGTTAGGTAATTAGTGCGTGCGATGAGGATTGTGATTCGCTCCAAAGGATGCGACAAAAGCACAGAGCACAGCTTGACAGGTGGGCTAGAACCTTAGAACTAAAACTTCAGGACTAAGGGGAGATCAGGGACTTGCGCCCTCATCCAGGAGTATCGATCCTCTGCCATCTCTTCCTCGAAGCGAAGATGTGCCCCGCAAAATGTAGTTGCGGGGTTAAGCGATGCGACTCGGACTATTCCTAAACCGGCGCAGAGAACGCAGGCGGCATGGAAAGAGGGAAGCTGAAAAAAAAAAGACCGAGAAAAAATCCCTAAGTGGCCAAGTGGATCAGGGTCTCTATTGCACGCGTTTGTCTGCCTCGAAGCGGAAAAGCGGGAAAATCTCTAAAGCAGATCGTTTTGGAGGCCTTCATGTATTGTACGGTAACCTGGTGGTATGGGTCTGTTATTTTGGTATGGGCTGAGTTGGCCGCTCTCGCCCGCTTCGTCTACGCAGTAGAAGAACTCTTTTACACCACATGAACACTTTAGCACCTTAGCTTAGATCGCAAGCCTGCTTCTTGGAGAAGATATCCGGCTAGCTATCTCCATATAATTTATGCTACTATTTTAGATAGGTACCGCATGGCTTCAACCACGGTTGAGGTAGCCGACGTCCATGTCGAGGTCAGCCGACCGTCCGAGAGGAGCAAAGCCTGCTATAGCTGTGTAGAACGGGAAAGTCCACGACAGCTGGATACGCGGCATAGTTGCCGGGCGGAAGGCTAAGTTCCTCTCAGGTGACCGGGAACATCGCCGTGGCGCCCTAAGGATTATCCGGGGTACAGCGCCGCACGGTTCTGCGAGGCCGTCGAAGGAAAACAAGGGTAGTTTCGAGCACCTTCAGCACTTGCAGAAAGGCCTTTGCTTCAATCGCTCAGGGGGGCCGAGTTCGTGATTCGTACCCCGCCTCGAACACATGCTTTGAGTAGAAACAGCAGCAAACCGAGAACCTAATTTCTCAATCGGCCATCTAGCCGACCGTGACTCACTTCAAGTTCGTGCACGGTCTCCTCCTATTGTCCTGATTGGGGATTGAGAAGATTCGCGCGCTCATCAGCCAACGTTCCATGTGTTCCAGCAGTGGGGATTAGACTTTGCATCAGGAAGCGGTCCCCGATCCCTACCCGGTTCGAGATCACATCGTGTTGGCCCCCGGCACCATACCCGGGCCCATGAGGTGCTTGATGGCGTGCGACAACTTCGAATCATACACACGGTACACGCCAGCCGAGCCTAGTGGGCAGTCAAGAAACCCCGACAAAGACATGGGCTGAGAATGGTCCAGACTCCTCGTAAGCGATGATCTACTTATAGATCTGGGTAACTAAGACACCGCCACTGAGGGAGGTTTCAATGGGTAAAGGGGAGAGAAGTGAGGACCTTGTTTCGAGCCATAAATAGGGTCGGTAATTTATCGATGAAAGATTCCGAGGACAGAGGGCGGTCTTACCGCAAAATTACATCACCCTGATAGAATTTGTATGGGAGAGGACCCGCGGGTCCAGTGGGACTCGTCACACCGCGAAATACTTGGGTACCGGGAGGGTCACTGTATTGAAAGCCCTCTCAATGACGCTATGCAACAGCCCCACATCGATGTGACTTTTTTTTTGCTTTTTTTTTTTTGCTTTTTTTTTTTTCTTTCTTGATTTTGGATTTTTATAGTGGCCAGGCCTTTGTAGCGAATGGCAACACGGTACCTTGCCGGCCGCATGGCTTGTAAAAGTGGGAACCTACTAGAAATGGATTTTTTCCAATGGTACCATGGACTTTTCCACGGATTCGGTCGTTATTAGGCTCAAGCACATGATCCTGTAAAAAGAGGTTCAAAAGCAGCGGTTCCGCCGCTGACAGGCTTTGGGCTCTCTCTTCTACTTTACCAAGTTTGACATACATCACTGCGCATCATCCACTGTTGATCAAACATCTACAACCCCGCGCCGCGCATTGCGCTTTCCCCTCCAACATTCACGAACACACCTCCAAAATGCCGGGCCGATTGATCCCCAACTTCGTTCGGGGCTCTGGCTCCAGCTCCATGCAGTCATCTGTTGCCTCAACTCCAATGCACTCTAACAACAACTCTTCGACATCCGTCAATGAGATTCACCACTTCATTCCAAACGCGCTGAAGAAAGCCAGTCACATGGCTCCACGTTCAGGCCATGCCACCCCCAAATCTGGCCATAATTCCCCGGATCGAGATCGCGCTCGCTCACCAGAGCGCCGTCTTTCATTTTCCATGGATCATTTGATTCACCCTCACCGTGACAACAGTAAGGAAAAGCGCCGGAGCCTAGGACGCACTGGCCGCTCCAAAGACCATATTGGCAAGGATGAGATGAGCAGCCCTGGAGCAACTCTGGATGTCCTGATCGAGTCCCCTCCATTGGTCTGTTATGGCCCCCCTGCTACCTCCACCGGGGCCTTATTCTCAGGTCGCCTGCGCATTGCCGTCAGCGAGTTGGTTGGAGAGGTCACCTTGAAACAATTTGACGCTCGCCTCATTTCCAAGATTTCGACCAAGAAGCCCGTTTCCAACCACTGCCCCGGCTGCACTACTAAGACAGAGGAACTGAACAAATGGAGCTTCCTCACCGACGACCTTCCCCTCAAGGCCGGAGATCATGATTTCCCTTTCAGCTATCTCTTCCCCGGTCACCTCCCCGCGTCTTGCAATGGATCACTGGGTCACGTTGAGTATTTCCTGCTCGCTCGTGCCCAGAGCACTACCGGTGAGGTGTTCGAAACCAAGGTCCCATTGAATGTCCGCCGCGCCATCCTTCCCGGCAACGACAAGTCTTCTATTCGCATTTTCCCTCCAACAAACCTTACCGGTCGTATCGTGCTTCCATCCGTGGTTCATCCCATTGGCAGTTTCCCAGTCGAGATGACCTTGAGCGGGGTAGTGGACAAGGGCGAGGAAACCCAGACCCGCTGGCGTCTGCGCAAGATGATGTGGCGCATCGAAGAGCATCAGAAGATCGTCTCCACTGCCTGCCCGAAGCACTCCAACAAGATTGGCGGCGAAGGCAAGGGCGTCCTCCACCAAGAAACTCGCATCATCGGGCACAACGAAGAAAAGAGCGGCTGGAAAACCGACTTTGATACCGCTGGCGGTGAAATCGGCATGCAGTTCGACGCTAGCATCAACCCTACTACCAACCCTGTTTGCGATATGGAGGCTCCAGGTGGCCTGGAAGTCAAGCACAACCTAGTCATCGAGTTGATTGTCGCCGAGGAGTTCTGCCCCAACCGCAACACCCGTCTTATCACTCCCACTGGCGCTGCTCGCGTTCTCCGCATGCAATTCAACCTCAACGTCACCGAGCGCAGTGGCCTGGGGATCAGCTGGGACGAGGAAATGCCTCCTGTCTACGAGAATGTTCCCGCCAGCCCGCCCGGCTACCAGAAGCTCGATGGCACCAACAGCATGATGGAGGATTACGTTGGCTCCCCCCTGCCCCTTCCTGACTATGAAGAGCTGGAGCGGATGGAGTCTCTACGCCTGGATAGTGACTCGACCCACTCTTCCAACCAGTCTACCCGCGGCCGTGTGCGCTTCACAGTGGATGATCTTGTCACCGAGCAGACTCCACCTCCCTCCGCGCCCGCCTCACGGGCCCCGTCTCGCAGCCCTTCGGTTGATTCCTCCCGCCAGTAATCATGGCTTCCTTCTTTCCTGCGATCTTGATTCCTCATTCTGCGGCATGATACCACGACTCTCAACGATTCAAAAATCATTTTCCGGCTTCATATCTTCTTATTTTTTTTCTCTCTGCCTTACGATTGTTCCGTCACGATCCCACTAGAGAACATGACAACGATTGATGGAATTCACCTACTCAGCCTTTTAATGACCAAGGGCATTAATAAAATTATCAACAAAAGTCAACGATTCGCCCAGAGGGCGAGAGGTGGGTGGGAACTTAATACCTGGCTCTCGGTTGCGTTTGTTAGCTAGGACGGACAGGCTTCGTTCCACCTTGCATGATACCCATTACTTTGGCTCCTGTGGAAGATTTCCTTTTTTTCTTTTCCTCTGCTATGATATCCACAGACCGATTTTTGCTCCGGATAGTTTAGTATCCCCTTGGGACCCAAATTCTCAGCTCTGATGCTTCGTGCAATGCTTTTCCTGTGTGTTCACTAAATCAATTTGTAAATTACGTACATGTAACTAGATTGCATTCATCGATGGAAGCCAATAATAAACATTTCCAAGTCAGCTTGGCCTTGAAAGACTTCTGGTACTACAGTACTACTAGTAAGTGGTGGCGTAGACAACTGCCCAGGCTTCTGAAGAATTTAGTCCATGGCTGGTGATGGGTCACTAGTTGAACTCTACCATATTCAGTTATGATACTCTAACCAGATAATGCTACCAGTAGAATCATGACATCTGTACTATCTGCCAGTGCAAATAAAATTATATGAAATTACATTCTAAACAACGCATTGATTTCTATCGAGAACTAAAACCAGAACGCATACAAAAAGCCAGCACTCAAGAGCCTCCAATCTTTGGACCGCTACCAGTTTGGAACGGCGGCAAGCGGTATGCAGCCGTACGATTGCTGGGAATACGGGAATCACGAATTCCAGTCTTGAAGCCAGACATAAACACCCTCGGCGGGCTCCCAAGAGAAGGTACACTTGCCATGTACAGCTTGTGACGGGCCCAGGGTCCGTCAAGTCGTCTCCGGATCTCATCCGAGCCGCCTGGGAGCAATATGGCTTCGACGGGGTCCCTTGAGGTCATCGATTTGCGTTCCTCGTGCTTCCCGTCCTCGGCTGCAAAGATCTCCGCGTGGACTCGGATGATGGGGGCGTATGACACATCACCAGTAGGTCCAGTAAATGCAGCAGTGCCGAGGGACTGTGTCTTTGGGGGTTCAGAATTGTTGGCCATATCGGTCATATCCAGCATTTCGAGATCGTTCTCATACAGAACCATCATGTGGGCTCCTGTGTCTAGTAGGAACTCGAAGTCGAAGCCGGCGGAAGCAGGAGCGTTCTCCTTGCGGACATTGATGCGGTACTAGAAGATAGTTGAGTTAGTGAATGAGCCTCAAGAGGTGAAGAAAACAGGCAAACAGGTAGGAATCAAGGGGAGCACGAGCGAGGAGTTTCGTACAAATTCATTGCTACGCCTTCCCGGGTCTGCCTTGTGTGACTCCATGAATAGCGCCAATTGTGGCGTAGGGCCGGGGCCAGTAAGCTAGATACAAATTTTAGCCATTCTGTAATAGATGAGACGTCCGGAGTTTCAAACATAGCCACTCACTCCTTCAACCCAGAATCCATCTCCAGCGAGGTGATATTGGTAAATAGCATCACATTCATAGGGATTGTACGGACGTGGCTGGCAAAGCTGTTCGCCATCTTTCCAGTAGGTGACGAGGCCGGCGTTCCATGCTAAACCTCCGGATTTATACACCGCGATGATTGCGTTGACACATGGCAGGTGGTTGAAGGGGTCGTTTCCTTCCTGGAGCGATTTCTTGATTCTATAAAGGGCGTTCAGCCGTCGTACAGATTGCCAGGTGAGCCCTGGGTCCTTCGACATCCACAAACTACACATGATCAGTATTTCAAGCTCTTTGGTGGTCATTGCCTCAATACGTACTCTTTCTCGGCCTTTTTCTTGCGTAAGCCCTGGAGCTTCATCGCGAACAGCGCCGGCAAGATCTTGTCTTCGATTCGCTGCTCGCATCGGGCAATTTGAGCTTCGATGTCCCTGTATCATGGATGTTAGGATTTTCTTATAGCTCATTCGAGATTCAACTCACTCTTCATCAAGATCAGGTTCGGCATCAGTCCATCCCTTTGGCACCTTCTCAGGATCCGTAATTGCCTCGCCCCCGCTAGCCTGCCACCTCTTTTGCGTGGGCTTCTTTACAGGGGTATTATGGCCGACGTACGTCTGATGAAGATCTAACTCCTCAACTTCGATATGCTGCCATGTTATTTGCTTGTCCATGAGCCCTCGTGTCCTTTGCCTCTTAGCGGGCCTATCGACGGCCGTCGTCGAGCGCTTTGGGGCCTTCGGTTGCGATGCTTCATCGTAATCCTCTTCCTCGGAGTCTTTCTCGTATTCCTCTGAAGCTGATTCTTCGATGGAGCCAGTACCTTCTGAACTAGTTACGGAGCCATCTTCTTCGGAATCTTCGGAATCTTCGGAATTGTCTCCTGGAGGTGTGAGATCCACTTCGGCAGTCTTCGCTTTCTTAACGGGATGGACTGTAGTCTCCTCCTTGTCTTCATTTTTGCGCTTCGAGCCAAAGAAAGAAAAAAACCCGCCTCTGTTCGTTTTACTAGATGTTCTGCCACTGGGGCTTCCATTGCCTTTCGAGTCGGGCTTGCTGTCGTATTGGCTAGATTCATCTTCGCTGTTCTCTAAGTCAGGATGCCCGACATGGCTTACTTCGCTCCTCAGATTGTTGAGGCGCTCGATATTCTCCAATGCAGCCTGATTCATTGAACGAAAATATTTGGCTTCGAGAAGCGAAGACTCACGATTGTGGGGACTGACCTCGTCGGTCAGGCTAATATAACTATTCCTCGACTCATAGTCGTTGATGGGTTGCGTATTGGCACCGTATTGGCTACCTGTGTTGTCGCGCGTGCCATCTTGGTTGCTGATTTGGTTTTCGTCGGCATCCATACCCTCGTCACCATGGTGATTGGAGAGTTGAGCCTTCTTATCCGGAACAGCAAGCCTACTATCTTCAACATTGCCACCGTCATTGTGACTAGAATGGCTGCCGCTGTGAATAGAGCGAGAATCGTGACTGTCACGGTCTACACCATTTTTCTCCAAGGCATCGAGACTAGTCTGGCGGCTAGGATAAGCGTCATCACTATCATCGTGTAAACTTCTGCTCTCGGCGGTCACGTAATCATCACTCTGGCTATCATTGTCGCTCATATGACTATCGACCTCGCTGTTTGTGGTACTCCACTCACTGCCTCCGTCCCTGCTACTCGGGTGCTCTTCGTCACTTATGTCGCTATGTTGGGCCTTGGTTGGAGTGGTCATCTTTTCGTATCACCCTAGGGCTAGCAGGAAAGGTCCGGTGATAATAGTCTTTATGTAAAGTATCTGGCGCGAAAGCACTGATAGATTGAATAGTGAAGCTGTAGGCTTGAATTTTTTTTTCGAAGTGGTTTCTGATAGAGTTTCCCTAGAGGATTTGCTGTTCATAAATACTGGTGAGGCTGATAAAGATGATGATGATGCACAAAGGATGCTACTGCCTTATTCTATTGAAACTACAGCTCAATATCAGATACCTCTTAAGAAGAAAGAGCAGAAGAAAGAGCAGCGTAAAAAGAAAAGAAGAGTCGAAACCTCGAGTAAATCAAGATTCAAAGAGTTGGCAGCTCCGTATTTTTGGCAGTCATCGGTAGAGACTATCCCCTTTCAGTGATGAGACATGAGGCTAAATTCCAAAACAAAGCAATTTGCCAGTCTAGAATGGCTTTTGTTCTTGTCGCGACCAGGGATCAAAAGGAAATCAAGTAATAGATTTCTAAATTAGAACATAAAGAACAGACTTGAATTTTTATCAATCCCTGTAACAGGAAAAGTTTCAGGGAAGACCCATCCCATTGTAGAGACCCCATGAACGCAAGCCTGAGATAACTTGAGATTCCTTTTATTACCATTGTCAGAGCTAGACAGGGATTTCAGCATAGGATTTTTCAATAGAGCATTGGCTAGCGTTCGAGTAATATTCAAAGGTAAAGTGTATCTCGTAAAAGGAATATGCTGAAAGTACAGATGAAAGAGATCAGAAACTCTCAAATCTCCGCCTCATCAATATCATAAACCAGATGATGCTGGCCCTTCCCAGATCTGTCAAGCCCGAGTGCCCAAGAGACATTCATGAACATAGAGATAGCCAGCTCCTTGAACCATAGACCCCAAGTTCCCGTCGCCTTTCTATTCCTCGCATTGTTTGCCGCCATTGTAAAGATCTCATCCACACGCGGCCGACGAATCGCATCATACTTCTCAAAGGCTTCATCAAGGGGTCTCGCCGGATCCTTGAGCAGACGCGCAAGCAAGAACACATCCTCCAGGGCCATGGACACCCCCTGTCCCGCATGAGGAGACATAGCATGCGCCGCATCCCCAACTAGCACGACGCGGCCCCGCGACCACTTCCCACCCAGCGGCAGTCTGTAGATGGGATAGAAGTGCACATCCGAGACACCATGAGCCAATTCACGGAGCGCATCACCCCAAGTCCCCTTGGCATGCTCAACCATCTTCCTCAAATCGCTCCTGTAGCTCTCGACCTCCTCTTTCCCATGTGCAGTCCACCCATCCCGACTATCCCCCGCCTCGGGGAGCTGTAGGAACTTCGAGAAGAACATAAACACCTCCTCCTTGCCCGCCGTGCACGGATTCACCGCCAACATCCCCTTCTCCGTCATCGTTGACTCAAGCCCATTCAGCTGCGCCAGTGTCTCTGCACTGAGCACTGACGCTGGAATAACAGACCCGAGCGTGCTGATCCCCGAGTACACCGGCGCATAGCCGGGATCAACATACTTACTGCGTACAAATGAGTGGATCCCATCGCACCCGAGCAGTAGATCAGCCTGCACGACCTCGCCGTCGTCAAAGGTCGCGCTCACCCCGCTCTCACTCTCGCTTAGGGCGCTCAGTTTCTTACCAAACTGGACCGGGATGCCAGCCTTCTGCACTGCGTCGAGTAGCACGTCCACGATGTCTGTGCGCTTGATCCGCATGTACCCAAAGCCCGTCCTCTCGCGGGCCCAGCCGACGAAGTCCGAGCTGGCGACGATAGAGCCAGAAAGGGAGTGCATGGTGAGGTTGGAGCCACTGAAGCCGCGGCTGTGGGCTTGGTCCCAGACGCCGAGGCGGTGGAGGAGTCGCTGGCCGTTAGACGGGATGCCAACTGCTCCTCCAAGGGTTGTGGGGGTGGAGCGGAGCTCATAGATTGTGCATTCGATGTCTGTCTGCTGCTGGAGGCGCAGAGCTGCTGCCAGGCCGGCTGGGCCGGCTCCTAGGATGATGGCCTGGTGCGGTTTGGTTATCAAAGCTTGTTGCGCGATTGGAGGGCAGACGCACCTTTCTGCTTGGCATTGTATGTTTGATTCAGTTTTATTTCTAGAACTAGACTTTTGCAGAGTTCTTCTCTGCTGTAGTCCGCCTCCATACCGGTAGATATAAGTAAAAGACCTCCGCGGTGATGCCGCGGACACTAAACCTTATCAGGTAATTTGATTCGCCTGCCACGGCAAGTCGGCAAGAATTCGAAGCTCCGTGATGAAGATACAGTCATGTTCGAAATTGGCTTCCATGTCTTTCACAGAGAATCTGTCTCAAACCCTAGCGCTACCGCAACGGTGAAACACCCTAGTCCCTATCCAATTAGCTTATAGATCATCCGTGCTTGTAAATAGAAAACAGTAAGCTACCTGACAACATCCTTACGCCACTGCCTCTGTTATTATTTGTACCTTAAGTACAAATTCTGCCCATTTAATACTGTCCGCCTTGCTTTGGCTTAAACCTGCTGGCTCCCACTCGAGAGTTCACGAGATGATCTTAAGTGAAGGCCAACCACAGCCTAGATTGCGGATGCTGCTGGTTACAGCCACGAATAGGGAGGGAGGAAGGAGCTCGTGCCTCGTGCCTAGTATCCACCCATAACAGCCCAGGCTCCTTTCCCGTCTGGGACCAAGATCGATGGGTGTCGATACCTAGCGTCACATGATAGCGGGGTTAGATTCTAGAACAAGTGTTCTCGCCAGCCTTGCCATGACACAACCCAGCCCCCCCTTGAATAGCATCGCAACCATGAGTTCAATATCATTTGGCCACGATAATTCAGGAATCCAGGTCGGAAATAGTCATGGACCGATATATATATCAAAAGGTATGATTACCGAGGCAGCAGAACTAAGCATAGCGAGTCGGTAAGCTAACGATAGATTTGGCTTTCAGAACAAACAGAGTCCCGCCCCGAACCTCTCTGGACAGTACCGTTCCCGCGCGATCCAGACTTTGTGGGTCGCCATGAAATCCTTGACCGAATCCAGGAGAGAACTTCGATAGCAGGTTCTAGAGTCGCTCTCGTTGGACTTGGAGGTGTTGGGTAAGAACTTGGCAATTAAAAGTAAGGCTTCTAGATACTAACAAGATAGTAGGAAGACACAACTTGCTATTGAATATTGCTACCGGATCCGACAAAAATTCCCTGGCACGTGGGTCTTCTGGGTACATGCCAGTAACTCCGCTTGCTGCGAAAAAAGCCTCCGAGACCTTGCCGATCGAGCCAAGATTCCTGGGCGTCAAGACTGTAACACTTATATCTTTTAGCTTTTCGGGAACTGGTTGCAGGACGAAAAGCTTGGGAAGTGGATTCTTGTTCTCGATAACGTCGACGATGATGAACTTCTCCGCCGGTCGTCTACACTTAGTATAGAGGGCCAGATAGATATATCAAGTCATGCTCCTGACCAACCGTCGCTTAGGTATCTTCTCTCGACCTTGAATAGGATAATAATTATTACCAGTCGAAACCGAGGAGTAGCATTAGATGTTGTCCAGTACAAGAATCTTATTGAGGTACAACCGATAAACTAGACCGAAGCATTTGATCTAATATAGAACAAGTTAAGCACATCAGCAGAGCCTGAAAAGATAAACAAGCTAGCCCAGGAACTAGAGTTTATACCACTCGCAATCGTCCAGACTACTAGCTATATCGTATATCGGCGTTATTCAGTATCACAATATCTACTCAAACTCCAAAAGAGTGACCGCAACGCCGTACACTTGCTTAGCGAAGAAGCCAGGCTTCTTTACCAAGACTGGGAGGCCAAGAATTCTGTTTTGCTGACATAGCAAATATCAATCGATTATATTCGAAGGATAAGGGTGTCTGTAATAGACCTACTATCTCTTATAAGCTTCTTTGATAGACAGGGGATCCTAGAAACAATTCTCCGCATTACACAGAGCTTACTATTGGAGAAACAAGACAAAAGCACAAGCGAACAGGATATAGATAATAAATCATCTAAAACAGATATTTATCTTGAAAAGGATTTGCTGATACTAGGCGACTTTTCCTTAATCTTAGACAGGGAGACTGACCGAACTTTTGTTATATACCGACTCGTGTAGCTTATAGTGCGGACATAGCTATAGGTTGAAGGCCAGCTTGAGCAGTGGAAGGGGTAGTTTATCTCTGTTCTGCACTCTGTATTTCCGACTAACAAATATAAGAATTGGGAAACATGTCAGTCACTCTTTCCTCATATCAAATCGGCAGTACTACATCGACCAAAGTCCTATAAAACCTTACACAAATAGGCTACTGTGCTTTATAGGGGTACATGGTATGCGCAGGAGAGTGGACATATCCTAGAATCAAGGGAAATGGCATTTATCTCGAGAGAATGCAGATCCCAGATTTTTGGAGAAGAAGGTACAGAAACGCTTAAAAGCAGTACAATACTAGCGATAGTATACCGGCTTGAGGGGTTTTGGAAAGAGGCTAAGAAGCTTGAGGTGCAGGTTATGGAGATAAGTAAGACCAAGCTTAGCGTGGACCATCCGGATACATTAATAAGCATGGCCAATCTTGCGTCTATATATACAAAACAGGGCCGGTAAAAGAAGACTGAGAAGCTCGAGGTGCAGGTTGTAGAGACAAGCAAGACCAAGCTTGGCAGGGACTATCTAGATACATTAGCAAGCATAGCCAACCTCGCATCGATATTATGGAACAAGGGCCGGTAGGAGAAAGCTAAGAAGCTCGATATCTAGATCATGGAGACAAGCAAGACTAAGCTTAGCGAGGATTATCCGGATACATTAAAGAGCATAGCCAACCTTGCATCGATATATAGTAACCAGGGCCGGTGGAAGAGGCTGAGAAGCTCAAGATGCAGATCGTGGAGACAAGCAAGACCAAGCTTGGCGAAGACCATCCGGATACATTAGCAAGCATGGCCAACCTTGCATCGACATATAGGAACCAGGGCCGGTGAGAGGAGGCTGAGAAGCTCGAGGTGCAGGTCATAGAGACAAGCAAGACTAAGCTTGGTGTGAACCATCCGGATACCTTAATAAGTATAAACAATCTTGGGGTCGCCTATAAGTCCCAGGGCCGGTGGAAGGAGGCTAAGAAGCTCGATGTCCAGGTTATGGAGACAAGCAAGACCAAGCTTGGTATAGACCACCCCCTTACATTAATAAGCATAGCCAACCTCGCATCGACATATAGGAACCAGGGCCGGTGGGAGAAGGCTGAGAAGCTCGAAGTGCAGGTCGTGGAGACAAGCAAGACCAAGCTTGGTGTGGACCATCCGGATACATTAACAAGCATGGCCAACCTCGCATCGACATATAGGAACCAGGGCCGGTGGGAGGAGGCTGAGAAGCTCGAGGTGCAGGTCATGGAGACTCGCAAGACCAAGCTTGGCGTGGACCATCCGGATACATTAACCAGTATGGCCAACCTAGCTTTCACCTGGCAATCATCTGGTCGGCATTCCCAAGCGATCGAATTGCTCACAGACTGTGTTGCTAAGCAGCAACAAGTATTAGGTCCCGCTCACCCTAATACTCAGTCGTATACTGTTATCCTACAGAGATGGGAGACTGGAGATGTCGTTCAATGATCAATACACTCATGTCAATCAGTTTTTTTGATCGAATGAGCAATCATATATTGACCACTCTATGCTTTCGTACACGTAATTTACCATTTTTAAAGTAAAGTCTTGAAAGAACCTTACTGTGTAAGCTTTACGAGCTAGACCCTGCATATACGCTAGGGTTCCAGAGACAATTTCTCTACGCAAATCATGGAAGCCAATTTCGAACATTACTGTAATTTAGTTTAAACTTTTATGTCTAGATTCCTTAGAAACTCAGTCTAGAGGAAGAGAATGCTGGAGAAGACCAGGGCCATACTCGTAGTAATTCAGCTGGCCATGGCATCGCTGTTCCAGTGGATGAGCAAAATCCAACCACCTTTTCTCTCCATTCAACCCAGCACACTCCGCACATCGGCAGCTTTCATAGCGGCTGACAGCTCCAGTTGACTGGTCTACCCGAACCAACAACTCACCGGCGAGATTCCTTAGATAGGACGTGCAAATGACATCAAACAGCAGCGACATCCTTGTGACATCAAATCAGATCCCAAAGCACATTGTTGGCACCAACACTTGCACTCAACTAGCCTCGAACAGGCGACACATCCTGATCTACCGCTCCATGGGGTCCCACTCGCCCCCAGCGAGCGGCCTGAGTTACCCGTTTTGCTCTGCAGACTTGAACCAAAAAAAAAAAAGACAAGCCCGCGCAACTTGCACTCGCTCCCCAAATTCTCCTACTCGAAGAGTCCTGTAGAATGGCAAATCCTCTTAACTATTGACACAAGTCATCTGCCCGAAAAGCCCGACAAGTGACTCGGGAAATGGAGGGGGGAAAGCATATCTTGTGCGACAAGTAACCAAAAGCACCCAGCAGATCGGCGACTCCGCAAACCCAACAGACCTCCCCCGACGCCGCTGCAATTGGCTCCTTTCCCCCCCGAATCTGCGAGCTCAGACCCTCAACTAAACTGTTTCCTGTGATGTGCACCACCCTCCTTGCATGGAGCTTACGAAGGGCTTGCTATCGAGAGGGTCCTGCAGGCAACCCGTACCCAGGGGTGGGGTTCGCGACCGACGGATAGTAGCGGTCAAGAGCAGAGGTGAGCGACACGCGTGAGAGTAAAAAAGCAGGACCGTTCCAAAGAGAGCCGGAAGATTCTTCGTCAAGCACTCGGCTGTGATAGGACATTTTTCCTCTTTTCTAACGGTGAAGGGACGAGCCGACAAACCTCCGAAACGACCTGGGGGGGGCCCCTCATCAGGCCTATACTGAGTCCGGGCAGGGCCAATCAGCGCGCCAGCGCGCCAGGAGTGGAGCCAACTAATTTGGAATTTGATGTACGAAATGTACTCATCACAAACTTTAGCGTCCATGGGAACGTTGACTTGTTCATTGTTTGCATCACCGGTTCGGGGGGGAGGCCTTAGCGCTCCTTCAAAACCGGTGTGACAAGGATCATTATAATATCGTGAGCGCCATGCAATCACTCCTCTTTTCCCCTCTTCTAGATTTCATCCCATCTTCCCTGTATCTCTCAACTGGGGGGTATCCCACGGGGGCAATCAGAATCCGAAAAAAAAAAAGACGCAAGACATCAATCATATATACATCATGATAATGAGGTAAAGAAAAGAAAAGAAAGAAAAGGGAAAAAAAAAGAAAAAAGAAGTTTCCAACAAACCGAAATTCATCAACGCCTGCTTTTCCCAGACATGCCAAAATGCCATCAAGGACTCCAACATCTGACGAGAGCTGCCAGTTCCGGAATCAAGAATCAAAAATCGGTCCGAAGGCTGGGATGCCTCGGGATTCCAACTCGAAGACAATACGCTGAGTCAACTTGGGGTTGCTCACCACGCACACGGCTTCGGCGTTGAACTGCTTGAACTCGCGCTGGATCATCGGCACCATATCGATTCGTCCGGTCAGATTGGTGTCCAGGATCAAGGGCTCAGGGTCCATAATTTTCGTGAGGTCAATCACCTCTTGACCGTAAGTCGTCAATGGAGAACGTGTCTGCCACATGACTCGCAAGTCAGGCCGTTTTTCATCGCCGATGAACGACAAACAGGGCCCGATACCAGATCCGGTCGTCACCACAATAAGGCGCTTATACACACGCATGGCATATGCAAAGCCGAAGATCAAAACGCCACGCTTCCAGAAGTGCGAGGGGGGCTGTTTGATGCTGTCTCCCGTCCAGTCGCCGGCCTTCGACACCAAGCACGAGAAGCTGGGTCCTCGGCGGTGTCCTCGGCGAGTCTGATGGCCTCGTGGGCCCTCGGGCCCCTGGTCCTTGAAAGTGGCAAAGCCATGCCAGTCACGGAGGGGGTGCTTGGCGAGCTGGATACCCTTGCCAAATGCGGTCTGGGCATGGTCGAAGTGCAGTCTCACTGCATGTGACGAGAGGTGCTCGGCCTTGACGGGCACCTTGCGCAGCAGGATCCAAGGGTGGATGATTGCGATGACGGTCACTACCAAGAACCAGAAGGCGGGAAGCTCTATGACGAAAAGACCCATGCTCTTGCCTGGGCCGAACTGATTTCATAACAGAATACCAGGAGCAAGGCAACGAACATCGCCACCACGGCCCATCCGGTGAAACGGTGGGTGAGTTCAAAATAGTCATGACGTTTCATGCGGAACTTGGGGTGCGCAACAGCTATGATCACCAGTAACAAGACCAGGACTATGTATGTCAGCACAACCGGGGCCGCTGTGAAGGTGACCGTCGTTGCAGTGACAGGTCCTGGGTTCCAATACTGGTGTGAAAGCAGCCCCACAAATCCCAGGTACCAGAGCAGAGAGGCAATGCCGCAACCGCTGTGTACACCACCATAATGGTAGGCCTGAGAGCAGTACCGGCGCAACCAGAATGGCGCTGACCTGGGAATTGAGCAGACCACGAAGAAGATCGTGTTCACCACCAGAGGCTGCCGAGCCAAACCGCATGCCAACAGGTTGGCCGCCGTGGCATTAACCAAGGCAAGCAGCTTTTGGTCGGAGACCATCACATAGATGAAAGTCGCAATGTTCACCAAAGCGACTATAGTGAACAACCGACGATAGACGGTGAAGAAGGCAAACCGGAGGCTGGAGAAACGCTTCTGCTCCCCGACCACGGTCTGAGCCTCCAGGTCGATGGCGGGCTGTGGCACTTTCGTGTCTTCGGTGACCTCCTTAAGCTTCGGCTTCTGGATATCAAAACTACCCTCGATCAAAGTGTCACCAGAAAGGTGACGGGTATGGGTTTTAACCAGAGCCTCCTCCATCGTTGGGCCCCTAACACCCCTGTGAACCTCCTCCATGGGCGCGGTTGTGTTGGGCGTTTTCTCTGAGATCTCCATTGTCTCCGACATTGTTAGAGAGAGATCTCTAGAGGAGTTCAAAAGGCAACTGAATTGAAACTTATAAAAGAGTTGGCAACCGGCCCATGAGGGTGGGGGGGAGGTCGCGGATATATTTGGATGACGGCCACAAAAGGAGGGAAACTAATATGGAAAGAGAAGAAAATAAGGGTAATTGTTGCCCTTGACCAATTACGGTAAGGAGCCTTTGAACTTGGGGAAGGAGACGATTCGCCACGATCAAGACTCGCCCGCTTCCTGCTGTTTTTCTTTTTCGGTTTTTTTTTCCCGCTGCTTTTTGCTGTTTTCATCACAAACCATTTCCGGACACTTTTGTTACCCACTTCTGCCCCGACTATGACACTTATTGAATTATCCGCCCTGGTCCCGCCTTTCTATTTGCTACGAACACATCATCAACCTCCGTCTCTGTTTTTTTGAGTTTTCTTTTTTTGAGTTTTTTTTTTTTTAACTTCTGATGTATGCACGATTTGTGTCAATTTTCTTTTTATCTTATTTTGTTTTTCGGATCTAACCAGTTCCCCAACCCTTTTTCGTTACGGGTAGCCTTCCGGGCACAGGATCGATCGGTATTCTATTGGTAAATACTAGGACTTCGCCTAATCTGGGGATCGTCCCTCCCAAGAAGGTGTATGACACTCTCACGCGGCCAGATCCAAAACCCAGATCCACGTCTAGCCAGTGCAGCATGCGCTAGCGCGAAGCCTCATTGCCAATGAGTTGGCCCGTCGCGAAGAAGGACTGTGCCATTCTCAGGTAGCATGAGCAGGACTTGGCCAGTAGCCATGACCATGGAATGGAGTCGATTATGGAGACGCAAGCCGTGCCCGGGAGAATGGCACCTGTGACAACTTCTACCCGACGGGGACGGGAAGCCCCAGCTGGAAGGAGTCGGTGTTCATGGCAAAACGTCCCCGAACCGTTTATCACGAAATGCGAGATCAGACCATGCCCGCATTGCCCCTTCAGCTGAAAAAACTACCCAGCTGAAAAACTAAGGCGCTATCAGGGCAAGTGGACGGGAGGGAGAGGGGGGGGCGTGGGAGAAGGAAGCAAGGATTGCCCTATTGACGGTGATCTCCGATGATCTGGGCTGGACTGTTCATACTCTTCCCACGTCAAGTGGCATTGGCGGGAGAGCCGTTGCCACTGTAGGTCTGTATGCAGATGGGCTAGCAACGAACTACGCATGCAGGACTTCCCTTTTGACTGTTCAAAAGTACGACTGGAGCTGGAAAACTTGGCCGGAGATGATCGGCCGAAGTGCATGAACTGCTCGTGGCCACGAAGTGGAACCTGAGCAAATCTGGATGGCACCGTCCAAGGAGCGGGGGAAAGGAGATGCTCGGCGATTGTCTCCCAATCTACCCCATACGGAGTTCAAACTAACATACTCATCTATGTGAAGAAACCCTCCTCCCCATGATAAGGCCAGGCTGACAGACTGAGCGCACGGGCTCTGGGTAATAACCTCTGTTCCTGAACGTGGAGGCGGGCCATGTCTTTTCCTCCCTTACTGGGTGCAGCCTACTTTATCTGACAAGGGCAGACGATCATTGCTTGCAGCGGGGCCGCCGTCATGACTGCCTTGATTACGGAGTACAACGCTGTGTGAACTTCGGGATTTCCTCGCTTGTTGGAGAGTCCAGAATTTGGACAAAGTTTCCAGACCGACAAACCCGACGATCGTTGTGGATCCAATCCAGTGTCGCGGGCCACAAGCTGCTCAGTGTAATAGGATATATGGATTACACTAGTGGAGCGCAAACCAAAGGCGTCCAAGCTCACGATTATTACTTGCTTATTGATCTTTCCCACGATTCGATCGTCTATTCCTTCGAGGATCAGAGAGGTCAAAGTGATATCAGTTTCTTGTTGGGCAATGAAGATATTTGATCAATCACTTTTCCAGGTGGATCATGATCCACAAACTAGGGCTCCGGGACCAGCTGCGATCGGGATATCCCAGCTAACCACCGCCAGGAAAGGTGATGGTGACTTCCTGCTGTCGATCGCCTGATGAGAGGGGTTCGATATCCTCGGCTCCAGGACGCGAAAACGAACGGACAGACGCCGTCATGCCAAAAAGAGCGCGGTGGGGCGCGGTGGGGCGTGGAGCTGGCAAGCAAGCTCGCCGGATCTCGAATGGCAGCTGATTTTCAGCCGTGGATGCGTGGTGGGAAAGAGGGGCGCAGGCTTCAAGTGGTCCAGATCCGCTTCGATGGACCGGTAGAACATTCCTGTTCCCAGATCTGACTGGGAGGATGGCGCCGTCGACTCCATCATTCCCACTATTATACGAATCAACGGGGACTAAGGTGGCTGGCGGAGGGTCGAGAGCGCCATTAGCACCGAATTTTTTGGGGATTTAGGTTAGGAGACTTGGACCACTTCGAGACCCCGAATGGCGATCCTGGTCGATCTGGACTGGCCCTGGCGTGCTCGCGCAAATATGGCGGTGTGTGAGATACAGGGCGAAATGCGAAACCGCGTGTCAGTTATATGGAAAGAGACAAACCCGGTGCTCCAGTTGAACCGAGCTTTGCAGCACAATTGAGCCCATGTGTAAGACAGGGGGTAATTTTGGGGAGAGAGGGGGTCCTTGGGGGAGGGGCGGAGGGCTTCTGACGGCCGGGCTAACACGAGGGTAACCCTGGGACGGGGGGGAACAAGGCCCCGAAGACGTGCGTTCTGTGAGTGACTGCGGCAGTGATGCGCGCACCACTAGCAGTATTAGCGCGAACATGTGGTGGAGTCCGGGAGCCCGTGAAGCTGCGTGAACCATTTCAACCGTAGCGCATATCACCAGCGATGACACCTCTGCCGGAAGCGTGGGAACCGAAGTTAGATCTGTTTGTGAGATCATATTCTTGTTACAATTGATGCACTTCCGGCGTACTTTTGCAGGTGGAGTTCTGTAGATTATGAAACCTTGGGAGGAATTCAGGGAGAAGCACAGCAAATCAGAAAGGTATTGTAATTATCTTTCCCTTTCCGGTGCCGTTCGGCTCACTAATCCCGCCATCTGGCCCTAGAAGTCCACCAATCAGCAGGCTGCATTCCTTTTCTGGGCCGCGAAGTGGGTTCCATCTTCCACTAGCGCCGATCACATAAGCTGCCATTCCAAATCCATGGATATTCCAAATACTGCTTGGGTATCGTGGTAATGGCTTTGTTACGGTCCTATCTCGCACGGCTCGATCGTCGCAAGGGTCTTCTGTGGCTCCTGACCGTTGGGGCTGCTTTGGGAAGTCGTCTGATCTGATACGCATATCATATTCGGATTATTCGCATTTATTAAATCATTGACTGAACCCGCTCTCCAAAATGGCATGAATCATAGAGCCTGTCATCGATAGCGCTTTTCCAGGATTTGCAAAATCCTTTTATTTTTTCTTTTTCTCATTGGAGATATACGATTTGACTTGCCCTACGGAGTCCTGCAGGGCGTTCTTATACTTTCGTGGCCCCCCCCCCCTTCTGCTTCCCGAGCTGCTCTATAAAATTATCTCCCATTCCCCCTCCTTCCCACTCTTCTATTGCCCGGCCTTTCGCGATGGGGTACTGGAATTCTTCTGCTCCGGGTGGCGCAATGGATCCTCTTCTCCATCGAGATGTCTATACGGATCTCTTGACCTTCACCTTCAGCGGTCCCAACCTATACAACCAGAACCAGCCCATCTTCATTGATGCCGAAGATCCTTCCCAGTCTTTCACAGGCACCCAGTTCCGACGACTGGTTCGGACTTTAATTGCAGGGTTCAAGGCACACAATGTCCAGCAGGGCGATTGTGTTCTGGTCATGCTTGGAAATAGCGTAAGTCCCACCCCCCTGGCAAAGCTCGAAAAGAGTTCAGACTATTGCTTTTTAGCTTCCATGGATCCCCTTCCCAGTAGAGGGCGATCCTACCACGTTTTCCCCCACTCCTCTTTTCTGCACGAAAGAAAAAGAGTATCAGACAAGACCAATTGGCTAACTTGATTGGGAATTTTCTAGATCTTGTATCCTGCCTTGTTTTTCAGTATTGTGGGAGCCGGAGGGGTATACATGGGCGCCAATCCCCGAAACCAACCCCAAGAATTAGATCATATAATCAGTCTGGCAAACCCAAGACTGATCATCGCCAGTCCGGGAGAATGTCTCCATGGTGCGCGAGGTTAGTGCGTCGCGCGGAATCACTCCGGAGCAGATCTGCCTGGTAGACCCCAAGGCCTTCGACTACTGCGCGCAATTATTCCTGTCCTACGAGGCTGGCTATGCCGTCAGCCCTGAGGTCTTTTCAGCTAAAAGCGAAGCTCACCCACTGAACTTCGCCCACCTGCTCCGCCATGGCGAAAGCGACTGGTTCACCTTCCAGGACCCCATGGCCGCCCAAACCACCCCGGCGGCCATGTTCTCCACCAGCGGTACCAGCGGCCTTCCTAAAGCAGCCGTCCTGTCCCACCACAACATTATCTCCCAACATCGCTCCATCTATAACCCGGTCGACTACCCTGTGAGCCGACTGATTTCTCTGCCGATGTTCCACCTGTTCGGTGGCCTGTGGACCCATATTTTCCCCGTCCGCTATGGTCATCCTCTCTTCGTGCTGCACAAATTCGAGATGACCCAATTTCTGGCCATGGTCCACCGGTTCCAGATCTCCGAGACCTATCTCGTCCCCGCCGTGATCCACTCATTCCTCACCTCCAAGCTGCCGGTGTCCAACTACCTGGCCTCGCTGCGCTACGTCGCCATCTCCGGTGCCCCGATCGATGGAGCCACCGTTGCAGCCTTCGGCAACCTGCTGCAGCCCGAGGCTTATGCGGGCCAGCTGTGGGGAATGACCGAATGTGGCATTGCCTTCCAGGCCAGCTACAATAACCGGGCTGATCCCGGCAGCATCGGGCGGGTGCTGGATGGGTACGAGGTGCGCTTGATTGATAACGAGGGAAATATCGTGCAGAGCGACGATTGTCCCGGGGAACCTCTGCGTTCGAAGCGCGGGAGTGTTCCTGGAATACCGAGGTCGGCTGGATGGGAAGGAGGCGCAGGGTTGGTTCCGCACGGGTGATATTGCCTACGCTAAGCAGGGGCAGTATTTCATTGTGGGACGGACCAAGGAGCTTATCAAAGTGCGAGGGTGAGTTGAACCCGAATCTTCTTTTGATGCGGGACTTGCTGCATCAGAGGAAAGATCCAGACCAAAAAAAAAAAAAGTGGATTCGAGCTAATTCATACTGCAATTATAGATGGCAGGTGCCCCCCGCCGAACTCGAGGCCGTTCTTCTCCAGCACCCCGGCATCATCGACGCAGCGGTCACCGGCGTCGCCGTGAAAGATGGCAGCGGCGAAGTGCCTCGGGCGTTCGTGGTGCGGTCGCGAGACCCCACTGTGGGCCGGCTTTCCGCGGAGGAGGTATACAAGTTTGCGCGGGCGCGACTGGCCAGTTACAAGGCGCTGGATGGCGGGGTGTTCTTTGTGGAGGAGATTCCGCGCACGCCCAGCGGCAAGATCCAGCGCTTCAAGCTGGCCAAGATGAATACCTACCGGCAGATGGTGACCTCGCTGCTGTCGCGCTTCGACCTCGAGCGGCGCTCATCCGCCGGCCACCAACTATCTATGGGCCTGGCGCCCGGAGGACGAGTTGCGGTGTAAGTTACCAGTACCTGGCCCGGCACGACGATGTATTTACAAGGCGATTCTTTCTTTAGATCTGTTCGGCGTGCCCTGCTTTGTTGTTTCGGTTTTGCTTCCTTGTCATTCTGTTTTTGGGGATTTGGGAGCGAGGTAAAGGCGTTAATCCAGAATTGGAGTTTCGGCAGGCTTGGGTGAATTTCCGGTGTTTTGACCTGAGCTGCTCCGCGGCTACGCTTCACGATTCTGACTGTTGATCTTGTCCCTTGTCCATATTTACTCCATTGGGGGGGATCTCATTTTTTTTTTTACGCCTTTTTTTTCTGCCCCGGATTTCGCGCTATATACCACTGCCAGCGGCATGATAACCACGTTATCGATGACTTTCATTAATACAATACAAATACATGATTCGTACTCCAGCGGCTCCACCTGTAATCTCCGATTCGATCAGGCTCGAGATCGGTGTGTAACCTTGCAGGGAATAATTGCGCAGACAAAACAAATTGTCGGGTAGCTGCCCCCCGGCCATGCATCCTCCCACGCGAGCCCTGGGCTCTCGTTCCATCTGCCACAGGAACGTGTCCAGGAACCTGGCCCCTGGATCCCGGGAACTTAGTTTCAGAGTCTTCCCCAGCCTGATCGGGCAACTTTGCTTTTAGAGTGGGGGGGGAGGTTCTGGCCCTTACACCTACCAATTTACGGAGTACGAAAGTCTTCGAGTCTTCGCATGTTCCAGGTAGGTCCGGCGAACAAAGGGCCTCAGGCTGCGCAGTTCTTTCTAGCCTTTGCGCCTCTGACATAGGATTTGGCATTAAGAACAAGGTATTCGTTACCTTGGCCAATCAGCGGTCTCCATTCCCCCCGGGAGGCGTCCCCAGGCTCCGGGGGGGGGCCAGGCCACGGAGACCGGTGGATAACGGGGCAATGCAAGTTCGACAATTAGGCGAAATGAAGTGGCATTCGACGGCGCAGTCACCGCTTAGTTTCGTGCAGCGTTAGCCTCGGGCTGAATGACTCGAATTGTTCCGGTGGTCAAGCAGAGTCCCCCCCCATAGGTACTAGTAAGGCTGGGCATGGCATGTGAAGTTGAACGAGTCTTGAAAATTCGGGCGCGAATTGACTGGATCGGGAGGTTTTGGAGGTTAATTTACGGACCTTGTCATTTGGTCCTTCTGCCGTTTTAAGATCATCTTCTTTAACGCCCCTGTCAAGACCAGCGGGTCCCCTGAATCTGATTAGAGTCGGGAGGCAATAACTAGTTAGAGCTTGAAGTTTGTAATAATAAATTTATGGTTCTTGCATCTTTATATACACTAGTAATCTGTTTGACAATCTTGACCGTAGCACACTACTAGGGCACTTTTTGTCCTACTATGGTGCGGGAACTATATTTGCGGAGATGTCGAAGCTTTCGGGTACGATGAAGGTGGAAACTTGCTAGGAACTTTCCTCCCGGCGATGTAGTACATAAATTCATACTAGTATACACCCCGAAATCCTGAAGGTCTTAAGACAAGGTTGTCGATCAAACAACATTATATTTGGAACAAATACCATTATAACCAGCGTGAGACCACGTGTATCCTGACTCCAATAGAAGATTATAGGGATTATGGTAGAGCCCAACCTTTTTTTGAAAACTTCACAACACCATATCCACAGCAGTCCTTGCCAATCAATCCATCCAATACAAGACACTTAGCAAGAGCAAGAAACGAAATTCTTGCACAATCAACCCCATAAGGCCCATTTAGCCAGCCTGGTAGATAGCAGGACCAGCAACAACATGAGGGTTGATCAAGCTAATGTTGAACGGACTAAGGGTGGCGCCGCATCAGTCAGCGCCACGAAGATCGTGCCGTTGATCAAGGGATCGCCCATGTAAGCCTCCACGTCCGGCTGAACAGTAACGCCGTGGCTTCCGTTACTCCGCAGAGTCGTGTAAGTCACGTTCAGCTGCGACACCCAGATCACGTACTTGGGATCGCCAGCCTGCGTCGTCGTGACGTAGCTGTTGTTCGGCCCAACCTTCTTTCCGGGGGCATCCCAGGTGAAACCAACCTGGCGGCCGGGGTAGGAGAGGGGCAAATGGTTGTCCGTCGCCACGGACGCGCCGCCGTTGCTACTGCTTGGCGAGCCCGAGCCCGAGCTGCCGCTGTCCGCCTTGGCCACGTTCGTACCGGGGGTGATCGTGTTATTCTCATACACATTCCCGCGCTGGCCCGCCTTCGCAACGGTGGGCTGATCCGTGATCGTCAGCGCAGGGAAGTTCTGCCACGCGAGCCGCGTCTGGTTGGCTGGGCACCAGCTGATGTACGGCGCGAGCAGCGTCCAGGCCCACGACTGCGGGATGCCGACCTCGAACCACTCGGGCATCGGGTGCAGGCCCTGGAATTGTCGGAAGACGAACTGCTGGCGCGCCTCGACGCTGATGGACTGGGTCAGCAGGTTGCTGGCCTCGCGCGAGTCGAGGTGGGCGAGGAATCCGTAGACGCCTGCTTCGCCGACACGGGTCAACTTTTGGGTGAAGTCAATGAACTCCGCCACGTTGGTGTAGGGGTACTCGTAGGCGCATTGCTGGGGCGCTTCAGCGCCGAGCATGTTGCTGACCAGCGTGGCATGGCCTTCCTCTTGCAGCGACATGTAGGCGATCAACTCGCGGTCGGACGCAGAGAGGTTGGCGGCGCTGAAGTCATCTGCGGTGAAGCGCCGGAGACCGTCCTGGAAGAGGTCTAGTTCAATCCACTCTTGGTAGAGTGCGAGAGCCTGCGCAAAGCTGTTAGATGGCTTGTTTTTGTTCATGCAAGAGAGAAGGAGCATCTGAAGCATACCAAAGACTCGTAGTCAAAGTCGCTGCGAACGTTGTAGACGGGGATACTGCCACTGGTACCCACGCCCCCAGCAGGGACATACGGAGCAGGCTCCGGGTTGTGCAGCTTTCCATCGCTGGGGTAGGTTGTAGCCGAAGGTGCAATTGACACCTCAGAGATGCCCTTGCCAATAGATGAAGCAGTCAAGGCCCCGGTCGTGGATGCACTTCCTGTGTACGAAGAATGCGGCAAAGACACGGGATGAGACCGGGTTGGAGCCGGGGTGGCCGACGAGAGCGCATGAGGCGTTGCCTGCGAGGATTGTGCTCGCGGCAGGATATCTACACCTCGGGGAAGCGCGGATGTTGAAGCCAAGGGCAATGAGCCCAGCAGGCCCAAAGCGAGCAAAGAGTTCCACATGATTACTCCTAGCTCCTGGTCGTTCTGGCCGGGAGCGCTAGTGCGAAAGGGGGGGGAAAAAAAGACGTACTAGAAGTAGAACTACTGGGATACAGAGGGAATGCGATCTTGGCCCCGAGCAAGTTTATATAGGGTCCTCGTTCAAGCTTCCACTTAGCTCAAATTTTCAGTCAGGGTCCGACCGTATTGACGCAAACTGGATTTCAGACGGTAACCCAGCCACAGAGATGGCCAATAAGACCATCAAGAGCCAGTGACATGACTGGTACGGTGAGCTACGGGATCAGAATGAAGTATTGGACGCGTGGCTTGGAGTGCAATGAGGTCAACGACACGACGACCTTTAGTGCATAGTGTCATCACTCCCAGGCTGCAAGCAAAGAGCTATGGCGGAAGGTTGCATCGAATCATGAGAGAGCAGGGTGAACCAGCGCGAACAGCTGTTCCAAGCTGTTCCACGCTGTCCCGGAACCACCGGCAGGTGGCGAGCTCTTTTTGAGAATGATGCCTTGGCAGGATTGGATTTACACACCGATTCGGACGACTCAAGGGCCCCGCAAGCCCAACGTGAATTATTTTAGTCAGGAATCATCCGATTCACGTATTATTGCACAGAATGCTCGCAGTGGCCACTTGCAGATCTTCGGGTGCTGGCGGCAATGACGCGCGGACGAACCGTGGAAATCAAGAATGTCAAGGTCAACCACATCCGAGGCAGACAGAGACGCGGAAGTGTGGGCCATGGGAGACTCTTCATTGGCAGAGAAGTTTAAAGACGGGCGTCAGGCTATATATCTTGAAGGCTGATTGCAGCGCATCGACGATCGCGATGGAAGAAGCATCATCGATGGGCAGTCCGAGAGTTCGCCGGTCAGAGGTCGGATGACATCTCCATGTTCCCGCGTCGATTTTTCGCGGTCTTTCGTCTCTCAGCCTGGAGACCCGAATAAAACTGTTGCCCGTTCCATGTGATCTCTGCTTCGTTGTTGGGAATCTCCAGGAGGAAGAACTTCATGGTCTGTCCGATGCCCCTCATTATGTCACTGCCGGGGCGCACCGCGCACCGTTTGCCCAATCAACGCCCGCCATTCGCGGCCCCAACCGAAATGCTCGTGCGGGGAAGATACTCGTGCCCTTGAACGTACACAAGCATCCTACTGGGCGAATCCCTCATCAAGTAGCGCAGTAAAACATGTCTCAAGCTCACCTCCACGCATCAGAGCTGTTTAGCGTCAAGGGCCGAGTGGCGGTCATCACGGGGGGAGGCAGTGGTAAGACATGCCATCATAGGCCCGAGTGCAACCCCTCGAAACTGAGATAAATAGGATTGGGAAGCATCATGGCGCGTGCCCTCGCCGTCAACGGAGCTTCCAAGGTCTTCATCTTGGGCCGCCGCGAAGAGGCCCTTCGAAACACTGCCTCCCAGGGTCCGGAGGGGATCATCATCCCCGTCCAGTGCGATGTGACTTCCAAAGAGTCGCTCGATGCCGCATACAAGTCCATCGCCGAGAAGACCGACTACGTCGAGGTCCTGTTCGTCAACAGCGGGATCAACGGCCCATCGATGGTGCCAGGCGCCCCCGGCCCCGATGGCCCGCCCCCCTTAACAGAGGTGCGCGAGAAACTGTATTCCATCCCCATGAGCGAGTTCAACAAAACCATGGACGTGAACGTCACCGGAGCATACTATACCATCCTGGCCTTCTTGCCACTGCTGGAAGCGGCAAACAAGCGACGCCCCGCTCCACAGCGGGGAGTCTTGACTCCTCCAACGGCCCAGGTGATTATTACGAGCTCCATTGCGGCCTTCAACCGCCGACCCGCGCATGGTATTGCGTACAACGTCTCCAAGGCAGCGGTGGACTACCTGACCAAGGCCTGCTCGACGATGATGCTGCCGTACCACATCCGCGTCAATGGAATTGCCCCCGGACTCTACTTTTCGGAGATGTCCCAGAGCTACTTTGGGGGCGATAGCACTGCTGGAATCTCCGAGGGCGAGTTCCCAGCCGAAATTATCCCGTTAACTCGGTCGGGAGCGAGCAAGACTTTGCGGGGGTCGTCATTTGGCTTGCGAGCGCTTCCGCGGGGTTCTTGAACGGCAACATTGTTCTCACGGATGGCGGTCGGGTGGCCCAGGTGCCCAGCACATACTAAGATGAAAGGAGTAGACATATGGCTAGATATTATTCCGAGTTCCCTATACAATTCGATCCCAGCCGGCTTTTCGAGATCTACAAGTCGTGGAGAGCATATTGATTGCGGTCGTAGGGAGATAACATCTCCACAACTGATCTGCGATACCCAAAGCGCCACTGTAAATTTCTACTTTCGACCAGGGCAACATGATGTACTAGGATAGATTCCAATGAGACACATCGTAAGTGGCAAGCGATAATTGATGAATAGGAAAAACGCCCCAAAATTTAGATCGTCGCTGATAGTCGTTGTACAAGGTAGTCTCCCGCTGTAATATCGGGGTATTTCTTGTCCACCTGGATGTCCTCACCATAGGTTCCGGGGAGAACCTCGATCAGCTTGTCGAAGTTCGGATTGCAAAAGTATGCAATGCTGTACCGCGAAGGGTGGCTCTCTAGCGAGTCAGCATCGGAGTCTTGAGCCGGGAGCTTCGGTGGCTCGACCACTCGGTGGCGGGTGCTTTTGATCGTATCATTCGACCATCGTGCTAACAAATCTCCGGCATTGATGACAATCGTATCGGCGATGGGCGTGGCATCGACGAAACTCCCGTTCGGGGTGCGTACCTGTAGTCCGCCGTGCCGATCTTGGAAAAGGAGCGTGATTGAACCATAGTCACTATGCTCTCCAGCACGGACTTGGTTGGGATTATCTTGGAAGACCTCCTTTCGGACGGAGGGATAGTGAAGCAGACGCAGATTATTGTCGCCGGCGTCCACATACTCATCAAAGAAGTGCTCGGGCAAGTTCATGCCCAAGGCGATGGCACTCATGATATGCCGGTGCAGGGTCTTACAGGTGTCAAAAAACGACAACATGGTTTCTTTGAAGTCTTTGCCCTCGTCGTCGAGATGATCGGGCCACCGATTGGGCAGGTCCTCTATCCCTTCCCGTCCAATCTCCATGGTTTCTTTAAGATCGGGCGCCGTCCCGCGCAGCTCGTTAATCCCGCTCGTCTCCTCGAGTGGCGCTAGCTTTTCTCGCCCAGTCGCGATATACCCACGGTTTGACTGCGGCGTGGTCCATCCGAGACCATCCTTTTGTTCCTGGCTCCGATTGAAGAACTTGGCGGATGCGGAGAACGCTTGGGAGACGACGGAGGGTGGAACGCCATGGTTCTTCAAGTAAAGAAACCCGGAAGTCTTAAAAGCCGTCGTGACTGACAGCGCGACCGCATGTTTATCGGACGGGGTTCCGGAAAAGAAAGGACCGAAGTCGATGAGCTAGAGACGAATGAGCCTGGGGCTAGGTGGAACTAGAGACACTAAAAGCAATGGGGCCGCACGGGGATTACGAAGTCGTCCTTCTCCACCGCGGTAGAAGCGGGACGGAGCTCTTGCAAAGTGTTCGCCATGAAAGCACAAGAAAAGGAGGAGATTGAACAAAGTTGGTTCTGTGAGAAGACGAGAACTCCAGCTTGGGGAAACCTACGAAAGATAAGGACGCAGTCTGAAGTCCACGCAACCCCGCCCCCCGCAGATAAAGATAAAGCAATTAACCCTGGGAGGAGCTGCGATAGGCTGCCCTTGATCTGCATGCATCCTAATCGTATCCTAATCAGCTTTTTAGCCTTGAAATGGTCCTTGAATGACATCAGTCCCGATTAAACGCCCTCTTAACTACCTACTCCGTCCAGGTACCATGAATCCCGGTCCCTCACGGGCGTCTTTTGCAGACCGCAGCAAATGTAGAAAACACGCCACTCATGAAGAGTTGGCGCGACTTGACATCATGGACGGCCGATGTGGAGCTGGGAAGCACTTTGATCTCTCGGTCCTCAACTCATTTCACCACCTCATAGCCCGAGTCTTTTCGCTGGATAGATAGAACTGCAGCGGGCGCTTGGTTATCGTAAGGGTTGTTGACAACCCTCACAAACCTCAGTACGTCCGGAACCGCAGCGGCGATGATGTTCCCATCGTGATCCACTGAAAGGTTATCCACGGGAACACCCAACGGAATCTCATCCACCCGGGTCAGCTCGTCGTCCACATACTCATGGACGGAGATCACGGCCGTCATCGAATGCACGACATAGTAACGCCCATCATGACCCCGGACAAGGCCATTGGGCAAATAGCATTTTTCGTCGGTCGCAATGCGGCATTCGCCCGTGTCAGTCTGACAGTACGCGAGGCTGCCGGAGCCGATCAACCCCCGCAGCTCGCGCACAAGACCTGCGACTTTGTCGGTATGATCGTTCGTGACAAAAAAGCCATTCCCGTCCGCATCCACTGCCAGGTTGTTGGGGGTATTTGACGCGTCGCTGGCGATTATTTTCACGTGAGACAGGGTGTTGGACTTGGCGGCGAGGTCAAACACTTCGACGGTCGAATTGGCCCCCAACGCCACCGGATCCAGGATCTCTCGCCTGTAGCAAAGTCCACGTGGGGGTGGTGATTGATGAGCCAAAATCGCAGCTTGTTCCCACTGCGCTTGACATCGAAGCCGTGTAGACTCAGCTCTCCCTTGAAGTTGTTGGAGATTTCTCGTTCACGCACCCCGTATAGACCGTCTGCTCCAGGCTCGTCGATATCGAGGACGACAATGTGGTCTTTCTCGGGTTTCCCAGAGAAATTCAAATGATCGGCGCTAGGTAGCCATTGCATGCGAGAATCGAGGCTGGCGCAAGCACCATAGACCTTTCGGTCCTGCTCGTCTAGCCAAAGATCTTCGCATCCTTCCAGGAGCGGGTGTACAAGGCGACAACAGTCCCATGGGAAGTCTTAATAGGCTGGATGACGCGATTGGTTCCCAAGATGAGGGTCACCATCTCATGAACGTACTGCCGGTAGAACACCGCCGCGCCTAGTATGATGACGGCCCAGGTCCACAGGCGGGGGCTGCTCTTGGGCTGCGGATTAGCCATTTTGAAGGGATCAGGAGATGACGAAGCTCTGAGGAAGTTCGGATGAAGCTCGGATGAAGCTCTAGAGTTCCGTAAAGCAGCAAGCTGCCCCGCGGGGATTTTGGTTCGGGCATCCAAGGCCCCCCCGACATAACGCTCAATGTGGTGGAGACGAAGATGTGGCTGACAGGAGTTTAATCCTTGTTGCCCTGGTCCCTCCTTCAAGCTCCGCTATCCATAGTTCTCGATCTCTTCTCAGCTTAAAAACTCAAAAGCCCCCTTAGACCCCAATAGATTCCGAGGATGGCCGAATCAAAAATATCCACAAACCTTGGGACTTCTCCACCGAAGGCTCTTGAAACCCCATTATTCCATTATTAAGCGGTCCCGGGGCCCAAATGCCCCTCCCAGTTAGACCGTTAGGCCTCGGCCTTAAATTACCCCCTCCCCGCTTTCTTCAGAGCTGCAAGCTTTCATTTTCCAAATCCTCTACACCAAACAATCATCCAATCCTATCGCCCATCATGGTCTTTCACGCTGCTGTCATGTACCCCAATGAGCCTGACGCTAAGTTCGACGAGGACTACTACATGAAGAGCCACATGCCTCTGGTGGAGTCGACCTGGAAAAAGCACGGTCTCCAGAGCTGGCACGTTATCAAGTACACCAAGGATCTATCCGGTGCTCCCCCAAGTACTCCGTGGCTGCCAAGCTGGTCTGGGAGAGCGAAGAAGCCCTCCAGAAGGGCCTGGCCGACCCCGAGAGCAAGAAGATATTCGAAGACATCACCAACTTCACGAACGTGACCCCTATTACCTTAACCGGTCCCAACCTCTAAGCAACGACCAAATCGGGAATGTCTTCCCTTTTTTCGAAGTTGTTCATTGCTTGTAAGCTTGACAGCTTGAGCGGGTCCATTGCGGAGTGTCGGAACAGTGGTCATGTTACCACTGTGATACGAGTGGCTTATATCTGGTGGATATGCACTAAGTTGCCTCATGTAAGGTAGCCCCTATTTAACTAAAGGGGAATTTCCTGTCATTTAGAAGAATCAGACTCACTTCTATGTCCCTCCTATTTCCGTACAATACGTATGCTCCTACCGCACCTCCTTCGTTCCAACACGGAGCGATAACCCCAGTCGCGTCTGATTGGCTTCTCTCCGGGCGATGCGATCGGTCAACGCTGCACGCCGATCTGGCTTCGCATTGACCCTGGCCGATACTTTTAACACGCCTGTGCTTTCGGATCGCGCTGCGAGAATGCGCCCGTTAGCATCTGCTGGTGACAGCACCGAACGTGCAGGGGCCAGTCTTATGCCACGGCGGTCGAAGCCCTCCTCTGCTATGGCTGTCTATGGCTGTCAGCAGGAGGCTGGGGAAGTGTCTCATGGAGCATGGCTTCGAGGTTGAAAGAATCGAGAGTATGGTGAAGGCGACCGATACCCAGCCCGACCTTCTTGCAGTGTCGGAGTTGGATGACTAATGGTTCAATTTCAGATTCGTCATGGAGTTCGGAACAGCCGGTCTCGATCTCTCACAGATGATCGAGGCTTGCAAGGTGGTCTTAATGCAACATCATCTCTTGAGAACTTTACTCGCTTCCGCCTGTAGGTGTGAAAACTCTGTGCTGGAAATCTTGGGGAGTTGCTAGGTATTAAACCCACGGACCGTTGGAGGCGGCCGTTCATTCAATTCTATATTTGGCCCTGTGTTCCAATTTGAGATCACCGTTGATCATCCCAGAAGCTATAGCAGAGTGCTGATCTTGATTTAACATAATTGGTCATACATTGAGCGGCTCACAATCTCCTTTTGTCCAATTCTGTTGGTTCAACTTAAAACTGTGTTCGCAAATACGTTCAATTTAGAAACGATAAGCTTACCTTTCGGAGATTTCCACTCGAAGATGATCAAAATAGCCTCAACGTAAAGGTCAAGAGAAGCTTTTGCGTGAATTTGGTCTACTGTAAGTCACAGAACAGGCAACACTTTGCAGTTGCCCTACATGTCCTTAGAATTCAAAGTAGAAATAATTTTCGGCCGGCGTATTTGCGTTTTTCATGACTGTTCAAAATGCCAAAAGAAAGTCATTGATGGATGATGTACTTGAATTAGCCGTCATGAATAACACGCGGAGTATGAAACTTTCCTCTATAAAAGGACAATTTCTTAATAACAATCATAACACACTCTAAACATCGGCGGCTGTTAATTGCTTTCTCAAAGGAATCCTCTGCCAAGCATCATTCGGCCAGAAAATCGAAACACCAGAAAAAATGTCGTCGCAGGGCTAATATAATGAAAGTATAGCAAACTGTGCAACACAGATGTATGCGTAGGCATTCGCTTGCGAGAGACTAGTCAGGTACACGTCCTGTCGGCGGATGCTTCGGGCTTCTGGGCCTTCCTTAATTCGCAGTTGGTAGGCAATTATTACTACAGTATGACAGCCACCAGAATCAAGCGGCGAAATGCTGGCAGTATTTACTAGTGATCATAGAGACAGAATCAAAAGGTTGAGAACAGGTGCCGAAATAGAGCTAGAGATCTCAGGCAGTCATGGCTGGAAAGCTAGCTTGGATATCAGCTGACAGACTGAATGCCAATCTCGACAGAGAGCTGTGGACGTAGGTCCGCAGCCAAAAGGACCTGGCCCCAGTTCACCCGCCCTAAGGCTGGGTGCCTTCAGGCTACATACATGTCTCCGCAGCTTCCCAACCTTGGACACGTGTTAGCCGTGAATTACGTTATTCACTTCGTGGCGGATGCTTAATAACTAGTTATACGGTGCCCGTCATTTTCGAACTTTCAGAGTTTCATATTTCTCCAATCCATACCGTACAATACAGACCCCCTTCTTCCTGCAGCTCCATCACATAGTGTCTCTGGGAGCCCCAGAATTCAGGCATCACAATACGTCGGCTGCAGAACGTGTGGGGTTTCTCAGCGTTCCTCCCCGTGTCGACAGGAGCTTTATCCTGCTTGGTGCTCCGTCCAGGCGTCTGGTATTTCGCTTTCCCGGCAACTTCAACTAAAATTGATAGCCGAGGCTACTATTGCCGCTGACGGGTTGCCCTGCTTATGCTATATTATTGGATCCTGACCTCCAAACTCTCCCAAATCGTTTGACACTGTCGATCCAGAGAAAACAAAAAAAAGAAACTCTATCGTTATGTCCGCAAGAATAAAAGTTGCAATCGTCGGTGCCACGGGCGAAACCGGGCGATCCGTTGTAGATGGGTTGCTTGCTGTAGATGGGTTGCTTGCTGCAGATGCCAGCTTCGTGCGTATCGCCATTCCCTCGCGGGCCTTGATCTTCCCTGGCTAACTCGAAATCTGATAAGGAAATCATGGCTTTGGTACGTCCCTCGTCACTGGAGAAACCCGCCACTGCAAGCCTCAAGGCTCGCGGTGTCAAGGTCGTCCCGGCGGAACTCCAGGGATCACACGACCAGCTGGTACACATCCTGAAGGGAATCGAAGTGGTGATCTCGACCATTCACTACCAGGCCCTATCGGACGAAATTTTCCTGGCAAACGCCGCCAAAGCCGCTGGAATACAACGCTACGTTCCATGCTTCTGGGCCACCGTCGCACCTCGGGGAATCATGCAGCTGCGTGACGATGTGAGCATCGCGATAGACCCTAAGATAAAGCAAATTGGCTAATTGACCCATGACAGAAAGAGGCAATACTGGATCACGTCCAGCGGCTTCGACTTCCTTACACTGTGATCGATGTGGGCTGGTGGTTCCAGCTCGCTGTTCCCAGGATTCCATCCGGCTGCTTTGACTACGGCCTGGTGGCTCCGGCGAACAGCGTTTTTGGCGACGGGAATGTCCCTTCGGCTCTGACCGACGTCAGAGATATTGGATTGTATGCCGCGAAGATCATCAGTGACCCGCGCACGCTCAATAAAAAAGTATTTGCCTTCACTGAGACCTGGACCCAGAACCAGATCTTTGAAGCGGTCGAGCGGGTCAGCGGCGAGAGGCCGGAATCCACCAAGGTAATTACCATACCATGCCATCTGCCAAAACCTCTCTGAGCTGGTAACTGACTTTTGAATCAAATTAGGCTTCCGCGGAAGAAATGGAGGCCAATGTCGCCCGGTGTAGACAGGCTGGAAGCGGCCTTAACCAGGAACGGGCTCAATTCGAGTACTATCACTCCTGGGGTGTCCGTGGTGACAACAGCCCGGAGTGTGCTAAGTACCTGGGGTACGTGGCGTTTGAGGAACTCTACCCTGGATTCAAGGGGCGTAGGCTCACCGATTACTTGGAGGACCTGGCGAACAACAAGGCAGCCAAACCTTACAGTCAGTAATAAATCTCGCATTCATTGCATGATGTTCTAGATCTACAACTTGGTCTTCTGGCTCGTTTCACCCCTCTTCAAGCCTGTTGTTTTGTAGCCAAATAAGTACGCGGCCACCTTGCGTATCTGCATCTCCTCACTCCCTTCTGTAATCCGATATCGTCTGAAATGCCGCCAGATGTGTTCAAAAGGATAGTGCCTCGAGTATCCACCCCCACCGTGTATTTGGATCGCCCGATCGGCAGCTTCGCACACAGGCCGGTTCGCATAGTAGTTGCACATTCCAATCTTGTGGCCTAGCTGCCGCTCAATAGCCATCCACGGGGCCTTCCCTTCTGCTTGTGCTGTAGCCGCCACCTGATCCATCTCCACCGCCGTTCGTAGAATCAAGAGTCTCAGCATCTCCACCTGGGTCGAGATGTCCACAAGAGGCCATTGGATGGACTGATTCACTGAGAGCGGCTTACGCCGCCCACAATGCCCCCGACTACAACAAGGATGTTACCAAAAACGATGAACCAGCGCCGGCCAAAGAGATCAGAATTGGGACCGCAGACCAAGAAAGCGACGACAGCACCAAGGTTATACACGGCAGTGATCCATGTACCCTTAGTAACATCGCCCAGTTCGGCTGCGATCTGATTTTCGATTCCGGAAAGAGCTGGAACTAGCCAGTAACACACAGAACCGGTCACAGTGAGCATCTGGACAGGTCAGTTTGTTGGTCAGTCGAGTCACTTTAGTGGAGTAACTTACAAAGATAACGACCCAGGTCTTGAAGGTCACGACGTATTCCACATCTGTCTCAGGCTGAAAGTGTTTAGTGCCCGCTGACGGGACGTAATGCAATTCCTCCAGGGTTGTAGAGTCGCCTGGGGTCTTCTCGACATGCTCCACCGGATCTGTTTTCTCAGCATGGGAGAGTGGAAAGGCATTATGGCTGGAGTTGGCGGCGGTGGTCATAGTGAAGAGGGTTTAACCTTGACCACCTTTTAGTGAACAAAGAAGTAAAGCGACGACAACGTTTCGAAATCAGTAGGGGGCAGAGCTTTGATAATATTTAGGAGAAGCTTTAGGATTGGAGCCCTAAGACCCCAAGGGTCCGAGCCGTGGCTCTTGACCGAGGCTGAGGGTCCTTTACTAGACCGGGTATTGAAGCCTTGGCTACTCTACTAGAGGATTACCTCGGCAACCATGTTGAACGCAGACGGAAGTTGTGGATCCATGAAGATGGAGGAATGCAAAAACATCACGCAATTTATGCTCGACCTTACGAGCATAGCATGTACATACTTGAGGCTCCTGGGAATAGTGATTAATACAACTACAGTCCACATACAGTCCTGCTTGCGCCGGCATCGCAGGCACTGCTGTTGCTGCAGCTTATCTCGATGCCAAATTCCCGGTTTGCCATGATCTGACATCAGGCTCCCTTAACCGAGAAGAAGCGGTCCTACATCAGCAAAGCCGTGACAGATACAAACAACTCACGTACCGTATCCTCGGGGACAACGCCGCTAGCAAGCACGCCAACAGCATATCTCTTATCTTCAAAGGGAGGTCTAACATGGGCATATAAGCAGTTCTTCGAAGACCTCGAACAAGTAGGCAACCAGCTAATTAATGATCTAGCCATCTCTATATAGCACATGACATCTCAAAAACTAACATTGAGCATGTTTTTTAAGATATTATTATAGCCAGGATAAATATAAAGATAATAATAACCTGTACCAGTGCTAATTTAGTATCTTGGAATTATAAAGAAGATGTTTTCTAAGTGGTGTTGCTGTGGGTTGGGTCTGGCCTATGGGTTTATCGCTTGGATTGGGTCTATGGGCCGGAATATAGGACCCAGGTATATGGGTTAGATTTGGAAAGGAGACCCAGCCTCCTGTCAAAACCTAGGATCTGCCTAAACTGCATAACTTGCTAGTGCTATAGTTCAAGTATCAGGTGACTAGTATCTACTAGTCTAAGTGGGTAATAATACTTATCCTGGCCCGTGTGTAAGGCGCGGCTTACTGGGGATTGGATATGATACGGGCAATAGAACAAAGGGTAGGCAGTTGTATTAAACTGTTCACTATCCTGCTTATAGCGTGCAGGAGATATATTATATATAGCTATGCGGGCACGTTTACCCCATCATTACCCTTTGATGGAGAGCGCGTTGGTTTATCATTCTCCTTCGATTATTATGCGGTAGGGCCTGAGGTGTCCAGCGGCGGCTCGGAGGGCTTGGGTCCTGACAGGATTGCGGATATGAAATGATACAAATCTGCAGTTTGCAGATATGGATTACAGAATTCCTTAGACATTGCGGATCGTGCCGTAGCCTAGTCAGTGTAATTGACTTATTTCCTCTAACTGAAATAGGTCTGTAATATCGTACTTCGGCAGCTTATCGAATATGTTCGATCCGCATATATGACTATAACACTAGCTCGCTCTATCAACTGCATGATAAGGCCCATGTCTTAGATAAAGGCACTAAACTTTTACCCATGATTTTTCACTGCCATACTGCATACTGGTTCTGTGAGAGTTCTCGACGACCTCTCAAAACATCTTCGTCCCTCCTACAAAGCCATCACCTCCCAAGCCCCAACCCTGTGTCCACCCCGCTGGAGTCTTTCTTGCTTCACGAATTTTCCAGAATATTGAGCCCTACTAGAGATTAGCTTTGACTTAAACCACTAGTATTTGATGCCAGGTTGACATACATCATATATAGCTCGCAGATCCTCCCTGTAGACTTTGCTCTCCTTCTGTATTAGGAGCCAAGTTGTTCCCCATTCGAAAAGGGCAGCGAACCACTGCGACCTTGTCAGCACAAGTATTTGCCTACATTCGGCTTAGGACGCACCCCGAACGGATCAGCTGCACATCGATGGCCATGCATAAGTAAGAAAAGTTCTCGAAGAGTCAAAGCCCCGTCACCGTCCTGGTCCCATTTTGAGAACAAGTTTTCGAACAATTGCGGCACAAAGCGGCCCTCTGGATCGTATGTGCCACTGTCCGAGCCGTGCTAAGACATCGTCAGCTTTATTACCGTATCCACAAGGGAAAGATTTGAAAGTTACCTTGGCTTTGTGGATGCTGGGAACATAAACGCGGAACCAAGGGTCGGGGAACCACGAATACGCCAAGCGTGTGGGGTACGAGAAATTGATGTTGATGATGAGGGTCGCGAGAATTGAGAAGATGAAATTGAACCCCAGTTCCCGGAATCCAATATATGTATCCCATGGGAAGATCATCCCGTCGCCATCGCGATCCCAGAAAAGAATATGTTGTTGAAGAGGCGACTGCAGTTAGTCAGCGTAAGAAGGCTAATAGACAATGGAGACTGTTCCATTGAGCGGACATACATAACCGTCATTCTTTCTGGCCCACTCGAGGTCACCCTCAGGTTTATTCACAGACACAGCGGCATTAGCCCGAGCAACACCAGGCTTTTCTATAACATCAGCAAGAGACACGGCCGGTAGCCGCTTACTGGTTATATAGCTCTTTTCGGCAACTACTACTGTTTCATTATTATCTTTTGCCGCCTCAAATCCCGACTTTCTTTCACGAATCTTAGCAGTGTTTGTGGGAGTGCTGTCAGCCATCGTAAGGGGACGGCTTGAAGGTGTTGATGGCGGTTAATCAAAAATTGGGAACAAGGTTGCGATGCAAAGCCGGGTTTTATATGCTATTAGAGATCTTTCCAAGTACAGACGAAGGGAAATTGAGGAATATCTATAGCTTTTTATTAGAATTCTGGGAATGTGATTTAATGACTTCCTTGCTGTTTACTACAAAGAGGCTTGGCCTACGTCATTCACACGTAAAGAGGCCGGATATCCCGATCAGCGGATAAAGCCCAGTTGGCGTGCTTTTCACGACTGAGACCAAGGGCGGATTTGGGCTCTGCAAATCAGTTGTGTTCACTAGCTCAGCGAAATATCTGAAACCGGCTAGCCTAGGTAAGGACTTTCAAATAGTCCATATCTGATGGAATATGACCTGTAGCATTTCTCCAAAACTCCAAAACACAATACCTTTTGTTGGCACCATCTCTTAGAATAGAAGGCTATATCCATCCTGGTAAGCTACTCTAGTGGGCTAAGTACCGACTGCCAAATGCGATCCTTGCCCTTCTATGATAATTTGAGGATATCTGTATATCCGCGCGGATATCCTTGGATATCCTTATTAAAAATATAGACATAAAACCATATCTAATATCCGCAGCTTACGGATATGGTATTAGATCCTATATCTGCCAGAGCGGATATGTCAAGGAACAAAGGGGATTCGACAGCGAAGCGCCGTCAAAGCGACGTTGAAACCCCACTGATGAGATACTGAATCCCTTTGATCAGAAGTCGGAGACACCGGTGACAGCGGAGTAAAGCCAAAAGGCCATTCTTCATTCCCATTAGTAGAACTAGGGTTAAGGCTTAACTTGAAGCCGAACCCTTGGCGAACCTCTCTATAAAAAGGGCTGTCAACTCTAGTAGAAAGGATAAGCTTTAATCTTTACTCAGACCGGAATCTTAACTGCGAACGCTTTCTTGAAGATTACTATCTTGCCTAGTTAATTGGTGCTACCCAAATTTGGCAGTCCCCTTATAATAGCCTGTTATTTTTTACGCTAGTTGGTCGGCCGTTGTATCTAGCCTCTTTGCTACATATATGTTAACCTTGACAGATCGGTTGGTCGTAGTCGACTTATTTCCTTTGACTGAAGCAGGTCCGTAATATTTAATACATCAGAATAGTTTTAGAGGCATCATCGTTATATTAAGGCTCATTTCTTAATAGTGTGCTAGAGGATGAAAATCAAGCGGGGATGGGGCTGGATAACAAATCTCAATGGATCTAAATATCATTAATAAAAGTTACTATGCCATAGTTGCTCCATAGTTGACACATAATATCATGTATAGTGACGCTATCTCCTACCGAAGAAAGTATAGAAGGTTTAGTAGTATGCAGATAGAGTCGTCGGCGGTAAAGTGGCAGCCAGTCCTAGCGTCCGAATAGGCCGGAATGGGGTGACGAAAATTCTGGCACGCAGATACACACACGCCATTATGCGGAGTCCTAACTACAGGGTTCACATGAGGACAAAATTCGAAATACAAGATCGCACGAAAAGCCCCCCAAAATGTCAACTCGATGAAAAATCTCATTATCCAGATTAATACGCCGTATTATCCTATTTCCCAAAGATTCCCAGAGTTAAAGTTGACTCAGAGCATATAAAGGCTGCCAATTACCAAAACCCCACTCAGCGTCCTATTGTAAAACATCATGACAGAAGCATCAGTGCTGACAGGTAAAGACCTGCGGATACGGAAAACTAATAACATCGCATGACAAAGCATGTAATTACAGAGAGGCTTTGCGCAGCTGCAGATGCCGAATACAAGTTCCCGGTGAAGTATGCGTACAACTACCTAGACCCATGTCCTCGATATCTGTCGCTCCCAGATTTAAGCCTGAACGATCATCTTCAATCAAAAAGGTTCGTTCGGGTATCTACATCCAATTATCCGAAAAACGTTGAGCGAAGTGATCATGGACTTGATCTGTTTCCATGGGAGGCCCTCGACTGGGAATTGTCGAACCCGCGAAGGTGTTTGCAGCCGAAGTGAGCAGAACAGTGATGAGGGAACAGAACATCCGCACGAGGATGCTATCGAGATGACTTTGGATGCCGTCGGCAGTCCAGATTCTTTATACTTCCGCGGTAGTGACATCCTGAGCACAGAGCTGGGCGCCGACGAAGTCATTGTCCGCGTTGCAGCAGTTGGTATCAACTTCAGAGATTTACTGCTGGTCCTCGGATCCGTGCCGAGGCATGCTCTTGGTTTTGAGGGTGCAGGCGTGGTGACTTGGGTTGGAACCCACGTTGGACGACCTGCACTGGGGAGGAATTGGATGGAAGAAATTGCTCATACTGTATTTGATGAAGCTTCCCGGGTCAATTTCAACGATGAACGCGTTACGAAAGGAAACGGCACCTCCCCTTGACTCTTTTACCGATATCTGGTAGTTAGTGTGCTTCAATTTACCTTATCTCATGCGATGCAAGATCCATGCAATCCCCGCACTTCGGGGTCTTATCAACCCCTCCTCCCCAATTCCTCTGCTCACACAACCTTCCTACCTCTCAATTCCCATCTCTCGCCTCTCAAATTCCCATAAACCATGTCAAAACCACTCATCGTAGACGTGCATACCCATGTATACCCCCCGGCATACATGGCGATGTTGCGCAGCCGTAAAACGGTGCCCTATGTCCACGACCCATCCGACAATACACCACCCCGTCTAATCATCCTATCATCCGACGATGATCCCTCCATTCCCCTCGACCAAAGAGGGCGTCCCGTAGACTCATCCTATTCCGACATCAGAGTGAAACTGTCGTTCATGAAGAAACACGGAATTAACTGCAGCGTGATCTCGCTCGCGAACCCATGGCTGGATTTCCTTCCCAGCGCAGACGCCCCAGGCTGGGCCGAGAAAATCAACGACGACATCGAGGCCACCTGCGCGAAAGTGAACGCCGACGCGGACCCGAACGGCGTAAAGGCCTTATCGGAGAAATACACTCTTTTCGCGTTCGGCGCGTTGCCGCTCAGCGCCTCCGATCCGGCTGTTATTGTGAACGAGATCAAACGATTGGCAACTCTCCCGCATATCCGTGGTGTGATCATGGGGACTGGAGGGCTGGGGGCGGGGCTTGATGATCCCCGGCTGGATCCCATTTGGGGGGGCTCTGGAAGAGACGAGGCTGGTGATATTCCTGCACCCACACTACGGGCTCCCGGACGAGGCCTTCGGGGGGCCTGAAGCGACGGGGCGTTATGGGCATGTTCTCCCGCTTGCCCTGGGATTCCCTCTGGAGACGACCATTGCGGTGACGCGGATGCTGCTGAGTGGGGTTTTTGATCGGTTTTCAGGGTTGCAGGTTCTCCTGGCTCATTCGGGAGGGACGCTGCCCTTTCTTGCTGGGCGGATTGAGAGCTGTATTTTGCATGAGCGGAAGTTTGCGGCGAATGGTGGGGAGGTGCAGGGGCCGAGGCGGAGTATATGGGATGTTCTGCAGACGAATATCTATCTGGACTCGGTGGTGTACTCGGCGGCAGGGCTGAAGGCTGCGGCTGCGGCGGGGAGTGCTGATCGTTTGATGTTTGGTAAGAATGCAAGAGATGGCAATGCTAGAGATTACCAGGCTAATTGCTGTTCCCAGGGACTGATCACCCATTTTTCCCGCCTTTGGACGACGTTGATGGGGAGTGGCCGAGTGTTACTACGAATTACCAGGCGATTGATGATTTCCAGGGCGAGAACAAGGACGGACAAGAGGCAATATTAGGAGGGAATGCGGCTCGGATCCTTAATCTGAAGTAAAAACGCTGCATGGTATTTACTAGACCATACTGACCATTAGACATATGCCACTACAGATCGGAGTTTTAGTGAATATGCCCAAATAGTAATAATAAGTACACAGTGAGAAGTGCCTTTGATATCGATGCATAGACTTGGTAGTGAAGCGCCCGTTGGGAAGCGACCAGTTCGTTGATAGCGATGGCTATATCAGGTAGCGATGAATCATTGGATGGGGATACGTGCATCTGATAGCGATGAGTCGATCTGAAAAGAACGATGCCCGTTCGATAGCCATGAGCATACCGATAACCCATACTCACTCGGAAGCCGTGCCGTGCTTCCCACATTGACGAGTTAGCACATCCCAGCCCAGGAGGTCCCAAAGTTCCTCTAGAAATAACTCATCAAAGCATGTAGACCGACGATCTCGCCTGTCATCACTGGGGGGTGGCGTTGCAGGAGGAGCCAGTCCTCCTTGAAGGAAAGGGTCCTCAGAGCCGAAGATTGCTTGAAGAAGCGTCTTCTGCATGCGAGTTTTGTTTGCGTGGAAGAAATCTGATTTTTTGTTTGATGACTCCCGCATAGGCAAATAGCCGGGTTGGGAACACAAGGCCACTTTCAAGACATCAACGAGATACTCTCCCTCGCGGGAAGCAGGTTCAGGACCCAGCTCCCCCATCCCGTCCATCATGAATCGCGATCGATCAGAAGACAAGGCAGGAAAATGTGCTAACCCAGGGACCTGGAAAGTCTTCAATGCTACTAGCTTTCCCAGACGACTGAGCAGAAGCTGGAGGCATCCTTCAAGGACTTCCCGGTCTTCAACGCGCGCGGTGTCCAAGTATGTGAACATCCTGGCTAGCAGGAGCCGAATCTTTCGAGCCGTCTGCATGTGTTTGTAAGGTGCCATGCAGCCTAGACTAACGGCCTTCATTGTGGACTCGAAGAGGCAAACCAGGTGGTAAATGATTCGCCCCTTGGATGTGGCATCATCTCGGTCTTCCGCCACTTTTGCCAGAGCTTGGAGGACATGTGCAAAGGCCAGCGCAATTGCGTCAATGGTAGGTTCAATCTCTCTCATTGAAGGGCCCTGCGCGACGTACTTATCTTCAGGCGTCTCGAAACTTATTTCCTGTGTCAATTTGGCACTCAACGCAATAAATATCTCCCTCTCTGCTAACTTGCACAGGATGACAGCCTCGGTGGTGACTTCTTGCTGTGCACACTTCTTTGGCAGGATGAAGCACTTCAGACGGTATAGTTGCCTCATGAGTCCGGGATTTATCCAATCCGCAGCTTGCGAGCAGACGTCTTTATATGGCTTTTTGCCTCCTTTATTGAGCGAATCAGGGTCATTTTCATAGGCAATGCGCTGAGCTTGATCATAATTGAGGGTGAAGAGGACTACACAACTCAGTGCTTATCCAGAAAGCGAGACTTGGAGACCACGTACGTTGAGGGTTCATAAACCTAGCATCACGAGGGTCCATAAACTTTTCTTCACCAGGGCTCTCATCCTTGCTTGGCCGGCCTCGCTTTCGCTTTCGTTGCTTGCTTTGAGACGCGTTCACCGGGGCCTTACGCTTGCTTCTCTTGGAAGCAGGAGCAGCTTCCTTTTCAGCAGGTTCTCCGGCAGCAGGTTCCTTCTCAGCGGGGTTCTCAGACTGCAGGCTCTTGATGCGTTGCTCTAACATAAAAACAGTATTCTGTAGCTGTTCTTTTTCCTCCTCTGACTTCTCATGCTTTTCTTTCCAGAAGGCAATACTGTCGAAGAACTTGTTCGAAGAGAACATCTCTGGGTCGCGTGAGGCTTGGATGCATTTGCGCGCATTCAAAATGAAGTCTGATAATATCAGTCAATGTGCACAGAATTTGAAATCGTTAACTTGCCCTTTACTGTGGTCTCTGCTGGTTTGTGCTTGACAATAGTCAGCGCAAACGCCAGGTACAATTTCCTCGGCTTGGGAGGTTTCTTTGACAGAGCCATGGTTGCCGTTGATGAGGTTGGCTAAGAGGAAGGGGTTGAGAAGACGCCTGACATGTTTCCATCCACTGCTCTATGTTGCGCACGGGCTACTTTTTTCACCAGACCCAGAGCATTCAGAAGCGATTATTTGAGCTTGGGATTTTCCTGAAAAATAAGCTTGCTAATGCCACTTGTCGCTTCGGTCTAATCCAGAATGTACAGTGTAGAGGCAGTATCTACTAGTTGGTTAACATTTGTGCAGAGGTTCCGATGCCCAATGTTCCATCGGGCTACAGCTTAGTATGTACCAAAAAGCCTGGTCGATATATTCGCGGATGCACAAGCACTGGAACAAAAAGTAACCTAACCAGCGCCATAGAAGCTCGGGCCACAAGCTAAGAATAGACGCGACCGCCTAGAGCCGCAGCTCGAAATCCTCCCCTCAACCACACGACATAAGCATTTTCAGCACCATCCCGGCCTCTATTTCCTAAACACCCTCTCCTTAAGCGCAAAGCTTGGCTCCTGTATCTGCACTGCGCCTAGCAGGCAGAACTCCCCACCATGTCCGGCTCAGATGACCTAAAGGTGCATGCCACCTCCAACCAAGACTTTTACGCCCTCCTCGACATACCGTCTACTGCCAGTGACGCCGAGATTCGACGCGCATATCGCCGCACAGCACTCAAGTACCACCCGGACAAAATCGCCAACCCTGTCCAGCAAGACTTTGAAAAGTTCCACCTGCTCCAGATCGCCAACGATGTCCTCTCCGACCCAGCCGTGCGCACGCTCTACGACAATGCGCGGGAAGCGCGTATGCGCAAGCAGCGTGAGCGCGAAATGTTGGACGCGACAAAGCGTCAAATGCGCGATGATCTCGAAGCGCGGGAGCGAGCTGGGGCTATGCAGCAGGGCATGGGGCAACAAGGCGTGGGTCAACCGGGCGTGAAGCGGCCGTGGGCTGGTACTGCGGACGATGATGCGGAGGCGAAACTGCAGCAGGAGCTAGATCGGATTGCAGAGGATGGGCGGAAGAGGAGGCGAGAGGCGGCCGAGAAGTTGAAGAGGGAGCTAGAAGAGGAAAAGAAGATCATGGAGGCCGAGGCGGCAGCGGCGGCAGCAGATCCAAGCACTAAACGCGTGGATCGGTCAAAGAATGTGCAGGTTTCAGAGCTGGACAGATCGGTCAAGGTGCGCTGGGCCCGGGAGGGGCCGGGGCTTGACTTTGATGGGGAATGGTTGGCTGGATTATTCGGGGAGTTTGGGAAAGTCGAAAATACGTTTATGTTGAAGGATAAGCGTGTGCGTGTGGAAGGGAAGAAGGGCAAGGTTACATTTGCGACGGGTGTGGTGGTTTTTGCCTCAATTGTCAGCGCGCATGCCGCTGTGATCGACGGTGAAAAGAAGATACGCCAATCCGAGAGGGATTGGACGCTTGTGGAATCGGTTGCTTGGGCTTCAGGGCAGAAGCCGGACCTGGAACCGTTTACCGGCGATCCAATTCAAGAAAAATCGCCTGCGACCCCTCAAGAACAAGAGCCTACGCCATCTGCAAAGCCAACGGAACCGAGCAAGCCATCTTTCAACTTCCCTGGCCTAAACTCGGTCCCCAAGGGTGGAAAAGCACCTGCATTCGGATCATTCGCATCCGCTGCGGGTGTGCCAAAGGCATCTTCATTTGATCCTGCAGCCAAAGCTCCTGGCACCCCTAGCATGGAGGAAACGATGCTCATGCGACTGAAGACTGCACAGCTGGAAAAAGAAAGAAAAGCGCTCGAAGAACAGCTTGCCAAAGAAGATGAAGCTGCGGATGCAGAAGAGGCGGCAGCAGCTAAGGCGAATGGAAACTGACTTTGGAACGTTGGTTCATGGGAGAAATCTCCCGCATTATATTAGAAAGCCTTGACCCGGGTTGGTGTCGGATTGCCCTGCAGTATGACAACAGAAACCCGAGGCGTGTGCTCCTTTGTTTTTGTGCGCGATCGCTTATTCAAATAAGATACCCCAGCCATATATCGGCTTGTTGAAGAGAGATTCATGGAATAGATGCATGATATTTACAGATTTGATACTATTATACATGGATGCATTATCTCGAATGACGGGCTAGTCCGTTCTTTTCTGCGCTTCCTCTTCATCAAGCTGTTCAACGAACTCTCGGGCCCGCTCGCTAATGACTGGCCGAGGTGTTGGTTTCCGTGCTCCGCCATTCAGGATAAAATCCCTGGTCCACGAAGGCACGAAAGCCTTGACCTTCACCTCGGTAGGCTGCCCTGCTTCGGTGGTCCATGAAAGCTTGAACTCGCTGTCCGGAGTATACTGAGTTCCCTCGCCCGTGAGAGCGATATCGGTCATCATCTCCAAGCGACAGAGAGCCAGACCGATGTTACCGACACCGTTCAAGAATTTCCCAGCACTCCGACCCCGACGGCCACCAGCTTTCGTGATGTTCGTGCCTGGTGGCGGTGCTGCGAGCTTGACTGACGAATCATATCTCAGGCCATCAGTGGATGGTACATCTTCCGTGTAGAGCTGGACTGGAAGAATACGCTTGCGTACCACACCGGTGTGGTGCGTCCGAATCGTCAGTTCCTGGCCAACGTAGCAGCCCTTGCGGAAGTCGATAGCCAGCGCCATATCCATATTAGACTCGAGTGGCAGTGAGGCTTCACGGGAGAATCTCGGACTGTCCCTCTGCAACGCCATTCAAGATCCTTCGCACCGTGTACGTGTGTAATCCAACTTCAGACCCAGCAAGCTGTGATTCTTCTGGGAAATGGCTGCGTAAGTCTTCCGCACCCGGGGTAATAAGACGAGAACCAAAGCCCGGAGCGCGCGTGTCGATACATCCTACAATGCTCGACGAAGGAGAAAATGGTGAGATAGCAGCGGACTCGGATTCTAAATTGTATGCTGCCCACCGTGGCTGGGATTGGTTCTTCCATGACGACCAAATAGTGCGCTCGCCATCTTCGAGAGCCCGGAGCTTTAACTTTGCGCGTAGTTTGTGCTTCTTCAAATGCTTCAGCAGAACCGGCACCTCGTTTTTATCGATCTCGATCAGCCATTCGGGGTCCGCGCTCTTGTCTTCTGGGTTCGGTAGTGGGTAGATAAATGCGTCATTCAGTATACGGCCTTGCGAATTAAGAAAGGCAGTGTATGCCCCAGTTTGGCGAGTAGGTTTAGCTGGATCATTAGCGACCAGCATGTTTTGCGTGATCAACCCTTGGAGGAAAGTAGAGCTGTCAGCACCTGTGATTGAGATCAGACCGCGATTCGTGAGCCGGGCATAGCCCGCATCAGGCGGGGGAGGTGCATGTTGAAGTGCATTTGCAAAGGGCGCTGAGGTCGTGAAAGGCCTCCTGCGAGCTAAGCAGCGACCACAGAGCAAAAGACGTGGGCGCATTGTGATTGAGGAATGATGTGTCAAGGTTAATCTGAGCGGCGTTTTACCGCGGACAATGACGTGCCAGGTTATATCACGTGATCATGCTTTATCTACAGGGTCTGAGCTTTACCCTCAACCCATCTCACTATGCAGATTTACCGATACATATAATCCGAGAGATTAGATCTCAAGCATGATTGCATGGAACTAGCAAAATAGAAACTAACGTTTACTCTCTATGGGGTCGAACGATTGTTTGAGCCAGTAACAACCTTCGAAGATGGCCACTGAGCTACGGCAAAATGGATGCGGATGACTCAGTGCTATAGCAATGGTCTGAAACCGAAAGAATTTACAAAATATCACCAAACAAATATTTATAATAGCATATTGCAGAAAACTTTCTGCAGTGGCATGCATGGATAGTGAATTTCGTCATGATGTGGGGAGCACAGCCCCATCATGATCCAGCTCAGTGAAATAACCTATATCTTATGGTTGAATATCTGTCAAAGCTTAACCTGGAACCGGGTGGAGATACTACCTTGGCCTTCTTATATGGAGAGGATCCAAGTCGCCCTGAGCGTTTCAGCGGAGCAACTCTTATTGAGCATTCGGCTACCCCGAATCTGACAATCACCGTGTGCCCTTACCTAAAGACACAAGAGGCGCTAAAGTATATAATGACTTGATTAGAAAATGTACTCCTATGGCTCTCTTTTCGCCTCTTTCAATGAGGTTCAACATCCATGTTCATAAGCACACCTCTATAGATTTATGGAATCTAGAAGCCTGAATTGGGCCAATATAGTCGCTGCGGCATGATTAACTGCTGGGATCAGTGCTCCTTTGACTGCACTCTCTTTATCAGCGTCAAGGGTTTAAGGGAAGTGCTCATATTTTCAGGAAGAAACACGAACAAAAGTAAGGGATACTGTTCTTCGTCCATTCGACTAAGCTCCCTTTTTCCTCCTCTAAGAGCTTATGAAAGCAGATCGACGCTCTGACTCCAGCTATGATGGGGAGGTTGAAGAAGCACGAGTTGCTTTGAAGACAGACCCTAAGACCCTTCAGCAATTATCATCCTCTAGCGACGCTGTTAAAGCGAAACGAAACAAGAACGGTCTTGCGTCCCTGGAGAACGCCATAAAACAAGCGAAGCAAGAAGAAGTTGAAAACAGTAAGAAAAAGAACGGCAAGAAATGAGGTCATTGCTGCATGGAGATCATCAAGCATCTGGGCTGGTGAATGCTTCATGCAGGTGCCGGTCGTATTGTTCCTTGTCTTTTAACTTGTCTTCGAGAAATTTGAACGTGCCGAATGTCCAGTATCGCATTGTTATTAGCCAAAAAGACTCCTCATCCTTGTGATTCTCCGCAAAACGTGGCTGGATATGGTTATAAAAGATTTCAAACAAGGCCATAGGAGTATTGAGCGCGAGAGAGCACCAGAATGTTCCTCGTTCCCACCCTTCTTGCAAGATAGAATGTAGTTGAAGAGAAGAGTGTCCCAATGCTGGCTTGTTCTGCTCTTCTTCCTTCAACACCGCTAGGAACTCTTTGTGCAGGATTTCATAGGCTTCAACGTCGATCTCAGTAATAGGTTGACCAGACAACCAGTGTGGAGGATGGAGCATTTCCACTGGGCGAGTGGAGGCCCATTCGAGGTCAATAAGGCACTTGATATTCCAGTCCTCATCCACAAAAATATTGCTCTGGTGGAGATCGGTGAGCTGCAAGAAGAAAGGCCCTCGGAGAAGATCATGACGAAAGAAACAAGGCCAGACACTCCTTATAACTGTCAATGCACATGCTTGATAGACGCCGTCCTGAAGGCTACTGATTGCATTTGGTTGATAGCGGAAGCGGTTCTCGTGGAAGTTGAGTATATCATGGATATATGAGTCCGCAGTCGAGTGAGTGATATGTCGAGGTATATCGACTGGAATGTGTTCATTTTCCAATAATTGGATTTGGAGGGTGAGAGGCCGATTACTCAGTCTTAGATACCCTGAATCATCCAATATAAAAGATCCGATGCGAGGCAACGGAATTCGAGTCAGGGATATCATTATGCGCGATAGGCCACGAAAAAGGTTCGTTCGTAGCTTTTGATCATGGCGCCCAGTATCCCACGTATCGGAAAGCATTTTGCCTCGTGATGAATCGATATACTCGATAAGAATATATCCTGAGCCGAGAGATCTTGATTCGTCGATTTGACTAGAGACATACGACGATGGCGCCGGATAACCTAGCCACCCTAACAGACGACGACGCAGGTAATGAATGGCACGAGTGATCAAGGGCACATTATCGAGGCGGGTAAACTGAGTCAGTAAGCATGAGATATTTACCTATCGCATAGGAATGTACGTACATTTTGCCAAGTGGATAGCCCAAATCCATATAATCGTGGAATGGGAACATCAGGGCAGTTCTCTTCGAGCCATGCATATGTACCCGCTTCGCAACGAATCTTCTCATCTGAGTTTCCAGGATGAGGAGATTCGCCAATTCTGTACGGTAGCGGAAACCGAACCATCACCTGTTTTTTGGAAAGACTTCCTTGTTCGTCAATATCAGCACGAATGCAAACATTAAAACTCCCATCTATCCAGTCTTCTACACTAACCAGATGACATGCATCAGATGGTAAGCCGAGATGTCGCCCAATAATCCTTCTGATCAGCTTCCGGTTGCGAGAAATATGTGTGAAGAATCGAATTTTCTCATCTCTATACCTAAGCTCATGGAGAATATTGCTGTCCTCTTCCTTCGCAGCAGAATAGGTGATTTCACCACGAAGTAAGCAGCGAGGCTCAAGAATAGCTGGGGGACGTTCGCCCTCCTTCAAGTCCTGAGACATATTATATTCATCAAAAATATCAATAGAATGGTGGATAATACCTATGCTTGGGAGACAGGTTGAAAAGGAAGTAGGATGTCACACCGGACAAACTGTACTCCTCGATACCCCTTATCACGTGACATATAAAGTATTCAGCTCCACTAAGGTAGCTTCTCATTTTTAGCTGTTGTTGCATTCATCGAGTCTTTCCCTGGGCCATAACTGTCCCTTTGCTTACCTTGTAGTGAGAACAAAGTTATTTCCCAGCTGAATTATTAGCAAAACCTCCAAATTAAGCCCTTTGCAAGCGAGTAATGTCAGTACTTCCATTGTCGCAAGATGAGGCTAGTATAAAGAAGCTGGCCTATGCAATCCGTTGATCTACTATATTCAAGAGGTCGGAATGTTCAATTATGTTCAATCAACGGCCATTGGTTTAATCCATTTATGTCAAATACGTAATTATTACAACATGATCTCTAATTTTGGACTAGTTCAGTGGTTCGGCGTCCTTCCTAGGTTGAGGCTCTGACCCTAGATCACATGCCTCTCTTTCCTTTCTAGGTAGGTAGATCGCTGAATCATTCTGCTTCATTCATATGTGCCTTCCCACCACAAACGAAACCACATATCCAGAATATCATCTATCTCTTCAAGATGGCTCAAACTTGTGTTGGAATACGAGATGAGTCACATTACAATGTCCTCAATTCAACCGTGCATCTTCCAAAAGTGGTAGTCGAGAAGACAGTCCCAAGGATTTGTTGGCATAGGAAATTTCACGCCGTGAGGAAGTACGGCCTGCATGGCGATAATCGACTACGTTACGGCCACATTCCGTTCCTCCACAAATATGACCGGGTTTTCTTTTTTGATCTTCTCATCGATGAATACAACCTCCGAATGAACATGCAGGAGCAGGAAAGAATCGAACGAAAAATGAATAGTCTCTGCCCGCCACTAGGATCTGATGATCCTGATAACGAGGAGTGGCTATGGGATGTTGATGAAGCCGGAATTGATTATAGTGACCTATCGCCGTTGCTTCTCGATTCACCGGGTTCATGTCATGAGGAGAGGCCGAAGTCTGCGCAGGTTTCGGTGTCTCAGAAGACACTCCATCCACGAGTCACAAAGTCCCACGAAAAAGGTATCAAGATCTTGCAGCACAAACTTGACGATACCAAATATCAGCACAGCCAACTGTCCCGCAAACTATACGAAACAGAGACCATGTTTCCTGACCTCGTCAAGCAGAACTACGAAGCCATCCGAAAAGACCCAAAATGGTACATGCGAAAGGAATTGGTGAAGGATTGTGCCGATCGAGGTGGATGTTGCGGCCGCGATTGCGGCTGTTGTGCGTCGCGTGCCAAACATTACTATATAAAGGGCATTGGCCATTGCACGGTCGAGTGCTTTTGTTGCGTTGGCTTTCGAGGCTTCAGACCATCTCCAGAGGAAAAGAAGGATATCCTTAAGGGGATGATAATGATCCTCAAATGCGATATTGCGACGCATTTTGTGAGAATGGTGAATGCGTATTTCTCGAAGTCTTGAGTTATCAATGAAAACTCGCCTTGCTGGAAAGCGTGTCTAAATGTTGGAAAACAAGGACTTGAATTCGAATGTGCGATTTTCATGTGCCATGTGTGATATGCGTGGAAGAGAAGTCAAAACCCCTTGGTTGCCGCCAGTTGATGATTTAGAGCCATATGTAACATACAACCAATCAAGCATAGTAGCACGACATCAAGAATGGGTAGAATAATGGTAATGATACCGTGACAGAATTATACTATTCAGCGATAGTGTAGTAGAGTATTAGTAAATAGCGTCAAGCCTCCTCGATAGTAAAGACAGAGAAAGAACCTTTTGAGGGCTCGACACGACCACATGCGCAGCGTCCTAGATATCCCTGATAAGCAGAACTCAGATCGTGCAGCCTTGGGCGAATATTAGTATATACCGCTTTGAATTAAAAGCTCGTTCGTAATTTGAAAATAGAAGACCAACGGAGATTCTTCACTCCCAATTGCAATGTGTAGAATCTAGTGCCAGCGGCCGGGCACTGCTCCATATGCAATGTCTCTCGAGATCCCTTGGTATTAGATTCTCCCTCTATATTAGCCTAGGCATATCCTTTAGGCGCCTACCACAATGATGATGACACACTGGCCGCACTATGCGCCTTCCGCCGTTTAGCTCACCTGTCGGTTCTCTTGGGAGGCCCAGCCCAATTATGTATTAAAACAAGCACTTCCCCCTCCTAGGTCGACTAAGACCCTCTATCAAGGCCTTCATTCAAATCTCATAGTTCATACCCATGTCTGCCAGGGAGGACGTACAGAAATTCATGGTTGTTCTTTGGCGGAAGCAGATGGTACTCGCTAGGCGATTTCTACTACAAGTTTTAACAGGAGAGGGAATTGTCGGGTGTGCAATAGCTATGATTATGAGCTTATATTTCGGGTTTACTATGTTCTACAGAGAAGACGAGAGTCAAGAACAAATTGCTAGGATTCAATCCATGCAGGCTGACTTGAGGAGTTAATGCTGAATATGAACTTTCCATGCCTAGATACACATATACTAGTCCATCGCATAAAATGGTAGAGCTAACGATCATAAAAAAATCATTTGTTGCCCTTGGCAACATCCTGCAAATACCCAAGAAGGAACGCCTTGTTACTCGGTGATGCAATGCGATTGGGGGTCATGTCATTCTCAGAGGGTGTTCCACGGCGGGAGGGAGAATCCCCATTAGTGGGGAGATGAAGGGATGAGAGCGGGCTCACCAAACCGGACGCTGCAAATGACGGTTGGTTTGCCATGGTAGCCTGGTATTCTTGCGCAGCGGAGATTGGAGAGGGAGAGGCAGGCGCCTTCCCAAAAAGAGATAAAAGTGCCTCTTTTTGAGCAGAAGTTTGGCTGGGGCGTCGGTTGAAGCTGCTTTGAGGTGCCAATTCAGGACGCTGAGGCGATGAATCAGGCAAGCTGGGTTTGCGGCCTGCACTGCCCGGCCCCATCGCGTTCGTGAGCAGGTTCTCATAGCCAGTCTTCTCTGAACGTCGCAGGATCTGAGGCTGGAAGGGCTTCACCGGCTCTGGAGCTCGTGGCTGGATAGGAGAGTTCTGCGCCGGCTGGACAGTTTGTAAGTTGTGTCTCGTGGCAGATGCATCGCGTTTGGCAGTCTGTGGACGCGACAGAATCGTGATTGGCGAGGACAGCGGCTGTGCTGATGCTTGTTGTCGGCTTTGATTGTTCTTGCGACTTGAGCCATTCGTCTTCTTGGGCGCTGCCTTCGAACTAGCTTCAAACTGGGGAGTGCTCACAGGCCCTGATACTGTAGCTGCCATCTGGCCGGCCTTGTTCGCCTGCGGTCCACTGTTCTTATCAGAAACTTGCTGTGAATTGTTTCGCTGGAGAATCTGAATTTCAGTATTCGGTTTTGAGGGAATGGAAGAGGGGACTGGGTGACCGGATAGTTCCACAGGTGAAGGAGTAGGTGCCTTTTGCTGACCCCCCTTGAAGAGATCCAGCAAGCCGTTCTGGTGCGGAGAAGTCTTAATGGTCTGACTGGCTCCTGAAGCTGGAATGGCTAGAGTGGCGGCATGGGGACTGTTGGGGGTCTTGGAAGCGTCTCCTTTGAAAAACCCCAGCAATGCACGCGAGTGATTTGTAAGTTTCGGAGGTGGCAGCTTGTTTGCCGGTGGAATCGCCGCACCAGACGCTTGAGAAGGGTGAGCGTGCTGGGAGAACTGAGGGTCACCTGTACGCTGGAAAGGTGCGGGCGCAGGAGCACTGGGCGGAGCCGGAGAGTATGTATTGGAAAAGTTCTGGGCATGAGATTGGGGGGCTCTCTGCAGCGAAGGAGAGGCCGACAACTCATTCTGAGCGATAGGGGGATACTGAGGATGCGCCGTCACATGTGCAGAAGATTGCATAGAGTGATGAGGGACCGCGTTGTAGGATTGAGGCGTCAATGTCTGCGGCGACGGAATCAATGGCGCTGTTTGGTGATGCTGCTGAGGGAAACCGGGAAAGAAATTTGGAGCCAAATGAGTTGCTTGGGTTGAAGCTTGCGGCACACCCGGTGACTGTGCGTGTGGCGATGGTCCAGACAGCTTATGCACCCGAGGGGCGGGAACACTTGAGCCTTGTCTCAGCAAGGTAAGCAATGCATTCGACTTCGACTGATCAACCCTGGCAGATTCAACAGGTTGGTCAAACTGTGGAGATGGCACCTGTACCGGCGCAGAGTGGCCTCCCCCAATCTTTAAAAGTTGTTTGAGATGAGATGAAGCATCCTGTGTCGAGGTGACCTCCGGAAGATCACTTGGGACAGCCGCCCCAGGATTCTGCTGCTGAGCTGCGACACCGTTGCTACCGTAGCTTGTATCATCCAAGGTGTATCCTTCGTTATGCGAGTGAGGATTGCCTGCTTGAGCCTTGGCGTCCAATTTTTTCTGTTGCGCGATCCACTTCTTCAGCGGGTGCAGGAAGGGGGCGACCATGTAGAATTTGTTTGCATTAGTCACTGCCGTCCCTTCATCTTGTTTGTTTTTCCTGAGAGTTGGGAGCTCTGAGAGCTTGTACCATTCAATCTTACTGATTTCCTTCCGCGTACGAGGCTCGAAATGAGCATCACGGGGAACACCACGGAACACGTAAAGTCGCATATGTTGCTCCCGCATCGTAATTTCGATATGCTTGACCGAGTCGTCGTCTTGCACCAGATTGGCCTCACGTATGCCAAAGCCAGTTTCTTCGTACACCTCACGAATAGCACAGTCCAGATCCTTCTCGCCTTTGTTGATCTTGCCGCGAGGAAAGCTCCAATTGGCGCCCTTTTTCCAGCCCTTTACTAGAACTACTTCATCCATATCCTGATTAAGCATGATAGCCCCGCGTACTGGGACACGAGTCTTGTAGGCCAAGAACTCCGAAAACGCAGTGATGTGGTGGTAATGCGACCATTGCGACATAAGAGGGCAGTGTTGAAAGATGCGCAGCGCGAAGGCCTTCAGGGAGAGCGAAGGAAGGGCGGGGTCAAGAGGGCGAATGAAATCTTCGTAGAACCATTGCGCTTCCTCGACCTGAAAGCAGATCCGCTCTACTGATTCGAGCTCTTCATGAGGTAGGTTGATGATGAAGCGGACACATAAGTCATCCAGCCCTGTGAAAATTTTCCCGGTGAGATGAATTCGCAAATGGGCATTGAGGATAGATTCAAGACTCACAGTCTTCTAGTTGCATTTTTGTCTCGGTCATATTGGGCGACAAAGCTTAGCATCTCCGCACGAGCGACCGAGACTGGGGTGCGTTGCAGGTCGCGAGAGCGACGCGCGAATAGAACAAGCTAAGACTAGTAGTTCTGTGATACGAGCTTCGGGATACTTCGAGAGAACAGTGACAGATCAGTGTCTCAGAATACCGCGTCGGGAGCAACGAGAGGAGAGCTGGCGATCAGAGGAGTTAGACCCTCAGGTCAACGAGCGGGACTGCCCAAAGTCAAGGCTGACTCAGGTGTGGCGGTGGAGGCTGATGCGGCTCAACTGTTCAATGAGCAGCAGAATTCAGCCGGATTTAGAAATTGAAAGACGGTATCTCAGTGATAGGCTGATAGATTCCTTTGTTTGAAACAGCGCTTCTTCTTTTCAGCGCAACGGTAGAAAACCGTTCGTCTTGGTCTTCAACAACGCCACCTCGGCATTCTGTTCTTGCGCTGCAGCTTTACGACGAGGTTTAAGTACTTGGATAACCTGTTTCTATGATTGAAAAAAGTACGAATTCAATCGCAATTTAGCAAGTCTGAAGCTCTAAGCCCTTCGGTCGTCGAGTCTTCAAGAGTCCTAGCCCTAAAATCTATGATCCCAGTCTCTTCGATTCTTCAAGGCATGACAATTGAATCGGGATCCTTAATGGACCAATCCGCTTGATGATTGACCAACCTTTTTAATCTTGATGATTCTGGGATACCTCGAACCAAGCTAGTAGCTTTTATTATTTCGTATAGAAAGCTTAACTAAGTACTTAATATCAACTCGACAGTTACCAGCTCGAATACAAGTCTCTTGAAAGCCAATTGACTACGCCACATAAACACCTACTGGACCTTGATACATACAGAGTAGGTAGCTGGATTTTGAGGAAGAGAATCTCAACGAAGTATAAGTAACGATCAGAGAAACCCTGGTCGGGATTTAGTACCCAACGCGTTCGGAAGCCCGACCGATAAAGGAAAGCTTCCGAACTGTCTTTTGTTAGTAAGCGGTTGGCTTGTGAAATGTTTATCTGACTATTGGTGGTAAAATTAATCTTCATAGGTTTGATTAAGCTACGCTTGAAGCTTCCTGTAGAGAGCTTGTCTCTCTGGTGATACTGCACCGTCAAAATGAGCCAAGGCGTTCTGTGCGCTGTAAGTGCTGCTTCTTGCGGGACGGAACTACTCGGCGTCGCGATGATCTTTCAGTAGCTAACCACCATCGCAGTGCGATCTCTGTCACTCGAGGAAGGTTAGTGGCAAAATATGGATATCGTGATCTCCAGAGCTAACTGTCATCCAGGTCCGCTGTGACCGGCAGCCGATTTGTGCAAATTGTACTGACGCAGGCCTTGAATGTCGCCGTACTAGGCCGGCACGAGGAACTCGGCCTGACTCATCTTTAACGTACGGTCACTTTGCAAACGAATCAAATGATCGTATTAAATAACGGAGTAGGATCTCATCTCTTGGAGAACGGATTCTAAGGCTTGAAGGCACTATTCCTCTCCCGCAAAAGTAAGCAGACCTTAAGGTTTCACGTCTGTAAAGACTAATGTTGTACCCAGAGCCCCGGCAAATGTTGACCGTCCAGACCACGAAAGCCACAATGACTCTCACATGCTTTCCAAAAAGAGGAAGCTCAATAATGCTTCGTGGCTGAGCTCCGAGAACAAGTCCCCCGATGGCAGCTACGGCATAATAAGCCCTGCTGACTCGTCCCACTATGCGGAAAGCGCCAAAATTATCATCCAGAGTGAGCTCAATGGCAATGAATCCCTCAAGGACGAAAGACAGTCAGTTCTGAAGTCTGCGTTGGAGTTTGTCAATAAGATGGCCCAACGACCAGCTATGATTAGTGACTGGATGCCGTTGGAGCTTCCAGAGGTGGACATGCCCACTTCACCAGAAGACATCGCCCCCACTTCAGAGCTGTTCTATATGCTTTTTCGAGGTGCATAGTGCGAAAAGTTCAACTGCAGCAGAAGCGTTTACTAATTAGAGGACAGAACCCACCGTGACAGATCACGAATTCCACCGCATACAATGGCCCGATCATATTTCAGACAATGTGTTGCAAAAAATCGCGACAGCCCTTCTTGAACCTGACATTGGAAGTCAGCTATTTTATCAATATTGCATATGCGTATACGTGAAAGCCATTCTTCGGGTCATGCAAATGCCTCGGCTTTATACAAACCCTAGTGTCAAGAAACACTTCGAAAAATCAATGCGGCGGTACGAGTCACATGCGCTCTACGCTTTGAAAAACTTGAACATTCTCAGTGCCCCCAGCTTGTCTCTTATACAAGCATTGGTATCAGCAGTATGGCACAGCCTCTTCTTCCTCTAAAAACCCTGGCTAACAAATGACGCAGGCACAACTCATGCAATATCTCGGGAACATGGGCCAGTCCTGGGTTTTTACGTCCTATGCCGCTCGCCTCATTATCTCTATGAACTATCATGAGATTAAGAGCGCGGACCTTCCTTTGGCTCACGAAGAGGAGATCAAGGGATGTATATTCTGTTGCTATTATCTGGATCGGACCCTTGGTTCTCTTTTCCATCGACCGTTGTCCCTACCGGAGCCCAGATTATCTGTCACGGAGCTCGCAAGCGTATTCTCAAACGACCTACACGCCACATTGATGCCAGTAGTTCTGGATTTAGCGCGCGTGCAAGGCGAACTCCTGAAATGCTGCAAATTGGCAGACCGTGGGGCTAAGCTCGCCCACCAGTCAAACTTGAACGATCAGATGGTGGAAATTTTTCCCAGGTTACACTGTGTAAGTTACCATATCCTTGTGTTGTGTGATATAAAAGGGATGCTGATTCATTTAAAGCCAACTCGAACATATGGGTCAGATGTATTCTCTTGCGAATGGCTCGCAGTCGAGTTTGCATACCATGCAATCATGGTTGACATTATGCGATCAAGGCTGAAGTTTATGTTTTCTCCAATGACACACAGAGAGTGCATAGCGCACTCTCGCACAGCACTTAAGGCGATGCTATCCATACAGAAAATCCTTGCGAACACTCCTGGCTACGAGGATCCTTTCCCATCTTTCCTTACTTGGTGAGCAATGCTGGGATGGATTGATATCCATAGATATGTTGCTAATAATCCCGGCCGCAGGACTATTCTGCTTTATCCCTTGAGTCCTTTCTTTGTTCTCTTCTGCAATGTCATCGGAGAGATGAACGTGGACGACTACAACATGATCGAAGAAATCCTCCAAGGCCTTTCCCACTTTTCCGCAAGCCCATACGTTTCAAAACTCTATAACCTTTTGGAAACCCTCCAATCTCTTAGCAAGAGCTTGTTCGATGCGCAAAAGCGCTTAGATCCGCCGAAGAAGGTTGCACCTTGGTATCCAGCAGCGATGAGGAAAAGCCAAGACTCTCAGGATGATGTTCAAGGTAGATTGCCCAGCACAGGAGAAGTCATTTCATGCATCCCTAGTATCTCTGACCCACAGCAAGCGCTGGGCTTTGGTGATGGGGTCAATGCTTCAGAAGACGAGCTGATGTGGCACTTGTTCACGAGCAATCTTTCGCTAGACTGGTTTGACACCGGTCTCACTACTTCGAATGAAGCCTGTATTAATATATAGAATAATTAGCCCCACTCATCAAATCATTGACTGACAATTACAATAACTCTGTCTCTGCATAGTTCGTAACTAAAACCTTGGAAGTGGTGGTGCGGATTAGTAAGACGTGCGGCTTCCCCGGTGTTGTATTGGGGAGGCCACGCAAGTCTGGCCTCGACGGTTCCGGAGTTGCGCCCTTATCACGAACAACGATCCTTTTCCAAAGTCCTCGTTTTCAACCGTCCCACGCCAAGTTGGATGCTCTTCGACTCCAAAGCGCACCCATTACTGACCCTTGGAGGCCGTCTTACTGCTGCTAACTGGTCGCGATGAAGAGCTGGCTCCAGACCTTGGGCTTGACAGCCCTACTGGCAAGCTCAGTGCTCGCCAATGAAGTTGAAATTGTGAGACGCCCGGCCGAAGAATAAATGCTGAATATTTCAATTCCCATTCAAGTCCTAATACGTTTCTCATCCAGAAAGCTGACGAAAATCACCGACAACGATGCTCAGGGATGTACAGCCGGAAGGCATGGGGAGGAAGCGTGGACCCCTTTATCCTTGTCAAATTCTCCAAGTCGGAGGTCGGAGAAAGCGATCCATTGGCAAGCTTGGTCATCTTCGAATGGCAAGATTACGGATTGATTGGCAAATCTTCCGGAGGCGACGGCGAAAACGAAGTATGTCTCTTGAATTACGCTTCCATCTCCGCTCAAAATTTCTCTAGCGCAAGAAGGAAGAACTAATGAATGGCTCCTAGCGCCGGGAAACTATTTGCGACCAAGCGGCCGTCGACGCCAAATCTTGCACCCAAGAGCAACTTGGCTCTTTCCTCCTGGCCAGCAACGCCACCGATGTCTCCAAGAACCCGATCATTTCCCAAGCGATTCACCTCAAGGACCCTGATGCTGTCAAATACCCCGTTAAGAATACTGGCTTCTACTGTGTCAGCACATATGCATACTCTGGCGAGGACTATACTGCTGTCGTGACCTTCCGCAACTCCTTCGGCGAGCTTCCCGCTACACAGATTGCGAAGCTTCCATTCTACGGAACCTTGTCCCTCGTGTACGCCGTGATCGGTATCTTTTGGGGCTTCCTTTATTTCCAGAACAGAGCCGACATCCTCCCCGTCCAGAACTACATCACTGCAATCTTTGTTTTCCTGGTGGTGGAAGAAGTCATGACCTGGGGTTTCTACAATTTCCAAAACATCCACGGTCTGAATGCTGGAGCTAAGGCATTCATGATCCTTGTGGCTATTCTGAACGCCGGGCGGAACGCTTTCTCGTTCTTCCTATTGCTTATTGTCTGCATGGGGTACGGTGTCGTCAAGCCATCACTTGGTCGAACAATGATCTACGTTCGCATTCTAGCTATCGGACACTTCGTGTTTGCTGTGGTCTATTCTATTGCAAGCCTGTCCATTACCCCTGATAGTGCTGGACCCCTGGTGCTCCTGATTGTGCTTCCCCTTGCCGGAACCCTGACTGCGTTCTACGTCTGGACCCTGAACTCTCTGAATGCCACCATGAAGGACCTCATCGACCGCAAACAGAAGACCAAGGCGATGATGTACAAGAAACTCTGGTGGTGCATTCTTGGTAGCATCATCGTTATCTTCGGTTTCTTCTTCATCAACTCTTTTGCCATGGCTGGCAGCAGCGATGCTAGCTTCGTCCCGGAGCACTGGAAGTCACGGTGGTTTGTGCTGGATGGCTGGCTCAATATTGTGTACCTGTTTGATATTGCTTTCGTTGCGTACCTGTGGCGACCAACTGCCAACAACAGACGTTTCGCTATGAGTGACGAGGTAAGACACTTACCCTGTACGACCGGCTGTTGCCGTTCGCATACTAACTTTTCCGATAGCTTGCTCAAGATGATGACGGATTCGAGATCCGCTCATTCGGTAGCGGTCTTGACGAAGAAGACCCATTTGATGCCCCTCCGGAGTACCCTGGCAGCTCAGCCGCGGAGGGCCGCCGAGATCTCTCCCCGCTACCACCAAAGCCTGTCTCTGGCGGCCCTGCCCGCCAATCTCTTGAGGAAGAGACCATCTTTGCTGTGGGTGATGAAGACAAGTGGTCCGACGATGAGGGAACGCCTCGTAACTCTGGGGAACGTCAGAGACTCACTGAACATTAGTTCGAGTAAGATGCTGACTGCATCCTGGACGTGTCAAGATTGAGATTTCTGTAGATGGAGTGGCCAGGCTACTATTATCTAGGTTACTGCTTATGGTCACAGCATGTCACGGCGTTGGTCCCTTTATTTCCCTTGATTTTTCGTGTTCGTAAAGGAGATCTACTTCCGTGCCTCCAACCTTGGTCGGCGAAAGATGTGATGACTTGCTTGCGCCGGCCAGTCGCGACTTATTGTTTGTCCATCTTCTGTATAGCTATTTACAAGTCAAAAACAAATAACTAAGACATTTTCCTCAATGGTGTGAAACCCCCCGCTAGAACCGTGTGAGATTGGTTATTGATCAACAAATGACTACTCTTTGAGCTCGATGGCAGAACCAGCGTACCGATATTTATTGTGATCTGATCCCCACGAAGACTGAACATTATTACCACTAGCACAAAACCAGTGGCACATATCTGATATCATTCATCCCTGCGTGTATACATACACGAGCCGAACCTTCTTCCAGTTACCATACGATCGAGTCATACTTTTAGCCCCACTTCCATATAACAGCTGCGGGGAACATTTCCATTCAGCCTCAAAGAACACCCCACCGCAAGGAAAAGTCGAAGCATTGGCTCCAGCCACGACTCTCCTCCCCCCCACCCTCCGCCTATGAACAGCTTTTAGCTACCGGCTCCCCCCAAAAGCGCCAATAGAGGAGGAGGCTATTAGCTCCGCGCGCACCCCAAACCCCCACCCCTCCACAATGACACACGACCCCGGCGCCAGCAAAGCCAGCACCCAAGCCTCGGCCAATCTGCACCAACAATGCCGCGACCTTCTGTCCGAAGTCGATGAGTTCCAAGACTTGCTCCGCCGCACCCTCCGCAATCCGCAGCTAGTCGAGGTGCGGCAGTTTCGCTCCAGTGTTAATTCAGAGTTGCGGATGGTCGAAAAGCTGATTGAAAACGCTCGGGCTGAAGGAGCCGGTACTGGCGGGCTTGGAGGCGAGGAGGTCGAGGAGGCTGAGAAGAGGCTGTTGCATGTACTCCGATCGTCGAATTTGCCGTTTCATCAGGCTGTATGGGGGGTTGTCAGGTCATCTTGTGTGGGGTTGGTGACCCTGGGGAGGAGGGTGTATTGGGATGACGGGAATGATGCTAGGAGTAGAAATATGCCGCCGCCGAAGGACAAGAATGGGAAGAAGGTTACTGGCAAGGATAAGCGGAAGAGTGTGCTTGTGGATGTTGTGGCCGATGATGGAGAGGAGTGGGTTAAGGTGTCGACTATGTCGGAGAGCAGGTTGTTGTTTGAGATGGCGGAGAAGGGGTGGGAGCGAGATTCTGAGGATGAATTCTCGGATGGAGAGAAAGCTCCGAGGACGGTGCTGCGGAATTTCGATGACGAAGACTCCGATGAGGAGGATGAACTGGAGTTGATTAAGCTTGCTCGTGGTTTGAGAAAAGCTGCCGATGCTACGTTGGTGAGGTACAGGCATCCACGTCTACGGATTGTGCTACCCAAGATTGAGGAAGGTAATGTTCCTGGGATTGATGAAATTGTGAATGAGATGCGAAGCTATGGCGTCGAGGTCCAGTGTCGAAATAGCCTTCGAGAATCGCAACAGAACCCGGGGCTAGATGCTTTACTCCCTCGGCCGTTCAAGCGATTCACTCCCAGTCTCAATGTGGACTGCACGCTGCTCCTTGCAGCCGTATCCGACTTGTCTCACGTCAAAGATATTCCCGTGTGTCCGGGCTATCACCGAGCAGTCGTACGTCAAATAGAGGGAGAAAAGCACATGCCTTTACTTCCAGCTGAACTCTGGCCAGCGATGCGCAACCGCGAGCTGTTGTGCACATCTGATGCTGCTGCTCGAATGCTCGAAATTGTGAATACCATCGGAACCGACACAGAGAAAACACGAACAAAGATCCTCATGGGCAAACCGCCTTATGACCAATTGGATCAGGAGTCGCTCATCGAAGAGTTCCAGAAGACATCTGATCACAGTGTACCGAACGAGTGGAAGTTGCCTATCAAGGTAAGTGATGCACAGCCAGCCATAGATGCGGCAAAGGCAAGAAAGACGCTTCCACCCGTCGCATACGAGGTATCCGAGAGCCTATCTGATATCAATCATAGTGTGTTCATGTATGGCTGGGCAACGGGGATCACCACCATCTCCAGCAACCGTACGATCGACAAGCAGATCGAGAATACCATTGAGAAGAAGAGAAATGGCGATAGGGACCTTGAGGGCCCCAATGTTTGGGTATGCGACACTGCGCGAAGTCTGGTGGGGAAGGAAAAGAATCGCAAAGAATAGACACCGTGAGCATGCAGCGCATCCGATATGACCCTTCGGGGAAAAAGTATTGGATAGAACGGAGCTTTGAACAGAATAGAGTGTAAACCTTTTCATGTAAATTGGGTATCTTGGTGCATCGTCACAGTACTAAAATTGAAAGCATTTGGCGGTCAATGGGATTTTACAGTTGATTATTTCTCCGAAGGCTTGGAGATATCGTCAGGCGTCCAGAAGAAAGCATCTCGATCGGCAGTGGCAAGCATGTTGAATCGTGGGTTGAACTCGATCAAGGCCGTCATGCCGCGATGCGACAGCTTGGTCATCGGAAGAAGCACCTTGTTATGGTCGGGGTTCTGCTGGAGATCCCACACAAGGACGTCTGGCTGGCTTCCATTTCCTCCAAGGACATAGCGCCCATCAGGGGTGAAGGTCGCATCGCCTTGTCCCAATGGCTTTCCAGTCGTCGAAACGGGGGCAGCTCGGCCAGGTGAGCCTGCCTTTCCAGCTAGGAAAGCCGTCAGGGTGCCCTCGAAGGCATCAAGGATGTAATGCCCATGTAGATCAGTACCTATCATGAGATGCTTTCCATCGTTCGAGAATTCCAGCCGAGTCCAGGCGCATCGCCGAGTGGATGGGGTGTAAAACTCTTCGAAGGGAGAGATATCGAAGGTTGCGAAGGGGGCTTTGTCGTAGTTACGGAAGTCGTAGAGGAGGACTGAGCTGGTGGATTGCGACGCGATCGCGATCACTGATGCGGAGGGGTCAAATGCTGCAAGATACGGGGTCGACAGGTTCAGTTTGCCTTGCGGGTTACGCGAGCCGACGTCCCACAGTGTAACTGTGTTGTCCTTTGAGCAAGAAACGAAGCTATCTCCGCCCGGAGACATCGTCAAGCATGTGACCTTGTCCGTGTGTCCAGTAAAGTAGCGCACAAACCCCTCGTTATGAAGGTCGAGTAATCGAAGCGCATGATCGACTTTCGTGCTCGCGTGCAGAACTTGGCGCGGGTGATGCGTGTATCGAGCTAGGTGGACACCGTATTTCTTGCTAGGAACAGATTTTTTTGACTTCCCTTCCTTCACATCGTAAATCTGGACAGTGTCATCATCCCCAGCACCGACAAGGAACTCTCCTTGATCATCAAAGTCCAACGAGGTCACGTAGGTAGACTCTGGTTTTGGGCCTCGGAATTGCTATGGCTTGTTGGCATTCAGCGTGTCAATTGGGCGAGTCTGTTTAGTCAGCTCTTACCTTTGCTGGACGAAAGCTACGAATCACATCTGGCAAAGCCTGCGTAGGCTGAGGGTCGTGTGAGGGTGTATGCGCCGACTGGGGTTGCGGCTGGTCCGTCATGATTGATTGGGTTCCAGATAACGAAGAGGTGATGCCAATAAGGTTCAGGGGATAGGATAAGGCAGAAAGAATGAGCTCCCAGACTTGATTGGCGTAGGACCGCCGCAAGCAAACGATTTTGGAAGTCCTCGTCCTCTTTCTTGGCCAGCCAGAAGCTCCCCACGCGCCTCCCGTCTTTTTCGCGCTGGCCGGGCGCCGGATCCACGATAGTCCGCCTCACCGCCAGCGAGTATCGGAGCTCCACCGATGGCGATTGACCAAACACGGGCTCAAAAATTCGAGCCTCCGCCCATCAAGAGCCGCGGGTAAGCTTTTTGACGCGCCTGTCAACGCTGACCATCTCCTTGGACGCCTGACCTGATAACCTCACGGGTAAGCCGCCTGCACCGGCAGGATTTCTTCCAAAACTTCGCACGACCGAGGGAGAACACAGTCTATCCACCTATTCCTCAATCAGCCTTTGATCCGTTTGCTGTTTTGGACTCAACCGCCCCTCCGATCTGCCTCCGGTCCCTGGTCTTTGCGCTACAAAAGCTGTCGCATTCCACACGATGTCGACCACTCTCGGGTATGCGAGCCCACCAGGACTGCTTTGTACAGGAACTCATACTGACTAACTCGAATGTGATTAGCTCGTTCATTGCAGGAGGGATCGCCGCCTGCGGTGCAGTCACTGTCACCCACAGCTTCGAGACGGTGAAGATTCGGTTACAATTGCAGGGTGAACTCCAGGCCAAGGGAAGTGTGACGAAAAAGTACAAAGGACCTTTGCATGGTGTAAAGGTCATTTGGCAGAATGAGGGTCCAAAGGGTTTATTCCGAGGAATTGGTTCTGCCGTATGTATCACATCGGACTGGTGATGCAACACGGGACCACTAACATTTGCGATGCTATAGTACATATATCAGGTCCTACTGAACGGTTGCCGTCTTGGGTTTTATGAGCCCATCCGATCCAATTTTGCCTCGGTCGTCTACAAAGACCCCAGCGTCCAGTCTCTTGGAATCAACGTCTTCGCAGGCGCTCTTTCAGGAGTTATCGGTGCCGCCGCTGGATCACCGTTCTTCCTGGTCAAGACACGTCTTCAATCCTACTCCCCATTCCTCCCTGTCGGCACTCAACATAACTACAAGAACTCGTTCGATGGCTTGAGCAAGATCTACCGTTCCGAAGGCATTCGGGGTGTGTACCGGGGAGTCGGCGCTGCTATGATCCGAACTAGTTTCGGTAGTTCCGTACAGCTTCCAACCTATTTCCTTGCGAAGCGAACCCTCACGAAGCATTTGGACCTGGCCGATGGGCCCGCTATGCACTTATATAGTAGCGCACTTTCTGGCTTCGTTGTGTGCTGCTTCATGCACCCTCCAGGTAGGTCAAATCCTGACACCGCAAAGTCTTTGCTATATGCTTACTCGATCCAGACACCATCATGGCTCGGTTGTACAACCAGACCGGAAACCTTTACGGCGGTGTGTTCGATTGTCTGTACAAGACCATCCGCACCGAGGGTGTGCTGGCCATCTACAAGGGTTTCTTTGCCCACCTTGCCCGAATCCTTCCCCACACTGTAAGACAAAAATATTTGCAATTTCCCATGCGATCACCATACTAACCCGCAATTTAGATCTTGACCCTCAGCTTAGCCGAGCAGACCAACAAGTTCATGCGTCGCGTTGAGGACCGTATCCTTCCTGACTCCCTCCGTGGCAAGATCTGATCTATCTCTAGGTAATCAAAAGTATACCCCTTTTACTTTTTAGCTTCACCTGGCTACTCTCGGGTTGATGTGGCCTGCTGCTTAGACTTGCCTAGGTGCATCATTGTGAAGCCTTGCGATGTTACCTTAAAATATAGATTCAGCATTTCCTTTGGGAAGAAAATTATAATATCCAAAAAGATATATGTACATATTTCAGTGTTCACTTTACAATCACCTGCTAGTAAATTACGTTCGACTGCTAGTAAAACAAGCGAAGACTTTCGGCTTGACAGGAAATGTGGGATTGATCTGAAGGAAAAAAGGATTCTCTTGAAAGCATTGGAGGTATCGGGCTGAGTGAGAGCTCATTTAAAAGTTTTCCCAGCCGGAGGGAATAACTCTCAAGTGCTCCGAGTCCGGACTCAGCTCGCCTAATGGCCCTAGGGAATGATTTTGATTTCTCTTTGTTTTTGCAGTGACTGGAAACTCCAATTCGTGGGTCTGAATTCTTTCGGGAAATTAACCTGCATGTATGGGTCTATTTTGCTGTACATCGACGAGATCCCAAGCAGATTTGCCATATCAAAAACTGAGAGGAAATCATCAACCGGAAACCTCTGAAATCTATATTAGTTGCACCCTTTCAAGAGGTATCTAATGGCTGAGCAAATCGATCTAGATAGCCCCTTCCCCCTTTCCACGATAGATATCCAAAGTCCGAGGAAATCTATCTACAGTCTGCTCACGGTTGCTGTTTCTTCGGATACTTTTTCTTTTATCTAAGGCCTTAGACTAGATTAAATTAGATAAGAGGAGGATCCAATTGGTTGATGCCTTCTCCTGATAAGGCTCTAAAGCCTCGTTTTGAACTTTGGTAGGTGCTGATAGGCGAATTCGCCTTTTTGACGCGACTGACGAGGGTAGTGTAAGACACGCCGAATTTACGTGCAATCAAAGCAGCTAGGTGCAGAGGTGGCGAACATGTGGGAAACTCTTTACAGATGTTTCCCCGAGGTGCGTAAGGTCATACGGAGCTCAGCATTCGATGAGATCCAGAATGGCCTCACGCTTCAAAGTACTATTTACCGTGCATTTGGACATTTCCGATGTGCCTTTGAGCCAGTTGTGCGTCTATTCTCCGTCCCTAGAAACTAGAAAGAGTCATCATTCTCAACTAATTATGGATATAGGCTGGCGCTCCACATACATACAACTTTGTTGTATTTCGGCGATTTCCGGTCGAAATGAGGCCATTCATCCCCCAACAGGTCACTTTTGGTGATGCAACCGAGCCTGAGTCGGAATCTAGTCTCCCAAGCCGCATATTATTAGATTGCCATTATCGGCTTGCAAACTTCTTCGACGCAAGTGGGATGAGTGAAGTGATTGACAAATCACTTGACTCCTTAAAAGAGCTTAAGACTGGTTCAGTCTTAGAGCATACTGGCACCACTGATGTAGGATCTTTGCTACGATTCTCGGTCTGGGAAGCTATCACAGCGTAAGCTGGGGAAATTCTTATTGATCAGTTCTGTAGAGAAAAGTAGAATACTATCTAAAAGATATGTGTAATGTGGCTATCTCCAGGTAGGAAGTAGAAGTGTCTTACAGCTATACCTAGGTAGAGTGATGATGATTTATTGATGTTATCCTAAAGGCTATATGGAAAGAGGGGCCCATGTGACCAGCGCTCCCAAGGGCTAACGTACCTAAATAGAAAAAATGGCTGAAAAGAAGTCATCAAGCATAAGCTGCCCAACCTAGCAAAAGTTAGCTTTTCACCTATGACAGCCTTGCAAGGCACACATACCGCAATAGAGCACAGCGAGATTTCGCTCATCTGTTGCTGTCAAGGAACAATGGGATTCGATGGCGAAACGCCAACGAAGTGGCGCCTTGGAGGATATCAAGATCCTTTGAGCCGAAGCCGGACCCATTCAATAATGATGAAGCGGGGCAAACAAACTTCCTTACATCTTATTGGCCATATTAGGGCTGAAACCCATGCTGAGACCGAACCCCTGGCGAATCCCCCTATAAAAGAGGTTGTTTGTTTAGATGAAAGAGTAGGCTTTAGTCTTTGTTCAGACAGGAACCCTACTGAGGAATCCTATCGGATAATACTATCTCACCTGGTCAACTGGTGCCACCCAAACCTGGTAGTTCCCTCACACTGGGTGGCAACGTTCGCCATTGTCTTGTTTGGAGGTTGGAATTCTGGATAATGAAGCACTTGCAAGTCGTGCAAGTCGGCGACCGACACATGGAATAAACATAGGAATTCCAGAGCATGGAAGTTTCCCCGTGTTCCCCCGGTGATGGCAGGTTACCGGATTGGCATTGATTGCGAGGTTGATCTTGATAAAAATAGCAACTGCGGAGAACGGGCTGCTGATATAACGCCGCGACCAAGCCCTCGGGGTGATAGTTATACGAATGGGCCAATCAGAACCCCTGCTAGTTTACGCAATCGAGTGAAGCACCCCCGGTTTTGGCCCCTGTTTGTAGCCAGCACAGTCAACCAGGACCCGGCTCATGCGGTACGCGATCCTCCCGTTTTAGGGGCTTGTGTGATGGAAGACAAGGCAATCGCTTTTGTCGGCTTTAAACTGGTGGGCTTGACCGCATCTACTGCCAATAAGCAATCAGATCGACCCAGCAGAGCCCCATCGTGAGAGCACCGCCTGCATCGTCCCCCTGTATCACAGCCTAGCTCTGAGGGGCCCGGGGCTTATAACAGGATACACACTTCCGTATTCGCGACGCCAGTCTACGGCTTAAAATTTTGCACCGCACCTTGGCATGAGAGGAAGCCCGTTTCCCTACCTCATATATCAGGAATACCACACATCTACTTTCGAGATTCGAGCCATGGCCATGATTGGAGGTGCAGAGATGCGAGCCCGCCGCGGGGAACTGGTGCGGCAACGGTCGGATTCATGGAAGAGATCTACGAAGGACATGTGGCGCAAGTCGACCACAATGTGGTCTGATTTGGAGAACAAATTCCATCAAACGACTGTCGAGGTATGGCATAAATCGGCAGATTCATTGTCCACTTCCAAAGAAAAGGCTCAACAGACCACCACCAAGGCCTGGCATCGCTCAGCCCATTCCTTGAGTAGTTCTAAGAACAAAGCACAAGAGTCCACTATGAAGGCATGGGACCAGTCCACCGACTCGTGGAACCACGCGCTCAATCGATATCGCCAATCGACCACCGGTATACTAGGCCGCTCAGCCGAGAATCTGGTTCGACCAAACAAGGAAGTCCAACAGCGAACGCCTCTATCGGACTGGATGGCAACCTCGGAGGTGCAACAGCCCGATCGAGGCCTCGATGGACAGCAAGGCGAACAACAAGGCGAACAACAAGGGCAGCCCTCATCTGAGCCAATATCACCCACTGCGCAGCGACCACCCCATTATGAACCTTCCTGGCAGTCGCAAAGAAGTCGATCGGTGTCGTCACCACCTGTACAAGCATCACAGCCTGCTGTTCAGCCACAATCATCCGAATCACCCACAACCACACCCCTGCCTCGGTCACCATCTTTGCCTCACTCAGTCTCTGGGACCGAGACCAATTCACTCGCGTCTAGCTCATCCACCATCGATCTATCATCTAAGAAGACAAAGGCCGCAGATACCCAAGCTCGAGCCCTTCTCGACTTGACAAACGAGCTTACCGGTCAACTGGAAGAAGCAAGACAGCTTCGCGATCTCAGCTACGATCAGCTGGGCGAGATCGAGCGTCAATGGGTCAACACCACCATTACTGATGCCGACACGGCGAACCAAGAATTGTCTCATATTCTGGAGCCACTGCGGATTGATATGAGCAAACATCGCAAGGGCAGGCTAAGCTCCTCCAGCCGTAAGCGTTGGAGGGCTAAAGACTGCGAGCGAGCTCAGGACAAGTATTCTCGAGTCGCTCTCCAGCAAGGCCGGCTGCATAAAGTCATTGCACATTTATCACATTTCGACCAATCTCAACTTTCTCCCCAAGGAACGGCCGAACAGCCTGAGGAACTACCAATCTCTCCCGTCATTGAGCTAGCGACGGAAACGGAAAGATTTGAGTCCCTGCCCGCCATCACCGAACTTCCCGACGATCCCATCTTTATCCCCTTGGAACTCAACACAGGTTTCGCCGAGCTTCCTTCCGACCCATCGCCTGTGCGAGCTCGTCCCCCTCGGCCTTTGATACCTCGAAAACTTCAGGTACCGAAGATCATTGTCACGCAAAGCCCTGAGGATCTGTTGGATACCGAGGTCAGCACCACTGATGCTGGTTCCGTCAACCAAAGCACCAATGAGATGCATGATAACCAGGCCTGGAAGCAAACCAGGGATAGTTATCGGGATCAGCAATCTGCCTCCTTCACTGAGATCATCTCTAACATGGATACGGATCGCTCCCCTGCAAATGAGCAACTTGGAGGTCATCTTTTTCTCGATTTGCATCTCGTGGCCAGAAATGAGGAAGACCTGTTTCAAGTTTCTTTCTTTCTTCTTTCCTTCTTTCTTTTTTTTTCTTTTTCATGCCGTCATCACATTTCTTTGTTTTGATTTGAAGAGCCTTACTATACCCCATCTTTGTTTCAGTTTTGTTACCACAGAGAGTTTTCCGATAAGATTCTTGACGTATGATTATTTCCTTTCCGTGTATTTCTATAAACTGTGATGCGCCTTTTGTCGTTATTATGCAAATTACGTAGAGATGAAGCCCCCGAAGTCATTCCGGCTTTTGGCCGTAGACGATATAGACTTTGGTGTATATATGGTTTGACGTGTCTTTGAGTTCGTGTCGGACTCCAGCCAGCAGAGTCTCGATCTGCACGCGCTTCCAGCCCAGCATTCGTGTGAACAATGCATATGTGTAGGGTGGCATGGCCTCCAGCAGATTAAGCTGATGGTAGCGCCCGAGCTCTTTCAGTTTCGCGTCTTTTGGCCATGGATTTTGAGGAAGCTAGACACGGTCAAAACGGAGCTTCTGTGGCAACTACTGATATGCTCACCTTCATGATGTTTTCCGTGACGTTGGTGAACCCGGCTGTTTCGAGGCGGGTCTTCCATGTGCTCACCGAGGCCATATCTTTCCCGAATTTCTTTGACGCTATTCTGACGTATTTGACGACATCTAGTAAGCAGGGGACGTTGAGATGGGTTCCGTCGTCGGAGAGTGTGTTGACTTCGATGGTGGCCATTTCGAGCCACCCGCCTGGGTTGAGGTTTTCGAATGCTCTTCGAAATAACTGGTCGTGGTCTCGGATGCAGCCTTCGAGCTCTCGACCGTGAATGTAATCGAAGCCGTGGTTGTATGACCACTCTTGTTCAAAATCGTCTATCTCAAAGCGACAATTCGGCGGTACCCTAACTTATATCAGGCCTCTGTATGAATGATGCGGGGAGCAAGACTCACCACGAGGGTTGGATGGGGCTGAGATCGATTCCTTGTTCATTTTAGTATTCCCTAGGTTCCGCCGAGCGTAGTGAATAAGTCGCGACATACCGACAACCTCTGAGTCTGGATGCGCACTAGAGACAGTTAGAAAACAACGGGCCGGGATTAAAATCATTGGTCGACGCTTACTCTGCAAAATCCATCGCCCATATCCCTGTTCCTGTCCCCAGGTCCAGTACCCTTCTCGGATTCTTGATTGGAGCTTGGTAAAGTTCACCTTTGAGGAGCATCAAGTAAAGGTGGTGACTCTATTTTCAAGACACGTCAATATGGAATAGGGATCCTTCTGCACGAAACAAGCTCACCAGATCCAGACGATCTTGCTCTTGTTCGTCGTTTGGCTGAATCGGGTTAGAATCCAATCCAACCGAATGAGTTGCACGTAAAACGTACTAAGACGTATTCCTCCTTCATGGTATGAATGGTACCTGCGGCCGTTCTAAAGAATGAGCGAAAAGACCTAGCGTGGGGAAGAAGGCAACATTAGTACCTCATATCTAGGACAATTAGCGACGATTTCTTGCGGCGTAGGAAAACCCTTGATTATGGTTCTCGGCCATTGCACGGGGCCACACCTACCGGTATTTCAAAGCACTTGACGTGACACTTTCGGTATAGCTGGCATCGTCGACCCTGTATGCGGGTTAGCAACATGCAGGTCGAGAGAATGCGCCTGCACTCACGACCCAGGGTACGTTGAATCATTGTCGGAAAGCTGAAACAGTTAGTCTTTTTGAGGCTCTAGATCGCCACAGGAACAACCCACATCAGGTTCGATTGGAGATGACCTGTGTGCCATCGTACGTTGCATTCCCCGGGCTAGGAAGCCAGACGGTATAAGAGAACAAAAGAAATGAAGAATCGAAGGCCCTGAAGAAAAGGAAACGAAAGACTTTTGACCCCTCCAGCTTGGAGGCGACTAGGGTTCCAGACTGTCGGGATTCTATTCAAGGAAAGGCCGTACGAAAAATATTGGCGCCCCCTCCCCGGGAAACCCCCCCTCCCCAAAGCGCGGTACCGACAGTCTGGATCACCCTTTTGTGTTTAAGCAGTCTCCCGGGAATGTTATCCTGGCTCCATATGCTTCAACTAAAAATGGGTCCCGGTTCACCTAACCAGGCTGGGCCCTGTCAGGAGTAGGCAGGGCGAGGACCAGAGGACGGCTAACGGCCAATCGTCCCCCGAGGCGGGGCACGATGGACAAACCACGTCCATACTCAGTTTATACTATCCACCGCCTCCAGTCGATCGTCCTCTTGACGAATTCGTCGACCAATTGCGGAGCCGGTTCGTCCGCTGGGCGCTAAGCCCGGTTGCCTCAAGCTGCTGACGAAGAATGAGCAGAATCGGAAGATCTGCCTGTGCGATTTGACTCGGTGGATATATTTCCTCCCTTTTCTGGTAGGCTGGTCATTTCCCAGAGCCTTGGAACCAACAAAGCTACGGACGCACATGAGACATTGGGGATACGGTGCGGTGTGGTCCTGGTCACCGCGTTGGATGCATCGTAAATCCCAGCAGTTCGGGTCGTGGCCACTAAGAGCGGAGATTACCTGAAGGTCCGAGGTGTTTGCTGTTGGAGTTGATAGCGGCCGTGTGTCCTCAGCCTTCTATCATAAGGGCTGCTTCAACCGGAGCGGGCGAGTTAGTATCGAAATAGGCCCCATCTCAAAAGGCTTGTGTTTCTGTCTGACTCGTGCGCTTCCCCTTCCAACCCCGTCCGAGATTGGAAGCTCAGGCTGCGTCGGCATGTACCGATGCTGGGTCTGAGGATCTGCACAGGAGCATCTCTTTTTTTTTTGGGCTCTCGCAGCTGCACCTACACGTCGACTTGCGTACATATCTCCGATTGGTACATTAGGATTCGCACAGCATGGAATCGTATTGATCGAACGATCAAAGCATCGGGAGTGGCGACCAAACACTGTGGCCCCATCCACCTTTTACAGCTCAGAGGAAACCAATCCCGGCCCCCATGCTCTTTATCTGCGTGGTCTCCTGTTGGCGAGTTCCAGAGCCATCGATAGTATTTCGTTCCTGTGAATTGAATAGCATCGTGAAAATTAAGTCCCCGGCTTTGCGGGCTGCGGCCCGGTCTTTAGTCTATTCCTGCCTGGGGAGACCCTTTTTGTGGCTCCACTTGGATCAAATCTTCTACCGAAGCGCCCAGTCATGGTTGATCGCTGTCAGTCAGCATTGCGAACAACAGTCTAATGAAACCCAACCGTGGGGGTGTTTGCTTCCAGCGCGACTCGTACTACGTAAGCGCTAGACTGAGAGGCCCCGGGGGCCCCCGGTTTTGGGCCAATTTGGTTGATGCACGCTGCAAGGCGCTCAAATGGTCTGCACTAGTCCCTTTTCACTAGTGCCCCCCCGTGATAAGGATCTGGTTCCAGCGACCAGGAACTCGTCAACTTAATGTGTCCAAGAGGGCAGTAGTGACACCTTAGCTCCCAGGCTGCACATTCTGGATTGGTGCCTCAGGAATCAAGATTGATGTCATCTTCAATCTGCAATCCAGCCTTGGAAGCCGTCATAGCCAGTCCCTTCCTTTCACTTGGTGCTTTGTCTCATTGAACCCCCAACTCGGCTATGTCGAGAGCCTAACGGATACCTCTTCAAACTACTCCTGTGACCATACCTATTACCGGGGGAAACTAGCCCATGGTTTTAGTTCTTCCGACAACAAAATCATGGCAACAACCGCTCGACCCGCGCCATCCCCTGTGATCCTCCTCATATACCCAATTACCCTGCTCGTGGGCTCATTGTTCTCGGTCATTTCTCCCACAGCGCAAAATCCCAGGTCTGCCACCGCTGGAAAGTCATCAGGGGCGTTAGCGCCCTCACTTGCCGCCGATCTGCACATATCCGAGAACCCTGTCAACTACTTCGCCCGCAAGAACAATATCTTCAATGTGTATTTTGTGAAAATCGGCTGGCTCTGGACCACCGTTGCCTTCGCCTCTCTGCTTCTCGTACAACCCGCATACCGTTTCTCCCCCGCCCTGCCCCCGTCGCAGCAACAAACACGAGTCCGCCGTACCCTACAAGCCTTCCTGCGCTATGCCCTTGCAACGACGGTATGGTACCTGATGACCCAATGGTGCTTTGGGCCGGCTGTTATCGACCGTAGCTTTGTGTTCACGGGCGGAAAATGCCAAACCATCCTGAACGAGGCGAAGACTCTGGACCCACAATCAAGTGCCTCGGCCCAGCTGGAAACGCTGTTTAGCGCTGCGGCTTGCAAAGCAGCTGGCGGGGCTTGGAGAGGGGGCCATGACATCAGTGGGCATGTGTTCATGCTGGTATTGGCAACCTCGCTTCTCACGTTCGAGGCGATTGGGGTCGGTGCATTCTCGTTCCGTACGGCCGCGGAACATGAGGCGGGTCGTGAGCGCAAATCAAGCGACCCGGCCATCTCCGAGCACAGCGGCTCTGCGGACGGGTCTGGAGTAGCGAGGAAATGGGCTCTTCGTTTAGTGTGGACCGTTGTAGGTCTGAGACTGGTGGATGCTCTACATGACTTCCATTTGGTTCCATACATGGCTGGAGAAGGTGAGTGATCCTACGGTTCCAGGTCGGTCTCATCAAATCTCTAACTAGCTTCCTAACAGTGGACCGGTTTATCCATTGCTCTGAGTACTGTATATGCGATTTACATCCTCCCAAGGCACTGGTCACCTTGGAGAGAAATCGTTGGACTACCAGGGCTGTAATATATTGTTTGCATTTTCAATTTCCGAGGTTTCTGGCTTTCGTTCATGTTCATTTTCGCATAGATAATGCATTAATACACGATGCATTTTGGCTGTTCGTATTATCTTGAATTCGAAAACTAGTCCCACGTGGCCTCGTACGCGCCCTTCATGGCTCAGGGCCCAAATAGCCACTACAGAAAGCTTTTTTTACCACGAGATTAAAGGTTAGTGATCCGCGATGGGTTTCAAGGCTGTCATGCTTGTAACGTACCTCCAGGCATGAGGGCGGCGGCATACATCACACGAGTGATGGGCCGCAAGCCCTGCGGAGTCAGGTCCTCCGAGATAGTGAGCTGCATATAAGGATCCCAATCTGTAATGATGGCATCAGACCACGTCTTGTAATCAACCGCCCGTTCCTTGTCCGTGGTTTGCTGTGCCTGGCACTGAGCTCCTACACAAGTGCCAAATTCGCGGAAGGCCAAACGATACTTGATATTCCGCGCGAGGTGCCGATTAATTTCGAACAGGTCATCTATATCACCGATCAGCATTGCTACAAGCATTCCCAGCTGAGACGGAATACTGACAGAGTTGTTCGAAGCATCGTGTCGCCAGATTCGATGCCCAATCCTCCTTGTCTGCAAACCAATGTGCCGTCCACAGCGTCATGCCCAAATCCAAGGTATCATCAGAGACAAAGTGCTCTCCCTTCCGCGCCATCACCCGCTTATAGTCCGCAATCTCCTCCACCAGGAACTCTCCGTCCTTCGCCTCTCGAGCCGTCGCTTGCAGAATGCGAAATGTCACAAACCCATCAATAGGGTCCAAATTCCCCTCCGATGAAACCAAAGGCACCGAGAGGTCCATTGACATCTTCCACACCATCCGCGGCCGGTCACTCGTCCGATCCCTGAAGAACTTCGGATGAATCGCCCGCGCCAGTTCCACCGCCAGCCGGTTATACTGCATATTCCTCGACGCCCTCGCCATCCGGTTCAGCGCAAACATCCACAGTGTCAGATAGTGATGATACTGCCCGTCGCAATCGGAGCCATGCTCATCTGTCTTCCCAATGCGCAGTCCGCCTCCCAGAGGATTCGCCTCCGTTGCACCCGGTAGACGTGCCGAGCCGTCCCTCGTCCTACCCAGCACGTCGTGCACGGTTTCGATTAACTGGCGCGCAAGCTGCAGGTACCTGTCATCGCCGGGACTGGTGCCAGCTTTGGAGTATTCCGCGTGCATTGTGAGGAGGTTTATCACGCCGAATGCGTCGGTCCAGAGGTAGCGGCCTCGGTGGCCGCCAGAGTTCGCGGGCGGAGTCCAGGTCTTTGGGTCGTCAATACTGCTGAAGCTGCCATATACGGACTCCATGGCTTTTTGGAAGCGGTCGAGTCGGGGCGAGGGGCTGCTAATGGGGACGGCCATTTTGCTTGGCTTTCCTGGTACAGAGGTGGTTGGCGTTAGTAGAATGTCTTTATGCACCTGACTCGAACTCTGAAAGCCTTCGTTATATGGACAGGTATTTCTATATATAGTCAAGTGTGATGAGCTCTGGCTGATATTATGCCTCGTGGCATGGATGGCATTAAGTCATCATGACTTTTGCCATTACCCCGATGTGATATCAACAATTCGCCGCTCCGCGAAACACCACGGATGAATATAAGGACGGATAATGTCGCGAAAGCGATTATGTGATGTTTCAAGGCTCAAATCTCTTTACATACCCACACCTAATATCTTGTCGTCCCCCACGATGTCACAGTTACAAGACCAATTCGACCAAAACCTCACGCCCCTCCCGGAAATCGATGACAAAGGGTTCGGCTCAATGTTTGACAGCTTTGCAGGCCCCCAAGTCGTTATGCTCGGCGATGGCAGCCACGGAACCTCCGAATTCTACTCTGCGCGCGCCCAAATCACGAAGCGATTTATAGAAAAGCACGGCTATACGATGGTCGCGGTCGAAGCGGACTGGCCCGACGCAGAGGCGATTGACAGATACGTGCGCATGCGCCCGGGCCAAAGACGCCGATTGGCGGCGTAGCGAAGGGCGAAGAGCCCTTCAAGCGATTTCCGACCTGGATGTGGCGTAACCGCGAGATGCAGGAGCTGGTGGAGTGGATGCGGGATTGGAACAAGAAACTGCCGCCGCATAGACGGGTCGGGTTCTACGGTCTGGATCTTTACAGCATGGGGGCGTCGATCCGGGCGGTAATCGATTATCTTGATGCCGTGGACCCGGCAGCCGCCAAAGAGGCGAGGAAGCGGTACGGGTGCCTGCAGCCGTGGGTGGATGATCCCACGGCGTATGGCCTCCATGCACTCAGAGGGATGCAGAATTGTGAGGCCGAGGTCATGGACATCTTGCGCGGTCTGCTGGAACGAAGACTTGAGCACGCCCAAGACGAATATGTCGAGGGAGAGGAGGGAGATCGTTATCACAGCAGCAAGCAGAATGCGTATCTGGTGAAGGATGCGGAGAAATACTATCGTGCGATGTACTGGAGCTCGGCTAGTTCGTGGACGCTGCGCGATTTACACATGTTCGAGTCACTGCATCGGCTGCTGCAACACCGGCCTCCGACGCACAAGGCAATTGTCTGGGCTCATAATTCGCATGTGGGCGACGCGCGGTATACAAGTATGGGTATCCGGCGCCATGAGCTGAATATTGGCCAGCTCTGCCGTGAGCGCCTGGGCCGACAGAACGTGGCGATTCTCGGCTGCGGGACACATACCGGCACCGTTGCTGCCGCTGATGAATGGGACGAAGACATGCAAGTCATGGATGTCGTTCCGTCACAGGAAGATAGCTGGGAGATAATAGCGCACAACACGGGAGTTCCACGCTTCCTGCTGGATTTCCGGCGTGGCTATGCTGATCCGGCTCTTCGCTCGTTCAGCTCTTTGGAGACTCGTCTGGAGCGGTTTATTGGGGTCATCTATCGCCCTGACACCGAAAGACTGTCTCATTATTCCCATGCTCAAATACACGAGCAGTTCGATGGCTATATTTGGTTTGACGAAACCAAGGCTGTCGAGCCTATTGAGACTATGCAGCCTCAAACAACCCTGGGGAAAGAGGAGACATATCCGTTCGGACTGTAGCGAGGCCCTGTGTGCATTGCAGTATATTTGACATCATATTGTTAAACTTGAAGGAAGGAAATGGTATCATCACTCATTCTGGCTATTCGTGGCTTTGATCATGCAAGCTTAAAGCAAGAAGCGGAACCGGAGAGCCCATGTCTTCGTGCAGCTCTGCATCCTGGCATTGCCGAGACAGTTTATTAAGGCAAGGCTGCTGCTCGCTTAGCGGCCGGACGGGGAAGGACTGGAATAGCAACGATGAGATAGGGATCGCGAGAGAAATATGCGGCATTGACTACCATTAGAAACGACTCGTAAATGGTTGAAAGAACCTGGAAATTTCCAAAGCCAGACAGCTCCTATGGTAGGCCCGCAGGCATAGCAGGCTTACTTATGTACCCCGGATTTCCCCGTCGATCGATATCCGGGGGTGCGGGGCATGTGCTATTATTGGAAAAGCACCATGTTCTGACGGATAGAGGAAATTCGCCTGCAATTGGACTTGGACGTTGGTCTGGAATGTATCAATCCATTTTGGCTCTTTTTCCGAGTCATTCTCAAACAAGGATTATATACAAGGGTCTCAGTTGGGCTGCATGTACCATTGATCCCCCACGCGAAAGCCCTCTGGGAAGGGATCCGAAGAATCCAGAACGACAGTTTTAAAGCTCGTAATCCACGCGCGGCCTTTGATTGTAGGCAGAACAGCTGGATATTTGCCGACGGTCGCCGTTCCTCGAATCCGGCAGATAAATTCAGTGCCCAGAATACTCCGATGCTTGAAGGTCTCCCCTCCCGTGATTTGCCCTCTTGCATGAAGGACCGCGAGGCGAGCGGATGTCCCAGAGCCACATGGACTCCGATCGAATCGCCCCGGGGGACGACCGTGGCATTCGAAGCAACTTTGCACCCGCCCTCGACGCGTAACGGCTCAGTGAACACGATGACACTGAACCCTTTGATGCCGGGGTTTTCTGGGTGCACTGGAGTGTATACTGCCTCTACAGCACGCTTGATCCGCTCCCCGATGTCGATTAATCGGGTGGCGTCCTGGTTGTCGACCCTTAACCCTAATGCTGTCGCATCGGTAACCACGTACATCATACCTCCGTAAGCGATATCAACAGACACCTCGCCCAACCCGCGGACTTTGACTTTGAAATCAAGCTCAAATACGAAAGAGGCAATATTATCGAACTCCACGCTCTTGCATTTGCCTGCCTCGCATTCTGCAGTGACTTTGATAAGCCCAGCGGCCGTGTCCAACGCCAGATGGGTCACAGGCTCTTTCATAGGGACCATTCCTGTTTCTAACAGGACTGTCGCGGTACAGATGGTGTTCGATCCGGACATCGGGGGGTACTCTTCGCTTTCCATGATCAAGAACCCCGCATCGGCACTTGGATCGCATGGCGGAAGGACTAGATTCGTGTTGATTGATGCGCGACCTCGGGGCTCGTTGAGGAGAAGCTGTCTCAAATCGTCTTTCTGAGTTGACATATACTGTAACTTCTCGAACATAGTCTTCCCAGGGACGTCGAGGACTCCGCCGGTGATGACATCCCCAACTTCTCCTTCGCAATGGCATCCGATGACGGTTAACGAGCGTGAGAAGGGCATGATGGTAAGCAGCGAGACTTTCCAAACAGTTTTGACAGTCTATTTGCTGACCGTCAGGTCGATGATTCGACTGCGTGGGCTCTTTATATGTCTCGTGCTCGGCTCCGCCTACCCTGTCACGCCCCGTCATCCTGGCAGGTTTCCCCGAAATATTTTGACTTTGCGATATAAGCGCTACAAAAGCACTCGGCGATTTCTCCACAGCCTTGTAAGCTCAGCCCAACCCTCCAGGGCTCCAAGGCTATAGGGCTGGAGGCATATCCCCTCCCGCGAAAGCGGGGTATATGCATACTATGCTTTGTTTTTCTGTGGAAAGTGATACCTTGACCCATGCCCGGTCCAGAACGTGTTCTCTGAAATCCAACTCAGGCTGGGTATATGATAGATCGCTGCCTCATCCTGTTTGTGAGTTCCTTGTAATTTCTTTCCACCAGTTCAGTAGATCTGTGGACACTGGGCTTGGACATGTTCGCTCTGACCTGCCGAAGACGGGGGACTGGATCGGTCTTGCTCTGGTTTAGGGCTGCAAGATGTCCACGATAATAATGACAGTGGCAATTTCCCCAGCCCTGCATGACAGAGGATATAGGTTACAGTGTAAGGATCATAGTGACGGAGAGGATTATACTTGTCGATTGTGGTCAGGTGAGATACAACGCCCGAGCATCTTGCACGCGACCAGTTCTTCATCCCAAGACATTTTGCTCTGCACCTCCGAGGCCAGTTGCCACATCAATATCCCAAGGTTCTATCAAGTCATCTGCTCTTATCGATGCGAGGGGAGCTGGAGCTCGTTTCCTGCCATGCCCTCCGATCACGTGGACGGAGTGATCGGAGAGATTTGCGACGACCACGGTCTGCTTCCGAGATTATTACTTAAACTGTTTATTATTAATGTGGCTTATTTCTCCTTTTTTTTTCACTATGAGCTTTAGGCTTCTTCGTTTTGGTCTTCGAGTGTGTGCTAAATCTTCTACTTGTCTTGGCTGTTGATCCCATGGTCAAAGGAACGTGCCGAGAAGTAGCTCTACACGGTGCCCAATTATCTTGGCTGGCGTATGGTCAGAATCAAAGGTACTGAAGGATTCCCGTACTCCACTCGCATTCATCGTCTAGACCATGCGGAGTGGGTTTCACGAGTGACGCATATGCAATTGGCAATGTCTTGTAGCCAATTATGGCCGGACTAATTTCTTTACATGAGTAATGCACTTACTAGTAGTGGGCTCGAGATACTTGATTAAAACCGTAACATTCACCAGGAAACAAAAACAAAAGCGAAAAGAAAAGAAAAGAAAAGTTCGTTCAGTTCGTATGAATACATATGGTGTGGTAGATCGTACCTCGATCTAGCAGATAACATTGATGCTAGACCCGGCGATAAAGCCCTCCACAATATCCTGTATTGCTTTGAGCATCCCATCAAGGCTGGTGCTGTTGTACCATGCGACATGGGGTGTTAGAGTCAAGTTCGGAGCTTTGCTGGACAAAAGAAGGCTGTTCTCCACGTTCGCAGGCTCGTTCGTGAAAACATCGGCCGCATACCCGGCTAACCTCTGCTCCTTGAGCGCGCTAACAACGGCCTCCTCATTGATCAATCCGCCTCGACCTACGTTCACCACCACACACCCCGGCGGCATCAGAGCCAATTCCTTCTCCGAAATCGTATTGGCTGTCTCTTCCGTCAACGGGCAAGTGAGAATAATAGCTGTAGACTGACGAAGCATCGTCTCGAACTCGGTCCGGCCTGCTCGAACGTCTCCGGCTGCAACTCCGCGTCGCTCTGCGCTTAGAACTTTCAATCCCAGAATTCGGCCGATTGTCGCAACTCTCTTCCCTAGTAAACCGAAGAAAAATCAATAAGAAACAAAACGTAGCTACCGATCTCACCCGTCAAAAAGACTTACCAATCTTCCCGGATCCGATAATCCCCATCGTCCCTCTAGTACATGGCAACGGCACTCGATCATATGGACCCAGCCCAGAATGATCTTTCTCCCATTCGCCCCCCTGCGCAATCCAATTATGCGCCCGAACCACATTGCGCCTCGCTGCGAAGTACAGCGCAATTGCGTGTTCAGCAACAGCCTCCGTGGTTGCACCCGGGCTGTTACACACTCTGATTCCGCGTTTGCGACAGGCGTCCAGGTCGATGTGATCTACACCGACAATCGCCACGCAGATCAGCTTGAGACTGGGGCATTTGGCGATCGTCTCGCCGGTAATGGGCACGGAGTCTGTGATGGCGATTGTGGCATGTTGCAAGCGTTCCGCTACCTCTGATTCACTGGTGATGTTGTATTCGTACAGGGTGTGCGGGAAACGAAAGGTTGCCGGCACGGGCTGCCGGCAGGTGTCAAGGGCGACGATAACCTCGCGCCGGACCTTGAGGAGCATGGTTTTGGCGCCTAAATTTGTTGAAAATGAGGACGAGGGAGGTCGGGACGAGGGTCCAGGGACTGGGAAATTTTCTTTTGAATCAGGATGGGGGGGGGGGGGGTTGTCTCCAACTCCGGTAGCGCGACGCGGTCCGCGGGGGAAGCTTCTTTGCTTGTGCTTTCCCGTTTATCTCTTTTCTTATCTTCATGGTTCCCCCTTGATTATCGCGACTCCTCTCAGGCCAATCATGGTTATTACCAGTGCAAGGAGTCTGGCATATAACTGGAAATTACTGGTCTCACTGCGCACAGGTAATTTTGGAGATTTACTGAGGGATTCAGCCCACGGGTGGTTTACAAAAAAGCTACACCCAGCGATAAGAGCAGAGCTTACCTATTCAATAAGGATGTATCCATGAATCGCATTGGAAATCAACAACTGCAAACAGTGTATACCCGATTTCCAAGAGGCTCTCCTCGGCTCTGTAAATCGGGCACCTGACAGTCAGTCTATACCGACAGAACCTCGTGACTCTTGGATCCCTGAGGCATAATTGGCACACGACAGAACAAACTTCGGATAGGACTTGGCAGAATGGCCGGTACTATGAAATCCGGGGTGTCATATCCCCCGGAAACTGGAATGCGACTGTCCCCAAATGGAATTGGCTACAGATTGTACTAGTAGCCACTAGGCAGATCACAGTATAAGCTTCAGAGCTTAATATCCTGCACCTCATCGAAGACGTCATAATTTATACACGTTTCAAGCTCTCCAGAAGAAGTGGCTTTTATATTCAGTTTTCCTCTCGTCGATCTAGTGATAAGCATTTGTATTTCGCAGCCCGGAGAATCCGGCACCTTACGAGTATAGTAAATATACAACCGCTTTTCTTCACGACTGACGAGGCTGCTACCGCAGATATAGTATACCATGTCAAGATACAAAAGATTGTCAAAGGTACAAACGTCAGCAAACTGCGTGGTTTGCCTGGTTTCTTTTTGGGTTAGTGCGATACCTAGTGGGGCAAAGAATTGATTGCTTGGAGGGGACAACAGAACGCGCCCCAAGTGAGACCCGCCAGCTTCGGGTCCGCCTCCCGAGACCAAAACGTACTAAAACGGGAAGGATCCGAGGGCGTCCCACGCAAGCCAGATAAAAAAGAAACTTTTCATATCAGAGACTATGAGTGGACCGGACCACAGCTCTTTCTGAATGGACTTGGGCACCCAATCAGTGCGGGGTACAATGTAGATGGGGGACCGGGGCGAACACGGCGAAGGAGGGCAAACCGACCCGGTCACCTGAACCGGTCGACTGGATGATAAGACTGCCTTTCAGCGGGGTCAGGTTGGGTTCGTTTTCTTTCTTCGGTCATCTCATCATGCCTCCCATCACCAAGCCTGGACCAAAGAGGCAGAAGAATCCGAATCGCTGTCGTCCAAAATCGAAGGGTGGATGTCAGAAATGCAAGCAGCGCCGAGTACGTAACCCCAGAATAAAGAAAGCGCACGGTCCTTGCGGCTGAGCTGACCTACTTAAAGAGGAGATGTGACGAAACCAAGCCAAGCTGTCAAGAATGTGTACGGAAGGGTTTCGTGTGCCCGGGGTATGAGAAGAAGCCGCTCGAATGGCGCTATGTCTTCAAAGACACCGATCAGGAGCGCCTTGGGTCAACCTCCCCTCCCGGAGGACCCCCGCTCATTCAGTCCTCCCGATGGCGAGGCAGAGGCTGAACCGGCCTTTGATCGGGAGCTACAGGAGCTTCTGGACGAGGCCAGCTGTACGCTGCTGGATCCAATCCCCGGCGTCGATGCTCCGATGAATCTCGCATTAAAGACAGATGCCAGTGGGTCCAATCAACGGCCCGTCTTCAAGCTTGGATCGCAATCCGATAGATTGGCCAGTCTCCATCGCCGGCTCGCCAGCACGGAAGTCCCGTCCTTCCTGATCCAGATGCCTGTTATCTTAGTTCAATACTATTTTGATCACGTCTGCAAGTCTTGGTCTTCTTTCGACTCTCCTCTGAATCCGTTTCGGTTCTTGGTCGGCCGACTTTGGAGTAGGAATGCTGCCGTCTACTATGCTATTCAGAGTATGGCAGCCGCCTCGCTTGCGAATGACTTTCCTAGCATGAGAGCTGTGGGTCTTCAAACACAGCAACAAGCTATCGCATGCCTCCGGAATAATCCCCGGATAGGCTCATTGCATCGCGATAACCAAGATGACGAGTTCTTCATCGCCCTCTTGATGATTGGGTTGACAACGACTTGGCACGATGCCGGCGACCTGGGGTTGGAATATTTGAAAGAGGCCAAAGACTACCTCGCGCATCAGCAGAAGATGTCGAAAAGCCCCGACTCGACTTTTGCGAAACAGTATCCCCTCTATCAGCAATGTCTGCTCTACTGGAACATGCTGGCCGCGTTCGTGGCCGAAGACTCCTTGCTTGTCAACGAAGAGAAAGTCCTCGAACGACCGGACACTGAGATGTCCGTATACCTGGTGGATGGCCAAACCCTTCCCCATCCATGGACCGGGCCACTTTCAAAATCCATTGGCCTATTCTATCAGACCGCCAAGCTGGTTCGCGCTGCCCGGATATCACGTCGTACCAGCGGAGAAGTCTTCGATCTGGACAGCATCGACTTCAACTCGCTGGTCGAAGAAATCGAACAGCGACGCAGCGCCGAGCAGCTGGAGGAGAGTATTCTGTTCTCGGGTCTCTCTTCGTACTGCGGGCCCGTCGATATAGGTGACACCGACACACCTCCTTCCCATTTCATCACCATGGCCGAAGTGTATCGCTGCAGCGCTCTTTTGCAAATATACCATGTTTTCCCGGATATCTTGGACGAACGACTCCAGCTCATCGGGAACTTGAAGCCCGGCCAAGACATCCCGGCCCTCTTTGCTATTCTTTTGAAATCCAACCCTTGCCCGTCGGTGGCCGAAGCGAGACGCATTCTGGCATTGCACATCGTGGCTCTCATCGATCAAATCCCCTCTACCTCCGGGACCCGATGCATGTTACCGGTTCTTCTTACTTGCATTTCCAGCGATCTTGTATTTTCCACTGAATCTCTCTTTGGTCCGGCTGCAAATGCAATTGCTTGTTTAAGTACTCTAGACGTCGAAATTGCTCAGGCAAGACGCAAGGTTAGTATATGGTTGTCCGAGATCTCATTCATTCTTCCTAAGCTGCGCTTGCAGCGGTGCTCGCGTATTGTGCAGGAAACTTGGGACCGGGCGGATGCTGGACTTGGGAGGTATTGGCTAGATGTTATGATTGAACGCAACCTCGAGACTATCATGGGATAATGAGATGATGATTAATGTTTAGCATAGTGTCTGGTTTTCAGGCAAGTGTATCATGGAATTGGAGTACCAAGGGCGCATTACAAACATTATTTTCGGACGCTTTTTCCGCACCCCACTACCCCCCATTTGCAAGAATAGAGCAACCAAGACATCGAATGAATGTGATCTCTCCGGTATTCAAAAATTAAGGACAAGCCAAACGAAAGCGAGACGGAGTGGCACTTAGGAGGGACTGCAAATGCTAATCACGAGTCTTGGAGTAGACCCAGGAGCCGTAGTTTGACACATTGGGTACAGTAAGAGGCCTCTTATCACTCTATCACCCCTTATCCCCAGGGCTGCAAGACTGAAGCCATCTGCAAACCCAAGAGGAAAACAAGACCAACCCCGGCCCTTGTTACAGATCTCTCTCCTCGCGGCGACTCTCCGAACTTGGATATCAGTGAGGTCAGAGATCGTCGCCCCCACCCAATCAACAACCCCCAAAGCATGGATTGAGGCTTTTAGTTTCGGCAGTCTCCAGCTCCATGCTTATCCTTAGATTTCCTCTATCAGGCTGCTCCTCTGGGATTAGCGCAGCCGCTGCACATTGGTGGAGCCATCTCTCCTGTATGTACTCCCTAGTCACGGAGTATGTGAGTTAGGTCAGGGCCGGGGTTGAGATGCATGTCTCTCTAATCATCTGTTGGATATTACACGCCTCGTGGGTCGACCAGTGTCTACAACAGGCTCTTTCGGAATTCTATCCCTCTTTCAGGAAGTCTGTCCTCGGGCTCCTTCTTTCCATGGATTTCAGTTCCGACAGGTTGCGTACAGTACGACAGCCACTCTCTTATCGGACTTTAGAGCTGACTGCAGTGGATAGGTGCTCAAGTGACAGGTATCTTCCCTCGTGGTACCCATTGACCTCATCCCGCTGAGACTAACCCCGGGGATCCATTGGCACGGTTGCGGCATTAAGCTTGCCACGGGGAACTTTCGCTGAAACACACCCCATGCTTTGGGCACATCCGGAGTTCTTGAAGGGAGGGATCAGCGCTTTCACAGTGATGGTCAAGTGGATGCTGCTGCCTTGAGTCGAGATGGCTCTGGTACTCTCTCGCAGGGCCTCTCATTTCCCCTAAGTTATGCCGGGCCGACCAGGGCCGACAACTGATAAGGATGCGGAGGTGCTAGGGATGGCATATTCATTAGTCACGATATCGCCCGCACATGCGCATTTTCGTGCCCCAGGCATGATTCTAGAAAGATGAGATACCACGTCCTGGAAGCAGGCATCTGTAATTGGTACATCTAGGCGAGGGTAACCTCGTCCACCTTGCTCCCACCCTTTTGCAGCCAATCCCGTGCGCGCCAATCAGAAGGCCGCGCGCTAGCCAGATAACTAGTGCCCCGTCCTGCCACCCGCAGATAGGGGAAACGGGGCACACGAGAAACGGGAAGGACCACGTTCAGTGGACGTTCTCCGACCCGCTTTCTCGCAATTTGCGCGTGGATTTCTCTGGTTTTACTGGATTTTCCCCGCAAACCCTGCGTCACCATTCCTCGAGGCCAATTATCGCCTAATCAGCGCCCCGGCAACAGACCAATCATGGCTCTCTCATCCGAATCTCAACTTCCCAAGGCCCCAGTGTTTGACTTGTTTGGCCCCGTCGCAACGATCAGAGTACTGCGTACGGGCAGAGATAGCATTGCCACTAGTTTCCGAGTTTGGCGAGATTCCCCGTGATTTGCCCTTTCATCCCAGGAACGGACTCTCTCATAAAGTTCGCGGCTCCCCTGTGGGCTACACATACTTAAAGCGGTTGGCATCCTCACTCGGTCAGAGGAATTTGCTCCGGTTACTCCGTAGCCACTGCAGATACGCTTTTGGCCCCTTTTGCGGCGCGCTTTTCTCTTCTTCTTTTTCTTCTTCCTCCTCTTATGGCCCAGCATGGACCCCGGCGCTTCAGGCAAAACGAGTAAAATATCTTCAGGCATGAAGGCGGGTCTGGAGGTAGACAATCATGGTCCGGTGGCCGCCAATGGACTCCTGGAAGCCCTAGGATACGAGCCGGAACTGACGCGAAACCGGTCCACCCTGCAGGTGGCGTTTATGTCCTTTGTCCTTGCCTCGATTCCCTACGGATTGTCTACGACCTTCGTGTACCCTCTTCTAGGCGGAGGCCCCGTGAACATCATCTGGGGATGGTTCGCCGTGTCACTCATTATCCTGTGCGTGGCGGCGTCGCTGGGTGAAATTACCTCGGTCTACCCCACTGCCGGTGGTGTGTACTACCAAACGTTCATGCTCTCGGCGCCGCGTTATCGACGGATCTTTGCGTGGACTTGCGGCTGGTCGTATGTGGTGGGCAATGTCATGATCACCCTCGCGGTGAATTTTGGCTCTGCGCAATTCATTATCTCATGTGTCCAGGTCTTTGAAAAGTCGCCCGGAGTCCCCGTCTGGGAAGCCGAAACTTATCAGGTGTTCCTCATCTTCCTTGCTATCACGCTGCTGTGTAACGCCGTGTCTTCCCTGGGCAACAAATGGCTTCCATATCTTGATGTGAGTCTTCTCAAATGGCCTCTCCGACTTGCATCAGCCCCGAAACTAACTAAATTGTTCAAAGACGTTTGCCATCTATTGGACCATAGTCGGTACACTAGCTATTATTATTTGTATCCTGGTAATTGCCAAAAGTGGCAGGAACAGCGGTAAATATGTGTTCACGAATTTCGAGCCCTTGTCCGGGTGGCCGGCAGGCTGGTCCTTCTGCGTCGGTCTTCTCCAAGCCGCCTACACGACCTCTTCCACCGGAATGGTCATCTCGTATGTGCAGCGTGTTGCTTCGATTCCGTGATATGTAGAAACTTACCCAGCGTCGCAGCATGTGCGAAGAAGTCCAGGAGCCCTCGCGACAAGTCCCCAAAGCAATCATCGGAACCGTCATCTTCAACACCATTGCCGGCCTGGTCTTCCTAATCCCTATAGTCTTCGTGTTGCACGACACCGAAGCGCTTGCCTCCCTCGCGTCAGGTCAACCTGTACCCGCTATTATCAGATCTGCCATCGGTAACGAGGTCGGAACATTCCTCTTGCTGCTCAACCTCGCTGTCCTGGCCCTTCTCTGTGGAATCGGATGCACGACCGCGGTCTCACGAGCGATCTGGGCCTTCGCAAGAGATGGAGGCATTCCATACTCGACGCAATGGCGAAAGGTGAACAAGGCTCTAGATGTTCCTCTTAATGCAATGATGCTAGGAATGGTCGTCGAGATCCTACTGGGACTTATTTACTTCGGGTCAAGCACCGCGTTCAACGCCTTTTCGGGTGTTGGTGTGATCACTCTCACTGTCAGCTATGCCTGCCCGATCGCTGTCTCCGTGATTGGACGCCGGCAGCAGGTGGAAAACGGGGACTTCAATCTAGGAAAGCTCGGCGTTTTCTGCAATATTGTGGCTTTGGGTAAGTGCGGATAGCCTTCGGCCGATGTTCAAGCCCATGCGAAAAAAATGCTAATCGATCATCCCACTTTAGCCTGGAGCGCACTCGCAGTACCTTTGTTCTGTATGCCATCAGCTGTTCCAGCAACCGCAGAAACCGTCAACTATGCCCCTGTTGTCTTCGTCGCGTTCATCATGATCGCCACCGCCTGGTACTTCATTTGGGGCCGGGAAAAGTACATTGGGCCACCCACCGCGGATGTGGTGGGCATTGAGCCCCATGACTAGTGGCCTCAGGGGGTACCCTAAGGATAGAAGAGCTTGCTAAAGCGAATCGCACTTATTTACCCGTTTCACTCGAGTACAAAACCGTAATTTCCTTAGAGTAAGCGGGCCGTTATACTTCAGGCCGATCAGGCGATCTGGAGTGATGAGTCATCTGACGTCAACTCCGAGCTTGGAAGCGCGTTTGTTTACTTTTTTTCGGTCTCGCTTCGCCCAACAACCACGCCTCACCGTTCTTTCCCCCAAAATCTCGTCATCCACACGTTCGCCTTTTCACACACAGGCTATCCAGTCCGATCTGAATCACATCGTCTAAATCAATCAGCCATGGCGGTTCGGCGCTCTGCTCGCCTACGCAGCTCATCGTCCTCCGAGGTAAGTTAACATCCCTTGTGCCCCAGCAACGCCCGTCGGAAGAGGGGTATACGACGTCACCGCAGCCAAAATCAACTTCAACTAACTGTGATGGATATATTCTAGGCTCTTGACTCGGCCCCGCAGCCTAATGTCTCGACCTCGCTGGCGTCGGTTGATGAGCAGGATGAAACTGGGAGCAACGATGACTCGACCGTCCGTACCCCTGTCGCCAAAAAGACATCTGTCAAGACTCCCAAGACGGCGCCTCAGTTTTTGACCACTGCACGCACTCCAACTAGTACCTCCACCGTCCGCCCCTCCCGAGAGGAGATGCATCCCAGCAAGGCACACCAGAGCACCACCAAGCAGGTTGACTCTGGTATGATCCTTGGTTTCAACCCCGTCAAGCGGGATGCCGATGGCAAGATCCTGACTGGAGCGGCTATTGAGACTACGCCTTCCAAGCTCAAATCCTCTCCAGCCCTTACCCAGTTCGGCACTCCAGGTTATGATATCAAGTTCGGGCAGGAAGCTCAGCTCAGTGATGAAGCTAAGCAGTTGATGGACCGCGTTCGCGAGGAGGCCAAGCAAATCAAGGAAAAGATGTTGTTTGAAAAATCACAGCAGGAGGGAAAGGATGCCGCCGCCGAACGGTCCAACGGAGGGCGAAAGATTGCCCAGCCCAAGGGCAAGGCTGGCCGTTTCAGCGACATTCACATGGCGGAATTCAGAAAAATGGATTCCATTGCTAACCACGCCTCGTCTTTCCGTGCCACGCCAGGGCGCTTCCAGCCAGTTGGAAAATGTTTGAAACGCACCAAGTCCAAGGCACAGCTCGACGAGCCCGAAGCTCAAGACCAGTCACCGTCCCGCTCTACATCTTCGAAGAGACCAACCTCGGCTGTCACTACGCCTACTGGCGCAGCCAAGCGTACCAAGTACAACCCGGTCGAGGATGTCCCGGCCAGCCCTGCTCCCGCTGAGAAGAAGCCAGGCACTGCCCAGAAGCCGGCTGCTCGATCTATGACTCGCGCTACCGCCCGTCCTGCAGGCCCACGCTCCGCGTCCTCCGTTCGCAGTTCCCTCATGACTCCTACTCGCGCCTCGATTGCACGTAACACAGCCGGCAGCATGAGCCTTAAGGCTCCAAAGACCTCGCTGATTCCTTCCCTGGCACGGTCTCCCTCGACTCAAGGCCTAGCCTCTCCACGAACCCCCAGGACCGATTTCAACCCTCGGATCAAGGGAAATCTCCCCGGCCTTGGCAACCTGAAGTCAATCCTGCGCAAGCGGCAGCCGCTCTTCTCTCGTGACCCAGCAAAAATTGCAGCGGGAACCCACGTGGCAGCTCCGGATTTCAAGCCTGACTCGCTCTTTGCCAGCAAGGGTGATACCGAGGATACCGTGGCAACCCCCTCGCCAAAGAAGCACGTCGCATTTACTCCAATTGTTCAGCCTCGATCTCAACTGGCTCAAACCTCGCCTTCCAATTCCAAGCTTCCTACAACTCCTTCTCGCTCCAACCTTTCTGAAGTCACCTACCCTACCCTGCCCACTCTCACTCCAGAGGCCCAGCCGGCGATCGAGGACGCTGCCTTGGATCAGCTCCAGTCGCCTACCATTCGGCATGTGCGTAGATCTTCTGGCAACCAAGAAACCGCTTATCCTGAGCTTCATGTGACTGAGGTCCCCGTTGTTGCTCATGGTATCGCTCATGGAATCGGAAACAAAAAGCGGCACCGTGATGAGGTCGACGATGACAATATTCCCAACGCTGATAACCGGGAGAATGTGCCCCCCAGCTGATGCATTCCCTGATGGGCGCAGCGCGAAACGGGTGAAGGGCGACCCGAACCCCCCAACTCCAAGCCCCGTCAAGAATCGTCCTATCAAAACCCCCGTCCGCTCGGCATCTAAGAATATGGGCACCCCGGGAAGTGTCACTGCCAGTGCGAAGAAGTCACGTAACGTCCTGAGCCTCAGCCGCTTGAACATGCTGGCTAAGCCCAAGAGTCGTGCTTAAAAGTTCAAACTTACTGCTGGGGCGGGCGTACGCCTGGTGCGTTAGGCCACAAATCTCCAACCCACCCGAGGCTCCTTCCCGGGGCATGCCTTTGGGCATTGGGCATCTTCATTTCTCTACTGTTTTCTTTTTGATCTATCAATTTGCTGCTGCCGTACACTGTCAGTCATTGGCAACCGGTTCGCGCTTTTCTTCTTGCTTGTATCTACAAACCTTTTGTTCCCTTCGTACTCGGATGGCATGGCTCCTCGCACACGTCCACCTATGGGCGTATTCATGTCTCGAGCTCTCTTTTTCATGCGTCCTTTCGAGTTCCGCTTTTTTTCGGTTCAAGATTTTTTGACTGTGTTCATGGCGTCCGGTATGCATCTAAGGTTTGATGCTGGCAACTCGTTATGGCGCAATAATGGTGTTCATGTCTCTGTCTATGGTTTCCAAACGCACTCCGGGAGCCGATTGAAGTGTCCTTACATGTTGCTTGATAGTCTGTCCATTGCAAGGAGTATGCTATGAAATAATGACCAAACCCTTTGTGCTTCACCACTTCATAACCAGACCAGGATCCCTAATCTGGTTGCAGGACCTTCCGTAGTATCCGAGTCGCGAGATGTTCCTCAACAAACTTACCAAGCGCTGCCATCCAGCAGACTTGACTGCAATTACGCTAGAAGTAGGCAGACTGAAAAGCGCGTGGGTTCGGTTATTATTCTATGTACATACAGGGTGCCGCTCGTCTTGTAAAAAAGCTAAAAATACACGAAAAAGGCCACCTAACGCCCCCAGAAGAAAAGCGAGTAAAGAAACAACCCAGATCACCGCCCATCCTTGCAAAACTCCAAGCCCAGAGACGCAGGAAGGCAGTAATTAGTCGCCTTAAAAGAGAAGCGTGGAACATAACACATGAGCATCGTAGGAAGACCATGAAAAAATAAAAAGAAAAGGAAAAGTGAAAAAAAAAGGGGAAACGGAAAACGGAAAACGGAGCGACTCGAATCGGGAGAAGTGGGAAAGGGCCCAGGTCAGTTTTTCATCGTCGCCAGGAACGAGTCCAGGTTGTATTCTTCCTGGTATTGCTTGTCATCCCAGAGCTCGCCCAGGTCGTCGAGCCAGCCCTTCTTGCCCTTCTCCTTGACTTCGCCATCGATGTCGACCATGTCCACTTCGTTGCCTGTTGCATCCGGCTTCTCGGCTGTCTCGGCTGTTTCGCCTAGGCTGAAGAGGTCTAGAAGTTGATCGGTATCCATAGTGCCTAGCCCGGCGTTTTGTTGGTTGACCACGGTAGAAGCGACGTCGATCTTGAATCGTTGCAGGCTGTGGAACGGTTAGTGAGTGGGTTTTCAGGATTTACTGTACGGGCGATCGTCGGAACTTACTTCAAGATCTTCTCCTCTAGGGTGCCTCTCGTGATCAGGCGGTACACATTGACAACCTTCTTCTGGCCGATACGATGGGCGCGGTCCATGGCTTGGATATCCTTTTGCGGATTCCAGTCATGCTCGACGAAGATGACCGTATCTGCTCCAGTCAGGTTAAGACCGAGTCCTCCGACGCTGGTTGTGAGGAGGAGTGCATCGTAGGACGGGTCAGTGTTGAACCTGTTCACGATGTCTTGGCGCTTTGTGGCCTCGACTCCACCGTCAAGACGAAGGTATTGGACGGATGGGAGCAGCCTCTTGAAGACATCGTTCTGCACAATGTCCAGCATTTCCTTCATCTGGCAGAAGATAAGAGCGCGGTGGGGGCTAACGTAGCTTGCACCTGTGTCGAGCTCTCCTTCTGCGGAGTGGTCAAGGCCAATTCCACAGTCAACGAGGAGATCGCGGAGCGCGCTAAGCTTGGGAGCATGAGCGACATCTCTGATGGTGGAGTGCTTGGAGGCCAGGTAGTTCTGTACTTCGTTATACTGCTTGTGGCCCTCCTTGACGACCAAAGCAGGCGAATTACACAGGCGGCGCATGTACTGCAGAGCTTGGAAAATATGTTCCTTATCCGAACGGTCCGCACTGCCAACCTTGCTTTGGAGTTCTTTCTGCTCCTTCTTTGTGAAGTCTTCAAAGAGCTTCTTTTGCAGGTCGCTCGGGTCACAGTAGTAGTTCTGAATGATCTTCGGGGGCAGATCGTTCAACACCTCTTCCTTCAGGCGACGGAGGAGGAATGGCAGAACCTGTTTGTGCAAAGCCTCGATGGCTAGCGCACCAGCTTCTTGTTCTTTCGAGGAAGACTTGCTGAAACGACTGGCAGCAATGGGCTTGGCAAATCGGTCCAGGAAGACTTTCTCGGTACCCGAGGAATCCCGGCATCAAGAAGTCGAAGAGAGACCAAAGCTCCAGCACATTGTTTTGGATGGGTGTACCAGACAGGATCAGACGATGATTGCTCACCAGTCGCTTCACCGAGATTGTAATTTGGGCCTTCGGATTCTTGATCAGGTGGCCTTCGTCGAGAACACAGTAATTCCAATTGAATTCACCGAGAATATCCCTATCATTTCGGCAAACGTCGTAAGATGTCACAATAACGTCAGCTTCTGGAAGCAGGCCCTGGAGGCGAGTTCTCTCTGACTTTGGACCAACGTAGGCAACACAGTTGAGGAACGGAGCATACTGCTTGAACTCCTGTTGCCAGTGGCCTGAAAGGGAAGGCGGACAAATAATGAGGGATGGGAGCTTTCGCGAATCCAAGGATTGGCTCTTTGCATGCTCCTCGGCCCGCATATGATGGTCACTTGCGACAATACAAATCGTCTGAAGTGTCTTGCCCAGACCCATATCGTCGCAAAGAATACCATGGAGGTTGTACCGATTGAGGAAAGCCAGCCAGTTGACTCCATCCTGTTGATAGGGTCGAAGCTCAGCCTTGATGGCAACCGGTATTTCAAAAGCCTCGACTTTGCGTGAGTCAAGCATTTGAGACATGAACTTCCTCTCTCGGTCACGGCCTTGAAGCAATTCCTGCGAGAATCCAGGTGGATCTGGAATACCAGCCTCAAGAGGTACCAGCTTGACAAGAGTCGCGAATGAAGTGGTTGCCAGCAAGCGAACATCGTTGTCTGAATCGCTCATTCGGCCCAGAACGGGCACAACAAGGAAGATAACGTAGGGAAGGATTCCATCCTCCATCACATGGATGAGATGATAGATACACTCGATAGCACCTTGGCGGTAGTGAAGATCCAGCGCATTGTTGATGGTCGGGAGAACTTTCTCAACCAGCATTGTCATACCGTCGACAGTGATAACACTGCAGATCGTAGCGAAGCACTTAGCGGCTGCGTAGCGAATTACCGACAGGCGGCATTGCAGACCCTTGACAATCATAGGCATAAGTCCAATGACCCAAGGATAAAGGCCGGGATCGAATTTGGGAAGAAGAGCACGGAGGGTAGATAGACCATCCACGACTTCTTGACCAAGTTCGTTTTCTGGGTTCGTGATGTCGTTAGGCAGATCCCCAGCCAAGGCACTGGTCAATGGCCGCTCGACCAATGAGGCAAGATTGGGAACCTTAGTCAGAAGGTCAGCGCCAAACTTCACCGCCAATTGCTCCAGTGCGTCCTTAGCACCTCGACGCATGATGCGAGCTTCCTTCGCCTCCCGCTCAAATTTGGCAGCATCGAGGTGGTCCCGTCGGTCTTCTTCTTTGCGCAGTGACAATATGGACTTTTCTAACTGAGCATTGTGAGCAAACTCGGGTGTTTCCGAGGTGTCAACACAGCAGTATTTGACCAGGTTGCCAATGATCTTGTCAACGGGTCCTCGCTTGGTTGCCGCCGTGTAGTGTTCGATCAACCCTGCAACTGCTGTGGCCGAACGTTGCTGGAGCTCTACGTTTTCTTCTTTCTTGACGCTGTCCATCATGGCCTTAATGATGTAGCCAGGGCGCTTAGGTATGTCACGCAAAGCCACAAGTGCACCCGCAGCTGCAGCAAGTACACGCAGGTCTCGCTGTTCTCTCATAGCACGGGCCTCATCAACTGCGGACTGGGCAGTAGCTCGGGTATCCGCTAGGACTTGCGTAGCAGTGATGCGCTGAGCAGGCGTCAGGTTTTTCTTTAGGCGATCGAAATCCGAACCGACGATTTTCTCAGCATCAGCCAAAGAGAATGCATTCGGCCCAGCCTCAGCGTCACCTTGTACCACAACGGCGAGGATAGGGAGTCGAGAGGGGACAACATGCGCATGGTCACGGAAAGTATTGAGCAATGAATGACACTGAGCACGAGCGACGTGCAAGTAGCATGCAATGTCGGAATACCACGAAGGGCGGTCTCCTTCCACAATGGGGCGGAGACGCTCGCATAGGGTGGGCGAAAATTTCGTCTCCGGCCCTGCGAACCGAGCATATTCCTCAATGACCATAGCAGATGCAAGCTGAGATGTGGAGGCTGGATGACTAAGGCTGTTCAAGATTTCTGTCCAGAAGGGAGGAAGCTCGTGCTTGTCCCAGAAAGATAATAATTCGCCTAGTGCTCTGGAAGCATAAATCTTGGATCGTAGCATAGTGTCTGCGCCAACCAAGTCGATATCACCAGATAACATGTGCCCATCCACATTGTGGGTAGACGGAGGTGGAGGTGCCTCCTTCTTCTCGACCTTACGTTTGCGACCTGGTTTGCCGGGTTCTGACGCTGCTGGTCCCCCTGGCGACGAGGCCTTCGCTGGAGGTGGAGCCGCGGCCGAATATGGGAGGCCAGAAGGTTTGATAAAGAGGGCAGAGTTCATGGGAATGGGGTATCGAGGGACACCAAACGGGCCCAGAGTCAGAGTGACTAAAGGTTCTATGGAGCCGGTGAGCTCTTGTCCAGGTCCAAAGGAGCCACGTTGTTCGACTGCCTTAAGTAACTCAGACCAGACTTGCAAGGATAGTTTAAGAACACCCTCGTTGCGCTCTACCAGGAGATTCTGGAAAACCAAGCGTAGAGCTTTGCCATCTACCCAGTCTGTAGTTCCTTCTCCTTCCAAATTTAGGAAGGTCATAAAGGCTCGGAGTACAGCAGAACGCACACTGGTAATGGTATGTCGCAAGAAGGGATACAAGCGTGGTACCAATTTACCAAAGGAAGCCTCTGGATCATCCGCGGCATTGGCTTTCATAGCATCCAATACTTGGTTGAATGTACAGAGCTTAGCTAGCAGATCCATGACTGATCCGGTACTGGCACTGAGATCGTCCTGCAGATTAGAGAGACAGTCCCAGACGATATTCATCAGAGGTCCCAATGTACCGGCGCGAGAAGTGACGAATTCTTCGGCGATAGGTACGAGGGTGGCAGCACTGACAGCGCGCACATCATCATCAAAATCAGCGAGCCCTTTCATGACAGCCTCCAGAAGTCCATCGACCATGTTCGAGTCTTTGATCAGGAGGTCTTTGCGAATTGCGACCAAGTATCGTAAGCCAATCATTCCACCATGGCAAACTTCCCATATTGGGCGTTCCAGGTTCAGGTCCGTCTGCATGATAATTCGGTACAGGATCCGATAGACTTGGCGGACGGACTTTGGTGGAAGGTGTGAGAGGAGAGCACCGAGGGTTTGCCCAACAGTCTCCCGGATTGGAGCAACGACGTTATCCGAAATGTAATCGCCGAATCGATCGAGCATGAGAACGCAAAGTAGTCGACAGGCAAGGTCGTCCAACCATTTACGGTTTAGCAGATCATTCTCCTCGCGGGAGTTACCTTCCATGCGACCAGCAGCAGCGCCTTGAACCCTGACGATCTCGCGCAGAGCCATTGCAGCACCATGTCGAACCTCCCAGTTAGGGTCAAATATGTCCACTTTCAAGAAGTCGCACATGCATTCTAAAGGCCATCCTGATCCCTGGTCAACGAGTTCAGGCTGAATGATGGGCTTCTCTGGTGCTGCGACCCCTTTAAATTCAGAAACGATCTTGGAATCGTCATCGTCGGCAGACCGTTCCAATGAAAAGTAGTCGAGTTTGGTGTCTCCATTCTGTTCATCGCCATTCTCCGCTTTGACAGGATGAGGGGTTGCGGGGGTCGAGACATTTTCCGAAGGCCGACGGGAGGACAAGTCGACAACGCGGACTTTATTTGCGCCCATTTTGGCATTTTGCTTGTTTTTGCGCTTCAGCTGGTTCAACTGACGTTTGCTAAGGCCTGACTCCTCCTGCTTCGCATCTGGTGACGAATTGCGACGCGCTTGGGCGTCCTGCACGCTGTTATCTCGAGACAAAGAAGCTGTTGAAGCCGATTCGCGCTTAGGGGCAGGTGTAGAGAGCTTAGGAACAGATTCATTTAGCTCCATAGGCTCCTCCTCAACATACTCTCCAAGCAGGCCGAGGCGTCCAGTGAGGGTCTTCTTTTGGTATTGAAGACGGGTTGCAGGGTCCATAGAAGCCAGAGAATATTCATATTCTTTACCGGCGCTCCCCAAAAGCCTTCTACCGTACTTCAAAACATACGTAATGTCAAGGGTTTCAAGGCGAAACGGGTCATCCGGGGTGGAGCTTTCCTCCAGTTTGACCTCAGGCTTGATTTCGACGTCGTCATCGTCAGCTGCTGACTTGAGCTGCAGGCCATCTTCGGCATTCGGGTCGAATAAATCAGCATTCGTGACAATCAGGCCGATCGCACGGGCAGCGGAAGTTCTAGTGTCCCAGGATTTTGAACGAAGGTAAGGCAAGATGCGACCTAAAAGGTTGAACAACTCATCCGGGTGTTGCTTTTGCACATCACCAAGCTGTTGGGCGGCTGTGTTTCGGATCAACTGCGTGCTACCAGACTCCAGTAGACTAATGACAGGATGTTAGGAAGAGAGGCGCGCGGTATGAGGGTGTACTCTGCGCCAGAGCACGAGTGTATATACTCACGTGACTAGGCGATCCAATCTGGATGTGGAGTCAGTTATCATGTGACAGACGCGTCATGATTGGGTATCTGAGCTTACCGGGAAGTCATGACGGGCCGTCACTCTGAGCCGAGTGAACAGCAACCGCCGAAGGAGATTGACGAAAACAATGGGAAGCGGAATAAAAAAAAAGAAGGAAAGAAAAATAGGAGGCGAAGGAATAGTAAGGCGCGTCACTCGCGATACGGAAACCGATGCCTTATCAAAAAGGAAAGCAGGCGACGCGACGAAGTGAGATGAGTCAGCAGGAAGGATTAGATTCAGTACACAAGAGGAGATTCGAGGTCACGCAGCCGGGTTTATATCATTGGGGCGCTCTTGCCCGGCGCGCTGGTCCATGTTTGATTGCGTTGCGCTAGTCCTCTTTAGGACTAGTCGTGGTTGGGCCTCCACTTTTCGCGCTGGTCACGTGATGCGCGGTCAAGTTTTTTGTTCAGGAGGCCACGCACAAGCAGGATTTTCTACAGCTGTATGGCTTCTTGTAATAATAGAAGTACCGTCTTCCAGTCGATCACTCTATTCATTCATCATCCTGTTCTCGAGAAACCGCTTTGCCCAGGAGTACTAGTATGCCATACTGTACGCAGTGCCAAGACATGCCAGATGGCCTCTAGAGGCTCGAGGATTCCCGTCGATCAGGTCGCATCAGGTGCTATACACTTTGACCTTAATATATACCAAGTTTTTCTAGTAATAGTTTCCTTTCTGTCTTTCCAGCGCTCAATGGACAGCACTCTGCTAGTTCCTAGATGCTTCTTGATCCACGGTTGGCCTGAATAAGCGGTTGGAAAGTCCTGCCAATGAACATGGCCACATTGCAAATTGCGGGAACTATATATCTTCCTACGAGTGCAGGTATTCTGATCCAGGCCAAATTCCAGCCAATTTTAGCTCCATTTCAACGGTAGCCGCATGAAATTAAGAAGTACGAAGCTTTTGGCATGCAGTGTCTATGAGATCGTTATATATCTGGACAGCAACTTCCAGTCGATGATCTCGAATTACCAAAATTATCCGTCCACTAGTCAGCTACATATATAAAAAAACTCACTAGCATCCTGCAGAAGCTGAAGATCCGGTGCTAAGGCTGGAGATATTCTCTGTCACCTAGGCTCATGCTAGGAGCTACTTGAGTACTGTGTCACTGGATTCACGCCTGTCTCAAGAGCCCCGGGAGCATTATGATCTGAATAGTATCAACGTAGTACTATCATCAGGTCAAGGCTCGGAATTTTACGGTCGTTCTTCAAGCTACATGCGATATCGGCTTCAGTTGCAGCTTCAGCCTTATATGGAGACACCAAGGCTCCTATCAAGCTGTCCGAGAACCGGAGTATCATTCAAACACATGGCCAAGAGGCCTTTCAAATCGAAAGTTTCTATACAGTCACAGGCTCCCGGCTTCAGGTTCCGGGGCAGAACACGAGGAATCATACGCAAATCAAAAGAAACACCGCGCCCATGGACATTCCCAGTTACGCTTCACCGCTGAGCCAGCACGGCAGCAGACTCTTCTTCCTTGCCTATCAGTCCCAGACTGCGGATCTGCTCTGCGTTCGGGGAATTTTCACGGGGGGGGGCCGCTTCCGCCTTGCGAAGAGCAGTTTGCATCTTCATCGCACGGAGGATCTATCGTCGATGTCAGATTGTCAAAATTACTCTTCCACTCTGGATCAAGACCACACAGTCCACAGGGAGCCCTGATACACACCTCCTTCTTGTGGTGAAGGCACTCGTTGTAATCTTCCAACGCGGGGATGCACTTCTTCTTGCCAGCCTCACCCTCGGATGAGTTCACGACGTAGCATCCCAAAACCTCCTGCCAGAAGGGGTAGCAGCGGCCGGGACCTAGATTAGACCAAAAAATATCAGCTTGAGCGTTCCATTGGAGCTGGCGAGAAGGTGCAAGTGGCTGTGGGGGGAGTGACTTGGGTTGCGTTGACACCGCGGACCCGCCACAATCTCCTGCTGGGGCCGAGAGAAGACGTACCGCCGTTGAGACCGTATCCAGAAGCCATATTGGAGTGTCCGAGAAAGGAATTGGCAGTGTAGTGCACAGAGAGACCGCAGGGTCAGGTGGTGAAAGGTTGGCGGATGCGATGCCTTCCCTTTCGTTTCCGACATGGCCCGTGCGCTCCGCCGTACATGGAATACCCGCATTTGCAGCTACGTATATCGCTACTTGGAACCTGAGCCCCCATCATTGTCTTGACAATCACCATGCCATCACTGGAAGGGCTATCGGATGCCCGTGTGATTATCCTGGCAACACATCTTTGTATAGGGGGACACGTGGCCGACCTTCCCATTCTGCAGGCACAATATCCCCATTGCTTCCCACTTGAACGCCTGCTGCGCATCATCTTGACCTTCCTTCCCGAAAGTACAGAGCCCTCGGAGTACGTAGGGGTGATCCAGCAGCTAGTTGAAAACACCGGCGCCAGCACTTCAGAGCGAGAAATCGACATATCTGCGGTCAAGAACCTGTCCGAATCCGAAGCTCGGAGGCGCCTACGAAAGCTCCGTTTACGACCACTGAAGCGGGATGACGAAGAAGAGGAAGTGGTCTCGGCTGGTCCACTAACCCAATTCATCATTCATCGCGCACACCTCATCGACTCTGAAACTTCCCTCCAGCCGCTTGTTCTTAGCCTTGTCCTCCCGTTCTACGAAAACAACCTGGTTATTAGGCGATGGTTAATCTCGAGCCTTCTCCCGGCGCTTCGTCTCAATTATGAATATTATCCCAATCACGACGAAACGATTTCACTAGAAACACTGGAATTGATGGATGATCGTACCGCCGTGAATGTTTTGCTATCAATTGCCGGCCCAGAGAGAAACGACATGGACTTGGTAAACAACCTGAGGGGGTTGGTTGGCCCGTGGCTCCAAGGGAGCACTCGATCAAAGCGAAGGAAGCTAAATGAAAGGGCTATAGATAGCTCCATCTCCTTCGTGCAAGGGACTCCGAAGCCAGACTCCGTCGAATGCACTGGATGGGACTATGTAAACGAATGGCTCCTTTCGCGAAGCACAATAGACAGCGAGAGCGTTGTCCACGCATTTATGAATTGGGCGGGTCCCGAAGATACGGACCTAGGAGGGTACCAGGATGGTAACACCGAAATTCCTCCGGAAAAGGCGAAAGGCTTGCTACAACGGTACAGCCAATCTGGTCTGTCTACGATATACGCCAAGGCGGATGCCTCAAAGGCCACCCTTGAAGATTCCGCCAAAATTCTGCAAAGCATTATGAAACTACAAAATCTGGAAGAATTCTCCTATCTGGATTCACCTGAAGGAGTGCTTCCGTCTGTGGATTTTGATACAGGGTTTATTTCATCGACGTCTCGGGCGTCTTTGCTACAGAACGCTCTTCTGGCGCCAGAAAACCCCCTGACGAGCCCATCGCCTTCTTCGATATCATTCTTGAGCGCAATTATCCTGTCTTTACGGATACTGAATGCTCTCGGTCATGAGACAAACTGCAGGATTGTAGCAAACATGTGTCTTCACAGCAACGAAGAAATGCAGGCTGCCGAACTCAAAGGAGTCATTGCATCTACAGCGAGACAGACTCGATCAAGGCAAGATTGGCAAGTTATTCGACAGCAGCTTCTCTGGCTGCGAGATTGGCAGGCGGAGCAAAGTGAAGATGGTTGGAGTGAGCCATCTACCCACCACGGCCTGTTTTGGAAGATCTCACGGGACGATGTCGAAATCGAAATTCTGAAGGCGCTTCTGGGAGCCAGAGGTGAGTTTAAAAATCATCTTGACATGAAACCGCCCGTTCTAACATCTGTATAGAATATCGACTCGCTGTCGAAGTATACACACAGTCATCAGCGCCATTAGACACTATGCAAGTGGAGACAGCCGTAGTAGACTCCATCTTTACGGCCTATGACAATGCCAGTAACGGTAATCGGACTCGTGGCGGAATGAAGAAAGCTTTCGAGATGTATGTACTCCCAAAAGCTGTTTTCACCCCTATATAATGCTAACTACGCACAGCTTGCAAGCCTTCCAGCCACACTTCCCAGACTCAGCCACGCTTAAGCAGATTGGCTCATTGATAGCGGCGACGCATGCACTGTCTTTCTATTCATTGACATTGCAACACGGCGTCCCCTTCCAGCCAGTCAGCATTCGTGTCCACCATGACCCTCTCTCACTGGTAGAGAAAGTGCTCGAGCAGAACCCCAAAAGCTATACTAAGCTGGACGACCTCCTCTCCATCGGCCGAAACCTCGTCGAGGCCGGGCTTTGTACGATGCCTCCTCCAACTCCAGCGGACGCACACATACCTCCAGAGAAATTATCCCAAGCCGATGCTCTTGTCACAGCAGAGCGCCGCATTACCTCTCTCTCAATTTCCTCCGCTTTAGACTCCAACGACTTCGACACAGCCTACTCCTACATCCTCACCCGGCTGACTTCCCCTTCCCACCTCACTAATACATCTTCCCCTTCCACCTCCATCCCAGATGATATCTCATGGCGCGCCGTCTACAACGCAGGCCGCTACCGCTCCACCTCCCCCACAGCGTCCACCCCACTCCAAACCCAAATAAACCATCTCTCTCAACGCATGGAACTCCTATCCCTCGCCCTTGTCCTCGTTCCAATCCCCGACCCGCTCCCCGAAATCCTCGGTGCCTGGCGCCGCTGCGACGAGGAGCTCTCCTCCCTTCGCGCCCGTGAGTTGCACGAAGAGGACGTCTGGGACACCAAAGGTGACTCGCTCTCCACCGTACCCGGTGGCTTTGGGCCCACTGATTTCGAGCGCGACGCCTTCGACACAGCGCAACAGCGTGCTGCGCGCCGGGCGCGCGCTCGCGCGATGCCGCATTCCCATCCCCACGAGGCTCCTATGGGCTTGTTCGAGGTTGCGCGTGGCGCAGCCCTAGCGCTTCGCAAGAATGCTTTCCCGCTGCGGGGGGCTGCGGGTGATGAGCCTGCCAGTGCGGGTGGGAGTGTGCGTGCCGAACGAACGGAAGCTGAGCCGCATGGGCAGGAGGGCGATCGCGTGCGCAAGCGGGATATGGTTAGCAATATGGTGACTGGGGGATTGGCGAGTGGGATTGGATGGGTTCTGGGTGCTGAGCCTGTGAATCGGTCTTAGTGGGCGATGAAGATGGAGATGGAGATGGTATTCTGATTTCTACATTTGAATGTGGATCCTGGGATGGTAGACTTGAATTTAGGATGCTTTTCATGATTAGCGATGATTGTATTAGCGAATTTATGATGAAAGTTGCATTCGGAGACTATCCCGTGGATGATGCAGAACTTGAAGGTCGTATGACCCGTACTGCATTTTTGTACATCTACTGATACTGGTTTGGAACAGCCAGGTTATTTTGGACATTTGGCAGATTCCAATGCCTTAGAAACGGCACTATAACCAATAAAGAATTGATACTAGTACACGTTTTCCTGGTTCAAGTGGTTTGAGGAGGTTAAGTTTACGAAACAAGCTATTTACCTTCAGGTAGAGCCAGCCCTGAGCCCCAGTTTGTTCGTTTACTATGCATGACATAGTAGTAGAGGCCCAGGGATCCATAGTAAGAGCCTGACTTTGAAGCTGGCGCTCCCAATCGGCACACCTTTCGGATGAGCATCTTCAGGGGCTTGAATACATAATAGGTAGGTAGTAACTATTATTAAGACCAGTTGGCATGGATCACTAACAATAGGCATTGCAAGATAGCTCAAGTTGTAGGACTGGCTTGTGGCCGTTGAACTAGGATAAGTTCAAGTATTGATACCCCAATTATAAATCTGAAAACAGGTCAAACCAGCCCGGGGTCGCATAAACTTAGCTTAGTGCCTCGGCTTGAGCCATCCATAATGATTGGCTAGGTCCTTCCGCTAGGACCATCCACCAAAGATTTGCTCGGGAATAGCCTCGTTGTGTGCTTTGATTCAGTTTTATTCGTCAACAGGGATGTCTAAATCACCTTTCTTCTGGAAAAAAAACCCTGTTTTCCAATGAGCGGGCAAACAATGTGCTGGTCATCCTGTGCTCCCTATGGGTTCCAGACCCCGCAGATTTGGACTGCAGTGTAACATAGGACACTCTCGGTATGGCCCCTTTAACTCTGGCTCAAAGCCTCAAGGTCTCCGTGTCGATCAGCGTAAGAACTCGGCACAATACGCCGTAAGGGGACGAGATATAGAAATCAGCCTCGGAGATCCTCGGTGCTCGATGTGTGACCGCACTGCATATACCACTATAGTAGGACTTCGAAGAAAGGATCGATACCAGCGGTCAGCTACTTGTCCAGAGCCTGGAAGGTATAAGAAAAATGGGCTACTAAGTAATAAGTTAATTCGACAGAAAAGAGAGCTGAATCCTGAATCTGGTATTGTCTACTTAGTGATCAAAAGCAGGGTGGGTACTACAAGAGACCGCGAAAGATGCCAGGATGTATTCGGTACAGACAAATGTCTCTCATGCAATGGGCTCACTCCCGCCCACCGAAGCACTCCAAGAAGCCCCCAAGGAACCCTTTCGAAAGAGGAAGGGGGCGCTATACACCAGAGAAGCAAGCAAAAGCATGAGTAATATACGGCGATGACGATATATCCAGGCTGAAAAACGGGATGCAGCCGAAAAAAAAAAAAAGACAGGCCAGATGCAGCCGGGAATGGAGTAGAACACGAAACCGATGACCGAAGGATCGTAGAGAATAGGCCGTTCAGAGCTGTACGCAGGAGGGGAGCCAAATCAAATTTCATGTCGCTGGTGCAAATGAAGCAATGACAGGGTATGAGAGCACCGGTACGCAGCAAGAGCAAAGAGAGAAATGACAGAGCTTCAGCCCGAGTTCCGGCCTAGGGGGGAAGTATCATGAGGGAGATGTGCATGGCGCCGATAATTAATAGACAAAGCAACTGAGGTGTCGTGACGTTGCGTTGACAGCCTGATCAATCCTTGGGGTCCAGCCACATAGCAGAAGGTTGAGAGCAGTCCACTGTGAAAATATGCAGAAAGAGTAATCTAGGGTCTGTCGGGTGAATGAATTTTCTGGATTTAATCCTTCCAGCCCCAAACTTGTGCCACGAAGTTCGCCATGTTGACCTTCTTGTTTTTCATGTCCTGCATCCATGGATGTTCCTGCATCCGCCAGGGTGTTGCTCGCCGAGGAGGCTCTTTCTCAAGGCTTGGATAAATGTCAGTTGAGTTGCCCCGTTTCTGTTTCGCAGGATCCTACATACCAGCATTCAATGAAATACTTGAAGTTATCCGACCAGCGAATATTGTTTTCCGGTTCATCTTTCAGTTTGGGAATAGGCTGGCGAACAATATAGGTCAGAAGGTCTATCAGACCCGCGCGGGGTTGTGCCTCAGTTCCGTCGGCAGGGAATGGGAATCGATGCTGGGCAACTTCCAGAAGAGTCACACCCAAAGACCATACATCAGAAGTGATGGTGTATGATTGGCCAGTGATTCGTTCTGGGGCCATATAGTATGAAGTGCCAATGAAAGTGTTGGCATCACCTTTGGTACCGAACTCTCCACTGACACCGAAGTCGCACAGTTTGACTTGGCCATTCCGACATAGAAGGATATTCGAGGGTTTGATATCTAAATTGGGCGAGAATATTAGCCTTTCATCCAACTCCACTCGGAAGAGATAACCAACCTCGATGGATGATCTTGCGGCTGTGCAAGTAGGTCAATCCATTGAGCACGCCCTCGGCAACCTTCCCGAGCACTTTCTCTCCAGTGCGGCCACCGAGCTTCTTAACTTCCTTGTAGATACTGTCCAAGCTACCACCTTCACAGAATTCCATAGCAATTGAAATCGTTCCGGTGGACTTGTCCATGAAAGCGCCGTAGTAACGACAGATGTGGTCCGAAGCGCAGTCCTTGTTAAAGTTGAGCTCTCGGACAATCTGTTTCTTGATATCGGGGTTGGGGTCGGTAGTAATGATCTGCTCGGACCCAACGGATTAGTTACCGGACTTAAAGAGAAACCCAAAGATATCACTGAGATGCCTTACCTTCAACGCAAAGACGGTCTTTCCGCCGACGAGTTTACATCGGGTGACAGCACCACCGGCACCTTCACCCAGACTTCCTAATTCTTCAATCTTTTTCTGTTCGCTGGCTGCGTGCCAGCCTTCGTCGTCCAGATCTTCCACATCCAGCGGCCGGCCTTTCTCAAGGCTCAACCTGTCTAAGTCCGGTAACAAGCTGCTCACGCTGTTCTCACGTTCCATACCAACACTACCATTGTGGTCGGAATAAACGGAGCTGATCGCCGATGAGGGGTCCGAGTTCCCATCGGCTTGACGCAGACCTCTAGCGATAGACAAGGTGGACACGGAGGAGTTGGCCGATGTCGGACCGCTGCCACCACCTCTGCTCTCCAGCGTCGGCTGGGCATTTGCGCCTAGACCGTTTGTTGAAAGAGCGAGTGGAGGGGGCGCCGGGCGGCCGTTCGGCATGGGAGCAGACACCTGCGGGGCATTCTGGCTGCCCATGGGGGTGGCCAGGCGCAGCTGGGGAGGAGCTGGGCGAGAGTGGACGGACGGATCCTCCTGGGAGGGATTGCCATTGACGGGTTTATTGCTGGCAGACGGAGGAATACCAAGGGTGAGTTTTGGGGCGCGTGGGCTGCCGGTGTTGTTGCGGTTGCCAGGGACGGGCGGGCGTAGAAGTGGCACGGAGGAAGACATGGCGAGATTGTTCTGCCTATCCCTCGGCAAGAACAACTCGTTGGGGTCAGCCAGCGTAGCCACAGTGTCGATGGACGGGTCTACTCGATGATCGAGTAACAAGCGAGTGTGAGGGGAAGTTGACAGGGAGGTCAAACGAGAGAGGGGGGGAAACCAGGTGACTCGGGTAATGAGTATTCTAGACGTGCTAAGGGGGGTCCCACCTGTCAACCAACACTATATAAACGAGACCGCAACGAAGTACCGATGCCAGCAGAATGGTTGAAGGTTAAGATCATGAATATTAATAGATGGCAACACAGCCGCCGAGTGGGACAGGGCTATGAAGAGATCGGGTCCTACGGGCGATGGTGGGGCTGTTTCAGAAGGCGCCTCCGCTGAAACACGGCGATCGCAGGCTTTCTGCTGGCCATCGCAGGTCGATTCTTTGGTGATCCAAGGTGATGGGCTGCACTGGCCTGGACTACTTTGAACCTCCCAAGAAAAGCTTTCCGTTCTTCCACAACCGCGACCGTTGTATCAAAATCGACCCTCCAAGTGCTCTGTAGTCCATGTCAATTGACTCTAGCAAGATCCATGGAATTACCTTGCTGGTGCGCTAATTCTGCCCAACGTCTCTGAATTCCTGGGCATTTTGGCATTTTGGCCCTTCAGCCCTCCGGGGGCTGAACATGTACGCAGTAGTTCTACCCTCATGACTAGTTTACGGGCCCCCTACTCGTAGCTTGTAGATGCCTCCAAGACACGCAGCCTCTCAAGACCTTTCCATCTCATTTCTCTTACCCTCTTGTGCTGTCCTCGGACCATCCTCAGTATGTGGTTGCCTTGGAACGACATTTCTCTTTCCCGAAATCTCCACTTTAAGTGTCGCCAACCACCGTCCGCCCATATTAGACGGTGGCGCCCATCGACATCATTGCCAACTCATGGGGCGGACCAAGTTAGTGGCCTGATTTCACAGGGGCAATTCACAGGATACAGCTGACAAAATCCAACAATGACCCCAAAAATGACGTGGGGGTCCGTATGCGCTGGCAATGTTGTCTTAGAACTCACTTGTACCCTTCCCAGTTGACTCCCAGGGTTTGATCTATCTCATCCTGCGCAGGCCCCATGAATGTGATCATACTCGTCCGGACTCCGTAGGAAGGCACAAGCGAGCCTGTCAGGCGAAGTTGGAAGTGAGGATGTCATCATCGGCGCTTACCACGACTAGGTGGGAAGTCTGACCCGCCGATCACCATCCCTTGTTCTGTCCTTCAACCTCGGGCCTCCAACATTGTCAGTTAACGCATGTGGAAAAGAAATGCTCGCCTTAGAAGTTTGGATGCCCCAAGCCCGGGAAACAGGTCGGCTCGGTCGCATGAGTGGCTGACGGCCGATAGCTCAGCCACATTTCAAATCCGTGGGAGACAGATCCATGGGAGATCTCGAGACATTCCCAGCCCTAAGACATCCCCCCAGATCCCATGATAGGTTAACCACTGCGATCCAAATATTCGATGAGATCAGCTCTATACATAGGAATCAAGGGCCAAGCCACATCGGAAGCAAGGAAAACTCCGTCGTGACTCAGAGACTCCTTGCTTTGCTCCTCACCAAGCCCAGTTCGGTCATCATGCATAGTTATGTTGAGGCCTCTGTCATCCAGAAGGTGGGGGGATTTTGGGACTTTTCTTTTTTTTTTTTTTTTTTTTTTTTTTTGGAAGAACCATCGCAACCTCGTGTCGAGGAAGCCAGAGAGCGCGAACTAGATGTGCGTATTATTCGGAGTCTCGTCTCAGAGAGATCTGATAGAGTAAATGTGAGGTGTCCTTGTCCTAGTCTAGATACTCGGGTAATTAAAAAGTCCCGAAAGGCTCCAGCAAATCGAGCGAGCTTTGGACTAGATTCTTATAGTCGAGCTTTGACCGTGCTCTGTTCCTGCAGATGCATGAATGTATAGACGAAACCCCATGAAACGTTGTAGCGCGGCAGTGGATCAAGATGGCGAGACATAGCACAGACATGGAGACATGGGTGTGTTTCATACAACTGATAAAATGGAAAAACTCGAAGAACAACCGATACTTCCATCTGGTTTTCGAGCAAGCCGAAGGAAGATTTGGAAGCAAAGCTATCTCAAAATGTCATACAGGCCTATGCAGGACCAGGAGGAACACTTCGAGGGGATGCCAATCACAAGTTCATTTGGTTCTTGGCCTACTCATCATTACATCAGGGTCTTGGCCAGTGCCTGATATCAAAGCCTTTACGCTCCGAAGCCGTTGAGAGCTGCATGGACCCGGAAACTCTACATGGTCCAGACGAACAGACCAAAGACTGCTCAATACAGTAGCCCGACCCTGCTCCTGCGCCAAGTTCATGACTCCACAAAGATCAAAGACGATAATAAAGCCTTTCCGGACACGGAAATTGTAGCCAGGGGACCACCGGCGTTTTACCGGTCGGTTCAAGTCCTGCGCACCCCTTTTCGCCATGCGTCCTTGGTCTACGGCAAGGCCACTGGTTCTCCCCGAAACAGCAAAAGCAAAATAGTTCTTGAGAGTCGAGATAGGCCCCTATCTATCTGATCCCGCGAATACCGGATACCCGGGTTTGTTTTCTTCTTTTTGACTTTATCGACCGACTCACCGATAGTCTAGACTTCTAAACATAGCACAGGAATGGGCTTACTTCGTAAAGGGGGAAGCTCCAGTGCAGTGACAAGGATCTTTAGTAGGGATCGAGGCCCGCCGCACATCTTGGAAAATAGGGGCACCCCCATTCAAAGAGTGGCAACGCTTAAGTAGTTCTGGAATGTGGAGTTTGCGGGGGGGATACGAGGACCATTGAGCTTTCGTAAACCAGCTCCTTTGGACTTATGACCTGTTAATATAAAGTTCACTAATTGAGTGAAATGCGCCACATAATCCAGACTCTCCAAAGCCACACACGAGGCCATTATTGGCTGGACTCAATAAGCAAAGAGACGCTAGCTGGCTGGAGCTCCCTGTTGCAGCAATCGCAGAAAGGTCGAGACTCGAGCAACTAATGGGGATCAACATTGCAGACGCAAAGCACAGATGTATTTCATACTGTTACAAAGGCCGGACTCAGAGACCCTCTTTCGGTGTAATGGACTCTGGGCAAAAGCCGGAAGTTACCCCAATAGTGCTAGTCAACATGCTGCCAGGGGCCCGAACCGTGCGCCTCAGAAACCACACCGGTTCCAGAGTCGCGCCACAAAGCCACGCTCTATCCCCGCCCCGTGACTGTTACACTAGAATCCACCGTCGGGCTTGACGCTTGACCCTGTGAAGCAAGCACCGTCAAGCATTGACCGGTATCTACAGCTAACCCCTTCGAGAAGATAGATAGAGACCAAGACTCTGAAAAGGCGACCCGCTGCGGAGCTGGGCGTGCCCAAATTGGGGATTCGTGTTTCGCTTATGACGAATGGGGGTATAACTTTGTTTGGAAGGAGGGTGAGGTGAAGGCGAATCGCCGTGGGACTGTCTGTATACTCCGGGTGTGACAGGGCGGGCAGTGCTGTTAGTGCTATGGTCTTCACCTGCTTTGACTCCATAGCTGGGGGAGTGTAAAGAAAAGCAAGAGTGTCTCGGCGCCAGCTCCAAATTAGAAACAGGGCACTCTGCTTCATGTCTAATCCTTAATATGATGGTAATTACATTTCGACCAGTGAGAGGCGTCGGAAGAAATATAACTTTTAGGGGGGATTGTCGGTGATTCCCATTTTCCATGGCTATTGCTGTCCCGATTCGTTATTGTGGGAGAACCGATCTAGAGCTTCGGAGGGCTTTGTTCCTTTCCCAATCTTTGATGAACCATTGAGGAACAACAGGTCGAGGAACCTCTGCCGTCACGGTAACCAATCTGCAATCAGCCCTTGCACCTTCTTGTTCACGCGCAACAGAGCGGGCAAATCCACCCGTCTTTTCGTGGTTGTTCAGGGGTAAGGTGGATACAGTGGGGTAGGTGGAGCATGGGGAAGCGACAACACTGGCCGCTGGTAACCAGGAACGGGCAAGGGATCGGCAGCGGATTGGTCAGTCCAGGCGGGCTGAAACGCCAGGAAATGAGGGTTATTGTTCTGTTTGGGGTCTTGAAAGATTGAGATCCTGCATTGCGATCCCGTCGGAATGATTCATATATCAAAACTAAAGCGCGTTATTCGAGAATCAACAGCCGGGAGCATCAAAGACTCGAGACCGCGTAAAGTAAGGCACGGTGTCTCAACGAACCCACTGAAAGACGAGATCGGCAGCTCGATTCACACTAGCGCAGGTCTAGCGGCAAACAAAATTACGCACCAGCTTGTTGTCACGGTGAAACGGCGTCACCCACGCGCCTCTCTCCCCCAATCAATGGAGGCGATCAGGGGGGAAAGACCCAGCCATGCGGGCTGTGCTTAGACACTCTGGGTCCAGCACCTCCTGGTGAAAGTACCGGGAACCTCCAGTGTTACAGACATTGGCTGCCCCAGATGTACCTGGTACTCCCGATGATGACCCTCGAACCCCATCGGACGCTGCGCTTCCCCTTTTTTTTAGGGGCGAAAGTGGACAACCTCAGCGGGTGCTGATCTCTTGGGACTAATCTCCCCATTCATACAAAGAGCCCCCGGCTCCCCCGTGCAACTTCTTCCCTCTTTTCTTTCCCAAGTACACACTTCGTTGCCTACGCTCCAGTCACTCTCTAGACTTCGGTCATCCATTCTTTAACCAACTACTACACTCTTTAGCTCTTCAGCTTCTCTCTAATCACCTTTTTTTAACGGCCCTTTTTCCGTACAAACCAACCCAAATCAATCAACATGCGTTTCACCGCTGCTACCGTTGCCCTCTTCGCCGGCCTGGCTGCCGCCGTCCCTGCTGCTCAGGACACCACCGTCTACGAGACTGAGGAGGTCACCATCACCTCGTGTGGTCCTACCGTCACCAACTGCCCTGCCAGCTCTGGTGCTGCCTCGACCACTCCTGCTGTTGTCGCTACCACCACCCCCGCCGGTGGCGCCAGCTGGTCTCCTGCTCCCTCTTCGGTTGCCCCTGTCTCTAGCTCCCCCCGCTAGCAGCTCTACCTGGGCTCCCGCTCCCCTGCTGTCACCAGCAGCTCCGCCCCCGCTGCTCCCCCCGCCCCTGCCTCCCAGAGCGTGACCGTCATTGCCCACACCACTTGCATCCCCACCGTGGTGTACTCGACCATCCCTCTGCCCTCTGGCACCTCCCCCGTCACCGGTGGATCCCCCCCCTGGAACCTCCCCCCAAGCCTTCCTCCGTTGTTCCCGTCCCCAGGTAAGATAAGCTCTCGTCACATTCCTGATCTCCGGAAGAATACCCCAGCTAATTGATCTGCAGCGGCTCTGCTTCTGCCGCCCCCTCCCCCTCGGTCCCCGCTTTCAACGGCGCCGGTGCCGTTTCGGGCTCCCTGAGCTTCGCCGGCCTTGCTGCCGCCGCTGCTTACTTCCTGGCCTAAGCACCTCCATCCGTGATGGAATGCTGCGTATAGTTTCGGGTCTTCGGACATTGGGATTAGGAGAGGTCTCCCAAAATGGTATGCAGTATGGGTGGAGTGGAGAGTACTTTGTGATTTAAATGGGTTTTTGGTGATTCAACCTGACCGAATTCTGTTATTTGCTTCTGATTGGATATGCTTATTCCCTTGCTTTTCTTGATATACATATTTCTTCTTGGGCTTCCCTGGATAGCTTCGGAGTTGTGTGAAGCGCTTGGTGGCTTGAGCACGAACCTTAATGTAAACCATGACTGCTTTCACATCCCCGCTTCCAGCGAACCCCGTAACCTTTCTGAATGTATCCATACCACTTTGCCATCTATTTTCTTTTAATCTGAATGGATGAATGCGAATCCCAAGCCTATTGTGCTGGTGATGAAAATCCCTGAGACCTGGTTCTCAGGCCCCTTTTCCACTACTATAACCAGCCGTAGTACCCCCAATTCAAAGCATGTCCATAGCTCTATTCATGCGTGAGTATCCGCCGATGAGCATTAGATTTATTACGCTGTCTCCTGAGCAAATTGTCGCAAGTAGAACCATTCATATGATTCGAAGCGGCAGTGTTGAAACCGGGCGGGAGACCTCAACCCCTGGATCTTCCCGGTCAACAGCTTCCTACTATCTCTAGCGTACGGGACAAGAGCTCGCCTGACCGGGGTGGCTCGTTTCGGGCTTCGACATCGATGAGGTGGGTGTTCTGCATTGCGCGGTCAGAGATCAGATCGAACAGAAGCAATCCTAGTCTCTTTGCCCGTCAATATATTTCAGTCTACCCATGTAATAGGTCCAAAAGACCCCATGCTGTCAACGATAAGCTTCAACAAGGTACGAGTGGGAAACTCGGGGGACAACCGGCAGAATAAGCTGGAAACCTCTCCAACTTCTTGTATCTCATGCATACTAGTCGGCTTTTATTACGAGTATATCTCTCAAATGATACGAACGAATTCGTACTCATCTTTCTAACTAGCAGCAATCGTGATCACATGTTTTTAACGACATCGCCAGCACACTATGAGTATGGGCTCCACGACAATAATATACGCTCCAATAGAAGGAATCTACTAGTTAGGCCTTGAGGCCGCGGCTGAGAAAGCTCATGTTCCTTACGCAGTGCTGAATCCTGCATCATGATTAGTGCTACAATGATCTTCATTCTGAGTAGGGGATATCTGTTCCAAATACTGCGAGAGGATCAACTGTAGGCAAATTCCTCCTCAGGTATGTAAAATACCTTTTGCGTCCGGTCAAAGCAGCTTGGTCCCTGGAGGATGACCGTAGATGATGAGGCATGGATTGCTCCACCTTCCACCCCATAGCCCCAGGGCCACAGGTGGAAATTAATGCGCAGCTAGATAATTGAGTTCAAAGGCTCTCGGTATGCACGAAAGGGCACGAATAGTGACGACAACGAAGAGTTCGGGCATGTCACCATTGACGAGTGTTGTCGGATTGAGGGTAGGTTTCTATACGACCGAGACAGATTACTGGCCAGCCAAAAATAAATACTCCACATAGCGCGATCCTAAAGGGCTCAAGCTCCCGCTGCATCCAACTCGGTCGTCTCCCCATTGGGCAACACTATCTCTTTTGGGGCCACGAGAACACGACAATCCTTCTGGAAAGGGTATCTCATGAAAGCCATTTTTCGTGCTGTCGTATCTGATTTGGAGAACAAGCCACAATGAACGCCTCCTCCCGCAACTCCAGGTTGGGGCGGCAGGATTCCCCATGATTGATTACCTTCGCAGTATATTTTGAATTTAGAAATAGGGCTAGGGGATTTGTACGTGAAGTAGAGTCTTGAGAAGTTACTCCCTAGAGAGATTTTGATGGAGATGATTGTTTACAACAGGGAAGTTCGTTGTTTGCTTCTGGGGGATCGGGCTTGGGAAGCCCGGCCTTGGACCCCAAATCTGCGAGGCGTCGCACATCACTCGTCTCGGGGCAACCCTAACAACTTTTTCTTGGTACGGTTCCTTCCAATAACTAGCGGTGAATCACCAGGATCTCCGCTCAAGCCTTGGGCGCGATTAATTAGCTTATTCCTCGAGTCGCTGATAGCAAGGAAGAAAGTTTTTAAGCCCCCCAAGTGCCCGCGTTTGGGTCCCGCTCTCCAGGCCTCCCAGGCGGGAAGTCTCCACGGTTCAAACTATTCCCGATAACTTTAGCACTTGCTGCCCCTTTCCTTTAAAGTGCTGTCCCCTACAATACAGGGGCTCCATAAATGTGAGACATCGGTTCAGCTTCCAAGTCCGCTGCTCAAGGATCTGGTGCCGGGGTCAACGTACGGACAGCACCCTACCCTGATCAGTAACATTCTCGCCAGGTCCTGTATACGTTAGCCAAGAGGACCGCTTCTCTAATTCTCATCATTGTCAGACAGGGCTCTTGCCTTTCGGATCATGATGTTGTTATGCGCCGCTTTGATTCATAAATGCGGTCAGCATGGCGCCGCCAAAATGCGCCGACGGCCCAATACCGATCTATCGACCATAGAAGGACCACCTGCTGGATTCGTTGACCCGGGGGGTAATGCTTCGACTGCTTTTGACATGCAGGATGTGTCTTCATTGGAGGGACCCCCGACCGTTCATCGAGCTTCCACTGAACCTCTTGGTCGGGTTTTGAGCGAGTATACTTCGGAGCCACGCGAATCATCAGAACATCGAGCGTCGGAGCAGCGACCTTCAGGGAGAAACAGATTGTCGGAAGAAAATCGAGCATCAGAGCAACATGAACCGCTACGGATCGAACAGTCAGAGCCATATGCGTCGTCAGAGCAGGATGAGCCTCTGGAACTAGACGAATATAATTACCAAACGTTCTTGCTCGCACCTCCCAGGATTGATTCTGCAATCATCGATCAAAGCTCGTTTGCGCATTCATCCGACTTCCGGATCGATTATTCAGATGCCTCACAACTTGCACCGCCACCGGTGGTTCGTCGAAGGAGGAGCGTCGCTCCAAGAGAGATAATCGATTTTTCGTCACTAGACGGCCCGTCCCTCCTCGAGCCCTCGGTCATTATCGATCCAGGGCCCTCGTCACCTTCAGTTCACAGAATATCGCCGAGTCCACAGTCTGACGCCCATTGGTACATTCTTTCGAAACCACTCCCACCGAGACCGAGATCCGCAGACTCCTCGCTTCGAGTTCGGAGGAGGATGTCAGATGTGTATGCGACATCGTCTCTCGCACGCAGCAGTCTCCGTAGCAGCCTTCCTAGCTACGATTGCACTCTCCAGGTGGCATCCTCGAGCGCCTTGCAGCGAGCCCAAGATGACGAGGAGAAACCATTAAGCCCAGACGAGCTGCTCATCGAAGAATATTTACGAGATGGACTTACTCGACCGCCCCCATACTCCAACCCTACCTCGATTAGAAGATCTCGTTCTCTTGACCCCGTGGTGTTCCTTGAAGACGAAGGGCTGTGGGAGGTTCCTCAGCGGTGGCCATCGCGCAATCCACCACAGCGGAGGACCTTGGCTCAGCAATGCGATCCAATTCAACCATTCAATCCGCCCCTACAAGGCAATTTAGCCCAGCAACGGAATCCAGCTGAGCGCCAACCTGCTCCGATGCTGAAGGCTCCTACAGATCCACCTGCGCCACAGCCGCGACTACGGCCCGGCCGATATTACAACGGCCGGTCAGACTACGAAGACCGCAAGTCTTCGGCCAAACATGACGATGGCCACCACTTTACCATCCGGATGGAGAAAGTGTTACCATCGAGCTGGCGCCGCGCGCGCAACTTGTCGGGAGGATGACAAGGCTTGTAGATACAGCGAAGATAAAGAAAAATAAGAAAAAATACCACGAAAATTACGAGACCAACGACCAACGAAAGCCTAATTGGAATCGGTGTCGGCTGGGGACATTCGCGGTTCTGAGATCATCCAGCCCCATCACTATTTCTAAATTATAACAAAAGGACCATAATATGTATGTCCTGCATGGCCTTCCACCGACCCCGATGTGTGATAGGATTACACCTGGGATCCAATCAGGCGGCCATCGAGCCCAACACCCTGTCTGGCCTTGAAGATGAGGCAGCGAGATACCCCCTCAGTTCGCTGCATGGGGCTGCATTGTGACCCGAGGCTGGGGACGAGCGTCATTGGAGGAGGATCTTTGTTCGTTTCGAGTTACTTTTTTTTTTCCCCTTTCTTCTTTTTGCTTCGAGTTTGTAATGACCATAGTTTAGCCTCCTCCACAATTCTTAGGGGTGCTGGATCACCTCTAATGGAAATTTCTCCTCTGATCAATTGCAACTAGACTTCCCCCTCATTTGGACCAGGGATGCAAAATCTGCAAGAAGACCCTGGTCCGAGTGCTGAGCCCGTTGCCAGTGGCAGCCAAATGCATATCGGATCCACTCACACTCTCCACCGCTCGTACCAGTTTCTTGTCCGTGACCCTTCCATTGTGGGTGGAAGGAGAAATAAAAAAGTACGAGATTCCAATCGGGGTTAGCAATGGATCAGGCTTGGAATCTGCATCAAACTCCAGTATTTGAAGAGGGGAGGGGGAGCTGGTCGTCCAATTTTTTTTGGCCCGTCATTCCCTCGGGAGGATCTAGTGACTGCCGTCTCCAGTTCTCTCGCGCGCTAACACAGACCAGCAGCTCTCCAGCCTCGTTAATATTGACAAGTCCACCAGTAGCAAGCCGCAGCAAACATGCCAGGATGTGTAGAAAGCCAGCGAACAAGATAGATATAAGCCTTTGGTACTTTTTCTTCGCCAGGGCCCCCCCCCAGAGACCCTTCCGTCACTATTCCAAGCTTCACCACGGTTGACATTGACATGCTTCAGCCCCTGATGACCTGATGACGAATTGAAGATCAGTGCATAGCCCTGACTAGTTCTGGTGATTGAGCTCTTTTCCTCAGCGAGAGAGTCCTTGATTCCTGCGTTTGCTTTCCATACCTTCGACTCCCGGATTTCCGGTGCTTCTACCGCCTTCGTCGTCCTTCGATCCCAAAAGGAAAAAAAAATTACCAACCCTAAACGGGGCCCGCCCAATGGTCCAACTCGCCCACATCTTCAAAAAGGACAAGGACAAGGACAAGGCGAGAGAAAAGGATCAACTTCCCTCCGACACCAAACCCCCGAAGCCCAAGGCAAAATCTAAGGACAAGGACGACCCTGATAGCCCCGGTGGCTCGCCCCGAACCTCGTTCTCCTCCACCAAGTCGCCCGCCAAATCTCCTACCAAGTCTTCCAGGACTCCGTCCAAGTCTCCCACAAAACCCCCAGCCAAAGGCCGCTTTTCTCATAGTCGCTCCTCCTCTACCCCCGCATCCGCTGCCCCTCCTCTGAAATTCGGCACCCGGTCTTCGAAAGACCAGGACTCTCATCCGCTCAATCTTCCCCCCGACGAGCTGCGCCGTCGTCTGTCTGCTATGGCGGCCTCCCGCGATGACCAGCGGAGTTCCATGGACATTGATCCTCAGGAGCCCCAGCAGGATACCAAGGAGGAGCGCAGTCCAACTCCACCTCCGCACCGCTCCAACTCCAATGCCGACGAGGCAGATTCCTACAAGCTGGCCGGTAACAAGTTCTTCAAGGATGGCAACTATAACCGTGCTATCGAGGAGTACAACAAGGGTATGCTTCTTATGTGACTCATTGTTTTTCTCTGTCTTCTTCTATTCACCCTTCCAATCCTCTACCCTCCCCCGCCGTGCCCCAAACTCAAACACGATGACCCCTCCCTTGGGAAGGGAAACTGTAGGACCAGCATGCTAAGACTATCACCACATTGCAGCGATCGAGATCAACCCCAACTCGTCGGCCTACCTATCCAACCGCGCCGCCGCCCACATGTCCGCAAAGAACTTCCTGAGCGCTCTCGAGGATATCGAGCGCGCAAACGAATTAGACCCCGACAATGCAAAGATCATGCACCGCTGGGCCAAAATCCTCACCAGCCTAGGCCGCCCCAGCGAAGCCCTCGATGTACTCTCCCGCGTCAACCCCCCCCGCAACCGCCACCGATCGCGCCCCCGCCGAGAAGATGCAGCGCTTCATCTCACAAGCCGAGGAGACGCTCGCCGAAGACCGCGGTGGCTCGATGGCAATCTTCTGCCTCGACGAAGCGCGCAAGGGTCTCGGCTTCGCCGTCAAGGAACCCCGCAAATGGACGCTCCTGACTGCCGAAGCCCAGCTGAAAATGAACAATAGCAACAGTCTCGGCAAGGCCCAGGATCTGGCTATCACTCTCCTCCGCGAGAACTCGCAGGACCCGGATGCGATGATGATCCGGGCCCGAGCGTTCTATGCCTCCGGGGAGACCGAGCAGGCCCTGAAGCTGCTGAAGATGTGCCTCGGGCTGGATCCGGATATGAAAGCTGCTATAAAGCTGCTGCGCATTGTGCAGAAGCTGAGTCGGACCAAGGAGGAGGGTAATGCGGCGTTCAAGGCGAAGGATTACCGTCGGGCCATCGAGCTCTATACACAGGCCCTCGAGGTTGATCCGGCGAATAAGGATATGAACGCTAAGATCCTGCAGAATCGAGCGCAGGCTTATATAAACTTAAAGGAGTTCGACTCCGCTATTGAGGACTGTACCGAGGCTCTCCGCTTGGATCCTGGGTACGTCAAGGCTCAGAAGATGCGCGCTAAGGCCTACAGTGGTGCTGAGCGGTGGGAAGATGCCGTTCGTGATTACAAGAATGTTGCGGAGAACAACCCCGGTGAGAAGGGTATTGCGGAGGATATCCGCCGGGCTGAGTTCGAACTGAAGAAGTCTCAGCGCAAGGATTACTACAAGATCCTGGGAGTCAGCAAGGATGCTGGTGATAACGAGATTAAGAAGGCCTATCGGAAAATGGCCATCCAGTACCACCCTGATAAGAATCCCGACAGCGAGCATGGCGATGAGAAGTTCAAGGAGATCGGCGAAGCCTACGAGACGCTTATCGATCCTCAGTACGTCCCCCCTTCCAGCCTGTACGGTTATTTGGCTACTAACATATCTTTTAGGAAACGCGCTGCCTACGACAATGGTGACGATCTGATGGACCCAGCCGACATGTTCGGTGGCGGTGGCTTCGGTGGCATGGGAGGCATGGGAGGCATGGGAGGAATGGGCGGCATGGGTGGTATGGGAGGCATGAACGGCACCCACATCAACATCGACCCCAACATCCTCTTCAATATGATGAACGGAGGTGGCGGCGGCGGCTTCGCATCTGCCGGCGGAAACCCGTTCGGAGGCCAACAACGTGGCGGCTTCCCAGGTGGTTTCTCCTTCTAAGCAGGGTCTTAGTTGGTCTCTTCTCTATTCAATCTCATTCGCCAATCCACATCAATCAGGACTATCGCTGTGTGGACCTTCGTCGAGACAGCATTCAAATTTGTCCCAAAGACGCATTTGAAGTTGCTTGTCCATGGCGCATTTTGCCTTCGGTCTGTTCAATCCCAAATCGGGGCCTGTTGGATCATAGCCCTAGACTGGGCGAGGAAGTCAATCCTGCCCTTTTTACTAGAATTCAAGCCTTGTCCTTGAGACATAGGCCGTGGATGAAGAAAAAGCCATGAAATCCCTTGACCTGTTCTTCTCATTTCTTGCCTGCGAAGGCGACATTGATTCCCATGCGATAGACCTCGTCATTTACTGTTTTTGCTGCTTTCCATCTCCGGTTCTCTTGTCTTTTTGGACTTGACTTTATATGTTTGTGTATATGATTTCTGGGTGGGAATGAATAAATGAGCGTGGTGCATCGTCAGGGCTCAGTCGACTTGGCATTTTTCCTGTTCGCCAGATGCGCCATATATCAGACATCATTCGGAGTTTCTCTTTTGGTCTTCATTCTCATCATAGTTGGGTGCTATTGTTTTCGAAAATTCAAGGAATGTACTGCATGCTCGTGAACACATTGTTTCTTCTCGCCGCGCTTCGTATAAGAAAATTGGAAGGAGTCCTTTGAGAATACTTGCTGCATGCTGGGCAGGATCCTACTAGCAATACATGATGGTCAATTACAAGAACGATTAATAATGACTACAAGTAACTACGATCTTATAACTAACAAGCGACTTGGTTCATAGATCCATGGGTGGGTGCTTTTCCCCCCACGATTTCTACGCAAGATACTGAAAAGCCTTCCTTTCGTATACTGAACGACGTTGCTTTCGCCTCGACATTGGTCTAGCTATATACGTCCCCAATATCTCGCTCATCCACATGCTCGTCAACTGTACTCGAAGCAAAAATCATAAAATCACAAAAAAGGGGTAGGGGGAATCTCAACGACATTGTAAGGGCATAGCTGGAGGGGAATGAATATACCAGAGAGAAGAGTATGCAGCAAACTCCGCCGCTAATGAAAAGAAAGTACAGGGGGAAGCAGCAAACAAGAAAGCCAAAAAAAAGAGAATCATGAATAGGCAAATCGCTCAAGATGGAAAAGACATGGTGCGATGATCCAACGAAATTATGCCACTGTCGACTCATCAAAAGATTTCGACGACACATGACACGATTCCAATGCAGCAAAAATGACCCAAGCATTCTCAAATATAGCCCAGTCCACCAAGTATACTCTTGCAGTCTGGAGCAGGAAGAGCAGTGACTCCTAGTCCCCGAACCAGAGCTCCGCCTCGAAGGCGCTGAAGTCCAATGGCGACTTTCCAGGCCTCCGTGTCCTGCAACACAAAGACATACTTTTTTCCCTCTTGGTCACGCAGACTGGCTCGCAGGACATGGAGCCCTCGGAACTCAGCTTGAGGAGGGTTCACCCGGGCACCATCGCTACCGCCTGCATTGGCGCTCCGCGCAAAGCATGCGCTGGGAGAAGCAAGCCGGCAAGTGTTCTTGCAGACTTTGAGCAGGTTTGCTGTGAAGGCGTCGGACTCTTCGGACGTGGGAATGTGAGTCCCGGCTCCCCGGCGGAAAGAAAAAGGGTTGCTAGAGGGTTGCTTGTCCTTTGATGGCGCACCTAGCTGCGGACACCAGACTTCAGTGAGTTTTAGGGTCCAGGCTTTAACGTCCCATTCGCGCTGGCCTACGCCGCGCAAATCGTCGTCCACGAAGAGTCCTTCGGTCGTCATCCGTAGGACTGAGACCATCTGTGACCATGCCCTGGCCCGAGACTAGTTGCGCGACGGGAGTCTTCATATAAGCGTTGTTGAAGGCATACACGCCTTGGATAACGATCTTATCTGGATCTTTGGTCGAGTATGAGCTGCGGTGTGATGGAGGCGGAGTGGTCCGAGCTGTGGACTGCGAAGGCGCGTATGAAGACTCCGAGTACGCAGAAGATCCAGAAGCACCCCCGTAAGGGCGGCGAGGCCGGTCGTATGGCCGAAAGGAGTAAGCGTCGTCTTCCTCGACGGTGGTTCGGGCCGTTCGGAAAGGAGGTTGCTTTTTAGGCGACGGCGTGCGTGGTGCACTCGTCGCGCTTGCTGCATTGGGGGCAGGCTTGCTAGCAGCCTTTTCCTTGGCCTCCTGGGCCTTCTTCTCAGCGTAGCGCTTGGCAGCTGCTTCTTTGAGAGCCGCGAATTTGGCCATGGCCTCCTTCTGGGCTTTCTCCTTGGCAGCTGCTTCTTTCTCTGCGGCCTCCTTCGCGGCTCTTTCCTTAGCCTCGGCTTCGATCTTGTCTCTAGCGGCTTTAGCTTCAGCAGCTAACTTCTCGGCGGCAGCTCTGGCCTCTGCCGCTTCTTTCTCCATTTTCTCACGCGCTTCTTTCTCCGCAGCTGCTCTCGCAGCCGCCATTTCACGCTCGAGTTGCTCACGGCGTTCTCTCAATTCCTTTTCCATGGCTTCTCTCTCGCGTTTGCGCTCTTTCTCCTTAGCTTCGGCCTCCCGCTTACGCTTAAACTCTTCCATTTTGCGGCGCAACTCTTCCTTGCGCTTCGTTTCTTCTCGCTCGCGTTCTCGCTCTCGTTCGCGTTCTTTTTCGCGCTCCCGTTCAGCCTTCTCTTGCTCGTCCTTTTCATCAGGCTTTGGAGGAGGCTCGGATTTCTCCTGCTCCTGCTCGTTTTCTTGTTGGTATTGGTTGCCACGCTGTTGTCCTCCACCGAAGCTCCCTCCATGCTGCTGTCGCCGATGACCCGACGAATTGCTGTTCGCATATGATTGGCGATTCGAATTAGACCGACCAGTCCCAGAACCCCCAAAAAACCCTCCTCCAAAGCCTCCAGTGCCGTTCCCCCCGTTGTTGCCACCTCCAACCCCGTCTGACTTCGACTGAGATGATCCCAACGCCCATCCTGCAACACCTACCCCAACTGCCACGACAATCGTCCCAATACTATTGGCACTGCCGTTCCCACTGGAAACAGTTGCAATGTACCATGTCTTGATTGCCGGTGAAACGAGAGACCATGCCACGACGACCAGCAGGGTACTGATCACTCCGGCGAAGAAACTGTTGCGGTGTGTCTCCAAGGATGGGAGATACAGGAAGCCGGATCCCGCCGAGTGTGGTGGCACGACAAAAATGTCGTAGTTGCCAGGCGGCAGGTCGGACGACTTGCGGTATTCACCTTCAGTAGTATGAGGGTTTTCGCCGTGCGGCGGCGGGGGCGGAGGCGGTCCATCATCCATGGCGAGTAAAAATCCGAAAAGGAGACTCGGGGATCGATGCAGGCGATGAAAATAGAGCAGTCAGGTTGTCGAAGTCGATGAAGAACACTTCCGGCACTCTACTGCGGACTTCTTCTCGCGGCGACTTTCCCCCCGCGATCAACCCCCAATAAACCCCTTGGCTACCTGTGATGCGATGGCTTGGCCCGTCCTAAAGGGACAGATTCTCGGCGCAAAAGCGAGTTGATGGCCAGGTCATGGTCGTAAAAACTGAAAGATCTGCACTGAGGCCCTAGGCCCGTCAGTGCGTAGGACTCCTTGGTGCAATAAAGGGAAGGTGGGAGCAGGCGTGTATAAAGAGATTGAGGACCCCAACGCTCAGGCTGGGGGATCAATTATATAAATCGAGGCCGATGGGGAGAAGTGGGAAAAAGGTAAAATGGAGGAGGGAGGAAGAACCGGTGGCTGTACGGGGGCCGGTTTGTTTAGGAGAAAGTGGGCGCCGCTAACGATCGGCGCATGCAAAGACGTGGCCATCACACGCAGCAACGCAGATTGGGCTCCAACCCGTGCTCATGTCTCAAAAATCCCGGGTGTGGGAAATCTGCTCTTTGTTTCCACTGTGGAATTCCTCACGGACCACGCGATCTTGAGATTATCTAGCGGAGCCTGTGTCACAGCATCCAGGGATACCAGTTTGGTCTAAATCTAGTACGCTTTATGCTCCTTACCGGGAGGAATGCGGCGATATATTAAGACATACATGGACAACGGCCATGGCTTTTCTAAAGTACTTTAGTTTAAACCGATGCCGCATGTCTTTCGAGTTGTTTTCGTCCATATAATAACACGGCTCAATTGCCAGATGGCGGGAAGTGTTTTTGTTTTGGATTTTCCTTTTCGGGAAGAGCACCGGGGCGACCTCGGGGATTCAGCCTCAGGCGGATCCTTTCCATCGCCAAGCCCCAGTTCAGACTTACAGTAGTTCATGTCGATTAGATCAGTATGCATATTGTGGACGTTCCGTGTCACTCAAGCGTGCTAATATTGCAAGTAATCTGCTGTCCATTCATTGAGGGCCAAGTTTAAGTTCTTCGAGGGTATCATAGTATCATACTATCCATAAGCAGATGCTCTTCGGTTATCCAACATGTAAGGTCTCAGCGGTCGATTGACCCTTGGAGACTGGCCTTGAGGCATTCCATGTTTGTTGTTGAGTGATAGAAGCTCTTTCATGTCATTCAATTTTGATATGTGCCATTGTACGCCGCTCTCAGCGTTAGTGCACCTGTGTTCTCATCTTGAAGGGTCCCTCTAAGCAAGTATTATATATGACAGCGCCGACAATTCGAGTCGTGACCAAGTTTGGAATCTCAACATAGTTTCAGGTTTCTCTAATTCGGAAACGAAGAACCCCGCAACCCTGGAAGGATCTAAGGCAAAAGTATTGTCCTCATAGCAGTGGTACGTTCTTTCTATCCTATGTAGGCTTTGCCATCGGTGAGCTTAATACCTTTAGCCACGGGCACCTGTATACGATGCCCTGGAGCCCTGGAGCCCTGGAGCCCTGGAGCCCTGGAGGGTAATCTGTTGATGAGTCAGCTATATCATAACTAATAACTACCTCTAGTATCAGAAGCTCGGTTGACTTTTTGGAAGCCCACATGACCGTCGAGTATTGAGCTAGTGTTAAAACCAGAGAAACAGCGTACAAAGGTCATCGAATGGAAAAGGAGGAGCCGATTCTGCTCAATCTTGCGGTCAAGCAGAAATGGCACTAGGGCACTTAGTCGTGGTAGTGGGGCAATGAAGCCCCGAGAACCAAGACCCTGTTCCCATGACGGTAAGTGGAACTTGCAGAGGCTCCAGATTTTGGACAGAGTTGTGTGAGTAGTGGAATAGGGGCATGATTGGGTACGATATGAACAGCCACCAGGGAGCCATATGGCAAGCCCCGTGGTCCCATGATCGGGGCATGCGATGAAAGACACTGGTTCATGACACCGTAGGCATTCTGAGGCACTGGTCCCCGAGAGCTCGAGTTCGAGAGACTTATCATCTAGAGTCGAACCATCGTTGGGTTATAGTTCGAATCAAGTAATGTTCACTACCATAGAAAGCGGTTGGCGGCGTGTAGAAAGCAGGTACAAAGTACCCCAACGGGCAAGCGCAACGTGACCCGCGCCCAGTGATTGGACCGTCATCCCCGAGATCCCATCCATCCACGTTCCCCAGTGCTAACGACTTGATCCCTTCATTTCTTCTTCTTTGTTTCTAGTTTTTTTTTTCTTCCTGGAGGACTTGTTCGACTGTCGGTTCTATTGGCGGCAACCAGCAACTGCCCGCCAGTCTTTCTCCGCCCCGCCAACTGTCCTCTTGGCCCCATTCCAAGGCATCCATCTCCCTCTCCTATGCCGCTCCCATAGATTACCCACTCGTTTCACACCTCTGCCCTCCAAGGGCGAACCCCCGCTACAATGTCATACCAATCCTCCCATCACGCTCCCCAGGGGCATTCTGCGTCGTCACGCCAATTCGCCGTGTACAACCCCGTCGCGACCGCTGCAGCTCCCGCGGGGACCTTTCTTCCCGGGACCAAGGTCCAAGTGGGCGGGCATCGTGTCATCGTGGAGAAATACCTATCTGAGGGTGGATTTGCCCATGTCTACGTCGTGCGACTGTCTTCCTCTGCCAATGGCTCGGAGACCGCCGTGCTCAAGCGAGTCGCGGTGCCCGATAAAGCTTCACTCGCTAACATGCGCACTGAGGTAGAGACCATGAAAAAGCTCAAGGGGCACCGTCACATTGTCAAATATATCGACTCGCATGCTTCTCAGCTGCGTGGCGGTGGCTACGAGGTTTTCCTGCTCATGGAATATTGCGCGGGTGGTGGACTCATCGACTTCATGAATACCCGGCTTCAAAACCGACTGACGGAGCCCGAGATCATCAAGATCTTCTCGGATGTTGCCGAAGGTGTCGCCTGCATGCACTATCTTAAACCGCCCCTTCTACATCGAGATCTCAAGGTAGAAAACGTCCTGATCTCGCGCACCGGCGGCTCCCCGATATACAAGTTGTGTGACTTCGGCTCCACTGCTCCCCCCCCGCCCCGCCGCCACCTCCGCCGCGGAGGGTCGATTGATCGAGGACGATGTGCAGCGGCATACAACAATGCAGTACCGTAGCCCCGAGATGATTGATGTTTATCGGAAACAGCCGATCGACGAGAAGAGCGATATCTGGGCACTAGGTGTTCTCTTGTATAAATTATGTTATTATACAACTCCTTTCGAAGAGGTTGGCCAGATGGCTATCCTTAACGCTACCTTCAAATACCCCTCATATCCTCAATTTTCAGATCGGTTAAAGCTGTTGATTGGTAAGCCCTGTGGAAGGACGGTGTTAGAAGAGACTTCGCTGACCCTCCATTAGCATCGATGCTCAAGGAGAACCCTCAGAAGCGCCCTAACATATATGAGGTGGTGCGCGAGGCTTGTCACATGCAAGGCAAAGAAGTACCAATCAAAGATGTGAGGACAGCCGTTAAACTCATTATAAAATCTTGACTAACTTCGACATAAGATCTATTCGAATCGTACTGCCTCCGAAAGTCGGAAATACCAAGAGCTGCCCCCTACGCCCACCGAGGCCCCGACTGGGCTGAGGAAAACATTTTCACCTCCGATGCAAGAGACACAGATCATCCCTGAAATAGCGCCCATGCGGAGAGGTCGACCAGATAAGCCCCATTCCTCACAGCATGGATCCGCTAAACCTAGCTCTTCGCCCTATAAGGATGACGGCAAGGCTTCGACTACTGATCCCTTTGCCATATTGGATGGAGCTTCTCGAAAGCAGACGGACGAGGAACTATCAAACCGGTTCCCGTCGCTCGACCAATTTGACATTCTCCATGAAAAGGGTGACAAATTCGAATTCGAGCCTGCTAAGGAGGCCAAATCCGAAGATGATGACCTCTCCCAGCGACTGACAAACGCCCTGGCTGATGAAGCTTTCGGCCGGCCGGCTTCTCCAGAGCGAAAGCCCCAACCTGCCAATCGGCGATCACAGGCATCGCCTATACGTTCATCAGTTCCCCAAGAAGCTCGAAAAGCAGCCCCGTTGTATCAACCTACCCCAACGCGACCTAAAATGGTTTCCACGGGGACTATGACCTCGCCTTCTTCAACTCCTCGTTTGCAAGAACCAAACCCGTCCAGCCGGCCCATCTATCGATTCCCACCATCAGAAGAGCCGCGACCGTCTCAGCCAAGTTTGGGCCGAAGAGGAGAAAAACAATGTACCTTCTCCGTCCTCTGGCTTGAGACCGCAAGCTAGTCCCCGGTTATCATCTGACCGAGTGTCCAAACTGTCCAATTCTGCACACCCGTCTATGGAGACTCTGCGGCGCGACACACTCGACGCTGAAGAGCCGGTTGGGCGGTCTCACTCTGCCACTTCCAAGCCGCGTCCCGTCTCCGTCAATTTGAGCGCTCGATATGAATCTTCACATGATTCTGATCCTTCACGGTCTTCCCTCGACCTTATCCGCGCCCAGTACGAAGACGGTGCACCACTAAGGGCTACTCGCACTGAAGTGGATCGTGACTTTGACCGATCCAACATATCTTCGGATATGGACTTCCTCAGAGTCAAGGAGGAAGAGGAAAGTGCACGCAAACGTGAGAAGCTTCTCAGCAGTGGCGGCTCCAAGCATGGTAAGAGAACTAGCTTGACGGGCCTCACCATTTCTGGAGGCAAGAGCTTGCTTGGAGGCCGATTTGGAGAGGCTTTTCGTCGCTTCGAGCAAGACAAGTTTTCTTCTACCGAAGATGTTCCGTCTCAAGATACGCTTATTCCAGGATTGACCTCTGGGAAAATTCCCAGTGAGAATTACTCTGCATACGAGGAGACTGCTTTAGAAGAAGTGGACGGCGATGATATTTCTCCAGAAATGCGCCGTGAGCTTGAGCGCCGTCGGCTTTCTCAAGAAGAAAAGCGTGTAGCAAATGCTGCGGCCGAGTATCGTCGTCGGGTAGCCGAGGGTGAATTAGGCGGGCGCGCAGGGGCCGAGGGGCTTCGCTCTCGAGCAATTCAGAGCAGAGTGCAGACGCTGATTGGAGAAACCAACAAAGCAGCTGTGTCCAGGACTGCCACAGGCTACGGCCGATACACTGACACTGGAAATTTACAGGCAAAGCCAGGTGATGTGCAGGCCTCTGTCACCGGCACAGCCGTATCGCAGACCACCGGTCCTGTCTATGGCGGACGTAACAATCTCCCGACACCAGTAAGTCGCCGTGACGGTGCCAGTGCCCCTGCAGGAATCCCTCAGACCACTACTTCATCCGCACCACGTCCTGGACTAGTTCCTCGGCCTGCTGCGCCGCCGAAGCCTAAGAACCTGCGTGTAGGCACTGGGGATCTCTCCCAGCCAGCCGAAGCTAGTGTGAGCCAGGACCGCAGTCCGTCAGTGCCGCGATCGGCTGCGCAGGGAGAAGATTGGGAGGCTGACTTTAGCAAGCGATTTCCCAGTCTTTCAGGTTTAGAGGTGGAAACGGAGATCGAGCTTCCTAAATACCCCAAGGTCCGCACACGGGAGGTGTAATTCTTCTAGGAAATCTTGGGGGATGATTTCTTTTTCTTCTGTGGTCTTTAGCGTGTTGGCATGCTCTGTGGGTGAGTGATTGTTGCAAAGCGATGCATACTAGTATATAGACAGAGACATATGGGCCATGAACGGACATGCGCAGGCGACCTGCGTACAACATCCTGATTTGAAAATTGGTCGACATACCTCATACTACTAGTAGACCGTAAAAGATATGTTCCGATGCTTGGCTCATCTCGAGTTCTGAAATGTCTTCTCCACCAGACACCTTCTAGGTAGAAGGGATGTACGCAGTAGGATCAAATCGAAGGCTGTTATCATGACCACGCGTAGATAGGGGATCCTCTAGGAAGAGCTCCCAGTCTCCAGGGCTGCATACTTTAGGCTTATCGCACCACTTATCAACTCTTGATCTTCGCTACACCGCCCTCCTACCACATTCAACTCTCAGCAGCTCCCAGCACCTCCAAACTACAATGGCTCCTGTCATGCTGCAGACGGTCGACGGTAAGTCGCCTCTATGATCCTTAAGCTACACCGATTAAACCCCAGCAGACGACCTCAAAGACGTCATCCAACACCTCTTCGAGATACAGTCCGCCGTCCACGGCTACCTGGGCCCAGAAACCCAGCAAGAGCTCGTCCGCAAAATGTAAGAGCCTTAGCCCAGCTTCCCAGACAAAAATGCCGCTCTTACGGGGCAGAAAATCCCTCAGAAAAAAAAAAAGGAAGCACGGACTGACATTGTGCAGAAAAAACCTCACCGTCGCCCTATCCACCCTATCGACTCACACCGATCCCTCCGCCCAGTCAGCGCCCGACTCTGGCAACATCGACCCCTCCAACCCCCCGCTATCCACCATCCAACTACCCCCCGAGATAATTGACTACGTGGATGCGGCGCGCAACCCAGACATCTACACGCGCGAGTTCGTCGAGCTCGTGCAGCGCGGTAATCAGGATCTCAAAGGGAAGCGGGAGGCCTTCGCCGAGTTCCGGGACATCCTCGCGCGCGAGATGCGCAGTGCCATGCCCGAGTGCCGGGGGGAAGTGGACCGTGTGCTTGCTGCGACGGGGGGCGCAGTAGAGGGCGAGGGAGCGAAGCAGTGAGCGGGACGCTCGCCCATCAACGAGGCGGCGATTTTTGATTATGGGTGAGACTTCTACGACGGCCAAGAAAAAGACAATGTGAGATGCAGTAGGCTGGAGGGCATTTCCGCCTGGCGTCCGCAGTATATGTACAATGTGCATTGCTGTAGTATCTTTCTTTTTCTCTTTGACATGCTTCCTTGGATCGAGTCTCAGGTGCTCAGGCCGGGGTAGCGCACACCGACTCCCACCGAACTTCTGCATATTGTGATCTGGGCGCGAATCATGAGCGAGGGGATTCATCCAGGCTAAGTTGGGGTATGGGGTACGAAGGCAGGACGGGAGGTATTTGGACTTGTCATTGGCTAAGGATGGGGCGGTGTTAGCTGCAGGCTACGGGCTACTGCACGGCCAGCAGATGCAGGGCAAACGGAAATAGAATGCGAGTTAGTGGAGGGCTTTCCCTTCTCCGTGACACATCCAGCTGCGAATTTACCCAGTCGCGTGTCCTTTCAAGATCATGGGCCATCTGCTATTACCCAGGTTAGATGGGGGTCGCGCTGGGCAACCAGGCCGTGTCACAGACAAAGTCTCCCTGGGCGCTCCGACTGCATGAATACGAAGTGGCCTTGCGTAATCAGGATTCGCGGGCAGACCCGTTGGTTTCTGCTTTCGGGGATTTCGTTTAATTGGAAAAGGCCTTCCAAGGCCTCGTTCTTGTGTACGGCGAGGGCTTTCCGGGCGAGATCGGAAAGGGGCCGCTCTGTTTATGCATTTCGGGGGGGGGGGGTTTCTCTTTTTTTTATTTTATTTTATTTTATTTTATTTTATTTGGGCTTTTGCGGTTGTCCTCATCCTGTTCGGGATTTAAGCGAAAATGCAAGTTAATCATCGAAGGCGGGCCAAATCCGACCATAGACCGAATTGAGCACAGCTAAGCGCCAAAACTAGTACTAAAGCGGGGTGTTTCACTCCGGGGCACAGGATCAATTGCGTGTGAAAGGGCTCGGCCTGTTCGCTGGGATCCTCCTGTCGGCCCATCGTCTTGTCGTACTTCCGGTCATGCTAGATCATCTCTTGACAAAGTACTGTAGGGCTTTTGAGAAGCTGAGGCTCCTGGAACTAGTCACGCGACCCTACGTATAGATCCAGTTGGACCTGTCTTTCATATACAAGGTACTCACACTACTAATCAACTATGCCTAGGTAGGCAATGCCTGTCGGGTCCCTCGCCCACGGGCCAGGGGTGAAGTCATCCATGGCCCCTGCTTTTTCCTTTATTTTCCCGTTTTCGAAGTGTGGGGCAGTTCGCTCACCAGGGCTCTGGGTTCGACCCCAGCACTATTAGCCGGAATCCTTTCAAGTAGAACCGGAGGGTAGTCTGGGTCTGGAATGGGATGTTCAGGGGAGTAGACTTCAACGGCGTAATGCAACTCAGCTCGAAAACAAAGGCAAAATTCCGGCGAGCAAGGCGGGATCCCTGACGTTTTCCCCACTGTATGGACTTGCGGGGAGAGTCTGGTTACCCGAGCTCCCTTACCATAAGAATTCTTTGTTATGACGTTCCCTTCATGCTCGGGCGCTCTCCGAGAGTGACTGGTTACGTTCTTCGAATCTAGAGAAGCCTATAACAACCGCCAGTATAGGTGAAGGGGAAGGGTACCACATCGGGGGGTTTACGTTTGCGTCCCTGACCCACATTGAATGGCAGATTGCATTTATAAGATCCGCGACCTCGAGGACTCGAAGACTGGAGACTTCGGCTGGATCTATACCGCCAGATACACCAGTTCCCTGGATATTCCGTAGATCGAACATAATCGGAATGCTCTCATCGCCAGCTGCTATGATCCCAAAAAGCAAAAGAAAAGAAAGACCAAGTACCAAAATTACAGGGCCAAGGCTTGCCCTGCCCCAACATCTCCCAATCACAATAGCCGACGGCTAGTCACCGGGGTCGAATCCTGCCCTACTGCTGGCATGATTTGATGCTACTGGGATTCAGCCTTCCGCCTAATTCTGCTTTTTGTGGACCTGGAGGTTTCCCATTTGAACACTAGTGCTAGTATTTCCCGTCACCCACGATCGACCAAAAAAAGCCACTTTAAACCCCAAAGCCCCAGAGCCCCCCCCCCCCCGCAACTCTCCGACTTTTCCTTCCCCATATCAACTTGCGGCTTTCTTCAAGTTCTCCCCACTTCCCCACGAATCATGCGCCCACCCTGAGGACTCGAGCGCTCGCCATGGTCGATATATGTCAAGTCGACGTCAATGCCATCAAAGGCGATGTTTGGTCATGGGCGCTGGGCATGCAGATCACGATCGCCACGCTCGCGGGCATTACTTGGTATAACGCTTTCGAACTGGTCATCCTGGTCTTCGTCACCTTCTCGCAATATAGCGGTCTCTACTTCTGGAGCCTGCTCGTCTCGTCCTCTGTCGGCCTAATCCCCTACTCGTTGGGCTTTTTATTGAAATTTTTCGATTTGGCGAAAGACGAGTCATGGCTTCCCTTGGTGCTGCTGACTATCGGCTGGTGGTGTATGGTGACTGGACAGTCCGTCGTGCTCTACTCGCGCTTACATTTGGTCACTTCGAACCAGGCCGTCTTGCGACGCGTATTGATCATGATCGTTGTCGACGCGGTTATTCTACACGTCCCAACCACTGTCTTCACATTCGGCGCCAATCTGGTTAACAACCTCAGTCCGAGCCTCAGGGGCTGGCTCTGTGGATATAATTTTCTGGAAAAGTTCCAGATGACCGGCTTCTGTATTCAAGAGTTCATCATCTCGGGTCTCTACATCTACGAGACGGTGCGCATGTTGCGCCTGGATAAAGACCGCGCCAAGGCCAAGATCCAATGGCAGCTGCTCGTCATCAACGCCATCATCGTCATCATGGACATCGGCCTGCTTGTTGCAGAGTATAGGGGATATTACATGATGGAGACCATGCTCAAGGGCGCTGTCTACAGCATCAAGCTCAAGCTGGAGTTTGCCGTGCTGGGCAAATTGATCCACTTGGTCCAAGGCCACAGCTGGAGGCCCGAGTCTGTCCCCTCTCCACACGATTTCCCGGATTTTGTCGACGTGACTCGCGTGACCACCGATGTGACTCACGCCCCGTCATCGTATCCTCCTCGTCGACCCTCGTGGATGGACTCCGATGCTGTCTCCATCGCCATGTTTGAACATATGCCTCCTCCATCTGAACGCCCCTCCGGTTCGGAGATGACAAGCACCTGGAGTCGCGAATCACATATTCACCCTCATGACTTTACCACACCTCTTCGGCCTTCCCGACTTCCATCGGTGGTGTCGTCCCTGAAATCCGAGAGATCTCGAGAACCAGGTTAAAACCTCCTCCTTCTACCATGTGATTTAACTCTTATTGATGTTCATATGATGATTCACGGATTACGAGATATGCACCTCGAAGATATATCCAACTCGCCCCACAACACCAACCCATCCGGGAAATAGTCTGTTGCGAAGTAGGGATATTACCCACCGCAGGACCTCCCGCTCAGGGCTCCGGCCCTTCGGCCTCTCGTTCCATTGGGATCCTTTTCGGTCTACTTCCGCGAGGTTGGCTCTATGCGAAAGACCAGAATTGTGCCTTGAGTTGCACAGAAGGGTATTCCTTGGGATGTAGACGGCACTCATGGCTGGCTTTGTACATACAATGATACCTCCCCAGACCCATCAGAGGGCCTGTTCTCTACTAGCATAGAATCATGAATGAGATTCCAAGCTGAATTTCCCCCCTAAACTTGGAAATTTGCCGATCGCACGGAGAAATGTCGGGTTTTGATGAAGCCTGGCATTCCAAAGTTTATCCTGCTTTCCCCCACGGGGAATCCCCACCCCCACTTGCGTGGCACAGACATCCCCATGAATCAGGCAGGTCCTTGATGACAGTGCAACCCTGCTTGTAGCTTAAATATCTACCTCGGCCTGTCTACCAATGAGTATTTTTTCCGCTTCCAGTACAACATGAGGGTGTCCCTGCAGCTGGGCTCCCTCGCTGTAGCCCTCTCGGCAGCCAACGCGAAAGTAAGTGGCGAACTTATACACCTACCACTTACACCTACGCCTACCTTGGTATTAAACTTCCAGTAGCATCTTCAACCCCGGTCAAACCCACCAGCATGCAATAACTCTGCCTCAACGCTATCACTCACCGAGGCCCCCTACAACAACTACTTCTACTCAGACTGCAACGTCGCAGCCCAGGCCGTGATAACAAGCCCCCAACAGGGGAGCGACCTTACGCGGATCAGCCCACGACTCATCGTAGCCTGGCCAGCCGGGAACAGTGGGATATGCACCTTCTTCGCGCCCCAAAATGGCGAGAACGGCACGCTGGCCCTCGAGCTCGTCAACTCCACGGTCGGCAGCCCCCTCGGTCCAGTGTACAACGACTCGCTCAACACGGAGCATCCTAGCGTCGGAATACAAGGCGTCCTCCGCCTCAATTCGTCCGCTACGCTCTCCACCGCAATCCTAGGAAGCATCCGAACCATCCGCGACTTCGTCGAAGGCCCCAGCATCCTTTACCCGGAGATCCAAGACGCCGTGCAGTACACCTCCAGCGAGGGCCGCGTCTCCCTGAGCCGTCTCTGGCTCGACAACGTAACAACAACCAGCTTGACCTTCCAGCCATGGGACAACAGCAGTTCCAGCAAAGCAAGTCTCTCCAATCGTACTGTGTCCTTCGAAGCGGGCGAGTACCTCTTCGCCGCGCAGATGAACTACCCCCAGTTATCGCCACTGAAGCCCGAGGCCGTGCTGATTGGCTCAGCCGTGAATCTCACTACCACGATGCCGGACCAGACTACCGCGCTTTCATTCCTGTCGTACTCGGAGAAGCTGCTTGCGGGGGCGTGGCGATTCCTTACGTACTTTGGGCGCGACTCGATGATCTCGGCGCTGTTGTTGGAGCCGGTGCTCAGGACGGGCAATGGGACGGCTATGGAGGCAGTGCTTGGGGCGGTGTTGGAGAGGGTGAATCGGACTGACGGGAGTGTTTGTCATGAGGAGACCATTGGGTGAGTTCAAGTCGGAGAGCGTCCTGGCTGGCCCCGGGGTAGGACAGAATGCTGATTCATGTAGGGATTATGCCACCTGGAGTAATGCACAGAACAATGTCACGAGTACTGCCATGCTCTGTGACTATAAGATGGTCTGTTATGTGTATTGGGGGGGAAGGTTGATGATCCTGCTAACTTTCTTGTAGATTGATTCGGACTACTTCTTGCCGGTTTTGATGCAGAAATATCTCCTAGAGGATCCTGTGGGACAGAAGCGTGCCCGGGCCTTTTTCAAGTATGTGATAGACTTTCCTCTTATCTTTTCTTTTTTCTTTTCTTTTCTTTTTTTTTTGGTTGTCTTGGCAATCAATCTAACTCTACTTCATAGCACACCAGCAGGATCCATCAACGCAGCAAATAAGAATTTGACTTGGGGCGAACTGGCTATTATAAATGCAAAGCGCATTATGCGTCTTGCAGCCCCATTTGCCAATGAGCAAAAGAAGGGGAATCTCATCCATCTTAAAGAAGGGCAGGTAGTCGGCCAATGGAGAGATAGTACCTACGGTATGGCCTCGGACAATCTTTTGCTAAAGGCATCTATTAATATTACCTTTAGGCATTGGGGGGGGGGCCGTATACCATTCGACGTAAACACAGCCCTTGTTCCGGCTGCCCTTCGCTCGATTGCTGCACTCTACGCCGATCACAACCACTGGGCACGGCTAGCCGATCAATACGCGCAGACATGGGAAGACAAGAGCCTCGAGTTCTTCGAGGTCAACGTCATGCAAAGTGACGCCCGGGAACTTGTCGAGTCCTACAAAAATAGGTCCGCCTTCGAAGGACCTTCGCAGTCCGCCTCCATCGACACAGATGTCACGTTCTACTCCCTCGCTCTGGAAGGAAACAATCATCTCGAAAAAGTCGCAGTCATGAACACAGACGACTGCTACCGCCACTTCCTGCTCAACACAACCAACGACGACCAACTCTCCCGCCTCCTGAACTCCACCGCCACGAATATCCAGCGCACCTTCCCAGCCGGGCTCATGACTGATGCCGGCATGATCGTTGCGAACCCCGCCTTCGGAGCCGACCCCGTCTATGCGCAGAACTGGACAACAGGCGCCTACCACGGCACGGTTGTGTGGTCGTGGCAGCTCGCTATGATGGCCAAGGGGCTGGAGCGACAACTTGGACGTTGCGAAGTTCGCATTATGAGCTCGAGGCGTTCAAGCGCGAAGCCTGCACCAGCACCGGGATTCTGCACTGATTCGTCGATCTACGATAACGTGGTGCGGGCGTATAATGCGCTTTGGGACTCTATCGAGCATAACTCGGCTCAGCTTTCTTCGGAGGTGTGGTCGTGGGTTTACCGCGATGGGAAGTTCCAGGTTACCCAGCTAGCGTCTTTGCCTCCGCCGCCGGGTGCTGGAGGGCAAACCGGTACGTTTATTGTTCCTGGCCGGTCAATTCGTCCGTCAATTCATATACTGACTGTCCTAGAATCTGATATCCGGCAGCTTTGGTCTCTGGCATTCTTGGCTGTGACCCGTAATGAGAATTATCGGTGATGAGCAGGATAGTAGACATGTCGATTCACTCATGTTACTGTGTACATAAACTATCATCCTGGCCGTGGCACAGGCAGCCCCCGAGTCTTTTTTTTTTTTGGGCTTGAGAGATATAGCCCTCCTCCGATGGGGTACATTCATCCAACTAAGGAATGGGCGAAGCCGGGGGGAATCGGTGATAGGGCGTTAGGTGTACAGCCATACACAAGAGGTCATACGAGAGAATAGTTAGGTACAGTGTAGCTCTAATCTTGGAAAAGAATTTTAGAGTATTTGCAGCCAAACAAGGTACATCACTGGTATTTTTATTTTTTATTTTTCAAGTTACCAATATACCAATATCTTACACAACGTAGAATTATTGGAAGTTTGTTCTTCCCCGCGGGGCCTAAGGACAATAAACCACGAGTAATATTTTCATTGGATCCTCCCGTGCGTTTTTGATGGACTTGCTCAGATACTCATGAGGCTGAGCTCTGGTTCGCTCAAGGGTTAGGCCCATTCAAGGTGGTGTTGTAAGTGGCGGTACTGTTCAGCACCTTGAAGACAATCGTGCTGTTGCCTTCGCGGTAGTCACTTGTTGGGGGTCCCACGGTCCGGTAACCCCCGTGGTGTGAGGTGGTTTTCTTTCCCGTGGCAATATCCTTCCGTGAGATCGCTCTGGTAAAGAACTCTAGAGCCGCTAAAGGCTGGTAGAATGGAACCTCATGTCCCGATTCGTAGATCCGGACGAAAGTATAGAGGTCACTCTGTCGGACCTGTCCATGGACGACGCCATCCGAAGTAGTCAGGTTCACAAACCCAGCTTTTTTGTAACCAGGGGCATCAATCTCATCGGCAACGACCTGTCCGCCAAGCCAGTTGCAGTTGTAGTCGCTGAAAGGAGACACCAGTTAGCTTGGATTTGTCCCAGAAGTAGGGTGAAAGGGTGAAACTCACGCGTCGCCAAAGTACATGGTGACCTGGATGCCAGCTTCCAACAGCCTTTTAACGTCGCCAATCGTACCCGATGTGCGATCATCATCTCCCGTGCTGGAGAAACTGTTGCCAACAGTTCCAGAGGATTCAGAAAAGTTCTGGTACGCGCCGATCGCGGAGAGGACCTTGGGGCTATTCAAATAGTCCACGTAGAACTCGTAGGGAAGTTGTCTGGCATCAACTCGCGGAAGTCATACTCGTCGCGGCCCGAGTAGATGTCATAGAGGTTTTCCACTTTGTTGGCGCAGAAGCTATCGGCAGTTGAGCAGATATCGCTTCTTCCGGTCGCGTAGCATTCAAGCGTCTGGTCAACGCAGTTTCCTTTCCCGTATAGGTTGTTGTACCACTCTGCCTTGACGGAGTCATTGTACGGGATGTAGTCGTAGGTGTTCCCGGGGAAGACAGAGAAGTTGTAGTAGGCTTGGTACTGGATCAGGGGGGTCGAACCACCCATTTCCAATAAGGATGTTATCAACCTTGATGGGGATTGACCCATTGACCTTCTTTTCATTCTGGTCCAGAAAGTATGCTATTACACCGTGGGTTAGCATCCTGTACTTTGCAAGAATCGGACGGATCTTACCGTTGAAGACGGGGCCATAATGACCTCCATAACTCTCAGTTGCGAAGTTCAGACCGCCCTTCGCGTACTGGGGGAAGGCTCCCAGGAACCCCTGCAAGGTCTTCCACATATTTGGTGCGGCGCCTGTGGTCGAATTGGGCACGAGACTAATATCCGGCTTGGAGTAAGTGCCACATGAGTCGTATTGTTGAGCGTAGTCGGGGCAAGTGTTGTTGGGCAGTTGCACAATTCGGCCGTCAGCGTCTGCATACGCAGGAATGGGGATGGTGTACGAGAACCCCGTCGTAGCAGGTTGGTCGATGAAGAGCTGGTAGGGAGGTGAGCCAGGATCATAGTATTGACATCAGAAGCCCACGTACCATGTTGCTTGCATTGCTCCAGGAATAAGGGTTGTTGTACACCTTCCCATCCAAATCGACTCCGCAAGGTCCCAGTTCCTGGAACAGCCCAATCATCGAAGATGAGCCGGGGCCTCCATTGATCCAAATGGTGAGGGGTGCCTGTCGCAATGTGAGCTTGACCGGTAACGAGAAGATCTGGTCTGCTGTACCTCTTGAGGATCGCCATTTCTGGTCTCGAAGAACCACCTGTGTGTCCAAAACTGTCAATGTTGATATTCCAATGCATGACGGCTCTCAGTATTAACAAAGCTCTCCGGACTGGAACCCCCATTGCTTACCAGAAGATGTGCTCATTCTCCGAGACGTCCGCATAGCCCGAATAACTCTTGACATTGGGATCCTGTTCGCAGATGCCCGCCGGCACCTCTTTATAGCGCACATCAATGCCAGCATGGCCCTGTTTCTTGATCAGATCGGTCGGCGCGGGGACGAATTGGGCTGCAGTCTGGTGCACCAAGGCGGCGGCCGCCACGATCTTCAGATACAAGCTCATCTTTGCAATGAGGAGAGGAAACAACCCAATGAACATAGACGCTCAGCCGGGGTCAAGCTCCCATTTAAATTGCCTGTTTGAATAACACTAGCGTCAATTAGGCAGGCTCCGTGAACACCAATCGCCGCCCATTGGCCCACCCCGATGTTTATCTTTCAGGGCAACCCAGACCCGTCGGAATTCCGGCTTTGCCGATGACAAGCGGTGTTCGCAGCTCGCCTAGTCCAAAACCAAGCATTTCAGCGAGATTCTGGAAGATGTCACCCTTGCGTGTTTTAAGATGGGCGTCAACGCCAGGGTTCCCCGCACCTGCGTGCTGCCCAGGTGGATCTTTACCCGAGAGCAGCCATCCCGCTGTTGCGCCAGCCTCCGGAAACAGTCGAGTGGAGTAGGATGTCTTGTTCTGGGACAAGAGGTGTTTAACGCTATAGAAGGGTATTCGCGAGCTCGATTCCGCATGGTCTACGCAGCCTGTGATGAGAATTTGTGCTTCAAGAGAAACCAATCTACTGGGCCAACGCTCTAGTATGGCTTATAGCTCGGCCTTGCGACATGATGTCGTTTCGACCGAATCTCATAAGGTTCAAATTTCTTAGAAAATAGTAAGTAGAGACGATTTGTGTTTAGAATTACCTAGTCTAGGAGCCCTTGGTATGAGCTAGATCCGAATGTGGCAAATTCCTAGTAGTCTACATATTTTCAGGCAGCCCCACGGAATACAGAGTATAACCTCCAAGATAGATGTGCGGGAGAGAAGAGAACAAGGCACTATAGAATAACGAAGCTGCGCCATCATACGAAACACCAAACAGACTCTTCGCTCTACCGGGGTTCGAGGAGAAGACCATTAAGAACGCTCCCACGAGCCAGAGCTAGTACGCTTGAGCTCGAATTCACGATATCCTTCCACCAAGCCATCCGCCATCTTGGTGACAGCCACCCACGAAGGGGCGTACTGCCTAACCTCGTCGATGGCAGGGATGAGGCCAGGCGTGTTGTCATCGCTCCAGATACATGAGACGCGACCCTTCAGGTTGCCGAGCTTGTCCTCAGCACCAGAAGACCCGGAGGCGTGGTCAGCAAAGCGGACATCGACAGTCCAGCTGTTCTGCCACGAACGACTCCAGAGGCGGATTTCGTGCAACCCGTCCCGGGCCGGGCTGAGGAATCGGCTATCTGGAGCCGATGAGCCCACAACGCTGAAGTTGGTGATGGGGTGGCTATCCATTGTGATGCGACAAGAACGAGTATTTTGGCCGGAGATCTGGAAGCGCACAGACGAGCTTTTGTCGGGAGGCGGCGAGATCTCGTAGCTGACCCAGTCTACTGAAGGACCCGGGGAAGAGTCGGAGGCTTCATCACTGGGCACCACATGAGGTTCTGGTGCTGGCCAGGAACATTGGAGTCCTCTGGCGACCCTGGTATTGCAGTTCACTTGTCCCGTGCCGGATGGAAGGCCTCGCACCACATCCTCAACGAATGGGGATGCACCCGTCAGGTATGCGGTGGAGTTACCTCGGTCTAGGTCGACTCGCTGTGAGAAGTACAGCTTCACGCGACTGGATTCGGAGAAAGGGAATGCGACTAGATTGTAGATAAGTGTGCCGACCAGAACTAAAAATAGGAACATCGGGACGTGGTAAGTGTAGCGGTGAATAAATGGAAGCATGGGAGAGAAGAGCATCGCAGTAAGAATGGCAAGGCTGATGTACACAAACAGCTGAGGCATGCCATCTTGGCCTGTTTGATGCAGGGCGCTGGTGAGCAGTAGGCCGAGTGGGGCAATGAGCATCAAGATCACTGGAATGGTGAGAAGTAGCTGTAGAATCCAAGTCCAGCTCGGGATTGAGCCACTCCATGTTTGTTCGTAACCATATACCCTCGGGTCGTGCTCGCTCTCTTCATTGATTTCACTCTCTGTTTGATTTCCAGTGACATTCACATAGTTGGCGAAGGTAGTCCGGTGACGTCCATGCAAGAGAGACGTGGACTCCGTGGGGTCTTCCTCGGTATTTTCACCCTCGCCCCCATCGACAGAGTTACCTCCGAGTCGGCTACCGTAACTGCTGGGACGGCGGGAGCCCTGGAGGAATTGACCAACATATTCAGATTTGGTTGGCAGTGCGAAAAGCTCAAGATATGATATCCATGTGGCTAAGAACGTTCCTGCGAAATGGAAAAACATGAAATAGCCACCAGCTAGACCTTTCTCGTTTTCATAAACAGTCGACATCACCAGCAAGGCCCATGATAGAATGAAAAGCCAAGTCCAAGTATACACCCTTTGGAATGCGGAAGGGCGGGCAAAGTCCATGACACATGCGACAAACCAGGCCAAAAAGACCCAGGTAGATGCCATCAAGCTCCACACGGCATACTGACTGCTGTGGATGATGTATGGATTGATCTTGGCCAGCAGATACGCGAACCCAATGACCACAGCAGTGGGGACACCAATGAGGAACGGAAAGCGAAAGAATCCACGTAAAGCTCGCAACGGGATTTTCTCCGTCGTGTCCACGGATACGGAAGATCGGAACAGCCACATCTTGTCGGCCTTCGAAAGAGCCACGCTCGTCATGAGCAAAGTCAGGGGTGCGACAATGAGGAGCGTCACAGACAGCGCGAAAAGAGTGTGCAGACGGAAAACAGCAAGTGCGCTGCCAAAGAGATCAAACCAGACAGCACGAGTGCCAGTACCGCTGGGCACAAGGCCGTCATCATGAGCCGGTCCATCAAATTGACCACTGGAGTCGGAAACAAGCTCGTTCGTCGTAGCAACGGCCGCTGAGAGCATATGCCATACAGAATTCAAGCTGGTATGTCGCGTATCATCCTGGTCAGTATGGTATCGTGCCCTGGGCTCCATAAATGCGACGTCAAGGCCTCGCAAGCCAAGCATTCCCTGGAAGACCACATAGTCCGTCTGACTGCTAATCAAACCGCTCTCGAAACCGTTCGCACTAAGGACCGAACCAAATGGCCGGGCAGACTTCGCGTAGGCATGGGTGACCTCCGTATCCGAGCTGCGAAACAAGGTTGCCCGACCACCAGCACCCGCCCCTTCAAGATTGAGAAAAGTATGCGCAAACTTGGAGAGCGGGTGTTGGCCATATACGCGCGCGCCATTCAAGTAGTCTTCCTCGCCATTGTTGAAAAGGACCACCAAACCACGTCGCGGCGCATGGCCCGGCGTCGTGAAATAGCGCACCAGCTGCAGACAGGTAACGACTCCCACGCCATCGTCTGTAGCACCGTAGCCCGTTGAGACGCTGTCATAGTGCGCATTGACCAGGACCCCGCCCTTGCCTCCGGGAGACTTGCCAGGCACCTCCCACCAGTTTTCTTCCTTGTCTTCCCAGCCGCGGATATAGACGAGGATATTAGTGCCTTCGAAGTAGACGCCAGTACGGCCATCTGCTGAAGTCAGGTTTGACGTCAGGTCGTTAAAAACTACAACCTCTGGACGGGTCTCGCCTTCGCGTGCCTCCGCAGATGCAGTTTCACGGCGGATCGCGTCAATTCGCTCGAGCAGCCAGGCGCGGACTTCGTCGTTTCGGTGAGAGTTGTATGGATGGAATCCACTTGTCAAAGACTGGAGATCGTGCCATGCTTCAGCCAGATCTAGACCTTTGGGATTTGTTCGGGGGGCGGAGGGAACATTGTGGTGGATGACCAGGACAGGAATGAGGAGAGCGAGGTAAATTGCAGTTGTGATGATCGTCACGGGCCATGGCGTAAAGGCCACAGGATTAATGGCCTTTCGTGAAGCCATGGAGGCGCGGGGATTGGGAGATCGAGTCTGAACCTTGAGGCCTTGGGGAGAGTAGACTGCAGAGGTTGGAGAAGGAATGCGGGGAACTCCTCATCTGCGCTAAAGGTTGCACCGATAAGATTGGTACGGTCGGCAATAGCCAAACTTCGAGTGAACCGCTGTCTATTGCACTGAAGCTACTTGCGATGAATCACATTACGTGTTTTTCACTATTTTGCTGATCGTTTGGCCTGTCTCACCCGACCTCGTCTGGTTGGAGCCTTCGCTCCACGTACTAGCAGCTACTTGAAGAAGTCGAAACCTGCCTGCAATCCACTTTAAGCTGCTTTCATGACTCTACAGGATCTGGTCTGGGTTCCATAACATTCTGTAGACTGATTTTCATCATAATACTACCACGATAAGACAAGACTGAATGAGGAATCGAGTCAGGGACGCTTGAATGGCATAAAATTCCACATCACACACGTAAAAAAAAAAAAAATCTGAAGAAAAGTCAAAGTCCCGTCGCTAGCATATGCATTTCCCAGAATAACACAGGACACCGAAGGGTTTGGGGGGGGGGGGGGTAATCTTCGCTCATATGGGTAGAAATAGTTCAGCTTGCGGGTAGTCCTGACTCTTAGCCCCGGGCGTTTTTGAGAGGGCCTTTTGAGAAAGGAGGGAGATCTAGGGAGATAAGAAAGACAAAGAGTATGCAAAGAGTAGATGAAGAAAAGGTCTCCGTCCTAGCCCGTGGGAGGGTAAACAAATGAAAAGGATAGGGGTATCATATCAGTCGTGAGCAGGCCCGACGTCGATGTAATCTTCGTCGTTGATGCCCGTGGCATGCATCATTCCATTCATCTGCCCTTCGTCTTCATCGAGCTCCTCGTCATCATCATACATGGTTGCCTCTGTCTCTTCTGGTATTATCGTGATGTCTCGGTTCAAGTAGTCGCGAAGTCGAGTGACACCCTCGCCGCTGAAGACACAAAACACCTCTCGTTGTTGCTGGGTGAACTCAGGAGGTGCTTCCCGACAGAATGCAGTCAGATCATCGTGCAGAAATTCAGGAACGCCCGTAAGACTCAGATGCGTGAGTCGAGGACAGTTATTGATTAATGGACGGATAGACTGAAATTCCATGTTAACCCGCGTTATAAAAACATGGCACGGTATTGTACTTACATCCATGCTCAAAAGAGTGCAATAACTGAGATGAACACGCTCCAGGTTACTAACCATGGGGTGATTTGGAGTCCCGCGGGGGGGGTATGCAAATGCTTTGATACTTTCATTTGTGATTGACTGGCACTTGACCAGGCCGATCCGCCGTAGCTTGGGCAGACCGGCCAATTGTTTGACACTCTCATCCGTCAGGCGGTTGCAGCAGGCCAGATCGATATACCGAATTCGATTACAGGCCCGGATTAACTGGATGACCGCAGAGTCGGTAATATTCGAACAGTGACCGAGATGCACGTAGTGGAGGTTCTTTCCCAGTTTGCAGATAGCCTGTACCGACCGATCTGTGATAAATCGACATTTGGCCAGCACTAGATTTCGAAGACGCGGAGCAGAACTAACAATCCGCTCCACGGCATCATCTTTGACATTTTCGCATGCTGTTAAATCGAGGATGCGAAGGCTGTCAAACGTCATTTGCTCTGGAAGATTCAAGAACGCGGAATCATTGATCTCGATGCAATGCGCCAGGCGTAGTTCTCGCAGGTGGCGGAGGGTGGTGATGAGGGCGGTGATCGAGGGACTGGTGACCAGCTTGCAGTCATGCAAGTCAATTTCGAGGATGGCGGGGCAGTTCTCCGCAAACGAGAGGATCGATTTGTCGGTAACAGAGGCGATACCGTTGAGTTTCAGTCTCTTAATCTGGTGACAGTTCCGCGACACGGCAAGCAATGATTCGTCGGTGACTTTGACGCATCCAGTGATGTTGAGGCCCTGTAAGCGGGGGCAGTTTTTTGAAACCGTGTAGAGGGTGTGATCGGTAAGAGAGCGCAGATCGGAAACATCTAGTGCTTGCAAATGTCTATTCCCTTCTACCAAGTCAGATACGCCCTTATCGGTGAGTCTTGAGCAGTTTGTGAGCGTCAGTCGCTCGACCCTTTTACACTGACTGAAGGGGGAAACCGTCCCGTCGCTCACGTCTTCTGTAAGGGCGGATAAGTTGAGGCGTCTGATGAGTTCCCCATAGGCAAATAGACCGTCCGGCTTGCCAACTGATGAGGCCACACTTTTCAGGTTGTCCCAGTTGTTGCAGGATGGTCGGTGCCATAAGATGCCCACGCAGTTTGCGGCCCAGTTGCGGCTGACAAGCATGCAGTTCAGCATATCCACCGGTGAGACGAGCTTCGAGAAGATGGCAATCAGGATTTCAGGAGGCAAACGACCGATAGGAGGAATTAGGACCGATCGATTTGTTTGTACGTGTAGGTCTCGAAAATTCGCAACCCCGATCGAGGACTGAGAGTCGTTGGCTTGAGCCATGAAGAAGTCGGTGTCGTCATCTGCGGCGCGTTCGGGGAGGTGGAAGAGGAGGTCTCCGAGGGAGCTTCGCTCGATAAACGAGCAGCTGGTCGTTGGCGGGGCATCTTGACCGCCTATAATGGACCAAACGAGGGTGTTGGGTTACCAGGCAGTGAAGCGCTATGAGGTCTTTGGAAGCGATGGCGGGCGGTGGGAGGAGAGTGGGCGCCAAGCCCCCGCTTTATCGTGATAAGATGACTTTGGGCCAAAGTCACGTCCGACTTTATAAATAGAATGCGTTCATCGAGACGCTTTACATTCGCTGTCCTCAGGTTGTATTTGACATTACAAAGCATATTCCTTCACCTGCTGCGTTAAGCATTCCTTCTTCCTCGTCTATCCTGGGCATGTGTGCCCGTCAGCTGGAACAGCCTGAAGTTGATATGATCCCGTGCAGCCGACCCTGGCACCGCCGATCTGCGCAAAGCGATCGATCATTCTGCATGACAAAGTGAGATCTGGAACGGAATGATTTGAAGCGTATCCTTGGCCCGTAGATATCGCAGGTCACAGTTCTTTAACCGCCTTGGGATACTCCTCGCAGTGCGAAGAAACCATCATCCTAGTACTGCTTAGAGTACGATAGAGAATGAGCCCTCAAATGAGGACTTGTTGACGGAAACGCACTAACTCAGACCTGCGATGCTCTATGACCCAGTGACAGGGATATGCCTTTGCCAAATGTTGAATTCCACGAAAACTTGACCCGAGAGATATCTATTCGATATAGTACCAGCGATCTTGTATAATTGTATGTCAATCGCAGACTCCTCGTTGAGAAACTCTATGCAGCGCTGCGGTCCGACCCTTTCACCCACTCCCGCAGCACATTCTTTCTGATCTTTCCCGTACTGGTCTTAGGCAACTCGCTGACCACTTCCACTTCGCGCGGAATCATGAACTTGCTGATCCCACTCACATTCCGGGCCCAGGCAATTACGTCCTTGCCCTCGAGTGTCTTACTAGACTTGACAGTCACAAAAGCCTTGGGACGCTCGCCCCAGTGGCTGTCAGGGACGGAGACTACACCAACTTCGAGGATGTCAGGATGAGTAGCCAGCATAGATTCAAGGGCAACAGACGAGATATTCTCGCCACCTATTCAACGATTAGTTATCGATCGGTAGAACGAGTCTATCATAAGATGTAGGATTATAGCATACCGCTGATAATGATATCCTTCGCTCGATCAAGGATTTGAATTGCGCCATCCGGGTGCCAGACAGCCAAGTCACCAGAGTGTAGCACACCGCCGGCAAAGAGCTTGCGAGTAGCTTCTGGGTCCTTGTAGTATCCACGGGCACAGATATTCCCCACAAAAACAATCTCGCCGATCTCTTTGCCGTCTTTCTGAACATCTGTGACAGTTCCCTCGGGAACTTCCGTCTTGATGACCCGGACAGGGAGACTGGTTATGAATCCGTGTCCCTGTCGTGCCATTTTCTGATACTTTTCTTTCAACGGAAGGTCTTCCCACTGTGGCAGGTGATAGCCTTTGGTGATAGGACCATAAGTCTCAGTCATGCCATAGACATGCACTGGGTGAAGGTTTAGATTTGTCATTTGCTCAAACAGATGAGGTGTTGGCGGGCTAGCAGCCACTGTGACGCGGACATAGTGCGACAGCTTCTCCGCGTTTGGGTCATTGCAGAGGAGAGTGTTCACGGTCGGTGCTGCATTGAAATGAGTGACCTTCTCTTCCTTGAGGAGGCGCCAAATCATTGGGTAGTCAATCTTCCGCAGACAGTAATGAGTGCCTCGAGCTGCGGTCACAGCCCATGGAAAAGTCCATCCTATTCAAGAGATTAGCAAAGTAGTGAAGCATCCTAGAAGAACAGTGTAGACTTACCCATAGCATGGAACATGGGCAATGTCCAGAGATACTTGGCGCGCCCAGAATGGAAATTTAGACCCGACTCGATAAGGTTACCTACGGCCGCTAAGTAGCAACCTCGGTGCGTGTATTCCACTCCTTTTGGTCGGGCGGTTGTTCCGCTAGTGTATGCGAGCGCGATAATCGACTCCTCGTCCGCGGCCTGCGCCTCCAGCCCGGCCCACCCGTGGCCTCCAACCTCTTTGTCGTAATCCCAGCCTTCCTGTATAGCAGCCCCAAAATTTCCAATTGGCTTCCAGGGTTCACTGAATTTATCATCATCTACCAAGAAAGGAACATTGGGATTTTGCGCGCGGTATGTCTTGAGCAGAGGTTCAAACTCCTTGTCCACAAGGATGATATCCACACCGCCATGTTCAAAAATGTATGCAATGTCTTCCCCCTTCAAGCGGTAATTGACAGCTGTTCAGAAAGCCTTAGCTAGGAGTTCCGACGTTCAATTTTTTGAGGTATACCCACCAACATTGATCAACCCTGCGGCTGCGATACCAAAGATCGACTCCAAAAAGGCAGGGGTGTTAGGCGCAAGAATACCCACTCTAGCATAGCCATGCTTCTTCAAGTAGTATGCGAAACCACTCGCTCGCTCCGCAGTCTCTCTGTACGATCGGCGGAGTATTTGATTATCTGCAGTGACATGATAGATTGCTTCAGCCTGTGTGACCCATTAGCCTGACGAAAGTTTGTACAGAGCAGCAGCCTGCGAGTCTTCTGAATCCATATTCATTGAAGCCCAGAACCCATCCAACGAGAACGTAGTATCTTACATCGGGCTCGATAGCTGCCGCGCGGGGCAGGAAGAATGTTGGAGATAGGGTATGGCGATTGAAGCTGTGTTCCAACGGCGCTGGGGTTGACCCTGGCTTAACATGGGCGAGCAGACTTGCTAGCCGAGACGAGACACCCGACATGATAAGGAAGTGAACAGGACAATGATTCAATGAGTGGTGTTTCTAGTTACGCAGCATTGAGTTCCGTGGTTGCAGGAGCCAAAGGGGATTAACGGGATTTTAGAGAGACTCGGAATAGTCGGTGCTCTTTTTTTTGGAGAAATGCGGGGAAACCAGGTAACCGAATTTAGCAGCATCGAATTCGGTGGTTGCAGGAGCCAAAGGGGTTAAAGGAGTTCTACAGAGACTCGGAATAGTTGGCGCTCTTTTTTTGGAGAAAAGCGGGGAAACGAGGTAATCGAAATTACCACGGTCATCCCTGCGCGGGTTTGCTCGGTCAATAGCACGACTGAGACTTGGAGAAATGAGTCGACTTATTGACGCGAAATATTCGTGCCAACTCCAACCCAGAAGGGAATGAAATGTGTGTATACTCCACCGTCTCCATACGAGTAACCGCGCAAGTGCGATGGCACCTGGTGCCCCCAACAACCTCGGGTATGATTACATATAAGCCTCTACACAGTATGGGTCTTGGATACATACGAATGACCCACTTGCCCGGAAGGCTGGTCCCAGAAATAAATTGTCTTGTCCGTTAGTGCAGACTATGCTAATCGAGCGGGACCCTAGCCCATATTCTCGACAAGTTGAACTGGGCAACCACTACGAATGTATGAAAATAAGGTTATGGAGACGGGCCCAGGAAAGATATAAGTTGTATCATCATAAGATCATGTTGAACTTTGAAATTTTGGATTAAACCGCCACGGCGCGAGACAACAGCCAGCTATTTTGAACAACCTTTTATCCCGCGACTCCGTTTTTTCTGCTTTTTGAGAATTTCCGAGAGAACCCCGGTCTCCCCAGCCCTCGGCCATGTGCGTCACAAGCCAATGTGAATTTCCATGATGTGAAGGGCAGGAGACCGGGCCCATGGAAACAAGGTCGATCCGGCTTGCTATTTTATGTCCGCTGAAACAAAACCGTCCGCGATCCCAACCCAGACCCGTCACTCAAGACACAACAACCGGCCGCGTGTAAAAAAAGAGGTATCTAGTAGCCGAGCTCAGCAAGCTGGGTCTTGGTCTTGCTGTCAACCTTAGCGTTCTGCTCAGCCTTGATAAGGTTGCGGCGAGCAGCCTTCTTGCGCTCGTAGTAGGCGCTGCTCTTAACCTTGCGGCGCTCCTCGAGGCGCTCGACAACATCGGAGTACTTCCAGCCAACTTCCTTGGAAAGACGACCGACTGTGCAGTACTTGCGGCCCGGGCTAGATGGGTAGTTAGATACGAGACTTCGATATATTGCTATACAAGCAGGAGTGGTAATGGTCCATACCGGAGACGCAGGATGCGCAGAGCCTGGGGAACGACAACACGCTTCTTGCGGTCGTAGGGAGGGGGGACACCCTCGAAGACCTTCAAGCGCTCAAGGGCGGCGGCACCGCGGGCAGTCTTGTGGGGGATCATGCCACGGACGGCCTTGTAGAAAATGCGGGAAGGAGCGCGGAAGTGGAAGGGACCACCACGGGTGGGGTTGAAACGGGTCATCTTGCGAAGGTAGGCGTGGTACTTCACTATATAGCCAGCCGAGTCAGCGTCTTGTCACAGGTGCCTTGTATCCATTCCCATAGTCTGCGATAGTGTCCGTCGAAAAAGTCGCCCGAGTCGTAGGTTTCATGTCGAAGTCCATTGTGTCCACCACAAAATTTCCGCCCAGGCACAATCGCAAAGAGAGAAGGATCGAGAGAAGATGGAGGGTGAAACGTACACTTCGCGCGGAAGAACTCGCCCGAGATGTTGAGGGCCTCAGTTCGCACAACGACGATCTTCTGGCCGTTCAGCAGCTGCTTGGCGACAGTGCTGGCCAGGCGACCAAGAAGGTGCCCCTTGCCGTCGATGACGACCTAAACATGAGAACACAGGTCAGCTTTTGCCATCTTAGATCCGTCTGAAGCGGGCGGGTTGGATTTGGAAGAATTGAAGATTGAAGGATGCGAAGATTTGATGACGAGGTTGACGGGAGTTACAGTTTGTGAGGAATCGAGTACGCACCACTGGTTCGATAGAGGACATCCTGCTGTGAAAGGAAATATCCCTGGGTTGGTTGGTTGTCGGCGGTTGAGTCGTTGGAGGTTCAAAGCAACGCACACAACGATGTCGGATGGCAGGCGAAGGGGCTAAGCGAGTCTGCTTCAGCGACTACTTTGTGTGGACTAGGCCGGGAGGGCGGGAGCCCTAACGCAACCCAATCACAGACAAGCGTTGTTCCGGAGCGGGCCCCCAGTCATCCAGTATGTGCTTACATAATGAGGCGATCTCTCCAATTGTGTGCGGCCTTGATTTAGGTGGATTGGCTGTTGTAGGGCATTTCTTTAGGGCTGTCAAGTGACTGACCCATTGATGGCGGTCTAGCAGTGTCTATGGTAGGATACAATGCAGGGCTTATTATTAGTCTCAAGGGGCATAATCGAATCGAACATTCCTTAGTATCTCTTCGCCAATCGTTTCTCCGATTGGTACCCCTCATTTGTCTCACAGTAGCTTAGACACCTTCTAGGCTTGTATATGTAAGACGATAAATCTCAGGTCGGACTTAGCACACCTCAACCTTGAAATCTCTCCACAAATCCAACATGGGGCGTTAGTGATCCCCAACCCTTGGAAAGATTGGGTCCCGATGACTAAGATCTACCGTTCTCCCCATCAATCCATCGATTGATAACTAGTTTTTGTTTAGTTAAGACAATCTAACCTAGCTAACTACATCTAATATCCCTAGACAAGACGTGTGTCCGGAATGACCAACGCCCTATGAGTTCCATCGCCGTCCATTCGCCCGCGCATCAAGCGCCCGTTGCTGAGCGCTCCAGCCTCGCTTGCATCACTGTTTGATTTCAATCTAATTGATTATTCCACCATCATGAACGACTTAGATTCAGCCCAAGTCACCCTACCCCAGATTGTGCGTCGCAAAACACGTTTTGTCTGTGTCTCCGACACGCATGGCTACACACCCTCAGGAGCAGGGTTCAAGCTCCCAGCAGGCGATGTACTGATACATGCGGGCGATTTGACGAATAAGGGTGGCTTGTCTGAATTGCGCCGGACAATGGATTGGATCTCTGAGACCGATTTCGAGGTCAAGATCGTTGTGGCTGGTTAGTTCATATCTCGTCGCTCCTTAATCTTGAAGCCCGCATGAAAATGGATGCCCAAGGGCGTATGGCCTGATTCGGTTACTCTTCCGTTGGGCATTTTCATGCCACGATAAAGGTCGCGCGGTCTAGCCTGGACTATCAAGACACGCTTATCATGAATATCGACCGAACGGTTCCTTGACCCTGTTTAACAGTTTTTTAGGCAACCACGACATCACACTAGATCCGGCGTTTTACTCGGAACATGGATCCGCGTTCCATGGCACCCAGCTCGTAGACGTGACGAAGTGCATGGAGATATTTGCAGGTGCTTCCCCATCGGTCGTGGTGCTTCAACATGAAGCCACAGTAGTTCATCTTAGTAGCCCAACCGGCCCCCAGACCTCGTTCAAGGTTTTTGGGTCTCCATATTCGCAATTCGAGGGCAACTGGGCATTTGGATATCCCAGTGATAAGATCAAGGATGCAGAGTCACTATGGAGTCAAATTCCAGAAGATGCAGATATTATCGTGACGCATACGCCACCACAATCGCACTGCGACCGCAAGCCTACCGGTATAAATGTCGGATGCGAGGTGCTTCGCCGGACCTTGAGCCGCATCAGGCCGCCGTTAGCTGTTTGTGGTCATGTACATGAAGGACGAGGCTACGAGCGTGTTCGCTGGCCAGCCACGCTTCCAACAGCAGGGTTCGAGAACACCCAGGTCAATGATGCCGGTAATATCACACAGGGTCCCTTGCCTCCGCCGGGTAGCAAGAAACAGAGCCTAGTTGACCTCACTGGCAGGCGAGGGCCTCGCCTTGATAACGATGGCTTTTCATGCAGGAGCCTAGCAGCCTCAACCATGCTAGAGCATGATCAGGGCGATAGCAGTGACTCGCCCAGGATATCGTACTTGGGTGGATGCAACTTCGTGGATGGCGCAAAAGGCCTTGATATCAGCTTATCCAGCCTCAGAAGGGAGACTTGCATCGTGAACGCCGCCATAACTGCAACCAGCTGGCCGCATCGGGGTGGCAAGCGGTTCAATCCACCTATCGTTGTGGATCTAGAGCTGCCTGTCAGACAGGGCGAGCACGCATCACGCTGCTAATGATTTACATTGCATCTGACTTCCACCACTTGACTCCGAGGCTGCCTCGTGTTCTGCGCATCGGTAGCTTCGGCCGCTGCAGCTAGTCAATGCTACTTGATTTTCTGGAGGAGGGGGCTTTCCCCCTCCAACCAGTCATCTGGGCTCGAGTATGAAAGGCGCATGCCCGTGCATACGGTGGCTTGCGATCACTTCAGTACCTCCAACGCCATGCAGCTGCCCGAAGAGCTCTCGCGACAGCGGCGCTGTGACTGGATGCTTTGATTTACGACTGCCTAGAGATCCGTCGGCTACCGAGGTACACTGACCTTTGAGGCGCAGCTTCCAGGCGCCTACATGTGTTCCAAGCAACCTGTACAGATGAGTGGGGCTGGATGAGCATCCCGATGAACTGGCTGATAGATCCGACTGCCACAAGAGCTTTGATGATCCTTCGTGCTGAATTTCATATGCAAAGCGCTCTGGTGCGATGGTACGCCATGAGCACCCTCTGCCATGGCAAAACGCAAGACTGGCGAATAGACCTAGGTGATTGTAGTCTCAGGATTTGCAACTCCGTATAATATACCATGCTCTGCTTTAGATTACGGTTGTTTCTTGGCCAATCGCTCGAGTGATTCCCGTTGGTTTAGAAACGCAACCCCGCATCGTAAATCCCCACCTGACATATGGCGAGCCACAATCCTGGGTCTTTGACGAAAATGCCGCACGCTATTACATCGCGGCAAGCGCAGGTAAAAAAAATAAATAGAATGTTGCAGAAGTTTGGTCATCTGCAACGGGGTTCGACGGAGGAAACTCAAATCGAGGTTCCAGAATCTCTATCACATCCCGGCGCTTCGAGGTGCACCATGAGTGGAGGCGCGATCAAAAAGCACAAACGTCGGCAAACCAATCCTCAGGCCCCCCCGCCATCTCTATTGACGCACCGATCACATACCAACGGGAGGCCGATCATCGGAAGATCTTCTTCAGCATCCAGAAGGAAGGGCAGAATTACTCTCTGCGCATAGCGACCACATGATATCCTCTAGCACCGTTTGTCGACCTTCCTTTGTGTTTACCCGTGTACCTAGCCTCCCCCCGCCCTTTCTCTACACCCCAGCCTTAGAAACTAGTTCCTTTCCTACAAACGGCAAAGCGCGGCATGCTGAAGAGGGTGTGGAGAGGTCGTTAGCTCGGCTGAAACAAAGAGCTGAGCCGACGGACGATGCCGTTCCAACCCATCTCATCTAGATATTTGGATCTGGTTGCCCATGTGTCAGGTGTGAAACAGCCAGGCCTGGCCCTGCATCCTGCAGTAGTCTCTTACTGGGCGCTTGTTATGCCGTGCTAGGCGTCCTTGTACTCTTGTACTCCATAGATGGGCATTTGGTGATCACCGCAGAGAGCATTAGACTAATCACTGGCTATCCCCATCTGCAACCCTCGATAGACTCGGGTTCTTTCCAAATCCCGGACCGTCGGGCCAGCTCGTAGGTCCAATCGTGAATCCACCGACAGTCACGGCCCAGGCCGGGTCTTGGTCGCGGGAGGTGGAAGGTTGAAACCTACTGGTGCCTCTTGTGCGACTGCTCCACTCAGCTTGACTGGCACCGGAGGATTATGAAGGGCGCGGCCAGGGTGCGGCCGTCTAGATTGAAACCCAAATGGAGTTCTGCAGCCTCTATCACACCCAGTCAAATGATGGGGAACTGGTGATGCTGCGAGATGACTTTTAACCTTAGCTTGGCTGGCGTATGGACCGCCCGCAATGGGCTCTACTGCTCTTACCAGGTGCTGATGACTTCCCGCTGGATGAGAAAAGAGGATAGGCCGCGCGGACCTTTGAGCCTGGGTGCAGGTGACCGCGCGAATGGATCTAGTCTCAGGTGGGCCGGAGGGTGAAAGGGCAGGCTATAGCAAGGCACACGTTTGGTTGGGTGGGAACACCATCTCGAAGCCCCAGATGACTATCGATTATCGTGTACGCAGCGCCTGCAGGGGCAAGACAACAAATCAGTAGTGGAGGGGCCGACTTTAGGGTCAGCGTGTTTCTACGCGACGGGGTAACCAGTTTCGACTCTCCGATCATCGTACAAACTAGTGCAGTGGATACTGGATATGGAGACCAGTTGGCATGGGCGTATTCCCGTAGTAGGCACCATATGAATCCCCGCGCGTTTTTCCGAGTTGTACGATGGCCTTAGACATGCAGTAACAAAGCTCCATACATCAGCGGGTAGGATCCATGGGTCTTGAAAGGGGGATTTCCACGCGGGAGTCAGGCACCACAGGAACGTCACATGGCGCACAAAGAACACTGCATGGAACGGTGTACAGTGGACAACAAACTGCCCACATCGATCTGACCTGATTGGGAGGAGCCGGGAGGGAGGGGTACAAGAGGTGGGGGAGCAACAGCACTAATCCGGTACCTCCAGCGGAGTAACTCGACGATACGATATACGGCCGTGCCCCAATGCCATGTAATGGATGTTCCTATAAACAACCATGGGGCCGTGGCACTTTGGCTTTCTGGGGGCTAAGCCCCTAAGCGAGCTGGGTCCCCTTACCGGAGAGATACAAAGGGGAGCTCAAAAAGAGAAAGCAGGGCGACCGGGGGCGAAACCTCTACATTGACCACGTATGGGAGGAGACTAGGATGATGATTGATCGCCCCACTGACCCACATGGGACAGAAAATGGCCTCAAAATGCCAGGGCGAGCAGCCGGCTGCGATTGGCCAACGGGAGACACCAACCAACCAACCGGATGAGACGCACAGGCCAGATAAAACTGGGAAGCGTTGGCAGTGTGGCCAGTGAGGAGGGTTTGCGAGTCACCTTGGGCCAGGGGACTAGAGGGGGGGCACGAATAATTGGGGGATGTTGAGTTGTGTCGAATGAGTGATGTGCTTTGCACGAAGACGGCATGGGAACGGACGATCGTCGAGAATCCAGGTCATAGTTAAGACGATCAGAATTATAAAGTTGGGGAATGACATGAGCAGCGATGACGATTCGCATTCCTAGTGATTCCAGGGCTCCTGCATGAGTTATTATTAAGGATCGCAAATTCTTCCGTACTCGACTTTGCGCTGCCTCATTACTCAGACGGAGCAACTCGCCCGCCTCCCCAATTATTCCCCATTCGTCTTAGACACTCGATTCCAGAGCGACGCCACCCCGAGCATCAGAGGTGTGGCGGAGTAGGAATGCGGATTTGAGTCCTTCCAGCAACATCCATCACAAAGACAAAGTACATTTCGCCCCTGAAGCGTTCGGTTCTCCCGGCCATGCTTCTGACGCCCTGGAGCCGGCACTGAATCTCCCGATCTCGCAATTTAACTCCTGTCTTCCCACTTTTCCTGTCCTTGCCCCTGGTCCATGCGGGAAGACCCAGAAATCTTCTTGACTGTCCTGGACCATTCTGGACAGGTGTGGATATTCTTGCCCGATCGTGAAGTCTAAGGGCTCCAGAATCTCTCCACCGCCTCTTTGCCCCCCCCCTCCCCTCTTCTACACGTTCAATCCCCCCACCCAATTCAGTCTCGCTCCAATTCTCCAATTCACCCGGGGTGATAGTTGTCCCTACCTCTTTTACCCCTGACATTACTTCCCGTCATGTCCTCTCCAGATATAGACCCATATGCCACCTTGGGAGTCCCCAAGGAGGCTTCCATTACAGAGATTCGAGCCGCCCATCGCAAACGGGTGCTCAAGTGCCACCCAGACAAGATTCAAGATGAGTCACAACGAATGATTGCCCAAGACGAATTCCAGCGGGTGCAACAAGCCTACGAACTCCTCTCAGACGAAACTCGACGGGATCGCTACGACAAAAAAGTTCGACTGGCTGAGCTCAAACGAGATGTCGCCGAGCAAAGGAGACGAACAGGCGAGTCAGCATACGCAGTACCGCGAAGTGGTTCATCGCGTGAGTTTCGCGAAGGCCATGTGGTGGAAGAACGGGCGCCAATGGAATCCTTCCTCGACGAGGAGTTCCGATTCACAGACGAACCCCGACCAATGCACCGCAAGACCAACGATTACGAGAGACGACCGAAGACTAAGACAGAAGAGAAGAAGAAGACTCGCGCTCCACCGACCAGTGAGCGAGCAGCGAAGGAGCAGGTCCGGGAGAGCACCAAAGCCTCACATTCGGAGCGACAACGACAACGCGATCGGGAACGACAGAGACAGACCTCCGAGAAGTACTACGATTACAGTCGCTACATATCCGACGAAAGCGAGTCTGAATCAGAGGTTTCCGAGTACGAATATGTTCGCATGAAGAAACAGCCGTCTCGCCGTACTCGCGAGTCGCGCTCTCGCCCAGCAGAGTCTTCTCGTCGCCGAGAGCATGTCTATGAAGATGCTCAGTACAGAACCGAATACAAGCCCGAATACAAGCCGGAGTATAAAAGTGCTACTCGAGCTGCAGAAGATTACATCGAACGTACGAAGTACGGCGGTGTGCCAGATGACCCCATCCGCTCTTCGCGGTCTCCACAACGACGCCGTGGTTATGATTCGGTCGAACCAGAGATTTCGGCTTCGCGGCGCGCGGGGCGGTCCTCCCCGCACGACCCGGGACCGCTCGTCTTCTCGCAACAACAGCTCTTCGTACGAGAACCTGGATTCGCCTTCGCGGAACTACGAGAGCAAGCCTCCCAAGATGCCTTCGGTTGCTACCCAACCCATCAATAAGGCATCACTGCGTCCCTCGCTACTTTCTACCCGATCGGCCAATGCCGCTGGCACTGCTTTCACAAGGCCTAAGGCATCAGGTCGTGATAATGACGTTCTCGCCAAGATGGCGGCGGAACCCATCCCACGATCGTCAAAGAAGTACGAATCGGCCCACTCAAGTCCCTGCACCACTCCCGAAATCCCCCAAGCCTCTCCCAAGGTTACAACCCGTTACACTATCGAACCTACCATAATCGAACCCTCCAAATCGAAATACCGCACCGCATCTCCCTCCCGCCGCGAGCGTGAGCGTGATCGTGAGCCCCGCACAGCGCCTCCAAAACGTGCCAGTACTTATGACTACAAATCTGAAAGTTCTCCTCGCATTGAGGTCCGTCAGGTCCGTCCTACCAGACCCCATGGAGATGTTGAATACTCTCCCCGTGTCAGGCGGGAGGATGTCAAGTTCGCCCAGGAGATTCGGCCTACGGACGCAACGACCTCAAGTCGCTCCTACTATGGTGAGCAACCACACCGTCAAGCCCCGAGACGGATGGCAACCTATGCTTAGGGCAGTTTCAATCGACGACAGCTTTTTTATTTTTATCACATGACAACATTCCGTTATGTCTGTCCGCTGGTCCGTCTGGAGTTTTTTCTCCTTTTAACCTTTTCCACGTCGCATTTAACATTCCTGTTTAATTTTTTCCCCCTCCCCGAACCACTACTTTCTGGTTCTTTACCATGGGATCTCCCGGCTTTCAACCATCGTGCTGGGCATGAGTTTCCATTCAGGGATCTCGGGATCCCTTCGAGCATTGGGACGGCTCTAATCGGTGTTCTTGTCGTTTTCAATCATCATCCTGCACATCTAAGTGGCGCAATTTTCTTTTCGGTTTTGTTTTCATGTTTCACATTTAACCGCCTTTGGGCTACGAAATATCTAGATACCTGAGGAACCTCCGGGTTCACACTTACGAATTAACGTCATCTGCTATGAGAAATATGACATTGGGCGATTGCCCCGGTTAGAAGCTTGTCTTCGTGCCATGATAAGAGAGAAAGATAAAACGCAAAAACATACCTTGTCTTGATTTAGTGTACGATGCACCCTGTACGAACGTGTTATCTAGGTCTTGTATTTAGTCCGACAGATCAGAATTTATGAGTTTCGGCTACAGTTCTATGCAATATCAGTTTCATCTCAACGAGCGTAGGAAAAAGCCTCCTGGTAACTCTCAAAAAGCTTCGGTATAGACTACAGCGACAAATGAATCACTGAAGCGAGTCAGGAACTAGTATCGCACTTTCGTTTATCCTTCCCTTCCACACAAGGACCTAGGTACCGCAAACTGAACCTGAATTTCCAGAGACCACCACTCAACTAGTAGTCGAGCGCACAATAACCGCAGTGTACCCACCGGTGTTTCCAAACGAATTGGAGTTATTCCAGTAACACTGGTAAACGCCCGTAGTATTAGTCTCCTTCATCCGAAACGAGCTGGCCAGGGTCCTATCAGTCTGCAACCACGCGAGGAAACTCCCATAAAAAAAATAAAGTTCTCCGTCGTCGCATTTGCAGGAGTTTCCCGTCCATTCCCGGTGAAGCCGACGGGGGTGGCCTCGCCATCCGTGGTGAGGATGTAGAGTAGCGTGTTGCTGTCGAGTATCAGGTCATCGGCTGTAGCCGTGGTGATCAGTTGTCGGTAATTACGACTGGGTGGCGTGTTAAATCAGGTGTGCTGTTCGAGCGCATGTCCGGGAGTTTGCGGGCACTACTGTGTGATGGTCACTAGTAGGTCTACTTACAGCTGACCTCTGTAGTGAGGGATCCGTGGGTCCATTTGGAGGAGTCGCCGGCATCTGCGAGGCCTACATGGTTTGATGAGTTTTAGTCCTCCGGATCACCAGTCGGTGGGGAGACAGACCGTCGGAGTAAAAAACGGCGATGGGGTGCTTCTCGATGCCGTATGCAACTAGACCAAAGGAGCCGGTTGGGTTACGCTTGAGTGCTAAAGAAGGCATACCCAGTATCCCCGTGGCTAGAGCCAGGACAGAAGGAGCGAGAGTAATGAACTTCATCGTATAGATTTGAGAGAGGAAGCAGGCTCTTTGCTGGCAGTGGAAACGAAGCTCCTTTATTCTCATGTTTCATGGTTTAAGCCGCTCATCAAGAACTCCGGGTTCCATTTGCCCGTTTCCTCGCAACTGGGAGACTTATTGGAGGAAAAATCTAATTTGTCAAGGCTTAGACGCCGCTTTCAGGGTATCATCCTCTAGTGAAAGGCTTGAGGAATTGGGCATTATGCTCACGTCTTGAATAGACCGTTCAGCGCGCAGGCTGATGCGTCTCGCAGGTAACATAAGCAGGGGTGATTTCAACCCGTGCCGAGTTCTGGAACCTTTCTCCTGGGGACTAGCACTTTTAGTAACAATCTGGTAATCACACTCTGGGCTGTGCTGGGCATTCTGGGTGTTTAAATAATCATTAGCCACTGTCCCAAGGTTTTCTGGTCCTCCAGTGGAAGATCGACCTCGTCCCATGCCCTCAAAGCACTGGAAGAGCGAAGACGGATCCTTCAGATCTAGCGGAGTTGGATCTAATGGAGCTGACATCGTCCGCTTGAGAGGACGACTCTGGACATGTCGAATTGTCTTTTACTTGGTAAATTCTAGAAGTGCAGGCTTTGTAATGAAGGCTTCGATTTCCTCTTTCGGCGTATGGCTAGAGTGGCTTTTCTTTCATGCAAAGGGTGGACCTCCATTTCTCCGTACATCATCGGCTTGCTTCTCCCCTCGTCACTTTACCCCTTTCGAGCTTGTCTATTTCAGAAGTTGAAAATACCATTTGCAGCAAACGACGCGTACTATTTACAAGCCTCAAATAATGTACACACAAAATGTCGCCAAGGAACAAAGTAGGGATATGACGCACACCACGTTATTGCAATCCACCTGCTTCAACCAGGTCCTCCAGAGAGTAATCGACTGGCCACGGGGTATCTACTGATAGTAACTCAAACCAAGACATACAATACACACATCTGCACACCCCTATGTTAATCAAACCGGATCGCTTCATAGAGGTCATATTAAACTTACCATTGACAGGCCTAGGATCATGGAGAACCAGAAGAAGACGTTCTAAGAGAGTGGTCAGCGTATTGGAATCTCAGGGCCATTACGGTAAACTCACATTGAGAGTAGTTCGTCCCTTGAAGAAGCGAGACTTTTGCACAGCCACAATTGGTAACTGTAGCATCATCGCCACGAAACCGTATCCACGGAGCTTCTTGGTGATACAGCTCATCACGACCTCGTGGAAGATGGCACTGACCACGAAGGTGATGAACATCGCCACGGGCTGTGAGAAGTTAGAGCGAGAGGGAAAGTAGACATGGCGGAAGAGGAAATGGTGGACCGGGACGTTCCACTCTCGAGAAAATTCGAGCCTGGTTACAGAGTAAGCATGCAGATCCCGCGATTCAGCGCTGATGTCAAGATATTGGCTTACCAATCACATGAATTCCACCAGTCAGCGTAGAAATGGCGATCAGCAAACCTAGTCAGCTCAGCAAACGCCCCGAGGACATACTCAAAGATAACAAGGAACACAAGCAAGAATGTCACCATGAAGGGAAACAGGAGCATGCTGATGGTCTCCGCCAAAACAAGAGCCTTGTCGGCAAGGTTAGTGAGAGATTGCAGCTGGCTATTGGCCTCACTCAACACCGGGACAATGAACTCCTCGCTTGTCAGGGTGAGCAAGAAGATACAGCCGAAAACACCTAGCGACTTCCACAAGATCTCCATCCAACGGCGATCAGGGCGACGTGGGTACTCGAGCTCATAGCAGAGAGTTGGACAGAAGAGGAAATCAACATAGTTGCTGATATTCAAGTTCTGGGGATACGAGATGTTGCCAAGCGGAGAAGTGAGCTCAGTCGCCAAATCTTCCCGCAGGCGAAGCAAGGATTGAGCCGAGCTCTTGTCATCGTCGTGCGTTCGCTTCACAGGAGGCCGGTGGCGGTTTGGCTCTGGGTAATGCACAGCGCCAGGGGGGATAGGAACTACATCGCTCGAATCACCCGCCTTGTCCAGATCTGCCAGCCGACGCTCAGTCACGCTGAGGTGGCCGTTGTAGAAGGCATAAGAATGCAATTTCATAAGGATAGTCAGAAGATGCAGGGTGAAGAAGACTTGGGCCGTCCAGGTCCATAGGCGTGCGAACGGCCAGCTGTACCATTATTAGTCCTTACAGCTTCGGAAGAGGTCAAGCAGCATGTTTTACGTACTTGATCCAAACGCCCAGCCAGACTGCTTCAGCAACGCTTTGCACGATAATTCCTCCACGCGCCCAGCGCAGCCACCGGGGTCCGTTGCGGAAGACTTTTTGCATGGGGAGAACAAGAGCGGAGGTCGCCACCATAGCGAAGTCACTTAGCCCCAGCTCTACAACATTGGCGCTCAAGAGACTCCACACCCGCACCCTCAACGGATACCCCGTATCTTTGATGTTGCGCAGCGCAGTGGTGACCACCATGATGAACAGGGAGATCCAGAAGAGAATAAAAAATCCACGAAAGTTATGGTAGTCACTATCAGGGTCGAAGTGGGAGACGCGGGGCATATAGTTAATGGTGTAGAACAGGCGATTCCGAGCCCGAACTTGCTTGCGAGCTGTCGAGATCGAACGCGCCGAGGGGGGAGCATCATCGGGCAAAGGGGTAGAGCGACCGCTGGACCAAAAGAGAACATGTAAGCCATTGAATTGCAATCGTCCAAGGGAGAGGTGTTAACTAGCTACCTGGCGTCTATGCCGAGCTTGTCGACAGGAGTAATGAGCGGTACGTCCCTGTCGGAGTTGACATGAACAGCACGCGCCCGCACGGAAGAGTCATCCTGGGAGACGGCGCTGGACATTGTGGAGATTGGATCTGTGAAACTCTTCGAAAAGAATTTCACATTGAAGCGCAACGGGCAAAGGGGGAGGAGAGAGATCTTTTGTTTTTTTCCCAGAGGATCCAGGGTTCAACAGACCCACTACGTCACTGTCAGCCTTACAACATTGACCTCAGAAACGCTTCAAGTCATCCGACCGTGAGTCTCACATCAGATTCTTGGAAAATCAGTTGAACTGAATTGAGAGGTCCGGACTTCAGGTCGTTATATCGCAAAGCTCGATTTCAGTGCCTGAAAGCATACGTACGTTATGTTCTCCGAGTCCGCCGCGATAAACTGTGGTGCCTGGAAAGCAACAGGGCTTGAAGATCCCTGGATCCACCAGTTACAGGATGGATCCACCGGCATCGTTGCTTTCCAGCCGTGCCCAACCACCCAGGAATCCGATGAACTGATCTTCACTGCTTGCATGGTGGCTGTGCTTCCCCATAATTGTGGCTGTCCGTGTCCTTGGTTGTACACATCAAGGGCGGGGTACTAATGGGCAATATCCTCGAGCATTGCTGTCGTAGGGCGGAACTCGACGGATAGCCACGTGGACTACTAGTAGAGCCTGAATGATACCACTATTACTGCTACTAGCAGGCTATTCTTAGTGCTTAAAGATCCACGTGTACATCCTAGTACATGACCAGGAAGTGACGAATGGGCCAATGATTTCATTGAACCAAGTCCTCGAGGCAATTTCAATAGCAACTCAAACGCGCTTCGTTGCCTCCAAAAAGCATATATTCATTCGAGCCCAATCAAAACAATGAATGCTTGTAGCAACTCATGGTAGTCTTATACTGATCTCACCTCGAAGTTGCTGCCGAATTGCTGGGCTTCCAAGGTCGAGCCTAGTGTCCGACGCCTAAGAGAATAACGGACCTCCGTGCTTCCACATTAACATCTTTCCTTTTACAACATACTCTCTCCAGCACAAATCTTCAATCAAAATCCTTCCATCTACGATCTTGCGTCTAGGTACCACCGTCACTCAATTCTGCCCCCCGGAGTATTGAGAGATGCCCTTCAAACCATGGGAAGTAGGGAGTTGGGATGGAGGATCGCTTGAGGTGAGTAAGGCTCTTGTTTTAGTCCTTTTTCTTCTTCCTCTCCCGCTCTCTCTTCCTGGTCTGGTTCTGGTTCTTCTTCCGTCCCCTCATTAGTTCTAGTATCTTGAATACAGGTGTCGTTGCCGTTCCGCTCCGTCAGCGATTGGGTCCCATTGGCCCTAGGTATGATTTGACATTGATATCCTAAAAAGCACTTTCCATCAAGAGTTCCTCAGCAAACATGTCGTAAGCATCATTACTCCCAGTTCCCTGTCGCTCCCCTGTGAGAGACCGACCGTTATAAGACTGTTCTTGTTAGCCTAACTCGCGAAGGTCGACACAAGGAAGCTACGAAGGAATTTTTAGAGATCATACAAACTTGTCGTAGTCATGTAGTCATCACATTTGCTGATACCTACAAAACAGATGCGTCCGCCTGAAGGTATTACCTAGGCCTGCTTTCATTGAAGCCATCTTCGGAGCCTCTCTAGTCCACAAGACAGAAGGCTATTCGAGCAACAGTAAGGTGGAGAACATACCATCTACTTCTAAGGGCAATGCCTGACAATACTCTGCAAAGAGAGGAACCAGCCGTGGACTGTTTACTATATTATTGTTGCTATTTTAGCTATTGATGATCGTTACTCATAGCTATAGCAGCCATATGTAATCCCGGGATACCTTCTTACAAGGACTCGGTTGCGAAGGTTGTCTAATCTCTTTTACGGGTTATCTGCTATGGGGCATGCCATTACGAGACTTCCGCGAGAACTCGAAGACCAATAGGCCAAATTAACAAGGCTCATTCTTTACCTTGATACGTACCATAAGCCAATGAATGCAAGGAGTATCAATGCTTGTTCAGTTCCATTGTATTATAAGTATCTTATCCTCTACCACGATGCTGAAAATTGTCTCTAACTTTGTCAGCTTGTGAAACACCACCGGGTTCATTCGGGCACGGTGGTCTCAATAGCTCAGCTATTAGCATGGATTAATAGGCCCTCGAAGCAGATAACGCCAAGAAAATTGTACGAAATTTCAATCATTTGGCTAATCCCACCTTAGGGGCTTTTTGTACCCGCCTGATTTCCACAGACAAAACCACATGTAAAACATCACCGATGTGTGAACGTATCATGAAAATTGTATTCAGAATGCTAGTGTAGTGTATACAAACAGTAGGCAAATCTTGCAATGTTCATAAAAAGGTACTAGTTGGCACAAGGATTTATGCCTCAGGCCGAAACAAGATAATCGATGATATAAGCATACGCTAGTCCCAATGCAGGCTAGCGCCATCAAATGAAGCCAGGTCGACCCCCAAAGCCACGGCCCGTAATAAGTAATGCGTCCAGATCGAGCTGTCGTGGAATAGACAAGTTCTTCTCTCCTCGACTGGTCATCCCCTTTCTTTTCTCCTTTTCCTGCATTCTTCTTCCCTCTAGCCCCATCTGGGGTTACGGCTACATTATGTCTTCTCGTACGTTGCTGCCCGCCCTCTCTCCCCTGAGGGCCAGCCAGCTAACCATCCCGCTTCTCAGTCAAGCAATTCATTCGCAATGTGCGCTCCGCCAAGACAATCGCTGATGAGAGGGCGGTCATTCAAAAGGAGAGTGCTGCCATTCGGGCCTCCTTTCGAGAAGAGAGTCATGACTCCGGAGTTCGGTGAGCGTCCCCGATCTGAAATCATCCCACGCTCGCACGTTCTAACCATAAGCAGGAGGAATAACGTCGCCAAATTACTCTACCTATTCACTCTCGGCGAACGGACCCACTTCGGCCAGATCGAATGTTTGAAATTACTTGCTTCACATCGGTTCGCCGATAAGCGACTTGGCTACCTGGGTACCATGCTGTTGCTGGATGAGAATCAGGAGGTGCTGACACTCGTCACTAACTCATTGAAGAAGTACGTTTGAGAGTCCTTTGCATATTACCTTACCTACATTGCTAATCTCTTCAAGTGATCTCAATCACTCCAACCAGTATATCGTCGGCCTCGCCCTTTGCGCACTCGGCAACATCGCCTCCGTCGAAATGTCTCGTGACCTATTCCCCGAAGTCGAAAACCTCATGTCGACGGCCAATCCCTATATTCGACGAAAGGCCGCCATCTGTGCCATGCGCATCTGTCGCAAGGTGCCTGATCTTTACGAGCATTTCCTCGAGAAGGCCAAACAATTGCTCTCCGATCGAAACCACGGCGTCTTGATCTGCGGTTTAACCTTTGCGACTGATCTATGTGAAGCCGAGGAAGAGGAAGAAGGTCCAGAAGGTGTTATTGAAACATTCCGGCCGCTTGCCGGGGGTCTGGTTCGGGTGCTGAAAGGGTTGACCACGTCGGGATACGCCCCGGAGCACGACGTTTCAGGAATCACAGACCCTTTCCTTCAGACTAAGATCCTTCGATTCCTACGTGTATTGGGCCGAGGCGATGTCCAAACAAGTGAATTGATCAACGACATTCTGGCCCAGGTGGCTTCGAATACCGATGCCTCTAAGAACGTGGGTAACTCCATTCTGTATGAAGCTGTCCTCACCATTCTGGATATTGAAGCGGACTCGGGATTGCGAGTGCTCGGTGTCAACATCCTCGGAAAGTTCTTGTCTAACAAGGACAACAATATCCGCTATGTTGCTTTGAACACTTTGAACAAGGTTGTGGCTATCGAGCCCAATGCCGTTCAAAGACACCGTAACACCATTTTGGAGTGTCTCCGAGACCCCGATATCAGCATTCGCCGGCGAGCGCTCGATCTCAGCTTCATGTTAATCAACGCAGACAATGTGCGCGTGCTGGTTCGGGAGCTGCTGGCCTTCCTAGAGGTCGCTGATAACGAGTTCAAGCCAGTGATGACGACACAGATTGGTATCGCTGCGGATCGATTCGCCCCGAACAAGCGCTGGCACATGGACACAATTCTCCGAGTCCTCAAACTGGCCGGCAACTACGTTAAAGAACAAATTTTGTCTTCTTTTGTTCGTCTTATCGCAACCACCCCAGAGCTCCAGACCTACGCTGTCCAGAAACTCTACGCTTCTTTGAAGGATGATATCTCACAGGAAGGGCTCACTCTAGCTGCCACATGGAGTATTGGTGAATACGCGGATAGTCTGCTGCAGGGCGGCCAATACGAGGAAGAAGAGCTGGTCAAGGAAGTCCGGGACAGTGACCTTGTCGATTTATTCACCAACATTCTTAACAGCACCTATGCCACCCAGGTCGTCATCGAGTATATCACTAATGCGTCGATGAAACTCACTGTGCGCATGTCCGACCCAGCTCAGATCGAGCGCCTCCGTCGCTTCTTTTCGGGACGAACTGCCGACTTGAGCGTGGAAATTCAACAGCGTGCCGTCGAATATACCAATCTTTTCGGTTACGACCAAATTCGCCGCGGTGTGCTTGAGCGCATGCCCGCACCTGAGATCCGTGAGGAGCAGCGTGTCCTGGGTGCCCCAACGAAGAAACGTCAGAGCAAGATCCTCAAGAGCAAGCCCACCAAGGCATCCAAGCCTGCTGAGCATGACCTTCTTCTTGACTTAGTTGGAGGCTCCGATGCACCTGTGACCAGCCCCACCTCGAATGGATCCAACACCGCCGATCTGCTGGCAGATATCCTTGGCGGCGACTCGGGCTTGTCATCGCCCTCCCCAGCCCCTGCTGCCCCAAATAGCAACAGCGCCATCCTCGATCTCTTCGGTTCCAATGGTGCCTCGCAATCACCCCAGCAAATACCACCTGCATCAGCTTCTATGGATCTCCTTGGAGGAGGTGCGCCGTCCCAATCTGCCTCGCCTGCACCAGTCTCGGCGTCAACACCTGCCCATACAGCATTCAGCAAAGATGGCCTCACACTCGCCCTTCAGGTTCAGCGAAGCGGCAACAATGCTCAAATCGTTGCCCGTTTCCGCAACGAGACCAACTTCGAGAGTTTCTCCAATGTCGGTCTCCAGGCTGCTGTACCCAAGAGCCAGCGTCTGCAACTAAGTGCAATCAGCAAATCCGATATTGAGGCCGGTGAAGAGGGCACCCAGACACTGCGTGTAACTGCAGTCAGCGGGGTACGTATCAGCCAACGAACTACCACAACACCTCCTATGAACTCAAACTAATCTGACGTGTTTAGGCTCTCCCACCCAAGCTCCGTCTTCGTCTCCGAGTAACGTCCTCCCGTGATGGCTCAGCACCAGTCACCGATCAAGTAGACTGGACCGAGCCATAAAAGCCCAGCTCGGTTGGGAGCCCTTGTGCTCATGATTTGCATACATGGAATCGAGGCATATGATCTATTCAAAAGTCTACCGGCGGATGAAGCGTTTTAATTTTCCACGAACGACCCCAAATCCCAATTCTATACATGACCCCCCTAGTATCCCCCCGCCCCTCTAGATTTTTTATCTTATCACCTTTTGTCATTTTGCTCTGTTTACCTTCGCGTCATGAGGGCTCATTCTTGTACATGCTTAGCAGGCGAGGGTTAGTCAGCGCGTGGCATTGCTCGCTTCTTGGCTAGGTTCCGTGAGGAGGAGTAGACTAGCCAAAAGGATTAATGAGCATTTTTCCAACTATTTGTGTCAAAAGAAATAAAAAAAAAAAAAAGTCCATGGGATGTGAGGAAGAGCCCGACTCGATAGAATCTTGTCTCAGCCACAGTCGCTTTGACTCATGGTTCAAGCGTCTGAGGACGTCTTCTATATGAGGCTTGGTTACTACGATATAAGTCGGGGCTAGGTGTAGCACGAAAGCCACTGACAATTACGGAGATAACTCGTAGTCTCGTTTACGCATCAGGTTCATTGGACAAAATCAATTAAGAAAGAAAATGGTCAAATTAGCATGACTCCTGGGCAAAACCCCGAAAAAAAGATGTGAAAAGGCAATGAACATCTATAGGAAAAGAGCGGTGCAGAAAATTCAAACCATGCAAGAAATACCAGCTCTAGTACATCTCCAGGATATACTCTTCATCAATTAGGCAGTCAGAGCCGTGGAAGCCAAGCGCGCGTACAGCAGAACTAAGCCAAGTGTAGCAAGCAATATATGTAAGGGCTGTATATTTTGCTCGACTGTAGCAAGTCCGGAAACAAGAACTTCCATACATATCTCTAAATGTGCTCGATTGGGTCCTCTGGCAGGAGGGTCTCACCTCTCTGTCGTCCACTCTGCGGAAGACAGGCCTTGAGAGGGGGCTGGATGATGTCGTTGAACAGGAACGTTCCGTAAACAAGCAAACCAAAACCGACAACCTGCAGCCATTTGAAGTTCTCCCAACCAAGGCCCAGGGAGACGATCCAAATGAACAATGTGCGACTGGTGTCGATGGTACTGCGGGAAGTAGCTGACACGGTGCGAGTCACCGAGAGCCCGAAGAAATTGAACCCTCTGCATCACGCATTAGCGAGATGGCCATCTTGATGGATGATGCCATAGAGGGCTTCAGTTGAGAGGAGAATGCACTTACCCGATACTTATCATGATTAAGATGCTAGACACGGTTAGGGCACGATTCGAGAACACCTGGTGCCAACCTTCCTTCATATCAAAGTAACCGTACTGGCCAGCCTCGGTACGACCAACAGCCAAGTACATAATAATTGAGGCAATGAAAGTAACTACGAAGCCGAATATGCCCTCCCAGCCTACAACTTGGATAGGGTCCATGGCGTAGTTCTCGAGAATCCACTCCTCCAGAACAAACTGCGACGCTGTGAAGATCTGCGCTCCGGCGATAAGCAGCACACCAATAACAGTCAAAACAGCCTCCGGGGTCCCAGAAGTGCTCTGGGGACTGACAGGATTTCCCTGTGTGATATCATGGCCAGGATCACCGCTGAACAGTGCCCCGGCAAGTCCGACTAGCGCAACCCCCAGGACCACCACGAAGAGCGACGCCCATTGGTACAGATAAAGCTTGCGGCGCAAGAACAGCACGCTGAGAAGACCGACAAATAGCACCAGTGCGCCGCGAGTCATTTGGTAGATACTCGCGGCCACAAAGAGTAGGCCGACGTTCATCAGCGTCGTTCCGGCAATGTCACAGCAGGCGGGCCCCGCCAGTAGAAATACTCGCCAGCCGCGTAGTGGGATACGGTCGCCATCATTTATAGATGGTTTCGGTCCGGTGGTAGGGTCGATGCTCGTGCCATCGAGGGTGCCGTCGTCGTCTTCGAGGCCGCCGTCTTCACCGCGGATCGGACGATAACCGCCAGTCAGAAGAGGCGACTCGTCACGGGAGATGCGGGGGGAAATATATCGATTATACAAAATGGAAAGGCCGAGGACCAGCCAGCAACCCATCTCGCCGACGAACATCGTGATACTTCATTGTAAAACGAAGTAGTCAGCTACGGGATCCTAGTCCCTGGCACCCGCAGCTGCCGCCGAGCAGAGAGCACCATTTGATCCGTGGAAAGAAAAAACTTACGTCTGAATGACCGGCTGCTCGAAGAGTTTCCGATACTGCGGCTCTGGAGAGTCACAGTTCCATACACATTGCATGTCCTTTGAGCGGGTGTTAAGATAGGCTGGGAGGCTCGGCTTGGCTGAAGTCCTACCTGATATTTGTTGAGCAGTGTGTTGCAGACCCCGGTCACGAGCATCATCGTGACCAGGAATGGAATAAGAGCGCGACTCGCCATCATGCCCCAAGGTCTTGTTAGAATGGGGGAGTTGTTGAAGAGGAAAGCTCAAAGCGGAGATGTTTCGAGTCTAAGCGCGATCGGTTGGAGATAAGGCAGCTGACTGATAATTGTGGGGCGCGGGTGATCACCGTCACATGGTGCTTCGCATTCCCACGAGTATACTTGAAGACTACAGGGCGAGGGATAGTTATGAGGGGGTATTAAAATCATTTGTCGCCGCTACCGAATAAAACATTAAAACGGGCAAGCGCCATGTCAAATCCAGGTCCGTTATCCCATCCTGCCATCTTTTGACCCTAACAAACGCCATCGCTGGAACTCGAAGAAAAGAAAAGACATTAGAATGAAGATCAATCACAAATCAAACCCCTGGTTCCCGTAGACCCCGACGCATAGTTGGAAGAAATGACAGTAGAAAGTAAAGAGATCCCTCGTGAGGTATGATACACAAGCTTGGAAAACAAAGTGAAGTGAAAAAGATACCCTTGTGTACGCCAGCTGGTTCATTCGTCCCGCAGTTGATAAGAATAGGGGGAAGCAAAAGCACAGAAAAGAAGAGGGGGAACGAAAGAAAAACAAAGATAGAAAGACAGCCGAAGGGGGTCATAAATCCGGTCGGGTGCTTTACACGGTGGCGATAGCAATGCCGCCGTTCTCAAGCGTCGTCGTCTCCGACTCTGGAATGTTTTCCCAGTCGACCAGTTTCTTCAAAGTCTCGGGATCTGTGGGGATTTCAGGCAGATCCTTGACCATGTTGTGGTACTTGCCTCCCTCTCTCAGCTCAAATCGGATAGCATCGAGTTCATTTGGCAAGTTTGGATTGGGCACATTGGTCATCTCAAGATCAGAATCAGATGCCTCGGTGTCAGGAATGCCACCCTCGGGCTCCCACTCCCACCAATTGCCGACAGGCTGACTATCATCGTCTGGGGCATTCCAATATTCATGACTCGGTGTGAGAATGCCGTTGTCCAGCGAGTCGGGAGTATCGTCAGATTGATCTTGATTAAACATCGCGTCGTTCAAGAACTCATCACATGGGTCAGTACCAAGCGAAAGAAGAGGGCTGAAGGTGTCATGGAACGTCTCCATAGAGATTGGACAATCTTTCCACGGATCCTCCTTCTCCTTGCCCTCCATCTCATCCAGTGTCCGCTTGCCCGGCTTCTTGGCGTCGCTGTTCGGAGATGGCTTCGCTTTGTTGCCTTGTTGAGGGGTAAGCAGCTGAGGAGTAGCTGGTTTGATTCCAAGCTGACTGGTGGCACGAGCCATGGGTGTGTTGCTCGCGGTAACAGGTGTCAGAATTCCATTCTTAGCAGGGGAAGCCATAGCATGTTGCCTGTTGTTGGGAGGGTTGGTCGCTGAAACACCGTTGTTGACCTTGTTCTGTTGGTCATCCGCGTTCAAGCCCAGGCCAATGGCGACACTCTTCGAATACCACTCCAAAATATCGCCAATCTCTTCTTCCTCCTCCGCTTGATGAGCCTCCTCGACATGTTGAAGCAACGCAGCCTCAGTAGGAAATCCGTGTGAATGGTGTTGGCATTCAACAACAGAGCACTTGAACAAATCGGACGCCACAGCATGGTTCTTGCCTGGCCCAGGCGCCTGTTTAGTTTTGTTTACCATATTGGGAGAGGCCTCTGGCTGCACGGGCGAGGCACTGATAGGCCCGCCCTGAGACTGCTTGCGCTTCTTAGGCGGGGGAAGCTTTAATTTCTCGGGTTGCAAGCCGTTTGGACCATATGCATGAGGAACCCCTTGAGGAGATGGGGCCCCAAATGGAGCAGTGGACGGGTGATTCTGACCCCCAGTCTGGCCGGATCCACGCCGAGCAAGTTCAAGTGCTTCTTCCTGCTGGTCTTGCAGCTGCTGGAGATTGGAAGCATTAAGCTGTGGGGTGTTGTTGTTTTGAATCGGGGCGGCAGCCGGGGCGGAGGGATTCTGGGCAGAATTTCCAGGTCGTTGTGACTGATTCATTTTGAGCATCATCATTTGGAACAGCGTTCGGATAAACAAGACTCCTCCGGTCAAGTAGTCCTGGGTGATCGTGAAGTTATCGTTCAGAACCCAGTCGGGCGAGTCACTGAACTGGCGCATCATCGAACAACGCATAGCGAGAAGGTTCCTCAAGCTCTTTTCCTGCCCCTGCATTCGACTGAATCCACTCGTAACCACCATGTCCAACCTGGACAATACATCCAACGAGTCCATCATCAATTTAGACATGACGGCCTTCTGTTCGGGGGGGGATTTGCAGAACCAAGGAGTGAGGAGCAGTTCGATCGATCTCGTCATAAACCTCCAGGATGCGAGGTGGGACGTTTGTACGCCACGCTTTCTCAGCCACAGCCTTGCTCAAGGGCGGTCCCTTAATGAAGTTCTGTTGCTGCTTCCGCATATGAGCCTCCTTTTGCAGACGTTGTTGGGGGTTCATAATATGGAACTGGTCTTGGGATAGCGAAGCTGCAGGTCCTGGCCGACCAACAGCAGCGGCAGATTGCTGAGGCTGAGGCTGCTGAGAAGATGCAATAGAGCGGCTATCTCCCACATCATCAGTATTTGCCTTCTTCTTGGGTCCGGGTTTATTGGCCACAGCCTTAGCTTTCGCGGCGGGTGCCGGTTGCGCCCTGGCGTTCACGGTCACGAGACCTTGGTCCACAGGTTGCTGCTGAACATTGTTGACACCTGATGGTCTCTGGGCAGTAACAGGTAAGCTATGGTTCGCAGGCTGCTGCATCGGTTGACTCTCTGCAGGTGCCGCCTGGGCTGCTGCCTCAAGCTGCCGGTTTTTGGCCATCATGATTTGTCGTTGCCGGTTTTGAATAAGGTCGCGAATATGCTCGTCCGAGAAATTCCGTGAACTAGGACCCAGCTTTTGACGAGCTATCTGAATGTCGTGGGCAGTGATTGGACGCAATGGAGGAACTGCTCTTCCGGGCTGACCTGGAAGCTGGCCGTTGTTCTGCACGTTCTGTCGGCCGGGCATCTGAGGTACGGGGCCTGTAATCGGGTGCAACGAGTCACCAGGACCTTGGCCATTTGCGTTTTGGTTGGATGCACCCATCATCTGAGCAAAGTGAAGCTTTTGTAGCATCATCAGTTTTGAGATGTCCACTCCACTTGCAGCCTGAGGATGCTGGGAAACGAATTGCTTCAGCTGGCCCCAAGTCTTGATATTCTTCGGAACTTGAGAGGTACTGCTGTTGAGAATGCTCATTGGGAAATTCAGATGATCCATTTCTGCAACTTGTTCCGGGGTCATCTCCATTCCATTGCTCAGCCCCATGGTGTGCTGACGCATGAGGTGCAGTTTGTAGAGTTGGTCCTGGCGCTGTTGCTGGAGTGCACGCTGTTGGGCGGACAATTGATTATGCATCTGCTGAGGGCCAGATGGAATACCTTGCTGGTGATTCATCGGATTCCGTGCTGCACCGGCGCTGTTGGCAATCTGGTTATTGAATACTGCTTGGCCCTGGGCATGCTGAGATCCTGCTTGCTGGCGACTGTTCATAATATTCATCTGGTTGCGGCGCTGAGCCATGAGGAAGGCATGAAGTTGCTCATTCGACATCTGAGCCAATTGGTTCTGGACTGCAGGGGGAAGATTTTGTGGGATTTGGGGCCGGGGGATGTTGGACTGTGAGCCCTGTGCACCATTTGGAAGCTGGCTCATGTTGGGTGGGCGCGACTGAGGTCGAGGTTGACCGGGCGCTTGAGCTGGAGACATCTGTCCGGGGGCCATAGGTTGATTCAACATGGGCATGACAGGACTCGACTGAGACATATGCGTTTGAGGCTGATTGTTCTGGCCATGTCCTGACATGGTCATCTGGGCTTTTTGAGCAGCTTGAATTCGGGCTGCGGCGACTTGTTGAGCCTGAGCCTGGTTTTGAAATTGCATTCGATCCTGGGGGGGGATTGGAGCTGGTCTGCATGGGCTGCTGGCTGAACATAGTGGGGTTGAACATATTTTGCTGGTTGGGGAAAGGCTGGTGGTTCATTTGAGAAGAGCTGGCCGGGACAACAAGCTGCCCGGCTTCTTGAGAGCGCATGCCGTCCGCCTGCTGACCCTGGATGTTCTCCACGTTACCCAGGAGGACATTGGGGTCCAGGCCTTGGCTGTTGTTCCCGGCGCCGGCAGAATTACGCTGGAGGTTCAACATGTTCTGGAAGATCTGCCGCTGCTGCTGGGTGTTCATCGATGGATCATTCATCACAGCGGCGTTCGGGTCCATACCGGGGTTCGAATTGCGGCCCATTTCCATGCGGGTTCGGCGGTGTCGACGCATCTGAGCGAGAGCCTGGGAGCGGAAGAAGTACGTCAACGGGTCCATTTTCTTGCGAGCTAGGTATTGTCGCTGCTCAGCCGTCATGTTCGACAGATTCATTCTGATTTTTTCCATGTCCTCAGCGGATGTTTTGGCTAACATCTGGCCGGCTAGGCGGGAAACGTTCTCAATTTCGGTCTGGGAGAGGGTGCTGAGGTCATCGGGGAGGGGGCCACCATTTGCAGGGCGTTGCTGCTGGGAGCGTTGCTGAAGCAAGGCATTCTGCTGCTGCTGCTGCTGCTGCTGCTGCTGCTGCTGTTGTTGCTGGCGTGCCTGCATCGCTTGTTGACTCTGGCTAGGGTCACCCATACCCATGGCCATCTGGGGCTGACCAGGGAGGGGGGGAGGACTGCATGCCATGGTTCATCTGCTGGGGTAGGCCTCCTTGGAGTTGGGTTTGCATCGCGTTGGCTTGGGGCATCATGCCGCTCTGGAAAGCGACGTTGGCCTGTCGCTGGCGCGTATCTTTGATGTGGAGGAGCTTCTCGTTACATTCACGCTCGTAATCGCTCTACAGGGAAAGGAAAGAGATAGGTAAGCGGTGTTGTCCGGAAGGTGGCGCAAAGGATGAGGAGAGGGTAGGGACACAAACTCTTTCGCTGGCTTTTTGGAAGGCTTTCTGTTCAAAGCTAAGAGCGGCCTGGGCAGCAGATTGGAGATCAATCCGTGGTTGGATCAGGCGCAGAGAGGTAATCCTTGGGAACAGGGCGGTGTTAGAGAGTGACGCGAAAGGTTGGAGGAAGTGGGAAGAGGGGAAACGACGGGGAAGGGGATGGCAGAAAAGAGAGGGAGGGAGGTTCAAGAGGTTCTGATTTTGAGTGAATGAGGGGTCCAAGTGACAGAGGCGACCTGAACCAGAAGGCAGCAGAGCCACCCCCCCGGCTGTACCAACAAGTCGCCCACTCCCACCAGACCACCTGGACGAGCTAAGAGCCTTACATTTGATACACGTTCATCGCACGGCTTTTAATAGGCACTTCAGCTTTCCAACCCTGGAAGGGACCCTGGCTCTGTAACATCTGAGCTACATGGTTCATTATGAGCGAGGCATTCTCGTTCCTGGGCGGTTGCATGCCCGGCCTCACGGCCATGCCTTGAGGATTGGGGAAGCCGTTGGGATTCATATCGAGAGCCCCATCAAAGGGGATTGGAGAATCCGCGACCGGAGGATAGGGCCAGCATTCGCCAGGTCGAGGTCAAGGGGCGAAACGACGGATGGAAAGCTTTGCACAGATCAAAAGGGAAAAATGAACAATCGAAAGGGAGAAAGTCGAGTCGAGAGGGAGAGGAAAGGCAAAGAGCGGGAAAAGCAAGGCGTTCGGGCACCAGCGTCTGGATCGCGCAGTGTGACCCTCCCGTCTTTAGCAATTTGCTTCAATTTGATTCGTTCTTCATTCCTGCAACTCTACTTCAATCTCAAGTATACATAATCCCATTCAATACTGTCTTCCCAGACCAAAATGTATGCGGAATCCCATCCTGGAAGCTGGGAGCGTTCGGAGCAAGACGCAACCCTTAAAACTTTCCATGGGAACTTTCCCCCTCTCGGGTGCTTACTATTTTACGACTTTCGCCGGAGTCTGATTTCTGTTTTGCTCCGTTAGCCTTAGATCGTCCTCTGCAGCCGACCTAGTGCGACTTGACTTGCTGCAGCATCCCTGTCATGGATCCCATCCTGCCAAGTGCGCCCGCTTCTAATTCGCCATTCGCCCAAGAGTACTCGCGACGGGTGGAAGTGTTCATGATCGCCTCCTCCCACCTGAATCCGATTTGAACATCCCTTGGCATCAACACGCGACACCCCCAGGTTCCCACTACTCCTTGATATGTGGATCTGATGAAAAGTGTGGACCTTCTTTCAGCCGTGCGAAACGGAAAATATGGTTTCCAGATATCGCGCGGAGCCACTGAGTTGGGTTCGGCGAGCACCTGATACGAGCACATGTAGAGAATATATATTGACAGGTAGCCAAATATACCATCTCTGCTCAGGTGGGTGGACGCATCCTGCCGCTTCAACGAGCGCGATCGGAGTTAAACTCACAGAAACGATAATGCACATCTTTATAGACCATGTGTGGCATGGCAGTGGGTTACAAATACAAAACGGACCTCTCACATCCAATCACAGCATTGTGGCCTAGGGGAAAGGCGCCGGGCTCATAACCCGGAGATCCCTGGATCGAAACCAGGCAATGCTAGGATTTTTTTTCTAATTCTCCTTCCGGCTCAGTGATCCTTATATCCGATCAACTGCAAGGGGGTCTCCCCTCTTTTTATTCCGTACACAATAATTTGAATGCGAATGGGTTCAGAAACCTATTAAGATAACTACATGATCGCTCTGTACACTGGCTCAGCAGTCTGCACTAATTACTTCAAGCCCGGCGTTGACTAGTCAACTAGTTAGTGATGTTCATCAATGACAGTCATGGTGACAGTGGTTTCTTGAATTCCAAGCAGCCATACTAATTAATAAACCTCCCTGGTGAGGGATTATAGAAACTGACAAAGGAAATCTTGTGTATTAAATTTGCGATCGAGGGGTGCGGCGAGATATCACTCTCGACCGTAAGCTTGGAGATCATTATTCACTGCTGCAGTCAAGACTTAGATTGGATCTCGTAGGATCGAGAGATAGAGGGTTGCTGTACGTACAAGATTCTCGTCATGAGCAAGGGTGTAGCTGCTATGATAAATTCGGGAAGTAATCAATACATAAGACTCGACATCAAGCTTCTTAACGCATCGCTGTAGCAGATATCTGCGAGAGCAGAAGGTGGTGGATTTCTTTTTGGGGAAAAAAAGAAAAAGAAAACCAAAAAAAAGGATAAGATTTATGAAATAGCATTGCCTGGTTTCGATCCAGGGATCTCCGGGTTATGAGCCCGGCGCCTTTCCCCTAGGCCACAATGCTGAGAGGTCCTTGAAATCTCCTCTTTTTCTTACACGAGGGCCCCCATACTGGAAATCAGGACTAGCTTAACTCGGCCTCAGATATGCTCGGACCTACTCCAGAGACAAAAAGCGGCGCTCAGTGGGCCCAAAAACGGAAAGGGAAGGCCACTTGCATCGGATTTCGGTCAGGTCAATATGCGCTCAAAGCGGGGGCGTTCTCTTCCAATTGGTGTGTTGGAAGCACTGAGAGCGTTGGATTGCATTGGGTCCCCCCCAGGCAACGGCAACAGGGACAAAAAAGATTTGGCCCAAGCAACGATAGGCCAGAACCTGAATCATGAACTCCTCGATCCCTTTTAGAAACGCCCCACTCAGCCCCACCGCCAAGCCAGCCATTAGCCACATATCAAGCCACACATGCGTAACCCCGTCCCCTGGCGTCCGCCAAACTTCCTCCTGCTACTTCCTACTTCGAATACTTATCTCGCCTCTGAGCGTTCTTTCCTTAGCTGTCTTTGTACGGCACAATGAGAAACGGCTAAACGACTGATCCTATCTCTCTTCCTATTTATCTTCTCCACCATGTTCGCGGTCACTGTCCCGCCCGTTTCCGTGGGCTCTAATATCTTCTTCGCCATTGCCCTGCTCTCTATCTCCGTCCTAGTCTTCCTTCTCCTGCGTCGCTTTTTGACAGTTCGCTCAACGCCAGCGTACCTATTGGTCCCCGTCTTTTTCGCTCTCGCACTCCCCGCCAGTGTAGTGTTGCTCGTTCCGATCGATCTCGCCTCTAGCTCCCGCGATGGAACCGGCCCGAAGGCGATTTGGCTACCCGCTCGCGTGGTCCTTGTTTGCTGGCGCATTGCCTATTGGCTGATCTTTGCATTAACTTGGTATCGTGTCTCATCCTTTCTTTGGCGGATGACCGTCAGAAGTCTTCGTTCTAACACCTCTCTTAAGGGCTATCCTCCCCCTCCTGGGCGAATATTTCGACTCCGGATATCGCGACCCGAGAGCCCGCATCATGTATTCCCTGCGTTCCAATGCCCAGTATCATGCAATCGTTCTTGCTTGTGGTATCGTTGGCCTGGTTTACGTCTCCATTTCTATCGGTTTTGATTTCAGGTCCATCAAGAGTCTTGTGATGGCCCTGGCATACGTGTGGGGTCTTGTGTTGGCCATTTCTCTGATGGGTCATGGCTTGGTTTCTATTCCTCGCAGTTTGATCAGAAATTCTAATGTGAGCGGTCGATTACGGCGACTTCAGGTCCATGCGCCCAAGGTGCATGACCGTTTGATGGATGCAGTCAATGAACTTGCAAGCCTCAATGCACAGGTCGCTCAGCTCCAACAGCGCAAGACCGGAACCGCGCGCGACTTTCAGGACTGGATTGAGGAGCTTGGAGAAGGCCCTGGCTCGGCAGATGTGCGGGTCCCTATTCTTGAGGCCCCCGAATCTTCTGCGACCGTTCCAACGATCATCACTGAACGCTATCTGGCAGATTTGACACGCCGCCTCCAGCGCGCTCGCCACATGAAAGCACGTTTTGTGGATGAGTGGGATCGCCTTGTCTTGTTGGCCGCAGATCTCCAATCCATTATCAACTCTGCTGCGTCGAAGAAATTAGAATTCGGCCAAGCTCCTCGACGATCGTCCTGTCTTCCTCGTGCCAAATTCTTGACCCCGCATATGCGGTATCACCTGTACTCGAACATCATTCCCTCCGTGCGCCTCGTTTTTGGTTCACTCTTTGCGGTGGCGTCGATCAGTATTATCTGGTCGGAATTAATCAAGTCTCTCGCGCCGCATTTATCAGCGGTCAGCTTGACTGTGGTGCCTAACTATAAGGACCCCAAGCCTCTTGGCTTCGGGAACCAGCTCGTCACTTCTGCATGGCTGCTCTACATGTGTTCCGCAGCCATGACAGGTGTCAATGAGGTCCAGGTATGGGGCAACCGAGCCCTAGTGCGCCGAAACACATACGGCGAAAGCGCATGCTGGTATGCCAGTCTTGTAGCTCGATTAACTGTCCCCATCGCATACAACTTCTTGACCTTCTTGCCAAAGGATTTCCGCCGAGGAACGCAATTCTACGATTTTCTGGGCAAGCTAATTAACCTTACGCCCTTGGGACACGGTTTCGATTTCATCTTCCCAATCTTCATCCTTGTCCCAGTTTGCGCGACCCTTTTCAATCTCTATGGCCGTGTCAAGCGGGTCTTTGGTTTTGCGAATACAGATGACGATGATGACTACGCCGACCTCGAGAACAACCCCGCCGGCTTCGGTATGGGCGGGTGGCGCGAGGGCCGCGATTTGATCGAGCGCGAACTCAACGGCTTTGGCTCGCTTGCCGTGTCTTCGCGTGGAGCCCGCTCAACCTGGGCATCCGAGTCAGACCGCAGTGATGGCGACTCGTTCACCTCGTCTAGGCTACGCGTTCCTGTCGCCGAGGGTTCACGCTCTCCGCGCCCTCCTACGGGGCAGCGGCCCACGACAGCCCCGACTGTCGTCGATGGTGAGGAAGAAGATGATGGAAACTTCTTCCAATCTTTCGCTCATCGTGTTCGCAATACATTTGAAACCAGCAACACTCCTCGGTGGCTCCAGGGTGACAATTTCCGGCTGCCGCGATGGATGACCGGTGACAATACCACCACCGAAGATGGCGGAGTCTCCCGGCTTTTTGGAGGCCGCGCTGTTCCTGGTCGCTTGCGATTGGGCTAGGATTTATTCCCTTTGTGTTTTATTTGCATGACGCGGAGTCTGGTCTCACTGCTGGTCAGTTTAATATAGGATCTTTGTTGTAAATACGTGGTTTTCCTTTGTGATTTCATTGGCTGCTTATGTGTTAGAGTCTGTTTCTATAGACAGAATTCGTTAACTTGAGGTTAAATGATACCATGCACCTAATTAGCACTGCGAACCTGTTCATCCGAAATTGGGCATCTTGTCTTACCGATATATTTCTTCCCGGCAGCGAACATGTACCATCCACCAGCAGTAACAAGTGAGCAATTCGGAATTTTTCGATAAGGGAGATTTTGGTAAAAGATAAATCAATTACACGAGTGAAAACGCAGATAAATTTGTCGAGAAGAATTTAAAAAAGTAAAAAGATACAAAAGCAGCAAAAATGAAATGCCCTCGCCCAGAATCGAACTGGGGTCTTCGGATGTCACTCCTGTTACCAGGTGCGTCATCGCAAGTTTCGTATGAGACCGACGTACTAACCGTTATACTACGAAGGCATTGGATAGAAGGCTTGCCCAAATTTGTGTATATGACCCCGGCAACCCTCGATACGTCAACGAGCGCTCTCATCATTCTAACACACCACCACTCTGATTATCTGCGCTTATAGTGCAATGGAGGGTGAGCGGGGTTTCAAGGTTACATCATTAAACGACTGGCGTCATTATAAAGACCGTAGGTTAGTATCCTCCAGAAGTGCAATTTTACAATTCACTAGTATAGCCATCCGTGGAATGTAATGAGCTCGTCGTTGCTTAGCCCTAACGACCCGTACATACCAACAATGGCATCGCGTAATGTGGTATAAAGCTCGAAATTCTATATGATTCTCTAATTTTATCAAGCTTAAAGTATTTGATCCCAGTTAGGCATCACAGTGAATTTCCCAGAGAGCTGCCCCATAGACCAAGCAGTCTGCTTCGCCGTGTCCCTGGCTGGCTGGCCCGGCTCAACAGCCTCAGGAGTAGACATAATCAGAGCTTCTTGCGCAAAATCTACCTTGGCGGCGCGATCAAGCTCAAAGCTAATTCCGCCCCAGTCCATAGTAACGCGACCAGATTTGTGCACGTTCAGCTTACCAACACGGCCCGCAGGAAGTGACCAATTGGTGGAAGCCGTGATAATCTGAGATGCATTTGCTTTGGTTGGATGGCTACTTGTGCTCTGGAAGCCACCGTCTTCGGTTTTGACCTCGGGGTCGAGGTGCTTTGGGAGGTGGGGGGCGACTGGTTTGGAGGTTTCGCCGGGGATCGTGAGGGTCGGGGTCATGGGCGGAAATTGCATGAGAAATAGTTGACCGAGGAGGTGTTCGTTGATTTTGGGTTCGGTGCCTTCTTGTTCTTCGTTTTCTCCTTCGCCCTCACCGTCAATGGCCATTGACTCTGGTCGTTGCTCTTCTGCGGCTGGTTCTGCACCAGCTTCTGTTGACTGTGGTGCGGGTCTCCCGGCCGAATTAGGTGCTTTTTCTGTGACTCTGATCGAAAGAAGATTCCGGAAATGCTCCAGATCCTCCAAGTGCCGATCATATTCTTCGATTTCTTCTCTTGTTCGAAGGAGGTCTCGTGGATCTCGCTTAGGTGGTGGTGGCTCGACGGGCTGCTGTGTAGACTCTTTGCCCTTGGCCTGCTGTTTAGGGTCTGACGTTTTCCGGCGCACACGCACTGGGGTAGCGGGGAGGAAGTCATCATCCTGAGGCACATCTTCCATAGCTGTATCATCATCCTGGGGCTCTTCTTTGACTCGTGGTTCAGTAGCTTCCTTCTCCTCGGAGCTCGACTTGTCATCAACCTCAATGGCCTGGTTCTCCGCATGGGCCTTTTCCCGAATCTCCGCAGCCTTGCTAGAGCTTGACTCCATGTTCACACTGACAATGCGCTCTTCATGCTCACGTCGTGGAACTCGCGCAGGGCGCAGCCCGTTGTTCGTGGCAATCTTCCTCCGACTCGGCCGCTTGCCTTTGACTCCCGCCACATCCGAGTCCGAGTCCTCGCTCTCTAGATTGATGTTGTCGATGCTGACCCGCAAATCATCGTCTGAGGAGTCATCATACCGAGCAGAATCACCAAAACCACCCCGCGGCGCACCCCGTTTCCTTCCGAATCCTCCCTGTCCACCGGCACCGCCACCTCGCCCTCGCTTCGCACCACCAAAGCCTGAGCCAGCCCCAGAACCCAATGGTCCGCTCCCAGCAAGGCCAGCAGCACCACCGCGGCCCCGGAAGCTCCCCCGACCACGAGTATTACCACCCCGGCCGCGCTGAATCGCAGCCGCCTCTTTCAATCGCTCGCTGTTGCGCTCCGCCTCGAGCTTTTCGATGGCCTCCCGCTCTTCCTTGGTCTTTCGCGCAACGGCCTTCGGTTTGAACTTGAGCGCTGGTTTAGGCGCCTCGCCGCTCAGCGCTGAAGGTCGCCCAGTGGCCGGGATGCTGCCAGATGCGGGGCGTTTCTTGAGGGATTGTAGGCGTTGGACAGGGCGGCCAGATGGGCCTGGAGTGGCGCTTTGTGACGGAGTAGAGTGCGCCTCTGGTGTATTCTGGGACGAATCGGCATCGCCTGATGCTCCTGCTGCTGTTCGGCGGGTGCCAGCCTTTGGAGGCATGGTTGTTTGCGAGCAGCAGGCGCGCAGTCGGTTGATGTGTAGGAGGGTTTGGGTTTGCGGCTGAGCCTACTACGTGTGTTCCAATTCGACTCCAATAGCAAGGTTCACAATAGAAGAGGTTCCACACTCTTAATTGGCGCCTGATGCGAGCAGCAAGTTGACTCTTCGACAGATCAAAAAAGTTGCGGGGCCCTCTGACCGCCTAGATCATGTGACTAGGATAGCGGGCACGTCGGTACATATATGAAAAGGCGGTGAGCTGTCTCAAAGTTCCGGATATAGGGCCAGACTGCGGATTCGCTACGGAGGGGCTAGTCGTCCAGGTATGGCTACTTTTATTATTCTGGGGTTGAGAGAATGAGACGTAGTTGTAAATACTGAAACGAATTCGATTTCAAAACGACTCATGTGAAGTAACAAAAATCCATAATTCTTATACAGTCGGTGTCAGCCGCGCAGCCATTTGCTTGGAAGCATATATATCTCCCGCTACGCATGGGCTCGACGTCACCACCCCCCCAAACAAATGAACCCGACAGGACTTGGAGTAAGGACAAGCAGGCAGCTACAGGACTGGAAAGAATGAACTGAAAACGTAGAAATATGCGCAGACACGAATACGCCGTGAAATCAATCCGCTGGACTTTGTATAGATCAGGACCGGGGCCAGAAGGAATGTGAGGAGGTAAGAGGGAGAAAGGAATGTCGGAGTTTCCAGTAGGAAGAAGGGAGTGACAAGGAAGGGGTCATTGATAAAAGAGAATAAAAGAAAACATGAAGACACATCGACAGTAGCCGGGTCAACACGGACAAGTGCTTGCTTAGCGCTTTCGCTTCTTGTTTTTGTCGACCATTGCTGCAGTTGATAGAGCGGTCTCTGGCATGGCAGGATAATCGAGTAGATCTTCTATAGAGTCGCCCTTCTTGACAGGAACTCCCATGTGGCGTCCATAACGACCCTTGCGGCCGTTGCCCTCGTCTTCACTGACGCAGCCCTCGATGCCAATGCCAGCATCCTTGCAGCGGCCACATGGTCGTTGACGGTCACAGCCCTTTTTGCTCTTTCGGCAACGTTGGCAGCGAGGTTTGGTAGAGAGGTCTTCTTCATCCGCACCAAGCTGGTGTTGGAAGTTGACTGAAGACCCGGAAACCTTGCGATTTGAGTTGGGGCTCAGAGGAGGAAGTGGTCCGGCAGTCTTGTCTGAAGGACGAGGAGCGCCGTTTTTGCTCTTTGGCTTAGAGACAGGCTTCTGGCTGCGAGGTTTGACAGATGTAGGACGACTCTTGGACTTCTTTGACTTCGGAGCGGACTCTTTGTACAAGGCATCATCCTCTGCCTCACTTTTAATGTCGTTCTCAAGACCATCCGAGCTGTGCTCACTGCTGTCAGCACTGGGCAGGATGTCATCGAGACGCTTATGATGGCGCTTCACGGCGCCTGGAGGAAGCATCGGGCTGGACTCAAGTCGCTGGCGACGAACAGGAAGGTCGTCCTCCTCTTCGCTGAAGTCTTCACCATCGCTAGTAGCGCCTGTTGACGAAGCGGCATCGGCGGCACCACTGAAGGCATCATCCAGCGTCGAGGCAGAAGTGCGCCCGTGAGAGAAGTTGGAGGCATCTCCAAGACGGATCAGCTGCATTGCGACATCTTCATCTGAAATACAGCTAGCGATAGTTGGATCCGGTGTAGGCAAGATACCCGAACCGTTCACTCGCGGAGCAGAATTGCTAAATGGTACACGATGCGCATTGTCAGGTACTATGGGTGTCGCATAGGCAGTATGCCGTCCCGAGTGAGTACCGTATTCACTGTGGCCATAGCTTTGTGGGGATGGGAGCGCATTTTGGTAGTTATAAGGACGGTGAGTAGGACGAGCAAAAGGTGAGCCAGCGCCCTCTTGACCAACGGATCGCCGCTGGGGGGAGATAGAGGAGGTTGAAGTGGTAAGAGGGACTTGAGGAGGAACGAAGAGAGGAAGTTCCTGGGGAATGGTTAGTGCCAATACACCAAAAAAGAAGAAGATGTCGAGATCGAAGAGATTGGAACCAGATAACGGGACACCCATAAGAGACTTACCGAACTGTCAAACTTGGGCCGTTTCCGACGACCATCTTGAAGTATGTTCTCCATGCTAATTTCCGAGCTGGCAAATACGTCGCCTCGAGAGCGGCGACTGAAGCTGTCCTCGCTGTCGCTCATGAGCTCATCGTCGGGATAGCCACCGTGAATGCTAGACCCACGGCTTTTGTTGCCGCTTCGAGCACCCTGTTTGTGTTGAGAAGAACTCCGAAGACTCCGACCAGAAGGAGATGTGCTGCGCTTCCTCGCAAGGCGAGAAGATGGGCGGGATGGTTGGTCCATTGTTGGAGCCGTACCATCCATTCCAAAAGGCTCGCCCAGGCTGGGCCGCTTGCGCTCAGCGGAAAACCCACCGTCATACAAGTGATCCGCATAGGGTTGAATAGGAATGACTCGCACATATACAGTCATGTTGTTTTTAAGGTTCTCGTACCTTGCGATCAGGGTTGTCCCGTACTCATCTTCGAAGCTGACCCCACTGGCAGTGCCATCGTAGATGCCGTAGAAATTTTTCACAGTGGTCACAATCGAATCCGTAGTATCATGAGGGTATATTTGAACGCGCATAGGAATCCGAGCTCTAACCTTGGAGTTCTCGTCCAGTAGTAGCTCGAAGGCGACATTTTTGGGAACAGGACCCTTGAGCGACAAGTCTCGGGAGACATCTGCCACAACGGGCTGCTCTGCAAGGACAGAGGGCCCTTCATGCTGGGCCACTTGCATATTGGATAGATCCAGGATGCGAAGAACCCCAATCTTGCTGTAGCGATGATTGCATCAACCTACTGCTCGTATATGATAGAGGAGGAGGAGGAAGAGGAGCGGGTAGACGGGGATCCATGGCCAGGGAACAGGAAGAATTCAGTGCAGAGGGGAGTGTCCATCAAACCTACCACAATTACAGGGCTCGAGAAATGGCGTTAGGCGGATGAACCAACTTCGAGTTGGTGATGTGGGAAAAGGGTGAGGCGCAGGGCTTTTTCGATGGGGATGGAGGGGAATTGGGATGTCGCAACCGAGATCGACCCGGATAGTGCAGAGATCGAATCACCTGTAGCGAAATCAAAGGCCAATGTTAATACAATGCTGACTCCATGACTTGGATGCACAATGAAGATGGATTTTGTCTTTTATGGATAGATGGATGAGTCTTCACTAGCCGAGCCCGGCCGACCTTGGGGGTAGGCGACGAGGGCAGATTCGGAAGAGGATGGAGAGCAGTGTGTACGTACCTAGCACAGATAAAAATGCTTCCAACTGGATCGCAGAGCCCCAGCGTTGACCTCGGCGAGGCGAAATATCGAGAATAGGGGTTCTGGTCGAGGGTTGAGGAGGGGATGTCGTTTTCGCTCCCACGAAGCGCTGAGGAGACTATGTCAGCAGAGGCCTAGCTAATGCACCCGAGACGAGGCATAAAGAGAAAAATGAATATCAGAGAGGAGAAAGAAGACCATACCCGACGACACTGGGCGAAAAAGACGGCGACTGCGGGGGTTGAGTTGGTTGGATGGAAGGATGAAAGTTGGTGGGTGCGTACGATGGTTTCACCTAAAGCGAGAAAACGGTCTGCCTGGGTCGGTGACATGGCGATTTGCGCTTCCCGCCCGCCCATCACATTCCCTTTTCTGCAGCTTTTACATATTAAACTATTACAGAAGAGCTCTAGAGAGGTATTCCGATCTTGCGCTTTAGTTTGCGAATCTCAATTCGAAGGCGCTGAAGCGCTTCCACGTTGGGTGGTTCGCATTGCGCATGCTGTCGCAAGCCGCCATTGCTATTGCGCCGAGCGTCCTGTCTAACCAGCCTGCGGGACTACATCCATACAGAGAGACTCGAGCGTCGGCGAGCACTATTCCTCTACTCCGGACTTGGTCTTAAGGGGCCCTAGGGGGTAGATTGGGTGGTTGCTCATGGTCGCTCAGGCCATAGGGTACCTTGTCGGAGAGGATCAACCATGGATCTTCTCCGCCAACTCAAGCTATTTAATTACTACGCCCAAATCAAAGAAGAGATAGCGCAGCCAATGGAAGGGTGGGAAACCCAATCCCTCTTGCGCAAGTAGAAGGGCCACACCGATTGGGAATGAGCCGGGAGGAGGCTGTCGCACATTGGCGATACTGGCGGCGCCCACGCCAAAATCTTCCCCAAACCCTTGTCGCATAACCTATCCAGCACGCCGGAAGGAAAGTTCTGTATTTCGTAACTAGCTTAGCACTTCATCATGTGGGGTGAGAGCAGGTTGAAGATTAGCGAAGCGTACTTGTATATCTCCTAGCACGAGGAGACTACTCTGATCGTGCGCCGCCCCCAATGGCAGCATGACCAGGAAATCGGATCCTTATGACTGGGCAAATCGCATGACGAAGAGTCATCACGGCATGTTTCGCATGATCTGCGCCGTCTGAGTTTACCCCTCTTCGGCAGCTACTACGTAAGTGTAGAAAAGGGATGGAGGAGGGGAGGGGAAGCGGTTTACAAATCATTCTTCAAGAAACCTTGTAGGCAGATAGGCCTAAAAGGGCATTTGGGTACGGAGTAGATGAGGGGCAAAGGCCCAGAAGGCTAAGGGTCCAAGGATCTACAAGATGAAACTATACGGGGGGCGAGCTGGCGCAAACCTATGGAGTGGGCTTTTTACATGTGTCCGGGTGCAGGAACGTCGCAGAGCAATGAATGGCCCAGAATGCTCGGTGGGAACGTGCGCTACCTGGGCGTCCAGACCTCCTTTTGGTTCGGGATGTTTGGGGCGATTGAGGACCAGTCAGAAGGCGGAACCCGAATTGTGTAAGACCCCGCACAGTTAGCTTTCTCGGAACGGGTAAAAAAGATGCCCAACTTGTCGCAATGATGAGCGAGTCCGGATGCGCTTCGGCTGATCTAACGATGCTCAACCGTTTACCGCTCGCCGCTCGATCCGGTCTGCGGCGGTCTGCGTCACGTGAGTCCGCGTATGGGTCGCGTCGGAGACGATTAATCCGACCAGTTGGCGATTGTGCCTACAACACCAGGTGGGGAGCGGTAAAAACCATCGGGATCAAGTCCTCGGGGATGCGCCACCTCGAGGATAATTTTTTTCACACTACCAATTCCTGGAAAAGTAGATTTGGTGAAAAGTGTCTTGGAGAGGGGTCGGCGGAAGACGTGACAAAAACTAAGTGACGTCATCGATAAGGTGATAAGCATCCCGATAAGACGCTAAGTGGTTTTTGACCAACCTTCTTCTAATCACCGCCCTGGCCTTTCTGCCAGTTTTGCAAACAATGCAAATCTGACGGGCCGCATTCCTTAGCGCCCTTGTGGTATTGTATTGTCATCCCAAGTCCACTCTCCACTGTTTCTTGACAACAGTCACACACCACAGATTTCTTTTCAATTTTGGATAGAACTGTGCTTCTCCCCAGATACTCGTGTCAATTACCAAGCCCTGCTGGAGCAATTGGAATTTGTGCAGCAATTATCTTTTACACCATTTCTAATCTTTTCTGAAGGATACCACAGCGCGCTGCAAGTCGAGTACTCTGGTATCGGTGCCTCGTAATCAAGGCTGCCAGCCATAACTCCTTCCTGCGCGGGCTGGTGTGTTTGTTTTGCTCTCCTCGGCCAATCATCCGCTAGGACCCGCCCTGTCGTTCTCATATCCTCAACTCAGCAAAACATAAACAACGCCATCACCATCGGTCTCATCGACCTACGACTCGCTGACCCGGCGACACCCAGCTTAGTCGACAATTTGCCGTAACAGTGCTTCAGTATGGATGCGAAGGTATGTGATTATTTCCAACTTCTTTATTGAGTTCACCCTTCTATCGGCCAGTTACAGCCTGATTGCTCTTGCGCTGTCAAGAGAATAATAGTTAGAGATACTCAATCAATGGCTTGTCATACTAACAGCAATTCAGCCGCAGAGAATTCGCGTCCGTGGGGATGAGAACGTTCCACCTTCATCCTTTCACACCAACAAAGCGATCCACCAGCGAAACAAGTCGACATCGGCACTCAACGTCGCCTCCCAAGGCATCAACAATACTCGCCGGGCCTTTGGCGGAGATGTTAGCAATACCAAAGAAGCTTCGCGCTTCGCACGGGATGACTCTGCCCTTGTAAAGAAGCCCTCGGTGCAGACAGAGAACAAACCTGTGCTGTCGCAACCCGCTCAGCGCCCAGTGTCCATGTCTGGCCTGAAAGGGATACTGAATACTGTTGCCGCAAAGCCTGTGAATCCTGCTGGAAAAGCTCAGGGCATCAAAGTAAACAAGCGTAACAATGCTGTGTTCCGGGACCAGCTTGAGCCTGTTGCAGAAAAAGAAGCATCCAAGGAGGCTTCCACTGGCGAATCAGCTCGTGTGGCCGATGTACCTGTGGTGATAACTGATGCTGTGGTGGAAAAGGAAAAATCGCAAGGCTCCGTGTCAAGTGAAGTGAACGCAATCACTGATTGTTCTGGTCCCTTGGCTGAACGTGGTCTCACACGAGAAGTCGACTCCTATCATCGCCTTGAGGCGTCAATTCCTGTCTCGGACACGACCCTCTCTGACGATGAGGAGGTGGCGGCAACAGCAGCAACCACAAAATATTATCAGGAGCCTGAGGACTGGCTTGAGTATGAGGAAGAGGACAGTCTGAACATGCCCCCGTTCAATACCCGTTCTGACAATACAACTGGTGGCACTGCCACTGTGGTCTACCCAACCTTCAACCCTGTGATTAAGCGTGAGCTTATGAAAGCACGGAAGATTGTTGAGCAGACACGTACTGAAGATGAGATCATTGAGGATTTCTACGATTCCAGTATGGTTGCCGAGTACAGTCCTGAGATCTTTTTCCACCTTAGATCCCAAGAGGTATGTGTTTAATAGGCGTCGAACGTCATCTTCAGGTGAAACTGGATATAATGTGGTGAAGCTAACATGCTGGGATAGATCGCTCTTCTCCCTACCGCGGACTATATGAACTCTCAGAATGAGCTTCAGTGGTCGATGCGTGCTGTCCTTATGGATTGGCTTGTGCAGGTGCACTTCCGCTTTGCTCTGCTCCCCGAGACACTTTTCCTTTGCGTCAACTTCATTGATCGCTTCCTTTCGAACAAAATCATCTCCCTTGGCAAGCTGCAGCTGGTTGGGGCAACTGCACTCTTCATTGCTTCCAAGTATGAGGAGATTCAGCCTCCTTCGGTTCACGAGATTGTGTACATGGTCGATGGTGGTTACACGGCTGATGAGATTCTGAAGGCCGAGCGCTTCATGTTGAACATCCTCAACTTTGACTTGGGCTGGCCTGGCCCTATGAGCTTTCTCCGTCGCATCAGCAAGGCGGATGACTACGATCTTGAGACTCGCACTGTCGCTAAGTACTTCCTCGAGCTGACCATCATGGATGAGCGTTTTGTGTCCACCCCTCCCAGCTTTTCTTCTGCGGGTGCTCATTGCTTGGCACGTTTAATGCTCCAGAAGGGCGCCTGGGTAAGTATCTTTCCACTCTACATAGGTTGATTTTACACCACTAACATCTCTGTCAGACTCCTGCCCACGCTCACTACAGTGGTTACATTCACTCTCAGCTCACTCAAGTCATGGAGATCATGCTTGAGTGCTGCGTTGACTCCCAGCGCCACCACCAGGCCATCCACGAGAAGTACATGGATCGTCGCTTCAAGCGTGCCTCTCTTTTCGTCGACAACGAAATTCGCGCCGGGTTTACCCTTCCGCTTCCTGTGTCCCTTACCAATGCCGGTCGCATGGAAGAGACTGAAAACTACTAATTTCCTTTTTCTTTTCTTTTTTTTTCTTTTCTTTTCTTTTTTTTTTGCACCTGATACGGCAAGCTGATGACTTTTACGCTTGTCCACAACGAATACCCCTAACACTCTTTGACTTGTTTCCACGCCTGACATGCTACTATTCTGCTTTCTGGGGATCATCTTATTCCGGAGTAATACGGGTACATGGGGGACGGCCGGCGTTCTCAATGCTTGAGGCTTTATCGTTGTCTCCTTCTCTTCTGATTCCTTCTCAATCCATGATTCCGAGATGACTTGACGCTATGTTCCGAACGGGGGAGTTTCGGTCGGAAGGCGTTGGTCTCTTTGCTCTCGGCGTCTATTCGCTGTTTCTTGACTACTTTCTTCTCTGATGATACATACCTCTCTGCCACGCGAGATTCTGAATGTTTCAATTTCTGTCTGCCGCTTCGGCTTGCCATACCACAATGCCATTGCCTTAATGAGTGCCTTTTCTTTTCGTCTTGTGGCAAACCGAGTTGACACATCACGCGTGTCGTCTTCTGCCCTCCCCCACTTTCTCATTTGCATTTATTGCTAGGTGATCATTATTGCTAGGCAAATATCGCATATGAAATAGGCTTAGGTAGAATGATTATGCTCGCTAATCGGCAAAGTTTCATTCGTAAGATTGCTAGGTATGTGACGTATCTATCTGCACAGGTCTATAAGAAATTACTGATCCAGGCCGTTAAACTCTATCAATCGCTTCACGGCTTCAATCACTCGATCCGCAGCGCCACCGCCCGACCCAATACCCGGATTGTCGATTCTAGCGGCAAGTGCCTCATCCAACATAGTCCGCAATCGCGAAACAAGCACACCAATCCGAGCCCAGCCACGTAGTCGGAGCCAGCCATCCACGACGAGACCACGCCCCACGGTGTCGAGGGAAATGGAGCCGCAGAAGAGCAAGAGTGAATAGGCATTGAAAGCTGAGAATTGCATTAGTATCGTAAAGGATTGGAGGGCCTTCAGGGGTAGATTGGGAAGACTTACGGGTGAGGTCCCGAATGAACACCTTGCTGGTCGCCATTTTTGTGAAGTAGCTCAGGTAGGCGGCCGAATTAGGGTATCCTTGAGCAGAAAAAAGGATCGAGCTGGGATGGATAAACACACGCCCATTCTCCTGATTGAAGTACTTGATTGTTCGTGCATCTGGGTCTACCTCGACAGTACCGGTGACAGAGCTCGCGAACTTTTTGTCCGGAAACGAGATCTGTGCCACCTGGGGCTGGAAAGCACCTGCGATGAGAGCACGGAGGAGGTTGTGATTTGCACCGTTGCGGTTCCATGTATTGGCACCGTCGGCGTAATCCACGGGCAAGATACCCGAGTCTTTGAGAGAGGTGATGAATTGGGCCCTGTTAGAGGAGATGTCGCGGAGGGTTTGGAAGGATAGGAAGTTCGCGACGCACCACGACTGCGTCTGCCAGTAGCCCTGACTGCGAGCCTTTTCAGCCCATGTCTGATAAGCTGAAAGGTCTGTGAGAAGATCGCCATCACCGGGGCGGGAGAAGCTTGATCTTGCCGCATTGGCTTCCTCACGTCTTTCGCGCGGAGAGACAAATGGGCTTTTCACAGTAAGGATGGCCGCGATGGTGAGACATGATTCCATACATCCAAAGATCGAACCATATATCATAAGCTTTGCACACCGCAAATCTGCGGGAATCATAGAAAGATAGCGCCCTAGGGCTGTAAGACGGCTATGGTCTGAGCTCCCACTCTATGCAGAAAATCAAGGGCACCTTCCACAGCTATACTCTCTGGCGGTGTGATGGTATTGGCGAGAAAGTTGGCCACATCGTCCATACCCTTCATGGATTTGACAGAGAGGCACAATTGCTCTAAAGGCACACGACGGATTTCTGGGTCTGGCCGTTGTGCCATATCAGACTCGGCTTTGCGGGTGTAGAGCTTGTAGCAAGTGCCGGCGCGTACACGGCCTGCACGGCCTCGGCGTTGCTTGCATGCGGCTTGGGACGCCCAGACTTCAAGCAATCGAACCATATTGTCCTTAGGATCATAGCTAGTCTCCTTGACTCGACCGGTGTCGATGACCGCAACGACATCTTCAATAGTAATAGAGGTTTCCGCCACGTTGGTTGCAGCGATGACCTTTCGTTTTCCCTTTCGGAGGGCTCTGAAATACTCGACGTTGCTCCGCCGGGAGCAACGAAGCATGCAATGGTAAGGGATGTGCGTTGGGGATCTTCTTGACAGCCGTCAAGCACCTTTCAATCTCCAGGGTTCCGGGCAAGAATATCAGAATTCCACCAGGCTGATCTCCTAATTGGGAGTCGATGTGTCGTACAGTGGTGGCAATCAGCTCATAGTTGATTCCCATTCCAACACTGCGGAGCGCCCTTCCAAGAGACTCTTCACCACGTGAGACGTCAATTCCTTCGTCATCCCATTCACTTAATTCGGGCGCAAAACCAGTATCTCGAACGACATCGTCAAGATAGTAATCTTGCACCGGGAATGTGCGACCAGGGATATTCACCAAGCCAACCGATTTAGAGCCGCCAAAGTAGTTCATGAAGATTTGGGCATCTAGAGTGGCACTCATGAGGATAACCTTCAGATCCTTGCGATGTTTTAGAACATCACGTAAAAGGGCCAGAAGGAAATCTGTGTCAAGGCTTCGCTCGTGAACCTCATCAACTACTACGTGTGAAACATCGGCAATGAACTTGCGACATTGCCATCGGTGTCGCCTCCAGACTGGATGCGGCGAAGTAAAACACCCGTAGTCACGAAAGTGATCTTAGTCGTTCCTTGCTTAGCTTTTGACTCGCCGCGGATGATATATCCAACCTCACCACCGACAGTGGCACAACGCTCATCGCTCACTCTGTCAGCAAGACCCAAGGCAGAAATTCGGCGAGGCTGAGTACAAATGATGTTGGCAGCACCTCCGAGACCACGTTTGATCATATCGTCTAGAATGAACTGTACAGATTGAGTACTCTTTCCACTACCAGTCTCACCGGAGATGATTGTGACCTGATGAGAGTTGACAGCATCAATGATGGCGTCTCGGGTGTTCCAGGCGGGCAGTGACTGTCGCTTTCGAGACATCTCGACCTGAGGCGCAGTGTTTTGCTTTTCCTCCCATGCATCGCGAATTGCTATGCTTTGAGGAGAGTCAGGTCTCCAGTCAATGCCACGCCGTTGCTTACGAGCCGAACGGACCGGGATATCGCGAGTTTCAGGCTCGGGAGACGTTGTCACTGTTGAGATTTCACGGAGCCTGCCTGGATTCTCCATAATATCAGGTAAATTAACTTCTAGCCAATCTAGAATATTGAAGATCATAGGGTCTCCAGAGAAATTCTCTTCAGCATATTGTACAGCTCGACGAATTGCACTCAAACGAATGTAAGCTGGGATGCCTTTAGCATGAATAGATATGACCGGAGGAACCGCAGGATAATGGACCGCAGGCTCGTGGAAGCGGAAAACAGTGCCCTTTGGGATTTCGGGGAGCTTCGCTTTTAATTTCACAGACTTTGGGTGAAACGCGCGAGTAGCGCTCCCCAAAGATTGCTTCAAGAGTTTCCTGTTCCTCTGGCCACGCCCCAGGGATGCCCTCACCAATGGGCCTTGACGCAAATCCGGAGCCATGAGCCAATGTGCCCTGTAGGTACTCCGCAGCAGCAAGTTCGTCGCCACCTCTGTTATCTAGAACCTGAGAACACAAATCTGCAGGGTATCCGACAGCTGCGAGTCGTTTGAGCTTTGCCTCTCGGGCAAGATCTCCGGTCCCAAGGCTAACGCCTGCTGAATAGTTCTCTGGGAGAGACCACGGAGGAAGATCATCCTCCGGGACGTAGACCAGGAGCCATTCCAAAACCTCTTCACGGTCTTTACATTCAACAACAGCCTCTTCCACGTGACTGCGACGAAATCCTAACTTAGTAAACTCTTCAATGATCTCTCTCTGTTCTTTGTCGGAGATTTTGATGGAGTGGGGGTTCCAAACGGTATGTTCGCGCAGCAATCCTTCTATCTCACGACGGATGCGTGCTCCCATCTCTACCTTAGGCGCTTGAGACCAAATGCGTTTGTTTCTATGGCCTCCACCTCCAAGTCCGAGGTCTACCGATGAAACCTTCTCTTTTGCCTGCGCCTTCGCGTGGTCTGCTTTTTTCTTTTCCATATCCAGCGCAGCACTTTCCCGTTCTTGTTTCGCTAGGAACGGATCGGCCTCATACAGCCAGCCATCGCCTTTCTCCACATCAGCTGCTTTGATATCTGCAAAGTCCTCTTTCCAAAGCCTTTTATATGTTGGTGGAAGCATCAGGTGGATATTGCGCATGTTGCATACACGGAAAAGGGCAAAGGCGGCAGCGAAATGGCGGGCTTCCAGAGCCGTCGGCTGTAGCGCTAATTGCTTGTGTGACTCGGGGAGCTTCATCGGAGGCAGGATAATCAATTCGCGAGTCTTCGGATCGATTTCTTCAGAGTGACTGTGGAGAAAAACCGGCCGGAGGTGGAAGCCTGAAGGAAAACAATTGCATTAGCCCTGGGTTACCTTCGAAGAAGGGCATCTCTTCATCCTCAAAGAGCCAGTCTCACCATGCTATACTCTGGTTTCTCCCATTTTTGCTTCTGACAATGTTCAGACAGCATATTGACAGGCAGTTTGCCTGTCCATGATGCGCCGCCAATGACCTCTTTCACTGTTGGCTTCTTGGGCTCTTCTGGTACTGGTTTTTTCTCCTTGTTTTCTGCAGCAGCCTTTGCCTGTTTGGTCCCAGGTTTGGGGCCTGGGCCTGAACGGGCATCTGACTTCTTTTTAGGTCCCATTGTCGTGGGTTTCGTGACGAACTGCGGAAGAGCGTCGGCCTCTTTTCTGGATGTCCCGCGCTAAACCACATTGGGATATTTGCGGGGAGGTCTTGCGGCGCTTAGCGGCCCAGATCTTCAATCATCATCAGCTTCTTGTTCTTGATGGTTTTCCTTTGCTGAACCTCGAGGGGCAATGTGATAAAAAAATGTCAGAAGCAGATAAAGCTTCGAGTCCCGAAGGGATCACAGCGCCTACAGCAAGTCCACCAACTGTGCAGAAGAGAAATGCCTGTGAGATCACCTTGAATCAAGAATAAGTACTTGCCCTTTTGACCAATGACAAACTAACGTGGAGGATATTCTCATAGTTACAGAGCTGCTCTCATCCAGAAGCAAGCAACAAAAGCCTGATACCAACCCTATAGGTTCCTCGGGGAAGAACAAAATGGGCAGCAACCGCCGCGACGACCTCGGCGCCTACGTCAGGAACCCCGAATCCTTTCCCAAGGACGTTATCTATCAGAATGAGGAATTTGTTGCAATTCGCGACAAGTTTCCGAAATCATCTCTTCACTTACTCCTCCTACCCCGCGACCGGATCAAAATGCGCAAGCACCCATTCGAAGCCTTTAAAGATGCCGAATTCCTAGAGAAGGTCAAGGTAGAGGCAGGCAAGCTCCAGAAGCTAGCGGCCAGCGAGTTACGTCGCATGTATGGTAAGGATTCTGCGCAGGAGAAAGTGAGGCAAGCTGCACTGGATGCGCACCCACCGCCAGACGAGTTGCCCGCAGGCAGGGACTGGGTGAAGGAGATCAAGTGTGGAGTTCATGCTGTTCCGTCCATGAACGATCTACACATTCATGTCATCGCGGTGGATCACTATAGCGAGCGGATGAAGCATCGGAAACACTACAACAGCTTTGCGACGCCTTTTTTTGTCCCCCTGGAGGACTTCCCGTTGAAAAGCGATGACTCGCGATGGCATCCGGAACGAGAGGGGTACTTGCGTCGGGATCTTGTCTGTTGGCGCTGCGGCCGGAACTTTGGGAATAGCTTTGAGAAGCTGAAAACCCACTTATGGAAGGAGTTTGGCGAGTGGAAGAAGATTTGAAAAAAACCAATTCAACGTCCTATCTGCGCAGACATCAACGCCATACGACAGACTAGTCGTGTTCTGAGATCGTATTCATTGAGCCTCACCTCGGTGGGCCCAATGATTTCAATCAAAGCTTTATTTGTATTTCGTATTCTAGATTGTACATAGTAAGGCGAAGACAGAGAACTGAAGGCGCATTTTCCAGCGACTACCAGTAGTCCGGATGTCCAATGCCTGTTCCTCAACCATGACCCTGACGACTCTCTACCCTTCACCAATGTAGCGTGCCCTCTATCCAACATCCCTTGGATTCTGTATCTATGCACGAGTGGCCTTCTTACCACCACCCTTAACCTTTCGGGCCTCGGGGCGGTTGATGTGATGGGAGGGAATCCAGTCGGCATTGTAGGTAGAAGCAGAAGAAACGGCAGCGTTGGAGGTTTCCTCGGGGGTCTTGGGAGCAGCACGCTTCTCGCCGGTCTTGCTGCTCTTGCGCTTCTGGGGAAAGTACGGAGCGACCCAAACAGTGTAGAAGAAGTAGACAACCCCAACGAAGCAGGCCAAGAGAAAGAAGTAGAGAAAGATACTAGGGCAAATTGTTAGTCCAACAGCGGTCGCTATGCGTCGAAGGGGAATAATTACATCTGGGGGGTCGAAGATGCTAGTATCGGGCTCCACCACGCTCACAGTGCCATTGAAGGCCTGCAGAGTGAAGAAACCACCCTCGCTGTCAGAAAGAATAGCTGCGATGTTCAGACGCAGGTCCTGGGGATGCATCTCGGTGGCGAAGCTGTAGATGACAGCTTCCTGCGACTTGGCAGGAATCTCCACGCCGTAACGCGAGGCAGTCAGGTTGCGAACAATTTTGCTCTCCTCTCCCAGATCCCAAAGGCTCGCGCCGAGGATATTGAGGGTGACCGGGTTGGGCTCATCATTGGTGAATGAAACAACAGCCTCCGTTGGGTGACCGTTGATGACCTTGATACCAAAAATCTCAGAGTGCGGGAATGAGGTGTGAACCTTGACTGCGAGATCGGAGGGACCAGCTGTTACGACCTTCGGATCGGCCTCCTACAGGTGAGATCACGAACACAGTCAGTCAATTGAGCTGGGTAGGAACGAGTCGCAAGTCGCGAGTCAGGCGAAGAGGCGATCTCGAATTGGGGTAAAAGCAGGGAGCTTACGGCGGCGAAGCCGGTGTTGATGAAGGCCTGAAGCGAGAGCAAACCCAGAGAGAGGAATCCGAAACGAGTCATCTTGACAGGAGGATAATAGAGAAGGTGGACGGGTATAGAAGAGAGAAGGGGTGATCACACGTTGCAATTTAGGAAGGTCCACTTTTCGCCGGGGAAACGCTGAGTCAGCGCAAATAGAGATTCCAAGGTTTGGCAACTTTTTTTTTTGAAACAGGACAAGCAAGAAACTGGATCGTTCAGGCTGAGGATTTATATATTTTTGATAAAAGGAAATTCACCTGGAGGTCAAGAAACGACACAGAGACCTGTTCTCTGGCGACCTGCTTTTATCCGATCCTCGAGGAAAGAGTGCAGAATCAGGGTGCGACTAGTATCCCGTGGATTTTTTTAGTGACCTTTGATATCCCCCATCGCGTTGATCGCGCCGGACTTCTTTGAAACTTTATCTACCAGCTCCCTTCCCTCTCCATCAACCTCACTTGCACATTAGCTAACATGGACGCCACCCCGTTCTTGGATCGCTATCGCGAGTTGAGTTCCCTTGACGAAAAGAAGAACCAGCTCATTGAAGTACGTCTCCCCGATCCCTTTTTCCCGCACGGGCGCTAAATCCATATGTTGAACAGGAACTACTCCAACGAGTTGCTTCTCTCGAAGAAGACTTTAAGCAGGAGAAATTGGACCATGCGCGCGAGACCCGATTCAACCGAGATATCCAGCTCCACGAGATGGAGCTGATGCAGCAGATTTCTCAAATAAAAACCATCATGGTGAGGACTCCGGATTGGCACGGCATGCACATATACTGAGTGGGACTTTGGACAGGCGCGCGAACCGTTTGTGGTTGTGCTTCTGGATGGTGAGGGGTCATTCTTCAAGGATGATCTGCTGCAGCTCGGTGAAGAAGGTGGTCGCAGTGCAGCCCGACAGCTGTACAGTGGGCTGAATTCGTACTTGCTGAAGCAACTGCCGAGTATCAACTCTCCGAAAATAATGATCAAAATTTACCTCAATATGAAGTCCTTCGGGGACCTTTGCGTCCGTGCTGGCGTCATCTCAGATCCGACGATATTACAAGACTTCATTCGGGGGTTCAATGAGACAACCTCGTTTTCGGAAATTGTGGATATTGGGTCTGGCAAGAATAAGGCCAGTGATAAGATTCAGGGTGAGTTGGACCTCTTGGATCTGATCCTCCCCTTCGTGTGGAGCCCCACGAGCTAATCTATGTTTTTCTTATTCCTCCCTTGCAGAGACGTTTCAAGTCTTTCTTTACAACTGCCATTGTCACCAAATCTTCCTGGGTTGCGCTTCAAATAGTGAATACGCTCGATTCCTCGATGAAACAACCAAAGAGGGCGATCTCACCGGTCGAATCTCATTAGTGGAAGGCATCCCCTTTGATAAGGAACTGGACTCGGCCAAGGCTTCATATCGAATTGCCAGATTTCCAGACGTTCTGCGGTCCTCCAAGTTGGCGCCTGCATATATGGCTCCCTGGAAGACGAGCTTACCATCTCGATCAATGCTCACCCCGTCACCGTCTCAACAGCCGCAGAATGTCCCTTCCTTGTCGCGTACGTCTACCAATACGAGCACTTCGGGTATCTGCGCACCTCTCCCTGCCCCGACGGCCAGCAAGATATCTGGATCTCCTGCGAGTGATTTTCAGACCGTGCGCTCGAGACCAAACGGGACGACTGCTCCCAAGACTGTTGAGCGGAACAAGTATGGACAGCGCGTGGATCGCTTGGACTTCAAGAGCATTCCTCGTGATGACTTGAACAAATTGAAGAAGTTGAAGTTGTGCAACTATTATTTCCTCCTCGGAGAATGCCCCAATGAGGAGAATTGTTACCATGATCATGATCGGAAGTTGTCTCGAACGGACCTCCATATCCTATCTGCCATTGCCCGCATGACGCCCTGCCGTTTTGGGCTTGAATGCGATGATCCGGATTGTATTTACGGCCATCGCTGTCCCCAGAGCGAACCGGGCAAGAAGACTTGTTTCAGGGGTGATACCTGTCGATTTGAGCCTGTTGCACATGGGATTGATACCAACATTGTCAAAGTGACCAAGATCTAGACTTGCTTGTCTTTGTATCCTGGTGTGTGTTATTTCTGGTTCGCCACCCTTTTTTTTTTTTATTACAAATGATTACATATTTGTCGCCCGGCGTAAATGGTCATAAAAGGATCTGTTGTTATTTCGGTCTGCCGAGGGTCATTTGCATTTTCACAAGACTGTTGTCTGATGGTTGTTATTCTCCTGGGGTTTCGGGTCAGGCTGGGGTCACAATTCGGGGTTATTGAAACTCACTGAACATTACCACGAGGACCGGGATCTTCTCGGATCTGAATCATGGTGGCGCATAGAATGTGCTTGAACATGACCTAAGTTATCCAAGTTCTCGGCAAGGCAGGTGTCGGTTTTTATTTTATGAATGGGTCGATAGCCAGGGACATCCATGTGAAACTTGTGCATATTGCTCCGAGTAATGTACTGATAACCATTAAGTAAAGAATATTCAAAACCCGTCGCAAAGCCTGATGTGCTTTGCGGATATCATTCATCCATTGTAATTCGTAGAAGGTCACGGTTAGCTCTTGATTGAGGTCCCAGAAATGGCAAATCGTCTCTCCCAGCCCAGGCAATCTCCCTGGCCACATATTCCTTCATCGAGAACCATGGCATTTGAATTCCTCAAATGAGTACAAGGAATACCGTACTCTTTGACGCAGCAGATGAAAGGTGTAGAGGATGGTTTTTTATGCGCGGCCGGCAAATTCCGGGAAGAGGCTGCAGCGAGTTTGCACTCTTCCAAATCGCCCCAAAGAATGAAGAGCTTCTCACGCAACTCGTCTAGACAGCCTTCATTACTACGAAGGCTATTATCATAAAGCGCGCAGTTAGTGTAAGCCTCGGCAAATGAGCGGCAAACCGCAATATGAACAACTTACTCGGTAGGATTGAGATCAAGTAGATGCTCTCCGTCTGGTCCAGAGACGAAGACCTTCATCTGCGGACGGTGCTGCTTTTTATTCAATATGGGGTCTGTTCCTTCAAGGAGGAGACAGAAACGCCATTCCCACGAGGTATGAGAGCCATCAATGTCCATGTGATCGCTAGAGAACATGGATTTGTTAGGTACTTTTACCGCAAAGTCTTCCAACTTTGGAGGGAAATAATCAACCACGCGGGCTTGCGTGAGATAAGAAACATTTTGGAATGGGAGTTTGTAGGTGATCCCGCCCGGAGGAGTATTAATATGTGTATCAGCAGACAAAATGGACTCCAGAGAGCGGACAGGAATGCCGTTATTAGGGTATCTAACTGTATATTCTTCATTTAGCTTACTGGACGTGGTGCACTGTCCTGGCTGCTTACCGTTCGGGTTCAGCTTCATCTTGGAAGAGGTCGTAGGCAGCCTTGGCTGCCCTTCTTCTATCTTCTCATTCTTCTTTTTCCCGGCAGTTTTCTTCTTCTTTGTAAGATTCCCCGCCTCTTTGTCCTCATCTTTGGGGATGCCATGGACTTTCCAGTATTCCTTCCGCCGTTGAATGAGCTCTCGAGCCCGTTCATCATAGTCGGGAGATGTTAATTGGACATGGATCTTGTCGGGGAACTTCTTGTCCGTGGAGACAGCAAATTCCATCCCACCATAGCCGTTATCCTTGGGTCGCACATATGTAAGAAGAATAATATTGCCTGGCTTGACATTTTGCCGAGCCCAGGATGCATGTGGCTCCCACAGGGTCACTGGGACTGTCATTTTGCCCCAAGGTCCTGGCCACTTTTTGGCATACTTGGGGGTCAAATATCCATGGGGATCTCCTTCCTGTCCTCCGATCTCCTCCTTGGTATAGTCTGTAAGTGATTCATGGGATGTGTAGTCGGTCATCCAGAGTGTTACTCTCTCAGAATCAAAATCGTTATCTTTGATGACCTGTCCAATGAATTGACCAAAGGTGCCTATTATGGCATCTTTGACAAGCGTAAATGGGAGATGGGATTTTCTCGGGCCTACAGAGGCTTGCACTACCTGGGATCGTGGTGTCTGTGAAGGTAAAGCAGCATATGATGCTGACGCGCCTCCTGATTGATGTAAATAGGCTTCCGCGTTAGTCAGAATCAATGAAGCTGCTCTCTTCTCCGCATAGGTAGGGTTGATAGGGATAGGCCCTGATATGAAACCCGAAGGCGCGCTGGGATTTGGATCTGATCGAAAAATGGCCCATGGAACTGTGTTCCTGTTGTACGCGACCCCTATTGTCTCGTCCTTGTACGGCTTGACCTGTAATGAGGAGCATTAGATCTTCTATAGCTCGATTATTGTTATGGGGGTAAAGCTTGCCATCAAGTTCTGAAGAAGAATCACGTCGTTGCGTTGAATGGGTGGAACCGCACTCTCATCATCATGGAAGTATTTGATCTTGAGTCCATCAGCCCATGATGGGGTATCCCAGTGAGAGTCTTTGATTGTGAAGGTGACACATATTGAAGATCCTCTAGTATGCATTGGGGGTAGATGGTCGACTACAAGACCCACCACACTGATGGACTTGTGCTTCGCCCTCAGCGCAGTGGCAACATCCATTAGTTCGGGCACAGGCATGGTGGGCAGGCACTTCTGGTGATCTTGCGTATCAAAACGCCGTAACGGTAGTCTCCCGGTCGCCGACAGGAAACTCCTCGAATATCGGAGGCAATAATAGCAACAAAGACGCGAGGATTGCTGCTCGCTCAAAGAGCCATGATCAGTACAGAATGACACCACAGGTCCACCAGATCATAGTATAATTCAGGGGTCAATGCAGGCTATGCAGACCATTTCCCTTAGGTACACCAAAGGCCTTTGTACACATTGAAAAAAGAGCAACTATACAAACGTCGGGGCGGTAGTCAATATTGGGGCAGGTCACATGATCACTCCCCTCCTTAATCACACACGAATCCTTTGCCTTCCGCTTTACCCCCCCACATCTCCTTCCTTTTCTTCTGAACAGCGCGCCTTTCTCTTCCACCACCACCACCTCCTCGTTCTCACCTTTCCTGAACTATCGCGGCGCACATATTTTCCGTAGCCATGGCGGAACGTTACATCCCAGAGCACCGCCGAACTCAGTTCAAGGCTAGAAACCAGTTCAAGCCTGACGAGCTCCGCCGTCGTCGTGAGGAACAACAGGTCGAGATTCGAAAGCAGAAGCGTGATGACAACCTTGCCAAACGACGTGGTATCCAGACTCGTGATGGTGGCATTGGAGTTGGCGATGCAGCTTCGGCTGCCGATGAATCTGATGATGAAGCAGGCCAAATTGAATCAGAGGTACGTTATTCTATGGTCTAACCTTTTGCTCCCTACCATTCCGTTGTTCTGCTTGTGTCTATTTTGCGTCATTGAGGAGCATGATTGCCGTCTCTTTTCCGGCGTTCATGTTCATTTGGCCACCCTTTGTTTTTATGATGCGTTCATCAACATGGAAATTTTTCACCGCCCGTTGCCATGGGGCCGAGCCCCTCCACCATGACCCCACGCGATCACAGCGCCTGAAAAAAAAAAATAAAATAAAAAGAGCTGAACGCTGACTGGATGGGTTTCCTAGCTCAATGTCGAACTCCCTCAAATGGTAAAGGGTGTATTCTCCGACCAGGTTGAAGAGCAAATCCAGGCTACTACCAAGTTCCGCAAACTTTTGTCCAAGGAGCGCAACCCCCCTATTGAGCGTGTTATCGAAACCGGAGTCGTCAGCCGCTTTGTTGAATTCCTTCGCTCGCCCCACACCCTGGTTCAATTCGAGTCTGCATGGGCCCTGACCAACATTGCCTCCGGTTCTGCTCAGCAGACCCAGGTTGTCATCGAAGCTGGCGCTGTGCCCATCTTTGTTGAGCTTCTGGGTAGCCCTGAGCCCGATGTTCGCGAGCAGGCTGTTTGGGCCCTTGGTAACATTGCCGGTGACAGCCCCACCTGCCGAGATTTCGTCCTCGGAGCGGGTGCCCTCCGACCTCTTCTGAACTTGATCAACGATGGCCGCAAGCTGAGCATGCTCCGCAATGCTACCTGGACTCTGAGCAACTTTTGCCGTGGCAAGACCCCCCAGCCCGACTGGAACACCATTGCCCCTGCCCTCCCGGTCCTTTCCAAGCTGATCTACATGCTTGATGATGAAGTCTTAATGTACGTTGAAACCGTACCTCCTGGTGGTCCTGACGTTCGTACTAACCCACCTCTCAGTGATGCCTGCTGGGCTATCTCATATCTTTCCGACGGCTCCAATGACAAGATCCAGGCTGTCATCGAGGCCGGTATTCCCCGCCGTCTGGTCGAGCTCCTTATGCATGCTTCCACCTCTGTCCAGACCCCGGCTCTTCGCTCCGTCGGCAACATTGTTACTGGTGACGATGTCCAAACCCAGGTCATCATTAACTGCGGATCTCTGCCCGCTCTCCTGTCTCTTCTGAGCTCCACCAAGGATGGAATTCGCAAGGAAGCTTGCTGGACTATCTCTAACATCACAGCTGGAAACTCGAGCCAGATCCAGTCTGTTATCGATGCTGGCATTATTCCTCCTCTGATCTCTCTTCTTGCTAACGGGGACTTCAAGACCCGCAAGGAGGCTTGCTGGGCTATCTCTAACGCTACATCCGGTGGTCTGCAGAAGCCCGACCAGATCCGCTACCTTGTCTCTCAAGGCTGCATTAAGCCCCTCTGTGACCTTCTGGCCTGCCCCGACAACAAGATCATTCAAGTCGCCTTGGACGGTCTTGAGAATATCCTGAAGGTTGGCGAGATGGACAAGGAGGCTGGACAGGGTGAGACTCGTGTCAACCGCTATGCCCTGTTCATCGAGGAGGCTGGTGGCATGGAGAAGATTCACGATTGCCAGAACAATGCCAACGAGGAGATCTACATGAAGGCCTATAACATCATCGAGAAGTACTTCTCTGATGAGGATGAGGCTGCCGGTGACATCGATGAGTTGGCCCCCCAGCAGACCCAGACCGGTTTCGCTCTTGGTACCGGCCAGCAGCAACCTGCCGGCGGTTTCAACTTCGCGAACGGCGGTGGTGAATCCATGGACATGTAGAGAGCTGGTTTTTTCACACACTTCTCTCCCTCCACTTGCTCACACTCGGGTACTTGGATTTGCTCTGTTTCCATATTCCCCTTCCCACCTTGGGGATTTCTAACCCACGGGCCCATACCCTCTGTTTTTTGTTTCAACTTCCCATTCCCCTTTTGATTTACGATAAACAAGATTCACCGTCATGTAACCCCACCCCACTACCCCTTCTTAGCATCCTCATACACAGGCGTATTATTTCTTTGCAGGATCGGTTTCGTTTTTCTCAATTTTATGTTAATGTTACCCACCCTCTGGTATTTCTCGCCGAGTACCTCTCCAGGAAAACACGCTCGTTCCCTAGCAACAGGGACGCAGCTGCTTGTGTTTTGCCTTGAGCCAAGTTATTGCTTGCAATGATATGCCCATGACACTTCGCAACACCTCAAATAGTCAAAACAGCCCTACCTTCCTGATCACAGTCGTCAATTGCGTTAAAACTTCTCGTACTCATCGCAGTTTGCCAGGGAAAAAAATGCCAATTTTGACTTGTTCTAATCTTCATCTTTCAGTACATCGTAGCATGTAAGGTCTAAGCCATATTACATAGGGAGGGTACAAGTGTCTCCTGGTTCGAATAGTCGTAATGTCAAGGAGAAATCTTCGATTGGTATTCGAAGCTTAGAAAATGTATTTCACAGCTAATGAAGATCCAGCACGAGTATGATCAGGAAAAGAGAATTTACAGCATACAAAGCTAGAGTACCTTTGACTATCCTTATCCACCCGGAAAGATTCAGGGAGAAAAAAGAAATAATTTAAACACTGGGGAGAAAGAATTCAAAAGAAGCGAACGCCATAATCAAACAGCTCAGATCGTGAAATTCTTTAAAAGGTTCGACGGGTAATGGTTCAGTCACCCATGACATCGTCCTCATCTGGTTCAGGTGTCCCGTTGTTCAACTCGTCATTTTCGACATCTTGGTCAACACCCTCCTCCTCCACAAGCTCTCGAGCACGCAAGTCTTCGTCCTCATCTTCTTCCACGGGCTCACCACGCTCGCTCTCTCCATCGTCGTCGGCAATACGCTCCGCAGACTTGAAGTCCTTACCGCCCGAAGTAGGCGCTTGATCTTCAGCTGGCTTAGCAGGCGGCTTGCCCTTGTTACGGGGTGCAGTACGAGGCTTTCTCTCTTCCATGTACGAAAGGACTTCGCGATAGTTCTGGCCAAGGACACTTTTGTTGCGAAGAAGACGCTTCTTCAAGCTGCCGCGTTTGGAGCCAGATGCGTCGATGACGCGGCCAATGATGGCAAGGACGAGTTTACCTGTCAGTTCGCACAAGCGCTGCTCAGCCACCATGCTGGAGCGAAGACGCTCGTTGATCACGGCCTCGTCTCCTTCATCTTCATCCTCCTCATCATCCTCGTCTTCAGAGGCAGGGGCGTCGTCTTCTGCCGGCTCGAGTTTGCGGCCGGATTTCTTGGCGAAGATGCGTTCGGCAATGTTGTGAATCTTGGAGACGAGGGCTTGAGCGTCTTGTGGGACTTCGTGGACGAGGCCTTGTGTTTGGAAGATGATGTCTTCGTCATTGCCTACGCCTTGTCCTGCGTTGCGGAGGGTGCTGAAGAGGGTCTGGAGATCTAGGTAGGTAGATGTAGCGACGAACCGCAGATCATCAAGACCGGATCGTGCGTCCATGACCTCCAGAAGAACAGATGTAAATGTCTCGCGACTTTTGGTGAGAGCTTCGAAGTACGAGCTGTTGAAAGAAGCCTTTCCACTTGCTAAGGAAGATGATAAAGCTTGGACTTTCCACATGAAGTAGAAGAGCAGGGTGCGAATACTGTTCCCGACAAGCTCTGTTTCTACTCTGGCAACGTCCTCGTCATCCTCCTCTGGCAGAAGACCACGTTTAACGAGATGAATAAGAGTGTTGAAGGGAGCCTCTTGTTGCTCCTTCTTGTTCTTTGAACGCGAGGAAGGCGCTTTCTCCAAAACGGTTGTACAGTCTGTGATGCCAGCAAGATTGGCGATTCGAGTCACGGTGTTAGTTAAATCAGTGAGAGTGGGTTCTGAGATTGAAGCACCATTTTGAACTTCCTTCTTGCGAGAGAAGGCTCCAAGGGCTGCTACAAGGTCGTCCCACAATTCTTGAACCTTGCCTTCGAGCGCTTCACGCATTTCCTCGGAGCTTTTAGCATGCAGGAATGCCACACTGGCTTCAGCCAAGACATCTTGGTCCGAATGAGTAAGGAACTGCTTGTTGATGTCACTCAGTAAAGATGAATAAGCTGTAGCATCCTTTTGCAAATCTTGGATCGATTCGAGATCCACCAAGTGCTCTAATCGCAGGACGGCAGATGCGGCCTCGGGCGAAGATCCATACTTGTTCAGAAGTTGTGGGATTATCTGGGCGAGTCCATGGGAAATCTCTTCCTGAAGCTCAGGAATCTTGGCAGTCAACGCCTTGACCTTACGTCCTCGTTTGTCGATATCAGATTTTGCGACATCAAGAACTCGGAGCTTGACGGATGCGCAGAGCACTTCCAAAAGAATCGACTCTTGGCCTTCTTGCATCTTGTACAAATTCCGTATGACGCCCGTCGTGTCATCTTCAGAGGGCTCATCGGTGATTGAAGAATGATCGTACAGGAGATAACCAGCTAGAGACTGCCATTGAGAAAGTTCTTCCATATGAGGATAGATGGCTTCGGTCGCCAGAACGAACCGTGAATCCGCAGGTGCTCCCGAGAGCACGCCCCGGGTGGTTGCTGTAGACTCCGACTGCTCATTTCCCTGATCGTCATAAGCATTAAGGATGTCGGCAAGGCACTTGAATTTGATCCATGAGCGCTTGGGAGACTCAAAATCATCTTCGTCGTCATCAGCAAAAATCTCGGTGAGATCATCCGAAACTTCCTCTGTCAGGGATTCAAATGCATCTTCGACATTCGCTGCGAAGAACCGACCCGCGGTTGTCCGAATTCGGGGATCCACGTCAAGGATAAGCTGCCCAACAGCGTCAACATCGCCAGGCTCCAGTAACCCACCCTCTCGGAGATGAATCAATAGCTCGATGGCCGTCACGCGAACGGCGATATCGGCATCTTGAGTAGCAATTTCGACAATACGCTGGCGAAAACGCTCCGTAAATGAGGAGAGAACGCCGACGTTATCCTTGTTCTCGTAGAGAGGTAGCAGCTGCGATAAAGCAGCCAAACGAGTGTTTGCAACAGTATCGGCAAGGGTCCACCCAATATATCGTAGATATTGTCCTTCAAAGAAGATCTCCCGATATGAGCGGATCCATCTACCAAGAGCAGCCATACACTCTGCACGAATCGTTCCATCGACATCACGGTAGCGATGGACAAAGACAGTATCAATGCCATCTTGAAGATGCTCATCAAGCTGTTCAACCTTCTTTTCACCCTCCGAAATGGCAGTCTGGATTGCCTCCACTCGGCCCTTATTGACGGACTTCTTTTTCTTCTCGCTTTCGAGCTGCTTTCGAGAAGTCGACACAGTCGTCGTAACCTCCCGCGCAATATCACAAAGAGCATTCATGATTGACAGAGCGACGACTGTTGCTGTATGTCGGAAAGGACGACAGTTCGATGTTGACATACAAGACAGCCAGATTTGAATATTCTCGAATAGAGCTTCATCGGTGTAAAGGACCGATGAATGGTGAAAAGTCTGAACGAGGGATACAGCGAATTCCTCAAGCATGGGCTGGAATGACCGATATTTCTTTGCACGGGAGATGAGAGGATATTCGGTAATTCCTTGTTCGTGGTACATGGTCTGCAAATCCCCCATCTTTTCAGGGGCGTGGTCCACATCTTCCACCTCCTCGGAGCTTATTTCTAAGTCCGAGCCTGCGCATCGAAGCATAAAGTTGACGAAATCCCTCAGGGCTTGGCTGCTGTCTTTTTGGTACAGATTCAACCATTGCGCAGCAGCAGAATCGGCGTTGTTACTTTTCCCAAAGACATCCGCTAACAATCGGTCAGAATGAAGAAAATAACGAAAAGAAGAAAGGAATGGCTATGTGCAATAAAAAGGACTCACCATATAAGCCCCTTTCGCCCTGTGCGAGGCTCGGCCGCACCTTGGGCTTTCGGGGACGCGAGGTAGGTAGTCTGCCATTGAGAGCAGGCCGAAAGGCCAGTTGTTTTCTGACTCCGTTTCCGGCGACTTTGGGTTTCTTCGATGCATGTGATCTTTTATTGGATCCTGCTTTCTTTGGTCCGGCCTTGCGCGCCGCGCGTCGTTTTTCTCGAAGCTCTTCTTCGTCGGCATCCTCCTCATCATCGTCACTTTCAGACTCGGATGAGTCAGACTCATCGCCGCCATCAAGCACATCGCCACGTTTGCGCTTTTCGCCTGTAGCCGCCGAGTAATTAGTCTGGGAGAAGACTTCAGGGCGTCGCGTTGCTCTGCCAGACTTGCGTCTGTCCTCAGCCGGAGTAGATGGGGTGTTGGGGTTATCGACTTCCATGGCGATGATAGATGAGAAATTGTCGCTCTGGGAAGATTCTAAAGACCCTAGCTTGGGTCGGTTCAGGCCGTGAAAAGAGATAGGTGATTGGAGAAACGGGGCGCCCACGTCAAGTCGACACGCGCTCCGTGGAACGCGCCGTGCGACGGCAGCGGACGGGTTTGAGCGAAAAGGCACAAGAGAAAAAGTGCGCGTAGGCTGTTCCAGTGAGAGAGATTAGCGCGTCCCAAATAATCGCACACGTACACTCGGCGAGTGTTCAAGTGATCAGTGGGAAATTGAAGGAGCCCAAGGCGGAGAGTGGGGGATAGAGGACTCACGAGTCGTAAAGGAGACGCGACGTGGTGCCTGAGGCGGGTTTGCAGCCTTGGTGCCTGATACGGCCCAGTACATAGCAGTCCGCAGGTTTGAGTCTCGCCTAAGTACGCATTATCACATTTATGCTTGAGAGTATCGGTAAAAGATAGGCCATGAAATAATTGTAAATATAATGTCCGCTATCTGTTTGTCGTCTCTCCAATTGGTGCTCCTCGCTGCGACCCGTCCCCTTCTATCTGGAGGTAGACGGAAACTATATGAAGCGCATTAATTACCAAAGTAAAGAAGTTGAAAGGCTTCAATACGACCTTACGGTTTTCTATTCTCTTCAGAGACATGTTAGGTCTTTATGTGAACTGATCACGCACAACTACCACAATGACTCTCAGCCAACGGGTCTTTTCATTAATAACGTATTCTTCAAGGTTTCAAGTGGCCCTAATTATTTCGTCATTGGATCATGCGTAAATGATATCTGAAGCTGAAGCCTTCATGGGTAAACATCTTGATTGAAGTCTGTGGATGTAGGACTGAAAAGAATCCTTAATATCGTTATAGTCCTTCGCTGTCCTTCTTGGTCCCTGGCCTGAGTTGGACCTTACTCTTCAGTACAAGGAATCTACGCCCATTCTCATAACACATTACCCGACTCCATAACATTGGAAACCGGGGAATCTGCACGGAATCTATCACTTTCATAGGTGCTGCGGGTATGAGCAACTGCTTGAACGTCTGGCCTGGCACGGTGAGCTTTAGAATGGATCATAAGACAGCTTCGTGATCATATCCTGGTTTCCGCCCTCGACAACATAGCAAAAGCTGCCGACTAGGACCAAGTCGGCTCCATTGGTGAAAGAGCATTGTACCGCGAATGGATTGAACCAGAGATGATTAGGAGTAGTCGATCTCCACGGGTTAATCTACGAAAGCATACTTTGTCAGATTTAGCCTCCTACTTGAAATGAAAATACTATACTTCGAACCGAGATTTGGTCAGAGGCCCATTCAACCCGTCCACACTTGCTACAACACGGAACTCGGCGACCATGTATTGGCGACTTTACTTGCTGACTTACCTGTAGTCTGGCAAAGATGCCACCATTGGCTGTCTCTCGATAGTGCGATCCAAGTAGCAATATTCCAGCAGAACGGCCTTATATGAGGACTTTCAGGGGCCTTAATCTCAATGGAGGTATTGGAAAGCATTGAAAGCGCCTAGGCAGATTTTCTTAACATCTCTAGATTCGCCAAGCGTACTTGGAGATTGGAAAACACTATTGACAGGAGACTTGCCAATACAGTGTGTCCTTTTCTTTCGATCCCATTCCCCAGCTGGGTTTGCCAGTAATGAATAGAAGCAGACCAAAATACGGAGCCACCTGCACTGGAGGCTCTACTGCGTACTTGTATTACTTGCATATCAGCATACCATCAACAGACCTGCCCAGTGATCGAGGCGAGCGGGTAGCTGATATAAGTGCCCTCGTCCATCACAGAAAACGACCAATTTATTATGGTCCCATATTTCTTACGGGCTTTTTGAAGATCGATCCCCCCATTTTTGGGATTGGGAATTGGACCTCGGCAGGACCTAGCAGATCCGACTGCTCATCAGGTCTAGACACGGTCTCCCCAGACGTGCATCTCATGGTACCCTAAGCACTGACCTGGGGACTTTTTGGTACATCTGTATAACCTGTTACCGCATAACCTTCTTTGTCTTAACGTCGGGGCACGGTCATCTGACGACCACACCAAGCTGAACAAGGGCGAAATGCAGTCCGGTGGTATCAGCCCCGAATCTCCAAGGCCGCAACGCTTTACCGCAACAGGAGGCCATCACGGGATCGAAGACACCCACATCACGTGGGGGCTCAGGGCCGACGCGGTGGAGACACGGTGTGTCATAGAAATCGCTCGACTCGCCCCACGATGCCATCGTAGGGCCGGTCATACAGAGCCAAGAGAAATTGATGCACCATGAAGTCAGGGAGAGTCCCCGCTTGACACATAGTCCATGGTTACAGGCCCCATTCCTCATTGTGGATGCGCGCCATTGACTAAGAAATGCCATCATCGCCCCGTCTGAAATTGCTATACCCAGTCCAGTCCCATCCCCGAGATTCCGGGGTAAAAAAAACTCAAATCAGTTCCTTCATTCTCTTCAGAAACGAGCAGAGACGAAACATCATGCTGCAGCCTGTCCCTGCACTACCCTGAGACCTTGCTGATTTGCGTTTCATGCGCTTTTGGTCCCATTCTCGCCCCTTCGCCTGGACATAAAGACTGATCTATTCCCCGCTCCTCCAAATTATATCGGTTTTGATCCTCATATTTTCATCATGCGTCAACCTGCAATGCCCATACGTTCACCCTTTGAGTCTTCCATAGCGAAGCCGGGTCAAGGCAACGTCGTCCTCTCTTTACTTCCGCCCAATAATCCTACCCTCACAACCCTTACCTACAAATACCCATTGAAGCTGGTCCCGCGGGCACCAGGCTTCGTCCCTACCCCTGAGCCAGATGCACTATCAGATTCTTGTCCATCAAGGCCAATCCATCTCTATCTTCTCACGTATGGCGGCGGCCTGCTACCCGGAGACCATATCGAGGTCTCGATCAAGCTGGATCCAAAGACAAGAATGGTGGTGACGACTCCGCAAGGGAGCACCAAGATCTTCAAAACAGAGCCGAACAGCGACTCCGGTGTCAGTGTCATCAAAGGACACCGAAAGAAAATGCCTGCCAATGACCACCTATCAGATATGAGCCAGCAGTCATTAGATGTGCGCATTGGGCGGGAAGCTGCTCTCTGCTACTTACCAGACCCATCCGTCCCATACAAAAACAGCCGCTACGCTCAATTGCAGACATTTACTGTCGATGCAGCCGCAAAAGGCAATCAGCGAAGCAGCTTGTGTGTGCTGGACTGGGTAACTCAAGGTCGTACGTCGCGCGGTGAGAATTGGAACTTCCATTTCTGGAAAGGCCGCAACGAAGTCTGGGCAATGGATGACAAGACTGGCAAAAGCCGGCTTTTACTGCGTGACTCAGTTATCTTGGATGACGAGAGCGAAGATCTGGGTTCGGACTCCGAGAATGAGAGTCTGGAAGCCAGCGAGGAAGCCGAGCTCAAAAGTCACTCCCTTCATACCAACACACCTCCACAGCAGGCAGGTTTGGTGCCATTGAACGTCATTCAAGAACGAACACGCCCGCATGGAGTCGTAGGCACGCTTATTCTATCTGGTCCTGTTTTTGATAGCCTCGGTGCCTATTTTATGCACCAATTTACCTCACAGCCGCGTATTGGCAGCCGGAATTGGTCCTCTACGTCCTCGTCTGCACCTGAACCTGCGCTTAGTACGGTGGGTGATGTGACTTGGACTGCGGCTCGTGTGCGGGCAGGCTTTGTGTTAGTCAAGTTCGGCGCCAAGGACTTCGAAACAGCCAAGCACTGGCTCGGCGGTCTCCTTCGAGAAGAGGGGAGTGTCGCGCGTGAATTTGGTGAAGAGGCCCTCTTCTGTCTTTAAGCATTTGATGAAAGTCATGACCCCCCTAGGCCAACGGCCATTCAGAATCGATGATACCCCGCGAGCCTCATGTGGGTTCCATATCTATAGGGCCTAATCAGTCCTTAGTCTTTGTTCTATTGGCATCCTATTTGAAGCTCTTTCTGTACCGGGACATGTTGATAACTTGACGCGGAGGACACGAACATATATGGAACTACTTTCTTCCATCATTGCATATTGCATCTCATTCACAAAATGTACCGACTGTCCAAAATGGTATTTGTGGAATGCTGTCTCCAATCAAAATGACAGCAATGTAGTCTATCTAGACAAAAGAAAAGGTATCATAAATATTCCCAATACTTCAAGCATAGACGCCAAACGAAAAGTCCCGATCATCACTCATCCGCTGTCATGATCATATTTCACCACCACCAATCCAAGATCTTGATCTTCCAGGCGCCTCTAGTTGCCTCAATCAAATCATCCACATTCAACAGATCCACACCTTCCTGAGCCAGAATCCGCCATATATGATTCCGCAGACTGCGCGGCCAGCTGGGGATACCCCAATAACGCACCTTCAGACCATGACTATGCGCAACACGCACCTGGGTCCGAATGGCCTCGATCTGATCCATCGTAAAATGAAAGGGCCAAGGAAACCCAATCGCCTTCTGGAAGGAAACAGACGCATAGTAACTATTCGAAAGATTGAACATATTCGCCGTGATGGTATCACCCATCCCCGTCATCCCTTGCCCACTATCACCTCCATGCCCAACAATGAAGTCAGGGCCCCCAGCCTCTACAAGCTTGTCCAGCGGCGCGTCGAAGAAAATATCCCGGTACGTCGAGTTCGCCGTCACCAGGTCAAACGGCGTATTCCCCGTGCCGACAACAGTCACCGGGCCCGGCACCAGCTCCTGCCCGTCAAAGTACGTCAAAAACCCGCGCTCGCGCAGCGGTGCAAGATGCTTCACGACAGCAGGCCAGGTCGTCGCGCCGTCGGTCTTGAAGTCGATCAGCAGGACGAGGGTCTGGTCGGGATCCGTGTCCCAGACGCCGTGCGGCGGGCGGCCCATGACGCGCTGGAACGGAGTAACAGGGTTCTGGCGCTCGAGAATCTGAACGAGCGGATCGACGTAGAGAGAGCGCAGGGTACGCCGCTTGGTCAGCGAGCTCGTTGTGTGGCCGACGTAGAGCTCGTCGTCGAAGAGCCATACGTCGGCTTCCACGCCGATGCAGCCTGCCTGCAGGGCTGAGAAGAGCGGAACTCGGCGCCAGTAGTCATTGTGTGAGTGGCAGCCTACGGGGACGATATCGCGGGAGACGTCTGTGGGCCAATGTCTTGTGTCGTTGTTGCTTGTGCCGGCGTGCATCCAGTGGCGTGCTGCAAGGTCATACTCGTCTGGGAAGAAGGAAAGGGTGATGCCGTAGGCGAGGGAGACAAATTGAATGATTCCACTGTTTCGAATTGAGAGGATCCATGTTAGTGTGGGCTGTTGAGAGGAATTGTGTTGAATTGTGGTTGCCTATCCATTCTGGAGCTCGACCGGATCGACAGGAGCTTGCACTCACAGCATGATGAAGAGAAACAGGAGCGTACGCCGCAAGTGCTGCAGATATCGAGAGCGACAGGCACGTTTCTTGCGGGACGGATCCCCCGATAGTAAAGGCAGACTGTCGTCCTCGTCCCCGTCACGGCGCGGTGAGAACGAAGGAATCCAGCCGGCGAACTGCCGCCATTTGGCAATGGACCCCACTCGGGCGGGAATAACCTCAGCTGGGGCTGCGAACTGCTGAGCGCCGTTGAGCTCTGGCGAGTCCGTGTAGGCTTCATAGGGAACCTCGAGAAGACATTCGGAGGTGTCAGGAGTTTGTAAATCCTGAGCCCGGTATGAGGACCGCATCACAGCGCGAGTGGAAGGAGCGGGGTGCCAGATGAGGGTACTTTATCGGGGAGGGGTTGATATATTATATTAAAATAGCGACCCTGCGACTGATTCGACATCCAAAAGGATTAATGGTTTAAGGCAACAACCAATCTTGGCCGCGCGGCTCGTTGCGTGGACCAGACGTTCCGGCCATGTTGTGAATGTGACGCAAATGATTGGGCGGACCTCGGGAGACAAGGTGGAGCTGACAACCACTTGCGGTACGAACTAACTGGCTCACACACTACGGGTCACGATCAAGCACATTGGCCCGCTACTCTGATAGACTCGAGGGTGCATGAGACCTACTAGTAGTCCCATGCGCAGATCGCGGCATGGGATAGGCTTGAGTCAATTCTACGTAGGCTAGATGGGAAGATCGTCGCCGTCGCATCATGTGTAGAAGGTATAAACGGGAAAATAATGGCAGATCTGCTGGTAGCGCTTTTTATATACAACGAATGCTAGGATCCCAAACACCCACGAGTCCAGAATACAAAAATATGACCCGGTTCTTTTTCTTCAGTTAGTCGCTTTATGATAACGAAATCGAGAATCCTCTATGAATCCTGTTGGAGGGACTTGACATAGGCGGCCGCCCGTGCCTTGATCTCCTCCACCATCTTTTCATTGCCGCCATCCTGCGCAGCGAGCTTCTCTTCGAAGGCGAGCCATTTCTTGAAAAGGAAAGATGCCTTTTTAGGCTTGAGCTTCTTGCTGGAATCCACGCTAATCACACCCTTCTTGTTCTGCAGACCAAGAACCCGCTCGAACAATCGGCGGACTTGCTCTGCGTCGCCAACCTTGATCTCGAGATCAATGAGCACATTCCACAGATCAATGCGCTTGGGGAATGATGAAAGAAGGCCTTCAAACACGGTACGGCCGCGCTCAACGTCGCCGTTGGGGGAGCGGAACTCTAGCTGGCCGAATTTAGAGGTCGTCTCAACGTGCGTGTGCGGGGGCAGTGACTGCAGGGCGCGCGCGAGCAAGCCGCGGGCACGGTCGGGGGCAGCCAAAGTATCGAACAAGAAGCTGGCATAGTTGAGGAAAAACTTCGGCGACTGAGTAGAGATCTTCTTCTTCATGTTCTCTCGGAAGAGATCATCCGCTTTCTGTAAAAATAATTAGCCTCTAAGAGTTTCCCTTTCCGCCAGTTACTGTAACTTCTTACCTCGTTCTTGCCAGACTGAATATAGATACTAATCATCCGGTCGTAGATTTCTTGAGTATCGTTGAATTGACAGGCGCGCTTGAAGACTTCTTCCAAGCTGTCGTCGTCGCCGTAGGTGTTTTCCAAATTCAATAATGCCACCCAAATGTTGAGCTTCTCAGCGTCTTGTCCCATGGCAATGGTACGCAGAGCCCGCTCCGCGATAGCGCGTGCCTTCTCAACCTCACCGAGCTCCAGCTGGAATGCCATGTACTGCAGCCACAGCAATGAAGAGTCTGGCTCACCCAGCAGCAAACGCTCATAATCAGCCACGGTTTGAGGACCGTTGGCATCTAGATCACCAGTCCGATCTTCCTGGATCTGCGGCTTGCGGTTCTTCTTCCTCTGGGTCTTTTCTTCATCTTCGGAGGCCATGTCGACATCTTCGTCATTTTGCACATTACCACTCCAGTCGAACCCGCTGGCACCGAGACCACCCTCCTTAGAGGGCTTGGTACCGGATATAGCGACGCCGTCGTCATCAGTATCATCTTCATTGTCGTCTTCATCGTCCTCTTCCACATCGATACCTCCCATAGAGATGTCCGAGTCTTCCCCCGTCGCTATCGCCTTCTAAATCGACACCACCGGCAGCCTCGCCCATCTCTTCATCACTGTCTTCCTCGTCCTCATCTTGGAAGTGGGAAGCCTTGAGAGAGAAAGAGATCTTGCCCTGCTCGTGGTCGATCTTGATGATCTTCGCCTTTACGGCATCACCCTCGTCATACAGGGTGCGAGCATCCTCAACACGCTTGTCGGCCATCTCACTACGGTGGCAAAGACCACTCACATTGGCGGATCCGTCCACGACAATGAATGCACCGAATTCTTCGACCTTGCGAACCTTACCAGTCACAATGTCGCCTTGCTTGAGCTCACGAAGAGTGACGGGGGCCTTGTAGTTGGGGTCTAAAGCAGATTCCTTCAAACTGATCTGAAGCTTATTGTTCTCTGCATCCACCAAGGTGACACGGCCCTTAACAAGCTGGCCCGCTTGGAAACCGTCCTTCCATTCTTTCAGGTAGGAATCAGAAAGGTCCGAAACTCGGGCGTAGGCAGTCACATCATGCCCGACTGTCACGAAAAGGCCCTTGTCGTCCACACGCTTGATAAATCCTCGGACAATGTCTCCCTTCTTGAGATCCTTGATAGAGGCGATTTCGCGATCTTGCACGGGAAGCGAGGAGCTCATGACCTTTGAAGGACGAAGCGAGAGATGAATTCGCTTGTTCGACTTGTCAACGCCGACGACATAGGCACGAAGCACCTCATTCTTGCTGTAGGCTGCTGGGTTTGCCTTGGAGTAATCGTCGGCAAGGTCAATCAGGTTGACAGCACCCACAAGAGCTTCTCCAAGCTGCATGATGACTTGCTTGTCGGTCACCTTGGTCACACGTCCAGGGAGAATCATGCCAACTGAGACGTCTCCAAATGCAAGCTTGTCATAGCCCTGCTTAGCGGTGAGGTCCAGGTGGCCCTTGCTCGCATCGACAGCGGTAACTTGGACCTTCAAGGCAGATCCAATGGGGAAGTTCTTCTCAACATCAGTCAGGAGAGAAAGATCGTCCGATGCATCCATGAAACGCAGTCTTCCTCGTACATTGGGGGAGAGGTTGATCCAGAGACAACTGTCGGCGATGTTGTTGACGAAGCCCATCCAGGACGAGCCGACCTTGACATGTTCCATGTCTAGAGGCTGAGGCTCAGCGGCCTTGATGAAGCTGGGCTTGAGAGAAAGCTCGAAGACCTGGTACTTGCCGCTTCGGTGGGAAATTGGCAGAAACTTGTGATTGCGAGCGTCATGGACACCGAGAATGCGGGCTGACAGCTCTTGCTTAGCACGGAAGAATCGTAATGGCTGCTTACGGTCCTTGAGTTCATCCCATTTGTCGAAGATCTCAGAGACATCAATGCGCCTTTGGATGTTATCGGCCAAGACCACATTAAGTTGGGTGGACTTGACAGAAGCAACCTTGCACTTGACAATTCGTCCGAAGGTCAAATCAGCGATTGATTTGATGCTGTCGTCAACTGGGTTGCTGAGAGTGTCATTTGACACAGGTGTCTTGGTCTTAGTTTCAGGCTTAGACTTTCCAGAAGCCTTTTGAGACAGAGTGAATCGCTGGAGATCAGTGTCAACGTCTTGGACGGTAACTGTCATCGTCTGCCCCTTCGATGTTCCGAATTGCGGCTGCGTGAGGTTGGCATCTTCAATCAAACGCTTAGGTAGGAATCCAGTCAAACCACCCAGGACCTCAACAAACAGACCCTCGGGAGTGATGTTGCGGACGAAACCAGTGATCTTAGACCCTTCTTCAATGTCGGTGAACTTGCTAGGCATAGATCCGTCCTTAGCAGCCTTCTTCAGGCTGGCGCGCCCAGAAACACGAATCAGACGGTGCGCACGTTGGATATCGAGAACCAGAAGGTCATTCAGCTTCTGGCCGACTCGGATCTTTGATAGAGTAGAGCTTTGCTTCGATGGAGATCCATCAATGACATGAGAGACATCTAGACGTGCCACGAGGCCGGATTCATCGAGTTTCAAAAGTGCATCATCGTTGGATTTCTCGAAGACGGTTCCAGCAATAAGTAAGCCGGGGTGGATGTTTTCGAAGGCTTTGCGGTATTGCTCGGTGAAGGTTGACGGGTCCTTGCAAGAAACAGCAAGTCTTCCTTGGGCCGCATCAACACTCAGAGCATGCACATTCACGACCTGGCCGAGTCTGAAGTGCTGAGCGGGATCCTTAATGTAGGCCTCACTCATTTCGGACACAGGGAGGAATCCACGGACAGTGCCATAGAATTGGACGACAGCACCGTGGGTCTGCAAGCTGACAATAGTGCCAGGTGATTGGGACCCGGCGCTGATCTTTTTGTAGTCGTCCCATACCGGGGCTTCGCTGTTCAGTAGACTCTTCTTCAAGGACAACCGAATCTGTCGCTTCTCGAGGTCAACAGACAAGATTCTGGCGGAAACCTTGAGTCCTTCACGGAACTTTTTCTCGGGAAATTGAAGCTGGGTGTCCGCGAAGTGCATCGACGGTACTAGACCAGAAATGCCATCTGCGAGACTGACAATCAAGCCATCAATGCCAGTAGACTTGATCAGAAGCTTTTCGATCTTTCCCTTCACAATAGCTCCAACAGTAACATCTTCAAGGCGAAGGAACGGCTGCTCAAGAATAGTCTTCTCGAAGGAGAGTAGGTACAGATTATCAAGAGCGCTGTATCCAATGATTCGGGCCTCGTGCGAAGCGCCAACCTTGAATGGACCGATCTCAGAAGAGATGGATTCAACTTTGCCATCGGAGAGCTTCGAGATATGAACGAATCCAAGATGTTTAGTTTCACCAATCTGAACATAGACACCCAGAGCAGGATCGACCTTGATGATCTTGGCTTCTGGGATGATAGCGGAAATAGCAGGAGTCTCCTCAGATGAACCGAGGCCTTGGGCATCGGATGCGAGTTTGAGCACATGGTCCAACAGAGAGAATCCCACTTTGAATGGCTCCGCAGAAGGAAAAGTTGAGACAATACGACCCTTAATCTTGGCTCCAACCTTGTATTTTCGCACCAGGTCGAGTTTGCCGTCATTGGCTCCAGATTGAACCAAGTCAACGGTAGCGTCAAGCATTCCCATGATTTTGCCCATCATGCCGGTCTCGGTAACCTCAGTCAACAAGATCTCAGCTGCAACACCCGGAAGGAATGAACCAATTGTAGGGGCGGCGCTAAGGTAATGTTGTTTGATAGAGGCAGCTGATCGCAGTTTGGTAGAGAGTTTGACGACGTTACCAGCTGAGTTCTGACCAGTGACAATACACATGAAGACAGAACCTTCCTTGATAGTAGAGTGTTCCACACGAGGATCAATCTCTTTGGACGACATGAAACCCTTCAGGTCAGAACCTTCGATACCAAGATCCATAACGAGACCATGATCTTCAACGCTAACAACTGAGGCTTGGACAGCTGATTCAACTACCAGGTCGGATTTAGTAAGACCACTGTTTGCCTGTCTAGGGTCGACTGCGAGCTCAATGCGCTTCTTGCTGCGACCACCGACTTCGGTGCCATCAGTGCCTGTAGAAACAACATAGGCACGGAGGTATTGGCCCAAATAGAAATAGTCCTTCAGATCAATAGATTCCTCATCTTCACTTTCTTCGCCTTCCTGGTCTTCCTCTTCATTAAGAAGTTTCTCAATTTTGTCGTCGAGGGTTTTCGAAATGGATGTGAGGGAGACGTAGCCAGTCAAGTTATTTGGCAAAGATAGCGCGACGTTGTGTGTGTTGATTTTTGATACCTGGCCCAGAATCATTGATCCAGGTACAATGCGCTTGAGAGAGTCAGCTAGCTGGTTGAGGAAATGCATATCTGCAATTTGATCATACCTTAAAATTGAGAGGCTCAATACGAACAGCCGCCTTTTCAGACTTTTCACTCTCTCCAGACTTCTTGTTCTTTTTGCCCTTCTTCTTTGACTTTTTTGCTGGAGCCGCAGTCTCTTCGTCCACGGCGTCGAATTCTTCCTCCTCATCGTCATCGTCGTCGTTTAGTTCGCGAGGTGTCTTTTTGGGGCCCTTTTGTTCGAATAAAACATCTTGAGTAGCTTGGATGTTGATCTTCTTGCGCTCCAGAGCAGTCAAAACACTTCCTCCTCCACGAGGAAAAGACGGCTCCTCTTCTCTTAGCAAAGAAAGCTCCGAAGTCTTCGGGGCGGTATCCTTAGGCTTCTGGTCTTTTTTGCGTTCTTCAGCACCAACTTTGGCGCGCTTTTGGGGCTGACGAGCAGCCGTTTCTTCCGGGACATTCCCCTTGCGCTTGATTGGCGCCATTGCGTGGGGGGAGACCGGGAGTAGCACGGTTAAAAATAATCGTATCGCAAAGGAAAAGACGTAGAAAAAAAAAATGAAAATCCCGAAATTCGATGGCAGAAACCTGGGCGGTGAGGGGAGCGGGACCGCCTTTGCAAAGTGCGGTAAAGCCACTTCGAGTACGCATAGAGGTATCGAAGATCAACACATCAGAACATTGAGAAGAAGCAAAATTTTCAGATGATAAATGCTATGGAGAATTTCTCTCCTCTGCTAGCTTCGAGATGTAACTATCTCGTCTGCTGTATTTCGCATGCTAGGCATCATTCAGCGTAATTACGAGGGGCGCGTAATGGTACGCCTCGTACAAGTTTGTCCAGGCATTTGTGTCTTGACAATTGTCAACCATCCACTATGAAAAGTAGCGAAAAGAAAAAAAAAAAAAAAAGCCAAAGATCAGATGGAAGAAAGAATGCAAAAGTCAAGAACCATCACATTGCTATTTGTATCCAAGCATGAATAGTAAGGCATAAAACAAGGGTGCAGGAGCCTTGGGGCCCTTAAGGTGTCCAAATGCCCACACGCATCGCGTCACGTCCGTTGCGCGCAACACGACCCGCTTCGTTCCCCATCTTACCCCCTTGGGCCAAATCTCTTCACCCCATGTATTCTGCTCCTGTTGTGTTTGCTTTGACTTCAATGCACCATGGATCGGGGGCTTGGACTTCCTGAAGTTCCTCAATCGGAGCCCATCCTCCCTCAACGGGATGTCCACCCTCTGATCCCGTCTTCCCCGCCATCTGTGGCTTCCGATGTTGGGAGCGGACGAAAGCTTCGAAAACCCCCCACGGTCACGCCTCGGTCTTTCAAGCGGTTCTTTACCCCACGCTCGCTGCTGGACAGCTCTCATAATGGTAGTGGTGGCCGGTCAAGCCGCCAGGCTTTACGGGCCTTGAGCTCTCCAGCTGTCAACCGCCTCGGACCAGCATTCACTAGGTCTAAAGACGGCCGCTCGAAAAGTCCCTTCAGCAATCTTCCCGAAGACCTAATTCGGACTCCTAGTAAGAAGAGAAAGCATTCGTTCTCGTCAGCAGCTTCTCCTTTGCAATCTTCGCCTCTAAAGAAAGTTCGTTTACGCTCCCCGGTGAGCAATGACATAGAGCAGAAAGCATGCATTCGGGATATCGATGTATTGGCGCGCGGTAGACATGCGGAACCAATACCTGTATCTCCTCCAAAATCACGACCGGCGTCACCTATCACTCGGTCGAAGGCTCTCCAAACTTCCGGATCTTTGTTTATGCGAACTGTGCAAGGCCCTCGCGCCAATAGACTAACTGTCCGCTCTACAGCTGGAGCCAGTAAGTATTGGGCCCATGCCATAAAACTCGAAAAGTGTGTTAACGCTCGGACAGACTGGCAAGATCTCACGTCGAACTTCCACTCACAACCGGAGGATCGACACTCGTGCGCAAGCTATGCGACGAACGGACATTTAGCACTTCCATTTTGCAATACACCATGTAACAGTAAGTCGGCTCTCCCGCCCATCTCGGGAATCTCATGGTCATAGAACTATATTCTAAACCACGAGAAGCAAATTCATTAGTGGCGGTGGGCGATGAGGAGGGAGGAATTCGATTACTCGACTCCTCGAAAGAGGACGAGCGAGGCTTTTCAAGCGCCTATCTTGAATTCCGCCCACACTTGAATTCGATTATGGATCTGGAATTCTCTTCGGATGACTTGCTTCTCGCCACTGCCTCTGGCGATCAGACATCTCTCATCATCGATATGACGACTCAGCGCCCAATCCATTGTTTGTCGAATCATGTTTCATCAGTGAAGCGCATTCAATTTCAGCCCAATGCCAACAACAAAGTGCTCGCAACATGTAGCCGCGATGGCAATGTCAACATTTGGGACCTTCGCTGCAAAGGCATCGAGCGCCCTGCATCGCAAATTTTGTGTTCTCTGGAACCAGATACTGAAATTCCAACGGCCTCGACTGCAGCACCTCCCAAGATGACATACCCGCACGTCCTGAACACCATTCATGGGGCCCATGTCTATAGCGGGCATCAAAACCCTTCCATGGACAAAGTCGACTCCCCGTCCTTTGGGCGTTCCGACATTACCGTCACATCTCTAGCCTTTCTTCCTTCTGGCCAAGAAAACATGTTTGTCACCGCATCTGAGGCCAGTGCATCCGTTCGGTTATGGGATTTGCGAACGGCCCACAATAACCGGCGCGGCCGTCCCGTTCTTCCACTATCTACCACTCGGGAGCCAGATAGCCATGTCAAATATCGACGATTTGGCCTTACTTCTATGGCATTCGGCAGCGATGGCTCAAGACTCTACAGTCTATGCCGAGACGGTACGGTCTATGCTTACTCCACCGCTCACCTCGTGCTGGGGCATGCGCCGGAGCTTTCTCTCAATAACTCGCGTCCCCGACGCTCCGGCGGATCTGACAAGGAGGGCCTAGGTCCCCTATATGGCTTCCGCCACCCTCGTCTGAAAGTATCGTCATTTTACGTGAAGCTTGCAATGCGCAAGGCCAGCGCTGATCGTGCTGAGATGCTCGCGGTAGGCAGCAGTGACCACAGCCCTATCGTTTTTCCTACTGATGAAAGATTCCTTCAATCTACCGTGAAAGCATTCTCTGAAGACGAACTCCCTAGCCGCACATCACTTTTCACTACTCGCTCTGGTCTGCGCCGTACCAACTCTATCACCGGTCTATCAGGTCGTCTAGAAGACACGATTCCCATCTATCAATCTGGAACACCTCTGATCGAAGGTCATAACAAGGAAGTCACAGATGTCTCGTGGACAGTCGATGGGGATCTCATCTCTGTTAGCGATGATTACAGTGCCCGATGCTGGCGTGAAGGACCTGAAGCCCGTGAGCTCCGTACTTGTGGTGGAGTCGACGGTCGACGTTGGCAATGTGGCTGGGCGGCGACCAAAGATTCGTACGATGACGAGGAAGAGTAATTGATGTGGGTGATTATGATCTTTTGCGTGGGATCTCTCTAGATCCTCATTGCATTACGTTGGTGTTATGAGGGAGATTTGTTCCGCTTTCTGTTCCAGTCCTTCTCTCAGCCCCCTTGTCCCCTTCTCTTATCATGGGCTACGTCCTTTGCGGTTCTCAATTTTTTTTTCTTTTTCATAAGCATAATTTTTGGCGCTTTGGGAGCATCTGGATTAGCGAGCATACCTATGGGCGTTTCAAGGGAGGTTTAGTCATTTAATTTCAGTTTAATCTCAATAAACGACTTTTGATGATCATAAAAGGTCGCACATGTAGCCAGAGAAGCTAGCTAATACCTGTGTATGGGCTTCTGAAGGCACGGGCTATACAAGATCAGGTGACCTCCATTGGCAAGACCGAACCATCCAAATATCCGTCCTGGCAAGAACGAACAATCTAATCCAGAAGAAGCTAAGATATATGATTTCCAAAGTGAGTATTTGCCTTGGCTCTAAAAAGAGTATCTGCCGTCAACAAACCTCGTGGTTTGGCCCCGGTCTCTCTCCCTGCGATAAGATCTTGATAAGGATCCTGAAGAAAAAAGTTCCGCTCAGCCAGAGCTCCCGATTTTCCCACCTTAAACAGAATTCAAGATGCCTCACAAACACAAAAGGCGCGAAAGAGATGATTCGTAAGTCTTCTCAGCCTTCCGGTCAATTCGATCCAACCCAATACTTATTCTGATCTCTGTTGCAGACACTTCGACCTCCCACCGTCGATGATCGCAAAGCCATTGCCTGTCCGCGACTCACAGCCCAAACCTAAAGACGGCAAAAAGGCAGCCGGCAAGAAGCCAATCGAGACAAAAAAGCAGAATGGTCCGGCTACTAGCAGACGCAAGGGCGCTTTGGATGACGATACACCAAAGGCCTTCCAGCGGCTGATGCAATACCGAACGACCGGCAAACGGGCCCCGTCAGGGCTCGAGACGGGCGAGAAACGCGAAAATAAAAAGCGCAAGCGCAACAAGACGAACGGAGATGATGAGTCTCAACCCGCACAGACCGAGCCAAACCCCGCTGCGACAACCAAGCATGCCATGCCAAAGATCCTGCCGGGAGAGAAGCTGTCTGATTTTTCAGCGCGCGTAGACCGCACGTTGCCCCTCTCATCGATGACCAAGTCGTCTACCCATGGCGGGCCTAAGATTCGCGATCACAAGATGACGAAGCATGAGAAACATCTACGGCGGTTACAGGCTGGCTGGCGAGAAGAGGAAGCCAAGATCCGCGAGCGGGAGGAGGCAGAGCGTGATGAGCGGGCTGCTGATATGGAGGAAGAGCTTGAGCTGCTGAAACAGTGGGAGGCGGAGCTGCGTGGTGCGAAAGCAAAGAAAAAGCGGACCGTCGCTAAAAAGAAGAAGGGCTCTGGGGGTGCCGATGCGACTGGCGATGATGATCCAGATCCATGGGCAAAATTGAAGAAGCGAGACAAGGAGCGGCAAGCTAATCCTTTCGACTTTGCCCAGGCTCCACCAGAGCTGGCTAAGCCCAGAGAAATCTTCAAAGTTCGTGGAGGAGCCAAGGTAGACGTTGCAAATGTCCCTAGTGCTGTGGGTAGTCTGAGACGCCGAGAGGAACTGGCTTCAGAAAGACGGAACATCGTGGAGGAGTACCGACGACTGATGGCCGAGAAGCGTGGGGAGATATGAATAGCATCATAATTAATCTCGTAGAAAATACCCACTGTCACTTTCGATTCAGGGAAAACGGTATACAGTGTCCTAGTAAGGAGCATCAAGTAAATCAAGTGCGGGTTACCAAGGTAGGTTGAGCGAGTATTTAGTGGAACCCCGTTCACTTTAATTAGCGATACTTGGTTAATAGCCACGAAAGGCATTCCGTACATAAGCAGTTGCAGGTGAAATTCATTATCAACTGCAATTTCATATCTATGTAACATCCAATTACTGCTATTTTTCTTTTCGAGATCATAGTCAAACATGTCAGAGACTAGTGGCCGTGACCATCATCCTTAGGCTGCTCAGGGTCCAGCTTGATCATGGTGTCGATACGCATAATGGCAATGCAAGCCTCGACAGCACTCTTGAGTTGCTTGACCTTGCTCATGCTTGGCTCGAGAACACCGGCTTTCAAAGTGTCGTGAACCCGTCCCTTCATCAAATCCAGACCGTAGTTACGGTAGGTCTTCCTCTTAGCAATGGCCTTCTCCTCCGCGTTCGCATCGCCGTCCTGCACTCGCTGTGATAAGGCGTGGCGGACGCGAAGCTGGGCAACCAACTCCGATGAATCCTTGGCGGCATTGACAGCCAGGGTCTTGGGGATGACGAGGAGGGACTGGGCGAATTCGCCAATTGCAAGTTGCTCACGCGAGCCCTAGAGATCAATCATCAGCACGTACTTGGAAACAGCGAAACCCACACCTAGTACATACCACAGTCACTGCAAATTCCTCCAAGTAAATGTGAAGAGCAGTCTCAACGGCACCGCCACCGGGAACAATGCTGCCGCTCTCCAGAGTACGCTTTATGGCACAAAGGGTATCGTGAACGGAGCGTTCCATCTCATCCAGACTGAACTCGTTGGCTCCGCGGAGGATGATGGAGGCCGATGTGTGGATCTTGGTGTCCTTGATGAGAATACACTCATCATCCGAGATCCGCTCTTGGCTAACCTCGCCTGCTTGGCCGAGGTAGGATGACTCGAACTTCTCATCACCGTTCAGATCGGACAAAGTGCTGATGAGTGTAGCACCAGTGGCCTTGGCGATACGACGCAAGTCCTCCTTCTTGCAACGACGAACAGCCATAGCGCCGCGCTCAACGAAGGTCTTCAAGACCATGTCATCAATACCCTTGGTAGTCAAAACAACGTTAGCACCAGACTTCAGGATCATTTCGACCCGCTCCAAGACAATGCCAGCCTCCCGCTCACGAATCTTCTCCAATTGATCAGGGTCATCCACCGTAATCTGCACGCCCAGCTTCATGCGCTCTTTTTGCAAGTTCATATCCAGACAAGCAATTTTGGCATCTGTCACGCGGGTCTTCATGGCCTGAGAGGCAACGGTACAGTTCAGAGCATAGCCGTTCACGAGTACGGACTCAGTACCGCTCTTTCCGTGGGCCTTGAGCAAGTTGACGGCCTTGACGGGATATTTAACCTCGCCCCTCTGGTTTGTCGATTTCACCTGGAGCATAGCATCCACACACATGTTTGCGAAGAAATCCGAGTCAGAGCCAATGATCTTACTAGACATGGAGGTCTTTGCAATGTTGATCAAGCTGTCTCGGCCGAGGTTCTCCACCTTTGTCGCTACGTTCTCGTTCATGTATTTAACAGCCTCACGCAGAGCCAGGCGGTATCCGTTGATGATCGTGGTAGGGTGTATGCGGTTCTTCATCAACTCATTTCCTCGTCGCAGGAGCTCTGAGGCGATCAGAACAACCGAGGTAGTACCGTCTCCGACCTAAAGGAATTGAGAAGTCAACAACGAAATTGCCTGAATATATTTTTTCGAACAAACCGCGAACCTCCTTGTCCTGCTGCTGAGCGAGGTCAACAAGAATCTTGCCGGCAGGGTGTTCAATGTCCAGCAAAGAGAGAATTGTAGCTCCATCATTTGTCACGGTCACATCCTGGTAAGATACGAAAGGTGTTAGACGTTGCTGCATTACGTTGCGGGGAACCGAGTGTTTTCATACCCCTATGTCGTCAACCATCATCTTATCCAATCCAGAAGGTCCGAAGGAGCTCTTGATAACATTGGAGATGGCTTGCGTAGCAAGTACTACGAAATAATGTTAGTTTGAGAGAGTGACGAGCTGGCGAGATTTCGAACGTACCATTCTGCTCGCGAACATCGGCTCCGGTGATTTTCTGTCCCCCGAGGACTGTGTGCGGTGTAAGTTAGTTGGTTGGATGCGTAAGTCAACAAGACGGGGGACGCACAAAGAGTATCCGCATTCCGCGGTGCCTCAAATATGCCTGCCATAGCGAACGATAATGAACAAGGAAGGCAAGGTGCGATGGCAGAGCTTCGATTGGGCGACGGGGGGTTTTGGTCGGCGTTGACACTAAAAGTTCTGCCGGAGCGGTGTGGTACATCCCACTTTTGTAAAAGAGTCATACTCCAACTCCAATTTCCGCTTCGTGTCCATTCTGCTCGTGTTCTCGCTTCCCAGAGCATTTCCTCGACGAGCGCTTGATCTACCTCACCATGGCTAGCCAAGAAGCTGAAGTTCCCACCAAGGCTGCCGATGCCACTCAAACTCTGCCCGATCGCACCGTCGCAAACCCCGCCGAACCTGAAGGTGAAAGCAAAAATGCCGTCAAGAAGGCTCAGAAGGCTCTGAAGCTCGCTGAGGAGAAGGCCAAGAAGGCCGCGAACAAGGCCGCTGGAAAGCAGGAGCCTAAGAAGGCTGCTCCTTCCAAAAAGAAGAGCGATGGTCCTGCGCTCATTGGTATTGATGTAAAGTCGCTTGGGTTCGATTATTTATTTCGTTTATCATTTGCTAATGGGTTACTGCAACAATAGGTCGGAAAGTCCGAAGAGTGAGATATCCCTCTCCGCCCTGAGTGCTTTTCTTTATTGCGCAACAAATCGGATACTCGCCGTTCCAATCTAAACAATAACTAATTATCAACAATAGTTTCCCTGGATGGTATCAGCAAGTCTTGACCAAGGGTGACATGCTTGACTACTACGATTTAAGTCTACACCAGAAGTGCATTAAATGGGACGAAGGCTAATAAACTTAGCAGGTCTCTGGCTGCTTCATCCTGAAACCGGCTTCGTTCTTCATCTGGGAGGAGATCCAGAATTTCTTCAACAAGAAAATCAAGTCAATTGGTACGTCGAGTGATAGGATTACCCCGCGCGTTCGATGTGAAATAAACATTCATGCCACGGGGAAATTTTGCAGGAGCTGAGGAGTCTTCATGCTACTTGAGCTCTTTGATCGGAACAGACTGACAATTTTTAAGGCGTCCGCAACTGCTCATTCCCGCTCTTTGTATCAGAGGACGTTCTCCAGAAAGAGAAGGACCACATCGAGGGATTTGCTGCGTAAGTGGCCTCAAAATGGCACATCATGTCCAACGTATCTCAGCTAATTTATTCTCTTTATACTGCAGAGAAGTGGCGTGGGTCACACATGCGTGAGTGTATCTAGTGATCCTTCCCTTTAGACAGTCACTGACAACATGTCCAGTGGGTCTACTCCCCTGGAGAAAAAGATTGCTATCCGTCCCACTAGTGAGACTGTTATGTATGTTCCCTTTGCTTATCTTGGACTTCCAACCTCTTATCTAATATTTCCTCAGGTATCCATACTATGCTAAGTGGATTCGCTCTCACCGAGATCTCCCACTTTGCCTGAACCAATGGTCAGTATTTGAGAAAAAATTGAATCCGCTTTTTATCTGACAGGTTCTTGAAATAGGAACTCTGTCGTTCGATGGGAGTTCAAGAACCCCCAGCCATTTTTGCGTACTCGTGAATTCTTGTGGCAGGAAGGTCACACAGCTCATCTGACTGGTGTGTTACTCTAATTACTTTTCTTATCTGCTTCGCTAATACCCTTTCCACAGAGGGCGAGGCTCGCCAGGAAGTTCTGCAGATTCTCGACTGGTATGCCGCAGTCTACGAAGAATTGCTGGGTAAGTCGTCCTGGATCACCCAATAGAATTTTCACTAAATCAAATTAAGCCTGCCCCGTTGTTAAGGGCCAGAAGACCGAGAAGGAGAAGTTCGCTGGTGGCTCCTACACTACCACCGTTGAGGGTTACATTCCTGCCACTGGACGTGGTATTCAAGGTGCTACTTCTCACGGCTTGGGCCAGAACTTTAGTAAGATGTTCGGCATCACTGTTGAGGATCCTTCTGCCAAGGGTGATGAGAAGAAGCCCCCTCTTCACGTCTGGCAAAACTCCTGGGGTCTCTCCACCCGTTCGCTGGGTGTCATGTAGGTTTCTGCTCTGCTCAGCGATTCAGACAACCATCTCTAACATAGTCTAGGGTCATGACCCACTCTGATGATAAGGGTCTTGTTCTGCCTCCCCGTGTTGCAGAGACTCAGGTTATTGTTATTCCAGTCGGTCTCACCGCGAAGTATGTTCTAAACAAGGTTCTCGTTCATCTGGATATCTGCTGATCCCTGTCAATAGGGCTTCCGACGAGGAGCGCGCCAAAATAGACACTGCCGTCGACGAGATTATTGCCACCCTTGAGGGTGCTGGAGTTCGTGCTAAGAGCGATAAGCGTACTGGCTACTCTCCTGGATGGAAGTTCAACCAAGCTGAAGTAAGTTCTTTCTAACAGCTTGCATTCACCAAATGACTGACGGGTAATTTTTACAGCTTGGCGGTATCCCATTGCGACTTGAGGTTGGGCCCGGAGAACTGGCCGGTAACTTCGTTTCCACTGCCCGTCGTGACATCCTCGGAAAGGACGGCAAGGGCTCGATTCCCATTCCGGAGCTGGCTACTGCCGTTCCTGCCCTTCTGGAGACTATCCAGAAAGATCTTTACAACCGAGGTAAGTAAGGCCTTTCAATATCTTCTGGGATCGATAAACTGACAGAAACAAGCGAACGCCGAGTACACGGCCCACCGAAAGGTCATCACCGACTGGGAGGTTTGTGGACACCATTCTATTGGGTTTAGGTCCTTTCGCTAACAAGTATTTGTCAGTCTTTTGTTCCCCACCTTAACGCGAAGAACGTCATCGTCGCTCCATTCTGTCTCGTCGAGGAGTGTGAGGACCAGATCAAGGATATGAGCGCTCGCAAGGCTGAGGAGGAAACTGGCCAAGCCGAGGATGCCAAAGCTCCCAGCATGGGTGCTAAGTCTCTTTGCATTCCCTTCGAGCAGCCCTCGCAACTCGAGCAGGGAGCCAAGTGCATTAACCCCAAGTGGTAAGCTGCCCCACGTAATATTGAAAACCAAAGTTTTGACTAACGGCCTCAGCTCTCGCCCTGCTGAAAAATGGACCATGTTCGGCCGTGAGTATTGCCTTGCCCCTTTAAATCCTAAAATAGAAACTAACAAGTCGGACAGGCTCTTACTAAGCTGGTCATTTGTAAATTGCCAACTTCATACCGAAATAACATCTCTCCCTAACTCTGGGAAGCGCTACTAATAGGACCTGGACTTATCTGGTATCTTTACCAGGAGAGGATGAGAGAACTGAGCGGAGAAGAGAAAGCCTGGACATTGATTAAATCTCGAGCCATGACTTCAAAAATGGTTCCTTGCATGTGGAGCATGACAGGTCATTCTTGATCGGTCACCAAATTTTTGCGATTGTGTTACGTGCACTCGGAGTTGTGACAGGGTTAAATAGCTAGGGGGGCCATGGGGATGAGGCCATGAGAAGTATGAGTGATGTCTTTCCTACGATTAGTTTCCTGTTAGAAATGAAAATATCTATCTATATAAGCTCATCTGTTGTCTGCTAGGTCATGGGGCTGGCTGGATTTAGAGACAGAGAGATCGATTACCAGTACACCACAGGCGGCTCCCTTTTGTATATGGCCTAACTAGCGTGGCCTCAACTTGAAGTGCTTGAATTCGTCGTTCTCAGCTACCATCAATAGGATTATATACGAATTACAAGGCGGAATCAGGCTCCTGAAGGTCAATCGAGCATCCGCAGAAATGGATGTGCAAAATTATCCATGAGCTAGTACTTGGGTCCGACGAAAGTTCTGGAAATACTTTCCTCCACTTGGGCAATATATGATACACGAAAGAAATGTATGAAATAGCAAACACCTCCCAAGATATGCAAACCCAGAAAAGTTATTAATAACAACAAAATCGAACAAGAGGGCTGTAAATTTTAAGGCCACCTGACCGGGAGTTATAGACAGAAAAAGGAGATAGCGGAGCGCAATGTTAAGAGTTGGGTGGATGTGATGGTTTCGTTTTGAGACAATAGAGGACGGCTGGGCAGGGAAGGTGATATACTGTGAGACCACACATGTTGGTAATGCCAGAATCGCTGTGATAGAATATATACTGAAAATAAGCAGGGTGCTTTTTGAGAAGAGGCGTCATGAACTTCGTGATGCTTGGAGCAGGAAACGAATGAAGTAGTGTGTTCACACCATGTGGATGAGATTAATATGTCTCGACGGACCGTGTCCCGCGAAGCTGCATTCTGGCACGTGCAATAGGGCCAAGTCTCTGCGGAGGATGGTTTCCAGATCGTTCACGCTGGGGCCAATTCATGAGCTTTTGAGCCTCGGTGGGAGTAGATGCTTCAACCATGTAGTGGACGTTGTTTAGGTCAACGCCCTCGATTTGCACACGGGGAGGCGTAACACCCACGCTGGGAAGATGGATGATGTCGTCGTCGCTCTCATCAATTGACAGGCTACTCTTGCTGTCTTTTGAAGGCGTCGAGTGTGCTTGCATTGAATACACCGTCCCCGACACTCGTCGACTTGGTACAGCAGCCTCTGCCTTCGTAGTCCGAGAAGGTAGAACGGAATTACTAGCTGACTCCGAATTACCTCGCTGACGAGAGTTTGTAGTCTTGTTTGTGCTGCTAGCACGAGCAAGAACGTCCATATAGGTGAGTGGCTGGCCTTTGTTCGGTTTACTTGCCGCTGGAAGTGGTGTCTGAGAATCGGCTACTAGGCTTGGCGACGGAGCAGGGGCATCTGTATGCCGGCGGTGTCTAGGAGATGATGCAACCCGGCGGATGATTTTGTCGTAACTCTTGGATGGCACAATACTGGATATACTGCGACCAGATTCAGAGTTGCGCTTCGGCCTTTTGAAGGAGCCCTTGGTTCTGATCTTGGTCGTCTGCTTAGCAGATGCATTCCGGTCCAATTTTTCCTTTTCAGTCTCATCGAAAGTCGTGGTATGTGACGGCGTGAAAAGAGGCCCTTTAGTAGCAGAGATAGGCACATGCTGGAAAGCCTCATGCGAGTTGATTTCACGAACGATTGCATCCTGCAGAGTCTCATAGGTTGGATGAGGACTCATGGACTGAGTAGACATGTAAGCTTTGGTGAATAGTTCCATCATTTCTGAGGCTTTGAATCGGGGTGAAGGTGTTGGGTCTGTTGGAGTTGGGGCAGGCAATGGGCTGTTCAACACCTCTGCTATGCTTGGGGCCCGTTTTAGGTCGACGGTGGAAGGAGTGGGAGGTTGGATAGCCTTATGCGTCATCTTTGGCCGGCCTGTAGCGGCCAGTTGAGTATTGATCGATAGATCTCTCACATTTTTTCTTGAAACCGAGCCCGACGAAGCAGACGGAGATCGAGGTTTAGAGTTCAAAGAAGACTTTCGAGCCGTGAGAGGAACAGGTGACTGAGCAACTGGAGATCCACTACCATTGACATGAACTGGCAGGGTAGGGCTATCTGGTAACGGAGTCCTGCTCCATGAGCTGCCTTGCCTGTGTTCTGATGGAACACCCAAGCGCAGCGACGACGAACCAGGCGATTTATTGGCTTTGACTGTAGACAGGGTGGGTTCCGACCGCTGTGCCCGGACCGGGCCCCTCTTTTGCGGTACCCAAGATCCCCTTGCAGCTTCAGATCGATTTCGGAGGTCACTCTCCGAAGTCCAATTAGGCTTGCTGGGATGCTTCCGTGAGTCTCTACTCAAATTGCGCACTCTGCCAGGTGCAGCCGGCGACGAACGGAGGCTCAAAGATGACATTGAACGTTTCGAGTTTTGTGCAATGTTACGGTCTGCAACATCCTCTTGGTAGAAATTCGGTAATATTCCCGCGCTCTTGGTCCCAGCTCGATATTGAAGCCGCAGGAACCGAGTCATGTTTCTTTCCGCAACGTCTTCATTATAGGGGCTTGTAGGTGGGGGTTGGAGCTGATGGCTAGGCTCTGGGGACCGATCAGGTGCAAGAATCGCCTCCATGAGATCGATATGTCGCAGCTTAGGGCGGCTGGGAAGTTGGGGAAGTTCTTTCTCCATGGGCAGGTATGATTGGGATGTCTGGGGTCGAGCAGCCAAATGCTCATGTAGATCTTCGAATTGTCTTTCGATGTCCTCGAAGTGATGGGAGGCATCTAAAGCCCGTGAGATCCTGCGACTAGCCGAGGGGGTTGCTGGAGAGGGCGGGCCGGGGGATAAATGGCCTCCATAGCTGTCACGAGTATACAACTCCCTCATACTGGATTCCTGCTCCACTGTCGACCCAGGGCGTGTGGTAGGCCTCGACGAGCCGCGATCTTGAAACAGTTTCCTTAAATAAACCATTGCGAATCATGGATTAGACGGTCTCTGTGCGGCCCGTTAAATGTCAGTGGTTTCAAATCCAACGGCACAAAACGTGCTCTGAGCACAAGTGACGTAGGGGCAAAATTTCCAAAACCCTTGATAGCGCAAAAGCTAGACCAATGGGCCATTAGAGAGTCGCGTTCGAGGCCCATAGAATCATGGCATTATCTTGAATGGCATAAATGGAGCAATCGCCTCGAGGATCTCATCTTGGAGAGATAGAGAGGGAGAAAAAGTTCGACAGGTCCGGAGAACGGAGAATAGCCTCCAAGATGGAACATGACTAGAGGAGATTGACCTTGTCAAGTTCCACCATGTCGATCCCTCCCCATTTAGAGATGTGCCTGGATCCAGGGGGAAGTGGCCCAGTCTTTCTCCATGATCCGGTGCCGCGGGTCCAGAACGGGGCCAGTCCGCAGGTGCGAACACTAGAAAGTTAACACGGGCACAACTACGGAGTACCAAGACAAGCCCGACGCTCAAAAAAGGGCTGGTGGCTGGAATCCTTGAGAGTTCCTGCGAATTCCGGTGCATCGTTGCCCTTCCAACTGGATGTGCCTATATACATCCAATGTCGCTCGTTCACGCATCCACAATGGGCCCAGATGTTGACAGCCGGTACGACTGGACCAGCCCCTGCAACTAGCAGAGCCCGTAGCAGAGCCCGCCCAGAGATATGGCTCTGGCTTCAGCCATAGGCCAACAAAGCTTGAGAGTACCTTTGGGTATGGAACAGTCCCCACTGTGACAGGAACGCATACTGTAATTAGTACGATAATCAGCCACGGGTAAGGAAAGGCTAGCGCTCGTCCGCCACAGGCACCTAAAATCCTCGTTTCAGGCGGAAACGGCCTGGGGAATTCAATGCCGACCCAGCAGAGCTACACTGGCAAGGCTAGGAAAGTTAATAGAGCTCGAGGGAATGCAGAAGGTGGGGACGAGAAAAGAAATTGGCGGGCGATGGGGAACCTAATTTCCGCACGGATCGCGATTGGTGTGATGAGGAGATCGACAGGCTGTGAAGTGGGACTCGTTCTTAGGGGCACGAGCCTGTGGACCGAGTGCCATTTTTGGAGACCTTTCTTGGAGAATCGCGCCATTCCGATTGCTCGAGATCCAGCATGCAAGAGCCACTAAAAGCCACCGACTGGAGCGGACCGTAAGCTTGGACAGAACAAAGGAATCACACATGAAAGAGGGGAGGTGGAGGAGGTGAAAAAGGCCAAAAATCGAGCTGTGGGGTGAGGAAAAGCAGCGAATCGTCATTACCGAAGGTGCCCTGGTGGCCATCGAATTGTATTGTTGATGCAGCACTGAAACGGCGGCAGTTCAGGTCCGCTCTGAACCGTGGAACCCAGCTTAGCTCTAGGTTATTCTAGGTTATTACCAGGTGCTATGGGTGTTATTTTCAGGGATTCCCGTCCTTTGGCAGGTTCCAGGCCAACCCACTATCTAACGATCAAGAATAAAGTCGGTATTACATTACTTGAGACAGAGTGGTTGGTTCTTTGAGTCAGAATTACCCCGGGGAACAGCTCCCGTATCTCCCGTTCCCAACAGAATCACTGATATTGGCCAACGATTATGGAGCTTGTTCAAGCTCCACATCCCCCCCTAAATCGCCTTTCTAGGCGATCGATCGATACCCGATTACGATAGGATGGCTTTATGATACGATCGTCATGTACTTGTATGGAGAATGTTCCCCTTAGGGAATAAGGTGCGGAAGCACAGTGCACTGTACATCACACCGATGATCTCCTTGAGAAATTCGAGGCACTGTGCCTTAACCTAATCACGTCGGGACGGGTCCTAGAGCGAAGCTAAACAGGGACAGAGTACTCCGTGCTCCGTAGTATGTTCCCTAATGAACTTCGCATGCTGTTTGATTGGATCTTCGTATGCACACGGGCTATTCTAATGCTCCTCCTTAGAGGGGAGTAGCGTGCAGATCAACATTGATGTTGACTTGAGCTGGGATTTATGCAAAAAGCCTCTCAATACCGACCGCATTACTGTACATAAAAGAATGGACATGTTGCCCCTGAATCGCGGAACACCTCAAGTTGTCTCTACCGTCACATTTCTACAGGCATAGCATACGTCGTGAATAAACATGAAGTACATATGCAAAGTACCAGTGTTCACGCCTAATATACGCATGCAGGGCCTGTCAGCCTGCATGTGATGGATCAAGCGTTCCTCCTGTCCTTCAGGGACTGAGGGTTGTCGAAGTCTCGAACCGGTTCTCCAGCCGTGCTTTCCCCGCCTCCTGTTTCACATTGCGCGTGCTGGAGGATTGAACTTTATCTGGTATCTTGTCCGAATCTAGCTGTAATTGAGCACGTTCTTCGCCCATGCACGTCCCCCAAGCCAACAAGCCCGGATAGTTATGCGCCATCGGAGATTGACAAAACCAGGGGCTCACGTGTGCAGAGTGGCTCTGCGGCCTCGGCTGATAGTTTATCCGGATCAAGTTGGCGTGTTACTATAGCCGCACGTGATTTGGATAGCCCTGGCTGTTGGTGATTAATTTGGCCACTCCGAACTATAGGAGATCTATGCGACCAGCGACAGAACATTATCTTACTGTAGAGAATCAAATTGAAATGGAAAAGCTAGTGTATCTTGTTCCAAGTAGCTAGGACTTCGGTACGTTCATCACATGGTGATGGCGATGGAATGTAGGAACATGGTCCCCGTAAAGTTGAAAAGGAAGATCAATAGGAAGAGCAAGAGCGAGAGTAATAGAAGTGGCAAGGGCAAGGAAAGCTGCAAGAGCAATCAAAATTCGAAGATAAAGCCAAGGCATGATCGAAAGAGAACAAGCAAGGCAGAAGTAAAGCCCAGCCAGAGAGGACTAGACAATCATTTCAAAATTCGCCCCAGAGTCATCATCCTCTTCCTTGACAGTAGCAGTCATAGTGAGGTTGTCTTCTTGGGAGTCCCTGGGGAAATCTCCTTCAAGTCACTGTCGGTGGAATTTTCGTTGTAATGTTCGTCGTTGTGCTCATCGTGGACGTCAGGATCTGTTGTAGTGGAAAGAGACTTTTGGCACGCGATGTTGATCTTGGCCGTAACAGGCTCATTGTCGCCATTGTCGTCTCCAGTGGCACCATCCGAGTCGGACTCTTTTTCAGGAGGCGCAAAAGACTTCATGAAGTCGCGGACACGGTAGAAGCGGTATTGGGCGGCCGTAGCAGTGATTCCGTAGGCCTCGCCAACTGCTTTCCAGTCGACCTGCAAAATGAATATTGTTAGAACTATTGACGATCTAGGCCTTTTGTGGGGTCTCTGTTTTCCCCCAGAGGCTGTGAGTGTCACTTACGGGGCCTTTCTTGTTCTTGAAACAAAGCCATAGTAGCGTGAGTTTCCCTTCAAGGAACGCTGTCCGCGGGTTTGATTTAGCAACGCGGGGGCCCGAAGCCTTGTGCGAGGAGGCCTTCTTTCCAGGTGCCATATTCGTAAGTTTGGTGAGCCGCAGTAAGTAGGAAGTGAGGGCGATGAGAGAGGAATAACCGAACTGAAGAGAGGCGTGATATGGAAGGCGGCGGCGGAAACGATTGTGAGTTGCTCGCAAGGTGAGAGAAGCGAGTCTGAGGTCTGAAAGCCTGGTGAGTCAGGCGGAAGTTGGGTCTGGTCGATGCAGACCGGGAAAGAAGAACCTAGAGCTGGGTCAAAGGTCGATGAGAGGCACAATCCAACAATCGATGGAGGCAATTGGAAAGTAACCCCCCAAGAACTTGAGCCGCGTCTTTCCTCACTACATACCCGCGACCATTTGATTATGCTCCCCCGGCAAGTCCTCACGAACCGAGGCTTCCTCCACGTCAGGCAGCGGCGCTTCGGCCACCGCTAACTCCTAACGGGAGGGCTAATGCTTGCCGACCATCTCCTGTCCGAGATGGTTCTCGATGCCATGCCACTGATACAACAAAGTGTTGTATGGGAAGCCCGTTTTTCTAGACACGAGCTTAAGGTCAGGCATCTGTATCTTCAGTTAGTTAAATGTCCATGGCCAAACACGCTTCGTTTCTGGGAGCTGGAAGCTAGTTACGTACGGTCATCTCAGGGTTGCGGCTCTTCATGGACGCAAGGACGCAGTTCCAGAGGAGCTCGACATTCTGCTGGGAAACCAGCTCGGCCTTCGAGTAGCTGACTACCCTTGTCCCTCCAACGGCGCCTTGGGCTGCTCCCAATGTTCCACCAGCGGCCGACTTGGGAATCAGATCGTGGCCGAGGTGATTTTCCACGCCGTGCCACTGGTACAACAAGGTGTTGTAGGGAATCTGGGTTAGCTCCGACACCAACCGCAGGAATGGCAGCTGAAAGTCAAGTTAGTTGAACGTTGCTAACCAAGGATCCTTCATCTCGGGGCACCCAATGACTACTTACGGCCACCGGAGGATCAGCGCTCTGCATGGCCACAAGTAGGATGTTCCAGAGGAGCACGATGTTTTGCTGGGACACCAGCTTGGCCTTGGAGTAGCTGACTACCCCCGTCTTCTTCCCCTTGCGGGCCACAGCGGAACCCGACTTCTTGTTGGCCTTGCCCTTGGCCCCGGCCTTGGTGATTTTGCCCTTGGCCCGGGACTTTTTGGCTTGTCCCTTAGCCGGGGCCTTGGACTTGGCAAAGCCTTTGCGAGCCATCTCTATAGCAGAGTTAGCTCGAGGACTGGGGGGGATGGAGAGATGTGGGGATGGGGGGCGGGGGAGGATGGTAGCATCAATATTATACACGTACCTCCAAGTTCTTTGGTTGTTGTTGTTGTGATAATGGTGGTGGTGATGGTGGTGGTGGTGGTTCTGCACAGGTTGTGCAGGAGCTTGTACTCGGTCTGGTTGTGTCAAGATGCGAGTGGTGAGAGGGAGAAGAAAGAAAGAAAGAGGATGGAGGAGAACTGAGGATATTTATGTTTACAGTCGAGGGCCCCTCGTTCGACTTTCTGGGGGCCCCGTTTTTATTCACTGCCACCGATAGACTATCAATGGTATAACGGTCCCTTGGTGCGTACCATCTCTAAAATATGGAAATACAATACTTCAGTCTTCATCTACATGTCATAAGGAAGCTATTGGTATACATATCATATGTATGAATAAAAAGAATGACGCGTGTGGGTTAGGTAAGAGTTGGGAAACGAAGTCTTTAGTATGGTATGCATTAAAACTTCGTGCCCTAAAAATCACTCCGAAAAATCATCATATTGTGAAATACTTCAAGATGCTATCATTCCTTTCGCGTGCAATCTGTGAAACATAAAATTTCGAGACTCCAGCTTCAAGTCCATAGAATTAGCAAGCTAATGATATACATATTATATGTAAATTCAAAAATATTGCGCGAGCAGGTGTTGTTCACATTAGAACGAAGAATCTACTAGGGCATGCATCAAACTTTCGTGCCTTAAAAATCACCATCGTGTGAAAGCCTTCAAGACGCTATCAACCCCTTTCGCGTGTAACCTATTAAAACATGCAAATTTAGGATTTCAGTTTCATCTCCGCAGAATTAGCAAGCTATCCATATTAATATTACGTATTAATTAAATAAAAATTACGCGGTCAGGCGATGTTCAGGACAGAACGAAGGCTGTAGTATAATACGCATCAAAATTTCGTGCCCTAAAATTCACCGCACTGTGACAGACTCCACGACGCTATCACCCGCTCTCGCGTGCAATGATGGAATATGGGAGTTTTAAAGAATCCAGATTCATGTCCATAGAGTTAGCAAGCTAATGATATACATATTATATGTGAATTGAGAAACATCGCGCGAGCACGTGATGTTGATGATGGAACGAAGGATATACTAGGGCACGCATCAGATTTTCGTGCCCTAAAAATCTCCATCTTGTGAAAGACTTCAAGATGGCACCACCCGCTTGCGCGCAATACCCCTGGAATATAGAACCTCAGAGTGGCATCTTTCTATCCATAAACTTAGCAAGTTATCTGTATCGATATTATATCCAAATTTGATAAGGCCGCGCGAGTTGGTAAAGTCTAAATGGAACGAAGGCTCCATCAAGGCATGCACCAAAATTTTGTTCCCTTCCCAATAAGCTTTATTTTCCGTCAAACGTATTATGTGCATCGAGCGGTAGTTAGTGTTACCTTGCATCTACACTTTAATTTATGAACTCTAGCCATCCCCCGATGCCTACCATGATCTACTAGTAGGTACTCTAGAGGTACTCGTTACTAACACTATTGACCGCCGCGATATAGACCACCCGTGAGCAATTTGGTATCATATTCGAGTCATACATAACACAGATAGAATAATACTAGTAGCCACAAAGAGCCAGACTCTAATTACTAGTCCTTGTTGATTGGGAAGTTACAATGGCTTTTACATGAAGAAATCGTATGAACTTGAAGATAAATTCCGTAAAGGTGATCCTAAAGGTCAAAGCATAAAAAGTTCCCGAATCATAAAGTTCCCGGATCCGCAGTTAGGCTATGGCTGAGAGCAGAACCATGGTGCAGATCAGCGATGAATCGAGCGAAGCAAAAGGCAAAACTAAAGAGCAAACCCCCGAGGGTAATTTTCTTTCCCGCGTCTCACCCATCCAGGGCAACATCGAATCCGCAAGGCACAACCCGCGTGGAATCTTTTGAGAGGCGCTTAGTATTCATAATCATCCTCCTCGTCGTCTTCATCGGAATCATAATAATCGTCATCCTTGACGGAGCTTCCTTCCTGATGCTCGCCAGTAAGATCAACGGACTCCTTCTCCGCGGTAGCCCCCGTCGTGGTTCGGACAGGGCCACTCTGGGAGGATCGGGTGGTTCGCTGAGTGGCAGAGCTGCTGGGACCACCAGATCCTGCAGCACCTGCGTTGTTGTTGCCATCGAGGCTTTTGAAGTAGTTGCGCAGTGTGTAGAACCGCTGGTGCGCCGCGTGGCGGGAAATGCCCAGGCGATCGGCAATTGTCTGGTAGTCCGGTTTCTGAAAGATTGTTAGAATCAGAATATCTACGTGTTCCATTGGTGGCTTCACATACATGCTCGCTTGTCTCGTAGCACAGCCAGAGGAGAAGGAAATTGTCGTGGGTCATGATGTTCGAAAGACGGGCACGAGAAGACCCCGCGTTCGAAGAGCCCGCGTTCGGAGAGCCCCCGGTCTTCTGGACCCGCGAGGGATTGGTGTTCTTCTTGGGAGGCATGACGCTATTCTGTTGGAGCACCAGTGTTAGAAAGATTGAGCATTGAGCCAGCATAACAATAGTGATCGAAAACGTACCGATAAGATTGGAATGCTAAGGAAATTTGTGGGGAAAGAAAGAAGGAAGAGTTTGAGAATGGAAAAGGGAGAAGGTTGGAGAAGGTGAGCGAGTAGGAGAGGTACCACCCAGTTCTAGATATGGGAAGTTGACACCGCCTAAGGTGGTAATGTTTTCAAGCATATAGCTGGGATGGCATTCGACTAGTAGCTCGACACGTGAATTCTGGGTCACCTCTGATTTTGGGAGCTCCATGTATTCGCACTTATATGACCAATAGCTATTAGCCCATGTACGGGCTTTGGTTGGGTATAAATCACTATGTACAGAGTTGCTTGTCAAGGACGTCTGCTTGAAGCTAAAGTGGATCCCTTGAGTCTAATGGCTATGGTAATGGATCATCTTATCAATGCTACACATCCTACACTTGATGGATGGTACGAAAATTTTTGGTAGTCTCAATTGAATGTATCAGATTTGAAAAGCTTGATTCCTGACGGGAAATTCGAATTGCAAAAGCATGTTCACCTGCTGAAGAAATAATACCGCGCGTCATAAATTGTTCCTTATTTGTGGTTATGCATGGTCGTATGCTCGGGGATGCTTGTATTATCAGGATGTTTACTGCTCGCCGTCGTCACCGGTGGGAAGGTCAGTTTCCTCAAAATCCTGCTCCTGGGGGGTAATAGGCCGGATCTTTCTGATCATGGCTGGCGTCTGGAATCGCTTCCTCAATAGAGCCAGACTCCGAGACAGGCTCACTCTTGATTGCCGGGTCTTTGTTAGCCGTGTCATTGTCGGAGTCATGAGTCTCATGTTCGTGAGTGGGGGCGGATTCCTGGCTAGCCGCAGAACCCTGGGTAGAGGCAGCCACAATGCGCATGACACGCTTGCGGATGGTGTTGTAACGGCCGCTAGCAGACATGTAGGTCATGTTCAGCTGGTTTCCGATTTCGCGGTAGTTGGGCTGGGTTTGATTTCAGCATACCTTCGACACCCGTCGAAGACGAATGTTGGGAAGACTTACGTTCTGTATATCAGAGTACTGAATGCAGGCAAATAAGAACATGATGTCCTTATCATTTTGGTCCTTGACGGAAGCAAAGGAAGTTAGGGGGATTGGCTGATCCTTCAGGCTCATGATCTTCTTGCGCTGCTTAGTTGCAGGCTCCTCGGAGGCGGAGGCTTCGCCCGCGCCTCGCTTACGAGGCTCCTTAGCAGAAGAGCCTGAGGGCGAAGCTCCTGTCGATTATTCCTTAGCCTTGGTTGCCATTTGGCGGAGCCGATTGATGAAGGTGCTCGTCAGTCTTACCAGGGGTATCAGTGGCCTTCTTTGCTTTCTTCGATGGAGGCATGGCTGATGTTTCGACTAGTCAAAAGGGATGGTTAGGCAGAAACGAGGTTGAATTTGTTAATGGAGTGGGCGGACCTTGATGGGAATTGTCAAATATCGAAGTTGGGGAGGATTGAAGAGGAAAAAAACCTTAATGTGTCGAAGGCTGGGAGATAAGAAAACTGAGGAATAATAACGGGGATGAAGCCGGAAAGAGCCCTGAACAGGCCAATGAAAGGATCGAAGTACTACAGGAGTCGTTTCTGGCGAGGAAACCTCATCTGACGTGAATTCATGATATAGTTACAAAAGGGCATGCGCCTCTGTCGACCCTACTAATCATAGTCTCATCCTGATAGGCTAGTGTTCATAAGAGCTTTTAGGCCTTCAACGCTTGCAATCGTGTGCCTTCGTGGGATTTAGCGATGATTTTGCATTTAGAAAACCCATTGTACAGAAGGTGCTACAGCTCTAGTGAGAGAAAAGAATCGAGGCAAGACAGCTTGATCACACCCACCTTGTTCCATTAATCGAGCGTAAATATATATGACAATCACGAATAAATTAAAGTTTAAATAGCGGCCTTTGCTTGTAGTCGAGCTGCAATCATGGGAGTCTGGAGTGGGAGATCGTCAAGTGGTTGTATTTGGACGCTTCAAGTTTGATATTGGCGGTGGTAGCAACGAATTGTCACGAATTGGTCTATACCACCTCCCTCTCTGCGTAGGAATCTTCCTAAGCAAAGTGGTTTGTAGATTTATATGATAGAAACGGGTAAGCTGATGTGATTGAGAAGGATATATGGAGAAATAGCATGAGCTTTTCTACTTGAAATTCCGCATCCTAGTAATATTAGTTACTAGTATTCAAGCCGTAGAACTCATCATTTGTTCTGCCTTTTTGAGCTGCCAAAGATTGCGATCCTTCGAGGACCATAGCTCCCTTGCACGTACAAACCACATATATGAGAAGCTGCTTTGTTAGAAATGCAGCATAAAGAACAGCAAATTCGAGATATATCTAAGAATTGGGCTACAAAGAGGCTACATCACTGAAATTTCCAGTCAATGTCCGTAGACTTATCGGTATCGAACGTCAGCTAGCTGGCTCTCACAGCCATTTCTGCATAGCAAAAACAAAAAAAAAAGAAAAAATGCAATAACTAGGGACATTGTTCAAGCAAAAAAAGAGAGAGCTGAGTATTCCCTTAAGTCTTCGGGGCTTTGATGCAAGCATTCGACTCACTCCGCCATGATCCTAGACAATCTCAGAGACGGGCTTGTACTGCTGAAGTAATTCATCAGCAACGTCCACGAGATCTCCAGTGGAGGCACATACATCCGCGTCTTCGTTTTCGTTGCCATCCTCGGAGTCCTTATACTCCAAAAGATTCTCATCTCCGAGGTCCGCGGCATCTCCAGATTCTGTGGCATCTTCATAATCTGCGGCGTTCTCCACCTCAGGCTCACCGGCATCTTCAGTGCTCGTCTTATCGGCTTCAGCCGAGGTAAGATTTGGGAATGTAATGGAGTTGTCAAGCTCCGCCTTCTCGATGCGATCCTTCAGGCGAGCAAATCGCTTCTGTGCAGCAGGGCGTGAACAGCCGAGCTTGCGGCCCACTTCGCCATAGTCAGGCTAATAAAAAGTGGTTAGGGATGCATCAAGGAGCATTAAAAACCTGGAAAGCACTTACAGCACCTCCAGCAGACTGGACGACATAATAGAGAAGCATCAAATCTTTGTCGGGGCCAGCGGACCCTGCGCCAGAAGACTTCGACTTGGACTTTGTCGCAGTCTTTGAAATACTACCCTTGGCTTTGCGAGGGGCAGCGGCAGCTTTGCTAGTAGGCTGGTTACTGCCGGGGACGGACTTGAGTTTGGCCATAATGACTGGTATGAAAATGGCGTTCGCTTCTGTATGCACGATTCTGCGTTAGACGAAAAAAAAAAATGAAATTATTCTTTGTTACCTTTCTGTGTAAAGCGTCAAGAATGCTTTAGTGATGGGTATGATGCAATTGAAAGTTTAGTAGAAGGTGATGGATGAAAGAAGGAAGAAGACGAAAGCATGAGAACTCCTAAAGAGGAAACGTAGGACTTGATTGGAAATATCTCTTATATGAAGTAAACCATTTCTGAGCCTTAGATGAAGTATGAGAAAAGTGGAAACGGCAGCATAATGAAAAGATGAGTACCACCTAAGGGCGTTGCCACTCACTCAAACGGGCTCCCAAGGGCGAGCACTCTGCAGTCTACAGCCTAGGAAAGAACTACCATGAATATAGTCATACAGTACTATGTCATTCCTTCATTAAATAGTTTATCTTTTTCAGTTTTCATGCATGCGCTACTGCATTCAAAATGGACTCCTTGACAGCCTCTGACAAAACTGAATAAGAGCCTCGAGCGGCATCAACAGCTCCATCTATCAGAGCATCATGACCTTGCCTAGAGTCACCGTCATCAAGGACAGCTTTAGAACTATCGCCTTTAAGCCAAAGTTCTGTAATCTCATCCCGGGCTGGCATATAAGCCACTACACAGGCAGATAGGATAGAGGCATGCTCAGCAGGGTCTGTGTCTAGCATGAGTCTCCCAGAACCAGAATGTGATGCTCCAACATCCTCTGTAATAGCAGCGACACCGCCAGCCACAAGATCTAGACAGTCGATACGCGCATCAGCAATTGCGGCTGACGCTGCAGTGATACACCCCGCAAGGACATTCATTATACCCCACGAAGCATCGTGGGAGTCAGGCGGTTCACCCCACCAGCGGTCGTCTTCAGCTTCCAAGATTGTGATGGTAATATCAAGGCCGGACTTGGGCCAGCGCTCTGCAATGATAGCGCCGCGCAGGGCTGTCTCTAGATGTACTCCGAGATCCCGCTCGCTAGAATCGCGGACATGGCCTTTCCTTCGGCGCGCCGCAAAGGGGGCATATTTGACATGTGTTGTAAGGACCAAGTTCGGAGAGTATGCCGCAGATCGAGGCAACGGTTTCGGACCATGGACAGTGCAAGTAAGCTTCAGTGCTGAGGATGGAGGGATCATTGATTTGGGGTTGGAGCGGTTGGCAGCAAGAGAGGCAGATGGTTCGAATTCGAGGTATGCAGATCCTGAGGCGGAAGGAATCAGGCCAGTCTTGAGAACTGTATCAATTGGTTAGCGGGGTCTTTGATTTCTTTTTTAGCGAAGCTCTTACAGATTTTCCGCAGCTCGGCAGGTTGGCGCTGACGTCGCGGGCGGTCGCTGGGATTTGATGATTGAAGACCTGACTGAAACACCGGTGGTCGCGTGCCCCCAGGGGGACCGTTGACACGTCGCCTATCGTTCATCGTGTCTTGCGCAGAAGAATAGAAACGGTATAAGAAAAGTATGGCGTTGAGAGCCCAAAAGCCCAGAAGCGGAAACCTTGTTTGCAGTGTTTGGCGCGGGCCCACCGTCGAGCTTTTTCTTTTGTCCCGCCTCGATTCCCTTTTTCTTCTTCCTTTTCTTCCCCGAGCTCCTTCAGTTCTGCCCTTTTAATGCCAAAGGCGCATGTCGCGAAGCTCAGAATCTTGTATTCTCGCTTGAACTAATACTATGGTAAGTCTGCTCTGCTGCCACTGTCTTCCCCCGTCTTTATGAGGAAAAGTTTTCCAAAACTTCTGTTCGACGACAAATCAATGGGTCATGAACAACATGCACTACCATCTGAACGACAAGACAATATTCTCTATTTTATCGAGATTAGCAGCTTTGATCATAGGGCTGACCTAGTACGAAGACAGGGTTGCAGAATGGCTCACTGCCAATACTACGTTGGGACTTTCTAACAGGTATGGTGAACCTTTTCTCTTTTTATTTTTTTTTCCCCCATTTCACCTCCACCTTACTATGATGAGAAACCTTTTTTTTCAGTTCTGCTTCTGCAAATTCCTTGAAGAAAACAAAATACCTTACCAAAATCTCCTGATCGTGCTTCATCACTTCACTACTCGCCATTGTCGCTGTCAATGACGCTCGCTGACAATTCCAAGTTTAGGTCGTTCTCCTTGTTCCTTCGAGTCCACTGTAAGCCCTGAAGGTACGACTGAGCAATTCCCTCCATGCCCACCCCCCTTTATGATGACAACTAGTCAATCCATTCAACGATCCTTCGGGAATCTCCCCTCGAGTACGTATCCTCACTGGCATTTTGTGCAAAACAGTTGTCGATCCATGCTCCGGATCCCTATACTGGACCTCTCGTGACCCTCTGGGATATGAGAGGGAGGAAGGTTGTGGACACCCTGGTCATGGGCTCCGTCGACAGCTGGTGCAACTGGCTGGTTTGGCTACTATGCTTGGCTTGTGTTAGCGCTCCCGGGCTGGCCTGTTCGTCCGTCTTGGGCGGCAGGCTTAGTCCGGAGGCTAGCAGGGGATGGGATGAGTTAACCGGCTTAGCTGATTGTCCTTGCTATTTTCTTGCAAGCGACAGGCGTGCTTTGTCTTTTACCACGGAATTTTGTGATTACTGTATGCTGACTTGACGTCCAGGCTTTTGCCGCTACCTTGAGAAATTTCGTAGACGGAAATTTCGTAGACTAGACTTTCACACAATGCAACAATCTGAAATACGGAAAATCGTTCCCTATTGATTGTAGAGAGAGAGTAGAAACACAATCAAGAAGTAAAGGCTAGAAAAAGACCTCGGGCCCTCGCTCTCGGCAGATCCTTGTCTAGGCCGATATTGATCCCTGGAAATTTTGTCTGTGTTGCCTCCCACCACCGAAAACAACCTGGCAATCACTCCAAAAGGCAACTATTGGCCACTGTGGGATATCTCGATTCGTTATTTACATTTTTCGTACTTGATTTCTTCAAATCAAGGGCATTGCAAGAGGCCTAGTAGGCCTAGGACCGATTCTCTTCCGAAAACACCAAATCCAGTTCTAGATGTCGCCTTATTCAGTCTTATCACGACTGTTTGGGATGATAACACGCGGTCATAATGAAACTTAGAGAAGCACTTGAAAAGAATTATTCTTCCTTGCCACCGTCGACAGGCGTTGTGGTGCCGCTCGAGCGCGACATGCTGTAAGGCGCCTTTTTCCGGAATCAACAAGGGTTCTAGGGGAGAAAAGAAGATCAAGGGGAATACGTACAAGAACTCTCTTCGCATTACAAATTCTCCATGCCAAATTCCGAACATTGCCATCGGATTTGACGACTTCTGGGGCCAATTCCACACCAAACCTGCGCATAAGGGTAAGTAAATCGGCCATGTAAAAGATGCGGCAAGGCAAACAACTTACATTTGATGGACAGCAAACACGACTCGTTTTGCAAATTTGCCCTGGCGCTCCACAAGACCGCCAAACTGCTCATCGACGGTTTCAGGCGCAATCTCGGGGTCGCGGTCAAAACAGTTCTGGACAACTGGCAAAAGAGCCTTCTCCACGGCAACCTGCATGCCTTCAAACTCGGGGCTTTCGACCTCGTCGAAGTGATGGATGCGGATCTCGAAGGGCCGAGAGATGGCCATGACGTTATGCGAAGCATTGTGGTGGTAACGCAGCTCGAATGTACCCTCGGTCCAGAAGAGCTGGTCGCCAGTGAATACGACCTCGCCCGAGGCAATCTCGTGGCTTGAGCGGTTCTGCTCGCGGGAGGACTTGACCACCACGTCACTGGAGATGATACCTTTCTCGCATGTCAAGTTGTCATAGGCTGCACGGTTGGTTGCGAGCCAGCGCCCCTGCGACGAGACACGGGTGACTTCACGGGACGTGTTATCGGTAACACGATAAAGGCCGATCCAATCCTTCTTGCTATGGTTGAGGGGAGCAGTCCACTTGACGTTGATGGGAGAGCCGTATTCGAAGGTCAAGTTCTTGAGGTCACCGCGGCGATCGAGCGGCAATTGTGCATTGGCACCTTCACGGCCTTTGCCTTGCTCGGTTTCCTGAACCGGCTTGGTCTCGGTACCTTCAACGGTCAATGAGTAATCATGGAGGTCGTACCCGGCCACGTCGGCATCAATGCGAGAGATGGTGATTCGGGCTGGGTATTTCTGGAATAGAGCTGTGGTATCCTTGACAAACGTATTGACTCCGGCAGCTAGCTTCGGGCGGGCGTTATCGAGAAGATCTTCGATGAAGTCGAAGGACTCGTCAAACATTCTGTCCATGCTTCCGTGTAGCTGCTTGAGAGAGGACGGGAGGGACTTCTTAAGGTTTTTGACGACGCCGCCATCCTGGCGCAAGCTGCGACCGTACAGCTTTTGCATGTGAGGGCGCTCCACGAATTGGATCGAAGCCAGAGTCAAGATGTGGCTGAGAACAGCCAGGAAGGTAATTGCACCACTGCTTGTGATAATAGCCGCACCCCACACGCCAGCTAGACCCAATACACGCTCTGGATTGTTGAGGAAACGATAGATTCCATTGTAGGTTAGCTTTGGAGATTCATCGAAGAAGAAATCTCCATAAAACCAGCCGAACTCGCCAAGAGAATCATAGACACTGATTGAGGTCCAGATCTGCAGAATGATCAAGCCTGCGCCCAGGACGTGTCGGAACAGTACAAGACCGTAGTTCCAATCGGCCGGGATGGTGTACAGCTTCCATACTGCCGCGATGAAGCTGGCATAGCACATGACCATACTCAGGTGGTAATTCCCTTTCCACTGGTTCCACGCCTCTTGGGGGGTCTCGCCATACTTGAGGAAATGTCGAGTCCAAGTCTTGTTGTTCGACTGTCTGTCCAGCTGGTACCCCATACCTACAGAATACCATAGGCGCCAGAGAGTCGCGTTGACCACGAACCAAAACTGATAGGTAGGGGTAGAGGGGGTCAAGGCAGTCAATGCAAACATTAATACCTGTATCAAAAGGATGGAAGAATCAGCCGTTCTATAGAGGTCCAGGTTATTCAACCCCAGGAGGTTGTGGACCGATGGTGGTGGCTTAGCTGAGTACGATGAAGTCGAAGTCGCATAGGGCGGTAGTTCTTCAGTGGATATCGCTGCATTGGGGCTTTCTGGTTCCAAGAGGCTAGGGGTCGATTCCACACAGACTGAGCGCTTTCGGGGTGGTGGCGGGTTGTAAGTCTTGTCGATGTGTGGGTTTTCAACGAGCACGAGGAAGGCGAATTGAGCTGCATGGGCCAGGATAGAGATAAGAAGTACTTTATAACTAGCGGCCATCAGAGAGATGCCGTAATAGCCCGCATAGCCAACCGAGTACATGGGATGGGGTGCCATCTCGAAGACTCCATCAAAGGTCAGTTCTTGGTCGATGAGGTAGAAGAAGTCCCCCCCAGTACCAGGCATAGTCCTTGACAACACGATGGGCATCCAACTTCACCCACAGGTTGAACAGCACCAGCAGAATACCGGCAGTCCATCGAAGGACAGTCATGAGGGTGGACTCGTCGGTAGGACGGTGTCCGCAAGCTATTGCAAAGAGGCAGTAGGAGGTGAAATCACACATCAGGATTATATCCACCAGACGCCTGAACACCAGCCAGGTGTTGTATTCAAGGGGTGCTTTCTCGAACGAGTAGTCATGGGGAATTTTGGTCTCCAGCTCTCGCTTAATCCAGCGGTACAGCGCAGGATGTGGGTTGTCTCCAGTGGCCGGATTGACGAAGATCTTCGTCTTCTCAGCCCAGCGGTTCATGATTTTATGGTGGGACTGGTTGTGAAGTAGCCATCCAATGCCAGCATTGTATGCCGCACGCCAGAAGGCATAGATGGCTGCAAATACGGGGATTTGAGTGCTGGTGGGCAACAACCAGAGCAACGAGATATGCGCAGCAAGGAGCACTAGAACGACTGCATCGGAGACATTCTTGGGTTCTGAAGGAGACAGGAGCTGGGAGACCATGTCATGGGTTTGGGGTACAGTAAAGACTATGCAATGCGCGATTAGTCGGGGTAATGATCCACAGGAACCGAAGCGGCGGCGATCCTTCGTTGTTAATGGCATGGGGGCGAAAGCCACATGGATTCAAATCTGATATCGCATGCGCAACTGCATTGAGATCGTGCAGGTGATAATGTCACGCCAAAAGCTTAACATACCTGTTCCATCGGGGGTGCGTCCATAAGTCTTCTGGTCCTTCTCTCCGGTCGGCTCCACCTCCCCATGCTGGATAAGAGCATCGCGGCCTCCAGTTGAATCAAGGTGCGAAGCAATTCGTTCTCTCAGCCCGGCATCGCCAGGCTGCAGGGTACCTGTTGAACGGCCCTGATCCATGATGGTGTTGAGAGAAACGAAAGTGTTCTAAACACGGCGCTCTGATGACAAGTACTCCCGGAGCATGTGACAGCCTAGGCGGGATCGCGATTGGCTGCGCGGCTGCCAGGACCAATTCTCCGAAAATGCAAGCTGAAAGGCAAATTTATTTTAGGCTATGAATAAGGTACCTGGAAGTCAGTGACAGGGGGTTAATGATTGGGGTCTTAGCAGCTCGCGTAATGCTTTGCCAATTCCAGGGTGCGATGGCCCTTATTTATGTGGGAAAAGAAACCCACTATGCGACAATACAGTGGAACCATGAGCGTCGAGGCTAGCGTGCCTCCCATAGGTGCTCATCGCGAGTTACGAACTTTGTGTCTACGGCCTGCGGGCCCCAGAATGAAGCAGAAGAGGAAAGAAGCGGAACCGATCCCTAGCCTAGACCCCGATGCACCCTGCCAATCCCAACAAAACTGGTTTGGGACTATTTGTTCGGGGGTCTCAGGGTTATGGCAACATAGTCAATGTCATAATAATTGGCTGTTGCACTGTATGTTACACGTCTCCCTTCTGCGCTTCATGCGGGGTCTCTGGAGAGGGGAATTCCGCGGCAGCAGCGGATCCCCGTGCGACTGTCATCGCATCACTCCACTAGGAAATGACATGCAGTTGATGCTATCGAAATAATCATGGGTTGCTGTGGTTTGCTTCTTGGGGACATGCATTTTACCGGGGAGATTCCGGCATCAAGGGCAAAGACAGAATCGTCATGGAAACTCGGGGAGAAGTCCAAAAGGCAGTGGATCTTTGCAGAAAATTCTGTGTCTCAGCGGGGTTGATAATCATAACATTAATGGATTCTGATTCCGGGTGGTCATATTTGCAAGAGGGCCTCCCCGGACGTGTAGGTCCCCCCCACAAGTGATATCATCGCGCTAACGAGTCAGTGCGGAATATGACCCACGTTTGCTCTGCCAAAACATCCCATGTTCGCTCGGGATCATTTAGAGGATCATTTAGAGCCACGCCGAACCGGCGGCAGATGCTCTAAATTCTGACAGGCCAATAAGAGTCTCGACCCTGAAATTAAATAGGGATTGGCCTCGGGCCTGCGGAGCTTGGTTTGGGTTAGTTGATATGCAAGGTCATTTACGGCAAAGTCTGGCTGCAATTCGACAGGAGGGTTGGATCGACAAGGCAAATCGCGCCCTGGTCCTCATTTCCATCCGCTGCCTGTGAAAAGGCGCATACTTAGTTGCAGGATGCACAAGTGCCCTGAAACGAAGGAACAGAGTGAAAGGGTTTTTTACTAGCTAAGTCCAGGTCGGTGGGGGGGTTGACTAAGTGAAGCTTGACTTGGCGCCACGAGAAGACCACCCAAATTTCGCACCAAGCCTTGCCCTTATTGGCTTGGCTACTTGGGGACGCACATAGTCTTGTGCCCTCGTGTGCTTCTTCCTGGCTTTACGGCCTTGCCTGCGTCCTGCGTTTTCAGGTTTTATCCAGGTTCATCTGGTCAATGTTCCTCATTACGGTTTTCTTTTTGTCTCTCTGGTTTATTACTCTTGCTCAGCTGTTCCTAGTCGTCTATTCGCTACCTTTTGCTTGCGTTTTCCCCTACCGGCCATGTTATATATATCTATGCTTTTCCTTCCCTTTCTTCGTTCTCTGGGGTCCTCTATTGTTTCATTTCATAACGCCTACTATGCACCCTATTATATAACGAACTACAAGTTTTTGTTATCCTTACTCTCGTCTATAGATTTTCGGCACCCAACCTATCGTATACCATAGCCTTCCGGTTTAACACTTCTCAATCCTACTCTTGTGGACCCTCCCACGAATTCTTTGCTATACTCTAGCTGCTCGCAACCTACTCAGACGCCTTTATATAAAACATGTCCCGCTTGCCGTCAGAAAGTCAACCGGCGGAGACTCCGTCGCCGTTTGCTTACTGCTGCCGAGACACCGGCGTCTCGCCCTACAATACAATATTCGCAACCTTCCTCGGATTTACTCTCACCTGCACAACGTATTCTCTGTTCGAAATGCGCCTGACCTGGCAGCATTCCCGATTTAGGACGTGCGACCGTTGTCGCCAGTGGAAACGTAATTACCGCCGCTCACCACCGTGCAGGAAAGGCTCTCTTTTACAGTTTGCTGCGGCCACCCAAAATGGCTTCTCTGCTCCCAGTGTACCTCGTCCTCGCCGGACATTCCGCTCCTTGCCAGTTCAATGAGCAGATGGCACCAGCCAAAGGATACTTCGAGCACAAGCGCCCCACGATGCATTAAGCCAGGCCATGGGGTTTTTGTGCAATGAGCACCGCCGTCATGTGGTTGCCTCCCAATCATTCACCCCAGATATCTCGACCTCTGATGTACGGGAATCCGTTTCCAAAGCGTATGTATGTAGTTCTTGCGGTAGATTTATTTTATTTGCTGATCTAAACCCTATGTGGATGACGAGGATCCTTTGTTACTTCCCCTAAGTGGTGTTCGCACTCTTGAGACACGATTATAGACGACGTCGAGTTTGGCCCCTCTCATCCTCAAAGTAAGACTCATGTACAAATTCTAGCTCGCAGTTCGTCACAGTTAGCTACTGTCACTTTTACCGGGCAACTTACTGAGTTTCAGGCCTCGGAAGATGCTGTTCTTGGTGGCCATCCGAAAATGGTCGCAAGTATGAATGACCTGGCGGAGATATTACTCGGATTGTTTGTTCCTGGGCCCTACTTGCCGGCACTTCTTCGGGAACATGCCGTTTCCGTGCAGCCGCGGCGGAATGCTTGCTCCCAAATATGAGCGATTGTTGAGCCTACTCTCACATCCTACAAACTAAGCCTCGCGGAAAATATTGAACTGCTGCGAAAGTTCAAAGAAGATGGCGAGGATGATGCAAGACTTCGAAAAGCGTCACTTCGAGTGATCCAATCCAACCACCTTTTTTAATGCAGTTTGAACAATCATAGCAGTGCGATCAAGAAGATCATTGATATATCAATATGTAGCCATCTGATTGGTCTCTAGCTACTAAATTACGAATTCATGTGTTAACAACTATTAGATGTTGCATTAAAATGGTGTCAAAAGAACTGAATCCATATTGACTAGTATGCATATGGACGAATGAGAACTGACGGAACCACCAAGTGAAGTGTGATTGATTGACTTACGAAAGAAACTACAGAGTAGACCGAATGGAAAAAGGGCGGTTTAAGCTGCCCCATAGCAGTGTAACTGACTATTCAAGTAATCTATGTCTTGGTGTCATCCGCATATTGCACGGAAGCACATAGGAAATTGGGGTTGAATTTGAACCAACCCTATGTCACTGTAATAAATCTCTCCACTTTTCCGTGATACATAGATATTTTGCATGATTACGGAACCAAGGTTCGTCGAGGGTCCCGGTTATATTTTGATAAAAATGCGATGAGGACCTCCTTCAAAGCAACATCCGTCATTTCTTCCACCATTGCGTCGATCTTGGCTGACATGGCCTTGTTCCAGTCGTGAAAGGCTTCGGATACATTCAGATCACGAAAGAGCTTCATTACCTTTGAAATATCGCCATCATTAGAGGATCCGTAGCACTTCCGAAATACCTCTTTTTGGTCGTTGTTGCAATTTTCCAAGGCATAAACTGAAAGCCAACTGCATTTATTCTCCTGGATGTCGGTCCCGATCTTTCCAGTGACCGAAGGATCACCGTAAACATCCAAAAAGTCATCTCGGGCCTGAAAGACAAGACCTAAAAGCGTTGACGCCCTATGAACGTCGTCTAGCATTTTGGCAGTCGTGAGTTTTAAATAAACAAGAGGAATTGCTATCGGAAGGTAGAAGGTATAGAATGCTGTCTTTTGGGCGGCAATGAACTCATACTGGTCCCAAGTAAACCGACCCGGTTTCAGTAATTTCGCTGTGGCCATGAGATCACAGTGCTGGCCAAGCTCGGTCCGAAGGGCAGCCTCGTCAAATAGCTCGTGGAGGTCTAGATAACGTGGATGATCCCGAAAGCGTTTCTTGAGGGTAAAGTAGATCGCTGATTTCAGAATGCAGGCATCGTTGATAGCTATCATGCCAACATTGTCTCGGCGATACCAGCAGGGCTGACCGCGTCTGGTGGAAGAACCATCCATGATATCGTCCCAAATCACGTATGCTGCATTGAAGAATTCAATCAAGCATCCAAGAACCGCGAGCTCCTCGCTTTGGACCGGAGAAAGATCATGACCGTTTAGTATAAAGCCAGTATCAAGAACTGTTCGGCCTCGTAACAGATTTCCACCTTTTGTGGTGAGAACAAAACACTGGAAAGGGGTGAGTCAGTACAGTGGCCCATTATGCAGTATCTTGCGTCCCTCGTACCTGGTAAATCCTGTCGACTGCTTCAGGTCCGAGTCCTATAATGCTTAGATGCTCTGTAATCTCCTTACTAACATCAGCGAGGACGCCTTGGAGACTTTCAGAAGCTGAGATAGCCATAGAGACTGAATGTGCTCAAGGGAAGTTATCAAGATGTAAGCTGGAGGCCACTTGATCAAGTAAGGATACAGGGTACCAGATCTAAGTTCCCGCCAAAAGAAATTTTTGGGGTGAAAATGAGGGACAACTTTCTGGTAAACCTTTAGAGGCAATAAAAAAACCCCAGAGGCATGTCATGTGTGTAACCTGAAGCAAGGGGGTCGTCCAGTACGACCCAACTGCAGTTCAACCTATCCGTTGGGCGATTCTTTAGTTGACGAACTAGCGCCGCCGCACCGCCATTTCAATAATTTCAGGTTCGAAAGCCCAAAACTACACTTATCACAAATACATTGTTCAGCTATATAAGAGTTCACTATTTTGGAAATGTAAGCACAGTAATCCCTTCCTGTAGCGTAGATCATTGCTCCTTTATTAGAGTTGTCCTCCAATGCTATATCATATATAGGCGCCTAATTTCGCATTCACTTGAGGATCGCTGAACTTTCTCACCGCTGGTTTACTACTATCCTAGGAATAACTCACTGCTGAGTTAGAGACCTATATCAGTACTGCACTGCTCCAACCCCTCATCTTCCATCGCCTCAAACTCTGAGCAAATCCGATTATTCGGCATGGATAATTCATCCGCTGCCATCTATATTGACGGGGCTTTTAATTTTCGAAGTTTCGCTGGATATTCAAGCACTATCTCTCAGGACGCAATGACGCGTGATGGGTTCATTTGCCGATCTGGAAATCTTTCGAGTATCACATCTAAAGGCTTGGAAACCCTACGGGAGCTTCATATATCAACCATAATCTCCCTGACGGACAGTAAGGAAGCCGAAGTCCTGTACGCCAATGATCCCTTGTATTCGGGGAATCTGAAAGGCTTCAAGCTGCTTAAATTTCCATTATACCAAGAAGACTTTGACAAGAAGAGGCTTTTCGCTAAGTATAGCAGGTATGCATTAGAGGGTCAAATTGTCAGTTGGGCTTTCCTTTCTTACATGTATTTTGTTTTAATATGTCTCCAGGTTATTGCCCAAGAGTATGTGGCTATACTTCGAGCAGGGCCCGCCATCATCCGAAACATACTACTTCAGATACTCGACAACCCTGGCGAAGTGTACATCATCCATTGCTCAATGGGCAAAGATCGCACAGGAATTGTGTTTGCGATCCTGTTAAGTTTAGCTGGAGTTTCGAAAGAGACCGTGTCAGAAGAGTATAGCCTCAACGAAGTAGCTTTGGAACCGCTGCTCCCAAAGATCTCTGCCCTTGCGCAGCGGATCGCTCCCTGTAGTAGTAGTGAAATACAGGGCCGACGGGTCGCCCAGGAGGCAATTAAATCAAGGTATATATGATCCTGGGTATGTTGACAAGGTGCTAACGCTTACTTAGTAAAGATGCCATGCTTCTCACTCTTCAGATGGTCGAAGCCGAATTTGGAGGTGTTATTCGCTATGTTAAGGAAATATGTGGGCTGTCTGCAGAGGACATTGAACTCATTCAGCATCACTTGATACAAAAACGTCGTTGAACAGTTCCAGAGAGAAAGCTAGAAGTAGATGTCGTTAATAACAAACACTCCTGAGGTGATGCTTGTTGGAGAACCGAGAAGACAGTGAAATTACGATGGATGATTCTTCGGCATTTTGGGTTACCTTGTGGTCCTCCGTCAGAGGAATATGGCCACCCTTCAATAGAATAGACTTGGGCCGAGAGTGCTGAGTTTCTTGCTGGGAATTTGCGTTGCTACTGCTCATCGAGTTAATTTGAACAAAGTTCAACTTTGTGGGGCAGCCGACACTCCTCGGTACAGGGCTTAGCTTTGCAAGTTTCTGAATGCTGGCTCTTGATGTGACTCGGAATGATATAGAACTTAAATTGATGTTTCGTATTGTGAGCTTACTTGGAAAAGATCTCAAGTCCGATGCAGAGACATTTACCGCTGAGCTTTTGCAAGGTCACGCTAGTCAAGCTCTTGCAACTAATTTTATTACAAGCTACCCTGCTATGGGAAAAAAGATGGTATCCCGGTGTTCTTGGCTAGTGCATTGAAAGGGACAAGTTCAAACAAAGCAATTGGATGAAGCGAAGTTACTTTCGCAGGTTGAGGCTTAATTTATACTCAATAATTCCTAGCTTTTTTGGTTACCAAATTGGAGATAGATTTACAGTATATATATACAGTACACACAAGCCGTATATTTGTTATATCACTATCACCTAGTCTTGCCCGTTACCTAGAGGCTGTCTTCCGCCGCAGAACCTTACAATCTTTCTCCTTAACCTATTATATTCCTGGTGGGATCCAGGCGCTTAATTCAAATCCTATTCTGTATCTTTTACTACGATTTAATTATTTAATCTAAGCCCTTCGCTCGCCCTGATAGTGTATACGATCCAGAGATTGTTCATAACCTCATCCTATGTACTTCCATTGACGCATTCAAATACACGGTCAGAACTCTGCTGCTCGGTCGGATATTGATTCGTTTCAGGGCATCAGCGTGCGACAGCGCACGTCACACGTCACCAGTTACCGAAGAGCGTCGATCAGCGTCGATCTGGAGAGCCAGAATGGGTACTCCCGTGCCTCCCAGCTAGAACCTAGCCAAAAATCATCAAGGGCTGATTTGCCATCATTCTCAGTTCCGTCCATAGGTCATCAATTGGCACCAAATCTCATAACTTTTCTTAGATCATGGCTCTCAGTCGACTTAAGCAAGTCTCCGATCGCCCCTCCAAACCTCCACCAATCACGTAGCGTTGTCCAAGGTTTAGTCATCCCCCGCTTATCAATCGCCTCCGCCACCGGAGACAGATTGAAGATTCTCTTGATTCCCTCAAAAACTCTCTACAATAGAGAATACAAGGCGCGATCACACATCACGATGGCGCCCTATGTGGAGGAGCCCAACGACGAAGCGGCCTTTGCGCCTACCAAACGCGCTCCCGATCTTGTCGCTCCTGAACCAGGTTCGTTTTCGTCCCGCGGAGGACTGATCGCAATCGTGTCTAACTGATACCACAGAACACTGCCCTGGCCCCGAATCTGAGCAAGCTGGTCAAGGAGACGCCTGCGCCGGCTGCCCAAACCAGCAAATCTGCGCCTCCGCCCCGAAAGGCCCCGACCCGGATATCCCCATCATAACAGAGCGCCTCTCCCAAATTCGCCACAAGATCCTCGTGCTCTCCGGCAAAGGCGGCGTCGGCAAATCCACCTTCTCAACCCTCCTGTCGCACGCATTCGCCGCAAACCCAGACTCGACCGTCGGTATCATGGACACGGATATCTGCGGCCCCTCGATCCCCAAAATGATGGGCGTTGAGACCGAGACCATCCACGTGAGCAATGCGGGGTGGAGTCCGGTCTGGGTTACTGATAACCTCGGCGCGATGAGCGTGCAGTTCATGCTGCCCAACCGCGACGACGCAGTCATCTGGCGTGGACCAAAGAAGAATGGTCTGATCAAGCAGTTCCTCAAAGATGTGGATTGGGGCGAACTGGACTATTTGATTGTGGATACCCCGCCGGGCACCTCCGATGAACATCTGTCTGTGAACTCGCTGCTGAAGGAATCGGGTGTCGACGGTGCTGTCGTCGTGACTACGCCTCAGGAGGTTTCGTTGCTGGATGTGCGCAAGGAGATCGATTTCTGTCGCAAGGCGGGGATCAAGATCCTCGGTTTGGTTGAAAATATGTCTGGATTCGTGTGCCCCAACTGTACACACCAGTCCCAGATTTTCCGTGCCACAACAGGCGGGGACGAAGGCTGGCCAAGAAAATGGGTATCCCGTTTCTTGGGGCTGTGCCTTTGGATCCTCGTGTGGGCATGGCTTGTGACTTTGGTGAGAGCTTTGTGGAGAATTTCCCGGATAGTCCTGCATCCAAGGCTATCAAGCGGGTTGTGCGGGCAGTAGGCCAGGCAGTCGGAGAGGACCCAGAGCATGTTTTGCCGGAGGAAATGGTAGGCTAACGTTGTTCTACGCATTGTTGTTTTCTTTTTAGCGTTTTGCATTTGGTTCTGGATGGAAGGAGATTCCAGCTAGATACGGCGTTTTTGATAGATATTCTTATGCCAGCTCGTACGATCATGAACAAAAGCATTCTTATCAAGTCTAGTTCCTCACAGGTGACTCGGAGTCAGGTGTTGCTCCCCACACTTCGTTTTAGGCAATAGGCTCGGGCTTTATCTACATTTGCCCTCCTAGATATCAGACCAGCTTCCACACCAGGTTCCAAGAAATGACACCCGTCTGCTCTAAAATTCACCAGGATCAATTTTGACGGTTTCTCCTCCAGATACTAGCAAAAAGCCGTTGCTGGTTCTCTGATTTCTCTTCTACAACTACTCGACCTTCACGTCTTGGTTTTGTATGGCCTTAGCACCCCGCTCCAAGAAATGACACCAATGTCTACATTCCTTGACCTCAGGCTTGTACCTTGTCATAGATGGCAGTCCAATATAATTTAATCGACCACTGTATGCCCCCAAAAAGCCCTTCTCAATATCTAAGCTGATTTCTACGTCGTGTCCATCGTTTGCAGAAGTACACGCTTATAGCTAGCCAAAGAGCGATACCTCGTAGCCTCTAAGATGGGAAGTAGCCAGCGACCGGAGGGATTCAACCCTTCGCCGGTGCAACTCATCACCTCGCCAGCGACCTCCAGCTGAGCAAACCAGCCGCCCGGGGAAATACCAATATTCAGCTGAGGCACCTTGTCGTCAATAATCCTATCAGTGTCACTCCTCTGGAAAGGTGACTTGGTGGTAAGAAGAGAACGCAGCGGAGACAGTAATGCACATAGTTACTATAGCTGCCACACAACGCATGGCTGAACCTAGGTTTAATTGGTATCTAAATCAAAACAAACATAGTTGGGACAGCCAGATCTCTGCACGCTCATTCGAACGAGCAAGGGCGACCTAGCGATTCCCGCGATAAGAGGGCCTTAGGTGGTCGCAGCAGATAGTAAATGACTTCCAGCCATACTTTAATGAGAGATGTAAGGTAAGCTGGACCCGTCAATCCTGGGCAATGCAACAAGCGCAGGGGTACTCGGACGAACACCCTCATAGGCCAATCGGGACTGTGGAGATCCGATGCGTTCGAGGGCGGAGCACCTCGTACCTGCATTTCAATCTCCCCCATTAGAGGATGTTATGCTGATTATCCGAACGCGCGGCCCAAGCAGCTGCAATGAAGGATTTTTATGCCAAATCCCCTTGTTTGCTGGGGTGATAGATCTAGATCAAGATCTCTAGCCCTAGCCCCATTGGGTTCCCGCCTCGAAGCAGAGACAAAGGGCTCTCTGTTAGATTGGAATGGAACTATTCGAATGTTTCATGGCCTACTCTTGGCTTTCCTGTGATTGAGCCCATGTTGCATCTAAAAGTAAGAGATGGTGCGCAATCCCCAAAGCCCCATAGACAAAATCGACCCATCAGACCATAGGAGGCGATCAGAGATGAAGAATGGGAGCTATCCGCCCAACTTCTGCGACGGAGTATGATTCCATCGCTCCGTTTCAAGGTCTCAGGGGCGTTGCCTCCAGCCCCATGATTGGCCCCACGCCTGGGACGGTGTTTCAGGTCCACCGCCAGTCTTCCACTGCAACCACTGACGCGCACGAGATGTGCTTAGTTGACGCGGGCGCCAAGGGAGACTCCACCGACCTCAGACACCCCGCCGTTGCAAACAAATGAGCTGCCAGCAGCCCAGCGCCGGGCCTCTCCAACTCGCTGTCCTCCCCTTTACTGACTCCACCGATGGACCCAGCTAAGGCGCCAGACCCAGCGCTTGGCCACCCTGAGCTCTGTGGCTTGGAAAATCGTCCTGTGTCTGCAACGTTCATAGGTGGATTAGTAGGAAATGGCGAAAAAAAAATTGGAAACAGCTACGTACCTGAGGGCGCCATAGTGCCGCACAATGCTTCGTCAACTCCTTTATAGATCTGTAGCCGCCCCAGGATCTGCCGATGCTTCCTTTTTGACGACAGCTTAGAGCACTCTTGCTCATCCATCCGCTCTTGTTTACCACCCACTCTCCTTCACCCTTTGTTTTTTTTTTTGCTTCAACCTGCTGGTTCAGGTCCCCAAGGCTGTACCCTTCTTTTTTTTAGCCTTGTTCATTCACTCTGATTCCAGCGACCTAAAGTTCTACAGGCCCTGGAGGTCCCTCGGTTTTACTCTTCTAGACCAAAAAGGAACAAGCCTCACCCATTCTGACACTCGCTGGCCGGTCCTAAAAAAAATCATCATGCATCTGTTACTCTCGCTCGCACTTTTCCTTGTTCTGGGCTACAATGCCCTCGCATTACCGACTATGCATCGCCCTGTTCACCATGTCCGAAGATCTCGATCTTTCCAGATTGACCGCTTTAAGCGTAGCGACTACGTCCGTCATGGACAAAGAGATCTCCAGAAAGCCTATCGCAAGTACGGCATTATCGCCTCGGCGTCAAGCAATAACGAACCATACTCGTCTGATCCTTTCGATTTCGAACCTTTTGTCTGGGGTTTTGGAGGCTCTGGTACTCCAAGCGACTCCGCTACTTCATCCAACTCCGCCACTACATCCGGGACAGCGACGACCACAAGCGATTCGACAGAAAGCCAGACCACCGCGGCTTCTTCCGAAGAGACTGGTTCTGTAGCAGCCAAGTCTGTCCAGGGCGACTCTGAATTTGTGTCTCCAGTTTTGATTGGTGGTCAGACTATCTCTCTGGACTTCGACACTGGATCTGCAGATATGTACGTTACCTGATATACAATCCCCGCTGCCCCGGAGGGGGAAAAAGGTCAAAAAAAAAATAAGACACGAGAACTAACCTTCATATAGGTGGGTTCTGGGCAGCTCTCTCTCCTCCAAGGCCTCGAGCGACCGCAAGTTCTATGACCCCAAGACTTCCAGCGATTACGAAGAGGTCGACGGTAGCTTCAACATTCAGTACGGCGACAACAGCTATGCCAACGGCGACCTCGCCCAAGATCTCGTGAACATCGGCGGCGCCATCGTCCCCAAACAAGTCTTCGGCATCGCAACCGATGCCTCCAGCGAATTTCTCCAAGACACCGCCTCCGACGGGCTACTCGGCCTCAGCTTCTCCAAGCTCAACAGCTTCAAGCCAGGCCCCCAAAAGACCTTCTTCGACAACGTTGCTGCGGACCTCGAAGAGCCCGTCTTCACGACCCGCCTGCGCACGGACGCCGTCGGCGAGTACGGGTTCGGCGTCATCGACCACAGCCTGTACCAGGGCACGATGGCGAATATCAGCGTGGACTCGTCGGCCGGGTTCTGGGCGTTCAAGTCGGCGGCGTACGCGGTTGGGAACGGAGAACTGACCGATTTCGACGACGTGACGACCGCCATTGCAGACACGGGGACTACACTGATGCTGCTGAGTCCGACTGTGGTCAAGGCGTACTATGCGCAGGTCAGCGGGGCGTCGTACGCGAGTAGTGTGGGCGGATATGTCTTCCCGTGCAGCACTACGCCGCCGAATCTGACGATGAAACTGGGGGATAGTTTCACCGCTACTGTGCCGGGGGCTTATATCAATTACTCCCAGGTCGGAACGAACAAGACTTCTGGTGAAACAAGTAAGTTTTTTTTTCTTTGTCTTTGTTTTTTTTCAGCGTGGTTCTGAGGATTGGCTTGCTAATTCTTTCTTTTTTTTGGCAGTCTGTATGGGTGGTGTGCAGTCTAATCAGGGGTCTAATATGCAGATCTTTGGTGATGTCTTCCTCAAGTCGTTCTATGTTGTCTTCGACCAGCGCGGTCCTTCTCTGGGAATCGCTTTGACTAAATAGACCACCTCAGTCGTTGCCGGGGTCTCATTCAAGTGGGAGCGATACAGAATATTTGCTTTAGATCATACTCTTCGAGTTGTAGATAGTTTCCCCACTGCTCGGTTCAAGCCGATGGCAATTTCTATGAAGCATAGTCTGATCTTTCTACGGGGTACGATCATTATTAATTGTCCAATGGGCAGTAGACTTAACTATAAAACTTGCAATCTCTGTTCGTTTTCTCGTGGGTATGCATAAGAATCTTTTTATTTTAGTGATGTCACAACGCTACAGTAGGCCAAACTCCCAACACTTTACCGCACAGCAGCATTCTTCAGAGTCTTGACAGTGCAGATCACACCGGAAGCCGTCACCAGCTTTCCAAGCGCAGGCTTGCCTTCCTGCTCCTTGGCAACAGGGACGGCACTACTATCAAAGGCAACCTCCAGATCGTCGGTGGTGGTAAAACCAGGCTGGAAGGTCTCCCAGATCTTCTTCTTGGGGTTCAGGACCTTCTCTGGCTCACCCTCGGACCAGCCCTGGAAGGTGATACGCTCACCGGCGGGCGCATCGGCGGGAGGGTTCACGAGCTCGACGGGACCGGCGTGGGCATCACCTCCTCGGGGACGCGGGGAGAGGCGGCTAAAACCATCGCACAGGACTTGATGCCTCGCATGGTCACGGGCTTCAGGTTGCAGACGGCAACGATCTTACGACCCTGCATCTCCTCGAGAGGAACCAGGCCATTCAGACCGGAGCAGACTGTTCCGCACAGTCTTGCCCGTCTCCTCATCCACAGTGGTGTTCTCGGTGCCGGGAGCGTCGCCCACGTCGACGGTAGAAACATAGAGGGAGTCGGCATTGGGGTGGTTGATAGCGCGCAAGATGTGGCCGACACGCAGGTCGATCAGAGATGGAGAGGGAGGGGTAACGGGGGCCGCGGGGGCCTTGGGAGCCTTGGGGGCCTTCTCCTTCTTCTCCTTCTTGGAGGTCTTGTGGCCGGCAGCGGCAGCGGCAGCAGCAGCAGCAGCAGCATCAGAAGCAGGAGCGGGAGCGTCACCCTGAGCAGCCTTCTCGGGCTTGCCCTGGCCTACGACGAGGGGCTTCTCGCCCTTCGGGTCGGCGTTTTGGGCATTGGCCTTCTCGCGCTTCTTGCGCTCCTTCTCTTCCTTGAGGTCGACGGGCTTGGGCACATATTTCACGTCGTTCACATCGATCTGGACCTTCTCCTCCTCGGGGATCTGTAGGGAGAAGAGCTTGGCATTCTGCACAAAGTCGATGTGGCGCACGATGTGGTGGAAGCCCTTCTCTCCGGTGCGCTCCTCGGGCGACCATTTCTCCACGAGAGGTGCGACGAGGGCGTAGACGGCGATATCTGCGACCGAGGGCTTCGAGCCGAGCAGGGTGGTGCGGGTGGCGAGATGAGTGTTCAACTGGACAAGGATGTTGTTCGCAATGGTGCTGTCACCAGCAGCCAGAGCATTCTTCAGGCCAGCGGTTGAGGCGAGCCATTGCTTGATGTCGGCTTCCTCGGCCTCCCCAAAGTTCACCGTAGGAAAAATTTTGGGCGAGGCGTGCAAATAATCCGGCTCGGTCGCATCGGGAGAGACCGCGGAAGGGTATGAGCGGTAGAGGAGCGAGAGGAGAGAGGACTCGGGGGCTGCTGCGGTCGCCATGGTGAATGCACGTGGAGGAGAAGAAAGAAAAGAAAATCGAGGAGGGGTACCGCTCTGTGTCATCTGGACCCGCGGGGTGGTGGTTCGGGCCCGCAATGGGCTCACCCACCTGGAAGACGCTAGCTTGCCCAACATCTGCAATTGGGACTGCAGAGCTGCCTTTGTTACTTTTCTGAGCACGCGAGCCCCCGAAGCTTTCCGCATGCCAATTTTAAGGCGTCGGGCGATTTGATGACTCAGCTGAGTCCTGTTCACCTGGGCACCTAGGCAACTTGTGGCCCCCGGCATTGTGTCCATGGACCTGACTGCACTGTGCGAGGCTTTGATGCCATATGAATTGGGGATTGCCCAAGACTGGGTACTACTATTGGATACACTGAAGTCTTTTTCAGGCACATACAGTATGAAGAAAGCCCCCAACGCCTGTCCATAGTTCTATATATCATGCTATCTATACATGTAGGGTTTCATAATAATATTCATCAATGAGCTGCGATAAGATCATCAGCTGGATGTATGCAACGAAAGAAAAAGCCTCAGTCAAGTGGATCCGAGACAACTATTGTTGGCGTTGTTGGGGGCCCAACTCGTGGTGTTGCAGGAAGACTTTCTGCTATAGACGGGTCCGATGTACCATGCTGTGGTTCTGGTGACGATCGATCCGAGGTCGGCGAACTGGTAAACGCTCCACGATCTACAAAGCTGGGGACCTCGAACGAATTCGAACGAGAAGGAAGGGTCTTTGAATGGGGCCGGCGAATAAAAGCCGGCTTCGGAGATCGTACAGGTAACGAGAGCTGGCGATTGGGAGTCTCGCGGGGCGTCCTAGAGCTGCCTTCACCATTAGAATATTCACTGCCGACAAAGCTTGTCGCTCTGGATCGAGTGATCGGAGTGCTTTCGAAGATATTCTTCATATCCTGGTAGTGCTCATTGCGAAAGCTCTCGGCTGGGACCTCAGGGAATGTAGTTCTCTCGTTTACCTCGAACCCATTCTCTTCGAAGTTAGTGTGCGCTTTGGTGGCGAGGTAGCCACTAGCTGCATTGAAGAACCGTGCCACGGTTCGCCGTCCCCCTGGGTCATCTTCTCCGGGCAGAGTTGTGATTTGACTCAGTTTCGGAAATGATGGATAAGAAACAGTCTCCTCCATCTCAACCGTGGCTTCTTGATCACTATCCCTAGAGGAAGGCCCAGAGCTCGTTGATCCCAACCTGTCTCGGTACATCTCATCACCACCGCAGGTGGGACAGGGTGGCACGGGGTTTTTCGAAGGCTTGTCTTCCTTATCCATTTCAGCGGCAAAAAGAAGATAAAGCGAGCCGACTATAGCAAGACCGGTACCAACGACGGGCGCCCATTGACCTGCGATAGGATTATGTTAGCTCCAATGGAATGGCACCATCTCTTGGCTCAACGGGACAGATCAGTCTTACCGACACTGGACATGGGTTCCGTTTGATAATTCACTGGAGCGCTCCAGAAGTTCATCTCCCCCTTGACGAGGATCGCTAGGACCCCAGCAGCAAAGACGGGGATCTCTATCAGCCTTAGCCACTCGCGGATCTTGGTTGCGATCCCTGACATTTGGATTGGAGTAGCTCCGTTGGTGCCTTCAATAGGCTCATTCTCCTTCTTTAACCGCTTTGTACCAGAGATCTGATCCCACCTGTCGTCCAGAATCTTGATCCACATCGAGACCAAGGACAAGATAGCCGGGACACAGCAGGCGGCCGCGAGTAAAGTGGCGGTGTTAAAATCCAGCTGATGGGGGGGTTGGGATCACATAGATATTGTTTGCTGCGCCTTGTCGTAGTGGGGAAAACGGTCCATCTTCAACTGTACAAACCATGCCGCATGAACTTCCGTAGAGAAATTCCCCTGCTTTCTTCCAGGAAACAGAGGCCGGGTCGTCTGCAGGGCAAGTGGTTGGGAGAGGCGAATGAATTCTACGGTCAAACTGAGGAGTCCCGCAAGGAGGAGGCCTGTCCATAAGAATATGATTTCGCGGCCCGGATTGTGGAAATATGTGGCCGAAAGTCTTACTGTTGCTGGTGCTGTCAGAATCCCGATAGCGCACAGCTGAAAAGCTCCGTACACATCCATATCGACCGCTCCTGCCAGGGTAGGGGCTCAATTAGTCCAAGGGGCCTTTCGTCATTGGCTTTTTGACGGTAGATCATGCTCACCATCGACGTGGAGCGATGCGAGGACAATCCCATGCAACGCAGCCACAGCAGGGAAGAGTAACACAGCAGCTAAGCAAGCATTACGAATGAACTCGGCCTTGCGGGCAAATACACAGGCGGCGATTAGGACGTAGTATCTGCCGGGGTCAGGGGATGCTATCTTGCTGAGGACACGGAAGGGGGGGTGATACAAATATCGGGTGCCAGGTCCGTACTGGCCGGACACTGGCCATGCGCATACAACTTCTAAAGCTGCAGTAGTTGCATTTGGAGCCGCAGTTGGGGCAGTGCGGCGCACCAAGGCGGGTTCTAGGAGGGTTTCTGGGGTCAAGATTGCTGGCATTGCTAAGGATCCACCCCCCTATGTGGGAGATGCAGGGAGCAACGGGTCTCTTTGGAATTCATGAAGCACTGTCTCTGATGACACGCAGATCTTAAGACAAGACAGAGCCTCCCCCAGGGGTCTTATCCACGGGCGGGGGAGTAGAGTCCGTCCAGCACGCGCCATGCGGGCAAGTCGAGAGTTCGTCAGCAACAGCCTCATTTTCCATTTCAGGACCTTCGGCAATGTGTGGGGATTGGACGCCACAGGAGCAATACCAGCCATAATTCGCCTTCACTAGAGCTCCTTCGAGCGGGAAATGCCTCCATGGTTGGGGAAGCGACGGACACCCGGGTGAATACGAGAAGGGCGCCACTCGGCGCTCTTGATTGGCACCTTCACAGCCAAGAGCATTTCGCGCGGTGGCAGTGCCTGCATGGCACGCTCTTTGACTTAGCCCGTCACTCAAGATTCGAGAAACATTCTAGCCGATCTGCGATATTTCTTGAGGCATTTAGCATCGGGGCGTAGGTGCTGCTTGTCCCGGAGGAGCCTCCTTGCAGCCTCTCAGAGAATCCTGATAGTGACGAATGGAAAGAGAGAGATAGCGGTAGAAATAGGGTTTTTTTTCTCCATTTCCTATTTCGTTCTCTCTCGGGGTTGCTGATTCGCTAGGTCTCTTTTGCAAAGTTGGGCGGAATTCAGGCTTCGCGGGATCTTTAAAGACGATCTTGGCGTACCAAGAACTTTACCTTGGGACCCCCGCAGGTCTGACAAGTAGGGCTCATATTCCCAACTTCAGGCTAATCATTCCTGGTCTAGCTGGCTCGTGCCAGCCGACTTGCCGCTGATTTGTGCCTTATGGGCTCCATTGAGGCTTAGGTTTTGCAAATTTTCCTTTCCACCCTGCGGCCTCGAAGCTGGGGCATTTAAGCACAAGGAGCCTCAAGTGTGACGCTCAACCCTTCCCATTCCCTGGCAGGTTTCGAGCCTTGAGCTATCGGCACGACTGATCACTACTCACGTGCCAAAAGGTGCTAAGGCTCTCGTCCCGTGGCAACAGGCGACTCTGGTTGAAGCTGTCGCGTGCAGAATGTCGATGCGCTGAGGTCGCACCAACCGAATCTCATCCGCGAATTAATCTTCGCCCTTCATTCCGGTATTCGGGGCTTGGGTATTTGAACCTCCTACCACGAAGCTACCACTACAAGCGGAGCTAGCCTTAAGAGGCTGCACATGCGCCAGGCGTGTCTACCGGTTCACTTGTACTTGCCTTCCGTTCCCAAAGTCCTCCCCAAAAGAGGAAGCGGTCCGCAATGCCGGCAAACAACAGTCTTGATACCAGCGAAATCAAAAATTGGAGGTCCATCATAACGCTGATTGTCTTTGTTGTTACAAGTAAGTGAATTCGATCGAGCGAACAATATCCTGGGGGTGGGGAAACTAATTTCTACCCCAGATATTATTGTGCTGTTTCCTTTTCACGTCCCGATATACATTCCGCGATGGCTTTACAACGCAATTTTAAGCAGCCTCTACAAAACGCGCATAATCCCTCGGCCGAAAGCCCCTCAAAATCATGAAAAGCAAAGCTTATTTGTGGCCTTGCGATTCCCTTTGAACTTCGTGACAGCACCCTTAATAGCAGATTTATTCCTCCTCGCAATTCTTGCAATTGGTCGGCAAGAGGTACACGATGGAACTGTCGGCGCGGACAACATTGTCCCTCTGGACATTATGGGTTTCTTTCTGACTCTCGCTTACATCGCCATCTCTATCGATGCATCCGGCCTGATCAGATACTTGGCCTTTAAGGTCCTGCAAAAAGGTGGAGACGTAGGGCACCGGCTGTTCTTCTATCTCTACGCCTTTTTCTTTATTCTGGGCAGCTTCATCGGCAACGATCCCATCATTTTGTCAGGAACGGCATTTTTGGCCTACATGACCCGGGTGTCAAGTAACATTGTTCACCCCCGAGCCTGGATCCATAGTCAATTCGCAGTGGCCAATATCGCCTCTGCTATTCTCGTTTCATCAAACCCAACCAATCTGGTTCTTGCCGGCGCTTTCCAGATCAAGTTCATCGTGTACACGGCTAACATGATCGTTCCCGTGGTTGTAACTGCAATTGTGGTGTTTCCTTTCCTACTCTACATCCTGTTTGCCGACTTATCCCTTATCCCTGTCTCTATCAAGATGCACGAGCTCTCGGAAGAGGCAAAGAAACGCAAACCGGTGAACCCGAATATTCCTCATGCCCGAGGTAATGCGGAACTTGAAGAGGAAGAAGAGGTCAACAACGAGCAAGGGAAAACACTCTCATTGGAAGAAATCATGAACCCATTCCTAGACAAAAAGGGAGCCGGATTCGGAGCTCTGATCATGGCTGCTACTCTGATCACTCTCCTGGCTCTCAATGCCGCTAGTAACTCTGGTCATGAGAGACCTGTGTTCTGGGTAACTTTACCAGCAGCTTTCGTCATGTTCTGCTTTGATGTTGGGATGGGCTGGCTTCATCGGCATGAAACTCGTGAAATTGCCGCCAGGGGCAGGCGAGAGATCGAAATCGCTCGGACGGAAAGATGGAGGCGCGAGTCAGCCAAAGCCTCACCCGAGCAACCTGCCTTGGATCAACACGGCCATCCGGCTCAACAGGAAGGTGTTCGTTCTGCCGATGAGATCTCCTTGGGGGCTGCTGCCAACGATGTCGATATGAAATCACCTCAGGGCGCCGCCGTCACTCGTCTCTCTGCCTCGGGTTTGACAGAAAAAGAGCGGTTTCCCGAGATTCAAACCCCCCACCGCAGCCTCCTTATCTGACTCGCAGGGAGTTATACTCACCTCTTCGCCAGAGCCCATGGGCCAATCGCTACCTACCGCTGTCGATCCGGAGAAACGTGATAGTTTCGATTCCACGAGCGAGCAAGAGCCCGCCACCCTGTGGTCACTGGTGGCGAAGTCATACCGATGGATGCAGGAGACATTCCCCACCGTGACGGTGGTGGTTTCTCACATGCCCTTCCCCCCTAGTCCCATTTGCACTGGCCATGTTCGTCCTGGTGCAGGCTCTGGTGACAAAAGGCTGGGTTCCTGTGTTTGCCTACGGCTGGGACCACTGGGTGAATAAGACTGGGACTGTAGGCGCTATCGGTGGAATGGCCTTTTTATCTGTGATTCTCTGCAACGTGAGTAGCTTCCCATTTCAATAGCCTGCTTGAGTGCTCTGACCTTATATCCGAGATCAGTTTGCGGGAACAAACATCGGTACAACTATTCTGCTCTCCCGGGTCATCCAAGCATGGATGCAGATTCACCGTGAAAACGGTATTCCTATCAGCGACCGGACGTTCTGGGCTACCGTGTACAGCATGGCCATCGGCGTCAACTTCGGTGCCTTCAGTACTGCGTTTAGTGCATCGCTGGCTGGCCTTCTGTGGCGAGACATTCTTGCGAGGAAACATATCCGCGTGGGCAGCCTGGAGTTTGCGCGTGTCAATCTCCCTATCATCGCTATCACCATGGCTGTCGGATGCACTGTTCTTGTCGGCGAGGTGTACATTATCAGAAGCAACAAGCCATATGATGCGTGAGGCAGGGGGGTTTTTGCGCGATGGTTTTACCGAGCTCGAAGCTGGCTGAATCATGTTTCTAATTCCGCTTTCCTGCCCTTTAGATTACGGCTGCATAGCTTGGTATGTCCGCTACTTCAGCTGGCCATGTAACGAAATCACGCGTAATGAATTATGAGAGGCTATGCATTTTTTTTTTTAAAAAAAAAAATCATGATCGATATCTCGGCGTCCATTGATGCCATTTCTCAAACCCGCTCATGAGATACTCCAGCCCTTTGACGTATCGCTCCATATCAGGGCTGAGGAGGTGTCCGTTATCGCGTGTGGTTGTCTCTACGGTTTCTTTGAAACTAGCCTCTAGTTCGCGGCAGTAGCTGTACATCAGCCGCTTGCAAGCCGTGTGGGACAGCCCTATCTCTTGGGACAACACGTGGATTGCAGAGAACGGGTGCGAACCGTCTGTTGGCCGGGCCTGGTATGCCTTCCATTCCTTTTCCCAGCTGTAGATGTCGTTCAAAACACCGAGGAATCGGAATGTGTAACTTTCCAGAGCACTGATCTGTTTGAGGTCGCCACTGTTGATGTCCAGATTGGCGCCGAATCTGATAAGTGCAGTATAGAAGCTGTCGTATTAGTTAATAACTAGCTCTTCAGTCTGGTAAGGTGAAAGTGAAGATACGTACGGTCTCCCGACATCGATCTCGCGGTGCTCAAGATAGGAGCCTAAATCCTTCACCGAGGTGCGCTCTGGGGCTGTCTGAGCCATGAGCAGAGAGCAGAATCCTTGAACCAGCTCGTTGGCCAGTTTTTCGTCGATGCTCTGAGCGAGCTGGATGGTGTCGGCAAGCATCCACTCGACGCAGACGCTCTTGTTCGGTGTGGACTGGCGACGTGCGATCTGTATGATACGCGCCCGGTAAGAGAGCATGTCTGACAAGTTCATGTTATCTAGCTGGTCTGTTCCAAGGGTCAGCAATGCTCGACTCGGGGTCGTGATCGTACCAACCATCAATAAGCAGGGGCAAGTAATGCATCCGGCAGGTCGCTTCGACGCGGTCCTCCAGCGTCAACGGGAAGAAGCAACTGAAGGCTCGCGAGAATCCCACATCGTAAAATGCCTGTTTCTCCTTCTCGCTCGCAAAATTCCAGTGCTCACCGAAGTACGGCTCGACTTGTGCTTGGATCTTCTCCCACCCGAGGTCGTGAGTTTTGAAGTCTAGCTGGCTGGGAGCAGGCTCCATCGGTCGACTCTGCGCCGAAGCACCAGCTGTTGAATAATTCCGTCGGCATGGGAATACACTGTGCCTTGCTGGGAATACTTTTGGTACATGGACAAATCTGTATGGTCGCGTGCGGGACCCCGGAGGCAGGAGATGCTGCGGGGCGACCTGTCTTAAATTAGGCCGCATCATGATGCGAAGTTGGCCGGTATGCAAGGAGCCGTGGATGAACCAGCGCTCGATCATCGCTCCGGACCTTCAGCTCTAGGGGCGACGAGCGCAAGTGGAGACTCTTGGAAGCTCATCCCGTTGCGCTCGTTTTGAGGTGAAGCTGCGATAAGATAAGCACAGACCAACTCCAGCGCTGATGTCACTGAATGATCTCTTCCCCGTGGATGCGTCAAGTCCCGCATCAAGTCCGCTATATGCTCTCATCGACCGTCGGCAACAAGGCCTTGAATCCTCTTCGTGTTGCTTCAACTCGGCTTCAAGCGACCAGGCTCTTGATTGAAGGTAGCCCCGCCAAAGTGTCAACTTTCTCGACGATGGGACTTCCGGGTGATAAACCGCGCCATGCTCAGGCTCCTTGGCGTGAGCAGCTAAGCTCGCACCTGGACAGAACCCAAGTCTACGAGTTTACGATTGCTACTATTGGCTATGACTCGAAGGGCCGTCCAGTACCGCGGGTTCGCACCTGCGGCTGTCGTGGCTTTTTCCCCGAGTTAGAGCTCCATCCCAGTGGGCAGAAGGATATGGATGAGCAAGTAGAAGACGGGGGCAACCCACCTGTCTACGAGAGTGATCTGCTGACATTTACTACCGATATCCGGATGGAGAAGCTTCATCAGCTTGATGCATCTGGCAATGCTGTTGAGGCTGTCTTCTGGCTCAAGGACTTGATGATCCAATGGCGAATCAAGGGTACAGCACTCTCCATTGGAAATCCATCTGTTGACTCCAAAGAACAAGAGCATCGAAAGGCACTCGGTGACTGGCTGCGGCCAAAGGAGGGCGCTGGGGATATTCAGAAATGGACTTGGGAGAAGGCTGTAACAAAGTACTTTGCAAATCATTCGCCTGTAATGCGAGGTATGTATCCGGTCGATCTTCGTGCAGATTTGATATTCTACATGTCCCCCTTCCCCTGCAATACCCGACTAAATCTATAAAGATCTCAAACCCTCTTGCCCGTGTTACTGTTTTTTTGTGTCCTAACTAGCCATACAGGCTCATTTAAGAGCCCTCCTCCAGGGCAGCCCCGCTCAAAAATCCCCGACAATCCAGAGCTCCAACTAGGGCAGAAAGTCACTGATCTTCATGACCCTATTGCCAGGGAGAATTTCCGAGTTGTAGCTATTGTCCCAGAAGAAGCTGAGTATCTCGATCTTTCCAACGCAGACGATGTTCGACGGTGGAAGTGGGATTTCCAAGCTGCTGGAAGTGAAGGCAACTCGACTGGAAGATGGAATGAAAGTGAATTATGGCCATAGTTTGGTAATGGTGGATCCTGTTAGTAGTGAACACATGATTACTGAAAAGAAGATATGGTTAGACAGCTGCCAGAGCGGAGAAAAAGAGGCTGCATTCACTCATTCACTCATGCACATGGAACCAGTATCAATGAAACCGCAGCCCAACAGGCCCAGGTGGACTCCTGTGAACACGGGTGAATGCTCGAGTCATAACATTCCCCTTAAGTTCAAACTAGCGAGTCCACATTCACTGTATGCTTAGGGAAGAACCTTGGGGCATATAAGGATGTAGGCCCCCCCTCCGGCCCCTCTAGCTTGTAACCAATCTTCGCTGTGACAATTGCTTTCTCACGATGGGAAAGCTCCGTGTCAAATTCGCTGTTCAGGAGGAGGCCGGTGCCCACGCCGCTCCTTCTGGGTCCCGCAAGAAGCCTGGGCATGCTTGCCCAGACTGCAGGGCCCGGAAGGTCAAGTGCGGGCACGGGGGTGACGGTGAGGTGGATGTCGCCGGAGCAGAAGTAAGTACTCACTCCCTTAGCTGTTCACTTTTCTTCTTTGTGTTTTGCCATCTTCCGCCTTCTTGTCTGCCTTGTTCCCCCCGCCTCTTGACTTTGTTTACCTTGCAAACACTGATCATCACCAAGGCTCCCCCTCCTCCCGCCTCGACCACCACCATGGCAAAGGCGCCATTCACCAAGCGGGCCAAGTTGCCCAAGGCCAAAGTCAACAAGGGCCCAAGTGGCAACAGCCAGAACAGCAAGGTTGCCAAGGGCAAGAAGGACAAGGCCATCAACAAGGCCCAGAAGCTTCGCCTCAAGCGCGCGGTGGAGGCCGAGAACGCGGCCGATTCCACCAACTCCAGCTCCGGTCTTTCTACCACGCCTCCCACCGAGTCTGATGAAGACACCTCCAACCTGGCCAAACGCGCCTCTGATGATGGCGAGTCACGTCCAGGAAAACGCGCCAAGCGCCGTCGCAGTGAAAAGGCTGAAGCTCCCACTGTCGACCTCACGGGAAATACCGACGCCACCTCTTCTCGCACCGCTCCCACCCATGCTACTTTCCCCGACCTACCCTCTTTGCCTGACGATAACCTTGAGGCCTCCGCAATCGTGGCAATGCACGTCGTCTATGCCCGTCGGGTTGCGAAGGCGGGCCGAGACTTTGAAGAGAAGATCGCAAAGGCCAAGGAAGCCGTCGACGCCGCCATGGCTGCAAGCCGTGAGATGACCGACTGTGTTCAAATGTGGAGAGACGCTTGGGCAGGCGGCAACTAATTGTGCCCACCGGTCCCTATGATTGACGTCAAGTCTCAGGTATTGCGCAAGGGTTACTGCGTACTGCGTTGATTGGTCCAGGCTGCTTCGGAGCTGTTCTGTTCTGCTCTCTTTTTTTCTTTCAGAGGGGGTTATCTGGGATCGAACGTGCTGGCCATGTATCGCAATCTCATACTTTGTTGTCCCTAATCTCCTGTGTTTATTCTTACCTAGGCTCCAAGGGATCTTCGTTCCCATATGATTAGTGATCAAATCGCAGTCTGTTCAACCACAGACTATTTTTTGGATGGGGACTTGGATGCAGTAGACCGGAGGGCTTAAAGCCTCCAAACCATATTCCAGAAAGACAGATAAGAAGCGGGTGGCGGACGTGTCCCAGGTGGTATGATGCGCAGGTAATCCTCCGTACTATGCAAATCCCTTTCATGCAGTCATTACCATACAAGCCCACGCATTGATGATGCTGATCAGCCAATCACCGACCGAAGTCGAATTGCAGTTCCATGGCCATCTCGGCCCCGTCCGCACCCGCTGCCGCTACAAGATCGACCCGGACAAGGCGGCAGAGCCAGGACACCATCGTAACAGAATTAGAGGGCTTCCTTTTTCCCCTCCCAGGACTTTGAGACCCACGGTACGTGTCATATTGCCTCCCTGGAAAATGTATCCGGTCCCGACTGTGTTCCAGCAGTGTTGTTGGTCGCCTGAGATTAGACAGTTAATCTCGTTGGACGAATGATGTGCGAGGATCCAGTGCTTCGTCCAACCCCTGGTATCCCGGTCCGATATTTGTCATGGTCACCGAACATCTCCGTATGCCAAAGCACTGGAGGAAGATGAGGACGCATCGGTAAACCATCTAGGTTGGACAATAGCGGGAAATTTTGTTGGGCAATCGACTGAGATCCTCGACATCCTCGACATCCTCGACTCAAGTACGTGGGGGGATGTCCCCAGCGCATCACAAACCCTCGTCCATTACAGACCTGCAGAGATAGGGTCTTTTCACCGCTCCTTGTGGAATGTACCTATGGCATGGCACACTTTTCCCACGGCATGCAACAGCAATGCAGTCGACCATAACATGGGGTAAAAGGAGCAGAGACTATCCGGTTTTGACATGGCGTAGAGAAATGGCCCGAACCGTACCGTATGTACATACGTATATGGCAGGGTATTGTAACGGTATCGGGAGCGTAATCCTGACGGGGCCCTGACAAAAGCACCAAAAGTTTCGGGTTTACCGTAATTTCCCATTTCCCCTTCCAGAACCCTCAATGGGGCCTTTATGGTCTTATTTCCCTCCAGCCCCTCCCCAGATTCCTCCTCCATCTCTCTGCAACCTCAGTCGCCGTTGCAGAGCCATAAAACCTGGCGGCCTGTGACTCTCACGATTACGACGAAACGACTTTCATCTCTCAATAGTACTTGGCGCCTCCGAATTCTCTCACAACTACCAGCCCGAAACACCGGAGGAAGCCTCAAGGTAGCCGTCCATCTCTATAGAAATACAGCCTTGGTATGGCCAATTCCATGGATGCTCTGGGAGCGTTCTCTCATCTACGAACCAATCTACCTACCTGGATCACCCGCGTGTCTGAACTAGCCGCACATACCGCTGCCAGACACTCCGAATACTCCGAAGCATACCGTCGCCATGCTGCCTATAAGCCCAAGCCGCGCCGCCACAAGAGCAGCTCCGTATGCTCCGTCCGCACAGACGACGTTGTTCCTTTGTCCCAGCAGAAATCTCCATCCCCAGAACGCCATTCTCTGGTAGAATCCGCCACCAAAGAAGACACACCGACTCAACAGGCTGGGCGCAAGCGCAGCTCAGACGAGGCCCCTTCTATCGACTCGGGCGACCGGTACGAGTATGTCAGTACTCGCCACAATGTGATTATCGACTACGACGGCCACACGCAGAAGGAGTTGGAGGAAATTGCCCGGGACATCGGCCTTGCTCGCAACAACATCCGGCGCGCCAAGATAGCGCTGCTCGGGCGTGGGGGCTTCCGAACAAATATTCTCAACAAGTCCGCCAATCTGAGCACACGGGTCGAGTCGTCGCCGCTGCCTGCATTGTCATGCGTGCGTAGTACACGGACCGGGTCTGCCCTGGTTGGTGTCACGACGGGGTCGGCCAATGGTATGCGCCAGGATTCGCCCTTTGATTTTGCGGACAAGCAGCTGGAGGTTGCCCATGGGCTCTGCGAGACAGCCGCGTGCCAGGTTCTTCGATCGGGAGACTGTGCCACCGAATTGGATGGTGTGGAGGAGAAGTTCAAGATGCTTCTGGACATGGTCAAGAACGAGGTCGCTCGTCTTGAAGAAGAAAAGAAGCAGCAGGAAGCGAAGGAGGCCGAGGAGAGAGAGAAAAGTCAGCAGCAAGAGGGCTTAGCACCGGTGGCTGATGAGGCGCCTTCGAAGCCTCCCGTCGGTGCGGCTGCTCGACTGGCCCGTCTGGGTACGTTAACTGCTAATAAATCCTCTTACGCTTCGACCGCCATGTCCGGTGCCATTGAGGTCGACGATGGCTCCTCTACCTCTGCAGAGTCCATTGACCTTTCTGCGATTCGATCAACCCGGATTCGCGTTTAACAGATGCCACATCATTCTTTCTCAAAGCCGTCTTGCAATCTAGCGTTGAACCCATCTCAAAAGCGTTATTCTTGGTTGATTTCCGACGTTTAACTATACCAAGCATCTGTTTTTTTTTTTCCTGCTTTGTTTTTCCCCCTCTCTGTCGCCATAGGGGGTGTTCATCGATTTGTGCGGAGGCTTTATGCCTATAACAAACACAACTTCCACTAGAGCAACACCACTCTGGGAGTATGTTCCGCGACCTATTTTCTTATTTATTTGCATTCTTTTTACTGTTACTCGTGTTTCCTCGGGCGATGTCTACGTCTGTTATTGGTGCGGTCCATTCGATCTTTGTTCATCATTTTGCATCGGCTTGCGACCATTGGCGAGGAGCGAACGGAGTTGTTTACGGAGTTTTGGGCATAATGTTTGCATTTTGTTACTCGCTTTATCGTGGATTACATCCAGTATCCATCATTTACCTGGAATCGGATTTCATATCTCTCATCGGTACGACGCAACCCCACCGTATTCCTTTTTTCCGTAGCCCTAGTAACATACGAAGGACGGCCTCTTAGCGTTGGCACTATACAGTACGCTTTTCCCTTCTCCACTTGTCAATCGGTAAGAAAGAAAGGGACCGCGTAATCGACAAATAAAAACTTAACTGTGCATGCCTCACGATGCATGACCGTTACCTGTCAGTGGAGGGCAATAAACATCCAAGCCGCTGATTCGCAAGCATGGACGAAGGAGCAGCGGATACCGGCACGGGCCACACTACTCGGGGTCCTCTCGCGGCCCTCTTTGGGTTGACAAAGATTTGGCTACCCAACGATCTTACTACCGTCTCCGAGCGCTCCCTACCCAGGAGAGCAGGGAGACGGTTGCATTGCTCGACGAGGAAGGTGTGAACGGACGCCCTTCGAGTTGGATGATACGTTAATAATTACAGGACTCGGCGTTGCCAAGTGGGGGCGCCCTGCTGCTACGTGGTTGGCTTGTTGGTTATGTGAATCTTCCTCGTCGATCATGCGGATGAGGCTGTTTCGCATTGCGATCCATGATCGCCTCCTGGACCGTAGAGTAGGTCTAGGCGCTGCTATAATTACACGAATGAGTTCCACTGAATCCACAGCAGGGTAGGCAACTCCATTGGGAAGGGGGGTGGTGCGTCGGGCATATGGAGACCTGGAGAATGGAGGGGGAAGGGAGGGGGGAAAAGGCGAGCATTCTACACGACTGTTCATCCACCTCGCAAGATGGCACTCCTTACAGTTAGATCCGAGTTTCGCCACGAGGTGGTGTTACAAGAACTGGGTCGATCGATTATCTAGTACTTTTGTCCAGCAGACCCTGGTCGGCGCAAGCCACCGTGGAAAAGGACTTGTCAGGGGTTTGAATAGAAACACGCTAAGGAAAGATATCTTGTTTTGAATTCTGGGTGGTATGAAGACAAGTTCTAAAGCTTCTCAACCCTAGAAGATAGCTCTAATATGCTTAAACTGAATAGGGCCTTCCTATACCTCGAGTCCTGTATTGTTTGTACGATTATACCCGACGCATACAGAACGGTAACAATACCCGCCCCGCACGGCTCGAGTTTAACTCTCCCCTGAATGGTCAGGTCGATCCCGCGGATTCCACGACAAAAGCACGAGTACAAAAGTTTGGTACGCATGCCTGGCCGATGATGCAACTCGATCTCGATATCCGGAGCCAAAGCAAGTCCATTGCCTTGTCTTTGGCAGACAGGATATGGGATGGACGGCTTCCATAGATTCGCGGGCGTGAAGTGAGGACTCTCCTATCGCGTTATACTCTGCGCTATCGAGATACATCATTGTACATATGCACGCATGCAAGATGACTTGTCGCTGCACAAAGGGCGAACCTTAGACGAGGTGCTTGTGCTAGCGGAAATCACGTTGATACCTATTGGAGAAAAAAAGACAACCTATGAACCGTCGGACCGAGTCCGAGAAACTTGAACGGAGCCGAATAGAAATCTGTCTGCAAATGCTGGGCCAAGCTCCCTGTGTCTTGCTTAAGTGAAACAGCGTGCAGAGTCTGAATGAATTTGGTGCACACTGATACGAGAAGCCGATTCAGTACTTCTATAGAAAGAGAAGATCTCGACATGGTACGTAATACGCCCATGCCACAAGTAAACCGGTGAGCGCCGATAGGCCAATGGGACAGTAGGTTTGAGCTAAATGGTTAAGGTTGGCAAGGAGGTTGAGTCGACTCCGAGTCTTGGTGTAGAATCAGTCCACCACCCCAACTCCGTTCAAGATTCAAGTAGGAAGTCTTGCGAACCCTTTATGGAAGTTGGAGGGGTACGCCAACCTTCTGTAATACAATATGCCAATGCCAAGTATACGAAATGGGCATTTGCTAGAATTGACATGACGTTCCATTTGGTCTGTACAGGGATCTGCATTTCGGATATCAGAGCGTAATACAGACTAAGTACCGTTGCTGCTCGTTGAGAGGATTTGGAATTGGCTTCGACGCATTTCCACACTAGGGAGAACCATGCATTGGAGGCCTGGATCCATGTACTTTGATGCATTTCAAATAGCGGTTCGGGGCCATTTGCAGGTACTAAACGCATGGTGCGTCCATAGTTGCGAAATACGAAGCGCGAGGATGGACTAAGTCGGTCGCTAAGTCAGTCCCTAAGTCAGTAGTGGCAGTAGCGGCGGCGACTTCCTTCCTCATCGAGGAGATCACCTGACTACGCGGCATGGCTTTACACTGTGTAGTTCTCGAATTTACAAGACGGAAAATAATGAACGCACCCTTGGGGTGAAGCGTCTCCATTCCTGGCTCTAAAACTGTAAGGTCGTGCATTCAAGCAGAACGCGGACTTGGGGCTGTTACGCAAGGGTAATTACCTAGTTACACGCACGTCGTCATGCAGTGTCTATGTCTACATATACTCGAAATGCACTCCCGTATGATTTCAGTGACCGAGTGATGTCTCCCCAATAAGAAGTGATTGCAACCACTAAGGTCATTGTATCTCCTGAGATATGGATTTGCACGGCATCAACCCTCAGGCTATGTCTCCCGTGAGCATATCGCCGCATGCAGATCGAAACTCTTTATTTCTTTCTTCTCAGCCAGAATCAGAGGGTGATAAAGTTTCCTGCAATTGCCGTGGCTTCTTGATCTGTCAGCAAGAGATATCCCACCTGGGCATGGGGTGTGGGGTTGAGTTTAAACGCTTACAAATATCGGAGACATTTGAGGGAATGACTGGAGGAATTATTGTGGCTTCAATGGAGATGACGCAGCTACTCCGGATATTACGCTGAACTCGGATTCGAGGGCTTTTCACAAAGGCAACATGGACATGTAGGTTTGTCATTTCCAACACTGGTCCCGAGGTTTCAAGGTTACCGTTGGTCTATAATTATGGTATGGCGGGATATCCAGAATAACCTGTCTAAACGACTAGGACCAGGACCCGGGACGGTTTCAACCTCTTTTTCGCCGCTGTCAAATCAGATTAACAGCTGTAATATGCACATGATGAGAGGCTTGCTATCACTGGCACATTAATCAGACTGATTAGAAATCACACACCTTGGCGTGGCTCGAAGCTCCATAGACTTTCGAGACATAAATGATCTCACAAAGGCTGCGCATAACGGATTCGCTATACAAACTTGCCACAGCCAGAGACAAAATTCAGACCCCCGTTGAAGACAGATCAAAAACTGCAGAGCACCACCAACACACCTTTGCACCATGTCCGCCGCATCCAAAGTCATCCTCATCTTCGGCGCCGGCCCTCGCGTTGGAGCAGGAATCGCCGACGCATTCGCCAGCAACGGCTACAAAATTGCCCTCGCCTCGCGAACCCCCAACGCCCAAACCGACGGCCTCCATCGAATCCACATTCCCTGCGACTTGTCAGACCCAGCTTCCGTGCCCGGTGCCTTCAGCAAGACGAGAGAATTACTCGGAGTCCCCAGTGTTGTAGTATACAATGGTATGTCCCTCCAAGCCAGAGAATATCCCTCAAACCCCCTCACTCATATACCGGTGATGCCGTGGAAGCCTACGGCGGAAACCCAACAGATTACCGCGACCCGCTCGCACTGCCCGTCGACGTCTTCGCTCGCAATCTAACCATCAACACGACAAGCGTCTACGCTGCAGCCCAGCAGGCGCGGGAGTGTTTCGCGGAGCTACCTTCGTCCGCCGCGAGGGCGTTCATTTATACGGGGAACTCGCTGAATGAGCGCATCTGTGCGCCGCTGATGGACCTGGGGGTGGGGAAGACGGCGACGGCGCATCTGATTGAGTATTTGGCGGAGGCGTATGCTCTCCGTGGATTCAAGTATGGACTCGGTTCCTGATACCATGGAGCGCTGGGGCTGACGTTATGTAGGTTTTACTATGCGGATCAGCGCAAAGCGGATGGTTCGCCTATGTGGGCTGGATTGGATGCTGAGGCACATGGGAAGTTTTATCTGGAGCTTGCGGAGGGCGAGCAGTCGCAGGGTCAATGGCAGCAGACTTTTGTGAAGGGGGGTGGGGTATAAGAAATTCTGATGGTGACCGTTTGCACGACCCATTTCATGGCCAGTGAGAGGGTCTCGGGGTTCCTTGTCGGTAGAACTTCCAAGTCACTCTACGTATTACATGCCTACACCGCTCAATACTAACTAGTATTGCTTTTGCTAGAATCTGCACAGTGGATGTGAGAATCATGGACCAAGGCGTATAAGATATAAAAATACATTTTGTCGCTCTGACGTGGAACAGGTTTCAATGTAGTCTCATAACACCATTTTCAAACATTAAATGGACATGACGCGGACTAGGAAGACATCTGCCAGATATTACGAATAGAGATCTACTGTCCCCAATCCTAGCATGCCAATGGCAGCCAGGATAATGAACACACGGAAAACGAATCAAGCCGATTGTATCAGCAGGGTATCACAGGAGGCTGACTGCTGGAACCCATGATAGATTCCTCGCAGAGACAAGACGTGTCCACGCATGGACAGTGGCTAGAAATTAGATATTCACACAAGCGAGAGATAGATCAGCCTAGTAGGCGATCTTCTCTTCGTAAATGGGGGGTCGGCCCTTCTTGACGTCCCATTGGATCTTATTCTTTTCATCCAACCAGGCCTCGTCATCGGTAATTGCGATGACACGGGAGGTGTGAGCAACCTCCTGCGTGCTAACGCCCAGGGTATCGCGAGGCAGCCAGAGCAGGGGAGGCTGGGCCTTGATGGACGGTTGGAGGTAGACGTCACGCTCGACTTCTGCAGGGTAAGGAGGGACCTCGTCGTGGTTGGGGACGAGACGGCGCAGAGTGGCGTAGTCGGAGTAGATGTCTGGGCGGAGCCAGCGCTGAAAGAAGTTGCCCTTGGGCTTCTCGGGGACGCGGGGGCCATCAGCCAGACCCTTCTCAGCCGAGTCGACAGTGCCGACACCGCTGTCGCCGTTGGAGACGCCGGTATGCTCGCCGTTTTTGGTGACGGCATCGGAGACATCGTCGGTTTCCTCAGCCCCGCTGTGGACCTGGCCGCGGTCAGCAGCGAGAAGCGCATCCTCCTCGGCTTCAATGTTCTTGGGCAGGTATTCGATTAATGGATTGGTAGCGTTGTTTAGCGAGACGTGGTACAGTATCACGAACACAAGGAATATGATCATCAGGATCAGAGGGCCCAAAGCCATGCGGTTACTACCGGTGCCGATGGCGAACAGAGCAATCAGGAAGATGATGAGGACGTAGCATCCAACCGTCAGATGCTGCAGAGCGCGAGTGTAGCATCGACCCTGGGTATCAATTTGAGAGTTCGACACATAGAGCACGTTGTATCGGTAGGCGAAGTAGAACAGGTACAACGCGATGGTGGAGAACCCGAGAACCAGAGGAGCGACACAGGAATAGATGATGGCTAAGTTCGCGTTAAGATGTGGAACAGTGGGAAATCTCGAGTTGTAACATACCGATAGTAGCCAAGAATGTGAAGGCAGGGTAAACAGTACCCCATCCAAGGCCAGCCAGGTTGGACCAGCGCTTGTACATCTTACGGGGAGTCTTATCCAAGAACCTGCCCAGAATCTTTCCAAGAATAAGGCCACTGATCTGAACCAGGGCACCAGCACTGAAAGACAGACCCTGCAAAGTGATGTAGGTAATGTAGAAGGTAGAGGCAGTGGGGATCTTTGACGCAAGCAACGAGGCAGCGGAGCTGGGGTTCCGGATGATGTCCGAGACCACACCGGCGGCGGAAGACGCCAACGTAAGAACCAAAAAGGTCTGGACGATCTGGAAGGCAAAGTAGGCGTTCTGGGTGAACAGCTCGACAGATGCCTGACTCGGAGCACCACCCAGCTTGGCCATGAGTCGCATGACGATGGGAACCAGAGACATGAGAGCAGACTGCAAGACCGAAGGGAGCAAACCAGTGATAACACCCTTAATCCAGCTGGGAACATGGTTGATGAATCTCAAGAAGTGGACTTTTTCGGTCAAGAAGTTAATGTTCGAGATGGCACCAATGACGGCAACAGGAATAGTCCAAAAGATGATCATAGCGGTAATGAAAGCAAGGGTGCCGCTGCGTCGCATTACCCGCTCCCACCACTTGATGCGAAGGTTGCTCCAGATGACCTGGGTAGGGTCCAACCCAATATAGCGAGGGGCCATGTGCAGGGGCAGGTTGTGAGCCACTAAAAAAGGAATTAGCTGAAGCCGTTTTTTTTTTTCAATCGAATGAAACATACCGGACTGGTAGGCAGACTGGGCATCGGCCTGCTTGTAGAATTCAACAAAAACAGAAGAGACCTTCTTAGCCTCGCCCGCGCGGTGCTTAGCCTGGAGTTCCTCGATCTCGGGGTTCAGACGCTCGATCTCGGAACGAGCCCAGTTGATGGTATCGACCTTCTTTCCAATCAGAAGCTTGAGACGGTGGGTTGGACGATCCTTAGCGCGGACGTAGCGGGCAGCCACAGAGCCGGACTCGTCGTCGAACTCGCCGACATCCTCCTCGGGGGCGTTTCCTTCTTCCTCGGTGCCGCGCTTCTTCAGGGCCTTGGCGCGGGCCTTGTTGGCCAGAACGATAAGCTTGGTCTCCGCCCCCTCGAGCTTCATAGCGGCCGAGTCACGCTCCTTGACCTTGTCCTCCAGCTCGGCTGTGTCAGTTGCGATCCAGACGTTCTTGACCTTTTCACGGCCCCAAATGTTGCTAATCTTTTCTTTGTTCAGGTAGTCTTCGCTCACGGCGGAGAAAAGAACCGTCCGCGACGAAATGCGACTGGCATAGGCGGCAGAGTACTGGTATGCCTGGCGCAAGTTGATGTAGAAGACGTGCTCCCGGGTAATCATCATGAAGATGAAGCCTGTGACATATTAGCTTGCGCTTGTTTCGGCGTCCGCGGTGCACATACCAATGAAAATCCAAGAAATGAAGCAGTGAGCGTAGAATCGCGCGTAATCCCGCGAAGCGACATTGGATATGCTTAGGATATCCAATTGCTTTTTTCCAGCGTGGGCAGTCGCGTTGACGGAGAACAGGACGGGCCAGGTGATGAAGCAGCCGATAAACATCATCAGCGCAGAAATCTTCAGGAAGCGAAGCAGAAGGTAGGCGTCGAGGGAGTGGTGCTGCAGGACATAGGTATCGGGGAGCTTGTACATCGCCGGAATCCAATTGAACAGTCCAGTTGGGCTCGCCGGGGTGCGCTGCCAGTCCTGGAGATAACCGATATAGGTACGAGGCATATACATGCGGTGCTCGCGCTTGCGAAGAACAATGAACAGCGAGGTCATGACAACGGCACTGATCAGCGCGGGTACCAAGGTGGTCAAGAACGCGGATGCCGACGCCGTGGTCTGGCCGGGATCATCAGCCTAGTATGGTAGTTAGCATCACAAGATCGATTCTTAGCCGGGGGACGCGACGCACGCGGCTGGCCAGCCGGTGTATAGCACCGACGTAGTCCGTCATTGTCGCGGTGGAGGGGATCAGGACGGGCAGAAACGAGGTCAATCAACTCGCATGTATCGGTATCTGTTGAATGGGAGGGGGGGGCGTCGACTGCTCCAGGTGTTGGGGGGGGGAAGAAGAAGGGAAAGAGAAAGAGGTTTAAGCTTCAGGCAGGGGAGAGGGGCACGACGATCTAGGGCTACGTAAGAGCAGCTCTGTCCTGTCTGTTCGCCAATGGCGACGGCCCAGGATTTTCACAAGCCTACGCAGTAGGGGGAAAAGCTCTCCGTCTCAGCGATTCCACCATACCCCCTGTTGCAGCTTAGGGTCACTAGCTGCGCTCCACTTCGGGGATGTGGCGAGTAAGCGACCGTGCCACATCTGTCCCGCGTTGGATCCAACCCAAGACGGCCATCCGATCGCTTTCTACGGTTCGCTCCATGTGACGATCGATGACGCTACAAGACACGAGCCGCTGGAATTTTGTCGGTGAATTCCCAACCCGCTCGATCATCCACTACGGTTGGATTGTTCACAGTTATGTTTTGCGCGCGTAAGGGGCAATGCCAAGATTCTCGCCACACGCTCAAGCCACAGCCTCAGCCTGAGGGAAATTAGCTCGAAACACGACACGTCCAAAGGTTGTACTGATCCTTGAAAAGAACCTTATGGGTTACGGAGAAGTCCGAGCATTTCCCAAAAAGTCTAATATCCTGCAATTGCTGCGGCGCAATGTAAAAAAAATACGAGCCAGATCGGGGAGTTTGCTAGTAGAGTTTCGTAGCTGGAAAACTATAATCTGCACTATTGACTTCGATGGAGCTCTGGGCCACGAAAATTGATCCCAGGCCCGACCGGTATTGCGTTTGCAATGCAACTAGGGAGGCGTCCCAGCAGGACCAAGCAGGCAGCCAAGAGGATTGACGATCACCGTCTTGCCGACATGCAATGATGAGCTGGCTCAGCGCGACCCGATCGGTCGGAAATTACGCTAAACCAAAGACGCTAACCTCAGAATAGGAAACACAGATCGATAGCCTACCCACAATGTATGAGAACCATAAACGGGCCATCCGTGGCGAAATTGGTTAATCCCCACTTGCTTGGATTCGACTTGAAAGAGGTACTCCGTACGGAGTACCCCGTACATTCTTCGAGTATGTACTCCATACCCCGGATAATGCGATCAATCCCTTGGGTGGAATGCGAAGGTAGCAAAATAGATCAGGTATGATGTAAGCCAATTTCTTGACACCTGGCACGACGATCACGGCTGGAACGATAGGAGGCATGTCCTCCGCAGGAACCGGAGCACCCCATCCCATGTCTTATGAGAGCGATAAGATCTCTCTGTCCGTGGAGTTCCCCGTTCTTGGACCCATGAACATCAAGTCGTCAGCATATAGCTTCACGAACGCAGGTCGTAGAATCCCATGATCCACACCGAGTCCACCGCTTCTTCCTTAGTCGATATCAAGGACTGTAATCATGAGGATTTCCCTGTGGTACCGGTCCACAATGCGCACGGCCGCAGTTCGCCCCTATCAATGACGCCCTCTTCGGCCACGTCCACATGATTGGGCTTCTCTCGGTCGTATTCCAGCCACTGAAACACAGCCATGAGAGAGCTTTGTCAATTCAATAGTGTGCCCATCACTAGCGCTACCCTTGGAGCAGGGGGAGAAGAAGGCCAGCTTGCAGATCACTGATCAACCCAGCCAAATTGAACCTGGCAAAATAAAACAAGACAATAAATTAATTCTATCAAGCCCGGGCTTCATCGCCCAAAGGCACCGGTATATGTACGAAGTTCATGCTGAAACACCTCTATGCCGCGAATCGGCGCTTTCAGCGTCAAAAAGCTCATAAGAATTTCATTAAAAAGGAACTGCAGATCCGGCCGCAATTGCTTGTGCGTCCTCAGCAACTCACCGGTCCACCATGCCCGCTCAGGGTTACGCAAATCGGCGTCGCCTCCCTGTTCCAAGAGCAGCCAGACCAGCGTTTCGCAGACGAGATGCCTGTGCAGCTGGTGCTGCTCCACTACCGCGGTTAGGTGCGCCAAAAACCGCGCCGCCTTGCTGGCGCAGTCCTTGAAGTCCCAGAGCGCGGCGGTGATGTAGATCAGGGCGGCGGTGCGACTGACCTCCTGCGTGTCCGAGTGGGGGAGGATAAACTTCCGTGAGGCCAAGGGCACTTCGGAGGGCCGAGGCCCGCTGGAGAGAAGCGGGAAGAGGGGGCTTTCCATGGTGAAAGCGGTCTGGCGGAGGGGAGCGGCGGCTAGATAGTCGGCGGAGTTGTGGGCGCGCATGATCTCCTCGGCGCCGCAGAGAAAAGAGAGGAGCCACTGCTGCGCGGCAGGCTCGATGGGAATGCTGGATTGGGGTATCGGGAGGATGTAGTGGATGTAGTTGACGAAGGCTTCAACTTGCGGATTGCAGCCTGTACGTGGTCGCATAATTCGAAATGCGTGATCTAGATAACCGTAGGCTTCCTCTTTATTGCCAAATCGGTGCTCGTGGAGGGCCATTCCAGTGAGTGCCATTGCTAAACGGTCATCTTGGAGGGGTGCATGGCCCGCGGTGGCATCGTGAATGTATTGTCGAGCTTGGGCTGTGTGTCGTTGCGCTGGCTCGCTGTCTGGCTGACCGTCAAGATGAGCTTTGAATCGGGCACAGTAGGTCATTACAACCGCCTGGAACGTGATTAGGTGCTCTGATGCGATTTGGAAGATCTGGGCCTTGAGATAACTGTTTTCGCCCGACCAGTAGGCTGTCTTATACCAGTACCCGACCAGCGCTTGGTCTTCAGGGTGGTAGTAAGCCATAACGTGGGAAGAACACGAGTTCTTTCTCGTAGAGGACCCGGGTATCGGCGCGCCCGATTGCGTGGGTAGTGATGGTGAATGTGGTGGCATGGCGGAGAACCTGATGGGAAGCTATAGACGGAAGTGTCAGCATCGGTGTCATCTAGAGCACAAAGGATGTTTGGCTTCTGCCGCAAGGAGATGGGTTTTCATACGGACGACTCCTGGTCTGCACCAGCCGCCACTGATTCTCTTCGATTATCTGTGTCATACCCCGAGTCCTTCCTGGCCTGCCAGGAGGTATATTCCTGCATCTGGTCACCGGGGATCGACCCGGTAGACTCCTTTCGTTGCTTTCGCTTTTCCTGGACATGATGCCGCATTACATGGGCGCGTTTCTCCTTGGAGGACGAGTTGGAGTCGACGAAATAGAAGGATTGACTCTTTGCATGGTGAGATTCTGAGGTGTGCTGGCGCCGCCGTCGTTTCGTTCGAATTGCCTGGGGGGCATCGTGGGAGGAGCCTACTGTTAAATGGGTCCTGTATGAGCTATGCAGTTCGCCGAAGACTGAATACAATCGGGCATTTGGATTTACCTGTCTCCAATGGAAATTCGGTGGATTCCGGAGGTATTTCTTCAGGTTCGGGCCGTCTTGCAACTCCCGGTGGTGGCTCCCTCCCCGACATGTCGCGATAAATAGTCGACGCAATTACACGGCTAGAACATACCGAGCGCCCAAAGTCCACCTGTGCCCTAGGGTTGAGGAAGCATCGCAGACCGGCAGTTAGAAACAAGCCCGCGAGGCTCGAGGGGCGCCGCAAGAAGGGGGCGGTGGATGACGCTTCAAGAAATTATACTGCGTACTCTAATGCAACGCAAAGCCAGTGCGAGATACCGTCCCATACGCCAAGGAATAGGAGAGAGAGAGAGGATGAGAAAGAGGGAAGAAATGCCAGTAATGGGGACCAAATTGGGGCTACAGGGAAGTCAGCAACAAAAAGAAAACCATATTTCCTGCACATCCATCTCCCATTTCCACCAGAAGGGGGGGGGGGGGGCAGATACATTTGACTATTTCCCAAACGGGCGTTAGCCACGGCCCCGGGAACGTGTGAGAGTGGAGCCCGTAGCCCTTCTGGAAACACTCAAGAAAGGCTAAAAGGGCTGGACAGACCCGCTTCGTTGCCTGTCTGACGCCTGAGTGGTGGGAAACCCGGAACCAGGGGGTTGACGATTGTCGTGTTTAGAGACATGGCAAACACGACAGCTCGAAGAGAGCCAAGCAGGTTGGGGGACAAAAAAGGACCCCATAACTTGACCGGACATCAAAAAAGGCCCCCAGCTGGATGTTGCAGTACGAAGTAACAATGGTAGAGTTATGCGTCGCGTTAGCCTCCAGTTCCCGTGGCATTACCACAGCAGCCGGCCGGACGGTTATACATACCAGCAAAAATCTCCTTCTGCCGACCATCGTTCTACATTTCCCCTTACTATTCGAGATCTTCGCTATTGGAAGCCCATAGATTCCTTTCCGCTTCAATATTCGGACTTTGGCCGGAGCTTCTCTCCTCGGGTCGAACGCTCAGAGATGGATTCTAGTTTATCACTACGAGTATTGCTTTGGGGGCTACAATGATACAAATGGCGATGAAGACCTATGGCTAGCAGGATACAAGCTAGAGAAAGGGTCCTAAAATCTCGAATGTACCAGGATAACATCAATCAGGAAGACTTTCACTGAATACCAATAGCACGGTGAGACTAGAAGGCCCAAATGACTCAGATAGGCGTAGAGCCTGAGGGCTGGTCGGGTTATTGATTATCAGCTTGCCCGACCTGAGTCCTGACAATTCCACAAGCCCCTCTACATGGTACCAATTTGATTCAGATCGCAACCTAGGACTGCAGACAATGGAGGTTGGTCCACCAGAAAAAGCCCATGTCATGCAAAGGATATCGCTTCCGTACATATGTTATACCAACGTTGACAACCTTCGGGTTCGGGTTGTCCGTATATCCTCAGGCGTGCGGAATGGGGCGATATAGTCTCCAGTATATTTTGTCAAGACCTAAGGCAATGAGACAACATTCTGAGCTCTTGTAGGCATGTGTGGGAAACTTGACCAGCGTTATGCATGCGTTTGGCGATATCAATCCACGAATACAATTCATATAACCTAGTCTCTTCCTTTGCGGCATAAATATGTACCATAGCGCGTCACAGACCCTTGTATCAATGTCGACGAAAAAGATTTCGAGAGGAAAGACAGGGTGAAAAGATCATAGGTGAAGAGCTTCGGAAGGCAAGCTTGAGAGGGAGATCTTATCAAATACACGCACCTTAGTGCTTACGGGCAGAGCCACGCTAAACCATAGCTGGGGACACTATACCCAGGACGGTAAATCGCCAGTCATTCAAGAATACGGGCCAACTACGGACGAGGGGGACCTCTGTCCTGTTTAGGTAAGCGCGTTGGGACATGACACAACCCTGTGGACGAATCAACTAAACCGCATATGAGGGCCCTTTTCCGACGGCGGTCCAGCTCTGGTTCAATCCGCATACTTCGCCTCTGTGCTTATGTGCTTAGGAGCAAGGGTCCTCCCACGCGAGGTATACAGGTATACGGGGTGCCTCTGGTCCCTGGCGGCTACCTGTCCCTTCCGCAAATATGCACGTACCTCACTACGGATAACCATAGTAACATTCTACGGCCTCAAATGACGCAACGCAGCTGATTACAATCCAAACTAGTTACCGAGGACGAATGGAACTCGGTAGTCCACGCCAAAGGAGAATTCCCGTAAGTCACGTGATATATATTTTCGCACGTGATATTAAATTCACCTGACCCAGAAATCAATTAACGCGTCCCGGCGCCCAAAAAGGGGAAAATGGACGCGCCCGCGTCGCGTCCCGCGAAAAAAAAAGCTGCCCCCTGCGTGGATCCTTAGTCCCCTATCGACAGCTTTCTCCCCTCTCCTCGACCTCCATTCCCCACCACCTGATATCCGCGAGAGCTTCTTCGTTCCCATCCCAGCCTGAAATTGGCTGTCCGCTCTCTGCCATGTCGTCCTTGTTTGATGCCGTCCTCCAGTCCGAGCTGGGCTCTGGTGCCCATGACAACCTCATGTCGGATAACCTGCCCAGTTCACGACGTTCGGAAAGCAATGGTCCCATGAGTGACATGAACATCTTGCCGGATGATCAGGTTGTCGGTGCAAGCTCATCCGCTACGAACCGTTTGCGCAATCCTTACGCCCCTGGTCCTCCCCCGATCGTCGACGAGACTGGCGAGTATGTGCGGACTCAATTCGAGTTGATGCTCGAGACTTTCGTAGAGCGGAAAGACAGCAGAGACAAAGACCCTTCTTCCTCGGCACCACAGTCATCCGGGGAAGTTCTCAGTGACAAATATTACATTGCTCAGATCAAGGGCATGACGAAATTCGAACTGTCCACCCTCTACGTCGACTTTAATCACCTTCTAGCCTTTGGGAACTCAGCCTTGACTGAGTCCATTTCCACCATGTACTACCGATTCCTGCCATTCCTCACCAAAGCTCTACACAATATGGTTGCTAAGTACGAGCCTGAATACTTTGTCTCTCACCGATTGGCCTCGTCCGGCACCACTCATTCCAGTGCCTCGGTGGCATCAGCGTATGCGAGTGCCAACGAAAACCCGGACGTCGAGCGTCAGCTTCGCCAGAAAACCCGTCACCAGCAGACCGACAAATTGTTTGCCCTCGCATTCTACAACCTTCCCCTAGTATCCCGCCTTCGACAGCTGCGAACGAAGCAAATCGGCAGACTGCTTTCAATATCGGGAACTGTGACCCGAACTTCAGAAATTCGGCCCGAGCTATCGCTGGGAACATTCATCTGCGAGGCTTGCAAGTCCGTGGTGCCCAACGTGGAGCAGACCTTCAAATACACAGAGCCCACTGAGTGTCCCAACCAACAGTGTGGCAACCGACATGGCTGGCGCCTGGATATCGGCAAGAGTACTTTCGTCGATTGGCAGAAGGTCAAGCTCCAGGAGTCATCTCACGAGATTCCAACTGGCAGCATGCCCCGTACGATGGATATCATCTTGCGCGGAGAGATGGTCGACCGCGCCAAGGCTGGCGAGCGTTGTATCTTCACCGGGACTTTGATCGTTGTGCCAGATGTTAGCCAGCTGGGTCTGCCAGGTGTGCGCCCCGAGGCTGTGCGGGACAACGGTTCCTTCCGGGGAAGTGAAGTCGGTGGAGGTGGTGTTTCCGGCCTCAAGGCTCTTGGTGTGCGCGATCTGACCTACCGCCTGGCTTTCCTCTCCTGCATGGTCACCCCCGATACCACAACCCCGGGCCAAACCCCTGAACAACAGCTCGGTGGACAAGCCAACAACATCCTGGCTTCCCTCAACCAAAACATTGATACTGACATGAACGACGAGAAGGCGCAGGAAGCTTTCCTCGCGAATATGCCTGCTCCAGAGGTCGAGTCTTTAAAGGCATTGGTTCATACCGAATATATCTACCAGCGATTGATTAACTCGATCGCCCCCATGATTTACGGTCATCATCAGATCAAGAAGGGTCTGTTGCTGCAGTTGATCGGTGGTGTTAGTAAGAGAACTGCTTCAGAGAGCCTTCAATTACGTGGTGACATCAACATTTGCATTGTGGGTGACCCTTCTACTAGCAAAAGCCAATTCTTAAAGTAAGTCATTGGAGATCTGAACGGGTATAATGCCGACAAACTAACCGTCCATAGGTACATCTGTTCTATGCACCCTCGTGCTGTTTATACTAGCGGTAAAGCCTCCTCCGCTGCTGGTTTAACGGCTTCGGTGGTCAAAGACGCAGAGACGGGCGAGTTCACCATCGAGGCCGGTGCCCTGATGCTTGCTGTAAGTAGAACTTGGCTACACCTATCAGCTGAACATAATAGCTAACCCGGAGATCAGAACGGTGGCGGCATCTGTGCCATCGACGAGTTCGACAAAATGGACATTGCCGACCAAGTCGCCATCCACGAAGCCATGGAACAACAGACCATTTCCATCGCCAAGGCCGGCATCCACACCACCCTGAATGCGCGAGCCTCCATCCTCGCCGCTGCCAACCCCATCGGTGGCCGGTATAACCCCAAGCACACCCTGCGCCAGAATCTGAACTTCAGTGCCCCCATCATGAGTCGATTTGATGTCTTCTTCGTCGTCCGCGACGATCCCAAGGAATCGGTCGACCGCAATCTTGCCGAACACATCGTCAACGTGCACATGAATCGCGACGAGGCCGTCGAGCCAGACCTCAGCACCGAGCAGCTGCAGCGCTACATCCAATTCGCGCGCACCTTCCGCCCCGTCTTCACGGAGGAGGCCAAGGCGGTGCTCGTCGAGAAGTACAAGGAGCTCCGCGCGAACGATGCCCAAGGCGGCATGGGCCGCTCGTCATACCGGATCACGGTGCGTCAACTGGAATCCCTCATCCGTCTCTCCGAGGCCGTGGCCAAGGCCAACTGTGTCGAGGAGATTGCCCTAAAAATTCGTCCTGGAAGCCTACGATCTGCTCCGCCAGTCCATAGTCACCGTCGAGAAAGACGATGTGGAGATGGACGACGACGAGGTCCCCGCCCCGCCGACAACGACGCCGAGATGGAAGACCGTGACCGCGAGGGCGACAGCCCCATGGCCGAAGACGGCGAACCCGCCGCCGCTCGTCCCGCGCAGCCCGAGCGGGTCAAAACCAAGATTACTTTCGACAAGTATTCGAAGATCCTGAACCTGCTTGTTCAGCGGGTCCGCGAAGACGAGATCCGCGAGGGCAACGGCGTTGGCCACGAAGAACTGCTCGTGTGGTACTTGGAACAGATCGAAAGCCAGCTCCACAGCGAGGACGAGTACAAGCAGGAGTATGACCTGGCGACGAAGGTGCTGAAGCGCATGGTCAAGGACAGTATCCTGCTACGCGTTTCATCTATGGTCCAAGACGGGGAGGCGGGGGCTGCGGATAACAGTGTGCATTATGTGCTTCACCCTAACCTTCCTGTTGAAGAGATGTAAATCGGTCCTCTTGTTCTGTTTTTGCGCGATTCTGTTTCCATTTTGTTTCCCTGGGTTGGGTTTGGATTTAGCATTTGCCGGCTGGACATGGAGCTTGGGGGTCATGAGTGATGATATCCGCTTTCTTGTAGCTTTTATGGCTGGACAGAACAACTTGAATGTATCGTTCAGAATATGGCCTTCCCGCGTAGGACGTTGCCTGCCTCGACTACTTCTACAGCGTAAATTGGTATGGTCCAGGAGGTCTCGGGATGCTCGCCTGAGATATCATGTGTTGGCGAGATCCTCTTCCAGGGGCAGCAAAGACAGTCGTTTACGATTCCAGGTAACGCAAATTTGTGCGCGAGAACTGCTTACATTTTTTTTTTTTAAGCATTCAGAATGATAGCCGTCTTTCTCTCTCTCCAAATCCGGACCCTTCGACTTCGAAGACAAATTTCATGACGAACTACGCCAACTGCTTTCGGAACTATAGAGCCCGCCTCGTCCCAGGCAAGCCTAGCGGCAGTACGATATCCCGCGGATCAAGACCAAACCGTGACACGCCTTTGAGCCTTCGAAGCACCTTGAACACGTCTCGGGCAAGCAAGCCACAATCGCATGAAAGTTGGCTGCTTGATAACCATCTGTGTCTACGAGGATCATTGCTAAAATCTCACCATTCAAGCCACAAATCCGGAAATTCAACCCCCAATCTGCATTGATACCCGTCAATGAAGTGTTCTGAATGCACGTCAGAACTGTCGCATACTGCAGGGGTCCATGTGAATCGAGAGAAAACTGCCAAACCACCAACAACGCCCGCTAGGCTGTCACCCAGGTCTCTGACCGAGTCCGGCTTCCCACTTCCTAGTCTCGGATTCATCTCCGACAAAACCGCACCAGAATCCTCCATCGCAAAACAAAGCAATATCCGCCCCCCCTCGAGCCTCTCCTGATTAGGCAGGCCCGGTGCTACACAATTTCCCGCACCAAACCACCCCCACTCCGACCTTCTAGAAGGCGGGGCCGCAAGCGTAGAATAGAGCCAAAAAAGAGAGGCACACCCAAAAAAACCCAAAAAAAGGAAAGTAATAAAAAAAAAGGGACCCCTCCAGCACACAACAATCCACCGAGTTTCTCACCGGTGGAGTTCCATAGCGCGAAAGCACACTTGAAACACCAAAAACCGCCTCACCCGGCCCAATCATCCGGGCCTCGACACTCCCTGAATATCAGCCTAATAATTTCAGCAGCCGTGGCAAGCGCGCCGAGATTTACCCGTTGGAAAATAAGCCGTAAATTGCTGCCTCCGTGGCGAGCGGTCACCTGCGAACTTCCGTGCGACGTGATGAGGCGGATTTAGATGAGAGGGAGCCTAGACTACGCCTGGGTCGGGAACCGTGCCGACAGGCAAAACAAAAACAAGAAAAAAAAATGTCTATCCGGCTGCGGGCGGTTCAACAATTTGCGATAACTGCCACGAACACGGCGCTCAATTTTCCATTACCAGGCGGCCAGGGAAGGGGTTACCCGGTCCAGGACTGGGGACGCCCTGGGGACGCCCTGGAGACGTTGTAGGTTGATGCCGGGCAAAAAAAAAAGTCCCCGAATATCCACCGTTGTAAATAACGGGCGTTGAAGATAAGGCCAATAGAACGGTGCGCGAGCGGCACATGCTTTGGCCCCTTTAGACTGCCGGGGGGGGGGACTTACCTTGGTAGAGGGCGGAATAGTGGCAGGATTGAATGATTGAATAATTAGATCACGAAAGAGAATTAGATCATTTGTAAAATTGTATACACTCTGGCCCCTCCCTTCCGCGGACAAAACCGAGTCTCACGGTTGCATAGAGACGCGAGTCACCGGGAGCCGTGCACGCGGACAAGGCGGTGGTTATGGAGGGTACATGATTTTGGAACCCAGGGATCTCCTTCTGCGACCGTAGCGTCTGCATCTACAAGCACGAGATTCGAGCAAGAATCGAGAAAAAAAAAAGATGGTGTGTTGGATAAAGCTACCTAAGATAATGATAACTAAAGGCAGGTGGTGTTGCCCGAAGAAGCCAGCTCACGTCTTTCACCGACTCTTTGGAGGAGTGATGGTGGCGCGGTGGCGTAGGTAGGGCTTGGGGATCAACGGAGAAGCGGGAAGGTCGAAGAGCGGACGAGATAGAACGATATCGGAACGAAAATAAACAGGGAAATACACGATGGGGTATTTGGCGGGGGTATCTGGAAAAATCACACGCTGAGAGGCAAAATGAGTAAAAAGGAAGAACACCGGGCGAAGATGCTAAACAAAAGAGGTAAAAAAAAAAAATAGAAAGGGAAAAAAAAAAGGGAAAAAAGAAAATAAGAATAAGAAAGCACAATCGTGAGAAGGTATCGCTGCAACGCCGGAGGAAATCGAGTGAGTCACAAAGGAGTATTTCTGGAAGCGCGGAGACCGAAGGGAATTTTAGGTAAGCGCGGGGTGAAGAAAAGAGGGTGATAAGCGGTGTTTGGAGGGATTCGCGTCATCCGCGTGGGGGGGCCAGAACGGGCGAAGATTCGCCGAAGCTGCAGCACTGATCGACGCCGCTGACCGGGGGCTGCATGGGCGATAGTTGTTGCAACTCAGATGAGGGCCTGTGTGATTCCACAGGTGTCACAACAAAGATCGAATACCAGATGAGATTGGCCCGTTCCTTCGTATCGGAAGAGAGAGTTGAGCAAAGTATGGTTGATGGGTGAGGGTGGGGTGGACCCATGGAAGCGGAAAGCATTAGGATTAAGATCGGGGAGTAATGCGAGATCGTAGTCCCGGCGAGCGCCCGCGCTACACCGAAAGGTTGACAAAAATAAGAGGTCTAAGGCATAACAACCTTGGCTCCAGAGGAGTGAGCACGGCGTTTGCCTTGGACTGGGCGGCGCTTCTTAGACTTGGGTGGAGAGCGCTCGGCGGGACTGTCGACCTTTGCTTGACGAAGGGCTTGCGTGGCACGGGCATGGGCTTCGACCTTGGCCATGAATCGAGCGCGATCTTCCTCCTCGGCGGCGGCTCGGATAAGCTCGAGCTGCTGCTCCATCTTCATAGAAGAGAGAAAGTGCTTGGGCTGCTTGGCCTTGGGCTCCTCAAGGATGGGAAGCTCCGTGGGATTCTCCGGCATCCACAGGAGATCCTCATCGGAAAGGAACGCGTTGTTGACAAACGTGTCACATGGGTTGGCGTTGGACAGGGAGGCACGGTTCGGCCATGAGGGAAAAGCACATGCGGCGCCCATTCCGTATTCGCTAGAGAATGATGACTTGCGCGGGTGGATGTCATAGAGGGAGTCGGTTGGCGTTGGTGGAGGAGCGGATGGGTTGGAGAGAGGCGAACACTCGAAATCGCTGCCGCTCCAGCTGAAGCTGACCTGTGCCGGGTCGGTTGTCGCCACAGGAGCTGCGGTGGTAGCTTTGGCGACAGCCATATCCCGTATCCGGGCCTGGATGGGAATCATGGTGATGGTGAACCTCAGAGATGGAAGATTGGCGGGAGGGGAGTCTGAAGGTTGGGTGTGGAGTCTGGAGATCAAGGGTGAGGATGGAGATCTTAAGACTGAAGGGTTCGGTGGATCAAAGCAAGAGGGCGTCCGTTGATTTTAAAAAAGAAAGACGCGGTGTGGGTGCGATATCTCAAAGCCGGGGAAGGCTTCTAGACTCCCGGCACCACCCTTGCAGTTCCGACTAAGACAAATCAAATGATAAAATCAAAAATGGGAAAATTAGGAAATCATTTTTCGGAATTTCGGATTCTCGATTCACTGCCTAATCGGGATTTGATTTACTATTTTTTCTGCCCCAATAAAGGATTCAGGCGTCGTTTCCAGTGAGGCGATCAGTGAATCAGGAGGCCCAACAGGCTCCCCGAGTGGAGACCATTCCAACTGATCCTCCCTGGCCCCTCTAGGAAAAGCAATAAGCTGTCGATGACCTCCCCCAAAAAAGCGAAAAAGCGGAAAAGGGGGGGAAAAAACAAAAAAAAAGGTATTTTTGACAGCCGCCCCAAGAGATGTGTCGAACCGCCCATTTATCCGTCGCGCGAGTCCCGCGGGGAAGATCGGAAGGCCTAGAGCTCATACTCAGCCCATCGTCGATAGGTCTGATTTCTTTTGATGGCGTGGTATGAGGATCAGAGGAGAGGAGTTCTCTCAGTCTATTCTTTCTCCCAAGACTATATACAACACGCCTGCATTCTCGCAGGGCGTGTGCGACTGCCCAAGGGGATTGAAAATCCGATTGTGTTGCGGTGTAGGGGCATCCTGTGGCCCCGAGACCAACTCACCAACCCCCCGATTATCGGATTTTTCACCGCTGGAGCACGATGTGCAAATTAAACTATGTGGAATCCGGTCTATCGCACAATGTTCTGCAGGGCTGCATTAGCCCAGTGCCCAAATCCTTGACTCTTAACCCTGGAAGGGTACTTTTGGTCCACACCAAAGATCAGATTGATTGCCCAGCCTACACGTTTGATCTGTAGCGGTCAGAATGGCGCTAACAGCGGTCACAGAAACACGTCGACTCAAACAGATTGCATGCCTCGAAGCCATGTACATTTCCGTGTAGATTAGTCCTCCGCCTCCCAGATGGCCGAGGAAGAGGCGAAAAATGGACCTCGGCAGAATTCGTGAAGGGAAGATGTCGGCGAAGGACTCCCGCAGGCCGTTCCGCCGACCACAACAGCAATAAAGCTAAGGAACTCCATATAATGGAAGCAGATCCCACAGCGGTCCTCAACCTCGGGTCGAGTCCGGGCCTGTGGAGTTCGGATGAGTTCCCTCGGCTTGGGAACTTTCCTGATTAGGAAAGCCGATAAGTGGTGCTGTCGCAACCCCGGGGGGAAGAGCGTTGGCCCGGATAAGCACGTAAACACCCAACGGCTCTATTGAAGATGATTCTGTAGCCATGTTTTGCTCGGACTAATCGCATAGATAAATTGTTTGCATCTGCATGCACACACCCAAATAACCCCGTATCCCCCACTGACTTGGTATTGAGTAGGTGCATCGCTTGACCCCCCCCCTACTGGATACATCGTGTGGCTGAGGATCGGGTCCTTTTTAGCGGCATGCTCAGCGATGAGCACCAGGATTATGGAAAAGAACAAAAGAGCGGAAGAACAATCAAATGTACGTTTCCGCACCAATCAGAAAATGCCCATGCTAACCGTCGATCGCCCCGTTTTGGTCTTTGGGGGTCTTCGGCCTTCTTAGTTCGGTCTAGATCTGCCCGAGAACAAAGAAACGGTTTTACTGGTGTAGCTGGAGTAGCTGGAATAGCTAATGGAATCGAACTATTAGGGAATGGCCGGGCAATCATCGTATCTCCTCAGGAACCACCGGGCTGGTCTCCATATTTTTTTTGGTCGCTGGCGCATTGGATGCATAGGCGATCATCGTGGGTAGGCCACCATTGGGCAGGAAGCTCTTGAGGTCTCAAGCGGGTTACGCGGAGCTTCCCCGGCCCCAAGTGGGGCGGGGTGACCCGCCACCGTGGGTTCCCCGGCCATTAACCTTGGCGGTCCCCTTGTTTCCTTTCCATGCGCCCTTGATCGTCCTTAGAGATCGTCTCTGGCGAGCACATGTCACAATTGCCAGTCTCCAGGAATCGATTTTATGTTCGTCGACGGCCCGTCGGGGAACCCGGGTCAGCTATCCCCTGATCGCCGTTCCCAGTATGGAGTCCCCAGTGCTTCGCGTCCAATGATCCAAACATCCAAATATCCAAAAATGAGAGGTTCTTTGGTGCTTTTTTGACACTTTGGCATCCTCTCGTCCATGATTCTATCCAGGGGGCGGCCCGCAGACTGCGGTCCCGCAGCCCTCGCAGGATCGTGGTCTCCTCCTTTTCCAGTCACTCGGGTTTCTCTCATCGCCCCTAAGCTAGTTACCATGTCGCCGGGTAGGTATTTTTGTTTTGGACATCTCCTTCACCTCCCACATCTAGTAAGTGGTTCTCGGTGGACCTTGGGCACCCGAGGTAAATGGGGCTGGACCCCCTGAATCTCTGTTAGCCCAGGAACATGGCATTCATCTCAGGATCGCTTGTGATTATGATGGTATCCATTGGAGCGCCCTGGTGAAGCCACGGGGCCAGAATGTGTGACTACGGATTATTGCTACCTAGGGAGTCTCATCAGAGGTTGCTCACTGTCGTCAGTGGCGCTCGGGCACGTTCCATCTACTTACAACCGATGCGCGTACAGAGGACCTTGAGGATTATGTGAGGATTATGTGCGGTTTAATCTCCTCCGTGCAGGATCAGCCAGGTCGCATTTGGTAGACATAGCACAAAGCCACCTTTTCATCATTAATGCAGCATCAAGCATCGCAAAGGATCCTTCATCAACTGGCCAGGCCTGCGCTTTGATCCTCAGGCCATCCCGGGAGCTTCTTCCACTTCCATCTGCAGCTCATATGCAAGATCTAAAGGTCCGATCGCCACCAAGCAAGGGGCCTTTCCCCCAAGATTGAGCCCCAGACTGAGCCCCAGAGTTCTATCCAGCAATGAGTCTTACTTGTCGATTGTCTCATATCCTGGTTCAGATGAGTTTACAGTTCCAATAGTTCTATTGTTCTGTTTCCCCCGGTTGACGGATACAAATCTGTTTTGGCCTCAACTGTAGCATTTAGACCGCCCCTTGCCACCGATCCACAAGGCCGAAGCCACATCTGCTGCAACCGCCACACTGCGCGGAGCGGTGGGCCAGTGCTGTACACGCAGATGCAGACTCGCAGATGCAGACTCTGGGTCGTGAAGATCTGAGCTGACGCACAGTCCAGAACCTTATGACACAGGTCCCTACCAGATTTGTCCTCCGGGGAATGTGATCCAAGGGAGGCTGCACGACGTGCAGAGCTCAATCAGGATTTGGGCTTCGCACTGTCGCTCTATGCGTAACCCTGTCCGGGACCGACCATCCGCCCTCCGTGACTGGCGTTCGCCTTGACCTCTTCACAGGGCCTGTTTCTTCTCCTCACCGTATCCGAAACGCTTCTCAATTCGGTCAAGCAGGGATCGGATATCACATACCTCTTCGCTTTCTGTGGATTCCTATTCCACCGAGGTGTGCGCTCCGACCCTTGACTCATAGTCGAGCTGGTAGATGCCGCGAATGAGAGCCTGCGACCGGGGCTAGTCTCAGTAGACAATCTACCCTCAGATACGAAGGGTGTCTCTACATTAAGACATATCTTCAGGGTTCCCTGGAAAATGCAAGTCTGACCGTGCTGCAATTTGTCCCGATGAGTGGACATTTGAACTAATGTGGTTGCTTTTTATCGCATCGCTCTAACCATCCAACTCACCAACAGTTAAAGGGGATATCTCACTCATCAGCTCTAACTAGCCTACTCTAGCATATGCTTACATTATCCCCCGCCGCGATCGGTGAATTACTTCCCAAAGCTAGTCAGACCCCGGACAATATTCATCACCACTGCCCTAATCCAGGCCTCCAGAATCCTCGACCTAATCAAGCTGAAGCGGCAACTCGCGCCATATTGGAGAAATCCCCTCGACGCCCAATCCTTTCATTTCTAATTCCCACCCCTAGTCAACATATGGGAAAGTCGAAATCCCGACCGGGCGTCCTGCGACAAACCGGAGGCAGGAACACTGCAGTTCCAGTCTACATGTACAACCTGTTGGCATTCCGCCCTGCAGCCCCTAATCAATGGCTGTTGTGATTGCGCAGTGGGCCCCTGTTCAACGGCCTCGGGCCGCCGTCAGATCGCTCTGGCATTTTAAATCTACACATATCCTGTACGTCGGCGTCTGCGTTACTGCGAGTGCCACACGTTTAGCCGGAGACCGTCATAGCCTAGACCTGGCGAGGGGGCGTACAGGGTTGATTGTAAAGGCGTGGGCGTGGATAGAGGGGCGCAAAAGATTAGAGAATTTAGAGGGAAGTCTGGAGCGTAGATTAGAAATGCGGTGTGATTGTTGGCATTCGAATGTTTGTACTGGCTTACTGGTGGCGGGTGCAAACCATAGTTCGATCTTGGGCGTTTTGCGACCGTTGGTGCTGCTCCTCTGGTTCCGGCTCTTTGAGGTCGGTCGGCGTTATAGCTTAGGCGCGTCCTGTTTCTTTGTCTGCGGGTGATGCTTTTGGCGGGGCTTCGTCTGGAACGAGTATCGGACAAGTTCGGCTGAGCTACATGATCGACTCACACGCCACGGCTGTCAAAGGATCCTTTGTCCAAGGACTCCCCTTCCTTCCACACAAAGAAGTGGGCGATTCGAAGGGCAGTATGGCTCGAAGTCAATAGTGTCATCTAGATATTGATAGGTTCGAGGGACTTCTCTGTATACTCTGGCAATGCCTTGAAAGCATTTTTCTTTCATACATCGGAGAGCACGTACCTGCGACCAGGGTATCCTTAACATAAAATGGTCTCTGGGTGTTGACGAACCTGCTAGAACTGTAGTTATCCGTCATCCAGCAAATCCAAGTGCAATCTTACTAGTATACCCTCATAATGGGATCTTCATTCAGCCAACAGATACTACAGAATAAGTCTGTCGGGACTCCTGGGTGAAATGCGCCAGCCTGAGGTTTACATGCCGAGTATTGAACATAATTGACAAATGCGTCAATCGAGATGGCTACACAAATTAAGCTAAAGGCTCCGGCTGCAGGTGTTATATATAATCTAATGCTAGGGAGTAGCCGGTGTCACCATTAGGCCATCGTCCACTTCACTCTCCTCATCAGTATAAACACAAGCAATCCTCCATTTGATGGATTGATATATAGACTGTATCTAGCGTCACTCCTAAAGCACTTGCACTCAGGCTGGTCTCTAGGATGGCTGATAGACAGCAAACTCGGTATATTTGGCGCGCAGTACGTGTTCTGGCACGCTTACCACGGACCAACAATAAAGTCGGCATGATAATAGTCACAAGAGAGATAATTCTTTAAGAATGAAGGTGTTCGCAACTCCAGTCCTGTCGAGCAAGCTGGGAAGTGCGAACTTAGCGATTATTTCGCCGGCACATGCAAATTTAGCGTACCACATGACACAGGCAAACCGAATCCCTTGCTGGTGCGGAGTTCATCGCATTTTTAAGAGTGGATCAGCTCTGAATGCTTGGTTAGCTCATGGTAGCTTTTATGGTTGCGTTCGAGCGGAGTTTTCCTTACCAATAAATCCTCGAGGTCTCCGGAAGGTGTACGTGTGAGAATCAATTACTGATTGCTGCTTTCTTATATATTGTTACTGCCAGGTTTTGTTTACCAAGGGTGCTCTACAGGTGCTATACGGTCATCCGATGTCTGCGTTTTTGGCAGAAATTCACGTAGTCGGTGGCACAAAGGCTTTTAGAGCTAAACTGGGGAGGAGATCTTTATTCAGGCCCTTACAACACTTATCAGCCCGGAGTTGCAGTCCTAGAACAATTGAATCTCATGTCTGCTAGGGTACTTGCAGCGCATTGAATTGAACGCAGGACGTTTTGATAACATGTCATACTTGGGGATTTTGTCCTGCAGACCGTCTGTGGCTTATCAGAGCCCCTCGCTCATGAATTATGGACAGGTTTACCTCTGTGACTACTTCATGCACGACCATTGGGTCATTTCATGTACTCAATAATATATTTGGTGTTTCACTGACTGAAATTGCGTTCAAATATTTATAGCACATTTCAGTTGACCGCCATCACTATCGTCAACAGGAACATAGCGATTCCCCTACCTATTTACACACTCCACCGTGGTATATCTCACTCATTTCACACACTCAATACATTGAAGTTCGAGTGCCACCCTGCTCAGTTGCCTTCTCACTATTATCCCTCCGTGAGACAAGGTGCACAACCCGCAAGCTCAAATTCCATAGCCTGACCGCTGAATGGCCTGGGGATGGGGGCGAGGGCTCATGAATGGACCATACAGAGGCCTAAATCAGGCTATGATTCATTGTCGTTTATAATACCCTCTGCCAAGAAGAATGAAGGCAGAGCTATAAAGCTACAGGGAAGATGCACAGCGCTGTCGCGCAAACCGACCGGGACAGCTATAGCCTTCTTGGCTGGGAGAAGGTTGCCAACAAGAAAGCTGGGGGCCTATAGTTAAGATAACTAGATGAGCTTGTAGTATGAGTCATCGGTGTGAAGGTGTCTGAGGCCCTACGAACGGTAGGGTATTTATGGGTGAACAACCTGCCCTTGGTAGCAAAGTAGTATGCCAGGTAGAGTCGGGCGTACAAGATCCGAACTACTACTTTGCAGCATACCGTTGCCTGTCAGAAGCAGAAGCAAAAGCCCGTGAGCTGGCCTTGGTCAATGGGCCATGTGCCTTTACTATTGGCCAGGGTGCCTATGGCCGGTCTCAATTCGACTCTATTTTATTTCCAAGCTTTCGTTTCTTGCCTACCATTGGCTACCATCAACACTTGGATTGTATTGGCCGAATTTTATAAATGCAGGCATTCGCCTCGCCGTTGTGGGGTTACGAGAGCCGAAGGATCCTTACCGTTAGCGAAATACGAAGGGAAGATATGCCAGTTCGTGAAGGTCAAGTCAAGTTCATGACAGACCATATACCCTTACAAGAGTTACTAAAAATGACCAAAGGGGCCAGGCCACCTGGCCAAGCCGAGAACTCCTCAATCTTGCAAATATCACCTGGGCTTCGTAGCCGCAGATTAGGTTGGTCCACAAGTTTGTTGATCACTGGTCCCCCCCAGCGGCACTTATAGCTTGATTGGGCTTGATGCCAGCAACCCAGTATCCCCAATACTGGGTCCCGGCAGTATCACCAACTGGTACTCCATGCTCAGTAGTAGGAACCACCAGACATCCGAGAGGATAGTGGGTTGCATTGCGGTTAAAAATAGATCAAGTCACAGTGGCTTCGATCCTTCAGGCTCGGGCAAATGTAAGCAGCCTTATAATGTGGCTCAACGGCCTCGGTCATCCATGGATTGCTTATACTTGCTTAGCCACATGTGGAAGAAGGCAAGAGCTTATACTAATTTGGATTTGAGTCCATCTTCTGCTCGTAAGCCCCAGTCCCTGTCACATCCAGTCTATTCCGTAACGAATTAGGGTCTGAAATGACATCATGGGAATCCTTTCTGTACCACTCGACAACTCGTAAAGGGTAAGAACATGTTTCCGAATGGCTCTGATCTGCAACGGCATTTGACGCGGCTTGAAGTACCGTAGGCTTGTTGATATCCATGGATGTATGTAGAGTTAACCTGGAGGGCAAACCCATGGTGCGCCCGAAGATATCGGGCCTGTACGACCAGGCAAAAATGCTCGATTGCTCCAAACATTGCGGGATCGCCCCCATGCTCGCAAGAATCAGCCCCCAAGGCTCATCAATCCGTGCACACGAGCAGAGTCATTAGAGTCTTCGCGGGCGGAGAATCTTATATTAATACCCCTGGGGCTAAGCATAAACCGGGGAGTTGCAGCCCCTGTCTCGTACTTCAAGCCAATTAAAGGGGGGGATCCTTGGCTCGCCCGATTTAGCATCACACCCCACTCAGAATAGTGCTTTCTCATTGGATAATGTCCCACACCCAGTCCAGATGGCCCGCGGGCCTGATTGGTTAGTATTTGCACCAGCGTACACAGTGTAGATCATCCCTGCGATATACGAAGCGGACAAGAACGGACGGCCAATGTAAACACTTCCCACCTGTTTATTCACTTTATTCATGCCTTGCAAGGTTCACTTAGGCTTTCTTCACCGCTTCCACGTGTTACACTCTCCACTTTACCATACCTGACACGCTCGATGATGATAAGTTTATCGACCCCAAGGCGCCAAAGGGTTGCCGGAAGGAACGGAAAGCTCCGCACTCTTTTCCTTCGCAACATCCAGCACCGAAGAAGGCAATGAACTCGCATTCTATCTGAAGGTCAGAGGTTGCAAGCAGTGATATACCCTCAAAGGCCGTTCACAAAGGGTCAATGTCTTGACAATACTAACTAAGGATCGAGCACGTGCGGCAGCTACAACAGACCAAGAAGACAAGGCTATCGGGCAGACGGACTCGTCATGAGTAGCAGTTCCATACTCATGATACAATGACGATACGAAGCTGACTCATGAATCTCTGGCAGAAACAGAGTGTGGCCTTCCATTCCCCGGGAGGCTTGCCGTTGCATTAGCTTTTATAGCCCCCATTTTTTCTGTCAAATGTGCCCCGGTCTGCTCGTAACAAGAGTCTAAACCAGGTGTCCAGCACCTCCACAGATCCTTAGCCACTCAGAGCATGAGGTGTTACAGATGAAGCCCCGTTTCCTCTCAGCTCGTCGTAAAACTGGGCCATAGGGCCCTGCGTCGCCCGTATTCCATGCATGCCGCCTTATGATACTTGGAAACAGCCCCCAATTTGCAAGAAAGGAGTTGAAGCTGTGGCTATTGTTAGGTTGCCCAAGTACGAAGTACGACGGATGGCAATCGAGAGGTCGGTCTTCATACAAATTGACAATTTACCCCCATGACTTGCTCAGTCTCCCTGACATCAGACCTCCTTGCCCTTCCTTACGGCTCCGCCTCATATAGTAACACTCTATAATGGCTATCGCTCATTTTCCAGCGCCCAAGAGACGCAACATCTTTTATCAGGTAGACTGGAAGCCTGATATCAGCGCTCTGGGCCGTCGACAAATAGAACAATATTGCTCGCAGCAAGAACCCTCCAGCGATGCAGCTTCATTGGGAGGGCTGGCCTCCCTGCTCGATATCATGGCCCACAAGAATTCGAGCATGCAGATCCTCGAGATAGGGGCCGGTACGGGAAGCAGCACCAGCTCTATTCTTTCCATCCTCAACAAACAAGGCAAGACAGAAGGAAACGCTCCACGATATGCCAAATATGTGTTCACCGACCACTCACCACGATTCTTCGAGCACGCCAGGACGCGTTTTGCTAGAGATGCCGAGCGAGTCTCATTCCAAATGCTCAACCTTCACCACAGCCCACTCGACCAGGGATTCCAAGCCGGAGCATTCGATCTCGTCATCGCGGTTGACTTCTTCCGCGGCGAGGAGAGCTCTCCCAGTGAAGCTCTCAAGAATGCGCGTGTTCTCCTGAAGCCTGATGGATACCTTGTTCTGTTGGAAACCACTAAGCAAGAAGAGCCCTTGCTGAGCGGAATCTGGAACACTATCCGCGGGTGGTGGGCACCAAAGGAGATCAAAGTCCCCGCGCGCTCCGCGAACGAATGGGAGAGAAGTCTGAAGGAAGCTGGGTTCGCGGGACTAGACGCCGCGATCTCCCCCTTCGGCGGATTTGAAGAGGACCGCAACTGCCTTGTTGCACGCCAGCCCGGCGCTGGGAAGCTGCCCCAAATGCCAGAAACGCTTTCGTTTGTGGTGAAAACTGAAGACCAGAAGAAACTTACGCGGGCGCTCTCGGCTCACCTCAAGTCCAAGGGACTGCCCTCAGGCAAAATGATCACACTGGATTCGCTGATCAGGCAGGATACCGAGTTCCAGGCTGATGCCTGCATTTCGTTGCTGGAGTATGGGACTCCGTTTATCACCAACATGGATCACGAAAGCTATCAAGTCCTGAAGAGAATCGTTCTTGCTTTCCAAAAGTTATATTGGGTGACTTCTGGAGCGAGCGAAATCCCATCGGTGCCAGAGAACGCTATGAGCTATGGCTTCAGCCGAGCCATGATTCTAGAGAATCCCGGCCACTTCGTGTGCAGCATCAATGTCGAAGGCACCGACTATGATAACATCAGCAAGAATCTGACCACGATCCTCCAGAACTCGTATGGCGTGTCTGCTCTGGCCGACTGGGAGTTTGACTATGATGTAGCCAAGGGCTTCGTGGAGGTTCCCCGAGTGACAGAAGCCAACCATGTTAACCGTTACGTCTACTCGCAGACCGGTGGCTTCACCCGGGACACTCCGAACGCTCAAGGCATCGTCCCCAGGAATAACACCCAGAACGCCCAGTATTCCTTTGACTCGAACGCCAGCTACGTAATCGCTGGTGGCCTCGGGGGTGCAGGAAGAAGTCTTGCTCGATACCTCGCCACTCGCGGTGCTAAGCACCTCATCCTACTGTCTCGTTCGGGTGCAGCTACAGACGACGCAAAGAGGCTTGTGGAGGAGCTCACATTAAGTGGCGTTAATGTCGCCACCCCCAAATGTGATATCAGCAAGAGAGAGGTGTTGGAAGGAGTCATTGCCGAATGCTCGAAAACCATGCCCCCGATCAAGGGTGCCGTCCAGGGCACCATGGTTCTCTCGGTAAGCTCTTTCTTTCTTTTTGAATCCCATGAAAGGGAAAAAGCTTTTCCACCATACTGACAACTTTTTCCTAGAGTGGCCCTTTCCAAAATCTGACTTTCGATGCCTGCCAGACCGTCCTCCAACCCAAGATTGCCGGCACCTGGAATCTTCACCACGTCCTGCCCAAGAACATGGACTTCTATATTATCCTCGCCACGCTGGGAGGCACCACTGGGACAATAAATCAAGCCGTGTACAGCGGCACCGCGACCTTCCAAGACGCGTTCGCGCGCCACCTCTGGGCGCAGGGCCAGAAGTGCATTTCCATTGATATCGGCATCCTGAACTCCGTCGGCTACGTGGCCGAGCGCCCCGAGCAAGTCGCGCGGTTCAAGGAATTCGGGCACGTTTTGCTCGAGGAGACTGAGCTCCAGAGTGTGGTGGACTGGGCGTGTAACCCGGCGCTGAAGCTCGAGACTCCGTGGGAGACGCAGGTGCTGACTGGTATCGACCGTCCTGGTGCGATGCGCAAGCGGGGGAAGAAGCCTGCGACCTACATGGGGATGCCGCATTTCCGTCATCTGCGGGAGGATGAGAGGGAAATTGTTTAGATCGATTATGGCTGGACCACGATTGATGATCAGCGGGGATTGTTTTCTTTTGCATCTTATAGAGGGCTGTCCTGTTTTTCTCTTGTATAATTGTTGATTCGTTACTGCGTATATAGCATTCACAGTCATTGAATTTCATTTCGCATTCGAGTTAAAGCGTGTATTACGTAGAGTGTGCCCGAGAACTACCCCAAAAGTGAATCCGATATAATCTAAAGTCCCTTGCCGAACAATTCATCTCCCACCTCCTTCAAGAGCGCTTCCTTCCTCAACGCTTCCACCTGGGCCTTAGCTTTCACTGTCTGAGACACGTCCATCGCGCGACACAGGTCAATCAAGGACCCATCGAGGGGAGCCTCGTAAACTAGTAAGCCCAGCGCAAAGAGGAGTCCATGAAGGGATTCCGGACTCTGCTCCTCGCGCGAAACTGCCTCCAGAAGGGAAGCAGTCAGCTCTACCTGGTCTTCCTCGGAAAGAGGATCAGGTTTTCCGTCGAAGCGTGCGTTATGATTAAAAGCGGCAAGGTTATAGGCGAATGATGCAGCAACAACCCGAAGGTTGGACTGTGAGTCTAGAAGGGCATTGGTTGCAAGCTTCAGACACGTCTCTCGAAGAGGGGATGATGAGACGATTTGTCCGGGATAAAGTGGAGTGCTGAAGAGGTTGCACGCAAGTTGCATGGCGACAATGCGAAGATTATAAGGCGACGACGAAATATCGTCCGTGGCAAGTGGAGAGAGGAGCGTGAGGAGCGTGTCGTGGTTTGCTTCTTCGGCGAAGTAGCCGCTCACCCGCGGATCGAGGAACAGGAGGCGGACTAGATCCACCACGGCGAAATGGCTGTCGGCTGGGATGGCTGGATACGATGATCGTAGGGCGGCAGCAAAGGCATGGAGGTCCGGCACTGGTGTATCTGCAGCAGGGGCCTTGCCAGCCTCTCCAGAATGACGAGCCTTGACGAAATCAATAACAGGAGCAATGGCCGATGCTTCTCTGAATTCCACAGGTAGCTTTTGCACCAGTTTCTCCAAGGGTGGAACTTTCTTGTACATGACGAAGTTTGTGATAGACCGCTGTAGGCTTGGGAGTCGTAGCTTTTGATGAGAATGAGCCGGATGTGCCATCTCCAGAAGCATACGAACATTCCCTTTCAGCTGGGCAGGGTTTGCCCCACTCCATTCATCGAGTTTCTGTCCCTTTAAAAATGTCATGAATGTCGGTGTTGCCCGTACGCCGTATTTCGTGCTCACGTCGTAAGCAGTGCTGATATCGACCTTGACGAGTCGAGCTCTATCACCAGCCTCTTCCGCTAGTTCGTCGTATGTTGGATATACCATCTTACATGGGGGGCATGTGGCTGATGTGAAGAAGACTACTGCACACGAATTTGATGCGGTTGCGAGCTCGCCCTCTAACTGGCTGAGATTGTTCACAATGCGGACTTTAGCAGCAGATGGCGGTGCGGCGGCTGGAGGCTGCGGTGCTGAAACCGGTGCCCGTGGGGAAGGTCTGGAAGCTCCCGCCATTGGGCCACTGGTTGTGCCATTGCCCTGGGTAACGCCTCGCAAAGCATTCTCTATTTGGGGCTTCATCATCTGGCCAAAGGGCGTTTCCAGAAAGGTCTGAGGCAAGTTTTTGATCTTTTCGGGAATACTTTTGCCGACCAGAAACATTGCAAAGTCTTGAGTGAAGTTGTTGCAGTTGTGAAGAAATAAATCATAGGACTGGACGACGTTAAGACATGGGCCATGCAGCGGAAGGCTCACTGTGACATACCTCTGGTGTGTACACTTCGGCGAGAGAGCCAAGATACTCCTCGATGACATCGGTTGGCAGCTCTGTCTTGCCCAGATGGATCACTTCCATCGGTCGTCCATGGTGAGTGCTGCCAGGAGTAGCGGTCTGAATCCCTTGACCGAAGTAGTATTCTACGCCGCCCACAACTATTGCTGTATGGTAGATGGCATCGATCTGGGTGCCAGTCAAAGCAACTGAATACTAGTTCTGCATGAGATACTGTGTATCTGCCATCTGGGGCTTCTTTATACGTACCATACGCGCCAGACCCTACCTTCCGGTTAGTGGACAGGCCAACTTTCGTCGTGACAAACATAGCGCTTACCTGTGAAAGGTCATAGACATAGAGCTCAACATCCATTTCGAAGATGGTGTCCTGGATTCAGACGGCTTGCGCCCTGATAAGCTGTTGATAGTCTTTGTATCTGTGCAGGCACCGATCGGATCACGTCAGCACCTTTCCGGTGGCTTCGACTGTTTTCTACTCTTGAGTGGGAGCTGAGCAAGGGGAAAAAGAAAGTATTTGGTCTCTAGAAGTGTACCATGTATAACGAAATACTGGCGTGGTCTTAGGTAGAAAGAATCTGAATATTCCAAAACAGTATTGATCGCAAAGACGTGGATTCCCGCTCACTCCTGGCTCCAATGGCATGGTGCATGCTGCTGTTCTCTTTCCTAAAAATAAAAAACCCAAACTTCCCAACCCGTGAATCGAACCGGCACTCATAATTTTCATAATGCTCTAGTACCTCGAAATAGCTTCAATAAAAGAAAAAAAAACTGGTAGCTTCTCTTTGATTGAGCGTGTCATCCTTAGTGCAGGGGCCATGCTAATCTTCTCTGTATATTTTCATTTGACCAAATGTCCCGAAGGACGAAAGGCCTTCGAATTTGTTCAATATAACCTTCCTTTTTCTGCCAGCCGTCACCGCCCAGTACCCGTACCCACCTAATCGTCATTAGCTTATCGTGCTCGGCCGTCGGGTCTAGTTATTCTACAGGGTCCCTTTCAGTCGCCGACTTTCGAAGTACCGCCTCGGCAGGCAGCTAAAATGGTACGATAATCAATTACAATGTTAAAGGATTTATCATCTAACTATTCTGAATTGCAGCCTCCGAAGAGGCGCGGAGCTGCCTCAAGCTCCTCGTCGACCGCTCCAAAGCGCGGCCGCCAATCCAAACTAGCCAAAGAGAATAACATCACTGCCGAAGAAGAAAACGAAATAAAAGAGGTCTTTGGGCTTTTCGCATCTCCAAACGAAGAGTTCCCGGATGAGAAGGCAGGCGTCATACCCCGCGAGGACGTGCGCAAAGCCATGGTGTAAGCCTCTTCCCAGATCGACCCGACAGCTTCAAGTGTCCACATGCCCTAAACTATCTACAATCAACAGTGCTCTCGGCCTCCCCCCTGAAGACTCAACCGAACTCTCTGAAATCCTCTCGGCGCTCGACCCAACACTGACAGGCTATATTCCATACGGCCCGTTCCTCTCGGTCGTGGCTGCGAAGCTGCGTTCGCGCGACGATGAAGACATGGCTGCGGAGGCGGACGAGGCGTATCGGCTCTTTACTCGGGGAACGAGCGGACCGATCTCCCTTAGCATGTTGCGCCGCATTGCGCGAGAGCTCAAGGAAAATGTGGATGATGAGTTGCTAAAAGATATGATTCTTGAAGCGAATGGTGGCGCTGGAGTCCATGCTGGGGTTACGTTGGAGCAGTTCCATGATGTTATGATGCGTGCGGGCGTTTTGTGATACCGAGTTTCGCCGGGTGGAGCTCTCTCAGGTTCGTGAAAGTGGATTGCTGGGGCTTCTCAGTACAGGTTAACTTCTTTTATCTTCGATGGACATATACTAGGGTTGGCGTTCACGGTTCATAAGGGCCGGTGCTGTTACTTCTTGCACCGGGTGGACAGCGCTTTCTTTCCCTCAGTTGGGAGTTTAGTACTAGTATTTGAGGGCGATGACTGTAAGGATAATAATAATCCCTGAAGGTAATGCGCATTCTGGAATTCATCTACAAAATGATTACTGTGAAAACGTCCTTGATCATCATTTCCTTAATTGTAAATACATACCATCCTCCTGCTTGTCATGAAAGAACCCGCGAAAGAAGAATTAGCTCGAGAACATTGATGGAAACCCCTGGACATAAAAAATCAGAGAGAAGAAAAAACAGTATTGGGAATGTGAGAAATAAGGAGGATAGCAGAAGACAAGACCAGCGCATCAACTACTAATCAAGTTGCTCGAGAGACGTCGCATTCTTGAGTCCACGTCGACGAGATGAAGAATGGCAATGTGTTGGTCGGTTGGGGACAATTTACTGGATGACTGTTAGGGTGAAGGTAGGCACGCCGGGATACGACGAGGGGATACATACAGAAATCTCGGCCATGCCAAGGTCCTCGTTGCCATTGGCTTGCTGCACAGCACCGGCGGGAGCAGCGTTGGCTTCGGTGGAGGCATTGGTTTCGAAGTAGTCGGCCATCTCGGCGTCAAGCTCTTCAACGGTCTTGTGAGAGCGACCGGCGTTGCGGCCCTGGCCCTTGCGACCACGGGCTGGACGACCAGCAGCATTGCGCTTGTTACCGCCGTCATTGGTGGCAGCCTTCTTAGCAGTGGCGGGCTTGGGCTTGTCCTTGGCCTGGGCCTTGGACCTGTTGGACAGAGTTAGCAGTAAATACCTCGAATTGACTTGATGGATAGGACTCACGGCGCGATACGCTCGGTAAGAGGCTTAGGGGCGGCGACCGCGGGTGCGTGAGAAGCATCGTAAACAACTTCAATCTGTTGCGCTCATTGTTAAAAATCGCTCTGGTCCAGCATCACGGAAATCAGTCACCGACCTTCATGGGGCGGCCGTCAACCAGGAGACCGTTCAATTCCTTAGCAGCCTTAGCGGCAGTGCCGGGCTTGCTGAAGACGATGTGAGCCTGGCCGCGGCTGGTGCCATTCTGGGTGTAGGCAAGCGTGACCTTCTTAACAGAGCCGGCAGACTTGGTGAAGTACTCCTAGTAAAGATCAGTATTTCTGCCTGATAAGTTCAGTTGCATCAATGAAGGCCGAATTTCGATGGAAAACAACGCCGACGCGTGAGAGTCCAATCCCAACCCGATAAGAAGAGCATCAGCGAGCACACAGCGGCGACCTGTCACTTCCATCCAGCCCTCCAAAATCCAACAGATGCGCTCTTCGGTGTCGTTGCCCACAGTGCTTCAAACAAGTTCCATTCAAAAATCATCCTCCCCACGATGAAAAATGGTCCATTCTTTCGCGCCGAATCAGTTGAAGGCGACTAGTCCTTGAACAATATTGCAGGTTCCCCAAAGGCCAGGCAACGCATGCCAATACCCATGGCGCCGCAGAAAAGCGGTGGTTCAAATGTTCTCATGATCGCTCTTCAATCGACGAACGCAGTAACAAGATGGACACATTGAGTCTTCCTCAAGATCAACGATTTGGGATTCACCCCATCAAGCAGCGATGATCAGGAGTTACGCAGAAGACGAGACGAGACTCTATGAACATGTGTGGGACCCCTTATTCCCAATGTTCTCGCCGTATCCAGTGGATCGCCGCTGTACTCGCTGGTGCTCTTCCAAGGCCCACAGTCCCATGAGAAAGGATGGAGTGAGCGTGACCAAAAAAAGACAAGACGGGTTGAACGCGAGTTCAGAACCGTCAGTGGCACAGTACAAGAGCTGTAGTGCAGTGTCTCTTGGTACTACGACAACGCTCAACTTCAGCTTCGCAAGCCAGCCACAATATATGCAGAAGCAATTTGAAGCAGGATGTCTATGCCTGGGCTCTGTGTCCGGGCACTGGGAGCACCTTGTCACGGGAGGAAAGTCGAATCTCGCGTCGAAGTTGCATCTCTCGAAGCCCGAGGAAGCAAAGAAAAAAAGTGATCACAGAAAAGGCAAATGCCTCTCGATCAACATACCTTGATATTGGCCTCCGTAACATCGACAGGCTGCGCAGGTTAGTAACTTGAAATGATTCGGGAATTTTTGTATGCAGATTTAAACTTACCAGTCCACTGACGTAGATCTTGTTGGAAGTAGCGGCAGCTACGGGGGTTTGGTGGACCACCTTGGCAGCGGCCTTGGGTGCCTTAGCAGACTTCTTCACGCCCCCGGTGGAAGCTTTAGAGGTAACGCGGCGGTTGGTGCGGCGACGAGCCTGGCGACGGGAGCCGACCAGGTCATCAAGAGACTTGTCCAGGTTGGCAGACATGATGACAAGTTGGTATGAGTAGAAGGGATAAGCTGGCTAGCTGGGTGTGATGACGAGCGAGCAAGTCGGCGCGAAGAGAACGCGTCAGAGCAGGGGCAAACGTCTTGGAAAGCGGCGTTCGTCGAAGAGAAGTGAAAGATGAGAGTGTCTACGGCGAGGATGAGCAATTTAACTTCGCGCTGTTGAGACCTGGCTAGATTCACTCAATGGGGAGTAGTGAATGGAAAAGGTGGCTGAGATGGGACCCGGGTAAGGGAAGGCCAGGGAAAGGGAGTGAATGGCGACCGGATCACGCTAGTCTATTTCTGGACATCATAGTCGGGCAACTCTGGCTGTTTGCTCTGTTTGCAGCGCGGCTCATTCAGTTGCTGCCCCGCCATACTGTTTGCCCAATGTGTGTAGGTTGCCAATGTTGCCTAGGATGGTTTGTAGATTGATTTGGAGCTGATCGACGTCGACGCTTGGTACTGGATGAAATTTGAAAGTGGTATGGCGGAGCGCGTCTCTATGTAGGTCCAGCCCGCGAAACACAGATGATTGAACATTCCGGAACTCCTTCCAAAGTAAATATACCTCCCCAGATAAAGCCGACGTAAAGAAGCTGACACCGCTGGGAACAAAGAAGAACAATGAAAGTTGACAGAAGACCATGAAAGCCCGGCTCTATGATGGAGTTAACTCTTAAGAGCCTCTAAGCGCCCACGCATTTGTTCGAGAGTTGCTTCCTGGTCTTCGAAATCGGGCTCTGCCTCTGGGGCCTCTTCCACCGGGGATTCTGGCTTGGCCGGGGCCTGGGACAGTTTGCCATGCAAGATCTCTTCCAGAATCTTGTCCACCTCAGACTCAGCCTCGTCCTCTTCCTCATCTAAGAGCTCATTGGCCGGCATGGCATCGTCGACGATTTCTTCAATAATGCCGGCCTTGACTAGCTCCGTCGAGAGTTGATGCATAGTAGATGTCAGCTCGGGCATCCGCACTAAAGTATTTACGTCTTTCATGATTCCGGTCGATTTCTGGAGACTGCCTTGAATCTTGCGGACCGAGAAAGCCTCATTGACCTGCATGCCTACGCTTTGCAGTTGAGCGCGGCTAGTTGTAAGGCGAGTAGTCTGCTTCCTGATTCGTACAAGCTCTCGGGCAAAAGTTTTAGCTTCGCTGTTGGCTTGTTTGGCCTGGGAGGGGTTGCGTTGGGCACGTTTGGAGGCACTGATAATGTGCTGGCGTGTCTTGCTATCAAGGACTTTGAGTTGCGCAAGATCGCGATCGAGTTGCCGCGTATTTGCTCGAATGAGTGCATTACATTTTCTCATCTGTCCACAGGGTCTGTTAATAGCTGGAGGCGTACGCAGGTTCACCCAGTGGTAGTGTGTGTTGCCTACCTGTGTTTGGGGGTCTGGTCCAAAGAAGACAGCCTTCAGAGTCTCCATAGTGAGATGTCAATAACTCAGGTCTGTCAGATCTCTTTACAGATCGATCACGCTTCTCGCCGGGCACGACTAGTCGCAATCGTTGTTTCGGGGGGTGGGAGATGTGGGGAGATCGGTGGCAAGTCTAAGCGCATTCCCAGAGGGGAGGAGAGTAGCCCAGAAGAATGCACCGAGCTCGCTAGACAAGGCAGTTATCCTCAGCTCCCACTGATGCTTCTTTCACTTTCGCGACGCAGGGGACCTCTTTAGTATTGCGTACAAGACTGAGTTGAGAGGGGTGCTGAGTCAGGAGGGCAGTGACGTCCTGAGATCGACAACTGGTTTTATCGAGGCCTGAATGTACGGGCAGAAATCTGGCATCCTACAGACCAAACCAGGCAAACACCCGCCGTAGGCTTCCAGTACATTCTAGCAGTGCAATGCGGTACGTTGTCACTCTCAAAGTGAGCTCCTTTCTCTCTTCCTTTTCAACATCCCATCTATCTTACTTAACCTCCCAGTCTTGAATCTCTGAATTTATATCAGAATCACTCTCTCTCAATATTCCTGCCATGGCTACCGTACACCCCGAAGGTGAGTTTGGCAAGCTCTCAATTTCCCCGCTCTGCAGGCTCCGGCCGTGCACAGTTTTTGCAAAGACAACGGCTACGATGTGAACGCCCACAGCTTTGGGTTGTTTAACAGAGCATTAAGTCTTATAATCCGACTGGTTTGACTTGATGGAAAATGAAACATGCGCTGACTTGGGATTGGCGGGGTGTTTTAGTTACCTGGGCGCAGCGTTCCTCTGCTGACGAGCCCGAGCGCAACTTACCTCTACGTGAGCCTCAAGACTCCCGATGTTCCTAAGGACAAGGCCGAGCTTAAGCTCTCTTCCAACAATGTCTCCTTCACCGGTCCCTCCGGCAAGGGTGTCACCTACTCCGTGTCCTTGGACTTATTTGGCGAGATCGACCCCGAGAACAGCAAGGTGAACCACACCGACCGTGAGGTCGAGCTCGTTCTGCGCAAGAAGGAGCTCAAGGAGGAGTACTGGCCCCGTTTGCTTAAGGACACCAAGAAGGCCCACTTCCTGAAGACCGACTTCGACAAGGTAAGATTGGATGACCGCGCCCGGAGAAAGTAGCCGCTAACTCGACGCCTTCCCTAGTGGGTCGATGAGGACGAGCAAGATGAGGCTGGTGAGGATGACTACGCCAACAACTTTGGCGGCTTTGGCGGCGAAGGTGGTGAGGGTGGCCTCAGCAACATCGACTTCTCGAAGCTCGGCGGCATGGGCGGTGCCGGTGGTATGCCCGATCTGAGCGCCCTGGCCGGTGCTGCTGGCGGTGCTCCAGGTGCTGAGGGTGAGGAAGAAGATGATGTGAGTAATATTGGTGAAAGAGCTTATTGCGATATAACACTTTGCTAACTATGAATTTCACAGGAGGAACTCCCGGAGCTTGAGGAAGAGAACTCCGCTAAGATTCAGGAGGTCAAATAAATAAGGTCCAATAAATAAGGTCCTCTAAATAATTACCCTTCGCAGAGTTTATGACGAACAGAAATGACAAAAAAATTCAATAGGGTGCTTGAAGGCGCCTATGGGATGGTATGTCGGAGAGATTTCCATTTTGGATTGCTTAGGATTTCTAGATCGTTTGTAGAGCAAGCGATCAGGCCTCAGAGAAACCGGTCAGTTTCTTGGGTGCGCCCACGAGGCAGTCCGTACTTTAAGAAGCCTGGCTCAGCCTGGTAAATGCATGGTTGTGACAACAGAATTTTATGAAGTCTTGAGTAGATGCGTGTAGACGACCTGTAACTCAGGGTTTATAGAATAGAATGTCTCCAAATCTCCTGGTACTTGTAAGCATTGTCGGGCAGACAGTCTTTACCAGTATATACAGGGGTAAAGTGCCTAAACCTGAACTTGGACATTGAGGTTTGCTTGTATTTGCAGCCCTGGGGGGCTAGAGCAACCAAGGGCTACGGGGTTAGTTGCTAAATGAATTAGCACGTGTGCACTAAGTAACCGGGTGTATACATTGCGCCGAAGCATGATTCTGGGCCAAGATATCTTTTCCGATTGAGGATTCTGTTACAAGTGATGTTGAAAGTCTTGAGGGTATAGGGTTGGCTATGACATCGCGGTGTGTGGAAGGGGCCTCGTTAGGCCCACGCGATGACGCAAAGGGTCGAGCCCCCCCAACATAACAGTCAAACACGCAATATCAGACGCGACTGGAGTCAACAGGGAACAGGGTATTCATGAGACCGACAGCCGATCTCATTATCTATTTCCTCTTTCTTCTACGGAGTGCCTGACAGTTACACCGCATCTAGAGATCTATAGAAGAGGATATAGTTCCCTTCCGTCATCTGGAAGGGCCCACGCCCTGTCATTCATTGGTCAGTCCAAGATTGTGCCGCCACACTCACCCCTCGACTTTGTGGAGGGTTTTTCAACTTCAATCTCGGCTTCGACTCGTCTTCGCTCTTCAGTCTTACCTCTCTCTCACCTTCACCCCTACGCCCCTTGCCTCTCCTTGGGCTTCCTCTGCATTGTGTTCGTAACGACTCGGGTGACCCGACGCCATTTTCCTCTTTTTTCCTTCTTTCGTCTACCCCGGCTAGCCCAAACCGTCACCATGCCGCCCAAGAAGGCTGACCAGCCTAAGAAGAAGCCCAAGACGGTGGATGATAAGGTAATTCTATCTGAGAAGGTACCAAAATAAGAAAAATAACTAACTTTGGTTCTTTCTTTTCTCTGTCTTTAGACCTTTGGTATGAAAAACGTACGTCACCGACCCATTCTCAAACCTGAAACCCAAATCCGAAGCACACCATATCGCGACAACCAAAACCCCATCTTCTAGCGATCTTCTAACACTCCCTTGGACAGAAAAAAGGTGGTGCCGCCAAGAAACAGATTCAACAACTGCAAGCACAAGCTGCCCACGGCGGTAATGCCGAACAAAAGCGCAAAGAGGCCGAAAAGGCAAGGCTAAAGGCCGAGAAGGAGGCCGCAGAAGCAGCCAAGAGGGAAGCCGCCGAACTTTTCAAGCCCGTCCAGGTCCAGAAGGTGCCTTTTGGTGTCGACCCCAAGACCATTCTGTGTCAGTTCCACAAGAAGGGCGGTTGTGAGAAGGGCCGCAAGTGTAAATTCAGTCACGACCTGAACATCGAGCGCAAGGCTGCCAAGAAGGATCTGTACACCGATTCCCGCGATGCCGAGGAGAATCCCGAAGACAAGAAGAAGTCCGACACGATGGATACGTGGGACGAAGCTAAGCTGCGCAGTGTCGTTCTCAGCAAGCACGGAAATCCACGTACGACCACAGAGAAGGTCTGCAAGTACTTCATCGAAGCTGTGGAAAACCAAAAGTATGGTTGGTTCTGGACTTGTCCAAATGGGGGTGATAAATGCATGTACAAGCATAGCTTGCCGCCAGGGTATGTAACGCTTTCCTTTCGGTTTACCTCCTCTTTAGCTGGACAGAGTACTTACTGTTTTGTTCAGTTTCGTCCTCAAGACCAAGGAGCAGAAGGCAGCTGAGAAGGCCATGATGGACAAGTCACCATTGAACACCTTAACACTGGAAGACTGGTTAGAATCCGAGCGACACAAGCTGACCGGTAACCTCACGCCGGTCACTCCGGAGACTTTCGCCATTTGGAAGAAGGGACGTATGGATAAGAAGGCCGCCGAAGCGGAGGCGCAGAAAGCCAAGGAGGCAACCGGTCGATCCATGTTCGAGAGTGGCGACTGGAAGGATGAGAGCAGTGAGGAGGAGGACTCGGATGACGATGATGGAGCATGGAACCTTGAGGCTCTGCGAAGGGAGACTGAGGGGCTGCGTGATCAGAAAGAACAGGAGCGAATGGCCCAGCTCAATGGCACTGTGGTCCCACCATCAACGGATGGAGCAATCGCGCAAGAAGCTGCGGGCTGAACTGTCCCTCTCTGCTCATGAAATTTTTTTCGTGAGTCTGCGGGGGAAACTGTATCTTGTGAGGTCTCGGAAGCTGAGCTCATTCCGGTTATCGAGGTCACCGGGGTCTCAAGTGTCGAATGAACTTCGTGGTCGCCTGCTTGTCAGTATATATGAAGCCGAAAGTATGTGACGCGGGTCTTGTCAACCCTTTAGGCTCACTGAACCACTTGTTCCACTGTCATTCAAAGGAAGCAATGCCAAGTGGATGGTACCAGGAGCCAGAGGATGTATTCCCCTGTCTCATGTGATGGAAAGATCAACTGGTTTGGTATTGGCAGCTTGCTTTAGGAGCCAAAAGTCCGTTCATTAGTTTGAAAGCTCTGACGATTTTAATGAAGTGATTCCCAAGGGTAAAACTTGATGCCAGGACTTGAGGCCACAAGGTCCCCGTTCAACATAATTACACTAGGCATAGAGTAGGATCCATAAGCGCCCACATTTGGACATCTCAAAGCTGTGACCTTTTAAAAGTTCGTATTACTCATATTTCTAGGGGCATGGCCGGTAGATACAAAGAATGTGCGACATGTACTAGTGTGACGATGCTGAAATAAGGCCCTGGTGACCCTAGAGTGCAGCCTTGGGATGCAAAAATCCATGGTCCAGCATCAAAGCTGTAGTATCTTCTGCGACCCCGCGCGAAATCTCGAATCCCCGACCCCCAGCGCCATAGGCATGAACTATGAATTGCTCGCTGCCGACCTTCTCGACCTCGAGACGCATTCCGCCTTCACGCGCTGGTCGCCGTCCTACAATATCGTGGATGACATCAAACTTTCCCTCGCTCTCCGGGGTGAAGGGAAACCATTTAGCCGCATTCGCAAGCAAAGTAGCCCGTATCTCCGGCGAAGGGTGAGGGTCCCAGTTGTGCGGCTGTTTGGTCCCACCGATTATGGTGCCTCCGTCAAGAGGGCGCGGTATACAGAATGACCACGAACCATCGCTGTTCTGGCGAGTGATTGTGGCAGAAGAAAGATTCCGAACGAGACAGGTTTGGCCTAGAATTGACATCAGCTTATCTTTGAAACGGGCATAAGGCAACGTGCGTAGCTACCTCTGATAATGAAAGACTCCGGATCTCCAAATCCAGTTCCCGAGCTATTCACCACGGTTTCGCACATTGCTAGCTAGCGAAAATGCTTCTTTCAAGCTTGCAAGAGTATATTTCCTCATGCTGCCACCTTTCAAAATGAATTTTCGTAGCATATATGCACAGTATACTGGAGAATTGACCACATAGGTGTCGTATTCAACACCCCATACCACGCCAGCGGGGCGCTCTTTTGCCGAAAGATATCGGAGGCCATCTAGGTGTGAATATGAATTTCGCACGCTTTGCTCATCGAGGTACTCCGGCGGCGGGGCCTCAAGATATTCTATTCCCTTGATGAACTGGACACCTGATGCTGGCTCATCCACAGCTACACGCTTCATAAACTCGTATGTGCGCAAAGCTTGGCCTGCTTCGCGGAGCGCCTGGGGGGAAGAACCGGGCACCGGGCGATAATGAGCTCCCGCCCACGGCGAGGCATAGTTGACGGATGTGTCCGAGGGAGGTCTCTTGCTACAATAAGGACTGACTGAGAAGGGCTCAGATATTGTTGGATATTCAGTGCTATTGACAGTCCAATGACACCTGCCCTGGTAGGTTGTCAGCTAAGCTAAGCTTTCTTATGTGTTGGAACTACGTTGCTTACCCCACCACGACTATAGTCTCCGACTCGGTCATTGTTGGGATTGAACCACAGGATGAGAGAGCTTGTCTGATGAGATTACAGTTTTCTGCAGTGCTGGGACAGCCTGAAGGATCTTTCTGCGCCGAACTGCTGCCCAGGTGGCCCTCAGTGCCATGAGTCAAAAATCCCGGGGAAGGCGATAAGCCCCACAGTCAGATGATACGAGGTCAATGTGGTCATCATCGCTTGAATCTCCCAGTTTCGGGAAATTCGGCATCCAGGAAGGATAGGCGTATGAAAGCATAATACCAGGCATTAATGGATATTAGATGGGGCGATATGTCAAAAAACGCGTTATCGTGCTTGCAGGGATCGACCACCTGCTGCGGCATGTCGATCCGGGTTCTCATCTCTTCCCCTTTGTCGGCATTTTTACGCACTCGAAAATTTGAAATGATCACAGGGTCGTGAAACGGCAGACTCCCGATAATCCAAGCTCGATTGTCAAACTGCCAGACCGAATCTCCCAGGGGCCCAAGCTCCTTTAGCGACGTGCATAATACCGGTCTGAGGTGCAGTAAGCAAGGCCCAGGATTCGAAACACACGATCACATCACATACGAGCGGGGGAAGCTATCAAGCACACAAAGAGCAGGATCCGGAGCTACGTAATGGGCCCAAGCCGATCAGATTGAAAGCCTCCAAAATCGACGAGCTCAGCAAACCTACAAAACTGGCATGGAATCTGCTTAAAATGGTGGAGCGGCCATGAAGTCTTGTCTGTTGGATGTTATGGATTCCGATAGGTCGAGGAAATGCGCCCCCAGGGACCCCTTCGCTATTTTGCCGATGCAACAGAACGAACTGCTACGGTGCTCCGGAGTGTGCTCGGGTAAAGGGGGCTTTTCTTTTTTTCTTTTTCTTCCTTTTTTTTGCCCATCAAGATGGGAATTCCAAGCTTGTATTGGTTGAACTGAGTTGCTGTAGGCGCCGAGGGATCAGCGGTTTCACGATGTGATTGGCGGACGAGGTGATGAAAGGTGCAGGATGGACAACGCCTGCACGGATGCCCCTCATCACATTCTCTTGTCTCAGCACACGCTTCTGCTCTGCTACTGGCTCCAGCTCCTGACGTTCCCGCATCGAATCGTTTCCGCGCAGACTAGTAGCCCTGGTTGCATGCGATTATTGACGGAGAAATAAATGGGCAAATAATGAATTGTTCTCAGGAATAGCGCAGCAGAAGGTGCCCCTCCCATGACATCTGTCATTGTCCAACGGCGGCCATTGTTTTTTCTGGCTTCTGAAGAAGGTCGCATTAGGGCCATGGCTCTCGACCCGAAAACGTGGGCAAAGTCTGGAGATCGACATCTGCCGCAGGAGTTTCTTCATCGTGCCTCCAGATGTGCGCAGACCCACTCTCCCGGTTTAGCCTTGACGATGCTGATGGTTCCCGCCTGTGATTCGGGAGTCTTCTGCATCGATCTAAACCCCTAAATCCCTTTTGCGGTGTTGTTTCTGCATGCTCGTTGGTGCGCTACCGCAGACCAGGAGCCACGCACCCAGCCACCCAAAAGGCTCGATCCCACCATTTCCGCTAATGATGTGATGCTCTGGATGGCTCTGGGTGGCTCTGGGTTTGGGCTACGGGACCGTGGATTCTTCCTATCGTCCAGGCTGCTCAGCGTATGGTCAGTTGCGAAATGAAACGCCCTGCTCAGATCCAGGGCGCCAATCCCGATTGCTCGATGGCTGGAGATTCTGATCGTCTGCAAAGGGCCCTCTCGGGGCCGACCTTTTGGCTGCTATCCAGCCTGTAAGGCCGCAGGGTTCTTTATGTTCTTCCGGCATAAGCGCATTCTAAATCCTGGTCTCCGCAGTGCCAGAGTCGCGCCAGCGGTTTGATATTCCAGTATATAGTATAGACATATACGCACACACCCCCCTGCTCTCCACTCCACGCCCTGTCACAAAACTTAAGCCCCTCCGACCGCGCTAAGATTTGGGATGTGATAGAACGTGCGAGTCTGGCATTCCTCTTCTTACCCCTGCTCTTGTACTTGCATCTTCATTATTTTCAACCCCCGGTCGGTCCGCGTAGCCACCGTCTCGCCTGGTCGCATATCTCGTACACGTTGTCCTTTTTCTTAATAGGGCCTGGATCATCGCCACAGCTAACCTGACTTTCCTTTTGCTGGCTGGCACTAAATTTCTCGGCGTTCCCCAAAGTTTCCAAATGCCTGGCACCATCCTGACAGCGCCTTCTTTGCCTTGATCGGTTCATTGGGTCGTGACCGATTAGTACTAGGTAGCCTCTTTCCTGGAAAGAGCTTGGTCAGGTTAGTAGGACCATTCTGTTCTTTTTTTTTTTCTTCCTCTCTTTTCTTTTCTTTACTTTTTTCTGGTCTCTTTGAAACTACCTCGTGGGTTTGCGGAGATCCCCAGCCCTTGAATACCCAACTGGCCGGAATCTAGAGCACGCGGATAAGCTCGACGAAGGTCATGTGCAGAAGATATTTGTTTTTCAAAAAATAGATTTGTTCATTTTTTGGGAGAACAACCGGCGACAATGAGCTTAACACAAAACAGGAGCTTGTTACCAGCAGCGCGACCCTCCAAGACCGTCAAAGCAATGGCACCACCACAAGTACAGACTTCGGAGCCTCGCTTCGAGCCCTGCGCAGCAACCGCTTCACTATTTCTTTATACGCAGGGACCGAAAATTTTATGCCTGCACCACGATACACTAGCCGTCGAGCGTCGATTCACGAGTCACTCAGAGGACATTGACTTCATAGCGGTGGATAATGTCAGCGAGCGCGGAGCCGGAAGGCTGGTTGTCAGCTACGACGTCGGACAAACGGCAATAGTCTGGGATATTTTTACCGGCACAGAGATCTCTCGCTTCGCCTCGTTCGAGCACCTACGGGTTGCATCGTGGATGCGCAATGGCAATGTCGCATTTGGTACGGATGACTGCAGCCAATCGAATTGTTCGATCACTGACAGGGATATCTATAGGCAGCGGAAAAGGCGAGGTGATTCTTTTCGAGCCGTCAACCTCAGAGCATATCTCGGCGCGTACAATCTTCGACCCTATTACGGCACTGGCTCCAGCTCAAGATTGCCGCACTTACGCGATTGGGTATGTTTAAACAACTTGGTTGGTTACTAGAATGCTCACAGGCTTAATTTTGATCAGGTATCAAAATGGATCGATCCTGATCGCAACTCTCCTACCTCAATTTACTATCCTCCATACCCTAACCACCTCTCGCGGACCCTCGCCAATCATCTCGATCGCCTGGCATGCATCCTCTTCAAAACAAAAGTCAGACATGTTGGCCACTCAAGCTTCAAATGGAGATCTGAGAGTATGGAGTGTATCCAAACCCCCTGGTAAAGAGCCTCCACGGGTGACTCGGGAATTGAAACGCTCGGATTCGACATCCGCTGATCCCAAGTGGATGGCATGGTCTAAGAATGGAAGGATCGTGCAATACTTGGAAGGGTACGTGGAGAAAGCACTACAGCTCCCCTATATAGCTCGCTGACCGTTTATCTGCTAGGGAAACTTGGGCTTGGGACGTTCGGACAAAACACGTTACCTGCGAGCCAATTCCAACGATAGACGGGGTCCGAGGATTGGCCAACCATGGCCCAACTGCGACGCTCTTTACTATCGGTCCCAATCATACTGTCCAACAGTACGATGTAGACGGCCCAGCAATGGTTGCTAATGTGCAGCATGTACCCTCCAGTTCAAGATCGTTAGTCTCCGGCGATGGGCGACGAACAGCATCACCACGGCGTCTTCAAGATGCACCAGATATCCGAGAATCGAGCCGAAGACGAACGCCATATGACTCAAATGTGGTAGACAGCGTGAAACAGGCCAGAGCCGATCTTATAAGCCCTGCTTCTTCAAGAAGCCGAACTGAATCCGTTAGCTCAAAGGCGTCCTCTGGAAGATATAAAATTACGCCCTTTTCTCCCCCCAGTCGATCGGGTCGGAGTGGCACAACCTTCTCCTTGACGTCCGGCGATCATGATACACCGCAACCATCGGCAGGCTTTCCTTATGCATCATCAGTTTCCATGTCTTCTGTAAAGAGCTCTCGCGCAGCGTCTCGACTGAGGAATGAAGTTCAAATGAGTCCCGCTGAGAAAAACATAGTGGATCTCTTCCCGTTTACTCGGGCACGTTTGAACGATGTACCATATAAGTCGCAACCCCCATTTGATGAGTCAAATTTGACACCAGAGGACCTACGACAGCAAATGCTAAGCGTGGTATTTGGCTGGGAAGGTGATATCCAGGATTTGATCCGAGATGAGTGTATGCTTCTCGTTCATCATGAGCCGTCTTATCACACATACTAACTTCATTTCTAGTGAGTCGCCACGCGCTTGGAAGCCAGAGTGCTATTCTGTTGGCGCAGTGGCTCGGAGAAAATGATTCCGACCAGATGGCTTCATTGGTTTGTGCCGGGCCGGCTACAACATACGATTGGATGCTGCTAGCTATGAGCCAGATGAGTGGGCAAGCGCCTGCGAACAAAGTTGGGCAGGCATTTGTACAAAAGATGCTCGAGATCGGAGATGTCCATACTGCGGCTTCGATATTACTCGGTCTGGGTGACAGCAACGATGCTATCGAGGTTTACGTATCCCGCAATCATTTCATGGAAGCCATTCTTATGACATGCCTGGTCATGCCAACGGACTGGCAGCGGCAGTCATACCTAGTCCGACGGTGGGGAGAGTATGTGGTGTCACATTCGCAGCAACAGCTTGCCATTCGCTGTTTCATGTGTACTGGTGCCGAGCCTTCAGAGCCGTGGACGTCGCCAGCCGCCCAACAAGCTGCCTCTTTTGCGGAGGTGATTCGGGGGAAATCACCACTGGCATCCCCCGATCCTATGCAGCAGAACAGCTCCCTTCTTATGCCTCCTCACCATCGTCCCTCATCTGCTTCCAACCAAAAACCCGCTGGAAAGGGCCCTTCTCTCAAGTTAATCACATCTTTCGAAACACAACCGAACCAGCGATTCCGATTCCCAGGCCTAAAGTCAGATGACCGAACTCCAACCAATGCTCCCGGTGTCACGCCTATTGCGGAATCTGCTGTTGCCGATTCGGCATTGTCTCCTGGTGGTCTCGGATCTTGGAAGCTTAATAACATCCAGAGCCTCAACCAGGCCATGACCTCGCGGACTAACACTCCTGCATTCAACCGTCGTCGTCTTCCATCAATAGGAGAAACTCCAGTTGACTCTCAACCTCCAAGTTTCTCTCGTTCTGGCTCATACAACAACACCAGTGCTTATGGTTCAACCTCAGAAAACGAAGAGACGAGTGGACACGAGCAGAGTCAAGATGAGCGAGAGCTTGGTCCTTTATTATCAGCTACAGCGTACACCCCTGTTCACGACTCCATGAAGCCAAGCCCGCAAACTGCTGTTCAAGGCACCGACAAATTCGCGTCCATTAAAGGTCTCCCATCACCCGCTCCTGGGGTATTCGAGGCGTTGAAAGATCACCCCGATATTCGAAATGGCTCACGTGTCAGAAAACCTGACGGGCTTCAAATCGAGTTGGTAGAGACGAAGGAAATCGCTCTCCCAAAGGATGATAGGCCCGATCTGATTACCAGTGCAAAGAGCCTGAACAGCTACGCTTCTACTAAGAGCCCCAGTGTCAGCGGTCGTAGCATCGACCAGTACATCAGCAGCCTAGATGAAGCGAACTTCCATTCCAAGAAGCACCGCGGCCACCGCACCCACGGCCGTAGCAGAAAGAATACTGACGAGCACGGCAGCCAGAGTTCACGCGCCCAACACACTCGCGATGTATCTCAAGAGACTACCCGGGGACGGAACGAACGACGCTACATTCAGCCCTCGAAGCGGTCTCCCTCGTCACCAGTGCCCATGTCCCCTGATGAAGTGGCTCGATACCACGCAGGAGAATCTGCCAAACTAGAGGCCCCGCGCGCGAAGTCCTCAGGTCGCGCTCGAAGCAGCAGCAAAATGCGGAAACCGAGTTCGCGCAGCCGTCAACGCTCTAGAAGCCGACACACCGCGAGCCGTGTCGCCTTGGATGCCCGGGGCGAAGCGTTGACCGCGAAGGTTCTTTCGCACGATCACCATCCTCGCCCCTCCCCATGTCCCTCCCCATGACGTTGCCTACGCATGAGCCTGCTTCAGAGGGCGTTGACGATCCTCTTCGGATCGTTGGCCAAAACCGGGAACGACTGCGTTCCAACCCTCGCAGCGTGAGTCGCCGGCGCGCCGGAAGTCGTGCTGGTAGGGAAACGGGCTCAAGGCGCGGTGGATCCCCTGAGCCAAGGCATAAGGTGACACACAGTCAGCCGGAAATTCGACCGCCCCCTGACCTGGAATGCCCTGCGCCCCGACCTGAGGTACTGGAGCAACTCAGCGGCAAGGTCTTTGGACAAGAAAATGACGTCTTGAGCAGCAAAGCATTTGGCCAGGAGCCCCAACTCAGCAGCAAGGCTTTTGACCACGAGGAACAGCTAAGCAGCAGGGCTTTTGATCAAGAACCTCAGTTGAGTAGCAAGGCTTTTGGCCAGGAGGAACAATTGAGCAGCAAGGCATTCGGCCAAGACGAGCAGCTTAGCAGTAGGGCATATGGCCAGGAAGAGCAATTGAGCAGCAAAGCATTTGGTCAGGAGCCCCAACTCAGCAGCAAGGCTTTTGGTCAGGAGGAACAGCTAAGCAGCAGGACATTCGACCAAGAGCCTCAGTTGAGTAGCAAGGCGTTCGGTCAGGAAGAACAACTGAGCAGCAAGGCGTTCGGCCAAGAAGAGCAATTGAATTCGAGGGCATTTGGACAAGAAGATGTCTTGAGCAGCAAAACTTTCCAAGGTAATGTTTTCGACAATGCAAGCTACCGAAAGAGGTCCGACTCAGCCGCCCATGATACCCAAGAAGAACTCTCCCCTTCCACGCCATTTGTCAGTCTCGCCGAAAAGAAGAGAAGAGAGCTGGCCGCAGCTGAACTTGAAGCTCGTCGCCTCTCTCTCGCGCGTAACCCTTCGGCTCCCAATATCCCGTTCCCGGGCGAGCTGCAATCTGGACGGAGCCCTATCGAGAGTCCCGTATTACAGGGAGGCTCATACTTCCCGCGTGTTTCGTCTCGAAGCATGATTCCTCCCGCTAAAACCTCACCTGAATACCATAGTGGCTCGGACTCTAGCTCCTCCCGATCTGGTCGGTCTGGTCCACCGATTGGACTACCTGCGACCCCTCGAGCAATGCGCCACCCCAAGTATGGTGGCCGTGTCCGCGACGAGCGCCCACCATCTGTCCCTGCTGTCTCATCATACAGTGGCAACAGCTTCGGTGATAGCCGTAACATGACGGAGGTTGCCGAAAGGATCGGACGATCTATGTCCGTCCCTATGCCAGAGGGTCAACTCCACGCCCGCGCCAACCAAGCTCCAAATCAAATGCCAGATGGGCTGCCCATGCACCCCCATTTCAAGCCTAATCTACCCCCGGAGCCGCTCCAACTCGCGTGTCCGCCAAATGGGCCACCGACGCACGAGTTCGGGCGGTTATATCTCCCCCAGCGTGTCGGTGAGCATCGAAGAAACCATCGAGAACGCGATGCAGCAAAGACATGCGCCTCACGTAGACGTTCCTCCACCTCCACCTCCTCCTCCCATTCTCCCTGAATTACAGCATCTCAATACCCCTCCACCTCCTCCACCGCTTCCCATGCTGTCTGATACTACGTCGCCCCGGCAATCGTCTGCCACCATCGATGTCGCTTTCGACAACGAAGACATGGGTCGCTTACTACCACGTGCAATGACTGCCGCTCCCACCATCCATGTGAATGTCGCCGAAAATAGCAAGAGCAGTAAACGCTCTTCCTTCGAGCATCGTCGCAATCGCAGCTCAAATGAGAGCTTCACGAACAAGCTGCGCAGCCTGACTCGCATGCGCGGTAATAGCCGCAGCGTCGAGCCATGGGGAGGCCCTGACCCAGATGCGCAGTATGAGACTTTGGGTTCGGGGACATATAACCCTGGTCAGATCTAATGCATGCTTGATCAGCCACTCATTCCATGATTATCTTGCTCTTCTTCTTCTTCTTCTTCTTCTTTTTCTTCTTCTCATGTTCTTTGGTGTCCTACTTTTGGCACATTCATTTGCATTGCATCATGTTTTTCATGTCGCTCTGATACTTCGAGTTATGCTATTTATGGGTTCTGATTTTATCCTTTTGACGTTTAGCGAATTGCTATTTTGATTCCCCCCACCCCCCTTCCTTTTACATTCTAATACCCTCACTTTCCCCGGTGCTCATTCTACATCCGTTGCGCGCATTTTCAAGTGTGTTTCTACCATACCAGACCATGTCCCCAGAAGTTTCCTTGCCGTGTGTTCTCTTCTAAACATTGCTTTGCATAGTTTTTGCAGTTCAAGCAGGCCACTCGGTCATTCTCAACTCTCGTTCATAGTCTCGTCTCTTTCGTGTCGTCATACCAGAACTACGGAATCAAGAATATCGCCTGCAAAGGCTAATCGGCGTCAGAACAAAAGAATCTTCTGGGAATCGGACAGGACATCAGTCCATTTGTAGTTGTATTGTACAAAGTGCCAGATAGCGCTAAACACCACTTATGACCACCAGCCTTTCTGCGATGACCCGTCATTCGAAGCATTCCGCTCAGCGTCGAGAAGACGATCAAATTCCGCCTGTGCCTGCTCCCTGTCACGGTTCTTCTCGGTCTCATACCGATCCTGAGCGCTGGCAGGCGCATCGCTAGAATCTACCGGCTGGGGTGCAGACCTCTGAGGTTTGTTTTGCTGACGAATGCGAGCCCAGGCACTACCAGTCGAGGAGCCAGAGTCGGTGATACTTGTACCTCTGAACTCCTTGGCCGTAGGGCTAGCATCATCGTCACCAAAGAAATCAGATCCCGAGCTCTGCTGGGGCGCTTGCTGAGGTGTCGAGTTGTAGGCCGGGGGTTGCCAGGCATTGTCGGAAGACTGCTGTTCAGAATCCGAGCCGTAAGAAATGTCTTGGTACTGTGCATAATCGTTGAAGCCCTGCGGAGCAACCTCGCCCGCAGTCGAACCACCGTCGTCCTTTGAGAGGGAAACCGGTGACCCCGAGCTCAGAGATTCTATTATGCGGTCTCTGAGATTGTTATGGCGAAATGGATAGCGGCGGTCTGCGGCCGACAAGATCTTCTTCCGAGTATCAATGCCCTCCTGTCGCGCTGCGCGATTATCCGTTTCTTGATATGCAATGTCCCTCAGCCGCGGGTCCGTAAGCATGTGGTTCAAAAAGAAGTAGCTCCCTAGCATTCCAAAGCCGATCGTCGAAGCCGTGACTCCAAAGAAAAGCTTGAAGCCGGTCGTGAACAGCTGCCGCATCAAGTCAGGCCGGGGGAGGCCCCACAGAGCCCTGAAATGGTCGGTCATTGTAATGCCAGGCGGCAGCTTTGCCCGTCGTCGGTAGTAGAGCCAGGCAGTTGTGACGCCGAATCCCACGGGTTTTCCCAAGTCGGTCCAATAGAGCTTGGTCGTGTCGGCCGCGGTGAATGCGTCGAACTCGTCTTGGGTGATTGGCCGCCCTTCGATCGCCCACACGGCGTCAGCACGCGAAAGGACTTGCCTTGCAACGGCGTGCTTCCAGACAATGCCCGAAAAGGGATTCAGCCCTCGTGATACTATGTTCCGGGTCACTGCAAACTCCGGTCGGAAAACAAGGTGGGAAAGATCGGGCATGGTGTAGCCTCCGGCGTTGGCTTTTTCCCCTTGTGATGATGGCAGTGGGCCCCCTGCTTGGGGTGAGACCCCTTCTTCTGCCAGCGCATTATCCAGCACCATTATGCGTGTTGATGGGGTGAACTGGAGGTGTTGGCTCGCGTGCGCGGAGTCGAGCTTCGCAGGTGTTGTTCGGAGCTCCTGCATGACGTGTGATGACTAAGCTATAGTTGGAAGGCCCTGGTCAAATACAGGGAAGAGAATTCTTACTAGGATATCCATTATGAAGGAAACTTGAGATTCGTTGCACTATTATAATCACTATACTTTGGCAAGTAGGTCTACCACTTCTCAATGTAAGGCCTCAGGTCCAACTCGAACGCGAATGTAGTCCGTGGTTGAGTATGCAAATACCAGTAGGAATCCGCAATCTGAAGGGAAAAGAACGTTAGGAAATGATATCTCTAGGCATTGCGGAAGGTTCAAGAGAGAAATTTACCGCATCAGGGCTCAGCTTTGCATCTTCATGGGGAAAGACGTAACCCTTGGTGCGTGGGATATCAATAACTCCATCGATGATAGCATGGGATACATGAACACCCTGAGGGCCAAACTCCCTAGCGAGCGATTGCGCAAGCGCTCTCAAAGCAAATTTCCCAGCTGCAAATGGCGAGAACTGGGCTGATCCTTTCACACTAGCCGTCGCGCCAGTAAAGATCAAGGTCGGGGGATGGGGTGTTTGGCCCTTGCCCTTGAGAAGGAGAGGCAGGGTGTGCTTAGCAAAGTAGAAACCACCCTTACTGTGAAGTGGTATTAGCATAGAGCTCTCCCTATCCTTTCTACTTCTGAAAATGCAACTTACGCCTGCGAATCGATGGCTGTCGAGAACTGCTCATCGGTTAACTCTAGGAAGGGTTTCTTAACAAAACCGCCAGAGGGATTGAAGACTGCTGCCCCAGCCGCGGTTCCGGGGAATTCTTTCTCGATCTGCGCAAAGGCAGCCTTGACGCTATTCGCATCGGACACATCCGCACTGATACCAATGGCCTTGCCGCCGCCAGCGTTGATTTCCTTGACAATAGGTTCATAGTTATCCGGATTCCGTGAGAGAAGCACAACGGAATACGTCTGGGCGAAACGTCTGGCAATAGATGCACCCTGTACATGGTTAGAGATGGAGTACAAAAGCAGCACTTAGACGTACAGTGCCAGGCCCAACGCCGGCGATGATTGCAAGAGCCTTGGAAGCCATAGTGTGTCACTCGAATGTATAGAACAAGTTATGTAGTAGGTCGGCGTTCGGCGGGGGAAGAGGCGTTAAAATAGAGCGGCGTCTCGGCCTTTGCGCGCAATTGCTTAGAAACGCTGCGGGGATTGATCATCACATCATGTCGTCAAATGATATCATCTCCCGATGATGGGACTGGTACCATTCAATTTGTTTACTTTTCTGATTATGATATCCTCTGCTGCCGTTCGGATAGTTGAGTAATAGTCCATGAAAAATGGCCAGCTCCTCATGATCATGTTGGTGTACAAGGCTGCCTGAGGCGTGGGTGCGCTTATCGATAAGCCGACAATTTTCCCAAACCGCCTCTCGAGTCGCATTTCCTAATCTACCGAATCACCACGAGATGGATAATTCGGACGCTCTGCTGAGCGACCTTTGCTCTATATGGTACGCAGTATCCCAAATCTAATACATATGACAATACCAGGAGGAAAAAAACACTAACACGGTGAACCACTCAGCCACATCAATCCCCCGAAGTACCGCTGTCCGCGTTGCTCAACTCGCACCTGCTCTCTCCCCTGCATAAAACGGCACAAGCTGTGGTCTCAATGCTCCGGTGTGCGAGACCCAGCTGCGTACCTGCGGCGTAGCGAGCTAGCAACAGAGTCCGCCTTCGATCGCGACTTCAACTTCATCACCGGCATCGAGCGCTCGCTAGAACGCGCCGAGAGAGATGCTGAGAATCGTGGCATTGATCTTGGACGAGATCAGGTCAACGAGGCGGGGAATGGTGATGCCACAGAGTCTGGGTCCTCCCGCAAGAGAAAACACCCCCAGCAGGGCCTAGTCAAGGGAGAAGCTGGGTTCTTGCGCGGCGCGGAGTCGGGCCAGGTTACTGTGATCAGAGCGCCGAGGGGGATGACGAGAAACAAGCAAAATGGATCGCGCTGGCATCCAAAGTACGTTTATGTCGGCATTGCTATGGAACTATTGATGCTAACTCCGAGTCTTTGTTTAGACATAAGTGCCTTAGTTGGACAGTTGAATGGGTCTCTACAACCAAAGGAAAGACTCTGCATAATTGCCTCGAAACTTGCTCGATTGCGGAGGCTTACGATCGTGCATTTCCCGTTCCGAGGTCAGAACGATTACACCTCGGCAAACAAACAGCGGATGAGAAAGACGAAGCGAGGGGCGAAGAGAAGGGCGAAGAGAAGGGCGAAGAGAAGGGCGAAGCGAAGGGCGAAGCGAAGGGCGAAGCGAAGGGCGACGTGGTCCCTAAGGCAGAGCCGGCAGGCGGTACTCGGATAGCTTCAAGGGAGGAAGCAGACACCATCGACTCAGCAGACGTGCAACCAGCCGAGCCAGTCAGCTCATTAGCGGCGGAGGAACCACCAGATGAAACACCTGAGACCACCGAAGACATACCCGCGGATTTTCCTGTCGCTTCTCATCGAGGGATGCATTTCTACCTTCACCGTCCTCGAACAGCTACAAAGAAGCCGGTGCTAGTACCGTTACCGCCATCAAAAACATTGGCCGCGGCCCTTCGGAAACGGACAGTACTTGAATTTCCAACGATCTACACCCTATCAGAATCTCCCGACCAGTTGGCTGCACAGAAGGATTCATCGCAGTTCATTTTGGAGGACGATTTCATGCTAAATATTGGCCCAGAAGCCGCGAAGGAATTGGCCGAGTCTGAAGAGACTGGAACGGACTCTGATGCTTCGGAGCTTCCTGGGAACGTAGCGGATCTGCAAGAGCTGGATGAGAAGAAAGTACTAGAGGTCTTGAAACAGGATCTGTTTGAATCAGAAGCGTAAAAGGGCTTACAGTGCTCCTGGATTGAGATAAACTCATCTGAGGCACGGCTTTCACATTTGTACTATATGGAGCGTTGATTGTCAGTATTTGCATCGCGAAGCAGAGTCATCACAACACAATCTTATCCTTATTCGAGTTGAGTGACCATAATCAAGAGCAATCACTCTATGCCGGCATCTGTACCGGAAGCGTACACTTCGCGGGTCGATTACAAGGATGACCTGCGTCGCACGAGTTGGGAAAACTCAGGATATAAAGGCTGGCAGCAAGGCGATTCGGTCCGCAGACGGTATCGGGTCTCGAAAAATACGATGCGAGCGAATTGAGACGGTTTTCAAATACTCAATGGATGGCACAGGTTCCCTGTTCCATCAATGAGTCAATCAATTGATCACAGAGATCGGATAAAACTCAAACCCAGACCTAAACAATCCGAAATGCAGAGGTAGGGGTATTCAACTAAATCACAAGAACCAAACTCCAAAAAATGCTATGCAGATCCCAGAGCATGCAAAAGTCGCTAGAAAACGCAGCAGAAAAACAAAAATTATCAAAATCAACTCCCAAAACCCCACGTAAAGGCAGCAGATGCAAGCATATGTATAAGTGAAGAAAACATTTGATACCGATCGTCCAAAAGGCCTCGGCCTGGGACGATTTAGACCACCCACCTGACAACAGCATTATCTTGTTAGCGTTGTCGCGCACGATGGCAGAGAATCGCCGCCATAGCCTTAATATGAGGCTTCGGTTGATACGGTAATCGGTCTATCCCTGTCGGGAAAAGACATATGCCCTGGCCGTAGCCAGAATCACTTGGGAGGAAGCCCCAGGTAATGCAGATAATAGATGGATTGAGCAAAGATTTATCCATGCCCTCAAGAGGTCGAACTGTCGGAATCCGAAGCAGTGGGGGGAACACCTTGAAGAGAGCTTGTGTGACTCTTGCTAAAATTATTGCCCGCGGAAGTAACCGGCTGGGTAGGAACGGTGTTAGGCACAGTTGCAACTTCCGACACAGGGTCAGCAGCTTTCTCAAAAGACTTGCTGGCCTTGGAGTCGGTTGGTGACATATTGAGCTTCTCCGATCTACTAGGCTTGAGCTTGAGTCGTCCTTGCTCGAGAGCACGCAAGACAGTGCCGATGTCATCTGGGTCAATGGAGCGTAGCTTGAGCATGGCATCCTCTGAAACATCAGCAAATGGGTTCCACCCCAGCTTGTCGTACTCCTCGGCAGAAGTTGAGGACTTTGATTCAATTGATGGACCGGTGATCAGGCGTTGTAAGAAACTGTCAGAAACGCTGGGCCGGCGCGGCATTTTGACCGGCTTCGATTTGTTGCTGGTGCTGTTGGAAGCAACGTCATCTTGCTGACGTTTGGGAGGACGAGACATCATGTGGGCATTGGGCCCCTCCCCCACTTCGTTCCGAATCTTGTAATATACCAGACCGAGCGTAGCAGCCAGGGCTTGATGGGCTGCATCGGGATACTGGACAACAGCCTCAGATCGGGTCATGTTAAAGGCACTATCACTGGCATCACTTGAATCACTATCATCACAGAAGATGTCTGTAGGTTGCATTCGAGACCAGCTTTGGTAACCTTCAAGTTGGTAGAACTCGGCGAGTTCAACTAAGCGGTGGACTGTTGGGGGGGGGGATGTCAGATGCTGAAGACTTATCCAGGTGCACTGATTCCTGGTGAGTATTTCCTGGCTTACCTCGACTTCGTTTCTTGAGACACCAGAATCGCCAGACAGTCCGAGGGAAGTAGGTAGGATATTCGAGAGAGCCGTCATCCAAGATGACAGGGACAGGTGTGATGGGAGCGTGGACAGTTTGGGCGAGAGAGTTGAAGCGAACACGATCCGACTGTCTCATGTGGGACTGGAGAGAATCGATACGCGAGTTAACCCGGCTTTCCATGGAATTCAGTTGATGGGATAGTTTGTGTTCAAGAGTGATAAGATCGGTACGGAGTTGGTTGGTGGCAGTCTGAAGCTTGCTGATATCAATACGAGATGCACAAATATCAGACTTCATCTGGGCTGTATCGGTGTAGAGCTGGTCCAATGTCTTCTGCATCCGATCCACATCTCCACGTAAAAACACAGTCTCCGTACCGGACTGGCCGATACTCGACTTCAACTGGAAGATACTACTCCGGATCTGGTCCACATCAGTCCGAAGGGCCACCACGTTCAGATCAATCCGATGAGAGATGGCGCTGTGGTTGGCGAATTCGCGGCGGATGTGATCATCCTCACGGTTCCGGCGGTCGACATAGCCATCCTTGGTCAGGACTGAGGATTCGAAGTTCAAGGACGCGGGAGTCCAGTTGGTTCATGCGGTCATGGAGCTGGGTGAGAGAAAGTTCAGAGCCGGGCGGTGTGGTCTCGCGTCGAACGGAGAGCCGAGGGCTTGACATGGAGAGAGAAGCGCTGGAGGTACAAGAGAGACTCCTCTCCAAAGAAGTCATGGTGGACATTGTGGGTCGTAGTTATGATGGCGGGTTCCTTGTATGAGGAAGCGGTATTCTTAGACTAAGTCCATCGCGGTGGTGTAGACAATTCTGGTGAGGGCGGAGGGTTGGGAGAGGAGAAGATTGAGACCGACGAAAGGGCAGGGGCGGCAAGGCCGGGTGACACACCCTGACACTCCCCTGACCACAAACCACCGCCAGTTGGTCAGTTGGCATCTTACATTCCGCCTCACCCACCGGTCTGTCTTACCGGCAAATGACTCCAATTTGATCATATTCATGTTGCTCTAGCTCTACTAATCTCTCAGTTCTGTCTGTTCCATCTTGGTTCAGTCTTCATCGCCCACACTCTCCCGCTGTGAATCCCATAGATTTTAATACGATATTTTTCGGGAATGGGTTAAATGACCGTACACATACCCGAACCCTTGGCGGTCAGACCACCTGCTGCGGTGTGTTGCGACCCAAATGGGGCTGCCTGCATGCGTTAGTGCGACCGCCAGCCCCTAGTGCGACACTAACGCCAGTGGCGAACACTGTACGACCGCCCACCCTGCCGCAACTGGCCACTCATCAGCCACGACCGGCCAGGCCGTGGGGCCCCGTTCACTGCTGCCCCCAACCACCACCAATCGCACTCGTGGCCGCTGCAGTCCGCAGGGCTTCCCTCGCCCGCCCAACTTTTGCAAGCGGACGCAAAGGATTGCCTGCCCGCCCAATCATTTCCCTCGGCTAATCTTCGCCCTCGCGACTGGAGGCCCCAGCGCAGCCTGCCCGGCCATCCCCTGCCTGTGACGACACCGTCCTTACCGTCGTGACGCTCCTGGTTTTTGAGCTTTGTAGAGGTCAACATGAACGAGAGTCAACTGGTCAGTAAACTGGAGAGTCGGGTCCAAGATGATAGAGAACAGTAGGGAATTCTTGATTTGATAGGTTGTGCCATGAAAATACAATCTTTGGGCCTGGGAATGCAAAAAAGGGAGGTTGGTGCAAACCACTTTCCTAATCCGGATGTTTTGAGGTTATTCACATCGCACCTTCCGCGACGATGTCGGCCACTTGCAAAATAAACGAGATGGTAGAATTGACCGACAGAACACACTCTGGGGCCTTCACCAGACTTGTTTCTGCAGGTCGCGCTCGAAACAACCGCCCTGGATTGTCGCCATGAAGCAAAATGCATCATTGCAGAGTATAGCCATATGGACACTCACAGCTTTCACGGCCCTAGTCTCATCCTCGCCCAGCTCTGGCAAAAATACCTCCTCTTTGCCTGTCTACAAAAAGGATCCCCTGGATTGTGACTGCTTTACAGTATCGGGTCCAGATCCAGGATACTTCCAGCACTATAAACTATGGGATTTCCGCACCGTTCCTTTAGTACCGCACCTCAGCAGAGGCTTTTCTAGCCTCAATGGCACAATAAACACTGAAGGCGACGATAGCTTTGATGATGGCGGCGACAGAGACTTTTACTACTCAACAGATCACAATGGAGGCGACACACAACCTCAACCAGACTCTCTATACTTGTTCAAAACCGCCTTTCACAGAGACTGGGTCAGCCAGCAATGGCACCGCCCCAGCCATCCTAGAGCACCAGTAACAATGGTAAATTCCAGACGGAACGTATTCCTGACCAGAGCCCACGACCAGCACCATCCGAACGCAACATATCTTGTTCTTCGTACAACCCGGCACTCGAGGTTTACTTCGACCGCCGAGATCGAGACTCGGGTGCGCGACATCTGGCACTGCTCTCTACGCGTACGCCTTCGGCTTCTTCCCTCCAGCGTCTTCGTCCATCAGCCCCCGTCGATCTCGGAACTGCCCGTCCACCATCCAGCGTCGCAACATCCGGCTCGTCTACCCGTCAAAGCCCACAATACGACAGATGCTGTCAATCCTTTCCAACCTAACCGCCCGCCCTCTGGCGCATGCGCAGGCATCTTTACCTATAATCCGAACTGCGAATCGGACATCGAGATCTTAACCAGCGATCCGTCTAACCGGGTGCGGTACGCCAATCAGCCGGACTACGACCCGGCAACAGATCAGATGATTCCGGGAGCAAGCACGATAGCGGACATCCCCGTGGCGTGGACGACCTGGTCAACGCACCGGCTGGATTGGCACCCCGGCATGTCGCGCTGGTACGTGGACGGCATGCTCCAAGATTCCAAGTCGTACCAAGTACCGAACCTGCAGAGCCGGCTAGTGATCAATCTCTGGAGTGACGGGGGAGTGTGGACGGGCGATATCAAGCTTGGCGAGAGCATCTTTCTTGGCATTGAGTTTATTGAGCTCGCGTACAATCGCTCGTCGGACGGGAATAACCGAGGGAATGTCCCGCCGGAGCAGAGGCATGGGGGCCACCAGTTGCCGCTGGCTGGTTCATCGGTTGCGGATGAGCTAGACTCGTTTGATGATACGGAGATTGTGACGGGGGTTGCGAAGAGAAAAAAGTGTAGAAAGGGCAAAAAGGGTGACAAATGTCGGAAGAAGGAAAAGCAGAAGCACCGTCATAAGCACCATCATGAGGGAGATGCTGACCATGACAAGGAGCATCTCAAGGCACCGTGTCAACGGATCTGCAATATCGATGAGATCCACTTGGGCGAGATGGAGTGAGTTGTCTAGTTGACCTATCTTCTTCGGTCTCTCGTTCGTGCTGTGGGAGACATGTATCATTAAAAAGCACCGACCGCTGGTAATACTAATATTCTTTTTTCTGTATTCTTAATAGCCGTGCTTTCATGGAATAGAAAGGTTCTCGGGGCCTCATTCACGACACCAAAATGCAGCCAGGGGATCTTGATAGGCATCAGCTTGTATTAACTTATGGTAGTTTATTTGGGAGCCGATCGACTTAATGTACTCGGGCACTGCACAAGAAACACTAAACTGCGTAAGTCCTCTCATATAACCAACAATGGGGTATCATTCGAATTCATTCAAGGCACCAAGGCCAAGTCGCTCCCTGAGCTGACACAGGACCATCCGGATCCTGTCAATTTTCTATCGCCATGCCATATAAGCCGTGAAGTAGGAACCCGAAACCGTCAACGCCGTAGGAGAACAGTGCACACCGACTGTTTCCATAATGAGTAGATAGAGAGACAATGGAAAGGGAAAAGAGTAGGGTTCGAAGGAGAGCTTCCTGGAAGTGCCGTGTGGACGTGGAAGAAGTGGTGAAAGATGAAACGAAGCGGAACGTATCAGGCAGAGGGCAGCCATGTATAAGGGCTCAGGCCACTCATAGCAGGACATTCCCAGACTTGTCTACGGGATCAAACTCGCCATGGAGTCCGCCATTCATGATTTCTGCAATGATCTTCTTGCGAAGAGTACTTGTGTCGCGAGCACCGAACGCAGTAGGCTCAATGTTCAGCGCAACGGCCTTTGCGTTTGTAAGGAGGAACACACCACAGTCACTCCCGTTGTCTTGCTGAGAAGACACGGAGGGAAGAACTGACCATTCATCATCAACGTAGCTTGCGCCCAGTTCCCCTCGTAGCCATTCTTTGATAATACCCACTTGACGTTTCCCTCGAGAGCCCAATGAGTCAAAGTATTCAATAGTTCGGTCTGCTGGCCGTATGACCATCAAAGTCCAATGAGAGGACTCGTGCACGGGCACAAAGACCATGTCAACCCCCAGTAAGCTCTCGCCATTGATTTTTGCTCGTTTTGCCCACCGGCGCACGCCATCGTATCCCTTCTGTCGGAGGGTTGTATAGAAGAATGTGTTGAAAGCATGAAACCGAGGAGCCTCGGCCGGCTCGGCATTCCCCGCCGATTGACTTAAATATTGGATGATAATCCCCAGGTAGGAATTGATGATCTCGTCATTCAGCCATGCGAGTGGCTTGACGCAAGTTGCGATGTCTGTCGCCATCAAATCATCACCTGCTAAAGACTTTGCAACAGCTCTGTTGGTATGCAGGGCCTTCGAGATCTTCTGTATCCACTCAGAAGATAGTGGACGCACCGCTTGGCCCGTAAGCTGTATCCGCCCGGCCGAAGCTCCTCTTCAAGAGAGAGCTTCAGTTTCTTATGAGCGTCCCATTCTTTGGCGAAAAGGGATGACACACGGCCCGGCGGTATTGGTTTCGTTGGAGTGACGAGTTGGACGGCTGACACTGGGAGTCCAAATGGGTTTCTCTCGTATCTTTTGAACTGTTCGTCCCAGGGATCTTCGATGAGCATTGTTTGCGTGGAGGCTGCATTGTTGCTGGCAACACTTGGTTCGCGTCGCGATACCGGAGTAGCGAACCTGGTTGGTTTTAATGAGGACGGTAATGACCGTACAGGCCTTGGATGAAGGTGGGTACCCAAATCTGTGCGGAGCTGCGGAAATGTACTTAGGTCAACATCCATGGACTCAAGGTCCATACGACCAAATTCGGAGACTGGAAGGTCATTTTCGGCACGTTCGCTTTGCGCAGGCTGTGTTGATGGTACCGGTGATGGTGATCTCGAATGTGGAAATGCTCCGGGTATTTCCAGTAAGCCTGGAGAACGTTGTGAGCATTCTCCAATTCTTCCCGATCTTGGAATATCACGCCGCCTACCTCCAGCATGTTCGCGTTCATGTGGTGGGGGAGCTCTGAAAGGGCTGAATGCAGCGAGTGAGAACGGTTGATCGGAGACATCTGGATTTTGTGACGGGACATCTGGTGACTTGCGCCGTGACCATAATCTGGAGAAAAACTCCATTGCGATCGATCACTTCCGGTTTCACGCCAGGACGAAGGGAAGATCGGGGAGTGAAGGGGGGGATGGTATCTGGGTGTCGCAATCGCTGAGAGGAGGATGCCTGGGTACGCGACTGTATATGGACCAAAAGGGACGTCAAGATACTGCCCATTCTCGGGGCAGAGCGACGATAGTCGACCTCGGGAGTTGATAATTTCAGACAAACGCAACGCGATTCTCCCAGTTGCATCATTGGGGAAGGCTGGTACTGACTAATCATGTGCTAACCACATTAGGTATCGCGCAGATCCCATTGTTCGTGCCGAAGTATATGAAACTTCAACAAAAGATGTTTCAGACGATTCCTGGATCAGATAAAGACACATAATCATTCTATAAATTGTCACAAAGATCCATTTTTGAACATAATCGTAATAGTACCGGAACATCACGTCTTACCTGAGCATGATATATACAGCTACACGCGGGATGTTTCACCTAAAAGATAAGCGAAGAAAGAGGGACATTTGAGATACAACGTCATGACAATCATTTCCCTCTATAACAGATACAGACTTTGCTTCAAAGCACACTAGAGACAGATACTGTAAGGATACAGATTTGCAGTATGTACATGGGGAACCCCAACTTATGCCTCGGAATCAATCTGTTCCGCAATGCCAAAGCAGGGCCTGGGCAGGGTGGCCGATGGAGACAACAGACAAAGGGCTGATCCATTATGCAATTAATGGGGGACGCCGAGTCCGACCATATCAAATACATAGGGCGCCACGTTAATCACCACCCAAGGAATGCCTACAAGATGTCCGAATAAGCAAAGTGTTCGGAGACAAAGTTTTAAATGGAATGTACGTACCTGCATATACCACGAGCTTCGTGACAACCTCGACATCGTAACGAACACGAGGCTTCTCGATCTGGGAAAACACCTCCTTCTCGTCTGCGCGAGATCCATTATACGCAGGAGATGGTAAGGGAGATGACCGCGGGACGTTGCCATCGGTTTCCAGCAGTGTCGTGTTGGGGCTTCCCTTGCCCATCATGTCCTCGTACTCATCTAGTTTGGTTCCTTTCCTCGAGGTGACGCCGGCCCCATTGGCTTCTCCATTGGCTTCTCCTTCGGCGGGCGATTCGCGATAGCTGCTGGATTGACTCTCCCGGCGGCGCTTCTCACGATACGCCAAAGTCTCGTACGCGTCGGCCTCGGATTGTGGGCCAACTGAGATAGCCCGCCGGCGTGGGTGTCGGAAACTAGTGATGATTCCGGGAATTTCTGAGAAATTGGGAAGGACTTCGTTATCTTTCAGGTTTGTTGGTACCGTTGTGTATTGCCTAGTAAGCGGTGTCAACATTACAGAGCACTGGGCTTCGGCTTTGACCTATACTTACGAAGCTGTGGTGAAGAATCTCCGCGGCAGAAGAAGACCAAGTTTTTCCAAGCTGCGGAAGATAGGAGGAAGAATGCGCAGCAGAGTGGGCTTGGTGACTTCTCTCCATGCGAAGACACACAGCACGCCGAGAACCAGGCGGAGCACAGTCTTGATAAGTCCAAGGCTTCCGTAGTGATATGGAATAGTTCCCGGCAGGGGATCGGCCCAGGCAAGGGCTGACTGGGTAAAGTACCATGATCCAACATCAACACCGAGAGTCACGCCCGCGAATGCAACGCTGTCGTCAAAGCATGGACAGTCGTCTGCGGGTTCGGGATGAATGCGGACAAGGACTAGAATGACAACAGGGACCCAAATGACTCCTTTCCATGAGGTGTATAAAAGGTAGTCATCGAAAGCGGGGCCTAAGAGGTACTGAGCGAGGCCAATCAAGGCGCCCAGTATACAGCCAATTACCACATCCAGCATCCCATGCATTCCACAATATAGCCGGCCCAGCACAATTGACGTGACGTAAAGATATGTGATTCCCTGTAGGATAACGTTGGTTTGCGGGGTGACAGTGGAGTCAGGCGTATTGAGCAGAGCGATCGCATAAACCGCGACAGAGACGGCGTTTGTCGAATGGGTTGACGGAAACCCATATTCAAGAGCGGCAGACCCTGACATAGTGATACGCTGTAGCGGGGCGAGAGGGGCCGAGGTAGACACAACAAGTCTTTGATAAACCCGCTGAAGAACACGCCGGATGCAAGGATGTGCACTAATCTGTTGGCACATCGGTCATCAGTTCGCTCGTTCTCCTAGTATATTGGGCTTCCACTGCAGAGAAAGACGTACCCTCGGCCCAAACTAGTATGACCGCACCAGAAAAGGAACGGCAAGAAAACCATAAAGAAGGTATGCGTGCCGAGGTTGGCCGTAAAGGCGAAGTATGAGTCCAAGGCCGGTGTCCGGACCTTCTCCTGGGCCCATGCTAGGTAGGGTGTCTCATATCGGATCAACGGTAATAGTTTTTGTCGAGGGTAATAGCGCCAGCTGGGAAGACGATTCGAATCTAGCCATACCGCGGCGAGATTAGCAAATTGACCTCGCCGAGGTTCGAGGGTGAGCAGAGGATAGGGCGAAGCCGCATACAATGATTCAGATCTCTCAGCCCCGCGTCGGGCTTGTCTTTCCCGTCCTGTCCCATTGTGTGATGTTATCGATCTGGATGCGCAAGACCAGGTCCCCCATACATAGATCGGGGGCTGGCGCTTTGGGTTCGAGCTTTGAAGACTCAAGCGGACATAAGGAGCGTATGAAAGTTGGGTTACGCGAGTTCAGGAATATAGGAGCTGAGGGTACGCCACTGGAAGGGGGAGGAAAGTTGTGAGAATCAAAATTCCGCCGAAAATCACTCGTCGCCGCAGCACATGCTCAACGGCCCCTGATGCGTCGCCGCGCGGCACTGTGTGGGCTTAGTCACGCCCCTCAGCAGTTTCGGCTTATACTCTTGACTGCTCGCAATCTTCACAGCCCCGGTTATTTAAGGTTGATCGCTTGGTAGTTTAGATAATTACTTGTTTCCCTTGTCTAAATGCATTTTCTTGCCTGAATAAACACTGCTGGAGGTCTTGAGGGCTCCTGGTACCCGCTGGGACGCGCTCGGATGTGGCGAGGATCGCTGAGAAAAAGCATCCACAGATCGACTTCTTTTAAGTTCTCGCGGCATCTCACGGGTGGTTGCGATGCTATACTTGTACTATATTTGAAGGAACTTTATATCAAGCCTCGTTCTATCCTAGTATCTTCTCACTTGGAAATACGACCAATATTGTTGTCAGAGTTTCCACACTGGAAATATCTTAGAGAGTCCAATCACTACCACGGGTACTATTATTAGCGGAAGTTGGGCCTGAAAAGCATCGCTACAAGTTGATTACTCTCTTCCAAGTATCAGAAGGCTGGCAATTCAGACTGAACTCAAATAACCATCAATACGGTTCCCGTATCCGTCTAGCGGCAACCTTGAAATCTTAGTAGCTTGTTTTCTCAACTTAGAAACGATAAGAGCAACGCCCCAAGAAGGATTGATTCGGAACAAAAAAGGGAAAAGGAAAAAGAAATCTTTGTCAGAAGACGAACGAGGCTAGCGCTGGCGGATATGTCATTCGTATTCGTGTGGCTGTGATACCGGAAGTATTCATCTGCCACAGAGAGGCTTCCAACTCAAGTCTCTACATGGGAGGCCTTAAGAGGCCTTAAGGACCAGAGACAAGCATTCTAGACCAGAAGCTTAGAGGTTCGGCTATAATCGCAGAATACTTAAGGGCTTCCCAACCTTAAAGAGGTGCGCATCCTTGGCTGCTTATCATCGCCTTGAAGAACTTCGGCCTCAACGATGCTCTCGATTGCCAAACTAATCTATCCTCTCCCAGCGCCCCCCAGTGCAGCGACAGCGAGACCTGAAGGTTATTTGTCTCGGACTGCCGAGAAGCGGAACCGAATCTCTTCACAACGCACTACAGATAATCGGATTCAATGGAGTTGCGCATGGCTTTGACTGGTGGCTCCTCAACCCGCATACAAGTATGCTTTATTGCGAACTCATGATCCTCAAATTGCAGAATCGCCTGCCACCGCCAGAAATCTTACGCAGAGACTATTTCGATCGCATATTGGCCGATAAAGAAGCTACTACTGACATCCCAGCGGCATGGTTCGCGCCAGAACTTGTGCAAGCTTACCCAGAAGCCTTGGTAATTCTGAACCGGCGCCGGGATCTAGGGGCTTGGAAAGTCAGCTTCCGAGCGTCAGTGCTGCCCATGATGCAGAGCTGGAAGTATTGGCTGGGGAGCTGGTTCAACGCCGAACTCTTCTGGGGTGTTTGGTTGACTGACATGGGGCATGACAAATTCCTGTTCCGCGGTGATTTTGAACGCAACGCTGAGCAGGCCTATATGGACCACTATGAGGGACTGGAAAGAATGCTACAAGAGGAGGGCCGCGAGTATCTGGACTGGGCAGTCGAGGACGGCTGGTGAGTTTCCCGCCCGTGCTGAGAGCTTCCAGGCTAAGATTGAAAGGGCGCCACTTTGTCGATTCCTGGGTCGTGGAGAACCCGATGCGCCATTTCCCCAGGGCAACATTGCGGCCGAATTCGGGCCCCGATTGATGACCGTGGATAAAGCACGATTCAGCAGGGCAACTGGGAACTTCCTAGTCTGCTTGTCTATTCCTGTAGCTGCTGGCGCATTTTGGTTATTGTATTGACAGGGAGAAGGGACCGTAAGCCCTCAATTGTCTTTGCCCTGGCCCTCACGTCTACGAGCGCTCGGATGAAGGACGGGGGTGACATTGTACCATGGGTACAGAAGTGGTCGAAGACCAAATGCAGAGGTGGTCTAGAATAACAGGTACATTGGGAAAGGGGCCAGAGTTAATCTCCCTTGAGTCAACGGCGAACATCTTGTGGGACATGACTGGCACTGTATCGAGGTACAAGCTAGCGTGTCGCAGCATGTATGAAAGTGCTATGCCCTGAAGGGCGAGAGAAAAGCTCCGAAAAGCAATAGATATTGCAAATTCCCAGATTATCGGCATCATTGGCAAGATCATTCTCATATAGTAACAAATTAATAAACGGAAAAGCACTAATCGCCAGTGATATGAGCATACAGCGATCTGGACCCGAGGCAAGTTACCACGAGCCGGTTCTGGCAGAGCTGAGCAGTGGGGAAGAGGGGCTAAGGGGCTTCGAGCGGGACTCTACAGCCCCCAAAAAAGCAACAGTGATCGGAGCGATCACATCAAACCTGACAAGATGACAGCCAGCCAAGGTCGGGGGGGGTGGCTTTCGTCATGAGGCGGGCCCGTTGCTATGGCAGCGCACATGTAAACACGGGCCTCGCCCCGTCCAAGACCCTCGAATCTTTATCGCAGGCGATCCCTAGATCTAGGAGATTCGTCTTCTTCTGCTCTTCTCTTCTCATACTCTTTCCAACTTGCTCAGCTTTGGGAATTCTCTTCGCCTTTGCGCTATTGCTGTTTCATTCAAGACAGCTTCCATCCCGATCTACAGGCAGATAACGAGCCATCCTTCCCGCCTTGCAAGGGATTTTCCATTCCACACTACCATGAGCCATATGTATGACGAGCAGTACTATGCGGCCTCGCGACGTCGCTCTGTCGCCACGCCTCCCCCATCCACATCTCCATACCACAGTCGAACCCGCAGCCATAGTGTCCGCGTAAGCAACGGCACCGTCAGCACCAACACCAGCTTTTCCAGCGGGCAAATGTCGGACGCAACCAATATCACTCAGCCACCTTCATATTCAAAAAAGTTTGTCGTGGTGGGAGATGGTGGATGCGGCAAGACTTGCTTGTTGATCAGCTATTCCCAAGGCTACTTCCCGAGGTAAGAACCAATATCAACTTCGAACCGACTCCCCACATTCGACCCCAAAGCTAACTCCCACCATAGAAATACGTTCCGACCGTCTTTGAGAACTATATCACTCAGACGGTTCATCGTTCATCTGGGAAGACCGTCGAGCTAGCCCTCTGGGATACCGCGGGGCAAGAAGAATACGACCGTTTGCGCCCGTTGTCCTACCCAGAAACAGACCTTCTGTTTGTCTGCTTCGCAATTGACTGCCCCGCATCCTTGGAAAATGTTATGGACAAGGTAAGCAATATGATCCATGAGGACTTTCAACCCTGGAAGCCATCCTCTGTCCTTGTACTGACAACCCTGCCAGTGGTATCCGGAAGTCCTGCACTTCTGCCCGACAACCCCGATTATCCTGGTCGGTCTGAAATCAGACCTGCGCAGCAAACGCACATGCATTGAGCTTCTCAAGACCCAAGGTCTCACGCCTATTACCCGGAGCAAGGCAACGCCGTCGCTCAACGGATGGGCGCAACCTATGTGGAATGCAGCAGCAAGGAGATGCGCGGCGTAGACGATGTCTTCGCCAAGGCAGTCGACATGGCCGTGTCAATCGAAGAGCAAGGTTGGAAAACACAGCAGCCCGGTAAGAGTAGCAGCAGTGCCAAGCAACCCAGCAGCAGCCGCCCCGGTAAGAAGATCAAAAAGCGATCCTGCAAGATCCTGTAAAATGGGGTTTCTTTTTCCTGCGGTACGACCTCTTTCGCCCCCCTCTCTGTTCGCTTCTTGACCGATGTTTTCCTTCTTCGCTTCTCTACTGGCCCGATCATAGCCTGGTTGCTTCCTCGGCTTGCTTGCCTACTCTGTTTATCATGTCACGGCAAGCTGGACAAAGCTAGACATGAACTGCAGTATTTTCTTCTTGGCGTTTGAGACGCTGCGCGCTCTCGCACCTTGCTACTTGTCGATGGAGGCTTTTTCTTCTTTTATTTTTTTTCCGTTCCCCCGTTTTCTCTTCGCTGTTGATTGATCGTCGTTCTTGACTATTTTTGACTCGCCTCCATTGTGTCTTTATCTCATGACCATTGTTCCCCCCTTTCTTTTACTCTATCTTTGGTTCTCATGATCCGGGCCATTGCTTCTTTTCCTTTTCCCTCTGGCATGCATGGGACTGGTGTTCTCAATGATGTTATCTGATATGTTACGTTGGCGAAAGCGACCCTATGTGTTACTGAAACAAATACATCCAAAATCTTCATGTTCAGCTTGAACTCGTAGAAACCATAGATATCCTATACGAAGTATTGTCGCAGGAAGTCTTGCAATTGGTCGCTATCTCGCAAAAAGGGCCGGTCAATGTCTGTAGACCAGCTCAATGGTGGAAGGGCGCCCTGGTAGATACGACAGGCAATATCAATATCAATCCGTGGATCGAATTATTCGCCTGCCCCGATACAGCCAGCGTTCTGCCTCGAATTTCGAAGATAAGATCCCCAGATCCAATCTCCTATTGACTGGGGGCCACTGCCCCAACCAATCTGGATTTGTCCTGACATATGCCCTGATTGAGGGCATATGATGCCTGTCCAAAAAGATCGTAGGGCTAGACCGAGCCGAGCAAAAGTCCGTATCCCCATAATCCAGAAAAGCCTTCTTGGCGACGCCCGTTCCCCGTTGATGCCCAGAGTTCACATCGTTATCATTATTGACTCGCCGTAGACTCGCCCTCTTCATATGCGTCTGTCTGGCCCTGGCCCTCGCCACTGACCTTTCGCTTCGCACCACCAGCTTCTTCGTTCTGGTCGTCCGGTCGCCCCATGAAATTTTCGAATTGCGACCAGAGCGCTTCGACGGACCCGAATTCATTGCCCACCTGCTCCGGTCAGTCCAGGCATCAACCACCCCGCGCGATCCAAAAAAAAAAAAGGAAAAAGAAAAAGAAAAGAAAAGAAAGAAAACGGAGCAATGCATACCGTAATGATACTCTCCAAGTTCCGATTCAACCGATTTATGTTCTGGAGCACCTGCTCCATCCCTGCAATCTGTAATTAGCCCATTACTCCTCCCAACATAAGTTATCCCAACTTTACCACGGCAATGTCGCGGACTAGTTCCTCCCGCTGCTGCTCAAACACTGTAGGGGTCGCGGCACGGCCATTTCCACCCGGCGTCCACGCCATATCGGGCTCGTAGAGGGGTTGCAGACGCGACGCAGATCAAGGGGCCCGAACCGATTTCAGCGCTTCACGCGGTGCCGTGGGTCGTTCCACGCGACGTTGGCCGGGATGCGCGGGAGAGACAGTGAGTGGTTCGAGGTTACGGTTTCGGGCGTGGTTTTGCTTGTCTTTGCAGTGGCAGCAGCGTTGTGGGACGGTGGTCAGGGACGGAGCGCGTGCGGGGAGGCTGTGGTTGGTGGGGGTTTATTTTGGATCGCGATAGGATGTGATCGGCGATCGGGCTGCGTTTAGGCCAATCTGGGATTCATGAGGGGGGTTTGCTTTGCTTGTTTCGTGTAGTCTTCGCGCGCTGTGTGTGGGATTTTTGATTGGTTTTGGTTCTGGCACATGTGATGCATGGGTTGATAGGACCATGGTTTGGGGGATCATCCTGAAACGCGGGTTGGACTTTTGGGGTGCCTGGGGGAAGATCTATTTTTGAGACACGCTGACATGTGGTTACTTTCTCCAATTTCTGGTCTTGACCATGTGATCCGAGGATCGAGCTCTTTTGACGCGAGGCCTACGAGACCACGCTCCAAAGCAGGAGCTCGTCGAAGATCTTGCCAAGCTCTCATTGCGGACGGAACTCGACGAGGGAAAGAAGCAGAATTTCGTATGAAGCCGCAAATTCACCTTTCAAGCAGCGCAAGTTCTACAGTAATCTTAAAAATACGGTCTGAACCCTCCAGCTGCCGTGAAGCAACAAGCCTTGACAGATTCCACAGATCGGAAATGAACTGCATCAAATCTCAAGGGAGTCCAATTTCCGACAATTCACACCAAGATTTCACAACTTTCATTCTCCCTCGGTATCTTCTAATTGCCCGTCCAGATCCGCATGTCCACGCCCGCCAGAGTCAGCGCAAGACAAATAGGCCCGTCTAGCCCAGGACTGTGTGCCCTCCGGCCCACTCCAGGGCCAGCCCGGCAAAAAGCCGTCGCGCTAATGACAGACAAGACATCGGCTCTTTACTGAGTAGGACACTGTCCCACCACGCCGGTAAGCCCCTACCAGAACTGCTGGCGCCTAGGGTCCACCGGTACCTGAGAATGACGTGCAGTTCCACGGACCACGATATTTCAGATCCATCCCGGTGTTCGGCCAATTTTAGATCCAGGTGCAGAGGGTTAGTTCCTTTTTTTGCTTGCATGTCTAGTGGCTGGGGTAGCGATTTGGTTCTGGCGGTTGCTTGTAGAAGGTTAGTACGGCGGGGAAGGGGGGGGAGGGGGTCCTGTAGAGTTTTTTTTCATGGTTGGGAAATTGCGGTAAACGCTACATCGGCCCGCGAATCAATATCTTTCTTTTGTCTACTCGTAATAGAGAATTATGGACAAAAGGGGAAATTAACACGGGGTCTGCTCCACTTTGTTCTATACTTTTCTTTCTCTTCCTCAAAGTTCCGCTTCTGGAACAGGAAGCCTCGGAGAACACAAAGGGGTGGGGAAAGATTGGGAATGGGAAAAAAAAGGATAAAAAAAATATAGAAAGATAAAAATAAAAAAAATATTAGAGAAATGAAGATCCAAGAAATGAAGTCAAAGGGGTCCTGGAATCAATCCAGAATTCAAGTCATTAACAGGTCTACCGATGAGACAAGTATAGAAAGAAAAAGTAGACATCATCACATCGTCACGGAGTCAACAGGGGAAAGGTCTCTGGCGGGAATCCGATTTGGCTTGGTAATCCAACCAGAATCAGACCCAGTCGAAGGCCAAATGACTCCCCCTCTTCCGGCTCAACCGTGTTTCTAGGATTGCCCGAATCCAACAGTAACTGCCATGCAAGTTACATGGCCCAACATCATATCCTTCTTTTTTTTGAGATCTCTTCATATAGTAAAGGATACTGACAAGCCAATTGGAAGTATGGTCCGCATTCATGAATCTCCGTTATCGTTTCGGTCGTTAGTTCCGGAGCATGGGCCCGGTGGCGTAGAGAGGAAGAGAATAAGAGTGACCAGGATCAGAAGAAGGTTATGAGTTGCGGCGCGGTTGCACCAGGATGTTGCTTAATCGCTTCCAGCGCTGGGTAGGCGAGGTCGAGTTCATGCGGGCCAAACCGCCCTTGTCCATGGGCTTTGTGGAGGACTGGGTAGATGAGCGAGGCCGTCCGCCGATAGTGGCTTCGTGGTCTGCGAGGACATCTTCTAAGCGGACATCGGAATCTGAGCGTGGAAGAGAGTTCTCTGGATCGAGAATCTCGATGAACTTGGACGGCGTGTCGTGCATTTTGAGACTTGGTGAACACGATGGGATTTTTGCTCCACGGTAAAGGGGGAGGGATCACAAGACAGTATATGTAGAGCCTCGGTTTCTAGAGGCGCCACGATCAGACAGTTGCTGCAGCAGTATGCGCCGGTGCCGGAAGGGGCCGTGGAACAGGAAGTATATCAAGAGTCGGCGCGCTGCTGCAGGGGTTGGGGGGAACCTAGTGGGATTTAAAGAAAATGTAGATCTGGAACAACAATAAAGAAATAGAGAAAATGGGAAATTCAAAATGAGAAATCCACAAAAAAATCGCAAATTACAGCGCGTGTTGGAGATTAGTCCCGACGAGCAGGAGGACTGCTGGCCTCTCTTGGGCCAGTCGTAGCGTGGGTGGGGTGGAGAAATGAAGATCAGGGGACTCTAGGGCCCCTTCAGACTTTCTCGAGAACAAAATAGCTCATTCCACACCCGGACTTTCCCATCGTTTGGTACCAGGACCCTCTTTTTCGGAGGGAGGCCCTGCTACACTAGACCCCTTGTGGTGATTAGTCTGGATGTTACTGTGTTCACGACGTACGACATGGATCGTTCTTGTCATACATGCACTAAGGCTATTGAGTTCTTTCTCTTTTCTTCGAGTATTAGTTGGAAGCTCTCATCTGACGCATCATGTACACCCCCCCCCCCCTTCCTTTTTTTGGCTGCCTTCTCCCCCACAGACTTCCCGCAGAGACACACGTCGGGTTCCTCCATTGGGAACCTTCCACCAGCAGATGACCCTAAGCATTGTGGGTGCCAGGAGGGTGAAAAGGGAGATGATCAACAGCGGGCAGACCGTGGCGTTGACGCTCTGGCCAGTGACGATGACGGAGGGAGAGTGTAAAAAAAACCCTTGGGCCGTTCGCGAAGTGATCTGAGGTGGGTCTGCTACTGGAGGGGCGGTCTTGCGCGGCCTTCTTTGGGAGGAGGAGAATTTGGTGTGGAGGAAAGGCTTCTTTAGATCCAAGTCTCCACAAAGCAGACGTCAGGAAAGGCAAATAAAGCCCTGACTCCGAAACACCACCGGACCAAAGCCGCTTGTGCACATCTGCATGAAAGGCATCCGCCGCACACCATCACCACACCCATGACGTATGGGGCTCCTGTCTTTCAATGCCTTTTGTTTTCTTCGCCTATACGTGGATACGTGTGTGTGTGATACCGGTGGGATGTTTGCCCTATATGTCATGCCTCACCAGGTTTCTATATACAGATGTCCGCCCAGGGATTGACATTGTCTGTATTGTGCAGGGTTCATCGGTAAGGGACTCGCCGTATATCCTCGGCCACACCCCGACAGCATGCTTCGACGCTAGTATCTCCCAAAGTAATGCACGCTCTAGGCGTCCATTGGGCCCGGAGCTAAGCAACTAGCTCCCTTCAACTGGTATATCCGACGTCATTCCCCAAAGACCAAAAAATCCAGCTACTGTAGACATATCGGGAAGCCTGGGGTCGCAAGTGTATTGCCCGTACCCAAGGGCATTTTTGGAACTGCGATGAGGGGCAAGGGGAGTGAGATGGATGTCAGGTGGAGACACAAGAATGATGATCATCGTGCTGATTGACGTCCATGCAGCTATGAGTTTATCTTGCTCGGTAATTGTTAGCTATGAATAGTAATTGCCACACCGGTTGTACTCCGCTGGCCCTACAACTCCGTCACCTCCCCGCCGTACAAGTCGCAAATCCCTACGTCGGATGGGGCCAAATCAGCCACGCTATCATCTCTAACCCATGGCTCTTGTCGCTATCTGCGTATCTCGTATGAAATATCAGGATGCGGGGACTTCGTCATGTCCCCTTCGTCATGCCTTTCGTCATGCCCCTCATATAGCGGGGTATCTCGACGCTGGGCCACTGTCTACGCTCTTACGCCATAGGAATTGAGATGATTTGATTTGGTTATCACCGAGAGACCATGCACCGATATTGTAATGGGAGGACCCTGAAGAAAGAAAAACGCCTCGTGGATCCGGAAATGAACAAAGAAAAAAAGAAAAGAAAAAAAGAGAAGATAGGAGAACAGATCATGCCGAGTAGAAGTCCACACTGACAGCAATCCTGCCTCGAATACGTTGCGCAAACTTATCACATCCTCCACCTGCGAGGGTATCGAAACCTAAAACAAATACTTCCGCGAACTCAATGCAGTGCCGTTGTCCCGTTTCGACCATAGTGCGGGCCCTGTGGAAGAGCCAGGGCAGCCCAGAAGAAAAGTAGCGGTATGATCAAGGGCCGGGCTGTGCCGCTCTCTGGTGCAGCATAGCGACATTTTATCTGTACTCCATGTTCGTCATCTCCACATCCTTCGCAGAGCCGATCCAGAGGACGTTGTTACACCTGGACAGTCAAAGAGTCAGCGGCATCCTGGGCGGAGGGAAATAGGCAGGCATTAATATCCTGCGGAGAAATTTGGTAATTACCGGATAAGCACTGAACCCAGGGCCGATGTCAACTCGCCGTCGACGTATTCCTCCGCGTTCGCCAGAAGAATGTTCATGTATGAGTCGACGCTCTGGAGAAGACCCTTGTACTCGGCTTGACCCCACTTGAGGCGGATGATCACCTCCGTGCCGACGCTGTGTCAGAAGCGCGAGTTAGCTATCAATCTTCATCCAATCGCCCATCTGGAGAGGTTGCGCGTGCTTCACTGCGCTTGCCAAAGAGGCGTGTCCGGGTCTGCGTACCTGTTCTGCAGGAATGGGCGGGGGTTCAGAGGGTTTAGCTGCGACAGAGAACTAGTGTCAGTATTCGAAGGGGACCCAGACTCCTCACCCTTGACGGTGGAGGTCTCCTGGCCTTCGTTGGAGCTCTCGGTTGTAGACTCCTCCGGTCCAGAACCCATAATCGTCTGGCTTGAGTCTTTGGGTGGAGAACTCACGCTCATGGTTGCGGCGTTCGATCAGTTAATTGAGGTGAATGAGGCTTCAGGACACGAGATGTTGTGGGATGAGAGAGAGATCCAATGGCCAGATCTCTTAAATACGCGTGGGCGAGAAGATGTGGTGTAGGCGGCCACCGCGAAAATGTGAGCTCGACGGACTGGCAATACCAACCAATCATAGATAGACTATACTCACCGCCTTTGTATGATATTGTTTGCTTTGTATCTTTTTCAAAAATGGATGCGATGGGCAGCGAGAGAGCTCGACGCATGGCTATCCTTAGCGTTGGTTTCATAGCATGATTAATTCTTATTTCGTGAGAATACTCTGCTGATTGACCCAGCTGTCCACGCGCGCACCAACTCCTCGTAGCTGACAGCCCACGCTCATCCACCCCACCCCTTCCTATTAATACACGGAATAAGAAAAAGAAATGCGGTAGTCAAATCCTAGCTTCCCATCTCCAATGCTACTTCTCTTTCTTCAATCCCCAGTAACTCCAATATCATGCCATTGCGACAGTCAAGCAAAGAAAGTTGATCAGCGGCCAATTGACCAAGTGATTTCTTTGATGCTAACTTCCTCCCCAGCCTTCTCATCATAGTCATACCATTCGCCCTCAGAAAGGTCAATGCCAGTAAATGGGGTGGAGGAGTCGGTACCCTTTGCCTCCCATTCGCCCTGCGCACGAGTTAAAAAATTTACGTCGGAGAGATGATCATGGCAGAATACTGACATCAGGTTTGAATTCGGTGAACTCCAGACCACGGCAGTCCAACTCCAGGATCTTTTGCCCTTTCTTCTTCTCATCGACCTCGAAGGTGTGCGGCCCTGCAACGACCGATGCAGAGTGGGTTTTCTGGCCGCAATGTTAGCTTAGACAGGTAATTCCCATACGTAATAGGGTAAGGGATTCTGGAAACCCTTATACGGAAAGAATCACGATGTCTTATGGATGATTCCAAGCGCATTGCCAGGATCTGGGGGAAGAGAGAGCCTTACCGTGCACAAACGGCACTTCCAGACGAAGTTCGCTTCACCCCGGCTACCGGGGATCTCGTGCTGCTCCTACAAGACCGACAAAGGATTAGTACCTGTATGTGTTCTGGCAGGCCTCGGCGGACATAGGGTTCCAGCCACTTACAAAGCGGTTGAAGCTGACCCAGTTTGGGTGCACCTCGTGGCAGGAATTGCATTGCACGCGGAACGTATAGTAGTAGGGGTTCTCTTCAGTATCAGTCGGCTGGAGACTGGAGACTCTGTTTCTCGCCATTGTATGAGCTCGGTATTCCGTTTAAAGCGTGCCTTGCAAGCCATGCAATGGGCCTCGGCGGTGCCGGGAGGCATTCTGCGGTCTCGGTGACTCGCAAGCGATCCCCCGGGGGCACCTGCGGTATGCACTTACCCCTCCAGCTCTGCGTTCAGAATCAGAGATAGCATTTTCAAATATTGGAGCGAGATGCGGCTGTGGCAAGTGAAGGTTCTCTCACTTGTTCTCACTTTTCAATGTCGAAGTGTTGTGATGCGGGGTGGACGGAAAATTGTAGATCAGGTCTTGGCATGTGACTTTAATAGAGGTTACTGGTTGTCGAGCCATGCGATTCTAACAAGGCAAATGGAGAACGGAAGTTACGATGAATGGTTTATTCGTAATCTTATCGCAGGTATTTAAAAACGCCAATCATGTGCCACTGGTCACTCGGAGCAACCGAATCAAGCTATGTACACCGAAAATATCGAAGACGGAAATGTGTAGAAATCTACATGGCTTACAAGCTTACAGCCGGCTCTGCTGTGACTCTTGCCCCAAGGGTTTTGTTGAGAATGAGTTGAAATACTCATTGAGAGCATCGACGGTGCCACTTCCTTCCACCAGCTGGACAGTGCATGCAATATGGCTGTCGGGGCGGGTGACAACGACGCCTCCCTTCTCCGCGTCGATACCGAGTTTCTCATGGGCAGAGAACTTCGCGGTTGGCACCCGGATATCGGGAATGTCATCCGCATAGAGGTGGTGATGGTAATCGCGGAGAACCTGAGGGATGGAATCCATGTCGACCTCGGTCTTGGCCGCGGCGTAGATCACCGAGATGGTGAAGAGCTTAGAGTGCGGGTTGTGGCGCTCGAAGAAGAGACCTCTGCAATATCAGATCGGCGATATGTGGACAGGAATGAGCGCTCCTTCTCCAGATTGGCAGCCAGGTCGGCGATAGCCTTCTTGGTCTTCTTTTGCTTTCCAGCGAAAATGAATATGCGGAACGAGCCGTTGGCAGGCACCTCCTGCTCCAAGTGGACAAAGTTGGAGTCCGCAAGACGGGTCACTGTGGAGGGAGTGAGAGCGCGACCAGAAACTAGACGAACGCCGGGGATATTGAACAAAGAGGACTTGGCCGGATGGCTCGAGTCCCAGTTGAAGACATTGGGCTTGTAAGCTACTCCGTATCCACTGGTGAACTCGCAAGACGACTTGAACGTCTTGACAAACTCGTCCTCTTCCTCTCCATCATCCTTGGCCACGGCCTTACTGGCAGAGACCTCTCCGGCGTTCGGACGACGCTTGGAGAAGAGCGCCGCATACTTCGCATCGAAATTCAGCAAAGTTTCGGCAATGTCTTTGCGCTCGCTCTCGTATGTGCTCAGGATCGAACGGTCGGCAAATCCAGTCTCGACGGCATGGAGCTTCCAGGCCATGTTCAAGGCATCGTGGAAAGCAGTGTTCATACCCTGACCAGCCTTGGGCTGTGCCAGCCGTCAGTATCTTGTCGGTCAGGCTAGAATGGAGAATGCCACTTACGCTGTGAGTGTGACAAGCATCGCCGCCCATGAACACACGCTCGTCCAAGGTATACTTCTCAGCAATACCTTGGCCAATAGGGTAAACCGAGTACCACTCGACTCGGTCCCATTCAATCCAGTAGGGCTTGAGAATCTTCTTGGCAGATTGCTGGACCTGCTCAACGGTGGCTGTCTTGCGGGGGTTCCAGTCGGGGTCGGTGGAGGAGGCAATCTGGACATACAAACGAACCATGTTGTCCTCGCGAGGAATGACCATGATTGAGCCAGCATCCGAGTGAATGGTACATTTAGTCTGGAGCGCCGGTTAGAGAGATCGTGGACCAGATTTGCATCCAAAAGCACATACCTCGATATCGGGGAAGTTGGTTCGGACGACACCATCCATCACACCCCAAACGTGGGCAATAGGGTCCTTGTGGTGGATTTGAATTCCCAGTTGCTCACGGACGAAGCTGCGTGCACCCTCTCCGCTGAAAAGGTACTTGGTCCGCACCGTCTCAATCACATTGGTATCCAAGGACTTGAGGTTTACCTCGACCGGGTAGTCGGCGTTGGCGCCGTCATTGTTGAAGCCCACAATAGTCCAAGGTCGCTCCACTCGGACACCCGCCTTCTGGATCTCATCCAGAAAGACGCGCTCGATCTTGCCTTGGTGCACCAAAGTCGTAAATGGGTAGCGGGTGTCGATGAAGCGTGGGCAGCTCGGCCAGCTGCCCGTCCGATGAATACCGGACCCATCGCCCCGAGGATCCCAGAACGCAACATCGTACACTTTGGCGGGTCCATAGGCCATGATGGCACGTTTCAGACCCAGGTTGCGAAGGATTTCCGTTGAGCGCGGCTGGATTCCGTCGGCGCGGCCAGTGGCGGTCGGCACCGGACGATTGTCGATGTGCCTCACCCTGTAGCCCCAGCGGGACATGAGCAAGGACAGCAAAAGACCAACCGGCCCAGCGCCGACTATGACGATATCATAGGTTTCTTGGGCCATGTTGACTACAGAATCTGGGGTATGGTATCTGGAAGGTTCAGAGAGGGGAGGGGTGGTCACCCAAAGTCGATGCAATGCAATATGGAGTCACCCGGTACAAAAAGAATGGTAAAGCGCAAGGCGACCTTGGACAGCTGCACGGATAGAAAAAGAAAGAAGGGCCATGTTGGGAACATATATAGTTATTTAACAAGCCGGATAAGCGGGTCGCGCAAAGCCTTGAGTTCGACGGGGAGCTGCCACGGCATTGAAGATCGGTTTGGATCGCGGGGATAAGCACAGTTCAACCTCCCCGGCCAATGGGCACACGGAAAGTCCGGATGACGCCCTCAGCTCCACGTTCAAGCTGAGAGGCCTGGGTATTTTCGAGCCCGGGAATTTGGCACGGGCCTGCAAGAGAATGGGGCCTCAGGCGACCCGGGAAAACAAGCGAAACCTGCATCTCTCTGATGGACATTAGCCTCTGAACTGCCCAGGATCTTTAGGCCCCACCAAGCTCTCCAGGTCGGGAGCTGCTTCGGCAAGTGGACGGTACGTGGGGGGGCCGCCCCATGCTGGCCGGCCTCGGCAGCCCAGCCCGGGAATAAACTAAGAGGTCGGCTTGGATCTGGTATTTCTTAAGATTTGTGAGTGGGATGGGAATATGCCTGAGATGGGGGCTCTATATATCCTACTGTGGCGCAGACTCAAGTTGTTTGTCCTGGAACTCTGCAGTTATAATATATTCTGAACAATTCAGGAGATCCCGTCCCGACCTGGCTGAGCTGGAATGCGCTCCCGTGTACCTTGAGACCCTCGGACCCGCTCCAGAGTTCGTCAGTCCTGTGGAAATACGCCACAACGAGTCCTTAGCTTAAGCCGGCATCTACAAGCGGGAGCGTAACAGACATACTGGACCCCAGAATCTACACTTTATGCTTTGTGGAGATAATGCGTTGGAAGACTTTTACGCAATAAAAGACCACTTCGTAGGGTTAGCATTTTCTGACAGTTGACCCTGGTATTTTCAACCAATCAAATGCAGATGTGTAGCCCACTTGTGAACAATACCTCAACGGACAACAGTAGGGTTGACTATCAAACGAAGGATGCATGTGCGGCATGTATTCACTGAAGTATGAGCACGACCCTAAAAGGGAACACGCCATGGGTGTAGGAGCCTTAATATTGCCCGCAGACATGAGTGAATACTTGGGCTATGAATGTTCGCGCTAGCCACAACTCACCATTCACTATTGTCTTGGAAACAGATATAGCGGAGGTGATATCTTGCTTCGGGGATTTTCTTTTTCTGCACGCTTAAAATCTTGCACGCCTGTGGCAGGGATTTTGTGGAAGGACTCGCCTCTATTCATTCAACGCAGCACCCAAGAACCAAGTTTGCCGACTCAGAGCAGGATGGCCTATCATTACAGCCCGGAGGGCGTAAATCCCCTGGATCCCTTGTCAAATGAATCTCAAGAGGTCTCCAACCAGGTTTCATCTGCCCGGCCAAGACGCCCAATCTCGCTCACAAGTGTCTACTCTGGCTACCTGGAGGCTCCGCTCACACTAGATCCAAATGACTTGCTCAATAGCCCTCAGGCATGGGCTGAACCCCAGATATGGCTCGACGAGGCGCCCGGCTTTTTCTGCCCGCCGAAATACCCCAGACGCGGACTTGCCCGCTTGTCCGTTTGGTGTTGATTTGTTTTCCGGTTTGGGCAATCCTTATGGCAACAATAACAACCACCACCACCACCACCACCACGACAATATCAACACCATTGACCCTGATAGTGACATTGAGTTTGACACTGAGCTAGACAGCACCACTACTTGCTCCTCTTCAAGCCGTGCAGTGGTTGAGGGTGTCCGTACTGCGCGCTTGTCATACGCTGAGATGTCCTCCCAACAATATTTCCCGGGCTTTGGAAATGCTGCGCCAGATCAAACTGCTCCTGACCCTGCATTGGTCCCATACGCCCTGAATGTTCCCATTCGGCACACGCCTCAGCACCAGCCCACCGTTATCCATCAGGACAACTCCAGACAGCCTCAGAGCAGCAAGGTCTCATTTTTGCGCTGGCGCAGAGCCAGCAAAAATAGCAGCTCTGGGAGTTCCAGTTATGACCTTGATAGGCTGGTGGATGATCCCGAGTACCCGTTCAACCTAGAGGCCGCCGAATCTTCACAGAGATCACCATCCAAATTGCAATGCAAATCGCCACCGAAGACTCCTGTGAAAGGCAGTATTCATAAGAAGCTCTGGGGAAGTGATGGTTTACTTGGCAACCCGTTGGCTGGGGCTGCTCAAGGCAATGTCCCTGCAACCTCGACACCGGAATCTCCTACAACAGCCCTTCGAGCACCCCGATCAGTGAGCTTCGCAACGCTGCAATCGAACATTCCAGGACCGGGCATGAGCCCAACTGGCTCTCCTACTCGACAGGAGACGGCCCTTAGCCCCGGACAGCAGACCTCTCCTCTGCTGCAATCTCCAAGCGGCAAGTCGCCATTAGGAGGGAAATCTACTGGGATATTTCGAGGCCTCAGCCAGAGGGTCATGCGCCGTATCTCGGATGCCGTAAGTGTGCCCATTCTTTTTTTCTTTTTTTTCTTCTGGAACTTGAACTAATCGTACCTGGTACAGAATCCAATCGAATTTCCCACAGCTCCACAAACCCCCAGGCGAGCCCTGGCTGTGACACTGAGTCCCAAGATTCAGGCGCGACTTTACCTCGATCTCGAAATGATGGTATGCGGCTGTGCGAACCAATTCCTCATCAAGCAGTACCGTGACGGCCGATTGTCTCAAAGCTCCATCAATAAAGTGCACGCGAAGGTCCGACACCAGATCATGGAGTTCAGCTATCCTCAGGAGCTGCAATGCGAGCTTGTTCAGGACAACCGCCGCAGCCTGGACTTTGAGGGCCTTTGTGCCTGCAATCCTGTCCACCTTGAATCTACTCTGCGAAACTGGAGATCCATTGCAAAAGAGATGAGCTCTCGCTCCTTTTGTCTTCCGGATGCTGCGGTTCGGAAGCATCTTAATGAGATTTACTGGATTCTGGATATGCTTAACGCCCCAACGGCTACGCTTCGGGAATTTCAATCCTTGAACAACATGGCGCATGGCACCATGCTGGGAAGTCCAGGAGACCCTGACACCACTCCATCCAAACATTAATCGTTATTTTTATGGTACAATGCGTGCTCATCGTTGCCCCTTCAGGCTTTGTTTTCTTGTTATCTTTAGCAATGCTCGGGCTACGGATTTTGCCTGCTCCCCTTTCCATTTTATTCGTGGCCTACCAATGTCCTTCACGAGGTTGTATTTAAGGAACTAGAAATAGCGGAATACCAAGGGCATTTTCGCGGGAACCTTTTTCTTCCCTTTGGCTCCGCTGTAGAGAAGGAGAAGAAGTACGGAGTACTTGGAGATTGCCAAGATTGCATATCTTATCCGTACCCCCAAGAAAGCGGCACGTGCATTCGACGTCATTGGATCTTAGAGAAGACGACGCCAGCCTCGACGCGTGAGGCAGACGTAAATCACTCGGACACCTCCCCCTTCCACCACCCCCCAGATGCATACAGGAATCATTTCTTACCCGATCGGGTGGTTTTGAGACACCAGGCCCACCAGCGATCGCGCACGACCATGATCAACGCCTGATTCAAGTGTCTGGATCTGGATCTGGATCTCTACCCCAGACCGAAGCACCAAAAAAGTGGAGACCTCTGACTGACCATGGCGAGCCTTTTGCATACCTACGGCCCAAGCTGCCTGCTGGCGGAGGATGAGCCAGACTTCTCGAGCTTGTATTCGCTGCCAACCCCGCCCGATGTACGAGCGCAATTCTTCTACGTTTCTTCCCTGCCAATCGACGACCCGTTAGCTCCGTTGCCCACGGCGAGTGGGCAAGCAACTGGCAATGAGCGGACACCGCCGACTCCGTTCTCAGCCCGGGATAATTTAGCTTTGGAGAGTGCTTGGTTGGAGCTAGGAAAAAATCGCCCAAGAGCTGCCCCGAGTGGATCTCGTCCAGAAACTGCAAGAGATCAGGTCGGCATCGCAGTTCCTGGACAGGTGACTTTTGCGGCCGATTCTCGTCGCAAATTGGTGACTCGGGAGGATGTGAGCCAACAGAGCAGTGTAGCCTCGACAAGCAACCAGGCGTCTCTGCCAGGGGAGCACAGTTCACGAGGCTCCAAAGATAGTCTGACAGACAAAGAGCATGCTAGGTCTTCTTTCGAGGGTGCCTCAACGCGTGACAGCACTAGTAGTGATATCCGCCGCAAGAGGGAAACTTCGATATCACTAACTGGGGCTCAACCTTCCAAGCGCAGGAATTCACTCCAAGACGACGACGAGGCCTTGGTTGAGTCCAGCAGTCCAAGAACCAACCGATCTCGCGACGTGAGTATCAGCGGCTCTCCCTTCGCTCGAACGTCGACTCCCCAACCGGAAAGCCCTCTTGGTCGCTCAATTGAGTCGTTTCATGCGAAGGATGGAAGCAAAGAGTGGGAGGCGGAAGTGCGCACTAGCACGCCGAATAAAACCACTTCGAAGCCTTCGGGATTACGAACTACTGTGAATGTGGAGGAAACCGAAGCAGAGAGCACTACCGGGGAAGGTTCTTCTAAAGAAGCGGAGGCGAAAATTGTTGTGGGTGCGTCCCGGCTTCATTCGGTTGAGCTGCCAGGCTTACAGGTATGGTCTCCCCTAGTCCCAGTCTCTTCTCGCGATGTATGACTGACCTACTTATGAAGATGAAACCTATTTATTGGAGCCCTTTGCATGACATTTCCGACGTCATCCGTGCGACTTGGTTCTATAAGAACACCATGCTTCCAGTGGAGACAGCCGTGGCTAATAAACTAGAAGAAGGATACGTTGAATTGAAGCCATGGACGGATACCTGGCAGGATGAGTTGAATAGTTGCGTGGAGAATGGAGCCGAGGCCGAGACAAAAATTGTCCATAAACTATGGCCGAAAGCTGAACCGGGTTCTGCAAATCCACCAGGCACCGCGCAAAGCTCGATTGATGCCAATAAACGGCCAGACGAAACTCAAGACCGACTGGAGTTTGACAAGAACCAGGCCGCTGGGGGCGCAGCGCATGCTGATGTCAAGCCACATATGACATCTAGTGTGATCTACGTGGATGCAAAGAATGCGCAGATTCTGCGGCCGAGTCTGCTACCGTCCGTTTCAAGGAACCGACGACCCCTCGGTGCTATCCGCAAGCACCGCCAGATTGGCATCCCTGTGGTGCGAGGGTTTAGCAGAAAGGTTTGGGAGCGGCTCCACCCTTCAAAGCCCAATCCTGTTGATGTGCGCCAGTACATCCGCAGAGCCCAGTCTCAAGACTTTGCCGCTGCCCCTGGCGAACAAATATGCTATGCCTGCAGGATGGAGGAGCAACGCCCGAGTCCAACCGACCTAGTTTTTGTCATACACGGTATCGGCCAGAAATTGTCAGAGCGTATGGAAAGCTTCCATTTCACGCATGCCATCAACGAGTTCCGTCGACAGGTCAACGTGGAGACATTCAATGAGCCTGTTTGGCCGCATATTCGGCCCGACCATGGCGGAATAATGGTTTTGCCTGTTAATTGGCGAGCAACTCTGTCTCTCGAAGACCAGATATCAGAAGGGGCCAATTCTGATGACCCTTTTGCAAATGACTACTCTCTAAATGACATCACACCAGAGACGCTCCCTGCCGTGCGGTCTCTCGTCAGCGATGTTATGCTCGATATTCCCTATTATTTGTCCCACCACAAGCCTAAGATGATCAAGGCCGTCGTGCGAGAGGCCAATCGAATCTATCGTCTTTGGTGCCACAATAATGCCGGCTTTCAGGATAAAGGCCGCGTACATCTTCTCGCTCATTCTCTCGGAAGTGTCATGGCTCTGGATATTCTCAGCCAGCAGCCAACCACAGTCCCGCACTTCGACTTCTTCGATACCCCTTTGCATAGCGACATTTTCGAATTTGATACCCGCAATCTGTTCCTCTGTGGGAGTCCCGTTGGATTCTTCCTCTTGCTTAACAAAGGTATGGCCGAACTCCTTAGACAAATGCAATCCAAAGCTAACCATAGTAGCGAATCTCCTTCCCCGCAAGGGCAGATCCAAAGCAGGCGCCGGTGGCGACGATCTCCTTCGCGGCGTAGCCGGCGAAGCAGGTCAATATGGCTGCATTGCAGTGGACAACCTGTATAATATCCTCCATACAACAGACCGTAAGCCACCTCCGCTTAACATAAACCTTGAATCAGAAGCTAACTTAGAACCAAAAAAAAAAGCAATTGCATACCGTGTCAACGCAGCCGTAGATAAAGACCTTGCCAACTCGCTCAAGAACGGCACAATCCCCAGCTCAACGCCCTCCTGGGCCGAGTCTTTCAGCAGTGTCTTCCGCTGGAATACCATGCCAACCTTCACGACCTCCGCCCCGACACGCCCCTCCGCCATGGCTAAACTCCCCTCCAACGTCGAAATGGAGACCCACGATTTCACCCGCGAAGAGATCGCCGAAAAGCGCATGCTCTGTCTCAATGATAACGGGCAGATCGATTACTATCTTTCTGGTGGTGTCGGTCCACTCAGCATCCAGTATCTGAATATGCTGAGCGCGCATAGTAGTTACTGGACGTTGACTGATTTCGTGCGGTTCTTTGTCGTGGAGATTGCGCGGAGGCAGGGGCGGGATGGGACGTTGGTAGCGTTTCGGGCGGAGAAGAAGAAGGGTTATAAGTACTCTAAGGGGGGCTGAGTCTACAGGTTTGCGTGATCGCCTTCTATTGGCTCCTTGGTGTTTATTCGGGTTAGGGCTAGGGAGTTCTATGTCAATGGGAACATAACCAGTTACACTTTGGGTTGCATAATATGCGGGGTCAAGGTTTTCATATTTTCGGTCAGTTTGGTCATAGATTTGTATCTAGCTGGCAAGCATAGCAATTCTATCGCGCCGGCAAAAAGAAGAATAAAGAAAGGGAGAAAGAAGGGGAAAAAAAAAAAGTTAATCCAAGAAAAGCGGAAAGGTGTAAAAGACATTGGGCGAAATTTATAAAACGCAGGAGATCCGGCCTCCCTATATACAAGATCATTTTCGTCGTGATCGTGAAACATAACAATCTAACAGATAATACGGGTATCAGAGCCATAGACCGGGCCCATCATCAGCGCCTCCACAATCTCGCCCTTGATGCCGACTCCGCGTCCAGCACGGAGCACGACCAGCGCATTAGCCTTGGCAATGCTACCTACGCGCGAGCTGCGCTGGCCCACGCCTTCAGCACCTGTGCTGGTGGCATAGAGCCGGCCATCGGAGCGCGAGCCTGTAACGACTGCACGGTGGTACTCTGTGCGCTTGGGGTCGAGGGGGAAATGGTGGGTCAAGACGACAGCCACACGAGGCAGGCCTAGCTGGGGTGCCATCCAGGACTTGGTGGTAGAGAGGGCTTGGGAGCTCTCGCCCAGACCGGCGAGTTTATGCAGAGAAGGGAGGACGAAGAGGTTGAGGGTGACCAGGGCCGAAGCAGGGTTCCCGGGAAGCGAGAAGATGAGCTTCGACGTGCGTTCCTGCTGGACAGCTTCGGAGGATGCGTCTGTGGGGGCAGCCTTGAAGGGAACTGTCGCGAAGGTGGTGGGTTTTCCTGGCTTCATTGACACGCGGCCGAAGTGGATTGTGCCGCCGAGGGACCGCTCAATTGTGGGCTTGAGCAGGTCCAATTCGCCCATGGAGACGCCTCCTGTGGTGATGATTACGTCGACGCTGGCGGAGGCGCGGCCTACGCCTCGTAGAGCATCGCGCAGGGCGTGCTCAAGTTCACCGGCCGGTGCGTCTCGGGCGATGCCGAGATCGACGGTCTCAAAGCCCCAGGAAGTAAGGCAGGACAGGAGGGATGGACGGTTGGAATCACGGATCTGCCCGCCGACAAGGGCGCGGGGGTCTGAGTGCTCTACGAGTTCGTCGCCGGTACTCAAGACGCCAACGCGAGGCTTCTTAAAGATTTTGACTGACTGGGTACCGGTGGCAGCAAGCAGACCGATTTCACCGCCAGCGGGAGAGATGAGATCTCCGCGGGCCAAAATCTTGGAGTTGAGGGCAACATCGCTCCCAGGCTCGCGGACGTTTTCGCCCGGGGCGATATCATCGGCCAAGATTTCGACGGTTGCTTCCTCTTGTCCGTCTGGGGTGGATGAGGCTAGGGCTGTATCTTCGACCATGACTACGGCATTGGCATTAGGAGGTAGAGGAGCGCCGGTTGTAATTCTAGCAATGGTTCCGGGCTGCAGGGGCTCAACGGCACCACTAGTGTTGGCGTGGGCGACGGACGCTACTGGGAACACGCCGCTGGTAGATTTGCCTTCTTCGGCGATGATAGCGTAGCCATCGACGATGCTGGCACGGTACGCCGGCACAGCCTCGGCGGCGTAGACATCTTCCGCAATCACCGATCCCATGAGGGAAGTGTTGACGGGGGCATCAATCACAATAGGCGAAGGGGTCTCCTCGCTAATCGTGCGAAGAGCCTCCTCAACAGAAAGCATCGGGTAGGGTGAGGCGCGATGGCGTTGATTAGGGCCGGCGGCGGGGTTGTTGGATTGGTGACGATTTGAGGACGTATGGGCCTTGGGAGCTGCATGACCGTGATGATGGTGCTGGTGCTGGTGCTGGTGCTGGTGCTGGTGCTGGTGATGGGTATGGGACGCTGTCTGAAGCTGGGTTTGAGTGGCAGAGACGCCGGCCTCATTCTCCAGCTTCTTGGTACCGCCGGCGTGCAGGCTGCGCGAATTGGCGCCAGCGCTCTGCACACAGGCATGAGGAAGGAGTTTCACAACAGCTTCGAGGTTCTCCATTGCGCCTTTAGGGGATCCTGGTAGCGTTATAATCAAAGACTTATCACGAACACCAGCAACTGGTCTTGCCATCATTGCAACTGGCCGGGAATTAGCATGGCTGTATATAGTCTTGGTCAAAACAAGGGTGATGTCATCTCACATGGAGTAATTTTCAGAGATTCGGCTATCATGCCATGGCTGGACAGGGTACGTCGTTAGCGTGTGGCCCAGAACCTAATCACTAGTGTGTACACTTACACTAGCCCCGGGGCATGGCGATGAATCAAGGGAGTGACGGCCTAGAGTGATGTCATGAGCCCCGAGAGAACCGGTTGGTTGGTGATCGCCTGCTCGAAATGATGTACTCACCTCGGGAGTGTTGTCTTTTACTGCGAAACCCGTTCCGCCGCTCAGCAAAACCAGATTGTGCCAATTAGGGCCATCAGTCCATTCGCACACGGCTCGTTGTATCTGGAGTACGTCGTCCGGCACGATGCGAGTTGTGGGGGGTTTCCCCACTTCCCCTCCCTGGCGAAGATGGGCGATAGAGCCCCAGCGACCCGGTCTGAAGCGGGGTCCTGAGCGGCCGTGTCAGAGACAATCAGAATAGCAGCCTTCAGTTTGGGTTCCATGATGAGAGTTGCCAGTGGTGGGATGCGGGTAAGTGGGGATCGAAGGAGTTGTGGGATATTGTGAGGTCTTTTAAGCCACACAAAAGCCGGGGTATCGCGAAACTCCGGGTCCTGGGATTGCAACCCTCTCGCTAGTGCCCCGTCCGTGCTGCATCATCGTAGACCTGGTTAGTTCTGATTTACGCAGTAGTTGCCTGCGGGGCTGCATGGTTTCCTGTTTGATTGAGCAGGTATACCGACAATGGTGCTAGGGAAGGTTGTGGCTGGACGCCCGCGGGATACGACGCCGTCCTGACTATAGCCATCTATGCAGTACACAGACAAGCAGACGAGTAGTCCACGAGTCAAGATGCAACCTGACCCATTCGGGTGTACAAAGGACTTCTTGAGGGGTCTATTTTCAATTGGGAACACCCATTCGTTAAGCCTATACTTGTACACTATGATCCCCCGGATCAGCAATGCAACTCAGCCCCACCAAGGGAGCTCTACAGAAATTGAATCCCGACGCCCCAATGCGCTGTGTATCGAACATGAACACGAAATTTGAAACAATCAAGAGGAGAATGTGGAAATGGCCCGAGAAATATTCATATGGGGCGGTGCCACCGCCCCTTCTCTGACACCAATTTAGGCAATCTGAAGTCGTAGGCGCCGTGTGGCTTACTTAGAGCCCATTTCGAGGGCCTTACCGCCCACCAAGAGCCCGACAATCAGACCAAATAGACCCAGGACGGAGCTGAAGATCTCAATCACCAGAATCCGGACGAACCTAATTGAGAAGGGAGGGGTGGTCAGAAACGATGGCCCGAGCGCGCCGCTGACGAAAGTGATGCTGCCGCGACATGCAGGGAGATCTAAAAAGAAGCACTTACAGACTGGGGTCAGCGGCATCAGCCAGCGCAGCGCCACTTCCGTTAATACCAACGGAGATACCACAAATCAAATTGCAGAATCCCACGGTAATTCCGCCCCAGAACAGCGCGTATCCTGTATAGTAATTGCTCTTGGTGTATAGCTCTGCATCGGGGACCGGAGTGAGCTTGGAGGAGAAGATGATGGCGATAATCACTCCATAGATAGCAACAACTTCACAGAAGATGATCGAGATGAGGTTTTTAGTTCGGATCCGCGGTGCGCGCACACCTCCACCGACGATCGAAGATCCGGTCAGGAAGATACCCCTGCAGACGATACATCAGCGAAATGGAAACCAAGCAGAATATTTTCAGTGCATTACCATGCGGCTCCGACAGTGGAGCAGCCAATACACAGCCCAATTCCGATATTAGCCCAGGCGAAAGGGGATACTTCTTCGAGGAAGCGGCCGACCTAACAATCGCGTTAACCCCGGGACGGTCTGAAATCGGCGGCCTTCATTCAATGGGTTGGATAAACATACGTTGAAAGCTTCGCCTTCCCCCTGGAAGAGCATATCTAGACACATAGACCGTTAGTCTCGGAGTTTCCAGATTGGGGGGTAGGGGTTCCCACGTACACAATCCGATCACCACAAGGGTGGTCGTTGAGAGACCGAAGAGGTACCTAAGAGCCATGATGACCTCAGCCTGTGAAATGAGCGTCAAGGTCTCGCGACTGGGGAGATAAGGCGACGGGGAGCTCTCGAACGTCGTAGCTCTTGACGGTTGGGAGTTGGAGAGGGACTCGGTGGCCGGAGCGGATTAACTGCGCCGCGGGCGGTGGACAGGTGGTTGATTCCCCAGATACGCGGATCACGACTTTGTCTTCGAGAGAATCCAGGCGGCAAGTTAGTGAACTTTGGAGGCTGAGATTGCTGTGACCGTGTTCCTGCAGGCTTCTGTATTCCCTGCTCTCTTTGGCGTGGCAAGCTTTTTGGTCTCTTCCTTTCCGCTTTACCGCATCCCCTGACATCCTCCCCCTCCCATTCACATCCAAGCCATGGCCTCCTCATCTGGTGTAGGGTCGTATTCGAACCCCTTGAAGAAGTTCAAGTGAGTGCAGCAGAATTTATGTGTTGAGTCCAGGAGACATTTACTGACAATTCCCATAGATTGGTATTCCTCGGAGAACAAAGCGGTGCGAATCCCTTCCCCTCGCGTGATTCCCTATCACCCACAAGAGAAAACGAGCAGGGGCAGCAATTTTAATGGTATTTTGCAGTCGGAAAAACCTCTCTGATCACCCGCTTCATGTACGACTCCTTCGACAATACATACCAGGCTACCATCGGCATCGACTTTCTGTCCAAGGTATGCAACAGCCAATTGCCCAGGCTTCATAGTATTTGAACCAAGAGTCGCATATTGATCAAACATCTTACCTATAGACAATGTACTTGGAAGATCGCACCGTCCGCCTTCAACTCTGGGACACGGCCGGTCAGGAACGATTCCGCTCCCTCATTCCATCCTACATCCGTGACTCCAGCGTAGCAGTGGTGGTCTACGACATCTCAAATGCCAAATCATTCCAGAATACCCGAAAATGGATCGACGACGTCCGAGGGGAGCGTGGCAATGACGTGATCATCGTTCTCGTGGGCAACAAGACGGATCTGAACGATAAGCGCGAAGTGACCACTGCGCAAGGTGAAGAGGAAGCTAAGAAGAATGGTCTGATGTTCATCGAGACCAGTGCCAAGGTCGGCCACAACGTAAAGCAACTTTTCCGCAGAATCGCCCAAGCTCTTCCGGGAATGGACGGTGAGGCGAAGCAAGGAGAGAGTACTAGTATGTGCCCTGTATTCCAACCCCATCGAAAGCTATCGTATGCTAACCGTCGTTCTCTCTAGTGATCGACGTCAATATCCAGCCGAAGGAGACGACGAACAACGACAGCTGTGCCTGCTAGTTTTCCACTTCTACCGTTTACAAACATTCAACCGAATAAGCGCATTGAGCCTGTCCATGATATTGCACCATTTTCTTAATATGTACATGTTTCCTCTCACTTCTTCTGCTTGCTCGAGTGAATAGCGTGAGTTTAGACATTTGGGGTTGAGTGCAATTGCAGCTGGGCGTTATGATTCCCGCTCTCTCTTCCAATTTATATATGGTTTTCTCGCAAGATTTGAATTCCTAGCGAGATCTTTGTTGGCTCCACGAGTACCAAAGGATCCGCCAAGGTCACTTTATCTAAAATTCGAATATGCTACAATTAATGAAGTCGAAGTACAAGAAATTAACCTCGTATAGAAAAATGGATCTCGAATGGTATTGCTGTTCAATCCTGAGCCATGTTCTCGGGCTCTAGAGCTAAGACGTCAAGCTGAGCATCGCGAAGAAATGCGTGGTGTAGATAGGGCAGGAAGTAGCGTTGAATAGACTGATCAACAGCTGGTGTGACTGAGTTTTTCGAATACCAGTAATGGCGCACGAACTTGCCAACACAGCCAGTATGCGCTGCGTTGGGGCACCCATTTGCCTCAGCGCAAGGAAGGACCTTGATATCGGAAGATCGATTGAAGTCGTATCGAAGGTACGTTCCAAAGGCGCCTTGTTCGTGAGGCCAGTGGGTAACCCAGTGTGCGCAGTTCTGGTATTGCGATTCACCAGGGCAGTTTTCCCAAGCTCTCAAAAGCTCCATCGTTCGCACACTCCGCTGGGCGATCACGAAGCCAGTGTTCAGGAACGTATTGCCTCGCTCATCATCGTTGACCGGCTCTGTCGGGTCGGCAGCCATCGCAACAAGGGTTTGTGGATGCATGGCCCAGTAATTGAAAAGCCACTCGAGTGGGAGGTGTGGATAGGTGAGAATGACATCGGCATCCAAAAAGACTACAAACTGGTAATGTTCCAGGAATTCTCTGATAGCCGGGACTTTAGCCCAGGTGCCGTAGCGTGAGCCCATATTCTGCACCTGGACTAGCTTGTAATCATATCCGTGGATTTTCGCTGCGTACCCCGTTAGCTGGGAAGTGGCTAGATAGAGCACTGATATGCTTCGTACCAAACATGTAATGGCCCAGTCGTCCTCCGGTGAAGTAGCTTTGTCTGGTCGAATCCGACCATGTCGTGTTCAGGATGCCTCCCGGCCCGTCCAGCTCGCGAGTGTCCGCATCTCAGGATAAGTAGCCGTCTGCCTAGAGGTTCTCGGAACCTCGGCCCTTGTCCGAGCTCGTAAGATGGGAGGTGGAAGACTTCTTCGTCCAGTCCGGTAAAGTTATCAGCATCGACAGCGACGCGGATACCGCGGAAGAGAGAGGGTATTGCGTCTCCGATGAGCCCACTACTGGGCGAGTGAGGGTTACACGAGTTGCTGGAATATCCTGTCAGCTACGAATGACCACCTCGCCGGGGTTGAGCGAGAGCGGGATTTTCTGACCTCCAACCCCAGTCCAGCGACTTCCTTTGGGTGGTGACAAGCCACAGCAAGCTCAGACTGTACACGATTACTGCACCGAGGCAGAACAAACGTGAAGACAGAAACGTCATCATTTTGTCTGTATGTTTCATAGTTAATAGCGATGTCGGAAGTGGCATATCACAGGAAGAGCTACACGAGATGCCGCGAGCACGCGAGGTCGATGCAGTGAAGTCGTGCCGAAAAGAATCATTAGATACATAAATGGTATGACGGAGACAAATTCCGGGACAAAAGAAGCACGAAGCTTATCGCTTTGAGTTCACGGGCTTACGGGCTGCAACCTGTCCCTAGAGGTCTGGTTCTTTCCGCTGGGAGAAGTCCAGGATCCCATTCGACCCTGGAGACCCTCTGGGCCCAAAGATTACCCATGGGTTCTCGTCAATACTTGCCTTTTGCTAGCAGGCTGTAGCAATAACATAAAGTTTATCAAGTCCTGTGCGACGATTCCCAGTGGTTCCGATCCCTTTCGTCTGGGTCGACTCTCGACAGTTTTTCAAAATCACACTGAGGGGTTTATTAAGGGAGGAATCATCTCAAAAGTAACATTACTTTTCCAAAAATAATTTCTCCCGAGGTCATAGTATTACTGATTACTTAGGGTACTGGTACGCGTGTTATGGTGAGGTGATTGTCGTTTGCCTACAGAGCATGGGCTAGTATGGGAGATCTATCTAGTACCGCCGATCGATGTTTACGTAGCACTTTGTTTGCCGCGTACGGGGACAGAGAAGAAGATGCTGGTTCATCATCAGTTAGACATGAATTATTAGTTGATTATAGTGTTTTATATCGCAGAGGTTCAATGTGAGCCCAGAATGGCAAGATTTCTCCCGAGGTCCGCACATCCATCAACCTTCAAACCCGCTTTATGCATAGATCGACACCAGCATACCTCGTTCCTGCGGAAATTTGTGATACTTGGCAGTCATTGGCGGCTGTAAACGATCTACTGGCTATGATTGGGCAAAGCGCCAAAAATGAGGCCTGAGAAGTGGAGAAAAGGCCGGGGCCGGTCTTCGGGAGTCCCATGCATCCTTCCCTGTCGTAGATGAAGTACAGAAGTACAAAGTACAGATTAAACTACCGCAGTCGGTCAAGGCCAGGAGGAGCTGGTTGTAACCAAACACATCGAGTCAGCAAGACTTGACTCAAGACACCTCTCATTTCACCCCTGCTTCACCAGTGGTGTTTCGTGTCAGCCTAGCCGAATCACGACCATGGCCTCGGCAATGGAATCCCACTCGAACGCCGTCACACGTATCGCAAGCATAATTCGTGGCTTCCATGATTCTAAATCACCATTCCGAATCTACCATGGTTCCACAAACAGTACGCGCCGCCGTAGCAGCTTGACGAACATCGTCGACATCTCTGGGCTTGACCATGTACTCTTTATCGACCAGGAGCGCAAGACCGCCCTTGTCGAGCCCAACGTATCGATGGATACGCTAGTACAGCACACCCTGGCACACCAGCTCATTCCTCTCGTGGTCATGGAGTTCCGCGGGATCACGGTCGGTGGAGGGTTCTCGGGAACCTCGGGCGAGTCGAGTTCGTTCAAATATGGTTTCTTCGACCGGACTGTTCGGCAAATCGAGATCATTCTTGGCAACGGTGAACGGGTGAATGCGTCTCGTACCGAGCGATCGGATCTGTTCTGGAGCGCCGCGAGCAGCTTTGGCACCATGGGCGTCGTCACGCTTCTAGAGGTTCAGCTGCGTGAGGTGGGACCAGATCCTCATCTGGAGCTGCAGTATTTGTTTGCTAATAGTATGGATGCGGCACTCAAAACAATGCAAGAAGCTATGTCTGACCCCGAGTCGGAGTACATCGATGGAATCATGTTCAACAAGGGCGAGATTGTCATTTGCAGGGGTCGCGTCAACCCTGGTCATCTCATGGCTCGCACAGAGCCCGTTCGACGGTTTGCACGGGCGGGGGATGAATGGTTCTATATCCATGCAGAAAGGCAGATGCGGAAAGCGAAAGCGTCCCCCGGATCCGCCATCGATTATATCCCGCTGGAGGATTACCTTTTCCGATACGACAGGGGCGGGTTCTGGGGTGGGAAGTATTGCTTCCAGTACTTCTTTGTGCCGTTCACTCGGTGGACGCGCTGGCTGTTGAGCTGGTTTATGGGAACCAGCATTATGTATCACGCTTTGCATGAAAGTGGGCTTGCGAAACAGTACATCGTCCAAGATGTCGGGATTCCATATGGCAAGGCCGCAGAGTTTGGGCATTGGCTGGATGACAACGAGAACTTTGGCTACTACCCCCCTCTGGCTCTGTCCATTGTTACTGAATGCCGTGGGTGAGGACGGTGGGCTGTCGGCCGTACCTCAGCCCACGGTCAACATTCCTACACAGGATGATAACACGCCGGAAATACTGCTTAATTTCGGGATATGGGGGCCTGGGCCGACAGATCGGCTGCAGTTCATCTCGAAGAACCGTAAGCTTGAGCAGAAGGTGAGCTCTCTTGGGGGTAGGAAATGGCTCTATGCACACACCTACTACACCGAGGAAGAGTTCTGGTCCATTTACGATCGTAAGCAGTATGATGCTCAGCGCAAGAAATACTTTGCTACGGATCTACCCTCTATATACGAGAAGGTCAAAATGCAGATCGACGACGTGACGCCATCCTGGTACCAATGGGCGTGGAGTCTCAGGCCATTTGCTGGATTATACGGAGCGTGGAAGGCGATACGTGGAGGGGACTATCTAGCCAAGAAGTAATTCGCACGCGAGCAGGATGAGATAGTGTTTTCAGGATGGCATTCAGTCTCTTCAAACATCACACTTTTTCCGTTCTTCAGTTTTGCCTTGGGAGTTCGACTCTTAACGCCTCTCCAAGCCTGAGAGATAATTTCAGGATCAACGGACCCTGGACCCGGCAGAGGAGCAAACTCATTGCCCGCGGGGCCAGAAGAGCTTAGGGACTTGTGGTGGACCTATCTGCTGTCATGGCAACTCTTCATGAGCTCACTCATGAGCTGATAATTGCCGCTGGTAATTGCCGCTAATAATTGCCGACTCCCAATATAGAAGTCCGGCCTTCGAAACGCCCGCGATAACTAGCCGAAGCAGGTGATGAGCGATGGCGAAGGGTTGTGTTGGCACAAGCCAGGATACGACATGGCTGACAGGCGAAGGATGCATCTACAACATCGACCAGCAAGGCCATGCACGCCTGGGGCCTCTAAACTCATCCTTGCTTCCTGCGCGGGCGCATATACCCTTAATGCTGCCGTCCAGGAACCTAGAGACACGGTTGACGATGAGGTTGACCAAGCCGATACTTATATCGAGCAGCAAGCCGAAGTTTATACACTATGCTTACCGATAACGCTATCTATCGCCGCCATGTTTACCATGCACAGGTCAAAGCTAAGGTCCCAGATACCTTTGTAGAAAATAAATGAGACGCACATTTGAATCGTCAGTTGTATTTAGATTCTCGTGGACGTGCCGCACATTAGTCATTAATCTAAGTAACTTATTTGATGCTAATCTACACGCTTTTTATTTAACCTTTGAATGTTCATTGTTTGACTTTTTCAAGGTTCATTGGTTTCCCGAAGCTTCGGCCGCTCCGTCTGCGACTTCCTGTTCTTCTTCAGCTGCCTCCTCCGGAGGTTCGAAGAACGGCGCATACTTGCTCTTCATCCGCAATCGCTTTCCGTAGAGGTAGAATCCAACGGGGATTGGAACAAGGCAAGCAGCAACACAGCCAAGCAGAGTCGCGGCCCATTGGATACCCATGTTGTTGAACATCTGGCGAGAGAAAAGCGGAAAGGCGGCGGCCACCATTGAACGGCAGAACGTGTTGGCGGCAATCGCTGACGCTGCACTGGATGGTTGTTAGACGAGGGTCCACACTCGGGAACTGTGGTTCAGCGGTGACTTACAACATGAGGTACGTGTCAATGAGGTAGTTGAACAATTGGATGAAGATGATGAGCAGTCCGAAACCGGTGAAGAGGCCACTCAACGTCGGGACGATCCAGGGGATGCCCTTGGAAAAGCCCGTCCACCCGAACCAGAACAGCCCACCGGCGAAGAGAGCGCCTCCAAGGACGACCGGGGGAAGGCGCCACTCTGGAACGGTGATACCGTTGTTCGCGTCAAGTTTGCGATTGTACGATCTGTTGTCCCAGACAATATACGTAGCGGCGATAAAAAGACCGACCACCAAGCCCAGCAAGGGGAGTCCGCTGAGACCTGGATTGAATCCATGCACCCCTTCAAAAACCAAGGTATAAGCTGTGAGGAAACAATACAACAGACCGTAGATAAAGCTCAGGTAGATAGTCACCGCCAAGATCAAGGGTTCGTTGATAAGAAGCTTGATAGGACGGGAGAAGTTGTTAACAATCAGCTCACGCAGATCAACCTCAATTTCTTCCTGTCTGGCGTGAATGCCCCAGTTCTTAGTGCGGCGGCGAAGCTCTGCCGCTTTCTCAATCAGAACAACCGGCGGATACGATTCATGCAAGAAGAATAGGTTTAATACAAACGCCGCAAATCCCATGAAGGCTGGGATATATGCCGTCCATCGCCATCCGAGGTAAGACATGTTGATGAAGCCGCCGATGAACGGCGCAATCATCGGACCTGGAAAAACGGTAGCGGCGAACATGGCAATGGCAACACCACGGGTTCGGTTGTCGTAAATGTCCGAGAAGATAGCTGCCACCACCGCAAGCGGCGAACTTCCGAAGATCCCGCTGAAGAATCGACAGATCATCAGTGTCTGGAGGTCCTTGGAAACAGCGACAGCGATGTTGAAGATGCCAAACCCAAGCATAGCGATAACGATGCCCGGGCGACGGCCCTTGAGCTCCGACAGGGGCGCCCAGAGCAAGGGCCCGGAAGCATATCCAGCGATGTATAGGGTGCTAGACAAGGTAGCGACCTCGAGGTTCACGCCAAAGTATTTTGACACGTTTTGGGAGGAGGCACTGAAAATGGCAGAGTCGAAGGTGGAACAGATACTCGTGAAGGCAAGCATAACACTGGTGTAGACCCTGTTTACAGACACCGTTAGTACGTTGGCCAAGATCTGAGGGGCGGGCAAATTTTTGATTCCAGGCATCACCTGTATCCCTACGGACGTACTTTCTCTTCAGGGGCCAGTTTTGAGGGTACAATGGGTCATCGGGCCCATCGAATTCGACGACATAGTCTTCGCGGTTTGGCAGGGGCGGCGGGTATGGTTTGCCCGCACCGAAAGGTGGTAATGGAGTTCTGGAAGGCCGTGACTTCACACTTTCACCAACCGTGTATGAATGTTGAAGTCGTTGAGTTTCAATTCTACTGAGTTCTCGCGAGACGCTGGTTCGATTACGCTCGAGGTCAAGCTCTGTATTGCGGGACTGCAAGCGGTGTAATTGAGGATTGTAGTCGACCGAACTGCTGGACGCGCTGGACGCCCTTCCCGATGAAGTGGTTCTTCCTAACCCTGGCGAGTCCCCTGCCTTCTCGTCGAGCTTTTGAGAGTGGGGCGCAGCATCCAGCTCGGCTTCTCGCAGCTCTTTGTCAGTAGCATCCATGACGATCTATGGAGCCTGTGGTGACAAGGCTTGCGGCACAAGGGATACTGGGGAAAGAGGAATGATTGACGGAAGCCCGAGAACTGGGGACCCCTGGATCTAATAGACAATTCCTGTTGACAACGATCAACCTAAAGGGAAAAAAAAAACCATGAGTTGCTAAGCACGGGATCCCGACTTAACCGTGCAGACCCACTAAGACCAAGAATTGGCGGCTGCGACAGCGAACCGAAGTGCCGACTAGGACGCCACTCATTCTTTTTCCTTGACACTTTCTTATACTCTATCCTAGGATCTGTAAGCAACAGATACTTATTTATAGCTCGGTGGATATATCTGCGAATGGGACATCTTCTCCAATGTCCGGGGTTATCGAGGCCGTCGTAAGTTTCTGACCACAGATTCCCACCGCCTTTATGGCGCGTTTCCCCAGACCTGCTAGAAAGTGCTGGAATATAGAAAACCCGCCTCGAGGGTCCTTTGGATACATAGACTACTATCGCCCTGCCCGTTCATTTGAAATGACAATATTTCTGCTGTAGAGAGTGCGCCAACCATATTCGAATCACATCGTGCCTCGTTCGAATGCATTACCAGATCTCTGCTCCTGAGAGTTTTTTTTTTTAGATTGCCATGTCCATCGTAGCTGGTCACAAACTTATGATCGCGAAATGCTGATGTCATAACTGGAAATCCCTGCCCGACCAATGGACCGCAAGGCTGCAAAGAGCTGCAAGAAATGGGACCCTCCCCGGAACCGTCAGCCCGCCGAGGCCGAACCCCCGTCTCCATCGATAAGCGGCTGTAAACGAGCCCTGGAGCTTGCTCTACCCCGGTTAGGTCGGAGGGGAAATAGATAGGCGTTTCGTGCCTCCTTGATTGTGAATTTACTAATATACCCCCACGTCGCATTGTCGTATTACTGGCTCGCACTTTTCCGATATCCCCCGCAATGATGTTCATTTGATTCATGGGCTAATCGCGAGTGATCAAGTTTTGTCAGCCACCGATAACTGATGGGATTTCCAACTACGAGTTCGAAGACTTAGGCAATACCACAGCCAAATGTTTTTGAGACGCCTCATACGTTTTACCCCTGGTCAGCATATGGCCGGGAACCGATCTGGAACGAATGTCGTAAAAGCTCTGATTTCTGGCTCCTGTGGATACAGCTCTAGATCCTTTCTATGGTACGCATAGTGTACCTCGTCATCTAAATGCCAGTCAACACCCAGAAACGACCCGTGGAGAGGTGCTACGGGCCGATAGGCTACATATGTATCATTCTTCCACAGCCGTCAGTGGTCGATAAGTATTTAACTCCCGAGTTGCAGAATCTTTTAGCCTGAATATCAGGCAATTGTTTCCTAATCTCCGTGTGCTGGGAAAGAAGAGAGATGATATTAGCGACCGTCTCGGAAATAGCACAGGAGACGATATAAAAGACCACAATTGGAATACCATGGCCAAGTACCAGCACTAGTACTTCTAACAATCCCCACTTTGGACGCTGGGGAAATCTCAATCTGGCATCCACGTGGGCAGTGAGACTGAGGTCAAGCTGACAGCTGCGCCAACTTGGACTGACGCCAACTGTTGGAGGGCAAGTCAGACTCGGATTAGGTTCTCAAGTGTGATCTTACTGGGCCAGTACAACATCGCTATCGGTTCATCTTGTCAAAAAGTCTGGAAGGAGAGGAGGAACGAGTGGAAAGGCCTGCTTTCTCTCACTTGAACCGATTCGGATCCATGTTCGTAGAAATATATCTTCGAAAGGGCTCTAGTATACTCTGCTCATTCGGATGGACAAGGGCTCTAGTATACTCTGCTCATTCGGATGGACAAGATCAATTCGGGGAAAGTAAGTTCCAGCCTATGACGCACTTCTAAGCCTTGACAAATCGATCGTCCCAAAGACGAGTAAGAATACGACCGCCCAGCAAGCGAAGGGCATCAGGAGACGGCGTGATCGAAATCAGGTATCGATCGGCGCGGATCACCCGGAAAACAGCGCGGGTGGACCATTTGCGTCGCCGAAGTCCGTCCCCCAGCCTTTTTCAGTTTTGTCTTTCCACCAACCCCCATTTCAGCCTGGAAATTCCAGAAACTCCAGAAACTTCACGACCATCTTTGACTTACTGGTGGATTTCGCGTTGCTCAACTTTCTTCACAGCAAAGATGGGACTGATATCCCGCTTCTTCCGCATTCCGCGGCCAGAGGTAAGCCTCCCCCTTCGTCTCCGGTTTTGCCTTATCCGTTGCCCGGCCGAGCTAATCGCCTCGTGACGTGCCAGTCCTTTCTCTACGTGATGAGCCTCGAGACCGGCGCATCCCTGATTACTCTTTCACTTCTGCTCAACAAGATCAGTGGTCTCTATGGCCTTCTGGCTCTCCTCACGGGTTACCACCTGTCCTCGGTGCAGTTGTCCATGTACCTGTACTCTCTAATCGCCCTGGCCCTCGGCGCTTTCCTTTTCCCACACATTCGCAAACAATCTCCTCTCGAGTGTCTCGCTCTGGCTTGGTTCTACGTGCTGGACAGTCTCATCAATGCGTCATACACGGCTGCTTTCGGTGTGACATGGTTCCTTGTCGTGTCCCAGGGCTACGATGGTGGCAAGGCCTCCCCGGGGGTGAGACGATCGCACAGACTGCCGGCTTCACCAGCCCCAAGTACGATGCCGCTTATGTTGAAATTAAGCCTACAGAAGAAGGGAACAAGTTTGTCGCACACCCCCCCTCGCAGCGCCGACCCCTTGAGCAGCGCCGTGTCCCAACCTGAGAGCTTCCAGAGCATCATCTTCATATCATTGCTTTGGGCTATGCGCTTGTACTTCATCTTCGTCATGTTGGCGTTCGCGCGCCAGACCCTTCGACTTTGGGTTGCTGTTCCCCGCCACACCCGCCTGCCCACGCACAGCCGGAATGTATCAGTTGCCAGCATGGCGAGTGTTCCTGATATTGACCGCGAACCGTTTTCGGTCTACAGCCCTGACGGTCAAGGATGGAAGGGCAAGCTAGGACGTCTCATGGTCAGTATCGGACACAACTATTGGCTTGGTGAAGAGGAAGATGGAAACTGGTTGAGTGGCATTACCCCGACAATGCACAGCCGTTCCAACACTGCCAACGACCTTCCCGGTCCTTTGGAGCGTGAGCGCCGACGTCGCTCGGGGACAGGTCCCCCACAGCCTCCACCGTCCATTGTTCGATCCGGAATTCTCCAACAACCCATCCAGGAACACCCCGCGGGAGTCAACGTCAAAATGCAGGACTGGCCTGAAACCCGGTAACTTTCTGGCTGCTTTCGCACAGCATGAAAATCTTGAATCATTCATTTGTTCCGTCTTTTCTCCTTGGAGTCGACCCAGTCCGGCGCCTTTCCTCGTTCTATCGTTTCGCTCATCAGCCAAAGTGAAGACGCCTAATCTATCTCTTCACATCCACAGCTTATCGACTTTTGGTGGGAAGCTTTACAGTTCGGAAGTTGTTAATGACAATATCATATATGAACCAGAGATCTTCCACGGCAAATCTTGTCGGGGAAATGGACATTTGACCTCGTACCTTTACCGGCCATTTTATGGGCGCATGATACATTTTACCCTTGGAGGCGTTTTGGGGCATCACGGAGTTTGTGATCTGAAAGATCTCGAGGATGAGGCCGGCTGCTCTGCCCTCGACATGCACTTTTTGGTATCTCGGCGTCCGGTCATGTACATTGATTTATACGGGTTTGGTCTATCATCTCGGCGCCCCGGCGGATCATTTCCGCCTGGTGAGGGGCGTGCGAAATCCCCATTGTACACAGCACGTCTGGCTACATACACATCTGCATACACAATTTTCCCCGACTTTTGCACATATGTTGCCTGCATATGACCCGGCCCCGCCGTACTAGTATTTCATGCTCATACGTACAACATCGATTTAATCTTGAGTTCTTTTGTGGGTCAGTGGATTGAGGCGGAGCCTTCGGGGTTATTTCACTACAATGGAAACCAATGACCGGACTGCTGGAAATGAATTGAGGATCGGGTTCCCCTGAGAATTGGTCACACGTTCATGACATTTTGCAGCCCAACGGGTACCCAATTGCATAATATATGCGCCCTTTTCTGATTTGCCCCTTCGCATGTGTAACCGAGCGGGTCTAAAGATAGGAAATAGACGATCTACCCCGTCGCAAACTTAGAATGCGGTCCATCCAGCTGGGATCATCGTTACGCCCCTATTAACCGATGCCCAACGCCAGTGACTTAAAACGGCTGGGATCTTATACCTTGACCTCCAAAAAAAAATCCAATTCAGACCGGCCCACGTACGCCATGCTCGCTTTCGATGATTGTTTCCAGGAGAAGGGTAGGCCATCTCTATAGGCTAGATCTTCAAGTTGATCTTGCTTTTCCTCACCTTCTCAATATAGCACTAGTATCTAGCGCCGTACGGCCTGGCGTGTAAACCTGCACATCTTGGACAAAAGACATCTATTCAGCCTAGACATGACGAATTTCCCGTCCACTGGCACAGTAAGTCGATGAGGACGACACCACTGCGAGAATCCAAACATTCCTAATTCTCAAATCTGCAGATGTTCGGAATCCAATTCGATGCAGCGGGCATCTACCTCGTCGGCACCCCGACCGCTCAATTCCATCTCGCTTTCGAAGAGCTGATCTCGTTCCCTGAAGGCATCGCCGCCTTACTCGAGTACGGGGTCACCTGTAAAGTTCTTTCAGCAGTTATAGGACGCATGCGCCATCGTGTCGGGCAGCAAGCAGCAACGCCTCCCGAAGCACACCCTCCGTTGTGGATCGATAGCTCCGGGCCGACGCTCTACGAAGTCTGTCATGGAGAGAGGTCTATCCTGGTCAGTATACAGGAACTGGAATCGTCTCGTCTCGGGAGGATGATCAAAAGCCATTGGGACGGGAGCAGGGGGAGCAGATACCTTTCACGAATGATTCTTGAGGCATTGATCATTGGTATGTGGGGGAATTTTCTCCGGTGCGTGAAGTTCAGGAGGTCTCGGACTCGGATCTGAAGCGTGCTTCTTATATATACTGCTGCAGTCCCCAGATTTGATGTACTAGTATTTTAGCGATCTTTGGGGGGGGCGTCAATTTGAATGTGAAACAGGACATTACTTTGGGTATAATAGTAAATTCGAAGTGGTTACTAGCAGGGAAAGACGGTGTGCCAGCTACAAGCAGACAGACCCTCCTCACTTGATAACTTGAAGTGTTCAACCTCTAAGCCTAACCTAAGCTGGTGAATTCGCATATTACTGCACCTGATCCTTATGATAAGTAATGATCTCAAGTCACTTTGGGCATCCAAAGAGCAATTGATTTGATGCTATATGCTTATCGCTTGGCGGGCCTGGGGCTTGAGGCAATTTTCGGAAAATGCAGCGAATTGGGGCCCCCAAGGTTCATTCCTGATATTTCGCTGAGTGAAACAATCACTAATCGCATACCCAGCAACCCCCAGAATGATATAATTCCGGCTTAGAACTGATCGTAAAAAAGTGGCCAATCTTACCTGATTAGATCAATTGGCCCAGTGGTAAAGGCGCCCGTCTTACACACGGGAGATCGCAGGTTCGAACCCTGCATTGATCAATCTTCATGTTTTTTTTTTCAAGCTTTTGAGCTTTCTTATTTTTGGGGTTATTTCACCTGGAATAAGAAATCTGCATATATCACCATATTGAGTTGGGAAAAACTCTTGGCAACTGAAAGCCAGGATTCAGGGCTTCACTTTTTTGGGGTGACAGCTGAAAAGCTAGTTTTTGGTCACCGTAGTCGCGGCTCCCACACACGATTATCGAAAAGACCCGCATGGGTTGATTGTAGATCCTATCCACACTCCGTGATCTTCCTCCGGCGAACTTTGCCGGAAACTCCTTGCCAGAGGCGAGGGCAAAAGATGCTAGGATAAGTATTTTTACTACTAGTATGCGGTCTACGGCTTGAATTTTCCCGGCAGTTTCATGTATTGAGGCGAGCTTGATTCTTACCTTTTTACAGCTTGACTCTTTCGCCCGAGAGGGCCGGTAATTGCCGTCCTTCTATTGGACTCATATCGGAGACCGCCAGTACCTAAAGGGAGTGCGGTGTACGCAGGTAAGGATTATCAACAAGAGGATACTTGCAACCGGCTCATTTGTAAGACTAGTACGTTAGATACATAATTGTAGGTATCTCCAATTTCTCCAAATCTTCGGGATTTGAGGGGTAAAAAAAAAGATGCGAAGAAAAGCAGTTGAAAAGCAAAGACCGGCTGACGTGCTCGCCGGTCACGTGACCTCCCCGCACTACGGCCCAAACAGGCAAGTTTGCACTGATTGAACTGCTGGTTTGCATCGATGTCGTGATCGTGCACCAATGAAAGACCTGCTGATCCGTCCCCGATGGCGGAGAAATGACTGGGTGCCCGCGAAGAAAACCGGCATTCATTCGAACCAACTTTTTTTCTTTTTGATATTCGATACCTCCAGCTGCAGACCAATTGTGTCATATCTCTTCGGTCTTCTCGATCTGCAAGAGTTCGTGGGCTTGTGGGAGATCGCTGCATGCGCCGATAAGTATAGATCGCGAGCGATTTTCTCATCCCACCTTGTGCGGTGATCCGGCCATTTTTTTTTTATCATGGCTTCTGTTTCAACTGCTGGCGAGGCCGGTAAGTGGGCAATTCGGTTGAATCCTATATGAGACAGATAACTAACACTATACTGCAATAGTCGCGCGAGTCGCCTACTTGGCCAGCGACTTGGTCCTCTCCGTCCAGCCTGCCCTGCAGACCGACTCATTATTCTCAAAGTCACTAAAGGATCTGAAGGCAAACAAAACTCCGGGGGTCTTGTCAAAGGGAACTACTCAAGTAAGAAGCCTTTCCAATGAATTGAGTATTGCATATTATGAATACTCGGCTCACAATCTAGCAGGTGCAAGCTGTGCGCGCCAACGAAGATCCCCTGCTCTCAGTCTTCCACCCAGTCCAAAATGGTGAAACAGTATCTGTCGTCACAGACTCTTCTATCTTGATATCCTCGGTGCCTCACTTATACCGCCTTGCCAACACCCCCGTCGTCATCCACGTTGCTTTGAATGCTACTCCTTCGCCAGATTACTCCGTAATTAGCTCGATTCGGCAATGCGGCTTCACATTCCTGCACTCCGAGACTGTGCAAGAGGCGCAGGACATTGCTATCACAGCTCATGCATTGGCGCGGAAGTCCGGAAAGGGTGTCATTCATTTCTTCGACCCTTCAAACTCCATCGGCGATGAGGCTATCCCAGTTGAAGACGCCGAGCTTGTCAAGAAGATCATTAGCACTGGCGTGAACGCCATTTCTCACACCAACGAGGCTGACACTTTGTACGCCGACTCTGGCCGTACCGCGACAGTCACTGCAGAGACTGTGGAGGCTCCAACCCCAGCCGAGGCCCCCGCTTCCTTGAACGTTCCTTCCCAAGCACAGACTCCATCAAATGTGAGCGTTGACAACTCATCTGTTGGATCGTCTCGACGAGATAGCAGTGCTGGAAGCGATGCGCTGAGCTCTACCGCCACTACTGTGGACAACGCCAGCACTCGCCCTGTCAATGCCGCTGATATCTTCGAATGGACTGCTCAGATTTGGGCTGCTCTCTATAACGAGGTCGGCCGCAAGTACAATGCTATCGAGTATACTGGGCCTGCAAACCCTTCATCCGCTATCTTCGTCTTCGGGTCTACCGGTGTTTTCGTAGATGCTCTTGCCAACGCTGCAGTTGGTTCCGAGATCGAGAACGTCGGCTTGATCACAGCTCGTCTGTATCGCCCTGGATCGGTGGCCAGATTGTGAACTCTATCCCCACATCGGTTAAACGAATTGCTGTTGTGGAGCAGGCCCGTAAAACTACCCGCTGGGGGCCTGTATTCATGGACCTGCTGTCCAGCCTGACCCCAAACACTGCCCGTGGACAGGCCCTCAAGCTGGTTGGATACCGCCTCGGATACATTGAGCCTTCCACTGCTGTTCAGGCCCTCCGTGGAATTGTTCAAAATCTCAACGCTCCCTCGCCCGTCCAGAATCTGGATGTCGGAACTACGAAGACTCCTGCTCCCTCTAGCGGTCTCGAGCAGCCTCGCATTGAGAACGCTTATCTGAAGATCCTGAACCAGCTGTTCGGTGAACGTCTCTATATTGCCAACCAACTTGATGCGAAGAATGCTGGAGTCTCACCTACCATTGCTGCCAGCCCAGAGTATGGGTTCGGCTCCCTTCTTGCCCGCAAGGAGCACCGCGCTCGTTTCATCCGGGAAGTCGAGGAGGCTTCCAAGTCTACCACTTTCGCTACTGATACCCCCAAGACTTGGCTTTCTCGCTGGGCCTTGAGTGCTAGTGAGAGTGCAAAGGCTAACAAGATCGCCCCTGAGGTTATTGCCCGTCTATCCAACGATGGCTCTGCTCTGTCTCGTCAATTGCTGGCGTCTAAGAAGCTCTTCTACGATGAGTCGCAATGGCTGATCGGCTCTGATGCCTGGGCCTATGACCTTGGGAACTCTGGTGTTCATCATGTCCTGGCTTCCGGTGCGAATGTCAACATGCTTATCATCGACTCCCAGCCTTACTCCGAGCGCACTGCTGCTGATCCTACCCGTCGCAAGAAGGACATTGGTCTCTACGCTATGAAACTCGGCAATGCTTACGTCGCTTCCACCGCCGTGTATAGCTCCTACACCCAAGTCCTGCAGGCCATGACTGAGGCCGAGCAGTTCAAGGGACCCTCTGTCGTTGTCGCTTATCTTCCCTACAACCAGGAGAACGACTCTGCTCTTACCGTTCTTCAGGAAACCAAGAAGGCTGTTGACCTTGGCTACTGGCCTCTCTACCGCTGGAACCCCGAGAACGAGGAGAAGGGCGAGCCCAAGTTTGCGCTGGACTCTGAGCGCATCAAGCGCGAGCTCGAGGAATTCCTCCGCCGGGACAATCAGCTCACCCAGCTCATGAACCGCCAACCCAAGTTCTCTTCCGTTCTCTCTGAATCATACGGAACCGAGGTTCGGGCTTTACAGAAGCGCAAGGCTAAGGACTCGTACGAGAAGCTCTTGGAGGGGCTTTTCGGTGCTCCTTTGACCATTCTGTTCGCTTCCGACAACGGAAATGCCCAAAACATTGCCAAGCGTCTTGGTAATCGTGGTCGTGCACGTGGCCTGAAGACCCTGGTTATGGCCATGGATGATTACCCTGTCGACGATCTTGCTACGGAGGAGAATATTGTATTCATCTCTAGTACCGCAGGCCAGGGTGAGTTCCCTCAGAACGGTCGTGTCCTTTGGGAGCACATCAAGAATTCCGGTGATTTGGATCTCTCGTCCATTAACTACTCCGTCTTCGGTCTTGGTGACAGCCACTACTGGCCCCGCAAGGAGGATCGTATCTATTATAACAAGCCGGCTAAGGACCTTGACGCCCGTGTTGCTTTCTTGGGTGGTCGCAAGCTCACCGACATCGGACTTGGTGATGACCAGGATCCCGATGGATACCAGACTGGTTACTCCGAGTGGGAGCCTCGCCTATGGCAATCTCTGGGTGTCGACAAGGTTGAAGGTCTTCCGGAGGAGCCCGCTCCTATCACCAACGAGGATATTAAGATCAACTCAAACTACCTGCGTGGTACCATTGCCGAGGGTCTCTTGGATGAGACTACTGGAGCTATCTCCGCCAGCGATCAGCAACTGACCAAGTTTCACGGTACCTACATGCAAGATGACCGTGACGTCCGTGACGAGCGCAAGGCTCAGGGCCTTGAGCCTGCTTACAGTTTCATGATTCGTTGCCGTCTGCCCGGGGGTGTTGCTACCCCTAAGCAATGGCTACAGATGGATGCCATCAGCAGCTCTCACGGTAATGAGACCATGAAGCTCACTACCCGACAGACCTTCCAGTTCCACGGAGTCATCAAGCGCAAGCTTCGTAGTGCTATGCAGGCTATTAACAAAGCCCTGATGGACACTCTCGCTGCTTGCGGTGATGTGAACCGTAACGTCATGTGTAGTTCGCTGCCCGAGCTGTCCGAGTTCCACAGCGAGACTTGGATTTATTCGAAGAAGATCAGCGAGCACCTCCTTCCTTCAACTACCGCCTACCACGAGATCTGGTTGAAGGATGACTCTGACAAGAAGGTCCTTGTAGCCGGAGATGCCGTTGTCGACCACGAGCCCCTTTATGGACCTACCTACTTGCCCCGCAAGTTCAAGATTACCATTGCTATTCCTCCTCACAACGATACTGATGTCTACGCTCACGATATTGGTCTTATCGCCATCAAGGGTGCCGATGGACACTTGGAGGGTTTCAACGTCCTTGCGGGTGGTGGTATGGGCTCTACCCACAACATGACCAAGACCTACCCCCAGACCGGTCGTATGATGGGATACTTCCCCAAGGAACACATTCACATTGTTTGCGAGAAAATTATGCTCGTACAGCGTGACCACGGTGACCGCAAGAACCGTAAGCATGCCCGTTTGAAGTACACCATCGACGACATGGGCCTGGATGTCTTCCGCGGCAAGGTTGAGGAGCTGCTTCCCGACGGTCTTCGCTTCGCCGAGCCCCGTCCTTTCAAGTTCGTCTCGAACATCGACACTTTCGGCTGGCAGAAGGATGAAAAGGGTCTGAATCACTTCACTTTCTTCATTGAAAACGGCCGTATCGAGGATACTTCTGACTTCAAGATGCGAACTGGTCTGCGCGAAATTGCCAGCTTAGGCAAGGGCGAGTTCCGTCTTACCGGTAACCAGCATTTGATCCTGTCGAAGATTGCCGACGAAGACTTGCCTCTCATCAAAGAGACCATGGCCAAGTACAAGCTCGACAACACCGCCTTCTCTGGACTGCGTTTGTCCTCTTCCGCCTGTGTCGCCTTCCCCACGTGCGGTCTTGCCATGGCCGAGTCTGAGCGATACCTCCCTGTCTTGATCTCCAAGCTCGAGGACACCCTCGAGGAGAATGGTCTGGCCAAGGACAGCATTGTCATGCGCATGACCGGTTGCCCCAATGGCTGTGCGCGCCCATGGCTTGCTGAGGTTGCCTTCGTTGGAAAGGCATACGGCGCCTACAACATGTACCTGGGTGGTGGCTACCACGGTCAGCGTTTGAACAAGCGCTTCCGCTCTTCCATCAAGGAGGATGAGATTCTAGAGATCATGAAAGACCTCCTCAAGCGCTACTCTAAGGAGCGCAACACCGACGGCGAGACCCCTGAGCGTTTCGGTGACTGGTGTATTCGTGCCGGTATCATCAAGGAGACCACCGATGGAAGAAATTTCCACGAGGGCGTAAGTGAACCTTAATATTCCATTCTAGCTTGACGACCCCTCAAAGCTAACTTATCCAACTAGGTCGCCGAAGACGAAGAGGAAGAGGAATAGGGGTGAAGCTCTGCCACATATATATCCGACGTGTTATGACCATCTTTGGAGACCCAAAATGCGCACTCTCAATTTTGCAATAATGTTTTGTTTCCCTTGTATCTAGACGCATTATTTTTTGATCACCAATATTCTGCTCGTGCAAGAATTGATGATTCCATTTTTTATTCATATATGCCTTGGTTTATGCCATCTCATTAGACTGCAGCCAGTAAATACTAGTTAGTAGGACCCAGGCAAGGCGCCACAATTTCGGGTGCCAATAACCAAGTTGGGTGTGACTGGGAGTCTTGGTCTTGTTAATCATCAGGATCCCCGGCTTATGAGAATGATTAAATGGCCATATGCAGAGAAGGATAATACTAGGGCGCATAGACTGGCTAGATGTCTAGCGTCAAAACACAAGAACAGGCGTCAAGAACAGGCGTCAAGCATTGGCTTTGGGAGGGAAATAAGAGGTGCTGCTGTGGCTGGCTGTTCGGGCCATCAAGAGAGCCACCGACTCTTTGTGATCAGAAAAGAAATCTCGCTACGAACACCTAGGAAAGCAAGTCACTCATGCCCCATCATTTTAGCATGAGGCCTGATGATTACCGACTCATGAATACTTTTTGGTTACGAGAAGGCAAGGCTTTTAGCAAAGCTAAAAAAAAAAAATTCATTGGTGTTTAAATCCTGCTCTTGTTCATCATCTCCATTGCCACCGAAAATCAACAGTCCACAAGCGTACAGCCTATTCCTCATCAAGTTCAAATACGCTCCGAGCACCAAAATGTTGACTGTTCTACATGAACCTCATATTCATGCACCTCTCAGATAACCCACGAGCGGAAGAGGGGCGAGCAAAAGCTCTTAATTGTGGAACCGTGATAGGTTCGCCTGTGTCAAGCACTCTCAGTCGTGAGATGTGCGGGAAAACTTTCTGTATCGGCCATTATATAATGGCGAGAATCCGTTGTAGTGAGCCGCGAAGGACTCCGTGTCGAGCACCCATGGGTGCAAAATCTCCAGGGAAGACTGCTATTCCTCTGGTAAACTGTCGTCGTTGGCTGTCATAACCATTTTCATTCACAATTCGGTGAAACATCAGCGTGCCTATCATGCCAGGCTTGCCCGGTAGCACTGGCTCTCTTTTGTAGGCGAAAATAACACTTTCTTCGTCATCCGATAGCAAATCATCTTGTGTTTAGCCTCCCAGCGGAGGGGCACTGGGCATCATATGGCCATCATGGATAGGCTGGTTTTTTGTGGACTGGTGGCTCCCGACGGCAGTGGAGGGAGATGAACTTGAGCAGGGGGTGCGTCTCTCACGCTAGGAAGGCATTGAATGTATCAATGGCGACGTGGGTTGGACCCAACGTCGGAGAACATGCATAAGGGAGGGAGGACCGTGGGGACTCCCAAGCATGACTCTCAGGTCCTCGAGAGAGGAAAAAAAAAGAGGAGGGGCGGCCTTTATTTATACCCCTTTTCGGCAAAGTAAGAGGCTAGAGGAGGCGGTGAGGCGAGCTGGGTCATTTCTGCCGGTGCCCCACCAGTCCAATTAACCTCCACCGGGAAAAAAAAGTGAATGACCTTCAAGATAGCTAACAGGTCTGGCTTTCTGAATACTTTGGACTGCTAAATCATTCGCCTGAAAATTTCCAGAAAGCGCAAACCCTGTTCACTTCTCTCGACCCACCAACCTCTGTCTGCGCCCTCACAATGGAGTCCACCGAAGACGACCCAGTCATTGCTTCCTACGATGTCTTCCTGACCGACTCCGACGTTTCACGCTATGTCTTCCAATACATAGATCGACCCCAAGAGCTACCCTACAATGCATCTCATGGACAGAAACCATCGGTTCTTCGGTTGAAGCCTGAAACCGGGGTTGTTGAAATGGAGGTGCCAATCAACACTCATGCTGGATACGACACAAGCGCGGGTTTACGGTTCGGTGAAGCGATGAAAAAGAGTCGCTCTGCCCGTGAGAATGCATTCGGGATGGCAGGTGGCTTCAGTGCTGGATCATTGGCCAACAACCCCAACGGCAGCCGAGTTAAGGGTGAGGCTGCAGACGTAGAGATTTTCGACAATAAGAAGATGGTGGATCCATCGTCGCTCATACGCACACAGGCTCTTTCAGGGCGCATAAAACCACCTGAGGAGGGCGATCCAGTTCATATGCTCGCAACAATTAAAGGCCGTATGTATCAATTTTTTAATGCTCTCGGCTGAGCGAGTCCAACTGAGGGCTATTACATGAGTCATGATTACTGACTAAATCCCCAGAAAATATCCATCTATCCCCAGTCACGGCTGTTGTTCAATTGCAGCCTTACAACCACCACATAGATGCTATGGATGAACTCCCTAAAGCACGAGGGGGCAAGGCGAAGAAGGAGGAGGACGTTCCTGAACCTGAAGCTCGTGCTGTCGATGTCAAGGTCAAGGGTGCAGATGATCAAAGTGCTCTTCTTGCGGGGAAATCTGGAACTCCTGAAGCAAATGCAACAAGAGAAATGGAGGACATTTGACTGGGTAGATGCGGAGGTAAGGCAAATCCTCCCTTGGCATTCACAATCGACTTGTTCTGACTTGAAATATTAGACCGAGGAATCATGGTACACATATGAGAACCAGATGATCAATCAGAAGCCTGAAGAGTTGCCGCAATTGGAATCCGCAATCAACAGCGAGGCATATCTGGACGGCATGAGCGCACCTCGGATTGACCCTGCGCGTCCAGACTTAACTGGCTGGGCCATGAAGCAAAATCGCCAAAAGCAGCGAGATGGACCAGCAGAAAGCGACGATGAACTATGACATGATTGAGAATAGATATCACCTTGCACATAAAACGGCGTTGGGAGAGAACAATGCAAAATACTTTTTATTTCACTTCATTATTGGCTCGAATCTATTGAGCGATCGTTCAACTTCCCATATGCAGAAGTAAATTTATACTAGGATCTTAAGGAGCGAATAAATTCCTCCTGCCATTGATGAAAACATTCAACATTCAATCTTCGATGGCCTTCGGCATTGCCACCTATATAGAACAACCCGCCAATCAACGCGGGTCCAGGTGTAGTCACGTGCAGTCACGCGCCCGATTGCTATTCGCGACATTTTTTTTCCCTCCGAGTTGCCGGCTCTCTCGTGCGCATCCCCTTTTCCCTCTCGTCGCCGTTCCTTTCCTTTTGATCACCCATTCGCTCGGATCGAAGGCTGCAGGACGGCATTGCAGCTGAATTCGGACATCCTGGCAACTTACACTTAATGCCTGTCCTTTGAATCCAGTCTTGCGACCCTGCATCTTCAGCTTTGCATTCCGTTTTTACTTCGCTGTACCCTTGTTTGCTTAATATTCTTTCCCCCATCGGATCAGCGACAATATCTCATTATAAAACCTCGAGCGACGTTTATGCATCATGTTATCGCGAGTGGCACGCCAGCACAATGCTATCTTCCATCTCCGGAAGTCCAGCGCCCATCGGGCTTTGGGCACCTCGACCTTACGGCGACACACTAATACAACTCGGCCTAGTCCTGCTATAACTGCTCAGATGAGTAAGGCTCCGGAAATGAAACGGAGACCATCATTTCAGTCCCAACGGAACCTCGCGACGGCCACCGATTCCCCTATCCTGGACAAATCATCATACATGCCCTTTCAAGACGCGTTCTCATCTCCCACCGACCGCCCAGTAGCCATGGGGGACTCAGTACTCGACTTCTCCGATTCCTTCGACCCGTCATCTCTCATCATCCTGAACGAGCTGCCAGAGGCCCAACCAAAAATCTTCCGGAAGGTTCGCGGCGTGGGTGGTGACGAAGAGGAAATGAAGGCGAATTTCGAGATGTCGCTCAAGGTCGGCCGGTTCGATCGAGCTGCGGCTTTGATGGATCGTCTCTCATCTTTCTACCCGTTCGATTCTCCCGAATACGTCGCTTTCCACAACCGGTATCTGAAGGAGATGGTCTCATACATGATTGCCAAGAGCGAGCAGAACATGGTAGCTCCGTTACAAAAATGGTTCGAAGTGGATATGCCGTCTGTGGGCATGAGGCCAGATGCCGTTACCTATGCCGTAATGACGCGCATGGCTCTGCGCATGCTTCACGGAGCTCAACGCGATAGAGCGGTTCGTCGTTACTGGGAACTTGCCAAGAAGAGTGGCTTACATGAAGATCTTCTGGCGGTTGAAGTATTGACGGATCAAGATCTGGGGGGATTTGTCCAAGGTAAGTGTTTTGCTTTGTTTCTCTTCTTAGGCTCTATTCGCGGCTCTTGGATGGTTATACTAATTTCCATCCCTGTGTAGATTTGCTCTGATGACCTTGGACACTTTGGGTTTGATGATTTAGCGTTCGAAGATCCATCCAATGGTATTTCCATCGAAATTGATACTCCAAGCGACAATGTGCCGGAGGTGCTTGCTGCCGATCAGCGAGGCCTGGGCTTGAGTTCTTTGCATTCTTCTCTCGGGTTATTCTCGGGAAACACAAAGGTTACCTTTCCTGAGTCATTCCAAGGAACGGAAGCCGACAAGCAAAAATTGCTAGCAGAACTCCGACAGAAACAACTTGAGGCTGATACCCTCAGGGCGGCCTCCAACCGCTGGCGGGCTGAATTTAGCGAGCGACAGAAGATGGGCATCGGTATGACCGAAAAGGTCAGCGTGAATTCCTTGATGAGCGTCTGGCATGCTAGTCTTGTATCCGAAATCGAGCAGGAACTGCGGCTTGCGGAGGAGGACGAAGGAAAACCTATCAAGAGCGAAGAGCAAAAAGAGAGAGTGGAATACGCCGTATTTTTACGAACTCTGGACCCTGAGCGCCTGGCTGCTCTCACAATCCTTACCGTTATGCACACTTTCAGCCACCAAGGCATGGAAAAGGGCGTCAAGCTCTCAGCGCTTGCTTCGGCTATTGGCCAGGGTCTGAAAGATGAACTTATCGCGGAGGCTTCCATCAACAAGGCCCCCGATAATAAGCAAGCTAAGCGACTAAGGGAGATGGCTGCAACGCGAAAGGGCACCAGGAACGATCGGATCCAATGGCATACCCTCTCTCAGAAGATTCTAGCGGCAGATACCAGCTTGGATTGGAGCCCTCGTACCATAGTCAGGGTTGGTTCGGCTCTGATGAATCTCCTAATCAACTCCAGCAAAGCCCCTTCGAGTAAATCCAAGAAGGGTGATGCTACCTTGACCACCCAACCCGCGTTCCAACACTCTTACAGCATCGATTTCGGGAAGCGTTTGGGGCTCATCCATATGCACCCGGAAATTGTCAAGACCATCACCAAGGAGCCACCTGCGAGTGTTATTGGTCGCCATCTCCCCATGACTTGCCAACCTAAGCCCTGGACTGGAGTTAAGGAGGGTGGGTATTTGATGTACCAGAATTCCATTTTCCGATCAACTCCCGGTGAGACATTGCAGGCCCGTTATATGCAAGCAGCGTTGGAAAACGGAGACTTGAAGGAGCTCACGGCAGGTCTTGATGTTCTTGGTAGCACTGCCTGGGTTATCAACCCGGATGTTCTCAATGTCATGATCGAGGCTTGGAACTCAGGCGACCGCATCGCGAGCTTGGCACCCTTGGAACCAGACCTTCCTACTCCGCCTGCCCCCGACCGTGAGGCTGGTTCCGCTGCCATCAAAGCTTGGAGAAACCAGATGCGAGATATTGAAAATCAGAGGAGTGGCTTCCACTCCGTGCGTTGCTTCCAGAACTTCCAACTTGTGGTTGCACGTGCTTTCCGCCAGGAAAAGTTCTATTTACCTCACAACATAGATTTCCGCGGTCGAGCCTACCCTCTGCCACCTTACCTGAATCAGATGGGTGCCGATAATGCTCGAGGTCTTCTTCTCTTCGCGGACGCGAAGCCCCTCGGCGAAAGTGGGCTGCGCTGGTTGAAAATCCAAATTGCAAACCTTGCGGGCTACGACAAAGCCAGCATGTCTGAGCGTGAACAATTCACGATGGATCATCTGGACCAAGTCTTGGACTCTGCCAACAAGGGCCTTCATGGTGAACGGTGGTGGTTGAATGCTGAAGACCCATGGCAGTGCCTGGCTGCATGCTGTGAACTTCGCAATGCTCTCCAGTGTTCCGATCCCACTCAGTATATGTCCCGCCTCCCAATTCACCAAGATGGTTCTTGCAATGGCCTTCAGCATTATGCTGCCCTTGGAGGTGACCAAGTCGGTGCTCAGCAAGTTAACCTGGAGCCCTCGGACCGACCCTCTGATGTCTACACCGGTGTCGCAGAGTTTGTGAAGCAAGCTGTTGCTGAAGACGCCGCTGCAGGTGATGAGCTAGCCAAGGTTTTCGATGGCAAAGTCGCTCGAAAAATTGTCAAGCAGACAGTCATGACCAACGTCTATGGTGTTACATACATTGGCGCTGTGCGTCAAATCCGTCGCCAATTGATCGACCATTATCCCGACCTTACTGCCGATCAAAAGAAGCAAGGTGCCAAGTACCTCGCCAAGAAGGTTTTCAACGCTCTGGGGACAATGTTCAACGGAGCCCACGAGATTCAATATTGGCTTGGTGACTGCGCCAATCGTATCACCTCCTCTCTGTCTCCCGAGCAAATCGATGAAATCACCAGTGGTGCTATGTCGGATCGTGACGGGAAGAAGATCGCCAACCAAGACGACCCTACCAAGCACTTCCGCAACACGGTTATCTGGACCAGCCCTCTTGGTCTGCCCGTCGTCCAGCCTTATCGTACCCGAAAGGCGCGCCGTGTTGTGACTACTCTTCAGCACCTCAACGTCATCGACCCATCGTCCGGAGACGTGGTCTCTCGACGAAAGCAACTGCAAGCCTTCCCACCCAATTTCATCCATTCTCTCGACGCCACACACATGATCATGTCCGCCAATGCCTGCCACAAGGCAGGCCTGACTTTCTCTGCCGTCCACGACTCTTTTTGGACCCACGCGGGCTCCGTGGACTCTATGAATAGAATCCTCCGCGATTCTTTCGTGAAGTTGCATTCCGAAGATGTCATCGGACGACTTGCCAAGGAGTTTGATGTCCGTTACGGAAATCACCTCTACCTGGCTCGCATCCGTTCCACAAATGAGATCGGGAAAGCCATCAGGGCATACCGCCAGTCCAAGACAAAAAATGTCAAGCTCGCTGAGCTTATTGCGGAGCGTCGCCGACAAGAACTTCTTCACTCAGAAGATCCGGCTGAACAGGCCGAGGGCCGTGCCATGGTGACTGCGGCCAGTATCTTCGAAAGCATGGGCGGTACTGACCAAGACTTGCATTCTTCTCACTCTTTTGGTGAGCATGCCATGGGCCACGTTCCTTCGGACTTGCAAGCTGCGGAGCGCGCCCCCTCAAATCTCATTGACAAGAGCGACCCGGCTATCCAGACTCTGTTCGGCGAGATTGACATGATGAACCAGGACACGGCCTCTGTTGTCGATTCTGATAGCGTTGAGGTTGCGGAGGATGAAGGCCCCGTCTCCGCCATCAAGCCCAGGGCCAAGCCCGCGGTCGAGACCTTCTGGCTCTGGCTGCCTCTTCGCTTCCCCAAAGTTCCCACCAAGGGTGCCTGGGACCTGACCCGAATCCGGGACAGCAAATACTTTTTCTCTTGAAAGGGGGAACCCAAAAAATCATTTTTACGGAGTTTTTAGACGCATGTGGCCGGTGTTTACTTGTATTATACACATTTCCTCAGGCCAGGCTTGGCTTGATCTGTATCTGTACCTGTACATAATGAATCCTCCAATGGGACTGTCATACTACTACATATTCTTCCGATTTCGGATCAGCTCCCTCAAATAGCTCTTCTCACATTGAAACTACCATCTGATGCTCAGTCACTGTTAATACACTCTCCTGACAAGGTCCGAAGCAAATGGTTAAGCCGCTTCCAAATCGACCATCATGATGGGATAGTGGAGCAGCTTCATCAGCTGGGCATCAAGCAACAGAACTGAAAGCCGTGATTCTGAGTCATCTGCATAGTGACCATGCCGGGGGGGTTGAAGGATTTGATCGCTGGAGGTCCTGCTTGACCGATCTATATCAGCCGAGAACACTGGACCGCTTTTGGGATGCGTCCTTTCTCAGCAAGCATTCAAGGATCAGCGCCAACCCACTGGCCGAAAGACTCTGAGCCGCGGATTGTGGACTTACATGAGTCCCCCCGTAGGGACCCTGGAGGCAGTCTTATCCTGTGACGGCGGACGGGAGAATCGTCATCGTGGATACATCAGGGCATGTTCCTGGCCACATCGGTGTGGTTGTCTACGGAGGAGAGGACGAAGACAAGCCTTCAACTTATTTCAATCCCAGGGGATGCCACGTACGGCATGGATGTCCTGGACAAAGAGGAGCCCGATGGTATGAATGACGACCCACAACGAGCCCTTCAGACCTTGCGGAAAATCGAAAAGTTCGCGAGAGACAGGGAAGTGATAGTACTTCCAAGCCATGGTCGTAATACTCCGCGTCTCCTGGATGAGAAACCCATCTACCGACCGAGTTACGCCAGTTGACATGTGGGAATTCCTGACTGATTTTTTTTTTCGCTGCTAGGGATCTGCAGCGCAATGTACAACCTAACAAGGATCATGCACGGAAATCATAATCCCATTATCATCTATCAGTGATAGTATGAGTGAGATTCCATCCAGCCTCCGGGGAATTGTGTAGTGTGTCTAACGCGCTTATCGCGGTGTCAAGCCTTGGGTATGGTCAGACTCCCCAAGTAATATTGTAGCTCGCCATTATGCCATAAAAGGATTGGATTGCGAGCTCTCTCGGTGGGGTTGCTCCATTTGAAAAGAGAAAAGCAGTCGTGTCATGATCGTCATGTTGAAGTAAAACTTTCCATCAGCCTGCCGTCCTACTCTGCTATGCAATTGCCAGCGGGGCCAGAACACCGCCCTTTTAAGCTTCCATACTAGTATCTGTAAGCAGAGGCATGAACAAGATACAATCCATGGCCCGTGTCCTCGGTCTATTCTTTAGTTTCCCTGTCCCTCAAATACTGATAGAAGTCACTTCGGGTCCCTGTGCCTTCGCCTTCCTCGCCTACAAGTCATCTTCATCTGTCTTGTCTGCGATCCCTTCGTCGCGCAGTAAGCGTGCGAGATGTTGCCCAATCACGTTACCCATAAGATCGTAGCCTTTAGGTGTTAGATGAAGACCGTCATCAAATACATCCCTCGTAAACTCAGGACTGGAAGAGAAGTAGGGGATCTTCTCGTGAAGGTTGAAGGCATGGCTTGGCCCGGTTAGCAAAGGATACACGACGCTGAAATAAGTTGCCGTGGAAATACTCACAACCGGTCCTGCCCATGAGATAGAATGAGCTCATTCAATTCAGCGCGTCTTCCAATTAATTGTTCCGATCGAACGGCGCATTCTGGCACGGTCAAGGCCAGCAGTTTGGCCCCCGCGTCGAGCGCGACATTCCACGAGGTCTGGAGCCCCGCGTAGATTTCCTCAGGCGTCTTTCCATAGCCCAAATCACTAGACGCAAGATGCATGTTGAGTCCTGGAAAATGTCTCTGGAAGAAAGTGCGTCTAGTCCACTCACTTTGTCCCACCGAGGAATATAACCCAATCCCATTGAGTCTTGCAATCGTCCTGGATTCGACGTAAAAAGCTGCCAGGGGGAACCACCAGGTCTCCGGGGACGCCATCCACTTTGCTTTCGATTTCGAGGTTGGGCAGAGCAGTTTCAAGGGTTTGCTTTAGCTTTGCTGCGTATGGATGTGCACCGATACCCCAGCTATGGTATCCGGCGGTTAAGGAGTCGCCGAAGCAGAGGATGCGTAGCTGCTTTTTCTCGGGCATGCTGCTCCCCAGAAGACGAGGATTTCGAGGCGGAAAGAAATACGAACGCCTTCCTTCCCTTATGCGGTGCCTTTCGATGATTTCTGCCGGAAAAGTGCTCTGTTGCGGCTCTTTGCTGGGGGCCTGCTGCGTTGCCCCTCATGCACCTGACATAAGCTGCCATATTCTTCAGTTATCTAGGTAATTAGCTACTTAGTCCACTGAAACGTGCTGTATTTCCGACACATTTCGCTATTCATTCTTATAGTTTGCCAGAAAAGCCTCGTCTTGCGTATGCGGAGAAGGCTTCTTGCTGAAATGTTGCTAGTTATGGTCATAGAATGCTAGGAGAAGTGAATCCAAAGCAGCAACGTTGCTGGTAGTTCGAATACAGCTGTTTCGAAATGAGTCGAAACTGAGGTTTATAAAAGCTTGGATGTGGAATAGAAGCTTCAATCATGCATAGGAAGTTGAATTGAACCATTGGGCTATCATCCGGGCAAGCTATTTAGAACGGGATGATGTCGAGAGACATGACTAAATCTTGACAAAATCCATACCCCTAGCTAGCCAGCATCCAATCGTAAATCCTGTCACCTCGTTATTCTCATTTCGCCGCAGGACCACAGTCCAGTCTCCAGGGGCTGGTGCATCTAGTCCTCTTGGGCAAGTAACCACCCACACATCATCTCCAAGGTATCGCATGGGGGTGGGGAGTCCTCGACCGAGATACCCCTCAAACACACCGTACAGCATCCCTGCCTCACCCGTGCAATGGAAAACAGAGTCAACGTCCTCGCATCGGTAAGTCCCTTTCAGAGACTCGTCCTTCGCCGCTGACTCACGCCAGACAAGGCGACGCGCGTGCAGTTTGCGATTTTCTAACACTCGGTGCATTTTCAGAACGTCTCCATCGATGCTCGCAGTGATGTCAGAGCCCAGGGAAGTCTTTGGGTCAACCAGCTTGATTGTTTCAGGACTGCCCTCATAGTTGATGGTAAGATCCCCTGCATTCCACCCTTTGGTGACTGTGACCGTCAACCGGCTGTCTTCATCCAGGAAAGAGCCAAACCATGCCGGATCTGGCTGCACTGATGGGTAGGCTGGCTTGGGGATATCCAGAATTCCTCGAAGCGCATCCGCGACGGCACTGTCAGCAGCGGCTTCGTGGTTCAGGAACACTACCGCGGAAAGTCGCTCGTGGGGAGCATGGCGGCGATGGATTCGGTAGCCACGGAGGGCACCGCCATGCCCATACGTATCGACCTCGCCGAGCTTCACGTGGGCCAACCCATAGTTATAAGGGGCGGCAGCGCCGTCCGAGTATTCCTTTGGCTCAATGGCGGTCCGATACCAGCTTTGCTCCGTGCCGAAGAGGCGATCCAGGTACTTCTCGTAGGAGATCATGTCGTTCAGCGAAGCCACTATCCCGGCATCACCAGCCCATTCCATCCGGTTCACTGCCGGTACATACCCTGTACTCTCGCTGCCTTCGTATCCCACACAAGGGGGTGGGTGGCGCGCTGTATTCGGGCATAGAAAAGCAGTATCCATGCCAGCGGGATCCAGAATGCGCTCTTTCAGGAGCTTTCCCAGGGGCTCACCTGTCACCCGCTCGATGATTTGGCCCAAAGCATGGAAATTGATGTTGCAGTAGGAGAATTCGGCTCCGGGCTCGAAATGCGTTGACTTGGTCCGCGCCAGAGCCGGAGGGCAGTCCCTCTCGATCAGAAACTCACCGTCTGGCTTCACGCCCCAAAGGGTGGTCATCGCCCAGTAGTCGCGCAGCCCCGATTGCATAGAATGAAGGTGCTCGAGTTTCAAGCCACTCCTCTCGATGAGGTCTGGTTGCAACAGCTCGGCCAGTTTCTCGGAGAACTGCTTCTGGATATCGCCCTTGGCGGCTACCGCTGGAGGCGGGTTGCGTTGGAGGTCAAGCAACAATGCGCAAACAAACTGCTTCGAGATCGAGCAGATGGGCATTTGGGTCTGGGGCTCCATTGGGATGAGTTGGTCGAGGTCTGCGTATCCCCAGACACGTTGCCCGATGACTTCGCCATCTTTGAGGACTGCGATGGCACCGCCAGGTCCTCGGTACCGCAGAGCGATATCATCGAGGATCTCTTTGACGCGCTGCTTATCGACTGCCATATTCGTGTTGTGAAGTTCTCAAGGGTAGAATTGTTCGATGTGAGCGGATGTTATGCCACAGCTCCACTTGTTTATCAGCGGGGTAACGATGCAGGGAAATCCCAGCCGAGCCTCCAGAGGTGGACCTTGCGGACCTTGACACGGAAGCAGATCCAAGGTGAAGCACCAGCAATTATTTATGAGCATGGTGCTGCTTAATTGGGGGTTGGACCGGTCAATATAACTCGGGAGGGATGTAGTGGTCACGATGCTGAGTTCTTGGAAAACGAGGGACCGTAAATAAGCAGCAACAATCCTCCAGTGTATTGCCGCGGGTGTGGAAGCACATACACCCGAAATGAGCAATTCGGACTAAGGGCAGGATAGATAAGGAGGTTCTTTTTTTTTCCGTAGACATATGAGGTGTCTCTTTGAAATGAACTCATAATGTACAAGGAAACAATCATCCCTTGGCTCACGAGTGCATAGCCTTCCAAGGACGGGGCTTCAAGTACGTGTTGCATGGTAAAGGGGTCAATTTACAATTAGCAGGTCATTCTGCAATACATTAAACATCCATCATATCACAGCGCCAGGCCGCTACCATCGCCACTCCATCGGTAAAGTGCGAGAACCTCCCGTCGACGTTGCTGTTGCTCCCCGAAATCCTCAGGAATGCGGCCGCGAACTTGAGCCAGCGCTGAGCGCATCACTTTGCGAAAGGTCCTCTAAATAGAAAGTAAGTAAGAAACATAACTCAGTGTATACGAGTGGAGGTGCCATACCTGATACTCAGTGTTGAGGGTTACCACGCAGGCCTCATGTGCTCGCACAATAGTCTCACATGCTCGGACAACACTCGGACTGGCATCTACGGCCAACTTGTCCGCCGTCAGGAGCAGGAGGAAACTTCCTTGTAAGAGGTAGATTCCGAAAAAGAAGGGCATGAAACTCAAATCTGGATCATAATCCAAGATCTCAGCCGCTGCTTCGGCGGCACTGACAGCATGCCCCATCGCAGAAACAAAGGACTCAGAAGATATCCAAAGGTCGTTATCGTCCAAGAGTTCGATCGGGTCCCACTTCCCCGCCAGGAGGATATGCAGGACATGCATGATATGAGTTCCGTAGGCCACCACTCGCTTGGTATGAACCACCGACTCGTTATAATGGGAGCTCGCCGTATTACTTGACCGGTCAGACGGACTGACATGATTCACATGCGAGCCATCCATGCCGACATCGTTCTCTGCAGGACCGCGTTTGAGTGAGCTCGTGTAGCGAGCCTCGAAATCTTTCAAACTCTGCGCATAGACATCCAGTTGTCGGCTGATCTCTACCGCTTGAATTTCCCATTCCCCACTATTGCGGAAATGTGATCCGAAGCGCGGGTGATTTCGTGCGTGCTGTAAATCCACAATCTCACCCAAGATGCTCATCAAAGGTAAGAAGTACCCAAACATGCTATGGCTGGTGCATTCGAATGCGGTTCCCGCACGCCGGTAGGTGGCCCCTGTAAAATCGCCTGCCTGCCATAGGTCATCATTCATCGGTTGCAGAAGGCCAGAACATTCTTTATCTAGGAGGGTAAGTGGGCGGTTATAGCAGAGAGATAAGTGACGGTCCATAACATAGAGAAGCCACCAGATGCGCCGACGCTCTTCCCGCTCCTCTTCGGTGAGACTAGCGGCTGAGCTACCGGGACCCGGGCCCAGTGAATTGAGAAGCGACGATTGCCTTTTGTGCCCATTGATGTCCAGTTCTGATTCGCCATCCAAGTCACCATCTTGACGGGAGCCGACATTTGGTGGCAGTTCGCGTCCCAGTTTCAACTCCCGCGCAAGAGACCAAGCGGCAGTCCACCAGCGCATACTGGCTGCTTTGTACTCACTTGCCGAGACGACTGTAGCCAAGTGGACATAGGTGGCGACATCATCTACCGCGCCAGTTGCACTGCTCTGGGCGCCCAGCTGGTCCATTGAGACGCCGAATCCTCCTAGGGCTACTCCATTGATGACCATGTTGGCTGCATAGTTAGGAGATGCTTCGCCGGTAGCTGGCCCGTGGATCAGGGGCCGAAGCAGGCCAGTGGTCAGTTCGAGCAGCTTCTGACAGACTCGCCCTCGTGCCGATGGAGGCGATGTCAAGAATGCGGCTTCGCTTGTTTGTGCCGCGACCCATAGCATGCTAGCCAAAAGACCGGGGCTACATACCCTGGGCTTTGTGTGGTGCAGGAACGATTCTTTGCGGAACACGAATCCAACGACGTAAGGTGACAGGGGTGATAGGTGGGATGAAGAGGAGCTCGTAAAATATACCTCCAGAAGGTCGCAGGCTAGAGATTGAGGAATGATCGAAGCAATGTGGGGAAGAATGGGTTGCAGAACGGGGTATCGAAGAGAACTAGAAAATGGCGCTATACTAAATGACGGGAAGTGGGCTGGTGATGGCGAAGGGAGAGGGAGCCAGCTTGGTGATTGTGCCGGAGGGGTGAACCCAGGTAAGAAGGATGAAGATGGTTCTGTCGCGCCATTGAGGCGGAATGGATGCATGGGTGTTGGGTTGGTCTCCTGCGAACCTAACCCATGGTAAGTCGTATCATTGTAAGTGGAGCCGAATCCTTGAGATTGAAACATTGGCGAGCGAGATGCTCCATTGGTAGCATTTAGCATCTGTAAAGAGCGAAGATCAGGAACGGACATGCCAGATCGGGTGGACTCATGTACAGAGCCGTATCCGAGAGACAAGCTATCTAAGTGAGACCCCATGGGATGCTGCATCCTTGCTATCCCTGGTACACCGGAGCCTGCAATATTCGATCGAGCGGCCGCTGGTAAGCCCCGTGCAACGTCCAAAGACGGATCGTATGGCCCATTGGCATCATGTGAGTGGTGTGATTGGGAGGAGTCATCTTGCGGAGATTTACTATCGGCTGATGATTTCTCGCCAGTCGCGAGAACTGCGGCGACTGCAAGGTCCTTCTTCGAGGCCTTTCCGCGCTTCTTGCGCTGTCGTGCGTATTCGCAACCCAGTCCGAATTCTAAAACGGTCAGTATGAGGCCTAAGGAGGAAGACGACTTGGAAAGCAACATACCAGTACAATGCGCACATGGTTGTTGTCCGTCGCATTTTGTGCGGAGTTGGTTACACTGGTCGCAAGCCCGGCTAATTCTCCGGCGCACGGCATTGGCCGATGATCCCTTGCGGATCGTTGAGCGGGCCTCTGCAAGGGCATCATGTTGCTGCAGAATAGTTTTTCCGTTGGCTGAACTGCCATTTTGCGTATTATAGAGGGGTATATTTTGCGATTGGCCTGGCTCGGGCGCACTCAGAGAGTTGCCATCGGCGTCGGTCGGGGGGTTCGAGGTTGCGGCCTGCCGGGATAATTCGAGCTGTTCGAGCGCATATTGTGATCCCTTGGCCAGCGTATCCAGCCCGTGTGTGTCAGGCCGAGGCATTCGGGTGAGCGGCGATTGGGACGACAAGATCGAATGAGAGGCTGCGAATTGTGGACGCGAGACCGTTGGCATGCTTGTCTGCCAGGGGTCAAGGCCGCCCACGACATAGAGTCGGGTCGATTGAGCAAGGGCGATGTAGCTCAGGATCTTTCACCAAGTGAGCTCTGAAGACCACAGGCAGTTCTGACTGCTGAGCAGAAGGTGAGGGGCTGGGTGAAATGAGTATGGCTAAAAAAGAGTGGAAATACCCCGGATTGCGGAGGCGAACTGGAAATTTCCTTCCCGGATCCGCTGACGGGATCGGCAAGAGAGCGTGCACTTGGACTAGGCCTATTTAGCTCCTGAGACGTAGGCGAGTATGCCACAAGGTGGACAGGGTTGCAATAATAATTTAGCACGTATAGGAGGGAACGTACTAAAATCTGGGGGAGGCGGGGAAAGGCACGTGGTGACGGTGACGGCCAACGGCGTGAAGGCTTCGAACTAATCAGGCTCGAGAACCGAGATGCAGGATCCTTTAGTCATATTGCTGTGGATTTGACCAAGCTCAGATGCGATGAATATTATTCTGAAGGCGATCGAGCCAGTTGCTTACCCCCAACCGAGCACTCTGAGATACTAGCAGGCGGCGACTTCTTCAACGTGGAAAAAATATGCGCATTCTTTATTTAACCGAAGTTGAGGGTACCCTCTTGGTATCTCCATCGTCGGACTTGTATAACATGAGGATGATCACTGCAGGGCAAATAAAGTTACGTGGATCTAGAATTCCCCAGAGACGCCCCTGGCTCTTATCTATCGTTGGATCTATGGGTCTGCAGAACCTATTGACTAACCTAAGTCCCGGTTGTATCTGGCGATTTTGCCTAAATTAGTGCCGAAACTCGAGTCTATTAACCGTTTAGTGAAGATGTGTGGTAGCACAAATTTGGCAGCGCCGATATACTTCCCAAAAAAAAATAAATCCTTCCCAAGGCCGATATCTTCGTTGGAATAGTTCTGATGGCATTCTCATGAGATTTGGTCCCAGTCGCTTCCACTTCAAAATCACATGTCCTGCCAGAACTCCAATCTCGACGGTAAAGATCCCCGGGTTTGAGAGAGCTGGTCAAGGATCGTGTTTCGATTTTTTTTTTTTCCTTTTGTTTTTCTCCTTCACTGAATTGTATAATGATCCTTGCTCAGTCTATTCTCTGGTTGGAATCTCTTCAAATCCAATTCGCTGCTCGTCATGAATATGACGTCGCCGATGAGATAAGCGGTAGGGGGCCCGCGCGTCCCACGTTTATTAACAGAGCCAGTCCTTTATATTTACCCAGAACATTAGTTCCCTACCGACGTGATCATTTCCAGAGATGGATGCCACATCATGATCAAATGAAATATGTCGCTCTTCACAAAATCCCTCCACCGGGTTGCTTCTGCGCCCCGTAATGTTCTTTCTCCCCGACCCACGCTCGTCCCGAGGCGCTCCATAGGGATCCCCCCCGGCGTTTCTACTTGACGACTATGTCCCTCGCTACCAGCTGCTCACCTCGATGGATGAGGCTAACAAACGATCGCGCGCATACGCTCACCTCAGCGAATGCAACCTCTGTCCACGGAAATGTGGTGTCAACCGATTCGAGACCACAGGAATGTGCATGATCGGAGCCGAAACAGCCAAGGTCAATGTGATTGCGCCCCATCGGGGTGAGGAGCCCTGTATCCAGGGATTTCATGGAAGTGGTTCCGTGTTTTTCTCTGGCTGTAATCTCCGCTGTGTCTTTTGCCAGAACCATGTACGTCTCCACGATCCGCTTGTTTTACGTACAGTCTGAAGCTAATGGCCTGTTAGGATATTGCGCATCAGCGTAATGGCTTTGACCTCACACCAGAGGAGCTTGCCGAATGGTATCTGAAGCTCCAGACAGTTGGCAATGTTCACAACATCAACCTTGTTACCCCGGAGCACGTCGTTCCACAGGTCGCACTCTCTATCCTAGCAGCGCGGGACATGGGTCTTCGTATCCCAATAGTCTACAATACCTCCGCTTTTGACTCATTAGAGTCACTCCAACTGCTTGATGGTCTCGTTGATATATATTTACCAGACTTCAAGGTATGGCGAAGCAGTACCTCCAAGCGGCTGTTGAAAGCAGAGGACTACACCACTACAGCCATGGAAAGCATCAAGGAAATGCACCGCCAAGTAGGCGACCTCTCCTTTACATCAGACGGAATCGCTAAAAAGGGTGTCCTACTCCGTCATCTTGTTATGCCTGGCAAGGAGGACGAAGGTCGAGAGATTATGCGCTGGCTCGCAGAGAATGTGTCCCGTGATCTATACGTCCATATTATGGAACAATATCATCCAGATGCCCACGTGGGGAAGAAAAGACGAGTCACTCGCCAAGGCCGTGTTGGTGGAGGACAGGAGACGAAGGAGGAGGTGCGCTATGCAGAGATCAATCGGGCGGTGCGTGATGAAGAACTTGGGTCGGTCAAGGATGCTGCTGTCAAGGCTGGACTATGGCGCTTCTGTGAGCCGAACGAGGGCCAGTTCCATCTCTAATCTACTTTAGAATCTGTTGCGCCTGCGTACTTAGTAGCTAAGGGCCGTGCACGAACTTACCCGCCAGTCGAAGAAACAAAGAAAAAGTACTCAATGAACGTGGCAGCTCATGACATCTTAAGAGGGATTGAATTATTCCTCTGACGCTCCCTATACATTTTGCCTAGGTGCCTGTTGCTATTTACCACCTATTAAATACCTTAAACTCATCAAATATTTGCTGTTGACGTCAAGCATTTCCCCGGGCCAGTCCGCGGACGCATGGGCCCCACTCAAGCTCCCCCGCTGATCTTCCTTGATTTTCCTCTCAACTTCTACTTCTTCCTCACACACATCACGATGAAGCCCATCTATGGTATCCCGGCAGTCGCAGCCCTTGTTTACCGAGCTTGGGCTCGCAAATCCTTGACACCGTTCGGGCTGGTTGTGGCGGCGCTGTCGGCCACCGTGCACGTTCTGCATCCATGGAACACCCCGTTTGTTTTATTAGCCGTGTTCTACTTCGCTGGAACCAAGGTTACCAAGGTGCGAGGACACTACTATATAACTGGCTGGTCTTGGATAATTGAGGATACTGACGGGGTCCCCTCCTTTTAGGTGAAGCATGATATCAAAGCACGCTTGACGCTGTCCGCGACTGGAGCGGAAGGGGGAGAGGGTGCCCGAAACCATATCCAGGTCCTCGCCAACTCGCTCGTAGCCACCCTTTTGATCATCGCGCATGCAGTGGTACTGTATAGATCACCTGGGGATCGGTGTTTCTCGCTTGGGGATAATGCGGCGGACGTTTTGATGGTCGGCATAGTTGGGTAAGCAACCACAGACGGGACCAGGGGCCTGCGTGGCCTGGGGATCTTTCGACAGCTTGCAGGCTTTACTCACGTATTTGAATGAATAGAAACTATGTTGCTGTTGCCGCCGATACCTTCTCTTCCGAACTGGGCATCCTATCCAAATCGCAGCCCCGCCTGATCACATCACTTAGTCTTCGTAAAGTGCCGCCAGGTACTAATGGTGGTGTGACGGCGACCGGTCTTGGTGCAGGTCTGCTTGGGGCATTCTGCGTCGCTCTATCGTCTGCTATATTCCTGCCTTTCTGTGCAGACATAGGAATCAAGGAACGCGCACTGTGGACTGTGGGCATGTCTTTCTGGGGACTTCTGGGAAGTGTCCTGGACAGTGTTCTGGGTGGATTGCTCCAAGCTAGTGTGGTGGATAAGCGTAGCGGCAAAGTTGTTGAAGGCAGTGGTGGCCGAAAGGTAACTTTTTTTTTCTTTCTGTTCCATCGTGTCTTAATCAGGCCACATACGATATAGGTCTAGGGCGAACAATGCTAATTGGTTTTATTTAGGTTCTGGTCCATCCAGGCTCCACCGATTCGGGAGTTACTTGGGATCACAAGAACGTTGGGGAGAGCACTAGTCTCCAGGCTAAGGCTGTGGCGAACACGGCCACTCCGCGCACTAGTACGGCTCAAGCAATCTCTAAAGAGAGCCTGGCCGGGACTGCCGAAGGGCATGAGAGCCGAAAGATCGAAACAGGGAATGACTGGCTAGACAATAACGGAGTGAACTTTTTGATGGCGTTCCTCATGAGTGCAGGGGCTATGATTGTTGCACAGCAAGCGTGGGGGACCGATGCACACGACTTGTGGACGCAGATTGTATAAGATTAGGAGTGACATAGAGTAGAAGCCCGATTGGCTGGGGAATTTTGCTCGCAATATCTCAATCACAAACATTTTCAGCCTCGAACCTCTTACGCCTTTTTCCTTCTTTTCGGGGATAAGATGTCGATGGTCACCAGGTATGGCGCCTCCACCCACAATTTTGCAACCGCATTGAGACGAGAGCTGCGGAAACGAAGGATCGATCTTGATAATTCCCAAGAGGTTGTGGCTCGGCAAGCCAAGTTTGCCCGATGCAACCAAGGCTGATCGGTATTGGCATATGCGCCCTGGGGCCAGCAGACTACACCATGAACGGTGGTTCAAGACCCCCGGGTTTTTATGAGATGAAGGTTTTCCTGGACCGAGACCGGTTCTAGAAGCATTGCGATAGTTCTCAGCTAATTCAGGCAAAAGCTGAATGGACTCTCCGAACTTGAAGGCGCCCTGCCAAGAACAGCGGAACCCTGAGCATGCCCTCACAAGCGACAAGTGACTTGACCTTCTAGAACACAAGGAAGCGTTGGTTGAAGTAAGACCAATGTTGGCCAATGTCCGGCGCACGTGGGTGCAACGGGGGGTTCTTATAGGGAGCGGGTCTCTGCTCCCAGACCGCGGGCCAAGCCCCCTCCGCCAAGCCCCGCCATCCAATCTGGTCAGCGCCGAAGTATATCGTGCGGACCCGTGTCTTTCGCGAGAGACTGCCAAGGCTCCGCCAAGGCCACGAAGTTGCTTCTCCCCTTCGCCGTCCATATCATCTCGTCTTGCCCAGCTTTCCATGGCGTGCTTTCCGGCCGTAGCGACTTGCCCAGTGGCCGCCACCACGGTTCAATGTCCACTTCGACGCCTGCCAAGTCGAGCTACCAGTCTTGCCTGGACCAGTATCGCGAGTCACTCCTGCACGTGTGTCTCGTATACACGGTAGACTGAGAAAGCATGGTCGATTTCATGCTTTTCGAAACGAGTGCCTGGGTTGCCCCAGAGGCTCGAGCAAATGTAGACAAACTAGGCGAACGCAAGATCGGATGTTGTACATATAAAGCCCATCAACCACATGGCTTTCTAGATTAGTACCAATCCCTTGTTGATCAATATAGCCCTAGCCTTTGCTAGCCTACAAAGATGATTCTTCATCAGTATGATTACATCTTTGCCATCGGCACTCTCTTTGCCTTCTTGGATGCCTTCAACAACGGAGCCAGTAAGACATGATATCTCGGCCTGCATAGTCACACATTGGTCTTGATCCTAACACAGCTTTTTTTTTTTTGCAGATGATGTGGCAAACTCATGGGCTACCAGTGTCTCCTCGAGATCCGTCTCCTATCGCCAGGCCATGATTCTCGGTTTCGTCTTCGAGTTCCTCGGCGCTGTCACTGTCGGTTCCCGTACCGCCGAAACAATCAAGAATGGCATCATCCCCGTCGACTCCTTCCAAGGAAATGCCGGAGTCCAGATGATGGCATTCACCATCGCCCTGGTTGCGGCGTCTTCTTGGGTGATGTGGTGTACCCGCCATTCCGCCCACGTCTCTTCGACCTACTCCCTGATATCTGCCGTAGCCGGTGTGGGTGTTGCTACCGTTGGTGCCTCCAAGGTCCAGTGGGGCTGGAACGGTGGAAAGGGTCTGGGTGCTATCTTCGCTGGTCTGGGAATGGCTCCAGTCATCTCAGGCGGCTTCGCCTCCGTCATCTTCATGCTCATTAAGGTGATCGTGCACATGCGTCGCAATCCCGTTCCATGGGCTGTCTACAGCTCGCCTTTCTGGTTCCTTGTCGCTGCTACTATCTGTACCCTGTCTATCGTCTACAAGGGTTCTCCTAATCTGGGTCTTTCCAAGAAGCCCGCTTGGTATATCGCTGCAGTCACGCTGGGCACTGGTGGCGGTGTCTTTGTCGTGGCTACTCTCTTCTTCCTGCCCTTCCTCCGTGCACGCATCATCAAGAAAGATTACTCGGTCAAGTGGTATATGATTCCCCTCGGTCCTCTGCTTTGGAACCGCCCTGTCCCTGTTGATGGGGAGACCGCCAAGGTCCCGAACTACGCCGTGATTCAGGATGAATACGACGATGAGCACTCGACTCGCACCCACGGCTCTATCGACAAGGACGCCCAGACTTCCGCACTTCCTGCCGATGACCAAGAGAAGCAGCATGAGCGAAGCCTGGTTGCTTCTGAGACTCACCAGCTTACTTATAAGGAGATCATGGCCCAGTCCGATGCGAAGCACCGAGAGAAGCTTCTTGCAAGCCGCGGTCCCCTTGGCTGGGCTATGCGCTACCTGCGTGACAACCCTATGGGCCCTGGCGAGCTGTATGAACTTCGCAACATCGTGACCCTTCTAAAGCGCACTCCTCCGACCATTGTTTGCGCTCTTCTGTATGGTTTCCACTACGATATTCACACAGCCCAGAGCGGTACCTCAGGAACCCCCGAGGGAGAGCGCATGAAGCGTGTCTATGCTGCTGCTGAGAAATATCCTAACGAGGTCGAGCACACCTACTCCTTCATCCAGGTTATCACTGCCTGTACGGCTTCCTTTGCCCACGGTGCCAACGACATTGGAAACTCTGTCGGCCCCTGGGCTGCTATCTACGCGACCTGGTCCACTGGTCAACCTACTGAGAAGAAGGCAACTGTCCCCGTCTGGCAGCTGGCTGTTCTTGCGATTTGGATCTCCATTGGTCTTTGCACGTACGGTTACAACATCATGAAGGGTGAGTTTCCCATGTTCCATGTTCCATCATTATAATGATAAGTTACTAACTTCTGCAATTTAGTCATGGGTAACAAGATTACTTACCACTCTCCCAGCCGTGGGTCTTCCATGGAGCTGGGTGCTGCCATCACTGTTCTGGTCTTCTCTCAGTACTCCCTCCCCGTCTCGACCTCCATGTGTATCACTGGTGCCACTGTTGGGGTCGGGCTTTGCAATGGAAAGCTGAGTGCTGTCAACTGGCAACGTGTGGGTCTCCTGCTGCTGGCTTGGATCATGACCATTCCCATCGCCGGCACCCTTGGTGGATGTCTCATGGGTCTTTTCATTAATGCGCCTCACTTCTCGTCTTGATTAGACGAGGGCATGATAGAATTTTACCTCATGTGTTATTAGAATCTCATAGCTCGAACGAACCATTCAGTGAGAAGCTACTGAGAGATTGCTGTGTTCAATTACGATACCTCACAAAAATACCTATCATCTCTAGCATTGATGTTTTCTCGTCATAAGACTGGACCACTGCTGAGTTCGCTAGAACCCCTGCATTGTATTGTAGTTTCTCCGCCGGGTCAGTCGGGATATGGCTTTTCTGGACCAATTCTTCCCACTGGTTCGTAGATCGAAGTCCGGCTCGGAGAGTCTCCACCGACGGCTGAGGCTTATATTCGACCGTAAGGAGGAGTGTATTGGTGCCGTCGACTCGGTGGATACCAAATTTATCGAGCCTTAGGCGACGTGTGATTAAGATCTCAGCTTGGTTTTCTTCCAGCGCGTTGGTATCATTTTTCAAACCGGCTTCCATCACGAACTATAAACTCCTCTCGAGCCGCGGGACCTTGTATAGCTCGGCAACGAGATCACGAGGATGATTCTCCACAGCAATTCGCTCGTAAGTCTCGCGGCCTTTCCACTTTCAACGGTCGGGAAATTCCGCAAAAGATGTTCGTCGACTGCGCTCTCAGTGCCATCTATCTTCGCTCTCAATTAATTCACCTTAAGGAGCTACCCAAGAAAGAGAAGCTCAGTCGAAAAAACTTAGTTAGCGAGCCCTGTTCATCTGGAAAATATCACTCTGCACCGCTTATTAGGCTGATCTGTGTTGGCATACGAGCGAATCGCGTGCAAAAGGTACAAGACATGCGACGCAGCTGTGGTCCGGTCCCCCTGGGTGTTTGGGGAATATAGTCATGTGGTAAGATGCTACTTTGCGGGCACCGTTAGTCCTCATAAGTGACAGCATTCCTTCGAGATGCAAACGCAGGCCTGATACGACGTAAAATTTAAAGTGGTAATGATACGGAAAACCAAACCAAACCCCCAAGAAAGTAGGCAAGGAAAGCAGTATGGGACGGAAATGGCTGGCGGCGACGGGCACTGGCAGTTGTAGCGAAATATTCCCCACCGGAAATCAGCCACTGCCCGGATGGTCTAGTGGTAGGATTCGCCCTGTATGTGCCCCCCAGCTTTCAAGTTGGGTCATGCTTCTGCTAACACATAACAGTCGGGTTTACTCAAATGGGTGAGGTCCCGCGTTCGAATCGCGGTTCGGGCCACTTTTTTTGTGTTTTATTTTTTTTCTATTCGTCCTTATCTGACTCTGAAATTTGTACTCGTTCGTGCTCTAGCCCAATTTTCTTCTTTTTGCTTGTTCGAACAAGAACCTTTTGGTCTCTCATTATCCCTTTCGTCAGTTCATCATCTGATTTGCTCAAAGACAAGAAAACTCTCGGGCCCACCAAAAACAACCTGTTCTGCATGATAGAAGAGATCGTTGCATTTCCCACTCCCGTGGCTAAATTATTGTAGTCGATGCACTATAGAGACTCGTATGGGAAAAGAAGAAGCAGGAATATAGCAGATGAATGGTGCGGTACTATACACGGGAAGAAAAAAAAAATTGAGAGAAAAAAGATAACAAGCCCCCGCCGAGAGTCGAACTCGGTACCTCAGCATAGCAATCAAGTACGAGTGCTGCGCTCTACCAAATGAGCTACAAGGGCCCGTTTAGGCGATTTATCTCCTTTCTGTCATTCTGAGGCGAACCTTCAACTAGCCTTTCGTGCCGCAGGCGTTCAAGTTCCAAGATACATTTTGACTTTGACTTCGAGTGTGAGTTGACGAGTAAGGGTAGCTACTCATGGTTCTTGGCGTCAAGCCGGAAATATCATTCGTCAGCTTCGACCTTTTCGATGTTCCAATATGAAATAGCATTTATGAATTCGAGTCTGATCTAGGCGTTTAATAGTACGGCTTCGCTAGCGAACAGTTTCGCAAATCCAGAACAGCCACCTGAAATTTAGTATCCCTAGCTGTATGAAACAGCACCCAGTAGGCTACAAATGGGAAAATCTCTCTGTGTCGCTGACTCGAACTCGACTTCTGGCCGACCGATGCGGTTTGCCCCCGATAGCCTGGGGAACATCTGGGCATTTGATGTCAAAGGATCGGTGCTGCGTCGCCCTAGACTCGTCCACCATACGGAGAGCGGTTGGCCTGATGGATTGCAGGTGACGAAGAATGGATACCTCCTGGTCGCTGCGCTAGGTGGAGTAGACGTTGTGGATCCTCAGACTGGGCTTTTGCCAGGAAAGATGAATACCCCTGGTGATATTATTTTTAATCTGGAGCGAGGTCCCCGTCGAGATGACCAGGGGATGTGGTTGTTGACTGGACGAAACTCTATTCACCAAGTCCTGATCAAGGACCTATAGTGTTTGCATGTTTGGGGGCCGAACAAGGCGTCGATGTGTATGCGTATTGCGGACCTTCAGAGTATATTTCACGAGGAATCAAAGCAGTATTTTCTCAGAGCCAAATCGGGTAACATGATTCCAAATCCAGTGCAGCCGTGGGACTCTCTGATTGGCCCCTCGTGGACTGCAACCCAATAGTGCAAACTGGCCAAACCAGCCAAACCCGCGCTGTGACCTCAGCTCGACAAGCTCCACCCCTTTCCCCACATCTTGCCTGGCCTTTCCGGGAGGTTGCTGTGCAAGTGGCACCATGCAAACAGGAAACGCCCCGTTCGACGTCAGACGGAAGTTTACGGCTGACTCAAGGGAGCCTCGCCCAATCTGATAATGTCGATCCGACGCGATGTGTGGCTGATCCAGGAATCTAGGCTTGCGGGGGTCGCGGTGCAAACATGTCCTACTAGGCAAAACTGGGTCTTGCAAGTCTCGCGGGCCAATCTGGCATTGATGGCCAGCCGCTGCGTCCAAAAAGGCACTGGAACCTAGTCAATTCGGTCTTCATTTGTCCCACCGGGCCCATCCCGTTGGAGAAACTCCCGGTGTTATTGATGGTGAATCATACCCCGAGATCCTGATGCCTGTTTGGTGATGCTTCGTCATAGATTTAACTTCCAGAAACCCGCTGTAGCTCTGGCGTAGGCCTTTTCGGTTCCATTCAATCTTCTCGTAGCTTCTTAAGCTCTTAAGCTCTAGCGTCCTTGGTCGATTCCTTCGCCCTCCCTTTGCCCTCTGGTGTTCTCTGTCGTTTTGATACTTCTACGTATTCCCGACATTAATCCGACCCTGTCTCACCCCAGTATGTCCCCATCCGTTCTCTCCTCGGAGAGCGTCGAGATTCTCGACATTCGTCAGAATGACATGGCGTTTTCGCTTGCCGACACCATCTACAAGAGTCTCAATCCGCCCGAGGGACAAGCGCGCTCATTTCCCACCCTTCTGCTCTACGATACCGAGGGCCTCCGTCTTTTTGAGAAGATCACATACTTGGAGGAATACTACCTGACCAACACCGAGATCGAGATTTTAACAACACATGCAAGGAGAATTGTTGAGCGCATCCCGGATGGTGCACGAATAGTGGAACTTGGCAGTGGGTCAGTTATCCCTGCTGCGGACTGGTCCTCTTTGGGATCGACCAATCGCCCCCTCACGATGTCACCGGGCTAACAGTTGGGAATTAGAAACCTCCGGAAAGTCAACATACTGCTGCGGGAATGCGAACGGGTAGAGAAACACGTGGATTATTATGCGCTGGACTTGGATCTGGCGGAGCTGCAGCGGACTTTTTCGGAAATCTCACCAGAGGGTTTCACAAATGTTAGACTGCACGGTCTGCACGGCACGTACGACGACGGGCTTCTGTGGCTGCAGAAGCCCGAGAACCGCGAAAGGCCGACGGTTGTGCTGTCACTGGGATCATCCATAGGGAACTTTGATCGGCCTGCAGCGGCGAAGTTCCTTGCTAACTTCTCCAACGCTTTGAAACCATCGGACTATCTCTTGATCGGCTTAGATGCTTGTCAAGATGCGGAGAGAGTCTTCCAGGCATACAACGATTCAGAGGGAGTGACACGTCAATTCTATGAGAATGGCTTGAAACACGCTAATCAAGTTCTCGGGTATGAGGCATTTAAGGCTGATCAATGGGATATCGTCACTGCATGGAACCCCGATCTAGGCTGCCACCAGGCTGCGTACTCTCCCAGGTGTGATGTGACTATCAACGGGACCGTGATCCGCAAAGGAGAGAAACTCGGGTTTGAAGACGCTTTCAAGTATTCTCGTGAGCAGCGGGATGAACTGTGCCGAAAGGCGGGCCTGATTCCTCAGTTTGAGTACGGGAACTCGAGTGACAACTATCGTAAGTTAGGATCCCTGTAGATTGCAAGGATTGGAACAGTGCTGACATCGAACCACCGTGAAGACGTTCATCTATTTTCACCTGCTACCCTGGACCTCCCAACGAGATCTACTGAGTATGCAGCGTCTTCCGTTCCTCTCCGTCAAAGACCTGCAGTCTCTCTGGACGGTATGGGATATCGTCACTAAGACCATGATCCCGCGAGAAGAACTGCTCTCGCAGCCAATAAAGCTTCGAAACACTTTGATTTTCTACCTCGGTCATATTCCTACCTTCTCTGGTATGTTTCTGCTTGCGCTTACTATCCATGGATAGGTGACTGGCGCTGACGCATTCTTCAGATATACATATGACCAGATCCTCGCGGGGAAAACCAACCGATCCCAAGTACTACCAGCAAATCTTCGAGCGTGGGATTGACCCAGACGTAGACGACCCAGAACAATGCCATTCTCACAGTGAGATCCCAGACGAATGGCCTCCACTGATGGAAATTTTGGAGTATCAAGAGCGGGTTCGGGATCGAGCTCGTTCATTGGTCCAGAAATACCACAAATCGAAGGACCGCACTCTCGGCGAGGGAATCTGGATTGGATTTGAACATGAAGCGATGCATCTGGAAACCTTCCTCTACATGCTTTTACAGAGCGACAAAGTACTTCCACCTGTTGGAGTGGACGCTCCCGATTTCTTGAGCATCGCTCAAGAGGCAAAGAGAATCGAGAAGCCCAACCAGTGGTTCCGCATCCCCAAGCAGACCGTCAAGATTGGATTAGATGACTCGAACGATCATGCGGACCCCAAAGAATCATTCGGTTGGGATAACGAGAAACCCCGACGAAAAGTCACCGTCCACTCGTTCGAAGCGCAGGGCCGACCAGTCACCAACGGCGAGTATGCGAAATACCTCGAAGCCAATCGGCTCCAATCTATGCCCGCCTCTTGGATCCTCTTGAATGGAGAGCAGGAGTATCCGCCAGCACAGGATATCAATCGATCCAGCCCCGGTGCCTCCGACCGCTATCTCTCTAGCTTCGCAGTGCGCACTGTCTTTGGAGCCGTCCCTCTGGCCCTTGCACAGGACTGGCCGCTAATGGCCTCATTCGATGAGCTGGCTAACTATGCTAAATGGATGGAATGCCGGATCCCGACCTTCGAAGAGGTGCAGAGCATTTATGCGTACGCAGACCAGCTGAAGGGTTCAAATGGTCTCTTAGACAACCACAGGTGTGTTTTCCCTCCGTCGAATATTTTGGCAGAGATTTTAACATTTTCCTTTCCCTAGCAATGGCAGTAAAGATGTTCAAGAACCCCCCATTTTTAGGGACGTGGCTGGATGCAACATTGGATTCCAGAACTGGCACCCTGTCCCCGTAACTCCTCACGGCGATAAACTTGCCGGCCAAGGAGAAATGGGCGGGGTGTGGGAGTGGACCAGTACTCCGTTGGCAGCTCATGAGGGGTTCGAAGCCATGGAGATTTATCCGGGCTACACATGTTCGTTCCCCCCCCGCCTCCCCACACAATCCGTTCGCATGTACCCTGAACTCGAGGCTAATCTTTATACAGCTGATTTCTTTGACGGCAAGCACAACATCGTCCTCGGAGGCTCGTGGGCGACTATTCCCCGAATCGCAGGACGCTCCACCTTGTGAGTTATCTCTGCACCAAATCGCCGCTATCATACTAATTGAACAGTGTCAACTGGTATCAGCATAATTACCTCTATGCATGGACGGGAGCACGGCTGGTACGGGACTTGGCTAAGTAGGAGTAGTTCCAGTCATAGAAGCCGAGATCATTCATGATAAATCCATTTTCCATTACCTACCAGGCATTGCACCACCGCTCCTTCGCACTTTCTGTAATGGTAATGTTGCTTGCTCCGGTCTGCGGTACTAGGATTTCCCTCCCCCCCCTCGCCCTTTCGTTTTGCATAGCCATCAATACAGGGATGCGAGTCATGGGTAAACGTAACCAGGTACGTACTCAGATGCACAAGACTCTTCGCGCAGAATATGCCAAAGCCCTTAAGACAGTTCAGCACAAGCCCCCCGGGGCATTTAAATTCATTCTCAAGCTTCGGGGGGTGCAGAATTCGCACGTAGCAGAATAGTCATTTTTATCAGCGCAAGGATTGTAAGGAGATAAGGATCCCTGTGGAACGTTCGAGGAATGGAGGAAGGAATGGCGGCCAAGCTCATGGGGCGCAGGATGGGGAGGGTTTCACTTCATGCCTCCCTCAGGGTTATTGGCCCGGGCTGGGCCCAGCATAACTCCGGCCTTACAGTTTAAACATTTGCTCCACTCCATGCCAAGAAGACCCTGGCCGGATTGACATTCAAGTCATGCCTTCAAAGTCCTTGGAGGACTCCCAAGGTTGCTGCTTGGCCTCCCTGCGTGTGGACGATTCTTTTACCATGCCGAATTGAGGAGTCAATCAAGGGCTATTGAAGACTATATCTGACAAGACCCGCTAAAAAACCGGGATTTAGCTCACGTTCGTATGCAGACTGTCAAATTGCATATGCTGCATCTAATTGAGATGCCAGCACGCGGACTTGCTTCATCCTATTTGATTGGTAATCCTACGGAGCACCAATCTTTCGATGATCGGACTGTTTCTTATCGTGGAATGTGTTCCTGCGTGAAAAGCGTCGGCTCCGAGTCCGGCGAGAATTGCTTGTGATCTGTTCTCTGCCCGCCATTGCTCCGACGCAAGGGGGGGCCCACTAGAGAAATACTGAAGAATACTGCACATCTAGTGTGTCATGTCGAGGGTTAACAACGGCTCATCCGTCCTAGTAATGATTCATCGCGTTTGGTGTGCTGGTGATTCGAACCGTCAGCAAGAAGCTGATGGGACTCGTAGATGTGCGCCGGAGTTGGAGCAATACACTGCCTATGCTACCCAGGCTCCGAGTCATAAGCGGAGTCGTGGTGAGCCTACGTTCAAACCGGGGACGCTATTGTCCCAAAGTGGTGCGCGTTTAGTTCGTGCCTTTCAGCTGTACCTATCAGATCTGTACCCAAGCTGCCATGGGAGGTCGCGATGTTTCGACGGGGAATAACTCCGAGAGCCGATCAATACGAGGTCCGATCATCCCTGTCAGTGACGAATTCATGATCGATCAGCGCCCAGGGAGATCCGCGATCAGTTGCGCATAGTGACCTGTCCCGATATGGCGGGACTGTCATGATTCGTTCTGTTCCAACAGACCGCCAATCCATCTAGATAGAGCTCTCATTCACTCGAAAATGCGGTGGTCCCGGAATTAAGCTTCACCAATTTCGCTAGACTGGTTTTTAATGGGTCGCGATTTGCTTTGCTTCTGGGGACGCACGTATCCAACAGCGAACGGGCCTCGATGATGAAATATCTCTTGGGCAGAAAGGTCCAAGAAAAAAAAAATCTACCAGTAGCTGGGCATGGACACCCTTGGAGAGGGGGCCAGTCCAAGCTGTCAAGAATGTAGTAGTAGATTGCCATGACACGAGGTTGAGTGGGCGATCCTGCCCAGTATTTACCCACGTCGACTGCCAAGGGCTCATGCACGGGTTATCAGGAGCATATTCTGCCCTGCAGACTGCAGGCCATAGGGTCCATGCTGCCGGGCCCCGTAATACGGCGTCTCAGAGATACACATGTTTTCCGCTGCGTGGCATGACCGAATTCCACATGTCAGAGAGAAACGCGGGGGACTATCTATTCAACAATTCTATGTTCATCAACTGCGTTTGGGATACCGCCATGGCGATAAGCGCTAGCGAGAAGGCAGATGGCATTTGTGGCTTGCACGAAGCAGCTACGAAGATGTTTTGGCAATGGGGCAACCCGAAGTTGCCGCCAGGGGGTGGAAGAACTGCCGGTTTGGAATGTGTCACATATCGAACAAGGGGAGCCATCTGGCCACTCTTGCCGAGCTTGTCACTTTGAATGGGGGGGCCTGGGACGATGCCACAGGAGCAGCCTGTCGTTCAGTACAACCTGCCGAAGTGGAGCCATGATCGACCCGTTCCTTGACATGCCCGCACTGGGTATTGATTTGCATACTGTACGGGTAACCTGGCATTGACGCGATATGCAGGTTCTTCTTCTTTTTTTTTCTTTTGGCTCTTTTTTTTTCTAGGCACTGTATATGTACCCCGGCGCAACCGCAGAATTGCTCCGTCCTTGACTAGCGCCTCGATGACATAGTGTCTGCGGCGGTGGGCTGTTCTTTGTTTCTTGTTCATTCTCATTGGCGTCCGCATTGCCAGTCATTCGTTTTGCATCTTGTCCTTCTTTAATAATTTGGTTTGAATTCCACCAGCCGCAGCATTGAGCGTTATCGCTAAAAAATTGATCCCGCCGAATATACTCATCGTTGACCACTCCGAGTCTATACCTGTTATTATACTCGCAACTCCGCAGACACGGCGAAAATGGAATGTTTTCGACAAATCTTCCGGTGTTTCAAGGCACCATCCAAGAATAACGAGCCACGAGCAATTGAGATCGTAAGTGTCGTCCTCTTGCCATCTACCAGTTGACAAGCCGTGATCTAACCCAATTGCATCTTAGGGTCCCCCCACCAACTTCCGGAAGGAGGAACTACCTGCTTGTTTCTCGGATGCCGAGTCAGTCGTATCGCCCCATCACAGCAACCCCGAGCGACCCATTCTGACCAAGGAGCCACAGTGCGTTGACGTCGCAAGTGAGCGGGCAAGTGGTGATGGAAAAAATCGGGGCAACGATCGAAATGGTGGATCTCCAACCGTCCCCCAAGTCGAAGGTCCAAAGCCAGGTTCGCAGGATGAGCTTGAGCCCGAGCAACAGCCGCAGGATGGCGCAGTCCGCCTCCGGAAGCGTGCGAGGTTAATGAAATGGCTTCGGCCAGCTTCAGTGGAGACTCAATCAGCAGACAAATGAGAGGAGCAAGTATGATATGGACCATTGGATTTGGGAGGATGAAGATGGGGAGGGTCCATGGGCGGGCATAAGCCATCCGTTGAGACTCCTGAAAATGTGATCAATATGCCTTGCGCCATATGTTCATCACACTATAAAAGTTGGCACGTTTTTGAAGCGCGATTTGGAGGATGCCAGGTTGTTATCGCTGGAAGAAGCTTTGGTGGACAAATTGACCGATGTTGAGTGTGTATCCTTGTCAGAGATAGATTGACTCGATTCAGATGGCTCTGGCAGCTCATCAAGCTCATCAAATAACATTTGAACTCTTGACTTTGTCTGCTTCCCTGATCCCATGGCACGCCTTGAGCCCGATGTGTCGAATGCAATCGGCGCTGGCCTTTCATTCTTGATGTTGCAATCATCTGGGATACTTGAGGCTCTCGAGGACTCAACAGCATTTCCAGCCTTGCGCCTCGCGGTGGGCGTTGCGAGCAATTGAACATCTGCATCCAGATCATCTTCTTCCGACGCTGTCTCATCCAGAATCTCGATCACGTGGGCATCAGCCTGTGGCGAAGAGCTCGGCAGTGGTATTCCATCCCCGCGGCCGTTGTTAGATGACTGCGAAGTCTGCCCGAAACCTGCTGCAGCTCTAGTCGAAGACTTCATCGTGTGCATTCCGACTAATGATCGAGATTTTCTGGGGCTCGTCATAAGCCCGTGTAGATGTGTACCAGCCCAGGCATCATCGTCTTCCTCTTCATCCTGCGCCTCGTCTGTACGAACGCCTGGGACTCCAATTTGCTCAAGCCCGGTCTTCTGCCGCTCCCTAAGGGCCTCGGCGTCTTTCTTCCGCTGGAGTTCCTTTGGAACCGGTGTCCTGCCATCTGTCGGCCTTTCTATTGCCGCTATTGCTGTCGCGGTCTGCGCTTTTGCCTCCTTCTTTCGGCGTACATATTCTGCATGGTGCAAGTGCTGTGTGAAAGATTGCGCCACTGTGTAGAATTCGTCTTCGACCATGATCCATCCGTCATCTTTGTCAAGTCCTTCAATGAGGAATCTGATACAGCTGATATTAGCCACAGTCTACCATGGTGTAGGGCGAAATTGCCAGACGTACTCTTCGGGAGGACATGGTCGTGCGGGGATGTTGGGGGAGTTTGGGCTGAAAGCGTAGTTCCCGTTAGCGCAGCCCATCTTCGGAAGAATAGGAATGGATTTAAAGGGGGAATAATCATACAAGAACGGAGGAAGTCTTTGCTCTCAGGTGAAGCTGGTTCCTTCTTTGGAGTCGCGTCGATGTCAGGAGCAGACTCTCGCTTGACGCGCTTGCGCGGCGTCGACTCGCCTTTCACTCTGCCTTTAGGCTTCGGCTCAAGGAGCCATGGGAGTGTCCTTGGCATAGCGCGACGGTGATAGAGCAGCGTGTTAGGACATTAGAGTTTGCACAGTGGAATGTGGTGAAGTCGCGAACAGCACGATAAGTGCGCCGATAAGCGATGAGGTCACCTGCCGTGCCTGCTAGAACGATATTTGAATTGAAAGAGCATGGCAAGACAAAGCACATGATGTAGTCTTCAATGTCATTGGGTATCTGGTGAATCTACACATCCTGATCTAGTAGATCTAACTTCGAAAACAGAGATAAAAGGCACAAACAATGCTTAGAGCCTTAGGAGGGTCTAGCCCAAGAACGCCGGTTGAAACCATCCCATGAAACCATCCGACGAAAACGCCTGCACATAGACTTGAAACTCAGACTAAAGCCTGGAATTAAGCTTTTGTGGCCCGGAGCAAAAAAGAGAGCAAAGCAGAAAACTAGGCTTCGCCAGGTCGCTTGCTGTTGCAGCTCACGATCTTGACCTTCTCCGCGCTGACTGTAGATTGATTATCTAGCTTGAACGAGACATCCTTGATCAGGAAAGTCCAGACTTCATCGCAGAATCGGTAGGTATCGAGGTGGCCCTACAGAGAGAAAACATGTCAGCCTAGGTAGACAATCAAGATGATCCCGTCCTCATGTCTTCCGAGAGTCCACGTTTGCAAAGGGGGTTCATAGCCTACCTTGAAAGTCAGCCTGGCTCGAACCTTATCTGCCAGGACTTCAGTGACGACTCGGTCAAAGGTTGACAGGATCTTCATCGCCAGCTGGGGTTCGATACGACCTTCGTTGATCAGGTCATCGAGAGTGTCCGTCAAAGACAAGCCAAGACTATCTCAAGTCAGTTCCACAACCAATTCCACATTTCCTTGCAACAGCGTACCTGCTCCCACGGTAAAGCTCGTAGTAGGACTGCTGAGCGGCCATGCTTGCAAGATTTCTGGGTGCGCGCTGGGGAAGACAGGAGTGTCAAACGGCAAATCGAGAAGTCCAGGCAATCGCGGGGGGATATTAATCACGTGACATGTGGCTTATCAAAGCATTTACGTCAAACAAAGCATGAAACTACGTCAAACAGGTCTTGAGCCTCACCTGAATAACAAATTTCAATTCTGCTTTTAACAGAACAGCCTTTCGATGATGATGGGCCCCAGAGTGGTAAAGTTGCCTGAAAACATGATGCTTTTCCGGAGGTTTTCTCAGCCTGTTTTTAATCGGTCGTTGTCTTCCACATCATTACTATCAATCCCCAAGAGTGAGTTTACACTGCCATCTCAAATCTCGGCTTCGGGTCATAGTAATTAACGAACTGAAAGATACTGGTGTCAATATCCCAAATAAGGCCTCCACCAAAGATTCTAATGAATCTGCAAAAGATAAGGCCCCGGACTCAAAGCCCAACACGGTCAAATCTGTGGCCCAGGCGGACGACGAGCTTCGGCAAAGATTAGAAGAGATGTCAGGCGAAGGAGGAGCCTCCGGCATCGAATACGAAGACGGGCAGCCCAATACAATGAAACGCAGTGTACGGAATAATATGTTCCGAGTGATATGAAATGGTCGGCTAGACCAAGACTTTATAGCTTCCCGCCACCTTACGAGAGACCCAAGCACTGGCGAAGCAGGCGTGATGAATGAGATAATTGATGTGGGAAAGCTGACCTATACCGAAGACGTCCTTGAAATGACATTCTTATCTTCCAGCATTCCGCATGGCGCTGTGCCGGTATGGTCATCTTGGTAGGAGGTATCTAGGCTTATCTCCTTTTGTGCATATCCATATCTGAACAGAATTGGACCGTTCAAGGGCTCTGATCAGGGAAAATGTGGCATGATAGTTGTTTCCCGCCAACGAGCCCCCTCAGCCAGTTTACGGCAAGACCTGTGGTCGCAATAGAATATGCAGCGGGTCTCCAGAGCCGAGCCTGTAGCCGAGAGCCGCAATCAGACATGCTAGCGAGCTGGATCACCTGCACCATTAGTCACAAGGATTATAATAGGATATCCATGCAATATCAAATCAACTTGCAGCTTATTCTCTCCGGAACTCCACAGAGAATAAAGCCATATTCATTTCTAAATGGTCGATTGAAACCCCTCCAGTAGGCACGTAAAAACAGAAGTAAATCCACCCCAGACGCTTTTATTGACATTAAAACTCCATCCCCGTCTAGGGGCTAGAATGGTGACTTAAACCTTGGACATTTCACTTGTTGACGGCAATGCCAGCCAACACACCAGCACCAATAACACCACCATCAGAGGCCTCCCGTAGGAAGACCGATTTGCCGCCTCGTTGCGGGCCAGTCCGCATGATCAGCCGGTCGATATGCTGCTGACACATTTCCTTGAACTGCGGATAATGCTGGATAATACCACCTGTGTAGGCAACCACCAGCTCCTCGGGGCCAGATTGCCAGTCCGCCGGCGTAGGCTCGAGAACCGGGACAACATGTCCGTGGAAGCTGTTCGTCACGGCGCTCGACTGCAAGCTTGCAGCCGCGGCGAGTGAGTCGGTTGCGGGCTGGGGGTAGGGTGAATCGCCGTTGCTCTTCGGAGAGGAAATGTTGTCGGGGGTGTTCAGGTTGCTATCTTCTCGCAGCTCGATCTCCCGGCAGCAGGCCAGCAAACCAACCACAGCTGCGGCGATTAACCCGGCCGACCGTTGTTGGACCGTCCGGGCGATCTTTTGGAAGACTCCTGCAGAACGGGCGTCCCAGCGCCAATCACTGCTTTCGGGAGGAGGGAGGGAGCGATTGAGCTCTTTTGCGAGATCTTCGCTCGAGCGGGCTCGGGCCACGTGGTCCGAAATGTAGGATGTTGAGAGGGCATATTCCTGGATGAGGTTCGCTGGAAGAAGACGTCTTGACAGTCCTCCTATCGTGGTAAGATATTCGTATAAGATAAGACGAATTAGCTCGCCAATATACCGGCCACCAGTCATATATTCGAAAGGCTGGAACCCGGGACGTGAACAAGCTTTGTCCAGTTCGACATCCCATTTGGTCGTGATCTTGAGTTCGTGGAGCGGCGGTGCAGCGCCCGAAATAGTCCATTCCGTGTTGACGATGGTCTCTTTGGCGGTCGGTTCCATAGCATGCACGCTCTTGGCCTTAGATTCGTGGAGCGCATTAAGTTTCATCGGAATGGTTGCGTTACAACCTGTTCCGACAATGATACCCATTGCGACGCGGCTATTTGGTAAAGATTTGACTGTGTATGCGAGAGAAGCTAATGTCGCAACAGTGTCGTTGGTGATAGCCTGAATCTTCAGCTTAGGGAGGGCAAATAATTTCCGGCGCTTGGAGGAAGGCTCGGCTTCATCATCTGGCCGCCTGGTGTGCTTGTCATATCCATTTAACAGAATACTGCGCAGGTTCAGATTTGCATCCATTGCAAAGCCCTTGCCCATGGGCATCAGTGTGGCCTCTGCGAGGGACTCTTGCCTAGAACATGGTCAGCATCTACCAAGCGATCTCCGATTGGGCCCCTCAGGGGCTGCCACAATATTCTGAAGGGGGAGGGTGAACCAACATAATTGGGAAACTGAAAGTGATTCCCATATCCAATTCGGCCGGGGCGTCTCTCTTTGCCGCATCCGATGACAAGCTATCGGCGACCACCTCCGCAATGCAGTCTCCAATCCACGCGAAGAGATCCTCCGCTTTGTCCATCTTCAGATGCTCTTGAATGGGCCACACTCGCTCCAACGTTCGTTTCACCCGCTGATGTTGTGCCTTGCGAATCGTCTCCTGGGACCTCTCCCCCGCATCTCCCGACCTGGTCTCCGGATCGAGATCGCCCAATAATTCGATGAACGCCACCCTCAAGTTACTCCCACCTACATCAATGGCCAAGTACCGACCGGTTTCTTGGCCGGTGGGGAGCTGAGTCACTGGAGTCGGCAAGAATTGTTGATCGGAGGTCAGTGCCAAGTTGCGGTATGTGCCGGAAAAGCGGCGCGCCAATCTGTACAGCAACCCCTCTTCTAAGCATAATGGCTGTAGGAACTCATCCAGCTGTTGCTGGTGCTCGAGCTGTTCTCTTTGGGTCGCACTCAGTTCGGTGCTGATCTCTTGGTCCTCATCTTCAATTCCCTCGTCCTGCAGAACATCCCGCTCCTCGTCCTCGCCTTTCTCCGACGGTATTGAGTTGATGGAAGCCATGGAGGAACTGGGGTGAGTCTTGATGAACGTCCGCAAAGAAGTCCAAACCGGGGGCTATTGCGGAGATAATTTCTAAACCAACGCGCAATCAAAAACCAGGAGAGGGATACACAGTCCGTGCCTTTCTGTCGCAATACCCGCTCCGTTCTCAATTATGATGCTGGATTAGGAATGCGAAGCAGGTACGAGAGCAGAAAGGACACGGGCGTCACCTTGATCAGAAGAGAAGTGGAGACGGCTCTCTATTTAAAGCCTCTACTTAATCTCCAGGGTCTGGGCTTATCAGTCAGATGATCATGAAAGGGTTGAGCATTTTAGTGACGTGGACCGCTGGGAATGGGGAAGGATTCGGGACTGCGGGGGAGGGAAACAGGACGATCATGGAGGGTGATCTTCGACACCAGCTTTACGTACCCTTGCGAATTCGGTATGTGCGATGGGGGGAAAAGGGAAATAAAGATCTACCAGGGGTTGTTTTCACTTTTTATGGGGATCGTCGAGGATCCCAAGGGATGGATGCCTGAGGCTTCTCGAGGACTCCCAAGAAAAGGAAAGGAAGTAAATAAGGGCACCATACAAATCCCAAGGCTTTTATGCTTCGGATAGGTTATGGCCTACCGGGGCGAGAAGGGTCGACAAGTGGGGCCCCAGAGCAAAAGAAGAAAAGAAAATCAAAATAGAGAAAAAAAAAGAAAAAGAAAAAAGAAAGAAAAGAGAAAAAAAGGAAGCTGGATTCGACCGGAGTATAGGACCGATGACGATGACAGGGCCAACAGGGCCAACGTAGAAAGGGCAAAATCCAGCAGGTCCAGCAGATCCAGCAAGAGTCAAGAGAGAAGGAGGAGATTTAAAGGCGCGTCTATTGGAGATGCGACCATCGGAGGACACGAGCCGATGCGACGCTGTTTCTTTTTTGGCTGGAAATCCCGGTCTTGGTCGATGGGAATCTGGTGAACTCTATAAACTCCCTCTACCCCTTCGGCGATCGCAGAAAGCATCTCCTGCTCATCTGGGCAACAGCGAGAGACGATGATCGCGCCGTTGTTCCACTCTGATTCCATCCGCATCTCACTATCATGGGGGAGGGGGTCCATGATCTATGTAACCCTGCGCCATCAGGAACTTCAGCTCGGTTGGTAGGCTCGGCTACATCTCCAAATCCAAGCGCCTACTCCGGCTCCTCTCTCCCTTTCCCCTCAACTCCAAACATCTTGGCTTCAAAACACGAGTTTGCGGCCCAAGGTCAAGTTGGCGCACGGGCGCAGGTCAAAAGAAAAGTCTATCCCCCTCCACCCATCTGCCATGCGAGCGCCTGGTCAAGTGGGGCGGGGGCGCAAGAGAAGAAAACGTGCCAGATTATCATCTCCATCTGCCAAGTACCAATGAATCACCGTTTGAAAGGCCCTTCCGAGTTACTAACCTCGTAATTTCTGGTGGCTCTGCCCACTCGGAAAGAACCGTGTTAGCTGTCAACTTCCGAGAGGCCACCAATCCCCACAGCCTCTACAGGGGGCCACGATTGGCCGTGCTTCGCCACGAGATGCCGCCTTGGAGCTTGTTTCAGAAGGTTGGGGGTTCGGAATCGATCACCTGCTCCCCGTCATCGTAAAGAGGGGAAGCTTTTGGGCTCGTGCTTATACTAGGGGAGCCTCATGCGGCGAGGCCCCGAGAGGGGATCTTACATAAACGACGAAAGGCCGCGTGGACATCTCAGCCGCCGGCCTTAAAAGGACGAAACAGGAAAATAGAGGTCCAGGCTCGAAGTCCCTTGTGAGGTGTTCCCTCGTCAAGCCACTTCCAACAGCTGAACGAGGAACTTGGGCACCAACAAGGCAACGGCTCCGAGATCGGAGCCAGATTTCTCTAGGCCAGCTCGACCCTGATTACAAGCTTCCTAAGTTCGAAACGAACTAGAGGAAAAGAAGCGCGCTAGTGCCGCTGCTTTAGTGTCTACTGAGAATGCATCAAGAAGGGCTTGCCTCTCCTATGACCCGGAGAGCAGATCACAGTCACCCCTGGAAACGTTGTATCGCTGCTGACGACTAGCTGTATGAAAGCTCTGGAGCAGGTCACGACCTCTTACTGGAGTCGGAGAAAGAATAACTGCACTAATCATTAGCATGAAGACATCAAAACCTGTAAAGTATAAGGTCCACGCCAACTGTGTCAATGCTGTCGAATGTCCTGTTTTTGATAGGACGTTGGGTGCCATAATCTCTACACAGGATTCTATGGATCTAATTTCGGAATTCTCTACTCCATAGCTCCCTCCACGGCCTTGAACAGCCTACTTTATCGGGGGGGTGGAGCCGATGATCCGATGGCGCAATCGCTTCAGACCAGACCCCATGTCAACCCATGCTAAGCCTGTTTCAGCCTGGATCTCTTTCTTCACCGCAGACAAAAGAGAAAAGATCACGACCTTCCTCGTCAGATATTTCAAGATAACAAAACCGGAGCGCCTGATTGGATTCGGAGGCGCTGTCCATTATTAGGGCTGCTTGATTATTGTGCACAGAACTACGGAGTAGACGTCGAACCCCATATCTCTCGTTTGACATCTGCCCGTGTTCTTGGCCCCTTAGAGGTTCTCCTGCAAGCATAAGCATGAACCCGCTCTAATTGACACCCTGTGCTGAGCCTATCGAAGGAATGGTCAAATGATCCTGTGGAAGATCAAGAGACGATTTGCTTACTTTGTATCAGTGGCCCTCGGCGTGGCCGACGAAACGCATGTGCCGGGTAAGCAGGGACGGCAGGAGAATCTTCGGCATAATGATCAGGGTTTCCACGCCCACTGAGTAGCATTTCCTTCTCCGCAAAATGGGGCCGTCTCGCGGGAGGAACGCAACTCAGCCCTCAACTCAGCCCTTGACACTTTTTGAACCTTGGTAAAGAAGTGCTGACCGAAGTCCTTACTCGGGTAAGTTGCCCCATGCGTGTTTGGGGTATAAGGTTGGTACTTGCTCCGCTACAATGCATGGATTATGTCTTAGGATGGATTTCTTGATCCAGCCCGCCATGTGCTTCTGATCGGTACAGTCATTTTATATTTGACGGACATTATAGCTTATAAATGCAAAGGTAGTCGGCATTCGCCCAAGTCTAGGTATTTGCACGAGCGAAACTCGAATGATGTTGCAATCTTATTCTCGAAATGCGCTGGTTATGTGCATGAGAGCTTCTGTCGCACCCATTCTAGAAGGCCCCTGAGATGGCCAATGCATGTCTTGGTAGTACTCATTGGTCAATCTTTCAAGCTGACTACTTGATTTGATTCTCCTTGTAAGGAACCTAGTCGTCAAACTGGAGTAGAATTTGAAGTCCAAGCTTTCGTACGTGAAAGCTCAACAGAACGTTGTTCTCACCATCGCCAATTGCACAATAGTCGCTTGGTCATGACAGAAGGAGAAATTTCAATCAAGAGGCTCGTCCTCATTTTGGTGCCGTGACAGCTTTTCCAAATCTAGGACTCCACAGGCGCATTTTGTAGGCCTGTCTAGGTATTTCAACGAACTTGAAGCCAAGATGTTCAAGCTCCATGCCAAATTACGCGCCAGATTTTGTTTAGATCCAGAAGTTTGGGTCATGGGACGAAGAACACCCAAATGCCAAGACCCTATATTACCTAAGGAGAATGCAGCTCCACTTTCACCCATGATCAGCATCAACGTCTCTTATCTTTTCCATACATCATGGAGAAGCTACCTATCCATACTGCGGAGACCCGGGAGGTCGACGACTCGGCCACAACGCGGTCGCCCCCTCGCCAGGCGGTCTTCTTAAGGCGTCTCATTATTGGCCTTTGCCTCATCGTCGGATATTACATCGTCAGCCGCGCCCCCGCCAACACACTGCGTGTTTTCGCACCCTGCCGCCATCATAAATCCCCGGAAGCGGTCTCCTTCGAGGGAGGTTACGGCTTTGATCTCGCTCATGACCTGGGAATGTCACCCGAGAGTGCTCGGCACTCTACAGGCGCGTCCGATGACTCAAAAAAGGTCCCCTTTGAGGCCCACATCATGAGCAAATGCCCAGATGCCCAGGCCTGCCTGCGCCAGCTTGTGATTCCTACTATGGAGCAAGTCTACGACAAAGTAGACTTCCAGCTTTCTTTTATTGCAAAGTGAGTGTGTCATGCTTTTTGTAGGCCGAAAGAAAGGCTAGATATCCTAACATTTCCAAAAGTGTCTCCAAAGAAAGCCACGAAATCGAGTGCATGCATGGTCCAGGCGAATGCATCGGAAACATGCTGATGCTCTGCGCAGCCAACCTCCCTTTTCCGCCCACAAGCGACCAATCTTTGCTTCCTCAGTCGTACCCCCGTACCCCCATCGTGCGGTCCCTCGGCTTTGCAAACTGCCTTACTACGGATTACCAGCGTATCCCTGACCGCAACTTTGTTCAGAATTGCGCATTGGAGCACGGTATTGACTTTGAGGCCTTGAACACTTGCGCTAGCCAACAAGATGATAATACTGGGGGGTCCGCATGAATCAACTCCTCTCAGCGGCCTGGCACTTCTCCGACAGAGTGCCCTTCGCGGAGAGGAGCTTGGAGTCAAGACCAGCTGTACCATTAGAGTGAATGAGACTGTCTGGTGCGTCCACGACAATAACCAGTGGAAAGACTGTGCAAAGAATGGCGACAACCCGAAGGTTTTGGCTGAGGAGATTAGGCGTCTCTGGAAGGAGAATAACGACGGTCGTTGAGGCCTGGGTTGTACTCCCTCATCCAGCCCCAACGAGAATGAATTATGCATAGCTGTATCTTATAATTAATATTGATCATCTTCGGGCTCCATATATGAATTTTATTCGTACTTCAGGATTCATGACACCAGCTCGTACCTTCCGCATAGTCAGGTGATCGAGCGTCATAATTTACAGTCGAGTGCCTCAGTATATAACTACACCTCGTCGCTCTTGCCTTCCGTCGTACTTGCACCTGCCCACCGGATCTTCTCAACATGGACACCCAAACACCCCCGTTTTCTGATTCTGATTCTGTTTCCTCTTCTCCTGATGAATCCGTGTCTACATCCACAACTCGTGTGGCACTTCCAGACTCAGCCCGTGATATCAGCATGCCGCTTCCTTTGCCCCAGCCCTTGAATATTTCTGGTGACCAGACAGAATTCAAGAAGATTGAAGACGAGCTTCTCCGCAAAATCAGAGCAAAGTACACAGGATATCTGTGGTTCTTCAACGTCACTAAAGAGACATTCTACCAACTCCAAGACGAAAACTCACGAAACACCAGACACTTCCGCTATCTCTACAATTTCGACGAGCGTAAGCTCCGTATCTGGATGCCTGCGAGAGCCCACGACAGTTTTGTTACCCAGCTTGTTATCCTAATTTCTGACAAGCTAAGAGCAGCAGGCTTACACAATACTGCTTGTGTGCCGAACCTGTCTCCCACGCTTAAATTTGGGAACTTTGCTGCTCAGCCTGATGGATGCTGGGGCCCATTCAATAGCGATGATTTCACGGTTTGCGTTGAGGTTGCGAATTCCCAAAGTGATGCCCAACTCCGAAATGACGCTCGCCGTTGGCTTGAACATACCGGATCCCCCTTTGAAATCTGCCTTACGGTCAAGGTTAGCGCTGATAAGATTGTCCTTTCTGTCTGGCGGCCCCAAGCACGGCCTGATAACGGTCACGGTCCGTGGCTTCGGAGAAGGCATCGTTCTGCGACGATCACCCACACAGCGACAATCGTCCGAAACAGTCCGAATCCTACCGTCATATGTGAAAGCAATACTTCGTCTTCATCCACTCGAAATGAGATTAGGCTGCCTGTGGTAGCTTTTACAGGCTACCAGCTGCCACCTGGGATTAATGTTAACCCTTGGGACGAGATCATCTTGACGGAAGACGATTTGGTAGCTTTGGGAAGAGTTCATTGGATTCCAAGAAACGGATACTAATGATTCGCTGTATACTCTACTCCCGGTGGTTCTCTTCTGCTCTTTTTTTTGCTCTCTAGTTTATTTTTCTATTCGCTGTATACTCTACTCCCGGTGGTTCTCTTCTGCTCTTTTTTTTGCTCTCGAGTTTATTTTTCTATTCGCTGTATACCATACTTATTGCTTAGTTTTTATAATAATATTACCTGTTTCATCCCTCTATTAGATCTTGGAGGCGAGCAGTAGACAAACGGACCACATTCTTCGGCAAGGAAATTTGTATTACCAACGCCTTCCGGGCTCACGCTAGAGAAGCGCGGGACCTGATCAGGAAGATGGATGGGCTAGAGGTGGGTTGGTTTATCACTGCGACATACAAACCAATTTCCCACAGACGGACATTATCAACAGCAGGTCAATGGTTGCATGGGCTGGCTAGCGGCACGGCGAGGAGAGGCTCTTTAGTTTTGTTTTCCTTGTTTTTCAGGTACCCAGAGGGAAGGTTTGGGGCAGCAAGGAGCCAATCAAGGTGTTATGGTTATGTTTTCGGAGCAAGAAGTTTTGAAGGGTATGGCGAAATCTCAAGTCCACCGGAATTTCGACTCCCGTGGCTGGCCCCGCAGAAGTTCCAGAGTCTGAATAATGAACTAGTCAATCTCAATGAGCACCGTATGCAGAGTGCAGCGGATTACAGATCTTACGACATATAGGCCCTTCAAGACGCTCTACGCTTTACCGCACCCAATATTCAAGGCTTATTACTTCGACTTTGCACTCCAGATGAGCATCTTCCTAGACGCAACCATACTATTATTTCCGAGGTCATCTTGAACATGCTTACCTCACTTAATAGCTCTCGTATGCCCCTCGATAAGCTCATTAGTGTCTTTGATACACAAGGTTATACTTCAGATCGACACCTGATCCGCAAGGCGTAGAGACATCGCGTCTTGGCACGTGCACTCCATTTATGTAATTATTTGGGGATCCGGCACGGGGCGTCGATGAAGCTGCATAGGTCTCAGTCGGCTGTAACTGGGAGAAATCCCCGTTGGATAGGTGACGAAGAGGAAGGAGGTGTCCCTCCAACTACCTTCTGCCTCCGACCTTCTCACTTCTTCTGTAGCTGCCATGGCACTTCATCTGCCCCCTTCCGCTGCGGGGAACGCGTCTTCCGAGTCCGGGACGTCCTCTAACCCCAGATATACCCCAGTCTCGAATAGCTCTGACGAAGAGGGCAATCGGGCGGAACCGAACGATTTGCCTCTTGGGGAACTTCGTGTCCAGACGAATTTTGATACCGACGATGCTCATGATGCACCTATCTCGGACGTTGAGAATGAGAACTCATACGACTCTACTGAGGGCATGAAAGGGAAGAACCGACGGAAGCAGAAGAAAGCAAAATATACAGCGCAGGAAGACCGGGAGGTTGTGAGGATATTTGACAGGAGGCTAGTGCCATTCTTGGCTCTGTTATACCTCCTAGCATTTCTTGATCGCTCAAGTATGTTGATGACGTTGCCATGTATTTGCCCGGGGAATAACGGTCTATACGGGCACTGGGGATTCTATGCTAATAAGGAACTCCAGATATTGGCAATGCGAAAATTGCTGGACTTCAAGAGGATCTCCAACTATCTTCCTCGCAATATGAATGGCTACTTACTGCCTTTTACATCACTTACATCCTCTTCGAGTGGATGACACTTATGTATCGCGTGGTGCCTCCTCATATTTATATATCCCTTTGTGTATGTGGGTGGGGATTGGTGGCTTCTTTCCAATGCTTGGCCACCTCCTTTGGAGGGCTGATCGTCCTTCGCTTCTTGCTTGGCATCACCGAGGCAGCATTTGGACCGGGAGTGCCCTTCTATCTGTCGCTGTTCTACAGACGCCATGAACTTGCATTTCGGAATGGGCTCTTTATTTCAGCAGCGCCGCTAGCTACGACGTTTGCCAGTAGCTTGGCATGGGTGATTGTCAAGCTCAGTAGCAATGGCCCCATCTCTCCCTGGCGCACTCTTTTCCTGGTTGAGGGCTTTCCAAGTGTTATTGTCGCTGTGTTCGCATGGGCTCTGATTCCAGACTCCCCAGGCCAAGCTCGCTTTCTCACGCGCAGGCAGCGTATCGTCGCTAGAATCCGGCTTGGTGAGAACAAATCGGACTATCAACATTCGCAGTCGGCTCGCTTCAATTGGCGAGAGATATCGAAAACAGCTTCAGATCCCAAAGCATACATGGCAGCTGTAAGTCCTCACATATATTCCCAAGAATTAACGATCCAAAAAGAAGTAACGTTCTGCGGCATCTAGTTCATGTTCTTCAGCTGCAATGTTGCCTTTAGCTCGATGCCCGTTTTCCTTCCTACTATCATCAAAGAGTAAGGCCGCCTTAGATATGCCGTAACTTCCCTGATCGCAAGCTTATCAATATTATATAGCATGGGTTATTCCTCTCTCCACGCTCAAGCCCTCTCTGCGCCTCCCTACCTGGTTGCATTCATTGTGGTTCTCCTAACCGCATACTCTTCCGACCGCAGCCGCAGCCGCAGCCCATTCCTCATTGCCCACGCACTCGTCTCTTCACTCTCATACTTCGCCATAGCTGCAACAGGGTACTTCCATGAACACCTGTCTACCGAATTACACACCTTCATCCGATATATCTGCGTTTATCCAGCCGTAGCCGGGTTCTTCTCTGCTATCACCCTGATTATCACCTGGACGATGGACAATCGGGTCGAAAAGGAAGGCAAGGGAGCCAGCATTGCCATCTTGAATGTAATCGGCCAATGTGGACCTCTTCTTGGGACCAGGCTATATCCTGAATCAGATGGACCGTGGTATGTCCGCGGAATGGCCGTCTGCTCCTGTTTTATGATCGTGGTGGCTATCCTTGCTTTTGTGATGAGGATCATATTGCAGCGTGCTAATCAAGCTTCGGGGCCGTTGTTCGATGTCAATGAGGCTGGCCCTATCGATCCTGGGGAGGAACGGGATGAGCTTATGGGTGGAGGACGACGTGACGACCTTGAGCATCATACGGGTGAAGAGCGGCTGGTGTATATTATCTGATTTAACCTTTTTGCATCTTGACTACTATTTGATTGGCTGTAGCGTTTCTATTGGGAGTATATAGTTGTTGATTGTCATTAGAATTGCCCATTATCTCATAAATATGAAGCTTTTTCCGAGTCCAAGGCATTTCTTTACTTAGGGTGATGGATGTCTTCCAAGTTTCCAGGATTTTTATCTGACTGGTGAGGACCCAGATGAACTAGAAGTAGAGGCCAGCATTATGCCCAGCATAAATCCTACTTCTACACGGAGTACTGGTGACCTTCAAGTTGAAGACTGTCTGAAATTGAAGCTTATCATCAATATGCTTATCTCCCTGACGAGTATGCGCTTAATAGGATAATGCGATTATTTGAGCCCCTTACCAGGCAGTATGGCCCCCGTCAATGACCAAAGTACTACCGGTCATAAAGCTAGAAGCATCCGATAGCGCAAAAAGGGCACAACCGCGAAATTCCTCCGGCATGGCGAGACGACCGAGCATGTTCTCAGCCTCCCAGATAGCGCGGGAAGCAGGGTTTTTCTGGAAAACCATCTCAACCATAGGGGTCACGACATGACCTGGACACAGACTGTTCACACGAATACCAGAGCGACCCCATTCCATAGCTAAAGAGCGAGTGAGCTGGATTACTGCAGCTTTCGAGGAGTTGTAGACGGGAGATGTCATTCCCTTATTGGCAATCAGCCCGCTCATCGAAGCGACTAAGAGCATTGATCCTGGTGACTCGTAGTGGAGCATCTGTCGAGCCGCAGCCGTGGCCGTATTAAACACGCCGTTGTAGTTGATAGACATCACGTCTTCGAGGGCGGTCTGAGTGTGATCTAGGGCGCTTTGTAGATGGTTTATTCCAGCAGCGGCAACAAGACCGTCTAGTCGCTTGTCGCGCGCAGCTATGTCTGCGAATATCTCGTTCACCGTTTGGGTATCGCGGACGTCAACTTTTCTGTACTCCAGACGGCCCCCGTGCTCAGAAGCCCTCCTCTTGGAATCATTGAAATTGGTACTTGGAGTATCCAGACGATCGAGGCAGTAGACTTTGGCTCCAGCTTCAACCAAGGCGTCAGCCATTGATAGACCCAGGCCTCGACCACCGCCAGTGATGGCATAGACTCGGTCTTGTATGTTGAAATCGCCATACCGCGGAACAATTTGGGTTCCTTTCGATGATGTCGGTTTATTATGAATACCCACTTCAAACTGTGAAGTTCTGCGTATGCCAATGAGTTCGATCGGCTGACAGGCCTTGCCAGTGCGGCTGCAGCGGCGAGCAACTGAAGGGGCCCCATGGGCTACCGTGACTCCAGCAAGACGAGCGCGATTGGGAGCGAAAGCACGAGAGAGGAACGACATGATGTGGCGGGTTTCTCTACCTTGTCTGGCAATAAATATGTTAACAATTGTTGAATTGCGAGGTAATGTAGATTGTAGTCAATCTTGTGTTTTGCTGGTCAGCAAACTTGGAGTTTCTGTCAAGCATACGTATTTGGCTCGATAGGGTGCCGGCGCTTCCTGGTCAAGCCTACGAACCGATAGCAGTCTGAAATCCAGCGAAGTCCCAAGAGATCTGTTCCGAACGGACAGGGTGACAATGGAAGAAAGGGAAATCCAAGGTTGAACAGGGCGCCGTGAAAACCTTGGAATTTTGATAGAGCAAAAAGGCTCCGGGCAAGTAGCCATCATTAAGTATTACGATGCCCCCACAAAGCAGAGGTCTGGTGACTGACACGAGCTTCAAGCTTGGGGCTGCCTTCTGAGCCTGCGCCTTGTTGTCTCGGGATTCGCGGACGCATACATGGTTGGATTCTAGTATGCAAGCGCTGGTTATCGTGAAGTTGGTAATAATTGCCAGTGTAACATGGGAAAGCCTCGTGACCCCAATGCTCTACATAATGGGTATTTCTGGGTGGTACTGTGTTCGATGGTTATGGTCAATGGACAATGATCAAGTCACCAAGTTCTTTTCCCCGTCTTCTGTCATACTCTCGCATCGGTGTGGTCAAAGATGCGAGAGTTGTCAAAGGTGATATCGTAGACAAGGCTCACAACCTGGTGGTGATAGCTTGTAGGGAATCGGCGATAAGCTCTATTGTAGGATTAAAAGAACAATTGGAATGTGAAGCTGGCATGGCCACCAAAGTGAAGTGAACCTTCGAAGGGGTGGAAATTGTATTTTAGAGCTAGGGAGCCCATGTCTCGCTGAAAAGAGTATTGCCAAAACCGTAAGAACAGTGTGCTCGAAAGAGCAGATTCTTTTCCAAGTGAACGCCAAACCACAAACGCTCCATTCCGGTACCCGCTAGACCATGCACCATCATTGGGGGAAAAAAAGGCAAGAATGTGCTCGACGGGTGAAATTTATACAAGAAATGGATAGAAGAAAAGAAAGTCCCTCGCTTTATCCAAGATCGGATAAGCTAGTAGCAAGAAACGCACCTCCGACACCACGCAAACTTCCGAAGTCAAGCTTCATCAGCAGTCGATCGACACCCGCGGGTTGCCGAGGCACATAGTGACCAGCACTAGGGCCGGAACTTGTATTCACTGTGGAGCCGGGGAAATTATGCCTGACATGACCATTAAGGCCTAAACCATCTGCGGCTCGGTAGTCATCAATGTCTCGAAGACTTGTAACGAGGTCCTGGATACCTGTTTTCACTTGGTCGCGGGTGCCACGGAGCTCTGCCCATATTTGTCGCTCCTCATGGCCATAGTCGACCAATGCATCAACCACACCTTCGTCTTCCTCGAGGTCCATATTTCGTTGGATGGTTTCAAGTCGCGTGGCGAGCGCCACGAAGTGGTCTACACTCGTAAGGAGTGCGCGCAGGGCGCTTGTGAAGGGCACGTCAGTAAGCAATAGTGACTGGACCAACGTAGACAGGTGTCGACGGTGGGCTATTGTTAAGGCTTCGGGGTCGTGGCGCCCCATAGTTGCTGGCCCGGCTGCGGAAAATGGCCGGGTTGACGCCTTATCAGGTGAAGACGCTCTGGATGGCTGCTGAGCTCGTGTAGAAGCTGTGCCTGGTCGGGAAGCAGCCGCAGAGGCAGGGGTCGTGGGCCTGGCCCCCTCTTCGACCCACTCGCGTAGATGCTGCCAAGATTCGTGAACAATTTCTCCTTGAAAGAAACTTCCGATCTCCGAGAGAACAAATAAACAAGCACTGGCGGTTGCCCACACCGGCCGCATCTGTCGAGTCCGCGCATTATCTCTCTCGCGACGGGCTTTCAACCTGTTTTGACCGAAATCACTGTTGCTGCGAGGGGGGCCCCATGGTGTGGGGTAGTTCCTACGAAGAGTCGTGCGCTTCCACAAATCTCCGAGGCGTATCTGAGCCCGCCGGATGCCCAGGAGGTATGAATGAATTTTAGAATAAATGGCAATGTCAGAGCTGGAGAGAAATAGATCGAGAGGGGCACGGACTTGGGCCGTCAGACATGTTGGTGTAGGAAAAAGCAAGTCTTCGAATGAGACCTTTGAGATCTCTGGGATACTAGTTGAGCCCTGGGATGGGGTTGCTGCGCGGCCACTCTTTCGCTCGTAAACAGACAAGCGGAGCAGCTCGCGGGCCAACTCCAACTCCTCGTCCGCTGGATCTTCTTCCTTCTGTAATGAGAAGAGCTCCGCCCATGCATGTGCCAAAGATGCCATCACATCGCCCTCTTTGATGAGAAGCCCTTCAAGTGCAGGCACACGGCCTGCTGGGCCCCGTCGCCGGCTTTCTTCCATACGGGCATCAGCATGTGCTACCAGAGCCACGGCGAACTCACCACGCCCCAGTAGAAGAAAGTCATGAAGCAGAGTAAGCATCTCCAGAATTTTGGGAAGAGGAAGTAGTTTTGATAGCGTCGATTGTGATAGCGAAAGACGAATCGAATCAATCGCAGCAGTAAATTTGGATGGCGATATGGGTGGTTTCAGCCCGCTAAGCTGCTCGATATGCTCTTGGTGGAGAGTCACTGGTGCTGTCGAAATGCCTCTAGACGCCTTTCGCTTTGCCCGAATGTGGTTGAGTGATTTTCCGATGAATAGAACTGAGGCTGCTGTTGGGGCAGAGACAAATTGAGGGAGCAAATCCAAGTGCATGGCAAATTGCGCGTCATCTTCCTCGATTGTCAAATCCTCTTGAATGAAGAAGTCGTCCTTCCCGTACATGGGGAGATTTCCGTACAACACCCACATGGAAAGTTGTTTCATCCAAGAATTTTCAGCAACAATAACCAGCCGCGTTGCCATCTCTTTAATATCAGCATAGCCGGTTTGAAGTTCCGTCCGTAGATAGTCGATGAGTGCTGCACCGGTACAACCTCGAGGGCGTTTAGAGTCCTCCTTGTCTGGTTGAATGAATTTGACCACGTCCCACAGCCACTCCATGCGCCGAGTCCATGGGTCGAATTCTCCAACAATTGTCGATAGCGGAACAATTCCCCAACCACCCACGTAGAGGCTGTCTTCTGACAGGATTGCTTTCTCAACTTCAAGCACCTTCCTCTGGAAGTCACCAAGATGGACGTTTACGATCGTAGTCGAGACCGATCGACCGATCACCGAACTGTGCGACGAGGAGATCTGGGCAGTACCTGTACGCAACCGGGCGTGGAGTTGACTTAGATGGGCAATCGATCCGAGGAGCGCTTTTTCCGGAGGAGAAAGAAGGGGGAGATCATCTTCGTTTGCCTTGGCCTTGCCGGGAGGAGCGAAGAGGGGGGACGGCTGCCCAGAGAGGGAGAGGAGGATCTCGTGAAGCATCCTGGCTCGCGATCTCTGTGATGAAGTTAGTTGTGGAGGAAGTTTTGAATACTTCAAGCGCCCCTACCGAGAACTGGGCCGACTTCCTTCACTATGCCGTTGCCAGTAAAGTAATCCTCGACCAAATAACTCGAATCGACACATATATGTGAGTTGCTTTGAGCTATAACAAATCCGCGGTAAGGTATTGACGCGTCGAATCGTGGATAGGGTACGTCACGGGATTATTACTGGAGGGCACTCATTCCAGACGCTCAATCATGTCTACTAGATCATGCCTTACATGCACGCTGGGTAGATTTGAGGGTTGAGAATTGCCACAAAGAAGCTTTGATGGCGGACCATGAATTAAGACGCTCTAAGACCGCGGTGGACCGCGAGACCCAACGCGGGGCTTTAGTCAGCCGATAGCTTGTCCCTCTTACGTCGACGGTCCCGCGTCAACCTTCGTCTCTTGTTCTTCCTCACTCTCTACTTCTGCCATCTCGTCTTCCTTTTGTATATTTTTCCTCCCCCAGAAACAGCTCTTTCTGAGACAATAGGTATCTGGTACGCTGGAACTTGCTTCTTGTTTTTATCCACACTGCCGAAGGTCTTGCTCGCGGGGCAAGACTTTCCTTCTCTGATTTCCACGATTCCTTCCCATATTGCTGTTCGAGAAGCGGCTAAGCCGACTAAACGCAGAGCGTCACTAAACGATACCGTCGCTCAGCCTACCAAAAAAGCCATGACAGTAAGTTTGTTCTTACTACACCAGCACTCGCCTGGTCACTAACCTCCGGTTCAACAGGACACCGCGATGCAGGTGGACAACCCACAGGAGACTGTGGAGTTGATCAAGCATGGAGAGATCGACGAGTCTCTGTACAGCCGCCAACTGTGAGCCTGCCCTGACACCACCCTCCCCACACTATATACCCCGAGCAGATCATAACACAAACTAGCTATGTCCTTGGCCACGAAGCTATGAAGCGAATGGGATCATCAAATGTCCTTGTTGTCGGCCTCAAGGGACTCGGTGTTGAAATCGGTATGTATGATCCAAGAATCAGGATTCAATCGCAGCGTCACTAACCACTTGTCCAATCTCTAGCCAAAAATATTGCCCTTGCCGGTGTCAAGTCCCTCACCCTCTACGATCCCGCCCCCGTCGCAATCGCCGATCTCTCCTCGCAGTTCTTCCTCCAACCTCAAGATGTGGGCAAGCCACGCGCCGAGGTGACTGCTCCTCGAGTCGCAGAGCTGAACTCATACGTTCCTGTTACGATCCACGAAAGCACCAATCTGGTGGATAATCTGGAACAGTTGAAGCGATACCAGGCTGTGGTGCTCACACTCACTCCATTGAAAGAACAACTCATTATTGCCGACTTCTGCCACCAGAATGGAATTTATGTTACCGTGACAGACACATTTGGTCTTTTCGGTTACCTCTTCAATGACTTTGGCAAGAACTTCACTGTTGGCGATCCAACTGGTGAGGAGGCGGTCAGTGGTATCGTGGCTGGTATTGACGAGTCTGGCCTTGTGTCCGCTCTAGACGAGACTCGCCACGGCTTGGAAGACGGCGACTTTGTGACATTCACGGAGGTCAAGGGAATGGAAGGGCTTAACGGCAGTGCGCCTCGGAAGATCACGGTGAAGGGGCCATATACCTTTAGCATTGGCGATGTGTCTGGTCTCGGTTCTTACAAAGGCGGTGGTCTCTATAGCCAGGTGAAGATGCCAAAATTCGTCGACTTCCAACCTCTGTCCGAGCAGATTAAAAAGCCTGAGTTCCTGATCTCAGATTTCGCCAAGTTTGACCGGCCGGCTCAACTTCACGTTGGCATTCAAGCTCTTCACAAGTTTGCCGAAACCCACAATGGCCAGTTCCCTCGTCCACACAACGACAGCGATGCGCAGGAGATTCTGAAGCTTGCTAATGAGCTAGCCGCAAGCCAGGAGGAGAAGATCGAGTTGGATGAGAAGGTGATCAAAGAACTGAGCTACCAGGCCCAAGGTGACCTTAACGCGCTGGCCGCCTTCTTCGGCGGTGCCGCCGCCCAGGAGGTTCTCAAAGCCGTGTCTGGGAAATTCCAACCTGTGCACCAGTGGTTGTATTTTGACGCGCTTGAGGCTCTGCCTACCTCGGTCACCCGATCTGAAGAGAGCTGCAAGCCTTTGGGCACCCGCTACGATGGTCAAATTGCAGTGTTCGGAAAAGAATATCAAGAGAAGCTATCAAATGTCCGACAGTTCCTGGTCGGTGCTGGTGCCATCGGGTGTGAGACATTGAAGAACTGGGCGATGATGGGTTTGGGTACAGGCCCCAAAGGCAAGATCTTCGTTACAGACATGGATCAGATTGAGAAGAGCAACCTGAACCGTCAGTTCCTGTTCCGACCCAAGGATGTGGGCCGCCTCAAGAGTGAATGCGCTTCCGCTGCTGTGCAGGCTATGAACCCTGACTTGAATGATAAAATCGTGACTCTTCGTGATCGCGTCGGACCAGACACTGAGCATATCTTCGATGAGGAATTCTGGAATGGCTTAGACGGAGTGACCAATGCTCTCGACAACGTCGATGCTCGTACATACGTCGATCGGCGCTGTGTCTTCTTCCGTAAGCCTCTTCTCGAGAGTGGTACTCTTGGCACTAAGGGCAACACGCAGGTTGTGCTGCCCTTCATTACGGAGTCATACTCCAGCTCTCAGGATCCACCAGAGAAGTCTTTCCCCATGTGTACGCTGAAGAGTTTCCCCAACCGCATTGAACATACCATCGCCTGGGCTCGTGATCTTTTCCAAACTTACTTCGTTGGGCCTCCGGAGTCGGTCAACTTGTACCTTTCGCAGCCGGATTACATTGAGCAAACCCTCAAGCAGGCTGGGAACGAGAAACAGACTTTGGAGAATCTACGCGATTTCTTGGTTACCGAGAAGCCCTTGACGTTTGATGACTGCATCGTCTGGGCCCGCCAGCAATTTGAGGCACAGTACAACAACGCCATTCAGCAGCTGCTCTACAACTTCCCTCGAGACTCGAAGACCTCGTCCGGTCAGCCTTTCTGGTCTGGCCCCAAGCGCGCTCCTACGCCTTTGAAATTCGACAGCTCAAACCCGACTCATCTCGGATTTGTGATTGCCGGCGCTAATCTCCATGCTTTCAATTACGGCATCAAGAGTGCTGGTACAGACAAGGAGTACTATCGCAAGATTGTTGATGATATGATCATCCCGGAGTTTACACCTAGCTCTAGCGTGAAGATCCAGGCTGATGACAATGAGCCTGATCCAAATGCTCAGTCCGGCCCTGCGAATGATAACGATGAGATTCAGCGTCTAGTGGATACACTACCTTCGCCGAAGTCTCTTGCAGGCTTCCGGTTGCAGCCTGTCGAGTTTGAGAAGGACGATGACACCAACCACCACATTGACTTCATCACTGCTGCTAGTAACCTGCGAGCAGACAACTACGATATTCCTCAAGCAGACCGTCACAAGACCAAGTTCATCGCTGGAAAGATCATTCCTGCCATTGCCACCACCACCGCTCTCGTCACCGGTCTTGTGGCCATCGAGCTGTTCAAGGTCATTGATGGCAAGGACGACATTGAGCAATACAAGAACGGCTTCGTCAACCTTGCCCTTCCGTTCTTTGGCTTCAGTGAACCTATCCCCAGCCCCAAGGGCACGTACCAGGGTAAGAATGGCGAAGAGTCTATCGATCGTCTGTGGGATCGCTTTGAGGTAGACGACATTCCTCTCAAGGATCTTCTTAAGTATTTCGAAGATAAAGGTCTTGAGATTTCTATGGTTAGCTCTGGTGTGACTCTACTGTACGCCAGCTTCTACCCTCCTTCGAAGCTGAAGGACCGCCTCCCTCTGCCGTACGTCCTGACCCCTTTACCCTTCTCAGGTCTTTGGCTTGATACTAACACTGAATAGAATGAGCAAGCTCATCGAAACGATCAGCAAGAAGCCTATCCCCGAACACCAGAAGAACATTATTTGCGAGGTGACTGCAGAGGACCAGAAAGAAGAGGACGTGGAGATTCCATATGTGATGGTCAAGCTTTCAAAATAAAGCATGAATGCCACACAAAAGGAGTCTCGATAAGAAGAATCAGAAGTAGATTTATGATCATTTGCAACGAATTTTAGATGTTTTCTCTCCAATCTCAGTCTGCTGCTTGCTCTGATCCATAGACGATTCTAGCTTCTGAAGAATATGTAGGCGCTTGGTCTGTATAGTCAGTTCTGAATAACGGCTTATGGAGGTGTCCCGCAGTGGATTAATCAAGAATTCATTGTATAATCATTAGTTGTGCCCGCCAGTGGATGAGTGACTGCTTTGTCAAGGCTGACCGATGGAGTCGATGAGTAAGCTTGGCGTAAGTAACGTCATTCCCGCATGAGTCTAGATGTTGCTGTTCTTTTTTTTTTTCGCTTTTGCTCCTCAGCCTCCCAATCTATAAGAGGTGCCAGACCTGCTGATGTTTCGATCTCTGCTTCGATCGTCCACAGTATATCAAATATCCCATTCATCAACACCTGTGCGGTTTAATCTATCCACTCCGATCGTCACCCCGCAACTCCGAACTATGGCGGTATAGTAGCTGAGCTCCCCTTTGGGTAGTGTGAATTCTAATTGAAATTGCAGACTTCTGCACCGAGCAAGATCACCGACTGGGTGGATCCTAAAGATAAGTCGGGCGAGTTCAAGCGACAGCAATCCGTCTTCCGCAACTTCATCTCTCGCGAACCCGGCGCAGAGTTCCCTCCCGAGAAGGGCCGTTATCATCTTTACGTTTCTTATGCCTGTCCTTGGGGTAAGAATTCCAAGATGGCCCTTACGAGCTGGCTGGTACTAACTCACTCTACGCAGCGCACCGTACGTTGATTACTCGCAAGCTAAAGGGCCTGGAAGATTTTATCTCCTTCACGTCAGTGCACTGGCACATGGGTGAACATGGTATGTAAAGTACCCAATCTATTCTGAGGAGCAAATGGTAAATAATACTTACTGTTCTGTCGCAGGATGGCGTTTCCCTACCCCCGATGAAAAGCTCCCTGGGGAAAACACAACCCCAGATCCATTGCATTCGGACTTTACGCATCTGCGCCAGATCTACTTCTCCAATGATCCCGACTATGCAGGCCGATTCACTGTTCCAACGCTCTACGACAAGAAGACGAAAAAAATTGTCAGTAACGAGGTACGTAAATAATACAAAAAAGGATATCAAGACCTTCAACCCGAATTAACCATTTGCAGAGCTCCGAAATCATCCGCATGTTCTACTACGAATTCGACGACCTCCTCCCAGAGCCCTACAAGAGCCTAGACCTCTATCCAGCCACCCTGCGGCCGCAAATTGATGAATCAAACGAGTGGATTTACAACGACGTCAACAATGGCGTCTACAAGTCCGGCTTCGCAACCACCCAAGAAGCATACGAGAAAGCCGTAACGACCCTCTTCAGCTCTCTCGACAGAATCGAGAAGCACCTGGCCCAGCAGGCGGCCGTCTCGCCCTTCTTCTTCGGCACTCAGGTCACCGAGGCTGATATCCGGCTCTTTACGACGATTGTCCGCTTTGATCCGGTCTACGTGCAGCACTTTAAGTGCAATATCCGCGATATCCGATCTGGGTATCCGGCTATTCATCGCTGGCTGAGGGCGCTTTACTGGGATATTCCCGCCTTTGGGGAGACTACGCAGTTCGAGCATATCAAGTTCCATTATACAAAGAGTCATAAGCAGATTAACCAGTTCGCTATTACACCTGTTGGGCCTGTTCCGGATATTTTGCCCAAGGATCAGGAGGTCAATGCTGTGACCGTGGCTCGTTAATCTCAATTTTAAGTGGCATCTACCTAGTCCACCAATCACGGGGGTATACAGGACTACTCCGAGTCTGATAGTTAATGCGACATAGTTTCAAAGTTCCAAAAAAAAAAAAAGATAATCTTCGTTGTTTGTCGAATTTATTTCGTGCCTCTATACAGCCCCTCTAATTGACTCCAAATAGCCAGCCCAGGAGGTGCCCAGAGATTTAGCATTGACCAATATACACGAGAGAAAAGGAAATTGAAACCGGCTACGGGAAAGTAAGCCTCCACGCCGTGCCATGCTATTATTGGGGGATGTTTCGAAGTTTGCCGCTGAGCAAAAAGAGCCTCATGGACATGCTGCAACGCAACGTTTCCGTGGAGGAAACCAAAGCAAGGCTAGCGAGGATTCGATGCTCAAAGGAATGATTGGCATCCCGGAGCAGCAATTGAAGCAAAAAGATCATGTCAGATTCAATGATGGGATATATGAGATATGAGACATCGCTTGTGCGTGTCTGATGCTTGATAACCTTGGGTATCTCGGTTGAAATGGCTCTAGATAGAAGAAATGCAAGAGAAATCGGTTGGAGAAGATAAACTCCGAAGAGGAATAAGTATGTGGTGTGTCGCGGGTTAGAGAGGGATATGAAAATGGCAGTGGTGCTTTGTTTTGATCATTTGAGACCTAAGACACGTTTTGAATTCTCGTAGACCACGTAGCTGATGGACACTGCTGGAGCCACTTTGAGAAGGTTGGGAGTCAGACCCTTGAAGAAGCCCCGAGGGCCTTCTGCTTGGTATGTTCTTCGTGCAACGTCGCCGATGCTGCTGTAGGTTGCGGGATGAAGGACGGTGCCCTGCGCTTGCATTCGAGTTCGGAGAACATTCAGAGGGTAGACGACGGAAGCACTGAGACCTCCGCTGATAGCGCCAATAGCACCGGTCATGAAGTTGTTGAGCGGAACATCATCTTCATGACAGTGCTTGATGCGAGCTTGGCGGGCGAGGAGAGCACGTTTGAGATATTCGAAGGTCGTCAGGTCGATTGCAGCGTATGGGAACATTCCGATTAGACCAAGTGGGAGTCCACGGAAGAAACCAAGAACACCATTTGTATTGACAACTTTTTTGGCAGTTGCTATGATGAGTTTATTTCCTCTCAACCCACCTTGCACAGTTTCACATTGCATTCGACTGGAGGATCGTTAGCAAGTCTTTATTGGACAAGGTGCATTGGTTCTAACTCACAATTTCAATGTATCAAGGGGATAAACGAAACACCTGAGCTATCGTTAGGACATGGGATCAGATCACCGTTTAGGATTGGACATACTGAGCAACCATTCCACCAATACCACCGGACAGAAACTGAGAAGTTGGTCGAAGTCGCTTCGTATCGCCATGGCCTTCAATGCGGGCGAAGGCACGTTTAGCAGACTGCAAATGGTTAGGTACTCATCATCAGATTAATTGGTTTTGAGAGACATACCTCATATGCGCCGAACTTGATTGCTGACTCGGGCATGACCTTGAGAACGTTCAGGCCATTTCCTGCATACATGTGAGATGAGAGTAGAAAAACAAAGTCACCAGAGGGAGAAACAAACCAGCAAAGAGACTTCGAATTCCACCAGCAGACCACAGCTCCTTTAAGGCATCGACGAGGGATTTTGAGGCATTGCTGGCGGCGGCAATGGGAGCTCCATCTTTAGCTGCTCTTACAGCTGCAGTTTTCACACCGGTCGTAGCAATCAGATAAACTTTAAGGCGATCGAGAGGCGCAGTGGCTGTCCGGGATACAGCCCCCGCAATTCCGCCGGCAACGAAGTAGCCTAGTTGAGGGGTATTCTCGGTCAACTTCCTTTCATAATAGCTCAATGTCATCCACATGGCGACTTTTTTGGGAATGGGAAGCCACTCCAGCTCGGGATCAAGATCTGACAGGTCTCCGAGTGCTGAAGGCAGCTCGGATATGCTGGCTTGAGCGTGGGCGGTTGGGATAAGGGAGGCGAGGCCGGGAAGAGAAAGAATATGGTACAAAACGGCCGGTAGAGCCAGGAGAAAAGAAGGAAAAGATTGGTCTGTACCTAAACCCTGCAGATCATTGATGTTGACATCTCCTTCCGGGTTTAGATTTCCCGTTGCCGTGTAGTAAGAGAGGACGGCGTGTAGGTCGGAGGAGGAATGGAGCGAGAGGAAGAGGAGAAAATCCCTAAGAATTGGCTTGTCAGCGAAACTTTACGTGGGGCATTCACTCGCACCCCTTCTTAGTGAATGGAAGTTGGTGAAGTGAACCACATGGTATGTACTAACCGCCATTCCGTATAAGAGATTACCCCGTCATGATTTTTATCGACTTGGGCAAAGAACTGATCCAGCTTTGCACTTGAGACGGTCACCCCCGACTGAGCAAAGGCATTTCGCAGCTCTGCTTTGTCAATTTCACCGTTTTGGTCGCGATCGATACGCTGGAACATCTGCCAGAGCCCAGACTCGGTGTGGTCGATGAACGCTCGGAACTCTAGCGACTCCAGGATTAGGGATCATCCAGGTGGCCATGGCGCGCATGGACGCATCGAGGGGCGCAATAGGTACTCTGGACCTACCATCATAGTCTATGCGACCGTCGCCGTTTGTATCGACCTCCCGTAGTATCCCATGCACCATCTCATCTGCGTTCTTCAAGGCTGCTGCGCGTCAGACCGGAGCTTCCGGGCAAGAGGGGGGATCAGATCGGGTCACTCACGATGATCGATCTTCTTCAGCCCTTTCTTTAAACCTATCAAGTCGACTTTACCCTCCTTGCGCGCGTCCAGGTTGTCCCAGAGTTGGGCAACCCGAACGTCGCGTTCATCCTTCGACTCGCCGGGTGCCATGTTCTAAGTCAAGAGCGCTATCGAGCACCCGGCATCCTTCAGCAGGACAGAGAGGAGAGGCTGTTGGAATGAACATTCAAAGGCAAAGTGGGGGACGAGGAAGAAGTCGAGGGATTCGCAGGATAATGATTAATCGGAGAGCGATCATTGCTCCGATCTTTCTGGCTCAAAGAGGCTTAACTCCTTTCCTGTTTCTTGAGGCCATGGGGCGGGCACGGGACCAGGGCTGGACCCTAAAACCCCTTTGGGTAGCCAGCCCAGCTCAGCCATACAGCTGCTCCGATCTATCCTTCGGATGCATCAACCTTCTGATTCAAGTCCAGGTCGTGGTCATGGCTGCCAACTACTGGGCTTCCACCCAGCGCCGACACTGGCTCTTCTCCCGCGAGAAATTGGCCGATGTTCGGAATCGTCTCCGCGAACGCGATAAGGTCGGCCATTCGCAGTACCAGCTACCGGATCAGCGCCTACTGAACATCTACTTCAACCAACGCATGTTTAACATGATCCCTGGGATGTACGCATCGATTCTCTAACTCATACTAGAACTGATCAAGCTGGGAAAGCGCATGTCCACCCGACAGCAGGCCATTGCAACTGCCCAAGTCTATCTCAAACGCTTCTATACAAAGAATGAGATCCGCAACACTAATCCATACCTGGTGCTCACCACAGCCTTCTATCTCGCATGCAAGATGGAAGAGTGCCCCCCAACACATCCGCTTCGTGGTGGGCGAGGCCAGGGGATTATGGCCAGGTAAAGCAACATCCCCTTTGGGTTCCCAGTGCCCACTATCTCCAACCGGTGCTCACTATCCCCACAGAATTCATTACCCCAGATGTTGCCAAGCTCGGCGAGTGTGAATTCGCCCTGATCTCAGAAATGAGTTCCCAGCTCATCGTGCATCACCCTTACCGCACCTTATCCGAACTGCAGTCCGAGATCCCGCTAAGCTCGGATGAGGTCGCGCTAGCTTGGTCTGTGATCAACGACCACTATCTGACTGACCTTCCCTTACTTCACCCCCCCTCATGTAATCGCCATTATGGCCATCATTGTCGCCGTGGTGTTCAAGCCTTCCCACCCAGGCAACTTTGGCGGCTCGGCCCAGTCGGCGCTGACGGGTGCCATGCGGGAGGGGGGTGCGGTGAACATGCTCGCTGCTCTTTCTGACAAGCTTGGCTCCGGGCCCCTCGGATGCAGAATCTAGTTCAATGGCTTGCCGAGAGTGAAGTCGATATCAAGGCGGTCATCGAGTGTACGCAGGAGCTGCTGTCTCTGTATGAGGTCTGGGAGCAGTATAACGAAAAGCAATGTAAGGAATTGATTGGGCGCATGGTCAAGAGTAAGAATTTGGACAAGTGAATTTCTACGAAGGCGACATGTTTGCACGGTTTCGGCGTTAGATTTCTAGGGGCATTCTGGGATATTGCTTTATTGTGGCATCATTATCGCGTGTTTTAATGCGGATCACAGCGGCCATTCGGGCAAAATGGCTTTTCTTAGGTTACTGAAAGATCTCATACTATAATGTGCCATTTTCAGGTTATGAATAGGCTTGGAACTGCCAACAAGTCAGAAATACGTTCCGGTGATTCTTTAACATGTGTTGACGTAGTGTATCTGCTCGTCGGAACTGACACATGTCAATCAAGCTCAGTCTCGGAAGGTGGCTCTATTGCCCTGGACTTCTTTTTCTTCTTCCTCATCGTCATCTTTTGACCAGACCGTGAGGGTGGCGAGGGTGGCGAGGGTGGCGAGGGTGGCTCGTCGTTTATAGCCTCCGTCACAGTAGTCCTGAGGTCCCCGCCCAAGCTGAAAGGAGCCTGTTGCTCATCATTTTGGACATTTATCATACCACGGTCTTCTATCTCTATCCCAATCCTCTTTTTCTTCTTTTCTTTTCGTCTTTTCTCTTGCTGGAGGTAGCCGAACCACCACCCCCATCTTCAGAACCAAAGCCAGCGGCGCTAGTATTAGCGCCTACATCGTTCAGATCCACATGCTTTGTCTTATCACTTGCGGAGCCAGCTTCCCGGAGGGTTGTTGATGGCACAGGAGAGGCCATTGGCCTTAGGTCCTCTTCATCCGGCTCTCCGGTGCCATAGGCAGGATCCGAGTCTATTGCTTCAAACTTGTGGCTGCTGGCCGACGCGGAAGAATCACGTCGCGACCTCCTATGAAGTTCCTCTTGAGAAGGCACCGCGGCTTGCTCGACAGCTTGCTTAGTCCGTGCAATTTCTGCCTCTAGGGTAGCTTTTTTTGCTCTTTCTTCCAGGATAGCCTCCCTTGCCCTGCGCTCGGCGCGATCTTCCAATATCATTTGCTCCAGACGGGCAATAGCATCGTCCTTCTTGGCCTTCTCAGCCTCTTCCCTTGACGAGGCTCCTTCTGGGGCTTGGACTGGCTGACCCACTCCTGGGGGTAATGGATACGGGATTGTTAGAGGCGTGGGCATTGGATAGGCTCCGACATACGGGTTTGGCGCGTAGTTATCATGATGACCGTACAGATTCCCATTCTCTGTCATATGAGGGGAGAAAGGCTGCGGGTAACCAAAATATCCTGAGGGTGGGTAGAGCCCCGCGGGAACGAAAGAATCTGATGCTGTCCCTGCCGGAACGGGCCCAAAGGGAATTGTACCGGCATGATTATCGGGCTGGTAGGGCTGGGGTAAACTCTCGGCATATCCATATGGGTGCATATGCACAGGCTGAGCACCTGGAGCATATTCATTGGAGTCCAATGAATTCAATGACGCGTTATCCGAGGCCGAAGATTCCTCTGGATCTTCAGAATGACTGTTCGTTAACCGCATCCTTACAGTCCAGCCCGCTTGGAGAGGTTGGCCTTCATTGTTACGAGGAAAAACCTCTCCGGATGGATCAAGGAATTCATAATCGCCCTTTTTGAGATGGTGCGACAATAGAGCATCATTGTGATAGCGCTGTTTCAAGAGGGCATCCAATTCCTAAGCGAGCAGACTTAGCTCACGAGAAGAACGTGACAGATATTGAGGAGCAACTTACCGCAAAGGTTTTGGATGAGCTCAGAGGGAAGTAGAGTTCTCGTCCGCTGGGATCTACTAGAGCCACACGGTCTCGTGGCCTATGATTAGTATGAGCGTGTTGAGGCCTGGGCTCTCGTTGGCCTCTTCCGTCTCTGTGCCTTTCTCTTTCCAATCCTTGAGACCATGAATTGCCATCCTCTCCCACCCCTTCTTGAAAAGGATACCCAGGCCTCAAAAATTGGTGGTTCGGGTTCTGAAGACTCCTGGACTGCCTTGCTTGCCTGAGATGTCTTTCCAGTTCTACAATTTCCGCGTCATCCAGCCCACGATAACTCGAATCTGCAAGAGGGAGAGGGGCTGCGCGTAGGCGAGAACTTCCGAGGGCTCCCCCTGGATATGATGGGAAATTCTGGGCAGCCAGGAGGCTGGAAGAAGGGTTTCCTTGTTCCGTCGGCCTGGCCTTTCTATGCCTCGCTTCTGGCTCTGGCGGAGCACCTGCACTTGACTGGGTTGTAGCTTTCAACGAAGTTTCGGAGCAGTCTGGACAACCTCCACATACGATCGCCCCTGCGGTGATATCCAGAAACTTGCGCAAATCTGTTGGTAGCCAAAGCTCAATCAGGTGCAATTTGCCCCCCTAACAATTCGGGCCTCGATTGGCAGCCCAACCTTCGACTGATTTGGTCCTGCACTTTGTTTTTGATCCACTCTAATGATGGAACATCTGATAAACTGGCTCGTAGGTCCCGGTTTATATAGGAACCATGATCCATAGCGAATGGAAAGGTGGTATCGAACTCTGAAAAGCGATGATGTAAATCCAAGAGCAATTTATCGGCATCATGAGGCTGTAGCTCTTCAATAAGATGATACTCTTCAGTGAGGCTGTGAAGACAACCTATCATATCTCGCATGGCTGTTTTGCTCAGTTTGAAGGATTCTCTGATTGCTTGAAGACCTATCTCAAAAGTGGCAGCTTCATTAAGGAAACTTTGGAGAGTAGACTGTTGCAGTCTAAAATCTCCAATCTCCTGCGCAGTTGCAAACACGGCATCAAGACATTTCTGAGCATGTACTGAAGATGCGCTGCCCCTTGGCTTATTCTGGGATAACAATGTTTCCGATTTCTGAAGAGGTTGCGCTCTCTCATTTGGATTCTTGGAAAAGTCTCGGGAGCAGACCTTGGTGAAGAGCGTCGGAATCCTTCCTTGTAGTAGTGGCGGGAATGTTATGAGCCCCTTATTTCTTGCTTCAAAGAGGATCCAAGTCAGATATGGTCGACTGTTGACAAGGTGTGCATGGTTTAAACGAATAGAAGCAGCCAAAGAGCGTGCTTTGTCGGCAGCGACTTGGTAGGCCATGGCTAGGTCTCTTGATGCAGAATGAACATCGAAGAAATCTGCAAGGAGGGTCGCATTTGCCAATTCCGTCAACATAACTTGCTCGTTATCTTTTTGCATACCCACGCAATGCAAAAGGGCGCCTATTTCCTTTGGTAGGTCTGGACCCAGCCCAAGCACGTCACTGAGGCCGCCTCTGTATTTCCCGCGACTATCTGCGCAGAACTTCAACGCTAATCGCAGCAAACGGTGCGAGTCCCATAAAAGACCACGCTGGACTAGGAAGCTATACCACGGCCCAATCTGGAGAGATCGTGACTCAAATGATTCTCCACTCGTGGGGCCCGAGTGATCATATCCTAGAACAAAATATGGCGTTGAAGGTAGCCTACGTCGGTCCTGGCGCAGAGAACTCGGAATTGGAAATAGAAACTTCCACGGTGGGTACCTTCTTGAGGGATCCCGGTGTATATTGAAGTTTTCTTTCGTAAAAACGATTATTTCCAGGCATGTCTCCACCATTTGGATCTAAGCAGCAATTAACAAGAGACAGGTACTTATCACTTTCTAAACAACTTACTTGGAGGCCAGTAGACAATCCCAACCATGGTGAGTTCTGTTCCCCTTTACTCGCCAACCTTTTCAATGTCGTGTTCGCGGCTTTTAAAGCGGTAATTAAGGAACGTCCGGTATAGAGTCCTGCTAGGGACTTGAGAAGCTTCAGTAACTGGGATTCATCAACTGAAAATACGTTTCCTCCCTGCAGATTGTCGAGGAATTGTTCAAGGGCCTCAAAACTCCCCTGTTCTATAAGGAGGTCCGCATATTCTGCAACGACAGGGAAAAAATCCAGATGGGTTCTAAGCTTCTCATTGAATAAGGATGTTGCTCTTTTGAAGTGGCCCAGCCTGTTCAGTCGCGACAAACTCTCCAAATCTTGACTTAAGTCAAGACCAGCCTCTAGTTCAAAATGAACTGTCATGTCTTTGCTATGATCTTCGGAGGGAACTGGCAACTCAGGCTCTGGATGGAGTCGAAAGTAGCTCTCATCGAGCTCTTCCGCTGTCGGGGCTCTTCGAAAAGGGCGACCAGATACAGGCGGCATGATAACATCCTGTGTAGAGCCACTGTGTACTGGCTTTTTTTGACGAATTATCTGGTTTACCCGTACTGTCTGTATCGTAGTTCCCAGTCACCCCTTCATTCCCAAGGGTAATTATTGTAGGCATGTCTTTTCAATCGGCTTGCGACAGAACTGGCAGAGTGCTCAAATTACTTTGGCGCCGATGAGGGGAAGGGCTTTGGGCATCCGTTTACGTTCATAATCAATGGCAACACGAGGGACATGATGCAGTGATACTGCAGTAAGCATGCATGCGTTCACGCCAATCAGAAGGGGGCGTCAAAAAGCACCTAGGCAAAGTTGAGAGGGGTGAAGTAAGCCCGCCCTCTCCGAGTCAGTAATAACATTTCTTTTCCTCCTAGAGCCTCGCCCGCCCAAGGACGTCTTCCAAAATGGCTTCGGCTTCTCATCTTTCAGCCCCAATGCCATGCAAATGGATGGGGGTCTGCGAAACACAGTCAAGCGCGAGTCTTGGTGACGTGGAAGTCGAGAAACTACGCATTGACTGCTGTTTCCTGAGGTCCAAGACGAGATGGGGATTGCTTGATAATAGACAAACAGGAATCATGTACCTGGACTTGAATTTTCACCAGCCCTCTGATTGTAGGGTGTCTCGGGCAATAATCACAATGAACTTTCACGAGATTCGGCAGTCTAAGGGCGTACGGGTTCACTTTATGCCCAACTCTGAGTTGGAAGTCACGGACTATTTTGGTCCCAAAGCCCTAAGTGGCGAGAAGAAGGAACGAAATGTCTCTACTACAATCGAAGCAAAGCCCAAAATCGATGTCGCGGGTGTTGGCGCTGAAGGATTGGGCTGGTCAAGGACATCCGAGGGCTGCTTTTCGTCACGCTGGAAGTTTACCGGCTCACGGTTCACACTCAACTCCCCGTCTGGGAGCAGTCAGATTCGAAATAGTCGGTATCGACAGGTTGTTTGGCTTTTGGAAGAGAATGAGTTGGAGCGACAGTCTGTCCACCAATCTATCGTCCATGCAGCACTGGCCTTCCATCACCGCTCTGTCCCTTTTGAGGTTGAGCTCAATATCGAAGTCAAAATGCATCGGTGGTATCACCAAATAAAGCAGCACCTGGTCTACCCGCCTAGGACTCGGGGTCGGCAAGCAAGAACGAGAACGGAAATCAAGCCCGATAAACACACTGACAGCCACGACGAGTTCAACAGAGTCGCCAGAAACCTAAATCAGTCGATGACGATGGCGAATATCCATCCCGTTGACGGTGAGTTGGGGGTGTGGGGGGGGTGGGGAAGGAGGGAGTGCTGGGCATGATGATAAAGTTATGGAACTGTGCTGATAATTTGTTGCAGAAGTCGCCGATCCTCGCCCACCTTCTAGCGACGAGATTGAACAGACGAAAAGTGGACTGTTCGAAAATATGGCAATACCTCCAAGTCCAGATCTTTTATCAGTAATAGACGCACTCAATGAACAAGAAACTGATCCACCTTTGCTCAAGTTGTTGAGCAAAGGACCGGTGGTCTCTCCTAGTCCACTGAGCACCAGTGCGACGCTGGTGGGCTCGGAAGGATCAAAAGACGCCGAAGAGCTAAATTCCGAGTCTGTCTCTGCTGAAACGTCTGGCGGCTCCGCTACTTTCGATCCTATCAAACAAGTGGTAAAGGACCCCTCACTCTCCAATGAGATGGTGGGGGCATTGCTCTTTGCTCTCTTCAGGATATCAGAAGCAATACGCATTTTGTTAGCGTCTCTAATCTGGGCTCTAAATGGATTACATTCAGCCCTAGGCCAGCAAAATCATGGAGAAAATTTAGGGAAAAGATCCCATAGGCGAAAGTGATACTAAGCACACTTCGAGATGATTATATCCTCCAGAGCCATGTCACGTCAAATACGTGATATTGGGCGGCGCTGCACGGAAACCTTCATGTATTCGAACATCCAGGTACCATCTGTCTGTCATATATGGGATTGCACATGTGTATCTGGGTTATTTGATGCTTATATACTGTATATCATGGACATTTCAAGAAACATAACCTCGGATCAGATTGTAACAAGGATTGATAAGTTAGGGAAAGCCAACAAATTCCTCAGATCAGGCGTCAATTAATCCATTTATAGATGATATATTTACTATATTTATAGGGTATATGAACACATTGCTTGATTCCCTCGTGGGCTGCAAGATGCCATGCAAGTGCATACATTAAACATGAGCATCTCGACCAGAAAGCGAGACCCAGGTCCGAACTCTGAATAATCCACAGCCCACATGACACCTTTGAAACCTGCCCATAGCAACCGGGCAGACTGCTAGTCCCTTACGTGGACGTCGATGGATGTCTGGGGTAGCCGATCCCCCTCGCCGGAAATGTGCATAATGCGTAAGCATAAGGCAGATCAGTACACCAGATGCTCAGGCAGGGGGGCTGGAATCGCCACGCCATGCGCCCACGCGTGGGCTTCGATGTGTCAGCTGCACCAAGCTCCGAATTCAAAGCTTCTTGGTTTTGCCCCCCCAAAACAGTAAAGTTGGTCTGTGTTGCGATTGTCTCGGGAGGTTTAAGGGCTGCCACTTTTGCCCCAGAAGGAGCGGTGAGTCCGGGTTACGAGCGGGATACAATGGGGACCTTTGGGCACCCCTCACAACTGCCAATAATAACCACAGATCTCAGGATCGTACGAGTAAGCACTGTGTCCTACGTTCCTACAGTAGACCTGCAACTAGAGACCCGGCGAGACCGAGCCCGACCGCAGCCATGACCTCCTCAACCCGTATTAAGAATAGATCGTAACATCAGGGGGGTGTTCCATCAGGCCTCCACGGCATCCGGCGGGGGTAGACTGCCACTAGGTCCGTCACTTTGGAATTAACCGCAACCTTGGGTAATGCCCTAATCAGATAGAAATCTCTAGAAAACAAGTTACAATGCAAACCCGTCCCACAGGTGGAACCTGTGCTGACGAGAGTGTTCGATTGGGTCCCGAAATTCTCCAGTGACTCACGATGCTACCCAAATCCTCAGCGCTTACAAGCCTTTCGGACTTGGCTGTTTGATGCGGGTCCTGCAGTAAGAAAAGAATTGAAAGGGGGATGAACTGTCCGTTTTGGGAGAACAGCCCTGCCCCGAAGACGAGCAGGTCAGATCTCGGGGACCAATAACCCCAATGTCGGCGGGGCTAGCACTTGCAGCTATGCAGTGGCGGATCGAGCGAAACCTCAGGAGACGTTGACCACGGACGTTCCATTAGGGAGTCCAACCCCAAATTCCTATGGAGGAGGGGATCGGCGATCAACAGCCACAGCCGGCTCGAAGAATGTGCCTGGGAGCGACGGAGCGAGCGGCTTCTCGAAAGGAAAGCATGGCGGGAAAACTCTCCTGCATGCTTTTGGTGCTAACCAGAATAGCCAGGGAGACGTGTCCGTATCCGTAAACACTCAGCTGCACCTAAATGCGCCTAGTACAGTAGTGCAGAAGGTTCTTCGCCCCAATCCCCAACCTCTCCCCACGAGTAGATCGTACCTGCAAATGCCCGGAAATAGAGGGCAGGGATGGCTGGTCGGTCATTCGCACGAGGTACTCCGTACAGGAGAAAGAATGATGTACAGGGTGGAGCAATTCTAAATACGGAGCAAGACAATGATCATTGTGGGAATTCTAGGGAGTTACGGAATAGTGCCAGATGGTCCTATGGAACCTAGGCTCCAGGGAGGCAACGCGAACGCAGCCACCCAGTCAGCCCTGGGAGCCCTGGGGAGAGAAGGAGAGTTGGGAGGATTGTGGGAGGGGGAGATCTCGTCACTCCTTGCCCAGAACGGGCTAAGGGCGCATTGGTCGACGACGTCACGTTTTAGCAGACGCTCAACCGGCATTCGGCTGTGGGCCGTTTAAGCTCCGTCGCCTGTGCTACGCGGCAGCTGATTGGCTCACTCTGCTTTCCTCGTTTCTTGCCACCGATGGCCGCGCTCGCTCCTGGTTGGTGCGTGACCCTCGCTAGCGCCTTCCGTTTTATAACAATACCGATACAGTAGCTCCGTTATCTTACGGTCGATCGCAAGGGAATCACAGGCCAAATCGGCCCTTTCGACGCTTTAGCTCCTTGTTCTCCCCATCACCTGATCTTACCGTGACCGTACCGATACACCGTTCGACCTTCTCAGCCCCAAAACACCCCTCTTTTCTCTTCCGTCTCTCCTTCCCACACATCTCTTCAACCTTCGATCTTCGTTCTTCACATATTCCACCAACTTCTCGACTACTCTTTTCGACTCGATTTCCTTTTAGTATCAACTCTCTCGACTCATTTCCTTGTTTCTTGGGCGCTGGATTCTCCCTATTCTCTCAATTACCAATCATCATGTCTGCATTCATGTATTCCCACCACCAACAACAACACCAGGCTCACCACGGTGCCCACATGCCTTCAAATAACCACCACGGCCGGACCCGTCGAGGCCCAAAGATGGGTGCTCAAAACGCGCAGCGTCAGTTCCGGGGTGTCAAGAGCATGCGAGAGCTCGCCGAGGCTCCTGCCGTGACTGCTTTCCGTGCTCGCTTTGAGGCTGGCCGCTCTTTCGACCTGGATGATGACTTGGAGTTTTGCCCTAACCTCCTGACGGACGAAGACGTATGTTCATGACTAGGATGACTCCTTTCGGATTGCTCTCCTTGTACCGCCCGATTCGAGTATTCGGTCGGAGCACAACAACCCGGGAACAGTTCCGCTAACCCGTGATACAGCTGCACTCTATCCACTCCGCTTCTTCCGACCGGTCATCGCTCTCCAGCGGTTCTCCAGACACCTCACCCTTGCAGCACCAGATCCAACCGGTGCAGCAGGTCACTCCCGCCATCTCCCTCTCCCCCGCCTCGGCTAACTCTTATGTCCATGGGGTTGCCGGTAATCCTAATCACACCAACTACCAACAGCCTGCCAACCGGACCCGCAAAGTCATTCCTATCATCAACCCCAACACCGGAATGACCTTGTCCAGCCCGCCCTCGTCGATCACCCCAGCGATGATGCAGACGGCTCAGCGCCGTTGGTGAAAAGTTGTCGGTCGCTCCCCAAACTAAATGAAGCGGCGCTAGCGCCCCCTATCTTCTCAACGCCCTAGCGGCATGTTTATTTGCAACGTCACCAGTCTATCTGCATCATCGGGGTCCTTTTTTACGAGCAGGCCTTAATCCTTCTTTCCTTTCTGTTCCTTCGCATTCTTGTTCGATACGGCTTTTGCATTCGACACGACTATTGGGGGGAGCTACTTTGCTTTCTCGCCAGCGAATCAATCTTGAAAAAAAAATCTTGAAAATTCGCAACCTTCGAAAAAACGGCTTTGTACATACAAATACTGGACCTTTCGCCGCTTTCACGACCTCTTCGCCATACATCTTAGATCCTTTGCGATGCTTGTTGCGAGCGACAACGCCTGTGATTTGATTATTTGCATTTTTATCCAATTTCCGACGATACCTGTGTCTCTCAGGAGGGACTCTTACTTCTATGGCCTCATGTTTCTTTCGGATGGGCCACCGATGATGTATAGAATGTGTGGTGACTTGCTTTTCTCATGCATGTCCGCGGGGGACAGGGAGTTGTTCTGCTTTATGTTGGGGAGCCCGACTCACCTACGCTGTGACTTGCTGGATGGTCTCCCCTACTTGGATTTGTTTTCTTTTGGGTTTTGGGCGGGGTGGATATCATATTTCAAGGATTTAGAGGCGGAAACGATACACGTCTGCATTGCTTGGGCTCTGTTGAAATACCTGGGTTTGTTTTTATGGTTTTCTGGCACTTTTTGACGTTGATCACTTTTGCTTTTTTTTTTTCTTTTTTTTCTTTTCCTGTATATCGGTTTGGGGATGGGTGACACGCGATCCTCGTTGCTTACTCGCCACGGCAGTGGCTGGTTGGGTTTGGTTGTGAGCGAAACCATGGGCTGCGGAGTTGTTTTTTCTTGGAACTCGATATCCTGGGGGTCTCTCGCGGTTAGGGCGAGTCTTAGACCATATGCGTTGAAAATGGCTTTCTAACATCTACTCTGCTTTATTATCTCTTCATTCGCTTCTTTTTGCACGTTTGAATCCATCTACTCCTAGGGAGGTCTCATGAACGCTGTATGATGCTTTTGATCGATTTCTGTCATTTCATACATCGCGTCTCTTCTGTTCATATCCATTGGCTCGTCTTATACAGCTGTGATAATTTTGGGCAAAATCGATGTGCTTCAGCCTATCTACATTTGTTTCGTACAAGTGTTGTGAAATAATCCTGGGAGTTCTGGTTTAGGAGCCCTGTAAAGTGATAAAGCGATAGCTTGAACGGGTCTGATTCCTGCTCGAGGGGAGCTGCGAGGAGCTGGCATTTTGCCGCCTAATCGCACCGAATCCACATAGCATTGAAACTCATACTCAATCCTAACCCCCCCCTGCTTAAGCTACTGCTCCAAACTATAAACATTCCTCGGTACGTCACAGTCGGCCTCTTTCATGATATCATCGAAGCGTTAAGCCTGCGGAGGGGAATTGTTGTGCCAGATGGTTTCTAGGCGAGTTGACACTGCCGATCGCTGCAAGAGCAGACTATTCACATTATGAACATAGTAATGTACACATCAGATCCCACTGCTACCCCTGCGTAGTTTTTGGGAGGCTAGTAGCGGTTAGCGGACATTAAACCTGGCAATAGCCGGCCCTTTGGACCGAGTACACGGTAATCCCCGCCAAGCGTTAAATATCACTGACGTCACAAGTGGTACTTGCAAGTAATGGAACAGAAGTCATTGGCGATAACCCTTGGCTGCCAATGACGCGTTGTGGCTCAATAGTTGTTCCGGTTCTTTTTCTGGGAAGCTTCCTCTTCCATTGAAACATTTAGACTCTGTACTCTACACCATCGCATCGCAACCCTCTCGAATTCCACCATCGAACCAGACCAGACCACAAACCTTTCTTTCTCCCCTTCTCTTTACCGTATCATGTCGTTCCTCACAGCCATTCGCGGTGGTTCTCGCCACCTTGTGCAATCAACTCGTGTTCTGCCGTCAACTTCAGCTGCGTTCCATACAGCAAATGTGCGACAGAGCCTGAAGGAAAGCGACAAGAGTTAGTGCTTTCTCTCTCCGATTGGTTCTTGATGTCATATCTATAGCGCGGTCATGCGAAAGAGCCACTTTACTAACTCATCAATCGTCTTTAGCAGACAGGGATGACCTTGCAGAATACTACGAAGCACACAAGGAAGAGCAGCTGAAAAGCACCAAAGAAGGAAAGGGGAAATGGAAGCACGAGCTTGCAAGCAACAGCGAGGCCGAGGTATGAGCACGGATGGCTTTCTTGAAGCGCGGAGCGTCGACTAACGGTCGCTCTTTCTATAACAGGTCAAAGCCGACCGAGGAGAATTAGATCCTGAGGATAAAGGTTTCCAGCAGATGCAGGAGGATGTCAAGAAAGGCAGGGGCTCGACCGGCCAAAAGGCCTAAAACTTTCCTCAAACTTCAAGTGGAACTCCCCCCCCCACGAACCCGGGGATCGGGCATTGAAACTTTGACTTCGTTCTGTACAGTCGTCTGCGAGTTTACAGCTACTACTTCTTAAACGAAGTTGAGATAATGACAAGCGTACACTTGTTCATGGATACCAAGGAGTAAACATAAATGGAATGGTCTAAAGAAATAGTCTGAAACGCCCAGTAAGTCCACAGTAAAGAGGTACATACCCCAGTTCGACAGAACATAGAACCCAAGCGCCCCGCTCGTAAACCCCAAATCAAACATCAGAGCAATGGTATTGCGAGTCGAGTCGTGATCTATTTCAAGATCGCAATCAAGATAACCAGCACGATGATGAGCCCAATGATGGTCATCATGCTCCAGTTATCGCCCGCCTTCTTGCGAATCCGGTCCAGCCGGCTTCGCGCCGTATTCAATCGACCAGCATGTCGCTCGACGTCTGCATCCAGGCCATCCAGCAGCGCAACGTGGCCGTCCAGCTCATCACCAATCTGAATACTCAACTGGTGCTGCCGCCCGATCGACTCACCCAGCCGGTCTAGGTGATCATCCTGCTCCCGCATGACCTGAGAGTGATGCTCGTAGATCTGCTGGTTGCTCATGGCGGACTGGTCAACCCCGGGCGGCGAGGGCTCATCCCGGTACGGCCGGAAGAGACTGTTGCGGTTCCGCTCCTCTTCCTCATCAATTTCGTCCTGCACGGCAGCAGCCGCAGCGGAGCTGTCCATGAACCGGACGGATTTCGACGGCGGATGCTGTGGAACGGGTTGTTTGAGATCGGGCGAGGCGCCTTCCCGGCTCCCAGAGGCCGACGCCTGCGCCGGGTCCTTGTCTGCGGAGTGTCCGTAGAACTGCGTGGAGAGATCGCGGTATTGCTCGAGAAGCGGGGCCAGCTGCTCTTGCAGTGCTGCGACCCCGGCGCTGTCGTGGGAATCTGATAGGCGGGTCTGCTCGGCTTCTAGAGATTGGATGCCCTCGTGGAGAGACTCTAGAGAGCGTGAGATCTCGCCATCCCGGGCGTTGGGTTCGAGGTCAAGAGAGATGGCGCGTTGGCGTTCGAGAAGAGAGAGCTTGATATGGTCGGCGAGGAGGAAGAGCTGGGATGGATTCGTCATGGTGATGATGGAGAGAGTACCAAGAGTGTCAAAAGTGCGGGTGACCCCGATGGTGATACTCGGCAGCCTGATAGGTGGAGGAGGTCAGCAAGCCTCTCCGAAGTTCCCCTCAAGTCAAATCTGCCGCGGATCTGTGATCGACCGCGCTCCCGCCTTTTGCTCTTTCGTTTTCCCTCCCCGCAATCGTCCTAACCTTTTGCTTCTCCGAGCTTAGACTGCCTGAACTCACTGCTACATTGTCTCCTCATAATTTTCGATCTGGCAGACTGGCTCAGATCGCGCCCGGCTGCCTCCGGCTGCCTTTCCCTCACTCCGAGCATCTAGACTCGGTTCGCCCATCCCATCCCGCCCTGCATATACATGCGACTTTCTCCGCACCCCCCTCTCCAAGTACCCACGAAAGCGAAAGAAACACCGAACAAAAAGCACCGCACTCACGAGTCTGGCCTTCATGAAAGGCCGAACGTCCGAACACCATGAATCTCAATTTGCAAGACTTTTTGGCCGTGGAGGCCGATAGTGACGTCGACGCGAAGAGCGACTATCCAGTCGACCTGCGTGCCCTGGATTTCGTGTCGAGCTATGACTCCCATCTCATGTGTCCGATATGCCATTGTCCCCTCGTCCAACCAGTGCGCCTACAATGCGATCATGTCTTCTGCGACAAGTGCCTGCGATCGGCTATCACCAGCTTCCGTTCGACCGACGCCGAGGAATTTCCCTGCCCTTCATGTCGGACCCCAACCAGCCAGGTCTCAACGAGTGTACCGCGCTTGTTGATCAACATGTGTGATGATATTCAAGTGAGATGTCCGTTGTCGTCAGAAGGGTGTCCGGAGACTGTGCCTCGGGGCCATGTCCAGTCGCACGTCGATAAGTACTGTGGGTATAGGCTGGTGCCGTGCCCAGATAAGGAGTGCGGAAAGAAGACGCGGAAGATGGATCTCGAACAGGAAAACAGGTGCAGGCATAGCTTAGTCCGGTGTACACGGTGTGAGGAGGACATTATGGAACAAGACTTCGAGGTTCGTCTGTCACGCCATTATTAACTTAGAACATTAGCTAACCGGGGTTTCTCATTAGGAACACGATAATGAGCTATGCTCAAGACTCCAAACATTATGCGTAGACTGCGGGACTATTGTTCTACAGCGAGAGTTCAAGAGGCATGTCGAAACGTGTCTCGAAGTTGTCAGCCCTTGCACTGCATCGAAGTACGGATGCCCTGTCAAGGTGCGACGCGCGGAAATTGCAATCCACGAGCAACAATGCCCATTAGTCGCAATCGGTCCATACTTCGAGGCGCAAAATACGCGGCTAAACTCCCTCGAGGTAACCATGCGTCACCTCCAACAACGAAATGAGATCTTGGAAGATGGCCTTGCCAATGTTCGATCTACACTCATGGAGTCCTCCCGCGCTGGACGCGACAGCTACAACCCACGATCTGCGTCAAACAGCGGTCGCAACAGAGCGGAGGACATCGACGAGCCAAACGACCGTTCATCAACATACTTGCTCTCCGTCCACGAGTCGCTCCGCGACGAAGTGGCCGCCATGTCCCATGCGCTGACCGACCTCGACGCTCGTGCCAGCATGACCATAATGAGCGAATGTCTTCGCATCAAAGAGGACATGGCACATACCAATGCTGCTGTGAACAGTGTTCGCATGCAGGTCCAGTGGCTCATGAACCCGAGCCTTCATTCCGGGACACGGGCTGCGACTGCACGTCAGACTCCAGCTAACAGTGCAAGTGAGGCTCGCTCGACTCTTCCTTCTACCTCGGCTGCTGGGCCGAGTAATACAGATTCTTATAACTCGACTGGGCCCTTGGAACCTACACGGCCGAGGCGACCTAGTGATAGTGGGCGTGAGGGCACGAAACTTTGAGGATAAAATTCCGGATGAAGGTGTTACCTGGTGTTCGGCATTATTATTTAAAGGGTGTTTTCCAAGGGCTCTTTCATTTGCAACGTAGCTCACGATTGACGAGACATGGTGGAACTGAAGGCTCGGTCTGGGCCCTTCAATATGAGGGAAAGTGTCACTGCCAGCTGTGCTATGCAACGTTCGTGGAGAGGAGGCTCTAGGGCACGACATTGTTAGTTTGAGTATCTCTAAGCACACATCCAGGGGATTGCGACTGAAGATATTGACAATGAAAGCTTATTGCTCAAAGATCGACAACCAACGTCTTTATTACAATCATTGTTTTGGCACTTGTTTGGCTTATGCTAGCTGAATTTCACCTTAATCCGATAATTGAGTGCAAGGAAATCTATGAATTTTTGGGAAACTTAACAAGAAAAGACAAGAAAGGAAACCAACCCTTTTTCAAAGGGGGAAAAAAATGATATCTCAGGTTATTTTTTAGGAATAGCCGAACGTGGGGGTCGAACCCACAACCTTGAGATTAAGAGTCTCACGCTCTACCGATTGAGCTAGCCCGGCAGGGCTTGTTGAAGGGCGAGCGGGATTTGACACCACAAGCCAGAGATAAGCTATGGTCCAGTACAACCAGATACTGTCTACTTCTAGTGCTTCATGACCATATCTCCAAATTGATCACCCATTCTCAGTTCCCAGATTCGATTCATTTGTAAAAAAATATATATTTTTACATATGTGGAGCCCAATGCGTACCTGACTTTTCCAAGAACAGGCCATGACATTGTATTCTACAACGCCCAATATCACCGTGTTCGGGGTGCGTATATATAGTGCTATACCTGTCGCCGTCTGAACATTATTTGACCCGACTGTGATGGACGTCCTAGGAGTCAAGTTCCACTGGCAGCCTGGCCTTTGAGAAACCCAATCATATGACAAAAACCGAATATAACCCTATGTTTGAACGACGCCACGGACAAATTGACACTTATGAGCAGTTGAGACATAACTAGCAAGTGAACTCTGATTCCCTGATTACCGCATGTCCAGGTACTGTTAATCTGCATAGAAAGCACGCCATCAGTTATTTTGATGATCTAAAGAAGTAACAGAAGACCACTCCACCAATCCGTATCTTCATTATTCGTCACGATGTCATAGAGGAACTTCCAGCAAAACGAGATATTCTTTTTTTCCCAAGAAAAGCAACGTAGTTCAAGTCAGCTCCTTACCGGCACAAATACAACAATTCAACTCTTCTAACTCCACCTCTACGACATCTGTCTAATACCCATGCTGGTGGTGGTGGTGATGAGAGCCATGATGTTCATGGCCGTGCTCGTGATGAGGCTGGTCCGATGAACGGCTACGGCCAGCTTCATCAGCATCAAGATCCCTAGATGTCCCATGCGGCATGCCCCCGGGAATGAAATTGGAGAAGCTAGATAGCGTACTCTCGAGCTTGTTGATATTTGACATCCCGGGAATCGGCAAGCTGGACAGCTTCTCCCACGGCATGCTAGAGGACCCATGGTGCGACTGCGACGACTGGTTGCCATACTGCTGCTGTGCCTGGGAGAACAGGGACCCAAAGCCGCCGGAGGAGGAAGCATGAGATTGGCCATGGCCATGAGAGGCACCGTGGGACCCGCCGTGAGCGTTGCCGCCCAGCGCAGCAAATCCGCCGCCACCGCCGCCATGTGTATGAGGGATTCCGTTCGTGTTGCGGCCGGCTCGGACACCCTCTGAGCTTAGAACGTCATCCAGCTTGCGGCCGTGCTGCTTGGACCAGTTTTCCACGGCCTCGAACATTGTGCGGTGGGCCTCGTTGTGCATGTTTCGGAAGGCTGGGTGGTGGAAGATGCTCATACAGTCTTTCAAGACTTCGTGCTCGGGCACATCGATGTGCTGCCATGCGTAGAGGACACGCGGTGCAACGTACTGGAGAGTGGCAGAGGCGACGAGGCCCGCTGGCTCGTTCAGGATGTTGGCGAAATGGTCCTTGGAAAGGAGGGAGTGAGTGGGATCGGTGCAGTGAGGATCAGTCCAGGGCTCGTATTGATGCTTGCCGGAAGCGTTAATAACACCAGAGGATCCGCTTTGAAGGGCCTTAGCGGCGACGTTGATGAGAGGACGAATGAACGGTGCAAGAAGAGACATGATGAAGACGGTCAGAGTCTCAGAGATCTTGTCGATAATGGCTTCTAGCCCCGGGATCTTCTCAATAATGGAATTAAGCTTCCGAACCACCTTATCGCGGAAAGCCAGAATAGGGTATATCTTAGCCACAGTCTCCTGAGGATTGAACTCCGAGACTCCAGAGCTTGGAGCTGCGCCGGCGGCGCTCGCAGCTTGAGGCTGCTCGTCACCTGGTCCGCGGCTCTGGGAGTACCCCATGTGAGAGCCCCGGGAGCGGTTCGCAATTTCTTGAGCTTCTGATCTCTGCTTGAGATTTTCCGCCTCAAGCACAAGCTCTTTTGTTCCAGGAATCTTTCCCAGCAGGCCTGTGAGGGCATTGAAGGAGCTGTTTCCATGCGAACTCTGCTCGGCATCACCCAGCGCAAGGTCCATCTCGTTCACCTCGGACTGGGTAAAGTGATCATTTGCCTCGCCCAGCACGGAGTGGAAGAAGTCCACCATACCAAAGGTACCGGTGACTAGAGGAAAGACTTGCTTGCCGCGGACATGAACCTGGGTTGCGGTACCAGTATGGGGGAAAACATTGTGGAACCCCATCTCTCGCAGAGCAAGCTCGATGTAGTTCGAATGCGCCGCAAAGTCCTCCAGTGTATGTAGACCCTGACCGAGACAGCGAAGTGCTTCACACAAGTCTTCCTCATTTCCCTTTCGGTCACCGCCGTGGGTGTACATTCGTCCGTAGTGGATGCTCCGAGCCAGACTGAACTTGATATAGGCTGTGCTGGTGGCCCAGTCTCCCCGCTCGTTTGCAATATAGTTCTTCATGCCCGTCTCTGGATCGATGTCCAGTTCAATTTGCTTGACGGGGCCCCGCAGTCGCTCATCATATTTACGCGCATCTTCGTTGTCGGCATAATCCTTCGGGTTGCTATGGGCGAATCAACATTAAAGCTTCACTCTAGGATCTCAAAAAGAACAAGTGATCACATACTCAATATGCTCTTCGGGGCGATAAATGCCCAGGCGCTCGGAAGTGACCTCAAACTCGCCAGTCGCATAGCCGAAGGTCAGGAACGAGAGGACCCACACAATGATACGAATGGCATCGGCCTGGAGACTTTTCAAGGTGCCAACATCCATTGCTTGCGAGCTGTCGGTCGTCAGAAAGAGATTAGTAGTAGCTTTATAACTGTATATTCGATATACTCACTAGTCGCGCAACCAATTCCCGAAATAGACACGCTTGATCATGGTGGACGTCCATTTGTGACCCGCGATGAACGCGATCGTCTTGAGCATATCCTCGATGTCGCCATGGCGCCAATTTTTGCCCTCTACGGCGGAGATAGAAGCAATATCTGGCCGAGTCAGCTCGGAGCTCCACACCTGGGCAGCTCACTGGGACATATACTTACTGCCAGCGCCAAATGCGTGTACCTGAGGGAGCAGGAACAGTAAGCACAGCACGGGGAGACCCGCGCGAAGGAGGGGCATAGTGGGGGGGGGGGGGGCACAACGGAACGAAGGGACCAGCGACGAATTCCTTGAGGACCTTGGACGTCTAGGAAATTAATATCCGGAAACAAGAGAAATGAAAAAAAGAGTGTTCAGCAGAATCGGGTTGCGCTTCAGCTCGTGGGATCTTGGCAAAGATCGCTATGACGTTCTTGGTGGCCCGATCGTCGCTTGGGGGTCCAATCTCTCTTGGGTATAATCAATGTCGAGCAGCATTGATGTCTCATTTCTACGACATGGAATACTTGAACATTCAGAAAGAAAACTCACGCTACGCAACGACTGCAACTTTGGACTTTTGCTTCTGTTGGTATACTGCGGAGGATGTTTACCAGGTACCGGGTGAATTTTCGGGGGGGAATTATGGGATTGAGAAGATACTGCAATCTATCAACCTATGAAAACGAGACGAGAGAGTCACTTACACGCGTGCGCTCGAAGCTTGAGACTTAGTGCTCTCTAGGTGGTCCAGGAACCTTGCGCTGTAGGGGTAGTCCAAATAGCCCACAGCAGACTGGATCCTGTAGAACGTATCTCGATTATGAGCATTGAGCGCCAGTCCTTGCTTCACCCTATAAACGAGATCCGGGTTAGAGATGAAGTGTCGACCAAATATCACCAGAATATCTTTGTCCGGATGCTTTTCATCCACCAAAACCTGTGCCTCCTGTGGAGTATAGCCGCCACCGACCAAGATCGGACCTTTCCATAGATTGTACGCAAAGTCCAAAGTCTCAGAACCTTCCCCATCCTGGGAACCGAACACGCGTGACTCGATCAGATGAATATAGGCAATGCCGATCTTGCTAGCTTTGGTGATGATGTCTGTGTGCTGAGGTATGGGGTTGTCTATTCCCATGCCTTGGAACCTGCTCCACGGGCTTAATCGAAGGCCGACACGCGACGGCCCGATGGCAGCAGACACAGCTTTAATCACTTCGTCCGGAAGACGTGACCTGTTCTCAATACTGCCCCCGTACTCGTCGTCTCGCTTGTTGCTGACTTCCTGGAGAAACTGATCCAATAGATAGCCATTTGCCAGATGAACTTCGACCCCGTCGAATCCTGCGCGGATGGCGTTTTTTGAAGCATTCACAAAGTCTTGGATGGTCTGCTTGATCTCGCCAATAGTCATCTCCCGGGGCACTGCTGCTCCTTCATCGATGGGGAGAGCACTGGGTGCTAGGATAGGAACACCCTCTCTACGAGACGTCTCGACATCGGCAGCACGGCCCATTGCGAATAGCTGGCAGTATATGAAGCTGCCCTTGCGATGGACCTCATCGGTAATTTGCTTCCAGGCAGTGACCTGATCTTCCCGCCATATCCCTGGAGCATGAGGGAAGCCGCCACAGATTGCTGATATGAAAGTGCCTTCGGCAATGAGTAAAGTGCCTGGTTCAACGGCTCGCTGACCGTAGTACTCCTTCATGAGGTCCGTTGGAACTCGATCTTCGGTCGCTCGGAGACGCGTGAGAGGCGCCATTCCAATACGATGCTTGACTTCTATATTCCCTATCTGAAGGGGCTTGTAAAGGCGGGATTGGGCCATAACTCTGACACTCGAAGGTGTAGCCAGAATTCCTTTGTCTTGAGTGATCGGAAGAAAGTTGGTTTGAGGCCCGTAGAAGCACACATATTTATGCCCTATTATCTTGATTTAGTGTCCGTATCTTCGCGAGATGATTATAAATATCACTCTGATTCAGGTTGGGTAAGGAGATATAACCAAAGGTGGAAAGAAGATACTTCCACTTTGGGAAACCAGAGTGGGATCGGGCCAATAGAAGCCTGGAACTTTCTCTTTTTCTGAAGTCAGCAGCGGAAACTAGAATCGGTAACCGGTGCAACTAGAGACCGATGAGAAATGTGGCCGAGATGGTTTAGTCGCGCATGATAGGCTAATGTCCTTTCATGCCACTTTCTTCGCCCAGAGTACGAGGCGGAACGCTGGAAGCTACTTGTAATAAGCCCGTACATGCTCTGGAAGCCTGATAATATCGCTCAAAAAACCCTGTACCCACTTGGCTCAGTGGGCTATTGTGCCATTTCTCTCTCTCCTTGGTTTAAATAGCTCTCAGAAATTTGCAGACGTCTTTGTTCGTATCCATCGGAGGGACCACAGGAACCATACCAACTCTTTGAGTTCTATTACCTGGATAAGCAGTGTCTTTTCCCTAGATTCGAGTCCATCCCAATTTGAAGGATTGCTATACGCATAAAGACTGAAACATATTGAGGATTTCAAAATTGAAGGCGTCAAATATCTACTTGTGCCGGCCGCTTGAGAATTGGATATTTGAATACCAAATATATATCACGTGTTCATAGGCTAAGTTTATTATCCAGGCGATTATTTGCTCTGCTGTTATCCATCATAAACTGCAAGTCAGGTCAATCAATTTCGTGTAAGTCTTGGCTTCCCGGCACCGATGAAGGTCCTCTGGAAGCTATGATAAGTGGGGGTTTCCAAAGGAAGAGTCCTGGTCCAAGCCGTCTTTGGTTGTGAGGCGATTTAGTTAACTGTGGGCTGGGCGGCTGAGCCATTGTCGCAACTGTAAAATGCTGTGCTTGACCCTCCTGCAGATGCTCTGTTTGTTCAATCTGAGGTGGTGCGGAGGGAAAGTTTCGATTTGGGACCAATTGATGCTCTTCCTGCCAGCTAAGAAGAGCGGAATAGGACTCTCTGGCGTCTGGATGATTGTGCCCCAATACTTTGTTGCGCAGTACACAACATTCTTGAATTAAGGCCAAGGCGTCTGTACGCCTTCCTTGAGATCTCCAGGTGTAGGCAAGGTTGGCCATGCTGGTCAGAGTATCGGGATGTTCTGCACCCAGCACCCTCTTCCTTATCTCCATCACCGGTAATCCCAGATTCTCTGCCTCGTTCCATCGCCCTTGATCCTGATATGTCGAGGCCAGGTTGGCCATGCTTTTCAGAGTATCAGGGTGCTCTGTACCTAGCACCCTCTTCATTATCTCCATCACCTGCAATTCCAGGTCCTCTGCCTTATTCCATCGCCCTTGATCCCGATAAGTTGAGGCCAGGTTGGCCATGCTTTTCAGAGTAACAGGATGTTCTGCACCCAACACCCTCTTTATTATCTCCACCACCTGCAATTCCAGATCCTCTGCCTCATTCCATCGCCCTTGATCCCGATATGTCGAGGCCAGGTTGGCCATGCTTTTCAGAGTATCAGGGTGCTCTGTACCTAGCACCCTCTTCATTATCTCCATCACCTGCAATTCCAGGTCCTCTGCCTCGTTCCATCGCCCTTGATCCTGATATGTCGAGGCCAGGTTGGCCATGCTTTTCAGAGTATCAGGGTGCTCTGTACCTAGCACCCTCTTCGTTATCTCCATCACCTGCAATTCCAGATTCTCTGCCTCATTCCATCGCCCTTGATCCCGATATGTCGAGGCCAGGTTGGCCATACTTGTCAGAGTAACAGGATGTTCTGCACCCAGCACCCTCTTCATTGTCTCCACCACCTGTAGAAACAGCTCTTGCGCTTCCTTCCATCGACCCTGACTCTGGTAAATCAACCCCACCATTCCTATGCTCTCTAGCGTATCTTCATGTTCTGGACCGAGATATTTCATCCGAGCTTCCATTGCTTTGAGCGACAGTCTCTCCCCCTCGGCCCTACTGCCTTTTTGCCAGTCATACCATGCGGCCTTAAATAACACTGCAGCCCACTCCATTAATGAGTCGCGTTTGTGGGGACGCTGGCTGGCCGCCGACTTTGCATGTGGGTAAAGCACTTGACACTGCGCCCAATTCTCATACTCTCCTGTGGGGAGTTTCGCATTCAGGTTCTGGATAGACTGCCGCATCCACTTCGCCAGCTCACCATGCACTTCTAGCCATCTTCGCGTCGCGAGCTGCACCAGGCCGTGCATGTTGAACGTCCTTTGGTCCGCATTAATAGAGATCAAGGAGTATCTGCGCAGTATAAGAATGTCGTCTTCAAATTCCTCGGTTACACCGGACTGTGATTGACTGTCATCGTCATCGTCATCGCTACTACTCGGGTCCACGTTTCGCTTTTCGCTTGAACTTTGAAGAAGCGCCTCAGGAATCCCTTGCCGGTCGAAGAAACTCATAAGCGACAACAAATCGGCCGCCGACCGTCGGCTTTCACGTATGCTGTCAAACGAGATCTGCCATGTCGTGAGGACTGAGTTTTCGGCCTCCCAATCTCGACGGAACTGTCCCTCTCCGCGGCCCAGTAAGCGGACTTTCTTGCGATCGCTCTTTCGGAACTCGTCGAGGTACTGTCGTACCGAGCAACCCCGATCAGGGTCGGAAATATATGCTGCCGCTTGGACAATTGCCAGCGGGAAAAAGTCCAGCGCTGCAGTAAGCTCGATGATGTCCTGGCGGTTGTCTTGTTTTCCAGACTTCTTCTCAAACAGCGCTACTGCTTCGGCCTGGTCCATTGTTTCGACCAAGACAATATCGCGCCGATCCACCAGCTGCAATGCGACCTCCTTGCTCCGTGATGTTATCAGAATACGCCCGTTCTGGCTCCGTGGAAGATACTCTCGTAGCGGACGATCTGCGCTACCATTTTCATGATTAGCCAGACCTTGCACCGCCTCGTGGCGATCAAGAAATTCGGCATTGCCGACATTGTCCAGAATCACAATCCACTTTCCATTCTTACGGTCCTGCAGCCAGTTATATACCAGGCGAAAAATGTTGGCCTTGGAATCCTGCCGCCCAGACAGCTTCACTGTGTCTGCGACGTTCCGGTAGCTCTGCTCAAACCGGGCGGCATTGCTGGCATAGATCCAGAAAACCCACGTTTGTGGTTCGCGCTCGTGGATTTGATACGCATATTCAATCGCTAGCTGCGATTTTCTGTCCGCCAAGTTAGCAGTGACCGGCGAAGCGCATCCGCGTAATACACACCCAACACCACCTAGACCCACCAGTGCTGTCCAGGACCCTGGGGCAGCACATTGGTGGTGGAGCTGTTTCAGGATCGTCCCACGATCGACAAAATCTGGATCGCGGAGAAACGGGATCGATAGGGAGGGGCTAGGCGGGGTCTCGGAACGCTCTACTCATCGGGGCTATTGTCAGGAACGGCTCCATGGCGGATACAGCACGGACTCAAGACTTCGTATATCTTATAACTAAACTCACCGGATGGGAGAAACTGGTTTGTGACCGATCCGTGGTTGACTCCCACCTGAAACCCATGGTTAGTGTCGCTGAAGGTTGTCTGAGACGCCATGATATGGTAAAAGGGAGGATCTCGGAAACCGAAAGTAAGCGCTCTTATCGAGCTTAGCGGCTTGGCAGGTTCAGCTTGATTTCGGATACATTTACCTTTCTGGACTTGGCTGTGGAATTTATCGTCATTTAAAACATATGAACTCCTTATCAAGCCACCTAGTAGGCAGGCAAATTGAGTAAGCTTTCTTCATACCATTGCTTGATTCACATTTACAGTTCCAAGATGCCATCTTGATGTCTTTCTACTTATTTTGGCACTCCCACAACGTTACCTAACAAATTGTCGAAGCTTCCAAGCCCGGAATTTACTTTGCAGCAAGCTCCGATCCAGTCCACCCAATGAACAACCACAATCAATATCGATTGAATAAAACCACCTGGCGTCGTTGCATCGCGGATCCACGGTAGCATTGCGGATCAAATTAATCGAAGGCAACAGAAGCCGTAAAGAAGCCCAGTAAATGTCACAGTAGCAGCCACCCACGTTGCAATCACCCCGCAATCCGATAAACACCCGCTTCTCCAGATAAAAAAAAAAAGAAGCGCCCCTCGCAACTATAAGACTTCATGCTCTCAAACCGGCAGCTGAGCTCAATCTAAGCTTCAAAAACTGAGCCATCAATTACACACCATGTCCACCCCACACCTCGACGCCCTCCAGCGCGACGGCTTCGTCGTCGTCCGCAACCTCCTCACCCCATCCCAAATCACCGAATACCGCGCCGCCGCCATCAAAGTCACCACCAAAACCCGCACCGGCGGCTGGCCGCATTTCCGCACCGTCCCCAAGCAATTCCCCCCCTGGCCCTCGACCCCTCCCCCGGCCTCTGAGGGCGGCATCTGGGGCGTCCAGCACCTGCTGCACCCGGAGATGGAGGGCCGCGAGCTCTTCGCCCGCTGCTACTTCTCGCCGAGCATCCTCGGCGTCGTGGAAGAGCTCCTCGGGGTGCAGGGCGGCTCGGACGAGCAGCTCGTCATGGAGCTGTTCAACCTGCTCGTTGCGCCGGAGACCAAGGACTTCGAGCTCCGCTGGCACCGCGATGATATCCCCGAGACGGCGAGTGCGGAGGAGGAGGTCGCGCAGCTTGCGGCGAAGAGTCCCCGGCGGGCGCCAGTCGCATGCACAGTATAACCTGGCGCTGTGCCCCGATGCGTCGCTAATTGTGGTGCCGGGGTCGCACCGGCGGGCGAGGACGGAGGTGGAGCGCAGTGCGGGGCCGTACGAGGCTACGTTGCCCGGTCAGTTGGTGGTGGAGTTGCAGCCGGGTGATGCCGTGTTTTATGATAGTAATATCTTGCATCGGGGGGTGTATAAGGGCAAGGCCGAAGGCGGGGAGGAGACGAGGTTGACGCTGCATGGGAGTTTTGGGTTGAAGGCGGACGGGGAGGGGGATGCGGAGAAGATGAAGGTTCGGGCGACGGCGGTGCTGCAGCATGGAGTTGGGGCTTGGGTGAAGCGGGATGATGCTGCGTTTGGCATTGGAGAGAGGCCGGAGAAGATGAGGGCGAACTTGGTGGCTATGGGGTCGGGGAGGGGGTTGGATATTCTTTGCAGGGTTAGATTGGGATTGGCAATATCTCTTTTCTTGTATACTGTTGGCGAAGGAACCAGGCAATCCGGGCACTAGAGGTTGGTTGTACATATAAGGAAAACGAGAATATATAGCATACTAAGGACGGGGATACTTTTGATGCATCCAAAAAAGTGTCTATCACGTTAGGAAGAATCGAGTCTCGAGAGAGTTGCTGTGATTGTACTAGTAAGAGAAGTTCCTGTGCCTTTGATAGAACTTATCTATGGTCTAATCCAGCCACCGACTAATCAGGGTAGCTGGTGTTCTGCCGATACGTTCTCATTTTCAAGCCAACCGAATTGGCTCTCTACCGAAGCCCTGTGGCTAGCTTTACGCCACTCGGCAGTCCAAAGATCTGACCCGCAATATCCAGATCACAAGCACCGGTGCTTGCAGATTGACCAGAAGCGTCCAAGCATCCCCCCACGGTATTCTTCAAGTGGCCAGTAAGGTAGTGAGACCAGATCGTGCCAGGGCCGCCTTCGCACGGCACCAGTGAGAGAGATCCCTTCTTTGAGGCGGAAAGGCATTTTGAAGAATCGGACAGGGGATGTAGGGTGAACTTGCTGCCCAAACCACTGACTTTCCAAACCTGATCATCGGCTGCATTGCACACCTCGAAGCCAACATTATGCGAAGCAGTCAGACACTTCCCTGAAGCAGTGTTGAAAACCGTTCCCGTGGGGGTGGTTTTGCAGTGGCGAGGGGGAGTAATGCGAAGGACACTGGTAGCATGGCTATCAAGGTTGACCTGTACAGAGTCCGTGATAGTCGATTTGGTGCCAGTCCACAGGTCACGAGCGCTATATTGGCACTTCGAATCTAGACCTAAACGAGCAAGAGAGATACTAGTGTTGGCGGTGTTGTTCCCACGATTGAGCACCGTCAGTAAGCGGTCGCCGTTTGACAGAGAGCGGGTCAGCACATCAAAGCGGTCATCGCGACTGACTAAAGTAGCTTGTTGAGCCAGGGGATCTTGATCGACAGTAATCAGATCCTTGTTGGTCAGAAAATCAATCACCGTATCAGGCAAGTCAGGGATATAGGCGCTAATGATCAGGGGAGCCCCAAAGGAAGCCCAAAGCGCAAAATGAGACTTCTTCTCGTCATCCGTGAGCCCCGGGTGGTCGGGGATCAAGAAGTCCGGGTCATTATAGTAGCCGGGCTGCTGATAGCGGGCAACCTGAACTTGATAGTCATAGTTGACCATAATGCTATCCCATGCGCTGCCTGCACCGCTGTAAACCAGCACATCATCCGAATGACGGGCCAGTTCACCGTAGAACGGAATCCAGTCCATGACGCGGGCCCAATCGGTGGCGTCCGTAGAGAAGTACGCAGGCGCAGACTCGGAGAAGATGAGCGGCGGCGACATTCGGCTGAAGATCTCGTGCCACTGATGATACCGTACGCGGTATTCGTCGCGCAGCAAACGGCCCTCTTCAGCAAAAACATTACATCCGTCCAGCTTGAGGTAGTCGATGCCCCAGCTGGCGAATGTTTCGGCGTCCTGTTCTTCGTGTCGATAGGAGCCCGGGTAGCCGCCGCAGGTGGCATTGCCTGCGTCCTCGTAGATACCCAGATGAAAGCCATGCTGATGGGCATAGTTGGCGAGCCAGGGAATTCCGTGCGGGAACAATGTTGTGTTCCACTGCAGAGACCCATTATCGGAGCGGGAGGTCTGCATCCAGCAGTCGTCAAGATTGAGGCGATTATAGCCTGCGGCTAGAAGTCCGCGGCTCACCATTGACTCGGCGGTCTTCGTGAACAGCGTTTCATTGAGATCGCATTCGAATCGCGCCCAGTTATTGAAACCCATTGGAGGTGTCGGGAGCAAGCCGACATCCTCTACAGATGCGTAGACGGGAAGCAATGGCAGCATTAAGCTGGCCATGGTTGGTCGCGTCCAGCCAGGGAGTTTCATGATCCCGACAAAACACTCGACAAAACAGAACAAAGCACAGCGTGTCCTAGGGACGTTCTAGTATTGGGCAGGAGCTACCTCTTTGATTGGTGAGAGTAGATTCTGAGATGGGCTGAGCCATGCTGCCCTTTAAGCCCCCAATACTCCGTAAACAGTGAAGCTTTTTACATTCCCCGCACGGAGGGCCGACGGGATCGGCAGCCAACGTATCGTAGCGATATCGTAGCGATGGCGGGGGAAGTGGTACTCAATTGAAACGGTGCCATTCTTGATAAGCTCGATAATCGAGTCTGAGTTTGCCTCTGTTGATCATATCCCCAAGGAGGAGGTGGAAGCTATCTAGTGCCTGGCTTTGTGGCGTCGAGTCTGAGCGGGCCTCACGACTTCCACCTTGCACGCCACCATCTCATTGTCATGCAATCGTCATTCTAATTAGCCTCCCCACTATTGATATCTCTTCTTTTCGACAAGCGATCAGCAGGTCTGTGAGGCTAATCATCACTTTCATAGTCAATCTATCGTCCCCTGGCTGGCCAAGCACCTCCCCGATCTGAGGGTAAGAACCGACTTGCCCTGCTACCCATCCTACTTGCACACCACCAAGGACTCCAAAAACACATCGAAGCTAAGGGCCTGTTGCAGGGCTGGGGCAAATGGACCGGAGTGTAGCTACGAGAACCCAAAGACGAAAAACAAGGCTTTTGTGCCGTTGCACTGCAGTTCTCCATATACCATGTAAGGTGCATACATACTCTTAAAAAAAAATGAGTCTCATCTCATCAACAGGCCTAGGCCTCGGGGGTCCCGCAACGAATCAGGTAAGACAGGCAAGTATAGTATCCACGGGGAGAATCAGGGAATGGAGATAAGGGAATCTCGATAGGAATCTCGACGGGGAATCTCAGGCGTAAGATATGCATGGAAGACAATCGAATGCAAGCAATGACAAGTGAAAAGAGAGAGAGGCAGGTGCAGGGAATCAGTTGCGCAGGTTCCAGCGCATCGGATCTGACGAGATCGTTGAAAGGCACGAGACGCGAAAAACTGGGACGTCCGGGCGTCTATTGGTGGCTGAGCTGAAGTTCAGAACCGGAGGAAGCCCTTCTGATTTGACGAACCCTGCCAAGAGATAGCCAAATCAATAGTTCACTCTGCAGGGAGCTCCTGATGAACAAAAGCTTAGATCTGCCCGGGGGAGGGTTCCTACGTAATCCAGTGCCCCCAGCGCGCGCTGTTCCGCTGTCAGCCGCCCATTCTAAGCTTCAAGCGTGGGGCATTTTTGGAAAGTAGAACCCAAGCTTCAGGAACAAAGAAGTGAGGAGTTTCAGAGCAAAAGTCCCAGGACCAGCGACAAGGGTCCACAATCGCCACCGCCTTGGCAGCTTACAGGACTGATCAGGGTGCCCCCAGTCTATACATCACATTAGACTCTATCCACTTGCACCACCCCGATCAGGGGATTTGCTGCCATAGCAGTGTGGCCAGGCCAATCACCTCATGTGAGCGACAGGAATCACCTGCATGCTCAAGGATCCACTGAACAAGCCCAGGGCCATTGTCTAAAAGCACATAGCCGCTGTTCCGCTCCACCGATTTAGGCTTAACGGCTGTCAAGGGGACCCCCAAAATCTTGGATCTTGCTCTCTCCATTTCCTTCCCAATGCGCCTTGGAAATGGCCCCAGACGCGAAGCCCAAGAACAGGCCTCAGCAGTCCTGTCTGAAATGCCGCGAACGCAAGATTAAGGTACGGTACCCTTCGGGAAGAAAAGCGCTCGAGCTCCAGCTATTGTGACGCGAAAACGTGGAAAAAGAAGCGCTTCCGCGACCCCCACCGGTTTTCTGCAGTTGCGATTCCGCAGACTAACAAAACCTGCAGTGCGATCGCTCCATCCCATGCAGCGCCTGCACAAGCCGCGGCCTCGAAACCGAATGCGTTTACCTCACCACCCCTGAAGACCGCGCGCACATTAGCCAGGCGGAGATCATCGAGCGCCTGCGCAGAGAGGTTGCGCAGCTGCGCACCCAATTAACCCAGACTCCTCCACGCGGCCCAAGCCCCAAACGCAACTCCAATGCCGGTTCCCACAACTGGACCCCTTATGCCCGCCCACAAGACTCGAAATCCAAGTCTCCCGATGTTCTATATGGAGCTTCGGGGGCGCCGTTTGGATATAATGCGGCCGCGGTGCACGGCGCGGGTCCTGGCTCGGCGCCGGAGGGTCAGCTCCTGCGGATCTGCCAGAGGGGAGCTGGTCTGCTTCCTCACCGTCGTCTTCGGTCACGACTAATATGACGAATCCAAGGACAGTGGCGAGCCCAGGGAGCACGGAGAGTGATAGTGGGGTGGGGGTGGGGGTGGGGGGGATGTCGCAGCCGGTATATCAGGCTGGGGCAGGGTTTACGATGAGTAGTCCGAGTAAGTGGGATACTGTTCACGTTGGATAGCTCTTTTCCAAGCTTTTCAATACTGTCTTGCGGAGATAAGCTGACCGGTTACCAGACCTGACGGGCGATATTCCCACGTCGCATTGTCCACCCGGAGACATGACAGCCCTTGCACCGGGCGAGAACCCGAATCCGATGCCAATGCAGGGTGCGCAAGTATATACACATCCTGCGCCACAGCCATACCCAATGAACGAAGGCGTCCCAGCGCCGTACATGAATAACGAATACCCTACTCACGACCAACACTACCATGAAAAGTACCAGAACATGATGAACGACTATGAAGCACGAGCGTTTCATTCGCAATGGGGACAGCAGCAGTTTATCGCGGCCCCGCCGTTATCAGACTCAGCGTATTATTCTTCCTCGCCCCCGGCGCCATTCATAGGGGGTTACGCCCCAAAACACCAAGGCGCAGATGTGCAGCCTCCTTCAGCGGCACCGCAGTTCGTCGACCAAAACACCCGCTCTTCAATATCAAGCATGGCGCAGTCTGTCCCGAGCCCGTGGAAGGGGGAGGGAAAGCAAGAGCTTCTGGAAACCTTATTCAGGACCATTGGCAGCTGCAGTGAAGAGAATGTGGCGCAGGTTGTCCAGGTGGTGAGGAACAGTGCGACACCCGAGGACGCTGTCTCGGGTATATGTCAGGTTCTAGGGATTGGAGGAAGTGCGCGATGACCCGCTGGTCGGTTTATCGCGGTGGATTGCGATGTCATCATCGCTGGCGTTCCACGGAGTTGGAATCACTGGTATGCAGTGATTGGTCCAGCCAATATATATACCCATATTCGAATATCGTGTTTTTTTTTTTGGGATCCAAATGCCTGTGGAAACCAGACAAAATTATACCCTTATTTTTGGGCACCAAGGGAACCGTCATAAAGCCGTAAAGTCATAATAAGTCGCAAATGATCCAAAGGTCAACGACCGAGCCATGAGCCCGGTCGTCTTAAGAGGATCTGTCGGTCACGTCTGGGCCTCCGTGTCATCAAGTGGTCGCTGGCCGTAGACAAAATGGAAATAGAAGTGAAAATGAACCTTCGGATTCAAAAACTCCGCCCGCACTCTCTCCATATACTCCTGCACTTCTTGATACGAGAGCCCAATCACCCTCGTCATCAGGGCAAGGCTATACGGCTCAATGATATCATTCACTGTGATCCTCGTCATCCGCCCGATCTCTTTCATCCGAGGATTCTTCGCCCAGCCACCCACAGGAGCCTACGTCACCACCATCATCAGCCGCCCACCCAGAACCCACACCGAGAGGGCAAAAAGAGAGAAAGGAAGAAAGGAAGTAAGGAAAGAGACATACCTTGTATATATCATCATGTACGTTCACATACCCCTCCTTCCGCATCCACCCTGCAACATCCTTTGCGATATTCAAGTCCTTCCCAAACTGCTTACTCGCATCGTTCACCCTATTCAGCCATTCCATCACCGTCGGCGCCATGTGATGCGACCCGTCGTCCGAGGAAAGTTCCATCGCAAACTCCTGCACCTCGAACCACCCTCCCGGCTTCAGATGCTGTAGCCCCTGCCTCAGCAACTTATGCCAGTCGCCGATCCCCCCCACCCATCGTTCGCGCGTGGATAAAGTCGAACGCCTCCCCCGGTGTGAACGCCCAGTCGCTCTCCACATCGTCGATGAAGAACCGGCAATTCGACGGCACCCAGCCCGGCTGGATCGGACTCAGGTCTGTGCCGATGATTTCTGCGCCGGGGAAGTTTTCGCTTATTTCAATCGCCCATTCCCCCGTGCCGGTGCCGATGTCCAAGATGCGGGTGGGGGGTCTGTCACGGGCGAACGGGGCGCGGTACAGATCCCCGCCCAGCACGAGCTTGAAGAGGTGGTGCATTACAGCGAGGCGGTCCTGTTCTTCCTCGTCGTTGGGGAAAGGGTACTGGCCGTGCCGGTAGGCATGGTAACGGCGGCCATTTTCGTAACAGTAGTCGCGGACGGAGGACGCGAAGGAGAAGTTGGAATCTAGAATAGATTGGGTGGCGAAGAGTGATTCCTCGTCACTGGTCTGTGGGGGGAAGGCAGATGAGCTATGGGCCACGTGATCTCGGGTAGGGGATACAGGGGTTTACGGGCTACAGGAGGAAGGAGGGGACGGGGAGAAGCTTACATCGATCTGGATGTGCTCCAAGGCGTTGGGTTGGGTCATGACTGAAGCTATTCAAGTGTGGGAGGGGGACAAAGAACTCCGTACCGAGATTCAGGTTGCCGGGAACCCATCGTGGTGGAGCCTCCGCCTTTTCCCCGCTTGGACCACTGATTCCGGCAGCTTGGTTATGCGCTCTAGCCCTTCGGCTCAATGCATAAACCAGGGGTAACGTATCATGTTTTCACGCCATTACGCTGGAATCTACGGGAGAACTCAAATGAGGGGTTCCACGTTAGATTGCATCGTATCCTTCTTTTCTGCTTCCTTTTTTTTTTTCATGAAAAAAAAGAAATACATTTCCACGTATCTGATCGATCTGCCTTTTTCTTCGTTACCCCGCCCCGAGTGCATCCAGCTCCACATTGTCCCATGTTTCCTGCACGGATCCCTGCATGGGAGGCGTATCAGCCCAAACTCTGCAGTTTGGCTTGTTCGCCTGCAGTCAGTGCCCCGAATAGATCCTGGAATCCCGGCTGGGTGGATGCTCGCCGAAAGAAATCGGCCAGGAATGCTTGTGTCTCATCGTCTCGACGTCGTACTGCAAATACGCTCTCGGATCCGCCTTCCCCGAAGGCCATGAGTTCCTGCTTGGTCATTCCCAGGTTCAGATCCATGATCTGACCGGGAACATCCTCCCAATCATCATCGCCGTCGTCACTGTCGGCCTCGTCTAGAGCGGCCCGCGTGGCAGCATCAATTTCTTGGTTGCCGGATGCAGCCGATAACTCCTCAGCTAGCACCTTGACAATTTTCAGCGGTGCCGCCACAGTAGTGTACTGGTCTGGGTTTCTGCGGGCCTGGGAGCGTGTCTTGATACGCCCGGTATCCTGGATAATAAGATCACCTTTGACGGGAATCTCGGCCAGTCGGGGGTCGGCCAGCTCGTACAATCGTGCCAAGGCGAAGATGTTGGACTTGATTTCATCGTAGCCGGCGAAGTTGACCGAGTTCTCCAGCCATTTACGTAGCACCACGGAGAGGCCGCTCTCACCTCCCAGATTAAGCTGTGCGAGGAAGTCCACCACCTCGCGAGCGCTAATAAGGGTCAGTCGTGCAAAGACCAAGATCAGGCTCTGGATAAATTGGGCCTTCTCAGCTGTCGCCAGCCGTTGGGCTACAGCCTGCAGGAGCTGAGGCAGATACGGTCCCAATCGTTCAGAGCCGGCTCGCTCCACCAACTCTGCTGCCAGCTGGCCAACCTCTGCCGCTGCAATATCATCCACGGCCGGCCCAAGCAGGCGGTCAATGATGACCAGGACAACTTCAATGGCCTCCTTACCAGACTGCGGATCGCGCCAGGCAATAAATTGGGCAAAGTCATGTGAAAGCATATGACGGACAGCTTCGGTGGCCGGGCGAATAAGCTCCGCCTCGGTGGAGCCTAGAAGCAGACGGTCGAGTTTGGGCATGACCGTCTCCACAAAGCCAGCAGGGAGAGGCTGGAGACTTCGCTCGGACAAAGCGCGGAGCAGATCAGCCGCAAAGTTGGTCAGAGAGTTCTCTTCAGTCATGTTGCCAACGTCAATTGCACCCATCAGGGACGGCAAGACTTTTTCGCAGAGGCGCATGTAAGCCTCTGGGCCATGCTCAGTGATCTCGTCCACAATGTCTTCGAAGGCCTCTGTTACGATCATGGTAAGCTGGAAATTATCGGCCCCACTACTCGCAATGTTGAACAGCAGATCGATGCCGGCCGAGGAGAGGACCACGTTTGAATCAACCATGATGGTGTCTCGGAGGGTTTCTGCCAGGGTGACCTTCAGATCATCGCTGTCGACCTCTTCACGCAGGTCGTGTGCAGCGACAAACTCCGAGATGGTGTTGACCACGGTTCCTTGGAAGGATTTGGCTGTGGATCTGGGTAGACCCAGCATCAAATCCTGTAAAACTCGAATGCCGGCAACCTTGACAAGTTCCGAAGGGTCCTCTTGGATTGCTTTCAAGGTAGCTTCCAGGTAAGAGGATGCTGTCTGCTGGAATGAATCTCCTGCAACTCGAGATAGAGAGCCGCCGACGAGGTATCCCCGGGCGCGCAACAGTTCCTCCTCTTGCTGGATCGCGTAGTGTACGAATTGATTGAAATGGTTTGCCAAGTCCGGAGGAATTTGCTGACTGACCTCCGTGAAGTCTCGCAAAAGGACATTGAGCATGAACAGAGCCGATTCGCGAGATTTCCAACTAAAATAGAAGAGAGTGAAAAAAAATTAGCCTTAGATCAGCTGTAACAATCAGTAGGCGGGCTCAACTTACGAAGCGGAGGTGTCTGCAAATAGGGTATTCATGTGACTTAAGATGCCCTCAACAGCCAGCACCTTCAGCCATTCTCCGGTCTTGACTACCAAGTCTCCGCTGCATGTTCGTGGCGTATAATTGGCGGTAACGGAGGTCTCCTCGGACAGAAAGAGGTTCACGTCAACCTCCCACATACCTTCTTCCTCCGCTGTAACCTGAGCGTAGGAACTGGCCAGCTTCACGATCTCGGGCAACCAGCCAGACGAGCTTGCATTAGTACCCGCAGCCTGAAGTTCCTGCTGAAGCTGTGCTTTGACTGGAGGGGCCTTGAGCAATGTCTGGATGAGATCTAACTCTTCCAACACGAGGAAGTCGAGTGAGTAAGGCAAGCCATCAACATCCTCAAGGCGGCCCTGTTGCTGATCCTCGATGAAGAATTTTTGGTAGATCGGTAAGGCGTTGTTCAGTTCGGTCCAGACTGCCGAGAAGAAGTTGGGACTCTGAGTTGTCAAGAGAGCGGGGAAGATCATGCGAATTTTCATAATCGTCTACAATTGTTCTCTGTGAGCAAGAAACGTGTTGTGTGGACGGAAAAGTGAGCCATTACTTACCCTGACAACTTGGATTTTCAACCCCAGAATACCCCGCCATTGCGAAGCAAGTTCCTTGTTGCCAGATTCATCATCACTAGGGGGGCTGGGGCAGCGGCCCTTGTAAGGTTTCGATAAAGTACGGGGACCATCCGGTCAACGCCTCTTCGACAAACTGCCTGATTGCCACATTATGCTGCTCCATAACCATCTCCAGGGTATCAAAACAAGAGCGGAAAACTGCGACCGCAAGGGCGCGCAGGATCGGTTTCCTTGTTTGCGAGGTGGCTACCGCAAAGAGAGCCGAAACCAAGTCGCGGGCAACATCGAAGAACTGCTCCTCGCTGAAGCCCGTATCCACCAAATCCAACAGGACCTTCAATGTGCCATGGAGCGCGATATCCGAGGTGCCTTGCTCGTTTATGACGTGCAAGAGCGAGGGCAGTAACTCTGGCCAGTCATCCGGGAAATCAGCGCTAGCAATCTTGCTGACGGCATAACTAGCTGACGACTTGACCTTGCGCTCGGGAGTCTCAGTTGTCGTCGCGAGTTCCAGTAGAGCCCGGCGAATTTGGGCTTTGTTTGCATCGTTCACGAGGACCTGGCCTTTGAATTCGTCCAGGTTCGGAGACCAGGCGCCGGCGATGAAGGTGCGCAGGACGGAGAGGGATGACTGGCGGAGATTGACCGGGACGGACTCGTGGGAGGCAATGGCTGTGAGTGAGATGGGGAAGGCTTCATTGACATAGAGCTGCTGGAGTTGTGTCTCCGCGGACTTTCTCGTATCGGCGCGGGGTGACTGAGTGTCTGCCAGGAGCGTCAGGAGCTGTTGCTCCATGGTTGGCAGATGGAATTGGGCAACCGCAGGATTGGAGGAGTGGGTAGAATTTGGCTGGAAGCCACTGCGTCACGTAGGGGGAGATTAGGACCTTTTTTGGCGCGCGCCGCGATAAGACACCACGAGGGGCAGAGGCGGTCAGTCCCCCTGAGCCCGCCCTTCATTCGGCCTATGGGGAGTAAAGGACTGGAATATGTGCATGGACAATACAGCTGATATGCTTAAGAAGTCTCCCGGCATGTTCTGGGCAAAATAACCACAGGAAGTACTAAATCTTAGCATAGTGTCACTGCTTCGCCAGCGATGAGGATATGACGCCTTAGCACACCGTGTCGTAGAGGGTGACGTTGGCCTATATTTCACCTTAACGTTTGTTACTTCGGACTTGGACATTGCGTTCTGAAAATATATGGTTCATAGTGAGTTCAAAGGGTTTGACACAAGGAGGAGCAATTTGCGTAGACGGAAAATCGCAAAAAGAAAGAAGCTGCACCATAAGCAGCATTGACATGCTCCTATCCTTCTACATGCCCTGTTGGTGGGACCCATGATAGAGGCATAGGAAACCAGTGGCAACAGCCTTATCGTCAAGCCTCTGTTATCAGTGGATTATCAGCAGATTTTTGGATCTACAGAGCAATGTGCACCCCGGATACTGGGGCCAAGCGAACGATATCTGCAGAGCGACCGATATGGGGGACTTGCATGGATTTGCAGGGATCGAGAAAGCTTGCTAACAACGCCACCAGGGTGCTTGAATTTAAACTTATCTTAACTACTCTGTATCACTATCGCAGTTTTAGTCCAATCGAGATAATCACTCCTCACGTTTTTCTGGGTAGTTTTGAGCTCTGGAAAAGCCCTATAAGTGCCTTAAGACGAGCCCTGGAGAGTCTTGACGATTCGTGATCCCGTAACACAAAGCCGGTAATCTGCTGACGATGATAACATAACGATAGTACGCCATGCGTAATAACAGTACCCGGCATGATCGGGGCAGGGGTATAGGCAATATAGGAGGAGCCTGATACCTGCCCTAAGAACGCTGAAAGTTCTTAGACCATTGGGTAATTTAGTTCGAAAGACGGGGCGGGCCCAGAGGGCTTGCATTGTTCGAGGCAAATTGGGGCCGGTGTCTTGAGCAGGAACTTCATGGGCTGACACGAGCCCTGGGCCTCATTGGGTGGGGATCGTGATTTTTCGGAAAAGAATCGAAAGACCCACCGGATCAAGTGTCAGCAGCCTGAGACAAATCCATTGCCGGGTGAGGTTTCAAAGCTGTCGACTGCTGTAAGGTATATTCGAGACTTCCCGCAGACACCCAGTACGGAGAAGACAGTCTGACATTCTAAAAGAGGGGAGGAAAATACACCTCTTAGTCGAACCTGCCCGATTTCGTCGAAGAAAGGCGAAGATCGTCTCTTCGGCACCCGCTGGCGGTGACATTTAGAAACGAATGGGAAAGAATTGATGATTGCGACATTGAGAGCTTGAACCTGGGAAGGCTCCTCATACGCTACACAGTCAGCCCAATGCTTGGCCCCGGAATGGCGGCGGCGCGGGGGAGCTGAACCCCGGTCGCGCCGCCGCCACTGCCGTCAGAGTAGGAAGATCATCGGCAAAGGGCGTTGTCCATGTGGGACAGAACGAGATGCAATACTGTACCCGGTACGGAGTACGCCGCTGGTACCTGACGAACCCGCGATGGTGGCGGGCTGCTTTGTAATTGCACGAGTTGCTGCAATATCTAGGGGGTACCGAGGGATCCGAGGGGCGTTTGGGATCTGCTATCGGATTCGATGAAGCCTCACGGTAATTAAAGACTTGGCTCGGCAGCTCTCGGTAGCTTAACAGGTACCCCCGTTGCCCGCTTCCAGGTACCACATGGGTACATGGTATCGAAGAACGAAACCGAAAAAATTTGAAAACCGTACTTTTGCGTTCTTCAAGAGCCCTGGAGGCACAGGACAAGCTGACTAGACCTTTGTGCTTGAGTAGCAAACACGCCAGGGGACAATGACAACCGCAATGATCATTGTCATGATTCCAACATAGGCAATAATAAACATCCGTGAATGGAGATTGCCAAGGTTTTTATTTATTTATTTATTTTTTCTCTATTTTTTGGGGGCTTCATTACTTATCCCGGGCCTGTCCCGTTGGTTCTGCATGGCTCCCAAGGTTGAGTGGTGGGCGCGTTTCATGGTAGAAAAATAGCGGGCCCATTTTGCAAGTACAGTCTCCATATGGGATACCTTTTTTGACCTGTAGTTTAATGGGCTCCCTTCACTTGGCTATGATCGTCGTTAAAATTGTGCCAATTTTACCGGACTTTAGTGGGGACAAGGCAGGAGGCTGATGAGGTGGAAAAAAGGGCAAAGCCCCGGTCATACTTTTTCATACTTCCCAGGCACCTGGTACGGATACCAGGGATACCAGGGATACCTGGGCGGCGGAACACGTATGGAATTGACATTCTTTCAATTTGGTCGCAATTCGCTTTCGATAAATGGACTGATGATTGCTGCTCGATTGCTGCTCGTTCCTACTGTAGATCAAGATCAGCTTACCCCGTTGAATATGCTAGAAAGATCGGTATCTACACTACTAGTTGCGGTGGTACATACTCCAGCGTAATTATAAGCAGAGAATGCCGAGATCTGAAATGAACCCTGAACCCCACCGTCGTCCTTCAAGCAAAGACCGCCACCGCGACCGGGGTATAGTAGGACACTATCGCGAGAGATCACCTAGTAGTGATAGTCTCCAAAACCCCAAAACCACCGTGGGGCAAGTGGTAGAGGCTCAGGAGGTGTTGCAGGCCGTAAACCCATGACGCATCCACGTGACGGGGGCCAACCGTGACTTCCACCTCAACCCACTCTGTGCCCTTTTCCCCTCGAAAGCAACACCTGGGGATTAACCATCGTGACCAGTCATCCACCATCGTCCTGTCCGGCCTCATACAGTTCCCCGGCCCGATTCTTGTGGAAGGGCTCTGAATTCCCTCCCTGTCTCTCTTCTCAGGGTTTCGCAGGCGTTCCCCCTCCTTCCCTCGCTTGAAAACCCGCCCCTCCTCAAATCCTCGAAGGACTCATTTCCCGATAATTACATAAAAGCGACTTTCTTTCTCTACTTCTCCCGTCGTTTTAGGATCGGCGCTTAAGGTCTCTCGTGTCCTCTCCCTCATGTTTTGAGGTTTTGCATTTTGTCGTCTTGTCCACCCAAGCGTATGTTTTCGTATTTCCTTTCAAAACCCCCTCCCCCTCCCACGAGATACCCACCCACCCCCCCTCGTCACCATTTTCCACACCTGAACTTTTTCACGCACCTGAACAATAATCAATACCTCTGGCTCCCATCGCTTCTATCGTCGGCCCTCTCGAAATCCTTCAGTGCTGTCGCATATTTTGCAGGTCGCCGCCCGAGTGTTTTGCCGGAGGAGATTTCGGAGCCAAACATCCGACCTCCCCCTCCCCCCAAGCTTATACCTCTCGTGTTTCCCGACATACTAAACCTACACCCCCCTGCCCTTTGAAGGTTCCTAAAAGTTGACCGGTGGCTTTAGAAAGGCAGAGCGATGATTAGCTTCAGGGTGGAACATCTATCAGATTCTTCGAGACTCAGCCCAGATCATTTCTACCGTGGAAACGATACCGGATCGTTCGCCGGCAATGCCGATGGCCAGTGAGACCAGCAGTACCACCACGATGACCACTTTTTCCGCCCCGATCCCCGCTACCAGATCGCTGCCAACCAACCAGTCGGCACTAGCGGCCTCATTCACCAGCTTCCTTACCGTGTCGGTCCATCAAATACTCTTCCTCCGCTCCGTCTACCCGCGCGCGACATTCCTCCCCGTCCGGGCATACAATTACCCTGTCCGACAATCTCGTCACCCGAAAGTGTGTGACTATATCAATGAAGTATCCATCGCAGTCGGGACAGAAATCTTAAAAGGCACAATTACCGCAGTCAGTATTATCATATCATCTCTCCGCACAAATCAACCCCTCGAACGATACGCCTTTGATCTATCGGGCTTCCCAAGGGCCCCCGCTGGAGAGGTGAACACCACATTCGAAGACCGAGATGAAGATGCATCCGGAGCCGGCGTCTCCGACCGCGGCCCCGCTCCAACCTCCGTTGACCTTGAGTCACAATTCCGGGCCTGCTTGGCTCGCCTCGCATCTGCCTGTGCGCGCCTCACTCCTCTACCGCGAGATGACGAATTCAGCTTTACGGTTTGTATTGAGGTGAGAGAGGACGCCTTACCTCCTGCAGGCACCACCAAAGAAGAACAAACGTGGATCGTCGCGGATCCTGGCAAGGTACATCTGCGATCATGTACCGCCCCTTCTCTGTCTCCAAAGTACGCAACGGCGAACATCAACAGCCGCCTCTCGGGCCTCGAATGGCCGCGCCAAAACAGTACCAGTACGGCGCGTCGAGGCTGGAGAACTACGTTTGGAGTTGTGGGTGGAGGAAGCACGGCAGAAGTTTAACGAACCGGTGGAATCAGAGCAGCCACCTTGAACTACCCAAATTTCCTGTTTTAAAACGAGGAACTCTGTTTCTTTTCTTTTCTTTTCTATCTCGTGTGTGGTGTGTGTGCGTGTGTCGGCCTGTCAGGAATTGCTGCTCCTTTTGTTTTCTGTCCACACTCATCTTCAGTCTCATTCTTGATTTAGCGTGACCAATGATCGAACATACATGATGGACGAGGAAATTAAGGAATTGCCGTCCGCAAGAAAGTGGCGCAAATATATAAAATGGGGAGCGGACGATTTTTTGGAACTCGCATGGCATTTTACTTACATAGATCAGGTTCTCATATCTTTTCCCTTTTTTTTTTTTCTTTTTTCTTTCTTCTACCTCTTTGGTCTTATTATCCCTCCCCAAACCATCCCATCTCCCAATCTCTTTCTTTACCTACGCCTATCCTTTTTTTTCTTTTCTTTCCTCTCTACAATTAACCCTCTCACGACGCTCCTTCTCTTTACGGACCTATATCCCCTCACTCTATATCCCCTACATTTTGCTATTTGATTATCAATCATATTGTGTCATCTTTTGCATCTTTTGACGCTGACCTTTTATTATCTATTTCTTGCTGCGATCCGGCTTTCCCTCATACCATCTCATTATCCCTGTATTTCATTTCATCTCTTTTGTTGAATCGCTCTCAACTACATGATTCTCTTCCATCCCCTTCTAGCCACAATCCAATTACCTAGTAACAAGCTCCTAATCATCGCCCTGCGGGATTTTCCCCTTCTGTTTCGAGCCCTCCGAGCTTTTTTACACGTTCATTTTCTTCCTCTTCCTCTTTTTCTTCTTTCTTTGGTGCTGACGTTGTCGCGATGGTAAGCGTTGTTTGATCTGGGTGGTTCTCGTCTTGATTCCGTAATGTTGCAAAGCTTCTGTTCATGGCTTCGGAATTGATATCGCGGGTCGTTTTTCAAGGTTGGAGAGGGTCAAATAGCCTATGGCTGATTTGCAAGTAAAGTTGTTGGAGGGACATGAGTAATAGGTGCTGTTCGGTATGTAAGTGCTTGTAGGTCTGCGTTACTAGGAGTCTCAGGGAGGCATAGTCATATTTGAGGTTATCTAGGGGGGTGCTTCAGGGCGCCAAGTGCGATGCTTATAATGTCACGGTGCAGACTTCAGTACTTGAAAACAGAACCGAGAATTTCTAGTAGAGCACTGGCAGAGAATGACATTGACCCTTGAACTTGAACTAACAGATATCCAATAATATTCTCAAAAGTCCCCCGTTTCACCCAGGGATTGGAACCTGTCACCAATCCAAATGGGCCCGCGCCCGGTCAACCCGACCACGAACCTCGCAACACAACCAATATTCCCCTTGGCTAAATAGAGTCCCGTGGATAGACACCATGATTCATGCCATCGACGCTGGGAGCCCTGGGGCCCTGGAGCCCCCGAGCCCACTTACATAACCCCGCAGCTGACCCCCGGGGCCGGGGCCAGCACATGACGGGGCCTCAAGCCCACTTACGTCAACAGGCCCAAGAGTCCAACCCAGAGTCCAACCAGAGTCCAGCGAGAGTCCAGCCAGAGTCCCGAGTCTCGAGGTTATCGAGATCGCTTGTCCTCGCTTGTCCTCGGCCCGGGTGACAAACAGAAATTGCTTTCATCACGCCGGCCCCGATCACCATGAGACTGGGATGCGGGGGAACCTTGACGATACCAGTGGCACGAAATCGTATAGGGTGTAGGGTTTAACGTTGCAATGGGGACCCCGACTTCATGCTATTTATCGTGGTTCTCGCTTCCGTGGTTCGAATGCTCTTAATCCACCTTATAGTCCCCCGGATTCTAGGATTGATCGGTTTCGATTTCTTTTTTCTTTCTTTTTTTTTAATTCCCAATATCTTCCACGCGCCCTTTTTCTCTTGAAACCGTTTCAAGGCTTCCCCCGCGCATACACCCTATCTTTATCTCTCTTATCGCCGATTGAACACCCCAGGGGCAATTCCCCAAACTGTCCTTTTCCTCAGGCCCAACCACGCATTCTACTTCCCTCCAGCTCTGCAGGGATCAAATTCTCCCACCATGATCGCAGCGGACGTCACGGCCCTCCCACCCGGCGACTCGCCAGACCTTATCCTGGTCCCCGCGACCCCCGCCGAACACATCAAATGCTTGAAACTGAACAGCGTCGCCTGGAAAGGACCCCTAGACATTGACACCTACATCGCGCGCGAGCACCACCTCGCCTCCCAGCGGCTCACTCGCGGCGGCCTCACATGCTGGATCCTGGTGCAGAAGGACGAGCCCGAGAACGAGCGCACGATCCTGTCCTCATGCGAATCGTACCGGAAGAAAGCGCTCCTTGCGTATGACGGGGCGGTTGAGCAGCTGGTGTCGTATGGCGTAGGTAGCGTGTACTGCCGGCCGGAGTTCCGGGGAAGGGCTACGCGAAGCGCATGATGGAGGAGCTAAGCGTGCGGTTGGAGAGCTGGAAGGTGGAGGGCGAGAAGAGGCAACGCGTGCTGTTTACGGTGCTGTACTCTGATATCGGGAAGAAATTCTACGCGCAGTTTGGGTGGAAGCCTTTCCCGGCGGCGCATATGACGCTGAAGCCTGTGGCTCGGGAGGCAGGGAATGGGGTGGGCGCGCAGACGAGGGCGTTGAAGGCGAGAGACGTGGAGAAATTCATGTGCAATGAGGCGGTGTTTGTGAAGCTTGGTGGGAGGATGTGCGTGGAGTCGCAGGCGAAGCCTGGGGCGAAGGTTGCCATCTTGCCTGACTTTGATCACTTAGTATGGCATTGGGCGAGGAGGAGTTTTTTGCGGAGCGACTGCTACCTAGCCATGAGCCGCCAGTGGTGAAGGGGGCTGGGAACGACCAGGCGCGGGTCTATGCTACCTGGACTCGGACGTTTGGTGGCACGCCCAAGGAGAATGTGCTGTACATCCTTCGTTGGGTGTACGACGACCCTAGTTCGGCCGAGGAAGAGGAGGCATTGGTCGAGGCTATGGTTGGTATCCTGCGACAGGCGCAATTCGAGGCACATGCATGGAACATGGCGAAGATTGAATTTTGGAACCCTGAGCCTTTGGAGGAAAAGGCCGTCAAGATCCTCGAACCCGGGGCCGAGGTGGTACACCGTGAGAAGGATAGCATTCCTTGTTTGCGCTGGACTGGCGCAGAGCAAGGATTTGGCGAGGATGTGGAGTGGATCTTGAACGAGAAGTACACATGGTGCTAATACCTCTTCCATTTTGCTTTTTCTTGGAGTTGATATGGGGGCCTCTTTTGTTTTGCTCGCATTGTCATGCCACCTTTTTACTACACATACATATTGCCAAGCTCGGATTGAGCGCTGGGAGGCCATGTGCCCTGATATCCATAGATGAGAGCCCATTCTTATTGGCGCTTTTGATTTTTAAGCAATTCATGCCAGTTCCGGGTATTTTTGGCATTGGCATTTGCAGCTGGCTTTGCAGTTGAAGTTTCACTGCTTGCTTGCCGTTGAGAAGGCTCCACAAAACATATGGTCGTAGGATCCGGGCTTTGGTATATGCCATTCTGCAGCTTCGACAGCGCAGCCTCATCTCGCCATGACTCGGGAAGGCAGTCTTTCCAAGCCCGGAGGAATTCACTTCGCCCGATGGCTGACGAGACCGTGGGAGCTGTCGCAGCAAGATGGGTCTCTCCAACCCAACGCGAACACTCTGCCTTATCAAAGCTGGCCCCTAGATGCGTCCAAACCACGTATTAGCCTCAAGCGATTGTAGTGCATGTCTCTCTCGACCAACGTACATTTCATTGCATCGTCCAATGGCGGTCGCTCGTCCGCTTTGCACAACTTCCTTACCACGGCTTCCAGGAGCGCTCGTGGGAATGGAGGATCAGAATCATCATCATCCAAAACTGACTTCCACAAATCCCCAACAAGAAACTGCTTCTCCAAGTCAATTCCCTGCAGCAGAGCACCTTCAGTCAGCCGTCTCCAAACCCGCAATCGCACCCGCGCCGAAGGCCTCCAGCACGAGAGTTCGGTCTTCCCATCCACAAAGGCACATAACTCCGTCCACCCCTCATCACACTGCGCCGCAGACATCAGGAATATCGGTACAAACTCGTTTCCTCGCATTGACCTCGTCAACAGGACTCGAGTCACCACCCCCTCATCCATACTGACGTCCCCATCGTCGTCACCGCGCGGGTCATACAGCCGTAAACTCTTTTCCAGGAAGGGAATTGCCGAAAGCCCGCCCGGCGGCATGTGTAGCTCCAGTGTTGACCCGCATTTTGCAATCGCAGTGACGGCTTCGTCGGGCAGATTCAATGCCCCGCTTTCGCCGGCTTCCTCCTCGACGACTTTGATATCTGCTTGTGATATCTCGCCGTGGCTGGGGCGGAGAATGTGGAGGGAATTGGAGGACTGGACTTGGCGGATGCGATAGGTCTGTGTCGCGGTGCACAGATTGACGTATTCTTGCGCGGCCGGATCTTTTACGGCGAGGGCGAGTGCCGCGGAGGGGGACTTGAGTTCGAGTCTATGTTCAATCAGGTGAGCCACTGGTCCATTCCTCTTGCATTCTGTGTTAATGTGACGAGCGGCCGGCGGGAATTGGAAACTTGGGAAAGCCGTGCCACTGTGTAATTGTCCTGACTTACACTGGTGGGTCTTTGGACGTAAGAAGGGCTTCTAGTTCTGGCGGGATTTCTAGCAGTCGAAACCCCTGCTGTGGCTGGGTGTGTGTGAATAAGATGCCTCGTGAGTCTTGGGTCGCCATTGGAACGGAAGCCTGATGTTCATTACGATCCTGGAATTGTCGGCGAACAACGCGGGAAACCAGCGACGCGGACGCGATCTGTGCACGGACCATCGTTTAATGGACTGGATCTATACGGACCGCTGTGGATCAATCTCGAGAAGAATGATCTTAGGATCCTCTGAAAGGGGCGGAAAAGACGCGGTAAAACAATGAATTTGTCGGCTTCCTCCAGCTGAAAAGGGCATAGAACCCCGGGCCACCAGAAAGTAGATAATATCACCAGCGTACGGTCGGCTTTCACCAGAAAGCGATTCGCATCCACCAGGTCCGACTTTTCAGTATGGTTGGCTTCCAGCCTTCGCTCCTATTCACAAAACTCGACTTAAGCCAAGCATATGTTGATTATAGCTACTGTATTTTTGGATCCCCGAAGTTTCTAGCTTCATCTGTCTCTGCTACGCGAACCAGATATTCGCTTGAGCCCTTTGGGAGTATCCTTGTAGATATTCATGAAATAGCCAATTGATTGATCGGGAAAGAACTCCCATTCAGAATCACACTGTTACTCCTGTTCCACGCCTTCTAGTATGCTTTCTAATTCCCAGGAAGGAGGCCGGCATTAAAAACGAAGAAAATATACATAACAGAATGAAAAGAAAGATAAAACCAGAGAACCCTGGTTCAAACAGGAGCAATCCAGTATGTGCTGAACACTCGACGTTTCGTGCGCGATGTGAGTCCCCCTAGGGCTTCTCAGCCAGCCAGCATTACCCGGAGGCGTACTGAGAGGCATTGAATCCAGCCCAGCTGGATACTTCCATGATGCGGTCGCTTGGGCTAGCCCGGCTCCAAATGAAGGCGCACTACTTGAGCGGTAGATTCGTTGTTATCATTAGTCCTCATTGGAGAAACCCTTCGCGGGGTTTTTCACGGGCTGAGCAAAGGGCCCCTCGTCTGACCCTTTCGAGGACTCGCTATCGACCACCTTCTGGGGTGGTGATTGGTTTTTCTCTTTCTGCGCGGCCAGTTTCTGCTCCTTCTCTTCACGCTCGTGAGCCTGCTTTTCCAGCTCCATCTCTTCCATATGGCGTAGATCATCCACGCTAGGCTCGTATAAATGCCAGATAACGTAGTGGGGAAGTCCAATCACGGAATACTTCATACGCTTGGCCATCTAGTACTTCTTAGTTCCTGTAGCTTCCAGTGGACTGTGGGATCCTTACCTTGCCGAAGCCCTCTGTTTCAGCATGTTTCTCAAAGCTGAAGGCCGGGAAATGAACGCCGGAGCGGAAGACCTTGGCCTTTGCCAGAATACTGACACCGCCAATGCCATCCAGCTCCATCTCCATGTCCGGATCGCCGTAGGGGTCGCGCAGATATGCGAGATGAGGGCGCCACGTTGCATACTCGGCGTACCCTTCCACGATCACAGCGTCTTCATCTAGGGTATCTGCGAGCTCCAGCGCGCTATCGGACTCCTGCCACGAGTTCAGATCGTAAGGCTGTTCTCCTCCCAGCCAGTCCGGAAGCGGACGCCAGACATCTGATCCCAATTAGCCATCTCATCACCCAAAATAAACCCTGCAAGGAGTCAGTCGAGGACACCACATACTTGGAACCGTAACATCTTTATCGTGTGCCATTAAATCTTCAATAATTGTCGTGGGCGCCGTCTGCACATCCGCATCTCTCCAGTAAACCCAGCTATGCGTCGGCCGCAGCGTCGCACTCAGCAGCCAATTTCTCGCCTGCGCCATCAGCTTCCGGCGGCTAGCCTGTGCCTGGAAACCATGACGGCTCTCCACGTCCTGCTGGACCTTCTGCCCGAAATCCTTCTGGATGACGGAGACCTCGCCAAAGCTCATTTTAGGATCCGGATCGTTCTGCACCTCCATCAGCATACGCGAGAGCATGCTCAGCGTGTCGTCCCGCGAATCAGATACCAGGAAGGCCAGGTCAATGAGGTTGTGCGGGTATGTGAGGTTTCGGAGATGGGAGAAGAACATAGGGAGGTGAGAGGAGGCGTCGCGCAGCGGGGTGAGCATGAGGACACGCTCTCCGCGTTCCCAGCCCTTCGCTGTGCCCTGGACATCGGACAGATCATAGTAGCGAACTGTTTGGAGTTGGAGGTCGACGGATGGGTGGAAGAGGCCCAGGGAGAGGGTTGGGAGGAGCGCGGCGCGCCATGATGGGAAGAGGAAGATGATCAGAAGGAGGGATACGCCGCAGACGAGGACGAGACGTTGAAATAGCTGGCGACGACGCCGGAAAGCTGGTTGGGATCGAGGTTGGAAGCTACTTGGTTTATTTTCCCTGTTAGTTCCGTGTTAACGGGCAAGATCTCTGCGATGACGCATTGTGATCATCTGCAGAGCATGTGATAAAAGGGCGTATACCGGTTGGGAGAGATCGAGAAACCACTGGGCCCTCGAGGGTAGGCGGCTTGGGCCTTTTCAAGGACGTGCCGATTCATCGCGAAGAGGCTCCCAGCATTGAGTTTGTTGGCTTGCTGAGACCGTCTGGTGCGCTACTGCACTGATAAGGCCCGGGTCTAATCTCGAAAAGGCCTGAGGCTGCCCGGAGTCAGCGGACGGTTGAGCTGTCAAGCTGGGTTGAAGGTGTCAAGGATGTTGAACGGCCCTGACCGATCAGGATTGAAAGACCGACGATTGGCCCAAGACGATCAAGATGGAATGCGGGTTGATGAGGAGGGTAGCAGGGAGGAATCAGTCCTGGAGTTGTTTCGCCCTTCTGGATCCGTCCCGATGCGGGACGCCGCTTGCGTTCCCTTATACGGAGATTTTTTCAAATCTAATCTGATTTTTCTTCATTCGCTGGTTTTAATTATGGCTATGTTAGACTCAATTGCTATTCTATACAATACTTACATTGCCCAGTCCCAATGCATTTCGACAATTGCATGACAAGTTTCCTACCACGTCAGCGGGCGCGGGCGCGGGCTGGATGTCGATCTTGGGTCCCTGGGAGTTTCTTGGCACTGACTTCCAATCGTTGGAGCATCTGGGCCAATAGTGCCCCCGTCTGTGCTCCATCCTGTAACGGCTTCAGCACGGATCCGGCCTCATAGTTCTTGTCCCTGATCATATACCGCTCTCTCGGTCGCATCCCCACTGCCTGGAATGCTACTTGGGCGATCACCTTGGCCGCTTTCTTAGAACGTGGGAGACCCGGCGGAAGATCGGCCGCAGTCCAGCTCGGACAGACATCGGACTCCGAGGGTTTTCTCCAATATTTCCAGGATCCAGGGTTAAGATGTCGAGGGAGATGTTTCCCGTCTGGTTTAGCAAAAACCAACGTCAGCGTTCATGTGTCGCAGACAGCCTGTCCTACGCTGTGAAACATGAAGATGGAACTTACACTGGCCAGACTTCGTCGCAGTGCATACAGCGCAACACTCCCAATCAATTTGCTGCTGGCAAACCGAGCTTGACCTTCGCGCGTACTCAAAGAAGTGCCGGGAGGCCTTTCGTCCCGGCCTTGGTGGTGATCGAAGTAATGCATACGCCCAGATAGTGCTGCTGAGCTTCCAATAGTGATCACTTTGGCCCCTTCGGTATGTTCGCCACCGCAACGGAATCCCTCGAGTAGGCCAACCGTCAAAAAGAATGGCGTAACGCAGTTGGTCTGGTAGACCGGGTCATAGCCATCTTGCGTCAGCTCATCGACAGTGTATGAGACCAAGGCGTCTGTATAGATCAGGGTAATTATTGGAGGGATCTCTTTGTGTCGAATCCGGTCCACAGTGTGCTGGCAGAAACCGGTCACTGATTGCACATCTGTTGGGTCGAGACTAATGAACTCCATCGATCGAGGTCCGATCACGCGGATTCGGTCCTTGAGGCTTTGGACAACCTCTCCTCGCACATCTCGGACTGCCAAAAGAAGGTGGACAAAGGGCCGGGTACGGGCGATTGCAGTAGCGATCTCTGCACTTAGCACGCCGTTTCCCCCAGTAATAATAACGGTCCCTATTAGTGCCCTACCCATGTCCACTGTGCAGCACTACCGCCGATGGGTATGCAGGAGGAAGCCAAAAGAACGGCCAAGTCTGGGTCGAATAGGCTATCGCCGGTTTCAAATAGAAGTTATAGAGGACTAGTATATCAACGACAAGGGGTTCGACTCGTCGGCAAGGTGGGGCTTAGGATGAAAGGGCTGATGGCAAAAAGAAATGTGAAAGGAAGAATCGACCAGCCAAACACTATTTTACGCCCTCGGGGCCAGTAGTGCCGGCATTTGGACCCAACACTTGGCGACAAGTCAGCCATGGATGTGTCTCATTTTTGACAGGGGTCTTTAACTAAGAAAACGGAGCAATCAGATGCAGCCACACAGTCTGCGGCTCCTTGTGCTTTAGTGCCGCGTAGCGCCGGAGAATCCGATTTCTGGTCGTGCAATCAACAGACTTCGAAGTGAATACAAGCTGAAATCAGCTCAGAATGTTAAGTAATTAGCTGATATGGAGTACAGCTCTGCTGGTCTGTTCATGTCTTCTCGGGGCTGTGGAAGGCTGGGCGCGCACTCCAATGCTGTTTACTGCGTAGTTCGCGAGCCGCCACCACTAAGTTTAACACATCAATTGGTCTAAACTAGTTCGGATCTTCCCGCAAATGGGCTCGACCCGATCTTGGCCGTTGTCCAGAGAAAGGGAATGCGCTAGAATCCGATAGCTTGCCCCACGCACTGGAGCTGTACCGATCTTGTGGATACGAACTGGTGGACATGGCGGAAAACTTGAAGAACTGTTTGAAAGCTGAACTTTCGGACTTGTGGAATACTAGGAAAGATCAATGCTCAGACGAATCCGCTCAGTCCGCATCGAACCCATGACCCTCATTCTTATCTTTTTCGGAGATGAGTAGCTTGAATTCTCGTCCATCGCCCACTTCGTCCATCCGGATCTTGCTATTTATCATAGGCTGTTGTGTGAGCTTTCCTTCAGAATAGTGACATGGGGATTTTTTAAACCGGTCTTGATACGTGGGGAGTCTTTCCGACAAAATTGCATCCATAGCCGCTCCACCGTCCTCATCTATATACACTAAAGATCCAGTAATATACTTTTCACACAGGAGTAAATTGAGAGGTCACAAGTCAGCCGGAGCTTTCCGGAGAGAGACATGGATATAGTTCGAAGGCTCGGGTAAATAGATTTGAATAGTTGGAATAAAAAATGGATTGAAAGGCAAACCGTGCAGGGGGCTTATGGCACAAGTAGTCCGAATTACAAGATGACAGAAATAATGGCCGAAAGAGCAGAACATCCTTGTAGGTGGAGCTCCCCAATTGTAGACCCGAACGCCGGCGAAGCAGCCCCGCGAATCTGTGGGGTAAAGCTACGCTCACAGCCAGGCTGGTCTGAAATGAGGTAGTTTTGACCATGTTTTGACCGTTTAATGGGTAGAAGTTGCACGATCGTTGCCCGAGATCTAATCACGATAGAAAAAAAAAATTATATTCATAAAAAAAGAGACCGGCTCTGACTTTCGAATTCCAAATGCTGCCATGATGAAGGCAACGGACAATCAGTTCCGGCCTCGGGAGAGAAGACCCCTCAAAGCCTCGGTTTCCCCCTCCAACTTCGATACCCGAAGTCTTAGTTCATCACGCTCTTTTCGGACGAGTTCCAATTCATCCTCCACGCTCTTCAAACGGTCGACCCGTCTCTGGCGACATCGCCGAGCCGCGAGTGTATTCAGCCTGCGTTTTTCAACGCGCGACGCATCAACACGACTCAAGACATCATCGCCCTGCGAAGTTGCAGGCGAATTGGAGACAGAGGTTGGGATTTGAGACGCAGGGGAAGCATTGGAGTAAGAACGTCCGTCTGTTGAACTAATTAGTCGTAGCCCCCCGAGTCATCATCACCGAGAAGACGCCATACCTTGCGAGTTTGCAGAACTAGCAACGGCCGAAGGAGGGATCGCCGGGAGCTCATAGGATCCGGAATCCGAAAGAGAAGAGAAAGGTGGTGGATGCCACGCCGTAACCCGGATCGTTGACGATGTCGAAATCGGCACCGTCGAACCCAGCCAGGAACGGCGCGGCATCCTCGAGAGATAGGATATTCCAGTCGGTATCAGGAAAAGGCATATTGCCGGGAGAGGCCCAGAAATCAGGGTCTTGCGTGAAGGCATCGTGAATAAGAGGGGACGCCGAAGGGAACGAGCCCCGCGGGTCTAAGAACGAGACGGTATGATCGTGAGAATGTGAATGGGCATGGGAATTAAGCCATGGTGAATACCCCGACAATGGCCCGTGGGGTGTTTGCTGCGGACCGTCGTTGAGATGGCTTCCAGAACTCGAATTGTGACTGCATCTTTGCTGTGCTGTTGGTGCAAGCGCAGATCTGCATAAAGAGATAGTTTAGACGGGCCTCAGTAGGCCCGTAGGCTGACGATTTTAATTAGAACGGTCGCTTGGTGTCCTAACAGGGACAACTGAGGACTCGGGAACGGAGTGTCCTACAGGAGAGAAAGGGAAATGGGGAGCCTCACTGGTTTTAAACCCCCAGGCATCGCGCTTTTCACGCCTGGAGGGCCAGGCCGCCGGGGCCCCCACGCCTCCTGCACGGGCGGCGCCTCCTATTGGTCTGGCTGAGCATTGGCCCCCAAGACTCATCGTGACTCATTTTAGTGCGTTGCCATTGTCCAATCATAGTATTGGCTTCGCCTGCACTTGGCCGTTTAGGCATTAGACCCAGCAATCGCTCATCTGGAGTTGCAAAGCAGCACGTCGGCTACCCTTTTGAGGGGCTGTGTAGGGCAGTGTCTCAGGATCAATAGTTTCCTGCAATGAATGTAGTGGAGATTCTTCTGACCAGATAGGTCGTAGTCGAGAATTTAGACATCCCCGGATCTATTCTCTGTCTAGATCCCCTTATAAAAGGCTCGATCTCCTCCATGGAGATCAAATTCTTTGACGGTAAGGATTTAGTCTTCTGAGATGGGGATATTTTTGGAAAATACGCTAGCGGGACTCTGATAAGCAGACAATGATAAGTTTGTATGTAAAGTAGAGCCTGATGCCAATTCGAGGATATTAACACCTTCAGAGAAACTCGAACGTGAAGAGACAAGAGTAGAAGAAGGGCCCCTTCTGAAGTCAAATATTCAGACAAAATTTGATCTTAAGTCGCGCTGTGTCTCCTCGATCCACGGATCGAGGGTGCCGGGTATACTCAGCATAAGCGGCCGGGGAACAAAATAGAACCGCTGGACACCATTGCCAAATGATACCGAGTATCTGTTAGCCTCTACTTCCCTGAGCCGATTATATTCTAATGCACCATTTGATTGGCAGTTCCTAGCAATCGCTATGAAGGGTATCGACGGTATCGACGGAAGGGTCGTAACAGGAGTCGTCAAACCTCCATCATTCGTTATTAGAATCAAACACTTTGATCTATGAGACTAACATACTCAAGCGTAAAATTCGGAATATTCTAGCTCGGACGTAGTATCAAGTTATCGATCAGTCTCACAGGAACTTTTCCATCGCCCAGGCCACAGTCCTCACCGGGCTTAGTCTCCTCTAAAGGTGCCATCTTAAGAGCAGCGCTAAGAACTGCACCATGAGTTGGATCGACGAGGTCCAGCTCGTCAAGAGTGCTCGGGTCTGCCAGGGATACATAGTCAACCTCGAACAAAGCTCTTTCTGACGGCGCAAGTGCTTGCTGCTCAGCGAGCACACGCTCTGTGACCTTTTTCGCGACCCCCAGGATATCCGCACGGGAGACTTTGCCCGCTAGGTATGCTTCTTCGGCGGCCTTCAGAGCTTTGTATATGGTCAAGCCCACTGCTCGTCTACGCTCGCCGAGGTAGACGTTTCGAGAGCTGAGAGCGAGCCCATCTGTTCCGCGCGAGGTCTCTACAATGCGCACTTCAGTTCCAATGAGGAAATCCTGCACTAGACGCTTGATAATGACGGTTTGTTGTACATCCTTCTGTCCGAAGTAAACACGGTCCGGGGTAGTGGCATTGAAGAGCTTCATGCAGACGGTTGCCACGCCGCGGAAGAAGACCGGCCGAGCGCTACCTTCTAACTTTGTGGATAAGGGGGTAATCGTAACGAAGGAGCCGTGGCCGTCGATCTCAGAGGAGGGGGGCAAAGTCGGGTACATCACTTTAGATGTGGGAGCAAAGATGGCGGTGATGCGCCCGGCGCCAGCTCCGGGGTTGCTGGCAAGTTCCTCATTGAGTTTCTCCAATTGGGCCACATCGCTGTCCCAGGTGCGGGGGTAGCTGGACAGGTCCTCGTTGACTCCGAATCGGGTGGGGTTGACGTATATACTGACGAAAATGTCGGTGTTCTCGCGGGCGGCTTCTCGGATCAGGGAAAGATGGCCTTCGTGGAGGGCACCCATGGTCGGCACGAAGCCCACAGTGCGGTCATTTTGCAGCAGCGACCGGCGTAGTTGGCGCAGTGGAGGGACATCACGGAAAACTTGGAAGGAGGAAGGTTGACGAGCCGACTGTGAGGCTGTGGTAGCTCCGGCAAGCAGAGACGATGCAGCTGCTGGACACATGATTAGCGTGCTTGTAAGCTGGGGCGATTGGAGCAAGACACACAGGAAAAGGTGCGGACTCCCTTTACCCAGCGGGACATGATGGAAGCTGGTGCCAGACCTGGTTTCCGCTTGCTCCTTTATTTTTTTTCTCTTTTTTTTGCTTTGCTTTATATCGGGCTCATGTCACTTTTTACTCGGTACAAATGATCACCGTGACAAGACGAATTCCCGAGGGTCCCTTACATAATCAAAGCCACAGACCCCCGAGGCCAAAGAGGTCTCCGAAAAGTGTACAAGTATGTATTTGATTCTATATACTGAGAACAAGAATTCTGTGTCCTTACAATTGCCACAGTTGCCCTTCTGAAGTTCTATACAAACGCCGAGGTATCGTAGTTCATGAATGCATAAGATCGTATAGTCGGTCAGGACCAGCCTCTGGGCTGGACTAGACAGACAAGAGCAGTAGAGCAAGCAGATTCAAAGCGACCATAACCCAAAGCGAAGGCTGCAAGGACATGTAGGTACTGCCGGAATTGCTAGGGGCAGCCTTCGAGTTTCCCTTGTTGGTGCCGGTCGCCCATGCAGAAGACGAAGTCGAGGTAGCTGAGGACTCTGGCATAGTGATACCGGTGTAGAAGTCCCGGATAATGGAGCTCGCAAGCTCTGCAAGTCCGTAGGTAGAAGCCATCAGATGAGTGGACAAGGCTATCGGAGGCACACTGGCGTCTGCAACGCGGACATTTGCCAGGCCGTACACGCGCAGATTTGCATCAACAACGCCACCCTGCTCGCGGGGCAACATTGCGCAGGTCGAGGACGGATGGAATTCCGTACCGCCGAATCCGCTAAGGAAATCATTCCAATCTTCATCAGACTGAGTGTCCGAGCCTGGGGTCGTTTCCTTCGTCAAGTTGTTGCTGAGCGGAGCAGTTCCACCCAGGAGGCGAGCCATCTTGATACCCTCTCGCAAAATATCAAAGTCTGTAAGAGTCAGCCAGAGCACTATCAATTTGGTTCGTGTTGAGACACGTACCAGCTGGATTGGCCAGATAGTTTGGGTCAATGACGGGATAGTCCATCGGGTCCGACGAGTTGATGTAGACTCGGCCGTGACTGTAGGGGTGCTGCAGAGCAGCAGTGATACCGATATCACCGCTAGCATCACTGTTCATGAACAGAAGCTCAACTTGACCAGTAGGGCTGTTGAAAATCGTTGAGGCAGTCAGGTTGCAGATTGCTTTGTAACCAGCAATGACACCGTCATCGTACGTCGTGTTTGGTGCATACTTATCGATACTACTAAGGATGGAATCTGTCATGCCGGTAATATTCGACCCGTAGAAAGTAGTAGCATTCACATAAGCGATTGCCGAATCGATGTATGACAGATATAGTTTGTTGTCCTGGCCCTATTAGAGAAACGTACTCCCGGGCGTTTGGGGGGATGCTTACCTTGTCGCTACCATTTCGGTACCAGATAGAACCAGCGGTATCGACATCCGTAGCCCACATCACGGTGGCGCTCTTCAAAAAGTTAGCAATCTGGACCATAGACGTCAGTGCAAATGGGACTCACGTAATGGTCCTGCAGATGTTGGCCAACACCCGGTAGTTCAGACACAAGATCTACACCAGCGTCCGACAAGACATCTTTTGGCCCAACGCCACTGTGCATCAGAACGGCGGGACTGCCAATTGTACCGGCCGCCAGGATAACTTCTTTGTTGACCTTGACCCTCAGGGTAGTAGTCCCGTTGTCGGTTGTATATTCAACGGACTCTGCAGTAAGGTTGTCGGAAGGCGAAGAGCTGTCGAAGATCAGACGCATGACCATGGCATCTGCCAGGACATCATAGTTGCCATTGTCGGGAAGAGGATCAAGATAGCCTGTTTTGCTATATGAACGGGTCCAATTGGTGGGATTGATAGTCGACATGGAGACCTCCGCACCCCAAGGCTCTCCATCGTACATGTTCGCCGAAATAGGAATGCCAATGTTCTCCAAGGAAATAGACCAATCTCCGACCTGGGGGAAGGTGCTGCCATATAGTTAGTTCGCTTGGCCTTGGAATGCCATAGGAAAGGATATAACACACTATCCAGGATAAGACACGTAGATTGGGCCATCGGTGCCGAGATTTGACAAATTGTAGGTGACCTGGGCCTCCTGGGCGATCTTGTCACTTGGAGCCGAAAATGTTTCGCTCTTCTTCATCGCGGCATAGAGCGAATCCCAGCTCCAGTTGTCCGCACCATCCATGTCTCCAAGCAAGCTTTGCCAAGCGTCAATCTCGATCTGACCCGGACGTGTCAGATAGAGTCCGTTGATAGCAGAACTCCCTGCATTGTCTTTAGTTTGAGCTTCTCATTTGCAGGGTACCCGGCACAAACCTCCCAGCGTCTTTCCACGAGGCCATCTGATCTCACGGTTAGCCGCATTTGCCTGCGGAACCGTGTAGAAATCCCAGTTTAATGGCGTTGTCCACAGCGAGTCGAAGTAAGAGTCTGCAGGAGTGTCTATTCGCTCACGATAAGCATCGCCATTGTCACCTGCTTCCAGAACCAGAACGGTGTTGTTCGTATCCTCCGAAAGACGAGCACCGAGAACGAGACCAGCTTGACCACCACCGACGATTACAAAGTCGTATGAATCTGCAATCTTGGTCCGTGGCGCAAGCGCATCAACGCAGGGTAGAGCGACCGCGAGGGCTACGCGCAAGCCCTTCATGATGTGAAATTGACTGAGTTCTAGTGCGATAAGTGTACACCAGGTCGAAGGAGCGAGAAACGATCAATGTCAAAGATGGCCGGTCTTTCTACCCCTGATCATAAGCCAGCCAAACGGGTGTACCTGAGGAAATTTACGCCGAACCGTGGAAAGCTTGTTTGTACCACGCTACAGCTCCATTTGAGGAGCCAGGGTCCATGCAACCGAACTTTGCAAAAGCGGGTCACAGCTTATTAGACCCAAGCTTGGCTGCCGTCGAAACCCAAACTAGATTGCGCGACTGGATATCGCCGCCCAATCAGAGACCCTATTGCGTCCAAGCCCCTTTCAGACTCCTTATCGACGCCAGCCATTCGTGTTGGTACCCTGGGCCGATCTGTTGCCCTAGTTCCCGATCAGCCAACGATGCAATTGCATTTATTTAGGCATCGACCCAGTCGGTCTGGCCGCCTGGCCCTTGACATCATCCTGCTATCCTCCTGGTGGGGGGCTCGGCCTCAAGCTGAAACACTTGACGCAACCTCGCCATGTTTTCTTCAACCGTGGTCAGGATCTCGCGCTTACTTGGCAGGCACGATCGCCCACCTGCACGGTTCCCAAGGGTTCTGAAGTCTCAGCGGAGAGGGCGCCTGTCGATAATTGCTTTTTCCAGTCACGCGCTAGCGAGTGACTAAGTGGGCATGTTGGAGAGCCACAAAGAAGAATAAGGCTGGTCGTATCGCTGGTCCAAAGTCTCGGAGGGCACAGCCTCGTTCGACAGGCGAATTGTCTCCTAGGTCACGACAATTGAGGGCACTATTCGGGCGATCCTTCCTGTACCATGCGCATACAGGTACATATACTAGATCCATGACTGCATGCACATTTGCTTTTGCCTTACACTCGGATCGCTCCGTAACTCGTCGATTGGTGGACTCGGAGAATGGAGCACACGATGAGCGCACGGTATGCACACACACCTTCTGAGTTCTGCCGGGATATTACCGAGAAAGAGCAAAGCCACGATGGGCTCCACCACAGGTCCTCATCGGCTCTATTGCCCGTGGTACCCTTGCGACTGCGATAATGCAAGGAACCAGCCTTTGACTATCTCCAAGCTGCGATAAGCTTACTTCGGACTTATTTACACCAGCCACAGTAACCCACCCGCTCCATAAGTCTAACTGACTCACGTGATCTGTACCTCGGGTGCGGGGAAACTCGCCGCCCGTTAAGGAAGCCAAACTTTCCGGGGTTGATCGTCCATTTTGTTGGGATTCTCAGAGTATGGCCTCGGCCCGCAGCTGACCGTTGGGGCCCGTTCAGTATCTTGAGATTTCCAGGATCCAACTTATCTTCGATTCCTGCTCTCCCGACTTCCGTGAACATGCCCCCAAAACCGAATATAACCGACGAGCAGTCCGCTCCGGACCTCGAAATCGTCGGCAACAAGCTCACCATACACCCTTCCGGCTTCACTGGCGGATCAGACTCCCAGGATGATTCAATCACCGAGCGGAATTTGGTGAGTAATATGGCCAGCTTCCGCGCACAACCTCTCGAGTTCCTCCGCGAGGTGAGCCTGTACATGTCCGGCAGCGGGTGGCGCGCCTACGACAACGAGAATGTGGTCGGCCAGCCGGTCTTCTATCCCGGATTTAGCGAGCGCATGAAGTCTTCGATCCTGAAAAGTACCTTGCTCCAAGATAAGATTCGAGAACTGGCGTCTACCCGGCTCGGAGTGGAGGAGAAAGATGGGCTTTTGGCGATCAAAGAAGGGAAGAACCTGGACGAGAAACGAGCGCGCCGCCGACATGAGCTCGAAAGCAGTCTCGGAGAGGTGGTGGATACGATGATGGACAACATGATTTGCAAAATGGAAAGCAAAGCTTTCATCCGGGGCGCCTACTACATGACGACCCAGCTTCTTACGCGGGCCTATCACCAAGGCATCCACGTGTCTAGTGAAGAGGTCCTCCGTCTTAGGTCGGTTGCAAAGATTGCGGCCGAGAAGAACCAGTCGATCGTGTTTTTGCCGTGCCACAAGTCCCATGTGGACTATGTGTCGATGCACCTCATTTGCTATCGCTTGAATATGACTCTCCCCGTCGTCGTGGCAGGTGACAATCTGAACATTCCGCTCGTCGGACCATTTTTGCAGCATGCTGGTAAGTCGTGGAAGCATTCTTTTTGGAAAGTGGTCTCTTAACACGTGCAGGTGCCATGTGGATCCGCCGGAGCTTTGGGAATGACCCACTGTATCACGCCGTCGTCCAAGCCTATATCGACACCCTTCTTCAGCAAGGCTTTAACTTTACATGCTTCATTGAAGGCGGCCGTTCCAGAACTGGAAAGCTGCTCTCGCCCAAGTTCGGTATCTTGAACTTCATTGTCGACAGCGTACTTTCGGGTCGTGTCCAAGATACTATCTTCTGCCCGGTGAGCACACAATATGACAAAGTCATTGAAACCGAGTAAGTCTACAGGACTCCTGTTGTGGCTCATTCCGCTAATTGTATCCTAGGTCATATATCAGTGAGTTGCTAGGACAGCCGAAACAGAAAGAAACACTATCCGATTTCCTTTCCTCGTCCTCGGTTTTATCCCTCAAGTTGGGACGAGTTGACGTCCGCTTCCATGAACCATGGAGCCTACGAGAGTTCCTTGGTCAGCAACTCACTCAACTGAATCTGGCAGACAGCCTTGGGCCGAACGTCAAATTGGCGCAGGCCGAACGTGGCCGAATCCTCCGTACATTGGGCTACCGTGTCTTGTCTGAGATCAACGATGTGTCCGTCATGATGCCGCCAGCGCTCGTTGGAACCGTGCTCTTGACTCTTCGCGGTCGTGGAGTTGGGAAGGGAGAGCTGATTCGTCGCTTGGATTGGCTGTGCGAGCGCGTGAAAGCCAAAGGTGGTCGAGTCGCTCATTTCTACGGCTCTCCTACGGCGCAGGTGGTTGATCGTGCTCTCGAGGTACTGGGACCGAAGCTGGTGGGAGAGATCCCCGGCTTGGTAGAGCCCACATACTATGCTGTTGACCGCTTCCAGCTATCATTCTACCGCAACATGCTCATTCATCTATTCATCACGGAAGCACTGGTCTCAGCAGCAATGTATACGAAGATCAAGCAAGGAGGCGGGCCTACTCACCAACGGATCACGTATGTTGCTTTGAGGAACCAAGTTGCCTTCCTCTCGCAGGTTTGTTTTACCTCTTTTCAGCATGAATTTTTTTTTGGTTCTAACAACGACAAATAGCTCTTCCGTGGCGAGTTCATCTTTCCGCCTGAGGGCCTGGCAACGAATATGGAGAAGACGCTACGCAGCTTAGAAGAAGACGACGTTATCAAGGTCACTCGCGATAACTCCGGCGCCCCCCAATATGTTGAACTGAGCGATGCCGAACGCCTATGTGGCCGTGAAAACTACGATTTCTACTGCTTCCTGATCTGGCCTTTCATTGAGGCATCCTGGCTTGGCGCCGTGTCGCTCCTCGGCCTCACACCCCCCCTTCACGGTGCGCAGGAAATCTGGGTCGATATGAAGAAAGCGCAGGACAGCGCGCAACTTGTGAGTTCATCCGTGAACATGACTGCTCGCAGGCAGGGGACTGACGCATAATAGCTTGGCAAAACGCTATACCACCAAGGTGACCTATCATACTTTGAGGCAGTGAACAAGGAGACCCTCAAGAACTCCTACCAGCGTTTCGAAGAAGAGGGTATCATCCTCGTCGCCAAAGACAAGGAGTCTCGCGCAGGTCCAGCTTTAAGGCTTGCGCCCGATTGGTGTCCTGAACGCGACCCCAGTACGGGCCGGGTGATGGATCGCGGCCGCCTATGGGACTTTGTGGAATTAATTGCGCAGTCGCGTCGCGAAGGGTCAGTTCATTCCTCCTTCCATTTGGTGCTGTTAGCAATGGAAATACTAATTCCCAGTAGTAAAAACCGACGTGATGGTGCTACCGTCTCCTCCCGCGTTCTACAAATGTCGGATGTGGTCGGTCAAGAGCTGTTCAAGACCGCTGCCGCGCCTCCACCGGCCGATGTGTCCTCGAAGCAGATGCGCCGTAAAGCTATTGGAACAGATGCAAAGCTTTAGTAGGGTCGTCTCAGCTTCGATTGTAGCCGTCAACATCGATCAAACTTTGTACATTTTGTTTCCGACTATAACCAGCGCTTCAATGCCCGTCACATAATCTAATCAATACCCATATTTGTATCATACTAGTATGATGACAGTAGTCTTTGAGCTTTTTGGAAGAAAGGGGGAAAATAAAACCTTACCCTTGGAAGCTTGAAAATACAACACAAATCATGCAAAGGTAGTAAACAAAGTCATAAGCTACGATTCTATTGTTCAACATTTCGATATATGTACTCCCTCTTGGGCGGGTTATTGTTCACACCATTCCCTACCTTCGTGGATGTTGCATTATTGCTTAGTAGACCTTGAATCCACCAGGCATCAAGCTCTGAAAGACGGCCGTCGGGTCATATTTCTGGGCAATTGACACCAGCTTCTGGTGGTTCTCAGCACCATACCCGGGAAAGATCGACTGGAACCCAGCCGCATCACCCATGTAGTTGAACGGGTCGTAGAGGCCAGCCTTCTGGGTGGCGTTGTTGATCGCATAGGTCGTCTCCTCAACCCACGAAGCCACGATCTTATCGTACGCAGATCCAATCCACTCCACCACCTCCGCATAGCAGAGGTAGACCTTGGCCTCGTCGAAGCCGAGGGGGTTTCCGCCACGGGCGTTAGAGGCCTTGATCCAGTCCGCACCGATGGGCTGCCAGTCCAGCTCGATGATGGAGATGTTGGCAGCGGGGACCTGGGCATAGAGCTTGGGGAGCTCGTTGAAGAAAGTCGTGTTGATGATGCTGATACCCTGCAGCAGCTCATTGTAGTTGGTACCAGTTACTGTTCCGGCAACGAAGACATCGCTGGGGGGGAGTTTGTTAGTGGGTGTTCAGGTGTTCAGATTGGGGGAGTTTGGGTTCTGGTGCACCTACTTGATATGAGGGGTAACGGCCTCGCCGGTCTCGGCGGCGAACTCCGACATGGTTTTGAAGCCAACGGTACTGCTGATGGCGGGGATGTCGGTGAATGGTTTGAGGCTCTCTGGGTAGGCGATGGTGTCGCTGTCGTAGAACAGGATGACGGAACCCAGGGTGCTGTTTCCAGCAATGAGCGCGGGCACGACGTGCGTCTTCTTGTCGGAGATATTGGCCGCAAAGGTTGCAGAGGCCTACGATATTAGCATTGGCATAAACGGGTTTCTGGATATTTGAAGATATCGAGGGTTGGACTCCGTACCTGTAAGAAGCGATCGACATACGGCGCCGCGACGGTATGGATACCAGCCCAAACCTTGCGAGATGGAATAGTTTGCATATCGAAACGGGTTACTAGACCGAAATTACTGCTGCCACCCTTCAGGGCCCAGAAGAGATCGGGATAGGAGATCTTATTGACCTCGATGACCGATCCATTGGCCAGGACCACCTCGTAGTTAATCACAGTGTCGGCAGAAAAGCCGACTTGGTTACCGTAGAAATTCACACCACCGGCAAGCAGGAGGCCAGGTACCCCGACCGGGCCAAGACGTCCTCCAGCAGCAGTTAGGTTGAACTGGCCGAGATACGAATAGACATCACTCCACCTGTTTCGAGGTCAGTGAATACAGTAAGGCCGCGGCGAGGGGAACGTGGAGAGAAACTCACCGATGGGAAGGACCAACCGACACCAGCGACTTGTCCTGGTTGAGTTGCAGAGTGGTTAAGTTGGACATCACAACAAGGACGCCTCCGTCGATGTTATTTGACCCCTGCAAGTCTCGTCAGCCACGTTTCTGCCGGGAAAGCTTAGCTGAATTTACCCGGATGCCCATGTGGCCGCCACCACGAACGGCAAACTGAGCCTCTTCATGGACCAACGCCTTCAGCCCCTTGGCCAACTGGCCACTCGACTGCGGGCGGAACACACACGCCGGAGACATGATCTCGGTGTTAGACCAGAAGTTCTGCGCCTCATAGTTGTAGACGCTTGATCCCTTGGCGAATACACTGCTGGGAAGAGACCTGTGCAGCGCACTGCAGCCGGAGCTAGCAGCAGCCACCGCCGCCAAACCCAGAGGCACAACAGCGCTGAGATGCATGGTTGCCGGGTGTCAGAGAGGGATGACGTTCAACGGGAGGGGGAAAAAAAGAAGGCATTTCCGCCCAGAACGCGAAGAGCATTCGATTTGGAATGCTCCTTCACGGGCATTGCTCGATTCGGCAGTTCTCATCGCGGTGGCTTTACCGGCTCCAGCGGGACAGAAAGAGGGTCTGTGGGCAGTCAGCGAAACCCACTTGGCGCCGTTGTAGAGTGGAACAAAGCCGAAGGTGATTGTGATTGGCATGTTCTTCGCATGCTAGCCGAAAGGCCTTGCGAGCCACCTGATGGCCACCTGGTGTTTACCTGATCCGCGGGAATCCACTTTGAGGGGAATAATCGAACGCTATGCGAGGCCGGAAATGACTAGTTTGGGTGTTGCCGAAGTGGCGTGCTAGATTTCTATAGGAGATTGTGTAGCGGTATTGTTGTCGTGGTATCATGCTATTCAGTTCCGATGCTGCTTTTTATACAAACTATATACACGCGTTAGGCCCTTCTTGCAGAAGAGCTCTCAACGTCGAACTCAAGGGTCCGGATAATACCCGCTGGTTCCTTGACCTGAGCATGGTCGGGGGTAGAATGTAGTCCTCGCTGCCGTTATCATCTCCCCGGCGGGTTGCAGATGCGTGCTCGATTTCGGGTTCAAGCTCCGAATAGTTTCGTTGGTCGCTGCGAGGAAGAGATCCAAGCGGATATCCAGATTTCTTGGACTTCGATCGGGGAGTGGTCCCCCTTGGAGGAGCCTAGGATTCTTGGGAAATCGTCGGACAAATGGTCGCAGGGCTGTGACACAGCCGCCGGTGATCCCCAGATTTAATTCGATGTTACACCACATCAAGGCATTAGTAGTATTCCCTATACCAAGGCATGTCAGTTCGAGTCTCTGCGGAGGGTTGGATAGATCGTACATGTCAAGTCCGCGCTGTTCATCAACGGGACCAAGGAGGAGAGACGGATACAGCTCACGATGCCGACCCTGTGTCCACATTAGCGAGAAGCTCAAGATCTATGGCCGGCGCGATACGTACGAACAACCCGTCATTAAGATAGTTCCCACGGCGATCTTCTGTCGCAGCGGCATCTGCAGCCGGCGCAACCACGGCCTGGGGGAACAATGTTAGCGAGAGAACCGAGACAGCCCCAAAACATCAACATACACGGGCACCATCACCGTTGCGAAATCGGTGAAAATCCCCAGTCCCGCATTTGCAAAGTAGAAGACCGGTCGGTTCATGCATGTCCCCTTCGTGATTCGTGAATCCCAGGACATGGCGATGGGATTGCAGCTGAAGACGTTCGCGAGAACGCTAGCAAAACTGTAACCGGCGGCGATGGTGACGAGGGCCCAGACCAACCGATGGAAATTGCGACTGGGGAAGATCCGGGTATAGAAGACAAGGACGGAGCACTTGGTGAAGCCGGTGGCAGCGCAATAGATGGCGGCCGCCGCGAGATTCCGCTACAGTAGATCAGTGTTAATGGTAACAGCTCCCTGCGTTGATAGATCCAGACACAAACCCACCTGTTCGAAGTTGGGAGAGAAATGGTCCATCGGTACATCCCACATATGTTCCCCCAGTCCCCAATTAGTCACTTATCAGGTCAGCTCTGCCTGTCTGCCCGCGGTCCTTCCAAGGCGGCGTATCAACTTACTGTCTAATGTCACTCCTATAAGGACGCATGAGAGCACCTGTAAGTCCTGGGTTAGTTCTGCGCGCTTCGGCAAACGTAAAGCGTGAAGCGATTCTCACCAGAGCAACAATCATCAAGTCTGATAATTTCAATTAGTTCCCTGTCCTTCCATTGCAGGGTCAAGCGCGACTCACAGTCATCTATCCAGATGCTCCGCACTATAAAGACTCGAGTCCATACTCGGAGAATAAGGGAGCATACCGCCACCGCCAGAAACACGCAGCTCGTCACCACAAAGGTCTGGCCGCGGTATTCGGGGTTGACGAAGTTGGATGTCTGGCCAGCCGGTGGCGGCAGAACAGGCGTAGTGGCGTCTGTAGCCATGGCGCTGGCTTACTCGGCAAAGCAAAGACCCATCGGGCGTAGGGGCCAGAATAAATAAGTAAAAGAGGCGCTCTACGGCGTATATGAACGATAGGAATGGGCATGAGCGTGCCTGGCGGGGGCCATGAAAACTTGGGTCCCGAGATGTCAAGACATAAAGTTTAATCGTTTCAGCGCAAACTTACTGCGTATGAGAATGTGGGGAGGATTTCCATCAATGTACTCCGTCCAGGCAGTTTGCTGGGGTCAACTTCTCAAAGATCGGCCCTGCTGGCCCGAAGATTTGGATCTTGCCCTCCCGGGAATTCGTAGGAGGCCCGCATCGACAATCTCGGTTACAGCGTCGAACTCCACTTCTTCGTCGAGGTCTTGGGGGGAGTGGCCATCAACCACGGAAAGAAAAAGCTGATATTGCTACTGTCCCGACATGTTCAAGGGTCATCATGAGGGCCAGGGCAGCGAGGAGGGGTACATAATCGAAAAGACACCTTTCTTCACGCGGGATCCCAAATTTGGGCCATGCAAGTCGCCCACTACTCCGTACTGCGTAAATATAACGGGAGGATACCGTCTGAACTCAATGAACAGCGCTAGGAGGGCAATTCCTTCATGAGGTAGTGATCGACATGGCCATCTCCCATCGAGCGATCCGTTTTGATCGTTTCGAGCAGCATCCCCACTCTGGCCTTTGCCGCAAACCCTAATCGCCCGCTAACGATGGCCCGCCTTACCCATTCTCCCCGTTCTTCCGGTCTTTCCCTTGGTGCAATGGGTTTATGCCAAGCGGGATCTTTTATCCTCCTGAGCCATAGGCGGGACCATTTTCCAGGCCTCATACTTCTTATTGGTCTGTCTATGTGAGGCAATGATTACTTATTCGCCCATGACGATATACATGATTTCAAGCTCCGCCCTGCCATTTGTAGGCGTCCTCGAGGAGGGGAGAAGGGGACTGTTCACAATGAAACTTTTGCATTTCAAAACCATGCTGGGCTGGGACTCAAATTACGAGGCCTAGGCCAGAATAATCAATATTGAGCGAACTTCCCTGTGAAGCTCTATGCATTAGGCATGAAGTCAATAAACTACCCCAACGACGATCATACACAAGACCAAAAAGTTCGGGTGCGAGAGGAACTGACGTCTCGGGGAGAAACCCAAAGACAAATCCAGAACAATATTGACTGTATGGCTTTTGTTTCTCTGGTCACCATTTTCAAGTTGGCGGGAATTAGGCTTTTCCCACGCCGATCCTGCGACGATCATAGAATTTGACGGTTTGGCCAGACAGCTATCCATCTTGACTAAATCCTGAGTAATGGTATAGTCTCATTTAACGGGAGTTCTTCCTGGGATCACCCCGTGGAGCAACTTGAAACAGTGGCCAGGAAGTATACTTTGACTAGCAGTACCTCGGCCTATCAAGTCCGATGACAACTTGAAGAACTGCATGCTGCGCTTTCTGGACAATCTGGTTTCTCATTAGGTAAAGGCGAACTATGGCATCGAGTTCTCAAATATGCGTGGGAATTAAGCGCAAAACAATATAGAAGCCTAAAACTTAAACCCCTGGACGGGAGACCCTTCAACACGTCAAATGGGCTGCTCATTATATGCCCTACGGACCTCCGTTATCGGACCAAACCTCTTATTCTGCATGTTCTGTCGACAGCCAACAACTCGGTGGCTTTAACTTTCAAAAAGACTCAGAAATGAGAGCGGGGAGGGAGGGAAATCAAAAGAGAAATCACAAAACTTCTGGCAGGGGTCCCTGCTGCAGTGCAGCCCCTTGTGTCGCGTTTTTAGATACCAGGAATTGGAGCTTGACTCAAAGACACCATTTATACTTTCAGATATGCTATGCGCAAAGAATCGATAGCTGAGACCATGACTCGAGGTACACATGGTTGATACAATGTAACGAGTGATGTGTCAGTACGTATCCTGCACTTATCATGAATACCTCTCCGGATTTAACCCCCCGACCATATTAGGAGTACACACCTCATGCGAAATTCCGTTTCGTCGGTCGTAACAGAGCGTAGCGATGAAATTTACCTGGTGCAGGGCGCGTTGGATGTGCATGCTCCCTCGAGCTAGGAATACAGGCCAGCATCAGCGCAATCCGAGCCGTAGCTACAGATGCCTTCAGTTTTCGAGAATCTCTTAGTCAATTTATCAGCAAATGGAGGCGTATGACCAGCCGGAAACATTGGAACATACACTGGCTACGTTTGCGGTAGCAATGGGCATCGAAATTTTACGTAGACTCCATAATGGATCTCTCATGGATTGGATCTTTGTGATCAATGGCTCATAGAGTGCCGCCATACATCGTTGGAGTTTGATGAATAAATCATAAAGCTGCCTGCATATAGTATGACAATATCAGTGGGACCGGATTCTCTAGACACAAACGCGTTGTCGAGGGCATGATACGGAGAAGGCTTTGGCTGAGTTTCATCACGTCTCTGCTCCTAAGGGTAGAGCAAACAATGACTCTGGATGCGAGTGATTGAAGAAGCAGGGCGATTCAAGAGACGAGTCTTACTTTACGTGTACTATCGGACAAGTAGGTCAACAAGACAGAAAAGCTTTTTGGGTATTGACCTCTCCAGAATGCTACTTTGAAACTTGAAATAGAACCCGCACAAGCACCGTAAGAACAAGATCCCAGAATGAAACAAGACAAACCCCCACAAAGCTAGGTAAAAGCGAGAACACGATGGGGGAAAAAAGGGGGAAAAAAAGAGAAAAAAAAAAAAACTCCCGGGTAGACCATGATAGACGATCGAAACAAGAGAGCTCAGGAGAAAGAGGAAAATGGAGCATTGGCATAACACTTCAAGAGATTTGATGCGTTCCCATGCTCACATTTGCATCGTCGAATCCCCATCCGTATCATCTGTTGCCATGAATGCCCCGGCAGGTACCCGCCCCTCTGCCAGGTCCTTCTCAAGCCGTGCGACTTCCTGAAGGCTCGTTGCATTCAGAATCATTTCCTGCACCCGCTTCTTCTCAGCCGCTGTCAGCTTGAGGCGGACGGGTTGCTCGCTTTTAGATTCGCCGGCACCTGCACCATTGCTGGCAACACTGACGACGGATTTGATGCCCATGATCTTGGCAGCAAGTTCAGTGGGTGCTTCGCGAGTTCCGAAGAGTTCTCGGGCCTTGATCCGCTCGGCTTGCTTCACTTTTTGGTAGTCGAGGAACACCACTGATGGGACCAGCCATATGACCCAGTACCGGTAGTTCTGGAGCTTTTGTTAGTTTTCATCAATCCATATCGATATGGCGAGGCGGGGCATCGGAGCCACTCACCTCTTTTCGCGTGACGGGATTTTCAAGCAAGGTAAGGTGTCGGAGTTGTGTGAGTGTTGAGAGGGGCTCGAGGTCCGCCAGTTCAGCCAGATTGTTTGAGAACAGAGTGATTGTTGACAAGTTGGGCAATGACGAGCCTAGTGCAGGTTGAATGTGGTTGATTCGGTTGCGGGCGAGGAGCAGCGTGCCCAGGCGGGGGAAGTAGGGGAAGTTCCCGACGGAAGAGATGTCATTATCCGTGAAGTCAATCGTGTCTTGATCCTGTCTTGTGTCAGCGACTCTTGTCCAGCTTGAGAGAGCTCTGCAATCTCGCATGCCGAGCCCATTGGCATAACTCACCTTGGCGAGACCTAAGTTCTCAATCGCGGGGATCTTGCGCCCTATATGACCCAATTCGGATATGAATGCAGCTCTTTGGCGAAGTGTAGTGTCTGTCCTTTCCAGGCCAGGTAATCCTGTTCAAACGCACCTCTCAGATCAAGCTCGCGGTCCTTGAGCGTGTTGATGTAGGAAAGAGAATTCTCAATGAGTTCTGCAGTCAAGCGCATGGTGGCGGTTGTGAGAATCAAAAACGTTCGACTATGGGGATATCATATATGACACGTGAACGATGCAAAGGCGAGAAGGATGGAGGGGAAACGAAATTCGAGCAAGACGCTGTCGCGAGATTCACAAATTGAGATTAGCTTGGTACCACGGCCCTTTCTGCCGGGCGGTGTTATTGCCACGTGATGCTCCGTATCTACAGCTATCTTCCATATAAGCGGGGAGGATTTGTACAGTCAATAGTGAGAATGCTTATGGAGTATTTGAGCAATGTATTATTCTATGTTCATTAAGGTCCCAATTAATATACTAATGGTACAACTCCACGAGATTCAAATCACCCGGATCAACTCGAAAGCATCAAGACAATGAGCGGCTCTAGGATACAGGGGTTGAATATAGTACCAGGAAAAAGGACAGCATTGCTACTGAGGAGGAGCAGATGCTCGGAAAGAAAGTCTTCCTACACTGTGGAAGACACAAAAGCAAACGGGCCAGATCCCGTATCCAAACTAAACTCCAGGGGTATGCAATGGGGAAATGCGATGCGGGGCTGAGGCTCAAGGGACATAATTCAGTTCAGGAGGCATGCATGAAGAACAGCGTCAGTCATCGGCAAGCGGGCTCAAGCTTGGGGATTTTTGATGGAGGGAGCGTGTGGGACTGCCGGCTCGAGAGCGACGCCCATTGGTAGTAGGGCCCAAAGCGATGGGAGCCAAGTGGTCCCGGCTTTCAGTACGAATCACCAGCCCAGCTCTATCCATTGCAATCCCTGAGCCGCCACTGATTCCTAAGCCGATCGTCCCTGAAGAACTATTGTCAAGCGAGTATTTCAGGCTGGGGGTATTGCCATTGCTGCCCCAGCTAGATGCCCGATTAAGGGGACGTGGTGTAGCACCATCAGAGGTGGAAGGGCGGCCATCATGGTCACTGGCATCGGAGTCTGTGCCACCCAGATCGAATTCTTGGGCTCCATCCTCCATGACGCGTTCGTAAGACGGCGCATTGCGGTTGAGGAACGGGATCATGCCACCAAAGGGCTTGCGACGCTTCGGGTGGTTAGGGTGAGAAGGTCCACCGCGACGCAGGCCGGTCTTAATGCGATGATAAATGCGTGATCGACGGCTCCGGCCACACAGGAAGAAGGTCATGACCACTACAATGCATAGGAAAAGAAGGAATCCAGGGATGCGACGAGGCGAGTCGCCATCAAAGAGGGCATCATGCCAATGCGCGCTGTGGAAGCCATCCGTATCGGGTAGTAATTCCACACTTGGATATTGGAAGTCCGGAGGAACTCCAGGGACATTGCTGCCAAAGCCCACAGGAAGGGCTTCCTGGATTTCGCCGGTACCTGTGATGAAGCATATAGGATAATCTTGCCAAGTGTCCAGCTGACTTCCGTGGAGTCGATCTTGTTCACAGCCTGGAATGCATCAAGGTAGCCCTTTTCTTTCGCATGCGACAAGACTTCCTTGGTACCATTATGGACAGAATTTCCGGGGTGGGAGATTTCCTCTAGGCCAACGCGCGGGATTCCAATACCGTCATGTAGCATGTTAATTATCCATGACGCTTTGAAGCAGACCTCAGCCGCCTTTTGGCTATCCACCTTGTTGCCCCACTGGTGGGTTTCAAGGCCACTCTGAATGGTAGACCAATCCTGAGAGCAAAAAGTCTTTACCCGTTCCTGGTAAGTGTGGAAGTCGTATGACTTGTCCTTGTAGCCCATCTCAAAAATCTCGTGAGTTGTGTGCCAATACTCGCTGATCCCGATGAAGTGATTCACGTCAAAATCGATGGCAGGGACATGCACCCCATGCAAAAGACATGGCTGGTCCGAACACGGGGCATCCTTGTCCAACAGAGGGAAAGTCTGTCGCAAACACTCATCGAATTTGCCAGTACCCAGCAAGTAGGTTCCGCCGCTATTTGACCCGAGATCGTGGCCATTCAATGTTGTGCGCAGGCCACTGGGGAGACAGGGATCTGGTAGCTCGCGGATGTGAGAGGGCGCTGCCGCCTGCAAAGCTTCCACGTAACGTCTACGAGCCTCGTGCACGCCAAATTCCAGCCAGGAGGTCACGAAGACTCGGTGCTCCTGCACGGATCCATCGATGTTGCGAAGTCGTAGGAGGGTGAGATCATTGGCGTGCTTGGCTGTTTCCGTTTCGTTGGGAGCAAAAGCAATTTGAGCAGATGCACCCCCCATGTCCAGGAAGCCGTAGGTGTGCTGTCCTTTGCCATGGTCGTGAGCTTCGGGTGAGTCAAAAGTTCCCATCAGATAGTTGGTGGCGATCCATCCATACAGTCCTTCGGTGACGCCAGGAATCACTTGGATATGAACGCCGCAGTCAGGCAGGAGGAAGTCGGTGTTCGCGCGAGCGTAGGAGCAGACCTGGTCGAGAAGCAGTTGGCGTTCCATGTTTCCGAGCAGTCGCATACCGGCCGTCGCGAGGAGGAAGATCGGAGTGTCCTTTGCATCTTCCGCGGGGATGATATTCTTTGCGTGTTCAAGAAGTTCCTTTAAGTGTTCCGGGCCAACAGCTTCGGGTCGATCGGCGAATGAAGAGACACCTGAGAAATAGCGAGTCAGAGACATATCTTTGCAGACGCTGAGCGCAGCGCGCAACACTCACCAGGACGAATCTTCTTGACCCATTCCTCTTTGGTTTTGATTTCGGGGAGGGTTTTGAGTTCTTGTATGTCGGCATTTTTGCGCGCCACTGCATTGCGCAACCAGCGGTAGACATGGACGCGGGTTCCCTGCAGAGTTAAGAATTAGCTTGCGAGTTGGAGAGATAACGCAACCCCAGATATGGCTAACATACAGACGAACCAGCGTCTAAAACGACACCATAGCGCCCTGTGGAGCCGCGTCAGCAATTTGAAGGTCGAAGCAAAAGGGGTAGGAAGATCGTACACTTGCCCATTTGGACTCGAGACAAATAGCAATTAACCGTATAGCATGACCTTGAATAGCGAGTGGAAGAGGGGAAGTCCCCTGAAGTTAAGCAAGATGGTGGGCGAGAAACGAGTGTCGAAGTCGAAAAAGGGTGGAGAGAGGAAGATAAGGGACGCGAGCAAAGGGCCTTACGAAACGTGACGAAAAGGCCAGACTTTCCACGGGCGGTCCGCCACCGAGCGGCGAAAAGTTACAATACGGGAAACGGATGCAAGACGGAAACTTTAGCCGCTTTAGGACGACCGCATTTAAATTGGATTTTCATTTCAGTGAGGACGACCCTGCGACTTCTGGATTTCGGTGGGTCTGGCCTTTCAGTGGGCTTTCATTTCGAGGGGACGATTTCTGAGACACAGGATTCGTCACCCCGGAATGCGCCCCATGTTACTCCGTATATTTCGAAAGCCACCGAATCCTCGGCCGGACCCTGAGGGGCAGCACAGTGCGTCAGTATACGTCAGCTCCCCGGGGCGTTGACGCACCTCATTGCACCGTGATACGCCAGGCCGCGCAGTCTTTCTTGGCACTCCAGCTTCTCCTCAACCACAGCTGATAACCATCAAACCGGAGTGGCCCATCTCAATCTGTAGCGAATCACTGTACAACTTGGACGACGGATGGTTCCGAACACTCTTGACTCCCACTTGCATGGTCTCCCCCTCATAGCCGTTCTTACCTGTTTTGCGCTGGTTGCGACGGCAAGGTCTCCTAAGATCGACACTGCTAAAATGAGCTGGGCCCCACTGCCCACCCGTGTCCGTGATTCGTGGTAAGCAAGAGCATGATGCAACTGATTGGCATGATAGGTTCATACTCACTGCTCAGAAACCACACTAAGTCCAAGGATGACACCCTCCACGCGCATCGCGATCTGCACCGGCTCCTCTAGGAGCCCTTGGGCTCCACGGCCCCCCCCCCCCCGAGCTTTCTCAGGATCAAGATTCCGAGTCCGGTTGTCCAATGCTCCCAAAGATCGCGAGTATGGTGTCTCTGGAGACATCGGCGGGCGCTGCCAGTTGATTCTGCCGTGCACTTGCAGCTGCATAGGTTCCACATCTGGATGTACCGCAGGATGCAAGATAACGAGACTGATAAACTCTAATTATGCTCTGCACAAGCTTGCGATCAGGTTGCTCATGCCATCGCGCACTCGTAGGACTCGAAGTAGTACCACCTGGGCACCTCCCGCAGCTGACCCGTAGATCCTGTAACACGTGTCTACCACACTCTTATCGCGGTCTTCACTGTCATCGGTCTCCGTGCCGATCCTAAAGCCAAGAGACTCGGGAGATTTCCGTGAAATTAGTTATTTGTTGATCATTACCTCGTCAACTGAAGCATACAAGATTGCTAAGACATGCCGCCATGGCTCTATTACAGAAAGTTCTCTTCGAACGTGAATACACCTTTCGGGTGTTGATACTGAACTTTGACAACTTTCTCCTTTTCAAACTGAACAGAAAGAGACCTCACTCGATCGGCGAGGGGGATGTCCGAGGGTATATACGGAGTCCCATCCGGAATCCCTGCCGATGACTCTTCGATAGCCACCAGATGTTTCGCGATGCGGCCTGCGACATAGTAGTCCCAGAGCCCTTCGCGCCGCCGGCCAAAGAGAAGAAGCTCGATCGCGCGGTGGCGAATGACAGAGTCTCGACACCGGGTGGCTGCTATGTAGAGCGGGGTGTTGATTCCTAGCGACAAGGAGAAGACAGAAGAGATCGACTTCGGGGGTTTGGGTCGGAGAACGGGTAGAGACGACGCTTTTTGTAGTTCCTCGGGAGACACGCTAGGAGAGCACGGATTGGGATTCGAAAGGGGATGGCCTAACATCTCCGCCGCGAGAAGTGTGATGGTGTCGAAATCGGCCATATGCTTGTCCCAAATGAGCTCTGTCATCGGTCGGTTTAATTCGAGAACTATCTTGACAGCTAATCTCCATATTCTGAGGGTCAGCACGGTTGGATGTTTTTCGTGATTGAGAGCTCCGCCTCGCTGAAGCCAGTCGTCGAAGACAGACATCCATGTATGTAGCCCTGCTGCCAGCCGGTAGTATTCTGACAGAAGATGCTCCGGTAGCTCTTCCTCGGGTGGTTTGGCATACCCGAGTTGCATGCGATCGCAAATAGCTTCGAAGCCAATGAGATCATTATATAGAATTTGGAACGAGCGCATAATCCCATCTATGTCTAGTGATGGGGCTCCAAGTTCGTCAATGGGGTCGGGAAATGGGGACCACCCAAGTATTGTCACCCCCGATGAGAGCAGCTCATCATCTTTGATCTCCAGGATCTGGTTTTCAAGAACTGTGAAAAGCAAAGCAAGAGTTTCGGGCGGCATATATGTAGACGAAGACTGTCTTGCTGTTTCAACGTGATTCTTGATGATTTTGAGCCCCGATGTGGCATGCTGGAAAGCAGCTTTGTAGTTACTCTGGAGACACTCGAAGCAAAAGAACAAGACACAAGCTATCAAGAATGTGTCACTTGTCGCCGAGCCGTGAAGGTCGAGTGAAAGTAATTGGCCGATCGCTTTGGTGTAGTGACGAAGAATGAAGCGGGCTTCATCATCACTGGTGGATAGAGATCCTTGGTTCAAGATAAACGAACGATGTAAAGACCCTAATGAAATTGCTATGGTCCTGATAACCGGCTCGTAGACCGTGGCTTGGAGCACATACGGGGCAATGCCCTCGCCAAAGACATGTGCTGTATGAAGTTGGAAGAACTCCAGAGCCCGAGATTCAGCCTCATTGGTGAGGATATCCAGTTGTGGTACTTGACGAAACTGCTTAGCCGGCGAGATGCCGAGGCTACGCTGCACGTCAAGATCCCTCTCAGGCCCAGGCCCAGGGGTCTGGGGGGCTGGATAGTCGCATTTCCGACCAGTGGATGTGCATTTATTGCAAGCAGGCTTCTGCTCGTCACATTTGACTCGGCGGATTCTAGTTCAGTGAGTATACAGGAACATATTAAGGTAAGAGGGACAGGAGGCAATAGCATGGCGGCATTGCGAGAATTGGGTGAAGACTCACCGGCACGTGGTGCAGCCGTTACGGGATCGACCTCTGTAAACTCTCTGCAGACCTCTGACCATACCGCTCAGGATCTCGGACTGGTATAGGAAGTGCTGTGTCGGTGGCGCAACCACTTTCCAAGATTTAGACCCCACGGGCGAACAACTTCGTCAGCCTTACACTACGCCGGTTCAGGTTAGCGCAAGCGAACTTGAGTATCAGATCCAGCCAAAACGGTTGAACCACTATCATTTACGAACCACACATCTGCAAACTTGCTCTTTTGCCACAGCGTGGCATACTACACCAGGACGTCTTTAGGCGGTGAAAGGCATGGACACGGTGAGCTCGGTCAACATCCGACTCTCATATCTCTACCGGCGGATGGCGGATGGGGACCCATGAGTTAGGAATGATATTGTGATTATAGATTTCCACATGGGCTAGGCTTGGGTATAGACATAAACAATGCCGCTTTATCGCTCTCCATCAACTGCTTCGCTTGACTGTTCGGTCTCCAGACTCTCTACCGCCTCCTTATTTTTGCAGGGATACCCGATGCTCCATAGACAGAGATGAATGCCATGCCCAGGAAAGCGGATACGCACGAGAACACTAATGCGACGATGCCCTTTGCCGTAAATCCAGCCGGAAGCCAAGCAACCTGCTTGTTCTGACCAGTCAGATCAAGATAGTCCTTGGTGTTGCCGGCTGCGTTTCCCTTATACTCCATCCCGGACGCCTCGCAAGCCTGGAAATGATCTTCGGGAACCTTCCCTTCAAGTCTTTCTTGAATCTGGTCTGGAGCTTCAATGAATACCATTGCGAGGCCTTGGGAAAGGTGGAAATCGATGTGACAGTGAAAAATGTAGACTCCCGGGTTATCTGCCACGAATCTAATCACAAAATAACCTTGTGGAGGAAGGACCAACGTATCGCGCCTGGCGGGGAACTCCGGAAGACGGGATGATTGTCTGGATCATATGTGACTGGATCGCCATCCGCATAATCATAGAAATGAGGACCGTAAGGGGGGAAGCGAGTGATAACCTGGAAGTTATGGCCGTGGAGATGAAATGGATGGCTTATCAGGTCAGCGAACTGTGTGCTTTTTCTGGTCATGGATGTTCCATAAATACCTTCCGCTGTCGCCATTGTTCAAGACAACTTCCACAACATCGTTGTGTCCGAGAACCATGGGATGGGTGTATTCTCCATAGACAGTAGAGTCGGTCGCCAAGTCTCCGGCGGATAGGACGGTGTACAGTGTAGGAACCTTCGGCCTTGTGTAGGAGATGTTGTTAAAAAACGCATACCCAGCGCCATTACCAAGGTTCATCATCTGGACAGTCAGATCGATCTTGGTGTCGGGATCAGGTAGCAAAGGCATCCTATCAGACGGAACCAGAGTGAAATCATCGAATGGAACAAGATCGGGATGCGGTTGCCACTTTCATGACGGCCTCGGGGTGGGCAGCAGACGAGTTATATTCGAGCCAGTTGGTATTGTTCAATTGAAGGCTCGGAGGAATGGTGTCCAAGAGCGCAGAATCTGCAACTGTGACAATGGGATAGTTCTTCTCAGTGGAATTCTTCATTGTGACGAGCACCGAATAGCGTTGCGCAACAGCAATATAGAGGGTACTTGCTTCAGTCGCATCGACATAGACGCCGTCGACTTCTACAATCTGGAATGTGTGGTCCTCGATATAGAAGTACTGGGCGACGAATGCGCCAATGTTGATGAGCCGCAGAAGGTACGTTTTGCCGGGCTCCACAGACAAATTGCTGCGGAGGGTATCATTGAACAAGAAAGCGTCGGGGATGGGCTCTGCCCCGTCGGATTGTCACGATTGATAAAATTCGGCATAATATCTTTCATCAACTTGTGGTACCAGTCGCTCAGGGTAATCGTATATTCCTCATCATACATATCTTTAAAATAAGCATCGTTGTCATGGACAATCAATGCCTGGCGGTATCCATTAGGATAGCAGCTATCGGTATGACAATGATACTAGAGAGACAACAAAATAGAAGAGCGGTTAGTCACTAGATGCGACAGGAAATGTCACGGCGGATTTATTCACCCAGTAGGTACCGTTTTGTGGCACTGTGAAATTGTATGTGAAGGAGCTCCCGGGCGGAATTGGACATTGAGTGACCCCCCGACGCGCCATCCATCTCATTTGTACCATTTTGGAACATGCCATGCCAATGGATACTGGTAGACGTGTCGTTGAGGCCGTTGTACATATTCACGATAATCCGGTCGCCCTTGTCCACTTCAATGACTGGCAAGGGCCATTGGCCGTTGATGCCCACGACATCGCGCTCATGGAGGCCGTCGGGATTAGCTTTCACCCAAGAGACATTGAAGTCGTACGTCACTGTCTTTGCTCGGACACCCTGGGAGCAAAGTAACAATGCTGAAAGCCACAGCAAGGGGCCTCTGATGATTGCCATCTCCAAGCCCGTCAATGTTCAGACCAGGGAAGCACAAGAGAGAATAAAAAGCAACATCTAGTCGGTTCTAGGGCAGGTTTAATGACTAATGACTAACAAGGCCCCGGGGCCCTCTTTAGAGAGCGGTTGGGCCTTTTTGCGGCAAAAGGTAGCGCAGGTGATAAGATGATCTGATTATTCGAAGGGTCCGTTCTAAGTAAATTACACGGCCAAAAAAAAAACTTTCCCCCTAATCAATCATACGAGGGTGGCTCAGACCCCTTGCAAAGTGGGGATTGGGCGCCTCTGGCGTTGACTCGACGAGCCGTTTTGTGCTAGACCATGGGAGTCCCCGTTGTGTTATGGGGAGGGTATAATTTGCCGACGCGAATTGGATCCTCCACTGTAGAAATTGCTGGTTGTTGCCGTTTCGACGTGGTCCCAGTAGCCGAAAAAAGGCGGATTGGGAAGGTAGATCTGCGAGGGTGACTGGGCCTCGAGATTATCTGATGTTGTTGGCCAATCACTGTTGACCAAGAGCCACCGGTCAGGTTCCCGTTCAAGCTTTGCTAAGCTTGGAAAATTACCGCTAGTACGGGCGCTTACAAGCGCGTCTCCATTCCATCTGGCGTGGCCGCACAGTCAATCCATTCAAATCTCCTGTCTAAGGGGCCTGAAATGCACGCAGGTTCCCCCCTACCGCACAGATATGGAGGTTCTGCTGCGTTTTTTGCGCGTAATGCAGAATCTCCAATGAGTGCATTAGTCCCGTAGTACTCTCTGGACCTGCAGCACATGGATACTTAAAATATCATAATATTAGTTTTGTGGCACTTGCAATAGTCATGATGCAGTTGAGTCCTGCATTATCTGTGGCATGATGGTGGCATAATGTGGGTTGTCACAAACTCAGCTGTAGACACTTCGGCCTGGTGCCCCTTTTCACTCAGACCGACGCGAACTCAATCAGGAGTCAGCTTGCGCGATAACGGCCCCTGCGCTTTTTTCATCCACCACCGCTCCTCGCTGAATTCCGCCACTGGCTTGAACGGGCTCCGAAACGCCGTGGGGATCTTCATATGGCCGACGCAGGACGAATGCCTTAGTCCGTGCCTTGTATGATGCAACCTTTCGCATAGCTGGGTCAATGACTGGCAAGTGGCCTCGCCGTTCTCGATAGAACATCAAGCTGTAGGCAGTCATCACACAAATCCAGTATAGATTATATGAAATAACAGAGCCATACGTAGCTGAGTTGGTCCATCCAAGGAGAGCATTGAAAATACCCCAGCCTCCGCCGCCTCCGATTTCCGGGTTACAGCAATTGACGTGCCAGACGCTCTGCTGGATGTCGTAGGATCCAGGGCCAGAGCCGGTCTCAGATGCATCGCCACCAATGATATGGTTCCAGGCGTTGTTTTCGAAGTACCACACGCCTCGCGAGAAGAGACCACCTGCGACGAGGTAGAGGAAGCAGGTCGAAATGATCAAGAAGACCTGCATGGAAGTCTCTCGTCCACCCCTGGGTGACCGGTCAGCCTGAGCACGTACGCTTGCAGGAAGAGCCTTACTTGTAGATCAGATATCCGACTAAACCTCCTGCAGCCAGGCCGCAGAAAACCGCAAGAGGGAACGATGAAGCGGGCAAGGAGATTCCGATACCGCCAATGAACACGACCGCTTCCAGGCCCTCACGGAGTACCGTGATGAATGGGAGAAAGAACATGACGTATTTCTCCATCCACCGCTTGAGTCGGCCCTTTCGCGTTTCGTTGGTGTTCTTCTCGTGTTCGAGTGCTTTGGCGAGCTTCACGCGCCATTTCTCTTGGATCTTGGAGACACGAAGCAATGCGGCACCCATGATTGTAATGATGATAGAAGCGAGGATACCCAGTACACCTTCCCAGATATCTTCGGTACCGGAGAAAGTGTCTGTTCCCAGCCCGTAGAAGGCCCCGATCATGCCACCGCCGACCGCAAGACATATGAACAGTCCCAACCCGCACCCTACCCAAACCTGCTTGACGAGCTTTTTGTAGACCGTGAGATCATCTCCTTGTCCCAAGGATTGCTTCAAAAATGCCAAGAGCACCGACACGACAACAGTCGTCTCGAGGCATTCTCGAAAGACGATGAAGAACACTAGATATTCGCATTAGTCCATTGAACGAGGGAACGAGCAAGCGGTCATACCGGTCACCGCAAAGACCTTGTTATCGCCCATTGTGTCCAGGTCGCTCGGGTTGGACGTCAAATTCCCACATACGAGGGGCGTCGAGATTGATAAGGGAGCTCAGGCCCCATGGAAAACGAAAATTACAAGCATACAGCCGGTATCTGATCGCACTGCGTCCACAAAGGGGAACCTAGTCGATCTGTGTTACACTCCTTGGTGGGTGGAGCCTGCGTACCCCTAATTTCGTTAGTTCAAGGGCATGTGGCGCTCGCAGATCACGGCTCCCCGGGTCGTGTCGGTCTGCGACAAAATTTTTTTTCGCTTGGTCCGAAAAAATTGGCCCAAGGCCTAGGAGTCAGGATTTATGATCGACGTAACGACAGAATCGTACGTTGTGGAGGACATTCTGTTTGGTAGGTAATAATTGCGATGTCTCGGATCGCTACTAGCACCATGCGGTTCGGCCAGAAAGTCAATAACAGTTTAGTCTCAGTCAGGCCCATGGGTCCATGGGTCCATGGGTCCACAGGTGAGTCGACAATGCTGACACGCCTCACAACGTTGGATGAAATTCAACGTGTGGTTCGCTAGGTAACCCTGGACCATACGATTCTACTTACATAAGGTCTAGCCGGACTGTCCAGGTCGACTCGTGCATGGCCTCGGGATACAGTATAAGCACCACCTCTTCGATGATCTCCGAGTAATATTCGTGCCAAGAATAGGACTAGATTGATTGGTGAATTATGCTAAAAAACCAGGTACTCTTTCAATTTGACCACTGCCAGTGCAGTGGGGAATTGACATGTGACACATAGTATCAGTATCCTCATGGTAGTTAAGTAGAGCCTAGACGGCCTACCTTGCGTGGTGGGAAGAGATTGCTCCAATTTACAGGGAGTACCGGAATTCACGGTCCTCTTTGTCGGTGTAATCCTTTTCAGGCAATCCATTCGCATCAAGCCTGAGGTTGCTCCCGAGGCGGTCCTCGGTTGCATGTTCCGAGGATTTGTCTCGGAGGCCATTATCGCGCGAACAGAGGACGCGATAGATGACCACAGCCACGAATAGAAGACACCAAGTCACGATAGAGGTAATCACGCCCTCGGTATACTTTGGTGACTTAGTCCAAAGCTGGGGGCTTCCTATACACCCAGCACAATAGCCGATGAAGAAGAGGGTGTTGACGACAGATCGCTTCGTGTTGCCCTTGACATTTGATGCGGCGAGCGAAAGGAGGACTGACATGGACGCGGTGATGCATGAAGCCTGTGGAATGAGGATATGAGCTCTAAATACTTTCTCCATCAGGGACTGTCCTTACCAGCCAAGAAGCCACAATGAGCCCCCACTCAGCACTCAGACTGAGCTTCAGCAGGAATATAGTTCCAACTAACGGAGGTATTATTAACGCCAGAACAACGAAGGTTCGCTGGCGCGGAAACATATACACCAAACTGGTCCCGACCCACAATAAAGCGATTTGAACAGCTCCAGAAGGAGCCGTGTATAACATAGTATCGAGCCTCGAGTATCCGATTGACTCAATGACCAGCGACGCGAATGTTAGGACCGGTGACTGCATGGTCACCAGCACGCCAAACCAGAAAACGAGCCACGCCTTAGGATCCAAGAGGGCCTCTCGGAGCTGTGACATGGAGAACGATTTCTTGTCACCGCCATCCCTATCCTGCGCGAGGCGGAATGAGAGGACTTCTTTTTCCCTGGCTGTCAGAAACCAAGCATCCTTGGGGCCGTTCGGCATTAGAACAAAAAAGCCAATACCCGCCAGGACGGTGAGTGCGCCACAGATGATAAACAGAACGCGCCAGGGAGCAATCGAAATTGATGAGTTCTTGCCGATGCCGTACATGAGCAAGCAGCCAATCACTTGGGCCAGACCATTCATCGTTATCCACAGGGCAGTCCGGGTGGTGTGTTCTTTCTTGCGGTACCAAATGCTGGTGATGGTCACAAAAGCAGGAGAAACCGCTCCCTCGCTGAAGCCGAGGAGGAATCTGACGGTAGCAAAGCCGGCAAAGTTGCTAGGAGCAGATAAGAGCATGCATATAACACCCCAGGCAATTCTGCGAAACAATCAGTTAGATGAATGATCCCAGTTAGAGATGACTTGAACATACACAGTTGCGCCGACAAACTTGGTTAGTGGGAGCCGACTCATCAAATAAATATATGGCCACTCTGAAACCAGTTGACCGACGTAAAAGATTGAGCTCGACCAAGAATATTGCGAGCTGGTCAAGGAGAGATCCTCCCGAAGACCGAATACAGCAGCATAGCTCAGACTCTGCTTATCCAGATACTGAAGGAAGAAGACAAAGCACATCTAATCCAAATTGCATATGAGTCTTCGTACACCATTGGGCAGGAAGGGATGAACGTACGAATGGCAAAATGATCAAGTCAATTTTCCGGACAACAGCCTTGTGCTCTTCCACGGTATACTCTTCATAAGCCCCCCACTCCGTCCGTGCTTAGCTTGTCGGCTTCGGTTTTGTTTGAAACTGCGCCCTTGGAGCTGGCCATTGATAAATAGTATGTATGTCCGTTACGAAGAACGCGATCGCGTAAAGATGAAGAGGGAGGGCACGCTTATTTCTATTACCCATCAATCGGCTGACATGTTTATCAAAAGTCAGCGCTTATAAGACAAGTCGCGGAAACCATGCTGGAATGGCTATTTGCCAAGGGCTGAGCTCTTATCATCGATCCGGCAATGATCAACTAAACAGGCGGTGATAAACTGCGGGGACAGCACTATCGCTGGGCGATCGGGTATCTGTCCTGTGCAGATTGCCGATACCGACCCCATCCAGGAATATCACCTTTCAGTAAGTCCCTCGCTATGCCTATTCAGTTGGACAAGTTCTGTTAACCGAGCTCTCCAGACTACAAAATGGTTGATTATAGCCCCGTTCCCGGCTCCAACGTCAAGCCGTGGGCTCGCCCAGAACCGAAGGGCTATCTGTTCAAGAACGCCAATGTGGTTGATGTCAAATCTGGCAAGATTATCAAAAGTGCCACAGTCGTAACACGCAATGGAAAGATTGAATCGGTCTCTTCCTCGCTGCCAGATCCTCTGCCCACGGATCTAACAATTGTCGACTGCGAAGGCTTGTATCTGAGCCCCGGTCTTTTTGATGCACATGTGCACTTATGCGCTGTTCCTGGATTCAACGATCTATCCAAGGCGTTCGGAAACCCGAATGATGTTCATCTGCTCCGTCAGCCATACACAGCAGCCTCAATGCTCCACCGAGGCTTCACCAGTATTCGCGACTGCGGTGGGGCACAGCTTGCCCTGAAGGAAGCCATCGAAGAAGGAGTTTTCCCTGGGCCTCGAGTGTTTATATCGGGCCACGCACTGTCCCAATTCGGTGGCCACGGCGACCTCCGCCATTCTCATGACCAGACTGGCTGCTGTGGCGGTACACACAGTAACAACCACCTGGGCCGGCTGTGTAATGGTGTCTCCGAATGCATGGCAGCTGTGCGCGAGGAGATCCGGTGCGGCGCTGACTTCATCAAGATCATGGGCTCAGGCGGTGTCGCATCCCCGACTGACCGTCTTGAGCATCTCCAATTCACAGCTTCCGAGATCCAGGCCATGGTCGAGTGCGCCAATAACGCGGGCACCTTTGTCACCGCCCACGCATACACCGTGAAAGCTATTCGACACTGCATCGACAACGGCGTGAAGGGTATCGAGCACGGGAACTTTGTCGACCCTCCAACGGCAAAGATCATGGCGCACAAGGGAGTGTTTCTGACCCCAACCTTGATCGCGTACGCGCAAATGGCGTCCGAACAGTGGCGGGGGTATCTGCCCCCAGAGTCGCAGGTGAAAAACCAGGTCGTCCTGAAATCCGGCTTGGAGGCACTGAAGGTCGCATCTGACGCTGGAGTCCAAATGTGCTTTGGATCCGGTCTGCTCGGGCCCCTGGGCTCTGCTCAGACCCACGAGTTCGCTCTTCGGTCCCAGGTCCTTACTTCCTTGGAGGTCTTGCGGAGTGCCACTGTGAACCCAGCAAAAATGATGGGCTGGGAGGACACGATCGGTCAGGTCAAGGACGGCTTCTTTGCGGACTTGGTTCTCGTGAACAAGAACCCTCTCGAAGATGTGACTATCTTCGACCGCCCACAAGAACACGTCCTTGCGGTCATGAAAGAAGGGCGTGTGTACAAGAGCCGCTGGACAGAACTGCCCGAGGACGCTGAGATTCCTATTCGAGTCCAGTACAATTAGATATGAGAGATGGGTGCATCGGGTGGGAGTTGAATGAAAAACTTGGGGGTTCATTACATTGCATGAAAGAGCATTTGGGACGAACTTCGAAGATGTACATGATCTTTTTGCTTGCACGTACCTGAAAAAGAGATAAGAGTTGTTGAAAAAAGTTTTTCCCCCCTAAACGGAATCTTGCCTTCGATGATTAATTACCACCCTCAGGCTGTTGCGCTGCATATCCAAGTTGGTATTCAAAGTCGAGTAGGTGCCCATGTATTTTGACGGGATGTATACTCAGCACAGAAGGCTAGAAGTCTTTGGTTTGCATGACTTAGTCTTTGGGCGCTGCTGCGCATTCATCGACCTCAAATTGAATATTTAGGGGCTTTTGGGTCCTGCGTTATGGACTGCATATACGCAGAGACATGACACATAACGATATGCGAGAACTTACTGCGAAACAGTCACTTGAAGGAACTCGGTCTCATAGTTCCCCGATCGCTTCAAGTTGGCGGTGAAGCAAACGGGACAAACAAATATCGAGCCAACGGCATCTAATCGAGTGCGTCGACTCTCCAAATTTACTGACATTGTGAGTTCTAGTTCCCTAACCTTCCTGGCATCGCTTATATTTAAGACACAGGAAATACCCCCAAGGTCCCCTCGATCAGTTACCCCACACTGACTCGTCGACGCGACCCACAGATCAGAGCCATGTCGGACTCTGAAGCGGAAACGCTCCTCCTCCCCACCGGGTGCCCCTTGTGCGAGAAGGCGGAGCATCTGCGTCGTTGCTCGGGATGCAGGATCCTCCAATACTGCGGCCAAGACCATCAACGTCAGCACTGGCCGGAGCATAAATCGGCCTGCAATGGTGTTCGGCAGGCTCGCAAATCTGTGGAAGCTTCCAAACAAGCTCTGATCAACAACCCGGTTTTTAAGGACGACGACCCTTTCGTGAATCACATTGGCAATTTCTGGAAAATTCGCGAGACCCGCCCGTACATGACGGAAATGTCGAAATTCAGCCAGAAAATAAGAATGATCCGCCATGCGGACGCCGTGCAGGCTGAATTAGACACTTACATGGAGATCCTACGTCTCTGCCCGGGCGACAACATGGGCGTCCGCGGGTCAGTTCCGGGTGCGTTGCTGCGTTTGAACAGAGACCAGGACTGCTATGACTTTATCAAATGGTATGAAACGCTCGACTGGAATAGTGACTACGTGACCAACTTCCTCAACATTAAGAATGCGGACGTCTTTGAACCCGTCGATTTCGTTCGCAAGAATTTCGGCCTGACACAACGAGTCTGCTTGATTCTACTGAAAATCAAGCTTTTGATCGAAATCCTCAAACTCCAGAACATGGACGGTTACCTCGATCAAGCGAAAGCTGATTATCAGGCCAATGGAGACAAGGAGGCCCCTCCGCCGGAGCTTCTCAATGCGTACCTCAAAGAGCACCGAAACAAGGCTATAACCAGCCAAGCTCTTCGTGCCCGAGACGACCTCGTGAATGGTCAAGAGCTTTCAAATCAGATCGACACCCTGAAGAAACAGATCGACGAGCTGTACGATATTATTGACGAGCAAAATAAGCACATGTGGCCTGCTATGAGCAATCCTGAAGAAGCATTAAATCGGGGGCCCGCAGGCGCGTTTATGTTGGGATCGGATGAAGAGATGCGGATTACTTTGAACGAGACTATCCTTGCCTGGCTTGAGACCCCTGGTGCAATTCAATTCATCAATTTCAAGATTCACGGGAGGCTGGATGAACTTCTCTGACGGTGAACTTGGAACAAGTTTTAGATCTGCCATGATTTTGGCAGAGAGGAAATCAGTTTGGTTTCGCAAGCAGGAATTGAATCCTAACTATCGGTTGACCTTGTCAGCATCGCCTATTCATAGTCCTAATAGAGGCCAGGTGACTCCCGGCGTTAGGTGACTCCCGGCGTTAGAAGGAGCCTAAAAGCTACAATTAGGAGGAAGCAGTAAGCGGCTACGGAGTATACTAGTATCTCCGAAGCCGCTCTCAGCCACGCTAGTCAAGTCCATTCACATACCCTATACGAGGGAGTCTGCTATCTCAAGTGGGGCTGGGCGACGTCGAGAAATGCGGGGGTAGATAAAGCGGCAGATATCCGAGTCAGATTGCCGACAAGTTCGGAAAACTGCTCAAGTACTCCTCGGCCTTCCTGTGATTGCGCCCCCCATGATGTCGGGTCGTCTTGATACGCGTACTTCCGCAGAAGCCCGCAAGAAGCGCCGAAGGGTCACTGACGAGAATCGCAAACGAGCCGCTCGAGCGTAAGTCAGCGAGTCCTCTGCGTAGGTCTGACACTCATATCATTAGTTGCAAACGCTGTAAGGCAAGGAAAAGTAAATGCATAGAGGTTCCAGGAGGGAAGTGTGAGCGTTGTTCCCTGGCAAATCTAGAGTGCGAGTTCCTAAGGTACTTTTGCTGAGGCTTATTACCTTATCTCGCATGACTCTATGAGTCGACTAACTGATCCCAGGGAAAGATCGCCTTCACCTTTGTCGGCATCTACAGAGCCTTCAACATCGCAAGAGTTACCCCATGCTAAGAGCCCCACGCAGGATCTTCTTGGGACCACCGCCCCATCACAAAACCATGAACTTTTCTCGCCTGCTTCCGAGGTATCACAAGGACTTTCCAGGCATGTCGTTGCCGATCAAACGAAGAAAGTCTTATGGCCTGCCTTTCTATCTCGGCTTCGAGAAGCATTTTCGCTTGATACACAGGCCGCCATAGGGGGACATGATATGGCTGCTTTGCAAGCAGTAAGCGCGAAGATATCATTGATATAGGGGTATCACTAAATACTGACATCAAGTATAGCGCATGAGTCGCCCGAGAGAACTCCGCCCCCCCTGAACTTGTCAGACTTCGAGCTGCGGTTTTCCCCCCCTAGGCAAGTGGCGGACTTCCTTATCTCGGTATTCATAAACCATGGCACGGACTCATTCTTCTATCTTGACCAAAATCAATTTTTATCAGAGCTTGATCAGTACTATACAAACCCAGCCTCGCCGTTGAGATGGGATGCTGGCTTCGTCTGTCTTGCAATGGCCTCATTTGCTCTGGGAAGCCAATGGACTCCGTTAGAAAGACCGGAAACCTCATCGGTCAGCCATTTGAAGGAAAACCTGGATGTCGGACGCCATTTTTACCGACACGCAAAGGCCCTCGTACCCGATATTATCGAAAAGCCTTGTATACGATCTATACAAGCTGTGTTTGTCCTCGGTGTTTACTTGATGCCAGCGAGTGCGATCGGCTCTTCTTACGTATACATGGGTCTGGCCCTTCGAAAAGCATTAGCAGCAGATCTTCATGTTCAATCCGAGGACATAGAATTGGGCGAGGTGGAAAGGGAAGTGAGGCGCCGCTTGGTATGGTCAATATATTCTCTGGAGAGGTCAGTGCTTTGTGGTCGCAATTTGAGGACCATGGCTATAATCCAGACTAATCGCGCAATTAGGTGCACATCTATCAAGCTCAATAGACCTCGCTCAATCAGTGCGGATGTAATTACTATTCCCCTGCCAGCACCCTGTGAGCCATTCGATCGGGTCCAGAAGTATGACAACATCAAATTCCAGATGGCGTATACTCGGTTCATACTTATTTTTGACCGGATAGCAGGTTTAAGGTAAGATTGACCCTTCATATTACATGGCCCGCGCTGAAAGGAGTAGTGGTGATTTGGGAATGCAGGAACGTGACAGGACGAGACTCGAAGCGGATCTCAAGAATTGGAAAAAATCACTTCCATCCGATTTCCATTTGGAGCACATGCCCAAATCCCCCGAGTATCGCACAATCTTCCATCTCCATATCAACTATTACTATGCATGGATTAGCCTGGGTAAAGTGGCGCTGGTCACAGCTGCTCGAAGTCGACTGCGTCAGATTCTCGATCCTGATTCTGGGTGCGTCGAGGTCGGTGCCAATATTCGAAGGCTAGCTCAAGTCTGTACAAAAGCCGCTCGAAAAATGCTGGCACTCTTTGAAAGTCTTTCCCGAACGAACAATATCACCCGCTTCTCTTTCACAGATTTCCAAGCTTGCAGTATCGCCACCATTGTCACTTTGATTGCGGGTATCCTGGATCGGGACGTTGGCTACGAAAGCCGAGTGAAGTTAGGGTTCGAGTGTCTCGTCGAAATGGCCAAGGGAAATACGACGGCCAAGCTAGGCGTCAAGTTCGTACAGGCTGTCCAGTCGATCACAAACGAGGCTGCTGAGAAGCTACGCCGCGCAACTGTCTCGACCGAGAACTCGGTAGGCACGAGTTCAGGATCTGAATATAACCAATGGGCAGCCTGGATAGCTGTGCAAGAGCGAGCAGAAGATGATCAAGAGCTCAGCTTGAGGGCGGGAATGTCAGTCAATGTTGCTAGTCGACAAGCGGAGCTTTGGCAGGATCTGCAGCCGGCAGCTGGAATACCGTGGGAAACAGATGCGTTGTCTCTTGGGGCCATGGCACAGTCCAATTTTGCAGATCAAGCGATGGGTCGACCGCTCGCCAATTTATCGACAGAAGATGGATTTTTCACAGGGTTCCAAGGCGATGAAACATTTCTAATGGGTTTAACTGGATTGGACTCTCTGGATCTGTAGATAATGTAATGCTGGAGTGAACATTCTGAAATGATTCTGAAACTACCTGTTATTCAATAATTTTCCTTTCGGTCTATGATGTTAATAAGCTTCTTCCCCGCTACCAGCTGCTCCAGGTTATACTCAAATATCCGAAGGACTCTATCCGGAGCGGCAGTAGAAAATGCGCTGATATGAGGCGTGATGATGGTATTTGGCGCGTTCCATAGGGGGTGTTCTTTGGGTAGAGGCTCAGGGTCAGTGACATCAAGAGCTGCTCCGGCGATCGAGCCATTCTCCAGCGCCTCGACGAGATCGTCAGTTTGGACGATTGGTCCTCTTGCAATGTTCGAGATAAATGCCCTCTTTTTGGAAAGGACTTGGAGTTCTTCACGGGCAATGAGGTGCTTCGTCTTTGCGGTCAAAGGAACCGAGATGAGGAGCCAATCGAGGTCTGACCCCAAGAACTCATGAAGCTCTTCCTTCGTCGTACCGGAGTACCACTTTTCCGGAATGGTCCCTTCAGGGTCGCCAAGGTTATCTGCTAGACCCGATTCGCTACGGCGGCTCTCCGGGGTATTCTTTGGGTGGAGAGTATAGGCATGGACCTTGATTCCAAGAGCCTGGGAGACCCTTGCGACCTGCCGGCCGATGCTCCCATAACCCAATATGCCACTAAGTCCCGGTTAGAGGGCACCAAAGGCTAATTGCGCCGGTGAAGACTTACACAGTCTGGCCAACCGAGCTAGGCACTGGATCAAGGATCCTATTCCAAAGGCGTTGTTTTTGCTGCTCGTGATACCGATAGACTGGTTACCAATGAGCCATTATGCCCGATCATATATCTCCTTTGATGTAACTTACGATGGTGTCTAACTCCGATAAAAGTCGACACGGCCCATTCAGCAATCTGGGGACTGCACCCTGTTAGCGATATGATCCCACTGCCGCGGCTAAGCGGGAATCCACGTACTCATAGGCGCCTTTGGCGGAAGTGAAGGTGATGTTTGTGTCTTTGTAGAGAGGGTGATTAATGATCATATTTGCCCCCGCACTACTCAGTTGGACAAATTGAAGCTTCGGGACTTGCTCTGGCGCGGGCAAGGCCGACGGGGTGAAGAGAGCGACAGTCTTTTTCCAGTCCTCGTCGGGGACTGTTTCCACGGCCCTAGGTTCTCCCCAAGTCTTCAAATGGAAGATAAAGTCGAAGTTTGGGAATTTCCGGCGCCATCGCTCCCGGGCTTCCTCGGAGATTGGGAACGGGGACAGGATTACCACCTTTTGCTTGGACATTTCGGAATAAGAGACTCGATATATGTCCGAAGTGAAGATGCTCTGATAGAGTGCCGGTCAAGTGCCAGGTGATGTGGTGTGTAAGAGAATCCGTCCAGAGAGGATCTGGAGCAACGAAAGACCTTGGAAGCCTCGATGGCGCTTCCAAAAGGTCCGAAGCATGATAGATAGTCGGGAATGACGAATCCGCCGCTAAACTTGAACCAGAATAGCGCCGGTGGGGCGCTTCAATGCCCCGAGGGGCTATCGAGCACGCCACAGTTCAACGCTATTCTCAATCGTGGCAGATGCACGATAGGAGTGTTTGAATATCGGGACATACTAGATTTCGTGCATTGGTCAAACAGGTCAGCCGAGGTCTAGCAGACTCTTCATCGTCTCGAAAACATCGGAGGATTATAAAGATACAAGGAGTATCTGGTCTTCCTACTAGTAGTCCGTACTAGACGCACTGATATCAAACGTCGACGCGACTGGTGAATACCCCCAAGTCCAATAGTCAATAAGCAACAATTCATGGAATTTGATGGAGGCACCACGGTGACTTGAGGACATCTACAACAAGCTCAAATTGAATGTGTCAAAGTCCGAGTTTGAATGGTCAGGGTTTGATACTATGCCAATGTGATCGAGTAGAAAAGAGTCCACAACATCATGACTCAAGTATCTGGGGTCTCGTGCCAGGGGAATGCAGTACCTTTTCATCAACAGATTTGCGACCAGCGTCACCAGGTAGTACTAGGCAACTCAAAGGCACCCTTCCTGTAATCTTCTAGGCAGGACATCCCGGCATGGCGAGTTTGAGTAGATGCTGCAACCGGGAAATATAGATGTGATGGGGCTCAACACTGACAGTGACGATCCTCCATCTCCACGAAGCATATGACCCACTCTTAACAAGATCCTTGTTCGCGAGACTACCTGCATGGCACAATTCTAAGATTGTTCATGGTAAAAAATAAAGTGAGCCCATCTCTTCTAGTGTATGTACGAACCATAGGGACGCGGGCTGAGTAGCGGATAGCTCCTGCGCGACTTGAGATGAAACACTCACTGATGCTGAGACTCTGAGCGCTCCTAGTATGGCAGGAGCTATGCAGTGGTCTAGTGGAGGGTTCTACCAGAGTCCGTCGACGCGCAAACGCGTCGCTGTCCTGGAAACTGTTTTGTCCTCGAAGTTCTTTCCTTCTTCTACCCTCTTTCAACACGCACAACCCCCCCAACCCCCCCAAACAGAATTTGCATCCCTTCTTCCAGCTTTCAAGATCTCAAGCAGGTCCCCACGCAAACAATGGCGAAAAATAAAAAAAAGGCCCCCAAGATTGGCCAGGCCCTTCAACAGTCCCTGCGTGCCAAGGCGGAGAGCAAGGAGAACGTACGACATCCGATGTTCTTATGTTCCAAGAGCTTGAACTAACCATGGCTAAATTCCTGAAGGAGGCTCTCGCTCTGAGACAGGCTCTCGCCATCGTGAAAATTTTGACAGAGGAGAACGAGGCCCTCAAGCGTGGCAATGCTCCTAAGCAGTCCGCGCGCGGCTTCGAACTGAACGAGGCGAAGGCAAGACTTGCGATGTGATCATGACCCAATAACATGAACTTACCATGGCTGGATTTCGGCAGCAGGACCCCACCGAAACAATGACCTCGACAGCTCCCTCGTCTATGCAGGCTCTTAAGCAGTCTTCGGGTGAACTGGTACTCTACAAGGAGAAGGCTCCCCAGTCTGGACAGGTTCTTGGACCGTCTCCACGCGACTTGGAACCTTACGAAGAGAAGCCACACCTTGGCGATTATGCTCCTGGACCTTCGACTTACCGTGGATTTGGGACGCGGTCCCTCACCGAGACAATAACCTCGAAGAACCCCCCCAAGTCTTGGCAGGGCCTTGAGCAGTTCCTACGTGACCAGGCGCAGGACAAGGCGAAGGCAAGCTTTTTGATGTGATTATGCCCCAAGAAGAAATGCTTACTGTGGCTTGATGTCGGCAGCAGTCCTCCACCGAGACAACTACCTCGCAGAACGCTCCCCAGTCTGGACAGGTTCTTGAACCGTCTCCGCGCGGCTTGGAACCCTACGAAGAGAAGGCACGTCTTTGCGATTATGCTCCAAGAACTTCAACTTACCATGGATTTGGGAAGCAGGCCCCAACCGAGGCATCGACCTCGAAGGCTCCCTATCGTGCACCGACTTTCGAGCAGTTCCTGCGTGACAGGGCGCGGGACAGGGAGAAGGCAAGATTTCTGATGTGATTATGCTCCAAGAGCGAAGGCTTACCGTGGCTTGATGTCGACAGCAGTCCTCCACCGAAACAACTACCTCGCAGAACGCTCCCCAGTCTGGAAAGGCCTTTGAGCAACGCCCCACCCAGGCATTGATCTCGGCGGAAGCTCCCAAGCCTGGACATGGACAGGCCTTTGAGCAGCCCCCCACCAAGACCATGGTCTCGAAAAAGGCTCCCAAGACTGGACAGGCCCTGCAGCAGTCCCTGCGTGACAAGGCGCGGAACGAGGCGGAGGCAAGAATTCTAATGTGGCTGTCTTCCATGAACCCGAGCTAACCATGGTTGGATTCATAGAAGAAAGAAAAGGAGTCCTTCCGCAAAGATCTCACCGAAAGAATTTTCGTAAGTGGTGGTAGACTTGATTGGATTGGATTATTGCTAATCCATAGAACAGAAGATCATAACCGAAATGGAGGAGGAAGGCGAAGACAAGAAGCGGAAAGGGTACTGGGGCCGAGGTGAGCGTCGCAGCTTCAAGAAGGCTCGCTTCGAGTAAAGTAAGCTCATTTACTCTCAGTCTGGAGGAATAGCTTCTAATAACCCCAATAGAGAAAGAAAAGACATCTGAGGCGAAGGAAGCTCACTGAGTCTCACTGGACTCACCTGGGCTCAGGTGACCTTTTTCCAGCTTCCGATCTTTGTTTCTTAAAGTTTGAGGTCGTATGACAGAGATGTAGCACAAAGGAAGTTCAGAAGTTCAGAAGTTCATTGATATCCAGACACTTGTAGAAGTCCTTTCTCCGTAAGATGCATAAGCAACCCCGAACGACCTTTATCATTTTCGGAAGCCTGAGGGCCGGACAAAAGATCGAAGTACTATGATTTGTTGAAGTTCGGATAGAGAGCTTGGTCAACATCATACTACAGTAAGACGCACTATCCATGGAGCCTAAGTGCCAAACTGATGCTATAAGTGGCGTTCATCAGCATTCATAATCATCTAGTAGTGTATACGAGTACCCTGACCAACGTGCTCCGATGTTGCTCTCGTGTTGCTGCCTATAAATGGCGAGAGCAGCCAGAAGTAGTCCCCGGAACAACTTCAGCACAACGCCATCCATTCGCAAACAGCCCCTCTCCGAGCCGTAAATCGTGGATAGCAAGGATCTACAGACTCGCATTCAAAGGTGAAGGGATATTTTCCGTACTGGGACTTTCTCGTCTGCACAAACAACCCCGTCTAGATCGTCTAATATGACCCCGGGCCTAGGCCATTCGAAAAACACGTCCCCAAATTAAGATCGCCCACACCTCCATAGCTGATAACGGTCAAAAGGGGATCCGCAGACTCGACTCGGATAAGACGTACTTTTGTCAAGCAGCCTGAATCGGTGTAGGTAGCCCCTTGCTTGTCCGAATGACTGGTGTTTCCTAAAATATAGAGCGATGATACTGTTAATATGGGGGGTTTCAGCAACGCCACGCATTAAGGGTTGAGCAATCTTGGAACCGTCAATGGCCGATGATTTACTACGAAAATATGTTTTCTCAAGTCTGCAGATGTACGTAAGCATCCAAGTACTCTAAATACCCTGTGTAAAGAATTCTTGTCCAAGGAATTAGAAGAAATTAAAGAAAGAAGAGATCCGGTGTAAAATACAATTCATATTCGGGCACTTTTTGATTAGAAAAGGGGAATAGTGGCACAATTAGGGATTCATAGTCCCAGCAAAAAGATCAGTGGTATCTTGCGCAGGCCTCCGAACAGTGCGCCTTTTGGGTGAACGAAATTCCACCAGAAACAAATTCAAAACTTCATAACATTCGTGTCATCAAGTGAGACAAGAGTTGCCCGGGTAGATCAACGCATTTGAGCCAACTCCCGCTCCTTTGCACGCAAAGCTTCTCGCATCTGCTCGGCCTCCCGCTCGAGCTGGGCACGGCGATCACGTTCGGCGTCCGAAAATGAAGCAATGCCGGGCAGTGTCTGGGGTTGCAAGAGGGGTGGTCGAGCTGCATGAGGATGGTCCATGCGCTCGTCCCGAGTATCTGGCTGACCCAGAATGGTAGAGATGGAACTTAGACGTTCGGGAGGTGGAGGATTGGCGGCAGACATGATTGGGGGTAATTGCATTGACCGTGATTCCAATGAAGGCGCAGGATGTCCCTCCGAGGCAGCCTCGGTAATGGTTCGCTTCTTTGGGAGATTCAGCGTATTCGGAGAAACAGATCGTCGCCCATACTGCGAAACTGGCGAAGGACCTAGCCGCTCGGGCTCAAACAACTTAGGGAGCTGATGGTGCACAGGAGCCGAGTTGACGTGATAGCTTGTGAAATCCACAGGCGGCGGGGCAAAGGGCAAAGGTCGAGGGGCATCTTCGTGTGGTCCTCGCCCTGGCATGATATGATATGGATCTGCAGGCTCACTGCTCATGTAGCGCTGATGATCTTCGTGGGCATGGGTCAGAGCAGCCGGAGATGCTTCAGGCGAGGCAGACGATCCGTTCGATGACTGTGTAGCCGCTGTAGGAGACTGATCTCGCAAAGCAGGGACGACTCGTTTCCGTCGCTTGATGATGGACTTCTTCATGTTTGTTGGACGATAGCAACCGTGAAGTTTGTAATATAGTCCTATGTGATGTTAGTTTACGGCCAACACGGAGTTGATGTGAATTAAACCAACCACAAGCGTTGCAGATGGGATGTCCATGCTCGTCCCGGCGCCACAAAGGGGTGACAGTCGTCCCGCAATTTTGGCACGCTACCAGATTCCCATTATTCTCAGTAGCTGCCGGCTTAGCGGGCGCCTCCGCCTCCGCAGGGGCCGCTGGCTCAGGCTCTGCATGGTGTCGACCCCATGGGTGAGTGGTGGCTGCACCGCGAGATCCGGACTTGTAGATGCGATTATTGAAAGCTGGACAGCCATCACAGCCCTCTGCACCTCCAGTCCCGTTGCAACTTCCACCACCGGGGCAAGAACCCTTGGAGCCACCACAACCTCCCCCAGACGTTGTATGGTCGGTAGTTGGGGCGGGTGTATTTTGCTTGCCAGGTGCATCGAGATCGATGGGCATTCGTTGGTTTCGCTTCGTGGGACGAGCGACATTGCGGGCTTTCAAGTAAAGACCGCATGCATTGCAAATCATAGCACCAGAGGGAGATCGTCGCCAGAGAGGGGTGCTTTTAGTACCACAGTTGCTACAAACAGTTAGATTCGAGAACCACCTTCAGATGTCAACCCTCAAGAACGTACCTGCAGGAATGGCCAAGAAACGAAGTATCCTTCTGGCGTGGGGAGGTGCCTTCTTGGGATTGAGGAATTGCCCGGTCCTCCAAACCTGGTACTGGCCCACGGGCATAATCTGGCGTAGGACTTCCAGAGTACTTAACGGCGGGGCTTCCGCCATATCGATCTGCCATATGCTCCCGTCCGGCCTGCGCCGACGAGATCAACTGCTGAGCAGCATCTAAATCCTCCGCCGATGGCTGCCGCATAGAAGCGCCAGAGTCCCGAGGGAAGAGCGCACCGTCTCCATGGGAATGGATGCTAGCATAACCAACTCTTCAGTGTAAGGTTGGAGGCTCCGCAGATCGAAGGGGAAAAGAAGTATGAGTATGGGCCGATCGCGGAGAGCTGAGACAAAGGCAAACGGCAGAAGCGAGGGGAATAATTGGAGAGAAAGTACGAAGTCAGGGTGGTGTCGTACCGCAGTCGGAAGCAGAATTCACCGTCTCACCAGGGTCCAAATGTCGGTCAAGCAGGCGTTTAGGTACGGCACGTTGATGGAGATATGCGGCCTGAAGACTTCCGAAGCGAACTGCAGGGGGGATTTGTTAAAGGGGGGATCCTGAAGAGGAAGATGACAGGAATCGGGCCACACCTTTTTGCCAATATGTGAGGCCCAATATGATCAACGAATGTGGCGACCCAGTGGTCTGGCTCGGTCAGGTGATGGTCGCGAGACAGCTGACCACGCAACGGGCGTTGAAGGCAGATTTTTTTGGCACGAGAAAAGTTGGGGAAGAACGCAGCGTGCAGGAGGCTAACCGGGACTGAGTCAAGTTGGGCTAGGGGCCTGCAGGTGGTTTATCACCGGGAGGGATGAAGTATGGGGATCAAAGAAACAGAGGTGGAGAGATAAGAGATTTGGGGCTAGAGGAGATCGAGAGCCCTGAGACTGAGTTTGGACCTGAGTGGAAGCCAAATAAGCGAAAGATCCAGACTCGCGAATTCGAGCAAAGGGATTACGGAGGGTTTTGGGCTTATCGATCTACGAAGGGGGGGATCGGCGAAGACTATCATATCAGTCTAATCGCATCGTTGCCGAGGATCGCTATCTCATCTAATCTATCACCATTTCGGGGTTGGTACCTTTCCCCCCGAGCAGCCTAGCAGAGAAACTACACTAAAGCCCAAGTTGTGTACTTTTGGGGCTGGCACTTTTTTGTTTCTTGTTTCCACGTCGAATCTTTCATTCCCCAGACTGCAAGTGAAAAAAAAAAAGAACCCCACCGATTCCTGATGAAGTTTAGGGGGGGCAAAGACCGGTGGAAATCACTTTCCAAGGGAGGCGAAATCGGGCCAGTGCGCAGGCAAGCATCTTTGTGCGCGCGCTGATTGGCAGAGAGAAGACTCTGGCTACGGTCATCGCTTTTGTGAGTGATCTGATTGGTGAGCGGTAAACTCCGGTGGATCCCAGGAGGCCACGCTGGTCTTGCCGACGTCAAACTGGTCGGAGATACCGACATAAGCAGCCTGCACGGCAAATTCGAGTTCGAGAGATAAGATCGCGATAGACGCTGAGAAAGGGCCAAAAAAAAATGACAAAAATTGGGTTCTATCTCACGTCTCCTGGTATAGTACATCCACAGGTATCACACATCACAGAATTAGACAAATATAAGAGCAAGGGAGAATTACAAAGGACCAAAGCTGTCCATCTCTAACATAGCCCAGCTCCAAGCGCAATCCCTTTCGAGGGGACAAAGAGCCACTGGCTTCGTGAAGGAATCGTCGAACTGTGAAATGAAGAGGCAGGAGTCCCACCCATACTCAATCACAGCGTGGCTCACTGGTATTGGTGAGGCAGTTCATCATCTCGTCTCGTGAGAGCTTTAGACCTGCTCAGCGCCCCAGCCTTGGTCAGACTCGCGCATGTTGGAAGGAGGCTCGATGGAGGGGATGAACTCCAGAACCACGTATCCAACACCGGTAACTCCAACCAGACCGGCGGCGATCTCCCGGAGGACGTGGCCGTGGATCAAAATGGAACCGACGAAGATGTAGAAGACACCACGACCCAGGAAGGAGAACAGGAACGAAGCGTAGCGGTAGGCGTAGTCGGGAACGTTGGGCAGGAACTCGAGGCCAGCAACAACTGCGATCGATTAGCACATCTCGTATATCTCGTATATAGGCGCGGAATTGCGACTTACTCAGACCAAAAAGAATCACGTAAACACCGACAATGATAGAGCTCATTGACGCGGGGAAAAACTGGCTGATCCCGCCAAGCACCATGATAACACCCACGGCGATGTTGACAAGTCGACTGAGGGGGTGTTAGTGCAAGTCCATATGAACTCAATCTTGTACAAAGCCTAGTTTTCGCCTCCATTTGGACTCGCAAATATCAAATCGGTCTCAGGGAGACCAGCAATTACGTACAAGATGTTGGAGAAATCCATGTTGATGGGTTGAGGAGGTTGGCTTCCGTTGGATTCGGGTGATTTTTCAGGATCTCCGGTATCGATTCAACGGCCAGGTGGGTTTAGAAGCTAAAGCAATGGCTCGGAGAATAAAAGTGGCTTGAATGGTCACTAGCGATTTATTAGTATGAGGTGGCTCAGTTGGTGGCTCCGATAGAATGGCTTTTATTGATTGTTTGCAACGCAAAATAACAGCCGCCCGTCGTGCCTAGCGGACTTGGGAATGGGAGGATCGTAAGCTTTGAAATAGGCAAACATACCTTGAAGCTTGACACAGACAAGGCCAAGAATGCTTGGGTTGAGAGTGGGAACAGGGGGACGATACAGGAATCAAAGGGTCGCGAAGCAAGCTGAGCTGTCGCATGCAGCGGGCTTTGCCAAGGCCCTGGGCATATCACGTGAGTGGCTGGTTGAGGCCGCCGTCGGCACTAGGCAACTCCCATATACGGCCCCAATAGATATGGCCACTCTCAATATTCATGGGACGGATGATTTAGTCCGACCATACTAAGCAGGGGCCATGCAGTGCTTTGTTCTGGTGGGGGCCTGATCAGATCATACGCCACCAGTCAAATCACTAGAAGGTATGGTACCTTTACGGTAGGTATACAAGTAGCTGCTATGGTAGAAAGACGTAGCACATTACAGCTGAGATGACTTGCGCAGGTCTGTATCGATGCCCCGATTGGCAAGCTACAAGGCCGAGCCCAAGCTGAAGCGCCCCGATGGTTTCAAATTCAAATTATTAGGCATCGAGCCATTTTCATACATGTTTCTTCTCCAACCGCACTGTAGATAGGCCGTTTGCAAAAACACTCATCTCCTTCGGATCTCGACCCAGGGCCCCGTATATCGCATCCAAATCCTGTCCAATTTCAATCTCTGCCGCCGTATTCAAGCTTCTCGAATCGAGGAAAGGTGCAATATCTGGCCAAACGCTTTGCACATTGTTGAAGAACAGTTCCACCCCAAGATCACCTACACCCTTGACTTCTTTCATCAATGCCCGAGCATCTTCTCGATCGCCATTGGCAGCCTGTAGTAGATGATTCAGATCTCCATCTAGGCCGTCGTATTTCAGCCCCTGCTACTTCCAGAACATCCAGTCATGCGGGTGGACCCTACATACCATACTTGTCCGTCACGAGGTCTGCAAGACTGCCTAGATTTGTTGAGCACTGCTCGCGATACCGATTATAGCCTCCTTCTCTGAGCACGTCAGTCCGTTCTTCCCACGTGCTCTTTGAAAGGACATCGATATGATGGTAGCCTTGCTCGATCAATCGGTTGGTGGTTCTCTGGGCGAGATCATGCGAAATTGGTCTCGACTTGACCATCGCATCCATTGCCATGGCTAGTATAATCTCAGGACTGGCTGTAAGTTCTGAGGTTTTCCCTAGAGGTGTTCCAGCCAATGGAAGCTGGCCAAAATTGGAGACCACCGAATCAATCCGCGATGAAATATCCACGTTCTTGCGAGGCATTGTAATTGAGTGTCTGCCAGTATTGGATGCAGAGGTGTGTGGATGTAATTAAGAGTCTAAGAAACCACGTAGGATCTTTGGAGATCTGCCTACGCAGTACAATCCCCTCGACTTCATTGACGTCATGTTTAGCGAGTAGGCTACTTCGTTACTCGTTGCAGCATGTTGAACGACTCAGAAGAAAGTGGCAAATTCTCGAATGCCAGTCAAATCCTGATTCTTAAAGTTTGGCCTTAGGAATCTCCTGTAAGACCTCCTTGACTAGTGTTGCAGCAGCCTCAGCGCAGCCAAAAGAAGCTTGGTAGCCGAAGCCGCCGTGGCCATAGTTATGGACTACTCTAACTCCATTGATCTGCTCCTTCTCAATACGAGGTCCTCCCTCACGGACAGGTCGCAAACCGACGCCGTGGCGTACGATATCCAGCCCTTCGATTCCTTTCCCGTCCTTGACAAGCTGCGGGCAAGCCGTAACAGCCCGCTGCATAATTCGATTTGCTAAGTTGTGATCCGGCAAAGGATCCCAGTTGTTTCTCTGATATGATCCTCCCAGTATAGTACCGCCGCCTATTCAGAATCAGCCAACGCTCAATGGAATTTATATAAAGGTTTGACTTACCCGCAGCACGAGTCATGATGTATAACACCTCATCCTCTCCGTCATCGGTCCCAGATACCGTGTACATCGGACCTGGGTCATTACGGACCACGACGATTTGGCCCCGCGCGGGATACATCGCATCATCTAGGACCCCACCGAGCTTCTTGGAAGAGAGGCCGGTGCAGTTGACTACCACGTCGGCCTTTTGCCCGGAATGGTGAGCGTCAGCTGCCTGAGAGATATGTGTGTAATTGGCTCTCTTAAAGACCGCTCCATTTTGACGGATTGCCCAACAAGCCATGGCAGATAAATGGCCGTGTTGATGCATACCGATGTAAATTTCTGAGCACCGTCGATTCCGGGGGCTAACCTGTCTCGAGGGATGTTTTGAAACTAGAGATTATTAGCGCACGTGTCTCCCAATCAGTCGATTTACATACGTCAGGTACAACATCCTTATACCACGGGTTTTGTTGTACCAGTTCCGCGAACCATATTCCTGTGGTCGACTGCCTGTCCTTGACACGGTTCTCCACGATAGCATCTGAGGCGTTTTAGAGCAAATGGGAATGACTGAATGGAATGATAGTATAAGCATCATACCCAAAAAATGTATGCCCGCTTCTGGGTGATTTTCAGCGATCTTTTTCAATACAGGCCAGGTACTTCGCTCCCAGCTCTGATGCGGGGTTCCTTTCTTTCCGACACTATTATATAACCTGATCAGCACAGTCCACGGGTCAGACTCAAGACTATCAGAGACTTACGGCAAGTAGTTGGCACCAGCCCATGGAGAAGCATATTCAATATCGTAATCGCCAGGCATATGCTTCGCTACTACTGTGATCTTTTTTGACGGGTCTTGAGATAGCAGATATGCAGTGGTCAAGCCCGAAACACCAGCTCTTGACGGTCTATTAGTGGAGCTCTGTACAGCTTGTTGCTCCTATTGAAGGTCACTTACCCCAGGACCACGATGTTACGAGACATTTTGAACTTCGAAAATTTAAGTGCTTTTAAGAAAACAACAGCCAATGACCTCAAAGACGCGGCGGGAACTCGTAGAGGGTCTTATATATCAAGATAATGCTCCGTCAACTCTCCGAAGCGGGGTGAGAAGACCCTCGCTAGCCGCCGTTATCTATGGGCCCATTGATTAGACCGATTAGACCGATTAGCCCTCGTAATTAACAGTGGTATGGCCGGGTCAAACAGCTTCTAATTTAGTTTCAAGTGGGGAGGCGGTGTGAGACAAGAACGAATGAAATGTATCAAATACCGGGGACGCGCCAAAGTTTTCCAGGTGGAGACGCGGAGGCTTACGGGGTAAAAACAAGCTTGATACCCTCTCCACACTCATTGGGTCATCACAGTAATCTTCGCTGAACTTTTTATTAGCATAAAGCTCGATTTAAGGGGTAGGATACGGGACCCAGAAGTACCGTAGCATGCTACAAAGCGCAAAAAGCTTCAATCAGCCAGCAGTAAAGTACTAGGCCTTGAGATCCTTCTCCCCGTATTGTCCCGCTCCCTATTGCCCGGGCTCCACCAGGTTCCTTGAATCGAATGGATCACACTTCACACCCGAGGGTCTTGATTGATCAAATTAACTTGACCTAGGGATGGAAAGCCGAGAGCAGAATCACAGTTACCCCTTGGTAGACGATTCCCGTAAGCTAGCAGTCCAATTGAGCCCATGGGTTGGGAATTGTGAGCCGCCTAAAATGGGAGAAGAGCGATGTCATGGTAGGTAAAGCCTCACGTGTGGCCCAATCAGCGTCGATCAGCGTCTCACCGCCTGGGAACTCGGGATGCAAATCTGGGCGAAGCTGGAATTTCCTTTTGTCCATCGCACCCGCAGGGCTAATTCACTCTGCGGGTTTGCTTTGTGGCTTCTTTTCATCTCAAAAATAATTCTTCGCCCTCCTTCAAGAACCTCGTCTAGACCATATCTTTTTTTATACTAAATGACGATCTGGGCTCAGGCCGGGTATTATCCAAGATGTCCCTTGACACACACGGCAGAATCGTGCCCATACTAAAGGGACAACATTCACTGAATGGTGCTCTTGACTCGGTGGAGTCGTATGGTAGACTGCAACACAGTGAATTAGAACACAACATATTCACCCCGAGCAATTCTTCTCAGCTAGAAAAGCTACACTATGCTTCCCCCAGTGCCCTTTCCTCTTCTTCATTTTCCACGTCTTCGTTCCCGCAACAGCAAGCTATGCGCCAAACAAGCTTGGAGTTGCCCTCCTTGAAGGAGCACGGGCTCTTCGCCCTTCCTACTGAGGGAGATGGTAAGAACTAACCTATCCTTGTATCCTATTTTAGCGAGCCACTCGAAGCTCTGCTCTCAATGTGCTTGTTGTTGTTGACGCGTTACTATAGGCAATTGCCTCTACTATTCCCTCTCCGACCAGATGTATGGCGATTTCGGCCACGCACAGGCCATACGACAGACATTGGCGGACCATATGGTGAGCCACAAAGGCTTTTTTATGCAGTTCGTAGCTGCTGAGGGTGGTGAGCGCCGTCGCCCCAAACGTGCCGCGGCGTCCGCGTATGCGACGCGTTCCGCAGCTGTTGGGATCCCCTCGGCAGACGACATGGAGCGCAGGTTCGAAGAGATGATTGCCTCAACCCGCAAGAATGGCGAGCGGGGAAGCTCGGAACACTTGCAGGCCTTCTGTCAAGCGTTCCGAGTAGATATCAATGTATACACCATGGATGGTGTACAACGCTTCCGCGACTTCAACGCTGGGGAGGAGAAGCGCGAAGCAATTCACATTGCTTTCCACGTAGGTCCCTCGCTCAGAATTTAACCGAGGTTTTTACTGATTGGGGGTAGGACTTCAAACACTACTCTACCGTGCATCCGATCAAGAGCGAGCACGAAGGCTTGCTGTCAAAGCCGCCCACAAATGACGAAAAGGAAGTAATAACTGGCGAGCTCATTGACGCAAAAGCCTGTCCCGTTAAGTCCGAGGACCCCATCACTCGCCGCGACTCCCAAGACACCGTTCCTACCTCTATTTCCGACACCTCCCGCTCTACCCCCGACACCACCTACACCGCTCATGACTCTGCCGTTGAACTCTCACCACCTCTTGATATTCAGCATATTCACGATGAGCTCGGCGGGCGATACGACCGAGACACGATCGTGGATATGCTTCAAAAGTGTCGTGGTGACATTGACCGAGCCTTTACAGCTCTGCTCGGCGAGAAGACCGACTCAGAAAAGAGGCTTCCCCTGGGTTCGACCTTCAAATCAAACTTGCGCGTGTCCCGATCATCCTCCCCTACAGTACGGGGAGCAAGCGCTCTGCGGATGACAGTGACGACGACTCCGAGAGTCCACGCCCGGCGACCTCGCGAGGTAGACCCCGGAAGAGGCTGATATCCAACTTAACAATGGGCGTGGGGATCTCTTTCCGGGATGACCATAACGAGGTTGTCTCGCTGAACCTTAGGGTAAGCTTACCCTTCATCCTTTCATGAGTTAGATGAGTTACTGACGTCCATTAGATGCACTCGGAAGCTGCCAAAGCTAAGTCCGACAAATCCAAGGCAGAAGCCCTTGAGAAAGTGAAGCTCGAGCCAAATTCCGAGGAAGCAGAGGCCATGAAGCCTGTGAAAAACGAATCGGATGGCAAGCTGAGAAATGCTTCTCCCGAAGCTCAGGCCGTCGAAAAGATGAAGCCTGCACCGAAGAAGGGGCCCCGTCGCAGCGGACGACTCTCAAAGTCGCGAACCACCACGCCACAGTGATGCCCTTCTCTTCATTTGAATTTTTTTTTCTTTCTTTTTGCGTAGTGTCTATGAGTTCTCTAGACTTCAGCGGTTGCATATGAATGGCGTACGGACATCGGGAACGTGGGAACTTTGACATTTGCATTGCATAACAACAATCGGGTTGATGCGTGGCGTTCGGTTTACATGCATGAAGGCAGTGCTGGAGCGATTTTGTATAGAAACATGCATGCATTTGCGGGTCGCATTCTTGCTGAGTTTAGCGTCAGAACTCTCTCCAAGGTTTTGCTACGTTTTTTCGAGGCCCTCTATGAGTTAGACCTCATACCTAGCTCATGACCAGCTCATAACGAGCTCACAATTGACACAGAAGTGATCAAACAAATCTTTACTTGGCTTTCTCCTTTGGCATCAGAGTAGAACATAACTGAAAAGCGTCCGTTGATACGCGGCGCACATGGCTTGACTTGGTTCTGTAGCTTGGCAATCAGCGAATAAGCCGATTTCTGACGTAGTCATTTATGTACTAGAGTCGAGTTGGTGATGGCCGAAAAATGAATTCTGTAGGCCTTGCCCTTAAGACTTGGTAATATTGGAATTCTAATATACGGAGAACCCAACAGGACTAGATCGAGCAAACACGTAATCCATGTATGCAGCAATGCCTAAGGGCGTAATTGCTTTTCCGTGCATACGAAGCTGCAGGCTTCAGCTGGAGCTGGTAGAAGTTAGCCCCTTCCGCCACCCGGCTTAACCCACAGCTCCACAATAAGACTCTCTCCGCTACCATCCTCTGCGACTCCTGCGATGGACACACCATAAGAGCTTGCTTGGCTCTCCCACGCGTGCTTTAGTGTCCAGGTCTTTGCCAAGATGAGCGACAATTCTGTTCCTTGGATCTCGGAGGCAGCCCCGCTTCTGCCGGATAACCCAGCCTCTCCAAGCACGCAATATCAGAGCATTACCCAGAATGAGAATTATGAGACGGAGTCGTCAGCTGTCGAGTCTGGGGGCCTTGACCCAAGTGTGCCATTCCAGAGTCAAGTCGACCCTATATCCCCCCTGTTAGGCGCCGAACCGGCTCTGGAAAGGTCGCGCTCCAATGTCTCAGGGAAAACGCGCAACTCTTCTGCATTGACCGACCGGGTAGAGCAGGATGATGGCAGCTACGCAGCTCGATTCATCGACGTATCCCCGACGCGATTCTGGATGATCTTCTCGGGCATCATGCTCGGGTATGTGATTGGATTCTTTGATTCGACGCTGATGGCTTCTAGCCATCCGGTGATCACCTCTTATTTCAATGCAGCAAATTCTGCATCATGGCTGTCAACTGCGTTTCTTTTGACCTCGACCGCATTCATGCCAATACTAGGGCGCATCTCTGATGCGATTGGCAGAAAACCAGTCTATCTTTTCTCTATTTTCATGTTCTTCGTGACTACAGCATGGTGTGGCTTAGCTCAGAGTATAGCCAGTTTCATCGCGGCTCGTGCATTGTGTGGCCTCGGTGCTGGTGGAGTTTTCTCCATGGGGCAGATTCTCTCCAGTGACCTGGTGCGTCTCGAGTATCGGGGTGTGTATCAGTCTTACATTAATCTATGCCTAGGGACTGGTAGCTGCTTAGGTCTTGCGTTTGGTGGTCTTCTTTGCGATAAGATTGGCTGGCGTGGCGCCTTCCAGGTTCAGCTGCCCTTTATATTCGTCTACTTCATTACAGCCGTTGTGACTGTCCCATCTTCTCTCGGAAAGAAGCAGCTTGATGATGGTAGTGCATCTGGGCGGGCACTCCTCCGGACCATCGATTTCAGTGGATCTATCCTCCTTATTGCATCCGTGACTCTGCTGATTATGGGATTGAATCTGGGCGGCAATGTTTTTCCATGGGCGCACCCCTTAGTTATCACATCATTGGTAGCATCTGTCATCCTGGCAATCACCCTTGTGCTTTACGAACGGGGTGTGCCACGAGCAGTCTTGCCTGTCGAGCTTCTGTCCAAGAACCCTCGCGCGAGTATCATATTCGGCAACTTTTTCGGGGCAGTCTCTGTCAACACCATGATGTTCAACGCTCCGCTATACTTCCAGGCAGTGAAGCTGGCCAGTCCGACGGACTCGGGTCTGCGGCTTGTTGCGGCATCTATTGCTGTGACCGCATCCAGTGTTGGTACTGGCTTTCTCATCACTTGGTCCAAACGTATGAAACCGACTATCATCGTCGGAGGCCTCTGCATGCTAGTTGGAGGCTGTGCCGCTGGCTCAATGGGTATCGATACGCCTAGTGCTCTGGCGATGGTCTGTGTCTCATTTTCCAGTCTTGGTCAAGGATTTTCATTCCCGTCTCTCATGGTTTCCATCCTGGCTACCAGTGAACAAGACGATCAAGCCGTGGCGACTACTACGGTGGGTTTGGCGAGAAACCTTGGATCTGTGATGGGCGTCTCGATCAGTAGCTGGATTCTCCAGAACACCCTTCTCTACGAACTCGAGCAACAAGTGACGGGGCCCGAGAAGAGTCACATAATTACTCTTGTTCGCAGGTCTATCCGCGCGATTGCGGATCTTGATTCAGTGCATCAACATGAAGGTAGGTACTCATCGCAGGCTTGAAAGAATTCCGTTAACAGCCATTCAGTTGTCAAAGCTTATTCCTTGTCACTTCGTATTACGTTTTTGTCAGCTGCAGTTTGGGGTCTTGTCATGCTTTTGTTCCATATTCCATTGCGACTGCCCCGGCTTGACCGCCGGTAGTCGCGAATGATTTCTACCAAAACACTGTTAGCGTATGCGTGAACTTGAAGCGAACCTTAAGTCCAGAATGATAGTCGAAATAAACCAAACAATGGCATGCGCCGGTACTCCGTACACTCCTCCCGGTTAGATACACGCCATTCTGGACAGTCCATACATAGACGCCATTCTGGACAGTCCATACATCTTTTCGGCCCTTATCCGGAAGATCCACTTTCCTCTTTTGCTCCGTGCCCGCTCCGCAACATTTTCTAACCTCGATGACTCGCGGGGCTGCAGCAGTTTAGCCCTTACAAGGCGATGGGTTGGTGTGTATTCTCACAATCTCTTCAGCATCAGTGGACTGACATCGCTCAGAGTTTCTTGGCCCTTTGCCTTCCCTTCATACCCTTTGCAGCCGCCCTCAGATCTCGCGATAAGGAAGCAGTCGCTCTATCAGGACTTCAATTTGCATAATCGAGCGTTCACCACTTGCGTCAATCCTACGAATACTCTTGATGCGGATAGCGAATATGGCATGTCGAGGAAGAACGACTACAAAATTCAGCCTACTCAGAAACGTGTTGTCAGCTCGGGACCTGGTCTCCTCGATCGGCGCTGGAGATTAGACGATAAGAAGATTTACGACTTAGACATATGACGATGAATCTCAAAAGGACTCGGGCTCAGTCCAAGTCTCTATCCCCACGGGCTGATTCGGAAGGGACTCCGACAAGCCGCAATAGCAGTTCACCACGGCCCTCAAGCGCCTCCCGCAAGAAAACCGAATCGGCGGAGACGAAGGCCAAAAGAACTCGGACGGGATGTCTCACATGTCGGGAGCGGCACTTGAAAATGCGACGAAGCGCTGGGCCGGTGCCTGAATTGTCGCAAATCCAACAGAGTCTGCCGCCGCGGGGTCAGATTAAACTTTATCGATATTCAAACCGTTGCGCCCCCGCAGGTTATTGATCGTCCGAACGGATCGAAGGTGACATTCCGAGATGACTCTCGATTTATTGCATCGGAATATGTCGGTGGGTCTGAGCGATATCCGCCCATCCAGCCGGAAAGCCCGATTCAAGAAAGGAGGCAGCTTCAGCAAGATGCTTTCAATATGATGGGACCTGACCAGCTGGCCAGTCTGTTCCAATCAGTCGCTCAATCCTTTGATCATGCTGGGTTAGACTCTCAATCCGACTTTCTCTTCGGCGCTGATGCCTGGCATGAGACGCATCTTGTACCGGGTGATGAGCTCCTCCCTCATGGGACTTCCAATTTCGCTCGGAAATTGACGCTCAAACAATACAGCCCCTCGTATTTGATGGACCCCGAACAGTCCCTGCTATTGCAGGCTTTTGTAGATGCAGTCGGCCCCTGGGTGGACTGTACAGATCCCGCAAAGCACGTGAGTTCTCCGTTCTCCATTCTCAGGCACCATAGAACCTCAGCTGACAGGTTTATAGTTCACCGAGTTATTGCCATTGCATGCTATTGACCAGCCTATGTTGCTCAAAGCTCTTCTTGCGTGCGGTGCTCGGCATCTGTCGATCGGCGACCCGTCGCAGGAACACAAAGCAGCTCATTATTACGAAGTAGCTTCAGAAGATCTTTTGAATAGTATGCAAGACCCCAATCGTGACTCGGTTTTGTGTACTGTTGTCGCGCTAGCTCTTGGTATATACGAGTGGATGTTGCCAAACACCGCATCAACAAAAAACCATCTTGCTGGATCAAGAGCTTTGATTCGAGAATGTAGATGGAACGCAAAGACACCCTCCCTTGGTGGGGCCTGTTTTTGGATCAGTGTCAAAATTGAGCTCCTCAACTGCCTACAACACAATTGGTTATTATCATGGGACCCCGACACCTGGGGAATTGATATGAACATGGATCACGCGCAACCTCACTGGAAGGGAGATGAGGTATGGCTGCAGCGCATTATCTACATATGTGCAAAAGTTTTAAATTTCCGCGCTACTATTCAACTGTGGCACCCAGAAGATTTGATAGTCTCGGATTCGCGGAGGAACGAGGTACTGCAAGAATGGAACCATTATTACGCCTTGTGTGAGCAGTGGAACAACTCTTGTCCACGATCAATGAAGCCAATCTTTCAAATTCAGCCATGGCAAGTGGAATCTGAATCCCACTTCCCAAAGATTTGGTAGGCGTTTCCTGCTTCATAGATACAGCCTTTGCTTATTCCTACAGGTTAACCAAGCGCACTGCAACCGTTGCTCGTCTATTCTACCACGCGACTTCTTTCTTGCTTGCAATGATCCATCCACTGCCCGAGTCGTACAAGAACATACAGCAAGAGCATTCTCATAGTATATGCGCTTATGCTGCAAACTCGAAAGATCCAAGCATCGCAAACACCTTGGTACCTTGCCTAGGTATTGCCGCGGCCAGTCTTCAGTTACGGGGTGCGCAAGAGGAAGCTTTGCGTATACTTGAGAATATTAGCATCGGGTCCGCTCATTCTATTGACCGGGTCAAGGACGACTTGAAACGTTCTTGGGGTTGGATTCATCCGGAAACTCTCGATCCCGCTCAGATACACAGCGATTACGTATTTGGACAACCAAGCAACCTTAATCCATTTTTGAATTCGACGGATCTTTCGATGGACCATCATCCATATCAAGGCTTCTATGTTCCTCCTCATCATCATCGGGCCGACAACTATCCTTATGACGCTTATCTTGTCTGATTCTTTGAGGCTTGTTCTTCTGAAGTTGTTATATACCCACCAATACTATTTATTAGGCAATCCTAGCTTGATCAAATGTCGAACAATTGTACGAATTCCTGACTCTCTATGGAGACTCTAATTCCTCGTATTTCGACATCACGTATGCTCATAGTCCTGGGCCAGGCCAACCACTTTACAATATCTGCCCCCTTGGTTGAGGATTTCATGTGTCGATTTCAATTTTTCAAATAACCCCGAATCAATATGACTAAAGCAGCTCCAGGCATCAGAATGATCGCTATCGCAACTAACGTTTCATAACTCTCGAGCATCCACCTGGAATGACGTGGGGAGGCGAAGGCGGTACAGGGTTATCTCTTATCGCGCCGCCATCCTTGCAGGCACGTAAACCAGCAACAATACGCGAAGCGACTCGGAAATGGCGGAGGATTCACAGCTTCTAAATGGCCCCGCCACTCCTTTGTATGTTCTCCGCGGGCATGCCGCTCCAATACATGCCTTGAATGTCTTTTCGCGGAATCTGCGGCTGGTCTCAGGAGACGCCGACGGGTGGGTCGTCATGTGGGATTTGGTGACCAAACGACCGGTGGCCGCATGGAAAGCACATGCCGGCGCTGTTCTGGAGTTGAAGGGATTCGAAAGGGGCCAAGGAATAACTGAGATCTACACGTGAGGCACTTTCGAACCGTCACCGAATCCTTACTAACCTCTTACAGACATGGCCGTGATCACAAACTCTGTGTCTGGAAAATCCGGGCAGAAGACGAAGGCTTTCTTGGTAAATCTCTGCCTGTTGATGTAGCTTCCTCAGGGACTCAAAAAACCCAAGCACAGCCATGGCTTCTACATTCCCTGCCAGTCAATGCACTTAATTTCTGCGCCTTTTCAATGACCACTGTTACTAGCCCTGATGCTGAGAAATCCGGCGATGCTGCACCAAAAGCCGCTTTCTTCGCGGTCCCTAATGCGCTGGACTCAGGCGGAATCGATATCTTCCATCTTCCGTCTGAGCGCCGGCTTACCACGATCGCCTCTGACCCATCGGTGCAAACGGGGATGGTGATGGCCGTGAACCTCTTCTTTACCTCTGCAGGGGACCTCTTCGTCGCATCTGCCTACGAAGACGGACATGTAATGGTTTTCGCGCATAAAGAGCCTCTCACGCCAGCCAAGTTCGAACCTACCTCCTCAAAACCTTGGATGTGGGAGAAAGTCTACATCTGCCGCCCGCACACTCAACCCGTCCTGTCTATCGATGTTGCTCCCACGAAGGACTTCTTCCTCTCTTCATCAGCTGATTCACTGATTGTGAAACACCCAATCCCAGGAACTGGGACTGTCGACGGAGTACCGGTTATCAACTACAAAGAGGAGGCGCCATTGAAAGTGGTAAATACGAAACATTCCGGGCAGCAGGGGCTGCAAATTCGCAGCGACGGGAAGATTTTCGCGACTGCTGGCTGGGACAGCAGAGTGCGTGTGTACTCAGGGAAAACCATGAAAGAGCTGGCGGTCCTCAAGTGGCACAAAGACGGCTGCTATTGTGTTGCATTTGGAGAAACTACCCCGGCAGAGCCAAAAGCAGATATCCACACGGAAAAGTCGCTTGTGGCTGTCCAGAACCAAAGGAACCAAAAGATACATCAAACGCACTGGCTAGCAGCGGGATCAAAAGACGGAAAAATCTCATTGTGGGATATCTATTGAAACGACAAATGCTTTTGTACAATGGAAAAAAAAGAAAGAAAGAAAGAATCATGCCAAGTTAAACTCACTGGCGCCAGAAAGCTCCTTCATCTTCTGCCTCATCTTGCGCGCGGCGTCATCCGTGCTAGACGGCGCAGGGCAGGCACATCATCTCCAGCCTTCCTCTTCGCTCCACCACGGCTCGCCTTGAAGTCCTTCTTGGTCTCCTCCTGTCCAGGTCGCAGACCAGGAACATTGATCTTGCCCGGCCGATCCCGCAAAGCAAAACTCTTCGCAAGATGGCCCAGATGAAGCTGTTTGATATCAAACATACTCCGCTCCGCAGCAATATGCGTAGCGTAGGCTCGCACGTGCGACTGGAATGCACGGCGTGCCATCTCCAGGTATTGCGGGTTCTCGAGCGCCCAGCGCTCAACGTCCATCTGCCAGTCTGTCGTCTTCTCCTCCCAATTCTTGTTCTTGCGGTCTGAATCTGTGTTGCCGCCGAAGCCGCGCCGTAGAATTTCGTTGGCATCCGTCCGGGTGAGCGCTTTGCCGCCGTCTCGGTAGCCACGCTTGAGCACCTCGACGTAGTTCTCTTCGCAACCTGGTTGCAGGAAGATCAGAGCGCGGCCATCGCGCCCGACACGGGCGGTACGACCGATGCGATGAGTGTGGTCATCCGCACTGAATGCTGGGTCATATTCGATGACTAGGTCGACGTTGGGGACATCCAGTCCTCGGGATGCAACGTCGGTACAGATAAGGACGGAGGCGGTGGTGCTGCGTGTGAATGAGTTGAGGGTAGATGTTCGAACGTGTTGAGGGAGAGAGCCGTGCAGTCGGTGGAGCGTTACGGGGTTGGAAGGATTTGAGAAGGCCGTGCCTGGGGCGACGGTGCCGTGCTGGGCCAGCTTGTCGTTTTCGGGTTTCTTTGCTTTTTCTTCCTCGTCTTCGGATATCTCGGATTCTTCGTCATCGTCGCTGGTTTTGTTTCCTCTCTCGCCGTGCTTTCTCGAGAAGACCTCGAAGAGAAAGTCGACCTCATCTGCACAGGAAACAAATACTATAGCCTTCATCACAGAGCCCTTCCGAATGAAAGTTCTCTTCAGATAAGCAACCAATGTGACCAAACGTAGCTTTGCAGCAACAATGGCGTACGACTGCTTCAACTGTGCTGGCACCCGGAATGCCTCATCTGCCTCAGACTTGGTGCGAGTTTCCACGTCCTCGTCGGCTGGATTCGCCTTGATATGCACCGCATCCTTCAAACTAATTTCACCCAGTCGCTGAACATTCATCTTCAATGTAGCCGAACACAAGATTGTAGTTCTCCGGGTGGGGACCCCCGGAATGCGACTCGGTCGTTGTCGGGCATCGAGTTTCTTGACAATTCCCTGCAGTTCCTCCTCGAAACCCAAGTCCATCAAGCGGTCACCTTCGTCCAGTACCAACCACCGAACGCTGCTGACATCCAAAGATTCCGTATTGTCGAGATGGTCCGCCAACCGTCCGGGAGTAGCGACCAATATATTCAGACCTTTCCTTAAACGCGCTTTTTCCGACTTTTTCTTTTCTCCACCGATGACTGTCCCCGCAACAATCCAGTTCGCACACCGGAGGACGTTCTCCAGGACAACAGAGATCTGCTTGCACAGTTCACGAGTGGGAGCGAGAACAATCGCAAACAATCCACTGTCGCGGTGCACCCCGGCATCTTTGGAGGCCTTCGAAAGATCGATGAGGCGCTGCACCAGCGGGAGAAGATAGGCAAGAGTCTTTCCGGAGCCCGTTTCGGCCTGAATGAACGCATCGCTTTCCTCCTTTAGTAATTGCGAAATCGAGCTCTTTTGAATAGCCGTCGGCGCCTTCAGTTCGAGTTTGGTGAGCAAGTGGGCGGCGAGTTGGGGCGACAGGCCCAGGTTGGTGAATGTATCGATCCCGTCGATCAGCGGGGCATTAGTAGGCTTCGCGTCCTCCAGATCCTCATCCTTCTTGTGCTCTTCGACATTTTTGGGTTCGGGGTTACTGGTGAAAAGCGACGAGACGAAATCGTGGGGGTTCTTCTGCTGAGGGCGTGATCGATGACCTCCGTCGCCACCTGCTCCTCTCGACGAATCGTTGGTCTTCTGTCGCTTCGCTGGCCGTGTAGATGGGACCTGGATCTTATTCGGATTCTTGGAATCGGCGTTTCTTCGATTCGTACCTCCGTCGCCAGTCGGTATGTGCTGGGAACGCTTTTTCGCAGAGAGACGAGCCCGCCACGTCCCTCCCTTGAACTTGGCTTCTGGCTTGATGACATTGTCACCAATAGAAAAATTCAGGAGCATGCCATCTTCAGCCATGGCTTGGGTAGTCTTGTCGATTTGATAAGATCGAGAGTACGGCGCCATATTTTTTTTTTTGCCCTGTCATTTTCTGCCATACCCCACCGCTTGTATATCCGCCTCCACCTTGCGGTGCTGCCAAGATTTCTCATGCCCCTCCTGAACAATACCAGTACTCCACTTCTACACTGTCCCTTTAGAGTTTCGAATACCAGACCGTATCTTTGCAGTTGCATATTGAGAATCTGCTAGCAGATGTGTCATAGGCTGGAAGAGTACAAAAGAACGATTTCAAAAAGGATAAATTGAATACGATGCGTCTAATTTATATAACAAAACCGCGTCATGATATTCTCATGCTCGTAGGCTCACCACTAGGAAGGACAGGGAGCTATTTTGAAGCTCATCGGTCCGATATAGACTAGTTTCACATTCTCCCAAACCAAGCTTACTCTAGCCTCTGTCATGATAGCAAGTAACATTTGAGTAGACTGCGGCACGATCCGCAATGTCCAAGGATATCCGCAATCCATATCCGCAAACTGCGGATTTGGATATGATTTCATATCCGCAATCCGCAGCCTTGTGGATTTGGATATGGGCCTCATATCCGTTGGATATTTGCGGATATCCAATGGATATCAAACACAACAAATGTGCCAAGACCCGTGACCTCGAGAGATATGCATTATTTTTATGTTTTCTCCAGTATTTTTTATGTAACAACATCGTCATGCGGATATCCGCAGAATATCCACACCCCTTTTAAAAATTGCAAAGTCCGCATCTTGAGAACTTCTATCCATGATTTCTCTTACTTTCACGGTCGGAATACCTTCAAACTCTAATATATCAAGAGCTGGAAGAGATAGCATTGTTTTGAATCTAGAATCGGGATATTTTATTAAGAAATATATATTTTTTCCTTATTTACTCTATTTATTATGAAATTAGAGAAGATTAACAATAGTCAAATATATATTTCTAAAGTAAGTTACCGCAAAATCCTTATTTTACAGCCATACTCAAGATTAGGATCAAATTCTCTTACGTCTATAGTCTCACATTTAATCATTACACAATCAGATCTCAGATACATATTCATTTCCTAATATTTCACACCACAGAATGTGAATTAAAGATGTTGGTTCTGTTATGACCAAACATGGTTTTCTTTCAGGCGGGGAGAAAGATTGGTAAGCTACATTAGGATCAGGTGACAGCCTATATTCGGGAAGGTAAGCGAGAGTTATGCTAGTGCGGATAATTTGAGGATATCCGCATATCCGCGCGGATATCCAAGGATATCCGCATTGAGGATATGGATATGAACTCATATCCAAGATCCGCAGCTTGCGGATATGGATATGGGTTTCATATCCATTGGAGCGGATATGCCGCAGTCTACATTTGAGTATCATCAAGTACACTCGCACTATGTGCTGGTAGTATTTTAGTAGAACGGAGCCAGCTCACGTCCAAGACCAAAAGCCGTACCCGTGATTGCTACTCATGAGAAATAAGTATGTCACTTGAATCCATTGGACTGACCAGAAGATACTTTCCGCAAGCATACTATCATAGCAAAGCACCCCTACTGACCTGCCGGATCCATATATATCTTCTATGATCACAGGATATTGGCATTTCGACCCCAAATATCTACTTCGTCCTTGGTATCGTCGTCCTCCCCTCCATAGTCATCTAGACAGCTTCTCTTAATTGCAGCCAGCCTCTTCGAAACTTCATTTGCGTCATATAAACTGACAAGCCTTCGTTTGCCGGGGAACTGCTGAGCCCTATCTCGACAGATTTGGTAAATGACATCCTGCTTGGACCTGGGATCAAAGTCCGGGTGATAGGAAATCGTAGATCGTCCGTAGGGGTTTTCCTTATACGTGGGATATCGGTGCTCCTTTACATTCGGCACCGAAAGTGTCTTCGAATTGGTCCATGAATCCACTGCCATATCGAAAGGAGTGACGCCCGTTGCGTTCTCGCGGTACAGGAGGTCAGGGCGACGGTCCAGCATTAACTCCAAGAATCGAGGCCAGCCTGCTTCGACGGCCATATGCACTGGAGTGTTGCCAGATCCGTCCAGCATTTCCAGGTGTCTCTGGTTGTTCGAGCTGCCCAAGTCCAGAAGAATGTTGAGAACATCGAACTCGGGCTTGTGGCTTGCTTTGTAGTGGAGCTGGCCTGCCTGGCAATCTGCGACTAGACCCATCCAAAGGAAGAGAGGTGTGTTTGAAGACCCGCTAGCTCGTTCGACCAGCATGGCTGTAAGGAGCTGTTGGTCAAGCAGACCAGAAAAGCGCGTGATTTCGTCCGGACTTTTGCATGGGCTACCGAATGAGGATTTAAGAAGAAGGTGGAGCAAATTATGCCCTTCGCGGTCTCGAGTTGTTTGATTAGCGCCGGCACCGATCAAGATACAAGCGAACTCGAAGCGACGGATCGAGAATGCCAAAGCCAGGGGGGTAAGCCCTTTGTCAGACCGAACTTCCAGGCACTCAGGATGGGTTTCAACCAGAAATTTAACGAGACGCTCAGATTCCTCGGATGGTTTACTGATGATAGCGCAGTGCAGAACAAGGTTGTTCCTTGTCTGAAGCCAATTCAAGATAGAACCCTCCAGTCCAAGCTTAGATCGTGCGAGCTTTTGCACATGCTCATCCTCCATATGCGAGCTGACATACTCAACATAATGACGCCCGGGGGCAGTGCTCAGGAACCATTCAACAACCGTAATTTTTCCTTGCATAGCTGCGATCAAAAGAGGTGGTCGTCCTTCAGGCGCCTCCATAACGATCTCTCCTCGCCCGGCACTCGCCCAGTCCTTGCGCTTCTTGCCTCGGATGGAAAGACCGGGATAGTATTTGTACTTCTCTTCAGTATCGCATCCCGACTGTTCGGCAAGCTTCTGCAGAGGCAGGCCAACGGCCGCCTTTTGGATCAAGCTTGTTAGGCAATCAATACGGCTGAGTGATATCGCAAGCTGGAAATCATCGTGAAGCAAATCAGGCGTGGAGTGAGTTGAGAAGACTTGACATTTCTGTCGAGTTTTCAGTAGGAAATTGAGCAGCGAAATATCGTTCTTGACAATAGCGTATTTAGTCAAAGAACACACATTGAACTTTCGACAATTCGGGTAGTCAGTGTCTGCAGGGATATAGACTGTTCGCTGGATTTCCGGCCACTCGTCAAGGAACAAATGCGCGCTACAGGATTTCTGGAGGGCTGCGAGAGGAGAGACGGAGCTTTCGACGTCGGTAACTACCTGTCCCACGTTTTCGTATGTGAACTGATCATCAACCTCACGGCCTACAACGTCGAGACCGTCGTGGTTAGAATCACTGTCAGATTCGTCATCTGAATAGTCGTCAGAGCGCATTTCAAGTCTCTGCCGGGGCCCGGTCTTCTCCTTGTATTGTGCTTTGAGGATCCCGAGAATCTCCTCAGACACCTGCAGATGACCGCGCAAAATTGCGATTGAAGGACAGGAGAATCCGTACTGGTCGCAGACGGCGATTTCCAAGGGAGGCTGGTCCTGTGCGGGACCCCACATTCCCAGAGTCAACTTCTTGATAGTATGCAGGTCGCCCCTCCAAGCAGCCTCAAATAATTCTAGGTATCCAGCTCGCAACTCATCCGTGAGGGTGAGGGTAGGACTATTGAAGTTGAGGGGAGGAATATTGAAGTTGAACTCGAACCTGAATTCTGGCACACTCTCAGGCTTAGGAGGCACGGGGCTTTTTGTCAGTTTCTGGTTCTGATCGGGTTCTGGGTGAAGCTCTCTCCATAGCTTGGCGCCCGATCTGACAAGCTCAGTCTCTAGTAGCTCATAGTTGCGAACCAGTTCTTCCATATGGGCCTTTTCCAAGAGCACCTTGGGCTGTTCTGTCTGTTCGCGAGCTCGTCTTTTGCGCGATTCGTTGTCTCTGGCAGTCTGTTCTAAATTTCTGTGAGCTTCTCGTAATTGGGCTTTCCCGGAGAATGCCTTGTAGGAGTCTTGTTGAAATTCCTGCAGATACTCTTCATCACTCCGGTGGAAGAACGGTGGTTCATCGATTGAATCTTTCGGGGATGGAGGAAAGTTCTTAGATATCCACTTTCGCAGATCATTTTGGTTCTCCCTCGCTTTATCCAACACCGTATATCCTGACCCGTAGTATGAACCCATTTGCTCAGAATTTGGGTCTGCGCCCCGACGAAGCAGTTCCAGGGCTACTAATGGCAGCTGGTTCTCCACAGCAGCAATAATTGGCTGCTTTGAATGGGTCTCGATGAAGGTGTCAGTGGTTTTGAGCAAAAAGTCATTCTTGTTCAACTGCGATTTCATGGTGCTCAAGAAGTCAGCTTGGTCGAAGTGTATCTTGGCTCCTGCTTGGATAAGCTTCTGAATTGATTCTTCTTTCTTTGCGTTGATTGCATGCATAAGAGGCGTGAAGAACCCGCGGTGCCATGTGTCGATAGTCATGTGCTTTATTGCACGTTGCGTTGCTGGTCCATCGTGCTTCATGTAGATATCAATGAGTTCTGAGTAATCGGATTGGACAATGAAATTCAATGCTGTATTCTGCTTGAAGTCCGCCTGGGAAAGCGACGCGCCGACTTCCAACAGGGCCTGTGACATTTCTCTGGCTTTATCTAGCGGAAGGGAAAGGACGAGTACCAGGGTAAGAGTTGCAGCCAACGGTTTTCGGCCGTGACTGTCGAAATGTTTGATAGGCAGCATGACATCAGCTCCAAAGGAGGTGACAAGCTCCTTCACTGTCTCGGTATGGCCATGGATGATTGCGAGGTGAAGTGGAGATGTCAAGCTATCCCAAGATATTGCGTTGATATCGTAAATGTCAGGCTCAAGCTCATTCTTGTCCGCAAGAAGAGCCTCATCGCCCTCTTCGAAGGCATCTTCATGGTCAATCTTGACAAAGGAAGCAGATGTCCTTGACATATCATCAGCGTCTTTCTTCTCGACTCCTTCTTCAGAGTCATCTGTCTTCTCTCCCTCCCGAGTCTTCCTTGAGGAATCTTTCGCGGCTTCCTCTTCCTCGTTCTGATTGCTCTTGGTGAGTAGGATACGGATAATTTCGACACGGCCTCGGGCAGCTGCAATATGAAGAGCTGTCCTTCCATCCGCCATTCGAGCAATGAGTCGCGCTCCGTGATCAACGAGGCACTGAACAACCTCTGGGCTTGATGACATACAAGCAAGCTGCAGCGGTGTACGCCCTGTGTAGTCTCGGCAATCGACGTTCGTGTTCTCTTCTGCAAGGAAAGCATTTACGGCGTCAACATCTTCGGAGACTATCGCCTGGCACAATCTCTCTGTGCCACCAATATAAGCCATTTCTAATTCAAGTCAGTAGATGTTCAGGTTGGATAACTCGTGTCTGATCTCACCCGTCCAATCAGTATCTGTGATCGGGTTGAAACTTCCAATTTCCTGGCGCCCCGGATCATCCTTAATGAACGAGATCTTTCCAGAGATATATGTCTTGCTCTCCTCCTCAGCAATCTTCTTCTCCTCTTCGGTTGTAGGTTGCGGGCAGAAACCGCAACAATCGCCGATGACATGTTCAACCTCACCGAAGAATGCTGGGTGGCGATGGAGATAGACTGGGCGGTCCTTGGGCTGGTTCCATTCCGCATTCAGAAGCAAATCTCGAGTATAGACAAGCTTTTCGATCTTCCGCGCGTTGAATCTCTGACCGTAAGGGATGGTCTGGAATCGTTAGCATGGCAAATGGGCGGAATGGAGTCACACGCACAAAAGTATGATAATTGGAAACCTGGTCCTCTTCCTGCCATTCTGGAACCTCGTCTTCCCAGTCTTGCTTGATGTTGCCTCTGAGCTCTTTTCTACGACGAAGATAGATGTTCACAGGAGGCCTCCCGCGCTCTTTTCGTCTCTGTTGCATGTAGGCCTCGCGATGACTGGCTTTGGGAAGCTTTTCCAGAACTAGCAATCTTGCGAGACCCTCCGTCCGGGTAAAACTTCTCTCAAATATCGTCTATTGCTGTTAGTAGGCTTGTACTTCAGAACATCTTGCGAAGATCTTACCGGGTCGACCTTGGATCGGTCCAGTTTACTCCAGTAGATTTCGAACCCACGGCGAGAATACTTGGATAGTCGGTTCTCGTACGATGGAGAACGCCTGGTAAGGTCAACCTGATTTTTCTGGGTGATATAAGACGCGATGGCGCGGGGTGCGGCATAAACGTTGGTGCCGTCGTAGGCGACGCATGAGCAATCCACATCAAATCCGGTAAGAATCTCAGCGACGGATTTGTAGATTCGCAACACAATCTGCACATGGCGGGTAGGATACTGTGAGACGATGGTAATGGTGTGTTTCGTTCGAATGGTTGTAGTCTCGTATAAGATCGTATTCCGAATCCTATCTTCAATGTGCCTTATTTTCTCAATGGCTTGCTCCTCTGTCATCCCGTAGAGGAATATATCGACATCGGATGCCGGTGCAAACTCTTCGTGGTAGTACTGGCGAAGTCCTCTCTTGGAGCCGCGATACTTTTCCGGTACTGGAAGGAGCGAGGTCACGACTGCGCTTCCAGCAGCGACCGTGTTGCTCCAATCAATGTCACTCAGTGCGCCTTCTGTGAAAATAGTAAAGTTGTCTTGGAATTCTTTGAAAGACGGGACCACGGCAGGCGAGCCGTTTTCTTTGCGAGAACCCTTGTCGAGAGGCATTAAATACTTGTCAGCCTCCTCTGGGGTCTCGGATGCCAGATCCCGCGCTCGGATCTTTAGCTCTGCCGAGCCATCAACACCAAAGATGGGGACGATGTTGGCATGGTTGTCTTTGGCCAATGGGTGTGACGGCTCTTGAGCAAATATCTGACGAGCGACCTCATCGTACTCATTGAATGGTTTGACCAGGTCTTCGATGGGCGTACTTGGTTTGGACCGTATATAGGAGAGAAACTTGGCATGTTCCACGGGCACTGACGGTAATGAAGTCATTGTCGTTTGCAATGTACAGTGAAAGAATGTCCAGGATGTCAGTGCCCAATTGAGGTTGAGAGGTGAACTATACTGGACGAAAACCAGAAGATTGCCAAGTCTATATGACCTTTCGAACTTTTTTTTTCTTCTTCAGAAGAGGTTCAAACTTGGTTCAAATTTCGTCCTCGAATGTTTAGCTCCAGGCAGCTTTAGGCAACATAAGGGCCCGCCATGAACGTCGCCCAATCACCAAGGGGTTGCGCCGGTCCCTCGCGCCACGGTTACCTCCGCGCGACGCTAACAGGCTCCACGCTTGGCCCGCCGTCTCAGGCTCCCAACCTCTCCAACTTGAGAGCGACCACAGTAACTTGTAGCCTCAGGCACTCATTGGAACGCCCTTTCTGGCCTCAGGCTACAGATATCCCCATCATTCCGCCTCAAGCTGCGTCTCAATCTTTACTGCCAAAAAGCGCCGGGCTACAAGCGAACATGGATCTGAGTAAAAGGGACTCAATGGAGTTGCCGGAGGCCGACAGAGCCTTCCTGGAAACTCATTTGCCGAGCTCTCGCTCGACTTCCCGGCCCGATTTGCCCTTCACAACTCTGACATTCGCTACATCCCTGGACTCTGCCCTAGCGCTTGCGCCGGGGACACGTACCGTGTTATCAGGGCCTCAGTCAAAGGCAATGACACATTACCTGCGTTCTCGACACGACGGGATTCTCATTGGCGTCGGCACAGCACTGGCCGACGATCCAGGTCTCAACTGTCGGATTGCAGGGGTAGGAGGGTACGGTGGACAAGGTCTCGAAGGGCAACCCCGTCCGGTTGTCATTGATCCTAGTGCACGATGGGACTTCTCAGAGAATAGTAAACTCTTTCAACTATGCGCACAAGGGCAAGGTCGAGCACCTTGGATTGTGACAGCGCTGCAGCAACTCCCTGCGGATAAGGCGGGGCTCCTAGAAAAATACGGGGGCAAATATATCTCACTGAAGATGGAAACGAATGACTCAGGCCGCCATCACATTGATTGGCATGATTTGCTTGTTACCCTCCGCCGCAACGGGCTGCGGAGTATCATGGTTGAAGGAGGCGCCCAAGTAATCAATTCTCTTTTAGAGCCACAATCGATGTCTTTGGTCGACAGCGTCATAGTCACTATCGCTCCTACCTGGCTTGGGCAGGGTGGTGTGGTTGTATCGCCAGCCAGGCGACGCGATTCTACGGGAACACCCGTTGCGGCTGCAAGGCTGACGAACATTCAATGGCATCCGGTTGGGGAAGATGTGGTTCTCTGTGGCCAAATAAAAAGGGACTCGTGAACTTGGAAGGGCATAGCCAAATCCATTCTAATTGGAATGTAAATTATGCTTTACCAAGTAAGCATTATTCTAGAGTTTTTTCATCTCCAGGATCTCCTGGTCAGAATAATCAGGGGGTGATAGTAATTCTAAGGCTCTAGGGGCCATTCACGCCTAAAGGGGAATATGCCCACTGCATTAGTGGTTCGTGACCTGCTCTCTATACCAAGTGTCGTCATTGCTCTCAATTGGGGACGGAGTAATCATCTCCGAGAACTCCCAAGCTCGAGCTACTGATTCCCAGCGAATAGAGCGCATCTCCAAATCGGCCAAGCCACGGACGATGTAACATTGTGAGGTTGGTATCCTTCAGAGATTCCCTTGATGAGGACCTGTTTCATGATCGCGCCACATCCTTGTATAGGGCCGAAAATTACGAGATAAACCACGTGGCTGTCGAAACAGCACATGAAACAATTGATGTCGAAGCAGCGGTGGCATGACGAAAAAGGCTGTGAAGCCGTACCTGCATCGCAGGACTCAGACAACTGTGCGTCATTGGCGGGAAGGTAGAAAATAGGATTTTCCACAAACAGAAAATGCCAATGTTCTCTGCCCTGGAATCTCGATTTCCAGTTCACTGCTGCCTTCTATTGGCGTGCTGCAGGAACTGAGGGGCCAAATTCCAAGCCGAGGCCAAGATTAGATCTTGTGGGGTCCACAGACCAAATTGGGCCCAAATGTCGAAACCAAACCATTCTACATGGGTTAGTGGCCCTCAAGTCTTGGGATACTGTTTATTGTGGGGGCTGTTTTGTACTAAAATGAAGAAACTATAAAGTCTGGTGGCATTCCATGCGCAAGGTTAACAGTTGGTTGAGCCTGAGTTTGGTCCATTTCTGTATACTTCCATCATGGGGTCTGGTGTCCTCCTCTCTGTGGCTTCTGCCCTTCTTTACACTGGCCTTGCAGCCGCAGACGCTGTTCGTGCTATTGACTCAGACTTTGCTGACCCCTGCTTGATCCAAACATCCGACGGTTACTATGCCTTCGCTACTAGCGGAAACAATGTCAATGTCCAAGTAGCATCGTCCTCGGATTTCTCTTCCTGGGATCTCATGTCTGGTACCGATGCCTTGCCTGGGCCATTCCCTTCCTGGGTCGCATCATCGCCATCGGTCTGGGCGCCGGACGTGATTCAGAGGGTATGCCAAGTTCCATTCAAGCTATCTCGTAGCAGAAGGCTGACTCTTTAGGATGATGGAACATTCGTCATGTACTTCTCCGCAACTTCCAGCCAGGATACGAGCAAGCACTGTGTTGGGGTCGCAACGTCCTCGAGCGTCACCGGTCCCTACACCCCAGCCGACAACGCCATCGCTTGCCCTCTCGATCAGGAGGAGCTATCGACCCTGACGGCTTCAAGGACGGAGATACCTTCTATGTGGTCTATAAGATTGATGGGAACAGCCTTGACGGCGACGGCACAACCCACGCCACTCCGATCATGCTCCAAGCACTGAACTCGGACGCTGTCACGCCGAACGGTGACCCAACGCAGATTCTAGACCGTGATGATGCAGACGGCCCTCTGATCGAGGCCCCTAGTCTTGTGAATGTGGACGGCACTTACTATCTGTCGTTCTCTTCCAACATCTACTCGACTCTCAAATATGATGTTAGCTATGCAACAGCATCGGCGGTTGGTGGACCTTACACAAAGGTCCAGGCACCCGATGCCCCTCTGCTTGTCTCTGGAGACCCAAGCAATGTTGGAGACCTAGGCGGGCCTGGTGGGGCCGACTTCTCCACTGATGGGTCCAAGATCGTGTTCCATGCTTTCGAGAATGGACAGAACCTTGACAATGGCCGTGCGATGTACACTGCTAGTATTAGTGCCTCGGGCGGTGTTATTAGCATCCAGTAATTTAGTATAAACGAAGACTTGGAGCCAATTGGTACCATCAACCATGAAATTCCACTATTGATATATCATAAAGGGATTGGCGGAAAAGCAATAGCATCACTTTGCAAGGTAAATCGTTGAATATGACTGCCGAAGATAGGGCCTATAATTTACAGAAATCCTCTTGAATGACACATATTTGTCAAGAATGGCATTGATGAAACCTCTACCTGATTTCGTCAATTTGAAGGAGCGAGACAGAAATTCATTTGGGGGATTTGGGGGAATTGGGGCAATATCGTGAACTCTAAAGCTCTAGTTATCGATCCCTTAGAGGGGCTTTTCGGATCTGCACCATGGATAGCCGACCATCTCCTTTACGCAATGTTCCACGTTCATCAACTTGGACGACCCTCAAGGCCCCAGTCTAACTGAATTTCCAGAAGCGTTAATCGAGTCCACATGATGTCAAACGGTTCATGGAAGATGTCAACGTATCTCAATTCATCTTAGTCTCGTCCCAACTGGTTCCCTCAGACGCTAGGTATGCCTGACCGGCCGCGAGCACCTTGCTATTCTCTTCGCCAAGCCAGACTGGCTCCAGTCTTTGGATCCCGTCTTCGATCTCATAGCTTTCCCCGCCCGCCACATACACTATCTTCCCCGCAAAGGGAAGAGCAGCCCCACGATGGGTCTTCCCTCCATCCCCCCGATTCGCAGTGGCGCAAATAATAATGGAGCGAGCCACATCCTCGGGCTCATTGACTGGGAGACCCCGCTCATACCATCCTTTCTCGATTCCGAGGACCATCCTTGTTCCTAGTACAGTTAATCCCTCAACCCGGACAAATCAAAGCTCTCAAGATAAGGCTACTAAAGAGGGGTTCCTTACTCGTCATCCACGGGCATACGACATTGATCCTGATGTTTTCGGGAGTTGCTGTCAAGTGGAGGCCCCGCATGATCCCAATGACCCCGTGCTTGCTAGCCGTGTAGGTCGGCAAGCCCCCACATTCCTTAAAGCCGGCGATGCTGCTGGTAAGCACCAAATCTCCCCCTCCGTTCTTCCGCAAGTAGTGCATTCCAATACGAGCGCTGAAAAGCGCCCCCACTAGGTTGATGTCTACTTCTTTCATGGAGGGTTCCTGGGTGATATCGGCGGCTGGATCGAAAATGTTCTGTGGGATCGAGATTCCCGCGTTCGCAGCGACGACATCAATTTTCCCATATAGATCGTGGGCAGTTCTGAAAAGAGCCAGTTGATCGGAATAGTTTGAGGTGTCGCATTTCACGAAATGGGCATTCGGAGCAAGTTCGGCTTGTAGCTCTAGAGAAGGCGCCTCCGAGACGTCCCCGAATACCACTTTTGCGCCATGGTCTGGTGGTCGATTGTCGATTGATTAGCACGGGTTGGGTGTCACACTACTGTGTTCGATTACTTACTGCAGAATTGCTGGACGCACGATCGGCCAATACCTGTAGCACCCCCGGTCAGGACCACGACCTTGCCTAGCAAGGTTTGTAATAGTGAAAAATCAAAAGTGATGTGTGCCATGGCGAAAGTCTATAAACCACACTGTTTTCATTGAGTTGCATTCGTACAGAGATGAATTGTTTCTTTTAAGGCGGCTTCGGAAGACCCCACAGGGCGAACTTGAACCCCAGCCCCACAGGACGAATCTTCAAGATTGCCGCTATGATTGATTTGAGCCTCCGAAGTCGAACCAGGGTTGCTACGCTCCTTTCAGAGGCAGCTTCATCGTCCTCAATGCGTCTTGCATAAGTCGAATGGCAAATGTGTGCAAGGGCCAAAGCGGCGCTCATCCAAGCAAAGCGATAGCAACATATCGTATTTGCGCGTCCCCCCTAGCCATGCCCCTTATTGGATGAAGAGTATCCATCGTCATTATATTCCCGTACAGAGCAAAATTCCCGCCAGGCCGAAAATGATACGAGACCATCATAACCTCGCGTCATGATGCGGCGGAACAATGAATAAGCTCATCATCCCACTTGCTAGGCCTTCTTGGGACCGGCCAAATCGTCAACTCTCACATATACGGACAGTGGAACGCGCAATACGCCTGCGGAAGACAATCCCAACACCCCGCTTTATCACATGTCGACATGATCTACGAAGCTACCTCTCATTCCACCTCGCCACATCAAGACAGCCCTGGGTTTCGCACCTTGGGCTGGGACCATGTTGCGCTCAAGTCTACACTGTTCGATCCTTACCGGAAGCTGCCACCTGCATAATAGCGATCCATGATATATCACCGGGCATTTTCGCGTTGTGCATTTGACCAATCACATCAGGGTGAGTTTGACGTCAGCTTCGAAATGGAGCGCGGTCTTCGGAGGTAATCTGGCGGCAAGGGTGGAGCGGCTCATTGGGACCTCGATAGGCGTGGCTATGCGCTATTAACGATCGTACCAGCTCCGTGGATATTGCGGGAGTCCCCGTAATTTAGCATTGCGTCAGTTCAGAACAATTGCCAGTCGAGGAAACCGGGGGCATTCCGCTCGCCGATCATGACTTTGCTACATGCACATTATGCTATGAGTATGCATAATGTTTGCAAGTTGGTCAGCGTCTCACCCCCAAAGCCGCGGCGGTAGCTGCGGCCGAGCCCCCACTTCGGCTAGCAAGGCGATGAGAATCCAGATTTATCAAGGCCAAATGATTGACGGGACGGGCGATCCCCGAAGGATCGAGGATGCATGGCAGTCAATGAATTCCCCGGAAAAGATTGATACTTCGACCAGGTTCTGCGATCTGAAGGATGCTGGTGCCGAAGGGGCTACCTGTGTGTATGGTCAGTTCGCGTGGACAGCAGGGTGACCGAGTGACGGGGTGACGAGAAGGAAGCGAAGCGCATAGCCGGCGGAGACCAGTGCAGACCGACAAGTAAGAAGGGTGAAGGTGCGGTGTCCCAGTTATCGTGGAATCTTAGTGGATTTGGTGCCCGATATTAGTTCAGTTCCTCTGCTTTCCCCCCTCCCCCCCCAATGTTCTCATCCTCTGAGAGCCTATTATGTGCGCGGGCAAGACCCATTCCGATGGAAAATCATGACGCTGGGCGAGACTAGCCCGTTGCCCAGGCCCAGCAACTCCCCCGGGCAGATCCACCGACAAGCTGACTTGGTTTTTTTACTGCGTAGTCTTAAAGGTCTTGGGCTTGAGGGACCCGTCGAATTCCGCTTCCTTTCCGCTACCATGAGATTGATGGGCTGTTCAATGGAATGGGTCGTCCGTCCGCAGGGCTAATCAGGCGAACCACCCGCGCCCGAGTAGCGTCCCAGCTAGGGTACAGGGTCCTCCTCAAGTACACAGTGGAAGAGATGGGAGCGGATGGGATTAATTCTGAATTGCAATTTTGACCAGAGCAGATTTATCTTAAGAGACTCCATTCGAGATGTCGAATTCCTCCCCAAACCCCCGGAAATGCAGGTCGTGTCCACCAATCAACGGTCCGCTGTTGAACGATCTCCTGAATTTCGAGAATCTCGAGAATCCGCGCAGATTCCCTGCAAATGCCCCTTTTGGTCCCCTTTGCTCGACAGGGAGATGCAATCGACCCTGGCATCGAACTTCCTAGCATAGAAATCCCATCAAATCAACTAGGACACTTGAAGTGATTGTTCTGTAAGCCGTATTCCTGCGCCCAAAAAAAAATTCCCACTAGAGAAAGGGGGATCCACCGTGGAACAAAAGAAGCTCCATTTCGAACCTCCCGAACCTCCTGAGTTCGACCCCTAAACCTCCTGCTCTTCCTCTTCTCAGGCCTTGTTTACTCCATTCCTAGCCACCGCTTCGCTCGATCGCGTAAAGAGCTCGGCTACTTCTTCCGCCCTTTCCCTCCCCCTTTCTTTTTCCTAATCACAGAGTCGAAGTCATGGCCTCAAAGGTAAAAAAGCCCCTCTCTACAACTCCTGTTTCAGGAACCTCCTTCAAACCCCCCCACGACCCCTCCTCGTGTCCCATCTCCGAATCCTGCGCGTCGCTTCCCAATGGCTGACCCTGGCAGTTTCTACGAGAATACAAACTGGTCGTCGTCGGCGGCGGTGGCGTCGGTAAATCCTGCCTGACCATCCAGCTGATTCAGAGTCATTTCGTCGACGAATATGACCCGACAATTGAAGGTGAGCGACTATTCCATTCTCTTGCCTTGGTCATTGTCAGACCGTCCCTTTGGCCGCGGCTCGACAATGGCCCATTCTGCCACTCGATATTAATCCCTTTCATCCAGACTCCTACCGTAAGCAGTGTGTTGTTGACGATGAGGTCGCCCTGTTGGACGTTCTGGATACCGCCGGCCAGGAAGAATACTCCGCTATGCGAGAACAGTACATGCGCACCGGCGAGGGCTTCCTCCTGATCTACTCCATCACCTCGCGCCAATCCTTCGAAGAAATCATGACCTTCCAACAGCAAATCCTGCGCGTCAAGGACAAGGATTATTTCCCCATCATTGTGGTCGGCAACAAGTGCGATCTGGAGAAGGAGCGTGTGGTCTCAGAGCAGGGTACGCAATTCCACGGCTGAAGCTATCCCCCATTTCGCGAAACCGGCGTCCATCGGAATCCTCCCCTCCCCAAAAGGATCTGCCTCTGCGAGCTCCGGATAAGCTCCCCAACCAACGAACCAAGCTAACGCAGTGTTTTATGATATACAGAGGGTGAAGCGCTGGCCCGACAGTTCGGCTGCAAGTTCATTGAAACCTCCGCGAAGTCCCGCATCAACGTCGAGAACGCCTTTTACGACCTCGTCCGCGAGATTCGCCGCTACAACAAGGAAATGTCCTCCTACCCCTCCGGATCCGGTGCTTATGGTGCCCGCCAGCCTGAGGGCAAGATGGATGTTAGCGAGCCTGGCGAGAGCGCTGGCTGCTGCTCCAAGTGTGTTATCATGTAAACGGCCCGAGATACCCCGTCTACCGCTATCACGGACCCGCTTTTTTTCGCTGTTTTCTTCCGCCGCTTTTTGCCCCTGGGGGCAAAGTTGATTTGGAGATTATAACTGGTGATCGAGAATCTGGATTATATATGGACGGAATCATCCGAGGGGGTTTGAACGGTATGGATAATGGAGTGGAAGTGATGATTTGGGCTCCTGGGAATACCCCTCTTATCAATAGGGTACCGGAGAAACAAATCAGGATTGGTTATAGGAGTATATTCGGAGGGAGGAAAGGAAGAGCGAGAAAAAGAAAATTAGCGGCTTTTCGATGCGGAATCACGGATGGGGCTTACACTATAGCACTTTGCACGACGACAGCCGACCCTTGACGCCAACCTCGTCTCATGAATTTTGATTCCCCTTTTGTTCCGTTTTGTTTGTCGATTTTTGTGTGCGAAAGAATTTCCCTTGTTTTATCCTGGTCACCTTTTTTGTTCTATCATGTCTGTCTCCACTGAGACGGCACGGCTGTCAATATACGTTTTTTTAAATCATGCAGGACTGCTACAGAGCATCCTTTGGAATTCTGGAAATGTACTGATTTGTGGACTGAATCTGAGTGTTGCAATAGACTGGTACTGAATGTAGAACTTGAACTTTGTATGATGGTTGTGGGGTATCAGATCTGGTGAGCATGACCCGGTAAATAAACAGACCTGCTAGCAGTAAAGAGACGATTATTTTAGGTATATGTCAGAGAGGCTGAGAAACATTACTTTTGAGAGAAAAGAATCTCAAATTATATGAATACTAGTACATTGTGGTCGACATGAGTTTAGGAAATGGAACGGCCAGCTCTCAGTATGGAGCGACCAGGTACAGTAACGTTCGAAATCAGATTGACCTCGATACTCTCTCTTCTGATCTCACGGTGCCCGCTTTTCTCTATTGGGCTAGACGTCCATTACTCACATCAATGTAGTTTCGATGGGTCATGATAAATTACTATCAATATATAACTATATACATTTTCATTTCCGCCTTTAAATCAGGACAGATCCAATGATCTGACCAGGCTGATCGCTCACCGCTATCCTTTTTACTTCTTTCACTAGCCTTATGTCTTCCTTTGTCGACCCATCTTGAAGAATCCTGCGCTACTGCCTAGAGGGCAAGTCTAAGTAGGCCTAGATCGTTTCTTGTTCTTATTGGCTTTTCTGACCTATCTTCTACTTTCCTACTGCCAGATTTACTTGTTGCCTGTGTCAATACCAATTAGTAATACTCCCTGAACTAACTAACTAATGTAGATCTTCAAATCTTCGATTCTCCAATCTCAGTCGAATATTTTCCGTGTAGCCCGAACTCCCAGATCCTGTATAAAGGTTCTACAACCTGCAAATCCAGTTTGAATTAACATCGAGAGTATCGGTTCACACAAATTCGATTCCTGCGGAGCCGCATCACTTGGTAGAGAATTCCAGGCGAGAGCACGTCACTATAATTTATACCAGCTCATCGACGGTACATTGACAGACACAAAGTTGGTCTAGCCGTTTCAATCCTTTACTTTCATTGGAGTAAAAGATCCTTGCATAAATATTGAGATGTCTATGTCTCCTTCTTTACCGTCCATTTCTAAGTCTCTTGCCCTTCGCCCTCCTGCGCGGCTTTGATCAATGCCATGTAATACTCTTTCTCTTCTCCCGTCACCTCGTAACCACTCCAGCGTCGAGCCCACTCCACCATTTGATCTCGGTCACATGTGTAACCATAACCTTCTTGCATGCTCATCACATTAAACTGGTGGTCCGATTCGCGCGACTTGACACAGAAGTCTTTAAGCGAGAAGTACGCCCCACCGGGTGCGCTGTTGTGGGCGAAGTAGGCATAATTGTACCCCTCAGTCTTCAGGAAGACGAGATCGTCGTCATCATTGTAGGCCAGAGTCCAGCCCTTCATGTCAACACCGGTCCTCCATTCAGGGTGATCATCACTATCAGCGAATGCGTTCCCTTGAGATTCATAATCAGCCTCTTGATTCCTATGTAAGTTTCAAAGTTGCAGGATGGTACGTACAGACATAGTAAATTCCCCATCCCAGAGGCCTTAGTCCGACTTCAAGTTCCTTGAAGTCGTCGTCATTCATTCGCCGCATTTTGGTTCAAAAGCACGATACTGGTATAGTTTTGGTGTTTGGTGGAAAGAAAAAAGTAGAATGGAACTCTGTAGATTTACAGAGAGGGAGGAGAAGGGCTGATGCTGGGGTAGGAAGAGTATATATAGGCTTAGGCACGCTGAGTATAAAGCAGCTGAATCGGCTCCGGTGTATAAGTTGTATTCGCTAGGAATATGGCTCAAATGGACTCAAGGGCCTGTAGACCCCACATCTCTCGATAGCAAATTCTTGGTAGCGCCAATCCCACTCCGCCTGTGTAGAAAGGTGGGCCCAACATGCAGATGTTCAGCTTGCCATGTTCAGCTCGCCACTTCTGCAAGAACCAGTCTAGGCTAAAGCTGTAGAAACCATGTTTTCACTATCTCTATTAGTACAGACAAAAATGTATAGTATACATCATAAGCTATTATTTCTGATCCGTGCTTGAATTTATTCAAGCTAGAGATGATGTTGTTCATTTGCATGCCTTTGGGATCTGCCCACTATGAAGTTGGCAGCATGTCTGTGATTAAAGTGTAGTGCATCGTAGGGTGCAGTGGACGGAAAAGGGAGCTTCAATAGTGGGGAAGGATCAGCACTAGATAGGTTACACAGTCCGCCGTTAGTTGATGTGGCTTGGCTGAGAAGCGAACTGCCTTCCGGGGTATGTGTCATACGTATGACATATCTACGCTCATTTCCGATTCTTCCTGGTGTGTTGTAGATGGAGTCCCTCGTGACAAAGAGAGAGATGGAGAGATTCCGGGAAAGTTGATTTTTCGTCATACTCTGTGATTCGGACTGTACCCGAGAAGCTCCACTACACTTTTAATTTGGATGGCTGCGTGATATACTTATGCAGTTTTAAACTGAGATGCCAGTCGGTCAGAATGCTGCCCACTCAGAGATCGGTTTAAGACTGAATCTATATATTCTAGAAGCTCCATCACTTTCTCTATCTGTTCATTTAGTGATATGGCTGCACAAGTTCGAATTGGCTAATAAAAGGAATGTGGTGAACCATAAGAGGCAAGGGTTGCTGAAGCATTGATGGGACAGGATAGATTATGGTGCAATATATACATGATCCGGGCTCTAGACCTATCCTCAAAGCAATAATACAAGATTCGTTATGTAAGGTGGATTGATAAAAGAAGATTTAAGCTAGGGAAAGAAGAAAAGAGTGTGAAGAGCTATAGCAAGACTTGATTCAACTAAGCTAGGCCACAAACTGGGTGCGATAAACATAGGGAAGAGGAGTTCAATGCGCCGATCATCCGATATTAGTATGCCCAGGTCACGTGTTCCATGTGATCAATACCCCTGGCCCGTGGTAAAGAGGATAGCGGTAAGCGATCGGCCTGGCTAGGTCATTAGACCTGTCCTGACTTGAAGGCAGAAAGGAAAATGTGTACATATACTGACAGTGAGTTATCATGACTCATCGAAACTACATTGACCTCAGGATGTGATGGAATTCTAGCCCAATAGGGAAAAAGCGGGGCACCGTGGGATAAGAAGAGAGAGTATGGAGGTCAATCTGATTGCGGAAATTACTGTAACAGCCTGGGGGAGCCTGAAACTTGTCCTGCGGTGAACAATGGGTTTGTCATTTCCCTCTAGTAGTTACTTGACTGTCTTTGTCGAATCAGAAAGGTAGCCGGAGGCAGGGTCCACTCAGGGCGCTTCCATTTTGCGCCGACAAAATATTGTTTTGATGATCCGAAGAAGATACTGTTGATCGAATGCGCGGCCTATTTCTTAGGTTTGGATCGATAAATCACTGTGGGTGGGTCGCTATCGAGTCCTAGTCGTGGCTGCTAATATATGGACTACTCTCTCATTGAGCTTCTATACAAGTTCGAGACCTATTTTCCATGTGTTGCTGCACTATATTTAGCCTCCCAAGTAGGCGCTGACTTGCCTGTGCCAGCGCTGGCCGCCATAAACAGACTGTGAGAGTGCCGATCGTATGGTAGGAGAGATGTGCTAAGCGCCAGGGCTTCTGCGAGGTTGAAACGAGGGGCTGAAATGTGGGTCGATTGCATGTCCCCCTCCAAGCGAGCATTAGGCACGCTTTGGTGTTGAGTTCATTAATGGCCTTCGCCCTGGTCTGCGGCCTGTTCGAATTCAACTGGGAAAGCTCTCCTCAGAAAGCCTCGCAAATACGATAAGGTTGATCGCCGCGGCCGGGGGCTTTGCACGGTCGCTCGATACGTATCGCTGGACATTGGAATTGCGGAATCGTGGTAAAACCTATATTCTTCTTGGAGATGCCATTTCTGTCCCACGTCAAGAAGGTCTTCTCTTCGTCGCGCAAGCGTGATGGTGCGCAAATCCAACAAGGGCCTGCCCAGACCAGCGCAAATGGCCAACCTGCTCAATCTCCCGCGAGTAACCCCGCTGCACCTTCGAATTCAGCACTTGATCAACCCCCAGTTGTCGATAATGAAGCCCCAGCAGCCCCTGGTATACAGCTATTCAAGCTTGGAAATCTCTGGGAAGAAGCATATGGCCAGATAGAGACCAAGAGCCCTAAACTTATAGATGCCTATAAGCAAAGTCTTCTTCAGACCAACGAGACCTCCCCAGATCTCCAGAGTTTGATCAATGACAAGCTTGCAGAGATTCAAAATGCCCGAACAAAGATCACCGTCGCCGGAAGAGAGATAGTCGTGCGTGACAAGGTTCAACGAACTATAAACTCAATCCTCTCCGCTGGTGGTCTGATCGGTGGAGTAATCAGCGCGGAGCCACATGCAGCCCTGGCATGGGCAGGACTGCTGGTACTTCTGACCCCTATCTCTAAAACCATCTCTCAAGGTGATGATGCTGTGGATGGATTCGAGGAGATTTCGAGCATTCTCATTCGGTATAGAGTCATCGAGACAACGCCAATCGACCTATCGGCCACGAGTAAAATCCCTGGGACAACGACGTCTTTGGAAGAGCTTGCAAATTCGATAAAGACTCAGACGATTAAGCTTTACGCGGCAATTCTGGAATATCAGATTCGACTTGCGAAACATCTTTCCAAGTCCCGACTTCTCAGGCTTGCAGAAGATGTGGCGGCTACCGACGACTGGCACGAAATGTTCCAACTGATCACTCACCTTGATGAGACGATACAATCTCGGTGGAAGATTTTGGATGGTCAAGTACTCCGTAAAGTGGAGTCTGAGGTGGTGGCTATTCAGGAAAAGATAGCTTTGTCAATGAACATCATGAGTGAAGTGCGGGATGAGGCGAAGGTAAGTTTACTACAGGCTTTCGTCTAAATGGAATCCGATTTAGGATGTACTCACATACCATCTCAGGCAATACGCCAGGAGCAGTTATTGAATAGCCTAGAGGTCGCCAGGGGCGCGCGATTCGATTCATTTGACGATCAACACAAACCTTGCTGCTTAGAGGGCACTCAAGTCGACACACTCCAACAAATTCAAGCCTGGTTGGAGAGCACTGACTCCGAGGCGATGTACTGGCTTGCTGGTATGGCTGGAACCGGAAAATCCACTATTTCGAGAACAGTCGCTTCAGCATGCTGCCATCGAACACCTCTGGGAAACCAGACGGCCTTCCCTGAGAACGTCTTCCTAGGTGGTGTCTTCTTCTTCGATAAAAATGAAGGCGACAGGAGCACGGCTCGGAAGCTTTTCACAACTCTGTGCAAATGCCTGACGGAACATCTCCCGGGGATCAAAAGTGATGTTAGCGACTATATATCCAGTCACCCGAACATTGGGAACGAGTCAATCAGCAGTCAATGGAAGAATTTGATTCTTGATCCTCTTCAGAAATTTGACAAGAAGAACTTGGTGTCATTTACCTTGGTTCTAGTGATTGATGCTCTTGATGAGTGTGAATCCGAGGATGATATTGGTATCATGTTGCAGCTGTTCAGCCAAGTCCATATCCTAAGTACCATATCTCTGCGATTCTTTGTCACTAGCAGGCCAGAAGCAACTATTCAGTCGAGTTTTGATAGCGTCGTGGACGTTGCTGTCCTCAGGAAGGAGCTTCAAAAGGTTGCATTGTCAATAGGGACAGGAAATTCAGTCGACGACATAACACGGTTTCTCTTGCATGGAATCGAGCAGATTGCGCAGAGGCATAGCCTTACGATGGGCTGGCCAGGCAAAGAGAATGTTCAAAAGCTTTCCTTCAAGTCTGATGGGCTCTTCATTTATGCAGCAACAGCATGCCGCTTCCTTGGCGAGTCACGCATAACGCGAAATCAACGTGATGCGCGTTTGAAGAGCATACTGGAAGGAAAGGTTAATGAGAAAAGTCCTCAAGGGAACTTGGACAAAATGTATATGCAAATTCTGGAAACTTCGGTTACTGGTGATGCGATTGATGAAGAGAGAGAGCAACTCTGTGAATTATTCCGGAATATCGTCGGAGCTCTGATCAACCTGGTGGAGCCCCTTTCGATGGACCATCTCGCTAATCTCCTCTCATTGGAATTCTCAGATGTGAGTGAGATATTAGAGCGGCTTTATTCAGTCCTATCATTCGGGGAAAACAGAACTTCTCCTGTTACGTTGGTCCACCTCTCATTCCGTGATTTTCTTCTTGATGAGCATAGGTGCTTAGAGAGTGGATTTTTGATTCGCCAGAAGGAGGCACATACGATACTCCTGCACCAGTGCCTAGCAGCCCTTTCTGATACGCTCAAGGAAAATATCTGCCTTCTTCCAAAACCGTCCTCTCGAGCTACAGATGTGGATCTTCAAGTTCTTGAAAAGAATATCTCTCGGCACGTCCAATATGCTTCTCTGCACTGGGTTGTGCACCTCCGGGGAGCTTCTATTAACCCCGTTGATGGCAGCGAAGTGCACGAGTTTTTGGAGATACACATACTTCACTGGCTTGAATCCCTGAGTCTTATGCAAAAGATGTCAGACGGAGTAAGCCAGGTACTGTTGTTGGCCGAGTATATTGAAGCCCTTCCTGTGAGTGTTGCCCGGTGTCCTTGATGAATTTTGTGGGTGCTTTGATAGGTTAAAGCTGACATCAAACAAGGCAGAGGGGCGAGGCGAGCTTCGCTCATTGATTTCTGATATCAAACGCTTCTTATTGTCTTTTCGAATCATGGTCGAAGAAACTCCGCTTCAAATTTATACAGCTGCTATTGCCTACTCTCCAAAAACTAGTTCTGTGCGAAAGTTATTCGAATCGAGGATGCTTGCGTCCATTGGGCGGCCACCAGTGGCTAAGAAGCACTGGGACTCATGGCAGCATTCTCTGTCAGAAAGCCAGAGTTCGAGCATTTCGTTCTCGCCCGATGGGAAGATGGTGGCTTCAGACACAGCTAGAGTCTGGGATACTAAAACAGGGACGCTGTTAAACACGTTCGATAACTCAAGCTATGGCAAGTTCGTCAAGTTCTCGCATGATGGGAAAATGATTATATGTCTATCGACAGATGGAATCTTCAGAACTTGGAACGTTTACACCGGCGTCAAGGAAAAAGAAATAAGAATCAAAAAGCCCGAGCCATCTGGGAAAACATTGTCAGTTACAAGCGTGCTGCTATCCCATGACCAATCCTTAGGAGTTGTTGGCACGTTCTCTGGGGAGGTATATGTCTGTGATCTTGAAAATGGTGACGCCATTACGAGAATCCACCAGAACAGTGGGAATTCATCTGGAAAGGTCACACTTATTGCCCTGTCTAATGATAAAACCATGGTGGCTTTCTCGAAGAAAGACGGCAGTCTCATAATCAGAGACACCCGCAGTGGGGCTATTTGCGAGGGGTTTCATGGGACCTTTCAAGCTCGTCGATTGCGACCAGTGGGGAATTTCCTCTTCAAGTAGCCGCTTATTCGCGGCTATCTCTCATGATGATACTGTTCAAATTTGGGAATGTGCAACAGGAAAATTAGTGACAGGGATAAAGGGTGAATGGAAGAGCTTGTCATTTTTACCCAATGATAACCTCTTCATGTCGAGTCATACGGAGGCTAAGACATTCAGCATTGAGTCTGACACTTTTGTCGGGGCTGTAAAAGAGCTCAAACCTTTCCACGGTATCCAGTTTTCATCAGACCATAAGGTTTTCATTTACTGGGACTTTGAAAAGTCTTATTCTAAGCCTCTGCATATCGAGCTCTGGAATTACGAGACCGGCGAACGCATAGTCGATCTGAAGGGGCCGCATTCCGACCCAAAGACAGTGACAATCTCAGATGACAAGACACAGCTGGCAATACTTTGTCATGACTGGACCATCCGACTCTGGAATCTGGCTCAGGAGCCTCAATCTCAGGATTCCTGCCAAACTCCAAAGGAAGGGTATGAAGCTTTTGATGGAAGGGAAATATTCGAAATGATTCCTCATCCTCGCCGCGACCTCGTTGTCTCGTTTCCCCTGGATGAAAAGGGAGAAGTGAAGTTGTGGAACACGACAACAGCAGCCGTTGAGCATCCACTTGGCCTTCTGGGGTCTGTTGACATTTTGCCGAAGTCTCTTTCACCGGATGGCCAACTCATTGTCAGCACTGATGTTGTCAGCCCTGATAACAAACAGAAGCACCAGATTAGAGACATATTCACTGGTGACATTCTGAAAGAGTTTGAGGTAACTCAGAACTGGCACTCTGCAGCGGTCTTCAGTCCCGACTGCGGACTCCTGGCCGATGGGTCAATACATCTGGAGGATACCAGTATAGAAAGCCTTGACAATCTTGATAGAAGTGCCACTTGCAGCATGTCCCCTTATGCTAGAGTCTGGGACATCTCTTCCGGAGAGGTGCTTCATCAATTTGAGAGCAAGGTGGCCTGCGGAATGCATTTTTACTCTGCCCAGCTGGCCTTCTCGCCGGATGGACTGTTCCTTGCAGTCATTCGTCAAGCAAAGATGCAACTTGAAGAGCCCGTGGCACTTGAAATTTGGGCAGTGAACTCGTGGACACTAATGAAATCTACAACTCTTGCAGCCCATGTGGTCAAAAGTATTGCACTGTCTCCAGGTGGTACAGTTTTAGCGTACGCATCGCCATCTTCCGGTGGAGGAATTCGACTACAATATATGACCACTGATAAAGTGCAAACAATAGTTGAAGAAGCTTCAAACATTTCCCTTGAGTTTTCTCCCGACGGGAAATACTTTTGTTTCGTTGGAGATGCAGTGGTAGCAGGATCGCTGGAATACACTACAATTGGTCTTTGCGATGTTAAGACAGCAAGTTTGATTGGTGTGCGGGATTTGAACGGTTGCCGCGACTCGTGGTCCCGGTCTCTGCGGATGGAAAGACCATCGACACTAGCATGGGCCGACTAGATGTTCAGTCATTCTATCCTGAACCGAGTGCCACAGGTAACCGTTCGCTGTTTTATGAAAATGGTTGGATCATTTGTGGCTCTGAAAAAGTCTCTCCGATATCCCTTCGGATCGGAACTCGGAGTTAAGTGTGCTGCTGCTACGAAAGACACGCTGATGGTGGCTCATGCGTCGGGCTATGTGGACTTTCTGGAATTCACAGCTACCGAAAAGCTTATCAGAGATTGAATCTACTATAATGATCATCTAGCTACAAGCCGAGAGTCTCAATACTCGAAATTAGACCATGTACTGGTACATATAGTAATTCGGCTGCCTTACTACTAGTCGTCAGACTTGATATCAGAATGGAAGATGGCTACTTACTGAGTTCGTTCGTAAGTCATTCCAGTTCGAATTTAGATATGTTAACATCTGGGAACTCAAGCAGCCCCAGCATCTACCGGGCGCCGGAGTCCAATAATTGTATGAACATCTAAACTTTCCTCATTATCGAGACAAGACGGCGTGACAAAAAAAATTCTTGAAGTCCTATTACGGATAGTAATGGTATTGATTTAAGATCCATTTAACAAATACAGCGTGAGGTGACACATATACATCTCACCTCAGGTTGCAAACTCAATTTTCCCAAAGGATATAGTACTTTCTGGGAAAACAGATACAAGTAAACGCGTCCTCTTACGTATGCCTTTCACCTGACCAAGGGATTCATCACTGACTGAACACTTGTTCAACTTCTTCAAGAGGGTCCAATTCATCCTCCCTTGTCACCCGCTGTCCTTGAACACCCGCCTCGACCTCCTGGACAAGAGATTCCAGCAAATCCTTGTCAGCACCGACAAGGGTAACTGTATTACGCTTCTTACCCCAACGGGGGTAAGAGCCAACCTTGATACCTCGTGGTTCGACCTTAGCAGCCAACTCTGTCAGGTACGGGGCGACGGCGCTCTCTGGCAAGGGAGTGCTGAAGAGGTAGCGGAAAGTACCCTTGCCCTCAGGATCAGATAGGCGGGGTACGAGAAGTGGCTTCAAGTTTTGCAAGAGCCGCTCGAACAAACGAGGCACACCGGGAAGAATATGTACGTTGCCGTTCACCACCGCGATGGGCACCCACAGGTCATCAGCAACAAAGATGGCCTGCTGTTCCCACGTCAACTTTGGGTCGAACGGTAGCTCGACCATTCGTAGCTTGGCAGTCAAGCCAGGAGATGGAGTTTCCCAATCGAAGTTGGGTTGCATGGGGTGAGGCCTGGAGAGCTTCTTCATGCGATCAAACGCATCTTGGTATAGTTCGAGCTTGAGGTTGAAGGCCTTTGCGACAGATTGGTAGGTAATATCATCGTGTCTGTTAGTAAAAGAATAAGAATTAGCAAGGTTCAGGCTTGTGAGGATGCATGGAGAGAAAAGTGAAGAGGCAGGTATGTTGGAGATGTTGGGCTTTCGATGATGAACGCCGAGCAGGGTTATAATTTGAGATTCGAGGGTACACAGACGTTGGACCAATTCCTCCACTGGTGACGACAAAGTCATAGCGGGCGCTCATGCGGCGTACAGCCTCCATGATGTCTTCTTCATCATCGGGGATGACTTCGACACGCTGCAAGTGAATGCCAAGGGAGAAGCAGAATTTGGCTAGGAATGGTGAATTGGTATCAATGGTCTAGCGAGAAGGTAGAGTATAATTAGCGATTTGATTGAAAGAGAATATTTCCCAAATTCAGCTTACCTTTCCCCGAGAACCTCATCTCCAATGATCAGGCAAGCTGCCGTGTGGATGGGTTTCGCGTTGGCGGCTGATGTCATCGCGGCGGGCCCTGATCTTGCCAGGGATGGGGTAGAGACAGATGCCAGAGGGGAGTTTGAAGGGCGCGAGAAGTGACGGGTAATTTGGCTCAATCGAGTAAACATGAGTTCGAAGGAAGAGTCACGAGAAAAGCGAACAATGAAGGTCGCAGCGGCCAACGCAGTCAATGGACATTCGCGAGGTGGGGGGGGGGGATCATCTCTCCGCCTGTTTTCGGATTCCCCGCCCCTCGCGACTCCCCTGATCTTGAGGTGATCATCTCAAGCCACGAACGCTTTCGAAATTCATTCGGGGGCAACAGTCCTGCCAATCTCACTCGGTCGTTCCTTATCTGCTTCTCAATATGGTAAGCAAAGCATTGTCTTCCAATGGCGAGACGCTCCTTCCACGGTGGCCCCGAAGATTACCCAAACTCACCGGTGATGAACAGTCGGAACCTATTTACCAAATTCCCAAAACGACAAAGGAGAATGTGGAGGACTTCAAGGTTCAGTCTGCGAAATTTAGAGGAAAGCCTCAAGCGAAAATCTGTATGCCGTGCCCAGTCCACCTGTAGCTGCCGGATCAACCTTGTGTGCTAATGAGGGGTGCAGATATCATCGACCAAAAGCAACGAATAATCCGCGCCGAGGACAATGAGGTTTACGGTAGCCTTGAAGACTTAGCCACCGAGCTGCCTGAATCATCACCACGATTTGTTTTTCTTCATTGCCCAGTCACGCTGGTAAGATGGCCATAACGTTCAACTGGCTACGATTCGCGCTGACAATATGTTTGTTTCCTCTTATAGAGAGACGGCCGCAAAACCGAACGCTTCGTGCTTGTATACTGGCTTCCAGAGAACTGCAACCCTACACAGCGGATGTCGTATGCCGCTATGGTGAATGACTTCAAGGGAACTTTCAACGTCGGCCGCGTATTCGAGGTTGAGAATGCAGACGGCATCAGGGGTATTGCGGATCGCATAGCCGCATATTAAGCTATATTTCAACTGAAATCTACTCTCGGGATCGTTCTCGATCTGAAGATCACGCTGGGCGCCGACTATCTTTATGATGAAGCATGTTCCGATGAGCTATATTGAATTGGTATATCGTGGACAGGAAAGCTGCCTCTGCAGATCCAGGGCACAAGGTGCAAGAGACAATAGTCGCAATAGATCGACATTGGTCCTGAGCGTCAGAAAGCCTAAAAGTCTTGGTCCAGCTGAACTATTCGATCTATCACAATGATTTGCAACGGCACGGCCTACGGCTGCGCCTCTTTTACGGGGCTAGCCGACGATCTGACACCCCGAAATGAAAATCATCCCAATATATGCTTAAATAGGATACTGCTGGCTTACACTTCGACCCATAATCGAACTATTAGACTAGTCTGCAGCGACATGGAAACCCCAGCAGTCGGCTTGATCGCTGCTGCATCCGCCGGATGCTTGATCTGTATACCCCGGTAGTCTGGGCAGATCTCCGCTCAGATGCACGCTTGCTAGTAATGAACCCTTGCTAAAAGCCTGTAGCTTGACTAGTGGTAAGGCAAGGTGGTATTCGCCCAGGCTGCCGGCAATCGCCGACCCTGAATTGAGGGAATTGAATCTTACGGCTCGTCCTGGCATAGAGATCGACCACTTTCTCCCAGTAGGGGGATTGGAGATATTATTCTCTCCCGTAGATCGTCTGACCATGAAGCCACCCACAGCACCCATGACCTTACTGTCCGAGATAATTGTCAAGGCTGTGATTGGTTCGGATGGAAGGCTTTGATCGCCAATCTTCTGCATACTCGGCCCCTTCTCCGCATCTCTCTTAAACTAAGACTTGAGTTGAGTTCAGGCATGTATTTGTCACGGTGAACTGAGGCGATTCACGTATGGATTTGGTTGTTTAGTTAGATATGGTCCCTTCCGTTCTCCGTAGGTAAATGCTAGGGCAATGATTATATATACGGTGTTCGGACATGGTCAGATATGACGATCGCTACGCTGTGTTACGCAGGAGCCGGGAGATTAGCGCACATTAGCTAAGAAACAGCTGGCATGGGCGCGCTTCCGACACTGTGGTAGCGAACAATGAGGTGTCCAGAACCAGGCAGTGCTTGACCACTGAGAGGTGGCAAAGGGTTGCGATGAGACCCCAATATGGAGATTTGTTTCCATATCATCGATACAGTACCGGACGGCCTGCATTCCCGTGTCACCTGTATCAGGATGGTTTCGCTGGCTCAATATTTCGAAGACTCCACGAGGACATGCTATCCAGGAGGCCAACTTGGAAATAACGAGGGGCACATAAGCAGTGCATATGCATTCTTTGCTGTAAATGCAGTGAAAGGTACTAGTATATTGGGTTAGAGCAGAGATTGACATGTTACTAGTATGAAGCGCTAGTAGCTTCTACAGTCATAACAGTCAAAAGTACAATCGAAGGTTCCGAGTCGGTTGAAGTAACTGCCGACGATTGAATTTCAACGGTGCTTATCATTGACGAACGATGGGTGTGTTGGACGGAGATCCATCCGAGACACTATTGAAATATCCTGCAGCCCCTATACGATGTGCATAGACGGATCGGAGGACAAGAGAACTCCGACGTCAGCCCCTTGAGCAGGAACTGTTGACTTGGCAGTTGCTGTTTAGTCGGAACCGTAAGAGTTCTGTGACACAAGGTTATCAGACCATGACATGAGGCACGGCAGGGTGTTCGCACGATCACGGTAATCAGACCTCCAGCAACTTCCCACTACTCCATAGCTGCGGCCCCAGTATCTTGGGCAATGAACGCCGGGCACGAGGCCCACCGGGTGGAGAGCTCTCCAACAGACCCACCGCTGCCCCCCCGGCGATCGGGGTCGAGGGGCACCAGAGGCGACTGCAGCAAAATATGACTTAGCAATTCCCAACGCCCCGGGATGTGGCATGGGCCGCCCTTCCAAGCGAGTCTTCGAATTTTCCACTTACGCAGTATGCACTGCACGGGACACACACCCGAGGGACTGTTTCGTATTCAAAAACAAAGGGAACAATGCACGGGAGCTTTTGCAGTCCTTGAGCAGAAAACTCGACAGCAACTCCGGAGTATACTTACCTTTGCTGTAACAGAGCGCATGCCTTGGTCATGAGAGGCCAAAGTACGCCAAAGTACTCTGTCGCATAGCGCGTAATACAAGAACAAAAGACATTGCCACCCCGATCGCACCCTTTGGCTGCACTCGCGAGTATTCTCATGCGGCCGAGTCCACCCCACTGCATCGCAGCATCCATGCATCGGAAGAAACAATCAGGGTGGCATGAAGCTCACCCGCACCTCACGAGCAGGCGTTCATAAGCACGAAGTGGAACCGTTGGGCAACGAGCCTGCACCTGGAAAAGGTAAAAGAGAGAAAAAGCAAAAAAAAAAGTAAAAAGAAAAAAGAAAAAGTAAGAATCGGAGGCCAGTGCGTCGCGGGTGGGCAAGCCTAGCCTGCAACTAAAGCGTAGCTGCGGCAGTAGGGCCGTCTCCGGAGTAGTGTTAAAGCCAGATTGCGCATTCGATCGATCCATCCTTCTCCCTTCTGGATTTGGCAGGAGAGTCGTAACTGTCAAGTAAGCGGGAGCCCGATTTCACAACTATGGCCATTTCCCTTGGCCCCGAGTCTCGTGGGTCCTCGGGGATGTTCGTTCCTACCGCTGCCTGTGTCATGCATCATGCATGGCCGCGGGTAGGAGTATCCCCCCGAAAGGTCGCGAAGAACTCCGTGGCTCTGGCTGTCGGCGCATTGATCGCTCGGAATTTTTCCCTCCTGAACTTGAATTGAAACGTCTTGGCAGCTTACATGAGGAACTCTAGATAGCCAAGGATGTAGAGGAGATGATGGACGGGAGAATGGAGCCATAGAAGCCGATCTTTCAGGGTCCAAAATGGCTGGAGTTGTGCAAAGGGCCTCAGGAATCGGTGTTGGGCTGGGCAAATCAGACCAGCGCCGGCGTGGCGGGTTGACCATAGGATGTTCAGAGGGTGAAGAGGACTGAGTACAAAGATACAGGCACCGCATGCCTTCCCATCCAATGGACAAATACGACCATTGGAAAGTTTAGTGGCAAAGTTTGGCGGCATGCTCCTCTTTTGAATTACTGTTTTTGTTCACGCTATACTCCTTCCAACGGAAGATCTCCGTGCCATCGAACAAAGGCGTTGCAGGCCATCTGGATCGTAAATGCTGAAGAAAATCGAGGCAGGGATTAAGGGAGATCGTCCTGTCATCTCGGGAAGCCTCCATTTTGGGTTTGCGCTCCGTTTTCCCAGGACATTGACCTTTCTGATCGTCATCCGCCCAGTCCTGGGTCAACGGCATACCCGCTCCCAGTCCCCGCATCTCGACGTTGACTGGACCAACACACAGGGGCACGGGTACATCCGTGCGGTCCATCAGTGCGGTCCATCAGTGCGGTCCATCAGAGGGCTATATTAGAATACTGGAAGTCACTTCCCCAGTCAATCAGATGCTCTGGCTCAAGTGTGTCCGAAAGCGCTGGGGAGAGAGGGGGGAAGGGGGAGGTAGAAGCTCAAAAGTACAGCCCGTGTGGAAAAGGCGTCAGGTCAGAGCGGCCCTGATCTGATGGTCTCTTTTCGTGACGCATTACGCTCAGAACAGACCGCCCAAGCATATTATTCCCCCTCCTGATCCTCTTCCTCGGGCTCGGTTGCAGGAGCATGAGTGGGGAAACAGCACTTGTCCCATTTGGTATCCATGACCCACCTGCCAGACACGGGAGATTCTGAGCTGGTACAATACATTTGGTACCTTCAGACTGGTTCGGCTGGGAACCCATGGACCAAATCCCGGGAGGATGTGCCCGCCAGCTTGGGTCGGGGTAAGTGGTGCCGGTAACATGGTTGTTCTCAACCCTCATAGTTTTGCGGTGTCCGTCCTTCGGGGTTCAACGATCAGAAGGGATAATGGGCCAAAATAAAATAAAATAAAGAAATTGTGTAGGGACACTCCACCCGAAGAGAAGCTACCGAGATGCAATACCGAGTCCAAGTGTATTGAAGCAACTGCGGTATTAAGCTTACGCAGTACACGGGGTTGGTTACGAGGCAAAACAGACCAAAAAGACCCAACTTACCGGGAGTCCCATGTGCTCGGGTAGGGAAAAAGATTTGTTTGCAAGCTCCACTTCCCCAAAATACCACATCTATACCGTAAATTATCCCCTGAGGTTATTTTATTAGGTTGGATTCGATACTTAGATCCCTCGACTCCCTCCACTTGCTCATCTCCCGACCTCGATATCCTTCACCCACCGCCCTGTGCTTCGGCACGATACTCGACCTGGTTTCCTTCTGGTGGTGGTTCTATTGTCGAATAAGTGTTTGGAGTGATTTGCTCCGCTCAATTCGACCTGCAACCAACAAATTTACTACATTCTTGCACGGGCAAACCGACCCAGACCGAAGAACTAATCAGCGCCATGTCTCCGCAAGACCGTCCCACTCAGCCTGAGGGCGACAAGCCCGAGGGTCTGTCAAAGTACCTCAAGCGCATGAAGACGGTCCTGCGTCCTCGCATGAGCTCCAAGCGTGAATCTGTCGCTGCTCGGCCGGACACTGTTGCCTCGTCAAGCAAACCAACGTATGCCCCACATTCTCGCCTTCGTACCCCATGATCACCCAAAAAAAAAAGAAAGAAATATCCTATATCTATAGTACTCCGTCCATATGATATTGATATGGATATACCCACCCGCAACAAAACCAGAAATTCCATTCTAACCCCACATGCCTTTATAGAGCAACTCCAACAACTCCAGCCCGCAATCCAATCCCCGAACCCACGCTGCTCACCGACTATAGCGCCCTGCAACAGGAGAAGGCCCGCGCTCTCTTCAGCAAATACGGCTTGACCCTCGAACCCGGCGAATGGAAGTCTCCCGCCGACCTCCAGCTGACGCGGGTCACCAAGCCCATCCGCATGCGCGTGCGCCGCACCTGCCACCGCTGCGAAACTGTCTTCGGCCCCGACAAGGTCTGCGTCAACTGCCAGCACCCCCGCTGCAAGAAATGTCCGCGCGACCCGCGCGACCCGCCCGCGCGCGAGCAGGAGCCCCGGCTCCCCAACGAGTATCCGCCGCTGCCCAAGACCAAGATCGCTGAGATCCGCGCCCGCGAGCGCGGCGAGACCCGGGTCGACCCGTACTTGCGGTTCACCGGCAACCCGGCTGCGCCGTTTGTGAAGCCCTCGCAAAGTGGCGGGCAGGATCTGATCCGGAAGACGGTGCGGCAGCGGGTGCGCCGCAATTGTCACGCCTGCGGGACGCTGTTTGTGACGGGGGAGAAGGAGTGCGCGAAATGTGCCCATGTGCGCTGCAAGAAGTGTCCTCGGGAGCCTGTTAATCTGGAGAAGTATCCGGATGGGTATCCCGGGGATGCGGATCCGCCGGAGCTGCTGAAGCCGGATCGGACGTATAGGAAGTCGCGGCGCCGCGTGCATTACATCTGTCACGTCTGTGAGACGGATTTGATTCCAGGCGCAAGTACATGCTCGAAATGTGGACAGGCGAAGTGTGCGGAAACAAGGCGCATCCCGTATGTATTGAGCTCTACTGGTGTTCTCCATGAGTTTGCTAACAGAATTGAATAGGCCCAAGAAGGTTAAAAAACAGCCTGATCCCGAGGTCCTACGGCGTGTTGAAGAGAGAATGGCCAGCTTGACTATAGCGCAGTGATGGACTCTGCAACGTGGCATTGCTGTACGCATGGCCATTTACTGCTTTCGTTTTGAATCGATTTGATCTTCTGTCGGTCTATGAGCCTGCTCATTACATTCCGTTTCTGCATATAAAACGTAGCAGACGTATGTGTGCTCTTTTCGCAATGCATTAACTGGTTACAATCTTTTCGCGCAACATCCATCCAAGGCTTTCCCTTTTCGCGATGTATCATTTTGTAAGATTCCAGTTTGGATACGGCCTAGTAACATCACTCTGTCGTGTCTCGTTGAGACGTCGAATCCATTTGGGGCTTGTTCCTCCCCCGGCAGTGCCAGCAAATTGTGCGCCCTTAGATACAGGACTTAGCAATCAAACCACTGCCAGCACTTGCGTATTCGGATTTTCGATATGAAAGTAACTTGTGTACGCAGTAATACCTGTGGCTTGTCACAGCTGGCCTAGTTCCGACATTGGCCCATGTGAAAAGAGGAACACGCCATTATCAATTCCCCACGAAGCACTACTCGAAGAATGGGCCAATAAAAGTGTCGCTCTTAACCACAGGATGTAGCGAGCACTTGCCCGCCTATATTAAAGCAGATCCCGAGGCTTAATACTAGCGTGGTACAATGCGTCTATCAAGCGATATCGTATTTTGTCCAATACAGGATAACGGATTGCAAAATCCCGCATGCTAGGATCGCGACTGGTCCACATCAAAGCAACCGAGGCCAGGCCAATGTAAGTTTCCTTCAACTGTGCCAGCAGCCACCATCAATTAGGGCTCGGGCATACCGTGCTGGCCGAAAAGTGGATTCCGGAATGGCGAAAGGGCAGAGGGACCGTAGAACGGATCTGCCGACCTTTCTCCGCCACTTCATCATGATGCCACGTTTTCCTCGACGAATAGGCAGTGCAGCATGAGCGGGGGGCTGTAATTTGGCTAGTTCAACTAGTAGGATATCGACGTAGCCGATGAGCGATAGTGCCCAGCACAAGATTGCAACTCGAAGTTGCGGGGGCACAGGAGACAGGTGGCACGGCCATTGGATCGCGGGAAATCGCCCATGCTTCTAGATAACGCCACGCCGAAGATACCACGACCTTGCACACCCGACTCTTGCCCGTTGCGGTCTAGTGCGACGGATTCTGGGTTTCGACCTGTTTGCCTTAACGCCGAAGTACTTTATTCTCTGCAACACGCCTTTCTAGCGCGCCATCGCAATCTAGACCTGGGCCCGGTCTTTTGTCTATCAGCTACAACATCTTACCCTAGAGGCAATCGGGCAAGAGGGGCCATGCGCTGGCTTTTGGGATCTGAGTTTGGCGCGGACACCCGCGACCACAGGGTTTGCAGGAGCCCTGCCTATTTGCTAGAAGAACCACTGGTGGTCGATTGGGAAAACAGGCGATCGCAGCGACCCAATGGCCGCTACTTTGGTTGGCAGCTTCAGCGGATACTATCAATACGAGTTAACACATGTATATCTCCCAAAGAACACCACTAGGGATCTTGCAAGGCTTGAAAACGAGTACGAGTCGCACCTCTCTATATAGAGTTAAACTACGGTCTCCGTAAGGGCCGTGACGCCAGCAAGGGGGCAACGACCCGAAGCTCTGGGAATTTCGACATGGGTCCGGTTGGACAGATGGAAAACAGCCCTGGGGACGGAAGGGAAAAGAAGGGTGCTGGAGGTGCAACGGGGGCCAAACGGTCCACTAACCCAATTGAGCCGTCTCGCTGGGCCGCTCACCCCGTCCTCCATCGCATGATAGTTGCATGGCCCCCTTAGGAAGATCATGCAGGATGATGTCTCTAGAAGGGAAATCGAATGCAACGATCGGAGCCCGGTGCATGTCGCCTTCGCTACACCAACCGTCCTCGTCGGTTGCCCGTCCTGAGACTTGGCACAGCAAGTCCGTAGAGCTGGTAGCCACTGGGATGCCTCCCGACCTTTTCCGCCGGCTGGACCAAAGACGTGGTCAGGGCGAGGACCTGTCAGTACCGACCGGTTGGGTCTGGCACTAGGAGTGGTTTGCTGGTATTTCTGTATTTCTCTCTGCCAGATCGCGATATGGGCCGTTTCGAGTGTTACAAGTGCCGTATTGCGATCGATCGTCTAGTCATGTAAGGGAGTTACCCATATTTGAGAGGAGGATCCATGACTCGTGCCTCAGCCTCGGCCGCATACCGAATAATTAGGGGGTTAGCTGCGCCAAAAGTACTATAAAACGGGCGCATTAAGAACTGGTGCCGCCGATCCCCAAGGACCAATCCTTATAAAACAAGTTGTGCCTGCGCCGATCTCTCAAAGCCCTGGGCTAGCTCACTCAAAGACGGGGCTGACAAAAGTCCAGCAGAAAGTTCCGATTGAGTAATGAGAAATTCCCCCTTCCATGGCTTCCTCGGCTCCTTTGGCTTTCACAAGCCAGATTGAGAGTGCAATGGTTTAGACCTTGATTCGCTGGCTGATCTGCTCTGTGCCCGCTGACGTCTCATAATCAATCTCTTTTCCCAGATCAATCCGTCGACCCAAGGCACGCCGGATGATCCAGTCCTTACTATTGATATGCTCTTCTGTCTGCCCATCCACAAGCGGTGGAATCATGTCCGAGCCTTCCAGGCGTCTTAACATCACTGTATCCTCTGGCCGCGCGAAATAAACCAGGCTGTACCGCGTCGAGTCCGCCTGGGCACCAGGTGGAGCGACCACGCGGTGAATATTCGACCGCAAGAGCCCATTCGTGAACTTGACCAGTGCGTCTCCCAAATTCACGATGGCATGACCCGGGAGCGGGCGCACGTAGACCCATTCTGCGTCCTTGCCCGGGGGCAGCACTTGCAGGCCGCCGAGGCGGTTGAAGAGAATAGTCACGCTGCCGAAATCGGTATGTTGGCCCAGTGCTGTGCGGCGGTCGTCGACCGGCTGGGGCGGCGCTTTGATCCAGCGTACTTGGTCGCCGCTGACGGCTTGTTGTCTGTGGAGATTCGCGAGGGTATCCTCCGGAAGACCCAGTTTGTCGTTGAGCACGTTGAGCAGGAGTGTGACTATGCTGTGGGCGCCCCCCATGAACGACTTTAATAAGCCTCGGCTGTTCTGTACTACGGCTGGGCCGGGGAGGGGATCGGATATGCCTAAGATATCGTCCTTTGATGCCTGGTATACTCTTTGTGAGCGATAGCACCAGGGAGGGTGAGTATGTCATGTGTTTCTCACGTTGTAGAACTCGTTGCGGTCGAGATTTCCCGCTTTGTCGACAATCGATGCCCCTTGTCCTTTGTATCCAAAGTACGAGTTCTGGGCACTGAAGTCATATCTTTTCTTCTCTTCCAGGCTCAACCCGAATATCTGCTCTCCGACAGTAAACAGCTGATTTGCGTCGGCGAGGAGTTGTTTCCCGGCGTCACGCAGGTCCAAGTAGAAGAACCCGATGTCAGTAGATGATCTGAACAGCCTTTCACATTCCTCTGTGTCTCCCGCTAGTAATTTATCCAACGAAAGACGGAGCAGGGGTGCTGTGGGTACGTCGTCCGGAAAGGGAGGCAGTCCGGGGAAGTTACCATCTGCCATTGTAGAGATCGTGGCCTCGGACTCCATAATCGCGCCTTATGTATCTAGTCTCAAATTTTGTTTTTGGAATGGTTGGTTCTCAATCCTTGGAGGGACTGTTCCTGCACTTTGCAGCAAACTGGGGATTTCGTGAAATGCGGGGAAGCGCCTTTGCCGAGGGAGGTATGAATCACCCGCCGCTTGCATAACCCAGCAAGATCGACGTTGGGTCCGGCCTGAGCAACATATGCTCTCGATCATTGCCGCTTGATGATTTGATCGTTGCTTTGTTCGGCTGTTACCTCTCGGGCTTTTTGAGGCAAGCTGAAAGGGGCGTTGTTTGGGCGATGTTGGTCAAATATTCTGAAGCCTTTTCATTTGATAATGATGAGAGAACTGGATAGTTCAGTCATTGGGACAGGAGTATTGCCTGGGGGAAAAGAAAGAGGAACATCGTTCTGCACCATCGGAGAATTTCAATACGTAAATGGACCTGTGAGTTCAAAATGTCAACACTATTTTCTGATTCCCAGGAAATGGTGGGTTGCCCCAGGCGAAGAATGCTACGAATAGACTTACTCAACTCAACTTGGCTCCAGTTGAATTTCATTTTTGAAATTTAATTGCTTCAAGGTACTTCATCGTGAGCTTGAGATTCAATATAGAAGACCTGCCATGTCCGGACCAATCTCCATCTATCAGCGTGTAACATCATGATCATTAGACCGCAGTATGACTCGGACTATCTCGTGTCGCTCCGGAGCATCGTTGAACCCTTTCGGCCCATTCTGTGAACAGCAATAAATAGCGGAGTAAGGCAATGGGTGTCTGGTTGAATTGAAAATAGTATGAGACGCCGAAATCAACGCTGCCAAGAACGTGAAGCTGGCTTATGGGAGACATGAGTCGGTTTGCTCGGTGGCCACCAAGAATGCTCATATATCACTGGCGACACATGTGATTACCATTGCTAAGAGAAAAAGAGTTATCGGGCTGATTAGGTCTACTCAAGATCGCGAAAACACGAATACTCCAGATTGCAAGCCACTTCCCTCAGGGCCCTCGATCGACCTGGGTCGAGGTCCACTCTGTTGAATAGAGAGAGGAGCTGCTCCACTTGGGCAAGGGAGTAAGCTTGCGGCAAGTGCAGTGGTAAGGACCCGTGGTTCTTGTTTGCCGTGGCCAAGGCTTTTATGGCCCCTTTTGCTGATGATTGCCAAGTCTAGCAATATTCGCGCTTCCAAAGGCCTAAAGGACACAATAGTGCCTGAATCATGGGGTCTTAGGAGCAACAATTTCATGATTCAATTGGAGTACTACAATCACAGGGAAGAATATTCGGAGCATGGCTAGACACTAGTAATCGTGTCACTTAAGTTAGATACAGATAGAAGAGGTACGATGCCGGTGGTGCAACATGCTACGATGACTGGGATGCGCTACTTTTAGTGGAGAAGGAAATCGCTTTCCCATCCCAGAAACTCAAACCTTGCAAAAAACCTGCTTGAGTATCATTAATATGGATCGAAGGAAAGGTGGACAACTACCGCTATTTCCAAGGATCTAATACTTCAACCCCACATCTCTTGGGCGGTTCATTGCTGGGAACCAGTGCCAAGCTTGGGGCACCGTACGATGTTATGAATATAGATTCGCTCCATCACGGAAACGCAGCCTTGGGGCCAAAAATGCAAGATGAGCCTGGAACATGGGCATTCTCCACGGGGTGGATGTTGCGCCAAGAGCGGACGTGGGGGCCAGTTCTTCCACTCACATCACCGGCAAGTTAACCTCAGGATACTCCCTTGACGATCCTTTGCATTGTCGAGTTTTCTTTCGCGCGAATGAGTTGAGATATTCATCCGTGGTTATCGGAGAGCAGCATTGACCTCTGGAGGTTTTCCAATGCAGCCTAGCTGACTTGAGTGGAAGCGTTCCAGCGACGGCGCACAGAACTTGAAACGATGGCTTAGATGTCTTGGCAGGAGTTGGAAGGAAGAGCTGATGAAGTTCATGAGATCATAGTAAGAGATCGCCGTAAGCAGGAACGGACGCCAAGATCTACCTTTTCGGCTTTTCTCCGATTCAAGATATAAAAGAAGCCTCGATGGTGTTGAGAAAGAGAACCCCATACTCCAAGCTTGCCATCTTTCTCAAGTACCGCCCAAAGCTTACAGTCTATCCCTCACAATGGCCCCTATTGGCAAGACTCTTCTCTTCCTGGCTGCTATGACCAGCTCTGCTATGGCGGAGCACGTGAGGGTCGTCTTCTCCGCCGGTGACTTCTCTACCATCTCTGGCCCAGATGGGGGCAGCAGCCAAAGTGGCCACTACAGTGGCTTTGCCATTGTCAGAGATAACGGAGATGCTATCTACAACAACGGTAACCCCGATGACCACAGCCCTTGCTACAGCACCGGTGGCGGCCGGACCTTTACCATTGAAGGCGACTGCTGGGCCAGCCCCCGTACATTCCACTGCGAGGCAGACTTCGCTGGTCACCCTAAGACCTGCGAGGTCAAGGACCAGAACGGCAATAGCCTAGGCACCGGCGAGGGACAGACCGACACCACTTTCATTGGCATTTCTATTGGACAAGACGCGAGCTGTGTCGTTGAATTTGACACGGACGATGTCCAGGGCAACTCCTGCCCGGTTGATGATGGCAACGGTCCTTTGCACGTTACTTCTGGCTAAGGAATTATGGTGTCGGAATATTGTGGATACCAGAGACAGCGTGTCGCATCTCCTCGGGGCTTTTTGTTCAATTACGATCGGAGGACCATATAGGAGGATCATGCCGGCTTGCATGTATATAAACAACTTCCAATTGAATGCAAGGATGATGAAATTGTGTTTAATCTCCAACCAGTAATTATGTAGAAGTATCTGATAAAAGACGTATAATCGCTAGCAAATCCAATGGATGACGAGGTTAAGCAGGCGATATGCAACTTCCTGTTTATACAAGCAGCATCCCGTGCTACGGAGTCGTCCACCTTATCGATAAGCGGAACAGGTGACATCAAATTTCGACCACATATCTCTCTGCTCCAAATCTTCCCCAGCCTACGACGAAAGCAGACCCAGACAGAACCTTCCAAGATGGCCGATACTCCAGCCCCCCAAAATGCACATAGCACACAACCTCCTCGCCCGCGCCCACTCCCCCGACACCGCCGCCCAGCAATTCACCGAGCGCATCAAACAAAAACCGCTCTTCCTCCGCCCGACTTCCCCAGACGCCCACGACAACCGGTCGCGGCGCCGATTACACCGGCTCCGCAAGAAAGAATACTTCCTCCGCCACCAGCGCCCGCGGCCGTTGTCTGCACGCGAAAAGCGCTCCTCGGGCCTCTATGATCTCCCCAAGGAGGAATGCAAGTATGCTATCTTCCGCGGGCTGCATGCGATGTGGGTGTCATACATGCAGGAGATCCTGGGTCTCAATATCGAGGGCCGGAACGTCCAGGTGACGCCCGCCTCGCATGGCGCGAAACTGGTGAGTGCGGATTACCATGGTGCGGAGGTCGAGGTGGTGCGCAGCCGCTGCTCGAGTCGGGTGGGGGTGAAGGGGATTGTGGTACGCGATACGAAGTTCACGTTCGATCTTGTTACGGTGAAAGACGAGGTGAAGAGTAAGTGGTTGTCAGTGTATGAATTCTCGGGGTTGGCGACTAACGTTGTTTGGTAGCTATACCGAAGGAGCATACGATTTTTCGTTTTACAGTCCCGTTGTCGCGAATGAAATTGCCTGATGAGGCGAGGGATACAAAGGAGGAAGACGTTTCCGCGGATGCGCCGAGGCCGCTCGTTTTCGAGCTGCATGGGAGCCAGTTTGAGAATCGGCCTGTGGATCGGGCTAATAAGAAGTTCAAGTGGAGGAATGTTGACTATCTTTGACTCCCCACGGGTTTTACTCGAAATACCGTGAGCGCTAACGACCATATGAATACTATGATGGATATGCTTAAGCTAAAGGTAGCATAGCATCTGCATGACCATTTACCACAATGGTGAACTTTGTTTCTATTCAACTTGAAATATGGGGAGTATAGTAATTCTTGGGTATCATTGAGAATATTCTAGCGAGATTACATGCCAGCCCACTCAATACTGTAGGTGACCACACTTTCAGTGCGCTCGATCTCGGCCTCCTCTCTGCTCTTTTGCGGACCACCCAGTAAGAAGCCCTTCTTTACGCCAGTACCCAATCGCCCGCCGTTCACAATATCCATCAAGTCGATCTGCTGGTCATATTCCGCAGAGACGACAAGGAAATGTGAGTGGAAGCGAAGGGGGTCACCGGGGTAAGCCACGTACTGACATCCGAACCGCAAGCCTGGGGAGAGGAAGTAGCCACGGGAATGAAGATGTGCAAAGAGTGGATATGACAGTGGGACCTCCGGTTTGGAGAGGACAAGGTCTGACGAGGTGGTTGGGTTGGGTAAAGGCGGGTATGATGTTGGAGGGGTCACTCCTAATATTTCCTGGGGAGCAGATGTCGGCGTTGAAGACCGAGACGCCGAATCATCTGCGAAAACATCTACTATTGCCGACTCCTCCTCGGCTGGTATGGCGGACGAAGCAGCTGCCTCGGATTCAGCGTCAGCTTTAGCTGATTTCTTGGCTTTGTTCTCGGCAATTTTCTTCAAAGCTTCTTCTTTTCTTTTGTTCTTGCGGTCTGCTAGAAGTCGCGTTACATGGTGACCCTGAGCCTCCAACTCGCGTTTGTACCGCCGCCGATCTTCCTCCATCAGGGAGATCATGCTGGTCTGTGCCTTGGCTTCATCAATGATGCACGCAATGCCTTTATCCACTAAGACACGAGCCTCCTCGGGCATGAGCTGCAGGGGTAGGCCCAGGAACACATTTTGCTGCGAGGCTTGCGGGAGAGTCCCTGTTAGGACGCCACAGATGTTGTGCTCGCGTCTCAAGTACGTAACTGCCTCAATTGAGAACAGCAGGTATCTACCGGAGATGTGTGAGATCGGAATTGGAAGAGTGGGATTGTCCATCGTGAAGAGGTTTTCATGAATTCTGATTGGAACGATCGTTAGCAACCAACCCATAAGAGATCTGGCGAAGCAAATGTTGTAAGGCAAGTTTTGAGTCATTCTTGATACGTTTCTCAATCACGTGTGCTCTTTTTTGAGATATTTAACGAGCTTCAGGGGATTGACAGATTTGTATTTGAATAATCATGCAAAAGGGGGGGTTTCAGGAAATTGACCAGGAAGTTTCGCTCACCATTACTATCGAGTCTGAGGATTTGACCTGCAAAGCCCAAGACTGCGGAAGGAAGAGAAACGGAAAGCGAAAAAGCCAAAATTTTTGTAGCGAAGCTCCGCCCGCGCTAGCCGTTTTGAGAGGTCTTTGGTACCCGCGGTCCGCAACATTGATTGTATGCTTCTCCAGTCTTCTGTCCCAGAGCCATGAATTTCCTCCTTCTGCTGTTCTTGGTGTTCTTCGCACCTCTACTGCTTTTAGCAGGTGAGAATTTTCATATTTCCTCTCCACACCAGCGGCAATTGGCTGATATAGAACAGCGTGGCTTGCTGCTTCATCCTGCCTGGGAAACCGCTTCCGCCATCGCTGGGGAGCATCAGGACTCGGTGCCTATGGCCAGAGCTACCTTCGAACTATGGCTTACACGGGGCCTGCAATGTCAGAGCAGATTGAGATGAGCGAAATGTTGGACGAACCAGGGACTCGCCAGCAGTTCGAAGAGGACGATTGAATGTCCCCTTCTGATCAAAACTCTAGGTCGGCTTTCTTAGGCATCCCGCTTGGGACAGATGCTTCTTGCGCCTCCTTGTCACCCTCTGCAGGTGGTAAGCTGAAGGGTTTGATCTCGAAGCGCCGACGACTCAAGTTGAATGCCCAATCCTGTCCGATGTTCTGGTCATTTCCACCCCCGCGCTCGTGCAGCACCGGCAATCGGTGTGTCTTCAGCATACCCTGCGGAGGTTCTTCTTCCGAGGTCGCAGCCCCCGAGGTCGCCAAGGCATCGGCCGAATGAGGGAACGGACAGAGCTCAATGACTCCATCGCAAAGGAGCTCGATCCAGCGGACCAGTCCGGATGAGCGGGGGAATAACGTCAGAGGAAGGGTGAGCATCGCTGTTACGCGGCTGGAATGTGTGGTCATAAGCGCTTTCAGTGAGTGGAGGAACTGCAGCACATATTCCGGTCGGGAAGCATCTGGCGGATACAGGCCAGGGTTAAGCAGAGAGGGAATGACGATCCGATGGATGGTGCTTGGGCTAGAGGATTGGATGGCGGATTGCAGGCGCTTCAATATGGAGGCGTACGGTGACTCCTTCGACGGCGTGAGCGGAATAAAGGTCATGTTGGTAATAGACGGATGGGTGAATCGTTTAGTGAGGTCAAACGCATGGCAGAAAGCTTGCTGTGGCTTCTGTGCGCCATCGGAGTCTCCGGTCTGTGGTGGCGCTAGAAGGAATTGGTTACTTGAAAGCTCCGTTACGCCCTGGTCGTGATGAACTTACCATCGCGAGAGCCTGCGATGCCAGCGCCAAATTCACCCAGTCGCTCGTATCGCCAAGCAATTTTCATACGTTCATCTTTGCGCTTGTCTGACCTCTTTCCTTCCAGAATGTCTGCGGTCCCAATCAGACCGGGCAAGCTCCGACCCCATTGTTCGGGCATTCCAACCACATGGATCTTTTGTTCCTGCACCACTCCCTCTGCTGCATAGTATCGAAGTAATTGCCCGGCAAACTCCGTAGTCCCATTCTCCTCAATCAGAAGGATTTTCCCCATAGGAAGACCCGCATGGCCCGCCAGAAGACCGTCTAGCGACGGGCACCCAGTTGAGGTTGTAGGTCGTCCATCATCTGGGGAGGGGCGCACACCTGGGTTCGACTCGGGCAGAGCTGCTTGTGCGACAGCAGTAGGAGCGGCGTTTCGATCAATTCCGGTCGATACTCCAATATTGCGCTTCCGAAAAGACATCTTCACCGCGAAGCAATGAATAGGTTAATTAAAAAAAAAAAACAAAATATGAACCGGAATCAGTCAATAGCCAGTGGAGGTTGAGCCGCGATGAAATGAACTTATCGGTGGGGTACCAAAAAACGGCAGAAAAAAAAAACCTTGGAAAGCTTCAGACTATCCGCAGCACCCTCCAACTCCAATTCTACATCTTTACTCGCCTCAGCGCAAACACCGCGCCCGCTTCTCCTTTGCTGCTACCCGCAAGGGAATTTCTCCATCGCTCAAGTTCTCTCAGACATTGGAGTCTTTCGCCGCCCGTCTACCATGGCCGATCCGCTTCTGTTCGAAGACACCTTCGCGATCACCTCGATCAATGCTCAAAAGTATGACCGCGTCTCGCGTTTGACCTGCACCTCCACCGATGCCTCCACCACCTTTACGCTTGATGTGAACTCCGAGCTCTACCCATGCGCCGTCGGCGAGTCGGTTCTCTCTTGCCCTCGCATCCACCTTGTCCCTCGACGGGAAGGAAGACACTCGCGCAAGCTGGCGAGAGGTCAGCATGGGTGAACAGACCCTTGCCAATGACTACGACTACGTCTGCCACGGCAAGGTGTACCGGTTCGAGGAGGGACAGACCAAGGATACCATGTAAGTCCCGCACGCAAGGGTTCTTCAGCCGCGGCGGTTGGTCATGTGCTAATCTTCGGGGGATTAAAGGGCCGTTTTCGTCTCATTCGGCGGGTTGCTGCTCTACTTGGAGGGACCTTACAGGAAGCTTGCCCTTCTCAAGATCGACCACGTTTACCTGCTTCTGAAGAAATAGACGCAATCGGTCATGTGTGAGATTGGCTGTATCAGAAAATATCGGGTTGGACTGGGATACTATATCCATTTTTAATTGGGCTATGCAGCGCTGGCGTTCTTGCATTTCATCACAAAACCTACCACTAGATCGTGGATCAGAAGCAGATTGCGATTCTAATGAATCTTAAATGACCTTTTGCATCTCCATGCAATCTTCGATCCGCGGTGGAATGTTTAAAACTGGTATTCCTTTCTTAGAACCTCTAGTCCCATCAAGTCCATTTGAATTCACTTCAGGGCAGCTCGTAAACCCAAGATGGGATTTGATAAACGTAATCTCTTATTGCCTCTGATATGCGTACATAAAAACCAAGGAATATACTCATAAAACCGCATATCAATGCTATATCTGTGTGACAAAATGACCCCATGCCCATGAATTCATTCCAGGTCCGCGCTGCAACATATATGCAGATAAGACATCAGTTATTGGCGGTACGAAGCAAGCGGGTATTGCAAGCGGCGGTGCAGTCGAGACATAATGTCCAAGTAATCAGGCTCATTCTCCGGCGTCAGAATGCCATGTCGGATAAAAAAATCGATGATAACGACCGAGCAATTCGGTTTGAACTCGCCGCGAGCCAATGCGTCTTTCAGCTCCGGGATTGAGAGCAGCTCGAATGCATCCACCTCATTATCTCCGGGCTTGGGAGTAACCGACGCGTCAAGTTTCAGATCATACACGAACTCGATCTCCGGCTGGCTGAGACCGACCTCGCCGCCGGCGCGAGCATCTCGAATGTGGCTGTATGTAATACAGCCGCGAGCAATAGCACCAGGACGGACAACTGACTCGGGTAACGAAGCTTCCTCTAAGGCCTCGCGGACAATACACTCAAACGGCCGTTCACCTGTGGCCATGCCGCCGGCAACGGTGTTGTCCAGCATACCGGGATACGTCTGTTTATTCTTGGATCGTCGTGGAACCCAGATCTTCATTCCCTCAGCATCTTCCGTGTAGCCAGTCATATGGCTGCCGTATGTGACGATACCGAAGAGAGGTGACGCGCTTCGCTCCATCTCAAATAGATACTCACCTCCAGGACCAAAGACCGGGTAGTTTTCACTACGCCAACCCTTGAGGACCTCGAAGCTCTCCTTTTTCACGGCTTCAGAGAGCGTCTCTGCGATTAACTTTGACCGATCTGCAGCTGTCACGTTTGCCGCGGTCACCAACGTGACTCTCTTCAATCGAGAGTCGATTTGCCAGTATTGGGGCCAGGGAAACTTGTCCACAACCGAATTGAGGATATAGCCCAGTGTGGCGTCAATTCCCGACACCCTAAATTCATAGTATTTTGCTATGTGCTCTGCATAGACAGTCTGGTTATCTTCAAAGTACGGGAAACTAACAAGTCATTAGACGACACGATTTACAATGGTGGGAGGAGAGTGCATACTTATCGCATTGGATCACGAGCTCTAGATTGGAGAACCCCATTTTGACTGATTTGGTTTACAAACAGGCACAACCTCGAATATAAAACCTAGACGAGGCTCTGGACAAGGCTTTCAAACAAGGCTGCTCCCCTGAGCCTACGCTGCGCCTACAAAGAGGGGCTGAAGCCCTTATCGCCCGATAAGGGCTTATCGGGCCATTATGTCACCGACCTCATTGATGCAGCTGCTTTTGGAGAACCTTAGAATCCGCTGGAACCTGGGAACATAAAAAAACAAAAGTTTCAAAGCCTCAGAAGCTTCAGCCTCGAGGATTCCCCCTTTCCGCAAATCAAAAGGGCTCCCTCCTCACCCCCCTGTCCAAGGCATTTTCCGAAGCCGGTACCAATCCATCCAAAGAGGGGCTTAGACACACAGCCCCCAATGTTCTCCGTCGTGGTTCCAGGCCGGCCGTGCCTCACAGATATCGTCGCTGTAGACAGCCAACCAAACGGCCAAGCCACCAAATTCGCCTTCTCAATCCCCGCCAATCCCCCTTTCACCGACCTTGTCGTGTTCCTGCTCCCGGGCACCGTCTTCCCGCCGGACACCGGAGCCGCGATCTATATCCAGACCCCCGACCCATCAGGCTCCCCCACAGACTTCCGCTTCATTGGCGCTCTCGCCAACGAGAAGCCTTCAGGCATCTTTCCCGTCCAGAGCCCTCTTCCAACCCCCAATGGCGCCCCCAGCACCGAGGCAGAGCAAGAAGACGAGATGCTCGACGAGGGCGCCGCAGCCGGTGCCGCAGCCAATGCCGTCATAACCCTCGGTATTTCAATCGAGCCTGCGCAGAATATTGCGCCGCAGCTCGCCGCGCTGGAGGAAGATGCGTCGCAGAAAGGCGCCCTCGTGCGCGTGCCGCAGGGCCAGGCGCAGCAGAAGCAGATCTCGACAAAAGTGCTTGCGCAGCGGGTGATTGGGAATGCGTTCAATTTCCTGGCGAGCTTTGCGGAGTCAGACCCGAAGAAACAGGGCCATGAAGTCGTGTCGCTGAAGAGCTTCCGCGATTGGTGGGCGAAGTTCGAGAGGCGGATCGATATGGATCCTACGTTCTTGGAGAGGGTGGATCCTAATGCGGAAGGATAGGGATCATTGCGATTCTATTGATATGAATGTGATCCCGATATTTTTTCCCAGGCCTGGGGAGGGGGCCTTCTTCTTCCTCTATGTTTGTTTCTTCTTTTTGAGTTCGACCTTTTGCATCGACGGTTCAGCGGGTGATATGATATGATGTACGTTACTTCCAATTTTTTCTAGCTGTTTCTGCTAGGTTTGGGTATGAGTGAACGAAGTGTAGCCAGATTTGGTTTATTCTGCTATTTTTAATGACTTTTGATACTCTCGATCTACGATATGAATATCGAGCTCCGGAAGCCCTGCTTCATACAGAGCATACTTATATACAGACATCCACGTCGCATAATTCATGAGCCGCGTAAAAGCAACATCCTTGGGTGCGTGATATGAAGAGCCAAAATCCGCCTGTTCAGACGCCACACCATCCTGAAACCAAACGGAGTTCCCAAATACCAAATCCAGAAGGGGAAGGGGGGGAAGAAAGAAAGATCAACAAAAACAGATCAAGCTTCAGCCTTCGCCTGAGCCCCATGAAATGCAGAATCAGCCCTCAGTCGAATCTGCGGCGCATAACAAAGACTGTAGAGCTCATCCACATACGTCCCGGCCATCACCGCATCCCCCGCCGCAACCACCGCATCATGCGCGAGAACCTGCTTCGCCTGCGCCTCATTCAGCTTCGTTACATCGACTCTCACCTCCTTCTGCACCGTGATATCCCCCAGTGCTGTCGCGATAGGCTCCACGAGTGATTCCTGCGACAAAGCCCGCCGAGACATGGTCGGTGAATTACTCTTAGAAAGAGGCCACCAGCGCTGGATAGCTGTACGGGCCGAGGAGAGTCTCCCCGAGGACTCGGTGGCAAGGGACCCCGGGTTCGAGCCGGAGCGTACATCTGTGCAGAAGAGTTCTTGGCCGAGTTCGCGGCTGAAGCCGTCGCGGTCGGTGACAGAGTCGTTGACTTGCTGCTGGACGCGGAAGAGGCGGAAGGGAGTGAATGTGTAGTCGGGGTTAGGGACTTGGGTGTCCAGTGTGCCGACGACGCAGAAGGTGAGGAGGGTGCATTGGGGGGTTCTTTCGGAGAACGGCGAGGCGACGCGGCAGGGAGCGTAAAGGGGGCGGGCTGAGAAGATTGCTGCGTCCCGCATTGCTGGCGGAAAGGTTTTGGCGAGTGATATGATGCCTTTTACGAGGGCTTTGCGGAAGTCCTCCGTGTTTGGGTCGGAGTGGAGGGCAGCGTTGGATTCGAGGTATTTGATGCAGGTGTTCATCGACCAACCTTCCATATGGGCGATGATATCGAGGTGGGCCATTTTGAGGCGGTTTAGAGGGAGGGTCGAAGAGGGCAGCGGGTTGCCCGTGCCTTTTGTGGTGAGGATCTCGAAGTGATCCTGGACTGTCGGGCGCATCACGAAGGAGATCAAGTGTACGCCTTCGGAGAAGCTGCGGTTGGTGGTGGCATAGTCGCGCATGTCCCGGAGCTGCTCGGTCAAGATGCTCTCGGGGACATGCATGCGGCGGGATAGGGTAGAGCTGATGTTTTCAATGGTTGCGAATCGGAATCCCACTGATGCGAAGCGTTGAGCGTCTTGTTTTTGGAGCTGGCGGACGGTGAACATGATCTGGCCCTTGCCGGTTTGTATTGCAGAGCGACCCATGGCGCGTTGGATCCGGCTGGTGGGAATGGACGTTGAGATCACATTATCGTAGAGAGCGCCGAGTTCTCGTAAGGGCGTTCGCAAATCGTTTGATAGCTCTTGCGCACTGACACAGAACATATGCTTGAACAAGGTATCGAAGTCGGTTTGAAGCTCTGTCTCCTTGTTCATCACCACCCCTCGCGACATGAGATGCTTCTGGATGGCAGCCTGCTCGGAGTCGAGGCGGTTGCGCATAAAGGGGATGAGGTCTTTCACGACGGGCCAGTTCCGGCTAGCCCTAAAGGCCCAAAGGAAGGTGGGATGTGTTCGGGTGAGGTCGTCATCCTTGAAAGTCTGCCCTAAAATTAGCACAACAGGTAGCGGGTTCACGGAACAGAATCCACACTTACTCGTCCAATATAATGATCCACGATCTCCTTGCTGGGCAATAAGGCCTGGGGCGTAACCATGACACGCCCTGCCGGGTCGAAGTAGGCGCATGCCAGGATAAGTTGGTGAGCGCGAGCCTCAGACCGTCGTCGATTCCCGCCAGCAACAATGGCACAAGCCGACAGAATGAGACAGGAAACACATGCCAAAACAGCACACACGATAACCACCTGGCTTCGAGAGAGCGAGGTGCCGTTCCGGATCGAGTCGTCTCGAGCCCAGTAGTAGTGCCGACAGCGGCAGTCCAGTGCATCCCAGAGACCGCCGCGGCGAGCAAGCACGCGCAGCCTCCACGCCTCCACCAACTACTCGTCCACGTCGCCCTCCATCGGAAGAAGATACCCAGGGCAGTTGTACTGGAGAAGACCGCAATGATGGCCGATCCAACGACATTGGCAACATGGTAGGAGCATCGGTAGTTTGCAATGCCAAGCTGGCCAACATAGTGCATTCCACACACTGAACTCCCCGTGAGTAAACCCCCGATCAGGATGCGAATGTAACTGCCTTTTTCTTCCACGCCGATCGAGTAAAAGGCGAACAGCAGAACGACGACGGGCAGGACAAACGAAGTCCCGGTGAAGGCGACGTTATATATGATTTGCACATTCATTGCTCCGTCCCCGAGAACAATGGCCCTGTTGCCGATAAAATGCATGCACCAGATGCCGATGCCGCCCATGGTGATTGAAGAGGTGAGGAGCAGATACCTACAATGCCAATTGATGAGCATCCTTGATCGCTGGGCTTTCTATCGGGTAAATGTAAGAGCTGTATGGCTTACCAGTTGTAGAACCCCGACCTAGAGGTCCTTCGATGAAGCATCTCTAGTGTGGTCGCACATCCCATCCAGCTGATCACATATGATAGAAAGATATATCCGCCCAGATAGTGGACATGCGTGATCGCACCCCCTTGGAGCTCGCTGTCCGTCATGTTGAAGAAACTTTTGACAAGACACTAATACAGTAGAGGTTGGGGGGGGTTCCTGACTGCGAATAATGCCAGCGCTCAGGGCTTTATTGCGAGCTAAATCCCACGCCACATAGAGTTAGATCGAAGGGTTAGAATGTAGCGCTGAACTCATACCAACCCGACAGCCGAGGGAGGAAATGAACCTCTCGGTAGCGGCCACGGTAAACATTATAAGAAGGCCCCGGTAGCACATGAAAAGAGCTTGCGCGAAACCCTGTTTCCTACTGTACCCAATGGCATGGGATAACGGCAGCCACCGCATGGAAGAGTAAGAGATCTAGAGAGCAGGTCCACTCCATCGGGGCTGTATGCCTGGATCCACTGCGTCCCCAGACCAATTCGCGTGGCAGAAATGCAGCCGGTGGAACGGGTTATGCCAAACGCGTCCAAGCCCACGGCATTCAGGGAACACACAACAAGGAGGGGCTTTAACTCAACAAGGGCTCTGATGGATCGATGTGATTCAGCAGAGAAGCTAGATTGCGTGGGTCGTCAACCCTGGACTTTTGAAGCGAAGCACCGCAGCGGAGCTGCGATTGGATCGTTACGGGGGGGGGCTGGATCTAGATCGGATGGGTGCGGCACAGGAACGATGGGGCTCACTGGGAGAGTCACTGAAAAGCTCGACCAAACGAACTGCTGGCCACCTCTCTTGCTCTTCAAGAATTCACAGTGAAGCTGATCTTTTGTTCATTGCCTGAAAACTCTCAATTTATCACGGTCCACGAGAAATACAAGTTGTTGCAATTATGTGCTAAGTTTTCTGATCGGGGCCAGCCGGAAAAACTGCTGAGGCGTACGGAGTAGATTAAACACTTTGGCCAGGACCCATATTTCCATGGGTTCAGCTGCGCCCGCAAAACAAAGATAGATTGGAGCTTCCCGGACCTTGGACAGGAACGCATCCCCGCCCCGAATGGCTAAAGTGCATGCCCACAAACGTCAACTCGGAAGCTTCCAAGGTTCGCTCTAGGTTCTCCGGATCTGCAGCCCATGCAATCCGTGACGATCAGTCATAAACGCGTGCTTTAGGCGCAGGTGGCGTCGAACAAGGAAAGAGAGGGAGCGATCGCATCGAGTTTACGAGTATATTAGCACTTGCATAGGATGGCGCTTCGAACCGATCGTGACGACTTCATGGCGTAGAGAGGGGACAAACACAAATCTCTAGGAACATAAGCACCAAATAAATTAAATCTATCGCAACAAGGTCCGGGCGTTCTCTCGCTGGTATCCACTCTAGAAACCTCGCGATGTATGATTCGGCCAATCTCTGGCAAAATGTTGCTTTACGGGCCCAGACTAGATCTATCCAGGGCAAACCGAGTCCCCACTGGGTCACAGTGGGGTATGTTTCTCCTCACCCATGGATTCGACGATAGCGTGGAGTTCCCATGATAACCCGATCCATCAGATCGACCAAACAAATCGCTCGGTCTGCTAAAGAGCAAATATGTTGGAATTCCGGTAGCTGCCACGCTGTTGGCAGCCGGCTTGTCGGCCCGTTCGGACATCCAGCTGTGAGGCTTAATGCACGACCCACTAATGGATCTCAGTACGAGCGCTCTCTAGGTCATGCTTTTGTCTATCAGCATTATCCACGTTTAATGCATTTGTTCATTTCTCGGTCAATTGCATGGTTACCGGCAGGTGGATGGCCTCCCAGCTGGGAGCTGGGAGGGGGTTGAGTCTTCTCGAAGCGATAAATAGAGCTTTACTGCAGAGGATTGTGTGGCAAGTCCACAAAATTCTGCGGGACTTCACGACGTGTCAAAGCTCGATCAGAAAGCCACAATATGCTCCCTCAGATTGTGACATTGCATCGTGCAGGCACACTCGGAGATGAGGCAATCGTGCCGGCGACACGGTGCCTCCTAACCCGTCAGGGAGTAGTCAATTTCCGAAGCGCGAAAGAGGCAGTTCAATTCAAATGACATGGCTATGGAAGACTCGCATGTGGGGCTATGCCACGCCGGCGTCTAGCCTGGATTCTGCATGTCATGTTGCTAGACTTGGAGCATCAAGCTACAGTACTATGATGGAAAATTTGGAAATCCCCCGATTGGTGGTTTGCCATTAGCCTTTTACGTCACTACTGCGAGCAAGAGGTGATAGATAGCTTCAAGATCAAATTGAATTGGGTCCGAGTCACGGACGTTGCTAATAGGAGGCAGAAAGAATGATTACCTCGCCGCTTCAGTCCCCATCCCGACCCACGCCGCCTAGAAACCCTCGAATTTGACCTCGAAGGCTGTTTCTCCGTTTTGTCATCGAATGCTCGACTGATCCCTTATCCCCTCGGGCATAAGGTCAAGCTAGATAAGCCATGAACCAGACTTGTGTGCGCAAATACAACAGGCTTTGGGCCCTTATGGCTGGAATGACTTGCAAAGGACCCCCCTTCATCCCACATCCACCTGAACCACCCCCGGAAGGGATGGAGCACATGCAGTGCCTAAATCAGTTTGCTCCAGCATCTTTAAGCAATAACTCCTCAACCCGTGTGAGAGCAGCGAGTCCAGGAAGGCGACCGCATACGGTGGTGTGAAAATATTGAGTTACCCAAGTCAGGCCATCCCCAAAGGCATGCTGGTTGCCCTGTCGCTGACTTTTTGTAACTTGTGCGCTGGTCGGTGCAATGGCAGCTTCTATTACGCGAGAATCTCTCCACAACAACGTGTAAGTGATACAAGTTGTGAGGCCCCTGCTCCAACTCATGTGAAAATCTTCAATCGAGCGACCTCGTAGCCTCCCGTGTTGCAAGCTCTTGCCTTGGTTCGGTGGAGACCTCGGGAATGGGGCCTTTGTCCAGTATGTATGTTACGAAGGGCATAGGCATAGTTTCATGGCGGGTCCAGGACCCAAACAATTCTCCAGATAGATCCAGGCGCCTTGCGCGGTGCCATGTCGCCAGATAGTTTCTACACTATAGTATCAGTCCTCTCCAAATCTGTAAATTCGGCATGGCCCCGAGAAAAGATAGACTTAGAATATATTGGTACTAGTTTTCTCGGGCCCATACAGCACGGAAAGTGTATCATGCGTAGTTGGAAGATAGACTGGGCATTCATGTTGCATATTCTACTTTCCATGACTTGAAGCTTCCCCGGGAAGCACAGATTGCCCTCCTAACGTGTAAAGTGCTCTAGGCCGCAATGTCCTTGGGTGGCTTGAAGTAGGCTTGGAAATGATTCTGAGAGATGCAAGTAGTATGCGCCTTCGTGGAATATAGATTGATGTGGCCTTGAAAAGAAGAGAGCCGGAGGGAGCATCCGCCTGGGCACACGCCAGCCAGGAAGTGGATCCCATTCTGTTGTCACGCTTAAGACTTGGAGAGCCTTGACCACTTTCTGAAGGTAAATTAGCCGAAGATTCGGTTGAAGCACAAGTAGATCATCAAGTCACTCGTTGCTCAGCCTACCGCTGTCTAGGTTTCGCCTGATAAAGTTGCCCCGTTGTTGACAGTCAGGGTTTGATACAACGCCCGTACGCCTAAGGAGATGTTGAGTTGAGCAATTGCCAAGGGCCTCCTGGGAAAAAGTGAAGGGTCCACCAGAGAGTACCCTATTTCGGGCGGTCTAGCCCATTTAAGGAGAGTCCAGCTTGTGATACATTGCATACCTGGCGGGACCACCCAGGGGGTCTTGCATGCATGATGCAATTGGCTGCATGTTCGGAACGCTAACATTGTCCTTGTACTTCGCGTTGATCAGTCGTGGTCTGGGACTGCACAGCATCGCAACTATTGCCAGGAGAAACACCGTAAAAGCTCCAAATCTCCAAATCGAGTTCGGCGGTTATATAGAGCGCTTCTCGTTTCTTCGAAGATTCACTACGGACGATTCAGAAAAGAATGGGACGCAGTATGGATATCAATTTATAACCTCATCGGGTTTAAACCCATCATCCCATGCAAAGAACAAAACTAAAATCACATGGCCAAGTCCAAATTTATCAGGTAGGAGGACATGACATCTATGCGGCAAGAGCTTGGACGGCGGCGTTAATAGCAGGAGGGTTGGCGCCACGGACGGTCTTGTCAGCGAGCTTCTCGCCGTCCTTGAAGAACAGGAAGGTGGGCATGGCAGAGACGCCGTTGTTGGCGGCAACCTCCTGCAGCTCGTCAACGTCGACCTTGTAGAACTTGACGTTGGGGTTGGCTTCGCTCAGCTTCTCGACGGCGGGGGCAATGGCCTTGCAAGGCCCGCACCAGGTGGCGTGGAAGTCGACGACAATGGGGTCCTTGGAGTCGATGACCAGGGTCTGCCACTCATCGGCGCTGGAGAAAGACATGTTAGTCGAGTGATTCTGACACTGTTACTTCTGGGGCTTAAATCCCCGGGTTGAGACAATGGACGTACGTCTTGATCTCTTGAATCTTGCCACCCATTTTTGGAGTAGTTCGGGAAAGGCGGGGCACGGGAGTAGTAGAAAACGTTCGAGGAGTAGCGACGAAGGGAGTGCGCTGAGGAAGAGAGCGGAGGAGGAATGGAGTAGCTCTAGCTAGAGGAATGCGAGGAAGGCGGAAAGGCGGCTTGACCTGAGGTGGGGAATCAGTCGTTTTTTCTCTTGGAGGGGCAGAGCACGGAGGGGCAAGTGGTTTTTTATAGGCCGATGACGTCCGGGCCCCTGGGGACCTCGAAACCTCCAAAAGCTTATGTAAGAGGCTGAGTAATGGTGGATGATTCACACCCCCTGGACAGCTTCCAAGCGATTCCCGGGCAAACACTTGATCGACTCATATCAGGACTTACAGCAGGCATGGCGGGATTGGTCAACGAGCGGTTGGGCGATTCTATTGGGCCAATTGGCGTTCTTGGTGTGAATGAAGAGAAAGGAGGTGAGGCGGAAAGCGTGGGCAATATGGGGATGACGTGCTCGGGCTGATTACGAATCCGACCCATCTGGAACTTAGTGAAGCATCGTCGTATTCGAGCGGCATAGCAGATGACGGATCCGCGTTTCTGGAAGATACCGCCTCTTGGTAAAGCCATGTTCAAAGGATTCTTTACTCACTACGAACAGCAGTCTGAAGGATACCGGGAGCATATAGTAAAGGAACCAGTTCAGTGGATCTCAGTAGTAGCACTAGTCTAGTAATGATACAAATAGCCTTGGACGAAAATCGTCTACGACGCCTCCGTCTGAGAACCAGCAGACAGAATACCATCAAGGTACCATGCAGATTATGCATTGAAATGAAGGGGCCGTCAGATCTAGACCGAGGAAAAGCTGGTGAAACATGCAACAGTTGTGTGTAAGGATCTAAACATGGTGGGCATCATGGGAATCGAACGGGGGGTATCAAATAGTCAAACAGGTTGAATCAGCAAGGCTAGCACAGCCAGCACAGCAAAGTAGTAGAGGGAGAAAACACAAGGTTGGAAGAGTCGTCAGCAGGGCAAATCACAAGTCATGAAGTAGCGGAGAAGATCTGGTATCGCACATCAAACGTCGAAGGAGTGTCGGTGGGGGAGCTTTCGAGGGCACGTAGCATGTTCTAACAAAGGAAATCAGTCGACGGGGTGACCAGACAAAAGACAAAAGAAAGGCTAAGGAGCGTGGGTGGGGTTGGAAAGCCCCGGATTGAAAAAAAAAAAACATCGAAAACATCGAAAACATGAGTACAGATCTTCTGTGCTGCGACTTCTAGACATGGTCAATGACACCATGCATACTAGCCACTCGCTGGGGCTGAGGAGACGACGCTTCATCAGAACGAGGTCCATCCTCCTCGGAGATAGTGTCGTCCTCGGCAGAGATGGGAGAGAGAGAGGGAACGGTCTTCGGTATAGCGTGGCCGGATTTTGGGCGAGATGTGGGGGTGACGAGGACGGGACGGCGACCCACGTCGTGATGCCATCTCTCATCATTCTCCTTCTCTTGCTCGGTCTCTTCAGGACCATGGCTACCAGTAGCATGGGAATCGATCGAGTGACGGCTTCCGTCGACGGATCCAACAGCACCCTCGGCAGATGCAAATGAATCCATGGTGGTTCGGACCGGGCTGCTGGTCTTGTTCATGCGACGGAAGAACTGGCCAGACATCCAGGATCCTTCCGAATCAATAGAGGCGAGAGATTGTGACAGAGGAACGTGGTCTGATTCGGCATCGACGCTTTCGGTCCAAGATTGATGGCGCCGATGACGGGGGCTAGTGATGTCAACACTGGTGGTCGGTGTTGGGCCGTGCAGGAAGGTGCTCGGCTGTTCCTGCTCTAAGGACGACTCGGGGACCTCTTCGGGGATATCTGGCGACTGCAGACGCGAGTCGGGAGGCGACATGGGTTCATCGCCAAAGTGTTCGGTGAATTTGGAACGCGAACGCTTCAACGTTCCGGTTGGGATGAAGGCTCGTGGCGGGATGATCGAGGCAGTGGGAGGGGGTGAAGATTGTGTTTGTATGCGGCAGAAGGATTCATGCGAGGGATTTTTGGTGGAGGGCTCCGGGCTAGAGTCGTGGAAACGCTCACGGTATCGTTTCTTGAGCCGGGATGAGCCGCGGCGGAAAAGGGAGGTAATGGTATTTCCGTTCGCGCGACGACCGCTGGTGTCGGACGGACGGCGCTCGGAGAGGTCAGAGACGGAGCCCATTCCGAATGTTTGAGAATGGCTAGGACTACTGATTCCATGGCGGAGAGAGTGAGTTGGCGAGAGGGTGGTACGTGAGGTAGCCATATCCTGCGAAGGCGCGAAGCTTGGCTGGCTGTGGAGTTGAGGCGCACGAAGGGAGCTATCGTCAATGTTGCCGATAACACGAGCGCTTTCCTCCATAGAGTCGACGCCATCCGTCTGTTTGGAGTCATCTCGTGCTTCGCCGGCTGACGGGGCCGGTGGTTCCTCCACGTTCTGCTCCATGTGCTCCTCCTCACGTTCCATAATGACGTCGTCCCCCGTGGGCTCAACATCATTCTGCTCACCCGCTGCCTTCTGGGCTTCTTCGGCCGCTCGGCGTGCCTCCTCGGCTCGTTGCGCATCTGCTCGGTCTTGTAACTTGCGCCGCAGCTTCTCTTGCTCGAGAAGTTGTTGCTTTTCGCGACGTCGGCGATCCCGCTCCATCAACTCGCGTAGAGAGCTTGCATCCAAGGAATCGGCGAGCTCGTTGATGCGTCGCTTGGAGAAGTACAGGTCTTCCTGCGACGCGGGGTGGCTCTGGAGTTTCTCTTTGTTTATTTGGCCGGCAGGAAGGGCGGTGTTGCTTCTGACGGCCGGGGGCCGGGCTTCCACGTACCGAACCACGGGTCGAGGGGTTAGCTGGGCAAAACCATTCACCTTAAACGTATAGTTATCGGAAGAATCGGACAGGGAGGAAGCGATTGAGTCTCGGTTCGATAAGCTGATATCAGAATGGTAGCGGTCGACGCGTCGGCCGGTTCGTCGACGTGGGTGATCAAATCCGTAGGGAATATCGATCGGCGTCGATGACAGAGCTTTGATCTCTCGTTCGCGCATGATTTCATGCGCTTTGCGCTTGCTGAGTCGGCGTCTAAGTTTCTTGGGTCCATTTTGAGGTTGGTTTCTGAATAACGATTCGACTTCCGACAGTGGTCGTCGAGGGCGGGGCTCGGTGTTATGCATGGGCTCGATTTGCGCGGCGGGCTCGTGGGAAGATTCGTGGGAGGAAACGGCGCGTTGGGATATGGAGCGCGACACACCACGAGGGCTCGATGCACCGTCACCGCTATGCGACGCACGGTTGCTGTGACGCTTGGGAGACCGACGGGAAGATTTGCGGACCAGCGTAGGCTCCACGAAGGACGCCTGAAGCGTGTCGACGTCCTCCGGGCTGACCTGGATCGTGTGCCGCTTGTTCCGACGGCCAAATGGCCATATAGCCATGGCGCGCAGTCGAGAGCGGCTTCGCGGCCAGTCAAAGGTTGAGGATGGGTGGAATGCACGCGGGTTGGACTGGACACATGGAGGATAATAAGAAAAGGCGAAGTGAAGTAAAGCGGCGTAAAGCGAAGTGGAGACCCGGGAAAGGACTACAGAGTATTGAGCGAGTGGAAGCGGAGGACCAGGGCCACCGGCGTCATTAAGTGGGTTTTAAGTTTAGGGGGAAGAAGAAGGATTGGGAAAAGAGTCGAAGGGTGGAGAGAGAGAGAGGGGGGGGGGGGGCGAGCAAATAAGGTAAAGGGGGGGAGCAAGTACTTTAGGCGCACGTACAGACGCCCTTGGAGGCGGATTCGAAGGCCGTGGACGTGTAAAAAGAAATTTTTTTTTAAAAAAAGGGAATCCAATGTAAAGGTCGGCCGCGATCTGGACTTGTAGGCACCATTTTTTCCTACTCCCTTCGGGACTAGCGAGTGTTTTGATTTCCCTCTAAAAATAAATCCACTTGGCATTTCTGGAGTGATTGGGGAGATTTGGTTTCAGTTTAATTTACGCCCTCTATCAACACACTGTTGATGGTGCCCAGCAGGCTGGCCTGTTATAGGTTGGCCCTCGATAAACTTACAGATACAGATGAGACCGTCGTACATGTTTCTGGTACCTGGTACCTTTGTTTACGGCTCCCGCGATGCGTAGCTGCTCGGATCTGCTCCGGTTCTCATCGATCCTCCGGAGCACGAGCCCAGGGCCAACAGAGGCGGGAAAAAAACAACCAACGTCACTGATGAGATGGAAATTGGACACTGCAAATTAGAAATCGGGTCTCGGTAGGGGAGGAAAAGGTGAAGATTCTCCACTCGGGCACCGTGAATGGACATGCACCCAACGATGGCCATGCATAACGGAAGCGCCCGCATGTCGAAAGTTTCTCGACATCCTCCTATTATCCTGCACACCTGCTGTATGCCACACTGGATATCCCCTTCAGCATGGAGGCGTCTCGTGATCTTGTCTCGTGGCCGTTGGGCGCCCGGTGGATCCGTCTGGGAGGCCATTCCTTGGGTTGACACCCGCCATGGAGCCCGTCTTACGCATGTCAAAAAAGGCTTCCCCATCCCGCGGTCTACACAGATTACCAACAGGCCAACCGAGGGGTGGCCTGAGTAGGATTCATGCAGGCGGTCCTGCCTGCTGTTCTGCTGCTCTGCTGTTCTGCGGTTCTGCTGTTTTGCTGTTTTGCTGTTCCGCCCCTGCACCTGAGGGACTGCCGATTCGTCCAGCCTTTTGCTTGTTAGTAACCCTTGCGGTGGAGTCCGATCCGCAGAAAAAGGCCGATTTGGTCGGGCAGACCGTACGCGTGTGTCATCAGCGGCGCGGATTTCGTTTCCCTGGAACCGCTTTTCCAGAGCGATTCTCCCGCTCCCAGGTCTGCAAGTCTGGGCTCTTTGGGTCTCCATCTGCCCACATGGGGAAGATCGCCGATGGGTTCGACCTTCGCACTATTGTTTTCCATACAGGAAATCTCTTCTCCACTAGCGCGGGACCCAAGGACCAAAAATTGGCTCGTCTTACACCTGCGATCGTGGAGTCATTATCTCAAAGTTCGTGTCCTGATAACCGGTCACCAAGGGCCTATTAGCTTCCAATAGCAAGGGATTACAAGACGGAATAAAATACAATTAAATCAGAGCTCACGTCCCTATCATGTGCTTTCGACTGTTCCACAGCGCCCGTTTTTGGTCTTTCGCTCTGGATGTCCAGTGGGCAAGGGCTTTTCTCCCCGCTTTTTGCCGAGACAGTTGGTTTTCAACTTCGAGAGGGATGAACTTCGGCAAAATGGAATAGACGTGGTCTGCACGCCTGATCACCGTGTCTTCCTTTCCCTCTCAGTGCCGAGGGATTTCCGCGAGCCGAGATACTTCAAACCACTTCCTAGACCTTATACCCAATGAAGCGACCGTGGGGCCCGGGCTCTAGCCTCTGTTCCCGTCGGCTCGCGAAGGATCTTCCTTCTGGCGGTGACTAGGGGTTGTGTTTGTCTCATCCGGAATGTGGCGCACCGCGCCATTCACACCGCGCCACGCCAATCCCTACAATGCAGTGGCAAAGACTTGATTCCGAGATAAAAGCACCATTCCTGCCAACGGATCCGGATACACAGCGCCTTCCAATGTCGCCAGCACATCCTTGCTCCGAGACTTTTAAGTTTCAAACGCCAACCATAATGCACACCATCCCAATCCGCGATAGACATAGCCGAATCCCAAGTAGAAAGCCCAGCTGAAAACAAATCGCGAGAGCCCAACCCCCAAAGCCAGAGGGAGAACAGAAAAAGCGAGGGGTTAAAAAAGAAAAAGGAACGTAGTCGCCATGCCGCAGCAAATCAAATGAACCACTCATGCGAGGGCAATTCGACCCTACTCGTCTTCCCCCCAAAGTGGCGGTATGAACCCCTTCTTGCTGAGTTGGTTCCCCCTTAGCCCTCTTCGTTTTCCCGGACACGTTTCCGCAGCCGATTCGGCTCTCGCTCCAAGACACGATATCTGCGGCTCCCGCGCCCGCTCAGCAGCCGTCTGAGCGACCAGGGACTCTGGCGGCTGTCCGGGTTAGAAAGCGAGGGACTTTCGAGCGACGGGTGGAGCTTGTCGGCGTCGGAGGAAAGTCCCGTTAATGGTTGGGCAGCCATAGAGATAGGTTCCAGGCGACGATGTGATGTCTCAACCTGAGAAGTATAAAGGGTATCTTTGGCATGCACTAGGTCGTGCTGTTCGCTAGGCTCGGGGGGGGGCTGGATCTGCAGTTCGTACCCCACGGAGCATTAGGTAGGTCGGAGCTTTATGGACGTCGAGGGTTGGAGTAAAAATGGAGTGAAATCGAGCGGGGTTGGAATCGCAATGGTGGGGCGATGTTTGTTGAATCTGAGAGGGTTGGTCCGGTTTATCCGATGTTGCCGGGGGACGAGAACTGTTTCGGTGTAGACGACCAGCTCGATCAATAATTGTTCAGTTGTAAGAAGCCTATTCTCATTCTGTTCGACGATCTAGCTTGAGCCTCGCTGTGCAGAGCCCTGGTTGGTTCTGCTGGTCCGGAGTCACACCGTAGTCGCCAATAGCAGGAAATCCCTCATGCAGTTTGAGATCCTCGTGCATGATTCGTCGAGTTGCCTCGTTCGCTGATGCGGGGCTTAGATATGGCAGCTCCCCCTGATGTCTGAGGCTGATAGCAAAGCGGCTCCGGTCGTAATCATTCCTCAATAACCCCATCGCCCTCACGGCGATCCTGTTGAGTAGTCGAATTTCCAGCTTGCGGTCACTTCACAAACGAAGCTGGTACTAGGGGGGTTCTTTTCACGGTCAAAGGGATGAATTTGACTCCCCTGGCGAGCATGGCGTCCACCAATGCGTTTGAGGGTTCGAATTCGGGGCTCCAAATGGGTGCGAACAACGGCTCTGTCATTAACCACTTCTACATGGGAGGTGGAGGAATGAAAGGAGAAAATACTAAGCGTCGTGAGTTCACTGAAACACTGGACTCCAAGATTAGACTCACTAACGTTTCTCAGGCGATCAATCTATGCCCCACTATATTATCCCATCCTTGAGAAGTGAACATTTCACTGGTCGTGAATCTGTTCTGGAAGAACTCCAACAGAAGCTATGTTCCCAGCCGCAAACGCAGAAAATAGCCCTATTCGGGCTTGGTGGAATTGGCAAAACCCAGGTCGCGCTGGAGCTTGCCCGCTGGGTGAAATCACAGGTACCGGACTGCTCTATCTTCTGGGCTCCCGCCCTGAGTCTCGAGAGTTTTGAGCAAGCCTGTTGGCAAATCGCGAAAGCATTTCAAATCCATCAGAATTCAGACAATGAAAGTGTGATGGAATCGGTACAGCGACTACTCGGCTCTGATAAAGCTGGAAAGTGGCTTTTCATTGTCGATAACGTGGATGACCTGGATTTGCTGTTCGACGAGCTTTATCAGTATTTCCCTTCTAGCGAGAAAGGCATTACGTTGCTCACCACTCGTTCTCGCGAGGTGGCGGTATCTTTTGCAAAAAAGGATATTGTTGAGCTTCGAAAAATGACAATCGAGGAAGGCATCGCTTTTCTTAGCAAGATTGTTCAAGCAGAGTCACTACGTGACCAGGAATCTACCACAAAACTACTTGAAGAGCTAGACTTGCTACCTCTAGCTATCGCACAGGCGGCGTACTATATATCACGAAATAATGCAACAACCACCCGGTACCTCGAGCTGATGCACAAAACAGAGATGGATCGGATGCGTCTGGTAAGCAGGGACTTCCGTGATAGTACCCGCTACCGCAAAATGCCAAATGCAGTGACTGCCACATGGCTAGTCTCATTCAATCAGATCAAGAACTCTGATCCCTCGGCGGCGAGTTTGTTGGAATTCATGTCATTTCTTGAACCCAAGGCAATCCCACAATCTATCCTCCCTATCCTGACTTCGGAAGAAGAGATGGAGTTTGCAGTTGGCACACTATGTAGCTATGGATTTCTGGCTAGGAGAGATCAACCGGGCATCTTCGATATGCACAGCCTGGTACAGCTATCAACACGGATATGGATAGCCGAGGCAAAGAAAACACCACAGACCATTGCGACTATAACACAACGAATGAATCGGTGTTTTCCATCCGATGAACATACTGAACGGAAGATTTGGAGGCGGTACATGCCACACGCTCTTCAAGTTCTCAGAAGAGAGGAAAACAAAGATATGAGTGAGAGATATAGCTTACTCACCAAGGTCGGAAATTGTATCCTAGCTGACGGCCGAGCGAAAGAAGCTATCAATTCTTTTCACGAGGTATACATACGGAATCAAAGCCTCTTTGATGAAGAACATCCCTCTCGACTGGCGTCTCAGCGCAACCTCGCGCGGGCATATGAATTCAACGGTCAGTTCAAACAGGCCGTGGAGCTGTTTGAGCACATAACTACAGTACATAAGAGAACTCTTGATGAAGAACATCCCTCTCGGTTAGCATCTCAGCACGAACTCGCACGGGTATATAGATCCAACGGGCAGATAAAACAGGCCGTGGCGCTAGTTAAGCACGAAGCTGCAGTGCTTAGAAGGACTCTTGATGAAGAACATCCCTCGATACTAGCATCCCAGCACGAACTTGCGCGCATATATAGATCCAATAGACAGAACCAAGAGGCTGTCAAGCTGCTGGAGCATGTGGTCGCAGTGGAAGAAAGAACGCTTGATGAAGAAGATCCCTCTCGACTAGTATCTCAGCATGAACTCGCCGTGGCATATAGATCCACCAGGCAACTAAAACAGGCAATAGAGCTCCTTGAGCATGTGGTTATGGTGTACAGCAGGATTTTTGACGAAGAGCACCCATTTCGACTGGTGTCTCAGTACGAGCTTGCACGGACGTATAGATTGAATGGGCAAGCTGAACAGGCCATCCAGCTATTTGAGCATGTGGTTGAAGTGCGCCAGGGAGCGCTTGATGAGGAACATCCAGATCGACTGGCATCTCAGCGTATGCTCCAAAACTTGAAGCTGTTTACCCAGTTCGAGAGTATATAGAAGAGCTTCCCATCTTGCTCTCCGTGCTCGATGAGGATGAGAGAGAATGTGGGAATCGGGGCTTCTGATTAGTGGAAGGTCAGCTTTCCAAATAGTTGTCGTCCGGAGTATCTCATATTTTTTCTTCCTATCGAGCTTGGTTATTTTTACAATTTGAGCACCTGCTGTTCACGGATTCGATGTCAGTAGCAGGGTCCTGCAGGTGGCACTCCGGAGCTCTGATAGCGAGCCTTTGTCAAAATATATTGCAGATCTAGGACTTATGTAGGTTATTTCAACGAACAAAACCAACTTATTTACACTTCATGCCCTTAGGAACCCTCGCAGAAAAGAAACTAGAGGCGGTCAGTAGAATGAAGACAAATGGTTTGTGATTATATGTATTATAAGAGAAGAATAGATGAGGGGCTAGCTATATAAAGTCAAAGCTATCTAGGAAGTGGAGCTTAAGAAAGGAAGAATAACTATAAGGACGCGAGACGACTGTGCAAGCTACTGTATTTAGTGCCCTATAGACGGGCTCCTTTGGTTTCAACCTTGTGCTTATAGCACGTCTCTCTTTTGATCGTAAATTTGGACTGCCAACGTCAGGTGGATCAGTCAAATAAAGGCAACAGAGGACTGTCTGGTCAAATGCACCTGCACGCAATTTACATTGTAGTACTAATTGAAGTCAGAGGTGTTACCAAGCAAGCTCCTGTTTGCTCATGCAACTCGCAGCCTCCAGCTTGGAGCAAAACTGTTCCTCTTCGACAAACCTTTGCATCATACTATGAGGCAGCCTCGGCGCAGCTGGCCAGATTTCCAGGCCCCCCCTGCTGCTCTTCTTTCGTCCGATGCTCCATAACCATTTCCCGGACCCTACTTTGGAAATAGATTGGGCCCTGTGGTTTTCAGTCAGTTATGCTTTTACCATATTCTCCAGGAGCCGCACCTTTTCCTTGCTCGGATGCAACTCTCCATTCGTGAACACACCCCCATTCAAATTCTCCTGCGTCCCAACACAAAGCTCCCTATCTTCATCCAGGACCTGGCGGTAGAAAGCATTGATATTTTCAAATTCCTCATCGGTAGCATCTCTATGCCGGTATACTTCATTTTCAACTTTACTCGTGGTAGCAGTCAACGGGATCATACGCTGGATATAGAAGAACTTGTCGCTATGCAACCGTTAGCCGCCGCAAGCAGTCCCTGAACTCGAGTCCAAAACTCACGTTACTGTAATAGAAGTCGTAGGAAAGAAGTATGTAATAGCCCGCCGAAATTGGCTATCAACCTGCTCCTTATTAAAAATATGATGCTCCATGTATCCCGCATTGGGCTCGACTCGATACCGCGGTAGATCCGACACCCCACTGATCAGCGGATGAGACGTTGCGCAGTGGTAGCATTCGTTATAATTCTCGATGAGCCCTTTCCAGTTCGCCTCCACATCCATCTCCCAGTAATGGTCGAAGGTATATTCGCCGGCAAAATCGAACTCCTGCATTCGGGGCTGCTCGTCGATTCGTTTGTACTCGTCTTCCCATTTCACGTCAGGCTCGCCTGCCTGCAGGTTGACCCAGACAAATCCGGCCTTATCGATATGGACATGGATAGGGAGGAGCCCTTGTTGGCTCTTGTCGAATTCCGGAACTGCGTCAAAGCGGGGCGCTTTCGCAAGGTTCCCCTTCAAGCCGTACGACCAGCCATGGTATTTACAGCTTAGGATAGAGCTCGACCCAGAGCGAGCCTGGACAACGGGGAATGCGCGATGTCGACATATATTATGGAATCCATTGATCTTCCCTTCGCGATCTTGGACGAGAAAGAATGACAGGTTGGCAACAGTGAACGACAGGTAGTCGCCTGGCTTAGCGAATCGGCTGGAATGGGTCAGGAGAAGCCATCTCTTGGAGAATATGGCGCGCCTTTCCAGCTGGTACATTGCTTCAGAGCGATACCACGACGAGGGTAGACCTCTTGGTGTAGTCTTATCTGGCTGCGTGGTGGACCAATTGAACATCCGCCACATAGTGATTGAATGGGATATCGGATGCGACTGGTGCTAGGCTTTGCGGTGCCTGCCGGGGCCCGACTGACGGCCTTCTGATTACAATTGATATATAACGCATTGTGCGGGGACTTCCGAAGCTCTTGGCAGTTTCAAGGATGGGGAAGTGCGGGAGTACTCTGTTGATAAGCCTGTTTCCCTTGTACTTTGGAACCGTTTACGCCACAGACAAGAATGGGGGCCCGATGAAGCCGCGCTACGATAACCGGAACCACTACTGCGATAAGCGGAGTGTTGACACTAGCAAGCAAAGCAGATCATAAATTGAATTTTTTTTTTTTCATTGTACATCTCCTTGGCGGAGCTCTACAGTCGAGACTCTATCACCTCGCTGCTTTGTGCAGCTCCCCAGCATCGGTCAACCTTAAGTCTTGTTAGTCATGGCAGATATCAATAGAGGAGGGAAGTTTACGTCTGCGATATGATCGTATCCCAGCAGCTTCGGTGCTAGACCAGGATCGCGCCAGGCTAAAGCTTCTCCTTCTGGCGTGGGAACCATCTGCATTTTACGATCTCTTTCTTCTTGCTCCGGTCCGTCGTGGAGGTGGTATAGGTACTGTTGAATGTTCCCTCGTTCAACCACCATCTTGGTTCGCTGCTTCCGACATTTCTGAAATACAGATAGAGCGTGTCGTTTGGCTGCCAGGAAGTCGGGAGAATGTTTTGTAGTGTATGGATTATCAGGGAGTCGGGACAGACATTCGCCCAGAACCGCTCCGTCTTCGAAGGCCATACCCGCTCTAAGCAGTTTAGAATAAGATGTTTTAGTGAAGAGGCCACACCGTATACTTACCCCGAAGCGAGATATGGCAAAGTAGAGTGTACTGCGTCACCCAGCATAATCCATGCTCCCGATGGATGGCTCCAGTCGAAATCGCCGAATCGGATGCACAAGCGCCACTTTTGGACTGACTCACAAAGCTTCAGTAACCTTTCGATTCTGGCTCTTTTTGTGAGAAATCGGGTATATCTTTCAGCAATGCACAGAACGTTCTCACCCACCTTGGGTCCCAGCCCTTGAACAGGGCACACATTTCCTCGACATTTCCTTTGATAGTGGTAGCGAGCGACTCTTCGGGGATATCATCTGGCACTAGGAGAACCATGTTGAAGAGATCTCCCCCGCGAAGAACATAGTTGACTGTTCCGTTAGTACAATGTATGGGAGAGTGGATTTTACGCATACCAGCATGTGCATCTGGGCCCAGCCAGTAATTCACTTGGGGCTGGTTCACGAACGGCGCAAGTTCAGGATCCTTGCGCATCTCTTCCGTAGACAGAAGCAAGCGGTATGCAAGATCTCCAGTCTTAACTGGAGGATCACTGCGCCCGAGCAACTCTTCTGTCAAGCTACCAAACACCCCGTCGGCTCCCACGACGAGATCACCGCACCATTCTCTCCCGTCAGCTGCGACAGCTGTTGCAGTTGTCTCGTCTGAGCTGACTCGCACAGTGACAATGCGCGCGCCGCACGTCATTTTGACACCCAGCTCCAAGGCCCGATCCACGAGACAGCGCTGGAGGTCTGCGCGATGGAAATCCCGGTACCATGTCCCAGGGTAGTCCTTCTCCGAGGCGGCAAAATCCAAGAACGAAATCTTGTTCCCTTTCCAGCCGTTGAAGTTGCACACACTCGGGTTCGTCATGTACGGGGTTAGGGCTTCCTCCAAGCCCCAATGCTGAAGAACCCGTGAGCTGTTCGGCAGCACCTGGATCCCCGCACCAACCTCTTTGATCTCCTTTGCCGCTTCAAGTATGTGCACTTTGTGGCCGGACAAGGCGCAGCTAATCGCGGCTCCAAGGCCTGCAAGGCCAGCGCCGACCACGAGGATCTCGAGTTGGCATGATTCGGTGCGAGTCTCGGGTTGTTTGATGTGAATACGAGGGGCCATGATGGGAGGGTAGAAGTACGGGGCCAATTCCACGGTGAGTCCTAGCGATCACATCTTGTGTCACTGTGTTGCTTGGGTATTTAATATTGGCTGCTTTGCCGGGGGCATTTCTGGCCTGGCAAAAATGGGGGTTAGCTGCATTATCTCTGCTGGGGTTCCGGTATCGATGAGCGGAAGACATAGCTGGGCAACCCCAGTCTCAGCAGGTGCAAGGAAGCTCCTTTCCCAGGTTTACAATTGAGTATACAGCATGTCAAAGGTAAAAAATTCTCTGAAGACTGTGTTCATTTCTGACAGGACAAGTTTTCGCTTCAAGGTCGAACGGCGCTAGTGACCGGCGGTGCTCGAGGATGTGGGCTAGCTTTTGCTCGAGGTCTAGCAGAAGCAGGGGCAAATGTAGCCATTTTTGACCTGATTCCACCAGAAGAAGCTTTCAAAACAATTGAAAAGGACTATGGTGTTCGAACGGCTTATTACAAGTGAGCGTACTGTCTTCGTACTAGTAGGCCTTCAATTGCTAACCGAAACAGCGTCGATGTTTCCTCTCAGGAATCCCTCCAACGCGGCTTCGAGCAATTTCAGAGAGATTTCAATAATGCGCTCGATATCTGCGTTCCGTGCGCTGGAATCAACCGCCATCTTCCGTTCCTCGAATTTACCTACAAAGACCACCACGACCTGCTATCGATCAATGTGCTCGGGGTATACTTTACTGCCCAGTTAGCAGCGAAACAAATGATCGCCAACGGAACCAAGCACGGAAGCATTGTTCTGGTCGCCAGCATGACAAGCCATATCGCTGTGCGAAGCCAGCTGTGCAGCGCATACTGCGGAACCAAGGGGGCTGTGCGATCAATGTGCCCGGCCATCGCAAAAGAGCTCGCAGAATACGTGAGTGTGCGCGTCCTTCCCATTTCCGAATCTCATCATAACGCCGAGCAGGATATCCGAGTCAATTCCATCTCCCCTGGTTACGTCCGAACTGAAATGACAGCCCCAGTACGTTTACATCCCCCCAACTCACAGTTGAGTACACGGCTAATGAACGACGGATGGGCAGTTTCCCCATCTTCTCGAGGCCTGGAAAGATGAAACAATGAACGGACGGGTGGCCGAGCCAGAAGACATGATGGGCCCATGTGTCTTCCTAGCTAGCGACGCGAGCGCGTACATGACGGGGCAAGACATTGTTGTAGATGGGGGAGCGACCCGGTGGTAGATAATCTGCAAGAGTGGGGGTTTCTCCGTCCCCGCATCTCCAACTAGAGCTGGTTTATAGTGTGCACTAGGCACAGAACATAATGAAGAGAACTTCGATTCATCCTCAATTAGACCCGAAGAGATCTCGGACCATGGCGCCTAGTGTAGATCATGAAGGATACAGCTTCAGCTGTCCAGCCGCCGTGACCACGGTAGTGGTGGTCGGTGCCGGACCGTCTGGTCTGATGCTCGCGTAGGTGAAGCCTCGTATTGCTTCCAATACAGCTATTGACGATGCCGCAGGTGCAACCTTGCGCGCTTTGGGATCGATGTGGTCGTTCTCGACAACCGACCGGATAAGACATCCACAGGCAAAGCGGATGGCATGCAGCCTAAGACCATTGAGACCTTTAAGCAGATGCGTTTAGCAGAGCCGCTGCTGAAGAAAGCAGCTCGTGTTTACGATATTTCGTTTTGGGTTTGTAGCGCCCATTGACCTCAATCTGATGAGAGCTAACAATGTGAAGCAATCAACCGCAGACAAGCCACTCCACCGAACTGGCCGCCAAACCCACTACCCCGACCATCTCGTTGGGGCATCAGATCCGTATATACTCCTAGCCCACCAAGGGATGACCGAAGAGATTCTGATCGATGATATGGAAGCCCGAGGTGTTTTCGTTACCCGCAACGCCGTTTTCTCATCATGCACCCAAGTCGTAGGCACAGGCCAGCTGGATATTACTTATGAGGATCTGTCGACGAACTCGGTGAAGAGCATCCGTGCGGACTATTTGGTTGGCTGTGATGGTGCCCGGTCGAAGGTCCGAGACTTTATCCCGGATGCAGAGCTGGAAGGAGAAATGACCAACGCATCCTGGGGCGTACTAGATGGTGCGATCAAAGATCCTATTGGCATCGAAGTTGTGCTAATCATTGAGAAAAGGCGTCATCGAGACCGACTTTCCGGACCTCTGGAGTAAAGTGGCGGTTCGCTCCCATAAGGCCGGCTCTATTCTGTGGATCCCTCGAGAACGGAATATGACACGTCTATACGTTGAGCTTAGCGCAACAGACGGCGAACGAGTGGATCGAGCAAAGGCGACCACCGAATATGTCATACAGCGTGCGAGAGAGGCAATGCATCCCTTTAGCCTCACTTGGAAGAGCATTGAATGGTTTGGTAACTACGTTGTCGGACAACGGGTTGCGAAGCACTTTATGGATCCTGAAAAGCGCATCTTCATTGCCGGCGATGTGAGTGGGTTCAATCCTCTTCCTACAAACCCGCTCTGACATACCTAGGCTGGACATTGCCACTCCGCACTAGCTGCCCAAGGCGCCAACACGAGTATGCATGATAGCTTCAATCTCGCATGGAAACTCAATCTTGTGATCCGTGGCCTTGCTAAGCCTTCTTTGCTATCCACGTATGAAGAAGAACGGCGCAAGATTGCTAATGACCTGATTGATTTCGATGTCGAGCACTGTAAAGCTTTTGAACAGGGAGAATCCGCATTAGCGAGAAACTTCGACGAGAACATCCGATTTATCTCAGGCGTGGGTGCTGAATACTCTTCGGGATTGTTAAGTCGTACCAAAGGCATTGCCGATACGCCCTTTCGACCTGGGTCATTGCAGCTCCCGGGCAAAGTTACAAGATATGTCGATGCTAATCCCGTGGACATTCAGATTGATATTCCGCTGTTGAGCCAATTCCGTGTCTACTTCTTTTGCCCAGATGCCCGAAAATCATTGCAGTTCCTGCATACTCTCTGTGAGGGTCTGTCAAGCCAGACTGGACTCGGAAAAGCCCTTGCTGGGGCCAATCAGTCGTACGCTAAGAAACCTCGACGCTTGGCGCCGGTGGATGAGTTCATTTTGCCCCAGAGGTACACTGCGCTGTCCGAAGCCTTCACTTATGCGATGGTTACTCGTTCTCCCAGATCGGCCTTTGAAATTGCAGACTTACCACAAGTGCTTCAAGACAGCCGATGGACATTGTACCTGGATGACGTAAACAGTCCTTCTATCACAGACAGTTGGTTCGGACAATTGGATGGAAAGAAGGTTGGGATTGTGATTGTTCGTCCAGATGGTTATTGCGGAGCGATTGATACTTGGGAATTAGACAGCGCAGAGCAAGCAGGGCGCTGGGTAGAAGACTACTTTTCATTTATGCTATGAGCGCCATCCATAGAAAATCCTTTTTTACTACGTTTCTTCTAAACCGGAATTCATAGTGTAGAAATCATCACAGGCCTGAAATTCTCGGTGGCAGCATTGCTCAATTCGCAACGCTTTCGGCTCCACAGCTAAAGGCAGTGCCACCACTGCAGGAGAATGAACTAGTCCAGAACCTCGTCGTTCTACCTCACTCTACCTCGCATTACCGTAGCTTGGATACTGAAAGTGGGGGCTTTACGGACTCAATCCACTGGTATGCTATGTATGGTGGGGGTGGGAGCTCCAACGTGCATCCCGCCACTATCCCACTCTAGTATCTCAATAATGGGAGTTCTGGGTCTCTTACCGAGTATTAAATAGCACTGACGAAATTGGCTAGTCGAGGACTGAGCATTGTCTACAATTAGTATTGTGGCTTTTGGACTTATACTATTCCTCTACCACTCCGTTTCTCATCCTAATTCCTGCCTATAGCGACCAAACATGGGCTCCGTTGACACCGTTGGACCTCTCTTCCAGCCCATCAGCTTTGGCGCGCTTTCTCTCAAGCACCGGATTGTACAAGCACCATGTACTCGCATGCGTTCCTCAAAAGAGTCTGAAGGTGTTTTTGTCCCCAATGACCTGAATGTGGAATACTATTCCCAGAGGGCGTCCGACGGAGGTCTGATGATCAGTGAGGCGACCCCAATTAGCCGACTTGTGAGTCCGCGTAGCTGTCCTCTCATTTTGAACGACTGGGCTAACAGCTCAGGCGGCTGGGTACCCAGGAGTACCGGGCATATTCACCGCGTCCCAGATCGCAGGCTGGAAAAAGGTCACCGATGCCGTGCATGCCAAAGGTGGTTTGATCGTTTGCCAACTGTGGCACGTTGGTCGAGCTACTATTCCATCCTTCCTGGAAGGAAACCAACCTGTCAGCTCGAGTGATATCCCCATCAGCGGAAATGCCTTGGATGGTAACCCGTATGCTTCGACGCCTCCGAGGCCCATAAGCGTGGACGAGATTCAAGAGCTCGTGAAAGAGTACGGCGCAGCAGCTAAACGGTCGATCGAGGCCGGTTTCGATGGGGTGGAAATCCACGGTAAGACCAATGGGGTGTCCGGAGAAATATGATTAACTGGCTAATGTACGACCAGGCGCGAATGGCTATCTTCTCGACCAGTTCCTCCACGACAATGTCAACACGCGCACAGATGAGTACGGCGGCTCGATCGAGAAGCGCTCCCGTATTATCCTTGAGGTGATCAAGGAGGTCACTTTGGCCATCGGTGCCGAGCGCGTAGGCATTCGCCTGTCGCCATACAACTACTTTCAAGATACGCGCGATTCCAGCCCCAACGCACACTGGCTCTGGCTCTGCTCGCAGATCGCTAGTCTACCTTCCGAGTCCAAGCCAGCCTACGTCCACATGGTCGAGCCACGCTTCGACGAGGTGTTGGATGAAAGTGCGAAGATCAAATCATTGCCCTCAGAAAAGCCGTCGTTGGATGTGTTCCGACCGGTTCTGAAGGAGGGCGGAATCGCATTCTTGGTGAATGGAGCCTTCAATGCTGAGAACGTGGGACCGAAGATTCTCAATGACGGAGGGGATGCGGTGGCTTTCGGTCGATACTTCATCTCCAATCCTGATTTGCCGCGTCGCTTGAAAGAGGGACTCCCATTGACTCCGTATGATCGCTCCACCTTCTACGGGGCGGAACCCCCACAGAAGGGATACACTGACTATCCTTCCTACGAAAAGTAGATGGTCTGATGGTTTGTCGTCTACTTTCTATTAGTCGCTAGAACCTCAAACTTAAGGTGGTGGTTCCTGGGATTTAGCCACGATTTATTCGGATGATACGTTCGGACTTGAGTATATATTCTTGAGCGGTCTGGCAGTGGAAAGAGCATTACGTATTTCGATTTAACACTATTCAGAGACATACTCGAAGAAAAACAGATATACATTCAAGATAAAGCCACTAGAACCTTCATTGCGTCGTGTACCACCGCCCAGCGTACCGTGGCTAGTTGCTGTGCCATGGCGGCTGTAAGGGGTTTCGGATCGAACTTTCCCGACAGCGCCGCGAGCTCTGATTCACTAGGACAATTGGTCATTGTTACAATCAAGGAAGAGAGGTCCGTCGTCATGCGTTGGTCGGATGAAGACAAATCCATTCCCCGGTGGAAGACCCAACAGGTCAGTGTTGCCAGGTACAAACACCAAGGGAAGTGGAAAGCATCTGTCTGGTCCCAGTCATGAAGGCTGAGTACAGCATCTTGTAGCAAGGCCGCGGAGTGCCGCGTGGCAGCCAGTGATGACCCAGAGCTTCCATGAAGCCACTGCAGAATGGTATTATGAGACCGCGATTGATCCGCTGGCGTGACACCACGTCCAAGGATTTGGCTCGCACCTGCCACAATCTGCAGATCCAGAACCTCAACATTCAAGGCCAAACAACCCGCATGATATAGTGCATACGCGGCCATTTTGAGCCCTGTGAAGCGTCGTTGATCCGCCGTCTGAGCAAGTTTCATGGCGAGGCAATCCGCATCGAAATCAACTTTCCAGAGATCATACGAGCGAAGCATACGCGGAGTCCATGCTCCAACCTTGTCTGGGGTCTCCGATCGAAGCGTTGTCTGGTCCCGGCGCTTCAAGTCTGCCGAAACAGACATCAGCCCGTGGAGAACGACAGCGCGGGCGAAGACGTTCAGGTCGCGTGGACGAGACAGTGACTGGGGTGTTATGTACCCCTTCAGCACAGGAAGAAACCGCCGGCTGGTCTCGCGGGTTGCTAGACGCGCCCATTCCCGCGCAGACGAGGCCTCCCATGCGGCAGCGCTACACGGTAAGCAGGATCTGATCTCGAAGGCAGACATGCATAGGGACTGTGAGAAAAGGACGGCGTGCTGCGTATCCCACATAAAGCAAAGCATAGCCAGCCGCTTTCTTTGCTCAAGGTCCATGGCTTGTCGCCAACCTTGCTCTAGGTTTTCCGATTGAGCCAAATGAGAGGCGTCTTGGATGTTGCAACAGTTGCTGCGTCGAATGAGCTTGATAAGTACACAATGGAAGAGCTGAGCTTTTTCGCGCTGCTTGGGGCCTGCTCTCATCTTGCCAAAGCAGTCTATGAGCAACATTGTCTGTAAAACCCAGAGATCCGGTTGGGTTGAGAAGTCAGGGTGGCCCAGAAGTTGGATTCGAAGCTTGTCATGAACTCCGACCGCGAGTTGATGAGCTTGGCGGGTACTATACGTAGCGCCCATAAAGAGAATGGAGGCGAGGAAAATAGGGTCAACGGTGCTTGGATTGAATGTCGGCTGATGAACCAATGGGTACGTTGCATTGAACCGAGTGAAGAAGAGATCGCAGTAGTCTTGTAAAGCATTCAATGTGAGCAGTGGCGAGCTCAACGCCATCGGCTGCCCATCGATCCCTAGAGGATGAGTCTGGGCCACAATGGACAGAATACCGGCGCGTGCTTCTTCACTCAGGCGTGGCAAGAGCGGGGGCGGGTCAGCTCCCAAGTAAGAGGATCCAGACATCCATTCCATCTCCACGAGATCAGTGGATGGCAAGCTAGCTTGAGGGGTATGAAAAGGACCCCCGGTAGGTGGAACGCTTAATATTGGCGAAGGTTCACTGTACTTGCCGATGGCTGGATTATTGGCGGGCTCCAATCCATCAGCAAAGGGTACTGTGTCGAATCCGAGAGGGAAATCGAAATGGTGGAAAGCGTCATCGAGAGAGGCGACATCGAACAACCAATTGTAATTACAGGTTGCCGCAAAGGGTAGATTGAAGTCGGTCGCTACACAGGTCAGATGGCTTTTCGGAGCAATTCCACGGACAAACTTCATACCGGTATCCATGCCAAAGAAATCCCCCATCTCGCCCGGTCCAACGTTATATGACCCGTCTGCTGCATCAAATTGGCCAGGAACCGGCTCTACATAAGGCTCAAATGGGCCTCCTGTCATCATTGGTGCAATAAACGGATCATTCTCATCAATGGAAATCGAGGTCGGGTCGGTCCCGGAGCCGGGAGGAGACGGGGGAGCATGGTGAATCAAGTTCTCAGGTTCTTCAATCAGACCCTGATCAGAACTCGCGATCGATGTCGATGTCCTCGCGGCCGATCGAGTCTCTCGCTGCGATGGCCGTACCACAATTGAGCCGTCGCCAGCTCGTCGGGTGCGCTTGCGCGTCTTCAAGAGGCCCATCCCCGGTCCTCCTGCCTCTTCATCCCGTTTCTCATGGCGAAGTATGTGGCGCTCTAGATTAATTAGAAACATTCCGTTCCTCTCACGATTGGATCGGGAAAATGCCATCAATCCGCTTACCGAGTAAGTCTGGCCGCTGAAAATGTACAGAACAGCGCTCGCATGTAAAACCATGGCGCGGCTGTTCATGGTTCAGTGCATGTCGGCGCAGATGTTCAGCACGGGTAAAGCTTTTACTACAGCCTGGATACTGGCACACATGGGACTTCATTTTTTGGCTCATACATATTAAAGAGGATCAACTCCAGTATTCATCGAAGATCGAGTGATAGATGGGGTAATAAGCCAGGCGCCAATGGAGTAACGGCCGATATCACTGATAACGATTGCGGGGACTATTAAATAATTGGCCCTTGTCGCTGATAGCCCCGATACATGTCGCATGAGGACGAGCCAATGGGAAAATCATTTTACAGCGGAAACTTGGAGAATCGGGGTCAATACTCGCTGGGAAGAGCTCCGGACTCCAAGCACCCTGCAATTGTGTATGCACGTCCAAGGGTGCGTTTGACATGATGATGTGGATTCCTGCGCTGGATTTACTAATTTTATTTAGTTGTTAGAGGAAGTATCTCCAGTCAGGACTACTCTGTCTGTCTTTGAACTGGCTGGTATCGACCTGGTGCTCTCGCAGCCTCAGTCCCTGCGCTCTATCACGACGGTGATTTTCCATCCGCATCCACGACCCTAATCCCGCTACGAAAATAATGCAGACGACATTGCAGCAGCATGTCGCAACCAGCGTTGGGATGTACCTAGTGGCAATTAGACAAGCGTTGAACGTGAGACTTCTTGTGGCACTTACTTGGGTGCATATTGAGTTCGGAAAGTGGCTGCGCTCAAGATACCAGCCAAGTTACCCAATCCAACAAAAAGCCCAGAATTAGCCGCTCTGGCATTTTCATGGACTTCGTTGTTGTTGTGCCAGGCATGAACAAGACAAGAAGGAATATATGATCCTGCGGCCATCAAGAAACAGGCAAAATAGGCGATGGCCTTGTGATCCAGAACGTCTATGGCGGCGAGTATAACCATCCCGACCAAAGAAATCGTCAACGAAAAAATGATGTGGAAGGTCCTCTCGCGACAGAAATCGGACGACTTGGCAACACAGAGTAGCACCAAGGCGCCGACAAGGTTTGGTGCGACTGTCCACAAGTTGGTCTTCACAGTAGAGAAACCCAGGCGCCCAACAATCTGTGCAAGTTCTGGTCAGAAAATCCTTGTGTAGGAAGATACCACGCCAGATACCACGCCAGACGGAATAACGTACCAATGGGAAAAAGTTCATCGATGTCGCATATGCAACAGGGTAGGTAAAAGTGATGACGCACCACACGGGAAACTGCCAATTGTTCCAAGACCGAAAGCATTCTTTCAGGTTGAACCCTGTATCGACCTCGGATGAAGAATCGCGAAGCATCCGGGCTTTCGCTGCCTCCTTTTCCCTGTCGTTCAGGAACCAAGCGCTCTGGGCAGTGTGGGGCAATATGAAGAAGCCAACAATGCCAACGATGAATGTCATACCGCCTTCAATAATGAACAGCCATTGCCACCCCTTCACTGTCGAGCTATCTATTTGGAATACACCAAACGAGACGAGCCCACTAAACGCCGACGCGAGGACTGCAAATGACTGCATGATGGCGAGCCGAAACCCAATCTCCCCCGCGTGTATAGAAGGTCGTCATATAGAATGTTGCGCCCGCAAAAAACCCGGCTTCGAAAGCTCCTAGTATAATCCGGATGGAGAGAAGAGAGCCGAAGCTCTTGGCTGCGCATTGGCAGAGAGCAAGAATGCCCCAGACCACCGACACTGTGACTTCTTCATCAGCACTTTGGGGAAACGGTTTTAAGATCTTTGGTGTGAGGCGAACTGACTCGACGAGAGCATCACTCGACCAGAATAGCGTCTGATGAGAAGGTTCCATGGTAGATCGCATAGGCCGAAAGGGATGTAAAATAGTAAAATCAGCAGCGAGTAGTCATTCCCCTTGAAGTTCAAGTCGTCATCTAGGCCGTCTGTCTTCGCATTTGCCAAGTTGCTCTGCGCGCGTTAGTTCGGAAACCCCGAGTCACAATCGCCAGAGACCTACTCTATCCATGCAATCGAAGAAATACATCTGAGTTCGTCAGTAATAAGATTCATCTGGTCACCGAGATAATCTCTTCTCACCAAACAAAGTACGGGCAAAACCCAAAGGTCGACTTTCGCACGGTACGACCTTTCGGCCTCCTCATCGACATAGACAACACTCTCCCCCATGTCTACCGTAGCTGGGGACTTTTCGTTGGTCATTTCAGCTTCAAGTCAGAGTATTATATTGAGTCAGACGTTGTACTACTGGGGCTCGGTTTTTCGCGAATTACTGCCGATTCCACTATTTTTATAAACCCCTGCATACCATACGAAATAACCTGCTTTCACCTCTCTCCTCCTATGAACTGCCTCTGGTTTCTCTGGCTAGAAGTATCTTTACCTCTTTTGTCTCCAGTACCTATCAGCTGTCATCGAGATAAGAGCCCCTTGGCTCCAGCCCCGCCGGTCTTCCCCGCAGCTCGTCTTATCAGCGCGACAGGTGGAGTCGACTATCAACCCCCATCTTCGACCCGACCCCCACCCTATATATTCTGGTCTCCAAGCTGTCAGACACTTGCGCATAAAGATGAATGTCGGCATTCTATCCGACAAGCAGATATCATTGAGGAGACCGTTTGGATCGTTAGCGAGAAACTATTCAAATCAAAAGCATGCTGAAAGAATTGAAAGAACAAACAGAAGAATCCAAATCAGTGAATATCAGTATGGCTTCTCCCAATGCACCACCAATTTTGGACTTCTCTCCAGTATATGGAGATGACAGTCAAGCCAAAGCCAAGCTGGTCGAGGCAGTGCGCAACTGCTGCCACCACAACGGATTCTTCCAAATCACCGGCCATCGCGTGCCATCAGAGCTTCAACGACGTGTTATGAATTGTTCCAAGAGGTTCTTTGATCTACCGCTGGAGGAGAAACTCCAAATCGATAAAAGTAGGTCCTCCCCTGTTTGTACAGTCAATACATGCTGATCATGCAGATAATAATTCTTTTAACCGCGGCTATGAGCTTCTTCGATCGCAAATGCTCGAAGTAGGCACCGGCCCCGAACTCAAGGAAGGACTCTACATCGGGGAAGAGATCCCAACAGATCATCCCTACTACTTGCAGAAGAAACTCAATAGCGGGCCTAATCAATGGCCTCAAACCGTCTCTGATAAAGACGAATTCCAGAAGACAACAATGGAATACTACCATGCAGTCTTTGAGTTAGCGAAGGATGTCCTCTGCATACTGGCGCTGACCCTGGGGGTCGAGAGCAGCTTCTTTGATCCTCTGACTGATGGGGCGGTTGCCACAATGCGAATGCTACACTACCCAGCGCAGCCCAAGGATGAAGACGAAAGGCTTAACCGTGGAATTGGGGCCCATACAGACTTTGGAATGGTCACTTTACTATTACAAGACGAGGTAGACGGGCTGCAGGTCTTAGACGCCGCGACAGGACAGTGGATTGATGTAAGTCTTCTTTGAGTCTGCATCTCGTTATACGGGAGGGAAGGACGCTAACTCTACGTCTACAGGTCAAGCCCGTGCCAGGAGCATATGTTGTCAACTTGGGAGACCTGTTCATGCGCATGGCTAACGACAAGTATAAGTCGAATACCCACCGCGTGATCAACAAATCTGGCTTGGAGAGATATTCGATTCCATTTTTTTTTCAGTGGCAACCCGGACTATGTTTGCAGTTGCTTGCCCAACTGCCAGGAGCCAGGAGAGGCGGCCAAGTACCCCCCGATCACTGTGCAGGAGATGGTGACAGCATCTTACAAGGAGAGCTACGGTCGGGCGGAGAAGTACAAGAAGGAGTTTGAGATGAAGAAACAGGAGCAAGCCCCGGTCATGGCTGCTGTTCGTGCATAGCTTTGTCGGCACTGACCTCTACGATTTGGAGGCTAGAGTTTTGCGATCTTATCTATTGACGTGACTGAAATTGCATATTACTATAACGGGGTAAGGCCCCTATCTAAAAGCCGTCATCTTAGTGCACGAATGATCTTGGTCGAACAGAATAGAACATGTGAATTGGGTGACATGAGGCTCAGCTTATAGTACTTTGGGTGATCGCTCCAGCTTGAATCACTGGCAGCCCACGAACGGAAATTTGCTCGACATACCTTGCTAAGACCTCCCCACTATCATGAAATTCGTCACTCCCTAGCTCCAGCACTACAAAGTTCCTTCCGTAGATCTGTCGGACCAGACCAAGCGTCCTGTACAACTAAGGAAACCATACGTCCGGTCAATGCCCGTACAGTAATCCCGCTTATGGTTACCAATTGGACAAACTCTTAGGATAGGTTAGACTGCCACTTGGGTCAGACGGAAATTTCCCTCGCTGCCCCTCGGTGGCTGATCAGTTCCAGTTGCTCTGACATTCTTGAGCTTGGGCCAAGCATCATCCGCGTCGCCCTGGAATGCTCGAAATTCAAAAGTGGGGGAGCCAGACCATCATATCGCGTATTGCCCACCCTTGCTATCAACAAAGGCTGCCATAGGAGCTCTCGCCTCATTTGCTGGGAGCCCTTGAAACGAAAGTTAAGCCTTAACAGAAGATACCCGGGGAGTATATGAGGCGGCCTGGTCTATAGTGCACTGTATTAGATGTGCTAAAGGCCTTCAGTATACTACGATATTCCAATATGGATGAGATTCAATTGAGCAAGAAAATCGAACCTGCTTCTGAACAGGCGGTTGATGAGGGCATGGGGAAAGTGTTTTCTCTCGATAATCCCGAGGTCGAGCATTTCTATGGCTCATCAACCACTCACGCCTATCGTCTGAAGTCTGAGCTAGTGGGGAAATGCATGGAAGGCATTGGGATGGGAAAGTAGGTGATCTATCTCCGAGATAGTGGATGTCGCTGACCCAACAGGTTCCAATGGAAACTCTTTGTGGTGACTGGATTTGGCTGGATTGTAGACAACGTGCGTTGCCATACCCTAGCCCAATTCCTTTTACTGAGCTAATACCTATTCCAGTTTGCATCACAAGGAATTGGCAGCATGCAGCCTCCGATCGAGCTGGAGTTCTCCGATATCACGAAGGTCAGCTATAGCTCTGTTGCATATTACGTGGGCTTGATTCTAGGAGCCTCCTTCTGGGGAATTTCTAGCGACTTGATCGGTCGGAAACCCGCTTTCAACTGCACGCTCCTCATTGCAGGCATCTTCCTCAGTGCTTGTGCTGGTTCTATGAACTTCATTGCTTTCAGCGCATTTTGGGCTGTAATTGGCACTGCGGCGGGTGGAAATGTACCAGTCGACTCTATCATCTTTCTCGAATTTGTTCCTGGAAGGTGAGCTACTTCTCTGCCATCGAGATCGCAGGGACTAACATGATTCAGCCACCAATACTTGCTTACAGCTCTCTCGGCGTGGTGGAATCTAGGGCAACTTATCGTTTCACTGCTTGCGTGGGTATTTTTAGCCAACTTCAGCTGTCCAACAGACGCAACTGCCGCCACCTGTTCTCGGAGCGAAAATATGGGATGGTAAGATGCACCTTTCCTACATCACACAATATGCTCATCCCTTATTTTTTAGGCGATACACCATGATCACTCTCGGGGCCCTCACCCTGGCATTTACCTTCATCCGCATTTTTCTCTTCAAGCTCCCTGAGACACCACGGTACCTCCTCTCCCGTGGACGTGATGAAGATGCCGTCAGTGTCGTGAACTACGTTGCACGACAAAATGGCAAACCTGAGCCCCTTACAATAGAGATGCTGCGCGAGATTGACGTCCGGCTCGGTATGACGGCCAATGACGAGTCGCCGAAGAAACTATCAACCAAAGAGATCGTCTCCGAGAATATGGAAGCCTTCCGAGGTGACCATTTCCGGGCCCTTTTTGCGACGCGGAAGCTTGGTCAACATACCCTCATTACCTGGGCTATTTGGCTCACTGTTGGTGAGTCCTGCTCGAAGAAAGGTCCAAGCAACGACAGCCCGAGTACTCATATTTCCATGCAGGCATTGCATACCCACTCTATTTCAATTTTCTTCCGTCCTATTTAGCCAAGAAATTCACTTCAGACTCTTCTCTATACACCACATACCGCAACTACTGCATTGAATCCGCCGTTGGAATTGTTGGCCCGTTAACTGCCGCCATCTCAGTCAACACTCGCCTCGGTCGACGATGGATGATGGGTCTCTCCGCAGTGGTGACGGCCGTATTCCTGTTTGCCTATGTTGGTGTGACCAACCCGACCTCCAGCCTGGCCTTCTCGTGTATAACGGGTTTGCTCGCAAATTTTGGTATTTGCCCCTTCCATAATTGGCTCTCATTCCCATTCTAACAGGATTTTAGAATATGCCATCATGTACGCATTTACGCCTGAGTCATTCCCTGCCCCTCACCGTGGAACTGGCACCGGCACTGCCGCTACGCTACTCCGATTTGGAGGTCTTGTTGCTAGCTTGATCTCATCCCAGACTGGGTTTACGAGCGCGCCTATTTATGCCAGCGCTGCTTTGTGGGTGCTCGTGGGGGTGTCTTGTCTCGGACTGCCGTTCGAGACTCATGGACATGACGCTATCTAAAGAGTTATCACAGATCCTTACGTATTTAGTCGTTAGCTGTTAGTTGCTTGTGCAAGTACCTCAATGAATTGGAAATTTGCATATGCCTATAGCAGAGCCTAGCGTTCAGTGTCATACAGAGTGCAGAGGCACACTAGTATCCACTTGAGAGCTCTATGCCCTCCATTTCATCAAAAGTGGGGGTCGAAAACATACCGCTTCATAGCAGCGGCTACTAGTATCAGATAAAAACCGGTAAGGGCTTTATCGAAGTTCAAATTGGAGCCCTTTCTCCTTTCTCACCTTACCCAAGTCACACTTACATTGGCCCCCATTCGAATCGCTCCAAGCTATGAGTAAGGTCTTCAAAGCTAGCGAAGGTAATTATCAAGTTCTTAAACCCCGAATTGATATTCCTAACAGTACAAGTTGCCCAGCACAACACTGAATCCAGCTGTTGGGTCATTCTACACGGCAAAGTCTACGATGTAAGCTTCCTCCTCCAGGCCATAAAAGCTCAAACCATCAACCTAATATGAAGCAAGGTAACGCATATTGTCCCAACCCACCCAGGCGGTGCCCAAGCTATCCTCCGGGCATCTGGAACAGACGCAACCGAAGAATTTGATCCCATCCATCCCCCAGAAACTCTCAGCACCCTTGCAGCATCTCAGCTAGGGACCATCGAGCCCACTAGTAGCTTATCACAACCAGAAAATCCCCCTGTAGTCAAAACCGGCAGGTCTCAATGCAGAACCTCCTCAATCTCCATGAAATCGAAGAAGCCGCCACAAAAGTCATCTCCAAAAAAGCATGGGCCTATTACTACTCCGCTGCAGACGACCAGATCTCCAAATCTTTTAACAACACAATCTACCGCTCAATTTTCTTTCGTCCCCGTGTCTTTGTCGACTGTTCTATTTGTAATATGGAAACAAGCCTCCTTGGCCACAACGTCAAGCTACCCATCTTCGTATCCCCCGCTGCAATGGCCCGACTGGGCCATCCGAGCGGCGAGGCGGGGATAGCTGAGGCTTGCGACAGGATGGGCGTTGCACAGATCATCTCGAATAGCGCCTCCTTGTCTCCCGAACAGATTGTCGCGAAAGCGTCCCCCGGGCAAGTTTTTGGCTGGCAGTTATATGTCCAGCGCGATCTGAAGATGAGCGAGGCGATGCTGGAGCGAGTAAATTCATTAGACCCCATCAAGTTCATTGTTCTTACGGTCGATGCGCCTGTTCCTGGGAAAAGAGAGGACGATGAGCGGGTGAATAATATTGGCCGGATGGCTGGGGGCGGAGGCAGTGTTGCAACGCAATTGTTTGCAGGGACAGATCCGAGTATTTCATGGGATAAGACGCTGCGATGGCTGTCGGAGCATACGAAGAAGCCCATTGTTGTGAAGGGACTTCAAACACACGAGGACGTTGTTGTTGCGGGAAGTTATGCGCCGCTTGTGCGGGGGGTGGTCTTGTCAAATCATGGGGGGCGGTCGTTGGATACGGCCCCGCCGGCGGTGCATACATTGTTAGAAGTAAGGAGATATTGTCCGGAGATGTTTGAGAGAATCGATATCTGGGTCGATGGAGGGATTCGACGGGGAACGAATGCGATCAAGGCCCTTTGCCTTGGTGCTAAGGCCGTGGGGATTGGAAGACCGGTTCTCTGGGGACTTGGGGCTGGGGGAGTGAAGGGTGTTGAAAGAACCCTTCAAAGTGAGTTTTTCCCGACTGGAATTCCTCTAGGGCTGGATTCGGTGCTGATATCATGCAGTTCTGGGGAATGAGATGGCAACCTGCATGCGGCTTCTTGGAGTCAAGTCGGTTCAAGATTTGGGGCCACAATATGTAAGTCTCCGTGCTGTTTCCTAATCTATGCTAATGGTGTGTAGGTCAATACCAGGATTGTTGAACAGCAGATCTATCATGGCTCCTCCGGCTCTAGTTTAGAACCTCGAAGTGATTTCGTCGTCCAAGGCAAGCTTTGATTGTTAGTATTATGTTGGAGAAACTAGACTCAAGTCCTCTAACATCCTACTATGGAAATCAATAGTTATAAATTTAGTACTATTTCATTAGAAATAAATCTCCTAACCTGAATCATGATCTAAGTCAATTCGTAATTGACTTCATCCCTCGGTATTTTTCCTAAAATCTACCATCCGTTCTCTGACTTGAATGAATCTCATACAGCAAGGATATTGAGTTTATCCAAACATCCTTCAGTCTTTCCCATTATTCCTCCTTAGAGACACAGTCTGGTCAATCAAGTTTCAGTCATCTAACCCTCTAGCGTGTCGTTTCCATAGTCCTATCACGATCCGCCCACACTGTACGCTATTATGCACTTACCATATATTGAGACTATCGTCTTATCCCAGTATCATTACCATTGATCTTTGATCTATTGATATTACAGTACTACTATTATTGCTTATTTGTATACTTTTGATTAACTATACAATCAATGGACAATCTGAGAGTCCAACAAAGCATCACCAACCGGCGCCTTGGCGCTAGCATGAAACCTTGTCCAATATACAGCACTATTATCACTCAGCCCATACAGCGAAAGCATATCTTGGAACGATTTGAAGGGCCCTCATCTAGCAGACCCAAAGAATAACACATAGTCTAATATTCATGTCCTAGAGGGAAGAACATCAAAGCAATGCAAGGTCAATGGCAAGCGGGATGCCCCCACTCTTGATACCAACACCCCAATAACGGGGAAAGCCCGTGTCGATAGCAACAGGTCCAACCCCTCATTAGCCTCCACAGCTTCCCCAACTCGCTTATTTTAATGCAAATCATTCTACGGTCCTCATACAGCCCCTCCCATCAACTTTAAGCTGTACTCTTGCTCCGGCCGTGGTCATTACCAATACATATCCCATACTACTAGCTTGCACCTCAAGCTTAAAACCCCTCTATTCCATGGGCAAAAAGCGCGTTTTGGTCGGCTACGGCGTCGACATTGACGCCGTCTCTGGCTGGCTAGGTTCCTACGGCGGCGAAGACAGCGTCAATGACATCAGTCGCGGTAAGTCAGCCTTGGACGGCTGCAACCGAACCCGCTGGCAGCTTCCGTATACTGACGTGTCTCAGGGCTCTGGGCTGGCCACATTGGCACAACCCGTCTTCTCAAGCTTTTCGAAAAATATAAGATCAAAACTACCTGGTTCATTCCCGGCCACAGTCTCGAAACCTTCCCCGAAGAATGCGCCCAGGTCCGAGACGCGGGGCACGAGATCGGACTCCATGGATACACGCATGAGAATCCAAGCCGTATGAGTCCGGAGCAACAGCGCGATATCCTTGATAAGACCTACAAGCTGCTCAGTGATTTCTGCGGCAAGCCCCCGCGTGGAATCGTCGCGCCATGGTGGGAAGCATCTGCGGAGATGGTTGATCAATTACTGGACTATGGCATTGAGTACGACCACTCCATGTCGCATGAGGATTGTCAAATGTACTGGCTGAGAACTGGGGATTCATGGACCAAAATTGACTACAGCAAGAAAGCGGAGACCTGGATGAAGCCTCTCGTACGAGGGGAGACCACCGGGTTGGTGGAGATTCCGGGCAATTGGTATCTGGACGACTTGCCGCCCATGATGTTTATCAAAAACTCAGCGAACAGCCATGGATGGGTTAATCCGAGAGATGTTGAGGATATTTGGAAGGTGAGACCATCGTGACATTGTCTATGATTTCTGTGTCGCATGTGCTCTTGTGAGACCGTGATTGCTCAACTCCTTATTCCAGGACCATTTCGACTATTTCTATCGGGAATACGACGAGTTCGTTTTCCCGATGACAATTCATCCGGATGTATCTGGCCGTCCTCATGTTTTGCTAATGCACGAGAGGTAAGCTTGAGAAGAGATCAAGCAAGGATTCAATACTGATAGCCTTAGGATCATTGAATATATCAACAAGCACGAGGGGGTGGAATGGGTGACCTTCGAGCAGATGTGCGATGAGTTTAAGAAGAAGAACCAGCCGCCTGCAGGAGCTCGAATGCCCGCTGTGCCTAGCAGCTCTAAAAATTGAGCTCGATCTTGACTTATTCACCATGAATACAATGTATCTCAATTGTCGAATCCATGGCCCGATGGCCTCCTATGGCTCATGTTTGTTCCATTGATGTGCTAGAATCAACTGAAATCGAATCGGAGGCATCCTCGTAATTGTGGCGTGACATTCGAACCCCGCCAAGCATCGCCTATCGAGTCTATAGATCGTCGGGCAGCAACGGCATCAGCAATCACTTTTCGAGAATCTTGCGGAGGAAATTCTATTCAGACATCCGTGGATTGTTCCCTCGATGTTAATGTAGCTAGGATAGCCAGGAGTACGCATAATCATCACACTTTAGAGGTCCTCGAGACGACTTTCCATATTAGTTCCAGTGATCTGCTGTTTCATCTTGATTCAGGGCAACCCCGCACATCCGATTCAAGCATTTACCCGACCATCAGCGATCGACAGGGCGATCCATGCCGTTACAGAATACCCTGGCTCTCCCCATTCAAATAACGGGCTGGAAGACGCCCTATCGGCATCGGGCCTGTTCTAAGGCCTCCAAGCCGTGGAGGGTTTCCGAGACCCCGCATTTTTGCAGTTGCATTGCTATCGATCCAATCTCATGGGCCGGCCGAATCCACGAGACACTCGTATTGGATGGACGTGTCGGAGATGCTGTGCCATACAGTCCCCGTGCGAAGATACGGTCTGGCTGGATTTTAAACCCTCGACGTCGGCGTTGGCAACTTTAGATTCCCGGGAAATCAACTCCTCGCTCTTATCTTTGCTCTTAGACACAGCCTGACATTGTCATACCCTTCTCGGATATACTATATACCTGTCAACAGGTTGCAATCCATTGACATTGTGGGATTCTGTGAAAGTACACCCCGAAACTGCCCGACTACATCGCTTATACCCTCGCCGGCTTCACGTGTCGGTGCACACGACCTGCAGCGATGGCGCCGCTATGGATACTCGTCGCTCTCGGATACCTGCTTCTGTATGCGTTCGCTTCACAGCCGCAATACATGGCCCTTCAAGTCGCAACTCGAATAACTGCGTGATGTCTGTTCGACATTACTCCGATCCTTTTATAAATCGAGGTTTATAAATCGAGGTCCGACCGCCACACGTCGGATGAATTGATATACTTTGAAGAGGTCTCCGCTTGCAATCACTCCGCAATGAAGCCCGCGCTGCGACCCCGCTGTCCTATCTGAGCATCATAACCTCCTCTTACGATTAACTCTGTTACGAATTACGACTGCCAGTGTTCTATGAAACCCAAAATCCTGCGACAATGCTCAAACGGCCTAGTGCTTTCTGTTGTCGGGTACACTTTCTGATGATTTATGATGATGATTTGATACCTCTAGGCCCATGGGTAGGCCTCATATACGCTCTTAGTCTTTTATCGGGAGGATATTGACGAATTAGAAGTCTCTCATTTTTGGTCCAAGTGCTCGGAGACTCGAGCATGATCTTTCGCAGTTTCGTAATGGTCAATCGTCATAGAGAATCTAGCAATAGCTCGTGCCCTTTTGAGCTTGCCGTAGTATGGAGGATGGTGGTATAGGTTGGCCAAAAGCGAAGGGGTGGGACTGTCCAGCACAAACTTGGTCTAGAACCAGATTTTGATCAGCTCCTCACTCACTGCACTTGGCGTCAAGACACCGCTGTCAGTGATAAGAGCTGAAATAAGGTGTGGAGGAGTAAAGTCCACAGAATCGCAGAGTGGCAGCACCGGCCGATCTGATGAAGGCTTATGTTGATTTTCTTCTGCGATATCCTCCTCGCTCTTGAAGTCGATGACGTGCTGCTCAATAGGCAGGTCATATTGGCCAAGAGGATAAAGCCGAACAAATTTGTGACTCTCAGCAACGACATAGAACGGCTTGCCAATGGCCTTGGCGAGAAGACCAATCTGATATGTGCCCATCCGCGAAACAATACCTCCATTCTCCACGACGCCTTCCGCACCTACAATTACCATATCTGTCTTTCCGAGTGCGTACGCGACAGCTGACTCTGGGATCGTGGATACCGGTACCCCTTTGGCCCTCAAAGCTCGCACCGTTTCTATACCTTCTGGTTCGCCAGACGCCTCCGCGGGGTTATTGCTCGTTGATGACAACACGTAAATGACACGGAATCGCACCGCGGATGGACCTCCTTCTTCGTCGGCTGCTTTCTGTAGGAGCGACGCGACTGCACGAGAACCACCATTGGTAAGCACTGTGCAGCCATCGCGGATGAAGCCTCGGCCGAATGCGACGATCTTTTCACGGCTTTCCTTCGCACGTCGGATAAATAGTCGTCCATTGGAGAGGAGATGTGTTCGAATAGCTTTGAAGTCACCGGCAGGACCAAGCTGTCCGGGTCGTTGTAAGGTTGTGATAAGGTATCGTTGGAAAAGATCGGTCCCGGCAGAAAGACCGATAGGGTTCGGAATGGCTTTTTTCAAATGGTCGGTAGATTTTGCAAGGAGATCGAGGGTTTCTGAGATCGTGGAGGAAGGCTCATGGGTGAGAAGAAGCACGAGGGCCTCAATAGCCGCAATGGGCATGGTTAAGTCAGGATCGGTGCGCAAGAGCTCATTGTAGGCTGCGACGATGCTGTGATGGTCATTAGCTACGGGCAGACCAGAGCCGGGGACCCGATACTCACTCGAATGGCTTCGCACCGGTCTCAGCCAAGCTTTCAGTCGACGCCATGATTTCTTGTGCCTTGAGGCTGAAAAGAGCAACCACGAAGAGTCATTGAATTCTTTGGGTGTTTGTTCTGTTTGTCTCAAGTACCCCTTCCGCGCGGCGCTAACCTGATGCGGATGTCAGTGCGGGCTCGCTGGGCCAAGTAAACAAATCGAACCCCCAATCAGTCGTTATCATAACAACACCTCGGCCCAAAGCCCTCATCCATTCTACACCTTGCCACACCTGTTCCCGACTGGTCAGGAGCCCGTGACATTTGCGCCGTGACGGCATGGCGTACAATCACCGCATGAGCATGGCTGGCTCCCAGCAACAAAACCGGGGCCGCAAAAAGGAAGACGATAATGATGCGCTGATGCGCCTGGTACGTTGATCAAGCTCGAGGTCCTCCTCGCGGCTGCGCAATTGTATTTTAACACCGCCGTAGCCCGACAAAGAGATTGCAGGATGCATCAACGACATTGGAATCCCCTTTAGCCCTGCCGATCTTGCCAAACCGAACCCGCAGCAAATTCAGATGGTCTTCGAGTGGTTCGCGGAGCTTCTCATGAATGTCACCCGCGAGACCGTCGAGCCAGGAATGCACGCAGCTGCAGAAGACATCTGTGGCGACTATCCTGACATCGTCCCTAACGATACGCGCAACTTGATGGGATTCTTTATAAGTATCCGACGGCTACTTTCAGAGGTGAGCCATATGTTTTAAGCATCACGTCGCGCGCTCTAAAGTGAAAAGGAGAGCCTTTGCTCATATTTTATCAATAGTGCGGCGTCAATGACTTCACGTTCACCGATATGACCAAACCGACCCACGACCGACTCGTCAAGATCTTCTCGTACCTAATCAACTTTGTCCGCTTCCGCGAATCGCAGACCCAAGTGATCGACGAACATTTCAACAAGACGGAGAAAACTAAGACGCGAATCGAGGAGCTTATGGCCGAGAACCAGGAGATGCAACAACGGCTGGCCGAGATGCGGCGAGAACAGCAAATAAATGAGGTTCAGGTTCGAGAGAAAGTCACTCGGAATGATGAGCTCAAGGCTCGATTATTGGAATTGGGCCGAGAGCAGTCACGAGTGGCAGAAACGCTGGACCGGGTGAAGACTGAACGAGCGCGACGCCAACAACAATTGGAAGAAAAGACCGAGAGGACTGTCCGGAACCGACAGGAAGCGGAGAAACTGCGACCGTACACCCTGGAATCACCAGCGACCCTGCAATCCTCATTAACCGAACTGGGCGAAAATCTCATGCGCGAGAAAGCGCATATTGACGCTATGGAGAAACGGGCTCGGGCGCTACAGACTTCGTCCGACACGTTTACAGTAGTCTCCAACGAAGTCCAGGCATGCGTTAAGCTGCTGGATGATATCTCTACCGAGCTACAAAAAGAAGAGGAAGAACAGTCCCGTGCCTCTCGTAATAGGGAGGCCATTTCTGATCGCGGGGCCAGTGTCCGCGAGGTTGAGCAAACAGAGAAACTCCTGCAGCGGCAATTAGCCCGTTGGAATGAGCGGATCGAACACCTTCGCAAGAATGCACAGGAGAAAGCCGAGCTGGCGCAAGCGCGGATGGAAGAACTTCGCAATGTACAAAAGCAATTGCGTGAAGAACGTGCTGAGAAGCAGCGCGATATGGAGCGGCGACGGATTCGCATCGAGCAAACAGAGAAGAAGGTATGTTTCCCCTAGAGTTATATTGCCAACCATTCCCTGCTGATCAAAAGAATCAGATGGTCGATCTCAAGGAGAATATCGAAGCGGAAATCCAAGCAGCACATGACCAGTACCTCAAGCTGGAGTCACACATTAAGCTGTACATTAGAGAGATGGAGAAATCACTCGGAGATAGTAGGATCTGACATGGCTTTCTGTATGGTTCTGGAGTTCAAGGATCGGCTCAGGATACCCGGGCAATACTGTTTCGTTTCACGGAGTTTATCGATATGCTTGTCCAATTTACAGCCTCAATTCGTATCATGATCCGTTCATGATTCCATTGCTTGCTCAAATGTAAACCAGCGCTGGGCCACCTTTTTAACGCCTATTCCTCGCCCACCCCAGTTTCCTTCTTCGCCCCGGATACGCACCGAACCGTCCAACAAAGGCACTTCAGTATCCCATAGTAGTGGTCCCCATTCAGCGCTAGAAGGGTTGACAGCATTGGTGCACTCAAAGAGGACCAGATCCATCCCCGCCCGTGCAGCTGCTTCAACCGCCGAAGCAAACGTTCTCGATAAACCTTGTGCTGCGAACTCGGAGGTGGGCACATGTAAAGCGACGAGGTCTAAGATAGCAAGCAGAGGTAACGGTCCGCTATCTTGCGCTTCAATGTCCCGAGGCAGAATGGCTAGATATGCCCTCAGTATCTCTAGGGAAGGGCAGAACGTAAGACGAATCCTGCTCGACTTCGCGAGCAAGCCGATGGTCTTTGTCAACAAGTCATTGGGGACTGGGGGTTCGGCATCTGCTCGCTGAGTGCTAATAGCAGCAGAAAGCTGGACTAAGAACTCGGATCTTGTACCGCAGACAATGAGATTGGTTGTGGTACCTGCTTCGAGTAGGCGCTGTAATAGATCGGTCACCAGGTTGCAGGCTGCAACTGTTCGTGATGGGGTCATTTTGGCTCCAGCAGCTAACTAGGCTATATGCTTCTGTAGATCAGCTCATGGCTGTGGCTCGTGAATGCAGTGTTGGTTGATGGTCATTATTTAGATGGTGGCTATGGGATATGCTGAGCCGTTGGAGAAGATCAATTGAGCATTTGACCGCATTCATAAGCCGCGGAGGTCATGCTCCTCCTCCGCCTTGGTTCCCCCCACCTCTCCTCCAATTCCGACAATCCGCCCATCCAATTCTCGCATGTTTGGGGCTGGGCTCCTCAGACACGAGAAACGCAATGGAGACAGTTTCTAGGATATCCTCGATGCTGGAAACAGGTAAGCTTTCCTTTTACCCCGCCAGGCAGCACGGAAACTGACCGCGTCCTTGTGCGCATAGCTCGAGAACTCACCCTGGAAGCCGCCCAATCCGCAAGTAGCCGGGGCTTGAAACCCGATTACTCGTCTCGATCGTATACACCGGCACATATCAAGAACCTTCTCGATAGCAGACATGACAAAGAAGTTCTGGACGGATTGCGGAGGGTCATCACGGTACGAAGGGCTCCCCTGCGGAATGATACAACAGGATTGTTTGGCTAACTGAATGACTTCCGAGCAGCTAATGTATCGATCTGAGCCAACTCTCACATTCTTCTCTGCCGTCGTCAAAAAGGTGGCCAGTTCAAACATCGAAGTCAAGAAGCTCGTCTATATCTACCTTGTGCACCATGCGGAAGCCGAACCGGAACTGGCATTGCTCTCGATCAATGCTATCCAGAAGTCATTGACTGATCAGAATCCTTTGGTCAGAAGCATGGCTTTGCGAACAATGTCCGGTATTCGTGTACCTGTCATCAGTCAGATTGTGTCGCTTGCTATAAAGCGTGGCTGCGGTGACATGAGTCCGCATGTTCGCAAGGCGGCGGCGCTGGCGATCCCGAAGTGCTATCGGCTTGACCCTGGTACGCTTCCACAACTGGTTGGATATATCGCCATATTGCTGGGGGATGCTCAGTATTTCGTGGTTGGTCCCGCAGTTGCAGCTTTCCTGGAGGTTTGCCCTGGAGAACTTGACATGGTTCACAAGCATTACCGGAGTCTAGTCAAGAAACTGGTCGACATGGACGAATGGAGCCAGCTTGCGACACTTCGTCTCTTGACAACATACGCACGAAAGTGCTTTCCCCGACGTACTGAAAAGGTCAAACAGACGGTCGATAAGGGATTTTACGATGATCCACCGGAGAACCAAGCAGCGGAAGACGACAGCGCGGAGGAAGTTACCGTTCTGGACCCCGATCTTGAGCTTCTTCTTCGGGCCTGCAAATTGCTCTTACAAAACCGAAACTCTGCTATGATCGTCAGCATTGTACGGTGCTTTTTTTACTTGGCACCGCCCGAGTACCTCGCATCAGCTATAGGTCCTCTCGTTGCTCTCCTCCGAAGCCCGCAAGATATACAGCTTATTGCTCTCTATAATATCGTCACAGTCGCTTTGAAAGACCCCAAGCCCTTCACAAGATACGCAGCACATTTTCTCATTCATGCCAATGATCCGCCCCACATCTGGCGACTAAAATTGGAAGTTTTGACAATCATATTCCCATACTGTGGAAAGCATTGGAAAGGCGTTATCATCAGCGAACTCGAGCATTTTTCGAAAGGGGCTGACTCTGACCTAGTTAGAGAAAGCGTGCGGGCGATTGGAAGGTGTGCGCAGAGCGACGCCGACACCGCGGACATGTGTTTGCGGATCTTGCTTGGCCAGATCTCGAGTTTAGATGGGAACCTTGTTTCAGAGTCCTTGACTGTGATCAGGCATTTGATTCAACAAGACTCAGCTTCACATAAAACAACAGTCATGAAACTTGTTACCTACCTGGGCAGCACCACCAATCCGGACGCACGCGCGACGATAATTTGGCTCGTAGGCGAGTTTGCGGGCATAGACCCAGACAACAACATCGCTCCCGACGTACTCCGCGTCCTGATCCAAACCTTTGCTGATGAACCGGAGACCGTTAAACAGCAGATTGTGCTCCTGGGCGCAAAGGTTTACCTTCAACATCTGTTGAAAAATCAACCGGAAGAAATTGCCCAAGTCAACACATTTCCCACTTCCGAGAATGCAAGCAATATTGAACAAGAGCTCCGCAATGAATGGACAGATGATCAAGAGCAGCAAGATCGATCTCAGCAGCCGGATGGCGAAGCAGCGATCAAGGAAGGAGAGGACCGCATAACCCTACTCTGGCGCTACATCCTGCTTCTAGCGCGTTACGACACATCTTATGATCTTCGTGATCGTGCCCGCCTCTACAAATCACTCCTTGCCTCTCCATCCTCCACCCAACTCGCCAATCTCCTCCTCCTCGCCCCAAAGCCCGTCCCACATGTACCTAGTCCCTCGGAGACCAGGAAGGATCTCCTTATCGGAACATCGACTCTCGTGGTTGGTGCTGATGCTGGCTATCATGGACTCCGCGGCTACACAAGCCTACCAGATTGGGTAGAACTGGGACAAGAGCCAGACCCCAGTCTCCGCACTGAAGACGTGAAGCCCGAGGTCACCACTATGCAGACTTCCGCTACTGCCGGTGAGAAACTGGATAAGGCACTTCGCGATTACCAGAACAACGCCCCTCCGCAGCGTCGGAAGGGTCCAGTTGCCCCGGGGGACAGTGCAGGCAAAAAGACCCTGGATCAATGGCTTGCCGAAGAGGAAGAGGAGAGCGAAGAAGTAACCGATTCTGAAGAAGAATCCGGGTCCGAGGAAGAGAGCTCTTCAGAAGAAGGCTCTGATGAAAGTGACGAGGAAGACGAGGAAGAGGAAGACGAAAGTGAGGAAGAGACTGACTCTGAAGATGAAACTCCCCACAGAGAAGCTAAGCAGCTTCTAGGCTGAGCTGGTTCTGCGTGGATACGAGTATCTTCCATGCTGATAATATACTAGTAGCATTCAATGAAATATAGAGAAAGACATTCTAAACCATCTGCTGCTCCTTTAGAGACTGAGTCCTTGTCGTCTTTGAGAAATTTGGTTCTGACACGCAAGCTGGTAAATAAGATGAAAAATAGTAAGGCAATCCGCAAATGGGGTGCTAAAGACCAAACAGCCCAGCTAATCATAGAGTGATCCATACTACGAGAAGTGACAGACGGCACTGGGAGCACCGCGAATTGCCTAGTCCTCCAACACCGAATATCCTCACATGTTCAAAAGCTGCAAATCCGGAGATCATTGACAGTCTAATCCTAATGTGAAATATGTTATAACTAACTAGTTACTCCGGGTCTTGTGACCAAGACGAGGCCAAAGCGGTGAGTCCTCCGCGGCAATAACGAACTCGAATCATCCCTCTCTGGTTCCAGTTCCAGCAACTCGTTGCAAAGCTGAGTTGCCGGGCCAGGATGCCTGCTGGACACCGAGTCTTCATCAATCTCTTTCGCTGAATAACCCTCATCCATATCTCTCCCGCCAGGCCTCTGTGTGGAGCTCCCGGCCCCCTCACGAATCCCGCGGGCAGCTTACCACACTATAATCAACCAGGAATCCCACTCCTCTGTTGAGTCATCGCGTGCGTCCTTTCACAATGCCTGGTCTCCCCAGTAAGTGCCCCGCATCCATGGGTGCATGTGTCACCAGTCACCAGCCCCCGTGCCGCTGTGTCTGATGCTGATAGTTCGATTTGCATAGGAAGCATCGACCTCGATGAGTGCATTGAACGGCTCTACCGGAAGGAGCTGCTTGCGGAGCCAGTTATCGAGGCTATCTGTGCGAAAACAAAGGAGCTGCTGATGAAGGAAAGCAATGTGGTCCATATTAAGGCACCGGTCACCGTGGTAGGCGACATTCATGGCCAATTCTTTGATTTACTTGAGATCTTTCGCATTGGGGGTTTCTGCCCGGACACCAATTACCTATTTCTCGGTGAGTGTCTGCTTGAATTCCCTGGATTTCCAGACTCTTGGACTTCCCTTCCACGTCTATGAGGTGGGGCAGGCACCGTCAGAAGTATGGAGTACTTCGGAGAGGACCTTATCTGACTCGTTTTCCTGCAGGCGACTACGTCGACCGTGGTCTCTTCAGCGTGGAAACAATCTCCCTTCTCGTCTGCCTTAAGCTTCGCTACCCCCAGCGAGTCCACCTAATCCGCGGTAACCACGAGTCCCGCGGTGTCACCCAGTCGTACGGTTTTTATACCGAGTGTGCCCGCAAGTACGGCAATGCCAATGTCTGGCACTACTTCACCGATATGTTCGACTACCTCACACTAAGCGTCGTGATCAACGACGAGATCTTTTGCGTACACGGTGGTCTATCTCCCTCCATCCACTCTCTCGACCAGATCAAGATCATTGACCGATACCGGGAGATCCCACATGAAGGGCCAATGGCCGATCTCGTGTGGTCAGACCCGGACCCGGAGCGCGACGAATTCTCCCTTTCGCCTCGCGGGGCGGGCTATACCTTTGGTGCGCAAGTGGTGCGCAAGTTTTTGGAGGTGAATAGTATGTCTCACATCCTGCGGGCGCACCAGCTTTGCAACGAGGGTTACCAGATTCTCTTCGATGACAGGCTAAGTACAGTCTGGAGTGCGCCTAACTACTGTTATCGCTGTGGTAATCTAGCAAGTGTGCTAGAGGTCAGCGATAACATGGAACGGTTCTTTAACATCTTCGACGCGGCCCCCGAGAACGACGTGCATAGAAGCGAGCAGCAGGCACAGCAGAACAGGGACTCGCAGCCTGTGATTGATTATTTCTTGTGATACCCCCCCAGGTTGTTTATTTCAATCTTTTCCTTCATTTCCGATGTCTTGACCATCTTTGGTTCCCTTCCTGGCGGGGCCTCTGTGATTTACCTATGCAGGATGCAGGAACTGGGTGCTCCAGAGAAAAACGAACTGTTACAGGCGGGTTTGTATTTTTGAGATAGAGACATGACATCGAATGGCATCAACATAGCAAGACGTCAAAAAGACATCAAGCAAAATCATGGATATCCACTGTAGTCCCGTGAGATTTAGACCAGACTTTCGACAGAGAGAAAACACTATGCAGTAAACCGATCCAGATTCGAGCCGTGTGTACAGGCTTTTCGGGAGAGGGGGGGAGGCATTAAGGAAATTCGTCACGCTTGAAAGAGAAACATGGGACCGCTGGGAAAGCTCAATCGCTGCACGCTGGATGGGTATCGTGATCTACCAGTCCTTGGCGATGTCGAAAGACCATTCAAAAATCAAGTGGTCGTGGTCGTCGTCATCGAGAAAGCGCGAGACGGCATTGTAGTGACCGCGGGCCAACATACCGGAGGGAGCCTCTTCCTCATTGACTGGAGTAGAACAATCAGTATACATACACCTCTGAACGTAACCATTGCCCTAGGAGGGACAATTCGGCATGGGCAGCCGCGAAACTTACACTCCTTCTCGTAGATGGGCTTCTGGGTGGTGTTGGGGGCAAAGCTACCCAGCATCTCCTCGTCCTTGCTCACGCGGATACCCTTGCGCTTGACAACCTGCAAATACTTGAGGCCGCTGAGGATCTCGTTATTGACCTGGAACAGAACCTTGATGTGGAACTTAGCACCCTCCTTGATGGTGAACGGCTTGTCCTTGAGGGTCTCGACGGCGCCGGCGGAGGACAGGTCGATCGTAACGTCGGGACGACCGTCAACGACGAGGGACAGCGACTTGATGACACAGTTAGGGTCGCCGGGCTTGCCGATGGGCTCGCCCTGGTTCAGACCCAGAGAGGCCTTCCAGCGGACCATAGCCTCATCGTCGGCATCTGTTTACAAGACATGTTCATGTTAGACCGGGGTGGTTGGGTTGGCGGGGAAGGGGGGGGAAATGTATGGCAGGAATTGTAGCGGGTTCTGCTTGATCTGATTGACAGATAATTGACAGACTCCAATCCCGGTGGAACAACTTACCAAGCTTGTTGTACTCATCGAGCTTCTTCTTCTCGCCGACCTTGAAACCCTCGGTCCGGGTGGCTGCGAGATCGTCGTGGTCGGCCATGTTGATTTGGAGGGGGTGGGATGGGGATATGAGAGGCAATGGGACACGCGATAGGACCGGAAGAGGGAGATGGAGGGGAGAAAGAGAAACAGTGGAGGGGCTGAATAAAAAGGGGGCGAGAGATACTAGTAGGTCCTTATCCCACCTGGTGGGGTGGAAAGGCGGTGGGCAGGAGAGGGGGGGAGGTTATTCGGATCCATGGCTGCGGGTCTTTGCTCTATTTTCAATCCGTCAGGAGATCCAGCAGATCCAACCGCCCCAAGTCGATCCATGGCTGCGACCGGGCTCCATGCATGCTTAATTTTGGGGCCTTGCAGTGTTCAATGCAATTCGGGGCCTTGGGATTTCCATAACTGCGGCAGGGATGATCACCGTTAGGGTACGAAAGCGGGACGTACGCGTCGTATGCACGGCTCATCTAGACCTTCAAGAGGGGCCCAAGACACACGAGGCCTGGGGCCTCGCCAGTGCCCCCACTTCAATGCAGCACGGGCAAGAACTGGACGCAATCTGGTGTCAGGCACATCAATTGATGCCGACCATTCTCCAGGTCTGTGTGTTGTAGTCCCCGGATCTTGGCAGTGGCAGAGGACTAGTTCAAATGTTGGTGGTGAACTCTCGTTGGTCGAATTCCCCTTTCCAAAACATTCCTGAGGACGCCAAATGTCTGTAATACTAATGCTATGTATTCTCTTCTGCCCAAGTCTCCACATTTTCAAGTTATCGTCCAGAGACACTATTTACGAGTACCAGTATACTTCGAGTTGACCACAGCATTTGGGTTTGTTTTTCCTTCTCTTATCAATCAATATGACGAGTGGACCATTTTCATTGCTTGCCTCCAGCTGCTCTAGCACTAGCAGTATCCGTAGCAACAGACAAGGCTCAGCGGCGTAGGGTCATTCATAACATACACCGGGATATATTCGCAGCGTCGAATTCCAAACAGCACCGCAAAGGAAAGACCTTGGACAATGACCAAAGACATTAAGAAAAACACGCTCAAATTACATATCACTTCAATTCAGTTGTTGAAAATCGAGAGTCGATGCGAGACACCGTCCCGCATGAACTCCAAGTCCCCATTCACGGGAATCGTACTCGACCGCGCGAATCCCTCACCAGACCCGTACCCGAATTGGTAAAACAACCCAATGACATCGGTCCGCCCCTGTTGAATGGCCAGCACCAACGGAGACTGCTGCCGAATGTCCTTGCGGTTGGGATCAGCCCCGTTTTCCAGCAACAGTTTGATCATCCGCAACGAGCCCTTATGCACAGTCCGCCACAGCGGTGTTTTGCCCGTGTATCCCGTCTTGTCCGGGATCGCGCCCCGCTCGAGCAACAGCTGGGCCACCTTCAGCCGGTCATTGACAGCCGCGTGCGTCAGCGCCGTGTCGTCGCTGGCGCAGAGCGCATTCGGATCGGCCCCGAAGTTTAGCAGAATTCGGACGGCGTTGTAGTGACCGAGCGCAGCGGCCTGCGACAGCGCCGTTTTGCCCGTCGAGTGTGCGCCGCTGTTTGGGTCTGCCCCGTGCAGGAGCAGAAGCTGGACGATGTCGTCGTAGCCCTTGGATGCGGCGACAGAGAGAGCCGTTTCGCCGCTGGGGCCCATTGCGTCGATTGAGGCGCCGTGCTCCAGGAGCAGGACGATGATGTCGTCGTGGCCGTAGGCGGCGGCGGTTATCAGACCGGTTTGGCCGGACGAGTTCTCGGTGTGCACGCTGGCGCCTTTGTCGAGGGCGCATTTTACGGCGAACGGGCCGCCATTCTTGATCAGTTGGCTGAATTCGTCTTTGTTGTTGGTCATTTTAAATTTCATGCGGCTCATTAGGCTGGGCCTTTTGGATCGGATGGATGTCCCGATCACCTGGAAAGGCTGGGTTGGTTGTGGGGTGGATGGCTTCGCTGATGCGGATGGAGTGGATGTGATGCTCTCTGCCTGGCTCTCGGCACTGCTCTCGGCGATGCTTGCATGCCGTGTTCTTTTGCCCGTAGAGCCGTGAGCAGAAGATGCCTTTCTGTGAGGAGGAACTGCTCTGTCGGAGTCGGACGAATTGCGGGAGGGGTGTTCGGGGACGGAGGAGATGGACGGTTTCTTAGATGATACAGAGGGCCGCTTCGATGAGGCGACAGAAGTTCGCCTGGGGGCGCGGGAAGAGGGCATCGTAGGTGACGTTGGAGATGCGTCCAGAGAGGGAGACCTGGGCGCAATACTCGAGGCTGAACTGAAATCGCCGAAAAGGTTCTTGTCGAATACGTTGAACGATAGTTCCGCCAACTCGACCAGCGAAGTCTTATCGCCGGGGGAAATACCCTCCAGAGGTACGGTTGTTTTGACATTGCTGTCCCTGTCCATAATCTCAACCGCCACGGGAATAGGAATGGACTCGGCTGTGGATGCTTCTTTAATTGACGAAGTGCTTGTTGGTGAGCTGGTTGACGATAATGACATGCGGTCTGTTTGGGACGATCTCGGGACAGTCTTCGGAGACGGTGCACGCGATTCGGGTCTTGAGGGCTTAAAGACGACGTTCTTCAGAAGCCGCTCATCCATGGCGGCTTTGTAGAGAGTCATAATGATCATGTCGCGTTCTCTCGTTGACTGCGTGCGGGGGATGTCTATTGACTCCAGCTCCCGCGCTAAACCTTCCCATGCTTTCTTCGCTGGAACCGATCGGTCGAAAACAGTCGTGATAGCGTTGGCCTTGCGTTCGCCTGTGCATAGATCGACGATATATCTTTGCAGTCGCTGGTTCAAGTTATTCTGAGAGGACCTATCCCGCCGTGTTAGCGCGCCCGGGCTCGAAATCGCGATAACGCCCAGAACATCTTCGGGATCAGGAGGGGGAATGTACATCATCATTTCGGCGCTCATCACAGTCACACCAAAAGTGATATCCGAGACCAGCGCGCTGATATCTTCACCCACTTCCTCCTCTGCATCTTTGGCAGAGCATCCCTTTTGAAGTTTTGCCAGGTCCAACAGTATTGCGGTAAAAAGGGCCAACTTCTTCTGTGTTCCAGGATTGATGCTGACCTCGCATTCCTCGAAATAGAGAGCCGCCAGGTCTAGCGCATCCAGCAGCGACCCCAACTCGGCCTCTGCCTTGGAGGTAACCCCCCGATAACTGGGCAGAGGCATGGAGTGACCGGGCCAATGCTCGCAGGGCCTCGATCTGCTCTGCTGGCGCGGAATCCATGGTGAAGATGAAAAGCAACACGCAAAGGTTAAAACCCCCCCGCCCGGGAGGGTCACGGGGAAGTCGCCTTGTTTATAGCATTGAGGCCTCGAAACGATGGGATTGTCCCAATTTGTTACCGTTTCTGGGCGCATGGGATGGGGCGGAGGGATCACGGTGAGCGAGCGCAGCCGCTTGGGAAATGACTTTCAGCCCCCAATGCGTGGCGATCGAACCGTATTGCTCGCCTTGCTGCAGGAAAGGAGACTAATCCGCAAATCTTCAGACAATTAGACTATTCAGACTAAAATATGCGACGTATGCAATGGAGACAAAACAAGCAGCGCACGGTGGGCAGAACCATGGAATCCCGCCATCGCGAGTGGATCCATGATTTCCTTCCAGGTGGGGGAGGCCCAACAAAACATTCCGAGTCATGAGCGTCTCGGTTCCAAACTCAGCGAAGATGCAGCTCTTAGAGACTGGTCTTGAACTTGGCTGCAGGCCCTATTAGCCTATGATACTCTACCGTCATAAGGCTATAGCCCCAGGGACCGGGGGAAGATAATGGCCTGAACAAGGGAAACTCGAACCGTCGAGGCCCAAGGGGGGATGAAAGATGCTACTGGGAAAGCTACTGTACGAGTGATCCTTTGGCTCTGCTAAGGTGACAATTTGCCTTCTCACCATGCCGATCCACACCAGAAGGAATAGCCAAAGTGAAACTAGCGAGCCAAGTTCTGCCTGTCTGTCTAGGATCGATCTCGTTGGCTGGGGGGAGAATTCCCTCAGCTTTTGCCAACCGCCCAGTTCAGAGCGTATGCTTCTGATCAGCCCCTTCAAGGCAAGTAGAAAAAGGCGTCGGTTTGCGCGAAAGCCTATATCGAAAACGAGTCGGTGTGAGACCGTTGAGGCTGCATGGTTGGCCTTAATTAACTATCTGTCAGCCGGTGATATCATACCCCGGCCGCTTCACAATAGTCGCCTAGTGACTCGAACAAACAGAAGGATCCGACTCATATGATCTGGAACCAGTCTTTGAGCAATTTCATTTCGTTACGATGGAATATTTTAAGGCCCACTCGCAGGAGGTGGGGTACATCGTCACGACCCCAAGTTGTAGCCGGGCTAGTAACAGTCCTGCATGTTTATCGACCGGTCGCAATGTGCGCAAAAGTCCGCCCTTTTCATGTGGCTTGGTGTATAAGACGTACTTTGTTGCGGGATCCAGTGTGCTGAAAGCGTAGGAGACCAATGCCCGGGTTTCATTGCTGGTGCTTGTTTCTTACTTGGATCGATCCTTCTCGGATTCTAACCATACACGATCAAAGGTCCGTGTTTTGAGCCTGTCAAGCGGTGTAGCTACACGTTACTTGCTGCCGCTGGCCTTATTTTCCCCATAGCTTATCTATCTGACAGGACCAAGCAAGCTAGGATACGACCCATCAGAAGAGTATGATGCGCGTGGCATGCGCGCAATCACGGCATGGAGTTTAAATCTCCGACATTAATTTCCTGAGGCATAACTAGAAACTACGTGATGCATACAGAAGATAAACGGCCGTTGTCATTCCCGAGTCAATTGATAGAAGAGAGATGAATGTCAAAGTGTACTTCGAAGAGAAGGCAAAGCTTTGCTTCGGGAGCTACAGCGGCGCTGCACTGGTATCATCCAACCCTTACCGTACCTTGTGAGATCTACCTTGCACGTCTTACTGAGCCCTTGGCGTTTACACACTCAGCGCCAAACTTTTATATATACTCCCAAGTAACAGCCCCGTAGAGTGGAATATATCGCTTTCAAAGGCACAGGAAGCGTGGTCGTAGTGTACTGAGATTGTACTTGCCATCTGCAGACATCACCAGCCCGGCCGCCATTCTGCCATGGAGTTGTGTGCCCTAAAGCTCCAAGTTTCCAAGGCGCGGCTGAATTACCACCGATCCATGATATTTCTCAGGTGGCCCATCGCTCTATGGCACTTTATTTTTTGCTGCGACCAGCTGATCCATGTAATGCAAATGCCACTTCGGAAGATTCAAGCTCAGGTTCCAAATCCCTCTATATATACTCCAAGATGTTTGCTGTGACGAAGATGGGTCAAGTATATGTTTTCGATTTTCGTTCCAGTGCCTTCGAATATCTGACACTCATGATGGATCAAAGGATGGATTGTTGGTTGACGGTGTTGCAAACAATTCGAAGAAAGAGGCAAGGAAAAATAGCACTCGTGAGACCTTGGACAGTGCGCTCAAGCATCCAAAAGATAACCCCCCCCGCTGATAACTAGACTCCGTAAGGGAAACACATGAGAATCACACCGGGCCAGTTCAAGTATCAATAGTTCGGTTCCCTCCAGTAGCCTTGGAACATGCGGCAGCATAAGCGCAGGACTGAGTGTCTTCTTAGCAGCCGTGAGTACGTTTCGCACCATCTTTGTGTCAAAAGCAAAACAAACCATACAAGCTATACAGTCTGGTACACAGGGGCTCTCCAAGATGGACTGATAGACTTATTCAATATCAGGCCAGAAACATGAAATGTCCTGTTTCCAGGGTGCGTGAAGTTGACTCTGGGAAATACTGCCTTTGCATCTCTAACACAAGATCTAGTAGACTTTGGTTTTCAAATCAAAGATTCAAGAGTAATATGCCAGGAATTCGGCAATCTCTCAGGTGATTCAAATGGCAATTACACCCCTCGGCCACCTCATGGATGGGAATTCCAGCTACCTCAAACAGCCCTAACTGGTTACTGACTTGGTGTCCCCAATATAACTTGAAATGTATGAGTACAGATTTACTTCTGCTTATGGGCACAGCTCATGTGGACAAGAAGCCCAGGAAGTGAAGATACTTTGGTTGTCTACAACCCACCTGATCATGATCATACGCCCCGGGGCCGTTATACTAGGCCTTGCCTTATCACGCTACAAGACTCGAATTGTAGAGTCCGTAAGAAGTAGAGCTTGGCGCATTATCCACCCCAAGACATATGGGGTCAACAGCATGATATGCTCCGGTTCATCAATTATTTAATACTCAGCTACGCAAGATCAAGGTGCTGCCATTAGGGAAGCGCCGAGTTCTCGGTACTCTAAAAGGGTTCCAATTGGAACTTCGGACGACATTCAGTCATCGGCCATGACGGAGAATTCTAACTCCGAGACCGAACCTTCCACACCCTGTTCGTGTAACGCGAGGGGCCTGAACAAAGCTAACGATACACATGCCCGAAGACCAAGAATATGGAATTTGTGTTTGTCAATGTGCAGAAACCAAGCGATGCACTTCAGCTTGCCAAAGAATCCCAAATTCGATCACACGTGACTCGGCTGCAATGGAAGAAAACCCCCCCGTCAGGATAAGCGACTGCAGAGAAAGATCCTGCTTCGCGTGGCCGAAAGGGCTGTAGACAAGGGTCATGATAAGTTGCAGCCAGCGTTGATACAGCCTCAAATAGGGGGACTCAGAGTCGACCCTTTCCAATCATACCCTGTATCGGTCCAACCCTGGACTCCGCTACTGGTTGATCACTGTGAGTTGACGGGAGTCTAATTTAGCCTGAGTCCAACTGTGTTAATATCATAAGATTTGATCCATATGGCAGTTGATATCCCAGAACTTGATTTGCCCGGGAATCGTGGCCTATTGCGGACCTCGTGGTTTCCATTAGTGATGACTGAACCCGCGTTATTTTCCGTTATTCTCCTCCTCGCTGCATCGCACTATGCTTCCCTGCGTGGTGATCTTGGCAGTACGAAATGCGACCTCCTCAGTCTTCGTTGTGAGGCCGTTTCATCCATCAATAAAAGCCTTGAGACTCAGCAGCCGGGAGCTGTACATGACGCTCTTATAGGCGCTATAGCGAAAATGGCAAGCTACGAAGCCATGTTCGGAAGTATGGACAACTATAACATTCATATGCAAGGCCTCGTGCGGGCCATTCAATTGCGGGGCGGTCTTACATCCCTGGGGTTGAACGGGCTCCTCAATCGGATTGTGCTGTGGATTGACCGGAACGCGGCTTTTCTGCATGGATCGACGTGGTATTTCTCAGTGGATGACGCCACGATGTTTGGCGGATCGAGGCCGGATCCCAATCCTGGTCAGTTTCTTGGAAGTTCCTGATACTTTGAAAACGGCTAGTCCTTGTCATTGAGCGAATTATATCTTAGCCTAATGATGTCACGATTCTTTTCCATGCGAACTATCTACTTTACCACGATTTATCGGTGGCGTATGCCTGAAGGGGCTATCACATCGACAGCCCGACCCATATTATTTCACCAATCAAAGGGAGCTATCGGGATATTGCCCCGCAAATTGCCTAATACAGATAACGCATACTAATGCGGGGTCGTGGATCACGATTGACTATTGTAGATTGCCCCACATCACGACAGATTCAGCCGCGCACTTCTTGAACTATAAGTATGTGTAGTATCTTCGCTGAACAGTCTCACCTCCAAGCTAAGATTCCATTCTTCGCTCTTCGAGACTTCCACAATATTATTTCCCTGCTTTCTTATTCCTTCAATCTTACACCAAAATGGCTCTCGCTGGCAAAGTAGCTCTTATCGTCGGCGGTGTTAAGAACCTTGGAGCCCAGTGTGCTCTTGAGCTCGCCAGCGTGGGGGCCAATCTTGCTCTGCACTATCACTCTGCCTCTGGCAAGAAAGACGCAACTGCTCTTGAAGCCGAATTGAAGCAAAAGAACCCTTCGATTAAGGTGGCCTTCTACCAGGGCGATCTGACTGCTGCACCTGCGGTGACGAAGTTGTTTCAAGAAGTCGTCCGCGACTTTGGCCATGTGGACATTGTGGTGAACACCGCTGGCAAGGTGTTGAAGAAGCCCATCACCGAGATCAGTGAGGAAGAATATGATAGCATGTTTGCGTATGTATAAATGAGGCGCAGCGCTCTTTGGAGATGCTATTAGTATGCTAACATAATTTCCAGGATTAACTCGAAAACTGCTTTCTTTGTGCTGAAGGAGGCCGCACTCCATGTAACCGACGGTGGAAAGATCATCAGCATTGTCACCGCGCTTCTAGGCGCGTTTACCGGCTACTACACGTCCTACGCCGGCAGCAAAGCTCCAGTGGAGCACTTCACTCGGTAATTCAGAAAGTCCTCTTGCTTTGAAGGATCCGGCTAACATACCTCTTAGTGGTGTTTGCAAAGAGCTTCAGTCACGCAAAATCAGTGTGAACAACATCGCCCCGGGACCAATGGACACACGTAAGTCAATCTTCAGCGCTCCAGAGATACCCCAATCTGTCGACTCTAACCAAGAGCCTTTTGGTGTACAGCGTTTTTCTATCCCCAGGAATCTCCCGAGGCTGTGGAGTTCCACAAATCGAATGGTATGGGTGGTCGCCTGACCGACATCAAGGACATTGCCCCCATCGTCCGCTTCCTTTGCACGGACGGTGCCTGGATTACTGGACAAACCCTTTTCGCCAACGGTGGATATACTACCCGCTAAGCTCAGGGCTGCATATCGCAACATAGAAGGGGAAAAAACAATCAAATAGTATAATCGATTGATATCAGTCACAATCAAACCCAGCCAGGACCATATAATTTGACGGATCAGCAATCTGCAGGACGCTGCACAGCTGAGCTGATCATACTCTAGCCCTCTAGGCCTCCGTGGTTTTGTTCTCGTAGTCCCGGCCTCCAGTACTCACCGACAGTCTACATTATCGTCCACTTTCCCCATTGATCATGACATGCTATCGCTGTAGCACGTCATTCACCTACCTATATTCATATCGCAATTCTATCTTTGGATGAGCTGTCTATTTTGATCTATTACAACTGATCAACCAGGAGCTAAGAGCTCTAAGGTGATATCTGCCTGCGCCTTGCGACCTGAGGGCATTCAACCTCAACATTCCGAAGTCAAACGCCGTTAATAATCTTGGTAATCCTTTAGTTACCACGGGCGGTCGTATTACACATGGCGTAGCAATGGACTGGACTGCATTGCAAATTGGTGGTCTGGGACACTTCCCAGAATCAAGCTAAAACAGAGCCCGAGAGGGGGAGCGGGGAAGGTTCACTCATGGGTGACTGTGAGATGTCATGATAGCAGTCACGCTCTTCGACGCGTAAGTGGCTGGACAAATGAGTCACAAGCGGTGAAGAAAAGCTTTTCTATAGGGTCCCGAGGTGCTATTGATCGCGGGTGGCCTGAGCTAGCGATGACCCTCCTCTCCTACCCCTCTTGCAGTTTCTTGACTGGTGCGTGAACACGCTTCTTTAGTTCTGTTCATGGAATCGTGCCCATAGGTTCAGGGGATACTGATCGTCCGAGGCTGAAAGTCACAATTTGGGGACGCCACTAGGCTGCCTTTCTGATGCATTTTCGGTGACCCGTAAAAGTTTTAGACGATTCTGGCATTTTGTTGCAGCACGCAGAGATTTGGGCTATTAAATTAGAGGTCGATGCTGAAGAGCGCCCCGGTCATATTTTGCAATCCACGTAAAATGTATCTTTGTTTTTGCATGCGACCATGTTGCTGGGCAGCTACGGAACTCGGACTCACCGGGGAAGATTGCGCTGCGAATTATGACGGTACTGACGCTGGACAGGATGCAAGTCGTGCAGGGGGCGGAAACGAAGGGCTTCGGACTTCGGACCTGCTTCGGAGCTGAGCGGCTCGCGGCAGTCCGACAGGTATGCCGCGCCTCTGAAGTCTGTCACTTCTTGCAAATCCAGGATGACGGACAGGGTTCGACGCAACGGCCAGCTCTCCTCGTGTGAGCCCTGCCGCAAGTCTAAGCTTCGATGCGACCACAAAAGACCCATTTGCGGGAGGTGCGCCCGTCGCCGTCTGTCGGAACAGCAATGCCACTACCATCCAGCTCCGATGGCGAAACAGCTCACGCCCCTGAGCGAAAAAGGATTACCTTCTCAGCGGCAAGCTACAGATTCCATGACGGCAGCCTCCAGTCCTGTTACAGGGAGCTTTCGCTCTTACGAACCCGTGAATATGAATGGCAATTTATTGTGCTTTGCTGACCCAAACACTGCCACCGCGCCGCGGCCATATATATCCCTAACAACGTCTGGCGTGACCACGCCTCAGCTCTTCGAGCCAAACATAGATATGATCGCTGAGGGGGCTAAGCTGTTAGATGATATTCTGGGGCTTATAACGGAAATTGGAGAGCCGCTTGAAAGTCTCTCCACCGACGATAATTGTTGCTCTTTCCATGGACCACTTGTCGAGGCATCATGGAAAGCGACTGACAGCAGCATGAGAAGCTTGATCGATGATCGTTCTGTTGCTACCTTGCAATCGGTATCTCGGGCAATATTCGAGCGAACGTCTTTGCCCCCATTCTTTCCTCCTACTGCAGCTGACGGTGCCTTGGGCGCTGCTTTTGCCTCACAGGCCTTGCGCTGGGATCTGATCGGCTTATACTGTGCGCAGATCGGTGTGTATCTTGGCGGAGAAAGAGACAAGTCTTTCAATCCCATGATCCACAAGACGTGGAAATCAGACCGAAAAACCTTGATGCAAAAGACCTTCCAAATGTGCTTGCAGTGTGAATCATTTTGCAACGTCGTTGGCTCTGTCAACGATTTTGCAATATGGTTTCTCACAATGACGATGCTGTATGCTACGTGGTGCTTTGGCGATGACTCCTACCATGTAATGCGGCTGATGGGTAGCATCTCGTCCGTTTTCTTCGCCATGGGCTTTCACAAGGGCTGTCAGAACGATGGATCTATACCGTTTTACATGGTTGAAATTAGAAAGAGAATAATTGGTTGGGTGCACGATCACGACAAGGTCCAAGCTACCTTCACTTCGCGGTATGATTGTGTCCTTTGGACTTCCAATGTCCCGAGGGATTCCACTAACTGAGGGTCTATAGACCGGTTCATCTAAGCCGTCACTTTTGTACAATAGAAATGCCCCTTGATGTACCAGACTCTGTCCTTACGGACACCACTGAGACCTTCCTCAGAGCTTGCGAAGATTTGGATGAGAATGGCTGGAATACACAAAAGGCCGTATTACCTGTTTCTCGTCAGCGAGTCCAAATAATGCTCTGTGTGATCCGTGAAGAGACTTTGGAGCTTAGGATGGGGTCTGCTGCCCCCGATATTGAAGTTAAAGCAGCGTATGTTTGACTCCAGTCTATTCTCTGGTTGATATTAACACTTGAATCAGGCGCGTTCTGCGAAAGTTGAAGTCGACCTGGCAGTCAATACCACCCCACATGAGGTTTGAGACAATGCAGCGGAAACTAGATCAGAAAGATGATGTGTCTATACACAGCCTGCGATTGGAGTACCTGTACACGGAATTTCTCCTGTATACTCTGCTTGCTAATTCCGGCGGGGATGCTCGTGTAAATCTTATCAAAGTTGCACACGAGGTGCTCAACCTGGTTCTCTTACCGACAAGAAAGAGAGACTTGTTACAAAGCAATAGAGCAAATATGGAATGGACTGTAAGTGGCATGAACGGGGAGCGAGGTTGCATATTTCCTCGATACTTCAAAATATCTAACCTACAATGCAGCTCGTATTTTACGCTATGCCTTGCGCAAGCGTGTTGATCATAGAGCTCATGCGACACAAACGGCACCCCGAAGAGCAGCCAATCACGAATCGAAGTGGCATTATCCAAGATATCAGTGTCTTAATCTCGTGTTGCGATTCTTTGACAGAGACCGGACAAAGTAATTATCAAATCTGCAAGCAGGCCCAGTCGATCTTTTCCAGAAGCCTTGATTCGATTCTCAACCACTCGGAATTGTCTCAGGCGAGCGCTGGACACCCATCAATGAACCATCACGAGTACCCGGAGCAAAGCCGGCAAGAGCGGATGAGTTCTGTGAGCTCCGAGCCACCCAATGTAGTTATTCAAGACCCTGAGTGGACGGCATGGCTGGACTCAATAGGCTTGCAGGGAGACCCGTGGTTTGACTCGATAATCCCGACTCTGGAGCTTCCCACGAATGAAATTTGATTCTGGAAAAAAAACATAATTTGCCTTCCACTAGCTTATCTATAGAAGTGAGCATATAACTTAGTCAACTACTTGACGCGGAGTAATCAAGCTCTGATCTACTCCGAGCTCCGAAGGCGTTCGGTCCGATCACTGTGATGATCGATTACTCCGGCCATACAACGACTCCGGACTACGCCCAAAGGACAGGTCCGAAAGAGTTCTAGGCAGCCTTGAGGTAAGTTATAATTGCCGACATCCCTTAATTCTGCTGACTTTTTTCCTCGCTCACCAGCTCGGATTTGAAGCTTCAACCCGTATATTCTTTGCCTTTTCTAGAGAATCGCCCTCGCAGTTCAGCTTGCCGCTTCAGCTACAATCATCATCAATGGCGTCCTCGAAATTACCCTCCTACTGGGAACAGACTGAGCTCGAATCATCTTCAAAGGGTTCCCATGAATGTCTTCCGGCATACTCTGAGCGCACGCCTACCACAGAGCAAAACTCGTCCGACCAGTCATCATGCGGAAAATGGACCAGCGTGAAGGGAGCCATCTGGTCGTATATCAAAGGTACGTCAAAGTACATGGCTTATCACTGGGCCAAGGCTTCTTTACTAACGCTACGAGCAGGGGACGTATATAAGTACCACCCGTCCGTCGTACAAGAACGATATGCGGACGAGTTTATGAGGAGGGACCAAGCAAGAAAGTGACCATGGGATGGCCGAAATAAGAAAAGTGGGGTTCGAAGGGCGCAACGGGTTCTTATTATAGCTGATACGGATTTAGCTGATCTTTTGCTGGGCTGGTCGGTGTCGAAGGAACATTTGGCTTATACATACAAGGGAACCTAGGTATCTAGGGCGCGGGTAATCTGAGACTATGTCCTGTGCAGATCGCATTATTGAGAAAACATTCGAGTACACAAATTATCCAATTCAGTTTCAAAAATTCACATGCTTTCAGGCTCAGAACATGGATTAACAGCAGAGCTATCTGAAATAACTGTATACAACACAGAGGTCACGGGATCCACCCCTCCCAACAAATTACTCATCATGTCTGAATCATTGGACTCCGTTTGGGCTGCAGGTATGATTTAGGAGGGGGATGGTATGTAAATTTCAAGATACAGCTCAGCAACCCCACTCTGGCAGGATTGCCCAATAACAGGGCGACTCTGGCCTTACATGCCGCTGTTGTTACGGAGCCTGAACCGGCCCATACCGGAAATGGCCAAGGCCATTTTACACCAAAGAAACCCCATTCCGTCGCGACGCCTCCCCTGATTGCTCTCTTTTTTTATCCTCGATCCTTTATCGAGGTCGTTTCGAATCCATCAATCTCTGTGAATCTGTACCGACCCATCCCGGCTCCTCGGCTGAACCCTTCCTCAGACGTCCCGTCCCTCTACCGGTTCGAAATCCCGGGTCCTTTCTGATCCAGCGACGCGCCTGCTACGTGGCCGTGGCCGCTCGTTCGCATCTCCGACCGACACTGTCTATTACCATCACATCTGCCCGCCATGTCGCGCTCTCTCCCCAAGAAGAATAACCCCCTGATCCTCGCCGACATGGCGCCACCATGTGAGTACTACCTCGAATCGCGAGGCGCGTAGTCGCGCGGTCGCGCGACCGCGCATGCGACCGCCACACACCATTTTCTCGTCTCTCCCTCCCACGGTCGAACCGTTGCTAATCTGGAGTGTTCGTCTCGCGACTATAGATGATGAGCTTCTTGCGCGCCGTCGTCTTGGGAAGACTAATCTGTCCGTCAAGCCTGGCCAGGTCGGCACATCGAATGCCACGAAGCCCGAGAACTTAGGATTGTTTGAGTATGCCCACCTCCGGGCTCCCCTACCCAAAGACCTGAAGGGCTCCGAAATTTTCCCTTCACATAGCTCTCAGCAACATCCTGAAACCTATTTCTTGATGGTAAGAATTCTTTCTGGCGCATGGAAACCCAACCAGACACGTGATTACTGACAACTGGCGCGCGGGGCTTATAGCGGAGAAGCAAGGATGGCTTTGTGAGCGCAACTGGCATGTTCAAAATTGCCTTCCCTTGGGCCAAGGCCGAGGAAGAGCGCCTTGAGAGAGAGTATCTGAAGTCGCGCGAGTACACCAGCCTGGAAGAAGTCGCCGGTAACGTTTGGATATCCCCAGAGTTTGGTAAGCAGCATTCCGGCCTCCGGGGTCTCCAGGCTACGTTTCTTTGATGTCACTCTGACTGGTACTTTTAGCTTTGGAGCTTTCCGAAGAATACCAAATGAAAAATTGGGTGCGCGCTTTGTTAGACCCTACCGACATTGTCCAGAGCCCTTCTAGCGCGAAGAAACAAATCACCCCCCCCACCCAAGTTCGAGCTTCCCATGGATGACCCAGAGCCTACGCCCTCGCAGCGCCGCAGCCGTCGCTCGGTCTCCCCCAGCAAGAAGTCCACATCTCCTCGTAAGGCTCGTCAGCCCCGCACAGCCAAGGAAGCACCTAGCACACCATCCACCACGGCAGCCAACGAGAACCTTCAGAAGGCCCTTGAGGTCACCGCCTCGAATGTAGACTCGGACATAGCTAACGGGGTTCTTGAGTCTGTTGAGGAGGTTGAAATCGTGGAGTCGACCACCACCCCCAAGAAACCCGCCGCTTCGCCTGAAAAGAAGGGACGCAAATCCAAGAAAGAGAAGGCTGAAGACGAGAAGGAAGAAAAGAAAGAAAAGAAAGAGGACAAGAAGACTGAGAAGAAGAAGAAGGAGGTCAAGGATAAAGAGGTTGGGAAAGAAGCCGCCGAAGAACCTACAACCACCATTTCGCTCGAACTCCCTACTAGCCTTCTTCCTGAAGGTCCATCGGCTGCTGATACAGAGGAGATGCTGGCTAAAGCCAAGAAGATTGTGAAGGAAGCAGTTAGCCATCCGGCCAATGTTGACGCCGAAGCCGCGAAGGCCAGCAATAAGCGCAAACCCGAGGATGACGACGAGGAGACTGCGGCTGAAGCCGCTTCACGAGTGAAGAAAGCAAAGGTTCTGGAAGAGAAGCTCAAGCGCGAGCGTGTTCGTAACCGTGCCCTGTTGGGTGTTTCGGCAGCTTTTGCTATTGCGTATGTGTATATCCCTGGATCATCCAAAAAAAAAAAAACCTCGCCACTAACAGACTATGTCCAGGGCTTCAATTCCGTATTTCTTTTAGATCAATCGTTTTCAGTGGATACAAGAATTACTCTCCGTTCATATCCAATTTCCAGTTTGCAATCACGTCTTGCTCTGATACACCAGACAATCTCTCTGAATTCCCGCATCGATTCTGCCTTGGAATTGCGAAGCCTATTCTCTTGAGAGACCTAATTTCATTCTCTCCTGTTGTTCTCTACTTTCATGCGGTTTATTTCCGTGCGCTCCTCTGAATTACCCTATTCCCCCCTTGTTATGATAAATATATTCCTTTTCCGCCACTTCGACGATATGCTGTGCCTTCCATGCCCTCTACGTCAATCTTTCCCTCTAATAACTTGCTTCCATCTCATGTTCACCATTTCTGACATGACTCCCTGCACTCTCTAAAGAAACCTCTCTCCGAGTGCATGTCTTATGCTCCATTGGCACCCCTCCTCGCCTCATTCCACGTTAGATACCAATTGCTTTGAGCACGCTCTTCTTTAGCTTCACGTACGGAAATCTTGGTCTACTGATAGCCTAGCCAACATTTACAAGTCTTCGAGTACCACAGCATTCTCCAGCTTGAGTCTTGAAGTTCCAACTTGAAGTTACTCCTCACGTAATTTTTCTTCAAAAGGAGTTCGCGTAGATTATATCATGCAGGGAGTGCCAGACGGTATGTATTCTGGTCTGGTAGATTATCAAAGTTGAAATGTGACCTTGAACCAGCTTGATGCCTACCCTCTTGTCATTGCTACTTCCCCCATTGCCGTCCTAGTAACTATTTGTGTGATGAAACTTTGGGGGAATGGTACGATCATTCAAGTCACTTTGAACCCGCGTTAGTGACGGGTCGTTATCGATAGCCATCTGAAGATCAAACAGTGCAAACACGTCCATGGGTGCTCCGCAATTTGGTTCTTTCGAGTCCGATCAACACTCTCCCTCCAAAGCTGATGCGCCTCGCTTTCCCATTGAAACATCTTGGGATTATCGGCGTTCCTTCACCAAACATATTATTCACCCGCAGCTCGCGACGAAATGTCGCTCCCAGGGTTAGGCCTCACCCAGCCCTCCGAAGAAAGGACACCTGCAGTAGTCCCGCCTTCGCAGATCGTCCTGAACCCGGGGACCGAGTGGCGGTTCGAGGTGGCATTCGGTCACAGAATCAAGGTAAAGGTATGACTATTGCTTGCAGAAGCTCCAGATGACTATTTGGAGCTATTTATTGTCCTTTCGTAAACGTGTGCTAAGGCTTCCACAGCTTCTTTCTGGAACAGCCGAGCTCTTTGGGACCGAGCTTGCGGAATTACAAACGTACACCTTCACCGGCACCAAAGCGGCAATCTTTACATGGCATGGCTGCGAGATCGAAGTGAGCCCAAGCGACACCGGCGTGAATCCTACGGATAATACTACAAGCTTGGCTGGTCAGGGCGCTGGTGGCTGTCAGATTGAATACATCGCCGAGGAAACCCCGATGGTCGAATATGCCAACTTGCACTTTGCACTGGAGACAATGCGCGAGGAGGCTCAAGAATCCGGGAAGGATGGGCCTCGGGTCCTACTATTAGGCCCTGAGAACGCGGGTAAGACGAGTCTGGCGAAAATCTTGACCTCTTACGCGACGAAGATTGGGAGACAGCCGCTTGTGGTGAATTTGGACCCCACTGAGGCCATGCTCAGTGTTCCTGGAACGTTGACGGCTACTGCCTTCCGCACAATGCTGGACATTGAGGAGGGTTGGGGCAGCAGTCCCATGTCTGGGCCTAGCCCTGTGCCGGTGAAGTTGCCGCTGGTCTACAGCTACCCATTGCCGAGTCCCCCTCGATGCCGGTGGCGCAGTTTATCGGCCTATCGTCTCACGACTAGCGCTTTCAACCATGGGGCGAATGGCGGAGGACGAGGATGCCCGCGAAACGGGGATTATCGTCGACACCCCTGGACTTCTCAGCACTGGGAAGCCGGGGAGTCTGGAACTCATCAATCACATTGTTACTGAGTTCGCTATTACCACAATTGTTGTCCTGGGATCTGAGAGACTGTACAGTACCATGGTCAAGCAATACGATAATAAACTGAGCTCGAGCTCTACCGCAGCGGCCTTTGACGAACACGTCTCTGTGCTCAAGCTCTCTAAATCCGGGGGCTGTGTTGATCGTGACGCAGCTTTCCTAAAGGCAACCCGCGAAGGACAAATCCGTAATTACTTCTTCGGCGACACAAACCCAACATCCGGAACAATGGCCCCGACCACCGTCACTCTTTCCCCTCACGCCCAGCAGCTTGATTTTGCTTCCCTGCCTCTCTACAGCTATACAGTCACCTCCACTGCAGACGAAGATGACGACGATTATGACCCCTCTCAACTCAACACAAGCGACTCCTTCCTACCAGGTGGTGGCGCAGACAACTTCTCCCAGGCCTCTCACGACCATGATCGTGCGGTGCCGCTTCCTGGTATCGTTGGCTTGTCAAACGACGCATCTACATCGACTGGGACCCCGACACCGTCCAGCAATGTTCCACTTAAGAAGGTCCTTCCTCCTGCACCTTCCATGCTTGCCAACACTCTTCTCGCCATAACGCATGCCTCGTCTACGGCTTCGCCTGCTGATATCCGTGATGCCAGTATCATGGGCTTCCTTTACGTGGCAGATGTCGATGTCGAGAAAGGAAAAGTCCGGGTCTTAGCTCCGGTGGGCGGACGAATGCCCTCCAGGGCCGTTGTTTGGGCTAAGCGTTGGCCTGGCGAGGTCGTCGGTCTGGTGGGTTGATCTTGTCTGGTCGGGGCCTTTCTACTTTGTACTTGCATTTCTGGCTCTCTGTCTTGCCTGCTAGCATTGGCGTTGGTGGATACCAATCTTAGAAAAAAGGATTCTCTCCTACATAATATGCTTACAGAATAAAAGTCTATTAACTATGGCTCATCTTGGCTGGTCACTGGTAACTTTCTGGCAGTTTTGTCTAGATTATCACTCCAAAGTCCTACTAGTAGTAAAACTGATATATATAGGGTCTAAGCCTGTCATCCATGCGCTATGCTTATGCTAAATTTAGAGGTAATGGGTAACGTAAATGCATACAATGGGGACCGTTATACATAGAAGCAAAACGGGTTGTACAAAAGGAAGATGTCCCACACGTATCATGGTTATACAAAAGGGTTAATACAGGAAAGGAACCCAAAGCAGAAACCCCCCAAAGACAAAAAAGGGGGGAAACAAAAGGAAAGAAAAAAAAAAAAGATCGCATCTCATATTGCTGTCAGAGCAGAACAAACTTTGTCAAGTCATCATTCCCATTTCCTCCACTCTTCGACAGCTTTCCTCATCTCCTCATCAACGTTGTAGCCCTTGGACTCAGAAATCATCAGCTCCTCCCGTCGGTCTCTGAACCGGCGCTCAGCCTCGAACCGGCGCAGTGCGAACGACTTCAAGCCTGCGAAATCATCCTTGGCGACCATTTCCCGGAACCGAGCACGCATGCGTGGCGAGTAGAGCTGGCAACTAGCTTCGCGGTAATGATTCGGGCCATCACCCGGCAAGGGACGCATACTCGGCGAGAACATGCGGGCGATAGGCTGCTGGGCTTTGGTGAGCGGCCACACGACTTCGTCGTAGCAGTCCTCGCAGACGGTAAGCTCCGGTAAGTTCGGGATGTAGTGCCAGTTGCCGAGGGAAGCTCTGTCGCGGCGACAGTCGCGGAGAACAACCTTGCGGCGGGTATAGGCGAGGAAATCGCGCAGGTCAGGGCGACGGGATGAGTCGGTGGTGCGAGCAGCGGCGTTGTCGAGGAGGTCGATGTACTGCACAAAGCGCGGGGAGGTGGTGACGAAATCGCAGACCCGCTCTTGGATGTCGGGGCTGGGTTCGAAGGTTTCGCGGTGGGAGGGCATCAGGATACGCACGTTCCGGGCACAGCTGCTGCAGATGTGGAAACGTGGGAGGTATGTGCCCGTCTCGGGGTCGACGATTCGGTGCCAGGCTTGCTCGCTAACGACGCGGCCTGGGCATGCGGAGGAGCCGGGAGGTGGACGGGTCATTTGGTAAAGCATTTCCAGACTAGAGTGATGCTTCTTGATCATTTGGGTCCAAGCAAGTCTGGTCCAGGCATTGGCGAAGGCGCAGCGGATCTTTTGGTCGACGGGCTTGGGAAGACTAGGGACGAAGTACTCCCGAAAGCGCGAATGGGCAATCTGTCCCATGCAAGAGGGACAGATATCAAGGTGCTCGAGTCCTTTGAGAGTATACCAGTCCTGAAGCCCGGCCACTGGAATTGAACGTGGGCATGGAATTGTGCATAAACCAGTTGTATCCGGTGCGCGGGCTACAACGAGGGCTTGTGGAGGGGCCACTGGCGGTGCTGGTGCTGGAGGAGGTGCAGAGCGAGTAGGACTGCGTTTTTGAGAAGGTTCGTGCTGAATCTGGATTTTGACGGGTTCGTTGAATTTGACGGAGTTGGACCGACGTCGACTGCTTGAAGAAGACTTATCAGGAAACAATGTCGGTTCCGAAGACGTGTTCGGGTTCTTCAATGCGGAGCGCACTGGAGGCGGCGCTGATACTATCATAGATGACGATCTCGCTCGCGAGTGACGCGGGGCTTCTTGGGACCGATGACTTGAGACCCGCTCAAGTCCTCGGACAGGGAATGAGGCCCAGGTGCAGATACCGGAGCAGTAAATTTGGTGCTCATAGGTGGTACCTGGGGAACTGGGGGAACCGGTGGAGGGGCCTCTGTGTCCGATACGGATACGGTGCCTGAGACCCGGGGAGAATGCCGCAGTCGAAGCTTTTCCTCAATTCGTTCTGCGAGCGTGGGGGTAGCACGAGACCTTCCACTTGTGGAAGGATGAGTGGGGACACTTGGTTTATTAGAAGTTCCATAGTAAGAGGCTGGTCGTGTCTTAGTGATCACAGAGTCTGAAGGGGCAGACTTGGGCTCAGGTCGAGGTCCAGCCGGCATTGGCGCCGGCGGGGCAGTCTTTGTGCTGTTAGACCGTCGAAGTGATGGTTCTGGCGGTGGTGGCCCCTGGGAATAAGCTAACTCACGCGCAGGACCACGGGAGCTCGGTTGAGACTGGTGATTAGAGCTTGGTCCGCGAGATGTATCCGGGATAATTTGCACCATCTCCGGTCTGCTGGCAATTCTTTGCTCAGGGCCAGATCCGCGGGTGTTTGGAGCAATTTGAATGGTTTCCGGCCTGGAGGTCTCCCGGCAGTTGGATGAAGTCGGAGCACGGCTAGAACTGGGTGCGATGGGCACTGTCTCAGGCTTGTGGTATTCCTTTAAATGAACAGAGCTGGGCCTGCGGGTGGTGCTTGGGACAATCTGCACTGTTTCAGGCCCGGACTTTTGAGGCTTTCCAGAATCCAATCCACGGGTGGAAGCTAAAGTAGTGTACACAGTCTCCGGTCTGGAAGTACTCTGGCGCGGAACAGAAGAAGATGAACGAGAAGTGCCGGGATTGTGGAAAGGCTCGGAGTTGGTGGTCTTCTTGGGCTGAACAGAGGAAGATCCAAAGGAATCACCTGGGGCAGTGTACACCGTGTCAGATCTGGTGTAGGGAGGCTCAGCTCCACGGGTAGCACTTGAGGTATTGTAAGTAGGCTCGCTCCTAGCATTTTGGGCTGGGATATAAGCAGGTGCATGCGAAGGGCTTGGGCCAGTGTACACCGTGTGAGGCTTGACGGTGTTTTCCGATTGAGAATAGCTGGTTCCACGGTTAGATCCAGAAGTAGGGTACACCATTTCATGTCTCGGATATTGCTGGGAGTAGGTGCTAGCAGAATCCCGGGTGCTGCTTGGAGCGGCATAGAACGATTGTGGCCGTTTGGTAGTATGAGGTTCCACGGGCCTTGGTTCACGAGTAGTGCTCCGGGATCGAGAGATGGGTGCCGTCTCAGATCTGCTGTTATACTGGGGCTCGACTGAGCTTTGTCCACGGACCGTACTGTCTGCTGGACGCACAGGAACTGCCTCAGACCTTGCAGCTTCTCTTGGTCGGGATTGGGATCGTGGCCTTGGCTGACGAGATGTTTGCTGCTCGAGAGGCTGTTGATAGACCTGGGATGAACGCCCTCGAGATTGGTTGGAAGTGGAGTATGCCGAGGATGAGGATGGCTTCGAAGTCGAAAAGGAGACAGATTTGGATTCAATGGGCCGGGGGTCAGAAGTAGTCCGGGTGAGACGCTCTGGTGCCAGTGGAGGCGGGGTCCTAGGTCCGCAACTGTTGTCGTCTGAGGAAATATTACCCATGCCAGGTGGGCTGCTGGCACTGGGTGGCTTACTCAAGGCCGGAGAGGAATCCACGTCCATGATGACAGGGTACTGGTCGACGGTCCCTCGGAGGACAGTACCGCCGCCAGGCTTCCCGTTGGCCTTGGGAGGGCCATTTAGTTCCTTAGCGAGCGAGACGGGCTCCTCTTCCACAAAAGGCTTGGGAGGCCAAGCGAAACGCACGCGCCCAGGCATATTTCTTTGCTTGTTTGTGGGTTTAGTCATACACAGTTGAGATTGAAATGTGGAAGTGGCTGGAAAAATCTTTAGCCTGCTGCAATGCTGTGTTGTGGTAGAGCCAGAAGAAGAGTTTGGTTCATAGTATAGAGGCAGATGTGAACTCGAAGGCGAAAGAGGTCTGGGTAACGTGGGATGGTGGCAGGAGAAAGAATTTTAATTTGAAAGAATCAACAAAGGCAATGGTAGTGCCGGCGTGTGCGTATATAAGGGAGAATCTATCGGGCATCACCCGTGTTGATCGAGGGTCCTGATAGGGCCATATAGTGATTGGGCGGGAAAGTCAACGAATCAACCAAAATAGGATCAGGCTGAAGAGGATCAAATCATAAGGGATCTGCTCCACCGGATCTCTCTGGTCGAAACAGGGGTTGACGTAGGGGTTGCGCCGCAACATCAGGGCCACTAAAAATGTGGTCGTAGAAACCCGGGTCCATCGTTGGGCACGAACCATGTGGGCTGTGCTTTTCGCGTTTCAGAAGGGGCTTCCTACGATCCGAATCAGTCCGTAAACAAACCAGTTTCCAATGTTTACTTTCGGTGTTAAAAATATGAGCAAATGGGTGGGAAGCCAGCGTTCCTCGGGCGTTCTGCGTGTCTGAGGACGCTGCATGAGACGGACTACTCTAGCTCGGGGTGGACCTGCCGAGTGCCAACTGCCGCCGCGGGGAGGAGCCCTAGTCTCTGGGCGTGCAGGCAATCTGGTTATGCAGAGCCGGCACATCTTGTGGGCCAACAGATGTCTTGGGTTCATGGCGCTATCTCAAAACCAACTGGGCGCAATACTAGGAGCGTCTCGGCCCCTGTTGCTGGGAGTGGCGTGCATTGTCTGGCTCTTCCTCTGTGGCTGCAACGGCTGTCAAGGCCTACATGCAGGCGTTTGTTGTAACCCGCGATTTTTCTAGAACCCAGCAGCCTAACCAGAGGATTTCCTTTCTGTCCTAGATTTGCCAGTTGGAAAAGCCCTTCTGTTTGGGGACACAGTCGGCGGCAGAGATGAGTGGATATCCGATATTTCGTCGCATCCCAAAATAGGGAAGAAGCCGTTGCGCTACATAAGCCACGCGACGTCCCGAGTATCAAGGAGAACTTGTTTCTGTTGCCCATTGCGAGTCTGCAATCATATGGTTTGAACGCATTTTTCTCTTTTTTTGAGTCTTTCTTTGACGTCGGCGCCGCTCCGGATATGACGGGATGGCGTCAACGTGCAGTAGGGGCGTTAGGGGCCCCCGCACGAGCTTCGAAGCCCTTTCGGCCGGGCTGCTTACCGGGAAAGGACTCCAACCGGGGAATTAAGCAACTGGATAAGATGAATCCACCTGGATCAGGAAATGATGAGCGGGGAAAATGAAGCGAAACAGTGAAGCGTGCTCTGTTGGCACGAGCGCCGAGCTATTGAGTGCCCCGCGGAGAACGGGATTATACAAGGCCTATCGCAGGCCTTGCAGGGAGTATCTCACAAAGCGGATGTGGCAAGAATTCCTCGAGGTATCGTACCACCCTATGCAATGCAGGAAATGATTCGTTTGTTGCCAGAATCTCGAGAAACTGCGCCCGCGGAGATAAAGACGATCCCGAGTCGCGGGGAAGACGATTACAAATGAACCTGTCGAACTCGACCTCTTCCCAACCCCACTCGACTTCCTATTAATTTATTGATGTCTTCCACCTCCCTTCGCAGGACAAGTCTTCGCCTTGCTGCAATCCGCGGTCAGATTCCAGTGATCCCCCAAACTCGGCCCTTTAGCCCAATCCGCAGGATGTCCGTCCCCACTACCATGAAGGCCGTCGTGCTCGAGACGACAGGCGGCCCGGAGGTCTTGCAATTCAAGACCGACTATCCCGTTCCCTCTCCTCAGGAAGGGGAATTGCTCGTTCGCAACAATATCTCCGGGGTGAATTTCATTGACACATACTTTCGAACTGGGCTCTACGCCTCACCAAAGCCCGAGGTACTAGGCCGAGAAGGCGCTGGGACTGTTGTTGCACTGGGACCCAACACTACTGGTTTCCAAACCGGAGACCGTGTGGTCTGGCTTGGAACTGGTGGATATGCTGAATTTACCGCGGTCCCAGCCTCCAAGACTGTCAAGATCCCCGAGGGTCTGACTGATGAGGACGTGATTGCTTCTTTCCTTAGTGGATTGACTATCCTAGCCTTTACAAAGGAAACTTACCCTGTCAAAAAGGGCGACTGGGTACTCCTGCATGCAGCTGCAGGTGGTGCTGGTTACTTGATGACCCAGGTCCTGAAATCTATTGGCGCCAAGGTTATTGGTACTGCGGGTGGCCCCGAGAAATGTGCCATTGTGAAGAGCCTCGGCGCAGACGTGGTCATTGACTATCGTAGCGAAGAAGGTAAAGACTGGGTGAAGCTTGTTAAGGAAGCTACCGGTGGCCAAGGTGTCGATGTCGTCTACGACTCCGTTGGCAAGGATACCTGGGAAGGTAGCTTAGAGGCTGTGAAGCGCAAGGGTACCATTATCTGGTTTGGCAATGCCAGCGGACCCATTCCCCCTCTTCCCCTCGCGTATGTTCCATCTCAACCTTTTGAAGCTCGGTCATTCCACTGATTCGTGACAGAAAACTCTCACCCAAGGCTCTCAAGGTCGCTCGTCCGACTCTTTTCACGTACATTGAAACTCGTGAGGAGTTCGAGTACTATACCAATGAGCTTTTCAGACTCCTCTTATCTGGCGAATTGAAAGTCAAGATTCATAAGGTCTATCCCTTGGAGGATGTTGTGCAGTGCCACAAGGTTAGTCCTAATCTCCGGCCTTACTACATATTGGTCATCTCTAACGACAGACTATTAGGACTTGGAGGGTCGAAAGACAACTGGAAAGCCTCTTCTCAAGGCTTAAGTGAAAATAATTACAAGGAAGGAATAATCTATCCTTTTGGAGAACTCGTAAGCTAATTTTCCATAGTAGTGATAATCAGATATCATTTGCTATCAATCCTCATCCCCTCGGCACACGAAAGCAGTCCATAGGTGAATAGTCTCCGGTAATAACTAGTCTGAAACGATAGAAAGCAAGTCTTCGAAAATGAATTCGCAAACCCAGCAGAGCAGATCAGAGGGTCGTGCATGGCTCCTTACCTCTAATAGTCGAAATCGGTATCGCTATCTTCATAATGCTTCGTATCGACCTTCTTTTGCCCCCCTTGCTCACTTTTTGGCTGGCTGGGAGTCTCGGGGCTCCCGGAAACGATCTCATTAAACACAGATGCCTCTCTAGAGGGTTGCAAAGGTTGCGCGATTTTCTTTGGAGTTTTCCAATGAAGCATCATGTCATTGTGCAAGCATTCGTAAAATGTCGGGTAAATAGCTATCATCTGATCAAAGAAGTGAAGCCCGCAGCTAAGCTCCATGACCTTGGTAATAATCTTCAGTCCCGGAGAGCAGAACTGGAGGAGGTCAGTCTCAAGCAAGAACGTGAAGGAGTAGCTTGGAGCCTTCCCATGGTCCCAGTCCCACTGCTCTTGGGGACTAAGGTCAATTTCTGCCTTGCTTGGGTCCCGGAAAGACTTGGCATGGACAATTCCGACAGGTGTATGACCAGCTGCATGCTTCTCGTAGTTGACAAGGACGTGTGGAGCTGCCTCCTCGATAGAGACGATCTCGAAACCATCAATGTCACGGATTGGGATCACGGTCAAGTTGGGATCGTCTTCCTCGAGTGCCCCTTTGAATCGCTCATACACCTCGTATGCGGCACCAAAGGTAATACCGTACTTCAGCAGCTGTTGGGCGCTCTCTTTCGTCATTGGGGGGCTCTATGTCGGTGCCCACGCTCCAGTCTGAAGAGTCATTGCGAATATCAAAATGATAGCCACCAAAGAGAAAAGAGCACGCTTTGTTGAAGGCCCCAGGGCTTCGAGATAGCAGCTTGAGATTTTTCCACAGCTCCTTGGAGGCGAGATTGCATGTCTCCCGAGCTTGCAAGATATCTTCCTTGTACTCCGGGCAGACATCATGGAATAGGAGATAAGTGAGAAAGTTGTGGATCGTAACAGTTCCGAGGTCGATCTCGCTCTGCTTTGATGGGGAAAAGAACTGCCCAAAGAATGAGCCACTATAAACTTAGTTAGCTTCAATATTAGCCTGGCAACTGAGAGTGCGTACAGGAAGCCCCGGGCAACTTTGTTGAAGTTAATCTCCATTCCCTCTCGCTCCTTGTGTATTCCAAGCTGGGTGCGAGCACGCATAGCTTCTTCCTCAGTCAGTGTTTTCATGTCCTGGTTTGATAGACCACCACCATAATTGTGACCGGTCGCGATTCCACCGTAGGAAAGGTATTTGTGAAAGATGTTTCGTCGCTCAGGCTCCATACGTCGGAATCTATCGAAACGAATTAAAGCCTCTTCGATTCGACTATCCGTAGACGTTAGTTCAAGTCACTGCGCAAGATCTCTGAATCTCTTACAGCATGAAAGGTCGAGAACTAAATATAGGTTAGCTTCCTGAGCTCCAGAGAAGAGAATCGGTATGTACATACGGCTCGTAAAGGTAGCGATCTTCCCTGAACTCATCGACAGTGAGAGGTCCATCGCAGTTCCATTTCTCGAAGCCTGTTGGCCTGCCCTGTTGGATTCGAAGAGCATCAGTGTGGAGCTTCACCAGAACTGAGGATAATTCTCTAGGTATCCATACCCTGCCACGCTTTGTTTTGGGACCTTTGTACTTTCGCCTCTTCAGATTGTCGACGATCTGTTGCATAGTATGTTCTTCTGCTTGGCTGGCCGGCTCCGATGGCTTCGCACTGATCTTGGGTTGAAATGCAGCTTCAGGGGTATCATTGTTGTCTTGCTCCTTGAAAGCTTTATCGTCGCCCTTCAAATTCGAATACCCACTATTTTGCTTGGTCGTTCCAGCCAGGCGGAAAGGCAGATCACCGGAGATGGTTTTCGTGGGGTCGGCGGGTTCCATGATGGGCTGAAGGTAAACTCAAGACTGTATAGAAGAAGAAGAATCCAAGAGGGGAACGAGATGTCAAATAGAAGGTCGATGTGTGGTGAAGACTTGTCAGGGTGATTGTTGAGTGTGTTCTTTAAAAGTTGATTGTAGCTTCCGGTTTGTAGCGGCCAGCTACGAGAGAGCTCGAGCCAAAATAGCTGATTTTCTTTAATTGTAGTCTAGCTCGTAATGTGATTATCCAACTCGCATCCCACAATGAACAACGAATCAGTCGATAATTCCATGGGCCACAGAACTCGTACTTGTGTAGATTTGTATAGATTGTAGATCAGCGTCATTGTTGGCCCATGCACGGTTCCACGGCCAAGGGACCCTGGTTTCACTTCTCCTGAATTCGGACCTCCGTTCTTCTTTGACTACAGCTCCCATCGGAGGCCCTGTCGCATCTTTCCTACCTACAATATCGACTCTGCCCAGGTGATGCGCAGTACTCCTGTTGCGTCATTCGGCATGCAGTAGCCTGACCACGCTCCCGCAAGATCCTCATACCGCAATGCCCTCGTCCAGATCCGAAAGCCTGAAGGCTCCACAACTTAGCAGCGATGATCTGGTGCCATTCGATCATGTTGCTGCCGGACAGTAAGTAACCTCACCTCCGCCCACAAGCTGCGCAGGCCCCACGCGCTCTCTCCACCTAGCTCCAATGGGCCACTGCGCCGGAGAAGATTAGTTGAATGATCCTCTCCAACAACCCCAAACCCGTGTCTTAGCTCTCCAAAAGGACAAAAGCACTAATATGAATTTTCTGCCTTACAGCGACGGTGTCCGAAGCACCATATCAGGCTCGCTGATCGTCAAACCTTGCACCAAGCAGGAAGTCGATTTCTACGAAGCCAGCGCTCTTCACCCTGCCTTCCAGGAATTCATGCCCCTCTTCATAGGTTCTCTTTCCTCCGCCGACCAACAGCAACCACAGGCGATTTCTGCCGCCCATGAATCCGGTGCCATCTTCCTCCCTGCTCCGGGAAACCCTCCGAACTCTTCCGCTGGCCCCGATAATCCTACGTCCCACCCCTGCCCTGTGCCACCCCAGACTCCGGCTGCCGCACGGGCAGAAGAGCCGTGGGTTCCATCCGACGGCAAGAAACTCGAGACAGGGCTCTCAATAGTGCTCGAGAATGTCGCAGCCGGATTCCGGAGGCCGAATGTACTTGATGTGAAGTTAGGCGCTCGCCTGTGGGCCGACGATGCGCCACCGGCCAAGCGCAGTAAGCTTGATGCCGTATCAAAGGAGACAACCAGCTCTATACTCGGTTACCGAATTGCGGGCATGAAAGTGTGGACTGGGGAAGGTGGAGAAACGGATGAAGGAACTCGCACAAACCCTTTTGAAACGAGGCACGAGGGGGGAGAGGGCGCCAAGGGCGAAGTCATTGAAAAGAATGGGTACCGACGCTACGATAAATGGTATGGCCGGTCTTTCAACGCGCAAAATGTGAAGCAAGGCTTCGAAACCTTTCTGGCTGGCGCAAAGGCAGGCCCTGTTGACCGGTCGAAAATGGTTGCCCAACGGGTGGCCAATGAGCTCAAAAATTTACAAGAGGTGCTTAAATCCGAAGAGAGCCGCATGTATTCTGCTAGCGTGCTAGTGGTCTACGAGGGAGACCCGGATGCATTCGAGCACGCGCTAGAGGAAGAGAAACGGATATCTCAAGAAGAGGACCAGGAAGACGCAGAGGATGATGGTGATGATGATGATGATGAAGATGAAGATGAAAACATCGAATTCGAATTCTCCGAGGAGGCTATGGAAGTTCAGCTCGGAGATGGGAAGACACAGCAGGTGATCAATATCAACATCGATTCTCAAAATCCCGCCATCTCCCAATTACCAGACCTGGGCGACGACGAAGACGAAGAAACCCCCAAAGTACATGATCTCCGAGTGATCGACTTCGCACATGGCGCCTGGACCCCCGGTCAAGGGCCAGACGAGAATATGCTCCAGGGGATTCGGAACTTAATCCAGATGTTCGAAGAACTCGCGCATTGAGTACTCGTACACTTGAAACATAGACCTCAGCCGGTCGCTGGCGACCTTGAATTCTCGGATCATACCTAAGTGATCTCGAGTTATCTCAAATATACGATGTAGGCTCAACGTCTAGTTTAATTCTTATCAGCCCCAAAGAACCTTTAGAAATACCTGCACGCGTATTTACCATTTCTTCGGTATACTCTTCATTACTCTATCCCTCGTAGTAGGTAGAGGTCTACCTTCGAGTCGGAGGTTACTCATTACACACATCGTAATAAAGACATGGACTTCTGGGGCAGCCATATGCATGTTGGTTTGACTAGAACACTTTCAAGCGTTCACTGTAGTAGCAGGCGAACATCCTAGTCCCTCCCGCTTGCTAATCTATTTCCAACACTTAGGCTGTCCGCTGGAAACAAGTCTCACATTCAACCAATATTGACCTCTAAGTTCTCCCAACGGGTTTCCAATTATTTTTCCATTCTTAAAGGAAGTTTCACCGCGTGATGGTGTTTGTCACGTGATTGTAGTTGCTGACATAGCGGGATCCAGTCTCCGCGGGCCGGGGTCACAACTTTCGCAAATGGAACCACTTGCAAATAGCTGAGAGCCATCATGTTCCCAACGCGCGCCTTGTTAGGGCGCTCGGTCTGGAAAGGTAAGACTTCAATGGTCTCGGCTCTGTGCTCAACCCCGCTTGCTGACTCCCTGGACAGGCCCAAACATCGTCCCGTATGTCGATTATGCCGATGCCCAATATTATTAGTTGAGCCTCTTCAATTACACGAGGCCTTCTTTATAAATCGACAGACTTGCTAACGGGCAACATTGCAGAATTCCTCTCCCACGCACTTTACCACCTCCTCCGAACACTCCTCCCATCCGCACCCAGAAGCGCAGTGCTACCATTTTGCCTAACTTCGTCGGAATCCGCTTCGCTGTTCACAACGGCAAGACATACCAGGAGGTTTACATTACCGAGGAAATGGTCGGCCGCAAGCTTGGCGAATATGTTGCGTACGTCTATTTTTATCCGTGCCTACTAGGACGACATAGATCATCTCTCGCGTGACTGTCAATACTGACCAATGGGCCGCATAGTACCCGCAAGCGCTTCACATACAAGCAGTCCAAGAACAAATAGAGGAAGAGAGAAGTCGATATTCTTTTGCATAGGCTGACCTCGGAAAGCTTCACTTTCTCTCGTTTCGTCACTTTGCATCTCCACAAAGTCTCGGTCAATGCGATAACCCGGCGTGACCTTGACAGCTCGGAAAGACTACCTTTTTCAATCGTCTTCTCCTCGGAACAGGACCATCTTTATTTAGATTCAGTTGGGCCATGTGGCCCATGTATTGATACACCGATTACTTTGTGACATTAGCTACGTGGAATGGAGTTTTATCATGGATTTGCCAACGAGCGATTATACCATTTCTCGATATCCAGAGCGGGAAAGAGCGCACCAAAATGTATCAAAAACTCCATTTTCTATGGCCCCGCCTCCTAATAGGGATAAAGCCCTCATGATATCAGGATATCCAATCCCGCGCTCCACAAAGAAAAAAACAGACCGAAGTTGTAACGCCCAGCGCCAGCAAGAAAACTCCTCCAATCGTAGATAGGAACATGAGATGTGATGGATGCGAAAAGGTGAGACCTACTGCTTTTCCATGCACCTGGAGTTGATTACCGATAGAACTCCCCGCGCTTAACAGTAACCCCATACTCAGAGACAGCCATGCCCAGATCCTCCATCGTTAGCACCGTACGGCCCTGGCCTGATCCGCCGGAGCCACCACCACCGAAGCCAGGTCGCTGGATGCCGAGATGGGTGTTCCCTTTGGCGCCCTTGCCATCGCCCCCCGCGACGCCGCCTGGGCCAGGCGCGGCTCCTGGGACCCCGAGACCAGATGCAGCGTTGAGACTACCCATGGGGTTGTTTGCGGAGGAGCTGTTCGAGGCGCGGATACGCGCGAATTGATACGAGTCTGCTGCGATATCGGAAATGAACTTCTGGGCGGCAAGCGCAAGGAGACGGGCGAGATGGGGAGGGGTTTGGTTGGGGCCAGTGCCTGGAGGTGGCAGACCAGCCACGGTGAGGTAGTGGGCTGTGACAGCGTCGGGAATCTGCATCCGCAGTTAGCAGTCACGTTGCGTTTGATTGCAATCGGGTCTCTATCCAGTCCTCGCGAGGCTCTCTCGCTGGGCTTTCGTCACTGTTCCTAACAAGGAACAGGCCCCAGGGTTCAAGGTACACAGAATACAACGCACTGGATGGGTAGGCGGCAGGTAAAAAGGAAGGCACTTACGATAGGCGCGTAGTCATCCATCTTGCTCAAGAACTCACGTAAGCTCGTCTCTTTCTTAGATGGCGGCTGCGCGGGGGCGATGGGGTCAAGGCCGGCCGCTTCGCCTCCAGCGGCAGGGTCGGCGTTCATATCGATATCTTGCTCGATAGAGGCGTCTAGATCAGGTTCAGGTTTGACGGTTGCGTCGGTCGCGTCTGTCGAGTCGGGGACAGCTGAAGGTGGAGGTACAGGCTGCTCTGACCCGTTGGACGGAGGTTGCGAATCGGCCATATTAGGCGGTCATCAAAGTGTCCCCTGTAAAAATGGGCTGCAGGGCTTGTGCCACGAGACCAATGGCAAATAGCTGAATACCCGGAGTGAACTGGCGATTCTATGCAGTTGCAGCAGAGCCAGTCAGACGAGGGCGGAGGCGGGCGCACGGGCCAGGCGTCGTGGGCTTGATACTCAGCGTCCTCAGCCCTCTGTACGGTGGATCATCTATGAATGGATCTACTAGATTTCGACTACGCTAGGATAGATGAACAGATCTTCAGCATATAAGCAGCCTCCGGATTTTACGCCACTAGGTCAGGCTTGGCGTCTTCGACCATGTCGGGGTCGGAGGTCGCCCAAGTAGAGACAAAGGCTTTGGAATCCTAGCATTCTGACCATCTCAGAGAGGGGATTCGAAAAGGGGAAGAGAAAGATTGATGAAGAGCGAAAAGGAATTACGATCCAGTCCCTAGATTACTATTTTACAAAGAATCTGTAAAATCACCAAGTTCGACTCTGAGCCACCAGCGTACGGTCGGCTTTCACCAGAAAGCGATTCGCACCCACCGGATAATTCATAAAATCACCGAGTTCGACTTTGAGCCACCAGGATGCGAGTTATGTGCATTGGGCGTCCGGCACCCCCTTCATCCTGGTGGAACTATCTCTACTCGGGTGTCAACTTCTCCAAATGAGTGTCGATTCGCGGAACTAGGTTTTATACATAACCCGGAGGCACAAATGAAGAGAGATGTCAGTGCTGAATTATTAGTAATTGGCAATATCTCAAAAGGCCTTTAGACATCTCGTGTGAAAAGGCTATTGCTACTACAACTTCAACTACTTATAGATGGGCAGCGTTACATATTCTAGTATCCCGGGGCTGTCATGTCCGGGAGGAGGGGACATTCAAGTTTGAAACTATTGATTCAACTCTAATCCATTCTTAGATTTGTACGTGATATTTACGATCTAATTCTGCGGCCATTCTTGCCACCACCGGTTGTCCATTTTGAGTATAATGCTGGCAAGTATTCACCATTTTAGTTCCATCCACTATATAAGTATACTAAATCTAGAATGTCGAGCGAGTGAGCTTTATGTGAAGCCTAGTAGCACTAGCGGAAAACCCTCTGTTCAACTGACAGCTATGAAGTTAGTTCTAGTTCTGGATACAAAACCTTGGATCATCATGCGGATGAGTTGCCGCCCATTGGACTTCACTTGTAGAGTATAGACTTAAGATATCGTTCCTAAGCTTATGACACGATTTCCAGTAAGATTTGTGTTTTATTATCACGGCCACGCTAGTATTGATACAGATCAATATCTTCTGGAAAGAAAAGAAAGAGCACAGATAAGGCACGAGATCCAACTCCCATCCTAGCATCGAATTGTATGCTAAGGGTCCATGCTCCATAACTCGCATCATTCCTTGGCCCTCGAACTCACATGTTACACTTGCCATAACGCCGGGTAACATGGGAAAGGGGCAAAAAAAGGAGGATCTAACGCCGAAAGGTCGCTGGAAGAACAAAAAAGAAAAAGATGGTACATATTTTGGTGAATGACGGGCAATTACCCTGAAATCAGGCTTTTGGCTCAGGAAAAGAAGAAAAGCAAACACAGCGAGGTAGAGGCTCTTTCGTTGAGTAACCGTGTCCTTTCGGAGGCGCAATTGTCACATGGCATATCATGACCTCAAGAAAAAGGGGATACATTTGAGGACCATTCAGCACTACCAAGACTCAGCTGTCTACTGCCCAAGCTGCATCGAAGGATCGATATGATCAGCCGTATGCCCATTATGATGCTGCTGCTGATACGGGCTGCCGTGCACCTCTTGAGTCAGTGTCTGCATGAGGTTTTGCTCGGCCGTTTGATCAAACATGGCCTGGCTGTTTGGGTCCGGCGGCAAACTGGGCGAGGCAGACATTTCATGGCCACCCACCGGTGATGAATGTGCGCCCGCAAGAGCCATCATGCCCTTGATACCCTCGACGTGTGCTTTGTCTTCCTCGCCTTGCTTCTTCTGCCGCTCGCGGGCCTCTCTCTTGGCAGCTTGGGCAGGGGCGCGAGTCTTCAGTTCTCCGGTCACAAATTTGAGGTAGTAGGGAACCTCAATGCCACTCTTCAAAAAGAAGAGCTTCAAATTCCGTGCCTTGTCCTTCAACTGAACCTGGTTACGGTCCTTCAAGGCTTCACTGATGACACCACCAGGACCAAACATAGCCAGAATTTGGCTCCAATGTGGGCCCTTCACCCTGTCCAGACCTGCCATGAGAGCACTCTCCTCCTCCATAGTCCAAGGGCGCCGTTGGCTGGGCAGGCCTGATTTGCGACTAGCAGGAGAGGATTTTGCAGATGCTGCCATCCGAGCGCGTTCATACAAGACTTGGGTAGGTTGTGTTTGGGAGACATGAGGATGTTCGGGTGGGTAGTAGAAGTTCGTCGAAATTCCATTTTGTCGCGCCTGCATTGATTGCGCCGCGTTGGGGTTGTATTGTTGGAAGGTAGGCGTGGCGGACGGCAATGGGCTTTGTTGCTGGTAGCCACCAGGGGGGGTAGGGCTATGCTGATATTGCTGCACAGCAGGCTGCTGGTTGTATTGTTGCTGTGGTTGTTGAGCGGGGGTGTAGTTTTGGAAGAATTGGTGATCGGATTGGGTATTCTGCTGCGGCTGCGGCTGCGAGACTTGTGGTTGATGGGAGGGGGGTGGGACGAGGAAGGGCTGGCTTGAGCTGGCGCTTGATTTTGAGCCTGCGGCTGTTGGTACTGGTGCTGTAGCTGAGACTGTTGTTGAGAACGCCGAAGTCCATCGCCTTGCAAGGCAAGTCGCGCAGCACGAGCCGCTCGCTCCACAATGTCACCGTGCATATTCTGGTCCACCGGGACCTTCAATGGTTGATTCACCGAAAATTGGCCCTGGTGGGTGGTGCTAGGGGTCTCTTCGTCTTCGTGGGCACTAGATGGACGACGCTTGAACTTTTTACCCTGGATAACATAAGTAAAGGTTTCTTTGACAGCACGGGGAAACTCACATAAGGTGTGCTTATTGATTCATAATTCTTGGAGATGTAAGCGCCCAGGTCTCGAAGGAAATGCTCCCACTGATACTTGTCGGGCAACGCTTTGATCGTTTCCTCACTCTCCAAGTCCTTCAACAGATGCTCACGACGCTTGGTAAACCGGGTCAAAAAGTCGATTTCGGTCGGTGCTAATTGTCGGTTCCCCGGCCTATTCGCAAGCAGCTGACTTTCCATGTCTTTCGGAAACAGCTCATACAGTAACTCTTCCCGTGAGACTGACTTATTATTCATGGCGGCGATGAAAGCTTGAGTTTTGAGTTCAAGGTACAGAGCAGCCGGTCCTTTCAGCAGGCGACCACCCTCTGACATAAAGACATCGCGGAAATTCTCGTTCAACTCGGCGAAGCCAATCTCCTGAGAACCAAAAATGCTTGAAACGAACGATGCCAGATTTGCCTTGCGAATGACGTCTAACTGGGAAGGGTCGGTGATTTCGAGGTCGGTGCGTTTGAGGAATGAGTTTTTGATCGAATAGATCCGCTTGGTGTGGTCAAAGAGGGAGCGCATCGTGGCGTAGGCCTGGCCATCTTCAGATTCTGGCTCAGAAATCATGGCTATTAAGTCCTGGTAGCTGTTCTGGGAGAGGAAAGACAGAATTTGCATTGACAGATTCTCGAGAATGGGCAGACTCTGGATCTTTAGGTGAGAGTTGGCCTTCAGGAACGCGACACCTCGACTGCCAGGGAACTCGCCCTGAGGAGGCACCTCTTGTGGACCCATCGCAACAGTCTGTTCCTGGCGCTCCGTATGATCCATGATTTCACCTACGAGAGATGCCACATTAGAGCTGGCATCGGACGACTCGCCATTGGTAGCCGGAGCCTGACCCGATTCATTAGGCACATGCATGTTGTTGACGATGCCTTCCCCGAGAGCGGTTGCTAGCTCTTCTTCGATTTTGTGGCCAGCTCCGTGCTGCTGATCTGAGTCCTGGAATGGCGATTGCGTCGCGGTGGCGCGGTGAGAGTCCGAGCCGGTTCGACGTTTCTTCGCCGCTGGAGGGGACATGGCTTCGTCATTCTCCTGCAACGCAGGAGAGAATTTCTGGTCTGTAAGACAAGAAGTGCATTTGTTAGATATCGTGCTTTGGGAGGAATGGATGTTGCGAGGGGAAGGGGACAAGGAGAGGTCGCGGCTGGAGGGCTAATGGCAGAATACCAAGGCGTGCAAGCGTAATGACGGTCGGGGGTTTACTCACCAAGATCGCCATCATCGAGGGTAAATGAGGGAAGGTCAGTCGATCCATCAAAAGATGGACGAGAACCCCTGGTTTCCACCATTTGGGCTTGACAATGAGGTCAGGTTGGGCCAGCAATTTCCTAGAGCAGAAATAAGGGCTTAGGGGTAGGGCGCAATCGTAGGGCTTTTTCAGTTGCGGAGAGGAGATTTGGCCACGAGGATTTTTTCTGCCGCCCGCTTGCGCACCGCTGCTGATTGGCGAGGCATTGACACCGCCATCTTTGGAAAGCGCAGAGTGCTCGCCCACCGGCCCTTTGTCGCTATTTATCTGTCTGCCCAGTCTTGAAAAGCACACTAAGTCCCTGATATAGTATCCAACAATTTACCAACGTCCAAGGAGCAACCATGGTGTTCAATTTGTGATAAATGCCGATAGAAAGGCTTCAAATGAGGCTCTCGCGCGTCTTGCTCCTTGCTGGCAGATGTGGCGCCTTGAAATTAAGGCCAAAAGCTTGTGCTTGCTCCACAGGTCGATCCCCCCACGGGTCAACCGACTAGCTGATGGGATTTCCGCATTTCTTAGACATGAGAGGCTTGAATAAACTGTTGCCCCACAATATGATACTTTGCGCACTGATGGTTTCCTTCTGTTGGTGGCTTAAACTCTACTGTGCGCGTCATCGACCAAATATTGCTATCCTATCGTTCCCGGGTGTAACCTGAAGTAGGTAACCACCAGACCTATTTCAAATGACATGCTCCTGGTAGCTTGCCTGGAGAAACTTGAAAAGAGGGTGAAATTTGATGAAGCCTTGGAAAGCTGACCGTCGGCGCAGAAGTCAATAGTGGTTTTGAATTTATCTCAGATTAACACTATCATGTATTCCTTATATACCGATATCTTCAAGCTTTCCAAATTTGCGGCCATATGGAATTCATTGAGAATCTATGGTCATTCCAGTACTACCGTACTTGTAGGCTTCCAACAGCTGTCATATTTCCCTGCCAGCGAGCCTGATACCTTCCAAGGTTCTATGATATACCTTGAAACGGGATCCATGGATGGCTACCGGCCCACCTTCAACCACCAGTAGTACTGCTACCACAGTCATTAACTTATTGGTACTATTATAACTGGTGCCCTAGTCCGGAGAGCAGAATCTCTTCTTGAAGATCTCTGGGGGGCTGATCCAGGGGTCTGTTCAACGTAACGTCTGTGTCCATGTTCAAGGTTTGCACAAGTACCGTGACTTGGGCTTGCTTTAAACCCAGGGTTCCCCATTTTTTAAGTAGTATGGTTAGTACTGAGGTTCATGTATCAGATCTGCTATCTAGATCCTGCGAGACTTGACTATACTATTGCTTGAACTAGCCTTTACCTTGGCCATTGGAAGGCTAAAATTATACCGGAAAGAATTCAAGCGCAGTCGATATTCAGTATCTAACCTTTATCCAGCCGAGCGTTGTGGTGAAACTGAGGACACCATGGTTTCCATCAATGGTCAGTTTGTTATAACCGCCCTACTAGTATCTGTGCAGTTTCCTGGCAGCGTCATCGCCCAGGAGGCTTTGGATACGGTGTGGGGTATATTTGCATACACGATATCTGGAGAGAGCACTCCGAACGTTCTTGCTGGGAATCGACCCAAGCAGCTAACCGACTACGGAGCGAATCAGCTGGAGGCAGTTGGGACAGCCTTTCACTATCACTATGTATGGTCATCTTCGACCAGTGCGATCCAAGATATCTCGCCGACCATTCTATACTCCAACGAGGTGAATGTGTATTCGACGGCTGAGCAGCACACCATTGCTTCTGCCCAGGCATTTATGATGGGCCTCTACCCGCCTCTTGATAAGATTGGCATGAATGGAACCGACGAGACAGCGAACGGAACGACGTATTCGTCGCCTCTTGGCGGCTATCAGTTCCCTAAAATTGTTTCACTTGCGACATCGGATCCCGACTCTCTTGCCGTCTCTGGCCAGGCAGACTGCAATATGTATCACGCAGCCCAATCCGAGTACAAGAACAGCAAAGAGGCCCAGGAAATAACCGATGTCAGCCGAAACTTTTATCTTGGACTTTGGGACAAGGTGCTCTCCGCAGCCTTCGACCAGCCATCCGCGACGTATGTAAACGCCATTGAGATTGCGGACTATTTGGATTATGAATACATCCACAATAGCACAGCTTCAAAGCATATCACCGAGGACGATCTGCGGCAAGCCCACTATCTTGCCGGCCGGTATTCCTATGCCACTAATGGGCAAGGCGCCTCCCCCTTAAATCAGTCGCAGGTTGGGGCTGCAGCTCCTATTGCGGGCCAAACGTTGGCCTCAGCCATTCTGAATACATTCAATGCGAACATCGAAGAAAGTGGGACGCAAGGTAAAATGACATTGTTGTTTGGCAATGACGAGCCTGCGGTCGCGTTGGCTTTCCTGGTCGGCCTGGCTAACTCCCATCAACCTGGTTTCTTCTCTCGTCCGCTGGCGGGTGCATCCTTGATATTCGAACTATACAGCATCGAGTCGAATAGTTCGTATCCGTCTTATCCGAGCAGTGATGAGTTGTTCGTGCGATTCCTCTTGCACAATGGCACTGATAACTCCACGGAATTCATTTCATATCCGCTTTTCGGGTACGGGCCCAGTCGAACCTATATATCCTGGAGTGAATTCCAAGACGAATTAGAGACATTTGCGGTACCTTCCACGAGCGATTGGTGTCTCCGATGCAATGCGGACTCTGCTTTTTGCAACGGGGTGTTGTCAGATGATAATTCTCCAAAGAAGCAGAAGAAAGGGGTCTCGCCGGCTGTTGCAGGAGTAATCGGTGCAGCAGTCACGCTAGCTGTAGTTGGGATTTTGGGAGCGCTCGGGTTCTTTCTCTGCATATCTCCTAGGCGCAAAGACCGGAAGCCCAGCGCAGGAGGATTCAAGGGAACCACAAAGCTTGCCAGTGATACGGACGTGTCGTTTCATAATCCGATCTGGAGGGCTTCAAAAACTGCTGGTACTGAACAGCAACAAAGGCCCCTGGAAGTTCATTCGAGAGAGCATGGGCATGAGCGTTTGGGAAGCTGGGAGATGAATGAGCAAAAGATAGGCCTCCATGGAAGTCCTCCTAGGACTGACCAAGCACCCACTCCGCTAGAGGATGATCACGAGGACATGGAGATTCATTCAGACTTGCAGCCAGTAAGGGAACGTGAGAGTGTCTAGGACAACCTATCGACCATTATTGCCCCGGCTTTCCCTTGATAATGAATCAGTTCAACATATTGTCTCTTTCAAGCCAATAGTTCGTCATATCTGAGCTTCAAATGGCTTAGCGCAGTTAGGGTGAATGTCCTCGATAGTCGGAAGTTTCCTTTTTGCAAAAAGCCCACCTAGACATCGAAATCGTTTTGTTGACCACTGCAATCCACCTTCTTTCCCTTCCCCGTCAACCACCCAACGCGCCTTCCACGTCGCGCACTGCCAAGAAGATCATCGTTCCAACCCAGCACAATTCCCATCTTCATCTCAAATCAGTAAGCATCATATACAGAGGCAAACAAGATGAAGTACAATATCCCAACACTGATGGCTCTAAGCCAGACTCCCTCAGTCCAATTGCACTGGACCGCCGCGGCGAAAGACTGTAAGTGCTTTTCATGTCGTTTCACGTGTTTCCCTTCTCCCATCGATAATTTCTGTGGGCCTATTGTTCCCGCCAAATTATCATTCCCATCATCTTTCTGTTAGGGTCTTCAGTACCGTGGGAGCTGTACTAGCATCTGATGTACCAAAAAGCCCTATAATGCGAGCACCAATTCAGCAGGGGTTCTTTCTGTGAATCTGCTGGGTGTCTGGCTGTAGGTATCCGAGCTGCATGAACTGATGTTGACAATGGACATAGGCAAGCTGCTTCGTTTCCCTGGCAGCTGCAAGAAGCCAACCCTCGCTCCGGACAAGTCCAGCAATACTGCCGGAGCTCTGGTCAACGAATCTCAATCACAGCGACCAGTCAAAACTCAGAAACATCGTTCACGACGTCGACCAAAGCCAACTACCCGAAAGACTCCCCAGAGCCTCTTAGCCAACTCAGATACTGGGTTTGCTCAGTTTCTCCGTGAGCATACAACCTCTCAGCATCAAAGGGTAACTGCGGGAGGCCGAATAGTTCCGATGTCGAACGAACAATCTGAACAACGGGAACATCCTCGTCTAAATGATGAACAACCAGATGTTATGCCTGCTGCCCGTCCCCAGTGGCGTTTCGGTGACTTTGATACTGGTGGTGAACCACGAGAAATTGTGGAATTGCAGCGCGAAATTGACGCCCTTCGACGTCGTGGACGAGCAAACGTGGAGTTGACTGCTGGTGACCCGGACAATAGTATGCTGGGTGAACCTCATGATCCTTCTCCGACTGATCGAGAGCTCAGTCCCGAAAGCCTGGAATACCGCAACTTGAGAAGCCTCCTCCGTCATCCTCGGCCAAGGATTCCATATGCCTGGGAATGTCCCGGTTTTGAATTTGCACAGGTTGTGAGGGGTTATTTCACAACTGACGATCCATATGGTGAGATAGAGTGGGAATGGGAGTACATCCTGCGCCAGGAAATTGACTTCCATACCCCACCTGACCATTTGTCTATGCATTTGGACCGTGCAAGCAGCGGGGAGTCGTTTAGTCCCCGTGGGTTCCGAATGAGCCTGAACTGGGCAGTTCTCCATTACAGCTTGTCCGTTGAAGGTTTGATCGAGCTGCGGATGCACCTCAATACCCTCTGGGAAGATTTCAGCTTTCTTCTTAGTCAAATAACCCAACACATTGCCTCGGTTGAAGTCCCAGCGTCTGAACTTTATGAATTTCGTCGAATGTACATTCGACTGAGAGAGGAGGTGAGCCAATGGATGTACAGGGCCGGCGATATGATTCGATACGTCGATCCCCTGTATTCTGATCAATATGATACCGACACCGAGTGGGAAGAAGAGGGGTATCCCGAACCTGAAAGCAAACCTGATGACCATGGTCAGTACCACAATGAAGATTTTCATGGCGATAGGGATGCGGGTGCAGGTGCCCAATGTGTGAATGATGAAAGGTGTAAAGAGGACGATGAACTTCGTGATCTCTTCAAACATAGAGCTCGGTCTGCTTCTGACCCTCTCCAGTGCAATCACCAAAATAGGCTCATGAGCGTGGGTGGTCACACCCAATTTGATTGTACATCCATTCTGCCTGGGCATGGACGCAAGGTGTCGCAGGCAAACAGCATGCCTGAAATGAATGAAGTCATTGAGCAAGTGAAGAAGGTGGTTGAGAAAGTCGAGTGCAGCGGTAGCGAGGCTGCCGATCATGAAACAAACATGGACTGCGACGAGGTAAGCGACGTCGAGCCTCATTATTCTGAACCAAGTCACAATTCTCGACTGCGAACGGTATCAGGTGCCACCACCTACTCGAGCAACCAAAGAATTCCGGACATAGATACCACAGATACGAGCAGCCGCATCATCGCTAGCTCTCCTTTGAACACTAAGCCACATGCGTCGAACTTATTCTTACGTGCTTGGATCGAACACCTGAAGACACCTGCAGTTGACCCGACCAGCCCTTTGCATGGAGGTGTTCCTCTTGCTGTCAATATCCAAGATACCTTGGATGTGCTTTACCATCCTGCATCTGGTACATCTTACGTTCGAAGCCTAAATGAAGCCCCACAGTATCCTCTCCCAGTCACCACCGGCACAGAGGAGCTCACAAGTAGACGCCAGCGCATTCAGGGTCTACTTGATGGGGTACTTTCATATGTCCATGTTCATCAAAAGGAGAATTTGGGCTCACAGGTCTTTGGCCCTGATGATGTCGTAGACGACATGCCCCAGATGCCCACCGAGGGTATTGTTGCGTCTCGGCAGGCTAGGCAACGCCACGTGAATAAGATGTGAGTTCTTGGTAATTCCCAAATGAGGGGCATTTGTTTGCTTATACAAGCCTTAGACAACCCACGGTGGTCTCCGTGCAAGCAGAGGGTGTATTTGCCAAGCAGTGAAAGACCGAGTGGGGGTGAGTGTGCAGCGGAGAAGAGGTTCTAGAAAAAAGAAAAAAAAGAAAAGAGAAAAAAAAAAAAGGATATGACGAGTACAGTGTTTGACTTTGTGGTTTCTTTCCGTTTTGTCCAAGCTTAAGGGCAGGGCTAAATATGTATGTAGAGTAGGGAGGTCGCGAACAATTCAAACATTCTTATTGTATGGTGGGGATAAACTCCTGGTTCCATCTACGGTTCTCTCCGGGTTCAGTGTCTTTTCTCGAAGACGAATTGAAGGAGCCAACCAGATTGACAAACTGGAAAAGCCCGACCCATCCGTCCCCACTGGGTTGGTAAGCAATTGCAGTCACTCCTTGGTTGCTGCGCCAGAGGTTTGAGATAGGTAATGGCAGTTCCCGGCATCTCAAGAGATCAACTATTGCTTATTTACGTGTAATCGAAAAGAACTAAGAGCAGTAAACCTGTATGCTACAGGAGCGACAGGCTCCATACAATTGAATGTTTCATGGTTTCTCCTCAAGAATGCCATGACTAATCAAGGACTCCGCGTCCTTCTCCACTCCTCGACTCCTTGTCTTGCTTCGTCCCCAACTTGTCCTGACTTCCCTCTTTCTTGCGAAGATGCGGGCTCATTAATGCCTATTGGTTGTCCATTCTCCTATCCTTGGTCCCTCAAGGCACTCCGTCTTCCTGCAATCCCTGCAAAGCTACACCCTATCCTTCTCAAGTGCCGTGATACCTATCTGTCATTCCCAGGATCTGGACGCCCCGCCTCGACATCACCTCCAGTGATACACCTCTGCAAAGAAGATCGACCTTGTGGACTTCCCCCCCCTCACCGGATCTTCTGAAGCCTGTATCTTTGCCCATCGCCATGACGCAGCTTTTTGCGTCAAGTCCATCGGCCATGAACGAAAAGCGCGGGAATTTCCCCGGCCTATCTCTTCCTTCCCGAAAACACTCCGGCGAATCAGGACATATTCCGACTAGAATCAAGAATTTCTTCCGCATCAACAGTTCGAGCAGCAGTCATTCCACCCACGCCTCCAGCCCCACGGGCACAGACGGCCAGCGCGAGAAAGAGAACCAAGTGGCCCCTGTTCTTGCCAAGAACGAGAAGTCCACATTTCGGCAGTCCCGATTCTTACCCGGCATCGGTCGCAATCGCTCAACCACTGTTGCTAGCGAAGGAAATCCCCTCGATGATGGAGTTTCGCCTACTGCTACAGCCAATCCGTACTTTGCCCATCAGGGACAGCCTGCATTGAGGCACCGGAATGATGGGTCTGTGCCTTCGTCCCCTCCCGATACCCCCGAGTTGCAGGTCACAGGGGTCTCTGCGGTAGAGCAGGCTACAACGGCCAACAAGGAGGAATTAGCGCGCAAGCTGCGTCGCGTGGCTTCGGCCCCGAATGCACAAGGTCTGTTTAACGAGGGACAGGGCGATCGGCCGCAGACTGCTCAAATGGGCAAAGAACCTTTAGCCGAGACCACAGGTCCCGATGGTACTGTTGGTCTGGCGGGCTCCGACAATCACAAGGATGGAGCTCTCGCCATTCCCATCATCGGCGCGGATGGGAAATATTCCAGTGCCGACAATGGTGGATTCCGCCGCACCTACAGCTCAAATTCCATAAAGATTCGCAATGTGGAAGTTGGGCCCGCTAGTTTTGATAAGATCAAGTTGATTGGCAAAGGTGATGTGGGGAAGGTCTACTTGGTCCGCGAGAAGAAGTCCAGTCGCCTCTATGCTATGAAAGGTAACCATCACTCTGTTACTTCTGTCCTCAACCAACACTGACCTCTGGAATAGTCCTCAGCAAAAAAGAAATGATCAAACGCAACAAGATCAAGCGTGCGTTGGCTGAACAAGAAATCTTGGCTACAAGCAACCACCCCTTCATCGTCACTCTCTACCACTCCTTCCAGTCAGAGGACTATCTTTATCTGTGCATGGAATACTGCAGCGGTGGAGAGTTCTTCAGAACTCTCCAAACGCGACCTGGCAAGAGCATTTCCGAGGATGCTGCTCGGTTTTATGCCGCTGAAGTCACTGCTGCTCTGGAGTATCTTCATCTTATGGGTTTTATTTACCGGGACCTGAAGCCGGAAAATATCCTGCTCCACCAATCGGGCCATATCATGCTTTCAGACTTCGATTTGTCCAAGCAGTCTGGTCCCGGAGGGGCTCCTACCATGATCCCTGGACGTATTGGTGGGAATTCTACTGCGGCTTTGCCAACTATCGACACGAAGTCTTGCATTGCTGACTTCCGCACGAATCCCTTCGTGGGAACGGAAGAGTACATTGCACCCGAAGTCATCAAGGGCTGTGGTCATACTAGTGCTGTCGACTGGTGGACTTTGGGTATCTTGATCTATGAGATGCTTTATGGCACTACCCCATTCAAGGGCAAGAATCGTAATGCAACATTCGCCAGTATCCTACGAGATGAAGTATCATTCCCTGAGCATTCGGGCGCTCAGCAAACATCCACGCTGTGCAAATCCCTTATCCGAAAGCTGCTGATCAAAGACGAGACCAAGCGTCTCGGTGCTCGTGCTGGGGCGTCTGACGTGAAGACTCATCCATTCTTTCGAACAACCCAATGGGCTCTCATTCGTCACATGACCCCTCCCATGATCCCACACCAGGGCCGTGCTGGAACCGACACGGTCAACTTCCGTAACGTCAAAGAAAGTGCCAGTGTGGATATTGGCGGTCCGCCTGATGCCAAGATGAAAGGGGTTCCTATGGATTCAGGCCTGGCAACCCCCAATGGCGAACTGAATGATCCGTTTGAGGAATTCAATAGTGTCACCCTTCACCACGAAGGGGACCACTGATTGACTATCTAACCGCGCCCTCCGTATCGTCGCTTTCCTCTTCTCTGGTATGATGCGGGACTGGTTGCGTTGGCATCCATTTCGTTGACGATTATGATGCATTGACGACCGCACTTCTACATGTTCTTTTCCATTCCAGTCCACTTACAAAACGCTTATTATGTCCGTTGGGTGTTCGGGGTGTTTCGGGGCCTTCTGGATCGGCTGATGTTTGCGTTCTGCTCTCACATTTTCTTCTCCTTCGGTTATCCTACGCGCTGCATTTTGCATTTTCGGATCGTCGAAGGCCTTGGACCACTCTCGAGTGTTTGATTTCAGCTCCGTTTTCCCGCTTTATTGAATCTCGCGTCTTATCGCTCACTCCTTTTGGCACGACGATCTTCTTTTGAGGTATTCCTTCAAGTTGTTCTTTCATGAAAGCTGCGATATACACCAGGCTCACTTTCTCTACTTTCTCTCGTATGCAGCGGGCGGCGCTATGGATTACTTTTTGTTTTGTCCTCGTGGCATTGTTCGGACATCTGTTACTTCTACGTTTTGATCTTTTCATATCTCTTGGACCATGGCCGTTCTGTCTATGGAAGTTTGGACCCGTTTGGTTGTGTCATCTAGTGGCGAAGCCATAACTGGTGCTTCTGCAGGTCGCAAAGAATACGCAATATTAGTGTTATGTATACAATATTTGTAAATTAAGTGTTCAAAGCCATTCCTTTTGTCCCGAGCGATGTCTGTTCTACCGAGCTTAGTTATTATGCCTAAAAGTGGAACGGCTCCACCAGATCGAACTCGATACTCAACAAAAACAATCCACGAGCCGCCCTCGATCGCATCGCTCCGTCTCTCCAGTTTTCCCAAACCACGGGACCACGAATAACAAGCATGTCTGCATTTGCTGCCGACGACCCCGAGGCCCTGGACTCTTCGTACGCCGAGCATGACCCCACGGAGACCACAACCCCTCCCATCCCACCAGAGCGATCCAGTCCCGACCCAGAAGGCCCCCACGGCCGCAGTCGCTCAACAAATCCCCTCCTAGGTGGCGACAATGGTGTTTCAGATCTGGAGCAAGAAGTGCTAGATGAATACTCTCGTCTCCTGCGAAATGTGAACCAGGTAAGCCCAGCCTGCGCGACGCGCGGAAAATAGCAACAATGTCCACGAGTGCCGTGGCGGCACTCTGCTCTCTTACGAAGAAATTGGGGCGGATTAAAGCCCAATCAATTTGAGATTCTGTTTCTAATGATGTCGTCTTCACCAGCTCTCCGATAAACTTGCCGATCTCGCCGACTCACCCTCCTCCATGACCCTCGATGGGCTCCGCCTGCTGGAACGGAAGACTGCTACCGTGTGTACGCTGCTCAAGGCGAGCGTCTACAGTATCGTATTGCAGCAGCAAATTTGGAATGAGAGTGAAGAACAGCAGCAGCAGGGCCAAGAGGATCAGCAATTTGTGGATCCGGAATTCGAGCATCCTGGCGGTTATGACGTGGACGGGGATATGACATTCCAGTGAAACAGAAAGGCATAGAAGTATCAAGACTCACTTATTGCGGTTTCGGAGGAAGCGTTCTGTTTATTTGCGTATACCCGGGGTTTTGTTTTAGAATCATGATGGCGTCGGGATCAGGAGGATGCTATGTGCAATATGGCAGGCGTATAAAGGCAATGGGAGATTGTTAATTTGACCTTTCAGTACCAGTGGTAATATGCTGCGCTATCGCTTACTGGTAAGAGGTTGGGTTGGTATTGGATGTATGTTTTATTTCAGAAATGATGAGATGGTACAGATACAAGTACATGCAGTTTAGGAACACAAGGTAGAAAAGGAACACCCATTATATACATGTCGGGAGACGGCACTGATCTCTAGGTCTTGCCAGCATAGTAGACCTTGCGAACATCGACCATCTTACGGCCGCGAGCCCGAGCGACTTCCTCGGGATCCTTCTGGCTCATGAGTGCCTGATAAGCAGCCTTGACAGTGTTCATCTTGTTGCGAGAACGGTTTACCCTGGCTGAAAGATCGTGGATACCGGCCGCACGGCACATTTCATAGATAAGGTATTGGGTGCGAAGACCGAATCCTGTAACGAAATTAGTAGGTAATTTGATAGATGGACGAGCTAGCTAGACAGACCTGGAGGGCGGTGCATCAGTTGCAACTCAACGGCCCCAACCTTGCCCTTCACATCGCCAAAGGTTGTACGATTTTCGTATCGAGGAACAGGCTGCATGTTACGAATGGCACGGTACACCGATTGGACCTTGGCATCAGCAGCCTCATCGGACTTGCCTTCGCCGATGCCCAGCAACCCATTGCCGTTGCCCGCGACGGAGAGACGGTAGGCCCGACGAACCTTGCCAAGACGAGTTTGGTTTGTGACGCTGTGTGCAACGAGAGTTTTGGTGCGGAGCTCGCTGACCTGGCGTTCGGTGTAGCCCGTAGCGAGGAGAAGGCTCTTCAGGGCATCGGTCATCTCCTCAGCAACCAAAGAGCGTTCCTTCTCACCCCTTTCTGCCGCACTCTTCTTTTCTTCCGTGCGAGGCTCGTCGACGGTCTCCCCAGGCCCAAAGAGGTCCGGTACGAGCGAGCTGTGCGGGTTCAGTTCATTCTCCTCCTTGCCATGGGTCAGGCGCAGCTCATCTGCAAATCGCACGAAATCCGCACCACTCGCATCATCTGGCATCTCGGCAAAGAAGCGGCTGAAATCATCCACGAAATCGTCCTCGCTCTTGAGCTTGAAGTCGTAGTCGGAGTTGGACTCGGGCGCCCGAACATGTCGGTCGATGCCCGGCTCAATCACCGAGAAGTCGTCCAGGTACTTGAACTTCATGGGATCGTCCCGCGGTCGGAACTGGTCGGCCATATCCTTGGGGTCAATGGCAGATTCACCGGCGGCAATGGCGTCCATCTGAGCGGCAGTGTACTCCTTTGCCAAGCGGTCCTTGTCCTCCTTGGTGTAGGCCTCGAAGTGCTCAGGCTTCAACACTCGCTTTCCGGCATCAGGGGATCCTTCTTCGGGCGCCTTGACATTGGGGTATTTCGGTTTCCGATTCTGTAGGGGCGCCAATGATGGGTGGAATTGGCGACGAGCCACGCGAGGAACTGGCGCGGCAGCACGGGTGAAGCTGCAAAACACGCATCTCGCCGGCCGGGCGAAACTCATCTTGCAAAAATGAAAAGGCTCATCAGCTAGCTGTATGCTAGCCTCGAGCGCAAAAGCAGAAAAGAAGCGCTTACCACTACCACAACGGAATTAAGAAAACAAGAGGTTCAAGCGTGTACCGTCGGGATGGAATTTCTTGCTCGGCGGGCGGTCAACTCTCGACCAATCAGCGGCACTGTGGATCGGTTTCTAATAAATTTCCAGAATTTCGAGGATCAAAAAGTTCGCGACTTTTGTTAAGTTCTTGGTGTACATCGTGGGGGTTTAAGTCTCCTTGTATATGTTGTCCTTACGCTCCTCCGCCTGGCGACTATCCTCTCGGCTAACACCTGCCTCTCGCCCAATCCGAAGGGCTTCTACATCGAAATTCTCGTCCCTCCATAACCCAATGAATGCGCCAGTCCCCACCCCCGTGATGGAGAAACAAAGAAATGCCCCAAACAAGCCCTTTCATGGCAAACGACACAAGAACAAGAAGGCGCGTCTCGCTGCGGATCGTACCAAAAGTGATGGCTTTGACGAAGTCTTACAAGCCGACATTGATCAACTGCTCAAACGCAACCGCGCTGACCAGGACCGAGCTGACGACGCGAACGAGTCTGCGCCTAGTCTCCCCGAGGCATTCACAGAGCTAGATGTGATTATATCAGAGCTCTCCTCGACGGGTGATGGCCTGGGACTCTCTGAAACTGGGGATCACGTTTATGTCGTGCCATTCACAGTTCCTGGGGACAAGGCGCGCATTAAAGTAGTCCGCCATTTCCCTGAGTTGTCATATAGTATGACCGACTTTATCAAGGTGCTGGAACCAGGGCCACTGCGTGATGACTCCCGAATTAAATGTGGTTACTTTGCACAATGTTCTGGATGTCAATTACAGATGATGTCCTACGAAGAGCAGCTTGCTCACAAAAAGCGTATTGTCGAGAAGGCTTACGCAAATTTTTCCGGGCTCATTCCAGAACTTATCCCAGCAATTGGCGAGACCTTCCCATCTCCTATGCAATTTGGATACCGGACCAAGCTTACGCCTCATTTTACCCTGGGTGGTGCTCGCAAACCTAAAGTTTGGTCTCCTGAGGAGCCCACCGTGGTCCCGCCCATTGGATTTTCATACAAGGGTCGACGAGGGGAAATGGATATTGAAGATTGTCCCCTCGGAACAGACATTGTGCGCCGCGGTCTCAAGAGTGAGAGAAAGCGTGTGGCTGAGAACATCCGTAGTTACAGCAGAGGCGCTACTATTCTCTTGCGGGAATCGACTACCCGCGTCCCTAAGGAAGATTCAGCTGAAGCTGGAAAGAACACCAATGAATTCTTGACGCCGGGCTCAGATACCGGTGACCTGATCCAGATCGAGCACGAAAAGTACACAGAAGAAAAACGATGTATTAAAGACCAAAACGCGAAAACTGTTGAGTATGTCGACGACTATATTTTCAGCAACAAAGCGGGGGCTTTCTTCCAGAACAACAACTCCATCCTTTCCGGCTTCACCGAATTCATTCGCTCTCAAGCTATTCCCGCAGGTAACGACCAAGACGCCAAACCCATCAAATACCTTCTGGATGCTTACTCCGGCTCTGGCTTGTTTACCATCACCTTATCTCCGCTCTTCAAGTCCAGTCTCGGAGTGGATGTAGCTGGCGACTCCATTGTTTCCGCGCGTGAGAACGTTCGCGCTAACAATCTGCCCAACACTGGGTTTGCTGCAGCTGATGCTGCTGTTCTGTTCGAAGATGTGCCTTATCCACCTGACCAAACTCTTCTTGTCATCGATCCGCCTCGCAAGGGGTGCTCGGAAGATTTCCTCCGGCAGCTTCTATCATTCAAGCCTCGCCGTGTGGTCTACGTGAGCTGCAATGTCCATACTCAGGCTCGTGATGTTGCCGTCATGGTGCAAGGCGATGAGAAGAAGAATGTTCGGTATGAAATCGAAAGCATCCGTGGCTTCGATTTCTTCCCCAGACAGGGCATGTCGAGGGTGTGGCCATCTTGAACCGGGCTAGTTTCCCGTCAAAGGAAGCGTCTGCATGATTCGGTCCATTCATCAAGCCCTTGATAAATCGTATAATCTAACAGGGCTACGAAAAATGGAATATCGTGCTTTGCTTAAGAGGGGTTCTTGCATATTGAGGCGTCTGGGTTTTAGATATCGCACTCATACAATGGAGAGCACAGGATGGAAGGTGGGATTTTGCATTTTCGTACGCTTCAAAAATAGCTATCACAAATCAAATCACACTAATCTACCTCTACCTTCTCGGGAACCAGCTGTGGCGTACTAAGAACCCAGCGCCCATGCCACCAAAACTGGGTGAAGTAAAATAAAGGAAAGGAAGCGAGGAGCGTAAGGGAAGACATAATGTCGGAAAGAGCAAAAGATATGAGAACTGAGGAATATGGACAGAGCGCTTCCAGCTGCACCGGCTGGGGCAAGGGGCATGAGAAAAAAGAGGACCACCCATGAATCCGAAGCGAATCTAAGTGCTTCCAGGACCACCAAGCAGAGCAAACCTCCGTACAATGCTGGGACCTATCTCGTCGTACTCAGCCTTGGTGTGGCAGTAGCTCCGGAACTCAGGCGTCTGACCCAGTAAGCTGCCTCCGAACCAGGGACCGTGGCGCTGGCGCTTGTGTGTAACAACTGCAACATCTAGACCACCGCTGCGAGCACCACCGCTCCGAGCCTCGGATGCCCGAATACGAGCGTCCACCAGGTGGCGGATATCACGCTGCAGACGACGGCCAAAGTCCTTGTACAGGGTGGAACCGCCAGACAAGACGATGTTCTTATAGAGACCTCTTCGCACATCAATTGGCGATGATTGGATAACACCATCCACGACGTTAGGGAGAGGGGTCAGGAAATCGGATGAATAGATCTCGGGGTTGAAGAAGATCTCCGGGCGAGGAAACGTTCATAGCCAATATCGATGTTGACGCTGCGGCCATTGGGCGAAGTCACGGTGTGCTTGAGGAAACGGTCGGGCTCACGATCGTACCGAGCGAATTCCTTCACAATATCGGGGCTCACGTAGCAGTACTCTTCCTTCACCTTCTCGGCGGTCTTCAAGCTGCTGTCTGGCTCGCCACGGTCACGCAGAAGACTCTGCACGAAATATGTGATATCTCGACCAGCAATGGGAATGCTCTTAATGGAGGACCCAATAACATAACCCTCGGCCACAGGAATAACGTGGGTGACACCATCACCAGAGTCGATAACGGTTCCGGTGAGCGAGCGATCGGTCACCTTCGACGAGGTCCACGAGGCAGCGAGGGCGAGCACGGCTTGGACGGCAATGTAAAGACCAGCGCAGTTGAAAGATTCGAACATGATCTCCGCGGTGTTTTCACGGTTCTCGGGAGGGTTGAGTGGCTAGAATGTACTGCTAATGAGCCCACTGTGCTCCCGCCTTTATGCGGTCTGCGGGGAAATATGGAGTCAAGAGGCTTACCGGTTCAGTGAGAAGGAAGTAATGGTCTTCGGGCTCAACACGAAGGTATTTGAAAATCGAATTGGACCAGAAGCGTTCCATGTAATCCCAGTTCTCGATCTGGCCGTGACGAATGGGGTAGTTTACACCGTATCCGGGCCATTTCCAGCAGCCAGTGCTTCATCGCCGATGAAGAAGTCCAGGTCCTCCGTACCACGCTTTGAAGCCAGATTTGAGCTAGCGCCACCACTACCACCTAGGAAGGAAGGCTTGTTCGCAACTGGAGGCCGAGCGCCCGAGCTTCCAGCGCTTCCAGCACCGGCCTTGGTTGCAATTGCTGTAGGGAAAACGAAGGAGGGAGAGTCATTACCGGCAAATCCTATTCACAGCAGTCAGTTGTAAGAATCCATGGATTATTCCCAATTCTAATATGCTGCCGCCTAGCATGGCACACCTACCAAGCTTGGAGTAACCGGTACCGCTGGAAGTGGGAGGCATGTGAGCAAGCTGGGTCAATTCACAAAGGAGGTGAGGAACTCACTTGTCCATGACAACGGCAGGGGTTTGGTTGGCCATGGCGGAGGTATGAAAGCAAGGCCAATCTTGGAATAGGGTCCGCCGAGTCAATGGGAGGGGGGTAAATGAGGTCGACCGTGGCGGAGCTCAGGCAGACAAGGCGGGGAGGATTTGCTGACATAAGGGGGTCACGTCAACATCATGTGCCCTGCAGCATAAAATCGAGGGACGCAACCAACAGACAAAAAGATATTCGACGGAGAAACAAGCGGCGAAATGCGACATGCGACGAAATATGAATATAAATCCATGTAGCCTCTGTTGAAGATGCATTCCGCCGCTAGTTAATGCAGTTATCTTGGCTTGCATGAAGACTGGAACTCTCTTAGTTGCAGCCAGCAAATTGACGAGGAAAGAGCAAGTGAAGCGTACACAAATGGACTCCAACAGCATCACCTGCATGCATTTTTGTCTTTGAACTTGTCCTATGACTGTGTACTGCGCACACATAACTGCTAATCTTTATTTACCGTTTCTATTCGGCCACTTATTTTTTACTCCTACAATCACAGCAGCAACTCATATGCTAGCAGTGATTCACGTTCACTTCAGGATCCAATTGACCCCTCTCCCAAGTCGCGTAACTTGCGTTCGTTGCGTGGTCGATCAGTGACCACAGCGGCGTCAGCTTTACATTACAAAACTCCCAAGTTCTATTTACACTTCCTCAACACCTCGTGCCTGTTTACACACGTCTGGTCTGGCCGTCCTGCTCTGCCCAAACTGGGAGGCCTGAATTCATAGCTTCTGGGCTTTGGGTTGAGCTTATCGTAACGGCAGTTACTCAACTCAATTCCTTTCTAGCCTGCTCCTCGAACCTCAAACGTCGCGTCAGCTTCAGGCACTACTCACGACTAGCAAGATGTCGACCAGCCACCACGGAGACCTGATGCTTCAGCATGATTTGTGTGCTGTTTTTGTCCATGCTGGAGCAGGATACCATAGCAGGGAGAATGAAATGAAGCATTTGGAAGTTTGTGAACTGTAAGTCGCTTTCATTGGTCCTTTTTTTTGGCGTTGCTGCTGATATTTGAAGGGCCGTCCAGAGTGGGATGACCGTCCTGCGCCATGGCGGAACAGCTGTTGATGCAGTGGAGATCGCTATCATGATCATGGAGAACGCGCCTATCACGAACGCGGGGTATGGGAGTAACTTGACCGAGAAAGGTGTTGTGGAGTCCGATGCCACGATCGTTGACCATTTTGGACGCAGTGGTGCCGCAGGTGCCGTTCCTAGTAAGTGCTCAGTGTAGACTTGAGCTTATCTTCTTATGTGTTAACTGGACTCCAGATGTCAAGAACCCGATCCAACTGGCCCGCTGTATCTATGAGCAGACGCAACGTTCTCCCGGCTTGCAGCGAGTGCCTCCCAATCTCCTCTGTGGTCAGGGTGCGTCGGACTTCGCTTGGCACAACAAGATCGCCATCGTTCCCAGCGAGTTTCTGGTCACCCCTGCTTCGCAACAGCGATGGCAAACGTGGTCCAATGAAATAGCTCAATATGAGCGCGAGAATGGTCCGTCCGAACAACAAACCAATCCCTTCATTCGCCCCCGACCCCAGTTTAGTCCTCAAATCTCGGTGATGTTTCCGGGAATTCAGCAATCCATGAGCGCCGCTCGGGACATCAGTGCGGAAATGTCCGGCGATTCCCTGAATGGGGAGCCGTCAAGCAGCCTTGAAATGGACGTAACTCCTGACGACGATAGTTCTGACTACCAGATCCATACTGGACAAACCGGGCCGCTGGGAACCTTGGAGCTTCGTCCAATTTCTGCTGGGGGCATCCAGACTCAGAATGAAGACGACATCTCCGACACCGTTGGGGCAATCGCTATCGACCGGTTTGGCAACATTGCTGCAGGCTCTTCTTCCGGGGGTATCGGAATGAAGCATCAAGGCAGAGTTGGACCTGCTGCACTCATCGGCATCGGAACTCATGTCGTACCCGCTGACCCGTGTGATATTGAAAAGACTACCGTTGCTGCTGTGACTTCGGGAACGGGGGAACACATTGCTTCGACACTTTCTGCCAGCATATGTGCACAACGTCTCTATCACAACCAGCGAGTCGACGCTATGGGTAGACTCGAGACTGTAAACGAGGAAGACGCCCTCAAAGCAATGCTCATGAACGAATTCAGCAGTATGTCGATATGCGTGGGGATCTATTTGGAACCGTACTAACGCCAGCCAGGTCACCCAGCAGTCTTGAACAGCCATACTTTGGGTTCCATTGGGATCATGGCGGTCAAGAAAACCGTGGATGGAATCCACCTGCTCTTTGCACACAATACCGAATCATTTGTCAGTCTCTTGTTTTTCTTCTCACCGGTTTTCAGTCTGGCTAACGTCTGTAGGCCTTGGCCTCCATGTCGAGCAAAGACAAAAAACCTAATTGTGTGATGTCCCGGAAGCGGAATAATTCGTCTATCTCTCAGGGAGGAATGATGATTCGTCCACCGTGAGTATTGTCGCAGAAACTGGGTGAGGGCGAAATTTCATCTTACTGACCGAGATTTTACTACTCATAGCGCTCAACCTACAAACACGAACTAGGTTTAAGCAAATAATGGCCTTGGTCTCAGCCACGAGTCTCTTTCGTCTTCCACCGGTCTTATCTTTCGCGTTTCCAAACTCATCCCACATCCGTTTTTCAAGGTCCCTCGATAAGCACGCTACTTCCCGTTTCAACTAGTTCAATCCGTCATTGCGATTCCCTTTGCGCTGGACTCATTTGGTTCTCATCGGTGGTTTAGCGTGCAGAATCGCGCCGGCGGCTAGGTGGGCACGTCATTGTTCTTCGGCGTCAAATCTCTTGTCCTTCAGTGATTCCCTAGAAGTACTAGAATACAGTTCATTTGCCCGGTGCCAACTTGAGTTTACTTGGTCATAATTCTCCTCGCGTTGAAACTTTCCCCTTGTAATTTAGTGCAAGTTCCACCCTTCATTGAATAGATCTAAGATGATGATATTCAAGGCCCTGGAGTCGGAGTCGCAGGCACCGACATTGGCGTCCCATCCGCCGAACCACCATTTACTCGGGGGATCTTCTTCTTCTTCTTCTTCTTTCTCGGAAGAAGAGCCGGTTTTGCCCCCTAAGTTCCCTGCGTCCAGAGGAGATCCACACGTCAAACATTCATTTCCTGCGGGGGGTTCACAGAAAATACTCAGGCAGATAGAGCAGACGAATCCAATATCGACGACTCGGCGGTGGCAGAAGCACGCCGCGCGAAAATCCACGTCGATTCGCGTCGGAAGCACGAGATGTCTTCGCGAGCGTTGATCCGGGAGAAAGCCCATCATCAGGTATTGGAGGAATCCCCGCGGCTCCGAAAGAGACATGTAGACACCCTTGGTAGCATCACATGCTTGTTGCAGAAAGACAGCATCACCGCTCAACTTACATACGTCAATCGGAATACGAAGCCGCTGGCAGGCGAAGATACTGTTCATCATGGGAATGTACTGGTGCGCCGAGTCACTGGAGCCGCTCACTGACACGATGAGGATCCGACTTTGTAGACTTCTGTCATCTTCCACAGCTGCGCTTCCGTTCGCAGTAGCCAGTCCGCCTCCGTCACCTGCGACTTCGTCTGGTTTTGTGCCACCATGCTCCTCGGCCCACGCAATTGTGCGCCGGTTGATGTTGCTAAGTGCCAGGGTGAGCGAGCCCGCTAGCATTGTAGACGTGTTGCTCCGGAAATCATCATTACTTGTTGAATCAAGGAGATCTTTCAAGCTCCTATTGACCTGTTCTTCTATGAGGCGAAATGAGCGGTATTTGCTCGTTTGTGGACCGTTGCTATCGCCATTCATGACCACGTCGCCATCACGATCTGCGGGTTTCTGGCTATGGTGGGAAACAGGGTAGAGCCATGCGGCTTTTTGGAGATGGGAGGCAACGACAGCTACTTCGTTCGCATAGTTGCAGGCTAGGTGGGCGTTGATGAAGACTAATATGTTCGCGACGGCTTTCGAGAATGGGAGGGCATCTTCAATGGTGGCCCAAGCATGGGGATTCGTGTCAATGATAACAGTGAGAAGAGAGGGCGCAATTTCTGGATGTTGCGTCAATCAATATATAGTTCACACTGGGTTTGAAAGGGCACAAGAAGCACAAACCGGTGGTGCCTAGCTCGTAGTGCTCCGAGGCATCGATGGTATCCATGGTGCTCTAGCTGATCCTGTTCAGGTATGGAAGAGGCTCATTGTGAGCTGGCCAAGGTCATGAGCCAGCTCGATCCGATCCTCAATCTTTGGCCTCGGTTCGTCTTGAGAAAGCTCCAAATAAAGGACAAGCAAAATTACTGAGAAGGTGGATGGGGAACGAATCACTGAGCTCTGCGATAACAGTCACGGGGTGATAAGCGATCCCGCAGACTGATTGGTGGCGGTTTGGCTACTCATGATCGGCAGACGCGATCGAACGTTCTTTGCCCAGGTGTACAAGTAGACGCAGGCGGACCTGAGATGTACAAATGCTACTGCGGGACCGTCAGTTGACATCCAAAAGATACCTTGTTGCTGGTGATATTGAATTGACTAAATGAGTTGACAAATCCAAACATATAACTAGCTGCCGACAGCCTCATATATCTCGTACAAATACCCGTATAGCAACCGCTTCAGGAAGTGGAAGGGGTCCAGTTCTCAGTAGGCGCTCCATGGCAGAACTGTCCACCCGAGACTGGATAGCAGCCCCAGACCTTCCCAGACCCCGCATCGCTGAGAATAAGCTCAATGGTCTCCGTAGCTCCGACACGCTTAACCGTGAACTCGAGAGGATCGATAGTGTCCGCGCCAGACGTGATTTCAACGGTGTAGAGTTTGTCGTCGGTCTCAGCAATAGCTGGAGCCGTTTGGTTGTTCCTGATCAATTGATGGCTTTAGTGTGTCTTGTTCCCACAAATCCTAGTATAGCATGGACATACCAGGTAGTGGTGAAGTGAGATGTGGATCCGTAGTTTGGGTCGCTGAGCTGGAAGGACAACAGCCCAGCTCCAAAGATAAGGCTTGCTTCCATTTCACTAAAAGTAACGTCCTGTCCAGATCGCTTTGCCGGTTGAGCTAGAGCGCCGCCGGCGACCAAAAGCAGAGAGGAAATAATAGCAGCCTTCATGTTGATAGATGATTAGAATTCGGCTAAGGGAATCTTTGAGAGAAATGCGAGGCTCTTGATCTTTTGAGATGGGCGATGTTGTCGGGATGACTAGCCTGAGAACTACTCGAGCTTTTATATCTATTGATGCTGTACACAAGCCCAATGGTATGCAAGCAGGCACGCCTAAGATCAGGCCTTTTGCTCAATGTCTCACTGCCAGCAAGACACGGACGCCTATTATTAAAGAACTTCTCAGCTCAAAGACAGCTGCCCAATCAGCCTTCTAGGTCGCTTCTGCCTTATGTCAGCCTGGTTGCGCGTGGTTGGTACATAATGGGATGTTTAGGCGCCCCAAGTACTATTGGCGGGACGCCCTTTAGGGGATGGAATGAACTGGCTTCGAACAGTGTATACATTGATTCTCTGTGCACTATTTCACTGGTCTAGACTCGATGTGATAGTGAAGCTCGCTACATATGTAACAGCCTTAGGCCAGCTAGAAGTTGGCAACGATCCTGGTATTGTCACAGACAATAAAGCCCGTCGCTATGAGTAGTGTTACTAGTAGGACGTCTACCAGTAACAAGCAGCAGCTCGGATATACGTGAATAGCTTGCAGGCCACCGACACTATGATCAAGAACGTATCCGGGTATGTAATTTAATGGGCGATTCGATGGTACTAGTGGACTCTCGCTATTGTACTTGATGATACACTATAACGGGCTAGCTTTCCGTCAAATAGCCCCTACCTTGGCGGCTTCTCAGAATTAAGATCAATCAATTATTAGGACTAGGAGCCTGGGGGGCGATTATGGTTGAACCGCTCAGCTGAGCCGCCTAGCTGAGGCCCCCATCGCCTTCTTTGGACTGGCCCAATCCAAGGCTTAGAAAAAATTATAGACCCAGAAGATGATGGCCAAGAGCCCTAAGGGATCGTTGTGTTGCAGATCATACCTGGGCAAAAGGTGTGGCAGCGGACCCCACCCCGAGACTCTACGATCGTAGTGGTGGAAACAACTCCGCCCCCGCCGATATACTTGTACTCTGGACATTGAGACCGTCTCCCTCACGGTCACCTGGGTCGTTTCAAGGGAACGCCCCTAAGCCGGGACTCCGGAGGATCTACTCCGTGCTGATCTACTGGGATCTTCTTCAGAGGATCTGCCAAGAGGTGCCAAGCCAAGCACTATCCCTTGACCAACCCAATAATGGGATTTCCTGGTCGCCCTTCACCCTGAACACTGCCAACTTTGGCGGGGTTGTCCTTCAGAACCTGCGTATGCAGGAGTCTATGGGAGTGGACAAATGATACTATCGCTGATAGGCCAGCGGACATGTTCCACCCGGCCCTTGCGGGCTTGCCGCGCTAGGCTGGTGCTGGGCGTTGGGGGTAGATAACGCAGTAGAAGTCAAGAATGCCCTGCCGGGAAGCGGAAGGACAAACAGGCAGTTGCAGCTTTTAGAGGGCATCCGGAAAATGCCCAGTTATGCCGATCCGCGTCCAACGTGCGAGGGCGACGGCCTGTGGTTGGGTCTTATCGTGATTGATAATGGGTTTGAGTGACCGAAATCAATGACCCCTGTTTCGTCTGCTTCGTCGGGGCTTCGATTATGCAGCTGGGCCAAGCGGTACTAGTCTCAAAGATTACTATAGTGGGGGTGGGCCTGTAATACGAGGCATGCTGGGCATGCTACAACTCGCCCCGTACACTGTATACCTTGAACTCCCTGGAACGTACTAGTAGGCAGAGGTTCTTGCTTTTTATCCTTTCCCTTTTTTTCTTCACGGGCGCATCAGCGTAACATCAGATAAATCGGGACACATTTCCACAGTTTCTCTCCCACCCCCGCCCCTCCTTTCCGCCTTTCCGCGCCGAAAGGAAAAAAAAAGTGAGAGAGATAAGCTGCGATCCTGCCACTCCCTGTTTCCAAATCGCTACGAATTCCAACGACCCCAAATCATCTTTGCAGGCTGCTCTTGAGCAACCCTGCAATGGTTCTACCGACGGGTAACGATCGCGCTATCCATTTGGCTCGAGAGGCTGTCGAACTAGTCGACGCCGGTCACAAAGAGGTATGTCATACATGGAATTCGCCCTCTGAGATCGCAATCGCATGGCATATTCTAACACATCGCCACAGGCTGCGTCAAGGAATCTCCGAGAAGCTCTTTCCATCGCCCCCGAACATCCGGAAGTCAGGTCGGCTTTTCTGAAAATCCAACAGGAAGAGGGGAATGGCCACCCGCTCCTCGACTTCTGTCAACGTTACACAACGCGCCAGGATGAGTCCGCCGGTAAAGAGGCCGTGGCCTATCTGCGCACAGACGGACTGAAGCCCCCCAGAGAATGTTGCGCTGGATTGTCTCAAGTTGCTTCTGAGTCAGCGCGCCCATGCTCTTTCGGAGACTCAGGACGAGATTATCTCGGGCCTGGTGCGGCAGAATGCGAGCGTCCGCCAGTACTTCTCAACCCAACTGCAGATCTCTGTGACGACATTCTTTGACGAGATCTACGACCGAGGCGATGGCGCGGCGGTTTGTCTGGATACTGTGGTCTTGGACCCGGCGGTGTGGCCCTCCGAGGAGACGCGCCGCCATTGCGAAAGTGAACTCTTCCAACTCTTCCTGGCGAAGTTGATGGAATCGGGTCACGATCTAGATGGTCGTTCTCTGAAAGGTATCACGAGGCTGCTCGCTGTGGACGCGGGGCAGCTGCAGCATCTGGTTGATGAGGAGAGTTTCGAGGTCATTTTGACTTCGTTGGACCACAGACTGCCACTCGAGCTTCGCAGCCAGGCTACGCTGGCGACGGCGAAATACCTAGAAGCTGCCAAAGAAACTGGCGAGAAGCAATTCGCTGGGCTGGTCTTGACGATACTAGCCAAGGGCCGTTTGGATGACTACGTCATTGCTTTCTCCGCCGTGGCCGCTGTCTTTCCAGTAGCCCAGGCAGCAGCAGCAAATGTTTTTTTGTCGGAGGAGTTCATGGGCGCCTTGACGTCTCTAGCGACACGAGATGCAAAGCGCAGGAAAGTCGAGATCGCAGTGCTTGAGCTGCTCAACGCTGCATGCGTAAACCGGCCCTGCAGAGAAGCAGTTACCAAGAACTTCTCCGAGTGGCTGTCACACAGCCTGACCAACGGCAGTGATGAAGGCTCAGAATTGGCCGCTGTCATCTTAGCCAAGATTCGGGCATCCGAAACAGTCCAACCGCCAGCTGAGATCAGCAAGGTGGAAGATGCGGACACCGGGGTTTCTGAGTTGGTGCAGCGATTCAAGGGACTGATGTCCGAGTCAAAGACCGAAAACATCGCTCATCCAATTGAAGGACTGGCTTATTCGTCGGTCAATCCCTCCGTTAAAGAGCAGTTGGCAAAGGATCCTTCGTTCATGCGTGATTTGATCTCTGTCTTGAAGAAGCACACAACCAATTCTTCTGTTCTCTACGGTGGACTGATGATCATCTTCAATATTACTAAATTCCTCCCAATTTGTCGGATGAGCAAAAGAAAATGTCTCAATTGAAGGATTACGCGGATGCATCTACCGGCAAGGCCAGGGCTGCTCCAAATCCGCTTGATGAAGAGGATGCTGTGGTTGCCCGCTGTGGCGCTGTTATACAAGCGGGAGCAATGAGTCTCCTAGTGGAGTGTGGCAAGCTCGCAATGCCATCCGTTCATGACCTTACAGCCCAAATTTTGTTGGCCCTGACTAGACCACAGAAATCGCGCGGAACTCTGGCTCAGCAGGGTGCTGTGAAGCTGTTGCTTGGACTGGCTATCCCTAAACAGGGCGATGCCATTGTTGTCACTGAGACTACCAAGAACGCATCACATGCACTTGCACGTATTCTCATCTCTGTTGACCCATCACACGTCTTCCCGTCGTCTGGTTTCCCTCAGGCTACTTCTGCTGTGCGACCCCTCCTTTCACTTCTCACATCTCCTGAAACGGCATCTTTCTCAGCCGATCAGCCTCGTGATCTTCTGCCAGTCTTTGAGAGTCTCCTAGCTCTCACCAATCTTGCGTCTCATCCTACTGATGACTCGCCCGCGGAACTCACTGTCCGGGAAGGCTGGCCTGCAATCGAAGACCTTCTCCTTTCTGGTCATTCTCGTGTACAGCGCGCTGCCTGTGAGCTAGTGTGCAATCTGATGACCTGCGAGTCCGGCATCGTTAAATTTGCCGATGGCTCGAAACGTGCTGCACAGCGGCTTCACGTTCTCCTGGCTCTCACCGATGCAGATGATTTACTCACCCGCCGCGCTGCTGGCGGAGCGATGGCCATGCTGACAGGATACGATGCGGCGGTAGCCGCAGTGCTGGACCGACCTCGCGGGGTGGATCTCCTGCTCGGAATGTGCAAAGAGGACGATGAACCTATTCTTCACCGTGGTGCAGTATGTGTGCAGAACCTGACTTGCACAGCATCCGGTGATATCGGCGCTCGAGCCAAGACAGCTGTCCGAGCTGCTGGTGGTGTCGAGGTCCTGACTGAGTGCATCAAGAAAACATCAAATCCTGCCGTGATACAGGCTGCCGTTGAGGCGCTGAAGCCACTCGTGGGGCAACAGAAGTAGACTTCTACCTGTCTTCTTGTACTCACCCTTTTGTCCTTTTATGCTTCTGCTTTCCCTCCCTCGGAAGCGCTGCAGTTACTTCGAGGCTTCGCTGGCCACGAGATCAAACTCGTGCGTCCTTCAGCCTCTTCTTACGATTTTCTACTTTCTTTTTTTAGGGGCTCCGGAATTTTTTTCCCTATATGGTCATGAACATATCGGTTGGGCTAGCGATCTGAATTTGATTCTTCTTTTCTTTCCAATCGTTCCTCATGGGAGGCGTTCACCGTGGCTTGAAACTGGCGCATTTGACAACAGACTTATGAACTCGCATTGGGTATTTTGCTATAGCGGTAGAATATAACGACCTGAAATTGATTTAGATTGAACTTAAAACACGGTCTTGTGAGGGGTTTCCTAATTGTTCAAAGGGATCGAAGTACGAGACTCTTGGCCTGTGACTGGGCAGGAAGCCTTCGCCGTTTACCTCACCGTGCATTAGTCAATGCACCTATCGTATCTTTGACTCGTTGGATCTCCCGTACTTTCTTAAACCTGCCTAATCTATGATCGCTTGGAGTGTACTTTTGGGACTCTTTGCTCAGCTTAGTGACCCACAGACAAAAATAGGTGACAATCTCGTTTCTTCTCCCCTCGGGGTGGGTCGAAACCTCCGCCAGTGCGCTCACCGTTACGAGGCGCCATTCTCAGCTCGATCCCCACTGAGACTACTTTGGGCCATTCTGGGGAAATGCTGCTTGAGTCCAGCCCCGACAGCCTGTGGGCCGGGAATTTGGCCACTATCGCCCTGGTGGCACGGAGGGTACGGCTCTCGGGGGCCAACGGAAGCTTACTGCGTACAGGAAGACCGCCTTATCGCCGAGAATACCCAGGGCTACCCATGGAATACTCTGGATATCCAGACTGGTGAGACTGGCCAGAGGGCCCCGAAAGAGCGCAAATCATGGAGCTGATGAGTATCTCATGCTATGCTCTATGAAGTAGGCGGCGGGAAATCACAGGTCTGGCCCGACAAATCACCTCGACGCCAGCGAGCACGACTCCGGCTCGTTCAACCTCGTGCCTCACATATTTGGCTCTCGTCCATCCCGATTTCCCTGGACTGGATCTATAGCCGAGTCCCACTATAGCACTGGAGCTCGGCATTTGGATCCCATTCCTGAACGTGAAAAAAAAGCGCCCTTGGAAGATCCTATCTCTTCGTCCCCCACCCCACCACCCCTGATCGTCCTCACCGCTTCCCCCCACTTGTTCCACCGAAGGTCGATTCGCAGGCTCGAGCTACGACGTAAAACGGCCGATGCGCCTACTCCTTCAAAGTTTTCCCATCTTTTCTTCTCCATGGAGCTGCCTTTCCTCACCTGACCCTTGAACAGTAACTTGTTACTTGTTACGGCCTCCAGCAATTGGTCTTATTTGTGCATATCAAGTGGGGGCATTCTTTGTTCCTTCCGAGGTGGCAGAAAAAAAAAGACAGGAAAAACTCAAAAAAAAACACAGAGGCTGAGACGTTGGATAAGTCCTGTTTGCTCTGACATTGATCTGTCAAGCAAACGCCTTCACCATGAAGTTCGGTCGCAATCTTCCGCAGTTCACTGTGCCCGAGTGGAGTGCCAATTACATCAAGTATAAAGCCTTGAAGAAACTCATCAAAGCGGCGGCCGAGCAAGTCAAGGCGGGGCAAGAGGCAGACCTGGCCGGTAAGCGCGATGTTTTGTCGCCGACACCCTAAATCCCTCGTGTACCTTCTAACGACGATGCCTGGCTTCTTTGCTCTTTGTTTTTGGTCGTATAGGTTTCTTCTATTCTCTTGACCGAAACGTCGAGGACGTCGATTACTTCTACAACAAGAAATATGCCGAGTATGCCCGCCGCTTGAAGCTCTTAGAGGACCGCTATGGTTATTCGATGGAAGGACATCATACATTGGATGCGGAGGACAGACACGACCTGCATGAGGCTTTGTTGGATCTGCGCTACCACCTTCGCCGCTTACAGTGGTATGGTGAGGTCAACCGCCGAGGCTTTGTCAAGGTCACAAAGAAGCTGGATAAGAAGGTCGGCACTCAGGCTCAGAAGCGCTATTTGGAGACTAAGGTTGACCCTGCTCCTTTCGCTTCGAATGCCCGTGCCATCAAGGCCCAAGACCGTATCAACAGCTGGATGGCTATAATAACGGATCAGTCCAAGGCCGATGAGAAGCTTATGGACGACGCTAGCTCAACACATTCTTCCTTGTCTTTGAAACGGGGTGGTGCGAGACCTTTCCTCAACCTTCCCGCTACTGTCCTCATGTCCGTGGACGAAGCCCTCCGAAGAGATGACACTCACGTGCTGTTGGAACTCCTCGAGACCCTGAAGGCGGCTGCCGATGACGCTGGCGATGGGATCTACTCGAAGGTCCTCAAGACTCTCATTCAACGCTCAATTCTGCATCGCGCCCGCGCTTGTCTTACCTTGCTGCTCCATCGAGTCGATACACTTGACGAGGATGACGATATCAATCGGCGAAACTGCCTGCATCGCCTGGTTATCTCACTTGGCCGGGATCAACCGGTCAATGACCCAGATTCAACAGCCTCGTTGGTGCTCGACTTCCCTTCTGAAACCTCGCGATACATCACTCCCGCAGCACCTCCCACTCTGCAGCCTCCGCGCTCAGTTGTCAAGGAGGAGCATATGCAGCAGCAGCTAGAACACAACGACCCTGTTGTTTCCCTCTTCTGTCATCTGCTAGATTCGATGCGCCCAAACCAGCGCGAAGCTTTGATGGCCAAAGATATATCTGGCCGTACCCCCTTGCACTATGCTGCGCAGTATGGCTTCAAGGTTGTCTGTGAAGTCATCATCGAACGCCTGAAGGAATGGGAGATGTTCGATGTGAGTGAGGGGATCGATGGCCCTCTATGGCAGGATAACGATGGATGGGCGCCACTCCACTTGAGTGTGGTTGGAGGCCACCCCAAGACAACTCGTTATCTCTTGGACGCTGAACACTCCCAAAATCGCTCCGGGGACCGACTGCGCAAAAACATTTCCAAGTCTAGCGCCGTCCTAGTCCTTGCGACCAAGGCGAACTTTGTCGATATTGTGAAACTGCTCGTTGATGCCGGTGTGGATATCAACTACCAGGACGAGCAGGGAGAGACTGCTTTGCACGTCGCAGCTCGCTTTGGCCGCGCTGAATGTGCTCGCATCCTTCTCGAGGGATCAAGTGACCAGAAGGCGAATACTGAGCTGGTCGAAAAGAGCGTATGCTTGGTCTCCCTCTCTTTATCGCTTGTGTTGACGGTTCCCTAGCCGTGACCAAATTGCTGATTGAGGCTGGAGCCGACTTGGAACGGTTTGATTCCTCTGGTTGGACCGCCAAGGAGCACGCCGCTCTCAGAGGCCATATCGACATCGCGAGATGTCTGGCTGCTGTTAGCCCGGGCCCTCCTCAGGAGGAAGCGGAGTCTCTGGTAGTACCTGCTTCTACCCGTCCCCGTCCAGTGGATCCCCTCCTCTACAGTCCTCCATGATGGACCGACGCTCGAATGCACCAGGCCCTACCTCTGGGAGCCCTGCGCCACGGGTCCCTGAACTTATCAAGACATTCGGGCATCGGTATCTCACCGATGAGTCCATGGTTCTTATCAGCCTGGGAACGATGGACCCGCGCAAACCTCTCGAGACCGTAAATCTCGATCAGATTCCCATGGAAAATGCGCACGCCACCCAACTGGACACCGCTTTATCTTTGGTCGTCACCGCTACTGGTGCTCATGGAGAGCCCGAGATCATCGATCTGCCTGTCCAGGACAACATCTCTACCGAGCCCATTGTTTTCCACACCAGTGATCCCAGTAAGGTTCGGCTGATGTTTGATCTTGTGCCCACCTTTTCAGGATCGAAGGAGAAGATTGTTGGCCGGGGTGTTGCCTTGCTCTCTAGCATCAAGCCTCACGTGGGCTCTGATCGTATCAGTCTCAAGGGCGACTCCAAGGTTCCTATCGTTGCTGCCAATACCCTGGAAATCATTGGCTCCGTCACGTTCAACTTCTTGATTATCACTCCATTCAAGCATCCAAAGATGTCAATCACAGGAAAGCAAACCTACTGGCGAACTGTCAGCAACACCATGGTGATTGGCCATCGCGGCTTGGGTAAGAACTTCAATACTCGCAACTCCCTTCAACTGGGTGAGAATACGGTCGAGTCCTTCATTGCAGCTGCGAACTTGGGTGCATCATATGTGGAATTTGACGTGCAAATGACCAAGGATCATGTTCCTGTTATTTATCACGATTTCCTCGTCAGTGAGACGGGCATCGATGCTCCGGTCCACACTATGACCCTCGACCAGTTCTTGGAGCTTGGCAAAGGCCGCCACAAGAGTGTCTTGCCGGACGGGGTGGATGCCGAAGGCAATGTCACTGTTGGCACTCGGCAACGATCAATGTCTGTCGGAGGATCTGAATATGATCCTGCCGAACTGACCGAGAAGATCAAGCACACGCGAGACTTCAAGAAGAAGGGCTACAAGGGGAATACCCGTGGCTCGCATATCCAAGCCCCCTTCGCCACGCTCGAAGAGCTGTTTAAGAAGATTCCTACCCCAGTCGGGTTTAACATCGAACTCAGTGAGTATTAGTGCCCCTTAAAGAGCAGCTACATGTCGATCTAACTTAGATCGCCACAGAGTACCCTATGCTGTTCGAGACCGAAGAGGAGGAAATGGACCCTTATGCTATTGAGATGAATTCCTACGTGGACACAATCGTTAAGATGGTGTATGACCTTGGCACTGGCCGTGATATCATCTTCTCCAGTTTCAACCCAGATATCTGTCTCCTGCTTTCCTTCAAGCAGCCCTCGATCCCCGTCCTCTATCTTACTGATGCGGGCTGCTCTCCGGTCGGCGATATCCGTGCTAGCAGTCTTCAGGAAGCAGTTCGATTTGCTTCTCGATGGAACCTCCTGGGAATTGTCAGTGAAGCAGAGCCTCTTGTTCTGTGTCCCCGCCTTGTCCGCATTGTCAAGGAATCCGGTCTTGTCTGTGTGTCATACGGTACACTGAACAACGACGGTGTCAACGTCGACGTAAGTTTGTTGTGTCCACCGGGCCCCCTCGCACCGAATGCTAACAAGAATTCCTGCAGTACCAAGTCGCGGAAGGTATCGATGCTGTCATTGTTGACTCTGTCCTGGGCATTACGAACGGCCTCATCCAGCGCCAAAGCAAGTCTGGGTTGACCCCTGGTCCTTCGCCCGTCTCAGGACCCGTCAGTGACCAGGGTACCGTCAAATTGCCTCTTCTCGGCCAGAAGAAATAAAGCTGTATAGAGCTTGTCATTTCACGTGTTTCTTTTGGATGATCCGTATGCTTTTGCCATCAGGCTTACATACCGCATATTACCTCAATAGTCGCATTTGCGCATATCAGTCTTGATAGGCAAATTCAACATTTCCAGGGACATACTCAATCATTCTTTTCTTCACTGGTGGATGCGATACAATGTTCATACTCAGGCAGCGCAGGATTGTGCCTCCTAATCTACAAAGACGACAGAATACAGAATTTAAAAAACCTGAACTTCCATGATTCACTATGAGACTTTCTCCTCTCTTGATTTATACAGTCTCTCGCAGTTGTCCCAGCGCTTCTCTTCTGCTCTTGCTCTTAGGATCAAAATATGGCCGCTCCCCAAGTCCAACCGCGCGATGACCCGTCCGCGGCCCAAGCCCTTCGTAATCCCAAGTCGCAGCGTGGTACACCGACCGGTTATCCCAAATCGCTACTCATCGTCAGCAATCCCACTCAGCGTCTCTGAAAGGAGATTCACGTACCCAGGTCATTCGGATTCAACCAGCGGTGGCGAACCTGCAAATCGTGGTTCTCGACAATAAGATCCACAAACCACTTCAGCAAGTGCTCACTCTCCTCATCGGCCAACCCATTAACCTTCTGAACATGGGTTCCCACGGCAAAAACACTCTTCCACCCGTCACAGGGTTCGTCCGAATAACCGGGTGCTGCGCCGTCAACACCTCGCCCACATTCTCAGGGGCGCCGCGTGGACCGGGGTGGATCTTGAAGCCATTCCTGTCCGCGATATCATTGAATTCCGGCTGCGCATATGTCGCAGTCAACCCGTCCAAAAATTGCTGGTACGGTTTCGAGATCCGGTCGTACACTTCGTACCCGGAGGCCCACAGCGTATCTGGTCCCACGTTAGTATCTTGATTTCCCCCCCTGGACACTCGAGCACGAGGGCCCCGAGAACTAGAACTCGGAATGCTTACCGCCGCCGGTCTTGGGGAGCTCTGTCAGCCGCAGAAGCGTGTAGTCACTCGGGATCGGCTCGAAGGTGATATCGCTGTGCCATTCGCGGCGGGACGACTGCTTGCGCTTGTTGCGGCTGGTGTAGAGCTTCTCGCGCCCCTGCGAGCTGATGACGCTGATCTCGTCGTCCTTCACGCCGTGCTCGCGGCCAGAATTGGCGACGGGGTGGATGTGGAGGCCTGAGGTGCTGGGTTTGCCGGAGAGTTCGCCCAGGCGCTGGATGAGCTCCTTTTGGAGGTTGTCGTCTAGGTCGTCTTGCTTGCGGAAGAAGACTACACCGCGCTGGGAGACTGTAGGGATGTCTGGAAGTTAGATCTGGGATGTATCTCGGGCTGTGGTCGAGGAAGAGGTCACTGACTGGTGATCGCGAGATCGCGGAGGAGTTCATCCGAGTTTGGCGCTCGCAGCAAATCTTTTAGGTTTGCGTTTGGGAACTCTCGTCCGATGATGGGGGTAACATCGAAGGACTCGTAGCTGTTCAGTGCACCTGAAAGCTGGAGGGGCTCTCGTTCGGATTTCGTGGAAAGTTTGCTTTCCACGACCGGAACGATGGAGGTCGCTGCTTCAGCGATGGAGGGAGCCATAGTAATGATGGTAATTCAACTCTGTGTAAAACTGGGATTGCTGTTTAACTAATTGCTATCTACGAGTCCTACTTAACGAAGTATTTATACCACTGGAATTCACGGCCGACTCCGTTGTCGAGTTCAATTGAAGCCGATTCTTCGGCTGTGATATTCTCGATGGCGCCAGAACCCCGCTGATAAAGTATATTATCACGGCGTAACTCATGCTGTCAAAGCACGAATCCAGCCAAAGAGCCACCGATGGCCAATAATCAAATCTCCGATTGGAATATTACGCCATTTTTGAAGAGTCTTTGCAAACGATGTGACTAGGGCCTCATGTGTATTTTGAGGGGTGATAGAATAATTTTCGCCAAAAGTTGCGCAACAAGTGCGGTCGATCACGAATATACCCGCCATCGAGTCACTAGATCCCCTGTCGGATGATACTAATTACGAATTCTCTTCGAGACTTTCTGAGTATGAGACAATTGCTAGTTTACGCTTGCGGATTGTAATCAGAGTGTAAGAATTATAGAGTATATTGGTGAGTCTATAATCTAGTCCTGTCACAAGACGAAACAAGAGGTTTAAAGGTGGTAAAATTACATTTCAAGAAAGCTCGGGATGGCAAGACTCGTCAACATGATCTAGAGGAAGAGAGGAAGAGAGCATCGGAAGGTGGATCTTTCCCCGCTAGGGTGGTGTTCTTGAATAAACTACCAGACCACAATGATATCTCGGATCGGGGCTAGTAAAACACATATAGGTACCATCAAATGCTCGGAATATTAATTTACCATCTCGACCAATACTGTAGCTAGCGTAAGCATAAATCCCAGTGTGTCAGCCTCTGCATTCCAGGAATCCATCTTCTGAATCATGCTTGGGTCACTATTCGCCTTCTGAGCCTCAACTCTCCCGCATAGATACCACCGCAGCGTTGACAGCCTCTCCATCATTGTCGGGGTATCCTTCGCGGAGCCAAAGCCCCGTGGGTGCAGGAGCTTCTCAAACACCGGATTTTTTGACACCGCCAGATGTGTTCAACACTCCCAATTATCAAACTGGGGCACCTCATGAACGTTCCCCACGTCCCGTATCGCCTCGAGATGAACTACAAGGCCTTATTCTGCACTTACCCCAGAAAGTGCGGCCGCAGCATTCCTCTTCGTTGATGGATTATCTCCATCATCTCCTTTATCTAGTATTCGTCTGCCAAATTCAGCAGCGAGTCCATCGGAACAGTTGCTCTTTCATGACGGACTTAGCGACGTCACCGGCGACAGGTCCTCTTTCCGGCTATTTCTGAAGAAGTTGTTGTGGCCTTCAGCCTTCCCTGTCCTCGTCTGCACACTTTTTCCTACCTTGGCTGGCTGGAAATCCAAGGGCATCGCCGCGCTCTTTCCGGGGATTGTTGCAGCACCCTTGTTCCTCCTCACCAGCACCATTCCAATCATTGAGCAGGCTGAAGACGAGAACCACCTCCCGCATCGCAAGTCGCATGAACTTAATCGTCCCAGTCGTCCACGTTGGGACTCGGAACTTCCAGCCCCACCACCACATCTGGACCCTGGCACCAAGGCCACGTCCGCTTACAATTCCCGCGAGCTTCCACCCCGCCCTCTCCCCAGCTCATGGTGTCCCTTGTCCTCCTCAGCTTCTTAGTCGCTCCTGGGTCGCAACAATCGCCACCGAAGTCGTCTCTACGGCTTCATTTTGGATATTTCCGACTCGCTATTAGGATTGACCGTCTTCGCTGTGGGGAACACCGCTAGATTTAGTTTTTCTCTTCATTTTTGTACCCTCGCTAATACTACATAATATTCTTCATTTTGGGTTGTAGCTCATGTCATTCTTTTGGTTCACCTTAAAAGAGAGAAGGGGAAAAAAGCAACATAGCAATAGCTAAAGCATCGCCACCCAGGCACATAGCTCTTACGCTCTTCACCACACCCTCCTCGTAATCCTCGAACCTCTTCACCAAACCCTCCTTGTAATCCTCAAACAGTCTGCCATAGTAATGAGGATGTCAGTTTCACCTCGGGCTGGGGCTCTATCGTACAGAGCTTCGAAAGGCAAGACTAGGGGGGAGCTCCAGTCACACCTTGTGGTGTGATAACTATTTCCTGCGCGCAATATGGCTGTTGACTAGCCGGAATCTGGGGGGATAGTGGGGGCAAGTTTGGGGATTGACGACAGAGGGAGGCGATATAGACCGGAGTGAGAGGCACTGGCGCTCCTGTCGGAGCCAATTGCCATTGTTCAATATCAACTCGGCTATTTTTGATAGCAACCACCAGCACAATTCTGACATTGCCATTTGACATTGTAAACCAGGTTGCTGCATCAGCGCGTAGTTGACTCAAACTCTCCGACATCCCGGTCTCAATGACAAGGGTTGGCCATCCTATCGAACTAAGTCGGGCGTGCAACGGGAGGGCGGGACAAAGGCATCGTCGGCCTCTTTGCCTTTGGTAGCATTCGGCTTGTATGTGGCAGCACGAACCCATTCTGCGTCGCGCCAGTCCAGACCTATTCTAGCAAAAGCATCATTCAAAGAAAACATAAGCCTTGAGGTGACAGATTCATGGTGGACGGTTGGGATGACTTTTATCAAGCCACTTGTGCCTTCCCACTGAAACCGGTAATTGATCCCCTCTAGACAATCATGATCTTCGAGGCGTTTGATGGTTGTACTGGAGAGGCCAAAGACAAGAAGCCATTGATTTGTGCTTTCTTGCTTATCAAGAGATGAAAAGACATCATTTGCAGCGGCACGGAGACACTCCATGGAGCTGAACACCTGAACTATGTGGTTATCAGGTAGACTGGATGTAAAAGCGCCGGAAATGTTGCTGTTTGACATTCTGAAAGTGACTATCGCGTTGGCGCTGATGGTACTGTCAGTAAATAGAGACTCCATGGTAAAGGATTGGACGTAAGACAGAGAATTGTAAGAAGAGGCTCCCGAAAATGGCGAGGTTGGGAGTCACGATGCTAAAGTGAAGTCGAGGAGAGTGTGGGTGAAGGTTCAGATGAGATGATTTAGAGGGGAGAGAGAGACTTGCAAGTCAGAATGCTGAAGTGAGGTCGAGGAGAGTGTGGGTGAAGGTTCAGATGAGATGAGTTAGGGGAGAGACTTGCCTTTGAATTGTGTTGTGTTCAGGCGAGAAAGGAAGGAAGGGTACAATAGATTCTAGATGAGACTGTAGTCAACATGTGCCACATTACCAATCGAATGATCAGTTCTTAGCCTACCTAGGCTGTACGTAAGCCTGGAAACAAATTAGCCACCCTCCATCTCTACGTCATTTATATCCGTAGCTGAGCGGGACCAGCTGAAAGTTAAATGCAACTAGTGAAAATCATATTAATCCCAGGTCTCAGCCATGCGCTTATGCTGACCGGTACTTAGAATTATTTAGGTCCTGATCAGTAATAACGCGTGTTTCCTCATCTGCCAGCATCCGGCCATTACCCACCAGGGTCATGTTCTGTAGCTCATCAAGGGCTGGATCGCCGCTATGGAATTGATGGAATCCCGCTGTTTCCCTCGAATCAATGACCACATCCAGATCTCGAGAGTTGGCTACGGTGAGAGACTTACTGCTGAACCCGAACGGAATACTAATAGAGTCTGGCTCCATGTTAAAAATTTTCATCACGGCCTCGTTCAATGAATAGGGGGCAAAAGTCTGTGTGCATACCGCTTCACCTACCCCATCAAATACTGATGTATATTCACGGTTACATATCCTACACCACAAATATTTATTGGATCATAGCAAAATTAAATGTATTGAATAATCGGGTTTATATACAGACTTCTCTTGCTTAATATCTTGTATAATAACCCTAGTTCGTATACAATCTATCCATCCTTCTTTCTATACTTAGTATTAATACACTCTTTAAAATAAGCCAGGGCCTTTTCAGATCTTCCTATCTATATAAGGTCATTAAATATAGAAAAAAATTAACATTTTAGTAGTCTACAGACCAGTTTCATAAGAGTGAGATCAGGTGAGTATACAGGCCAATTTTTAATGTATATCCTGTGCTCTTTAAACGAAACCTGAATATCTTTCGCTGTATAGATCTTTCTAGTGTTTTGCTCAAATATCATACCAGATTGATAGTGATCTATGCCATGGGGGAGGTGTAGGAGAAGAAATAAAATTGTGGGTGGTTATTAGGGTGATGGTAATGGGGCCGAGTGCACACAGACTTTTGACCGGGTGGTATATCTCGGATCGAGGCTAGTAAAACACACATATGTACCATCAAATGCTCGGAATATTAATTTACCATCTAGACCATTGCTGTAGCTAGCGTAAGCATAAATCCCAGTGTATCAGCCTCTGCATTCCAGGAATCCATCTTCTGAATCATGCTTGGGTCACTGTTCGCCTTCTGAGCCTCCATCAAGTCCCCAAAATACGTAAGCTGTCTCCCCCGGATAGTTGTCTGCGTTGCGCTGTACTCCGCTTCCCATCCTTGATTTGTTCGACTCTCCCATAGGGATCGGCCACCCTGCAGGGGAAGACAATGGTATTCTTCCGACGTGTCGCAAGGGATACCCGTTTTAGTGACTACGACTTGCCCGATGAGGAACCAAATGCATGCGACCCTAATATTTACTTTCGTTAGGATAGCCTGTAGTTGAAAATAAGGGGGTCTAAAGGAATCGTCGCACCTGCGCCGAGATTCGGCGAATACCCAGTCCGGCCAGCACCGGCTGGGGTGTGTTTGTTCTGGAAGACTAAATGGGCCTTGGCAAAGTGCGCGGAAGCGACTGCAGAGAGTCTTTTTGGTTTTTGCATCTCTATTAGCAGAGCTCTCAACACTCGATACGAAGCAACAGTAAGGGGGGAAAAAACAACATACTGCGAAGGTTAGCAGCATATCGAGGTCATGCTCGCTATGATATGCCGCGTCATCGATTACGCGCATGATAATATAAATAATATAGCATTGTATAGAGGCAAGCAAGTCCTCCGGCCCGAATGATTCGGACTGGGTGAACTCCATTAACTTCGGTGAATTCGTACAAAAAGAATACTAAGAAGGCTTACCTGGACCATCAGTCGCCGCTGTTCCGTCCTAATAGCACTCCATACAAAGTCTCTCGTATCCGGTGTCCTGGAAGCGAACATCTGTGCGATTCTCATGCAGTTACCAATCGGCTCGGGCAATGTCTTCTGTGCTTTAGGCCCATCTCCATGGTGCCAGTTCTGATGGATGAAGGGTGGAAAACTGGCTTTTCGGGCCATCATTTGCGGAAAAGGTCGCAGTATTTGAATCAGATAAGCGGCGTGCCGCTGTGCGATGGGATCGTCAATAGGTAACCGCGTAAGAAACCCTGCATCAGCCAAGGGCGAGACCTTTGGCGCGGTGAGTGCAGCGAGTAGCTCCGATGGATCCGTGTCCCAGCCTTGCAAGCCGAAAAAGTCAGGAGTGGTGTCTACCACCGGTGCGGGAGTCATCGTCGGGGTAACAGCTTTCGTGCTCTTGGGGACAGCGAGGATTGGATCTCTCATGAGGAAGTCCGTAGAACTCGACTGTCCGTCCCAAATCAAATCATCCGCCAGTTGGTCTAGATTGGCCGCCAGGCTCTCTGTACTGCTATCGTCTATATTAATGATGACTGACTCTATGGAAACGCGCTCATCGGCGCCGCCTTGTTTGGGTAGCTGCCGCCGGCCGGGTCGCTGTTCGTATACGCATTCTATGCCCCGGCGCAGACACCGGGTGCATGATGGGTGTGAGCTTGTACATTTGGTCTTGGCCGCGCTACAGGCGCGACACGACGGAGTTCGCACTCGAGGTCGTTCTTGTGCCTGGCGGCAATATTCCAAGTGCCGATTCCTGGAGGACTCTGAAAAAGAGATTAGCTATGTGACTTTGGGGGGTCCTCAGTTAGTAGCAGCTGAGATGAGTGACAATATGAACGTACGTTGGTTGAATGGCTTCGAGCAGAGGCTACACAAGTACATCCCAGCTAGTGGATTGTAGTGGAGTAAAGGGATGGATCTGCAGGGGGCCGATCGCTAGACTGGTAGCTTCAAGTTGATAATAACGGAATGTGTAGGTATGATAATGAAGTATCAAGAAGTAGGTGACCTCGCAACCCCAAGCTGAAGGCCATGTGAGGGAAACAAAAAGAGCCATTAGTAATTGGACCCCGGCAAAACTGGCCGCATCGGCGACTTTCGCCGCAGAAGAACGAAAGAACTTTCTGTGAAGGAAAATAAGCCAAGGCGATTAATAGATTGAGAAACAATTTGTCGAGAAAAGTGGCGCAGTTATAGCTGCCACCTGTTGGCGTTTGCTGCTACTAACTTGGAGGCGTCTGGGAGACATCTCCACAAAAGGAAAAAACGGGTTGCGTTCTTTGTTGAAGGCTATAACTGGTCATACATAGAAAGCGTATTTACTCGCAGACATATGAGGTGGGATGGACAAAACTTTGCTGCATGTCCTGTGTGTTATAATGTAAACATCCAATAAGTCATACATCTATCTACGGCAATTAGTCCCCTCCTAATACCGAAGATCCTATCCTTATTTCTTCTCTTTCTCCAATGGCAAGAGCCCATTTGAACCCTGTTGCAATCACAGACAGTTTCATACGTGCTGCAAGTCTGTACATGATCTGGGTATCCCAGGCATGCCCTGAAATCTAATGGACAAGTATCTGGCGGCTAAGGTTTGATGACCATTGTCAACCGAAATGCCACGTTTATGCTGCGATTGCGGTTCCCTTGGCGCCGTCCTTAGTGAAAAGCTTGTCTTTCTGTGCAAGTAGCATAAGTCAATATATGGCTCATGAACGTGAGGACTGAAATTATCAGAACATACCCCGAGGAAGAGAGACAAAATGACACAAATGCCGCCTGCAACAGCGAGCAAGATCCACACCGATCGCATGGCAGTTACAATTGCATTTACCACCGCGGCTGATTGGGCGCTTGTCAAGGTAGCGCTGAGGGAGGAGCTGGTTCCAGCGATAAATTGACGGACATCGACAACACTAGCATTCGGCAGAATGCTGTGAATCTTCTCGATGACAAGGTTTTGGTAGGAGGTGCCCATAATAGCCAAGAAGAATAGGATGCCGAGGAACTGGGCTAGCAAAGAAATCCATCAGTATGGGTTTCCGGTTTCCAGGCTCGAAAGAAATGACCATTGACATACAGATACTCATCAAGCCAATGACATTGGTCAGCTCGGTCATTGGTACCAGCTGCTGAGATACAGTGTAACTTGCCTGGCAATAGGAGCCGACACCAATTCCCATGAGCACAGTGTATCCGTAGACGGTGGAGTTGGAGGTATGTGCATTGACAGTACCTGGTCAAAATTCAGGGCATCAGCGCTGTGCCGCGTATTCAAACATTCCAGGGACTTGAGAACATACACATCAATGCGGAGCTGATTACTACGAGCGCACCTCCGCCGAAGTACCAGGGCATATAGTATCCAAATTGGACCATAAGCGCAGCGTTGATCAAGCAGCCAGCGACAAGCATGAAAACGTAAGGTAGAAGTCGCACGGCGGCTTCGAGGGCTGCATCCGACTAGAATTCGGCCGTCCAACTCGACGTAGACCCAGAGTGAAGAAGGGAGCGATAGCATACCTTTGCGAATTCAAAGAACAAGGGAATGTAGCAAATAGCACCCTGGAGCACGCCTGATGACAAAAACATTTGAACGGTCAAATTGAGCATGAGGGGGCGCTTCAGCAAATGACCGGGGAAGAGAACCTGTTCTTTCGTTACAAGCGGATGGAAATACTGCACAAGGAGAAACCCGACGAAGATGACCTCCGTCATGACCCAGAGAACAATTTCTCGAGCGGAATTCCACGCATACACGGCTCCTCCGAAGTTGATGGCCATGACGAAACATGCGATGAATCCATTCAGAAAAACAATGGACACCCAGTCCACTTGCTTATGCTTCTGGATCAAAGTCGCCGTTGGCTGCGCATCGATACTAGGGAGCAAGAAGAAGTAAACGGGGGCAAACAGGGCGGCGATCAAGAGGTTAATATAAAAGGTCCAGCACCAGCCCGCTGAGCTATCCGCAAAGGCACCGCCGACCTGCGTGAATTAGATTGTACCCTGTACCAACGAGGTTCAAGAAATCATACGATTGGTCCCAGGACTGTCCCAATACCCCAGACGAATCCCACTAGCCCGATGTAATGCGGCCCTTCCCGAGGGCTAGTCGTCACAGCGAGATATGTGATGCAACCGAGATACATGCCCGATCCCTGGTTTCGTTAGCCTTTTCCAAGAGAAATCCCCCCAGTTCGGTGGACACCCACTCCAACTCCACTAGTCATCTGATTAGCAACGTTGAGACAGGAATAAGAACGAGACGTACGCAATCACTCGTCCAATGATCAAGGCCGTCATATTCGGCGCCGCACCACAGATGGCACTTCCCACCTCAAACAAGGCAACAGTGAGGATATAGGTCCATTTCAGATTGAAGACACCGAATGACTTGCCCCAAGGAAGAATGTTCATGGCTCCCAATGCATAGCCCGAGCTCAACCAGGGGAGCAAATCAGCCTGTCCAAGCCGACTGATCATCGCAGGGGAAATATCCGCAACCTGATAACCACAAGTTCGACTGAATAGAGATTCAGAAAGTCAATGTTGCACTCGGAGCTTACTGCAGTCGTGTCCAACCCGAAAAGGAAAACAGACGAGAAAATAGCCAGGACGGCCAAAAACCACTGGAATCATAAGCAATTGCCAGCATACCCTGCGCGATCTGATTCTCACTTTGACGCCATGGATTGACCGGTACTTGTTTCGTTCGTCTTCAACCAGAACGGTTTCCTTCGAAGTGTCTGGTACGGAATCTCCGGAGCTTACGTGCCCATTGGAGTCATCAAAGACCTTAGTCGCGTCCAAAGACTGCGGCCCTTTTTCGTTGATGTCGGCCATTTCGATAGGCGATAAGGATTAGAAATAAATTTGGATGGATATGAGGATGGAAAGCCCACGCTCTATCATAATATCATTTCTTAAGTACTGGGGACGTTTCGATGCGGTGCCGGCGAATTTGGCCGTCAGCCCGGCGCCCGCGCCGGTTCTGGGGTCGTTGACAAGGGTTTGCTAGATTGGAACATCGAGAAAGGATGAAAAAAAACAGGCGTCCGGTTGTTTTTTTTTTTCATTTTCCTTTTTCGGTTTTCAAATCATCAATTAATACCTTCCCGTTTGTGTTATAAGGAACTGCTTCCATCAAGATCCAGTTTGACTTCTCCTTGAAAAAGTTGCTGTGCAAAAAACCCTTCTGGATACATGGTAGGACTTATGCATGTATGAAACGGCGACGAGGGCAGAATTAAGAGATCCAGGGGGGTTATTTGAGGATTTCGATCCGACCTGGCTTCAAGATCGAGAAATACAACGCCTGTAAGAGTATAGCATAGAGCACCTACTGATAGAGCACCTACTGATAGTCTTCTTTTGGAAAGCAATGCAAGTCAATTTGCCCAATCCTCCACATCGATAGCTCTGAAAGCACATGTATGAATCCTCCAACCAATTTGCAACAGACCGTTATCGATTCAGAATACAGCATTCCTCTGCTTCTTCCCATCCACATCTGCATCGAGATGCAAGCCAGCATTATCAATAACGCTTATTCTTTCTCTTTGATCCGCCTCGTCTTTGCCAGGCTGGTCTTCGAAAACCACATCGTTCGCGAAGACATCGCAAAGTCCAATGATCGCCCGATTCCTCATGTTGTTGGCGACTTGGAAAACGGCAATAGCAAAGGGGATTCTCTCTTTGCCAGCCCATCCAATCATCCGCAACAAGCCTTCGACACCTATAACACCGACGGTACTGTCTGTACCTGTTCCCATTGTGATTGCTGCGACTCCATTGGAACTCCATCACCATCCCGCAGCATCGCTCCCTCCGATCAAGCAAAGGACGGGGCATATTGATTGACCAAGTAAGCTTGATAGTCAAAAGAGGCGATAAGGGACTGTACAAAAAGATCAGATCTTTCAAGAATCGAAGAGAGAGCCGGTCCAGAGATGAAAAATGAAAGTGAAAAGCAGAGGAAGAAGCGGGATAGAAATACCCTGCGACTTCAACACAAACTCCCAAAGGCAAATAGATGCCCAACACGTGTTCTGTTGATCAGTTGACTATCGTCGTCGAATCGTTCAGACTCGAGACGCAGCGCATTTCGGTTTTATACATAAATGACAGTGATAGGATCCACGTGTACTGGAGGACGATACGAGGCTAGCAGACCGGACAGCCGTCCATCCTAATGCATAAAGACCGGACAAACGCCGAGATCATTCCCAACTGGGAACGGAACAACTGTTAATGCGAGTCTCGCAGTCTCGCCAAGGAAAAGTGGGGTCCATCATTCCCACTTGGGAATGGATCAGCAAAAAGGATCCGGTACCCCAACCGGAACAACTGTTAGTCCGAGTCTCACAGTCTCGCCAAGGAATTGTGGGGCCCTTACCCCCAAAGAGCAGGCGGTAACCTACCTGCAGTATCATATACCGGCAAACCCGTATCGTTAATTTCCCCCAAAGGGGGAAAGCGCCCGAGTTTCAAGTCTCAAGCTTTATGGGCAATGCGTTAACCCGGATCTGGTCTTCTTTCCGAAAGTGGGCAAGACTGGATGTAGTTTAGTTAACTACGTAGTACATATGAGTCACGCACGCAGATACCCTGTTGGGTGAATGGGGTAAGTGACGGAAAGCCAGAGCTTCACTTCAGAAGCTATGTGTACGAAGTGTTCGGGAATCGTATGTACGACAGCACGGCTCTGGGAGGCCACAGGCGCTCTTAAGGAGATCTTGAGGACTGATGTTTTTGTCATGATGGTCGGATCTTTGCAGGCCAGCTTCTATCTGGCCACTATAGTAATCTTGGATCGTTCAAGATCCAATTTACCTGGGGCAACCCCATATATTCCTCGATACAAAGTAGAGTGGATTCAATGTGCTACCGTAGTGGGCTAGCCCCTGGGTATGACCGTCTTCTACCTGTTCTATGGGGTTCTATGGGATTCTCACAGGTTGCCAGCGAAGTTACAGAATTTCCTTGTTCAGTATAGTAGATCTCGGCTTAGGGACACCTGCATTCGAAGCTGCGACGCTAGTATCGTCTAGGAGCGGACCGAGGGCCGGCTCCCGCGGTCCATCTCGATTGTGGTGGGGCGAGGGCTGCAAGATACAGTCGTGGTCGGGCGGAAGCCACGGTAGTTATGCAAAGGGCGGTATCATGAACGAAATGGCACCAATTGCAGCTTTCGCTTTTTTCGAGCAAAATGTCCCAAATAGTCTTCTCACGTGAATATGCATGTGTGCGTTGTCTTGAATTTGGATTTCCATTTGATTCCATCAATGCCCACGTCGAACGAGAAAACAGAAACTTGAGCGGACGTGTCCGAGGAACGTAATCTTCGCTCCATAAATAGTGATTGCAGTAGCAAAGAAACACCTCGCAAAGGAAAGATAAGCGCTAATTTGTAGCCAGGGGAGTTAGCAGATATGTCAGTTCAACCGCAGCTGGGAGGGAAAGGAGTCCCAAGGCTCCTAGAGCCATGCTACGTGGTTCGGGTGACTTACAGAACGATGAAGTCACATTATACAAATATCTAAATCTCCTCCACTCACTTGACGAGTTTCAGGGGCGAGGCAGAGTTGATCGGGGGGATAAAAAGGGTGACGACACTCGATACACCACAAAAGAATTGCGCCGTTCATTCCTTGACAGTATTTCATATCTTTGTGATATCAACCCAAAGGGAGGTACCGTGACTGCGGCGGCGATACGCAAGTTCTACTGCAAAGATGGAGTTCAAGGTCGTTTATATCTTGCTGCAAATGAGCCGATCCTTGACAGGGTTCATCATTTCGTGGAGAGGATGTTGCGAGACCTGGAAGATATCACACCAAAAAATCATGGTATGAAGAAAAGGAAACTACTGCGCGAGTCCCTTGATCTGGGTCGCCAGAGATTGAATTATTACCATGGGAAAGTTCTGTTCCACCTGAAGAAATGTGATCAGGACATCAGGATCCTTTTCAGGGGTAAGCATGGAGGCAGGTTGACGGTGCAAAATAGTCACGCTAATCTCTTTCAGATCAAGAAATTCTAACTTGGATCGAAACAATCAAAGTTGAAACCGATCTGCAACGTCTATCGGCACTTTGTTATCATAGCCGCGAGGGGAAGCTCGATGAGCTGAAGAGGAAAGCATCGGAACATCGAGATATAGCAGAATTGACCCATTACATTGGGCGACTTGGGGCACATGAATATGCAGTTTCGACGATAATTACGGCTTACTTGAAAGTACCCATATTACGAAAAATCAAAGTCCAAATCCTCCCATCTGCGCTTGTTACGCCTATCAATCTTCCGGCAGAGTCTGTGAATTTCCACACTGTTTGTCAAGAAATTTCCGGGAGCCCTCACCTCCGGCACTCAGGACATGATCTATACACCATGCTGTATAATAGCAATTTCCTGTCAGGCTTTACTTTACCGAGTAAACTTGTGCAGACAAGTGCTTTTGTCACGCGTGTCCATGCGGAGTTGCAGATAGTCGACTACTTCAGCCGTAAGCGATTGGAATTCATTGAGGACGACAAATATGTGGGCTGCAGTAAGCCAGCATGTTACTTTTGTCACCTCTGGATTCGGTTGCATCCCGGTGGCTTTGAGGTCCCGGCTTCTCATAAGAAAGTGATACTCGGATGCCGAGGCCCGGACATTGATGTGGCTGAGGATGTCAACGGCAACGGGGCCAGGATTCGGAGAGATCAGTATAAGCGGTTGACAAGAGAAATCATTCGGGATATTGAAGAGCAAGTTCATATTGAGCAATTTCTTAACCGATGTCAGCATTTATCTAGTGACGGATCGAGCCGTGCTCCTAAGTATTATGACCAGGATTTCGATCTTCAATTGATCAAAGGCTGAAACCGAAGCTACCTTACAAGTCTTTGTACATAACTTTCGACCAAGTTTTCCTGATGCAGACCCAATTGTAAGCCAAATTTTGATTAATTGCTTTGTAGCAAGCACAGTGTACCATCGGCTTTTCAGTGACTCCTCTATCGGCTTCTATACAATTCCATTTCATTGAGGTCTCTGCCCAGTATAATATTTCGTACAGTACGCTCATACGATACCAAATGACTTGCGAGTTCTGGAAGGGCCCAGGTTAAGTCTTCGGGCAATTTAAAATGTACCTCATATTGTAACGTAGTTTGACCTGGCCACCTACCACCATACCAAATTTTTGATACAGGATATCATAACTCAAACACATTAATACCTCTTGAATTAGCGCTTGGAACATCAATTAATCTTATGGCCTATCTCCCCCACATCCGCTACCCCTTTGCGGAGCTCTTTCGCGTGGTAAATCTGCCCGATCCGTCAATTCGCCTGCCTCAGGCGACATTACCATACCATCTTCAACTGGCAGGCTTTACTGTTGAACTAGCTGTTAGCCCTTTGGAACTGTAAGACCTCCATCATATATCATTTGGTTATTCGAAAGTGTTTTTTTTTTTTTAGCGCTTTTTCTCATTTGTACGACGCAATCAGTAACTTCTTGGGCTAATCCCGCAGCGTGATGCGTTGATGAATAGGCGCCTTCGCTAATCTGGTCAACAGCAGACTTAGAGGGCGACGGAGGGCTATTGAACCGTTGCTTCAACAAATCTTTGATCAATGTAGCCTGTTTTTGTAATTGAACCACTGTTTCAAGCATCTTTGGTGCAAATTTGCTAGATTCGCTTGGTCGGCTGCTTGGGGTGGTGGGTGTTCGAAGCGATATATTTAGCTTAGAATGCCCTTTTGTGTATCGATTGGTACTAGACCAGTAGCTATAAAGCTATTTCGAACGATATTTGGCTGGAGAGCTTCGTATCGTGCACGAGGATAATCTGCTAAGAAATCGAGCTTGTCAGCTGTTTCATGTTAGATTACTTATAAAGCGACGGTATGTATGCTTCAACGCCGCAAAACATGTAACACCAAGAGGTTGAGATAGATGTGACGAGTGTGAAGGCATGTAGAGTGGTATAATTGTTATTTTCGGCACAGATTCGATCGAATTGAGGTGTTAGATGGCTACAATCGCTATTCAGAATCAGTAACCAAAACCGTCCTCGTATACGCGAATTCTAAGCCCGCGGCTTCGCCTCGACTGTCGTCTCTATTGAGATTTTTTTGGGCTTAGTATTGCATTGGCCATGATCCTCTCTATTGTGACGATCATGGTTTAACACCAACATGTTTCTGGCTAGGACCTGAATTTCCTGGAATGAGAATACATACCGGCAAGTAATGTATGTGTATTGGGATTTTCAGATGAGTTTATACTTGGCCGCTTCTACTCGAAACTTTTCATTTCTATTCTTCTTATTCTTCTATTTTTCGGTTTTGCGTATTTTGTTTTATTTTATTTCATTTTTGAGTACGCACTGCGCAGACTACCGACAACCACTACAGAAATTTTCTACTCCTAATCTTTCTGTCAATATGAATTCTGCTTTAAGTTTGCCTCTTTATATCTGACAGTTGGCCGTCTAGGATAGGTTGATGGGCAGGAAGAACAGGCTGATGATTTCGGCTGCTCAAATAGTGATTGTAGTCTTATATAGCGATTGATGCAACAGGTTCCTCCTCTCTTTTGACAAATTGTCCACCATTATCAAACCTTAGGCAAATCCTTGTATTCCTGACCAGCCACAAAGGTATCCATCCACGGTCTCTGCTTACGATCTTGGCTAAGCTCCCAGTACCGCTCTGCATGCGCGATACCGCTAATAGCGCCACTGGCAAAGTCGCCATAGTAGAAGCTGTGTAAAATGGTTAGTTTGGCTTGGCAGTAAGTAATCCTCAGGATGGGATAGGATGCTTACGTGTATCCTTTGCCTTGGAAGGCGAGCGTCGTATTCCCGATGACATGGCCCAGGGCAGTCTTGCCAAGACCGAGGCTAACTAGACGAGGCATAGGTATCATATTCAGGCCATTGGCAGTGTAGATGGACTACTTGGGGAGTTCGGCTGGGAGGGTCTCGAAGCCTTTGACGGCCTCCTGTGCTGCAAGGTAGGCTGACGTGACGTTCACGGCCAAGTCATAGTTGAGCTGACCAAGACTAAGCGATAGGGGATTCTGTGGGTGTGCCGGGAAGACATGGTACGCTGTAGTGGACGGGCGTCGTTAGATCCTGGGGGCCGAACAAAGTTACTGGATGGTATTTACCATTGTGGATCACCACGTTCGGGGCCCCTCCATACTTCTTTTTGACTTGAGCAAACCACTCGGGGATTTTGTCCGGGCTAGAAAGATCACCCTGAATGAAGAAGTAGGAGGGATCAAATGAAGTCGAGGTACCGCGGCTCACGAGGGCGATTTGATATCCTTGCGACGCAAAGTGTTTTGCAGTGCAGTGGCAACATTAGGCCCTGCGCCAAGGATAAACAAGATCTTGTTGTTGGACATCATATAATGAGTACTGGTAGTCCAGGTTGTAGATTGCAGATACGACCGATACCGGCCAAAACAAGAGGGATAATATCTATTTATAAGTACAGGGGGTTTTTACCACCTGGGCATATGCTGGAGGAACTACTTAGCACTTAGCTTCCTTCGCGAAGCGGCCCGTCCGGAGTGAATCAATTTCATTAGACGGCGAATTTCGCCGCACCGGATCCCCAATCACAACACCCGGGCGTGCGCTGTCAGTCTTAACTAATCGAACCCAGTGGCAGAAACACCGGGCGAAATACGGGATTCCACCGTAATAACGCGTGTTTCCTCATTTACCAGCATCCGGTCATTGCCCACCAGGGTCATGTTCTGTAGCTCATCAAGGGCTGGATCGCCGCTATGGAATTGATGAGATCCCGCTGTTTCCCTCTAATCAATGACCCATCCAGATCTCGAGAGTTGGTTACGCTCAAAGGCCTACTGCTGAACCCGAACGGCACACTAACAGAATCTGGCTCCATGTTAAAATCTTCATCACGGCCTCGTTCAATGCGATAATGCCTTGGTATCCGAAACTGATGTCCTTGCCATCCGTGGTTCTATAGACTTGTCAGCAGGCAATTTCCAAGGGGACTCAGACAGACGGAATTGAAACTCTTCCACTAATGCGCACATGCTTCTTGTCGGGGTCAAATTCAAGCCAGTCCGCACCAATGACGACCTTGGCTGAGAACCGGGGTTCAAATCCATGCGCAGTTTCGATGGTCCCGGTAGGGGTTTCCTATCATCACCAACTTTAGTCATGAGGTCCAACAGGGTGCGCGGCGCCGGCATTCACCTTACACATAATGGCAGGTTGCAGGGTCGCGAAGTTGATGGTAGGAACAGACATTGTAGAATGCGTCAGTGCAGGTATCTGCGATTGTAGATTAAAGAACAATTGGTGGAAACGAGAACCGATTTTTTTTCCAAGTCGCCAAGTTCATATCTTATACTCATTGAACCGACCGGCAGCTTCTAGGTAGGTCTAAAACCCCTGCTCTAAGAGTGAGTGAAGGTCGTTTCATTGATATGGACCAGCATTTGTCTTTACTACAGCAGTATGCTAGGTATGGATCGTCTATTACTTAGACTGCGGCATATCCAATACCAGATCCGCAACTCGCGGATATGGATTGCGGTCATCCGTGGATATTGCGGATCGTGCCGCTCGGAGTGGCTATAAATGATAACAGGGATCCCTTCTCTGAATATAGAGGCCTTGCAGGCCGTATTTCCAGCCTAGAATTTGGAGAACTGGACCTTGACTATGATTCAATGTATCGCTGTGTTTCTAAAAGTGGGAAGGTGGGAGTTTCCTAACAAAAACTATCTAACACGGTCTAACTAGGCAGAATCTTAACCAGGTCCGTAACCTCCTAGTAATAATACCATGTAACTTCTGTAACAGTAGGATAATTTAGATCCCCCCACTGGCTCGCTCTGAAGTCTGCCTGTGCTGGTGTATACGGGGACCCAAAATGGATCATGTGATCGTAAGTGCACAGTGCCAATCAATGTATTGTGTGGGCTGTGTGTGGGCGGTGTATAGGCCGTGCTTCAGGGTTATTATGGCCTCAGAACAAATAACGAAGAGCTAAGAGTAGTGAGCTCAGAGTAGTGGCCGAGTCACAGGGCTGAGCCACTGTACACGAACGGGCGAACAGAAAAGATGGCATAAGCCTAGCGTCATTCAATAAGAATCCAAGGGCTCTACACAACAAATCGTATCGTAGGACTCGACCCATACCGCTAGACTGAGCCTCTTACCCTGGCAGGGATCTAGAGATACTTGCTGTGCAATCTGAGGCCAGATCGAATCACAAGGTAGATCTCTGGTGGGGTAGATACTCGCTTACCAGTAGCGCCACGCTAAACTCCTGCGCCATCAGAAAATTTTGCGAGCCAATGGGCGGAGGCCGTAATGAAGTCCCCCGCCATAACTATCGAGGACCATGTGGGGGAGATGAATTGTGCTTGACCGTTGGTCTCGTCGATCGAGAAGCTAATCAGGGGCCACTGGAGTCTGGCCGGCAGCAATTCCAAATCACGAAGCTATACGGATGGCAGGAATTTCGCACTAAAGGTGAAGCATCCGTGGTTCTTTGGCCCCAAGCCATTTTACCGCGCTAAATCATCCTGCTAGCCAACACCTGCTCCCCCCCTTGTCGTTGAATCACACCTACTTCTTGATTGAGGGATGATCGACAAGACTCTTGACTCGCGTTTTGGGGCCTCAGCGTCACAGCGGCCAATCCAACGGCGGGTAGACCCTTGTCGCCTCCACCCAACTGTGCATTATCCAGGCTCACAATGTCTCCTGTTTGGGCCAGCCCTCGTAGTTTCAAGCCGCGGACGAGGGGATATCTGTCAAACGGGGCTCAGCCCAATCGCCCCCACAGCAGTGGTGCGAAGTTGGCAGCAAATGATAAAGCCCATAGTGCTATGTCGCGGATGCAGAAGGCCGTTTCCATGGCTCGGTGGCTCCCCTGGCTTTTTTGATCCTTTGTTCGGCCTGTGGACCTCCCAGCGGACCTGCGCGGCTGCAATAATACGAGTTACGACAAACGGCTCGCCCCGAAACAAGGAGCTGCGAGATCAATCTACACAGCCGGTCATGGAGACTTACAGTACAAACCTCGAAACCCGGCATCATCGCAGCGGTCCCACGGGGGATGGAGCAGACGTACTATCTAAAAGCCTCAGGTTGACGTGTGGGATGCGTGAGGGGAATCCCGCAAACACGATTTTCCCAATTGCTCCACCTTTTGTTGGCGGATTAAAGCTTGGGAGGTATGAAGCAGCCGCTTCGGGGGCCCGTGAATCCTGTCGATCAGTCGAACATGGAGAATCCCCACCATTTTGGGCTAGAAGCGCGAGGCGAAAAAATCGTACATTGAATCAAAAGAGTAATTTAAAAAAAAACCAACAAAGAAAAAGAAAAAAACACTGCAGATGGGGTCGGGGAAAACTGAACGCCCAAAATTCAAAAAGGAAAGAATAGAAAAAGAAAAAGAAAAGAAACAAATGCATTAACGTCATTGCCAGACCCATTTTTAAATTACACTTCCTTTCAACAGCCGATCCTTAATGATCCACGATCATCCCCGGGGGGATTTATATAGGTCCCTAGGCAAGGCCTCCAGGACTGGGGATTTTCTTCATGCCTTTTGGCTATTCTTCAACTACGGCAGATACGTTTTCACCCTCAGGTCCTCTGGTGACAAGACTTGGCATTATAAACTTGATACAAACCCCTCCCTCGTCCTCTCAAAAGCGAAAGAAAGATCCTCCCCGAATCGCATTGAGTACCTGCGGTCCACGATGTCTATGACTGTGTCTCAATATCCCCTTTCCCGCGACACCTCTCTACCTCCCTTTTCGGAACCCCAATACGTCTCGACTGTCGCTCCCATCATGACCGAAAAACGCCCCTCGAGAACCTTCTCACCCCGAGTCCGGCGTGAAGATGCCCCTGTCACCCTCATCGTTTACCGGTGAATACCGGGTGAGCAGAGCGAAGAAAGGAAAGCGGGTGCATGCCTGTGAGTGGCCTGGCTGTGAGAAGGTAAGTTTGGTCTTCCTACCGGAATTCATGAGCACCGGCTAACTTACAGGGCCAGGTCTTCACCAGAGCCGAACACCGAAGGCGGCATGAGTTGAGTCACAAGGCGAAGAAGAATTTCATGTGCGCCCACGAGAGCTGTGCGAAGAGCTTCCAACGCGCCGAGAACCTCGCCCAGCACATGACTCGACAGTAAGGCACACCCCCCAACGGGAACCATTTGCCCCATATACTAATCGATCTGCTTTCCGCAGTGGACCGAATCTTCCCGTCCAGATTGCACCTTCTAGACGCACCAAGTCAACATCCTCCGCTAGGAGTGCACGCAAGAGCGCGCGCACCCATCCCCAGAGTTCGCCTGTGGTGCCCGGGTACCAGTCGCCCACCTCAGAAACCAGTGCAGCAAACCCACAGGAAAACGAGAAGAGTCTTCTGAGCGGCGTCAGCGACCCCAACCAGCCATATGGAGCGTCCAACAACGACGCTTCTCTGTACAGCTACCCCATGGGAATGGAACCGGGACACTCGCACGAATCACTCTTCCCAACCGAATCCTGGGTTACCCAACTCCCAAGCGGATTTGAGGGCATGATCGAGGGCTACATGCGAAATGTCCTGAAGCCAGAGGCGTTCCTCATTCCAGTCCAGCCTGCAGAGCAGGGACCACCTTTCTGGAACTCAAATATCGACCCGACTTTATCACAGATAGACTCCTCTGTATGTATCCTTGATGAGGCTCTTCTCTGGTCGAGCAATCCTAACAGCCTCCCAGGCCTACCAAGCACCGGCTACTCCTTATTCGTGGACATCGGGGGCAGAGAGCCTGTCAGGCGCCTTCCAGACAGCCCCTCTAGTGCCCGAGGGCTCCCCGCGCGCCGAGCATAGCTCTTAAGTCCATGTATAGTCATGCATAGTCTTTACTATGCTTCGCCATGACTTTTCCCCATTTTGACGACTCTCCTTTCGATTCACCCTCGTTCTATATTCTTTCGTGATGCTTGATGTTTATCTTATACCATGGGAGAGGATTTTTGTTTTATGTTTGGAGCGTAGAGATGACGAGCATGCTGGATTTACAGGCTTACGATAGAATATCAAGCCGCATGGCCCTTCTGTAACTGACCAGTCTTCCCAAACGCCAATTGACTGCTTTTTTTTCCCCCGAAGACTCAAGAACCAAAGTCACCCTCCAAACCATGACCACCAGTACCACCAAAGCACACACCAAGAGGCCCCCCAATCCCTCACTGCCTTATCACAAGAACAATCCTAATTAACCACCCCTAAAGCAGCGGCACAAACCGCCTCTTGGCGTTCCGTCGGGACCAACTCTCCTACCGACCCCCCAAGCACGTCACCCAAGCCAAGCATGAACGGAATACCTTCCCTTCCGGAAACCCATCGTAGAACACCTTATCCACCTATCCCTAGCCGTGATCTGCCTCGCCCGAACCCGAATGATCGGCAGGCTGGCCCCTGGGAGCTCGCAAACGAAAGAGGATCCGGACCTGCACTAGTAATGGTAATGCATCTTTATGAACGGATGGGGGCGCCGGCTCTTCGGGGTAAACTTCGGCGGATTGCGCCCAGTCCCAATGGCGCGCAGGGGGTGCTTATCGCCCCCTGGGTTCCCCCTTTTGGGCTCGGAGCTCGGAGGGGGAAGAGAGAGAGGCCGGTCAGAGGCCAATGAGAGACGCGGGCACCGGACAGATTTATGCAAGGTGCGGAGCCACCGCGCATTTGGATTGAGACCTGATGGGGTTTCTGGTGTTTTTCCTCGAAGGAATTGCTATTTCTGGATAGCGCGGGGCGTACCTGGGTAGTGTTTCGGATCCTGAGAGGACTAGAGTTTTGCGTGGCCATGTGGCAAAGTTAAAATGGCACATGGCACCGGACTTCTTTGCGAGCAAGTGCCGAGGGAGTTAGTCTCGGGATTTGCACACGTTTGCGAGGGTTTGCATGTTGATTCGTGGGACTGGCAATGAGGAATTAGTGTTCTCGGATGCTCCCCCCCCCGTGACCTCGTGGTTGATAGTGGCAGTGTGACTCGGTAAGCTACGGATTTGAAGGTAACTTGAAGGGCTAGGAGAGCGATAGCCTGGAGGGTTAATCGTTTGGCTCCCTTTTAGCATTTTGGTATTTTCCAAGATGGGCTCGTAGAAATGAGGGCCGGGCACTATAGGGTTCCCATTACGATAGGTGTATCACTTGAAAAAGCAAGATATATTCGAATGCGTTTCTAATATGAGGAGCTTATATGTCAATACTAACATAGAATACACGGCATCTCGTCATGCCACTGGTGCGGACCCTCGGTGAATCATCTAGAAGACTTCCATCACTGGACCATTATAGATATGTCTGGCCCGAATCACGTAGTAAATGAGGCTGAGAAGAATCACCCCAAACGTTCCCACCACACTAAAGTTCATGGTGTTCACTGTGACCTGCCAGGAAGGCGGCCAGAAGCTGAAAAACACCGCAATGGTCATATATATGAGGGCAAAGGCGTTGATCAGGATGCCCCAGATGCCGGGGACATGGAATGGACCCCAGACTAGCGTGGCACCAGCGGTGTTGACGACGGCAGACTCGCCATTTGCCGTCTTGCTAATTCCACCGGTGCAGCGGCGGTAGAGCAGCAGGCCAGCAACTACCATGTATGACATGTACAGACCCGAAATGGACATGGCGACCAAGTCGTTGAAGGCGACGGCCGATCCGATGTTGATTAATGCCAAGAGACAGACAATGACAGTGGTCAACAGAACGGAGTACACTGGGACTGCGGTACCGCCGTGAACCTGAGTTATACCGTTAGTTTGATTTTCCCTTTTGCCTTTTTCCTGAGAGAGTTGGGATGACTGACCTGGCTCCAAATTCGCCATCCCGGAATCCCACGGTCGCGCGCGAAGGCCCACATCTGACGAGAAGAGGACGCCAACATACCCACCGAGGTTGTGATACCCATCGTCGTGACGATCGAGGCCATAACGGCGGTCCCTGCGACCGAGCCAGTGGCCTGGAGGAAGATTGCCATGAACGGGTACCCTGTCGGAGAGTTGATTGATTGCTGGATATTCCCCAAGCAGAAAAGCATGGCGATCAACATCCCGAATCCTAAACTGCCATTGATCAACACACTAAGCATCATCGATGTTGGAACCGCGACGGCCGCATTGGTGATCTCCTCGGACATCTGGATCTAAAGTCAGCAGAGGGAGGATTTCGACTATGAGCAGAATAGGCTTACATGAACTGCAGCGTCGCCACCAGCGAAGGCGAATACGCAACCCACCAAGCCCACGAAGAACGACAGCCCTTGCGTAGGGAATCCACCGAGATTCAAAAACTGTGTGAAGACTTCTTTCGCAGTGCCATGATCAGCCATGTACGTCAATGGAATCAAGATGGCGAAGAACCCCAGAACATGAAGGATCAGAATAAAGCCCTCAAACCGCGGCAACAACCGCCCGCCCACGCAGTTGATGCCGACAGCGAATAAAGCCACTGCCCAGAACAGCAAGGTTGCGTGCCAGTTGTGTGGGACATAGTCCTTCTGCGTGAGAATGATCAACCCTTGGATCAGACTCCCGCACAGATAGCAGGATGTGGCGTATGTTGCTTGCCATCCGATCACAGTAAGCCAGCCTGTTTTGAGATCCCTGTCAGTATTGCGATAGATTCGTTCGTATCTCCTTCGCGAGCATACCGGTCAAATAACTAACTAGCTTCATCCCAGACGGCGGGGCCAGCATGGAGCACCAGTGGTACTGCCCGCCCGAGGTGGGAGCCCTGTACAAATCAGTCTCCGGGTCCATCTTTCTAACATGAGGGTACAGCGGACATACATAGAAGCCAGTTCCGACAAGACGACAAACGTCGATGCCACACCCAACCAAACGAAGATGAAGCCATACACGGCTCCGGCCGGGCCACCGCTGCAAACTCATCAGCCCCGACACGTGGGGAACACGAGTAGAACGTGCTGGTCAAAACTTACTTTGAGTATGCTTGTAAGAACAGCCTTGCATTGCATATCGTCAGCCCAACGTTCCGCCCGCAGAGCCAAGTAGTTCTGCTCACACGACAATGCCTTCCCAAGTGATCAGAATCGTACAGCTGAACCCGAGCATGGACAGCAGACCAAAGTTGCGCTTATCTCCTGTCAGTACTTTTTTTCTGCCAGGACCTGAAGAAAGATCTCACTTTTAGAACAGGGCGTTTACCCATCCGCGCCAAGTTCTCATCATCGGCCTTGCTGGACTGACCCCCCAGCTCCTGCATACTGGTTGCTTCCATGTGCTTCATCTCGAACGGCGAACGAAGGCTGAAGAGATTGAGAGAATGAGAGACCGGAAGGTCATTAAGTCAAAAGTTGAGCTAGGTTACTTGAACTAGTTATCTTAGGTTTGATTCCCTTAGTCACTGCAGTCTCCGCTTTGCCGAGTTGGGGGTGTCGACCGTGGCATGTGCGCTAATGCAATGCAGGGATGTTGAAACGGAGCCCAATCTCGAGCGGCACAATATCCTCCAGTCTTCCGAGGGCGATACCCACGCTTGGTGCTGACTGGCCATCGGTTCATTTGAGTTTAATGTGGTTCTGCGTCTGAATTTTGGATCTGGGTTTTATCTGGTCTGCAGAAATCCGCGGAAAATTCTTTGTAACTCTAATCGTAAACTTCATTGTTTGGCTAGGGTTGCATTGTAACGCTGCCCGCCCAAATTTTTTCCCTATGGGGATGGTGCCATCAAATGAGAACATGGAATCTATTATACTTTCCACCTCAATATATATCGACTTCCCCACAGCAGTCCACAGCAGTCCACAGCAATCCACAGCAATCCACAGCAATCCAAACAAAAAAAAAAAAATTAGAAATAAAAAAAAAATCAAGATCAAAATTTCGCTCACAGCAACACCCGGGAAGAGCCTTGTACCGGTATTCTGCGTACGCCCGCTCAAATCCCCTCTCTCGACGATTCCGTAACCATCCACGATCGCGTCTCCTTAATCTGTGCCTGACTTACCTGGCTTTGCGCGTCGAAATCAGGGGAAGCGGTTACAAGAGCCCGATGGGCGTCAGGCATACTGACGAGCTCATGCGTTTCGCTTGCGTCACCGGTCCGCCCTCTCCGCGATTTATATGTGGTACCGTATGCATATGTGCGCGGGCGACTGTTGTAGCTGCTTCCTCCGAGGGCCATCCCCGAGGAGCGGAGGCTGTCGAGGAAGGGTTTGAACTGTGGGGCACAGGAGGTGATGATGCTCAGAGCCTGGACCATCTGGGTTGACACGGTCACGGTCCATGCGTCCCAGGAGGGATCGGTTGAGGAGCGAGATTGGTAGAAGTAGACCAGCTGGCAAATGATAGCGACGATCACACTGAGAGGAACAAAATGAGTTTTTGATAGTTCGCTGTCCAGATTTGATGGGAGGACATACACTATACGCAGGCCAAATACGCCAGTTAGGACGAGCTTTTTATTGGCGTCGGCTTGGACCCGTACGATGACAAGGAGGGCTTGTGCGACGATGCCGAGCTCGGACAGGATGTTGGTCACTGCGAGATATGTCCACCAGGCCACCTGCAGGGTATCAATCAGAATCTGCCACGGACTAGTTCTGCTCCTGGGTGGTCTTTCCATACCATATTGTAGCAATGGCCACCGATGTAGTTCCATGTCAGGGGCACGTGGCACTCGAAGGATGCTGCGATGATTCCTGAAACAGTCCACAGGCCGATGAAGATGGCCAGTGCCAGGGAGAAGCGGCGATCCAACGAGGCTGGTGACAGATGGCGGATGAAGAAGAGCATCGCAAGCTTGGAGCAACACATACTGGCGATGAACAATATACTGGCTGCGTATTGAGCCTATCGAAGGACACAGGCCATTAGCCATTCTTGTCGTTCATAGCGTTGGCAAATGGACTTTACCTTCATCATCTTGTCACGACTGCCGCTCGACAGTTTGCCCATATGCTGTCCGAGACCTTCGTTGGCCGCGACAGAGACCGCAATTGACTGGGCGATACATGTCACAACCGCACCGATACTGAAGAAATCGTCTGTTGTAAACTTGCGAAAGATCCAGATTTTCGTCCCGAGTCGAGTGAAGACGCTCAGAATGGACGTCACCAGCATAAACCACGTCAAGATATTGACGGCCGGGGTCCAAGTCTCGCGCAGCTCCGGTTTCATGATGAAGACTGGAGTTGGCGAAAAGAACTCACGAACTCTTTTACATCAGGATTCGGAGATATATCTACAGCTGATAAAGGTTGTGACGCGATTCAATATCCTTTCTACGGAGTAACCCTTACGATGATCCTATGGCTCACCCAAAAATTACGCCCAATCGATACAGATGCGTACGAATGGGTGCTCCTGCGCCAGGGATCCACTCGGTGGAACTTTGAGATCCCTGTTGCTTGGCGCATACCCCCCCCATGGTTGGATTAGTGCGGATGGGGACGGAATAAAGGGCAAACAAACTTTAACGTCCTGGAATAGCCGATAAACACTGGAGTTCGATCCCGCTTCTAGGGGGTTACGAACTAAGAGAACTTGCTTCTCTGGCATCCAGAAATTGAAATTGATTGCTTTGGTCGTGCTAGCCTCGGACGAACGTGATCGCTCCCACCCGTCGATCTCGGGGGGTTAGTGATGCGCCGATTTGCCGCGCTTGCCGGCCGAGCTCTCTAACTCTTTACTTATGTAGATAAACCCCCGTGAGACCGGGATTGTTTTAGCCTCGATTTTGAGTTTGCCTGCACTTACAAAATTTGAGACGCAGGCTTCGGTTGGTTCCGGGCCTCATGTTCTCGTCTCGGAACATGCTTGCCTGCGGAGCAAAAGCAAATAACGGCGAGAAGGCCGGGCTCGTGGAGGACGCAAAGACCAGTTTCGTGGGGCAAGGAACGAATAAATTGACTCCCAATCAACACATTCGAACTCAAAAGAGTAAACCGATAATTGCGGTGGTAGTCCCACCGCACAGCCGTTCGGTGGCTTTCTGACCCTGCCCCCTGCCGGGTCTCTACTAGCTGCAAGATCCACCTTGGTCGCCTGATGCAGGCCCCGATTTCTCCATAGCAGGACGGGATGGAGATGGGTAGCCATGAAGATGCATCTGCCAAGAAAGCAACGTTCGCCACGTTTTGCCTGCCAGTATCTGGGTCCCTGATTCGAAGGCTCGAAATAACTAGCATAGATCGACGCAAAGTTGGAAAACGCGTTCACAGCTACGTAAGCCACCGGCACGTTTAGCTTTGGGACCGAGGCAAAGATGTGGAAATCCAGGATAAGACGCCCCTAAATCAAGCGCAAATAGACATAATTAGAAAGGGGGACGTGTACCGCGCTGCCACATTCAAAGTCCCCCTACTGATGATGAGCCCGACGCTGCGGAACACCCACGGCCGCACGATATGAAGCGATTGCTCGCCCACTTGACCGCCGTGGAAAAAGTTGCAGCGGCTCGCTATCGCGGCAAAGATATATAGCGGCGCGAACAAAAGGAATGTCTTCGTCATCCCATGTCCAAGCGTGTTGAACTATGGTCGGGAAAAAGTTGGTGAAACAGGCAGCGGTATTGAGGCCGAGCTGCATCAATCAGATGATGCAGAGGGTAGGGTCGGTGACGGCTAGCTTGAGACCTTCAAATGCACTGCTCTTCGTCGGTCGCTTCAGCTTCTTCCGTGATGCGAGTAATAGCAAGGGTTCGCCCTTCGTCGGTGAGCGATTTTCTTGTAGCTGGATAGTCTGGCAAAATAGATATCGCCACAAAGGCTGTTGGAACTGTGTCAGAACCTTCGATAATGACTTCCAGGAGCTGGCCTTAGCCTAAACCAGACCCGGGAAAGCGAACCAAAAAGACAGTATACACACAACCATCTCCAAGACGGAAGTCCTGCCTTCCCATCCATTCCAGACAAGACCGCTACCAAGTAGTCCCAAATGTGCGGGCTATTTGGGCAGCAACTTTTGAAAGATCGGAGTGCGGGCAGTAAGTTCCTTTTTCGTATACCACGAAGGGAAGGGTAGCAAAAGCACCGGCTGTAGATTTGAGTGAGGGGGATATCGTGGCGGATCGACGGCTTTCACTAACGGAAAAAGATTACTTCGACAAAAGCCAGAATAGAATGCAGGACCAAAAGCCCAGAGTAGCTTTTTCCGGCACCGTGAAGCTGTTTACAAGGGCCCATGCACACATCACACCAGGCTAAAGAAGTGATGAGATTCGGGTATGGTAAAATAGGGGCGAAGGGTTTTTTCTTACCAGGGAGAGCGACGGCCTCATCTTGTTGAGAACCATTTTCATAGGAACATGAATCTCAATGCACCAGACAAAGAAGGGACCCATTTCCTTACCGCTTGCGTTGTCAATACGGGACGATTAGACGTTTCTCGCTGATTATGGTGTTGTACTGATTGCCATGGAGCTCTAGGTTTTCGAAAGATCCCAGTCGAGCAATCGTAATATTGTTCCGATCCAGATTTTTGAGAACATCTAAAAAAAAAAATCAGCAAACCGTTGTTGACGAGATTTTCAATTCCAGCAAAAAACCCCCCCCAGCAGAGCTTCTTACAGATTAGCATCATCAGCGGCAAAAGGAGTCGAGCTTGCTGACGAATTTCGTCTTCACCCTGTCTGGGTAATCCAATGCTGCTACCTCGCAAAGGGAGGCATCCTTCAGGCCCCTATCGAAATTCTCGATTTCTTCATGGTCTGGTTTGCCCATCGACTTCCTTTGTTGAGCCACGGTTCGGTTGCGTAAGTCTTCGGGCCGCGGAGCCAGGGGCTGATTTCGAGCCCTAATTCAACTTCTTAGAGAAACAGAGTCGAGGGGCATTGGGGCTCTAAATACTTTGAGGGGCCCCATATTCTCCATGTTTTCTCGGATCCCTCATCTCGCTCGGACCCCGGATTCTCCACTAAAGGGGTGAAGCGTGGGAGGACTGATTTTTGGGTAAGTTGGCGACATGGCGTCTTGGCAGCGCCGGCTATTTACCAGAACGAGGACTGGGACATGGACTACTTTGTATTTGGGGACACCATTTGGATACTATGACAGAATCAGATCATCCATTTGAAGAGAGCCCGATAATGGAACGGAGGGAAAGCCGGAAGCTGACATGTCGGCACGAAATCGATCTGATAGAAGGAACTTGACATTTCCGTGCATTAAATCCGTGGGTAAAATTAGATTCCAAGAGATGTGCGGGCCCGCTCGACCAATTAATTGATATGTACAAGGAACGACGGTGTAACTAATTCAAATTTCTCTCCTTGGAAGCCGGCTGCCTCCCCACCCGTCTCAAATCCTTCAGTCGCTTACAGCTGGAAGACTGCAGCACCGAAAGTGGTCAGGATAGTCAAAAGCACCGAGGAGTAAAGAGAGAAGATGAGGCAGACGCAGTGTTTCCACTGGTGCTGGCGGAGGCAGTAGCACCAGAGGTAGAAGCATTGGACTTCGAGGCATCAAACGAGGTCACCGAGCTGTTGATGTTGGAATTTGCGCTCTTGACAGAGACGCTGTTGCTGGGGAAGCCCTCGGTAGAGTTGGACAGCTTGATACTTGTGTAGGCACCGGTCTTGTCCGTGTAGGTGTATGAGGACGCCGGGTAGTAGTTGGTCACGTTCACCGATTCAACGTACATGGTGAAGGGAGCGGCAGAGTAATCGGTTACGCCTCCCGCCCACTCGATGGTACCCTCGCCGTTACTGGGATCGCCGCCAGCCCAGATACCGATCTTGATCCTGCAGGGGGTTTGGGGGTAGTTGTAGCCATCAACGGCGTCGTGGTAGTTCAGGGTACGGACCACCTCGCCATCGAGGAGCCAGTTGATACGAGAAGGAGTCCAGTCCAGACTGTAGGTGTGGAATTCGGTCTCAGGGTTGATAACGGGGACGGTTGTATCGCGGTCATAGGCCGTGGTGTTTCCCTTGCCGAAGTAATCAGTCTGAATAGAGGTGGGGTAAGTGCTGATTTGTTCCTGGAGACCATGTTAGACGGCTGTGGTGTTCAAATTGTGAGGGAAAGTGAACTTACCCAGTCAATCTCGTCCAGGTCATCAGACAGCAGCATGTACGTGCTAATGATACCAGTGCCAGCAGATGCCTTCATTTTGACATCGACATGGCCGAAGAAGATGTAGAATTCGCTGGCAATGGTTGGAGCCTGGCCTTCTTTGTTGATAGTGAATTTGGCTCCTTCAGTGGTCGTGGTCACCGGCGCAGCAGTGATATTCCAGTGCTCCAGGGCCGACGCGTCAGTGAAGTCACTGAAGTAAGACCACTGGGCAAGGCCCGTGTCTGCGGGGCAGGTTTCTTCGACATGGGATGAGAGTGCGTTTTTATGTCTCACTCGAGGCTTTACTTACTCTCAGTAGGATTGCAGCTGGTGTAGGTCTGCGCAGCGCTGAGCTGAGCAGCAGCCAGAATGGCCGCCGCTTCCAGGGAAAGCTTCATATTTCAGTATCGTTAGGCACAAGGCAGTATTTAAAAGTGCAATATTATGGTTCCGAAAAGTTGTGATAAAAAAGTTGAACAAAAAACAATGGGGAGACCTGGGGTTAAACGAGGGACTTGGGGGGTACGAATGGAATATGGAAGGAAAACGAGGCCAGGTTGGTTTTTTATTGTTTCTCCTGCATCTTCCCCCCCCCTGATTCATCCGTTCATGAGTACGCGATTGTGCCCACGTACGGTCCACCAAGCAGAATGGATCCGACGCTTTGAGTCCCCGAGGGCCATGATTGGTCTGTTTTGGCCATTGCGAGGAACCGAGTCGAACTAGCTCGATTTGTGGCGCCCTTGAGTACAGATGTTGTTATAATTAACCCTGCGGGACTCCACCGAAAAAGCTTGGTTTTGGTTGATGACGGCAGCGCTTGCGTGTGTTTGGCTCCCACTACGGCAGATCCGGCACGTCTAGCGAAGCCTACGTACGCCAGGATCCCTTTCCTGCCCTGAAGAGGCCAGCATCGAAGCTGAGAGAGCTTTGAGAGGTTTCTCACCAGGCAATCAAATTACGTCCCTGCTCCTGGATCCCGCTGTTTCGAAACCTCAAAGGTGTTGCAGGGATTGTTTCGCGCAGAAACACTCTCCCAAGACTTTTCTCCCGCTTCGCCAATCAAGTGCCGGCAAAGCTGTCAAGGCTCGCCGCGAAATCGTCGCGGATTAGATTAAAGGAGGCGTGCGAATCAACTACTTTTGTCTCTTCTAGGCAGCTCGTCAGGAAGTGTTCATAGAGGAATATGAGAGGAACGCGCTGAAGACCGCGCAATGGCAGTTGTGCCTCGGGTAACTGTGGGGTTGGAGATCGAGATCATCGTGAAAATCTGCAGAAACCGTCGGCCCTTTCCGAGGCGCCGATCTCTACCGTGTGGGGAGCATAAAACGAAGATGACCAGGCTTTCGAGACACTTTTGCCTTTTCCTTCCTTTTCTTTTCTTTTCTTCTCTTTTCTTCTTCTCTTTTCCTTTTCCAGGACTTGAACAAGTTTGCCACCGGTAGACTCAACCGTGGAAGCAACCCTTTTTTACGCGGCTTTGTTGAGAAGGCATACTACAGCTCCTGCTTCTTGGCTTTTTGACCCACCATCTATCGAAAGGACTAGGTGTATGCAATTCTAGATGCCACTTTCATGATAAATCTATGAAGAGACTCTCATGGGCTTATGTTACAGCGCGGAAGCTGCACATGCGGATGATCATACTCCCGTCTATAGCTTGGACAAGCGACCGTCGGGTTGCAAAAGCGAAATACTCTCGCTGGTGATCTCTGACACGTTTCGACAACTAGGATACGCGTGTATTAGCAGGACTGAGTCATGTTGGGGATAATGAGGGTAATACATACCCAGAAAGCGCCATGCATGTCCTGAATTCATCGTAAAGCAGATCGAGAGCCAGCTTGACCCCATCTGCTCCGTTGTACTTGGAATTATGGTCAGCAAAATATATGCCCGTCACGCCCAGAACAAACTTACCGCGAGCCCCCAAATAGCCGGTCGGCCGGCAAGGCAAAAATCAGCTCCCAGAGCCAAGGCTTTGAAAATATCTGTACCACGACGAATACCACCATCCACCGCGATCGGGATTTTGCCCTTTGCAACAGGGGCAACTTCCCGGAGAGCATCGAGTGACGAAGGGACACCGTCCAGCTGGCGGCCACCGTGGTTTGAGACGATGATGCCATCGAATCCGTGCTCGATCGCAAGCTTTGCATCTGCTGCAGTGTATACTGGAAAGGCACAGCCACTCAGTCTTCAAACTTGTACATTCTAGTCAGGGCTTTACTCACTTCCTTTGCCCCAAATCTGCATTTCGGTGTGCTTTCGGAAAAAAGGCATAAAATCAGGCCATTCAAGAGTCTCGTCTTGAGAAAGTTTAGTGCCGAAATTCTCATGGATTCGATATCATTGTGTTTACCGTAGGCCATTGTCTCGTCGCCATTTTCCAAATTAGTCACATCTACGCCTGGAAAAAGGTTGGCATATTCCATGCCCTGGGGGACTCCGAACTTGTTCCGGAATTCGTTCAGTCTCCGCCCCAGATGAGGGCAATCAAGGGTCACAAACAGTGCTTTGAAGCCAGCAGCTAATGAGGAAAGGGGCTGGTGAGTGTTTCAGTCTTGCATGACCGATCGAAAAAGTGTGCGGTGCTAACCTCCTGCACGCGTGATCATCTGGATCATCGCTGATTTGTTTCTGAGTAGACTCATTTGCATAACGTAAGGGTTCTCTTTGCCTTCGGCAATGACATCTTCGAGTCTAATTGTTGAGTAATTTGAAAGCGCCATCAGTGTGTCGGAGGCGGCGCATGCTTTGGACGTGGCAATTTCACCTTCAGGGTGGGCGAAGGTTTGCATTGCTGTAGGGGAAAAGCCAAACGGGAATTTGACCTTGGATCCCAGAATGTGAGCACTAGGATCCAGTTTTGAGAGATCACGCAGAACGCGCGGTCGGATCATGTACCGATCATACGCTGATTCGTTCCAGTGCAAGCTGTAAAAGATGCAAGTTAGGTTCGACAATATTTCACGCGTGGTGTCCCGCAGAACGAACGTGTTCAGATCCATGGCTCCCTCGTTGTAATACTCTGCCGAACCGGATGTCAGCTGGGTTGTCTCGAAGGGAATCCAGCCAGGGCAGATTGCTAGTTCGGATGGAGTCCTGGGACTGCAACAGTTTCAGGAAAGAGCTGAACCTACCTCTAGTTGTCTTGTCCATGTTTGCAGATCCATGTACAGCGAGGTCCCTGATGCTATAAACGTGTTGGTCGAGGGTTCTCCCGCGGTTGGCCATTGTAGCACAATCGAATCGAGGGCCAACTGAGATTGGGTTAATTGTGAGGAATTCAGCGGGGACTGTGTGATATACTACTAGTTATTAGATCAGTATATCTTATCTGAGTCCCTGACCTTCGACCCAAAGAAAGACAGTATGGATTACGCTAAATGTAGATAAGCTGGTGGCTTACCGGCTCGTCGTTCTATTCCGAAGGACTCGAAATGCTCGAGATATCTGCCAGCCCATAAATCAAAAGAAAGCGGGGTAGTGTATGGATCACAGACAGGAAATGCACGGTTTCTCAGTACTGGTTTTGGATTGGCCGGAATATCTCCAGTATCATCCTCAAGGCCTGCAACTGCAAATCAGCAGTGCGTTTAGTGAGCAGGGCAAGTCTAACCGTCGGTCTGGCCTGCCGAATACAGAAAAATACAGAACGGGAAGGCATTCCCCAAAGCTTCAACTTGAGGACAAGCAAGTATCATAACATAACATGACTGCCACTAGTGCGTTCCACGCCCGATACTTACGTGCAGCAGACCGAGTCTCGCATGTGTTTCGTTTCCTTTCCGAAACTGCCTGTGGGGAGAGATTGCTACAAGGCCCAAAGCAACAGTGATGTTGACTTGAGATGTTAAAAATACAGATAAGAAGCTTTGAACTCTTTTTTTAACTTGGTGATCCATGTAGATTGTATACTTATAACGGATTTGCAAATAGCAAGCAGCACAGAGCCCTCTACGAGTTTAATCAGTGAATCTATGCTGAGTCTAACACCCACAATTCCTTGGCTAGATTAATGGGCGAGTTTCAAACTTGGACAACCGAGAGGCGGAATACAAACACGATAGCAAAAGAGATTTTCATTCAGGAAGGCATGTCCGAGATGCATAACTGGAACGTCTACTTTTTCTTTCCGGCATGAGAGAGCGGGGCCCCGCTGGTGATAGCGATAAGCGCAGGAGGGGTTAAGAGGGGTTTAACTAGAGTCTATATGGAAGCCCTTGTTTCTCTAGCTTAGCAGCTATTCAAGCTTCGGCTTTCAATATGGCTAAAACCAGAGTTCTCGTGGTTGGGACCGGAGGGATTGGGACGATCTCGTCGTATTCTTTGGAGAAAAGCGGCACCGCGGAAGTAACTGCCGTTATGCGCTCCAACTACGATGCGGCGCAACAGAATGGAATCGATATCGACTCTGTCCAATTCGGCCAGATCAAGGGGTGGAGACCAACAGCGAGTGAGCAAATCCTGGAGATAACAAAGTCGAAAGGACTTGGCTAATCGACATCCCCCAACAGTTACGAATTCAATCCCTGATGTTTCGTCCGGAACAGTTCCTCCCTTCGACTACATCCTCGTTACGACCAAGAATATTCCAGACTATCCCCCAGTTGTGTCAGATATCATTGCCCCAGCGGTAACTCCCGGCAAATCAGCTATTATTCTTTCGCAGAACGGCATCAATATCGAGAAGCCCTTGATTTCTCGGTTCCCCACCAATCCTATCATTAGCGCAGTTGTCTACACAGGCGCGACTGAAACAGCTCCCGCCAAGATCTACCATGATGCCAATGACTGCCAGAAGATCGGTGCCTATGCCAGCCCACAAGTCCCGGTCGAAGTGGCTGAGGAGGCAGCCAAGAAATTCGTCCAAATCTACAACCCGGACGGAAAGCTCGACGTGATTTACTCCCCAGACGTGGCCAAGGCTCGGTGGCGCAAGATCGCCTACAATGCTTCCATGAACCCGGTTGCAGCTATTCTGCGCATGGATACCCGCCGAATCCGACAGAGCCAGCATGTCGCAGAGGACCTGATCTTGCCTATCATCCACGAAATCCGCGCTATTGCTGAAGCGAGTGGAGTCACGCTCGAGCCTGATCTAGTGCATGCGGTCATTCACCAGGATCCGAACTCTTGCGAGTTCAAGCCAAGTATGTGCCAGGATTACGAGAAAGGCAATCTTATGGAGGTTGAGAACATTATTGGGGAGCCTCTGCGCGAAGCGGAGAAGCTCAACGTATCAACGCCAACTCTAAGGACTATTTACGGGATTATGAAAGGGCTTCAACTCCGCGTCAAGGAAGCTAAAGGTCTTTGGGAGCCCACGTGGCAACCCGGGAACCCGTTCGAATAGATGGAGTACAAAATCGTACATGGAATGCATTACAGCTTTTTCTCGCGACGGATTTTGTCAATATCTCACGCGCACTTGTAGATTGAGAGTATTGTATGAAGCTATCACGTACTAAGAATAGTTCGTCATGCATCCAGCTGATGTAAAATCCACGGACGCTACGTGATACTGCCAAGGATCATGTATCTCCTTTTCACGTTAAAAGCAATACGCCAAGCCTGTATCTGTTTTAGGGATTTGACTTTCCTTCGCCGTCGTTGCTCCAGCCAATCCGCTCTCAACTTTCATGTCACATTTTCCACTTTTCTGCTGCCATCTACGACGGGCGTGGCCTTTCCACCGAGCCCACTTCAGAGCAGATCCTTACGAATGCTATCCATTGCCATGAATCCTTTCTTCTTCCTTGTTTCTTTGGCCGTTCTCACGAATTGTCAACATGCCACGTGACTATTCATGTACACACTGCTGATAAATCCATAAGCGGCTCATCCAATGGTGCGTAAATTTGATAGCCTTATTTCCAAGACACAACCTTCCAATGATCCTTCAAGGCTCCAAGGTCCATGCTGGACGCCTTAGCAATAAAGTCCCCGCATGCCCGTATTTCGCACAAAGAACCAGTAGTTAGAGGAACTAAAGAGGCTAAGGTGCTCACGGCTGTTGTATTTCTAAGCATTTGAAATCATAATTGACTGATTCGTGAGGGTAACCCATAGCTCAGCACTATAAAGAGCCTCGTTGAACTAGATACCAGTCTAATTCCATTTATCCACCTCAGTTTCCAACCATGACTTCCTTCGAAAACCAAGCTGCATTGCAAATAGAAGCCAAGGCCCGGCCTTTCAAGGTCGGGCCTGGGCCCGTTCCCAACCCCTCGGAAGATGAAGTCGTCATCAAGGTAGCATATGTTGCTATCAACCCGGTGGATCATATAGTAGGATTTGCCCGTTGACCTGGATATATACCCCCTGCTGATCCTGATGCTATAGGTCCAAGCTACCCCTATCTTTGAATACCCATATCCTTATGTCTTGGGGACCGATGTTGCAGGAACCGTTGCTCAGCTGGGCTCTAACGTGACCAGATTCAAGTTGGGACAAAGAGTGATTGGGTAAAACTCTCGAACCATGCGCTTCTCTTTTTCGAGGAAAGCTTACCTGACCCTCGTTATAGCCACTGCGATGGGCTACTCACCAAAAAACCGACAAACAATGCGTTCCAGGCCTACAGCACCTGTCGGGAGGTTTTGATGGCCGAAGTCCCCGATTCGCTTCCTCTGGCGAACGCTGCCGTTCTGCCCCTCGGATTCTCCACAGCTGCAAGTGGACTCTACATTAACTTGAAGCTTCCATTGCCCTCGTTGGATCCCAAGCCGACTGGGAAGAAGATTCTCATTTGGGGCGGTAGCTCTTCCGTTGGAAGCTCTACTATTCAGCTCGCAGTCGCATCTGGCTTGGAAGTCCTGACGACTGCAAGCCCTGCAAACCACGAATATGTGAAAAGCCTGGGAGCGTCTCATTTTCGACCATAGAGATCCCGAGGCCGTGCCGAAAATCAAAGCTATTCTGAGACCAGGAGATGTGGTTTACGATTGCATTAGCACTGCTGACACCCAGGCTAAATGTAACGACATCTTCGCCCATATCGGTGGTCGGGGTTCTCTGCCTCTCGTCCTGCCACCGCAAGGCACCTTTGCTGAAAATGTGGTGCCAGAATATGGTAGGTAACCGATCCACTGGACTGACAAGACATGCCGATGCTGATAGTCTGAAAGTCAATGGCTTGGCCCCTGGTATGACCCACCCAGAGATTGGTGACGGGACTTGGCGTAAGTTCCTCGGCCAAGCTCTCGCTGCAGGGAAGTTCCAGGCAAAGCCTGATCCGAAAGTCATTACTGGCGGTCTGGAGAAGATCCAGGAGGGTGTGGATCTCCTGAAGAAGGGTGTCTCAGCCACGAAGATTGTCGTTGAGATCTCGAAGGAATGAGAAGACGGCACGTTGCCGTCTTACCCTCTCCTCTAGAAACTGAGACTAGCCGCCCGCCTAGGGGGCGGGGAAATCTGTCACGACACGCTTTGCTCTAGTTACGAAGACGCCTACCGAATCGCGGCGAGGTGTTCGAAGGAGACTCGGTGCTCGGACTTTTACAATCGTCGCATAGTTCGAAGGGCTATCGCACTGCGTACTATATAGATATCGAACCCACCTGATAGCTTGGTAAACACTCACGGCATATGTAAAAGAATCGCAAAGGGAACCGAAGAGTTCCCCGGCGATGAATTTGATTACCCTGCTACCATTGAGTTATCGCACCACGAATTTCACAGTAGTATTGGCCTTTCGGAGTCATATGCTACCCTATTCGAGCCTATCGTAGAAGAGCCTTCACAGGATCTTTACGTATTTGCTCTTCGCAATTCTAACTTATAGGCTAAGTTAGCGTATCCCAACAGAGGCGCTTCGAAAAGAAAAGATCATCGTTGTATTTGCCGAGTTCATTAACTCTATCTGCGAAGGCCAAAAGACTATGTATAATAGAAATTAGTAGCAATACTAATGCGACCGGTGAACATATATCCAAGAAAGCAATTCCAAAACGGGTATCAACATAATAGCCCCTCTATTGGTTCTCCAGGTGAGCTGATCAGACTCTCCAAGGAGTACCGGGAGGAATGCACGCATCAGCCTTCTCAAAATACCAGTGGTGATCGTCAAAGTCGGAAAGAGAAGGAAAGCCAGTCCCAGTGTTGCCGTCGAAGTTGACCTCGCCATCAAGGACCTTAACATCAGCGGTAGTCACAGTCACATTGTTTCCAGATGTGATCCAGTATTCAGGGCTAACGTGCACGTATCCCATGGAAAGAAGAGGCAACTTGGGGACCGGGTCCTTGGTGTGGGTGAAACGGTAGTTCTTGCCCTGGGCAGTAATAACTTTTGCCAACGCCAGATTTGCAACACGAGGAGCGGCAAATGCATACAGAGTTGCCTCAAGATGTCCGTGGATACGAAGGTCTGCGGCAGCCAGTGTAGCGACGGCAGCGCCCAAGCTGTGGCCCACAACAAACAGCTCGTAGTCAGGGTGGGCGGCGACGGCCTCATGGATGATTTGTGTCACCGGCTCGCGGACTACATCCCATGAGTTCCAGAAACCGAATTCAGCTTCACAGCCCTCGCAAAGGCCGGGGTCGGTGTATGGGAATTCAACATCACTGATCCAGTTGCGAACAGAGTACGAACCGCGGATGGAGAGGATAATTGCTTTATTTGTGTCATCGCGAGCGACGAATCCAGATGTATCGGTGAGAGTAGAGCTGTCCCAGTCAGTTTATGGGCAACGTTTGAATAGGAAAGATGGGTGGAGAATTACTTGGAGAAGTCGTAAAGAATGGTGGCTCCAGATGCCTCTACTTGAGGGCAGTTACCAACCGCGCACTTCAACTCGGATCCAGCCTGGCCAGCGTAGTTGACCTCGCAGTAGGCAGCTGCGGCGTATTGTACCCAGAACTTGAACTGGGTCAGCTCACCAGCAGGAATATCTGGAAAGTCGTTAGCACCATGTCTTCAGGCAGTATAAGAAAGTCTCTTACCCCGAGTCCGCAGGCTGCTAGGGATGGCGGAGCCGATAGCAGTAACTGCAAACAGGACACCAGTGATTATCGAATACATATTGGATGGGTGTGGGGGTATAATCTTGAGGAGACCGCAACTCCAGAAGACAGGCCCATCTATCTCACGGGTCTTTATATCGGGCCATCAGATAGCAAAAATGGCCCTTCCATTCCTGCCTATGCCGACTGTCTCGAATCGGGTCCATCGGAGTCAAAGCTCTCCAGCCGCGTGATGTGGAAGAATTCTTGCGAACTGTCGATCAATTACTCGTTCCGGGTGGGATAGCCTAGGCACAACGGGCGCTTTCCCATTCTCATATCTGTATCCTGCAGATCGTGGCCCTATTCTGCGCTTCTCCAATCCCGACAGAGTCCCTTGGGACCCGTCTGCCCAGATATCGGGAACAGGCCACGGACTGGAATGGGGGCCGGGGGCACGGGTATCTTACTGCTTCCGGGCGCGTCCGCGGAGTCCAACTGAGGAAACGCAAATGGGTCTTGAAGGTTCAGGGAAGAATGGGTCTCTGTGCCTTTCCCGAGGTCCCATCCTTTAGGCAAAGAAGAACAGAAGCACATGCCTGTCGCAGGAGAAGTAGTTATGGCCATGTCAGCAGGATTCTGGTGGGCAAGCCAAGGAAACTCGAAAGGCCTGAGATGGGATAGGTTCTGGGGTTCCCGACATGTCAAACGTGTTTAGAGCAGAAATCGCATACAACGGCTAGCTGGAAAACCCATAGTATCACAAATCTTCCACAACGTGATATTGCATGTCAACCACGCTGCTTCAGACCCGAAGGGCTATGGCGTTCCTGCATTGTGCCTTGTTTATCCTTGATTATCCTTTGGCGCTGCAGATCGGGCGCCACTAAACTCTATCGTGCAGGAACTCCTCTCCATCCACCAATCAGAAGGCCCGTTCAGTCTCAGCCTCGTGGAAAATCGGCCGCCCAGTGTCTCGCCAAACGGTCGGATCTATGAACCCCATCCGTAGTTTTCTTCAGGTCAAAAGCATTCAAGGTGGTACTTTGGGGAACTTGGAGAAAATAAGAAGACCAACCGGACATGCCGCGGTGCTCTGCCTTGAACGGCGTATGGGTATGACTTCCTGGTTTACCAAGGCCCACGTCTATGCCCGGGCGATCCACTCATAGTTGATCCGAGGTCCATTCCAATGAACGTGAAAATGGGTCTTAATTTGCAGCTCCATAATAACCGTTACGGCGGAAACGCCATGTGCCGATCGTCTTTCTACATCAGGTTATTTCCGATACTCAATTCGAATGCTTAGAACGGCCTATAATTAACTATTGTGTAGATACGGCAGCAGGCGGATACCGCTGTCTGTGGAATCCCCTAGAGCATCGAACTCACTCTGTTAGGTGGTCGGTCATTGTGACAGAACTCATTGCTATGAAGAGCCCTGATATTAATAATGCACATTTTCTTTCGGGCTGCTTTGTCCAAGATTCGATCGTCATCACATCAGGCACCCCTCCTTAATGCTGGAGTGTAAATCGCTCAATCCCACCCGCACCCGACGGTACCTTGGCTTGACACCATCGTCGACCTGCTCCTTCGGCCCAGCCTTGCTTCGAACGCTGTCCACGCTTGGAGAGCCCGGCCTAACCCCGCCAGTCGGACTGGGCAGTTTCATGGTAGGCGTCGCAATTCGTTCCAAACTAAACACCTCGACCATCCACTCATACCAAATCTTTCGGTTATCGGTCTGGCGATACATTGTAATCACAATCTCTCCATTGTCTGGGACATTCAAAGGAGTCTGTAGGGAATGTTAGTACTGGACAGGTAGTATCACTTGGGACTTAGAGAGAGCGCTTACCTTTAATGGGAAGTAGATAGGGAACCAGCTTATCATGCTGGCACTTTTCGCGTCCATGGTCACTGGGTTAGTTGAAAGCTCAACATCGCCATACAAAACCGTCTCAAAGTAACCAGCAATGCCGTGGCAAACACCCCGGTGCCGCACAGGAAACTCAAGGCGAGTTTGGCGAACATTGTGTGAATTCGAAACGGTCGACTGACTTTGAGGCTGGGAGGGAATATTTGGGTTCGGATGAGAGAACGACCACGCAGTTTGGACAAAAGGAGTTGCAAATTCCGTAGCAGGTGTGGTCCCAGATGGCATCGATGAACGGTTTGCGTTATTTTGAGCTGCTGGATCGACCTCGGAAGGGGGATTCCGAGAGGACAGGTAGTCGACAGCATGGAGCATAACTACGTAAGGTGTTTCAGGCGCTGTTGGATTGGACACGCTTTGGAGCGAGATATCCGCGTGCAGCTTCGGGGCCGAGATTGGGGTGAGATGGGCCGAGTATGAGGCTGGAATGGAGATACCGTGAACAGGGTTGATGAGGTGATTCACGCCATCTAGACACTCCGGTGACAGCTCGTTATCGGCAAAGGATCCAAGAAGTTCCGACACCACGATATCCACATGTGTGTGCGTGAGTCCAGATGCTGTAGGGTCAATGAGATCAGATGCTCGGCCTGGGTCATTTTCGCTCTTTTTGGGAGTGTAGAGAAGGGAGTCCTCGATACCCAGGGATCCTCCGATCGGTTCATTGGTCTCTTCCGGGGCGCTTTTGCGCACCCGAGGACCTTTCCAGCTTCGCATATCTGATTGGACAAGATTAACTTTACCATGCCAGATCGTCTCGTTGTGACGCTGCAGGAGAACAAATGCGTTTTGATTCTTCTCAACAGCCCACATGTCTATCTCAACGCCGGCTTTGGCACTAGCCTTGAGGGCCCGCGTCACAAGAGGCCCACGACCGGCACCGACGACCGCAAGGACGACCTTTCCATCGGGGTGTGATGTTGGCTTCTTTTGATCCGCCCAGTCTCTGAGGGCCTTTTCAATTGCACGCTCATACCACTCGTACTTAATAGGGTCTTTCTCAAATACCTCATACGTGATGCTCTCCAGGTTGACGGTGAGTGGCTGTAGCGGGGCCTGAAGATAATCCTGATACCCTGTCCCAAATCTCTCTATCGGTGTGCGAGGGGGTTGTCGGTTCTGGAGGTTTCGCAAATATGAAAGGTGAGGGGTAGGGTCATGGTGCTTTTTCGTGGATCCCACGACTTGCGACAGGCTGGGATATTCGGTTCCAGAAAGAGGAGATTGGGGGGCGTCGGCATCGTCCGTGTCAATGCCAGGGACTGGGCCAACGTCACAGAGAAGAATCCACGGTGGAGTACGAAGACGCATCAACTTTGCAATCAGAGCCTGATGACCCTTCGACAGAACAGGGAATCCTTTCTGGTTCTTGAGGAAACACGCAGCAGCTATCGTGAGAAGGTGTACTGGTTCTGAATGCCATCGCGACTGGACAGATAGGGGCGGGAGTCTACTCGGCATGGATAGAGCTAATGACTGCAGTTAGTCTCTCGCCCCAAGGAAACAGTACGATGCCTGCGAATCAACGGATCACGTACCAACAAATAACCGAGTATGGTATTTGCAAACCTTGCGAATCAGGTCCCAAGCATCCCAAGTTCCGAAAAGATCGACTTTCGGAAGAGCTCCATCAATTGGTAGCAAGAACTCCCCCCGGGCCAGCGGGGCAAGATCACCCACCGTGTCGACTTCGAGTTCGGGATTGTTCACCATAGGCAGCCAGATATGGAATTGAATATATGGTCCAAGGCTAATTGCATCTTGGATAGCGCGCGCATAGTAAATGACCCCCTCAGAGTGCATGTCGCCATGGTGCAATTTAGGGCCCGGTAGGAGCAAATATCCGATCCCGCAGAACGCAGCATAGGCTACCTCAAGCATCAAGACCTGCCTGGACAAGTCCGCAATGAGAGGATCTGGTGAACAGAGGTCAATCCAGCTGCTAGTGATTCCGACTAGCTGGCTAGTTGCCTCGCTGGGAGTAAGGTGCGAATCCGATTTCGTCAGCGGGGGGGATGACCAACGGCCTTGTGTTGGCCGTCGTGCCCATCGTACCGATGGAATCATACTCTGGAGACTGCAATGTAGAGAGATACGAAGACAAGAGCCCGAGCACGCGAGAATGGAAGTGTTGATTCGTTATGGGAGCTGTCAGCATATCATACTATAATGTATGTTAGTTTGCGACCAAAATGTATAGAAAAGATAGATTCACGCACATTACTTTCATGAGCTATCCGTACCACCTGAGAGGTAATAGGGAGAGAGCGACTTGTCTCATGGTTCCCAATGCAGAAGCTAGGCGCCCCCTCGTCGGAGCCGTAGCTTTCCATATTTGACGGGTAACTATTTTTTTGTGCCTGGCGCGTGGAGAAAGGAGGGGCGAAGAGTAGAAAGCCGAGGAAATGGCCCGTGGGGGAACGAAAGATATATTGGGGCTTGGGACAGCAGAATTCAACCAGTAGGGCGACGACAGATTTCTAGGGATAAAATACCCAAGGTGAGCAGCCCCTGCGTAGTTCCAATTGTCCCCTTGACTCGACTCGATCCCTTTGTGGGGGGCGGCAGAATACACCGAGCGGTGACTGATAGAGGCGATCGACATGGAATTTTCCTATCCGAGTTTTTTTATCGGCCACACGAGTTTTGCACTTTCCAACTCTCCGACTGCTGCTCTGACAATGGCTGATCGTCGTTCAGATTCCGAGGACGGTGCTCGGGCAAAGCGCCAAAAGATGGATGTCGTCGACCCCAAGGACAATCCTTACTTGGCTCACATGTACGAGGGCCCAACAGATTCCGATAAGAGTTCTCCCTTGGCCAAGCTGAAGCGCCACCAGACCACAGCGGCCCTCGCCAAGCAAGCGGAGGATGGCGATATCAACCCTTTCAGCGGGAAGCCTTTCTCCAGCAAGTACTTCTCGATCTTGAAGGGCCGCCGCGACTTGCCTGTGCATGCTCAACGGTATGTTGAAGTTTCCTTCCCTGACTTTGGAAGCTCCCGTGGACTCATATTCCGTCAAGTGATGAGTTTTTAAAGCTCTACCAGCAATCGCAAATCCTGGTCTTTGTCGGTGAAACCGGTTCCGGTAAAACGACTCAGATCCCCCAGTTTGTCCTATACGATGATCTCCCCCAGAGCCAGCGCAAAATGGTTGCTTGTACACAGCCTCGACGTGTGGCCGCCATGTCCGTCGCCGAGCGCGTCGCAGCGGAAATGGATGTGAAGCTCGGCGAGGAAGTTGGATACTCAATTCGTTTTGAAGACAAGACTAGCTCAAAGACGTGTCTCAAATACATGACTGACGGTATGCTGCTGCGTGAGGCCATGAATGATCATAATCTTGCTCGGTACAGTACCCTCATTCTGGACGAGGCTCACGAAAGAACCATGGCAACCGATATTCTCATGGGCCTGTTGAAGGAGGTGGTGGCACGCCGCCCAGACTTGAAGGTCATTATCATGTCGGCCACTCTAGATGCGGAAAAATTCCAGCGTTATTTCAACGATGCGCCTCTTCTGGCTGTCCCTGGTCGGACCCACCGTGTCGATATTTTCTACACCCCCGAACCAGAGCAAGACTACGTGGAGGCTGCGATTCGAACTGTTTTGCAAATCCATGCCACTGAAGATGAAGGAGATATCCTTGTTTTCTTGACTGGAGAAGAGGAGATCGAGGATGCTTGTCGCAAGATCCAAATGGAGGGCGACGAGATGATTCGAGAGGCAGACGCTGGTCCGCTTAAGGTCTACCCACTCTACGGCAGTCTGCCTCCCCATATGCAACAGCGCATCTTCGAGCCTGCCCCGCCTCCGGCTCGGCCTAATGCTCGACCTGGCCGTAAAGTCATCATTTCCACCAATATTGCGGAAACCTCTTTGACCATCGACGGTATTGTGTACGTGGTCGACCCAGGATTCTCCAAGCAAAAGATCTATAACCCTCGCATCCGTGTCGAGTCTCTTCTCGTCTCCCCCATCTCCAAGGCATCTGCACAACAGCGTGCTGGTCGTGCTGGCCGTACACGTCCGGGAAAGTGCTTCCGCCTTTACACCGAAGAAGCCTTTAAGAAGGAGCTGATCGAGCAAACCTATCCCGAAATCCTTCGTTCGAACTTGGCATCGACTGTCCTTGAGCTCAAGAAGCTAGGCATCGATGATCTTGTTCACTTCGATCTAATGGACCCACCTGCCCCCGAGACCCTTATGCGTGCTCTGGAGGAGCTCAACTATCTTTCCTGTTTGGATGATGATGGAAACCTCACCCATCTCGGCCGACTTGCTTCCGAGTTCCCCCTCGACCCAGCACTTGCGGTCATGCTGATCAGTTCTCCCGAGTTCTACTGCTCTAACGAGATCCTGTCTATCGTTTCCCTGCTTTCTGTGCCCAACGTGTTCGTTCGCCCTGCCTCCCAGCGCAAGCGCGCCGATGAAATGAAGAACCTCTTCGCTCATCCTGATGGTGATCATCTAAGCATGTTGAACGTTTACCATGCGTTCAAGAGTCCTGTAGCTCAGGAGAATCCTAGACAGTGGTGCCACGATCACTTCCTCTCCCTGCGTTCTCTCCAGTCCGCCGATAACGTACGCATGCAACTTCTCCGGATCATGGAGCGGGAGGAGTTAGACATGGTGTCGACTCCATTTGACGATAAGAAGTACTATGAGAATATCCGCCGGGCTCTTTGTGCTGGGTTTTTCATGCAGGTCGCAAAGAAGGAAGCGCAGGGCAAGAGTGTCTACTCCACTATCAAGGACAACCAGAACGTTCTTCTGCACCCCTCGACTGTGCTAGCTCATGACGCAGAGTGGGTTCTCTATCATGAATTTGTCCTGACCACCAAGAACTACATCCGCACTGTCACCGCTATCAAGCCCGAGTGGCTCTTGGTATGTTTCGTTTCCCTAGCCATCTTTAGCGCAAGAATCAAAGCTGACTTTCAATAAGGAAATTGCGCCCACCTACTACGATATCAACAGCTTCCCTAAGGGCGACATCAAGTCCGCTCTGATGCGCGCTGCCGACCGTCTTTCTCGAAAGGAGAAATTGCGTTCTGAGAAGCGCAAATAATCTTTCTGTGGTTAGCTTCTCTTCACATGACAATGATGGCGTTTAGATTCCCTTTTTACATGAACCACGAATGCTTTTAAGTTCCGAAATAATTCCTATCTTCTTTCCAAGTACATTTCCCCTCCCATTTCCTCAGTGTTTTTTTTTTTCTGGCCGGTCCCAACCGCGAAACTACCACGTGAACACGCGTGGCTGCACAGTTCATCGAGGTCTCACACTGTACATATCAACATGCTAGACTCATGTAACTTACATAGTAGACGAACATCTTTAACGAATAGATCTTCTCCTACAGAGACTGGGCTTGATTGTTGGAAATATTCCGGTTTCTAGATTTCGTTAATTGGTGGGTATTATGAACCTTGACTAGATGTAATGTACAGTTCCATGGAAATAGGCTCTTAACAAAAAAAGAGCCTCGCTCACACACGGGTGGGTGATATGGTCAATATTGCCGTATTCTCTTCTCTCACGCGGAACTTCCGGGCTCGACGACGGGCACTTGAGCTTGACTTTTGGTCTAGACTTAATGGCTCACGGGTTTGTAATACCATTGTTGGCACTCGGTCATATGTCACATTGTGTTGTTTCGGGGCTGGAGAGTGACTTCGATAGCCGGATGCGCGGTCGAATGCGGAGGTAGGGGATGGAGGCTGGACGAAGGGACCAAGCTTCTCAGAAGCTGTGGCATCTGCCGTTGGGATGCTGGGTCCAGATAAAATAGGTTGGGTGGTTTGTGAGTGTGAGATTTTATCCGCAACGGATGCGACAGATGTTGCGGCTGGTAAGGGTTCAGCTTCCGTTTTAGTTGTCGAAGATGAAGGGGTAGAAGCAGGTGGTGGTGGCACAGCCGGTTCATCCTCATCTTTATATTGAATATTCAATGGCTCAGAAATCGGGTCCTGGTTGAAAGACCCTTCGATTTGGTCTTTGCGAATCTTAGCCAAAAGTTCCCGCATTCGAGCCACTTCATTTCTCAAGGCAAATATTTCATTGTCTTTTTCAACTTGAGAAGTTACGGAAGTGAATGCCACATTTCCGTCACCGAAGGCTTGGTTCGGTTGGCTTGTCGAATCAATCACACTCTTCCGGCGAAGAGACCCCTCGACCCCCGTCAAATAATCACCCACGACTCTTGCAAAGTCGAGGTATTTTTCAGTCGCGGGGCGATTGACAGTTTCAGCCACTGTTGCTTTAACAGGTCTCGAATATTCTGCCGCCCTGCGCCAGCGAGTGAACGCAAAATCTGTGATAGGCTTGACATCAGTCTGCTTATGAGCAATATTTGGCTCAAATCCGCTGTCAATAGCGGCATGTATCACTGCTCGCGCGGCGTTCTTTTGCTTGTTCGAGTCACACAGGTGAACCATCAGGACTATTAAACGCTCAACCCTGTCCGATGGAAGATCTCGATGTGTTGCGAGCCAGTCAACTGCCCTTCTCAGCACTTTGCAACCCTGTGTCCAATTCTGGTTGATGCTGTAGAACCGCAAATAGCTATATAACGTGTTGAAGTTTTCCACTGAGCAGTGAGACTTTGCTATTTCAAACCAAGCATCAGCACGTTGCGGTTGGTCGAACAGGAGAGCAGATGCGATAAGTTCAGAATAGATTACTTCGAGGTGACCGGGTTTGAGGTTGTTGGGCGGTTTAACGAGCTCAATTCCGTCTTGTTGCTTGCGCTTGTATAAAGTACCTCGCGGCCCTAGGTTTACTGACCAGCCATTGCCCGCGAGCATCTGAAGAAACAGGTCCATGCTTCTCAAATTTCGTGACTTGCGGAAAAATGACAAAATATTCGTGATGAGGGATGGCGGCAGGGTGAACATGTTGGGAAGGAGGGATCGAAGTAGCAAGTCATTCAGGTCGTTCTGATGCATATGTGTAAAGGTCTGTATCAACTTCCCAAACGCCAGTGTCCGATCCGGATCCACAGACCGGAAAATGTTGATAGCTATTTGCAAAACAGCCTCATCAAGAGATACTTGCTTATCAGCAAGCGACTGGAGAATCTCCGTCAGTTCCTCGTCCAGGCTCGCTTGAGTCTCTTGTAATTGTTCAGGATGTGAGCTGGTCCACTCCTGGATGATATCATCATACTTGGAATCCGGGTTTGTCTGGAGCTCGTAGATTCGCCGCCGAAGGCGATCTATATCTCTCAAAAGCTTTGTGGTCTTTACGTTGGGCATCATCGCGCGCGCAGCACGCACATCGCGGGGGTAGTTGACCCGGACACCCGAGTAACGATGTGCGATCCTCGGTCGCAGAATGATTCGAAGGCCAAATTGCCTTAACGCCAGCGTCTGTATGGCTTTGATCCGTCGCGAGTCTCTTAAAACCCATTCTGGTAAGTGCCCATTTTGAGAATCCAGTTCATCCGAGTACTCGATCTGCTCTGTTTCAGCAAAATCTGGATTGTAATCCTCATCATCTTTTGTAGAGATTTCCTCCATGTGAACGGTTTCAGTGACTTCTTCATATTCTGACGGAATGCATTCCGCGATCTGTGCACTTGCTGCGGGATGGAAATGGTGGTCGGTGTGAAAGGACCTTGTGGGTTGGCTGGGTCTGTATTGGGAAAGGGTAGTGGGTGGGAACGTCCAGGTGCTGCGAAGCCTTCGATCAAACAACAACCCACTTGATCTCCGCGTCCTTCTCTCAAGCTGCAGTGATTCAAGGATCTTGTCGTCTTGATCCTTCAAGTAGTCCACTTCAGCCTTGACGGCTGCGATCTTCTCCTCCCATTCCTGTCGACGTTCGACTTTTGACTTCGCGTCAGCGAGAGTGGCGGCAGCAAAGATACTCGTGTACAGTGCAGTGACTGAATTGCCTATACGCAACCGCCTCTTGCTGGCGGCGGAGGCTGATCGCGATGTCACGCCACTCGCAGTGCTCAGACACGACACACAATGGCAGGACGACTGCGTTGGAACAGCGCGGGACCACAGACCCTGCATTATCAGCACGCTCCTAGCATGGAGAGCCGATGGGAGAAGCCAGGTCGGTCAATCGGGGCTCCAATTGGAGTCAGTTGAGGTGATGGGAGGGCGGAAGGTTTCAGGATAATCGTTCGATTCGGTCGTGGATTGAGGAATTCCTTCCGGGAATGGCTTGGTGCAAACACTGCAAATACTCCAGACCCACTTCCGTTCTCCCGTCGCATCGAAATGGCCTACATGTCCCCTACATTCGTTGCTTGGTTTCTTTTTATAAAATCGACGATGTTTAACCGTTTAATACTCTTGGCCGCGGTTTTCGCTTTGGGAAGTGGCGTCGTGAATGCCCATGGTTCTCACGGAGACGACCAACCTCCTTCCAATGACTGGGCCACGAGGCACATGTCGGGTTAGTTGGCTGACTTGGCCACAAGTATACATTGGGGCCGGTGCTAACTGTTAATAAAGAGGAGCACCATATCGGCTCTTTCGATGCTCCATCCTTCTTTACGCTCCATGACTACGACAACTCAGGCACTTGGACATTCGACGAAGTTCGCAAGACCTACGGCACCGATCACGAAACCAACAAGGGCTTGAGCGAATCGCAAAAGTCAGAGGCCGTCCGTAAGGTGTTTGACCTCTTTGATCCTGGAAATACTGGCTTCATCGCACGCGAGGACTTCATCAAGGCAATCAATGCTGGTACACGCTTGCCTGATGTTGGACTTGGACCTGGACATCACGGTGACATTGAGTACGAATACGAGATCCACCATTTTGAGAAGTACCACGGCGACGACGCAACGGAGGAGGAATTGACGCACCCTGAGGATATAGAGCATTTCCGCCAACATGACGAGGAAGAACTTGCGCAGCTCCGTGTTGAGAAATTGGAGGAGTTACAGATCGTGGAGGCTATGATTCCGCCAAAGTTCCGTCGCAATTAGATTGTTTGATTCCGAATTCATGTATATACGAATGGACATATCCTGTTTGGGCTTTTTGGTATTCCTTGCCGCGAGTTTTAGTTATGGTAATTGGCGATACAGATGACAGGTTCACGAGAACATATACATGCACTGTGCCTCGATTCGGAGCCATTCTGGCGATTTCAAGTCATAATCATCCGGGGATGTTTTTATACCCCTTGGTTAGATTCAAATAGGAGCAGACACCCGCATGTCGAAGACGCAGTGCATTACACCAGGTGCGTACGTCTTGACATGTTCCACGTGATGACACTCAACAATGGAGGCCCCCGAGATACCATGCTCTTCGTAAACCCGAACGCGAAGGGCTGTCAGTTCACGGGCGATTTCTTCTTTCTTTTCTTCAATACGCCGCACGTCCACATTCTCATGGACATGGAGCCAACCTCCCTGTTGGAAATCAAGCACCCGACATGCTTTATCCCAGGATTGGCTCGACGAAGGCAACAGTCCCAGGTTGACATGGCGAATGGGAGACCACTTCTCTCTTTCGCTTATAGCTCGTTGAACTTCCGCCAAGATCTCCGATGCAAACGTGTTATCGCCATGAAACACAACCACACGATCGGAATCTGCAAGACTGGCTACTAAAGCCGAGATCGAGAAATCCATATGACCATCTTCATGGACTCGTACAACCCTACATCCCCATTTATTCGCTATGCAACCTCTTCGCAGACCTTCAACCGACCAGCCGTTCAATTCCCAGCCCCAAACTCTCTTGACCCCACGCTTCAAGTAGGAGAAGACGAAGTAGCCAATCCCCGCATACATATCCACGACACTGATATCTGCAACATTTTGACCCAATGAAGCTGCATCAAGGCCCTCAAATGTGTTTGCGGAGGACCCTTTCCCAAGAATGCGGGCTTTCTCGGTGATATTTCCTCGAGAGAACATGGTGTACAGCGGAGCCCAGGTCTGTTTAATCCCATTATTCTGCACTGTCTGAACCCAAAATGCAGCTTCAAGATCTTCGGCACTTGGTTGTGCATTCTCGTCGCCACTTAGGGAGTCTAGACGCGAGTTTTTAAAGTCGCCATATAAAGGGACCAGCCCCGCAGGACTCCTCATCCGATTCTCTGCGCCTTTCACATTGTTTAATGCGATAGGAGCATTCATCGCAACATGTGTCACGCCAAGTCGTCGGAAAGACCTTGCTATCGAGGCATATAAGTCTTCCTGTTGCTCTGCCGTTAAAGCTGCATATATTACTCGCCATGCTGGCGGAGCGGTAAACGCATTTGCTGGAAGTAGCAGCAGAGGCTCATATATTGTGAACCTTTTCGGTAATTCAAGAGACTCTAGGTCTATACCCTTCTCGGTCAAAAGAGAGTGTCCAGCTGGGCTTTCGAGGAATGCTTTGATTCCTGCTTGCAGCGCATGAGAATTCGGCGGGCGAGGTCGGCCATTGCGTTGAGAATACTCCTTCAAATTTTTATGGAGGCCCCTATCCTTCATCTTTTTGCTTTTCTTTTCCAGGGCGTCCTCCATTGCCAAATATCGGCCTGTTGGGCCCAATGTGCGCACCTTGGGAAGTGGAACCAAAATGGCCTCAAGTCGAATGAGCCCCGAACCCTTGGGGTAAAATGGGCCAAATGATACTAATCAGGGCTATAGATTCATCGTCGGAAGGCTCCGGTCGGCCATTCTGAAAAGTTGTCGCGCAAATCCGCCGTAGTTAACCACAGCCTTGGGAGGCCAAATCATGGATGATTATGTAATTTTCCAACTACTGGCCCGGCCCAGCCTTTCCAAAGTTGGTTGTGTTAGGAACAGATTTAGAGGATGCCACGAGGATCAGTACAGGGCTTTGAAATCCCCAGCGGCGAAAAAAAAAGCCTAGGGCAATTCTTCATAAGGTACCCCTACGAATCGAACCAGAGCCCTCCAGAAAATAGACATCTACAGCTGTTTTGAAACGGCTCTCCTTGAAGTGAGGCCCTGAACCTCATCTCCTTTTTTTTCTCAACAGCAAGGCGAGCTACAAAGCTGCGAATGGTGTCAAATGGAAGAGGCAGACCACTAGAAGATCAAAATGAAAAAAGGAAGCACTCCCATACGCCAGATGTCTCCTTTGTATGGGTTTCCTGCGCGCCCCCCGCCCCCCCGCCCCCCATTTCCTCTCCGACATCACTTCAAGCTGGGTGCACCAAAAGTGACGGGACTGTACGGCCGGTTGCCAAGAGTGGCTAATGGGAGCATCCTCCAACTAGACCACGCGGGAGAGTTATTGGGAAAGGGAATCTCTAATTTCATTATAGCTGTGCGCTGTCCCCCGCCAGAGTGGGTACCTACTACCTGGTTTCATAAACAACCACTAGAATCCATAGATACCCACCAGGTTGAAGGCCAGGTTGAAGGCACAGTTTTGATAAGTTGTCCTACAGCCAATTCAAGCAGTGATACTCTTATTCTGCCGAACTTTCTTCTTCCTTGGGAGCTACCCATCTATATCAGTAGTTTGACATCAATTCCTCATACATAGCCTTAAACCCTGAAACTCTATCATTGGACCACTAGCGCTTTATTCATTTTCTTAGACTTTCTACGATGAGTCCTAGTAGGGCTAAGACATGCCATGCTCAAAGAATATTTGATTGGAAGGCCGAGACTTTACTTAGCCGAAAAAGTCTTTTCGTCCTAAGTAAAATAAACATAAAAAGGAATCAAATTTATCGACTGCGCCAAACCGACAAGACGAAGACGCTCAAGCTTGTAAAGAAGGGAATATTTAACGGACAAAGTGAGTAGAGAACCACCAGGGAAAAAAAAAGGCCGATGGCAGCTAGAAACGGGAGCCGCATGAATCATAGAAAGAATCCAACGCCAGGAAACACAAAAATGAAAGTAGCCATGATACACTTGAGTGTACGACTGGTGAGGAAATACTACTACTCGGGTTTGAAGCTATTAATAGTCGATCGTGCCGAGCCTGTCGTTCGAATCGACAACCCTGCTAAGTGTTAGCATATTACAGCAGACCGGAAAAAGAGGTGGTTTATTCAGAACGTACGAGTATTGTTTCGTGAGAGTCCCCTCGCCGCCCTTGGAAAGATCAATGTTGAAAACATAGAAATTTCCATCACTCGTCACCACCATCACTTGCGGTGTGTTGCTGCTCATGGCCACGACGCTTCGCAAGGGTCCCGAATTGCTGGTAGGTCCTGGTCCCGGACTAGCCTTGGGGATCTTTATCCAGGCAAAATCCCGCGTCGGCTCCCACATCTCACTAACGCCTTTGGGGAGGTAACCTCCCATCCTAGCTGCCACGGCACCTCCGACATTTTGGGATGTCCGTCGTATCATCCCAATCAGAGTGCCGTTGTGTTTCCGCGATGAGAAATCGCCTGATGACTCTCCTGGGTAATCATCATCCTCCATTGTATTTCCAAATGTACTGGAGCCGAAGTTCGGTTCCCGGCCAATCGGAGAGTGTGCGGAGGAGCCATCTGATGAAGGGCCTGGCTGCGTTAATTTGAAGACATGAATTGTTTCTGTAGATGAGGAAACACAAAGAAGGGTCGATGTAGTGTTGAAGGACATGCTGTATATTCGAGATGGCATCGATCCTCGGCGGAACTGATATAGTTTATGTCCATCGGGGACTGAGAAAACCCGGATAATCGTCCCTTGTCGGATGCTGTTGCCAACAAAGTCCCATCACTGTTGAGCGTAATGCATGCCAAGGGAGACCGATGTGCCTCAACAACGTTTATAGCCTCAAGTTTAACTGCATCAAATATGAGAACATCTCCAGTGGTTGGTGGGACATGGGTTGTCCCAGGAGGTGCATGGACTGGTTGCTTCCCTGGGGCAGCGGCTTTTTGAGGCAGCGGGTATGCCATGTAGCAATTGTCCGAGGAAGGCGCCAAAGCACATATGGCTATAGATTTGAGTTAGTGTGTATTGTGACAGCGATTTTTTCCAGCCTCGGTCATACCGTTTGGGTTTGGTGAGGTATCAATAGTTGAAAGAAGCTTCATTGTCTGGATGTCGTAGAGATAGATCTGGTCTTCTAATACAATGACGAGACGTTTCCGATTCAACTTGACGGACAGAACCGTCGTGGGAAATGTCAATTCACATATCGTACATTGCCGCTATATCAAATAATCATTAGACCGGTGGTTCCGAAAAATGCACTTGGTTGTTTTGAGGTACGCTTGAACTAACCTTAGTGTTTGTAATCTGTAATCGCCGAGGAGAAAGGATAAGTGCCACTAATGAGGTCGAGAAGAGCATCTCAATCACAGCAATATTTCCCTCCCTGGTCTCATAGCTCTTCGCGAAGGGATCGGTGGTAAAGATCCGGAATCCCTTGGAGGTGGCTAGCGTATGTTAGTCTCCCCACGTGTTCATAAGAGTATAGCTGGTCAAAGAGTCGAAGAAAGCACTCACCTACAGCCAGGTAGCTGTAGTCCTGGTTAAAAGTCACAAAGTTCATCGCCATCTTGCCGGTGGTGTTGTGGATGGTGGAGAACTGTTCGGGGGAGCTGCGGTGACCCCGCTTAGAGATAGACGCGTGAGATGGAGAAGGCAGCGCCAGTCAGGATTCACCCGTCACCGTGCAGCCCCTACCATCGCCCGCGATGGATCGGATCCAAAACAACGAGAAATAGCTGTTAGAGCAGGAAGTGATGCCCGGAGGAACCTTGAGAACTTTGTCGTCACAAGCGAAAAATCGCGCTTGGGCCACACCTTGATTGCCCACCGCCTACGCATTTTCCCTTATCAGTCGCGATTGGCGATTTTCTTCGCCCACTATCAAAATCAAGATGGCTCCGGCCTCACGACATGATGTGGCAATGGCCTCTAAGGCTGAGAAGGATGCCGATGTGGTCATGGGGGTATATTTCCCCATTGTCTTATGTGTCAATATTAGGGGTGGCTAATACGATCCCACAGACGAACAATAGCAGCATCGCTTCGAAGCGTAGCGTTGAGATGATTTACTACCCTCGTCCCCATTTCTTCCGGTATTTCGTGAAAAAGCCCCAGCGACGATCCCCGATTATAAACCGAGGGTACTGGCTGCGCATGTACGCCATGGAAGAGACGGTTCGGCAATTCATCGCGAAAGCACCTACGGACAAGGCTAAATTCGTTTTGAACCTCGGATGCGGATAGTGAGTTGGCATTGTGTAAAGAGATATAGGACAAGATATACTAAGCGGGCTCGCAGTGATCCACTGCCATTTATCTTACTCAGCGATGAGCAAAAGTCGGCCAAGAGTAGCCACACCGTCTTCGTTGACATCGATTACGAGAAGCTTATGATCCACAAGAAAAGTGCGATACGGGAGGCCCAAGAGATTAAAGACGTGATCGGCGATGCAAAATTTGGCTCCGATGAAGATCCAATTCAAATATGCAGTTCTCGATATCTAGGTGTCGGTTGTGATCTAAAAAATCTCAAAAAGTTGAATGAGGTACTGTTGGGTAGCATCTTGCCGTCTCAAGAATGTTCTGTCCTGTTCCTTGCCGAAGTCTCCCTGACGTATATGGACGTCCACTCGGCAAATGAGGTTGTCAAATGGGCTGCTCAGTTGACAGATGGTAAGTCGCCCTTGCATCAAAAGCTCCAGCTCATCGTAGAATAAAACTGATTGGAACTATATTTCAGATGTACAGTTCTGCATATTGGAGCAATTCTTTCCCGATGGGCCCCAACATCCATTTGCAAAGACTATGATGACGCACTTCCATAAGCTTCGTGCACCATTGTTTTCTATTCACGAGTTTCCCTCCCTTACGGAACAAGAACAGCGCTTCCAGAAAGCGGGCTGGGCTCAGGCTCAAGCCAGAAGTTTATGGGACTTATGGTCTGACGACGAATTCCTACCAGAGTCAGTCCGAACAGGACTGGACTCGTTTGAGGTATTCGATGAGTGGGAAGAGTTCGCACTTTTTGCATCGCATTATTTCGTCTTAATCGCCACGAACACCATTTCAAGTACCGAAAGTTCGAACGCGGAGACCATTGTGTCAGACGAATTCACGGTTCCCGACGTGTCGAGTCAGTTCTCCCTACAAGCATACTGTCCACCTGGAAGGGTCGGTAGGAGACGCTATGGAAGTCTGGTCCCAGGTAGTCAAGATTTCTTCGGTCACCATGGTGGCCAAGGAGAACAATCTCGCCTAGCTACAACAGACCAATATTCGTGTTCTGAAACACCAGATGACACTCAAAAACTTCCACTTTCGCGCGATATCCCCGCGCGAATGTGTCATACAATTACTGCGCTGGATGTAAAGACCAGCAAGAGCCTTTTAGTTGGGGGGAGAGCATCACCTGCTGCCCCGATGGCCGATTGTTGGTTGCGGAAAGGCGATACTTGGCAGCAAGTTCATCCCCTACCCGAGCCAAGGTTCCGTCACAGCTCAGTCAAGGTATCGCTCGGTAATGGACAAGGGTCTATCCTTGTATATGGCGGTAAAAGCAAAGGCAATGTGATATTAGACAGTTGGCTCTATTGGAACGGGAATGGCGAGCAGGGATGGCAAGGTGTGGAAGTGATTGGCCCTAGGCTCCCAGCCCGTTTTGGGGCGGGCTTTGCAGCAATCGATGATAACTGTGGCGTCGTTTTTGGAGGTATCGGGAGCACAGGAACTATTCTCGAAGACTTCTGGTCCTGGTCTCTGTGTCGGCGACGCGACGGGTCGTTGCAAGTTGATCTGGTTGATCGCACCGCGGAGTTACGAGCCGCCTCGCCACGTTTGTTTTCATACCTCACTCGGTTTGGAGCAACAATTGATGCTACCTCCCATGGCTTGATTGTAGCCGGTGGTATCATCCCTCGTCGGCTGGTTCCAGGTGAGAAAGAAATCCTCCTCTTGGATTCCAGTGAGTTGGTGGGTTCTTCGAAACCATACAGCTCCACTATAATATCTGCTATTGGACTGGGTGGCGCTTTGGCGGGAGCTCGACCATTGCTCACAGGCCACGCCAGCCAGACAAGGAATTCTGATCAAGTTCTCTTTGTCGGTGGAGGCGCAACCTGTTTTTCGTTTGGAACCTTCTGGACAGAGGGAACGTGGTTGCTCCAGTCTCGAGATTCCAAGGAGGAGAATAGATGGGCCATTGTGGCCCCACGAGCAGCTCCTTCGAAGCCTATTCCTCGAGGACCAGGAAAAGGCGCTCCGACTGAGGCAAAAGAAACAGTCAAAATCCCACGGGCTCGAATCACCTCAGAAGCGCAGTTTCAACAGATCGTTGCAAACGGGAAACCCGTTGTCCTTGAAGGGAGCGACATCGGACCTTGCACAGAGAAATGGACAAAAGAATACCTCACAATGACCGTCGGTGAGGAGCGCAAGGTGCGGCAGCCACCCGCCTCGCACAGCATGTCTGCAGACTAACCCGAAGATCCTGAATAGATTATTGTACACCAGGCTCAATCGGAGCGAATGAACTTCCAATCAAAAAATTTCGCCTATGTGACCAAAGACTTTGCCACCTTTTTAGACGAGGTTCATGCTGGTGGCCGCCAGTATCTTCGATCTATCTCGGCCGATCAGCCCTCCAGGTTGCCGGCCACCTTGGCTACGGACTTCCCTACTTTGCAGGATGATTTTCAGCTTCCTGAGTACATGAACCTAGTGACAAAGAATGCACACAGCTCGCCATTACGGATCTCGGGCCCAGTAACAATGTGGCTTCATTACGACGTACGTGTCCCATGGTTCTAAGGCTCGACCCCATTATCTATACACCCGATCAAAATGACTGCAGTTCTAACCAAAGCAGGTAATGGCCAACGTGCTCTGTCAGGTCCGTGGCGAGCGCCGGCTAGTTTTGTTTCCACCGGATGATGTGCAGTCTCTGCACATTCCAGCAGGGGCATCCAGTTCCACGATTGACATATTCGAAGGCGTGGGTCTGGACGCAGCCGCGTCTATCCCAGGAACATCTCCGCACGAAGCAATTCTACGGCCGGGAGAGATCCTATTCATCCCGCCGCTCTGGTTGCACACGGCCTGTTCGGCAACGAGCGAGGTCAGCGTCGCGGTGAACGTCTTCTTCCGAAATCTGACGCAGGGGTATGCCCCGGTCGCGATGTCTACGGCAATCGAGACCTACACGCCTACGAAAAATCAAGACAGGATCTGCAGCGAATGGTTCGATCGTTCGAGGGCGTCCCGCCCGATATGGCCCGCTTCTATCTACGACGTCTTGCACAGGAGCTCCAAGAGTTAGCCGACCAATAAGCTTCTTTTAGTCGACACCCTGTGCGCTCCTCGGCCTATGAGAAAATTTTGTGAAATTCAATTTTACTTTACCCTCAAACATGTGACATTGTCAAGCACTACATGAGGTAGGGGTGTTCACAAGCGTTGTCCTCCCCTGTAGTGCTACCTTGGACACCCACCAGGGTCCTTTAAAGCGTCTGGACTCTGATAGGGGCGAGGCCCCCTCCTTCTCGGATTGCTTGGGCACCCGCATTTAAGGCCATTAGAGGCAGAGTCAGGTTGGTGACAGGATTTGAGACCTTTTCCTGCATGCACCACCCCCACTTCACTTGGAGTGGACCGCATTGGCGATCCGGGGTTGGCTCCAGTTATATAGACGCGTTTTTTTCTTTGCAGTATCGAATAGACAAACCCTGCCCGCGCATGCATACGGGCTGATCAATGCAGAATGCAAACATGCTTTGATCACCGTTCGAATTGATTAGAAGATAATGGCAAGTTAGGCGAGTCCATGGTGCCATGTTGCCATGTTGCCATGTCCACATCGCGACGTACCCGTGGACGTGGGGAGACCAAGTGGAGGCCTGGGCGCACGGACAGGAATCCCAGCCGACAGCGAGGGGCAGTAAGCACTTCTTTGAATCACATCGTCATTGGAAACGGATCGGGGGGAAGTGATTGGTGGCGCCGACTGACGCTGGCCTGTGGGCAAGCCGGTTCAGCCTGTTGCGAAGAGTGCGATGTGGGGTTGACCGGGGATACGTTTCCTGAGTTCCGACCAAGTCGATGAAATAGAATTGCCTTTGTACTTTCCGTGCAAATCAAGGCAGAGACAAACAAACGCCCGCCTGGAAGATAACCGTCTGAGTGGAGTCACTCGAGTGGGTCGAGCCACGAACGGGACCATGGAGACAGTGACGCCGATAAGTGAATGATGCGAAGTCCCCACCTGTGGGCGAGAAGCACGTTCTTGGCTTGATGCTCGATAGGCCAATGGTCGCTGTAGACTTGAAAGGCCAATTTCGCGTCTGGAGGGCAACTTGGAGATACCCAGGAACTCCTCCTCTCCCTCTTACTTCCACTTCCCCCTCCTTCAACTTAGCTTCCACACAAATTCCTACCTCTGCAGTACTTCCCCCTCGTCTTGTTCCTACATTCCTAACCATTACTGCCCCCTTGCGCTGGCCCTTATCAACAGCGTTTGAGTGGTTGCGGGGCTTTTGCACTGTGCTTCTCCCTTCACATTCCTGTTTCCCTGTGGGTCTGCCCGATCTGCTCTCCCCACCCGGTGGAACACTCCATATCCTCCGCTTCTATCGCTTCTTATCACTTCAAAGACATCACCGCTCGCGACATCCTGTCGCTTCTGAACCTCTTGTCTCCAAAGAATGTGATCGCGGCCCCGGGTGCTGCGACTGAGGATTCGTGATTTGATTTCGAGACTTTGCTCTGCGCTTCCCGAGGCTGTTCCCGTTCCCCTCATGGCGACGGTTATTGTTCAACAGCAGCACACGCTGCGCCATTCGACACCTCCCCCATCCTCGATGACCTCTAGCTTGGTTACCAATTCACGGTCAAGCCCCATTCCCAACAAGCACATCCCTGTATGCCCAACCGGCCCTGCGCCATTCGACCTCAGTGACTCGGACTGGTCGCCGTCGCTGCCAGAAGGCTGCTCTCAGGTTTCGTCGCTCCTTCAGTCCGCGCATATGCGATACAAGCGGATCTCAGAACCGCCATCTCCTATTGTCTACTCCCTCGATGCGGATCAATTAGCCGAAGCTATGAAGCATCTATCTTCGCAGCCGTTGCCCGACCCCTCCTACATGTTCCCCTGGCTGCATGGACTCCACCCCGACAATCACATGCAGCTGAACTTCTTTTCCAGTCGCCGGAAGATTCAGCGGAAGCCACCAAAGAATTGGCGCGGTCTCACCATCGTCAAACTCGGAGGCGAACTCGACACATATCGCCTGAAGGGGGCTGTGGCTCCCGAAGACGTTCTTTCTCCACAGGGCTGCTTCCTGAATCCAGACCCGCCCCAGGCCTTTTCGGTCCGCAACTTTCAGATTCAAGGAGCAAAACTGGCTGCCTTGTCAGATATTGTTGTCTACGGGGAGCCAGACTGCTGCAAAGAGGAGCTGCTCTTGCTGGCCCAAGCTTTCGCTGTCGCTCAGGAGCAATGGCGATATAAGCATGACCCTGCGCAAGATCTCGGATGGTACAACACCTTTATTCTCACGAGTAAGTCCGATTGGTTTGATTTTGTGTCCCGTCTCTCGCCTGACATCCCCTTCCAGCGCCCTTTCCTCAAATCGAGCAAAAGCATCCGGAGATCGTAGGAAACGATTTCCGAGGAATCCGCCCCGGCGAAATGTGGGATTTTTGTGAGTCAACGCTTTCAGGGCTCGTCTCTAGCCTTTTCGTGCTAACACTACCTCCTATAGCCTATTGGGAGCGACTTGAGATGTCCATTATGAGTGAAGTCTCAGAAATCTCCAAGAATGTGTGGCTTGGTCCGACTCCACACTGGCTGGGGAATACTGCGGATCGTACTCTCCCTAAAGACTGTGAATACGATCTGATCATCGACGCCTATGATATGGCTCAGATCCCGGGCCCCCGATCTTTGGCCATGATTGACAAGAAAATCGAGGAAATCGGTCCCCAGCGCATGGAATTCCCTTCATCTGGAGTCCTTTACTTGAAATCGGGCAATAACCGCGAGACAGAGGATATCATCAACACTGTTCGGTGGATTCATTATCTGGCGAATCCCGAAGCGGAGCTCATGGACCAGGGAAATGATGCGGCGATGAAATCGACCAAGAAGCCTCGAAAGGTACTGATCCATTGTAACGATGGGTATACAGAGAGCTCTTTTCTTGCCGTCGTCTATTTCATGTTTGCAGAAAACCTCCGTGTCGACGATGCCATGATCAAGCTGCATTGCGAGAAGCAGCGTAATTTCTTCTTGTACCAAACTGATCGCATGGTGTTGAGTCACATTCAGCCTCGTCTGCTGATGGAGTGTCCTGTCCCGTTGTATGGTCCACAGACCTCGCAATTTTCGGATTGGTTTAAAAAAACCGACGGCTCTTTGCCGAGTCGCATTCTGAACTATCTGTATCTTGGAAACCTTAATCACGCCAACAACCCTGAGATGTTGTGGAAACTCGGTATCAGGCGTGTGCTGAGCATGGGTGAATGCATCACCTGGAACCCAGAGCAACGCGTCAGATGGGGTGAGGATAACTTGTTGCACATCAGCATCCAGGACAATGGCATCGATGAGCTCTGCCACGAGTACAATCGGTGCTTGGACTTTATTCGTAAGTTCGAATCCCGGACAGGATTGCCTGGACTTGGTCGGAGGGATCAGCTCCTGTTTCTGCCACAAGTCAACCACTTTTCTGGTCGGTCGCTGACAAACCATAAACAGAACAAGGAAAGGCAGAAGGTACAGCTACTTTGGTTCACTGCCGCGTCGGTGTTTCCCGATCTGCCAGCATTTGCATCGCCAAAGTGATGCAGGAATACGACATCTCCTTCCCTCGAGCCTAGTAGGTCACTAGAAACTCTTAATACGCGAAGAAAATTTTTTTAACATTTCTGAAGTTGCTTTGTTCGAGCTAGACGTCTCAACGTCATCATTCAACCCAATCTTCGCTTTGTGTGAGTACCCCTTGTTACCTGTGAACTACCACATCTCCTAATGTTTATGTACAGTTACGAACTTCTTCAGTGGGAAGAATACCTGAATAAGAAAAAGGGTAACCCTATCCTGCGCGATCTAGAATGGACTTACGTGTGTCGGGAGATTGCCCTTCTCAACAAACCGTATTCCCGCCGCTAAGACTCCAGTCTCTCACCAACAGCCTTTGGGCTCCTCTTCATCTTCTGCACAGGCCTGGGACTTCTCATTCAAGGGCTATGCATATTTCATGATACACGATTTCACATACGACTTGTACCAGCAGGACTGATTTTCTTTCGAACGGATTTTCTTTTCAGGGTTCGGCGCACGGTGTCACAGGTATTTACTGGCTGGGAAACAAATCAACATCGATGTTGACGAGCGAATTCTTGAACACTTCCACCTTGATACTATCTTCTACATTGGGACGAGGTCTCACTTTATCTTCTTTCTATTCTTACTGGGCCTACTGGTGTCAGCTGTTCTTCATATTTCTTATCTACAGCGCTCTACGGGCTTTTCCCTGAATTTAGCAAGTACCAGGCATGTATCTTTCCTGAGCGGCCTCGCAGAAATCATCAGTAGACGGCACGGGTATCTGTTGGAATACTACCGCGATTATCAACACAAGAGTCTCTCGCGCTATAGAACGGCCTTACAGATGAATACCGGTAGAACCATAGAATTAAAACATGAAGTTGAAGTATAGCCGGTACCAATAACCGTGTCTCAATTTCGGAACGCACTGGCAACCACATCCATAATCACTGGATCAGCATCTCTCAAAAACCCTATAGAGACCCTTCAAATCCGCCACTTCAACCACACCCTTCAACATCCGAGACGTAGCTACAAGCCGGGCCCTAATGGCAGGGAAAATAGCATGCTCTAACATCCGAATCATCTGGGCCCGCCGTGATGTTATGAATGGATCTTCTGCCTCAGCGTCAGGGGCTTCTCGATTGCTCTCATCTGGAGCCCGAGCGCGTGCGACTGGCAATTGTTCAGGAGTATAAAACGCCGCCAACTCGCGCAGGAAGGTCCGAAAACATGCCTCCTCGCTCGTCCAATCCACATACGGCCCAAGCCGAAGCAGGAATCGGGGTAACTTGGCGAGAGATGGGACGTAGCCTTTCAACAGCAGCGGGATAGTGAGAAGCTCGCCTTCTTCGCTGATTTTCATAGAAAAGTATTCGTCGAGCATCTCACGGCGCTCGATGAGTGTTTGGCAGACGGTACCCGCTGCTTGCTCGAATACTGCTTGCGCCTCCTCGTCATCCCCGTCACTATGGTTTTGCTGTTCTATTTCAGCGCCGATCTTGAGTAGATCAATGAGTTTGGGTGGTGGGTCGAGGCGTATGGTTCCGAAATTACCAAAGTCGGTCAGTCCGATTTGGTAGAAGAATTCGTTGCATGCGAGCCCGTAGTCAACTAGGTAAAGCTTCACCCCCGATTGGATGGCTGCTAGCCGGCGTTGCTCGTCCACTACCCCGACATATGTCAGTGAAGCAAACATTTCAGTTAGTGTGTTGTGCATTGAGGAGCGCACAGCACTGCGTAGGCTTTTGACTGACGTGAGGGCAATGCGCAGGGGCTGACGATCAATCGTCTCGTATTGGAGGCCTTCGTCGCGAATGGAACTGGGTTGGGCTCCTAGCTGGGCTGGTGTGTCGGCGGCCGCTTGAGATGGGGAAGGGGCGAGCATTGAGGTGATCTTCCTGACTTTGGAGTCTGTTCGCACGAGGTTGTTCTCATACGGTCTCTTGGATGTTGCCGGTGTCTTAGGTGTGCTTGCAGCCTTTCCATTGCCCGTGGTATCGTCAAAAACACCACCTTGCTCACGTTGAAGTGCGTCGATAGTTGGTACAGGGAGGAGGCTCTGCGTCAGAAATGTCCGGCTCGAGTCTACTTGTGCCAATTTTGATCTGATTTCATCGCAAACCATCTCGATTATCTCATCTTCATTCAAGAAGTTGACCTCTCTTTTCGTCGGGTGCACATTGACGTCGACTCGGTTGGGTTCAATCTCCAGATCCAGGTAGACAAAAGGATGTCCGCCCTTGGGTAAGAATGCGGAATAGGTTTGTTCGATTGCTCTTTTGATGGCGGTCGATTCCACAGCCCGGTGGTTAATAAATAAGAGAACCGCAGTCTTCTTGACATGATAGTTTGCATTTGTCGTGAGCCCTGAAGCACGAAAACCGAGTTTTGAATCTGAAACCTCAAAGTTGACCAATTCGTTTGCTACCGCACTGCCATGGATTTGCCGGATTCGGTCTATGGTGTTGGCTGCTGATGGTGTGGAAATACTGACCCCTGAATCACCGTGCTTCCGACAAGAAAAGGCCACCCCTGAGCAATGTACGGCGTATCGGCCCACTACGTCAAGGATTTTGGCATACTCTTCGCTAGCAGAACGAAAGGCACGACGACGTGTCGGGACATTATAGAACAGGTCTTCAACCTATCCTGGGTCATCAGCAATTCCGAGTCTCATACTGTGGCTACTCATCAACTCACAGTAATCTGGGTTCCTCCACGCCCAGCTGTCGCCTTGGGTGCTGCAGGTTGTCCTGGTTTTGCAGGTACAAGTTTGCCCTCGCCATAGTGGGCTCTCCAAGCACAGCTGGAGCCAGCAGTCTTTGTTGTGACGGTAAGGTGAGCAATGTGACTGATACTCGCCAATGCTTCACCTCTGAATCCGTATGTGCCAATGGAGGACAGATCCTCGAACTCCTTCAGTTTGGACGTCGTGAATCGCTCGCAAAGGATGGGTAGATCTTCACGCTATGGGGCTGTCAGATAAAACTTCTTTATTTTAATCCAACTTCATGAAGCGGATCAAAGTCACTCACATCAATGCCATGTCCGTTATCCGTGATTTGCAGCAACTTTAATCCTCCTTCCTTTACGAGAACCTCGATCGACGTTGAGCCTGCATCGACGGAGTTCTCTATCAGCTCCTTTAAAGCGTGCATAGGAGCCACGATAATCTCTCCGGCGGCAATCTTATTGACGACATTGGGATCGAGGGCCTGGGTGGCGGGTTAATGGCGCTATACATACTGCCGTCACACCGAACGATGCATACCTTAATTCTCTTAGGCTTGGGCGGTTCCGAGACCTCTGGCTCCTCTGCCGGGCGCTTAGTACCGTGTGGACTGGATGGATCGACTTCCATTTGATCTTCCATGATGGCGGTGTCTAGGCACGCGTTGCGATCGCGTGGTGGAGCAGGGCCGCGGAAGGTGATCAATTTGCGATAAGCGATAACAGCCTCTTGGTATCATTGTCATGCGTGGGGGCATCTCGACATGACTAAACTGGCCGATACATTCGGACAAGTGATGAACCAATTGATGGTATACAGTTTGCAAGTATAATGTCTTGCAGGGTCTTCCATCGTCCTCACGCTCTATCCTTGGAACCTTGCATGATCTTCGGGTGGAGGACACACATACTCTTTGATAAAATATTGCCATGTTCGGGCCATCCACCGATGCCAAACGTTAAAATATTCAAGTATTCCGGGAATCTGGTATTTCATAGACGATTACTAGTATTTTGTGCATATTTACAGCTTCCGTAATACGAGACAAAAACCTTGGAATAGTTCCAGTACTGCTAACTTGAACCCCAGAAATGTCCACCGTCACAATAAGGCGAAGAAAGCTTAATAGGTTTCCTATACCTAGCACTTAGTAAGAACTAGTATGCCATATTCATCCTTGGTAATACCAGTCATGCAAGGAAATCCGTTCGAGGTCTTGGAAGGCATACTAATACCGAATTTTCAGCATCTTGATAATCACAGACGCTGGGCTTCGAGAACTAAGAGCTCGAAAGCCACACTGGCATGTGCCATAAATGATAATCGATCCTCGAAGCCTATTAGCTTAATCTCGAGCTTGATAAGTATCAAATAGTCAGTCCAACTCTCATGAATCACGTAGAATGAAAGTGCCTTTTTTTTTTTCCAATTTTGACGATGCTGGTAGCGTTCGCGCGGTGTAGAAGTGCTTGGAAGCGCATTGCGGCAAAAACAATGACGCCCGCGCGAGGCTTGGCGCGCTTACATAATCCGAGCTGCGCTCCGAAGCTCTCGGTCTCTGCGTCTCCATCACCAGCTTACAATTCATCGCATCACCTCACCATCTAAAAAGTCCTGTGTCTTTCTTTGATTCGGGACACGGAATACCTGATACCCCGACTCCCGCTCTCTCTCATCCACCCTTGTTACTCTCCGGCCTGGTCCCCAGATACCGTCAGAAATGGCGAACGAGGGCGAACGGTCAACCTCCTCTGCCGACAAGGGTAAGGGCAAGGTTGAAGACGTTCGCGAGCTGAACGGCAAAAAGCCCCAGAATGATGAGAAGGCCCCAGCTGAGGGCAAAAAGAAGGATGATGAACCAGCAGAAGGTAAATCGCAGCGGCACCTTGGAGGTGTGCATGTGGCCTCCGCGCAGCACGCCCGGCTTTAGGAATCGGTTGCTTACTTTTATCTAGAGGAGCTCAGTGAGGAGGACCAACAATTAAAGAATGAGCTTGAAATGCTTGTGGAGCGATTAAAGGTTTGACAAGCCTCCCCAGCCCAGCTGAATCCACCATGACGTTAACGCTCATCTCTGTCTATCATAGGAGCCCGATACCTCTCTCTACGGTCCCGCTTTGGATGCCATTAAGAACTTCATCAAGACCTCGACCTCATCGATGACTGCTGTGCCCAAACCTCTCAAATTCCTCCGGCCACATTACGATGAGCTTACTGAGCTCTATGAGCAGTGGACCGCTGGTCCTGTCAAGGTTTGTTGCAACGCCAACCCTAAGATAGTATGCAAGTAAACAAGCTTACCGTTCTGGCTTATAGGATTCCCTCGCCGATACACTCAGTGTTCTGGGTATGACCTATGGAGATGAGGAGAAGCTCGAAACCCTCAAATACCGCCTACTGGCCAAGTCAGAGGACCTTGGCTCCTGGGGCCACGAATACATCAGGCACCTGGCGCTTGAGATCGGACAAGAGTATCAAACTCGACTGAACGCGGAGAAGGAAACACAGGATCTCGTGGATTTAGCCCTTTCATTGGTGCCCTACTTCCTGAGTCATAATGCCGAGGCCGATGCAGTTGACCTGTTGAGTGAGATGGAGATCATCGAGGAAATTCCCCGCTTTGTCGACGAGAACACATATCCTCGAGTCTGCTTGTACATGGTTAGCATGGTCAACTTGTTGACATATCCTGAAGATCAGCAGTTCTTGAAGACAGCTCACGAGATCTATGTTCGCTACAACAAGCTCTCCCAAGCAATTGTCCTTGCTATCCGGTTGAACGATATTGATCTAATCAAGAGCGACATCAATGCCACAACCGACAAGTCCCTCAAGAAGCAGATGGCCTTCCTGGTTGCGAGACAGCAGATTTGGCTTGACTTGTCGGAGGAGGATGCGGAAGACGAAGCTCTAGCTGAGGCTCTCAACAATGCCAGCATTCCCAAACATTTCAAGTCCCTTGGCAAAGAGCTCAATATCTTGGATCCCAAGATGCCAGAAGACATCTACAAGACTCACCTCGAGAGCAGCCGTGGAGCAGGCCTCACAAATCTCGACTCAGCGCGACACAACCTGGCCAGTGCTTTTGTAAATGCGTTTGTGAACGCCGGCTTTGGTAACGATAAGATGATGCTTGTTGAGGGCGAGAATGGCCCATGGGTATGGAAGACAAGGGACGACGGCCAGCTCTCTACCACCGCTTCGCTGGGTATGCTGCTTCACCGAGACGTTGAGGATGGATTGGACAAGATCGACAAATTCACCTACGTCAAGGAGGACCAGGTAAAGGCGGGTGCTCTGCTTGCCACCGGTATCCTGAACTCCGGTGTTCGGTTCGAATCTGACCCTGCTCTTGCACTTCTGAGTGACTCCGATAATCTCGAGGCGAAGAATGTGCCGATGCGCGTGGCATCCATCATGGGTCTCGGTTTGGCATACGCTGGCTCTAACAAGGAAGAGCTTCTCGAACTTTTACTTCCCATTGTGGAGGACTCGTCACTAGACATGCAGCTGTCCGCCATGGCCGCCGTGTCCTTGGGTCTTATCTTCGTTGGCTCATCGAATCATCAAGTGAGTGAGGCAATCGCCACCACGCTCATGGACGAGGAACGTCAGAAGCAGCTTAAGGATAAGTGGACTCGCTTCATGGCTCTCGGCCTGGCTTTACTCTACTTCGGCCGTCAAGAGGAGGTGGATGTGATCCTTGATATCCTGAAGGCGGTTGACCACCCCATGGCTAAACCTACGTCTGTTCTTGCCTCTGTATGTGCTTGGGCCGGTACAGGAACCGTGCTTAAGCTGCAGGAGCTACTTCACATCTGCAATGACATTATTGAGGAGAAGGAGGAGAACAAGGGCGATGAGCTTGTCCAGTCGTATGCTGTTTTGGGTCTGTCACTTATTGCTATGGGTGAGGATGTTGGCCAGGACATGATCCTCCGCCAATTTGGTCACCTTATGCACTACGGCTCCAGCAACATCCGCCGAGCTGTGCCACTTGCCATGGGTCTCATCAGTCCCAGCAACCCGCAGATGAAAATCTACGACACTCTGTCTCGTTACTCCCACGATACCGATAACGAAGTCGCTATCAACGCCATCTTTGCGATGGGTCTTTGCGGTGCAGGCACCAACAACGCACGTCTGGCCCAGCTTTTGCGGCAACTCGCCAGCTACTACCACCGTGATCAGAACTCTCTGTTCATGGTGCGTATTGCTCAAGGTCTCCTTCACATGGGCAAGGGTACCATGACACTCAACCCATTCCACACCGACCGACAAGTGTTGTCACGAGTCTCGGCGGCAGGCCTGCTTACTGTCTTGGTGTCTTTGATTGACGCCAAGCAATTCATTCTCGCCGAACACCACTACCTCCTTTACTTCCTCATTACTGCTATGTTCCCTCGATTTTTGGTCACTCTTGATGAGGACCTGCAACCCCTTTCCGTCAACGTTCGGGTCGGTCAGGCCGTGGATGTTGTTGGACAGGCTGGTCGTCCAAAGACCATTACCGGATGGCAAACACAGAGCACACCTGTGTTGTTGTCCTACGGTGAGCGGGCTGAGCTGGAGGATGAACAATACATCCCTCTCAGCAGCACATTGGAAGGCTTGGTCATTCTGCGCAAGGTATGTTCACAATGCTAAATTCTGCTTCTATTGAATTATCACTAACGATTCTTAGAACCCGGACTGGGAGAGCCCGGAGTAAGCATCCAATGAGTCATTCTCTCAACTGGTCTCTTGTGCCAGCCCTGGCAATGGACTATTTAGACTGGGTAGACGATGAACGTTGGATATAATGTATTCAGAATGACTGAGGAATAGCATGAAACATCTTTTCATTTTCAGTCCCAACTGCATTTGGATCTGATTTGCCTTGCAGTCTGTAGATTAAAGTTCCAGTTGTGATCGAGGGGTCTTATATGGATCCTTAGTCCTATTCGAAGTTGGGGATCACTTAGTATGAATTACAGGCGCTGATTTGCTCCAGGATTTTTGCACTGCCCTGCTTTGTACGCTGCATACAGAAGTACACAGAATTTATTATACGCGGGCATCCAAAGGTCCTCATCCCAAAGGGGAAAATAGGGTTTAGGGCTATTATCTTATCGCTTTTTTTCTGGCTTCGCGTCACTTTGAAGGTTCAAGCTTCGTTTTAGCTCAACGGCATATTTCACTATTTGGCGCATTCTCGGAGTTGGAGATTCGTCAGAGAACTGCCCACCATGAAGCTCGACGCCAAAGCCATCCGATATCTCACGTCTGAGGATTTCCGAGTGCTTGCGGGGTACTTATCAGCCCCTCTACGCCGCCATGCGCGGCACGTGCTTACTCTGTCCATGATACTGATCATTTGCCTCTATAGGTTGAAGCTGGCAGTCGAAACCATGAAGTCGTCCCTACTCCCCTGATCTCGCAGCTCTCCGGCCTCCGGGGCGGAAGCGGCGTGCACCGATCTATCTCCAACCTAGCCAAGACAAACCTCATCGCGAAAGTGAAAAACGCAAAATGTACAGTTGCTATCGTTCTGATACCACGGCTGAATCGATAGTTTGCTAACCGCACCTTTTTATATTCCAGACGACGGCTACAGACTTACATACGGTGGACTCGACTACCTAGCACTTAACGCGCACCAAAAGCAGAAGGTCGTATACTCGGTCGGAAACCAAATCGGAGTTGGAAAAGAATCAGACATCATAGTCGTCGCGCATAGTAGTGGCGAGCAACGAATCCTCAAGATCCACCGTCTTGGGCGAATCTCTTTCCGAACCGTAAAGACCAATCGCGATTACCTCCGACACCGCAGCACGGGATCATGGATGTACATGTCGCGACTTGCAGCCCAAAAGGAGTTTGCTTTTATGAAGGTGCTGCGCGAGAATGGATTCGCAGTTCCTGAGCCTATCTCCCAAAACCGCCACACCATCGTTATGAGCTTGGTGGACGCCTTTCCGCTGCGACAGATCTCGAAAGTGCCCCGGCCAGAGGCTCTCTATTCAGAACTTATGGATATCATTCTAGAGCTGGCCCGGTTTGGCTTAATTCACGGTGATTTCAACGAGTTTAATATTCTGATCAAAGAGGAGGTGGATGACCCCGACGGGAAGGGTAAAGCACCTGTGAATCTGGACGACGTGCCCGACGAGATGATCAAGCTGGTTCCAATCATTATCGACTTCCCGCAGATGGTGTCCATCGATCACGTCAATGCTGAGATGTACTTCGACCGTGATGTCAACTGCATCAAGCGATACTTCCAGCGAAAGTTCCATTTTGTTAGCGATGTTCCAGGTCCTACCTTTGCGGAAGCTAGGAAGAAATTCATGAAGAATCCTGGCAAGCGTCTGGATGTAGAGGTTGAAGCTTCTGGTTTCTCGCGGAAAATGGCGCGTGAGCTTGAGAATTACATGAAGGAGGTGGGAGTTGACGGAGATGCTGGGTCAAGGGACGACGAGGGCGAAGAATCAGATGAAGAGGAGGAAGAATCGGAAGAGGAGGAGGAGCAGGAGGAGCAGGAGGAGCAGGAGGAGCAGGGGGAGCAGGAGGAGCCTCAAAACAAAAGCTCCCGGGGAGACGATGTGGACGGTAATACTCAGCGCCTTGAGGAGCTAGAAGTCTCAGACCCATCGAGTCACTGAGCAGCATAATACACTAATGGCCATGAATTATGAATCTCTGTAAATGGCACCCTCTTCAGGGTTAAACAAAGCGATCTTTTCACGAAGCTATACTTCCATCTAAACGCTATCCAACTAGATTCTTGGTCGCGTGGCAATGGATAAGTAGATACTCCATCAGGTTGATTAGCACTGTCCAGCAAGGTTTCAATAGGAAAATGACTGTCTCATTTTTACCCGCCAACCCCTCCCTAACATGATGGTAACTTCTACAACTATCAGCCAGGTTGTAGAAGATATCACCATGATTGATAAATTTCCATCTATTCCACTATTGGGCACCGCCTCCTTTCTAAACCAGAGCTAATACTGTAACCTGGTAGTATTTATAAACCAGGTTGTTCAAATCAACACTATATTCGAACTAATTTCACCTATTTTCATCTTTGTCCGCCGGGCTCTTTTCAAGCTTGGTGGGGGTTTCAGAAACCAGGTAGTCCTAGCAAATCTGCACAGGTTGTTCGAATCAACACCGTACTTAGGTTAACAGGTTTTCACCTATTCGAGGTATCTTTTTGAATTGGATGATGATATCTGCAATATAGTTGCGGATCTGTGAATTTGGTGGCGCTATCACTTAGATTATTCAAATCCGCACCATGGTGCGTATATATCCACCTATTTTATCTTATCCCGCCAGTCTCTCTTCAAACCTGGTGTTGATTTCTATGATTGAATCATCTTTTCTCGCAGATATGTGCCGACCTTTGTGGTATATAATAAGCTTTGGCTTTGGACCAGCATAATCAAAAACCTTAAGGTTTAGCCCGAACAGTTGAGGCTGCTTTCTTTCTTTTTGGTATCAGTATGAATACAAGTTCATTCCTATTCTGTTTCGTTGAAGGACATGCGTCGTATTAAGCGACATAGGTAATGATTGAAATGTGAACCAGATCGAAATAGGATGATATGACAGTCGAAGGGAACAGTAAAACCAAAAGCAGAATAGATAACTGAAAAAAAGAAATGCTTGCTCCCAATGGGGGAATCGAACCCCCGGCTATCGTGTGAAAGACGATGAGGTTAGCCACTACCCCAATTGGGACTGGGATTCCGCTAGACTATTCTAGGGAACTGACGGCTATTTGTAAAATTTCTGCTATTTAACCATAGATTCGCATCAGGTGAGCAAAATGAAAAACAGAGGCTTGGCAGTTGGTTAAAAATGGGGCGGGAGAAAAAAAAAAGAACTGCTTTGCTCCCAATGGGGGAATCGAACCCCCGGCTATCGTGTGAAAGACGATGAGGTTAGCCACTACCCCAATTGGGATGTTGTACCACTAGGCTATAGTAGTCAGTTGGCAATTTGGGGCTCCAATGTGTTATATGTTCCCAGAGTAGATCACTGCAGCCAATGTCCCCGTATCTAGTGGATGTGTTGCTCTGCGTACAGCTCTTCTCTCCATATGAATAGAAGCATGGTTTGCCCTGCGCTTCGCTCAGAAGTTAGAAAATGTCAAATTTGCAAGGTATGATTGAGAATATATGGCGACAAATGTCGTGGGCTTATGGCTGACAGGTCCTTCGAGCTTTCGGGCGCGGTAGCCTCAACGTTAGCCCTGAATGCCATGCTCTTGATATGGCCGCGATATCGGATACTAGCATTCTCATTAATCATCACGGTCCAGCGACTGTACTAATGCTACTAGCGATCGAACTTTATGACCATAGTCGCGATAATCTTGTGTCTCCATCTCCACTAGCCCTTGCGTACACGTGCCATATCCCGTTCGAATATATATTGTAAGCTAGCCGCACTTCCCGCTGTGTAGCCATGCCACTTCAGGTTGCAGTGAGCTACAGAATGAGTCGAAGTCCGGCCATACAGAGCGCTCATCATTATGATGCGTAGTAGTACTCGTGGCACAATAAATAATCGAGGCTAAAGCGCAGGAACCAGCACAAGAATCTCTTAAAAGGTGTGGAACAGTTCTATTGTCATGAGCCCAGAGAATAGGCATGAGTAAGTGATCAAGCTACTGCTAGACCAAAGGCAAATATGAAAGAAATAGCTGAGATCGAACATGGAACACCTGTGTCACAGATTGCAGGAAAGAGAGCCGGGCAGTGGTTGAACTGCTACTTGAAAAAAAAATAGCCGCCGTGGATGCAGAAAATAGACCCAACTGGACTGTAGGAAAAACAGTAACTCTACAATATGAAGGCTGAACACCGTGATTTTGGCTATAGTCTAGTCATTTGGAATCATGTATCCTTCCTACTGTAGCCAATGGGCAGAAGTACTTCCGGGCCATAATGCACTAAGCCGACAAGAGCGATAGGGCGGGCGGTGCGGCCACTTGCGCAGCCTCGAAAAGATCATCTACAACTGCAACGCATCAACCAGAACCCGCAATCTCACTTCACAATGCCTCGCAAGTCTGTCTCAGATGCCGTCACTCGCACGGTAAAGGCGAAGAAGCCTTTAAATCAAAGGCTCTATAAGACTCCTGAGGCAGCCGCCCAAGCTCGCGCTGCCTCGGCCGCTCACATTGCCGAGAAAGAGCGCCGCCATCTTTCAAATAAGGCCCAGGGCGATCTTTCCCTGCGCAAGCAGATCTTTCTGTTCGTCCCTCTCCCCTACCTGCATGTGTTGCCTGCCCACGGATAAAATGCCGAAGCACATCCATGGTCAATGTCATGCAGTTGTTCCATTTCTTTCGTCTGGGCTAACCGGTTAAACCCCTGCAGCCCCGAGTTCACAGTCGCTCTCGTCCGCACCCCCTTCCTGACCCCACGCCATGCCCAATTCCGCGTCCCTCTCGAATTCAACAAGCTCGACTTGCGAGACTATCTTAAGCGGGGATATGGCGTCGATGTTCTCGGCATCCGCAGCTACATCGAGCAGAAGCCCATCACCCGTATCACCCGCGATGGCCGTAACCTAGGCCAATGGCGACGACCAAAGTCCCAGAAGCGAATGACAGTCGAGTTGGTGGAGCCGTTTGTATATCCCGAGGAACCCAAGGACATGTCTCCGTATGTGATGCCCCAATCCCGTACACTTGCTTCAATTCGGGTATCGCCAAGGAGAATTGTATCTCTCTGCGATGGCCACAATCTCGACAATTCTTTGGCTTCAGAACATTGGCTAATCTTTGACTCCAAAACAGATGGGAAAAGGAGGCTTGGGACTCAGCCGCAAAATACCAGGATAAGGTACAGAAACAGAACCGCCAGAAGGGCCACTCAGCGGAAGAGCCAGACACAGAGCTGCGGGAGGCGTACAAGAAACAGGCAGAGGAGCTTAAAGAGAACAAGTCTGGGTGGCGACCTACATGGAAGGCTCTGGGCGTGGACTTTGCGCACAAGGAGTTGGCCAACAACGGTGGCTATCGCAACCCTCTTCCCAAGTACCTGGGAGGCCGCCGCTAGAAGGGCCCGTGATTTGATGCCGCGGCTGCTTCCTTGACATTGGTTCCTGCCCTCTAGGACTCACTCGGATTGGAAAGCCTCGTGTGTTTGTATTCTTACATCAGCCATTTCCTATCTTGTATTATATTGTTGGCATGTTGGATGAAGTAAATCTAAGAAGCCTCTAGGCTATCTCTTGTCACTTTAATTTGGCCCTTTTCAAATGCCGCCTTGGGATATCAATGGAATGACCAGGCGGATCATTGCATGGCCTTAGCTATAAGTATTCGAATTCGTAGGTATGACTTGAGAGCTACTTCTTCCGGCATCTACACGCTATTCCGATATACTAGTAATCATACATAGTATCAGTAGAAGAGTTATTCGTCAGTGTATCATATTGTATTTGTAAGATAAATAAGGGGATAGTATATTTGAATTAAGAGGATAGAGAGTCAAAGAAGCCGAGAAAGCCGAGTTGGACAAAATTATCACGCTATGCAGAACGATTGGCGTTGAGAGGGCGACCGAAAGTACGAAAATTGGTAGGAATCATAATAAGAACACACAACATAGCCCGGAGCAATATTTACAGACGGCTCTCAATCAAGTTCATTTGCTGGCCAGGCCAGTGAGCATCCGGCCAGATCCGTTGCAGGGCCTCCCAGATGTGCCTAAAGAGGAGTCTTAGTTAATTGCTTGACTGGGGGGAGTATATAGGATGACTTACTGAACATAGATAATCTCTAGGCCATCATGGACCTCCTGGGGAACGTCCTTGACATCTTTGCGATTGGCCTGGGGCAGCAGAACGGTCTTCACACCGGCACGTAGAGCGCCGATGAGCTTCTCCTTGATGCCACCAACGGGCATCACGCGGCCACGTAACGAGATCTCGCCAGTCATGGCGATCTGAGGCGGCACTGACTTGTTGGTGAACAGCGAAATGAGCGCCATAGTGTGCGCAAGGCCCGCTGAAGGACCGTCTTTAGGAATGGCACCAGAGGGACAGTGGACGTGGAGGCTTCGGTTCTTCATGATGTCCTCGTTCGGGTCGTGGGTGAGTCCCAGCTCAAACGAGTGGGCTTTCACCCATGTCAGCGCAACCTCGACGGACTCCTTCAGTACATCGCCAAGTTTGCCAGTGAGCTGCACGCGGCCATTGCCAGGCATGTCGGCGACCTCGATGAAAAGAATGCTCCCCTGTCCTCCGGTAGAATAAGCAACCAGTCCAGTGACAACGCCAGGGCGGCCGTGCTTCTCTGCAATCTCTTCTTCAAATCGCTCGATGCCGAGAATATCCTCGAGGTCTTCAACGGTGACGACAGGGTTGTACTCGCGTACGCGATCGGCATCGCTTGCGTCAGCGTACTGAACGGCCTTGTAGCGGCAGATTGAGCCAAGTTCACGCTCAAGATTACGCACGCCAGATTCCCGAGTATAGGATGTGATAATCTTGTCGATGACCTCATCAGAAAGACGGACTTGGCCTTCGGTTAGACCGTTAGAACGAATCTGCTTCGGAATCAAATGTCGTTTAGCAATGTGTCGCTTCTCAATAGTGGTGTATCCCGAGAGCGAAATAGTTTCCATGCGATCAAGCAAAGGTGCTGGGATGGTTTCCAGCGAGTTCGCAGTGGCAATGAAAAGAATCTTGCTGAGATCAATGGGGATGTTGATATAATGATCGGTGAAGGTATGATTCTGCTCGGGGTCTAGAACTTCCAGCATGGCGGCGGAAGGATCGCCTTGGAAATTCGCACCGCCAACCTTGTCGATTTCATCCAGCAAAAACACTGGGTTGGCCACACCGACCTTCTTCAAACCATTGACGATCAATCCGGGCATGGCGGCGACGTAGGTACGGCGGTGACCGCGGATTTCTGCTTCATCTCGTACTCCACCAAGAGAGATACGGTGAAACTTGCGACCAAGAGAGGCCGCGACTGAGCGAGCCAAGCTAGTCTTTCCGGTTCCAGGTGGACCGACCAGGAGCAAGATGGGGGACTTGTCAGTCGCACGCTTGGACTTCAAGATATCCAGGCGCGTTTCAAGGGCGACGCGATCGGTCTCAGACAGCAGAGGGGTATCCTGTTCCAGGTCACCGGAGGATGCAGCCTCTAGGTCCTTAGTGAGGCCAAGGATCTCACGATCCACGTTGCTATTCGTTGATTGCTTTAACCGAAGCACAGCTAGGTACTCGAGCAAACGCTTCTTGATCCGCTCCAAACCATAGTGGTCGTCATCCAGCTGCTGACGAGCCTTCTTGAGAGTGTCTGGACCAAGCTGATCTTCGGTCACCTTAGTCCACGGAATCTCGGCAAGATTCTCGAGGTAGGTACGGCAAACTCCATACTCAGCGTTGGCGGGATTCATCTTCCGTAGACGCTTCAACTCTTTATCGGCCACCTTCTGGGCCTCCGGGCTGAGCTGTGCCTCTTCGAGACGCTTCTGCAGCTCATCAACTTCGTTTGGCTCTTTCTCTTCATCACCACCCCGCCCACCCGAAGGACCCGGAGGCGAGAGGCCTGAGAGACCTTGCATAGCACGCTTTGCAAGTAGCTCACGCTCCCGAGGATCCATCTGACCAATGTCAAGGTTACTTGTCGGGAAAGATGTACTGATGGATGTGACCTTGACGCTACTCTTGATATGTTGAGCCTGGCGTGTCAAGATCTCCACCACCCGTGCCAGTCTCTTTTTCAGGTCGAATGATGCGAGAATGCGCAGTTTCTCTTCGAAGCTTGCATCAGAAACATCCGCCATGAAGTCGGCTAGCTTCCCAGCTTGGCTCAGCTCGGTCCTTGAGATGTAGAGTTCGAACTTCCGTGCCACCAGAGGAGAGAGGCGGGTCGAGGCTGCCGACAGAAGGGAGGAGAGGCGTAGCAGGGTGAGGATTTCGCGGGATAGTTGTCGCAGTTGAGAGAACAATTCAGCTGCTTCTGGATCATTTTGTACAGAAGACGCTGGAATGAGGAATAGTTAGCCGTGTTAGCTAAGAAAAGAAGGGTTGGGAAGGCATACAGTTTTCTTCATGGAGCAGAACTTCGCCCTCAAAGTATGGGCGGTCACGCAGGACTTTCCTGATAGTGAAGCGCTGAGTGCCCTGGACCAAAAGGAACGGCTCCGAATAGGCGCGGCGCTGAACACCGACCACCTTTCCTAGAGTCCCGTAGCGGAATAGGTCCTCCTTGCGCGCTTGTCCTGCATCGATGGAAGCATAGTCATCTCTCTGTGTTTCGTCCGAATCGTCTCCTTCGATCAAATGTAGGCCATCGTGGCTCAAGAAAGGCGAATTCAGCGGAACACACCCAAAGGTGATAACGGTGCCATCGCGTTTGGATGGTCGGTCCACTAGGGAGGAGAGCAAATTGGCCAAGTCGGGACGGTTCGAGACGGGAATTCGAAGAGTCACGCCAGGCAAGAGAACAGTGCCCTTGGACAAGGGCACGAGAGGTATCTTAGCGGTTCTACCGCTGTTGGAACCCATGTTGAATCGTATCAGTAGCTATAGGCGGCAGAACAGCGATAGAACCGGTACAAGTCAACAGTGGATGGCGGAAGAGTGTTAAGTCGATGAAGGGGTTGAAGAGGAGGGATTTATTTCAGGGGGGGAGGGGAAGGAGGAGATTCTGGAAACCAGAGGAAGCCTGAGGCGAAGTCCGGGGCAGATGAAGCGATAAGAGGCGTGACCTGTTCCGCCGTCTCCACGTTCCGAAGCCGAGGTTGCGTCAGACCTGCAGATCCGCGGGGGAAAGGAAATACTTGTCCTAGCCTCCGAATTAATTCTTTACGGCGCTACGGTGCATCTGTATCATCAAGAATTCCATATTCGAATTGCTTATTATCCCGTCGCTATTGACCTTGTGCTGTCAAGTCCCGTGATCGGCGCGGATTTGCCTTCTCCATTTGGGCGAATTTCTTCCTCGGCTTCTTCCTCTCCTCGTGATTGGCAATTGCTATTTCTCTCCCCAACTTTCTTTAGCCCGAACAATGGCCCCCACCAAAAAGACATTCACTATTGGCACTCGCAGCTCCAAATTGGCGCTGCTGCAGACCGATCTCGTGCAAGCCGCCCTGCGTCAAGCACACCCCGACTATGAATTCAAAATTCTCTCTAAAGAGACCGCGGGCGATCTCAACACCAAGATCGCTCTACGCGACTTCAATGCCAAGAACTTGTGGACAGAGGAGCTAGAGGAGTTGATGATTGCTGGGAAGGTTGACTTCATCGTCCACTCTCTCAAAGGTCAGATGAAAATTGAGCCCCTCCATACCCCGCCGCATGAGACACTGACATTGTATGCACAATATAGATGTACCCACTCTTCTCCCCGACACTTGCACGTTGGGCCCAATGATGCCCCGTGAAGATAACAGAGATGTCCTTGTAGTAAAGCAGGGACTGCCGTACAAGTCGCTAGCGGAAATCCCAGCGGGCTCAGTAGTTGGCACCTCCTCGATCCGTCGCACAGCCCAACTTGCCCGCAAATACCCCCACCTCAAGGTGCAAGACATTCGCGGGAATATTGGCACTCGCCTCGCAAAGCTGGATGCAGAGGATAGTCCCTACGCCTGTGCAATCCTAGCCGCGGCAGGCCTCCTGCGTCTGGAATTGGCCGACCGTATTACACAGTACCTCGATTCGAAGAACGCTGGCATGCTCTATGCGGTTGGACAAGGCGCCCTGGGAATTGAGATTCGTAAGGAAGACACCGATATCAAAGAAATGCTGGACCAAATTGGGCATCAGGAGACTACCTTCTCTTGTCTCGCTGAGCGAAGCCTGTTGCGCACCCTTGAAGGAGGCTGTAGTGCACCGCTCGGCGTGGAGTCAGAGTGGATCCAGAGCTCAGAGGGCTCCAAAAAGCTACGCATGCGCTCCGTGGTTGTCAGCGTAGACGGCACGAAGTGCGCGGAGGTAGAGGTCGACGGCGACGTGGATTCTACTGAAAGCGCCGAGGCGTTTGGTATCAAGGTGGCCGAAGCTCTAGTGGCCGAGGGCGCTGGTGAAATCCTGGAAGAGATCCAGCGAAACAAGCAGGCTAAATAGACTGCCACAGTATCAAGAAATTTACTACAAAATGCTCATAGACTATTCACCTTCACGCATATACCCTCAATGAGACCAACGATTTCCTCTGCATTAATCTTACCAGTTTATTCTTTCCTTTTCTTTCCTTTTCTTTCCTTTTCTTTCCTTTTCTTTTCTTTTTTTCTTTTTTGCTTCTTGGAATGTATTCCAATATAAACTAAGAATCAGAATTGTTCCTCAAAGGTATATATTCTCTTGGTTTATAAGTTTTTCGAATACACCACACACCTCGCAGTGTTTGGGCCGCCCAGACTGTGTCTAGCATCAGCATACCATCGTTAAAACTATAGTCTCATCATTTTGCAAGGTATCCTTTGAATCAACATGCCCCTTTCCAGGTTTGATCAGACGCATGCCCTTCATCCACGGTTCAAAGTATTGCCAGAGCCTTTAGGATTGGCTTCAACATACTCATCCCAAGCCCGGGCTTTCATGGTCTCTTCATCAGCTCTATCAAGGTCATCTTCGTCGATCTCTGGCTGTATGCCAGATTGCTCGCCGCCCTGGAGTATATTTCCTCTCCTTTTCTCCTCCTCGAGGTACTCATCAATCGTCATTGTTGGCAGATTATGACCGGAGCGGAAGACTCCTTGTTGAAGTTGCGACCGTCGGTCAAGGAGAGTGAATGGTTGCATCGGTTTACCCTTCTTGTTTAGCAATGGCCCGTTCCGTCCTCCAAGCAATTGTGATAAAGATGGGTCCAGACGGTCAGAATAATTAAATCCGCCTAAGTTGCTGCGCTGCCGGGGGTCGTCTTGTGAGGGTCGTGGGGGTTCTGGGGCGTTTTTCATAGCAGATAGCATAGAGAGTTCTTGCACCAACAGATCGAGAGCTTGGAATGTTTGGTGAGTGTAGAGTTCGAGTTCTGATAGATAAAGCTTTCGAATTGCGTCGTCGTCGCTTTCGAGATGGGCCTGGTTACGAGATAGGTACTGGTCGAATAGTCAGGGCTTGGGAGCCAGTTATAGTTTTTGTAGATTTCAACGCACCTCCAGCTTTTGCTTGAGCTCTTTTTCCTCCCTGAAACGTCGCACCTTCGTGTCTCGCCGGGCAGCTGCATCGTTGACGGGTGCTAAGGTAAAAGCGGAGGGTGCAGCCATGTATTCTTCCAATAATTTCTTATCCGCCTTGGATAGTATCTCGTAATCGTCTAGTCGTGTTAGAAACTTCTCGTACGCCTCCAAGGCCCTGCGGAGAACGGATTCGCGATCGGCGCTGGGAACGCGCTGGACGAGTTCAGCCAGGTGGTATTCTATGCTCATGTACCTGCCGAGACGGTTAGCTTCGCGAACAAGGAGCAATCTGGATATGAAAGCTTACTGAATGTCTCCAGATGAAACATCCTCCAACGACTCGTTGGAGCTGAACAGTGACAAGATACCAACTTGTCGTTGGCATTCCTGAAGCTTGGCAATTGTTGCATTCACGTCAGTGCGGTACTCCTCCGAGTTGGTGTCGCCTCTCCACTCTAGCGAAGACTTGGTCTCCTTCGCCGCAGAGAATAATGACCGAAGACTTTGGGATTGATCCATTATGTTGGGGAAACTGAAGTGCGGCGCAGCCCCGCGATTTGGAGTTTTCGCCTGCTTGATAAGCCCGATAAGAGCTCGATCTAATCAGCTGGGGGAAGATAAACTTGGCTAGGCTCGAGATAGTTACCACTTGGTAAAGAATTTCCTTCTATTAATCGAAGCTCCAGGCTTAAAGGGTATAATCTAGGAGCTTATACCATGCTAAAGGCAGTTTGAAAAAAACTTGATGGGATTTAACTCACCTTTCGATTTGACGGTGAAGGCTCATAAACATACAAATCATACTTCTAAATCCACTGTATTTCTGATTTGCCCATTCCGTTCAAACCCTCTCTATCCTGAAACCCCTCTTCAATTTCAATATCGTCCAGGCACCTTGCATATGGATACAGGCTGACAACGTTGCTTTACCTCTCTGGTGTAGCCAGACAACGCCGTGATGACAACTATGGAGGACGCAGATAATATCCGTCATTCTCCGGATGGCAGCGAGAGCGAAGACGAGGGTACAGTAGCACCCACGAATATCTCTCAGATCAGGCGGAATCAGAATGCCCAGTTTGAAGCCCTGTGAGTTTTCCAAGCTTCAGGGTGACTTGAAAATCATTAATTGTGTCACAACAGGCTTGCGCATCGTGCCCGCTATGAGCTACCTACGCAGTCCAAAGCTGAACCGGCCTCTTTACGCGATGAAGACTTGTCCATTGCAGGCCTTGTATCTCGGCATGACCAAGGTTCGTCTAACCTGGATCCTCGGGCTTATCAGATCGAGCTTTTTGAACGAGCCAAGACGCGGAATATCATCGCAGTTCTTGACACCGGTAGGTAAGCTTGTGATTATAATGAGAGACAAAGACTTATGCCATAACAGGAGCGGGAAAGACTCTCATTGCAGTATTACTGCTGAAGCACGTATTGCAGAAGGAGTTGGTAGATCGTGCAGATGGCAAGGCGCATCGAGTGGCCTTCTTCTTAGTAAGATAAGAGCTACAGAACTGAAGCCTTCAGTTAACAGATTCTCAGGTGGACAGTGTGACCTTAGTTTTTCAGCAAGCAGCAGTTCTGCGAAACAATCTGGATCAAAATATTGCCCTTTTCTATGGTGCAATGGGCCCGGACCTGTGGGATGAGCAGACCTGGAACGAACATCTGAAGAGGAACATGGTCATAGTTTGCACGGCCCAGATCCTCAACCATGCTCTTTTGAATGCCTTTATCAAAATGCGTCAAATCAACATCCTAATATTTGACGAGGCGCACCATACAAAAAAAGAGCACCCATATGCACGGTAATAGTTGGGAGACCATCATATCGCAAGTTTAATTTTGCTAATAAGAGTGAATCTGTATAGCATAATTCGCGACTCATATTCCAAGACAGAACCGGAAGGGCGACCGAAGGTTTTTGGCATGACAGCATCCCCAGTTGACGCCAAGGTTGATATTGCACAAGCAGCTTCGTATGTCACCATTTACTTTGATTGAAGTAACATGTTTACTCACAGTTTGAAGCCAACTGGAAGACCTCCTCGATAGCCGGATTGCCACTACTTTGAAACTACCCCTGCTTCGCCAAGTCGTGCAAAGGCCTTCCGAGGAGACATGGCCTTACAAGAAACTTGGCCCACCCTTCGAGACGGAGCTGTACCAGAAGATCATCGCTGGTTATGGTGACATAAAATCCTTACAACCTGTCTTTCAATTTACGAAACAAGCTAGCTCAGAGCTTGGAATATGGTGTACAGACCGGATTTGGGAGAAAGCTCTCTCCGATGATGTACTTCCGAAGCTCGAAGGGTCTGTCAACAGGGGAACTAAATTGGAATCGCAATCACCCGAGATGGTAGAAAAGGAGATATCTCGGATCCACGAAATCAGTCAGATTGTGAGGGCGCATCCAAAAGATCATCCACTTGGCGCGGGACAACTTAGCTCCAAGGTCGAACTTCTTTTGACCCTTTTCCAACACCATTTTGGGAACTCCGACAACAAGAAGTGTATTGTCTTCATAGAAAAGCGGAACACTGCTAAAGTCTTATTCGAGTTGTGCCAACAATTGGAAATCCCAAACATGCGCCCAGGAGTCTTGGTAGGGGTTCGCAACGTTGACCTCACCGCAAGATTTACTTTTCGTCAACAGTTCCTGGCTCTTGTGAGATTTCGAAAAGGAGAAATCAACTGCCTGGTAAGATCATTAGGATTGATATAAATCCCTGACCGAATCACTCATTTAATCTAGTTTGCAACTTCTGTGGCAGAAGAAGGGCTTGATATACCTGACTGCAATCTAGTCATCCGGTAAAACTCTCCTGGTCCACAGATGTGGTACTGCCTACTGACATACATAGATTCAATCTTTACGACACAGTTATCCAGTATGTACAGAGTCGCGGCCGTGCAAGGCACAAAGACTCAACTGTAAGTCCTCGAGGGATTTCGATGTCTGAAACTTTACTCACTCTTACAGTACGTGTCAATGGTGGAAATGGGAAACGAGGAGCACCTTCGGCGGATTGAAGAAGTTCGGCAAGGCGAGGTAAGTAATTCTAGAAACAACAAGTGGCTTATTAACAGAATCATAGAAAATGATGCTTGAATTTTGCAAGGCTCTCCCGAAAGATCGCATTCTGGATGACGGGAATGATGAATATTTGCAGACAGTTCGACAGGCGGGGAGAAGTCAAAGAACATACACCATACCCTCCACTGGAGCAAAATTGACATATCCACATGCTATGGCGGTGCTATCACGATATGCAGAATCTCTTGTGAGTCGTTCTATTGAGTTTGTTCTACAAGATTACTCGATATCTGATTGAAGTCTCAGCAGTCTGAAAGAGACAACTTCACCCAAGTTACTTACTTCGTCATATCAAGAGATCAATCATACTATTGCGAAATAGTTCTACCAGAAAAATCACCAATTCGTGGGCTAGTAGGGCCGATCGCACCGACAAAGATGATGGCGAAGCAATCAGCCGCGTTCGATGCCTGCATGTTACTGCGCAAGCATCACTTGTTAGACGACCACTTCAAATCTATCTATCAAAAACGCCTTCCGGCTATGCGAAATGCCAAGCTGGCAATTGTTTCAAAGAAGACCAACAAATATACCATGATCAACAAGCCTTCAATTTGGACACTGCATCAGGGAGTAGTCCCAGAGTCACTCTTTGCGTTGATCATCAGTTTCCACCCCTCGGAGCCCCTTTCTAGAGAGCATAGAAGCTTCATGTTATTGACTCGCGTGAAGATCCCGGAATTTCCAGCATTTCCTCTCTATTTGGAAAATGACACTGAGGCAATAATCCGCACTACGGCTCTTGAAAGTGTCCTGTCCGTATCTTCGGATGATCTTCACCATCTCTCAGAGCTCATGGTCTCTGTATTCTATGATATCTTCCACAAAACATTCGACCTCGAATCCACAAAGTTTCCTTACTGGGTCGCCCCGCTGAAGCCATCTCATGCGCCAGCTGAGAAGATATTACTGCCTGCAGAAGTGATCGATTGGGAAGCGATTAATTTTGTGCATGAGAATAGAGAGCTTAAATGGACCGAGAAGATGGATACCGAGTTCCTTATGAAACATTTCTTATTTGATCCATGGGATGGCAGAAAGCGATACTTTCCAATTGCTATCGATAGTACGTCGTGCGCTTCGGATTCGGTTCCTCCTCATCTCCCACGTCGCAGGTGGATGGAAAACCTTTTGAACTATTCTCTGAGCCTTGGGAAGAGTTCTCGACAGAAATGGCTTGAGTATGCAAAATGGGACCAGCCTGTAATCGAGGCACAATGTATCTGCTTACGCAGAAACTTCCTTGATAAGGCTACGGGGCCCGAGAAAGGGGAAGCAGGGCGCCTTCTCATTTGCCCACAGCCTCTGAAAATTTCACCCGTGAGTGCAGATACAGTTGCGAAAATTTAAGATATGAACTTACACAAGTGCAGTTGCCGCTGGGATTAGTCACTTCATTGCTGGCCTTCCCAGCTATCATGTGTAGGATGGAATCCTACTTGATTGTCATGGATGGCTGCCGGAACTTGGGTCTCGATATAAGTCCTCAGCTTGCTTTGGAGGCTTTCACCAAGGATTCTGACAACACAGAAGAGCATCGTGCACTTCAAATACACGTTCAACGCGGAATGGGAAAGAACTACGAAAGACTCGAGTTTCTTGGAGACAGTGTTCTGAAGATGGCTACGTCAATAGCACTATTTTGCCAAAACCCCGACGATGATGAATACGATTTCCATGTCAACCGAATGTGCCTTGTCTGCAACAGGAATATGTTTAATGCAGCCGTCAAGCTACGTCTTTATGAGTACATTCGCACCCGCGGATTTTCTCGGTAAGCAGCCTGTGCCCCAAGGGTCTTCCGTTTGTTCAAGCCAAATCTCAAGGAAATCCTTATACTAACCCGGAAGTGTAGGCACACATGGTATCCACCTGGGGGTCACCCTTCTCCATGGTCGGAACTATCTCCGCCATCCTGACTTTGAAGGCACCCATGCACTCGGAGAAAAAACCATCGCCGATGTGTGCGAAGCTTTGATCGGGGCCGCTTTACTAACAGGGGGTAAGGCGAATCGGTTTGATTTAGCAGTCAAAGCAGTCACTCTCTTCGTGGATAGCGACAGTCACAAAGCCACGTGCTGGGAAGACTATCGCGCATCGTATGCAAAGCCGGCTTATCAAATGAAGACTGCCGATGGGTCAGACGTCGATCTGGCTCAAAAGATATTCGAGCGACTGGGATATCGTTTCAAGTATCCCCGTCTACTACGGTCTGCTTTTACACATCCATCATACCCAATTTCTTGGTCAAAGGTGCCTTGTTATCAGCGTCTGGAATTCCTTGGTGATGCTCTCTTGGATATGGTTTGCATTGAAGATTTATTCCATCGCTACCCCGACAAGGATCCCCAATGGCTCACAGAGCACAAGGTGAGTCAAGGAATGGAGTATACCAGTCGCCGAAAAAGAAAGTTAATTTAGTTATTCGTTTTCAAGATGGCCATGGTCTCGAACAAGTTTCTTGGTGCATTGACTGTGAAGCTCGGTTTCCACCGACATCTCCTACACTTTAGCAACCCCATCCAAGCCAATGTCACTCAATACGCCGAAGAAATACAGATGGCTGCTGATGAAAGTGAAGGATCTCCGGACTACTGGCTCAATACAAGAGACGCGCCTAAGGTACAATTGGAAACTTTGCTCTTCCTTATTTGAAAGCTAATAGAATACCCCAAAGTGTCTTCCGGATATGCTAGAAGCATACCTTGCCGCCATATTTGTGGACTCTGATTTTGAATTCAATGTCATCGAAGACTTTTTCACCGCACACGTTAAGCCGTTCTTCCTTGATATGTCTTTATATGACACTTTTGCTAATAAGCACCCAACGGTGAGTGATCTTTTTGTCACCGAGACTTGTTTTTCTGATTTTATAACAGACCTTCCTCTACAACCAGTTAACTGGAATCTATGGATGCTCTGACTATTGCTTGAAATCAGGCGAGATACCTGGAGTCGATGGAGAGGAGCCGCAGATCCTGGCAGCTGTCCTTGTTCATGGAATACCCATTTCAGAGGTCATTGGCATCTCTAGCCGATATGCAAAGGTCAAAGCCAGCGAGAAGGCTTTGGAGGCCATTAGCGGAATATTGCCAGAAGAGTTCCGTATCAAATTTAGCTGTCACTGCAAGGCATCGGATGCTGATGGGGTACAGCAAGCTGATGTGGGTACGGCCATTTAAAAATAAAAGGACAAACCTGAAACCTTGAAAGGGACTCGGACTTTCCACAGTTATCATCAGGTTGATTACAAATATTTGATTCTGGAAACTTCAGGAAATTGCTTCAAAAATTGATGAATGAATTCGCTATCTCAGATTGCCATACTTGAGAGACTGAATTCCCTTGAACTCTTATCTCATAGCTCCAACATTGATAGGCAACACCTTTCACTGGCATTTACCACTTGACGCAGAGGCCTCTTGCTATAGGAACATGAATTAAGATAGAAAATCTACACTTTGAGGTAGGAAAGACTCACCAAGCAGAAACCACTCTGGCAGTTACCCATACTTCCATCTTTAGCGCAAGTGGCGCCGGCAGCAAGTTTGGGCTAGCCCATGTTAATTGACAGAACATATGATGCTGCGGGAAGTAGGTACTTACCGCACTAGGCTTGTCTTCTGGCGCAGCCATGACGATGCCAATGGTGGCTAAGATAGCAAGCAAAATGAAACGCATCTTGATGAAGATAGCTGTTTGTTTTGTAAAGAAATGCAGTAGTGGGGATTGGATGTTATCTGTCTTTATGTTTCAAGCACTCGACCGCCAGAGCAGGCAGTATTTATAGCTCAGGCTTTCGTTTCTTATCTTCATGAACGAAGCCGATGGGACACAACAGGATTTACGGGGTCGATAGGCCAGAGCGTTACTCAACTGGCGTCAATATTCAAGTGACGACCTGGAACCTTTTGAAATGTATTCGAATCTACCTCCTAGCTCCCGAGATGAGTGGCTTTCCTAGCACTCTTAGTCTAAGGTTTGCTCAATAACTACTGGTAGAGGTCACAGCACTCAATATGTGTGTGATGGGCTCAAAGTATTCTGAATTGGTTTGAAGTGTTCTTGCTGTCGTGGAGGCCTAGAGGATAGACACTCAGGCCTTTGGTGATATTTTGTTCTCTCGAGCAACTCTTCCCCTTGCATGATCACTGGTTCATTCATGAATGCTCAAATTTTATGTCTAATGAGTCTCTTGAAATTGGATATCTGATTGCCCTCCACGCTCCGTAAACCAATTGGCTTGGTGCTTTGCCATTATGAGAATCCGACCGCCGACATCCAACCTGGCCATCATTCAATTTAGGATTCGAGAAAGGCGGAAGGCGAGAATCGAAGGATTACCCATTCTCGTCAACTCCCCTCGAGGTGGTTCGTTGCGATAAAGATGGCTGTCAGGATCCAGACCAACTTCTGGCCCTTTTTTCTCGGGTACTACGCATATGATCTGCCGCTTTGAAACGCGATGTAGCACAAACTGATTGCTTTGTTGACTTCCATTGGCTCACCCAGCGGCTCTATAGCAAGGAATTGGTTTTGGAAGTTTTGGGCGAGTCCAAGTTCTGAGGATAGGTTGAACTTAGCAGCATAGCAGTAGCCCAGTAGAACTTGCGTCCGAGATCTTCAAGTAGGTTGACCTGGTATATCTCATCAATCCCAGGAGACGGGTTTAAATGGCAGGGGTAAAGCGGCCCCGAGTTCCAGTAAATGTAGAAGAGATAACGTGTCTACATAGCTTCAGACATCCTTTCAATTCCCAAATCCTTATAGATTCTTATCGTCCCAGATAGCAGGAGTCTTGGCTACGCCGGGCTTACCAACGATAGTCTACTCCCATGGCTTTCCAGGCTCCCAATTGGAAGCTGCGTTCCGAGAAGAAAGCAATAACTGCTCGAATTATCTTACTTGACTGTCCTGGAAGGGGCTTTCGACTTTGCAACCATCGCGTCGGGTTCTGGACTGGCCTGCAGGCGTCGTCGCCCTGCTAGACCACCTTCAAATCCCCCGTACTATGTTTTGGGAGATTCGGGAGGCTCGCCTTATGTGTTGGCTTACGCGAAGATGACTCCTCGTGATAGATTGCTCGGATTTCCTGTAGTGCCAGGGATATGTGAGGTATTCGGATGACTCTGAGTTCAGAATAATAATGTTCGAAAGGATGAGAGGCCTTCAAGCAGAGAAGCCAAGGACATACGGGGGGGAGCTGGGTTTACACGGAAACTGGGGATTTGAGATTGGCGACTCGGATGGGGAGCTAATCACTCTTTTGCATGGTGAAAGAGATGTGATCACTCCTTTCCTCATGGCAGAGAAACCAGCAAGCATAATAGAAGGCTGCCGCCTGAAGGCTTTTGTGGAAGAAAGCCCATCTCAGTCTTTCCTCCACCTATATAGAGAAGATCATCGGTGGCCTACTTAAGCCATCGAAAGGCAATAGTCTCAAATGAAGCTTGAACACCTTATGCATAGATTGTGGTCCATGAATCAAAAATCCGATTTAGAGATGGTTTGTCATGCGGCAGTGGCGTTATGAAGTTGTGTTTCTGACAGAATATGAGGAAGAATGCTATATCAACAATTTATATACTTTAACCTACCCGTTACGCAAAAGTATAAATGTCAGGTCCGAGTTGCCCGAAATATGGCTTGGTGACGCAGGTCTATAGCCGTGTACCGATTGGGGACTATCTATGTGCTTTTTACTCTAGCAAAGCCAGCTCTGAGCCTCTGCCGTTGTTGCCCACATGAGCCCTGTTCACCATCACCCCACTGGTCTACCTTCAACTCCTCCCTTAATGGAAAACCGGTGGCCATAAGGCAAGCTGCTGCTGTTTGTCACGAGGACGAATTAGGCGCGCAAAACTACGATGAGATCAAAAATATATGGCCAGAAACTGAATATGAATGGCGTGCAGCAGAACCCGGTTGCTGCTCGGGATTGGCTGAGCTTCAAAGGACTAGATCCTAAATACTTTATACAGCCATCGCCGTATAGTGATTTGTTACATACCTAGCCGACGATTATAGCCAAATATAGTATTACCAATTTAGCTCAAAGTAACTTGTAAGAAGGCGCTGATATTCTGCGTTGGAACGGGTCAGGAACCCGTTGGCTGTCACATGGTCGGGCGCGACCCGCTTATCCTTATCGGGGTTAGACTCTCCCCTGAAGTCTGAAGTGTACAAACGAACAAACACACCGCGTGGATCCAGCGACTGGGACTTCTCAAGCTTTCTTTCTGACTCTTCTGTTCTTATCTCTACTTAATATCCTCCTTCCCTCCCTTTCTTCCACGACACGCGGTTAGGATCTCTCGCCGTCTCCCGTGCCGCTGGACGCGACCTCGTGTCAACATTTATCCTTCGTCCGTCGCGGTCCCCGATCTCGATATCTGATGCCCATATTCCGGTCTATCGCAACAGAATTGAAATAAGCCATGGAAGTCGCCTCCACCGGGGCGCCAAATGGCGTGTCGACGCCTGAAACGGCATCCGTGGTGGATTCAGGCGCGGTGATCCAGTACCTGACTGAAGTGCTCCGGGTGACACTGGGGGCTTCAGAGTCCGAGTTGGAAAGCGCTGGGAGCTTGCTCTCATCGGCCAGGTATAATGACACCGTGCAGCGATGCACAAGATTCGCGTCGGAACCACAAGTCGCTCTCTACGTGCAAAAGGATATTGTGGCAGCCGAGGAAACAAATGGCGAGAGCGAGGGCTCTGGTGAGTCTGGACAGCAACGCTTGTATGACGACCGTGTCAGTTCTGGTGTTAACGATGCGTCAAAAGAATCTGTACAGTATGTTTATACGCTATCCTCCGAAATCTCCTCCGCCTCTACCACTGTCTCCTCCGTCGCTTTCATCAAACGCCCCGCCCCTATCGACCCGACTCTCTCTGTCGCCGAGCAAGTCCAGGTGATGAACTTACCCGGTCTCGCATCTCTCAACAATTCGCAAGCACAGCAGGGAAACTCCCTTTCTCCTTACCAGATCATTCACCTTTTACTCCACCATGGTCTTACCCCCTACTTCGAAGCCAATACCCGCAGCCAGGAAACAGCATTGGGTACGAAGCCAAGAACGGACACAGAGGCAAAGACTGGTGTACCAGGGACCAAAAAGAAGTTTGCTGAGCTGGAACTTGGGCTCTTGCACCTCCAACAAAATGTCGAGATCCCGGCACTGAATCTGCCTCTTCATGAAGTGGTACAGGCTGCTTTGAAAGAGGCGGAGATTAAGGGAATCAAGCCTTCTATCGAGTTGATTCCGGCAACCGTGTTGGATAACAGTGCGTTCACAAACAGCATCCAAAACACGGTGAATGGATGGATTCGATCGATTCAAACCATCACGAAGATGTCTCGGGATCCTGATGGCGAGTCGGCATCACCAGAGGTCAACTTTTGGTTGTCCATGGAGTCTGCCTTGGAGGGCATAGAGGCGCAGCTGCAAAGTGACGGTGTACGATTAACAATGGATATCCTCCGTCACGCGAAACGGTACCAGCCAACTCTTAGTTTCCAAGCAGACACTGGACTGAAGGACGCCACTGAATTGGTTCAGAAGTACAACCAGTTGATGCGGGATTTCCCGTTGGATGAGCTTCTGTCTGCCACATCACTTCAGAAGGTGCAGGAGTCGCTCGGCCTTATTTTCAACCACCTGAACAAGAAGCTGAAGATCTGCCCGTACCCAATAAAGCGTGCATTGTCTCTTGTTGAGGCTATTTCTGGTGACCTGGATAAGCAGATACATGATCTGATTAAAGGCCCGGAAGTTTTGCGCCTGGAGTACCGCGAGTTCCGATCTCTTATGAAGACGACCCAAGCAATTTGGCGCTCGTGGGATGAAAACTTGAAGGAGTTCACCAACGTTGCTCGAGAATCGACTCGTCGTCGAAACGAGAAATTCATCCCGATCAAAATCAACGCCAGGCATGACAAGACTAGGGAGCGGTTGAAGTACATTGATACATTCCGAGTCAACCACGAGCAGCTACAAAAGACGATTATTAATGTCCTCGGGCCGAAGTCTTCGTCATCTGAAGAGACTGGGGCCAGTGTTGACTCTGATGGTGCTGTGATCGTTGAGGAGATTGGGGATGTTGATGCTGTCGAGGAGGTCGCGCATGCCTATGCAGCCCTTCAAAACGTTGACGTCCTGGATGTCTCCCCCGAAGGATCTCGCACTTGGGAGCAAGCAGAGATTGGCTATAGCGAGCGTACTTCTCGTGTTGAGAACTCGATTATTGCCCGGCTTCGTGATCGACTCGCAACTGCTAAGAATGCGAACGAGATGTTCCGTGTATTCTCTAAATTCAATGCTCTCCTTGTCCGACCAAAGATTCGTGGTGCTATCAGCGAATACCAAAGCCAACTGCTCGAAAATGTCAAGCGTGATATTTCTGCTCTTCACGAGCGGTTCAAGTTGCAGTACGGTCATGCTGAGGCCCATGCTATGGCTCAGCTTCGTGATCTGCCGCCTGTTTCTGGCGCCATCATTTGGACCAGACAAATTGAACGTCAGCTGGATGGATACATGCGCAAGGTTGAGAATGTTCTTGGAGAAGATTGGGCATTGCATTCCGAGGGTCAGAAGTTGCAAATTGAGAGCAACCTATTCCGAAAGAAGCTAGACACTAGACCTGTTTTCGAGATGTGGCTTCGTGGTGTGCAGAGCCGCCACATTACAATTGCGGGCCGACTGTTCAACATTAATGTGAACCGCTCTGCTGGAAATATCTTCGAACTCAGTGTTAACTTCGATGCTCAAATCATCGCCCTTTTCAAGGAAGTTCGCAACCTTATTTGGTTGAACTTCCAAGTTCCTCATGCCGTCAGTAATATCTCCAAAGAGGCCAAGCGCGTGTACCCATACGCGATCAGCCTCATGGAGAGTGTCAGAACTCTCGCACAAACAATGCGCCAAATTGGCTCCATGCCTGATGTTGCTATTCTTCTCAATGGCTATGTGAATGACTCCCAGGCCATGATTGTCAAGGGCATTCCCCTACGATGGGAGTCCTTCGTCCATTCATATGAGCTCCATGTCAAGCAGTCCCTGGCTAACGGTGCCATTGACCCTTCAATGGCTACTCGAACCGAAAGCAAGCATGTCCAGTTTGTGAGGGAGTTCGCTGGTTCTGCTGCTGTTCTGCAATCGAAGACCGCTGATCTTCTCAATGCTGCCGAGCATATCTCAAAATTGATTCATGAGTTGAAGACCTGCCCATATGAAGCCCCAGCCTTTGTTGAGCGTATTAAGGCCATCCAAGGCACCGTGGATAGGCTCAACCTCCAAAATTATGTCAACCTTGGTTATTGGGTGTCGGAGTTAAACGGAAAAATTGAAGCTATTCTGCGCGAGCGACTTCTTCGTGCCGTTCGGGAGTGGATTGCTACTTTCCAAGGAACAGGTGCACAGTCAACTTTGCACCATGGCGCTGATGAGCCTCACTCAATTACCTATAGCATTAATTTCCCTGAATTGTTCCACGAGATCTCAATGAAGAATCAAGTTCTTCACCTTGATCCTCCTTTGCAGTTCGCTCGTGCAAGCTGGTTCTCCCACTTTGACAACTGGTTGGCCGTGATATGCAATCTCGAGAAGATCCAGGCATCGCGTTACGACCTTACTGTTGAGGTGCAGACCCTCCAGCAATCTGAAGTCCGTTTCACAGATCTTCCACAAACCTGCACTGAAGAACTCAACCAAGTGTACGGTGTAGTTGAGTCTAGACTCAAGGATGTCTCTGAATACGTAGATAAGTGGCTGCAATTCCAGTCCCTTTGGGATTTGCAATCGGAACAGGTTTATGATATCCTTGGTGATGACCTGTCAAAATGGCTTCAGCTGCTTCAGGAGATCAGGAAAAGCCGTGCTACCTTTGACACTTCTGAAGTCAGCCGTTCATTTGGCAACATCCGCATTGATTATGAACAGGTTCAGACCAAGGTCAATGCTAAGTACGACCAGTGGCAACATGAGATTCTCCAGCGATTCGGTGCCAAGCTGGGTGGCCGCATGAGAGAAGTCCACTCAGACATCGCCTCTGCGCGCCGCGACCTGGAGGGCCAAACTCTAGAGGCATCATCCACGGCTCATGCCGTGTCTTTCATCACAATTGTTCAGCAATGCAAGCGCAAGACTCGTGTTTGGGAGCCAGAAGTTGACATGTTCCGACAAGGTCAAACTACGCTTGCGCGCCAGCGTTACCAATTTCCCAATGATTGGCTTCATGTGGAAAATGTGGATGGAGAATGGACTGCCCTCAACGAATTGCTCGCTCGAAAGGGGAAGATTGTCCAAGATCAGACAGATGCTCTTCGTGCAAAGATCTCCGCCGAGGATCGTGTTATCAACGAGAAGATTTCTGAAGTTATTGCTGAATGGAATGAGGACAAACCTGTTTCTGGTACCATTCCTCCCGCGGAGGCCAACGCTACTCTGAGCTCCTTCCAATCACGCCTTGAGGCCCTACAGTCTGAATTCGAGATGGTCTCAAAGGCAAAGGAAGCCCTCGACCTGCCCGCGACTGCAGAATCTTCGTTGCCTGCCATCCTTGAGGAGGTTCAAGATTTCATGTCGGTCTGGGGAGCTTTGTCTAGTATCTGGGCAAAGCTGAACGAACTTCGCGAGGGCCTTTGGACCAGCATTCAGCCCCGAAAGCTTCGACAAAGCCTTGATGGTCTGATCAAGAGTACCAAGGAAATGCCTAGCCGTATGAGACAATATGCTGCATTCGAGCATATCCAGAATGTTCTTCGGGGTTACTTGAAGGTTAATTCTCTACTATCTGACATGAAGTCTGAGGCCGTTAAAGAACGTCACTGGCATAAGATCTTCAAAGCCCTGTGTGCTGATAAGCGCTTCAACCCTGCAACCCTTACACTTGGTGAGGTTTGGGATCTGAAGCTTACTTCCAGTGAGGTCATCATTCGCGATGTCATTTCCCAAGCCCAGGGCGAATTGGCGCTAGAGGAATTCCTGAGGACTGTACGTGAGGACTGGCAGAGCTACACTTTGGACTTGGTCAACTACCAGAACAAATGTCGCCTCATCCGAGGTTTCGATGACCTGTTCGCCAAGTGCAGTGACAATTTGAGCTCCCTGCAGGCAATGAAGCACTCCCCGTACTACAAGGAATTCGAGGATGAAGCGACGTCCTGGGAAGACAAGCTTAACCGTGTCCATGTTCTGTTCGACGTCTGGATCGATGTTCAACGCCAATGGGTCTACCTTGAAGGAGTGTTTACCGGTAATGCAGACATTAAGCATTTGCTGCCGCTTGAGTCTAGCCGCTTCCAGAACATCAATTCTGAGTTCTTCGCTGTCATGAAGAAGGTGTACAAGTCGCCCTATATCCTTGATGTCCTTGCTATCAACGGAGTTCAGAAGTCTCTGGAGCGATTGGCCGAGTTGCTCAACAAGATTCAAAAGGCTCTCGGTGAATACCTCGAGCGAGAACGCGTTTCGTTCCCTCGATTTTACTTCGTGGGAGATGAGGACTTGTTGGAGATCATCGGTAACAGCAACGACATCTTCCGTGTCGCCAAACACTTCAAGAAGATGTTTGCTGGATTGTCTGGGTTGGTCATGGACGATGATAACAGCAACATCATTGGATTCACTTCCAAGGAAGATGAGCACGTTCGCCTCAAGCGCGAAGTTAATTTGGTCAAGACTCCTAGAATCAACGACTGGCTCTCCGCGCTTGAGAACAACATGAAGTTGACACTAGCCGAACTTCTCTCAGAGGCTGTTGAACAATTCGAAAGCCTTTACAGTGCTGCGGAGGTCGACCGCACCGCTTTCAATGACTTCATTGCCAGCTATCCTGCTCAAGTTGTCGTTCTCGCTAGTCAAGTTGTGTGGACAACTGCTGTGCAGAAGTCACTAGAAGAAGGTGGAGCGAGTCTCTCAGCTTTGTTCGACGCAGAGGTTCGTATCCTGGAACTGCTCGCTGTTACTGTCTTGGGCGATCTGGACCCCATCACTCGCAAAAAGTGTGAACATATGATCACTGAATTTGTCCACCAACGTGACACTATTTCTAAGCTGATCCAGTTCAACGCCACCACTCCCACTCACTACTTGTGGCTTCTCCAGATGCGCTACGTCTACCAACCAGAGGGCGATTTCTTGCAGCGCCTGTATGTGCATATGGCCAATGCTAAGCTCAACTATGGATTTGAATATTTGGGTGTGCCTGAGCGTCTCGTTCGAACTCCTCTTACAGATCGCTGTTTTCTTACCCTCACCCAAGCCCTTTGCCAAAGGCTTGGTGGTTCACCTTACGGTCCTGCAGGTACCGGAAAAACCGAGTCCGTTAAGGCGCTGGGTCTTCAACTGGGTCGTTTTACTCTTGTGTTCTGTTGTGACGACACTTTCGATTTCCAGGCTATGGGTCGTATTTTCCTTGGTATTTGCCAAGTCGGTGCTTGGGGTTGTTTCGACGAATTCAATCGTCTGGAAGAACGCATTTTATCTGCCGTTTCTCAGCAGATCCAGAACATTCAAATTGGCCTACGAAAGAGCGAAGAGGATGACAAGTCTCAGATCGAGCTCGTCGGTAGACGCCTGGCTGTCAATTCCAACACTGGTATCTTCATTACCATGAATCCTGGATACGCTGGTCGATCAAACTTGCCCGACAATTTGAAGAAGCTCTTCCGCAGTGTTGCCATGTCTAAGCCCGACAAGGAGCTCATCGCAGAAGTGATGTTGTTTTCTCAGGGGTTCAAGCAAGCCAAGCCCCTCTCCAAGCAGACTGTGCCATTTTTCGACCACTGTTCCGCGAAGCTGAGCAAGCAAGCTCATTACGATTTCGGTCTTCGTGCCTTGAAAAGTGTCCTTGTCAGCTCTGGTGGATTGAAACGTGCTCGGGTCGCCAACTCTGATGGTGATCTGGGTCCAGATGAAGTGATTGAACCCCAGATTATCGTTCAGTCTCTTCGTGAGACCATTGCCCCCAAGCTTGTCCAAGAGGATGTGGAACGTATGATGGAGATCCAACTTGAGGATTTCCCTGGTGTTGATTACGTTCCTGCCAACTACCAAGATCTTACAGATGCTATCCGTAGCATTGCTCGCGAGCAGCACTATGTGGACAGCGACACCTGGGTCACTAAGGCCCTTCAATTGTACCAGATCCAGAACATTCATCATGGTGTCATGATGGTAGGACAATCAGGCTCCGGTAAATCGATTGCTTGGAAGATTCTGCTGCAAGCTCTGCAGCGTGTTGAGAACAAGGAGGGTGTCTCCCACATCATTGACTCTAAGGTCATGTCCAAGGAAGCTCTCTATGGTAACCTCGATAGCACTACACGTGAATGGACCGATGGTCTTTTCACTGGAATCTTACGAAAGATCGTCGACAATCTTCGTGGAGAGAACACTAAGCGTCACTGGATTATCTTCGATGGTGACGTCGATCCCGAATGGGTAGAGAACCTGAACAGTGTGCTGGACGACAACAAGCTCCTCACCTTGCCCAACGGTGAACGTCTTAACCTGCCTGACAATGTTCGTATCATGTTTGAAGTCGAGAGCTTGAAGTATGCCACTCTTGCCACTGTTAGTCGTTGTGGTATGGTATGGTTCAATGAAGATACCGTGACACCATCGATGATGATCAGCAACTATGTCGAGGGCCTCAAAACCAAAACCTTTGACGATCTCGATGATGATAGCGCCCCTGCTGGATCAGTTGCTCTCAAGACACAAGACACTCAGGAGACGCTGTCCACGATTCTGAGGCAACACCTGGAATCGGATGATTTGGTCCACAAGGCTCTTGCAGAGGCCAAAAAATACAATCACATCATGGAATTCACCGACAGCCGCGCTCTTAATACACTGTTCAGCTTGTTGAACAAGTCATGCCGCAACGTCTTGGAGTACAATGTTCAACATGTCGACTTCCCCCTGGATGCAGAGCAGATCGAAAATTACATTTCCAAGAAGCTCTTGCTCACCTTGGTTTGGTCTTTCACTGGTGACTGCCCCCTTGCCGACCGCAAGTCCTTCGGACAGTACCTTGCAGGCATGTCTACCACTGATCTTCCACCAGATGGCGATTCGTCACTTATCGACTTCGATGTCAGTCTTCCTAAGGCTGACTGGACAAGCTGGCAGTCAGAGGTGCCTACAATTGACATCAATACTCACTCAATCACGCAAACCGATGTTATCATTCCTACTGTCGACACCGTTAGACATGAGGATGTTCTCTACTCATGGCTCGCTGAGCACAAGCCATTGCTTCTTTGCGGTCCTCCGGGATCTGGCAAAACCATGACCCTGTTTGCTGCATTGCGGAAACTGCCCAACATGGAGGTGGTTGGCCTCAACTTCTCCAGCGCGACCACCCCGGATCTCTTGATTAAGACTTTCGAGCAATACTGCGAATACAAGAAGACTTTGAACGGCGTGGTTATGTCTCCCAACCAGATTGGTCGTTGGTTAGTGATTTTCTGTGATGAGATCAACTTGCCTGCTCCCGATCAATATGGTACCCAGCGAGCTATTTCCTTCCTGCGCCAGCTTGTGGAACAGAATGGTTTCTGGCGAACGACTGACAAGACTTGGGTCACCCTTGATCGTATCCAGTTTGTTGGTGCTTGTAACCCTCCTACTGACGCTGGTCGTACTGCAATGGCGGAGCGTTTCTTGCGCCACGCACCTCTGATTATGGTTGATTACCCTGGCGAGCTCTCCCTCAACCAGATTTATGGTACATTTAACTCAGCTGTGCTGAAGATTTTGCCTTTGCTTCGTGGATACTCTGAAGCACTCACCAAGGCGATGGTTCAATTCTATCTGGAATCTCAGAGTAGGTTTACCGCCAAGATTCAGCCTCATTACGTGTATTCTCCTCGTGAACTTACTCGCTGGGTTCGCGGTCTGTATGAGGCTATTAAGCCCCTCGAAACCTTGACGGTCGAGGGTTTGGTGCGTATCTGGGCCCACGAAGCTTTGCGTCTTTTCCAGGATCGTTTGGTCGCTGAAGACGAGCGAGCTTGGACTGCTGACGCGATTCGACGAATCGCATTGGAACACTTCCTACAATTGACGAGCAGGAGGCTCTCAAGGGTCCAATTCTCTTCTCAAACTGGCTCTCTAAGAACTACGTTCCCGTTGAACAAGAACGCCTGCGTGACTTTGTCAAGGCACGTCTCAAGACATTCTGTGAAGAGGAAGTTGATGTTCCTTTGGTCCTGTTTAATGATGTCCTTGAACATGCGTTGCGTATTGACCGGGTGTTCCGTCAACCCCAAGGCCATCTTATTCTCATTGGTGTGAGCGGAAGTGGTAAGACCACGCTGTCTCGCTTCGTGGCCTGGATGAACGGTCTGAAGGTCTTCCAAATCAAGGTCCATGGCAAATACTCTTCGGAGGACTTTGACGAAGACCTCCGAAGTGTCCTCCGCCGGGCCGGTTGCAAGGGTGAGAAGATTTGTTTCATCATGGATGAGGGTAACGTGCTTGATTCTGGATTCCTGGAACGCATGAACACACTGCTTGCCAATGCCGAGGTTCCTGGTCTGTTTGAAGGCGACGAATTCTCTTCTTTGATGACGGCTTGTAAGGAAGGTGCTCAGCGTCAGGGTTTGCTTCTTGATTCGCAAGAGGAGCTCTACAAATGGTTCACCCAACAGATCATCAAGAATTTGCACGTTGTGTTCACCATGAACCCCCCCTGAAGAGGGCTTGTCATCCAAGGCCGCCACTAGTCCTGCCCTTTTCAACCGTTGTGTATTGAACTGGATGGGTGACTGGTCCGACCAAGCCTTGTTCCAGGTCGGCTCTGAACTAACCCAATCTGTTGACCTGGACAAGCCCAACTTCGTCGCCCCCGACAGCATCCCGGTGGCTTATCGGGAACTGACATTGCCCGCCTCACACAGAGACACTGTCGTCAACTCAATGGTCTACATCCATCATTCGCTGCTCAGGTTCAACGAGCGTCTGCAGAAACAGCAAGGCCGGACTACCTACCTCACTCCGCGCCACTATCTTGACTTCGTTGCTCAGTATGTCAGGCTCTTCAATGAGAAGCGCGAAGATCTTGAAGAGCAGCAACGACACTTGAACGTTGGTCTGGAGAAATTGCGTGATACTGTCGACAAGGTTAGCGACCTCAGAGGTAGTCTTGCGCAGAAAAAGACCCAGTTGGAACAGAAGGATAAGGAAGCTAATGAGAAGCTTCAACGTATGGTTGCTGACCAGCAAGAGGCCGAACAACGAAAGACTGCATCTTTGGAGGTACAGGCGGCACTCGAGAAACAGGAGAAGGAGGTTGCCAGCCGAAAGGAGGTTGTGCTGCATGATTTGGCTCGCGCGGAACCTGCAGTTGCAGAGGCACAGAAGAGTGTCAGCAACATCAAGCGTCAACATCTTACCGAAGTCCGATCCATGGGTAACCCCCCTGCAAGTGTCCGGCTTGCCCTGGAAGCCGTATGCACTCTTTTGGGCCACAAGGTCGACAGCTGGAAGACCATTCAGGGTATTGTGCGGCGAGACGACTTCATTGCCAGTATTGTCAACTATGACAATGAACGGCAGATGACCCGCAACCATCGAACAAAGATGCAGAATGAGTTCTTGTCTAAGGAAGACTTCACCTATGAACGAGTGAGCCGTGCCAGTAAGGCATGTGGTCCTCTAGTTCAATGGGTTGAGGCTCAAGTGAACTACTCCGCGATCTTGGATCGTGTTGGTCCCCTCCGTGAAGAGGTGGATCAACTTGAGGACCAGGCCTTGCAAACCAAGGCTGAAGCCCAGGCCATCGAAAACACTATTCAGAGCTTGGAAACCAGTATAGCTACTTACAAGGCTGAATATGCTGCTCTTATCAGTGAAACTCAGGCTATCAAGGCGGAGATGTCTCGCGTTCAATTCAAAGTCGATCGGAGTGTGCGCTTGCTTGACAGCTTGGCATCTGAGCGTGAACGTTGGGAGGAAGGAAGCAAATCTTTCGAAACACAGATCGGCACACTGGTCGGCGATGTCCTCATCGCTGCCGCATTCCTCGCCTATGCTGGTCTGTACGACCAACAATTCCGTAAGGCTATGATTGATGATTGGGTTCACCAGCTTGGTCAGTCTGGTATCAACTTCAAACCGCACAACCCCATCACCGAGTACTTGTCCAATGCCGATGAGCGACTTACCTGGCAAGAGAACTCGCTTCCTGTGGATGATCTCTGCACCGAGAATGCTATCATCCTCAATCGTTTCAACAGATATCCTCTGATCGTTGATCCCTCTGGCCGTGTTACCGAATTCCTGCAGAAGGAAAGCAAGGAGCGCAAGCTTACAGTCACAAGTTTCCTCGACGATTCGTTCATCAAACAGCTTGAAAGTGCACTGCGTTTCGGAAATCCCATTCTCATTCAAGATGCCGAGCACCTAGACCCTATTCTCAACCACGTTCTCAACAAAGAGTATCAAAAGACAGGTGGCCGTGTGTTGATCCAACTGGGCAAGCAAGAAATCGATTTCTCTCCCTCGTTCCGATTGTTCTTGTCCACTCGAGACCCCTCTGCCTCATTTCCACCAGATGTTTGCAGTAGAACGACATTTGTCAACTTCACTGTCACTCAGAGCAGCTTGCAAACCCAATCTTTGAACGATGTTCTCAAGTTCGAGCGGCCAGATGTTGATGAGCGCCGTAATAACTTGGTCAAGATGCAAGGAGAATTCAAGGTCCATCTGCGTCAGCTCGAAAAGCGTCTGTTACAAGCGCTCAATGAGTCGCGAGGCAACATTCTCGACGACGATAACGTCATCGAAACACTAGAAACTTTGAAGAAGGAGGCTGCTGAAATTTCCAAGAAGATGTCCGAGACCGAGGGTGTCATGTCCGAGGTCGAGAACATCACTCTCCAGTACAGCATCATTGCACGAGCATGCAGTGCTGTATTCGCCGTTTTGGAACAACTTCACCATATCAACCATTTCTACCAATTCTCTCTTCAGTATTTCGTTGACATCTTCAACGCTGTCCTCTATCAGAACAAGCGTCTCCAGCAAGAGAAGGACCACTCTGCTCGAATTCAGATAATCATTCGTGACCTTTTTATCATCACCTATCAGCGCACTTCGCTGGGCTTGGTGCAGAAGGATCGGATTACATTGGCAATCCTTCTGGCCCAAGCTACACCGTTCCCAATGGATCGTGCCATTCTTGATCGCATCTTGGATGAATCAGTCGCAGACGCTGATCTCTCTACTACAGCAGATGGTCGCGAGCAAGTCATGAGCAAGCTCCTTAACATGTCAATCTTCAAGGATTACGTTCCGAATATCCCTCAAGATCAATGGGATTGTTTCTTCAACGAGGAGCTTGCTGAGAATGTCATTCCACCTGTTTGGGAAGGAAACACACCCCAGCTTGACCAGCTTCTCCGATCATTGCTTCTTGTCAAACTTTGCCGGATGGATCGGTTTGTGCCAACTGCTGAGCGTTTCATTGAGGCGGTATTCGGTCGCGAATTGTATGAAGGCAGCAGTGATCTGAAGGATGTGCTTGACCAGGTCACTGCAACAACTCCTATCGCTCTTAGCTCTAGCCCTGGGTTCGATGCCAGTTACAAGGTCGACGCTCTGGTTGAGCGGACTCACGCTAGCTGTGCTAACATCGCCATGGGTTCCAATGAAGGTCTCGAGAGTGCCGACAAGGCTATCAGCAATGCTGCTACAGCCGGTAATTGGGTTCTTGTCAAGAACGTTCACCTTGCTCCCTCTTGGCTGCAAAGTCTGGAAAAGAGACTGGAGTCTCTCAAGCCCCACAAAGAGTTCCGACTGTTCCTTTCCATGGAATCCAGCCCCAAGATTCCTGTCAACTTGATTCGTGCATCTCGTGTGTTGATGTACGAACAGCCCGCTGGTGTTCGTGCCAATATGAAGGACTCTCTTTCATCATTGACCAATCGAGCCACGAAGCCTCCGGTTGAGAAGGCCCGTGTCTATCTTCTGCTTTGCTTCCTGCACGCCGTGGTCCAGGAACGACTTCGTTATGCACCTAGTCTTGGATGGAAGGGATTTTGGGAATTCAACGACAGTGATGTAGGTGTCCCGTCTTGATCTAATTGGCTTAATACTAACTAAGCACTTAATAGTACGAATGTTCCGCTTTCATCATCGATCATTTCGTCGACTCTGTGGCCCAGGGCCGTTCCAACGTCGCCCCTCAGAAGATCCCTTGGGACATGATCCGCACTCTTATTTCCGAAATGTACGGCGGCAAGATCGATGATGCTGGTGACTTCAAACAGCTCGAAGGCCTTGTGAACAACTTCATTACCGCTGCCGCGTTCGAAGATGACTACAAACTGGTCTCTGGCGTTGAGAAGGAGGAGCTTCTCGTGCTACCCAGCAGCCCCAACATCCGTGACTTCATTGCCTGGGTTAACAACCTGCCTGAGCGTGAACCACCTACCTACCTGGGCTTGCCTGCTAATGCAGAGAAGTTATTGCTGGTCAGCCATGGTCGTAAGATGATCTCCGATCTTTCTAGGCTGACTACTCTCTTGGACGAGGGAGAGCAGCTCATGGTTGATATCTAGACAAAAGTGTCTATGTCATGTTTTCTTTTATTGTATCTAGCTTTTTTTGTTCTCAATTTTGTTTTCTGGGTTTGGAGTTGAGGTGGCTCACCTCTTAGATTGCGTACGGTTCATGGAGAATGGAACGATACCCGAGGCCGCTGGCGGAACCCTGCTTTGTTCTTTGCTTCAGTCATTCTAGATTTTCGTTTTGTATTTTACTTGAATCTCTTCTTTGTACAATTTCTCTTCGTTATGAACTATATCCCGGGTCGTGTTTCGACCCATTGTACAATTAGCACTTTACAAGTACGTTACTCGCATAATGATGCCTCCGACTACTTATGTCTCCGATAGCAAGGGCCGGGGTGCAGTTCTTCAAGTTGCCCTCATCCGGGCCCATATGTGCTAAAATCGAGTTCAAGACTCGCTAGTAGCTATCTGATTGGGCCATGCTGCCGTACTATAATAGTTCCAAAATTAACAATTTGCCTAATAGCTTCGAGCCCCATTTATCGCTGGTCTAGTATGAATGATCAGTCTGCAAAGATAAAAAAAAAAGAACACATCCATCAATAAGCATGAAATAATGGCTACTATTTCAAGCTCGCTAGATAGGCTAGAGTATCTACAGATCAGATTTGCGCGTGGTGTATCCACTGTCCCAAAATCCCGGCCACTCGCTCGGTAGAGAGTTGACTATGAACCTAAACAAAGCAGCATTAAGCTCCCGGGGCTTTTCAAAAGGCACCCAATGAGACGCATCGAGAGTGACCTCCGTCAAATCTGAGCAAGCCTCTCGCATAGGCTCTATCAGACGGGACGTTTTGGTATCGCATACAAGATCCCAGGTCGCATGGACGAAGAGTACGGGCTGCTTCAACCTTCTATCCTTCTTCCCATTGTATTCCGCATTTCGCTGATGATGCATGTAGTACGCACACCCGGTCCAGAACCCAGTCCGCTCCATGTCCTTGATGAACGAATCCCACACTTCAGCTGGAAGCATCGGAGGGCCGGTCATGTCGACGCTAGGAGGCTTCTCCCGTCCACCCAGCGGTCCCTCGCGGCGTACTTTAGCAGTATGCGCCGGAAGCGTACGATCTGGCCGCGCACCGGGCTTCTGCATCAAAGCATTGCAGTATCCCGCAATATCTTTGTTACACCATGCGACAGCCTCTTCGAATTCCTCTTCGTACCGCCTCATGTAATCCCATTGGCCGAATTCGTATTCATCCTCAGGATAGATGTCCCGGTTCACCAGTGGCAGAAACTGGTCCCAGCCGAGCTCGAGTGTCGAGTATGGAACGCAGATGCTCACGAGGGCTTTCACTGTTTCGGGATGTTGAATTGCCACGGAGGACGTCACCCCAGAGCCCCAGTCATGTCCGACCCAGACAGCTGCTTTGCGGCCAGTATCGGCCAGGAGAGCCATCATTCCCTCCACGAGCGCTTCCTGGCAGTAATCGTCCAGCAAGCGCCGGGAGGTGGACTGCCCGTAGCCGGGCATGTCGGGGGCAACGGCTCTGAAGCCTACCGCAGCGAATGCATCGAGCTGGTGTCTCCAGGTGATGGCAGTAGCAGGCCAGCCATGGATGAACAGGACTAGAGGGCCGTTGACTGGACCAGCTGCTAAGTAGTGGATTTTCTTGCCGCCAGCATAGGTAACTTCGTGTTCTGTGTAGGTGGCCATAGTAAGGAATTTGCGTTTACAGTCTTAGAGGTAGAATAGAGATAGTATAGAGATAGTATAGAGATAGTATAGAGATAGTATAGAGATAGTGTGGCGTTGGTCTTATGTATAATGGTTCATGGTATTTTAAATAGAGCCGGGCTTGCCTGTTTGCGCGAGGGTCTCATATATGGAGTCCATGGCGGGGGATCCGTCAGAAGTAGATCGGACCCCAAATGCCTGAAAGGGGTTATTCTCGGAGCCCTCCGGGGTTATTTCCCCTTTCTCCTTTTCCCAATCTTGTGAGATCCAGCTTGCGGTTTGAATGAATTTCTTTTCTTTTCTTTCCTACCTTTTTTCCAAAAAGAGCGCTTACATATTTCCATATAAAGAGCATGGCGTGGTTTGAGCAGCGTAAACCGAGAGGGTTGGCTGTTGTGGCACTTCAATAATAGAGCAACTACAAATGAAACCCAAAGGTGATATGGGTAATAGCATTAAGTATCCAGTGTGTACAGTCTGGTGGGATCCTGATACGCATAAGCCTTCCCAGAACGGCAGCATTTAGCACTAAATGTAAAATGTGTCATCAAACGCCATCAAATCCGACAGAGCGGGCGACTAATATCCTATATACGTGAGTGGTCCTCGCTCTGATCTCACGAGATGAAAGTCGACTCAGAGAACATGAAGCCCTCCTCTGAGACTTCCTTGTCGCCGATCTTGAGGTTCAATGAGAGCTTGTCCTTGGGCGAGAACTACAGATCACCAGTGTCAGCGTGTGTGCGCTTTATATGAGCAGATGATACATACCTGGAAGATGTAAGGTCGGGCACCAGCAACACTGCCGGCAATGGCCTTGATGAAGCCAGGGACCTCGCCCATGACATCGATACGGTCTAAGCGGGTTCCGAGGGGGCCGTCTACAATAGCAGAGACTTCCTCGCCGGCGGCGGTCTTGCCAGTCCACTCCCACTTGATGGAAGTGGGCTGAGGCCAGTCGCTTGTAGCATCAGGCTCCGAGGCGGTGTGAGTGACGGCGTTCGTTGTTCCGGCGTAGATGATCTCATCGTCCTTGAGGATAGCGCCGACGTTGACCTTGGTCGAGCCGTAAGAGGGTGGGGTGGTGTACTCCATCATAATGGCGGAGTAGGTCGGGGTTTGGAAGTTGATAAAGTTCCAACGGGAAGCTATGTTTACGTTAGAATCAGGATGGGTTTCAAATGTGCTATGGATATGGTCTCCACGCTTTGTATCATAAGTCTCTTCGGGGACGGGGTGGGCATACCAGCGTGATGGGGCTTCATGCCCTGTAGGGCGGGGATAAAGACTCCGCGACCCGCCAGGTCATAAGTCTTGTCCTTGGTGGTGATGCTGCCCTCAACGGCGCAGCGAGCCCAGAAAGCATGGCTCATAGAGCCCCAGGGGTTGGCGGGGTCAGTTCCAAAGTAGGAGGTGCCGTCCTTGCCGACCACGAAGCCCGGGGCCTTGCGGGTGAACTTCAGATCGACAAGGCAGCCTGGGTTGACTGTGGACTTGAGATGGTACGAATCGCCCTCCTCGTTCAGGGTAAGAGTCAGGTTATCGGCGCCGAAGGAAAGCATGTGCTCGTCAAACATGAAGTTGCTGAGACCATCGGTGAACCAAATTTGTTCCCCATCGCTGCCGTTCTTGTTGAAGATCTTGGTGTTGAAGTGAGCTGTCGTGTGGATGCCCCTAATCCAGCAGGTCGGTTAGCAAAGTAGTCTTCGTTCAGGATGGGCGTTGATGCGGCGGGGATGGTAGCTGGAGAGACGGCGGGGTAGACTCACGCAATGTTGCTGTAGATGATCTGAACGAAGACCAAGTCCCCGTTGTCAGACATGATATAGAAGGTCTGCGTCTCGACATTGGTATATTGATAGGCCTTCCATTTCAAGTGGTCCTTGGTCATGACCGTATAGGGTGTCTCGGCCGTCTGCTGAGCGACGGACTGGATTGCCTCGGGCCCATAGATGGGTTCCTGCGTGCCCACTGCGGCAGATAGGCTGTGGCATGATGAGGATCAGTTTAACCGCGACAGGAGAAAAGAGATAACATACGTTGACTTAATCCAGTTCATGATGTGCACCGGAGAACAATTGGATTGAATTTCCCGGCTTGAAATGATTGAAGAGAAAAAAGGGAGGTGGAAAGGGAAGGGGATCGCCGCGCGGGGCTCGAGAAGTTAGTTCGGATGCAAATGGGAGTCCGGGTGCGGTGATGAGCAGAGAGACTGTATCCACCACCAGAGTAATAAGAGATGGTTGAAAATATTGTTCGAATGAATCAGGATCCACAGCTGGGTCGATGTTGATTTATCTTTGATCTGAAATAAGAAGAACGATGACGTCTGGTGATTCCAGTGCTTCCAGCAGCTCACTTGACCGCCGACCAATCAGCGGTCGCACCTAAGGCGCCAGAAAATCTCCCGTCTTCAAGCCAAACACTGCGGCTTCACGCTTCTCAACTCCATCACATCTCACCATGGCTAAGAACGTATTGGCCAAAGACCAGTTTGTCAAGCTGATTGTCGGAGCGGGGCAGGCTAGTCCTAGTCCCCCTGTTGGTCCTGCCCTCGGTTCTAAAGGTGTCAAGAGCATGGATTTCTGCAAAGTGAGTTGGTTCGCCCTGGGCCTCCCAGGGTTCTAGTGGCTGGCACTTCTTTACTCGCATGAGCTTACACATGCACAGGAGTTCAATGCCCGTACCGCTCATATGAACACCGGTGTCCCTATCCCAGCGCGAGTCACCGTTCGTCCCGACCGCTCCTTCACCTTCGACTTGCGCACCCCAACTACCACCTATTTGCTTCTCAACGCCGCCAACGTCGAGCCCCGAAAAAACCGCCTGCGCGGCGCTATGAATCCAGGCCATGATGTTTGTGGGGAGATCTCTTTAAAGCATGTCTATGAGATCGCGCGGATCAAGCATACCGAGACCCGACTTTCTGGACTGAGTCTGCAAGGATTATGCAAAAGTGTCATCTCGCAGGCTAAGTCCATTGGTATCAAGGTGGTCCCGTGATAGCCGTCTGCGAATAAACACGCATGGAGAAGTCAATTCGCCGAAAGGCGCCCTGCAGTCCGGTGACACAATTGTAGGGGGGGGGGGGTCTGTGTCATGCCGATTCTCGGGGCGGAAAAGGCTGGAATGCCATAGCGATGACCTTGAAGCGGTTTAAGGCCGCTATTTTAATTGTGCTATAGTTTGTATTTGGGGCGTTATCTTGCGGGGCGATTCCTGGGGAGGAATCCTCTCCTACTGTACTATACCTGATCTTTTCAAGCATACTTAAGAGCATTATGCACAATTTTGATTTGAAGAACTCCTGGGAAGACAAGATTACGATGTCAACTGACAAGCGCTCGAAGCACAAAGCTCCACGCGGGCCTAGTTGTGCCTGGGCCAGTAGTGTATAACAGTGTGTCACCATGGACGGCATTAAACCCCCGGAATAATGGTTCTTGCACGGGAATCGCGCAATCTTGAAAGATACTAGTAGGCGAGGGATTTCCGGATGGACTCTTAGGGGCCAAATATTTTCTACTTTTTGAGACGCCAGCAATGGTTTGGTATACCAGGAGCGGGAAGTTGCCAATGGCCCCAAGACTTGGCGGGCATGGCGGACATGCGTGTAGGCGGTTATCAGTGATCTCTTAATGTATGGGATCGTGGATGTGACAAGATAGGTCGATGTGGCCGAGGCCAATCAGCGAGGGCAGGTTCATGCAGGGCGTCGACTAGGCCTCATGCGGTAAAATTCCAGATCATCGGGAAGACAACAGGTGCAGCGGGCTGAGGCCCGGCAAGTCGGCACGTTGTGATACCGTCACTGCGCTGCGACTGCAAAAATGTTCGTCTCTGGTCAAAAAGGCCGTAGCCGTAAGGCGTGGGTGGTGACTACGACACACACTTGAACGCTCCGCGACCTTCCGAAAATTGCCATGTGTTGGGCTCGGTTCAAAGCTGACAATCCTCAAGATTCTTCACAAAACCGGAAGGAACCGGCGATCTCAGAGAAAGCAACCCGTAAGACAGAGTCCGAAGTACTCTGTACGAGCACTGACAGTAATTACTTATAGGAACAGCGGAGAGAGGGTAACTTGAACTATACCGGGTCAACGCCCGCAGTAACAAAGGTGACGGGTTTCCACCCCCACCCGGTTTTTCTGATTTTGCCTCAGGCCCAGACCCCAAATCTTCTCTTCCTCCACTTCCCCTCTTGCCTTTTCACACCCCATCTGGATTCTGTGAAAGCTCCTGAAGCACTCTTCGTCGCTGCCATAGGGCCCTCTCTCGTCCCGTTGCGTAGTGGCTGCGTACGGATTCGGCACTAGCCTCTCCCGGTAAAGGAACCAGATTTGCCTCCACGTAAAGGGAACTACCGTTTGGCCTTTCACCCCACTGAGTCAAAAGTCTTAACGATCGCCAATCTCCAGAAAACACTCAGGGCCGAAGTGTTCCCTTCCGCGAAGCAACTGCCAACCTCCCGCGAGCCTCACGTTCCCCGTGAGGGGTATGCGTCCCGCCGACCCATTTCGGCGCCGTTGAAGAGTTATGACGTCTGTAACGGCCGAATCGGCACGTCCAGCCAATATGGACTCTGGTATGTCTTGCTTGTCATGAGCAACGTGATCGATCATGCAGTTGGTTTCTAGGCACTGACGCATGCTCGTATTCCAGACTCGCAGGAAATGCAGAACCCCGCCAAGGTCCCGGCCCAAGCGGGAGCCGGTGACCCCGACGCCAAGTCAAGATCGCAGCCTGGGCAGGTCCGCTTCTCGTCCGTCACGCAGGAGATTGAGCCTGCTTTGACTTCGCCGGCCTCCGACCAGCCTTCCAAGGACGCCCTCAAATTGACTACCAATGACGAAGAATTGAAGTCGCTGGCGATGAGCTTGCAGAAATCCCAGCTCCAGGAGTCAAGACTGCATAACTTCTCATACGAACCAATGTCGCTCCCGTCATCCAGGGTGAGTTCGCTATGTCTACTACGCGACTTACCCAATGCTTCTCTCCCTGTGTCGGCTTAGTGGAGCTGCTCTTCATCTTTTCTACGTGAACAACAGACTCGAAAGACCATGGCAGGAGCATTCACATCGTCACTTCTCATCTATCCGCAATCTCGTCTGATCAAGAGAGAAGGAGCACTTGACGCTAACAATCTATACCTAACAGGTCGCATCCCGAGAATCTAGCGATCGGAGCCACCGTGAGGGTATCAACTCACTTATGTCCTCTCCTCACGCTTCCCCTCCCATCTCCGCCGTACAGTCGCCTCCCCTGACGCCCGCGGTGACCAATTCCCGCGATGGCCGAGCTGCTGAAAGCACTGCGGCTTTGAACGCTCCTGCTCGTGCGAATCCACAAGCGATCACTCCGGAAACATCACCTCATGTTTCCTCCGGCGAGAAGACAGACGCCCAGCAAAGCACCCACCAGAGTGCCCCACCCTCGAGAGCTTCTACCGATATCATTTCCAACCGAGCTACGGCTTCATCCGATGTTTCTTCTTCATCTAATATACCCCACCACCGAGCTCAATTCTTCCTTGGTACAGAAGGAACTACTTCCCACGAAGAGAGCCCTCCGCCGACCCCAAGAGATTCGCATACGCCCCCAGGAGCTATCACCCCGGTAGGCGAGCCAAATGACCCGTACGCTCGAAGTAAGCGGGTCCCACAAAGCAAAAATCTAGGACAGCTAGATGCGAGATTCATCTTCGGAAGCCGAGATTCGTCGAAGCGATCGTTTCGTCCAGGAACCCCTCGTTCTGCTAGTGCCAGCGATGTCACCAAATCCGGCGACAAAAGGAGTATTTTTAGCAACAACAGGAAGGAAGATGAGTCAAAAAAAGCGCATGCTCATGGCCATAACCATCATGGACACAACCATCATGGATCTATGTCGGAACTCAAGCGATTCTTCAAGATGGGACATAAACACAAACGCCCTGAATCTCCCACGTCTGCACCCAAACGATCAAGCAAGTCGTCTGGTAAATCAACCCCATACCAAATGGCATCTGATAGCGTGCCATTTGCAGACGACCACGGTTTAGGATCTAAGTACGGGAAAACGGGCAGAGTGTCGGGTTCAGGGGCAGGCGGCTCCGCTCCGTCTGTTGAAGCGCAACAGCGACGGCGTTACCTTCGCAGTGAAGCAATTTCGGGATCGTCACAGCTGGGAAAGTCTGAAAGAGTACTCTCAAGAAAGTCACGGCCGAGTTCTGTATTGGTTCGACTTTGCACCACGGAAACATCATCGAAACCCTCGACATTATTCAGGAAGGAAATCATTGGTACGAAGTCATGGAATACGCACCCTTTGACCTCTTTGCCATTGTCATGACCGGGAAAATGACGAAGGAGGAAATTGCTTGCTCGTTCAATCAAATCCTAAGCGGCGTTGCGTACCTGCATGGAATGGGCCTAGCGCATCGGGATCTCAAACTGGATAATGTCGTGGTCAACAGCCATGGCATTATGAAGTTGATTGATTTTGGCAGCGCAGTTGTCTTCCGCTATCCTTTTGAAAATGATATTGTTCCAGCGTCAGGTACGTAGGAGTAACCTGCAGCGGTCTTGGACAAGACTAACGTGGATTATCACAGGAATCGTGGGGTCAGATCCTTATTTAGCGCCAGAAGTCTACGATGAGAAGAAGTATGACCCTCGTCCGACAGATGTATGGTCGCTGGCGATCATATTCTGCTGTATGACTCTCCGTCGCTTTCCTTGGAAGCAACCGCGCGTTAGCGATAATTCCTACCGACTATTTGTTTCACCTCCAACTCCCGGCACTCCGGTCCCCGATGGCGATACTAGACGGCCTCGCCCGAAGTCGACTCCCGATCTACCTTCCTCTGCCCACGAACAACGACAAGCACAATATCATTCAGATGTGTCGCAGCCTGCATCGCCTACCAAGTTGTCGGCTCCAGCGCCCCAGGCACCCAATGGCGCCAAGCCAGAACAAAACGCCGAGTCAACTGCCGAATCCAGCCAGAATGGACCCGGCGAGCCTGCTCAAAAACAAACCAGCCAGTCCAGTACAAGCACAGCGGCCAACAACACCGCCGGTGAGAAGCCTGCTCGCACAACAAGTAAAGAAGCACCTCCCCTTCCGCCAGGCTCTCAGCAGGCGAGTCAACGCCAAGAAGTCATCAAGGGCCCATGGCGGCTTCTCCGAATCTTACCGCGGGAAAGCCGCTATATCATTGGCCGTATGCTGAAGGTTGATCCGAAGGAGCGCGCTACCCTCGACGAAGTTCTCGCAGACGACTGGGTGCGCAACATTCCGACTTGCCAGCAAGAGGTGAATGGTGAAGTGAGGCCAGCCAAGAACCACACCCATGTTCTTGAGCCTCCTTCGCACAGTCCCGCAGTTGCCAGCAAAGGAGCCAAAGGCAAATAAGTGCTTTTCCTGTATTAAAATTTCTTCTGTGCATAGTACGTCCCAACCAAGTCTTACATCCCCACATGCTCCTTGTCCAACTTCCCTCCTTGCCGTTTTCTCCCGTTTCGCCTTCGGCCTTCCTCCAAAGAAAGACAGACCGGCCGCCTCGCCCCACTGCAAAGCCCATTGAGCTCAAGTCCTGCTTGTTATTCCTTGCGTTCAACTTCCTGAAGCCAATTTTTCATTGTTCAGTCGTGTATTCAACACTCTTATCATCCATCCGTAATGGTGACCGACGGCATTCATCGATGAAGGCATTTCTGGCAATCTGACGGAGTCGAACTCTGTTGGTAGAAATTGCTGATGCACGATTTCCCGGCACCTTAACTATTCTGTTTGAACTGCAAGCTTGAATGAGGATTTCTTCTTTCTCTCTTTTTCCGTTTTCCGGAGCATTCCTTTTCGTTGTCTTTCTCCCGGGCGAGCTGGCAAGTGCTTTTCTATGCACATGCTCCAGAGTTCAGTAGACCTGGAGCAGTAGATACTTTCAATAAAAGGATATAGTTTTTTTTTTTTTTTTTTTCTTTTTACTTTTTTTTTCCCCCTGAAAATAGCTTGAATAGCGTGAATGATTCAAGTACTTCGTGGCCAACAAAAACTAGTGGAGCTTTTCCCGCGGTCCCGATAGGGGCGATACCGGACGGGCTGACTGCGGAGCTTTCTTCTACCTCCGGTTCTCTTTGCCAGCTCAATCGGTCCTCTGTTTAACCAATTAGCCCTCCGATCCACCCTTCAGCATCTACAATGCTCTTGTGTTAGATTTGCGGTATCTCCGTTCGATCTGCGTAGTCTGCACAGGCTGCACAGCATGGCCCAGCAGCCTGACGGGCAGGAGCTAGTCTCCTCCCTCTGGACAAGATCCCTTCTTGTATGGATCTCTACCTGCGCCCTCCCAATCCTCTGAATCATACTCATTTCGATATATTTAGTCCGGCGCTGTCGCAGGTCTAACCGTAGACTGCTCTCTCTACCCACTCGACACAATCAAGACTCGTCTCCAAAAAGCACGCGATCCTAACGCACCCCAAGCACCCCGCCTCTCCCTCCGCCAAACAGTTCGTGGCATATACGCCGGCCTCCCATCTGTCCTCTTCGGCTCTGCTCCCTCAGCCGCCTCCTTCTTCATAGTCTACGATGGCGTCAAGCGCGCTCTCCTTCCTCAACAGCCCTCATCTCCGTCTGACCTCCCCTCCCGAAGTCACATCATTCTCACCCACTCCGTGGCCTCTTCTCTTGGTGAAATCGCCGCCTGCGCAGTCCGCGTCCCAACAGAAGTCGTCAAGCAGCGCGCCCAAGCCGGCCTTTTCGGCGGCTCGACATTGCTCGCGCTGAAAGATATCCTAGCCCTGCGACATGCCCAGCCCGCCTCCGCGGAACTCGGCGCTGCAAGCTCTGCGCCGGTGAAGCGCGGGTATGGACAGGTCTTCCGGGAACTGTACCGTGGTGCGGGTATCACGATTGCCCGCGAGATCCCGTTCACCGTTCTCCAGTTCACGATGTGGGAGTCCATGAAGGAGGCTTACAGTAAGCGCTACCTTCGGCAAGGTCCTGGGGCCGTACCGGGGTCTGCAGAGACACAGATTCCTGTTTCGACGAGTGCCTTCTTTGGTAGCATTGCGGGTGCGATTTCTGCAGGGTTGACTACGCCGCTGGATGTTATCAAGACTCGGGTTATGCTGGCGCGGAGAGGAGATGGAGGCGCTGATGCGCCAGTGAGGGTGAGAGAGATCGTGAGGGGTATTGCGGCGGAGGGGTATGGTGCTTTCTGGCGTGGGATTCAGCCTCGAGTGGCTTGGATTGGTATTGGTGGGGCGGTCTTTTTGGGTAGTTACCAGTGGGCCTGGAATACTTTGGAAGGCAGGAAAGCGAGGCAGGACTCGGAGTGATCCAGAGTTTTTCGATGCTCCAAGCATAGTGAATTGTACCATATTGTCGTAGAGTACGTATAGACTGGATCATAGAACCTTCATATCAAATGTTCATCATACCCGAGAGTGTACTCTTGCCCAGCATTTTGGAGCTAATGCATGTTGACAAGAGCCATCACCCACGCCGGGTTGAAACGCATCAACTCAAGCAGCCTTCAGCTTCAAGAACTCTTGGGCGTTTTTGAAAGCAACCATTTCCAACTCGTGGACCGTCAGCTTTCCAATTTTCTGCAACGTTTCGCGAAATTATTTGCCAGTCACGTTCTTCTGGAAGGGATAATCGACGCTATGCATGATCCTTTCAATCTTCGTGATCTGGAGCACCATCATCAGAGTTTCGACGCTAATTATGCTGCTTGTGATGACCCGGATGTTTCATTCCAGACATCCATAATCCCTTTCGATCTCTCCGCTGCCATGGCAAAGATAGACCGAAGCCTTTGTTGGCGTAATGTGTGCCATCCGCTAGATAGTTATGTACCAGAGCGCCTACAAAATTCAACTCAGTGACACAGCGCTTGAGCTCTTGTGCTGCTTCTTGAGGACATGCCATTGGGAGGGCAGCAAAGCCAGCGAGACAATGAGGGCTCTTAGCAAGTGCCGCTGTCATTTCATTGTTCGCCGCAGTGCAGCGCGTGGGATCTGTAAGGCATATGCCTGGAAGGTGGGAGACGAATTGGAGAGATAGAGTATCTGCATTGAGTTCTGTCATTAGCTTAGTAGAGCAGTTGCATCTTTTTCTCGAGCTTTTCGGGGAACTTTCGCCGTCTCCTAGACCATGAACAATAGTCCAGATAATGGAAGGTCCAACTGACGGCAAATTTGAAGCTAGTACCGAGTTCAGCCCGGTTTAACTCCGTGAAAGTCTTTGTAGGACTACGTACCTGACAACATTGACCTGCTAAAGTACAATTGTGCTGATAGAGGGACACTTATCAAGGACTTGGAAGTGGAGATCTAGTAAAATCGCCCATACAGCCTTAGCATAGATTGTACCCTCGAAGAGAAATGATTGGACGTTGTTCACCTTTATCTATTGGGTGGACGTCTTCCCTCCAGCGCATCAGAGATAATTAAATGCATGTTTACTTATTTGGGCTACTTTAGCGAGCTTGCTCTCATTGGTAGACCAGGAACTCGGCTGCATAACCGTCGCCGTGGTGGCTGCATGGCCTGGCGTTCAGCAAATGATCCTGTCTCTTGATTCACTGGGCGTCAGATTGCAAATAATGAGAGTTGGGATACCTGACTGGCATCTGGGAAGTCTGTGGGGTTAAAGTGCTATCTTATTCCCTCATGGATATCCAGAGCATCGTGAGTAATGGGGGAAGTGCAAGGATCACGACGGAGACCAAGCAAGTCAGGTACGGACCAAGACCGAACTGCCGCGCTTTGGCGTCGTGAGCCGATGCCCCTGGCAGCCTCCAACTTCCCCTCACTTCTCCTCCGATCATCAACCCCTCCGCTTCTTGGGTCTTTTTCATATCGTTGCTCTTTCATGTTGGCGATGATCGTCGTTCAGTGACGTCGCCCTCGCCCCCACAAAGGCCGTTGTCAGTGATCGGCCTGCTCAAGACTGATAAGCTCCGCATTGCCTCCGCAATTTGCCATCTGCCACATCGCTCCAAACTGCATGTATGGCACCGAAACTCAGCCACCAGAGGGTCACATATGGTCGGTTACTAGGTTGAACTCGGTCTCTGCTCTTCTTTCCATATTGACGGTCTTCATTAGTGCTCCCTCTGCCTGATGCCCCAGGCGGGCACCGGCTGGGCGTCAATGGTCTGACCGTGGACCGTCAGAACTCCATTCTGTAAGCCGCTCTCCGCTCAGCTGCGAAAAGAGGGAAGGATTGAGGAGACAAATTATTGCAGAAGATTTCAGCTATTATAATCCTCTATCATGCTGGCGGCAAAGCTTCTAATACGTTTGCGTCCCTAGTTATTCCGCTGGCCGTGATGGTGTTATCTGCTCGTGGGACCTTGACTTCCCCGCCTCTTCTCTCCCTGCCACGAACCCCTTCTCAAGTGCGAATCGAAAACCCGGCCCCTCTCGCTTTAAGACTCAGGTCCAAGCACATAGCCACTGGATCAATGACATCGTTTTGACCCAAAGCAATTCCGCACTGGTCTCCGCGTCCTCCGACACCACCGTTCGTCTCTGGCGCCCACATTCAGAGTCTACTGAAGTTCCGGAGCGCATTGGAAAACATACAGACTATGTCAAGGCGTTAGCTACTCCCGGAGATCATGCTACCTGGGTTGCGTCAGGTGGCCTTGACCACAAACTCTCCTTATGGGATTTGGAGGGGTACGGTGAAATCTTGGGGATTGACGCATGTGCAGACGATTCGACTGAAAAGGGATCCATCTATGCCTTGGGTGCTGTCTCTTCTGTGCTTGCCAGTGGTGGCCCGGAAAAGGTGGTTCGGGTATGGGATCCCCGGTCGGGGAAGCTGGTGACCAAGTTCGTGGGCCACACTGATAACGTTCGGGACATTCTCATCAATGAAGCAGGAGATACAATTATGACAGCCTCGTCCGATCAGACTATCAAGATTTGGTCTCTCACTGCAGGCCGATGCATGAACACACTTACCATGCACAATGACAGCGTATGGTCGCTTCATTCCGACCACCCAGATCTCTCTGTGTTCTATTCTAGCGACCGCTCAGGGTTGGTCGCGAAGACCGACCTTCGACGCTCATCCGATGTCGAGCAAGGACTATGTGTTGCAGCATTACAAGAGCATGAGGGTGTTGTGAAAGTCGTTGCTTCTGATGACTTTATCTGGACCGCTACTCCCAAATCAAGCATCAACCGCTGGAAGAACGTTGACACTACCCTTGACATTGAACTCCCGCCTGACCTTTCCCGAACAGTCGATGCGCCCGAGGATACACCACCTGGATCTCCTCAAAAACCCGCGAAAATCCCTTGGAATGCAGTTTTGCAGCTGTCGGCAACTTCTTCGTTATTGAGCGGAGGCACTGCATCGGGTGTCGCATCTCCGGAACCAGATCTAGAGAATGATATTGGGCTGACTATCCCGCTTCAATCATTACCAGACGAGTCTATTGAAGGACAGCATGGCTTGATCAAATGCTTGATGCTAAACGATCGGAGACGAACGCTCACACAAGATTCTGCAGGAGAAGTCGTTCTCTGGGACCTGATTAAGGTAAGCAGACATGGGCATATGGATTCTGAGTCAAAGAAAAAAAAGAGAATTATTCACATATGATGTAGTGCATTCCTATCCAACAATTTGGGAAACGACACCTGGATGATGTAGCCGACGAATTGAACACAGTACAGAGTATCTCACATTGGTGCACCATTGATGTCCGGACGGGCCGTCTTTCTGTCATATTAGAACCCAACCGATGCTTTGATGCTGAAGCCTATGCGGACGAAATGGACTTTCCGAAGGATGTCCTCTCTCAGTTCCGAGATGACCAGCGAAGTAAGTCTCATCTCAATTTCCCATCGCTCAAGCCAAGGAGTCCTTGTCTATATCCATTCTAATAATCGACACAGTCAACCTTGGTAAATGGGTCCTTCGTTGGCTCTTTGCGCCTATGGTAGATGAGCAAATTCGACGAGACAACGAGTTTCGTGAAGCGGCTGTGGCGAAAGCGGAAGACGAGCTGGCACGGGTTGATCCTACGACAATATCCACTCCAGGTGATGATATTCCTCGAAGCCGGGGTATTCCCATATCTCATGATTCTTCAATGGCAACTCTCCGCCCACGATGGACTTCGCAGGAAGTCCAAGCACTATTGGATTTGGGATCCATGCCGGTACACCTGCTTCAGCGAGCTATCTGAGCACTTCCATGCAGAGTAGCGTCTCGCCATTCCCACCTTTTGAGGCAGAAACTCCCGATATTCCCACTTCCGCTCATCACGATGGGCCCCCATCATCATTCTCGGATAGATATGGCGATTACTTCTCTTCCAGACAGGCACAAGAGTCCGATAAGCTACCTATGTCTCCATCGGATGCGAACTCAACCTCGGGGAACCCAACATCTCCAGGGCTTGAGCCCCAGGAACGAAGAAGAGGTGGTTCGCTGTTTGGCAAAAAGTTCAGGATGGAGTTCCCCAAAAAGCTGGGCCGTACTTCCATAGATCAAAAGCCACAGATCCAGGAGAAAACGGAAGAGTCAGAAGAGATGTCTTCTGTCAAGGAAGAGAAGGTTTACGAGCCCAACATCAGAGGCGTGGTTGCTCGGATTCACCATGAATACGATGAGTTCTTGTCGGCGAATCCTGGCCGTGAATTGGTGACTGCCATCACTCCTAGCACTATCAGTGAAACACCGCGAGTCGATATCCCAGCTCGGACCAGTGTTTTCATTCAAGAAGAAACCGGCGACACCGCTGTGGCTGCTGATCTCTATCGGGGCAACGTCGGTCGCATTGGCCAGGAGATCGATTTATTAGAGAAAGCAATCCCTCACTGGCTTGGCGAGCTGCTTCTGAAGGTAAGCAATACTCCTCCAAGATATTTCGTTGGAGATGTTGTGTCCTAACTCTGTTGCAAGAACCAAATCCCCATGAAAGAACAAGTTAAGATTGCTTTCATTCTCAAGCCATTCGATGACTCGTTGCCACCAATTGCAAAGCCGGAAGTGTAAGTGTCCTCCCAGCTCCAATAGCGCTACGAATTAACAATTTCTTCCTCTTCAGCGCCTCTGCCACCAGTGGTCCAGCAAACACGACGAACAATAATTCTCGTCTGAATGCCAACCGGATGCTTCGCGCTAAGAAGGTGCTTGCCTATGTGGCTGAACGAATTGATCCTCCCCGACCTGAGGACCCTGAAGGTAGTGCAATGCCACCGGAGGAGTATCTTGAATTGTATTGCCAGAAGATTGTAAGTGCCCAGTTCGTTTTGTCTCTATCCAGCCCACTAACCCACGTATAGCAATGTCCACCTAACATGACACTGGCCACAATTCGCAACCATCTTTGGCGTACCTCTGGGGATATGATCCTGTACTATAAAACCAATGGCAAAAAAGAGATCCACCCCCCACCATCTCTCATGTCGACACCAGGTCTCGCCATCCCTTTGAGTGAGAATGGTGCCACAAATGGTTTCAACCTTGCGACCGGTAGCGCACCGCCGGGCAGTATCCACTCTGTCACCAACTCTGGCTCAGTGGCTGGCTCTGCTATCACTTAAGGTCAAGATTCTCTCGCCGCAATTTTCTCTTCTGTTATTATGATCTCTTTGTGCTAGCTATGCTTCATCTGTGACATATTTACTTTTCTTTGGGGCTGCTAGGGATCAGTACGGCGGCCACTTTTGTTTCTGTTCACTCACGGAGGCATAGAGACGGTAGGTCTGGCGCTGCTCTCTGAAGCCCCTTCCTACTCATGTATGTGTTACCCATCACGATTTACCCACTTGGCGAAGTTGGTACAGAGAAAACTCGCTGCGGGTCCTCGAAATCCACCGCAAGGTTTGGACTTCTATCCATGGAAAAGTATTGTCGATGTTAGCTTGTAATGTTATGTAGCCTTTCGTACAAAGAACCACACCATGGCAACAGTGCCGCTTGCCGAGCTCTAGAGTAATATAGACGTCCCGCTGGCTCAGATGAGAATGGTCCCGTCGCCGACGGTGTGCAACAGCTCGAAAAGGAAGTAAGATGGGCGAGTTCAGGCCTCGATACTCCAACTACTCCAAGGACATTTCGCCCCATGAGAGAACAATATAACACTGACCGGGGAGGGCCAATTCAGCCACTGGGCCGTAGAGTAATATCTCATTGGGCATTCTAGCGCAGGATCTGACCCGCACAAAATGAGGCTGTAAAGGGGGGCTTATGGCGTGCGGATTTCCGGCGTTCGAGGATTCCCGGAGTGCCAATATGAGGCACGTCTGACCCCCCTCAGCTTTGTGTTCAACCAGTTCCCTCACCATGCCAGACGGAATCCCCTCACCTCTGAAGCCCGAAAACTATCCCTATCAACTGGGCTCCTTCGGACGACCTATCTCCACCAAAAGCCCTGAAGCTCAGATTTGGTTCAACCGCGGTTTGACATGGACATATACGTTCAACCATGAACAAGCCATCTACTGCTTTGAACAAGCGATTGCCCACGACGCAACTTGTGCTATCGCCTACTGGGGCATAGCATATGCTAGTGGCCCCAACTTCAATCGGCCGTGGGGCGCATTTGGGCCAGAACTACCAAGTGTCATAAAGCGTACCTAAGAAACCTCTCGGAAGGCACAAAGTCTCGCGGTCCATGCGAGCCCTGTAGAAAAGGCTCTTATTGCCGCCATTGCAGCTCGCTATGATAGCGATGAGGTTGCTGACCTGAAGCAATATGCGCTCCAAGATGTCACTTACGCTGATGCCATGGAGCTCGTGTATGATGAATTTGAAGATGACTTGGATGTGGCCGTTGTCTATGCCGATGCGGCCATGAATCTCTCTCCCTGGAAGCTCTGGGACCTAGTTTCTGGGAAACCAAATCCGGGCACGCGGACTCTAGCAGCAAAAGCAGCTCTCGAAAAGGCTCTTGGCCAGAAAGGCGCTTACCAGCACCCCGGTCTGCTGCATATCTACATCCATATGGTGGAGATGTCACCCAATCCAGAGCAGGGTCTGGTAGCATCCGATCACCTACGCAATTTAGTCCCTGATGCTGGACATGTCCTGCACATGCCATCTCACCTCGATGTCTTGGTGGGCGATTATCGAGCAGCCATCATCGCCAATCAGCGGGCCGTCGTTGCCGATAACAAGGCTGTTGCCTTGACCGGTGCAGCTAACTTCTACGCAGTCTATCGCTTGCATAACTATCATACGCTCATCTATGCTGCGATGTTCGCGGGTCAAAAGCAAACCGCGCTCGGTGCTGTTGATGGAATGGAAAGGAGCTTGCCGCGAGAGCTGCTTCTTACACTGGCAGATTATCTGGAGGTAATCTTATCTGTGCGATCTCATGTGATGGTGCGATTCGGCATGTGGAATGAAATTATTGCTCTCCCTGTTCCCGATGACCCTGTGCTTTACAGTGTTACCACTGCAACCATCCATTACGCCAAGGGTGTTGCGTACGCGGCGATGGGCAATGTTCCTGACGCTGAGCGACAGCGGGAGCTATATACCGAGGCAGCGAAGAGGGTGCCAGAGACCCGACTCAACTACCCCAACAAATGCGTCGATATTCTAGGCATCGCGAGTGCTATGTTAGACGGCGAAATTGAGTACCGTCGAGGCAACTACACAAAGGCATTCGAGCACTTGTCACGCGCCGTCGAGCTTGACGATAGATTGGGTTACGGTGAACCATGGAGCTGGATGCAGCCTGCTCGCCATGCACATGCTGCATTATTGCTGGAGCAAGGGCACGTTGAGGATGCCGCGGCGGTGTATCGCAGTGATCTGGGGCTCGATGACTCGGTTATTCGCGCGCGCCGGCACTATAACAATGTTTGGGCGCTGCAAGGGTATCACGAGTGTCTGACTCGGCTAGGTCGGACCGAAGAAGCCAATATGATTCAGCCACAGCTGCAGATTGCTTTGGCTGTTGCTGATGTTCCTGTGAAATCATCGTGTTTTTGTCGACTGGACACGTCTGAGGCACCGAGAATGAAAAACGCTTGTTCGTCAGGAGGCTGTCATTGAATTCGATGTTGGACAAGTAGGGACGAGACCTTGGATAAAACATCTTCACTAACATGTAGGAGAATTATGATTTGAATGGACTATGATGACGAGTACTAGGAAGATTGTAGATGTGTTGTTCTTTCTTTATCCAGCTTGAAGCGGATATAACGAACCGACCAGCGAGCCAAGCACTAGCCGGACCTGAATTGCTCCAACAGAGTATTTTTCTTTGCTAGCTTGGCATGGACATGGTATGGCTTCCTGGTAATGGCAAGACTCATTTTAAGCCAGACGGATTCTGCGACCTTATTGCCTGACCTGCTCAAATGGCTTCTCTTCTCTTGTATTTTATGGGTTTCACTTGGGCAGGTGAGCACTAGACTGGCTCCTTGTACACATTACATTGAGTATAGACATTCCTTCGCTATTTCAAAGCCCGAGTAATTTTAAACTCAGAAGGCCGCCAGATATGGATGTGATTCGTCGGCAGGAAGGACCCCAGCCCCGCACTCGGTGTTTGATGCGACCAAGCGCCGAATGTCACGTTGTGTGTCTTCTTGGTCCTCTTGCCTCTATTTTTCTACTTCAACTGGAAGAAGATACATGGCCTTAGAGAATTCGGTCATTGATCGTGTCAGCCGTACTGTCAGTGCCCAGGTAATACGCTAGAGACCCTTAGCATCTCCCATGCCTCGGACGGATAAAGCCCCCATCAAGGCTGCATGTCTTGCCTGGTAAGTATCGGTGACACCATGCTTCAAGTCACCAAAAAGCCGATTCTAACTGTATCTGAAAGCCGCTCTTCAAAAATCCGCTGTGATGGACAGAAGCCATGTGAACCAGTCGGTCTATCATCTGCATATCGTCTCGTTTGTCGCTAATTCCTGTATAGTGCTCAAATAGAGACCGAGAATGCAGCTATCAGCCCAGTCGCCGGGGTGGGCCTCGAAGGGGTGCTCGATATGCAGAGGTACTAAAACGCCGTTCTATGTCGAATAACCTACTGGCATCAGAAGACCAGCCAATGCAGCAGGATCCGTCGCCTGATTTGCCGGAAGATCTTGGTAAGCCTGAGACCCTTGTGTAGGGCCTGGATTCACCCTGACTGGAGTCAGACCCAGCTCTGGATAGTTTGATCAATCTACTGGCTCCGTATTCGGGCATCCACAGCCTCGATCTTTCCCCGGATGCACTGCCCAACACCGGTGGGGCCATACAGCTGTGGGGTCAGCTTACCCCAGATAATGACGGAACCTTTACTACGACGTCTGCCGATGAGGTTCAGCCGGCCATCATTCGAGCTTACCAATCTGAGAAAGACATGTATGAACCTACTCAACGATGTGACCTTGTGAGAGCCTCAGCACGCTGACATCCTACCAGCCTTAACGCTTACTACATCTTTATTCATCCATATTTCCCGCTGCTGCCCCCGCCATTGGAGCTTCAAACGAATGATGAACCAACTATTGTTCAAATATCCACGGATCCCGAGGATCCAAAACAGAGCGATCTTCCATACTGGCCCGCAACTCCCCTCAGCCTTGCCCTGTCTGCAATTCTAGTGCTTGTGCCGCCTAATCCGGATATTTTCCCGATCACCAATGCTGGTATAATTCTGCGACGATCCTGGGCACAAATGTTTGCTCAAGAAGCTTTATCCCATGTGGAAAGAGAATTGGATTTGTGTATCCCAGAATCCCTCTCCTCCATGATGGACGGGCAGGACCAGCTCCATTCAAAAGTCCCACGGCCGGTGAATTCTGTCTTAGCCCTGACCGCGCTGTCAATCTATGAGTACTGTCAAAGGGGGAATGCGTCTCGAATGCGAGCTCGGATCAATCAGGCCTACACTACAGCAGTAGATATGTCTCTCCATGATCTTGGGCCGAATTCATCGGAATTTTCAGAAGCAAAGAGACGCGCTTGGTGGATGATTGTGAGACTTGATCTACTGAGCGATTTCATTGGGAGCTTACTAATACTTTTCAGGTTTTCATGCAATATTTGTCGTCAAGTGTTTTCTCTGTTGTGAGTCATAAAATGTCTACTTCCGATGAAATCCTGGCCAATTGCTGATCACCTTCTAGCCGCCGATGGTCTTTGCCGATGATCCTCGCATAACAACCCCTTTTCCGAAATTCGGCGTGCAATTTGAGGTATGTTCGCTATGTTCAAGAGTAAATCTTCTGTATTGAAGAATTAACACGTTTCAAGCCCTGGGCGTATCTGATGAAAGCATTTGTCATTCTGTACGATTCAGGAAAGATGACGAAAAAGATTGAGCAAGTTACAACAGCAGAACCGTTTCCGAACTTCGGTAGCGAGATCAAAGAATTTGATTCCATCGTTGTAGCCTTAATGATGGAAGTCGACCATGCTTTACGAGAAGCATTCGATCACCTGGGTGAGAGTCCTATCGCGCATAATATATTGAGACTCAGCCGGATCCTCGTCTATACGTAAGTTGATTGAGGCAAAAACCTAGGATCTTCGCTGAACAGGCCCGCAGAGTTCGACTCAGAATACATCGTTTTCATGCCTTTATGGACGTGCCTCTCTTTCTCGATAAATATTGCGACTTGGCTTCAATCAACACTGACGGCTATCCTAGCGATGCCTCAAGTTCCTCGGCTTGGATAGCTCACCGCAAGGCGACTTTTCCGTTTACCGAGCAGGAATCGGCGAGGATTTGTCTGAAGGCCTCTCTAACAGTAGCAACGACGTACCGAAATCTACCTTATCCTCACCCTTGCGGTGCCGGCAGCTGTGACGCGGGATCCTTGAATCGGAAGGCCATGGATCGGCAACCCTGCTGTACATCTAGATTTCCACGGACGATACCTTGGTTCGTCTGTATAGCTATGCAGACGTCCTACGCTATTCTTATGCTCTTGCATCAAGTGAAGGCGTGTCTTGAGACCGGGCGCCTTGTCACATGCTACCATTTGATGGATAGGCCTGAGCCAGCTACTGAGATCGCGGATGCAGAGCGTCTGATAGAAGAACTCTGCCACGGAGTCGAGTACATTGGGTCGACATTCAAATCTGATTTGATCTTTGAAGGTGTTGGTAGCATGGGACGCGAGGTTGAGGCTGCCTATCTTGCGGCGTTTCCGGATCGACTGCAACTTGGCCCAATATAATAACGAGTCGTTATGACAATACGTCCTCAATAACATGGGTTTCTTGCTTCAGGCTCCATTCTGACGTACTTGGGGCTTCTATGTATGGACACCAGAATCCAGTTTCTTGAAAATGTGCTTGTTGATTGGTGTCAATGGCTCCTGGCCAGTCAACACACGCTGAACATTCTCCATCGAAAGCCGCTCAAATCAAATCTAAGTCTCAACAGCTCCGCCAGCAGTCTGAGCCGTGAGTCAACTTCGTCAACCAGTATGCCTTTTCTCCCTTTTTGGCAAATATACCTTGAAAAGGGGAATTACGTGACACTCTACATCTTGGCCGGCTCTAAATTGACATGAGGCTCGTTCTCATGTATGTCGAGGCCCGCAGCTGATAGATACCCCACTTCAACGCGTTTACTAGAGCCGATGCTTCCACGAGCATGCCACACGCAGTATTGACGAGTTTAAAGCCCTTCTTGAACCGTGCAAGGGTGTCCTAGTTATGAGCTTTGAGCCGCCAACTGAGGTTGCCAATACAATGCAGTCAGCTGTAGCTAGCTCGTCCAGCGGTCTACAATATGAGGCGCTGACTGCGTTCCTTGCTCCGCGGACTTGCGGAAGGGATCTTGGTAGTAGATCTTCATTCCGAAGCATGCGTACGCCTTGCGGGCGATGGTACTGGTTATGTTAGGAGCCAAATCAGCGGGTACGATCTGGGCGCTGAAACCAAGGGACGCCTGTTGTAAGAGATCGATCCCGTATCTTATTACACTAAGCCCATTATTGCGGGGACGAGGTGGGCTAAGAGGGGCAAGTCTGAGACTACTCACTTGGATCAGATGGTGAACAATATTCAGAGTGCCAAAATGGATACAAGCTACATCGAGAACGTTGAGTGACACACGCAATTACAGTATACTTTAAAAGAATCGATATTTTATCCAGTCAATAGCTTAAGCCAAAAGGCTGACGTAATAGGACCTTTTAACTATTTCAAGGTCGAGATGTTGATGATCGACTCTTTACTTTCTGGACTCCTTCGCGTCAAAGCATATCGAGTCGGAGAAACAGATTCGCCGGGATCCGTTTTATCAAACGCGACAAGCCATGCATCACCTCTGCGCTCTCCATGGCGACAAACCCAATTTCAACTGCCTTATTTCTGTCGCAGTTTCGCCGCGCATGGGTGCTGAAGCGTACCCTGGTTCCCTGGGACCGGGATACTTCCTCGCAGCTGCCAACTCGGATTGGTAAGATAGAGCTCGTGACAAGCTCGAGATAAACGATCCATACATTCCTGTAAGCCTGAATATTGCTAACCACGGCTTTAGGACTTGCCGTGAGCGGTGGGGCTGACTCCATGGCCATGGCTTTTCTCTCTCGGGAGATCGAGCGCACCGCGATGGCTGGTGAGATCTCAGTCACTGCTCTTGTGGTTGATCATAAAGCAAGAGAAGAAAGCAGTTTAGAGGCAAGAACCGTCGCCGGCTGGTTGGCTGATCTGGGTATACCACAAACGGGTACTTCAAATGAATGAATCTTGGTATTAACAGTTGCTAGGTATAAGTACCAAGTTGCTGGAGTTGGACTGGTCTTCATTTATGCAAAGCGCCGATGACCCTGTTGGAAAAGAAGCTCACCAATGGGCTCCAACCGCCTTTGAAACCCATGCTCGTCGGCTGCGGTATCAAGCTATTGGATCTGCTTGCCGTGATTTGGGGATTTCTACCCTCCTCCTGGGCCATCATCAAGATGACCTCGTAGAGACCACTCTTTGGCGCATGGCTAGAGGGGCCAGGTCTGCTGGCCTGCAAGGAATCAAAGAAATGGCCCGGATCCCAGAATGCCAAGGCTTATTTGGGATTTCTGAGAGTGGCTCGTCCGTCAAAGCCTACTTCAAGACCGACGACCTAAAAAACGTTGAGAGTGCCAGATCGGTCTTGATTGCGGATGGTGGGATATTCCTTTGTCGGCCTCTGCTAGCTTTCCCGAAACGCCATCTTCTCGACACTTGTCACATACACAATATCCCTTATGTCAATGATCCAACTAACTTTGATCCTACGCTGACCGCACGAAATGCAATTCGGCATATACGCGCCTCCCATTCTTTACCTCTTGCGCTCCAAGCGCCTCGCATCACCGCTTTATGCCATACCAATGGAGATTCGTCTAAAGAACTGCTGAGGCTCTCAAATGAATTTCTCGCCTCGAGGTGTCGTATCCTCGAGACCCACTGGGATACTGGGACCATGCAAATCCAGGTACTAGATGAAAAATCCTCCGAGGACAGCCTAGAAACTAAACTCTCGCCTGCACAATTATCGACAGTGCAGGCATTCTCCCTCCGGCGCATCGCAGAGCTAGTTGCTCCCCAGCCTGCAAATCACTATACTGTGAACAGCTACGTACCATTTGTCCATCAAGTATTTGGCTCCATGAATGAATCTGGAAGCGCAAAAAATGAAAAATCCTCATCTTTCACCTGTGGGGGGGTTCTTTTTAGTCGTGCAAAGCCGACTAGGGAAGAAAATATATGGACCCTAGGACGCCAACCTTTGATGAAGGGCAAGAATCCTACCTCTCATCTCAAAATACCCATTAGATCATCGCCAGACCTGTCATCGTCGAGGCCAATCCCAGATGATGCGCTGTCTTGGATACTCTGGGACCACAGGTTCTGGTTCCGAATACTCGCCAGAACTAGTACACAAGATCCTTCATCAGACAGAGTCGAATCTCACATTCCGATTGCTATACGCGCGTTCCAAGAATCAGATTATAGAAGACTTGGGAAATCAGATGCGCCCACACGAGGTCTTGTTCCGAAATTGAAAAGAGTGTTCAAAGAACAAGGCCCAACAAAAATCCGATACACAATCCCTGTTTTGGTTCGTGACATGGTTCCTGAAATTGATGACTCCGAAGACAAAGCTGGTCCCCTACTGGCCATGCCAACTACTGATTTTATCTTTGGCGGGACTCGCCTGGAAAAATCTAACGAGATGGAAATTACGCACCAGGGAAGGACGATAACCTTGGAGTGGGAATGGCAATACAAGATGATTGATTTCGAAGCAGCGCGCTTGATGCAGGGGCCTATCGAATGAGGCAGTTATTGTACATTGTACATAATGGAACCTAATCACACAATAGAATGTCCTTGAGGACTGAGTCTATGCATAACGCCCAAGTCACCGTCAGTGGTCGTGGGCTTGAGGGAAACGGAAAAAGGAGAGCAATGAGTACAGTTGAAGGTCTTTCAAGATTCCACGCTTGGGAAATGCAGGATGGATACAAAAGGAAATATCAGGGGTAAGAGGTGTCGGGGCAAGGGGAGGGAACGTGTTATGTGTAGCGGTGTCTGTCGATGCATTGAGAGGTGCAAGGTCAACGTTTTTGCATCATAATCAAGCGATCATTGGTCACTGGATTTCAAAAAAGCAACAGCAGCTTGCTGTGCCCGAAGCCCTCCAACTTCCCTCTTCAGTCGGAAGTTTTCTTTCTTGAGACGGCTGATCTCTTCCAAAGCGGTGCTCAGCTGTGACTTCATGGCTTCCTCTGAGCTCCCAGCTCGAGCATCTTTGGCGATGCTGCTGAGTTCGGAATTGAATCGATCATATAGTGCTTCATTTTCAGCACTTGCCTCGCGATAAAGTTCGTCAAGCTTCTTCACTCGCTTTTCGCTGAATACTAAGGATGATTCTAAGTCCCGCTCGAGTGCAGAGGTGCGCCCATTGTACTCTCCGACTAGTTGATCGAAACGCTCTTCGAGTCTCCGGAAGCGGCCTTCGAGGGCGCTTTCCTGGTTGAAGGCAGTATCATTTTGTGCACCCGGCTCCATGCTTCGCAGATTTGAGGGCGTAAGTCTCAGAGCACGCTGCAATTCGTCACCCAAAGCAGCAATTTCGTCTCGTACACCAAGTTGGCTTGTCGCTTGGTATCTTTTCTCAGTCTGGAGGCGGTCCCGGAGCTGTTTCAAGAGTGACATGTTAGCTATGTTCTGTATACTCTGAGGCTTTCCGATCAGCTTACCTTTTGTGGACTTTGCATTCGCGGCCGAGGGGTCCTCTGAGAAGATGATGAAGACTGTGGTCGTTGACCGTCCGTATTGACTGCTGATCTCTCTCGGAGCCCCCCTGTCTTTTGAGGAATGCTAGTTGCTCGGGATCGTCTTTTCGATTCCTGAGTTGGTGAATCTGGAATGTCATTCTGGGCTTTGCTCGGCCCCTCTGGCTGAGGCACTTTAGGGTCTATATTTTCTTTTCTACTAGGCGTAGAAGGACGAGGTGGAGGGGACATCCTTCGAATGGGGGAACCAAGACGGGAAGGGGACGCTGCTTTCGATGGGGATGTGCCTCTTGAAGGGGACATTGCGAAATAGCCGCTTCGAGGTCTCGACTGACTGGTTGGAGTCGGAATCTCACTGCGCGGCCGACTGACTGGCGTTACAGGTCGAAGTGGAGGGGCTGGAGAGAGCTGCGAGACCTCTGAGGAAGCAGTCTGGGGTCGCAGGTCTGACAAAGAGCTTCTTCTCTTTCGTCGAGGTCTAATCACACCATCCTGGCCGATGCCTTGAATGCCAGACAAGGTTGAGGGCTGCTGTCCATGACCGGTGCCGGGTCTAGATATTTGCTCTTCTGATGCGTAGCCGAAAGGTCGATCGCGCGACGTGGGTCGAGTGATCCCTGAGACGGGCTTCCACATCAGTCGATTTAGAACGCAACAGGCTTCCTCGCGGAGTGTTCGGCTCTGGATCAGCCGGACTTTGTCTTTTGCTTAGTGTTCGCAGGATTGATGCAACTTTGCTTTCACTCTCCGTCTTCGAACTATCTTTGTTGGAACCAAAGCCGAAGCGCTTTCGGAATGAAGAGCTATTAGAGCTCACTGAACCACTGTTCGTGTGTGACGTCTTCGTCAAGTCACACGTCAATGTGCCCTCGACGGATGAGCCACTGGGTATGAACTCCTCGAAAAAGCTATCAAAATCATCCACGAGTCTGTCCAGTAGCGAGACGTGATGAACAGGATCGCCATCCTCCGTAAGAACTTCCGCAAACGCCATGGTCAGAGCACCGCGGTCTCCATCATTTCCAGAGGCATCAAGAAGTTCGGCGAGCAGCTTGATGACTGCAGCTAATGCTCTGCGATTCTGCGGGCTGAGTTCTGTCAAGAACTTCTTGAATTGATCCTCAAACTCACGAGGGGACATGGTATCAAATTGGCCTTGAAGTGTTCGCAATGTAGTGTTGTCCAACACTGAGCCCATGCTGCTTCTCCATGCATTCTTCATGAAAGTCTCAAAGGCAACAAACAATGTATCAACTGGAACCTCTGCAGCGGTTTGCAACTTACTTGGGTCTTCCAGCAAGATATTGTAAAGTTCATTGACTGGGGCGCGGTCGACGTTCTCTCTTGCTCGAAGCATCCGTCCAAGAATATTCCCGCTGCGAGACTGCAGTGAAAGAACATATGCTGCGAATGTTTGTTCCAGGAGTCCGAGCTGACTTTCCTGGCCCCGAGAAGCAGTGTTTCCGACCACGGAGATTTTGGTCGACTGTTCGATCTTTTCTTTTCCCCTTTCCTTCTCCTTGTCTTTGTCTTTTGTTGGAAACGAAGATGGCAATGTGTTAGACCTGGAGAGATTTCCTCTTGGAGGTGGCATTTTCGGAAAGTCGGCTAACAGGTTCCCTGACCCTGGTTGTTTGACTGTTGGGACATTCTCGCGGCTACCTCCCAAGAGATTTGATATTAATTTGCTTGGAGACGGTGGTCGAAAGCTGCGTGAAGTCTTGACATGCGTCATTAAATTGCTTGTTAGATATCGAAGGATCTCAAGATTCGAATGGATGAGTGGTGTCATCACTTTTGGGTTATGGGCACTGTGAAGAGGCGAAAGTAGGCCCTGGACTATTCAAAAACAAAAAAAAAGTTCATTAGTAAACAGTAAAGCAGTTAGGTTCAAATTGAGCTTACTTCGTCTGGAAAGCGTAGGTACGAAGGTATCGGGTCCAACCACATCAGTTGAAGGAGCACCAATCACAGAATCCACATCGATTCGAAATTGATCTCCAGCAGGCGCGGACACTGACACGACTACCTCTATGCTACTATTCTGCAGCATCTGTACAGATTTCGCCCTGGACGTCCCAAAAACAATTCGGATCGGTGAAGACTGAGGTTTGCCAAGAGCAGCACTCTGCCCATCTTCGCATACACAGGCCAGAATGTTGGTATTCCCGGCCGTTCCAGGAGGACTTCGTAAGGTCCATTTGCCCCCTTCGCGCTCTTTCTCATCGAACCGACCTTCAATCTTTGCTTTTGTGATCTCTTCAATAAGGCGGCTAGCTCGCCCCTCATACATCGAAGTAAGCTCCAAAGCAAGAAGGCTCGCATCGCCATCCGCAGGAGCGGGATGTTCTTTGAAGAAAGCTGGTAATAGAAAAAGTATCCGCCCACATGCCGACTGCATACATCGTACTTTATGAAGTTCGAAGACATGTGCCACTGTAAGTTCGGAGGCTGGGAGGGCCATTGATGTATCGTTGGTCGGCGATGCTGCATTCTCGATATCAGCAAGTACTCCACGTGCGCTGGCTCGGCTCTCAGTAGGCTTCCCGAGGAGTACAAGGCAGTTCTTGTAGAGAAGCAAGATGCCAGCACTTCCTAAGCCTGTTAGTGGCGACTGTGATTGATAAGGAGGTCCGATCTCATTGACATCGACTGCTGTAATCAAACGTCCCTCCGGAAACAAATCCGTGGGCCAATAATCCACAAGTTCTCTGAGACGTTGAAGGCTTTGGGCATGGCCGGATGGAGAAGAATTATCCAGCGCACAAATGTCCTTCACAATATCTCGAGCCCTCAACAAGGGGCGCACTGCAGGATGAACCAGTGGTAAGCTACCCGTCATAGTATCAATCAAAAGGCTGTACCGAGGGAGACGCTGGACTGGCTCCATCAGCAAAGACCGCAGTCGCTGTTCACCCGTCTCGTAGACTCGTTTCGAGAAACTTGAATTCCTGTCTTTCATGAACGAATTCAATGTTTGTGTGAACCCCGTATGTGCCCGCATGTAAGCGGCATAAGGTTTCGAGAATTGTGGGAGCCAATCAAGCAGTGCTCTAGCAAATGCAACAGCACCGAGTGCATCTTGATTCGTACGTGAAGCGCCCCGGTGCGAGCCAGGAGGTAATTCAGTGTCTTGACTAATGTCTTCGATTGCTTCTCTCTCTGTCTCATCGAGAACTCGCTGGATTACGTGTAGAAATCCGAGGTTGACTTCCAATATCTCGTTCAGGCAAGGAGGAAACAGAGCTTCTAACGCAGCCTCATCAGGGCTAGTGCTCGACGGGCCCTTGCCCTGGGCTTTTTGTCGAAACTCATCTGCAACTTCATGAACAAGAGAATAGATTTTAGCGACATACCGCTCCTCGGTATCGACAAGCTCACACATCGTCAGTCGAAGAGCCTCTTTCTGACTGCGATTGAACATCCTAGATTTGCTGACATTCGTTGGTTGTGACGGTGCGCGTTTCAGGCGTGATGTTGGCAGAAACATAGGTTCCCCCAGAGCTTGCACAAGAGGTGTATAGACCCCATACTGGATCTCTTGACCATCATCTAGCTCCGGCCCCGCACTCTCACGCCTTTGCGGCGGTTGTATCGTTCCTGAAGGCATAACAACATCGATATCTGTCCAAGGAACTTTGCGTTCTTGATAGGCCGTTCGAATATCGCGAATGATATCCGCAGACTCCTCGATCTTAGCCATTCGATTGGCCAGATCTGCAGCATGCGCTTCATCAAACAGCTTCGGCGCCCTCCCACCTTGACGCACCGGTTGCGAGGTGTCAGTCAGACGCCTCTTTAGAGGTTCTGATAATCCTGCAAAGTATTTCAACATGCTTACGGCCAGTGCACGACAAACCGCGTCGCCTTGTCTCTCTCGAGGGAGATGATTGACAGCCGCGTACAGCGGCGCAGCGGGAGAGATTGTGATTCGAGGATAACTTTCAAATCCTGCCGGTGTAAATATGTGCGCTTGTATGCGTGAGCTACTCACGGTTGCATTGGCAGTCGCAACCGGTCCGTAAAACACAAATATGGAGGACAGGTAAGGGTCGGTGGTGTGGTAAAGACTGAGATGCTCCAACGGCAGGTCAGGCAGCGCGCTGGCCGTTGGCGCAGAGAGTATGGCGGCCATACTTGCGGCTGCGCCTTCCCAAGGCGAATTCGCGATAACACTGTCAACAGTGGCCGCGTACGACTCGGTAGCAATAGAAGGAGCGACGGTGACGAAGTTGAGATCGAAGGCAAGTGCAGCGGCGCAGGAGTGGGGCGATCAACGAGTCAGACTTGCAGGCGTCAACAATCCATTGGGTAGGTTGTACTCGGGTTGGGTAGCGGTTTGGTAGCCCGAGGACCCCATGTAGTTAAAACGAGCAAGCGACAAGCGACAAAAGCAGAGTCCAAGGCAAGGTCGTTTGTTTTGGCGCGGGGAATAAGATAGAGGCGATAGGGCGATGGGCGATAACGGGGTCTTAGCGCCGCGGGCTGGTCTGTTTATGTTTGTCCGGCCAACGCGGTCAACACTCGTTGCTGTCCCCAACCTGCAAGCTTGGGCTGACAAGTCACATCGAGGCCTTTTTGGATCCTAGTGGAACATGGGATAGCTCCTTAGCCTCAGTCTACACCGCAAGACTACGAATTGTACATTGGGTCGTCTCATAGCAACTTTCCAGGTCAGGATGATTGTTTTTCGGTTACGTCTCACTGAGCACGAAACCCCAATTGAAGTCAGTTATAGTCTCTCTATGCTAATGTTGATAAAACCAGAATAGAACTATAAATTTCAATCTACGGGTGGCTGTCGGTGACCGGGCTTCATAAATATAAATTTTTGCTGGTTCAGACGCGGTTGTAAGGTCGGGCTCGGATGATATAAACGAAGCATTCAGAGGTGTGAGAAAGCATAAATCACCTCTTTACACACTTCCAACTCATTTGGCATGAAAAACCCAGGGACATTGTACAAATCTTGCTACTGACAGTATCTACAAGAAGTTTGATTATGATATGGCCCTAGTAGCATGTTAAGCATATGCTTGTAGACTGCTGAGAGGGACAGAATCCAATGGTGTTGTGGTTGGCAGATCTATGGAAAATACCGGAGGGCAAGCGATGACACCAATCAAAACCGTTTAATACCGGAGAATCCATTATGACCGGTATACAGCGGTATTCCGCCCCTGGCCAAGGCGGTGTGAGCAGGCGGGGAGACGCTAGCCCCGAACGGGAAAGCAGCAGCCCAGAGACCAGCTGTGCTGTTGTTGGCTGCTCATCGACACTTCGACAGAGAGCGCTTCTCCCGTTCGAGATGCTCGAACCCAATATGTCTGACTCTATTCCCATTGCCATAGATCCTGTGGCCTTGGTAACTACCGAATGTATCACCGTCACCTCGTCAATGCGGAAACATGCCCGCTGGGCTCACTCCTCCGTTTCCGCTATCCTTGGGGGAAATGCAGGCACTCGTGTGTATGACCGCGAGACGTCTGCCCCTCCTAGTCCGCGCAAGAGTGGGCAAGCTGGCCGGGATGATGATCATGCATTGGCCAACAGATGGGGTCTGCGTGGGAAGAAGGGCAAGAGTATGCAGGACAACCCGTTAATATCAGCTTTCACTCGGTTGCGGAGCGATCTCAAAGGTTGCAAGGACATTCGCACATTTGATACGCCGGCCCTCCTGCACCCGTTCTTGCAGGTCATTCGCTCTTCGTCAACCTCCGCCGCGATTACCTCCCTTGCCCTACTCGCCGTCACTAAGTTCTTTTCTTACAACATCATCAATCGACATTCGCCTCGACTTCCTATGGCTATGCAGCTGCTTTCGGCCGCAATTACACATTGTCGATTTGAAGCAAGCGATTCATCCGCAGACGAAATTGTGCTCCTCAGGATTCTGAAACTGATGGAGGGAATGCTTTCAAGGCCAGAAGGAGAGTTATTGGGAGACGAGAGTGTCTGCGAAATGATGGAAACGGGTTTGAGCATGTGCTGCCAAGGTCGCTTATCGGAAGTACTCCGGAGGTCTGCAGAGATGGCCATGGTCAACATGTGCCAGGTTATCTTCACGCGGCTTACACGCCTTGATCAAGACCCCACGCCAGGATCACCTCCATTTAACAACGATCACAACCAAAAAGAGACAGCAAACCTAAAGATGGATCCCTCGGTCAATGGAGACACCGTGACATCGCAACACAAATCTGCCATGAGCTCGGATACTGCGACGGCGACCCGTCACAGCGCTAGCAGAGAGGGTTCTCCCGAGCAAGGTGGTAATGAGACTGCGGCGGCAACGGCGCCTCCTGACCCGAACAATGAAAGCAAGGCTGAAGAGATTCGCCCATATTCATTGCCATCAATCAGGGAGCTGTTTCGGGTTCTGATTGATCTTCTAGATCCCCACAATCGCCAACATACTGATACTATGCGCGTAATGGCCTTACGAATCATTGATGTTGCGCTAGAGGTTGCAGGGCCTTCTATTGCTCGACACCCTAGTCTCGCTGCACTTGCTAAGGATGATCTGTGTCGCTATTTGTTCCAGCTCGTCCGCTCCGAGCAAATGACGATCCTCACAGGATCCCTCAGAGTTGCCGGCACATTGCTATCCACCTGCCGATCCGTGTTGAAGCTCCAGCAAGAGCTTTATCTGTCCTACTTGGTTGCTTGCCTACATCCTCGTGTGGAGATCCCAAGGGAACCCGGTATTGACCCATCATTGTATGAGGGGGTGCCCCAAAACCCATCCTTGGTTAAGCAGCCTGCCTCACAAGCAAACAGTGGAAGGTCAACCCCAGTGCCGGTCAAAGACCGACAAAAGCTGGGGCTGGAGGGCGGTTCTCGTAAACCAGAAGCTCGAGAGGCAATGGTTGAGAGCATTGGTGTGCTGTCGCGAATCCCGAGCTTTATGGTCGAGCTTTTTGTCAATTACGACTGTGAGATTGATCGTGCCGACTTGTGTGAGGACATGGTTGGCCTGCTTTCACGAAACGCATTCCCTGACTCGGCAACGTGGAGCACGACCAATGTCCCACCTCTATGTCTGGACTCCCTCCTTGGCTATGTGCAATTTATTTATGACCGACTTGATGATGAGCCGGTTCAAGGGGCTCATCCGTCTTTGGAGATCCTCCGCAAACAACGTCAAACCAAAAAAATAATCATTAAGGGAGCTTCAATGTTTAACGAGGATCCTAAAGCTGGAATTGCTTACCTGGCTGGCCATGGTATCATCGAAGATGCGAAGAATCCTGCTCAGGTAGCTCGCTTTCTCAAGGGAACAACCCGCTTGTCGAAGAAGGTACTTGGGGAGTATATCTCCAAGCGTAACAATGAAGAGTTACTGGGGGCGTTTGTTGATCTCCTCGACTTTTCGGGAAGAAATGTCGTTGAAGCACTCCGAGAACTCCTTAGCTCTTTCCGCTTGCCTGGTGAATCCCAGCTTATTGAAAGAATCGTCACGACGTTCGCGGAACACTATACAGAAAAGGCGAAGCCGGAGGGAATCGCAGATAAAGACGCGCTCTACATTCTGACTTACGCCATCATCATGCTTAATACTGAGCTATACAACCCGAATATGAAAGCTCAGGCCCGTATGTCATTCCCGGCCTTTGCTAGGAATCTGCGTGGTGTGAACGCTGGAGGCGACTTCGCAGAAGATTTTCTGCAAGAAATCTACGATTCTATCAAAGAAAATGAGATCATTCTTCCTGATGAGCACGAGAATAAACACGCATTCGATTATGCTTGGAAAGAAATGCTTTTGAAATCATCAGGAGCCGGTGATATGGCTGTGGGAGAGACAAGTCTTTTTGACGCTGAGATGTTCGAGGCTACTTGGAAGCCAGTGGTGGCAACGTTGTCCTATGTCTTCATGTCTGCGTCTGATGATGCGGTAAGTCTTACCATTCAAACTCGCAGTGAAAAAGTCCCTAAAACTTTCTGAAGGTGTTTTCGCGGGTTGTCAACGGCTTCGATCAATGTGCTCAAATCGCTGCTCGGTATCGTCTGACTGACGCATTTGACCGAATTGTTTCTTCCCTTGCTTCGATCAGTACTCTTGCTACAACCACTCCGCCAAGTACTGCACTTAACACCGAGGTCCAGGCAGGCCAGAAAAGTGTTATGGTGAGCGAATTGGCTGTGAAGTTCGGGAGAGATTTCCGAGCACAGTTAGCAACTGTCGTCTTGTTCAGAGTGCTCCTCGGCAACGAGGCTAGCCCTAGGAAGGGTTGGGAGCCAATTGTTCGCATCCTGAGCAACTTATTTACAAATTCCTTGCTCCCGCCATTCGACACTGAGTTGACGGCTGAACTTGAGATTTCTCCTATCCCTCTCCAGTCACCATCACAAGTTATCGACAGAGATGGCCGAAGTACCGACAATGGACTGCTCTCTGCATTCACTCAATATATCACAAGCTATGCGGCCGACGACCCTCCCGAGCCATCTGATGAAGAACTTGATAACACCCTGTGCACCGTCGACTGCGTGTCTGCTTGCTCAATTACTGAAATCTTGATGAATATCAAGTAAGTGCATACAGCCGCCATAGCCTGTCTTGTTCACAACGAACTACTAACAGTTGGCCAGATCTCTTCCGTTGGCTTCTTTGGAGAATGTTGTTTCGAGTTTACTTGCTCACTTGCCCGAAAACAACACCCCGGCTGTCATCGTCGTCAAGCCAGAGCGGCCAAGCCCTGTATCAAGACCTGCCGGGCCCAGGGCAGACCCCAACCAACCAAAATATGACCCATCGATGATCTTTGTCTTAGAATTGGCCACAGTCCTTACTCTTCGTGATGAGGGTACACTCGAGGTCCTTGGCGAAAGACTCGCGACCACGCTCCAAACTCTGATCCGCGATGCTAAAAACTTACACCCGCTCACTGTTTCTCGCATAGTCTCTTACCTCCTCAACCTGTTACGACTAAGCCATGTAAGTTCTGTTGATGGTTTTCTCCGGCCCATGTCTGACAGTGAACAGAACCAGCATTTCTTGCGAGTCCCTGTTGTTCTTCATACCATCTCCGGCTATGAGCAGGATGTTTTAGAAACAGTCGCTGTGCCTACAATCCAGGGGCTTTCGCGGTGCCTGGCGCACCCTGGTCGTTTGAGGAACGAAATCACGATCTCGCCTGACTTCTGGTCCATTCTCCAAAGACTTCATCAGCACCCAGAGGCAGCACCCATGGTGTTTGAACTTTTGCGAAACATTGTCGAGTCAATGTCTGATATTGTCACTGGTGACAACTACAAATCAGCGATCTCTCTGGCAAACGACTTCATCACGGCCGGCCATGTGGGATCTATTGACGAACGGCAGAGAGATGCCCAAGCTCGACGCACCAAGGGCGTCAAGCAACCTAAGCCTGCGTATGAACCTGCCTCCTCATCATTAATTTCGTTCATTAACTAACAGAATCACAGTGAAAACCAAGTGGTGACTCGCGGCATCAAAGCCATCGGATTAATATATCACCTCACTGGTCGGGTGCCCGCCCTTATCAAACAGTCCCATTTGGAGGAACGTGAAGGCAAGTCGTAACCTAATCATTCAGAAGCCACATCACTTCTAACATGTCTCGAATCAATAGCTTGGGCTGCCTATTGGTACCCGATCTTCCAGTCACTCTCTGGCCAGTGCGTGAACCCTTGTCGCGATATTCGACACCACGCCATCTCTACCCTGCAAAGGTCCCTATTATCTGCTGAGTTAATCTCAGATGACGACAAGGAATGGGTAACTTTGTTTGATGAGATCCTCTTCCCGCTTGTCCATCGCCTTCTCAAGCCAGAAGTGTATCACTCTGATCCCGTCGGTATGAGTGAAACTCGAGTGCAGGCAGCGACCTTGGTCTGCAAAATATTCTTGCGCTTCCTTGACCAGCTGCCTAACCGAGAAGGCATGCTTACTCTCTGGCTCCAAATCCTGGATATCTTGGATCGCATGATGAACAGCGGCCAAGGCGACAGTCTGGTAGGTTTCATTTCATCCCGCAATCAAGAAGTATATTATCTAACCACCCTTGCTTTCGTACAGGAAGAAGCAATTCCCGAAAGCTTGAAGAATATTCTTCTTGTCATGGCCGACGGTGGCTACCTCGTGCCGCCATCCCAGGATCCCAGCAAGGAGAAGATGTGGAACGAGACTCGCAAGCGTCTGGGTCGCTTCTTGCCGGATCTCTTCGCAGAGATCTTCCCGGATGCTGCAAACGAAGAGAACCCTTTGGTCGGGTCGACAGTTGCATCGCCAAGCCGGCAGAGCGTAGACGCCGCGGAGAAGAACGAGGAGATCGCTACTTCGCAGGATGTTGCCGACGGTAGCGCAACAGACCCCGAGAAAGCTGAAGTTGAGCCCGGAGCTGAGCTGGTCGCTTCATAAGATGACTGCTCTGGCTATTGTCTGAGCCTTGGCCATCTTGCATTTACATATAGGATAGAGTGGGGGTTGCAACCAGCCTTGAGCTTGTATTTCTGATATTTCCTTTCTTGCACCTCTTCTCACTCCAGTTTTCAATGTAGATAAAGTGTGATGTTAGTGACGAGCTTGCTTGTCATAATAAAAGGATTTCACTGTTCGAATAGAAAAGAGTAGCATAATATCTACTTTTGCGTTTACAACGTCGAGCCAATTGAAAGTGAATATAATATTCAAGTTTGGCATGTGCAATACAGCAGCCCGGGACGGGACTTTGAATAAGACAGAAGCTAGAGATAAATCGTACAGATGTAGAAACGCCTTGCGGAAAATCAGACACTCGAGCGGAACAGAGTCTGATCAGAAGATGGTTCATTCTGTCTGGGGCGGTATAGCCCAATGCCCAAGCAAAGAAAATGTCGAACCAGTCCGGAGAGATGCGCGGCAACAAAGGAGATCGAGATGGACTGCGTAGCAGATGGTACTTATGCGAAACAGAAGAGGAAAGATAAAGATACGAGACACATGTTGATAAAGCATATCATAAGAGTAAGAATCAAAGAGAAAAGAACGTTGAATGGAATACAGTCGAGTAGTCTCTTGCTTGGGGTCTTCCCTATAAGAGCGTCTACTCATCCATGTCGTCATCAAGGTCGATAGCATCTGGGTTGGCTGGAGCTGCCGGTGCTTCGCTACCGGGGGGAGGACGTGTTCCACCTTCGGGGCCAGTGCTAGCGGCGACGAAACCGATCGGAGCACGCGCTTCACGTTCAAGTGCGGCCATTGCATCAGCACGATCTGTCTCATCGCCTTCTTGGCCCTCGACGTTTTCGCTACGCTGCTGGCTACGGGCAATGGCCTGGGAAGCAATGAAGTTGACATCGGTGCTAGTAAGAAAGTTAGTAAGTTGCCCACGCAGTGTGATCGTAAGTTTGACATACTTGTATTGAGCCTGGACACTTCTTTTGATGCGTAGCATTTCCTTAAATGTGTCTTCATTTCCGTGTTGTACTTCAAACGACTCCCACTTTTGCCAGAAAGGCGCATTGGTGCGAGGATCGCAGAATTGGGATGCATGGCCGTAGATAGCACGGGCACGGTCGATCTCGCCTAGTCGTCGTTCCATTTCAGCAAACTTGAGACACATCTCCTTCGCTTCTTGATCCGGCAAGGCAGCGATCGCCCGTTCGTAGATGGGTCGAGTCGATGTAAGGCCAAAGTTTGAAGCAGACTTTGTAATGTAAAATTCGAACATCTCAAATCTGTACTCGTCGGAAAAAGAGCGAGTCGCACGCTCATAGATGCGCATTGCATGCCGGGCGAGGCCACGCTCCTCTTCCAGGTTTCCATACATTAAGTAGAGAGGCTTGGCGAATTTCGGCGGGCATCCATCCAATGCTTGTTCAAACAAGTCGCGAAGTCTTTCGATGCCGATCTTGCGATCGACGGCTTTGGTAAGGTACAGATTCCAAAGCTCGAAGGCGACGGGATAGGTGAAGAGGTCCAGGCCACGCTCGTAAATTTTGAACGAGTCCTCGTAATAATCGTTCTCTTCCAGAAGATTGGCATAATTTACGACGGTTTGAGGTGTCGCAATGCGCAATTCGAAGATGCGCTCATAGACCTTCCTAGTCTCCTCCAGAGAGGATACACTCTCAACAAGGTCGACATAGAAGCTCCAGAGCTTCCAGCTCTTGTGGATTCGCTGTTGGGGCGACAAGGTCTCATCGAAATAGTCGACTGTGGACTTCTTCGGTGCCTGGGTGGCCTTTGCCATGATTCCAACAGCTTTATCGAAGTTCTCAGCACGCAGTTCCATCTCTGCCCATTCGCACCATGTTTCAGCAAGCTCGGCGACTGATTTGAAAGGCACTTTCACGGCTTTGTCGAAAATCACCCGTGCGGTGTCCAAATCTCCACCGTTTTCGTAAAACTTGGCATAATTGACCCATAGCTCTGAGAATTTGCCATGCGCTTTCTTTGGATTGATAGCAGCAATAGCGGCTGTGTAGGTGTTGACGGCTTCCACCTTATTGTCACCCCACAATCCTACCCTCTTTTCCCATTCGATGACATTGTTAGGGTTCTGACGCAGCAGTACATCATTCACCAAGAAAGGTCGGCGATCCATTAATTGCTCAAAGCGAAGCATGCGAAGATCGAGGTCAAAGTCCGCTTCTTCGTCCACCTTGCCTTTCTCGGAACGCACAGCCGCGGACTCCATCAGACTGCCAATGATGGACTCCTCGAATTCAACATAGGCGTCGAAGATAAGAGTAAAATCACGGACAGTCATAACGGTAACGATTCCCTCTTCAAACACGTCTCTCGCCTTCTCAAAGTTTCCCTTCGTGATCCAGTAAGTTGCGAGACCAGCCCAGAGCTTTCCACGCTGGTCGGCAAACCGCTCAATTCCGCTTCGCAGGATAGCATCGACGTCAATCCCCGCCTGGGGACCAGTTTGGATCTTCTTGGCCTTTGACACAAGCAGATCAACCATTTCGGTCCACAGTTGGAAGTTGCTCTTGCCGTTTTTCGACTGGAACCGCGGGTTGTCGAGAATATCCATGTAGACTTTGACAGCGTCGGTATACTGTCCCATCTCCACCAGAACATCAATGTAGTCTTCAGCATTCTCAGGATGGATCTGCATGTAACGAGCCCAGATTTTCACAGCAGTTTGTCCAGAGGCCGATCGCGCGAAGCCCTTGTAAAGTCTCCAAATTCGGTTATGCTGCGTGATTGGAAGGGCTCGCAAGGCACGATCGAAGGTTCGTCGGGTCTGGGTAATGAGTGGCTGCTGCAATAGGAAAGCCAGATATAGCTCCCAGATGCGCGGCATTTTATTCAAAAGAATCAACGCCCGCTCGAAGAGGGCGTTGACTTTTAGGTACTCTGCGCGGTACACAGCAGGGTTGCGGCCCTTGAGGTGCCCTGTGCGAAATTCGAGATACTATCAAAGGGCTTCTATGTCAGCGGTTGATCACCTGTGGGTAGGAGTAGGGCTCACTAACCATCTTCCATAGCTTGTATGACCGGGGCAGTTGTCGGCAGGCACGCTCCATGACCTGAGGGCATCATGTCAGTAGGCTCACGGCGGGTGGTTTGAAGAGGTTCGTACAAAGGCTTGTTCATAGAGGGTCCCGCTCTGCTGTTTGAATTCGATGTAGGCAAGCCATGGCTTGATGCTGCTGCCGTCGCGCAGTAGCTCTTGTTCGTAGACTGTGTCCTGGTCGGTCTGCCCTAGGGTCAGTACATGCATGAGGGTCTGTGCGAAGATGCAGAGCTTACAATGAGGTAGAAGTCCGGCCGGGACGCAGATGGGCGAGCCATCTGAGCGTGCTGCCGGTGCGATCTCGGGGGCAAAAGCGTCCCTGGCATAGCGCCACTCGGTTTCGAGCGGGATCAAATCACTTCCGCTCAGAAATTCAGCATGAGAATGTGACACAGGTGGTAATCAGAGAGAGTCGAAAAAAGACCAAAGCAAACGTTGAAGTCGTCTTGCCGCTCTCCACGTGACCCCGCCGTATTGAGTGGGCGGTGGGGACGCTTTATCGGCGTCATATCAAGGTGGCCCGCGGCTGCAGCTCGTTTGTCTTTGATTTCTCTCGTCTAAGTTGCCATCATGTCGGGCGCTGTGGTATGTGCTCTTTATCTATGAGCAAACTGGGCTAGGCTAATCCATGATACCCAGGGCCGAGAGGCAGTCTTCCCGACTCGCCAGTCGCTAGGTTTGATGAAGTCCAAGCTCAAGGGAGCTGAGACCGGACACAGCTTGCTGAAGCGAAAGAGTGAAGCCTTGACAAAGTATCAATCCCTGTCCTTGTATTTGTCTTGCTGAGCTCCGCTTACTTCTGTGTGTCCAATTATAGGCGTTTCCGAGGTTCGTTGATTCACGGGTAGATACACCCCCCACTCGAATGGAGCTGATCGCGGCATCTAGAGATTACACGACGCATCGATGAGGCCAAACAAAAGATGGGACGTGTCATGCAGATTGCTGCGTTCTCGCTGGCTGAAGTGAGCTACGCAGTCGGTGGTGACATCGGGTATCAGATCCAGGAGTCTGCCAAACAGGCTCGCTTCCGAGTACGAGCCAAGCATGAGAACGTCTCTGGGGTGTTCTTGCCTCAATTCGAGAGCTACACCGAGGAAGGGGTCAATGATTTCGGCTTGACTGGCCTAGGTAAGGGAGGTCAGCAGATTCAACGTTGTCGAGAGACGTACGCGCGGGCCGTGGAGACCTTGGTCGAGCTGGCTAGTTTACAGGTACGGTTGCGATATCGAAGTGATGAGACATTACTGACTGTCCAGACTGCTTTCCTTATTTTGGATGAGGTGATCAAGGTCGTCAACCGGAGAGGTAAGATAGATATTCTACACTCCCGGACATTGTCAGTTGCTAATATATACGTCATGCAGTCAACGCCATGTAAGCTATCACGATACCGGCTTATCCGAAGTATCCTTTTCTAACAATACTAGCGAGCATGTCATTATTCCTCGAACTGAAAACACCATTAAATGTTCGTTTCTTCCTGGCTGTTCAAGGACTCAAACTAACCTGATACATAGACATTAACTCCGAGCTGGACGAGCTCGACAGAGAGGAATTCTACCGACTCAAGAAGGTTTCAGGCAAGAAACAGCGTGACACTGCTGCAGCAGATGCTGAGATTCTTGCAGCTCGGCAAGCACAGGCCGAGAAAGACGCAGCCTCCGGCACGACCACAGATACAACGGCGGATGAGCAGACCGAAGCACCTGATATCCTCGGCGAGCAGGAAGATAACGACGTGATTTTCTAAACGTTTCCTTACGCATCTATATTTGTCTTCCGATTAGCTCAGCTCAATTGTACAATTTTTACATGGGCTATCCATGAATACAGAACTACGTGTACTTCCAAGGTTGTAATTCGTCCAAATATTAAGCCATGTCACTTTCACGCCGAACCTGGACTAAATAAACAGGTGGTGGGGTGACTTACGACTCGAATATGTTACGTATAAGTGTACCAATGGTAGTAATGCCTGTGAACCTACCCAAGGCGCTGGCACTCGTGAAATTTGCGGTTGAAGTGCCGTCACACCATGCCCGATGATATATACACGTAGGCTACTAGTACCCGCTGGATTGACAGTCATACTCCTAATGCGCTCCTACAGGATCTCCCACCTGAACTTGAAATACTTGATTGGAAGATTGTCTCCTGGTATTGTCTGTGCTAGTTCACTGGTACAAAGTTCTCCTAAACGCCGAATAAAAAAACCAGGGATATTTCCAAGTTATGAAAACAGGACTACTTCCGCTGGAAAGTGACCCGAATAGGCTGGCCGTGTTCGCCCATGGGTATTCCGGAGGTAGCCTCCTTGGCCACGGTGGCACTGACCTCGTCGACGTACTCCACGAAACCAATGCCCTTTCGGCCAGGGACCAGCCGGACTTCCTTGTATCCCTCGAACCGGCCAAACACTGCCTCCAGGCTCGCCTCGCTCGCGTCGTCGGGTAGATCTCGAAGGAAAAGAGTATTGTTTGGTGGCAGGAACTCGTCGGGAACAACAGCAGTGGTGGTACTCGAGGTAGACTTGAGGCCAGCGCCCTTGGTGGTCTTTGCTGGACGGGCGGGTTCGGCCGTTGAAGCGGGGCGCTTGAGCTTCTTCTGAGCTTCGAGGGCTTCTTGGGCTTGTCGGCGCTCTATGGGTAAAGAATAGCGTCAGTAAAATGGCGCCTTGCGTATATACTGTAGAAGGAATCCAGCGTATTGCGACACACCTTTCTCGGCTAGGCGATTCTTCTTGTGGTTTTCGAGCCCCTCATTACCGTCCTCGCGCAAGACAGTCGCATCGCTCCGTGTCTTCGCGTAATCCAAGACCATAGGCTTATCGAAAAGCTCGAACCCATTGACTTCTTCGATGGCACGGGTGGCAGACTCAACACTGTCGTAGACAATGAAAGCCTGGCCCTTGGCGCGAAGGTTCTTCTTTGCGACGATCTCTAGGATGGTGCCGTATTCAGCGAAGATTTCCTCTAGGGCTTCTGTGAGTTGCTCAATCTTAATCCGCTCCTCGAGATTGTGAACCTGTAGATTGTAGACTTATTAGACACGTAGCATTCTATGTTAGAGGGACAAATGCGAGACTGTACATAAACACTGCAAGAACAGGTCAGTGAAATGTGTTACAGGATGTGAACTTGAAGTACTGACGTGCTGTTTGGGGGAATTCCCCCCTGCGGACACAGAGTTCGCCATCTTCGAAGCAAATTAAGCGCCAGAAGTAGGCGACGGTGTGACTTTATCAGAAGGTCGCTGTCGCTTGCACAAGGGAAGAACGAGAGTGATTCATTGAGCTCCGGAAGCTGTGGACGTTTGCTGCGGTCCCGCTGGGGACGCGGATCCCTCCCGTTCAGGACGAAAGACCAAGCGACCGTGCTCCACCGCCTCAAGCCCGCATCATTGGTCTAGTTAGTAGTTTCTCCATCTATGCTATCTCGCCTAATTCAGCCTTCGCTCTAGATTCTGGTCAATGGGATGAAACCTGTTTTAAAAGCGGTTTAATTCTCTTTATTCCGCTACTAGCTATTGATAGAATTGTGATCTTGGGTTAATGCTGAAATAATTCAGAGATCAGGGTGACAGAGTCCAGAAAGCAAGTATCAAGTAAGTGTCATGGAAGAAAGTGCTCACATCGAGCTGCTCTCCCCTTTTAGCGGTGTATCATTCTCCTTATGCAGACCACGGTGGGCGATAGATGCGGCGTGGGAAAGCAGTTTCGGAGCGATAGTCAAGCTTGAAACTTCGGCTGCCAGGCGCATATCACCCAACCCTCGAAGCTTTGCATAGATAGACCATGGCCCACAAAGAAATAGCGTAGTTTATTGGGTTTGGTAAACCCCATCAAGAGAGATTTGGAATGCGGGTGGTAGTGATCCAATCCAAATGACAAGTTCCTCAATCTGCTTTGGAGACATATCATCCGTGACATGGACCGAAAATAGAGCTCTTAGGGATGGGGAGAGAGTCTTTGGGTCGGTCTGGGCAAGTCCTGTCAGGGGAAGGCACACGGAACCAATGCCTTTTCGAAGACCGTGAGAGGGCTTGACCACCGGACTGTTAGCCCTGAGCGTCTGTATAAGGTCTGCGACTTCCACATATTTGTGACCGTCACATATGCGTCGTGCGATCTCCCCTCTGAGTTTTCCAGTCAGAGTGTCCCTAGGATAACCTAGGGCACCTGGCATGTTGGCATCTGTGGCAGCAATAACTTCCACGAGCCGAGAATCTGTAGATAATGCCTTCAGAGCTTTGTGGGCGTAACAGCAGTCCAGGACGTAAACCACGTCAACGGCATCGGCATCTGTGAACAAGGTCTCCTCGCCGTCACTATGGCTGAGAAAATATCTGTCGAGGCTCATTCTGGAGGAATTTCGTTGGTTGTTTTCTTGAGCCCAGAGAATATCGTTAAGTGGGTAGGCATGCCCGGTATAATGGAGCAGCACTAGTGCGCGGCCAGGTGCATCTTTAGCACGTTTAAGAATTGCTCGGGTTCTCGCTTGAAGGGTCCAACCAGGAGTGTGATCATCGGATTGAATTGTCAGTTCCTCAGCGGCTGGGAGGTTTAGGGTGCTTAGCATCTGCTGGAAATTGTGAACGTCTGCTGCTGCAGAGACATCGTTATGCTCCCAAAAAACGCTGAGGGAGGCGCAGTAATCGTACGCTGATGTTCGGTGCTTGGCGGCCTTCGTGATGATAGCGTGGAACTGCTCTTTTGTCAAAGGAGCCATGATGAGAGAAAGCAGTGGGATTGGAAGGCGTGAGGTTCGAAGCAGTAAGTAAGCAGTCAGAAAGCAGCAAAGCTGAAAGTAGTAAGGAAGTAGTGCGCAAGTAGTGAGCAGGTAGTAAGGGAGTAATAAGGAAGCAGCAAGGTAGTGAGCTTGGAAGTAGTAAGCCTGGAGGGCAGCAGGGAGGAAGTTATATGGTATTTAGGAAAGTAGTGAGGTTGGGGAAGTAGTAAAGTTGGAAAAGAAGAGCTATGGAGGACATAGTCAATGTGAATAAACAGCCGATCCTAGATAGGGTAGATATATTACATAGAATAGGCCTAGTGCTATCCTGACCCAAGGTTAGTTGGACCAAATAGATGTCAAATATTGATTTGGGCCTTATTTTATAGAAACTCAAACGGTACATCAACCAGCATCATTGGTCTAGTGGTAGAATTCGTCGTTGCCATCGACGAGGCCCGTGTTCGATTCACGGATGATGCAAGTTATCTTCTCCTTTTTTTTGCCCTTTGGCTAATTATTCAACTGCCTATTTTTGGAGGGTGTATTACAATTGAAGACAGTATAATTAATGATTATTTGGGTTCCTCGTGGTATTCTTATGGGAATCTCAATATGTACATTGTGGCTACGTACAAGAAGAGACAAAAGTCCACCTACCCCATCGGATACATGTGTATATTCATGGTTCCATATCCTAGACTACCAATTCTTATTGGATCATACTGAAATTAAATATACTGAATAATCAGCTCTATATAGTTATAAGTTTTCCTCGCTTAATCCTTCGTATAATAGCCCTGGTTCGTGTACAATTTATCCATCCTTCTTCCCATACTCAATATCAACGTACCAATATTCGTCTGGTCTAGTGCATCCCATACGGCATTAATACGCTCTTTGAAATAGGCCCGGTCCTCTTCAGATCTTCGCATCTATGTAAGCTTTAGAAATATAGAAAAAGGTAGCGTTTAAGCATATTCCAGACCGGTTTAATAGGGCTAAGATTATCTGGAGGAGCATTCCTGGGCTAATGTTCCATCGACTGAGCCAAAATACCACCATACCCGCACTTCATATAAGGATATGCCGAGGCACACCTTATATAGCATACCCTCTAGCTGCAATTGGTGACAGATCTGGCGGGTACACAGGCAAATCTTCAACGTATATCCTGTGCTCTTCAAAGGTCAAACTAAACCTATATATCTTTCTCTATATGAATCTTTACGTTATCTTACCAAAATATAATTCCAGGTTAATAGCGACCGGGGAAAGAAAGGTGGTATAGAAGGAAAAATACACAGACTCTTGGCCGGGTGATGTAATATAATTCGTCACATGGACCGTCACACGGTGCCGCAATCCCATACTAGCCCGTGACCAGCACTGCCCTAAGACTTTCCACTTTGCCCTTTAGTTCCTTTGGTGGAGCAGACCAATCCTCGTATTTAATAGCCTCAGTTTCGACTATCGTGTACAAGTAGTCTGCCGCGGTGGATCGAACCTAGAATTTTGTAAGTATTATGGCAAACCTGCAATGCTAGGAGCAACATACTCTGGGAAATGGATGTAACAGCATCCCAGTAATCTTTTTCAAAACGTCACTGCGCAAAGACTCGAATTTTGAAAGTGCAGCATAAACTTGAATAGCGGCCTCCAGACGAGCGATATTCGAGGAGCGAAAATGGGACTTCTGAACCAAAACAAATACCTTTCGGAAGATTGGGCTAAGATCGCTCCCAGTTGGAGCGTCATAGCTGTCTAGCAGGAATGCGATCACTTCGACGATGGGAATTGCATAGCGATCATCTGGGAGATTCTCGCTCAAAGCTGTCGACAAGACCTCCACGAATCCTGTCAAAGTATTTTGATTGGAACTTGAGTCAGGAAGACTCAAAAACTGGATCAATGCTGCCCTCGTCGACCGAACGAGTCCTTCCGCACCAGCTACTGCCGAGGTCGACAGGCCCTGCAGCAATGGCTGGCGTAGCCATTCTTGATTCCACGAACCCAAGATTTGGAAGAAATACTCCTGGGATGAGACATCGCTGACGTGCTCGAACCTCCTACTTCAATTAGAAACCAAAGCTCTGGGGCATATTTATGTGTTATGGCCTCACTCACGTTTGGAACGGATTGAAGTCTGACAGGTTCCAGTAGCAATCCTGTAGACAAAGTGCTGCCTGTAGTCGGACCTTATCAAGCTTTTCGCATGCCAGCCGACAAAGGCATCCAGTCAGATCCAAAACAATTTGTGAACGCCCTTCAAGCTGGGGTGCAATGGCTCTCGCTGCTTGAATCGCCTCCACTCGGATGAGTGATCCAACGTCACCTCTCATATTGGTCGTGTAATCATTGAGAAAGTCGATCAAACTGGTCGCGATGGTGTTCGTGAGCGCTGGAGATGGTCAGCCGTGATATCTTAGTAATTCATTCAAGAATGGCATACTGACCTGGTAGCTTGCCAGTATGTGGTAAGATGCCAGTAGCGAAACATCTTACTGCTACGACACGCTTCTCAATGATTTCGTCTTTCCAAGTGCAGCGGAGCAGCTCTGTCACGATTTTCCCCTGAAGATCATTCTGCTCTTCAAGCTGCTTGAAGACAGCCCCAAGGGCCAATATCTGACCACGTCCACTTGCCTGTCTAGACGCAGCATGAAGATGTGAAAACCAGACATGGACAGTATCTTTTTTCTTTTCAGAAGATAAGAGAGGAAACACTGTAGACAACGCCTCCGATGAAGTTTGAATAGAGATATCTTCGCTGCGAGAAACAGAAAGAGATAGGACTCTGAGCGCGCGGTCAAGTAGGGCCTCTGATGGTCTTTCAAGTCCTAATACTCGGCTTGATGCTCGACAAAGTGAAGCAATTAAGCATGAAGATGCTTCAGCAGTCAACTCCGGTCTTGAATTCTGAAGGGTCAAGTCATCGTCGGTCGGCCCAGCTCGAGACTCGAATATCTTCCACAAGCCCGTAATCAGGGAAGATACTTCTTTCTCCTCGATTGTGCCTCTTGACTCTGGATGCATTTCCAATTCATTGACAAACGTGTCAGTGGTAGTAGCAAGAGACAAGAAGCATCCATGCCTTGATTCCACGTCACTCCGAGGAATGCGAGGAAGCTTTGCCAATAGCCGCTGCAGAACCACATTGAGGGTCCTGTGGCCTTCTTGTAAGCTCAATGTGCCGATAGATCTGGCAGCTTGTCTTCTGGACTCCGCATCAGGGGATCCGATACCACGCCAGGACATCAGTGCTTCAAGCAACGGGCTCCAGTATGTGAGGTCCAGAGAGGCAGTAGCCTTTGCAACATCGTTCATTGCGCGAGAACGTCGGGATACTGCATGGTAATCTACAGCCTGGACGAGAGCGATTCCCTCTGTAATGATGTTAGGATGGCGACCAATCAACTCCTGTAGTGCAGCAGATGCACCCCTTCGAATGTTGCCAGATGGGTCAACACAGGCTGAGCATACCAGCTCTACAGCTAGCTTTTGCAGCACACCGACTAAAGCGTGGCCCTCGAATGCGATAATGGGTTGGGGTTGTAACGCTTGGAGCTCTGGGGTAGTATACTTCCGAGACAAAGCCCAGACGCCGAAGCAAGCCGCATCCCGAACGCCCGTTCCAACAGAGCTTCCAGTGGATGATCTTTGTTCGAAGTCAAGGCCCGAAACCAGCGATTGAAGGATATCGTGAAGTTGATTCGTGGGTGGTGCTCTGCGGAATAGAAGATGAGATAGTGTGAGCATCAGCCCTTGCCATCGCTGAGCATCCACTCCACTTAGGTTACGCTTCAAGGCTTCGAGTCCTGCCATCCGGGCTTCAAAAGGGGTCATGAGTGTACCGTCATATGTCTCATAAAGGATGTTTTCGCCAAGGGAGCCGATGACGGCTTCAATCACTTCAGTTCCCATGTCTGGGTCCAGCTTCAAGGTGATAACACTGAGTGCTTTGCTTGCAGCAAACCGGACAGGTGTATCTTTGTCAGCAAGTGAAACAAGAAAGTGGTCAATAGCCTCTTCCAATATCGCTGACAGCTGGTCATCATTGAGATTGGGGTCTCCTCGCTCGCTGAGTGAGAGGGCCATGGCTGTGATGCATCGAAGAATTTTGACAACCGTTTTGCGAGCTATAGCAGATGATGCAATAACCTGAGAAACTTCCGATGTTCCGTTAGAAATGACCAGAATTTGTTCAAAAACCATTCTCAGCAACGGAGCAAAATCCTCCAGCTGTCCAGATCCCGCCAGGCGAGCAATAAAACTTAAAACCCCAATACATGAATATACTGTGGGTATTTCCGAGTTCTCTGCAGGCTGTATAACCGAAAAAGCCCAATGCGTCAACCTTGTCAGCAGTCCAAGAGCTTGCATATCGCCGCGCAAGGCAATTCGCGCCAGGAGGGCGGTTGCTGCTTCACGCTCCTTGCCCGGGACATTGATGTACTTGAGCGCTACCGAGAGAACAGATTTCGCCAGGACAGGAGTTTCAGGCGGGATACCCTTGATTTGACTCAGGTTGTCGTATGGAATAGGGATGTCATCTGAAGAAAGTGACGATAGGTCAAACGGGGCAAGGAGCAAGTGTGAGAGCCAAATTAACATAACGTAGCGCTCTTCCCACAAAAGACCCTGCGCACCAGGCTCTGCAGAACTATCGCTCAGCTTGTTCCTATCTGCTGCATTCCATTCGATAAAAGCTCGCAGCATCGAATCAAGGTATTTAGGTTCATTGTTCAGGAACCTGCTAATAACCTTGACTCCACGAACCTTGCAGAAGGTATACAGCAATCTGCAAATAGACCTAGGAAGTGGATAGACAGCAATATTTCGTGGCTTCTGGGCCTCTTGAACATGGTAGTGAACGCGATGTCTGACCAAATAAGCCAGAAAAGCATCCACCAACGGAGGTAGAAACTGTTGGAGGTGGGGGTCCAACAGCTGTGGCCATTCTTGGAAGGGTTCAAGCTGTCGGCTGGTTAATAAAGGCCTCCAAGCAATATTTCGAGAAGACGGGATCTTACAAGGCTGACAAGCTTCTCGGTCTTGGACTCTGGGGCCCATTTGCGTGGGGTACGTTGGGGACTCCCGTTTGAAGATCGCCACAATAACGAAGGCAGCTTCGCCGAGAATTCAGCAACCAGATCGCTCGAGGCCCGCTGGAGCTTCACGTCGCGATCTTCAGCGACATCCATTGCGGAGCTGGGGGTGCGGAGGCGTATTGGGTTTGAGAGCTACAGCGAGGGTCCGATTTGGGTGCGTGGATCCTTGTTGGCTTATCCGAACTCTTAGTCACGTCTCGCGTCCAGTTCAAATAACTACCTCAAAAAGTGAAAACAAGCAACAGCCACGAACAAGCACACAGCAATTAAAGTGGCGTTTTACATTCAAATCAACATGCAAATATTGGATCTAGAAAGTTGATATTACTGGATTCGACATGTCCTACGCACGTGTTCAATACCTATAAGCCACTACAAGGAATCAAAGCATTTGCATACTACTCAAGCATAACACTGATAATTCGGACTTTAAGAACTTCAAACTTGAAACAGGACTTGTGTGTAGGACGTATTAGTTCGTATTTGCACCTATCATTCCAGGCATACTGCAGTCTGATACTCATTCCCAAGCAATATGACTGCAACCACACCCTCCGTCCCCTCAGGGCCATGACGCCAGACCCTACAAACAACAAACGCAGCCCATCACCAGGGCTAAAAAAAAGCTTTTGATCAACGAGATCCCGTTTCCATTCAATCAGTCTGGTCCATCCGCGTACCGCCAAGAGCTAGCCGAAAGATAGGTCTTGCACTGGGCATGCAGCTGGGTACGGCGTGACGATGAACAATTTGTGGGCCGACCAGTCCGACAAACGAGGAACTCACCGCAAGAAAAAAGAAAAGAAGTAGGAAAAGGAAACAATTTAGATGCGCAAAAGATAGAGCAAGGGAAAAAAAAAGTGCAACCATCGTATCCCATTATTCATGTCATTCCGCGAGACGAACCATGCTGAGCGACACAATTCAACTGGTGTCCACACCAGAAGTCAATCAAATATAACTGCAATGGGTATGTAAAGCAATTTGGAGAGAAGCAAGACACCCAAGCCTAGAAAGAAGCTCGGTCATGCTGGGTATCACACGCCCGGTGTGTGCAATCGACGCGAGGCCGAGGTGACGACGGGGCGTTTTTAAGCATAGAGAATATCCCTTCTGCCTGGTCATGATCAAGCGAAATCAGCAGTGTATGAGAAACCACGGAATTCCTCTTGCATGGCTTGGGACAAAACTATACAAATAAAGTGATTAGCGTTTTGTTTCTTGACGTGGAAAAGCGATCGAACATACCGGATTGAACAGGGGTCAGGACTGGAGTCACGCTAGTGAACTCTTGATCAAAGTTGCTGGTATCAGTGGGGCTGCTGATAGTAGGGAGCATTGGAGGTGGGCAACGCTTGTGGTAGATGTCGTCCCAGTTGATGTTCCGGAAGAAGGCGTGCGACATCACCTCTTGGGCATCAGTGGGGCCGGAGCCAAGTCGAAGCTCGGGTTCACGGGTCAGTAGCTTCTGCAAGATGGAGACGGAGTCACGAGGCATGTGAATAGGGTAAAGAGCCTCGTCCGCGAGAATGGCGTCGTAGATTTCATCCTCATCCTCACCACGGAATGGCGACTGCTGGAGAAGCATCTGATAAATGAGAACACCGAATGCCCACCAGTCGACAGCCCGGCCGTATTTCTTGTCCAACAAAATCTATAAAGGAAACTGCATTAGTAAATCGCGCACAACTCAGGATAAATGCGCATCAGAAACATTACCTCTGGAGCCATGAATTCAGGCGTACCACAGAATGTACCTGTGGTGCAGCCATACCACATGTTTTCCTTGCAAAGACCATAATCGGCAATCTTGATGTGACCGTCAAGGGTCAAAAGAATGTTATCAAGCTTCAGATCCCGGTAAATGACACCGTTCTCGTGAAAGTACTTGAGGGCCAAGCAAACTTCAGCGGCATAGAACCTGAAACCAATTAGTCTCTCGACGAATAACATGGTAAGCTAGAGAGATAAACTTACTGAGCTCTCTTCAGACCGAACTGGCCGCGCTGAATGTGTAACATCAGATCACCACCACTGATGTACTCCATAACAAAGTAAACACGGGTTTCGGTTTGGAAACAAGCGTGTAGGTTCAACAAGAACGGATGTCGCTCCTTATTAGCAATCAAAAACACACGCTTCTCCGACTTGGTGCTCTCTACTTCATCATGCTCAATGATGAACTCCTTCTTAAGCACCTTGATAGCGTACAGCTTGCGTGTGGTCTTTGTTTCAGCCAGCATGACTTTTCCAAAATTACCTTTTCCAAGAACAGCAAGGAAGTTAAAATGGTCTAGGCCGATTCGGACCTTCTCCTTACTTTGAGGCTCCTCCTTCACAGGAGCCGCCACCTGTTGTTTCTGTACAGGTTGCACGGGCGGCAAAGAAGGTGGTGGCATGCCATAGTTTGGCGGAGGAACCTGCTGTTGGACGGGTTGAGGCGGTTGCGGGGGCTGCATTGGAGGTTGTTGTACGTTGGCATAAGCCCCAGGGTTGTAAGGTGCATGAGATGGAGGCTGTGGCTGCTGCTGCTGAGGAACAACAGGAGGCCGAGTTGCTTCAACTGGATTCTGGGTTAAACAGACGAAATACTGCAAATGCGTCCCATTTTACTTACCGGCTGCCTGGGACTGGCTGCTAGTTCGCAGTCCTGTCGAGGGCGGTGATTTTGGTGGAATGGGTTGGCGGTCTCGAATAGGCAGCGGGCCAGATGATGTTGACTGTGGTGTATTGTATGCGTTAGTCGCAGCGATTACCGCATCCGCTGAGGGTTTTCGAGGCGGAGCCCCGTAGGCCCCCTCGGTGGGCTTCTGGGGGTAGGAAAGGGCCGCATGGTCTTGCAAAGGCGATGAACCGCCTGGCCGAAGAGTATGGTGTTTAAGGCCGGAACTAACAGATGTGGACTTGTTGTGATTCTTCGCACGAATCAATGTCTTAAGGATTTCATTCGCGGCTCCCATGGACATGCCACAGAAGTCGGGAACAAGATGAGTACATTCGGCATGGCAAGTAATACCACATTCTATAAGATAAACATCAGCACTGTTCAAATGAAAGAGACGTGAACCGGGTCCATGCGTACCAGTACATTTCTTGGCGTTCTTGCGCCCGAAAGGAAGGAGATAACCGCAGTGGCAGCACCAGTTGGCAGAAAGGTTGGAGAAACCGTCCCAACGATGGGGGATGCGGTGGTTGATCTTTTCTTCATCCGGATCGGTCTCGTAGTTGGCCTTACTGATACACTTGGTGACCACCTCGGGATAACATTTTTTGTGGCAGGTGTATTTGCAATCTGCGCACTGCATGCCTGCAGCATATTTGAGGAACTCTCCACAGAACGCACAACGCATGATGTTGTAGAATTGCTGGGTGATGAACTTGTGGCCCTGCATTTCATGAACATCTTCCTTCTTCTGGCGCACGGCACCCTGTCGGTTGAGACCGATGTCGAAAGGTCGGCGGTCCTTGAGTTGCTTGGCTAGAAACGATATAAGTATCATTCGAGGGACTTCTCGAGAGGGAATTTAGCTCTTACCGAAGCTCATTGACAGCTGAATGCGGCCAGACGGTTCCAAAGCAAACCATGAGTCAATCATCACAGTTGGGGGAGCATTTGAGTTTCCTGCTTGGGCTTGCGGTCCTGGCTGGGGGCCCATACTGCCGAAGTTGCTGCCGTGGGAAGAACCCACAGGGGAGCCCATATGGTCTGATCGAGGCGTACCGGATTCGCCCATTTTGTCGGCAGAAACCCATCCAGAGGTATTGAGTTCCGTTTCAATCTTCTTACGACGCATCTCTTCCGCGATATCGGAGAGGCGGATCCATAACATGCCGATGGGTGTTGGCCGATCTCCGGATTTGTCATAGACCGTCAATTCGATCTCGTTGGCCTTGTCGATATCAATAGAGAAAGACTCGTCCAGCCACTTATCATTCCGTGTAGCCTTTGTTCGCGCCTTGATTGTATCCTCGACCTTGACAACGACGAACGTCTCTGGACCGCGAGAGAATCGCGAGCCACTGGCGTGGTCTACATCGCTCACTTGATGGATACGCATGGTGAGAAGCCCAGTCAACGGCTTCCTCATATTGGGGCTGCTCAGACTCTCATCTAGTTGGAGAGAGAAGCAAAGTTAGTCAACCCAAACGTCAAAGCCGTCAGAATAGGGACGTGAGCACATACCATCTGCTGCATCGGAGGACTCAACATCAATATGAAGATCCTCGTACCGCTTCAATGCCTGCTTCAGCAATTGAATCTTTTGATTACTTTCGATGCGACGGCCCTCGGCATCTGCGCGACTCTTGCGATCGCCCTCATCCTGGTACAAGCGAACCATCTTCTCAATTCCAGCCTTATACTGTTTCTCGACACTCAGCTTGAACTCTAGCTGAGACAACATGAGCTGGATCTTCGGCCCGAGGTATTGAGTGTCATATTTGATCAAATCTGAAACAAACTACGGTTAGCGTTCCAATCGGAAACTTTCTTCCCCCTCGCGCGACGCCCGCGACCTCGTTGAAAAAAAGCGGGGTATGGAACCATGCAAAAACATACCAAGTTTTGTGTAATTGGGCCGGGCCTTGGGGACCGGAGCGTACGGACGGGGGTCAGCAAACGGAGCACCAGTGGGCTGGCCATCTGGGCCACCTTGATATCCATCGCCTTCATTTCCTGAGTATCCGGAGCCGTCTTTAGGGGGGCGGGGCGGGCCCGGGGCCTCGACGTTGGTTGTTGGGGGAGCCACCGCCTTCTTGTTCCAAGCGACGGACCTGCAGCTCTCGCATTTTCTCCTCGAGGTATGCGATATTTTTGCGGCTCTCGCGAATGTTTGAGTCGGCTCGTTGTTGGACGAGGGGGTTGTCGGTGGACTGCCTCAGGTTCGTGGCAGCTTGGATCAGAGCCCTCTCCCGCTCGATCTTGCGGTAGACGGAGGCGATAACCTCGTCACCGTCCATGATGGGCAGATCGAAGGCAAAGAGGCAGGACAGAGAGAGTGGTGAAAGTCCCGGCGTGAAGAAGGAGGAGGGGAGGTGGGAGGAGAAGGGTTTCGCGGGGCTCTTGTTGACAGGGGGGGGGGGTTGTCGGGTAATTACTGCCACGGCGGAAAATGTTACGGCGCCCCCCCAGGTCTGCCTGGCACGATAAGACTTTCTCTGTAAACCCAGGTGGAGTAAAGATTGCCTTATGCTCTCATTACAATGAACTCTATTTCTTGGGACTGCTCAGCCCTCCCGTCCCACTGTTTGTGGCGAAAAAAAAAAAATACTATACACACAGCAGTAACATCTCCACATGTGAGGCTGGCTGCTGCACTGCCTTTTACCCAAATGGGCTGTGGGCCATGCTCTGCATTACTCAGTCGGAAGAGCTAGTTAGTTAGTTAACTAACTCAATGCCAAATATATGATAGTAAAATACAGACAAGGCGGAAGATACCTGGAAAATTTCATTAGCCAAAGCGACAAATATACCAGTAGCATTGGCTTTGAACGGTAACTAGCTTGAATACACTGGCAAGACCATGCTATTGTTCCCTGAAACATTTGAGAGTCTGCCATGTATACTTCCCTAAGCCCTGATTTCACGGGGAAACCGACCTAGGAAGTATTCGCCGCACAGGTAAGGCCTCCATGACATGATCGTCACGGTAGTCATTCATTGTGATTGGAGCAAGAGCCGGGTCCAGATCTCTGAGTGACTGCGGTACGGGCTGGTACGGAGGACTCGATTTGTACAATGGCGCATCTCAAGTTTGGGACCCTTGGTTGACCGCCTTGGAACCCGCCTGCCTAAGATGAACGCGGTTATACCCACAGTATAACAGTATATTGTACTCGACAGTATTAGGAGTAGGCCCGGCAGAAAATGACGGCATGTTGTCCCAGACTCCCAGACTTAAGTCAGGCAACTGTACCTGCTTGTACGACGAGCTGAGTACAGTGTGGTCTTGGCCTGACCAATTCTCACTGTTAGACCCGATCCAGCGCAATTTGATTTGACTGCCAGACCCTCTTAGTCGGTATTGTGCGTACTGCACCTCTACGAGACTTTTCTCTCGCTGCTGCACCTACAGGGCTGACCCTACCTCGGTTACGTTACATACATTCTTGCACTTGTCTTATGGATCACCTTTTATTGAGCCATTAGTCCTTAGTGTTATAATATGATCCCAACAATATTCACATTTTACCCGTTGTAAAAGAAGGCTCTATAGCAAACCATAGAACATTCATAGTAGAGGATCCACATCGGATTATATTCAATTGAAATGACGCACACTATTCTTAGTTATGCCAAGATCATCCTCTCGGCTTACTCCGATCGTTTCGAGATCTTGGGCAGCATAAGCCAGCTCGCGGCCATCACACCGTATAATCCGAGACAGATCGGGTGTAGTACAAAAGTCCCCACATTCTGTGCCAGAAGACCTGTGAAGAACGGCGACACCGCACCACCACTGCTCCCCAGGGCACTGATAAAACTTAGGCTCGAAATATGCAAGTGCCGTGGCAAGAGCTTGGTGAATACTGATGCCGAGCAGGGATACACAGCACCCAGTAAGACACCTAAGATGGCCACCATGACAGCCTCACCGATGACGTTGGGGACCAGCCAAGTCAGCAGCTGAAAAGCAACAGCTCCAGCCATCATGAAGAGCACAGCGATCTTCTCACCCACTTTGAACGCCGGACGAGTGAGGAGGAAGCGACCAACAGTAATTCCACCCCAAAAGCCTGCGCTGACATAGCCCACCCGCGACGGGTCGCCGTGGCGGTAGCTGATCAGGAAGGAGACGACCCAGCCAGACACAGAAACCTCAGCGCCTTGGTAGGCAAAGATGAACAGCGCACCCAACAGCGTGGTACGGTTCTTAAGCGATTGCTTCAGAATCTGTGTGCGCGTTGGACCCTCGACATCGTTCACCGCTGTATGACCAGCCGATCGGGTCACTCTTTGGGCTTCAGCGGTCTCCTCCTTTTCGAAGTTGGAGAACGCCCACCATGAAAACCCAATATTACCAAGACAGACACCCAGCGTGAGGATGTAAAAGAACGACCATCGAATACCATGAGAGGCCATAGCGGTCGCGAAAAGAGGGGCCACTGTTCCCCCAATCCCGTACGAACCATGCATGCACCCCAGGGCCGTGGTGGCATTCGGAAGGTTGGCGCAGTACACATTACTCAGGGCCAGATTGAGAGCCAGGCCAAACCCAAGCAGAAAAAATGATACCACAACGACTGGAAATGGCGGCTGACAGATGATGATGACATATGCTACAGCCAAGCTGGTGATAGCTAGACCATAGCTCTTTGATCGACCAAGCTTCTGCTCAATGGAGTGGGCGATGGGGGCAACTGATAAGAAGCCAAGCGCATTGGTTACAAAAATCAATGAGACGACAGCGTAGCCAATGTGATAATGCTCTTCCATATAAGGAATCAGAGCACCGGGGGCACTGTCGTTCATGCCATTACCAAACTGCATCAGACAGGTGCTCAGCACCCGCCATTTGACTTTCCAGGATACCGTTGTTCGGTCTGCATCCCATCCCATCGGCCTACCTTCTGTGGCAGGTGTAGGTGCTTGACCCTCCAGGGCACTGGGTGTGGGTGATGGAGGGTTGACCGAGGGCTGTATGCCTTGCTCTGTGGGAATTTGAGCTGGTGACTTGAATGACTTGAACTCATCGAGTTCGAAATCCGACAAGCGTTGTGTAACACCCTGCCGATCATCTTTTCGCAGAGTAGGCGGTGGACTTAATATCCGAGGAGCAGAGCTCTCGATTTCAAGTAGCATTCCCAGACCCGAAGACGCCATCTCGGAGGTGAGATGTCAAAAGTTGAGGATCGGTCAAAGCAATGACCTTTCCTTTCTTAAAAGGCCAACACATTGGACTTCTGACAAATTCAACCGGGCCTAACATCATGCGGGCCCCACAAGGAATCTATATTCCGACTGAAGGCATTGACTAAATGACGCTTCTTGGAACCAAAGGGGACGATTCACAAAGTGGCGCGGGGAATCGCGTGTTTGGTAATCGCAGCGGAATCCATTTGCGCAGTGCGGAGATGCCCCACCAATGAGCTCGAAATTTCTCTGTAGACCCTGCGGTTTCTAACCCTCCACACCGATCCTCAGCAAATATTATTACTCCTCCATTTGCATCAATAATGGGTCCTCCTCGTCGAAGAGTTCTGGCTACAGCCCAGGAGACATTGACTCCGCCCGACGAATTGCTCAACACCCACATGATCGTGCGAGCCATCAAAGCCACCGGTAACAATATCTACCTCATTGAGACTCCAAGCAAGGATCAGATGTTGGTAGAGCTTCCCGCACGATTCCGTTCTACGATATGGATTAAGCGTGGATCCTACCTGGTGATTGACACCAAGGACTCAGAGGAGCGTGACAACAAGATCGGCGGGGAAATTATCAACATTGTGCGCGATGAGAAGGCCTGGAGGAAAGCTCCATTTTGGTAATTTCATCTACCCAAAGAACGAGGAGTCAGTTAAATAACCCGTCTCATTCATCAGGCCAAAAGAATTCGTGAAGCACCCGGTTGCAGCACCCGAGTCTGACGACGAAGAGGAATCGCGAGTGGGGAAGATGCCCTCATCTGACGAGTCCGACGCATGAATATTTATATCCAAGAAACCCAAGGGTATGACATACCTAACTCTCATTCTGCATGAGTTTTCTTGCCTTTCGCGACTCCGTGACGCTTGTTATCCGCCTCTCCCGCCCCGTTAATGAGCACACCGAATACTTGCAGGGCGAGCGACAAAACCACAACCGCTGAGCTTGTATTAGTACTCGGGTAAACATTCCATGCCCATTCTTGCAGTGCCCACGCAGGATAAATCACGACTGGGTGAATGCCAGCCTGCCAGAAGAGGAACGGGGAGGCCCATGCCAAGTATGCGAAGAATTGATAGTGGAGAGACCTGGCGCAGAGTAGGCCAATGGCCAAGGAGCTAAGCAGAGTTGTCATGATAAATCTTTTGGAGAGGGATACGGTTTGCTGGTGACCTGTGATAGTCTTCTGTAGGAAGGTTATGGGGTTAGAACCCGCTGGGGCCACCCAACGGAAAGTGAAAAGGGCCAGTATAGCAATGTGTATCAATAGCAGCCCCGCAGAGAAAGTGCGTGATAAAAAGACATCCTCGCCCACGAAGCGCCAGTTGACTGTCCATTTGAACATGAATTGTCGCGATACTTCAAACGCCCGGGATACGTAGCCAAGTGCATTGGTTTGGACAAAGGGGATCGCAAGCAAGATCTGTGATTGGAGTATTAGTCGATTGATCAAAGGCCCTACTCGAGGTAGAAGAAATATGCGTTGAAGGGTTACCTGAATCAGCACAGCCATAGCCCCAAGCAATACACTGCGAGCCAATCCAGATCCAAGCAATGTAACGATAGCAACTCCCGGCGCAAGGAGGACTAAAGTCATTTTGATCCCGACTCCCAAAGACCACACTGCAACAGCCAATGTCCATTTTTTCTTCAAGAAAAGGTAAATCGCAATCCACAATGCCAGTGTTGCCACACCATCATTGAACATGCGCAGCATGAATATGCTATGTAACCGTTTCGACAAAACCAGAAGAGGGAATAAATACGGCGGGGCTTCTAATTGCCTATAGCAAGCAAAGACCACCGCCAATGTGGCAACATAGATCCACGAGAAAATGATCTGACCGGCAAGAATATCCCGTCCTTCTTCGGTAATATGGTAGAGCAGGTCGTAGATATAGACATGCGCAGCGGGGTAAACGAGCGGACCAGTGGAGCCTTTGATCCGAGTATAATCACGTTCGCCGGCAGCATAGAGTGAGATCTGTTGCATATAGGTCGTCCAGTCAATTTCGGTGTCTGCGTGATAACGCGATTAGCAACGGGTGGACGCGACGGGGGGCGCGGGGACTCACAAGGGACTTTCCAGATCACCGCGGCACAGAGGAATGCGTCGCCCATGATGAGGAGAGGGCCGATCCATTGTGTATGCCATGGATTGGTGAGTAGGTTCGATAATCGCCGTAGCAGCGACATGTTAGGTTGAACGCTGGTCTAACTTGACAATTTGCCGTTCCAAGTGGCCTGAAGAAGAGCCGCCTCGGCGGGTCGGACCGGGCTCTTCGCTATTATGCCCGCTCTGCCTACGGCTCTGGACACCCCATTGCCTATTTTACAACATCGACTTAAAGCCCCAATCAGATGCGGGAGTTGTATTCTTGGACCTACCTATGATAAATGAAATGATTTATATCTGTCAATTGCCTTCATCTTCTGGTATTGTTTAGTGGTACCAAAAGATCGCCCGTTATTATACTCAGAGCGTGCATTATCTCTGATAGTTCACCAAACGAGTTTCAGATTCCGATATAAGTCGTGTTGCTTGCAAATTTTGTACATCTTTATACATGCTAGAGCGTAGTATCACCCCATCTATATGGTCGAGCTACCAAAAAATCTAAGCCCAATTTTCGGCCTCATGCTGGTTCCATGGTATCATTAAACGAGAAAGAAAAGAAAAGACAGGATATGTGATACAAACACAGATTCAAAGCGGAGTTGTGCAGAGCATAGGCGCAGAGGTTACCTCCTCTCGTCCGAAGCCTGGGTATGCTCTGTGTCACTGGAAGTGTGGAAGCCAAGTAGTTCACCGATGATCCCCCTTGGTTTGGGGACTGGGCATTGGTGGTTTAGCTGTGCAAGTCTTTTAGCTTCGGCCTCCATCTGGAAGAATGTGGACACCTCGTCTTCGACAGGCGCTGGCGATGGCTGGTCGGGTCGAGCAGTCTCGGTCTCGGGCTCGGTCTCGGTTTCAATATCTCGCCGGCGGCGGCGACGGACTCGTGAGATGTGTTGTCCGTCTGCTGTCATGATCATCTCCGAGTCGGCAAATGTGCGTCGCGGCGATGGGCATGGAAAGACGTGTGGCAGGCCGACCACCACGAGAGACGCAATCAGAGTCCCAGTGAAGAGCCCAAGGGTTGAGCGGGACCGTGGATGAAGATGAGGAGGCATCTTAGGTATGATGTTTAAAAAATGAGGATGTGTGGAAAATGGGCGTGGTTGCTTTCGCTCAATCCTTATTTCTTTTTCCCTTTTTTCAAGCCATCGGAGAAGGCCGATGTGAGAGCCGGAAAGAGTGTGGTAAGAGAGAAAGAGTGCGGTAAGAGAGAAGGATGGTGGGAGTGTCTATGAAGACAATTGGACCTCCACCAATTGACCGGTCTGATCAACTTTGGAGGAAAGGGTGTCGGAGTGGGTGGTGTGGTTGCGGGCGGCTGAGGTTGGTGAGTTTCCCAAGGGATCCATCGAATCTTATCTTGGTCAACTTTAATTGGCTGGTGCCCGCGACGCAGAGTTCACGGATGATCCGCGCCCATTCTAACTTGTTCGCTATCTCGCGCGCTTTTGGCCATGGCGTCACGACAATAAATATGTGTGCATGAAATACACTTTTTTTTGAGATCGCAGTGTTTCATTCTACCAGGGGCTTCCTCCCCACCACATAGCTCTAAGCTGTGCGCATCTATTACCACCGATTCTAATCCTCATCCCACGCCGAAATGAGTGATCTCGACCGGTAACGCTATAGCTCCAAACCCCTCACCGACGACCCTCAACTGACCGCGGGTCCTTTTTCCTACAGGGCGATTGAGCAGCTTCGGGCTTGCCGTCTGATTCCCGAATCCCAAGTGCGTGAGCTGTGCTACAAAGCACGCGAGCTCTTAATCGAAGAAGGCAATGTCGTCTCCGTGGATGCTCCAGTCACCATCTGCGGCGATATCCACGGCCAGTTCCACGACCTGATGGAGCTATTCCGCGTTGGCGGCGATGTGCCAGATACCAACTACTTATTCATGGGTGACTTTGTTGACCGTGGCTTCTACTCCCTCGAATCCTTCCTTCTTCTCCTCTGCCTCAAAGTGCGCTACCCAGACCGCATCACCCTTATCCGCGGCAACCACGAGTCCCGCCAGATCACAACCGTCTACGGTTTCTACGATGAATGTATCCGCAAATATGGGAGCGCAAACGTCTGGCGCTATTGCTGCGAAGTCTTCGACTACCTGGCGCTGGGCGCTATCGTGCTCGGCGCTAGCTCGGAGCTGGAACCCACCGGTCCGCCCATTGTAAATGAAACCCAGTCGAGCATGCCTCTCGACGATGATGAATTGGAGACCGAAGTGCTCAACTCTCGCGGCGAAGTCACAATGAGTACCTACCGTCCGCGCAACCGCTCCTCTTCAGATTCCTCGGATACGTCCCGTAATATCTCCCCGCCCCGCGATATCTCCGCCGCTCCGGGCCAGACAGCAGGCGCGCCTTTGCGAGCTGGAGCCCCGGGGACTGGTGCAAGCTCTGATGGTAATGGCAGCGCAACAACCACCCGCACAGGAGCTGTTCTCTGCGTGCACGGCGGCTTGTCGCCGCTCATCGACTCGGTCGACAAGATCAGACTAATCGATCGCAAACAAGAAGTGCCGCACGAAGGCGCCATGTGCGATCTCCTCTGGTCAGACCCCGATGAGATTGAAGGATGGGGTCTCAGTCCTCGTGGAGCTGGTTTCTTATTCGGTGGCGACATCGTGAAGCAATTTAATCATCTGAATGGGCTATCGCTGGTTGCGCGTGCCCATCAGCTTGTCATGGAGGGCTACAAAGAGATGTTCGATGGCGGGATTGTTACCGTTTGGTCGGCTCCAAACTATTGCTACCGCTGCGGCAACGTGGCTGCCATCTTGGAATTAGGGGAAGATACAAGTAATGGCGGCACGATTGCGCGTAGTAATGGTGAGTATGGTCGTAGCAACGGTGTACTAGGCTCAAATGCTGCCACTACGGTTGTGAGTCCTGGGAGGAGGTACCGTGTTTTCGAGGCTGCGGCCCAGGACACAAGGGGCATGCCTGCGAAGAAGCCCGTTGCTGATTATTTTCTGGTGAGTTATGCTTATCTACTTTCTGGCTTAAACCCCTTGCAGTATCTTTCTCAGTTATCACCTGCTAACATTCTGCAAAGTGATATCCTTCAAGCACATCATTATCTCCTGGTCCATATTGTCTTCGGGATTTTGGCACTTAGCATCTCGTTATCGTTTGGTGTTACGTATTTGCGACAATCTAATGAACAGCTATGACGAATATATTATCTGCAATCATTCTTTCCTCACATTCTATATAAGTCGTTCAGGACACTCAAATAATTCAGCAGACACAACTCCCAGGATAACGCTAACTCCCCCCCGCCTTCCAGGTATCTCAAAAGCAAGACGCGAAGTTACAAGTAAACACCAGGCAAAAGACAAGGACGAAGAAGTGAAAAAAAAAAGAAAGAAAGAAAGCTGGAAAATGCCGATATGAACAGAAGAAGCTACTAGTAGATCTGACCTACCTATATGTGCGATTTTCATTCCCAGTGATTCTCATACCCCGGTGTTTCATTCCGAGTGTTTGGAACGTTTGGCACACCACGAGGGCGATGCTGAGCCATCGATGGACCGGGCTGGGGAGCCATCGACATAAGCGGAGTGGGAGACCCGCCAAATTGAACCGTAGACTGTGCTGACATTCCAGGCATAGAAATCCAACCGGCGCCTCCCCAGCTGTTCATGCCCATTTCCAGTCCAGCTGCTGCATTGTGATTCCACCAGTCTTGGCTTTCTTCGACAAGATGGTCTGTGCCATCGAACCCAGACATAGGAGAGCCATGCGAAGACGGTGACATCGTTGTCTGTGGCATGACCTGGTTTGCGGGTGGGTGGAACCACCCAGGTTGGGTTGAGGGCGTTGGTCCCGAGGCAGTCATAGCTGGTGCCATGTCATACTTGGCTTGAAGTGGTGGCATTGGAGAGAGATACGATGTGTCCGGTGCCCCATATGCAGGGTGCTGGGGTGGCTGTCCTGCTGCTATGTGCTGAGCAGGGCTAGTCTGTTCTGACCAGGCAAGTAGCGTGGGGGCGTTCGAGGGTGGAGCCATAGGCATTGCAGCTGAATGGGCCACGGGGGGGATTTCCAGCAGAATTTTGGTGCTGGACAGATGAGTTGCTTGGAGTTGTGACGCTACTGATGTTCGGCCGAGGGCTCGAGAGATCATCCGATGCAGGTGGTGATACGGCCTGATCCCATGACCCCCAGGAGCCCCATTTCGTATGTGTTCTTTCAAAAATAATGGTTGCTTCTGCAGGCAACGGGACTTGCCACTTGTTCGCAGATATATCCAGGATACGCAACGTTCGCCGAGCAGCCAACCATGCGTCGGCCATTTCTTCGAGGTTTCGCAGACCATGAACAACGTCTCGCTCAGGATTCCGCCCCGGCAGATTGAGAAGATGGATGGTACAAGCGGTATGAGCCATATAGACGACGATATTGCAGATTTGCTTCAGTCCATAGGTGCGTTTATAAATGCGCATCAACTTTGAAATGGAAGATGCTGCCTGAGTACAAATCTTGCGGGGCGATACATGAGAAGGGAGCGGTGTATTAGCCTTGGTATACCGGAGAAAAGGCCGATATAGATGTATGAGAAGGATCTGGTTCAGCATGCTATAGATCGTCAGTTTATGCAGGATATATACCATATAGGGGAGTTACTTACTGCATGACGAGGACTTGAGGCAGCTGCCCTTCTCTCGGCTCAAATTCGTGTGGCAATTCTTTCTTCCAAGCCTCAAGTCGCGTATGGACATCGCTCAGTCTTTTTAATTCAGACTGTTTTGACTGTGCCCTTTCCGACTCGGATGGAGAATAGAAAAATTTCATGAGGTCATTACTGATCTCACAGAGTTTTGAAATTTGTATGGCCACTGCCCTTGTTCGAGAGGGTTGCGCATGGTCCGGGCTTGGCCCAGAATCCGTATATGGCGACCAAATTTCAGTCTCTTCCTTCGGGAAAACATCAAATTTGGGAACATGCGAAGCCGATAATTGAGGCTGGCGGCCGAGATAATTCGACCAACACCTAGCACCTGTCAGTCTTGCTTATAGGAGTTACGCAAGGATAGACTCACTTGTCAATAAGATAACACCCCCAGAAAGTAATACGACGAGCATCAAGTTCATCCTCGGACAGGCCCTGCCTTCCGGTATTCCTTGTATCGATATTCAATCCAAGATCGAGAGCCATCCGGAAACTCAGACCACTGTATACCCAGCCTTTGCCTTCACGACCGCATCCAGCCTCACGGACGGACATGAGGGCAAAAGCCTGCACTGTGCACAGTTTTGCGTTCTCGTGCTCGTCATTCTCGTGGATGAGTCGCTTAGCTTCCTTGAAGAAATGATTCCCCGCAGTCGCGATATCTTGAGGATCCGCATAAGCGCCTGTCCACGAACTAAAATGGCAGCCCAGGGCCAACATTGCGTTCACAAGCAAGGCTGAGCAGTAGCTAGTTGAGGTCCTCCTCATATAATCTCGATAGAACAGGTCCTTTGAGAGAATGGTGAAAAATGGATAGTGCCATGTAAAATACATGGTCAACAGATGACTGATGAGCGAGTCATCCTCAGTCACTTGAGTCCATGATTTGACGGCATTCGGGTGCGTATCTCCTGCTCCTGGGGCGTCGTGGAACTCTGAATCCGCAGGTAGAAATATAAGGTTGGAAGTGCCACCGATGAATTTGCGTGAGCCATCGAGGACAAGTTCACTCATCCTTCCCGATAGCTCCGATTCAAATTGATCGAATTTCGATGGGTTGTCATCGCCGGCCAGGTCGCCCTTTGTTGCACCGGATGAGAAGCCCTTTTCCTGGGAGACAATAGACCGCGCAACCTCTTCCAGATCGTCACACGATCGAAGTTGACGAACGAGATCAAAAGCATCTTCCTCTTCATAGTTTAACAATGCTTGGATGAGCGTATGGAGAGTTGTATGCTTGGTGCGCATGGCGTCGGCATCTTTTTTATAGACGCCTTTGCGGCGATTATCAGAGTTAGGGTCATAAATGCCTAGTGATTGTTAGATTTACCCGGCGTGTAAGATTTGTCCAGGCAGAGAGAGAGAGAGACAGACAAGGAGTATGATATACGGATGAGCAAGCCGCACAGCTAGGAAGATTTCCGTCGCACTAGAGACAATCAATAGGATATTCAAGAGACAAGGGCTGAGATAAGCTACCTTTGATTTCCTGCGACGACAGGCAATGCAAGCTGTGCTAACGCAACGCCTTTTGGCATTCCCTCCTTCGGCAGACATTGTCTGGGCGTCTGCGCTAAGCAGGATTGGTGGTTTAGCCCTGGGACGAGGGATCACCTTTCTCCGCGGGAATCAGGATCGTAAATCCACATTCAACGTCGTGGCCGCCGTTCAGTGGTTCGATGCAGGGTCGATTCAGAACATTGTACATCCATCATCTACTGACCGTACAAGGAGAATATCACAAGGTCGACCAGCCGGGCACAGCAGACACGCACGCGACAGCAGTTGTGCACTTCAGGGTGTTAATTCATGCGACCGAGGAGTCCTTTACGATGCCACTGGGACTCGGTCCGAGCTTGGAGGCGCTGATCGCCTGCACCACTGCTCGGAATGTACAGAGACACCGCCGTGATCCAGATGAATTGCACCCCGCGGAACGACCCACCAGACAGCCGGGGGGATTAGCAGGAGTGATTTTTGTCCAGTGCGGGCACCCCGTAACGCAGAGTGTACAGTGCCAAGGACCTCTGGAGACAATACTGCGATTCCAACAGGATCTTACCACCTCGTGGGCTCCTACGACTTCCAGGCGCTTCCGCTGGGCCCGGGGCTTCCCATGCTTCAGCTAACCGTATTCTGATCACCTGACCAGCTTCCCTTGATTGGCTGTGTACAGCAGGTCGATGGTCGATGGCTGTGCGTCCAGACCTTTCGATACGTTCTATTCTGGGTACAGAGACATTGATCCAGAAATCCTAGCATGAAATTTCCATAAGGTTCCGACTTATAGCCCTTGGCATCAGATAGACACCTGTTACCGAGGTTACAATTTAGCGGTGGACAAACTGGTCCCTCGGGCAGAGGCGATGGATGCGCCTAAGAGAAGGAAGACACTAAAGCCCCAATAGATTAAAGGGAAGCAGGAATGTCACCTAAGGGAACAAGGGAACAAGGGAACAAGGCGTTGCCGGCCCCAACAATTTGACAGCCGCGGTGACCGCCCTAAGCTCTGGTCACCACACAAACCGCCTTTTACGATAGTTGCTTTTTCCCCCGTATACGGTGACTCAACGAGGCCCAACGGCTTCCACCCAACCTATACAAGGGCATTGTGTACTGTGTACTCCGTACTGCGGACGGAGTACTCTGCACACCGCAACACACTCGCTAAGGCAGCTCCACTGCCACGTCGTTCTCTTCGACTTTACTGTTCGGGCTTTCGGCAGTCACCCGTGACTCTGATTTGTAAATGAGGCGACGAACTCCTTTTCTTTAGATCTCACCAAAAAATAGAAAATAAAATAAATAAATAAAAATAAAAATAAAAGACCACTCTAAAAAGAAACATCTGTCAAACAAACCTACTCCCTATTCCCGACTCCCTGTCCCTTGATGTTTCTTTGGATCATTTGGCATCCCCCTTTCTTGCACTGATCGATTTACTTAAGAGGAATGCCGCGAGCCAATGGGCGATCTGGCGGGTCCTCCCTTGTTTTAGCCCTGCCCCTTATTGTGTGTTTTTCTTAGTCTAACAATTCCAACCATCCCGTGGACCTTCCGAATATGCTCTGCGGGTGATCGGGACTCCGGATTTAATTTCGAAATTTTCTGTAATTGATTTTGTGTGCCGCTGGAAACGGCATCTCCAACCTATCTACAGGGCACTCAACCAAACCTTTGAAAAATCCACCCCCACTGTTTGTAGGTTCATTTGGGTCTTCTATTGCTGGCCAATGGAGCATTTTTACAAAGCACGCGGTGATAAAGTACTAGCAAAATAGCCCTACAGCCGCAGACCGGAGAGTCCCGGTTCTTCAGCGCCACGCGGAGACGCTGCAGGGTTTCGACTCCATCGACTCCACCGGCCGAACATTCCATCGATACGTTCGATACGTAACGTGGATACGGTAACAATGCCACAGCCTGCCGCATGGGGCCAGCCTCTCATCTGCAACCCCCCCTCAGCCAATCAGACCCTACGCCAGCCATAGTCGCCCATTGAGAAACCTTCGATTTGCCCTACCGATCCACGCGTTTCACCGTCACACGCGTACCTGCCCAATACGCCTCTTATCATTCTTTGAAGTCACCACTCCACGTCCCTTTCTTATCTCCTCCCCCAAATACTGCGTAATCTCCTACACCTTAATTCTCTCACAACACACTTCTTTCACTTCTCCTTCTTCTGGCCTATTTTCCTTCGCTGGAGCATCCGCGTACCGCCCCTCTCCCACCCACTCCCTACAATCCCGCCTTTCCGCTCTTCGACCCGGAGCCTCCAGGCCAATCGGATTGGTGACGGACTGGTCATACTCCCGGGCACAGCCGCGGGAGATCAAGAGCCATCATTCCCACATTCAATGTATCTCGCGCAATCACTCGACCAGAGCGCCTCCGCTGGCCCAAAGCGCATCGAAGCCCGCTCAAGTAGTATGAAAATCTAAGATGATGGTACCACGAGCCTTCGTCTTCGGTTCAACCTCGCCTCGGAAGGCAACCCAACCGTGCCCGTTGAAAGAGAAGGCAGTGTCTCTTCCTGGGCAGCCCCCTGAACCGACCTTCTATCATGAGATGAGTCCCCGGGGCTTGTCAAACACCTCTCCGGTGGGTATCCCACAACGTCGAAACCCCCACGCCCCAGTGCGCCGGGATGCTCGCTCTCGCACCTCTTCCAACACCACCCGGTCGAACCGCCGGTCATCTTCTGCTTCATCAAATGACCGACCGGTACCCTCTGCAGTAGCGTCGATGCTGGATGCTACTGCCATTCCAGTTCCAAGACGTACCTGGTCCTCCCGAAGACCTCGGAAGCTTCCGCCAGGCAACCCTATGGAAGAGTTCAGTCGGATGATGCAGGAAGGAGTCAAGTCGAAAGAGGACACATTTACTGGAACGAGCAACTCTCCATTGGACTTGCTTCTTAGTCCCCTAGATGAAGACAATGAGGAGTACACCGGCAACGATCCCGAACTGGCCTCGCCGCGTTCTGTGAGATCAGTGTCGAGTGACTCCATGCCTTCGCTCGTTCACGACATTGGATCGCCCTTGAGTATCTCCCAGCCGTTGACCCCAGGAAGTCCAAAAACGCCGTCCGATAGACGACATTTGCGCTATTCGACCGTCCTTGACTGCGCTTTGGACCATCCTCTCCTAGAAACGGAGGTGGAAGAAGGCGATTTCATAGACATACAGGCTCATGCGGAACCGGAGATCCAAAACGTACGGCCGACCAAGCGAACGGCGTCATTTCGAAATATCACCAGCTTCCGATCTTCGTTCAAATCTAACCTGACGGCATCGTTGCGGGCCATCAAATCCGCCGCTCAGTCCGTTTCCACCTTTGCCACGCCATCTGTCCAGCCGGATGATTTCCTTACTCGTTCTCTGTTTACGATTACGCCTGAACTTACCGATGACCGTCGCCCTCCGCCAATGCAGGACCCCCCATCCCTGCATTACGACGATACCTAAACCCCACTCCGATCTCTCCTGCAGAGATGTACGTGTATCATGCTTGTCCACATGAGAAGCCTGAGCAAGCGCAGGCATGTGTGTCAATCCAGATGCAAACTTATCGTCGATCCCGTGGGCGTGGCCACCGACGCAACCACTTTCACGTGGTTTCCGCGAAAAGCCGCGACCAATATTCTACCTTCGACCCCGAAATCCCCCCCTTGTCACGCCAGCGGGAGCCTCGTGAGAACAGCGCCTTCCTCCGCGTCGTCGTATTGGAGATGAACATGCGACGCAGCGGCAAACTGCGCGATGACATCCCCACGCGGGCTCGTATCTGGCTCCCTCCTCGCAAGAGCAACCCCTACCGCATCGCCGGAGACTACGACGATTGTGATAACGACAGTATCCCTTCCCGCTGGGTTGGCCAGTCGGCTTAACCTGGTCGACCTTGCCCCTTAATCTGTTTTCCCCATCGCGCAGGGCGCGATCATTCCCTAGTACATATTTCCACCATTTTTCCTTTCTATTCACATAAAGCGTGGCGTTGGGCATGTCGGTGTCTCGGCTGACACCTGTTCTTCATATTTTCCCGTTCACCTTCTGATTCGTTCCGGGGTGTCTAGCGCTGCATTTTTTACGGCCCCGGGCCCCCTGTGATATCCAGCCTAGTCAACCAACGTGATAAGCCTGGATTCCTTCATTCGCTGCTTTATCTTGTAATACGGTGTAAGCCTTATCGAAGGCCCTTCATGAACTTAATCCCCGCAGCGTGATATCATCCCGCAGGTATCGTGACCACCCCGCATGTGCCAGCCCTATCTATCCGTCATCCGCCTGGTCCCGAATTGTCCCCCCCATAGGGTCTGTTCTTAGTGACGAACTGCGGTAAATCCCGAAACTTTGATACACAGTAGAGTTTAAGCTCCAAAGGGACTGATGTTCTGCTCCTTTATTTTTCCTTTTTAGCTTAGCTCATGCAGGGATCGTACCATCAGATCCACTCCGGGAAGTCTTGCCATTATGCTGAGTCGACAAGTACGCAGTAAATAAGAGCTGACCGGGGTTACCACTGTCTATCCTTCAAATCAACCCGATCTATAGATCTGAGCGGCCTTCCATCGTGTGAAACTCTCCTCTCCGTCTCTCACACGACTAGGACACTGGCACTCCAAGCAGCTTTCCCTGAATAGCAAGTGTATCATGGAATTGATACTCTCGACCCAGCGCTGAGACTATTATAGTCATACCCAGCTGCCCATTCCACACCTGGAAACCCGTTCAGCTAATCCGTATAAAGAGCCCCTAAACTCCTCGTCTCCCTTCATCCTCTCCAAACACCCCTTCTCCAACACAACACAAGCCTGAAACCCGTCCCTGTCCCCATCCTCCCCCAGCGCCGGCACAATAGCCACCATCCCCTCGAACACACTCACTGCGAGACTCAAATTCCGCGGCCTCATAATCCCAAAATCATACCTCTCCACCCGCATCCTATCCCACGACGTCCCAATCACATTCGCCCGCCTGGAAATCATAACATAGAGTCTCCTTTCCTTCCGCCTCCGTCCCCCGCTGCGCACGCAGATAATCCGGGATCGTGGCGTCGGAGACTTCGAGGATTGACCTGCGCACGGCCAGCACGGTCTTCGCGAGCCCGTCCGCGCCGAACATCGCGCCCACCTTCACGGGCTCCGTCAGCGCTATCCAGAAGGCGTTGCCGAAGAAGGCGTCCGGGACGCTGGGGAAGCGGCGCACGTCGACGGGGGTGGCTGTAGCGGGTGGTGGAGGCGTCGCCGAGGCCGAGGTACGGCGCGCGGGCTTTGGTCATTGCGCGCCAGGTCGCCGCCGCGATGCAGTCGTAGGTGGAGACGTAGAGGCCTGGCGGGGAGGGGGTGAGAGCCGCCTTGAGGCGGCGGCAGGCCGCAGCGGAGGAGAAATGGTAGGTTTCGGTGCTAGTGGCGGAGATGGGAGCGGGGTCGCTGTTTGCTGTGTTGCTGGGGTCTATCTTCATGAAAGTGAAGCCCTTGATATTCCTCTTCAGGACCTCGAGTTCATCTGCGCTTGGGATGGAGGTTGCGGTGAAGTAGTTTCGGTCGAGGATGGGGTGGAAGGATGGTGGGGGGTGGTGGGAGAGAGCGGCTTTGGTGCTGGTGGCGCAGAGGCTGAAGACGTGGTCTATACTCTTTGCGTCGCCGTATAGGTGGTTCATGCCCAAGGTGAGGATTATGCCGCCTTTGATGAAGTTGACTTGGAAGACAGCAATGGGGGAGTCGTCGCTTCTGAACATCCCGGCTGGGTTGATTCCGGGAGGGACCAGCTTTGGATATGTTTGTGGAGAAGACATCGCCAGGGAAGTGCTGGGCTGCCAGAGTCTCATAGTCTGGAAATGAGGCTTCAGGCGTGTCGAGATGATTGATACCGAATTTGACAGGTTCGTGGTTTCGCCGTAAGACGTATAGCTTCTTGGTCGATGGGGCCTCGTACAACTTACCCCCAAGGAAGGGCATGTTCGATAGTACATTTGCAAGGCCGGCCTTTAAGCTTGCAACGACTTGCGATTGTTCAAGATGCGCCGGAGCAGCGAATACTAGGCGCGGAAGAACCAAGGTAGCAGGGATGTTATGGTCATATTGCGACAAGTCCTGTCTCATGACAGCAGGCAAAGCCTTATGGCCTTCGGGCAAAACTTCTTCGACCGTATGGGCGGACATGATAGTTCGAAGTTTAGATTGGCCGATGTGGCTAGAGACTGCTTATAGAGGTGATGCCGACACGGCGGTATCATTATCCTCAATTCTGCGCTTCAGTGGAACACTGAGCAAGTATGAATGCCTTATGGGTGGCTTCGAATTGATATCTGGAACGTATACCTGAACAACAGTGCTAAGCCTGGCCTCTACTTCACAATTCCGTGGATCACGCCGAGCCTTGGAGGACTGGATGAATAAAGGGCTGATTACGGAGGGGCTCCTGGCTTCTTCTACGCTTAGACTTGGAGCTTTGGCTCTCTTCTATTCGGGAGATCTGAGTCTTCAGCGAGAAAGCGGGTCTAAGTGGCCCGAGAGCTTACACCCAATACTGACTATGGAGTGGTGGAGGCGTGTCCAGGTGGCTTGGATATTCTAGATACTCGTGCGGAGTAACGCTCACAAGAAAGCAAAGTTCATCAGATATCCTCAGGTAAGAATGGCTTACAGGCTCGGGCTGCCAGGTTTCCATCCATGCAGCTCCTGGATAGGGCTTACCACTGCCCTGGGACGGTGGGGACAGGGGGCTTGGTCGGTCACAAGAAATGCTCCCGGGTCAATGGACCCCGAATACGCCAAGCTGCAATGTCTCCAATTTGATGAGTCCAACGTGGCTTTTTAGCTGTGTAATTTCCAACCGGTGATTTATTCAGTCCTCCGCTGGCTTGTGTCACACAAGTGACCGCCGAGGCGTGTACCCTGTCAACCAGGTCAGTCCATAGCCAATGTAAAGATCCCACAAAATGATGGGCAAGGGGAAGCAATTCGAATGATAGACGTACTTTCTTCATCCAGTAATGTTTTGTTACTCCAGCTGTCCTTCACCCACTCCAAACTGACCAGGTGCGGCATTCTGCCTGCCCGGGTTGATAGAGATCCTCTCAGGGAGCTCAAGTCACTGGGAGTTAGACGTTCCTGATCGACAATGATATGAGTAACGTCGGGGCTTTCCATCTCGTCTGAAATACCGGCTCCTGCAAATTTACTGGTGTCTCGAGCGAGCGCAAGAGGGGTATCATCCAGATGTATTTGATAGAAGAATAATGTCAACCCGCGGAAAAGCCATCCGCAGGGCACCGTGTACCCCGAATTGACCCGTTCTTGAATCTGCTCCTCGATTCTGCGAAGAGCGTCGCCGCCGATGGTGTCATTACCTTCACTTCGCATCCGACTGAAGATCTATGTCCCGGTCAGCGTACTCCGCGAGAAATAGAGGTAAGGTTTACCTTTTTGAGTTCATCTACGTTGGTATCTCGGGCAAAACTGTCGGAAAATTGATCCACGTTCATCCGTATTTCGTCTTCTCGACCTTCAACGGTGTAAAACATATGCCTGTAAAGGGTGAGTATCTTACAAAGAAGGATGATCACACTCGAGGATTTACCTAGGTTCGAATGGAAGTAGTAGATCCGGAAGCCCCGCATCTTTTTCATTCTGATCGACACAGTCCGTCAACCAGCAGGGCTTGATGATATTATCCTCCCCATGCTTTTGTAACGATGCCACCTTAACGGTTTCTTCCAAAAACATTAGTACTTAGCTGACGGAGAGGCTTGATACGAGTCGAACTTACTGCGTTCGGCAATGCAGATAATGTCGGACGCAGCAGTGCTTGACTGGAAAATTTTGCCCCCATTCGCCTTGACCAACTGCTCTAGTTCGCCTTTAGATCTCTTTACAGGATCGCTGGAATCTGTCATAATGACTAGAGAAAATGGTCAGCAAAAGCCCGAGGGCACTTATGGACAGATTTTACGCACAGAAGTTGAGATGGTCAAAGATGTGGCCAGAAGGCCCGATGTATTGCACTTCCTCATTCTCATCATAGCCAGCGATAGCCATAGGCTTCTTGCCCGCCCTTTTGACACGCTTCCTCCGGGAATTGTCGACAGAGAATTCCTTTTCTCGATGCTCTTGCTCAGCATTTGCCTTCAGGTCTAAAAATTCCTGAACTGACAAGGCTGTCTTCCAATTCTTATCCTTGCGTAGCTTCTTGAAACGCGGGAAACGAAGCGTCAGTCCCATACGGAATTCGGAACTGGTTGCAACAGAGGCCGCTTTGACGCATACAACGATCGAATCAGATGGTTTGATCCACATATCCGGACGCTCGCACTGGAGGTCTCCACCAGCCAACTCAATGTAAGAAGTTGGTGGCTTTTTTGCGTCCCATTTGTTCCATTTCTCGTCTGTATGATGGCGAATCTCCTGATAATCCGCGGCAGTCATACCTCCCCCGACTTTGCAAAAAGACCAAAACTTCTCAGAAGACGACCCCCGAGAGGAATTGTTGTCTACACGGAGCCCACAGAGAAAGCTTGAAAGAGCACCGCCACGGTGCCCTGAGCCGTAATAGCCCCCGATGATGGTCAGATCAAGGGATTCACCAAACTCGGCCATATATTCAGGCTTGACTTTCATCCAATCATCATGACGCTCATTCAAGCGATAAGGGGATCGCGGGTTCTTCAATACCAGACCCTCAGAGGCCTCGGCAACGACCTTACGCAGGCATGCTTCAATTTCTGCAGTGGATGTCGCCTCCTCATATGGGTGGATCTCGAAACGACGGTGCACAGGTTTGATGGTTCTCGCTAGCGCATTGCGACGGTCACGAAGGGTGTATCGAGTTAAATCGGTTCCGTTGAGATACAACATATCGAAGACACGAAACAAGGGCCGAGGTCCCTTGGAAAAGGGATTCCGCTGTTCAGCTAGAGCGGCCGTCTTGAGTGTGCCAAACGGGACTATGGCATCTTGCTCTGGATCCCAAGTGATCATCTCGCCATCCAAGATAAGACTTTGTACACCATCCACGAACGCATTCTCGAGGTGCCTAGTCAGAGCGCCATGCTCATCGTGAATGCCATTCCCGTAGAGGTAGGTGTAATCTTTCGCCTTCCTAGACCAGAACGCGAACTTGCGCCCACCCGGAACCGAGCTATCAGGGGCCATGTGCAGTTGCATCCGTTCTCCGTCTAGTTTCTCCTCGATCCAGAATACAGGGTCTTCCTCTGTGGTACGCATTCGGGAAATCATTTTGTCAAACGAGTGCATCTGGAACTGAGCCAACTGGGGCTGAAAGCATTGCATGAGCCCGATCCCACGGTTATCCGCATCGAGTCGAATATTGGGGTCATATAGCTCCCAGCATACCCTCCGTAGGCTGCTAGAGATGCTGTATAGATTTTCGGCATCGGGATGCCAGACATCAAAAAATGTACGCTCGGTCGCCCCGACTCTCATCTGACGAAGGATGATTCGAATGAGCCATGTCAGCTCTTCGGGATTCATGCGCCGGTAGAACTCGGCAAAGATAGGCGCTTGCTGATCCTCTTTGGTGGCGGCAGATAGCTTATCCAGCTTGTCATTGACTTCTTCGATCGACATGTCCCCAGGATCTGTACGCATGGGTCGCTTTGAAAGGACGTCAAAGCATCTCCCAGCAAAATCACCAGCCATGCGTGACGCTGCGGATTGACCAGGCAGTTTCCAATTCAGCAGGTTGTGGCCGTCTTCAGATTCCTTGGTGATTTTCAAAATCTTGACGAGCATTTTGCCAATCGCCTTCTCCTTCATCCCGTACATTGGACGGTCGCGATCTTTATCGGGCAGGATCAGACGGAAGGCGGGATAAATATCGTCCCCCACTTCCTGCCTCCAGCGTGAGATGAATCGAGTGATGACATCGCGGCGGAGCTCGAATGGGTTCAAACTTGTGGCGGCCTTGCCATGGGGACCGGCCTTCCGTCTTGCTAGTCCTGGGTTTGGACCGGGCGGCTTCTTCTTTATCTGGCTCAGTGGGTCGAAGAGGTTCTTGTATAGCTCGTGGAATGGTAACGTTGGGTTGCGGTTGCGCGGTCGGTTGGGATATCTGGAATTTTCCATCGTCAGACTCTGACATGTTAGCGAGAGAGCTACACAAACGTCTCATCGATATTCTCCTCTACGTTGGGAGCAGGATCCGGGAGAATCTCGTCAGAATCCATGGTGAGAATCTGGTTGTTGTAACTGTCTGAATTCACCAGCCCCGGATGGTTTTAGGCAGACGGCGATAAGCGATAAGATAAGGAGGACATGTGGGACTGACTTCCTATTGCATATAACTAGCCCGTTTCTGAAGAAGAATTGCTGACTACACGATTTGAGGGCGTCGGAGTTTATTTCGGCGGGGGTTTTTTTTGCTCTTCATACATGAGTCAGGAGTCCTAGGAAATCTCTAATTTGAGAGCAGAGTGAATAGATCTAGTGAAGATGATATATCTTGTGGAAGATCTTACTGCGCTCCGATCTGCCCGCCGTGCTTTGTGGTACCGCGGGATCTGCGGGCCCTTCGAGGGTTCATGGACCAGATTGTAGAGGACGGCTGGACTATTCGCCTTTCACCCGAAGGGTTTTGAGATTCTTGAGATTTTTCATTATATAAAGCATTCGAGTGGTGTCTTCTAGTCACCACTCACTCGTAGTATAGTATATAGAAAAACGGTGCCGGCTCTCGAGCTTGAAGGAAAATGGGGTAGGGATGAGATAAGAGTCTAGAGGCATTCAACTGTAGGGGCGGATTCAGAAGAGACCGGCCTTCTGAGTAGAGAAAGTCTAGCCATTCTGACAGTTTATTAGGGTGCTAGGCCTAATTAGATCTACTATGAGATCACAGAGTAAAGAAGAATGAGCGCTGCCCTTGGTGTTGAACCTAGCACAGATGTACCAGTGGAATAGGTGCCATCAATGTAGGATAGGGTGAGAGACTGTTCAATCCCATGTACACTGAAATAGAGCTAGGAGAGATCTTTGACAAGCCGCCCAAATTTGGGAGACTGATGATATCTGATTACATCCCAGGGGCATGCTAAGGGCCAGTAAAGCCAAAGCCAGGTTGAGGATAGAGCGAGGAAGGGATGTAATCAACTTCTTTCGGAGTCTGCTTACATTCATCAGACGTCCAGTTGATACTCGACAATACCAGCTCATCAAAAGAGCACGCATTGACGTTCAGCGTCATCTCGGGGTTGTCTATCATATTCATCTGGAAGACTGGCCCTGGGTCTGTTGTTCCCAACCAGGACCCCTCCGCTTCAAGCTGTGACTCTTCCAGATCATTGAATAGAAAGTCATAGGGCATGTCACTGCAAGTTACGGCTGATTGACATGCCCTATTTGCCCAGTCAAGTTGTTGAACGCTGGGCTCCGGAATGACAAATTCGGAATTGACCATTGCCGTGGGGCCATAGACTTCGAAGTCAGAGGGTGTATTTGTGCAGCGATCTTTCGAGGCCGGTTCCTGAATTTCCTCAATCTGGAACTGAATAGTCTGCAAAGATTCTACTTGAACGTGTGGTATGCCCGGCATACTATTCACATCACCGGGCCGTGACTCGCGCTGTGATAGGTGACGGCTCGGAGGTGAAGGGCTTTGCTCGGTGGTGTTCCCTGTGAATATTGCTGGAACAGTTTGAGTATCTCTGGACTTCGGCTTCGAGCGCCTTTTAGTTGGATATGCACAATCCAATAAGCGGGTAGTACAGCGCTCGCATGGACTTCCACCACTACAGCGTACCCGAGCAGTGGCACAGCCAAAACAAGCACGGAAAGTCTTCACTGTGATGCGGTGGGGACGATCTCGCCCATCTGTATCCGAGCTATGGTGGCTCAACTCATGGCGATGGAGGGTATCACTGGCACATTCACGGCAGATTAGTCGAAGGTCATGCAATCTGAATAGTCGGCTCGCGTATCCATAGATACTACTCACGTCCTTGAGAAATAACGGCCGCAGTGATTACATCTGAAGGGCTTCTCCTTTGTATGGCTGCGCACATGGCGCTTGAGATGCTCTGGCCGCCGGAAGGTGTTATTGCAGATCTCACATTGGACATGACCGGAGCTGGGTCCTGCTTCGCCAGTGCCAGTGTGGAAGCCGTCTGTACTATCCGAGTTCATTGAGTGGTCTGAATCTGGAGTTCCAGGATTCATCCTGCTCAGGCCCAAAGGCATGGTGGGGACATGAAAGCTGAGTTGGAAAAGACAGAAAAGGCATTTTTAAAAGGTGGTACCATCGCATAATGTCTCAACTACGCTAACCATGTGTGAGGGTTAATTAGAAAAGAGGGGCTTTGAACGACCGGGGAGGGGACCACCACATGGGGACAAGGGTTGGGTACGACATGGGATAAATCCAAGTCCATTCAGGCCATTCAGACCATTCGGATCAGTCCGCTCATGTGGCAGGAGGTGGAGCTGCAGCGGAGAAATTTAAACGGGCGTCCAGTTCGGTTAAATTGGGGATCTGGGGTTAAAGAAGCCGCAAGGATACTCGGCTCCACCGATTGCGTTCGATTGGACGAGGAATCAAACTCTAGTGACGTTGCGATCGACAAGTTGGCATCTGCTGCTCTCTTGGGTCTCGGCTCTGGCTCCAAGTTGCGATGCTATCTTTGAAGTTCTTTGTAGGGGAAATTACTGAACGCGTGGCTGGTGTGCACGGGCGCTTGCAGTGGGCCGGATTGTTTTTTAGTCTAGTTTTCAGCTTTCTTCCCTCCATGAACCCTCACCACCAGGCCATCTAAATCCCAGACTTTGGCGTGCGGCTTCGGCGGAGTTTCGATTCCATGAATGGCGAGATTGCCGCGAACCGCCGGATGGCTGGGGAAGCCATCCGAAATGACTCCGCACGCCAAGGCGCCGCTATCGCCTTTCGACACACTCGATCCTCGTCCACGGTGGCTGCCCAATCGTCTGCAGCAACTGCGGCCGCGCTGGCCGGCAGGTCAAATCGAAATAATACCCGTCAACAGCAGGAAGCTGCGCCGGAGGTGGGCTCAGTGAAAGATAAAATTGGGAGATTTGCCGCAAATTCTCTTGCACCTCCGACTAGCGCTCCCTCACAAACCCGAGGTTCAACACCATCTATATCACCCTCTCCCGAGCACATAGCCGCTCGTCTTGCTGCCGCAAGATCTCCTGCGAGGAAACCAGAACCCGCCGTCGATGCCGCTAGAATCGGGGCCATGCGCAGCGCCAGCCGCATGCAATCCCAATCACGATCACCCGCGCCGGAGCGCGAGCTCAGATCCCCGACCCCCGTGCGTCCATACCGTGCCAGAGAAATTGCCGTGGAACGAATGCTCCAAGATGACACCACACTGCCCGCCTCCGACCTAGATGTAGGGGCTACAAGCTCCCCGTCAGAACATTCAGCACGCTCGAGAGCTGGCTCCGTACAATCTAGAGCAAGTAGTGTTAAAGAGCAGACACCCAGCCTCCAACCACCAGTCGTCAATAGACCACCTACCATCACTAGAGCATCCCCCGAACCACCAGACGACCCAAAGCTGAAGCCAAGTGTTCCACCACGGTCTATAAGGCCAGCTCAAGATTCGTTGAGAAAGCCGGTCCACGCCGGCAGCCAACTACGATCTCCAACACCTGGCCTCGCCTCCGTGTCTGGTCGGTCACGAGGCAGCAGCTCAAGTGCAGTCGATGAGTTCAATGGAATCGACGAAGAAGCCCTTTCTAATGCCATTGTCGCCTCTTCCCTAGCATCTGCCCGCGCACCTGCCCGCGCACCGACCGCGACACCGACACCCCCTCCCCCCCCCGCCGCCGACGGGCGCGATCTCTCTTGCAATTGGCACCATCTATCGGAGATCTATCCAGAACGCCAAGCCCGCCAAAGAGTATGCCGCATACCCTTCGCGGCATGCCGAAGGCCGATGTAGCGGAAACAGGCCGCCGCTACCACAAGAAGAATATTCTCCACAAACACCCTCATAAACACCACGAGGGTGACCGGAAACGGTGGAAGCAGGAGGTCACCGAGAAGGAACGCAAGCGCTATGAAGGCGTTTGGGCCTCGAACAAGGGGTTGCATATCCCGCCAGACACGAATCTGCTCGACGGAGCGGGTAGGGGACCACCTCCTAGCGACATGGTTTTGAATCTGGTTGTACGAGAGATCTGGTCCCGCAGCCGGCTTCCACCCACGGCCCTGGAACAGGTGTGGGACCTCGTGGATCACCGTCATGTCGGACTCCTCAGTAAAGAAGAATTTGTGGTTGGAATGTGGCTGATCGACCAGCAGTTGAAAGGCCACAAGCTGCCGGCTATTGTCCCGGAGAGTATATGGAATAGTGTCAAATATGTGACCGGAATCAAGCTCTCATCTATTCGACCGAAGGGCTGAGAAAAAAAAAAGAAGAAGAAGAAGAGAAAAGCAAAAAAAGGAAAAAGAAAACTACCTTACAGTACTCTTGTGTAGCATGGATATAGTCGAACCTGTGAAGCTACCACATATAGGTTGGTGATCCCGACTGCGCAGGCTCCCGGGGAGAACCTTAGAACAATCCAAAAAAAAAAAATGCGCTACGGCCACATTTGACGTGCTAGTAACTGCGTAGAAACGGCATCGACATGCATGAAATGTTCTCCCCTTCGTGCTTGGGATCCAACCCCGAAGAGGGATTGACTCGGCTCATTCTTCCAGTGGCAACCGTAGCTGCGTCCAAAGCCAGTCCTCGTACTGGGATACCTTCCCCCTTTCCCCAGGATCTATCGATCTGCAAGGTGTCTATCTGCAAGGTGTCTCTAGATCTGCACCGGATCCGCGCGCACAGCTCCCCGTTTGGAAATCGACGGCCCTTGATTCGCTAGTCACATACTTTTCCGTGCATGCCTTCCATTGGCTCCTCCATGATCCTCCATGTTTCGTCATTAGCTGGTGCCGCTGAGCGCGCTGGGACAGGCCACGTGACCATGTACCGAGCAAAGAGTCTGTGTGTAAAGGGGGGTGAACGGTTCAAAGGGTAAATCATGGATACCTATACATGCCGTGACTCGCACCATAATCTCCGAGGAGTTGGAGAAGGCTTCATGGGGACAGAATCGGTGGTGTTGATCCGTCTTACAAGCAAATCCCGAAACGTGGAGACTCGGGATTTGCATCTGGCCACGATCAAGCAATCAGCGCAGCAATTCTATATCAGAGCAATATTTTCTTCATTGGAAAGCTGCCCTGCCCTTGCGGCCCGCAGATGACCTTTTGGCAAGACACCAAGAGGAAACTAGAAACCCAAAGAGGCTCTGTTGCGGGGAGGGGATCTGCGGGAGGTCGAATCCTGTCGTCTGATTCGCCATGGACGCCTTTCACGAGGGTTTCTCTGCACCTCGTCCGGTTCGCAAGAAGTTCGCCAAACCACCAGTCAAGGTCGCCTGTTTGCCCTGGTATGTCTAGTCTCGTTTAGTATCCTCTTCGCTCTCCACTCTCGCTAACCAACTCCCAGCCGGGCCTCGCGCACTCGCTGTGGCGGGCAAGAGCCCTGCTCGAATGTAAGCGCCCACCTAAGCATTTTGGAATCGAATCCGCCAAAGTGACCTCCACACTGTGCTCTGGCTCTGGAGCGGGTCCGGATCTGCACTGTGATATATGATCGCTGAACTAACTTGCCCCATAGTGTCTCGCCAAAGGCCGAAAATGCTCTTATCTGCCCAGCAAGCGCGGCGGGCCGCGCAAAAAGAAGCAGCGCTTGTCCCCGTCCCCAGATGGGGAAGATCAGCAAAACGAGGCTCGCTTCCCCGATGTTTCGGCGGACTTTGACGAAGGTATGCGAGCTTTAGTCCAGGCTTCGCTCGCTTCTACTAACAATGCTCCAGCATCGGGGATGTTTAGTCAAATCGATGATCTTTCTCTGCCTGGCGCGGGATTGCGGCATTTGGATTTCAGTCAGGCGAACTCGGTGTTTCCGGGTTTCCCCTCCATTCCATTGGATCTGTCGCCGTTACCTATGAGTAACAATGCTCAGTCATTAGTGAGGCTCTATGGGAGCGAGCTCGCGATGTAAGTGGTGGAAGCCCTTGTAATCGGGTTACGCTAAACGACTGGACAGTTTGAACGCATATTACGATTTTATTCATCTCTATTTCCCCATTTTGCCTCCGCGGGTGACGCCTCCAAGTCCGGATCAACCCCTGCATTGCCCATTGTCTGGTTCTGGTAACTCTGAGCCTCTGATGGTTTACCGGCCTCGGTCTCCATTGAGTCTTGCTATATCTGCGGTCTTGGCCTTGATCCCTCACCCGGATGATCCTGAGCCAGCATCAAATCTATCAGTTCTCCGGCGGAGGACATATGCCCATACGTTCGCGCAACTAGCCAATTCCATTATCGAAGCCGAGAGTGATCTGGACTTGTCAACTACAGATCCTAGCCAGGCTCTCTCAACGCCGCGTCCGCCAGTCAAAAGGGAAAGGCTTCATCCACGGACGCCGGGAGACCTTGAAACCTTGCTGGCACTGCTGGTTCTTTCAGTATACGAATACTCTCAAAGGGGCAATCTTCTCAAAATGAGATATCGGGCTAGTCAGGCACTCGCACTGGCATTGGACAAATCTCTGCACTGCTACACTGCCGAAAATCAATTTTCTGAAGCTCGCCGAAGAGCGTGGTGGATGACAGTAAGGATCCCTGATACTATGATTCTTGCTTCAACTAATAAGAATGTAGTATTACTGTGTTATTCAGGGCTCCATCGTGAGCACTACAGTGAGTACCGGATATGAACCCACATTATTATTTGATATTAACAAAGCAGCCCCCAACAATCATAATCAACGATCCTCAATTTACAACCCCTTACCCGCGATTTGCGTCGGATGCCGAAGTACGTTCTTTGATCCATTTGTGTCAATCGATGCTAATCCACATCAGGGATGGTCTATCTTGATACAAGCGCAGCAAGTCTTGGTATCAGCGACACAATTTATTGCAGAACTAAATAACGGTCTTTCTTCACAATCGACTATGCACTACATGTTTGAAAGAATGCAACAACTAGATTCCTGGACAAACTCGGTACTATCACAAGCCGAGGTCCTGCCTATTCCTCTCCAGGATAACGACATTGGGGACTGCCACGAAAGTACTACCGCGCGAAGTATACGATCGATAGCTCACATCAAACTCTCCAGGTTTGTTTCATCATTCTACCCATCTATAATTAGCTCTTAACATCTTCACAGTGCGCAAATCAAGACCCATCGCTTCCGCGCGTTCTCCGATATTCCTATCTTCATTAAGAAACACTGTGACTTGACAGCCGCGACTAATCCCGGTTCCATTCAAGACAATAAAATTCAAGGCTTATCATCAGCCCACCAACCTCACAACATCTCATGCTCATGCAGCAGTCTAGACCAATTCCAGCGCGCCTCATCAGCGGAATACATGACACCATCCGACTCATCGACTTCGTCCGATATCCACCCCAATATACCTCAATACCCCCAAATACCCTTTGCCCCCGGCTTCCCTTACAGCCCACAGCAGTCAGCTAAGATCTGTCTTCGCGCCGCCCTTGTGATATCTCGCACGTTCGAAAGCCTGCCATACCCGCAGCCTCTCACGAGTAGCCACCACAATCGCTCACCGCAACGCCTGCCTCGGACGATGCCTTCGTTCGCATGCTGCCTGATGCAGAGTAGCTATGCAATGTTCATGATCTTCTACAAAGCTTCCGTTGCGAAGCAGTTTTCTCCGAGCTCCGAGCGGGACCTTATGGGTGACTCAACGGACCGCCTCATTGAGGAGTTGAGGCAAGGGCTTGAAAAGATTATCGTGGCCGTGTCAAATTATTCCATGGCCTTTGAGGCCTTGGATGGCATGCGAGGTGAGTTCCTCCGGCACCATTCTCATTGTTCACTCTTTTAACTTTCTATTCTCTTCAAGATGAAATTCAAGGCGCTTATCAGACGGCCTTTCCCAACGCCAATATTTGAGCACGATGATCTGGTTGGAATATCTATGATGCATTACTGAACCTCATCACTATTTGCATTTTCTGTTTTTTAGATACCTCTTCACATCGTTAGACGGATGTCAAGCGTGCTATTTTGACCGGCTGGTTTGCTCATTTTCTTTTAATAATCCCGTGTTTTCTTTGTATTATACCGAGAGCAGTTGCTCTAACCCCTCTCATGATCATGAAAGTTTGAACCCAATCTCAATTCCACATCGTTACATCCCCGAGCCAGTTGAGTTCCCAGGACATATCAAGTAAGGTCTCATGAACCCATACTCCATGTTAATCGTTGAGCGAGTTCACCACTTATCGGTATGGAAGATACTACAATGAGGCAAAAGCAAAAGTAAACAAATCCAAAATCTCCATACCATGCAAGATACTGACAAGACTCGATGCCACTTTACAATTTGGACCTAATCCCCTCCAACCGAAACTTGACATCCTTCAGAATCTTCGTCGACGGTCTCCAATCATCAAACTGGCGCAGCAGCTCCATCGTCTCCTCGTGCAGCTCTTGCCGTACCCTCTCTTCTTCGAGGATACCACGCATAGCAAAGGGAAGGATATATGGATTTGTCGTTGGGGAAGGTGCAGTTCGGTTTGATCGCAGCGTAGCCCCGGGGACTACAGATGTCTCCAGCGCGAACTGGATTGCCATGAAGTAGACAGCCTCATCGTCGTAGAGTCGAGAGTGCCCTTCTCCACCGTATAAGCTGCCCGCGAGCGGAAGGCTAAGTTCCCGGATCAGCCCGTGGTCCTGCACACCGAGGTTGCGGAGTTTGAGGGTGAAGCCGACGAGATGAGAAAGGCTGTTCGGAATCAGGACTTGTGATATAGTGGGGAAGTTTGGGGATCGCGGAACTTACAAACTCGGTGCATGGACTCTGCCATCGACAAAGACTGCCCGGTAAATATATGGATGGGCTATCGGAGAGAACAAGGAAGACTGTGTGGAATGAGATGAAATGATCGAGGCAATGCGAGGGGGGAATCTGCGTACCTCTAGAGAAACCAACTGGTCATCGATGCTGCCAACGTAAGTAATCCGCACACCAAAATCAAGAGCACATCTTAGTGCTGCTTCGTAGTCTCTAGAAACCTTGCTGGATGGCAGCTCAAACTCAAAGAGCTCCCCCGCGGAACCACTAATCCAGCGAGACCGGTACGAAGAGAAAGGCCCCATATTTACACCGGCCATCGCACAGATCCCCACTCGTGAGGCATTGACACAGCCAAACGCGATCAGCTTCGCCACCAGCATGATCGACACGGGCACGCCCTGACTATGAGACGCTATCAGGATGAAATCCGCCTTCCGGATCTCCTCCATCCAGTTCAAGAGGAGTTTCCAGAGCAAATCCACTCGTTCTGTAATGCGCCCTTCTCCTTCTAACGCAATTTTCTCGATCTCGCACGAGTAGCCCTGGCCCGCGGTCCACTTACGGATGGCTTCAGCTGCCATATTGGAGAATCGGATGGATGTGCCGGTGGGTTGCCCGAGGACAGTCCTGATAAATGGCGCTGGGAAATAGCCATGAACGCCGATGGCTAGAGCCCGTTTGATTTTAGGTGGATCCCGAACACGAGTGACATGGCTGTGTTCTACTCCTTTCGTGTAGTGGAGTAGGCGGCCAAGGGATTGTAGAAGAGATGGTGATTCTTCGAAGCGGTATGTGTCTTCGAAATGTGGCAGCACTTGATTAGGTAGGATCTTCTGCAGTTGTTTCGAGGCAGATGCATCGACCGGTCGTCCTTCGGCCGATGTCGAGGCTGTAGATGTTGCCTCCACCGTGGACATCGTTACGTCTTTGGCGCCTGTTTCTTTGGGCTGTGGTACTTTGAGGCTTCCTTTCTGCGTGATGTTTACTTGGGTATTTGAATCTGGTTCAAGCGTTGTCGGCCGTGACGGGGTGTCCTCCGGTATTGACGCTGCAACGGCTTCAGCCTCTTGCGGCTTCCCCGCAGCCGCATCTTTGGTCGTGGCTTTGGACCAAAACGACCACCCAGATGATTTAGTATTCGCTGGCGGGGTCTGAGATGGAAGCTCATCGCCTTGCTTATCAGGCGTGTCCTTTGGGGCCATGGGTCCTGTGGTTGTGTTGTCCGATTCTGCGGGCATGGTATTCGTCTCTGGTGTTCCTTTATCTTCCCGTGTGGCAGCAGCTGAACCATAGAACATCTGCAACCACGACCTCTTCTTGTTCGGAGATGTGTCTTCTGCCGTTTCTACAGGGTGCGCTGGCACCTGGCCGGGCTGTTCTGTTTGCCCGGGAGTATCGCTTGTGGCTGTTTGAGAGTAGGCTGCCGTGGGCTCTTGAAGGTCGTCTGTCGTCTGTTTAGCCGCCTCGGGGACTTGGGTGCTTGAATTAGTCTTATCTGTATTATCGGACCTGTAAATCCACGATAGCCATCCACCGGACTGTTCAGGAAGTGCCGCACTTCCTGAATTTGTATTGGTGTTTGAATCAACCTCCTCGTTGGCCGATTGCTCTTTTTCAGGGTTCTCTTCTGAAGTTATGTTTCCGTTTGCAGGCACCTCCTTCTTGGAGGATTCTGGCTCTGGCTCTGCAGCTTCAGGAGCCTCCAAGTTTTCTAGAGCGGTTGTAGAAGCCGAGCCAGATGATGCGACGTTTACTCTAGTGATAGTTGCGTCAACTGGAAGCGACCGAGTTGAAGAGCCAGCTTTCTTGATTAACTGAATGGAGGGAGCTCGAGTACGTTTCGAGGTATCGATCGAGGGAGTTGGGGAGTCTGTAGCGCTGGAGGCTATGTTTTGCGCGACCGATATGCTCTCACGGGCAACCTCGGTAACTGGGGCCGCTTTGGATCTGGATAAACCGGACCAAGACCCTGGATACCAGCTCTATATAGTAGGAGACCACGTAGTTAGCAAACAGAGATAATAGGGCCGATAACAAGCTTTCTCAAGAGGCTCTCAACATACTGCACGTCCTTGGGAGTCAGAGCGGTCTAGAGCATTGCTCGGAGTTGCGGGGAGGGCGATTCTGTGCCCGAAGGGCTGGGCTTCACTCTCTTACGCGATCCCTTGAACGTCATGGGTGCGAGGTAGATAGCACCAGGGCACTATGGTCTGGTGAGCAAACCATGAACAAAGCCTCTGGCGATATGTACAACAGGCGCCACAATTGGGGTCGCTGATATCATATCACATGTTGGCTCTTATCGGGGCCTGAAAGAAGATCGCCGCCTAAGGCAGAGATATTTCGCCAAGGCGGTGAGCGATAACCAACTTTTTTTTTCTTCCGCCTCTGGGTTGAGGGTATACAACAACTGTCGTTCAGGCTTCGTACCCTCAACATTCGCTAGAGAGGGTCCTGGTCTTGTTTAAGACCGTGTTCCAAGATGGCGATCCAGAAAAAGGTACATTTGATAATTGCTCCCCCCCTAAGCGTCTCATGATATTGATCTGTACTTCAGCATGGAAAAGGTCGTTTGGATAAGTGGTACCGTCTAGCCAAGGAGAAGGGTATGATCCCCCACGCACATCGTTTCTGCTTCAAACTGACCGGGAAAAAGGCTACCGGTCTCGAGCTGCTTTCAAACTGGTGCAGCTGAACAAGAAGTACGGGTTTTTGGAAAAAAGCAGAGTCTTGATTGATCTTTGTGCTGCCCCAGGTGTAAGTCTTATGGGCAACCATTGTGCAGGAAGCAAATCTAACAATAATTCAAGGGTTGGTGTCAAGTTGCGGCGGAATGTATGCCTAACCAGAGTCTCATTGTTGGTGTTGATCTTGCACCAATCAAGCCTATTCCTCGTGTAATTTCTTTCCAGAGGTTCGTCTTTTTATCTCGCTGTTCTCCAAAATGTACAGCCACTAACTCATCAATTAGTGATATTACAACCGACAAGTGCCGTGCTATAATCCGATCGCATCTTAAACATTGGAAGGCCGATACAGTTCTCCACGATGGTGCTCCCAACGTCGGAGCTGCATGGGTTCAGGATGCTTTCTCACAGGCTGAGCTTGTGCTGGAGTCCCTACGATTGGCCACAGACTTTCTGGCAGAAGGCGGAAATTTTGTCACTAAGGTTTTCCGTTCCAAGGACTACAATCCACTGTTATGGGTTTTCAAGCAGCTGTTCAACTCGGTCGAAGCGACAAAGCCTCCCTCGTCCCGTAACGTGTCTGCTGAAATCTTCGTTGTTTGCCGCGGTTATAAGGCTCCCAAGCGCATTGATCCCAAATTCCTCGACCCCAAGCATGTCTTTGCGGAATTGGCTGCGCCCACCCCGAACAACGAAGCGAAGGTTTTCAACCCAGAAAAGAAGAAGAGAAAGCGTGAAGGTTACGAAGAGGGCGACTACACTCAGTTCAAAGAACTCCCCGTAACCGAATTCATCAACGAGACAGACCCAATCGCAATTCTTGGAACTTACAACAAACTCAGCTTCCAGCAGCCAATTGGCGGAGACATGGCATTGTCAGCTCTGGACCGTCTTGAAGAAACGACAGATGAAATCAAGCAATGCTGTGAAGATCTCAAGGTTCTTGGTAAGAAAGAATTCAGGAACTTGTTGAAATGGCGATTGAAAGTTCGTGAGAAGTTTGGTCTCGTTGTGAATAAGAAGAAATCGAAGGACCAGGAGGACGAATCCGAAGAAGTGGCCGAGATTGCTCCCATGGATGAGGAATTGGCCATCCAGGAAGAGCTGCACCGTCTTCGCGAGAAGGAGAGCAAGGCAGATAAGAAACTCAGGAGGAAGGAGAACGAAAAGAAGCGAAAGGAGATTGTCAGGCTCCAAATGCACATGACCACGCCGATGGACATTGGTGTATGTTTTTAACTCCTTGGAACGGTATGGTTGGGAAACTAACCTTCATGCAGATGGAACAAGTAGGACCCTATGGCGACGACCCGACATTCAATCTTCGCCGTATCGATAAGGCCGGTGCTAGAGATGCGGTTGTCAACGCCAGAGATATCCCTGCCGAGAGCTCGGACGAGTCAGAGTCAGAGACTGAGGATGAGGAGGATGACGTTGATGGAGATCGCCTTGAGAGAGAACTCGATGGCTTGTATGAGCGATACCAGGAGCGCATGGAAGACAGAGACACCAAGCTGCGCGCGAAAAAGGCCCGGAAACAATACGAAACCGATGAATGGGAGGGTTTCTCCGAAGATAACAAGAGTGATGACGAAGAGGAAGAGGAGACAGGACCTGCACCTCTTGCGAGCAACAAGCCTCAGTCTGACACCCTTTCAAACAATGCTTCCCTTTTCTTCGACCAGGATATCTTCCAAGGTCTAGACGAGGAAGAGGAGGATGAAGAAGAAGACGACGACGACGACGACGACGACGAAGAAGAGGCGGAGAGGGAGGAAGAAGAGGAGGACAGCGAAGAGGAAGAAGTCCCCGCGCCTAAGCAAAAGAGCAAGAAGGAGACAAAGAAGCAAGAAAAGAAGAAAGAAAAGAAGCAAGAATCTGAATGGGTCGACTCTGAGGATGAAGAGGCTGAAAAGCAGATCAATGATCCCCGCAAGCCTAATGGGCAGCTTGGTACGTTATATCGCCTTGGCTATTGGAGTTTGGTTATTTCTAACGAGTGGCTACAGATATCGATATCATCACAGCAGAGGCTATGGCCCTCGCACAAGCGATGGCTAGCGGAGAAAAGAGATCAACCGATATCGTGGATGATGGATTCAACCGCTTTTCTTTCCGTGACGTTGACGGTCTCCCGGAATGGTTCCTGGATGACGAAAACCAGCATAGCAAGATACAGCGTCCTATCACCAAGGCTGCTGCGGCAGCGATCAAGGAGAAGCTGCGTGCTATCAACGCTCGTCCGATCAAGAAGGTTATGGAAGCCAAGGGCCGTAAGAAGTTCAAGGCTGCCCAGAAGCTTGAGAAGCTGCGGAAGAAGTCCGCCTTGCTTGCCGATGACGAGGCGCTCAGTGAACGCGACAAGGCGCAATCCATTTCCAAACTCATGAGCAAGGCTGGAAAGAAGAAGCCCAAGCAGCAAGTCAAACTGGTTGTGGCTCGGGGTAACAACCGTGGTATCTCTGGTCGACCCAAAGGTGTCAAGGGCAAGTACAAGATTGTCGACTCCCGTATGAAGAAGGATATCCGGGCGCAGAAGAGACTGGCCAAGAAGAAGCAGTAAAAATGTTCATGCATAATACATAGATCAATCGGATTTTCATGATACCTATGGACATAGAAGATAAGGGCTATCCAATAAGTTAGGCGTATAGTTGAGGCTGAAGCGGTGCCTGACCCTCAAGAGGTACCTCGAACTCAAAAGATGCCAAGACCCCAACACCGCGGCGATGGTTTCCCCCGAGTGGCGCCTATCGATTGGATCTAATCTTTTTCTCTTCCTCAACTTTGCCAGCACATACGCGCTTTTTCATTCCTGATGTTTACATCGTGCATACAATAGTGCATCTGCATTCCTCTGTTCATACTGTACATTCCTACCCCGCTCCGATGGGGTTCTTCGACCACCTCCAAAAAGGAGGGGCCTTTTCTCTGCAGCCGCAAAAGGCGCAAGTGCGCAAGGTCGTGCAGACAAGACCCGCCCTCCCCAAATCGAAGTCCACCTCCCAGACCCCAGATAGCCGCTCGCCTCGAGTTCAATCCTCCTCCGAACGGAGCCGCAAGACGCCCCTCCAATCCCGGTCGGCCTCGACTGATCCAGAAGCGCGCCCCTCCAAGCGTCTGAACACTCCGACACGCGGTCGCAAGAGACCAACGCCCGAGCAGCGCCTCTCCAGTGATGACGATACCAGCGATAGTGATGTATCTTTCGAAGTTCGCAAACGCGCGCGGACCAGTGCCAGCGCAGAGCCGGACCCGGAGAGGCGGCTTCGCTCGCTGAAGGCATTTTCGGAAGAGGGAAGCCGTCCGTTCAAAATGGTCCATGCCGCGGCTATTACCTCTGGTCAGAAAGCTGGGAAGTTCAAGGCTGCGTTTGGAGCTGAGGAAAAGACCAAGCCTATCTTCTTGCAATACCCGAGTGCTTCCCAGAAAGAGAAGTATGTGCGCCCAATTGATGACGATGTACGCAACATGCTAATAAGCTATTCCTCCTTACTTAGGTACGAATGTGTGGTTCCTCGAGATAACGATGAGTTCCGATCCATCGACGAGATCGTCCAAGTAATAGAGACTGTGGCGGATAACTACATCCCTGCCGAAGAAGCAGACGAGTTCAACAATGAGACCACTGGAATTAAACGGCGACTGCGCAGAGCTCTTGCGGTAGTATCTGAAACTCAGTTCCGAGAGGCTGTAGACGACTACAATAAGGCTATTACGCGGCTGCGCGAGAACGGAAGTATTGCAAAGCTATTGGATGCGACTCAACGCATGAACCTGCCCTGGGTTGAGCGAATCTTGACTCAAATCTACGCACGTACCGTATCCCCTCGGGTCGAGTCTTTGCGGCAATACGAAAACGGTACAGACAATGTGTACGGCGAGCTTCTTCCACGATTTATCAGCAACATATTCAAGGAGACCAAACTCAAATCAAGCCAGGTTTTTGTGGATCTCGGATCTGGTGTGGGGAATGTGGTACTTCAGGCTGCGTTGGAGATAGGTTGCGAGAGCTGGGGCTGTGAGATGATGGCAAACGCCTGTGACTTGGCGGACTTGCAGCAGTCCGAATTTAAGGCGCGTTGTCGGCTCTGGGGTCTTTTACCTGGCAAAACCCACCTGGTTCGAGGTGACTTCCTGGAGCAAGAGAGCATTGTCAATGTTTTGAAGCGAGCAGACGTGGTTCTCATCAACAACCAGGCTTTCACCCCGCAGCTTAACAACGAACTCATCAATCATTTTCTTGATATGAAGGAGGGGTGCCAGATCGTGTCTCTCAAGTCTTTTGTTCCAGCGGGACATAAAATCCAGTCCCGCAATCTCAACTCACCTATCAACCTTTTGAAGGTTCAGCAAAAGAACTACTGGTCGAACTCTGTCAGCTGGACGGATGTCGGTGGCACATACTTCATTGCCACGAAGGATAGCTCCCGGCTGCAGGCCTTTGCCAACGGCTTACTTTGAATCTAACATGAAGGAACCGGCCATCAGCGCGCCAACATACTGCAATTTATGCATATTGTGAGGAGTGAACTTGACGCTTTGTACATTATCTTCTCATTTTGGACATATCATTCCACTAGTGTAAATATCATCATGTTCTTGCATCAATTCGATCAATTCTATGACTGATAATGTTCAGACGCACCTTTACAATCCTACAAAAATATCAGAATAAGTAGCGGCAGTGATAGAAAAGTCAGAGTGACTAAGAGAATTTAGAAGCATCGTTCATGGCATCCGCTTCTATGCTCATTCGAGCCATCCACCGATCAACCAGCTCTTGGTTTTCACGTTGCAGTTTGCTAGACTTTTCGTCCGCCATGTTGAGTTGCAAATTTAGAGTTGCCATCTCATCCTGGAAGTCCTGTTGATAAAGAGAAATGAGTCCTTGTTTTCCGAAAAGGATGCGAGTATTTGCCTCCATACCTCAAGCAGCTTTGCCTTCCCCTTCAACTCTTCGTCCCTGTCTTTGAGTCGGAGCTGCAGACTCAATCTCTCACTCTCCAGAGCATTTATACGCCGGCTGTCCAGGACGCTCTTCTTGCGCAGCTTCTCAACTTCTGTCGTCACAATACCTAGCTTTTCTTGCAGATCAGATCGCGAGCGTTGCGCCTCCGACAAGTCGGCTCTGGTGCTCTTCAGAAGGTCCATTGTCGACGGCCCTACATCGGACGACTGATTTTTCTTGGTGACCAGTGGAGCTGGGATAGTGCGTTGAGAATCACTCAGCTGTATAGGGCGATCGGCCGAGCTGCTGCCTGGTACTGCCGTGAGGGCGGCGGTGCGATCGGCAAGACGAGCATCTGCCATAGCTATACGTCAGTCTCAGAGATTACGGATCAGTAGACCAGGCGGACGTACAGGCATCGTAGATGTTTACGTTGGCCTTCTCCCTCTGATCCCTCACGGCTAGAGCAGCCAAATACTCTTCTCTCTCCAATGGGCCATCGGCCGTGGGGCGATGGGGCATGGAGGGACATGGACGAAAGCGACTTGAAGCTAGCGGGTTATCGGGGAAGTACCGCCTCCCCCCACCGCCTGCGCCCTCATGTGCTGCATCATCGAACCCGCTGCAACCCAACTCACTCCTTCTTATCTGCTTGCTTCATCTGCAAGCAAACTGCTACGCATTCTACTCAGCTCTCCATATCTTTCTAATCAAAGACCGAGCGGCTCACTGCCCCGGTTTCTCTCGGCTACCAGGCATATACCGTAGCTATGGCGTCACGGAAGAAGGTCCTCCTCAAGGTATGATCTCCGCACCAGCTCCGTGCTAGCTTTTGATGATCCGGCGCAAAACTGTGGACCGTTAGTCTAACTCTTTGTCTACATAGGTCATCATCCTTGGTGATAGCGGTGTCGGCAAAACCAGCTTGATGAATCAATATGTGCGTTCTCCCATCCACCAGCTATCAGCGTATAGCCGCCAAGCTCTTTTCAGCGTGACTGACCCTAAATTTCGACACACAGGTCAACAAGAAGTTCAGTGGAAGCTATAAGGCCACTATCGGGGCCGATTTCCTCACTAAAGAAGTCCTCGTGGATGACCGCTTAGTCACTATGCAGGTATAGCTACCTCCATGACGAAAAGCACCTCCATCAAAGCAGAGATTAACTTGCCATACAGATCTGGGACACTGCTGGCCAAGAGCGGTTTCAGTCATTGGGCGTAGCATTCTATCGAGGGGCCGACTGTTGTGTTCTCGTTTATGATGTTAACAATTCCAAGAGTTTCGAGGCTTTAGACAGCTGGCGAGACGAGTTTTTGATCCAAGCTAGCCCGCGGGACCCAGAAAGCTTCCCATTTGTGAGTTCTACGGGCGCTTTCTCCAGTAATTCATCACGGACAAAGGGCTGATTACCTTCTAGGTTGTCATCGGTAACAAGATTGACGTGGAGGAGAACAAGCGCATGATTTCCTCGAAACGAGCGATGACCTTCTGCCATTCCAAAGGCAACATCCCCTACTTTGAGACCAGTGCGAAGGAGGCACTGAATGTTGAACAGGCATTCGAAGTCATCGCCCGAAGCGCGCTCGCCCAGGAGGAAGCCGAGGAGTTCAGTGGTGAATTCAGTGACCCCATCAACATCCATCTAGACAACGACCGCGATGGCTGTGCTTGTTGATACCCCACCAATTCTCATGATGTTTCAGCGCTCTATTTCGTTCTTCTGTCTGTGGTGTTAAACATAATGCTGGTTCTTATCTCGAGTGATTCCGCTTGTATAGGTCATTGGCTTGCTTTGGGGACTGTGTTTTGTAGATTTTCTTCTTTCTGCTCATGGTTTCTCTCGGTCTGAAGCGAGCAGCATGTTCCTAGACTTGACTCCTGGTCATGATCATTGCATGCGGTTTCTGATCTTTCGTCCAATGCAAATTGTTTTCCACCCTATCCATCTTCCTAGTTTGTAGGAACCTCAATTTCCTTTCGATCAGGTCTCTTCTTAGGATCAGTCGTTTCACTGCATTGGGTACCACTGGTCTGATTATTCTGGTTGTGCCGCGCCAGTATTGTTCGTGAACCAAATTTCTTTCTCATTCTGTTTCAAAAAGATATCGAGGGCAAGTGCATAATACTCTCGCCTGTCCACTCTGCAGTAATTTCTGTATGCAATGAAACGACGATCCCTAAGCCCTGGTCGCTGATAGGGCGATAGGGGGTCCTTATCCCGCAATCGGGGTGTCGCACCTGGCACCTCCGCTTCTCACGCGCACATCCTTCGTGACTGTCGACTCTTGATCCCGGTCTTCCCCTGAACAAAACGGCAGACACTGAGTACCCATGATCCGACACTATCCTACTTGTCAACAGGACACCTCAAAGCGACCGAGCTAATCCCTCCTACAGGGGATCCAAGCCTAACTCACGTCGGAGACTCTGAGACTGTGAGGCTCGGAGACGCCAAGGGTCGTCGCAACCCTCGATCATGGCCACCAACAATGCGCCGGTCGCTAGAACAGGAAGAGCGAGACGTACGCTGGGCATCTGCCTCTTGCTTATGGTCGTTGTGCTGTGGACAGCCTCGAACTTTCTCGGAAGTGTAGGCTCTCTCATCGCCAAATGTGGTATTCGACCACACGAGCAGGATAATTGCTGACTTGACTTTGCGTCATTTTGTCTAGACTATCTTTGCCGATGGCACATATTCAAAGCCCTACTTCGTCACATACATGAACACTTCCTTGTTCACCCTGCCTCTTTTCGCGATTCTACTTACGCGGACGTGGAATCTGCGGCAGGCCAATAAATTGCAGCATATACATTCGTTCTCGAGTTTGCTACGCCATTTGGATTCCGATGACCCGAAGGCAGAGGAACAGCGAAGTTTGCGTCGTGGCTCTTTTGACGAGGACGAGCATGTTACGGAAGGCTACAATATTGGAAATGAAGCGCAGTCAGCCCCAGAAGGACGGTTAGGCTTGAGGGAGACTGCGAAGCTGAGCTTCCAGTTCTGTCTTCTTTGGGTATGTATCTCCACGTATTCATATCTGGTCTCGTAGTTGTAACTAACAGGATTATAGTTCTCGGTATGTCATAATCTGCATTGGACCTGTATGCGATATCCGAGAATTACAGGTCCCTGACTTAAGTCTATTTATAGGCCAACTACTTTGCTATGGCATGCCTACAGTATACTACTGTGGGAAGCACGACAATCTTAACTTCAACGAGCGGTAAGGAATACTGCATGTTGCAACTGGTCGCCATCAACTAAATTCGTCCATTCAGGTGTCTGGACTCTGCTCTTTGGCGCGCTCATGAAGATCGAGAAATTCACTTTCCGCAAGTTTCTCGGCGTGCTTGCCTCTTTGATCGGTGTCATCTTGATCTCGCGCGTCGATCTCACAAAGCCTGAATCAGATGCTTCTGCTGCCGGAGAAGGAAACTTCCCACATAAGACCTCTGGGGAAATCGCCCTGGGCGACGCTATGGCAGCCTTCAGTTCCCTTTTGTACGGCCTGTACACAGTAGTGATGAAGAAGCAGGCAGGGGACGAGTCGAGGGTGAATATGGCCCTTTTCTTCGGACTGGTAGGTATGTTTAACGTGGTGCTGATGTGGCCTGGATTTATCATCCTGCATTTCACGGGTGTGGAACCCTTTGGATTTCCCGAGACGAAACGCGTATGGACAATTGTCCTGGTATGGTGCCCTCTCCTTCTTTCTGTTACCGCATATGCTGACACAGGTCGTCTAGTGTAACGCCGCCTCCTCCCTCTTCTCTGATGTCTGCTGGGCTTATGCCATGCTGCTCACCACACCTTTGGTCGTTACTGTTGGCCTAAGCTTGACCATCCCTCTGTCCCTCGTTCTGCAGATTTTCCTGCAAGGACAGTACGCAAGCGCGGTGTATTGGCTTGGGGCTGCGATTGTGTTCTTATCATTCTTGGTCATTAACCACGAAAGCAAGACTGCAGCGGATGATGCTCCCGGTGAGATGCGCAGGCCGACATCTGCCGAGTATGAAAGCATCCCTCGAGAGGATGACCCGCATCAAGCGTGACCGCCTCGGCCTTTTACTCTTCACCTTAACATAGCGCCTTTGTATTCCCATTCTTCCCTTTTGTTGGCAGATTGTGTATTAGGGTAGAATAGACGATGTAGTTGAGCCTGAGATACGTTCCCCTAAAATTGATCATTGAGCATATCGGTCTCTCATGAGTGATGCAAGTGTAAAGAAGAACCCTTCACGAATTGTTTCCCAGTTTCATAGGATTATCAATTAGAAACTAGATAGTCTGGTATCAAATCTAGACAAGACAAATTAAATAGGCACCCCCTGTGTGGGAAGTGATGAAATGATGTAACGCCTTCCGACTCCGCAACTCGTCGTATTCCGTGGAGAAACCACCAGAAGGCGTAAGAAAGATGTGGCCAACAGCCGTGGGTATTTGTGGACATGAGAAGATAGTAGAAACAAGAAAGAAAATGGTCAACGAAAGGACAGGTTCGAAGAAGGATAGGAGACAAGGTTAGAAAATGCCGATTGGCGTATGTCTGGGTATTCGAGACGGACAAGGAATTGAGAAAAGAAAATGACGATTCCAGAGCACAATCTGAAAGGTATTCGACAAGATACAAGACGATCAGGACGCAGAGGGTGGGGATGTAGCGGAGCCTGCTGATACCGAAGCCTTCTTGCGGGCAACAATGATGCTCTTCAGTGCGCCCAGCCAGCGAGCCAGCGACTCTTCGTCCGGCGCACAGAGCCGGTATGTCTTCTCCTCCGCGATGATCTGCAGACAAAAGGTCTTGGATCGGGACAGGGGGTCGATTTCCGCCGCGTCGATCACCTGAGACATGGAGATGATGCGGAGTGCGGAGTACTCAGAATCATCCTTGTAGAAGGCGAGGTTCTTCGGCCGCAAGACAACCCACAGTCGCTTCCACTGGCGTACAGTTCCCTTGATACGCAGACCCTGCAGATAGCCTTGGCAGATGACGCGGGCCGGGTCACGCAGAACACCCAGGTCAGACTGTCGGCTCGGGTCCCGGGGCAGGGATGCGGGCTTGTCGGGCGCATCTTCGGGGGCGGAGACGGAGAGGGTTTGGTTAGATGGCACTGATCGCAGATAGCTGCCTCGTGTGGGCGGAGTGTAATCTGACAGTTCTGAGAAGGAGGTCATTTCGTTGCCGGAGTAGTCCTGGATATATGGAGGTTTGGAGGCACGGGAATGAGAGCTCGGAGGCAAGGAACGGCCTAGTTCCGGGGAACTGGGGCGGCCTGTTATATCGAAATCGGAGTGGTCTGTGGTGTCTTCGACGAGTTGTTTTTGGATCTTGGGCGGGTTGACGGCGGTTGCTAAACTCAGGAAGGTCGGGTCGGTCTCGTCGGAGGGCGATTCAGAGCGAATGCGACTGATCCATTCGTCCGCATCGCGTTCGGAAAGAGCTTCGAAACGGTAGTTGGTGGACGGGGTGAAGACACCAAAAACATATTGACGATGTGAGCGGGGGGGACTTGACCGGGGCGACAGCAGTCACGTCCGAGAGGGTGATCGCGACGCGAAGGCGAGTGGTTTCCTCGTCCTTGTAGACGGAGAGCAAGTTGGGGCGCAGAACGAGATAGGCGGGTTTCCAGGATGCGCGGAAGACGTGCTTGTGCTTCACACGGCGAAGGACGCGGCCGCTCTTGATAACACGATCGAACTCGAAACTGCCGTTTTCATTGACTGGGGAGAAAGTGTCGAGCGTGGCTTGCCCATTGCGCGACACTGGAATCGGTTGAAGCCGTGGGTTCGATGCGCCGCTGGGTCCCGCGAGCGAGGGACGGGATATGGCGGCGCTCATGGTAGGTGAGCATTGAAGAGACGAAGGTGATCAAACTATAGAAGAAAAGGGGGGAACCCCGCGGTGCAATGGCCTCTGTAGAGCGTCGACGATCATTACCCATCAAACGGAAAATGGAGCGTCAAGAGTTAAAATTACATCGAAAGGGTCTTGGGACCGAAGTCGGTCACATTGGTTTCAAGTTTATTCCCCTTTGGGTCATTCACGCGTGGGACCCAAAGAATCCAACCAGGTACGAATTCGACTGATTTATGGTACGTAGATCTTGGAACCTCGGGAGGGCCAAGCAGGCTTTTTAACCTCATAGGATGTAGTTACTTCTATGCAGTAAGATTGGTGCCTATGAGTGGCAACTAGGTCTGGAGATCCTGATTCTTGTTCAAATCAAGCCATCCGAAATGCGACTGCCTGGCCCACCAGAACAGTCCTCTGGGGAATGGAAGCTCTCAGAGGCCACATCCCAGATTCCAACCTGGCCCCTTTTAGAGCAACAATGCACATGAACACTGCGCAAGGGTCCAGGCCCCTCAGGCCACATCGCCCGTGCAAGTGGAGCCGCGTCAATTGGCAGGTCCCCTTCCTGCAAGGCACGGTGCGATCGGTGGAAAATACGTACTTCGTAGAAAGAAAAGACATTTGGAATATCCGAGTAGGGTTTTCCTGGGATCATGAAGAGGCACTATTTGTGGCCCTACCAGTTCTTGCTGCGCCGGGCCTGGTCGTCACGTGCGAGAGGCGGATAAGGCTCTATCGGACCGTTGTGATGAGAATGTGGTGGCAGTGAGGCAAGCCACGAATCAGGGTCCAAGCCATGGCCCGAAGGATACAGATAGAGTTGATAGTGAAAGGTTAGAGGGATCGCACATACGCCTAGTCAAGTACACGGACAAGGCCATGCCCTCGGATTCATGATGCCACCGTCAATCGACCGTCTCATGCACTACAAGGACTGAAACACCGCCCTCGCCACCTTCCAGGCAGAGGGGAAGGGAGTGGGCGGGGGGGCAAATAAGCCTTTGGAAATCCACCGAGTAAAAGAACAAGTATCCTTTTAGTTTAGGGGCTCGTTACCGGGTCTCCTCCAGACCAATGGATATAGAGTAAGCCAAGGAGGAGGCCCTGATAGACGAAAGTCGAGGCGAATCAAATAAAAAAAAAAAATAAAAGTGGTCTTTTCCCCTTCGATATGGAAAATTACAGCTCAGTGACCCGTGCGGAACAAGTTTCACGGCGGCAGGCCCGCATGTCAGGGGTAAGTAACAGTTTTTCCGTGACACAGCCTGGCCTCATTGCGCCTCCTGGGTCTTGGCGCCTCTGAATCTCTCATCCCCGTCCCCGTCTCCGACTTCCTCTCCCTCCCTCTCCACCTCATCTCCTTCATCGGATTCATGACCATCACCTCTGGCCCCTACTCTTGAGTGGTCTTTTGTGTTGCTCCCGACCCCCTTCCTCCTTCTGCCCCGAATCGCCCGGGTCCGAGAAGGTTCTCTGGGGGAAAGGAAAGGAGGCTTTCCTCCGGCCATTCGTTTTTTGTCTTGTGAGAGTTTATTTTGCTTTTGAAGAGAGTATCCGGGTTTCTGGTACTCACAACCACCTCGCCGCTCATTAACCACCCTTCGAACTACCCCCTACCTCCCCGATACCTTATCTGGGGTCAATCACACCTCATTGGCCTCCTACTCTTGCACGGGAATCGTTGATTAGACCACCGTGGGGTCTGCAACGACTACCCCCCAACTCTTACCCATGAGCTTCATTCAACGCCTCACAAAGCGCCTGCCCAGCGCGCCGAGTCTTCCACTCGAAGATGACTCCAGGGAGAAAGGTCGCGCCTCGCCTCGTTTCGCCTTCTTCCGCCGGCGCATCCGTTTGAAGGGCAACTCCTCCATTTCTATACCCCTAGGATTTGTCTTACTATTTCCATGCCTTGTAATTGTCTTCATCCTTCTCCTTTTCGTGCGCCACCCCGCATCCCCGGGGGTATCCTAATTCCAGCTGGCGCTCCGCCATCCATTCGGTTAGTCTTTCCCTTCGGGACCTTGAACTTCGATGTCTCCTTTGCTTCGGCCACATGGAAACGAGTACTGACCTTGCCTGGTCTCAATAGCAAAATCAGCGAGAAATATGATAAAGTGTTTGCCACGGGCTGTATGCCCATCGAGCCCGATGGACCAAAGACTCCTCGTGCTAACGCCGCCTTCGTCGTCCTCGCCCGAAACAAGGAACTGGAAGGTGTGGTTCAGTCGTTAAAGTCGATCGAGCGACACTTCAACCGCTGGTATCACTACCCGTACGTCTTCTTGAACGATGGCGACTTCGATGAAGAATTCCAAGCAACCGTGAAGAACTACACGAGCGCCCCGGTCGAATTTGGCAAGATTGATAACTCTGCATGGGGTTTCCCCGACTGGGTCGACCATGAGGTAGCCAAGGAGGGTATCCGAAAGCAGGGCGATGCTGCTATCATGTATGGTGGCATGGAAAGTTACCACCACATGTGTCGGTTCTACTCAGGGTCAGTTCCATTCGACACCTTCTTTTGCCCAGTTCAGAATCACTAATCGTCGAACAGCCACTTCTACAAGCATCCTCTCCTGGCCAAATACGAATGGTATTGGCGTTTGGAGCCCGAGATCAAGTACTTCTGTGACATTACCTAGTACGTATTCCTGCAATCATGCCAGAATCCCCTCTGCTAACCGTTCTCCAGTGACCCGTTCCTCAAGATGATCGAAGCGAATAAAACATACGGTTTCACCATTGCTGTGAAGGAACTCAGAGAGACTGTCCCCAATATCTTCCGATATGCATCCGCATATAAGCGTAAAAACAACTTTGAATCAAAGGGTCTCTGGGAGATGTTCCTGGAGCCCAAGCCCGAGACCCCACCCGAGGACGAGCAAAAGGATCAAAAGCTGCCTGACGAGATCCTGCAGACCGAGCCTGGGGACATGAATCTCGAGGATATCGACCCGGAGACCATGGAGGGAGAGAGCTACAACATGTGCCATTTCTGGAGTAACTTCGAAATCGCCCGTTTGGACTGGTTCCGAAGCAAGGAATACGAAGATTTCTTCCAGATGATGGATCGCAGTGGTGGTTTCTGGAATGAGCGTTGGGGTGATGCACCAATCCACTCCCTCGCAGCTGGTATCCTCCTTGGTCCCGGTGATATTCACTATTTCCGTGACTTTGGCTATCGGCACACCACAATTCAACATTGCCCAGCGAACGCCCCTGCTCGACAGCTTCCTCGGGAACCTTACTTGGAGAAGACCACCGAAGATGAGAAGCAGCGGATCGAAGAGGATGAATACTGGGCGACTCCTGACCCTGTCAAGGAAAATGGGGTTGGCTGCCGATGCCGCTGTGACACCGACATTGTTGATGTTGAAGGCAAGCAGGGTAGTTGTCTGAATGAATGGGTGGACGTGGCCGGTGGCTGGGCTTCGCCATAGATTCGTCGCGACCATGAGTTGATAAATCGGCGCGTTCCAATTTGATTAATATGTCTTTCTCGTCCTCCCTGGTCCACTTGGCTGAGATGTGCATGCTAAGCCGGCTAGGTTTCTCTCTGGGTGGCGTTCACGGATCTGACGGCTCTTTTTGTTTTGGAAATGTGACCATTTCCACTATCCAGGTTGACATATTCATCTTAACGTGTGGTGTGCGACCTTGGGATCGGCTGTGCTTATCTTTTCTTTCCCTCTCTGATTGCGATCTCAGTGGCTGTTCAATCGCTGTCACTTGGAGTATAAACATGTGCCTCTTTTGGCACTCGCATTCTATCCCGCCCGCGCTTGGTCCATTCTGCGCTCCCGATGATCCCCTGCTTACGAATCACTGAGGCACCGGTGCATCCCCCATTGAACATACGACACATCTCAGTCAATAGAGATATCAACCCCGAATCGCTGCGGATGTGTTACTGGGAAACACGACGACTTTCCTGTCGTGTTGTTTTGTGTTTTTCCCTTTTTTTTTGTATTTCTTTCCCCCCCAGCTTTTCTTTTTCTGCTACTTGTCACTACTACTGCACTCTATCTTCCCATTCGTCCCCAGTTTTCTTCATCCTAGCACTCCTGTGGTTGTCTTTCCAGCATGCATCTATGAAATGTACATACCTTTCCCTCTCTCAATCACGCTGTCCGACGTGATGTCGGACTTTCCCCGCATTGCCTCCTAAAATCTCGCAAATACCAGATCGAGCGTGGCTGTCTATAGAGTATGGATTAATTACCCGGTGAATTACGCAAAGAATGATAGTAGTCTAATACACGCTTTTTCATCTAATGAATATCCTCTATGAATACTTCTCCTACAACCAAGCTCCGATCTGGTTCTTGGAGCATAAACGCTAATAAAGGATGCTCCCGGGGATCAACTAATGATCGACAAAATGAATACTACTTCTACTTCTAAGCGATTGACGACGATAACAGTGTTACCGTTCCACTGGGCGCAGGCGCAGCTTAGAGTAGGATTTGGGGTCCAAGAGCGGGGAAAGACGAGGCACTCAGGCATGCATGGATCTACATCGGCCCCAGTGATTAGAGAGATTGTTCAGCGCTGGAGCCCGAGATTTCCCCCCTACCTCCCTACATCCTATGTTCTGGCTATTGTCAATCATCGGCCTGGCCGCGGCCTTTAACAACCCTCCTGGGGTTGATATATGGTGCGGCAAAGCCTATCGCTCAACGTAAGAATATCCGACGCCCTACCCCAGTTTGATAACTCCTAAGCTTCCACAGAAATGCCTCATTCGAACCAGGAGGATGGCTGGAACGCCCTAGAGAGTCCTCGGTTCCCTTGTTAGATCTACGCGTGCGGCCTCGGATGAGTTTATACACTGCTGCTGAAAGCAAAGCATCTCTCATCATTGATGCAGACATCTCATATATCCGCGGTGACCCCCTGTATGTCACGGGTTCGCATAACGCTCAAGATCTCCAGCTCGAGATCTCCATTGCAGACGCGGACCTGCAGCTGCAGCGCAGCGTACCTATCAATTCCTCGTCAAACGAGATTGAATTCTCGCTGCGGCATCTGTCTCCTCGTCTCGAGCCATACCTCGTCACCCTGAAGGCTACCCGTGGCGATGCACGCACTGTCTACAGTGCTACTACGCAGCTGCACCACCTCCCATCCCGCACAGATGGGGGCAGTACAACAAAGCTAGATAGCTTGTTCGGTGGTCTGCTAGTGCAGAACAGCGACTCTTCGACATGGAGACCGCTATTCCCATACTCCTACTACGCCAGCTGGGACAGCTTCGCGAACTCCACAGCCAATGTCCAGTCCTTCAAAGACCAAGGCTACAACATTATCCACATTGTCCCGGATACGGGACCCGTGGCCCACGCATTCAATCTCACGCAGCTGAACGCCTTCCTCGACAAGTGCGACGAGATAGGCCTGTGGGTCATGTGGGACATGCGCTGGACGTACAAGGACCTGTCCCTCGTCCACGAACAGCTCTCCCTCCTCAAGTCCCGCAAGAGCCTCCTGCTCTGGTATACCGGCGACGAGCCTGATGGCCCCGGCGACCCGCTCAACGCGACCAAACTGGCCTACAGCGCCATCAAAGCCGTTGATCCCTGGCACCCCGTCTCGCTAGCGCTGAACTGCTTTAATTTCTACTTCGAAGAGTACTCGTCCGGCGCGGATATCGTGCTCTCCGATGTATACCCGATAGCGGTGAACACGAGCTGGTCGGCCGAGTACAATACGCCCTGCAATACCACATACGGGTGCTGCGGGTGCGACGATTGCCGCGGGGAGATGGAAGATATCTCGGTACGGCTGGACGCATTCGCGGCGTATCAGGAATGGCTGGGGATGGAGCCGAAGGCGCTGTGGGGGGTGCCGATGGCGTTTGGTGACGCAGAGTTTTGGACACGGAAGCCTACGGGAGCAGAAGAGGTGAGTATGACGATGCTGAGTTTGAATCATAATGCGAAGGGAATTGTTATGTGGGATTGGCCAACGTCGGCGGAGTTGGCAGCGACGACGCATGATTTGAGTCGGGTTCTTGTGGGAGATGAGATTGTACGCTTTGTTTTGGGTGCGCACACGCTGCCGTTGAGTGTTCAGGGGCATTCGAAGATTGATGCGGCGGGATGGAAAGTGGGAGATGAAGTGCTGGTTAGTATCTTGTCGTTGCAGACGCCGGATTGGGATGATGTTGTAACGGTCGAGCTGCCACGGGGCGCGAAGGTCGTCTTGAAGGTGGTTCTGGGCAAAGGGGAGTGGAAGTTGGTAGATGGTCATCTTGTGAAGAAGGGTGGACATGGGCTTGAGACGGATTTGTTGATTGTTGAATTAGGAGGTTGATATTGCTAATCTTCAAGATAGACTCTGAGACATGTATATAGGGCGGTCTTCCAGCCAGATATGGTATAGAGAGTAAGTCCACATTGAACCTCTGTGGACTTGACAGCCACTGTTCATCCTTAGCCAATTGAGGTTCTGTAGCTGCCATAGCTGCTCTTGCCGAGTCGTATACTACTAGAGAACCAGGTACTATGAGGTAGCTTCCGGCAGTATATGTACGGTTCTAACATTTGGAGGTTTCTCAGAACATACCTAGAGCTCCTACTAGGAGGTAGGAAATGAGCAAGTCAAATAGCGCACTAAACTTCCTCGACAAAAGCCATGAGCTTCCTAGGAACACGGGAGCGAGGACCTCCTGACATCGTGAAGAGTGGAGGATTTTTGCTAGCGATCTTTCGAACTCCACGCTTTGGGTAACTTGATATTATGGCCTCTTGGCTGAAGATCAGTTATCCATATTCATCATTGCGGTCCAACAGGGCTACAAACCTTTGGTGTAGGTGGCCCTCCTTGGTGAAAGCCGCCTTGCGTCCGTCACCAAATGACGGACCTCCTCTTCCAGGACACGAAAAGTGGGTCTCAAGATAATATAAGCCTAGCCTAACAAGGACAAGAAAAAGTAACAATCTTGTATTGGATTGGTGATAGTTGTTCAGTATCCAGTAGACTCGATAAATATGCTATCTTGCAACACTGATAAGGATGCCAGTCCTTCAGACTGTCAGATACTGGATTTGGTAAGGATATAAAATCTCGAGTGTTGTAGCTCTGTTGGTTCTCTGTTTGATCCCCTAGCTGTATTATGATATTGGGTATCTTGTCCTCGGCCTTTGTTCATAGGTCACTGTTGATGATTCAGCTTCGATTCTTATGGCACTCCTGCCTATCCTTCATCTTCCGATTCCTCTTGTGCTCTCTTAGCTTTCTATACTTCCATAGACATAGTTGAAAGCAGCTGATTCCAGTAGGCCAGATGTACTACTTCATCCTCGGCGTCGTCCGTCCTACTAATATACCGCTTGATATAGTCGATATGATATTTTCCCACTCTTTGCCTTGTCAAAAGGTTCACCAGTTCCACTGACTTCCTCCTGTCCAAGACTCGCCTGATCTTGAACTGGCCCCTCCAGCGTGCTTCCAGTTTCCGCACATGGACATTGTCAAATACTGTATTCCTGAGCAGTACCATGTCCCCAGTCTGGAATGTCCTCTTCTGTTTATAATCCAGGGCCTGGTTTTCCTTGCTGCTTCGCAGGTCACGAATCTTCTCTCTGGCATACTCTAGACGGGCTATGTATGATTTTCCTACTTGGCGAAGGTCGACATTATCTAGGCTGACTCGCGAGATTTCGGTGCTTAGCTGTTCAGCCTGTATCTGGTCCATTACCGAACCTGGTCTGTAGGACTAGCAGAACGCCTTGTCCAAATGGTCATCAAACTGCTGAGGGCATACACGGCTGAAAGGTATCCGCAAAAGATATCCAGAAACTGCTTTCGGAATTTAACTCTGCAGTTGATGACCGCAATGAGCTCATTCATTTCCAGATCATACGTCCTCCGGATACCCTCGGGCATGTTCTTCGGGTTTTGAGGCAGAGCCTTGTCCCCTGTGTTTGGCATCCTTTTGTAAGCAAGTCTGACAGCCGTGGGATCTATCATCCCGGCCAAGGGGTTTTCCGACGACGCTCCCTCTTCAACCGTGGCGCTTGATTCGGCCATATTAAGTTTCCTTTTCTTGGTATCTTGCGAGTCCTCTTTGTTGACATAGTGAGGGAGTATTGGCTGGTTCCTCAGTTCTGTCCGCTTCCTGGACAGCTGGAACTATAGAATCCTTTACTTCCCTGTCAATTAATAACCGTCCGTGTCTTGCTCGCCGGTTATAATGCTGGGATTGAAGGTACACCGAGAGTAGGAATTCAGAGAAACTTAAGGGGTACAGACGCCGCTGTCTGTTACCTCCAAGATAGTTGTAAGAGAGATGTCTGAGGGAGGAGTAAGGAATCTCCACAATCAGTCGAACAGAGATTTGAAGGGGAACGTAGTCACTGTGAGATGGCTAGAGCTGTTCAATACTCGATAGACTCGATGAATATATTATCTTGTAATGCTGGTAAGAATATTATTCTCTTGGCTACCAAATACTAGATTCAGTATGAATATAAAGCATCGGGTATTATAGCTCTGTTGGTCCTTCTTTTGATCCCTAGCTGTATTATAATATTAGCTGTCCTGCCCTCGGCCTTTCTTCATAAATCACTGTCAACGATTCAGCCTCTGTTCTTATAGCGCCGCTGCCCATCCTTTGTCTTCTGACTCCTTCTGAACTCCTTCAGCCTTCTGTGCTTCCATAGACACAGTCGAAAGTAAGTAATTCCAGCGGACCAGGTCCACAGCTTCTTTTTTGGCGTCATCTGTCCTGCTGACGTACTACTTGATATGGTCGATTGATATAGTCGATATAATACTTTCCGACTCTTTGCCTTGTTAAGAGGTTCACCAATTCCACAGAGTTTCTCCCGTCCAGGACTTGTCGCCCCCTCACTAACCACGTCAACGAAGAGGATCCGCCCTGATACGATGCTGGACAAATTGGAAAAGTGGGCACAACGAGTGGGAATAAGGTCGGAATTGTCTTGACCGGCAGGTTGTTGACGAGTTCCAGGCATCTTGTATGACAGAATAGATCAAGCATAATAATATCTGCCTTGAATGAACTTCATGTACGAAAAAAGGTCAATCAGATGTAGGCTTATGGCCATCATGCGCCCAAAGGAGATATGTCCAATAAAAGGCCCCTCGGGCTTGCGATATGTTGGGTGTTTCGGGTTTAAGGGTAACATGCCGCGCTGAGAGTGTTGCCCATGCCACCACATTTGCCTGACAAGCACAGCAGGTAGAGCACCTCACAAACCTTTCCGTAGTCAAGATCAGAATTCGTAAGAGAGAAGAGGAAATTTGATAAGGAAAGAGAGGAAGGTAGAAGAGAAGATTCGGAGAGGCGACAAGTAGAAGGAAATGCAAGGGAGAAGGAACATAACCGCTTAGAGTAATCCTCAGAGTATTTGCCCCCCGCTCTCCTGCGAATCGTCAACATACTCTCTGTTCTACACTGTACGCTGCGTATGTCTACTATAGAACCATCCACGGGAGATCGGTGGGGCAAGTGGAGCCAAACACCATGAGGGGCCGCTTTAGCGTTGCAAGTGGGATTGTTATCGCTTATCAATGATCAGGCAGGCAGCCCAGGAACTGTCTCTTTGGACCAAGGTTATCCTTCATCTTGGCCGTTCTATGTGTTCTATGCCTTTTTCAAGTACCCTTAGGCGCTAAGGCTACTGTACCTTTCAGTCAAGCCTTAGCCGGCATAATCCTGGGAAATACGCTGCAAAGTTTCTGGAGAACCCCGGACGCTTATCGAAGTCCTTCGTAACCCTGTGGGAAACACACTTCCCTCTCCTTGTAACCTCTTTTACTTCCATCGAACTCCTTCCCCCGCCATCTCCCATCAGGCTACGACTGCTTTTGTTATCGCTTCGTTTCCCTCAGCTTTGTCCTCAGTGGCCCCTGCCCTGACTCAGAGCATCGACCAGCTGACGGGAACCCCCCCCCCGCAGACCCACCCAACCAGGGCACATGCCTACTCGCTTTATCGTGTATGCTTCAACTTTCTCTTCTTTCCCTTGAAATCTCCCTCGACTGACACCGTCTAGACATGCCCGTCGCTCCGGAGTCGCCTAGGCGTCCCACGAGCGCCCACGCCGCACACCTTCAGTACCCGACCCTGCCGCCTCTGTCCGCCTCTGTAGAAGAGTGGCTATCTCGCTCGCGCCCCGCCAACAACATGACGTCAAGTAATCTGGATGAAATGGGCCCCGGATCTCTAAGTGAGAGCTGGGCCACCCTCAGTGTGTCCGATATTCACTCAGAGGACGGAAATCGATCTGAACAAACCGACGTCGGCTCCCTAATCGATCAAGCTACCCCGGATGATGTGGCCAGCCTCGACGAGCGATATAGTGGCAGCGAGATCGGAGCCCCTGAGGATTTCCACCAGCGAGAGGAAGACGACGACAACAATGACCATGCCGATGACCAGGAAATCGGCGGCTCGCGACTCTTTCCCCAACCCCTCTTCCACCCCGGTGCCGCCATTGACGATAGCAACCTGACTGCCCAACAGACGCCCCGACAGTCGATAGACTCTATTGAGTTCGCAGAACCTGAAACTTGGGCTGATGAAGAACGAGTAGAGCTCAAGCATACAATCAGCATCTTGAATGAGGATGTGACCTCCGTGATCAGCAAGCCATCGACTCCTGGTTCGGTAATAATCGTTACAGTCCAACAGACCATGACAAAGCAGACCTTGGATCTCGATAAGCCCTTCCGCGTCCTATACTTTGGCAATCCAGAGTTCCGTGATATCATTCTGGACAAAATCGGCGATGTCTTGGTATCAAGCCCTTCGGCGGGATCCCTGACAAGCTCCGCTGAGTCCTCACGGTATCATGTAGTGCCCACTTCATTCGGAACAGGAGCTGTGCCGAACCACGCGGAGCTACTCCCGATAAATGTCCAGCTTGTAGTGGATGAGTGCGTGGAGGCTGCAGGAGACCTGCACCCAGACCAACCTACCACAGTCGACCTGACTTTCAAGAATCGACCGTCATGCCGCTCATGGTGGGATAAGGACCACTACCGCGTATCTTCCACTTCCGAGTGGACCCTGCCAAACCTTGCGATTCTTTTCATTTCTAAGCGTGATGATCCAGCTGCCATTCACGGGAGACGTCTTGCCCATGCCTTCTTGGAACGACACCGAATTCCCTCCATGATCATTTCGGATGAGCAGCTTTGGACTCAAGAAGATTACTCCGTTCCGCTGAACCCTAACAGCCTCCACATGTGTCTGGAGTCTCGAAATGCGCAGACGGGCGAAAGTACAATATTGAAGCGATACCCTATCGATGTCAAGACATTCGAAAGCATCACCCCTGGCCAGTTGAACCGCAATCTAGCTTCACTTATCGATCTTCACCAGGGAAAAGCATCTGTTCGCTCCGATCGAAAATATTCTGCACACAACTATCCTTCGTGGATGTCGAATGGGTACCGTTCGTGGTACGATGGCTCATGGTTCGATATCGAGAAGTATCCCGGCAGTTGGCTTCAACCCATTTATGCACGTGGAAGTCCTGAACTGGGTCCAACGTTACGGCTGCTGACCCTCACTCTCGTGTCAGCTATTGCCATTTCGCTGGGGTATGCTGTTTTCAAGACATTTCTCGTTTTCCTTACGCAGTGGGTGGCAGGCTCAACTTTGTCTCATTCCATTCTCCCAAGCTCGACACCAGCCGTCCCAACGGCGACTCTTGTGCTAGAGGGTCTGAACAAGGATTCACTGTCCGTCAGACCACCGGGCCACGTTGGCTTAGTCAAAGAAGAGCCTTCAAGCCTTTCTCTTGTAGATCAAGTGGCAGAACTCACTATCACCTCCTTCGGCTCCACGGTGGACCCAGACGCTTTCGAAATCCATGGCGTGGGAGACTGCCATATTTTGATCAAGTCCCCCCGTAACTTTGCAACCGCGAAGAGACACCGACCATTTGATGTGGACGTTCACAGGGTGGGGTGCCTCTGACAAACGAACTGTCCCAGCTCTTTGAGGGTGTCTACACAGTGAGGCTTGACCGAGAGGATGCGCATGGTCTTGTCAATGTGACCGTGACCGGGAGATCCAAGCCCTCGGTGCAACAGAGCGAAATCATCGACTTTGGAACACCATGGCTCAAGATCTCGAATTGGCGGAAGAAAGCCCAGTCGATATCTTCGCAGGTTACAAAGGACCTACACGTCGCTCAAAATGGGCTGTCCGACGTGTACGGTCGACTCTCCACCGACGTCCAAGTGATTCTAGGAGATGTGGTCAAGCGAGCACACTATATCAAAGAGGACGCTGAACGCCTGCACCAAGAGACCTCGCAGACCCGAAAGGCTATCCTTCATCGTTCTAAGCAACGCTCAGATGCCATTGTCACCAACACCCTCCAACACTTCCAAAGTATGTATTCCATACTACGCCAAGGTTCAATCCAAATCAACCGTGAGGTTTTTGAGCGGGTCAGCAATGCATGGACTGGACTGGAGAACCCAGCCCCCAAGGCCGATCTTGCATCTGCGGTGGATCGTGTGCGCAATGCAACTAAGATCATGCTGGGCCGGTGCCAAATGCGTGCTCGCTATCTCCTGGGACGTCCGACAGCTCGGAATGACGCGAACCTTGAATGCCCCGGACAGAAGGCTACATGCTAAATGGTGATCTGCTCAACATCGTCACTTGCTATCTTTAGCTCTGTTTTAAGCTATCAAGGCGGAGGATTTTTTTTTTTTTCTTTACGGCGACTTGGTTGGAATGGCAATGGGATTTCTGGGCATGCGGGTTTTGTTTCTTTCTTTCTTTTTTTTTTCTTTTACTAGTCCGGCGCTATGCAGTTTGCTTCAGTTTACCAGTACCCCTTGGCGAGTCTATAATTTGGCTTTATGAAATCTCTTCTCCTGACAATGAACAATAATACTGCGGTAGCCCGGGGATAAAAAAGAAAACCAAACCCCAAAAAAGGAAACAGTGGATCTGTAGGGACCAAAAACAAAGCCCCTCGCGTTCCATAGAAAGTGGTGGATGGGGCCCAAAGGCGGTGGCGACTCATTCTGCCCCCGCGCACTTAATTTTTCCCCCCCTCATTGACTCCTTTTCGTCAACAAACCGAATTATTCCTCTGGGTTCACTCTTATTCCGGTGTTTTCATCGTTCGCTGAATCCCCACCTTCTCCTTCTTCCCGAATAACCACCCCAATCCTCAGTCGCCATGTCTGACGTCGCGGATACCAAGCCTGACCCCACCACCGCTCCTGAGGAGCAGAAGCCCGAAACCACCGCCACTGGCGAGGGCGAGAAGTCTACGACTGAGGCCGTCACCGATGCTGCTAAGGATGCTGCCGAGACCGCCAAGGACACCGCCGCAAAGACCACTGACACCGTCTTCTCCATGTTCGGCGGTGGCCCCAAGAAGGAAAAGAAGGACGAGCCCGAGGAGGGTGAGGACGAGCCTTCTGGCTCCTCCAAGGCCCAGAAGGGCGAAGAGGTAGGTTTTCTCCCTCCTTCTTATGAAGGCCATGAGCAGCACCTTTGAATGCTCGAGTTTCCGCCAATGTACCAAAGCAACCAAAAGCAAAAAACAAAACAAAACAAAAGGGACGGGGGACGGGGCGCGGGGCAGATGCCCCTCTTCTCCCCCACCACCTATTGAGTTGCGGCACCTTGCGCGGTGACGAGTTCATTCTACAGCGATGCCTTTTTGGTCCAAGTTCGAGCTTCATATGCTGATGTTGATCTTTTCCACCAGGAGGACGATGCCCCCGAATCCCCTGAGGTCCACTTCGAGCCCGTGATCCGCTTGACCGAGAAAGTCGAGACCAAGACCAATGAGGAGCTTGAAGAGCAAGTCTTCAAGATGCGCGCCAAGCTGTTCAAGTTCGACCGTGAGAGCAAGGAATGGAAGGAGCGTGGAACCGGTGATGTGCGGTTGCTCAAGCACAAGGAGAACGAGAAGACCCGTCTGGTCATGCGCCGCGACAAGACTCTGAAAGTCTGCGCCAACCACTACAGTGAGTTCTTCACAGCCAGATATCACGTTCGCCAATGCAATTCTAATGTCTCATAGTCGTCCCCGACATGAAGTTGAACCCCAACGTCGGCAGTGACCGTAGCTGGGTGTGGAACGCCGCCGCAGATGTTTCCGAGGGTGAGCCTGAGGCCCAGACTCTAGCCATCCGTTTCGCCAACAGCGAGAGTAAGTTCTTCCAGTGATGTGAACCAGGCATAGCACTAACGCGTTCATCAGACGCCAACCTCTTCAAGGAAGCTTTCGAGAAGGCCCAGCAGGAGAACGAGAAGCTTTTCAGCGCTAGTGCCACTGCTGAGGCATAGAGTGACTCAAATTTGAAATTCTCGCTCTACCAAAAGAACGTGAGACCCACGACCGTGAAGCTCAGAGCCGACGAGTCACTTCGTGGATCACGACTGCCTGCTCTCCGCAACCTTCCCCCCACGTCCTTCCATGTCTGATGTCTTTCCTCCCCATACCCCCCACCCCTTTCTCCTCTACAATTGTACGCGTGAAGCAGCAGTGATGAAGATGCTGTCCGCACAGAATTAGCGATGTGGTCTACGAAACGGAGAACGATCCTTAATGTCTTTGGTCCCCACAGTCGGCAGTAGATAGAACCCATTTCCACCGAATATACACCTTGCACATCACCGGAGACTTCTATTCGTAGTTCCCCTTATAGTCCATTTGTAGGTGGAAACTTTCGAGATGGCTAGAGTTTCCCACTTTCCCCCGAGTTAGCGATTGGCCGAGGCTGAAACGGTGCAGGTGGATGTGGCCGGTATCGCGGGCTTGAGGCGGTCATGACCCCCCCCCCAGGGCCTCTTTAACTGCCGCACTTCAATCCACACCCTTGCCCTCTGCGCTCGGTTGTTTTTTTTAGCCCTGACAGTACTTTGCTAAGCTTGTCAAGTGTCGCCACCGTCCTTCAATCAGAGAGACGTCTTGTCTTCTCTTTAATCGAGCTAGGTCGAGACCATATCCGACATCTTGCGCGTGTTCTGACCGCGCAAACCATCCCCAACCTTGAACTTCGTTCCCGCCTTTCGACACCTTCCAGACGCAACCCTTGCCCTCCCTCCACCACTCCCCGAGGATTCACATTTTTCGGCGCCAACATGCCTGATGTAAGTTCTCGCGCCAGATCAGCTCGTTCCCTCGGCTCCGATCTTGATATCCTGGCCAATCTCCTCCCTCTGCCCTTACAGCCTACAGCCGAGTTCGCCCGCGCGGTCCCCCATAAGGGTCTCGCGCGCGCGCTCTCCTGAATATAGAAGATCGCTAATGCCTTCGTGTGTGTTCTCTAGGTCAAACGCAGCGTTCGCCTTGTAACGGAGCAGCACGTTATGTATGTCTCTTCCCGCCCCAGCCCATTCCACCCTCCCCACGCGCGATTGGATATTGCGAAGAGCCTCAGACTCGAGCTATGAGGGATTGGCGGCTGCTGGTTTCGAGTGTTGGCAATTTTTCCTGCTGAGCCTATTCATTGAGCGTAGCGCTTACTGATTAGGCGGCGATTGCCGCTCAGATGCTTTTCGCTGAACTTTTCTCGCTTGAAACTGTTTCCTGCCGTTTCGTTCCATGTCCATTTTGCTACGCACAAAGATGACCCCTTTCGTTTTCGTCGGATACCTGCTTTGATCGGGAATTTAACACTTTTCTATTGCGTCATGCATGCTAATACGTGTTTTTGTTCTCCTACAGCGACAAGCCGTCAGAGGTTGAAGGATTCCCACAGCGTTCCTGGTCCATCGAGGTCTGGCTCCTCAATGAGAAGGGCGAGCAGGTCCCGGCCAACGTTTTTGACAAAGTCACATATCACCTCCACCCCAGTTTCGGTGCCCGGGCTACCCAGAGTAAGTAAAATGCTGATCTTCGTGGAAATGGCTGTCTTGCATCCCCCCCCCCACCAGCTACGTCTATTCCAATGCCCTGGATACCGGGATACCAGTGCTAATTGGCATGCCCATACAGCCTTCAAGCAGCCCCCTTTCCGCATTTCTGAGGAAGGATGGGGTGAGTTTGACATGACCATTGAGCTCTCTGCCGACAAATCGTACAACATTGCCCACGACTTGAACTTTGCCCAGGAGCGCTATGAGGCGAAGCACACCATCGTGAGTAGATCCCTCCGTGTGCCCGGCGTTGAATCGAAACTCATCAGTGTGCTTAGTCTTTCCGGAACCCCAAGCCTGCTCTGCTGGCAGCTTTGCGTGAGAGTGGTCCAGTTCCTGGTGACGAGAATGGGCTGAAGAAGCGCGGTGCCGGTGGCGATGAGAGTGCCAAGAAGAAGAAGCGTACAAACAACAACGTGAGTCTTTCAATCTGGTGCAAGTGTGTGCCCCCGGCTTAACGTCTTCCAGTTTGATATGGATAAATTGGCCGATGGCCTGCAGAAATTGGGCGAGGATGATCTTCTGCGAGTGGTGCAGATGGTGCATGACAATAAGTCACCAGACTCTTACACCAAGAACGACGTAGAGCGTATGTTAACCCCCCTTCTCCTCCTGCTTTTATCGAATTTTTTTTTTTTTGCATCTGCCAAACTTGACCGCTCTCTAACTGAATCTGCAGAGGGCGAATTCCACGTCGACCTCTTCACCCTCCCTGACTCTCTCGTCAAGATGCTCTGGGACTTCACCGCCGAGAAGGGAGCCCTGTGAACAGAGCCTGCGGGAAACACACCTTACGAAACATTTTGTGTCTTCCACAGTTGCTAGATCCCACCGGTGCATCAGGGTCGCGTTATCTACTTCTACATCTTGTTTTTCCAGTCTTTGCTCTACTAGGTTCTTTAAATGGGGGAGTTAGCGGATGTGTTCATGGAATTGACTGGGAGGTTCTCCTGCCACTCCTCTCGTCTCTTTGTCTCTCTGCCGTAGACCTGAGTCCTTGGTCCTGATCCTGATTTCTTTTTCTTTCTAAAACTAGTTAGGCAGCCTGTGCCCTGGAGAGGCTATACAATTGTGATTTTGCCCTGTCAGATAGCTCGGAACCCGTATTTCATACAAATGCATGAGATGGCTTGGAACACGCGTGCTTTCGTATCTGTTCCGTATCTGTTCCGGTTCCGCTGAGTTTCTCTGTTGACTGTATTTCTTCTGATTTGGTCGCAGATTCATGTCAGCTGGCATGTTCAGTCCATGATGCCGCCCATGCCGCGGTGATAGTGCCAGGTCTGGAGAACTGGTCAGTTCTTTCATGCGAGAGATCCCGCCCCGGTTTCTTTGATGTGGCACCAGTCGGTCATCCTTCCTGAGTCTAGTGTCATCTTAGCCATCTGTTGAGTCCGCTAACCCAACGGCTCTAGATCCAGTCTAGGCATCGCCTATACAGGGGATGCGGTCCTGGAATAAGCCGCCATAGATGGTTACAGAGTCAAGGTCTAAAGTGAAAGGCAGACCCAAGATCTTCCTATACCAAACACCTAACAGCTACTATACAACTGAACAGTTGGAGAGCGAAATAAATGCAGTGGGATATCTCAAAACGTAAGGAAATCTATTAGACATCAAAGACCCAATTACCCACATCACCCTGGCTGTCAGGCCTGCTGCACCAGCCACCGACAAAAGAAAACCTGCTCAAAAAAAAAGTGCCACCCCATAACGTACAATCTATTGTTACACAACGCCGTTGAGAATGTCCACATTGGTTTCTGTCGTTTAGCCTTGATAAACGGGATATGCAAAAAAAAGGCATAAAAGCATATGACCCAGAGACGGGAAAATAACAGGGATAAGTAGAAGATTGCAGTGCTGTCGAAGCCTGCACCGAGACGCCGTGCTAAAGAGAAAAAGGAAAAAGAAACAAAAAGGAAAAAAAAGAAAAAAAGAAATCGCTGGAAGGGATTTTTGGGGGAAATGATGGTCGCTCAAAGCACACGGTGCATCTTCAACAGGTCTTCGAGACTGTCGGCGCTGCAGGGCCGGCCGCGGGGGATGTTGCGGATAACATCGGTGATGGTGGCAAAGACTTCGCCGCCGCGGTAGGCGAGGAGAGCCGGGGCACGAATGTGGTCCATCTCGGCAATTTCACTGTGCAGCTTGACGAAGCGGGTGTGTTGTTTGCGGCGGGCGATGGTGTTGAGGCACTCTTCCACGATGGCACTCTCATCATTCTGGAGACTTAGAGTTAGCGGGGTTGATTCCATTGCACGGTGCCCCGGGGGGGGGAGAAGCGGAGACATACCTCAGGGTCATAGATGCAGACGACAACAACAGCATCCGATGCCACTTTCTCAATGGCATCGAGGTAGGCGGCCGCGTCGACATTGTCGACACGCCCGTAGACGCGGCCGCGGGGTGAAGTATGGCGATTGCTGCGGGACTGTAGTTCTTGCATGCGCGAGGCACGCCACTTGCGCAGGAAGCTTTCCTCGTCGTCGTCGCTGCTGCTGGGAGAGCTGTTCGCGCGGTGGCGGCTGGGAGAGTTATCGCGTGAGACCTTGTTGCCGTAGATGGCGCCGTTGTCCAGGCCCGCAGCGCTGAGGAGAGTCCGGCGGAGGGACTTCTTGCGTGCACGCTCGAAAGCCTGGGCGTCGGCAATCACACCCTTGGGGCCGGTGTTGGCTTCGAAAGTGTGCCTGGGGATGTGATAGTTGGTGGAGGCCATGTCGGGGGACTGTTCGTCTTCGTCGGACGAGTCCGCGTTGCGCTGGCTGCGGCGGGGACGGTGGACTCTTCGTCAGAGAAGACGGGGGAGCTAGTACGATCCTCTGGATGGGAAGAAGAGATATCGCGGTTGCTATTCACTAGCTGGTTGAATTCTTCTTGGGCAGATGACATCGTGAAAGAAGAGGGGAAGTAGACTGGGGGTGGGGATGAGATTTATGAAGGAGGCCTTGGTTGGAATTGGGTCCACGGGAAAGGAAAATCGTGTAGGGGTTTTTTTCCCCGTGATTTCTTTTCTTTTTGCGTTGGGCCTGTGCGATGTCCCCTGACGCGGTTGTGGAGGGAAAGGATTAGGAAGAAGCGGGTTGGGAAGAGCTCGCCAGGGTGAAAGATGAAACATGATCATCCACTTAACCACACCCCCCCTTTTCCCTGGACGCATTTAGGTGTGCACATGGGCCAATCGCAATCCAACCTCATCTCCATACCCCCGATTCCTTCTGCTCGCCCCACTGGAACACCCGAAGAACGTTCCATGACAACGCGGTTCTGCAGTCCGTTTCGACTCTACCGTCTTTGGGGGAATGTGCTTGGGCAGCACCGCCTCACGATAGCCCCTACAACACAACGGCCCATTTCATTCTTTGGCCTTGGTCATGCCCATCGGATGGCGGCACTTATGACGGCAATTATGACGGCAATTATGACGGCAATTATGCCGGCAAAGCTCAGAAAGTCAATTTTACGAAGACCGGAAGCAAGTGGAGCCTGCAGTTCTTTGTTGCTATATTTGTGGGCTGATGCCTCGAATCCACGTGGAAAACCTTGAATCTGCCGTTCACGCCCACTTGTCCGTGTTTCAGGTCGGCCGAGATGCTTGAAACTGCTCGCGTGGCATGATAATGGCCCCCTAGGCCAATGACGCACATCCCCATGATCGACTCTGGACACGAGGGATATACGATGTGTACGCAGTATACGAAAAGCACAGTCTCTTGCTGCATAGAACAAACCAAGGGGCGCGCGAATCCGCCCCAAACAAAATACCCTAATGAAGATCCTGGACCCTGCTGAAGGCAGTCCATGAACGCGACGGGGTACGGAGTCAACCGACCCATGAACCTGGGAAAGCAAGCCGGCCCGCCCCAACCCGGCCTAAAAAGCCCACGCTAGGAACCCGCTAGCCTATTCGCCAATCCTTCCCAGGCAGATCAGTTTACGGCCCGAGTATCCTACTATGGGAATCTAGACACGCGAAAGGAAGCCTTGACCTAGCACGGATGAACGACTAAGAAGGGGTTTTCGCCGGATTCAACGAGCCCCCGAGCAATCTAACACAACCATCATCATGATCGTCACTGCTCTGTCCCCTACGTTTCAAGCCCTACACCGCTCATCCAGCCCATCCAGCCCATACGGCTTGTGTGAAAGGGACAGGGAACATAGGATGCAATTTCCCCACAACATGACAGCAGAGCCGTCGAACTCAGAATCAAAAATAGCACCATCCAGAGGGGCCGATTCCGATCCTTCTTATTGCTTGATGGTTCGATCTGGGTTAAGCTTTGCTCGCTCTAGTCACATCAGGATTTTCTCGAATGTAGATCGGATTTGTGTTGCCACTTATGCCTGAGTTGCCGCGCCGTATTCCCCAGGTCATCCCCAGGTTATTTTTGGGGGCGAGACTGCGTAGATGGAACCCCGTCAGGATCCGAGACCCAGATCCAGATCCCAGAAGTCTGGTGAGGGCAGTGGATTCTTGAGAAGGGCTTTCTATACATAGTATCGTTGCCCGATTCCTTCGATTCCCGTCCTGTCGGTTGTGAGGTGACACATCAGACAAGGATAGGGCTTGGTATAATGAAATACCCGCCCTGCATAACTCACATTATTCTGCGCAGGTTCAGCTTCGTTTCTAGCCTGGTAGCTGGGGGAAGAATCGAACTTGCGGTGAGCCAAGGGACCTTTGCACCTAGGCACTAGCCATATTGCGCGCGCCCTGTTCAGAACCGATGCCACTTCCCTTGACAAACCCTGAGTCTCGAGTCGATCAAGAAGCGGGTGACCCGTGGACCCAGCACTGGATATGAATTATCACATCTGACCCGAAGACTGCTTAGTGTGTCATATTCCCCCTACATGGGTAGACAGAGCGAACCGCGTCGTCTATCTTCGCCCGTCCGTTCTCCACTTCATATCTCAGGGCCATGTCTCTCTACTCGAACCCCAGATAAAGCGTCCCCCCAAACAGATTCGCCAGACATTAGAAAAGGATATCAAACTCTATTGGGGCTCTGCAGAGAATCAATCTGATCAGATTGCAAGCGATCCCACTTCGAAACTCAATTCCATTCTTCCCACCCCGCGTCCACAAACTAGCTCCCTTCTAGGGCTGAAGCAGCTGATGTTTCAAGTTCGAGTCGGTTGACATCCGCTCTCAACTTCAGGGCTTGTCTGACCCACTTAGACTGGGTCGACGGGTCAGTTCGAATGGGAGCTATCGAGGCTTTGTTTCGGCGATGCTGTCGCCTCCATGACAAGATCGTCCCAACCCTAACGGCTTTGCTTGCCTGGGTCCCTGATTTTTTTTTTTGATGATATTGTGGGGTTCCGGCATGGCATTCTGTGGCAATGGAGATCTCGGCAACTTGCCGGCTTGCTTGTTTTTGAGTCTGAAGCCGAGGGAGCTGAAGCCCATGCGCTCACAGCCTCCTAGTGGTTATCTGGGGCTTGGGCTCAAGGCTAGCTCTCGGAGCTCCTGCTTTGATGCGAATTCAATCATGCCCACTCGGGCTCGGAACCTTGGAACCTGACTCAGCCTATACTCAGCAGTCTGTCCAATGGTCTGACTTGCATAAAGGAGGAATATCTAAGGAAAATTCGTTGGAGTAGGTGATTAGGCGGCTATGTTTGGATGAGACCTTCGTCGAAGTTGCCAGACTTGTTAATGCCTTTGCCTGGGCAACCCCTCGACCTCGCCTCGTCTCCAACATCAGCTCTGAGCCCCATCCAAAACGCACATCCTTGCTATACCGAAACATCTAAACTTGGACTCGTCGGCCATTCACTCCTACAAGGCTGACCGGTGAGAGACACATGGTCGCCTCTCCCAGGAAAAGTAAATCTCCATCTCCGTGCAAGCTGGCATCTCATTCAACATGCTGGGGCCATGCCCCCTTGAGGGTCTCAGACACAGCCTCAGACACCTCGGCCTGCTGTCTTACGCCAAAGCGCGTCAACTCCATGACATGCGTGGGACTCTTCGGGGCACCCCCTCTTCCCAAATAGTTTGAAAGAAATCACTTACCCTATTGGGCCACTTACATGCAGGACTACTATCTTACTCTCGCACTAACAGAAAAGGTAGGGTAGCTTCTCGGAAGGCATCATACGAAGCTGGGCGGGTAGGGGTCGAAGTCAGACGGCACCCATGGCCATAGTGTACTCAGAAAACACGAAATACACTTCCGTCTGAGGCTGCAAAAATTTATCGATGTAATCTCTCCGCCATTCATCCTCATACCAGCAGGTGAAGACAGCTTTGCAATACTCCCAATACTCCGGATACCATCCTGATTGCTGCCAGTCCACAATGACAATCCGAATGGGACTGGTAGAAGAGACTATGATATTACGTCGATTCAGGTCCGCGTGGGTCAGCTTAATTTCTCCAGTGTCTGGTAATAAAGGTCGGTTTGGGTCGTCATATCTGTGCTCAAAACGTAGTTGATGTAACAAAGCAAACCAGTCATTAAAGGCGCTTATGCTCAAGAACGGGCCTGTTTTCGGCTGGTCGATAAATACGTAGTCTGGTAGATGCTGACGGTTTATTGATCCTGGATAGGTATCAGCAATTCAATATGGTACTCCAAAAGGCGCATTTAATCATACCAATAAATCGCTCCGAAGGGTCCTGCGCGAGGCTGCGTAGCTTTTCCATGATGTGGCAGAGCTGGTCATTGATGGCTCTTTTCTGTATAATATCAAGAGCATCCCAGCACTCTTCAAGAGTCGGGCCCACAACCAGCTCCATATATATGAAAGTATATCCGTCTCTATCAACGCGCCAGCCAAACACCTCCGGTACAGGAACGTTATCGCCGAAAACCTTCTTGATCGTCCAAAGATTCAGTGCCTCGACGGTTCGAACGTGAAGGCCGAACTTCACAATTAGGCCAAGCTCCTCATATCTGACCGGGGTGGGTTGAGAACATGTACCGATATCCTTGGACAAGGCTCTCACTTGACTGGGCGTAGGAAGCTGTCGTTCTGTACCGGCGAAAAAAGCGTGTCGACAAAATCTATCTCTTTTTGCTCGGCACCAGGTAACGAAAGTGAGATACGCCGATCGCCGACCGAATATAGGACCATCTGGTAACAGTAAGCCTTGCCAATATGACAAGTCGACGATTCCTTTGGCAAGCTGGAGAAGGTATTAGGAGATAGATTGCGAGTCCCGAAATCCAAAACTTGATAAAACCGAAATGGTTGGGCTGTTGCAAATGTATGTCTGGTATCTTGCGATATTCAAGAAATATGTCCTCTGAAAGACACCTCGCACTTGATAACCGATGCTTTCACGCTAGGCCTATTTGTTAGGCGGTATTTACGTACAAAAAGGGCGACTCTACATGTACATGGTCTGGCCTTCACAGTAGCCACCCTCTCCCAGCAGGAGCATTCTCCACCAGGTTCGAGTAGAATATTGTCAATGCATATTTTGTTTGCGTGACCGTCTGAATCGGGTGTGTGTTGACCTGGCCAATTCTCTTGCTCTCATAACCCAAGCGCAACGAAGCAGAGCGGCACAAGGCACTTAGGTTCTCACACTGATTCTTGCCAATTTTTCGTGCATGACCTCTTGCATTGGGCAAAAAAGGGCGGCCTGTGATACTTCGATGGCCGGAAGCAATGAGATTGGAGATCGTTCCTCTTCTAATGCGAGTCTCGATAAATGGTGTCATGAATGGCTACTGAGGTATTCTGTGGCACATTCAATGGTCTAGAGGTGCAAGCTGGTTAAGGAAACTCGTACGAACATCTTCTGTCTGATGCCGACGCCATGGCCGCAATTTACTCCTCCTGCAATCATGAAGAGCTGCAGTCCCTAAGAAACCTCATGCCCGCTAATCGAAGTCATACCACTCACTTAAAGGGGGGAAGGATCTGAATCACAAATAGGAATTGGAACTGCTCAGAACAAGACCGAATTCGATGAAATCCTAACAAAGGAATCCGGACTCACATAAAAAAAAAAAAGTAAGTACAACTCTTTCTTTGACGACACAAGAGGAAATAAGGGGGTTAAGGGAAAAGAGATTGGATCACGCAAGTTGACGGAGATGAAAAAGAAAATGGCAATAAAAAGTCAAATCATGGCCAAGTCCAACCAGCCGGCCCTTCCCGCCAAGAAAATACATGCCGAGACCGATGCAGAAGAGGCAGACAACGAAGAGGAATAGGAAAAGGCGAAGAGAAAGCCGGGGAGAAAAAACAAAGGAGGCGTCATTCCAGGGGGGAGGCAGGAGACGAAAGAGAAAAGAAGACGGGCATGGGACTGGCGGCTCATCTTTCAAAGGGCCGGATATCAGACCGTCGCACCAGAGTATTGTCGTATCCAAAACGTTTGTCGTGGCTTTCGTTTGTTCCCATTGCTCGCGTCTCACCACTCAGCGCTTTCCAGATCGTATGCGACGGACCGTTCTGCGCCGTATTATCGAGGGAACCCGAAAGCTCCCCGGTAACTGATTATTATCGTACAAATGGCGAAGAATTCGATCCATCGAGCTAAAAGAAAATTTCGAATAAAAGCATGGCAAATGATCGACACAGGGTATCTTGCGGTTATTTTTTTGCTTATTTTGTCGGATTACCAGGCCCAGACCTTGAGCTGTGCGACGAACGAACACGGATCAGCAGGAGGCCAAAATGGGAGGGAGTCTGGAAGAGAGATGAGAGGACTTACAAGGGAATCCCAAGATCCAGTGCACAGACTGATACCGTCATTGCTAACTCCCAAGCAGCTCACTCGGTTTTCGTGGCCACTCAGGGAGCCAACCTTGTCTCCGCGCAGAACATCCCACACCTAATGTCGTATAGATCAGCATTGACCCATAGTTTAAGTAACGGGCCTGCCAGAACATACCTTGCACTCGAAGTCGTCGTAACCAGCGAACAGTAATCGGCCAGACACGGAGAATGCGACGGAGGTGATACCACAAAGGACTTGCTCGCTCTGCAGAGGAGAAAGGGGGTTAGCTGGTATTACCATCATCAACTCAAATCAAATATTTACCTGGTAGCTGTTCAACTCGCGGTCGGCACGGATATCGAAAAGACGGCAAGAAGTATCGTCGGACCCGGTACCGAAGGCATTTCCATCGGGGAAGAACTGGATGGCGTTGATGTCGGATTCGTGTCCGGCGAACGTCTGTACGGCCTTGCCGGTGCGGATATCCCACAATTTGGCGAAAGCGTCGCAGGCACCGGAAACGAATATGTTCTGGTTGGTCGGGTTGATGCTGATCGACATCACATCACCGAGGTGGTCGGCGAACTCGGTGACCTTGGAACCGGACTCGATATCCCAAAGCATACAGGTCATGTCTCCGGATGAGGTAAGAATACGGCGGTCGTTGATGAAACGACAGCAGGAGAGGTACCCAGAGTGGCCGGAGAGCTCGCGCGCGACGCGGGTAGGGCCATCGCGCGAGGACAGGTTGTAAATGGAGCAGATGTTGTCCAAACCACCGCAGGCCACATAGTTCCCGCTTGGGGCGTAAGCGCAAGTCATCACCCAGGAGGACCTTAGGGGGATGGCGTGGACTTTGTTGGTGGTGTAGGCATCCCAGATGATGAGCTTTCCGTCCTGCGAAGCTGACACGAGATGGCGGCGGTCGGTGGACCAGTGCATGGCGTAGATCTTAGGCAAGGTGACCCTTGAGCGTGCGACGAGGCTTCATGCCAATTCGGGGAAGGGCGTCGGTCTGGTTCTGCGCGACATGGCGGACTGTTCAGGGTCAGTACTGAGGAGCCCGGGCACGTAAAGGTCCCCACGCCACACTCGATTCCATATCTGAATGGCGATGGCGCGAGGTGCCAATGCGAATAAAGAAAGGCCTTGGGGGGGTAATCGTACGGGATGTGTCCGCCAGCTCATCCTTCCTGCGCTTGATCTTGTCCTTGAGACCCTCGGCCTCGCGCCGGGCGGCGGTAATTTTGGCTTGCATCTGTTCGCCGCTCATGTCGGCAGCCATACTATCGAAGTGAGACCTCTGGTAAGTTCGAAATCTGCAACGAAGGGCGAAGCTGAGGAGTCAAGTGCCCAGGAACGATGGCGGTTGTCGGAGGGGATGAAAGACGAGGAATTGAGAGGAGGGGAGGCTAAAAGTGGAGCGAAGGGAGACAGAAGAGGCGAAAGCGACCGAGTTGAGGCCTCAAGCTGTGCTCATAATCCGCTGGGAATGAGCGTCGCCAAAGGGGAGGGGAGGAAGGGAATGAGTGGGCCGGATTGGGGGGGGGGAGAAAGAGGAGAGAGGGAGAGGGAGAGGGATTCGAAGGTTCTGAACAGGGGGCGGGCGTGTATTACCCGCTGCTAGTGGTATCTTCGATGACATCGCATCCATGCTTTTTCTCCCCATTGGCATTGAGACTTACCGGAATTTCAATGATCTACCCGAGGGAGACGATCACTGTCTTTCTCTTTCTTCGTTCATTCTTCGCCAATGCTTCTGTCCAATGTGTTGCGCCAGGAACTCTGTGGACTGCTTGGTTGTACAGCACTAAGAGATGTTCCCCCGGTAGAGAAATACACCGTCAATACGCACTCAAGGGGTATGTACAGATGTACAGGTAATCTCCGGGTACCTGAGCTATCTACAGTCTACAATCGGAGATGAAGAAAGGGCTCTGGATTGAGCTGCCTGGTATGCTCAGCCACTGGGCTGCTCTGTTCATTGTCCGCAGAGCGCACCGTATACGACCGTATTGGAAAGCCTCCGGAGCAACCCTGGCCAACGGAGGATTTCCAACTCTGTGGCGGAGATCGGTTTAGCTTGGCCCCAAGGGAAACAAGCTGATAGCTGTCAAGCCCTAACGCCCTATATGTCACGTATGTCACCTTGCTGACCAAGATCGGTATTGCCCGGGCATTGCAGGGCTTCCATGGCAAAAGCAATACTCGTACATCAAATTGAGTGGCAGAAGTACCCGTGGGCCGTGTATCTGGATCAGGAGAACCTCTCGGTGGGGGTTCGTACAGCCGTACGGAGACGGAGTACAGTTGTATGTACTTCTCTGTACTGAACTCAAAAAGAACGATGGGGCAGAGATGTGGATGTAATTCCATTAGGGCCCTCGGATATTGATATTTGCTAGGCCCAAGCGCAGCACCATTCCTCGAGAACTTTGCGAAGGCCCTCGGAAGGCCTCGACTTCTCCACGTCACCCAGACTGTTGGCGGCTATCCGTTCCTTATTTTCTTTTCGCACAGCCTCTGATTGGCGTGGACCCTGGTGTCAAGGACAGACGATCCTTACCGGATAGAAAGACGAGGGATTTCGGGGGCGCCCCCAATCGGTAGGCGCCAAAGCGGAGTCTGCAGGCATTGAAAGCCCCGATGACAAATGATACCCAGCGACGGTTAACTTACCAAGCGTAGTTTGAATGTTGGTCGCTTTACAAAGTCGCGCTAAGATAAATTAGATTGACAAAGAATACCAAATATCTCAATGAGGGCTGGATTCCTCTCCGGTCGGCATTGTACGACCCAAGCCTCGCCTCCCCAAAAGGCCAAAGCCGCCAGTAGGTCCAAGCTCGGCCGTTCGCCTTCATCTTTTCTACGGTCGATTCCAAGGATCCAAGGTTCCAAGGTTCGCCTCCAGTGGCTGACTAACCTGCAGGATTTGGAGCCGCGCTGAAAAAGAAACAATCCCAAGATCGAAGTCCCCCCCTGTTCCAAATGGTCTTCAATTTCCAGACAATTGGCCTGTGCCAACCAGACGGGCTCGTTGGCGCGTCAAGAAGATGAATGCGTCTCCACCGTTGAGACTCTGGGGCGCCCCCCTATTTTTCTGGCTCCGCTCAAGCCCATCCTCAAATAATTAAGAGGTGAATTCCGGGCGATCATTATTTGCAGCTCCAGTAACAGCAAACTCTGTCCATAATACGGAGAAGCAGATTCAATTTTCAGATCTCCCGAAACTTGCGTTAATGCTCAGGACGCTCAACCCTGCTTACGCGCCCATACCGGAGGTATCGTTATTACCCGTGCAAGACCACGGTTGCTCTTCCATGCAAGTCAGCAGACTAAGATCTGACAACCGCCCCAGCGGGCGTCGTTCTGGACGCCTTGATTTCTGCTTCATCCTTAACCAATGCTATACTGGGTATATACCAACTCTGGCTAGCGACCCACGGGATAACGAGCGTGCCACTTTCGTCCCCCACTGCTTTTTCCCCACTTCGGAGATCTACGTGCAGGTCCAGAACCGCTGCAAGTGCGTCGGGCGAGGGTTCTTCATCTCCGGTTTCCTGTAGACTGTCGCCTCATACTCGCATAATTTCAGAAGTCAGCCCAGGCTCTGGAGCTGAGCTAAGCTGAGCTGAGCCAGGGCCAGCTATGAGAACCCATAACTAGGGCTGGTTATGCGTGGCTACGAATATTGAAGAGCCGTTCTTATTAATAACCCCATTGAAACTCCATGCCCAGCCTCTCAAATGGCATTATTTGGGGTGACGCGGAATGGGCCAGTGTCCGGTAGTAGAGAGATCTTTAGAGTCTCGGGCCGCGGCCCTTTGCTGTGATTGACGATCACCCCTGAATCCTCCAGACAAAGGAAAAGCAACAAAACAAATGCCAATAATGGATTACGCTAGTAGTAATGAAAGGCCCAGATGGAAATCAGCCTTTTCGCCTATAAGGGGCCACCTCTGTACGTAGTTACATCAATTCCGTCGAGGCTACAGTATACGGCTACCCGGCTACGCGGCTGTTGATGGGCTTGATAATGCATAGAATTTTATCCTACCGACTCCGGGTCATTTGCGTGTATGCAGTCCTGTCTAACCTCGACAACTACTGGATATTCTCCACGGCCGAACTATAAAGGCCAAGCTCGGAGGAATGCTACTTGTTTGGTGGTCTCATTAGCTACCAAGGTAGGTCGAGACCTTTAGCGCTGTCTCAACCAAAGCCTCCAAACTCTTGGTTCTTGGCTATCAATATGGTCCTCAAATTCAATTTTGGATATACCATCATGATAGGCGGACATGGAGCGCCTGTTCTAGCCCGGTGAATCTTTCCACTGTTGATGTTTGGCGATATTCTTGATACTAATCAAACCAGAGAGATTTTCCAGCCTGCAAATCGAAGGATCAGCACAGCCGCCGAACCTTGTGGAAGGGATCATCATTGTTATCGTTGATTTCCTGAAATGAACCCTGGAGACATGAGAGTTCTCGAGGGTTCGTAATGGAGCATTCATGGCAAATATATACCAATTCACGGATGCATTTGGCGATATGGATCAAACTCCGAGGGCTTGGATGCAACAATCTTACGGGCCATCGGATCCAAAGTAATCCAATCATCAGTCGTGGTTTTGACAGATGTCAATGGAAATTTGGGAATGGGCTTGGTTTATCGCTACATATATATGTATTTCGCTATTTTGTATGTTCCTGCAAAACTGTATCTTCAATCTGCTAAATCCGCACAAGATGAACCCTAGGACAAACAATGGCGGCAACATGCCTTATAGCCTGACGTAGCATACCCGCTTCCGCTCATTTGTGACTAAGTCAACTCGTTCCAGTTCGCATGTTAACTACCACGAGGGGGAGCGGATAGCCTGCAGCGAGTCACAGTTAAAAGAAGATCAAACTCTCCAAAGTGTCGAACCAAGTCAACGCGATGCATCCAACACGTTAGGACTGCGTGAAATCGCGTGTGCCACGCATCTGTTAAAAATAGAGCGAGTTGGTTTAGGGTGGCGGGAAAGACTCCTCGGGTGCCGTAATATTAAGGAGGCACCTGACGCCTCTCCGCTTTCGCCCTCAAAGGCTTTTCCTCCCTCCTTCGATCAACCCCCCCCCATCACCCTCCAACCCTGTTCTCTCCCCTTCCCCATCGGTATTCCGTCTCACTCTCCTTCTCTTGATTTACCAGACCCGGGCCCTTTTGCCTCAGCCGTGGTTTTCACTCTTTCCCCTTTTGGTCGCCATCCAGCCTCGCGGAGCGGAGTTGTGCTGTGAGACCACTGGCACGCTTCGATCTGAATCAAATCCGACGCGCCGACCATTGAACATCGCCTGGGCCACTATATAGGGGCCCCCAGATGTCTTTGGAGTGAGCACCTTGAGGTTTGTGAGGCTTCGTGGATCACATTGCTCGCGGGCGCCTTTCTGGATTTGTGTTAGGGGGCGGAACCCCGTCTTCTGGACATTGTCAAGGTCCTCATCCATCCGGCTCTCCTATTGCATCCGGATGCTATCCTGTTCTTCAAAGCCACATCGTTTTTAATCTCATATCTGGCTCCCCGCCGCACGCTATTATCTCACTCTTCACAATGCGGGAAGTCAACTTCAGCATCCCCAATGTGAACAAGGCCTCGGTTAACATCACCACAACTCTTTACGACCGCCGTGCCCTCGATTGTACATCGACTCTACCGTTAATCAACTCGTTAAATCACCTTGCATATCTCACAACTTCATCTGCGCGCATTCGGGACATCTTGACGATCGATGGAGGTATCGAACGACTCGTCTGCATCCTCAAGGAGGGCAGAAGTAAGGATCTGATGGAAATGTGGAAATGGAGTCTCGCCTTCCAGTGCGTGGTCAATATCGGTGTGCGAGGGTCCGAAAGTGTGAGGACAAGAGTGGTTGAGGCCGACATGGTGCCCGTCATCGCCACCATTTTGGACAATTACATCAAGGTTGTGGACAAAGTCCGGTCGCGGGCCGAGCCCGAAGCACACAAACACTCCTCCTCGAGCCGCCCAGTCACCAAGTCTAGCTCCTCCACGCGGGAGATCACTGGGCGGTCAAATGGCGCCGATTCAAGCACACCAGCCGAGTCTCGCCCCTCTCGCCGGCAGGCACCTCCTCCCAGCATCGAAATCCCGCAGCCATATTATCAGGATAATCAGCCAACTGATTCCGATGCGATGGACATTACTTCTCCTCCACGTGCCCCTATGACTTCTCCTCCTGAACGCAGCACTTTCCGACAGGACGTCCCTAACCACCGCTCCCACGACACCCGGTATGCGCGCGCGAGTCACCGCTTGCGGGCCATGCAACCTCTCGCAACCGCCGTGCCCCAGATAGATACCACCGAAGATTTTGGTCTGCGGCCTGTCCGTGATACGGATCGCCTCCCTAGCATGCTCCCGGGCCTCCAAACTGGCATCGTCTCACAACCGGACTCTCCAACCACCCCGAGTGGGCCTTTGCAGGCACAGTCTCGAAACGTGCCACCTCCACCGCCTCCCATCAGACAGCGACCTGCCATACGTCAACAGCTGTCTGCGTCCGGCGAATCTGATGATGCAAATGGAGAGGATCTGGTCATGGGTGACGGCAATGGGTTGGGCGAAAACGCTGATCCTATCGTTGGACTGCCAAACCGAATGGATATCGATGGTGACGAGCAGCCAACCACGATGATCGATGATGTCTCAACAACTCATGGTCTCACGATGACCGATCCTACTGAAGAAGGTCAAGAATCTGAGGCCTTCAACATTCAGCATCGTTCTGCTGTCGATGGCAGTATCATCAACAATAATGGTCCTACCCAAAACAATGGCGGGCTGGGTCTTTCCCCAGCTCAGGCCACGAATAACCCTAATTCTCCTACTCTCGCCCCTAGTCCTTACGCCTTGTACCTTCGTGACCGCAATACTCCCGCAACCCAGAATGTCCTGACGACCATGCCTCGCGACGAGGACGTTTTGATGTCCCTGCAGCTCTTGGCTTACGTTTCCAAGTACTGCAACCTCCGAACCTACTTCCAGCGCTCACATCTGGTACCAAAGCTCAAGATCGACCGTGAACTTCATCTGTTAGATGAAAATTCGGACCAATCCTCGCCTATTGAGAGCCCCGAGGAGGAAGATGAATATTTGCTTCCTGACGATGTGAACATCTTCCCTCTGGTCGAGAAGTTCACCGTTCGACACCACTCCAAGGACATGCAATACTGGGCTTGTGTGGTGATGCGAAATCTTTGCCGCAAGGACGAGTCCCGTGGGGGCATTCGTCAGTGCGCTTATTACAAGTGTGGCAAATGGGAGGAATTCCAGCGCCAGTTCGCCAAGTGCCGCCGTTGCCGCCGCACCAAGTACTGCAGCAAAGACTGCCAGAAAGCCGCGTGGGTATACCACCGCCACTGGTGCCACACAACTCCTTGATCCCGCTCCTTTTCCATCTTGGGAGCTTTCATTTCTCATTTCCTTGCATAATGGCTCGCATAGCGTCATACCCATCCCGCGCAAGTTTTATTCCTAGTGTCTTACGTCTAACTTTTGCGCATGGCATTTGCAAACTCTGGCGGCGTTTCAATTTGACCCCTAAGATACCTCTTTACATGTCGTCTGGCTTTCTTCTCGCTCATCTTCCGTCTTTTATCTCCCTTCAACCCACTATGGCTGCTACTGTCACTCGCCTGGGAGGCCCTCTATTCGTGGCCCCCTGGATTCATAGCACCTTACATATCCCCACGTGTCATGAGTGTACATCTTTTCTCGATTTCCATTTCATCACGGCTGCACCTCTCTCTCTCTCTCTCTCCCTTTGGGCCCCCCCCCCGGAGCCATTGTGCGACCTCATACGTAATTGTGTGATTCACGAGCTTTCTACCTGTCCCTAGACGGGGCAACCTATTGACACGGCCACTCATGGTCACTTCTGCATTCCGCTTTCTCCCCATCACACTCCCATCTATGATATCGATTTATGCGTTTGGAGGATCAGTCCCTTTACTGTTTTCATGCACTTTGCCACTTCGGCACCGGCGTTTCTCTTTCCTTTCCTCATCGGCCGCCCTACTTATTCCCAGTGAAATGAATTCCCCCATTTGCATAACAGCTTGTTTAACGGAAACTCATAACAATCAACTGATATTCCATCTTGCAAACTTCCGCCTCCACCCACGAGTTCACTTCTTCGTAAATCCATACGTAGCAGCCAGTCGTGACTCGAGATGCTCCGCAGCCGTCAACGGCCGCTTTCCAGCCTCCAAGGAACCGGCACCACCTCCAAACCCAACCGCTCCAGACCCGCGATATCCCTTCACGGCCTCGCTGGGTACGGGCACCAACTCTGTACTATCAACCGGATGACAGAAATAAACAAGCGTATACCGATCCTTCGGATTCGGACTCCGCTGCTCTGCCAATGGAAACACTACCCTATGCACCGTCGACTTCAGCAGCCCATCCGTCCAGTAGCTCAGCAAATCGCCGATGTTCACCAAAATAGGCGGGAACGGGTACTTCCCTGCCTCCTCGACCGGACCCGGGATAATCGGCACAGGCGCCCAGGTCTCTCCGTCGCCGTCCGGCGCCAGGATTTCCAGCCCCGGCTGCCCGGGCCGCTGGAAGAGTAGCGTGATGCTCCCGTAGTCGGAGTGCGCGCCGGCGCGAACATCCTTGTCGTGCGCGTAGGAGGCTGTCTCCGATGAGAAGATCGAGGGGTACCATAAGTACCGCAGGATACTGCCTGTTGGGCCTACGGAGGGATCGTGCCGGCTCGTGAAGAAGTCGGGTGGGATCTTGGAGTGTTAGGGCTTGATATATCACGTTTAAGACCGAAGATAATGAGATCTACTTACCTCGAGGCCTAGGGCTAGAAGAGTGAGGATCCGGGTGCAGGTCTTGTTGCAGAGGGAGGCAAATGAGTTGATTTCGCTTTCATGAGGCTTGAGTGATGGGGGTAGTGGTTGCTGTGCTTGGCCATCTTTGAAGTCGCCGAAGTTCATGGCTCTTTGGCGTGGGTTAGGGGGTGGGTTTTTCTTGGTTTTGGTGCTTAGGGTGCCTTACTCTTTGAAGTCTCCGGTCTTTTGTTTTTGATTTATATCGGTTAGCTAAACTCATGGCTATTAATTTGGTATGTCCACGTACCCTCTGGTGCTCGGGGTCGAGTGTTTCGGTATGCATACCGGACCACCCGCGGTTCTGGGATCGTCAGCATCATTCAATTGTAAGTCTATACAGAGACGAATATAGAGCGCCCAACAATTGAGAGTTCATTTTATGGAAGCCACTGACGTTCGGAGTAATGCGACAAGTTTCTTTCTCGGCCTTTGGCGAGGCAAAAAACTTCTCGGACTAAATGAGTTGACGAGGTTAGGCTCTGCAGACCACGAACACGAGAGCTTGGGTACGTACGAGACTGAACGCATGGTTCACGTCCTCGGCCGTGAAATCGGTCCCTTTGCTGTTGACATATAGAAACCCGTACTTGGCCGCGGCATCCAGCATAGCTTTCCCCACGGCGGGGTCGTGCGGGTTGGAGATGTCAATGACAGGAAGTTCGATGGGGACCAGGTCTGACATCTTGTGGCTTGCAGTTCTGGAAGTTCGAATTGGGGGATGTGGGGAGGGACATGCAGATATATGTGAGCTGCAGGGCCTAATTACATGAGAAAATCGAGGCGGATCGGTCATATCTAAAGGGGACCCGATATCCATGGATGGTCGACATTCCGTGCGCAGGCGAGATCCGACGCGCGATAAGCCCCACTACTACTAAGAGTATGTCCATCCTTCAAGCTCCTAGAATAATATGGCTGCTACTAGTAGATGAGATCACTGCTAGTCAGGTTCCAGCTGCTAGGAGATTATGCTCGTGGTTAATAATAATTCTTGGAGATGCACATGTGGAATAAGACGGTGACTTGAGCTGATCCAGACTGTGGTCTATGTTCTGCCCACATATATATGTTACACTCCGCCAAACACCCATACCAATAGTCATTCAAAGTAACTTGGAATCCAATAATGATAACCAGATAGATAACATAAAGCAATCTAAGTGCCTTTTCAGTCTGACTCCGAACCAGTGGGGGCAAGCCCTTGAAGGCGATACTGCATGCGACCAGGTGCCCCAAGCTACGTCTAGACCCTTCCTAGTAAAAGAGGCTCGAGATTCGCGGACTCGGGATCGCGCTGGGGCACTAAACTGTTTTAGCGATAGAACAATGGGACTCGACGAGAAGTCAGATGGGAGGCAAGACCGAAGGTGAAAGTGAGGTGGTCTCCAGAAGAAATGAAAAGGGGTCGTATGTTTTTCTTTGGCTGCCATTAGGAAAACAAACGAGCGTCACTCCGCTTTCCCCCTCGTCAGTTCGCAAACCTCCAGCTCCCGCGACATTCGCCCCCCTCCTCGCTCTCCATCTCCCAGCGCTGTTTCTTTGGGGCCTCAATGCTCGGCAATTAGCCGCGCTTCTTGTCCATCAGCTCCAGAATCATGCCAAGTATTTATTCGCCGTCTCTCACTTTGTCTCCCCCTGCCCGATCGCTAACCGCCAGCTTCTAGTCCGTCCGCTCGATGAATGGGTCGCGACCCGCAACAGCCAGTCGGTCCAATCCCTCCCCCTCTCGGCCCTGAAAGGCGCAGTGATCGGAATCGATGCCTCGCACTATATCCACCAACACCTGGTGAACCAGTCGACCCGCGAAGCTCTGCTGGGTGCCTTAGGTGGCTTCCCGTTTGCCCTGAGGACCAACATCGAAAAGGAGCTCCAGGCCTTCAAATCCCTCGGCGTCGGATTGGTCTTCGTATTCAACGGCCTCGATTTCGGAAGGAAGGACCAGCGCAGTAACTCAACAACCCCCGCGTCGCCGCGCTCTTTCGAACAAGCATGGGACCTCTATGACCAGCAACAAGCCGACCAGGTTGTGGATGCTTTCAGCAATGCCGGTATGGTCTATTTCTTTCCACCTGGATCTCCATCTATTTCACCTATTTCACCTGTCTCTGGAACTTCTTTTGTGCCCGCGATCCCTTTCTGGATAGGACAATCTCCGACGAGCCTAGAGAGTCCAGCTTTTTCAATCTTTCCAACAGGGCCAGAAGCCGCTGACCAGCCTCAAACTTCAGGAACACCACCGCCGGAAACCCTCTACAGATTCCTCCAGCGGATTCTCCTCCAGAACGGCATCCCTTTCATGGTTGCTCCCTACAGTGCAGCAGCACAGGTAGGCATTTGCCCCGCAAGACCGACGAATAAAGCCGAACAGAACTAACTTCAATACTCAATACAGCTCGCTTATCTCGGCCGTGGAACAAACCCCGTGGTCGATGCCATCTACGGACCCTCCGAGCTTTTCCTCTTCGATGTCGAGAAACTCGTCATTCGCATCGAAACCGATCCGGCCCAGTTTACCTGGCTCACAAAACAGACCCTCCAGGAAGAGCTGGGACGCTTGTCGAACGAACAGTTTGTGGAATTCCTTCTTCTCCTGGGATCCCCGTTCTTACGTTCTTGCCCTTTATTTGAGACTCCTGGATTTCCAGGAAAGACTCCTAATGTCCGAGACGCGCTTCCTATGTATAACTCAGCAGGGCGGAACGCCTTGACACTTTGCGCCCAGTATGAGGAAGACCGCCGTATGCAGGAGTTCCAATATACGGACCTTTACAAGCGTGCATATATGAATGTGAAGCACCATGTCTACATGGATGTTGACGGCCGTGTGGCGCTCATGGAGCCAGAGACCGCGTCATCTGATATGCACGAAATCATCGGTCAACGACTTCCAGAGGAGCTTTATTTCTACCTATCCAAGGGTATTTTAGGCCCAGATATCCCCAACTTCTTGACGTCAGGTGAGGTGCGAATCTCACTGCCGCTAGGCGCGGAAGACACCGAGGTTTACCGCCAGCTTGTGGGAGACACTCTCACTCCAATCCGGATACAGTCAATTTCTCTCTTGACCAACTCACTTCATCGGTTTTACCAGGTCAAGGAAATCACCGTTCGCCCCTGGTTTGACGAAAATTCAGACCGTAAGACGAACCTGAAGAGTATCCCATCCGTCAAGGAGACTATTCAAGGATGGAAAGTCAAGAACGAGAGTCTCCCAGAAAGCATCCAAAAGCTCCAAGCCCCTCGAGGAACCCTCAAATTTGCCGTACAAAGTTTGAATGATCCAGACTTTGTCGCCACGTCATCGGCTAAGCAGGAGAACCCTGTAAGTTGAACCCCCAAAAGTCACCCCTCGCAGTCGTTTCTGACAATGGGAATAGGTCCTGTCTTCTCAAGACGAGATATTGTCAAATGTGCTGTGGCGCTTCTTGCAACTGCGTGGATACGTTGACGCAAAGCACAACCTCACCGTCTGGGGCAAGGCTCTGTCACACGCACTTGCAGATGTGACCCCATCGGACAACCTGGAGGAAGCTATCTTCATCGCCATCGAGATGCTTCGCTTCGACCTTCTTAATACCCAGAACTGGTTTTCTTCAGTATCCGGTGGCCCCATGCGAGGGTCAGGTATGCCATCTAATTATCTGATTTGGATTTGGAACTTTAACTAACGGCTTCATCTGTTCTAGATGAGGACAAGACTTTCAACATGCTCGTTTCCCGGGTCGCTTGTATCGGCAAGCTGCAGCACAAGAATATTGGCTACTCGGGCCCGCTGAGCCGCCAGCTTCTATGCTACCGGTCTTTGATCTCCGAGGTGCGCTCTGCACTGAGGAATCTGGTCGAAGTGGTATTAGCGAGTCTGCTTCTTAGTGGCGAGGCAGACCGGGACCGCAATGACTGGTCGGAACTGGGACTGAAGTATGTTTCCACCTTTCAAAATTATCTTATTGACACGAAACTAAATCCGGTATCTAGGCTGCCTTTTATTGATGATAATGACTGTGGTCTGGGTATTGCTGTCCGCACTTACCTGGACGATCTTCCCCTGCAAGCAAACCCCACTTCGCCGGAGGCTCGCGCCGAGGTCAAGTCAAAGGGCAAGGAGTGGTTCCAGCACAGCGAAAGCTTCACCGGCAATTTGGACCTCGCATTCAAGCTCTGGGATTCTGTGAGTAGTTCCCTTTGTACGGGATGCCCTTTCATATCTAATCTTTTCACAGGTCTACAAGGGCACCCAGCATGCAGGCAAGGAAATCAAGGACGCGAAGTTGTGGGACGATGCGAACAAGTGGCTCTCGGAGCGACGATAGAGAAGTTCTATTGCTACTGTGCTAGCGGAAGGCCTCGTCTTGTTCTAGCTGCCTCGTTGGTAGTGAATTTCGGGCTCTTGAGTACGGGCTGCATCGGGGTCCATCTATTTGCTACTGAATTTGCATGGATAGTTATGGGGTGTCTTTGGCATCTTCTCTATTTTTGTATTACTATCTAGTAATCCAGCCCCCTCAAAAAGAAGAAAAATGCATCACGAAGCGGAGTCTAGCGGTTGAACTTCATGATGTGTATAGACCGTAAGCCTGTAGTTAGTCGTATTCCCAAGGAGACTCGGAGCAGGCGCTTGGTCGAGCTTCCTGCAGCTGCGGGCAATGCATACTGGGTAAAGCACCTGATTAGATGCGCTCTAGTCGTCCGTTATTAGTAGTGAGCTCTTGTGTGAGGAATCCATGAATTTGATTCTTCCCGGGCTGACAGTCTTCTGAGAATTTTTTCAGCCCTTCTCGATCTGACGCAGGAGAGGCTGGTCCTTAAGCTTGATAGCAGCTAGAGCTACCGACAGTAGTGTGATGTCTATGAGAATGGTACACGCTACCATGACGAAAATCAACAATTTGAACAATTTGAACAAATTATCACAATGGCGTCGATCACCCTGCAGATGGGACAAATATGCTCATGGCAAGTTATTTAAAAATGTACCAAGGTGGGAAGAATTTTTGCAAAGCAAACGGTAGATTTAGCAACAATTGTCCTTGTAAGATATGAATGTGACCTACTCCTAGTGCCAGTGGTGCATTCTTAAATCCGGAGACTAGGCCATTACGAGGATACGAAAGCTCCTTAGAGATAACAATTTTGCATATAGTACCGTCTGAAATGGCTATAGAGTAAAGACAGCAGTGTGGTAGATATGGACTGGAGATGGCACAGCGAGTGGGCCAGACACATGGAATCAAGATTCAAACACTAAGACGAGAACTGAACGAGTCCTAGTTGGAAACGAAATAATTGACTGCGACCATTTCTCCTAGATGTAGCTTCTTTGTCAGAGCATCAACATCAATTCGCACACGCTGGAAAGTGCTGAAAGGCTCGAGGTTAGGTGCATCAGACAAAGACGGAAGCTGCTCATAGAGGAGGACCAAATAACGGTGCGGTGCCGCTCCAGGAGGAGGGCCGGCAGCAATCCAAGGGGCAACCGGTGCCTGCGCGCTCTTGAGCTCCAGACTCTCTGGGGAAGAAGCACTCAGATCAGTTTGAACCCAATGGGCGATTGGACTCGCGAGGTTAAACGACCTGAACGGTGCGTCCAAGTCCAGACAGATGGCTGTGTATAGGCCCTTGGAGAGCTGGGCAGGAACAGTGAGGGAGGGCGTTGGAATGGTGTCTAAAGAATCATGAGGATGGCCTACTTTAGCGCTTTCACGCATTCCCATTGCAGATATTATCCTTACCTTTCCTATCGACCTTCTCGCCGGGGGTTACTTTAATGGACCCGAAGCTCACACCAAGGAGAGGAATCTCCTCGCGCTCTAGGCGTTCAATCACAGCCACTTGGCTGGAAACGTCCGGCATTGTTAAAATGGCTCCAATTGAGGTGAAAAGGGGACCATGGAAGGAGTTAGAAACTCTCAAAGACTCTCATGCCCCTTTACTGTGGAAATATCATCGGCGCGCTCCTGCTCCGAGTCCGGGCCGGAACCGGCATGCTATTAGACTTTTTGAAAAGTGTAGAATAACCCTGATGTCATTCAAGTTAGAGAGTGCTATCCTATCTAATTGATGTTTCTATAGCCAAATGAATATTCCAATCACAGCCTGTGAATTCCAAGGGCGCCCAAACTGTAGGAGCATTTGCCAAGATATACCGGTATCAGCACGGCCACCTCTGTGGATAATCGGGGCAAGAAGACCAACTTTGTATCTCACCAGCGGGACAATTCTTGCGATTGTAAGCGGGGGAGTTAATGCTATGATATGGCATACTCGACTAGAGGCTACAAGAGCTGATGCCGTGCTTTTATTGCTATCGATCTTCCTCTCCCGAACCGAAGTATACAGTTGGCCCAGTCAGGACTATGGAGAAACCCCATCAGATTCAGAGATATATGCACTCGGTCTCTCTGTCTCAGATACCTTGAAACATATGTCATGACGAAGTGCTGGACATGAAGTTTCAGCAATGCAGATCGCAGAACACATTTATAAACAAGGTTATCGAAGTCTTCGGCAGTGCAAGCTAGCCGCTACTGGAGCGGAGCAGCACTGGTAGCAGAGCCATTTGATAAGAACTCAGGCTTAGGCCGCATCGCTGTTCCAGTGAGTCTGCTCATCGGAAATACAGAGAAGCCGTAGACTGCCCACCCAAGTCCATGTAAAATGCATCTTGTCAAGAACCATGCTCAAACTCGTAATAACCACTTGAAGGAAGTTCCTTCATCGTTGGACTCTTCAAGGACCGAGCATGAGATTCCATTTCCCTTCTGCGAGGAGGATAAACGCATCGACCGGTATCATTCGATTGTCTTGCTGACATGCACCACTGATGTACCAGGTCAAAGCTTATCTCGATAGGCACAAAGAGGAACTAGACCTAGACGCCTTCAATGGCCCGAGTCCATTCCAATATTATGTCTTCGGCTTTCAGTCATCGGAATATACTAGTAATAGTATAATATAATATAGTAAAGTGGTGCTAGATGTAGCATATGACTGGCCTGATGGTCTGTTATAAATAGCCTTATGATGCTCACAAACGGAGAGAACCTACTAATCCAGGTCATCATCAAAGCTGGTGGGGTATATCAACCTTGAGCCTGCTGATGCAGGCTATAGATAGACAGGAAGGATAAAGACTTAGATCTCATGGTAGACGAGATCAACACATGGCTAAATTAGACAGTATGAAATTTATGGGCGATTTTTCTTTTCGGGGGGGGGGGGGACCACAGAGTATAAAGAACGCGGAGGATCTGCAGTGGAGGCACCAAGTGGCCTCTTCGGTTTGTTTTGTCATCAGCTAAGTAAGCTCCTTTTGTTCATGAATCTTCCCACCTTAGGCAGCTTGCTCTCTTCCAACAAACACCCAACCTTTCTTGGCTACAACACAATCCCCTCCCAAATCGTGTAAAATGGCTCGTCTGAGCTTCCTGCTCCTGGGAACCCTCTCCGTGCTCGGCAGCTTTGCCAATGCCGCTTCCGTCGTCAAGGACCTCATTCCCTCCAACTTTGATGAAGTGGTCCTGAAGTCCGGCAAGCCTGCTCTGGTCGAATTCTTCGCTCCATGGTGTGGCCACTGCAAGAACCTCGCCCCCGTCTACGAAGAGCTCGGTGCTGCTTTCGCTTTCGCCGAGGACAAGGTCACTGTCGCCAAGGTCGATGCCGATGCGAACCGCGAGCTCGGAAAGCGCTTCGGTATTCAGGGCTTCCCTACCATTAAGTGGTTCGATGGAAAGAGCGACAAGCCAGAGGAATACAAAGGTGGTCGTGATCTGGAGAGCTTGTCCTCTTTTATCACCGAGAAGACTGGCATCAAGTCCCGCGCTGCCCAGAAGGAGCCCAGCAAGGTTGAGTTCCTGAACGACGCTACTTTCAAGACTACCGTTGGTGGTGACAAGCACGTTCTGGTTGCTTTCACTGCCCCCTGGTGTGGCCGTAAGTGCACCTCCTTACCCAACATCCCTCCTAAAAAGCCTTCCTGTGGCAAATACCGTTGAAATTTATTATTATTATTTTTTTTTGCTTTTCTAACGTCGTTCTCAAATCAGACTGCAAGACCCTTGCTCCTATCTGGGAGACCGTCGCCAATGACTTCGCCCTCGAGAACAACGTCGTGATCGCCAAGGTCGACGCCGAAGCTGAGAACTCCCGCGCCCTCGCCAAGGAGCAGGGTGTGACCGGATACCCTACCATCAAGTTCTTCCCCGCTGGGTCCACCGAGCCCGAGGCCTACTCTGGCGCTCGTTCTGAGGAGGCATTCGTCGAATTTTTGAACTCCAAGGCCGGCACCCACCGTGCCGTTGGCGGTGGTTTGGACAAGAAGGCTGGCACCATCGCTGTCCTTGACAAGTTGGTTGCTGACTATGTCCCCGCCGAGAAGTTCGACAAGCTTGCTGCTGAGATTCAGAAGACTGCTAAGGGTCTCCAGGACAAGTACGCCGAGTACTACGTTAAGGTTGCTACGAAGCTCAGCGAGAACCGTGATTACGCTGAGAAGGAGCTTGCCCGTCTTGTCAAGATCCTCAGCAAGGGCTCGTCGGCCCCTGAGAAGGTTGACGACATTATCTCCCGCAGCAACATCCTACGTGGATTTGCTGGCGAGGAGAAGGATGGTAAGGATGAGCTGTAAAATTGATCTGTTTGTTTTACTTGGTGAATTGGCTCGAGTTCTTACCATGTAGGAGCTTTGCTGTCGGTCTTTATGAATATATCTGGGTAGATTTGCTGTATAGGCGCCTTTAGTGCTTTGCAGCTTTGTACGAATTCAAAACCATCCACGAAGCCTTGTACCTGTTTTTGAAACTTAAAAACAAGCCTACGGGTAATTAGGTGTAGTTCTGTAAAAAAAGAGTTGATAGTACATTGTCTCATTCAAACGTAGGGTATCATAATTGCGTTGCGGGAAAAAAACTGTGCAGTCGGTTCCTCCTCGACTGGGGCAAGCCAGAATGAGAACCGTATACTAGCATTATTCGAGCGCTCAAACGATGCACGAAAGCTCAATTGCACCACAATGTCCAAGCATAATGAGCCATATGTTGGTAGCCCCATATAAATTCTCCTGGTTTATTTCGTAGGAGTTGCATTCGCCGAGTCATTGCCAGATGCCGTCAGGGAAGCCTCGAGTTCATCGAGGCGACGGGTCATATCGTCCACTGGAGGGATATTAGCATATGCACAGCCTTGGAGAAGAGTCAAGGTAGAGAGGGACGCACACTTTCCAAACATTTCTTTGGAGATATTATCGAATTTGCTCTGGAGTTGGTCCAAGAGCTCATCAACAGCCGCTGTAAGCTGACCTTGCGCATCGGCGTTCTAGGCTTCGTTAACAGAGGCATTGAGGAAGAGCAGCGGGGAAACGTACAGGCTGGGATAGAAGAGACTCCTCCCCAGAGCCCTTTCCCTTTGTTGGAGTCGCTTCGTCAGCCATGGAGATCAGCCCGCGGGGCAGTCAACAAAACCGGAGCTAAAGGGCTGTGACTGTTTGGTTGTGGCGGGCAGCCGTCGAGGAAGCAAGGCGATAAGGGAGGGATCATCTGTTAACCCGACCCCCGGTCCACACTAACCTCTTTCATCTCTTATCGTTCGCGCTAACCCGATCAGGAGTGGACCCGGTTCAAAAAAATCCAAAGCATAATCCACTGCTTCTCGACGCCGACTTTTTGGAGATTCGCAACCCTCCAATTCCCCTCAGACCACACATCATGGTCAAGCGAAGCAAGCTCCTTCAGGCCCTGGATGCCCACAAGGGCCGCGACTATGAAGCCGAAAAGCAGAAGAAGATGGTCAAGGCTGCGGAAAAGCGTAAAGGCCTGAAGCGCAGCCCTGCCACGACCAACAGCGACGAGCATGACGAGGACAAAAAGGAGGACAAGGATGTTGAGGATTCTGACGCTGAGGACTCTGATGCTGAGGAGGAGGCAGACAACGATGAGGAGGAAGCAGAGGAAGCAGAGGAGGGCGACTCTGAGGACGAGGCGGAAGAGGAAGAAGACATCCCTCTATCAGACCTCGAGGAAGACGAACGTGAGGACGTCATTACCCACCAGCGACTCACCATCAATAATTCGGCTGCCATTACTTCTTCCCTCAAACGCATAAGCTTCATCACCGCCCAGACGCCTTTCTCTGAACACAACTCTCTCGTCTCGAATGAAGATCTTGATATCCCTGATGTGCACGACGATCTCAACCGGGAGCTGGCTTTCTACAAGGTCTGCCAGGCGGCTGCTGTTACTGGGCGTGGCTACTTGAAGAAGGAGGGTGTTCCTTTCACCCGTCCTGGCGACTACTTTGCCGAGATGGTCAAGAACGACGAGCACATGGAAAAGATCAAGAAGAAGCTATACGACGAGGCTGCTGGCAAGAAGGCTGCCGCCGAGGCTCGCCGTCAGCGTGACTTGAAGAAGTTTGGCAAGCAAGTGCAGGTTGCCAAGTTGCAGCAAAGAGCTAAGGAGAAGCGTGAGACTATGGAGAAGATTAACACCTTGAAGAAGAGTATGTCCATCCGATAATGTAAAAACACTCGACATAACTAACATGCTGACTCTTTTTTTTTCACAGAGCGCAAGGCTGATTCAGCCGCTCCCACCGATGATGCCAACGACATTTTCGATGTAGCGATTGAAGATGCTGCCGCCCCCGAGAAGGGCCGCCGTGGACGCTCGGGCGAGGGTCCCGACATAAAGCGCCAGAAGCGAGACCAGAAGTTTGGCTTCGGTGGTAAGAAGCGCTTTGCCAAGAGCGGTGACGCTGCTTCTAGCGGAGACTTGCGTGGTTTCTCCACCAAAAAGATGAAGGCCGGTGGTTCCAAGCGTCCGGGCAAGAGCAAGCGGGCCAAGGGACGCATGTAAGCTTGCTGACTGGGTCAAGAGCTAATCGGTTTTGTGAGGGACATGGGGGGCGCCAGGCGCACAAAAATTTACGGCGGAAATCCGCCGTTGCTTTCTGTAATAACTAGAATTACCCTGCATCTGCACATGATGAATTGATTTACTCCATAGTTCGATTCTTCTCTACTCTCAAGTTATGATAATCTTATAGAAAATGGTGCAAATATAGCGGTGTCTCCCTAGTAAACCCTGAAGATGATGTTTGTTACGTAGCTTTGTGTAACTCAGTCACCGATCCTTTGGACTTTAAGCTACATTTTTTGACGTATCCAGCAGAGCGTCATTGAGGCTAGCCTCAGATTCGTAGCGGAAACCAAGTACTTCACTCATGTCTTTGATTCGGCTACTCGGGAATATCTTGTAGGAAGGGTATGTGAAGGAGGCTGGCAGAGTATGGCCTGAAAAATTACCCAAACTAACTTCGGTAAGACCTGCAATATTGGTTCTCTTCAACAGGGATCTCGCTTGGATGCCTTCTCTCACTAGAGGAGATTAGCGAATATCCAGATTCCTTCGAGTTTGCGTCATGTAGAAACATAGTTCTGTTTAAAGTCAGGATATACGCCTGCGCGTGTCTTGAACACTGTGTTGCTACTAATGCGCGTACGTTTCTCTAGCTTTCTTCCAGTAAACATCGCCTCGAGCCCGAAGAACCATCCTGGATTGTGAAAGGAATGTGATCAAGGGCTTCTTACAATATGGACTGGAGATAGCTAAGCGGTCTCATACGACCGGTTATTCGCTTCCTCCTGGTTTTCTATTTTTTGGTGAGAAAGGGTGGGTATTCATTGCAATTCTGTGTGACGAGTCTCCGATCCACATTCCATGAATAACGTTTCCTAGATTACATTAGGGCTTCTCGTTACTTCAGTTGTTGGGAATCATAAGAACCTCAAAAACCCTCCCCGAAAGGCTTCCTTTTCTGCGATCTTGAATTCTCCTGTGATATTTTGACCAATTCGTTTTCCTTAGCTCAAATCCTGGGAAGTCCTGTGTCCCTCTCTCCCCAACACTATGACTCGCAACACACCCGCAATGCCTGTCAGCAATTGCGTCAGATCAACCATTTACGTCGACATAGGGGGGTGTGGCGATGAACGTTAGAACAGAAAGAGGCCTCCAAGAGTTGCCCGGGCTTATCGATATATTGTAAACCCTCCGTACATTGTGAAGAATAAGATGGCTTTTGAGAATTTTAAGTGGACAATTCTTTCTTCCAATGTTCTAGTAGGACTATCTTCCACGAACCCTGAATGGATCTCATCTTGAATTCATCCTATACACTAGTCGGCCATGCACCCAGTGAAGCCCGTCACGACCGATTAGGAAATTGGTCTCGACATATCTGATTGATAAGATCCCCCACTCCCCACTCTCAGCCCTAGTGAACACGCCACTGATCTTTCTCTTCTCATATGGATAGCTGATAGTGGGCTTCAACTTGAAAGTCCCGATAGGCTTCCCAGGAAATATTACAACATAGAAGAATACCGTCACCCCAGTGGCTGCTCAAGGAGCACGGTATCAAGACAAAGCGTTTTGTCTATACTGGACTAACGCATGGCTTTTGGATGACTTGTCCCGATTTGCCGGTATCGAGAAGCCGGGAAAGCGACTTGATGCAGTGTGTTGGGTTCGTTCTGGATCTTTTACTGAGAGCGAATGACTAAATCCATATCGACATCAAGGTTGATTGGTAGGTCCCATTGGGACGCAGGTATCCTACATAGTTTCTAAGTTACATGGTATTTTGCCGCGTACATGGATACTGAATATTTGACGGGCCTCTTAACATGGCAGAAATCGAGCCCAAATCCATTAGCCTTTTCACCCCAAGAGACAGCACTTACACGCGCATCGGGTCTTTACTTCTCAGCCTCGCTCGCCGCCTTTGCGGCCCGCTTCTCCTCCCACTCTGTTAGAAACCTGGTGACCTTGGGCCCCCAAACCTCTTCGCCGGCTTCCAAATCCTTGTACTCAAGGACCTTTTCAGGGTCTAGCTCGTAATCACCTTGTCGGCTGCGAACAAGGGAGCTCATGAGACCACAGCTGCCGAGCGCCTTACCGAGATCATGCGCTAAAGAGCGGACATAGAATCCCGATGTCACGGTCATTTTGAGCTTGACTGCCGGTGGCTGAGAATGAGGCTTCTCGGACTTTGTGGCAGGTGTATCTTCGTTATCTTCGTTTCCTGGCTCGGGGGCAACAGGCTGCGCTTCTCCACCGTCAGCTTTCTGTTTCTTCGCGGCTCCTTGATCCCCCTCCAGTCCTTCTTTCGGGGAATCGGCGGGTGGCGGCGACTTGCGCTTGTTTGATGACTCGGTTCCTTGATCGGCGGTCTCCTCTGCAGCAGCAGTAGTAATAGGTAATGAAGCGTCCTTGTCCAGAAGCTTTTCTGCCACAGTTTTCTCATCGCCGGTCATCTCAGCCTCGGGCCACTTGAACTCGTGCGTGCCAGGCTCATAGAAATCCACCAGCTCCAGCGAAACCGTCTCTACTGGCCGGGACTTGATCTCAACCGGGGGCATCTTGCCCGCGCGCGCATACTCATATAGCTTTTTACCATCCACTCTCAATGCGGAGAAAATAGGTGGGCGCTGCATGATTTTCCCTCGGAATTGTTCAAGCGCCTCCTCGACCTTCTCGCGTGTGATGTGTTCCGTTGGAGCTCGGCGAACGACTTTCCCCAGGCAATCGTACGAGTCTGTCTCCGCGCCGAACAAAACGACCGTTTCATAGGACTTGGTGCATCCCAAGAACTCGGAAAGCACCTTGGTTCCCTTTCCAATGCCAGCGATCAGAATGCCCGTCGCAAGAGGGTCCAATGTGCCTCCGTGTCCAATCTTGACATCCATAGGCTTCTTGTTGCGACGGCGCTTCTTCTGGTAGGAGGGGTCTTGGCTGAGTCGAGCCTTCTCTGCGTCGAGCCATGGCTTGAAGGTTTTGGAGGGGTTGAAGTGCTTTTGGAGAGTGCGAAGTACATCGGCAGAGGTAACGCCTTGCGGCTTGTGAACGGCTGGGATGGAAGTCAGTCACCTGTCAATCGGGGTGCGCGCAAAGGAGACCTTACGGAGAATCCCCTCAAGGACTTTCTCGCCAGACATTGCGGTGCGGAGGCGTCGCAAACCAGGCCGTAAGGACATCAGCTCGAGCTGTATTTATGCGGGAAAGAAATTCAGTCGAGGATGGGTAATTTATCAGTAATTTTTGGTGCTTTTATCGGGGTATCGATAACGTTCCGATAACGTTATCCGGTAATTTACAAGCATCAAGATCAGCTTAATGTTGACGATCTCCAAGATTCCAACGTTCTCTGTTCTTTCAGTAGTGCCGGCTCACTTCCATCCTTCTCACCTTTGCTTTATCTCTCCTTCACTCCTCTTCCCTCCTCAACCATGCCGCCCTCGCAACCATGACCGCCCGCGAAGAAACAGTGCTCCTTCCCATTGATCCCTCCATCTCCGATGAGAACGATTGGTGGGAGTTCAGCTTGTCCGAGGTCAAGGTCCTGCGACCCGGGAAGCATCTGTACGCGAACCTCCTCGAAGCCACCGAAGATAACCCTGTGCAAGTCATTGGCGAGCTGCAGCTCAACCAGGACCAGGAACACTTAGGTGTGTACATGCCATGACGCTGACCGTACGACGCGTCACGTCGAAGCTTTAAAGAGACCCGCATTGCTTACCTTGAACATTCTTGTGCCAGTCACCAACCCCGACCTTCTCTCCAAGCGACTGCTTATCGACGATGTCACCCACTTTGCCTACGGCCAGACGGAAGATCGCAATGTTGAGTTGTGGGTAGCCGGCAAGGCGGGCTGGTACAAAATTACGCCCGCCAAGTCCTACTTGCCAACCTACACTCGAATGGTCCAGGCCGTCGACATGTACTACTTCCTCATGGACAAGCACCAATCCGGAAAGAAGCAGCTAAATCCGACATACAAGAATCTGTGCCAGCAAGTGAGCTCCGAACCCACCCCAGACCGTCGCGTCATGTTTCCCCGCTAATTTGGAGAAGTACATCTATCATACACATGGCGACTGTGAAGACCGGGAGCAGTCGGCTGCGAAATTTACGGAGCATGGGCCTTTCCTACTGACTTGCATGGTTGAGGACGATGAGGACATGCACTGGAATAAAACCAATATTTTTATGCAGCTTCGGCGGCAATTCAAGGTAAGACGCGGTGCGGAAATTACTAAGTGGGTGGTGATATTGACCCTGGATGTCTAGGAAAAATACCAAGAGCTCATTTCAAGGAAAGACGGCAGTGATCATATCGATGACGAAGATTTAAAAGAACCTCTTGTCTCAACCCCGCGTCATGACCCAGCTGCGGTCTCAAAGTCGCAGACTGATGCGGTTTACAACACGATACAAGAGCTCAAAGAAGAGGGCCATCTGGCGAAAACGTCGACTGAACTTGGATTTAGTTTCAGAGCGCTTGTCGGAGCGATATTCGTTCAACAAAGAAGATGCGGCCAAGATCATTGCCGCCCGAGCTGCTGCTGTCCTCGAAAAGTTGGAGGACGACGATAACTCCAGATGGTCTCGCTGTGTCATACACCGTGAACTCAGCCATGCCGCGGCACAACATGAATCTCTCCCTTCTTCTCTCCTCACTCCCCTTCAACCTCTTGACGACTCCAGTGATGATGAACAACTTGCCCGGACGCAGAAGTCCGTTCTACGACCCATTGCTTCAGTATCCCGAAAACTGATTGGCAAAAGAAACCGCAGTGGCACAAACGGCCAAAATCCAGAGCCTGATGGCGACGAAGCCGACATCCAAGATGACCCAGATGCTATGTCCGATGTCGAAACACCAAGTAAGACTCGTGGACAAGGACATGAGCTGATCAGGACCCCGATCCCATCCGCGCGACCTCGAACTCGCTCCCTTTTGTCCAAGACAGAACCCGGCCCGGCCGCTTCACTGCTCAAATCTATGCTTCGCAAAACGCCTCGAGCATCTCAAACAACAGCCACGATCGAGTCTTCGACATCAAAAGGACCCTCAGACCAAGGCCCCTCTATTCCACCACTACCCCCAATTGACTTGGAAGAATCGCTCGAGTCCGAAGTCTGGAATTGCCGCATGGTAGGATGTGCCAAGGAAATTCGAAGCAAGGGCGGGGAGCGCAAGAAGGAAATCGAAGCGCACGCAGGCGAACATGACTGGAATACTCAGATGCGAGTCGAGCTCATCGAGGCCGAGCAGCGCATGCACTCTGTCCTTCCTGTGACCAATCTCATGAAGTACCTCGTTACACAACACTACCAACAAATGCGTGCTGCATTTCCCGAAATTTACGCAGGGAAAGAAGCAAATCAGGCCGATAATGACACGAACGGGATCTCGACCAAGACAGAAAATTCATTGGATGGGGAGCCTCTCTCAAGTCCTACCCTCCAGACATCTGCCATCCATGGCGAGGCCAACGGACATCGTTAAGAAGTGAACGATCTGATAACCATCATCCATGGCGATTTCTACGATTTCATTTTCAATGCCGTTATGGCTCAGGTGGCGGCATTAGCACGATCTGGGGCCTTTTTTTTCTCTTTTTTTTTTGCCCCCCTTGCTTTTCGTGACAGGATTGCCCTTTCGATCGGATGCTGACGTCCATTTGGCGTTATCTACAAACGCAACTTGAGGTTGATCCGTACTTGTCTTTACCGGTTCGAGTCCGGGAAATTTCCTGAGACTAATCGCTCAGATATCTAAACAAATAAAAGCAACCGTTGACGGGCAACTTGAACTTATACACACTCGATTCCCATATGAGATACCTTCCTCCCTCCTATGTCCAGCCTACCCGATCCTATTCATACAAAGCGTCTACACGTTGATATCCAGAATCCCAACATACTCGCAGCGTTCCTTAGTCGCCGCATCTGGATTCTGGGTGCACTTCCACTTGGAGTCTGTGGCCTGGGCAGCGACGACCTGGTAGGCAATTTGGGTCGAGTTGACACGCTGCAAATCCAAAGTGAAGTTCTCGATACTCCCCAGGCCGTAGCGGAAACCGAACTGGAATTTATTATGGGCGCACTTGTTCATCTCTATGCCCGGCTGGATTTCTCCACTTGGGTTCCTAGGGCGATAATCAGATATCTGGTTTTCCTGAGAACACTTCGAATTTCATGTGCGATAGCTTACCAGGAAAGATAACAGGCATCGCCTACATGAGCCGTCGGGTCATGTACGGTAAAAGCTAGGGTGCCAAGGGTGTTGTTCGAATAGAGAGCCGCAGAGAAATGCTGCACCTGGAACGACTCGCTGCGCTTGACGGGCCCCGCGAGACTGGTTGTGGCGAGCGCGAGCAGAGAAAAGCTTGTGAAATGCATGATGATGGTGCTAGTCACTTGAACCAATCTACGAGGGCGGGCATCTTTTTTATACCAAGGAGGCAACGGCCAGCCTCCTCGTGGTCAGGAAATTGAAGACGATCCATGTATTGTCCCAAAGTCAAACAAGTGGATCTCACGGACATGCTTATCAGGCCCACCTCGACTCAGGCCTCGAGTACTTTACAGCCCCAGAAGTTCAGAACCCCTACAGCCTTATGCTACAGAGGACTGCTGTATCCTTCTTGGCTCAGAGCGGTGCACGATCATAGAATGGGGGGCCCGATAGGCGTCCAGAACGGGGGATCGGCTGTCTCGGACGCGGACGGGGCGTGGGAACTGCGGGTCTTCGTGGACCCAAAACTTATACCCTCTAAAGCTTGGTTCAATCCATTGGATCCTGAATAGATTCCTGAATTGCACGTTGATCATTGCTTCCAATGAGGTTGCACCCAGACTTTGGTCCATTTCGGTCGATGCTTGGGATCCAGGTCGCACCAACGTTCAGGCATCGTAGATTCCAGTGGCTATGCCAACCACGGTGGCCTCCAGCCGTGTCTAGCTTACTGGGTGAGAATGTCTCTGATCACCATGTCGGGATGCCTGACAATGAACGATTCCAATTCGCAGACTCGGCTAATCCTTAAAGGCCCCCCCTGTTTCATACTCCAAACCTCCCGACCCTCTCATCCCCTGCATAATCAACCCCAATAACAGCCCACGCGCCCCTGCGAATCAAAATAAACCTAGGAAACACACACGCTCAGCCGCTCTATCCGCGAAGGTCAATATTCGTCGCTTGACAATAATCCTGCCTCTCCACGGCCATTTGCATCTGCATCATAGGGCCCCCATTCTGCCCACCTGGCCCAGTCCCATACACCTGCTCCCCGAACATCCGCAGCTGCATCGGCATAGTCGGGTTCTTGTACAAATCGACGATGTCGTGCTTCTCAACCGCAAACTGTAAGCCCCAGTCCTTAGAGCTCTTGCCCAGCGCAAGACATTCCGCCGCCTTCGCTTTCGACCACCACTCCGGAAGCAAGCCGGGCTTCTGTTCAACGCGGGCCAAGAAGCGCGAGAAACCACCCACGCCCCCGTCCGTCGCTCCGCTGTAGATACTGCCTGTCTGCAGGATCCCCGAGAAGGTGTAGTCGTCGTCGAGACGGAGACGGTAGGTGTCGATCAAGAGCTTGTAGACGTCCCTCTCGGTCCGGCCGTGCAGCCATGTCTTGTCATGAAGCTTGTGGAAGGGCTTCGAGATGACGGTGTCCAGGGCGACGGACTGCCCCGGTTCGACATGGTCCTCGGCGTCACCGGCGCCGGAGGCGGAGGATAGCTTCTGCCATGTGGCTCGAGCTCGTGGCTCTGCCCCTGGGGTTGCTGTGGATTGGTTCGCTGCAGCTTGTGCGGTCTGCGCGCAGAGCTTTTTGTGCGTCTTCCAATTCTTTGTCTGGCATTCACGGGTGCAGTACCAGGCAGATTTGCACTTTCCGCAGCGCTTCAAAGGCGCAGCGGGATCCTCGGGCTTCTTGCAGGTATTGCAGAGCCTGTCTGGGGTGTCTGGCGAGGCGGCATTAGCTTCAGGGGGTGCCATGGTGATGGGTGAGGGGAAATTTGAAAACTTGCGGTGAAGAGAGAGTGAGAGCGAGAGCGAGAAAGTAATCAACAAGCAGGTAAAGGACAGATGGATTATTGTTCCTAAGCTTCGTAGATTTGAATCGCTGCTCATCTCGTTAAATCGTACATGTCACAAACGCCTCCCCCCCTATTAACCCCGTTCCATAAGAAACACCCTCCCGCCGACCTAGAAGCCCTCAAAAGATCCCCCACAAAAGTGGACTCTTCACAAACTCGTATCCCAACCGGGGTTTTCCTGCACCCCGTAATAAGAATTAAAGATTCTCTTGAGGGGATCCAACCCGATCATCCACTCCTCCTTAACCATCATCCGAAGCAAACCGCTCGTAGACACCAACCCTCCAGCAGTCCCTACCACAGTCTCCGAGAAGATCGCCAGCTGGGACGCCATCTCCTGGTCAGCTCCGTAGAACCGCTGAATATCCCACACCCGGACCACACGGTCCACACTCCAGTCGTGATACGCCTGCGCAAACATGTAACACTGCTGCGAGGTCTCCGTCGTCCACCACTCCGGAAGAATCCCCAAACACCCCTCCACCAGCGTCATCCACTGCCTGAACCCGCGGCGGCCGCCGTTAAACGGGTCCTGGTACAGGCTGTCGAAGAAGCGTGTGCCGCCTACCTGGTCCTCCTCGACGCGCCAGCGGTAGGCGTCGATCAGCAGCCGGAAGGTGTCGTGGCGGCTGCGGCCGTGCAGCCAAGTGTTCTGGACCAGCCGCGTGAAGGGCCTGGCGATATAGGTTTGCAGCGTGTAGGCGCTCTCGGGGCTGGTGGGGGTGCTGAGGGGCCCAATGACGATGTTTGCGCGCTGGAAGGCTTCCTGAAGGGCCTTTGTTTCCTTGGAAGCCTCGCATTCGGGGCGACAGTGGCAGTTTTGGTCGGCGCGGAGGCATTTGACAGAGCAGGGGCGGATGGCGTGGCAGTTCTCGCAGAGTAGGTGGTTGAGTGGGGGACAGTAGCCTCCTGCGATCTGGGGATAGTCTACTACGGTGTGGTGGTGGAAATGTTGAGGCCCATGATTCGTGGGACGCGAGTACTACCTGAAAGAGGAATACGGGACATTGTGGATGAAGCCAAGGCGGGTTTAAAGAGGCAGGTTTCGTTTGAAAAGTTGTTGAGAGATGGCCCTTCTTCTGCGGAAGAACGAGAGGCTTTCTGGGAGCGGGGACAGGGAAATTGTGAATAGAGGAGATGTGAATAGGAAAGAAGTGTGGCTTCTTCAAGTCTCCAAGAGTTTTGCGATGCGCAAGTTGCATGAAGAGGACTGAGGTTGAGCTTCCATAACAACAAGCACATGTTAGGGCAGAAAAGCAACAACGCCGGTGAGCTTGGTTTCTCCCGTCATAGCTACTTACCACCTACGCGTGCCAGAGAATCCGCAACACTTCCTCGGGCCTGACGTAGCTTAAGAATAACGCACAACACGTGAATGGTTTGAAGAATAGTGAATACAGCACACAGAATTCTGTGTCAACTAGCAGACAACTGAAGCGAACTCCTAGGCCTCGGAATGAGACCGATGCAAGACAAAGCAACCTGCCCTGCCGTCGCCTGTACATGAAGAGGTCCAGAGAAAGAAATTTTGGGGTATACCACAGAACATGCCACATATATCACGCGCACATAAAAGATAGGGATAGCAAGGTGCGGAAACAAGGTGCAGATGAGAAATCAGATAAGACACTTGCGAGAAGATAGCTAGGGACACACGGCCCCGATGGCCAAGAGTAGGGAAAGGGAAAAAAGGTGTGTACAAGATGGCAAATATGCGATGATCAAGGGTTGGTAGATAGGAAAGTCTCGGGGTCAAAGTGTAGTACGATGGACCATACGGTCCTCACGTGGGAGATTAGGAGTGGCGGGCCTTGTGGGCTTCAACAAGAGCTAAATTGGGTGAGTATGCGTGTTAATGGAGGAGCTGGGGGACGGAGAGATCTTACTCTGAAGAACAGTGGCTTGACCCTGTCGCGACTCGCAGGCACACTGCAGAGTGCTCCCATCCAAGAAGTTAAGGAGAATACTGTTGGGCATCTCTTGCATATCTTCATCAGGTAGGCAAGGAGTCCGGAACTCAGTCAGGTGGTAGCGCTTGGTCATATTGCGGGCGGCCGAGTCGTTCGTACTAGGGGCCAGCACAAGGTATCCTTCTTCATCGATACGAATACAGCGACGTTTCCATAGGGAGCGTATCAGGAACTGCACATTAACCTCGCCAATCTCGATGGCGCTGGACAGGCTTTTACCGGATCCTGAAGGCGTCAAGGTAGTGCCATTTGCCGCTTGAGGAAACCCTTCTTCTTTCACGGGCGAGGCGACGGTTCCGATGATATTACGACGAGAAGAGGTCATTGATGACATCCGGCGCATCAGACGGGACGCCCGGGACTCTTTCTTCTCTTCGGCGGGGATGCAGCGCCGTTCTCTTCAGTCTTGGAGGGAGAAGCCTGGGAAAGTCGACTACCAGAGCGGGAGAGCGGTCCAGCTGGCCGACTAGAACTCGAGTCAATAGACGCACGGCGGATATCAGACTGGGAGGCCGACTCCGGCAACTCGGATTCCTTGGCAATGTCGTGCTGAACTGTCGAAGGGCTATCCTGGCGGGTCGGGGTATCAGAGCCAGGCTCGACAGCAGAAGGCTTGGGCGAGCGACTTCGGGCCGTCATAGAAATCGAGCTGGTACGGCGGGCGGCGGCGGTATACGGACGAGAGTCATTCCTTTGCAGACTAGGGGCACGACTGAAATCAGGCAGGGTCCCGCTGGGAATCGAAACGGAAGCCCGCTTCCGGAGACTTTCGAAGGATGAAGAGGAAGAGGGCACGGTCACCGCGGGTGACGGGCCGGCCGGGGAGCCTTCACGGCTTTGGAGTTTTTCTAATGCTTTGATGCGGTTCGAAATTCCAGACGAGACGTTGACCTTCTTGGCCATCAGCGGAGTCGAGGACTCAAAGTCAGCGTGGGAACTTGAGACTGATCGGCCTGCAGATAGAGTTTGCATGACCGAAGGAGATCGAGATCCATGTGAGCTTGAGAAGGCGCGGGGTGAACCCCTCCACTGATCGCTGTTGACACTAGGGGATTTGACTGCAACCGGGCGAGCTTCCTGCACGGTTGCCGACCTCAATTCTTCCATAAAAGAATCGTCAGATAGGAGGTTATCGTCATCCGAGTACTCTTGAGTCGAGATTTGAATCGGCTCCAAGTAGACTTTTCGTCGCTGATCCAAGGGAACGGCGTCGGGCTTCCCGGTGGGTTGCTCTTTGGCGCTAGTCTCCTCCGCAGGAATAGGGTCAATTGGAGCCGGAGGGTGCGCGATCGGTGTCTCAGTCGCAGAAGGGGAAGGAGATTCAGGAGGAGGGGTGACGAGCCCGTTGGCAGAATCAAGGGGCTCTTGAGGAGTTTGTTCTGATGAAGCGTCTGACTGATCGGTTACGGTGCCTAGGGTCTCCAACGGGGATGAAGAACCTTCAAGTTCCGAGTCTGGGACCGGGCCTGGCACCTCACTAAGTGGGACTCCGGACGGGGCGCTAGGTGCAGCTAAATCCTTCTTGGCCTCCGCGTGGTTAGGAATTGTGGAGAACCCCCCTGTGTCATCTTCGAGCGTAGTCTGCGGCGTATCCAGCTCTGAGCAGTCGAAAGCATCACCAGATGCGTTGGAGAATGTTGTGTCCGCGCTTGGGCGAGAGGCATGCGAAGAAGCACCTCGGTCAGAATCTGGTGAAGGCACGTCTGGCGTTGATTCCTGCTGAAGTTCGGCTGAGGCAACGTCCAGCTCCCCTTCACGATGCGTAGGGAGTGGCTCAATAGGTTCCAGTGGCTCATCTGGAGGCAATTGAGGAGCAGTGTAAAAACCAGAGAAAGCACGGGGCTGAAGGTATAGCTTCGTGTCGGCCAGGTCTTCGGCGGGTTCTTCAAGAGAAGAAAGGGGCTCAGCGGGGTCTTCCACTGGGGCGCAGTCGCCTTGAGTTGTTTCCTCGGGCTTTTCCTCGAGACTGCGGTCTAGAATTGGCTGGAATGCTGTTGAGGGCAGCTCTGCAGGATGGGTCTCGGGGATTTGCTGTGTGGTCTCTTCGTTCTCCGTCTCGGGCGCCAGGTTTACATTCTCCTTATTCTCATCAGAAACCTGGGTCCTATCAATCGGTATATCGGGAATTGTGTCCTTCATTAGGGGTTCCGCGGCCTGTCTCTTTTTCGAATCTTCGGCCCTCTTCGCCATGTTCTTCTTCCGTTGTTGTAGTGCCTTCATCAGGCGTTCTTTTTCCGGGGTTAAACCAGAAGATGTGGATAGAGCGCCCAGGGATTTGGCGCCCGGTGAAATTGGGGGTCTTGCGACGGGAATAGTCGGCGGAGGAACGAGGAGAGGAGGAATGGGGGGTACCCGAGTGCTTGGTCTGCTTGCAAAGGAGCTCCCCCTGAGATCGTGGGCGTGGAGCTTCGGCCATCGCGAGCTGCTTGCGAGCAGTCGAAGAACGCATTCCGGCCGGGAGGCGACGGGTCGCTGATCAGGATTCTGAGAGCTTCCAGAAGTTCGAGGCTGTCCGGTTTGATCCAGGGATGGGCGGGGCCCAAGCTTTACTTTCGGGGTATAGCCTGCAGCACGCTCCAACTCACGCAAGGACGGCCGCCCAGATTGGGTTGACATCCTCGCTTCTTCAGATGGTCGTGGAAACTCATCCAAAATATTCCGATATCTAGCGCGTTCTGAGGACGCCGGGGAAGTGGGGGCCATGCTTTGGCGAGATTCACAGCGGCTATCCCGTGATGGCGGCGGCCGAGAACCTTCACGCGATTGTGGTGGTCGAGGGGACGGAGATCGAAGGTCGGGGGGCGCCTCAAAACTGGACGAAGTGGTTGGCGGCACTATGGTGAGCTCTGATCTTTGACTGCCCGGTCTTTCTCTGATTTCAGCCTGGGCCGGCACCTGCAGAGGCGGCTGATTCGGCGCCTCTGTTTTCTTTGGCGCCCCGTTTTCTTCTGCATCCTCCGTTATTTCCATAAGTTTACGGCGGCGTAGCGAACTCGACGACGATGTAATTGAGCCTGAGGCGGTATGAAGAAGGCACGCGGACGATAGAGCGCTCTCGTTGAGATCGGAAGCTTGCGTTAAGACGAGAGTTGTATCATTCGGAGAGAATCTATCCAAGACCGATTGGAATTGGACATTGCTGCGGGCTGCAATGCGAGAATATGGCATTAGGGGGCGGGGGCTCCGCTAGAGAAGGGTTCACCAACGAGGCATACCTAGAATAAGACGCGACAAGCCCTCGGGCATGTATCGAAGAATGACTTTCCGGCGTCTGTACTGGAGGAAGCCATACAGCGGCGAGGTCTCCTCGTACTTTTCAATGGCATTGCGCACTTCGGACACCCCACCGCTTCCTCGTTCAAGCAAGGCGACTTCATCCCTGGAAACATAATGTAGAAGAAACCTGGAGAAAAGGGGGGAAGGAAAGTTAGAACGAGAACCGTCGACCTCGATTCGATCTCTCCACAATGCTAGTCCGGGATCCAAGGCGGACAAGAGGGGAGCAACGATCGGAGATGGGAATGCGAGCAGGACAGGAAAACGTACCATCCACCGGCGTCGGCCAGCGCACTCTGGTAGGCTTCGACGATGGCGGCAGAATCTAGCCCATTGAGAGACATGGCGCGAACGACATGGAGACAGAACACAGGAGCTCCGTGACAGGCGGAAGAGCGCTCAGAGGGGGGAGGAAAAGGGAGGGGGAAGTACGAGAGGTCTGGCCAAAGAATGAATGGAGCCTGGGACCAACGGATTGAGATCTCGCGATCGTGAAGGTGCCCAATCACGACGAGGGCAGGGCCTTGACACCAGCGGATGAAAAGGCGAGGCAGCTGTCCTGATAGGTTTACCGTCCACGAACCTGTTCAGGGGCCGCTTCCATTTGTTGATGACTCCACCACGCGGCTATCCCAATTAAACCTACTCTCGCGCGGTCAAGAAGCTGAAACGCCCGGCCGGCCTTGGGTGCTCTTTATAGTTTAGACTCAACAGGAACCCATCGTAAGCCGCGAGTGCTCAACTCTATTATCTACAGGTCGCACGAGGGGGGATAGATATTTGCTGCAGGCGGCACGTTACCGTCTGTCCCAATGTACGACCTCGTCCAGTCAGGAATGCCATGATCTCATCCATGTCCTATCACATTGGCGCTCCCTTCTGTAGTCTGCAATCTGATCTTCCTCATGCCGTGAGGCATCCCAGGAATCCCACATAACTTGGCAATTTCATACCAGGGCACGTCAGTCGTCTATCAGCGGGTATTTCTTCCCATTTGATTCTCGGGAGCTCGCCGTCAAGATCGGAATTCGACAACCTTGAGGAATCCCTTCTGTCTCAGTTGGGCACCAACGTGGATCTGGGGCTCCAGTCCTTCAAGTGGAGGGTCATAGTCGGTGGATCTCATTGTTCAACCTTAAATAGCTTGCTGTTGATCTATCCATTGTGACTGGCACTGCCTGCATGAAGACATTGTGATTCCAGTGACTAAATCCAGCGATGTCTACCTGGTTATCCAATCCCCGGGTTTATCTGGGATTTATCTGTGTTTGCGGAGAGCTTGAAGCAGCCCCTTTTTTGGTAGGACCACAACCCAGGAAGTAGGCTGCCTTCCTTTCCAATCCCAATAATGCAAAGCAAAGCTCAAGGTCCGGGTTTGTCCAACTGCTTAGTCACTTGTGAGATCAAATTTTGGACCGTTTGAATATGATCAAATTACAAATCCTAAGCCTAAGGGATTCGGGCCCAACCAAGACAAGCGCTTTCTTTTCCGCCTTAGTTGGAAGATTTGGGAGACAAATAGAACGGAAAAACATGGAGTCTCTCTAGTCGTGGATCAAATCACACCTGTCGTTGTCGAAGTTGCACTGTTAATCCGTCCGATAGGAAGCTTCCGTAGTACTGGGAAACAGAGCTCGCACCACATCATACCTTCCCTACCAGTGATGTTAGGACCGGCGGAACCAGGAGTTGAAACCAGAAGACTACGAATAACACATACTCTCTCCCTGTGCCACCCGTCGACCTATTTTTGGCCAAGGCGCAATAAGCTTTATTCTGGGTTGGATTCTAGAACCGTGCGCGCCGCCGCGCCGCCGCGCCGATCCCCGCGCGGAGTATCTACGTCGGCGAGCCCCGATAGGCATACTTATTGCGCCAATCCCCCAGCAAGAGTCCTCCAAACCACATCATGGCTGATCTCCCTCCCCTGTCCTCGCTGCCCTCGCTCCCCCAGGAGGACCAATTTCGCGTGCTGGACACGCTCTTCGAGTCCTCGCCGGAGATACACCAGCTCATGGCCCCCCGTGCTGTCCGGCCAGACATTCACCTCCTATGGCGGCCTGATCGATGCGGTAGGGGGGCGCATGTCCGCGCTATGCGCCGCAAACTCCCCCACCGATCGCGACATCCTGCATGGCATTCTGGGGTCGCACCCCCGGCTGGGCCGCGCACCCGCCAATCCCGAGCACCTGAGTGAACTGAGCAAGAAGGAGCAGGCGCAATTGAATACCGGCGCGGAGGAGCAGGCTGAGAAGCTGGCAGCGCTGAATGCTGAGTACGAGGCCAAGTTCCCTGGTTTACGGTTTGTGTATGTACCTTGCTTACCCTCCCATCTCCACCTCCTTTGCCCCTCCCCCGCGATCCCGCCTATCTTTCCCTGTTTTTTTTTTTGATACGCTAACCTTTCCACCAGCACTTTTGTCAACGGTCGCAGCCGAGACGTCATCATGGAGGAAATGCACCAGCGCATTGAGCGGGGAGACCAAGATCGGGAGGTGGAGGAGACCATCCAGGTAAGTTGAGCGATCGCTGCATTGCTGCATTATGCCATTGGAAACATCTCAAGCTAATGCTGTCAAGGCCATGTGCGACATTGCTAAGGACCGTGCGCGCAAACTACAGGCGCGCATTTAGAAAGCTTAACACAAGCACACGAACGGCGCTATTTCTTAACTCCGCGTAGCCGATTCTAGAATTGATGGGCGGGAGTTTCTTAGCGAGCGATAAGAGAAAAGGGAGAAAAGACAAGGTTCGGGGCTCCACCAATCCTGGGAGTTTGATGTCATCCACTTCTTCCACTTCTTTCCTTTGCCCTCCGGCCATTGCCGCTCTAGCGTTTTCCTTCTTTTTTAAACATGGAAAATCCCCCATCTTCCGTAGTAGTTCCCCCTCCTTATCCATACACCTCATGCGCTCCATGCGCGCATCAAATGAAGGGTAGCGTGGAGCATTTGCCACGAGCGTCGACAGTCCCGATAACGGGCGCTTCCACCAAACCTACGCCGCTTAGAGCCTCAACCCTCCCCGCAGGTACGTTCACATCCTAGGGTCTTGTACCTCGTACTCGTATTACTCCGGAGCACCATCCCCCCACTAGGCAGCAAAATATAAAAGGAAAATAGAAATAGAAATGTGCCGATCTAACAGCTCATAGGTCCAGCGGCCTCGGATGTTGCGTCGGGCTCCAGCAACAGCCAGAATGACGGCCAGCGGAACAGTCGACGCCCGGCTGGTGGCCCGCTGGTCAGACAATCAACTTCGCACACGCTGCAGGAGACCCGCGCCGAGTCTAACGCCATTGATCCGTTGTCACAGGTAAGCCTGACCGTCTGCAGCTCAGCGCCAAAAGCTGACCCTGTCATAGCACATCATCCAGCGCACCAACACCCAGAAATCAATTCCGCTCAAGTTGTTAGGCCGCGCCTCGTACGAGGAGGCCGGAGGCTCCGACTGTACAGCATCAGATCAAAGCGGAAGAGGCGACGTAGCATCGAACTCGAAACCCAAGGAAAAGAAGTAAGCCCCAGCAAATGAATTCGAGACCCTTCGGGCAGCGTTGTGTTCCCTTGTCGGCGTCGGCGGGATTGTCAATATCTGCTGACTCGATATAAGACCGATCCCCGCCGCAGACCTTGTGCTAACGTTGCTCTGTTTCTCTCCCATCATAGATATAGGGTATCGCTACTCAATCGCATTATTGGCAAGAAAAACAATCCGCTGTCCGAGCCTGAGGATGAAACCTCAGAGACAGAGGAGAATCGCATGTCTGCCGACCAGTCGCATCCGACCAGCTTCATACCGCGACACCTTGCGCCGGCTCGCTATCTCAAAGTACGCGCACACTATAAAAAGGATAAAACATTCGACCACGTATTCGAGGCCCAGGAACTACAGGGCGCTGCCCCAGAACGCCCGGCAGATCGACGGAAGTCTGCTTCGTCAAATATCTCCAAGGGCGAGAGTCATGGAAAAGCTATTTGGGCATTGGCATTCTCAAAAGATGGGAGGTACTTAGCGGCGGCTGGCCAGGACAGGAAGGTTCGCGTTTGGGCTGTCATTACGTCTGCAGAGGAGCGCGAAATGGCAAAGCTAGAAAGAGAGACGAGTCCAGATGGGCAAGACCCTGTTCATCTTTATGCGCCAGTCTTCCAATCCAATCCTATCCAAGTATACGAGGCGCACACAGGGAGCATTTTGGACCTAAGCTGGAGCAAAGTGAGTGATATCCTTCCGGGAACGAAGATTGAAAATCGACTTACAGCGACTCCAGAATAACTTTCTCCTTTCTTCGTCGATGGATAAAACTGTTCGATTATGGCATATAAGCCGCTCAGAATGCCTGTGCTGCTTCCAGCACAGTGATTTTGTGACTTCTATACAGTTTCATCCACGTGATGATCGATTCTTCCTTGCAGGGTCGTTGGATACAAAGTTGCGCCTGTGGAGCATTCCCGATAAAAATGTGGCTTACGTGACAACAGTCCCTGATATGATAACCTCGGTGGCTTTTACCCCCGACGGCCGGCATTCTCTGGCAGGGTGTTTGAACGGCTTGCTCAGTATTCACGATACGGAGGGCCTTAAGCTGTCAGGACAAATTCACGTCCGCTCAGCCCGGGGCCGGAACTCGAAAGGTGCCAAAATTACCGGCATTGACACCATCAAGGTACCACAGGATGACCCCAATGGAGATGTCAAAGTGCTTGTCACCAGCAACGACTCCCGCATTCGACTATATGATCTTCGGGACCGGGTGCTGGAAGCTAAATTCCGTGGGAATGAGAACACGTGCAGTCAGATCCGGGCTTCGTTTACGGATGACGGAAAACACGTCATTTGTGGAAGTGAAGATCGCAGGACCTACGTCTGGCCCATTGAGTCTCCGGAGCGGGACGCTGACAAGAGGCCAGTGGAGGTCTTTGAAACTCAGTCTACAATTGTGACCGTCGCGATCACAGCGCCGGCCAGAGCGAAGCAACTACTCAGCCTGTCCGAGGATCCCATATACGACATCTGCAATCCTCCCCCCGGTCAATCTTGCGAGCCCTGAGGAAGCCCCCGCTACAAAGAAGTCCAACTCCGCAAAGGATAGCAAAGACGACAGTCAGTACAAACGGTCCGAATTAACACCCCAACTCTCAATTGTCAGCAAAATTGAGCAAGAATCACCCGCATATATGGCTCGTTCTACCCATATGGACGGCAACATCATCGTGATAGCCGACTACTCGGGCAAGATAAAAATCCTTCGACAAGATTGCGCATATCAGAAACGCCGCTACGAGAACTGGGATCAGCACAACACTATCTCTCGGCGCATCCTGCGTCGCTCAAACTCCGCACGTCACAGTGTCGCCTCTTCCATTGGCAAAGATTCTACCCAGAAGACACCCTCCGAACGCATCATCTCGTGGCGGAACTCCGTCGTTCGCCAGGCGCGCTCCAGCCACGAGGGCTCGCGCTCTGGACTGCGCAGTCGCAGCCCCTCGCCGCATCGACAGGGCACAACGCCCGTCTTCCGGCTCTCTTCCCCGTCCTTCCAGTCTGGGCCCCGGCGAGGCATTATCGGGCATCGCCTCTCCATCAGGGACGTCGCCAGTGCGACCTGGTAAGAAGTGGAGACCGGCAGCCGCAGAAGAATGGACAGCGTGCGGATGACCGTGCTTCGCAGGAGCTACAGGATCTCCCGGCGTCATCAGCCGAGCTAATATATAGTGACAAGACTCAGGAGAATCCTCTTTGGCTGCAGGGTGATCATAGCTATGCGTACTGGCAGAAGATCACACAAGACGCGATGGCGATCAAGTCTCGGCAGTCGAATGACACGGATCTTCTCAACCCGAACCACATTCCCCCTGGTCTTGAACGCAAGTTGAGTACGGCTGGCAGTGTGCTCAGTAGTGAATATGAATCCTCTGCCGTGGCCGAGGACGAGGAAGATCTTATGAGATGTGAAAATTGTCTTGGGACGAGTTTTCGAGGCGTCAAGGACCGCAGCGGAAAGCAGAAGTTGATCTGTTCAAGCTGCAACCGGTTGGTCTCTTGATGGCTCTTATGCCTTTTACACCCAAACGGCAGTTTTTCAGCAGTGTTTCATTTCCTTTTGGGGTTGTATATTTTTTTTATATTTGGTATTTTGATTTTTGGATCTAAGGATCTCGGGGCTTATGTTGATATGCTCGGACAGTTGATATCAGCTTCGCGGCGTGTACCTGTAATATATGGTTCTGAGTGGATAATGTCAAAAGAAATGCACAAGGCATATAGTTTGAAAGCCCTTTAACTTCGCGAGAATACATTACTGTTGAGTAGTCTGTGTGTCAGAGCTACCAGCTACCAGCGCGGGTGCCAAGACATCGAAAAAGTCCGATAACTGATCCGCGTGTTCAGCCAGGACCTCCACCAAACCACCACCGAGTCTTCCATCTTGTTGAGCCAGTCCTCGAAATTGCAAGGCCTCATCAGAAAACCATAGATCTTGTCTCCGATCCCTGGCTTCCATCTCAGCCGCGCCCCACGCATTTTCCACTTTCCGCACACTCACCACCCGCACAAGGCAAGACCAGCTCTTGCCCACCTCCACAATGCCATACCTGTCAACCTCCCAGGCATTCCTGGAACAATCAGCCCAACTTCTCCAAGCCTACCCAGATTCCGTAAGAGCAAAAGCCCTACAAACTCCCACAGCCCACCCCGCAACCCGCAACCCGCCACACAGACACAATGCCATGATACCCCACAGCAAGCCCGTGTTTCGCAGCGCTTCACGAAAAGCGCTCGAGCAGACAACACGAAAGCTGCCTCCAAGAACCTTGCCTCCAATATCCGCATCTTCACAGAGACCAATCCCGCCGGGAGCAGAAGCTAACAAGACGCAGACCCTAATCACTACAAAATACCACTTCCCCACAACCACACGCGCCGCGCAACACAAACTCCAAAAATCCCTCGCAAAGTCCCGAAAGCCCGCCCCAGAAGAAATACCAGCCCCCGTCGCCGCCTCGTGCTAAAGACCTACAACCCCTCCACCGGAATCACTCTGCACTACCGCACAAACAAGCAGCAGGAGGTCGGGCGCATCATAACCACGCTGGGGAAACTGGCGGCCGGGGCAGATGTAGCGGGACTGGGACTGGGGGCGCCGGGCGCGCCGGCGGGAGACGTGGAGATGGTGGATGCTGGGGCGGAGGAGGTTCCTGCTGCTCCTGCGCAGGCGCAGGCGGGGAAGCAGCAGCAGCAGCAGCAAGGTGGGAAAGGGAAGAAGAAGGGTGGGAAAGGGAAGCGGTAGATTGGGTTCTTTTGGATTTGATGCTGGCTAAGAAGGGCCTGCTATAGAAAATAATGACTTGCTACGGATCATTCATGACGGATGTTGTATGTTGAAGCTGGGCTGATACTAGTGTAAGGTTTAACGTGTAGAACTCCAAGCTACGCAGCGGCAAAGTTGCTGGTATAATCGGATGCATTGTACAACTCTATGGAAACCATGAAGGTGAGAAGGTGAGACCGTCATACAATCATATATAAGTATGAACGTCAGTTGATTGCAAAAGCTACATACAAATATCCACCGTCTATCCCATATTAGAGACATTGAGGGTTAGGGCAGATTAATTTAAAAAAGACACAACGCCAAACCCATGCGTAACCATCAAAAGAGCCCGTCAGTCAATACAAGCCTAGGCCAAGAAAGAAAAGAAAAGAAAAAAGAAAAAAAAAAAACGTCAAATCATGGAAAAAGGTTGAGACAGAGCCTCGAGGGTATAGAACAGAGAGGAAGGAGAGGGATAAAAAGGCTTCGTTTAGAAGTCCTCGTCGAAGTTGAGACCACCGCTGTTAGCAGTGGTCTTATCACCTTCCTCGGTGTCCTTCTTCGCGACAGAGGCCATGACACCTGCCTTCTGGTAGTCACCAACACGCTTCTCGAAGAAGTTGGTCTTGCCGGCAAGGGAGATGGACTCCATGAAGTCGAAGGGGTTGGTGGCGTTGAAGTACTTCTTGTTGCCGAGGGCGACAAGGAGACGGTCAGCAACAAACTCGATGTACTGGCACATGAGCTTGGCGTTCATGCCGAGCAGAGCAACAGGGAGAGCATCAGTCAAGAACTCCTGCTCAATGCCAACGGCCTCAACAATGATGTCCTCAACCATCTTCTTATCAGGGCGGTTGTTGAGGTGGGAGAAGAGGAGACAAGCGAAGTCGGTGTGCATACCTCGTCACGGGAGATGAGCTCGTTGGAAAAGGTCAGACCGGGCATGAGACCACGCTTCTTCAACCAGAAGATGGACGCAAAGGAACCGGAGAAGAAGATACCCTCAACGGCGGCGAAGGCAACAAGACGCGAAGCAAAGGTGGACTCCTTGTCGGAGATCCAGCGCATGGCCCACTGAGCCTTCTTGGCAATGCAGGGAATGGTCTCGATGGCATCGAAAAGGTAGTTGCGCTGCTTGGGCTCCTTGATGTAGGTGTCGATGAGAAGAGAGTAGGTCTCAGAGTGGATGTTCTCCATCATGATCTGGAAACCGTAGAAACAACGGGCCTCGGGGACCTGAACCTCGTTACTGAAACGCTCGAGAAGGTTCTCGTTGACAATGCCATCAGAAGCGGCAAAGAAAGCCAGAACGTGAGAAACGAAGTAACGCTCATCATCGTTCAGGCGGTTGTGCCAGTCGTGCAGATCCTTGGAGAGATCGATCTCTTCGGCGGTCCAGAACGAGGCCTCGGCCTTCTTGTACATCTGCCAGATCTGGAGTGAGAGAAACCATTAGCCCTATGTTCTGCCAGTGACGCGTGGAGTCCCCACGCGTCATCCCACTTTACGCGTTGACGTGTCGGCGGCGTGACTGACCTCGTGGTACTTGATTGGGAAAAGGACGAAACGACGGGGGTTCTCCTGCAGGAGAGGCTCCTGGGCCTCAAGCTCCTTGATAGTGAGAGCTTTAGGGGGTCTCAGTAGGCTTCTCAGCCGCTTTCTCGATAGACGCGTCGACAGGCTTGAGAGACGCGGGGTTCTCCTTGCCGACGGACTCGAAATCGAGCTTCTTAACGGGAGAGTCGCTCATCTTGAGGTTCTCGAGGGATGAAGCAGCCTAATGAGGTATATCGGTTAGCCTCAGAGCCCTTTACGACGCGTGTAGCGCGAGAGGCGACATCGTGACATCACGTACCTGCTTCGAAGGAGTGACCTGGGTTGCCATTGGGACGGTATATGTGTGAAAGAATATGACAAGAGACAATTGGAGATAGTGTCAACACCAGGAGGAGACTTGAAGCCAGATAGTTTGGAGGTTTGGAGAGGGAAAGGTGGAGTGGGAGAGGATGTGGTTAAGTAGTCGAGGGCCGTGAATCTTTTTAGCGCGACGTGCTCGGGCACGTCTCACGTGACAGCGCGCTGCTTGATTATGTCAAGAAGCAAGGCGCGTCCATGGATCCGCTGGGAACGGAAAATCTAAACAGAAATGTCGCCTCATGCCACTTCGTTTCCACCACTATCCGACGCTAGGACAGTCGATCCATGGCCGTGCCTGCGGTAGCCCCCTCGACCATTATGGGTACTAGATGGAATTTGAATCTGTGGCATGGCTGTAGCTAATCCCTATGTTCCTGCATCTACCACCGTTTCTGCCTCCAGAATCAGCACAGCAAGAACACAGAGAGGAAAATCACTCCAGATCTGATATAGCTGTAGCCATCAAGTTGGGCTCTGTGAGTTCAAGCACGCTAGCGGGTCAATAACACGGGCTACAGTCTCACGCGTCTCCCAAAATTTTCAGCTCTACGTAATAATGGAGCTCCACTCCACAATTGAATCAAGATCAGATAAGACTGCGCACAGCTGACGCGACAAAACGCGAAACACTGGAGCCCGGATATACGGGAATTGGGAGTCGGTTGGTGATCTAGAACTTAGTGTCGCTCAGCTTTCAAATCCTTCACTAAGCCGGCGCTTTGGAATGGTTGGTTCTGCGGACTCCACATCCAGCCACTCAATACCGGATGTGCGCTTGCTCCGCACAGTAATATTGGCGTGGCTTTCACGGCTATTTGGATGTAGGAAACCTGTTGTAGACAAGGGGAGGGAAATAGACTGATCTCATATGGGAGGAGTAGAGATATCTGCCGAGTGGCTTGCAGCTAGACTATAAACTCTAGAAGGCATGAAGGAGCTCCCCATATTCAGTTCTTGGGTGGGGATCAAGCGCGTCGCCAATGTACCGAAATCCTCGCGTGTTCGCGTCGCCTAGGATCGCAAAATCCAGGGACCTGTTTCAGGGCTGGGCATGTCGGCCATGCGGCTTCCGAAATCTGGCATCCCTGGCAACCCCCAGTCTCCACCTTTGATGCTCGGGCAACCTTTGGCCTAATGGGATCTTTGGATCTCTGGCACATTGCTGGCATCGACTTTATCGGAAAATGAGGGTCCACCGGGAGATATGAAGACTAGAGAATTTGATCTCTACTCCTGGTCTCATTGGCGCGGGCTTTCGAAGCCGGACGCCGGAATTTATTAGGTTATTGAACACATACTTTGCTTCTCTACCTTGTAAACATCCTTGGGCGGGATTAGCTGAACCTGAAGCTGAGGCCAACGCGTCCGTAAAGCGGAAAGCGCGAGCTGCGCAACGCCGCGGGCGGCCTGGTTCCTGAGGCACTGTAAACAGCTGCTTGGACCACCAGATTTCCACCAGCAGGCTTTTCCTTTTCGCCCAGGGATTCAGTCATATCACATCGTGGGCATTTTAGGTTCGATCTCATAGAGCTCCACGACCTTTGGTGTGGTCGTGACGGCAAACTACTCTTTGCATTTATTTCACATGACCTAACGTGTTTGCGGCTTCTGTTGACCCACCAACCTTCATTTGGCAAATTGGCATTGCATTTATTCATGAACACAGAGGATATATTGTGTAGCTATCGAATCCAAGATCGGTGAGTGATACTTGGAATAAACCTGCGGCCGCGCAGTGGAACCTCTGTCGGCTGATGGTAGAACCAGCAAAGGGCGAATTGGAGTTCAGAGTGCATATGCTGCCTCCCTATCTATATAGGTTGTGTTGAACAACTTTGTCGCTATAAGTTAAAGACCAAGCCCCAGTTCCAGTGGACTCAACAATTGTTGCATTCGTTCCTCGAATCCGACTGCACTATTTACCTGGCGCTTGTTCGCTGGCACCCCACATTCTGCTCCATGAAATCAACGCCTCTTTCGTCTTACAGCGGGACTCGAAAGACCTGTCCTCCATCTGATGGGCGAGCCGGGGATTTAAGAAGCTGTCCGCGTACTCGAGTGGATGTCTTAGCTAGCTACAGCTTTACATGCCAGCAGTCTTGGTCTATTCTTTCGACCGTTCCGTTTCACAGCCAGTAAGAGTGCGGATACTCATGAAGATGTGAAGAAGCGGGCCTTGGAGAACGTAAGGGATTGCTTCTCGGAGAATAAAAATAGACTACGCGTGGTACATGCTGTTGGAAACCGCTTCGCTGCAGTCCGTGTCTATCTATACTTCTTTTACACAAGGTCACTGATGGTGTTGGGCCAAGAAGCTGTGCAGCAAGGGTTTCCCAAGTACTTGGCTCGGGCGAGAGCTTTGCTGAGAGGAAGGCAACGATCCAAGCCTTGCAAGAGAAGGGGCTCTAAGATTCTTTTCTTATCAAGATATACGGAACATTCTCTAAGTTACTGAGCGTGTAGGAGACTTAGAAGGAAAGAAAACCCATTTTCCAAGAGCCGACACCAGACTTTATAGCGGGAAGGTTACCGCCAGAAATCTTCTATTCCTTGGACTCCCCGTTAGATGGGCTCCTAGATGAACTCTCCTCACTATATCTAACAATCAACCACAACGGCCAGCTGAAAATGAGAAAATCCAGCCAGGACAGAATAGCGGGTCTAATAGACCAGTGAAAATTGGTAAAATGGAGTTCATATGAAGTGGGGCCCAAGATAGGCTCAACCTCTGTTTGAAGCAAAAACATACCCTTGCTGGAATGCTGCAACAGAGTATCGTTCACGAAACCGAGCCTACTTGTGACGCAGATATCGCTGCTCCATTAAATAGCGCCAAAGGTCCCGAGATGCCCCTCGGCTGAATCACCGGAAATCGACACAGGATGCATTCGATGCAAATCCCGAAAAGTCAAGGTCAGGATCTATAGTCCGCTATAGCAATTCGGAACATCTAACACTAAATTAATGCGACGAGAATTGTCCCAGGTGCAGTTACTGTGCTCGCCCACAATCCACCATGTGGATACGCAGCGCTGAAGACACGCGTCTTTGATCCGACCCGGCCCATACCCTCGCGATCTGCACGTCGTCAGCAGCCTCGAGATGGGCGTAATTCAGATCAATCTTTCCCCGGCCCTGCGGGGTTACCAATCCTCAAGCTGAGCCTCCTGCATCATTTGGACAACAGAGATAGCCATGACCATGAGTTCGGCGCAAGTCCTGTCTGTGCGATAAATGTGGATCAAGACTGCTCCTCAGATGGCATTTGAGTATCAGCCACTTCTTCACACTATTCTCGTTCTAGGTGCTGCGCATCGAGTAGCTTTAAATCCTGCGGAAGCTAACTCCTTACGTCCGGTTTACCACTGTTACCTCGACCAGTCACGGCTCATTTGGACGATAACATCAGCGAACATGTTTGCCTCAATGCGATTTTGCTATCGTTATATGCCTCGTTCCTTCGCTCAGAGATCCACACTGAAATCCGAGTCCCCACTTGTGTGGCTTTCTGTCACACCGGGGATCCGAACATTTATCTTTTCGCGCTTACCCACCAGGCGGATGACATCTGGTGGCTCCAAGGCATTCCGGTGAAGGAATTACATGGGATCAAGAGCATCTTGCCCTCCGGATCGAAATGGACGATGGTCTGACCGGTGAAAATAATAATCGGAATCTCCGCAAGAATCTAACCGCAGGGATTTGAAGTCGAGAAGCGCCGACGAACCTGTGATGAGTTTTCAAACAATGAACATTATGACTTCCACGCATCGTGAATCTCGGGAAGCCTCAAGGAACGTCAAAAGCGCATGTTTTGACACTGTGACCCATACCAACTTAGCGCTTTCGGCCCTACCTTAGAACTGAAATGACGTAGAACAATACCACCTGTCAACTAGGCAGTGCTCCTTAAATGTTGAATTCGAGAGGCTCAGACGAAAGTCCAAAAAATAAGTCGAATTGACGGTCAGACAGCGAAAATAGGTTCCAAATCTCAAAATCACCCCCACTCCCCGCGCTTGCAGGGATACGTCAGTCAATAAGATCTTCGGCGTAAATCGTATTTGACATGATGCATAAGTGGACTCAGCTCCACCCCCTGAATCCTCCAATCTTGGCCCACCAACCACCGGACAGGGATCTTCGCCTCATCACAGCCCGACGATCAAGCACGCTCTAAGCCCACCTAAGGCAGAGAAGGTTGAAACTGGCCCCAACCAAGCGTTAACAGGGTTCTTGTGCGGACTGTGCAATGGCCCTATCACTCTCCCGCAATACGGGGTTCTTTGTTCTTAGCGCCACGAGAGCACAGCCACGTCGCGCATTGGGCCTTCGGACAAGGATCTGACCAGGATTCAAAATGAATCCACACGTATAGTTTCGTGTGACTGGGTACTTGTGGCTAGTTTATTCCTGCGTTCTAGCTTGACGGTAAAGGATCGGCATTGACGCAGGCAGACAGGCACGGTAGACTCCAGGTTTTAAGAAGCTCATTCCCACCCTCAATTCCTTCTTACTCCAGGTTCTACAGATCTACCTCTTCAATCGCACAGAATTTCAATCATGGTGTCGACCACTGGAAGCTATGAAATCGCCAACATAACCTTCTTCGGCGCCTGTCTTCTCCCGACCTTATTCTTCCTCGGCACCGGGGGCAGGTTCGGAATTGGATGTTGGTTGAATGCTCTTTTGGCCATCTGTTTTCGCATCAGTGGCCACGCGCTCTCATATCAGGCGTTAAGCACGCCGAAGGGATTCAACACGATCGGAATCGTCTTGAATGGCATCGGCATGTCACCATTAACGCTTGCGGTCGGAGCTATGCTTAGCAACGCGTGTGTATACACTATTGCCTTCCTACAGCCACGAGGGCGCGCTTTTTCTTCCTGGACCCTGGCAACTGACATTCTCTTCTAGCAACACGTCCATCAAGCCGAGGCTTCCTTTACCGGCAAAAGCACTGGGGACTTTGGTTTCCACTATTTTGATGGTTGTGGGCAACAGTTTCTCGTTAGCCGGCATGAAGAACCACCCCCTTCTCATCGCGGGTGTGTGGATGGAATTCGCGGCTTGGGTGATTATTTGTGGAATGACCATCACGGTTTGGATGCACAAGGAGAACAACAACCGCCGCCCCGAGGAAATGCAGGTACGAAGATTTCGTATTTCGAGTTCCAGATGCAAGCAAAGTATTAAAAACTGATACGCCTTAGTTACTGATTGCGGCCTCGATTGCGCTCCCATTGATCGGCGTTCGTGTTATCTCTTTCCTAATCATCGCATTGAAGGAGGGGAATATGCCTTCATTACTGGTGGAGGTGTGGCGTATGAGGCGTTTCTAGGCACTTTGCCGGAATTCCTCACGATGCTTAGCCTGCTTACCGGCGGCCTTTTGACTTGGCAGCTGGGCTCTAAGCGCCGGGCCGAGCGTAAGGCTAAGAAACACGGCGATGAGGCCGAAGGGCTGGTGTACAAGGGCGAAGATGATGACCACGAGGACACGATGTACCACGGTGCATCGATGTACAGAGACCCCTATACTCACCCGATGGATCGAACTGATAACGTGTCCGATGTCTCTGTTTAGAGCATGATAGAATGTACTAATGTTTATATATCAGCATTTAACGGCAAATGGAATGATGAATGAATTTTAAATGTTCTACTGTAAGCACTAAAAGTATGTGGTACTCACAGTCACTATGACTCTTGGTGAGCAATGGGTAACATCTAGCCCCCGTCTCAGGGATGCATCGTCCAAGGCTCCAGGATTCTCGAGTTTGAGTCAATAAAGAGTCACGGCTAACCCGTTCAGGCCGGATCTACAAGCATCTCTCCAATACGAATGCGCAATTCCAAGTGACTGCCCCGCAGTCGGGCAGGCATCAACAAACCAGCGTTCGCTATTCTACAACGGCGGCCCGTCTCCGCATCTTTTCAGCCGCTGGTCTTCGTGAGCTACGCTGAAAAGTCGAGAGCAACAAAACTATTGCATCGGCTCGACTAGTGTGCTCTCATCATAACCACCATGAAGAGCCTAGGCCTACCGTGTGCTGTTTCGGACGAAGATGTCTTCGGCCCAATTGTGAATTCTTCATGTCGCCATGGCTTTGATTTCACTCTTTTGTTCGAGGAGACAATTTTCACATTCCTGCCTATTTTAATTGCCTGCCCTATTGTTCTGATACGGTTATGGACCCTTCGAAATGTGTCAGAGAAGGTCAATCGTTCATCGTTCTATTTCACGAAAGAGGTGTGATAAATTCACCAATTCTCTGTCCACATGAGTCTACTTCAACGTTAACTTGGTATTTAGTTGGCTTCATTCCTGCATATGACTCTTCAATTTACCCTGCTCATCTTTTGGTGTCAACCATCCACTCCGACGACAAGAGCAACTGTGCCAACGGCTTCTGCGTCCGTAGTGGTGTCGCTCTTTTGTCTGTACTTGTCACACTTGGAGCATTTTCGCTCGCTACGCCCGTCAACTATCCTGTGTCTCTACCATGGATTTACTCTGATTCTTGACCTGCCGCGTCTTCGGACCCTCTCTCTCTTGCCGGATAATCAGACCGTGACTGTCATATTTGCTGTCTCCTTGCTTTCCAGAGCTGGTGTCGTCATCCTCGAGGCCACGGAAAAGAGATCCCTGTTGAAGAAGTCCTTTTCTGGATATGCTATTGAGACCACTAGTGGAATCTTCAATCGCAGTCTGTACTTGTGGGTGAGTGGTCTGCTGTGGAAGGGCTCGAAAACCACCTTGACTGTCGACAACCTCCCTATCCTCGATGACGATATCAAAAGAGCCTCAAACCCCGAGCATCTACTTGACAAGTGGAACAAAGGTCAGATCTAGCTTTTTTGCCCGTGTCATATCAAGCCATCTAATTATAGAACAGCCAACAGATACGGCCGCAACGCTCTACTATGGACCTTCATAAAACATTATAAATGGGACTTGCTTGGCGGCATCTTGCCGCGCATGGCATTCACTGGCTTCTTGTTCGTACAACCATTCCTTGTCCAAAGGGTGTTAGATTTCATGACGGAGCCTGAACACGTCAATTCATCAAATTATGCCCGCGGCCTTGTCGCGGCATATGGTATTGTCTACATTGGAATTGCAGTATGTGTCATTAACCCGTTCCTCAACCCGTCACTCATCATGACGCTAGGTCACACACAATGTCTACCGTTCCACGGTATACAGAGTTATCGCGATGGTGAGAGGAAGCTTGGTGAGTATGATCTTTGATAAAACGCTCCGTATGGGCACATCAGCTGCGTCAGATGCATCGGCGGTTACTCTGATGAGCACAGACATAGAACGCATAGGGGATGGTCTTCTCGATATGCATGAGACTTACTCCAATCTTGCCGAGGTTGTGCTCGCTCTTATCTTCTTAGCGCGACTTCTTGGTATTGCTACTATCGCTTCTACAGCGCTCGTCATCGGTATGTCTTCGCTCTCCGTCCTGGTACTAAAGTTGTACCCTCTGACATAAGAGTTACAGCCTGTTTGGTTGTCGGGTTGCCCATCTCTATGGCCAGGGCTAAAGCCCAAGGCGTATGGCTTGAATTCGTCGAAGAGCGTGTATCCGTGACTTCTAAAGTCCTCGGTGTCATGAGAAATATCAAGATGACAGGCTTGACGGACATTGTTGCCGACAGTCTCCGGAAGCTGAGAACCGATGAAATCGGAGCGTCGCAGAGGATGCGGGTCATTCGAGTCATCAATAATACGATTTGTTGGTAACAACTCCCAGGTGGAAGATCCGAGCTAATCTGCTCTCAGCTTACATCTCTGACGCGCTGGCTCCTGTAGTCGGTTTTGGACTCTATGTCATCCTTGCCAAGGCAAATGGTGGACCTACCTTGACTAATGGAACTGCATTCGCGGCACTAACCCTTTTCTCCCTTCTCGATACGCCAGTCGTCTCGATTGTCTATGGGACGGAAGATTTGATGACGGTTGTCAACTGCTTTCAAAGAATCCAAAAGTACCTGAACGAAACCGAGCGGGAAGACCGTCGATTGAAGTTGCATGAAGAAGACCCGATACTTATTGACACGAATGATGATGGAGGTAAATCGTGTGTGGTGGCTTCCCATTTATCTGCTGCATGGGCAGTCGATGACGAGCCTATCCTCAAGGACCTGGATTTCGATATCAAACGAGGAAATACAACCATGATAATCGGCCCAGTGGGCTGCGGGAAATCGACTCTCCTCAAAGTTCTGCTTGGTGAAGTCCAAGAATGCTCTGGTCAGGTGTTCACATCATACAGGACTGCTGCATATTGTAGCCAGTCACCATGGGTCAAATTTGGAACGGTCCAAGAGAACATTGTTGGGTCCTCCTGTGGGATAAACGTTGGTACGATCGTGTCGTTCATGCTTGCGCACTAGCATTCGACCTGCAACAACTCCCATCGGGAGATCAGACCAAAGTTGGCGTTCGTGGATCAAGACTTAGCGGTGGGCAACAGATGCGTGTGGTAAGTGTACAACCAAGCTAGTGGTTTCGAATTCCAGAGGACACTGACTTATTCAGGCACTTGCTCGAGCCCTCTATTCGAGAGAATCTATCTTGATTCTGGATGATGTCTTGACAGGGCTAGATCGTGAGACTGAAAAGCTCGTCCTGGATGCTGTTTTCGGGGGCCGTGGCATTGTAAAGGAGCTCGGCCAAACTGTTATTCTTGCTACAAACTCTGGTCAGTTGTTGTATCTTTTTTTTTGAAAGAAAGCCCCCACTAACAGCATCACAGCACACCACATTGCTTACTCTGATTTCGTCATCTCGCTTAACGGGCAAGGCCAGATCGCCCAGCAACGCTCCTCCAAAGAGCTCATGGCGAATAAGGATTATTCTGCCATTTTCGACGAAAACCCAGAGCAAGTCAACACGGATAGGGCACCGGATGTTGTATTTGATGACGAGCAGCTGCAAGAGTTAAACTTAGAAGGCGAAGGCACTGACGAATTCAGCCGAAGAACAGGTGACTGGACCGTCTACTTGTATTACTTCCGGGTCATGGGTTATCCATTGCTATTTCTAGCACTTGCATGCTCCGTATTCTTTATTGCTGGGGCTACCTTGCCTCGTAAGTAGTCCCGATCCTTCCAGCTTCCTTTTCCCCGACCTGACCAACTTTCAGAAATTTGGCTTCAATGGTGGACTCGTGCCAACGAGAAGCATCCGAATGCTGATATTCCGTACTGGCTCGGTGGCTATGCTGCTGTGGGGATTTTGACTCTTTTCGCCGTCTTTTGCTCGATCTTTGTCTTCGATATGCTCGTTATCCCCAAGACGGCTCGCCAATTCCACGAGATACTCCTGGGAACAACTATGAGTGCCACAACCTCTTTCTTGACATCAACGGACATTGGAACTACAACCAACCGGTTCAGCCAGGACCTGGAACTGATTGATGAAGAGCTCCCGGCGGCTTTTGAAATGGCAATAGATGAGGCTCTAAGCTGTCTCGTGGAAGGTTTCTTAGTCTTCTTCGGCTCATCGTATGTCACGGCAGCAATAATACCCATCTGCATCATCGCTGTCTACTATGTGGCCAAATTTTATGTGCGAACATCTCGTCAAGTTCGTCTGCTAGACATTGAGACGAAAGCTCCGCTATTCTCCCATTTTCTGGAAACTATTAGTGGCCTCTCCAGCATTCGTGCTTATGGATGGACTGAAGAATATCGTCGTCTGAGCCGAACTACTCTGGACAATTCTCAACGCCCATTCTATCTTCTCTTCTGTATCCAGAGCTGGCTCAATCTTGTTCTTGATTTGATCGTTGCTGCCATCGCCGTCACGGTGATTGCGATTGCATTGGCTTTGAGAGGGAACTCGTCGCTCGGTCTTCTTGGCATTGCGCTGTTCAACATTGTGAATTTCAGCTCTACTCTACAATCACTGATTTCCGAGTGGACTGGTCTTGAGACGTCTATTGGAGCTGTCTCTCGTATACGCTCATATGTACGCGAGGCCAAGACCGAGGACTTGGATACTGAGGTTCAGTCTGTCCCAAGCTCATGGCCACAAAACGGTGAGGTGAAGTTCATCAATATGACAGCTTCTTATGAGTATGTGCCATTGGAAACCACTTATTGGGAGAGCAGAAACTAATGCAGCCCCAGGACTTCTTCACCGCCGGTCCTCAAAGGAATCAACTTGGTGATTGCACCAGGAGAGAAGATCGCAATCTGCGGTCGAACAGGAAGGTTAGTGGAGCTGTCTTGGAAAAGTTTCTAGATGGTTCTGGGGGCTGATCTCTTTCTAGTGGGAAATCATCCCTCATCTCGACTATCCTGCGGACTCTTGAAATTGACAGTGGCAGCGTCCTCATTGACGGTGTCGACATCGCACTACTATCAAGGTCCCGCATTCGATCTTCATTGAACACGATTCCCCAGCAGGCCTTCTTCCTCCACGGTAGTGTTCGGCTGAATCTCAATTCTCGACAAGATGTATCGGACGAGAAGATCATCGATGCCCTTCAAGAAACCGACCTTTGGTCTCATATCGAATCTAAAGGGGGCCTTGATACGGATATGTCAGAAGATCTACTCTCCCACGGACAGCAGCAGCTATTCTGTCTCGCGCGGGCTATGTGCAAGTCTAGTCAGATTGTGATTATGGACGAGGCCACAAGCAGGTAAGTCGCTGTACATAAATGTCTTATCAGTCACTCATCAGGCTATAGTGTGGACTCAGACAGCGAGAAACTCATGCAGAGTGTCATTCGCAAGCATTTCAAAGACCAGACTATCATTGCCATTGCGCACAAACTGGACACGATTCTGGATTACGATAAAATCGCGTTTATGGACCAGGGGAGAGTGATTGAATTCGATAAGCCTCAAGCCCTCTTGTCGATGGAGAAATCGGCGTTCAGGTCTTTGTACAACAGTTTCTGCGACCAAGCATCATGATAGGCACTCCTTTTTCCTTTTTCGTTGACGGGCAAAATGTTCTATCTGTCCCGACCATTTGACCACTACATTTGTCAGTCATGAATAGTGAGCACAATCTTGTCTCGGCCTTCAAATCTCCTATGCGCATAATCGTACACCTCTCTAGCCTGAGCGAGAAGAAACGAGAATGTAACAATCAGCTTTACAGCCCCTCGATATACCAATTGCGCCAATCATTGCACGGCCTGACTCTTTCCACTGACAAGAAGGAACAACATTTAGACTCCGCTTCGCAATCCACAACTTCTTATGCTCTACAAAGTTCCACGCCGTTGATTTTACCAAGGAAAGCACCCCAGGGTCCTTGAGATACTCCTAGCACTCCACAAGCAACTCCCTACCGATAAGTTATCAACTACAATGCTACACTTCCTCGGCTTTCTAACCGACTATACTCAACCACCTCATGCACCCCCCAACCCCTCTCAGGAACTCCTCATTCCTCGCATACAAGCTCAATAGAGTACACCACCCGGTCAAAAGTCTGTGTGCACTCGGCCCCATTACCATCACCCTAATAACCACCCACATTTTTATTCTTTCTCCTACACCTCCCCCATGGCATCGATCGCTATCAATCTGGAATTATATTCTAGCAAGATAAAAAAAAGATCTATATAGCGAAAGATATGCAGGTTTAGTTTAAAGAGCATGGGATGTATGTTGAAAATTGGCCTGTATACTCACCTGGTCTTAACCCTATTAAACCGGTCTGGAATATACTAAAATTCGAACTTTTTTTGTTTATTTGAAGACTGATGTAGATAGGAAGATCTAAGGAGGATAGAGCCTATCTTAAGGAATATGTTAATACTGTATAGAAGGTGTTAGACTAAACGGAGATTGATATGTTAATATTAGGTATGGGAAGAAGGATAGATAAATCATATGCGAACCAGAGTTATTGTACGAAATATTAAGTAAGGGAACTCTATATATAAACCTGATTATTCAGTATATTGAATCTTAGTATGATCCAATAAGGATTGGTGGTGTAGGATATGTAACCATGAATACACATCAGTATTTGATGGGGTAGGTAAAGCGGTATGCGCACAGACTTTTGCCCCCCCATTGTAGCAATTTCTAACCCCGTACTAGCATCCAGCTGCACAAATTTTAGCGCAAGCCTATTCTCCAGGACAGGCGCCTTCTTGGCCTACGTGTATACCTGGGGTGGCGAGGAGGGTTAAAGCTCTTCAACTCATATAAGTACAGGTAATGTAGACAATAGGCTAGGGCGGAGTGATCATGACATGCGAGTCTTCCAGGCTTAGATTATCAATCTTTAGGAAAGACTCCATTTATTGAGAATCGGGTCTCGAAAGAGGAAAATGCTATTAAAAGCTATATGCAGAAAACCAGTATGACTGGCTGTACAACTAAAAGGGAAATCCCCCCATTCTCAAACGCAGGCGATATCACAAACATGACGCCTTACTGAACAGGAGGCAAATCAGCAGAAAGAGGGAGCTTGCGAGAAGAGCTGCCCACATAGACTCTCTTGGGAGCATTTGATACAACCCAGTTCTGGGACATAGGGTCCCAGCTGGACAGATCACGGCGGGTCAGGGTAGCGGTGAACGGGACGCTCTGGCCGGGTTGGATGGTCAAGCGGTCGAAAGCACGCAGGACCTTGACGGGGTCGTTCGCACCCCGAGAGACACGTATAGTTGTGGAACTTCGTCACCAACCACAGAGCCGGTGTTAGTGACAGTAGCAGTTACCTCAATTAAATCTTCAAACAGGCCTGCGTTGCCACCGTCGACACCGCTCGCGGGTAGAAGAGGCTGGGCAGAGGCGTCTACCGCGCCAGCGGGGATGTAGTCCTCGGTCTTCTCGCCATAGTAGGGGTCACCAGAAGATTCCTTCAGGTTGGTCGAGTTCAACCAAGGGTAGAGGTACTGAGTGATACGCTTGATTCCCTTGGGGAATAAGTAGTCGGAGGGGCTGCCGACCTGGCCGAGGGCCTGAGCAGGCCTGGTCCAGCCAGTAGTAGGAACATACGGCTCGGCATTGAGAGCAGTCACCTTCAGGTCACAGAAGGAGAAAGTGGTGTAGCTCAGTCCATATCCAAACTCATAGAGGGGAGTCGCGTTCTTCTTGTCGAATGAGCGGTAGTCAATAAAAACACCCTCGGTGAAGTCATCCTGGGGAGCACCGATACCGTTGTTGGGCTCGGTCAGAAGAGAGGGGCCGTAGTCCTTGCGGTTCTTGCCCCAGGTGAAGGGGGTCTTAGCACCAGGGTTAACACGGCCGAACAGGATATCCGCAATACTGTTGCCACTTTCCTGACCGGGAAGACCAGCCCAGAGAATAGCAGTAATGTTGGGGTTGTCATGCCAGTGGTTAATGAGGACGGCGCTAGGGGTGTGCATGATAACGATGGTGTTGTTGCAGTTCTCGGCCGCGGTCTTGACAACCTGCTCGCCGTTCTTCCAAAGCGTCATGTTCTTACGGTCTCCCTCGTTGCCATCCACATTAATGTAGCCCTCACCAGAGTCCGCATTCACGAAGACCAGAGCCACACTGGCCTGGGAAGCAAGCTCGGCCATCTGGTCAATGGCACCGTTGTGAGTCACGGCAAAGACATCGGTGTTTCCATTATTCAGGAATTCGTTCTGGATCGCCTGTTCCGGGGTGATCAGGTAGGGAAATTCAGCACTTCCGCTGCCCCAGCCCATTGCGAGAGTGCCATTGTCACAGCCACGGTCGCTACAACCATTAGCGCCCCAGGGGTTAGAGCCGGCGTCTTCTCCGAAAATGCCAACCAAACGCTCCTGAGGCTTCAATGGAAGGCCGCCCTTATTCTTCAAGAGGACAGTACTATCGGCACCAATCTTGCGAATAATGCGCTTGTGGTCACGCTGCACATTGATGCGCTCGTTGAGCTTGACCCTGTTCTCGCTCACGATGAAGTGCTCATAGCCGTATACGTCACGGGTCCAAGAGCTGAAGTTAGGTGGGGTGCGGTAGCGATCACGGCCAACCTTATAGTAGGCAGTCATGATACGAGTGGCCATATCGTCAATACGCCATTCAGGGACAGTGCCGTTCAACACAGAGATGGTCAGGTTGGTACCCCAGAATGAGTAAGGGCTGCCCAGAATAACGTCGCCCGGCATGGACATGTCCATACCAGCCAGAGTCGCGGAAACACCGCTGTGGTGCGCACCCCAATCACTCATCACGAAGCCTTGGAAACCCAGTTCGCTCTTGAGCAGCTTGTTCAGCATGTGGCTGTTCTGGCAACTGTAGCTGTTGTTGACCTGATTGTAGGAGCACATAATAGAGCCCACGCCAGCGCGAACGGCATCGACAAAGGGCCAGAGGTAGAGTTCGTGCATGGTGGTATCGTCAATGTTGGAGCTGATAGCCTCGGTGATATTGTATCCGTATCCCTGAGCCTCGCCGACCTGACGGAAATGCTCCTGCTCGTTTCCGATGAAGTGCTTAGCACAAGCAATGACACCGGCATCCTGGATTCCCTTGATGGTCTCGGCCATCATCACGCCGGTGAGAACGGGGTCTGGAGAGAAGCCCTCCCAAACACGGCCACCGTCTGGATGTCTACCGAGAGGTCCAGCCACGGGTCCTAGTTGCACATCCACGCCCTTGTCACGGTGCTCCTCGCCCATGCCTCGACCACGCACGTAGGCCAGCCGCTTATCCCACGTGGCGGCAACATTGATACCGGCGGGGAATCCAGAGTTGTAGTCGCCTATTCGATGAGATCAGCTCGTCGCCCAATTGAGCCTGGGCACGCACCCGGGATGACTTACTATCACGGACACCAAGAGGCGAATCTTGCATACACATGCCCCACATACCAAGTCTTCACGATCTCATCAATTTTCGTTCTCCCAATTTCATTTCCCAATGGGTTTTTTTCGCTTACCTGGGGATACCACCAGTCTCGCCCACACATCGTTCTTGCATCCAACTATAACAGTATTAGTTGATGCCCGCCAAGTAAAAATTCCAAACGTCATACCCCGCGCCAGTTGTCAAGTTGACCTTCTCATCGAGAGTCAGCTGTGATACGAATTCGACCGCTCGTTGGTAGGCTTGCGCCCATTCGCCTTCGCCGGTGGCCCATGGGGATGGGTAGTAGGGTTCAGAGTAGGCCAATTCCTATTACAACACTCAATTAGCTTTCGCTTCCATATGGGTTGCCCAAGCCAGACAGATCTTACCTTGGCTGTTGCCACTGAGGCAGTAGCCAGCAGAGCTACATCCGACCAACCGAACTTCATGGTCGGGGATGTAAAAGGGGCCCTAGACTAATTGAGGTTCTCACGTAAAAGAGAGACGAACCACAGAGTAGCGGGAGGGGTTAGTGAGTGTCGAACAGCGTGCAGATTGTGGGGGGAAGGCAGCATTTATAATAATTTGCATGGGGACCAGGGGCAGCAAAACATCTGCAAGTAATCAGACGGGGAAGCTGGGAAGTGTGGAGAAATCAGCAAGGATCGACAAATAGCCCGGGGCGCCCGGAGGGCGAACTCGGGGCTCGCATCGTATTGTGACTCCACGATCAATTCAGATTTGTGGCTTGAGCACCCGGTATCTGAGTCTGGTGGAGCGCGTCTTGACTGCCCCTTCAAAGGGAAGAAGGGGACCGAAGGGGAAGAGTACTCGGAGTGGCTGGATACGCGAGGAGCTGCTTTGTTTACTGTCCCTGCAGCTTCCAAGGGGCGAGCAGCATGAACGTGAACGGCTGGTATCTAACACAATTCCCTCCCAACCACTTTCTACAACAATGCTCAAACGGCCACTTGAATGAGCTCGGACATGCATCGTCGCAAAAAAAAAAAATCAAGACTGCATCTCAAAAGTACATGCCCCGCGTTGAGCCAAGCCTTGCCGAGGCCATTTATCCAAACTGCCGCCTAAACTTCGGCTGTTCTGTCTCGCACATACAGTTTCCCTTTCGCTGCTTAGGCCCCGCTAATTCTCCGCTTTGTGGGGGTACAATATAAATCGTCGGATGTACTCCGTACAGAGGACACTTCAGCCGGAAGAATCCATTGCGGCCTTGGCTCATGCAAGCCATTCTGACCCGACATGGTCCCTGTGCTGTGCTCTGCGAGAGCATGCAGCGCAGTGCACCGTACACCTCGCAATGCGTCCGAGTTTTCGAGTCAATTTCCCATAACTCTGTTGATCGAAGATCACCTGCCCAGTTAGGCAAATCCCCTGTCTATTACTGTACTATGGAGCCGTCGGGATGGAGCCCCAGAGTAAGCTGCTACGGTAGTATAGAACACCTTTAGCCTAAGCCATCGGCATCAATCGTTGGGGAAAGCACCCCCATTCATATGCACCTTACGGGTCTGGAGGTCGAGCTGCCCCGGAGCTGCCAGAAGCTGCTTCGGTGTTGAATCTTCAAGTTCTTTTAAGTCCACGTCTCCCGAAGTTCCGATCTCGGAAATGAGCTTCAGATCGTCAAGTCCTCGATCCCTGGATACTCAACAATTAAAGCTGTGCGGGAACCTTGGGCGTCTACAAGCCTCTACCGGAGACCCCGGAAATGAATCGGGGGGGGGCCAGACGTGTTCAGGGCCCGAGCGATCCCCCGCCATTGGACGAATGCAATAACCAGCCAGAGCTTAGACGGTTCTTCCCCGCTTAGAAAACTGGCACCAATCGGTACTTGAATAACTTGTGCTCTTTAAAACTCCGTCCCTTTTTCGGATGGCCGATGTTCAAGCCGGCCGAGTTCCAAATCCTCGTCTGGCGCAGACCGAGTGCCTTGATTGCTGGATTTTCACATTTACCAAGCACAGATGCATCTTGCTTCCGGGCTTGACTGGATCAGGACACCCGATTGGTTGCATAGACTGGAACGTGGCCAGAGTCCTCATGCCACCAGAATTCGCTTTAGCTGGAAGTGGATGCGAGGGGCTCATGTCTTATGTCTTTACGTCAGTTAAAAGGATTCAGGAGCGGATTTGTCACCTGATTACAATGGTGTGATTCCTTGGTGTATCATGCCCGGCGAGAGGACGCCTAACCCAGTCAAAGTGTGACTCGGCCAAATTTATCATTTCTCCTACATTAAAGGGGATAACGTATCTTCCCTCTTCTGTCGGATATCAATTACTGTTCTCAAGCATTTAGATGAACTACGCAGTACATGCAGTGACGAAGCCCTTCACCGCTCGCAGAATATTATGCCACGGATGTCACCCCTTCGATATGATTGGCCGGCTGTACTCTCTAGAATGCCTCATAATAGTGCATAGACATCAGAATTCGAAACAAAACATACATGACACTTCAAGGAGCATCAAGGTTCCAGATACTCTGGAATAGAAATGAGAGAGGCAGAAATGGGTGCATTTGTACACTCCAGCTCCAACGACGAGGCCAGCCACGACGGTATAGATCTTGAAGGCGGAACTGAGAAATCAGCAGCCCAACACTCATCGGCCTTTAAGCAGCTAGGGATTCTGGATCGCTTTCTAGCAGTATGGATTTTCCTGGCCATGGCAGTGGGTATCATTCTGGGGAATTTTGTCCCCAACACCGGTCCTGCGCTTCAGAGAGGAAAATTCGTGGGCGTGTCGGTGCCTATCGGTATGCGTTCTTTACACCATGCCATCCCCTCATATATTGATAATTATTGCAGCTGTTGGCCTCCTGGTCATGATGTACCCGATCCTATGCAAAGTCCGATATGAGAGCTTGCACCGAACCTTTCGCAAGAAAGAACTTTGGATCCAGATCGCGTTCAGCGTGGTCGTCAACTGGATTATAGCTCCCCTCTTCATGGTGAGTCAACCGGAACACAGCCTTCAGGTCCTTTTCTAAGTCTCGCATAGCTGGGGCTTGCATGGGCATTCCTTCCAGACGAAGAAGGTCTTAGAGAGGGGCTAATTTTGGTTGGCATCGCGCGGTGTATCGCAATGGTAAGATTCCTGATGCCTCGCTTCTTCGGGGAGATTCTGATCCTATCTATCTAGGTGCTCATATGGACAGGTCTGGCGGGAGGGGATAGCGAATACTGTGCTATTCTCGTGGCAATCAACTCCATACTGCAGATGGTATTGTTTGCGCCGCTCGCGATTCTTTTCATCCACGTCTGGGCAGACGAGGACGATGGTGTGATCGGCTATTCGCTCGCAGCGAAAAGCGTCGGCGTATTCCTCGGGATCCCACTCGGTGCGGCGATTCTGACTCGGTTTGGCCTGCGCAGCATATTTGGAGGCAAAGCATATGAAAAGTTCTTGTTGTGGATCAGTCCGCTATCACTGATCGGTCTGCTCTTCACAATCTTGGTCCTGTTTGCTTCTCAAGGACGACACGTGGTGCATCAGATCGTGTCGGTGGTGCGGGTAGCAGCTCCGCTGGTGGTGTATTTTGCGACCATCTTCCTGCTGACTCTATTTGTCACGCGGCGCTTGGGATTCGGGTATAAGCTGGCCTGCACACAAAGCTTCACAGCGGCCAGTAACAACTTTGAGCTAGCCATTGCTGTTGCTATTGCAACGTTTGGCGTCGACAGCGATCAGGCGCTCGCGGCTACCGTTGGGCCACTGGTGGAGGTTCCTGTGCTCCTAGGCCTGGTATACGCCGTCAAGTGGTTCGGACGACGGAAAAACTGGTAGTCACGATAGACGCCGTCCTGTAATCAAATACTGTGGCTGATTTCATCAAGCACTTGGAAAAGAATGTTGTTCTGCACACGGCAACCGTCGCCAGGAGTCCCCGATGTAAACCCAGACCAAAGTCTCTCTCGGATCGCATCCATGTCAATGCCGCGGACATTGTACTGGTTAATGAGGTCTTCCGCAATAGCGCAAAGAGTAGTGTTCAGAACGTCTTCTCCTCCCGGCAATGAGTCTCCCTTCCCCGGGGGACAGCAGCACAAACTTGGATTTGGCGGCTCCTCAGGCTTAGCTATAGGCAGCGCAGGAGGTAGCTGTGGGGTCGACGCGGGAGTTGACCCTGAACTGCAAGATTGTGGCGTTGATGACGGCCCGTAGGCCTGCTGCGATGCAGGAACCGAGACCCTGCGGTCCACAGCAGAGACCGGGCTACCGCCTGACGGTGATGGGACCCTCCCAGATGGGTGCTGCATGGATGGAATGGCAACTTTACGAGCCACCACGGTGCCTTGGCTAGCAGCTTGGACGTACTGCTGGATCAGCTCCTTGGAGACACCAAGCGAGCCCAGTAGACTTTTAAGATATTGGTTCTCGGCTTCCACTTTCTGCAGCACCAGTCGATGTTCTATGTCTTTCTTCTGGATTTCATCTTTGCAGGCTGCCAGGCGCTGCTCGAGCTCTCGAGTATGCTCCTGTCGGCGCGCACGGCTCCTACGCTGGTTCTCGCGCACACGGGCCGCCCGTTCTAGGTTCTGCAAACTCGTCAGGTCCTCATCGGGGCTTGTGGGACCGAGTTGTAGGCATACCTTGGCTTTACTTTCTGCGTCCATTGCCAGTGGCATCCAGATTCATGAAGCTTAATTGAACAAGGAACCAGGCAACTTCTTTTTCTTAAACTCGTCGGGAATAAAAACCCCACGCTAAACTACATTTGGTTTCAATACGAGGTTGGTTTATTCCACGTGATCGATAGCAGGCGGTGAGAGCTGGGGTAACTTTCGTGCCTTCCAAATCAGGCGGAAGATCGACGCTTCGACCCGGTCGCCGAGGTAATTGGCTTGTTTAGAGAGGAAACGAGCATATTCGACCCTCGTTCTCATGATGAACGAACTGAGTTGTTGCTTTGTGCGAGGTCACTGTGCATCATGAGTCAGCTGTGAGGCGAATACCTAACTAGGTAGCCAGTCTCCGGACTTGGGATTTCAACCGCCAATCGTCATTTGCGGCAACCTCGAAATACTAAGAGATCAATGAGCAAGCTCTTTGCTAGACTCATATTGAAAGACCATTTGTAATGTGTAACACCCTGTAGATTTGTTCTTACTCTGCCTATGTCACCAAATGTCGGTCATCAATTGGTGCGGTACTCCATGAATTGAAGAAAGCGTATCGCTCCATTGGATGAGAGAATGTATTGGGCCGGGAAGGAATGCAGGAGTCAAAGTGGGTGAAAGCATAGCGTATAGTTTGACAACTGCCTCACTCGCCACACAGTTACACCGCGTCGATCCTCCCCACCGGAAAAGGAGCGAACAGTTGTTCGTGGGCGCTAACAGCAGAGTTTCCGCAAACGATCGACCACCCGACTCCCATCGACGTCACTGGCCGTCAGGGCCCCCAGTTTGGGCTGAATACGCTGCGTATGCAGTTGCTTCGGATTTTCCTTCGGGGGACGCACTAACTGGACTTGATCGCCTAAGGTATCTCTGGTGCTTTGAGTTTTGTACTTTCTCACCTTAACCACATTGTGTGACTTGCAACATATTGGTCTTCCCTTTCCTCCGCTGTTGCGCTTTTATACTCTCGCCATGGTCTCGACGCGGCATCACCCCGCGAATTCCCCTCGCCACAACAAGCCAAAGAGCTTGTGAAGTCGCCCGCGCCCACCACAAATGGGACTGCCAAAAAGTGGGTTCATACTCCCTCGGTCGCAATGACTCTCTGGCTCGCTGTGTCCCTGCCGCTGGTCATGTGGGATGCAGGCTACGTGTTGTTGCGACCGCATAGTATGCCCGGCGGCAGCTTGCATTCGCCCATCTGGACACCTTACGCGCTCTACAGCACCGTCGACTATATCTACGGTTGGCCCGCGCTAGAGGCGCACAATGGTTTCACCGCCGCCCAGACAGTTTTGAACCTCGTCGAGACTGTCGCCTACGCCTATTACCTGTGGATTGTCTACCGACACGGCGCAACCGTCGCAAGTGGTCGCGGTGCGCCCAAGCAGCAGAAGGGGCTTGTGTGGCTCTTGACTGGTGAAAAGGTCGTTGCCGGCCAGACTGGCGCAATCGCGTTGCTGATCGCCTATAGTGCGTCTGTTATGACGCTTAGCAAGACTGTTTTGTACTGTACGTTGCTGGTTGCGGTTCCAAAAACCGAAAAAAAAAAAAGTCCTGGGAGAGGGCGAGCTAATCAGTGCAGGGTTAAATGAGTATTTCTCTGACTTCAGCAACATCGGTCACAATGATGCTTTGTCGTTGGTTTTCTTGTGGATCATTCCCAAGTAAGTCTGGCTCACGCGCTTGTGGTCACAGCGTTCCATTAATCTCCGTCGCAGTGGCCTTTGGCTAGTATTCCCGTCCTACAGCATCTATACTCTTGGTGCGGAAATCCTGAGCTCTCTGGAGCAAGCTTCTCCCCGGGGACGCGGACGCCCCAAGGCCCAATAGGACTTTGCGGGATTCATCACAGCGCAAGCGAGGGGGAATCCATCCCGGGACGCGGGGGCAGGTAAATGACACGAGTCACACGATCACGGTGAAGATATGAGGCACAAAAGACCCAAGTTGCCCACTAGTTCTCGTGAATATCTCTAGAGCTATGTACTCTAATAGGTGGTTATGAGTAAAATCATGATGAATGGACGATGCGTTCTGTCCGAATTCGAGTTCGAGTTGTCGCAACTCTATATAGTATGAGGTATCAGTTCCCTGACCATAATTCAGACGGAAATCTGCTAGTATTCTCTGATGGGTCTATATCACAAAGGCTAGCTGTGTTAGGCATTCTCAAACAAATTCTATATGTTATTCAAGATTTCCGAACCCACACTAGCTAAGCTTAAAAGACATGGAAGCGCATAGATTGCCGGGAAGAGCTACCGAGCGCGGGTATGTAACCTCAGCCAAGTCTGTGGGTCATCTTTCCCTTGTACTATTTTCTCCCCCTACACCAGTTGAGACTCTGTGGGCACCCACGGGGCTGATCGTCTTGGAATGCTGTTTCATTCGTCGTAGTGCCCAGTAAGCTCGTCCGTAATAACGGCGCTAGAGGTGGGTGCGCCAAGCCCGGCCCATTCACTGCAGAACCTTTCCCCATATTCTTTCTCTCCTCACTTTACTCCTCCTGCTCTAATATCCGGTTCAGCCCTACACCTTCCACCATCGACCGGGCGCACCTTCTGATCCTTCCGCCCACCCTTTGACCCCCTGCGCTGAACGATGCTTCGGGTCTGGGTCCTGGGGTACCCGCACCCGTCATGAACCATACCGACTCCGACAATTCGCCATTGAAGACCCCTGGTGCTGGCTTCAACTTAGGCCGGGAGGATCCCGCGAATGCCCTCGACGAGCTGGACACTCAAAGCCATGCGAGCTCCCGAGATCAGGGCAGCGCACAGCCCGCAGACGCCGCTACCGCAGCCGACGACAGCCAGCACGAGGCCCACCGAGATGAGGGCCCGAATTCCACCGCAGATCAGGACGGGAAGCCGGCATGGTCGGAAATGAAGACCAAGGCTGGAAAGGAGCGGAAGCGACTGCCGCTCGCCTGCATTGCATGTCGCCGCAAGAAGATCCGGTGCTCGGGTGAGAAACCCGCTTGCAAGCATTGCACTCGCTCGCGAATTCCCTGCGTCTACAAGGTCACGACAAGGAAAGCGGCCCCGCGCACAGATTACATGGCTATGCTGGATAAGCGTCTGAAGAGGATGGAAGATCGCGTGATCAAGACGATCCCGAAAGACGAAACGAGAGACATGACTGCTATCGGGAGGTCCGTGGTGAAACCTTCCCAACAAGGCCAGCCGGCGAGACAGGCGAAGAAAAGGAGCGCGGGTGAGGCGTTCTCGGCGGAGTTAGATGAATGGGCAAGGGAGAACGCCGTCCGCCGCAGGACACCTTCCCCATGAATCGCGATGTCAAGTCTTCAGATGCTTCGGGACTTTTAACCCAAGGCGCTGAGTTCTTACCCTCGCTGGAAATCCAGGAGCACTTGGCCGAGGTGTTTTTCGATTGCGTTTATGGGCAGTCGTACCTTCTTTTACATAAACCAAGCTTCATGCGCCGGCTGAAGGCTGGCACGGTGCCCCCAGTGCTGATCTTGGCCGTTTGCGCTGTGTCGGCTCGTTTTTCGACACATCCACAGCTCAATTCAGAGCCTCCGTTCTTGCGTGGCGAAAATTGGGCTAACCCAGCAGCTGCAATCGCCTTGAGCAGACATGACGAGCCGAATATCACGATCTTAACGGTCTTTCTCCTTCTGGGCCTGCATGAATTTGGTACATGTCACGGTGGAAGAAGCTGGTCATTCGGTGGACAGGCATTAAGGATGGCGTATGCTTTACAGCTGCACCAGGAGCTAGAAAGCGATCCATTGGGCCAAACCAACAACAATACTCAGCTGAGCTTCACGGATCGAGAAATCCGAAGGCGAACAATGTGGGCGTGCTTCTTGATGGATCGCTATAATTCATCTGGAAGCCAACGTCCGCCAATCGGTAACGAGAGGTTCTTGCAGATCCAACTCCCTATAAAGGAACATCACTTTCAGATGGAGATTCCTGGAGCCACGGAGGATTTGGACGGCGATATTCTCAACCTTATGCCCGAGGATTCTGGACAATTGTCCAATGCAAAGGATAACATGGGTGTTTCGGCGTATATCATTCGCGTGATAGTTATCTGGGGCCGTCTTGTTGATTACCTGAACCTCGGGGGGAAGAAAAAGGACCCCCACCCACTTTGGCACCCGGATTCGGGATATATGCGACTTAAACAGCAGATCGAAGAGTTTTCGAACACGCTCCCCAGCTTCCTCACGTTTACATATGAGAACCTCCAGATCCATGCTGCCGAGAAGATTGCAAATCAGTTCCTCTTCTTGCATATTATCATTCACCAGAACACGCTTTTTCTGAATCAGTTCGCCATTCCTTTGTCGCCTGGAGGGCGCCCTCCTAGGGGACATGCCTAAGCCATTCCTCAGCAACGCTGGTCGAGCGGCCGTCGAAGCTGCTCATACGATCTCTGTTTTGTTTGATCGAGCTTCAGCCTACCCTCTAACTGTTCCTTTCGCCGGTTATTGCGCATACACAGCGAGCACCGTCCACATCTGGGGCATATTCTCCAAGAACGCCCAGCTCGAGGCTCGATCAAAAGAAAACCTCCGCCACACGTACCGATACTTGAACAAAATGAAGAAGTATTGGGGCATGTTCCATTATATGGTTGAAAGCGCCAAGGATCGCTATCGCCAGTTTGCCGACGCCGCTATCAAAGGGTCGACCGTAGCTCAGAATGGAAACACGCTTGCGCCCATGTTCCAATACGGCGATTGGTTTTCCAAGTACCCGCATGGCGTGTCAAGATTACACTGGGAGGACCCAGACACTCGGCATAAGGAGACCGGCGAAGACGCTGTCATGGGTCAGAAACCAGACCTACAAAGCGTTGAAGACTTCTTCGCCAGTCTCTCCCCCCAAACACAACATGCTGTGCCTCGCAGGGCACGCTCTCGTAAGAACAGCAAGATTTCCGACAGCACCTCGAATCCTGGTCAGTCACCGTCACAACGAATAGTTTCTTTGGGAGATACTGCTGGGATGACCGGCAGTACTTTCCATCATTCGTCTATGCTTCCTCAAAACCGCGACATATCCTTCGGCAATTTTGATTTCAGCATTCCTCCAGACCAGTTGCCCCAACTCGATAGGCAATTTGTGTACGGCTCATTTTCTGACTTTGACCCCAACGCCTTTATTCCTCCAAACCACCCGCCCATGCCGGTCAGCGGCGTCGAAACTCCAAACCCAAGCCAACCTATATTCACCGGACAGCTCGACCCCGGCGCCCCCTCAGGCGCCGGCGAGTTTTACCAGCCAAGTGCGTGGTTTCTTCCATTCAACCTGGACCCGATGGGTATGAACAACTCGGCCCTAGACCCTAGCTCGGACAGTCAGCCCCCACCATCCGCAGCATCCATCCCGGGCACTGCATTCGGTGGTGCAGCAAACCTACCTATGAGCGATTATGACTTGGGTCTTGGTAGGCCGAACATGAAGTAGGATGGGCCACGTTGATACGAGCATCTGTGATGATATGAGCTTTCTTGAACATAAGCTTTCCAAGTTTTGCCCGAATGTATTATTTCCTTTCTCTGTATATCCCATTTGTTTGAAGGGTGGAAGAGTTTGTATTGGTAATGTACATATGCCCCGTGCTTTTCTGTTCCGATGTATTTTTCCGTATGGTGGTAAGGAAAAATCATTGTATACGAGATGAAAGGACTTCTGAAATGTCAGAATAGTATTATACGCATGACGAGCGAAGAAAATCAAGATCTATGGATGATTCGAAATTTCCAATTTTCTAAGAAAGAGCAGAATAGAAAGACCAGAAAAAGACCAAAAGAAGAACAAATAGAAATTAAAAAAAGATCTTACTTTGCATCATCCGTGAATCGAACACGGGCCTCGTCGATGGCAACGACGAATTCTACCACTAGACCAATGATGCTGGTTGATGTGGAGTTCACACTTTTGTGCAACAAGTTCCAACACACCACAGTCATTGACCTTGCGATTGGGCATCGTGCGACTGATAGTTCCGTAGACCAGACAGTGTCTGGGTAGTGGTTTCTGTCCTATTCGATTTGATATGCTCAATCGACTTAAATAGAAGGAATAGTCCACCTTTCCCTACTACCTCCATCTCAGAACTCACTGCTTCCTCATTATCCAACTTCACGTTTTCTCTCATCATCTAGCAAATGCTAAACACTCTGGGCCAGGCTGCCAAGAAACTACTGCTTTCTGCCCGTGGTTGGACTCTCAGAGAGAAAAAAATCAAAGATCTTATTATATTTACTTAGGACATAGCTGGCTATGTACTAAATTTTTTTTTTTTTTGAAAAATCCTTACATCAAATGTTGATGTTGTTAACGTAAGGTGTATATTCTTGACTGCTGTTCTACCGACTAGTAAGATTGATTCCACTTAAGATAGAACGCGAGTCTGTGCCCCAGGCCGCCTATTTTCGGACTGCACCCGTAGCCCCCAGCCTAGATATCTAGCTCCAAATCATTATGCGTGTTGATACTCGTGATTTCCCTTCCACCCGACTCGTGTAAGAGCCAGGTAGAGCTGGGCGATTTCATAAAAGAAGGCATCCAGCCCGGTAGATCAAGCGAGCCGCCCTCGCCGAAGGGAACCCGGCTATGGCCACGGATAAGATTTTTCGGATCGTCCAAGTCAATGGTTCCAGGCGTGGGGCCCGTGCTGGAAGCCGAGGTGATGGCATTTTCGTCACTCGCTGGACTTGGAGTTGCTGCGGATAGAAGGACGTCCAAACTATCCAAGGTTCGAACACCACGCTTCGCCAGATCGGAGGCCTGAGCCTGCCACTTCAGGAGCGCGAAGGCATCGAGGAATATCATGTAGGTCTCGCTTAAAGTGGCGGAATCTAGGACGCCCTTAGATCCGGCAAGCCGGTTGGACAGTAAACAAAGCCCTAGGCAGGCAATTGATTCCATCAGAGTGACAGGGAGCATGAAGAACCTTTCTGGGGCGGTGCACTCATCAGGGCCGGTCATCTCATACAGTTTTGTGGCAGAGGAAATGGCTTCACAGGCTGCGTCTATCAAGGCGCGGTGGTGTGTTAACGAAAGTTCGAAAGCTTCACCATCCTGTGACTTTTCCGGAGCGGGGTCTTGATTTCTCGAGAGCGAGTTCCATGGGTCGATAAAGGCCCTGTAGAGTTGTGCTTTAGTCGTGTAGAAAACCAGACGGAGGCACAATCTCTTTTCGCGTATCGATGGCTCAGCTGAATCCCAGGAGATATCTGGGCTGCTCAACCTGTATGATGGGGGAAGATGTGTGACGATGTCGTCTTCCAGTTTTCGAGAGAGCTTTTCGATTATATATGGATTGGTTTGGTCCTGTTTCCAGGAAAAGGAGCACATGGAGGATTGCATGAATTGGGCCAGCTTGATGTGGTATATTCGGTCGGTGAATGGCGTGAGATGGTATGGTGAAGTTATTATTGCTTGCAGGTTATCTTGAGGGAGTTGGACGTCGTAGTGTCCCTCTGGGATCAGGGGCCAGCGGCCCAGCAATGTGCACATGAATCTAGGAAGACTTAGACCAAGCATGATGAAGGGACGCTACTGAGGGAAGCTTACCTGTCCGAGATATACAGACTCCAAAAGGTCCTGCGGCGGAGTTCCATCTCCAACCCATCTATGGGATGCCCGGGCTTCTCAAGGTGAAGACCGATGCTGTGAGCATCATTGACCGTTTGACCTAGAAGAAACCAGCACTCTCGAGTTTGGGAGTTATTCTTCAGGTAACAGATGTGGTAGTACTGATGTTGAATGCTTGCCAACGTTCGTTTCCTATTTCTTGCGAGGTTCTGGGGCAGCTCCATCGAGTTGGCGAGGCTATATAGTTTTCGCTTCAAGGTCTGTGGAGAACCATCGAATACTCTCACGGTTGGGTAATTTGGATGAGGCAGACATTGGAGACTCAGGACGCAAATACGTAGAATAAGTAAGCCGAAATCCATGCTCTCATCGTCAATACCGCAATTGCTGGCAAAATCTTTCCACCAAGCGTTGTACTTTGGCGTAAACGAGGGTGGGTGAATTAGTTCATGAATTCTGTTGATCTCACGCAGAAACATCTCGACCAGGAAGTCGGTTACTTGTCGATTCGGAAAGCTTTCCCGAAGATGCGATGGTAGAATGGGCATAGCGGTCGAGGGCGTTTGTTTCGGCGCTGCTAAGGCCGGTCGTCTGTATGGTGTTAGCATCTCAACTCGTTTCCCCCTTTTTAGAGTTCGGATGAGTCTGGATGACGAACGGCATATTGAGGGCCTCTTTGAGAACACGATTTGGACGTTGGGGCCTGTATTCAAGAGCATCTAGCGCTTCCAAATGCGATTTATCCTCCGGATCGGACGGATCATCCACATCGGATGTACTCCGAGAGCGACAATCAATGTCACGATCGAGCAGTTGAGAACGAGATGCTCTGAGCCTTGGACCGAGTTCACGGTAAATGCATAGATGCTCAACCTCGCGCTCTATACAATGGTTGCACGGTTTTTCACGATTGCACTAGATCTTGATTAGCGGGGATCTGCAAGGACTTGGCGGAAACTGTTGCATACTTTCTTCTTGCGCCGATTGCACTCCAAACACGATTTGGTCGGTCTGCGTCGAGTATGTTTCATTTGCATACTTGCACGAAGAGCAACAGGAAGCTAAAAACGCACGAAAAAAAGAGGACAATCTTCCATAAGGGGAATACTAACTAAGCCGATCCGGTTCGGCTTTAGTGGCTTTCGGGCGTAAACTCCCTCTTGCCTTGTTGTGGCCTGATTGGGGCCTGAGGAATGCCTGAGGACCCCAGCCTTGACCACTCGGTTCGACGCGGTTCGGCCTTTAGCTGATGTGGAGATAATCCCCGATTATCTCGACTTTAATTCTAGCTGCGTATTTGCGCTGCCAGCTCCACTGCTGCAAGGCCTCCGCTGTTTGGACCAGGCTCTGCATGCAATCCCGGCGCCCTTGCCCCTGTGCATTCCCAATGAACAGGGTTCGGTGTTTGATAGATCCCCGATCTGCAGTCGCTCGCTCAGCTCCGACGGTTCCATCAAATAGAGCATGAAGCCAGCTCAAGGTGGAGCCCTCAGACGCTCTATCCACGTTGGGGTGGCGCTAGATCACAGTAGGCGACTTCTCGAATCACAGCACGTGGAAACTTCGGGCTCAGACCCACCTTGCACCTGTACAGTACTTTGGACGGACTGACCACGAAGTCAGTGCTTTTGACCAGGATCCCGAGGGGGCTTTATCAGAAAAAGGCAAACAAAAACAACAACAAAGCATCGTGCTGCAGCGGATAGATGCCTCTAGTGTATGCCCGATCCAAAGCCCGTCACAGGGAGAGTGGGCCAGAAACACTTGAAAGAGGGTGCATCAAAGGATGGCAACCTTGAAACACCCACCGTCTGACAAGGCTTGAACCCGACGCGCGAGCTCTAGGGCCGACTGTGGAGATTTCTAATCGGAACCTGTCCATGAATACGTGATCACTCGAATATGGGTTTGTGTGAAATGCCGAGTTTCGGTAATAACTCGAACAGGGCAATGTAGAGGCGGTGGCGTGAGGCTCAAGACAAAACGAACGGGGACTTATGAAAGTGGAACCCTTTTAGTATACTGCTGATAATAGCGACCAGTGGCACATTGGGTAGGCCATGTCCCACATCCAGAACTGGAAGAAGAAAATACGGCGAAAGATATACAAGCCGTGATTCCCGAGGGCTGATTCATCGTCAAACGGGCATTGAGGCCCACAAATCCGAAGGGGACAACTATATACCCGAATACAAGGCCGATGGAGCGAAACCAGCTTGAGTTGAAGGTTGATCGTTTTGATGAAGGGCATTGTTGATACATCTATGGCTGGCCTACTCTGGATGATCTAAATGACCTTTCCACCTTGGGTTGAATGAATGAGTGATTTCTATAGGCTGAGGTATGTTCTGTGTTATGCAAAGATTCAATCGTCCCACGTCTCATCCAGCTGATCTATCAAGCGATTCTCCGCGTCTACGTCGCGACTAGAGCTCCGTCCTCCTCGACCGCCAAACGCACCAAAAAAGCCGCCACGGCCGTCACCGCCCGCAGGGGTATAGCCGCTGTGCGAGGGCGATCGACGGAAGCAGCTGCCCAAAGATGAGAAGAGAATAACGAACATGTCCTGTGGGAAATCACAGTTAGCGTTTGAAAATTGTAGAAGATGGATTTTCAGATCTTTGATCAAACAAAACAAGAAAGTAGCAGCAACCCAGAGCTGTCACGCTAGAGAACGCTCCCCCTAAGCTACTCGCTTGCGAGAAGCTTTTGGTCGAAGCCAATCATATCATTCGTTGAAGGTTCATGCCCATTTTGCTCCTGGCCATGATCATGTACACGACGAATCAATCAAGCGAGGGGGTATAAACCACGGACCCGAAAATCAGTAAGTGCAACCGCTAAGTCCACAGAATTCAAAGCAAATAATTTGAAATCCAAGGCCTCTTCTTCTAATGAAAGAAAGAAGTAGCCATACTGCTAGAGCTAACGGTTTGAATGAACACCAGACCAGCTGGGCAATTCAATCCAACCGCGATGTACGTGATCTGTTTGACTCCTGGTGACTGTGCGATACTAAGTTGGGGTATCGAGGTCCCCGCCGGATCCGACAGCGAGTCAAAACTAAAAAGCTTACCTTGACAAAGTCGAACATGCCTGCCCATAGACTGAAGTTCGGGCACTGGCGCCAGCCACGCTGGTGCATAACGGTACGCTGGTATGCACAACCACCGACAAGATAGACGGCAACTGCAATGAGAACACTATAGCTCGTTAATATCCGTAATCTGTTGGGCAGGTGTAGGCTAAACATACATCACACCAAATACTCCGGCAGGTCCGAGCCCGCCAGAGTTAGGGCTCACTGCCACTCCGCCGCATGCCGCTGAGCTGCGAATCTCGAAGTAATAGGTGCAAGAGTCTAATGTGCCGACAAAAGATGCGGTGGCCTGGTTCGGGAGAGCGTCGCGATCGCAGAGAAAGGACATAAGGGTTGACTTGGTTCGAGCAGAGGCCTTCATCGAGGTATTTGTCACGGAAACAGCGGCACCATCTTGATCGTCGCAGGGAGAGCCATTCGTGTAGTTCATTACCAACTTACGACCACGGAAGAAAGGGTCTGAAGCTTGTTGTCTTATGGAAAGAAGGTCAGTATGTATCTCATTGGTATAACGATCCCACACGTACCCGATAGAATAGATCTTTCCGTTCTGCTCATAGTAGGCGCTAACATTCTTCCATTGCGACGAGGATACTCCAACCACATCCTTCAAGTCTTCGATGACCGGTGCGCAGATATTCAAGGTAAAGTTCGCGGGATAGTCGTGTCCGCGGGCGTGCCAGCTCTCGTTTCGGCTATCTGACGAGATCTTGCCATTCTCCAGCTTTGGCGGCGACAATGAAATCGCGTTGAGATCATAGCAGAGTCCGCTGGTGGGGGAGTGCGCTACGCACGGCGACTCGTCACTGAGTTGAGGGTTCGCGTGAGAGAGACCGAGCAGAGCTAAGGCGAGCAGCGAGTAACGAGTGGAAATAAACTTCATGATCGGCGAGACAAAGAAAAGGGTCAAGACCTACAGGCCCCAAAGAGCGTGATCGGAAGAGAAACGGAGTCCAGCTCACCAGAGGTTGGGATTTGATGGGTTTGGAGATGAACCCGAAGCTCTGCAGGGCTGAAAGAAGTTACGTTGCATCATTCTTTGTCCCGTGATTGGTCGGGCGGGCCAGCGCAAATTGCGGAGGAAGCCAAGACTCAGGAACATCGGCTGCACGAGCTTCCGGTACGCGCCACACTTGCTCCTGCTCAGTATTTGTTGCCTATTTCTTCGCTGCTTCTCGATCTCGATCTCGATCTATGCAGGCCCATTCTTCACACCTTTCCTTTCTTTGATTCTGCAAGATGCCTCGGGCCAAGGCGTCCAAGTCCGATCCCAAGCCCGTGCCAATTCAAACGGTGGCAGAAAAACATGGCTATGAATTCGGTGGGCCGTAAGTCGAGTGTGATCTATAATGCAAGCTCAAAGAACATTGACTGAATTGCAATTGCAGCCTAGGTGCCTTTGGGATTGTCTTCGGCTTGCCCATTTTGACCTACGTCTTTGCCTTTGTTTGCAATGATATCTCAGGATGTCCAGCCCCCTCGTTGCTGCACCCCTCGACCTTAACCCTGGAGAAGCTGAAGCGCGAAGTGGGATGGCCCGAAGAAGGAATTGCGGGGCTTTACGACTCTCAGGTGACCCTCTGGGTTCTGAGCTACTATGCGTTCAGTCTGTTTCTGCAGATTTTCATGCCTGGTATTGTGGCGGAGGGCGTGACTCTGTCCTGCGGCGGACGTCTCAAGTATAAGTTTAATGGTATGCTCTCCTCAGGTCTCTTGGCATGAAGGTTTTACTCATTATGCGACCCCACTTATAGCTTTCCGATCTGCTCTGATCATCCTCTCTGGGCTCGCCGCTGGTACTTACCTGCAAGGCGCAGACTTCGTGGTCTGGACCTTCTTGTGGGACAACTATGTGCAGGTCCTTACGGCAAACATCGTGATCTCTGCAACCGTCGCGCTTTTTGTTTACGTCAAGAGCTTCACGGTTCCAGCGCCAGGCCAGGCTAACTTCGGTTACCGGGAGCTGGCCCCCGGTGGCCACACTGGCAACCCGCTCTATGATTTCTTCATTGGTCGTGAGCTGAACCCTCGCGTGCGCCTGCCCATTCCCTTCCTTAGCGAAGAGTCTCGCACCCTTGATATCAAGGTGTTCATGGAAATGCGCCCTGGCTTGCTGGGTTGGATCATTCTCAACTTGTCCAATGTCGCCCACCAGTACCGAACCTATGGTTATGTGACCGATTCCATTGTCCTGGCTACCACTTTCCAGAGTCTCTATGTCCTGGATGCTCTGTACATGGAACCGGCAATCATGACAACTATGGATGTGATCATGGATGGTTTCGGCTTCATGCTGTCTTTCGGCGACGTTGTCTGGGTTCCTCACACGTATAACCTCCAGACTCGCTACCTCTCTATGTACCCTCATCAACTCGGTTCCTCTGGTATTGCCCTCGTTCTGGGCGTGACTGCCGTCGGATACTCAATCTTCCGTGGTGCCAACAACCAGAAGAATCGTTTCCGGGACTGACCCTAATGACCCTCGCGTGAAGCATATCAAGTTCATTGAGACCAAGAGTGGCTCGAAGCTGATGACATCTGGGTGGTGGGGTATGGCCCGCCATATCAACTATCTTGGGGACTGGATCATGTCTTGGGCGTACTGCTTGCCAACCGGTATCGCTGGCTTTGCTATCGTCCAGAGCATCAACCCTGCCACCGGCAAGCTTGAGAACCAGGCTGTCCAGACCCCCGAAGCTCGAGGCTGGGGAATGTTGATCACCTACTTTTACATGGTCTACTTCGCAGTCTTGCTGATCCACCGGGAGATGCGTGACGAAGAAAAGTGCAAAAAGAAGTACGGTGCTGACTGGGATCGTTATACCTCGATGGTGCGCAGCCGTATCATCCCTGGTATCTATTAACATGACACTTGGAACTATCATAGTGTTCCTCGTTACGTCCTCACCTGATGAGAAATGAGTGCAAGGCAAATGGATCGTTCATACCATGAGTCTTTAAAGCCACCTGTAGAGGCCAAAAAAAGTGCTTTATGTACATTTCGGGACCCTTCTCAGCTGCGAGTGCAGTCAGCAGGTTTTGCACGTCTTATTTTGTGCTTGACTGCGGGTTATTATCATATTGCTAATATAATATAATTTTGGGGGGGGGGGGAGTTACCGCTTTCGCTTATGAGTATCAATTAAAACGTCCAACCCCCAACTTTCATCCCCGGTGTTAGGTGCCCACCCCTTGAGGACTTCCTGTGCGTGTCTGATAGCATGCTTCCGAGCAGCACGAGAATCCCCCTCGTCTGTCGGCCCTCTTTTGATAAAATCATATATAGCAGGCCGGCGGGGCTGTCCAAGAGGACTTCTGGATGATAGTCCAGACGAAATAGCAGTCTTCTGTTCGGCCTCGCCACTTGGTTCGCAGTCCGTAATCTTCTCGAGGAGAGCCCACATCTTCGCCCTCGACAATGCCGAGGCACCACGCGCAGTGGGCGAAGAAGCCTTATTCCCTTGTTTGACCCCGCTAATGATGCTTTCGTATAACCCTGTTTTCGAACCACATAGCGAGGGTAGAGACTTGCTTCCCTTCTCTGGTAGCAACACCTTATCTGTATTGGAGGGCGCTAGAGTCCACACTGCACTAACATTACCTGGCTTGCTTTTCCTTGGGGTGACTCCATTTGCTGCCATTTCACCATCTGCTAATTGACGTATAGTGGTTGGCTTTGGTTTCGCAAATTGCCACATAGCTCTTACTTTGCCTGCGGGCACCGATAGAACCTGAAATGGCCTGAATCGATATTCAACCGATCTTTCACACGAGCTGCTCGGCCAGGACTGAGCCACTAGAGCCGCCATGCGGCCATTCTTGCCGAAAGCCCTGTCGCATGCTACTCGGCTAATCTCGTCCTCAGGAAGAATGAGGCCAGCCAGGTAGGCGTTCTCGGTTAACGCGAGCAACCGGCTCGTCTGCCATGATAGCAAGGACGAAACCTGCCTCAGAGCAAGTTTGTCCGAACAAGACTTGCTGCGCGTGGACTCAGCATCTGTTCGAGCTGGTTTTCTGCGCACGACGCCTAATAGGGAGAAGTGGGCTCGGCCGTCGAGGAGGTTGTCATCTCCGAGACTGTTTTCTGTCCCAGAGTTGTTTTGTCGGACTACCTCCCAGGGCGTTGCGTCTTCTTGGGCTGCCATGCATAGTTCCATACTCCCATCTCCACAAGGAGCACAGGTGCAGTACATGTAGATTCGGACATTGGGCTGCATCTCAAACGGTGGGCATTGGCCTTCGCAAGTCACATGATGGTCTCTTTTGCGGATGAATTTGGACTCCGAGGGATTTGGACTGCCAGTTGCAGGGTTGGTCTCGCCAGCAGCTTCTTCAGCTAGTATTGAATGGCATTCTGTCATCAGCCAGTGGTTGAAGGCCCGAATGGCCAGTATCTCCGCATGACAATCATGGAGGACAAGGCCTCGACAGCGAGGTATTTGGGACGCTGATAAGCATTTTGCACCACTCCTGTATGAGAAATTTAGGATCCCATCGGAAAGCATCTAAAAAGACACCAGAACTTACGTGACCGCGATGCAATGTAGACTTTCGGACGATGTACCTTCCCCTGTAACCATGTGTCACTAAACGTCTAGCAACGTAGAAAAAGTTCTATAGAGATACCTCTCACAGCAACAATTCCAGTCATAGGAATCCATTCTTTCGATCCATCGGACAATATATGAGGTTTACTTTTCGCAGGTAGAGCATTAAAATGTGCATGTACCAGAGATGCTATACGTAGCGGCAAAGGGTCCCCATGCTCTTCTCGAGACATAGGGGCTACAACATAATCACAAGGACTATAGAACTCGTAATTATATCGCCTTCGTCAGTGAGGAGTCGATCGACGGAGAAATGCATCCACCGCGATTTTGAGAGTCTATCACGTGATATTTCTTATCGCGGCGCGGCTGCGTCCCAAGTTCTTGACCTCCGCTTTTCTCTCCTCACGCCAACCAAATACCTCAGACAAAATGGCGGACAAGTTGCGCACCATCCAGAACCTCGAGGCTCTTCAGGCCCGCTACGTCGGTACCGGCCACGCCGACACCACCCGACACGAATGGGCCCAAAACATTGTCCGTGACAGCTACGCCTCCTACATCGGCCACCCGCCTTTGCTGCAGTATATGGCAGTTGGCTTGAATGAGCCTAAGGAGAAGGTTCGCATGCAGATGCTTGAGAAAATGGTTCGAGGAGCGGGGAACCCGCCAGAGGTACGTCCTGACTACTCCGGAAATAGGGAAGAGCTGCTGATACTTGCTATCATAGATCGAAGATTAAGCTCGGCTATCGGGCGTTGAAGATATCCACGAAATTGCGACCGTATTGCTTTTGCCACAAATATGAACCTGTACTTGTGCATACGCTGCTGGGCTCGAGCGAGGCCCGCTTTGAATATGTGAATACAGCTTAAGGTCGAATCTGCTTGTGACTGAGATCTGGATCCCAGGAAGTGGGGAATAAGGCTGTGTTTTTATGTGCAGGGGTGTGCTGGGACTTCAAATGACCGAGTCGCAGAGAAAGCAGAGGAAGTCGAAGGCGGATGGGTTGCTTGCCCGTTCACTCTACCCATTGCATCTTTTGAATGGCATAGACCATGGCATCGAATAAGCCAACGGGACAATCCAGTTCGTCAGACGCTACGTCTCAAAAGCAAAAGTAGGCGAACTATCCAATCTATGACCAGAATGGAAAAGCAATTCGATTAAATGCTACCCACGATGATGCGTACCATAACACTTCGCTAGTAGACATGTACATGAACGCCTAGAAATTACAAGATGTTTCTAAAGGGAAAAAAAAAGCATCTTTATAGAGTCGTTATCCCTCGTGGACTCCTCCTGCCCGCTCAGCTTCGCATTCGTAGCGTGCAAAGCGGTATTTTCTTTCTGCAGAGCAGCCACAATCTCAACCCAATTCTGGCGCTCGCTACGCAACTTGGTCACCTCCTTCTTCAAGTCCTTGATCTCTGCGCGCAAACTCTCAACCTCGGATTTGGATTTGGACTTTTCAGACCGCTCCGCATGCTTGCGATGGCGCGCTTCGATTTTCGTCGCTAACTTCATCTGCTCACCCTCGATCTTGTGGAGCCGCTTTACAAGCTTGGCTTGCTCGCTCACAAGGCTGCTGATGGCTTTTTGGTTTCGAGCCGGAGAGTCGGGCTGCGGTTGCGAGGTGGGTACATCACTGGTGCTGCTTTCTCGTTGGCTTGATTGTGTGCCGGCGATGCTAGCTGGTGTTGACGAGCGAGTGTCTCCTCGCTTGCGCGGACCGCTCTTGTCGCTGTCTGCGTCTTTGAGGGGCCGAACGGGCGTGTTAGAACCCATCCAGTTGAGTCCTTGAAGTTTTTCGAACTCGGCATGAATTGCTTCTAGTCGGGCTTCGACCCCTTGTTTTCGCCGAGCCAGCTTCTGTAGATCTCTCTCGTGCATGCTTGGCTTGCTCTTCCCGTTTTCTTTCTCTTCCTTCGCGACATTCTTCACCACCTCGTCCACAATAGGGGTGGCTGATTCGGAGTGCGTTGAGTTAAAAGACACGTCTGTGATGTTTCTGGTGTGCTTCGGGCGCGACGGGTTTGACTGTGGGGTCTTCTGTTCTTCGGGCTCTGTATCTTCATCTTCACTGGATTCCTCCTGGGAATCGTGATGGGACGGATATGGAACGTAGTCATTGAGTCCGTAGGGAGCGAGCCGTCCGATACCAGCGTTGATCAGGCCTGTCACGCTAGCAATGAGCCCATGGTGTGATTGATCATCAGAGTCCGTGGGTTCCGAATCCGAGTCATCAGACTTGTCTTCTGCGTGATCGGATTCGTCGGAGTCTTCTGGCTTTGATGCGGTGCCTGGGTTTACCTTGACGGAATCGTCCCCTGTGGTCTTCTTTTCCCGATACTTTTTGTCTTGGGTTGCCCAGTTCACAAACTTGGCGGCGTCTTGTCCGACGCTTTTGGGTGTGCCTTTGTCAACCATCCACCGCGGAATGTTGCCTCCAGGGTCACTTCTCGAGACCATAATCCACTCAACAGGGTTGACATCGTCGTCGCCTGGGGCGTCTGAGGCCTTGGGTGTACTGCTATCCGGAGTGTCGCCCGACGAGCTTCCCTTGTCTCCCAGGCTTGTCCTGGAAGAGCTCCCGCTGCTAGACGCCTTGGGAATCTCCCGAATGATCTCAACAGACTCATACTCACCTCTAGTATAGCCCTCCTTAGGCTTCACATCAGGGTGATCGCAAGGCTTGGACACCATCATCCAACTCCGTCCTGGGAGTTTCGTCCCGCCGATGTGTAGACCATCCTCCGAAGAGATAATCATCGCCACAAAGTCACGCGGGGCAGTCGGTTTGGGAAATTGTGCAGAGACATGGTAGACGGTGACATGGGCCATGACTGAGCCATCCTCGTTCTTAACCTCAATCGTCTCAATTTTCTTCTCTGCTCCAATCCCCCGGATTGCCTTATCGGCTACCTGCCCCTTCTGTAGCTTCTTCTCGTTGACTTTCAGTGTTTCATCATATTCGGTAGAGATCTTCTCCTTCCACTGCGTGAACGGCATACCCTCATGCACACTCCGCCGTCCGAACCAGGATCCGCCTCCGTCGTGGGCCGAGAGCTTCCACACGTGCACACCCAGCGGGTTCTCGCGCGGCCCGCCCACCTTGATAGGCTTGCCCCATTGGTCTTGAAAAGATGCGAGTTCCGGGTCGGTCTCTCCCACGCGGGCGGACGAAGGGACCACACCGTTCTGTGGGGGTATATCTGTATCGAGGCGGGGGATCCGGGAGAGACTCGCCGACAAGCCGGCCGTTCTTGAAAATGCTGCGCACGTATTCACGGAGCTCGTCGGGTGATTGGGGGACCTCGGCCCAAGTTGTTGGCTTGAGGCATTGAAGAGCCTCGTGGAGAGTTGCCATTGGAGTTCTGGAGAAGTTTTGCACGTAGGATAAGGGGTAGTCTCGTGCTCAGACGAGGTCAATCACTGTAGTCGCGGTACTAGTAGCGGTCAACACGGGGCTTTCTGTTAAGCCGGAAGATTCTTGCCACCGGCTGTCGGCGAGACTGCCATGAAGAGTCTGGACAAGCTCTGGAATTCGGGAAGCGCACCTTTTGCTTTTGCCAATTCAACGGTAAGTCCAGTACAATCGTTGAAGCCAGACGGGTCAGACAAGGACCCCGCAGTATGAGCTGGGTGAGGGTTATTTTTGGCGTTCAGACCAGGGTAGCTCTCTACCAAAGCTTTAGAAGCAAAGAAAAAACAAATGGCTTATATCACCACAGGAGATGCTAAAACAGGTACCCAGCACCGGCTTCAGCGGAGAAATGAGGGGCGGGCCCCGGCTGCTTCCCCGGTTTCTTGACGTCATACTTGGTTCGTGTCTACTGAAAAAGCCATGATCTGGACAATCGCACTATTTCGGTGGAGGGATCTACATAAGCCGCAACACTCCTAAGTTGATCTGCAGTATCCTTTTGCTTATAAGATATTGTTTGCTGGCGGTTGATGATCGGTAGTCTACTTTTCTGTTTTATGTGGAACGTCGCGGCCGGATCAGAGGCGCGCCCACTCGACCTGCACGGCTGATCACGCGCCAATTTCGCCCCGTGGAATACTAGTAATAACAGGGAATGAGGAGTCGAGTATAGAGTTTTATTCATTCTTTATGTTTCGTGAACGTCATCGAAAAGCCGACCTATATAGAACCCTGTTCCGCCAGGCCATCGTCGTCATTGTACCTACTAGGAGCGAGAGCTGGAGGATGCATGCACCTTTCTAAGATTAATCCTAAAAAGATACATACAAATTGAGTTGATAGTTGACGTGACAAAAAACAAGAGAGGAAAGACAGCCAGCGTGGGAGGAACTAGCCCCCCAAACGCAGCAAAATAGAAAGACCGCACAGCGGCAACAAATTCCCTGCGTCAGGATAAAAGAATGATACTCGATCAACCGGTGAACGAGTCCTGACAGCATCTCATCCAGGGACCCAGCCTGGATGAATTAGGATATCAAAAAAAAATAATGCGAGATGCGCGATAGCGACGAGTTCGCGACCAGGTAGAGGTGATTACTCGCCCATAGCCTTGTATCGCATCAGTTGGAATTGAAAACCGAGAATCACAGATCTGGCATATCCCAACTCATGCGCGTCTAGCAAGTCACCGCAGGCGACAGCATCCCCGACGAAGGCCATGGCACGGTCCGACCCGTACCCAATCCTCAATCACCACGAGCAGCCAGCAGAATTCAACCATCGCACTGCGATGGTGACACGTCACGGAAGACTGATCCTTCAACCGACCCAGTCAAGGGGGAGTTGCCAGTGGGTGACCAGACCCAAAGGACCGTCCTCGACGGAGAACAGTAGAGACAAGAGCAACTCATGCCGAAACCAGTCGGCAATCAAAGCATCCTGTTGCTCTCCGTCGACGCGACAACGAATGGAAAAAAAAGACATAACGATGGACATTCCACATCCAGATTCATATCCCGTGCCGCGAGGCTACCTGGTCTTCATGACATATATGCGGGAGATGAAACAATTTGAAAAAGAACACGAAAGCCGACCCTGCCGCTTCGATGCAAAAGAAAGAGCAACGCTGACGCTGGCTGATAAAACGCGGGCAAAAAAAAAAAGATAGAAGCGAAAAGAAAAAAAAGTATAAGGGGACAAGCCGTCGATATAAAAGAATTATTCAAAAATGATGCAGCAACGAAGTGGAGTATCACAGATGCACACAGTCGAAGAACGCCGTCAAGAAATGCCAATTAGTCGGAGGAAACGCGACCCGTATTGCTGGGATCGGCAAGTTACAGGATTTCAGGTCGCTGGTCCAAGGTCTCAACGATCAACGTTGGAGATAACCTGGAGCCGCGGGAGCTTTCATCGCCCGGCGATGATAAGGAGTCGAGACCACCAAAGTCTTTACACCTCACGGAGCAGAGCTCTAAATCGTGGTGCCGTAAGGCAGCGCAGCGAAGTCTCCCCAGCTGAACAGGTTCGCGGCCGTGCTGCACGGTTGTAGGTGCTGGAAGGGCTGCACAAGCATGCTGGGGAGCGGGAGGGAAGCAATGGCCGCCGAGGTCGCCATGTGATCATACGCAGTATAAGGCGCAGAGTAGGGCACGGAGTACGGCGTGGTGGTGAAGGGCTGGGAGAGTAGGAGGGAGTCGGCGATGGCAACTGTGCATCACTGAAATTCAGACTAGCCCATAGATTCGGGTTAGAATCATCGGTCGTCGCCGGGGATGGGCTGGGCGGAAGTACTTTCCACGACTCGAGAGGCGCAGACTGGGGTAGAGGGGTGTGCCACCAGGTCTCGGGGCCAGTCGAACTGGGCAGCAGAGGCACTGGTCGCATAACGTCCACCACCCGTGGAGGAGGAGGCAGTAGCGGCACGAAGAGACTCGTGATGGCTGATTTGGCCTCCTCGCTCAGTCCGCACAGCAGCTCCCCGGCTCCGTCCTCTTCCAGTCCCTCGAGGGCCTCGACCTTCGTCCGGAAGACGAACTTGTTAGCGGCTTGGACAAACTCCTCCTGTAATTTCTTCAGTTGGCTCTGCTTCCCTGACCAGTCCCACGTATTGGCGGCGGCGTCAACCGAGTAGATATCTTTGTGATAGTCCACCAGGGCTTCGATCGTCTCCGGGGTTAACTTGAATGCCACCTCGTTCCGCGACACCATATCGACGTGAACGACGTAGGCCTCCATGTGGATCATCTGGTAGTTGAAGAGGCCTTCCACCAGCGGGTTCTCATCCTTCTTTAACTCGGCCTCGGGGGCTTTGGGAAACATCATCGAACATAGGGTCCAGATCGCATTCTGCGATGACAGCGTCTCGGTCAGACAGCGAGTATGCTGGGTGACGTTGTTCAGAGGGCGCTTGACCCGGTTGACTCGCTTCAATGTGGCCGTCAGCCATGGTGCAACCTTGGTGTTGAGCACTACATTGGGCGAGGACCGCGGCGCGAAGGCCGCAGCCGATGACGGAAGTAAGACTGTTGGCATTACGACTCGGTGTGAATAGGGATACGTCCGGCGTTGAGGTCAAGTTGGAATATAAAAGAACGTAGGTCGTGGGAAACAAAAATCGTAAAAGGCGTCATTCGCCCACACAAGACAATCCGCGGTTGGTGGTTTGAGGGGGAAGTCGTGGATTTAGATCGATCGCATATAGTAGGAAAGCGTAGATGTTGGTTGTGGGCAGTTTCGCTTTGGGTAGATCTGTATTAGTTGTGCGGGCGAATGCGCAAAGAAAAGAAAAGAAATTATAGATATCAAAAAAGAGAGGACATGAACAGTCGCAGTTCAAGAAATAGAGAGAGGAAGGAAAGGTGGACGGCAGAAGTAATAAGAATAGGACCCGGAGGGGCGGGCGATGGCTACAAACGGGTAAGTGGAGATTTAGTTGGTTTTTTTTTTTTATGATGATTATTATTATTTATTCCTAAATTACTATTTTCTTTTTTCAAGAGTATACCGGCTGCATTTAGGCCTTCGAGTCTTGTATCTGGGTGTATGCAGGTCGATGGAGCCTGCGTCTCGATACGGGAAAAGGCGTAATGGCCGCGTCGGAAGCCCCGAACTAAAAAGATGCACTCCAGAGTCCCGGGGTTTCGGGTGGCAAAGGCCCACAAATGAACGATTTTCGATTTTCGATTTTCATATTTACAGAGATGCACTTCAACACTCTCGGCCTTGCAGGAACTGCACAGTTGAAACCACGGCGACTGCACCGTGTGGGAAGATACGAGGGCCAACCTTTGACGTTCCACCCGTCCATCCATGGATCCCACCCCAACTTCGTGATAACGGTATCGTAGTATAATAGCAGAGGACTTTGATCATCTGTGGAAATCTTGTTTCGCTAAATGATCGCACAGAGTGCCTTCCTCTAATCATGGGCGTTGCGAGTCCATTCGACCCATCTGCAAGATGCCCCAAACTGCAAAAGCTAAGCCCCCTCCCGGTGATCCGCACAAAACGGTAGCCGTTCTGGTCTAGAAATCCTCCGAATCAACGAAGAAAAAACTACGAGATATCTGTTTTCAGCAAAGTGCATATTGGCTCGCATATTGCAGCAGTTACAGGAAGAATCCCCACGTCCTCTCAGCTACGAGGAGGCAGGGCCAAATGCAAGATCTACTGTACGCACTGCGCCTCCGGTAGCAGCAGGTTTTGCAGTGTAGGGCTTCTCCATAGATTCGTAGATTCCATGGAAACATTGCGCGCCCCCATGCAACTAAAATACTCCACAAACCCTAACTCACCACTCGCAATTCCCTCTGGGCCTTCCCCTCATGCTCCAGTACCCACGTTCCGCGAGCTTGACCGTTTAGGAGGTTTCAGAGTTCATGACACCCAGGACCGGGGCATAGAAAAAAAGGGGGAAACCCGTCGAGGACAGGAGGTTACAACAGCACCTTTTGAAACCATAGTTTCGCTGCTCAATCAAACCTTTTTTGTTGATGTATCGAATGGGCCTCTTGCCGCTAGGACTGGGTGGACGGGCTTCAGCTGATGGAGGGTCGAGCAGACGTGGGGCAGGCCGGTCTTGGGCCGCTTCAGGGCTGCGATTCGCTGAAAGCCACCGAGTCCGGCCGGCGCCCATCCCAGCTGAGATCCCTGCTGTGATCTGCGATTGGGCTGAGGCTCGGGTCATTGCTAGACTTTGGGAAAAAAAAAGGCGCCCACCCATACCGCGCAGGTATCGCCCCCCCTTCCCTCTGCAGTACTCCGTACAGTTGCTCCTTTTCCGGCCCTTTTCGAGAAGGAGCAGTTCTTCAGGGCCATGTTTTGTGTGATCTCATCCTACAGCCCTCCATTCCCCTAAACCCTGTAGCCTGGCGGCATATCATTTCGGTCATGTGGTCTTGGAGGGGTTGCGCAAGGGCGAGTACAAGCGGTTGGCATCGGGGTTCCTACATGATTCCCCAACGGTTTCTGGAGGATTTGCCAGGAATCATCCTGTGAACAGTGCACAAGCACGGAGCATCTTGGAATTATCTTTGGTATCACACTGAATGCTGCGTTGGCCGCCGGACCTCGCCGTGTGTTGCTCTTTCCTAAAATAGACGTGGCTGTGCTTGTTTCCCGCCACGTACCGCCTCGTTGCCACTGCACTGTGGCTGGTGTATCAGCGTCGTTCCATGGATGGGCCCATGAAGGGACCCAAGAATGGGGTTATGCTCTGAACGTGTACGCATATTGCATCTCAGCGCTTAGCAAAGTTTTCAAATTCCCAGACTTGCATCAGTTTCCAACCGGTCAGCCCCGTGTCTTGGGACACGATGCATTCCCGTTAGCAGCTGACATCATTCTAGCGCCAGAGTAATGCTACGGTGGGGGGTGCGATATCGTCAACTTGATCGACACGGCTCATGTCAGTTCCTGCTGACATTTGGTCTGTACTTGGTCTTTACACTATATCTCTTAGTGAGCCCCGTTGCTATGGTTGAGCTATCATACCGCTACTTCGCCCGCCGACGATCTATGAGTCACCGGATGGGGCCCTCGTGACGGCTGGTTGAAAACCGAGCTGATCTTTTATGAGAATGATGCCCAACTTCGCTGCAATTCATCGCTGTATAGATTGGCTCAAGAGTTGAGTAGATAAAACTCTGCATGATTTATGGGTCATGCTCCGCACTTTGATGGGACGATGGCCCGGCACAACGATTGCTTTGTCTCGTTGACTCATACATTTCGGTCATGCAAGTGTCATGCTAGAGGTATCGGATAGGAGATCATTGACTATCATCCATCTCGCTTTGATGGAGATTTCAAGGCTAGCGAGAAGTTAGCGCACAAAAGAGGGTCGTGCCAGGTAAATGCCCGAAGACAAGAGCCGTTGCTCCTCCACATTTACCAGGTGTATGAAATATCTTTAGCCCTGTGCCCCGAGAAATCCCGAAAAGGCTAACACCAGTCTCAATATTTGGAACCTTGGGTTGATTCTAACGATGATTGGCGTGTCGTCCCGCCTACTCTTCTTCACCGATAGAAATAAATCTCACTAGTTGTACTTGCGATGTGACTCCGTTTCTCGCGGGGGTAAAGAGCGGTCCAACTTCCATCTGGTCAATGCCTTTCGCGTCATGGACGTCTCCCAAAGATTAAAATGCATCAAAGAAGCGTGGTGAGACTGGTGATGACGACGGCCACCCCCTGGGCGGCTATTTCAAAGTCTAGGGCCCACTATTGGAACTACCTCTGGATTTAGAATTGACAACCTTATGACAGATCCATGGTTCAAGTTCCCGATCAACGTACCCTTCTTCAAACAATTCGAATGGCCTCGCCTTTGCGGTTTGTGATACACCATTTTACGACCAATCGTGGGGGCCTATCTGTGCTGAGCTTCCAAATCTGGCATTACGTGGGGCCACTTCCTGGCCCATGTACGCTCTGTATGAATTGCCGCCTATATACATTAGGAATAGCTAGCGCTCGAGCCAGATCGTATGAGTGACGCTTTGGGGATACCTGTTCCGATCAGGCACATGTGAGTGTTTCATTATCGGCAGGGGTCCTTCTCCATTTACCGGGATACCCCGACTACATAGAGTCTTGTGATACTTCAAATACGTATTTTGACATGGTACTATTGTCCAAGGTCTCTAGAACACCAAAAGCGTTTAGCTGTTGTTTTGAAAAGTGATGCGGTGGCGGCGGCTTATCGTGGGAAAAAGGAGGCAGATCTCCGCATCGTTGGCGGAGGGAGACGAGAATCAATCCTATTCTAGGCAAACATATTACACATTTCGATGGAGAGTACATGTTCGGTTTCAAGGCCTCAAGGCCGTGATTATGCAGATGCAATACTACGTAGCCTTAGGCAACCTTTGGCCTCTCCGAGTATGATCAAAGAGGCCTTCTCGTGCCACCCCATCGCTTGAAATTGTGATGAATTACTCCGACAAAGATGAGTTCACATTAACTTGCCTATTTCAGAGTTAAATTCACCATGACTGGATAAGTAATTATTTTCAGAACTCTCTTCAAGTCGGGTATTGCACACGACTCAGGACATATGGTAGAGGAGATTCCTTACGTGGGTAGGCGACCAGTTGACCGCTTTTCACCTGTTGGTCGAATTAACATCAAATCAAGAGCCTGTACAGTTTAATTATCCTTTAGGTGCCGGGTTTTCATTTCACTCGAAAAACACCATGGGGCGTTGGCGAAGGTTTTCATCCAATTATACTTGCTATTACGGAACGACACGGCACTTGTTCACAGGAAAATCTGACAATATGGTACCAAGGCTTTTTGCTTCGGAAGTCGACTTCATCAGTGACAATATAGTTTTCCAATCCTCGGTACGAGCTTTACCGGGAAGGGAGAAACAGAGCTCTAGACGTCCAACCTTCTTTGGAACACTGGGAATGGAGATGGGAATCCTGCGAGCGAACAATAAAATCTCAGGAGCTCCAGGTGGTCTCCCAGGAGCGAGAAAGCTAGCTTCTGGGAAGCTTTAAACCATTCCTAGGTGTTCAACTGACACTTGGGAACGGTCGATGGACTTCTGGGAACGCTGAGGTGCTTTATAAGGAGCTTACGTATCTATAGACGAGGACATCATCTTCCAGAGCTGGCCTGCGTCAGTGGTGAAGATGTGCTCTCCATTCAAACATTGCTTGTAAGACTGGCCGTAATGTTAGACTGCACAGTCACCTTGTTGAATATTAAAGCCCTGTAATTATATATTCTTGAGGGTGTATGGTCTACTTTGATTGGGAGTCTCGAATCTCCATAGAGTGCCACTGATCATCCACTAGGTTCATTCCTGACCTACACTGATCCTCCAACCATTCCACGATCCCACCGTCACCTATCAAATGGCGAACGGGTGGTTACTTGTGTGGGCATGCACCGCACTGACCGCCACTAATTCTAGCGGTGATTGTTGCCAGCGAGCTCTGGTTTGTGGTTGTGCGCTGCGAAACTGGCGTGATTTCGCGTCTTCGACCACCATCTACGAAATAGACGAAGATTCGATGTAAACGGCAAATTTTAAGGTGTTTCTTAGTCAAAGCGACTTGAAATCGAAGGTATATTTACAACTTGAATCAACTGCTGTATGCAAACCGGGAGTAGTGCGATGGAAGCTCAACTGGGACTCAACGAAGCGAGTGATCCTGACGACTTGTCACTGGTGACCTACACAACAAAATAGAGTTATACCAGCCACAGCCTAGAGCAGAACATATATTCTAGTATATACAACACACACCTCAGGATCAATAGGTAGAGGCTACCAACTTTCGCTGCTCTTGCTGGTCTTATTCGTTGGGTGTAGGTCGCGAGTGGCAATGACCAGGCTGGACGCTGTGATATTAAGGGTCAGTTTAAGATGGTCGACCTTGTAAGGTCTGGTATTGCCCTAGCACCTGGTGGGCTTCCTCATCCATGACGATTTCAGACGATGCCTTGGATGGAGAGTCACTGCATGATTATGCATGGCTCTAGGGCAATCCTGAACCACCATAGTGTGCATCCAATTGACTTCCTTCAGGTATTTAAATTACCATGATACTGGAGAAACACAAATTGAATATGGTTATTCAGGAGTACAGTCACTGGCTGGCTGCTACACTACTAGTAGAGGCCCTGTTCGATAAATTTATTGGCGGCCTATGGACGCGCGGGTAAATGTCACTACTGTATACTGTATCGTAGAACCCGCAATTAAATAATCTAGCATACGTGCATATTCCTGTCAAACAGAAAGGGCTTCTTGGAGCGCTGGAAGAATTCCTCGTAGCGCTCCAAAACGCTCTTAGAGGCTTAAGTCGCAGGCTCATGGAGAGCTTCTGAAGCGGTTTGACTTCCTGGAGGCCATAAGTCCCCAGGAGCTAGCTAGTGGATCTTTGAGGCTTAGGGCTTTTACTCCCCTGGCAGATCAAAGGGCCAGATGTCTTGCAGGTTCCTTTCATCTCTGATTGGTTCGTCGTTATCAGGATCCTGATTTTCCAGCACGGCTCGCGACATCCCCTTGTACATTGTTATATTCTGCGCTTTTGCCTCTTTCCAGTTCTCTGGAGGGACCCATCCATCAGATGTACTGTCAAGGAGGCTCGATAAATCATGTTTCAGGTTCTATACCGCCTCAAAAAATTGATATTCCTTGCGATGAAGAGCCAACTCTTCTGGTGTTGGTAACGCAAACGGACACGACCCGACAAACCCAAGCGCTCTCCAGTCTTTGGAGGTTTCAATGAGCTCATGCCGAAAAGCAACGACGCCATCTTTCCATGTTCTGTAGCAGTACCAAAAAGGTCGAAATATCCCTTCGTCCATTAATCTAGGGAGAGCAAGCTTTGGAACGAGAAATTGGGTACAAGCTTCGTGAGCCTTTTTGCACAGCTCATTGTCATGCACTCTTGGTGCAGACGACGTGGAAGGTGTACAAGTGGCGAAGTCTGGAATCTCATCTGCGTACCAGAACGCCGTCTCTATGCTGGATGACTGCCAATCAATAATAGCCGTTATGATTGAAGGATCATCATCCGAAACGAATATATTCCTTTTATGTAGGTCCGGGTGAAATAAGGTCGGCGAGGCCGCGTCTTGAACGTGCCTATCAGCGGAGATTGCATGTAGCACTGCACGTCCCTGTTCAAGAAGGTCTAAATGCGTCTGTACTGAGCCATGATAGGACGGCCGATTCGGGTGTTGAGAATCTCTTGGTGGAATCCTTGAAAGGCCTGCATCAATGAGTCCATCGGAAAATCCATCTATCGTCAGCCCTGTGTTCCCAAGTCTTAGTTTTGATCTTCCCAATGATAGTCAGAAAGGACTTACAGGGGCCATGGTTAGGAACTGTATCTTGGTAGTACCTGTGTTCGCCATAGTATCTTGTTCCACAATGACCCCCCCCCATCTAGCTGTAGCATGGATGCAGGTGTGTATGGTACGGTTGAAAAATATAAGCTTCCATATGCCGGAATGTTCAAGTCGACCATCTCGCTGAGCTTTCTATAGATGGCGTCTATACATCTGACTTTTTGGTCACCCGACATATAGGGCCATTTCTGATGTAATTGAATGCCAGCCGCATGATCCATGATTATGTATTCGCTTCCAATATTGTTTGCCCCATCGTCGCTCCAGTCAAGAATTTTCGGGATCGGAATGCTCGTTTTCTGTTGCACTGTATTTCATAAATAATTAGCGAGAATGAAATCTTCACCTCGCATTGTCGTTCTACACACAATATTGAATCGTCGCCACCTCGGAAGCTGTGGCTAATTTTGCGGGCCCAGCTAATGGAAACGGTAGTCGTGCCACGACACGTGAGTTGTCGTCCATGGTAAAAACGAACACCCTGTTGAAACCGCCCTCCTTTTTCTCACAATCCTTAATAGATTTTGCTCCGTTGGATAAGTCCACTATCTTCTGGCAGAGTTTATCAAAGTTGAAGTCAATCTGGCGTAACTGGCGTTGGCGTTTGTCGTTTCGTAGCCATCGACCACTTGTATATAAGTAAGGATCAAACCCTAGAACTCTATTGACATCAACGCACGGCAAAATATGATCAATGGGTCTTACCATATCTGCTTGCGTGGTCCATTGCATGCCTCTGGCATGGCTGCTCACGATGGATGTTCGAAAAGGAGGGTCCAGAAGTAACACCACGAACAAGGAAAGATCGGATGTAAAGAGACTGGCGAGAGTAATGAGTCAATGGGATAGATACTGGCAACATCTGGACTACCTCTGAGCGGCTTGTTACGCGAATAGCATAGAGGGATCGGGGGTCCTGATATTCCTTACGACGCCAGGGAGGTTGGGTTGAAAGTTTGCCAAGATCGCCCGGATTCCACGAATAAGCAGATATGAGCTAGTAAGAGCAAAGCACGACTAAATAAGAATAGGCATGAGTAAATAAGAGTAGGAACTAATGAAGAAGATCATGCACGAGCTAATACCACAGAACGAGTTATATGAGTTGCATACGGAATAACGGCAACGAAATTATGCACGCAACCGAGGACATATATATTATACTTTGAGGTGTTTAACCTGCAAATGTTATAGACTGTACCTTTAACCAGGCAGGATAAGAAGGAAGTTCTGCTTCAAAATAGGTGTCGAGTTTCCTCTTCCGAAGTATGTATGCCCTTTTCTCTCGATAAACAATCTTGGTAACAGCCCTTTAGATCCTGCCATTGGCCATGACTATTGAGCCTTTGCTTCACTTTTACTCCGTAACGGCTCATCTTGGTATTTCAATATGCTTAATATCAATTCATTGACCGGTGGTTTTGAGAAATTCTGCGTTCGATCGATTCGGAACGCCCCCTCGTAGACCTCGCAATAAGTACATGACGTTGATTCAACGCTGTAATTTTCGGTAGAGCCTTCGCTGCAGAGGATGGTGTGCTGCGTAATAACTCGTTATCTTTTCGATATAGCTTGACTCTTCATTCACGCGAGCGATCCCGCGAACCAGTTATCGTCAGAATCTGTCCCTGCCCCTGCGATTAAGACGCAGAATTCGATTCGATGGAGATGGCAAGCCCACAAAAGAAACCATATATGTTCCTCAAACGAGCCGGCTGGATTACCTTCCGCCGGGGTGCATTTGAGGCGTAATTTCCTCTGGGATTGTGAAAGTTTCCGCTCAATTAAAGGTGGCTGCAATCGCCACTTCTACTGGCGGTGATATGCACTGCTAGCACGTGGAAGCCTTTCGGAATCGTTCCGGCGCAAAGCTTCAGGAGGGAATGTCGGATGCTTTCATGTATAGCTTGGAGACAACTTTGAGCTCTGTCTCTCTCTCCTTATTCTTCTTATCCATTTCTTTTTGGATTTGCTCTCTTTTTTTTCTCGGCCTCCTCGATTCTGCGCTTGGCTTCCTTCGCGGCTAGCTCTTGCGCTCTCAACGCGGCTTCGCGTGTCGGATATTCTTGACGCAGCTTTTCCAGCTCTTCTCTGATAGCATCTTCGTCCATAGGCTGGCAGGTTATTGGGTGGTAGTGGTAAGAAGGGAGTGGTTCGCCAGGTACTTGGATTTCTGGAAGGTCGGGGTGTATTGGAGTGGTGCGAATCGCGGAGTCGAGTGGGACCAGGGTAGCTTCTGCTGGCGGAGAGGGGAGGGTCACGCCTGTTTCCTCCATAATTGAGAATATCAGGCGTAGTAGCCTTGGTGGATTAGTGGACAGGAAGTCGCATACGCTCTGGTGAGAGAGTAGTAGAAGTTTGGTACAGTGGAGTTCAGTCTACCGGCGCCCATATTCTGCCGTTTACATCCCTACCGCCCACATCATCCATCATATGCGGGAGAACCAACGTCATCACCTTCGAGCTGTATTCTGGGTTTCTAAGCAGGAGCTCTGCACCAGTGAACATCGAATACCCGCTGGAAGGCTTTGGGGGCTCATAGAGAGCCACATGCCGTGTTTGTGAAGCCTAGGGGGAGCACCTGCAGAACGATTGCAATCTACCCATTAGCGCCACGCCTTATTGAGCAGCTATGCAAGCATTCGGTAGGTCATGAACACCGAAAATGGAACTGTAAGCTTCTTTGAGCCAAACTGACTGGGTTCCGGATGAACGCAGTACCGAAGAATAGACGGGTAGGTCTTGTGACGACAACATAGATATAATATCCGAATCAGACTAACCGACCCTTAGCCTCGATTTGAGCTTGTCCTGAGAGTATGAACCTTGAAATATACAGATGAGCACCGATTAACTGGACTAAAGATTATTGATATCAATAATGTGCCCCTAGGCAACAGTTCTGCTTGGGTGAAATGGCGCCTTCCGTCATCGAGTGCCACTGAATCGCAAGGGCACACCGAGAAGTCCACGATAACCGATCACCGTGCATACTGGAACTACGAGAAGGTTGTCTCTGTTAGGCTCACGATCGACAGGACGTCTATGCTGCAAGAATGCGAGATCACTTTTGAAGTCATTCAAGAATTCCATTCTTCGCCCACGTCCGAGAAAAATGTCCTGGGAAAGATCAAGCTCAACCTTGCGGAATATGTTGATAAGGTAGAAGAAGATGAGGGAGTGGTTCGTAGGTACCTCTTGTATGACAGCAAAGTGAACTGCACTGTCAGAATCGGGATTTCCATGCGCCAGATAGAAGGAGATCGCAACTTTACAACGTATGTTCATGTGCCCCATGTGCCCCGTGTACTGCATAACAAGCTAACAGAGAGCAGGCCGCCACTGAAGTCGGCCACTGTCTTTGGAGGCATCGCAAGAGTTGTTGCAGACCCAGGCGACTCTGACGAACTCGGCCACCTTCCCTCTATGAACACCAAGAGTCGTGAAATTTCAGATATGCAAGACATGTATCGCCGAACCTTAGCAGCCTCCTGGATATCCCGCCCATGTGATCTCCCTGCTGACAAGCTGATCGAGGAAATATTTAAGGGGGGCTCCTCGCGGAACGATTCACATCCAGATCTCCATACCACTCAGGTTGGAGAAACGCATAACGATAATTCTTTGGCCACCGAACCGGCCGAGCGACAAACACGATCTGGAAAGAGGTTATCTCCAAGCTTTGAAAAGCGGCCGAAAAGCTCATCAAGCTCCGCTGGGGGTGGAAAAAAATCCAGAATCAGTCACAACCCTTGGACATTCGCAGAAAGGTGGCAGCTTGGAAGAGCATCTCCATGATGGAAAGGGTCGCACATGGAAGAGCCGTAACACAGAGCATGAGTTATCGGAATTTGATGTACGCCCCGACCTGCGAAGCTGGGAAATAAGAGCTAAGGATTAGGAATGAAATCATGTTCCCGGCATATGGGTTATCGTTCCCATACAAAGATGCGCCCAACTAAGCGTAAACAGATCTTCGACTCGGGCCCGAAGTACCATTAAAATCAGTATTGTCTTATACTTATCTGTAAATACTACCAGATCAGACCTAGGCGGATCTGGCTTCGTGGTAACTCTGTAAGCGTCGTTCTCTTATTCTCGTAGTTTAAACATTGGAGTGCCGCCGTACAACAACTGTCGGGGCGGACGCCCCGGGGCACCGCCCCACCGGCCATATCGAGGCCCCCAAGCCGACCTTGACATCTTTCCTCTCTCTACCACCCACCCAGTCACCCGGCAAACACTTTCTCATCCCATTTCTTCCCATTCGCCTCCACCTGCTAATACCTGGGGCACCGGCTGACCTTGTATTCCTGATTGGTATACGGAGCCCGGCCAGCGCGACTTTGGAGCCTTCCCCACCTTCCACGATGAAGATCATGCGCGCACAGTGATTCACGGTTCACGGCATGGAGAGAACACGGGTGGCCAGGGTATTCTTCAGCCAAGCGCAGACCCTCGAGATCACATATGGCATTCACTAACGACGCCGCCTCTAGGTTGACCATGTGATCTTGGCTCGCCGAGGCGAACAGGTCGACGGAAGCCTGCACCTCACCCCTCACCACTTGATTTTCTCCCACGTTCCCCCGGCTTCAAACGAGGACCGAGCAACAGGCACTCCAGTCAGGCCCAAGGAGCTCTGGTTTACTTATCCTATTATCTCCCTGTGCACACTGCGACCGGCCCCCGCAGCCTCCCGCCAGCTCTCCTCCATCCGCCTTCGGTGCCGCGACTTTACTTTTGTCTGCTTCTATTTCACCGACGAAATAAAAGCCCGAACTGTCTTCGACAGCATCAAGCAGTGGACTTGCAAATCCGGTCGCCTAGAGAAGTTGTACGCTTTCAGCTACCAACCACCACCTCCGGAGAGGGAGCTTAATGGCTGGGATCTGTATGACCCTCGCAAAGAGTGGGATCGTCAAGGACTGAACGCCCCTAACTCAAGATGGCGTCTTTCAGAAATCAACGTCGACTATAGTGTGGGTATGCCCACCGAATGGCCTTGTGATCGTATTAACCTGTATAGTTTTCACCTACCTATCCCGCCTTGATCCCGGTACCCTGTTCAATTTCCGACAATACAATAAATTATGCTGGTCGATACCGCTCGAGGGCAAGAATTCCTGCTTTGACATATCTTCACCCTGTCAACAACTGTACCATCACGAGAAGTTCTCAGCCTCTGGTAGGTGTGCGCGGGAACCGTAGCATTCAAGACGAAAAGCTACTTGCAGCTATCTTTTCTACCTCACGGTCAGAGCGCCCATTAGGCAACTTTGCGCAAGCTCAAACCAATCTTGACAGAGAAGCCTCTGATTCGAGCACTGACACAGAGCCTCAAATTATCGAGGCAGATGATGTGAATCCGGAAGAAATCGAGGACGACATGTTGACATCGGCTCAAGGGGACTCTGAAGAGCAAAAGAAATTGATCTATGGTGCCCAGCAAAATAATTTGATCGTTGACGCGCGTCCCACTGTCAATGCGTTCGCTATGCAAGCTGTCGGCTTGGGTTCTGAAAACATGGATAACTATAAATTTGCGTCAAAGGCCTATCTGGGCATCGATAATATCCACGTTATGCGGGACTCGCTGAATAAGGTGATTGATGCTCTGAAGGAGACAGATGTTACCCCGCTTGGGCCTAATCGAGAACAGCTCAACCGGAGTGGGTGGCTTAAGCATATTACTGGGATCTTGGACGGAGCTGGATTGATTGCTCGTCAAGTGGGTCTTACCCATTCTCATGTTTTAATTCACTGCTCGGATGGGTGGGACCGAACAAGCCAACTGAGTGCTTTAAGCCAAATTTGCCTCGATCCTTACTTCCGAACTCTCGAGGGATTCATGGTTCTGGTTGAGAAGGACTGGCTTTCTTTCGGTCACATGTTCCGTCATCGGTCTGGGCATCTGAGCAGTGAGAAATGGTTTCAGGTCGAGAATGAACGCATCGGCGGCGGTGACAACAACCGAGGTGGATTTGAAGCCAGTGGCGCCGGCAAGGCCATCGAGAACGCCTTTCTAAGCGCCAAAGGGTTCTTCGGAAGGGATAACACTAGCCGGGATTCTCTACCCGAGTCAGACGGAGAGCTCCAGAACTTCGATGGCGAACCTACCGCAAAAAAGCCCAGCCCCATCCCACGTTCCATCGTTGCTGAGAAAGAGATTACGAAGGTTAAGGAAACAAGTCCTGTCTTCCATCAGTTCCTTGATGCCACCTACCAGCTCCTTCACCAATACCCGACGCGCTTTGAATTTAATGAGAGATTCCTTCGCCGGCTACTGTATCATCTTTATTCGTGCCAATTCGGCACCTTCCTGTTCAACAGCGAAAAGGAGCGAAAGGACTTAAATGCGCGGGAACGGACAAGGAGTGTATGGGATTACTTCCTAGCTCGTCGCGAACAGTTCACCAACCCGCAGTATGATCCATTGGTCGACGACCACCAGCGTGGGAAAGAAAGGCTCATTTTCCCATTGCTCAATGAAACTCGATGGTGGAGTGAGGCTTTTGGTCGCTCAGATGCGGAAATGAATGGCCCACTCCCGTCTGGCCTTCCGGTCCCCAGCAAAGACGAAATTCCTAAGCCCAGTCGCACTCCGGTCCCGGCCGGTGTTGAAACGGCTCAGAAAACAGGGACACCCCCAGTCACGCCTTCAAAGGTTTCCGACGCTGCTACTGCCGGCATTGCAGCTGTCACTTCTGGGATCTCGCAGCTCTCGGTTTTGAAGTCCCAACCCAAGGACCGACGGGGAGACAGCAGGGAGGAACAGATGGAGGTCGAGCTGAACTGAGAATGTCACATAAATGCCATGTAACAAGCGACGGTATCCATGTCGAGAAAGGACTTTCATGTGAATTGCGACTAGAAAATGATTTAGTTCTCCGGCGGAACTGCAATACATCGTGGCAAGAAATTTCCGGCAAAGCCATATATTTTCGGGCAATGAGGAGTGTACTTCCATTTCAAACCTAGCCTAATGAACACGCGTGGAAGTCGGGGTGTGGTTTCATTGAAAGTACTTTGTTAATCACCTAAAAGGAGCTTTTCCGAAACTAGGCAAAGACGTATCCCAAAAGCGCAACCTCAACGACAAAGTACAGGCAAGCAATAACAACCGAAGAAGGAGTTTTGGTGGACTACAGGAGCCAGGACTGCATGGGCTGTGTTCTTGTCTTGTAGTGCATTTACAACCACTTTTGAATCATTCAGGAGTGAAGGCTGTGGGCACGACTAAGTATCTTGCTAGGAGGATCTAATCGGCAGCATCCCAGGGAATTCATGATTCCAATACATATAGGGTTCCTCTTTCTACGATTCCCGTGTATTCTGTACCAAAGGCCTAATACTTTGCGTAGTAGCACCTGCTCTATCTACGTCTCAGATAACCAGCCACCCTGCAGGATGATTATCAGATCCCTCGAACTTCCCGGGCCAGGTGAGTCGTCTTCTTTGCATAGGGTCAAGCGTCAGGACTGTGTTAGTGGCATTCAAAGCTTCTCGAACTACCATTGTTTCGACTAACTAGATCCATTGGTGTAGTTTGCGCCTTAACCACCAGGCCTAAATTTACTGCCTTATAAACCAGGCATAAGCACTTGTCCCGATTTGGCAAACAAGGTGGTTAGTCAGACTAAGCGAGGAAGCCCTGGCAGACCCACTCCACGGTAGAGCCCTAGCGAAAAAATTCCCCACTATTGAGATTCGCAACTCCGAGCGCCTCTCGACCTTCGCCCTTCGTCGACAATCCCCCTCACCAATCCACACACGTGTTCAACATGGCCGCTGTTCAGGGTGCTATCTCCAAGCGCAGGAAGGTATGCCAAAGATTGAATCGCCCAACGAATCGGCCAGGGCCTCATTAACGTTATGTCACTTAGTTCGTCGCCGACGGTGTCTTCTATGCCGAACTGAACGAGTTCTTCCAGCGTGAGCTGGCTGAGGAGGGTTACTCCGGTGTTGAGGTTCGCGTGACTCCCACCGTCACTGATATCAGTTAGTTCGCCCCTTCTCAATATCCTCAGATCCGAGTTGGTGTTATGTGGAAGATCTGGCATGGAATACGGTCTCGCCAAGTAGAAGAATTGCGGGCAGGTCGGAGGACACCATGCGGATCTTTCCGCCAATCGATAATTTCGTCCATGAATTTCTGAAACACTCGACTAATATATTGCTTTTCCTCAGTCATCCGTGCTACCCACACCCAGGAGGTCCTCGGTGAGCAGGGTCGCCGCATCCGCGAGCTCACCAGCTTGATCCAGAAGCGTTTCAAGTTCCCCGAGAACTCCGTCTCCCTGTACGCCGCTAAGGTCCAGAACCGTGGTCTTTCCGCCGTCGCCCAGTGCGAGTCCCTCCGTTACAAGCTCCTCAACGGTCTCGCCGTCCGTCGTGCCTGCTATGGTGTTCTCCGTTTCATCATGGAGAGCGGTGCTAAGGGTTGTGAGGTTGTTGTGTCCGGAAAGCTTCGTGCTGCCCGTGCCAAGTCCATGAAGTTCACTGTACGTCTACACTGCTGGTATTGCGCGGCGTATGCAATTGGTGATAGCAGAAGTGATTTCGGTTGTGATTTTATGCACTATGCACCGAAATATACACATCACTGCCCGTTATCAACCCTGCGCTATGCCAAGATTCTGAACAACTTAAAGAGCAGTTAACTAATTCGTTCTCAAAGGATGGTTTCATGATCCACTCCGGTCAGCCCGCCAAGGAGTTCATCGACTCCGCTACCCGTCACGTTCTCCTCCGCCAGGGTGTCCTTGGTATCAAGGTCAAGATTATGCGCGGCTCCGACCCCGAGGGCAAGTCTGGCCCCCCAGAAGACCCTCCCCGACTCGGTTACCATCATCGAGCCCAAGGAGGAGCAGCCCGTTCTCCAGCCCATCAGCCAGGACTACGGGGCCAAGGCCCTCGCCGCTCAGCAGCTCGCCGAGCAGCAGCGTCTGGCCGAGCAGCAGGCTGCCGAAGCCGAGGGTGGTGCCGAGGGTTACGCTCAGGAGTAAATGTTTTCTTGAATATCCCTTTCTTTCCTTCCTGTCATAACCTATCCTCCATGACGCTACCTCACGCAATCAAAATTACATGAAGACTTCAAAAGCTTGCTATTGCATTTATTGGACTGTGTGTATATGTATAAGTTTTCGTAGCATTTCAGGAATACAGCAGGCACGATCATCACATCGTCATGCTTCGAAGAAGCCAATGGAGCCGGTGTCTCCAGGTCTCATGATTACCGCTAAATCTTGGTTAAAGGTTTCTAGCTTCGCCATAGCCTGGTCTTCACAGAATGATTAGTCCCAGAAGTGCGGGCATGCTAAGCACAACAGAAACAAACGCCGGGACGACGGTTGGGAAGAAGTACTAACTTGCATTCGTAAACAGGTATGAAAGTTTGTGTATTGCTTTTGCCTCTTAGGGGGGGTCTAATAGAATATGCCCTACTAGTATTTCAATGGAGAACCTCCTCATCAGTCATCAGGTGCATCACAAAAATGCAACGACAGAGCTATAGCCAATCATCTACAGGAAAGGCTCAATGTTGATCTCGAGCGTGCTGACAGGGTATTTCAGATCGTACTTCTCCAGCACGGTAGGGTGAAGGACACCGAAAGCACCAAGCACATACTCCTTACCACCGATGCGAGCATGGATAGATGCTGCGTGGCCGGGGAAGTATGTTGGGTCTGTAATCACATGATTAGGAAGTGCAGTAAATGGCAGCGTGAAACATTCAAACTTACCATTCAATTCCTTAATGAAGTACTGAGACTCACCAGTGGCCGGGTTGGTGAGGCCCTCCTCGCCAATGATGAAAGCACTCTTCAGCATGGCCATGACACGGTCCAAGAGGCCATGCACAACCTCGAAACCACTGCTGCGACCATACCAAGCGGCAGCAAAGTGACGCTCGTTACGGCTCTTGCGCTCAAGTGCCAGATCCTTGAACGCAACATCGCTGACCTCAAAGATCTTCATGGGAACGGTGTGAGTCTTGTTCTCGCGGATGGTCTTCAGCAGACCGGGCAGAAGGCTGGTGCGAACAACCTGGAACTCCATAGTCTTAGGGTTAGCAAGCTTAACAGCCGTGTTGCCGTCGTCTTTGCGGTTCAACCAGCCGAAGTTCTCATCGTGTGAACAGAGAATCAGAGGCAGGACCTCCGACCAGCCGGCCATGGCGGCCTCGATACGGATAATATCGGACAGCTTGTTAATGGGCAACGGCTGGGCGATTGTACCGGACTTGCTGGGGAAGGAGCGGGGAAGCGAGTTGAAGCCATAAGCAATGGCCACATCCTCCATGATATCGCACTGGTGGAGGACATCGGCACGAGTGGGGGGAATCTCAACATCGATGATGTCTGGGTTTGCTGATGGCTTAGCTCGGTAGGCCATCTTAGTCAATAGCTCGCTGATCTCAGCACCGGAAAGCTTCAAGCCACAGCACTGGTTGATGTAGGAGATCTCCGCTTGAGCGGTACGAGGCGCGATATCAGGAGTTACTCGTGTTTCGCCATTGTGTTCGGAAACAATCTTGACGGGCTCGATCGTGAATTGCTCGGCAGTGTATTCGGAGAACATAGTGACCATCATGCCTGTTTCGTTAGACATTACTCTAGAATAATAGGACGAAGAAACTCACGGTTCACAATCTCGAGCTTGGTCTTGTCGAGAGCAGTGATCTCAATCAAGACATTCTTGGTATTCAGGCTGATTTTAGAGTGGTCGCCGTTGATAATGGGAGGAAGAGAGCAGATAGTCTTCTTGGAGTCGTAGATGACGGGATAAACTGGGCTATCCCGAATGATGTGCAAGTATTTGCCCAGCTGCTGGTGCTTCTACAAAGTCCAAGGACATTAGCCCATGACACGCTGTGAAATATGTTACTCATACCTCGTAGAAAGTCATCAACTCCTCGCCATCCATCTCCTTCGTTTGATTCAATGGCACAAACTTGATATCTTTGGGAGGCAAAGCATCGTACGTGAAGGGACCCTGGATGGTGTCAAGGTCATGAGTACCGATTGATACTAGGGTTCGTTGACGAGCAAGGTTCTGGTGCAGCTTGTCTTGAAGGGCAATGAAAGACTCGTAGCGGGCCTTATCGAAGGTAACGTTGCGGAGAATAGCACCCGCGACATATGGACGAATTTTGGTAGTCTTTTTGGGTGTTAGCTCCTCGAACATTCTCGCATCTTGAAAGGAACTCACATCTTCCTTGACGATGATCTCCTCAAGCTTGCCTGGGTTCACCAATTTGTAGTTAGGAAGAGACCTCCGTTGTAAGAAAATGTTGAGCATAAGGGCAATTCCCTCGAAGCACAGTAGATCATATCTATTTCTTGTCTTAGTCCTAGCGCTGTATTCTTCTAGATTGGTCTGCGTACCGGTTGGCAGGAATCTCGATCTTGAGCTGTGGAGGTTCCTGGACACCATCGACGATCGGTCGGTCTGAGTTGGTAGTCTAAATGCTCTTAGTACCGGGGCGATAATTCTGGGGACTTTTGCGAGGGATTTACGTCTTCATCGAGCTCAATGCCTGGTTTTTCTTGTCAGCGCATGCCCCGCAGAACTCTATCGATAGAGGAACTCACCAAACTCAAAGCACAGCTCATCGAATTCTTCAGTAGTATATCTTGGTAAGACAGACGACGTTAGATATATCTCATATGGCAAATAGACTCGAGATTGACATACTCTTCGGCCCAGCTCCTTGAAGAGAGCGGCCTTGTCGACCGAGATAGTGGGCATGGTGGGGGAGACAGTCGCAATGTGATGCGATGCAAATCTGGGAAGATTGGTATGTATTAGTAAACACAGTGATCAGATACACCTTCCAAGGAGATCCAGTCGGGCATACCAATTCCAAAGCACTTGGGGACGCTGGGGACAAGAGGGGACTAGGTATGACTCCGAGTCGGACTTTAGAAATTCTGCGCGCGAAAGCCACCACCGCCACACTCCCCCTCTTTATTACAGTTCCGTATGGTATTGTCACCACCCAGGCCAATCTGGTTGAATCTCCCTCTGTTGAAGCAACAATGGGGGCCGCGGGGCTAAGATATGACACTATATGGCCCGTGCTTTTTGTATGTAATTTACCGCTCACCGCGGTGTTGTCGCTGAAAGCTCAGAGTGATGCGAGTGATAACCCCCCGGTCGTTGCTATCGATCAAGATCCCTGGATCGCCATAAGCCTCTTGGAAGATTGCGTCTCACAGCTTCATTAGTCGGCAGTACGTAATACAGTTCCCGTTCATCCAATTGCCTCGCGGTGCGCAGCTCTGCTCTGCCAGTTTGGTTGTGGTGGCCTGCGGCCCAAAACCCCACGAAACCTCGCTCCGGCCGCTCTCCAACGACCATCACCCTCTCTCTACCCTGCCACCCCCAAACCGTCATCCCGCGCGTCCAGAACTAACTGTTTCACGGGATTAGCTGAAATTCCGTTGGGTGCATGCCGTCGCTGTTCCTCTGAAATCGCATTTAATCTCTGTTTCGCTGGGTCGAATCAACTCACCCCCGATATCAACCCTGCCCTCAGGACGGGTCCTACCACCTCCACACCTCTTAATACACGCCTTATTCCCCATTCGCGATGGAGGGTCAAAACGAGAATGATGAGCTCTACCCCATCGCGGTGCTCATTGATGAGTTGAAGGTACGGAACGATATCTGCTATCCCCCTCGCCAACCCCCTCCATCGCTCATGGAGGGCGATCAGTCCTTTGACAGCCGCAAACTTACAAGAATGTAATATAGCATGATGATGTACTCCTCCGCCTCAACGCCATCCACCGTCTTTCCACGATTGCTCTTGCTCTCGGCCCCGAGAGAACCCGGGATGAGCTTATCCCATTCCTCGACGGTTGGTTTCCCTGTTCATTCCCATATCGAAGGATATACAAACTGACAGCATTACAAAATCAGACTCTGTGGAGGATGAAGATGAGGTTCTAACTGCGCTGAGCGAGGAATTGGGGAACTTCACAGAGTATGTCGGTGGACCTGAATACGCGCACGTGCTCTTGTCTCCGCTTGAGAACCTGGCTGCGATTGAGGAACCATTGGTCCGAGAGAAGGTAAATTGAAGACAGATGGAAATCGTTTTAGGATTGCTATTGACGTGTGATATAGGCAGTCGAATCGCTGAATAAGGTCTGCGAGCAGCTGAACGAAAGCCAAGTCGAAGAGCACTTTGTCCCGTTGACTATTCATCTTTCCAAAGCCGACTGGTTCACCTCCAAGGTCTCTGCCACAGGTCTTTACAGCACACCATACCGGAAAGCCACCCCTAGCACTCAACAGACCCTCCGCCAGCAGTTCGGAGCCCTTGTACATGATGAGACCCCCATGGTGCGACGACAAGCGGCCAACAACTTGGCCAAGTTCGTCAAAGAGATGACTGCCCCCGTAGTGATCGAAGAAATGATACCCCTTTTCCAATACCTTGCGAGCGATGATCAGGACAGCGTGCGCCTACTGACGGTGGATATCCTCATATCGATCGCGGAGGAAATTCCCAAGGAGCAACAGCCCAGCCACGGAGTGCTGTTGACTTCGTTGCGCAACCTGTTCGAGGACAAAAGCTGGAGAGTGCGATACATGGTTGCCGATCGATATGAGAAGGTTTGTCCGCATTGATAAGGCCCAGGCCTGCTGTTTGGAATGACTATACTAATATATGATGTAGATCGCTAAAGCCGTGCATGAGGAAGTCGTTACCCGCGATATGGTTCCGGCTTTCGTCAAGCTCCTCAAAGATACCGAAGCTGAGGTTCGCACTGCCATTGCTGGCCAGATTCCGGGTATGTGCTGCGCTTTTCTTGGAAACCAAACCACATATACTAACGCTATCTTTAGGATTCTGTACTTTGATTGACCGCGATACCCTGTTGAACGAGATCATGACCAGCGTAGAGGATCTCGTCTCAGATCAATCTCAGCATGTTCGGGCGGCCCTCGGAACTCAAATTAGTGGTCTTGCACCTATCCTAGGCAAGGAAGAGTAAGCAAATCTACATTGGTTCGAAAGAACCGAAAACTAACTTGAAGTCCAGAACTATTGCGCACCTCCTCCCTATGTTCCTCTCCATGCTTAAAGATGACTTCCCCGATGTTCGCCTTCACATTATCTCGAAGCTTGAACAGGTGAACCAAGGTATGTGTTCAGAATCTGAAGTTGACACATATTCGTTCGCAATCTAACCTGAATCTAGTCATTGGTATCGACCTTCTCTCGCAGTCTCTTCTTCCCGCTATTGTCCAGCTGGCTGAAGACAAGCAATGGCGCGTTCGTCTCGCCATCATCGAATATATTCCCCTTCTCGCCAGCCAATTAGGGGTCAAATTCTTTGATGAACAGCTTAGTGATCTCTGCATGGGATGGCTGGGCGACACTGTTTTCTCAATCCGCGAAGCTGCTACTACTAATTTGAGGAAGCTCACAGAGGTCTTTGGAGTGGACTGGTCCAAGGAGTCTATTATTCCCAAGGTGGTTGCTATGGGTCAACATCCTAACTACCTTTACCGCATGACGACATGTTTTGCTATTTCAGTGAGTAGCCCATTACTCTGTTCAAAAGACACATACTCATTCATCAACAGACTCTTGCCCCCGTTGTCACCCTCGAAATTATCGAAAACTCTATCCTGCCCATCCTGGAACGCCTGGTGACAGACGAAATCCCCAACATCCGATTTAACGTTGCTAAGTCGTACGCTGTGCTTATTGACACCCTTCGCCGTCTGCCTGAGGGAAAAACTTTGACTGAAGTTGAGAAGTCAGGAGAAATCGCCACTCCTTCGCCAAAGAGCCAGGATGTCATCCAGCAAAGGGTTCTACCCAGCCTCGCAAAACTTCAGGAAGATGATGACGTTGATGTCCGGTATTTCGCTACCACTGCCACTGGCAACCCGGAGGAAGCTATGCAGACTTCCCCGTGAAGCGGGTCATTGGAGTTCTTAGCATGAAGTGGAGAGTTGCTTTCTCAGTAAATGACAGACAACAGAAATAACCCTGTTCCCGAGGACTGGTTATCCTGTCAGCCTTAGAGATTAACCAGCCCCGGGATAAGATGTCTTGATGGCGTTTTTTAATGTAGAGGTTTCTTTTATCCATACATAACGGTCTCTGCCCTTCCCGAGATAGTCATAAAAAAAGCAACGACAAAAATTTAATCAGTTCCAATCGAAGCCGGTAGTCTCCTTTTGGTGCAAGGGTTCTATATATGGTAGCGAGCATAAAAAATGTGGTGCTTGGGCTGTGGGCGATAACTTCTTCCCTCAGCAGCCGGCCCTTTGGAGCCTTGGTCAATTGAAAACACCTATTATCTGTTGCATGCACCGCTACTTTAGATACAGCGTCCCTTTGGACTCCCTATTTTGAGCTTTGTATGGAAAAGAGAAGTTTAGGATTGAGGGAAGAGCTACTGAGAGCTGCCTGATATAGCTCTTGACAAGGCTACCATGCTAGTACTGGTCTCTCAAAATACACACAGAATATACTGTAATTAACAATGACACCCTTTACATTTTACGTCAGGTTACAAAACAGGAAATTTCGCGGATTGGCAATATAAAGTTGATATTTGATTTGGGTGTGATACCTCGGACAAATGAAATTTCACCATTTGTCAGCCGCACTGGCTCCACCTGGGCACCTGCTGGACAGGGCTCTCTAGAGACCCATCACGTATCATTGACACTTGTCATTTTCAAACACTAAGAGGCCCTCAGTGATATTGTCATACTACTGCCTGGGAGACTGAGCATACTGACTTGGAGACATTTCTTCCCTGTTCGGTTTACCTGGACTTGTGTTCCTCTACTTGGTATCTATTCCATTAGTCAGTCGAGCGTGGGATCGCAAATCCTTTCCATATTCCAGTCATAATTGCTTGGATAATAGGATCAGACATGGGGCTCTCATGGCCATATCATTTTGTGTCGCTCACGCAAGAGGAAGTCCTCCAGCGGCGTGAGCTTCTTGACCGCCGAGGACAGATAGCCCAATGGTCCATTCTTATGGCCATCATCGGAATCAAGTATCTTCAGAGTTGGACAAAGGCTTCTCAGGCAGGCGGTAGGCAACGCGGAGCTGCCTCATGGTGGGATCATTCAATTGTGACGGGATGGCTTGAAAGCCGGCGACAATACGCTATTTGCGGATTGTGGCTACTGTGGCTGTTGAGTCTTTGTGTATGGAACAGTGGAGATGGTATGGACCTTTCTCATCTTAGGCTCAGAACGCCCGTTGACAATAAGCTTACTTATTTACAAGATTATCTCCACTTGACGAAGGCATTGGGTCATGTTGCGCTCAGTCAACTGCCCTTGCAGGTCTTGATGTCGCCCGCGGCATACATATCGACATCCAAGCCCGCGGCTGCCTCGATCTTCTCATTTCTGACTTCAGTGTCACAGAGCACCCTGACTCCCTACCATCGCCTTTTTGGCAGGATGGTCATATTACCTCTTCTTTTCACCCATGCTACGCTATACTTATTGTTCTTCATACAGTCCGTCGACCCTGAATTTGGAACACTATTTGCAAAGCGCGTTCAAGATTTGGATGTTCAATGTGGCATCTCTGCCTTGTTGTGCGCGATATCATTTCTTTTCTTCACGAAGCCGCGAGTTGCTGCACCCAGGGATGCAACTAAAAAAGCTGCTGGGTCTATACAGGAGCGTCGAACATCTTTCTACTGGGGCCATATCTCGCTGGCAGCTTTCTTATGCGCTTCGGTGTATTATCATGTCGTATATGCTCAAAAGTATATGCTTCAAACGATGGGTGCATTTGTTTTGAATGGCGTATTTTCTTGGGCGGCGGTTCGATGGGCAGCACTGACAAGGCATCGAAATGAGTCCACTACTCTCGCGATGGCCATTGCTGTGCTTTTCTCTCTACTAGTATAAGTATTGCTTCAATAGCATACAAGTGAACACGAAGTCCTTTGAATTATAGTTTGGATCAAGAGCTGGATCGAAATCTGATAATCAGAACAATATTTCTAGGGTAGTGTCATGTGCTACAAGTACGAGGGGACAAGCTGGGACCCCACAAAGAAAATACTACAAGGCTTGACTGAGTACTTGAAAGCCGTTCTCAGTATGTTTATCTGGTTGTTGTGGTTGCCGATGACTTGATATTTCATTATGAAGAACTTGAATGAAAATACTAATAGTGGACCTTGCGATCGAAGGGGCATCTGGGCGGGATCACAGTGACATGTGGGCGATTATGAACTGAGCTGGAAATAACTAATTGGGGTCCATCTCCGCAAACACTTTCCGCCACGCGGAGCGATCAATAAACTTCAAGCTAGACTAGTTACTATGCCTGGGACGCCGGAATCTAACCCAAGACAAATGGAAATAGCGCAGACAAAGGGCATATGTTAGACCAAAAATCAGTCCTGGATTCACATCGCATTGTATGGGGAGCCCTGGAGCTGTCCCTGCGGCTTACGTTCCTCCTAAGCGTGGCTTGGCGCGATCTAGGCCAGGTCGGCTGGAATTTGATCGTCCCTCGCCTTTTCTCTCCTCGTGTTCACTTCTTTGAACCTCGCATACCTTCGCCAGATGGCAGGATGCGACCCCAACGCGTGATCCTGCTTCTTGCATTCATCTTTTTTGCTGTTTTCTCTTTGATCCTCCTCCAGAACCCGAAACCCAGACGGCTGCCTGTAGACCTTCCACCCCCCGAGCCTCTCCAACACCCGAAACCCCGTGCGGGCCAGACATGCCCCCCGGGAGAAGGTACACCCAATCGCGTACCTGATTCAAAATGCCCAACAGCAATTCGAGCATACCTACGCTCGTCAGTCGACCAACCTGGCCGAGGCGGTGCAGGAGTACAAGCGTCGCTACAAGATGCACCCCCCGCCTAACTTCGACAAGTGGTTTGAGTTTGCGCAGGCCAAGGGTGTTCAGCTGATTGATGAGTTTGACTCGATCTACCATTCATTGCTGCCATTCTGGGCCCTGCACCCGCAAACCATTCGGGAGCGCGCTCGCGAGACCCTCGGCTTTGACAATGCCGTCCTCGGGGTGTTGATTCGGAATGGCAGAGTGACTTTGACCGATGGGGGAGGCGACGGCTTCAAATGGCAACGCGAAGCTACTGTTGGGATGATGAAGGATTTCGTGAAGTATCTGCCAGATATGGACCTGGTCTTCAACACCCATGATGAGCCTCGTGTGGTGATTCCTGCCGAAGACCTCCAACGTTTGGTGCAGGTTGCCACAGACCGTTCCATCCCATCTTCCTTCCAGAACCCCAGCCCTGCCAATGCCTGGTCGCCGCGAGCAACGGATATCAACAAAGGCGACCGCATCGACGAAGTTCGCACTACTCGGTTCAATCGATTTGCGCACCAGCCTACCTGGACCAACTCTCGAATCTCTTGCCCCGTCAATAGCCCTGCTCGATCCCTCGAAGATGACCCGGCAGATGATGATGCGTCCTACGCACACGGAGAATTGGGTTTTATCTACAACACCACCGCTTTTTCGGATATCTGCTATACCCCTTCTCTGCGCTACTCGTATGGATTCTTCGACCGCCCCAATGCGTTCGACGTGGTCCACGACCTCTTCCCCGTATTTTCGCAGAGCAAGATCTCCAGCTTCCAGGATATCCTGTACCCTAGTCCCTGGTACTGGGCAGGGAAAGTGTCATATGACAAGCGCAAGGATTATGCTTGGGAGGCCAAGACCAATCACCTCTACTGGCGAGGGTCGACAACGGGTGGATTTTCTCGTGCTGGTGGTTGGCGACGTCAGCACCGTCAGCAGTTTGTGGACAACTTGCATCCCCTGAGGGACACTAAAGTGCTCACACAGCAGCCGGATAAGACCTGGGTCTCACAGGTAGTGAAGCAGGAACTGTTCAAAGACATGTACGATGCTAAATTCACCCTGATTGGCCAGTGTGATCCGGATGACTGCCATGCTCAGGAGGAGTACTTTGATGTTGTCAAGGCTGCTGGGCAGCAGGACGCATGGGCCCATAAGTTCCTGGTCGATATCGATGGAAACGCTTTCAGTGGGCGTTTCCATGCCTTCCTGCTTAGCAACAGCTTCGTTTACAAAATCGCTATTTTCCGTGAGTGGCACGACGAGTGGCTTAAGCCTTGGGTGCATTATGCGCCCCTCAGCCTGAAGGGCAATGACTACGCAGAAAGCCTGCGGTACTTTGCCTCTGAAGAAGAGGGTAAGAAGGTTGCGCCGCGGATCGCGGCCCAGGGTCAAGACTGGGCTCGGAAAGTGCTTCGAAAGGAAGACCTGGAGGTTTGGTTCTTCCGTCTGTTATTGGAGTAAGTTCATTATGCCATCTGGCTTGAGGCATGTTCTTTACTGACTTCGATACTATCAGGTATGGCCGTTTAGTGGATGACAACCGCGAGCGACTGGGATTCTCGTTGTGAATGTAATACATCTGTGCGTTTCTTTTTTGGCACTTGTCTTTGTATATACCCTAATTTCTTTTATCTACCTGCTTGCTGGATCGAGATTCCAGCTCTGCGGAGGACCTCGACGAAATCATGGCTTTTTCCTTGGTATTCTTCATTATTTTTTTTTCCTTTCCCTTTTTTTTTCCGATTTCTGTCATCTGGCTTCTCTACCTTGCGGATCATTTCTTGATACCCATCCTCGATATCAGACTCGAAACTTTCAGTCATCTCACCCAAGCTATACGCTTGATTCCGAGGCCCTCAGACTGTAAATGATGCCGTCCCTGGAACTCAACTTTGGGACCTTGGAAGGCCCACCGAGGTGGAGCCGTAACTATGCGTCCAACCCCGGTGGATAACTCAAACCCTATCAGCCTTAGCTTGGTCCACACAATCGGTGAAGAGATGCTGGAATTCAGGTTCTTTCACAGCCATCCAGCCATGAAGCCAGTCTCGGGTCTTCCTGTACTCCGTTAAAAGAAGGGCAACCGAGATTAATCTGTATTATTCCCAAATCCCCTGTTTCATTGATTCCCCTGAGCAGGATCTTATACTCGGTCAGCACTCCTTTTCTAGTTCCAATCCCGGTTAAGCTCCAGGGGATTGAATGCCCTTGGATGACTAAACGATGCAACAGCCCCTTAAAGTTAAATGTCTCGGCGCGTCCACCGTCCCGAGGTTCGCGGCTCCACAGAAACGGTAGATACACTTCAGCTATTTAAGCTCTGCAAACCCCCACTTTCTGTATAATCTGCCACCTCCATCATGACCTCCGCTACAAGATACGCCGTCACCGCCTATGGCGTGTTTTCCGTATTCGTATACGGGTTCCTCGCCATTGTGAAGGGCACTTTCTTTCAAAAGCGAACAGAAAGGCAGCTCGTCGAGCTGCAAATTGGTATGTAACGCAATCCAAGGAGAGATGTGTGCTGTGACACAAACCAAAGCATTACATCGACCAGATCTCGATATTGATTTTGCGCAGCTAGTGATCGCCTTTGGAACTTGTCGAAAGACTTTGCGGGCCTCTCCCACCATATTTTGACCCTGGCCAGTGGCTTCAAGTTTCATTTAGTGAGCAACGAAGTTCCGGGGTCGACGGAGGCACAAAACTCCACGAAGCCGTTGGTCATTTTCATCCATGGTTTCCCCGACAGTTGGGCCGTATGGCGGAACGTGATCAACCAGCCCGAGCTTCAGAAGTCTGCTACCATCGTGGCCCTCGATATGCCCGGCTATGGGGGTTCCGAAGGCCTGCCGAAATATGACGGCACCAATGTCCTAGAGAAGATGACCGAGCTAATCATCACCCTTCGATCCAAGTACGGGGTCGACGATGAGACCACGAAGAACAAGAAGAAGACTATCATTCTCGCTCATGACTGGGGCTGTGTGGTCGCCATGAGACTTGCAGCAGAGGCCCCCACGGTCGCTGATCGATTTGTCCTCAGCAACGGACCTCTGGTATGTAACAAGACTCTCCTTCAGCCAGAACAACGTCTCGCTAATGTCTTTCCAGCCCGCCCTCGCCTTGTCCAATATCAAACGTTTGCTGTCCACAGCCCAGAAGAAATTTCAAGAGGCTCGAGCTGCTCCTCTCAGGGCCTATAGCCCTCTTCGCGAAGCGTGGCAAGCTCTCCGCCCTGTACTCCGACAAGGCGTCCTATCAGGCTACATTTTCGCGATGCAGCTACCCGTCCCATGGGTGAAGTACTTCTTAACGGGCGGCAACGCCTCCCTCATGCGCGACGTCCACACTGGCTCCTACGGAAAGGCAAAGTTCACTATGCGCGACATAGCCGAGTCAATGGCTAGCACTTTGGGCCCATCTCTCTCCGAGTCGAAGACCGAGACTCCCAACGGCGAGACTTACCCGACTTCAATCAACTTCAATGGCGAGTTCGCCAATATCATGGGCCCCGCTAGCTACTACCGCGAGGGAGCGGCCCAATCCCGATGGCACAAGTCCCCCGAGATCGAGGCCTGGTTGAGCGAGCACGGTGCCACTGGCCTTGACGAGGGTCTCCCCGGGTCTTTCAAGGCACCCGCAACTGTGTTCTGGGGTGAGAAGGATATCGCGTTGGAGAAAGCGATCTGCTTGGACGGAATCATCGACTTTACCTCCGCTAACAGTCAGGTCGTGCTGCTCCCCGAGTCGGGTCACTTCACGCCAGTCGAGCTGGAGAGTCGCGCTGCGTTCCTGAGGACGGTGCAGTGGTTTATTGATGGGGAACAGGGTGACGTCGGGACTGCTATTCAGGAGGTGTATCCCTCTGCACGAGTTCTCGCGCAGAAATGAGGATTTGTCGAAAGTCGAGAAAAAGAACGAACGGGGCCTGTGAATCGACCGGGATCCGTGTCGGAGCATTGTGCCACCACACGTGCAAGGGGGGGGGGGGATGCCCTGGGCCCGAGAGCTAAAATCGTGGCTTTCCAAGGTTCGGAGACATGGTAGTGTGTCTATATACTCTAATTAGTTGGCCTATCATTTATGTTATGATTTGTATGGTTCTTTAGAAGCCTGTGAGTAGAATGCGCGACTTCCTAGATCTACTGTCAGCAGACGGAGCGTAACCTATCGTAGCCCTTTGAGCGCTCGTTCGTGGGGCAACAGCTGCAGATGCAACAGAAACGGCGCTGGGAGCTCGGATCATCCCAGTGGGTTCTCCCGCCGAGGGGGGGGCCACTCGCTTTCTCTCCTTTCGATTTGGAGCTTCTGAATGGTGGCAAATCAACTGTAGCTTCCCCCTCTTTTTGTTCTCCAGTTTTCCCCAGCTGTCGCCACAGCCCCCCACGACCTCCGGATCCCCCCTTAGCTCTTCGTCTCTTCGACCCTCTCCCTCGCACGACCGCAATGCAGAGCTCGTGAACGGAACAGTCCTCGTACCCCTCGAACCTGCATCAGGTGTCACAATTCTGCGACCTGCTGGTTGACTGTCGCCAGTTGGAATCAGCATTCGACCGCGCCAACGTACTCCGGATAAATATCACAAGCTAGGCAAATGCGGATAGCTCAGCGGGTTCTGCCTTGTTTCTCGCTCTCCTTTTCTGAGACCAGGTTGCTCGGGCTTGCCCAGGTTTGCTTTGCAGCGTGAGGGAGCTTTTCGACTGCCGACGTTTTGCTGTGAGGGACCGCGGCGCGATGACTTCAGGGAATGTGTATTGCACGGTCAGGCCCCCTTCTTTTGCGATGGTGCCGAGTCGAAGAGTGTTTCGCTGATTCTAGGCTCTTTATAGCTCTTGCTGAGTGACAATTATCTTCCTGGTAATCAATGGCTATTCCCCCAGTCCAGAAGCTGTATTCTAACCCAGATCTCTAGGTGCTATGGTCTTGGCCCATTCATTGCGCGACAATGGGACCAAGGCGAAACTAGTGGCGCTTTTCACTCCGGAAAGACTGCAGCCTGCTACAGTCACTGAGCTACGGGTTAGTACAATATTACCTACTATTCTTGAGCATATGCGGCCACTTTTCGTGAACGGATGGGGTTTGTCATGTCAGAAGCAACTAATCGCAATTCGGAAATAACTAGACCGTATACGATGAGCTCATCCCGGTCAATTCCATCGTCAATGGGACTCCTGCCAATTTATGGCTTATGGAGCGCCCAGACCTTATCGCCACATTCACGAAGATCGAGCTGTGGCGCCTGACCCAGTATGAACGGATCGTCTATGTCGATTGCGATATTGTGGCTCTGCGAGCGCCAGACGAGCTATTCGCTTTGGATGTGAATTTTGCAGCAGCACCAGATGTGGGCTGGCCAGATATCTTCAACAGTGGATTGATGGTTCTTCGACCGAATCTGCAGGACTACTATGGGCTGAAGGCGCTTGCAGAGCGCGGCATTAGCTTTGATGGGGCCGATCAGGGATTGCTGAATATGCATTTCCGGGACTGGCATCGGCTCAGCTTCACGTACAATTGTACTCCTAGTGCTAACTACCAGTACATCCCTGCATACAAGCATTTCCAGAGTTCCATCAGTCTCATTCACTTCATTGGTTCGCAGAAGCCGTGGAATTTGCCCAGGCAGGTTGTGCCGGTGGAATCGCCTTACAATCAATTGTTGAGCAGGTGGTGGAGCGTCTATGATAGACATTATCGCCCAGTAGCCGTGAGTTTCTCGATTCAGTGCTTGGGTTTTATGCGTGCAACAACCTAATGCGCAAAAGGTACCCGCTCCAAAATTCTCGGAGATCATTCCGTCGCCTTACGAGACCATTGTCCTGCAAAGGCCATCTCCCCGGACTGTTCGATTTGCCGATCAATCTGACTCGACGGGAAGTGAACAATGGCCCAAGCCCTTTCACGTGCATCATCAAGATCACGGCCATCACGACGAAGATGACGACCCCGCACGTTCGCATCGCGAAGACCCAAACAGAGAAGATTCTGGTTCTGATGAGGAAATACCACTTTTAGTTTCGGGCGGGGTTGGTCATCATGGCCCTAGCCCTGCACCTGTGCTGAGCGCTGTTCCTCAATATGTCCGCGGAGAAGAGCATGTCTCTACCTTTGTGCCACTCCAATATGTCGCCCCAGAGCCCCCGACTCACCAAAGGTCGCACTATCACCAATCGCACGGTCATTCAGAAACCCATCTTCATCAACCTCAGCCCTTGCCTCCACCACCACCGGTAGAGCATTGGGAACGCTCTCGCTCGCCAGATCCGCCGGCATTCGAAGCTCCAAAAGCAGAATGGGATGCGTCTCGGTAAGGAACAGTTGTCTCTTATCTTTTCAGATGCTCCTGAATACTGACCCTTGTTTCTCTTTGTAACTTTCTAGAGAACCACCGCCGCTGCATTCTAAGCCTGAGGGTATTAGTTTGGATCAAAAGACCTACACAATGTCGCAGGATACAAACCTCTTTCAACCCCCAACTTCATACCCCGATGCCCCCAAAAACATGTACTACAAGGTTCCCGAGAACAGACCAGAGCCTGAAAAGGCCACGAAGATATTCCCCTGGGAAACGCATGCACCACAACCAACCCGCGTCTTCGCCGAGGAGCAACCTACTCCTGCCTTACCACCCGACTACACCACCATTGTCCAGTCAGACGAGGTAGAAGAGCCTGTTCTCGAACCTCAAACACCTCCGACCCGGGCCCTGTTCGAACCGTCCGCAAAATCATGGGAAGACTACAGCCGCTCTAATGCCTGGGATGAAGATCCCGATATCCAGCGCTACATCGAAACTGTCCAACAAGCCCGTCGTGGCAAGACTCAAGTGGTATCCGGGGCAGCCCAGCCCAGCTCTAGTGCTAGCAACAGCACAAGCGGCAGCTACTTTTCCTCCACTACAACAGGCAGCTCAACAGAAACCCACCGGCCCAGCACCATTATAACGGACTTCCCCACGGAAATCGAGAGACCTGGTCTACCCGTCACCCCGGCCCCTATCCGGCGTGACGTGGGACTTAGTAGTGACGACGAGAATGATGCGTCCACGGTCACCGGGCTTCCGCCTGCCGAAGGTGTCCCGAGCCAGGCGGACTGGGTGGGTGTCACGACTGATGCGTTCTCTCATCTGCTTCAGGCTACGTACTTATTGTGGCGGTTTACAGAATCCCCCTAACCCAACTCGAAGAGCTCCGTCGTCTGCAGTCCGAGGTCTTAGATGATCCGGAGATCCTGTTTAAACGTCTTGCTGCTCTTGCGAAGAATGACTCTCCTCGTTAGTGGTGGTCTGCTCCCGCAGAAGTGTCGCGATAGCGTGGATTTCTTCCGTCTTTTCTTTCCTATGCTTGGCTTAGTTTTATTCCCTGTGGATTTGCCCCTCGTTTTCAAACCTTGGGACCCTGTATGCCGGGGATCTTGCAAGCTCGGATTGTCTTGTTTTCCAATTTTTATCAGCGTATATACGCAATATGTACATAGCATTGGCATATCATTGCAGAATCTAGGGTTATATACAGCGTGCCTATGCCCCTCTTTCTTTACTACGGAGTGACCCACCCAAAAGCGTCCGCTCTTGCTGATTTCAGCATTGACTCTGCGTATAACTGCATACTTACTTAGCTAGGTGTTCTCCATCCAGAACGCCCAGTCGCCTTCCACTACTACCTGGGCAGTAGGAGAGCCCGCGTATCATGGGGGCCCTATCCAATACTTTTCAGGGAGCTCATCATTTTCCATGCAACACTTTCACCTGCTTTCCCTAAAGCATCATTGCTTGCTTCCATTCCCGGTATGCCATCTTAGAGGCCTCACGGTCCCAGACCACGGGGAGTCCAGTCCGCCTCATTTCTTAGGATCCAAAAGAAAGAATCCACATGACGGTTATCGCGGAGCTGTGTTGATTTGATCAGCCGTGCCCATGAAGATTCCAATTATCATCGACCTGAATCTGTCTGTTGGCCCCCCAATGATGGTTCTCCGCATTGACTAATCAAGGTCTGCCAAGGATGCGTAGCCTCAGGGCTACAAAGGGCTAAAATAACCCTAGTACTCAATGAAGGACGTATCATCATCAGTTCTATCTTATAAAGAAGATTTATTAGCAAAATAAATCAACTCTCACTACCGTAGGACTTCTCCCCCCAGGTCTCCTCTTACTACAAGCGTTACTTACGACTGATATCCTAGTTCTGATACTACTAGGTTCCTGTACCATATAGAAGATATCGAAAAAGTAGATCGAGGCAAGACATATCCTGGCCCACTATCCTAGCTCCATTGCTAGAGAGACCTCGGGTAGAAAAGCTTCTTCCTTTTTTTTTTTTTTTCCTTTCTGACGTGAGTAAGCTTCAATTGTCATTCACGGCCCACACTTGTGTGAAATAATGATTATAAATGAGCTCACTCGGCCTGTCTTGCCGGGTTGATCCCGTCTTAACGTGCAACACACACCGGGGGTGGGACCACCGAGTCCCACAACAATGCACGACACTTGTGACCTGCCATATAGGGTAGATATGAACTTCTTAGTGATACAGAGCCCTTCGTGGACACAATTCCAGTCCATACATGACTGTCCTACATTCTCTCTTGTTGAGCAGTTTGGTCGGAGGACGAGCGGACCCCGGCTCATGAACGGACCGAATGCATTTCGGATTGTGGTTTCCGGGGGCTATGATTTCTATAGTGACCGGAAATCGAACCTCGCATGACTTTATCAAGCCTGGAATCGACTGGTATGAGCGATGCGGTGCTCCATGGCTTTGAAACAGAGGTAGCTCTTGGCCGGTGAGAAATATGGGGACCAAACCAGTACGGGTGGCAAACGCCCTCTTTTCTAGAAGGATAGAAGACCACGGGGAGGAGCGTTGGAAGTCCGGAGTGCCAGATGCATCGAGAACCCACCTGCCCCGCCCTTCTCATTCTTTCGCAGTCTTCCAGGCGCGAGACCACAGGGTCTCCGCTTCCGGATCTTGGCCGACTCAACCACGAGACAATTGAAAACCTCCAACAGAGTTTTCAAAGTCCAACCGCGCCCAATATGTGGTTACCCGAAAGGTACCGGGCAAAAAACTAGCATTGGTCGCCTGAAAAGCAATGCACATTTACCCCCGCCATCCTGAGTAATGGCGATCACTAACGCTAGTTATAGCCAGCAACTAAGATTATACGTAATAGCCTCCTATAAGCCTCGTTTTGGCGCCGAAGTCTATTAGTCAAGAATAGCAGATCCGGTTCTCTGATTGGCCTGCGGGGCGGCAGTCAGGCCAGGCCAAGAGGCTCTCAGCCAATCAGAGCGCCGATCTGATTCTTCAGCGGGCCTTCCATGAGTTTTCTAGTAGCATTCGCCTCCAACGGGACAAAACCGAGTATGTGGAGTTTTTGGGGTTGCCGAGAGCGCCGCGCGAATTTGGCCTTTTTTCTTATTAATGAAATACCACCTCCGGGGGGTTTTGGTCGCTACTTCCCCAGTTCTTCTCTTTTGTGATCTCGTGGGCAGTTTGCGAATCGAAAATACCCCGGATTCCACTATCATCCCAGAGATCCAGGACACCATGGAAGAGATCAGTCAACAATTGCCTGCATACGGGAATGAGCAGAAGCACGAGCCTTTCTATGATGAGGAGAACATTGTCAAGCAGGGTGAGGTTCATGATGCCTTCGGTAATGAGGAGTATGCGGAGATCAAGTACAAGACTCTCAAGTGGTGGTATGTCTGATTTCCGCGAATCAACCCAAGCCCAGCTGGTGCAAGTGACTGATTTTTCTTTGACAGGCAATGTGGTCTTCGTATGTCGTGCCCTGATCTTGACGTTCAATGAGTCATGAGCATTCGTCTAACAGCCGGAATATAGTCATGATTTGCGAGTCAGTGTCGCTGGGTGTGTTATCCCTGCCCTCTGCAGTCGCTACCTTGGGTCTGGTACCGTAAGTCTATCGTCTACTTCCAACTCGCGGCATGGGTTAATGGGGATGCTTTCTAGTGGGGTCATCCTCATCGTCGGGCTTGGCCTTCTGGCAACATACACTGGTTATAACATCGGCCTCATGCGTGAGCGCTATCCGCACATCCAGAACCTTGGTGACGCAGGAGAGATCTTGCTGGGCCCCTTCGGGCGCGAACTGTTCGGCATTGGTCAATTTCTCTTCTGCCTGTTCGTCATGGGCAGCCACATCCTCACTTTCCGAGTCATGATGAACACCATCACGAACCACGGCACCTGCTCGATCGTGTTCGCACTGGTCGGCATGCTTATCTCTCTCATCCTGTCTATCCCTCGAACTATGAAGGGCATGACTTGGATTTCGTTTGCCTCGTTCGTCAGCATTTTCTCCGCTGTCATGATCACCATGATTTCTGTCGGGGTCCAAGAGCACCCTGGCCGAACCATCCAAGCTACTGTCGACACAAACTTGTACACGGCCTTCCAGGCTGTCTCGAACATCGTGTTCGCATACTGTGCTCACGTTGCTTTCTTTGGTCTGATTGCCGAGATGGAGAGCCCCCCAGGATTTCAAGAAGTCGCTTTTCATGCTTCAGGGCTTCGAAATCTGCCTCTACTTGACTGCCTCCGTGGTGATCTATTACTATGTCGGTACAGACGTGAAGTCCCCGGCCCTAACTTCCGCTGGCCCACTGATGAAGAAGATCGCCTACGGAATCGCCATCCCTACCATCGTCGGTGCTGGGGTCGTGAACGGCCACATTGGGCTGAAGTACATCTACTTCCGTCTTTGCGCCAAGTCCGGCTTGATTCACCAACGCAGCTTCAAATCCATTGGCATCTGGGTTGGTCTTGGTGTGAGCTGCTGGGTTCTTGCGTGGATCATCGCCGAAGCTATCCCCGTTTTCAGCGATTTGAACAGTCTGATCAGTGCCCTCTTTGCTAGCTGGTTCAGCTATGGGCTGAGTGGTATCTACTGGCTTCACCTCAACAGGGCGAGTGGTTCGCTTCGCCGCGCAAGATCGCCTTGACCGTTCTGAATATCGTTGTTGCGCTTTTCGGACTGGCGCTTTGTGGGCTTGGTCTGTACGCCTCGGGTACTGCCATCCACGACGACACGAACAGCAGCAGCTTTACTTGCAAGAACACCGATACTTGAATAGGAGGTTGATTGCTACTTGTATATGACCTGTTGCATTTCCACGTGAGCATTTTTGTTTTGCATTGTTTGACAGCTCTATAGACTAGAGGCTACGTATATATATATTCACGGCAATAAAATGATATATTTTACTTATTACTTCGAAACGCTCCTCCCGCTCCTCCCGCACTTGAATCTGACCTGCTATTAACTAAATTCGCCTATTTATTCTTCTAGAATTTTTTTACAACCCCTGTATGATATTGCATATACTATTGACAGGCACAACTTATTGCATCATCCCAGGTGCCTGATCAGGCACTACACGCCGCTGCCAACTGGGCATGGATTCAATTATCGCCCCGCTTATTGAAACCCAGATCCGGAAGGAATGAAGTAGAAACGAAGTATTCCATACTGCATTAGTCGATACAGGTCCTGGGACAAGAGATTCTACTTCCAACCAACAAGTCAGCGATTGGTAACTGGGCCGGGCGGGGGTCTTTCCGACGAGTGGGAGATTTCCTAACACGCACTTAATTTAAACGCTACAGCGACAACGCATTCTGCTCAAATAAAGACTTTATTCCCCTGCACCTAATGAACCGTGCAGGAATTGTCTCACTTCCCCACCGGTGCCTCCATCATAAGTGTCGGACTGCGCAGAACATGCAAAGATGAAGACGGACAATTTAGCCGAAGAGGAGGCACCATGCAGTACTCTGAATATAGCCCTGATGACATCATCCAGTGCTGTAATGGCCGGGGCTCTGTCGTTTCTACTTTATTCTGTCTAGAAAAGACAAGCCCAGGACGAAACCTGATGTGGCAAATCTCCCATTGCGCCACTAGAATTTTTACCACGAGGTTTAGTTCCATCGTGTCTGAGGGAAACGAGATACTGGCAGTGGTTTTGTTGATTTAGGACTAGGTATATCTAAGCTCCCCAATTCCTACGGCTGCGAGTGCAATTACAAACATGAGAAGATGTTCAAATTGAGTATGAATCTGAACCAGGGATAGCGACGTGTAATCCGTGTGATCTGGTCATCTGAATTTTGGGTGTTTTGCAAGTTTCTCCATATTCCTGAATATCTCAGTTAATATTAGAGGCTCGGGATGCACTCACAATGCTAATCTGGAGGGTGTGCTGATTGGACCCCCTGTGTATATTTTCAAGTTCCAGGGCCACGTAGATATGGTTCAGATTTTACATACTCGTCAACTCTCCTCCCATGTAATTGCTTTCAAAATGAAAGAGAGGGATGGTAGGAGCCTCAATAGAGGAACCCGTTTCCTACTAACGGAATCTAGCTTTTTCTTCTGGCAATAGAAGTTACTCAGTGCGGAGTAAAAATTTGATCTGGAATGCTGGATTAGTGGAAGTGATCATAATTCATGGAGCTCCCCACTAAGGATGCTGATTACGCCAATAGAAAGTGCGCAAGGTCTCAAAGAAATGCTCTATAGTCATGCCCTGGGCAGGATCCCAATTAGGTGAAGGGTAACTGATACGCTGATAAACAGACCAAAACCTTACAGCCTCGGAGATCAGGCAGCATATGACATAATTTCCCACTTTCATTTATTTCGGCCTCAGGCCCACACCCCGCCCTAAAATTCAAAGATTGAGTCGCCGCAACTCTTTCCACTGCGAAACGCTCCGTGGACATAGCAAGAGGGATCTTGATTGCTTCAGGAATCCAGTGGCATCCCCCGGTCGATCTGTCTTCTTCTCCAACCTCTTCTCTCTGCGGCTTCTGTCATCTATAACCGCCAAAATGTCGACCACAATGGACAAGGTGCGCTAGTGTTTCGTCCAGAGAGTGACGGTGCCATGTTTCTAACGCCATGACGGATAGATCAAGGAGATCGAGGCAGAAATGGCTCGAACTCAGAAGAACAAGAACACCTCCTTCCATTTGGGTATGCCTCTCTCTAATGACGACATTTTCGATAACACGGACGGACGTTAAACAATCGGTTTAGGACAATTGAAGGCCAAGCTTGCTAAGCTGAAGCGAGAGCTTTTGACCCCATCGGGAGGTGGAGGCGGTGGAGGCGGTGGTAAGTGATGGTTCAAAGGTTTGAAGCATTATATATGCGCTAACTTGGCTGTAGTTGGTTTCGATGTTGCGCGCACTGGTGTTGCGAGTGTGTAAGTTCAGGGCTGAAAACCATGGAGCTCTGGGGACAATATTAACGATAGTCTAGGGGGCTTTATTGGGTTTCCCTCCGTCGGAAAGAGTACCTTGATGAGCAGGTTGACCGGACAGCACTCAGAAGGTTGGTGCAAATGATGCAAAACACTTCAACGATAGCTCTGACACATCTTCCAGCTGCCGCTTACGAGTTCACGACCCTCACGACGGTGCCTGGTCAAGTCATGTACAACGGTGCCAAAATTCAAATTCTCGATCTTCCTGGCATTATCCAGGGTGCGAAGGATGGCAAGGGTCGTGGTCGACAAGTCATTGCCGTGGCCAAGACTTGCCATCTGATTTTCATTGTCCTGGATGTGAACAAGCCCCTGGTCGACAAGCGGGTTATCGAGAACGAATTGGAGGGCTTCGGTATCCGGATCAACAAGGAGCCACCCAACATTGTCTATAAGAAGAAGGACAAGGGTGGTATTGCGATCACAAGCACCGTTCCTCTCACGAACATTTCACACGAAGTACGAATCAGAAGTGACATCCGCATGGAAGATGTACCTGGGAATCGACACTGACAATGGACCATAGGAAATCAAAGCGGTAATGAACGAGTACAAGATCAATTCGGCCGATATCGCCATCCGTTGCGACGCGACCATCGATGACCTGATTGACGTTCTGGAAGCCAAGAGCCGAAGCTACATCCCAGTTGTCTATGCCCTCAACAAGATCGATGCCATCTCCATCGAGGAGTTGGATCTTCTATACAGAATCCCCAACGCTTGCCCCATCAGTTCCGAGCACGGCTGGAACATTGACGAGCTCCTGGAGATGATGTGGGAAAAGCTCAATCTCCGAAGAATCTATACCAAGCCCAAGGGCCGCGCACCGGACTACTCCGCACCAGTTGTCCTGCGCAAGTCTGGATGCACCGTGGAAGACTTCGTATGGATACACCTGTCAATCAAACCCCCCTCTCGTGCCTCGAACTAATGATGTCTAGTGTAATGCTATCCACCGTAGTATCAAGGACCAATTTAAGCATGCCATTGTGTATGGCCGATCCGTGAAGCACCAACCGCAAAGGGTTGGTCTTGCGCATGAGTTGGCTGATGAGGACATCGGTACGTTTGCTTCACGAGCTATTTTGCTTACCCTGCCTCGATTATCTGATTTCTTGGATGAGTACTTTGGACGTTACACTGACGATCACAATAGTTTCCATTGTCAAGCGATAAAGGGCCCCCGCCAACCCTTGACCACCATAGCCCGCTGCTCGAATCGAATAGTCGGCCCCAATCGTGCTTAGAGGTGGCAAATGTGGCCTGGTCCAGACTACCCCTGTCTCTGGCCTGTCATGCTGACAGGCACCGCTCTTGGAACCCAGATTTCCTCGTAAAAACGCCACAGAAGCCCGGCGTGATTGGAGCGCGAAATTCGTTTCGCACGGACAACCACGTTCCATCGAATGAGGACCAAGGGTGCGTTTTCTTTTTTTTTCTTTTTCAACTTCTTTTCTAGGAAGCTATTGCGCGGGGAATGATTTCCAAGGCTGTGAGAGGACTCGTACATCATTTGCATGTTGGGAATGCTTGCTTATTACGATGCTCATCCCGCTCTCCCGGTATCTGCCCCGACCAATTTGTGACCTATGTAGACTATTGGGGCCCTTGTCGGGTTGGAGAGTCGGCTAAGAGGTCTCCAGATGCAGTACGAGGCGATTCATAGTCTTCCTTGTCAATGGTCATAGCGAACGCCATGTCTCTGATTCTTCGATCGTTCATTTTCCCCATTTGACCTTTGAAGCGAACTGTCCAAATATTGTTCACGTTATGATGATCCTACCACCCTTCCCTGAGGGAATCACTGATGTCTTCGCGAATACGAACCTAGTCAGAGATGTTCAAAAATCAAATTGAAAGAATAAGCCCCGAGGATTTCCAAGTCTACCGTTCAAATTCTAGATCGAGTCGCATCAGTAGCAAACGCGACTGATGCATCTTACCTAGCGTGGCGTTGCTTCCACGAGCGACCTGGACCCATTAGAAAACCGTGCGGAATAGTCGCGACATTGCTTTTATCGCCCAAACAAACACTTTTCTCAGCCTGAGGATCCAGTAGATGGGAGAGACCTATTGCAACTGCCGGCCAGATTGGACATTGCCACCCCTCCCCTCGCTGCCCCGGACACACGCCGCATGCCACTACCACAAAAGCGTGGAGGCCAAGAACGTATCATGCAACGTGGTTGCGTAGGCTGGCGCATGGCCCAATGATTACCCCGGTATATAGTTCTCAGGATAAAAGGCACGCTAGTCAAAAGTTGATATCCTTATCGGCAGGGCTTGGAAAGCCCCTGCACCATGCACCTATCCTGAAGCAGCACAGGCCGAAAATCCCAGCAGATCTGCCATCTCCAGTTCTGTCCCGTCCTGCACAACATCCTTGCAAAACATATGGTTCTGTTGGAAGCTCGAGGAGACCCCTGGGCCCATGATTGGAACTGCTCCACGCCAAGGCATGATAGACTTACCCCCCCCCAACCCCCCCTCAATTGGGCCCCTGCGCCTGGCTGCCACGGTCTAGCCAACACCCCGGTTTCTCTTTCCCCCCTCCTCTTGCCCCGTCTAATCATTTTGCCGATCTGCCGCGGGCCCAGCGCTGGCCAGCTTAGGTCAAAGCTCCGGGGAGACGATGGCTTCGACCCAGTTCTTCGAAGGCAATTATGGTGTGCATCCGTTGCAGAGAAGGGCCGCGACCTTGTGCACTGACCTATTGCCTAATGATAGGCCCGATGGGCTGCCTCGATTCGGAGGCATGCGTTACGGGAGGGCTAAAGCAGCCCAGAGGGAACAAGGTCCCCGCCTCATCAGCATAGAGTTCCGATAGGCTGTTTGGGAGGTGAAAAAAGGGGGGGGGCAGAGCCAGGAATTCGATAAGTCAATTGGATTTGAAAGCATGGGTCCGTGGCTAGGTTTTAGTTTTGGTGGTTTTGCTGCATTTCTTTTTCCACATTTTGCTTAGACTCCTCAGGCCTCGGACGCCTCCCCCTACTCGGTACCAAAATTTGGATCGTCCACTGTCAAAAGTACCGGCCGGGCTCGTTCGTCTGAAGGATCTGCAATGGCTCCCGCAGGATTACGGAACTGACGTGCCGCAGGGGAGGAGGGAAAATGGGAGGGGCACGAGGCGAGAGGGAGAAGTCCAAAGAGAAAAAAACGAAATGGCAACTAGCCGCGGCTCCAGCAATGATGACATTGCGATGACTCCTAACAAGCGGTGAAAATCCTGGGCTCGTTCACGATATTTATCTGATCGACTCCACTGGGGCGTACCCGTGACTCCTGGAGTACGAGAGTGCAGGTGGTACAGCAGGTAGATGGTCAGGTCTCTCTGAAGTACAGCCCAATCAAGGCAGACCCGACTCACGATTGGGCCTCGAGGTTGTTCCTTGCGGAGTCGTGCGGAGACCGGCGCAGTAGCACTCGGTGCAGCGAAAAAGAAAAGGATAGCCTTCTCCAAGGTGGAGCAAAAGCATCCGCAAATCGCCGATCTAGGACAGCCCAGACCATCCTGTTCACGATCTGGTCCGTCCGCAGATGCAAGATCGACATGAGGTAGAACTGCAAGCCAGGACCTCAACCACGGTTCATGGGAATCAAAATCCAGCGTCAGGTGACTGTACGAGCCTCGACGTGAAGGTCGACCTAGCAAACCCGGTTGCATTGCGTTGGGGATTGCAATCTTCCCCGGACAACCGTACTTTGGGCTCGGCATCATTACCTGGAATAAGTTAGTATGCCCACGGCAGCTTGCTAACACCGATTCAGACAGAAACTACCGGCCGCCAACCTCGTCATTGAGTTGAACGGCTGCTTAGCTTCACAGGGCTGGTTCGCACCGGGGGCTCCACTGATTCATTTTAGGAGTGAGGGGATCTATCTGGCTTCTATGCTCCCGTGTACGCAGTACGGAGGACTGATTCTTCACCTGGTTCTCTCACTTTTCGCTTCCGTTCCCCCCCCCCCTTAATTTCTATCGGATCGACAAGAGCTGACGTCCAAATGGCCAGTGCGGGTGGGCTGCCAGGCGAGATCGTAAGACCAGAACGTCCAAGTTTACTAAAAAGAGATATTAAGGGGGGGTTGGTCGGTACCTGACTCAAACCCAACCTCCAATAACCCTGCTTGTCCACCCTCCCTAGCACATACACCTTGTGTTCCCCAAAGCAAGCGCGTTCCTGAGTCGCAACGGGGCTGTACTCCCCCCGGATCACTGTTATCATACGAGTTGCAGGAAATCTTCTCCAAAAGAGGGTCAGAACCCCAAAGGGGATTAGCTCAAACAAGCAATGAAAAAGAGGGCAGGGCGGCCATAGGGCAGCGACGATTGCGATCTTGACCAGTCTAGACTGCTTTCTTCTACTGCTCCGAAATGCCCATCTGAAGCCCGGTCGCAATGGAGACGAAGTGGCGGAGCGTAGAAATCATCCGATGGCGAAAAAAGATCGGCCCACTCCCGATCTGATGAGACGGTGTAGTTCTAAGAGAGACGGGATGAGTCTCATTGCGCTAATGGAGAGAAAGACGAAATAATCATCAAATCAAACTTGGAACATCCAGGCTAAAAAGATCACCGAAAGTCTTAGGGCCCATCGGCAGGGACCGGAAAAAGAAATTGCTCACTTCCATTTTCCAGTCAGGAACGATATGACTGGTTCAGACTCAGAAAAAAAAAGACATTTAAAAAAAAAAAACCGACGGCTGCAGCCAGGATTGTTGGGGGCGTTCGAATCAGAGAATCCACGCTTAATTTCAAGCCCTGGGCTGATTTTGTCTAACATGCGCCGTGGAGGACTCAGGACCGGGAGATTCGTCAGATTGGCGGAGTAACTACCCGGTGCTAGTACGGTTGCTCCCACTACTCCGTCTTCTGAGTTTCATTGTCGACTAGACATTCAAGCACGAGGGGGAAAAACTAAAAGAAACCATAAGGATCGCAGGATTGCGAAGGAGGACCCAAGAGTGCATCAGACCAGTTCGACATGTCCCTCGTGGTTTGGGTTGAACGAGCGGGGGTGGATTGAGATTGGGCAGGGAGAAAATTTTACCTGGATGGGATCAATATATCAATCTCTCGACCCTTTGGTATTCTGTCGGTACTATTCCGTACCCCCGACCGCATCTCAAAAGCGTCCTATGAGAGACCCCGGTCTATAGGAGAAAAGGTCGGTATAGCCAAAAAGCCGCGGGTTGCATTAGGGATTGGCCAAGGCGTTCCTCTGCTGGCCCGCCTCGTACATATTAGCCGTGATATCATACTGCATCCTCCCGACATCCTGTGCTCCTGGGCTACTGATGAGTGGATATCCTGCACAGTCTCTCGAGATTGATCCTCGACCTGGAGCACGAGTCAGCTTCCCGCTCCCGAACTGTTGACAGTCTTGTTTACTGAAGGTTTCCGGGCCGGCGAGGACCGCTGTGGGTCGCCCAGGTGGAGCAGACAAGGTTGAAGGTTTAGCGCTGGTACTCCGTACTCCGTCCACGATCGCATCATTGGAGAGTTTCCCCTCTTCGCTGACAAGCCGCTTCTGCCTTCTGATAGGCCCAGCTGCGGCCACCTTGTTCGGCCCTTGTATCGTATTGCCCCTTCCCCCCCCAATCGGTACCGGGCATTCATCCAGATGGAGAGCACCAGTGCTGGTCGTCATTTATGAGCGTTCAAATGCCCATGCGACGAATTGAGGGAGATCGGCGCAGCCTCGGAGATCCATCCTCTGGATCCGGCTGCTACGCACTGCCTTCCCGGCCAATCTAGGGCTCGCGCAGCCTTCTTCTACACGAGCCTACAGCCCCCCTCTCCCCGATTTCGCCCTCATTTGCGCCGGGGGTCCAGTCATGAGAGAGATCGCAGCTCCCGCCTTCTTATTCGCAACTCTCTTCTTCCCTCGATGCTCCGTGCCACCGCTAACATCACATGCCCGGGCTCCAGCCTTAGATGCCACGTTCTCTTTGGTTCGTTTGGTAAACAGACCGTTGAAGTTTGTATCCCAAAATGGACGAAATGAAACGATAGTCGGCACTGCCTCCAAGACCTCTTAGGGCCTCCAGGGCCGGGCCAGTCGCCCTTACTAGGAGGAGGGAGGGTTTTTCTTTTTTCTTTTTTCTTTTTTCTTTTCTTTTCTTTTTTTTACTTCTCTTGCTTTTCCCGTACTCGTAGACCTATTCTCGATCCACTTGATCGTCCGGATACCTCCAACGGATGTCATGCGGTCTTTAGGTTCAGCGGTTTATCGATCCGCTTTGCGGCCCCCAGCAAATCATCATGAGAGTCGTGGAGAGAGCATCCTTGGTAGCGAGCCGCGCCTTGCTCCCCGCGGATGATCTGCTCTGATGGCCCCCGATAGTGTGCATCGCGGGCAATTTCTGCGACCCGGCCTTGTGAAGAGGACAAATCATGATCTAGAATCCCTATGGTCAGAATCAAAGGGAGCCATCACTCCTAGTTGCGAGGCAGAATGACCGAAGTAATAATTTCCCAATCCGTTTGGAATCATGGATACATCAACTACAGTGTCAGCATAATCTAAGTTGTGCGCCCAAATTTTGGGATGCCTTGTGGCATGGAGCGCAGATCTGAATGACAAATTTAGCATTGGAGCCCTCCTTTTTTTTTCCCATATGTTTGCAGGTTGATTCGAAAGAGAACGTCGAGGAGGAAAAAAAAGGTCGCAAGAAATCCCGCGCCAGATGTGCTTTCCGTACGGTACGGCGTTCGAGAAATACGGGCCTGGAAGCAAAAATACCACACCAGATGGGAAATTTGGACTCCTGGTCACTCCTGGTCGTACTGGGCCTGACGAGATGCAACCCCTGCAATATAACAGTATCGCATCTTGGACCAACCACACGCCGTTTCCCCTTCCAATCACAGGAGTAATTTTGAAATTATTCGTCTTTTTGCTTTTTGCTTTTTCTTTTTTCTTTTCTTTTTTTTCTTAGGGGGGTTTCCCTTACACGGAATTTCTAATCTTTTCGCTTTTTCCTATTAGGAATTAATTTGATTTTCCCACATTTTCTTTTCGGGATTTGTTTTATTTCTACTCCGTAGTAGATGGCCTTTTTTGGGCCCTGGGCCAATCAGACCGTCCATCAGAGGCTGGTCGAGGGCAGAAGGTTATCATGGATTTCTCCGGGACGGTGCCCTTGTGCCAGTTGCAATCGAGATTTCAAGTTGTAGGTCTGTCCACGAGGTTTTGATCGACCTCCCCTTCCTTTTTAAGTCCACCCATTGCCTTATCCGCATGCACCTCTTTTTTTCTACTTGAATTGTATACATACGACCTGCCCGCCCACCTTAGTAGCTCAAGCTCTTCTCCCTACTTTCCCTGCCCCCACCTCCTCGAGGAGCTTTAGAACATGCATAACAGCCCATTGTCTCACTAAGAGCTGTCGCATTGTTTCCAACCCCGGGAGTCTTACTTCTATACCCCTTTGTTAGCTGATCTGTGGGTGAACATCCCCGGCCCATGGAGGACGCCATGGAAACCGAATCCCACCCGGCGCCGGAGAGCGAGTTCTCGCATTCGCCGTGGTTAGAAATGGGCCACTTCACGTCGCCGCAGCATTCGCCTCCAGTACCGGAGTATAATGGGTTCGAATTTGGCCATCCGCCAATAATGACCGTGGATGCATCCTACGGCATGTCCCTGCCGCCACCCTACGCCTCCATGCCCCTACCCATGCCGACGCACTCGTGGCCCAGTTTGCTGACGCAACAATCGCCCTTCCACGAAAATGGGATTCCACCTACTCCTCCGCTTCCGCAATCCGTCTCGCCTTCGGCGCCTGTGCCACCAGTGCGCAAGACCTCGACCGGCGGATCGACCCCGCGCAGGACCCTAACCGACGAGGATCGTCGGCAGATGTGTCTGTACCACCAAGAACACCAGACCGCAAAGCAGACAGATATTGGCGGTAAGACAGGAAATATTAGAAGGCTTGCGGAGAAATGAACTCGCGCTGACATCTCAAATCTTATATTAGCCCTATTCGGTGTCGAAAGAAGGTATATACTACAGATTCTATTATACATATATATATATATATGCAAGACCCTATACTAATGACATGCGTTCTAGTACCGTCTCTAAAGTTTTGCGTCAGAAGGATAAATACCTGAACCCAGAGGACGGCAGCCGATCACCAATTAAGCGGGCTAAAGGCAAAGTCCCAGATATTGAAAAGGCCCTCTCCAACTGGCTCCGCAACTATCAGGGGAAAGGCCTTCCTATCAACGATGAGATGATTCGTGAGAAAGCTCTCTTCTTCGCAAGCAACTGCGGCTGTCCCGACGGCAAGCAGAAGGTGTTGACCGCAGCGTGGCTGGAGAAGTTTAAGCAAAGAAATGGGCTCCTTGGAGCCAAAGCACGCAAGGGCTCTCTCGATGCCCGACGGGGCAGTGGATCTATCAGCCCAACGCATATTATTACAGACCATGCGAACGGTGCTCGCCAAAGCCCCAGCCGACGCTCTTCGGTCTCCCCACAAAATGGGATTGGTTCGCCTATCTCACCAACCCACAGCGACGGTGGTGGCAAGAGGGACCTCCCGGAGCTAGCGGGTGGCTACCAACAGATCCACACCAAAAGTACGACTCCCCTTGACACTGGATCTACTGGCATGGTTAGCCCTACGTCTACCCTGGTCTCTGAAAGCCCTTTCACCCCGACCAGCCAAACTCGGGCCCTGTCAGGAAGCAACTTGAGCCGGCCGCGCAGTCAGACCTTTCCTCTGGTCCCGATCGATCCTACCCTGGTGACCGCAGATGATTCGATGGACCATCAATCGGACAACCACAACGTGGCGATCTTGGAATCACCTCTCGAATTCGGCGACGAAGACTCGCATGTCGCCAAGGACAACGATCCGAGAAAGTTCATCAAGCGCAACCGAAGCAACCCAGAGATCAAGTCCAAATCGATGCAACCGCCCGCATCAGTCACAAAATCCAGCGTTTCCTCTCCTGTGCTCGGTCCTGGGTCTCCCACCCAAGACGAAGCACGTCATGCGTTTGAAACCGTGATTAAGTACTTCGAACGACAGCCAACCAGCCTGACAGCACAGGAGTACATGACAATGGGCAAGCTCATGGAGCGCCTAGAGTTGGCCAAGAACCAACAAAATGCCGTAGGCGCCGGGCTGCCTCGCATCGACGAGCACGACGACGTGCCTCGAGTCAACAAGAAACGGAGCATCCACAGCCTAGGATGAAATTTTCCCTGACAGTGTTTTTTCTGTTGCTTTTCATTTTATCGCATTTGAATCTTAGATGCATTGCCCTCGACTCTCACTACTTTCCCCCCCCCATCCTTTTGCTTTTGCTCTGCTCTATACCTCGTGATTCCCCCTCCCCTCCCCGCACTCCTGTTGAATGTTTACGTTACTGATCTACGAGTTTGGGTGGTTTACGGTTTGCTTTTACGTCGTTCTTATTTTTTTTTTATTTTTTTTTATTTTCATTGCATCGTATGTACACCTTGACCCCTTCCCAAGTTTTCTCGCCGACTCCTGGAAACCGGCGAATACTTGGATACCCCTGAAAAACTCCAGAAATTACACCAATATGAGGGCGACCTCGACTTGCTTTTGAACAGGATTTGGAATTTGGCGCTGATCCGCATACGCATATAACGCGCTACAGAGCTCCCCTGCAAGGCTCTCTGCGGCGATTCATGGTATATGGGATTTATGTATGGCACATGGTATTTGGGCCATGGAAACGTCGGCCTTGGGTGAGGCTTTGCCTCGGAGTTGGGGGCTTTGAATTTCTTCTTTTTTCCCTGGCTTCTCTGTGTTTCTTTCCTGGTTTATCTTTCTCTCGCATTCTTTCCAAGCATTGGACTTTTCCATTCTGTTCGGTTTCCCTCCATACCCCCCGTCAGATTTTGTTTTGATTATCACGTCTCGTTCATACTTCATCCTCTTTCTCTTCCCCCCTTATACGGGTTGAATTCGTGTGCTTCCCTTCTTCTATTTTTGAATGTCCTCCTCACTCTTTAATTTGGACTCGTGGTTTCGTTTTACATTCCCCTTCTCTGCTTTAAACTGGGCCGCTCGCGCGGAAACAATACCCTGGGGTCTCTTTCAATACATACGAACCCAGAAGGTCGTCATTGTCAAATTACGTTATTTTTTCTCCTACCTTACTCGTCTTCAGATGGATTCTCGTAGACCATTAGTAATTATCATGTCCCCTGCCCAGGGGATCCGAGATCATGGTATATCATATGCGCCGGTCCCCCTAATGCGTCTATTGCATTTCCAACTACAATGAAATTGCATGTGCAACCCCCGGAAACCACTTTACCCATAGACTTCTCTGTGCAATCTAGGCTCGTGACGATCCTTAATATGTCTCATTACAAATACTCCGTCTTGTACAGGAACCGCAATTAAAGGGAAAGAAGGTTATTGGCAATGCATGAACCATCCTCCGTACCTGTATCACTTTAATAGCCCGGCACGGGAGGAACCCCGCGATCATCCATTAGATCCGCAACACTACGCTCTGCGAGTTCGGGCAAGACTTTCATCAATACCGTCTCCAGCACCGCGTATACAAGGTGCTTGTTGCAGTACTCGTCTGCTAGCAGATCGAGCAGGTCCGTCTCGATAGCGCGCAGGAGGAGTTCTTCCTCCGGGTCGACCTCGGGACTCGCAATTCTGTCTGTGCGTTGGTCCCCGAGCGGGCTCTCACGGAGTGACATGCCGATGCTTTGCTGAGACGACGATCGGGGCAAGAGAGTGTCTCCACTGCGCTCTTTCTGACGCGATGGGGGTGGGGAAGGGGGGGTTGGTGAGGGAGGAGGAAGAACACCCGGTGCTGCAGGTACGATCACTACTGGAGGGAGCCGGGAGTCCGAGCAAAGTTCGTGCTACACTGCGCGGAATCACGGCCAGGAGGCTAGCTGCACATTGCCGCTGAATAGCGGCGATCGCCCCCGTGGAAGAAGGGGCTTGTTGGTTAGTCGCGGGTGCCGTTGGGAGGGTGGGTGATGGGTTAACCGGATCTGCCGTCCCTGGACGGGATGCACGCCCCGGCGAAATGACGGGCTGATCGCGGCCGCTGGTGTTGGACATGTCGCCATTCCTAAGATTAGGCCTCCCTGTCGTGTCGCCACGGTCGCCGGCGGGAGACGCACTGATTACTACTTGGGGAGCGGGTGCTGGGGATGTAGCCACAACGGGACTAGTTGCAGTGAGACTTTTTCCGTCGGTATTCGGAAGCTGCACGGACGGCTGCGGAGCGAAAGCCGGGGTTGCTGGACTCGCTGCTAGGGCTGCTGGGCGGGCATTGGCCGGGAAAAGAGCCAACCTCGTCGCGAGAAGTATGTTGGGCAACAAAGTGGGGGGCAGGACATACTCCTCTATGGTTTCCCGGAGAAATCTGAGTGGGGTGGTCAGTTCAAAGATCTCAAATCATGAAAGCGAATCAGAGTGCAGGAAAGAGTGAAAGGAAATCGAAAAAGAAAAGTGAAGCGACAATCGGTCTTGGCTGTGTGGAGCTGCCGGGACGTTATGCATCTCTCTTGCTGAGACGAGGTCCACCGCCAGAAAAGCCAAAGCGAGCCAACCGTTCAACCCAATTAAGAGCGACGGATCAAGTGGGGAGGGGCGGAGTCACGATCGACCTTGGGGCGTGCGAAAGAGGAGCTTGGGCCATTGGAGGTCTCGATGAGGGTTGTAACAGGGATACGATTCCTCCTCATGACGGGGAGAAACCGTGGAAAGTGAGGCGGGGCCGCTCATGAAGGCGTCCCTGACACTTCCTTCCCTGGTCGGTGTATTACTTTTTCTTCCAATTTTTTTTTTTCCTCTTTTTTTCCTTTTTTCGGCCCTGGGTTTGCCATCCCTGACATGATGGGGTACCGTTCCTGGCGCGCAACGCGGGCTTGATGCGCCAGCCTCGGCCAAGTCGCAAATTCGACTCGTTCCCAGGAATTTCGCTGATTGGACCTCAGCAAGAAAATCGCTAGCCTCGGTGATGGAGTCGTCTTCCTGCAAGTTCCCAAAGTGGCATGGTCATCCAGAGCACCGATGAAAGGATCGGCGGACGATTTCTGCTTGTGCACGTGCGATGTGTCCGGTAAACTTTGAACGTGGTTCGGTTAGAAAGTCGCTCTTTTCCCTTGGTCTCATCGGGGCACTCTGCGGCATTCCCCATTGGCGGATTCTGGCAAAAAGCTGAATCATCAAGAGATTTGATCGGCAAAGAGCAAGGATTGTGACAGTCGCTTGAGGCTTGGGATCCTCGATGTGTAACAAAGAAAGCGGCACGGAAAGGGCCGGCCCCCCGACCACTACTCCCTCGAGGCCGGGAAATTGGGTAAACCAGGGTAAATCAGGGTAAACCGGGCATCCAGAATCGACGGAGGGAAAAATAGGCCCAGTAAGACCCAGTAAGACCCAGGATGACGGGAAGCAACCCCCCCTGCACGCCAATAACGCTCAGACCAGCTGCCTGCAGCCAATGCGCAGGGCGAATCGCTCTGTCGTCCAAACGGTAATCGTATGTATCGCTAGTAAGCCCCACCGTATCGTGACAATACGCCATAGATATGAGATATGATATCGAATGCTATACTCCCGTGATCAAGTGATCGCAGACGCATGCGAGAAGCCCCTTCTCATCCCACCATGACCCGCGCCAAATGACACTCGTCTTCGTAGATTGTAGTTTTGGCTGATCGTACCATTGCTTCAAGGTCAAAGGGTTCATGCGGTTTCGGGACGCCCGACCCCGCCGTAGCGTCCCACGCACCATGAGACAAAGAGATAAATCACCAAACTGGAAAAAGAAGAACCGCATAACAGGGAACATGAAGCAAAACTTGGGGAAGCGGGGGGGGGGGGGAGTAAGAATGACAAGACAAAATACTCCGACAAAATAGACTCACCTGTCAAGGATCCCGTCTGTGTTACCAAGCCTACCCGGCCCTGTCAGGATCAGATGTTGGCCTAGGGCAAGAAGGCCAGAGGTCCACGGCATTCGCTTGGGTATTTCAAACACTGTCGAGGCCATCGATATCGCCCCGTAATCCAGGACGGGGCGTCTACCGGCGACATTTTCTGATGATCCAGGGTCGCTCTTCGGCAGGCCTGATGTTGCAGTAGGAGATGGAACCGCAGCACCGTGCGAGGACCCTAGTCCTGGATTCGATGCGACTCGAGAAAGTCCAGTGACGATGAAACGCAGGGAAACGTAAAAAAGATAGAGTGCATGGAGGATAAGCCAGATCCAAGCCATGAATTGCGATTCGCCCGTTGGTACCTGTGCTCTGGAAGGTTCTTCTGATGATAGAAGCCCAAACTTTTCTAGGCGGTTGGGTGTCGCGTCCTCCGCAGCGCCAGAGTCCTTGGGGTCTTTACGATTTCTCACGATCATGGTGAATTTGATGATCAACTCATAGAAGAACACGCCTTTGCAGATCCTATCACCCACTTCTTTGCCAAGTATCAGGTCCGCTATGATATCGCCGACCAATGTTCTCAAACTGCTGTTCTCCAGGTCTTCTGTAGGCAAAAGTATAGCAAGCATTCCGTTCGCCAGCAGGCGTCGATATACGGCTTCATTTTCATCCTGCCTGGTTATCGTATCAGGATCATCGTCGTCCGGGACCGGGACAGCCCCCGGATGAGGGTTCAGTTCATGATAGAGGGCCCGATGTGATGTTGGCAGACCCGAAAGATGCGACTGTTGCTTCGCCAATCTGTAAGCTATTGAGATACCACAATTTGGGTCAGCTTATGCATTCTTCATGATCGCTCTTCAGCTCTTCTGGGCCGGAAATGAACGGAGGTTCAGGACAGTCGGATCTTACAGGTGACATGTGCTTCCACGAGCGCTGGGATCTCATCCAACACAAGCTGTGCGACATTGACTTGTCGGATCCTCTGTTCGAGAGCGCGGGTACAATGTGCAATAACTTGCAGGACTTCGTTGACCAAAGCCTGATCCGGAGTAATCTTGGCGTACCAGGAAATCAGAAATTCTTTGACTATGATGGCAATCAGCGCGTACAGCTGACGGTCAACGTCATTAGAGCTTGTGAGAGGCGGCAGAAGCTCTTCCGGAGGCTGTGGCGTAGAGATGCCGTAACTGCTTGCTTGGGGACATAAGACCCGTCTAATTAAGGCCGACGTAGCTTTTTCACTGGCGTAATCAGTCGGATCTTCTCGAGAAGATGTCTTATGCACTCTAAGTCGTGAGGAGGGTCTAGGAAAAGGTGGTTGAGCTGCAGACGGAAGGGCATTTGGCTGGGAGCCAGACGTGGTCGGGCCAGCCTTCATTAGAGACACAGGCTGCAGACCTGGGCGGGGAGGGTTGGTCATGGCATCGCAAATACCCGAGTCCTCGAGTGACCTAAGAAGACGACAAAGGGCAGCGGCAGCAGGCACACGCCTCGATAATCAGTCGAGTACAAATCGCGAGTTTGTGCTCGTCACCGCCGAGGTCCCAGCTTCCGAAAGGGAAAAGCGCGGCTTCCTCAGGCATTGATAAGGCGCTTATCGGGATGCGGGGAGCAGATGCGATGTTGGTGCCTTCCGACACAACAATCCGATATCTTTCGCGACCTCAAGGATGTCACATGTGGAGAGTGTGAGCCCAATCCCACTGTGGCTGGATTGCGATCCTGGTAAGTTTTGCTGCAGTGTCTAGACGGGCAAGGAGCTAACAAACTGCAGGCCATGATGTAAGTTATAGACAAAGTCGTTGGTGTTAAGTTGCGCTTATTGATGGCCCTCCTTAGGATGCATTCGCCATGTTGTTGGCTGCTCACCACCCCTCACTCAAACTACTTGGAATCACCACGATCCACGGCAATGCTTCATTAGAGAACACAACTATTAATGCGGTGAGCCTCCTGGAGGCCATGGGTAAACCAGATATTCCTGTCTACCCGGGCACCCGGAAGCCATTTTCTCGGCCTGCACTCCACGCCCCAAATATCCACGGTAAGAAATGAGTTTCACCCCTGCCGAAACTGTGTCTAACCCAATGGCATTGATCGCAGGCGAATCGGGCATTGAGGGAACCCACCTTCTTCCCAAACCATCTCGAGCACCGGTTTTGGACAAAAACCCAATCCTTGCAATGCGAGATGCTCTTTTGGCCCAGCCTAAAGGCACACCATGGGTAGTAGCTACAGGAACACTTACCAACGTTGCGCTGCTGTTTGCGACATTCCCAGAGGTAGTTGACCATATTCAAGGACTTAGCATAATGGGAGGTGCCATTGGCGAAGGTTTCACCGACGCTCCCATGAGTAAAATTCCAGGAGAAACAGCTCGCATTGGCAATGTGACCCCCTGGGCAGAGTTCAACATCTATGTATGTCTTGCGATATCCTTGGGTATGGCCCGACTAACTCCAAGCAGTGCGATCCTGAGTCGTCCGAGTCGATCTTCAGCAACCCCGTGCTTGCTGCAAAGACCACAATAGCTAGTTTAGACTTGACTCATCAAGTCCTTGCCTCCAAGCAAGTCCAGAGCCGAATCTTGCATGGGTCTGATTTGTCCAAGCCCCCCACGGTCATCAGACAGATTCTGCATGACTTGCTGCTTTTTTTCGCGAGTACTTATGAAAAGGTGTTTGGGCTGGATGCTGGCCCACCTCTGCACGATCCTCTTGCAGTGGCTGTGATACTCTCCAACTTGAATCCTACATTTGCCCAGCGAAACGCGGGCCAGGTGCTTCAGTTCGATGACAGAGGAGGCGAGCGGTTCGGCCTGAAAATTGTCACTGATGGCGAACATGGCCCTGATGTTTCGGTCACCGGTCAATTGGGACGGTCGATTGCCACTCCATCTGGTCAAACCGGGGTTGCTATCCCCCGAGGAGTCGATCTGGATGCGTTTTGGGATTTGATCATCTATTCTATTCAATTGGCTGACGATTGCAACGCTGCCCGAACTCTATGATTACTGGGCATCTGCAAAATGCGGCTAGAGGAGAGGGCATATGACATCGATCTTCGAAAGAGATGGACATATAGATATTCAGGACTTAGATTAAATAGATGGCATGTCGGTCATGTATTATCGCTCTGCTTCCCGACTTGGTACCTGTCTAACCAGCCATAAGGCCGTAGAAAAGACACCATTTTTGAATCCAACCTGTTGAACTACTTGCCAGATGGGGTGACCTACCGTCAAGAGTCACTGAGCCCAAACTTCCTGCCGCCCACGAGAGCATCATAATTTCCACGTCCGCTAGGCATTGATTGTCAATCATAATGATGGTACCATACGCAGATTGAAGATCGGAGATTCCCCGCAACTGGGGTAAGGGGACCGATCTGCCAAACATAAGCAGCGACTCCGCAGACTGGGTCTCGACTCTCGGGATCTCCCGATGTTGAGCTGCCCTCTGCATTTCATATGATTTGCCCGGGAAAACCGACAGGCATTGGATGCAGAAGAACAGAGTCACTAGGGCTGCCATTTTAACGACCACGGATAGGATTCCGGGGACTGCATTGGCTCATATTGGGTATAAATTTCCCCCTCACGCAATCTGCCCTTGAGATTGCACAATTCTTAGATTTTCGCCAGTGCGTTGAGACAAGGGACCCATGGAACAAGTAGAATGAGAGAGACGGTATTATGTGGAGGGACCAAATGAAGAGAAAGCCGTAGGCGTAGAAACTGGGACTAATCAGACCACCCAAGGCTATTGGTGGGTTCTGAAGGTTTTAAAGTCGTAGGCTCCAGCAGCCAAACGGTCGTCATCGTTGTGCGCCCGGCTACTCCACAAAATTTCTCTTTGCGCATATCTCTAACTCCACCTGTCGCATGGTATCTCTTTTGCTTTGCTTCCAAGCCCGCCCCGACCCCTGTGCGCTATCTCCGACGGCTCGTCCTGCCCAACTCCCTTAATAACCGCAGATTCCGGCCCAGCGAGGAGATGCCGCCTCCCAACTCGGCATCAGTATGTTTCTCTTCCCCCTTCCCTTGGTCCGGTCTCGCGTGAACTGGGCTCAACTGAATGTCTCCCAAAGAACAGCACTCCTCTACGCTCATCCACCGAACCGCTTGAACCGCGCCACTCGTCCAATCCCGACTCCCCCGTCCCTGCGGAGAACGAGGCCCATGACGAGAATGTCAACTTCCTCCGCGCCGGAATCCTTCCTTACGCCTCGTTGATACCCGCCCTGAGTCGCCATCGCCGTCGCCGCGTTACATCCCATCCGGAGCTCATGGAGGGCGAGGACCGCATGGAGGTCGATGACCCGAGCCACCTGCGCTTATCCGTGGAGATCAACCGTCGTACGCCGGCCGTCCATCGCCAACGAGAAGACTCCGCCAACATGCCCAACTACGAAGGCCTCCGCTCAAATCCTCGGTTGTTGTATGGATGGGCCCCCGGTGCAGAAACCGAAGATGATGATCTCCGCCACCACGACGAATCCGAAGACGACCAAATCCAGCCCTTCCTCGCCACCGTCCGAGATCGCTCCGGATTATCAAGCCAACCCCAGCGCCACGAATCAACAGCCCGAGCACAGCCATCCAGAGGCACGGAGGATGCGTCAGAGGCCAGTCGAACCGGGCGAGAGCGAACGTCCTGGGATCCCTCGATCTCAACGATGGAAGCCCTTTTGCAGTCTGCTAGGCGACAGCCACGTTTACCGCGCACTCGTACACTGGAAAGCTACCTCTTGGATAGATACACGCCGCGAGAAACCCAAACCACGGTCCATGACTCCGATGAGACGGAACGCCCAGCGGGGTCATCATCGCGGGCTTATCGCTACAGGCCCTCCCGATGGGGCGACGCACGGGGAGGCTTGACTCATGGCGATTTGCGATCTCGCGCTTCTGCTCATCGCCAGGGAAATTCGGCCGCGTCTGGAGACTCGATTCTGAAGGACATCATCAACTACCTCGGCAGTTTGCGGGACTCGAATTCGCTGGAGGAGAGCATCAACTCGGCCGCTACCACCGGCATTGGCCCCGCAACCTTCTCCAACGACTTTATCCTTGATACCAACACTATTCCTCCCCCGCCCTCTTGTTCATTCCTTCGCCCCGGAGCAATGTTTGGCGGCTGCCAAAAAGCTGCACATCTAGGATGCTCGATAGTGAGCCAGCGTGTACCCAGTCCTCACACCCCCGCCTCGACCTCTACCCGGGCGAACCGGTAATTGTCAACGGGAGTGACAGCGCGCGTATCAGTGTTCAAACAAGCAGCGGGCGCCGATACCTAGCCAACCCCCGCGACGAACGATGGCCCGTGGTGGTGACCATTCACAGTATCGACTATTCTGAGATGACTCTCTCCGGCACGATGGAAGCCTACAACATCCCCGATAAGAGTGTGGCCAGGTATGACGCCCACATTGTCACCTTCCTTGAAGGCGAGATCATCGACTTCAACAAACACACCCTCGAGACCAAAAACTTCAAGGCGGACGCGGATATCGATAGCACTTACTGGAGAGAGCTGCAGCCATTCAAAGACCTCTCAGATGCCGAGGTTGCGAAGAATTTGGTCAGTCGGAAATGGGTCACGGAAGAATTGGCCAAGGGGGATCTTGATGCGGTGGAAGGGTAAGTTCGAACCTAGTCCTCGTTTTGGCCGTTTGTTCGAAAGTTAGCTTCGAGCTAACTTTTTCCTTTTTTTTTTTTTTTTCTCCAGAGCGATGCTTTATCACCCCTACCGATGCCCGCCAAGGTCTGACCATCTCCGGTTTCTATTACATATCTCTTTCCCGGGAGACCGGCGAGATCGAAGGCCTCTATTATGACCCTGGCAGTTCTCCTTATCAGCAATTATCTCTGAAGCCCCGATCGATGAGGATGCAAGGTCCCGCCTATTCTTTCCGGTAAAGAGAGCCAAATCTAGCATCGTCGTGAAACTTGATCGGTTCTCTTTTTTCTCACCTTCCGCGTTTTTTTCTCTTTCTTCTTTTTTTAATCTTTTTGTTCGAAGGGGTTATCATTTGCGTGCCATGTCATTTTTACAATTTAGGTGGTTTGCATCGCCCCGAAGTATTCACGAACGACCGCTCCTTTGACGTTTCGCACACTCCAAGGGGGAAAGGGTTTATCATATCTGACAGGCCGAACTTTTTGCATAGCTGGATGGCGTTCTGCTCTATTTTTTTTTCTTATCTGGTATCTTATCTTCTTTGCGTTCATGTATATTGACGAAGATCTATCCCATTAGTTTGCCCATGTCTTAGCGTGACAAGGGCCTGACAACGCGCTTTTCTTGCCAATAAGAGTGCCGAGCTTTACCCAAAAGGACACCAAAATACTACTGTTACACGCAGACTTGAATAATTGGCACTACTTTATTATAGTTGACTTGGCGCCCCTTCACCTCGCTTGCAGTTACCTGCTTTCCGGGTCTGAGCCTCGCGACAGCATTCAATGGAACGCGGGGTGAGACCCTCTTTGATAATTTGGAGGATCCACTTGAAGACATCGTCATTGTGATTGTGGATGTTGGAAAAAGCAACCGATAAGCCTTGATCCGCGTGTACCTGCCCGATCTTGCGGCGCGAGATACTTCGATACTCTATGAGGTCAAGGGCCTGTCGATCGCCATCAGCCTTCGGCCTCGGCGGTGCATCACTCAATGCCTGGCATGAATTCTCGGCTGTAATATGGATATTCGAGAAGGCTATTTATGATGCCTGCGGACCCCCTTTTATTTCGGTTCATCTGCATCCTTCAGATGTACCTTGCCATCATGCAAATATACTACTTCGCTGTCTTGGCAGGCTTGGCCGACTGGGCGACTGCTCATATTCCTCATTACCCCAGAGCACAGGAGGGCACCTGCAAGAAGACCACCGTCGCAATTCTGTAAAGCTATGACTTCCATAAGCTCTTTGCCGGTAGACAGTTCCACTTACCAGTCTTAGAGGTGGGGGAGTGGCTGGTATTACTGCTGCTGTAAGTAGCCCTCGACTGTATCGGACCGATTCTTTCTGACTACAACCATCTAGCAAGCTTTGTCGAATGCTTCTGTCCACGACTTTGCTATAATCGAATATAGAGATACACTGGGCGGTCGAGCCTGGCATGAACCGTTCGGCAAGAACAAAGATGGGAAGCCATACATCATCGAGATGGGCGCCAATTGGGTAGGATCCTCTGAGAATGCCTCTCAAAACTGCGATCTCACATAAGATAAAAATAGGTCCAAGGCCTTGGGAACCCTGGTGGGCCTCAAAATCCCATTTGGGAGCTGGTAAGTGCAGATGTCAGATGTCAGATCTATCGCAGCCGCATGCTGAGGGTGAAACAGGCCCAGAAATACAACTTGAAGACCCATTATTCAAACTACGATAATGTTTCAACGTACAATCAGCATGGCTATTCTGACTACAGTCATCTTCTGGACGAATCGGCCGCTGCGACCGACATTGCAAGTGCAAAAGCGGGAGAGATCCTCCGAAATAATCTCCAAGACCAGACAGCCCAAACCGGACTTGCGCTAGGTGGTTGGAATCCCAAAAAACATGACATGGAAGCCCAAGCAGTGGACTGGTGGAAGTGGGGTATGTTTTACTTGACGGTCCAACTGTGCCTTCGCTGATACATCTCATCGCCAGACTTTGAGTCGAATTTCTCTCCGCTTGAGAGCTCTCTGGTGTTTGGCATGGCTAGTACAAATTTCACATCGAATACATTCAGCGATCACGATAATTTTGTCTTTGATCAACGCGGTTTCAACACGATCTTCCTGAGCGAAGCTGCCACTTTTTTGAAGAAGGACGACCCACGCGTCCACCTAAACACGCAGGTCGTCGACATTGCATACTCCGACGAGGGAGTTACGATCCATAACAAAGATGGCAGCTGCATTACAGCAGCCTATGCCGTCTGCACTTTCTCGCTCGGCGTTCTCCAGAACAACGCTGTCCAGTTTACCCCACCCTTCCCGAGTGGAAGCAAACCGCGATCCAGAAGTTTGCCATGGGGACCTACACCAAGATCTTCATGCAATTCAATGAGACCTTTTGGCCTGAGAATACCCAGTACTTCCTATATGCCGACCCTCTCCAGCGAGGCTGGTATCCGATCTTCCAGTCTCTCTCCATGCCCGAGTTCATCCCCGAATCCAACATTCTCTTTGTGACGGTGACGAACGAGCTCGCCTGGCGCGCCGAGCGCCAATCGGACGAGCACACCAGAGGAGAAATCATGGATGTTCTCCGCAAAATGTTCCCTGAGAAGACGATTCCCGAGCCAACGGCTTTCCTGTATCCCAGATGGAGCACCGAGCCGTGGGCTTACGGCAGCTACTCGAACTGGCCCCCTGCGACATCACTAGAGGAGCACGAGAATCTGCGCGCTAATACTGGCAGACTGTGGTTCGCCGGAGAGGCGACTAGCCCGACTTATTTTGGATTCTTGCAGGGTGCGTGGTATGAAGGCCGTGATGCGGGTAGACAGATCGCAGCGATTATGCAGAATCGCTGTGTCCACGTGAACTCGACTAAGCTGCGTGAATGTGGGCCTAGGCGGCACTATGCCATCCTGCACGGTACTTCACCATTTAAAGATTATGCGGCCGTGAACGGCTGGGGTGGAAACAGCTTTTTGGATACGAATCCTGAGTAGCTCCGGTAGGAGAGGGGGGTTTACCACCACCAAGACCCGTAAATTTCCCGGATCCTCGGCGCAATCTATCCAAAAATATACATATGATAACCTGATAAGCATGAAAGCTACAATGAGAACACGCGTGCCTAACGGCCGGCATTCCCCTTATGACAGCTTGAGCCGAAGATTTGCCACTAGTAAATGCGCAGGGGCACGGGCGAATAGGCACAAGAGCTCTTTGTTGCATCCCCTCCCCAGGGACCCCGCAACAGCCCAACTAGTACTATCTTGGAACAGGGGGGGGCCAAGTGCTTTTTGCCCTTTTCTTCATTCGCAGCGAGATGATCCCTGATACTCCTGGTCATCGTCTTCGTGGTACTTCTGACAGCGGCAATGGGCCCCAAACCGCACGGCAATGAATCGGACGACGGTCCAAATGAAACTCTCGATAAGAAGTCAGCTTTAGCCTAGCAGGGATATTTTGCTGTTCGATATTAAAAAGTTTACGTTTAGGAGATTGCGAAATCGTCTGGCGCAGCGCACATTTCGTCGGCGGCAAGCGGAAACTCGTCGCAAGCAGAAACTAGGCATCGATCCCAGCGACAAGCCCAGTCATGAGATTATTAGAGCCCTCCAAGAGGAGAACGCCGGGTTGCGACATAGCCTTATCGATGTGCAGTCTAAGTTGGCGCGACTGATTGCGACAATGCAGGGTCTCGAGACCGCGGTTCTTAAAGACCTAGGAGAATGCGCCCCTGAGAAACCTCCGGAGGGGTTTGACGAGGATCCCACGCCTCTACTCCCGGGGAAGCAAGAACATGCAGATTCCAAGGCCGCGCAAAATGTCCTGGTAGATCCAGGGACCTCGCCCCACCTCGAAATCCCGAGTCCCCATCGTCCCCAAACCGCCGCGATAGTGCCCTATCCCGGGGATTACTCCATCCCCTCAACAGGGATGCCCTCCGTTATACCCGACGCAGTGGATATCCCCACAGACTTCGACATCTTCGCAGGCCAGATCCCGAATATTTGGAGTTTTGAGTATCAAATGGGAAACGAACGATACGTCGATGCTCTGGCTGCCAAAGCGGGATCCCCGGACGCGGCCAATTGGAGGTGGCTCGAGTCTAATTCCACTTTATCGGATCATATTTCCGCCCTCCAAACGATCATGAGGAGGAAACTGGTGCTCACGGAGCCGATTTCAGGGTTCACAATGAATCTGTAGGAGCCCCGACGACGGACCAAGAACCGAGAGTGCGCCGTGCTAAGTTTGAATGTAGCTTCTATCAAAAGGTCCTCATGGCGGTATCTCTTTTCAACAGCCTGGTCCGCCCGAATGTCATGCGCTGGTACGCAAAGACACGCTTTTATCACATTGTCGACTTGACGGCTTGGCAGATCTATCCTTGCGCACGAACTCTGCGGGCGATTCTCCCAGAATACATGCCTACCCTCCTCCAGAGCCAGTGTCAATACCCGAAGGTCATAGACTGGATCCCGTTCTCGTCCCTCCGTGACGGTCTGATTCGGCTTCATTCGGCCAACCCGCAAATCGACCAAATATTCACCGACGCAGTCAGCAGTTACGTTGTTCAGGCATGGATGTCTGACCTCGTCAAAGGCGCCCCCCAGTTGAAGGCGTACATCCGAGTCACGGACATCATCCTTCCTTTGATGGACCAGGAGCCCCCCCGCTAATGAAGGGCACACTCCCTACGAGCACGGCGTCAGGCTGCCCGCCCCTGATACGGCGACCCTCTTCTCCTCGCCCGCATATTCGCGGGCCGCTTTCGATTTCCTCAGTATCGATCACGGGGTCACTAATTATAAAATCGATCCCGCTTTCTTCGCCAAGTACCCGGAGCTGTACGATTCCACCTCCGATATCATTGCTGGAGGGATTCCTTTGCGGCCGGACCTTCAGATTCGTCTCACTCATCCACTGAAACGCCTTGATGTTCAGACTTTCCGAACGTATCAGAGTTTCATAGACTTTTCTCATGACTACGAGATGCTTTCCGCGAAGATATGAATCCTCTCATCCGACAGGGTCGCAGAGACGTTTCATTCTGCTATTTAGCCATATAGACGAGTAGGTATTGTTTCAATATATTCAATATTCAGGGATACTATCCAAAGAGATTTAAGCCCTGCTTTGATGAGCAGCCTAGCAAGCTACGCTGCAAGACCTTCAAATTACTAGTATTAGCACTAGCATTGGTATTTGATCAAACAGGAATTTAAGAATCTACACTGTAACCGGAATGGGTCGCGGCAATCGAATATCCATCCGAATATTCTCGAACTTCTACTACATGTACTCCTAATAGCATCGAGTATCATCCCGCTGTGTCTGTCACGGAATTCATTCTATATGCTGCTAGTATGACGGATGATGCACCGGGCTCTTTTCAAGGGAAAAGCTTGCTTTTCTTCCGCAATGCTGGTCCATATGCTCGGAAGGCGATAGGGATCGGGATCATGATGGCCGCTAAACACCCAAGCAGAGTACTCGCCCACTGGATACCCATGTTTTGGAACATCTGCTTGGTGAACAATGGGAAGCCGGCAGCGACAGACGATCGAAGAATGATGTTGGCAGCGACCGTAGACGCAGCCCTGTTTCTCAGATTAGCCACCCGACATGCGGACCAGCGGGTTGATCATTAGCAGTGAGCTTACAGTGGGAGATAGGAGTCCACGAGATAATTGAAACACGGGAGGAATACACAAAGGACCCCAAAGCCGATGAATATTCCAGCGCACGTGGGTGCAGCCCAGTGGATAGCGGGCGTAAAGCCTGTCCACCCGAACCTGCGCCGGACAGAGTGAGTAAAGATTGGTCGAATGCACCCTTGGAATCCTATGACCTACCAAAAAATGCCCATTGTGAACACAGGGGCCCCCAGGATCGTGGGTGATAATCGCCACTCTGGCACGGGAACATTCTTATTTTCGAGTAGTTTCTTCGCATACCCCTTGTGTTGAGAGATAATATAGCTGCAAGCCATCACTTGGCCAATAGTCAGGCCAATGAAAGGCAAACCGTCGATCCCATGTTCCATGCCGTGGACTGCTTGGAAGACCAAAGGGTATGCTTCAAGGAGAGCATAGACCAGTCCGTAGATGAAGGACATGTAGAGAGAGACGAGGAGGATAATGGGCTCTGTAATCAGCATTTTCAGTGGCCGCGTGAAGTACTTCTCCAGCAGCCAGAGAAATTCGATTTCAATCTTCTCCTGCTTGGCATGGATCCCCCAGTTCCCCGTCTGTTTTCGGAGGAGAGCTGCCTTTGTCACAAGGAGGCAAGGAGGGTACGTCTCCTCCAAGATGAACAGCGATATTGCGCCATTAGCCAAGCTCAGGACTGCAGGGAGATAAAGAGTCCACCGCCACCCCAGGTAACTCGCTGTAATGAAGCCTCCGATAAAAGGTGCCGTGAACGGGCCCACAAAAACAGTCAAGGCGTATAGCGAGATCGCCATGCCCCGATAAGTGTTGTCGAATACATCTGCCAGGACCCCTGGAACGACAGTGAGTTGACTAGCACCGCACATGCCGGCAAAAAAGCGGCAGATAATGAGCGTCTGGATGTCTTTCGATGCCGCAGACCCGATCGTGAAGATCCCACCCCCTAGCATGGCTATGGTCAAAGGCCATTTCCGCCCGGAGAGCTCTGATGCCGGAGCCCAGAGCATGGGGCCAGAAGCAAATCCCAGCACATACAGTGTGGTTCCGAGCTGTCCAACTTCTGATGAAACCCCGAACTCAGCGCTGGCGTTTTCGAGCCCTGGGGCGAATATTGCGCTTGTCAGACTAACAATGAAAGTCCCCGAGCACACTAGGATGGATGCAAATAACCTGCGAGAAAAGAGAAATTAGTACCGAACTGCTAGAGAGTGGCTGGTAAAACAAACTTGCGGAAGATTCTCCAGTTGTAAGGGTGCTTTGGGTCGTCGGGCCCGTCGAAATCGACGATATAGTCCTGCGCATCAGGGAGAGGTGGAGGAAATGGTCTTCCCTGACCTAGTTGCAGCTTTTCACCCATGGCCACTGGGTTGCGCAATATGGCGTGATATAAATTGAGGTTGTTAAACGCGGACTGTTACTGCGCTGAGATTGAGACTGCCCGGCATGGTTTAAATGAACCACACCCTCATGTTGACACAGACTCAGTCTCAGTGCTTTCGCTCATCGCGGGGACGATACCCGTCATTCCCGCAACACCCGGTCCCCAGAATTTCCACCAATTCTGTGGCAAGTCATCGTTGACAGAAGGACAGAGCTTTTCCTCTTATTTTGGGCAATGGCCATGCTGATCATTGTACTTCACATCTCAGCCGAGAATTCTCACCGCATAAGGTCATTTCACGTCATGGTAGCAATGCGCAAACCTTATCACCGGAGCCCCACCCTTTTGAGGTCCAGCTAATCAAACCCGTTCAAAAGAGTGGTCCCATTAAGAAGCGTAGAAGGATCCATCATCTCCGAATTAAGAAATTGGTCCAGATCTATTCGTTGCAGCCCCGGCATATCAGCAACCAGAGCCCCGAGCCAAGAATACTCCTCGGAGGCAGGGTCAAGGTGTGGAGGGGATTCAAATTGCTTCTCGTTCTGGCAGTTGAGAGCTGCTCCGAAGATGGCGAGGTCGTCCTTTCTGCGTTTTTGGTGCAGGAAAACCAGCAGATAGGCTGCGCTGTATGCCTCCCTCATCGTCTCTGTGTCGTAAGTAGAAGCCACGAGGCTCAGTGTCTGCATGGCCTCTGGGAGCATTGCCAGGGAGGGCCGAGTATCCATCGTGAGTAAGACACAGATAATTTGGAAGGGGACATTCGCTACCTGATGCCACGGCGAATAGTCGAGCGCCATCCTTCGTGCACATGCTAGTCCGTTGGAAAGGAGTTGTAGAACCCTACCGGCGACAGGAGACGAGATGTCCAGGTTTTGGGTATGGATGCGCCGGAGAACACACAGGACGAGATTGCATTGCGCCAACACGGATGGCGGCTGGGTGTGGCTGCCATCCAAAAGCGTACAAAGGGCCGACGTAAGATCCGTCTCATCTTTTGATTTTCCAGGATCAAGGCTCACGGACATGGGTAGGAGCCCGAGAACTTCGCCAGTGTAGTCGCCGGCTTTGGGAGCAGGTGGCGTGGGTAAGTCATTCCGTTGAAAAGAGACCCGAGACAGACCCAAGTCAAAGGAAGTCCACACGTTCAAGTGATGCGCGACTCCGACTAGTCTTCTTCGGATGTCTGGGTCGCATTTGGCTCCGTGGGGAAGCACTGAATCGGGGGAGGGCTCGGGGTGGAGTCCTGACGCTTCTAGCAAGTGCATTGTCGTTGAGCTAGCGATCCATGTGGCATATGGAGAATCCGTCATCCGGAGGTAGATCGACCGCAACACCCAGCCAGTCAACAGATCGATGTTCGGTGGGCCGCTCAACCGATGAGTATCCAAACAGCAAACAGCCGTCTGTGTCAAATGGATCTCCGTCATGGTAGGATTTTTTTGAGAAAATAAACAACCAATTGCTGCCACCCCGGCCAAGACACTATCGAAGATGGCGGCAGATACGTGCGATTGCCATCGCGCTTCTAGTCTCTCGAAGAACTCGTGCCTATCGATAAACCCATAGCACGGATCTACCTTGGTAAAGTAGGCCTGAGCCAGTTCCTTCATATGGCCCAGTGAGGTAATCTCAGTGAGCCGCAATGGCGTCGGCTGAAGCGAGGCGGACAGCTGCCTCGCTCCAATATTCCAGCCAAACAAGTTCAGTTTCGGGGCCTTCGCTGGATCGATCTTCAGACCGAGCTTCCTCACAAAAGCAGCCCCGGAATTGGCCTCGAGGCGTCGAACCAGCCCCGAATGGTCCGACCCTCCTGTTGCGGGGCCAGAGGTATCATGTGGAGAAGAGTGAGGCTCGACATGGGTAGCTGGAGAAGTCGGTTTGGCTGCTCGAGGCTTCCGTGGATACACTTCGTAGTGGCAGCGGTAGCCCCAGTCGGAACAGGTAACGCAAGGGTCACTCCCGTCACACTTACGTTTGCGTTCACGGCATGGCTGGCACGCTAAGCGGGCACGTTTGCGCTTGTGAGGCTGCATCGTTGTCCGCGAATATCACCAGGAGCATGCGAGGTGTCACCGCGGCTGGAAAGGAGGAAAGCGGAAATTGCGGGATGTTGTGTCAGCGCGTAGGGCGTGGGGGGGATGGACGCGAATCGGAGTTTATTGAGAAGCATCGTAGGTCTTCCGTTTTTAAAATAAGGAACTACATCACCTTTGTTCCGCTTTACTGCGAGTAGTACTGAATTCCGCCTCGAATTTTGCTGTACTATCCAAAGTCTTCCATCCGATGTAGATGGCCATTGTATGGTGCGGCTATTGCGGGAATACCGGCGCATCACGATTGAATGACTTCATTGGGCAGCCTCGGTTGCTAAGCTGGCCAAACACATGCGGGAAATTATAAAGCTTGAACTTCTTTTTATACTTTTGCATCTCCTGGAGTGGACATCCAAAGGAGCTTCAAAATGGCGACGAAACTATTATCCCGATACCCGTGGGCAACCAGCCCCTTCGTCATCGGCGCACCCATGCGCGTCATGTCTGGCCCTGCCCTCGCAGTCGCAGTATCCCGGGCTGGCGGCTTGGGATTCATAGGGCCCGGGTTAAAGACAACAGATACTGGGGTTGATCTCGAAGAGGCATCGTCGCTGATAGACAAAGCGCGCGCTTCATCTTTCAAGACCCTATCTTCATCAAGTCTCTTGCCAGTCGGGGTGGGCTTCCAGCTTTGGAGCGACGACCTCAGTACTGCTATGGGCACAATTGAAAAGTACAAGCCCTGTGCAGTTTGGTTATTTGCGCCCAAAGAAGGCCAGAAGGATCTGGACGAGTGGTCACGCAGGATCCGGGCTGTATCGCCCGAAACCCAAATTTGGATTCAGATTGGCTCGTTAGGTGAAGCTAAGTCAATCCTGCAAAGCTCCGAAAAGCCAGACGTGGTCGTTGTCCAAGGGACTGAATCTGGTGGCCACGGCCGCATGGCTGATGGCATGGGAATCATGACTCTGTTCCCCGAGGTGGCCGACACCCTCGCAAGCAGCCACATTCCCTTGCTCGCAGCTGGTGGCATCGCGGACGGACGTGGAGTCGCCGCTGCTTTGTGCCTCGGCGCCTCTGGTGTCGTCATGGGGACCCGCTTTCTCGCCTCCAGTGAAGCACGCATTAGTCGAGGATACCAAAATGAGGTTGTCCGAGCATCTGATGGTGCAACGAATACGACTCGCACACTGCTCTACAATCATCTCCGAGGAACGTATGGGTGGCCCCCGGAATACAGCCCGCGAACCATCATAAATAAGTCTTTCATCGAGCATCGGGCAGGAACCCCTTTTGAAGAACTTAAAAAGCGCCATGACGAGGCAGCCAAGTCCGGGGACAGTGGATGGGGCCCCGATGGAAGACTGGCAACCTATGCCGGGGCATCAATAGGACTGATTCACAATGTCTCTGATGCGGAAAGGATTGTTCGAGACGTTCGAAATGACGCATCGAGACGGATCCAAGGATTAGCAGCAGCCTGAGCATAGTATTCTGACCAAGGACGTTATTTTCTCTGGAAACTGATATCTGGCGAAGTTAAAGAAGGACGAGTCCTCTTTAGATTAGATGCCACTACATTAGACGGGCTGTAAGTTGACAGGTGCGTCGATAGCGTAAATTTCCCAATGTACATGAAGTAGAGATCACCGGTCCCAAAGACAACACCGAGTCTTCCCACACATTAACGCCCATTCCAAATGTAGATTATACCCAAGAGCCAAACACTTCCATCATCCATGCATCATCGAAACCAGACATGGGTATCGCACCAGGAAGCTCGGGCCCGGATGGAAACTGACCGCCGTCAAGCCCTTCGGGGGGATGGTAGGATACCACACCTCCATGAGTTTCGGTTCCCAGCTCTGTTTGATCGAGGCGATCATTCTGCAGCCTTTCTCAAAGATGCTCCAATCCGGATCTAAATCTATATCAATCATTTCGGCACACCGTTTCATATTAAATGCATTGCGGTCAAGGACATCCAGGACATTTATGGTATTTCGAACCATTTGCTTGTCCCAGGCCGGGTCGTCCAGGGTCGAAAGCTTGTAGAGAGATACAAGTGCTCGAGAGAATTGGAAGAAGATATTGAAAGGGATGCCCTGGTAGGTCGCTGGGGGGATAGATAGCCAGCAGTCCATCCAAGCTTTGTCGGCTTGAAGACAAGTATAAAGACTTTCCAGACGATTGAGTTGAGGGGAATTCGGAATGGAAGGGGCCTGCATAGCGGTCTCGTGGATGATGAGTTCCGCCGAATTGAGGTGCAATATGATAGGGACTGGATTCGATCAGCAGCTGGGTTGTTAAAAGGCGACAAGCGTCGCGAAGCACTCACTTGTATTAATTAGATGGGGTGGGATTTGACTCCGTACGGAGTTGAGTTGGGCCTGGCTGGATGTAATGTAGAACCGAGCCAGGGACTGATCTTCTCCGTCTCGCCGGGCGTGGTAGACTTTATCCATAACCAATTGTATCTTGACCAGATACACCAAAAGCTCGTCTTCGGGGCATTCTTTAGCCTTCAGCAGCACGGTCAAACTCTCTTCCATATGTGAAGTCCATCGGAGAGCGTCGATCCTTCCCAGGCATAACGCAGTGCTACATGACAAAGTGAGCTGTGGGCACGAGAGAAGGATGAAAACGGAGATCTTACCTTGACGTAATGAGGAATACTCCCAGGGCAGCCCTTCGCTCCTCTAGTGTTCTGACCGTACTGTGTGGATACCTCATCCCCACTGCCGATTTGAATTGTTGCATGATAGATTGATCCTTGGAGATTGCCTTATTGATCCCCAAGTCGCACGCAATGCCCATCAACATATGGCAGTAGAAGTTCAGGAATGGCCTCTTTGAGTAAGTGACCCTATGATCTCTTGTTTAGTGTGCAACATCTTCGGCATCTAGTCCCATCGGACGAACTTACCAGGTAATAGCGGTAATGATACCCAGAAGCATATCCATGCTCGGCGCGACCTCGACCATCAACTCGGTATGAATCAACTCCGTGATTTTAGAAACAAGCACATCTCGCTTGCTGTGGTAACCAGGGTAAGAGACAGCCATGATACATAACCACGTAAATGGCTTCTCTTGGCGAAACTGGTAGGATGTGTAATGAGAAGGGATATGCATGAAGGGGAGGAACTTTAAATTCTCAGTCCGAAAATGGGCCAGCGTCTTCTCCGCTGCTTCATTCGAAATAGGTAAGCTGGATGCGAGGTCCAAGAGACGATTAGCGGACGCGGAGCGTGCTGGTTGGTCATCCGGTGGAGATGGCATCTCTGTCGAGTGACACTGGAATGGGGAGCAATGGCCCCTCGTGGGATGGGGCGGAAGTGCCGAAAGCGCCGGCTGTAGAGATGGTGTAGAAGTTTGTTGCGTCGATTGCGATCCGGGCGATGTATGCTGAGATACTGACCTTGCCCGGGACCCCGGGGCGGACGCCGATGACTCCCATTCTGCTGAGAGGGCGTTCTGAGAGCCGGTGGCCTGGAGGAGTGATACAATGCTATCAAGTTTAGCCTCTAACTGGGCTGTTTTGGAGGCAGCGGAGCGGCCGTTCCGCTTACGCACTGTCTGGGACGGTCGGCACTCTTTTTTTGAGCCTCTGACATCTGACGGGCCGATCGATTAGTATAGGGCTGACTACGCGTGGTGTGGCACCTACCTTTCACAACCGGCCCCTGTAGCAAGAAGCATACATTTGCTCTTAGCGTGAGCGCAGTTGATGCAAGCACGGCCGTAGGGCGCGGGAGTCCCACTTTGGTTGGACTCCATGCCGTCGATCAGGATGATATCAGCCCAACCAGGCCAATGCGAGACGCACGAAGACAACCAGGAATTCAACCGGAAGTATACCTCGAATCCGAGAACAAAAGGAAATTCCGGTGAACACCGTTTTAGACGACGAGGGCCTTAAAGGAGCGGTCGGGGTTGGGGCATTGAAATCCGGACGAGCTTTTTCAGGAAGAGTCAGAAGAGTCAGGGGAGCCAAGCCACACGAGCCCCCAAGACGGCGGAAACCCCCACATCGGACCCAACATTGGCCCGAACGAAGTCTGCTGTCCACTTTATGAGGGATCTGGGTACAGGCTTGTCTCTGTTTATAGTAAAAGCGTGAAGACTACATAAAACGCGACAGAGGATAGGCTGACCAAGAAGTCAGAATATGGGTTCAATAGCCCTCCTGATTACGGTTATTACCACAGAAATCTCAAAAACAGGGGGGAAATAAGGCCATGAGGAAAATGCCACACGGTCCACTTCCGGTCGGAGTTAGGGATTCGGAGTGACATCTCTCCGTCCTGCATCTTTTCTTCCTTCCAGACTCTGCACCAGGTCCTACCAGCTAGTCATTCGGGCTCTGAGATCGTCCGTCTACCGCAATTACTATATTAGGCTCATCAATAATTTATCTCCGCCTAAAGGCGAGAGGCACTGACTGATCCTGAAATGAAGTCGTAGAGCTCCGTAGCATTAAGTATCCCCGGCGTCGCTGTCTCTGTCTAGATCTTCTTAAGCACAAGTTTCGTCCCACTCCTATACATCATGGGAGACAAAAGGGCTCTCCCAGAGGCAACGCCGGCGCCTGTGCCTGACCCTGAAGACATGCAAGCCCAGCCTATTCCCAAAGAGGTCGATATAGACTCTACGCCTCGCCAGTCCCAAGAGTCGACGAGGGGCAAAGAGCTCGAAGTCACCCCCAGCAAAGAGCCACAGAGAGAGTATCTCACCGGTTTTCGACTGGTCTCTGTTCTTGCAGCAGTCACTTTAGTGTCCTTCTTGGTTCTTCTCGACACATCAATCGTAGTCACTGTGAGTTGCCGATTTGCCACGCGAGGGGACATTGCATCGCTAATACCCTGCAGGCCATCCCTGTCATTACCACCCAGTTCCACTCCCTGCCAGATCTTGGATGGTATGGTAGTTCGTATCAGATTGCCAGGTGCGTGTAGTGATGCCGACGCCCTAAACCATCTATTCTTGGGTCCTCGCTAATCGGGGATTTTAGTGCGTGTTTACAGCCACTCGCAGGACGGATCTATTACAACTTCAGCACAAAAGTATGTCTGCGAGAAGCTTGACGCTGTATTGTTCTCGGATCTCCCGCTAATGGAATCTTTTTCAGTGGACCTTCTTGACCTTCTTCTTCGTGTTCGAGTTAGGCTCTCTACTGTGTGGGATCGCGAACTCCTCGAAGATGCTTATTGTGGCCCGCGCCGTCGCCGGTATGGGCTCGGCGGGATTGATGAATGGATCCCTTACAATTATTGGAACCGCTGTTCCCAGGCACAAGTCCCCCAAGCTAATGGGAATCATGATGGGCTGTAAGGCATTTCCCGAAAAGCCGCAAAAGAGACGTGTATTGACCTGAATTCCAGGCTGCCAGCTGGGAGTTGTCTGTGGGCCTCTTCTCGGAGGCGCCTTTACCGAGTATACTACTTGGCGATGGTGTAAGTCTGCAGAACCCATACCGAAGAGAGATAGATATGAAATGAAGTACTGACAAGAATAGGTTTTTACATTAACCTTCCTATCGGCTGTCTGGTGGCGGCTATGATTACCTTCGTCCATATCCCCGACCAAGCCGAGAAGCCCTCAATCAGCATGGTCATCGATACGGTGCTCCACAAGTTGGATCTAATCGGCTTTGCTCTCTTCGCCCCGGCGGCGATCCAGCTTCTGCTTGCTCTCGAGTACGGCCAAAGTAGTTACCCGTGGGCAGTGCGACTGTCATTGGACTGTTCTGTGGAGCTGCGGGAACATTCGGCGTCTTCTTGCTCTGGGAATGGCGCCAAGGAGATCTTGCAATGATTCCCTTGCGAATGGTCGCCAAACGGACCGTCTGGAGCAGTTGTTTGGTTATGATGTGTCTCTTCGCTGTCATGCTGGGTTCCTCCTATTACCTGCCTGTCTACTTCCAAGCTGTTAAGAATGACTCTCCCCTCATCAGTGGTGTTTCATTGCTGCCCAGCATCTTGTCCCAGCTCTCACTGGCTGTCATTTCCGGGAACTTGAGTAAGTTGCTCCCGCTCCTTTCAACACAACCCCGACCGATATACTGACCGTTTCAACCAGTCAGCCGACTGGGTTATTACCTGCCTTGGGCTCTTTTCGGTGCATGCCTCAGCGCCATCGGCAACGGTCTCTTCTCGACATTCACCCCTCATACTGCCATTGGTACTTGGATCGGATATCAAATCCTGGCCGGAGCCGGTCGCGGAGCAGCCTTCCAAGTACCTCTCGTGGCTGTCCAAAACACTGTGGCCCCTCGCGACATCTCACTCGGAATGTCGCTCCTCATGTTCCTTCAAACCCTGTCCGGTGCTATCTTCCTGACTCTGGGAGATGTCATTTTCGACGCTGGGCTGAAGTCCACGATCCCCAAGGACGCCCCCAACGTGGATCCTGCTGTCGTCATTGGAGCGGGAGCCACCGGTATTCGCTCCGTGGTCTCTGGCAAGGATCTCGCTGGCGTCTTGGTTGCTTACTCCAAGAGTGTGGGCTACGTGTTCTATATGACTGCGGCGATGAGTGTCGTCATGGCCCTCTGCTCTCTTGGTATGGGCTGGGTAGACATCCGGCCTAAGCCCAAGCCTGCCCCCGAGCAAGCTGAAGTGTAAAGTAGAAAACTGGAATTCTTTGATAAACATCTTAGATTAGCATATTCATACCGGACTTGCCAACCGCCTTTTACGAATAATTCATTGGACGGCGCTGGGTGATTATAATGTCAATGGATGTACATTTCATCTCCGGGTCACTGCTTCCAGATCAAGATGCTTTAGTCCAAAATTCATGGCGCGGACACTCAGACTGTATTCTCGTGAACCGCAGGCTAGATTAGTCAAGGTGATACGTAGCTATGTAAATCCCAGCTTCCGAGTGATCTCAGAAGACTATCTTCCCGTATGCCCTCGTAGCGTTTGGGTAACTGACGGGAGGTGGAATGACCCTTTCCGAGTTGTAGCGCCTTGGGGTCCTATTCTGTGGGCAAAGATCTGGAGCTGCTACCGTAGACTGCCACGATCAGCCCCCTTTGCCGCATACAGCCTTGTGGACTCGTACTGAGCTCCGGACGAGGTCGACCATGATTTGGTCCGTAAGGCTGAGAAAGGGAAGTTTCCCCCAGTCTGGTCCTTTTAGATACTCCAGTTAAGTCAGGCGGAGATCGGGGGGGAGTTCCAGCATCCAACGAAGAAAAAAGAAAAGAAAAAACGAACAAAAAAAGAGCTAAAACGCCACCGAATCAGGGAGCCCCAATGGCGGCTAAGTGGAGGCCGGGATAATTCAAGGATCGATCAGAGACCAACTTGCGGTGTAATTCGTGCTTTGCCCCCCCCTTCGACGCGTCACGCCCCGATTCCTTCTGGCCAGCTCATGTGGGAAATGCATGGCCATGATTTGGTCCAAAACGCATCTAGCCCCTGACCTTCCCCCACCTCCCTGAGCGGCTTTCTCCCACACACCGTCCCTTAAGGGGTTTTTTAAAGCCTGCACGTCATCCTTGTGTTCTTTTGCTCCTATAATCTCTCAACATGCCGGAACTGTACGTGTGACGATCAATGCTTTTTCCCCTTTCGGCCGCTAATTGGGTGGGAGTAGGAATGTTGATATTCTCGTTATCGGTGCGGGGCCTACGGGTCTCGGTGCTGCCAAACGTCTGCACCAGATTGTATGTTGTTGGTCCAAACGGGCTCCAAGCTTCAATTGTTGATCAATTCCACAGGATGGCCCTTCGTGGTTGATTATCGACTCCAATGAGAAGCCCGGTGGTCTCGCCTCGACTGACACCACCCTGAGGGTTTCGTAAGTGCTTCATCCAGATGACTTTTTTTTTATTTTGAAGATCTTATCACCAAGACAGGCTGGCTGACTTTTTCTTTGTTCTGATCTAGCTCTACGATGTCGGTGGCCACGTCATCTTCTCTCACTACAAATATTTCGACGACTGCATCAACGAGGCTCTTCCCAAGGAGACCGACTGGTACACCCACCAGCGAATTTCTTACGTTCGATACAAGGGTCTCTGGGTCCCATACCCCTTCCAGAACAATATCTCGGTGCTTCCCAAAGAAGACCAGGTGCGATGCATCAATGACCTGATCGACGCAGCCCTCGAGGCTCGCGCCCGCGCTCCCACCGATAAGCCCAAGGACTTTGACGAGTGGAATGTCCGCAACAACGGCGAGGAGATCACCAAGATCTTCATGCGTCCTTATAACTTCAAGGTGTGGGCTGTGCCCCCCCAGCAAGGTACGTATCTTTCCGCCTCCAGGGGGCAGAGCAGGCTCCTAGTCATAGGGCAGACTAGGGGAATACTTCTGGGAAGGAAAGAATACCTAGACTGATACCATCTGCAGATGCAAACCGGCTGGCTCGGCGAGCGTGTTGCCGCCCCTAACCTCAAGGCTCTCACCAACAACGTGATCTTGAACAAGGTGGCCGGAAACTGGGGTCCGAATGCGACCTTCCGATTCCCTGCCCGGGACGGTACCGGTGGTATCTGGACCGCGGTGGCAGGGACTCTGCCAGATGAGAAGAAGCGATTCGGAAAGAGTGGCAACGTGACCAAGGTCGATATCCCTGGCCACAAGGTCTTCCTTGAGGATGGCACCACCATCAAGTATGGGAAGCTTATCTCGACCATGGCGGTCGACTTTCTGGGTCAGATCTCTGGTGACAAGAAGGTCATTGAAGCTTCTAAGGACCTTTACTACTCGAACACTCACGTTATCGGTGTTGGTATTCGAGGTTCCCGCCCAGAGCGTATCGGTGACAAGTGCTGGGTATGTTTCACGACGTTGAGAATAAGACATCAAGGCGAACTGGAGCACCAACTAACAGACACTGTAGCTGTATTTCCCCGAGGACAACTGCCCCTTCTACCGTGCCACCATCTTCTCCAACTACTCTCCTTATAACCAGCCTGCCGACGATGTGCAGCTCCCTACTCTCCAGCTTGCAGATGGCCAAAAGGGCAACGACGGCAGCCCCCGCCCAGGCCCCTACTGGTCAATCATGCTGGAAGTTTCCGAGTCGAGCATGAAGCCCGTTGATGAGTCTACCATTCTCGCCGACAGTATCCAAGGCCTCGTCAACACCGAGATGTAAGACACCCTACTCAAAAGCCCCGGCTATCACACTCTCACACTACTGAAACAGGCTCAAACCCGGTGACGAGATCGTCAGCACCTACCACCGTCGCTTCGACCACGGCTACCCCACCCCCTCCCTGGAGCGGGACGGCGCTCTCAAGGAGATCCTCCCTCACCTGTACAACAACGACATCCTCTCCCGTGGCCGCTTCGGATCCTGGAAGTACGAGGTCGGAAACCAGGACCACTCGTTCATGCTAGGTGTCGAGGCTGTTGACAACGCTGTCAACGGTGCTGTCGAGCTCACCCTGAACTACCCCGACTTCGTCAACGGCCGCAAGAACACCGAGCGCCGTCTCGTCGACGGAGCCCAGGAGTTCAAGCAGAAGAAGTTGGAGATCCGCTAGATTGGAGTCATGTAGAAGCAAGTTGGCCGGTCGTCTTTAATGCACCCATAGATGATAAGAATGAACACCATGACAATGTTTTACCTTAATCAGGAGAGAATCTCTACCGCAAAGCTCGTCTACAAAACTAGCAGGCAATTTAGGAAAAGAAAGAAGCGTCATCAGAAGCATCGTCTAGTATTTTTCAGATGTGCGAGCGTCACGGTGCACGCCCGAGTAAACGGGGCACAGCGTCACACGGGCCGAGGAACGAACTTAGTTAAAAGACATTCCAGAATTTCCAGATGATAACCCAGCACATAAGAAAAGCCGGGCATAATTCTCCGCAGCTCCCACGGCCGGTCCAATTCCAGAATCCCAACACAACCCATGCCGCAACACGCGCCCACCCCATGTAAAAAACGACCAGCACGACCCAGCGTTAGCCGTGGCTAATCTACTGCTCGGTCTGGAAGTAGTTGAGGAGGACAGCGCGCTCCTGGGTATCCTCACCCCAGTCCTTGACAACAACGCAAGAGCAGTTGACGACCTTGCGGGCGTTACCGTCACGGTCAAGGGTGCCTGTTTGGAAAGAAAGAAAGAATTAGTGGTGACTTCAGAGGTTGGGAAGGCGATTGGAGTGTGGCGGAGCAAAACATACAGAGACCAACCCACTCGCCGAGGAGCTTTCCATCGGGGACCTTGATCAGGGGGATCTTGTGCTCGGAGCAGAGGGCAACAACAAGCTTCTTGTAGGCCTCCTCCTCACAACCCTCGTTGAGGACACACATGTGAGCCTCGCGGCGGTCGAGGGCCTTGGCGGCCTCACGGAGACCACGGGCAAGACCGTCGTGGATGAGGGAGACACGGAGGACACCCTTCAGAGCGTCGAGAACGGACATCTGGCCGGAGCCAGCGTCGGCGGAAACCTCGACCTCATCGGCGGCGGCAACGGGGGGGTTGGACTGGGTCTCTTCTCCGTCCGACTACGAAGATGTTATTAGTGGGGAGGAAATGGAATAGTATACCAGAGCTCGGCGTACCATATTGAATGCTACTGGAATGGATTGGTAGCGGTTTTTTTAGGTCGGAAATCCTCGAAGATCTCGTGGTGATTTATGGAGAGTGTGAGAGGAGAACTTTGTGACATTGCCGCTGCAATTTTGATGAAATTCCGATTGTGTGCGGTGGGGCGGGCTGCTCCAGGCCAATCAGAGAGGCTGCCCTTTCCTTCACCGCCTTCTCTAGTCTACGGCGGGGTACTCTGATCACTTGCTGGCTTTGGAATCTGCGATGGCTTGATAGTATGAGGCATCGTTGCAGGGCTCAGAATCTTTAAGAGGCTCTAGCTGTACGATCATTGGTTTAGCGCGGGATTTGGGTTGAATCCAGCTACTGCGTACAAGCGTCGGTACAAGCGTCGGCGATGGTTGGCCCGAGGCTTAAGGCGCCGATGTACGCTTAGTCATAGCCATTCTCCAGCGGTGGACCAATCAGTCGGGGTTCTCCAGCCATAGTGAGGGTTCAATGATAAGTAGCCGCAAGTTTTATTCTCGTTCCCTTGGTCATACTACATGTCATAACTCTGTGCGCCTTCTGGCAAATGGAAAATTCATAATTGCTAGTGAATGTATCTCCTCATACATGGAAAAAGGAGAAACCGTCTTTGGAAGTCATCACCAAGAAATATTCCGGTTTTGAGTATTCAAATGATTGTCTACCTATTAAACGGCAGATCCTCGACCGAAAAAATCATAGAACGAGGTTCAATATGCCAACCCTAACGCCCCAAAGATCACACATGCTTTAGCAGATTGGTTTGAGACAGGATCTCATGTCCTAGGTGGCTGAGAGATCTAGAAGGCCTGCTGCATCTTTGGATCCTTATTGGCATCACGGAGAACTCGATGTATTCCAGCATTGCAGCCTGCTTTGACATAATTTTGGGCTTCTCAGGTGTAGTGCCATCGGCGTATGTCAGATTAGAGCTGCTCCCCACGGCATACACATCACAAGCGCACTGCCTAAAGCAACACCATAAAGAAATTCGTACCAGCTTTCTAAGACAAAGCTTTCCGGGCATTTTATAGCTGCCGAAGTATGCGAGGAGCCACGCAGATCTCCATCTCAAGCGGCCCTTACGATATTCAGAACACCAATCCCTGCAAGGGGAAAGTCTAGATCTTTCCACTGAGATTTAAGGTTATCTTGCGCTAGTAATGCATGGCGCTGATTGATAACCACTCGATCTGAGATGCCTATATCATCCAAACGGTCCATGCCGACTCGGAGCCAAATCTACTTTACGGGCTGCTGCAGGAGAGAAGCGAGAATTTGAGAGATCCGAAAGGGAAAAAAAAAAATCGGTTTGTGCCATAGGCAAGGCTATCGAACGAAAGCAGATTCGTTACATGAACGCAAGAGGTATCATAATCGTACAATCAGAATCTGACCTTGACGCCACCGCTGTATTCTCCCTAGTGATAGCAAGAGCGAGACGCTGCAAACAAAAGGGACTAGAAATATGTACCAGGTCGAGAGTAATTGTGGCCATTGGAAGCGCCGGGGGTATGAGGTTCGGGGAAAGAGTCAAGCACCGGAGTGTGGCGGCCGTTGGTTTGGACAGGAGGAAGGCTATCGGGCTCGGGGTCGATGTGCATGCTCATAAAGTCATCGAGCTTGAGAGTGTGCAAGTGAGGAATGTGGGGAACGAGGTCCATGAAATCATAAAGCTATGAGAAGCAGAAACATCAGTACTGAGGATTGTTTATCATGGGGTTCCCGCACGACTGACCTTGATCCAGAAAACGTGTTCCATCCCGAAATACTTCGGCCGGGTCTCTGAATCCAACTGCATGATTTGTCCAAACGTCGCATTGCGATACCTGATTTCCTCGCTCGGAACTAGGTGACGACGAGTACACCGCCAAAGATTATTCCGCTGGGTTGGAGTTGCTTTGCGCTTCTCCCAGCTAGCATACTGCGACAATTGCAGGTCGTTGGTACCCAGCAAGGGCGCAGCCAAGTAGTTGGGAATCCATTTTTCCTCTGCCACATCGGGTGCGCAGTTTGGTTCAAGCTGGCGAGTGAAAGCAGTCACCAAGGGCGTGAACTTCTCAAGCCATTGGCGACTTTTTCCGTAGGGGTCGTTGGAGCCGATCAAATTGGCAGACGTCCGTAAGCGGCCAGGGAGAGCATCACGACGTCGTTGTTCCTGCGCTTCTTGCTCGCGGTGCACCTTCATGATGCGAGCGCGCTCCTGCTCGACCCGTTTCTGACGTTCATCTTCCGCTTGCTTAGCTCGACGCTGTTCGACCTCCTTGCGCTTACGTTCCTCCTCTTCGGCCTTCTCACGCGCAACACGCGCGGTCCGCTCTGCCTCTTCCTTCGCCAGCCGTGCACGTTCGGCTTCTTCCTCGGCACGTTTTTCTTCAGCAAGTCGATCCTCCTCGACCTTCTTAGCGTGCGCCTGGCGTCGTTTCTCGGCTTCAGCTTCAGCTTGCTTCTCAGCCGACACTACTTCAGCGGGACCGTTATCCAATGACTCGTGATCCAATGACTCGGTTTCAGTAGCGCCGACTCGCTTATTGGTGTCCCCGGCGGACGGCTTTGGTGAAGCCGGCTTCTTCGGGCCGTCGGTAGACTTCGATCTCATAGCTGGGCTTTCGGGAGGATGATGATCCTCTTGAGGGTGATGGGACTTCGCCTTCTCGCCATCAATACTGTCATGAGCGTTGGGAGGACTACCGTTAGACATGTTGGATACCTTCTCCTCTGTAAGAATCCGTCGTTTCTTCTTTCGCGATTCAGGGGATAGTCGATCTTGATCAGGCCCGCGAGAGCGAGACCGTTCAGGCGAGGTATCGGCACGAATACGTTTCAGAGATGAATCTGTAGCTTTAGAAGATTCTTCACGCCCGGAGAAGGAATCTGAAGAAAAAAAGACTGGGACGGCGATCATGCTCTTGAGGACGACGTCCAGCAATTAATCGACGTTTTCGCGTCTCGTCAGGCCGTGAAGTACCGCTCCATTCGGTCCCCCTGGATTCACCGCCTCTTGATTCACTGCCTCGTCGGGCAGATGAAGACTTCGGCTTCATAGAATCCGGGTGGTTGGAATCATGATCAGAGGTAGGAACCGCGTTGCTTCTTTGATCTTTGGAGCTTCTCGGGCGTGGATGGTCTTCATTGGGACGAGATCGGGACAAGGGTTGGCTGGATTGCGAGTGGGGTTTCGATGTGGGACTTTCCTTCAGTTTTTTAGGCGGACGGTCGACTGGCGACGAGGACTCTCTCCGTCTGTGCCTCTCATCATCCTTCACCTTCGTCCGCGCGCGGCGAGGAGACGAATGCCCCTTGCGGCCTTTCTCGTTTGAATATTTCTCATACGCGCTCTTCAAGAGATCATATTCTTGCTCCCAGTTTTCACCCTGGCGGGCGCGAGAGAGTTCATAGTAAGTCCTGTCTTCAAAAAGGCGGCGAGTGGGATTGAAGCCAGGCTGACTGAGAATGAGCTCGATGACGGCGGTGTTGCCTCGACCAATAGCAGCAAGCATGGGCGTGTTATACCCGGCCTTGTGACCAGCACCACGCAATGGGTTGGGATCCGCATCCGCATTTCCTATGGCGTACATAAGAGATAACACATCACCATGGCCTCCTTTCGCAGCAGCAATCAAAGACGCGTTATCAGCCTTTTGCAACACATTCAAGATGCTCACCACTCCCTGTTCATCACCCTTGGCAGCAAAATTCATGAGATTTTCTGGAGTCGGTTGAGTCCACAAGAGGTCGTTTCTTGTCGCTTCGCTTCGGCCAGTCTTTCGGCGACTCGCGGCACCACTCAACGGCGGGGGGGCTTCGCGACATACTGGCTCCTGAAGCGCGCCGTGAAGATGTCGCTTTGCTATCTGAGCCGATTCGCTCTTCCGATCTCCCACCCGGCCGTTGATTCGATTTAGCGTCTGCAAGAGCTTTCCTGATCTCTTCATAGTCTTCTTCCTTCTCTTCCTTGAGTTCCTGGGGTACTAATTCATATGGCTCATCACCAGATGCGTTGACAGTGCGAGGATTGGCGCCCGCATCCAGTAAGAGCTTCACAACCTCCACATGGCCATTTTCCACTGCGTCAATTAAAGGAGTATCTTTATCGATATTCTTGGTGTTGATCTCACAGCCAGCGTCCAGAAGAAACTTGACGATAGAAGCTTCTCCGTTGAGCGACGCAATTTGCAAAGGCGTATTCCCTGCGTTATCGGGCACGTTCAAGTCTTCTGGGCGTTCACTGTGACGTGCCATCACCTGGTCATGCTTGCGGTCGGCGCATGCTCTGGCCAATGGCGTCCGTCCACTTTTGTCGCGCAGTTTCTTAGGGCCCATGTGCTTAGCGGGGGATGCAGAAGCGCCCGCGCCAGATCCCAACCTTCGAAGATGATTGCTCGGCAAAGGTGAACTGCTCGCTGATGATGACGTGGATTGTCTATCTTCCGAAACCTGGCGCTGATAGCCACCGGTGAGGAGAGGAGTTGGTGCTTTCTTCTTGCTATTTATTTGGGAACCCGATGAAGAGCGTTGGTGAGATCGGTTGGGGGAGACTGAACGAGTGCTCTGTTGTGACTGAGCATTGACGCGCTTCAGGTTAGGGATATCATTCATAGGGTTAGAGCCGCGCTGCCGGTCGCCCTTGTCCTCCACGCTGTCACTGAAACTTCGTTTCCGATAAATGCGAGGTTTATCTCCTTGATTCACACTCGTTTCGTCCAAGGCGGCCCGCGTAACCGACGGGAGATCCTCCACTTTCTCGATCTTTACAACAGATGACGGGGATCGCACTTGTCCAGGACTAGGCGACCGAGAGCCCGAGGGTCCTCGATCGCCGAGTCGCGGCTTCTTTCGTTGGGCGGCATCCACACCGTTAACAGCTTGGCGGAGAGGGTCATGTCGAATATGTTTACGCTTCTTTTCGGGTGAAAGCGACTCGCGACCGGACTGAATTATGGTTTCTGCTTCGGAATCGGCCCTAGGGCTCGGTGGCCCCTGATCCTCCTCCTCCTGGTCTACCAAATCCGAGTTAAAAGTGTTGGGTTTGGGGTTGGCGCCTTCCCGGGGGAAGGCGCAGGGTCCGACTTCACAGCCAGGGTGTTCTGAGGGAGCTCCAGGGTAGCGGGGAGTGAGACTGCCTCCACATCACTCATAGCGATAGCACTCGATGTGTGACAATCCCGCTCGTCATTTTGGGAGGTCCGCGACAGGTGCAAGCGACCGGAGTCGGCAACGCCAGCTGAAGAACGCAGACGCTGATCACGGCGAAAAGTGCAGCCGAGAAGCGAGTCGTGGGCAAGACCAGCGAGCCCCGAAATTATCAATCCTTTCTAGGCGTCCTCCAAGGTCCAAGATTAAAAGAGGAACTAGGAATCCAAATTCTGGGAGAAAAGGAAGGGAAGTTGAGGGTGGGGAGATTCGAAGGGAAAGGGAGAAAAGAGGGGGAAAGACGATTGGGGAGGGCGGGAGAGAGAAGTGGACTTTTCCCTTCGCTGCGACGTGTGGCCACTCTGATCTTTCAAAAGTGGAGAGAGAGACCACCGACTCCCCAAATCTGCACTTTTGCCCCCCACCCCTCGTCTTTCCACCTCTAGTCCTGCCGGGGGGAACATTCCCCTGTTAACCACCCTCAGTTCTCCCTCTATTCCTAACCCAGCCGCCCTCCATGCAGCCAGAGTCTGCAATAACTCGAGTGCACGGCACGGACCCAACTAACCCATTCCGGTCGCAGGTGCAAAGTGGCTCCACTGGTGGCGATCGTCTCGATTGCGACCACTCAGAGCTCGCTATTCATCGAGATAAAAATGTGCAAGAAAAACCTTGGGTACGGGTACGGAGTACTCTAGTTGTAATCTGCAGAGTGGACGAATAGTATCGAGTCTCCATATCAAGCTAATCTCCCTCCCCTACCTAGGTAATCCCCCGCATGCTGACCAGATAAGCCCTCAACCTTCTGTCAAACATGTGTTGAAACCGAAAACGACGAGGCAGCGCTGATCGGCCCGAAAAAGGGCCTACGGTTCCACCTTTTCCCAGCTCGCGTCCTTGACCCTGGCCGAAGCATCCAAAAGCTTACGCTTCCCCGCGCCCGAGGCAGGATTTGGAGACGCAAGTCGAATCCTCTGCTGTCATCATTTTGGCCCGCCCAAGAAGTTCAATGTCTTCCCCATCTTAGCAACCTTTAGCACATCTCGAAAGGTCAAGCTCGTCCTCGTCTCCCGTGCGTACGAGCCAACCTCGAATGGCCCGGGGTCGCCCAGCAGCCCCCAATTACAGATAGACTGTGCACCGAGATCTTCATCTCTGGTGACCTCGGCAATACCATGTAAGAAATCAGAATAAAGTCGTTCTTTTGTAACTAGCAAGCTTCGCCTTTCCTGCAGAATGCGGAACTGAGGGTTTCTTCTCTCTGCGGGATCGTTCTTCGGATAAATGTCTAGTACGATCGGTGCCCCCAGGCTGACGGTTGCCACAATTGGGTAGTACGCGGCTCCGTCTTCGTGCGGCATGATCCCCTGGCCTGGCCGGTACTCATTGACCAAGACATGGTTTGGACTCTTGTGGGGCGAATCAGTAAAGATGCCCAAGGCGTGGAAGCGGGGTTCGATGATGGGGGTGATGAGCCAAGACGGCAGAGACGAATCGAGAAGAGTGTTGCTTTTGGTGAGTGACGATGGCCAGGTTTGCAATCTGCGACGCGAGAGATGAGTCCAGCGAGGACGAGGGGCGCCTCCTACCTGCGATGTTGGTTAGCACGGGTATGAATGCCTTACGTATGCAGGTGGGTGATAAGAATGAGATCCGGGATATTGACATCATTCCAAATGACCAAGTATGTGATCGGCCTAGCTGTGTTGATGTCGGGATATCAGTACTACTATGATTCTGCCCACCTTCTGGAGTAGCAAAGCCTCCTCTTCCTCGGAGATAAAGTCGGGGATGTAAAACGCATCGGCAGGCAATGAGCAGATGCGAGCTGGAGTCAAATCGCGGTTCATCACATTAACATGAGTCAATGACGGGCATGCCACTTTTGGATACAAGCTGTATGGAATCCTCGGAAATAGTTAATATCTCAGGATAAATTCATGTCTTCTGAAGGGAAATGAATGATTGCTCTGGAATGTGTGAAAGTCCTCGAGGTTTGCCAGTGGGTCGCATGGCTAGTGCTCGCCGCTTTGTGCCAAATGTATCAGGCGACACTAACTTGTTGCTAGCCCTAGAAGATTACTAGTGATTCCAACAGTGAGCTAGTCAGGACAGCGCAAGGAGAGGAGGCTTAGAATCCAAAGCATACGGATACTATTAGTAGAAGAGAATTCGATGAGGGGCAAATGTAACGGCACGTGATAAGTGGGATATAGTAGAGCTCTTCCTCCGGTCTTTGAGATCTAATAATGAGTCCCTACATCGAATTCCTGTCCTAATGAGCAACCGAAGAGATCGATCGTAGTAATTAGAAGTGCTTTCTATTGGCGAAGAGAGAAAAGACAAAGTGATACTCTGATCGACTGACGCTCTGATATCGGCCATGCTAGCGTCATAGTCGGAACCCTTTTAGGGCAGGGGAATACAGAATGACGCTATAATCACGTTTATCGAAATGGATTCATCTTGAGGCAAATCATTACCGCAATCATGCAAGATATCTCATCAATTCCTGGTCCCAATCTGTCGTTGGATATCAAATCGAAGCCGAGAGCATGATATCACGAACCTACCCTCTCGAACCCCACCAAAAATCTACGAAAAGAAAATTATCGCAAGTCAGCCGCCAAGCCTAGGATTCGAACCTAGATCTTCTTTGTGCTATGTTAACCCCTTACACCAACCTGGCTGTTGTTAGCAGGGCCATCCATTTGTAATCTTTTCATGTGCTTTCTCAGGCTTCCAGACCCCCATCCTTTTTTATAATATGCTTGTTTGGACTCTAAATTATTGTCCAGCGCTTTCAAATAACTGAAGTCAAATGAGTAGGGAGAAAAAAAGAAAAAGAAAGGGGGGCGTGAACCATCCATTTGGTTGAGGGAGTCATGGGAAGATTGGGGGAATGGAGGGAGGTTATATAGTAACGCTGTGGCTAGTGCCTCGCCTATCAGCTGCTTAGCGGGACGCATTTGGCCCACATGGCCCACCTCTATCAAAATCAGAGTGCCCGTACTTGGGGCTTCGTCGCTTGACCGTAAGATGCAGAGCTTGTCGGGTTTGAGATCAAAGCGATGGCCGAGGGAGGGCCGCTGCTTGGTTTGGTTTCTGGCAACAAGGGAGCTACATTGGGCGGGAGTGATAGAAAGAGAGCATCGGAAGCAGTAACATATATGGGAAAGGACCCAAGATAAATGGCGCTGATACAGCTCAATTCAAGCAACTATATGCTAAGTCTCTCAAAACATATCAACACCATAGCCCCACGTCATTAGTCGTACGCGTAGGACAATCAAATCGTTGAACGCCCCGCGATATTTGCCTCAGGCAGAAGCCCCACCTGCCTCGCGAACTGCGCGAATCAACTCGGCTTTCACTCATTACTCTTGCGAAATGGCACCCAAGAACAACGCCAAGGGCGGCGACAAAAACAAGGCTCCGAAGGGCAAGGGCAAAGAAGCCGGAGGTGATGCCGCAGGCAAGGAGAAAGGAGGCAAAGGAGCGCTGAAAGCGGCCACGTCAATTAACGTTCGACACATCCTGGTATGTGAATTGACGAGTCCGACCGGGATTAAAAAGCATGACAAGATTTAACCTTCTAGTTCCAGTGTGAAAAACACTCTAAGAAAGAAGAAGCGCTTGAGAAATTGCGCAACGGTGCCAAGTTCGACGAGGTCGCCCGTGAATTCTCTGAAGACAAGGCGCGACAAGGTGAGATTGGACTATGATTCCGAATTTGGCTCGTCAGATCCTCAAGATGTTAATTTGCACAGGCGGATCCTTGGGCTGGAAGGTGCGTGGAAGTCTGGATGCAGCATTCGAAAAGGCTGCATATGAATTGGAGCCCAGTACCACCGGAAATCCCAAGTATGTTGAAGTGAAGACAGGCTTTGGATACCATATCATCATGGTAGAAGGCCGTAAATGATCAGTTGGCGAGAAAATGAGTGCGTTTGCTTTGCGAATTACGTACGTCTTCAGAGCTTAATTCGTACATGCTAGTCTTATACTCCTTCTATTCCCCTCGAAGGATTTTAAACGAGGATTGCATAACCAGTGTAAATGAATCTTTCTACTGCGCTTTCTTTGCAGCTTCGAGCTTTGCCTGCTCCTTTGCCTTCTTCTCCTGCCTTTGTACCAGGCCCTCTGCACCAACACCACCGAATACCAAAAGAATGCCCAGCCACTGTCCAACTGACAGAGAATGACCGAACCAGAACACGCTGAGAAGCATGGTGAGCATCTTTCGTGTCACTGTAACAGTAACAAGAACCAGGGAGGAGAAACGAGACAGGGTATAGAAAATGAACACCTGTCCGACCGCTCCGCATGCAGCAAAGCCCAGCACATTCTTCAAAGCTTCAGGGTGTCTTTGAAGAAACGAGATAGCAGACCAGAGCTCTGTCTCCGTGGACGGGGGAATAGGGAAAGGAAGAAGGTTATGAAGGACCCCGCTTCGGGAGATATGCGGCATTACCAAGAGGTATGCAGCAGTCAAAAACGTAGATAGCACATTCTGCGCAACCATCATCTGGGGCCCAGTGAATCGGGTGTACACCTTAGGCGAGGAGAAGACATGGTCTTGGGTGGTATTCGTCAATCCATCAAGAAGGAGGTTAATGGAGAGCAAGAAGATACCCCATGAAGACGATCCAGCCTGCTTTTCTGCCGATGCAGCGACCTTCTTACTTGTGCCCGGATGGTGCAGGGTGAAGGTCGCGACACCCAGAGTCACAGTAAGCACCACCGCGTACTTGTACAGCGGGTATCTCTTGCGAAAGATCGTCAGATGGAGGAGCATAACAGGAAGGAGCTTGCAGGACTTGGCGAGAATGAAGGTCAGGTAGTCTATATGGGCGAGACTAGCATATCCAAATGGCGAGGCGAGCGATGAGCATATGCTCACAAGGAGAAGAGGAGTAAGGATTCGGGAGGTAGGGAAGACCGCAGGGACCTTCTGTCCCTTCGGAGTGGAGAAGAAAAGGTACGCAAACCCGGTAATGGCAGCGAAGGTGGACTGGATTGTGTTCAAGACCAGAGAATATGTAAATCGTTCTGTTGGGGGCTCGGGCTCAGAGGCTGTAGCGACTCGGACAGGGTATGCCGTGGTGGTGATAGCTTCCTGTAAAACACCCCATGATAGGCTTTTATATGTTAGTATCCCAATCGACGGACCATTGACTGACTTGGAATCTCACAATGCTGCGTATATACCGGCGACGCAAATAAGAAGTTCCACCACCCCCGGGGACTCAGCGGCGGTTTCCAGAGGCGCAGCCTTTGCTGGAGTGCTTGCTAGAACATCTGAAGTTGACTTTGCGGATCCATTTGTTTGGGCTTTTAAATCCCTTGGTGTCTCCTCTTGCGTGTGCATCAACTGGGAAGACGGTTTTCGCTGTAGAGGCGCAGCTTGCTTTTGCCGACCCATTGCGCAAAGCTTGAAGTTGAAAATCGGCCGCAATAATGATGACACAAGTAACACGCCAAATGCTAGCAAGTTTGGTTCAGGCAGTATATATAGATCAACGTCAACGGGGAGACTGGCAAGACTCCTGAGACAGGATGATTGTTTCCAAGGGAAGATGATGCCATGTGTTCTGTTTCATTCAATCTTATCGGCATATCACTGATCGCCAGGGGGCCCCACCCGCGCCAGGAACTGCTGTTCTGCACAACCGGGAGGTCAATCGGCATAGTCGTGGGCAATACACGAGAAGCTTTTCCATTTAGGCTCAATTGGCCTAAGTGTAAGATCCATGCATTTCTGCAATTCACATTAGTCCAACCCATTCTTCGCGAACTGGCCTCGAACGAAACTAGCAGGCGGTGAACCGCCGCAGCGCGGTGAGAAAGAATCTGCCGATCACTGCAGCTATTTTTCGAGTCAGAAGTGGGAGCTTCAAAAGGCACCCTCGCCAAAGAATAACAGACCAGATCCCAACATCTTTCAAGTGCAGCCTTTCATAGTTCTCTCCGATCAATTACTCCATGTCGCAACCAGAGTGGCCGTCTCAGGCTCCCTCGGCTCTCAGTAAGCTCATTCACGACGCCGGCGCATCAGGGAATCAACCCACCGCAACCACTATCCAAGTGCTACATAATCTCCAACACCAGCACCTCTGGACCTCTCTCCAAATCCATGACATTTCAGATAAATTCAAACAGTATTACGGCGATGTTCCTACCGGCGAATTGCCCATCAGAAGCTTGATCTCTGGTCTCCCACCACATCGCGTCTACACGCACCCAGACGAGCAACTTTATATGCTTCAGAACGGGATCCGGGAAGACGAGCTCCGACCGGAGCGCCTTTTCGTTTTGCCAACTTCACAAGGGATCACCTTCAGCCTCAGGGTCATCACAGCTGTATTCAATGCTTTGGGGGGATAATCTGGAGACAGTAGTTGAGGACGGTGTGATCACAGGGCCGGTTGTGGGCGAGGGAAAGGAAAAGAAGTTGGATGAATATTACAAAAAGAAGGTAGAATGTCTGGCTTCTAAGGAATGGGGCTCGAAGCGCATCCTGCTTGCTATGGTAAATCGGGGCCCTGGAGGTGATGGAACGGTGGTATACTATGTGATCCAAGAAGGGGAGGTGAAGCCGAGACAAAATTAGACCGCGGGCTTCTGTCTAGTGATCAATATGGTATGTATGTTCAATTCAGTCTCCCTGCTATGTTTTGGGGAGAATCTCGCTCAGGGCTAATTTGACAAGAGTGCTCAGGCGGCATGATGCACGAGCGTTGAAGATTGCACGCGAAATACACCCGGAGACCACCGAGTATAGAGATTACAAGAAAGATCGAAGCCGGAGGAAGTAAGAATCGCCCAAGAAATCAAAGTCAGCCTGCCTTTGTTCAGCCAAGCACGTTGGCATGTCCATTACTCTTGGCATGCTCGCCTTCCCGCAGACAGCTAGTGCAATATCGTTCATACCATTGCTTCACATGGTCTGCGTTTTCAGCGAAGATTCGGCCGGCCTCCTCCTCGGGGCTTGGTGCCGCTAGGTGGTCACTGAGCAGGATCTCCACTTGTCGACACCGTCGAAGCTCTTCACGAAGCCATCGCTCCCATTCGGTTTGAATCACCTCCTTTTCGATGTTATTCACGACGCGGAGCGCCACCAGGAGGTCGTGTCGATATGTCCCGAGTCGTTCGCGAGTCTGCTGGAAGCGTTTTGTCGCACTTCTAGCCACTGCGTCCCTGGGTCCAGAGGTGCTGAGCGATAGCGGCATGTCTGCATACCGGAGAGCATTCTCTTGGAATGCGTCGAAACAGCTACTGGCGTTTCCGTCCGATGGCCAGAGAGTTGTATTTGCAACTGCTTCGTCGATGTCGCGAATGTAAATAGCTTTGCTCATCATCATATTCGGTTGAACTCCCAATCTAGCGAGGAATTTGCCTGCATGCCGTTCGTGCCACCAATCCCATGTATCTCGTGAGGAGTAAAATCCATTCATGAAAGCACTCGATACCAACAGCAGCAGTATGATTCTGTGCGCGCTCACGGTCTTCCATGACCAGCGCATAGCATCGAACGTCCATGCCATCATGAAAGAAATGACACCTTCCATGAAAGATGTGCATGTCTCGAGAAGGATTTGAACCATTGTTTGGCGAGTACGTGGTCGGCGGGGCTCAGTTTTATCACCCCCCAGGCCATTGAAATGAGAAACTTGGTTCTGGCGCCCAACGTGCCCAAAGATAGTGATCGCTTTCTTTGTACGGCTGTGAGCGCCAAGGCGTCGCACTTGGTCAGTGACCAAGTCGACCAAATCCAAAGCATCCTCTTCCAAATCCTTGCTTGCCCGTTTATCGATCATACCTGCAGGAATTAGGGATCAAAGAGATATTCTTAAATAGATGAAAGTGAATACTTACTTTGAAGACCGAATGGCGTCTTGAGCCATTCAACCTTACTGTAGATAGCAAGTTTGCTCTTCGATTTCCCGACAAACGTAATTGCAACCTTACTGACAAGACGGAAGGATCTTCGAAAAGGGAGATGCCAAGGAGTCCGCTTATCAGTAACCACATACAGCAGGTGATCTTGCAGTACATCGACTATCTGATAGTCTGCAACCGACTGGTCTTGTAGTTGGCCCAAGACACCTTCTGTTGAAATACTGTATTGGAGGTCTCGTCTAAGGTGACGAGCCTCTGTGCTGACCCAAGGACTTTGTTTGATGTCTTTTGCTTGTCGCTCGTGGAGTAAAAGCTGCCACACTGCACTTTTATCGCCAAAGAGGATGTGGAATAATGCTTTGGGGCTGATGTCAAGAATTTTCTCGGCAGCTAGGGTCAGATCTCCTTGAGGTTTATATTCTACCGGTTTTGCGGGGAGTCTGAACCTTGGGTTGTCGCGACCACGTGTCTTAGTAGCGTCCAAAGTGAGGTCTTTGTCGATATAGATAGGAACGCGAAAGTCCTTTCCAGTCGTTGCAAGTCGTGGATCATTCTTCGCATCGCGTGTGATATCTTCCCAGCTGTCTGCACTAGGATCTCTGTTCGAGGATCCGTTATCCATCTTGATTAACTCTTTCAGTAGAGCCTCGAGGCCCAGGGGCTCGACAGCTATAGATTGCTGGATCAAGAAGTCCAGGCGTTTCTGGAGAAGCTTCAAGGGCTCCAGGAAGATTTTCATCGTAACTCGTCCTGGAGTGTCGCTTCCCAGCGGCGGAATGGTATGAAGGAAGAGAAAATCACAGTCTCTTCCCGAAGCAGCTGTGACTTCTTTGATGTTATGAAGAGAAACGCTAGTGGTCAGCACAAGGCCAAGATGGTTGCTGTAGAAGTAAAGGCTCCGAGTGGTGACATAGGCTCGGCCCGGAAATTCTTGGACATCATTGGGAGTCCACGTTGCCCTGAAGACAAGAACCAATGCTTCGTCCCTCGTAACATCTGGGCAAAGTAATCGAAACTGAGCATCTTGATACCGCAATTGTTGGGGATATATCGTAGGATAATCGGGCTCGGCGGGCTCGGAGCTTTGATCCTTAGCAATCTGCTGGTGGATCTTAGACGCTTGGTCGCCATCAAGGCTAACAGTCTGCCTATGGCGTGGGCCTGATACTTGTCGCTGCACCTGAGGTGGAGTGGGGAGGATTGGTTGAGCAGCAATGTCTTTAGATGGATCACTAGCCGGTAGCGTAGCCAGATCTTTCTCGGTATCCTTGTCGCCCCTTTCAATCTTCTTTTCAGTCGCAAGCTTGTTGATAAATCCCCAATTAGAGCTGCCCCACAGGTTTGCCATCATCCCACTTGGCATGCCTCCTGTGCTGTCCACCAGGCCTAAGCCAATCCCTCTTTCGCTACTTACAACCACCGCAGCTTTGCTCATACTAGTAGCAGCCGGTGGATTAGCAAGTGTGGGAGGGGCAAGATCGGCACCAGGCTCGTCATAAGTGCTTAAGCTTCGGCCTCTACTGCCTTCGCCCTCTTTAGTATTCACAGCTGCAGATCCGCCGTAGGGCAGGATGTTGTGACTCGCTGAGATGAGACTGGCAATACCACCTACAGGTCCGGGTATGGAGGGAGATGCTGGGGGGGGCATTGTTCGACTTGCGATGCAAATCTAACTTCTGAATAATGTGCGCTCTGGTAGAGCTCTCGCTGTCTCCACCGGTCAGTCGGCGACCACCATCAGTACTGGCCCTAAAAGTGCTGCTATCCCGATCAGGAATTGGTAGTGCTGAGCTTCGGTCCCCATTCGGTTCCTCGCTTGGAGGTATTAATGAGTCACTTGGTTCTGCTGTAAATTCAGGAGCGGGTGGCTGGGAGATGGCGAATGCTGGGTCATGGACGGTCATTTTTCCCGAGATGGAGAGGTCAGTGCTAGCTGGATCCTCCAAGGCCTTTTGCTTGGCCGCTTCAAAAGCACCAATCCATTCCATCAGCTCCTTTTGTGTTTCCGCTTGGAGAATGATGCTGTTGTTCTTGGTTTTGACCTGGAAACAGAACCGTCGCTCCTCTTGGAATGCAGGACGGACACTGCACAGGAGGACACCAATTCGTTCAGTTTCTTCAACACCTCCAGTCCGAGAACCCTGGACCAGACATCCAAAGATACCATGCTTCAGGAAGGCCCAACGCCTCACCCAAATGGACCGGGTAGGCTTTCCAGAGAGTTTGCGTAAATAGAGCCAGCCTTGCTTTTCAGGCTTAGCATCTTTGCCCATGTTGAGCGTTGGAATAGGACGAGAACCGAGATAGGGTACAGTAGAGACAGAATAATCCTCTAGTTCACGAGAAGGTCTCGCCGCCAGCTCCGCAGCCTCCTCAATCTGCTTCCTGGCCGCGAAAAGCTCCCTTTTGGCGGATCTGTCACTTGCTTCCATCTCATGTACCCAACCCTTGATACGATCCATCTCAGTCGACCATTTGGAGAAAGTTTGGCTGTTGTTATTATGGAACCCACGGAACTCCCTCCATTGGTCGAATGATACACGCACAAGAAGTCTGTCAAGCGCACTGCGAAGTTGGGGAGATTGGACTGCGAAGTCCATTGACATGCGGATGTAGGTCTTTCGGGCTTCATGGAGCTGGAACGCTTCCTCCCTCAGGGCCGAGTTCTCTTTCGATTTGGACTGCGACGCATACCGCGCTGAGAGTAAATCATACTGTTTCTGGGCGCTGTCGAGATTTCGGCGAATTTCCTTAGTCAAATAAAATCAGCGATTGTTATCACAGAAGGTCCGGACGGGACGGGACGTAAGTGCCCAACTTTGCCCTCATGTACCTTGAAATTCCTAAGATCCTCTTGAATAAAGGTGCGAATAGGCTCGGCAATCATTGACTCCATCTTCTTGATCGTCGCGACAATCCCATTCCACAGATCCTTAGAGCCCTCCCCGCATCTTCGCATTGCCAGCAAGGTGTAATCATGGTCGACAACGGCTTCGGAGACGACAAGGGGATGTGTGGAATAAGATAAAAAGCTTCCTACGACTCCTTCCAGAGCAGTCAGCTCGGAGGATAGTTTGGTCGAAGCTTTGGCGTATCCGTCAAGCCATTTCTCGATAAAGTCGATCTGGTCACAGAAGTGCTGGGTAGTTGCACGGAAGGTAGGGGAGTCAAGCGCCGCTTCTTTCAGACCTACGGGCCTAGAGGTTGACAAGCTGGTTAGCATTGGTGTGAAAAGCCCATTGAGGGATGCTTTCAGGACTTACACCACGCTCAGAAGCTTTCCGGCCTGAGGGATCGGAGTTGTTGATGAGGTTGCCATCTATTGCATTTCTCCAGCCTCTTCTTGCCGTGAAGGGTATCTCGGGCCAGACAATAGAGTCGGATATGCCTCGTCTAGGGGAATCGGATCGATCCCGTTTTGACGAAGACAATGAGATGAGGTTGACAGGAAGTTGTACGCAGTTACACGTACTACTCTGTGAAGGCGAGATCTGACCGAACTCGCCGCACGCTGATTTGATTGGCTTAGCATCGACGTCACGAACAGGGAGCATCAGCTGGGCCTATTGAGCGCCTTAGGCAACAGTGGGTCGTCTTCCGTTCCTGGGCGGTGTGAAGTTTTTTTTTTTCTGCCCGGTCAACTCTCGAGCAGCAGAGTTCTACAGAAACAAATTTCACTCGAGTCGCAATGGAGCCTCCTTCGAAAAAAATGCGGACGCTTATGGAGGATGATAGCTCCGACTCTGGTGATGACTCTGGCGGAGTCCCCATCAACCACAAGTCCCCTGAGGCCGGTTTCAAGATCAACGAAGAGTACGCCCGACGGTTCGAATACAATAAGAAGCGCGAAGAAGTCCAGAAACGTATGTGTTTACCTGAGTTTGACTGGTAAACATGCCTTTTATCCTAACTCATTTTGAAATAGTTGAATCCAAGTACGGAAAGAGCACAGCGGACGATGAGCCCTCGGACGACGAATCCTCGGAAGAGGACGAAGATGAAGATGGAGAGCTAGTAACAGAGGCATTGGATGCTGAAATCATGGCTACTCTCAAAGCCATTCGCTCCAAGGACCCGCGCGTGTATGATGCAGACGCGACCTTTTACAGCAAGTTTGATGAGGACAGTACCCCGAAAGAGAAAAAGGAAAAGCCCATGACCCTGCATGACTACCATCGCGAGAATCTTCTGAAGGGAACCGATCCTGCGGATGAAGACGACACGCCCAAGACCTTTGCTGAGGAACAGGCGGATCTCAAAAACGCGCTTGTGAAGGAATTGCATGCTTCGGACGAGGAGATGGAGGACGCTGATGACTTCCTGGTCCGCAAATCGGAGCCAGAGCCTCTTCCCAAATCGAATGTTAAGCTTGACATTGAGAACGCAGACAAAGATCCTGAAAATTTCCTGTCAAACTTCATGGCCGCTCGCGCCTGGATTCCGGAGGACCGACCACAGCTCCATCCCTTCGACTCGGACGATGATGATGAAGTCGAGCGAGCCGACGCCTTAGAAGAGGCTTACAACTTCCGCTTCGAAGACCCGAACAAGCTTAACGAGACATTGCGAACACACGCACGTGATGCAACCAACAAGATGTCCGTCCGCCGAGAGGAGAAGAGCTCGCGGAAGAAGATCAGAGAGGCTGAACGTCAGCAGAGGGAGGAGGAAAAGAAGCAGCGGGAAGCTGAAAAGAACCGTCTGCGCAAGCTGAAGACTGAGGAGCTGCAGAACAAGGTCAAGCAGATCAAGGAAGTGGCAGGTCTCCGAGCGTCCAAATTCACTGACAAGGACTGGGCAGCCTTCCTTGACGCTGCTTGGGATGACAAGGAGTGGGAGAAGGAGATGGAGAAACGATTTGGAAACGATTACTACGCAGACGAGGAAGATGGCAAGAAACACCCTAAAAAGCCTGAGTGGGATGACGACATCGATATTAAAGACCTCATCCCCGACTATGAAGATGAGGAAGGCCCGCCCGCTTTGGGTTCGGATGATGAAGATGATGACGCTGATGAGGGTGCTAAGAAGAGCAAAGCCCAGGAAAAGCGTGACCAAAAACGAGAGGCTCGCAAGGATCGTCTCCGTGTCGAAGAAGCTGTTGATCGTAATCTGGATCTGGATATCACCCTGCTTCCGGGCGCTACCAAGAAGAACGCAACACGATTCCGCTACCGTGAAGCCTCTCCTGAGAGCTTTGGATTGACCGCGCAGGATATCCTTATGGCGAGTGACTCGCAGCTCAATCAATTTGCTGGTCTCAAGAAACTTGCCTCCTTCCGTGATGCCGAGAAAAAGGCCAAGGACTCTAGAAAGCTTGGCAAGAAGGCTAGATTGCGTCAATGGCGATTGGACACATTCGGCAACGAGTCAGGACCGGTCTTTGATCTTGGTCAGCAAGAACCTAGTGGCAAGGCGAAGGCTGGCGACAATGACGAGCGGGAAACGAAGGTGGATATCCGCGAAGGAGATGGACGCAAGAAGCGCAAGCGCTCTAAGAAGCACTAAACCCGAAGGTTTTGCAAAAAGTATATTTAGCTCATTCATGTCACAGTGACTGTTAATAGCTTCAAGTTTTGCGACATGTGGCCATGGCGTTCTGAGGAAAATTTCAATTCATTTCTGATACGGTATTCCCACATGCATACCAATTGGTAGTACACTGACACGATGGTTCTTTTCATTCCCTCAAGTCTATCCTCAATTCGAAACCAGGCGCTGTAAGTAGGTCAAGGTCAAATTCGATCTTGAGGTTAAAGCTAGTAGTGACACTCAACATCAAGCTCGAGCTTTAATATCCAGATTTTTCGGGATTGGAAGCGGCACGATGTTCCAAGTTCAAGCTGAAACCCGCGCCAGTCGACACTCGGACTTGGGACGGTTGCGGTGCTCAAGCTACCACCTACTAGTAGGTATATATTCAAGTTCATCTAGCATGGTCCGAGTCTCAGCTGTCTGCTCTCCTGGGCCAATACTAAAATCATCAGTTTGCTACCCTCCTATTGAAGCTGAAAGAGTAGTCCTACTGCTATGGAAATGCCACCTGGCTATTTTCGGAGAACCACGCTAGGTTATGAGTGTGGTTGCGGTGTTTCTAGAACCTATCTCCATGAATCATATAGGTGGTGATAAAAGAGATGATTTTCTAACTATATGTTCTCTGTGAATAATGCCAGTCAGATGTGAGCATGAGACTGAACGGCATCAAGTACCGTCACCGTCTTGAAGATACTTCAGCTTACAGCTTGAAGGTTGATACTAGTCTAGGTAAATAAAGGTGGACGGCTGCCAGTAAGGATATCTCTGCTATCTTGTATCTATTAATATTCACTCTAAATGCAACGTACGAGTAGCCTCCTGGCACCGGGTAGCCAAACCATGTCAGCTTATCTGACAAGATCTGGAGATCGGTTCTGGAGCTACAGTTGCATCCTAGGCAGACCTTCGGTCCCCTAACCCAGAGGTTCAGTCATGGAATGCAAGCTGCAAGTGAGTTCGAATTATATCGAAGTACAACGGTGAAGCCATTCATATTCCTTACCGAATGACATGATCCAAACCGGCAATTGCGTATACATACATCATAGTCTAGGTCCAAGTGAGTGTACTATTAACTAGGCGCAATCAAGTCCTGGCAGTGAAACCAGGACGCGCGCGACGGTGGCTGAGTCCCGGCCGTGCAATTTGCAGCGGTAACCAAATGATCCATGGCAATACTATGCAGAGCTTGGTAATATTACCCTTATCCTGGAGGTTTTAACTAAGCCCTGGATATTCTGGCAGGGATGACCAAGCCCTGGTGGTCCATGGCGCTGATTTCATTCTAGCAAAGTCCCCAATCCCTATCATTGCTCTGAAGATGACCTAACCTTCTAGCTGCCATGCTCAAAGCATTCACAAACATCATAAGCCGTTTGACCTTGAATAGGATATATATCGAGTCTACTCCGTAGAATGATGAGGTAAAGTGGATCCGATTTTTATTGGACTGGACCTGGCTTCGTCCCATGTACAACCGCGCATGCGGCTAACCCCCACTCTGAGTTGCGTACCGGTAAGTTGCCAGAAGGGTCCTTGGAAAATGTCTCATAATGGCAATGATGGCGATGACCAGCCTCAAGGTCGAGTCCGCGAGTGTAATATACAGTATGCTAGAGATGGCTATATGCGGGTCGATCTGAAAAGTTAATGATAAGTTTCGAACATTCGAAGAACTTTCTTTTTGCACCAAACCCAGTCCTTTTCAGTTGCCACTAGATTTCCACAGCCATGGCTCATCTGGGGATGAGAAGTCGGGGAGCAGGTCACGAGTGGCAAGGGGGTTGCCATCGGATCCTCGGAGGTTTAGGGGGGGGGTGGATTGCCCCGGTGGGCCCTATGAAGATACGCGTACCAGCGTGACCGGCGAGGTGGACCACCTGGACAGCGCTTAGACACTCGTTGCTCCGGGCTACCGGCTTCAGTTCGCATATCTGCTCTATATCGCAGTCTATAGAAAAGAGGGTTCATAGTATAACAGGGAGGGGAATTAACTAGTGTAGACGATATATTTGACGAGGAATACAGATCATAACATCCAGAGACAGCTGCTAGGAATGCGCGTATGGACCAGCCTCTTTACTGCAGAGTTTTTTTCAGGTTTTTCCTGTCCGCATGGCCGATCGGGAGATATCGGCAAAGGGGGCCGGACAATACACAGTAATACTGTAATGCAGTTCCTGATTGGGTCTTAGCGGGATTGGGCTCGTTCCCGTGTACGGCAGTATTTTTCTCTCACCCCTTCCGCCCCTTCTCTTCTTTTCTTCCTTTTCTTCCCCATCCCCGGTGTTCATTCTTGACACTCCCCATCTCCTCTCTTCCGTGCTACCTTTTTTGTTTGCACAACCTTCACAATGGCCAAGGGTGACGTTAACCAAGCCGAGAAGTCCGTCCTGGGCATGCCCGTAAGTCGCTACTCCCTGATCCTCGCGCAGCTTTGTCCACGGTTTCGAGCTTTCTCAAGCTGCATCTCATGAAATGAGCTCAGCATTGGGAAGAGCCTTGGCCTTGATGTGGGCAATGCTCCGCAAAGGAGGGTTCGAATTAAGAATTGCCATCAGTGGCTAACGAAAAAATTTTTTCTTTTCAGGGATTCGTCGTCGACTTCCTCAGTATGTGATATCCGTTCCAGTTTTCGACAAAATGAAATCGAAAACAGTCATCGGAGAATGCGTAGACTGGTGCTAACTGATTCACAGTGGGTGGTGTTTCCGCTGCTGTCTCCAAGACCGCCGCTGCCCCCATTGAGCGTATCAAGCTTCTGCTCCAGAACCAGGTTAGTGCTCCCCCTTTTCGCAATGATCTCGGGCAACAGCATCGAAACAGCGAAATTACCCTCGAGGCGAATTGGAAGCAGATATCAATCATTGTGCAATATGACTGCAATTGATGAATTGCTCCCATGAAAGTCCGAGAGGAAAAATTTTTTTCACCCTTTGATCCCCTTGCCCGGCATTGCGAATCACCGATAGAATTGCATCAGTCGACTAATCTGCATGAACTCAACAGGAGGAGATGATCAAGGCTGGCCGTCTCGACCGCCCCTACGCTGGTATCGGTGACGCCTTCAAGCGTACCATCGCCGCTGAGGGTACTGCCTCTCTCTGGCGTGGTAACAACGCCAACGTCATCCGTTACTTCCCTACCCAGGCTCTTAACTTTGCCTTCCGTGACACCTACAAGTCCATGTTCGCCTACAAGAAGGACCGTGATGGATACTGGATGTGGATGATGGGTAACCTTGCCTCCGGTGGTGCTGCTGGTGCCACTTCCCTCCTCTTCGTCTACTCCCTTGACTACGCCCGTACCCGTCTGGCCAACGACGCCAAGTCCGCCAAGGGTGGTGGTGAGCGTCAGTTCAACGGTCTCGTTGACGTCTACCGCAAGACCCTCGCCGCTGAGGGTATCTCCGGTCTCTACCGTGGTTTCGGTCCTTCCGTTCTCGGAATTATTGTCTACCGTGGTCTGTACTTCGGTATGTACGACTCTATCAAGCCTGTTCTGCTGGTCGGCTCTCTTGAGGGCAACTTCCTTGCTTCTTTCCTGCTCGGCTGGACTGTTACCACTGGTGCTGGTGTCGCTTCCTACCCTCTTGACACCATCCGTCGTCGTATGATGATGACCTCCGGTGAGGCCGTCAAGTACAAGTCTTCTTTCGATGCTGCCCGCCAGATCATCGCCAAGGAGGGTGTCAAGTCCCTGTTCAAGGGTGCTGGTGCTAACATCCTGCGTGGTGTCGCTGGTGCTGGTGTACTGTCCATCTATGACCAGGCTCAGCTCCTCCTCTTCGGCAAGAAGTTCAAATAGATGACTCGCCCCTCGCGAGGAGTCTAGCCACTGTAGTTATACTGGAGTCGGGGATGTCGTCCCTGCCCCTGGTCTGACCGATGGGGCGCGGGAGGTTGAGGTTGTGGCCACGGCAAAAGATAGATGCGTCAAGAAATGGGTTCGGGGGGGATCTTGAAGCATAGAATGGTGATTCTTCCCTTTGGTTACCCGATGTATTTTACTGCCTGCAAGCTCTTTTTCTTTTCTTTTCAAAACTTGTACTTTTCTTGACGTATCTGATTCCATTGTACATCGTAAATTGTAGGAACCCGTTGATACATCCGTACCTTCCCCATTTCTAGGTCGGTTCTCTGTGACTGCTGGCAGATGGACATTTGTCGACATTATTGACAGCTTCAAGTTCACAGTGCTCTCTGCCTTTGCCCACTGGACTGTTTATCTGGCCTCTCTGGGCCCTCACCCCCTAGATATTACGGCCACGTATGAGTCTTTAGCCACGCGGTAGAGGTACCCCTAGTTCCAAGTTGTTTACGGAATGCTCAAAGTCGCCGTTTGTTCTGCTCATCAGCATTACTTTTCTTGAGCTGACTACCATAGCTATCTCCCTTTGCGCAGACCAACTGCGGCGAACAGCGAGTCCACCTGCCGCCCCACTGCTGTTGCCCATGACGTCTAGCGCGGCAGCTCTCGAATAGCTCCCCTTCGTTTTACTTCACGAACCTCCTCCTCCTTGAACACACAATACGATCCCAAACAATTCTTTCTTGCAATCATGTCAGCTCCCACAGGGATCCCAACATACACTTCAGCCCCCTTGAATGCCAACCAGAACGACGAGAGCACTCAAGGCTCAACCTCCCATCCCGAACCCGCCACCTCAATCGAGGCGTCCGCTACCGGCACACCGCAGCCTCCAAACACCTCGGCCACCGCTACAGCGCCCTCATACGCCCCCATATACGCGACCGCTCAGGATGGATCTTCTTTACCAGCACAGCCCGGTGCAGCCCCAAGCCTCGCAGCTCCCACCGCCGCCCCGGTTCTGCCGACCTCAGCGAATCTAGCACCAACTCCAACATCTGCGCTCCCAACCGCCACGTCTCAGTCCCCTCCTGCTCCACAGCCTGGTGCTATGCCCACGGCACTTTCTGCGGCGGCCCCGCCATCTGCAGTATCTCCAGTGCCTCCTCCCCGAAAGCAGGAGAGCCTGTGTCTGTCTCGACGCCGGCACCGCAGTCCTCGTTCAGTCCATCATATGCTTACCAGCGGTCTCCGCCCAGCCATGCCCCGGCGCCTAATTCGACGACGACTCCTTATTCCTCCGTGTATCCCTCTACCTCTGGTTCGTACTCCCAGGGTCTTCCACTGCATGGAACCAGTGGAAGCGGAGGCGGTGCAGGCAATATCTTTGGTGACGAGGAGGAGCCGGGGTTTCTCACTACGGCGAGGGGATGGTGGCAGAGTGCGGGTACAAAATTGGCGGAGGTAGAGGCAGAGGTTTGGAAACGCATTAATGATGCCCATGGGAAGTAGAGGAGAGCTTGGCTTTTCCTAGGAGGAGCTATGGGTTCTTAGGGCTATTCTTTTTTTTGCTTTTACATTGTAACATTTCTAGATAGTGGGGCGTCGGATGGTGGCTTATGTCTCGAGTCTGGCGTTATTGGGGATGCCAACGGTGGCTGTGTTGATTTACACATGGACTCATTTTTGAGCCGGCAATTACACGTACTGGGTATCATGGTATTCCGCATTTATTCTTTCGGGTAATGCTTATAGCGTACCATACTAAGATGGCAGAGGGGACGCAGTTTTATCTGTTCTCATCAACCCCTCTTTCGTCGCCTGAGGTCTGATATGATGCCTCGACCAAGGGCTTGTGTCATGTACACTGCTGAGAGATAGATTCCTCTACCATGCATGTTGTTACATGGAATTCGTTCCCTGGTAACTTAGACAATAGCGGACAAGAAGCGTCATAAAGCCTGATGCTTTGATTTGTATTCAGCATGCTGATCCAAGCTTGTTAAAGCAAAGATCCCATGGGTTGTCTTCGAAGTAACTACATACTCCTCGGCAATACATATGCCTTGCCTGCCTTCCACCCAAACCCTCACTGAGCCCCATACTAACTCAAGGGGGCTACAAAAAAAGACCTGTGACCCAGGATCTGGACATCTTTCAGTAAATTCAATGAAGAAAACCAAAAGCACAACCACACTTGCAGTCAAAAAACCAGATCGAGAAAGCAAGAGACAGTGCGGTCAATCAAGACGACCAACTCTTCACATTCCTCAACCGAGCTGCAACGATTTTGACAAGCTGAGAATGGCTGGTGACCAAATGTGAGTGGGTCAACACGGGAACGGGATCAAGAACAGAGATATTAAAACGAGTAATGAGAACAGTAAACTGCGAGTCTCCGGCAAGAGGGTTGAAGCCAAAGAACTCGATGCGAAGGGTAAGAACAGTTTCATCGGGGATAGACGGGGTCAGGTGACAGTGGGTATCCAGGCTTAACATGGGGCAGCAGATCGTATAGCCTGCTAAGGCTGCTGCACAAGTTGTATCAAGCCGAGTTCCTGATCGCCATATCCAAATCCAAACGCCATAACCAGAACGAAAAAAAGGAAAAACAAAAATTGATACGAATATTTCCTAACGCCAGTGGTATCCACGGCGTTAGCGCGTTTCAAGCGTTCCAGTCGGATAATATCAGAATATCGACCGGATGCTCTTTTTTCTTTTCAGTCGTGAGAACATCGGGGAAGAAACGTCAAGAGCGGTCCGGACCAGCCTTGAAGACCTGATTATGTGTGTGTGCCAGCAAAAGGTGAAACAAAGAAACAATCAAGGGACAAAACGCCGACCATGGATAGTAGAGCTTTACATAGAGCCCAAGCGAAGAAGCGCCTCAACTGCGGCGCGCTCCTGGGTGTCGAAGGTGTGGGGAGTGGATTTCGCGAAAGTGGATGCAGTGGGGCTGACAAAACCAGCAGGAAGAGGCTGACGGGCAGCAACGTTGCTGCTTCGCACGAATCCTCCTCCACCGTTCATCGATCGTGCTCGAAGAGCATCGGCTCCGATCTGCGCCCAATCCTCCTCGTCGGTGACGTCGCTTTCATTCCACTCTTCGTCCTGAAGTTCGTCCGGCGCCTCGGAAGAAGAGCAGTACGCACGCTCGTCATCATCGCCATCCAGCGACATCTTGTCTGCCTCATACTCAAGCATGTCGAGGTCTTCGTATTCGCCACGCGCACCATTGTCAGTGGTGTAGGAGTACGCGATCGAGTCTCGGCCTGCATTTGCACCGTACACATTACGTCGATTCCGACCCGCGCCCTCGATTTGCAGACCACGCTGCTGGAAAGAGCCGGTCAGGCTAGAGGGAGGCGACGTCGAGGCGTTGGGGTCAGTCGCGCGTGCTTCGCCGCGACGGTGAGCGTCCCAGCGGCCCCAGCCGACCTTCTCAAAAATGACCTCGCTGTTGGCGCCACCGGCCCTTTCAAGGGCAGCGACCACGAGGCGTCGCGCCTTCGCAGGTGGAATACGCGCGAAACCAGGGACCGATGTTGTCAGGTGGCCCATGACATGACGGATGGCCAGCGGGCCCTGCTGCAGCAGGATCTCAGGGAGATGGTATTTGGCCAGCATGACCGGGGTAATGTCGCCGACATTGTCGATTTCGATGGTAGGCTGGGGCTTGTCGCGGGCGTGCTCGTCCTGCAGATCGATGTCTGAATCAAGCTGCGGGACAGTCGACAGTGGCGAGCCAGGGGAGAAAACCGGTCGATTTTTGAAAGCTTGCGGCGGTAGGGTCGGCGAAATGGAGTTCGGTGGCGTCGGCAGCATGGCCGGCTGTCCGGGGCGAGCTCGAGGCTTGGTCGCGCCAGCTCGAGGCTGAGGAATATCGACAGAGGCGGTCTTGCCAGCAAGAGCCATTGCGAGGCTGGAACTGGATTGCATAACCATGTTGGATGTTTGAGGAAGAAGACAAAGGGGGGGGTCTTGGGAGATCTAAAAGGACGCGCGCGCATTAGCATCTATGAGTCAGATCGGGCGTACCATAGAAATGCGACAGCCCCGAGTTTGGTAATTGGGGGCAAGGGAAGTGGCAACTGGCGAACGCTTTGTTTTCAAAAAGGCATGAAAGCCATGAAAGCCATGACAGCCACGACAGCCACAGGGGCATATGCAACTTACCTCCACGCGTAGTTGCAGATGTTGGAGACGGGTTGACGCGGTAAGGAGAAGACAATCGCGGCGCAGCTGAGTTGTCACCACGCGATCGGCTTCGAACCTTATATTTGGAATTTGGAATCCCTTTGGAGAGAAGGGAAGAAAGGAAAAGAGTATGGTCAAAGAGGTAGAAAGAGAAGATCACAGGGATTTGTGCGACTGGAGTAAGAGCGACCTGGAGCCCCTCCTTAAGGGCCAGGACAGGCCAAACTATGGGACTCGGCAGGCACTGCTCATGCGCAGCGCGTGGGCCGGTTGATTGGCGTTTCGTAGAGGCCGTGGAGGCCGGATACTTCCGGATTCAGCAGATGTATACTCCGTACTTGGGCATATTTTGCCTTATTCCATATTTCCCTTGGCCTTTTCCCAGTTTCGATCGCAATGAGCCCCATGGTGACATAGGGTTTCCATCCGGGTCTTCTTGGTTCTAATAGTGCTCTCTAAAACACCCTTGTACTGACAGCTCGATCTGGATCGCTTCCTCTCCCACTGGTACGGCCTTACGACGGGCCAAAGGGCCGAGGCCAAGGCCACTAATATGCTCCAGATGGTCCCAGTGATCCCAGTGACCCAAGTGTCCGAGATCGCAGAACAAACCCCTCACACTTATCGACCACTCATGAGGGGATTAGTCTCTCGTGCCCCCGAGAAAGTCAGCACCCGGGGCGTAACCCTAGGAAGGCCCCTCCGTTTCGAGCGGATGATAGCGAGCGTCGATCTGATTTGGCTGTCGCGCCCTCCCATAGGATGCACTGATAAGCCTTCCTCCCGGCACGTGGTCCATCCATGGTCGTTGTACAAAACTTGACCTCCGAGTCATCGCGACCCTTGGTGATGCTCTCCGGTGAAATGATCTCGTGGGATCCGCAATATTGCCCCTCCCGCTGTCCCCGCGCCTACAACCCTACTCTATTTCTCACACCCACTAACGCGGGTCATCGCGGGAAACTGAAATCGCCCTTTGGCCCTTTGACGTCATCTCGTACCCGATACTTGGCCAGAGCGTATCCGGGACTCCGTACAATGTCCAGCCAAGGCCCTGGCAACTGGCTAACCTAGTCAAAGAATGAGTTGATCCCCACGGGCCTGTGCCCTGACGCGTACCCGGATCTCGCGCCTTTGGCGCTGCCAGTGCGCGAGGTACCCCTCTCTGCACATTTAACTTTTGAACAGCCACTGCCGGAATGGTTGATGCTGTGTCAGGAATGCTGCTTTTCTGCAGCCCCGGATGAACTGCGGCCACATATACCACTACGACGTGTCCTCAGTACTTGCGCTCGTTGCCCGTGTGCCGAAATCGGCGGGAATGTAGATGGCCTTGAAAATAGGCAGGAGTATTTGAGACTGCTGACTATGTACTGTCTCTTGCTTATTGCTCTAGGGATAGGGTTCTTATTTGATTTTTCTATTCTCAGCTATGCTAAAGTCGTCGAAGAACACCGAATGAAATAATCTTTACTTTCCACAGGGACACTATCCAGGATCTTAGGAGACAGCTGCAGTAATTCAGTCTTCATCGATCCTTGCACCCGTGCTCAGCTCGCACAGTGGGGGCTGCCCTCGTACTCCCCAATGATCAGATCGTTTCACAGAACTGCCACTCTTTCCGGAAAGGGGCTGTTGTGGTCTTCCTAGAAGGTGTACCGGTGGGCGACCGGCATAATGGGGATTCGTACCGGTACAAGTCTACCTCCACTGTAATGGCCCCCGTGATGTACAACGCATCGGTGGTCAGAACACAATCGATAGAATCCGCTAGAACGAACACTCCGGCTGATGATGCCTATGGCAGAAGCATTTATCCAACGTTACTGTACCCAGCAGCATAGAATCAAACCCGTCCACCAGAGCAGGGACATGACTCATACAATACTGCAATCAACGCATAGAACCTCCAGGGCACAGTCTACTCTCCTCACAGCAGAACGACTACCAGCCTAACCACGACTATCCACTCCAGTATATTCACTTTTCCTCCCGAGTAACTGTCCTAGCGCGTAACTCAGCCAATGCAGCCCCCCTCCCAACACCCTCCAACCACCTCTCCAAGTCAAACATCCCCTCACTCAGATCACGGGGATCCCCACAAAAAGAAACACAAAGCCCGGCGTGCATGCCGGTTCCTCCCCATCCAGGAATCTAATCGAGCAACTCGTGGGGCGATAACTGCTCGTCTCATACGCGGCCAACTTCGCTGCATGCTCGAGACTGCCTACGTCGTACACGGCTCCCTTGATCTCCCCACCGGGCTCTCCTTCTAGTAGCGCCGGGTACTGCCCCCCACTGCTTGCATTCATACCCGTCGAGTGAGGCGGGCCGCAGGGTGGGCGTCTGGTCCAGCCCCAGGATCTCGACTAGCATGTTCGGGTCTAAGAGGGTGCCATAGAAGAAGTATGCGCCGGTTGGAGGGGTTATCTCAGCTGGGGCCCGGAAGAACGGGTCCCTTTGTTTCGTTTTCAGCTTGAGCACTGCTGGCGAGACTTTGCTGAGCAGGTTCACCGGTGGTGGGGGTGGTGGTGGTGGGGGGGAACTTTGTAATTCTTTGGAGAACGGTGGGGGTTCGAAGGATGACATTGTCGTCTGTGATCTTGGGGCTATGGCTGGCAGGGCTTTATCATGCTACTAGTATGTCGGGAGGTTGTAGCCAGGCACAGGTACAGATGGAGATAGTGATGCCGAGGGGTTGGAGACACCGTGCGGGGACCCGTTGCGCACATACGAGAGTACTTAGGTAGATTGGTTAAAAATCATGCTGAAATAAACGTTCTGATTTCCATGGTCTTGTTATTCCATGGATTCTGAGCTGGGAATCAATAGGCCAATTCGTTCATGAGGATTAGTGAACTTGAAGTGGGATTCGAGTTGGTCGACAGGCGAAATGATTGATGCCGAAGAGGAGGCATAAATATGTCTTTGCGCTACTCGGAGGGGCACCATGCAAAATGCGCAGATCAGAGTTCAAATCAGTAATGCATAAACCTATTCCGAGACAATATGAACCTCAGCCTCGCACTCATCAGTGTCTTTATAGTACCTGGGGAGTGCCCAGGTGGTATATATATGCTGCTGGTGTTATTATGACCTCTTGGCAGACAGCACAGAGCCGCACTGGCAGATATGATATGGGGAAGAATAGAGCCTCGTGAACTTATCAACTAGGAAACACTTCTGTGCTTATAGGACCGGGCTTACCATGCACTCATCTGGATAGTACTACCTGAAAACATCAAGCACAAATGGCTACTCCTTCTGGTAATGGTCGAGGCGATCAGTGGCTCAGGCTGACCTGCTCGATCTGTTGAAGCCGAACCTTGACAGCAACGATGATCGAAAGAAGTGACCCCTAGAGCTCTCCACTCGCTACGCATACAGATTACAGGGCAGATTGAACGGTTTTAACGTGTTTAGTCAGACATGCTCTTTATTTTCCAGGAGACCGCGAGAGAAAACAGGAACCAAGACACCGTAGGGTAATTCGGGTCATAGAGGTGAGGGATCATAATATGCGGAAGGAAAAAGGAACCCCCCCCCTAGCACAGGGACACACATCTCTGCATGCACACAGTCCAGGGAGGCCGGAACCTGTCTCGTCCTCTCTCTCGCTCATGCTCTCAGGATGTCCTCCACATGCAACAATCCGCTTCCCCGCGCTAGCCCCGTCTGGTCGTCATGAAATAGGAAAAAAGTTGGATGGGAAATAACAGGATATGTAAACGTAGACAAGCAAAATCGCCGGGACCTAGCACCGAATTTTTTTTTGATGTCATCTCGATTGTCCTGCTAGACGTTCTCTCTAGCAGCCATGAAGACGACCCCCAAATCTCATTAAGCCCTGTGCGATACGTTTACTCGTCATCCGACTCCTCCTCCTCATCGACGGTGGTCTTGGCGATACGGTCCAAGTCACGCTGGCCGCTCTGGGTAATGCGGCGGCCACCCTTCTCCTCATCGATCTCGAGGACACCGATCTTCTCCAGGGACTGCATGACCTTGCGGTCAACGGAGCCGGAGGCATCGACGTGGTGGGCGGGGCGGGCACCACGGTTCTTGGTGGAGCCGTGAGCCTTGCGAAGACGGCCAACACCGACGGTCTTGCGCATGTAGATGTGGCGGGCCACGGCAGCGGCTCTCACGTAGTACCTTTACACACAGAGACATGTTAACGGCCAGTTCTTCTTCACGGGTGTGTCTTGAGTTGGACTGGGGTTTCGTACCAGTCAGCATCCTGGGGGGGAAGCTCGTTGGAGGCGGAGGTCTTGACGGTGTCAACCCAGCCGGGGATGGGGAGCTTTCCCTGACGCTTCAAGAAAGCGGAGTAGGCAGCGATGAACTTCTGCGCCTGTGTCAAAAAAAAAGGACCGGTTAGCTTTTGTCTCTGTATAAAATTTGGGATCGTCTCGTATAACCCTCATGTGCGTGTTGGCGAGTATGTCGGCTTCGATTCCGGAGGCAATGGTCATTCCATTCTGTTGTACCCAAGGCAGTCTGGAGCCTTACTCGCAAGACCATAGTGTCAAGATTTGGCAATGAACATTCCCAATTGATAACCAAAAGGGCTTGCCCACATTCGCATCCTACACGATCTTCAAATCGAGCATTCCCCCCCCTCTAACCGCAGGCAGTTCCAGTACGGCAGCCCTCAATTATGAAATAGAGATTGCTTCGCTGGCAACACTGCAAGTATTTCCCCACGTATGAACCGAAGCCTCCAAGAACCGACCGCGTCACATTCGTCGAAACACACACGATGACCGGGCGAGAAAAGATCATGAAAGTAGTTGGATACGTACATCGACGTCGCGCACGGAAATACCTCCAGACATATTGGCGATGTGAGGCGTTAGACAAGGGGAGATGTCGTTGGCGAAGGCGAGGTGCGGTCGAAGAAGTCGAAAAATTCAAGACTCGGAGAGCACCCACTGAGTGGCACCTTCTGTGTGGTTCGCTTAGCCCTCTAAGGCCACAAGGCCAACGAGCGGGCCCACTTTTAGGGTACGGTCCTTCAAATCACATGACATAGACATCCACGTGATTATATTTTCCCTGTCATAAAGTTTGATTGGCTGGAGCATGCTGGAGTATGCTCCGGTGCTTTAGGGAGTTGAATGGCCCTCTTCGTTGTCTGAAGACCGGGGGACCGTCATGTGCGTTCTACTTGACTGGGTTCAATGCCACAAAATACAAAATAGCATTCGAGCCTTTTGGAAACAACTTACACGATGAACCCGGAAGCTTTTAGGTGACTACAGCGCACAGAGAGGTTACGGTGGTAGTAGTAATTCGTGAATTCATATCTAATAACACAGCCATTGACGAGACTTGAGAAGCCAAAAGACCCAGTGAGCCTTCAAGAGAGAAAAAAAAACGATTACATCGAAAAATGCCAGTTGCCTAGTTCTCACCGTTCTTGCAGCGCCCAAAACTCCATAGAATGGAAAAGTCTGAAAAGTATCGCTGGAAAAGCAAGAAAAAATTAAAAAAAAATTTACAGGGTGGGTGCTCTCTTCAAGCCCACGCAGTATCGCACAAAAAGGGTATCAATAAAGTGAGCGTGGCGAATGCCAGGGGGTCGGCACCGATTGAACTCATCAATCGCGTCCTGTACGCCGAAGCCCAAGCGCTCAACCAGATAACTCGTAATGAGGAACCCAGTACGGTTATAGCCATAGTGACAGTGCACGCCGACCAGCGGACGCGGCTTGGCTGGGTATTCTTTGTTTTTGACCTTGTCATCGATATCACCTTGAAGGCGATCGACCAGCGCAATGAAATCGCGAACCTCATCTTCCGTTGGGGGTATCTTGGAAACAGTCGGTTGTTTGACATAGTGAACACCACCCTTCTCCATCGTCGCGGGGTTGTACACGGGGTTTTCGTGGCTGATGTCAATAACTGCGTGGATAACGCCGCGATATTTCTCGGAAAAGAGTACAGGATTATGCTGCTCGTCGACCTCGCGTAACATCTTCATAGCGGCGAAAGTGTTGGCGATAGGCAGGGACACTGGAACAACCTTCTGCCATTTAGCAAGGTTCTTCACGTCCCACTTTCCAGAGGTATTCATGTATTGCAGCTGCCATCCCATTCCCAGACGCTGATCAATGTTCTGCGACAGAAAGTCCTGGATGATGCCTGACAAAGTACGGTATGTTGCTCGATCATAGAGAAGAGCGTGGGAGGCCGGCGGAGGCAAAATCACAGATTTAACCAAACGCCCTCGCTTGGTAGTAGCCGGAGCAGTCTCATTTTGCTTCTCCGATAACTCCTCACTCGGTAGGGATTGCGGCGTGGATGCTTGATCATGGACAGTGGAAGCATCCGGGATAATGCCACTTCCGCTGGTATCGATAGCAGTATGACCGGACGAATCGCCAAAAAACTTCAGGAGTTTCTGAATCTCGGCAGGCTTGGTCACTGCATCAGCTTCACCAGCGACAAGCAGAATCGGAACATGAACACCTGCCCAGACCTGCTCGCCTGGAATGCCGCCGACAGCCTTGCCACCATCGTAAGATGGCAATGTTCCCCAGGCCATTCGGCGCCAGACCGGTGTTCGGCTCTGCTTATTAAAGCGGACTTGAAGGTCTCGCGTTTCATCATCTGCGTCGGTACCCGCAATTCGCTTGACACTGGTACTCTCTATGCCGCCCCGACGATCCCAGCTACGCCACAAATCAAAGATTGGGCTAGGTATATGGAGCAGACGTCGAAAACTAGCGGCTTCTTTCGCAGAGGGAGGTTCTGCTTTAGGACAGACTGCAATGAGTCCTGCGACATGTTCCTTCAAGGTCTTCCCGACCGGAGACGTGGAAGAGGCAAGAAGAGCAGAGAGCGAACAGCCCAAGCTGTGGCCAACTAGGATGACGTCTTGACCAGCATCTCTGTCCCGATACTTTTCAATAGCCGTAGCAAGTAGTTCGGCAAGCGCATCCACAGAATAGGCATCCCAGTTACTCGGCTCGAATTTGGACAACCCGCAACCGGGCAGGTCAATACCAAAGCACGAACCAACATTCGAAAGGCTGGTCAAGAGGTGGTGGAACTGGGCGAGGGATCCTCCGAGTCCGTGAACGAAGACCAGCAACGGGACTGGCGCAGGTTCCGTGGGGAGGCGGTTCAGATGCGGATGGGGGCAGAAAAAGGTTCGAATGGCAGGATAGGTGGCAATGGAGGTGGTGTAGGAGTTGTATGTGGAGAATTTCTGCAAGATACCGGGGTCTGTCTTGAGAGCTGAATGCATACCACCATCGTTAGAACTAGCTCGGAGCTTTGCGACAGAGCGGACTTACCATCGCACGTTCCCTTCTCGGACTCGGAGGACCACTGTGCTGCCTTTCGGAGTGAAGCAGCAGTGGCATGACGCAGGGAGCCGTTGCTATCATATTCATCGTCCTCATAGTCATCGTCTGACGAAGTGAGAGTCTTGGAAGATTTAGTCGAAGACTTAGATTTCGTCCAGGTTTTGCGCAAGGAAGGCCGAAGGAATCGAGATTTCTTTGTCGGCGACTTGTGACGCCGAAGCAGAGTCGAGAGAAGACCGCACCCAGCCATGGTGATCAAGCAGGTTGCAAGGAACACTACTTGGCCCCAATTCACTGAGTCATTGCGAAAGAAGGTGCGATAATAAGCAGCGACGGCCCCCGAGGAAAGCTGTTGGGCTGCAAGGCGCACAGAGTCGTAGACGTGTAAGAGAGATGCGCCCAACTTGTCAGAAGTGGTGGTTATGATGTTGACCAGAGCGGCAGAAGAGTTTGAAGAAAGCTGCGAGTCCATGATGATGTGCTTTTAAATCCAGCAGCAAAGCCCACCCCCGTGTCCAGGGATCTGGACCACCGGGGAACTCTGGGCGGCAGAGGGATTCGTCTCAGAGGTAGAGTGAAACCAATGGGAGTGTCACGATCGCCACGGGTTAGGACTGAAGGGAGAAAAAGCGAATTAGCTCGGCCACTCAAAAACCGGAGTGAAGCCCGTGGGGGATCCAACGTGACTCGTAGGCCCACTTTTCCTCCCTTTCCTGGCGGTCGACGTCGGCATTAAAAGCAACTACAGCACTAGCCTCCACTAGCCTCCGCTAACATCCATTTTTCAAGGACTATCAGGCTCCGCTATACACTTCCTACGTAAGGGGCTGCTGGGGCTTTCTAGAACCGCTAGAACAGTGTGAGATACCCCCCAATGATCTCCTGGAGCCACCCTTCTAGACGCAAGTTAATCCCGATTGGGCTGAAATCCGGGATATATTTGCGTTTCGCTATATCCATTTGATCTGTTCGTCGTTTGCGATCTACTGAACGGGCTGCTATACAAAATCAGTCAGCCCTCCCGAGGGAACTCCCGTCCACCACACGGGTGGATGAATCAAGTTGCTTTTTTGGATGTTTCAAATTCTCTCAGGATCCCTTCTGATACCTCTTTCTTGGTACTGGCGGTGAAGCTAGCCTGGCCAGCAACCAAGTCCATTCTACACTCCACACGGGGCATGGATGGGCCCCGATTGGCTGATACCACGCCTCATTTTCTCCTAACCCCAAGTCTCTGATTTCGACAGTGAGACCCTTGGCACGAAACTTGGCCGATTCCCTGGAAAGTAGCTGTGTAGACGGACTTCGCCATAGATAGCAAGTATCCCTCCATCCGAGGTTAAGGAGTCGGATTCTTGTCCAGATAAAACCCTCTTGTATATCATTCAACTTGGTGCTAAGAATCCTTGCTCCCCAGTGGCTTGACACTGATATTATTTCACCCGCCGAAGATCAGGATCACTATACCTGGGGGGTCCAATTTAGCGGCATCCCGGACAAAGTGAGTTCAGGGCATTGAGGCATATGTGGTTCTCCCTGCTCAGCTGACTGAAAAGGCGGGTCTTGGCCCCTTTCAGATCTAGAGCCACGAAATAATTTGAATCTAAAATGCATTTTTGTTCTAGTTTACGTACTCGATCCATACCTAGAACAAATCCGTCATGGCACCATGCGATGCATCGCCCACTAACCGTGCATACTTGGCCAGAACACCCCGAGTGATCTGCGGCTCAGGTGGATTCCACAGCTTACGTCGCTCCTGAAGGTCCTCATCCGACACGTTCATCGACAACTCATTTGTCTCCGCATCGATCGTAATCACGTCACCATCCTGGACAAGCCCAATAGGGCCTCCCACTGCGGCTTCTGGGGTGATGTGGCCGACAATGAAGCCGTGACTGGCGCCCGAATAACGACCGTCGGTGATCAAGGCAATGTTGTTGAGCTTGGCCCCCATCAGGGCTGCACTGGCTTTCAGCTGTTCCGGCATGCCGGGTCCACCCTTAGGACCCTCATAGCGGACGATCAGGACCAGATTCTCCCCACGTGGGATGCGGCCCTCGTTCAAGGCGTCATTGAGCTCATGTTCCTTGTTGAAGACCCGTGCCTTGCCGGTGAAGCGAAGACCCTCCTTACCCGTAATCTTGGCAACCGCGCCGCCGGGAGCCAGGTTCCCGCGCAGGATTTGCAGGTGGCCAGTGGTCTTGATTGGGTTGGTCAGGGGCCGGATTAAGGTCTGGTCCTGTGGGAGAGATGGCCAAGATGCCACATTCTCAGCCAGCGTCTTGCCAGTCACGGTCGGAATATCACCATCCAGTAGGCCTGCTGCGATCAGCAGTTTCTGCACCGAGGGGATTCCGCCGATCTCGTACAGATCCGCCATATAGTACTTGCCACTTGGCGATAGATCTGCGATGAAGGGGATCTTGTTGCTAACCCGCTGGATATCATCTAGGGTCAAGTCTACGTCTGCGGTTCGCGCCATGGCGAGGAAAATGGAGTACACCGTTGGTACTTCCTCCTAGAGCCATGGTCATTACCAGTGCATTGTCAAAGGCCCGCTTGGTGAGTAGATCTCGGGGACGAATGTTTTTCTCCATGCAGACCTTGATTGCGTCAGCAACGCGCACGCATTCACGCATTTTAGCCGGCGATGACGCTGGCGTGGATGATGATCCAGGCAAGGAGAGACCCATTGACTCAATGGCGGTGGCCATAGTGTTAGCCGTAAACATACCGCCACAAGCTCCAGCACTAGGGCAAGCGTGTCGCTCTAAGTCGTCCATGATCTCGTCCTTTGTTTTGCTGGTATCACCTCCGTCGTCCGGCTGGCGGAGGGTATCGTAGGCGTACGCTCCGGCTGCTTCGAAGCAGGTTGACACGTTGATCGGTTTACGGAGACACTCTGAATATCCAATGTTGATGGTTCCTCCATAGATCATGATCGATGGCCGGTTATGGCGCGCCATACCCATCACCACGCCGGGCATGTTCTTATCGCAACCGGGGATGGCGATACAGGCATCGTGCGCCTGGGCACAAGTAACTGTCTCCACGCTGTCTGCGATGATTTCGCGGGTCTGAAGCGAGAATCGCATTCCTGCAGAGCTTGGACATGAGCTCATGTCCCAACAGTCAGTCCCTAGGAAGACATACCGTCGTTACCCATTGTGATCGCATCCGATACACCAATTGTGTTGTACTGCCATCCTAACATGCCCTTCTCTACTACTGCCTTTTTCGCTGTGTTTCCCAAGTCCATCAGATGCATGTTGCAAGGGTTGCCTTCCCACCACACTGAAGCAATGCCTACATGCGGGGCCCTGGCCATCGCATCTTTGTCCGGGACGCCGGCAGCGAAAAGCATGGCCTAGATACAATCAGAATTGTCGGAGTAGTCCAATTGAGTATCTTGACTGACCTTTGCGCCAGGAAAATCATGGCCTTTGGTGATCGTAGACGACCAGCGGTTGAGTGCGGGCGAGCCATCTGGATGTTTGGCGTCTGGCGGCAGACAAGGGAAATTGATGTATTTCGGTTCCGACACGGTGTAGGAGGCCATGATGAGGAGTTGATAGATCAGAAGAAAATTGAGCTTGGGGCACGAAGGACCTTTGAGGTCGCATTTCTGTCCGATGGTGGAACCCCGCGTTCCTTTGGTCGGGCCACTTACTGGGCCCGGATTTCATATCGGAGCATCTTAGTGTGGGGGATCTGTTTGTCCCGCCTTGGTCCGTTAAGTCTGGCTTTCCATCGTATATTTGGTCCGTCCTATGTTAGCTGCTCTCTGAATTGCTTCATATATTTTGCGAGATAAGGATCGATGGCGCAAGGCACAGTGGGGAAACCCTGGGAGTCGTCGATCAAAACCATAGTTCAAGTTCGATCCTAACCTCGACCACCAGTCTGGGCTCCGGAAACGGTTGAAAGCTATCTGACCTCAGAAAAAATAACGGATCTGACAGCATCCTTCGTAATGGTCGAGGGTCGTTCTTACTTTGACGCTTTGGAATTTCTCCTTGAGTCGCGCAGAACCCACGGTTGGGGGCATCCTTGAGACTTCCGCCTTGCTCGTCTCCAACGAAAATGTATGATGTGCCCGCGCGAGTTGTTGAGGTCAATGATGTGCTTAAGCCTATATATGATAATCTTGAGATGTAGGCCTCGAGTATATTGTAAACTGCCTGCAGTATGATATAGGATTCCCCGATATCAAGGACGCTCCTGAATTACATCCAGATCTTTCCAAAGTATGGTTTGTAAGGCATTGGTGGTCTCCTTGGTTATTGACCACTGGTCCATCTGGGCAGAGTTGGGGACGAATAGCAGCTCTTATTCTAGACAAATTTGAATCGTGATCATGACGTCTTAAAATGGATAATAGAATTACAAGCCTAACTGGATGCAGTATGTACAACCTCCATTTGAGGCGGGTATCGTAGAAGCCTTCAAAGGTCGAAAACCAGAAGAAATGGAACAAATTTCTACTGAATGTGCTCTGATGAAGGCTTGTCATCAGCAATGGTATGGTGCTCGGCAGGCTCGTTGTCCTCGGTGGACCACTCGCTCGAATGTTGCAATGCCTCGTCAGAGCTAAGTTCTTCAAGTGGGCTTGTCTTGCCGCTCTTTTCGTTCGATTGGATTGTCTCTTTCGGATCTGTCTCTTCATCCATAGCGAATCCAACGATTTTCCCAGTGCCAGGAAGAGATCGAGCTTCTTGCAAAACATCGCCGTTCCACGGCTGGCATTTCTTGACAATCTCGCCACAGCGAAGACAGACCCATCCTTGACCTTCTTCCGCCTCGATCTTCTGGACAATACAGACAAAGCAGTAGATACAGCCGCAAGGAATCGTCTCGTAAGGGTTGGTAACGTCGGTCTGAGCAGATCCGGTAATGCCACCAGCCGAGGCCGAGGCCGCTAGAACGTCACTCTCAGTGGTTACAGCGGGGTTTTGGTCCCGATAGCAAATGGCACAGGTTCGTTCTGGGAGATGCGCGAGTTCGCCTTGCTTTTCCGATTGATCCTCGTCTTCCCCGCTGGCTTTGAGCGTGGTCACAGTTTTCCGCCATGCACGAGATATCCAGCGCCGCCAGCGGCCAATTCCAACGAGAGGGAGTAAAAAGAGCAGGAACTCGGTAAAAGCGTGCCAGACAAGTTGACGATTCAGGTACTCGAAGGAAACCTCTCGACTAGCTTGGGCAGATGGTGGCGTGAGGCGGATGCGTAGGATTCGATCTACCAGGGTTCGGTAGTGGCCGTTGACAAGGAATACAAGGAAAGAAACAAATGCGGCGATCGAATGTGTGGTAGAGACAAAGTCTGTGATACGGGAGAGCATCCGCATGTCCTGTGATGGCTAGAGGACTGGTTCAGTACTGGGCTTTCCGCGGAAAATGGTTCCGGACAAACCTCTTCATAGCCGCCTTCTTGTCCGATCAGCCAGCTTTCCCATTTATCCCAGGCATAGCGCCCACCAACAGTCAGCAGCCCATATAAGCTCTTTTGAACCTTAGTTGGCGGCGAATGCACGGGTCCCTTGCTTCGACTGTCTGTATACTGTAGGCCTTGCAAAGCAGCTCCGTATGACGCATTATGGTCCCATATTGAGAGCTTAAACAGCAACGCCCGGAGGACAAATTGAATTTCGTGAGACCAGTCTTCACGGAGTTGGTGCTATTCACAGTAGTTAGCATCCAGAGCGTAGAAACAACCATCGCCGAAGAGTCGTGCGTACCCCGAAGTATTTGAGGGCATCCCCCACCTGGCCCTTCAACAGGCCTAGCAATTCCTCATCCAACAGCTCCGCATCAACCTGCCCGACTCGGAAGGCAGGACGTGTCCCCTCCCGGCCCTTGACGGTATTCCATAACGACCATCCGGCATCAGGTAATCGGTTCAACGGATACGGTAACCGTTGTACAGTGGCTGGGTTGATCGGTGAAGCGCGCTGTTGCTCTGCGCGTCGGGCGCGCGCCTCGGCCTCGCGCAGGCGGCGGCGTTCCAGGACCCGCTCCTGTGCAGCAGCAAAATTGGTCGAACTCATCGTATCATCGTGTGAATAAGGAGAGATGACAAGAATCAGAGCGGACAGCGGCGATGGTCGCAGTGGGTCTCGGCTGCCCCAGATTCGGTGCCGAGGTTGTCATATACCACGTGACGGATCCTTGTAGTAGGCTGATTGCTTTAGGGTTTAGTTAGCTTCATTTATACCCGATGTCCAGCCCAAGTTGAGGTCGAGCTTCTGATCTCTGCTAATAGTGCTTAGGTCATCAATGAAGCTAGATGGATTCATGTATTCCTCTTGCACGGCGTCGGGGGAGAACTCAGGTGGGAAGACGTGGGACCATGGCGAGTGCTAGTAGGACTGAAATGAGACAAGAAATGCTAGTAAATTATCCGGAAGCCTCTGAGTTCCACAAAAATCATCAATCGGTGCAAATACAACTGAGTAGATTTGGGCAGAATTGACGACAGAATATGACGTTCATTCCAAAGGCACGACACTGGTAGTCACTGCCACGGGGAATTAGTGTGGTGCTGACAGAAAATGTTCCCTGAAATCCATTTCACTGAATATAAGCTTCAGGGCTTGTTGCGTGTACATATGCAATAAATAACCATAAGCCTCACCCTGAAGCTCGGGGAGTACAAAGGGTTCAATGTACAAAGTCCATGAACGATTCTCCCTCTCAGAGGAGCTTCAAACTTTACTGCGCTTAAAGAGCTTAGAAATTAACACCCTTATGCAGACAATGTTATCTTTTTAAGAAATTGAGGGTTCAAAGTTCATTCAGCGTAAAGGATTAACAGGTGTAGAATACGAGCGTTAGAATATTTGCATAGGTGTGAGGGAAAACATCCGCGTAAAAAGCCCAATGAGGAGGATGCAGGTTTCCAGGTCTATTTATTTAATTCCCCACGTTTTCCCTACTGCATGTGGCTTTCTTCTTTCACAACCTCCAGAGCTCTTTTTCGCGTTTCTAGTGCCGCTCTCATTGCTCCTGTCCCCTTCACGTGTTTCTGACCACTGTGCATCATGCTTGCGTCGCTTATGAGCCCGCTAGCCATCGCTAGTATGGCTTTGGCGCATATTGCTACGGTTTCTCAGCCATCTCTGTCGGATATCCAGGCCGCTCAGCATACCACCTTTCCCCGCCAGACGACATCTGATGTCAAGGGTGGTGTGGCTTTCGACCGCTTCTACCAAGTGTGGTTGGAGAATATCGTACGCGACATATAACGCTTCTCGATGCGATCGGCATTAATGCCTTCCTATAGGACTATGAAGACTCTGAAAAGGACGAGGATATGAAGTGGTTCGCGTCTCAGGGCATCCTTCTGTACGCGCTTGGATCTCACGACTTGATAGCTCTGCTGACCTCATGGAAAGAACTGAATTCTACGCTGTCACTCACCCGTCGGAGCCCAATTACTGTGCTGCTGTTAGTGGTGACACTTTTGGCATGGATAACGATAACTTCAACCAAATTCCAAACAATGTTTCCACCATTGCTGATCTCCTGCATACCAAGAAGATTTCTTGGGCCGAGTATCAAGTTCGTCCCGGCATTTCTGCTCCTTTTACTCAATCTCTAATGAGCCGGTAGGAGCACATTCCGTACGCTGGCTTCCAGGGCTACAACTATCCGAACCAGAAGACCGGTGCTCCTGATTATGTGCGCAAGCATAATCCTCTGGTCCTTTTCGACTCAGTTGTGGAAGACGAAGGCCTCGCGGCTCAGATCAAGTCCTTTGATGACTTTTCTCATGACCTGAAAGCCAAGGAACTACCTCAGTGGGCCTTCATTACCCCCAACATGACCAACGATGCGCACGACACCAACATCTCCTTCGGTGGTAACTGGGAACGTCATTGGATGAGTGGTCTGCTGAAGAATGACTATTTCACGAAAGATACCTTGATTCTGTTGACATTTGACGAGGAGAATACCTACAACAAGACGAATCGTATCTACAGCGTATTGGTTGGTGGTGCTGTTCCTGAGCACTTGAAGGGAACCAAGGACGATACTTTCTACACCCACTACTCCTCCATTGCCACCGTGTCAGCCAACTGGGGTCTTCCTTCCCTGGGTCGCTGGGACTGCGGCGCAAATATCTTCCAGATCGTGGCCAACAAGACTGGTTACCAGAATGCCGTGGTCCACACCGACAAACTGCGCGTGAACCAGACATACCCCGGCCCCCTGTCTGACGGATCTTACTCAAAGCACCAGGCCGAGTGGCCCATCCCACTTACCAAGGGCAACTGCTCGGCTGGCTATGGTATCCTCGAGGACGTCAGGAAGTATTATTGGGGCCTGGCGCCTACCTACAACTACACCTTCCCGTACCCATGGGATTCCAAGTCCGACTACAATACCGATGTCTTTGTCTATCGCAACGCGACTGACCCCAAGAGTGCACTCAATGGCACTTCGACCGAAGCTGCGTCAGGCTCTAAGACTCACAAGGGTTCTGCGATGGCTCTGAGTGTCCCCAGCTCCCTTGCTCTACGAGTTATCTTTGTGAGCTTCTTAGTCTATCTTTTCTAAGAGCTCCAATATCCCTCGGACTGTTTTAATATCCCCAGGTGCCTCGGACTCAACGTGTTCTATGGAATTACTCGCCTGGGTTGATTTCACGCGTTTTTCTTAATTGTCGCTTTTCAAAACAGGAAAGGAGCTTTCAGACTTCTTAAGTCATGTATCGGTATCTTCTAAGGCTAGGACTGCAGATCAAATCTTATTCTCAATGAACAAGCCTTTTACACGATAAAACAAAGGTCAATTGTATTTTTAACAATTTGTTTAGAGACACTGGTACTGGCAGCTGTCCGTCAAAACCTTGACAGGCATTGTTAGTATTTCCATAACCAGGCTTAGAAGCCACCAGCTCCAGCCTTGAAGATAATAGACTTGGTCTGAAGGAAGTTCTCGATACTGTAAAGCAGGCCCTCACGTCCAATACCACTCCTCTTGTACCCACCGAAGGCAGCATCCTTAGTTTGCGTGGCAGCAGTGCAGTTAACTCCCACAAGACCGGCCTGCAGAGCCCGCGACACGCGCACAGCACGGTCAAGGTCCTTAGTGAAAACAGACGCATAAAGACCGAATTCGGTATCGTTAGCCTTATGGATCGCCTCCGCCTCCTCTTTGAAAGTATTAAGCACGACGACGGGACCGAAAATCTCCTCCTTGACAAGCCGCGAGTCCTCGGGGAGACCCTCGAAGACAGTGGGGGTCACGAAGTAGCCGTTATTGGTGTCACCACCCAGAGCAAGCTTGCCCTCCTTCCGGCCAATCTCGAGGTATGTCTTGATCTTTTCAAACTGCAGTTTGTCGATTTGCGGACCCGCGGTCGTGGCCGGGTCGAGTGGGTCGCCTTGCTTAACGGCACCGAGCAGCGCCTTGAATGTTTGCCCGAAGGCCTCTGCCACGCTCTCCTGGACGTAGATTCGGGAGTTGGCGACGCAGACTTGGCCGCTGTTGAATGTGATGCCGACCATGGCTGCTAGAGCTGCGGCTTCCAGATCGGAGTCTTCGAAGACTACAACGGGGGGATTTACCACCTGTGACCCAATGTGATTAATTAGAGGCGTGCTCGGGGAGATTAAGGCTGGAGCTGTGTGAAGAATTCTTACCAAGCTCGAGGTGGACGTGTTTCATGTTGGACTTGGCTGCGGCGGCCTGGATGCGCTGGCCGGTCATGGATGAACCTGTGAAGCTAACGCAGCGGACAAGTGGATGCTCCGACAGCGCAGCGCCAGCTGGGGTGCCATAGCCGGACAGAACATTGATGACACCAGGGGGGAAACCGGCCTCCTGGGCGAGCCTGGCAGCATAGAGAGACTAGCGGATTGAATAGTTAGGATTCATTCGAGTAGCGATACTCGGTATCAGTGGCATCATGGGCCAACAGGCGAGTAGTCTTACAGTCAGTGGTGCCTTCTCACTGCTCTTCAGCACAACAGTGTTACCAGCAGCAGTGCGGGGGCAATTTTGCCGGACCAATTAGCCAGTGGAAAGTTCCAGGGGATAATTAGACCAGCGACACCATACGGCTCCTTCACGGTGACATTAAAGATACCGGGAGTGTTGTGAGAAGCGGTACCCTGGGTATGCCATGCGCTATCGGCGAAGAAACGGAATGTTTCGACGGCGGAAGGACCATCAACGAAATGCGAAACAGGTCGGCCAATGTTGAGGGCCTCGAGCTTGGCCAGCTCGGGAATGTGCTTCTCGATCAACTGGGAGAGCTTGCGCAGGTACTCGCCCCGCTTTTCAACACCAAGGTCTCTCCAGGCAGGGAAAGCGGCATGGGCGGCTTGCACGGCATCGTCCACGTCCTTTGCATCGGCTTCCTGGACTGCAGTGGGATTGTTTAGCGGGGTCTTTGGACCATAGGGTGGGGGCCGTTCCAACCTGATGCAATGGTCTCTTGGGTAAAAGGGTAGACCACATCGAAGGTCTTCCCACTGGAGGCATTGCGAAACTAGATTGAATAATAAGTGTAAATCCAACATGCTAGACCATGTGGCGGGTGCTCTTACCTCGCCATTGATAAACAGGCGAGTTTCGATGTTCTTAACAGCGGTAGCGGCCATTTTTCGGTAATATGTACGTTGAGAAGGACACGTATAGACCAGAACTTGAAGAAAAGCAAGCCCGTATGAGGGAAAGCTCCAGATTATAAGAGGAAAGAGGGGTGTCATCAACCTGCATCTTGAGGATCCAACCCGAGCACATCTAGGCAGATGGGGGGGGCCGTACATGACCCCGCAAGAGCTACTCCTCCAATCCAGACGCCTCTAGAGTGAAACTGGACCGCGCGGTCATCCAAGGGCCGCATAACTGCTTACTTCCATTGAGCTGGATGCCCCGCTTTGGTGCGTGTGGATCAGAATAGAGCCAGTGAAACCTACTATGATTGGAGGCACGGTGGCTCCAAGCGTTGCATCCGTCTTTCTTTGTTATTGCTCCACCATCTTTGCATAAAATAATTAATGCAACAAGTTCGTTAACTAACTTATGATGACCTTATTAGGAATTCAGAGGCTTGGCAGGACAAATACACTCAGTTCTTGCTAACGTCTAGGCTACACCTAGGCTATAGCGTCTAGGCTTACGGCACACGGTATCTCCAAGTCGCCTCAGGACTTTCATGTACCCCGCTGACCCTAGCCCGAGCCCGTGTTCATAGTCAAGAGCCGTTCCAGGATTTCAACACAGGGGGCTTTCAACTTCATCCACAATAGCCATCAATGTTGTCGATTGGTTTTATCTGTTGACGCAGGGCACCCAAGACACGCCACTTGCGAGTAGCTTACCTACTCCAGATCCAAGAATTGGAAATCCATTAGTACTAGCACCCTTGGCGTCCCATCCTCTGATGAACGTTCGAGTCCATAGCCAGAAATGACCATGTGGTCATCCTAAATCCAAGGGAAGCTCGGAATTTAAGCGGAATTCAAACCCAATGCTTCCGTCGGTCGCTGGCAAGTCTACCCTAGCCCTAGATATCATCTACCTAGATATCATCTACTGGTTGACTAAGCCTGGAAGCGTCTCGAGTGGATGTAGATGCGGTATGGTAGCATTATCGTAGCAGTCATGAGACGGCGATTTATAATACAGAGATATTAAATCGAAACGGACTTTTAGTTGGCAACACCACGTCGCTTCATGTCCTGCAGGGTGAGGGTGTCTTGATCGCCAGCGCGGTTCTCAGACTCAATCTTCACTTTATCCTCTGGACCGCCGGGTCCGTTGAAATGACTTGCCTGAGGGAGTCTGGTTGAAGAAAGTTATCAGCAAAGTGGAAAAGAGTACTGGATGGGAAAGGCTTCTTACCTGCCCCGGTCATCGCGAGTAGCACCCTCATCCTCGGTGACCTTGCGGTGGTCGCTTCCGGAGGCAGTTGAGCCAGGTCCGTACTTGACGTCGGCACCAGCATCGGCAAAGCGTTGCTGGACTGACTCATCGACGCCGGATTCGAGGACTGTGAAAAATTGATCAGGAACGGAACCCCCATGCTAAATCGCGGATAATTGAGATACCTGAGTCACTCTTCTTTCCAAGGCCCTGCTTGGCCTGGTAAGAGTTCAGCTCCTTCTCGGACTGAAAAGCGGTTTGTCGGAGGTCTTCGAAGTGAACCATTGTGACTTAGTTTGTGGAAGAAATAATTCGAAGGGATGAAGATATGGTAAAGAAGTTTGGTATAACATTCAAAGCTCGCTGGTACAAGAGTTTAAGTACTCATTGGACGATGTCCATGATGCAAACATCATGTAACATCATAGGTATGTCACTCCAACGGTGGAGCTCTTCTCTGGAGGGGGTTCCTAATAGAGTACCCTGATAGAACGCTGTAGCCCCACTTCACACTGAACAGAACGGATCGAGAAAACAAGGTTGGACGGGTTAAAATGGCCAGAGATCTCAATGGATGACTTCATCGTTTCCCCACCGCTCTCCTGCCAGGGCGGAGAGTATATTTCACCGCCTATATGGATGCGGATTAGGCCGGCAGAATTGATTCGTAGTTGGGCTTGATACAAGGCGGCAAAATGTCTAAGATAAGATCATGATCGTTGATTCCGAGGATAATGGTGTCTCTTGAAGCGAATGATAAGTCCCAATTCTTTCTCCAATCCATGATTCCCGCAAGCGGGCGGCCTTCCAGCACTGCTTCCATGAAGGCGGGAGTGAAAAAGTCACGAGGAGGGGCAGATCGGGGCGCGGGCGCGTAAGGGCTTTGTTGACTCCAACACCTCATTGTTCAAAGATTTTGAAGTCGCCCTTCGCAGGCTCCACTTCTGGTCGGCCTAGATCTCATCTCTTAAGCTACCGTCCCGCAAATCGCCAGGGTCTCTCGTGAAACCCCACCTGCCATGGTGATGATCGAGGTAGCAGGGGAGGCAAGCCCTCTGAGCTACCAAAATGTCGTTAACACATTGGCGATGGCCGCAAGCTCCAACCAGCAGCAGGTCAAAGTCGGTACTCAGCAATTGCAGAACTGGCAGAAACAGCCGACCTATCATTCTCTGCTCCAGGTACGCCCCAGCGACATTCCAGTATGGTTGTCATTATCCGGGTGTAGCTGACTTGCTCGATTCTTAGGATGCATTCGCCGACTACTCCTTACCCACCGAAGTTCGTTACCTTGCTATTATTCAACTGAAGAATGGAGTTGGGCAATACTGGCGGAAAACCGCACCGAAGTACGCTCTAGATAGCTGAATGCTGGATGGGCTCGAATTGCTAACGCGCCACGTGACAGTGCCATTGCCAAAGAGGAGAAAGACAAGATTAAGACACTCGCGATGCAGTCAGGAATTGCGGAACCGGTTCCTGCTCTTGCTCTTCAAAATTCGTTGATGATTGCCAAGATCCTCCGATTCGAGTTCCCAAACGACTGGTACAGAGACCCTATCGAGACGAATATTCCAGTGGAAGCTAATATTATGAAGGCCTGATGCGATATCTGCGCTCATTACTTCCCTCCGATCCTCGATCCAACCTGGCGCGAATCTTTTACAGCTCCCCAGAACCCTTCTCATCCTATTGCAGACCATCAAAGAACTTTCCACGGCACGCATACAGCGAACTCGACATCATCTCCAAGCTGTTTCTCCAGAAATATTCCATGTGCTGGGAGGCGTATATGTTGATAAGGTCAATAATTGGACCTCTGCTCTCGAGCAAGGTGGCGCAGATGAGAAGTCATTGCTAGAGGAGATTGAGCAAAGCTTGGTGTCGCTAAAGGTTATTCGGCGCTTAATTATTGCAGGGTTCGAACACCCCGGTCGGGTCCCGGAAGTCCAGGAATTCTGGACACTTACATATTCTCATTTCGTCAAATTTCTTTCCTTCGTGAATGATGGCAAACTTCCAGAGCAAATCCAACGAGCGGTCGAGAGGCACATATATCAGCTCTCCAAATTTCACGTGGAGATGGCGAAGACACACCCTGCGTCATTCGCCCATTTCGCTCATAGCATTGACCTTGTCAACACATACTGGACTCTCCTTCAGAAATTGAGCGAAGTTTATGTTAGCCTTGGCGCTGATGCCGAAACTGAAGGGCAGTCTCTCCCAGAGCGAACGGGATTGCGAGCCCTGCTGCTTATCAGAGCTTGCGCAAGAATGGCCTTCAACCCGGTGCAGACATTCAAATACCAAACCGCAGAAGATAAAGAAGAGCGGAAGCAAGCAGTTGAGAGGATCAAGACTGAGCTTTTCACCGATAAATTTGTGCTGGAAACTATGGAACTTCTCGTCACACAATTCTTCCGATTCAGAAATATCGACTTCGAAGAATGGGAGGCCGAGCCTGAACAGTGGGAGAAGAAAGAGGAAGTCAGCGCCGAGGCTTGGGAGTTTTCTATTCGATCATGCTCGGAGAAGCTGTTTCTCGATCTCATCATCCACTTCAAGGGTCTTCTGATTGATCGCTTATTGGATGTTTTCCACTCATTTGCACGCACGGACAACCGGAATGTGATATTGAAAGACTCCCTGTATTCGGCCATTGGATTGGCTGCGGCTAGCCTTGAACAGCGCTTAGATTTCAACGCCTTCCTCCAAAACACGATGGTTGCCGAGGTTCAGGTCCAAGATCCAGAATACCGGCTTCTCCGGAGAAGAATAGCCATGGTGCTCGGTCAATGGGTGCCAGTTCAACCCGACCGGCTTAACACAGATGCTATCTACCAGATTTTCCAACATTTACTTAACAAAGACGATCCACTAAACGATCTGGTCGTTCGAATCACAGCCGGCCGCCAGCTTTGCAATGTCATTAACCCTTATGAGTTTTCGCCCGCTGCGTTCATGCCCTATGCGCCGTCAATTCTGGGTAACCTTATGTCTCTTGTCCAAGAAACGGATATTTCCGAGACTAAGATGGGATTGCTGGAGACTGTGCGAGTGGTTGTTGTGAAGATGGAACACAATGTAGGTTTGATCCTCGCCTTTCTCTTCGTGCCAAATTAACCTTCGTGAAGATTGCTCCTTACTCCGACTCGATCTTATCCTTGCTTCCTCCCCTTTGGGAGGAATCTGGAGATGAACACCTGATGAAACAGGCGATCCTCACGCTGCTCTCCTCGTTGATTCATTCTCTCAAACAAGGAGTCTGCTCGTTATCACTCGCTTATCTTGCCACTCATCCAAGGCTCGGTCAACCCTGAATCCGTAAGTTCAGAGCCCTGAACAATACAACAGAGACACTCCTTATTCAACTGATCTCTACTAGGAAACATTCGTCTATCTCTTGGATGAAGCATTAGATTTGTGGGCTGCAATTATCATGCAGACACCTACACCAGCCTCTCCCGAGATCATCTCGCTATTCCCCGCCATCCTCCCCATTCTTGATCAAGGAACCGATAGCACCCCTCAAGCTCTCACCATAATAGAATCCTACATATACCTTGCCCCACAGGAGGTTCTTGGTGATAACATTCGCAATCCACTGTTGATTGCACTAAAAGATCCCTTGTCTGGACCCTCAAGCAACGCACCGGCGTCGTTGCGCGCCTAGTCGAGCTGATGATCCGCGGCGCCGAGACCGTCGACGGCGGCAGCGAAGCTATTTACCGTGTGATTTCCCAGTCTCTGGTTGAGACTGGATTCCTCCAATCTCTCCTTGAAGGCCTCTACTCCGCATACGAAGCAAGCCAAACAACAGGACCTAACCGCAAGGTGTCGAACGTCGTCGGGGTGGTTGAAACAGACTATTTCTCCGTCCTGGCCCGTCTTGCCCTGGCAAATCCATCGATCTTCATCTCCGCCGTCTCCGCCGCAACAAAGTCCAGCGAAGAGCAGACCATGGCCTGGCTCCTCACCGAGTGGTTCTCGCACTATGATAACATCGGAAGCGCCAATCAGAAGAAATTACATGCGCTCGCGCTCACTCAGCTCCTTTCCCTCTCGGGCTCATCGGCAGACTCGTCCTCGCTCCTCCCCCCACTTTTATCTTGAATCACTTGCAATCTTATCTCAACATCTGGACAGATATCGTCGTCGAACTCGCTGAGGGCGGCTCGGACCCTAACGCCGATTACCTGGTCTATTGGAGCGCACCAAGCGGCTCCGAAACCGCCAACCCGGAGAACTCCGAAGAGGTCGAGACTCCCGAGAACCTCCGCCGTCGCGAATGGGAGTCTGCGGATGCAATCCACCGGTTCCCAATCCGCAGCTTTGTGCGCCAGCGCATGGAGCAAGTGGTTGCTTCTTGTGGTGGCGCGGAGCGGTTCAAGGAGGAGTGGCTGGCCAATGTTGATGCGGACGTTCTTTCGACATTTTTGGCCCTGGGTGTGCTTTGATAGATGGTAGTCTTTCCAGAGCTTCCGCTGTTAGCTTGATGACACTCATGGTTCAATTGCGGGAGCGGCCTTGGTGATTGTCAGCGAAATGCCCAGGGCGGCTGAGACCAGTCGTCTCACATACCCTGCCCACCTCTACGAGCAAGTAATCAAAATATCTTTCCACGTTTATCCCTGACTGGCCACTTCTTTCATATTTCCCGTGACTCCAGGATCCGTAGGCCGGCCTTTTACAGTACCTGGCAAATGACGATACAGCTTACGTAGCTACTCACTCATCTACACAGTGCATGTTAAGTTGGTGTACAGGAAACAAAGGATTCTCATTGGTCAGGGTTATGGTAACCCGATGGACTCTCAAAACTGTATCGTTAACGCCAGCCACAAAGTAGCCAAATAAAAATATAGAAAAGGGAATTTAAGACCCTAATACCATCGACGAAAAGGAAAGCCTCAAAAAACAAAACGTATAGGCGGAAAAATACGATTGTCATGTCAACAAGAGAGGAAAACGCTGGCCACGAAGGCTTCGGTTCTAGCACTGGCCGGGGAACTTGCGCTCAGTGACGGGGTTAGGGAAGACCCCGGCAGCAAGCTGCATGTGCATGTCCCACTCAGGAGCACCCTCCGTCTTCCAGGTCCAGTAGAGCCAGCCAGAGCCCTTCTCGAAGGCGTCAAGCTGGGCCTCGATGAACTGACGGATACCATCCCGCTCAGCCTGGGGCAGGTCACTGGTGGTGCCCTGGTACTTGCCATCGCATGTGCCGATAGCCGTGCTTCCCTGGTAAGAGCCATCGTAGCGAGCGCCAATGCCCTTTCCGTTCAGGTACTTGGCGCAGTCGGTCATGGCGCCGGTCCACTCGCCCACAACAGTCCACTTGTCGGAGTGCTGGACGTGCTCAGCGGAGAAGTTGCAGGCGTTGCTGGCGTGGGTGCTGGGGGTCATAGCGAGGAGACTGTCGTCGAAGACCTCGTAGTGGTGCGTGTCCATCATCACGAACCAGACACCGGCGGACGCAGTCATGAATCCGTTCCATGATTCGGTGGGAAGGAAGCCGTCGTGCAGGACCACGGTAGTGTTCTGGCTGGCTTCACGGGCGACACCCCAGGAATCCCAGTAGTACTGCTTCAGACCGTCCTCACTCACGCCACTGGGCACGAGAGGCTCGTTCACAGCCTCGATGGCAGTAAGCACATCGGTGTCCCCCGCGTAGCGCTTAGCAAGATCCCTGAGAGCGTCTTTGGTAGGCTCATAGGTGTCGCCCTGAAGCCAGCCAATAGAGCCGCGTTTACCACTGTTGTCGAACCCGTTTTGAGAGCCAGGAGCGCCGTGCAAATCAACCAGCACCTTCAGGCCAGCGGTACGAGCCCATTTCACCGCGTTGTCGAGGTGAGCCAGCTGACCGTCGATATAGGGATCACCGTTCAAGTGCTTCAGAGCCCAGTAGCCGATGGGGATACGGACGTGGTTCATGCCTGCCGCGGCAATTTGGTTGAAGTCATCAGCCGTGACGAAAGAAGACCAGTGCTGCTCCAGGACAGAGCGACATTGCTCAGCGCCGAGAGTGGCACAAAGTGACCATTCATCGACAGCGCTCTCCCCAGCATTATCGAAGATCGAGGGAGTGATCCAGGGCTCCAGCACTAGCCATCCTCCGAGGTTAACACCACGGACCTTCTCCGATCCATAGGGAAAGCCAGGTACACTGCTGGTCGGTTAGTATCATTTTCTCTTGAAATTGGAGCAGTTTCAAGCCCTGCTTTGACTTACACGTCATTGACGACGCCGTCAGTGGTTTCTTCAGCTCGCCCTAATGCTGCGAGCATGAACAGCCCGAGCAGGGCCTTTTTGGAGACTGATGGCATTTTGAGCTTCCTACCAGCAAGTCAATTCCACGTCCCAGATGACAGACTTGTGGAATGGAGCAATAGAGGAATTGAAACAAACGGAATGGAGATCGACAGCTATAAGTAAAACATTCTATGGGCCATGGTGCTTCACAAGACCGGGTGCAGCTCAGGGTTGGAAGCAGACGCGTCTAGGAGTTGTGAATGTGAGAGACCACGCACCTTGAGCAAGCCACTGAAGATCTTGCGGAATGTTTTTGTGTAAATTGTAGATTGTGCCGGGATCGGCAGGCGAACTTAACCGGAAGTAGGAAAGAGCGGGTCCTTGGAACCTTGGTGATCTGGGGTATATGGATGCTACTGGAGCTCATTCATAGATGGGTCCAGTCTGGGGAATAAGCTGGGATACCAAAACAAATAAACAGAGATGGCAGAAAGAAGAGGAAGAAGCCCCAGACTTCGCGCATCCCACTGTTGCCGTGTTTTCCTTGGGTAGGAGCTTCGTTCCTTCCCTTTTGGAAATGGTCTGCATGGACGCACAAGTCTGTCGGAGTACAGGACGGGGAGCACTTGAGTAGGAGGACAGGTGAAAATGCTCCTTTTCTCGCTCTTGGATCCTTTCTCAGGCTCCTCAACACGAGAAATTCAAGTCAATTGCGGGTCGAGAAGTCGATGTTCTGTCTCGTGGAGTTCCATTCTCGGCAACACTGGCATTGTCCCCTTGGACCCACGAAACGCACCACTCAGCCAGGACATGAACTTCCCTATCATAGTCGCAGAATCTCCAAAAGCCACCAAATATTTATGTTCTGTTGGATCGCAACGCTGACCCGCAAACACGGCGGCCTAGATCGTGGAGAGGAGCGAATGTCGGTTGTCACGCTGAGATTGCCAGGAATGTCGACGAGGAATGTGAATTGCTACTTCGAACGAGGGCCAATCAGTATTGGTGAGACATTGCTGAGTTCTCTCAACTCGACAGCTAGGGATTCTGTGTCCTCGAATCAACATACAAGGGAAACTTCTTCCCAGACAGTTCGTGCCATTACTCAGGGGCACTCTATGCCCGCACATTATCGGGTCTTGGACCATGCCATCTTGGCAACTTGGAGCCGCTCGGAATGATAAAAGAATGCCCCAAGGGCTGGATTGTGACTTGAATAGTCGAACTCCTCAGGTCTGGACCAGAGAGACCATCGTAGACCCTCCCGGCACGTTAATTCCGCAAGGACTGATTGGTTTGCATGTCTCGAGGCTGTGAGGACCATGGGCATCGGTTAAAGGGCCAATCGGGGTATGGACCGAAGGATATGGACATGAAACAACCGCCCATCTCCAGCGTCGGTTGGCCCTGATGATTGGACCATAGCCGGTGGGTTTCACATTCAGAGTTCCTTGTCCGCGTGAACTATGAGATCCCGGACTCCCCTGTGCACTAGCCGTTGATTTAGGAAGGAGAGGTGGTCATTACTGATTCATGGGAGAATCAAGCGCAGAAGAAAGATACAGGTGCTCTCTCCTGAATTGTTGTCGCCCGAAGGTTTCTGGGCGTATAAGAAGGCCGTTCAAGGCTACGTCTCAGTATCGCAATGGCAGCGGAACCACAGAAAGGTCCAATACCCCTTTGGGCCAGAAATAAATACCGGGGAATATTCTACCTGAAACGAGCGTTCTGTATCGAGTGATATTGTGTACGTTGAGGCCTTCTTTCCACAGCTACGGGGTAGGCCGAATAAACCGATCGGCACGCCACCAACCAGAGCATTAAGATCTGAAATACGGATCGACAGGGGGGAGGGGGGGGGGTATCTCCAATCCAAAGCCAAAATTGGCCCTAAAGAAACATGGAAACCAGACAGGTAGAAGCAATACTAGGGTTTACCCCAGCCTATGATGCCATAAACAACCCCTTCATGAACGGCACAGAGCGCCACGCCCCCCCCCCCCACGCTTGCGGGGAAAGACACCGAGAAGTCCGGCCCAGAAATGGGAGTCAGACGGCGGACAGGGAGGGGAGCCAGACGCCTGAGATGCCTCCCAATCACACGCGGCCGATCGGCGCGCCAAGAGGGGTAGAGGCTCGTTTTGTTCGTATTCTTATTTTGGCGTGCGGGGAATAAGAGCGTTCATGGGTGCAAATGGAACCTTGGAATACCACGTTCATGCTGTCGGGACGCTCCGTCTGGACAAGAAGGGAGAAGGTGAGGATCGGAAAGGCATTCCGGTTATCTGAGCGGCCGCAAGGGAGCGGCGTCTTCGCCGGTGGGCGAGTCCAAAGTGGTTAAGACCGAAGGCTAAGACTGGTGATTTGAGATTCATCTCATGACATGTCGCAACCATGCGTTGTCGCGGGGTCAAAACCTGCTGTGGATGCAGGCTCATCCTGCAAAGTGCCGTGGGAGTCCAGTGAGGACCGCCGAGATGTCCCCCACTCCCACTAGGCCCTCCTTCACCTTCCTTGCCTATCACACTCCCCTCTGCGGGATTGGTCCAATGACAATGTCGGCTGCACGCTCGGCGAGGAGGGGGAATGTGCCCTCCCAATCCGATTGCTGCCCCGATTCTACAGCATCGTGTGGCAGATTCTCGACCGCAAAAGCGACCAGCAATCGGAGTGATACAAAGGCTGGGGATTCCGGAGGGCCCATCCCCGAGGATCTCCCCCCGGAACGTGGGGAATGTCCCTTGATTGGCGACCCCCGGCCTCGGCACTCCACTGTCAACAAAACGCTAAGGCTCGCGCACATATCGGCCCACTCCATTCAGCGTGAATCCCCAGATCAGGCTGCTGAGACTCCTTTCCTGCGGGGTTTGGCCGAGTGGAGAATAGCCTTCTGTTCATTGCTTAGTGCTTGGCCCCGTCAGCACCGCACAAAGCCCGGAGGTTCTCTTTCTTGTCATTCCGTGGTCCACGCCAATAGGCGCAAATAGTTAGAGCTTCGGTAATGATGGGCCTCCGTAGGCAGGCTTCGAACTAGTACATATAAAGGTCTCTGCCTGCAATAGTGGGATTCGTTTGGTTTCTTTCCGACTTTGTATCTGAGGCTGGATCCGTACATCTCGTAGTGGGTATCCCCGCCTTGAGCCCAATACTTCCCGTCATCTGGAGCAATGCATCTGCTGCGATCTGTTCTAGTTTCCCTCCTGACAGCCTCTGCCTTGGCCCTCCCAGGTGCGGAGAAGCAATCATCTGTCAAACACCGGCGTGCTGCCGGGTATGCCCTCAAGGAGCCCCCTCTCACGACCCCTTGGACAGATAAAGTCGGCACCAATCCCTGGCCTGAGTACCCGCGGCCACAGCTGCAGCGTTCCCAGTGGCAAAATCTGAACGGGGTCTGGCAGTATCAGAACGCCTCGGGCCTGGATGCGGTGCAAAGCCCGCCATTTGGGCAAGATCTGGGGCAGGAGGTGCTGATTCCTTCATGTTTAGAAAGTGGATTATCCGGTATGCGTTCCTTGTCTATACGCACGGGCACGGGTCTCGAAGCTCACCATTTTGAACAGGCATTCAGGGGAATTATACCCTGTATTCATGGTTCTCAACCTCCTTTGAGGTACCCTCCGACTGGGATGGTCAGAACGTGTTGCTCAACTTCGGAGCCGTGGACTACGAAGCTACTGTCTTCGTCAACGGTCAGAAGGCGGGCTTCCACCGTGGTGGATACTTCAAGTTCTCTGTGGACGTGACTCGGTTTGTGAAGCAAGGCCAGAAGAACGAGCTGTGAGTTGTTTTCAAAACCAATTCTCCCCTCAAAACAATACTGACACATCACAGCCTCGTTTTCGTGCATGACCCCACTGACAGTGGGGACTATGTCATCCCAATTGGAAAGCAGACACTGGAGCCAAGCCATATCTTTTACACTCCGTGCAGCGGTATCTGGCAGACTGTCTGGATTGAGCCTGTGCCAATGAACCACATTTCCCGATTAGATCTCGATGGTAACAAGGACGGCCAGGTCAACATCACGGTGCACACTGCTGCCAATGTCAGCACCAGCGTCCAAGTCGTCGTGCACGACGGTGATCATGTTGTTGCCACACATCGAGGACCGACCAACCGACCATTCCAGTTCAAGGTTGTGTCGCCCAAGCTGTGGTCTCCCAATTCACCCAACCTGTATAAGGTCACCGTGATCTTGGGCCAAGACCGGGTCCAAAGCTATACTGGGTTCCGTACCATTGAACGCGGCACCGTGAATGGCGTTGTCCGACCTCTGCTGAACGACGAGTTCATCTTCCTGTTTGCCACCCTCGATCAGGGCTACTGGCCCGATGGTATTTACACCCCTCCCACAAAAGAGGCGATGGTGTACGATCTCCAGCTTCTGAAGAAGCTTGGCTTCAACACGGTTCGCAAGCATGTAAGTAGCAATATGTTGGCCCTCAGAGATGCCATCCTGACCTTCTTTCAGATCAAAGTAGAGCCCGAGCTCTTCTACCAGACGTGCGATGAACTCGGCCTGCTAGTCATCCAGGACATGCCGGCTCTGCGTCCATCCCAGTCCCGGACTCTGGCAAACGGCACATCTGTGCCAATCCTGCCCGACCCAGCTCAGCAAGTGGAGTTCGGACGTCAATTGGAAGTCCTGGTCAACCAGCTTAAGAGCTTCCCCAGCATTGCCGCTTGGGTAAGGGCGCCGAACGAACCTCCTTCCCCTTGAAAACCCCGCTCACGCATATATACAGGTCATCTACAACGAAGGGTGGGGCCAGATTACCACCTATTACCCCGAGATCGAGTTGACTGCTCGAGTCAAGCAGCTAGACCCAACCCGGCTGGTCGATTCCACCACAGGTTGGTACGACCACGGCGCGGGTGACTTTAGCGTACGTAGCACCCCGATGAGACAGATGAGGTTGAACAACGAAGAGCATCAACTTACATTTTTTTTTTTTAAAAAAAAAGGACAACCACCACTACGCTAATCCGCAATGCGGAACCCCGTTCTACTCCATCAACTCAAGCCCTTACGACGATACCCGAATCGGATTCCAGGGCGAGTTTGGCGGTCTTGGCAACAATGTCTCGATCGAGCAGTATGTGGAGTCCCGGTGCCCCCAGATGAAATCCACAATTGACCAAGATCTAGTCTCTGGAACAACCAGAACGCCATCAACAGCATCAACCAGACGTACGAAATTGATATTACCGTGGAAGCGTGGAACTACCGCAGCCACCTTCTACTCAGCGAGCTTAAGGACCAGGTTACCCGATTCTCCTGCAGCGGGGGCGTCTGGACCCAGACCACCGATGTCGAGGGCGAGGTCAACGGGCTCATGACCTACGACCGCCGCCTGCAGCGTGTGGACGAAGAGCAGTGGAAGGCCGATATCCAGGGCCTGTACGATGCAGCTGCGGCACGCAGCAACGCGACCGTTTCCTTGTGAGTGGGGACGGTCCGCGCTAGACAATGGACAGTTCCCCATCCTCTTCGTTAGTTCCATTTTAAAATTCGAATTCCGCATACCCCCCCGAGTAGACCATTCGCGGGTGACTGCCGGAATTGGGGATCTACCGTCCGATAAGCCTCGCCAGGACGTGATGAATTCTTTGTCACATTGGCACATTGAGGGGTTCGTTCGCCGCTGGTGACACCGCTTCAACTAGTGCAACGGTTTCCCCCACGCCCCCTTTCCGCCATTAATTAGAATATGAGAGTAAAAGAAGCATCGAGGCGGGAAGTTGCAGCTGTCAGTTTCTCGGCATAAAGTCAAATAGATTTGACTCGCACATCACGGCCGCGGGCCAGAAAACACCTCTTGTGCCTCGAAAAGCCGAGCTGTGGGCTAGCGGGTCTCAGGTTGACCGGCGCTCCGGCGTGAGATCATCGAGGCGTAAATAGGGGTAGATATGCATATGCATGGGAAGTTGATGAACCAGGGATCGGTCAGATTGACGTCTTTGGTCGAGTTTCCTTCTCTTATCGTCTTTTTTGGTCTAATCCGAGATTTATAGTTTTTTTTCGAGTCGCTAGTGCTTGGTTGCTCGGAGTGGCTATCTTCACATCGGAAAAAGACGGTTCAGATGGAGGGTGTTTTCACGATTTGTGCGAATCAGCAAACAAGAGTTCTTTCTTTTTCTTTTCTTCTTTTTCCCGTTTTCCCATTTTCCCTTGTTTCCTTGTTTCATAGTGTCATAGTGGCATGTTATTTTCTTTCTCTTCTCTCCGAAGGGGGCCCCACTCACGGCCCATTGTGGCTTCCAGAATCTGCCTCATTTTTGGATGACAGGAGGGTTCGATTTCGGTGGGTCTCAACGGCCGTACGAGTTTTCCAGATCCTGCGAGGAACGACGCGGGAACCCAGTGGGAATCTGATACTGGGTCTCCGAGAGGCTGCAATCGATATAGGATGTGTCGAATCTCTAGGGGGAACCGCATCATGCAGTTCGTCTTTCCGCCTTGATCCGAGGCGGCGCCGCTGAGTGGAGATTGGGGATTTGGACACGTCAAAAAACCATGAGATTCGCGCTTAGCTCGCAAGGCCTAGGCTGGATTCGGTCCTGTTCCCCGGGATATCGAGCTCATATGCTAATCCTTGCTCGAGCACATTACTCTGCAGCCAATTATTTTCGATGACACCAGGATCTTCTAATCAAGTCATATGGTTGACGGTGATCCGCGACCAAGATACCTAAGAGGCCATGAGCCAAGAAAAGAAAAAAAAAAGCGTTGCATGAATCAAACAGCCACCTCCACGTGGTAAACGTGGGAAACGTGGAGTAGAAGCGTTTCAGTTTCAGAGCGGGCCATGACAGACGATGCTCTGCCGTGGTTCCGGCTCTGGGCGGACTGGGGCCTCGGCAGGTGGGGTGACCACAAGGGATCATCTCTATCCGTTAAGGCTTCGTCTCGGAGAGACGCCTCGTAAGTACACTGCCCCGATTGGTCTGTTCCGCATGCCGGATCTCCCCTGTCTGAAGATATCCACCGTGGCCTGGTTTTTGGGAACCTGGATGTCATGGTGTGACTCGAGGCTATAAAGGATGAAATTCTGTCCAGTGCGCTACGAGGCGCCCCATTTTCTTCCCTTTCCTTTCCCGTCGAATCTCGTCAGGTCCTGCGCCGATTGAAAAATCTTGTCGATCTGCTTTGAACCCGGTCACCATGGCTTCTGTGGATTATGGCTTAGGCGAAGAATTCCAGCCCAAGCATGTCGATCGCCGATCGCTCTATGTCAACCTGGAGGAGCGTATCAAGTATCTGCATGACTTTCTGAGACTGGGGCGATGGTCAGTCCGGAGATCAACGCCTGAGTCGTTGCCTTCCAGCTCAGCTAACCGACTCTTGCAGCGGATGTACAGGCGCTTCGAGACGGAGCCAAGTATTTGAAACAGCTCATTCCGACGGTGACCACACTGGTCTACAAGAAGCTCTTACAGTGGGATATCACCTCCCGAGCATTCCACACCCACACGACGGCCAACGAGGACGAGCTTGAAGAAGACTTCTTGACGGAGGACACCCCTCAGATCAGGCGTCGGAAGATGTTTCTGCGCTGGTATCTCACCCGACTGTGTCAGGATCCAGCCGGCATGGACTTCTGGAAGTACCTAGCCAGAGTCGGGTATGTCACGAGCCCCACGCTCCCTCCCCAAGAAGCTTATCAGGACATGGGAATGGGACCAAAAGGCTAACAGAACCCTCTTTTTATTAGTCGAATGCACAGCGGACAAGAGCGCCTACACCCTCTCAACGTCGAGTACATCCACCTCAGCGCCTGTCTCGGGTACATCTGCGATATGTTCATCGAAGCCGTGTTCAGCCACCCCCAGCTCTCCCTCAGGAAAAAGATAGCCCTGATGCGCGCCCTGAACAAAGTCATCTGGATCCAGAACGACCTCTTCGCCAAGTGGCGCTGCCGCGACGGCGAGGAGTTCGACGACGAGATGTCCATTTCCAGCTTCGGCTCCAAGGACATCTATGCCGGTCTCGAAACCCTGGTCAATAGCCCAATCGAGGACGACCGGGCCAGTATCGCCAGTAGCGTGGCTCCATCCATGCGGAGTGCCGCGCCCTCGACGCATACAGCGCAGCCGCCGCATACGACCCACACGAAGCACACGACGTACACAGCTCCACCGCAGAATTTGGTGTGTCCGTTTGCTTCGATGACGACGGGTTCCTCGACCGAGACTAAGATCTGGGCCGATTGAGAATGTGGCGGGGTTAAAGGGGCGGGTTTGAAATAGCATTTCTAGGCGCGCGGGATGGACAAGGTTTTTATTTCAGACAGGGCCTTGAAAAAAGCATACTTGGTGTTCATATTCTCACAGAGCTTCTCGCATTCAACTTCTTTCCTCTCTCGATCCCGTCTCGAGTCTTCCCTTACATTTTTTGTATATCCCGGGTTTACTAGCCGAGTGGAGCCGCCATTGCGGAAAGCTTCCGGAGATTTCTTCACCTCTGCAGCTCCGCAAGATCGGTCATCACTTTATTTCTGAAAAGGGGCAATTAGTCAGGTCTTTGAGGTAGCTATCAGAAGTGCATTTCCCTGTGGTTTCCCCGCCAGTTTGAGAAGCGATTGATCAGATCAGACCTGTCAATTGGTTCTATCATTCTCCACGCTAATTGCCTCCACATTCGGCAAGATCATCTTCCCGAGCTTTGGAACGACCTACCCCTCAATCCGTGGTTTTTTTTCTCCTGCTTCCTATCGTTAGACTTGCATAGAGGATTCTTCTTTGACAGAAAGGGACCAGAAAAAGGAACCAGAACCCCTCGAGACATTGCTCAAGGAAAATCATCCAAAATGACTCGCCACCGCGACACTCCCAACTTGGTAACGCCACTGATTATCAACAATGAATCCATAGTCACAGAGCTCAAATTCGAGGTCCACGCTCCCGCAACCGGCGAACTGTCCGGCCACTGCGCCAGTGCCTCCCTCGAAGACGTCGAGCGCGCCGTCGCAACCGCCAAAGCAGCCTTCCCCGCCTGGGCCAAACTGAAGGCCTACGCTCGCCGCGATATCCTCACCAATGCCGCCGAGATCATGCTCTCGCGCAAAGAGGAGCTCATCGCCTACCAGCGTGAGGAAACCGGCGCTGGCCGTCCCTTCGCCGAGAAAACGTTCCACCTGGGCGTCGACTTCATCAAGGACTTTGCGGCCCGCATTCCCAGTATCGAGGGCTCTGTCCCAAGCACCACCGTCGAGGGCGAGGGCGCGATGGTCTTCAAAGAGCCATACGGCGTTATCCTGTCAATAGCTCCCTGGTGAGTCTTTCCCCCCCTGCCTTACTTTCAACAAATTGTGATTTGTATTCTTTTTGAAATTGGCGCTGCAACAAGCAATGCCCTCTCCCGCATTTCTGTGTAACAGCGACTCATTTCCAATCTGCCCAGGAACGCGCCCTTCATCCTGGGTACCCGCGCGGTTGCTCTGCCCCTGGCGGCGGGCAACACGGTCGTGCTGAAGGGCTCCGAGCTCGCGCCCAAGTGCTTCTGGGCGCTTGGCGATATCTTCCGCCAGGCGGGGCTGCCGGCGGGGTGTCTGAATGTGCTGTTCCATCGCGCGGCTGATGCGCCGCAGATCACGACCGCGTTGATTGCGCATCCTGCCGTACGCAAGATCAATTTCACCGGCAGCACGAATGTCGGGGCTATTATTGCCAGTACGGCCGGTAAGTATATCAAGCCGGTGTTGTTGGAGTTGGGGGGCAAGGCGTCGGCTATTGTGCTGGACGATGCGGATTTGGACAAGGCGGCGATGAAGTGCGCTCTTGGATCCTTTATGCATGTAGGTGAAATCCTTTGAAGGCTTTTGGGGAGAGGAGTTGGGTTTGAATTCTGATGCTAATTGAACTTTAAGTCGGGGCAAATCTGCATGTCGACGGAGCGAATCGTCGTCCAGCGCAGTGTTGCTGAGGAGTTCCGGATAAAGCTCGCTGCCACGGCGGAGCAGTTGTTTGGTAAGGATGCGCCGCCGCTTGTCTGCGTGAACGCGGCTGCTATCTCGAAGAATAAGAAATTGGTCAGCGACGCGATGGCGCAAGGTGCCAATCTGTTGTACGGCGAGGTGACCGCTAGCGAGCCTGCCGAAACCAGCATGCGGCCTATCATTGTGGATGGAGTGAACAAAGGCATGGATCTTTACGCGACCGAGTCCTTCGGGCCGACCGTGTCGCTTTATGTCGTGGATTCGGAGGAGGACGCGCTTGCGCTCGCTAATGACACTGAGTACGGTTTGACCTCTGCTGTTTTCACGAGTAACCTCTTCCGAGGACTGCGGGTTGCCAAGCAGATTGAAGCTGGGTAAGTAGATTATCCTGGCACGTTGTGCTAGAAATTGACGATTAATCCCTTGCAGTGCGGTCCATATCAACTCTCTGACCGTGCATGACGAGCCGGTCCTGCCGCATGGCGGATGGAAGAGCAGTGGCTTTGGCCGATTTGGAGGTGCCTCTGGTTATGACGAGTTCCTGCAGACGAAGACCGTGACCTGGGTGGAATAGGTAGTCCCACAGCAGTCGGTGGCGGCTGAAAGCCCCGAGCTGGCTCGGCTTCGGTTTTGTGGAGGCTTGAAGCGACCTCGTTGGTAGTGGTTACGTAGCAATACTCTGGCTGTCATAATGCCTTCATAATATACACATGATATGTCCCATCTGATGTGTTGAATGCATGTTCGCTAAGCATGGGATACCTCTGGGATCTTCTGTAAAGATCAAGGTCTTTTGAGAAGTCTTTTTTGGGCGAGACCTAGCCTCTTTGTACCACAACCGCAGCTAAAGCTCGGATGGTAGTTTGTTGGACCAGCTTTGGTTACAATGCAGCTTCGGAGGGGTTAAACGGTGTATCATAAGCGGAGTCAGCGTCTGGCTTCCCCCGCCTATAGACGACTGCTAGCTCGGCTGCTGCCGGCTGTTTCTGTAGTATCCACCGGCACTCATACGCAAAAATAGATAGGGGCCTGGAAATAGGATGGACCGAACTTGGCGCGTGCTAGAAGATTTAGAGCGTCTTAGGGGTGGACCTACAGAAGGCCAAATGACCGAGCATTTGGTGGCGTTCCTACGGCTGTGACGTTAATCTCGAATCGCGATAGCCTTGTCTCCTGGCGATGTGGACAAGCCAGATTCGGTCGGTTCCCGAGAACTTTAGAATTCCGGTCATCTTCGATCCTGTTCAGGGCTTTGTTTGGTTTTTTTCTTTTTTTCTTTTTTTTTTTCAGATTTATCTGTCAGCGGCGCAGAGACAAAAGACCGGTATCGTATTCAAGTCAGGTCAGCCGTGGCGTTAACTCTTGAGCATGACTGCCATTTGGAAATTGGCTGGATAAGGAGAGTTGGCGCAAGGCCACCATGGCAGTCGATGTACTTCGTATGGGGACCATTTTTACCCGCACACCTGAGACACTCGCAGCCGCAAGGCCCTCTTCTAGAAAATTATCCGAGTTGGCGGAGAGGCTCATCCAGGTTCCAAGCCATGAGCTAACCGAAAACGCCATTGACGGATTGGCCGTGAGATTAATCGGTGAGACGAATGGCTTGCCCAGATGAAAGAGATGGCGAGACTCTGTACTAGGACTGTTTTGTTTTGGCGGAGGGGCCCGTGGACCCGACCAGCAGGCTATTTCGAGGAGTTGATCTCACCGGGAACCATGGGCCATGGACCAACGGTCAATAGTGTGCACGACTTCCAGGAACAACCCAATTCTTAGCCAGGCACCACAGGCAGCTGGCCAATCACATCGCTGCGCGTTGAGTTCCACTCGCGAGGAACAGAAAATATGATGTTCGGTCGACTTGGACTTCTTGGCCTGGTCTATTTCCAGGGGCAAATGCGGCGAACAGAGTGAGACACCGCCAATTTCCCGACGGGTCGTCCCTGCAACCACCACGTATTCTTTGGGGCACCGAGTGATTTGGATCGTCTTGTACGTGCAAGCTGCCCTCATCCTTTTCTCTGGGTTGCCCCTGATCAACGGTTGATCCCTTCCGTAGATTTGGCTGTTTGCGCAAACGAACCAGTGGGATCGGCGAGTTTACACCATCTCATGGGTTCCTGTGTGGAGTTGTCGGCCGCGATCGTCTGTGCGATGGATCAGGGCACAGAGACGGGTTGGTATATCGACTTTCTACTCTGTACAAGTCATGTCATCAGGGTCCGAAAGAAGATTGTGCCTTTGTAAAAAGTAGGAAATATAATTGGTACGGCGGGAAATGACCATGCAGGCCGACGGGGAAATGAAGGGAAATCGGGAGCGAGGGATCTGATTCGGTTATTCCCCGGAGAAACCAGGCCCCGCTTGACAGTACCCGTATTGGTATTTTGAAGGGAGATTTAGATGTGCACTCGCACCATTTGATTGTCCCTTGAGTGATCGTGAGTGATCGTGCCATGTAGGGACGCTGTTATGTTGTCCTGGGAAGTTAAAGATGTAATCATTTGTCATGTCGAGCTCCATACTCCGTAGTGTGGCTTTGGATCCATTCTTGCATCCCTGTTTGGGATGTAACGCCTTGTTGGGCTGTGGCATTTAATCTTACTACATTCCGGGGCGCACTCTGACTGGCTCCCACAACAAAGTCGCGTCGGGAAGCTTCGCCAATGACCGTGAATGGGCATGAAATAGCGGGGAGGGGGCCAGCACTAAATACACTAGAGACTAGGGCCTGAACAGCCTCGCAAGGAATACAGATACCGGAGAGTCTCCAAAGGTGGCTTGGACGATAGAATACAGTACCGATGTAACCAATGCCCGTGCTGCCGCATCTTGTACTCCACGATGTACACTAGCCACGAGCCACTGCCTCGTGGGCACCGTCGCATTCAGGAGCCCATCCTGATTTTCTTCCTCCAAGTCCTCGCAATTTGGTCGGTTGACTCGTTCTATCATCCGCGACCGAGGGATATCTGGTGAGATGTCTCTCTCGAATAGCCACAGTGGACCTGTCTGACTCTATATTCATGATAACTGTGGGCGGATAATGAGAGTCAAAAGTGAGTCTATACATAAGCCGTGGAGTGGAGGACCCTCGCTTGGAAGGCCCAAAGTCTGCGATGCGGTAAACTCAAAAAGAAAGCGCGAATATTTACAACATAATACCGAAAAGCGTAAGTGTGCCTGGCTCAGGGGCCCACCGCGTGGAGAATGGAGCCTCTGGTTGGCCCTACCAGCCCCTTAGCATTTGGGCCCTGATGGGGCTCTGAGTTGTTGACTCTCCACCCTGCAGGTACAGGAGAAGGGGAGGAGTACGCACTGCCCTCTCCTCCCCGAGTTCATAGTTAACCTTTCCGCCGCGCCCTCTTTTTCCTTTTCTTTCCTTTTCACTCATTCAGTCACTCCCTACTACAAGCCACTCGTTCGTGCTTCCGAAGCTTTAGCTTCCTCTTCGTTCTTTTTTCCGAGAATTCCAACTCAGTCATTCTTTGTCCACCCACTATCGTTCAATATGCGTTTCACTACCGCCACTATTATCTCCACCCTCGCAGCTCTGGCTACCGCCTACACCCAGCCCGACTACAGCAAGCCCCCCCACCGGCAATGCCATTACTTCTCCCGGTCTGAACGAGCAGGTTCCTGAGGGCGCTCCTTACCACATCAAGTGGGAGCCTACCCTCGGCAAGACCGTTTCCCTGGTCCTCCTGCGCGGTCCCAGCAGCAACGTCGTTCCTCTCCAGACTATTGTTGAGGACATCCCCAACTCCGGCGAATACACCTGGACCCCTCCCTCCAACCTCGAGGTCGACACCACCCACTACGGCATTCTCCTCGTTGTTGAGGGCACTGGTGCCTACCAGTGGTCTACCCAGTTCGGCATTGCCAAGGGCGCCAGCTCTGGTCCCAGCACCGTTGTCACCGTGATCGATGACAAGACCACCACCTACTGCCCCGAGGAGGCTTCGTCCACTGCTGCCCCCACCCCCCTCCGCTCCTGCCTCCTCTGCTCCCGCCACCATTGTCACCGTCATTGATGACAAGACCACCACCTACTGCCCTGAGGAGGCTTCTTCCACCGCCAGCGTGACCCCCCTCCCGTCTCTGCTGCTCCCTCTCCTTCCTCTGCCGTCTCTTACTCTACTGTCTGGGGCTCATCTCTGATCACCACCACCTGGTGCCCGGAGGAGACCAGCTCTGGCGTCGCTCCCGTGACCACTGCCCCCGTCACCACCCCCGCTCCTTGGGTTCCCTCCAGCTCGCTCACTCGCCGCCCTCTGAAGCCCTCCAGCTCTGTTCCTGTGGTTCCTGTGGTCCCCAGCGGCACTGCCACCGCTACCCCTAGCGCTCCTCCAGCCTTCAACGCCGCTGGCCGCACCACCATGAGCTTCGGCGTTGTCGCTGCTGCTTTCGTTGCGCTGATGGCTTTCTAAGCGCCTCTCCATCTAATGACCTCTGCACTGGGAGGGGGCCTTGGGTTCTGTTTGTATCTTTCCTGAATGAGCTCTAGATGTCAATTCGGTCAAAATATCTGACTGGAATACGGCCCCTCTATTTTTCGTGAATGTTTTAACTTTTTATCTTTCTTGAGCTGGGCTTGCGTGCGTTTCATACCATGTTTTTTTTTTATGTACGTTCCAAGGAATCCAAGTCATCGGCTATGCTTGTAATGTCAAGTCTCATGCCTTAATGTTCCGTTCTCCTTGACTTTAGGGTGTAAGCTTGTATTGCAAGTAAATTCAATTCGTACTTTTTCATCTTTTCCGATTCCTTATCGTCCACCCCGCATATCCGATTATGGGCTCCTTCCTGCAGCCTCGATCTCAATTATGAATCTTGATTGTCGAGTTTCTGTGTCTTCGACGCTACAAGGCGTGCGCTATTGCTCCAGGTTCAGGTCCATATCACCTGGTGAACAGAAATTTGCAATGACCTTCTCAAATGGCCGCGTACTGCATAGTTCAAATATACCTCCTCCAAAACGGCCTTTAGATCCCATTGAAGGGATTGCTAGCAAGACAGAGTTGATCTCATAATGGACAGAAAGCCCAGATCCGATCATATCATCCCAACACCACTCAGTCAGGCAGGCTCAGGGGCTCTTAAGTTGCTTGGTCACATCCATCAGGTCCCAATCACATGACCAATGTCCCGCTTGCAAGCTCTGATTGATCGAGCATTACAATGGGGAACGAGGGCACTTGTACTCGCCAGTCATGAGGCAGCTGGATCGGCACATCTTCCAGAGGTCAAATTTCCCGAAGGGGGTTGAACCAGAACGGATTAGTAGAACCATGGTTTCTTGGTACCCCCCTCCCCCTTTGTCCAGCAGCCCCCGCAGCAGCACCAACAGGGGGCAAAAGTCAGTGTGCATACCGCTTCACCTACCCCATCGAATACTTATGAATATTCATGGTTACATATCCTACACCACCAATCCTTATTGGATCATACTAAGATTCAATATACTGAATAATCAGGTTTATATATAGAGTTCCCTTACTTAATATTTCGTACAATAACTCTGGTTCGCATATAATTTATCTATCCTTCTTCCCATACCTAATATTAACATATCAATCTCCGTTTAGTCTAACACCTTCTATACAGTATTAACATATTCCTTAAGATAGGCTCTATCCTCCTTAGATCTTCCTATCTACATCAGTCTTCAAATATACAAAAAAAAGTTCGAATTTTAGTATATTCCAGACCGGTTTAATAGGGTTAAGACCAGGTGAGTATACAGGCCAATTTTCAACATACATCCCATGCTCTTTAAACTAAACCTTTATATATTTCGCTATACAGATCTTTTTGTTATCTTACTAAAATACCATTTCAGGTTGATAGCGATTGATGCCATAGGGGAGGCGTAGGAGAAAAAAATAAAATAAAATGTGGGTGGTTGTTAGGGTGATGGTAATGGGGCCTAGTGCACACAGACTTTTGCGCGGGTGGTGTAATAACCCTCTTACCCCTACAAGCCCTCCATGGCCACATCGATCGGGTCATCATCGCCGGCTGAGCTGCTAAACTGATGGCGAATTGAGCTCGAATCAACCGGCGATTGGCTTGAGGCTTCACTGGATATCCCCAGAAGTATGCTAATGATCTCCTTATTCTCTTCATCAGTGTAACCCCAGGTCAATGCTTTTGAGCACCACTTGCTTCGTTTGCTAATGCGGTAGAAGTTGAACGTAACGCTGTCTGTTGAGATCCCGTAGACGGTCGTGTCTGACTTCTTGCGCTCACTCCGTCCAGAATGCACCAGGCCTCCAAACAGATTAGCAATGCCTTCGGTATGATGCGTGGTACTTACCCATGTAGGCAAGTAGCTGCTGTCCAGCTAAACCAAGGCGCTCCGTCGTCTTCGCCTCAACAATGACCAGATTGTATTATTTCCCTTTCTCCCAGATTCCATTCTCCGATTGGCCGAGCCATGAGAACCCTCGCACGTGATCCGCGATAAGCTCGATAAGTCGATAAGGAATTTTCCCTGTATCAACCTCCACACCCAAACGCTGTGTTCTGTGCTGCAGGCAGTACAGCGCTTCACCAGATCCACCTCCGCTCTTTGCGAGTCATACCATCACCATGGCTCAGGGCCAGATGAAGAAGAGCAAGGCCACCACTGCCGTGGCGAAACGGTACGTCCCGCGTGGCCCGGGCCCCGCGTATGCAGAGAGAAAACCTATGGACTGACGAAAACGCAGTGGTTCCAACTCGGCTGCTCGAACGAGGCCTGGACCGCGCCAGGTTGCGCCTAAGAAGGCATCGCTGGTGAAGCAGGCTAAGCTGAATAAGGTATTGTGGTAGAGGGCGACCTGCGGAAAGTCTTCAACTAACGCTTGTGGCAGAAACTCACGTCCGGCCTCGTGGCGAAAACGGAGCGCAGTCTTGCGCAGAAGGCTGGCCATCTTGAGATGCTAGCTGGTGGGAAGAAGGATAAGAAGAAGAAATAATTGATAAGAGCATTCAAAAGGAAATCTGCATGGAGCGGTTGATAACTTTCTTTTTTGTTTAATTTATGCCATGGTTACGGTCGCTTCTGCTTCTGAGTTTACAAGTACCGGCCTCGACCTCGCTATTTCAAGTTAGAACTTGAAGGCTGAGGACGAGGACGAGGACGAGGAGCTCTCGAGGCATGTCTCCTAGCAGCTAGAATGTCGGAGCGATACGTTTCGCGAGTTTCATATACCCCGTTCTTTGTGTCAGGCTAGGCAAACGAATATATTTGCAACAAATCCAATCGAGTTACTCGAGTACCCAGAGAGATGTAAGATATCTCCACGTGCAACTACAGTAGAAATAGTACCTAAATCCAAGGCTGCAATCTGTAGCCATAGTCAAACATATTCTTGTAATTTGAGGCAAGTATTCGTGAATCGTGATAATTTGTTGTATAGTCGTGATCCGTGCAAGGCCGGGGGGGGGGGGGGTAAATGTCCATATGTAAACATATGATAAAGGTAAAAAGTAAGACAGGAAAATATGGAAAAGAAGAAGAAAAAGAAAGGGTATCTATTATGTCCAACTCCAGTCCGTCACGCTTGAATCCATGGAAGAGCAATTCTCTCCAGCTATAGCTTCGCCACCTTGGCAGGAACGCCCGCCTGCTCAATGAGGTCTTGGCCCCGATCCATCCACGAGTGGAAGCCGTTATCAGAGGGATCCGAGGGGAAATCATCCCAGATTGCGTTCTCCGAGTCCGCATATGAAGACCAGGTGCCCTTGGGAACATCGGAAGTGGACCACGAGGGCAGCTTCGCCAGAACACATGTGTAGTAAACGTACAAGATACGGCAGAGCAGCTCCACCCGGTCGACGTAGTGCTGCTGAGTAGGATCGGGGGTCTTGCTACCGTCACCTAGGCATTTCCACCAGGATACACGCCAGCGGAGAGAGAGAAGAATGTGGCCAAGTTCCCTGAGGAAGCGAATGTGGGTTTCGTGCGAGATTTGCTTCCACTTGATGTTGTAAAAATCCCGCTCCAGTTTGCGGAAGCCTTCGACTTCCATCATGCGGCAGACAATTCGAGATAGCTGAGCTGCCAGGAGGATGTCACGTTGATCCTCAGGGCTATTGATGTCCATGTCTCGCTCTTGACCATTGGCGTCGAGAGGAACAAACGTGTACTTTGCGCGGCTGGGCATATTGTTCCATTGTGACAGTAGAGTCTTATAATGTCAGCGGGAGAGAAAAGAATCCGAAAAAGGTAGCCTGAACTCACATATGCTTGCGTCAGTGGATCGCAGTCCTTAACGCAGGTCAACCAATTTTTCGATTTGTCCTTAGATTCGACGATTCGACGGTCGATGAACTCAAGGAAGGTTGATTTCGAGTTGCCATTGTGTTCGCTTAGGCTCTTCAAGAACTTGTATGCTTCTCCCAGGTCGAGAACATACAGAGAACCCCACGCTTGGCTGGCCCGAATGTTGAACCGCCCTTGGCGCTCGGCGAGGAAGGCTAAAAGTTGCCCCAAGTCAAATTCCGACGGGATTTCCATGCGCTTCCTTCCGCCGTCTAGGGTTGGGTGGTTGACAGCTCGTTGGGCTAAAAGTGTCAGGGTTACGGATCTCTTATCGGGTGCGGGGTTTACTTACAGATATAATTGCAAGTTCCGAATTCGACAATGCTGGAGAAGCAGGCACGCGCACAAGGTTGTTCGTGCAGCGTCGGGCGACAAGCATCGCAAGGAGAGCTTCCATCGCACTGATGATAAAACATGAGCTTTTGAACGTTGCTAGGGGGACTGGCAGTAAGCTTACTTTGCGCTTGTTTAGTCGGCATTGAACGCAGGTGTCCTTATTCTTCCGGCGGAGACCAGCATTTGCTCTTCCAACCATACTCAGAGGACCCTTCCGACGAGCCCCGAGGAGGAGAGACAAAATCTGCAGAAGCAATAGAGCCACCCTGTCCGTCTTCTTGGACAATCTGCAAAGGCTGCGAAGGGCCAAGGTCAATGGAACCCTGGGCGCTGCGGTTTTTGCGTTTCCGGACCGCCCCCGCAGACTGCACGGCAAGAGGCATGGGCCGACTCCCATTTCGCTGATGGGATGAGCCCTTCGGTCGAGATGGCATTGTGCTCAGCAACGATTCTGACGGGGTCTCGCTCACCATGAAGGCAGTTGTTTTCCCACCGCAGACGGCCCCCGGGGAGTTGCTTTCCGCGAAATCGATTTGCCAGTCCGGCCCGTCATCCAACTGATGCCGCGCAAATACTGACGGATCTTCACTGGTGGCAGAGTAGGAGCGCTCGAACATGCCAGACATATCACCTGAGACAGACGAGTTCTCCGATTTGAACTGGAAGCGTTCCTGAGCAGGCTGAGCATTGTTTAGCGGGCTAACCATCGATACGGGCGACAGCTGTGTAGCCGGAACCTGCGCCTCAATGTCATGCGGCCAGTACTGGGGAGAAGTCTGGAGATCACGCAAAGGTTGCTTTTTGGTCTCATTTTCAGGAGCCATGGGCAACGGAACAGAGGCCTGTACCGGAATATTCTCCGAATTGATGCTTTCTTGATTAGACCAATCGTCCGGCATCATTTGGAAGGTTGAGGGCATTTGCTGAAACATCATTGCCTCAGCTGCGGCATCCGGGAAGCCCTGTCCCTGGTGCACTTCGCCCATGTCCTCTAAAATCACTGCATCATTTGAGAGGCCTGCTGTCTTGCCAGAAGACTGCATAAGAGGCGCCTCGAGGGCCATGCTCGCAGCAACAGAGTTGAAAAGCTGGAACTGCGGCCACGCTTCGTCAGCATGGAAGTTGTCATCGGCCGAAGAGGGCAAGGTCTGTGGACTAATCGTCCCACTCCCCGTGCCCTCGCCGGTGCCATCATAGTTATAGGCGTCTGATATCACATCGTGCTTCCTGGAATATGCAATGACGATCAGCAATTTGGAACCTCACGAGAATCAGCAGATCCGCGCGGCACGCACCTGTCTGCTAGATGCTGTAACTCGCCCGTGCGATCCAGCAACGAGGTAGCTAGCGAGTCATGATAGCCGCCTAGATCAGCAACATCGGCGCACTGGCTCGAGTCCTGGCTGTTGTCCCACTCTAGCGGCTGTTCGTAACCTAAATGCTCCCATGGGTTGACGGAGAAAGCTCCGTCGGATTGCCAATTATCGAGAATGTTGGGGTCGATCCCCGCTGCCGCTCCAGTGCTTCCACTGTCCATACAGGATACGCAAAATATTGGAAGATGGGGTGGTTGACGGAGCCGACCAGGCTGAGTAGGTCAAGATCGCGTTGGGGTGGGAGGAGCGGCGAGGCGATAGTCGAGAAGCGCAGAAGAAGACCAGAAGGGGCGAACGGTCCGGGGCGAGCAGTGTCGAGGGTAGATGTAGGGTAGACGCGATGGGGGCGAGATGGAGGAATGATGGAATTGCACGAGGGGAGGAAGGACGGGATTCCCCACCACAAAAGTTTTACCTTGCGATCGACTCTAGCGCTGCGACGCACAGACCGCCCGTTAAGATGCTCTACAGGGCCTCACGGCGGGCCCTTCTGTTATTGAGGACGGTTGGAATTTGTTGCTGCTGCAATTTCAAGTCTATCGATATCCATTTCGCTACTCTTGCGGTGCTTGCGTGCTGTTTGGCAGGCGAGGCGCGCCAAGCGGCCCCAAGTACTCCGGAGGACAGACAGCCTCGTAAAACCCGACGGATCGCCGCGCACGAGGTGGATTGGGTGGGTTCGCCTTACGCGAGGCGATCGAGTCATTGTTCCTGATACTGCGAGGACCGTGGAGTCACGCGGCGCTGTCATTGGGATAGCTGACATGCATGCGATGAACAGTAAGGAAGCTACCTGGGTATTCCCCGCTTTGCCATACGATCAGGACGCATATATATGCGTTGGCAACTGTGCCCTAATCAACTCTTAAGAGTCAATACAATCCCATTATAACCCTCCCACAGGTACAGGAACAGAACCACAGAAACCCAAATTTTCTCCTGGACCAGTCCAGAGTGTACGTAGAAGGCTACCAGGGAAGGGTATTCTGCAGTCCTGCCTTTGATGGGCACCACGACTGGAAAGGGAATAGCGGCGCGGAAGTCTACCGGCTTCGTTGAACAATAGCGACTGGATATATTGAGTTTTGGGTTTGAAGTAGCCTAAGGTCTCTGTCGATTCCAAATTTCTGATCAGACATACTAGTAGTTTCTCGCTTGGCTCTTGGCCTCTAGCGATGACTCCTTCATATGTCGGCAGTTCTATATTCAACGTGAAGCCCCACGCGATCGGCTCACCGCAGCCTACATCCGGGCATATTCGTCCCCAATTGCCGCTCCCCGCCTGAACAGCTTCACCGTGGACACCGGTCCGGTAATCTCAGATGCCTTTGCCTGCCATGGCTCAGTCCTTATCCTTTGCGTTTTTATAAGACTAGAAGTCCAGGGAGGTTTGCTCTAGCGCATGAAAGTAGGATCTCCAATCGCCGCTTCTAAGTTGACCTCGAGACCACTGGCACCGGCGCAGAAGGATTCCTGGATTTTGATTCGGCTCTTGGCGGCATTGCACGACCACCGTCGCCATGCACATCCTGGTAAGTCCATTGTGTTTGACGACCCCATTTCTTTTCTTTTCGGGCATGAGATGCCTTTTTTCCCCTGTGTTCAGAGCCACCTGGTCGACTGCCAAGAGATGGGCAATTCTCGCAAAAAGCAAAAGAAACTTGAAATTCGGGAGTCAGGTCGATCATGACCCTCCCCTTCGATCTATGAATCCCTGTCCACGATAAGCTGCCAAGCTTCTCATTTGCAACTGCTATCAGGGCCGCCCCCAAAAAGAGCCCAAAACAAGCGTCAAATTGACACCATATGTGCAGGTCGTCAACGACGATGGTCCACCTAACGAGAGGCTCTCCCCGTACATCCGTCCATTAGTCGACGAGCTCCAGGCCGCCGGCCACCTCGTCTCCGTCGCCATTCCCGCCTCCTCCCGCTCATGGATCGGTAAAGCTCATCTCATCGAGGCCGAATTGACAGCCACCTTCGTGCATCCAGATTCCTTCGGCCCGGACGGCTCCTGGGACGAGTCCTTCACCCCGCCAAGCGATGACCTGCAGCCCGAATGGGTCGTCATCCAGAACGGTACTCCTGCCAGCTGCGCCCAGTTGGGGCTGTATAACCTCTTCCCTGACCGGCCCCCGGTCGACCTTGTCGTGTCCGGGCCTAACCACGGCCGCAACGCCTCCACGATCTACAACCTGTCCTCGGGGACTGTCGGCGGCGCGCTCGAGGCCGTCTTCTGCAGTAAGCGCGGCATTGCGATCTCGTTTGGAAGTAAGGACCCGCAGACGGACGAGGTTATCGCGGCGGCGGCCCGCTTGGCGGTGCGCATCGTGGATCATCTGTGGAGGAATTGGGATGAGCGCGTGGAGCTGTATAATCTGAATATTCCCATGCGCGAGGACGTAGAGTCTAGGCCTGTGTGCTATACTCGTACGCTGCCGTATTACTGGTCCCGTGGTTGTTTGTATGCCGAGGCTGGGGAGTCAAAGAAGCTGGCGAATGGGGCCGCGAACGGCGTCAATGGGGTCAATGGGGTCAATGGGGTTAATGGGCATGCGGCGCCTAAGCTGAGGCAGCGCCAATTTAAGTGGTCTGCTGATTTATCTGATATGAAGAAGAGGCTGCAGGAGAGCGAGGAGGGCACCGATGCGCATACGGTGTTGAATGGGTCAACAAGGTATGTTTTTGTCTGTTTTTTTTTTTTTTTTCTTTTTTCCTTTTTTTTTTTCAGGTTATTGGATTCGGAGTTTTTGCTATGGATATTTCCAAGCTAACTATCTATCTAGTGTGACTGCTCTGCGTGCCAATTTCTGGCATGTTCCTGATCTCGACGGGCCCTTGTATCTAGATAAGTAGGCCGATGCAAGTGCACGATGGATATGCTAATACCTGTTTTTCGTTACGTTCCATGTTCCCAGGCGCAGGGGGTTTTGATTGCATACTGGAGCATCTCGATTCGATCTAGACTTTTGAGGGAGCACTCTTCTCAAGGCGCTTTGTATATAGGATAGGAAAGAATTAGACTGGCACACATAGAATGTGGGTACCTAATTTGCGGAGTATCGTCGCCGGTGATATATAAACTCAGCAAGCGCGCTGGTGCTGGAGAAAGAACGAAAAACGAAATGGTACAGATAGGGGTGTATCATATGAGTAGTCAGATGGAAACAGGAACCAACAGGGGCAAGTCTATCTAGAGAGCACGGGCAGCTTCGCCAGCTCCGCTCTCGATGGTGTTGGCCTGCTCAGCACGCATCTTGCCCTTACCGAGTCCACTCTCGCCAACGCCCATACGGCGAGCCACGTACCGCTGCGCAACGATGCCAGAGGCCAAGGAGAGCGTCTCCTCGATCCACTCTGCAACCCACTCACGGGGGTCGACACCGCCGCTCTCCACAATCTCAACAATGGCTTCAGGCGTCACCGCCCGGGGAGCCTGCGCATCTTCAGACTCGGGATCAACAACTGGGGCAGAAGCATCAAGCCACTCAATCCACTTCTGCGGCACGCTCTGCGAAATAGTGTTGAACGCAATGCCGTGCACAGGGTCATGTAGGTAGATAGCGAAAGAGATCTCCTCCTCTGCCTCCTCAGACTCAACTTTCGATGCAGGCTCCTTCTCACTCGAAGCACCAGCCTGGAACAGATCCTTTGAGACGGTCTGGCTAATCGCCTGGATAGCGAGGAAGATGTCGCTGCTGCGAACAGGATTCGACTCGCTCAACACCTCTGTAGCCTGCTTAGCAGCCGCCTCGATACCACCGCGCGACGCAAAGTATTCTGTAGCGTAGGACTCGGCGCTAGCTCGCGCGAGCTTGGATGCTTCAACCGCGCCGGGCACGGCGTTCACACTGCGCGGCTGGCCGGGGGTCACGGTGCGCCACCAGGGCCCATCATTCCATCCTGCAGTGGAGATGTAACCGCCTATATCGAGGCCGCGCTTGGGTGCTGATTCCTGGCCGCGTTGGATCACGAGCAGGTCGCCGCCTTCCACTTGGGCCATGACTCGCGAAAACACAGCGTATACGAGTGGGTCGACGCCGGGGTATCCGGACAGATCGTGAGTGACGTGGATTTGGAGGCGTTCGTGAGATGAGATAGGGGGTGCAAGGGTGTGCAAGATGTTCGTGAATGTAGGCATCGCGATGTTGCGAAGCTCACCACCTGGAAAAGCAAAAAGAAAAACAATCAAAAGTTAAGACCCGGACAAGGTGATGTCTTCTATATAGTGGGTGAGCATACCGTATGCCTGTAGAGCTCCTACATTGCTCTTGACCTGCTCAGCCCAGCGTTGGGCTTCTTCATTGTTCTGGATCTCCTTGACTGCAGCCTCAGCCTGTTTCAAAGCAGCACCAGCGGTCGCTGTGGCTGTTGCGAAGAAACCACCCCACCATCCACCCCTTGGGTAGCGGTCTCTGCTTCTTGCTTTGGTTGTTCTTGTTTGGCTGCGCGAGACGATCGACCTGCATCTTCCGAAGGGCGGGTACTTGTTTTCTCTTCGTGTCGTTCACTGGTTGCACTGGGCCGTGGTGACCGCGCAGATGATCGTGATCTATCTGCTGAGAGACGGGGAGTGCCAGCGCCGCTGCTGGGACGCTGTGCAGTTAGGTTTTCCATCTCAGCTAGGATGTCCTCATGCTCGGCCTTGGCTTCGGGGGCAGCCGGGGTAGACTGGGAGTCTTTGGAGGACTCTTCGACGTCGAGGTTGTCGAACTGAGCCAGAAGCTCGTCGCTGGTAGGTTTCGCGCTCTTGGGAGCCATGGTGCGTTGGAGAGAGGGAGAGGGACCCTAATTCAGGAGGTGACGACACTGATTTGTTTGGAGCTCCCGAAGCGGCGTGGCCCGTGCCAAGACCAGCGCTTTCGAGGCGCGTTAGGAAACGCGAGGACCAACCCATTGTATGAAAATCATCAGGAACAGTAAACACAAGACCAAGTATGGCGACAGTTTACTTTTATTCAGTACAAGGTATAGTCCGTGCATTTTTGTGGGGAAATGTGGCTGTTCTATGGGCATTGATGGTGCCCGAGGGATACCAGCGTTCCAGGCCTAGTCAGCCGGGACCGAGAGTCATTACCCAAATGACTCATGGCAGCCTTGAAAAGACTAGTTAGACCATAGTTAACTAGTTTCGTGAAGTAAATTATTAATCATTAAGTCGAATTATTAACTCGATGACAAATTAGCGGAATCTTTATCATATCATTTTCTTAGCTTTTTGAGCATAAGTGCCATGGATCGACAGTGGTTGAGCATTCTTGAATAGTCTAGAAGGATCTTGTACCTGCCACGGAGTCAATAGCGACAGAGGAGATAAAAGCCGCCACAGCTCTGACACATCTCCCACGGACCAACCCCGCCGCCTGCCCTTCCCAACTACCAGTAATTTCTAATACGCTTTGATACATTCTTGAGGCACCCAACTTGTACCACCTTCGAGCCTATCTGAATAGCGGTGAAAATTTTTTCTCGGGCTCGAGCGGAACAGGTGCCAGACTGTCGGGTCAGTGCATGTTTGAGATTTTATGAAGAATTGAGTCCAACATTGCGCTGTGGGCCATGGGTATGTCAGAAACTTCGTGAAGTGGTGTTTACTTCACGACCCGCCAATCAGACGTCACATTTGACAGGTCCGGAACCCGCCAATCATGCACCCGGAACGGGGAGCCAGGGTACTTCTTCCGGAATGAAGCTTTTGATTCGTGATATTTATCTCCTTCGACTGGCACCTTCCAAGGCGGCACTGGGATAAGTCATCCCTTCTCCATGTAACGCTCTATCGGGAAGCAGGGTTTTCGCACTGGGCACAGTGGCGATGTGTGCAGCCCCTACGGGGTCTGCTCCCTACAGTCGGTGTTTGAGTATGAGAAACCGGCCATGGAATACCGTGGTGCTCTCCCAAACTTGAAGCCGTGAAGGCCATAGCCAAGTGAGCTGGGCCAAAGGCTGTCAGTTACCAGCCAATGACCATGCGCCCTTGCTTTGATCAGCCGAACTGGATACAGTGCTCTCAGTCCCCTTCCTTGAGGCAATCAGCCCACTGTATGACACCTCCCCCACTCCCTAAAAGCCGCAATGTGGCGGCGGGGGTGTACAAGCCTCACGGCAATCGCAAGCCGTGCCATGCGACATGGTTCTCGAATCGACAGGCAAATTCTGAGCCTATCGATGGTGTTCGGTAGCATCGAGCCGATGCATATCTAAAGATCGACAGTCGAACTGTTCCCCCTGCCGTTAGGGCACAAGTCTCCATCCAAGCTGTACTTCTCCCCGGGCGCCCGCGCTGATTGGCGGCACCGCTAGCCGGAATTCATAGTGTCGCACCCGCAACTGAAGTTGTTAAAGCTCAATAGCCTCGTAGCGCAGATAAATTCCAGTCCTCCTGATTTTCACTGTATAGAGTGTAGCTCCCATGACGGGCGAACATCCTCCAACAAAAATTTCCAATACACCAAGTGAGAGCACAAGTTCTCAGAATGAGGGGGTCTCGCAAAAGGAGCTGCATAGTGCTCCGGCCACCCCCAAGTCGGCCATCAATGTTAGGATCAACCTCCAAAGGGCAAGCTACCAAGGGCTCCAATTCAACGCCGACGCTGCGAAGTTCCAATTCGGCTTCCACTTCAAAAGTTGCTATCCCGCGCCAGCCGCCCGGCTATACTCCTCGTTACAACCGTCGAGTCCCGCGAGCGTGCGAGTCGTGTAGACAACGGAAAACAAAATGCAGCGGTGACACCCCGGTGTGTCGCCAATGTCGAGAACTGAGAGTCCCCTGCCAATATCCAGTAGGATGGCGAGATAAAATGAAAAAGTGCGTGAAAGCTCCCCAGCCGAGCACATGACATGTATTCGGCGTATCTTATTTTCCTGTGGATATCTGCTAACGAAGAAAAACACCCTTATAGGGAGCTGGACAAGTTGTCCGAAGAAGTCCAGGACTATGAAAAATTTCTGACTGAACTCCGCAATGCTGCCGATTCTCAAACGGCAGGATGGCTTCAGACTTTACTGCTCAAGGTATGTGTTATCTGCATGGCCTTTCCCTGCACTGCTACTAATTACCAATGGCTGAGTACAGCATGGCTTCCGGGGGGAGACGGTGCATCCAGCAACCAGACTTTCCTTCCACCGCCGCCAAATGATGCGGAAGCGGAAGAGCCATCTCCCATGTCCTCCATCGGCTCACTGGACGGCATTGACCAAATCAACGAAGATCCCAATCGGACAGATCGTTCTCGGGCAACAGGCGTCATGGGCAAAACCTCGGAAATCACCTGGATGCAACGGGTGCAACGAGAAGCAGAACAGCGAGCCCAAGGACAAGCTGGATCGCACGAAGCTAACAACTCCGACCCCGAAGAGCCCAAGGATGGCTTCTCTCTCCACAGCATGAACTATCACCTGGACGACCTCGATATCAGTGTACCTGGCCCTGTTCAGAAGTATGAAATGCCGTCAAGATACCTCGCCGACCGACTTTTCGATGACTACTTCACTACGACCCACCCATTCTTCCCCATCCTCAGCAGATCCCTTTTCCGCAATCAGTACCGGACTTACTACGACAACTCGCGGCCGGACCGTCCCCGACCGGGAGATAAGTGGTTAGCCATAGTCAACGTAATATTCGCAATTGCCGCAAAACACGCTCACCTAGTCAATGCCTCTTGGCGAGGCGAGGACAACGACCACCTTGTTTACCTGACCAGAGCCCGAATGCTCAGTATGAACAGCGACGTTCTTTTCAACCACCCCGATCTCCAACAGGTGCAGGTCGAAGGCTTGACTGCTTTCTATTTACTTGCAGCTGATCAGATTAACAGGTTTGTGACGGCTCGTGAACTGCACACCAACTTTCAATGGTGGAACCATACTGACTGACGCATTTTCGATAGGGCATGGAGAATATCGGCGCTGGCAATTCGTTCTGCCATCACCCTCGGTATCAACTTGAAAATCACCAGTTCCAAGACCCCGAGCATCACCAAGGAAGCGCGATACCGGGTCTGGTGGTGCCTGTACAGCTTTGAACACATGCTGGGTGCTATGACGGGTCGTTCGATATACAGTCTTGAAGGAGGTTATGCTACGCCATTGCCCCTTCCGTTCGAAGAAGAACAACTCCAAGAAAACCCCGCTGCTGCCGAAGTCCTCAACAATTCAACCCTCCGAGACGCTTTGATCAACAACGTGATGGCTAGTTCATGGATTCGACCAACAGGAAGCAAGAACGAACACCACGACCCGCGCCTACGAGACCAGTCATGGCTCAAAAACTTACCAATAAACTTCGGCCTATGTTATCTTTACTACAGTGACCTGACAGTCGTCACACAGGAAATCATCAACAAAGTCTATACCACGACCTGCACTCTGCTGCCTTGGACCGATATTGAGAGCCGCCTCGACGAAATGAGAATTCGGATCGATATGTGGAAGTCCAGTCTTCCTCGAGCCCTGGATTTCACAGAGGAGAACACTAACGATAGCCCAGACCAGCTGCGTTGTAAATTGTTTCTCGCATTTCATTACTACAGCGCAAAAATCACGCTAGGACGCCCCTGCCTTTGCCGACGTGATAATCGTCGGCCCAAATCCCCTCAAACCTTCAGTCACAACATGGCCTTGACAACAATTGATGCAGCATCTCGAATGCTAGAGCTGATACCAGACGAGCCAGATGTCATCCAACTCTACCAGGTGTGCCCATGGTGGAGCGTGCTGCGGTATCTAATGCAGGCCGCGACAGTGTTCCTCCTCGAGCTCTCGTTCGGTTGCGTGCATGTCCCTGAACAAGAGAAAACCATAGTGTCACTCACCAAGAAGTGCATCCGCTGGTTCTTCGCCATGTCAGAACGTAGCATTGGCTCGAGGCGAGCATGGCAACTGTGCGACACCAGCTTCCGAAATTTGGCAAGCGGCATGAAATACAACACCGACGACCTCCCTACGCAGAACCATCAAGACTACGTCCCGGCAAGAATCTCGCCTCTTGCACCTATCGAGTCCGGCAATACATTCGCACTCCCGTCCGGTGACTACTTCACCATGCCTATGGAAGATCTGAACCTCTTTGGACATCAGAATCCTCTCGACGGCGAGCTTCTCCCGAATTACTTCAACCCCAACCCCAACCCCAATCCCAACCCCCACCCCCAAAATTCCGATGTTGCCCAAGGTCACGTGGAAATGAATGATGAATTCTACCTCCCTTACGATCCTCTTAGTGGGGATTTTATCCGATCGTTTTTCCCGTCTTCGGAGGAAGACAAGGAACAGCAATGATGAACTTGATGTGAATTGAAAAGGTAGCGTCATGGGTCCTGTACACGAAGAAAGAGGAGTACACGAACCTCTTGGGTTCTTTGGCAGCTTGTTCACCACAAAAGTTCTTCGTTCATGTTGTTAGTTAGCCTGGGGTCTGCTGATGAGATCTGGCCCTCTACGATTTAGCGCATTAGCATATTCCCTAGATTAAAAGCATCATTTGCATAGACTCATCATTGTCTGTCAGGGTGATATTTACGGTTTCTTTCTTTCTTTTTTTTTTAGAATCAATGAAATAAATATTCTCAACCTCTTGCGATCTAGCACTGCCAATCATAGGTACAGGAAAGTCGTTAATAGGTCAACAACTAACTAGTCAACATGTCAAAATACCAAGTCCAAGTTCGCTCGCGACCACTTGTCATAGAGAAAGTAGATCCCATCAATTTGAATCCATTCGATCGTTAAAAAGCGGGTCAGTGTGACCCTGTGCTGGCACTCCGCTTACCATGACCCCATCTTTCAGAGCCGTGACATACGTCGGTAGTTCATAATCTGCCTCAATATATCCTTCTTGCGTAGGAGAAGGATTGTTGTATCTTTGGTTGTAGCAATACCTATATGGAAACTGTAAGCCTGGTGCACGTGGAGTCGTGATACAGCTTGCACATACCCTATTCCAACAAGGAAAGCGATAAGGAGAGGGACGCCTAATCCGAGGCTCAGTCCCAAAATAAGCCCCAAATGGTTTTTCGCATCATGGGAATCGTCAACACCGGCATTAGACTTTTCTGCTGTAGAGGTAGGAGGGGGGGAGGGGGGAGGGGGAGGAGGCGGGACATATGAGGTCGGAGCCCCTTGTGTGGAGAATATCCTCTGCTTATTGGGCCCGAACGAGGTCGCCGTCGCTGGTACACTGGGGGACCACACAGGGGGGATCGGTACAGGTAACGTAAATAGTACTCTGGGAGCTCACTGGGCAATGAACCAGTCCATTCTCAAGACAAGTCATCACCTGGATGACAGATGTCGATGTCATGGCTGGCGTCGTGGACGAAGGTTCGCTGGGGTTGAAGGGATCTTGGACGGCCGACCCTAAGAAATCAAAACGAGGTACCACCTGTGGAGCAGCCGTGGTTGTGAGAGTGGAACTCGAAGGTGTGAGTGTTTTGGTCTCTGCACAAGTACTAGTGATTGAAGTATACCAGATAGGAACCGTTGTGGTAGCATCCGGGCCCCAGGTGTGCTCATTAGCCGCCATTGTTGCACCGGCGCCAGCGCCCACAGCAAGGGTGTAGTCTATGTCAATAGCGACAGGACAATAGTCGGTGCTCTTTGAAGAATCATTGGCATCAATCTTAAAATCAGCGAGGTAGGCAAATGCATCGGCCTCGACGCCAGCACTCAGGCTGTAGCCCAGGTCCTTTAGGGCAGTTGCGACAGGAACGGGGAGCTGCACGCCAATGCTCATGCTCATCTGCAGCAGTACATGGACGACGCCTTCACCTCGTACTTTGACAGGTAGAAATTCGTAGTCACCGCCGCCCCTGCGAATTATACCCCGTTAGCAAGAGCGTCTACGCGAGACCAGGAGACTTACAACGACAGCTTGGACATGCTTTTGAACAGATCCATGTCGAAAGCCAGCCCATCCTCAATCTTGAGATGTATGCCACCCTCTATGTCAAGCGGGGAACTAGCGACGAGAATGAGATCAAGAGCAACGACCGGCCCAACATGGAACCCTTCTATAGGGAAGGGTATGAGAGGAAGTTCAAACAAGGTCATCGTGTGCGTGGAAGCATTGAGAAAGCTCATCTCTAGGTCCAAGAGTAGCTCCAAACTATCGAACCCGAAATGGGCCACAGCATCCGGCAAGCCTTGAATATTTCCAAGATTCAGATCGGGATGCAGGTCAGGGAATGGCTCGTCTTCAAGCTTTGCCTCATCTTCCAGCCAGATCTCCACCTGATTCCAGGTGCTGTTCACCACTTCCTCGACGTCTTGTTGGACACTGTCAATCAACTGCGTGAAGTTGAATCCCTCTCCTACGGATCGAAGGTATCCGGACACCGAGCCGCCGAAGTAGCATGTTTTGCAGACGATTTTGATGTCTGGCACGCTAGACTCAACGTTTTGTTAGAATGGGACGGCTCAGTTATTTAGGACGTAAATCGAAATCTGGTAAACTCACCCCAGAGGCCACTGAAATATCGTAGTATCTATCAATGCCTTCGAAAGATTCCCCTGAAAACTGTGCGAATGATCCCGAGAATGAAGACTTGCTCGGTGAAGGGCCCGCCTCAGATCAGGAGTCAGGTCTCCATCTACTGCGTCAATTTGGTTGTTGGGTAGAGAAACATGATGAGGAGACGCCGCAACGCTGCATAGAACCAAAGATAGGTAAGACAGGACCAAAAGAGAACAGATCATCGCGATAACTGCAATTTCAGCAGAATTTGGAATTACATACTGGCATAGCACTCAACGAAGAACCCATTTATATTCTAAAGCCTTCAATACACGATAACCACTTCAATGTTATTATTGTCCCTGTGCCGTGGTAGTCTCCCTCGAGTAGCGCCGGGTTTGGGCCCGTGCAGGGGTCCTGCAGGCACTAAGGCAGCTCCCTCCACTAAGCACGGCCCATTTCTGCGCTAGCCATGAACCACGCCCCCTTCTTATCTAGCTCCAGACAACTGCACATGATCTGACACCGATCGCGCAGGGAGATCTATTCATATACGTGCAGAGCCCGCACGACAGGCTGACAGGCCATTTCGCCGCTAGCTAGGAGTCTGCGGCTGAGGCTTCTATGCAGGACTTGACTCGTGTTAGGCCTCTGAGCTTCTGCCAACACAACTTAGATTCGCATAAGGTGAGACAAGGCAGACCGGGTGGGGTCTCCGGGTTCTACGCGCTCGGGGAACCGGGTGGATATTGAGAGCTACGGCTACTATGAGAGCTATGCTATGGCCTGTCTACGTGCCCTTCTCTACAGTGCATACATGGATTTGAAGCATTATGGAGATAGTTTTTGCGTGCATTAGTCTCTGTGGTGGTGATCATAGTAGCTGTCTTTTTGACGCCCCTGAAATGTGCATCTTGCGCCGAATCCTCGTGTAGACAATAGGGCAACCACATAGCTGGAAAATATATACCCAATCGAGGAAAGGCAGGATATAAAGTCGACGATAGATATAACGAGCTTTTTGCGTAGTCGATCAAAGTTGGGTTACTGCTTCCAACAAAGAGATATGTAAGAGTGGTGAAAATATAGCCGCTTTCCGTATCTGTGCCAAAGCCGCGTCGTGTGGTTGCAGAGACTGAATGATGATGGAGGCGAGTGCAGATGATGGAAAGCAGACTGCGTGATCGTTTTGCCGAGCAGCTTTGTTGAAATGGCCGACCGAGGTGGCTTGACGAGGGGCTTTGGGGATCCTCTCGGCGATAAGAAGTTGAGCTGCCGTGAAGTCGCCTCAGAGGGGTCGGTTGAACTCGGGTGACACCCAAAGGCATGCGAAGCCAACGGCAGCGAGGCATGGGATACTGACGGCATCAGGGCATCCAGAGGCCAGTAGCGACAAGACACGGCGTGAGTAACCAGCTGAGGCGAGGCAAAGAATGACCTTGGCGACAACCCGCGCATCGCAACGGGAGACTTAGCTTGACTTGGCGAGGGTTAGCATCTACTGGCAGTTTGAAGAAGATCATCGAGGCCGGAAAAGGTGACTTACCACTGCGACGCCACACGCCACGCAACTATATATATTGGAGCAGGCGAACCCCAACACTCGAGCTCGGCGTCCTCTTCCGCCCCTGCCTACCAGCCGCGACCTCTGGGTCGTCGTTCAAGGTAAGGAGGAGAGACAAGGAGCAACGACAACCTGGGGACCACCTACTACCACCCTCCCAAGTGACCCCTCAGGATGCGCTGCTGCCACGTCCACTCCTCATCTGTCAGCTGGTGCATCTGCACCAGCCCGGCACCCGAACTCGCCAGCTCGATCAAGGCTGACAGGTGGTTGACGTACTCCGCCAACGGAAGGCTCGGCTCTGCTGGGTTTGGCAAGACCCAGACTGCCACCCAGATAAAGCCGGGGTGGCCACGACCTGACGATCGATGGCCAGGCAGTGTCTCGGTCCGAGACCAGAGTGAGCTCCGTTTCGAGGAGGGAGACTCCCCACCAAAGCAGCTCGAATGAAGGACTGCTGGCCTCCGAGCTGACGGATAATGTTAGCAGAAGCAGATATCGATCTCGAGAAGAGGGAAAACCTTACCCAAACAGTCGCTCCCACACACCCACGCAGCCATACACCGCAGACCCCCCCCGCCGAATATCGTTGAGCAAGCTCAACGATATGATCCCTGTCAAATTGAGGGTTGACAGGGGCGACGAGGGGAGCCTGCACTGCAGGCGGGGCAGGGAAGATCGGAACCTGTCGTGCCTGCACGGCAGGTTCAATAAGAGGGACCACCACCCTGGCCTGCGTAGGCTGGGCAGGGCGTGGCCCCGGAGAAGACGGTGCCTGACCGAGAGAAGTTGTCTCCCGGTCAGGAGCCTCAGCCATGACCAGCATGGGCTGGGCGAGACGCGCCCCGCGAGGGGGAGGAACACCAACCATGTCGACGAGGTCGACAAGGAAAGCGAGAACTTGGAAACTTGCAGAAGCAAAGAAAAAGAGAACTCGGAGTGGAGAGATACCGAGATTATATACCTTTGGGGATCCAGACATCTGGAGGATATGAATAGTGAATTGAAGTCCAAGAACATAGACTGCTGTAGTGAATAGTAGAATAGTAGTAGTAGTGAATTGAGATCCGAAGGTGTGGACTGATGTAGTGAATAGTAATCCGACTTAAAAGTACGACAACAAGAGAAATAGCCTAAAAGTGAATAGAAAACAAAATCGGATAGATTCACATCTTACTTTGCCCTCGGTGTGGCCTCATTTTATCCTATTAATACATCACACCCAGATCTCGAACATTGAATTCAAAATGACCCATAGCTGAAAGATGTACGACCCGACCAATCAGTACTTCTAGGACACTGCAGTTACTCATATTGCAGTTCTCTCGGTGTCTTGAGCCGTTTTTGTAGCCCTGCCACTATTTACCAATGCTCTACAGTCTTGTGCATCTACCGCATATCAATAATGACCTGCCATCACTGTATCATTACCATTCCCACAATCCATATTCGTACCATCATATGACTAGCCTTAGACTATCCTTCATCAGCTCTATGCCCTAAAATATTACTGGAAATCGATTGGCGGCCAAGCACTCCAACAATGTAGTAGTATTAGGCTGCGCCTTCTAAGCCGCTGGCAATAGGGTCAAAACTTGGTGAACATTGAGGATGAGAATGTGCCAAGGATCGCACTGTTACTAAGCTTGTCAGTAGCTCATGATGCTCAAGCAGCTTTTATATAATGCCATTGAGAAGGCCCGCGGACAACAGCTGCTTTATAGCTATTCTTAAATCTTATTCTTAACATGTGTTCTAGTAGTGCCACTGGACATGGGAGATGCCTGTTTAGCTTCGATTTGTACTTTGACCCGGAAATATGCCACGAGCTGCTAAAATGTATAACCAAATCTTTTCAGTCCAAGCATTGAGATAGGTGATCATTTGCAGATAATAGCGCTTAATTGTCACTCTCATAATAATTTCAGTATTCACTCATGCATCCCCAGGGTTTGATCCACTCGTCAGTCATGACCTTTATCTGCATGCGTGCATCATGATTGTTAGGGCCAGATTCCACCTGGAATCCCAACCCAAGAATCACGCAAGACTGAATCCTTGTAGCTCAAAGTAACAGAAGCACGAACATTAGAGTTTATATGTTTGACGTTTTGAGTTCGTGTTCTTCCTAGGGTTTGAGCTTGAATCCGTGGGCTCAAGATGCCCTAACCCTTGGAACCTTGCTATCTTTCGGGAGCGAAGGGTGGATAAATGGATGCTTATCGGACTATATCAGAGATAGCATAAAGCATCGGATGCCTTGGGTATTTGTGGCGGATCAGCTTCAAGTAGGAATTCAGGAAGATGCGTACGGATCTTGGATGGGAAGTTCTGGGTAATATCTCCCATAGGGCTTAACGCAGTCTGCTTGGTCAGAATTATGCTCGATGACACCCGAAACATGCTCCGCTGCTCATGCAGGGCGGGCTGAGCGAGGAAGCGCCGGAAATGATTGGGGACAATGCAATGACGACTACTCGTTGCAGGTACTCAGCCAGAGTGAGTGGATTATCTTTAAAGGGACCGTCGCGATGATGAAGAAGAACCGTTCCGGACGATATCTTCGATGAGTTGAAGCAGCGTTTCGGCAAGAAGGAGATTGTGGAGACCATTGCCGCTGGGGCGGGATACAATGCTCTCAGCCGGTTCCTCGTTGCGCTGGCGTCGTGGAGAGGAATTCGGCCTTCAATGCATTTGGAAATAAGGAGGGTCAGCCTCCCAGGGAAGAGAACGAACCTTGAAGCTAAATCTCCAATCCATTGTGTGAAGAAGCGCTGTTAGATTAACGCGGGCTCCGCATACCAATTGTGCGAATATCAGGTTCTAGACCTTTGATAACTAGCAGAGTTTGATAGATAGTTTGCATTCTTTCAATGATTTTTGGTGGCCTTTGACTTGCTGCATTTGTGTTTTGTCCACTGGTAGACGCATGTGCGGATCGAGATTACCCCGGGGCGCTTGGCAGATGGATTCGGAAGGATTCGCTTATGTCCTGGTGCATGTATGAATCAAGCCTGCAAGATATGAAATGTATCATGAAGCTACTAGCAAAGGATGCTGATTCCTCTGGGGCAACACTGGCTTGGTTCCCAAGCAAATCACGATGTTCAGTGGACTAACCTTTCCATCCCGGGCCTCGGGTTGGAGCATCTGTTGATTTTTCGAGACGGGAACGAGACCTGGATGGTCAATCATCACGAACTTTTCATGAATAATAAGATCGAGCACTCGGTCTCGGGCCATTGCCCATGCTAACCGTTCAGGTCGCTATAATTTCCCCGAAAGTGTGGCGTATGTGAACGGGCAAAATGCGGCGCCAGTATGGGAGGCCCGTGCTCTCGGATGAGACACGCGGCGATCGGGAGTAAAAGGAGCGAAAACAAGTAAAGGGGCCGCCGGGGCGCCGTGCATTGATGGGATCGAGTTCTTTGGATCTGGAGAAACACAAGGTCCATCTAGCATTGCAGTACCCTTCCTCGGAAATGGGCTGCTCAATCCATATCTGCTCGGCGCCGGTGGTCCCCAAGTACCCTTTTTGATTAGGCCCTTGCGGAAGGGGGCGCAAATCCCAGAACGGTACATCCCCTGGTCACGATAAGTCTAGAGTGGTCTGTGATTCATAACTTTCATCGATAGGAGAGCGAAGGTGTAATTCTCGAGCAATGATGTTGACTGCCAGCGATTTTTCTATGGAGAGACTCTACTGGGGGAATAAAATTCCGCGCATACTTTGTGCACATAGTAAACTAGATTCTAAGCCACCCAAGACCCAGCACCCAGCAACCACGAGTCGCACCACACCAGACGAAGCGAGGGGAGGCCAGGGCATTCACTACAGCACGTACCAGCATAGGCACAAGGCATCTACCCAGAGGCCATTCACCGGAGCAAGAATCACATCGAGTAGAAAAGCGGCCCTGACGTCGAAATCTACTAGCCACTTTGCTGGCCCCGAAGGTTCACCAATCAAAACCGAGAAATCTCCCCCCCAAGTGGGGCCCGAAAGCGCTGCAATTGTCACTACAAACTAAAGGGAACTCCAAAGATTCTTTCGCCCTCAGCTTCACTGCTTTCGCCAGTCGAAGTCGTGTCCGCAGCGTGTTTACTTCTGCTTTTCTTTTCAAGCGGCCCGGCTTCTTGTTTTCCTCCTTCTACTGTCTTCTTCCTCTAGATCTTTTTACACTTCCCCTTTTCCTCTTCTTTCGCAGAAGAGTCTTTTCACTTTCTACTTTGTACCCTTGCGCGGCCTCTCCATCGGCAACCCAGCATTGCAAAGTTTCTTGCTCATTCCCATGTTCAAATTTCATCTCTCCACCCCGCATCCTTTCTTCTCTTTCAAGGTGGGTGTTGAGGCTTGTTCTCGCTATCCGCCCAGCCTCGTCAAGTAGACATCCCTGGCAGCCGCTCGCGACAAAAGCGCCGCCTGCACCACTTTCATCTCCCAAGCTTCGAGACTGCGGTCTGAATCTCCCTTAACCCCCTCAGCACCATTTGGTAAGTCCCCGCTTGTTTTGACGCGACTTGAACCATGTACGTTGTTTTTCTGCTGGCGCGCCCATCTTGCTCTACTCTGTACACTTCGGGAACCCATCTTGACACAATTTGCCGCGACCGTGTCTCTGTCCTTCAAAAGTCTCCCATCACTCGCTATCGCATGTTTGAACCCCTCTTGTGTCTGCCCCGTGTACTTCCATCGCTTGCTTTCCTTTTCTTGCGCGTGTCCATTGATCCCCTTCCAGCCCGCTGGGCCCTGATTATCCGGATTTGCACTTGATTACTAGTGGTCTTGGCACCGACAAGCGAACCCGGCTGACCCAACTATACAGTGAACCCGAGTGACCATACTCCTCCAACACGGTTTTCCCCGTGTTCTGTTTCTCTTCTCGGCTGGCTCGTTCGCGTTCAGTCGCGTGCGAGCTTCCAGCTTTTCCTTTTTCTTCTTTTTCTCTCTTCTGTACTCTATCATGGCCCCCATCCCTCGGGCCGATCTGGATATGGACAACCAATCCACCGACGTGGCTGACAGCCAGGATATGGATTCTCCTGCGCGCCGCCAGTTTTCTGAGCCCCTCCGGCCCCATTCTACTTCTACTCAACTCTCACCTTCGCCAGAGCCATTCTCCCGTTGGCTGAAGTGCGACTGGTGTGGGAAATTGCTCGAACTGGTCAAAGGCCAGTTCCGATCAGAGGAAGAGGTCCTTAACGCGCATGTTGCCGCCGATCATCCTGATCATCATCCTAATGATGATGAAGACGAGGGTGCAGAGGATGAGATGTTAGATGAAACCCAAATGAACGAAGAAGACCTCGAGCTTGACCCTGAAGAAGCCGAGGATGAAGCCGATGAGGAAGCCGACGATGCTGAAGTTGATGTTGCCGAAGACCTTGAAGGTCATGAAGCTGATACCGAAATGGAAGAGCTTGAGAACGAAGTTGTTGACGACGAAAACGACGATCACCAAGTCGATGCCGTTTCTGATCGCGAATTGGCTGCTGAAGGTCCTCAGCGAATGGCCGCTTCAGTGGTCAATGTAGGCCAAACTGAACATGAAGATGAGAATGGCCCTTCCCCCGTGGATTCGGCCTCTGCAGCACAAGCTGGGACGCACGCTCAAGTCCCGTACGAGTACACGGATTGGCTGTCCAACCCACGAACCAAATACACTGCCGATTATCTTCGTCGTACTGCCGAGTGGCAAGAAGGAGATATCAAGGCTCGCCTACCTAAGATTTGGAACGTCAACAATGTCAAACAATTCTGTCCAAGCTATCGCGAAGAGATGGCCAAGGTGGATTCTAATTGGCAAGATGCGTTCCGCGAAAAGCAAAAACGCCCAGAGCCATACGCCAAAACACGCGTCGAGGTTGGCGAGTTCCTTGAGTTAAGCGATCCAGATGAATTGCTTAAGCTACTCGGAAATGCCAAAGATCTTACTCCCGAGGAGCTCTACGCGGTCACCCAAGCCGCTGCTTCTTTCGTCAAGATCTACCAAGATGAATATCTTGCACTGGACAAGCTCTACAATCAAGCCCACCGGCATATGCGTTACCCGCGCACTGAGACGAGCAAGCAGGAGCTGATGCAAGGCCAAAAGAAAAGGACGGAACGCCCTTGGCCCGCGTCCCCGAACATGATCGTGATTATGAGGACAAGAAAGAGGCTCGTCTATATGGATACAAACATACATACCATAAGGAGAATAAGCCGACCTCAACGGCCTGGACTCCACAAGACCCATTCACCCAGGGGAGCTTTGTCGCTACCCCTGCACTTGGGCGAAAGATGACCGCAAAGATCCAACCAGGGGATCGCAACCCTGATGGCTGGAAACCGGTTGTGCGACACGGGGTTGAATTTGTGCCCCGGCTCTATGAGGAGCGACTGGAGCCTACCCACCGGGGTACACGGAAGCGCAAAGCGACTGAAATCGAATCTTTGGGCAACCCCCCCATTAAGTCGGACAAAGCCGATGACACGCACGAGGACGAGACTGAGAGCGACGAGGAAGACCCTGCGCGAACGAGACGTACTCGGGGTGGCGTCCGTAATACTCGCCGTAAGGTAGCTGAGCCATCGGAGCCGTCTCCCGCCGAGTCCATACCGGCTACTGTCAGCCGTGGGCGTGGTGGTCGCGGTCGTGCGCGGGGGGGGGCCGCGGACGTGGAGCTGCGCGTGGTGTCGTGGCATCTGGTGAATCCCTACCACCACCCGCTGCTGGTGCCACTCGGGGATCTACCCGAGGTGGTCGTGGCCGTCGTGGTGCATTCAATGCACCCGCGGCTGCTTCGGCCACACCACAACCGGCAGCCAGTGTGGTGGAGGAGTCGACTGTGTCGGCTCAAGAGGACTCTCCAATGCGCGACGCTGCGCCACCTCCCCGACCCGTGCTGCCGACCAGAATGAAGGACGCCACCACCCAAGAGGAGATGGATGAGATCCGGCGCCAAAAGATCATGAACTCCAAGAATCCCAAGCGTACAAAGGCCATGTTGGACCATTGGGAACGGTTCAACCGAGAAGGCCGGATCCGCAATCCTAAGCGGTCCAAGGCGCAGATCGAGTCAGATCGCACCGCGGACGAGGATAAACGGGCAAGTGAAGCGGCCAGGGCCGGTGGACGTCGTCGCCGATCCACGTCGATCAGTGCGATGTCTGCCGGGAATCTGGCGCCGAAGACCTTGAATCCTGTCGCGCCCATGCCAGGCCCGTCACACCTGGCTCCCACTCTTCCCCACTGGGGATGGGTAATCCGTACCCTCCCCACCCGCAATACCAACATGTGCCACCGCCAATGGCACCACAGTTTGCTCAGTTCCCATACAACCCATATGGGATGGGCATGGTGCCAGGCCCACCCCAGCCTGTCCCTGCTGTGCATCCTGGGCGCCCAAACCATGCGCCGCCTCTGGGCCCTCCTCCCCATCTCCCCCTCCCTCACGACCCGCGCCACCATCATCACCGCCCCTAATGGTGATGGGGAGTGTAGGGTCAAGGAGCTGGCTGGGTGGCTCAATGTATATAATTTGTGTATTTCTAGTTGAATTCAGAGATGAGATCTCGGAAAACTCCAGATCGAGTGCACATTCGCACGTAGTTGCAACAGTTCTCTCAATTTAATCCTCCTTTTGGCTCCAAGTCTTGAGGTAGAGTACAGTCAGAATGGATGGGTAATTTGAGGTAGAGGTGCTAAGAAGAGCTTAGTGGAGAGGTACACCATGGCAATACCGCGGAGATTTTAACGTGATACAAGTTGCATGGACCAAAAGCTAATCAACTGAACAGTAGCCCTAATCTGAGCCTAAAGAAGACTACTGGCAGTCCACACCAATCGGGATCACCCCTCAACAGCATGTCCTTTGACCTATACCGTCTATGGCTCGATCGAGACATCATTGCGCAGAGTGTTATTCCGGTCACTTCAAAACATTTACTGTTGCTGCGCAATAATTGAGCTAGTACCAGCCTCGACATTGGAAATCTGCCTGTGATTTGAAGAAGCTATCCTGTCATGCCATCCCTGGCAGTGAGCTTCAGAGTCCCTCATTGTTTGTGGCCTTCCATTTCCGCCAGTAATCGTCATCCTCACCAGCTGGACGGTATATGGTGCCTCCCCATTCTCCAAAAACTTACGTACGCGCGAATATTCAAGTTCCACTTGAAGCAATGCAATTTCTGATTTCGATCAAGCCCCAGAGAGCCTCAAACTTCGAGTTCGTGACCAAGTATTCCCATTTGCATCCTTCCGGGGCTCTAGGTGAGCTGAGGTCCCATTATATCGATCAATGGGATTGAGACAGCGAGATGCACCAGAATGACCCGGGAAGAAAGCAGATAGATGCTATCAGCTACATACTCTTTGCTAATTAATTGACCTCCGGCCCTGTATTTTGTCTTGATTCTTTTATTGTATTGATACCGAGCCCTTGGTGGAAGTGGGATTTTGTTCTAACTTCTGAGCCCTAAATGGAGAGTTTCCAAGGGTGACCATTCGGGGTCATGTCTCGGCGAATTTTAGCCCTACAAAAGATAGGAAATCGAACTGGCATTTTTTCGAAGAAGATATTACTTCCAGGTCACTTTCAGCAAGCTATCTACTATTGGTATTTTTACAGGTAAATGTTTCACTTTGAAGGTATTTCAGGGCTGAAGTAGGGGGCAGTAGCAACTTCGAATAATGCGGGTCTTCTGTATCTACTACTTGAGCGAAACCCATAGTCGAGATACCCATGTGACCCAATTGTAATAACCAAAGAAGGCATAAGAGTTAGCTTAGCTCGCACAATTTGTACCTGAATCCAATTAGTCTCTGTCGCCTTCAATACCAAGATCACATCAGGCGTGAATGTAGAGCTAAGGTTTCAGTGAAAGGATATAATTAAGGGTAACGAAGTGTATGCTTGTAGCTAAAGATTCTCTTTCAGCGAGTGTACTGGAGAGTGCAGGGTTCATGAGTATACAGTATGTAGCAAATTCTGAAAAACGAAACAGATTTATAGATCAATCCTGGGGTTCTGCCGTTAAACGGAGTCAGCCGCGGATGCTAATGACGCAGGGTCACGTGGCAAACGATATTCTTCATCCCGGCTGGCTCTGTGCCATCTTGTCGCTTTTTACCTTGCCCACCCCACCTCGAACGCGACTCCGGGGCATCGTTCACTGGCCTATCCCATCATCTTTTTCAGCCCTCTCGCGTCTAATCAATCAAAGGTGCCACAATGGGAAAGAAGAAACATGGACCGACTTTGGAAGAGCTCTTGTCGCGGCCTTGGTGCTATTACTGTGAACGTGACTTCGACGATCTGAAGATCCTGACTTCGCATCAAAAAGCCAAGCACTTTAGATGCGAGCCATGTGGTCGACGTCTGAATACTGCTGGAGGTTAGTATCGACGCTGAGTCGTCGCCGAGTCGTCGCCGAGTCGTCGCGCAACCGCTGAGTCGTCGCGACGCCGCCCCATCTCGACGTTCTTGTATGATCCAAGCTAACTTCCCCCACCTCTGCAGGTTTGTCTGTGCACATGAGCCAAGTCCACAAGGAACAGCTTACAGAAATCGACAACGCGCTTCCTAACCGATCAAGCGTTGACGTGGAGATTTTCGGCATGGAGGGTATTCCGGAGGACGTTCTCCAGGCTCACAACCAGCGCGTCGCAACCAATTTCTACGCAGCTGAGGCTGAGCGCCAAGCTGCCACAGGTAATCCTCCTGCTGGAAGTACGGGAAGCGGTCGTCCTTCTAAGCGCCCCAAGATGGAATCCAAAGAGGAAATCAAGAAGCGCCTGGCCGAACACCGCGCAAAGCGTCAAGCTGCGGCCTCTGGTGCAACACCTGAAGCCAACAGTCCCGCCGCAAATTCTGTAGGTGCTGATCAGTCTTCTGCTACTACCCCGGCCACGGTGAGTACTTTCCCCCTCCCCTCCCGCTCCACACCTTCGTCTCGTTAATGATGGTCATCTAGGCGCACTCGCCAGTCGTCGCTTCGCCCGTGCACGCGTTCTCGTACCCCCAGCCCTACGGAGGCTTCGCTGCTTCTGCCCCTCCTTACCCGCAGTCAGCCAGCCCAGTCTACCAGGGCTATTCTCCAGCTTCCATGCAAGCTACCCCAGGTACCCCGGTCTTCCCCCCCTCTGGATACGCTGGATATTCTGGATACCCACCTCAATACCCAGGCCAACCCACTTACGGAGCCGCCCCTCCGCAATTCACCCATCCCGGCAATGGAACAACTCCTCCTAACCTCGCCTATCCACCTTCCTTCATCCCTTCGCAGTCCACCACTCCGCAGCCTAACGGATACTCCACCCCACCTGGTCTCCCTCAGCGCCCCTCTTTCGCTGCTCCCGCTGCTCCCGCTGCCCCCGAGCTGAATACCCAGCCTGCCCAGCAGACCCAGGCTGTTCAGCAGAATCAGCCTGTTCAGCAGAACCAGCAGGCCCAGCAACTGCATGAGGGGCAGCCTGGAAAGGCCACAGCAACTGAGGCTGATGGCAAAGCTCCTGTCCCAGAGAAAGCCAAGAAGCGGAAGATCCGCTTAGTCTACCCTGAGCAGGAACTTAGCCCCGAGGAAAAGAGGGCGATGTTGCCGAAGTACGCCTACGTGCGTCCTGCTGACCACTAACTCTCGACTCCACTACATGCTATTTAAAAGTCCCGCGATTGTATTCTTATCCTATTATCTCAGCGGGCGGGGATCATTTTTCAAGTTTTATGGCGCGGATCTTTTCATCAAGGATTTTAGGGCCTGGAGTTTAGTTCGATTTACCCCGGCGTTTAGTATCTCTTAGCCTTACGAAGGTAGGCAATTCAAACGGTGTTCTCTTTCAGAATCTGAAATATCGTGATACCGTACTAGTACTAGTAGAATATCGCCGGAACCTCGGGCCATAGACGCCTCAGACCTTGCTCAGAGTCGGGCTAAACTCCATATAAGAAGTACTAACAGGTACTAATTCAATTACTATATTGATCCTGAGATTCCATGACAAGATCTCCAGACTACCACAACACGACAGCCCTTGTCGATTTCTTTGGTGTAGGGTTTCTGCTATTTTTATAGTCTCCAAGGGTAGTTACCTAGTTGGAACAACTTAGATTCATGTAGGTGGGATGCTTGAACCGAGATTGATCTTCATTTGTAAGCAAACCTTGGGTCCCCGTGGTGGACCCGCCTAATAACAATAGTTAAACCTAGAGAGGTGGGGGGACAGCATTTCAGCCTCAGAGCCACTGGCACCACGGAGATCCTTCCACAATTTCCAACGTGAGCACTATGTCGCTCCTGCGGCTGCCAGATGAGATTATTTTCCTCATATCTGGATTGTTCGACAATCCTTACTGCCTCAACGCCTTCCTCCAGACATGCCGCCGCCTCTACTTGCTCCTGAACCACTCTCTTTACCAAGGCGACAGCCCATATCAAATTGCTTTGAAGTGGGGAATCGAGAATGGCTGTGAAAGAACGACCCAGTATGCACTTGAAGCTGGGGCCCCTGCTGATAAATTTCCATTACTTTATGTTCCGCCAACCCGCCGTTCTCCAATGCAGATCGCTTGCAGGCTTGGAAACGAGGCTATTGTGCGCCTGTTGCTGGATCGTGGAGTCTCAGAGGACTCAGGCATTGTCGGGATGCAGGTGGCCGCGGAGCGCGGCCACGATGAAGTAATCCGACTCCTAGTTGACCGGGGTTTCTCACCCAAAGGACCTGCTGCGCGCGGCGAGTCACCTTTAAATGAAGCAGTGAGAGGGAACAAGCTCTCCACCGTGAAGCTCTTGATCTCCCTTGGCTGCGATCCCCATATACCGGGCTTCTTTGGGCCAAGTCTGCTCTTTGATGCGGCAAGTCTCGGGCATGATGAAATACTTCGCTATCTACTGGCGAGCGAGAACATCGAGCCTCCGCTTGTTGACCACTTGGCTGTTTGTGCAGCAGCCTCAACTGGGAAAGAAACCACACTTGATCTTCTATTAAACTATGGAGCAAGCCCGATCCTGGACAGGAAAAACCTGAAGTTTTTGCCATTGGTTCTGGCTGCCAAAAAGAATCACTACGTCTTGGCAGAGAGACTGCGGGGATCTTTAGATTTGCAGAGTGTTATAGCGTGTGGTACGCCCGATGATATTGATCATAAATTGCTATTTCTTGTCAGCGCTGCGTGTGGCTGGACGGATATAGTTGCTGATCTGATTGATCGTGGCTGTCCGGTCGACTTTGAAGAACCTACATATCCGGACCTTGGTGACCGCTGTGCTCACTTGGACTGCGGATGGTTTATCGGGCAAAATTCGAGGATGTCGCCCTTGGTGCTAGCTGCGCATCGGGGCTGCTTGCAAGTAGTTGAGAAGCTGCTTAATTGCAATGCCGACTTGTCTGCAGCCCCCAAATTGGATGCGATCGCTTCGGCAGTCCATGGCTGTCATATCAAGATCATTGAAATCCTTCTGGACCACTCAGCCGATCCCCAACATGACCGCGATGAATCACGATTCCCTGTCCTGAGATAACGCGGTTCAATCGCCAGATATACTCCGACTCTTGATTGACCGACGGGTGGTGTTTGATCTCCACCAATTCCGTGACCTGATCAAGTCCGCGCTTCAAAGGGGTAAAAGCGATGCACTGGAGATCCTGACGCAAACTATTGAATCGCGGGGGCTTTGGGATCCTGTAATAAAAACTTGGAAGATCCCTTTACTCGGACAGGCCGCGCCTGGTGGAGTACCGATGATAGAATTCGTTCTCGACAACGGATTTCCAGTGGATGGAATGGATGTTCAACGTGCGGCCGAACAAGTATTGGCGTACCCTGACCCGGAAGCATTGGAACTTCTTTTTGAACGTGGAATCATCAATAGCAAGTCACGCACCACCCGAGGTAGGAGTTTATTAGACACACTCGCCTCTAGAGGGGTTGAGGGGGTTGCTATAACGGCGACTTTGGACATATTGATCAAGCATGGGGTTGATATCAATGGTGCGTCTGATTCTCCTCTGCATCGTATCGTCGGCAGGGGTATGTGCGCCTACCAGCAAAACTCCCCATGGAGGAGAGAGGTGATGCTGCGGCGATTACTTGATCGAGGCGCAGACCCTCTGCGACGCTGTGAAATCCACGGAAGCCCTCTCGAGACTGCGGCAAAGGATGGCGAACAAGGTTTACTGAAAATCATGTTAAAAACTCTTTCGCAGCGACATGTCCGCCTTGACGAGCTGCAACCAATATTGAGCCTAGCAGAGAAAGGCGCAGAAGACATGCGTCATTACATGATACCACCAATCCTACGCCGTTTCTACTGGCGAAGGAGGAGAGAAGTTGAACTGGAAGAGGCACCATCGTAGAATTCGAAAGGAGATGAGCCGGCGCAATCCAAGCGGGAACCTTACGACTGTTTGGTGGTACGCGCCAGGTGATTGTGGCTCTGATGCATCCGGCGTTCTCATCAAGTACTAACTGAGCAACAATGCATGAAGACAGATCTTATTGGCCCCATGATATGAAGAGAAGGAAACGGTACTTAGAAGCTTCGACTATTCTCTCGCTAGGAACAGCAACAAGATAAAGCTCCCTACCCAAGGATTATCCCATGCAGGGGCTTTTCCCAGAGCTCTCCAAGTTTAATCCTTCTTACCGCGGAACGCAAGACCAAAGACAACGACGCCGTAAGTTGCCAGCACCGACAATCCAGTAGGCACGGGCTTGAAGCCCGTCTTGATAGCGCGGGGGATGGAGCTTCCGCCTAGTACAGCGGAAGCTAGGAGGCCGATCTCCTCTGCGTAAGGCTGGCCGGCGCGAGCGCGGAAGGCGCTGAGGAGGTACAGGACACCGATGGAGAGACCGGCGGCGATTGAGGGGACTGAGCCGGTGCGCGCGTAGCCGATCACGCCGCCGAGGGAGGTGAGGAGGCCCAGGGCATTGGCGGAGTTAGTGGGGAAGCTTGAGCTGGTGGACTTTGGAGAGGGATTGTCAGTGCGTGTGCTCTGGTGCTGGAGCGCGTGTGGGGATTACCATTGTAATGGATTGGGTGGTTAGAAGGCGGAGGTGAGACGGAGGAGGGGGAAGAAGGAAAGATGGTGTGTCGTATGGTGTGATGTTTCGATGTTGGGGTCGCTGACTGTACGTGGATTTTAAGCTCAGCCGAGGCTAGACCGAGCCATTGGGGAGTCAGATGATGTTCAGCATGATTGGGTCTGTTACACGCTGCGGGGTACAATTCTACTTATGCGGAGTAGGTTCTGTCTTCAACCTCATACTTGATTATGATATCATGATACCTCCTCCGTCTTCCTGTGCCGGGGGGTTTCTTCAACTGATTGCGGCCAATGCTTATCGATAGTGAGCTCGGATTCTCGACCAACTTACTACTATGGCCCTGGTAGTCAAGGCGCTATACAGTTCGCTATACAGTTCCAGTGATGGACCATGAGCAGAAAAAATTCGGAAAATTGCCAGTGCATCTTGGGGTATTTTATATAGTGGGGATTAAGTAATCTCGCAAAGACATTAGGGTAGATTTACAAAGAGTGGAGGACATGGATTCAGAAGTCCATTTGTTAGTATCCAGACATCACGAGAATCATCATGGCATGAGCGTGCTCAGCCATCACACAAACCATTCAGTGACATTAGCATTCTGCGCGGTGGTCGAACCGTCGTTTTCAACGTCCAGCTGGAAATCACGCATGACCTGGTCCCATTCTTCCCAGCTCAACTGTGTTTGGTCAGCTACGGCTTCCGGAGCGTCGAAAGAGGTGTTTATAGGATCATTGAACGATAGTCCCGAGGGAAGAATGCTGCTAGATGCAGGCTCAGGCATCGGCAGAGTTGAGATGTCATTTTCAACCGGCGCAAGAATGTTCGTATCTGGGAAGATGTTCTGCAGCGTCTGCCATGGCCCACCCAGGTCGATACTCGAAACAGTAGGAGGTAAAGCGGACAGCTTCTCCATATTCTGATTGACTTCGTAAGGCGGCGGCTCTGCAGATTCGGGCATGTGGATCTGCGGAAGGGGGTGGAGGTTGCCCGAGACTGGGGTGAAGTCTGTTGGCGAAATATGAGGTCCGAATTTTAGGCGCAATTCTTCTTGTTGTCTGATTCTTGTTGCTTTCGCGCGTTTCATCAACGCGTCCAACGGACGCCACAGCATGCCCTTTTTAGTATTTCCCTGAATTTTCCAATCCGAATAAATCCCGTTCACGGCGTTCCAGGCGCGATCGGTGACGGGGCAAATCGGACGGACACAGATCTCGGACAGAACAAATGCGACCGCATGCCACTGGACGTTGCAACGGAATAGCCAACCCCACCTTGCGGTCTTGGGGTCAGTCTCTAATAAGCGGCCAAACTCGAGGAGTTCAATGGAGGTCATGAAAAGGCTATGGCGGGTGGCCTTGGGAAGATTGGCTTGGCGGTCCTTCCGTGTCATAGGATGGTGAATGATCAGCCACAATTTAGCCAGGATAAGTCGTGCCACCGTGGCCGATGCCCAGTGAATTGGAACATCCATATTGCAATACTGAATATAACGCTCTTCAATGCGGCCGCTGAGGAGCTGGATCATCTTCTCACAGCGGTCGGTTGAGGGGGCTTGGTGAGCAGCGAGCTGCTTCCCTGGGCAAGTGTAGTTTGCACGGCGCAAGGCCCCGGTAATCTCGCAGCGGATGAGACAGAATGTCACGTCGGTGCAGGCTACCCGTTCTTGAGGAGGTTCAACCATTTCAGGATACAGGTCTTCATCATTAACATTCAAGGGGAGTCGAACATCGAACATGTTCTCGTGGATTAACGGATCTGATCCATGGTCCTCAGACGAGCGAATATCCATGAGACAGATATGCCACCACAACCGACGGCGCATCTCGGTCTCGAACGGTTTCAGGCCAAAGTTTGTACCGTCTCTATGCAGGCCTAAGCCCTGAGCAATCCTCACTACCAGCCCATCCATAGACCAGTTGAATTTAGAGTCGTCTTCTCGTCGGATGGAAGTCAAGAAAAGGACCGCCGCCTGTAGAAGAACCATGCTTTGCGTATTTAAGAAGTTTGCTCTTGCCAGTGCTTGCTCAACGGCGAAGCGATACCGTCTTACCAGCGTAGCTCTGTCTTCACCAAGCAACGATACACATTCGTCGGGCTTCAAGCTCACGATCGCGGAGAGGTATATGGCGAAAACTAACGCCTCGGAGTTTTTATCGAGGTTTTCGGGCGATCGCGCGGCTTCTATCAATAAGTTTCTGGCACTTGGTCTGTGGAGTATGACGACCAGGGGCGCGACATTATCTTTATATGCGTCCCATAGTTTAGACACGTGTTGCAAGGGAGGATGATACTCGCGGAGGGAGTGTGCGACAGAATAGAAGCCGAAAAGAAAGCTATCGTGGGAGCCCGACTGGGAAGACTCGGGCGATGGGTAATCTTCGCCCTCCGATTCTGACGGATCAAGGATATCTTGTAGCTCTTCAATCTCATCGCCCAGACTGGCCCAAAGCCGATTGCTCACATATCTGCTCTTGCCCTCGTCAATCACTAGCCTTCCGAATTCATTTTCAAACTTGTGAGATGCAATCTTCTTGGGATCCGAGTCTGCGAACGGGCAATCCGTTCCATCCTTCGCGTCAGTGGGCGCAGCGGCGGTTCCCACGACGACTTTTGTGGTTGTATTGCTGGTGGCTGGCACTGCTGTATTGGCTGAAACATTAAGCAGCGATTCCGGGCTCTGTTCCTCCCCATTCTTCCCACTCAAGTGTTCGATCACGCCCTCGAGGCGGCGCAGGCGGGAGAGAAGTTCTGCATCAGGTGGACGCTTTGACTTGCGCGGGGCACGGCCCGGAGGAGGAAATATGCAATCGATGCCAGCTCTGGCGCAGTTGGAGCATGGGGACCGCTTGTTGCAGCGGACTTTGCGGCGGCGACAGGTCACGCAACTTCTCGACGAATCCAGGGAAGCGCGGGGTGCGGAGGCGGGCGCTGTGGGTGCGCCGCTGTTCGGAGAATTTTCGCTGGGAGGAGTGTTGTTGGGTCCATCCGGAGAACCTGAGTTGAACGACATGGTCCTAGCGCACGACTAGGCACATATCTTTCCACCAAGTGATTTTCCAAGAGACATACAAGGCTCTTCAAGTTTGGCTTCCAAGCGTCAGCTTCAGCGTTTCAGCCTTGGGCCCAGATGAACGCCATGTGACTCTATGAGTCAGCGTGTATGCCCGCCCGGGGGACCCAAAGTTTGTTCTTCGTTCTACTTTGGTTCCCCAGCAATTTCGGTACAGAGTGTGTGGGCAAGACCAGTAGTTTCACCCTATTTACCACCAGAGTCAGCGTTCTAGCGCGGGAAAAGCATATTGATGCATATGTCTACGGCCCAATTTACTGTAATCTAGTCATGAATAAGTGCACTGGTGATCCCCAGAGCAGTTTTCTTATCGGAGATCTTCTGTCCCCAGAAACGATATAAAATATCTATCTATAATGGAGCAAACGGCTAGCACCAACCCCGCAGGCGACACTCAAATGACAGATCTTAATAGCGCCGTTGGGATGCAGGAGATTGAAAAATAAGGGTGGGAGGACATCTCGAGGCCGTCGGGTAATCACGCTGGAATGTGAAAGCCATGACGCCAGAATAAAAAGGCAGCGTTCGGCTAGTACTGCTCAAGTACAATCGATGCAAATATATATGGATCGGTTCCAGCGAATGGTGTGGGTAGCTTGTTGCTATGTTGAGATATTCGTCATACCGTTCGTCTTGAACTTTTCCTTCCACCAACATGACCTACAATAGGTCGACGCTAGACTCATATAATCTTATCCCAACTCTTTGTTTTGGAGTTGAATCTGTGTCTAATGTGGCAATTCAAAAGGTGAGTTTTGGCCAGATGCATCAAATATTCCAAAACTTACCCCCAAAACTCAGTGTTGGTCAAAGATCTGGACCCGTACTCTTCCCGAAGCACACCTGCATAGTTATAAGGAATCCTGACGGGTACGCCCTCGAAATAACTGTTACGTAGAGGAAATATATCACTCTCCTGTAATATAATCAGTTAGTCGCATGTCGTGGAAGGGGTAAGCATGGAACTCGAGTTTTCGATCACGTACTTTATAGCGATGCTTGTCTTTACACATCAGTGCCTCGGGATGCCCCGACGCACGCTTGGCAACATCTGGACGCACCGCGGTTATGTCGATAAAAAGACCCGATGATTTATCAATCCACCGTCCATCGATCACATTTAGCCAGTCTTCAGTGGTCTTGACAACATGATTCGGGTTGATTTCCAATAAGTAGGTGCGACCACCGTCGACGCCGGGAATCTCAAAGTGGTGGTCCGTGAAGTTGTGGTAGTCGGCCAGGAAGTGTATAGTCGGCTCCGTGACTTGTACATCTAAATCATTATCCCAAGGAAAGATCTAGCGGCTCATATTAGGTGGTTGTCTTCCCTGGATGAAACGTCCTCAAATGCCGTACCTTTTGGTTCCACCACCATGCAAGAAGTGTCCCGTGCATAATCCATGTTTCGGCGCCAATGGCTCTCATCGTTTTCAAGTACGCTTGTACTAACGCAATCAGATGAGGTATCACCTGTTCTTCCGGTAGGGTCGAATTGGCGAAACTAATTTGATGGTTAGCGCGATAAGCCAATGATCACAGAGCAGAACAAGCGCACCGATCGTCATAATGATGGTGGAACCTTCATTCCGAATAAGTTAGTTGTTTCTCGGTAGACGGGCAAGAAGCGAAGGTACCTTGATTCGTCTAGATCGGAGGTGCATTAGCGAATGGATAAAACAACTCAGTCAACTCAGTGTCTGCTGGAGACCGGATACTGTGCACGGGTCAGAAGAAGTACTTACGGAAATATTTTTCTGTAGGAAGAGGACCTTCTTCCTCGTATTGCTTAGCCACACTTTCTCGCACATCAGCAAATGTGGGTTTGTTCGCGTTCGCTATCCTATCCAATGCCGTGCTGGCGCCAGGGGGTGTGCTGACTTGAGCCAAAGTCGTTGTGAAGACTCCAAACGCCCCTAGTAGACTAGGAATGAAGTTGTGCATCGTTCAAGGTTCCGGTTTGTCACAGACGTCAACTCCCGACCCCTTCCGTGCCCATCAAATACACTCGATGAGTCCTGTGTTGCCGTTGTATAGGTACAAGTATTAGGATGCTGGCGGACGTGCGCGACTCGCGTGATAAAAGGGGCCCGGTGGCGCAGGGCAATTCAATCCCTGGAGAAAGACATTGGTACGACAGAGCTCAGGGAATGTAAACTCAGTGATCAAGAGGGGGACAAGAGTCTCCTCGAATTTCCTCGGGTTGCCCGGCAATAGAGGGGACGAACGGTATATGAAGATGATGCGAAGAAGCAACCGGGAATCGTGAAATGAACTGGGGCACGCTCGTGTGGCTAATTACCGGATCTAGCGGTAGTGGTTAGGGCATTATTTCCCTCCGGATGGCTGCGATCCCGGGCTTCCATATATGAGATGTGCGGAGCTACATTGGATAAGACCAAGATTATGGAAGGAGTCTTCAGATTGCCATAGTGATGATATTCCCTCCTCTCTACTCCAAGCCAACAAGCGCTTGACTCCGTAACGGACAGAAATTTGAACCTGGAGGTTACGATCCCACGCGCCGAGAGAGGCCATTATTTCATGTTATCGGGAATTATTGGGTCCCGCACGCAGCAAAGCTTGGTGACGAGGCTTTTTTTAGTATAGTCTCGCGGGCCAATCATTGCGTTGAGCCGGTTTATCGCCGGCTAACCATTAGACTTGGTTACCAATTCGCCACGACCCACAAAGGCTTATTCTCTGTGAGTGACGACAAAGACTGGCAGGAAGATTGGGCTTGATACGAGTATGACCAATGTACTTCGTTTATCAGGCTGCCTGCTGGTGATCGACAGTGCCAAGAGGAGACGTCCCGGTAGCTCAAGCTTAAATCTTGCTTCAAATCGCCCAAAATGTATGCTGGTATGTGGCGCATTGCTAGTGTACGCGGCCTCCTAAATCGGTCTTAGCCTCTTCATGACCACAACACGTGGACCCGGTACTGTCCCAAAATTTTTGAAGGTTGGTGAATGGCACGCCCGTGCCTTTTATAGTGATGTGCCACAGATGTAACTCGCAAATTAATAAACTGCTGTTGATGGCATGTGGGGGACTGGTAAGACTACAGAGAATGCACACGGTTACATCTATCTTGACCTTGCAACCGGGAAATGAGCTTCAAGAGAGGGCCCGCTCCGAAGCATGTCCTACGAATGGCTAGGCCTGTAAAATAGTGCCGTTGGTCTCCGGTGGACATGTCGGATGTGCTGCGAGACTCGGGCCTATCTCCCACAATCAGTATGGTCGCAAAACGGCCACCTGTAGCAAATCCGAACAACCCGGAGGGACGCTTGTCCGTTCATCTCGAGGCATGAACGAGCCTTCTAAGTCAACTTGACAGCGTTGCTAGATCGCTATTCTTACCGTGAGTGGAATAGTGCTCCGGATAGAGAAGCGCTTATCGACTTGCATCTCTTACCACTCTACTCCGTAGAGGTACCATCATTATGCTGATTGCACACCCCAGTGCTCAACCGCTGAACTCCTGCGGCGATGCATTTCCCTCTATTATTATGAGAAAGGCCTATACCTCGGGACGAACATCGCATCGCCGTCCTTGAGCCATGGAAGATACAGGAATCATTTATTTGTGGGTAGGAAGGGGGGTCATCCGAAGCCGGAGAAGCGTATGCTTTGACTTAAAGCTGAGAAGCCCTGAGCCAAAGCGAAGGACTTGACAACATGGACGGAGTAGAGGAGATCTCCATACTGGGGTCGGACCCTTACGGTTGATCTTCAACCCTACTTTTGCCAAGCCTTCGCGCTAAATTGGGCTTATCTTCAGTACCCATTCCATTCCCACCATGTTGAACATGAGTAGGTGGTGCTATCGATTTCACACTCTACGCACATTTCATCAGGCGAGGTGTCGGCATCATTCTTTATCCCCCATTTTCTCCTCCTAACCAAAAGAAGCTAACGCGATCATCAGGACGAACCCCTGAGTGAGAAACCCCACCAATTCGGCAAATCGGTCCTAACCGTCGGGCTGCTGGATCTGGAGCCAATGAATCTCCTTCTTACGGCGGGGAGTTGAAGAAGTGGAGTTTTGTCCGCCTGATTCGATAGGTTTGTGTTTAGGGTTCAACTCCAACGTGAGCTTCCTCCCATTCGCGACTTCGTCCGGCTATCGCAGATTAAAGCCCCCCGTTCCTGTCTCTTTCAGCCCGTCCCGTTGATCCTCGAAACGCGGACTTTCAGCCTCGAGTTTCTTCTTTCCCGCCTACGCTGATCGGTGTATCCGTGCTATCAGAGGATCGCATTTTCAGCCCCAGGGACGTACTTTTCGATTCCCCATAAATCTGATGCCCGTTGGCAGTGGATCGTGTGGAAACAGGGAATCTCGAAACCCTCCCCCCAAACTAAGACTGGATCTCGCAAAGTTTCGTTTTACTCAACAGTTGGGCCCTGGCGAGTGATCAAACTCCTCCTCCATAAGCTTTTGGGATTCAAAATCTCAACTTCTACAATTGCGGGGGCGGCATACCCTCTGAAAGCCAAGACAAGACGGGTCCGACTTCTCGGATCCCTTCCACGTGCCACCTGAACTGCATTCTATGATTTCCCGTGGAGAATTTCAGTCGATCACTCGGGCTGCTTCTGGGGCCTCGGGCGTCTGAGTCTCGTCGGAACATGATCGTAATCCCTTGGTCGAATAACAATCGCCTGAACCTTGGCCAATCCTTCGTCTGCATGCACAGAGCAGGTTCTCTTTTTGTATATACCCCCATTCCTTGACCCAATTTTCCTAAACACATCCTGTCGCCTGCGCTGCGGGTGAGCATGTCAGATTCGTCTTCCACTCCTCACGGAGACCCGAGCACGGGTAACCCCCCCACAGCAGCAACTCAACCGATCCTGCGAATCTTGTAGGAGCCTAAAAGTCCGCTGTCTCCCCAACCCATCTACTCCAAATCAATGCCAGCGATGTGCCAAAAGCAGGAAATCTTGTGTGTTTGTGGCCCCGCAGAGGCGGCGGCCCCGGAAGCGCACCGACTCCAGAGTTGCTCAGCTGGAAAAGGAGATGCGGATGATGAGGTCTTTGCTGAAGGGTCGAATTCGCGAAGAAAGTGAACCAGAGTCGGATGGCAGCGAGGCTTCTCAAGAGGAAGGCGATGATGGGGAACTGGAATACCAAGGGAACGTGGGCGCCATGCCTGAATCTTCGTCCAACTCGGCGCGCCTTATGGACTACTCCCCCGAGTACGGCGATGGCTCATATCCCAGCATGCATGGAAGTGCTGTGTTTCCGGCCCAGCCCACGCTATCCGGTCTGCACATGAACTTCCTCGCTGAACCAAATAAGCACAATGAGGACGTGATCGATCGGGGCATCATTACCCTCGATGATGCGGAGCAGCTGGTAGCATTCTTCATCCAGGAGCAGTCGTCGATTTTCCCCATGGTGATGTTCCCTCAGACTACCACCGCCGCCCATTTACGCCAGGCAAAGCCGGTTCTTTTTCTTTCCGTCATCACTGCTGCGGCAATCTCTATCGACTCGGGCCTCGCAGCGGTCCTCAGCCGTGAGATGGTCCGGCTGTATGCAGACCGGTTCTTCATCGAGGGTGAAAAGTCCCTCGAGCTGGTGCAGGCCGTTATCCTCATGATCATCTACTACCTGCCTCCCCGATCGCCACTGCGGTTGCAGTTCTACCAGTACACACATATTGCGGCGACAATGGCGCTGGAGATCGGATTGGCGACCAAACGCCGGGTCTCGAAAAAGAGCGATCGCAAACAAGCGATATATGACGAATCGTTGGCGGAACAGGCGAGGGCTGTCTTGGGGTGCTATCACCTTGGGTCCATGTGAGTAGATGCTTTTCACACGCTTCAAGCTGCTGAACCTTCTCACCAACATTGTCAATAGTGTAGCGATGAAGACCAGGCGGCCAAATTTGCTGCAGTTTAATGACTGGATATCCGAATGCATAACACAGCTAGAACAGTCGCCTCATCGATCAGACCAACAATTGGCTGTGTGGTTCGAGCTCCAGCGGATCACCGACGAGGCGAAATCTTCGTTTGGTCTGGACGACACCAGCACATCCTCACCATTAACGGAATCCCGCGTCCAAGCTGTACTGAGATGGTTTGACAAGCGGATGGATACTTGGCGAAAGACCGCGCCGATGGAAATGCTCACAGGTAAGACTACTTCCAAAGCAGATTGTTTGGACCCGTACTCATGAACCATCCCCAGTCCCAATGATTCTCGAATACCGGTCTGCCATCCTCGCAATGTACGAACTCGGCGTAGGGGAAGGCTACCGTGACCCAGATGCCATTAAACGCCGATACTTCGTCCTTCCAACACTAGAGGGTGGCGGTGCGAATCCTCCCGAGGAGAGTCAAATGAGTGCGATACGGATCGATATCAATGTCAAGTGGATGAACGCAGCTCACGAGCTGCTAGAAGCAGTCCTCACCTGCAGCGCAGAGACCCTGCGCCGGTTGCCCAATCTCATGTTCACTCGGTTCGGCATGGCAATGACCTCGCTAATGAAAATCCATTTCTCTGTGCGCACGAGTACGCTCGGCGAAGTTGTCACGCCCGAAACTGTTAATCTCAGCTACTACCTCGACGCGATGGCTGCGAAGCTCGGAGACGCGAGCGGGGGGGTAAATACGAGATTCCTAATCGGTGGTTCCATGTCATCGGCACAAAAGGTCGGCACTGGTACGAGAGGCTCGAATCGCGATATGCAGGCCTGCAGGCTGGGAATGTGCAAATTCCTCCTGGTCCTGGCCCGGCGCCAGGCCCAGGTTCAACAAGCTCAGGCAATAGCCACGGCCCTTCTCATGGGCCAGGTCCAGGGATGGTCTCGGAACCCCCCCGGCACTACACCCGAGTATAGCCCTGTGGTGTCTATGCCCGGAACCCAGGCGCCCACATCACATATGGATTCTTTCCCCATGACCACAGGCGTGCCACACATGCCGCCTGGGATCGAGCCTGCTTATGTGCCCATGAATAACCCGGGTATATGGCACATGGACAGTCAAGGGCAGGGTCCATTCTTCCAATCCATGCCACCCGGTTATTCGCAGCAAACCTCGCTCCCGCCACAGTTCGCTTATGAACCACAGCCTCTTCCGCCTCAGAGCGCCCCGCCTGGGCCTCCTCCTGGGAGGGGGACGGGGATGGAGTTGGATGGGTGGTTGCCGGATGGAAGTATCTTTGGCATGCCGCCTTTGCCTGAGCTTTAATCTGAAATAATTTGGGAAGAGTAATGGATGAAGTCGACGTGAGGCTTATTGGTCTCGTGTGTCCTATACATTAGTAGAAGATGGACCAGAAAGGATGATTCACAGAAAACCCAGATACAGCCATGTTATGGACAGAATTTTAGCATGAAAGACTTCAAAGACCCAGTAATATTTGGAAAGTGTGCAAGGGCATCGGGCAAATGCAGAAAATTTAGACTAGACAGAAATCGCCAACTATAGCCCTTTCAGGGAAATGCTCCTGGGACCCACGGAGTAGCAGTACCCGCAGCAAGCAAGCCAGCAAAACGCTTCGGATGAAGGATTGGAGCTCTTCCCACTTTCCCCAGTCGCAGCCAAGCGAGGCCTTTGGAGCCCTACGGACTAGCGAGAGTGGGTTGTACTGCGATGTGTCGGAGGGTCGGGCGCGTCGGAACTTCCGCCTTGAGATCGGAGCGATCATCTAGTCCGATAGGCTTGCGACAGCCTTAGTTGACTATATTAGAATATTTATTAGTCAGGACAAATTAGAGTGTTTCGATAAGTAATCTATCGCATCGCGGTTACTATTTAACCACAGTCCTCCTTCTCTACCTGGATATAGGAAATCCTAGTAACACAGGGCATTTCGTCACAACCTGCGTCTAGAGCAGGCCATGTCACCCCAACTCCACCAGAGGTTGAACGTCTGTGTACTTGATAGTAAATGTATCATAATATGTCAAGAATCAATGGCGATACAAGGATCAGAAAGACAATCCAAGACGAGAAAAGGGCAAATTAAGATCCAAGATATGTCATAAACCCGAACAGGTAGATCCAAACTACTCCGAAATGTAATCGAGGCATAGTTCATGATATCGGTAAAAGCACGTGCGAATAGGGGTGATACATAGCAAGTTCTCTCTGGGAAAAACTAGAGAAGTTGAAAAGCCTCAAGTGCATCCATAAACCCAGCAATAGCCCCAATGCCCACGAGGCCCCGTGTAGCAGTCCGTCCTAGCTCCTTATTTGCCTCCCGTCTCAATTCGCGCGAAGATCGACGCGAGTGGTCACTCGGCGGCGTCCTTTGGGCCGAGCGTGGAGGCGTCGTGCGGAAATGCACCTCGTGACGCGTTTCCGGCGAGGAGGTTGAAAGGGGGTATGCTGAGTGATGGTAGCGAGCATGAGGATTTCCACTGTACGCTTGGGGTGGGCCCCATGAATTACTGTTGGGTGGCGTACTTCGTGGTGAAGGTATTGGCATAGGAGCCAAGGTTCTTTGCGGCGTGTTTATGCTCATTGGGACTGATCGGGGCATATTCGTGTGGTCGGCGTAGTAGTTGGATCCCGGCTGTGCGGGCGATCCTAGTGGACCAGGTGCCCGAGGCGCAGGTGTACCCGGAGGTAGATGTTGTGGTGCCCTCGGTCGAGGTATTGATTGGGCTGGTGGGATGCTACCATTTGGGTACGCAGGTTGTCTGAGCTCGGGTACTTGGCTCTGGCTGGAATATTTCGATGACATGCTATTGGAATGAGGGCGGCCGCCTGGCACAGGGCGACGGTGGGAAGCCGATCTCTGCTCATAATCATCTCCAGAGTCTGAGGTGTCTGAAAGGTTTCGTGCTCGGTTATACTGCTCATCATCATCGGTCTCGGAATCATTGTCCACATAAGCCTGGTAACCAGAGTATCGCTGACGCAGTTGTGCAGCCTGGTATCGAGCTTCCTGTGAATGTGGCTTTCTCCAGTCTGTGGTGTTTCCTTCAAGATAGTATCCATCGATGCTATGGCGATCGAAGTCTTCTTTCTCACTATCATTATCGCTCTCGGGAGTGATGTGGACCCGCGGTGGAGTTGACCTCTCAGACCCCCGGTCGTTTTTCCCTACCTTGTGCAACCACGAAATATCTAACGATGGGACCCAAAGATGGAATAAACGTTCGATAGCTTTTTCAGAAAGATGGACCATCTCTTTCGGGGACCTTTCCAGATTGCCCAGACTCGAATCGACATCTCCAAAAGTCACGGTATGAAGCCGAGTGACGGTCGAGCCGTTGGCTGCAGCGACGAGAGATTTCACGGCAGAGACTGTTTTTGACGAGCTAGCTGAGTTTATTCGCTGGCTTATTGGATTCTTTGCAGCATCCACAGCTTCTTGCTCAACGAGCCCCCATAGATGGTCCACTCTCCGGACAGCCCAGTAGCGAATAATTACCATGTTCTGCGCCTCTGCCTTTTCTTGGGCAAGCATCTCATCCGTAGTCAAATCAAACTCAGGTGAACCAGATATTCCCGAATTTGACTGCACCATCTCGGCCAGCTGTAGCACTTGAAACATGACAATCAGGCTCAGTTTCAAGGACTCAAGTTGAGCGAGAAGGTACGTCACATGTTGTTTTCGAAAGCACCAGTGTAGAAGTTCCTGAGGTGGTATCTTCCTCAGTTCCTCGTCTGTATCTGTCCCCTGGAGTTTCTCTAGCATGTGCTCTATCTCCACCATGACCACCTGGCCTTGGCTGGCAATTTCCAAAGCCTTCTCAGTGGCTGTGGGCGAGGTACCCAAGGTTGTAGCATCGAGTAGTTTTCCAACGCGTTTGAGCGTCAAAGAGAAGAGTGAGATAGCTTTGGCGATACTGTGAAATTCAATCCTGGACTGGGCCAGCTGGCATGCAGCTGCGTTCAAAAGCAGGGAGAGTCGAAACCCCGCGCCGGCAATCCGGATAATCGAGGCTTCAGATTCTGCAAATAAGTCAGTCCTGTTTTCGTATCTTTCATGACTCGCATGGCGCTCATAGTGTGGACAAGTCCTACCTTGCAGCATTGTTCTAGACGACTGTGAAAGGATCCACCATACAAGTCACAGAGGTGAAACATAGGATAGCATCTGAAAGGAGAGAAGGAAGTCTGGCAAGTGGGCCTAAATCAATAGTTGCCACAGCCAAGTACAGGATGCCTCGTCCACCAGTGGAACATTTGAACCAGTGTGGGGTTTGAGCCGCAGCCATGTTCCCTGCATATCATTTGACTCCGTCAGCAAGTCAACACCCTGCAATGACGCCATGAAACGGCCGCACGGTCATTATTCGGCTTACCTGCGACTAAAAGAGGATCAAACAGGCGAGGATCATCCCTGCGCTAGTCCGGGTGGAGAGCATTTCTTCCCCGTTCAATACATTCCACCCGGGTTAGACTTTCCAAGCTTCCGGAGCACAGCCCCAGGCGTTGAACATCGAGAATACGAACTTATCGACGAATGCTGATGCTTGGATATCCCATGAGGCATAATCCACCGATCCTCTGGTATATCAGGGCTACCTGATGGCTTTACAAAAGCCTCAAGTACTGTATGTCTCGAGTTTGTTATGCTCCATAGCTGGGTCTTACTCCTATCGCACTTCATAGAAAGTAGATCTCCTACGAATAATATCCATTATTACTAAATAAACATATGCGCTACTTCCATCAAACTTGAGAGTGTTTACGGATAGCCAAGGAGCCTCAGGGGTTTCAAGGTTCTGCTTCGCAACACAAAATGACAAATTGCGATGGCCGAGCGCGGGCGCCATCCAGTACGAGTCGCTCGCCGCCTTGCAGGATATATCCCGCCCAGGTGGAGTGTGTTCTGATTGGTTATGTCTAAAATGACCCCGAAGCTGCTTATCACAGAATAAAGGGCAATATCTGGAACAGATGTGCCTTCAGTAGGTGGTTTCCATGATAACTTGGATCGGTCATGATCTAGGCTTTTCGCATTCGCACCAACATCCCAGTGCTAGTCCTGTGGCCAGCAGCTAGTTGCAGGTGTTAACCAATGTTATACGAATCATAAAAATTCTGGACAATTAGATATCCCCGCTGGAGCCCCCCGAAATCTTGAATGATGAGCATCAGGTCTATGGTAGCTGTTTTCATTTCCGAAGCAGGCTGTGCGGTTGTTTGTAGTACGATGGAGTACATTCCGGAATCCCTAAGGTTCCGCTTTCAGCAGTTCGATCAACCCCGGAGCAACTGGACTAATCGTCTTTTTGCTTCAGCTTCACAGCCCTTGCGAAGTAACTTCCAAAATAACCCACGTCAAAGGCTTTCCTGGTTCTTTCAAATGTTGTGGGGCTTCGGACCCAGAGCTGCGATAGTTATCATAGTGGTCAGTTGCCCCCCCTCCATTCTTCCCGCCCTCGCGACCTCCTTTTCTCCCGCGTGGTCGATCGTCGAACTGCGGAGACTCAAGATTGACCTTTTCTACTGCAGACCGATACTCACTGCTCGGAATTCGACTTGCCCTGAATTTGCGGGAACAGGGGCTTCAGTCCGAATGGGCGATCCCGTGATTCAACCCAACAAGCAAGAAATTCCAGCTTGTTCGGATCGCACGAGATCACCTCCGCCGTCGTTACGCTCGAAGCGCTTTCGGTCAATGTGAAATAATGTCCGCAGCGGGTGTCACCGTCAGCGGCACCTCCGATACTTCGATTGCTCCTGCACCCTCTCAGTCCGGTACACAACCGTTCGTGGCGGATTCGGAGGAATCGGCAGGTCCTGCCAGCAATGGGAAAGAAAACGTGAAGGCTCAAGGGACGGGGGCGGGCTCTGCTCCAAACGCAAAACCTCTAGCCTCAGCCGCAGAGCCGGAGCTGGACGATTTCGGTCTCCCTATTCGACCGCGGTCGCAACCTCAGCGTCCGTCAGTGGAATGTGCCGACGAAAACGATGACCATGCCCCCCGCGAACATCGACACCCGTGGAGGAACTGATGGCTCGAACGTCCACGAACAATCGCAAGAAACTCGGAGTATACAGGCGACGGAAACAGAAGCTCCAGAAACCAAACCAAAGTCCGAAACTGGACATGGTGAACCAGCGGAGCCAAAGTCCACGCCTGAGCCTAAGCATGAAACCCAAGGACCGCAGACAGAGGATTCAAGGAAAGGTCAAGAAGAATATTCTACGGAAACAACTCGCCCAGCCTCCAAATCGCTTGGCTATCAGATCCCGGAATGGTCGCATATGCATTTCGCTAAACATGATAGGCCACAAGAGAATGAGGAGGAAGAGGAGGGAAGAGGATGAGTGGAAAGACATGCCTGCATTGGGAGAAATGGACTACTACGATGACTACGGTAGACTGGTAGCCCGTGGCTCCCGAGAAGAGGACGACGAGGCTGTGTATAGTGGACTGGGCGGTGCTGGAAAGGGCTATACTCGAGTCCAGCTTGACGAAGACGCTCAGTCAGCCAATAGCTTGGACGAAGATACCAGCTACCTTTTCAAAGAGGGTGGCCATAATTCTGCAGGGCTGGTCGGCGAGGAACTTCGCGATACCGTGAGCCAACTCCAAGCAACCAAAGATCTTCTTAATGAGACCCAGAAAATCGCATATGTCGGAGTCGTTCGACTGGCCGTGTTCGCGATGAATACCGAGATCAGTGAAATGCGAATCACTAAGGCCACGAAGAAAACAACTTTCAAGGCACAGGACTCTATGCGGAAATGGGGGCAGGCAATGATGGGCCGTCTTTACGCGCACATGGACATCAATCCGGCCGAGCAAGTCATGATCGAGCAGCTTGCCGAGCATGGAGTGCAGCCTGAAGATTTGATCAGACCTCTCATGCAAAATGCCCGCGTGAAGAATCCCATGGCCGATCAAAGCGCGGGCATGTCCAGTCCTTCTGTATCATCTCCAACCTCTCCAACCTCAAAATTTGATCCTCAATCGCGGGCGTCCACCGAGACAGCAGAGTCTGAATTCGACGCACCTCCTCCTTACGAAGAACATGAAGATGAAGACGCAGTTCCGGAAGTCCACACTCCATCCCAGATGCCAAAATCAGACCAGATTGATATCGATCTCCGGTGGACCGTCCTGTGCGACCTCTTCCTTGTCCTGATTGCGGACTCTGCATATGATGCTCGTTCCCGATCTCTTCTGGAAAGAGTGGGAGCAGCAATGGATGTGACATGGCTCCAGATCTCCCGATTTGAGAAACGTGTTACCGATGCAATTGAAATGCAAGAGCAAACCGAGAAGGAGAACTGGGATGAATCAGAGCACATGGAGAAGCGCCGGCAGATGTCTCGGAAAACCAAATACATGGTTATGGGCCTCGCAACGGTCGGTGGTGGTCTGGTCATCGGTCTGTCTGCTGGACTTCTGGCTCCTGTGATTGGAGCTGGTCTGGCAGCTGGTCTGACCACAGTTGGTATCTCTGGAACCAGCGCATTTCTGGGAGGTGTTGGTGGAACGGCTCTTATCGCCTCTACTGCCAGTATCAGTGGAGGTGCGATTGGGTTGAAAGCTGCAAATCGACGGACGGGAGCCGTCCAGACGTTCGAATACCGGCCCTTGCATAACAACAAAAAGCTGAACTTGATTGTCACGGTATCTGGGTGGATGACCGGCAAAGTTGACGATGTCCGACTTCCATATAGTACTATAGATCCTATCATGGGCGACATCTACTCCGTCCTCTGGGAGCCAGAGATGCTGCGCAGCATGGGTGACACAATCAACATCCTTGCCACAGAGGTCAGTTTCAATTCTCCGAGTCACCGTTTTGGTTCCAAAAGCTCACTTTTTCGCCAGGCACTTACCACAGGTCTGCAACAAGTCCTCGGCAATACTGTTTTAATAGCCTTGATGGCCTCTTTACAATTGCCACTGGTTCTTACGAAGTTGGCGTATCTTATAGACAACCCTTGGACCGTTTCATTGACTCGAGCTCAGTACGCAGGCCTTATCATGGCAGACTCTTTGCGCGATCGAAACCTTGGCAATCGGCCAATCACTCTGATTGGATTCTCACTGGGGGCGCGTGTCATTTTCTATTGCTTGAAGGAACTCGCTGAGAAGGGGGCCCATGGACTTATTCAAAACGTCTACCTCTTTGGCTCTCCGATCGTGGCCAATAAGGATGACTATCTCAAGGCGCGCAGTGTGGTTTCTGGTCGATTCGTGAATGGGTATTCTACGAATGACTGGATTTTGGGCTATCTTTTCCGAGCTACCAGCGGTGGTATTATGCGTGTCTCTGGCCTCGCGCCCGTTGAGGGTATACCGCGGCTGGAAAACGTCGATCTCACCAAGATTGTTAATGGCCACATGGATTACCGTAGTGCCATGCCGCGTATTCTCAAAGAAGTTGGCTGGGAAGTGCTGGAGGATGAGTTCGCGGAAATCGAGGACCCAGATCCAGACAACCATGCCGAGCGTCAGCGTGAGCTGATCCGGGAAATCGATGAAGCCCGCCGAGAGGCGGAACTGAAGCCGGAGAAGAAGCGCTTCGGTCTCTTCAAACGAGGCAAAATGGCCGAGAAGAAGTCGTGGGAAACGTACGACGTTAATAAAGCATCATCGCCGCAGGAGGCGAATGATCCCACCGCGGCGCCGGGTTCGGTCCTATTCGATATCGAAGCCATCCGTTCGGAGCTCGCATCGGAAGCCATTGAGGTGAAACAGCTGGAGTCGACGCTCCCTCCTATGAAGCTCGACTTGAACCCTCCATCAGAGTCTACCCCGATCACGCCAGCAAAGGAATTCAGGCCTGAGCCTCCCCCCAGTTGCCCGGACAGCATCAGAACCGAAACTGACCACCACGGCTTCCTCCCTCAATGAAGCCCCCCCTTCCACCCCCTGTGCACGAAGAAGAAGAGGTCTCAATGACATTTGACACCTCGTTTCACGACGATGATTTCCCACCTCGGCCCGAGTTGAAATCCTACGCTTCCACCCCTGCTAATAATATTGGCGCTACTGCGACCGGGGCAATGGCCCTCGAGCCTAATGCATGGGCTGATCACGACGAGGAGATCTCAATGACGTTTGAATGATTGGCGTTTTTGCATTTAAATACATTCCTTTTTTTTAACCCGTAGATTCGGGAGAGCAGGATGTACAGTCTATAGCTGTCAAGGTGTAAATATGGAAACTCAATTTAATCGACGCGTGTGGGGCCGCGCGTGTCACGCGTGCCCCCGTTGACCTTCGCTCTCCGCACTCCGATGTAGCTTCATGATTTCTTTGTCCTTTAGTTCGTATCAGCCCATGATTTGGCCCGCCTCTTAGGGTGGCACGAGATTATCTGTTTCCCCTGTCCAAGCTCGTGACTGACATTTTGCGACTCCAGAAGTAACGATGGGCCCGAGGCAACGCAGTGCGGCTGAGGCCTCAAATCAACTTTCGAGGAATTTACCAGGCAACAAGCACCTTTTGTCAAGTTTTAATAAAGAAGAAGATATCAACCGTCCACCTTCCAGCTCGGACGAGGACGAATCGGACAGAGAGGGACAGGGCGAGGATTCAGATCTTCCCACCTATAGCTTCAAACAGCAAGATAGCTCCCACGACCAAAGGCTTCGGAGCCATGCCAGAGACGGATCCAACGCGCGAAAGCCCCTCGCAAGGACATCGTCCAAAATGGAAGAGTCTGACGATGACGATATCTTTTTTGGAGGAATGGGTTCACAGAGCAAGGCGAAAAGACTGAAACACCATTACGACAAGCCAACGAGAGTCAGGGTCCCAAAGGCATACCCACTGAGCGCTCAAGAGAAATACACGAAGATCAAGAACAATGGCAGGACACCGGAGAAGGGAGCAAAAAATGACGAACTGGAGGAGTCAGAAGAAGAAATGCAATTCAAAATGCCCGCAAGCATGGAGGAATTCGAACAACAACCGCCACCATTCAAAGTGCCCCCCAGGTATCACCAATGACAGGATACCAGGTTCCTCTTTGGGAGCCTCATCGCGGGAGACCGCCTCTTTCCAGTTCGACGAGGACTTGCAATGCTCCTCAATCGGTACACCCCTCAGCTCTGCACCGTCCTCCCTGTTAGACGAGCTTTCTTCCTCTGAGCCCGAAGCCCCTGCCGTATGTCCCATGTGCAAGGCCGAGGTTGATCCGAAGCTGTTGAAGAAATTTCAAGCGCAGCCTAACCAGCGCATCCGCCAGCAACGAGAATTCTGTGCTTCTCATCGAAACGATTCCGCTGCTGGCGACTACAAAGCCCAAGGCTATCCGGAAATTCATTGGGAAACCTTTGGTGAGCGAGTGCAACAGTTCTTCCCCGCTCTGGAAAAGCTTGTCAAACCCGATGCACCCTCCTATTATCGTAATTTGTTGGATACAGCGCAGAAGGCCGGGAAGACTCTCCAGCCTTCTCTGGAGGGGGATGACATCGAACGCATCTCTTGCGGGTACTACGGCCCCAAAGGAGGGCAGAAGATGTGAGTAAAGTCTTGGATCATTGATTCTATCTCCATACTGACGAATGACAAGGCTGGATGCCATCATGGGCCGATTTGCTGTGAGCCTCCGCCGGCTTGCCAAACAGGACTCTTTAGTCACGAAGACTGGCGTTGTCCGTTATGCCCAGTCTGTGCTCGTCCCTGAGCTCACGGTTCTGCTCATAAAAGATGACATGGATGTCAGCGAAGATGCAGCCCGAGAGATTATGCGGGATAGCATTGATATCGGGTTGATGGTCAACGCGCAGGTCGACATTGTCCCTATTGATGAGCCAGCTCTGTCCGAAGCCAGTGGGAGTGAATTATCCGAGGAGCCGTCTGATGAAGATGAATTTGTAGAGTAAGTTTTTGACATGCTGTACTGTGCCCTGGGATGACCCTATTGCTCTCAGCCGTGTATATTATAATTTCTTCCAGTGATACCTCTGGGGCTGAGCCCTCTGATAGTTACAACTCATAACAGTAGAACTACGTCTCTGCTAGTCAGAGCGAATGAGAGAAAAAAACAATTTAAGATTCAAATAAAAAGGCACTCTAGTTTTCTTCGAACTATTCAAGCCTTGCTTGAGCATGTGCTTATCTCGCCAAGGTCTAGACAGGGGTGTGGGGGTCGTGTGACGCCGTACGAGCGTACAGAAGTCCGGGGCCTGAACCTTTTCCACCATGCTGGGCTCGTCTCGTACAATAGGTAGCCCGCTAATAATACGGCTTACAGTCTCTGACGACACACTATCATCGGTGCTATTCATACATACTCTAGTAATTCGGTTTCATCTCGCGCTTTCAATCATCAAGGATTGAAGACATAGATCAAAGCACCGGGAAGAGTCAGGCTGGGCAATCTTCATGAACGTACAGCTCAGAGATCCACAATGCTGCAGGGTCTGCACACCACAGGGCCGGTTGCGATCGAGAACCTGGAGGAGTCGCGTCTCATGATCGAACTGAAAATCGGTGTGAGCAGACGCGGCGACAAGTCCGGAGTTGCAGATCAAGTGGAGAAGTAAATGACGGGGCCGCTTTTCCGGCTTAGGCCCGTGTCGGTCTTTTCGCAGGTTTTGCGCCCCCTCTTTCTTTGAGTTCTTTGGGTGCTATTTGCAACTCAAGGCTAGGAGCTGCTCCAGACCGGAGGACTCAGGGAGGATGCAGAAACCAAAGCTGCCCGTCCAGCAGTTGACGATTCTGGGTAGGTGGCCCTCCGCAAATTTTCTCCTCCCGATCGTGCTCACATTTTGATTTAGCGATATGTCGATTCGCCGAGCCAAGTAGGTGCTGGATTTTCCAGTGAACAGTGTTTGTTCCTGTCGATCAAGGCGCGATATTAACAGAGTTTGCGAAATAGTCGTTTATACTTCGATTCTTCCATACCTGGTACGTCGCGCGCTTATCGCATACCGGGCCCGGCACTTCTGAGCCGCGACCATGCGAAAGTTACCAATTCTGGGATCACATCTAACGATTGAATAGCCGGAGCTTATTGAATATGTTGGTGTTCCAGAGGCAGAAGTCGCCAAATGGGTAGGGATTGCCTCCGCGGTCTCGTCCATTAGCCAGGCGCTCATGGCGGTGCCTTGGGGTACTCTGTCCGACTATATCGGTCGCAAGCCAGTCATTATCAGTGGTTTGACTTGCACGATGGTCTTCTCGATCATGCTTGGCATGTCGCACAGCCTCACGATGGTGCTTCTGACTCGTACGCTCATCGGATTTTTCAACGGCAACGTCGGCATTTATCGTACCATCGTAGCCGAAATTGTCCCCGAGCGCGAACTGCAACCTCGTGCATTCAGTATCATGCCTTTGGTATGGACCGTGGGAAGCATTTTTGGCCCCTCGTCTGGTGGTGCGCTTGCTCGGCCGGCTGAGAAGCATCCTGAGATCTTTGGCCGATTTGAGATTTTGCGCCGGAATCCCTTTCTGCTTCCTAACTTGGTTTCCGCCATCTTCTTCATTATCGGCATCACGAACACCGTTCTGTTCTTACGTGTAGGTTGCGAGTCAAACCCGTCCTGTTTGACCCCGGCTTAACTTCAGATAGGAAACCCTGGAAACAAAGAAGGACAAAAAAGACTATGGTCGGGAACTCGGAAAAGTCCTCACGCGCCCATGTACTTCGCGAAGGAAACGCTTGGAGGGGGCGAAGGCCGCTGACGAGGAACGTGCCTCATTGCTTCCACCATCTAAACCCCAAGTAAAGAACAAAGGGCCTGCGCCTCGCCCCAGATGGTCGGAGATTTTTACATTTCAGTCAATCCTGATCCTCATATCTTATACCATGGTTTCAGGCCTGGGCATGGCATTCGATGCAGTTTTCCCAGCATTCCTGAGTTATCCGGTGCAAAATCTACATGATAATCCCGAGGTGAAACTTCCCTTCAAGTTTGCCGGCGGCTTTGGTATCGGTAAGCTCTTCGCGGCCCAGAGCAATGGAGCAGGTCAACGCTAACCAAAACAGATTCTCAAACTATCGGCATATACTACACCATAATCGGATGTATTGGTATGGTCATCCAGTTCTACGCTTTCCCGCCCGTCGTGCACCGGCTGGGCACCCTGCGATGTTTCAAAGCAGCTGCCATCGCTATGCCGGTTGTCTTCTTCCTGACACCATTCATGGTCCTCGTTCCAGAGTCCTTCCGACTCCCTGCCGCGTTGGCAATTATGCTTGGCAAGCTCGGGGTGACCATCTTCGGTGTTCCCTGCTGCACCATCTTGCTCACGAATTCTGCGGCCAGCATGTCTGTGCTCGGTACACTGAATGGGGTTGGAACTAGTGTGAGTGCTCTTGGTCGGGCGGGAGGACCTGCTCTTATCGGAGCTGCCTTTTCCTTTGGCGTGAAGCGGGGGTATGTCATTATCCCTTGGTGGCTACTCAGTTCGTTAGCTTTGTTTAGCATCGTCCCCGCGTTCTGGATTGTTGAGCAGGACGGCCCACACCGTGGAAATGCCATTCAAGAAGAGGAGGAATCAGAAGGAGCAGAGACATCTGCTGGAGGTTATGGAAGCGTTGCCTCACGGGCATAGGGCTTCGGAACGACACGGAATGATTAAAATTGCCTTGATGATGTGATGTTTGCATATACGGACGTTTAGGGATGGGCAAGACTGGAAATTTGGGATACGACCGGGGCTGCATCAAATAGACTGCCAGTCATACTCGGTGACATTCATACAGTTAGCATGAGCTCCAAGGAATGAAAGTAAAGTCTACTCCGAATCCGCTAATACTGTGAGAAAAGGTGGTCATTGTCATTGTGTTGAGTCCGTCACGTATCCAATATAGTCGAAAATTTGGCTTTCGATGCCGCCAAGTAACATGATTCGCAGAAACCCCGAGTCAGCCTAAGGAATCCTTCAAGACACGCTCAGGATGCAACAAAAACCACTGTATCTTCTCATTTCAGTCGTCTAGTTGCCAAAGGGAATCTGCACCTTATTCGCGGTTTGATGTTGGAAGCACTTTATACTCCATAGTCTATCAGGCACGTGACATCCGATAACGAAGCTCCCAGCTGGCATCATCGACGATCTGTCTTCCCCACACCATTGGTCCTCCACAACACGCCAATTCCATAAAGCCTTTTCCTTCAATCAGCAGGCTCTTGGAAATCTCTAAAATTCCAAAACAAAAGACAAAACCACACGGGTCAACTCCTCCCCCTCCACAATGCCTGCCAAGCGAAACGCGGCCTCGCCTGCCTCCGCGCCAGCGGCCTCAACAACAGCACCTCTCTCCTCAGGCCCTGCGACCCTCAAAACCAATTCCTCCATTACCGATATTGCCATCCATGTCTGGCAGCAATATCTTGCCACTTACTCCCCAGCGCATTCTGCTTCTGGATGCCTTTATGGCCTTCTTAGTGCTTGTCGGCGGCGTGCAGTTCTTGTACTGTGTAGTGGCAGGCAATTATGTATGTTGTCCCTTCTTACCTACGAAAGAGCACTCGGCATTGATCCCCCTTTCCCCGTAATTTCGGTTCAATGGGCTGGATATGTCGACCATCATTCACCGTCCAGCCAGGGGAGAAGTTACTAACATCTTGCTTCAATAGCCATTCAACGCTTTCCTCAGTGGCTTCAGCGCCGCGGTCGGTCAATTTGTTCTCACGGCTTCCTTGCGCATGCAAACCAGTGACACCGGGGCAACTTCAAGCAAGCCCAGCTCAAAGGGAAAGAATGCACGATTTGCGGAGGACGAGCAGGACACCGGCATTTCTCATGAGAGAGCATTCGCTGATTACATCTTCGGAAGCCTGATCCTGCACTTCTTCTGCATCAACTTTATTAATTAAATTATTGGCACTATGTGGGTATTGGGTGGTCGGTGGGTCCATGGAATGGGGTTCGAGGAAGACCTGTTCATCCGTCTGTCGCGATGGCTTCTATGCTCGAGCTGGCCAGCCGGACTGGAGTCTTCATCAGTTGTCCAGTTTCATTTCTGCATATGAAGGAATACACTTCACTGTATAAAACTAAACGTTAGCGAACTCGAACTCTTCAAATGATCTAGATTGGGGTCTGCACTGTGTTTATGTATCGTTTTGATTGCTCTGTCTGTTGTAGGGTATCTTTTGAGTTTGCGCTTTCACGGGCCGGCCCTAAACACCGGGGCTAGGCGTCTTAGGATATTGTACAAGATGGGCCAATCGCCTCGGCGACATGAATGCCAGATGCGACCTCATTAAAACGTACGTCCTGGTCTTTTGCCCACTTGAGGTCTTTTCACAGCACTTCCTCCACCACTAGAATTACTCGAATTGGCGCCAGGACGAGATCCAGAGGAAGACGAAGTCAAACCGCCGCGTACTTGACCAGGTCTTTTAACAATTGGGCGGCGGACAGCGCTCCTTCCACCAACCTCGACTTCCATCTTGCGGCGGGTGGGGTTATTGCGCTCCTCTTCGCGCGCTTTCTCGGCTGCAGCGCGCTCACGGTCCAGCGCCATCTGGTTCTCGATTTCCATGCGCTTGTTGAACTCGATCTCTGTAACACGGCGATCGCGTTGGGAGTATCCCTTTTCTTTGACTGAGTAGAATACACCACCGAGCTCGGCAAGCCACTATGGGAATATGGTTAGTATTCAATGGGAAAATGCGGTCCACGCAGATGTTTGACTTACATGCGGATCAACTGCTGTCACTGTCGACATGTACTCTTTTGCAGTCAAGATTAACTCGTGGTAGACGACATATTCGGGTACATAGCCCAGACCGTACAAGGCACTCGTGGGATGCAATGCCATGGTGACGCTGGTGCGGAGGTTGATAAACTCCCCAATTCCCTTCACGCGAGCGGCTTGATGATAGTAGCCTGAGCATATACACTTGCGGATAAGATCCCAGTCTGTACCGCAGCTAATAAGAGGCATTTTCTGCACAGTCATGATGTCGCGCAGCTGGTCGCGGACTTCCTTGGCTCGTCGGAGGGTCTTTGCATGGAGGAAATGCTTGACACACCAGCTATCAGAGAACCCATTCGACTTCCATTGTGTGTAGACATGAAGGAGAGTCAAATGATCGGATTCGGGAACGAAAAATTTCTCACGCGCCGAGTCGGACTCTTCCTGTCGTTCCTTGGGACGGTAGAACACGTTCGGCACGGAAAGCATGGAGACGATCGTCAACATCTCCTCGCTGCACTCGTACTCTTCCGAGGCCATGATGAGAAGCTTTGCCAGAGGAGGATCCATGGGAAATGGTGTCATGCGCCGTCCTAGCGGCGTAAGGTCACCCAGATTGTCGAGAGCCCCTAGAGACCAGAGTTCGAAGAGAGACGTAGTAATTGTCTCTTGGGGCGGAGGATCCATGAAATCAAAATCGAGTAGATCTTTCACACCGAGGGATTTCAGTAACAAGACAGTATTGGCGAGGCTGGTGCGCTGAATCTCGGGAATAGTTTGGATGTACAGCTCATTCTTGTAGGCAGTCTCAGTGTACAGACGGTAAGCCTTTCCTGGTCCAGTCCGCCCAGCTCGTCCAGATCGCTGGTTCGCGTTGGCCTGAGAAATTGGCGTGATCTGCAGAGTGTCCATACCCATGCGAGGATTGTACACTTTCAACTTGGAGTATCCAGAATCCACCACGAACATGATACCGTCGACAGTCAAACTTGTCTCCGCAATGTTGGTAGCGACGATGACTTTTCGAGTGCCAGGTTCGGCTCGTTCGAAGATTCTGGCTTGTTGTTCAGCAGGCATTTGACTGTAGATTGGCAGAATGCTTAGGGGCGCAGGGTCGTTCAGAAGTTTTAAACGCTCATCACACAGTTCGCATGTTGCCTCGATATCCTCTTGTCCAGTCATGAAAACCAGAATATCACCCTGTCCTTGAGAAACATGGATGGCCAAGATCTGCTTTACTGCACTATCCACATAATCCTCACATGGCGTTCGCGAGAAATGAGTGTCGACCGGGAAAGTTCGGCCAGGGATGATAAACTCAGGGGCTCCTCCGTAGAATCGTGAGAATCTCTCGGCATTCATGGTAGCCGATGTGACGATCAGTTTTAGATCTCGACGACGTGCAAGAACCTTCTTCAGAAGTCCCATAAGAACATCTGTGTTCAAAGCGCGCTCGTGCGCTTCATCCATAATGATGCAGGAATATTTATCGAGATCTGACTGGGTCAATGACTCACGGAGCAACACACCGTCGGTCATGTCTGCGGCAGGTTGTCAGCATGATGGTCATACGTGCGGAGAATCACACAACTCACACTTGATAACTGTTTCGTCCGAGGTACAATCCTCAAAGCGAATGGCATATCCCACCTTTCCACCAAGCTCAACATCCATCTCTTCACTGACTCGTTTCGCCACACTCATGGCTGCCACACGGCGTGGCTGGGTGCAGCCAATCATCCCATTCTTTGAATAGCCATCTTCGTGAAGAAACTGCGTCAACTGGGTCGTCTTGCCGGAGCCTGTTTCGCCAACCACCACCACAACCTGATTGTCTCGAATAACTCGTAAGAGGTCCTCGCGCACCGCAAATGCGGGCAGAAACTCCCTTTGCTCGCGCATAGTCTTGCTTCTGCTGAAGGAACTGGCTCCGCCCTCATCTTTCTTCATATGTTTGGCGAACTTATTTCCTCCACCTTTGTAGACATCCTCAACGGGCATGGCAACAGCACTGTCGCCCTCGTCCTCCTTCACTCCCATGAGGTTGCCTGGGGCTGTTCCCGCCATGTTCGTTGCCTGTTGTGCCTGCTTTTGCCGCTCACGCTGTTGCCGCCGTTCTCTCACGACCTTACTTCCTTTCCGACTAAAGACTGCCATGTCGCTCTGAGGGTCTCGAAGGGCCGAGATTGGCTCAAGTTGCTTGGTAAAGATGGTGCGGCCATCGAGAAAGGGTGGTCGGAGGTCGTGGACGAGTAAATGAACTCTGGTCGCTTCTTCATCCTCAGGCATAAAGCCGCTACCCATGTTGCGCCGCTGCGCAATGCCCGAAGTGAGCATGCGATTAGTCTCCCAGTCGTCATTTTCCTTGCGCCTAGCGTCTCGAAGGTGCGGCGGCAAATTCGAGCTCTTCTGCCTTTTGGCAGGAGGCCCTGCCTCATCACGCGCCATTTTGGATTGTGTAGACCGGGTTATCAGGGCAGGCAGGCCAGGCGCACCGGTGGGAGGAGCTTGGAAGATTTAGCTGCGCAGCGAACATTAAGTTGAAGCTGAATCATGCTCGACGGAGCAAACAGTGCAAACTTTCTTATCAGTCACCTGACCATGTAGTATTTGAGACGTGAAGGTCATTGGTACATTTTGGGTCTAATTATTTTATGATAAGAATAGAATGAGGGTTTGCATAGCCTGCTTTGCATTAAACTGGAAAACAACTCAATCCTGAGAGTTGCTGAATTTGTTGTTGGGTCATTTGACTTGCACATTAAACATACCGAAGTCCACCAAACACCGCACGGCGGCCCCGCATCACCATCCGAGCTTTTGAGGTCTCCGTGTCGCAACGCATTCTCTCGACGCGCGCAAACATGTCGAGCCAACCGAAGATCGATCCTAAGAAGCAGCAGGGCAAGTGCACCTTGAAATTAGTTCATCCAGTCGAGGAGCTATGGCTGATTTTTGAATCCTCTCTCCAGAGCTTCAGATCCAGTACTCCAACTTCAAGAACACACTCCAACAATTAGCACAAAAGATTGGGGATATTGAACAAGAGGCTGAAGAACACAAGTGAGCCATGACCGGAAATATGGCGGAAGACGAATCGAGGGCAACCTTCGCTTGTTCAAGCAGGGTTGAGCTCGACCAGTCGGCAATCCAGTATCACACATGCTAATGATTGCTCTACGTGGATAGACTCGTTATTGAGACACTGGAACCCCTTCCTCAAGACCGGAAATGCTTTCGCATGGTGAATGGCGTCCTTGTTGAGCGAACAGTCAAGGATGTTCTTCCCACTCTCAAGACCAACTCGGACGGGCTCAAGCAAGTTCTGGAAGATATGTTGAAGCAGTACAAGACGAAGCAAACAGAGTTAGATAGCTGGAAGGTACGTTTTCTACAACTCCTAGGATACTGCTTTGGAGCGCAATTCGAACGTCGGGCAAATCATCGAGAAATTGCTGACGATACTGACTCAATTCTTGCAATCACAGAAAAAGAACAACATCCAAGTTGTCCAGCCTTGAGTGACAAGACAGGCTTGATTGAATGAATCCGACTCCCCTGGGTCAACCATCTATATACCTAAAAATGACCTGTCGAAGGAGCAATTATCGGCGTTATCGGAAACAAAAAGAAAGAAGAGGAGAGAAGAGAAAAGGAAGGCAGAGGTAGAATCCAATATGCAATCATGACGAAAGTCAAGCTTCAAATTTTGAATCTGCCGGATCGAGTTGTTGAATAGTGGATTGACGATCGCATCCAATTCTTGTACAAATGATAATTATAGCTCAGCCACGTAGAACTATGATGTACACTTCAGATGAGGCACTACCACACCCCTCTATAGACATCGTTTCCAGCCAAAGGATTGAAATGCCTGGGTCCCGACGTGCGTCAAGTTACATTGGCAAGGTTTGATACTTATTGCTTTTCTATGCAAGCCTGAATGCCTGACGAGCAAATCGAGGCCATTGCGTTGGGCGTTGAAGAAACCCAACTTCAGCCAGAAGAACTGGTCATACTATCATCATTCCATTTAAGATTCCAGATTGAATTTGTCGTGTAAGAGACCACTTCTGGCATCCTGGAAACGTCCGTCCACATCTTTGACATCTCATGGTGAGCTTGATATGGCGTTGTAATGTAAAAGCGAATATTACGCTACTTCATCACCAAGACGACGTGTATTTCCGTAAATTTCCGTTTCCGTTGTTGCTGCCTCAGGCGCACATTAGATCGGATGCGACTGCGACCGGCTGGTCAGGGCTCTGTTAGTCTTGGGAACTTTCCATCTCACAACCTACGAGAATCCACAGAGTACATTTCGTCTTACTCAGAAACCAATAATATCACGATATTGTATTGGTCCGGGCGTTTCTTCGATCCGGACTTGCGTCTACTTGGGTAAGGAGCCAATTGAAGGCGCCCTCTGATCAGGGAGTTCTGGTTCGCCAATTGACCTGCCTCAGCCTGGACCCTCCCTCCTACCATTCCACAACTCTTGTGCGCTCTGACCTTAGGCAGTTCCCTCACGAATCAGAACAACCCAAAAATCCGAATCCAACCTTCTCGATCTTTTCTTTACCCGAACAGGTAAGCTTCAATCTAACCCTGCGCAACGTGCGACCGTGGGAGAGTTGGGCGCTCTCACCCCCAAGCTTGACCCACTTCTAGACGTATCCCGCGTCACCCCCAGCTATCAGGTCTCGCGAGGCGCGCCTGCTTGTTATTTGCTCTGCATTCTCTGCATTGGTGCAACGCGATCGCGCTCGCTTGATAGCCTGACCTATACTCGCATTCCCCCCATCCCAGTCCATTTTGGTACGCGACGAACTAATTCGGGTCTCGCGCGCCCGCGTCGCAGGTACAGACAGCCAAGGCGCATTATTGCTAAACCTACTTCCCCGCTCGGCTGACGGTCTTTCCTTGAGGCTACTGTGAAGCGGTTCGTACCCAGCCAATACCCACTCCCCTGCTTCTTCCGCTCCTGTGATTGCTGTTAGGCTGGATGCATCCGAAGCGATCGCGTGCACCAGGCATTCGGATCTGACGTGTTTCTGCCAGCAGAGCGCATTCTAGCCTTGACGCCCAAATTCGTCCTAGTTGCTCATCGATTCGAATACACTCATAACCATGTCGACCTCGCCTTCGAAGGAGCCCGAGGCTGACCCCGAGGTGCAATCGGGTGAAGAACAGGACATGGACAAAGACCAACTAGACCAGATGCAGGCCACGGGCGAGTTTGAAGTAAAGGAGCAAGATCGGTGGCTTCCGATTGCAAATGGTTAGTTGCGTCTCCTTGCAGACTTTCTGTTGTTCTGATTTGTGCGTACCTTGCTGCGGACTTTTTACCTTTGGTTTTCCCCGCCTTTGATTACCCTACCACAATTGATTGCTTGAGACAGCATGTCTGATATGCCAACATTGCTCCTGTTGAGGCACATATGCTTCGAATTGTTTTGCGGAAGTCCGAGCAATTGCTACTCGAAGTTTGGACTTGGTTCCATTCCAACGGCACCTTCTAACTGGAAAACTGCTCCTGTACATCAGCGCTAATTCTTTTCGTTATGCAGTTGCTCGTATCATGAAATTGGCCTTGCCTGATAATGCAAAGATTGCAAAAGAGGCCAAGGAATGTATGCAAGAGTGCGTGAGCGAGTTTATCTCTTTCATCACAAGCGAAGGTGAATATTCAACAGTGCCCATTCTTGAGGTTCATCTCCTCACCTGTTCTTTAGCGTCCGAAAAATGTCAACAGGAAAAGCGCAAGACTGTCAACGGCGAGGATATCTTGTTTGCTATGACGTCGCTTGGATTTGAGAACTATGCTGAAGCTCTCAAGATCTACCTTTCGAAGTATCGCGAGGTTAGTCCTTTGCAAGCCAAGATCAAACTTTGGAGAGCCTTCACTGACCTTTGCCAATGCCACAGACCCAGTCTGCTCGTGGTGAAAACCAGGGCCGTCCAAGCAGCAGCGGTTATGGTGCGCCTGGAGCTGGAGGGGCTGCCCAAGGCCGCCCCGGCGCATTCCCCGAGTCTGGTGAGGGCGCTAACAACATTATCAACCCCGGCTTGGACCCGTCCGAGCAAGACGCATCTGCGTATGCCTATCCTCAAATGGGTGTCCAGCCCCACAATGGCGCGGGCGGAGAGTCCTACTAGGTCTGGCGGAGGCAGAGACGTCATGTCGAATTACTATGCCGTCTTGATGGGCATTGTGGAAGCGTAAGGCGTGCAGGCGTCCTTTGTTCCTTTCCTCCCCCCAGTGTTCGTTGTGATGTCACTTTTCTCAACTCGACAGCTTGACAAGCACAGGAGAGCCTTTTTATAGCTGTGTCCGGATTTTGATATCTTTTTGATTGATTATATAGTTGATGCTATCAGTACGGGACGAGGGGTTTGAGTACTATTCCTATTTCTGTTTGTTACTGTCTTGTCTTGGTTTATCTTACCGCGCGGTCATTTAGCCTGCGCAAAGGCTGCTAGCCCCGGATGTTTTTAGGAGTTCTGATGGAACAAAGGGAGGGGCAATGTATGAACTGGGCAGCCATGTATTTATGATCGACTGTCTACCTCTAGTACCTCTAAAGGCCCAGTCTTGCGGCTATTCTTCTTATACTTCACTGATAAGCTCTGTTATCAAGGCCGCCATGATTGGCCGCCAAAGGTAGGCCCATAGTCCCCACGCTAAAAGCCCCGGTCACTATTGTCTGCAACCTCATTCCTCTTGAGAGTGCTTTTCCCCTGGGATTTTCTGCTATCTTAATCACATTTGAAACTTCTTAAGCTCCTTGTCGCCCTCCACGCTGCCTGTTACATAATCACCACTGCTTCTCTCCGCATCCACGTGAGGTCCACCGGACCCGGACCGGCTCCCGCAGTTCTCGATTTTCCGAACTTTTTCGTTTCTTCTGATCTTTCATAGTTTCCCTCGGGATTCGGTTCGTTGTGTGTCCTCAGAATGCTCTGGGATTGCTTGTGAATTTCCGAAAAAGCATACAATGTTACAGTCGATCTACCCCTGAGATGATGTCGATGATCGTCTTGCTATGTCCGCCAACGATACCAACGATAACGCCCCTCGCCGCTCCCCGGCGATGGGATAAGCAAGCGCAAGCAGGGTAAGAACCCCACCACGATTGAGCTTTTCTTTGAGGAATTATTATCGCATCCTACGTATTTCTCAACACCGGATCGCAATAGCCGCGCCCAATTGATCCATCTCCTGTACTGTAGATCTATGATTTTGGGCTGATCTGTGACTCAACTACTCTAGGTTCCGCAGCCTGCGTTCATTGCCACCGGCGCAAGGTCCGGTGCGACGCCCGCGTTGTCGGCCTCCCCTGCACCAATTGTCGCACATCTGGAAAGACCGACTGTCGCATCCACGAGAAGAAGAAACGTCTGGCAGTGCGCTCGATTCTTGATCCCGTTCCGATCCGATCTCGGCCACTGCCGACGTCGGATTATGCAGCCAATCCTCCAAATTCAACCGAGACACCCATACCGCCAAGCTTTCCTACTGCATTCCTAGGCTCGGCCACACCACTTGCTGAGCAATCTCCCGCAGCATGGCTTTCTGTCCAATGCGGCGGAGCCGTTTCGCCCAGGCCCGGATATGTCACACGCCCACGAGGCACACACCGAGATGGAGCAGCATCTTGTGAAACTGATCGATGAGGAAGACTCTGGGCAGCGAGAGATCCAAAGAGGCGTGCGTGCCTTCTATGTCGGCCATGAACATTCCAATATGTCTTTCCTTATTCGCCAGCAACGAGATCAAGATGACGATGTATATCATTTTGCAAGCAACGAAATCCCCCGTCGGCAGATAAAGACTGGCCATGATCAGCTTTTGATGGATGCATTGACTTTACCAGAGCCAGCTTTAGCAGATGAGCTTGTTCAAGCTTATTTCACATATGTCAACCCGGGCTACCCAATTATCGACGAAGATCTGTTCATGACACAATACCGAAATCGAGACCCCGCAGATCCTCCGCCAGTTCTGCTCCTTCAGGCAATTTTATTAATCGGTGCACATGTCACTCGCCGGAAGCCTGATCGTGATACATTGAAAGAGATCTTCTTTCGACGGACAAAGTATCTTTTCGATAATCGAGTCGAGCGAAATCGGGATATTCTCGTTCAGACGGCATTACTCTTAACTTGGCACTCGGATAGTGCTGATGATGATGTGGCTGCAAACGCTCATTTCTGGGTCGGTGTAGCTGCTCGCATTGCCACGGGCCTCGGTATGCATAGGAATCCAGTATCGAGTCGTTTTGTTACCCGAGATCGGCGAATGTGGCGGAGAGTCTGGTTCATCCTTATTCAATTCGACGTGATGGTGTCTTTGTCGTATGGTCGACCACAAGCGATGTGAGTTTCCAATCTTGAATGGAATCTAAAGGAGTCAAATGTATTAACTGTTTAAAGAAACCTGGATGACTCAGACGTTTCACCGTTAACATTGGCGGATTTCGAGAATTGTGGCCCCCCGTGTTCAAGCTGAGTTTGTAATACATTTCACAGAGCTCTGCACAATGATCTCATATCTCGTTCGAGACCGATTTGGACTCCGTGCTACGGATGAGAGACGCAAGGCCGTACTTCAAGAAGCTGACGAATCGTTGGCAAACTGGTCATTGAAACTTCCTGACAACCTACGTCTTCGTGCGTCTGACATGGACCCTTGGTCTGCTATGTTGCATTTGACATACAATAACTTCCTCATACTCCTTCATCGTCCTCATCCGAGAGCATCGGCGTATTCGGATGACTACGGCCCCCATGATGCCGAAATTTGCAGTGCAGCAGCCGGAGTCATTACCTCTATCTTTGAGGAGCTCCGACTGAATGACCGCTTGAAGTTCCTTTGGTACACTGGCGTGCATACTCTATTCACAGCCATGATACAAGTCAGAGTGGAACTCCGCTTTTCAAACCCAGTTCTGGCCATCAATGCCTTGCGCCGATTCGATTCCGCCTCCTATTCTTTGCGGGAGTTGGCTCAATACTGGGTTCATGCCGGCACGATCTTACGACTCTTTGAAGATTCGAAGCGTCTCCAGGAGGATCTACGTCTGGCAACTACTGACCGGTCCAAACCATTCAACGGACATCCGACCAACAAGATGCCCGTCACTGCTGCCGAGGCTGCAGCGGCCATGCAAGCTGTACATACTCCCCGCCCAATGTCTTTTGGTGTACCAACTCCAGAAACTACGCCAATGCAAGGAACAACACTATCACCGCAACCCGCCCCGCAGTTTGACAATTGGATCACCGCGCCTCTCCGGCTTAATGTGGGCCCGCTCGAAAGGAACGACCCCTATTCGAGCACCATGCAGGTTGACCACATGGAGCCTAGCGCACGTGATTATCCTGATTGGAGACAACTTTTTTCTTTCACAGATTCAGATCTCGCTATGCCGATGGCTGGCGAGGGTTTACTTGAATTAGAAGACGAGTGGCGACAAATCTACTGGCAGGACACTCCTATGGCCGATCTCATCCAAGACGGCAGCTGGATCAGCTGATCCCGATTCCCTCCAACTCGCACAAAATCATCCTTATTTGCCACCGTACCTGATCATAAATATCTGAACCGTTTTGGTGCTCGCTCAGAAATCACAACCACCTCCTTGATATACCCTTTCACCTTCACAGATGGGCCTTCATGATGAGACGAGACATGCCGGGCACAGAGTTTAACGAGGCGCTCATGAAGAGACTTCACCACGATACCATGCCACAAACGATCGCATACACCTTTCCTTTGCATAGAAGCCTACGTACATACTACTTCTTATAATCATAGAGTTCGAATATTCGAGCTTCATTTCCGGCTTGCCAATATCACAGATATCTCCAGATGTCTGCCCTCCCAAGGAATCGAAACACTTCTACTTAGTATACATATTGAATTACTCCCGATAGATGCAATTGGCCAGGTATGGCTCAAATCTACCCATAAACAAACCGCTTCCAGTTATCTGCAAGCTTTTGGACTCCTGACCGCAGCTCCCATTCTCGCAGCCCGCAGACTTGGCGCGCTACATCCTCCAACAAATCATCCATTTCAGGTCCGGCTGTATGGAGGTCACTCTCGATCAAGATGCGGTCTTCTGGGAGAGCTTTGATAACATCCCCGACCTTCCGAGCGTGCGCTCCTGTGAAGTTTATGAGGGATGAGAAAGAGAAGTATACATCAGACGGATTCGTTTTCGCCATGAACTGCCGGAGTTGGTCCGGCGGGCCAGAGTAGGAATGCATGCATATCCGTGGAGGGAATGGTAAGAGTTCCTGTTGACAAGCTTCGGCACTGCGTGTGCCAATGGCATTCGCACCACCTTCGCTGCCCTTTGTGGATGATGCTTGACCCTTCCCATCAGAGTCCTCTTTTTCGGCCGAAATGGCCCCTTCCGCATCTTGATTTCTCCCTCGAGCTCGTCGTGATAGTACAACCCGCTCATGTCCGGCCCATAGCTCTTTTAGTGCGTCAAAGACGGTGCCATGAGCCTGTACACTGTGGACTGAGACTGCTCGTCGCATTTCACCTGCCAACTGCAGCTGGGCTTTGAGTATAGCGCGCTGATGGTCAATTTTAACTTTATAAGGTGAGAGCTTTCGACCCTCCCGGGACCCAGGCGTGATCTGTTCGTCGCGGCCATCTAACTGCTGTGCTGTCCATGGACCGGGGAGTTTAAATCGCTTGTCCAGCCCCACCTCCCCACTAAAGCCTTTGGGAACTGCTTGAGCCGTTCTCTTGTCTCGGCAATGAGGCTAGATAGAGGCTTCGGCTCCGGTAGATGTTTTACAAATTCCGCAAAGTCGGTGTCGTCGGCGGGTATCACCAGAACGCTGGAGTAGTGGGCTTCTTTCTGGCCCTCTGTCTTTGCTTCACCCGTTGTGTCATCTATGATCTGGTGAGAGAACCATGGATGCCAGCCAAAACAAGGAATAATGCGATCCGGACCCTCTGGGGCTTGTGAATTGATCGATTGGGCCGCTTGGAGAACAAGGTCTTGATCTTGCCCGCGCGTGGCCATGACGGTCAAAGTGGTCGCCTTCATTTCGGGAATACCGGCGATAGATGCCATCGTGTCTGTGGGATGACAATGGGCATCATGGACGCCAATCTCCCAGGGAAATCCATCACTGTCGGACATAGTAAGAACGAAGAAAGTCTAGTTGGGGTGTTGTTGCACATGATACTTCACGTAACCCGTCTAGCAACCCCGGATGATGTAAGTGGGGTGGCGTTGGTCCCTGGTCACATGCATCCCCGCATTATCACAACAAAGTACAAGCGGTTTTGGGATCATATGTCTCCGACCAGATGTAACGCTTGATTCCTAGTGCGCTTCAAGAGCTGGGAACTTCTCCCTCGAAGCTTCAGGTCAAGCTGTGGCGTCTATGCTCAAGTCCGCCTAATCCAATGACGCTCGCCTCGACATTGTTGGCATTGCCAGTCTTATGTCTTGTGTCGATTCCACTCATTCTCTCGGCATGGGTCACTATTTCTCTGGCCCTGGTCACCTTGTTTGTGCGGTTGTTGGTGGTCTACCTTGGGGTCGGATATGACATGTGCATCAGTTTCTTCACGATGCCGATCTCTACCATATCATTCTTGACCTTTGCTGTTTCCCAACCACCCACGCCGGCAACGGGTAATTCGAGACGAAACTCGGGAGCTGGGCCGATTGCGGCCTTTCGAAGCGATGATCCTCTCTCTAAATTTGTCTTCAGTGGGCTTGATGATGTTGCCCGGTACAACAGGAACAAGAATATGTATGCCCGGACTATGGCAGAGGCGCATAACCTTTCAACGTCCCCGCCGATGGGCTTACCAGTCAGCGGAGATGAATGGCGAGATTTCGAAGGCGTGGGTGGATGGCGATCATATCACGATGGCCGAGGCCAATTCTCGAGTCGTCGCAGCTCTCAGGCTGGCCAAGAGAAGCCTCTAAGTCCTGCCTCGACGTCTTCAACGCAGAGTATCATTGATCGCAGAAATGATCCAGATATTGATTCCGATGATCGTGACTGGCTATCATTGAATCATCGTCTCGAGCTTCCATCGCAGATTTTCACCCTTGGTTCTTTTGCCAACAGCCCGACCCAAACTGCAGATACTCTACAGTCCAGACGAGCGAACTTCCATTTGAATATCCGAACATCTGCAAATAGCTCCAACATGCATCAAGATATTAAGCACAAACACCATCACCGGTCACAAACAACCTCGGCTCTTCCACATCCGAACTCCAGAACGACAGCAGGCCTTTCTCTCGCCCTTTCAAAGCGCCCAGGGATATCAAGTCCCCCTAGCCGGGAGTTAGATGACTTTACGGCACCTTCGACGTCGCGATTCGCCCCTTTCATGACCCCACAATTGCACGCGAGGCCTTCAAGTTCTGCCAGAGCACGCGCTTTTCCTATGACCAGTGCCCAGGATGCGCACCTCTCCAATTCCCTGGAGGACTTCCGCCATAATACCGGTTTGAGTAGTAGTGCAACAAGCTCTGCCACAGGGAGTGGAGGGTACTTTGCTCTCCAGCTCCCAGGCTTTTCTCAAAACTATCTTGCCAGCCCTACCCCTAGTGGGTATACAACGCCGGGTGGGGGGTTGTCTTCCGAAGACCGTGATACGTCGCCCTCGTGGGCACGTTTGATAGCACACTATCCGATGAGCGTGAGACATCGGAGGCGCAGTATCTCGGGTCCACAGGCGAGACGGATGTCTATTGGAGAACGTTTGGCCTAAATGTTACACGAGGTCGACTGGGGTGACTTATGGGCAAAGCTTGTCTTAGGATGGAATCTACTGGAAATTGAAATCATTGATATGGACACACACTGTTTATGAATTTGTTGTCAAGCTAGTCTATCTAGTCTATAAGACGAATGTACAGAAAGTACAGAGATGAGAATTCCACGCTGAAAGTAACTCCGACAGGAAAAGCAAAAAAGAAATATCAACGTACCCAACCAAATTCGTAGAGCATTATTCTATAGACAAATCACCTTTTCCATATAATCTGCCACGTTTTTACACCGAGCCTCATTGGCTAGCCTGTTCGCGTTCCCGTCTACTGACATCTTCCATCTCTGCTAACACGACGCGATTGAAGTCTTCCCAACCATCAAGGTATAGATGGTGGCCAGCGCGCTTAATGACGATGACCTTAGCAGAGCCCTGGTCTTTTTTGCGTTCTTCAGGCGTTGCGTCAGCAAGAACACGGCGCTTTTCTTCTTCTAGAGCCGCCACAGCAGCATGGCCACCAGAGACATCCATCCAGTCCCGATCACCGTACATGAATACAACAGGAAGGCCATTCTCGCGACGAGGCGCTGGCGCTGGGACTTCCACAGATTCCTCAGAAGCGGGAGCAGGAGCGGGAGAAGCCTCCTCCGCAGCCTTTGAGCCCTTGGAGAACAATGAGCATGATGAGTTCGCTGCGGCGGTAGCGGTAGCAGTAGGCGTGGGCAGAGCATCTCCGTTAATCAGCTGGCGACCCACGCCGTGGATGCGCCGGATCAGAGGACTGCGAGCAAATGCGCCCGGGGCGAGGACGTAGGCAAGAGCATATTCGCCACTACCGCGCATGATGAAGATAGAGTAGGAATAGTCGTGGAGTGCCTTGGCTTCTTCCGCTGGGAGATGTGAGAACCGACGTGAGGTCCAGCTAGATACAAGCCGTGGTCCGAAAGGACCTGTCCATCGGACCAGGCTGAAGGGGGAGATGTTGGCATCCCATAGGTACGAAAACCATTTGGGGAGAGTCCGGCGCGGTGGCGGGGCCGTAGCGACCGTTGCATCGGCATTGCGTCCTGTGATGATACCACCGTTAGCGGTCCTCGGTGCGCCCTCCGTGATCTCTCTTTGGTCTTGGGTGAGCTCATTCGGGAGAGTGGACTCTGAAGGCTCAGTCACATCGGCAGTCACAGCATATGGATCTTCTGGAATGCCCACGGGAGATGCAAGAATGAGCTTGTTAAGGTGACCGGGGTATTTCAGAGCGTATGCAACAGCCATATAGCCTCCCATGCTATGTCCGAGCAATGTAAATCGATTAATCTTTCGCTTCTGGCGCCACTCCTCGAGGGCATCCACGAACCAAGCCTCGGCTTCGCGAATCGCTTCCTCCCGATCTTTGGCCTTGATCTTGAATGGCGGCCTGGTGCTGCGGCCCATGCCCAGCATGTCGAGAGCGTGCAACTGCCAGCCTCTCAGCCGGCTCAAAGGCTCGAAGTTCTTATAGAAAAAGCCCAACCCAGCTCCATAACCGTGCAACATGACCAGATGTTGGTCTACCTTCTCACCAACTCGTTCCACCGAGAACTCATTAATTGCTCGATCCTTGCCACTCAGCTCTACCATACGGGAGCTCCAGCGGCGAGGTCCGTAGGGGTCATTCTCTGAGTTTGCTGATATCGTACTATCTTGACTATGATCTGCAGATTGCAAACTATGTGGTGTAGCTCCATCTGGGAACCCGGCTGTATTGCCGGTCTGTAAGTGGGTCGGTGGTTCATGATGTAAATAAGGGAGGTATGACAGGACCTTATGTTCAGCGGCCGCGGCAGGTAAACTTGCCCACTGTGAGGTATATGATTAGTTGTCTAAGATCACTGCGAGCGCTGCAATCCCAATCACCATACCCATTGACTGAAGCCTTCCCGATATCCCAGCGGGAAGAATGAGTTCGAAACGGCGGACCCGGCTTTGGCGCGCATCGCGGAGGGAGCTCCCTCTTGAGTACCTTGAGATGAGCTTGATTTGCCGTGCTTCTGGCCGTCCGAGACAGATGCTTGATAGGATTCTGGCGCCATAGAAGAAGATAATGCTTGACCGCGCGCAACTGAATAGGTGGCAAATGCAGTTCATCATGAAGGTCCGCTGTTTGCCTTAAGGTTGTTGCCTTAAGCCCCCGCTGCCGCTTGCTTTACCGCCTTCCCAGAACGCATAGAACGGTCCCATCGTGCCAGGTACGTGGAGGGTTCATGGTCCCTATTTACGCCACTATGCCACCTGTTTGCTCAAGTATCCCTAAGTTAAACAGACGAGGCCATGATTCAGCAGAATACCTATCATAGACTTTTATTTCTAATCTATGAATAATTCGTATGCCCTTCTAGGCCTCCTCTTCAATCCGTATGCATATCAAGCATGAGTCGGGACGTTACCTAAACGGGCTTCCCCTTCACAACCTAATCTTCCCCCCCTCAATCTGCCATGACGACAGAGCTGGGCCGCCACGGCCGTTAATTCCTTGAACCGCTTATTCCCTCATTACAAATTTCGTGATGGTATCACCCATCGATCAACTCGTCAAGGGCGCGGCCCCTGAGAACAGGGCGCCCGCGCCCGAGCCGTTGGTCTCGTCCCCGACGCCAGATCGACCCTCGACTCCCGATCCTCTCGCAGCACTCCCCCTCCTCTCCTCCACAAATCTACTTGAATCTGTTGATCCTCGAGGCATCTCTCCGAGCGCAGTATCTGGCCTTACGCGAGCGCCGTCGTCAAAATACCTTCTTCCTGCTCCTGTTGGCGGCATGGATTACCTACTTCTCATATGCCTTGTTCCTTCGCCCGAGAGAAGATGGCCGTGGAGTCGGTGGCTCGGTCTATTGGATGGTGGAAATGGGAGAAAAAGTGGCACTTCTTGGGGGAGTTGTGACTGCATTGTTGGTTTGGGGCACAGGGCAATGGGAACGTGGAATCCGCTGGCCGCGGCGCTGGCTCGCTGTCGCCAATCGCGGCCTCCGCACGATGAACACCAAAATTATTATCATTCGAGGCCCCTGGTGGCAGGAACTACTGTCCTACGTCTCTTTCCTCTTCCCATTCTCCCTCCCCTTTTTCCCCTCTGCTACAGGGAACTTCCATTACGTCGAGCGTCATCCGTCCGAAAGGCGTGGTAGTCGGCCGCACTACCAGCAATATTACAATGGTGGAGATAGCGAGACCGGACTTATAGAGGAAGACTTGAGCCCTGGCGGTGACTATATCCGTCTACTTTTGCTGCCGAAGTCATTTTCACCGGAATTCCGCGAAAACTGGGACGATTACCGCACCGAATTTTGGGAGAAGGAGAACGAACGGCGCACTCAATTGTACCATAAACTGCGCGAGCGGGAGCGGCATCTTGCTAGGACAGAGGGCGGCTGGCTTTCTCGTCTTGGAATTGGCTGGCGTACTACACAGCGCCGTCGCCTTGTCGCCCACCGGTCTTTGGATTCGGAGCACAAATCTCACCATCATCAACAACATCACCCATCTATTTCATCGCGGTTGAGCCAGGAGCATCGTGCTTCTTCTGTGCGGCGGTCGACTCGCTCTGAGTCCTCTCATTCTCGTACCTCGTCTCGCAGCTCTACTCCTGCGAATCTTGAGGATCGCCCTCCATCGCGCTCCGGTCCAACAGGCCGCCCTCGCCGTTCAAGCACTGCACAGTCTGCTTCGGGGCCCGAACAAACACCCCAGCAGCAACGTAAAAGGAAGGGTTCCAAGTCCCTTCGCCGGGGTCTTTCGCCTCTTACACAGGCTCAGATTCGTGAAGGTGTACGGACGCCGTCGTTTTCGTCAGATGACTCGGGCATCTTACCAATGGGTGAGAAGACAGGCACACGGACTCCTACACCCTCCGATCCTGCTTGATAAATGAGTAATAGAGATGATAGGTCTATTTTGGGCAAGTCTGGTCTTCGGTCTTTCTAGATAGCCTTCATTCTTGGTGTATTGTTTTGAAAGCCTGCCTTTGTTTAGTTTTTGCCACTGGATTACAACCAATAGATACCACGGACTGTCAGGGCTAAAGCCCATTATTGCTTCAGATTCTGTCCTTCTTAGAGGCTAGTGTCTCACTAGATACAATCACTTATATCGCAGAATATCGGAGACTTGGTCCTCTTAGGGAATGTTCTAACAAAGCGACTCAACTCTTTTTCTTCCTATACAATGCATCCTCGAGTCGTTCGAGGGATTTTCACAGTGAAAAGTCTGATCAGCTAGCAGTCGCACCTCAATCATTTGAGGAAAGTGCTAACTCTTTCGCCAGATTGTGGATGCAGGCTACACTTGCTGGTAAAACCAGCTCCGGCAGAAAATGGTTGTCCAGTCCTTTCTAGAATCTCGAGTAATAAAGAATTTGTGCGGATCTTAGCATTTAATATCGGATTAGACAAATGCTCTAGAGAGAAAAGAATTATATCTCATTTCGGGGCTGGGGCTGGACGGTCCATATGTTCTTGCTTGATAATGATAGCAGCCTTTCATCCCCCCCGACTCCATACTCCATACAAAAAGACATATGATATCATCCCAATATGCACCATCTCAATAGTAAACATGCTCGTAACGGGGGTTGGAATAGCCCAGCATTGCTCATTGCTGACGCCAAGGTGTCTAAATGCGATAGACATTCTCTTCATCCTCAAGGAACCTGGGAAACAAAGTCAGTACAATCATCATCAGTATAAAGTGGTATATCACTCACATTAATCGGTTCTCCTCGTTCATCTTACGCAGGGCCTGGAAGGCTTCGGGTTGCGAGAACACATGAGCAGCTCCATGGCTTGTACGAACTGCATCATTCACTGCAGTAATTAGATCGTTGACATTGTGCTCATCGCCATTATTGAAGACCCGGGTGCCCATGAGAGGACCCAGAGCCTGCTGGAAGACCGTCAGACGGGCAGGGGTGATGGGAGGATCGGACGCAGAGGTCGACTGTGTGTCGGTCTGCGATTCGACAAGATGCGAAGCAGGCTGAGACGAGGCAACAGACATCTGTGAATCAGTCTGGTTACGCCGGCTACTGCGTGTTGCACTCGGGCTAGCAGTGCTTTGGCTTGGTACCTCTACAGTGGCACTGCTTGCTGCACCGCGAGACCGGGTCGTAGTGCGTCCTGCGGTGGTAGAGGGTTGGGTATGGCGGGTGTCATCTTCTTCATCGTCATCAAGCTCAGGATCACTTTCGTCCTCTGAGTCTTCGTCAAAGGTCGTCACCTTACGGCGCTTGCGGCGCTCATCTTCCACAACCTCCTTGAACATGGCGAAACGGAGAATGGCTTCAGCGTGCTTCGCATCTTTCTCATCGACACGATTGGATAAGCGGGCCTTAGCATGAGCAGTTGACAAACGAATCAAGGTCTCAAGGGTACGAGGGGTGATTGGAGATGTGCGTCGCTGGTTACCAGACATTTCATCGTTTCGAAGGGCAGAGTAAGTGCCGATGATGTGGTCGGCAGCACCCTTGGTAAGGACAGGCTTGATTCGAGACTTGGCGTACTGAATGTACTTCTTGACGAAGGGGATGCTGATGATTTCAACGTTCTTTCCACGGTTGCGACCAGTGTTAATCATGCCGCCGTGGAGCATGATATTGAACTTCTCAAATACTTCTGTGGGTTGGTTTGCATCTTGGCGGTCCTCGATACCAACTCCAAGTGTTTGATTCTGCTGCTCACGCACAGGCGCACCCTCTTCAGTACCAGGCTGACGGTATCTGTGCATGCGCAGGACGTGCTCGGAGACCGTCCGATCTTTGGTATCCTCAATATCATCGGTCACGACGAACAGCAAGTCAAAACGGGAGAGAAGGGAATCAGGCAGAGCAATGTTCTTGTGGGGATCCTTCCGTGGGTCATATTGGCCGAAGACAGGGTTAGCAGCGGCAAGAACACTGCATCGTGCGTTCAGGCTAGTATGGATTCCAGCCTTAGCGATAGTGACAGTCTGCTGTTCCATAACTTCGTGGATGGCAACACGATCGACATCACTCATCTTGTCGAACTCATCAATACAGACCACACCACGGTCAGCGAGGACCATGGCACCGGCTTCTAGACGACGTTCGCCAGTCTCCTTGTCGGTGGTAACAGCAGCAGTCAACCCGACACCGGACGAACCTCGACCAGTTGTCGCAATAGCGAGAGGAGCGGTGTTCAAAACGAAACGAAGGAGTTGAGACTTTGCAGTGGACGGGTCACCGACCATGAGGATATTGATGTCACCACGCAAATGGGTTCCATTATCCAAGTTCTTCTCCATACCACCAAGAAGCATAAGCAGAATGGCCTTTTTGATGTAGTCATGCCCATGAATACTAGGAGCAAGTGACTGCGATAGAAGCTCGAACACGTTCTTCTTCTTGGAAACTTTATTGATGTTGCGGATATCGGTGTCTGTAATGGTCGCCTGGGCGATACCGCCGCCGCTCTTTGAGGAGAGTTGAATTATATTGTTTGCCATCACGATGGTGCGAAAGGTTGAGGAGCCGGAGCCAGCGTTGCGGTTTCCGAGGGTACGGTAGATACCAACCAGCTGAATTCGATCACCGGGTTTGGCTTTGTCGACGAGGTCATCATCCAAAATTACATCAACGCTGCGAGGAAGTTGACCAGCTGGCGCTCTCTCTGGCATCTCTTGGATAGAGATCGATTGGTGGTCCATGTATGTCGAGTAGCCGTACTCGGTAGTCAACTAAAATAGAGAGTTAGACGCTGCCAGAGGCTACCTCAAAACATGGTACCTACAGGGTTCTTTTCCTCGTCTTCTTGGGGGTAAACATTCAAGCTTGTGGCGCCGCTGGCGGTCATTGTCTGGTCACGGTACCTTCTCGAGAGGAAGCGATCCTTCTTCTCACTGTAGTGAACACTCTGAATAATCTTAGGGCGGACAAGTGAGCATTTTGTCACAATTCCTTCAAGAGACACCATGCGATTTAAATGTTGGGACCCTAACGTGCGCGGGTTGCAGGAAAACTCTCCAAACGCTCCAACATAAGCACAATAATAATTCTACCAAATTGGTCAGTTAGTCCTTGCAATTTGAAACCGAATGATCTCTTATATATGACACATACCACTTCGTCAGACGTATCCCTGGGCCGTCCTGCCGCCGGGAGGGCCTTCACCACATCTTTCAAGGCGCGGTCGAAAGCTTCCGAATAGTCGAATGGAGAGGTCAAGAGCCTAGTTGCAGAAATCGTCAGCGATAATGGGTTCTTTGGGGTATGTAGTATTGACTGACCCTTCGGCGAGTTCTCGGTTGTGAGCACGGATTTCGTCAATGCTAACCTACACAGATGGTCAATAAAATTCTCTTTCCATTCGTATATTTCATAGAGCACGTACAGTCAAGCGACGCAATCCTCGATTCAGCATCACCACAATCTCCGCTCGATAGCTAAACTGGCCGTTAAAGTCCTGTTATAAGAGAATCCATGCAATCTCTGCAACGAACCTTCGCGCTCGTGGATCACCTGGGAAACACGCGGTTAGATCGAGTTATGAGTGATTGGGTAATGTGACTCACTAGGATCAAGAAACTCTGTGGCAGCACGGATCCGATCCTGTGCTGCCTCATCTCGCAACTGCACGCCGTCCATTGTGGCTGAGGAGGAAAGCTGGTGTTGATGGTCTGAAGACGAGTCGAAGGGGGAAGGAAAGGAAAGATGGGATGGTGGGTCTCCCGATTGGGTAAAATTGAGACGCGTCCACGCGGTGCGGCTGGCACGCGTCACTTATGTCATCCACGCGAGCCTGCCCCGGGTTCCCAACGCGGGCGCCACAATCACCTGACCAAGACTCAGTAGTTGTTTATTTTCTTTGACAAATCAAGTTCGAACCTCGTGGTTTGATCTTGACCATTAAATGAAAAGCATTTTGAAGGGGAAAAGGGGTGCAATTGTCTAATAATCTCATTGTGTGGAAGCTATTTCTGAATATCTTTCGGCGGCGACTCATACAACTCTCGTTTCCCTGACTCGATCGAGAAGCCCCCACTGAGCATAGATATTGGGTGAGACACATTCTGGCAGATATAAAAACCAGTCATCTTCCTCGTAAGGGCTGAGGCAGTTCGTGCACCGTACAGATTCATAATAGTCAGGGTAGAAACCGCTATATTCCCAGTCAAGTATTCCAGAAACCATGTACACGTCATTGTCGGCCAATTCAACCATGATATTGTCCGGCCTTATGTCTCCATGTGTGAAAACGATGCGAGGGCCCGAATGGTTTGTATACGATGGTGATAATCGACGGAGAATCTTGACAAATACGTCGCCGCCTGGATGCGAGCTCGAGAACAAGAATGTCTCAAAATCTTCAAGGCTGGTGATAGGTGTCTCGCTCATTCGAACATGTCTCCTGAGATCTCTACAGCCTTCACCTGCGACTCCCCCCTAGAGGAATCCCTTCTGTATATGGAAGAGTTCTCAAATCTTCCAGGATGGTGTTGAGTTGGTTCCTAAAGGAGGTCTTTTGACAAGAGTCGAGTGTGTGCCAGACTTCCCCAAGCGGCGTAGATCCCATGTGGCTCATGAATATCAAAGAAACCCCACTCATACGCACTACCCAAGAGGCTTCGGTGCTGGAATATTCGACTTATGACGATCAAGATATTGTAAGGCGGTGTATTCAGTATAGTGCTCCATGTTGCGAACTGCTTTGACAACGATTTCTGCGGAGCATTTGAACACTCCTTTCTGTCGAGCGAAGGGAGCTTTTCCAAAGAATTTCACTGCTCTTTACAACCTCAAACAGCCTTTGAGAGAGTCCGATCTGCAAACCCTCCGCGGTTCGTGACACCGGCTCGATCAACTTTGCAACCGCGTCTGAAAGCGGAAACACAATTTCGACCAGGTCTGATGGGCAAAGGGATCGTCGTATGTCTTCATCGGCCTCGACAAAACCCGGCGTATTATATTTGATTTTCTCTGGCAGATGATGATCTTAGCTATGCGAATGACGAGAGACTGAATTGCGGTAATTTGGTGCTTACTCGGAGAGCTTTCTATTGTTTTTTTCATCTCCATGAGACGTTGGGGATATTCCCGGGGAATTGCTCGACCAGGTTGATCTCCGGGTCTTTCGTTATCGCGGTTTGTAGCTTTTTCAATACATGGGCATTGAACCTCGCGGCTTTGGACTTGCTGCCATGTTGAGCGCCCTCTAAGTCGAATGCCCTTTTTTCTGCCATCTTGCAAGACGGCAATCTGAAGCCTCACGATCAAAAAATGTAGTTTAGAACGGATGGCAATCTAGGATACCTGGAAAACGGAGGGTATAGGTGAGCGAAAGGGAAGATGAGTGAGAAATAGGAGGGTGCTTGGAGAAATGTCGCTGTGGTTTCCGGCACAATAGTCAGCCAATGGAATCGCTTCGCGCTTCACGATAATCTTCATCGTCCTCCTTCAGAATAAAGTCTTCTTCCAACTTATCAAGGATATCAAGCACGTAATTCTGACAGTCCCATTCCACCGTCTCGTTGTCCACAGGAATCGTTAACGCGACGTTTTCGATTCTCTGAACGTCAGCTTTACTGATGACTCCAAGGTATTCCTTGCCCAGAAAGCTCTTAGACTTTGCAGCCTTGGCCTTCACAACGTTGCGCTTGAAGTTCGGATGCTGTCCAATGACTTCAAAGATCATCGGCACGTCGTCATCGTCGACGTATAAAGCCCAATCTTGATAATTACCCTCCCGAGGGCGATAAAACACAACGTATAGTTTGGAATTTGCCATTGTGTTGAATTGGTATCTGATCGAAGAGAAGACATTCATGAGCGACTGCATATTGACCATGATACTCCTGAATACTCACTTGATCTGGAGGTAATTATTTTCTAACCGTTGAACGACTATTCTGGTTTTAGTGACTCTTGATACTTTGACTCGATTACCATCCATATTTATATGCTTCTGGAGAAAAATAACAGCCTTAATTGCCTTCAAATTTGCCTAGCAGCTTTCCAATCTACCCTCACCAATGAGCCGCTATACCGAGATTGGCTACTTGGGCTGAAGGGACTAAGTCCAACGGCGCTTAAGCTTATCAAATCAGATACGCGCCCAGATTAACTAACTAACTAATGGTTGGTCTTGTAGAGTCATGTCACCTTACCGCGTTGCCCTCCCGTCCTGTCCCGCCCTGTCTTCTTCTGCTTGACTGAAATAACGAAAAATCCCACCAGCATTCCTACATGTCCTGACAAATGTCTCTTGAGCACTCCGACTATCCGGATCGAGATCCACCTCTTCAATCCAGACTACAAAACGCAAAGGGAACACAAGGTTCGTGCCCTTTCGTATGACATGCAGCCAAACTACTCCCGGCCCACCCTCCTGCAGGAATTCAGCCCAGAAATGTTTCCCAGGCCCCTTGAACAAAAATAATTTTCAGGACTGCCGCAATGCAGTTAAGGTTGGTTGGTTTGTAACAGTTAGGTTGGCAAGCTACCATCCAATCATTTGCATTAGCGCGAGGCTGTGTCCTGATTCTCACACTAGAAGCGCACTACATTCTTGTTGGGCGGGTTCGGGTTGGGCTCAGGTTCCAGTAGTTGCTGCGACTAGGCTTGGAAATATTTACTTGGTAGATCTACCAAATCAGTAATACGAATGAGATAATTCAAGTTTCTGGTCAAAAAAAGATTAATGTTGTACATTGGATCTATTGTAACATGTATATAAACAAGGGCTAAGACGAATGGATCAAAAAAAGAAGTCAAATCCTGATAAATGAAACGCTTGTTCCGTGCAATTCATCATATAGCTGACTCCGCAAAGCTGTATATGCGGTGTGTCTAGAGGGTATCACGCATGGGTTCAGAACAGGGAACCTTTAGATCAAGGTCGACGCCGACTCCCCTTTTGTGGAGAGCTTCGGGTTCGAGTCAACTCCTTTTGTCGATATTTTCGGGACTGACGAATTGCCCGGTCACGCACAATTTCGAATTTCAAGTCTGTGCGGTCCTCAATACTAAGGAACTTCTCCCAGTCTTCGGAAGTGGTATCTTTCTGAGCGAATAGCCGGGATTCGCCAAAATCATTTGCAGACGGCATGTCTGTGACGCGCTGATCGACAACATCTATGCCCAACATGGAATACCATTCGTCCATTGCATCAGACGCGCCGGTTGGCTTGTCCTCGAGAACACCTCCAGGTATATCCCTAGACGAATGCTTTGGACGGCTCTTCCATGGGTGGATGCCTCGTCCGAGGATGCCACCAGGACGAATAGGATATCGCACAGGTCGCGGCCGAAGACCCCGACGCGGGGCATGATTGCGTAGAAGAACAGCCTGAATCTTGTCTGCGTACATAGGCATGGTACCTAGCGCATCTAATGTGGATGGGGCGAGTTGATAGAGTTTCTGGATCTCATCACCTCCATGCAAGATGGTCCTATTGCGCAGTCGTTTCACTGCCGCCGCCAGTGAGACCATTGTCAAATATGAAGGCTGTAAGAAGCCTGGGTCCATGTTGGCCCAGTAGAGCTTTGCAAACTTGCCAAGTACTCGCGACGAATGCTGAGGCGTTCTCCGATCTTCGAGAGTGTAGACATGTTTGGGGACATTTGGAGGCTTCAGACCTTGCTGGTTTCTCATGTGCTTCCATGAAATGAAGTTGGGCATGAACTGGGTCTCAAAGAGCTCAAAAGCTCCAGCCACATCTGTGAAGTCATCAGACTCAGCGAGTATTTCGATAATGGTCGAACGATTGAGAGCAGATAATGCGAATCCAGCCGCTTCGAACTTGGCGACCGTTTCGGTAATTTTAGACCGTTCTCCGCGGTAGGCGAGTGACTTCAAGTAAGTGCTTAAAAGACGTGATAATATGAAACGACGCGATGGGATGATTTTCTTGTTCTTGCCCTGGATCTGTTGAAGAGAATTCGGGGGTGCCAGAGCTCCTGATGTCTCTTTATCGGATCCTGAGGCGGAAGCCTTGTCGGTGGGTACATCACCCGTTGCAGAAGTAGTGCCTGTTGTTGATTGTCTACCACTGAAGAGTTCGTTGATATCCAAGGGTATGGATAGCTCAATCGCGTTCGAGAAACCAAGCCGCCAAAGTTCATCCACTTGATCGTATTGACCAGCCTTTAAATGAGCATTCATCATTGGTTGTAGTAGGCTGATCGGCACTGTATCTGTCGTTGCGCTCAATAGACCGCCATCACTTTGGCTGCTCAATTGTTTGGCGAAAATTGCCTGGGCTTCATCAAATTTCCCCTCGTGTCCATATTGATGGATCAGGCTGCGGTAATAATGCGCAAGGAAAGTTTTCCCTGAGATTAGAGCTCTTGTGGTGGATGGATCGTTTTCCTTCCTGGGCAGAGATATCTCCTAATTTGCTGTAAAAAGACGTGAGATCTTTTCTGACGAACGACTTGATGACGAAATTTTCAGCGAATTGCTGGGATGACTTCTCTCCTCGACACGCTCGAGCTTGTTTGGGATCACTTCAAGGACATTTTCCAGGCTAGTTTGCAGGGCTGAATCTGGGAATCTTCCCATAATTTCACGAATGATTACGCGCGCCTGCTCATACTCGCGATTTCTGATATACCCCAGCATGACGATCACATAGTGAACTTCCGTGGCATGTAGTTCACCCGTTTTATGGAGCTTCCTGAGCAAGAGGTGGGCTTTTTGTGGCTTCCTCGCCAAAGTTAAGCGAAGAAGGCCAGCGGTGTGTGTGCGAGCATCTGAAGGAACTCCTGCCTTGTCCATGATAGCAAGCACGCGACGATAGCCTTCGTGGTCGATGCGGAAAACGTACTGCATCAAAAGGGCATTGAAAATACGAGTAGCAGACCCTGGTACTTTCAAATCCAAGCACACCAGTGCAAGACGTTCAGCTAGATCCAACCGACCATTTTTCAGATATGCTGAGATAATTTGACCCAGCATCGGCATGGTGATTTGGACGTGTTGCTCTTGTGCCAACATGAGGAGTTTCCGAACACCATCGATATCGCCACGAATCGCAAGCAATCCCATCAAAATATTGTACGTACCCGAATCTGGCTGCACGCGGGTCTCGCTCATGCGTGCAAATGCGGAGAAGGCACCAATTACATCTCTCGTCTTTGCATATGCTGTGAGTACCAAGTTCCAGCAAGCTACGTTGGGCTCCAGGCCAAATTCAGCTTTCACCCTTTCAAATTGGTGCCATGTCTCTCTGACGTCGCCATTGCAAGCATGCACAAGGAGAAGAGATGTCACGAATTTGCGGCTCTTGGGCTTACCGTGGTCCGCTACGAACCTTTCGAAGAGGCGATTGACTTCGTCCACATGTCCAGTACGAGCAAACGCCTTCATGGCAGTTTTATAAGCTTCGTTCGATGGCTTCCCAAAGAAGAGAGCGAACTCGTCCAGGAAAAGTGGGATGTTGCCTGTCATATCGAATTTCTCCAGGCATAGGATTTGAGCGTTCATCAGTCGTTTTGGAAGCTTTGCAGCCGGCTGGAGCGAGCGCATTTGACGATAAAATGCAATGGAGCGAGCAAATTTGAGTCTTGAAGTCGACTGTTGGAGACATTTAATGGCTTGAGAGAAATGGGTCTCTCGAGCAACGCCTACTTCCTGAAACAACGAGAAGGTGTCAAGAAGTATGTCCAAGTGGGCTGATTCCAGCAGAGAGGCGGTGGTGGTTATGCGAGCGAGAAGGAAGGAAGAGATGCCTTGCAGGTGTGAACGCTGTTCTGTTGCTGAACCCCGGACAAACTTTGCGAAGGCATAGACATCAAGTGGAAGTTCAGGATAAGAAAGCTGAGGCAAAATGCCTTTAACAGGAAGTTCCGAAGCCTCAAAACGCATGGCCCAAACTTCCTGCATCCTGGTCCAGTCATGGCGCTTCAAGTAATGTGTAAAAGATGCTTCGAAGCAGAAGTCTACAGCCACACCTGTTGAGAGAGCCTGCTGCAGGATCGTAGTCAAATGAGGCGGGTCTGCGTAATAAGTCTGGGACTTGCAGATGTGGTGAAAGTCAGCTGGAGATCGACTCTCTAGCGGTATTTCTTCGAAGAGCTCCCAAGCGCGTTCTTGATCGGCCGGCTTTGCGGATTGACTGAGGTAGGCGCAAAGCTCAGAGCGGATGTCTGGTGGCCGACCAAGGGAAATATATGAAACCCAAGCTCTGTCATAATCCCAGTCTGCGTCCGACGTGAGAAGCCCCCTTAACTGGGCAACGCCGTCTTGGGTAGATATGATGGGGTTAGCACCATTCAACAATGGCTCTTTTCCAGATGACGCCTTGGGGCAAGATTGATCCACGGACGTGACCACGGAGGTGAACGTCCTGCGGAAACCAACCGGTCCCTTCTTCCTTCGACGCGACCCCGGCCTCCTCAAATGGCGAGTATCCTTCGACAAGAACCAATCCCGATAATTTTGTGGATACAAGAAGTCCAGGAATGGCTGGTTGACCTGGATGGCGCTATTCTTGCCATGGGCAGGATGGAGTACAGTAAATGGGGGTGATGTGGTAGGTTGTGCTAGGGCGAGAAACCAACGGGCGACATCTCCTTCGGCAGTATTGTGCCTCCAAAAATGACGAGACAATGACCTTCGGCTTTGAATTGTGCCAGGTGAATCTCGAAGAAGACGCCGGCCCGCGGTCTCGAAGCAGCCGGCAGCTCGTTCGAGCATTACCCCCGTTCGTCGCAGAACGAATCAGTCAAGCCGTCGAGTCCGGTACCGCGTATGCATCGTATCGAGAGCAGTGACTAGTTCTCCGGAGTGATATTAGCATCCAATTACACGAAACCAGCCTGCTGATCCGCGTGATCAAACAAACCGGTTTGGGGTCAATGACATACCGAGAAAACAGCGTTGCGCGTAGGCGACGATCGCACCAGGGTAGCCAGGCAATCTGCTGTGCAAGACCCCCAATCGGCAAAGCTTAGCCAGGAGTGTGGTCAAGGTAGGAACGTGAATAGAGGAGAGTAAAAAAGTCACCCGGTGCAGCTCTTCCCGCAACAAATCGGCGTTGGGAAAAACCCGGGCACATCGGCCCATTTCCTTTGCCCACCGCCTTCGTCGCAACCCACCACGATATCAAAGTGGCCCTTCCCCTCAAATCCATTGGTCCCCCAGGTTCACGAGCAACCCTCATCTAGAAAATGGAGATCACAGATTACATTTTCAAGGAACGAGAGGATGTCCTCCTTGTGGGTGACTACAATGCGTACCGAGCGCACACAACTCGTAGACTACACAAACTCCGCAAGAAGCTGGGCCAGGCCACGCCCAAGAACCGCAAATACACCGCGAAACCAGCGGTGACTGCCGAGAACATCGGAAATAATGTGTCGTATGTACCACTGAGCCCTTTTCTTCTCTCTCTTCTTTTTTTTTTATTCTCGAGCTCATCCACGTCTCTGCAGATACGTACACCTGTTGCTTCTCAGTGCCGAACGAGCATGGGCACAAGCAATGCACATGAAATCGACACATTCGGCGGACCCATCAGCCAAGGGACTCTCCGGTGCAGCCCGCCGTCATATCATCTCTCGCTTTAAAAAAGCCAGCGGCTATGCGCAACATCTGGTCACCCTGCTCCACGAACAATCGGCCACCGGTGCCAATGATATCGATATTCTCGAAGCACGAGCTTATCTTGCGACGGTCTCTGGAGCCCTGTGGCTCGAGAAACGAAAGTGGGAGCAATGTCTTCATGACTATTCGATCGCCCGAGTGATATATACGGCTCTAGGCCAGAGGGCTAAAAAGGATTCTTTCCGGGATCTTCTCAGTGGTACTGTTGATCCGAGCTTGCGCTACGCTGCCTATCAGCTTAAACTCCCTCGATCCAAGCCAACTTCTTCGCTCGCCATTGAATTTTTCCCAGAAGATTCGGGTATCCGAGCTGAGGTCGAGAAGCTTGATCCTTCTTGTTTGGCCGAAGAAGATGCGGGAACCCGTAGAACTGCGGAGGGCGAAGTTCAAAAATTGCCCGAGTCCGTCACATGGAGATCTCGTACCGTTCCATTGGAAAACGCATCAATCTCCCAGGCTTTGGCTGCTGCGGAGGCTGCAGAGGCAAGCCTCAGCGACTGGCTGAAGGGGGAAGGACGAACTGCTCTATCTAAGGATCAAGCTGCTGCCTATGACAATGTCATTATTGCCAGCCAGGATGCAGTCGATGCCACAAAGACTGCTATCGACGATTTGGCCAGCGAGGGTGTTGATGCTGGTGACAAGAGAATGCAAGCTCTGCAAATCACCCGAACTGCTGTCAACTATCGGTTAATCGGATGGCGAGTTGGCCGGAACCGTGTCCTTTGCGGCGAACAGGACGGCCTCACCTTCAAGCAAGAGCAGGCTGGAACTGGAAAGTACGCGAAGCGCGACGGGGGCAATGGGAAGAAACTTACCAAGCTACGTGAACGGGTTGTGCTATATGACTCGACTCTCCAAAGCTTAGACTTTATTCTTGAACTCCCGGGTGTGGCCGCGGATTCCGCTTTCGTGCAAGATCTCGAATCAAAGCGAGGATATTTCCGGGCTCTAAGGTATAGTCGCCGTCGCCCCTTCTCATGTTTCTTGCTCACTGACCTAATCCTGTTTTGTAGATGTTTAGCCCTTGGCCGGTCTCACGGTGTGTTAGATAAGCCCACGGAGGCTCTGGCTCTCTTCGCGCAAGCTCTCAAGCTTGCCGATTTGGCTACGCCGCAATCATCTGCTACTTCAGATGGTCCGCCTCGATTAGAGGTCTCCCGAGATCAGGCCAGTGCTCTCCAGGCTGTTCTGCGTGGGCTGGTTGCCCAGTACCGTGGTCTCGTGACCCTGGCGCAACTCGATGGAAACTCTGCCGAGCTGTCGCAACGCCCCGTCGTGGAGCGGCTAAATCAGTTCGGAGCCAATGTAGACCTCGGCAATTTGGTGCCTTATCCACCTCGGATGCAGGCGGTTCCTGTGAAGCCGCTCTTCCTCGATGTCGCTTGGAACTACATCAACTACCCTCAGACCGGATCTTCAGCTCAGCCAGCGGAAACCCCTGCACCGGAAGAGAAGAAGGGCCGTGGATGGTTTGGCTTTGGCCGCTGAGGTATGCTTCCAAGTCCCCGCTGTTCCAGATTCCGGTTCCTCAACGCTGTAACGGCTCCCGCCCCCCTGCATCTGCGCCAGCCAATCACGGCTTCCGGGCCTTTTCTAGCCGAGTCACGCTATCCCAATTACTCATGACCAATTCTACCTCGTACATACCATAATGCCTTCTGGGAGATCTCCTGACTCGTATCGTGTAACCCTCTCGTATCTTCAACTTGTACACAGTACGTAGTATGAGCAGGGAAGGGGGAGAAAGATTGGGGGATGTTGCTGCGTTCCTGCAGTGTCATTGTCGCGACTCGGACTGATAAGGAGTTTATCTACGGGAAGGGCCAAAAAAAAAAAAGATAGCGTAGCGCATATAAAATGAACTTCAAAAGATTTGAGGTTCTAGCCACGATCTCATTCCAAGTAAACCTGTAATATGGAGGACAAAATACCTTGAGTTGGACGGAAGTCTGAAGGAGTCCAGAGTTTTCAATCCCAAGCGGGACCGGGTCCGGCTTCTGGCGCGCTGGGAAATTTCTGGGAAATTGGCGAGATTGGCGGCGGCTTCATTGGTGCTCCCGCCCCTGACTACTTCGAATACTCCTTCATTTCCCCCCTCTCCACTTTCTCTCTTCTCCACGGCCTCTTGGGTTCTCCTTTTGTCTTTGTACACTTTCCCTGCCGTCGACTCCTACTATGGCTCAAATCAATGGGAGCTTCGTCTCCCCGTCGGCAGATGCGACAGTCATCCCCCAGTTCATCGCTTCCGCCGGTTTTCTGAACTCGGTCCTCGATGGCCTGACCGTTTGGAAAGTGCTGGGAACACTGTTTCTCGCGGCCGTGATCTACGACCAGTGTGAGTTTGCGTCCTCAAACGTCTCATCCCAACCTCTTCTTTTCACGACTTGGTTTCATACGAACGTGACTAACGGCCCCTTTCAGTGAAATATCACTATCTCAAGGGCAACATCGTCGGACCAGTCTACAAGATCCCCTTTATGGGCCCGTTCTTGCAGTCTGTTAACCCAAAATTCACCGAGTACAAGGCGAAATGGGACAGCGGCGAGCTGAGTTGTGTCTCCGTCTTCCACAAGTGAGTAAACCCCAAATACAACGCGACCCTGAGAGATGAAGGGAGGGGAGGAGGGGTGCCGGAAGAGTCGGTCTCGCGCATTGATATCTGAAATGGGTTCCCGGATCTGAAATGGGTATCTAACCACATCTTAGGTTCGTCGTTATCGCGTCAACTCGTGACATGTCCCGCAAGATCTTCAATTCCCCAACCTACGTGAAGCCCTGTGTTGTCGATGCTGCTCACAAGCTCCTCGGCAAGACCAACTGGGTATTCCTGGACGGCAAGGCCCATGTTGACTACCGCAAAGGTCTGAATGGCCTATTCACTCGTCAAGCCCTAACTACCTACCTTCCTCGCGTCGATGAGGTTCTCACCCAATTCTACGATCGCTTCCTCGAGAAGTCCGCCTCTCTTGACCACAAGCCCACTCCTTGGATGGGTGACTTCCGCGAGTTGATGACTGCTCTTTCCTGCCGCACTTTCGTCGGCTACCACATGTCGGATGAAATTGTTCAGAAGGTCGCCGATGACTACTACCTCATTACCGCTGCACTTGAATTGGTCAACTTCCCCATCATCATCCCCTACACCAAGACTTGGTATGGAAAGAAGGCCGCCGATATGGTTATGGACGAGTTTGCCAAGTGCGCTGCTAAGAGTCGTGCCAACATGGCCGCTGGTGGCGAGGTCACCTGTATCATGGACGCGTGGATCAAGGCTCAGCAGGATTCAGCCAAGTACCGTGAGAAGGTGGCTAAGGGCATTGAGGTCGACTCCTCTGAGAAGCCTGCCCAGGTGTTGCGTGACTTCTCCGACTTTGAGATTGCCCAGACCCTATTCACCTTCCTCTTTGCCTCTCAGGATGCTACCAGCTCCGCCGCCACTTGGCTCTTCCAGCTGATGGCCGACCGCCCCGAGATCCTCGACAAGGTCCGTGAGGAGAACCTGAAGGTCCGCAACGGTGACCGCAATGTTCCGATCTCCATGGAGCTGCTTGACAACCTGCCATACACCCGTGCTGTTGTCAAGGAGACCCTCCGCTACCGTCCTCCTGTCATCATGGTCCCCTACCTTGTGAAGAAGGACTTCCCCATCACCGACAAGATCACTGTTTCCAAGGGGTCCATGATCATCCCCTCTGTGTGGCCCGCCACTCACGATGAGGAGGCCTACCCTAACGCTGACTCTTTCGAGCCTGAGCGCTGGATCACCGGCGATGCTGAGCAACAGAGCAAGAACTGGTTGGTCTTCGGTACCGGTCCCCACTACTGCCTGGGTCAGACCTACGCCCAGCTGGCCCTGATGGCCATGATTGGCAAGGCCAGTCTTGAAATGGACTGGAAGCATACCCCCACCCCTCTCTCCGAGGACATCAAGGTCTTTGCTACCATTTTCCCCCCAGGACGACTGCCTGCTGGAGTTCCGTCCTCGTCCATAAATTCTTTCTCCGTCGGTATTCCTTTCTTCTTTTGGCCATCAAATAAAAGCATATACGCAGCTGGAATCTGGCTTCCTCCCTGGATAGGAAGGCTTGTCCATACCCTATCTTGGGCCTTCCTATCCTGGTGATGGAAAAGAATTTGCCTGTCCACTTCTTTTGGTTTGACGGTAGCATAAAAAGGGCGAGAATCTGTCTCAGCAACTTATGTCACTTGCTGAAGACCTGTTAGGATCTTGATACCCTGTCCTTTTGAGTTCGAGGGTCGAGTCCATACTATTTGGATGAGCGATTCCCAGGCTTTTTATGTTCCTCTTCCCTGGGGTTGCATGGCCCTCGAGCTACGCATTAGATTAATATTAATCCTGTTTTTTTTTTCTTCTTCCTACCTTGTCTTCTGCTACTTCGGTTTGTCTTGTTCTTTTGCCATCCATGTAAATATCCTCAATTTGATACTTCAGGGCCAGAGACTCATCTGAGCCTTCCATTACAAATATATTTGACTTCCCAAAGTACCCTGGACTCACGACAAAACCAAGGATATATGGAGACCGCGACTTCAGGAACCGTTGCGGGTGGGGATTCGTTCCAAACGCACGTTCGTTCGTGCAATACTGATCCGCATGCAAGGGGAACCTCTCTTGTGTACCCCAGATACCCAAGTGGGCACGCTAATGCACGCGCTTGGCGGGGTTTCTATCTTTCTGCAACTGGTGATTGGCCACGCAAGGATCGATAAATTATCCCTAACTTCTTGTGCTACCATCGAGTTTCCCTTCGTAAGTACATTTTTGGTTGTCGAATTTCGAGTATTGACATTCCCAAGTTTCATGAACTTGGGCCTGACTACATGCAGCTATTCCGGTGGGCAACTCGAATGCCAAGGAGCTCTGGATTCCCGAAATATACCATGGCATACATACCATCTACCTGCACTGCTAGAGACGTTGGCTTCTGGGGAGAGTGGGCAGTCTTGGGGTGGCGGCTGGTGCTTTGAGCGACAGAAGCTGAGTACATTGTGGACTGATGGGTCTGGGATTGGTGGGGTTTGCCTTTGGAGAGAAGTTGTGCTGTTGGGGGTTCTATTTGTATCTGGAAGATTTGCACGCAAGCTTCGGCATCGCGGCGGTAGTTCTACGCCATTTTGTTTTTTCAAGTTTTTGCCGTAGACCTGAAGAGCTGTTAGATTCATGAAGCTCAATCCCAGATGGAGACGTACGGCAGTTTCTTTGGTTTATGCGGTCTTGTCTTCGGCGGCGCTCTTTAGCTGATAGCCCTTGCCAGTCGTCACCTGGAGGGAGACTGGACTGTGCTACAGGAATGCGGCCTTCCGTCGCCTGACTGGATGCCATGAATATTCAGTTCAGCTAGGCCGGGCTTACGGAGGCTTTTGGGGGCAATATTGAATTGGAATCAGAGGGGTCCCACGATGGCCTGACGGCTTTGAACTTTAATGCCGCGAGCTGACACTCGGTCTCGGAGTTGACCACGAGCGGGTGTAAGAGACCTCCTGCCCTGCAAATGCCCAGGGCTGAGAGACATATGAGAGAGAACAGACCAAGTATGATCCCTGGGTAATTCATGATAATCAATCTGCGAATCTATGAGGCTCAACCATAAGCCTCCATTAAAGGCCGAAGGCGCAAGGTGCGGGGATTACTTTGGACCAGTCGCGGTCAAGGAGGGTTATTAGTGGGCTCCCTCCCTCTATGGCTCTTTGTGTAAGCCATGAGAGCAGGGTTATAAACCTGAAGCTGGAAATCAAACCTCCTGCGCCCATTGATAGAGTAGGGCAATTGTAATCGTGCTCCAACAGTTCCGCGATAAGGCGGTCACGGGACTGAGGTTGATATCACTTCACTCCGCAGCTCCGCAATCCGTCTGATCTCAACGCACAGCACAAAAATGGCTTCAGTATTACAGGTTTCAATTCGGCGTACGATAGCTAATGCCTCATCAGCATCGCTGAAGGTGCCAGCCCGCCAAATCGCTTCATCGAAGCCCGCATTCTCTCGGTCTTCCCTGGTCGGCAGTAGAGGGTTGACGTCAATTCCACAATGTCGCATGACAGTAGCAGCATCAGGCCGCTTGACCAATACAACCCAACAACAGACCCAGTACCTAAAGATTCAAAGACGTTGGAACAGTGATGGGTCTGGTACACTTCGGCGCTGGGGATTCGAAGAGGTATATGAGCCCGCACCCGCTCTACCGGTCATATCAAACCCCAGTATTCGCAAATCATACTAATCTTTCATGTTGATAGGTCAACGCTGCTCTTCCAAGCGACTCGTCTTCTTCACCCTCCCACAAGCCCGCCATCTTCATCGATGTCCGCGAGCCGGCTGAGCTAAAAGGCACCGGCGTCATCCCCAGCGCTATCAATATCCCGCTCGCCTCGCAGGCGGACGCGATATTCCTTACTGACGATGAGTTCGAAACTCGCTTTGGATTCCCAAAGCCCCCCATGGAAGGAGACTCGCAGCTTGTCTTTTATTGCAAGGCGGGCGTACGGGCAGAGACTGCGGCGCAAATGGCTGTGCAGGCGGGCTATGATCCGGAGCGGGTAGCGGTCTACTATGGAAGTTGGTTGGATTGGGCGAAGAATGGGGGTAAGGTCGAGAAGTGGGAGGGTGATGACTTCTAGGGCTTGACTGGGTTGCTGTGCAAAAATTGGTACATAGTGCAGCTGGTTTTGTCTTGTGGATAGGGTCCTCGGATCCCGCCCATTAGGAGGAAGTATGGGGTGGAATAGCTTGATTCAATAGTCTCTAATCTATCTCTGTACGATGCGCGGAATCCGATTGAACAAAGTTCGTTAAAAAGCAACTATAACAAATAGGTGCTGGTGAAACCAGATCCTCTTTCTCATGTCTGTACAGGCGATTCTTTTTCTTCTCCAGTGCCTTTCCACTTGGATCGAAGTCGTCCATAGAATGTCCATAGCGCAATCAAAGCAAACAACTTTTCATTTTTTGATGGCAAATGTCGTATCTCGGCGACCTATGGCGACACCGCAGTATCATGAGACATGCCATACCTAGGGGCCATGAAAGACAGACCACGCTGAATGCTCAGTGATATAGCAGGGTCGTCATAGGGACGTCAAGACGGTGAACGGGGAATAAGTGGGGACATCACTTTTAGATATCGAGAGCCGCCTGTGGCTGATTTCCATCATCTCACGCTCATGGAATTTCGAAGGTGGATTTAAGCTTCTTGACCAAAGCCCACTCTTCCATGCTGACCTCAGAACGGTAGAACTCCTTCAGTGTATCTATACTAGCACGGGAAATGTGGGAGTATAAAGTGTCCTTCTCCTCCAGCTGGCGACCATACATCGGTTGGTTGGGACCCTCGATCTTGACGGCAACTGAAGGCTGACCCTTTTTGCAGACAGGGATCGCCTTGTGGTCACGTTCGATAGATGTGCTTTTTGACCAGTTAGAAAAAAAAAATTCAGAAAAAATGGGGAGGTTAACATGAGATAACAGAACTTACACTCTGCCAAGGTCCACAACCTCTCGCACACCGGCGCCGTTAACGCGGATCGCAGCCAGGGGCGTATGCATACGCAGACTTCCCTCAAGAACATCAATACCAATAACGATGGGGTCTTTCTTGTTGAAGACAGCAACGGGCTGAATCACACAAGGGAAGACAGCCAGCAACTTGCTCTCCTCCTTACGCTGCTCGGTCAGCTCAGCCATGTGCTTAGTGAAGTCATCGAACAGGTGGTAGATAATGTCTGCAGTGAAGATTTTGACACCGACTTCCTGCGCATACGCTGCGGCATCCTTGTCAACCTTGACATCGAAACACAACATGACTGCGTATTCCTTAGCCTTCTCCAACATGGTTCCAGCCATCATGACATCACGCTTGTACACAGGGCCAATGGAAATGTTAGCAACTGGAATCTTGGAAACCTTCAAGACTCGAGGAGGGCTTCTAGGGAACCGAGGGTGGAGGCCTGGACGGTGACACCACGGTTGTCGGTGGAGACACGGCTCAACAGAGTCTCAAGATCAGACATGACCTCTTCCTCCAGGTCTTCCTCGTCATCATCAGGACCAACGACCAGAAGTCGGGAACCGGCGATGGCATTTTCGAGGTCGTTGGCAGCAATTTTAACACCGAGAGCGGCCTTGACCTCCTTGTTGTGTACATACTGGGACTTCAGACGAAGTTCCTTGAGTGGTGCCGGCGTTAGCAATGCTCGAATATTCGTCGTAATTGGTCCATTGAGACCACACAGAACGATTCGATCACCCTCGCGCAGAATACCGTTCGATAGAACAACGTCAATAGTAGTACCGAGACCCTCGATGACTTTGACTTCAAGGACAGTACATTCGACCTCGGAAAGGTACATAAGCGAGTTGGTCATACGCTCCTGCGTCAGGGTAGTGAGAAGCTTAAGCATGTCAGGAACACCCTCACCAGTGTGAGCAGAGGTAGGAACCAGAGATACATTGCGAGCCATAGACTTGTTCTCGTAGAAAAGCTCAGAGTTGAAACCCTGCTCGGCGAAGGCGAGCTTGGTCGCGTCGAGACGAGTGCGGAATTCGTTCTGGACACCCTTGTTCTGCATCATCAAACTCTCCTGGAAACCATTGTTGTCGATCTTCTTCCATCCATAGAGACGATCGATCTTGTTCAGGGCCACAATGAAGGGAGTCCGGCGGTCACGCAGTAGGCGCATAGACTCCAGGGTCTGGGGCTCGAGACCGTGCATAATATCAACAACCAGAATGGCAATATTACAGAGGGATGAACCTCTTGAACGCAGGTTAGAGAAAGATTCGTGGCCAGGAGTATCAATGATCAGAAGACCGGGAATCTTGAATTCAAAGGCGCCATCCTTGTTCACGACGGCAGTCTTTTGCTTCAGAGCGTCGACTGGGAAGTATGTGGCACCAATCTGTTGGGTGATACCACCAGCTTCGCCTTCTTGAACGTTGGTCTGACGGATCTTGTCCAACAGCTTAGTCTTTCCAGTGTCGACGTGACCAAGAATACAGCAAATAGGGAGAACGCAGGTCATCCTTTGAACGCGCAGCCAAAGCCTCTTCGTGTTTCTTATTCCTTCGCTCTGCGGCCTCAGCTTTCCTTTGCGCAATGGCTCTCTGATTGGCACTCTGCTCTTCGTCTTCGGACTCTTCGGATGAAGAGTCATCGGAGTCCTCATCAGATTCTTCGTCATCCTCTTCGGCGGGCTTAGCGTCGCCATTTGCAGCAGGCTTCTCCTTCTCCTTCTCCTCTTCTTCATCGGAAGGTGCATCCCAGGAATCCTTGACATCGTCAGCCTGTTCAGCGGCAGCCTCCCAGTCATCTTCGATGTCATCTTCTTCAGACTTCTTGGCGGCGGCGGCGGCAGCGGCAGCAGCTTCGGCCTTGGCCTTCTCCTCGGCCTCCTTCCTCTTGCGCTCATCCTCAGCCTCGCGCTGCAAACGAGCCCGCTCAGCGGCAGCCTCAAGGTCGTCTTCTTGCTTCTTGCCACCCTTCTTCTTGCGGTGCTCATAGACAGGGCGCTTCTTCTCGGCACCGCCTTCTTCGAGACCAGCAACCTTGCCCACACCGGCTGCGAGCATCTGCTGCATGCGCTTTTCATTGCGCTCCTTGGCTTCCCTTTGAGCCTTGGTGAGAAGCTTGCCCTCTTTTACGGAGCTGCTCCTTCTTTTCACGCTCTTTCTCCTTCCTGCGTTGGCGGGCTTCCTCACGCTTGGCTTCTTCCTCTGCTTCGAGACGCTTCTGCTCTTCAAGAGCAGCCTTTTCCTCGGCGGCAAGTCGCTCTTCCTCTTCACGCTGTTTGCGAAGCGCTTCTTGTTGCTTCTGAAGAGCAGCCAGATGGGGAGGAAGCTTCTTCTTCTTTCCGGTATCCACAGGCGCAGCTGCCGGTGCGGCTTCATCCTTCTTAGTCTCAGCGGCCTTGGCGGGTTCGGCCTTCTGTGGAGCTGGAGCATTCTTCTTCTTCAAAGCAGCCTGGGTAGAATTTGATCAGCTACTAGCCCGAATGATTAGTGACCAGTTCTTATGTGTTCAAACATACCTGTTCCTTCTTTCGCTGCTTCTCACGCTCCTTTTCTCTTTTTCCTTCTCCTTCTTAGACTTGACCCGGAACCCACCATCTTGTTCTTCTTCTGCAGGAGGTGGAGGAGGAGGGATGTCCTTGATCGGCTTCTTGGGCTTTCCTGCAAATACATCATCCTCGTCAAATGTGCCCTCCTCGGGAGCCTTGGATGCCAAGTCTCCCGCAGGATCCTCGCCCTCGACAAAGTCGTTTGTTACCTTGCCCTTCTTAGCCTTCTTAGCCTTGTTCTTGCGTAGAGCCGCCATCAAGCCACCCCCGCCAGCTTCCTCTTCAGCAGCACCGTCGGCTGCGGGCTCTTCGTTTGCAGGAGCATCGTTCGTAGGAGCGGACTCGCCGAGGTCAGCTTCCCAGTCCTCCTCTTGGCGCTTTCCTCCCTTCTTCTTGGGTGCCATCTTGTCGGGTTGGTGATAAGAGGTTGTTCGGTATCCGGCTCGTGGGGCGATCGGAATAGTGGGCGCACAAACGGAGCTAACCGTTCACTTGCGTTTTGCGTTTTGTGTAGCCGGAGGGGTTCGCGGCCACAGACTCAAAGGTGGTATTTTAAAAAAAGAGTCTTTTCTGTCAAACTCTCGTCCCCGGTCAAAGAGGCTTGGGGTGGTGGACCTTAGAGAGGGTTGAAAAAGAAAAAGAGAATTTCGGGGAAGAATCAATAGTGGGGAATTGTGATGGAGTCTGGCTGTTCCAGGATTGCCACCCGCTACAGGCAACTAACTGAACATGAGCTCCCCCTCCTCCCGCAATAGTTGATTTTTATATAACGCTACTGCTGTATCCAGGATATATATGCTTTGATGTTAATTTTCGGGATTGACGGTTTGGATTCTGTAAATGGCGCTCGCTTTACTGATTAATTGTGGCTCTTGCTATTGGGTGTAGACCCGCATCGTGGAAGTACAGAACAGCAATATTATTTTTCGGCATCATTTAACTAGCCAAGCCAACGCTCTACTACTTATGCTGCACTCCATACTAGTAGCTCACTAGAACAAAAGATGAGTGATATCCGATCTACCTTCCTAAGTAGGTCCTAGGTCGACCTCGAGCAGACTAGCCAGCCAGCAGATGACAGCCTCTCCGCTATGCTCCTCTCCTAAAGCCCGAGCGGCCAATTCATCAAAGGTCTTCCTCGCTCTATCACCCCCTGAGTTGGCATCTAGTTGGCCAATAAGGGAGGAAAGATAACTCGGACCGCGACTGACGAGGCGAGAAAGTACATCACCATCAATATGCGCCCCATGTACATGTAGAACAAGCGGATTCTTCAACCGCTTCCCACGCTTGATGGATGGGCAAATCTCCTTATCCCCTATGCAAAGGTTCTGCAAAAGTTGCAGTAAGCACATTTGCTTTTCGTCGGGGAGGAAGAACCGCACGACAGACCTTGGACGGTAAAACCGTACAAGTTTTCATCATTCTTGGACCCCGCCACAAATTGCAACACGGACTCTGCTAAATTGGCAGTTGGATGGGAGCTAGTCAAGGTCGTAATGTTTTCCCCTGCCGAATAGCTATCCGAGATGGGAGATGCACTGACTCGACCTCCGCGGTGGCTGGAGAGCATCACAGGTTTGGATCCGTGGAGGATGTGAGTCAGTCCGTCTCGTGTAACGGGGTCCCAGGAAGCCAGCGCCAGTGTTGCGCCTTCATTTGAATCGCTTGTGCTTTCAATAACCTCGAAAACTATCCATGAATGACGGGCGGTCATCACATAAATGTGCACATCGTGGACAACAATCTTGATAGCAGTGGAAGGGAGGTTGCCCACAGCATTCCGGCGCCATTTCGTCAATGAGCCCTTGGCTCCCATTGGGATCAGTCGGTTCCCCGAACCGATGAGAATACTATCACCGTACGACGCTAGAGCACGAACCGGACTTCCCAAGTCTCGGACAAACTGCGTGGTGCACTCGATATGTGATGGCTTGGTTGCATCTCGACGTGGGAGAAGTAGGATCAATCTGCCTTGTCCAGGCTCGGCAGTAGATACACTGGGCAGTGTTGTACCTACTGCGAGCATGTGGTATGTCTTCCCTTCTTTCTCAAATATCCAATCGAGCATACAACTGATGATTTCACCGCGTGATGATGTTGGTCTCCATGGTGAATTCATGCCCCCATGTACCACTGGCATCTGAGAGTCGGGGTCTACAAACTCGATGTGTGACCGCGTAGTTGTGACAAATGGAGACTCTGGGTCTTCTACCTCCAGAGTTTCATAGGCTACGACCAGAGATCGTAGCATAGGCGAGTATGTAAGCTTTTGGGCCTTTCCTGGTAAGTCAATACGGCGTGGAACCATCTTCATTTCATGGTGCAAAGAGCAAATCAGGAGTTGTCTGTCGGCAAAACAGTACAGAGGTCCATGTACGTCTCCTTTCCTTGCTGCATCGGCATACGGCCAAGCAAGGTAGAAACTACGGAGGGCAACAGGAAAGTATGCAGGCTGTGAGAATCTCAGACTATGGTTCCTATTGGATGAGATGAGAATTCAACTTACGTTGTTTTGATCCGTAACCCACACCCTTCGGATATGATACTTGGTGTTAGGAAGCCCATGATCAAATGACACAATCCAAAGTTCGTCGCCACAAGTGAGAAGAGCAAAAGTGTGCTGGCTTTGCAGCCGAACAGATGTTGTTCCCAGGCGAGTTGCTTCTATCTGCCTCATTTCTGTATGAAACACATCAATATACGACTCATCTTTGTCATTCGAACCAGTCAACGTACCAAGTCCACCATTCCCATAGCTGATGCCGAATGAGACGACCAGACCGCTGCGTAGGCCACAGAGCAAAAACACGTTGGGGACACTCTCTGGCGCATTTTCAATAGCTGCCATGCTTTCCACAACTGTCGACAGATCAGATTCATGCTCACCACTAAGTGAGACGGACGCTTCAGAAATTTGAACTATCTGGTCTCCTATAATCGAATATACCACGATTGACCCATTTGCACAGCCCATGAAGACGAACGCTGAATCTGCAGAGTTGAATGAGCATAGGCAGACAGGTTGACGTTCGCCTATATGAAGATGGCTCCCGATTTTCAAAGTGGGATTTCCCTGGGTACTCTCGATCTTGATGGGGTGGATCGATATCTCGTCTGCAGTTCTTGAAAGGATGACGAGGATTGAGTTGTAGGAATGGAGTGCTACTGCAATGATATATGTGTCAGGTTTATGACCTTGGACGGTTTTCCACTCAATATTGCGGCTGTCGAACGCATGAATACCCTTTTCGGTGACTTGGACGACAACGCCCGACTGCGTTTCTCCAGCCAGCAAGGTCCTGCCACTGTCAAATCCCGTATCGTCCTCGTCGAGAGCAGTTATTCCTTCTTCCACCGCCATGTTGGTGTAGAGCACAAGTGTAGAAAGCGGGTCAGACAGCAGGATGAATTCACCACCACCGTGATGCGGAATGATCCACATATCGTGAATGCTTGAGAGGTCCTCAAGAGGCACTGTGATCCCTAATGGAGCTTCAACTCCCCATCGGTATTCATACAGCGCGCCTTGCTTTGGATGTGTTTCAGAGCATGTGAAAAGGCGGTTCTGAGCAATGCTTCCCTGGCTAGTGCTGTGAGAGCCCGGGACAACCATTGCTGCATCCTTGGTCGGGGCCCAGTTGAGGAACCGCTGGACGCATTTCGGGCCAGCTCGTGCTTCTTGAACGAAAAGTCCTCCGTCACCAGTACTACCCGCAGCTAGAATGAAATCACCACCTTCGTGGCCCATGTCAAGAACATCGAACGCAGTATCAACATCACAATGAAGTTGCCCTAGAGAGGTCTGGGCTTCCAGGTCTCCTTCGTTTCCGAACTCAAGGAGATAAATCCAGCCGTCCTCTCGACAAAGGTAAATCCCGTCATGGCTCCGATTGTAGAGCTCATTGCGTGCGGGTCGTGCCCATTGAGTCCAGATCGAGGCAGCACTGATATCGGAGTTCGGAGCAAGCAGGGGGTATCTCTTCGGTCGATCTTTCCCATCCCATGAGTAAACTGCCATAGAGGTAGTGGTTACCACCAAGAAAGAAGATTTCTTTGTCAGTGGGACAATCATCGTAGGCAGCATATCCCGGTCTCGTAACTTGAATTTGTTCTCAATTGGAGGAACCTTCATAATATCCTTGTCTTCCTGCCAAGTATAGGTGATTGCACATGTTTCACCATCTTGATCAGCAATGATCAGTAGAGTGATGCTCTTGTCACGATCACTGCCGGGATAGAGAAATTCCATGAATAGGATATCACCTTCGATTTTCATGAACCGCTCCTGCGTCACATTCCTCTCGTCAGTTAAATTTTTATCTGAAGATAAAATGGGCTTTTTCGGAAACCTACATGTTGAATGTGATCCAGATCACGTTCACTCATATGCTCCTGAATTTGATCCGCACTTTTAAGCCTGAAGATCCCGAAAAAGTCATTCCACGCAGATACTGCGATCGCGCGAGATCTACGTATCATTAGCTCAATAACCCGCGGATGGTCGGAGGAAGTCACTGCTTACTTTGGATCAACAGCGATGCTTTTTCCAAATCTCTGGTCCAGGCTTACATCGACCGGAAGGGGCCGACGAAAGGTCACAAATTCATCCCCATTTTTATTGTCTGGGCTCGGCAGGCAGTAAAGGAAAACTAGCTCCCTGAGGTCGACGCAAAGAACGAGTATTTCAGATGGTAATTGGTCGTTGTTGTCTCCAATCTGGCTGACCAAAGGAAGTTGCTTGGCGACATTGAGGACTTTGGCAGCAACAATAGGGCCGCCGAAATCAGTCTTTTCCGCAACATCTTTAAGATAGCCATCTGCTACAGCTTCCTTGATTTGGACCCGTCTTTCGCTGACGAGAACGACATCGTTATGGTCTTTGTTTCGAATCCGTGCGGGAAGAATCCATTTGATAAGTGGACTGGGTAGAATTGTTTGTGAGAATAACCCGGGAACTGAAACGGACTTTGAGTTGCCTGGATGTGTTCTGGACGCAGGCCCATTCATTTTGCCTTGTGGGGTTCAGGTTGCAAAGTCCTGATAAACAGAAAGCTTTAAGAAGCAATTAGGACGAAATAATGTGGGATCAGAGTGCAAGTCTGAAGATTGTTTAAAGCGTATGGTACAACCAGAAGCAATGCTGGAGGCCACTTCGCGGCGATCGATCATAAACGTGCGGAAACAGGCTGGATGCTCGACCCCCTGGCAGCCAGAAGAGCGGCCAGCTAGTATTCACTCGGCATGAAGCAAAGTCCTCCCTCTTGCAGTAATATCAGTAGCCTTGGTTTAATGAAATGTCGTGGTCTGTGCTTCGGTCGACCATGCTAGGACGATATAGCGCACGGGCATCGAACACGAGAAGTCGACGGCTTGGAATGGCTTTACCCAAACTCGGGCAAGGCTGAGAACTTGAGGACCTTAAGCCAGATGTATTAATGATTGATAATGCCAAAAGTTCTCGATGACGAGCGACTAGCATCGAAGCATTCTTCTCATAGGCTGAAAGGCGGATGAGCACGATGCTCCGGACGATCCACGGCCCTCACGAGGGAGTAAATTTTCCGACCACAGATCCCACAGGGGCCCTGCAGACTGGTGCAGTTATGAATCCTAGAAGGATTTGATTCAGTTCCTCTTGCTGCAATCTCCTGAGCTGTTCAGCATAGCTGTAATGTTAGAACCTCAGAGTGTCGTTAGCCAAGGTGGAGGAATCACGTTTGGGTTCGTGCCTAAGGCCCAAAGGCGGGATCGCGTCTATCTCCGCCTGATACGCCGATCTGCTCTTCTTCCTAAACTTCTTCACTCCTTCTGGATCGAAATTACAGTACATTGCCCGGCAGATTCTGAAAATTACCGTTCCTAGTTTATCGCTTTGCACCTGGTCGGAAGCTGCCCCTGTGCTGATACCAAATCGATACCGCCTTTGTTGTATCGTTAATAAAGTCCAGACCCGGTCTATATTGATGATCCGACATCGAGATATTCCGCACTCTGCACTTCCTGCTCTCTGAAACGTCTACCATCCGGGTCGATTAAGGTAGTGGACCTTTCAACTGCTGAACAAGCAATGGGTTCCTCAATCCTTGGGTCTGACGATAGCACTGCAATGGACGAGTCTGTCGATATCAAGCCAGAGAATCCCTTTGCGTCATCCATTGGTTTATCTGAGGCGGATCCAAAGGCCCAGGAGCGAGAGGCTATCATGCTTGCAAAAAAAGCAGAGATCCTGGACGCTTGCAATTCCCGTGATGTGGATGCATTGATTCGCTGTGCCACTACCGAAGGGGGTTTACTTGAGGATGCGCTCCGCCAAAAAGCTTGTGAGTCAACTTAAAGAAGCCAATTCTGCATAAGGCATTCATTGATGCGCTTCAACAGGGCCGATTCTTCTTCATTGCGACAAGAATAGCCTGTCGGACCTGAAACCTATTCAAGACCTGCCGCCACATACAGATGAGGAGCAGGTAAAACTTGACGTGGATCGGTCCTTTGTCTACTACCCCAATGATCTGACAGAGCAGGAAATAACAGAAAAAAAGGATCAGTTGGAAGTCGTGATTCTGAAGATCCTGAGGAATTATCCGATGCTATGCTACTTCCAAGGATACCACGACATTGTCCAAGTTTTTCTATTGGTTTTGGGAGAGCAACTCGCGGTTCCTGCAATAGCTCGTGTCTCTTTGTTCCGCATCAGGGACTACATGCTTCGTACCCTCTCGCCAGCTATCAAACACCTGGAGCTGATACCTGCTATTCTTGAAGCGACTGATCCTCCCCTTCGACAGCATCTTGCTGACATCCAACCATTTTTCGCCTTGGCAGCTGCTCTCACTCTGTACGCCCATGATATTTCCGAATACAGCGATATCTCGCGACTGTATGATTTTCTGCTGGCCAGAGAACCTGTAGTCGCGATATACTTGTTTGCGGAGATCATAATTTCTAGAAAGAAAGAGCTCTTGGATATTCCTATAGACGAACCAGAGATGCTACATTTTACCCTCTCGAAACTTCCGCAGCCGCTTGATCTAGACGGTCATATCCTGCGCGCAGAACAACTTTTTAAAGTCAATCCTCCCGAGACATTGCCCCATGGAGTATGGAAACGTATCTCTCGGTATAGTGTCTTAAAGACTTCTCGAGATCAATCACAGTCACAGACGGTCGAGAACGCCTTGAAGCTATTTGGTCTTCAAACACAACAACTGCGGAACGAGGAACGCCGCAAACAGGCTCTTGGCCTAGCATGGAAACACCGACGAACAATCGGCTCTGTAGCATTAGCTCTCCTCGTTGGCGCGGCTTCGATCTACCTGCGCCGGAAAGGCCTGGATTCAACTATTTGGTCTTATGTAGGCCGGATCCAAGCTTTTTTTCTATAAGCTCAAAATTTGATAAAACCTCAATTCTCTCAGAATTATGCCTCCAATTCAAGTTTGAAGCTGTCTATGTCTATCGAGTTATTGTACATTATTAAAGGGTCTGGACTAATGCGTAAAATGAATTCGCAGGCAAAATTTGAATGAAATGGGTCGCAAAAGGACCCAATGTTTCGCAAGGTGTCGTGTTGTTGATAGAGATTCCAACATTGGAATTTGTTTCTGTTATTGAGTTCTGTAGAATAGTTCATCACGAGGTAGCATTGGAGTTCTCCACTGCTTTTGAACAAATCTATATATTAAGCTTAGCCGCACTAGGATTTCATCATTTCGTTTGAGCCGCGACGTTGCGACCATCCCTAAGTGACAACGATAAAATCCTAGTATTCGAAGGTAATATTGTACGAATAACTTGAAACAACTGTGCCTTATTCCTGGTGATTTATTCTACCAAATGCGACTTCTGAGGGGACTTCGGAAAGAACGTAATGTCGTATTGCCCTTAGAACCCGCTGGTGGCTGAAGTGTGGCGCACGTCCGCGGAAAGTCCATGTGTACACTTCCCCATCCCCGATATCCACCACCTCCACTTACTCAAACTATCACAATGGCAAACCGCGGTTACGACGTCGTAGTGGACGTGGACGCAGAGGTAAGACTCAATTCTGCAAAGAACCTGACATCCCATTCTAATTTATCAACAGGGCGACCTCGGGCATACCGACCTGCAAGAGGACCTTGAGTTCCACCCATCCAGTGAGTTGCGCCGACTCCAAACGAAGAAGCAATATTCCCGCTCAAGCGAAGAGTTTTCTGACCATTGGAAACTTCTCTTTTCTGTACCTAGACTTTGAAAACGACCAACGAAGCGCCAAAGCGGGCGCCGACTCAGCTCCATTCCTAGGCGGCAGCTCCTCTCGAGGACGCGACCGATCCCCTGGTGGCACTCCCACGAAGCACAACTGGTGGTCCATTCATTACTATGAACAATATTTTGACGTGGATACGAACGAAGTCCTTCGCCGCTGCTTGGCAGCCCTGTACCCCCGCTCTAATTTCCTGGATGTGTTGGAAGGCAACGCCGATCTTTACGGGCCTATCTGGATCGCAACCACTGTTGTCGTCATTTTGTTTTTAACTGGTACCATTTCGCAGTGGCTGGCAAGACATGACGACGACCACTTCGAATATGACTTCCGGTTGCTGTCTGGTGCTGCGGGTCTGATCTACGGTTACACTGGTATCTTGCCAATTGCACTGTGGGGTGCTCTGCGCTGGTTTGGTAGCTCCACGGCCGACCTGATCGAGTGCTGGGCTCTTTATGGTTACTCGAACTTGGTCTGGATCGGGGTTGCGCTTGTTAGCTGGAGCCCGTTGACTGCTCTCAACTGGGCTCTTGTGGGCGTTGGGTTTGCCTGGACAGTGTTCTTCCTTCTGCGCAACCTGTACCCCGTGCTGAATGCCACGGATGCGAAGGCGAGCAAGATTTTATTAATATTAGTGGTTGTGTTGCATGCCGGCTTGGCCATCGCCATCAAGATCCTATTCTTTGCGTGAGCACCGCCCGTTTCTATTATCCCCGTTGAACATATCAAAGCTAACATTATATACCTTAGCCATGCGAGCCCTGTCTCTAAGAAAAACAAAGACCACGATGACGATGATAAGAGCCGAATGTTCTAGGCATATACATGCCCTATTGCCCATGAATTCGATAGGGAGGTTGACGATCTTGATCCTATTTCGGTGTCGTATCTTATTACAAGTATGGGTGTAAAGAAGACCGCCGGGTTACTGTACTTCTATTTCCAGCTGTTGACGGCTTAGCTTTCTATCAAAACTGAATTTCTAACTTAATCCCTACTAATCTCTTACTAGTAAAAGATTATTGAATGGTACTCCTTTAATGCCATACCGGATATGCCCGAAGGAGTGAGCTTGCGAACCTTCATTTGACTTTACATGACGATGCGTCAGTGAATAGAGTGAATCAGGTTGTAGTGAATCGAGTTGTAGTGAATCTTCACTCCTGCTAAGTCGAATATAAGTACTTATAGATGCTACAGCTAGGTATGCCATTGTTTCCCTTCCTGCAGAGATCAATCATCATTACAGTCGCTACTTCTAGCAATATTGATTGATACTGAAAATGTCTCCAACCAAGGCTCCTCCCGTGACATCGGCGACTCGCCAGTCTACCGCCACTGGCAAGAGTGGCGTTGAGAAGTCTCTCCGCCACACGCCGATGTTCACGCCATTCCCCAACTCCCCTCCTAGGGTGGTTCGAAAGGTTCGAGTCAAGGGGCCTCGCAAGACAGCTACCCAAAATGCTGCCATTGCCACTGCCTGTCCCACCAGTGGCACCACGGCTTTGAAGCACTCTGCCAAGGCAAAGAAGGCAAAGAAGGCGAAGGAGGTGAAGAAGGTATGGGACCCATCCTCGGAAATTACAAATAGCAATACTAATCTAAAGCGAAAGACCGCAAAGCCGTACGACGAGAAGAATCTTCTCGCGTATAGCGCCGCGACGAAGAAGCGCCTCAATGAGGTGAATGTGATCTTCGGATTGAAGGGGACGAAGGACATCGTTGTTTTTGGGGGAACGCATCTCCCAAAGAAGGACGGCTCCAATGTGAAGCCATGGCAGAACATGTACTAGTAGTAGTACTAGTAGTTCAAGAAATCCGAGTTCCTGGCGACAATTTGAGGTGAGATGGGACTCCATTCACAATTTCTTAACACCACTAGAGCGTAGCAGACTTGGAAGGTGTCTAAGTCTCCATACTGAAGAGCATTACGTAGAGATATAGAGAAGCATGAGGGTAGTAATTGGACATTTTCAACTTTTACGTCAATTCATGGATTGCGACTTGGACCCCGAGAGGAGCCCACTAGAAACAGTATGACGGTGGCTGTGATTATTTCATCATTTCTAACGCCAAATAAAAACCTCTCCGGGTCGCATCCCAGCCAACCCCCAGACCTGGAATCTGCGCCACAGCACACCGAGCACAACAAACGAATAGCGAGTCGTCTATTTCAACTTCTTCTTGGGACGGAGCTGGTTGGTGTGACCGCACTTCTTCTTGCGGCAGTTGGTGGCACGGGGAGGAAGACGGGCCTGGAAGTCATGTTAGCTGAGCAGTTCGAGCAAGATAGGGTATGCTGGCGCGAAGCATGTCGGTAGTTTCGGGTTTCAGCATGTCAGAGGAACGTACGTAGCACTTGCGGCAGATGGACTTGTCGCAGTTGTACTTGGAGGCGAGGGCCTTGAGGGAAGGCTCGATGATACCACCACGCAGACGGAGGACAAGGTGAAGGGTGGACTCCTGTAACGTTATTTGTTAGCCACGGTCCCGAATTTTTGATCGACGTATGGCCCGGCAATATTCCATGTCGTCATGTTCCGCCTCTCTCATATGTCAGGGTGAATCGCAGTAGTGTATCGAATCCAACCAGCCAAAAAGACATTCGTGTTTCGTATCCAAAGCCCATCGCATGATCGAACGGATCTCAAATCAAAAATTTGGCGTACCTTCTGGATGTTGTAGTCGCTCAGGGTGCGGCCATCCTCAAGCTGCTTGCCAGCGAAGATCAGACGCTGCTGGTCAGGGGAATGCCCTCCTTGTCCTGGATCTTGGACTTGACGTTGTCGATGGTGTCGCTCGACTCGACGTCGAGGGTAATGGTCTTACCCGTCAGGGTCTTGACGAAACTGTGCCATCCGTGTTAGTCTCCTATATCAAACTGGTTCTCCGATTTCCGTTGTGCAGTGTGTTGGAAAGTGACGGGTGTCTGGGGACGAATTCGAGATCGGAGTATATTCGGGGCTCTGAGGGACCTACATCTGCACTGAAAGCACGAAAAGAAAGAGATGTTAGTTCACAGTGTTCATAAGCATGATAGATAACCATTTGAGCGACTTTAAGGCACGTACTGGTTGCGAGTTTTCGTTGGTGTCGGCGGTCGGTCGCTGTGTTCGATGCGGGAGAGGCGACGGTCAATTTGGTTTCTCGCTTATTCTGGGTGGAACCGGCGAGCCTGAGTGCACTTACCCTAAACCCTAACAAGATCAACACCGTTTTGGGAAGGTCCCCACTTGACACCTTAGGCCTCCAGGTACAAAACCGGTCCATCATAATGATATCAGCACATGCAGCATTGATTCCAAGGGTTTTGCTTGTAGGGCTAGGTCAGGATTTTCACAGATATAGATGAATGTCGTGTAAGTCACGCTGAGGTCAGCTTGTCTTTGTCCTTCCCCTCCAAGCTCATAGCGTCAGAATAAAAAGTCTAGGTATGTCACATGACCATTCTAGGCTTCGTAGCTCAGTTGGTAGAGCGTCAGATTCGTAAGTTGATTCGCCACTGTAGGCCTTGTTCTGCTTGTTCTAACACCCCCTTTCAGCAATTCGGATACATCTGAATGTCGCGTGTTCAAGTCACGTCGAGGTCAATTTTTTTACCCGTCACCCTTTCATTCTAATCTTACAATATTCAGATACTTTGAAATGAGTGCAGGATATCATATCGGCTTAACGGAAAATCTGAGAGACTTCCAAACATACAGAGAAAAATGAATGTCTCGCAGTGGTTTCCTACTTCTATACATGGGCCGCAAGATTATGGGGTCATCATCTGAGCAGAAGAGTCTATTGCCTAAAAGATTCTCTGGGATTCTCCGCTTGGGCGTGTCACCGCAGACTCATTGAGCGAATCTGACTGACGCCAACTCTCATATGTTCGGACCAGAGCACAGCCTGCTAAACATCCAGTTCTAATAGTTGCCCTTGAAGCTCCTCTAGGTTCTCTTCGTTCACATCGTGTTCAACATTTTCCCCTTCATAGCGATCCTCACTGTCGTCTTCGCTGGCAGCATCTTCCAATCCGTCGTTCATCTGACCCGGCCGTCGCCGCCTCTCCTGCCAATGTGCAAGTCTCCATTCAGCAACGGTCACTGCCCGGAAGAGCGTCGAAAAGGATACGCCAGCAAGCCGTGCAGCGAGTTCGTAAAAGGGACGAGCAGTGCTAGGAATCGAAGACTCCCATCGATAACGCCGATACCAGCTCCCAGGCCTAGGACATGTATCATTCGCATCCGGCCTAACTGCTATGGGTGATAGGCCTTCCATGACTGTTTGCAATAATTCATTGAGAGAATCTTCTTCCTTATCAGGAGTACTTTGAGGCTTGAGCGCAGACAAGTTGTCCGAACTGACCTCTGGTCCCGCTCGTGAGATAGGAAATAGCTCCGCAATTGGGTTCGCAGGCCTGGTAGTGTCTCGCCAGCTCTGTTCGTACCAGTCCATGTACTCATCGAGCTGGTTTGCGGTCATATTCAACACGTCCGTGTCGGATACTTTGATCATCATCTCTTTGCCGATGTTTCCATCAGCATGTGGATGAAAGTCAAACTGCCTTTGAGCATGTGCCCAACGTTCCCAGTCCATGGCCTGGGCGCTAGGTTCTTTTGGAGTGGCCGGGTTCCGCAGAATATCATCGAAAGGGAAAAGTAGCTTGGTAGAAATGATAACAAGTACCATTATTTGGACTTCTGGTTGCCGGAGTACTGGCCTCTTCCGATCAAAATTGGCAGCATATTCAAAGTTGAAGCCAAGAAGGCCTCGTAGGGTCTTGGTGACCTCATAAACATCAACTTTGCGAAGATTAGCTTCGATGAAAAGTAGATGAGAGATAGGATCCCAGTAGGATAGATACATACTGGGAATGGCGAGCCTTTTGATGTAGCGATAGGTGATAATTGGGTAATTCAACCGCGGAACTGCGAGTTCGAAGCGCCGACGGTAGTAGAGCACCAGGTCTTCAAACCCACGATGAAGAGTTTCCACGTCAGGTAAACGCTTCAGATGTGGTTAGCCCTTTTGAAATTATCTAATGACAGGTTGATTCGGACAAGCTCACTTGGACATCCAGGAGATTTGTAAACTCTGGGGGGCAGTTTGTCCCTCGTCTCGCGTGGAACAGTTCTTAAGGCTCGAATGTATGGTATCTCTTGCCGCACGATCAATCTATCAACGGTAATTAGCACGAGGAGGGATTCTGACCACCGAGAGTCTCTAGAAAACCAGAACATACCGATAAAAATCATTAACGCAGACCGGAAGTCGCATCAAAATGGCAGCCAGGTAGCAGAGGGCAACAGTATCAAGCATACGAGGCCACTCAAGATACTTGCCGCCCACTTTGACACCTGTTTCATCAGAAGATTCTGCCTGCGAACTGAAAAGCTCAGGACCATCGGTGTCGTTACTCTCATGATCTTCGATTTGATGAATCCTTGATGAGTACATCCGGACTCGAAGAGCCCAGAGATCACGAACAACCCCTTTTGCAACTTGTCAGGCCAGAATTCCCATATATGACAAGCTCTGGAATGATTACCTCTATTTGATCTGGAAAGCCCTGCTCATGAATTAGAGCATGGCACTGTTTCCACAGTATGAACTGGTAGATCTGCAAAAATAGTGCAACTGCTTCTCGACCGCGAACCGCTGCATGAGGGATTAGTATGCAAGCTATACTGCAACAATTGTTCAGCCTTACTCTTGCGGGATCTCTCTTCACTCTCTCTTCTCACGCGGTGCGTCTTGCCCTGTGTGCCGAAGTCATCTCCGTCTTCTTCAACCTGGCGGCCCTGCAAATACATATCAACTATCTGACTCCAGAATGTTCACATCGCTCAGGCGCCTTGCGTTAGACGAGCAGGCGGAAACCAGGCCATACCTCTTGCAAATGGCCCCGTCGACAGAACCATAGGCCATTATCTAAGTAATATTTTCGTTCACGGCATCCTTCCTGGCCGCAGACACCTCGGGTGACATATTCCATGCCGAGGCGGCTGGATCATTCTGGTTGAGAGACTGGTGACCGGAACTTGAAGTGGGAACTTTTTTTTTTCTGCCTCCCCGCGACCGCGTTTTCTCCGCATATGTAGGTTTGGCAAACTTTCGACTTTTAAACACGGACTTCTGGTTTCTGTTCTTTAAACCCTTCGTTTATTTTGTTCCAAGCGCTAGATGCACTACTAGTCTCGAATGGTCCAAGTTCAACGGATAGAACAGAATATCACCTTACGAAGAGTTCGAGGGATTTTGCGCCCTAGATCTAGTACTACCAACATATCTATCTACCAATCTTATCATACGTTCGTCAAAGTTACCAAGGATCAAGTGGTTGTTTAATTGAAATTATTCATTCGTCGCACTATCATAAGACGCCGAGAGAGACTCAAGAGTCGCTATTCGGATAGCAAGCATCATGCCAACCAAAGTACAAGTCTCGTTAGTGAGACTGCATTCCAGGGCTTTTACATGAAGGATGAGATCCACAAGCAAAAGACCAGTCAATTGCCTGATAGACCAGATCCGCCACTGAGCCATCAAAGCGAATTTTTGAGGGGGACAGAAGCCCCTTTTTTTTAAGAAACGTGACGGTTGACATGACAGGTGGAAGATTTCCAGGAGAAAGCGCTTAGATCTTAGGAGCCTCCTTGGCCTCAATGGCGGCCTCCTCACCCATGGCGGTCTGGATGATGACGTCTGTGAATTATTAGAGAAAGTTCCCTAGAACGGGCGTGTACCAGGTGCAACTTACTGACGTCCTTGCCCTCCTCCTTGAACATGCGAACCAAGCGCTCGCCAACTTCACCCTCGGGAACCTTGACGTCGTCCTTGGTGTCACCGTCATCCTTCAGCAGGGAAAGGTAGTGATCGTCGGTGATGTCGAGCTATTAACGAGATTAGAATTCGTCATGTATACCAATAGACTCGTCGAGAAAGAGACTTACAAGCTGGTACTCCTTGCGGGCGACATTGGGGACGTCCATGTTGTGGGTGGAGGGGGACAGATCCTCAAGCTTCTTGCCGGTGAAGATGTCGGTAGCGACAAGGTGGACCTTGGCGTGGCCGTGCTTGCCGGTCTTGGAGGTAGACATGTCAATGATCTTGCAGGGGCGGCCCTTGATGACGACGTGACCGTTCTTACGCAGAGCAGAGCACTGCATAGGGTAGGTGGTCGCCGCACCAGCATCGGCGGTCTCAAAAGTAACGTCGTGCTAACATATTGCATTAGACCATATCAATCATTCATAAAGCGGGTGGCTCCAAGAGGGGTTGATGCGCCCAAGAGGGAAGTGTTGGCTCCAGATGCGGGGCTGTGAGGCCATACACCCTCTCGAGGTCGATTGGAACAAATGAGGGAAGGGAAAAGGGCGGCATGAATAGATGGAGCAAGCTTACCTCTTCAGCCATGGTGAGTGTGGTTAGGGGGTTTAGGGGGGGAAAGGTTCGGAGAGAAAAGCAAGATGGGAAGTGAACAGAAAGAAGAGGAGATTTCTCGCGCAGAAAAAGGACTTTGTGGTGGGGGTCTGGTCGCTACGTCCTAATCGGGTATAGCGTATCGGGGCGTTCTGTTTAGGCCTTGTTGTCTCCGGATCATCTGGATTAGCTTTGGTGCCACTGGACGGTTATACTGGCTCCTTTTGCTCCGCCCAAGAAATTTCGTCCCTGCTAGCCTATGCCCTCGATCTAGGATTCGAAGATGTGGCGCGACCGCATTTCAGGCCAGTCGACTCCCACTGGCGCAAACCGCAATCCCTCCTTACCCCGGCGATCCTCCTCCCAACTCTCTCGGAGCCCTTATGTCGCTCGTCCGGCTCTGACATCGAGAACCTCGTCCACTTCGCTACTTCTGAGCCCCAATGATTCCAGCGCTTCTCTTCCGGGGATTGGGCGCTCGCCCAATGGCCTAGGAAATAGGCAGACAATTGCTCAGCAGCCGCGCCCGGACGAGATCCCGGATCCATTGGAGGTTTTGAACAAGATCATTCGAAAGGAAAAGCAAGAGAAAGGTTCCCCACAAATATTGGCGCAACCTGGACCTCGACCTGAAGAGCTGATCGAAACGATCGATTTTGGCGACCTGAGCTTGGAGGAGTTTGTTGCAAGAAGAGGCCAATCAGCGCGAAAGCCGAGGAGTAATGACATGAATGCGCAAACGGTGCAGCAATTCGAACAAGAAAGGGATAAATTTCAAGGCCTGCACACTTCAATTAGTGGCTGCGACGAGGTGTCGAAGTCCGTTGAGCTGTATTTAAGTGATTTCCAAAGTGAACTGGGAGCGGTGTCCGCGGAGATCGAAACGCTGCAGACCCGATCGACCCAATTGAATGCGATGTTGGAAAATCGGAGAAATGTCGAAAAGCTACTGGGTCCTGCAGTGGAAGAAATCAGCCTTTCGCCCAAGGCTGTGCGCACAATCGCCGACGGTCCTATGGATGAGAACTGGGTGCGCGCTTTGAATGAAATTGATGCTCGGACTACAAGTATCGAGGCCAAAGCTGCTTCCTCAAGCGGACTCAAAGCCGTGGAAGACATGCGACCGCTTCTCATTGACGTGAAAAACAAAGTGAGACAAAGGATCCCAGGACTCCTAAAGACGTACTAATCAAAGATATAGGCTATCGAGCGGATTCGAGACTACTTGGTGGCTCAAATTCGAGCCATGCGATCCCCCAACATCAATTCTCAGATTATCCAGCAGCAAAGACTGGTCAGATTCAAGGATCTTTTTGGATATCTTCACAAAGTGCACCCCAAGCTCGCTGGGGAAATATGTCAGGCGTATATCAACACTATGCGCTGGTACTATACCTCCAATTTTACTCGCTACCTCCAAGCCCTTGATAAGATCAAGGTATATCCAAGTGATAGGAATGAAGTCCTTGGAGGTGATCCTTCAGCACACAGAACAGGTGAGTCGCCTCCTGATCTTTCTTGTGACGTTAATTAACGAAGGATAGGAAATATCCTCCCTGGCGGCCGAGCTGGCTCTGCCGCCCATGATCCATTCTCTTTAGGGAGACGAATAGACATTCTTCGAAATGCTCAGCAACCTGCCATTTCCTCTTACCTCGCAGAGGAGGACCATGGCTTCCATGGTATTGAAGTGCCATTCCGGAACTTCAATATTGCGCTAGTGGATAATGTATCCTCGGAGTACTCGTTCCTGACCGAGTTCTTTGCTCCTTTGACGTACCAGCAAATTTCACGGAAGGCGGCCGAGCTTTTTGACCAGGTGTTTGCCCTAGGCCAAGCACAGACAAAGAAGCTTATCGAAATGACTACCGATTCCCTGGGGGTCCTTATGTGTGTTCGGCTTAACCAACATTCCGCCTTTGAGCTCCAGCGGCGGAAGGTCCCTGTGGCTGATTCATACGTGAATGGAATCAACATGCAGCTCTGGCCGCGCTTCCAGGTTATTATGGATCTTCATGGCGAGTCGCTCAGGCGCGTTGCGTCCAACACAGGCCGCAGCGCAGTCTCGGCCCTCTCGATTGCTGGTGGGGACGACCTGAAAAACTCATCGGCGCCCCACTTCCTCACCCAGCGGTTCGGCCAGCTTCTTCACGGCATTCTCGTTCTCAGCAGTGATGCCGGTGATGACGAGCCCGTGTCAAACAGTTTGGCGCGTCTACGCTCGGAGTTTGATACTCTGTTGACCAAACTCAGTCGGAACGGCACCGATGCTAAACGTCGAGAGCGTTTTCTTTTTAACAATTATTCGTTGATTCTCACCATCATTAGTGTACGTTTCTCTTTGGCGTTTCACTTCTGTACCGCGCTGACCCATTTCCAGGATACCCAAGGCAAGTTAGCGACTGAGCAAAGGCAGGTAAGTTCTACTTCTGGCTATTTCAACCGTGGGCAGTTGCTAAACAATGTCACAGCATCTGGAAGAAATGCTCAAGAACTGCAACAAGCGTTAATGACAGAGTTGTAATTTTTGTTGAGAATAGGCGCAATAGGGGTTTAGAATATCCTGAATATAACAAGCTTAATATGAGAATATCATATCTTTTTCTAGTATACCCTGTTAGAGCTCCTTTTTTTTCTGGGCGGTGGAGCTCGGTGGGTCGGCGATTTCGCCGAGCAGCGGGGCCTCATCTTATCTTTAGCAATTGGTCCCTCGAGACTGCAGTTGTTTCCCCCCAATGTTGGCGCGTGGAATCTTGAGGAGGGGCCCTGCAGTGTACCGGTGCTTCTCAAGCACTCGGGTGGCACCCGCAGACTTCACTCATGCCGTGAGTTTTCTCTTCCTGAACTCCTATAGGGAGCTCGGCGCAAGGCCATCAACATAGCAAAGGCACTGGCACATGAATTTCTCAATTGACTTGGAATAGGTCATTGGCGCAGGGGTCGTTGGACTGGCGATTGCCAGGAAACTCGCAGGCCACGATGGCACCTCGACAATTCTTCTAGAGCGACACGACGCGCCAGGAACTGAGACAAGCAGCCGCAACTCTGAGGTGAGTTCCCTCGAGCATTGCATGCCAACGGTGCAAAGAGCCCGCGGAACAAGCAATCCCTTCAACTGACGACAGGAAAAATACTAACCCAGTCCTCATTTGGAGAGAACAGGTTATCCACGCTGGCCTCTACTACCCCGCCGACTCCCTGAAAACAAACCTCTGCATTCGCGGCCGCAACATGCTCTACGAGCTCTGCGCCAAGCACAACATCCCGCACCGCAACACCAAGAAATGGATCGTCGCCCAAACCCCCGAGCAATGGGAAGCGTGTCTCCGTGTCCACGAGCACGCGCAATCCCTCAGCGACGCGCCCACCCGGATCGTCGGCTCCGACGAAGCAGCCCGCCGCGAACCCCACGTGAAAGCCGATGCGGGCATCGTCGAAAGCGAAACAACCGGAATCGTGGACAGCCATTCCCTGATGACCTACCTGCACGGAGACTTCGAAGACCGCGGCGGCGACTGCGCGTTCAAGACCCGCGTGACGGCCGTCGAGCCCATTGCCGGCGGCGGGTACAAGATCACCGCTGTCTCGGACGAGGACGGGTCCGTGACCTCGTTCACTGCCGACACACTGATAAACAGTGCTGGCCACGGCGCGTGCGAAATCAACAATATGCTTCTCCCCGAAGACCGGCACCGCACGCCTTATTATGCGAAGGGCACGTACTTTTCTTTACGGCTCTTCCCACCCTCGCACGTCGGTCCTGGTATATCCCGCCACGCTGCCGGGCCACGGCGGTCTTGGAACTCATTTGACATTGGATCTGGGCGGGCGCATCCGCTTTGGGCCGGATGTGGAATGGGTGGATGACCCGAATGACCTGAAGCCTAGCCCGGCTCGGCTGAAGCAGGCTATCCCGGAGATCTTGTCGTATATGCCTGCGGTAGACCCCTCCCTCATTGAGCTTGATTACTGTGGTATCCGGCCCAAGCTTGGGCGTGGTGGTGCTGTCAATGTTGGGAAGGGGTTCCAGGATTTCATTATCCAGGAGGAGGAAGGTTTCCCTGGGTTCGTGAACCTGTTGGGAATTGAGAGTCCGGGGTTGACCAGCAGTTTGGCTATAGGGGATATGGTTGACGGGATCCTTTATAAGTAGGGATATATACTGTATTATGAGATAGAAGAAATGTATATACTTGCATTTACATGGGTTCTTTGCTGGTGAGCTTTGCATTTGCCAGTCATCATCTTGCTTGCTCGCATGACTCTCTAGGTGGATATGCGTTAGCAAAGAGGAACCAGTACAACGTATACTGCTTCATGATTGATTGGTGGATGTTCTATTTCATAATGATGTGCTTCGAGGATTTTGATCGTCTTGGATATCTCAGCCACTTTGGAACCGCGATGTGCTTATGATACAGAAGGTGAAAGGAAGCCCGTAGTTCCGACCTGACTCGCTTGGACAGTTTGAAAAGGCAAGGACATCAATCAACGTCCAGCAAGACATCGCTCATGATATGAAGGACATAGGAGAACTTCTTAGAGCTCCATTTCCCGGAGTCCTTCAGGAGGTTTGCGAAATCGAGCAGAATCTTCCGGGAAGATTGATAGCCCTCTTGGAATGGCATGCCGTTGTAGTATATTATCGCGCCATTTCGAATGAAGTTGACTGCCGCATCATCTGTTGGGGAGAATGACTGGCTCCCTCTGGGCTCCATGAAGCTAGTGAATCCCTCGGTGCCAACCAGCCGCCAGTCTACATCATCCATCAGCTCAATAGTACCCACGCTTGATGGCGTGTTGCCAGAATTTGGAACCATGAAGGTATAGAGCCCTAGTACCAGGGCGGAGGCGAAAAGTGCGAAGAGCGAGTGGAAGCTCGGGTGATCAGCGGCCTTACGGTTGACCATTGCCTTCCAAATATGGGAAGCATGGATGCAGGCCCTCCGGGCTGCCGGTGTTTGTGACCACTCAGCTATATCATCAAGAGCCTTACGGGCGGGAATCGGACCGGACCGACCAGCAGCTAAGTCGAATATCTGGATATCAGCCGTGAGCATCATGCACATATAATGCCACGTGATAAGAGCGTTGGGGTTGAGCTGGGATAGGGTGTCTCCATAATCGGTGATGATCTGGCGTTGGAGATCTGGGAGGCACCGGGCTCGGCCATCCATGGCGAACGTGTGACAGGGTGCGAATGGATAACTGGAACGGTTGGACAAGAGACGGTGATAGGCCTCTGATTGGCGCAAATGCACCATGGCAAGGATGGCTTGGATATTCAAATCATCCATTGGGCCGTCTTGCGCTGGAATATGGATGTTCTCGGACGGTGCAAGCACTGTCGACATCAAGATCCTCTTGCCACTCCGGATAAGCTGTGTCCATCGCATAGAAGAGTGTGCCCGGAAGAGAGCTTCGTTGCAGGGCATTATTATCTGTATCGAATCTGGTAGGATGATTGGGCTTGTCGACAGCAACGACGAGTACCAGGAGTCCACGAGGAGAAGTCCAATTATCACACTAAAGATTGGATTTGTTAGAGCGCTTGTGAAACACACAGAAGTGCCGTTGCATACCGTTTCGTTGATTCGACTTTGCTCCAAGCCTTCCATCGCATTTCGATATCAGGCACAGCCTCGAAGAGGCTCATGTCCAGGATTTGACCTTCCGTAGCCGAGAAAAGGCCATGCCTTTGAGCAACCTGGTGAAGGACTGTTAGCTATACATGTGAACGAGGGACGTGGATTTTACATACCGACATCAGATTTACGTACAACATTTGAACATTCTCCAAATGGCCCTTATCCTACAACAAGTCAGCAAACTAGGTCATTTGGAGAGCGATCAGATACGTACCCCTGTCAATACAGCAAGGTTGAGAAAGAGAAATGCTGTAGCTAAAGTCGACACTGTATCGGCTGGGTTCGATGTTCCCATGGTGCATCTCGTCAAGTCCACGGTCACTTTCTCGAGCATATGCTAGGAGCGCAGGTCAGATCTACACTTTTTTAGTACGATCTCGAAACACCAACCTTGAAATTATTTTGCACAAAAGAAGCTGTGCCTTTGGTCCCCATCATCATCATCCCGATAAGGCACATCGTGTAGAGGAGTGGTAAACGAGACTTTTTGGCCACAAACGTCGGCAGGTGAACAAAGGGCACCAAGGGGTGAAATGTCCTAAAATAAAGATCAAGGGCCATATCCAAGACCTCCGCCGGCGGGAAATTTGGGTATGGAATGTTCGAAGTGCCAGAAAGTGGCGGAGAAGTAGAGCCGTGGCTTGGGGAATGTAGTTGGGGATAGTGTGAGAGTGGCTGAGCGAATGCGTGCTGGAGGCGGCGCCTGCAATCATCGTCGATACCCCGCCTAGATCCTTGAGGCATCATATCATCACCTGGAAGTTGAAAAGGGCCTACCGAGAAAATATTATCCACGTTTGTGTACACAATATCTCTCCATAAACTGTTCATCAAACGTCCTGTGTAGTTTAATGGCGTGAACCAACATCGTTGTACTTTCGAGAAACGCTCATTAGGAATATGCTCGCTGCTTTTCCCGCTATCGACAGAATGCCGAGTCTGTTGGCCTGGTGTCATCGCTGCATTGTCACAAAGCATGGGGAAAGGGACATCGCGCATCAAGTCCGAGGATCCCTGGTTAGAGCTCGACTCGGTACGCGGCTCGAGCCACATGTGGAGCATATCATTTGGCACACCTTCAAACCCGAGGCTATTCCGCTGAGCAGAATTTGGATCTGCTGGTGTCATTTCGCCCCATCCAAAGTATGGATGTTGATCGTCAAGGAGCATGGGGTGGATCTCGGGCTCATTTCGGCCGTGGTGCGCCGAGATATCTGCAAGAAAGTCTAACGAATTGGATGAAACTCCTGCGCCTGATAGACCCAGGTCGCGTGGAGTTGTTACATTGGGCAATGGATGGACCTCTGTGGTAGCAGTATGGACAAGCCGGGAGCCATTCTCTGCGCTCGGCGCCGGGAGGAGGGGCGACCCGGAGATAGACTGCCGTTTGGCTGTATTGAATAATGGAGAAGGCTTGATCTTCCCTCCCAAGTTTTCAGGGCCTTGGGTATGACCTTTTGCGTGCCGACTCAAGACATCACTACAGGCCGGTTAGATTCATGACGTAAATAGTCACTTGGAAACGACCAAGGATATAGTATCCTGAAGACGAGTAATCTTACCTTCGCGAAAATCGCTTATGGCAAACATTGCACTCATAGGGGCGCTCTTTGGTGTCTAGAACCAGTCAGGAACTGCTCTAGAAAAAGAAATGCGGGGAACGGAGATACTGACGTGACCGCTCATGGCGCTTGAAATGCTCCGTCTTCTTGAACCGGCGGTCACAGATAGTACATTTTCGCAGAACCATGGCGTTGCTCATCGGCACCACATTACAGAGCACAGATCATGATGAGCTGGAGATCCTGGAGAGCAGAAGCTCAAGAGGTCGGAGGTTGAAGAAATCGGAGCGGGAGGGGAAATAGTTAGTCAGCTCTTACAAGTCGCCCAAGACCTTTCAAAGGTCAGTTTCATCCAGTGTCTCCCGCTCGCTGGAAATGGATTAATGCCTGCTCGGTAATGTCTGGGGAGTTTAATTGATCGGCCTAGCTCGTTGCCCCTTCTGCCGAGGATGACCCGCGGGGGGAATCCAGTCACGAATCAGGGAGGGGGCTAAGCCCAGCGTGTTGCATGGACCTCTTCAGCCCCCAACTCCCCCGTGGGGAGATTCCCCGGAACCCTAAGAAAGCGTTATAGGTAAAACGCCGCTTCCATAACAAGCACAGAAAGATAGGAGTTGGTGATTACTATTCAAGTCTAGTAACTTCAAGATACTGACATGGAGGATGACTCATTGAAACTGGATCGCCCTTTTCGCACGATACTATGGCGATGCTGCCTTAAAGTGATACAAGACATTTTATTGGATAAAGAATCATAGCCACTCGGCAGTTGTAAATCCTTTCGCATCCCGGCGCCTTGACGTCAACACATTCGATCATATCGGTAAAGCTAAGACATCAAACAAAGATTATCTCTCCCCTTGCTGTTTCCTAGGGCCGTGGCTTTTCTCGTTTTCAAAGTGGTCAATTTGAAATTGTAGGTTATCGTGGTGATTGCCGCAGCGCTCTTAAATGTTGAGGAGTACGAAGAAGCGCTGGGTAGAAGAGGATCATTCAGAGCTACTACTAGTACTGGTACGGATTCGAGGCAGAGATTCCCTGCTAGCACAGCAATTAAGACTACACTGTGTCTGCTAAATTAGTATTATGGTCCGTTCACTATTAGTACTACGAGTAGCTGATTTGTGGGCACACTGGCTACCTCGAGGTGTACTGGTCCTAGTGCCATGTACTTGATAGTATGATTGGGATGTAGCTGGGCTTAAGTAGATGTCCGGCCTCGGGCTGATCATGTTATGCTGAAAGCTGAGTATTTAGATAATTGATTCCAGGGTCAAAAGGGTCTCACATGCCCAAATGGCCAAGCTGACCTGGAACCCGTCATCATCCCTCCCTAATGAACAGGGATGCTACCCCCATTCCCGTACTGCTGGGTGTTAGCGGGGTCTACCAAGTCGCAATAATTTGTGACACGTACCTGGCACACATGCTAACGATACCCAGCTCCTTGTCCTGTCGCTGTAGTTCAGCCAGCAACGTTGCGGTTTGTCTAGCCCCCGTGGCACCTATTGGATGGCCTAGAGCGATAGCACCGCCATTGGGATTTACTTTGGCCATGTCGAGGCCGAGCTCCCGAATGCAGTGAATTGACTGACTAGCAAAAGCCTCGTTCATTTCAAAAATATCCACATCGCTTTTCTCAATATCAAGATACTTGAGCAGATCTTGAATAGCAAATATTGGACCGATACCCATTTCGTCGGGCGCGCAGCCAGCGACTTTGGTACCGGCAAATCTGGCGATCGGTTTCAGACCTTGAGCCTCAGCCCAAGATCTGCGGGCGAGAATAGTACTTGACGCACCATCGGAAATCTGCGACCTGCAGTCCAGGTATCAGTACCGACATTTTTGAAAAAGCAATCTAAAATGACTCACGAGTTCCCCGCGGTACTGGACCCTCCATCGAGAACCGGCTTGAGAGTTCCCAGTTTATTCACGGTTACATTCTGACGAATGCCTTCATCACGGTCGACAACTTGAACTGACTCTTCGTCAATCCCTGTGCTGATGACCCGTGTCGTCACAGGTGCGATCTCTGCAGTAAATCGACCGGACCTTTGCGCGTCGGTTGCACGGCGTTGGCTTTCTGCCGCGAACTCATCCTGCTCTCGTCGCCCAATCCCGTATCGTGAGGCGACATTTTCCGAGGTCTTGAGCATAGGAAGAAGACAATCCCGCGCATCCTTGTTGGGCGATTCTGTCAGCGCAGGAGATACGTCCACTGGAATGCCTCTAGTCCCGTAATTGCGAGACATGCTCTCCGCCCCTCCACCGAGCCCAACATCAATTTGACCGGCAAGTATTGCATGCGCAACGTGCGTAATTGCTTGGAGACTACTCGAGCACTGTCTGTTGACGGTGTGGAAAGTTGTTGTGTTTGGAAAACCTGCGGCATTAAGTGCCATGCGACCGGTTTTTGCGAACCCCAGTTCGGCGAGGACATTTCCAATCAGGACATCGTCGACTTGCCCTGCTTCGATATTGGCGCGCTGGACAGCAGCTTGCATGACCTATCGATACCTGATTAACAACTGCACATGATTCATTGCCAGGACAGAGTTATAGAAACCCACTGGCATCAGAATGTCCTCGGGATAGGCATCTTTAAATCCGCCCTTGAACGCCCGGGTAATGGGACTTCGCACTGCAGAGAGAACGACCACATCGTTGGGGCTCTTCGACAAGATCCCACCCGCTGTCCGTTTCAGCATCGTCCCTCGGGGTGTTCATGTGTTTTCTGCTACGTCGTTGGCATGAAGAACGATGCAGTTTCCATCGAATGGTGCGGGGAAGAATTCAGCATATGCGGGGCGCCGCCACATCTGTCGATCCTGATCAAATCTGTCTTCAGGGGGATGCCGAGCGTGCATGTGACGTCGTTTGGCGACGTGACGAACTCTATCAGCGATAAGGCTATACCTGAGGTACCGGGGGTATATTGTCCGTGGGACCGCCTGAATGATACGTTGTATTCCAGAACGCAGTTACTCTCTGGTTGAATCGTGGATGTCTGGTCCGGAGTGACGATATCTTGGGCAAAGAAACGAGTACGCGAAATGCATAACCGACCTCCTTTCATAGGTCGCTATCAGTGTTCCAAGGCACTAGGCATGGATTGAACCACGAATTATAACACTGCTCAGCAATTTTGAGATGCGGGATACATTGGTTGACCGTACATGACCGGTCATATATAGGAGAATCTGCCCCACTGACTTGGACCGTGACTCCATGATTTTGCTGCTGGCAGTATTTCAAGGTGAGTCTTCTCATACGGGCCCCAGTTGAGCGGTGCGTGTCAGTAATGAATTCTAACAAAGAGTTCGATGGAAGCAGCGCAGGGTGGCAGTGACAGAACATAAAGTTGAGTCTATACCTGAAAAATCTAGCATTTCCCTTCATATTGCCAAAATGTGAGACAGTCTGTCATCTAGAGCATTGTGGCCTAGGGGAAAGGCGCCGGGCTCATAACCCGGAGATCCCTGGATCGAAACCAGGCAATGCTAAATTGTTTTCTTTTTTTCTTTTTTTCTTTTGATTTCCGTTCTCATTGTGTGCTCATTTTGATTTTTGTCACAAAGTGGATCCAGTAAGATGAGTCACTGGCCCGAAACGGTTTAGCCTCACAACTTGACCATCGGGTCGTCATCCACAGTGGTTATGTGCGGAAGCAAATAACTAACTAGTTAGTTAATCGAAGGCTTCCACGTAAGCAAGAGCTATCAATCCATGGATAGAATGCTTTTAATATGCAGGCGGGTTCTAAGGCAACGTTCTGAATCGGATATAGCTGCTGGGATGACCAAATTCACATGCGAAATGATGTTATATCTTCTGCGAAGACAAGGTTACTAGAGAAGAGTTTTAGCTCGTCCCTTTGCTTTTTCAATATCCACGCTAGTCGATTCGCGCAACACCCTGGACGACATAAAGTTCAGGGCCTACAGTAGATGCAGGAGACTTGTCGGCTGTCGGCGACAACCCTAGAGCTGGCGAGATTCGAATGCGATTTGCCAAGCCGAAACGGTTCCTGTTTACACAGTCGATTTGTGCGCGTGCAGCCAGGAGGACCCTGCAGACTCGGCTATCTCAGGATTCATTTCATGTGTCGTTCAAAGGGTCAATACAAAGAGGTACCGTATGATCGTCTTCCTAGAACAAACACGGATATTTCCAAGCTTGAAACTCCGTCCCACGTACAGACGGTTATGGCCAATTACCATTCCTATACTGTGTATGCTCCGGTCTCCATGAATCCTCTATACGGACTTCAACTACATAGATCATCAAGTATCGAGGCAGGATTCGCCATTGGGAGCTAGAAGCTATTTAAATGAAGAATATCATGAACTGTGCCAACAGCCACGCCGCAGCTTTGCTATGCTACGAGTAGAGCGAAAATGATCTCATCTATTGTTCCACTGCCTCTTCTCGCAACCGTTACTACAGCTAGTAATCCTTCCAAATTGTCCTCTCGAAGCTCTTCCAAAGTCCCTCCCATCACCCCAGAATCAACGGAGAACGAGCGTAACTGCACCGTATTTCCCAATCCTCGGATTCGAACAATATGAAGGAAATCCAATCCTATCCCCCAATCCCACCCGCACCTGGGAATCCGCCTACCTCTACAACCCCACAGCCATCGTAATAGACGACCTGATCTGGATGCTCTCGCGCCCAAAACAGCTCCAAAACCTCCTCCATCGGCCTCACCTGGTCCCACAACGGCCTCAACTTCACCCGCTACGAGCAGCCCGTGCTCTCCCCACAGAACCCTACGAAACCCCCGGCGGCTGCGACGACCCGCGCGTCGTCCACGTAAACGGCACCTTCTACATGACTTATACGGGTTACACCAACACCACTGCCCGCCTTTGCCTGGCCACCTCCCCGGACCTCGTGCACTGGACGAAACACGGCCCCATCCTCCCTGCCGTGCAGGACGTGCTCTACCAATGGCGAGACCCGCTCAACGCGTACGTCCCTCTGCAGGGCTGGACGAGCAAGTCCGGCGCCATCCTCAACGAGCCCCAGCCCGACGGAACTTACCGCATGATCTACGGCGAGTCCTTCCTATACCAGGCGAACTCCACCGACTTGCTCTCCTGGAACTATCCCCAGGGTGGGCTGCCGAACGCCGGTAAATTGAATCCCTGGGAGCCGGGCCCGCCTGCGATCAGGACCAGGGATGGAAGGTGGATTTTGTTCTATAATGGGGGTGGTGACGGGGCCTGGGGGGGTATACGCCGAAGCAGTATAGCACAGGCCAGATGCTGCTGGACCCTGCGCGTTTCCCGCATGGTCCGCCGGTTGCGCGGGTCGAGACTCCGCTGTTGCAGCCGACGAGTGTGGAGGAGGTGGAGGGGCAGGTTGATAATGTGGTTTCTACGGAGGGTTTGGTGCAGTTGCGGGGAAGTGTTCTATGTATTTTGGGCAGGGGATGCGTTTTTAGGGGTGGCGACTGCGCCTGTTCAGCCCTAGGTGTTTCAGCTTGTAAGTATACAGCGCTTTATCAGCAATCGGGATTGGATTTTTTTTTTTTCTTCGGCTTCTTTTTTTCGGAGCATGAATCATAAGATAATTAATGACATATGCACATCCAAGTCTAATTGGTATCAGTATGGCTGGTATGAGTGAAGAAATACAGGGTCATCAATGTACGAAGCGCCCGCCTGGTCCAGCTGGGCGAAAAAGGTGTTCCCATCGGCGTGATCCCACTCGGCAGGGCCATTGAGGAACCCCATAATGGCATCCCACGACATCTGTCCCTCGGCGTTTATGTGGTATTGAGACTGCGAGCTCGTGCTCTCTATGACCGCCACGAAAAGCTTCTCTAGGAAGTTCTTTGTCCGGGAACCCACAGGGCTAAATTGTGACATTTCATCGCAGACCGCAATTCCGAGCTGAACCTGGTGGTACCAGCTTTGGTAGCCAGGGCTTTCTGTGGGCTCGACCGCCAAAGCCATCAGAGGGATCAGACATGCCTGAAACAGAAACCAGAGAGAGTTCCAGCAACAGATCTTTGTGGGGCGCCATTCTGTCTGGATACTGACGATTGACTCGGCTGCGATCTCTCGGCATTTTGAGACAAGGAGTTTTTCGAGTGCAGTTAAACTGTCGAATGGCACCTTCCGAATAACAGTATCGAGCAGGACGGGGCGGTAGAGGAGAAACCGGATGTTTTGGTACCTCCATTTGAGAACGAGGCGTGCGTCTTGGAGGTCCGCCGCGTTTGGATCAGGCATGCGAAGGAAAGATGGGAGGGCTTTGAACCAGGAAATGAGTAGGTTATCGAAATAGCATATTTCATCATAATCCAGAACGGAGTGCACGAGGAACCGGTCGTGAATGTGATTGATGATCTTGCATAGATCGATGTTGTGAATCAGAGGGGAGAGGACGGTTGGCTCCGTGGGAAGAAGCTCGCCGCGCTAGGCTCTCCCATATCAGCATCCAAACCCTACAATCGGGGCACCAGGGGTGAACAAGGTGAAGACTTACATGGTCATCAAGGACGTTCCGCGGTGGGTCGATTACGCTGCCAATTGCGGCCGATGGCCGCCCTAGGGTAACAGAGCCCCAGGTATCAAGCACATAGATTGTCCACCAGTTCCGCCTGTTGACTTCGTCCTGGAGGCCGCTGGGCCCGGTCGAGTCCTGTTCGTGTCGAAGATGTAGTCCAAGACCGCCTGCGATTCGGTAGCATGCACCTATGATGGCCGATGCCATGTTTGGACGATTGCGATAGTGGAGATATTGTCCACCCATGAGAACAAGGGCTTGTAAAGTTTCCAGCCGCCCGTTTCCAAAACTCTCAAGCGACAAGTTCTGTTGGGCTCTGTGGTAGTATTCACAATCTTGTGTCGAGTCTCCAGGACAGGACGCCACGCTACCCAACGCGAGAACCATGTTTAACAAGGCTAGCCATGATCGATCATCTTCATCACGGCTTGTTAAATACTTGTTCCGAAAGCTGGGTTCATGGATAATTGGCGCAAATACATGAATTTCGGCGAAGTATGCATCGATCAGGCGTTGCTCCTCTCTGTATGACGATATTCGACTGTATGGTGAGGTCGCCATGATCGGAACTGGTTTTTCCAGCGCACTTCTCGAGAAGTCGGGCTTTTCGTCGATTTGTATTGGAATGTTGCTCGCTAATGCCCGCACTGCAGCAGCAACGGAAGATATCCCCACGAAGGAAGACTTTCGGTCTTGAGATAGTGCAAGGGCATTTACATCGTCCTCGCCACACGGTCGAGACCAGGGGCAAGTTTCATCCCACTCGAATACATTGGCAGAGTCGCGACATTGCAGCTTCTGCAGTCGGCTGTTTGTCTCCACGTCTGGTAATGACCTGGGACCAAGTATTATATCGGGCGAAGCAACTGACGAGCTTCCATTACTAGTGACCGGCGAAAAGTCGCATTCTGCCTTGGCGCGCTCCAACAGCGCTTCCCTCGACAGGCCCTTCAAGGACTGAATTGGGGTGATGGGGAACAGTAAGTCCACCACGGCTTTGTAATCATCTTTGGGCGCATTGTTCAGGTGGCTATTAAGCAGCTTTTGGCTTCTGTTCGAGGTCAATTCTATCCCAGAATCCGTGGGGCAATGATTGGGCGCCTTACTTTCTGCCTCTCCGTCGATATTCCGGAAGACGCACTCTACCTTGCAGGCCAGACATCCCGTACAAGGCTGCGTACCAACACATTTGGTCTTTCTTCGACGACACTCAACGCAGGCTTTAGAAACAATCGAGCGCCGGCGCTGTGACGGATCCCTGGACGAGTCGCTGGGCTTGATACCGACAAAAGTGTTAAACATCGTCCCTCGGCGCACACGACAAAGCTGCAGCACTGCCGGGCTATATGCAACGGGCCGGCACCTATTCTCTCTGGACAAAATAAGACAATCCGGGGCCCCGCATCACAGATTGGCGGGGGATCGAATCAAACGCCTCACCAACCTGCAGCAACGCACAATGTCAAGGTGGCGCACTGACGGACTTCTTAAGGTTCATTGGTTCAGGCCACAACGGTTGGTTCTTGGCCAACGATGCCCTGATCCGTAGGACCGCGTCCGGTAAGACGTGCAGATTGTAGTTAGCGCATAAGACACACTGGGGCCCCTCCGCGATGCAACCTTTGAGGGTCTCAATAGAACAAGCAGGTTTTTAAGTTCGGAAGTACGGCTTACAAAAGGTACAGGGCAGCTCGAAGCACGCTTTCCCACTACCATTTGGCTCCTACTAATACTTTGGCTCCAAGCCCCCACAGGATGACAACTCTATCGGGTCCTTCGGCAGGAAACGAAGGATCGCGAACAGTCGATTGGAAGACTGTGATCTCTGCCCAAAATCCTGGCTGTTGATCCAGGGGCGGTGATGCTATTTGCAGCACATCTGCGGCATTAATCCCACAGGAGTGTTGTTTAGTGGGCGCGATCGGCAGTACGCTTGGACATCCATTCCCCGCTAACATTTTAGATTAATCGGCGGATTTTGCGGCGATATCGGGACCTGGTTTCCTAAAGAATGATCGTCTCCGAGAGGGGTTCGACTTATAGTAGACGCCATATTCGGAGCTAGCCGAATACGACGCATCGGTGAGAAGGAAGCCTTGGAAGCGAAATGCTGAAGATCCCGGGGTTGTACGACGTTGTGCATCGACCTTGTGTCTATGGATCCCGGGGGCGTTGCTAGAGATCTAAGTTCGTTCCATTCAGGCAGGAAATTAACCTGAGGAAAGCCACTAAGCCATTCCTGCGCCCCTACGTGAAGGATGGCCCCAGTACACTAATGTGTGCCTCCTTTTTGGGGTCTTTTAGGGCTTCTGCTGAAGCGTCAAACACGTGAAGATTGAGCCGGTCGGTAACCCGGCATCCGAAATGCTCGATTCTTCGTTTCAGTTCTACTGGTTCGTCTCAGGAGGTTCATCATCTCCAAGGCAGATGCCGTAACTCGAGTTTAGCGCTGACTCAGATCGACCGTGGAAGCGCTGAAGCCCTAGAGCCCGGAGCCCGGAGCCCGGAGCCCTGGAGCAACAGTTTCATAATCTAATATATTCAACCTCAATGCCGAATGTGAAGATATAGACAGCGCCAATGCCCTAACACTCCTCGATTCCGTAACTTGACACGCGGACGGGCAAAGGCTTGCGCCTTAACACCCTTTCATTTAATCAAGAGGGCCCACTCATCAAATTGAACGCGCAAAGGGGCGGAATTGCTTTCGGCCAATAGAAATAAAAACTACTTCAAAGTAGCGCCCTGATCGACACCCCCTTGGACGTCTCTGGCATGGATCACAGGCTGGGACAATTGTCACGCATCTGTATGTTACCCAAAACAGATGCTCCATAGATGGTATAGGGAACATTGACAGGGGTAGACAACCGAACTGTAGCACACCACCTGTGGACGGTCAATGTACACTGAATAATCATTTCGACGGCAAGTCTGACTCTCTATAATATTATGCATAGGTCTCTACTCGCAGCCATTGCAGCTCATGGGGCCGTCACAACCGGGGCGGCAGCTACGTTGAAAAAGCGCGATGCCAGCAACCCAACCGTGAAGGGAACTCCCCACGTAATTGGTAATGTAGCTGACCCTACCCTCAACCGCGACTCCTGCGGCTCCTCACCCTTTGGCGGAAAAGCTCTCTGGGTGTGTAGAGACACGCAGCCATACGATTCGAATGGCATCCCTACTCTGCCGCTATGGACCAGCTCTGCATCATGGACCGGCGGCGGCTTGACCATGTATGGCGGCGACAAGAGCCAGGACTCCTTCTACCCACTTGTTCCTGGCAACTGTGATGACAACCAGGCTGGTACATGCTCGGATGGAACGCGTTACGTCCGTTGGGCAAATGTTCCTCCGCTAGTGACCAGTACCGACTCCAGCGGGAACACAGTCGGATACACGTGGATTAGCAACTATCACATCTCCGGCTTGGCGAATGAGGTCGCAGACCCGTCTGTTACTCTATACAAAGTGTCATACACGGCTGGCTCTGATGGTCTGCCAAGTGCAGAGATCATTGACGCCGGCTTCTGGGCGGAGAACACCATTCCCTACGGCAACTACGGGGGTGTTGTGCAAGATGGCACAGCGTATCTCTGGGGACAAGGTTCCAACGGAAAGGTTGCTCTCGCCAAGGTCCCTGTGACCGGCGTCGAAGACATTTCCCAGTACCAGTACTACGTCAATGGAGCGTGGACCAACGCCCAGCCTGCGCTGGGCGACGACTCCGCCACGATCGACAATGTTAGTGCCGGTGGGCAAGGAACTTACTACTACTCCCAGCCCTGGTCGTCGTATGTTTGGATCGGCCAGGCGTCGGAATCTGTGTCAGCGGAATTCTACATCACTACTGCTCCCAACCCCGAGGGCCCTTGGATCCAGCCAATCAAGTTTTACTCTGGTGTGAATGGCAACTATTCACTAGGCGCGTATTCCTTGCAGGCAAACCCGGCACTTTCTGCATCGAGTGACAATTCAATCTATTTGACTTATACCAAGACGGATTCTGTTGGGGACAATGTCCAGCTGTATACTACTCCTTTGATCCTGGTGGAGTGGGAATAAGCGGAATGGACTCGGGTCTGGTGTGTACGAATTGCGTAGTCAGAACTTAGTCAAGAAATCCTATTTGGACTGCTTCTTGCCCAAGACCGCAAGTAGATTAGAAGTGGTTCAGCTCCGCCCTCACATTTTTGATCACCGGAACCCCTACAAAGCTCGACGACGTCCGCGCCGCCATCCAAGCAAGCACCCCGGATGCCGTGATTGTGGCATTGAACGCCTGCCGCACCTCAGACAGCCCCTTCGCGGCCCCAATCTCGCCACCTCAGTTCATGGCAGACTGTAACGGCAGCGTGGTGGTTGCAATGAAGGAATTCAGCGTCCAGAATCTGGTCATCATGCAGGCGTTCGCGGTTGGCGCCTCATGGCCTCACATGCCTTGCGTCATGAGTGGGCTCATGAGCAAAACCAATATGAGCTACCAGTATGATGATCACAATCATACCGTCCAAGAGGTCCAGGCCAGTGGGTTTACGTGGGTTATGGTACGGCCAACCCGGCTGGTCGAGACGGATGATATGACTGTGCACGAGTGACCGCAGGATGGAAAGGGGGTGAGGCTTATGGATGTCTCGAGCCGGAAGAGCGTGGAGAAGTTCATTGTTGATGCGAAGGTGTAGTCAAAATGGGACAATATGGCGCCTGTTATCACGAATTAGGCTTTTTTGTTTGCTTGTTTGTTTTGCTTGATCGTTTTCTTTCGAGAAGCCTGGAGCATTGCCTATGTGTTTAATATCAGAAGACCCATTGATATCGAAAGTTCTTTAAATTCCTAAGCGAGTTCTTGAACACAAGGTAGTAGTGTGGTCTTCTGGCATTCTAGAGATATCTAGAGATGTGATCCGGTGTTCGAATTGTAGTACTGTGTCATATCATGTCGCAGGACATCCAATCCCTGTTCCAGTGTTAGCCGTTGCTCATGTGATATGACCTACCGCGCGCGGCGGGATTCCTCACTAGAGCAAGTTCTTCATTAAGCTGCTTGTCCCTCTCTGCCCTGATACACAGTCGGAAAAATTCATCGTCCTCCCGAGCCCTGTCCGGATCCTGATCATGAAGCCGCCGGAAGTTCTCTCGAGACATTGGGTCGATCACGTCTTGCCAGATCTTCTTGCGCACCTCACTGTACTTATCCAGTATACTTGCATCGGCTAAACCTTTGTGGATACCGAGCAATGCGTCATATAAGGAACCCACATCTGCAATGCCACCAGTAAGGCCCAATCCCCCGCTAGTGATAGAAGTTAGATCATTTCACAGACCTAGATTATCTCATCCACATAAATTGCACTTACAATGGATTGCAAAGGTGTGCTGCATCTGCCGCCAGAACAATCCTGCCAACTCGGAAGGTGGGAGAGCACCTCTGCTGCATTTTGTACGGGCTTATATTAGTGATGCGATAGTCTCCAGGCCGAGGATTCCCCGGCAGAATCTCTCGATAGCGCGCAGGTTGTCGTGCGATGTACTCTTCTTTACTCAGTCCCGGGATATCGCCATATGTGACCCGATACAGACCATCCTTGGTGATACGAGCTGCCATGTACCAATTGGTCGGATGGACGATGAAATTGGTATCCCAATAGCCGTATTTCTCAAAGTCGTAATATACCTAACATCATTAGTCGAGTGGTGTTGGATTATGACCCAAAAAAGGGCCTCACGTTTGTTGCAATAATCTGCGCATTGAGTGTTTCGCCAGGGTATTCGGGTCCAAACAGTGCCCGTCGAACAGTGCTACTAGCGCCGTCACACCCTATGATATAGTCTGCCTCAAGCCGGTTCTCTCCACTAGGGGTCTCAACATCAACCCAAGAAGTTCTTCCGCTTTGGCCAACCCGCACGACTCGATGAGACCATTTCACTTGCGCGGAGGGCTGTTGCTGGATGTGCTGGTATAATATTTCTCCAAGTTGATCTAGCGGCAGCACGACCACCTTATATGGATAATCTGGCGGCAAAACTCCATGATCTAGTCCCGCTATCAGACTAGTATCCTCTTTCCTCCAAGCAAAGCTCCTGATTTGGAACCCCCCTCGCCTTGACATCTCCCAGCACACCAGCTCGTGATAACTCGTAGGCAGCTGGACCCCCATAGTGAGATGCACGGGGCTGTTTATCGAGTTCTGCGCCAGCATCCAGAAGCTCTACCGCGATGCCTTGTTTGGCAAGGAGAAGCCCAAGGATAAGACCCGAAGGCCCAGCTCCCACCACGATGACCTACGGTTGATTAGCTCGTTTCCAGGTGGCACATGATCATGACGAGCTACCATACCTTGTTAATGGCCATGCTCCCATGGAAATACCTGAAGCTGTTCAACAAGGATACTTGGTATTCAAAGCTCGATTCAAAGAGATAGGAAGGCTCTTTTCTTCTGGCTCAGCTACCATAGCCCCATGGCTGTAGCTTGGACCACCCCCCCTCCCCGTGGGGCTGTCCCACTTTCCCACCTTCCCACCTCCTCTTGAAGATCCCTCCACAACAAAAGTCTCGATAAAGCGCACTGGGCTGCGGGGTAGAGCCCCGCTGAAAAGGGGGGAAATCTCGAAAATTGCGGGGAGCGGCCTATATAGATGGATCACAATTCATCCGTGTTACACCAAATTGACGAGGAATAGTACTTCTTTCAGAAGATCTCTGGTCTTACCAGAGAAACTCCTGTTGAAAGTTGAGGGGTGGAGCTCCTTCCCAAGAGCTCTGGCTTTGCTTCGGAGGTGATCCCTTGACCGGTGCTATTTGAAGGGGCCAAATACCCGAGGGGATCCCTTCACATTTCTTCTGTCGAACAGAGTCTCCCGTGAATTCATCGGGGTCGGATGCCAATGCTCCTAGGGAATGCGGTGATTGAGATGGCACTGACAGCGACCTGCGATTATCATGCGTGGGATGATCAGGGTGAATTGCCGTAGCGTATAGCTGGTTATCATTCCTGTGATCAATCTTCCTCCGTTTCCTACGAGATTCGCTTTCTTCAATGACTGGCGGTTCAGCGTTGGTCAATTGCCCTTTGGTAGAGTTATTCATCTGGGTTGTGCAGGCCGCTTCCCATCTGCGAATATTTTGAGCTGTATCGAGTGGGAATTCTGACCAGTCGTCCACTCCTTTCTTCTCCATCCTAGCTAAAGGAGTGTATGGCGTCCTACTGCTTTCTCCAAGACTAAGACTGTCGGGGAAAAGACTAGAGAGTTGACTGTCAGGTGTCTCCGCCAGCAGTCGTAGTAAAATTCCTTCGGTCACTTGGAGTCGATGTTCTAATGCTTCAACATGTCCTTTTGCAGGGCCTCTAAAAATGCAATTAGTGGTCTGTACTTTCTCCGACTACCGTAGGCGCTCTTACCGTCTGAGCTGTTCTGGCCAGTCGCAAGGGCGATGATACTCCAGACATTGTTCACAAACAGGCCTTAAGAACGATCCAAGTTAGCCGCGACTCCATTCCCCAGTCATTCTTTGCGCCATTTTCATTTAGGCTGATGCTTACTTATCTCCACTGCACTATACGACCGGCACACATCAGCACATTGACCAGGCCCGCAGGTAACCAAGGCTCGTTTCTCGTACCTTCTGCTTTCTCGATCGGCAAGAATGACAAGCCACCGTTATTCGCGACTGCTGCTTCCCTTTTGCCTTTGGCATTTCTATGTTGATGGACAGGTGAAGTGGAGGAGAGAAGAAAGTCAAGCGCGGCGTCGGGAGAATCCATCGCCTGAAAGTTCTGCCGACCGTTCGAACCATCAGCCGCGAGTATTCGAAAGGCTACTGGGCGATATCCATATTTAAACTCTGTTTCGCCAGTTTTAGACTTGACGCAGCAAGACACGATCGCGATTACCTGAGACATTTTTCTGATTTGTTCACCATGACCAAATCCTACCGTATTGCATCCATTCCTGGGGACGGGATTGGCCCCGAAGTAGTCAGCGCCACCATCCAAGTAGTGGAAAAGCTGGCAAAGACCCTCGGAACTTTCGATATCGATTTTACACACATTCCCTGGGGCACCAATTACTATAAGCAACATGGCAAATATGTCTCGGAAGACGCACTAGATCACCTCCGTCAATTTGATGCCGGACTTTTCGGTGCTGTCGGGGACCCAGGTATGGCATCGACGTTCTTTCTATACTCTATTAGTAGGAATACTATAAATTACAAATTAACACGGAAACAGACGTCCCTGATCACATCTCATTATGGGGTCTTCTCCTGGCCATCCGAGGCCCGCTTCAACTATATGCCAATGTCCGCCCGGTCCGCACATTCCCCGGCACAAAGTGCCCCCTCAATACAGCCCCCGAGGGCATCGACTGGGTCTTAGTCCGCGAAAACTCCGAAGGCGAATACTCGGGTCAAGGGGGCCGGTCACACATCGGACAACAGTGGGAAGCTGCGACGGAAGTCGCCATGTTCACTCGTGTCGGGATTGAGCGGATTATGCGCTTTGCTTTTGAGACCGCGCAGGCCCGACCACGAAAGCACCTGACTGTCGTGACGAAGAGCAATTCCATGCGCAATGGAATGGTCCTTTGGGACGAGATCGCTGCGCTAGTGGCTAAGGATTTCCCGGATGTGACGTGGGATAAAATGCTGGTTGATGCTATGACGGTCCGCATGGTGTGGAAGCCGCAGTCTCTTGATACTATTGTTGGGGCTAACTTGCACATGGATATTCTGTCGGATCTTGCGGCGGGTTTAGCTGGCTCTATTGGTGTGGCTCCTTCTAGTAACTTGGATCCGACTCGCAAGAATCCATCTCTCTTCGAACCTGTGCATGGCAGTGCATTTGATATTACCGGAAAGGGCGTCGCTAACCCAGTTGCTACTTTCTGGTCTGCCGCAGAGATGCTTACCTGGGTCGGAGAGAAGGATGCTTCGGATAAACTGATGCGGGCTGTGGAGAATGTCTGTGCAGCGGGGGTCTTGACGCCGGACTTGGGGGGTTCAGCGAATACGCAAGAGGTTGTTGATGCTGTCTGTGCTGAGATTGAAAGACTCTACAAGTGAATGACTTCAAAGACATAATAGGTCTTTTGGGAACCAATACCCAAAGAAGTAATAATCGGAAAGCAAAACAATGAACTGTAGAGATATCTCGGGACAATCGAGTTGTTCTAGAAGAACAAAGATGTATGTATGAATTCGAAATCTCATTCAGGATATCTGGACCTTGAAGGTATAAATACTACCGTGTTGCGACCACATTGTTTCCTACCATCTACCACAGACCAAGGACAGTACAAGTAGGATAACTAATACAACGGCCTTCCTCATCAACTCATTCATATAGCAAGCATGATAATCCTTGAACGATTTTTCCCGAAAGATAAAGTTAAACCTCCTCCAGGAGACCTTCCAAAGCCGAGACGTAACCCCCTCACCAGAATATTCCATGGCATTCGGAAACCCGCCCCTCTTGAAAGACTTTTCCTCAAGGGGGAGAAAGCAAATTCGTACCCTGAAATTCTATTTCCGGAGCTGAACGCTCAATGGGTGACTATCACCTTCGAACCTGAGTACCGCCAAATCATGCGCGAGTGCGGTGATGGACTATCCCTTCTTTATCACATCAAGCAGGCCATCAAAACTAACCAAAACTGCAGGATCACCAATCGCTCTTTGACTGGGTATGCTTGCTTATCAATCAAGGTCGTGGGGAGGAAACTTCCAGCTAATGATGCAAGGTTGGCTGCACTGGCTATCGTGCGGAAATGGATATTACGGTATCCTTACTGCGGCTTTTATTTCTCACCAGAAGTCTTATTCTGGAGGCCCTCGCACCCGGTTCTAAAATCAGAGCGGGTTAGATACCATGAGTACTCGGACGCTGGTCATTACTAGTAAGTGGTCGATTTTCGTTAGTTCATGCCATACGTAGTTGATCAGACGCGGATGATATCCATATATTGTTTGGAATGCTTCCAATTGGGCCTTTGATAGTAGAATTCCCATTAGGAGGAGAGCTAACGGTTTCCTGGATTTGCGTAAGATTGACTAGAAGCTTGGATACTGCTGGCCGATCATGTCAAACAGAGAATCGAAATCGGCTCCATGTAGCAAGTCTACCATATTCAAATCAAAGTTTGAGCCACCCGGCAGATGGTTGCTGCCACTTTGAAAGCCGAACTCCAATGATGAAGGTGAAGTATCGGTAAGATGAAGACCTCTGTTGCCATTCGAGGCCACAAACTGTGGTTCCGAAGACTGGCATTCAGGGGCCAGTGGCTCATCCACCCTTAGTGGCGGGCTTGTGTCGATACCATGGAAATATGAACTTGAAAGTTTTCTTTGCTTGAGATGGCCTTGTTCTCGTATTCCAGCTGGATCCACCGCGCCAAGTTCTCTGCCTGGAGTAGACATGGCGTATGTTAACGATTTAGAGGCTTCAGGGTTGCTATCCATTTGCTTGATTTTCGTAGCTAATATTAGTAACGCCTTGTTGCAGTGGCTTGCCGTCTCCCATTTGTCAGACATGCGGCGTAAGAATTCCGAACAGTCATTGATCTCCCTAATCTCGGTTAGTATGTTTGAATGATGTTTAGAGAACCGTGTTTAAAGGATTCGACATACTGGAGACCTATTGCAAGAACGTACTGCCTGAGTTGGCAAGCGAAGGCTAAAACCAGTCCAGACATCCAAGCCGCGGATAGAAAGCCAGGCCAGAATAGCGCCTGTCCATTATTGACTTGGGTCTTCAGCGCGGCAATAATTCCGCGCGCGGCTCCAATGCATGTCTGCAGCCCAGAACAAAACTCTGCGGTCAACGGGTCAAGGGATAAGGAGGGTCGGTGGATGATCAAAATGAGGTGCTGGTATGAAATTGCAAAGAATGGTCCAAAGTCAAACGGGCTGTGGGATTCGGCTCCATCCCTTTTGGCAGTCCCTGCGACCGTACCTTGGAGCTCCAGGGGAAGACTGTTCCACCACTTATGAACGTCTGTCACCAAAAATAACACCGGGCTGCGCCTAACGGAGCGAACCAGAATAGATTTATGGAAGAGCTCCAGTGCTCGGCCCGTCAGCGTACCAGAGTCAACATAGCTTGCAAGGATGCTTTCCTTTTTGCGGTTGTCTCCCTCAAAGATTTGAGCCTGTTCCCGGTCATAACCCCTGAATACAGAATTGTCGGGGTCAGAATGATCGAAGTTTTCTGCATCAAAGGATATCGCACCGTACTCTCGAATCTCCCGCGAGAAGTGTAGCTCCTTTGCTGCAGGCAGACACACATCAATATCCGAGTCTTGGATGCCGAGCGGAAGTCCAAGTGCTTGGCTTAAGTAGCGGTCTATCGCATAAGCACACCAAAATATACGTTTTCGCAGATGCCGGTCATGCGATGAGAGCTGGCTGTAGCGGAAAGGGCATCGGTGGAGTCCGGCGTGCATCATTGATCGTAAAATACACCCGCCAAATGTAGAGGCGAGTCTCAATGACATTGTAGCAACAAGATATACCTGAACTGCAAGAAGAGCCTGTAAAGAAGCCATATCATGCTTTGATGCGAACGTCGAGAGTAGTTGCGTCATGCTGGCCGGTGACATGATCCTGGACTCTGGCGGGACTCGGAGATCAGGACCGAGCAGGCTTCCCAGGTTGAAAATGCACTGTAATATGACGGTCCAGCAAGTACTTTTGTAGCTGGTGCTCGTGGAGTTTCCCCGCTCTTCCTGGGGCGATTTGGAGTATAACCTCTCCATGGCTTGTAAGAATGTGGGACCATGAAGGAACGGGAAGAGAGGATGCCAGACTTTGAAGTACATCATCATTAGCTCGCGAGCGGTATCCTGCGGCGGTGCATCTCCAAGAAAGCTCGCAATGGTAGGATCATATGTCCACTCTGGTAGATAAATGTCGTCCGGGCTTGAAGCTGTCGGTGTCTCCCTCGACGTGGTGCGACGTCGTTTTGGACGCGAGGAGTCTTCAGTGCCAACAAGGGTATCCTCTGCGACTGGAAAATCAGGCTCCTGCGAATCTGGTCGGTCCAGTCCATCTGAGAATGCTCGCTTGACGGTATTAATGAAGTAGACGCCACTGGAGCTGCCGACGAACTGGCTGTCTTCGTTCGAGTGGGCTGTCAAGGATCCGATCTCCGACGAGGTTGGTGCATACTCTGGTGGCTCCATGCCGAATTAAACATCACATCGTAGTAACTTGTAACGTGATCTTCTATTTTTGTAAGATTGATTGATTCACGATGTCTCTAGTCACTAACTGGCTAGGTTAGACGCCGGCGGTGAAAATTAGGCATGGTCGAAATTGATGCCGAGGTTTCCGCCGCTTGAAGGTTCTACCGATAGGTCAGACCCGTTGATTTGCAGGTAATCTTCAAGTTAGCTTGACTCAGTAAAAATGGTATACCCCGAGGAAAATCTGGTAAAGCAAGGTGGGCAAGACAACCCGTTCATTCGAAATACAGCACTGGAACTCAAGCACTGCTGAATCGAGCACACGCCCTATCCGTGAGGATCATAATTCTCTATGTTACACTCGTATAGCAGGAAGATACGAGACAAAAGCAGAAGAGACCAGGTACGAAGAAGACAATCGTCACAACTCCTTCCCGGTAGCAAGCAGAATCAAAAAAGGGAAGGGAGATCACAGAAGAATCAAACCCGCATCCAGCGCCATAGATAACTTTTACCAATCTCCCTCGTACGAAGCTTGCTCTTCCCCCGATCCGGGGCCCAGGACAAGATTGAAAAGGAATGTGCTCTAGTGAAACGAATGGGAGGAAGAAATGAAATAAAATGTTGTGCCGCGTTCCTAAAAACACCAGTAGGTGACACTGCTAACACAAAGAACTTTTCAAACCGAGGGATATCAGGATCAGGAGAAGAATGAGAAGCGGTCGTCCCAGGAAAAAAAAAAAGGAAAAAAAGAAAAAGCAGTCAAAGATAAATAGGAAAAGGTCATCAAAAACGTGCGTCCAAGATACCGAGCAGCGGCGCATAGACAGGAAGGATCCAGGTTATGAACCCTCGTCTGACCGTGGAAGAGCACTCGCTTACGATTTGTTGTCCTCGGAGGTAGTTTCCTTAGCGGCCTCCTGGGGCTTAGAATCCTCAGCAGCGTCACCCTCGGTTCCCTTGTTCTTCATGTACTCGTCATAAACGCTCAAAGCCTCGTCGACCTTGGCGCGGAGGGCATCCTCATCATCAAGCCTAGAAAAATGCATGTTAGGTAAGATTTCACATATGAGTAAGGATAAGTCGAAAACTTACAATCCGAGGAGCTCAGCGTTGTCCATCTCCAACAGCATACCAGTGATCTTGCCAGCAAGCTCGGGCTGCTGAGCCTGGATCTTGGGATACAGAGCCTCGCCGAGCATCTGCTTCTGCTGGGCAGGAGGAGCGTTGAGGAGGGCCTGATTCTGGCTGCCAGCAACGTCATCGCGAGGCTGACCACCCGGAGCAGGCTGACCACGGCCACGGCCCATCTGAGGACCACCTCGGCCGAAACCAGGACCACCGCGCATACCGCCAGGGAAGCCACCGGGAACCTGACCACGGCCACCAGCACCACGGCCGTTAAAGCCCTGGACTTGCATGGGGTAACCCATGCCGTTGGGCATGCCACCAGGACCCTGCATACCCATGGGCATGCCTTGGAAGTTAGGCGGAATCTGCTGGTTGGGGATACCACGGCCACCCTGCTGGGGAAACCACCAGGGAACTGACCGGGGCGAGCACCGGGGATACCCATCACCATACCAGGCTGGGGGAAGGGCATACCGCCGCGCTGACCACCGGGAATAAAGCCTTGCTGGCCGGGAGGGTAGAAAACGGCAGGCTGCATGTAAGGCTGGGGCATACCAGCGGCGGCAGCAGCTTGCTGCTGACGAATGGTGTTGCGGGCCTGGATGCTGGCCTCCAGCTGGCTACGGCGGACGTCCTTGCGCTGAGCAAGAGCAACGTAGAGGGGCTTGCCGTTAACCATGCGCTGGTTCATCTCAGTGACAGCCTTGGAGGCCTCATCAGGGCTGCTAAAGCAGACAAAACCGAAGCCCTTGCTCTTGCCCAGGGTCTTCTTCTCGGCAGGCTCGCCCTCGGTCTGCTCGCCCTCATCGCCCTCTTTCTTCGCCTCCTTTTCTTCCGCCTTGGTCTCTTCCTTGGCCTCCTTGTTCTCCTTGTTCTCTTCTTTCTCCTCAGATTCGGGGGTAGGAGTACGCTCGTCAGTGACGTTGTCGCGCATAACCTTGGCGGAGGTAATGACACCGTAGGGCTTGAAGAGGTCACGCAGCTTCTCATCGTCAACGTCATCGGTCAGGTTCTTGACGTAGAGGTTGACGCCCTGGTACTTGGAAGCTTTCTCCATACGGGCAGCCTCGTACTGCTTGCGGAGCTCTTCCTCACGCTCGTGCTTCTTCTGGGCACGTCCAACGTACAGCTTTTGACCCTTGACTTCCTTCTCGTGCATCTCTTCCACGGCAGCGTGGGCGCTCTCGTGGGTGGAGTAGTTGACGAAACCAAATCCACGGCTCTTGCCATCCTGGTCGTGGCTAAGGGTGGCAGAGGTAATCTCACCAAACTTCTCGAACATGGTGCGGAACTCATCGTCGGAGATCTCGAGCTCCAAGTTCTTAACGTAGATATTGGTGAAGTTGGCCTTCATCTCCTCGAACTTGCTCTGGCGGTCCTTCTTGGAGATGTGGTGACCGACGAAAACCTTCTTGTCGTTCAGAAGCATACCGTTGACGTGCTTGATGGCATTGTTAGCAGCCTCGGCGGTCTCGTAGTGGACGAAACCGTAACCCTTGGAGTTACCGAACTCATCCTGGGCGACCTTGCAACTCAGAATGTTACCAAAGGCGGCGAAGGTGTCGTGCAGGGCCTTGTTATCAATGGCGTTGTCCAGGTTCTTGATGAAGACGTTGCCTTGGCCAGTCTTGCGCAGAGCGGGGTCACGCTGGGACCACATGATACGGCAGGGCTTGCCCTTGATCAGGGTGTAGTTGAGGTCCTCCAGAGCGCGTTCACCGTCAGCTGTGTTGTTGTAGTTGACGTAGGCGTAACCGAGGGAGCGACGAGTGACAGCATCACGGCAGACACGAATGGAAGCAACCTGGCCAATGGAGGAGAAGAGCTCGTAAAGCATGGCCTCAGTCACGGAAGGGTCAAGCTCGCCGACATACAGAGAAGCGGAGTGGGGCTGGGCGTTGGCAGCAGCAGCGTCGCTGGTGGACTCAGCGGGGGCAGTAGAGGCGCCGTTAGCCTCAGAGGCTTCAGGGGCGGTGCCCTCGGCGACAGTGGGGGTGGTGGCAGCTTCAGCAGACATCTTGAAGTTTTTATTTTTCTGCTCAAGTATTAGTCAGTATATGCTCAGTTCGGGTTGTGTGAAAGTGGGAAGTGCTGAAGGTTACACGGCATGCTATGCAGCCTCTTTAATGAGGCGAAGGCTTAATGCCGGGATAGAAAGAGGGGAGATCCAAAGGGGAATGTGGGTGCTCTCCACGCGGCCACGACACAACAAAGGACCCTTCGGTTGAGGGGGAGGGGTCGACGCGTTTTGAAGTTGCAATGCAAATGTTTCTCAAATTCGATGAGGGGCAGAGCAGATCCACATGGTGGACGGGTGGGAGTTTGTTTCAGGAGGGCGAAAATGCATGCAGTCGCAATCATCTCCACAAAGAGCGAAACTGACCTGGTAAAGTGGCGGATGAATGTTATTCAACACACCGCACAATGGAGGAGGGGTGAGATAAGATAGGGATTTTGGTTTTTCGGGGGGGGTTTTCTGGTTTTTTTGGGGATTTTTTTTAGGACTTTCGAGGAAGCTTCGAAAGGGAAAAAAAGGGATTCCCTGGAAAGAGAGGGTCTGTTGGTGGTAAACGGAGGGGATGAGGAAAGAAAAAAAAGTCGACGGTGTAAAAAGCGTTTCTGGAAAACTCAGCGGAGCGGACGAATGCCGCTATACTATATTAGGCAGGCGGTACGCTACCCTTTCAGGGCTCGGTTGCCCAATCATCGGATTTCCTTCCCTTGGCTAATACTGTGTATACACGATGCTTCACAGAAGAAAAGTCAGTTTAGGAAGTAACTTTTTATTCATTAGAGATTTTATGGGAAAAGCCTTGTATTCTATGGACCTTAACAGAGAAGAAAACATTGGTCGAATATCAGAAATGAACCACCAGAATTTCTGCAGAGTCCGCCATTTGTCCCGGTTTCCCGCACAAATGCTGACACTCGGTGGATCGCTGGCCCAATGAACAGGCTCAGATTTTGCCGGACGCCAATTGCTATGCATACACATTCACTGCCAGTGAAGTAAACGGCTAACACATAGATACAGGAAATAAGAGAAGAAACAGGAAGAGGAAAAAAAAGAACGAAACAGAGACGAGAGACATGGAATTAACTCAGATCAAACCCGGCACCCGAATTGACTGCATACAACAATTTCTCACGAAGAACCTCGGCGGTCGAGTATCGAGGCAGCTTGAGCAAATTGACACAGGTACCGGAACTTGGGAGTCGTTGCTCGCTTTCGCTTGAGTCCCGAATGCAGAATGGAGGTCTAAGGTGGCTGAAGCCAAGGAGGGGAGCACGAGGAGTCGAAGTCACGAAGCGGAGAACCATTTGTTTCTCTTCGCATGTCAATTCGTGCATTACTTGCCAGAACAGTTGAACGGTGGGGTGTTCCTTCCCGTCATCTCCAATCTCGTAAACGCCGCCGTACACTGTGTTGCGACGGAGATCTTCCACATCAATGTCGCGTGTCTCACCGCTCACAAGTCTTTGTAACTCAGCCTGGTTGAACATTGACAACCAAGCAGGTTGGATAATCTGCCCCAGCCCTTGGAGAAAGGCATTGGTTTGATGTGCCTGCTGTACCTGCAGACGGTAGCGGGCAATACAAGATATGTAGAGCAGTCGGTTTACATTCGTCACTGGGATGTTCGAGCCATTGTGGATCAGCTCTTTGGTCAATGCACGGGAAGTGCCGTCTTTTTTAGGAATGATGTCGGTAATGGAGAAGTCAAGGCCGAAGTCCTCTTCCACATTCCCCGGGTAGTTCTTGAGTTTGAGCTAAAGAGGGGTGATCAGTAGTTTAACTTAATGTAGGTGTAAGCAACAGAAAACTCACAAGACCCTGGTACAATCCCGCATCAAGATCCTTCAAGTCGTTAAGATTCGCTCGATATGAGGACTCCCTCAACGCAGAGCCGGTACCTCCAGTCAAGGCCCACTTCAACAGGAAGAATGGGACAAATTGGGCATCCACCAGAATACCCTCGTAGAGACATTTCCCAATGACGCGTCCGAGAAACTCGTACCGGCGTAAAAGTTCTCGGACCTTTGCAACACAAGCAGGGTCCGAATCTTTCATTCCACGGGCCCGGAACTCCTCTCTGACTTGCTCGACAATGGTGGGACTGGGATACAGCAAATGTTGGTCGTTCTCAGCAAACATATTAAATTCTCGATCAACCTCAAACCCTTCCTTGATGACGAGATCGAGGAATTCTTTACCTACACCGCCCCCATCGATGCCGGCCTCTGGGACACCAAATTGATCGATGAAGGTGATCTGTATAGGCTCCTTGAGACCGTCTCCTAATGCATAGAACTGATCCAGAGCATCATCAAAGATATGCTCACGGCGAATATCACCCTGATGCCGAGAGAGGATTTCATGGCCAGGATGGTGTTGACCAGTCAAATGGGACTGTACCAAGTTTGCACGCCAAGAATCAGGGTCCACAAACCCGTCTCGACGGCGGAGCTGATCGTGGTGGATGAATTCTCGGAATATTTCGACGCGGGTGGCGAACGGAATGAAGAAAGGCATGTTGCGGAGAATCTCCAACCTTGGCGCAATTGTTGCGAGAATGCGTTTTCGTGCGATTCGCTGCTGATGCCGTCGCAAAGATTCGAGGCGAATTTGGAGCTGTGCATGGCCAGCGCCAGCCAAGCCAGCAAGTTCACTGGAGTGATCGTTTGATGCATGCTCCATCAAGTCCGCGTCCTCGTCATCCCCGTCCTGAGCTTCTAATTCGTGTCTTCTTTCCTCTTCAGCGACAACTGTGGAGATGAAACCATCCATATCGAAGTGGCTGGTCATCAGCCAGTGGTCCGGGGGAAGGAATTTTCGCCGGGAGCTAGGAGCGTCAGAACAATCATTCATTATCGTTATTAGAGATATATAACTTACTCTCGTTCATGGAGCATTCGAAGAAGTCCCGTTACGAGGCCCTTGAAATAATCGAGGGGAATCCCTGTCACGCCTGGAAGACAGTTATTTGCAGTTTTTGATACAACTGCCCTGTCATTTGCAAGAACTGCGGAGTCTGTGTTTTGGTTGGCGCTATTGAAGTAATTATTCAGATTGATGGTTGTTGGTCGAAGCGCTGGTTCGCTCAAAGTGACAGAATCCCAACAGAGCGTGAACGCCAGATGTTTGAGGAAGACCGTCATGTCTTTGATCTCTGCCAGAGGGAGCGCACTCTCCCTCGTCCATGAACCCTTGTCACTGTCCTTCGAAGAAAAGGAAGAATCACCTGAGAAAAACTCATCATCATCCATGAGTTTCAGGACGAAGGTATAGAGCTCCATGAACAGCAAGATTGTGGTCCACTCTTGATCCCGTTGTTCTTTTGGCACATTGAAAGAACCTTCTGCATCCTCTGGTACTTGAATCTGCTGAAGGACTTTGCTTAAATCACTGCTGATTATCTGAAAGACGCGACTGGTACGGGATGCTTGCCAGAAAAATTTGATGGCAGAGACCTTTGCATGCGGTTGCCCTGCCACCTGCTCACCGGATGATGACGAGCCTAGGAACAACCACATTCGGATGTCATCGCCTCGGCGAGGGAAAATTCTGAGTAGATTCAATGCGTATGCCGCTAGTATTCTGGCCTCCCTCGAAGAGTCTGACTGGCCACCAGCAGAATCGGTAGCTGGGACACCTGAGATCATACCCGATGATCGAATTGGAGATATGAGACCGGTGACATTATGTTGATGAACAAGACTCATGAGTTGATCCTTGATGAATGGATGCAGAGGACGAATAGCTTGAGGAGTATCCATATCACTGTGATCTTCTGCTTCCAAACCTTGCATCAAGTATGTTGCGGTGGAGTTTAATAGCTCCGAAACCACAGCCAGAAACTCCAACTCCGGAGGTCGGATGTTCGCCTTCGCACCGAGGGCATATCGATGGAAGAAAATGAGGTAGGATAAGAGCCATGTGCGGTTCTGGATGTTCTTCAATGCGCTGGACTTTTTGTAGGAAGGGGCAAGGCAAGTCGACACTGCTAAAGCAAGCATTCTGTAGTTTATCTGACTGGCGAATCCATTAAGGCTTCCCAAGAATGACTGGAGGTCCGGAATTATGAGGTACGATGTGGCAAAGGCTTCATATGCAGATGTTGTTTCAGAGGTGATAGGCTTAAGCAGGGCAAGAACACCTTCTTCAATTTTTTCCACAGTCAACTTGACCTTGCTTTTGGTGGTCAAGAACGCCATGGTTTCGAAGTAGGCATCTGCAACCTTCGCCATTTGCTTTGGAATAAGACTGGTCAAAAAGATTACGCCTCGCAAAAGTGACTGGATAGTGGACACAGATACCGAAGAATCAGATGACAACCTCAGTGCATCAAGCAGAGCGACCGCCAGCCGCAGGAGAAGGTTTGTCCATTCCCCTTCCGCAGCCATGGTGGGAAGGCTCTTGAACGTTTGCTCAAATGCATCCACAAGATATTCAAGGCGGAACACATCACCAGGGTCTCGAGGTGATGCAAACTGGACCAATAACCGAAGTTGGGCCCGGCACTGCTCTGCTGTAGCATACGGAGCCGGACGCTGAGGAGGGAGCCCCGGGCAAGCCCCCTCAAAAGACTCTGCGGCATCGATATCCATAGCTTCGATGGAAGCCCGTTCATTTCGATCCCATTCTGATCTCCACCGTGCGTATGTTGTCCTCCTGCTCCGATATCCCCGCCATGTCCGCTGTATAACCCGCGCAGCGTTCTGTTTCTCCCTCTCGCGCTGCCGTTGAATACGTTCTTGCTGGGCAAAGGCGACGGCACTTTGAGGGCTGGCCGCTCGAGGAGAAGGTCTGCCAGGCGCGTTGCCTGGAAATGCCGCGAACGGGTTTGTTGCGCGGCCGCTCAGGTTGACTTGCCGCGGTCGACGAGAGTTGCCGGTAAATGACTGGAACATGATGAGGGTTCCGGAGCCAGGCAAAATGCTTCAAATTGCAATAATAAGTGTGGGAAATGTGCTTGTGAGGCCGAAATTAAGTTCTCACAATCCCCATCTCTCGTGGGGGAGATGATTTGAAGGAGCACTGGAGATACGAAAGCATGGGCTTATCGCTATGTAATGTCGTTTGGCAAATCAGGCAGTAAATGCCACTTTCCCTGACCGCTTATGTGTCCGCCTTCCTGTTATAGTGAGTATACAATTAACCTTCGCATCCTATCATGGCAATACCTCGGTATGTAGCTTACTAGTAGTAGTCAGAATCCTAGGGGAATCAGTAATAGACTCAGTTAATATCTTTCTGGAAAAAAACAGGTTCTGTTCCTAAGCTCATCTCGGCAGGCACATCTTACATTTACATGCACCCTCAGGTTCCAAAAACGTACTTCGAGCTCATTCTTCAAATTTCTATTAATAAGCTGCTTGTTCACCTTTTTTCATAACTACTGGTGACCTGCAGCACCATGGCCGAAATAAACTTGATAATCATACAATGGAGCATTCCTCCCTTGGTGTTCCTGAACCGGGAGTGCTCATATTCTACAATAGTAGTATTAGTGGGTAGCAGCTGGTTTAAACTAGGTTGACTGATCTCAATGTGGCAATTCAAAGAGTTCTGGGACATTACTGGAACGATTTGGAATAATTGAATCTGAACACCTTTGTGCAAGCGCATTGGAAATGCATCTAGGATCGAATTTAAAGAACCACAAATGTAGAGGGCTTTATTCGTCAAAATGTTCTCTGAGCTGGTGCTGAATGCAGAAATATGCATCCAGGTCTAACAATAAATTATGCTGTACATATAATACACAGAGATGTGGTCGTCCAGCGAACGGTAAAATAGTAGGTAAATCGGGAAGGCCATCTATGTGCCTTGTTGGAATTTCGTGGGGGACGAGCGCTTGAGCCACATCTGCTAAGTGTGAGCCAGTGCCATATGGTCATAGCCATCAGCCACCGCTTCATCTTGCCCAGCGAGGCTTTCCTTGAAGTTTCATGGTCGGTTGTCTCCGGCGGCAATGCTCGCGGGGCAGGACGTAGCAGAAAGATGACGATGACGGCTTTTTCGGATGCAAATTGCTCACCTTCAGTTTATGAAAAGTTGCCGTTAGGCGGAGTTCATGGGCTGACAGGCTTTGCAGCCTCACGCAGCCGCTCTGCCCTCTCGGCCTCCTCTCTCTCGGCCTCATGCTGGCTGACTTCTTCGATATTCAACTCGTTCCACAACTGCAGATAGTCACTGCCCTTCATTCTATCGACGACTCTCACTTCGCGCCCGTTTCGATGGAGGGTCTGGACGTAATTATCCCGCTTTGGATCCACTTGGTTCGAGACGAATGGTGTGAGCTGGCCACCGAGTCAGTATGCAATCACAACAAAGCCTGAGGGCTTCCTTACATTGAAATCATCCAAGTCATCTGGAGCAACATATGTGCGGATCTTGGCCCAATCCAGCACGTACTTCCCCTTCTTCTCGAAGTGACCCATTGAGCCCGTGCGAGTACCCTTGTAGTACCCACCACCGACCTGCTTGGTCGTGAGGCGCAGGCGCGCCATCATTTGAGGTGATGGCTTGAACATATTGGCTGGGTTTTTGACGAACTGACGTGGTGAGAAGAGCGTGCGCGATAGCGGAAACACGAAGTTGCAGGTCAGGGCGGTCTGCGCTAATCACCGAGAACTTTTTTTCCGCCAGCAAAAAAAAAAGTCGAACCCGCCCAAGCCAGCACCACATTCAACTGCCCGATACCAAGCTTGAAAATTGGCCCTGGTGCGGAGAGTTGCAGCTACCCACTTCTAATTTCTACTTGATTTTGAAATTTTCCAATATTGCCGCCACCATGCCTCGCAGCCAAACCCAGTTGCGGGGCCCCAAGGACCGGTCCTCGAAGAAACCGGCGCAAAAGCCAAAGCGCAAGAATGCCCGGGCAATGAATGCTTTATCTATTGCTGAACAGGAAAATCCAACTAAGCTTGGTGTCCGCCGCAATCGCCTCGGATTTTACGATGATGGTCAAACCCCAAAAAGATACTCGGCCCGTAACGAGGACGAGGACGATGAAGACGATGAACCTACCTATAAACGCCGACGTACAAATACCGAACCTGATGAAAACCACGGCAGTGATAGTGAAGGCCATGAGTGGACGCTTGGGCAAGTGGATAGCGACGACGACAGTGAGCTAGACAGCGACGAAGCCCTAGGTTCTAGCGACGAGGAGCGCTTTGAGGGTTATACGTTCCGCGGAAGTTCTAAGAGCAAGCCGGCCAAATCTAAGAAGCCCACATCCAAAAAACATGCTGCGATTAGCCTATCGGAAGACGTTGAATCCGAGGAAGAGTCACTCGATAACGAGGAGGACGAGGAAGACGATGATCTGGGAGAGGATGCTGTAGATCTTGCGACCGCCTGGGACATGAACACTGCCGAGGAAGAAGCAGACGCAAAGAGGGCTTCTAAAAAGGCTAAAAAGGCTGCTCTCGATATTGACAGTGAAGGCTCTGGCTTCGGCTCGGGCTCAGGCTCAGAATCAGACTCAGAATCAGACTCAGAGGGCGAAAGCGAGGGTGATGAAAGTGACGACACTGGACTGTCATTCTCTGATGACGAGGACGATACGAAAACAGATGGCCTTTCGAAGTTGCAGGATTTTGTCAATTCTATGGCCACCACAGGTCGTAAAAAGTCCTCACAAAAGTCGCAGGAACAGGCTAAGCCTTCGGAATACGGCCTGACGTCCTCCCGCAAGCTGACTGTTGCCGATCTTCTCCCCTCGATCACAGATTCTCGTCTCAAGAGCTCTCTCAAACATGTGGATGCTACACCCGAGCTGTCCAAGGCTGGAATCCCTGGCAAACTCGATGCCCCTTTGGCAAAGCGCCAGCAAGACAAACTTGACCGCTCTGCTGCCTACGAGAAGAGCAAAGAAACTCTTGACCGGTGGCTTGAGACTGTCAAGGCTAACCGCAGAGCCGAGCATCTCTCATTTCCTCTCCCTGACCCCGATGCAGGCCAGGTGGATCGTATCCAAGTGGTGAAGCCGGCCAATGACCTGGAGACCACCATTCAGAGCATTCTGGCGGAGAGTGGACTCGTTGAATCAAACGGCAAGTCCGCGGAAGACCAAGTTCAGAATTTTGAGAACCTCGAAGCCCGAAAGCTACCAATTGAGGAGATTCAGGCCCGACGTGCTGAGCTTAGAAAGCGACGCGACCTGCTCTTCCGTGAAGAAGTCCGCGCTAAGCGTATCAAGAAAATCAAGAGTAAGTCTTTCCGTCGTGTCCACCGCAAGGAACGCGAGCGCCTTGAACAACAAGAACGCCAGGCTATGTTGGAAGCCGGTGTCGACATGGATGAAGCGGATCGCGATAAGAACGAACGTCGGAGGGCCGAAGCTCGCATGGGCTCTAAGCACAGGGACAGCAAGTGGGCCAAGAGCTTGAAAGAAACTGGCCGAACCGCTTGGGACGAAGAAGCCCGCAACAACGCGGCCGACTTGGCGCTCAGAGAAGAAGAACTTCGCAAACGGATCGAAGGAAAACGTGTCACCACTGGCGACGACGACTACCTTGGGTCCTCAAGCTCGGAATCGGATGATGACGATGACCCCTGGGCCTCGGATGCTTCTGAGAAAGAGAAGGACAAGATGCGGAGCAAGCTCAGCGCATTGGAAAAGACTGAGAATAACGAGGAAATCAAGGGACCTCACTCAAATCTATTCAACATGAAGTTCATGCAAAATGCTGAAGCCTCTCGTAAGGCCGAGAACGATGCAGAGATCAGAAGACTCAACCGTGAATTGCGTGGAGAAGAGTCGCAGTCTGAAGCAGAGTCTGAAGTCGGCCGACGTAAGTTTGGGCAATCAAAGAAGACAGGGAATGAGCCCAAGATCAAGGCGCCTGCAAGGAATGACTTCGAAGAAGCGCCTGATTCCGACGAGGAAGATCAAGGCGCAGATCACTCGGGCGCCACCCCCATGGTGGATGACTCGGCGAAGAAACCTGCAGCAAAGAAAGCTACCCTTTCAGAGCCAAAGAGTGTCAAAAATGCTCCCCGACCTTCGCAGGCTATGTTCAGTGAGCCTAAGGAGAAGCTTGAAGAGAACCCGTGGCTGGTTTCAACTGAGCGCACTAACCGTCGCCGGACTGGCGGCGATGCGAACGATGCTATGGATATCATTCTTGATGACGAACCACCTCAGCCAGCCAAGGAAGCTGCTCCCAAACAGAACAAAGCCAGCAAGGCGGTCCAAGCAAAGAAGCGTTCTAGACAAGATGACAGTGATGAGGAGGAGAATGAACCTGTCCTGCTCAAGAACCATGACTTGGTCAAGCGAGCATTCGCTGGTGACGAAGTCGTGCAAGATTTCGCTCAGGAGAAGATGGACACGATCGAGGATGAAGGCGACAAAGTCGTGGACAACACTCTTGACGGCTGGGGAAGCTGGACCGGCGAAGGAGTCAGCAAGAAGTCACAGAAGAACAAGAAGCGATTCCTGACCACTGTCGAGGGTGTCAAGCCAGAGCAGCGTAAGGATGCCAAGCTCAGTCGGGTTATCATCAATCAAAAGCGAGTCAAGAAGGTCAGTCTCCATAGTTTAGTTCGCTGCTGGCTGAACAGATATACTAACTTTTTCTCTTAGAACACCAAGTACATGGCCAGCCAATTGCCCCATGAGTTCGAGTCGAAAGCGCAGTACGAGCGGTCCTTGCGGATGCCATTGGGCCCGGAGTGGTCCACAAAGGAAACGTACCAGGATGGTACCAAGCCTCGCATCTTGATGAAACCAGGAATCATCAAGCCTATGGAGAAACCGATGGTATAAGGTGCTGTCGAGGTTTCACCTTGTACATATTTGACAGTAATGCATATCCTATCCTGCAAGCTAAAATTGGAAGCGGAATCCAAAAGTTCAATTTGCATCTTCAAAAGAGAGCCGTGCTTCAGACCTCATGCTAGTGCTGGTCATGATAATACTCATTGGTTGTCACGTAATTATACTGCAATGTAGCATGATCGAAGTCCTATAATAACAATCCCATACGGCTTTTTAGTCTAAGTCCCGAGGAGATTCATTTTTGTTTTCATCAAGTCGTTACCACATCTCAAACCATCCTTTCCAGTAATCAGGCCCCCGGCTTCTCCTGCCGATCATTGTTTCCAGTCGGCAGGTCGAAATCCATTACCCATGGCGCGTTCCGCGGATCATAAGACAAGGTACATATACTCGCATTAACAAAGATCGTCTCTTTCCCAAACCTAAGGGGCCGCTCGCCCGTGGAGCTCGCATCATAAAATGCGCAACGATTGTCAAGCATTTCTTCCTGGTCAGTAGGAATGTCTTCTTGCGAAACCCCTCCACCGGCCTCTGCATCCCAGACTCCACGGACACTACCCCATGCTTCGTGGATATGACCGTACAAGTAAAGGCGTGGCCGGGCCCGTTCGGCTGCTTCGAGCAGATTTTCACATCCCACATGCAGCCCACCACGACGGACGCGGTCAAGAATACCGAATGGAGGGCCGTGGGTCAGCATTATATCGACCTGAGGGTGGTCCGGAACAGGATTGGCGGGGACAGGTTTTCCTGAGCCCGGTACAGGAACGTTGAAGCGGTCCTCGTCGCGCGGGTAAGCAAAGGCCCACCGGAAGAATTCTGGTTGGTACGGAGAGGCATATACTGAGAAGCTTGCGCCATTCGACAGCGTGAAAGTGTGAGTACCTTCTTCGAGGTACCGAATGCCACTGTCCCAGGCTGCTTGGTTGGTGTAGAGATCCTTGGCAGAACGGGCGTATGCTTTTAGTTCTTCGGGCGGCGGGAAGTGGCCCTCGCGGAGAGTATTTGAGATTGTTTGTTCGTCGTCATCGAAGGAGCTCTGCTCGGCAAGGTCTTTATAGAGAATCCTGCGATGGCGGAAGAACCCAAAGCTCGTGAAATGGTCTTCGTCGAGCGTGATGTCGTGGTTCCCCGCGATCACGAGCTTGAGTTCGGCATCGGCAGCCTTGAGCATTGCAATTGTCGTTTCGTGCTCGGCATAGTAGCCCAGTTTTGTGAGATCGCCCGCGTGTATCAGAATGTCGGCTTTTGGAAGCGGATTGCGAAATGGGTAGTCTGTAAACCTCGCGGGCCTCGGCGTATTGGTATGAGTATCGGAGATCATACAAATGCGGGTTTTCACCCCCGCCGGTGAAGTCATCTCGGAAGCAGGGCAAAGTGAACTCGGTGCTTTACAGGTGGGAGGGATGGAGAAGAGAGCAAAGCGAGGAATTCAAGTGCGCCAACCCAACCAGCAGAAACTGTTGACGAAATGAGGAACCGCGGGGAGCACGACGTCAGTCGGAGTCCGCTTCGCAGCCGCCCACTTCACTCTATTGTTACGAGTCCAACGGAAAGCGAGAGACGTATCTTAAAAAAAAAGCTACACGGAAATGCCCCATACTACAGACAACTTTTTTATGTGCAGACACTCGTAGTGAACTCATAGTAACGTAAACAGGAAGTTCTTCCTATGGAATAGACGGCTCAGAGCTCTACAGACATTGCATCTCGTGGATGCCCAGATCATGAAAGTTTTCTGGCAAACATAGCTGAAACTCCGATAACCACCCGTGCAACGACCAACCCATACGGCCCCAACCGTATGGCTTTTCCCTTTTTGTTTTTCGTTTACTTGCGGATAGCACGCTGGTAGAAAGCCAACTCCTCACCCTCGAGGATGTAGCCGTCCACACGACCGCTCTGGCCGGGCGGGAAGCCACAACGGCGTACAGACGGCCGGACTCGAACTGACGCTCAATGGAGCCCTCAACCTTGCCGTGGTCGGCGAAGCGGGCAGCCTGCTTCTTGGTGACCGAGTTGCTCTTCTTCTCCTCAGGAGCATCGGTCTTCTGCTGGCGACGGCGGCCAATGCTGTGGCCGTAGTGAGCCTCGTACCATTGACGGAAGGGGGCGGCGTCAATCTGGACAACGGCGGAGCGGGTCAGGGTGTTGGTGCGGACCAGCTCGTTGTTGGAGGGGTGGAAAGCGACACCGAGGACACGGGTCTTGCGGGAGATACCCTCAGAGCCCCAGGAGAAGTTACCGGACTCGAGACGAAGGGCACGGAACTTCTGGTTACCACCACGGGTGCGGACAAGGTGGATACGCTTGGTGCCGATACGGGTGTTGGCGGGCTGGCGACCCTTCTCGAAAGCTCTGTTGGGAAGAAGTGTTAGACAAATTGGTTACCAGAAAGTAATTATCCCTTGGGTGTGTATTCCCAAGTCCCCTCCGTAACAACTCAATCACACATAAAATCCTTGCATCCACACAGCACGCATATCTAAGGGGGGGGGGAAACTCCAACTCAGTCGACGAGCGAATCGTACCTCTTCTTGCGGTAGAAAGCGCGCTTGGCACCAGTGGCGCTGCGCTTGTGGCGAGAATCACGCGAGATACCCATGTTTGCGGTTGATGGAGGGGTCTATCAAATCAAGATGGAAAAAGTCAGATCCAGCTCGTTCAGATGACAACGTTCCCAATTCCAACACTTCAGTTTCGTCAGCAATGACCAGTCCGAGATCCAATACAATAAAGCAGGGCGCGTCGGTGGTATCTTGGGTGATATCGGCGGCGAGACGCTGCGGTTTCAAATTTAAAGATTCCTCGGTGGACTTTTCTTCTCTTCGAATGGATCACGGATGTCGAGGACGAAGCAGAAGTGAAGGAATCAGGAAGCCAAAGAGGTCGAGAGTAACTCACCTCTAGCTCTGCAGCCCTTCACCTGTACGCAAAACGATTGTCGATGGGGTTGTCGTTGGGAGTTGCGGTCGTGGAGTCGTCGAATTTCGCAGGGCGCACTTCCCGCTCGCTTGTGTGTGCGGTTGCCCTAATTTAGTGCGCTAAGCCGTTTGTGGACAAACAGAGTCCCGTGATAAGATGACTAAGAGGCTCGGTTGGCCACGGTCTGTGATTGGACTGTTATCGGCGGGTCCCTAAGAGGAGGAGGTGCTCTCGTGGTACTTTCTCATCAAAGGTCTCGGCTTCTTGCCCACCGGGGCAGGTGATCTTGGATTCAATCGGGTATTCTACGATAGTGTGGTTGTGGTATGTACAAGCGCATATTCCTCACCCCACCAGCTGGAGGCAGTTTCTGCCTCTCCATCTATTCCTTTTTCTCGCCCTTCTTCGCCTGCTCCGCAAATTGGCCGATCCGCTGGAACGTCGCAAATCCCTCGATGAAGCAAGACCCCGTCCATGCAAACCACAGTCCAGAGAACAAAGGTACGCCGTATGGTTTCAATCGGATGAAATACAAAAGGGCGCACTCAAACAGATGAACCGCCACCATGCTCGGGAGCAGGATAGGTTGGACCGCGTACACGAAGTTGGCAAACTTCGGCAAGTACTTGTAGCCCAAGTGCTCGTAGACCCATGACCCTGGCAGGAGGCTGCTGCGCTGGAAGCAGCTGATATATGTGAACAAGCACAGGCCAAATATCACTATGTGGTAACCATGGGGAGGAATGTATTTGGTGAGCGTAACTTCGGAGCGGCCCAACTTCTGCAGACTCTCCTTGTGCAGTGCGACCATCCGGGCGCGAGCTTCGTTGTAGTCTTTCATGGGAGGGTCGATGGGGACACAGTAGCGAATGCCTTTAGCGCGGATAATGAGATTGTCCAGCCCGAGATCTTCGACCTGAGCGCCTTGGGCATTGCTTGCGCTGACCTCGTTGAAGGCTTCCAAGAAAAGCTTGAGCGAATCGCCGTGGTCGGCGTTCATATGCTTGATGATGAAATCCTTAGACATAGTCATTGATCGCACGAGGTGCCAATGAGAGGTGTACAGCAAGAGAGGGGCAGCGATAGCTTCGGAGCGCTGGGTGTGCAAGAGGGAGAAAGTGCCAATAAAGCGCCGATCTGCGCCAAACCCCGGACCTCGGCCCCAACCATGTCCACCTGCCCACCTGACCCGCTTCGGTCGATATTCAAAGATAATAGGAGCGATCCCCTTAGGCTCTTTTAATATACTATCCAGCTTTAAATCCTGGGCTCTGCCGATGCTGGCTACGACTAGTTGACTTTCTAGGTTGGTTTCGAACATGAAATGTATATAACCACGGTCATCGTTGCACAAGTGGTTTGAGCGATTACATACTTGACGCCAATTATTTGTCACAGGTAAGGCCCAGAGAAGTAAACAAGGGAGATAAATATGTAACAAACAAACCCAAAGGTTCTATACAAGGAAAAATAGACAAATGCAACAAGTTCGAGAGTTGCGGCGAGTACAGGGAATTGGATCGTGAATCGTGGACCTTCGATGGCAGCGAGCACTGATAAACGCCGTGCCCCAAGAAGACTCGGGGACGGAGGTATAACCTTGTATTCCAAACACAAGAGGAAATTCGAATCAGGGTGGCAACTGGGCTCGCGGATATTCTCATGCTCTGCAGTCGAGTTGATCAACTCCTAGTACCGGATTGAGCGGCGTTTCGAATAAGGGGGGAAAGGAAGACTTACATGAGAGCTAGGGTCAGGTCACCGTGAATATGAGCTTTCAACTCAATTTCAATCTCGAGGTTTAGCTCAAGCTTGAGCTTCATACCCTCCTCATCGTCGATGCTCTTCTTCTTTTCATCAATCACGTTCATGCCCCCCGAGGGCTTCTCGCCGCCAGCTGGACGCTGATAAGGCTGCATAGCACTGTTTTCCATATCATCATCCGTGAAATCATCGGAATAGTAGTCATCGTCGTCCGAATATTCTTCCAAGTCGTCCTGCTGCTGAGGCGGTTGCCGCCGACGACGTTGAAGCTGGTTGTTCTGGACTGGGGCATTATCCACCTCATCCTGGTCATCTTCCGAGTAGTCATCGGCACTATCATAGTCCTCATCCGATAACTGGTCATCGGGGATCTCAAACTGCTTCTGTTTCTCCTGAGGCTTTTCGGCGGTGGCCATGGTGGTGTTGGCCTCGGGATTAGGTAGGGGGTGTGGCGGCTGAGAGTCTAATTGGGAGTAAAAGGCAAGCGAAGATGGGAGTGTATAGAATTAAGCAAATAGTCAACTTTCGCCAACAAGAATGGAGGCAGAAATCAATAATATGACTACGGTGATCAGGGAAAATAGGCAATTTGGATGGAGGGACATCATGATTATCAGGGCTGTCATGACGTTAGCGGCGGCTGTTGTTACATCTCCACTGTCATGCAGTACCGAGTTTCCCCCGCCATAAATGAATTTCTAAAACAAGGACCACTCGCGTCATACGAATGGTCCCTGTCCCACCTGTTATCCTGGAACCGTACGCAGTAATCCCACGTATTCGTGCGCTGTTGTTATTTTTCACTGGTACCAAGTCGGGTGGAGGGACACGTTCTACCAGCGTCGACCGGAGACTTGACTCCAGGGGCCCATCGTCCCTGGCTGGACCCGTGGCAACAGCCCATCGCCCTCGTGGTCAGAACCAGCCCTTTCGCTTTGGGAACCCAAGGTTCTCTACGCCCCCCAGCAGAGACTGTACGTGCTGAAGAAGCCAGCAGAAGCCAGCACAAATCAAGGCGTGTGGCGTCATTTGCCAACTTCGCTTGTAAAACAGCGGGAAGGCACTCTTACGTCTACTTAATATATAAAAGTGGGCCCAGAAGGGGCCGGTGCCGACGTCAAAATTGTCCGGTTCTTAACATGATTGGCGCATTCGAAGCCGGTGGAGATCGACTCTGACTCCCTCTCCCAGATCCATCAGCCAGCTGCTCCAACAGGAAAGTACCAGATATTCGATCTAAACGCCGATCATTTCGCCCGTTTTCCTTCATTTGCTAGGCTTTTTACTCGGTACCACCGTTATTGCATACGGTCTCGGGCCCCTGGTCCCTGCCAGCCCACGTCATTCTTCCCCCACACTGTTTGAGAGCACCATGGTAGCCCTGGTATAGGGAACTGGCGTCACACTTCGCGCCTCTCGAGCCACTGCACGAGAGACAAAATTAGATTATCAATTCAACATCTGCGGGTCTGACGTCGGAGGCGGCACCGGGATCGCCTGTATGTGCCTGTTTTAGCCTGTCAAGTGGCTCCACGATATAAGCAGCAGGCGTACAAGCGTGCCAATTTTGCATCCGCATACATCATACTTATACGATAATTACCCTAGTACTCTTGGTTTCTTTCTGCAACGTACCCCCTCGCACCGGTGACGCTTTGTCCCTCATAATCCACCACACCCTCCGCCAGACCACTTCATATTCACCCCGAATCCCCGCCCTCTTCTTCTTTTTTTCTTCCCATCATGGCCGATCAGGATCCCCAATCTCCCAACCCAGAGTCTGCGACTGCCACCCCTAACAAGCCAAGAAATAAGCCTCCCAAGCTTGGCAAGAAGTCTCCAGCCAAGCAAGAGCAGACCCCTCCTCCCTCCGAGCAAGGCCAGGAAGAAACCTCGACCTCCGAGGAGAAACAAGACCGCCCAGAAGAGTCCCAGGCGCCCGAAGAGGAATCAAAGGAAAAGCCAGAGGCCCAGCAGCAAGAGCCCGATTCCGAAAAGCCTGCGCAGGAAAGCAATAAGGAAAGCAACGAGGAAGCTCAGCCCGAACAAGAGCCCGAGCCTCAGCCCGAGCCGCAACAAGAACCTCGTCGCCGTCGACGCCCAAGACCTGATCCCCGCCGTCAAGAGTCAGACGTCGAATCAATTGCCCGCAGCGATATGGCCGACCAACCACAGCAGCGCCAGCGCACTCGCCGCTCCCGCCAGCCGCAGCAACAGCAGGGTCAAGACGGAGGCCCACTAGGCGGTCTCGGTGGTGTTGACCAGGCTGGTCAGCTTGTACAGAACACAGCCGGTAATGCCCTGAACGGCGTGACCGGATCAGCAGGAAAGGCCGTTGGCGGTGTGCTTGGTGGAGGACAAGAAGAAAAGGGCGACGATGGTGGCCGAGACGAGCAGCTGCGGCTGCGACTGGATCTGAATCTGGACATTGAGATCCAGCTGAAGGCTAAGATCCATGGTGATCTGACTTTGGGATTGCTGTCAGTACCGCCGTTTCTTTTCACACCCCCCCCTTTTCCCCAATTTTCTTTTTTTCAAATCCTAGTCTCAAAAATCTTGTCCGTATCTCAAGATTGCACTCATTTTCTGTTGGTGTACGGTTTCACTGACTGACATTTTAGTAATTAAACTGCCCGGCTACAGCGGCTGAAGAAATTGTTATATCTTCTATATTTGCTGCTTAGCCCCCGTCGCACCATGTGGCGATCACAAATTTCTCCGTTCCGATTTCCATCACGACGTTTCACGTGTCTAAATTCCCATGGTGACGCAAACACAAGCCGCTGGTTTCGATGTCTCTGATGCATGCTCATGTTTTGTTCGTTCGGCTGTTCGTTTCCCTAGATCTGATGGCCGTTTCCTGGTGTTTGGTCTCAAGTTCAATAATGTTGAATGTACAGTACAATTGTTTCCCCATATATAGTAGCTGTTTAAGTTTCAGCGAAAGGGATATAATGACTACACGTTCCGTACCTTGTTTATTTTCCCTGAAATGCTTGCGTTCCAGTCCAAGTCCTGGCGATTTTCCGAAAGAGCGGTTGGAATGTAGCCTAGTATGCGTAAGATGGAGGGCGCTAATCGGAGGAGTCGGGTACGGTAAAACAAGACTAATCCTTGAACTTTGAAGCTGTAAGTATAAAGAGATTTGACATTGGGATGCTTGGGTTTGGGGGCCTTCATTGGTCTTCGAAGGACCAGAGTTGATTGTGACTCGGATATTGACTAACAAAGGTTGGACAAAAAGTACATGTTGACGAGCCATATGTCTCACCGGTCTATCAAGTCTGTGCAACAAGAGATGAACGCGGAAGAACAAAACAGTCAAAAATGTAGCTATGGTCGCGTAGCGGTCTTGGGGAGGCCCAGGGCCTACGCAAAAGCAATACAAGAAAAGTCTAGACTCTAGATTGATGACCAAATGCCCTGAACAGAGAAAAGGGGAAGGGGTGGGGGGGGGGGGTATAAAAAAAAAATAAAAAGTCAAGCGATGTCTTTACAAGGACGCAATGTACATGAGTGCATAGCCGATGGTCACGATAACTCCAAAACAGAGCAAACTGGACGGAACACCCCGAGTAATGAAGTGGCGAACTTGAAGATAACGCTGCCCAGTCTGGGGCACTTCGGTCATGATAGCAGCTGCAAAACATTAGTATACGGCTGGCTCATCTGAGATTTTGGGTCAACTTACTCATATTAGGGAATCCGCTGGTGGGCAACCCCATAGCCACGGAACACATCAAAGCACTGGCCATGACCAGCAAATTCGGGTGAGGGTTCTCCATGCCAACACCAATTTGGCGGACGAGTGGTAGGATAATCAAGGCGGCGACTGTGTGCGAGATGAAGGTGGCGATGACAAGGATTAAAGCAGAGAAAACAAGGAGCACACTGTAAAGGCTCAGATGTTCGACACGGGTGGTGATATTGCCCGCAATGGTATGCAGTAAACCGGATGACGTGACGGCCTTGCCCAGGCAAAGGCCACCGGCAGCAAGGATGATGATAGTCCACAGAAAGTTGTTGAAGTCTTCTTTGTTCAGAATGCCGGTTCCGAAGAACAAAACAAGAGGGATGATCGCGATGACACCCATGTCTCCGAAAATATGTTCGAGTTGGTGGCTAACACACCACAGCGCGATGGTCCCGAGCGTTACGACGCTGATAAAATACTGGACGCCGGTAAAAGGATCTTTCACAGGGCGCATTCCAATATCGGTCTTCTCTCGAGCAGGGCGGAAAGTCACCACGAGAAGAACCCAGATCAGCAAGATGGAAGCAATGCAAACGGGCAGGGAGATGAAAAACCAAGTGCCCCAGCTAATGCTCGGGTACATGTTTTGCAGGGCGATGATGTTCTGTGGGGATGCAATTGGAGACGCTGCTCCACCAACGTTGGCTGCAAGAGCAATTCCGAGGACGAGAGCTTTCGCAAAGTCTGAGTCCGGGGACAACTTTCGCAGGACGGGTTGGATGATCGAATAACAAAGCACCGGAGAGGCAACGTTGCTGATCCACATGCTCAAAAACATACTGACAAACATGTTGGTTAATAACACAACATTGGGTTTCGAACCAGCCTTGCTGAGCACAAACATCGCCATACGCCGAGCGATATCATACTTGGAAAGCGCCGCAGCAATTGTGAAGCCACCCAGTAAAAGCATAATCACCGGAGTCCACATCGATGCAAATACCACACTCGTGGCTTCTTTAGGACCGAGTCGCTTGTGGGGCTTGTCTTCCGATCGCATGATGCCCAGCACCACAACAAGGAAGGGAATCAAAAGCGATGTCACGAAAAGTGGGATCGCCTCGGTAGCCCATAATATACTGACTAGAGTCAGCATCGCAAGACAATTTTGCTGCTCAGGGGTCTCCATCAATTGGACCGAAAGAAGAGCAGCAAAAATCGCAACACTAATTGTCAGTGTGCCGAAACTCAAGCTGCAAAGCCATAGCGGAAAGGGTATCCGACCGAGGGGCGTGCGAATATCCACGGTACGGATTTCTTGTTTGTCGCCCTGGCGTCTTGCGGTGGCAGGATCTTCGTCACCTCCTAGGAGAGTTTGGCGAATGCCAACGTTTGCCGCCTGGGCACGACGTTCGATCTCAATCATTTCTCGCCAGACCGTGTTTCGCTCCCAGACGACGTGTTCACGGAGATGAAGTCGCAATTCCCGGCTCGCGAGAGAACGATTTCCTTTGGTGATAACATCGGCATAAGTGCCTTCGATTTTATCAATATAGGAGTCCACTGCCGCCATAGTGCTCTCGGTGAATGGGGTCGCCGAGTTGACGACCGTGTTGAGGTAGTCCTTCCGCAGGTTACGGAACAGGGTTTTATCGTATTTCTTCAATGCCTTGGAGAATCCAGTCTTGTTCAGCTCAATGAATGATCTCAGTTCGCACAGAGACACATAGTTCTCAACAAGACGCTTTTTCAACGAAACGCCAGCATTATAGAGGGCCGCGAAGTTCTGATCACCATAATTGGAATCCAGAAAGCCTCGGCTGCTGCTCATGCCGTAGTTTGAGTCCATCATATCCGTTTGGTGCACATCTTCGGTGGAATATCCGTCTGTCGATGTAATCGTCCTGTTTCGCAGAGCTCCCGCAGCGGATGATTGTTCTTCGTCGCTATCACCGTCATCGTCACTTGTGGCACTATGTCTTCGTCGTCGTTGTGTAAAGTCAGGGTAGGTACTGCTAGCCCGACGGCCATTTGTGTTCAAGTTCCGGGCTCTGATGACAGTCTCGCTAACAGGATCCATGTTAACACCATCAGTGTCTGACAAATAGATCGATGCTTCCTGCATCAAGTCATCCGCCGCCTCAAATATTTCCGCTTGCTTCTGTTGGTAGAATGAACAGACTTTGTCCAATTCTGCGTCCAGAGCCCGTTTGAAGTAGCCATCCGGGTTGATTATCTGGGAGCCCAGGAGTGGAGAGGATTCGACATCTGGGCCATCTGGTGCTTCGGGTCGAGTAACTTCCTTCTCGAGGGTATAGATTCTGCACGGTTATCGAAATCAGCAATCTGAGTGAATCCCCCGTATTCTTTGATGGGGATTAAACGCCGCCAAATCCCGTGCAAGGTGACACCCGAGCTCGGAATGCATATGGCTTTCCCACGCGGATCTATGCGGCGCAATAACGCGAGCATACTATTCAAATACTGTCGAAGGTGGGAGAGAAAATACTTAATCGCGCGAACTTACATTTTCTTAAGATTGCTGTACGCGATGTAATGACTGCTCCAATCCGGTACCGCATTAAACTGAATGCTATGCGAAAACTTCATATTGGCGGTATCTTCGGGATCACGATCAATCTGATTGTGTCTTGCTGCATGCGCTCGGCGTTCAAGGGCCTCCGTCCAAAACCTCAGTCGAGTGGAGCGGGAGCCCCGAAGCCGTTGTTCGGACGGATGTGCTTTCTCCCAGTCTGTGTACGATCCAGATGGTAAGCCCACTAAGTACTGTGCATTCGGAGCTGGAACGAATTGGCGCTGGGAGCTTCCAAAGTTCTGTGCGTGATCTGGAGCTGGCTGGATTGAGCTGGCCCCGGGGATATAGTTGACGTCGTTGAGGTCGTCAAGTTCGAAAGAGTCGAGGCTCGTGCGAGGAGCCACTGTCACAGCTGGTACGGAATGGCTCGCGTCGCAGGAGCGCACGTACTAGTCACGCAAAAGGAGTCCGCTCGGGAAAAAAATGTGGTTTATTGCGGGGGCGAGGTCGATCGACGTCTGGTCAGCTAGGGCCAGTTACCAGGGTTGCACTGATGACCAGGCTGGCAAATGGAGATGCACGGCAGACTGATCCTAGGTTCAGAGCTGAGAAGGTTATTCCCGGAAACACCTGCAGAATCAAAGAACTGCTCTGCGCATTGCTTGCACGAAGGCTCGACTTCCTCCGCGGTGGTATCAGGAACATGGCCGCCCTGCTCGTTAGGATGAGTAAGCGGGGCGGTCCGACGGAGCCTATCATGCACGAGCGATATCAAGCAGGGTCCGCTAATGTAGTCTGGGTGGGTCAATGTGACCAAAAGACTCCAGAGCTCTCGCGAATAGTTGGCCATAAAATCAAGTCATTTTATTCTCATGTTGTTCGATGCAAGATTTATTGCGAAAAACTGCCTTCATGATATATGGCGCTTAGACTAAGTAATATATTTTACATGTACAGATGTTCCACTGTGATCACTTCAATCGGGCTGTGGCCTTGAGAAGTCCAATAGGAGCGATACAACATAGACTCCGGTGTCTAACGGCGTCTAGGTGCAAGTCCTAAGTTGGCACGACCCGCGATACCGATCTTGTGCTGCTGATCTCTCCGCTCCCACACACCACTGCGGCCTTCCGCAACAGCCACCAGTTCATTGGCGACACGGTGTGCCAATTGAGCATCCCGCCGCTTTGCAGAAGAATCAATAATCCATTTGATAGCAGCACGGCGACGCTGACGAAGGGTCAGTGGAGAGGGGATCTGGAGAGCAGTACCACCTCCGGCAATACCCTTGATCTGACGAATACGGAACAAGGGGGCAACCGAATCAACGATCAGTGTAAGGTAGCGAACGGGATCGAGAGGCAATTGAGGGCCAGGCGGGCCTGGCAGCAAAGGCTGACGGTGGTTGAGGTTCGGGGGGGAGCGGTGCGGAGGTGATCGAGAATGATGGACATGTTCTGTAGTAGACGGATTAGACAACAATTTCATGAACACCGCAGAAGAGTCAAACCTTTTGGGCCTTAGCCAGCTTGCCATCCTGCATAAGCATCTTGGTAAATTGGTCCTGCAAGGAATCGTAACGCTTGCGGAAGTTCAAAGTCTTGCCCTCTGGCACGTTGAACTTCAGACCAGCGTTCTCTTCCTCGATCTGCTGGACCTGGCCGATGGCCTGGGAATCCACTTCCTTGATCATGTTGGCAAGCAAAGCAGCAGACGCATCGATTGGCTCAACACTGTGCACATCAGGCAAACTGCCACGAGCTGAAGTCGAGAAAGACCGAGAGCCCTTGCTGTGCTTGAACTGCTCCTGCATGACCTTGGGCATGTGCTTCATGGCCTTCTCATCGCGCTGGAGGACCTGTTCAAGTATGTCTTTATGAGTAACTGATGAAAGGATATTTGTCTGATAGGGATGTAATTGGGGGTAATATTTACCTCCGCGACCGGAGTACCCTGTTCCAACTCCGGTGATGACGGTGTTCCATCGCAGCTCTTCTCCTTCTGCATGATGTTGGAAACCTCTGCGGCTTCTTCGCTCACAGAAGGCAGGGGGTCCTGGGTAGGAAACTCCTGTTCATCAGGCTGGATGTTTCTCGAGCCGTCGTTCGAGGAATTCCATCTTTTCTGAATTGGGGTGGATTGCGCCGCGCAGAATCGAAGCGGTAAAGCGACGTTACGCGATGTGACAGAGACAGGCGAGGGTCGAAGCGCAGCAGCGGCCCGACTGGCAGCGAATAAATTGAGCCGGGGTGGCATTTTAAGGATGTGATGTCAAAGATGGTAGTCTTGGAGATCAGGGAACCGGAGTCTTGGCCGGGAATGCGGTCTGCTGCAATTTTGCAGATGATTAGTCACCCTCGCCGCAATGACGAGGGCTACTATGAAAGAGCGATTGGCCCCAAAAAAAAATGGATTGCCTCATCTTGCTTATCTTCATATTACGTGGCAGTTGACATCGTTGCGGCTGACTTTAGAGAGTGTATTTTTTCCAGTTCGTTGTGTTGCGTGCTATTAGCGTTCATCGTCTATGAGTCGCGATCCTGGCTACCTCCAAGTACCCCCACCATTCATTGCGTTGACCAAAGCGTTTTTGGCCACAAGCTCTCCCAGCAATAACGTTGGAATATTCGGGGGATAAACAGGAAATAAAGGCGCATTCTATCGGCCAAGCTATCCTTTGTTGGCCCGATAATCGCGATGCTTGATCAACTGCCTTCAGAGATAATCGTCCATCTAGCTCTATATATTCCGTCGCTCAAGTCTCTCACAAGCCTCTCCCGGACATGTCGACGGCTCCGCAATATTTTCATTGCAGAGGAATCAGCAATTTTCAGAACGTTCGTCTTGAACAGATTTAGTGGGACTCCAACCCCTCCGTTCTGGAAAGATGCAGCTTGCGCGCTCGCAGCACGATCGCGTGCCCTGGACAGACTCGGTCTCATTGGCCGTTTCGTACCCCCATCAGAAAAAGCCATAAGGATTGGGACCAAGGAATCATCTCGTTTGGATAACCCCACGTTAGGATACAAACCCTCGATCGATTCCTATGAGGTTTGGAATGGAGAGAGCTGGGCAGATCGAAAAGAGGTGCTCGCGTGGGGAGCTGGCCACCAACTTGTGATGCGAGTCAAGAAATCCGGAAGGAAAGCCCAGGAACAGTGGGCGGTATTCAATGATGTGGAACGTCCTTCAAGCTATGATGATATATGCGGTGTTCATCTCCTTGAAGCTGAGATGAATGGCAAAGACATGGATATCGAGAACTTGATCTTCGGCCGCTGCCGGGGCGAGCTTGTACATGCTGCACTTTCTCCAGACGATGCCTCTTATGAGTATAAACATGTGTTCAATACACGTGGGCATCTATTAGATCAGACGGATCTGTATGGAAATATTTTGACCGCTCATCTAGATGATGGTTCCATTGTTTTCTACCAAATCGACGGCGACGAGAAACAAGTCGACCCTTTCGAAATCATTCCTGAAGGAGAAGGAGCAGCAGCTCGCAATCGGTATTCAAAACTTTTGTCACCAGACCGGGTTGCTGTTTCTGCTGTAAAAATATCTAATGCTTTACTCATTTCGACTATCACTCCGGATGGGCTACATGAGGAAAGAGAAATTGGCACCAAGTTTTTGGACCCTGAGGAAGAGCTCCGTGCTTCGCCGCATGCTAGCGTTTCTGCTATCGCTCCTCTTAACACACATGCACTTTCCGGTGCCCCAGGTGACGTTTTTATCGCAGCTTGGGGAGATCGTTCCATCCGACTTCATGATCTTCGATCACCACATGCCTTCGGAGGAATTTACAGGGACTCGATTGACTTGAGCCTCATCTATACGGTGCACCCATTTGGCCACAATCGGTTTTTAGCGGGAGCCAGCGGAGATGCTGTGCTAAAGATATTCGATCTACGCATGACAAATTCTTATGATTATCTGGAGGCTCGGTCTAAGCCACAAAAGACGGGCTTGGGCTACGGTCCTCAACGGGACTTTTCCCTCTTCCTTTCAGCCCACCCCAGCATTGTCACACCTCGTCAATTCACTCGAGTACACCAAGCAGGCGCCTATCGAGGTGCAATCTATTCCATGTCTTCCCCTTCTCCATCGTCGCCGACCGTCTATACCGGCATCACAGACGGAGTTATCCGTCTTGATTTTGCTTCAACAGATGACTTGACAGGGCCAGCCCAGGGTTGGTATGACTATAATCTCGATTTGGGCGTCGACACAGGCCAACCGCCAGACTCAGCAGGCACAAACAAGGTGCTCCGGATGGCTGGATACGAGCGTCCGGACCCCGACGCTGTGACCTTCACATCGAAATTGAGGAAGCAGCATGGATCGTGGTACCCAGAGTCGAAGTTCATCCATAATGAGGTAGTAACCGGCTGGGATCGACGATGGGAGCTGCAGGAGAAGCCAGGTGCCTGGAGACGCCCAGCATACCAATGAGTTGTTGCATGGAAGTGCCGGGTGTCATGAATCAGACCCGTGACCCAAGTGAGAGTAGAAAAGAGCTGGTATACCAAACAATTCATTTAGTGTCTACGTTTTGTGAGGAGAAAACAGATTCGCGCCGATATGTGCGAGCAATTATTGGACTTTTCGAGATAAAATAACATGAAAAGGTGTATAACAAGTGAAAGACACCGTAGATTTTCCGAAGCTCCATTGCGCCATGCTGAGGGAAGGTATGTCTTGAATCGAGAATATTTTTAGAATCAATTGCGAAGGCTGGGTGAACAGCAAAAGTCAAGGGCAAAACAATTGCCATAGAGTAAAAGGCATGAGATCAGCCGGAAGGTGTCGAGGCCACCGCATGCACTGAGTGATAGAAGCCTCCTTAGGCAGGGTTGACCTAGTCCTCAAACTTGAAAGACTTGCCGCCGCTGATGTCAATAGGGCCACCGCGGTAGGAGCCACGCTTCTTCTTGTTCTTCTCCTTGGTGAACCCCTTGCCACGAGTGACGGATAGGTCAGCAAAAGCTCGGTCCGCATATGCGTAAGAGACATATTCATTGGTTGGGCCGTTGTAAGGTTCCAGACTCTTTTGAGCCAGGGGGGGTGGGACGTGCTCCAACATGCTTCTTCTTGGTGGGGTTGTTTCTAGGAACAGGGCTGGCACTAGTACTGGCAGAGCTCTGAACCTTAGCAACAGCGCTATTAGTCGAATCCTCGCGAGGAGTAGTAGCAGCAATAGTGGTACTAGAATCGGAGGAAGAGCCATTGTTGACTGCAGCCCCTCTAGCGTTCTCGTCCTCAGACTCTGGAAGCGGCGTCTTCTTTGCAGCTTTCAAGGCCTTCGAATCAGCCTTCTTGGAAGGCTTGTCTGACTCGGAAGATTCTGAAGCAGATTCAGAGTCGGAGCTGGAGTCGGAGCTGGAGGCGGAAGCTGAAGAATCAGACGAGTCGGACGAAGAATCGGATGAAGAATCAGACGAAGAGTCAGAGGACGAGTCGGACGAGTCGGACGAGTCGAACGAGCTAGGCGAAGAAGACGAGGTGGCAGACTTGGCAGTCTTGACCTTCTTCGCCTTCGGAGCGGCATCGGATTCGGAGCTAGAGCTAGAGTCGGATGAGCTACTAGATTCAGCCTTGCGTTTCACGCCTGTCGACTTCTTAACAGGAGCGGAGGTGGCGGCGGCATTCTCCTCATCCTCGTCATCAGCATCACTGTCACTGTCGGAGTTGGAAGAACTGGAAGAGCTGGTAGAAGATGGAGATGAAGAGCGGGCATTTATAGCCGCCTTAGGAGCCTCGGCCATTTCAAGATCAGAGTCGGTGCTCTCGTCACTGTCTGAAGACGAATCCTCAGAATCACTAGAGCTTTCAGAGGAAGAAGAGCTGCCACTGTCAGAGCTTTCAGAGGAACTCTCAAACTTCTGGAAGAGTTTGAGCAAGGATGGCGCATTTGTCACGTCGACGGCCTTCCCATTCTTCTTCAATTCCTTCTCAAAAGAAGCATGAGTGGCAGAAAAGCCATTCTGGGAGAGGAAAAACAGAAATTGCGGACAGAATCTGGGGAGGAAGGGTCTTTGAATTGCGGGACTCGGTCTACCAAACACGATGATTTGTTAGTTGTTGGTTTACTTGCGATGGGGATATAGAGTAGTGACATACTTTCACAGCCGCCTTCTTTGCGGTACCGTCCTTAGCCATGATCTTTGTTCAGCGGCGCCTTGATCCTCTGACAGGAAATGAAGAAAGGTTTAAGAGGTATAGAGACCTGAGGTGGAGAGATATCTATAATCAGAAGCGGCCATCCAGGAACACAAAAAAAAAAAAGGGCAGAAATTTTACTTGTCGGCGGTGAACCCTTTGGATGTCCTCATTGGTTGAACGGAGAAGCGGCCTTAGTTGGTTTAAGCCTCAGGCGACACCTCTTCCGCTTCATACCATAGTTATAAGCTATGTGCCTCGATGTTAAGGATTCTTGGAGGGGAGAAGTTAAGGTAAAGTGGGCTTCCAAGCTATTGGATCATCAATCGCCCTTCATCAATATAGCCCATGGGTGCCTAAAGGTGTAGAGACTCTGTAGACCGCGAACCATACTGCGTACATCTATCTATTAACGATACCTGCACCTGTAGCCGGATCAACTTGATTACCCGCTTCCACCAGCTCCGCCCTCTGCCCGCAACCCCAACCAAGCAGACTAGCTCCCCTCCGCCTTGAGCTCGAGCTGGTCTTACCACCAATTATAGTTGCTTCCCGCACGGTCGGAAAGCAGACGATATTGTGCGCCAGTTACTCAGATGGGCTTTCGTCAAAAGGCAATTCGAAATCAACAATCGGCGCAACTAGAGAGCACGGAGACATCCATTGCCAGGCCCAACCCTCTGAGATCTCAACGATGCCCTCTGGCCCCGAGAGCATCTCTCAATAATCTCGCCACTACCAAGAATAGAAGAGGATGAATGGCCGAGATCGCTCTCGTCCACCCCCTGGCGCTGACTATCGGCGCGGGGGCGGAGGGGACGGTCCGTCCAGAGCAGAGAGGTTCGAGGACGAGAAGAAACGTATCATTCAAAGCTGCTATTCGAAAAAAGACACAGATGGAACTTGTAAGTCAAGCCCCAGTCAACCCTTCCCCATCCGAATACTCTTCGCCACTTACTATGGGTGGCAGGAGCACAGTAATACCTAGCGGAACATGATGGCTCCTGCACCCTTCCGTCACCCTGGCTGATACCCGAAGCTGAGACCGTCAAGAACCGACTCTGGGTCAATCATGCTAATTGGATGAATCTTAGTGGTCGAATCCTACATCACACATGTTCGAATCACGGAGGACTCAGCACATCCGTCCGCCCCTGCTCCACCTAATTCAGCACCCGAGAATAAGAAACCGCGTGTGATTATCGTCTCCGTCAGGAGGTCCGGCAGAGTGCGGATGCATAAAGCTCGTGAAAATAACGATGGCTCATTTTCTATTGGGAAAACATGGATGCTTGATGACCTGTCTTCAATTCTATCATACAGCTCCTTCGTGCCCAAATCGTCAATTGAAGAACAGCAGAAGGAGTGGGCATCGAATGTTGGATTTGTGGTCACCATTGGGAAGCCCTACTACTGGCACGCCCGGAGCTCCCAGGAGAAGGCTTTTTTCATCGGTAGTTTGGTGAAGATCTTCAAAAAGTATACTGGGGGCAAGGTCCCCAATTTGATAGGATTTGATGAGAAAGAGCTCGCGATGCTCCTTGGCACCGGCCCAAATCCATCAACGGGCCCATCGTCGGGACCACCTTCAAGAGGCGGCCCTGTAGAAAGGTCAGCAGAAGTCGCAACGCCCCCTCAGGTTCCTTCAATGCAAAGCAGTCGTGATGCTAGCCGCGACACACAGCGCGAGATGCGGCGCAACCCTTCTGATGATCAGACCATCAGGTCCCAGAGAAGCCGTGAGAATCTCTCCCGTCCATCTACGGGATCTAGACCTACACCTCCACCATTCGGGCCACCTCCCAATCCGCCTCCTGCCAGGCCTCTGCCCCATCGAAAGGATCTCGAAGTTTCGCCCTCAAGATTGCCTCCTCTCGATTGCTGTCAAGGGTGAAGTGCGACCGCCTTCGTCTCGAAGTCAAGACCGCCATCTGCAAGGTCAGCCGTCCGATTTTCCCGCACACTCTGTAGAGGCAGTAGCGTCAGAATCGAAGCGTAGCGGGGATGCATTGCGCCCTACTACCCCGGGTTCTTTCACTGGTGATCCTAGAGGTATCACCTCTAGCCCTGGGAGTAGCTTTGGACAGAAATCGCCATACCAGGACAGCAACAAGGCATCAACCTCGGATCAAATACCACAGCCTAGCCATGAGAGAATACCCCCACAGTTACTCCCTGCCTCGACATCTGATCAACTCAGACCGACCCCTCCACCACCGGAAGAGCTAATCCCATCTTCTCCGATGGAGTTTGACCCTGGAGTGGCAGAAGCAGTTCGCCAGTGGAACCCCACGCCAACTCCTGAGCCCGAGCCCGAGCCCGAGCCAGAGGTGGCGTCGCTGCCAGCAGCACCAGCAGCACCAGTACCAGCGCCAGCACCAGCACCAGCACCAGCACCAGCACCAGCACCAGCACCAGCACCAGCACCAGAAGCAGTACCCGCGCCAGCTCCCGCACCACCTGCGGAGGATAAGCAGGAGGCGGAAGATGGGGATGGTGAAGCACACCGTCCCGGGCTTGGGCCTATGGTCAAGAAGAAGGCTGGAGGTGGCAAAGATGTTGCAGGTGCTTTTCAGAAAGCTGCTACGGCATACGGTGCCTTCAAACCACGCGCAGGCGGTGCAGGAGAACGATTACTGGCAATGGCCAAAAAGCAGCAAGCTGGGACTGCAGGAGCTGCTCCGGATGGCATCACGGGCGTCGTTCCAGCTCCTTCGTTGACAAAAACAGGCACAAGTGACTCCCTTGGCGGACCTGCAGAGCAAGAGAAGAACGCTTCAGTAGCCGCGTCAGTGGACGAGCCGCCAGTCATTGTACCTGTGCCTGCATCTGCACCTAATTCAGCTCCTCCCAAGGTTGAAATCACTCAACCAATGGCTGAAGATGTTCAGCCTAATGACCCCCCTCCTCCCGAAAACATTCGAGACTCGATCCAGGGTATCGGCAAACTAAATGACGGTTCGAGATCACCCTCACCTGCGGCCACAGATCGGTCGAGAACACCATCCCTGCAGGCCGAGGCCGGCGTAGAAGACGTGAAGATAACACTATTAAATACTGTCAAGCTCTTGGAATTGACTATAACGTTCTGGATGGACGAGGCGTCGATTTCGATGACATTTTGACTGATTTGGGCTGGAATGGCCGACTCAACGAAGAGCAGAAGATCGAAGACTTAGAAGCGGATGTTCGTCGAGAGATTGGCCGCGTTGAGGCTACCAGCTGGCTTGGTAACCTTGAGCAACAAGAAGGAAAGGTGGAGCAGCTGGCAGTGCTCATTGACAAGACAATTGAAGAATGCGAAGAGTTGGACGGCCTTTTGACTCTATATGCGCACGAACTGAACGTGAGTCATTCTGAGAACTCCGTGTATTATCTCCTTTCGTTTAACTAACTCTATTCTAGACGCTCCATGAGGATGTCGCCTATATCGAGGCTCAGTCCCAAGGTCTGCAGGTCCAGACTGCTAATCAAAAGCTTCTTCAAAGTGAATTACAAACCCTTCTGAAGACCCTTTCTATCTCTACATCAGACCTTCGACCTCTGAGAGAGTCATCTTTGACGAGCCCAGAAGGATTGAGGGAGACAGAAATCTCCCTATCCGTTCTGTACAAGGCCATGCTCACGATTGATTCGGACATTGGCCAAAATAAGAAGCGCTTAGTTGATGCAAGCGTGGGAGTGTATGCCAACACAGAGATTGGGCAGATGCGCGCCATCAAAGAGAAGAAGGAAGAATATCATTCTACTTCTGTGGCGTTTATTCAGCGACTCAAGCAGTTTATGGCTCTTGCCTTCAAGACAGCAGAGCAAAAACGCATCGACGCCCTGAAGAACACGTCTCCAGATCCTTTGAAACTAGACAGCTCGGCTCGTCAGCATTTCCGTGAAGATGTGTGGCGTTATAACCCTTTGATCCTTTTCACTAGAGAAGTGAGTACGTCGGAATGGCAAGGTATCGTCGGCCTCTACGAACAGCAGTCCAAGCCTTCATACCAGAAGGAGTTCCGAGACAACAATGCGGCGTGGAAAATGTCTGCCCGCAAGCCTACTGGAGACGAACACGAGATTCTTTTCACCCACCAGGAGAAAGAAAAGGAAAACGAGGGTATGGCCATGGCTACTGCTCGTAAGCTGACTGTCCGACGAGGAAAGACTGTTCGTGCAGCGGCGGGATTCCGGTTGGCTTCTGTGGAGAAGAAGCAGGGCAAGGTTGAACCTTTCGAATCCTTCGCAAACACCCTACGCGAAGTCGTCAAGATGATCACCGAGGAGCAGAACTTCATTGTGGAGTTCTTCCACCTCAACTCACTTGCCAATGTTGACTATGTAGACCTAGTTGCGGCCAACGCACCGGATGATCGCCAGTGTCCCGATTTCTCTGCCCCTCAATCAAATGACCCCGACCGCACGATGGCGAAGAGAGTTGAACAAATTATGGACGAGATCTTTTCTTTCTGGCCCAATGATCTGCAGAGTATGGTTGACTGGGCTCTTCAGGCCGATCCGATGTGAGTGTCTCCCCACCTTCCTACCTTCGAAGAATGTATTAACACCCCGATTAGCCAAGGAATCGGTATCATATTCGCATTGGAAACAACCATGACCGACCTGGACGACACGAACCAAGAATTTATCATCCATTCACTACAAAAAGTGCACTCCCGCCTGATGGGCTTGTTCCACCGTTTCGTCGACGAACAGATCCGAGGCATTGAGGACACTAAGGTCAAGGTCAACAAGAGAAAGGGGGTCATCTCATTCATGCGCGTATTTCCCAACTTCTCTGTCGCCGTTGAGAACATGCTGTCAGGCCCCGCCGGCAACTTTTGCGACATTCGAGTCGCCGTCAACGACGCATACGATCGCATCAACCGAAGCATGTGGGAGTCGCTCAAATTCATCGCCAAAGAAGCTCCCGGGCAACCCCCCGGCGTGGCTGCTTCGTCAGGTGACCCCGAGGACAAGGAGGTCCTGAACTATCACATCCTTTTGATCGAGAACATGAATCACTACATTGAAGAAGTGGACACTCACAACCTCCCCGTACTACAACGCTGGATCGACCGCGCGCACCAGGACTACGACGAGCACATGAAGCTCTACCTGGATGCAGTGATCCACCGTCCGCTCGGCAAGCTGCTGGATTTCATCCAATCACTTGAAACCCTGCAGGCATCCGGCAACTCGGGCGACATTGCGACTCGCGCCAGCCACTCACGGATGGTGGCCAAGAAGGTGTTTTCGTCTTATGACTCCAAGGAACTCAAACGCGGGATCGAGTTGCTGAAGAAGCGAGTAGAGAAACATTTTGGAGATGCGGATGACCCCGGTCTGAGTCGCAGCTTAGTGATCAAGGTGTTGCGAGAGTGTGAGCTACGGTACGAGCAGGCGTATGACCGTACGAAGCACATCATTGATACCGTGTACGAGGGCCAGCTGGATCTGGACTGGCGGAAGGAAGAGATCGCAGCCATGTTCCGCAAATAAGCGAATGCAATTTCAACTTTCCAACTTGATTCTTTCCGTGGTTTCTTTTTCCTTGTCTGTTTGCCCTGTATTTGTTTGCCTTCGCATTAGCAGCTTGGCGCGGGGGTGGGTTGATGGCCTCATGTCATAGGGAATTAATTTGAGGGCTCAATGAACATGTGAGAAATGTAAGATATTTTTTTCTCATAGTATAGGTCGTCTTCCGGCATCTGCGGCAAAGCTACTCGTTCTTACTCGTGAAGACTGTCTATTCTTATGCTCCGTTGCTTAGTAGCGCTTCAATTTCCAATGGCGACTTAAATAGAAAGAACGCGATCTCAGTCTGGATCTATATCCTTTATTCCCTGAAATTAACGGTCCGCCGCGGCGCCCCTGATTGGCGATAAGCGCCACCGGGCCCACTAGTTCGAGACCAAACCGAGGAATTCCTGTTCCTTCAAAGTTCATGGTATTTCAGGGGCAGGTTCCGGTCTGTGCTTCCAAAGAACGAGATCGTTCTCCACGTTGGGTAGAATAGCATTTATGCGCGAGGCCCAACTCTTGGATAGCGTTACACTTAACATTCGTATCCTCTGTATCCTCCGTATCTTCCGTATCGTATAACTCCAATCTCCGGACCGTAGAATTTACTCGTGCATACTTGCCGTCCCGCCTGGAGGCCCTCCACTTTGTATGCTGGTTCTGCGGCCTCTGGACCAGTCAACGCCGCAAGTCCACTGACACCAGTTTCATCCCTGAGAGAACCCGCAGGGGATTTGAAAAAAAAAAAACGTCATGGTATTCTGTAGAAAGCCAATAGGAAGAAGACTGACGGGGCTCTGGCCGATTGCCTGGAGTTGAATATTGTGGTTCCTTGTGAAGAGCGACGTTGGTAAACTTTAGCCTTAAGATCGGGTCGTCTCATTTGATCGTCCATTTTTTGACCTCTCGATTCTTCGAGTCTTCAAGTCTTCATTTCTTCAATTTCTTCGCTGCGTGGCTTCCCTCTTATTTTCCGTTTCCTCTCTATTCATTTCTTAATTTTTTATCTATTTTTTTTTTTCCGTAAGTCCTAAACCCCCTGGCTTCCCCGCCGTTCTCGCCTACGCAAAATGGGTCTCCACCAGCAAAAGGGTTCGCAAGGGGGGGTGCACCGTACCCCATCGCGATCAAGCTGCTCGTCATGGCTGCACTGCTGCGATAGAGGCATTTGCTCTCCCTCGTTAAGCTCCGCAGGATGCCCCTTTTGGCCCCAGGAACTCTTCCCCCAGGAACCCGTCATCTCCTAATTCACGAACCTCTTAGTGCCGCGTCGCATGACCCGACCATTCTCCACATTCCTCCCTTTTCTTCCCCAACCCCGGCCGTTTTGAGTATCTGGAGCATTCGCTGAATGTCGCGTGGCATTGACAGGTTGAGCATTCCGGACTGTGAATCGCTGCCGAGTTCGTCGCAAGCTTGAACGGGTTGCGGGGAAACGCGCCAAACCTTCCTACAATTTCAATTTCTCGATTGTTTCTGTCCAAAAGCTAGAGTCATCGCAGCTATGCCCTGGCGGCCGCTGCCTCGCATTGCTTTTGCGGTGGCCATTTACCCGTTCCAGCCTTCCTCCCCGGCCGACCTTCCACTCGAACTCGGAGATGAATTGTACATTATTGAACAAGGTGGACGCGATGGCGAATGGTGTCGAGGATATTTAGTTGCGCCGCCTTCCTTGCTGGCCGGGTTGACCAGCACCAAGGGCCAGACGCTGGAGGCTCGCGTTTTCTCCGGAATCTTTCCACGGAACTGTGTCGAGATACGGGAGGTCCTGGGCGATGGCGATTCGGGATACAAACCGGTTATTAATGGTGACCGCAAAAGTATAGACCAATTGACCTTACCAGGTCTCAGATGCGGATCGATTGTCTCGACACAGTATTGCACTCTCATTGGGCGAGTCACAGGTGGGCAGCGAGCTGGTTGATGCCGTGGTCGCGAAAAAGGGCAAGCCGGCACATATTGTCATCAATAGGGTCGATGAACAACCAGACTTAGCCAGCCCTCGGTCTTTCAGGACATTCGGAACACCGTCCATGCCTCGAACGCCCATGACTTTCGCTCCTCGAGAGCCCGGGGCGCCCAAACCGCCTGCGCCGGTACCGATGCTGAAAATTGGCGACGAAACACCCACATCCCTTACCGAGCCGTTGGTCGACGAGATCGCTTCATGTTTGCGCGAATGGCATTCTACAAATTTACATGAGCTCTTGCTGGGCCGGCAATATGATGTACTCGAGGAGATGGCTACGCTCGTTCAAGAGCTGGATCTTGCAAGGCGGCAGCTTCTTCATAATGTGTTAACCGGCAAGGAGAAAGAAGCACTACGTGATGAGACGGTATGGAAGCTCGTGAAGGCTAACAAAATGCTCACTGGAGACGTTATTGTGCGAGACCCTGCAGAGCGTGGCCGATTGTTGACGGGCGAGGACTCTGCTATTCAATTAGCGAAATTGCAGTCGGAAATGAGCATGTTGGACAGCAATCCTACCCCGGCCCCAGATGCCACGGCCTTGCACCATATGCTTCTGGAGATCAATGCAGTATCAGGCAATATTCCTGGCCCCGTCTCTCTGTGTCTGCAGTTATACTCTCGGTCCGACTCAGGAGCATTCAGTCCACTTTCAGAAACCTTTAGTCTGGATATCCCATCGCCCGAAAAGTTCGTCAGTCTCACTCAGAGTAACAAATTAAAGACCCTTTTCACCGAGCTTGCGGCTACTGATATTGGCGATGGGTCCTCGAATGGTCGCCAGCTGTATCTTGTGGCCTCGGTCCGCGTGTCGGACATACGCTCTGCTCTGGATACAACACCAGTTTCAAGGCCGTCAGTTTCCAGGGACTCCCCAACTTCTCCCAAAGCTGGCAACGCAGGGGGCATTCAGCCATCGGCTAAAGGAAGCCTGAAGACACGCCGGAGTATGATGTGGACCAATAAAAGCCGGGGTGGTAGCATGGACGGGCCTGCCAAATCGACAGCTCAGCCAGCTCCTACGCCATCAAGCAGCCATTCCAGCTCCAGGGAGAAGGACCCAACCCCTCAGGCAGAGAAGAAGGAGACATCGGCCAACCGTACGATTGGAGTTGGCATTCTGGAAGTGTCTGCAATCCTTCGCCAGGACCGAGACGCCGAGCAGGTGATGAATATCTGGTCACCTGCCCGTGAAGGCGACGAAACTGAAGGAAAGGCCGATGGCTTCGAGAAGTTGCTTCCCGTTTTGCTTCCAAGCCCCACCGGTCGATATGTGCGATCTGAGGCCGCCGCACGCTTGCATCTCCATCTCCATTCTTTCATGAGTACCGACCCGGAGATTCTTGTGCGAGAGAATCCTACGATGATGCATGACATTGTCCAGACCAAGCGCATTGGATTCTCCAAGGCGCCTACGAAACCAAGATCCGACATCTATGTAACTCTCTCCCAGGCAGTTTTCCCGACTGACGCCTTGCTGTCTCATCCTACGGCTGGTCAGATTCCCCTCCAACAGAGCTTGGGGCTTCGCAATCTTCAGCTCACTCTGGAGGTGCGCAATGCGGCTGGTGGGCGGGTGGAACGCTGCGTTTTCCCAACATCCGCTAGTGCATCTCACACTGCGTGGAGGACCACCATTACAGAGCGTGGGACTCCTTGGAACCAGACCATCCGGCTAAAGATCCCCACCGATCAAATCCCCGGCTCTCATATTATCATGAGCATCGCGGATGCTCCTGAGTTCCCCTTTGCTCTCGCTTGGATGCCTCTATGGGATCAGCAGGCTTTCATTCGGGATGGTCATCATGTATTGCTTCTTCATGCGTACGATAAACAAACTTCGAGCATAGAGAATGGCAAGGGGGCTTACCTCAGTCTCCCGTGGAGTGCGCTTGGTAAGAACGAGTCGGCTAAGGATGAGGCCGTGACTGGTCCCCTTGCAACTCTTCGCCTGGATACCCACCTGTGCAGCACAGAGTATTCGCAGGATCAAGTAATCTTGGGTCTCCTTAACTGGAAGGAACGTCCCGTTGAAGAGGTCCTTGAAACCCTGAAAAGGCTGCTCTTTGTCCCCGAAATCGAGATTGTCAAGCAGCTCAGTGGTGTTTTCGATGCTCTATTTGGAATCCTTGTCGATCACGCCGGCAATGAAGAATATGAGGATTTAATTTTCAACGATCTAGTCACAGTTTTGGGCATCGTCCATGACCGTCGTTTCAACTTGGGTCCATTGGTTGACCACTACGCTGATGAGCAATTCGATTTTCCTTTCGCGACCCCTTGTCTCATTCGAAGCTACCTGCGTCTTTTGAATGCGGCTACAGATCCACAGCAGTCTCGTCATTTGCGTGCTGCTTTTAAAGTCGGTCGCCATTTGCTGAAGTTCATCATCAACGCACGAGAACAGCAAAAGTTGAAGGAGGAAGGAATCGGGATTACCACCGTTCAGTCAACGTTCAACAGAGATCTGCATACAATTTTCAAGTCTTTAGAGAGTCTGATGAAGAATCCATCACCGACGTTGGTTGGAAGTAAGACCTTGATTGTCCAGCATTTCCATCTGTGGCTCCCTGAGCTCTCCAAGGTGCTGAGTCGTGATGAAATGATTATGATTGCCCTAAGCTTCATGGATTCCTGCAAGGACGTCACCGGCATGCTCGTTCTTTACAAGCTGATTCTCATTCAAAATTATACTCAATTCGATATCTTCGCGTCGGGTGAAGAGAAGCAGACTCTGATTTCTAGCTGTATCGGCTGGCTGCGGCCTTACTGGGGATCCACCGCCGGTGTCTCCGATCAATACCGCGACCAGGTGCGGCTATGCAGTTCCATTGTCGCCCGACTGCTCAGTCACCCCGATCCGCAAATGTACCAGTTCATGCCTAGCATTGTGGCTTCATACTGTGCTATTGTGGCCGAAGGCGTTGATGAAACTGAGTACTTGTCGCTTCTTTTCAGCAAGACTTTCCCCTTCCAGGTCAAGTTATCCAAGATACCCCAAAAGTTCGATGAATCGCTCGTAGAGCTCTCTGCTATTATGGCCGCCCTAGCCAATATTCTGACCCCCCGGACTCCTGATCTCAAGGAGCTGGAGCTTGCAACCTTCATTGGACAGGCCCTCGAGGCTCATAACTCCATCATTGAGTGCGAAGCCTATCCCGAGAGCTGGTTCAGTCTCCATATCTACAACCACCGTGCTGCTATCAAAAGTTTGGAGCATCTGGCTTTACTCTTGATCGATAGGTTCCTTCCAGAGGATGACAATGCCGAAGCTTTTGATACCAAGCTGTGGGAGTCATTCTTCACAACTCTGTTGAAAATTATTTCTAGCGATGTGCTCGCTCTTGAGACCTTCCCCGAGCAGAAGCGACGGGCGGTTTGGAAAATTGCTGGCGATGTCCGCGAACAAGGTGCGGACCTCCTGCAGTCCACATGGGAAGCCATTGGATGGGAAACCTCCGAGGAGGAGCGAGAACGATTCAATGTCAAGCGTATGGGTGGCTACCAGGTTCAATATGTCCCCAATCTTGTGCCTCCCATTATCGGACTGTGCCTCAGCATGCACGATGGATTGCGCCATTCTGCCGTCTCTATTCTCCGAACTATGATCCTTAGTGAGTGGGACCTGAACCAAGACATTTCCATCATCGAAACGGAAATCATCTCAAGTTTGGACTCGCTCTTCAAGTCGAAACAGATGAGCGAAAGTGTTGGCGAGAAAGTCTTCATCAGAGAGCTTTTGGACCTCTTTGAAAATGACGGGACAAGTGATGATGGATTATTCGATGCTATCAAGAGCCTCATCTCAACAGTAGATGAGCTTCTTGACCTCCTGATTGCCTCCCAGAGCAGTGCTGCTGTTCAGAGCCTGCATGCTCTGAAGCTGATGGAATACATGAAGGACATGGGTCGTGAAGACATCTTCATTCGATATGTCCACGAGCTGGCTGACAGCCAAGCCGCCGCAGGTAATTTCACCGAGGCAGGCTTGGCGCTCCAGTTCCACGCCGATCTTTACGAATGGGATACCATGAGCTCGCTCCCTGCCATTTTCAAACCTGCTTTCCCGGAGCAAACACCGTTCGAGCGCAAGGAGGCCTTGTATTTCCAAATTATCCAGCACTTTGAGAATGCGATGGCTTGGGCACCTGCCTTGGCCTGCTACAAGGAGCTTGCTGCGCACTACGAAGCAACAACTATGGATTTCCTGAAGCTTGCCCGTGCCCAAAGTTCCATTGCCCGCATTTACGAGTTCATCGCCAAGGGCGAAAAGCAGTTCCCTCGCTACTTCCGCGTTGCCTACAAGGGTCTCGGCTTTCCTCCTAGCGTACGAGACAAAGAGTTCATCTTCGAAGGCTCACCGACGGAGCGCATGGCTACCTTTGTTGATAGAATGCAGCGCGAGCACCCCACTGCTCAAATCATGTCTACCGGTCACGTTCCTGATTATGAAGGACAATTCCTGCAGATTAGCGGAGTCAGTGCCCACCGAGACATCGCCCATCCAGTGTACCAGCGCTCCAAAATACCCTTGGCTGTTCGAGACCACTTGTTGATTTCAAGCCCAGTCCGTTTCTCTGCCACTTCTCGAAGACATACTGCTAGTTCCAACGTGCAAGAGCACACCGTGGAGAAGATCATTTTCACGGTTGCAGAGGCATTCCCCAACATTCTTCGCCGCAGTGAGATTGTTTCCGTTCAAGAGGTGGCATTGACGCCGCTCCAGACCGCCATTGAGCGCACTTGCCGAAAGACCCAGGAAGTTGCAACTTCTCGAGCGACGAGTTTCAAATGGAGAGGACAACAGTCTGACCAATTTGACTGAGGCGCTGGAGCATTTGCTTGATTCACGATCATCATCATCCAATTGTGTTGCGTTGTACCGCGGATTCCTCAGCGGGGCCCAAGGCACGAGGGATCTTCTTGAAGAGAACGAGGGGGCTGAGGAAGAGGAAGAGCAAGTGGAACCGCGAACAATTGACCCAATGGAGAATGCGCTGGCTGCGGCTCTAATCGATCACGCCCTTGGAATCAAGCACGCGCTATCGCATTTCCAGAGGCCCGCCCATCAGGCTACCCAGGCCGAGTTGATGCGTCGCTTTGAGGCCGTCTTCGAGCCTGAGATTACTTCTCTATCGGCCTCAGGGCAAGAACATACGAGTCCTATTCCCACTCAACCAGCCCCCCGGCAATCTCCGGGAGATCTTCGTCGAAACACTACCATCAAGCGATCCACCAGTCCGGAAGAGGAGCTGATCCGACGAACATCGCGAAGTAAGGGCCACAATCGCAAGCAATCGGAGCGCCAATCAGTCAGCCACCGGATCAGTATTATGAATCCCTTCAAACGCCACGGTGCTTCGAACTCGATCTTCACCATCCAAGCTCCGGATAACCAGCAGTCTCAGAGCGAAGCCGAAGAAGGAGACGACGACGCCGCCACAATTCACAGCCGCGCTACAAGCGTGTCTAAAGGTGGCCGGAGTGAGAAGCGCCGCAGCTGGTTCAGCGGGGACAAAATCCTCAAGCAAGGCTCCAACCCATCCCTCGCTGGTGGCGCAGACGAGGCCACTGCAAAGAAGCGACTCTCTCGCACCATCTCTCATGATACTCAAGGCCAGTCTGGCAATGACCGCTCCGCCTCGAAAAGCCGTCTTACTGTCAACACTGGTGCCGCAAATGCTGACCGCGTCCCTGCGGCTTCAGGCGGGTGGTCCCCCTTACCCCCCCAGCCGTGACTACTCGCGTCCTGTGACACGCGAGAGTGGCCATGGTCCGCGAGATCTGAGCTCTGCCAACGGCCCTGCTGGCCGATCATCTACTATGCCCGTGAATGAAAACGGTAACAGCAATAGCCCTGTCAGCGTGACCTTGGCGAATCCCGAAAAGCGTGACTCGGTCTTCCGACGATTCAGCCTTCTCAAAGGTGTTGGCCGCAAGAACAGCCGGATGGAATTTAAAGCTAACGGAACGCTCCCGGAGGAGTGACCATTTTATTTTCCATGTAATCATTTAGTCTTTCTTTCTTTCTTTTCTTTTTTATTTTGGTGGTGGATATCCCTTCCTTGTCCTCTTCTTGATGTCATTTACTACTCCTTTCTGATGTGATTCATTCTATCCATCCTGACATGTACCTTTACTATTTCTTTTTCTGTTGATCGTCACCTCTGGACCGGGATTTTCTTCTTCTTTCCTTTTTTTTTTTCCTTTTTGGTGTTATGAGATAGATACCATGTGCTTTATTCCTATCTCCTCAAAGTCTACCCAACTTTTGATTCGATTCCAGATCTCGCATTCGCCTTCTCTGCCTTGGGCGTAGCCACCATTATCATTCTTCGTTCGCACCTGCCGAGGCTCGTAGGCAAAAGCGGTTGTCACAGGTTGATCGACGCTGATTAATTAAAGCGAACCCACCCGCCAAAACCCCCAGCATCACAAACTCTCCAAGCTATGTCCAAGACAGCACAGGAGGTAGGAATTGAGGCGGAAATGGCAAAAGCACAACCGCAAGCATCTTCACCAAGTCGCATCTATCTCCTCCTTTACAATGCCGCCTGCGCCGCCCTCTGGGCCTATATCCTCCTGCTCAGTGTGCCCACATGGATATCAGCTGGTACCGCCCAAGTATACAGCGCAGTCGAGCCTTGGGTTCGGCTTACGCAGAGCCTCGCTGTGGCGGAGATCCTCCATGCAGCGACGGGCATCACCCGCGCTCCCGTCTTCACGACCTTCACGCAGGTCTTTGCGCGTTCTGTGCAGGTCTGGGCTATCAATCATGCTTTTCCCGGGGTGACCGCACCGTCCGCAGGATACCCCGCTATGGTGACGGCATGGGCGCTGGCGGATACGGTGCGGTATCTCTATTTTGCTGTTATGCTTGCGGAGTTTTCTATCCCTCGGGGTTTGAAATGGTTACGGTGGGTTTCGCGGTGCTGCCCTTTGATGAGAACCTCGGACAACCCCAGACTGATTGCGCTCGGTAGATACTCGCTTTTCACTGTCTTGTATCCGGTCGGCATTGGGAGCGAGTGGTGGCTTATGTATCAGGCGACCACGGAGACCTCTAATTGGGCAGTTCAAGCGCTGTTTTACTTTTTCCTGGGGCTGTATATTCCTGGTAAGCATTCTTCTCGTTGCTTGGGACCAGGAAGGGTGTCCAGATGGATGGTTAATTTTCCTTAGGTACTGTGATGATGTTCTCGTACATGCTCAAGCAGAGGCGCAAAATGCTGGCTAGCTTATAGCTGAGCCGGTTGTGGTGTAGAGATGCCTGGCGAGACCGAGTCTGCCGTAGATTAACTACCGTAGGATGACTTGGTCTGTGAACAGATTCGTGAATCTCCATACTTGGCACTGCGTTGTAGGAAAATCCCCCGAGTTGCGGAAATTGGCACCAGGTTTCGAACTGGTTTAAAGCGCCATTCTTTGCCATTTCTTCCAAACGATCCCCGCAAGCCTATGGCAAGGTCGGATTTCATGGGGAAAGCGTACGTTGCTTTTTGGACCTAACCGATATCCATTTGACACCCGGTCGGAGAAGTCTACACCCGTTTCTGCAGTTGATCAGCAGGCTCAAAACAGGTTCAGCATGCCCATCCAACATTATTTTCATTGCATAATCCCAATAAGCTCATTTGAAGTTTTCATCCGATAAGGAAATCAGGACATTTCTTCCCAATTCTGACAAAGTCGAAGATTTGACACCGCTTTGTAGAAATCTACACCCGTTTGGAGAAATTGCCATGTCGAAATTCCGTTCAGGGCACCAATCACCATCCTTCCTTTTGAAGAATTCCAACCAGTGCATTCGAAAGCCCACTTAGAAAAAAAAAGAAAGAAAGAAAGAAAGAAAAAAAGAAAATCACACACAATTTTCCCACCTATGTCATGGTAATATCGAATACTTTACACTGAGAGAATTTACACCCAATCCTTGAGAATTTCACCAGGTTCCAATACCAGCTCCGGGCGCCGTTCGTAATCCTTCTCTTTTAACTGCCCCAATAGCCAATTTGAAAGTTCTAATCTAGCAAGAAACCGGACATCAGTTTTTCGTTCTAATTGATATTGAGAATTTGGAATCCCATCCGGGCCATTTACACCTGGTTCGAGAAAGTATCGCCCCCGATCCCCGAGTCCAGCTTCAGAATTGTTCCGTAGACAACCTACAGGCATGAGCACCTACTGATCACAATCGACCACCTGACTAGTGCCAGTGCTAGAAAGCCAATATCTATCCGACTGCTCCGTAGCGAGAGAGCCGAGTAAAGGGCCGGAAAGGCTTAGCACGCACGGACTAGAATACTGTGGAACCAGTTACTCGCTGCAAAGTTTGCTGTGGCTATCCTTCGTATATCTGCGACGAGGAATAAGTCAGTGGCCCCACCAGGTATAAGCTCCGGTGCGTTCCCTTCTAGAGCTTCAGTATGTTCGTGGAGAATTCGATTTCTGGGGTAGTTGTCGAATATCATCATCAAATGCGACCTCGTATCATGCAACGCCGGCAAGTATCATGATTGTGTGGCAGTGCAAAATCTTGGTTGATGTTTGCAACGAATCACGATCGATACGAACCCCGAGTGGAGACCTTTGAATGCACGATGGGCGCCCAAGCTCCCCCAATCTTTCTGCTGCTCGGGGCCCCGCCAAGACCTCAGTGTTGCTCTTTCACTTGGGGCAGCTAGGATTGAGGCTGTGCAAGGCCAACTTTCTCAGTCCTACAATCAATTCCCCCCCCGCTTTCTACGTCTCGTGAACCACGGCTCTTGTGGCTAGAACCAATTCATTCCATTCCTCTTGGCTCGCCCAAAAAATGTGTAAGTAGTTCAGTTCCTTGTTCCTTATCCCCCCCCCTCCACTCCCTTCCGTGGCTCGAAGCGCGTGGTCAAACCATCCGCTGGAATTTTTCCTGTTGACTAAGTCCGATAGCTTCCGTTTCCTTTCGCACGCAAGTCCGATCTCATACCTTCAGCCATACCAGGAGCATGAGTGGGAACGGCTCCTTACGGTCGGGCGAGCGCACAGCTCTACTGGGTCGATCGCGTAGCTCGTATTCGGGCTTGACCGCTCATGAGCACGATGAGGATACGCAGGGGGGCCATCACCATCCCAAGGACAGCCGGATCTGGATCCGTTGGCCGCAGGAGCTGGTGCGATTGACTTGGTCGACGTTGGTGCGCGACTACGTCAATGTGCTTCTCGTCTTTGTGCCCTTGGGCATCGTCGCGGGCGCCCTACACTGGGATTCGACGGCGATCTTTATTCTGAACTTCTTTGCCATTGTGCCGCTTGCGTCTCTGCTGAGCTTTGCGACGGAGGAGCTGGCTGCGGTCATGGGCCAGGCATTGGGTGGCTTGATGAATGCCACTTTTGGCAATGCGGTGGAGCTGATTGTAAGGGATTCCCCCAAAATCCATCATCGATCTCTTTGATGGTGAGAGTGCTTACTGGAAGATCCTGTATAGGTCAGCATAATCGCCTTGCGAGGGAACCAGATCCGTGTCGTCCAGGCCAGTATGCTGGGCAGCATCCTGTCGAACATTCTGCTCGTCTTGGGCTGCTGCTTCTTTGTCGGTGGTCTCCGGTACCCTGAACAAACGTTCAACAGCACCGTGGCTTCGACCATGTCCTCCCTGATGGCGGTTGCATCGGCCTCCCTGATCATCCCGGCCACTTTGTACGCCGCCTTATCCGGCTCCTCGGCGAGCCGCGAGGACAACATTCTCTTCTTGTCGCATGGCACATCGATCATTCTTCTCATCATCTACGTCATGTACCTTTATTTCCAGCTGCGATCTCATGCCGAGCTTTTTGAAGAGACGCCCAGCAATGCCGCAGAAGAAGGCGCTGCTGAAGCGGAGGAAGAAGAGGAACGCGTGCTCACTCCCCTCGCTGCCACTGTCGTACTAATTGTTGTCACCGTCTTGGTGGCTGTTTGCGCCGACTATCTGGTGGGCAGCATCGATCCGATCGTGGCAAAGACTGGCATTAGCAAGACCTTCATCGGTCTGGTGCTGATCCCCATCGTCGGCAATGCGGCAGAGCACGTTACGGCCGTCGTGGTTGCGTACAAGGACAAGATGGATCTTGCTATTGGCGTCGCTATTGGCAGCAGCTTGCAAATCGCGCTTTTCGTCACCCCCTTCCTCGTCATTCTGGGCTGGATCATGAAGGTCGACATGACCCTACGCTTCGAGGTCTTTGAAACCGTCGCATTCTTTATCTCCGGTCTTGTCGTCACCCTCCTCATCCAGGACGGCAAGTCTAACTACCTCGAGGGCGGCATGTGTCTAGGCATGTACATCATTCTTGCCCTGGCCTTCTTCGTCTACCCTGACGATGCCTCCAACGCCCCCGGCATTCTCGCCAGACTCATCAACTAAGCTGGAGTCTCAATCATCCTACCTTATTCTCGTAGGATCCTGCTGGCCAGTCCTTCTTGTAGGCCCTGAAATCTTACGGAGAGCGCCGGTCTATTTGCTACGTCGTCTATGCCCACAAAATGTACCCGTTTCGGTGACTGTTCCATTATATCCTACATATTTCGTTTCTATTCCTGTTCTTATATCAATTTCAAGCAACCGCATTGAACTTCAAAACCAGCCTCTGGCCCCTCGGATGAACCGTGTAAGCATCGATCGCTTCGATGTCCGTATCATCCACAATCGTAGTCTCGAAATTCGAATAAATTGCCGCGACAACCAGTTTCGATTCTAGCATGACACCGGCCGTTAGCAAACTGCCGAACTCCAGACCTCGCCCCCCAGCGCAGAAACTGTGACTTCTTACCTTGCAGCGCCAAATTACTCCCCACGCACATGCGGCCCCCGCTCCCAAAAGCCCAGAACCACCGCCGCCGCTCCTCAAGCTCGGCGACCGAGTTCTCGCTCTTCAACCAGCGCTCTGGCCGCCACGCCTCCGGCTCCGGATACACCGCCGGATTGCGATGAAGAGAGTACGCCTGCGCATTCACGCGCGTGTTGGGCGGGATATTCTCGTACCCGGCAAGCGTGCACGAGGGGGCTGGTGTCACGCGGGGCTGGATGCCCGGGATGGGGGCGTGCAGGCGCAGTGTCTCGGTCACAACAGCTTCGAGGAGCGGAAGGCTGTCGATGGCCTTGGGCGAGGGCAGCTCGGCACCTGGGGACGTGAGCGGCGGTTTCAGGGTGCGCAGTTCGGCGCGGAGCTGCGTCTGGATCTCCGGGTGTTGCGAGAGTTCCCAGAAGAGATATGTGAGGCCGACGGCGCTCGTTTCGAATCCTGCGGTTAGCTGGTCGTAGATCTCGCAGGCGATGTCGTTCTTTTGTTGGAGTGGTGCGGGCTTGCTGCCCTCTTTAGCGCTTTGCTTGTCGAGTGCGTGTTTGAGTTGCTTGTACACCACCGGTTCGATGGAGGGGTCGGTGGAGTCGAGTGAGCGTGCGGCTTTGTCGCACAGATTGAGGACCCAGGCGTCTAGGGCCTCGTTCGCCTGGTCGCAGTGTTTCGGGATCACGCGCCAGCCGAGGCGCTTCAATCGGGGGGCGAGGTTGGGCACTTCTTGGTGGTAGAATTCGTATGGTTTGCGGCTGAAGTAGAGATGGAGCCAGTGCTTTCGATATTCATCGTCTTGGAGGTGATTGGTGCCGTTGGCCAGACCTAGGAGGTAGGCCGAGACAAAGTCCATCGTCAGGCCCATATTGAGATCATGGACGTCGATTGGCTTTTCGGTCGATGCGGCCGATTGGATGATTGGCAGAAGGCGTTCGACGACCACCGCATGAGAGATCTTTTGCAGGTGTGGCGATGACTGCAGCGTAGACTTGGAGTATACATTGGACAGCATCCTCTTCCGGATCGAATGGGGCTTTGAGCCAATCATTGTGAACATGCTCACAGTGCTATGATCCGGTATGAGTATAGAAATTTAGGGCTATTGTGGGAGATCGCAGTTGACTCACTCAAGAGATCCAAAGACCCGCGGATACCATTCGTGCTTCTCGAACCCCCCGGTATAAACCGACTTGATGCCACCCTCCACGCAGTTCACAGAGATCTCTGACGGGCCCAGACGGACAATCGGTCCCAGCCGCGCATGTGCAGCTTGGATGGTCCGGTTATTCGTCATGCGGAACCTCCTCCAGAGTATCCACGCCGGCGATATGGGAGCACTCCAATGCGCATTGGGGATCTTGGCAAGAGGGGATACGAATGCCGGGTATATGATAGCCTTGTAGACAAAGGCCAGAAGCAGTACGACAATTGACACGGAGGAAATCGAAACTGCCATCTTGAAGCTTGAAGTTGGCAGATGTTTCCCCAAGTCTTGCGTGTTACATCGAAAGGAACCGGGCTCTTATCTTGCGGGGGGCTGTTAGGTAATTGGAGAGCCCCGCTTGGAAGTTAAAGAGGAGCCGTGAAAGGCTCGCGAGTGCACCAACTGATTGTAATGGAAAGTCGATGCGGATGGCACCCTATGCGCCTCAAAACGGTCCAACCAGGTGGCCGCCATTACATCCTCGTCTGGTCATCAGGATGATAAGCGATTTGATATGACCTCATTCCACCCCGAGTGCTAACTAGGCTCTTCATGTAAATAGACAATTCTCAACGAGAAGGGTTTTGCACTTATTAGTAACTAGTGGACATATTCATAGATGCGGTGAGAGAGACTGCACTTCTCTTCCATGTAGCGCTGGGTTACATTGGCCTCCCGCCAGTGCCTCCGACGTATGCAATCCGAGACGAGCTTGATTGTAAACCCCCCTAAACTTCAACCGACACCATTCATGCATGATTTTCCTAAGGATAAGGATAAGTAGCTGGAGTGCTCCGAGTCGAATACCCGGAAGTGCTGTCTCGCTTTGTCCTCTTCGGCCGGTGGGCTATCACTAATTCTCCACATGCCCTTCTTTCACGCTTCTGGTTATGGTGATTGGGCACGCATTTGGTCACATTTGCCCTCGATCCCTCAAACTTGCAAAGATTCACGAGCCCATACTGGGGAATACGGAGAAGCAGAAGTCTACCGAGTATTCAAGGCCGAGGAGGGTTTGGATTTTATTCAGACAGGTTTAGCTTGAGCCCAACTCCTCCAGCATCTGGTGCGAGGTATATGTACTGTACAGTGCACTAAAAACAAAATCCCAACTCCCATGCGATCACGCACCACGAAACAATAAGCCTGGACCTATTGGAGGCAAATTGGCGTGGCGCGTGTAAATTGCTTGCGAAGATCATAAACGCCCATCAAAAGACCAGTCGAACCGTCTAGCCCAGCACACCGTCCTTCTTCCGTGGCCCAACAACCTTGGGGTACATTCTCATCAGGTGGTAGTTGACGGTGTTCTTCTTCTTCTCCTGCTTTTTCTGTTCGTGAAAAGATGCGGTTAGTGGACTGCCCAATTGAATCGTGGGGATTGAAGAAGTCGTACCGGTGCGTCCATGCATGCGCGGAGTTGTGTAGCCATCGCAGCGCAGCCTTCGGAGTTGTAGCCCTGGGAAGCCCAGCAGTCTATCAAAAAGTAGTCTCGTTAGCATGTTTCAGCCCGCTGATTCCAGGGCTCAAAGGGCGTGAAAGCAGCGTTCGACCGACCAATGGCCGGCTGGCAAGGATAGGAAATGAGCCAATTGACATACTCAGCATCGCCGACATGATCGTCACGCAGTTGTTCTGCTCGTTCTCGTTGGGTCGGCGAACACGCAGGTGGTTGATGGTGTTCAACCGGATCGGGTTGAGGCGGGTGGAAACGTTCTTGGGCGGCATTTTGAGACAGTGGAAGCACGCGCTGTAGAAGGCAAAAGAGAGTTCTGAAAGGGCGTGGATGGCTCCCTGCGACAACGATCGGCGAGACTTGATCTGCGATGAAGCAGCAACAAAATCCCTGGAAGTTTCGTCTCCGCGGAGGTGGATGAGTCAGCGGCCTGCCTCGCCACTGTCAACGTAGTTTCCAATGATTGATAACAGGAATCACTTTCTTCTACCCGCTTTGCTGTGGCTATTCACCTCTTCACCGAATATGTCTAGCCAACCGCTTCGGACCATACCCCGGCGTGCTGCGCTATGTGCTGCGCTATGTGCTGCGAAAGCTCCGACGGCCCCCGCGGCCTGTTTCCGCATCCCATACCAGCATAGAAACAACTCTACATCGGCACAAACGAAAGCAAATGAGGGTTCAGATAATGGGCATTCCGAAGAGGAGAACGAAGGAGCCATGTCACGTCGCCTCTCGCAGATGACTGAGGATGCAATGCTCGAAGGTGGACGAACGGCGCAACGCAATATTGAACATGCGGGATTCTCGGAGGAACTAAAAAGAGAGCTCGAAGAGCGAGTCAAAGCTGCCTCATTTAAGAGTGAAAATGCGGCTGCCCACTCCATCCTCAATATGCCGGTATGATCGCGATACAGTCTACGACCCCTTCCCATCCGACAAATATACATGAACTAATCGTCCATACATCTGCAGGCGAGTGCAGGACAAGGCACCCGAGAGACAGCTGCGGCCCCGGCATGGACAGGAACCGAAAGCCTTGCAGACTCAGCGCTGCGCATGTTAGACGACGCGAGCAAACCGATCCGCAGGCCCTATAAAATACCTCAGCCCGTTGACCTTCGCCCGGCGCCGAAAGTAAAACATACGCCTGGTTCTCGTCTAGCCAAGGCTAAAGAACAGACTTCGGCATATGCGATGAGCAAGAGCGCCGGTCTCACAGAAGAAGAGCGAAATGAAATGCGCCGCGAGATGCGAGATATGCTATCCCCAGGCGCCCACGAAATGCCCATATCCATTGGAGGCCTCACGTCGCTTGCGAACCAACGGATTGACGATGCTATCGCACGAGGGCAATTCAAAAAGATCCCTCGGGGAAAGGGTGTCAACACCGAGACCGATTATAATGCCAATAGCGCCTTTATTGATACGACCGATTATTTCATGAATAAGATCATCCAGAGGCAGGAGATTGTTCCTCCATGGATCGAAAAGCAACAGGAAATCTTGACGGAACTCAACCGGTTCCGGCAGCGTATTCGTGCTGAATGGAGGCGGCATGCGGCGAGATTAATCGCGTCTCAAGGAGGGTCTTTGGAAGATCAGATGAGAAGGGCTCGCGCACACGCTGCCGCGGAAGTACGATTAGAGGAAAAGGCACGAATAGAAGCAGAATTAAGCGACACCAGCCCTGCGGAGGAACCTTCATCCTCAGAAATCAAACGCGATGGCCGGATCGCGTCAAGTCAACCCTCTGGGCCAGCTGGACACACTTCTGAAGAAGCGGAGTCGCTTCCGCATCTTCCTCCGCTGCGAGACCCAGATTACATGTCGATCGAACGATCATACCACGAGCTGTCAGTGCAGAAGCTTAACAGTCTCATTAGATCCTACAATCTTCAGGCACCGCGTTCAGCACAAAAACCTTATATCAGTCTCGACCGAGAATTGAGGGCCTGTTATGCGGAGGTTGCGCCAGGGCTAGCTGAGGAGATCCGGCGACGTACAACGGAACGAGCCCGTGGACCAGTCGCTTCCTCATCTCCTTCGAGTATCCTTGGCTCTCTTGGCCCTGGGCCCTCGGTGACTGTGTATGAGGAGGATAAGGCCAAGGGGTATGGCATGAAGGAATTCTGGCGAGACCTCTTTGCCAAAGATAAAAATTGAGCTTGATTAAGCGAATAAGGTATAATAGCTGCTACTCATAAACACTGTATCGCATACCCGGAACGAACCCACCAAGCGAATTATCATAGACCTCAAGACAACCAATTACATGAACCGTGCACATACCATTTTCAAGTCACTCAGAGAGCCTTCCCCTTCACATGTACTCGCGAAGAACATGCAGCTCCTCCTTGTTGCAAGTGGTTTGGTATTGTTTCCCAGCATTTGAGGCATGCTGGCTCTGCTCAAGCTCCAGTTGACTGAGCTTCATTTTCTTCAGTTATCGATCGCGGAAAGCAAGGTGCCCGATTGAGTCGATCAGCTGAAGCTATTTTCGGCCTTTCCGAATGTACCCCCGTACCGCGAGGAGTTTGCCCCCCAAACAGCCGAGCTCGCCACACAATATCCAAATGAAGATACGCCATCCATATAGTGAGATGAGATCTGCTGCGGGGTATTCTCTCCAGGCCCGGGCCTCGAGCGGCATCGCAAACACGCTGAGAAGGACGAAAACGATGACATGCATGAGCTCGGAAAGGAAATGCCGCACAAGCCATGGTTTGGCCTGACGCCATGACTGGATGCGACATGGCATGGGGAGACCATGGGAGATATTGTTGTGCTCTTCAGCTTGGAACTGCCGTTCGAATCGGCACCGGAAGCTTTGCCCTCTCCATCTCGTTATCCTCCAGCTAATGAGGCATAATATACCAAGCTGCAGGAAGAACCCAATTATTTGTGCGGAATTTTCGCTCACTCCGTCAAACATGTGCCAGTATCGAGTGTTTGGGATCTCACTAGGATTCATGCCGATGACATCTCGACAGAAGGTGGTGATATCTTTATCCATAGTGATGTTTGGATTCATTGTGATGTTCGACGTGATATCGCGCTTGAGAGGAATGATGAATTGATGCCAGGGGATCTTCGGCCACTTCCCAAACCAGCTCGATTGGCCCAGGTCTGAGTCTCCAAAGGGGAGTCGTGATATCACCTCGGTGTCACCGACCCAGATTTCGTGTATACCATTGCGCTGTTCGTAGAAGTTCTCGGAGCGGACGCCGTTGATCACCGAAACGTTGTGGCCCATGGCAGATCGATAAGATATGATGTTAAACCATGAATGGTAGAAGGGATATGTCCAGTGAGCAAAAGGACTTCACGCTCTGGAAACTCTAGAGTGAAACGGAAGCTCCGAAGCAGAAGGTGCTAGCCAGAGCTTCGGATGACCGGCAAATGACAGCGCTTGCCAGATGCCGTCATCAATTCTCACATAAACCTCTATTCGGTTGTTGCAGCTGACCCTTGTACTATCCTAATGAAGGTCGTAAGCTCACTATAGGCTGTCTACGGCTACAGTGTTTGTCAGGGTTAATACGTGTCGCCCCTTATGGAGGGGCTTTAAACATGGATTCAATTAAAACATAACAATACAGAGGGTACTTGAAATGGTCACCGTAAGTGTCTGCAAGTTTCAAAGAGGAATCATTACCCCTGTTACGTCGACATACTCGCTTATTGTTATGTCCCCCCAGAAGCTGTCTGAAATGTCTTCGCCTTTGGCAATTAGAACACTCCTAGGGGTCAGCTGAATGTTGAGTCGATTGATGCAGGTATTTTGTCCAAAAAGGACGCCAACGAATCCATTAGGCATGCGAGATGCCGGCGTGATTGACGCTATGGACGTGCTGACCGCAGACCGATTCGAGAGTGCAATTTGGGCTTCGACTTGGCAAATAACGCCATCTGCTGACCGATATGGATCGTGGATAGGATCCTGGAGGTAGCGTCGAAAGCTTTCTGGCAGTAGCTCCTCCGCTACGGTGGTGTAACCGGCGCCCGTATCAAAAATCATTTGTGCGTTGATCTTGCACGTCGTCTCCCCCACATTGCCGTCGATTCCTTGTAGAGACAGTGTGCCTCGCACTGTAGGAATATAAGGATTCGTAAGTCCAGCTATAAGGTGTATTAAGGGTTCAGAAAAGCTTTCCTGCGCGTGTTTGCGGGCTAGCTTATCATCTGGGTTCACCGAAATCGAGTAGGTGTCAAATAATCCATGTACGGTGCTTTGAAGGAGAAGCCCATTTTGAACCGAGTTGATGGACGCCGCATGGTTTCCCGAATCCGTATTAGTGATGAACTGGCTGAAATTGTTCTGAACCCAAATTCTTTCCTTCTCAAGAGGGAATATATGGAAGATCAAGCAGAAGTCTCGCTCCCTCTCCAAAACCTCCTCCATGTTCTTGGAGTGGCAATCAATGAAGCGCGCCTCAATATCCAAACTACAGTCCCTTTTCGGACTACTTGGCAAGAGGCTTTAAAGACAGTTGAAGTGTCGCTGGGCAATCTCGGCCAGGAACTAGTCGTATTTCCCCCGCCGCCCCCCAGTCATCGGCGACTAGCACGGCAATCGGTCCTGAAATCTCCGCCGTCCAGCTCCCTCCTAGATCTTTGTGGTGCCGGGCGCCCAATCAGGTCAAGAGTTGACCTTGAATCCTTACCCGCCTAACCCCCTCTAACAGCAGAGGCTCGTCAGCAAATCCGCGACATGGGTGTTTTTATTTGAGCTCCTCATAGGCATATAAATACAGGCACCCAGTCTTATAAGAAGGAAGTCGCAACTACTCCCGAATAGGTCATGTGCACGTCATCATTTTCAGTCGAATATAAGACGAAAGTAAGATGAAAGTAAGATGAAAGTAAGATTGTCACGGGCCAAGGCCCGGTGTTGATCACGTAGGACACGTGACCTTGGCGTACTAATAGCGGAGGACCGGCGTATTAAACTCCTTTCCTTAAGTTTATCGAACACAGTTCGTGGCCTAGTATAGATTGAATCGAGTCTTACTTTAGCCCTTCACAAAGATGAAAGTAAAATGAAAGTAAGACAAATGTGAGATGAATATAAGATGAATAGATACTGAGATTTATCAGCTATTATCTGATTCTGCCGCTCTATACTACCCTCAATGGTAGCACTGTCCAAACTACTATTATCTAAACATATAAAAAAATAGACAGAGGGACAGTGGGAGTTAGGTATTAGATCAGTTACTATAGCTTTTCCTGCCGCCGCTTACCGCCCTGAGGATCGAAGAGGACCATCCAAACTACAAGGTTGGCAAGGAAGGGACGGAGGTTCGCGAAGGAGTAGATAGGTTGTCGCTGTAGCTCCTCCCTCTCTCTTCTCTCCTTCCCTCCTCTAGTTCTAGTATCTTGAATGCGAGCGCTGTTACTGGTTCTTTTTCTGTTCCTAATGTAGGCCAACATTGACAACCAGGCGGGTTCCCCAAATCCCCAACCGAGACGCGTGATGAGTGGCAGAATCGGCCAACGGCTGACAAGGTTGGTGTTTAGGAGCTTCATACGATCTAGCTTCTTACTAAAGAAAGCGTCCTAACTATAACTAACTAAGACGAATTGGATGAGGCAAACCTGAGACAAATATGGGAGACTTGACACGGAAGGATCTAAGTTTTAGTCACATCGAATTCGGGCCTTCTCGACTATCGATTGGCTCCCGCAAGTGATCACCTTGCATGAGGGCGCTTAGCGACAACCAACGACAGGTGCGCCTCTCCTTGTCTTCGCAGCTCTGATCAACCCTTTCACGCTGTCACACCATGATGACTTTCTGTTTTATACGAGTCTTCCCCTCCCCTGCCGCCCCATCACCTTCCACACTATGTGCCTCTCTCTGAGATTCGTCCCTGCACGGTTCGCCATGTCGATCAGTCACGTCTGACGGAACCTCCACTTAAATTGCATTCTCTTTTCCCTGCTGCATCGAGTTCCTGTCACAGGTCCTGGCAATGACTACCTTCTCAGTCACCTCCCAGGTTCCCTTTCTCCTCCTGTTGCCCCTCTTGCAGATAGTCCCCGTCTTTGCTTCCACGGAAGTACATGTCGAACGTTCAGCCAACTCGGATGAACACCGTCCTGTAGACAAATCCCTGCTTGCCGTTCAGGTCGGGAGTATTGCTGGCTCCTACGTGATCTTCACCGCGGTTCTTCTAGCGCTTCTACTGTTCGTCGGGAGAAGACTACGACGAACAGTACACTCGTCAAACTATTCTCTGCAGATGCAAATGCTGAAGCCGCTTACAGGGTCTATGATTATGGACCCAAGCCCCATTTCGCCCACAGCTCAAACCCTACCCAGCCCCTCTCAATCCAATAAATTTCAGTCTTGGGGCAGCCTCCCAAGAGCAGGTCGTCCCTCGCAAACATCCTTCAACGACAGCATGGTGACCGTCGACGAAGGCGTCCTGGCCAATGACCGCCAGCGAGCCCAGGATGAAATGGAAATGCTTTACGCCGCGGTTATGGAGCAGGATGCGCAAAAGGCCGCTGGTCTGAACATTTCATCTGTGAGAGACTCCGAGTCGCAGTCTCCGGACAGTCAGTATACTAGTCCTTTCTCGGAGCGCACAGCTTCACAAATCTCTGTCGCTCCCCCGCCCGTGCCACCAAAATCACCAAGGCCCTCTGCTGGATCTCGACTGTCCAAACTTTTCAGCTCCAGGTCAAGCACTCATTCGGACGGTGGGAAGTTGAAGTCACCGAAACAGCCCGTCCGCAAATTGGGAATTTCCTCTCCCATGGCTTCTCCAGATATGAATGCCTCGCATTCATACGGCGAGAACCAGGCCCCTATGTCCCCGCGATTTTACACCCCTGGGCCCCCCACCATCAGCTCCTACCCGAGCAGGTGCCTCGGTCGGATTCATGGCGCCTCCGTCAGGACGTGCACCGGCTCCTGCTCCTCTGAGCCTCAACGCGGCCGCCCAGCCTCTGAACAAGCTGCCCTTCCGTGATGCCTATCCGCTGCAAAGTGCCCCAGCCACCAAGACCACCATCCTAGAGCGTCCGCAAAACCGCAATGGGCCGATCACAGGCATGCCCACCCCTTACAGCCCGTACATGCCTTTCACCCCCGTAACGCCGTTTACACCGGGGCGGACCGTGACAAGGAAACAGCGCAAGCGCGAGGAGAAGGAAGCCGGCCTTCATGTTCTGAACGAGGACGATCTAGTGAAAGACGACCAGGACATCTGGGGATAACTCATTCAAGTATGGGACTTTGAATTTTGGCGTTTGGGGGACTAGTATGATGTATATTGCACGCCCAGGAGGTGGCATGATGTATACACTCACTGTATTTCGTTAGTATTCATCGGACGGAAGTCATACTGAGTTTCATTTCTGCAAAATCTATATCTCTACTAGTATTGGTCTAAAGCAGTAAGCATGAAATGGTATTATTGCTTCTTCAGATGCTGCGTCCCCCGAATTATTGCCTCCGCATAATCCGCCCTGCTGCCCGCTTGCTCCAGAGCCAGAAGGGCTTGGATCGTGCACCCTCTTGGAGAAGAGATACTCTCCCGCAGCACAGCTGGATGGATTCCGGACTCCAGTGCAGCAGACAACCCCCTGATCCCTTTCAAAAGCAGCTGCATCGCGTCAGGACGCTTCAGCCCTTCCGCCACACAGCCATCGAGGATACCTTCGATTGGAACCGTCATCGCCGCCAGCGCAGCACCAACCAGCACAGATGCCAGATCCATCTGGCTCTGCGGCAGATACTTGATATCCCCAATTTGCGTGAAGATCCAGTCCGTCACTCCTCTGAGTTCCGGTGGGAAATCCTCTCCCGGCTCCTCAATCGTAGTCATCGACTCGCGGAACTGCGCACCCATGTTAGGAATCGCTTTCATGATATACGGCTGCGGACATTCCTCGGTCGAAGACTGTTTGATGATGCGGGCGAGATTCTGCGGCGTCTGGCCTGCTAAGAGGCTGATCACGAGTTTTCCAGCGATTGCCTTCTTGACTCCCTCGAGGCTGAGGAGGTCATCGGCCATGAAGGGCTTGAAGCCAAGGACAATGTAGTCGGCTGCCTGCATGCTCTCGATCATTTTCGCTGACACAACATGGACATACTGCTGATGCGCTTCTGAGATGGACGCCTTGAGGCGTTCGGCGGATGGGGCCGTCTTGGTACAAGCAATGAACTTGGAAATTGGCCGTGCCTGGGACTGGTCGCTGGGGTGAGGGAAGGCTGCTCTCAAAACTCCGTGTAAGATTGCACCTCCCATGTTTCCTGTGGAATTGTAAGCGGTTTGAGTCATCTGCTGGCTGGGGACACCCCTACCGCATCCTACAAAGGCAATTGTACGCTCTTGCGACGGCATTCTGACCTGGACTCGTAATGCCCTTTTCAACGACAGCCTTTACGAAGTTGTACAATGGGAAATGATTGTAATGGAAGTGTGAAATGCCACTGGGTCGAGATAACGAGCATGGGGTATGCGGGTGGGGTATCCGACTTCGCTCGGTTGAGCCTTCCGACACGTTCAGTCCTACGGGAGTTGGTCTGCTACATGCTATCTTGGAAATCTGACAGTCTCCATTATTTTCCGCCTACTGATACATGTGCGCATGGGAAGTCTGTCGAGATACTGAATTTCATGTCAAAAGCATGGGAGCCGGGGAACGTCAAACCTAATGAGATCTACCAATTGGGGTCCCTTTGATATGTTCCGTCACCACTCAAGCTTAAGAAAACTCCATATCACCGGGCCGTTTCACTGGACATGAAGCACATCACGATTGAACAAGACCAATCTAAACAATCATAGGATCGGATAGACTTCCACCCTCCAGGGCTGGATGGTCATGGTGGCCATCTTTGCCAGATTTGCAGCTGAGAGGGGAGGAAAGCTCTTCGCCTTCATTCTTGCTCTCATCATTGCTGTCGTCCCCCTCCGAGCCATCCACCGGAAGGACGCGTCGTATCTGCACAAGTAGACGATGCCAAGACATGTAACAAGCATTTTTCGATTTCCCCGTGAGAGCGGCCATTTTGGAGTAGTTGACCTTGACATCTGTAAGATTCCACTTGATCTAGGATAGATTGGGGAGGCCCTGAGGCCTTGGGTATTATCCACATTGACTGGAGGCTCAGCTGAGGCAACACCCGCGATCAGGTGTTCCAGCTGGTGTCGAGTGAGTGTAATGTCTCCGAGCTTGAGAGGGCCAGATTCGCGCTTTTTGCCCTTTTCAGAAGACCGTTTTGAAATGCTCTTTTTAGAACGTGCCATCGAGAGAACGATGTCGGGCAGTGGTGAGCTATGTGTCGCTGATGATTTAAGGCAAGTGACGAGTACAAGGCGCGAGATATCCAGTACCAAGTTGATAGGGCGGTCACGTTGACCAAGTTTTTAAGAAGAGAGAGAAAAATAAACACGAAAAGTACCCATCTGAACACTTTCTAAGCGGAACTCTCCATGCGTCACTAGGCCATACCAGAAATATGAGAATCGAGACTAAATGGCGGAGTTCAGAGTGGGTGATCCTCGATGTCCGAGGCGTAGATGCCCTTGGTCCCCTGGCTCTCCTTCGCACATAAAGAACAAGCTATTGGATCCGAGACTATGAATCATATTATGCATATGAGCCTTGTTTTCTGCAGGGTATCTAGACACACGCATTACTTTCCTGATCATAGTCCTTCTTGACATCTCCAGTAAGCATGGTATCAGCAAGAAAGGAATTGGCTATGGCTCATAGGAAGCTAAAAGAATAATGGTAATAAAAGCCACACGGAAACCCTCTCTCTTTTTTATCTGCAATCAGTGAGTAATATGCTGCAGAACTGGTATACTACACACAAGTGACGCTCATCCTTCAGCTGTGTTTTGTAACTCACATCCTGCACTTGGGCACGCTGTAAAAACTCTAGAGGATGAGGCACTTTGGGAAACGATGGTTGGTATGCCTCGCCAAGATGAGCTCGAGAATTGCAGACATGCGGAGAGTGTTACATGATCACCTTATATTGCTGGGAACCCCGGGAAGTTGGGAGCATATGGAGGTCTCAGGTACAACTTCAACCCGCCAAGTTGAACCACCTAGCCATTGACTAATCATTAGTTACAACCTTCGAAGTTAGATCAGAATGTTCTCCTGCACAAGTCGATGCCATCCGGTCTGGCAGTCATGTATACATTCTCAAGTCAGGCAGAACCTCGGTTGCTGTAAGTCTCCCACGGCCACATGAAGCAAAGCTGATATCTAACGCCAAAAGTGACCAAACAAAAACTGAAGCACGTCGCTCAGACCATTGACAAAGCTCAGAAAAGTGTCCACTTAGGTTCTGACCGAGCGGGGAAAAGAGCTTGTGCTGGCCTCTTTGCTTCTGGCTATTGTCCCGTGCCGTCAGGGGCCGGTATGCAAAGATCTGATCTTATTTACTGGAGGCATCGTCATATTCGTTCATCCACATTCGAGGTGAAATAGGCTCTGGGAATTATTGGAGCCTAGTCATGGGGTTCGGACTTGATGGCAACTTCATCAGGAAAAGGCTTCCGGGCCCAGACTCTCTTTCCACGCTGATAGGGATGATAATGAGGATTCTTCAGGGCCTTTCGCATCTCAGCGATATAGACCAGAACTTCCTCCTTGGTCCAGGGGACCGGGTCGCCAAACTTCGTGAGCAGGTACATCGAATAGCCCTCCATCCCAGCTAGCCAATGCTGGACATTGACAAGACCGGCTTCTTTCAAAGACTTATCACGGGGCCACGCGCCGATGGGCCACTTGTCGTATTTCTCGTGGACGTCGACGAATCCGGCCTTTTCGATTGTCGCGCGCATCGTCTTCGTAATGTCGAGAGGTCTGCCGCTCTTCTCCCCCGCGGCGGAGAATCGGGGTCCCCATGTGCGGAGAATGCTATCAGGAGGGATACTATCATCGTCACAATCCACCACTAAATTCATTTCGATCTGTTCGAACCAGCCGCCGGGCTCAAGGTTATCGTAGCACTGCTTCAGCAAATTATCCCACTCTTCGGGCGAAAAGGCCCCAATGCCATGCCGGAGATGAATCAAATCGAATTTCTGAGTCCAGGTCCACGGTTTGAGAACATCGTCGACTTCCAGGACACAGTTGGGTGGGATCCAGTTCACCGGGGCGGATAAAGATCAACTCCGCGGACCACTGCGTCCGGGAACATATCAGCGACATCGACGGCCCACGACCCCTGGCCGGTGCCGATGTCGAGCACATGCTTTGGTGCCGTGACTGGTGAGTTAAAGAGAGGGTTGGGCTGATCAATATTCATCAGCAGACACAGGATATGTCCGACCTCATAGGTCTCAAACTGGCGCTCGTCGGAGGGGCTGAAATACCCCGAGCTTCGCAGGGTCTGATATCGGCGGCCATTCTCTATGAAGCCTTTATACAAAGACGAGGCGATGGAAGTGGTCTCCGACTTCCAGTCCTCGGGTTCCTGGCCCCGCGCACTCGCGGGCAGATACAGATCTGGGTCTGGCGCGATAGTGAAGTCCGACATGTTTGTACACGGAGAAACCACAGATGGTGCGATTCTGGAAAATTAGGTTGCACGGGCCGTAAGGGACCAGCCGGAATCTTTGGCTCTAAGAAGGATTGCGTCCCACCTACTCCAAGGGCCTCAGCCCTTTTTTCTGTCAAAATCGGAGGCGTCCCGCGCGCAATACCGTCCCATTACCGGGGGAAAGCCTTGCAGTCCCGCGGGTGGTGCCCCTCTGGCCTCCTCCGCCAATTATGACAGCTCGGCCCAGGGCTGTGGTTATGCATGACGCCAAGGTCGGCCGTAACGACTATCTTACCCTAGTGCGGCTTAGGGCCTTGCTATACGATATTGCAGAGTGGGATCAACGCAAAAACGTTGCGGATGGAAGAGTCCATAAGTACGGCAACTCAGTAGTTCAGGACAATGAAAACCAATGGCCAGCCCTTGCTAACCCAATCTACACGATCCGGGCTAAGCGAGGAGCTTAGACACTCTGATCGGCAAAGGTACACGAAGCTCGAGCCCGGAGCGGGTCGTGATCCATCCTTTCCTTCTTAGCTCCGTTACGACAGGTTACTCAGGGTCTCAGACATTGCAACTAACTAATCACGGCCGGGAGGATAATAATACCTCCAACCACGCGGGTCCTCCACACACGTGATGCTCAGACAATCCCCATTGTCTCCTGGCCATGCTGTCATGGAGAGTGAGGAGCGTTGACACACCAGAGCCTCTCAGCGGGAAAGTCCTCCCTGATGTCACATATCGAAGTACATAGCATGTTGCCGTTGCCGAATGGCTGGCCTTCATGGGCACTCACTTTCCTGGCTGCGGCCCTTGCCCGGGTGGTCTTTCGGAGGTACTGGAGTTCTATCAGGGACATTCCGGGCCCGTTCCTGGCATCCTTCTCGAACTTATGGCAAGTCTGGTATATTCTCCAAGGTCACACCGAAGCGAAAGTCATCGAGCTGCACAAAAAGCACGGTAGGCGCATCTACGCTTCTTTGCCCCACAGGATTGGAAGCCAACTAGCGTTCTCTGATGCTAATTAGGTCAGGGTATTTCGTTCGGATCGGGCCGAATGAAGTCAGTGTCTCCCATCCAGATGCTGTCAAGCAGCTTCTCCATGCTCAAATCAAGAAGGTAAGATAGCCTGCCCGCCGCGCTCCCCCCCTTCTCCGCCGGCGCCAAAGAGCGCAAAGCTAAGATATATATGCATAGGGTCCGTGGTACGCGATTATGAGTTTCCCGGACTATCGATATGTGAACCAAATGTCCGAGCTCGACCCGCAAGAGCACATCCGAAAGCAACGAAATATTGCCTCAGGCTACGCGCTCTCGAATATCATCCAACATGAACCGTATTTCGACGCCGTCCTTCGACTCCTAACTACGCGCCTCGACGACTACTGCAAATCGAGACAACCAATCGAGCTTGACCGGTGGTTTACTTTCTTCGCATTCGATGCTGTGGGAGAGGTGATCTTCTCAAAGTCCTTTGGATTTCTGGAACAGGGTAAAGATGTAAGGGACGCGATCAACAATCAGAGACTGTTGGCTCCCTATGCAGCATTTATGGGCTACTACTGCTGGCTTCATAACTTGACGCTAGGCAATCCTCTGCTTAGCCGTCTAGGAATCCAACCATCTTCTCATCTTTTCGATACATGTACCGCTGCTATCGAGGCCCGCAAGAAGAACCCCGCGAAACGAGTTGATATGATGCAGAAATGGCTCGATACTCGTGCCAAGTATCCTGACCGGATGGAGGAAGTTGAGGTTTTCTCTACTGCCGTCGGAACCCTCGGCGCTGGCGGAGATACTGTGGCTGCTACGATCCAGGCCCTTTTCTATTATATGATTCGCCATCCACATTACATGGCTCGCCTACAGGAGGAGCTTGATGCTGCACAGGCTAGTGGGGAACTCTCAGACGTCGTCCAATACTCCGAGACTCAGAAACTACCATTCCTTCAAGCTTGTGTAAGTTTGGTCCTGTTTCAAACGTTGACGTTCTGCTAATTTCTGACCACCTGCATAGATCAAAGAAACTTATCGTTTCCACACTGGAGTTGGCCTCGGTCTCCCCCGTGTCGCGCCAGCTGGTGGTATCACAATCGGCGGGCGATATTTCTCCGAAGGCGTAAGGCAATCCTTCCATTCTAGCTGCCCGTTCTGTTCCCCATGCTCACTTCTTCATCCAGACTGTTCTTAGTGTCAACCCTTGGGTCATCCACCGTAGCACTGAAATCTTCGGGCCTGATTGCGATAGCTTCAATCCAGACCGCTGGCTCCAGCAAGATACCACCTATATCAGCTCCTTCTTGATCCATGTATGTGTAGGCCGTCAAGTCTCATCATCTGATTTGTCACAACTAACATCACTTCAGTGGGGAGCCGGCTATAACGCCTGTCCAGGGCGCAATTTTGCTCAGTTCGAAATTTCCAAGCTCGCAGCCACATTATTTCGCGACTATGCCATTGAGTTCGTCGATGCGAAAAAGGAATGGACGTGGAAGAACCACTTCCTTTGCGTCCCGTACGACTGGCCCTGCAAAATCCAGCGCCGCTCGAAAGTATGATCTGATTTTGAAGGTAATAATCCGGGTCATAACCCAATGGACTAACCATCCACGACATCACCTGTTCAAATTGGACCCGGTGAGGAGAATACATGAATTAGGCACTGAAGGGGCTATTATGAACTGCGTGTTGAATTTTAAGCGTACATAATTATTTCGGGGTGGTGGATGCCCAGGAGGAACATGCCTGTCAGTGCGACAGCCAACCTGGCAAGTGTGAACTCAACGGTCCAATCCTGTCCCCCAACATTCCTGCGATAGAACTAGGCCACCAGCTAGGAATCTTCCATCTCGCTCGTTGAATAATCAAGTTGCGCGCACTTTCCGCTGTCTGAACTCTACGGCGATGGTCCAACCAATGGCGACTGGCACCTGCGGGCTAGTTACAATTCTCGGTTGAATAATCAACAAAATCACCCCGGGGCCCCAGGGCCCTAGATATACTTCGATTAGTCGGCCTCGGAAGAGGAGCCTCGGTCACGCTAATTAAAATTGGAAGACAAGAATCCCCTGGTGGGACTAGTATACTATCGCTCTCAGTCGAAGGCCCTTTCAATCGTTCTTATTAATCGCGAGCGCCTCGGTGTGATGACTAGTCGCGAAAATCCGGGTATGATTGCCGGTCATATTCCCCCAGAACGACGTTAAAGACCCTGGGTCACTCCTTTGTATGGCAAGACGTAACACTGCCGCATCTGATCTGTCGCACTAAAGCTACTCCCTTGGTGTGAAGACAGGATAGCTATGGGGCAGCCCGAAACGCCCCAGGACCTCCGCTTGAGGCTCAACCCAGGCAGAAGGCAGCACAAGCTGAGGATGCCACTTGGAATTGGGATGAAGATCCTAGTAATCCGTACAACTGGCCGTTCCGGTTCAAAGTCCAGCAGGTGCTGATGATTGCATCTGCAGCGTTTACAACGTAAGTGAAAGTCCCATTTGAGCACATCGCGTGGAAAGCTAAGGGCGTGTAGATCTGTCGGCGTCTCGATCGTATCACCAGCACATACGCAGTTCATGGAGGAATTTGGGGTTAGCAGCACCGTCGCGATCCTCCCTCTATCTCTCTACGTCTTTGCTCTTGGCTTGGGACCCGTGGTCGGCGGGCCGCTGTCTGAAACCCTTGGCCGATACCCTGTCTATGTAGGGACGCTTTTATTGGGGAGCTTGTTTACGCTCGGTGCTGGATTCAGTCATTCGATTGCGTCGCTATCGGTCTTGCGGTTTCTGGCCGGTTTCTGCTATGGACCGTCTCTCGCCATCGCTGCGGGGACGATCAATGAAACATTCCAGCCGATGAAGCGCGCCATACCGTCTACGATCTTTATCCTCACGCCGTTTTTGGGACCTGGGCTGGGGTATGTGGGAGCAACTCGCTTCGTCTTGTCCAACCGTATTGACGATTAGATCTTTTTTTCACAGACCTGTGATCGGCAGCTTCGTGGTGAACCGCAAGGGCTGGCGATGGACGCAATGGACATTACTCTTCTTTGCGATATTCAGTCTCCTGTCAACGGCGATTGCGCGCGAGACCTTCCATTCGGTGATCAAACGCCGACGATCGAAAGAGCTCGGGCTTGCTCTCCCCGCCTCCCTTCCATTGTCTTCGAAGATTCGCTTATTCGCAACGGTCGCTCTTTTGCGGCCGCTGAAGATGCTTCTCTTAGAGCCCATCGTCTCTTTTATCTGCCTCTATGTGGCATGCGAGTTTGCGACGCTGTTCTCTTTCTTCGCGGCCGTTCCGCTAGTGTACCAATCCACCTATGGGTTTGGGATCGAAGACTCGGGTCTGGTATTCCTCGCCATAGTAGTGGGATGCCTCCTTGGGGCGTTAACGGTATTGCTCTCCGATATCTTGCTGTACCAGCCCCGAGCGGGCAAATACCCTGGCCAGCCAGTCCCACCTGAATATCGCCTTTTCCCTGCCATGATCGGGAGTCTGGGGATCCCTCCGGGGCTGTTCTGGTTTGGATGGACCGCGCGACCGAGTGTACACTGGGCAAGTCCCACCGTGGCGATCATGCTATTCGCATGGGGGAACCTGTGTGTATTTGTTAGTACAACGCAGTATTTGGTCGATACGTATCACGGCTTGACTATCGCGAGTGCGATGAGCGCGAACAGTCTGGCCAGATACGGACTTGCAGCTGCTTTTCCCCTCTTTACTCTCCAAAGTATGTGGGAGCTTCTTTTTCATTTCCCTTTGCGGACCTTGCTGATTATTTGCAGTGTACAGCAAGCTTGGTTTTGGATGGGCTTCAAGTTTGTTGGGGTTTATCGGTATTGCCCTCCTCCCCGTTCCGTGGATCTTCTTCTTGACGGGGAAGAAGCTGAGAGCTCTGAGCAAATTTGATGTAGCGAAAATTACCGGATAAGACTATCTGTTGGTCACTGGGATGGGCTCATGTAACTTTCAGGTCGCAGGCTTCAGCATGCGTGCGGTGTCCACTGTAGCAATCTCCATTCGAGGTTTAAAGTGATATTGCCCCAAGAAGATAGTCCAGTACTCATACATTACTTGAATTGGATTTGGAGAAGGAAATTCACCCACAATAGTTATTTTCAAGCATTATTGGAGCCAAAATTCAGCTCAATGTTTTCCTACGCCAATAACTGTACGTAGATATGGTCGGTCATACCCTTCTACGTACATTGGCAGGACGAAGCTATTGTAGATTTGAGTCTGCGGTATCTGCCAATGAGAATGTCGAAGAAAGCATTGGGGTTCGGCAGAATCTCAGGGCGCCAACCCAACGAAATGAGACCAACAAATGTTCAAAAGCGTATATTGCAGTCCGTTGTAGATTCTCGAACGGTTGGGTGTGGGATGGGTGAGTTGGGGAATGATGCATAATCCAATAATAAGAGGATTTATTATTTTATATGGAAGCTACCATCCATCTTTGAATCGGTAGAGTATCACATAGCGACGCTAACATCTAAGAGGAAATGAGTTCTCCTCAGATCACGTTGTACTTCGACATTGGTAGCCCATTCAGTTACCTTGCATTCTACCATCTCAAGGTATGGTTTCAATTGGGCCCATAATAGCACGTCCGTTACTGACCCAGGAGAATTGGTGCAGAACTCCCCCGTGTTCTCAACATGCAGGATTGAGTATGTCCCAGTCCATCTGAAAGACTTGTTCCAAAAGTGCCAGAATCCCCCTCCGGTCCTCGTCAAGAGTGAGTGCGACCACTCGACTATGTGCCTACCCTAACCGTTCTAACTGTGCATGCAGACAAGTTCTTATGGCTCCAGCGTGAGAGGCTGTATTGGGCCCTTAGGGTTGGTGCCCCTGTAACTGAAAAGCTGCCCGATGGATTTCCTGCAGCGACGGCGGACGTCCAGGCTGCACTGGCTGGATTAAGCAAGGAATCTCCAGAGAAGCTCCTCCTGGTTGCGGACCGATTGTTCAACATCTTCTGGGCACAAGGTGATTCCAGTATTGTGAAACCTAATAGGTTTCGCGCTATTTTCGAAGAGATTGTTGGACATAAGGAGGCTGATGTGAATCAAGAAGGCTTAGGGACGGTAAGCTGTGTATCAGATTTCGGCATGTACCGGGCATCTGCTGATTCTTCTGCTATTCAAGTCAAAGTCCGCCCTGAGTGAGAATACCCAGCGTGCCTTCGACGCCGGAGCGTTCGGGACTGCCTTGGTTTGAATGTACCAATGCGAGGGGCCAAACTAAAGGATTCTGGGGAGTTGACCATATGGATAGGCTGGTTGAGCATTTGGGCCTTTAATGTTTAATTCAAATGCTTGGCACTCAGACTACGGGTAGAGCAAAGAAAAAATATAAGATGACTGAATAGATAGTAATAGATGGAAAATAGAAACGAAAAAAGTGAAGGGAGGTGGGGGGGGGAGCAAAGAGAGAGAGGGAGAGGGACGGGGAGAGAGAAGGTGGGGAAAGAGAGGGGGGAGAGGGAGAGGGAGGAGAGAGAGGCACCGTGAGGCACCGAGAGGAACTGGGAGACAAAAAGGGGGAAAGGGGGGAAAAGGGGGAGGGGAAAAAAACAAAGTGACCAGACCCGGGCTCGATCCGAGGACCTTGTCGGTGTTAACGACACGTGATAACCAACTACACCATCCGGCCGCTTGTTGTTGAATAATATTGCAAATTATTGCGTCATAAGGAAGAGCTTAGTGTGCCTCTTCTGCTCACTTCGCTAACCAACTTGGACCCCCATCAAGCGACTCTTGACGAGTCTCCACCCTAGCCAAGCTGCTCTACCTGATGTGCTGATTCGATAATTACAATCTCACATCGCTGTAGTGAATCTGGAGAAGTTAGTGCAATTGCGATTTCAACCTCCAGCGGTGCAGACTGCAGTCCAAAAAGCCAGTACCTAATACCACTTCCCGAGCGATATATGTTCCAGTTCATAGCTCCACACCCTTCTTTTTATGAACGCCACATGGACCAAGGACACGCCTGGAAAACCGAGTTGAATAAGAGAGCCTATACAGATAACCAAACGTTGGGCTTTGGTATAGTTACTTACTCCAAGGAAATTCTGACCGGTCGGCCCTTTTTTCAGTCTCCATACGGAAGGCATTCAAGGTGTTTCGGATATACTTGCTCTCATCGACTCCTTGATAGTTACTGTACACGCTCTAACTCTGTGATGGAAATTCGGACAAGCCTGTCGAGCTCCATCGTACTTTCTTACATCAATATCAGACCTTTCGTAACTTTCTCATCTGGTGGAATCGGCGAATTGACCATGCAAAGTGGTTTCCGACCTTAATCTGCCCTCTCAGCACATATCGCAGCAGGGGTGACAAATTCCCCTTGGGCTTGCATCGTTTTTTGCCAATATTCCGTAGAAATTGAGCTATGCTGTTTATGAAATGTGAACACGGAAGGACACTGGAATTTGCCTCGCTTGACTGGGGGACCACGCAGCGCAGATTAGGGCAAAGGCTAAATGCGCTAAGTAGATAGACTGAACTAGAGGAGAACTGACAGGGGATCTGTTGGAGGGGTATGGAGGAGAATGTGCTCTGTTATTCAAACTCGGTTTTCCGCCTGGAAAACCCATTCAAATCCAGCTTGCGCTTCGAAGCCAGTATCGAATTGCTCCGTGCACATCTAAAATTCTGCTTCCCAGCCTTGGAGGGATTAGGTTCATCTTGGGAGAGTGCGAAGCGGGCTGGAACCTCCCTGCTGCATATGCAGGGCCTGTCGGAGACGTAGGTTCGCCGTTATCGGGCGTCAGAACGCCACACATATCGCTGTCGCAAGGGATGGCGCCTTTTTGAGTAACCACATCCGAAGCGGTCGCGAATTTGCTATCTGCACCTGCGTAGGTGGGTAGTAATAGTAGGCTTCATTATGCGATGCGCTTGAGGAGTTTGGATTGGCCGTGGGCGACGACAATGGCAACGACGTCTACCAAATAAACCCAACCCAGCGCAGTGTTGGACTCCAACGATAATATCTGCTGGTCACGTTAGTTCAATGTAAAAAATTGTGTTTCTTCCCGGATAAAGACTCATGGCGTTCAAATACGATGTGATACACGAAGTCTTGATAACATCCCGCCGAACATGAGCCTTGCACCAGTCTGGTTACTGAATAGATCTATCACAAGCTTCACCGGGACCCTTCTCAAGCAACCGAGTAGTTCCCGATCGCAAGAGCAAATGGGTCATGGTCGAACCATCATCAACTCCATGCTAGTGGGTAGCCCCCCCCGCGCGGCCCAAAACACATGGCCAACTTTGATAGGACACGCCCCTTCACTTTTGTTCGTAGATCCCACCTCTGCCAGAAGAGACTATGATCATTGTCCGCACTTGGGGATATGACAGGGCGCAGGGACTAAACGTGACTTCGGCACTTGTTACCTTGTCACATGAAATTGGGTGTGAGAATAAACTTCGCCTGTCAAAGTGACTGTTGGTTTCGCAACTTTGTTCTCGCCTGAATCGCTTCGGGTTTTTCTGGAAAAGCCTGTTGAGTACATCTTGGAATGATGGAGTAGAAGATTCACTGATTTCTTACAAATATTGACAATCTGGGACCTGTAATCTCTCCAGATTTAGCAAACTGGGGCAGGAAAGCGCTGGAGTCCGTTCCGAGTCTTACAAAGCACAAAAAAAGAGTGACCGGTCATGGACTTTTCCGGACTCCAATTAGAAGAAGGTGCAAAGGCTTCTACGATAGACCCTAGTTTGTATGATTACAGTGGATGCTTTTTGACTAACACAGCTGGGCTGATGCCTGGGTTTCGTGAAGATTGATGTCGCGGTATGTGCCAGAATGTCATAATAAGCTGCTCATCGAACAAGTACTCGTTCCCGGCATTTCTAGACCGCGTATGTCATACGACTAACCAATCGGTCCATCTGCAAGTCACCAGGACCTGGAAGAAAGTCACAGGAATGCAATATTGGACCGTTTTGCGTCCAGGTGCGGATTTCTCGACTCTGGTGGTTATCAGCCGCAAAGCCCATGCGAATCATTTTCAGATTTTCAGAGAGAACAATCGCTTCAGACTAAGACTGTGTTCATTCAATAGTATAACTTCCTGGGTCTGCTAAAGCGGGGCTTTACTCTGAAGATGAATCTTCCATTGCCCCCTTGGGTTCAAATTTCAAGCAGGGTACGCAGGTGAAAAAATTGGTCGTCTTGAGGAATGCTCGTGCTGTTTCTGGAGAGTAATCTAGCGTATGGTTCGAAATGACGAAGAATCTCAACTGCCTTCTAGGTGGGAAGTGCCTGGATCCTGATCCCAAGTGTCGAGGATGACGCTCGATGGGGCTCCCGAAAGGGGTTGGCGTGATCCGCGATCGGCGCTGTACACAATCTGCCGCATTTAGCTCAAACGGATGCAGGCAAGAGAAGAATACATCTCGAGGTTGATATTTTCTCTTCCTCTTCAGCACAGACCCCGACGAGAAAAACTTAATTGCGCCCTGCCCATCTCACGAGGCGTGGCATTGGGCATTGATTGCTGTTGCCTCGCGCGCCCCTCGTTGATCTGACCCCCACCCCCCACTTCTTATCGCCCTAGCACACGCGGTCCTCTACTCGAAATTAGATTTGGTCCAGCCGCGGGGTTTTAACTGGAGTATCTCCGAGAACCGCCTGGAATCCCCTCTTGGTGTGACCAGACCTTTGTGCATGTGGAGTGTGTGGTGAATGCAGTCGTTTCAGTTGGCGACTTGGCACGGTGGCGATTTTGCTATCGGAGTTTAACACTTTTGGCCGAGTTCATGCGACTCCGTACATGACTCTTTCCATTCCCGTCTCTGCTCTACTTTCGCCCATATCCCCATTGAGACCTCTTTTCCAGCAATGCCTCTCACTGTTCTCTCGCGTGCGAATCTCCGGGACCCTTCTACATTCCCTCACCCGCGACGAGATCGTGGAACTGCAGCGGGGTCTCTCCGAAGCGCTACGAGAATATTCGACCGGATCCCAGGAGGAAGGTTGCTCAGCTACCTATCAGCCTCAGCGAACAGCGATTACACGCCAGAATGGTTGTACCACCCTTTTCATGCCGGCTAGCACCGGCCAAACGCTTGGCATTAAGATGATTTCGTTACAAGACGGAGGCAAGGCGGGGTGCGCAGTGGAACGGCCTGGAATTGAATCCGTCGACAGCGATTCTACTTCGCCGAAGATGAGAAGCTCTGCACGCAATTCCGTCGCATCGCTTTCTTCGGAGATGAGCGAACTCTCTGTCGGATCGTCCCAGGAAGACGACAGCTCCACCAATCCTGCCTCGAGCGCGACCGTGAGCCCGAGCGCCAGCTCAACGCTTCTCAATGGCTGTGTAAACCAGAAACCGGTGGTCGCAGCTGTTGACCCCAGTCTCTCGAATACTCGAGGAGCTTGGCCGGGCGCCGGGACCCGCGATACTTCACCGCGGGGCAGCGTTACCCTGCTTGATGGAGATAGTCTACCATTCGCACTCATCAACGCCCACGAGCTCACAGCTTTCCGGACCGCATTGGCATCTCTGATGATCTTCAACCGACGTAGGAAGGTGCGCACTATCCTCGTTTTTGGAGCTGGGACCCAAGCCTACTGGCATATTCGCCTCGCTCTGACCCTGCGCGGGGAGGACATCCGTCGCGTCTACATCGTGAACCGCAGCTTTGAGCGCGCAGCCAAGCTGTTACAAGATATCTACGGGCCTGAGAACACCAAATGGCGCCGAGACGTAAAGTTCTCCGCCGTGAGTACCGACTTCGGCGAATACGGCCGCGTTCTGAAGGAGCACGTCCGCAAGGCCGACGCAATCTTCTGCTGCACCCCATCAGTAGAACCACTCTTCCCGGCGGAATTCCTCACGTCTCGCGAGGGTCGCCAGAAGGGCCGTCTGATCACCGCGATCGGCTCATACAAACCACATATGGCGGAGATCCATCCCGATATTCTCCGGGATGAGGTCAACGTGCAGCCACCCCACAGGCACTTCCACAAGCATACGCCACGCAGTGGTGTCATTGTGGTGGACAGTCTTGATGCAGCTATCAAGGAAGCTGGAGAGATTATCCAGGCGGGGATCAAGCCCAAACAAGTTGTTGAGCTGGGGGAACTCTTGATGGTTCGCCATGCGACAATGAACAACTCAGATGATACTGGCGAGGAGAAGAGCCTGCGCGAGTGGATCCAGCGGGGGAATGTCATCTACAAGAGCGTTGGGCTCGGGTTGATGGACTTGGTGACAGGCGGCGACCTCGTGCGTCTAGCGCGGCAGCGGAACTTGGGAGTCACTGTGGAGGACTTTTGATCTGCATTTGCATTTTAGTTCATTGCTATTTCTGTCATATACCCTGGGTGTGGCGGGGTTGACCCCATACCATTATTATTGCCTTTAATGTAATGGATTCGGTATCGAACGTTTTTCACGTAAAAGCATCTCCAAACTTTCCCTAAAGCAGGAATTTATGGGTCAAGAAAAGAAATCCAAAAAAGCGCCTACTTGCATCCTAGTCCAATCAGGATCGTGCAAGACACGGTACTCCAACCTCATCTCCAGTTTCTCGATTGAGAGTCCAGGGAAGATCGCACCGTTTGTGTCAGGCTCGTGGCATGATTTTGGGTGTGCGGGATTGTGCGTCACCACCACCTCACCCCGATAAAAGATATCCTACAGCTCTGATCGTCTTCCACTCCGCCTTTCCTAGCAGCCACGACGATCAGGACTTTCCTCCTCGTCTAGCTTTCCTTCTCGGGCTTCGTACTGGAACATTCAACCCAGGGGGCCCATTGCTGTTGCGGTGCATGGTTCTCCACGGAAGTGAGGGGCACACGTAAAAAAAAAGAGCGCAAGAGGGGGAACTCCCTGCGAAGCTTCAAGCTCTTTTTTTTTATTTGATTTTTTTTTTTTCGCCCTTTCGCGCAGCATATCTTACGCTGAGCTTCATCGCCATGCGACACAACACCTGCTTCCTGCCAAATGGCCTGACATTCTCTGTGACGCCAGTGTTTGGCGGCGTGACCTTCAAGTCCAATGATATGAACAATCACAATTCCACCTTTCCCCCAGGATGGACAATCATCATTCACAGCGAGAAGAGCCCTGCCAATCCAGATGGGGTACGAGGAAGGACTGGATCGGATCAGCCTCGGCCCTCGTCCAGCGACGATGATTCAAACATCACCCGGTTCACCAATCCTACCTTATGCCGCGACTGTCTCTACATCTCGTATATAGTCAATCCCCCTTCAAGCGAGTTCAAGTCAGCAACGTCCCCTACGCGCCATGTCGCAATGATGCTCTGGGCAACTCTGTGGTGGTACTTCCACGAGACCGAACCAGATCTGCGCCTGGAAACCGCAGCATCAAGCTCGACTCCGCACGACGGAAAGCCCACGGGCGAGTGGCGAGTTAATATCCGGCGAGAAGGCATTTTCAAAGGACGCAACCTTCTCCAAAAGCTAGAGCGCATGGGTCTGATCGCCAGCGAAGACTCGTCGGTTGGCGTGCAGCCTGTCGAGACTCGAGACTCCAGCAACTGGTCCAACATGTTCGTTAGCAGACGCAGCTTCTGGCAGCTTGATCCGCGCCTGTTCCTCTTTACTCTGACGCCTCGCGGTGCTCCCGGCTCACCGTCTTTGACTCCCTTCCAGTCCCGAACCGCCTCGCCCGCTCGTGAGGGTCTGCCGACGGCGATGCTGCCGCCCACGGAGGCCAATTTCCACACCACCCACTTTGGCTCATTCACCTCCGGTGGCCCGTTCACGTCGGCGAGTCATCTGCCGACTTACTATCCTCCTGCGCCGACGCAGTATACCTTCACGAATGGGGTGCGCCACCCTCTTCGCCCGAAACCGCCCCATCAGGGCGAAGTCTTCTACGTGCGCTATATCCCCAGCGTGGAGCAGTATCTGTCCTTCCGTATCCCCTTCCTCCCTATCACCAGGTCGACGACGACTGGGAGCCGACCCTCTACGCCGAATAAGTCATTGACCTCGCCGGTTACCAGTATTGATCAGCATCTCGCCGAGGACATGCCGTCTGACCTCGACACGCTGCACAAATGGATGAACGACCCCCGCGTCGAGGCGATGTGGGGGGTCGGCGGCCCGAAGGAGGTGCAAGAGAAGTTCCTCATTGATAACCTGAGTAGTCGGCACAGTTTCCCGGTGATCGGATGCTGGGATGGGACGCCTTTCGGGTACTTTGAGATCTACTGGGTGAAAGAGGACCCGCTGGGTCGGCTGCTGGATGGCGTGGATAACTACGACCGTGGGATCCATGTGCTGGTGGGCGAGCAGCAGTTCCGGGGTCCGCATCGTGTGGCGGTTTGGTTGACTGCTCTGGTGCATCATTGTTTCCTGACTGATCTGCGGACGGAGGCGGTTTACTTGGAGCCGCGGGTCGATAATGTGAAGTGAGTTACCCGTTTCTTTCTCCCCTTTTTCTCCTGCCGACTCCTACTGACTCTCTTGCAGGCTTATCAAATATCTGCAGGACGTCGGATTTTATAAAGAAGGCGAGGTGAACTTCCCGCACAAACGATCTGCTGTGATGAAGATCAAGCGGGAGTTCTGGGAAGCGCCGGTTCTATAAGTCGAGACTGGTCTCGCGATTACGATAAATAATGAATCCACTACCCAGCTCATATCGAACCCGAAATATTATTGCAGATATTCTGGCGTAACTCTAGATGCTCAGCATTCGTATGGAAAACATCAAGCTGTCTAAATGCAGTCCCACCCCAATACCCAAATTTTTGACAACCTACCCAGCGGCCTAATAAATGGTATGAATGACATCCGCATTCTTGGTAATAGACCCATCGTAACCTTGGAACTCGCTGACCAAGATCCTTCATGTATCGCCACCCTCCTCGCCCATTCGAGACCCTCACAGCTTAAATTGCAGCAGGTTCCCAATCATCTCCCGAGCCGTCAACCGGGTGGTAGCCCACAGCGTCGGGAAATCAAGGGTACTGGAGAAGGTATCCGCGTACCCGAAGAACAGCATGGGCGGGATCCAGCCACGCGCGTACTCCAGCGCAAAGCACGACGACTCCATCTTGTACTGCTTGACCTCGCCGCGGCGCAGGTGGTGCACCGAGCCGGCGGGGTACACCTCTGGCTCATACTCGCCCGGCACGTAGGCGAGCTGCGTGCCAGACAGGATGTTGAAGTAGTCGTCTGCGGTATGACGGCCCGTGTGGCCTTCTGTGCCGATGGCAGTGCCGAAGATGATGAGGTACTCGGTGATGCCTAGCGGGGGGTTGTTAGTTCTCGCGTTAGGGTTACGGGGGAGAGGGTCAATGGCTGGGGTGTGGTATCGAGGATGTCCCGAGCTGCCTTTTTTTTTTATCCTTCTTTTTTTTTTGTGACGTGTGCTAGGAATTAGGGGGCGGGGACGGGTTTGGAGTTTTGCAACGTACTGGCGTGAATAATGTACATCGCGCCCATCGCGCCGCCGGCATTGTTGAACACCCACTCCTCCTTGCTGCTCAGGTACTGCGAGCCGACCTTTTCCTCGAGCTCGGAGACAATGTAGTTGACGATGGAGCGGGTGTCCTCGCCGTGGGCCTTGACGGCGCGCTGGGAGAGCTCGTGCAGGTGCTCATGGTCGAAGATGTAGAATTGCTCCAGGCGCGCGTCGAGGAAGCGGTAGATGGCCGTGAAAGCCGCCAGAAAAATGGCCAGGAGGCTCAGGTTGCGGAAGGAGAAGCAGCGGCCGCTGCTAGGCGCCTTCTTGCTGGAGGATTTGGAAGGCATTGTGGGTTGGAGGAGCTGCGAAGGAGGAAGGGAAATTATTTTGTCTGGTAAAAAAAGTGGTTCCCTACCCCTTGGCGAACCCCAGAGTTCCACTTGTGGGGCATATTTTTTTTCCTTCAGCAGCTAGCAATCTTTCGCTATTTCTGGTCATGCGCGAGCAGGGGAGCCTGTGGACTTCATCCCGCAGACACTCGATTTTGCCCAATCATGGTGACTTCAATGGCTTGTACAGATGATGTATCTGGGTATTGCTGATGCGTTCATCGACCCGTTCTCAACAACGCGAATTGTCCGCACGGTCCACCACGCCATCTCGGATCGCCGCAGCCCGAGTCGCCTTCTGGTTTGCATCAGATAGGCTGCACCTGACGGTTAAATCTTTAAGAATATGGTTTACGGAAGAGTAGGACAGGATTGAGCATGTCAAATCAAAATGTCAAAATTCTAGAATGTTCAAATGCCAAAATTATTAATGAACCCAGGTCCCTAGTACGAACTTTCAAAATACGCTCCAACTGGGAACAGGAAAAAAAAAAACATCTAAGGCATATCGCAGACTCTAGGCCTTGTCGGACTCAGCAAGTTCGGACAATGAATCCCAGTCTGGCAGGAGAGGTAGGCCATGAGGGAGACGTCCATTGTCGCCCCCGAGGGCAAGTTGGTGTCCTGAATTATGAAAGCCCCCGGATTTGGGGAAGCCTCCGGGGTTGTCGACGGCGATCGCGCCGAAGTATCTCCAGCGGATGGCGTGTTTAGTGGCTGTTGAATGGACGAGAATCTCTAGAGCTCATCACGAGTCAGTTTTTCTGTCCTGAGACGTCGCACAACTTCCAAGGGGGGGGCCTTCAATACCACTGTCCGACGATTTGTCTTCTGTCCTCTGGGGCTCTCCGTATTTCTCTGCTCAAGTCCCTGGCGCCGTGGGATCGTGAACAGCGAACCCTGTTGAGGTTTCTGCGTGCTCTTCTTCGATTGAGATTTCCGATGATTTACGAAACTCTCGTCCGCTGGTGGGTCTATATTGTTGAAGTTCTCGTTGAGCGATGCAGCTGTTTCCTTCGCCGACATGCGATTCGCTGTGCAGATTTCAATATGGGAATCCCATGCTTTCTTCTCTTCCTCAGTTCCTTGCCGGTATTTCTTCTTGTGTGTGTTTTTATTGTGGGCGCCCACTCTCGGAGTGGGCTTTTGGACTCGCTGAGCAGGCCCAGTGGAGCGAAGACTTAATTGTCTAATAGGGCCCGTCCGGTCAGGATTTTCCCTGACCTTTTCTCTGGAGGAGCCACCGGTGGTTATGGATGGTCCAATAGGGCCCGTCCGGGCTGCGTTTTCCCTGACGTTTCCCCTGGAGGAGCCACCGGTGATTATGGATGGTCCAATAGGGCCCGTCCGGGCTGCGTTTTCCCCTGACGTTTCCCCTGGAGGAGCCACCGGTGGTTATGGATGGACCAGGAGCCGGCGAGCTATCCAACTCCATTGGCACGGAGTCCGAGACAGATCCTGCAGCGTCATCCGGAGCTGGATCGCCCCCAGTTTGGCCATTTCCCGCTCCATCGGGCTCAGGAGCAAGTGTATCGGGGTTTGTTGGTGGCTGGACAGCCGGCTCAGCGGGTCGGGGCACCTCTCGTGTAGGAGTGGTTCCTCCATGGTGCAGGATCTCACGATTCAGAGCGGCCTCACGTTTCGTTAATTGTGCCAGAGTTTCCCTTACACGTTCTGGATGGGTCAGCCCATTAGCCCTGAGAGAGATATAAGAGAACCGATAAAGAAAGAAGCATACCGCAGATCGGCTCCCACTCTGACATAAGTTTCTCACGGACTTCCCTGAGCTTTTCTCGCTCCTTCTGACAGTCCTTTTCAGTGGGAAATTTCATGTTCTTGAACATTCCAACACCCTGCATTTGTTGCTCTGACAGCTCCGCAGTGTATCCATCGACGGCACCTCGCCAAACAGGGGGTCCATCATCCGTACAGCACTTTTCAAGAGCCTGGATTTCACGAACCACTGCCACCCAGTTCAAAGGGCTGTCATCAGTTTCCAAAACCTTGGGACCGTTGATTCTCAGGTAACTTGATAGTATGTTCTGGAGTATCAGTGAATCCATATCCTCAGATGCGTTATCCTTCTTGTCTAGGGCAAATATTCTATTCTCATCCAGTACGTCCAGTGTATTTCTCCAGAACGCTTCAAATGGCTTGAGGTCGATTCGAACAATGGAAGGAGGGGAGGGATTTTGATTCCTTCTCGAAGGATGTTCATCTCTTTGCATAACCCAGTTCCAGTTTCGCAGTTCATGTTCGGGTTCCACGACATCCATGGCCGGTTGAGGCATGGTATGGATCCTATTCGAAAACGGGTTGCCCGTTATTGTTCAAACAGAGAGGATGTGGTCTTCAAGAGATATGATTGAAGTAAGGGTGTTTGGGGGAAAGGTTCACCCCCAGGAGGAAATATGTGACAGTTTTTTGCGAAGCGAGAAGGCGTAAAGGGGAGGAAATGGGTTTTATACCCAAACTTATGGGCAAGAAGGCATGAGAAAGTGTTCGAACTACGCGAGTCAAGGGTGCAGTTCTAGTGTGCAGGGATTGAAGGAATTGTGAAATATTATGAAATTTCCAAGATAAATCCTAGAGTAAATTCTACAAAAATTTAGTTAAATGGAGTAATAACCCATTTTCCTTGGAACACTACGGGCCAAAGAGGACCTAGACCCCTTTATAAGAAAAAGCAATATTCTTAGTCCCCTTATAGGAAAAAGCAATATTTTCAAGACCATCGATTTTGATTGGAAGACGTTATCTCCCAGCCGTCTCGACAGGCACACTTCCAACGCTGCTCAGTTTCCAAACCCCAGCGTTGGTACTACAGATATGGTAGGCGTTGCAAGGCAGATCGCTAAATCCCTAAAAGGGTTAATCTTGTCTGCCGTAGCGGGACTCGTGTGGCTGCGCCCAAAGTTCGTCAAGCCCGGGAAACCAACAGATTCATAATCCCTGCAAGAACTAACTAGATACGGCGTCTTCAAACAAAGAACAACACACAGAAATCAACGGAGGGCAAGATAATGCTCAAAAATAGGATTACGAAGGCGGCTAAGTCCCCCTTTCTTTATTTGGCTACTTGCAGCAGTAGACTTGCGGTCGCCATAGTTGTGTCCACGACTCAACGTGCTCAGCCGGAGACTTAAGAATTAAGCTCTCAACTATTGTGACGATATAGCATCCGCCACAGGGTTGTAGCGTGGACTATAGTGGTGGTTTGCCACAGATCACTTCTTTGCATGGAAAGAATAGCCATCCTAATATCCAAATCAGCCTCGCGTGTGCCCGAATGCTTCAGGGTCAGGATGAATAGGGTAAGAATATACTTTGGGGCGTTTGGCCCCAACAGCAGAACAAAAGCAAACATGATTTTGTGACATAATAGGAAACTGTGTACAGTCAATTTCGAGTCTGCGCTCTTACCCCTGACAGGGATTATTCCAAGTTTTCGTTCGAAAATGTGCTAGACTTGCCTGTGAACTAGATAAGACTTGGACATAACAGCGAAAGCTGCCTGGAGGGTTATAAAAATAATTGGACGAAGATACGAGTTCTCTCAACTATTACTTCCTCTAGAAGCGACAGCAGCTAGGATGGTGGAGCACTTCGGAATCCTTGCCAAATCAAGTATTACGTGGGAAATTCTGACATATTTGTCACGTTCTAAGTGTCACATGATTGATGTTTTCATATATAAAGCCCACATCCCCCCACCTGGGCACCTGCAAATTTGAAAAGCCCGAATTGGAACATTTCCATCATGTGAAACTCAAATTTGGCCATAACTTCGTATTCTATGAATTGTTCAAGGTGGTCATGCTTGATAAGTAATAGTAGTGTTGATTTGAAGGCCTAAAATGTATTGCGCAATTCAGTGTAGATGCCTGTGGAGGCCAGGGTTGAGTTCAACTGGAAGGGACTGTTAACAGTCTATTAAAGCTCCTAAAGGAAAGGAGATTTAGAAATTCTCGGGTAGCGATAAGCCACAGAAAAGACGGTGAACTAGAGCAGAAAGGAGGGCAGGATAATCCAGGCTAAGCTTGCTGGAGACACGCACCGCCGCACCAGCCTGTCATCGTGTATCCCCCTTTGAACCGCCGTCTGAACACCAAATACAGGCCTTGTTTCTATCCAGGTGAGTAGGTGCTCTTTTCCAGAAGAATTCGCTGGATAAAATGGACCGGGAAAAGATGAAGCTTTTGGATGACTCTGATTTCAGGGCAACCAAGGGCTTTTCCTTTTGTTCTCATTCATAGCCATTCATAGTCGCCGAGGCTTATTCCACGGTCTGTGTGCTCCGTAGGCCTCATTTTTATTCGAGCTTTCGAAGCACAGATCCCGACAGGGTTGTCAGACAAAGAAATAGCGATGGCGTGAGTTGCGAATTTCTCTGACCTATAAAGGCAGTGGCCAATCCACTTTTGTGTGGTCGACTCACCTGCTTTCGTAAAACCCAATTATCTGCACGTCACTTGGATATGGGGTCCTTCTGTTCATATAAGAGCCCTCAAACTCCAGTCGCTCTCACCTGTGAACAGACTAGTACCACCTGCGGATGAGGTGCTTGCAGAGCCTCGGCAAGATCTCGAATAAATCCGAGATGGTCAGGCCTGAGGTGACCGGCTATCAGGAAGCTTTCGACTTGGTCAAACCGATTCGCGTTCAATCTGTGCCAGTTCACACCTGGACTCGGAGGGTTGTCCATTCACCAATTTACGATCGCTCGGTTATAATCTTCGTGTTGAAGGACGCCTCCACTTCGGCTCAACGCCGTTGTCTCAGGTCCGCGGTCATCGGGTGAAAATATTCCACAAACTGCAAAGCAGCTCGCAACTTAACTCTTCCTCGAGGAATCTCCAAGTCGTGGAAAAAAAATGCAACCTTGAAGATCATGGCCGTTATGTGGCGAAGCGAGGGGTTCATTTATCCCCATTTGCACCACCCCGCACAAAATCGACGGCATTAATCCATACCGTTAAGGTCTCGAGGTTCCATTGCAAGAAAAAACACGTCGGAGATGATAATATGAGACAAGGATCTTGACCCGCCGAAGCCAAACGCTAGTGGAGAAACTTCCAGAGGGCATCGAGCAGCCCGCATAAAACCAGATTGAACGCCATCATGCGTCCGAGTCCAGGAGCGCGTCCACGATACTTGGTTATCCCAATCCAATAAAAGCCAATTACCATGAAGTCCTTGACCGCTCTTCTTTCGGTTCTGTCTCTGTCGCTGGCTGGCCTCAGCACCGGATCACCCCTTCCCACCAATTCGTTGAGCCGCCGAGCCGACTCCTGCGAGCAATGGGCAGCGACCACCACTGGAAGCTACATCCTCTACAACAATCTGTGGGGCCAAAGCTCCGACCCCTCGGGCAAGCAGTGCACCGGGATTGATTCGTTGAGCGGAAACACCATTTCGTGGCATACCTCCTGGTCCTGGTCAGGCTCTGCCAGCCAGGTCAAGAGCTATGCGAACGCTGCGCTGCGCTTCACAGCCAAGACGCTGGGAAGCATCAAAAGTATCCCTTCAACCTGGAAATGGAGGTAAGACACGACAGGACCTTGAGCACAAGTCCGGACAGGATACTGACTCCCAACATAGCTATTCCACGACCGGCATCACTGCCGATGTTGCGTATGACATGTTCTTGAGTTCAAGTGCCAGCGGCTCCAATGAATACGAGATCATGGTCTGGCTCGCGGCTTTGGGAGGTGCGGGGCCTATCTCGTCTTCTGGCTCACCCATTGCTACTACCACCATCGGCGGCGTGTCTTTCCGTCTGTACTCTGGACCCAATGGCGACACGACCGTCTACAGCTTCGTCGCCACGTCGACAACGGAGTCTTTCTCCGGTGATCTGCTGGACTTCTTCACCTACTTGATTGAGCACGAAGGATTGAGCTCGAACTTGTATTTGATTGCTGTGCAGGCTGGAACGGAGCCATTCACTGGTACCGCGGACCTCACCGTCTCTTCCTACTCCGTGTCTGTTGAATAAGTCTTGAGCAGTCTTGAGCAGGTTCTCATGTAAATGCCCCGAGTTGAGAGTCAAACCCTTGGCATACGCGTAGTATGAGTACATAGCAATTACGTTGGAAATGCATTGCATGATCTACGTCACTGTTGAAACCTAGAACCGAACACACTCGACACCAGTGACGTGCGAAACCTTAGAGAACTAGAAGCTCACTTGGGACTAAGCGTGGTACTGTTTCATCCAAAGTGGGGTTCCAATGGGACCCATTAGCCCAAGCCCTGAAACTCGATGTCGTGGTTGACGCCTCTTGAAACGTAGGAACCTTCACTAGCTGAAACCGAGGCGTGTTTCAAGCGCTCTGGTGTTCGCCCGCGACCATCACAATTGGTGCAATAATGCTGTTGGTCTGCCCAAAAACGGAGATCGAGAGACCCGGTTCCGCCCATGCCACTCTTTCCATGTCGCATCAGCGAGACGCCCGCCTTCGGAGGCAGTGACTGCATTTCAGAACAATTGAATCCGGCCCTTCGAAGGCAAGACCCTTCCAGCGCGATGTAGCAGGCGACGTCGATTCTAGCATGGATGCACGTCACCACCGATCAACAGGACATCCCGGGCGCGTAGGGGTTCTAAGAATAGCGAGGTTTCTATCAATAGATTTATCATGGCCGTTAGATCTTCTTTATTTAGCATCGACAGCGTTCCTGTCCCAGCGAGACGGATAGCGTGAAGAACTGCGAGTTGTAAGCGCCTGGCGGGGGAGAGGGGAACTCATGGACTGGGGGGAAGGCGCTTAAGAGCTATTTGTGTGTAGTCGATGCGACCGTACGAAGGACCCATCCGGTTGCTTTTTTTAGCGGAACAGGGGGGGGCAATCTACCGACGCAGACCTACTGCAGGTCGTACAGGCGGAGCACTGCAGACAATGCATCGATAGTCCTAATCTGAGCTCGGAGGAAAGCGCAGAGGCAAATCTGCCGGGGAGACCGAAGCCTCGATCTATCGAGCCCAACCCCCCCCAATAGTTCATCCTGGATACTTGGGGGGCAAACTCTATGGAATCAGGGCTTTCAAACTCGACACCCCTCATATGTGAGGCGGCCACGCTATCGCTTTTTTTTTTTCTTACCCCTCGAACCAGGAGAGCAGGAGCGCAGGACAGCAGGACAGCAGGATCTCTCCCTTCTGACGAGTTCGGATGATTCACGCATGAGAACTTCAAGTCCCAAAAATTCTCCTCGAATCCGCTACGCGACCCACTCCCCCGTGGCGCGTGTGACAGGGATTTCTGTCATTTGCCCTTTCGCACGGACTATTGGGCCTTTCCGCTCCAGCGCCAAATTGAAACGCGACTTGCCACATTGCCTGACCACCGCCATAGGCTAATCTTGGGGCTTCTAGATCATCCACTCAATGAACATGCTACACTAGTCCGGCCCAATGTGAGCTGACCCCGGTATGATCCTGGAGGTTGGAGAACGGAGAGCTTCTTTTGGCCCCCCCCTTCGGCAGCTGGCAGGGTGGCGAGCTGTTGGAGCTGTTGGTAATCTCGTATATGCGCGTCCAGAATACGCCGATTCAAGGAATGAACTTTGAAGTATTCTACGGGACGTGTTGGAGGGAGGAATCTGACCTGGCATGGTCCCACGGTTCCCCCCGCGTCTTCCGTCCTGAGACGGTCGCGAGTTTCATGGGAACAGAAAGTCTATCGCGGCCCCTGCTCCTGCTCACAGGGGACGGAGGGGAGAAAGTGATTTGTGGGATGGGGGGACCCCACCCGCGGGTCTGTAGTGGAGCTCCCGGCTGATCTCCTGGGACCCAACGTCCTCTGGATCGTCCCAGATCCATTGATTTGTTAGGCGCTTGACGGTTCTATTTCGGGGGGACGTGACTAGGCTCGCATTTCGCGTTTCGCATAGCTGAAGGGGGTCCACGAAAGCCATGAGAGAACGGGCGAACATGTAGAATGATGCTGGCAAAAAGCAGGGGGGAAAAAAAAGCCTCTAGCATGTCAAATGGTTGGCGAATCTAGGGGGGGAAAAAAGCCAAAAAAGCACCGAACTTGATAGACCGCAGGCAATAGTCCCGGGAGGAACTCTACAAGTCCGATACATTCCCAGCCTAGAATCCACTCAATCTGCTGGAGCAAATCAGGCTGCACAAGCCCGTTTGGCCCGTGGGCCCCGTCTCAGGACTCCGCGCGCCAAAAGGTTCGAGCATCTCAGATCCAACTATGCAGGTTCACTCTGGTTCGCCGCGACCCCTTCCCTCCCCTCTAGGCCGCTGACTGGTCCCAGGAACCTTGCAGCTCCTGGCAGGACCCCCTCCAGCCGCCTGCCACTCAATGGATGGCGCATACCGGAGCTATAACTAGTCGTGGGATTCCCACGCCTCTGAATTCTTCACGGGATTAATCCACATGCCCATCGTCGTCACCACTCCTTTGGTCTTTGCTGTTCATTTTTTAATTGCTGCCTTCCCCCTCATCGACTCTGCGAGCGATAGGTCCATCTAATTGTGTCTCCAATCCATTGCAATCTATTGCCCATAATTCAGTGGGCGTGTCTCTCGGTAGAAATTCTCCGCACCGCCAGGTTTCAGTCCTTCGAGGGTCTCCCAGTTAGGGTTATCGCACGATAAGAGGGTTGACACGACAACCTCGACTATCCTTGCCGCCGCATTCCTTCTCATCTCGACTACTTCACTCGCCATTCATCCTGCTGGTCAGGAATTCAAGTCCTTTCTTCACCCCCGCAGACGTTGGGTTCATTTACTAGTAATTCATCTGGGGGATTCCTGGATTTTTTTTTTTTTGGACTTCACATCATTCACTTTTTCGACCACCCATCTTCTCGCCTTTGGAAGTACGTCTCGACCGAAGTTATATCCCACGAAGCCGCCCTCAGCAACTTTTTTCTTTGCTCGACTATAGAATTGGATTAGAACATTGGGTTCCCTTGTTATACGTTGTTTTCCATCATTATGTTTGCCACCAACTTGGAGAGCTCGGCTCTCAACCGAGCAGCTTTGGATGAATTCGTCACCCACCGAGTCACCCGTGAGATGGTGACCTACCTGGCCCAGCAGGCCTCTCTGGTCATCCGATGCGAGCCCCATGTGACCAACACCGTCAACCAGCATGGCCAACCCACCCCTCCATCCACCCCTCCGGTGGACCCAATGGACTCGATGCCACCGCTTCCCCCTACCGAAGCGTTCATTGCTTCCCTCATCACCCGGTCCCAGGTGCAGGTGCCCACCCTCATGAGCTCGCTCGTGTACCTCGGTCGCCTGCGTGCTCGGCTCCCTCCCGTCGCGAAGGGCATGCGATGTACTGTCCATCGTATCTTCCTTGCCTCTCTTATCCTTGCCGCCAAGAACCTGAATGATTCGAGCCCCAAAAACAAGCACTGGGCGCGTTACACCGCCGTCAAGGGCTATGAAGGCTTCGGGTTCTCCCTCCCAGAGGTCAACTTGATGGAGCGTCAGCTGCTCTTCCTCCTGGACTGGGACACCCGTGTGACCGAGGAGGATCTCCTGGTTCATCTGGAGCCCTTCCTGTCTCCTATCCGCCAGCGGATGGAGGCCCGGGAACAGGAGCGGAAGGCCGAGGCCGAGCTTCAGCGCAAGCAACAACAACATCGTGAATGGTATGTTCATCTCATGTTTGGAATAATTGCTCTCATCTAATTTGGTTTTCCCCCCTACCTACAGGCGTCGACTTCACGCATCTGCGGATCTGCTGGCCAGCCGCCTTCGTCGTCAGAAACTGGAAAGCCGAGCCAACAACCGCCATGCCGTTGACAACTCGCTCCGTCGCCTTCCTAGCCATGTGTCTTGCCCCGGCATTCACAGCAACAACACTTCTCCCCCAGTCACTGCCGACAGCGACCGGTACGCCCCTTACAACCGTCAGCGAGCCTCTCCCCACCGACCTACCCGGTCTATCTCACCCCCTTCTATCCGTGACGTCCCCGGCTTGTCTCATGCCGAGACCTTCAACTCGCTCTGCTCTCGCTCATCGAGCGTCGCTCCCAGCTCTCGTGGCACGCCCGCGAGCATCAGCACTTGCTCCTCCCATGGAAACGACGATGTCATGGTGACGGACCCAAGCACCAGCCCATCGGTTTCCTCCCTGAACTACAGCTACGTCAACGTCGGCGCTCTTGATGTCAAGCAGCCTCTTGAGCCTATCCGTCAGCCTAGCAAGAAGGTCAAGGTGCATAACCACTCGACTAGCGGCTTCGTCGCCCGCTTCATCGCTTCCGCCACTGGCTCCTATATGGGTGTTCGTATGAGCCGCCCTCACGCTTGAGTTGAGCTGGTCTCTTTCTCATCGTTGGCCCTGTACGCATCTTTTGATTTCCCCCCCTTTTTTTTTTGCTTTTCTCTGCAGACCCTTCCCCCTTCTCTCTCACACCTTACCTACTTGTATTACCGCTTCTTGGCAAAAAAGCATTTCTCCGTTGATACACATACTTGGTGATAATACCCTTCGTTCACAATGCTGGGCCTCTTTTGTCCGTATCTACTGTCATGTCGTTCGAGTCGCGAGACATGTGCCTTTCTCGTCTTTCCTTCACTCACTATACATTGCATTCTCTTGGCTGGCATGGGCGTTCGATTGGTTTTCTTGTTTCTCCTTTTTTTGGGGTTAGGTCTTGGGGTATCGGATCAGGTTCTTGGACACTTGGTTGGGACAGGATGACCTTAGACGTTTTTTTTTTTTTGCATGTATTATGGATGTACTTATCCCTTTTTTTCATCGGTCTGTGGGATGTGCCCGATAATGATACACCATTTACAAGATGACAGATTTCCCTGAAGGCGCATTGTAGGATAAGCTGATCCCAATTACCTTGATGACATTGATCTCCACCAGGGATTTCAGTGGCGTGCTGTTGCCTTCAGATCGGTATGTACCCACTCCGGCCTTCATGCCTTTTCGTGGCACCCGAATACCTGGTACTACCGACTCGTAGGCCCTTGTGCTTGGTACGCTGGACATGTTGGTAGGGATGGCCCCCTTCATCCAATACAGAGGAAAACGAAGCGGGAAACACCTTAGTGTCTTCTGTTCCTGGTAACGTTGCATCTCAGGGGGTTTATTGCTGCCTTCTGATTCATAATACTCGGCGTCTCCTTTCCTCGCGCCCGGTTGTCACTCAGGATGAAGGCATCCGATTCATAGGTGCAGATGCCTTGAGCTCTCTATTCTACTCCTGTACTACCTTGCGGAAATGGCAGTTATCTGGCGCGGCTCCCTCACTCTACAACCTACTCTGCCGGAGCCATTCCGGTCTCACTGTCCACACCTAGAACATTCAGACAAGGAATGAGCCCATGTTCGAAATAAGTGAAGTCTGATTATTGACTACTGACACCGGAAGATTGTCCCCGACATGAATAATCCTTGGATGGCAGACTTCTGCAAAATAAACCGAAACCTTGTGCGCCGCAAGGACACAATACCACCACACGAGGGACAGCTTACGAGAACTCACTGCGTCTAATCTGAAGCCAGTCTCCTGCAACCCGCACGGAAACCCTGAGAGTGTCTCAAATCCGGAGTAGTTGCAGCCGGGCCAACCGCCTATACACAAAAGGAACCCCCTGCAGGAACCCCGCCAAGATCAAATAATAAATCTGAAGCTAGTGGGCTGTTAGATGCATGGCCCGAAACATGTCAATAGTTCCACGTCGTACCGAGACCAACGGATCCACGTGGGTCGCTTTTAGAAGAGTCGCCATCCACCGCATGGCCACAGGGGCCTGCTGGGCCTTCAAGTGTGCAGCCATGGTGGGATCGTCCGTTTAGCAGCAGGCCGATTTCCAGAATAGACCTGCTGCCTTTTCCCAAAAGTGCGGTTAGACAGAGGGCCCCAGGAGCGTGTGCGATATCACTTTAAGCTTACCAGCGCCTTGGTCAAGTTGAGGTTCGCAGAACGAGATGTGCGCTGCCCATAGGTGGTTTCTAGGCGGAGGCCTTTCGTGGGGGGGGATCAACTCTACTTAAAGGGCGAATGTGCCGAAGAATTGGGGCCATTCTGTGCTTATCTTGAATTTCGGAGTCCGGCGAGATTCGCCATTTCGCGGACGCCGTTTGGTCCACTTGGTTGGTCATGCAATGAGGCCTCATGTAGGTCCCCCTGGCGGCGAATCAAAGGAGCCTACATGGTCGATTGAAGGGTTGGCGCTGAAGTCAAACCCATTGAAAGGGCTTGAGAGGCTGGGGCTGAATCGTGATCCTGCGCCCGGGGGAGGGGGGTAGGGTTTGGGGGCTGTTGGGTCGGGCTGTTGGCCCTGCCCTCCCACGATCTGTTAATCTCTCAAACTACGAATGTGGGTCATTTGCATTTCTGGATTTGCGTTCTGCAAAGGGAAAATAAAGATGCATAATGATCAGGTTAACCCGAAGGACCTCGAGTCTGGATGGATCGTGTCCTTCGCATGCCAGAAGGGCCATGTTGCTTTACAGATGCCGTCCTGATCGATGTTTCGCAGAGGGAGTGTCATGTCATTTACCATTCCTGTCTTTAGGAGGCTTTTATTTTACTCTATAGAATGGATACTTGCCCGGGCGAATCGTCCGTATCACGAAGTGGGGCATTACCCCTCACGGGTTGCACCCGCAATGGCTTTGGGCCAGAAACTTCCAATCAAAGTTCGTGCTGGAATTACCTCTTGGATTTGCTGGACTTTAAGCCCATTGCGAAGAAGCTCATTCGCTCGGCATGGCTCGTGTCACAAGAATGCCGGTGATCTCAATCGATGGCCATCAAGCACCACAAGTAAGCCGCAATTGGCACAAACAAGGCAGTCCATGATTGACCAAGGATTTGACATGCGCAGATTGCATTTGGGCTCGGGTCATCCTGGTCAAAAGGCGGCGACGGGGGTGTCAGTCGAAAGGTCGTGGACACTATCAAGATGGCTGTTGGCGCAGGTTTTACCCACCTTGATTGCTCTGATGGTGGTTACCCCGACGTGCTCCGCCTTGCGCCTTGGTTAACCATCACATCTAGGCTATGGCACTGAGAAAGACCTCGGGGTTGCTATCAAGGAGCTGGAACACGAGATGCATGTATCCCGCTCCTCCATCCACATCACCACCAAGTGCATGACTCTTCCCCACGACCCATCAACAGCGTTAAAAGCCAGTCTCCAAAGACTCCAACTTGACTATGTGGACCTATACCTCATCCACGCACCGTTCGAGTACAAAACCGCAGAGCAGATACAGGCCGCCTGGGCACAAATGGAAGCACTCCGTGAAAAAGGCCTGGCTCGCTCCATTGGGGTCTCCAATTTCCGGCCCGTGGACCTCGTGCCCATCTACAATACCTGCAAAGTGCCTCCTGCCGTGAACCAGATGGAATGTCACCCGTATCTCCAGCGCCGCGAACTAAACCAGCTGATGCGAGAGCATGGCACGAAGACGTTCAGCTACGGACCGCTGGTTCCTCTCCTCAAGGTGGAGGATAGTGGTAGTAAACCGTTATCTAGGTACCTTCAGACCCTTGCTGCGAAATATGGGGTTTCTGCAGATAATATTCTCATGCGATGGCAGCTGGATCGCGGATATGGAGTTGTGATTACTGCAACCGAAGAGTCGAGACTTCATGAGTATCTCCAAAGCAGTACATTCATGCTTGCCCCAGAGGAGCGGGAGGAGATTGAGCGTATTGGGTTGGACTTCCATTTTCGCTCGTATTTGGTGGGAGCTGGCAAGTTTAGCCGGGAGGATCGTCTCTGAAGAGACCTTGGAATTGGTTGTGAGGGATGGATGAATACCCTCTCCCTTGGTCCTACCAATTGAATAGTACAATGTTGATGGTGTGGAATGGGCAGCTTTGTCTGTCTTCAGCTGTGGATTTAGAGATAAGTCATGATGGCCTGTACGATCTTGGCTGGAACACCACATACGGCTGGCCTCATATACTTTATAGAACAATGTCAGAAAGTTCGCAAAACTTTCCCAGTCTACTGCACTAGGAGGTGTATCTAGCAAACCCTGGCAGGTTCTGACTTGGCCCAGTCGTTCTCATTTGTGATTAGCTTTCAAGCCGGTCAGGGTTCCTCGCAGGAGCCAATAAGGCATATGGTCGGAACGGATAACAAGTTGTCATCTAAAATTTGTCTTCCGAGGTCGTACGCACTCAGGCGCACTTCGATGCGGTACTCTATGGTGTCTAGTCGATCTTTCTCTGTCAGCTCCTTATACCATTCAGTCGCTCCCGAGATGCCCTAAAACTGGAATCTACTCGACACCTCTGTACTACCTCCCCGAATGAATGAATCATGAGTCTTCGGACGATCGTCGATATTCTGCCTCTATCCCCACACCTATTCCTAAAAAAAGCGCACTGCATACAGGGGCAACTCGGAGCCTCAAAATGATGTTTAGGTCAAGCTACAGCGTTCAGCTCTATGCTCGAACTGGCCTGAGGTCGCCGTAGAGTACAACGCTTGAATGGCCAAGATTCTCAAAAGACGCTGGTCTCCGTTTCCCCGCAAAGGCTTATCGGGGTGCCTAAACGCCGTCGCGATGTCTGGACTAAATAGTTAGGTCCACCCGAGGTTATCTCGCCTTTTCCCCCCCTCATGTTTCTTTGTCCCTGTAGAGGAAGTTTTCCATGGGAAAAGGGGGAAATACCCGGGGAGGAACGCATAATGACATCGCATGCCTAGGACTGCTGTCCGTCCCAAGCGAATCCCAGGATTCTGTACTATATTATGAGCCCGTGGCGTGTGCTAATCACTCTAATCACCTTGGCGTGAGGATGTTATCCAATCGGCAGATAAAACGAGCCTGCGACCACTGCCACGCTGTCAAAGAGAAATGCCGCAGACTGGACCCCAAGCGACCCTGTGAGAGATGCGCCCGGCTCAGCCAGAAATGCGAGACGAGGCGAGATATCACCAAGACAGGTCGGAAATCGCGTTTCGCCCGGCGATTAGCGTATACCCTGCCCAATGCCACCGAAGCCGCCTGCATCAGCGGCTATGTAGATGATCTGCCGTTATACAATGCAGGACTTGGCAGCAATACGGCCATGCTGCCGGGGCTTGACGCCTGGGAGATGCACTTTGTGAACTTGATGAAAGACGGCGAAGGATCATCGCCCCTGGACAAATTCCTGGTAGGGCCGAGCTTCTACCAGTCGCATCATGTGGCCTTCATGCAGAGCATCATGAAGCCGACGTCGCCTCTCAAGGATGCAGCCGTCGCGTGTGCGGCAGTTCTCTTTGGTGACCATGAGGCCGAGTACGCCGGCACGAGCATGGAGATCGCCTACGAGCGAGCTGCCCGGGCAGTCTCTCTTCGCTCGTGCCGGATCTCGAATGCGACCGATCTGGGTACCGTGCTCGTCCTTGGGATGTCCTTGACGACGTTTGCCATGCACGTCGCCGAGGGCCATCCATCTCTTATCTCGCACTACATACTAAGCCTGGTGGAGCCACAATATGAGCGCTTCTTGCCACCTCGATCGGTGTTGACAGACTTCCTGATGTGCCTGATTTGCACCGAAACCTTCGAGTGTCTCTTGAGATCCGAAACGCCCGCGATGAGGGTAAATACCGACGGTCGCAGTGAAGTCGTGGACCGCTATGTCGGGATTAGCTATCCCATCTTTCCTCTCCTTTACGATATCTGCCAAATCAGCAGCTGCATGAGAACAAGTCCGGGTGTAGAGAGCCATGAACGAGCTGATCGGTTGACAGAATTAAGCAGTGCCCTCGAAAAATGGCAGCCCTCACCTCCACCGGACCTTCTCCGCCGGTTCTCTCAATCCGAGGCCGTTGGCATCCTCGCCCAAGCCAGGATCCTCCGGCTACTGGGGCTCCTCATTATTCACCGACTCCAACATCCCTACGGCAGAAAAGATCATGCCGCGAGCAGAGTATCGCAGGCTATCATTGCCGAATTCGAAATGCTCCTTGAGCGCACCGGGCGGTCCGTTCCATGTACCGCGCTTGCATACTTGGCTGCATGTTTCGAAATTGTGGACGCGGAGTCAAGGGGGCACGCAATATCCAGAATGCCGGAGATCATTACATTTTCACGCCAGTCGCAGATCAAATTTCACGCTCGCTTGATCGCGGTTTGGAACGCCAGGGATCTCGACCACTCGTTTTGTTGGTTCGAGCTCGGCAGGTACTTGTGTGAGTCTAAATGATGGTCGTATGATAATTGAAGATCCTGCTTTTTTTTTTTTTAATTTATTCTTCCAGATAATCCATAGTATTTATCTTGTTTGATATATGGGAAATCATAATAGTCGTTGCTAAAATTCTATACAGCACGATGGGCGATTTGCTTCTCCGCCATTTTCCTGTAGCTTTTCGCGGTTGCCACTCGTGCATCTTTGCCCCATATCAGAAGAGGGACAGGTAGCATGTAGATGACAAATGCGACCACGGCGCATAGGATATGGAGGTTCTGCATACCCATCCCGTTAACCCACGGGGTGAGCACGAATAGCACAATCAAGGATATGATATTACGCATGAATATGACCCCCACGAGGGCATTTCCAATAATCTGTGTCGCAATGTCAGAGTGGCGACACACTGGGCGGAGTGTGGCAAAGGGTACATACGTCTTGGTAGCAGTCCATGAGGTAGGACAGCGCGACGCCGCTGATCGCCGCTAAGGTGAAGCCAAAGACTCCAAATCCAACGGCAAGAAGAGACCAATGGACGCCCTGCAAACAGTGTTAGTCTCATGCGCATTAGTCGCAGGCCAGGCAAACGTACATAGGCAAGACCCAAGCCAAACATCAGAATCGAGCCCGGACCAAGGACTACCATGGGCAACGCAAGCCACAGACGCATCTCGGGCTCATATATACCACCGTTTCTCTTGGAAAGCCAGAGGATGTGCTTGTCACTGAAGGTTCCACCAAAGGGGAAACCCAGAACAGCCCCCACAAAAGGCGCCACGTTCATAAGTCCCACTCCGATCTCGTCGAAGTTGTACGGCGGGTCGAGCATGTAGGATGCCTGGAGAGAGGTCATGATGGCGAACCAAGCCAGAGTTGTGCCATAGGTCACCGCCGCGTATGCCACGGCCGGAAACGTGAAGAGAGAGACGAGTGGCTGGAGGAAGTGAGGTCTCAGCGACTCGTCCGTTTTGGTGATCAACGCCATCCGCTGGCGATATGTCTTGGGCTTGATATTGTAATTGATCACCACTCCGCTCACCAGAGCGTTGCCGGGAGGCCCGTCGTCATCGGCCTGGATGGTGTCCTTGACATCTTTCTTGGGATCCGGCAGCAGCTGCGATGAGCTTGCAATGCCTTGGCCCTCCAGCACGGGGATATACTTGGACTCTTCGAAGAAGAATATCACGGCGATCAGAGTGACCCCGAAGAAGATCACGCACCACCACCACATCCACCGCCATCCTTGCGATTTCACGATGTATCCCGATGCCACAGGGCCCAGGAACGCGCCGGTGGACTGGAATATGACAAACAGGCCGTTCATCGTCGCGTGCTGGTGCACAAAGAACATATCGGCGATGGTGATCTGAACGACGATCTCGCTGATCGCGCCCCCCCAGCCCGGAGATCAAGTTCGAGCCCAACAGGTCTCCCCGCGAGTCGACCTCCGCTTGCCAGATGCACGATGCGAACTGGAGAGCACAGCTGAAGATGTACAGCGGGCGACGGCCGTACTTGTGCACCAATGGGACCATGAAAAAGCACCCGATAGCCAGTCCGCCATAGTTCAACGCAGCGCCGGCATTCATGATACCCACCGTGAGTGTCGGGATCTCCGTTTGCATCGGGCCCCATGCCGTGAAGCCTATGTCCAATTGGACAAAAGTCCACAGCACGAAGAAACTGACCAGCGCGAAATTGAGATACTTGCGTGGCTTTGACCAGTTCAGAGGGTCATTGGGGTCAGAGGAAGGAGTCGGGAAGAGCACTAGCTGGTCTCTGGTTCTGTGGACTGCAGCATGTTAGTTTGGTGCCCATGGTCGATTGTCTCGGAAGGAGCTGAAATACCGTCTTCCAATGCGACCGTTCCAGGGGCCCAGAAGGCCTCGTCATCTTGCCGGTCTACCATGCCTGGGTTCAATCAGGGTGCAAAATGAACAGCTGCTGCTTTCGGGGAGCCTTGGAAGGGAGTGTTGACAGCATCTTTTTGAATTCTTATACATGGAGGCCTGTGCGGAGAAACCGTGGATCTGAGATCCTGTTATCGCGAGCTTAGGGGAGTTGTGGGGGGGGGCGCCATTGGGATGATGGCGATAGCATCGCCGTCCAATCAGTATGTATTAAACAGGCCGGCTTGGCATTAACGACAAGGGCGATCGTCTGGCAGAGTTTGGGAGAATCTGGGATTGGATTCCACTTCTCCACCCCCGCTTATCGCGACCGCGCAGCACCCATGGGATGGCCGTGAGTGGCTGCGAGCGGCTGCAAGAAGGGCTGCAGGTGGGCATTTGCCCCGATCAGATGGCTGGACTCGGACTCTCATTGCAATCTGGGCGGACTTTGTGCCGCTGAGGGGTCAGCTTTTGCCCCTATTCACAAGTACGCCACAGCAACTCCTTATGGCGGTCCTGGTGTGTAATCGGTCACTCCGAGAACTGCGACGATCATGGGAGCATCTCTGCTTTCTTTTGCAGAACCTTCTCCAAAGCCGGAAGGGTGATCTCATGCTGTAATTATAGTCAGAAGGTCAGTCCTGAAGGTTGGATCTGCACGCTTATCGATGGGCCCCCGTGAACCCCATATGGTCTGCAGGGCTGGAACTATCAGCTGCCGAAACATCGGTCTTCTCCAGGGCTTGTTGCACACTTACGTACTAATGCATGGACACTCTGCTTTTTTTCCCCTCAGGCAACGAACCCTTAGCTTTTGAGAATGATATACTCTGGTGGCGAGGTATCGCGAAAGGAAGACTGTATTCCTCCGATCTTTGCGATCGCAGGGCGCTTGGGCGATTACGCTGCTTTAACAAACCCATGCCGGCGAGAACTTGGAGCTTAAAAATTGAAAATCACCCATGAGAGGGTCTTTTTTGCGAGATTATAGCGATTTTAAAGTAGTTTCCATCGCGCTCTGCTGCCGCAAGTAGAGACTTAGCACATTTGACATGACAGTTGTTCGTAGTCAATTCCCCTTATTCTCCATCCATTCGAATCGCCACATCCCTTGCATAGCCCACTTTTCTGTGCACCGATCTTCTTTTGAAAATATGGAAAGATACTGGACTGTTGCGTACCAGTCGCTTACAGAGAATATTGCTTCCAGGATGATTTGCTGGCAGAAACAATCCAAACGCCCGCATCAACTTCATGGTTTGTTGCGTGTTGTGAATCGCTCGAATTTGCTTTACGGGAGCAATCATCCATATTACGCTCATATGCCCGATCAGGCCTAACTTTGAAATGATCTACTGCTGACTTTCCACGAGTTGTGCTGCCTTCTTGATAGGATCTGATGCCCATGCGAAAGCGAACATATTTTTGGGAAGCTCTGCATTAGGAACGAACCGGCGAAGCTCATTCAACATTTCCTCTCGCCTCTCGTCGTTGATTCTCGACATGATCATAACCGTGACCGCGTGAGAATATCGGAGCTCGTTATATAAATCGAGTCGTTGGGATAGTTGCTCCGGAGCGACATCGGCCGTCAGAACCCCAGCAAGAGCCGCTGCGTCTTCAAAGGCTTGAGCTCCTCCTTGCCCCTGGTGGGGAAGCATAGGATGAGCTGCATCACCGATCAAGGCGAGTTTGCCCTTGACAAAAGTAGACGCTGGGTCTCGAGACGCCAGACTCCAAAGTTTGACATCCTCAGCCATCCTACACATCTCGAGGAGGTCCTCGCCGAAGCCGGCGAAGGTCTTCACCAAGTGGTCCTTGCTTGCTGCATGGTGCCAAGAGGCATCCCCGCCAGCGTCTTCTTCCGGCCCAGGAGGGTAGATCCCGGCACAATTGAGCAGCTTCCCCCCACGGCAGGGGTAGACCACGAGGCGGCGGTCAAAGGTTGAGAAGGCATGAAGACTATCAAGTCCCGTCTTTCCCAGAAGGCTGCAGGTGAGTGGATTCTTTCGCATTTTGTCGACCGAGACTAAGAATCGAAAGCAGCTTTGACCGGTGTTTATGACAGCCCTGTCTTCCCCCGTTATGGCACTCACGGTTCGCGACTATACAACTCATTAGGTCTACCATCGAAAATTTGTCCGGGGAGGACTTACGTGAACACCGTCGGCGCCGACGATCAGGTCGGCCCTATATTTGTCTCCATTCTTGAGTACGACCTCTCCCTTCTCTGCATCCTTTGGTTTCATCTCAGCTTTTGCGAGTCGACAGATGGGCGTCTCCTTACCACAGATAAGACCGGCGCGGATAGCCTTATGTCAATCTTGCGACCATCAATTTCCTGAGAAGCTGTATTCCGTAAGGCATTATGAAGATCCACTCTATGGGTCAAAATCCATTCATGATGGACATCCAATGCCCGCTGCTGCTCTTCCGTGACCTACAAATGTTAATTTATGTTTCCTGAGAGACCGGCGAAAAGAATCCTTACAACGGCAGCCCGCACTAGATTTCCATTAGAATCCCGCACATCGGCTTTCTTGCAGAGCACAGGATCCAGCAAGTCCATATTACACTCCCATTCTTTCAATATGCGGGTCGCGTTGGGGGCGACGTGGATGGCAGCACCGGTCTCGTTGAGGAAGCTGGATCTTTCGAAGACCTTCAAGCAATTATATTACACGTCAATCTCGTAGAATGCAGGAAAGACACTGACCGTGACATCGTGCCCTTGGCGGTTTAAGGCTATAGCAGCACCCAAACCCCCGAGGCCCGCACCGACAACAATGACATTTAATGGCATATTGGGTCAATCCTGTGGCAGGAAAAGCATGGGGAGACATTGCATATGTGGGCGGCATTCCCGCAATTTATCATTTCTCAAGCGTGGGTCAAGTTGCCAAACAAACCGAATGTATGCATTTTTGCGGACCCCACTCGAACAGCCGTTCTCCAATCTCCAGACATCCAGACTGGCCACAGCAGAGTTCTCCAGAAACGACATCCGCGAGCCTAAGGACTCTCCGCCAATATCCTGGACCTAGGCATGTGTAAGGGTATCTCCCCGGGTTGTTAAACTCCAACAACCGTGATTTCGGTGCATGATTATCCACCTTCTGTTTGAGACTAGCCGCGCGTTACCGCGGGGCTCTGTAGTTAGTTAACTATCTTCAGCTTCTGCTTATCGAATTTTTGCAGACTTTGGGAGGCCATTCATCTCCAGCGCTAGGGTTATGAATTTTTCCAATCCAGTGGGAATAGCTAGTTAGTGATGTGGCGGACTACCAATGAGCCAACCCAGGGGAGCAGTGGAGGTCGTGTGACATGGCAGAAGTTGGCATGCGAATCCAATTGGGAAATTCAACAAAGCCAAGTTCCCTAAAAGACAAGATAAGCAATACACATGATGGAGAACAAGGGTTCCCTGCAATCCACCAAACATCAATCAGACCAGAGGCGCCGAAACAAACCCCTAGCCTATCACATGCTTCCAGGGCATTCGATGACAGGGATCCCAGGAATCCATGGGCACTCGATGCAGTATGATGAATCTGACCAGCCGAATACTGCCACGTTCCAAGGCACTGGCCCAGATTTAATCATAGCCGAGAGGGTCACACAAGCAGACTCTGCCATTAAGAGAGAGAGAGGTCAAAGCTGTTTGAGCAAAGGTACGACACTGCCGCGGTTTCCTGTATACACACTTGAGAGATTCCGTCCTTCGAATACGAGGCCCGATGTCATGGCCGGCCGCCACAATAGACAGATGGTTCGTGGATCGAAAAAGGCCCCGGCGCTCCTGGTTACACGGCGTCTGCCCCTCATCTTAGCTGCCTAGGCAATAGATGGCCACTCCAGATAGTCGAGTGTGCGTCACTGAATTCCTGAGAAGTGAAGCGTCAACCGTTTTATTGGGAGTTATCGCGCACCAGTGAGCTTGTCACGGCTATTTAAGCCGTTGACAGACCCACCGGGGGGATGTTATCAAAATGGATATTGTCTGGCATCCTTCGCTCTGCTTCACATTCGGAGGATAGGACCCCGGTTGCTGTTTCAGAATGGTCTGGGAATACTACAACGACAAGGTCATCTTCATGACCGGGGGAACTGGTTTCGTCGGGACTGCACTAATATACAGGATTCTCTCCCAGAGTTCGCCAAAGCATATCTTTGTTTTGAGTCGAGGCGGTTTCTCGTAAGTACCTTCGCCCGGCTTGATAGAATCAGGGCTGATGGACTTGGCCAGGAACGCAAGAGCAAAATGGTCTAAGATGCTTCCACCCCAGATTATAAAGATCTTTCTCGATAGTAGTAGAATGACGGTAATGGATGGCGAGCTGGGCGATACCGCGACCATGAGTCTTTCCGACGAAGAGCTCCAAATGCTCAAGAGAACAGTTCATATTTTCATCCACGCCGCTTCTTCCATCATGCTAAACCATTCTCTTCGCGAACTATCCTATACTATCGTTGCGCCCACCCTATGTCTGACCCAGTACGCACTCAAGTTCCCAAACCTCGAACGATTTGTCTTTCTCTCTTCCGCTTACGCAAATTCTCATCTTTGGACCATAGACAGGAGCTCCGATGTCTCGGTCGAAGAAGAGATATACAGCCTCAGTGGTGACGACGCGCACCCTGCAACTCGGCGCCGGAGATCTGGAAAGAAGTGCAAAAAAACGGCACCTCAGCCGAATACGAAGCCCACGATTTCCCCTGGCCATACGCATACGCAAAACATCTAGCAGAGCGACTCGTTATGCAAAAGGCCGCACAGGAGCATGCGCTGGATAAGATCTTGATCGTCCGACCATCGGCCGTTGGCCCAGCCGACGAGTTCCCTTACCCGGGATTCACAACCCCCTTTTCAACGCCATCGACCGCTTGTGCTGCGGCCGTTGCGCTCCATCCGGGCCGCAAAATCAACCTTGCAACCCGATGCGAGAACCCCGACGAGGAAGTCACCATTGACGAAGTGCCGGTGGACGTAGTTGCAGATCGCGTCCTTGTACATGTGGCCCAGGGCACGAGTGGATGCGTTCACGCAGTGAGCGGCGAGAAAGGACGCTTGCGATTTGGGGACTGGTGGCATGCCTTCAAGAGCGAGCGACGTCTTCCGTGGCAAGTAAAGCCTGTGTGGGCATCGGATGACTGGCATTCGTCGGACCTCCACCACATGGCGAAGAATTTCAAGATAATCGGCACTTCCTTCGCATTCAAAGAGGGGAAGACCGATCGTGTGGCGGAGCTACTGGGCCCGGAGCAAACAAAACGTCTGAGGTTGTATGCGGATCGATCGCAGCCTTACTCGCATTCTCTGGTCCACCGGAGGCACCACATTCACCGTATGGCTAAGCAGCTGGCGAAGAAGAACAAGTTACCAGCGTTCTCTGTCGGGCTGCTTTGTCGAAAGGGAAAGCCATTGGTTCAGCTTGAGCACGCCGGTGCCTAATGGGCGCAGTTCCTCGATAATGGGCTTGCTCATCGGGGTTATTTAAGATGCAATGATTTATCATTCTTATGTCTATCCTGTTCATAGCACTGCAGTTGCTCAGAATTGATATCAAGTCGAAGAAGAATGCTAGACAGGGCTTGTAGCTTATGATTACCTATAGTCCGCGCTTGAGGTGATATTATTTGCGGTTGGATATTTTCAAAGGGCTATTGATACTAAGTATAACTGTCAAAGTTCTGAGTAGACAAGTGGCCTTCTATTGCCTTGATCGGCTAGAACTGGCGTACTAGCACATCCTGAGTATTGTACGACTATAGTAGTCAGCCACGGCCATTTATTAGTCCAAATGGCAAGATCAAAGTCTCTAAGAGCCCTGGGCTCCCTTCTTGCAAGACCTTGATGTTCTTTAGTGACCATTGGCATTCGACACGATCGCTACCTCTTCTGTCCACGGAGTATAGGGCAGAGACATAATGTACTTCTGGCTCTGCAACCCACCAGAGCTCGAAACCTCAGAGTCACCATCCTGGCCCCCATTCTTCGGACCAATACTGAAATAGCTTCGCCTGGAAGGGCCGCTAGGCGCATCCGACTTCAAATCTGTGCCAAGAGAGCCCCATCCAGTCGTGAAATAAGCAACTATGGATGTGCAAAGAGACCAGCATGCGTGTAAAATACCGGATTTGTATAGTGGAACAATTATCACAGCCGCTGTGACCAGGACCTTGATACCGGTGGACGCCAGCTTCAACACCACAACAAGAAAGCGTGCAAGATCCATCACAAAGTATTCGAAGCCTTCGTAGAGCTCTTCAACTAAGCGGGATGAAAGGGACCTCTTTTTCTTGAAATAAGTCCCCACGAAACCAGGGAATGCGTTGTAGATTTGTTGAGGCTTTTGCTTCAAAAATGCCATACTGGAAGATCTTCTATTGTTGCTTCGCTGATCCAAATCATCCATGCCAAATACTGGCGTCGCAGCGAGCAAGGGTATTGTGATGAATGTCGTTAGGACAGAGGTTATGATGTAAAAGCTATTCAAGAGATTCTGTCCCTTGGGGCTTTGACCCGAGCTTATATAGCAGTTTAGACAGAGCGTTTGTACATCCTGGTCTATATCCCATAAGCGTACATGGCATACGGAAAACGGGCGTCTGTTTGTCGCCCTTTCAACGACGCATAAATTATAGTGGTACCAAATACGAAGAACCGATCATGATCTCCTAAATTCAAATGCAGACTTCCATTCTCCAAACTCATAAAAAGTACGATAGCATATCGTGTTTCTTGTAGAACATATAAGCATAATACGCAATACTATCTCCTTCACACTATGGCAAAAATAAGCCAACAATATCGCCTGCCAACAGAGAATTAAGATCCAAAAATCTCGGGGCCAATCCAAACCCCATAATTGCCTTCAAAGCCCCCGTCGCACCAACTACGGAACCAGCCCCACCGCGGGGAAGAGGGAAAAAAAAAAGAATTCTTTATCAACAACCCACCATCATGGCCCCAACAACATGCGTTAACTGCAAGGAGGCGCGGGCAGTCATCATTCGTCCAAAGAACAGACAGAAGATCTGCCGCGCCTGTTTCCTCCACATCTTTGAAACCGAAGTCCACGAAACCATCACTTCCGCAAACCTCTTCTTCCCCGGCGAGCGAGTGGCGATCGGCGCCAGCGGTGGAAAGGATAGCACCGTCCTCGCTGCGGTCCTGAAGACGCTGAACGAACGATACAATTACGGCCTGGACCTATGTCTCCTTTCGATCGACGAGGGTATCCGCGGATACCGCGACGACAGTTTAGAGACGGTGAAGCGCAACGCCGTGCAATATGAAATGCCGCTCGAGATCCTCGGGTACGGCGAGCTGTACGGGTGGACGATGGACCAGGTGGTGGCTCAGATTGGGAAAAAGGGCAACTGCACATATTGTGGAGTGTTCCGGCGGCAGGCGTTGGACCGGGGCGCGGCGAAGCTGGGCATCAAGCATGTTGTGACGGGACACAACGCCGACGATGTGGCCGAGACGGTTATGATGAATTTGCTTCGTGGCGATCTGCCACGGCTCTCGCGGGGGACTAGTATCGTTACGGATTCGGGGGCGTCGGATATCAAGCGCAGCAAGCCGCTCAAATATGCCTATGAGAAGGAAATCGTGCTTTATGCGCATCATCGCCAGCTCGATTACTTTACGACCGAGTGTATCTACTCGCCGGAGGCGTTTCGGGGAAGTGCACGGACATTGATCAAGGATTTAGAGAAAATTCGCCCTAGTTCCATATTGGACATTGTGAAGAGCGGCGAGGACATGGCTGCTCTTGTGCCCAACCAAGATAGTGGCAAGAACGGGCAAGCGGCTACTGCCGAGGATGAGTCTGCTGGTGGTTGTGGGAGCGCAAATGGCCGAAGCAGTGGAGGTGAAATGGCTGCGATGGAAGAGCAACTGGCCAGCAACGAAGACGCCGGCTCTCGCGAGACGGAGATCAAGTTGCCCAAGACAGCCCCCAAGAAAGCAGGGAAAGCGGGCAAGCCTGCTATCAAGACACAGACGCTTCAACACTGTGAGAAATGCGGGTATATGTCTAGCCAGGCGATCTGCAAAGCCTGCATGCTTTTGGATGGCTTGAACCGGAACCGTCCAAAGACCGAAATCAATATTGGCATGGAAGATGAAGAAGGCAGCTCGACTTTGATGAGACAGATGGAAAAGATCCAGTTGACCAACAGCTGAGCGTGCCCTCGATCTCAGCATTCATACCTCGACCGTCATCAATGAAGCCGCACATACAACGTCTTAAGCTACACAAACCTCTCGCTCTCGAATCCCAGCCACGATCATGCGGAGCTTGATCGCCCAGCATGAAGTCGGTCTCGGCATTCGGTTGTTGCAGCATGAGCTTTCTTAGCCTCGCAACGCTATAGCACTGTCTCCTTTACTCCCTACGACGTTACTCCCTCCGTCGTAAGGACAACCCAATGCATCGCATTGCTCACCCCGGTGGCCCAACTACACTCCCATACAACCTGCGGAGAAAGGAATACCAAAATCAGGCCCCAGAATACAAAGAGTGCAAAAATAGCCTCTATGTTTATTTGTACATAGAATAGTAATACAGCAGATGCCACCATGGACCAAAAGACAGTCCATACAAATGACACCCAATCCTAAATCCACAGACCACGCTCAATCCTTTTTACCAACCATCAACCGTAGCCCGAAAGTAGGAACGTAAGAGCAGTAGATTTCAGCTCCAGACAGCCAACACCTGCTTATTATAGCACAACGGCCCCGACCTTCCGCACTTATTTCGGAGACTTCTGCCCTTCATCCTCATAAAGCTCCGGCAGATCCATCCCCACCCGTCGCGCCGTAAGCCGAATCCGCTCCTCATCGTTAAGGTTCATGCCCGGGTTGTAGCGCTCCAGCAGAGCGCAGTAGGAGCGTTGTGCGCGCGCGTATTTGGCCAGTTGTTCGGCCTCCTGGATGCGCAGTGAAAGGTCTTCGGTGGTTGTGGGGATGGAGAATGGCATTGCGGAGGAGGCGGGCTGCGAGGCGTCTGGCGCGGTGGTGGAGGCGGTTTGTCCTTGTGAGCGGAAGACTTGGCGGAGGCGTTGGTGGAGGGGGGAGGGGGTGGAGAGACTCCGGCGTGGTAGCTCGCGGAGGAGAGCCCGGTAGGTAGACCGGGCTTGTAGGGTGAGCTGTTCTGCCATTGCGGGGGTTGGTGGTTTTTGGAGATGGGTTTGGAGGTGGTTTCTTATCTTTTTGGCACCTCCGTGGACTCTATGGAGTCACGTGACACGAGGAGAGCATTAGTGGGAGACTCGTACTTGCACACTCTTTCAACCTCCTCGGAGCTGTGTCGGTAGCTAAATTAAATCTACATTCCCGCAATATTACTCTGAATATGTAGCCAGTAGATTTTCGTCCGCGGAGCGGCTATTGGTCATCATTCCCGTGATCAGAAAGCACTGCTATATACATCTCAACGTGCGCCTGTATCAGTGTTTCGCCTAGGCTCCATAGCAAATGAGTGAGATCCACGCAAAACAAAAATCAGAGTTTATCAATCATAGAAGCATTTCGACATGAGAGGGGGTATGGCAAATGCAAAGTGAAAGAATATGACGTTGATCACGAATGGTATCTGGGTGTAATTATACTGTCAAGTGCGCTTACGCGCGTAGCCAACCAAACTTTCTTCGGGCAGGCTCGCCACCGGTGGATGGTTCGACTTGCAGACTGCGAGCATACAAGTCCTGTGCCATATTAGAATTTATGTATCGCTCATTCATCATTCTTGGGAAGGGAAGGAGGCTGGGGGGGGGGGGTTCCTACCTCTTCATCACCCGATAGCTTGGCATCTAGAATCAATCTTTCCAGATCTTCATATCGCATGGCCTGGGGGTGGGGAGTCTTTTGGCTTCGTTGGATGCCAAGGACTACTTCTCCCATGACCTCAAACTTCTTCCAGTTAATGCGGGATTTATTCTCGCCGATGAATGTTTTGTTTCCTTCCTCTGCGGACACTAAGTCACGCCTATGTAATGGCAAGAATGGGATGCGCTCAGAGAATGAGTTTTCCCAGGCTAGGCGATACGCAAAGTGGCTTCGTTGCGTACCCATAAGAATGACCAGCCGCATGAATTCTCTTTGGGTAGCGACAGGGACGAGCTCTCGGGTCTGAGTCAATCGATGAACTGGCGTGCCATTGATGGCAGCAACAACTGCACCGAGGGCATTATAATTATTATGACGGCGAAGTTTCTGGGTACAAGTTAGCGGATGTTTTAATAATTCTTTTTTATGAACAAAAGAGGTCGGAAGCATACTGCTGCAATGTTCATGAACTTCTCGAGACATCTCGCCCGATGTTTTGGCTTGTCACGAAGGAGGATCATGCTCGCAGTGAAGAAAGCAAGGTGGTTGAACTGCTTGATCATGCGGTTGACATTTTCCAGACTCTTAATCTTGGATTTGTCGACACCGGAGATGCTGACGTGACGAACAAGATCGCGCGGTCGGAAGGAATTATACATGATCCAATCGATACGGGTGAGCTGTCGAGCAAAATCCTCATCCGGCGTCTCCATGAAAAAGCGCCATTGGATTTTGGTGAGAAGGGAGCGAGAGGAAAGTTCAAGACGCAAGGCTTCTTTCTGTGAAGCTTCGAGAGATAGAGCTGTGACGGACTGATTTAAGGTGCTGGGGGTTTTTTCGGCATTGGAAGAGATGGACATAGTTCCAGAAAGACGTGATGAAGAGTCATGGGGCCCGTCGCTGAGGTCCAAGTTGTTCATGCTGTAGATAGGATCTTCTTCTTCGTCGTCGTCGTCGTCGTCGTCGTCGTCATACGTGGCGGTGAGGAAGTGTGCGGGTGAGCTTCTGCCGGAGTTGTCAAAGAATGTCTCGTTGAGACTTGACTCATCAACATCTCCGTCTCTGAATGCCCAACCGACATCGTCATCCTCGGCTTGTGAGTCCAAGAATGACCCGATCTCTTTCGCAGCAAACATATAGAAATGACTCTTTTCCAACGTGGCAACAAAGTCATTAATCCTTTTCCTGGTTTTCGGGTGGGCAAAGTCCCCTGGGTAGTCGGAAGCCCACTGAGCGATCACATTAAGGAGTCGCAATTGGTCTGCCATACGAGCGAGCTGGTCCAGGTTGCTGGTTTCGTTCTTCTCGAATCGGGCGATCAGGGCGGTAAGGAGGGTAGATGGAGCAGCGAATTTCCGATAGAGGCAGAGGAAGATAGAGGAGAATTTTTGTTCCTGCTTGGACATGGGCATAGCAAGAAGGCGGTCGACCAGTTCATCAAATGTCAGTCCCGATTCGCTAGTGGTGTTGCTTTCGCTGCTAGGTTTGGGCCGGACGACATTGTCCGGGTGCAAGATGGTACCGTCATCGAGTTCGTCGTCCATGTTTAAGAAGCTGTTGAAAGCGTCTGATCCGGCGCTATTCCGCCAGGCAGTTCGCATCAAAGGCTGGAGGTTGTCCTCATGCTCCGAAGAAATCTCCCCTGCAGACGGTTGCCGTGAAATCATCTGCGGGCCGGAAGGGGTCTGTGGTCGAGCCGGCTGCGAATTACTCCTAGCATATCGAGAGGAACTGGTAGCATGCTGTTGCGCCAGATTGGAGGCTGGCACCTGATCGGTGGGAGAGCGGTGGCCCCCGTTCCCATCGACGCTCCGACTCACACCGGTGGAGATGGAGCCGCCAGCGGCTCCGGTTGACGATGAATGAAATTCTGAATTGGCGCGGGTGTGATGCCAATCGTGGGCGGGGGTAGGTTGAAACGACTTGGTGGTGGTCCGCGGGGGATGAGGGGCGGGAGGAGACTTCAGATTGGACGGAGGGTTAGACGAGGCAAGGCCTGCGCAAATGATGGGACAAGGTTAGTCCTCGAGCGAAAAGTAAAGGGAGCGACCTCTTCGGCAAAGTCTCTCTTCTCTTTGGTCTTTCCTATTTTTCTGCTCGTCGATCCGTGGGCTTTGACGCAGGAAAAAGGGTAGCGAAATGGCTAGCCCCCCCCGGCCCACTTAGTCGCCTGCCCGCCAGGGGTCATGGGCTCCATGGGCTCCGCTCCGCAGCCACAATTGGAATGTCATTTGAATTGAATTAGGGGTGGGGAGGGAAAGAAAGAAATGGGCTGATGGGCTTACCGGTTTGAGTGGAAATTACAGCCCGAAGCACCAGTGCAATGCACATCTGCTGCGATCGTGGCAAATCGGGCGATGTTCGGTAGATCTCGCGTTGGCCATAGATTGTGACCAGTTCGTTGTCCTCCGGGCGCAGATCACATTTGCAGGCGACCAACAGAAAAGGCAGGAAGGAGGCTTCCAGCGAGTCTAGTAGATGGGTCCCAATTTCGAGTCAATCTCAGAACTCCTATAGACCAGATAAGGGGAAAACGGGGAAGATCACTGTGGCGTATAGTCCAAACGCACGCAACAATGAGGGGAGAGGTTTGTGCGTTAATCACCCAATATAAACATACCTACGAGGTCCAAGGTTGTCTCAAAATTCTGCGCTTCGGTCCCATCATGCAACAGAAGCACCCCATCTATCCGTGGCGCCACTGCATCCTTCCCAATGCGCGGCCATAGGATTCTTCGAGATTGGTCCAGCTTGACTTTTCTCAGATCGATTTCTAGCAGCCGCACCAAATAGACAGACCCATCTAGGGACATCTTCTTTTTGGTGGAATAGGAGGTCGGGGGATGCTTCATGTCCAGTGCGCACTGGATGAAGCTCGATTTGCCAGCTTTGTCCTCGCCCACAATAGCAATCGTCACTTCTGGCAGGGGGGTCTTCAAGGGTCCCTGCGGGCGCAGAACTGCAGTTAGTAATCACATCGACCTGTGTGTAGCTCCCAGCGACCCAGTGTTCCCTTCCAAGCAATTCTCATTCCTTGATCTGGAATGCACCAGGATCCCCAAAGGTACATACCTCTTCTCCGGGTCGGGGCCGAGCTCTTCGGGTATTTCTGCTGGAGGCAGGTCCCTCATCTTCCTCAGCCAATGCTTCTCCTCCAATTGATCCATGTCGTGTCCCCCGAGCAGCGTCTAGCTTACGGATACCCGCCTCGGTGACCGATGGCGATCGGCTATCGATGCCTGGGCGATGTGGCGGAGAACTGGGCATTGTATGAGACTGGTCATTGCTACCGCGACGGGAGGATTGCGAGGCCATGGTGGGCATCAATGTACATGGGGGGTATTGAGGATCCCGGCCGAGGAGTTGTCCTGTTCAGAGAAACTGTTCTTGGCTCGCTTAATCTTGCGTCTGTCTCAGGAAATGGCGCGGCGGTGCACCCATTGTATGTATGTTGGACACGGCTTCAAGATCGGTCGCAGGGCGAAACAGTCATATGGTAGGCGATGTACTTGTAGTGAGGGAGGGGAAAGAGATCAGTCCCAAAGATCTGGGAACGGGTCTTTATTGCATCTGGCAGGAGGAAGGTCAAATCTGCATCAAGCAACTACCTTCGAAAGGAAAATCGTCGAGGGAGAGTAAGTAATCCGTGACGAAGCCTCGGGCGACACGGAGGAATTAGGCGGGCCCAGAAATAGAACCCGTCGACTCAGAGCGAGGTGAATTCCAAACTTCCGAGGAAATGGGATCGTCTTCGATATATTCTGAGGTATACGGACACTGGTTTCCCCCAGACTCGATTACAGAAAAGTGGAGGGTTTTACAGACTGCGATTTTTCCTTTGAAACCCTCCCCCCCCCCTAGTGCGGCCTTTTCATTGGAGTCTGGAGGTGGCCCCGTTCTCAAGATCGGTTCTCCACTCTAGGTCTTCCCACCGCGTTTACTCTCTTCATTCGTTAGCGCTGCTAGAGCTCAGCTGAACCTGACAACCGTTGAAGGACTCGACCTTACATCGGAATGTGGATTGACCCCAACAGGATCTTCGGTTCAAGAGCCTGCATATGTCTCGGTCCTGGCGCCGCCACGCGAGCTTTCATCAAATGGATATATCTAATGGGATGGCTGCATTGGTGTCACCTGAGTCAAGTCCAATAACACTGCAGAGAACGTGATGTGTCGTGGGATTCGTTCATTCGACAACTAATCAAGGCCAGCTAATACTCGCAGTAATCCGAGGTGCAGCGAATGTGCGAGGGGCGGCCTCGCAAGAGTTATTTCGCATTGAGGATTTGCAGCACGAGGATTAAGGGCCAAAGAGGCACCGAGGCTAACTACTGGCGTGTGAGACCAGTCACTTGGCGAAGGGAGGGGCTAATGTCTTTGACGCTTCTTTTTTTTCCTTCCCATGGCCTAAGGACGCTGTCATTGTTTCGCATTGTTTCCTGACGGGGATTCCCTGTTGCGCTGGTCCCCGAAGGCCTGGACGCCGGGCGAGTGGGCGCGGCTAAGGTCAAACTGGTTAGTTAAGGATGCGCTAGAGTGGGCGCCGGCAAACCCGGGACTTTGGATGCGTTGATGGCCTGGGCTCCGCCGGGGGCGCCACTCAAATTGTGGAATTAACTCTCCGTGACATGATTCACATGTGGACTACATGATATTAAGCCGACACGTATTATAATACTCAAGACCCATAGTCGAAAGCTCCATTGATCTTCGTTTCCCACTTATTTTCAGCTGAACCGAGGCTGAATCGCCACGCGTTTCCTTGTCCTGCAATGACATAAGTCGCCGATCGACTGTCATCGAATTACTTAGTTCTAGGTGGCGCGTGAGCTTGACAGCTATGTCGCTTCTGGCGGCTGAGTTGCGGAGCTCTGGTTTACCAGCTTGAGAAACTGCATGAAGGCCTCTGCTGTCCTGCCTGTTTCTGTGCCTTCCTCGCAATCTTTTCTCAATTTCCGTACCTTGCCCAGGCCACGGTTGAACCCCTTCTCCGTGGTCCACTGACCCCGGCTACGGCGAGTAGGGGCTTTCCCTCCTCGGCCAAACGAGCGGCCCCGTGCCGGTTTCGTGTACCACTCGACCCATTCCTCTTCTTTGGTTGCTAAATATGTTTCATATAATTGTTCACGAAATTGGGGGTAGCGACGGAGGAGTTCTTGGATTTCAGTTGATCCGCCAATAGCGGCAATCGAAGACTTCTGGCTTGTGTCTTCGATAACTGCCTCTTGTAATGTTTCGCCATTCGTGGGCTGGTTGGCTACCGGCGCCTCGTTCGGCTCGTTGGCGTTCGCTTTGGGTGCACAGTAGATTTTATGGGACTGAGTGCATGCAAGTGAGCAGCTGCCTCGGAAGAAATTAGCTGGTCTGCAGAGGTCGTCTGTGCTGCGGGGACTCGGTACCTCAGGAGCTGGCATACGGGGCAGCGATATTTGGATGGCTCCGTAGAACAGACCTCGCAGGAGCCCGGCATTTTCCTTGGCAAATCAGCACACAGGAAGTCACATAATCTTCAACTTCGTAACACCAACCCTCGGACGTACGTCTGTCTAGAGGTGAGGCGTCCGCAAGCTGGAACTTCTCAGACATAAAAAAAAAAAAATAACAGCCCTGGGGCGGCTACGGCACCTGACTCAGACGCCCCACCTCGCGGGCCATTCCAGGGCCGGAATAAAGACTCCGATCGCTGGACCTGGGGTTATAAGCTACAATCTATGGCAGTACGGGAACTCTCGTCGGCCTATTTCGAGTTACTAATTTTCATATGGGTGATCCAATATTCCTGCCCAGCTGATTACCCCGCTCCCCCGATCTAGTGCATCCTTATGTCAAAATCGACGGGGAACGGTGAAGAGACTGCAACGTGTTGGCAGAGAAAAGTCGAGAATATGTGCCTCCCAATATCTATCAAGAGCCTGAGGTACAGTGTGCCATAAGTACATCATGTTTGTCCCCTGCATAGCGACATGAAGTCAGGCCCGAATGCATTCTGTGCCTGTACCATGGCCACGTATCTACCGCTTAAGCGAGGCAATGTTTTTGTTGAGAATCCAACCGAGACACGACTTTGCTCGCTTGGTGGCCTCGATAGCCACTGGCAATTCAATTGGAAGCTGCAGTAAAAGTAAGAGCTGCAGAGCATTGGAATGTGTATTTCTATAGTCTACGCCGTTCAAAACATAGCATGACAAATGGCGAATCCTGGGTAAGAGGGTGGTATATTAGCGTCTCTTGTTGGAATATCAGTTCTTATAGGGAAACAACTGAGGGCCGAACGCAATCGGTTGATTTGGTGCTTTCACTTTGTCGAGGGGCAGAAGAGCGGATTTGTTTCTTAGGAATCAACTGAGATTCAATCAACCCTCCCCAACAGAAGAAAAAAGAAGACCAGTTAGAAAGAGGTCGGGATGTAGCGAACTAGCATTCTCGCCGCACAAGTGAAGATGGCAGTATACGCTTGCACAACTGGATCTGTCCATGGACCTTAGTTCTACTGGAACCGAGGATTTTCCATTTGGAAATCAATAGTTTCTGGTGATTTCTCATTATCCTCCGCATCAATCAGTCCGCAGTGCTCGCCCTGGCCATTCACCACTTGCCTACTGCCGGTCCTCGGGTAATCGGAGGCCAAACACATCGCTCCTCATTCGCCACACACATTAGTAATTCCATATCTGCCACGTGACTGGCAAATATTGCGTCACAGCTCCGAGCAGCGGCGATTTGAACTGGAAATAATTATTGATATCATTCAAGACACTTCATACTCTCGAGATTCCTAGTGGTCAAAAGTCATCAGCCATGTCGATTTCCTCAACATCAACAAGCGTCTTGCGACGCGCTGTGTCCAGCGGCAGACTGGCCAGTCCTATCTCCCAAGCCATCCGACCTGCACTGTTCAGCTCATTCAGAACGGTGTCAAGCGCTTCTCGCCTACCCACGCTTACTGCTTCAGAGACCCATCGCCGACCAACAATCAGACCAAATGAGCGATCTCTGGCCCAGGCGAATGCGCTCTCTCCGACTAGCAAGCGCACTATCTTTATCCAGACCGAGAACACACCCAACCCCGATGTGAGTTTCGTCGTACCTGGGCGCAATGTCTTGATTAACTATGGAGGAGATTCTTTCCTCCTACTAGAGAACTGCCGTTGACTAGCTATACTGAACAGGCCTTGAAGTTCATCCCGAACCACCGTGTCCTACCCGAAGATTTCAGCACCCCCTTCCTTGAATATCTTTCTCCTCGATCAACTATCGCGCCACCCCATCCCTCCCCACTGGCCGCGAAATTGTTCGATGTGGAAGGTGTGACATCGATTTTCTACGGCGCCGACTTCATCACCGTGACCAAGGCTGCAGACGCGAATTGGGCGCACATCAAGCCCGAGATCTTCAGCCTGATCACGCAGGCCGTCACCTCAGGCGAGACCATCGTCTCCGTTGTCGAAAACGCTCACGCCGAAGCCGGCCAGGAAGGAGAAGTGGACTCCCTCGCCTACAGCGAAGATGACGACGAAGTGGTAGGTATGATCAAGGAGATCCTCGAGACCCGCATCCGCCCGGCTATCCAGGAGGACGGCGGAGACATCGAGTTCCGCGGTTTCGAGGACGGAATCGTCATGTTGAAACTACGCGGCGCTTGCCGAACTTGCGACTCGAGTACCGTCACGCTGAAGAATGGAATTGAGTCCATGCTTATGCACTACGTGAGTTCCACCCGGGCGGTTCGGTGTGGGAAAGGCACTTTGCTAACGCTATGCAGATCGAGGAGGTTAAGGGGGTTGAGCAGGTTATGGATCAGGAGGAGACTATTTCGATGCATGAGTTTGCTCGTTTTGAAGAGAAGTTGCGCCAGCAAAAGGGTGCTGCAGCGACTGCCTCGAGCCCTATTGATGCTGCGCCTTGAAGAGTCAAAAATTGGGTATATATGGGTTATGAATTTGTACATTAATCTCACATCGTTGCCTAGAAGAATGATACGGGAGGTTTTGGGCTAATACTAGAATCCGTGTCTCAAGTTGCAGGTTGATTTGCGTAATGTCAAAAGGTTGGCATGACGCCCTATACATATGAGCCCTTGAGGAATGCAGGCTCCCGCACTAAAGTAGCCAGGGTGGTCATTGTTTGCTCTACCAAATTCCTTGGCCGTCAACCTCCCCGCCTTGCTATGCATATACCCCTGTTTCCATTGCGCGATTATCATTGTTCTGCATGGCCGCCGTTGGTATCTCGGCAACTGCACCCCAACTGAGCATGACACGACATTGAACGTTGATCTCGTCCGGGGAAGCTCGTCTGCAAACATGCAAGAATTGCGAGGTTTGATGAAGACGCAAGAGCGACCTGATCTATTGCGACCGCCGTGTGAGTTACTCCTCAGCACTGCGGGGAGGAAAAGGTCCAATCTGTCCAATCTGTCCAATCTCGTACTCCGTAATAAGAACAGGCTCGAGAGGACGGAGAGGACGTAGAGGATCTAGAATTCCCCGAAACTCAGCCATAGCCACTCGCATAACTGGCTCTGCGACCGTTCTTGGAAAGGGGGGCAAGCTAATGTACATAACCAGTCTAGTGTGTCATTGCGGGGAATCCCTCCCGTGGTGGGTTTCCGTTGGTTGAAGGTTCTGGCCTGGAGGCCCCGCTAAAGTTCCATGATTTGTGGTCCTCGTACAAAATGCCCCGTTGTACCCCCAACGCCATCAGTTCTGATCGTTTCCAAGTCGCTCGAGCATCTGTAGGCTGATGCGAATCAGATAGCCTACTATTATTTCCTGGGGAAGAGGTGAGGCACCTTCTTACGGCTCCACCTACGTCAATGATTAGGAGGAGCCTATGGGTATAGGCCGTATCGAACCAGCCGTGCAGCAACATAGAATGGATCCCCGGAAGCTCGGAGCACTCGATGATTCGGTCCCATTACGTTCCCCCGCACTTGGAAGTTGTAACACTAGGGACAGGTTGTACTAGACCAGGGTATATTGGCTGTTGGCTTAGATCGAGGTCATCGACAGAGCTTGCCCATTGTTCGTTGGGATCCGACGTCGCGTGGCCCACGAAACAGCGGGGTTAGCCCCTCTGCTGACGGGGTAAAAGTTTGGTCGAGTAAGATTGGGAGAAATCATGCAGGTTGAGCTCTCCCCGCAAAATCGAAAAGGATCGGCTGTGGGCTAACCTTGGGGGAATGTGCCTTAGAGTGGACTCGCCCCGCCACCCACAAGCACTAACCCTTTCCCCGTACTGCAGACTGCCTCGGCCAGCCAACTTTAGTCCTGGAAAGTGGCATCCGAGGGGAGTAATTGGGAGGCGATGAATCTCAACCCCGCCAGTGTGCGACCCGGGCCGTGGGCCGTGCGAGTGTACTTTGGGTGTGGGCTGACAGGCGCTGCAGAGCGGCTTGAATGCTTTCGCTTCATAAACCAGTCACAGTCCCCCAGATGATCGGCGACTTGGGGCTAGTGAAGGGAAGGGGTAGCTTAGAGTGTAAAGGGAGGTTGACCCCATCGTACCACTAGAGTCCGTGGCCCGTGTGCCCCCTGGACGCCAGATCCGTCTGAACCTTTCGACGTTCTTTGTGCAAAGTAGTTTAAAAGTGTTACCCCAGTTCCCCCGTCTCCCCCGCCCTCTTCTTGCCGCCGTTTCTTTCCCCTCTTCATTCTTCTTCCCCCCCCCTTGGTCTCTACCACCACTATCACCATCACCATCTCTTACCTCTTTTCCCCTCCCTGTGCCTCCCGTGTCCCCAACATGCGCAATCCTGAATAGGGACCTGGTTGCTCCACAACGTCATCCCATGGTCACGCTACCCCAGCTCTCTCCAACTTGCCGCATTCGATTCACCCGGGCGATCATTTCAGATCGATCTCCTTTCGCTCTCCTCCCCCGCCCCAACTAGAATCTCGCTGAACTATCCCCCTCCATCACGGGCCCTGGTTTTCAGTGATTCTGGTCTGGGTTTCTTCTCTTCTCCCGATCCAGCTCTCTGCGGGCGCGCTTCTCTGCAATTCTCACGAGACCCACGAGCCCTCCCCTTTTCGCTCCGGCGCCTCTGCTCGAATAGATTTCCTCAGGATTCCTTAGAGTGAGTCGCGCAGGTCCCACCACCTTCCAGCTTCCAAGCGCTCACTCACCCGATCCAATTGTCTCCAGATACGATTACGATAACGGCCACTTTCTGTCCTTCTCCGCTCGTTGATAGTTTTCGATTACAATTTCTTCACAGGCGTCTGGCGGGGGGTTTTTGACCTGGGTCCCTAGACATACTTTAGACCGACCTTCCTAGGTAAGTGCTTCGGCGACTTTCGCCTCTTGGTTTTGCGACCTTGATCCTTTGTGCTCTCATGATTGTCTGGTCGTCACCCTCGATGTACACTCCATGTTATAAGTGAATCTTGCGGCACGCCGACCCGCTAGCAAATCGCAACACTCCTCGAAATCGCGCATTTGCCATTTCATGCGCGCTGATGGAAGACGGGTAATTCCCGCTTGCCTTTGAGCCTCCTTATCATGCCACCCAGCACGTGCCCGCGCAACCATCGCGTGTTTGACTTCCTTGACATCATTCATATCCTGATCTCGGGTTGACTTCTTTTTCTCTTGATACTAACGTCGTCTCTTTTCAGTCATACTTCTTCTCGAGTCAACCTCCATATCGAATCAATATTGGTCCGTCACCCTCAATCGGAAGCGCCCGCGACACGGACTGGAGCTTTGTCGCGTGTGTACAACCCTGCTCGTCAGGTCACCTTTCTTCAACTCAGGAGATCCCGACATTCCCCAAAGAACACAAGGTCAGCCCATTCTCGATTCTTCTTCCTTCTTCTTTTCATTTTCATTTTCATTTTCATTTTTCCCCTCCCGGAAGAGCTACTAGAACATAAAGCTCGTCAAGTCCTTGAGGACAACATTTCTAGCTTTGATGCTGGATTTGTTGTGCCGAAATACTTGGCGTTACTTTATCGTCGAATTTTGCGAACAATCGCGCTAACACTCGAGAAGCACCTTGATATAAAAATCATGGCTGCGTCATCCAATACTTCCAAATATCCCTCCTCGACTCTCTCCAGCACCCCTCCCTCGACCGCATCTGCCAGACTTGAAAAGAGCCACCCTGGAGTGCGCCGGTCTACACCTGACTCGGAGGCCCTCGCCTCATCTGATGACGATGCCGCTGATGCACCAATGACCCAGACTATCACTGCGCCAGCGATCAGACCTGCACGGAGAACCTCATGGCTCAACGAAATTCCACTGTCAGTGCAGAGAAAGCACTCTCTTCCCGGTGGTCCTCTATCCTCTGCTCCATCCAATCCAACAAGCCCCGCTGCGGACCAGGCTCCATGGTCAGCAAACCCAAACTCGGGGATCAGTGGATCATTCAACTGGAACCAAACAGGAAGCTCGTTCCCCTGGGGCACTGGTATTTGGAACTCCGAGTCTCGCAAAGAGCCGCCGTCTCGCCTCTCAGAGATTGTCCCATCTCCGACTATGTCGAACCCCCCTCAGTCTGCGGGCGGATTTGGTGATGAGATGTTGAGCCCGATCACTCGTACCGTTTCAGGCGAGTCGGCTATACCTTTCTCTATCCCTTTACACCCCACTCCAAAGACATACCGTTCCCAGTCGTACTCTGTCGGACAAATGGAGCCGGAGGTCCTCAGTGCGATGGCCAAAACTGCCGCCAGTGCGCAGTACCCGACTAGTCGCGCTCGCCCCCCGGGGCAGGCGTCAGCCGTTCAGCATCGTGGCTCTCGCTCAAGTGTCCTTGGCGAACTAGGGCACGATCCCGCGCTTCTTGGCCGTGTGCGGGAGGATGAAGGGGCCGAAGAAGGCCTGGGCGGCCCAGAAGGAGATATCAACTACTCAGCTAGCCAGGCACGAACCATCGAGCAGCTTGCCCGTGAGAATGCCCTTCTCCGTCAAGCAGCTGCCAGTCAGATGGATGCGAGACTCCGAGACCGAGCATCTTCGTCTGCTTCCGGAGCTGGCGGTCATTCGATTCACCGTATCCGAGGTGGCGTTCCAGAAGAGGAGCTGTCGCCGGACGAGTATGGCGAAATCCGCGATATTCCCGGTTATGCAGGCATGCGGAGCAACACGGGACGCCGATTCTCAGAACATTCGCCCAACCTTGAGCAGCAGCTCTCCTCCCTCCCGCCTTCTCTGGAAAATCGTGCCCTGGACACTGTCCGCAAGGCCCACTGGCAATCTTCGCTGGGCTTTGGAGGAATGGCTGAAATATCTCAAAGCCGCCGTCATTCTTTTGCTGAAATTCCCATGCGGCATGGCTCTGTCAGCTCCATTGATTCACAGAATGCCGCGACACCCCGAGCGGTACCAGGGGATCGCGACGATGGGTATGAAAATATGAACGATTTTCCGAACCCATCCATGCAACGTAAGGCCTCCTACCTATCAAACCTCGTGTGGCAATTATCTGATACTAATTTCTCCCAAGAACCATTTTACGGCCGTGACCAGACACTCCGAGGAGATGGTTCCTCCGGCATTCCGTCGGCGCTCAACCAGTATGCGATGTCTGGCGCTTTCAGTCGCCAGCCGCCCGCCCTGTCGCACGCTCACCAGAATCAGCTTCTGTACATTGTCACATTCAAATGCCACCGTGCCGATGTATTCTACATCCAAGAAGATACGGGCCTCCAGGTGAAGGCTGGCGACCTTGTGATTGTCGAAGCTGACCGAGGCACTGACTTGGGTACCGTTCAACATGCCAACGTCTCCCTCCAGAGAGCACGCGAACTCAAGCAGCAATATGCCGAAGAGCATTACAAGTGGCTCATGATGTTCTCGCGACAGAATCAGCTCGAGGGCTCTGATGTAGCCAGTCCTGGTGCAGGCCTCCCAGCTCGGAGTGCTACTGGTGGAATGGGTCCTCACGGGCATGGTGTCCAGGAACCGCCGACCGACATCAAGCCCAAGCTGATCAAGCGCCTTGCGCAGAACCATGAGATCCTAAATCTGCGTGACAAAGAAGGCAACGAGGCCAAGGCGAAGCGAGTCTGCCACCAGAAGGTAGCTGAACACCGGCTCAATATGGAAATTCTTGACGCCGAATTCCAGATGTACGTTTTTCCACCGCATGTTTCTGTCTATGATCTGAGCTTACTGACACACTGACCTAGGGACTGGAAGAAACTCACTTTCTACTACTTTGCCAATACCTACATCAACTTTAACTCACTGGTGACCGATCTGTTCAAGATCTACAAGACCCGGATCTGGATGTCCGCTATCAATCCTGCCTCGTTTGTTACGCCTCCCTCGGCTGGGCTCCCTGGTCCTGGAATCAGCAACCCGCTGTACAGCCAGGAGGTACAGAACGAGCGTCGCCATCCGCACGAGGGTCGACCTTATGGCGCAACCCGGGATACCGATCCAGGTCGCGAACCCATTTCAAGCCCCGTCGGAATGCTCCGTACAGCGTTCACTGAGTCTTACCAGCCGTTTGCTCAACCTCAACGCCACGTGGAAGTCCAACCCGATCCATTTGCGCCTTACTCGCCGACTAGCTACGGACCTCTGGAGACAGGGTTCTCCGATTATCCTGCCAACTCCAACGGGCCCCCTCGTATGCACCCCGCTCAGGGTGAGTGGGTGACTCGCTTCCAGGGTCTCTCCTTGAACTCCTGATCTCTCCCTCCCTCCCTCGGCGCCACTTTTTCGCTCTGTATAATTCAAAATCTCAGACCTCCTCCCTGCTTGTCTCCGTTTCTCTGCTTTCCTCCAAATACGAAAGAGATCCCTTCTAGACCTTGTTCTTGCTCCTTGCTGCCATGCCTCTCCTGTCCCCTGCCTTCCGAAATTTCCACCCTTATCTCCACGAAAGATTGTTGTCCAGGTCCCCGCATGACTTTTGAGATTCTTCTGAATTCCCTTACGCCCTATGTACTACTTCTGTTTCAAGTTAGAATTTCATACCCGAGACGCGCCTGTCTGCCCACACAGTCGTTACTGTTCCTGTATTTGCTGCGTTCGCCAATTTTGCCTGTTGTGCTGTTATGCTCATAGACCGGGTTTCCTCATGATCAGAATGTCTTTCTTAATCTAAGACTTTTTGCGCTCTGCGCGCGTTCATCTTTACAATTGCTACTTCAGAGTCTTTTTGCGCTGCAAGAATTTAATTCCACTGCCCAAGTATCAATTTGTTATTCATACTAGTGTGTTCCCCCGTGTTAGGACGCTTCTGCTAGTCGACCGCCTAATACAGTTTGAATCCTGAAGTACGCAGACCGACCCGTCATAAGCGGACTGGTCGGGTAATAGCACATCCCAAGTCTCCCTCTTCGACCCTCACGATGGCTTATCCCGGAAAGATGACTTGGAGGGCGAATAGGACTCGGATCTTCAAGTTGTTTCCTTGCGGTGTCACGGCGAGCCCCACCAGCACCGCAAACTTCATCGCTTTCACTGGCTCCCCGGGGGCAAAGGCTTCAAACTAGGTTCCTGTCTCCGTCTTGTTTCTCTCTCCCCTCAGCTCTATATGCTCTTGTCAGGATAGTTAGCAACACTTTGGATTACAAGCATCCTCCGACTCGGCGAAGAAACCCAATGCATCTAAACGATCTTTACCTTTTTTGGGCACTTATCCCTTGGTTCTTTTCTCCAATTCGCGGAACGACCCGCCCTTCCAAATGCCGGAAGTAAGACTGCCAGGCAGTACTCGATGGACCATGGTTGCCTTGATTCCCAATCCTGCGAGATACGGACTCCGGTTACTTTCTGCCGTTTTGGCACTGATACGAGACCTGCAGACTCCGCTTTCTTATCCGTATAAAAGGGCAACTTGTTTCTCTAGGAATCACTGAAGCCCGTATCTACTCTACCTCCCTTGCTGATCGATTCTGCTCCTTGTGTCCTTGATCAAGATGGCCGATAAGACCCTCAAATCCACCTGCCACTGCGGTGCCATCACGCTGATCGTGCCTCGCCTGCCAGCGGAAATCAACGAATGTCAATGTACGATCTGTCGGCGATACGCCGCCGCTTGGGCATACTACAAGGTTGACGAGGTCAAGTTTGACATCCGCGAAGGCGGGAAACTCTCCCAGTATGTTTGGGGCGATAAAGAGAAATCCTTCAATTTCTGTGCCCACTGCGGCTGTGTGTAAGTCTTGATCGAACCCATTTGGCCATGAATGCGGGTGGCTTGGCTGAAACCTCTTGCATTCAGCTGTTATCACTGGCCTTTTGAACAGAAGAACCCCGACGGCAGTGCAGCCGAGTTCGGCGTCAATACAAGGAATATGGATCCGATGCAACTCTTACATGTCAACCGCCGGATTGACAACGCGTGGGTATTCGCGCCCCTCAACAATAAAACCATGGCACATGGGGAGGACCAGGCCCAGTACTGAGCTTGAGACTCCGCCCGTCTACTTTCTTCCATTCTCTGTCTTCCAGGTAGACAGGCGGTCTTGTCATGATGTAGTATCCGATTATTCTATCTGCAATGAGCACCCAGCGCTGGAGCCCAGAGTACTTCTTCGTAGATCCTTTCCAGCTTGAAGTGACAATGTGAGCCATGCACATTCAGCTCTCCTGTCAAGAAATCTGAGAGGAGCGGCACCTACACTTGGTGCAGCTTTCGCTACGTCGAAATCAGTTTTTCTTTTCTTTTTTTTTTCATATTAGTACCCCATCGATTTGAAGAGAGACGCGGCGGCCTCCTAACCTCCAGAGATCTCGTTTGGCTTATTTATTTGTACGGCGAATTGATATTCCCGCATTCCGAGTCAATGACCAAAGAGGGCCCCGTACAATAGATCAATGAGACCTTTCAGCGTGCAATGACCATCAGAAACTCCATTTCATTCTATGCAAACTTATCATGCTTTCCCTTGACTTTCACGTCCAGCATGACCTCATGGAAGTTACCATCCTTCCGAGCCCTCCGCAGCTTTTTCACATCGTCATCGTCAAGCTTGCGCCCAGCCATCTCCTCCAATTCCTTTTTACTGATTTTCTCATACGCCTTCGTCTCCTTGGTTTTCCGAACCCGGGGCTTAAAGCGCGCCTGCATCCGAAGACGCAGAGTCGTGTCGAATGAGATGTCGGTTGCGTCGCCCCGGATCTCCACGCCAGCGGCCGCTTTCGTGCTCTCCTTCACGCACAGAAATAAGCCCGAGTCCCCACCGTGCGTCTGGAGAGAGAACGTGCCCTGGACTTCGGGCGAGGGTACAACGACGAACGACTCGAGATGTGAGACTGCCGACGCGGTTGCGCTTAAGAGGCCGTATTTATCGCAACTAAGATACCTGGTCCCCGCAGATTAGCAAAAAAAGACTAGCCATCCTCGGGCTGGCATTACCCCGCAGGGCCTCAACTTACTTCCCGTGGTGACCCTTGAAACTAACAGAGTCGGTCCCGGCAATCTGCGTCACCACCCAGACCTGTCGCACGTCGTGCGGCTCCGCCGTCCCGGGGTCGTTCTCGATCAGGTTCTCCAGCTCGGAAGCGAACACGACGCCGTTGGCGTCACTGGCAATGCACGTAGGTGTATCGGAGGGGAGGACCAGCACGACTGGACCGGCTAAGTCACTCGGCGCATCGGCGGATACCCAGCTCTGGTCTTCGGGGTTGTCGTTCTCTTCGTCCTCGGGCGCTGCCGTCTTACGGGCCTTGGGGATCTTTTCGCCATCGGCGTCTCTGTTCTTGCGCTTCTTAGGCTTGTCGCCTTTGAAGGTAAGGGGCTTGACCATCTTGGGTGGGAATTGAAGCGTTGTTGGGACTGGGTCGGATGGAGGTCGCGGTGACATTTCAGCGGAGCTTCTTATCGCGCTTATCGCGGTATCTAATCTTATCTTATCACGCCGGACCTACTTGTAACTGCGTAACTATATCGACGGGCTGCAATACTCGTGATTCATGACTGGAAATGCAGGGACCTTGTGTCTTAACCCAAGCCTCCTAAATGGTCTGGTCTGCATTAATCTGTGATTCTCATGCAGGTAGACTGGAATCCGGCTAGTCGCCGGGCCACCATCGCTCATACGAAGTATAACCCCGCATTTCGGCAGCGAACAGCAAGAAACGGACATCCTACTGTGCCTTTCGGCGGGACTCGAACGACCAGAGACTGAGCCCTTTAATTGAGAGAGGTGTAGTCTCTTCTTGTTTCTCTTCTGTACGCTAGTGGGATCCTTGAGCGAGCACTCCCACCGATCCTATCTCATCATGAGTTGGACCAAGTGCCTTGGCAAAGCACGAGCAATATCATCGTCGAGTGTACTGCCAGCCAGAACTTCTGTCAAGGGGTACTCACGGCCTCGATTCCTTTCAATCAACGCCAGACAGGGGCAGGCCCGCGCGTTCTCCAACAGGACCAGGCAAGGCTCCTATCCCAAGTCGGGGCAAGTTCTCATCATCTGCGCCCACGCAAGCAAAAGAGCCAGAAGGGAAACCGGCTGTGTCTGACTACTTCCTTTGCAATATATTGCCAATCGCGCCTCCTACCGAAGGACTCGTGGCTACTATTACCATATCCAACCCGAAGCGACTGAATAGTCTCAATCGGAAAGCTATTGCCGATCTAACCTCGACGCTAAGGTCCCTAGCATCAAACTCAGATCTTCGATGCGTGGTCATCAAAGGTGCTTCCACAGAGACCAAGAGCCCGTCTTTTACTTCTGGAGCCGACATATTCTAAATGGCGAGATTGCAGTCCTATCAGGATGCCATGCAGTTTATTTCCGAGCTGCATGAGGCATGCCAGGCAATGCGTGGGATCCCCGGGGTCACCATTGCCCAGATAGACGGCTTGTGTCTTGGGGGAGGGTTAGAGCTGGCTGCAGCGTGCGATTTCCGATATGCGACTCGTCGATCGACGTTCAGCATGCCGGAAACGAAGTACGGTATTCCCTCTGTCATAGAGGCTAGGTTGCTCGCCAATATTATTGGGTGGCAGAAGACCAAGGAGATGGTCTACTTTGCACAGTCGTATAGTACCGAAGAGGTTGCGCAATGGGGTCTTGTGGACCGGAGCTGCGGGACGCCTGAACAGCTCGAGGAGACTGTTTCTGGAGCTGTTGCGACAATCACTTCATACGGGCCCCGGACTATAAGAGAGCAGAAGAGGCTGGTGGCCATCTGGGAGGAGAGCGATTTGATTACAGGCGTGCGAGCTGGGATCGATTCTTATGCGCGCATGTTCGACGATGGTGGCTCGGAGCCCAAGCATTACATGAAGGCGTTTACCGACCAGAAGAAATGAGTGTCAACTCATTCTTGACGCATAAACTAACTTCAGGCTACCTTAGTTGCCCAATTCCGGGAATCCTGTTCATAGTTGGATCTAGAGAATTCACGTACTCCCCAGGCTAAGGCTGGGGCTATTTTAGTCAGAAAGTCTCACCTCCAAGATCAAGCTGACATGGCGTCCCCCCCAAGCCTGCTACTATTTAAACCACCCCCCAACCCCGGCACAATCTAGATTTCCAATCCACTAACCCGACCAAAGAAAAAGACACTCCACACTCCTAATGGCTTCAATTCTCACAGCAGTGGGCCTTTTCGGCACTCCCGCCGCCCCGCTCCCCAATTACAGCCCCTTCTTCATCGGCTGGCAATTCGTCTACGCCTACGGCCTCCTCTCCTCGCGCACCCTGAAGCAATGGTACGGTCTCGATCATCAGGTCGCTCCGCGCGAAGACTTGGCGAAATATGGCGAGGCTGCTGTGCGCGACGGCAAGATTACGCGCCGACAGCTAGCGATGCTAAAGCGGAATGAGGCTGCCCATGCCAATTCGGTCGAGAATTTCCCGTTCATTGCGACTAGTCTGGCGCTGGCGTCGTTTGCGGGGGTTCCGGCACACGTCATTAATGCGGCTGGGTTGTCGTATACGATTGCACGGTTGGTGTATGGGGCTGTTTATATTCTTATTGATCATCCCACGTGGAGCCAGGTGAGGGGGCTGGTGTGGTGGTGGGGCAATTTGAGTTGTTTAACCTTGTTGTGGTATGCTCAGAAACAGTTCATCGGGCAGGCAAGCTTAGCTGGATCGAGTATGAGGTGATCATTCTACGAACGAAATGCGGGTGTATGTATAGAATGTTGGTAAACGCTCGTACATGAAGGTTGTATTCCTGGCCCCATCTCAATTATGGATTTGCTGGGCTGCGGTCTATGAGCTTGAGGTGGTAATCTGGAAACTAGCAGTAAGAGGCAGGTCCCGGCTGGAGGATCCCACATAGACATGATAAGATCCACTCTGGAGCTCCCATTTCTGAGCTACAACGTCCCAGGTGCTGAGGTCGCGACGGGTCAACGGGAAGGTGACGGGGCTAGATGCGCCCGGCGCAAGCATGACCTTCTCAAATCCACGCAACTGGCGCACAGGACCCCCAGGAATACCAACATAGAGCTGCGCCACTTCCGATCCAGTCACGCTGCCAGTGTTGGTGACAGTAGCAGTAACATTTGCGATGTTATCCCACAGATCGACTGCGCCGCCCTGCTCAATATGTCCACTAGGATAGGTATCCAGCCCGCTCTCGAGACAGGATACCTGAACATCCGAGAAGCCAAAAGTGGTGTAAGAGAGGCCAAAACCAAACTCATATCGTGGAGTGATGTTATGCGCATCAAAGTGTCGATAGTCGATGAAGACGCCCTCGTTGAAGTCTGACTGAGGGAACTCCTGGTAGGGAGCCTCTCCGTAGCTGTGCCAGTAGGCTGGGAAGTCCGTCTCGTTCTTGGCAACTGTGTACGGCAGCTTGCCACTGAAGTTGTCATCGCCGTAAAGCAGCGAGGTAATGGCGCGGCCGGAGTATTGGCCGGGCAGATGGGCGTAGACAATAGCAGTCACATTGGGGTTGTCCACGAAGGACTCCACTAAGCGAACACCGGCGTTGTGGATTATCACGATGGTGTTGGAGCAATTGGACGCAACTTTCGCGACGAGGTTATCGGAGTAGCTGTCGTAGGTTCCGGGTCGGTCCACGCCTTCCGTGGCGAAGGCGTTGATGAAGACAAGACAGGCCTCGGCGGCTCGGTTGCCGCCAAGAGAAGTCAGGTTTTTGGATGTATCCCACTGAACCATGGTGTTATCTTGGTAGGCTCGCTGCTGAAGAGCATCGAGAGGAGCACTCAGATAAGGGCCGGCGTTACCACCAGACCCGCCTCCCACGCTAAGTGTACCATTGAGGGCAACCTGATCAATGGCAGGCGCATCAACAATATGCGGGCTGTTGGGCAGTACATCCAGCTGGAAGAAGGCAGGCTCAAAGCCCAGCTCCCAGGGGTCGCTTGCCACGGCATTATTAGGGATAAATTGCGGTGGTGCAATAGCGTCATATCCGAAGACAGAGATTAACTTAGGGCATTTTAGAGGGAGCGCCCCATCATTCTTGACCAAGACATGGCCTTCTAGCGCCCCCGCCCAGAGAGTAGGCTTGGCTTCGTTCGTGAGTGCACTCACGAACTCATGAGGCCCACTAATATCAAAAGGCATGCCGATTCCCGGCGTCGGCTCCTCGGGAGAGTCCTGGCCTAATTTGTACCAAGCAGCGAGGATTCTGCAGCCTGAAGTCAGTCGTTGCCATATGTCATTCCATTAAGTTGAACATACCGGGTTGCCATGTCATCCAAACGGGAAAGAGGCACACTGCCGTTGTTGATAGCTGTCGTGAAGTGGGGGCCCCAGAAATGTTCCCCGGGTTGGAATAAATTATTGCCAGTAGGCATAGTCATATCGAGACCGGCCAAGGCAGATGCAACGCCAGAATGCTGGCCACCCCAATCGGTGACGACAAAGCCTTGGAAACCAAGTTCGGTCTTCAGGAGGCCGTTGAGGGCTTTGCTATTCTGGCAGGCGTACGAGTTGTTCAGTCGATTATATGAGCACCTTTTTATTCGGCGATTAGCGCAGGCATACGAGCTGCTGGAGTGGGATACATACATAATGTTAGCTGCGCCCGATTTGAGAGTGTCTTGAAAAGGCCACAGGTAAAGCTCGTGTAGGGTCTTATCATCGATATTGCTCGAGATAGATTGAATCGCAATCTCGCCGGCATCGTTGATGGTAGGGTTGCGATAAAGCTCTTGCTCGTACCCGATGAAATGCTGTTCCGGAGGTTAGTCTCACTTACTCGCAATAGCTACTTTAACTTTCCTGACCTTTACGCTGGACATCACACCACGGTCCTGGGTTCCCTCGACGGTGGCCGCACCAATGGCACCAGACAGATAAGGATCAGCCGCACCGCCTATAATTATCAGCTTGAGATCCAATGCTTCTTTAAGAAACGCATCTTACCTTCCCAGTTCCGTCCGTTCGTTGTGAGTCTTCCCAATGGTGCAACGACTGGCCCCAGGGCGACCTGAACGCCCTTGGTCTTGAATTCTCCTGCCATATGCCAGCCCCGTTCGTAGGCGAGGGTCTTATTCCAGCTGCAACACACCGTGAGTCACGATTCTCGCAGATTCAGCTTGAACAGCATGTGCTTACCTAGCGGCTGCGTGAAGACCAGCAGGATAGCTGTTCACGAAGTCTGTAGCCCGAACACCATTGCCAGCATCTTGGAGACATAGTCCCGGGAAACCAACACGAGGAATGGCACCAATATTTCCAGCACAGCCGTTATCAGTTGTTTCGATTCCGTAGGTGAGGTTGTTCTGAATCAGCGTTAGCCGCGGATCTCAATGTCTAATTGATGAGCGCCACATACCTTTTCTTCCAGAGTTAACTGCGCCACTAGTGCCGCAGCCTTCTGGTAGGCCGTAGCCCAGTCACCAGTGCCGGTTATATTTGCTACATCGATTAGCGGCCATTTTAATAGATACACACAGGTCCTCAAGACATACGCGACGGGTACACCGGTGGCGACTGCCCGTAGAAGTAGTCATCCGACGTGATATTCTGCTGGGCATTCCCAAGTCCACAGAGGGACAGGGCGGCGACTGCCAGGCTCTTTTTCCCAGGCACCATTGTTTAGGGGCAGCCAGGCCGAATTCTCTGCGGTCTGGAGACAACACCGAGACTCGGAGAGATCTGCACCCTTATATACCCCTCACCCTGCACCTCGGAGCCATCCGTCCACTGGAGATGGTGCAAGGCAGTGATATCATCCGCAGCAGCATTCTCCATTCTCTGTCGGCTGGGAGCGAAAGATCAGCGGCTTAATTGCCTGACAAGTATGCCACTATTCTCTTTCTATCCTCCAGTCAAGCAAAGGGGCACCCGCCAAAGGCCGCGTCTGTGCACGGATGTGTTTTTTGTGGGGCCCCATGTTTTTCTGCATACTTTCGAAATTAGATTCTGGGTAAACCTCGGGATAACTTAAGCCAGCCGAATGTCCAAGCGGCTCCGGCAGGGGGGGGAAAGCCCGTGGGGATTTGCTGCGGCAGTCTGTTGGCTTTTAAGAAGGTGTATGACTGTAGCCTTGGTGAGTAGGAACCGGACAGTCTCTAAGAGTAGTCTTCCTCAACTGCGTAGATGAAGACAGGCTTTGGTAAGGCCGTCGCATTGGGGCAAGGACCTTTTGGAAACCTGCCTCTGAAGCCAACCGCATCGAGTCACCGGGAAATCTCCGGCAATTTGTCTTTGGTCTGGGGCATCCCTGATTGTGCGGGGATGTTAGGGTGCTGTTCTAGCGTGGGGCTTCGTGCAACCGAAACCTGGGGTTTACAAGAGTACGAGAACGTAGCATGACCAGTGATAGGGGACGTCTAGAGCACAGTGAAGCATACGAGTAGCCGCTCCAAAGAGTTCGTGGATCTTTATCCTTTTCTAGGCACTGTTCCTGGCCATCTGCAATAGCAAAGAGAGCCTTTGCTCGGCTCTCCAAAAGAAAACAGCGCGAACGGGGTTAGCGGGTTGGCGGGTCCACGAGATTCCATCCGCATCATCTGATTCTCCCGTAGTCTCGGACCTGTTACCGATACAGGTCCGGCTTGGGAATCCTGGGCGTTGAGACTAGGCAGTTGGGCCGGCAACTTGATTCTGGCAAGTTAGATTGATTCCCCTTTTTGCCGTGGGTCCGGGACCACCAGCCTTCGAACCTTGGGACGTTCAACCTTGGAATGCTCATCTATGCGGACGCCATGCGAGTCAGCATCCCCACCCCGGAGACCTCGTCATGGACATCGCGCCATGAAGGCTACTCCGAATAGACTACCGGCTCATTGGACGTGAGCGACGAGCTTGACACATCTTAGCAACCCTGCTAGTTCGATTCTACGGGACCATTTCCTTGGAGCGAGATTTCCAATGGAACACTGGTCTGTGCAAGATAGTCATAAGATAGAGCTGGATACGCGACAAGCAAAGAAGAAGGATAAGTAGAATTCAGAATCATAACCAAGACGTCCAGCGTCATGTGCAGGCATGACAATTTAGCCCCCTCCCTACAGGATGGTCATTTCAACCCAAACCCTTCGCTGTTCACTACTGCATCCCAAAGCAGTCGCTGGAACCTCTCCCGAGACGAATAGCGGTACAGGCCTAGGGTGTTGAAGCAAGTCCGGGCAGTCGGGTATCGCGGGCCATCGTCGCCAAGACAGGCAAGCCTGATCGAAAGGCTCGTGGCACCCATCGCAGGGATACGGTCACTGCCCGTGATAAAAGACAGGATTTTCCGTTGGGCGTCGGGCGGGGACGTCTCGAAGAATGACCAGAACCATTGGACCACGGGGACTGACTCTGGTTGTGGGTGGGACCAATTATCGTAAGTTGCTACTGCTCGGAGAGAGTTGACATCAAGTGGCTCGTCGGAGCCTCGGACCAGCTGCTCGATCTCCTCGGGTCTGAAGAGCGATAGCGCATTACCTCCGCAAACGGTGAAGAACCCGCGTTTGAAAGGTTCAAATTGCCTCGCGACTGCAGCGTCGAGGAGATAAGCGACGTAGAGGTCAACAAATTCACGTCGATTCGAATTTGTGACGGGCCGATGTTCACCCCCGGGGGTAAGGGGCACACTGACGACTTCTCCGTAGCGATCGACCTGGGCAACGAAGTCGTAGCAAAATGTCTCGGCGACGTCGCCCTCGTAATCTAGAAGAAGGCGAAGTCCTCGTGCAAGGGCGGGGCGGTATTCGGCAAGGTCATCAAGGGTACACTTAAACTTCATTGGCGGTGCTGCCATGGTTTGAGGAGCGGTAGGTGTCGGGGATGCTGCCAGCAGCTTCTTGAATGCAAATGGTGGTAAATCAACGTCCAGGATGGTCGAGTTATAAATGGCGAGTCCCAGCAGGACCCCCACCAAGAAGAACTGCTCTGAAGACTCGAAACAGTACGGGTTGAAGTAGCAGTATTTCGAGTCCTCATCGTAGATGAACAGTCCTATTTCAACACTTAGATGACAGCAGAGGGCGAATTAACCGTGCGAAAGACTTACCATGCTGAGGGTCAAAGATCTCGCGGACAAGTAGCAGAAACCACTCTTTGCGAAGGCCCCCCGCGTCAATGCCTTCCTCTCCCGTGAATTCAATACGAAGACCCTTCTTGATATCTTCTTGGCCGGAGCCCACCACTTCGCTCACTCCCTTCAGGCTATCATCGACAAGGCAATCCCGCCGAACCTTGAGCACCAGATACTGACTAACAGCGCGACGGTTGAGGATGCTGTTGAAAAATGCCTCGCGAGCCCTCGCCTCCATCTGCCGACGTGCGTCGTGTTCAAGAATATGAATCTTCGCCCAAATGCTCAGGAAAAATGGATACTGACAAAAGGCAAATTTCGAGCTTTTCGACTCCCAGGTCTCAAAATCGCCAATGAGATCTGAATAATCAAGGAGAGTGTTGTAGAATGAACTGATAGGCACCAAGTAGCCATGGCCACGGCCTGGCCGATTTGGCGCAGCAGGGAATCTTGATCTAGCATCGCCAAGGCTTCCATCAGGCTTGCGTGTCAGACTGCACAAGTTCGCTGTAAAGATCAGAGACATGATTCTGGCAGCGGCTCGGATTTGCCAATCCTCTGCATACACCACAGGTGTATCTTTCTTCTTGGCGGTTTGCCGGTTTGGACTGCGTCGATTGATGGCAGCGTGTAATTCAGCAGGCGTGTTGCCGGCGGCGCTGGCAAAGCTAGGGATTAATTCATCCACATCCTTGACCTCGCTACGCTTCCGACTGCCATGTTGGCGGGTCAGTCTATATGTCACGAACCCACCAACCAGATCAACAAGGCGTTCTAGCTGTGCGGGCGAGAAGCGCGACATCCATGACACGAAGTAATGATGGCAATCATTGGGAAGATTCGACATCAACCCGAGGATCCTCTTCAGAGGCCCATAATGATGGCCTGACTCCCCAGAGCGGGCATTAGAGGCAGCTGGCTCTTTCTGTGGAGATTTGCCCTCTCTATTTGGCCGTAGGAAGTCTCTCGGGTGTGATGGGTGACGATGGTCTCGATGAGAAACCGGTGTCCTATTTGAGAACGAACCCGGTGATGATAACATGGGATTTGATATGAGAATGAATAAGAACCTAGTATCTTCTGGCCGTTTCAGGACCTGCCGTGGACGTTTAAGAAGATTCTCTGTCGCTTTCATCAAAGTCCGCTGAAGATGAAGGCGAGAACAGGTGATGTCTTCTTCAATCATGGAGAGGTCGACAGAGTCCCATCTCTTGCTTCGAATCAAATCTGCCTCGGAGTCCACAGCATCCGGCTTTTTGGCTGACCACTTCTCTACCCAAGTGCTTCCGGCATGTAACACAAGTTGGTACCACTGATTCATTTCTCCCCAGTTGATACGAGGGCTTCGAGATGACACTGCCCGGGCTTTGGAAGAGCTACTAGAAGCATGTCGGGAGGAATGAACCCGGCCCTCCTCTTTTGCCCATTCTGTCATCCACCAAGTCGAATTCTCGGCAACGTCTCCGAGAAGCAGAGTCTTTGCATCCGGCTCAAAGAGCGGGGCATGCTGTTCGGCGTCCTGAGCTGCTGGGTTGACTTTCGTTCTTGGGGGGTTCCCGCTACTTGCGGATCTAGCAGACTGCTGATAAACAGGGAATGAAGAATTGAGAGGTCCACAACCTTTGAAAGCAGCAATAATGTGGTCCTCCAATCTTTTGAAGATCGAGGATACGTTCTCGCGCTCCTTGCCAGCTGGGAAGCTGCGTCCATCCGTCCTTTGCGCATGATGGTCTCTTCTTAACCCATTCTCCACATCCGACGTGGCACGGGCCCTTACTGAGTGATCTCTGCTTTCTTTCAAAGGCTTGCGTGGGAACAGAAAATCCGTATTTTCCTTACCGGAGTCAGATCGCTCACGGTCACTGGAATGGGAAAGTGAAGCGCTTCGATTGCGGGGATCTCGAGGAACATTTAGCTGGTGGGAGCCGGGGCCGGCGGAAGCGACGTGTACTTCAGCCTTCGTGTGTGGTCTGGTTGTCCGATGGTCATCCGGTGCCAATCGTGCGCGTGGCTCCTCGAGGAGACTTTCGAAGTATGCAGAAAGACATCCATCAATTAAGTATCGCGCTTGTGATACAGACAATACTGGGCCTACATCCGGTTAGCACGCTGTACTCCATACATTTCGTTCCAATACCCAGGATCGTGATATACCTGGTTGGGAATCGGCTGGCAATGGTGGTGAGTTCTCGGAAGGGACAGGCGGGAGAGGCTTTTCTCGCCCTCTTAGGCGGGAACTGTCCGTGGCATCCCGATCTTTCGATCTTCCCGGTGGCTCTTCCTCCAGATCCGTGACCATCAAGCACGTTGTACACCGAAAGACTTGGGATTCTCGAGGCCACCGTACGGTCGAATTGCAGGTTTGGCATTTGCCCTCTACAGTCTCCTTTCCTGTGCCTCCCTTCCACCCATCCTTCCGCGGGCTTGTTGCTAGAGTATGTGCCGGGTATGTGATATCATCTGAATCGGAATCCGAGTCCCAAGTCGCTTGCTTCGTTACTTTCTTCTTAAACGGCGACGAGAACGGATTGCTGATGGAGCGATTGTGCCCTCGCCGTGGGCTATCCGGTATGCTCGCATTCATTGGGGCCATTTCTGGAGCATTTTGCAGGTTAGGGGGACGTCGCCGCGCGTTCTCGAGAACCGGAGGTGGATACAAGTCCGGGAGGTCTGGAAAGGCAGCAGGCAGCCGATGATTCAAGTTCGAGGGTACCGCTGCATTACGTCCGTTGCGGGACGGCATTAGGGGCGCATTTGGTCGCCTATTCTAGGTACGCTGATCGGGATGTAACAGGTGAAGTAGCAGATTTCCTGAGGTGGAGCCTGAGGGTCTGGTCGTCGTCGTATAGGAAGCAATCATGCAATCGTGGGGGAAGTCAACGATAAGGAATGCTATCGAGTTGGGCCTTGTTATCGAAAATCTTCCTTGTTCTGATCAATACAAGGGCTTCCAGAGCCCACGAAATCAAAGTCCAGCTTGGCGTCGACTGGAATATCCTGGTGGAATGGGAGAGACTTGAGACAAAGAAATGCAGACTGTGTAATCTTCACAGTTGGGCTGGGCTGCTCTTTCCCTGTTTGGTCCCTCTGATCCGTCGTCCCGCCTGGCTGGTTGCCGCCTGGTTTGTCAGGCCGCAGGGTTGCGTGGCCCGACTCTTTCGCCTGCATCCGGCCTTGATCACACCCTGATGGAGTATCGACTCCAAGTGAGGAATGAATCGTAAATCAAGTTCTTCGACGGCCTGCTATGCACTACTCGCCATTGGCTCCCCTCATACCCCATGCTTTAGCGAAATTAGCAATTGGCCCTTGCAGGAGTCCCGGAATGAGACCAGCGAACATCAGCACCAGCGCGGGGATATCCAGGCATTTTTACAGTGGCAATGTGACCAGAGCGCGTCCCTATCAGTGGACTACTAGTACATGTGCTACGGTAGTTCTACAAGACAGCACGTGCCAGGTGTGGAGGTGAACCAGTCGTACTTCGTTAATCAAGGGGAATTCAACATAAAACAAGATGGCTTTTTGGCTAAAAACACAGCCTTCCGGTCTGCATTAAACTCGAACCCAGTGTACAAGACATGACCCGGGGGAGAAATGTTTTAAAAGATAACCACATGCAGCCGATATACTCCACCCACGCCAGTGCATTAGCGCGCTTAACGGTAGCGCCAGAGGCTGAGGGTGTTCTGGAGCTTCCAGGTGTGGCGACGGCCGGCCTTGGTGTTGTTGTAACGGTGGCCCTTGTTGATACCACGGGACTTCTTGCCGGTGGAGGTAAGACCACGAGCCTCACGGTGCTGGAGAAGGAAATTTCGTTAGTCTTTGGAATCGCCGTGAAAGATTCGTAGCCAAGTCGTAGACTCACCTTGTGAACGGAGTTCGCGATCCAGTTGATGCGGGGATCGCGGCGAATGGCCTTGTGCTGGGGGTCGACAAGGATAACCTCGAAGTACTTGTAGGTCGAGTCCTGGTTGATCCAGTAGGAGTTCAGGACACGCAAGTTGGCGCAGCGGCGGCCAACGCGCTCCTCAGCGGTGGCAGCAAGGGCACGCTGGTACTTGAGCTGGTTGATACCCTGGTTGGTGGGCTTGCCGTAGGTAGCACCCTTAAGGGCAGGGCGCTTGCGACCACCACGACGGACACGGACACGGTAGACAACGTAGCCCTGCTTGGCCTTGTAACCGAGACGGCGGGCCTTGTCGGGGCGAGAGGGGCGCGAAGCACGGTGGATGGCGTTCAGCTGGCGAAGCTATATTGATGCACTCTCAGCAAAGTTCAACGAGTGTATAGCAAGACACAACGAGACAAGGTCTCCTGTGTGCCACAATCATTTCCGCCAAAGGTTCGTTCGAGCCACCCAAAGAACACCAGGAATCGGCATTTTACGGCTGCATGCACAGACGAGCGCTCGGCGGGAAATGTTAGGCAATCGAGGGGTTTGGGGGATTCTATCTCACCTCCCAGCAGCGAACGCGGAGCAAGAACCGAATGACATCGGACTGCTTCTTCTTCTGGATCTCTTCAACGTACTTAAGGGCACCCATCTGAAAGAATTGCGAGTCAGTAATTTGGAAACCGGCAAGGATACCAAAAGTTGTGGTGTTGGGGCTGAAAGCGTACCTTGTCGGCTGTACGGTGTCGTCGGTGGTCGTTGTCGCAACTGAGAAAAGTTCGAGAGGGAATAGAAGTAGCAGACCTTTGTGTGTGGGACGCAAGTTAACCGAAGGGTCCTTGGCCAATGATTTCCTAGATTAATGTGGGGCCGTGGCCATCCACATTGATGCCTTGTTGCCTCATAGCGGCTACGACTGGCAAATTCCGCCTCTCTGTAGAATGCGCCTGTTAGTAGACTGCGCCTGTTACACTACAATTGATTTCCCTTAGCAACCTGCGCAATGAAAATTGAAACATGATATTGATACATCGCATTTGAAATAAATCAGGCCAATAGTTGCCTTTGAGTTGCGTCGCTAAATGGAGTGTCCTCAAGGGATGCTGTTGATAGTTATTTACAAAGTGTATATTGCCTGCATGCGCTGTTTCTCAGCGTCTGCCATGTCTCCTGGCGTAATCCTGACGAACCATCGCATTGGTGATAGGGAAATCTATCATGCCTGGAGGTAAAACGCTTTTCTTGCAAAGTGGGCAAAGGCTGCTGGTTTCCATCACCGTGTCAATACATCCAGGGTCGAAAACATGTCCGCAAGGAAGTTCGCGGACGGTAGATGTTCCAGCGACAAAGTCATCCAAGCAAATTGCGCAAGTGGTTTGCGTATGGCTTAGGCGCCAAGGGTTTCGAGATGCAGGTACTTGAGAGTCTGTAGAAGGGTTGATGATCGCAGCAGCTGGCTTTCTCAGCCCTGTGATGATTAATGCTCTTTGCGGACACGTCGTGGGTTCTTCATTAGGTATTGAGGAGGTGGTCTTGCCTCCCGAGACAACTTCTGCCACTTTCGTTTCAATTTCTTCTTTCTCGTTCTCGGTGTCTGCCGACACTGGAGGGGTTTGATAGATGTAGAGTGGCATATTTTTCACAACATCGCGCGGTACTTTGACTCGATTCAACGCCAAATACTCCACGTCGACTTCGCCCTCGTTGATCCGTTCGCGTAAAACCTGTCGCCTTCTGCGTTGAACAAGACGGTATAAGACTAGAAGGACCAGACTCAGGCCGAAAATCGTGCCAAGAATGGCAAGGACGAAGCTCCACATGCTGGGCGACGTATTGACGGATGTATCTGCGATAGATCAGTATTGTGGTAAAATGAACACTAGTTGAATGAGACGTACCCGTGTCAATCATAGTGAATATTCTTTCTGTTTTGCTTTCTGAAGGATGTGGTGTGTTGTCTTTAGTGTCACTGCCGTTTTGAGACGGTCCGTCTGAGAACCATGAGAGATCGTTCATCAATGTTTTGCCAGAAGGGCCAGGAACCGCGAAAACAGGATATTTATTCTGGGTTTTCCAAAGGCCTTTATCATGCAAATCCCAGCATTGATCATCTTGTGGGGGCGGTAGCCCTGTGCTGTTGGACTCCGGCTCGAAGAACACGAGGGCGTTGACGCTTGCCTCGCGCGAGGCAGCCAAGAAAGATTGTGTGCACTCCATAGAAATCCACGGTGCCATTCCAATAATAGGATATCCGAAATCTGACACATCCTTGTGCCTAGTCACATTCGATGGGATGAAAGAATGAACAGCATCGCTGCATGGATCGCGGGGGTCTAGATCTGGCACAAATAAAAGCCCAGAAATAGTTCCCGAATCAGGAGCACCCGTAGCTGACAATGTCCTAACGGTCCTGTCCAATACAAAACGAAATCCCACATTTTCCTATGAATGTCCAACAGTAAGCCTCGCGCATTTCGGGTGGCAAACCCCTTCGGCTATACTCACATTGACGGAGGAGGAAATGTTCGAGGCGCTCCCCGGACCGGCAAAAAGGGTAGCAACGGTAGACATTGGGTGTGCAGGACTAGTATAAGACATAATGATCGTCAAATACCCCAGGTATACCGACTCCTCAGTATATTAGTACAGACGCCTCTCCCGAGTTTGGATCGTCGAGAGTAAACAAATGAGCATAGTGGAGTTGGCGACGAAGCGAGAGTTAAAGAGAAGGGCACACGCCAGGGGTCAACATGTAATCGGAGGCCATCCAGAAACCAACTGGTAATTCCTAGCGAAAACAGGTAGAGCACGACCACCAATATCCGTTTTGCATCGGCAGCGGCTCAAGGAATGTAAACGCAAATCGACTTCGTCAAGGAATGCGGATCGCGCATTGCCACGAGGCAAAGAATAAAGTTCCCGACCATTGCGTACGACATTATTACTTGCTGGGGAACTATAGACGACCCCATTATTTCCCAAGGGGGAGTGTGGCAGGGTTCTTGACCCGCCGGATCTGGCATGCCGTTTGCGGCAGCAGTCGCATACGGTATTGATTTTCGAGCTCAACCGCAGGCAGTGCTCATCCCTTGATTCAATGGAGTCAACAGGGCGCTTGGTACAAGCCTGTTTCTTCCAGAACTTTTCGGCCACTTGGTACTAGCTTCATGTTAACATTCGTATGATCCTCTACGATCCCTCCGAGTCCACATATATAGCAGTAGCGCGCAATTCAAAGTCCAGTACTAAAAAGGTCTGCGAGTAAGGAAACTTCTCAAAACGCCTGGCGTATCCTAACTCCCATATCCAGTTCCCTTATACGCAGAAAACCAACCACTAATTCTAATCGAAAATGGAGCGTCGGCCTTTGCGTACAAGCTATATTTTCACCTTCGAGAATTGAGCTAAACAGAGCGAGCGAAGCATGACCCGGATGGGCCTAGAAAGGGTTCAGCCAACCAGATCTCTGTTGAGAAGGCGGTGTGCTCCATTCTGCCCTGCATCACGTGTAGGCGGCCTCGATAAGACATCACCGCGATCGACCACACCCCAAACCTTTTACCCCATCTCAATCTGAAAGCTTGACGCGTCAGGTCCTTCTCGAAAGCGCTGGCTCCTGCATGCTCTAGCTCAGACTCTCAACGGGTCAGCATGCGCTTCCCGATCCCGACCTTTACCTTATAAACCAATTCCAACGACGGACACCGCTCGCTTCAATCGCCTACAGCTTCACTCCCCAATCCTAGCGCTATCTGCAGACCGAAGTACCACAATGCCATCAGCATATAAAAGTAAAGGCAAAGGCCGCGATGCGCGCCAATCGCGAAGCCGGAATACAACCCCGTCAAATGCGGGCAGCACCTCGGCTTCAGCGCCAGCTCTCCCTAGCTACCTCGAAAATGATGTCTCTAAGCTTATCGACCTAGCGAATAGCCAGTACACAGACCTCCTTGACCTGCTTGCTGGGCCCAACATTCCCGACTCGAAAACTCTAGAGACTCTTGTAGAGCATCTCAAGAGCTTGAGCGATATGGCCGACGCGCGTGGGGAGGTTTGCAATGCCGGCATGCGGGAGATGTCCCAGAAACGAAAGGATGTTGTGGAAGATCAAGACCTGAATCGCGAAGTGGTGGAGCGTGGGAAGCTAAAGCGGGAGACGGAAGAAGACGAGGATCAGATCAACAAACCACGGCCGAAGAAGCGACGAGACCGGCCCGGCAAGGAAGACCGGCCTTTGAATCACGGTGCTCATGAGGTGGGGCGTCAAGATGGCGCTGAAACAAAGGTTGAAGGTGGTAAGTGATGCGACCACAAGGCTGCGGCTCTCCACTTCTCACACTCCACTCCACATTTTCTCCTGTCTTGAATTGCGCTCCAAACACCTTTGCTGACGAGAATTAAGCCGCGTCCCCGGGCTCCAAGAACTCGAAAACCGGCTGCTCCGATGGCAGCTCCTCCCTTTCACCGCCGTCTATGATGTCTCCCAATGGTGGCCACAATGGAGCTGATGGGGCTGCTGCCGTTGCTGAGTCTTCTGGCTCCGACTCTAGAGAATCTTCCCATCAGCCTGAACCTCAGCCTGCGGTACCCCAGATACAAGTCTTCGGCGAAAATCCACTGGAATATGACGATCCGACGGTATACCACATACGCGATGTCACCCCTGACATGGATGATGAAGAGAAGAAGCAAATTTACAGTGTAGCTCGGTTCCCTAAGAGCGACCTCTCGCACATGATGGCTGGAGTGCCCCCAGACAAGGACTTCAGTAATGCCAAGCCTTCGAATCAGGTCAGCGCGAATACTTTTCTGGCCTTCATTGAGCCATACGTGCGACCATTGATGGAAGAAGATATTGCTTGGTTACGTGAGCGCGTAAGTGTAAATATCTCCAATTACCCATGGCATTTTTTGACAAATCCTCTAGGGAGACCGCACTACTCCATTCATTCTTCCGCGCCGTGGTAAGAAGTCCTATCGGCAGCTCTGGGCCGAGGAGGATGGGTTGCCTTACGACTCGACACAGGATGACAAGGATCAGCTTCCGTTGAACCAAGGTCGGGGGAGTATTGAACAACTGACCGACGATAAACTCGAAACGAACGAGATTTCTGTTGGACCATTGGTATCTCGCTTAATGTCTCTTCTACGCTACGAGCACCGTACTCCCTCCGAAGATAATCCAAACTCCACAAACGGCGAAGGCAGCTCGAATGGGGTGAACGGAGATGCAATGGACCTCGATCAGCCCAATGGGGGTGGAGAAACTGAAACCAAACCCGAAAACAAGCCTCTCCCCCTGCAACAGCCTTCCGTGATGCCGATCCCAATGGTTTCAAAACTTCAGTCGCCAAGCTTGACCACGCACAGCTGGATGAACGCGCAAAGGCCGAGCTACGCTACATCGGCTTCCTCGGTCCGGATGACAACCCAGACTATGACGCACATAACGACGACGAAGTGGCTGAGCGTCTCCGTCTTCTCCAAGGCGAGCTCAAGAAGGTCATCGTCACTAATAACGCCCGCAAAGCTCGCATCCTCAAGATCGCTCAAGAGCACATGGCTCTTCTGGAGTTCTCAACAATTCAGGATGACCTAGACTCCCAAGTCCAACAAGCCTATCTCAAGCGAACCCGGACGATGGGCAAGAGCAAGAAAGGCTCCCAGGCCAAGCACCGTCCTGGCGGTGCTGGCGGCGGCAGCCATGTGGCCCAAGGTGTCTCTCGTCCCGCCGTTGGTGATGCCGCCAAGATCGTCATGGACCGACGTAAGCGCTGGAATGACGCCTTCTTGCCCATCTTCGATGACATCAAAACTACTATTCCTTCTGAGGGTGAAACTATCTTTGATCCCGCCGTTATGGAAGAGTACGAAAAGGCCGAGCTGGAAGCTTGGGATGAGGAGTAAATTCCGATGCGACACCGTTTTATACCTGTGTCTCTCGTCTTTATTTGTGATACCATTTTGCTTGCATGGCAATCGTCTGCTTTTGCGCAATTTATGATACGAATGGGATGATGGCGGTCTGGCGTTAGTGAGGAACTCTTTTTGCGGTTTTATCCTGGCTCATATAGCTTAGACTATCTGGGTTATGTTGATAGATACCGCATATGTTAATGGAAACACATCAGTATCCAACTTGCCCATGCGAGTAAGACAATTAGCAACTCGATTCAGTACCTGAACATCATATAACCTACCCAAACCCCATGCTGAATATCCGAATAAAAGGGTATCTCCAAAAGACCGAGAAACAAACCCCAAGCACCCAATAAACCACCCAACCACACCCTCCCCCAAATCACCGATGAAGAATCAAAACCTCCCCAGGATACCTCTTCAATCTCGCCGTCAACTCCCGTTCACTGAACTCCAGCTCCGTACAAATTTGATCAAAGCAATGCTGCCCATCAAGAAACTTCTCCAACACCCGATCATCCACCTCTTCGTCTTCCTCCTCCAGCCCAGACGGCACACTCCCCGCACCCCCAGCACTCCGACTCGCACTATGAAACGACGCCGCCCGCTCCCTACTACCCTCTCTCCTCCCCACTGCTGCAATAGGCGCCTCTTCACCCACACTCGACGCATACGGCGTGTTAGTCCCCGTCGTATTCCGCGACGAAGGCCCCGTCCCGGTATACAAGCCCGGCGCAAGCGCGGACCCTCGCGGCGCAGGCGCAGGAAGCCCCGTCGATATAGCATACTTGTGCACCCGGTACAGGAAGCCTTTGATCACCCCGAAGGTGATAAACCGGCGGATGTCGATGTTGGCGAGCGCGCGGCTGTGCGCGCTGTACCATTGTTTCACGCTCACGCCCTGCCGCAATCCGGCGTACAGCTCGACGAGGCCGACTCCGTCGACGACGGGCGGGTAGTGCTGTGCTCCGGTGGGGTTCCCCTGGTGCGCGTCGAGATGCGAGGCCGTGGTGGGTGTCCCACCGGGGGAGGGCGTGGATGGTTCGTCTTCTTCGGTGGTGCCGAGGAGGGGCCAGATTTCTTCGGCGTCGAAGCGCGAGTCGTCGCGGGAGAAGGTGTCCATTGGGTCGAGGGAGGCGGAGAGCGGGCCTGCGCCGGTGCTGGCGGTGCTGCCGCTGGCGATGGCTGTGACGGGGGGCAGAGCGGATTGAGGGGCGATGGTGGAGTGTGGTGCGAAGCGAGTGTTCACATAGCGAGCGCACTCAAGTTGCATGGCTTCGTCCGTGGCGATTGTCGAGCCGAATGAGGCCGTTGGGGCATAGATTGCGGAGAAGGAGAATATATCGAGAAGGAAGAGGCAGCCGTAATATAGGAGGTGCCGGATTGCGCGGCAAGTGAGAGAGAAGTCGGTGTCTGCGAGAATGGAGATGATGCGGATGCTATTCACGCCGTTGATGTGGGGGACAATCTGGATATTGGTCAGTACTATGCGATTGAAGATTGCGTTTATAGCGAGACAAACCCTTTGCAAGGTCAAGTCCCAGTTTTCGTCCATGAAAGCTTGGTAGCGCACTGTGAATAGCGGCACGTACCAAGCCTTGACCGGCGGTGGTGAGGGATATATAGGAAAGAGCTTGATGTTCAATGTGTTGAGATCGTCTGCCAGGCAATATTTAGATCCAGGCCAATCCGCCGGGGGGAAAGGGAAAGTTCTGTCCATACCAATAGGGAGCATGCACTCGCAATAGTTGTTCAGATCCTCCATCAACATCTCGCAAAGACTATAGACTTTGCTCTCGGAGCTACTGCGTGACAAAAAGCTGTTCTGTTCCTCGAGCGCATGCATCAGGTCCGCCAGTTTTTGCACCACACTTTTGTACTGACTGAAGTCGTCCTCCTCGCCCAGCACGATACAGAAGTTGAAGATGAACTCATTCCGATCATACCGAACTGACTTCATGCAGATGGGATATCCTAAGATCCGGTATCCATTGGTGCATACCTGAAGCAGATTCCCACAGAGCTCCTGCCGGGGAATGACGAAGAACGAGATATCCGAGAAGGTAAAGAAGAGGGGCTGAGCGGGCGCAGTGGAGGAGGGGACAATCGCACCGTCGGGGACCTGGTGAACGACTTTTGGCCCTGTATTGCCAAGTTAGTTAGCTGTCCATGGAGCGGACTGGCTCAGCACTCACCCTCCTGCGTGTCGAATTTGCTATAGAAGATGGCCTTGATCATGTTGGCCAGGGATGGGCGCTTGGCAGACTTCTGTAACCGCCAGAGACCGCCACCTTGGGACAGTGACCAGTGGCCCAGAATGCTCGAAAGAATCACGGCCCCAGCTCCTGTGGGTTTTAGCCCTTCACGCTCCGGAATCTCAGCGATACGCGCGGATCCAAGTCGGAGGTCCAATCGACGCTTATCGGCGGGTCCCGAAGCTCCACCCATTCCTGTTCACCTACCAATCTACATGCGTTACGGAGTACAAGCTCGGGGTCTATGAAATCGTGATTCGTAAATTTCGGCTATGGCCAGCTAGAGGATATTGTTCAATTGTATGACCCTCAGTCGTCGCTCGGCCATGGAGGGGAAAAAAGAAGTAAGAATGAGAATCAGAGGGTGTAAAATAACCCATAGGACAGGAGTTCACCCTCGCTGCCCAAAAGAGGAGCCAGCCCACTTCCACTTAAACGCCTGATGATATGAAAGCAGACATCAAAAGAGCAACGCAAAGATAACAAGCTAATGCGCCAGACAATGCACCCAGGTCATATCCCGTTTTGGTCTTGAAGAAGAAGTAGGTCCAGTCAACGAGCCGCACGGTGGGAGTGGTTGGAGCTTTGGGGCAGGGCGGGGCTGGAAGCGAAGGAGTCTGGGGCTGTAGAGTAAAGAAACGACTCTGCAGTCAGCGTAGAGGCCGGCGGGCGTGCAGCGCGGCTTTGCCGAGCGGTCGTCGTATCCAGAAACAAAGGCAATGGTTGATTAGAGCGGATTGCATGCAGTATCTCCCCATAGCCACCCTCCCCAGCGTCCTTGAACCACTGCTCCCAGTCCTCGTCAAGAGGAACGTCATTCCCTTGGTCGCGTGCCGCCATGTTGGCCATTAGACGATGGTTTAGCGCCAGCCCGCAGCTCTCGACTTCCTCGTCGCTGAAATCCTCCTCCAGCTCCAGTGACCGGTAATCAGAGAGTACGCTTTCGGTACGTGACTGGCAATCGCTCGCGCGCACGGTGTCGACACTCCCGGTCTCGATCGCCTGGTCATGATCGTCGTCTTCTGGCCCGCAGAAGTCATGGTGGACGATCACTGAGGGAGCAACGTGCGGTGTCGCCTGCACGATCGTATGACCAGTCGTGTCTCTCACGGTAACCCCTTCCTCAAGCTCGTATCGTGTGCGGGCGGACTTGGTTCCCTCCCAACAACATAGTTCGGATATCTCCTCCCTTGTAAGACCTAACTCGTCGAAGACCCGGAAGAGCCGACGGTGCCAGGGGAAACGGCCCAGTCGCAGGCGATGAGGAGCGTACGAATAGTCCAGGCCAGGATACTGGGCTTCAATGCAGTCTAGAGGGCCGTAGAAGTTGTTGGTCTCCATGCGGACCTCGGGGACGAGATGACGGTTAATATGTGCAGCAAAAGAGCCCGGGTCGCTGGTACGCGGGCGGGGAAAGGTCGCGTTATACACGATTTGGGAGAGAGATGGTTTTCGCATAGTCGGTGAAGGTGAAAATTGGATACTGCGAAGAAAGAGAGCAGGAAAGCGCCAAAAGAAAACAAAGGGGGGGGGGGGCGCTTGATCGAGTTGTTTGGAGGGGGTTTGGAGGTGTAAAATTGGTAAACTTGGGTAAAATCTGGTATTGGGGTGGGTAAAGGGCAACCGACCCAACTACGGAATGTGAAAGAAAGCCAGAGCGCACAGGGTCCCAATAAAGTCTCACTAGAAGAGAGAGCTGAGCATAAATTTCTTCTGGAAGGAACCGGTCTCCCCTTTTCTATGGTTCTGGACCTTGAGGGTTCGATGAGTTGTTCCCTGCAGCGCCAGCTGGTCCGGATCCATTCGTCCAGCTTTCTCCGACCAACGCACCATGTCGACGTTTGACGGGTACATCACAGGTTTGTACGCCCCTCTGCGATGCTAATCCGATTGGAGCTGACACTGGCTCAGAATTTCCGGAGATTCAAGGTAAGACGCGTGATCGCCCTGGCGCATTACAGAGCTCATCCCCACTCAGTTGACTACTTCCGCAAGAACCCAGAGCGCCCAGCACCCTTAGCGTGCTTCCTCAGTCATGTCCATAGCGATCATCTGCAGGGGCTGGAGTCCCTACGGGCCCCATTCATCTACTGCTCGCCCGCAACTCGAGAAGTAGGACTGCCGCTCGAGAGAAGTTGTCACCTTCAAAGCTAACTTGCGTACTCGGGAAGCTCCTCCTGCGTATTGAGAAATATCCGCACCGCATGAACTTTCAAAAGGGCATTCTAGAATCGCGCAGACTTCATTACAAGCACCTGGCGAGGATCCTGGTTAGTTCAGCCTCACCTAGGTGCACGGATGACGAGAGATTTACTGCCGGGGCTGACCTCTTCCTCAGCGACCAATACCATTGAATACGCCCACTAAGATTGAACTCACCCCGAAGAAACATGTCAGAGTCACATTAATTGACGCAAATCACTGCGTGGGGGCCGTGATGTTCTTGGTTGAAGGTGATGGGAAAGCAATACTCTACACTGGCGATATACGAGGTGGGCACCAATCACTAGCTGTTGCGGTGCATGCGGCTCACTCCCTCTAGCGGAACAGTGGTGGGTGACCAGCCTGGTGCGGCATCCAGTTCTGATCCCATATACGCTCGGTACGAAGAAGCTCGATAGACTTTATTTAGACACTACGTTCGCCGGCGCGTCGAATCCCCTACGGGAGTTTCCATCTAAAGCGGAGGGACTAGCGGAGCTCTTGCAGAAGGTTGAAAGCTATTCAAAGGAGACCATCTTTTACTTCCGCGCATGGACCTTCGGATATGAAGATGTGTGGGTGGCCCTGGCCGCGGCATTGGATACCAAGGTGCGTTACAGAGAAAATGTGACTCGTGGAAACAAGCTAATGTACGCAGGTCCATGTGGATCGGTACCAAATGGGACTATACAGGTCCCTGATGAACTCGCAGGGAGGCAGAGAAATCCCCGAGGCCGCATCCTTATGTGGATTCCAGCTGGGTAACCAACTTGTCGCAGGTTGTCTTAGTGGAGATGAATCCAGTAGAGTCCATAGTTGCGAACCTGGAGTCGCGTGTTCTGCTTCGCGAGGCTCAAATACCGTCTACATCACTCCCATTGTCAATCGGACACGCGCCGGGGAGGAAATTCCCGAAGTCGGCCTTGGAGGAGGCGCCGGCGATCTTTATCAGGTCCATGAGCTGGAGCTGCAAAACGAAACTGTCCTCGCAGAGCTGGAGAAGTTATGCAGCCAGCATATTCACGATCAGGATCTCCTATCGCAGGCACGGGCTGCACTCATGGATGCATTTCGGTCAAGAAAATCACTTTCGCTCGATCAATACGGGGTACGAGAAGATATCTCGCTCGAGAAGCTAGTGTCAAAGCTAAGCCACGGGCCCTCGACTACCGACAAAATATCAAACCCCTCAAATCTCCCTCGCACAATTGTCAGTACCGTCCCTAAAATACGTGCTTTCGTATGCTCATCTGTCAAAGCGCTTCCCATACTCCCGGCATTCCTCCTACTCCGAACTATGTGGGCTGGTTGCCGCTTTTCGGCCAAAGGATATCCATCCCTGCACCGTTGACCCGTCATCGTGGAATGAAGAGCTCTCCATGCAACACCTCTTCGGTCACCTCTGTTCCGAAGATACCTTCACTCATGATGACCATATGCGCGAGACCCTCCGAGCAGCACAAGGCGAAGACCACTCAAGCAAACGGGTGCGGCTGGATGAGGACCAGTCGACCCAGTCCACCGAGTCCAGGGAGCTGGCCATTGGCTCTTTAGCATCCATTGAAGCTAATCCGGAGGAACCCCCTGCCAGTCCAGGCTCTTTGGCCAGGGCCAAAGCAAAACGTGACGAAATTCGCCGAGCACACCGCTTCCTGCATGACCATGCTGAGCCAGGCTTATTAACAATCGAGCCTCTCCCCGTCTCGTGGACGCCGGACCGAGAGATAGAAGAGCAAGGGCCTTTGGATTCTAACCAGGCCTTCTCCACACATCACGCCACCCAGGAGCAAGCTTCTAAATTCTCCGGTGGCGGTGCATTAAATGCACCGCATGGACAGCCAGCTCCATCTAATCGACATGTTGATGTGTCACTTGCACATATTGATCTGACAGGGGATTCCTTGCTTGATGGCGGAAATGAGAGCCACGTTGCTTCCCGTGAGCCAGGGACCGGGTCAAGGAGGGCTCGCAGACAGGTCGGGCGAGAACGAGTGATGAATCGTCTACGGCGGCAGATCTCGGATTATTTGGCTGCAGACGAAGATATGCAGACTTCGGGGAATATGTCGCCTTACCTTCAAGATGAAGAGGCTAGGAAGAGGCCAGATGGATGATACTCAATCTATCAAACATGTTTGCTGCTCCTTAGTGATGTAATTCGGACTCATGATCATTTCGGCACACCAGGTACACTACACCAATTGGCCGTTGACGCTTATATAGATATTTGGTCTCTAATAGCCCGAGCATCTCTATACTGGGTTACTCCCGGCCCCGCTGGCGAAGTCCGGTCTGCAGGTCTGCGTTGGCCGGACGCGACCCTACCGCACCGACAGTCTGCCCGTCGATACGAGAGTTTGAACAACACTTAGTCAAAATTCATCATTTCATCGTAAGCTACTTTGATGGTAGGTCTCTCGCTATGGCATAATAAGAAAGATTAATAGCACGCGCTCACTGAGGCATATATGGCGGAAATAGTGCTAAGCCGAAAGCTGTGGATGTGGAAATCTCGTCAGTTGTAAAATTGAAGATGGCGAGACAACAGGAGGTGCTACGGGCAGCGTTGCATCACGCTCGCCCATGTTTCCAGACTTCGCTTTGTCTAGAAGACGTAGTACGCTTGCGTTAGGGGCAACTCGGATGCCGGCTCTGCGTCACACAGCATGCCATCGGCTTCGACCGTCTGCCAATGTGAGGTTAGTAGGTGTCTAGAGTTGGGCGAAAGGGAGCTTAGCTTACATAGCTCTCTGGGTCGACCTTCATCTTTGGCATGGTGTCGTTGTATTTCATGTCTTTCTTTCCGACGCTCCTACAGCCTTTCACTGCTTCGATGCGTTTTCGGAGTCCATAGGACTGGACGATTCCTAGGTCAATGGAGGCCTGGGAGACGAACATGATGGATGCGCTCGGGAGACGGTGCTATAGTCGTATTAGCATTAGATTTTCTTCTATGCTGTTCGCGTTTGGGATGACAGGGTGACTTACCCCGAACATAGGCCGGACAATCATCGGCTCAATGGTTGGAATGGAGCCATTCGGATCGCCCTAGTCAGAGGGTTAGCCAGAATACGCAAACAAAAACTTCCAGGCTCCGACGCACCATTTCCGCCACTGTAATCATGCCGCTCTTGAGAACTTGCACTGGCTTTGTTCCAAACCGGCTTGGTTTCCAAATGACCAAATCGGCGATCTTGCCCACTTCCACACTGCCGATCAAGTGACCCATGCCCTGCGCCAGGGCTGGGTTGATAGTATATTTACTGATATACCGTTTCACGCGGAAATTATCATTGTTCGTGCCTGCATCTTCAGGTAACGGTCCTCGCTGGAGCTTATTCTTGTGGGCTGTATGCCATGTGCGTAGGATCACCTCGCCACAGCGACCCATGGCCTGGGAATCGGAGGACATCATACTGATAGCGCCGAGATCGTGCAGCACATCTTCTGCTGCGATTGTTTCGGCCCGAATGCGGCTTTCCGCAAAGGCCACGTCCTCCGGGATATTCTTCGAGAGATGGTGGCACACCATCAACATGTCAAGGTGTTCATCCAGGGTATTCAAAGTAAATGGCCGAGTGGGGTTAGTGCTACTGGGTAACACGTTGGGATGCTCGACGACAGAGATAATGTCAGGAGCGTGGCCACCGCCAGCGCCCTCCGTGTGGTAGGTGTGGATTGTGCGACCCTTGAAGGCGTTGATGGTCTGTTCAACGAAGCCAGACTCGTTCAATGTATCAGTGTGGATCATGGCCTGGACATCATACTCATCGCAAACACTCAGGCAGTTGTCAATAGCAGCTGGCGTAGAGCCCCAATCCTCGTGTAGTTTTAGACCTGCTGCGCCAGCCTTGATCTGCTCCTCGATGCTCACTCGTCCGCAATCGTTACCTTTCCCTGTAATACCAATGTTGATGGGAAGGCTATCACAGGCCTGCATCATTTGACGCATGTGGTTCGGGCCCGGGGTACAGGTTGTCGCGTTGGACCCAGTGCTGGGACCGGTGCCTCCGCCCAGGAAAGTCGTGATACCCGACGCCAGGGCCTCTTCGACCTGCTGTGGGCAGATCAGGTGGATATGCGTATCGAAACCACCAGCAGTGATAATCTTGTTCTCGCCCGCGATGACATCCGTCGATGAGCCTATCACCAAATTTGGATGCACACCATCCATCACATCAGGGTTACCCGCCTTGCCAATACCGGCAATCAAGCCATTCTTGATCCCAATATCAGCCTTGTAAATACCCGACCAATCGATAATCAGCGCATTCGTAATAACAGTGTCCGCACATTCGGCTGCCGATCGTCCAGACGCCTGCCCCATCCCATCACGAACCGTCTTGCCTCCACCAAACGTACACTCGTCCCCATAGCTCGTCAAATCCCTCTCCACCTCCACCCACAGATCGGTCAATCCCAATCTAACCAAATCCCCCGTCGTCGGCCCAAACATCCTCGAATACGCCTCCCTCTCCATGGAGAACCCGGTGATCAACGCACTATCCGCCTGCGGCTCCGGTACGTGAGCAAAACCCGCAGCCTGAAGCCGGCCCACGATCTCGTCCGCACGACTCAAATCCAACGGACCATTCGCCAGCCAATTCCCACCCCGAATCACCTTATTCCCGGCAATCTCAACCAGAGTCACTGTCTTCGTATCCCCAGGCTCAAACCGGATCGACGTCCCCGCCGCAATATCCAATCGAAACCCATAAGCCTGCACCCGATCAAAATGCAGCTGCGGATTTGTCTCGACAAAATGGTAGTGCGACCCAACCTGCACCGGCCGGTCTCCTTTGCTCATCACCTTGAGTCGAATGCGCTTCCGTCCATCGTTCAGCGCGATTCGCGCGTTCTTGACGGGGATTACGGCGCCGGGCATCTTTTCGGGAAGATAGTCTTCCGGGTCCGGGTCCGGGAACGCGGCATTCGAGGGCACGGGCAGGAAGCTCCCGTACAGCGCGCGCTCGAGGTCACCCTCGTCGCTGCTGATCGGGTGGTGCACGGTTACGAGGTAGGTGCCGGAGGGGAAAGTTCCCTCGACTTGCAGCTCGACGAGGGTGGCGACAACGGAGGGAAGGACGTGTCGGCGGCCGAGCATCGTTTTGCCGATGGACATTAGGTCGGCGACGGAGTAGTGGCCATCGCGGATGAGCTAGGATTGTGAGTATTCTCATTCATGTTTTTCTGATATCTTTATGGTACAGAGATCTTCAGGTGTGGCGGGGCTTACCTCGTGGAGCACGGATGATATCAAGGCCTGTAGATCGTGAGCATTGGGGCATTGGCCGTGATGCCGGGAGAGAGACCACTTACCACCGACTCGGCATGATTGAGACGGACACCCCGGGCTAGGCGGCGCTGAGCCAGGAATCCCAGGTGTGCGATGGTGAGCTTGTCGAGCTGTCGAGCGGTTAGTGAATAATAAAGCCTAAATAGGAAAAAAAATCCCAAAAAAGAGGCCTCTTGGCGGTTTCAGCTTACCTCCTTTGGAACGAGCTGCATGGCGCCGGTGGGACCCACGAGTTCTTGGCGTGCGGCAGGGATTCTAGTCAGGGCAACGAATTTGTATAATTTGAAGCCCAATTCAGGCTCACAAGACCCCTCAAATCGGTTTGGAAGGAGGGTTAAGACAATGTGGGGGGAAATGCGGGTGATTTTATCTGTAGATTTGCGATAGCAAGTGATAACGCTGCAGTGGCCGATTGGGCCCCGCGAGCGGCTGTTGTTAGTCACGGTTTTACTAAGTGGAGCTCCCGGAGCTTAAGATCTATGACTTTGCGAAATGCGCGAACTAGAGCGACCTGGGCATTCTTATTACTTAGGGGTGCAACACTCATAGGATTGGTATTCAGAACTATTGGAACCCGTTGGAAACTTTCAAAAACGCCTAGTAAGGTCCACTCGTATCAGAATCGAATCGGAAAAAGAAAAAGAGCATACAGAAAGAACTTGTGGGGAATAGCCAGATGAAATGACCGGGTAACTTAAGCCTCACTCTTGCGCTTCTTGCGACCACCCTTGGTCTTGGTCTCAGCGGGAGTGGCGGCAACGGACTCAGCCGCCTTTTTCCCCCCCTTGGCCTTCTTAGCGGGGGTGGGCTTGGTGACGGACTCAGGAACTTCCTTGGCCTTGGGCTCGCTGCGACGGCGCTTGTTACTGGCAGGGGTTTTCTCCTTGGGGGTGGCCTGGGGAGGGGAAGGGGAGGACTCATCCTCAGAACCAGCATTATCGTCCTCAGAAGAGGAAGAGTCATCCTCGTTGTCAGCAACAGCAAAGTTTTCCTGCTGCAGCTGGTTAGCAGCCCCGTCGTCCTCGACCTTACGGCCGGCCTTGTACTCCTCGACCCGCTTTCGGTAATCCGCGTAGTTCTCAGCGTACATCTTCTTCCAGACCTGGAGAATTTTATTAGAACAGAAGAATGGTGATAAGAAAGTCAGTCAAACTTACGGATTTGTCTGCCTCGCTCAGGTTTTGCCAGCGGCGTGTGCCCTCATCAGAGATCTCCTTGGGCTTGGCATCCTTAGGGAAGTCGGCAGCAATCTTGTGGCGGTTGTGCTGCATGAACAGAAAGTACGGGGTGAGAGCGCGCTTGGGAGCATTGGGGTCAACAGGAGCCCGCTTGCGCTTCTTAGTGCCATCGGCATTGCCTGGGCTGGTGGGGCGCGCGCCCAGAGCGGCGAGGTCGGTAGCCACAGCACTGGACAGACCCGGGGGGCAGGGTAGGGAACTCGATAGTAGCCGGCCCACCAGCCATGATGTTGTTGGTGTGCAACATGTAGGCATTGGTAATCTGACCAATGTAATTTTGCAGATTCATCATAACAGTAATCACCTATCGCTATTGTCAGCTATTGTTTTGCGAGGTATCATGAGTGGTGACAGTGTTGCTTCCGAGTAGGGTCAGCGTGGCGCAAACAGGTCAATATCGCATGTTCCTGCATTGCTGCAGGAACACAAATTGACAGTGATATGGCATGCGGCAGGCATTGTTCACACCCCAGAGATATTTCTTTCTTGTAGCAGACCCCGGTGCGCAAGACCCAGAGGCCAAGAATAGCTCGGGTTTTATTGGGCTGCGACAAAGGGTGGTGGTGGGCGCTGGCTTGCGACGCGTCGAGCGACGCGCGAGCGCGAGCTCAAGCTCGATCACAACAAAAAGCCAGACAAGGGCAGAAGCAGAATAATGAAGGCAATAACAGCAACATACCTTATCTTTAGCAGCCTGGAGCTCACTGATCTTCACCTCGACGGTGGCCTCATCGGCCTTGGATTCTTTCGCCATGTTGTTAATGTACTGGTTGGAAACCGAGAGGGGGGGTAGGAAGAAAATTTGATGGGGGGAAGATTCGGGGCGGCTGGCAGCTGGGGAGGGGGCGACCGCCCACTAAATAACCCGGGCCAGCCGGCCGCACGCCCCCTAAACCTCGACCCTTCTCATGGTGACCTTGGGTCGCTGCTTTAGGCTTAGGCGCACTCCCCGTTAGGCCTGCCTTTGTGTCTCCTGTCTTGCGCCCTCCTTACCACACCCCCCCTCCCCCCGGTGCCCGCTGCTCCCCCTCAGCCCTCCCCCGGGCTGTGACATAACGACTTTTGGCTCTACACTTTCACTGGTACTCTGTTCAGCCATTCCACTCCTAATCATACGATGACCTCCTAGTACATAATGACTGTTATTTTGATCTACATTCACCTGAATAAAACATATATCTCAAAAGTCCAAATTAAGCACTCGAAAGCTAAAAGCTACACATGGTAAAATTCCTTTCACGGGCTAAATATATTTTAGCGCTCGGGGTTGCCGCTGGCCAAGGTAGCGTTTGACCCTTTCTCGCGAGTTCCCCGCGATGCTGGCCGCTCGCTGAAGCAATCTTCCAAGTTTGGAATTTCGTGGGCCTGATAGTAGCCGTGGTGAATTAACTAGATTAGCTTCCTTTTAGCTCTGATAAAAGAAACCCGCCAATGGATATGTAGAACCACGATTTACTATCACAGCCAAGTGCCAGTGAATGGTTTCCCGCAGTTACGCTGCTGGGTCGGGGTACCCTGGGCCGCCCGCAACGCGCGACCCGGGCGACCCCGCGGGCACTTGAGCCGCTAAATTAGCAACTCTAGAACAGCTTGCGGTGCAGATAAATTGTTATTTGATTGCAATGTACACGGCGATAAAAATACCGATCTAGTCTACAAAGTTCTAGAGACTTGAACACCTGCTCTTTGGTGTAGCCCAGCTCTTTCAGAATACCTTCGAGCTCACCCTGGTCCGTGGGGAGACCTTGCCACCGCTGATAGCCTTGTACAGACCGGGAGGACCGCAGACAAATAGCTTGATGTTCTCCTCCTTAGGCTCGGGGAGGACAGTCTTCAGCAGGTCCTTGGTGATGTAACCCTTGCCGCCAGTCCATTCCTTGGGAGGCTCGTCGAGGACGTAGAAGGCGCGGAAGCGCTGGGGGTAGGTGTTCTCCAGCTCCTCGAACTCCTTCTTGAGCAGAATGTCCTCCTCCTTGACGTTGCCGAAAACGAGGGTCACCTTAGTCTTGTCGTTGGGGTTCTTGAAGATGTGGCGCGCAAGCTGGTACATGGGGGTGACACCGGTTCCACCGGCAATCAGCGCGATGTGGTCGTGCATGTTAGCCTTCCAGGGGTACTTTACAATGGGGCCCTTGAAAGAGAGGCGCTGGTCGACGTTCAGCGAGTGAATGTGCTGCGACATAGGACCGTCGGGGTAAGCCTTGACGACCAGTTCGAGGTAACCGGGGACCTCTGCAGGGGTAATCAGTAAACCGGCCCTTCTGGTAGACGAGAAAAGCTAGGTGGAGCTCTAAACATACCCTCATCACTGGTGGGGGTGTAAGGACGGATAACGGGCTTTCCGCCCTCGGGCTTGAACTTGGTCAGAAGGGCGGCTGAATCTGACATTAGCGAATGCTTAAGACAATGCAACAGTCTAGGGCAAACTGACAGGCAACAGGGAGACCACCAATGGCCTCTGGGTTCTCAAACTCGAAGCGCACGCGCTTGGTGTTGTGGCTCAAGTTCTCGATTTGTGAGACCTTGAGGTCCACCCAGTTCTCGCCGTCGAAAACCTTGGGGCGTTCCTTGACCTCAGCATCAGCACCGCTGGTGTATCGGTAGATACCAGCAGCAGCACCAGCAAGACCGACGCCGACGTAGATGGGGGTCAGGTTGGACTTCTTGGGGGCAGAAGCCTCGGGGGTAGGGGCAGCTTTGGGGGCTTCAGCAGAGTACTTGCGGAAGCTCTAGGAGATAGGATTAGTGGCGCAATAAGGAAGCTTGCAGAGCTATGCATACCTGCTTAAGAGGCCGTGCGCAGCGGAAGACCTGACGAGAGAACATCATGGCGACGAGTATAGATCAAAGAGCAATTGAGGGGAAGAGGATGTGTTGGAGGAAGTACCAAATGGGGGAAGAATTCGGATGCGAAAGCGGACGGGGTCGATTTCGGCTGGTAAGCCAACCCCATGACGCAATGCGGTTCCTGGGGCTTAGATACATACCTCCGAGAAATTGCGTAACCAGCCAAGGGCGGGCTCACTGCCAAAGGTCCTCATTTCCCATTCTCCATATCCCAGCATAAAAGCTTAAAGGCTGTTTTTTTTTTTTTTGGAACATTGAGCAACCTTGGGAGGGTTCACTCTGGGGGCCTGGCCAAAGTGGGTATGAGTCTCAGGAAACTCAAGTGCTTTGTCCGATCGTTGTCGCAGAGCTGTGTCCATCGAGTCTCCAGTCTCGGTCCTCGGATTTAACGTTTGTCATTCAACCCTGATTGAACATTGATGGCGGAATGGTCGATGATTACTGAATCAATTCCGCCCGACAGTTAGTAAAACCCGTACATCAGTCGAGTTGCTTACTAGTGACTGAGTGTCCAATACGAACCCTGACCGGTGGTCTTGGATGGCCCTCTCGACTACATCTGTATACTTGCAGAAATATGACCAATATATTTAAATATCAAGTCTTATTTGATCCATAGCCCAATTAGCGGAATTTTGAACGTATTGTGCATTGTATTAGGATAACCTCGAGCCTATACAGATTCCATTGGCGCAGATCGTAGGATACTCGGTGCTACGGATGCGAGATTTAACGAGGAACTTTTGAACCCGATGAAATTTTTGAATTTAACCTCAGATGCCACTATACGGGCCTAGCGACGTCTCCCCATGAAATGGGTTCAAACAGGCCGTTTCCACGCGACCGATATCTTTCATGCATGTTGTGGCCGTAACGCAGTTATTCATCTCCACACTCCCATACCCAAAAACCAGAACATCACATTTAAGCAAAGGTTGAGGGGCGAGAGTAAGCGTACAGCTTCTTGCCAGGGTTGGCAGAGCGGTGAGGCAGGGGGAACTTGAGGTTCTTGCCGAGGAGCTGCTTGATGTAGGGACGGCGGATGGTCTCAGCATCGGTAATCTCAACAACCTTCAGGATCTGTAGAAATAGTTAGAGCGGGGTCCGTGGGCAGGTAAAATGCCGGGGATGCATACGTGGACGGAGTCAAAACGGGCACGGTGGCGGGCGGCCATGTCCTGGTAGAGAGCCTCAACAGCCTCGGTGCGGCTCATCTCACGGAACTCCTTGTACATGTTGTGGCTGGAATTGAGTTAGTTTCGTGGTCTAGCTAAGCAGACACGGGATTGTTGCACTCACGTTCCGGAGCGAGAGTTGTAGCGGAGCCAGATACCGAAGTTCTTGACCTTGAGAGGGCGCTTCTCGGAGATGACGTTCAGGCTGACGATCTCACCGTTGGACTTCTTGATCTTGCGGAGCTGGGACAAGAAGTACCAGAAGCGGGACTTGGCCACAACGCTGTTGGGCGCAAAGATGCGCATGCGGTACAGCTTGGGGGTGGGGTTCGCCTCGGTGGGCAGAAGACGCCCAATAACCTGGTACTCGTTAAGACGCCCTATTGTGAATCCGTCAGTCATGAGTGCTAAATGTATTGTATGATCGCGATTAAGAGGTCTCCGTGGCGGTACGGTGTGCGATGGCGACGAGATATCCGGATCCAAAGGGGGGTGCATAGACGCGTAGCGAAAAATTTGAATTCCATGATTTTTGACACAAGAATTCGACATAACTTGGACGAGAACCATGGCGTGCATCCTCCAAACGATACCTTCCCGGCAATTGACTTAATCTTCTCTTGGTTTTTGTATCGGTTGTCGCCAATGTTGATGAATTTCGCGACCGTAGGAATTTTTTCGAGACCGTTCGCACACCGTCGTCGCCTGGACAGAGCATTGGGGAAATCGCGGAAAAAAAGAGTAGCACTTACCCATCTGGATGGAATAGTGTTAGCAGTCGCGCAGGGGAAGACGTGTATAGGGGTGTACTAACTGTGATTGTCGCTGTGGTGGTTGAGTTAGTGTGCCGTTCGGGAGGAGAGTCTTGGTAGTGTGTTGCAAATGTGCTTAGGGTTGCCGCCCTTCGGCTAAGCGAGTGGAGAATGGCAAACAAGGCAAACAGCAGGGCACGGCGCTAGTCTATGTCCGGATATATGCGCCACATCACCAGCCACAAATCTGCCCCGCCACACCTGCGCCCCACGCGTGTTGCTCTTGCGGCTTCCGTCCATATCATTGGTATTCCTTCCCCGCGGTCTACTCTCGCCTTTGGAGCTCAATCCTCTGCTATAATTACGCTTCTCAGGTATCCACGAAATTCTGCTCGATCAGGAATTGTTTATCCCACATGGGCAGCCTCGTGACTGAGTTTCGGACGGCCTATGCCAACGAGTCTGGTGCTGGACTCGCCGCGGTCTTTACGCCCATCGCGCCTCCGAATAACCCCAATCGTCTACGCTCATTCTATCAATCTACGAATCCTACTTCTCAGACCAGGGATCTCAAGTCAGCGCTTTTTCAAGGGAAAAACTTGAAGATCTCCAAGGGTGAACAAGAGTCATGGCTGGAGATCTTTGTGGCATATTGGGACGCCATATGCGAGATCCTGAAGGTGGAGGATCGACACCCGGGGGCCAATGCGGTGACCATCTTTCTGTCATGGAAGAAGCTCGCGAATATGCTCATAAGGGGGGTATAGTACGATTCCTTGGTGGACATTGCCGTGCTTGTACACCGTTGGAAAGTTCTTGCGTATCTTTGCGATTAAGGCTGATACAGAGGTGGCTTCTGGAGATTCGGGAAGCTTTGGTTTTCAAGAAGATTTTGGTGCCGAAACAAATGCCAACATGGAAGAAGCTGCTCGAACCATCAATCGCATGTTCACTCTGTGTTTAACTGACCGGTAAGTATCTTGTTCTGCCTGTGAGGATCATCGCGTTAAGCGGTCATAGCGCACCAAGGGGGACGTCTCGGAAATGGGGCGTTTACGAGACTACCAATCTTCTTTTCAAGACATACTTCAAGGTTTGTTACGATGGACACTATTATCGAAATGTGGGGCTAACCCACCTCAGATCAACTCTGTCTCTCTCACCAAGAACCTGCTTCGTGCGCTGGAAGCACAATCGCATGATATCCCTCCGTTGGAGGAGTTCCCAAAGTCGCAGGTCGTCACATTTGAATATTACGTGGGTGTGATACACTTCTTGGATGAAAATTACACTGCGGTATGTAAATAGCTCACAACCAACTTGCCATACGCTAATGAAGAACTAGGCTCAGACACATTTATCCCGTGCTTGGGCCCTGTGTCATCGTGGCGCGGCCAAGAATCGCGAGTAAGTCCACCTGATGTTCTATTCATTATATTGATGTACTGACTCGCTAGACTGATCCTTACCTATCTGATTCCGTGTCATCTGGTCACGAACCATACTCTTCCCAGTCGACAACTCCTCGCCCCATTCCCCCGGCTCGAAGCAGTCTTCCGCCCTCTGTCAAATTGCATCAAGAAGGGCGATCTCGTCGGTTTCGACCAGGCTATGTCCGCTGGCGAAGACGAGTTCGTCAAGCGACGAATTTACTTGCCACTGGAACGAGGCCGGGACATCGCTCTTCGCAATCTATTTCGTAAGGTCTACATCGCAGGTGGCTTTGAGGAGGCCGAACAAGGGCAGCCACCTTTGCGGCGGACCCGGGTGCCCGTGGCTGAATTTGCTGCTGCTCTGCGCATTGGAACTCACGCAACGGGTCGGAGCCCGATTGACATTGACGAAGTAGAATGTCTACTGTCTAACTTGATCTACAAGGTGAGTCGTCGACTACCGTGTCAAATGGTCTCGTGGCTTACCCCTCATCAGGGACTGATGAAGGGCTATATTGCCCGCGAACGTGGCTTTGTGGTCCTAAGCAAAGGCGACAAGGCCTTCCCCGGTACCAAAGTCTGAGTGGAAATGGCGAACAGCCCACCCTGCACTCCTATCTCCTAAGACGCCATACAATCTACATTGGTGTTGAAAACGTCACACAAGCAGCGCGAATGGCCTCTTTGATAAACCGATTATGTGATTCATAGCGCCAGCATCCCCCAGTCACCCACTTCCTTCTATACATCCCTCTGCGGCCTAATGACGTTCGTAGACGGCGCTCCGAAGACGAAAATGTCAGAGGCTCTTGAGATATGCGGTCGGGTGAAAGGCGAGGATGCTTTACTGTTCCAGAACAGCGACGATATTACGACGACAAGACGTAGATACCTTAATGAAACAAATTAATATTCGCGTACCATCCCAATTGGAGACTAATATACATGGTTTAGTTAGATGACGATGATACAGGATATAAGTGGCTGCCGTTCAAGCAGCGATCAAGAAAGGGTATAGAAGTGCCGCAACGCCCTGAAACTCCATCAGCTCTCCAAAGATCAGCTTGAGACAGTCGGTATCACAAGACCGAGCCCATCATCCAAGCTTCGTAGGTGCGATAGAGCTACAGACCGACATTCCTTCGGGGAAAATATCATCCTGCAAAAGGCGGGTGTTAGGTTGTAGGAAGAAAAGGTCAGTAGAAGATAGACGTACCATGTGATTGCACATCGCGACAAAAAGATCAAAAAAACAGCTTCCCTCCCTTCTCCATTTCCATCTGCATTGTCCCACTCCGCTTGAACGTGCCTCTGCTCCGGATAATAAGCGCCAGATAGTGCGCCCGCAACTTGGAATCGGTATCTGGAGTATTGGCATAGGCATACCGCGCGCTAGACAGGATTGTGTTGCACTGAATGCCGGTATGGAGACCCTGTTTGCGCAAAGCGAGACGTTGAAGGGTGGGGAGTCCGAGTTTCTGGGCAGCACAACTGGACGAAAGCGTTAGTTCTCTTGGGTTATAGCCACGGGGGGGATTGTCTTGGGAGGATCGACTAGAGACTTACTAGATAGCTGTGTCCCGCAATATCACTTCGCGCACCTTATGATGCCACACCGTGGCGCCAACGCTTTGCCCGTCGGCGTCTACGCTCGACTCTTCCAATTCCCATGCACGGCGTCGGGCATTATGCCTTAGACGAGGATAATAGTCTCCTTTGTAGAGAAACTCGAGGACGCAGGAGAGAACCTCCGGTTGCTCGTCTGGCAGCTCGATTCGTTTACCAGGCCGCTGGATGTATGGGTGGGCTCTTGAGGGGGGCGACGGAGTCTGCGAACGGCATTGCTCTGCAAAGACAGGGGAAGCGCGCAAGATGGCTTCATGGGCGGCGAAGAGGCGCTGCTCAGGACCTACGCGGAGCATCACGACGGGCGAAGCTGGAGGACTTGGGGAGCTGGAAACGAGTCGTTAGTATTCTTATGATATTTAGGGCTTTTTTTTTCTTTCTTTGCTCTTTCAGCCTTGTTTGGTATTCATAATATCTCTGGGGGCTCTATTGTTTCTCCATTTGTGCTGGATCTACCTAAATTGACGAGATGAACGACACTTACGATAGATCTGGTGGACACTCCGGTCGTCGTCCCTCGAGACGCCGACTACTTGGGCTGGAGCTGTCTCTGATCCTGCGGGAGCGAAGAGCAGAAGCCTTTGTCGCCCGATAGCGGGTGAAGTTGTCACCTGGAGTCTGAGGGGCGGTTCTTTTAGATATCATGATTGAATTGTGTAGGCCAGGTCTATCCCCGGCCGATGTTGAGGGACTGGATGGAAGAATCGGAGAAAGGCGAGACCCCAAAGCTCGACACATTCAGGGGGAACAGACAGTATTTATAGCTTACAGGCTACTCGAAAATCCAGGTACCAGAACCCGGGTAGGCTGGACTAAGTGTCAAGCTACCCAGGTCACACATCGGTACCTGACAAGGACCAGACGGGGTCCCTGGGACTTAAATACGGGCCTGGCCAGCCAATATTACCCAAAAGAGACCGAAACAGGGCCACTTTACGCGTCATGACGCGTAAAGGGTCACGGACAATCGCGAAATGGACGCCAAATCACGAGACTTGTGGGGCGGATTAAGGGGTGGGTGGATTCAGGAAATTACGCTGGCGCTAGTCACGGAAGTCAAAGGACTCGGAGTAGTCGGAGTCTAGAGAACAGAGCTTGGACTTGGGAAGCTAAGCTGAACTTGTTTGGTGGAGCTGTCATCCTAGTACTCTATAGCCAATGCGCTGCTCAAATAGCGTATTTGCCTTGGGGGTCTCCACCTCGGATCCGCAAAGACAGAATGCGTATGATCGCGACACCCTTCAAAGAACCGAGAGATGTTGGCTATAAGCACAAGCTTCTGCGCATGAGGAGTCGCCGAGCCATCAATTTGTAGCACGCGCGTCCAGTATGTCCAACGCGGGAAGGCGATTCGCCAATTGCGGGACAGCTTGGCAGTGCGTCATCAGTAGCGGCCGATCTTGCTAAATAAAACGCGATACTGTCATCCACACGTCCATACAAAATCAACAATCGGTTCAAAACTGCCCTGTGCAACACTGTCGTCAGAGCATTCCATTGCGGTGCTCTTGCCCATACATGAAGGCAAGAATATCGCTTTCGCGAGCTGTATTACTAGGCTAGTCCCGGTGGGCTCTTCTCGAAACTGGCAGCAGCTAAGCAAGGGCCACTGCTCCACACCAAGGATGAATTCCTTCCAGCCCAAGAGGCGCCTCAGTGATAGCATATGGAAGGGTAGAACCGGTCCTTTAGGCTCTGTGGAGCCCTTACATGGTCGTCCCAAGCGCATGCTGTACTCTGTTCTTCGCTTGGTGGTGCTGCTAGTCGTGCTATTTGAGATTCTGCGACTCGGTGGCATCTCAAGGTGGCCCTGGCAGTCAAGATCCCAACAGGGCACTTTCGATAAAGTGCATGCCTCGATACCAATGACACCAATTGAGCCGACCTACCCACCCCCTGCGCCCGTAGTGCCCCTCCATGAACACCCATCGCAGACCTTCGAAGACGACGACACCGATGAACAGACATACAAAAGGCCAGCTGAGCCAGCTGAGGTCCCACCACCGGTAGGTCCGGATACATATGGTGACCCAGTGTGGGCGAATTTCGGTTTCCTTGTCCGGTACTTTGGAGGGCTGAGAGCTCTAACCACCCGCAGCTCTGCAGCCGAATACCCCCCATGGGGATCACAACCCTCAAACGGAAATCACTGCTATGCTGTATGCGGAGCAACAGGGGTATAAAAATCTCCCTCGCCCGCAGCCTGATGATCCTTATGGTATGACTTCTGAAAATGAAGCCATGCCGCCCATCCAACCCTGTTTTCTCGACGAGCAGGAGACGATTCCTGTGCCAAGGACCTATGCCTACGAGGGCCGCGTCCAGGGCTTCCCCCAGCCGATCGTTGGGTCGTACCAGGCCCTCGGTCTGAATGACAATAAATGCTACGATCGCTATGGGCGCTTTGGGCCTTACGGATACGGATACTCCTCGCGCTGGGGCGGTATTGGTGCTGGCATTGACGGTCTTCGGGAAGGTGTGCGCCGCCCTAAGAAGTTCATTGATTACAGCCGTGTGAACTGGGGACATGCTTCTCAGAGATGCTTGGAGAAAAATGGGAACAGATTCCAACTGCCACCTGGTGCAAATGCCAGATGGCGATCGCTAGATTCAGTAGCCCAGAGCGAGGGGAAGTTGAAAGGCCAAGCAGCTGGGCCGTCAAAGGACAAGTTGCCCCGATCGGCTGTGATGCTCCGAATCTGGCATGGTATCGAGTGGAAACAAGAGATGATTCTCCACATGCGAGCTATGATTGCTGAATTGTCATTGCTTTCGGGAGGCGAGTACCAGATCTTCTTTCTCATCAACGTCAAGGACGACACCATCCCAATCTGGGCCTCGGACGAGATTTATGATAAGATTCTGAAGGAGTCGCTGCCTGAAGAGTTCTGGGAAATGGGCGTTTTATGGTCGGAAAAGCAAATGGAGCTATTCTATTACGGCCTTGATGAAACAAAAGTCCTGGAGCGGAGCATCTATGGTGTCTATCGCTCCGCTCACTTTCCACTTCAATACTTTGCTCATACGCATCCCGAGTTCGAGTACTTCTGGAATTGGGAGATGGATATCCGCAACACTGGCAACTGGTATGAGGTCTTCGAGTCCCTACGCTCCTTTGCACGAAAACAGCCCCGAAAGGGACTTTGGGAACGAAATGAACGATTTTACATACCAAGTGTCCACGGCACGTGGAATGAATTTGTCGAGAAAGTAGAGGACTTGACTGAGAATCCGCCCTCCAACACGGAGCGGAAGCTGCCAGTCTGGGGCCGGAAGGCCATACCCGAGACTCCAACGTTTCCAGAGGAGCCTAAACCACCCTGCTCGTATGAGGACGATAATTATGAATGGGGTGTAGGCGAAGAGGCTGATCTGATTACTCTCAACCCTCTTTTCAACCCAGAAGATTCCGGCTGGGTCTTCACGGAGGATACCGCAGGTTATTACACGCGTCCATTGCCTCGACGCATTGCAATCATTACAGCTTCAAGATTAAGTCGCCGCTTGCTGACCATGATGCACAAAGAGACCAGCCAATTCAGGCACAGCATGTTCGATGAAATGTGGCCCGCATCGGTGGCTTTGCAGCACAGCCTGAAAGCTGTGTATGCGCCGCATCCTGTGTACATTGAGCGGGCCTGGCCTCCCAGCCAGGTAGAACAGACGTTCAACAGTGGACCCAACGGTGTATCTGGATCGTCGTACGATTCTCCTTTCAATGTTTTCAATGAACACAACTTCCGCGGCGTCACCTGGTACTATCATGCTGCCTTTCCGGGCAAGTTGTGGCGCCGCTGGTGGGGTTACACCGTCACTGCTGATACAGGGATTCAGGGCGGTGGCTTCGACGACGAGATCAATGGTGAGGGTCGCATGTGCTTACCTCCCATGCTTATGCATCCTATAAAAGACTTCGATCTAGGCCACAATTGAAGAGCAGATCATACTTGATATCCAATAGACCTTCAAGCACGGACTTGCACATCGTACATAATCATTGCCCTTAACCGAAGCTTGACGTACGACGAAATGCCAATTTACCGGGGGACTTTGTACCGTAGACTCCTTTCATAATTTCTTTGGCTGTAAGTCGAAGGATTTGTCTATGATCTTCATTCCTTCGCTGCGGGGGCGGGGCCCCGGTGTCATGATCAGCCGGAGCGTCCGTTTCTTCCGGTCCCTCCACATAAGCCGTTGTTAACGCTAGTGAAAGATTTCCAAGCAGAGCAATGACCCTTGCTGTTTGCCCCCTGATGACTGATTCATAAGCTACTACTAAGCTGTGATGTTTAAGTTGCCTGATGGCCCTCCAGAGAGTGTATATATGTTCTTAGTATATACGTTGCCCCAAAAGTATATCCCGCAGAACTTGAAATTATTTCTCCAGCCGTGCATACATAGGTACCAAAGGTCGACACTCCACAATCAAACCTGTTAATATGGCAAACTACGATAGATTGATGGACCTTTACGCAAAGCTCGACTCTGTCAGCCGCATCCTCCGCGGCGGAGTTCAGCTCCCTGGGGGATTTTTTCAGCGACGACTGTGCCAATAACCTCGACAGCATGCGCGAGTACGACGAACCGAGTATTGGCAAGCAAGCCACAGTTCAGAAATACAAGGAGAACCGCGAATTCCTCCACGTCTACGAACGCCGTGTTCTGTCTCACGCGACTTCTGCCGACGGGAGAAAGGTATTCTGCGAGATGGAGAACGCCGTGCATGTGTACGAGGAAATCCTGGACCCGTTTTACACGAGACGGCCGTTGCAGTCTTCGATGAGCAAGGACTCATCAAGCAATTGAGACAGTACAGTTGTCGGAAACACCTCGTGGAGTCATTCAGAAGTACACCGGCGAAGGGCCGTATGAAAACGTGCTGGAAACCCGCGGCCGAAAGGTTGGTAAGGGCTGCTGTGGCTAATTTGGGAGCTCCGAATGTCGGGAGAGTCAATGGTTCATATACATTCTTTACATCGGTACATACAAATTCAAGAGCCAGAACATTCAGAGCAAAGTCCACTCTCGCTTGAACGCCCTGCCAGTACGCCTAGCCCAGTAAGCCCATTAGGCAAAGGGGGAAAAACAAAAAAAAGAGAAAAAAAAAAAAAAAAGAAATAGTTACACAACAGTAATCAAAACCCCTAAACGCATACTCCGACCGGCCGTGGTTCGTGGAATGAGAAAGAGACGTATCATAGGAACACCTTCCGCGCATCTCGGGGATGACTTTCACTAGGGCAGTAGGGGCACTTGAAGCGGTTTCCTTTGCTGAGGCGGCGTAATGATTCTTCGGCAATGACATGTCCACAGGGAATCATCATAGGCGGGTTGTCATCTGTGGCTTGTTCTTTGGAGACCGGGCAAACAAAGATTGAATGAAACAGGTACGAAGGTGGGAGGGAGATTTCGACCTGCAGGCTGTGAGTAAAGATTACTTCCTTAGAAGGCAACATGCTGACTTACGGGTAGCTCATTCTCACTTGTCCACTCCGTACGTTTAGCTTTCATGATACTCTGGAGCTTGAGCAGTGTAGGCAGAGCAATCGCACCAGCAGTTGCGGCCACATAAAGAGGAGAATCCGCCGATAGACCCAGCAGAGAGCAGAACTCGCGCGTGAAGAACTGGGCCACATCGTCCCAGGCAGACGGGTTATTGAAGATGGACGCGTAAGGCGACCCTCTCATATTTGGGCAGAAGGCCATCGCGCCAACTAGCTGTTGGACCTCTCGGAGGTAGCGGGGACGAAGGCTTGAAACTCGCGGCGAGCGTATTCCAGCGCTGCATGCCAGTTACTGGTTCCTTGCTCGTGTGTCTCACCGTGAAAGAGCCAGACGAACTGTAGCCGGCACAGTTCGAACTCCAAGTTGCTGCCGCGAGCTTCCAGCGCAGCACGGTGGTCTCGGGACCATTCGATTGCGGGTTGCAGATTCCGGTTTTCTTTCATCTCGTGGAGGATGTAGTACATCGAGGCGAACTGCTGGCGAGTTGTCTCAGAGGGCTCCTCGTCCATTTCGAGCAAAGTGGCTGCTTTTTCGGGAGACTGGGAGGATGACTGGACAAATTCTAGGGATTTTTGTTTTGCGATTTCCTCCAGGAAGGTTGATGCGACCGAAAACTGCCCTTCGCGGAGAAGATGCATGGCGATGGCTCGGTTGATCAGAGGTTCCTGGGTGGAGAGAACATCATGATCAGTACTCGGGAGAGGCCGATCTTTGAATAGCTACAAATGCATGATTAGATCTGTTCGAGGTGACCGACGGTAGGGTACGCTGAATGCTTCGACATACCTTGTCGAGAGACTTGGTGTACTTATTCATCCCGCTGTGAGTTTCTTTCAGGGTATCATTGATTGATTCGAATGATGCCTTAACCGGGTTTTGCAATTTGGCAAGGGTGACCGCAGCCTGGTTGGGGTCTAAAGAAGGTAAAACATCAGATGAGTACAGTGGATGGCGGCGATGATAGCCCGGTCCATCGACCAGCTACCACAAGAATGGGCTTCTTCTCACCTGAGTGAATGGTGTCTCGTGCTGACTGCAAGATCTCGATGGTAGATTGCACATGCTTGATGCTCTGAGAGGCCTTAAGCCTCTTCAAGAGACGGCCATGCTCCTTCTGAACTGCTTCCATGACGACTGATAAGGCGGGGAATCAGTGCGGACTGAGAGATGAGCCCGCGCAAGTCATGTAGCAATAAGACAGGCAGGGCATGCAACTAAGTGTTTTACTGATATCAGGGCCACATCAACGAACTTTGAGGCCTGCACATCGAGAAAGTTATTCATACGTAGCTGTCGCGATCGCCGAGTGCGGATGTTGGGGTTGAAGCAGCTCCGGATGATCGCCGGCACATTACACCATACCCACGTGACTCCTTTACCCGCTCTTTTACCGTTACTGAGCCCCGTTGGTGCTTAAACTATCCATAGACATGGCTGTAGTACACATGGTAAGGAGAATATTCGTACTGATATCCTTCATAGGCACTTTTACGGGAGTAACGAGGGGAAATCAGTGCCTGAGCAGCGGAGCAGCAATAGGCAGCTCTGAATGGGGCCTACGCTAGGCTGCTCCGGGACTCCATGGATAATCAAAAATCCGACGGAACCCGCCATTAAGCGAACGAATCAGCGCATTGCATAGTCCCTGTCTCGCTTACGCTAGTGCCACTAGCGCCGTTTGAGTGGCCATAAATACATCCTCCCCCCCGCCGACTTTCCCTTTCTTTTTTCTTTCTTCTTCATCCTAGTGCACGGGTTTTACACGTATCAGTGAGGAGAGATCCGAGATCGTGTTTTTGCTAGTTGAAAACTACCAATTGACTGCTTCACCTGGTCTTTGTGATCGGGTGGGAATTTTTGAAATACCAAAACACAAGCCACCTTCTTTTCCCTGGCGCCTTGGCCAGGGAGAGATGTCGAGACGACGTTGCGTCTTGGAGACCCCGTCAGCTTGGCCTGGGGGCTATGTCTTTTCATTACTGTTGTTACCCTCGTGGTGGCCTGTAGAGAAGAGATTCTTTTACCATTCATTCCCCCGGGCTGACCGCGTCGCGCGACTGTTGTGGCTCTGCCCCCGGCTTTCCACGATGTGGTGGACGAGAGGATGTACACATGGGCCTCGGTCAACCTCCAGTGTGTCTTTTATGATGCTCGTAGCCTATAGTCTACTAATGTACGGAGTATCCATATGTGAAATGGGACCCTTAGCCCTTATCTCACGCCGTAGCGTCCCTTGTTGTGCTGCCTCTGCGGTATACAGTAGATCCTGAGATCCTCACCGCCTAGTGACGTCGTTCTTTCTGCAAGCTCGAGGAGCTTTCGCAAGCTATCGTGCCCTAGCAAGCTCTGAGACTTATTCTACTGCCTCTTGATAAGTCCTGAGTTTGCTTCAAAAGGCTGGGCCCACCATTTACGGTATTTCTGGTCACTCCCTAATCTAAGCAAAGGAAAAGAAAGGCGGCGCCTCCCTTTTTGGGCCGAGGCAGCACCGCAGCTGGCACAGCGCAGATGGTCTTCTCGATACTGTTCACTATCTGTTCTCTTGGGCTGTCTCTTCGAGGATCCTCTTCTCGTCCTGATCAAAATCAATCATGCAGAGCATCCCCCTCTGGGACCCCGGCAGCAGAGCGCCGCGACACTTCAAAAGCGTCCGACAGCCTCAAAGAAACCCCCTCCGACCCGCCCGAACGCATAGCGCCTCATGGTCATCAGAGGCTCGTCTTTGCAGATGTTGTCGCCTTGCGGTACCTCGAAGAAGACCCGTCCACCGATGTCCTTCACCGCCGCATACCTCTCCAAGGCTACGAAAGTTATATTGTAGAACAGTGGGCTTGCTCAAGGGTTCACCCAACCTTCATCATCTCGACCTACACGGGCGACCCCTCCCATTCCATCTTGGTAGGCGTTCTCAGCGTGCCAACAGATGAATCAACATGGTCTCCCCGTCTGCAGATGTACTTCGACGCTGTAAAACAATACCATGGTCGGAAGAAGGAGACGTCGTTGGGGACTATCATGGTGACGGATTTGAGTTCATTCCCGCCTTCCTTGACAGTAATACCCATCCCCCAAGGCGACATCAAGGCGCACAGGCTCGATTTCATTGTCAACGAGGATCTCAAGCGGCTTGGGTGCGCTGGGCGCGCGGGCCTCAAGCTCCAGCGCCCACCACCCGCGACGGAAGCAAAGTTCCACCAGCTCTACCGAACGAGCGAGCGGGTTGACCTGTACTATGCTGTGCCTGAGCTCGTGAAACAGTGTCAGATTGCCTTGATGGTTTTCGATAAGCTAGCCCCGGAATACGTTGATGGCCTCTTGTGCGACGTTACAGAAGGCGCGATCGGCGATTGGTGGGCAGATATTGGCACGGATCTCTACAACGTTGAGCCTAGTGATGGTATACTGGGCCCGACCAGTGTCGCTGCGCTTCTGGGAACTCTCCTCGGTGCTCGAAATCGACTCCATGCCTACGGCGCTCCGGTGGGGAAGGATGCTTTTGATATTGAGAACCTCAAGAGAGGGATCGGTGGGTTTCAAAAGGCGCAAAAGATGCCTCGAACAAGGCGGCTCGATCGGCGGACCTTGGATCGGTTGCATCGTGCTACAGCTAAAGCTGCGAACGCTGAAGGCTGGACTGATGCCGTGAAATCAACCATGGCGGAGCTCAGCGGACAGGGTGGCGAGATGGTCATGGGCATGGTCCGTGGTCGCGAAAAGGGTGGCATTGCTGATGTTGAGTCGCTGGATCTTGACAACTTCATCCAGTGCTGCTATGGTTCTAGAGCAAAGTGGCTGTGGCTTGGGAAATCGCGCAAAAGCACACGTGAACATGGCTTTGCAAGCCGCAATGGGTCTGACATGATGTTTACCACTGATGACCAGGGGGGGGTTTGTTTGGACTAGTCGCAAGAAACACTCTTCAGAAGACCTCCATGCCGAGAGGGTCCCTTCAGCGCTAGACCGTCAGTGGAAATTCCCCGAATCAGAGGAGCGAGATCATCGAAGGAAAGGTGTGAGCGAAAGAGTTTCGGATGCTCGCGCTGGTCTGGGTCGCTTCAAAGATGCAGTGGGACTCCGTTCCCACCACCACCACAAGCACTCACGGGAAGGCCCCGAGGTGACACATGATATTGCCTATCGCCCAGCGATGGAGAGTGACACAGAACAATCTATTTCCTTACAGCGGTCCGGCTCTGGCTTTCCATTCGAACATAGGGTAACGGACCTTGAAAGCCGGCCCGAGGACGAGCGGAGTAGTCAACCCCAGTCTGCTATAGCGGAATCGACTCCCGATGTCAAGCCTCCAGAGATCCATATTGATTCTGTGCCCACGCCTGGAGAAGTCGAGCCTCAGCCAGAGAATGCCAACCAGCTCCCGGTTCCTCAAGTACACACCTGGCCTGATGAAGAATCTGACTTAGAGAATATAAGGACCCGCTCTGAAGCTGGCTCAAGTGAGCCAGATCGGGATCGAGATGAGCCTGCAGTTGGTCTCGCGATGATGGCTCTACACCGAGCGCAGAGCTGTGAGGAGCTTCAGAAGGATAAAAGCGACGACCACTGGGACAACCGCTGCCCTCGACACTTGTCTTTCAGCAACGTGGAAGACGTGGTGCTTCGTTGGAAACAGCTGGGCGATAGACCAAAGTTGGAAGATACCGATAATCTTGAATCAGCAATAGCTCTGGAAGACATGCTGTCATCGGATGCGCGTATCTTCAGCTCAAGGTTCATGAGGCTGCGACAAAAGACTGTTCCATGGGTTGAGAGACAGGTCGATTGCGTGGAAGAAATCAATCAACTCTTTATACCACCGACATGAAGAACTCAATTCGGTCTACTTAGAGCGCTTTTCCGATTTCCAACGCCTGCGGGAGAGATCCAGCGACCTTCTCACCGACGAGCGTTCCTACCTTATTGATAGCGTGAAACGTGTCGAGTTGTTAGGCGCGAAGCTGGACTACGAACTCAATGTCCTCGAATCTAAAGTTGAAGACATGGAAGAAGGCTTGACTGACTTTGAACGTCACATCGTGAACGTTGAAAACAGGGTTAGTGGGCTTCTCAAAGGTGAAGAAGATCACAGCGTGTCCTGGATGACCTGGGTGCGACGATCGTTTGGGTTCCCTGGATGACTGGTACATTATAATTAATCGCCCTGTAATTACGCCTGTACGATATTGATCCTGCGCTCATATCTTTTGACTGATGTTTTTCCCATTTTCCCCTATTGTACATAGACCGGTGTTCCTCGCCTAATCCAGATGTGATGATATTAACTGTTCCATCACTCAACTTTCCCCCTCGTCCGGCATGAGATATCTCTTCACAATGGCATCTATCCATTGTAGCTAAGATGGCGTATTCGATCATACTCCCGTCCGTATCGCTTCTTGTAAATCCATGCAGTGCCGGCACTTTACATCATACCCATGCCACCCTGCTTGCTGGCGGCCTCACCCTGCATCTTTTCGCTGACCTTGACGTTGACATCGAAGAACTTTGAGACACACCGGTCGAGGCAGACAGACTCGCCCTTGTTGAGGTCACCCTCGCGGTAGTCGACGGGGATACACTTCTTGGTGCAGGACTCGGTCAAGCTAAGGAGTAGAGGGTCAACCCTTGGAATTTGTAGGTTTATACAGCCAGCGAATCCATGCGCAATGCTTCAAGATGCGACTTACCGGCTGAACATGTCGGAGATCATCTCGACTTCGGTCTCTGCGGCAGCAAGCTTTTGCTCCGAGGACATCTTGGGCTGGCCGAAAAGGAAAGACATTGTGGAGGAGATATGTGCTCAATATCAAGCTAGAAGCGCATGTCAATACTACTCCCGTGAGTACAGGGCCGGAAAGGGCGACTTACCGTTGGTAATCGATGGAGTGGTTGGTCGTCAGGGTCTGGAGGACTTTCTGGCTTTGGGAGGTTCGGAAGCTTTGGCCACCCGCACCGCGTCCGAGTTTTTCCACTTTTCCCGCTCGCGCTTTTTTTCCTCTCTTCCTTCCACTTTTCTCCCTCTCTTCCTTCCACTTTTCTCCCTCAAGCAATGTGAGCGGGGGGTTTTGTCTGCAAATGCATTCAATTCGCTCTGGGACGTGGTCTCGAGGACTGGAGAGTCTACTTTGCAGGTAAGCTTTGCATTTTACCCTCGGTCTTCTTCTTTTCTGCCTATTATGATGATTTTTCCTACCTGCTTCAGAACCGCTGCAGTTGATGCTTTCGGGCATATGAACGCACTGGAACTCTACCAATTCTGATCTTGCTCTCTCTTACTTGTCCTGCATATCTTATATTTGTGAGACAACCATTGCTAACTCGGCAATCTCAGTGCAGGCAGACAACTCCATTCACCTCGTATTTCTCCCTTACGGGCCTCACTAACCCAGCAGACTACTCGGTATGCTAGCTCTGCTTCATCACCAGAGAAGGCTTTCCAGGAGCGCCTCCTGGAAGTCAAGGCAGCTTGTCCCGAGCCCTATCCCCGACTGGCGGTAGACCAGCGCACCCTGAGCTGTGCCGAATTCCGGACTCAGTATGATGGATTGGCCAACAATGACTCTGTTGAAGAAATTGTTGTCGTCTCCGGTAGGTTTCCTGGCTTCCCTCGGTTGCCTTGCCTATGTACTTAGATTAGACTAGGTAGAATCCGTACCTACAGACTCGCTGGAAGCAAATTGATATTTTTCGATATCGTACAAGATGGACACAAAGTCCAGGTTATGTGCAACAAGCGTCAGCTCGAGAGTATAACGCCCGAAGAATTCAAAAGACTGTATCGCCTACTTCGTCGCGGAGATTCGTTCAGTAGGTTTTTTACTACTTGCAGGCTGGGAACGCCTTTCTAACAACGTTGCAGCTGTAACTGGTAAACCGCATCGTACCGGCCGCGGTGAGCTGACGATCAACGCAACCGAAGTCCCGAGATTGCTCTCGCCCTGTCTACACGATGTGCCTGTATACGACAGCTCGCATGAAACCTCGCCTTATCCTCGCCATGTCCAGTTTCTGACTGACCCCGCTGCGGCTGATATCATCCGAGCCCGGTCTTCATTGATCCAATATCTTCGCCAATTCTTCGTGAACAAGGAATTCATGGAGGTCAGTACCCCGATTATCGAATCCGTGGCTGGCGGTGCAATTGCCCGCCCGTTCTATACATCTGCCACAGAATTTCCCGAGCGCCAGCTATCGCTGCGTATTGCGCCAGAATTGTGGTTGAAGCGAATGGTTGTCGGTGGGTTTGACAAAATCTTTGAGATTGGGCCTTCGTTCCGGAATGAGGGTAGGTCACTATAGTCCCAGATGACACATGATACACCGGGACGAATAAACTAACAAAGCATAGGACTGGACAAGACCCATAATCCGGAGTTTACTACTTGTGAATTCTATCATGCCTATGCCAACTTGGAAGACCTGATGCGCATCACTGAAGATTTACTGAGCGGCATGGCCGCACACATCCAAGCCTTCAATAAGAATAATACTCTCCAACCTACCCAAGCCAACTTCACCGCACCGTTCCGCCGCATCGACTTCATCACTGGGATCGAAGAAGGCCTCCACCAGAAACTCCCTGACCTCTCCGCGCCAGATGCCCTCGATCAGATCCGCAGACTTTTCAATTCCCTATCTCTTCCCCTTCCGGCAAAAGCGACCCTCCCCCGCCTCCTCGATGAGCTATGTAGCATCTACGTCGAGCCTCAGTGTCAAGACCCTACCTTCATTATCAATCCACCCGAATGTCTTTCACCGCTGTCGAAATCCTTCACAAACCCCGCCAATGGACAACGCGTAGGAGCCCGGGGCGAACTCTTCATTGAAGGCAAGGAAGTCATCAATACCTACGAGGAGGAAAATTCGCCCTTTGAGCAGCGCCGCAAGTTCGAGGATCAACTGCGGTTCGGCAAAGACGTCGGTGAGCCGGGCGAGATTGACGAGAATTACCTCGAAGCTCTGCAGTGGGGCCTCCCCGCTACAGGTGGCTGGGGTTGCGGTATTGATCGTCTGGTCATGCTTTTCACAGGTGCTAAAAAGATTGCCGATGTGTTGCCCTTTGGTAATCTGAGGGCCGTGTCGAGACGGGCTGGTGGTAGCGAGTAGACTGAACAATACCCATTGTGTGTGTGTGTTTTTTCTTTTTTCTTTTTTTTTTTCCAAATTAACCTTTCGTCCCTGAGGCCCCGCTGTACGATAGATGTATCAACAATCCAACTCTCCGATGACAACTTGGCCTCCATGGGAGAATATAGAAATGTAACCTTGACTGATCGAGCCGCTGATAGCCGCTTATCAGCCGTTATGGGTGAACTTGAAGCGGGGGAAAAAACATGGATAAGTTTTCTACCCATCCATCATGAACGCCCACCAGGCCCCCGTGGCCCAACCAGTGACCGTGTCCTTCCGAGAGCTTGTAGCTGGTAAGGAATCATAGTTGTCATCAACGTCACGGTACAAACTAAAACAAAACCAGGCCCCTTCTCCCCCAACATTCTCACAGAAGCTTTCGGGCCCTCGTCCCTGGGCATCCTTGTCGTGTGCCAACTGCCTGAGAAGTTTGTCCACCTACGAAAGCGAGTTCTGTCCAGTGCATCTTATCTGGCAGCCCTATCCGAGGCCGAGCTCCGTAAGTCTCTGTGCTCCTTTGCCCGGGTTTCGAATAAGGGCTAATGCTTGATAGAATCTCTTGAAAGCCCCGAGTCCAAGTACCTTGTCGGCTGGTCCTGTGGCAAGGAAACCTTGAAATCAGGGCAATTCGACACCCTCAAGGGCTCTTACTACGTCAATTGCGCCTTCCACCAAGATTCATCCTTGGACAGTGCCCCCGCAGACGGCTTCCCCGATCTGCCACAATACACAGCCCCAAACATCTGGCCGCCTTCAGACCGGCTCCCCGGATTTCGCAGCGATATCGAGGAGCTCTGCTCTCTGATCATCCAGGTAGCTACGCTTGTTGCCAATGCCTGCGATCGCTATGCCGAGAACAACATCGAAGGCTACACGCCCTTTTACCTCCGGCACGTGGTCGAGACAAGCTTCACCACAAAAGCGCGTCTTCTGCACTACTTTCCCTCCGAAAACGACACCGAGGAGAATGCCAGCGACGATGACTGGTGCGCTACGCACGTTGATCACGGCTGCTTGACCGGTCTCACGTCCGCCATGTTCCTCGACGAAGCTGCCACCCCGCCCGTCCTCGGTGCCTCTGCGGACTCGCTCCCTCCCTCGCTGAACTTCCAGAGTCTCCCGACCCGGCAGCTGGTCTATACATCGAGTCCCGCACGGGGGAAATTGTCAAGGTCAATATTCCTAAAGACTGCCTCGCTTTCCAGACCGGGAAGGCGCTGGAGTTGATTACCCGGGGTAAGTTTCGGGCGGTTCCTCATTTTGTGAAGGGCGCTCGGCGCACTGGTCGGGGGAGCCGGATTGCGCGGAATACGCTGGCGGTGTTTACGCAGCCGAATCTGGGCGAGGAGGTTGAGCCTGGCTTGACGTTTGGGGAGTTTGCGAGGGCGACTGTGCAGAAGAATTACTAGTTGTCATGGTTTATTATTGAGCCGAACTGCTCGGAAATGCTCCTTTTCGAGTATAGCGAGGCCATAGTCCCTGTTCGAGGTTGGCATCTTTAGTATCCTAAGCTGCTCGTCTAGTAAGAGGGAGAGAAGAGTCCCTGGGGTGCTCTGTCTCCCAATATGAGGATTACTATTGCGAATTTGAATATTGGGCTTCATTACTTTCAGCTGGAAATCCCTGATATGACGACCATCCATACATTTGAGCGAACACTCATACTTCGAGTCGATATACGTCTGTGTTTCCGTTTGTTACTTATCGAGCCCCGCGGTATTCGTGTGCGGGCCAACGCCGCGGGCCGCGGGATTCTGACAAGCAGCCACCAGTCGATATAAAGTGTTCATTTATCCTCCGGAAATAACGCTTCCTTTCCATGCTTCATAGTTGTAGCCCTTAAACGAGTGTAAACCGCTTATCCTACTTGCAATGGATCCAGAACATCATAGCAAGATTGTCATCGTGGGGTATGAACTTCCCAACTCCAAATTGTCACGACGCAGGCCTTAACAAGTCCAAGGGCGGGGATCATTGGGCTAGATGTTGCATTGGTTCTAGCAGAGAAAGGGTTGGGCCGATCTGTTACCGTCGTGGCAGAGTATCTTCCTGGCGATACTGCTTCCACCTACACTTCTCCGTGGTGAGTGCCTCGTTTTCAAAGACAATCCCAGAAGCTAATTATCCCACAGGGCCGGGTGCAACTTCTCTGCGCTGTCTGCCAGCGATGAAAAGGCTCTTAGATGGGACCGACTTGGATATTTCCATCTGAAGAAACTCGCGAGCGAGAAATCCGCCGAGTCCTTCGTGTCTCACACTCCGTCGACGGAAATGTGGGATGATACTCCTCCTTATGAGAAGATCAGGGACATGTCAGCGTACCTCGAAGATGTAAGACCAACTTGATATGCCGTGGGTAACCTGCTGATGCTTTATAGTTCAAACTTTTACCATCTAAAGTCCTCCCTGATGGAGTGAAATTCGGCGTCTCATTTTCAACAGTCACGATCAATGCACCGAAACATCTGGAATATCTCTACAAACGACTCAGAGATGAGTTCGGCATCACATTTATCCAGCAGAAGATTCCAAATGTCCAGTCTGCATTCAAGAGTCCATCAACGGTGGCCGTGTTCAACTGCACCGGCGTCGCGGCGGGAACGCTGGCCGGCGTTCAAGACAGCAAATGCTATCCGACCCGAGGCCAGGTCGTACTAGCCAGAGCACCTTGGGTACATCAGAATACCATGAGGCACGGAAGGGACTATGAGACGTACGTCATTCCTCGGCCTGGTTCGAATGGGAATGTCATTCTGGGGGGATACATGGAGAAGGGAGACAGGTACGTAGACCCAGGGGCAGAATATTCTGAATACGGACGCTGAGGAGTTCGCAGTAAAACAAGCACCAGCGGCAGACAAACAGAGTCGATTCTGAAACGGACAAAAGAGCTGAGCGCGGAGCTCAACCAGGACGAGCCCGAAGTCCTGGCTGCATTTGCGGGGCTGAGGCCGTCGAGGAAGGAGGAACCCGAGTCGAGCGCGAAGAAGTCCAGATTGGTGGGAAAAGGCGAGTCATTGTTCACAACTATGGAGCTGGTGGAGCTGGATTCCAAGCTGGATACGGCATGGCCGTTGATGCGGTGGGAAGCATCGAGGATATTCTGCGGACGATTACTGAGAATCCTCGTTCGTGTTTGTAGATTACGGGCTGGAATATCGGTTTCAATGTTTAATTTTGGTTCGAGTCTTCATATAGAAGAGCCATATAGACGAGACTTTGTTTTATTATTTGCAGCCATCTCTGTGAAGGGCTAAAGCAAGACTTGATTCAATCTGTACCAGGCCACGAACTGTGTTCGATAAACTTAAGGAAAGGAGTTCAATGCGCCGGTCCTCCGCTATTAGTAGGCCAAGGTCACGTGTCCTACGTGATCAACACCGGGCCCTGGCCCGTGATAGTTTCCACCTAGGTAACAGATTTTCTATCCCACGTCTTTTTGGATAGGACAGTGGGGCCCATCTTAGAAAGAGAGTTTCACGAGGGGGCTAGCGTGCGTTTTATTGAGGTGCCTTGTGCTCAGGTTGTGCTCAGTGAGCTAGTCCGAGCGCTCAGTGAGTGGATCAGTGGGCTTACATAATGCTCACTGGGCCGACCTTCAGGCAGGGGCGTGCTCAGATCTACTCAGAGAGCATAAAGCGGCGCTCAGTGCGCCCGAAAGCGGAAAGAGGAAGCCAAGCCATGGCATAGGAAATCTGTTACCTAGGTAGCTATACGTAACATTTTTTCTATACCAGGGGCTTTCCTATCTTAGCTGCTGCCGCTTTTATGAGGGCGCTCAGAGTCAGCATCGCTGAGTAGATTTCAGTCCGGGATTCAGACTCAGTGAGCTCCAGTGAGCACTCAGTGATTCCGATTGGCGGCCCACTGTCATCACTGATTACTCAGGTGCCTTTCATAACTGTGAGCTAGATTCGAGTAGCTTCAACTACTGGAATCGAGCAGGTGGCGGCCAAATCCCATCTTGTTCCTCTCTATATTTCCTATTGGCGGCGACATGCAATTTGGTCAGCTCCGAGGCATGCCGATGGAGCTTCCGTCTCGCCTCGCCCTGGGAGATCGCGCTGAAGTGTAGACCATGATAAACAGCTATTCTGATCAGGGATTTATATTCTGGAAGACGATCTCCTTCCTCTTCTGTTTTCGGATAAAATACCACAAGACCGAAATAAGCATCTGCTTCACTAGACCCCTGACCACCAGGACCAGAATTATATACTGAAGCTGAACTAGATTGCAGTATATGTTCCTGCCAAGGAACCCCGAAGATTCCTGATATCATTATCACTATTGCTACAATTGATGGCTTTGGTAACTAGCTCGCCCATGGATAAGCCGCAGGCATCTCGACAGAAAATATCCTCCTCGTCTAGTGGACAACGGTAGATGATAGGTCGGCGTTCTTGATCAGTTAGTGAGGAGGGGTTAGATATAGCGCGGTTGTCGAGGGTGCGTGTCGACTCATCCAGGACTAAGGGGGTTCTATCTGCGCTTAGGCTGAAAGGGCTGGTATTTCCGGCATCGATAGGAAACGACATGTTGATAAGTATGTGATTATCAGAAAGAAGAGGATGATTGTGTGTAGGAACTTAGGAGTAACAGAGTTCGACTGCGCTCGCAGGGTTAACACGTGACAGTATAGCAAAATACGATGGCAAAATCCTCGGATTCTGACGTAACACGTAATCCTGCCTTCCAGATAACTAGTTACTCCACCCCGAGCGACTAAGCAGGGAGATGAGTCTTGGCTTGGTCAACTGGCTCGAAACTTGCTGAGGTTTACGATCGGAGAGATCGAATGCCCAGCGGGAGAGGGGGTTACATAGTGTACTGCGTAGTCGTCGTGGTAATCGACCAGTCCCAGTCCCGGCTTGGCTTGGCTCGAACGAAATATGTTTTAATCGTCGAGCCTGTTTCTTGGTGCCTGCTGCATCGCCTCGCTGCGAAGATGTATACTGATGTGGTGCGATGCTGCGCCTTGGAAGCCTACATCACCTTGCGCAGAGCCAAGACCCTGTGCTGATCTGTCAGAGGTGATTTGAGATCAGTCTCAGGATCGTTCCCTGCTATATGCTTTACAATTGAGATGCCTACAGAGCCAATTCCTCTGGAATAATCGCTAGACCTTGCGAAATGCATTACGAGTACGGCCGGTAGTGCTAGCGCGTCGGCAAGTGCGTGTACCGTGTCCAGTAGTATATTTCGTGCAGTCGTACAGAGTAGGACATCTGAGTCGAGCACCAAGATCTGGTGATGGTCCTATCTCCTTTCATCCTATCTCTAATCTATACAACTCGTAGGAAGATACCGGAGCAATGTGAAATGGCACACCCTCAAAAGATAAACCCCATTCGCCGAGGTTTGGCCCGCACATCTCAGGATTGGTGATCGACGGTCACCAGGACAGCCAAGACCTGCCAATAATAGCTTAGGATCCCCGCAGCAGCCTCTGCATCGCAATACAAAGAGAATACCCTAGTAAGAGGGAATACACGGTCACTACCGGAGTGGTTAGTCTCCCCCACCCACGTAGGGCCCTACGGTGGCCCTCGTTTGTGTGTTGTGTGTGGGTGGGTAATGTCTGTGTGGGTAACGTGGTGGAGGGGGGCTGATCAGTTGTACCGTTGTCATCTGCGCCTCTTTAGACTCCGAGACGCCTCAGCATCTTACAAGGCTGACGATCAACCTCGTCGGAACGAGCTTTTGTAGCTACCGGTCCATCTGTTCCCACGAGTCACGTACCGGTGACGGCCTAATTGCTGGTGGGCCGGACTACTAATAATATTACGATCGGGGACAATACCAAGGTGGGCCAGTTAGGCACTGTCGACGGGGGTTTATCATAGCCCTCAGGGATCAGCTTCTCGAAGGACACAGAAGTGGGTGTCCACTTCGGAGCGGCAAGAAACGGTGTACAGCAGAAGTGGCCGCGCGGTCCGACGATGGCGATCTTTTGTGCATTCTCGCCACTATCGACATGAATTTGGATTGTCACTCGTCGAACTTTAGTGGAAGCCGACTATGTGGGCTTCCACGGGACGGGCTTGAGTGCACATGGCTGGCACCTGATCCAGGGTCTTTGCCATGGGTAGGCAACATGCCCGTCCTGACTACTGCGTAGTATTCTACTCTGGCTTGGGCTGGGGCCTCCACTTGATGACGACTGCCTAGTGGCTGGTATCCAATATCTGTTTTGGGAATCCGGCGGTCTGGGGGCCTAGGATCGCATGAGGCATTTTAGTCAACACCTTTAGGAGGCATGGGGGAAGGTCGCAGCGCTCATCATCGGTGATGTCACGGTTAATACCTTCACCAGTCTCCAAGTGATCTATGTGGTGTAGAGTGTAGCAGTTTGGAAGAAAAAGGCTGCAGGACGAACTGCGAGACAAAGCAGAGCTGGATGCTTTTCTAATGCTTCCAAGGTGGTTTTGGCTGAAGTCGAACTGGAGCATGTGTGCCCCTTCAAGTTCTTCGACATGGATCCAAAGTCAGCAGTCCAACTGTGGATATCTACGCGTAGTCCCGAGTCGGTCCTCTGTATTATAGATAGCTAGTGTACATGTTGCTATAATCTAATCACCCTTGATCTATATATGTCATTTCCATTATGACATTGATGGTCTTACGTCCCAACGGTTTTGTACCTTGACCACGGTGTCCCCAAGAGAACATTAGCGATACCCAGGCCGCTAGACTCGAGGAACGTAAAAACCTCCTGACATTGTTGGAACTGGTCATGGAAACCATGCATATGAAAGAATTGCGAGGCCATGGCCACAGGAAGAGGAGACTATGCCCACCCAGAATATGCATATGCGGTTGTAGGAAAATACCCGACGCCGTGGCATATCTGACCAGCATAGAACTTCGCACCGCCCAAGAACGTGGCCGACGTCCTATGAGCCTCAACGTTGCTCTGACTGGCTTGGTGTGAATATTCATCCCGTGAGTCTTCCCGTTGTCGCTCAAATTCATAAAGAAGTGTTTGGATCATGAGAGATGCCGCCCAGTACAGCATGTGCGATTCTGCTACCTCGACGGTCGCAAATTCGTACCGCTCTGGGAAGATAGGCCTGGTGTTTGGCCTTTTGTCGGATCGAGTAGACATGCGTGTGTAGAGACGACCCAAGGCATTCGTCTCGAAACTCTCATACCAATCGGCAATTTTCTTATTGATCCTCTGACCCGACTCAACTATGCGTCGGGCATCGTTCTCGGATTGTATGTTGCTCGTGTCCTCGACGAGCCCAGTGCATTCCATGAGGATATCAATTATCTGCTCCATCGGTTGATCATCTGCTGGCGAGACTGATTTCCACATTGGGAAAGAATCAAGAGCGGACCTCGATTTGCCGATAGCATGGAAAATCTGAGAAGGTTAGCAAATCAAGGGCGAACGAAGAAGGTCTACCAACATTTGATAGCTTCATCTCCCTGAGCATCAGGGATGACAGCTGGTTGTTCTCTAGATTTCTTAAATTATGAGCGATCACGGCATTGGCGCCTTGCACATGTGCCATCCACCCTGCAAATCCGTATGTGCAGTTGATAACCTGAGATGATGAGTATATACCCGGTGCTTGGAAGCTGACAGATGACAGGCTAAACTCACTTCGTATAATTGAAACGCGATATTAGCACAAAGGACCTCCTGAACTGGAAGTCCGGACCGAGATATGAGCTTTGTAAAGGCCTGAATAGAGTTGTTATAAAGCACGATCCCTTGCCGAGTTAATCGCTGATCACCAAATTTCCTGCCGACAAAGCCCGTAGCCAGGGCCATCACAGCTCGATCGAGTAACTGGCTATTCTCTCCGCCCATTAAGGGCGGAAAATCCTCGAGCACATTGGCTGCACGGTGGCATCTCCAATTAACACGCCCCGTCGGCTGGGAAGGCACATACGAATCTACAAACAGCGAGAACAGCTGTGACCGGATCTGGGCATTCACATTGACGACAGCCAAGGTACTCTCCCGTCGGTACTGTGCAGAATTGCCCCCAAAGCCCTGCTGAGGCTCTGCGAAAGTGTGGATGAACTTTCGCGTCCGCTCATAGCCTCCACAGCGATGACCACCGCGGAGACAGCGGGCGCATTGGGGCCGTTGAAGATCACACTGTCACCCTGTCAGGCTAACGGCCTCTCACCGGGCGCCAGGACATACCTTGACTTTGCGCCTCACGCAGGTATCGCACCCGTTTGATCTCCCGGGAGCTCCGCCCATATTGAGTGCACGGAGATGGGAGACCAGGGTCTATCGGGTGCTCTATGTGGCGTCGGCGATCGTTTCCGGTTTCGGATCATCAGGGAACTTTTCCCGCGATGGCCATTGGCAGAATTTGGATAACTGCCACAAAGTGAACGAATTATTTAGTTATTTAATCTTGGTGACTCAGCCCTGGAATGAACTAAGGAACATTTTGGTCAGACCAAACTTCGCAATATTAGGACCTTAAGTTGCGGTTTTGCTTCATGGCGGATGTCCCCTCTACTCCCACAGAATAAGCGGGGATGACCATGGCTTTGATCGCCAGATTGAACTCGCTCCAGGCTTCTGGGAACCGCATGCCAAGGAGCTTTTGGAATGGACCCAAGATATCAATTGGCCCGTTGCACGAATGATCTGGAAACTCTTTCCTCCGAGTCCCGATCACTTTATCGGACCTATTTGTGACGAGCTGCAAGGTTCGGGTGGAGCTTCATCATCTTGGACATAGTTCTTCTTCCAATGTAGATTACTCAGACTTGGAGCAATGGTCCCCCCTCTGTAAAAGGATCTGCAGTAACTCCAACCAGATCACGTCGATGAGGAGCGTTGGATCTTATACTGGTAGTCATTGCAATATACAGTCAGTCAGGACACATGAATTCTCTGGACGCCCGATAACAACAGAAAGCGCTTATTACGATAGCTCGAGTATCTCACAATCATTTGGACTTCGAAGGTCAAGAGAGCCGCGGACGGTGCGGTTTGGACAGACCATGGATCGCAATTCTTACCCGAAGGGGCCGCCTTGGGATTCCCCACATCATGGCGCAAGGCTTTGAACCGCTCACTTGCATTCCTACTTGTTACTGAGCCCCAACAATGACAGGATCAGAAACCCAGCGAAAGCTGGTCGTTGGAACTCGCAAGTCCAAACTTGCCATCGTGCAGGCAGAGCATGTCTCCGCCGTGCTGGCGAGCGCCCACCCTCAGATCCAATTTCCGTGGCAAACAGTCTCTGTCAGTGGCGACGTAGACAAGCAAACCCCGTTCTTGAAATTCGGGGGGCCATCGGATGCGGGCAAGAATATCTGGACTGAGGGGCTGGAGGCTAAATTAAGCTCTGGCGAAGTGGATCTGCTCGTGAATTGCCTGAAGGACATGCCTACTGTTCTTCCCGACGACTGTTTTCTGGGGGCGATTGTCCACCGGGAGGACCCAACAGATGCACTGGTGGTCAAGGCGTCCCTGAAAGACCAGTATACCGACCTATCCCAATTACCGCCGGGATCTGTCGTGGGTACGAGTTCCACCCGGCGAAAGGCCCTTCTCAAATACAAGTATCCTCATTTGGAAATCCAGGAATGCCGCGGGAACATGTGAGTCTGTGAAGTTGCCGGAACGACTTTGAGCCGTCTGACCCATGACAGTGACTCTCGTATTCGGAAACTGGATGAGCCGGGAGGCCCTTATACCGCTATAATTCTGGCAACAGCGGGCTTGAATCGAATCCACTTGACTGAGCGCATCACCAAGCATCTGCCACCGTCCGAGTTCCCTTACGCCGTTGGCCAAGGCGCTCTCGGCATCGAGGTGCGCAAAGATGATGCTCAGGTTTTGAACGTTGTGCGAGCCATCGAAGAGCCGCTCACCAGATGGATCTGCCTGGCTGAACGAGCACTCCTCCGGACGCTCAAAGGAGGATGCTCCTCTCCCGTAGCTGTCAACAGCGTTGCTGAAAGTGGCAACAACGTGCGGCTTCAAGCTATGATCATCCACCCGCATGGCGTGAGAAAGGTCTCTGGTGAGGCTGTGGCGGTGCTGAAGAACGATACTGATGCAGAGGCACTGGGGAGCTCCCTGGCCAAGCGCTTGGAAGGTGAAGGCGGGTTAGAATTATTAGAAGAGATCCGTCTGCTGAATGAGGCAGAGATGAATGCGGGGCAAAGCAAGCGTTAATGACATTCCAAAGCTTGGAGGCTCACCAGTATTAGTCACAAGGGCATGTTCGTACAGGTCCGAAAAGCACCAATGATATTGGTATCAGGAAATAGCCAGGAAATAACGAGATCTGAGGATCATGCAATGAGGGAAAGTCCCAAATCTGATAGAGAAACGAAACAATGAAAATTCGATTATGAACCACACAGACTAAATAGAGAGTATAAATCATTAGAACGGTAGCTGGTGGAGACTTTAGATTAGTAGGGTCAAAGAGGCCTTACATGGTAGTCAACCGAACAGGAGCCTGCATGATTGAGTGCCCTAAGTGGGCATTGCAGATCTGTAATGCCGCCTTTACAGTATTAGTACCACAAGTGATCGCTGTATGCATTTCTGTTTTGTGCATATTGAGCTACATGGAGAGTTATAACTGTGAGACTTCGTAATTTTTGGGGGGCCAGGGGTTCGAGGGATCGTGTCATGAGATCTGCGCAGTACTGAACTTTGCAACATCTTGTCGTAGCGCAGTGGAGCGCCTTCAGTAGCGTCAACGTCGACTGCGCCGTTCAACACTCCTTCGTTGTTCAAATGGGTGCGTGTTTTTTATGTAATTGAAGATGTAAGTCTAATTCCTGACCTTCTAGCGCACGGCCATCAACTGGTGATAATTTAGGCCTTGCAATCTTTACAGGGATTTCGAAAGAAAAAGTAAATAGAAATCAAAACTGTAAAGAAAAAGTCAATATAATTCTACAATTCCATTGAACATATGTTGAGAATAGAGAAGAGTCTGACTGGGGATATCACAAGAGAAAAACGCTGGTTTGTACAGGAATGAGGTAGTGACTGAAATGATCAGCGACTGAAGACCGAGGGTATCGGTGGGAATGAGAGGGAATATGGAACAAAAGAATGTGCAACGCTTTCGTGATCGGAAAGATGCTAAGAGGTCTTCTCAGCAAGGTATGAAGAGTAGCGACCAAGGCCGCCTTCATGAATCTAAAGACACCCCGTGGGTTGCCTGCTGCGTTTTCGCGTAGGCTGACGCCGTGCGGCTTGTCGTTCTCTTCGGGACTGGACCTGTCTCCACCATCGAGCAATGACTGCTTTTGCCCAAAGGATCTCGTTTCGGGTTTGAACAACTGCTGCACAGTGCTCAGCGAGACTCTTCGCTATGGTGCGACGGGCATCGTCTCGAGCTGCCAAGCGAGCACGCCAGGCACGTTGCAAGATCGTGGCTGCTCGAGCGTTCTTCGAGGCCGAGAGGAGCCGAGAGCAAAGAAATGCGAGAGCACCAAAGGTGAAGTCGCGGTCAAGAATGGGGGATTCAGTGCCTGGAGAGACGAGCTGTGCAAATTGGTAATCACATCCCAGGAGACGTAGTCGGGAGCTCAGCGACATTGTATTTTGAGTGTGAGAGGTGCCAGTGATGTACGGTTGATATTCGTCAACAATGCTCTCGTAGATTTTTCCATCAGAGAAACAAGTGGTCATATTGCTGATAGAAATGTTCTTCAAAGCAGACAAGATTGCAGCCCATTGATGAAGATCGCGAGTGTGATCATCTGGTTCATTGAGCCCGATTCCGGTAAACCAGTCTTGATCTTCGACCACGGGTCCAAGTTGTGAAACCGCTTTTCGCTTCAAGCGAGCGATTTCTTTGTTGAGATCTTCCCAGTCGACTAAGCCAGCTAGTCCCCATTTGCTAACGAGTGCCCACAAAAGGGAAATTGTCTTTTCGCGATAACCATCCACAATTTCTTCAGCCCGAACATTTTCCACAATGGCACAGGACCCGTTAACAGAACGAAGAGCTGACAGAGCGACCTGTACATTGAAGATCTTAGCAGCTCGGCTCATGCATGGATACTTCAAATGCTTAGACAGAGGAACATCGGCTTCGCCACCCAGGAGAGAGAGCGCTTCCCCCGTATTGAGAGTCACAGTTTGGTCTTCCAAATCGGACTGCATGTGCCGGGGACTGAAAAAGAGCACTTCTACAATCCGGGTCAAGCGTACACCATCCTTTCAAGTCAACAGCAAGATTCTCCATTGGGTAGTTGAATTCTTGCAGTTGGTGTTGTTTGTACGAGACTCGGCAACCAAGATGATTCAATGACTTTGCGATATCGCCACAAGAAGGCAGCAGAAGGCGCGTGACGGCCTGAAGTACTTCGATCGAGGATTTGAAGTTGGAGGTGGGCGTGAAGAGCTTCCGGGGAAAGCTAGAGTGAGGGCTCTGCTTGCCTTTGTCGAGAAGAACAATAAGCATGATGCATCGGAGGACCGTGCGGTGATAAGCTTTGGCCTGAGCATCTGCAGAGTCCTTATGTGCAGGCAGCATTTCACCAAGGTCGTCGTTGCGAAGCAAAAAAGTGTCAAGGAAACCTTCCAACTTTTTGGCAATAACTCTCTTGCGTCTTCCTGGGCTTTCGGGCGAACCCAGTGTGTTAGTGCCAAACAGATACGGGTCATTGGAGACCTGACGCCCAATCACGGTCTCCAACGCAGCGGTCAGTGCACGTAAATCGTAGGATTTTATCCATAGGTCGAGAAATTTGCGGCGAAGACCAACGTCTCGTCTCAAGCGGTTGTTGCGAATAAGTGTTTCCTTAGACATACTCAGAGTTCCACACGATAAGGAGGCCTGGATCTTCTGATGCAATTGGACAAAGTATTTGGTGTGATATATCTCAAGTAACTCAAGACGAAGGGTGCTTTGGTCCTGGAAAGACGATTCACCACTGGTGTACTCGAACAGTGAATTGCACAGTTGGGCGATCACAGTTTCCTGGTGAGACAGCCAGTCGTCTGCATAAAGAGCAGGCTTTGAAATATCCTCTGCCAACTTGGGATATTCCCTATTGAGCTCGTTCATCTTCAAAAATCCGTGACGGCCAGTCTTCGAAGCATTGCTCAGCGATGTGCGGCCGAGACGTTCCGCCAAAGCAGATGCCCGCGCATTGAACGTGGCGCTGTGAACCGCCTTTTTCGATGAGGTAACGTCATTGTCATCAGATTTGTGACGAACAGAGCATGGCGATACTTGAAGGAGATTTTTCTTATCGGATAAAGCCGCTCGCTTGGGACTTGGATGCTTCGCGGCCACGCCAAAATCGGTGGATTTGGGTATTGTCAATTGGCGAGTCGCATTTTGACGCACGGGCTTCGATGCCGATATAGGAATGACCCCTGGCCTTGGGAAAACTTCCTTCTTGGTGTTGATCTTGCAATCAAGATCGAAAAAACTCCCCGGGGTATATTTTCCTTGCCACCGTTCTTGCCAGCAACGTCCACTCTGGTGGCGGCTTCCTGAGCGATTTTGATGCTTGGTTGCAGTGGAGCTTTGCGGGCAGACACAACAAGAGATTTTCTAGCATGACGCCGTGCTATCTGTGCTTCTAGAGTATTGGTTTGTGTTTCATCCGAGGTTTGCTGCAGCGACACGTCCTTCTTCATGGGGCTGAACAGCTCCATAAAAGCGCTGGCAATGGTGGTATCATCCGGCGGAATGTAGACAGTATTGCGACGGACATCCTTTTTGAGTGTTTGAACCAGACTCTGCGGTGATGATTGCTCACCGGAATCACGGCTTTTGGCAGATACGGCCCCTCGGATGGTATTTGTGACAGACTTCACTGGCTTCGATTGTGTCTCAGTCTTTTCTTTGGCTGTGCGAGGAAAGTCTGGTGCAAAGTTGACTTTTGGGCGGAATCGTTGCGCTGGCTGAGCGAGCAAGGAAGATTTGCGATTTGCCGGGGCGCTGATAGATCCTGTCTCTCTCCTGCGTTTCTCAACTATACCACCTGGTTTCTCCCCTACGTCTTCATGAATTTGGAACACCGATCTCACGCGATTGACCCGACGGGGACGACTGCTTTTTAAAGTCGGTGCTTTGATCTCTGTCGTATATTCGATTTGCCCGGTGGGCTCATAGTCGGTATCTTCGTTGAGGAAACTATCCAATGTTTCACTGTCGCTTCGAAATCCAGAAGACCTCGACCGGGATGGACATGGAGTGACTGCTTCGCCGAGGATTCCAGACATCTTGGTGAATCAAAGACAGACTGGTAGCGGGGGTTGCGAGTACATAGATATGTCGAGATGGAGGGGGGTTCGATGCGTCTGGGTCCCTTGCAGATTGTTGATCCCAGAGAAGCGGTGAGATGAATGAGTCGTGATTTTGTCAAAAAGGCAGATTGGCTGCTTATGTTGAAAATCGGGGGCTCTAGGCGTGCTCTGAGGGACCGGAGACCACGCGCTACTGTCACGCGTCCACGTTCGTACAAGTATGTACTTCTCATTGGACTGGAATTGTTGACAATCTACGTTGTCCAGGGCAACTATGCAATTACATAATCACACGGGCACAGATTCACGTGACATTTTGCCAACGCTGGCCAGATTACATCATCCCTCCCAATGTAGTTAACTAAGTAGATGCAAGGCACCCCCTGCATGAGAAACATTCTGCGTTGTAGTCGGATCCACTGAGGCGCCAGCAGAGTTCGATGTGGTCTAATGATGAGTAGGCTGCAGTCTTGGATGCAGGTACTAGCGCCGATTCCATTTAGGGAAGCCTCCGAGGTTCCGATATTGGTCAAGTATACTCGAGAACCCTTGGCGATGCATCTATTATGAATCGCATATACATCATCTTCTCCGCAGCCAAAAACATGATCAGTGGAGTTTATGGAGTCTACTTCTAAATTGGTGTACGAATATTGCCAATCATCGGACGGGAACGATTCCGTCCTGGTCTAGAGTCGCGTGCACCAATCCTGGTCAGGTTGAAAAGGAGGCGAGTGGGTCGCGCCGTCTCAAATTAGCCTCTCAACACTTCTCCTTTCCCCGGGCGTTAACGTGGCCACGCTTTTGATCTCGAAACATCCGAGGCTCCCTTCGTATGGAATCCTGGAGCTGTGACTGGAGAGAGGGTTGATCATCTCACGATATGCTAGATGCCTATTAACCCCCCTCCCGCACTCCGATCCCACCCCATTTGCCCGCTTCTTATTCCGCTCCCATTCTGCGCTCCACTGCGGAATGACGAGCGGCCATGGAGTCCGTAGTTTTTGAGAATTCGCCGCTGGCTGATTACCTGGAAGGTACGTTGATCCACGGAGGCTGTTGTCATCCATGTGCTTACCAGTGATTGCAGGTGAAGGTCAGAATGAGGGAAATTGGCCCGTGATTGAGACGACGCACAGTGAGAATGACTCGGTCGGCCCCTCTTCGAATTTCGCCCCCCGGGGGGCCTCTCGTTTCCAAGAGCGCGTTCGCAACAAACTTCCGAAGCCTCTCGATATCCAAATTGCACGACAAGGAATGATCGTGGAGAAGTTGTACAGTGCTTGCTCGGTATGGACTGCTATGGTATACTAGGGATCGATATGCGGCGCTAATTATACTTGCAAATAGACCGCCCTGAATGCGCGAATAGGACGAGGCGACAATGAACGATTTCTTGAACAATTTGGCTATGTCATTGTCGCCTCTCAACTCTTGAACGAACATAGTGCCCCCTCATATACGTCTGCCGCCGATGTCGTATCGGCCTCTCAGCAAACGGATCTACCTTCTCTATCGACAACATTTGGTTTGCACGGTGCTATCGTCACGGCTGCCACTTCATTCTCCATCGCCTGGTTATTACATTGGGGCCGCTCGCGGTCAGGAGCTGGATTTAACCCTAAAAGAGTGGTCGTGCTCTTGGTTCTAGTTCCGGTGCTCGGTATGCTGTTCTACTCATTCGCCAAGCGACAGTGGCTCAAGTACTTGCGACATCAAGCTGTCGAAGCCGCCGGCGCCTTTGTTAGCAACGCCCAAGGATTTGATTCGGCTGCTTCGGCATCGGTGGTTTTCATCCAGGAAGTGGAGTTGGTATCAAGGGGTTATCGGATGTAAGATTCCCAGAGCATTGGATGGGTCTACTCCAACTAACTTTCCATACAGAAGCACACCTCTGCCTCCTATTACCCGACTGGAAGACCAAGTACAGACGCGCCGTTGCATGAGACTTCGTCGGACAGTTTCCGAATGCTTCTGGTCCATGCTTGAACGCTATGTCCAATCTCTCAAAACACTGCGCCCACTCACAAATGAGACTAACCTGGAGAAATACTACGACATATATGACATTTCGTTGGAGGGCTTGGATATGCTGGAATTGAATATCGCGCAACGGAACTTGGAAGACCAATACTCCCTACGTTCCTTACGAGATCTTTTCGGCAAACTATATACCGCCAGAAAAGGCGTTCTTTGCTGTCTCCTGGCTCTCAGTGCTGATGGTGGTGCATCAGATGTTGCGCGATGGAGCTCTGCTGTGGATGAGATGCGCCAACTCGCCTCGGTCACCGGCGTTAGCATGACTAAAATGGCCAACATCCTAAACGAAGAGGACCGTGAGCTGCTCCTGATAACCTCATGCATGATTTGGCAAAACGACTGATCTTGTTCCCCAGGTGACGCTGCTATCCCTCCTTCCCCGCTACCGTCTGCATCTCCTTCTCCAAGCAAGGAACACCTGCGGGCTCAATACCGCAGACTGAACTCCCTGGGACAGGGAGTCCGTGCCTTGCATGCGAAAATGCACATCGTCAGCGAGGAGGCCAGTGCCAGCCTCGATAAGAATGACACTGGGGATCTCGAAGCAAATCTCATGTCGCAGTATGAATCGATCGGGCGTGATATACGGTCGCTACTTGAGGAATGGGAGTCGGGGAAGGCTGCTCTTTTGGCGAACCAAGGTCGCCTCAATAGTACAGAGCAATCACGGCCTCCGAGCACTTTTCTACCGTTGTCACCGACTCCTAGCCTTGGGGGTACTACTGCGGTTGAAGGTAGTCCCACAGACGCTCTCAAGGCTCTGAATGGCGAACTCCGCCCGGATTTGGCACATAGCTTCGAGGACGAGGAGATCTTTGAGGCTGTTGTGCTACCCTCTGCCAAGAACAAGAGAGCGTCTTTGACCAGAGATGAGCGCCTTGCTCGCGTGCGAGAAGACCGTGCGCGGCAAGCCACAGCCCGTGAGAAGGCGGATGCTAACACCAACATGCTCAAGGAGCTGGAGATGGTCATCAAGCAACGACCGCGAAACGTAGCTTCCAAAAGAGTGACCAGCATATAGGACAGGATATTTGCAGGCATTTCTTCCCCTCCCCTTCTAGCCCTGGAGCTGCGCTTCAACTGAATATCGCTAGATAGGGCTTCCCCCTTGATAACTGATACCCCATTGTAAATAGATGGATACGGCGAGCTCGGTGTTTTCTAGGGATGTTTCTGTCATTCTTCTTTTCTCTGCCGTGGTGCTCGCGTCTCGTGAGAGCCATTCGACTATTGCTCGATTGCCTGGTGCATGGTCACTTTTGGCTTTATTCCCTTCTCTTGTATTTTTTCTCTCTCTTTTTTTTAGCATCCTCATTCTCTGCATCTTATATTTCTATCCATCATGATAGGCCAATAAATTCGGATATCCTATCATACAAAGATTAAAGCATGCAGCAAGTGGTTTCTACCTATCGCCTGAGGCACTAATCTAACCCTATCGGGCAATATCGCCAAACGCGCGCGCGTGTTCCCCACTCAGCCCGTCGACGCGATTCCGCCTTATATTCAGACCGCTGCCTTCTCGTGTTTTCGCCAAAACTCAGTCAGTTCCCCCCTCGTCATCCACTCCCTCCGCCGCCTTTCCTTACCCTTCGTCGTATAGACGTCTCCTCTAATAATTCCCTTTGAAGTCCCCTTTAAAATATCACCCCTCCCTCTTTGCCACCAGTGAGTCCACAAATCAACCCCCGCGGTATGAACTGAAATGAAACTAACACAAGCAACAGTGCTTGAAGCACGATTGGAACAGGCCAGTACTTTGAAGCGCGTATGTTGAGCCCAACCATATTCGTTACACTATGCCTCTCCAGTAGACTAACCATTGGCCTCTCCTTAGGTCGTCGACGCCATCAAGGATTTGGTCCAGGATTGCAACTTCGACTGCAATGATTCTGGTATTGCTCTCCAGGCCATGGACAACTCTCACGTTGCCCTGGTTTCGATGATGCTTCGTGCTGAGGGCTTCTCCCCATACCGCTGCGACCGCAACATCGCCCTCGGAATTAACCTGGTCTCCCTGACCAAGGTTCTCCGCGCTGCTCAGAATGAAGATATTCTCACCCTTAAGGCTGACGACTCACCTGATTCCGTCAACCTTATGTTCGAGAGCGCAGAGAACGACCGCCTGAGCGAGTATGATATCAAGCTCATGGACATTGACCAGGAGCACCTGGCCATCCCTGAGACCGAATACGCTGCCACTGTTGAGATGCCCTCTATGGAATTCCAGCGTATTTGCCGTGACCTCAACGCCCTTTCTGAGTCAGGTATGCCTCAGATACCTCCCACATAGACTGCTGAGTTTACTGACTCGCTTTTCACCAGTTGTCATCGAGGTCAGCAAGGAGGGTGTTAAGTTCTCCTGCCAAGGTGACATTGGTAACGGCTCCGTTACCATTCGCCAGCACACCAATGTCGACAAGCCCGAACAGAACGTCTCCATCGCCTTGTCCGAACCCGTAGCCCTGACTTTCTCCCTCAAGTACCTTGTCAACTTCTGCAAGGCCTCCAACCTCTCCAGTTCCGTCGCTCTTCATCTTTCATCGGAGGTTCCTCTGCTGGTGGAGTATGGCCTGTCTGGAACTGGCCACTTGCGGTTCTACCTGGCCCCCAAGGTACATCCATTCATCTGCTCTCGCGTGTTTTGAGATAACGCTAATATTTGACTTTCTAGATCGGCGATGAGGACTAAGGAGTGTCCCCGAACGACAATACAAAATGAAGCAACCTATGATAATGGAGAGGAACTGACGCCTGATGGCGGCAATGAATTCTTTTTTCTTTTCTTTTGTTTTTGGAGGTGCGGTTCTCTAAATGTTAGAAGGGATCCAAAGCATCTATGATTATGTTTATTCAATTCCAATTCCAACTCGCGCGACTCAACCGAAGTCGCATTCTGAAATTACTCGATACTTCTGCGTAGTCTATATGTAGCCAAATTGCACAGGAAGTTTAAATCACGCCAACTCAAGGGATTTTTTTTATCAGATTTTATTCAACATATACAATTAGTGATGAGGTTCCCAGGTTGTATTGAGGGCCACGCTTGGATTAGCAGGGATAATCAATTGACCCAATGGAGCTATGGTATGTACGGCGTTCAGGGGATCATTTCACCAACCCTGCCTACTATCGAGTAGTTGTGGATATAAGGGTAAAAAATAAGGGTAAAGAATTCGAGTCCTCGTCCGAGTCCTCAAGATCGGTCGGCACCCATGCGCAACTTCCTCGTCGACAGCCGAGAGTATCCACAATCGCACTATCGAAAAATAAAAATCTAAAGCCGTCGAGCAGACAGCCAGAACTCCACAATTAGCAGAGTACGTAAAACCCATTCGCTCAGGCTCCACCAGCGCATAGCCGGGCGAGAAAGTGGAGCATGTAAACAGAAAACAACTCACGGGAAAAAAAAGAAGTGAAGCGCCATCCCCACCAGAATGATCGGAATCGAATGATACCCCCTCGAGCTCCCTCCGAAGAGAAAGCCCGAGGACAGCATGCTGCGTATTGCACTAAAGTGTAATCACACACAATCTTCGCACCGACTCTCCCAAGGGGATCAGCAACGACGCAAGCGCCGCCACTGCCCCGATGTTTCTGATGCCAAGTGCAGGTGTGTCGCGAACGGTCACACCAGGCCCTCACGGGCAGTACCGGCGCCCTTCTCGCGGAGAAGGGCGTAGGTTGTTGAGTGAAGATTCCTCCGAATTTCTCATTTGCAAGAGTCTCGGGCCGGAGCCACGAGGACAGAAGGGACTTCTGCCGTGTGTAGCAAAGAAACGCAGCATTGGTGGGGATGGCGCTTGGGGAGAGAAAGAAAAAGTGAGTCAACTGTTTAAATATCGTGGTGGGCTGTTTCTGCCTGTGCTCTCCGCCTTGTGGTAGAACATAGGCAAATATAGTATGAAAATGAGCCTAGGCCCCCTTGGGACCTCCCTGCAGCCTGCTGGGCCTTGCTTATCATACAGAAGCTTCCAGAGTTCCAAGGTCGTACATTAGATCTTACACAGTGGGGTGTCATTGCCGACTTTCTGGTCCTGGACTGACCGGCCCTAGGGGTCAACAACGGGTTATACCTACTGAGACTTACCACAATGTCGCTGTCTTTTCGCGGAACATTAATCGAGAGGGATCCAAGGGAACCATATTTCGGCTATGTCAAACTAAGTGCTTATCCGCTTTCGATAGCTGGGCTGATTTGGGGTCACGTAACGTATTAATGGTAGTCCACGGGTGGAAAGGCGCCTCAAGAGAACAAAACTAAATGAGGAACTAATCAGAGGGGTGATTACCCGTTAGGGATCTTTGATATTCTTGGAGAGATGGAAAGAGTTAAGCCATGGTATGGGGTTTCGGCCATAGTTATTGAATCTCCTCGAATGCTCTAACAATAAATCGCTTACCTTTAATAACAATCTTCTCACCGACAGTTCTCCAAGGTTTAGTCCCTTCTTCTCCAAGACCAGCCTTCATAGATGGCAGTAAAGCGCCTTCAGCTCCGACAACATACTTGTTTTGCCAACCAGCGTTCCACTCTTCTCGTCTTGCACTAACCTCGTTTCCACTCTTGCGGATGACCCAGTCACCAGCTGAATTCTTTTGGCGAACGACAGTCTGCTCCTGTTGCAAAGCTAAAAAGGTACCCCAAATGCGACCCAGAAAAGTCTTAGTCACTGTGGTCGATTCTGCCTGGTTGTCCAGGTCACTATCATCGGACTCGAGGATCCATGAGATGCCCCGATTTGGCCCCTCGGGCCCTTCTTTGAAAGGAAGTTCCCGCCAAACCTCCTCATAGTCGGTCACAGGTGCGCCTGGGAGATCTGGACGAGGCATGGATCCAGTCTCTAACTCATCGCCATTGGGAAGCGAGACAAAGGTGCCGCAGTCCACACTCTCAAATGCATTGTGAGAGTCGAGCTCATGCGTGAATGCTACGCGCACTATATGAGGATTAGTCTGGTATCTGCTAAGTCTTCGAATAGTAGCTTACGTGGTTCTTGGCTCTGAACGACTCGTTGACCGGCAATTGCCCAGTCGATCCCGCCATGATTCTTGTCCATCCGTAGGTCAAGGTACCAGTCCTTGACAGACATCACTATTGTATCCGTCGTTTCTTGAGCCTTCTCAGGAAGCCATCGGAGGGAAATACGGGTTGAGAACCGACATGAGGTACTGAGCTCGCTGCTAGACATTGTTGTAACCCCGTTGCTCGAATCTGGAAGATGTTGTGGACAGAGTGCGCAAATGGAAGGGAAGTGGGGTTGGCGATATCGATATCTACGCGTTACGTTACAGCACAGGCCGATAGTTAGTTATGTACTCTCCCCGAATAATCTTGTGAGGCCAGAGACTTGATTCAATGGAGCAGCGGCGCATTTTTAGTCTCGCCCTGTCTATCTTTGGTCCAGCTTCGGCATTTCCATCAGGATTACCCGGAGCGAGTACCGCGTACAATCACCTCCATACCGGCTACCGATGTTGGTAACCGCCATTACTACCTCCTCCCCTATCCCCACCATTATCCCATCCTGTGCCTCCTCTACCCCCTAGTATATAACCGCCTCTACAGATCCGGTTTATCATAAGATAGTATGAGTTATGTAGACTGGGGTTGAGCCTGGAATATATTGACACTTATAGCTCTCTGCCCTGCCGTACCCAGCGATCAACGTCGTTATGAGTAGAGGGAGAGTTTGTACATTTTGGGGAATTATAATGGGGTCTATCCTACGGGATAAACACTTTGCCATGATTGGCCACATGCTACAACTCATGTCTGCCCCGGAGACTTCGAGTATCTTGCGGGCACATCTGTAGCCACAATGCCTAGTGTTGTGGTAACATGCGGGACAGAAAAAAAAAGGCCTGGAGATACTGCTCTATCGGCAATTGACGTCCGGTAATTTGCCCCAATGCACTATTGTTTGATTAGTGCTCAGCCATTTCTCTCCCATGTGTGCTATTTTGGGCGGCTTGTTCTGAGTGCTCCACAATAGGTTGGCCTGGACCGTCTAGGCGCAGACGATCATCTGCCGTTTGAGTCCGATCCCTGCGTAACTCCATATGCGAAGACTACATGTGGTTAATGTGGCTGACCGGACTGCATGTCCATAGGAGATGTCTTGGACATCAACGCCATGGACCGAGAGGGGAAAGGGAGGCGTAACGAAGTATTCTTTTTGTGAATAGCCCCCAACAGATCTCAGCCTTAAGGATCCCAAGCCTCAGGTGCCTCGGGTGACGTCTGACATGGACGACCGATTTTAGAAAGGATAATCAGTAAACATAACCTGGAAACCCAGGAATACCAGGCTCAAACGAATCAGCGATCGTCAGTAGGAGAGCCATGTACCATGGGCCAAGCATATGGGGGCCGCCTCGACGTGGCTTTGCTGAACAGCCACAGAGCTCGAAGTAAACAACCCTAACCCAGCCACCACCGACTCCGGGGTGATAGACGGCCTTGAGACGGAGTGCGGGATAGTGCGCGAATTTGAACCAGTTGGAGATAGCGTGCTATGCTCTGCGCAGGGTAATTTTGGGGCCCACCGAGGCTTCTCCTGTCGAGTGCGGGCCACTGGGTCTGACCGGCTACGGCGGTTTCGAATTAAGTGGGTCAGGGCTGAGTTGGACAACACAAGAAACACAGACCTTGACGTTCGGGCAGTGAATGCATGACGTTATTTGATTGTTTTGGATTAGAATCGCAAGGAAGCATTCTCAGTTGCAGTAAGGCAATCAATGGTAGTTTTCATGGGAGAAGCCTGGGGAAGAAACGAGAGATCACGCCGAGTGGTGAGGCTGAGAGAATCTGGACCGCGACAACGGTTCGGGACTGGTCTTGTAACTGGATCGTAACTCGTCGTATTTTGGGTCTTTTTCATGGGCCCTGGACCCACCGGCCTTCTCAGGGAAAGCTGAACAGAGTCAAAAACGTCTAGAAATTCGAGAACAAGGTGGAGTAGGATCGCAGACCCAGAGTACGAGTCAGTATTGAATATTAGAAATGTGTCAGCCCGAATTATGAACCTTGAAACTTCCCTCCAATTTCGCCATTTTGCCCTTCGCCTGCCGGACTAATTGGCCTCCGTCAAATCACCGTTGGAATCCTGGAACCTAATCCCCGGATCCCCCTTTCGACGAACTTGCATGGCCGTGGATTGCCTCTGGAACTGACCTTCTCGTGTCTTCAAGAGGCAACCTCTGCTCTTTCCATCCCTTCTTTTCAACCCTCGTTCTTTTGTACCTTCGATCTAGGCCTCGAAAACGCCTTGCTGCCTGCACGATCTCCGCGTCTTTGGCCCCGCCTGCATCCAACCTTCTTCCCTCGCCACAATTCGGTGCTCGTCCTCTCATTTACCCTCCATTCACTAAAACGCAGGCTCTCCGTGTCCCCTCGTTGCCCAAGGGCTGCTAACAGTCTCGCATCATTCGTTTAACGTCGGCCTCTTTTGACCTTGCCAAGCCACTCCGGCACACGAGCCCCCCTAGCGCGTTCGCCTTTCGACGTATCAGAGGCCGGCTGTCCTCAGGCCCCCTCTTCCAGTTGGCACCAACAACCCTTAAATACAACGCCCATCGCTGAATGGGCTAACCCGTCACCGTGCCTTACGCAAAGCACTTCCCAGGGCCCAGCTCCGCTTCGGAGCATATCACCAAGGTGCCTTCACACGGGTCGCGCGTCTCCCTCCTGGGAGGCGGCGCCTTCGATCCTTCTTTTCGCCAGGGACCCGGCTTCCGGGCTCGCGAGGGCTATACTAATGTCACGCCAACCAAGACTTCAGGAGAGTCCTGGCATTCCTTCCTCAACTCGCAATGGACTTGGTCCTTCGCCATCATCACTTTCTTTCAGACCCTTGTAACTCTGGGGGTTAGAGATGTATGCTCCCGCGACCGCTTACTTCATTTGCCGCAATACTGACTGCGCTGATCTTTCAGTTACATCTTCACCAACTTCCAAACCAAAGAACTCCCGAATAATGCCCCTCCTTCCAAAACTGTCCCGACATTTCTAGCGCTTTACAGCTTCGGTTTCATCTACGAGTTGGTGCTGGTGTGGGACGCCCTTCGCTTGAAAAACACCATTCAAGTCATCGGCCTCTGTCTGTGCAATGTCGGCCTATTAATTTACGGCGCGGTGCAAGTGCAACAGATTCGAACCTCCATTAACACTCTGGCAGTCATGTCAAAGATCGACCTCGTCGTTTGGTCGGAATCCGAGCCTTTCCTGATCATCATCCCGTGTATCGTTGCGCTCGGCACACTCCTCATGTCCTTCGTGGCGTGGAAACTGTACGACGAATTCGCGTGGACCATCTATAAGCACATCAGTGCCGACCTGCGTATGAAACGTCGTTATCTGACTTATCAGGTACAATACGTCTGCTCCAGCAGTCTCATTCGCACAAAGCTAACTAGGTCTAGATCTTCATTGCTCTGCTGAAGTTCGATTTCTTCTTTTTCTTGGGATTCACTGTCCAGTTCTTGGTAGTCGTGTCCTCGAGCTCCCATGATGCCGAGTTCTACCTCACTATTGTTGCGGTTCCCATCACTATCATCATTCTCGCCTGCAGTGCTTGGTTTGTTCGACGGGAATCTATGGTTGGCATGGTCGCGATTATTGTAAGCTCTGACCAAGTACTTCCTTATTTGGGCTGATAGCTAATACCTATATTCTTTAGCTTCTATTTTTTGCGGCCATGGCCTACTTCTGTTTCAAGCTGTACCGAATGTACGATCAACAAACAGCTCCCGAGTACCTTCCTGCACGAACGTCGATGGTTTTCTTCGCCGTCATCACCCTCTGCTTGATTGTTGCCACCATTATCAACGCCTGCATGTGCGCGAACAACTTCAACTGCGGATTGAAGCCACACATCAATAGCAAGGAGGACAAGTCCGAGGAGAAGCTCACCGAGCTCTCATCAAACATGGGAGCTGCTCCAGTCCCGTCTCGCATGATGATCGATTGATCTAGCGGAGATGATCACGCACTTCGAGCAACGGACTTCATACAACCTCTCCTGGCGTTTGACTAAAGAGCGTTTCCTCTTTCGCATCCCGGCCCTGTGCTTTTTCCCCTCCAGGGCTTTTCGTTATTTGAGCCTGATCTGCTTTATTATCTCTTTTTTATTTTTGACTCGATATGATACCTCACCCGCGACTCTCCTTTATCTACCCTCAATGCTCTCAGCATTAGGGGATTCAAAATTCCTGTGACTTTTATTCCTTATCAGATTACCCTTCACACATCCTTCATAAGCACGGTGGCGTTATTTGGATATTATTCCCAGAGGGTGTTCCGCTCTATGTCATTTACGACAGTCTCATGCCTTCGGCTTTCTTGCATGACCGTGATCTCCTTAGGATATCTCAAGAATCAAATGTTTGAATACCTGAATGATCGGCGCTACTTTTGCCAGTGTTTGCAACTTTTTAAAATTAAGATCAGGTTGTGAGTGTTAGCAACTTGTCTGATCCATACTTCCTGGCTACTGTTTCCAGTCTATGTAACTGCGCTTGACCCATAGAAGATCTGTATCTTGTAATATTGCCACCGAAATCCAAAAGTATGGTGAAGTTGCGTCTTTGACCGCAGATGGACGGTTGGTGGAGTTGGTAATAAAAACAAATAATACGACGATGTGAGGTGGCTATTACAATGTAGATACCGCACTAGTATCAAACAGGGAACCGTGATCGTGGCCTCATCTCCGCAAGCCTCGACCTCCTGTACCTCCCAGTCTTCCACACTCCTTTTCCTTCTCTCCCTCATTCAGTCTTTCATACCCAACTAATCACAATGGTACGTAAGCTCGATCAACGACACCCCAATCTCCTTCAAAAGCTCTCTCCAGCTCTCAATCGCACACACGCCTCCTTTCTTCTAAGAATTTCCAACCTCCACATAATGGAACAATTGCTCACCCGCATCGAATTCTCAGGCTTCTCCCCGTCCTGCCTCTCCTCTCACATCTGGCGCCGAGTCCGGCGCTGAGTCCAAGTCGGCTGGAGCCACTGGTGCTGTTGCGTCCGGCTCCTCCAGCAGTCGTCCTTCCTCGCCCACTCCTCCCGGCGGCCCTCGCGCTGCCATGCGCCGCCGCGCCGCCGCCGACCACAAGGAGTCCCTCCGTAACGCTCGCCCCAGCTCTACCCGGTCTGCTGGTGCTGGTGGTTCTTCCGGTACCATGCTCAAGCTTTACACCGACGAGAGCCCCGGTCTTCGCGTCGACCCCGTTGTTGTGCTGGTCCTGAGTTTGGGTTTCATTTTCTCGGTTGTTGGTCTGCACGGTATGTTTATAGCATTCTGCATGCATCAATTGATCATTTTCGAAGTCTTCACGATGGCCCAAATGACATGGTGTATCGTGGTAAACGTTGGTCGTTGTATTGGGTACTAACTTCAATGTTTCCAGTTATCGCCAAGATCACCCGCAAGTTCTCTGCTTAAGCAATTCTCCCAACCTGATCCTATAACGGGGTCTATTTGATGCGTCCAAAACAAGCATCATCACCACCTGTCTCGAAACCTCGAATCAGTCCTTCCTCTCCTATACCCCTTACCTTGAAATTTGGTTGTTCGGTCGAAATAAATGTAGCATTGGGACCCCCGATGGGGCTCTGCTGGTGTGAAACGTCTTCATCATCTCTTATATCTTGACATGCGTGGTGTTTGCTTCAAGCGGTGCTTTTATACGCACCATGAGATAACCTATCCGCTGTGTAGGTTAATCTGGATACCATAGCAATCTTCTGGGACCTCATACTTTGTGGACTTGTGGAGCAGTCTTCGTGCGCTTGTATGCGCTGGAGTATGCGGCGGTCTTCATCCATTTGTGGGTTCTTAGCAGGCAGCATGGCGTCCGATGAGTGTACCATATCAAGCTAAATGTGTTTCTTGCATTGAATTATTAATGGATTGATTGGCTTTGCCAACTTTGAACGTGACCTTGCTCACTCCACTGGGCCCGATACCTCGCTATCAAATATCCTCGCTTAGTCGTGCGCGAAAGGGAAGAAACATAAGAACTCGCCTACATCCGCAACCCAACCCAAGCCCTTGCGAAGGCCCGGTAGGGAATTTTGGTTGGAGTAGCTGCAAGTGATCAAGCATTCCCACCTTTTTGATCTCGCCTCGTTTCTCCTTCTCATTAGTATCTTTGACCACAGCAGATCAGAGAACTTGTTTCCAAGCAACTTTTATACCCGCCCTCCACTTAGTCCTTCTCGGCCTACACTTTGACAGGCATCCAAAGAGAAGGGGCGGCCCGCGTCCAATGATTCATGAGAGCTGGGTAAGAAGCGCTTGACCAATTACAACTGCCTTGAAGAGCTTTCCCAAAACTATCTTAGTTCCTTCACACCCTACTGCTCCGCGTCCCAGACCTCAGGCGCCGAGTATTTTAAGACATATCACGGAATGTTGTCAAGTAACAATTCCGGGCTCTGTCCTCGGTCTTCCTTTTATTGGCAAAGGTAGAATGTAACTCTTCAGGCTTTGGATCTTCGTATCACGCTTTGCATCTCCATCCCTTCTATGGCAGCTGCTTGTGTGTTCACCATCTTAAGAATGAATTGCAGTTTGTCGCTCAGCAGCCGGTCCTTATCTGCTCGATTTTCTGTCTCGTAAAAGTTTTGGATCTTTGACCCCAAATTTGACTCCAAACTACTGACCCGGCAGACCCATGGCACAAGGCTCAACTAGACGAGAACCAATCAAAAGGATGCTTAGAGCCCCATTCCCCGTTTCGAATGGGACTTCCATGTGCAAAGACGAAAAGAATGGGCCTAGCCACCGGCAGTCAAGCGAGCCATAATAATCCGTACATGCAGGTCGCTGACCTGCTGCTGAGACCCACCTATATAGTATCTTCTGTCTAGCTCAACCCCCGCCCGGGTGAAACTGGGGACCCCATGAGATTCACGGCTTCTCTGTCATCCTCGAGACCAGTCGGTTATTTGCTACTACTCTCGGTATTGATGGTACTATTCACACTATGGCGAACTTGAAGTTGTCGTATATTGCTAATCAGGTCACCGTGATGATCCTTTTGTTTTTTTGCTACTAGCACCAAAAGCATGCCTACTTTGGTTGCATTCATCACACTACAACTAGACCTAGTGATAGCGCTCTACTTTGAAGTTGTAGCACATGTAGCAAAGCTAGAAGCATCAGACCATGTCAAATTAGCATACTAAACGCGATTAGCCGTCGAATACCAACCCACCGGAGAATCGGAAAAGCAAAGCCCATGCCTCCAAAATGACAATAAGAATCGAGTAACTAGCCCAGCGATCTATCAACGGGATATCCTTCCGGCGCAACAGCATCGGGCCTTATAGGACCCCCCGACTCCACCACGATTCAGAATCGGGAGGGTTCTTATCTCCCGCTCCCCACTTAGCCAATCACAACCCATACATCCCTACCTCGCGCTGATAAGGCCGTCCAATTTGAATCGAAGACTCCGTACACCGAAGCGAGAGGCTGGCCATTGGCCCTATGACAAGGCAAAGCCAAGTAACCGGCCTTTTCTGCCGAACATATCTGATAGAGAAAATGGTGGAGAGGTGGAGGCGAGACCCCTTCCTTCCTCTGCAGGAAGCCGCCTATAGCGCGCCGTTCAACCGACAATTCCTCCCTCATTGGTCTGGGATGGCGTGCCATACCATTACGAGAGCAATTGGCTCTTATCTGGCCATCGCTTGTAGACTGTGGGTCATCCTATCTAAGCTCACGATCAGCCTGCGTGGGGTTGGCGCTTGCGAGTTCGGAGCTTGTGGTACTTTCCTTGGAGGACATATATCCAGGCTCGGTTCCCCTACGATGCCCTATATCGGATGATTATTGCAATATTGAATAGAACCAGTGACTTCGAGTTCTTTTGCCTGTACTTCAAGTTCGCTTCCAGTACTTGGATTAAAATTTGATATCTGATAGGCATCATACATTGATCGCATCGACTCGGGTACTGGTAACCATTGGTCTGCTTTTACTACCCGTGTTCGCTGCAACCTGGTCAGCTTGCCTGGCCACACAATAATGGCCGCTGAGACTGTCAGTTTCACGGCTCCCTTGTCGCAAGGATTTGGATATGGCATTATCCTTGGGTTAGGTTTTGCCTTTGCGCTTCTGATGATTTTCATCACTTGGGCTTTGAGACGGTATGCTCCTTTTTAGAAGCGGTTATACACGCTCGATAACTAATGACGGCCCTGGGGAAACAGATACCAGAATGAAGTCCAGACATCCGAAATGTTCTCAACGGCTGGCCGATCCGTCAAATCCGGACTGGTGGCTGCGGCAGTCGTGAGTAGTTGGACATGGGCAGCAACCCTTTTGCAATCTTCTGCAGTCGCATATAAGTATGGCATTTCAGGGCCATTTTTCTACGCATCTGGTATGTCTTTCGAACCGAGATTGAGAAAACATCGCTAAACATGGATCTCTCTCTCTTGTGCAGGCGCAACAGTACAGATTCTCCTCTTCGCGACGCTAGCTATCGAGCTTAAGCGACGTGCCCCCAATGCGCATACCTTCCTGGAAGTTATCCACGCCCGTTACGGGACAATAGTTCATGTTGTTTTCATTGTTTTCTGTCTTATGACCAACATTCTCGTTACTGCCATGCTGCTGACTGGTGGATCTGCCGTGATGACTTCGTTGACTGGCGTGTCGACTCCGGCCGCCTGTTTCTTGTTGCCAATTGGTGTCGTGCTATACACCCTTTTCGGTGGTATCAAGGCAACTTTCATCACCGACTATCTGCACACGGTGGTGATCTTGGTTGTTATTTTCCTTTTTGCGTTCTCGGCCTACGCTACCAACGCTCAGCTTGGGTCTCCTGGCCGTGTATACGATGCTTTGGTCGCGGCTTCGCAGCGTCACCCTGTCGAAGGAAATGCCCAAGGCAGCTATCTTACTATGAGATCAAAGGAGGGCGGTATTTTCTGGGTAATCAACCTCATTGGTAAGACCTCACTCATCCGCAACTGGCGATGAGAAATTGCTAAATGTACCACCTAGGAAACTTTGGCACTGTCTTCCTGGACAATGGATACTACAACAAGGCAATTGCCGCCAGCCCCGTCCACGCATTCCCCGGATACGTGATTGGTGGTCTCTGCTGGTTCGCGATTCCTTGGCTATGCGCTAGCACTTTGGGTATCTCTGCCTTGGCCCTCGAGGGACCCGCGCGACTCAGCCCCGACGACGTGACAGCCGGACTGGTTCTTCCCTTTGCCGCCGTCAAGCTCCTCGGATATAGCGGCGCCGTGGCAACAACTCTTATGATCTTCATGGCCGTAACATCCGCCTTTTCCGCGCAGCTCATCGCCGTGTCATCCATCTTCACTTACGATATCTACCAAGCCTACATCGACCCCGCAGCCAAGGGCAAGAAGCTCGTGTGGATCTCGCATATGTCTTGCATTGTATACTCGATCATCATGGCCGGGTTCGCCACAGGCCTCTACTACGCCGGTGTTGGCATGGGCTATCTATACCTTCTGATGGGCGTGATCATCTCCTCCGCCGTATTCCCCGGCGCCATGACCCTTCTCTGGAAGGGCCAGAACTGGATTGCTGCCGCCGCATCGCCCCCGCTCGGACTCGCCGTTTCCCTCATCGCCTGGCTGGTGACCACGAAGACCCAGTACGGCGAGCTCAACGTGATCACCACCGGCGAGAACTACCCAATGCTGGCAGGAAACGTTGCTGCCCTGCTCAGCCCGATGGTTTTCGTTCCCGTCTTTACCTACGTCTTCGGGCCCCAGAACTACGACTACGAGTCTATGAAGCAGATCCGCAGGGTCGATGACACCGACGTCGCTGCCGCCGCACACGTTGATATCGAGCTCATACCGGGCGAGGCGGGACCCTCGGACATCCAGAGCGAGGAGGAAACGCGCAAGCTGAACAAAGCGGCTCTCTACTCGCGCACTTTGACCGTCTTCATGGCACTTGCGCTGCTGATTCTCTGGCCGATCCCAATGTACGGCTCATCGTACGTGTTCAGCAAGCCGTTTTTCACTGGCTGGATCGTCGTGGGGATCCTGTGGCTCTTCTGCACTCTCTTTGGCGTTGTCATCTTCCCGCTGTGGGAGGGCCGGGAGAGCATCATTCGGGTGGCTCGTATGATGGCCTACGACATGGTTGGCGTGCGGCCGGCTGTCTATCGCGGACGCAAGGCTGAGGCGGATGCGTCTGGAGTAGAGACTCCGACGGAGCAAATCGGCGAGAAGGCCAAGGAGGCTGATACGCCAGCGTATTAGAGTTCTGATAGCCTTTTGAGGAGACCTTTGTCCTGTAAAGCTGGTTGTCCTTTTTATGTGATTTACGTTTTGTATACCCCCTTGATACACGTTTTGCAATTGTGATATTATTCAAAAAATCGAATCTTATTTCAAAAACTTGCCTCCCTAGAAGAACAGCAGTGGAATAGTAGTGGAATAGTAAAGAGACGTTGCCAGAAAATAAGAACAATGATGTGATGCGAACTGATGCGACCCCCAACGCCGAAATCTTCTCCAGAGCTACTAGTATGCACAAACCCATCATCTTTGGCACTGGCAAGAAAAGAAAGCATCAAAAAAATATGACGATCGAATGCTGGTGCAAGACATCTAGTGTGCCTCACTTGTACTCAGCACCTGGCGGCCCCTGGGGTGGCTTCTGAGCCCCATGAGCCATCGGAGGAGGCTGGGGTGGACCCCATTGGGGCCCAGGGTACCCATATGGTTGAGCTGGAGGCCGCGTGTCCGGTGTGATATCAGGCCGAATACTGCCAGATATCAGTTTCTGTAGCAGCCGAATAAACCTCAGTAGGTATTGTCTTCGGCTCTTACCTTAGGTCTTGTGAGAACTGACAAGTGAAACACCTGACTTCCTGCAGAGATGCATTAGCTATTGCCATCTAGCCAGGTACGAGGGTTTCCATCTGATTGGGACAGAAATTGAAACTTACTTTGTACTTGTGCGTGGCAAGCGGGATTATGGGCTGGTTTCGGTCACGTAAGTATTCTGCCCCAAGCTCTGATAACGCCAGACGAGGCACTTACAATGAAGCAGATGGTAAAAAATGGCCTGCGAATTGTTAATGAAATCCTATAGAGGGCTCTAAAGAGGTCTTTACATACCAGCGAGTGATGCAATGACCATTCCAATTATGGCCTGCATTCAAGCAACAGAGTTAATGTAACTGTCGCAAAGCTGCCTTAGGGAGACATAGGGGCAGCTCACAGTTTTGGCAATAGGCTCGGACGTGCTCATACCCCTCGAGCATAGAGGTGAACTCTAGGACCTTGTTAGCTCCCTCATGCGCGTGGAACCACCGGGGTAATCACCCGAGGGGCGGCCCCCACTGTGATATGGGACGGCCATCCAGTTAGCGCCGCAACTTACCATGCGTTCCAAAAGTGATACAAATAGCCATGGTGAGCTTAGGACTGAGATTGAAGATGGAAGCTTCCGACCTACCGGCTGTGCAAGGGAACTCGCCCTGAAGGCAGCGGCATTTAGACACTGGGTTCCTTGGCGGCACGTGAGTCCATGTGATTGGCTTCGGGGATGAAGACGGGAACAAACTACGAAAGAACAGCACACAGTATAGAATCGAAGGAAGTTTCAGATTGAATCATTACAGGGAACTCATGAATTATGTCAAAATATGAATCGTCTTTACAGTGTGCGATCCCATACAGAGAAGACGTGCAAATGCTCAGATATTCAGAAAAAAAAGGGAAAAACATATCGCTCGGTAGCATTTTGATGACTCCCATCCTCATGTCCCGCTCTTTGCCCGGTTGAAGTATGTCATTTTACTGAGTCTTGAAAAGGAGGATCGCGCAGTGGCCGAGGTAGAAGTAGATGAAATGCTTGGTCTCTGTAGAAAGAGTGAGCTACGTTCAAGGCTGGAGGTTTGAATTACTGACCGTGAGTGACGAAGCTGCCAAAGTTGCGTCCGACAACACAGTGCCAGGTAGCACCCTTCCGGGAATCAAACTAAGGAAATGTGAGCAAGCCGAGCAAGGAGTAGGGGAGAGGACATTGGAACAAACCTCTTTTTTGATGTATTGCGCGATATCCTATGAGGTGTTAGTATAGAAGAAAGAAAGATATGGAAACAAAGCTTCTTTATTGTGTACCTTTTCAATAGGGTATTTTTCCATGGCTTCGATAGCTAAGACGAGTCAGCTGGCGTCCCGATGCACCAAGGGATCTGATCTCCTACCAAGGTTGATGGCTTCCTGCTGCATATCTTCCGTCTATTCGTTTGAGTTAGGGTGGTGCGAACAATTGGCATGGGTCGGCCGGCCTACCATATCGACGGACTTGATCTGCGCTGTACAGCTTGTTAGTCGGCTAAACGGAGGACTCATGGAGGGGTGATGTCTTACCCTCCAGCTTCTCCTTCTTTTCGGTAGCCATTGTCGTGGGCGAGAAGGTGTCCTCAGGTAGCTGAGTTTCAACGGGAACGAGAAGGTCGGCTTGAGAATGGATGGTCTCACGAGTTGTGTTTAAAGAACCCAATCGCCAAGCGTCGCAGATAGAGGCGCGTCAGGGAGCAAAGCCTGACCGCCCTCCCGCCAATTATTACTGCCAGATAAAACAAGTTGCCGCCCTTCTCACCGCCATTGCTCCATACAAGACAGAAAAAAAAAATTTAGAACTATTAATCCAGTTTCTGCACTCACCCTTGAGCTTTCCCCAGCCACAAATCAGGATGGAAAGCACTCGGGTGTTTGTGAGTGGCTTGCCACCAACCTGCTCCAATGATCAACTTCGCAATCATTTTGCAGCTCGCTTCCAAGTCACAGATGCTCATGTTTTAAACAAGCGTCGTATGGGCTTTGTTGGGTTTAAAGACCATGAAACAGCTCAGCAAGCTGTCCGCCATTTTAACAGGACCTTTATGAAATTGTCCAAGATCACAGTAGATATTGCCCGTCCGGTATGTCAAACCTCGTTCCGTGTTGCCTGATGATTTGATTGCATTGTGCTTTCTCTCGCGTTCACGCTGACCAATTTTAACGGTCCCAAGACTGACCAGTGCTTTCGTAGATTGATTCCAAGCCCACTGAAAGATTTCACCCGACACGGAGGCATGATGCTGGCCCCGACTCTGACAATGTCTTGAAACGGAAGAGAGACGCGGAGAAGACGCAAGACCCTAAACTACAAGAGTATCTGTCTTTAATGCAGAACTCAAAAACTCACACATGGGCGAATGATGATGGCATGGTGAATCCTACTAAGGAAGAACCCTCTGCCCAAGCAAATACACCAGAAGCAGTTGTAACCGAGGAGCTGCCATCCCAGCCTAAGAAGCCTCGCACTCAAGAGGCTGCCCCTAAGCCTCAGACTGACATCCAGCCTACTATTGTGGACCATAGTGGCGATGGTGAAGCCGAGCATGCTGACATGGAAGATGACGGGGCCAAAGCTGAGAATGCTCCTGTATCAGACATGGACTGGCTGCGATCGAAGACAAGCCGTCTTTTAGGTCTTCTCGACGATGAAGAGCAAGCCGATTTCAATCAACGAAAGGTTGATGAGCTCGCTAGATCTGAAAGTCCTGTCGAGGAATCTCGTAGCGCAGCAATCAACCAAATTGCCAACCAAGGTACCACTAACAATGAGGATGTTGTTGAACCGACTGAACCGGCTCAACCGTCAGAGACAACACCGGAGCAAGACACCAACATTGATAATATCAGGCTCTCTGCTCGTTTATTTGTCAGGAATCTTGCTTATTATGTGACTGAGGGAGATCTTGAGCCTTTGTTTTCAGAGTACGGCAAGACTGAAGAGGTTAGTTGCAATCTTTTATTTTTACCCATACCCATCGCCCCTTCACACATATCAGCCATTGTATTATCCAATGGCTGGGCTGCTCGCATGATGATTATCCTGATAGGGACATCCGATGTCAAAAGGCAAATGATGTCAACAGGCAAGAGATTTTAGTAGATGCTTCTTGGTTTTCTGAACAGCAGCGGCATATTTCACCTTCCCACTTTCGTAACGGGTCAAATATTTATGATCCATTACTAACGGAATATATAGATTCATGTGGCTTTTGACACTCGCACCGAAAAAAGCAAAGGGTTTGCCTATGTGCAATACCACGATGCAGATGCCGCCGTTGATGCCTACCGTGGTCTCGACGGGAAGCATTTCCAAGGCCGTATCCTGCATGTCTTGCCAGCTGCAGCAAAGAAAACCTACAAGATCGATGAACATGAGCTTTCAAAATTGCCTATCAAGAAGCAAAATCAAATCAAGCGCAAGCTTGGAGCTTCCTCATCATCATTCAGCTGGAATTCTCTCTACATGAACGTAAGTTTACATCTCTTTGACCCTGGAAGGATGATTGCTAATTGCTCCCCAGACTGATGCCGTGATGGCATCTGTGGCCGAGAGACTGGGTGTTTCCAAAGCCGACCTTTTGGACCCCACTTCTTCCGACGCTGCGGTTAAGCAAGCGCATGCTGAGACCCACGTCATCCAGGAGACGAAGGCGTATTTTGCTTCGAATGGCGTCAATATCGACGCTTTTAAGCACCGTGAACGTGGAAACACTGCTATCTTAGTGAAGAACTTTTCGTACGGAGTGAAGTCTGGCGAGCTGAGATCCCTTTTTGAACCATATGGTCAAATAATTCGACTGCTTATGCCACCCAGTGGTACCATCGCAATTGTTGAATTTGCTCGTCCAGATGAGGCCCAGAAGGCGTTCAAGGGTCTTGCCTACCGTAAAATAGGTGACTCGATTCTGTTCCTGGAAAAGGCGCCACGGGATCTATTTGATTCCGCTTCAACCCCCAAGATTGACGTCCCGGAGGTACGGGGCAAATCACAGGGATTCTCTACTTCAGATACTTTCGCCGCGGATGAGCCGGAAAGCGGCATGACGACCACGTTATTTGTGAAGAATTTGAACTTCGCAACCACCAACGAGACTTTCTTGGAAGCCTTCAAGCCTTTGGATGGGTTTGTTACTGGACGTGTTAAGACCAAGCCCGATCCCAAGCGGCCAGGCCAGACCCTCAGCATGGGTTTTGGTTTTGTCGAGTTCAAAACCAAGGCTCAGGCTCAGGCAGCCCAGGCAGCCATGAATGGTTACAAGCTTGATCAGCATGAGCTTGTTATTCGTGCCTCTCACAGAGGTATGGATGCTGCAGAGGAGAGGAGACGCGAAGACACCGCCAAAAAGATCGCGGCCAGAAGAACCAAGATCATCATCAAAAACTTGCCGTTCCAGGTCACAAAGAAGGACATTCGGTCACTGTTCGGGGCTTATGGACAGCTGCGGTCGGTGCGGGTGCCTCAAAAGTTCGATCGTTCCGCTCGTGGTTTCGGTTTCGCGGATTTCATCAGTGCTCGCGAGGCGGAAAATGCCATGGACGCGTTGAAAAACACGCATCTCCTGGGTCGGCGATTAGTGTTGGAATTCGCGAACGAGGAGGCTGTCGATCCCGAGGAGGAGATCGCGAAGATAGAAAAGAAGGTAGGGGAACAGGTGGACAGGGTCAGGGCCCAGCAGCTTATGGGCCCCGGGCGAAAGAAATTCACTGTAGGGGCCCAGGAGGACGAGGAAGCATGAAGGTGCCTGTCCCTTCTCCCTGCGACAAGGGCGTGAAGTGGATTTGTCGACCCCCGCCCCTTGCGTGTAGCGGGAGGAAACGATGTACGATTACTCGCATACGGCTTTTTTTTTTACCTGCAACCCAATAGAGATACCCGACACGTTCCTGCGGCTGATAGCTTGTTTCCTAGTTCTGCATACGCGATCCTCGTGTACGTGCAGTGCTCGTGTGCTGAAGTAGTGTACTTGCCCCCATTCTAGGCTGGTTCTTAACCCTAACGACCCAAACCTTGGTGTACCCGTGTACCACGCCTCCCCTTCCCCACCAAATTGCCCAAGCTCCCTCATACTGGGGGGCCAACCGGTCCAATGAGTGATTTCTCCATAATGTTTGCTTTTTGTTGTTCATGATAAGCGGGTCTGTCGAGATCAACTCTCCTCAAATTACATTCCTCAGCTGATGACACCGGGCGCGGGCTGAACATTCCTGGCCCTGGGAATCGTGCAAGATCGTTGGACAGACGACATTCTTGTCAATGGCCCATTGCCACAGATCATGGTAGTCTTTGTCAACAAAGGCAGGAGTGACGGTGTTCTCGAGTCGATTCATGGAACACAAAATCCCCGAGTCGCTCATCACTGGACCGTGCTGTCGAGGTATCCCTTGCATCCCACACAGTTCCTTCATATCGTGCCCTGTCTTGACTCCTGATTTGTCGCGGCAAGGACAGATTGTCGCCGTCTTTGACCCTCTTAGTGCCTGGACGCGTGAAAGACCCGAGACTGGGGCACCGTAGGAGTATGGAGCTGGCGTTCGAGGGTCGTGGTCCTAGGCAAACCGAACCTGGCGGAACAATGCTGCTACTAAGGACTAGACCACCCCTCTTCCAAGGGAGTTATGGTTCCCTATAAACACCTTCCTACTCGCTCTCACATTCTCTTCCTCAGGTCCTGACATTCTCTTCAGACCGTCTGCGTTCTTGGGTTGCTTGGTTTGTGACTGAGCTGCGTTCTTTGCCAGGCAGTAAGCATTTGACAGCGGCTCTCAAACTTCCCCCCTCCTCTTTTGGAATCTGTCATTCTTTTCGAGAAGCCCGTCTTTTGTTCCCCTCCATGGCTACTGAATGGCAACCGGAGTGCCTTGTGCCTCAGAACCAGCCGTCCCTTGACGTAGTCGGCGCTCATACAGATCGGGCTCTGCAGAGTACATCCGGGAACGTTCAGTCGTACTCGGATCCTCTGGCTCACACTGACGCTGCTGCTCGAGAAGAGCAGCTCCAGCAGTTGGCGTTCAAGTATCCACACCATCAGACTCCCATCGCCGCTGTCCCGGCCTCCAATCTCCAGCATCACCAAGCCATAGCAGCTAAACTCCATGCGAGAAAGCTTCGCCGGCTTCATTCTGTTGGACCAAACGCAGCTCCCCGCCGGGAAGAAGCTACCTCAAGTCCCAGAAGTACTTGGAATACAGGGCCCGCCCTCGAAGAGATACTGGCAAAGACGGCGAGCCTGTTTGGTCTGATGAGCTCGAGGATGCTTTCCAGCAAGGTGAGACTTTTGAGTTCATACAAAGCCTCCAACCTTCATAGACTAATTCAGCCCCAAAATACTTTAGCCCTCGAAGCCAACCCTCCCATGGGCCGACGAAAGTGGTCTGAACGAGGCAAATCCTATGGCCGCAACGAGCTGATTGCTGAGTACATCTTTAAGCTTACTGGGAAGAGGAGAACTCGGAAGCAGGTATCGAGCCATTTGCAGGTACTTGACTCATTCCTCAAGGGTGATCCCGACTGTAAGTGGCTAGGAGTGGAGGAACGCCTAATACAATAACGTCTGTTGACTTTCTCGGACACAGGGGAACGATTGGTACGAGAAACGTCGACCGAGCGACCGAGTAGTCATACCCAAGCAGCTGCTCCAAAATGGCGTAGCTCTATGGAACATCCAGGCGCTCCAAGCCACTACGGGACATCTTCTCACGCTGCATACCACGATCCCATGAGATCCATGCAGTCTTACGGGGAGAGCTTGCCCCCGCCTCACTACACTTTGGGAGCCAACATGCAGGAGGCCAGGAACAAGAATATCCATGCCTTCAATTTCGACATGTGGGTGAGCGCGCCCCAGCAGGCAAATCGCATTGATGAGGCATTGCACACATACACGCGGCTTCAGGGAGACCTCCAACCTCCGCCAATCCCTCTGGAGAATGTCAGTGGCTGGCGATCTTCATTCCCACACCTGTCATCTATAATGGATGACCTGAACGGCCCTCTCGACTGCGACATCATCCTGATGGAGGTGAACCTTGAACTGATGACAGACTTCCCCCCCTTCTGGATCTCGACTGGGGATCCAGCTCGACCTTGACTATGCGCATCCCACCGCGGGAGATGTGCTCATGGTCAGCCAAATGGACAAGTGGACTTGCAGTACCCATCTATACGAAGACGGCCGGGTAATCAGGGAGACATATCATGATCTGCACAAGCCACAGTCCACAAAGGTTAAGCCTTTGTTCGAGTCATCCTGGTGGGCCAAAATGTTTACCGACTTGACCCAGAACAAGCGTATGGCAGAAGATTCCGGCAATCCAGAAAAGATCCAAGCCACAGAGGATCGTACGCGTCGCTATTTCCGCTCTTTGTCTGCAGTACAAGAGCTGCGAGCGATGCCTTCTACCTCACGGCGGTACTCAACTCACTTCCAGCCTGACAGTGAACGAATGGCTATTCTCCTGTGGAAGTTCCGTCAGACGCGCCCGGGTGAAGTTGGAACCACCACTTGGCGTCGCTTGATCCCACCTCCAGATCGCACCCAGACGAACAGCCCCAGAGCTGCCGCTGGCGTTGATCTTCCACCTCTTTCCCTGGATTCCATTCTCCTCAACAAGTCCACCCAGAATGTCTATCAGCATCCGCACTCTCAAGACCTGATGCATCATCAAGGGGGCCAGCCTCAACACCAATGGCCTCTATACTCATCTTCTCACGACAACGTGGCAAATATCTTCAACACTCCCAGTCACCTTGACTTCATGACCGCCATCACGAAGTCAGAAGATGGTCTGGACAAGACAGCTGTAACCTCTGTCTTGGACTCATTCTCTTCCAGTCTAGCAACCGAGACTCCTCAACCCACCAGCATGACTGCCCCCCGCAGTGGCTCAATGATGCTCAATGTTCATGACCTTCCTCTCTCCCACCCGAACATGGGTTACACACTGAGCCATGACACCAACCACTACATGCCGCAGCAGCAACATGGCGTCAACCTTCACGACAGCCACAGCATGCTGAACGGCTTTTTTGCACCTGGTACCCAATCTCTCGACGACCTTAGCCACGCCCAAGGCTCCTGGGCAGCCCATTCCACCTCCCTCTCCGGTGACGTGGGCGGCTACCACGGAATGCCCTTCCAAGACCACCAGGTCTCCTCTGCTCGAGAATCTCAGCAGCCACATAATTTCGACGGTCTCCTCCCACCGGATGACCTGATGGACAAGCTGGTTGGACGGATGTCCAACGGCTCCAGTATGCACGGGGCGGGCCCTGAGCATGCGAACTCTGCGTACGCGGACAACGCGGCGGTGGACGCAGTCTAATGATTCACAAACCAACCAACCAAAAACTAGTTGTAATGATAATTTCTTCTTCGTGATCCGTGTACTCTTATACCAGGGACTGGTACTACTTTTTCCTCCTTTTCTTTTCTGGGACTATTTTCCATTACATGTGGGGCGCACAAAAGAGGGGGAGTTTGGGGATTTGGCTTTTATTTTTTTTTTTCGAGAAGGAATTGGCCCACATCTGATTGTTTCTCAGATATCTAGCGAATCTACTGTTTCTATATCAATCGACCTGGGTAAATAGGAGCCGTAGTTTAGCCGTCTTTAGCCGGGCCTAGTGGGGCTTACTACCCTATGTATGCGTGTATACGGCTTAGCCTGGGCATTTAGCCTGTCCGGTTCTAGATTCCGCTCCTCTTCATGATTCCATGGATGTCTTTTGAATTACTTAAAAAGCGGCCTACTGCCCCGCAATGCGGAGGTCATTGCTCTGCAAAGAATAAAACTCGGTTGGTCCTTTCGTCTTTGTGGGCAGCACCTACAAGCAGCGCTCGCTAAACCAATCTCCCACGTCTTAGTCAAAAACGAACATCACGATGGCAGTACCTACGGTCAAGCTAAGCAGTGGATATGAAATGCCTCTTGTGGGGTTCGGCCTGTGGAAGGTGAAGAATGATACCTGCGCCGACCAGATCTACAATGCTATCAAGGCCGGCTACCGCTGCTTTGACGGTGCCTGCGGTATGTCTCCGATCTCTCTCCATTTGGGCTTCGTGCATTCAGAACTAACCTGTACTTAAATCCCAGACTACGGTAACGAAGTCGAGGCTGGCCAGGGCGTAGCCCGCGCCATTAAAGACGGACTCGTGAAGCGCGAAGAGCTCTTCATCGTCTCCAAGCTCTGGAACAGCTTTCACGAAGGTGACAAAGTCGAACCGATCTGCCGCAAACAGCTCGCCGACTGGGGCGTGGACTACTTCGATCTGTACATCGTGCACTTCCCGGTGGCCCTGAAATACGTCGACCCGAGCGTGCGCTACCCGCCCGGCTGGACGTCAGCCGACGACAAGATCGAGCTGGCCAATGCCCCGATCCACGAGACTTGGGCTGCCATGGAGTCCCTCGTGGACAAGAAGCTCGCGCGCAGCATTGGCGTCAGTAACTTCAGCTCCCAGCTCTTGATGGACCTGCTGCGCTACGCGCGGGTGCGTCCCGCCACTCTCCAAATCGAGCACCACCCTTACCTGACGCAAACGCGACTGGTGGAGTATGCGCAGAAGCAAGGGATTGCCGTGACTGCGTATTCGTCTTTTGGTCCCTTGAGCTTCCTCGAGCTTGAATTGAAGCATGCGCGGGATACCCCTCCGTTGTTTGAGCATCCGGTTATCAAGGGCCTTGCGGAGAAGTATAGTCGGACGCCGGCGCAGGTGCTGCTGCGGTGGGCTACCCAGCGCAACATTGCGGTCATCCCTAAGAGTAACGACCCAACTCGGTTGGCACAGAACTTGCAGGTCACCGATTTTGACCTGGAGAAGAGCGAACTCGAGGCTATCAGCGCGCTAGACAAGGGTTTACGATTCAATGATCCTGTTGCGGTAAGTGCTTTGACTATTCTTTGAAAGACTAGCCGGATTGTGTTCGATTCTTTGAGCTAATATTTGCAATAGTACGGCATGGACATTCCCATTTTCTAGAGAGCACCCTATGCTGGCCACGTTAGAGTGAGGTGCGGGGTCCATGGACTGATATCATAAACGATGCGTATTTGAATTGTGGCTATTTCCTTTTGACTTTGTTTATCGAAGGATTTCATGTACAAGATTCAACTCGGGAGCACGGAAGCTACTTATCACATTAGAATAGTACTGCAGTAGTTTACAGAAGCTAACGATCGATCCTAAACAACACATCCATACTCTCTGGACTTTACTCGCCGAGGGCCTCAGCTATCAGGCCCAGCCAGTATAAGCCACCTGCTTCCCAAGTATCCCAAGGAAAGGTTCACCTTCGGTCTATTCAAGATCGGCGGTTGTGTAGTGGCACTCATCTACTAATAGGGACCTCTGGAAATTCTGGGTCAGATTCAAAGGCAAGCTTGAATGATCACGAGGGAGGCGTGTTCCGGCAATGCGTTAATCTCACTTTGTACGGTAAGAAAATACTTTGAATTTATGGTAAGAACGTATGTTGGTGCTCAAGCTGGGAAAACAATATTGAATCTTCTTCAATCTATTGTTCTGAGTCGTAATCACACGGTCACAGGACGCAAAGTAGCGTTGTGCTAGGATGATGTCTACCCAAGAGCTTTAGACATGGTCACCTGATACAATTCTCTACGATTTCGCAGCCAACGTGCCAGATATTCTTGAGGCTATCGCGCTGGAAAACTTATCTGACGATCATATCAGGCGTCGACTAGGACTGGCAATGTGGTCCGCAAGCGAGATCCTCAGCCCTCCACCCCTTGAATTGAGAAGAGACCCTTCATATTGATAATATTAACCACCTAGAAAGTTAACTTAGTTCACGTATTGAAGGGCACCTATTACACCTATGCCCAACTATTCTACATAATGGACAAGCCGGCTGCCTCCGCGTAGTAGACGAAAGTAAACCTTGCCCCAATTTTGCGACCGCTAGTACCGCATCCATCGCTGCTATAGCCTTTGATCTCGTGCGTTCTTTCCCTGTCGACCAGTGGTGCACTTCAAGAGTTCGTCACGTATTACCCTGAGCTGAAGCATTTGAAGCTCGTGGGCTTTGGCAATAATGTCGACTACTTCAAGTAGCTCCTCTCCAGTTTCCGCTCCTGATCGAACTTGAGCCAACATTTCGCGAGAAACGGATTCGATGTGATCTCCAATAAACATGCGGCTCCCCTTCTGAGGCTTGGGATAATCATGCCGTCGTGACGCAGATTCCCGGAGCTCGCTGTGTCGTTTCATGAAGTTGGAGACCCAATTTATCCCGACTGTGGTAGTTGTGGAAGAGCCACGAACTGTGAGCAATACATTTGCCATATCACGAATTTGTGACTGTCGAGGGAAAAGGCCGCAAAGATGTGAGCCAAGGACCCATTTCCTCAACCACTCCTCTTCGTCAAGAGTTAATTTACAGCAATTGGGGCGTGTTTCGCTGCGAGGTTTGACTCCGCGAAGTCTATTGCGAAGCGTAGACTCCGAGACCTCGTGAATACGGGCAGCTTCGCGTATGGAGGCGACTTCGTTATCCCGAACAGCATTAACAGCGAGGTCAAGCCTCCCCTCCTTCGAGTGGATTCGGATTCGGGGGCGCTTTGGGGGCATCGTGGATGGGTGGCAATTGGTGAAAACTCGACGCGTCGCGAGGTCTAACTAACCTGGGGCTGTTGACATCACGTGCGAGTCACGTTATCAATCCTACAGCAAAAGGTTATCAACGCATGGAGGAGCAGCCGCTTATCGCGCCAAGACCAGGCCCGATAAGGCCCTCTGGCATCGCAAACTGGTTGGAAACTTCATCCAGAACCAACAAAATGTCCCTGGCCAAAACCCTGCCCGCCCGCGTGGGCGCAACAGTGCGGGTGAGGATGTTCCCAACCCCGAGCACTCTCGGCGAGAGCAGACAGGTGCTCGCCATGCTGCAGAAGTTCGGCGAAGTGGCAACATTCAAGAATCTCAATGTACGCTTCTGCGGCCAAGCTCTCCCACGATCCCAAAACTGACCAAGGACAGTACGAGATGAGCAAGAAATCAGCGAAGAAAAGAAGGCCAGTCATCGCCATTTTCGATACCCCCGAAGCTGCACAGAAAGCCGTCGCGTCGTCGCCGATCACCATCCCGCTCGAACGCGCACCTTCGGTGCTGCCCTCTTCAGACGCCCCTCGAGCTGGAGCCTCAACCGCCAGTCCAGCTGCGGAGGAACCATTGCCGGAAGAATCAGTGTCAGTACCGGAGACAATAACGTGTCTTATTGAAGCGGACGAGGGTTGGCCGCATTTTGCTGCAATGCGGCGAAACCCGTATTATCTTGCGTACAAAGCGAAGAAGCCCCAAACGGAGATTTATAAAGACATGGCAGATCCGACCACGGGAACACCACTGAAAGCGCTACGGGACGTGTTACAAAGCAATGTGGAGTCAATGGCTACATCCGCGGCGCGACAAGATCTGCCAGCCGAAAAGGCAGCACGGTTACAGAAGCGAGTAAGGGATATTAGGGTGGAGAACCAGAATTGGGGCGCCGAGAGTTTAATGGGACTTCACGAGGGCAGAACCGGGCGTGCTCTCTATCAAGCTGGAGGTGGCCCGGCGAACAAGTCAAAGACTTACTAGTAGATCCAGGAGGCATTGGTCTGCTAGCCCGCCTGAGGGCTCCCATGAGCAGGGCTATGGCAGGCCTTCCGCGTTCGTTTTGAGAGTCATGTACAATATATACCCCATCATCGTCAATCATATAACGCCTCGAAAGAATCTCGAGGGGCTTGTTTCTAGAATTCAAATTCGTTTTCATAGAATCCATCTGTTGGAGCCTTCTGCGGGCTGAACCCCCCGTCACACATCATTATGAATTTACCATCCTCAAGCTGACGTGAAGTACCGGCAATCGCCAGAATCAGACCAGACTTATCAACCATCAACATCCCGACTAATCTCACACTCGCACATAAGCTAGAGTATGTTAGCAAATGGAACATCTGTATACCACAAGAAAATAGCGAAACATACTGGCATCGATCTGGACAACTTGCGGCAAGGCCAAGCGCACTTTGTTGCGATATACTGCGGGCCCATTCGTCTGTAGAGGGTTTCCCTCAAAGTACACAGTCTGCAGCTTCTCCTTGTCTTTGAGCTCACGTTCCACCTCGTCGAAGCTAGAAAGCTGGTTATTTGATCCCCAGAGCTCCTCAAGGTTCTTCAATGTAGTCAAGTGCTCCAAATGGGAGACCTGGTTGTTGGAAAAATCCAACACGCGCAGGGTGGTATTGGATTCTAATCCTGAGAGGTCGGAAATAGCATTATGGGAAAGGTATAGTTCTTCGAGCTTCGGTAGGGCAGAGACACCTGTGATGTTGGTGAGGCGATTTGATTGAATGGAAATGATGCGGAGGTTAGAGAGGTGGTCCAAGTTCTGACAGAGGTTAGTTTAGCACGCGCGCATAATTAAACAATATACTCACTTTCATCTCCGTGATCTTATTCTTTCCGAGCCACAGCTCCTCGAGAGCTGCGAGGGAATCCAGATTTTCGATTTCCTGTCCAGATGGTCAATCCCTGAAAGCTAACAAAAAACAGAGAGAACCTGGTGCAGGCATTGCCCGTAGAACATACGCGGATCCGGTTTGCACCCAGCTCCAGATTCCTCAGAGCAGTCAACTCGTCTAACCCTTCAATCCGGGAGATCTTATTCTGGACAAAAAAGAGCTCCCTCAACTTAACCAGGTGATCCACATTCTTGATGTGTTTAATCTTGTTGAAGCTAAGGTCCAAGCTGGTCAACTCACGGAACTCGTCTAGACCCTTCACATGACCGATAAGGTTGTCATAGAGATCGAGCTCTCGAAGGGTGGCGGCAACATTCGGTGGGAATTCGATACGGGATATCTGGTTTTGACGAAAGCATAGCCTCTGATGAATTTATTAGCCAGCGATTTCAGAGCTTGGAGAATTTCAAAGCACACAGCCCAGCAGATTCTTGTGCAGCAATCCTCCACAGGAAATCGTCCATAGCGTATGCGGTGGAAGTATATGTACAAGGGAAGAGCGGGGGAAGTACCTGAAGCTTGGAGAAACGTTCAAGCCGAAGCGCGGGGATCGACGATATGCGACAGTGCACTAGATCAATATCCTGCGGGGAGCGAGATCAGCAAAGCTGCGCCTGAATCCTTGCAAGAATGAGAACATTGCGGGCTCCTTCACATACCTCAACTTCCGGATCCTCTTCTGCTAGGAGATCTGCGCAATTTTAGTGCCAGCCTCGGCATAATGCAGCTTATGGAACGTCTTACCTTCGTCCGCCTCGATCTCCTCAACTGGTGGGGCCTCTGGGTCGGAATAGTCTGAATCCTCCAATGCCTCTGGGTTCGTAATCACAGCCTTCGGCTCGACACGAAGCTTACCGTCCCAGCCCTCTTTGTTCTTCATTTTGGGTGGTTCGAGGAGAGGAAACGAATGAGGTGCGGGCGGTGAAGTGATGCAGGAGGGGCGCGGTTTTTGCGGGGAGCTTCTGGCAATCGCGTGGTCAGATGTGCCCGGGGGGCCAACGTTGTATCGGTGACAAAGCCGGTGACGTGGATCAAATTGATTAGAATGTAGTATTGTCAGTTGACCTCTCTTTACTTGCCCAATGGTTATGGCTACTGCTGGTGGTGATTCCCATCTTTGCTTTGGGAAAGGTGGATGCTGACTACATCATCCAGATGTCCTAAAGCGGCCTGCTGACCGAACACACGGCCAAACCTTGGGAGATTCAAAGCTACATTTCCTACTGGAACCTGATACTACTCAGAAACGTCATTCATTGAACAGATCCAACACAATGGGCCAAGCTGTAGTGTATTCCTGGTGAGACGTGTTTCGAGGACTATATATACAGCAGAGTGCCGCGGCCGTCCGGCGACTTCCATCGAACAAGATCACAAGATCAGACCGCGAGGAAACCTAGCTTTCATCGGAGCAGTATGATGAAGCAACTACGCTGCTCAAGAATGCACGTTCACCAGTCAGATTTTATTAGTGACGGTTCTCAGGTCATTCGGGGCAAGTGGAGGCCTGGGCGACTGATAGCAAAGTGTGGATGCGGTTGGACAATCGGACAACGGTAACGCATAGGGAGATACAGCGGCAAGGTGGAGAAACAGACGCCTGCGGAATGCATCGGGTAATGCGGGCTGATGGTAACAGGGGGAGGGGTACTAGCAAGGAAATCTGGGACATGACTGGGGGTCGACTGGACTAGGAGACAGGCTCGCTGGGAGCAGAGTTAAGTAAAATCACAGGGCGTAGGAAAAGTAGAATGGAACAAAGATGCCAAGTTTTACTGTAGGCTGCTCGGGAAATAGATGGGGTTTCAAAGAGGAAGAAATGCATCAGATGGGCGACGACCAGGAAGGAACCCAGTTCCCTCGTTTGAGGCCAGAGGTTGCATCGAGAAGAGAAAAAGAGATGGTGAATCAAAGGGCTTCGAAAAACAGATCGGGAGCAATCGGGATGCCGAGGTAGGAATAAATAGAGCTTTTCTTGCAAAAATAGGGAAACAGTAACAAAATGAAAGACGCGCTCAAAGGGGGAATCTCGGGCGTTATAGAGCATCTGGATAACAAGGAATTCACAGGGTGATGTCCAAGACCATGCTGACATCTTGGACTTGAGCCCCCGCAAGATCCTCGAGAACGGGGATTAGGTCAAGCAGTTCATTGTCGTGAGCGTCAGAGAACCAGCTGCTGATGGGTATTGCGTGTTGAGGATGGAAGATGTAAGAAGTCGGAGAATTGTCAATGATGATCGTATCCTTCAAGTCACGACCGACTTGGGAAAGGTCCTGCGAGAGATGGTTAGCACGGCCAACCAGGAAAGGAGATTCCTAAGATGCCACAAACCTTGACATAGTTCCCTTGATGATTGTAACAACTCTCTCGGAACAATCGGTGGTGAACAACATTATGGATATCAAGCTGGTCTAAAAGCGGATCGCCATACTGTGTTCCAAGTTAGCTTGTTTTTCTCAGAATGCCACCGGTCCGAGCGTAGATGGGTCACAAACCTTTGATACGGAAGCTGTAAACACTACGACTTCATACAGCTCGCCCACCCGTTTCATGAATTGGTCCACACCAGGGCGTTTAATCACGTAAATGTTATGGTATTGACCTTCGATCTCGACAGGGATGGTAAAATCAGCACGCTCGAGAACCTGGTTGGAAATAGTAGTTTGATCAATCAGCCAATGCTTTCGGGGAGAGGGGCAATCCAAATAATTACCTTGAAGCTGCTGTGAACTAATGTCTCGTCCAAGTCCAAAACCAGGCACTTTCGGCCCTGTAAAGCTGGCACAGCTGGGGGCAGCAACCATTGCCCATCGTCTCGATCTGACACTGAAGGGGGATTCGGCACGGGCAATGGGGGAGGCGGAGGTGGAGGCAACACCGGAGCAGAATGGATCACCTCATTTTCCTCGTGCGACGGGGCATCCTCGGCCGAATCTCCCAGTTTCTTCGAAGTCACTTCGGCAGGGACAGGTTCCGGAGCGCTAGTCTGATCTTCAGATGACGGTCCATCCGCTTTGGATTCAGTTGCAACCCCGTTCGCCTTTACACTCTCGATTTGATCCTCTTTTTCTTTGGCAGAGCTGTCGGGCTGAGTTCCTGCTGATTGGCCTTCGCTTTGCACATCGGCGATCGATGGGGCCTTTTGCGCATGAGAAGAATCTTCGTTTGATATCGCGTTAGACTTCTCATCATAATAAGCGGGTTCTTTGGACTCGGCAGTGCTCGAATCGCCGGCGTTGACCTCGGTCTTGTCGGGGGTCGCAAGCCTGGCGGGGGCGGGCTCCTTATTCGATGCCTTGGGCGGTACCGGTGGCTCATCATCGCCATCCACCCCGGAAGAGCAGCAGCTCAAGAAGCCGAAGAGACCCCTCTTTTTCGCGGGTGGAGGGTGGCCGTTCATATCCGGGGTGGTTGGGGTGGCGGCATCGGCGGTGGACTCCCGAGGCTTCTCGACTTTTGGAGCATCGGGGCTTCCCCGTCGCGACCGCCTGCTGCTTGCGCGACTGCGGTCTCTGCGCACTTTCAATATACTAACTTTCGATCCTCGGCGCGCGGGCTCTGCCTGCCCCGGGTCCTCCGTCTTCTCTGAGACAGGTTGCTTATCCGTTTTCGAGGCCTTGGAGGACCGACGAGAGGGAATTGGAATGAGAAGGTGGTTCTTCTTCGGGGTTTCGTTATTCTGGGCGGGTTCCGCCGAGCTTGAAGGAGATGCGACCGCTGATGAGGTTGGTGGAGAGGGTGCGGTCGGGTTCACATCAGGACTCTCGACACCGGCGGCCGTCTGACCCGGTGTTGATTCCGGCCCTAAGCAACTTTAGCATTAGCAATCGTGCTACTCTCCCGAGCGTCTTGTGCAGCCAAAGGGGTCAGAGTGAGATATGCGCAATCACTTACCAGGGGCGACATTCTCGGAAGAATTCATGGGCACAGTGCCCGCAGACTCGGGAGCTTGGGGAGAGGGATCTCGCCCCGTGCTCGCTCCACGCATCAGGGGAGACTTAGTAGGAAGGGCAGGGATGGATCACTGTAGCAAGCGAAACATATACGGAAAGCCTCTAAGCTCGAAGGGAGAAGAGGGCGGAGAGCCTCTGAGAACAGAGGGCGCGGCAACGAGTCAACAACGCCTCCTGGATCAGCAAGCGCCCTGGGCGCTGGGGGAAGCTGGGCCCAGGTTCGCACGTACCGCCTTTGGCCCCCAAAAGAGCCAACCACGTTCAGTGACACCGCCAAGGCGGAGCCCACAAGGTTAGTGACTTTTTGGTATTTGAAGGGTACTGAGAGCCAGAGCCTTGGGGGATATCTGGATCTTTTGAATCTTGGGAGAATTCTACGTGGACGTCGAGTAATGCGGAAAGAAAGAGGAGTATGTCACGTGATGGAGTTGGAAGGTTGCCGTGCGAAGTTGGCGAAGTTGGAAATGGCGGAAATGGTGGGTTCTATTGAATGTTATTCGTACTTCATGGTCTGATTCGAGCTCGCCTCTCTCTTCTCCGGTTCCTCAGGTTATGGGGACTGGACCGCGCATGATAAATAATCCGAGTTATTGCCCATGGACTCGATCCATGTACTCCACGTCCCCTAACACGAGGGTTTTGGATTGTACATAGAACAGCATCTTCCTCAGTTGTTTCTATTAATTTAATCGTGGACGTGCGTTACATCTCCTGCTCTTGGTTTCTTAACAAGTGCATACAATTTCCATACTGCGTCTTGGGGGGGCGTTCCCCCCCCCCCCCTTCTTCAGCTTCTCTCGCCCTCGGCGGCTAACTAGTGTTGAATCTACCCCAAATTGGTCACTCGGGAGGTGGTGGATCCCCTCCCTGCCTCTCTCATTTGTTGTGATGGGAAATTGTTCCACTACCACCTCGGTCGCGGGAAGAGATAGCTAGCGCAGGGCCTGGACCTAAGATTTGCAGAATTCCGTGTTTACGATCAGATCAGATCCATCAGCCCATGCCCCCCTTTTTCTCTCCCGTATGCTTGTCTGATGAAGGGGACAAATCGGCCTCCGGTCCACCCGGAGTGAGGCAAGCTATATGGACAAGGCTGCTGGTGATTGGTGGAGCGCGCCCATGCATGGGCCAATCCCCGCGTGATAGCTGGGCTAATGATGCCCGGAGACTAAGTGTGATAGGGTCAGCAGGGACGATGCGTGTGAAATGCAATTCTGATAGGCCTCTTCTCCCCAGCAACCTCGGGATGATATTAATAGCCTCGACAAAAGGCTCTCTTCATCCTGTATTATGTACGGAGTACATTACGGACTTATTCATTAGACGATTCCCTGAGACGAGGGCGGTTTGTCACTAAACATCCTTGTTGGCCTTCTTCCGGTGCCGAAGCCCGAGCACCTGCCGGAGCTTTCCCCAGTCCTGTGCCCTCGACCAAAAGGCACCATGATCTGCATGATGCAACCTTGATAGCTATGCAGCTCATCGACAACTGGATCAGAGCTTCGTTAAGGGGTCTCTGGTAGGGAAAACCTAACCTGTCATCTGAATCAGCCTATGAAAGAAATAGTACAGGGTTTGCATGAAAGGACTTGATGCTTTTTTTTCTTGTAGTCTCCAGCATGATAATCCATTGCAAAGTATGCTTGTGGTACCCTGTACAGCAGGGTATGCATCCAGGAACTAGGAATTTATAGAATCTCAGCAACGCCAGTATGAGGCTTTGGGTAGTAAGCAAACGAAATAGTTTTCGTCTGTGATGGATATGGCCGTTGCCTCAAAATTCCTGTGGCAGTCAGTGAAGGTTATTCTCCTTGCGATCTGCCCATTCCGCCCACGAGATTATTCCCGATTAGGACTAGTGCCGACGTGATGATCCCATATCAACACGTGACCCATATTTTGAAGCCTGCACTCGTCCCATACTCCTTTCATCTCTCTGCATGGCATCCATTGTTTATCGATTGCTGCATCCGATTTCCACAGATAAGCTACTGGACCATTCTGCAATCTGGTACCGCTTTGAACCCTGGGGCCCCTTGCCCCACCGGCCTCACCAGCAGACATAGCAATGTCTAGCGACGGGGAGGAGATCGTGATCCCAGTGGCTGATGAGTTTAGTGATGGGAACCCAGACACCTGGCCCAAAAATGACAGTAGATGGGAATATGCATTTAAAGATGACATTGGCTGGCGATACGGCCTTGCAGAGAGATGGGTGAAAGAGCAAGGTGCTTATGTTGCGGGTGAGTTCTTTTGTCCTCCATGGCCTTGGTTCGGAGCCTTTTACCTCTAAGAACCTGTCCATCCCTGATATGTCCACATCAATTGAAATAAGTGTACAATTTACTACACTTATGGATATGACATGGAACGTGCAAGCAAATTACCTTGCAACAGTGGAAAACTTTGTTTTTTGCATTATCTATATTGAATATGGCACCTACTGACTTGGTATCTTCTAAAAGGCTGCACGTACATTCTCGATAAGCTACCAGAAGGATATGCCTACGTGGATCGACCTAGAGGATCGAATCCCAAATTTGTGAGTCCTTTACGTCCGATGTGATCCTGCTGAATCTAATTAAGGACTAGCGTGATGCTTTTCTGTTTGGCCACCCAAGTGGCATCTACTTTCAGTCCCGCAACACCTTCTTTCCCCACTTCTACTGGTTAATGACAGGGCGAAAGGGGGTTTGCAAATGCCACGGCTGCGAACGAATGACACGAGGCGCCAAACCCCGCAAGCGTGAGTATCCTCCACACCCATCCATCCTCTTGTGCATATAAAGAGGACTTCTAACGTGCCAAACAGGTCGTACCAAGGCTGAAATGGAAGCAGCGCGTGCAAGTCTGGGGGGGTAGTACCAGTGCCCCACTGGGCCCGCAGCACCGGAGCAAGCCTGGTCCCAAGCCCAGAGAACCTATCAGTGACAAATACCCAAAGGATGAAGACGGCCCAAACTACTGGAAAATGCACATCATGGATCTCAAGGACAAAGGAAGCTTGAATGAAACCATCCAGCACCCAATGAACATGGATTGGGTATTAACCCACGAATGGCTGGAAGAGTACTTTGTTCGACTGCGCCTTCAGCCGTCATTCCTTCCTCGCCGCGGAGAAATTGTTCTATGGCTCCACCCCTATGAAGGAAGGCTTGAGTGGAACAGTGAAGGTAAATGCTACCAGATCCGTAACCCCGATGGCACCTGGGGGGAGAAGCCTCAGTGGCGAGCAGGGATAGTTACCCAGATCCCGGAGGAGCCCAACACCTATCTCGATATTCTTGAAACCACGAAAAAAGAGAGCCCCATCAACTACTCGGGGGTTCCGTGTCGAGACACTTCCCAACCCTGTCAGCGATGACAAATCCTTGTCCTTGCAATCGAAGTATGTTCCCCTGAAGTGCATCAGGCCTTTCAGTGGATTCTGCCGATTCCTTCAATCCATTCCGCGCGAGCAATTCCATCCCTCGATCGAACATGCGATTACAACTATGGCATCCTGGAGTCTGCTCTCGCATATTCGTTTCCATGGAACCTGGCCTAATGCACTTCTGGAAAACCGCGGCATCTATATCGGCTCCGAGCTGATCGCCTTGCGTGATGTTGTGCGGCTCAAGCCATTCGGGATGACTGTTGAAGACACTATCAGCGGAGGATCTGTCCATCGCGGGTCCGTCGATCCTGTTGACGTCCTGATTGTCGAACGAATCTGGCTCGAAATGAATGAATGCAATGCAGACCCGGACTCGCCCCAGCTCGCGAAAGAAATGCGCCCCTTCATCGCAGGCCGAGTGTACACCCGCGACCCTAACCGGCTTACCCGTCCGATGGCCTTCGACAAGGACCCTTTGCAGCCGCTCACCTACGACGAAGTCTGCAATGCCTTCCGGCAGGTTGGAATGCATCTTTATGGCGATTGGTACCGTGTTGCCGCTGGGAAGATGTGCGTGGTGTCCCCATCGATGATCCTCGGCCGCTGCTTCGAGCCCGAGGCGAGCGTGATGTACAACGGAGATGACCGTCTCGATTACGACCTCAACAGCGTCCTGGTCGGCCGCCGCTTCTCAAGCAATGCCGACGCCCGTATCCCCGACGGCGTCGGTTGGTTCTGGGGGAATAGCCGCGTGGAAACGCTAGGCCTGGCGACTCTCAACGATGTGGAGTGCGGGCTCGGCGCTCCGCAGCGAGCCAACCCCGGCCGATGGCAGGCCATCTTGAAGATCCTCAGCGGACCCTACACGGATGCCGACATCCGACGTGCGGAGCTACCTCGCCGTGCCGGACGGCCCTCACTCAAGAAGAAGTTCGGCGACATCGGTAAAACCAGCAAGCTTGTTAGTACCGGGCTTGGGGGGGTCTAGTTCGAGCGCCGCTTCTCCAGGTGCCGCGCCACTGGGCGATATGAGCGATGACTCCGAGGCAGGGCTTTCCGAGGGTGAGCTTCGAGCATCCATTCCCTTCCGGCCTACCCGCAATGAAGATGAGATGAAGGATGAGGCTGAGGATGGGAATGTTGCGGAGTGAGTTTCTGGCACTCGTCTGATGGGATTCCGAGGGGAGGGTCGGGCTTATGAGGAGTTCTCGGAGTATGGGTTTCTATTAGCGGGGCTGGGCTCCGTTATGATTCATGATTTTCAAAGCCTAGTGAGAGCATGAGATAGTCTACACAAGGTTCGAGCAACGGCAGGTGTTCGTAAAAAATGAGGCCAGCGTAGGCTATAGCGTAGGCTAGGTGGAAATGACATTGAGAATAGCTTCGCTATCTGCTATTTCAGCGCTGAAACCAGGGGTATACATCATCGTTGGTATCTCCATATATCGCTAAAGGGAAAAAAAAATCCCTCTCTTCAATAGTCTTAGTTCTGAATAGTGCTATGCAGGTCCATTTCGCAACGAGGGTTGTCAGTGCCTCAGTTGGCCACGAAGACCAGGAGCGCCGTGACTTGCTCCTTAAGACTTCTTCCATAACCCAGCTCTCAGCATTGATCTTCTGCATCAATTTTGACCTTTTCAGTCTTCTTGGGCCGCGCTTCTTCCTCAGGTACATCCTCGTCTTGGCCCTTGAACAAAATTTGCCGAGTGAGAACAGCCCTAATATGCATGACTGCGATAAACAAATACAGGATCACCATCAGAATCGTGGCAATGCTGCCCACCCACAATATACCCTGGCTTTGCAATTCTCTGCCGATTGTGATCGTGGCGATCGTGAATCCAACGTTCGGAAAGACGAATGCCCACCAGTTCAAGGAAAAGCGCATCTCCCTGGCGGCTAGCAGGCATGTCAGAGCCGCGATGCAGAAGAACCAAAAGGACAGGCTCCACATAAAGATCGACGTCACCGTCGCGATGACTTTCACGACTTGGAGGGTCGTTTGCCCTGGCCCGAAGTACTCGTACGCGGTGGGATAGGCGTTAGCCATGCCGATGATTGCAAGCGAAGTGAATGCAGGCGGACCCACCGCGATGAACATCGCGGGCCGAGAAGACGTGCTGGGCAGGCCATACTCGATCATCCTCCGCATGTACATCGCAAACATGAGGATACTGATAAAGAAACCGAGCCCTTGGGCCGTCGTCCCGCCCACGATCATCGCGATCGCGTGGGCCCGCGGTTGCAGACTCGCCCCTGTCGCTGCGATCGTGCCGGACAGCATGAACGGAAAGATGGGCAGGTCCCACGCGGGGGTCATGTTCTCCACCTGCAGTTCGGCACTGATAAAGAGCCAGAGATAGAATACGACCGCAACACAGAAGGTGACGGCAAAGTAGATCCAAAACAATACCCGGTAGGTGACCACCAGCCAAGGACCGCAGGATGGAATGCCGTAGCGCGCGATTGCGGCAATGATACTCGCCAAAGAGAGGAACATTGTGCACACGAACATACTTTCCCTCGGTTGCGATAAGCTCCGCGGCAGCGTCTTCGGCCAGCGTATAAAGCGGTAGCTTATGGCGGCGACAAGGGAGGTGAAAATCACCAGATCAATTATGTAGACGACTTTTCCGATGGTCTGCAGGCCTCTGAATGTATGTGGCTGCATTTCTGGGGACAGAAGCAGAGTCAGGCCACCCGTGGACATGGGCAACGTGAACCAGGCCTGCAACGCCGTCGTCAGCAGGGCGATGAGCTGCGCAGAATGAATGAACATGAGCCTACCCAGGTGAAGTGCTCCAACCGAGCCAATCCTCCTTGACTACTGGCCGAGCCCGAAGATTGTTCTCTGTCTGAGGGCATGAGACTGGAGCTTGTGTCAGGCGCCCGAGCGCCATGTCTTCGACTCATATTGCCGTACAGAAGTCCCCTTCCAAGAGGCGTTAACGACAGGGAGTCCACTGCTTCCAGCTACCCTACGAAGACTGCAGATAGGGACCAGTGTCAATATCGGGGTTTACCAATTAAATACCGCGCTGAAGGTAATGTAATCTTATGACGTCTAAACTGTTGCGCCGAAAATAACATACGGGCCGGTTTACCGCATCGCCGAGAAACGCCAAGCGACCGCAAAACCTGTTCCGACTCGGAGGTTCTGGAAGATTTTACCTAAAGCCTAGCGTAGAGCTTAATTATTCTTATAGGCATACTGAGCATAAAATTTGCGTCTGAGCGCGCAAGGCTGGTAGCGATAGCACTGGTTCCCGTGAACCGCCAAAAAACTTGTGCGATTGACAGCCGCCGCAGTGCTCGAGTATATCTTCCAACCTGGGAACTGCTTGGGACTGATGCCGATTCGCTCTTTTGATGGGTATGCCCCTGCGATCGGACCCAACGGTGAAATCTCTATTATTTCTATGCGTGCGCGGAAAAAATCAAAGTCTTTAGAAGAGATCCGACTCCCGGACTAACACATCGCGATTCAAATGTTCCGGGCTCGTCGATGCAATCCCGGCCAGATGCAACGTGAGCTCCAGCTCACCCAAGAGCGACTTGAACACATGCCCCGCGCCCGCTTGGCCTCCCAGCGCGAGACCGTAGATGTAAGGCCTGCCGATAAGAACCATCTTAGCTCCTAACGCCATTGCCTTGGCGATATCGGTGCCGCTTCGAACCCCCGAGTCGAAGAAGATCTCGAGCTGGTCGCCCACCGCATCTACAATCCGAGGCAACATGGCCAGCGAGCTGACCCCGCCGTCCACTTGCCTGCCCCCCGTGGTTGCTCACGACGATACCTTGGACGCCGATCTCCACGCACTTCTTCGCGTCGTCGACGCTCTGGATCCCCTTCAGAATGATAGGACCGTCCCAGTGCTTTTGCAGGAACTGAACGTCTTCCCAGGAGTGACTGGTCCCCGGAATGATGGTCTGGACCCATTTCGCGACAGCTTCGGCCATCTTGTCTTCGCATTCGGCGCCATATTCCTCCTTGAAACGGCGGCGGAAGACAGGGTCGGACAGCCCAATCGCACTGCCAATTTGGTCGGAGCGGAGGAACGGATTGTAGCTGCCCGTCAAGAGTCAATCCTTGCGTTCTGCTGAAGGAGGCTATTTGTGCACATACCCGTTATCCATGTCGCTGGGCCGCCATCCCAGGATGTACGTATCCAGCGTCACGACCAACGCTTTGAAGCCGGCTTTCTTCGCGCGATTGAGGATGGAGATGGTGACCTCGTTGTCTTCATTCTTGGGCCAGTACAGTTGGTACCATCGCGTACCGTCCCCGTTTGCCTTGGCGACATCTTCGATGCTGGTGCTGCTTGCTGAACTCATAATGTACGGGACATTATTCTCTGCCGCCGCCCGCGCGGTAGCCACCTCACCGTGAGGATTGACGATGCCTGGAAATCATAAGGACCACAATCCGGCTATCCGACTCATCTCGGCCGGAGGTTTGGGCGGTACTCACACTGCACGCCCACTGGCGCGGCCGCGATGGGAAACTGGAATTTCTGGCCGAAGACCCGGGTACTCAAATCCGGAAGCCCCTCCGTCTTCACGAGACGCTTCGGAATAATCGACCACTTCGCGAATGCCTCTACATTCTTCCTCGCGGTCTCGCTGCTCCCCGCACTGCCAACGACGTAACCTTTGCTATTCGCGGACATGACCTCGGAAGCCTGCTTTTCCCATTCTTTCGAGTGGAACGTGAACGGCGGGCGCTCGTAATGCAACCCTTTTTGGTAGACGCTCATCTCATATTCCACCGGGTTGGGAACTGTCTTCTCGGGGACCGTGCGGTAAGAGTAGTCGGTAGTAGACATTGTGCTATGGTATGCGATATGGCAGGTTTCTAAGAGAATCCACTGATCGATCTGACGGTAGCGTTCCGTTTATATTTATCGTGCACATTAATGAAGTCATTCCCCATCTGCGGGTATTGCCGGAGGCCCGCGGGCACTATCAAGCATATTACTTAAGCTTGACGACATGCACCTGGGCACCTGGGCACCTGGACAGAAGCATTGAGATTGAAAACCAAGTTTGGGGGATGATGGACCGATCAGGCCGGAGATCTCCCGACCCAGAGTTTCCCCTGCGTGAGTGGGCCCCCCGAAACACTATCTGGTGCATGCGATACTTTGCGTCTCTGTATTTCCATAACCAACCCTGAGTTCTACGTTGGGTTCGAGGCCCCCCGGGGGCTCCTCTGCATAATGACGAGTCTATATCGCCGATCCAGTCTATTCCACACTGCACTTGACTGCATGACCAACGGATAGGATAATCACGTCTAATCTAGTTTTGGATGTTTCCGTATCTCGCGTTCTTTCGAGACACCCTGTACCCAAACATAGAGGATGAGAACACCAGACGGTTGAACCCCCTTTTGGTGGTAAGAAACAAGGAACGCGATTTGTCGCATTCGTCGCGTTTTTCAAGTGGCCCGCTCAGGGATTCATACACCGAGAGACCTCTTAGGCCCAAGACTAGGCCCTACCCGCTACCATGGGGCGGGTGTTCCGGGTAACCCGGGGGGGGGGAGTTACGAATAGAAGACCTATTATCGTTTGATGGGGTATTCGGGGCATCCGGGCATTCGGGATATTCTACAGGAGATTGATTTGCAAAAACATGGCAAAGCGAAGCGTTACGATAAGCGGACTCGGCAAACTCCCGACCTATGATTTCATAGTTGCGGATGCCGTCATCTGCCGCAGCCATTCTTGCGAATAGCCCTGGAGGCTCGAGGCTGAAAGCGAACTCGGCTCCTCCCGGAGTTGACGAACTCGATCATTACGCAGTGTACATGCCTGGATCTTGGATTCGATTATATAGCGCCGACAGACCATCATACAGCCTGGCCCCCCCCGATACCACCACGAGAGAGACTGTTTCATCTCCGTTGAAGAGAGGCTATGAGCGCCCGCCGATTCAGCCACTTGCCCAGGGCAGATACTGGTCCGAGAGCATGCTCCTTAACTGTAAGTGCGCATGTCTTGAAAAAACATCACGGGGCTAAACCAAGCAGGGAAATACGCTCCTCAACAACCCAAGCTTCAATAAGGGATCTGCGTTCTCTGAAGATGAGCGCCGGGAGTTTGGTCTTCGTGGCTTGCTGCCGTCCAACATTCAGACCCTGGACCAGCAAGTCAAGAGGGCCTACCAGCAATATCAGTCGAAACAAACAGATATCAATAAGAACACTTTCATGACCTCGCTGAAAATGCAGAACGAACCCTTGTACTACAAGACTCTGCTGATGCATCTCAAGGAGATGCTGCCTGTCATCTATACCCCTACTGAAGGGACTGCCATTGAGAACTACAGTCGCGTGTTCCGACGACCGGAAGGGATCTTCCTCACGATCAATCAACCTGAGGAGATCGAAGCGAGTCTTGGCCAAGCAGCGTCGCCGGAGGACATTGACATCGTTGCGGTCAGTGATGGCGAGCAGATTCTCGGGATCGGCGACCAAGGCGTGGGTGGCATCCTTATTTCCATCGCGAAGCTCGTCCTTTACACCACTTGCGCCGGGATTCATCCCAGTCGCACTCTCCCGGTCGTGCTCGATTGTGGCACTAACAATCAGAATTTGCTGAATGACGATTTCTATCTCGGGTACAAGCACCCGCGCGTGCGTGGTGAGCAATACGACGCCTTTGTCGATAACTTTGTGCAAGCTGCACGCAAGCGCTTCCCCAATGCTTTTATCCACTTCGAGGACTTTGGAGTGCATAACGCGAGACGTATCCTCGACAGATACATGTCGTCCATCCCGTGCTTTAACGATGATGTGCAAGGAACCGGCTGTGTAACGCTCGCTGCTATCACCGCCGCCGCTCGGGCGTCAAAAGTCAACGTCGGTGATCTTCGCTGCCTGATGTATGGGGCCGGTACGGCTGGCGTGGGTATCGCGGATCAAATCTCCGACGCTATTGCATTGAACAGCGGCAAGTCGAAGGAGGACGCCAAGAAGCAGATCTACTGCATCGACAAGGACGGCTTGATTCTGCAAAGCATGGAAGGCTCCCTCAACCCTGCACAAAAGGGCTACGCGCGTCCCGACAAGGAGTGGCAAGACACCAACACCAAGTCCCTCCTCGACGTGGTAAAGCAAGTAAAGCCACACGTCTTGATTGGCACGTCCACGCAACCCAAGGCCTTTACCAAAGAAGTCGTGCAAGAGATGAGCAAGCATGTCGACAGACCCATAATCTTCCCGCTCTCCAATCCCACCAGGTTGCACGAGGCGACTCCGAAGGACTTGTTCGAATGGACTGACGGCCGGGTGCTCACGGCTACCGGTTCGCCTTTCGACCCCGTTGAGACCAAGGACGGCAAGCAGCGTGAAATCGCCGAGTGCAATAACTCGGTGGTCTTCCCGGGCATCGGACTAGGAGCAGTCCTCTCGCGCGCCAAATTGATCACGACGGCCATGCTTGTCGAGGCCACCAAGGCATTAGCAGACCAGGCGCCGGCTTTGAAGGATCCGGATGCGGCGCTGCTCCCGGACGTTGAGGACGTACGGGAGGTTAGTTTGAAGGTTGCGGCTGCTGTAATTAAGCAGGCCGTGAAGGAAGGCCTTGCACAAGAGAAGGACATCCCGAACGAAAAAGAGGATTTGGAGGAGTGGATCCGCGTACAGATGTGGAAAGCGGAGTACAGGCCTCTCAAAAAGGTTGCATAGATGTGCGGTGCCCTTTCTCGTTAGGCAGGTAATCAGATCACCATAATCGTGTACATATAAAATTTGCAGTGGCAGTCCATATCTACCTTACGTAAAAGATCTTCATTCCATACCGCTATGAGCATGATAGGCAATCTCTTAGACCCTCGTGATTTTTACTTCCTTTCGAGAATGTCACGACGGTAGTGGGATGTTTATATGATGCTAAGCTCTAGAGTACCAAGGATTGAGGCTTTGTACGCCTTTGGAGACTCGCGGAGGCTTAAAACGTTTCGATATTGAGCGAAGGTGGTTCGATAGACATTAAATCTAATATCGGAGATCATTAGATCTGGTTGGCTGTCAAACCAACGGGTACTGCCCTAACAGCCGGACCTATGTATTAATCATTACCATCCACGTTGCCTACAAGTGATCAAGCTGTAGTCTCTGTGCTGGAAAGGCATGATGGGCTCGATCCTATCACTTTACATCTTTGATTATATCTCTCGCTGCCCCCAGGTGCCACTCTAATCTGGCATCGACGCTTATAGACCCGGGAATGATACCTATCAAGTATGACGGCTCTATGGACCTAATATACGACTGGTGTCTTGCATTCCCTCAACTCTCATGCTTATTGCACCAGACCTGGATGAGCATGAGGAAGGCAGTCGATGATCATACACTCCCGATACCGAAGAATTCCCATTGACTCATGCTTTAGTGTTTCATTGGTTCGTTTTATATTTCAGAGCAGATGATTGGGTTGGAAGTTCAGCCCCATGCATAGTGTCAAGGTTGGAAAAAGAAATGGCCGGCAAGTCTTGATTCTCAGGTTGCCTAATTTGGTTCCCTGGTTTGGTGCCTTAGTTTCGTTCCTTGCGGGTTTGCCCCACTATCAAGTGTTCAACACCTAATAGTGGGGCCAAAGCTCCTTTCTAATTTGTCTCCCTCGAACCGTTGGCGTCACCCAACCTGCAGCAAAGAAACTGCATAAGAAAAAAGGGTAAGTTCTTTAAAAAGATTTTGGGAGCTTACCATGAACATATAAATACTGACACCCCACTCTCATCAACAGGCATTAGGCCAGACTCCTTTGAAGCACTTTATACATTGGGAAACTCTCGCGCCGATTCTTTTCCTCCTTTCTACCGCAGCCTAATATAATCTTCAATTCCCGATCCATGGATCCTGATGTGGGTCGCCATCTTTCTTCCCGCTGCCACGGGCATTGCCATGTTCCGCCATCTCTAGAAGATACTATGTTCCTTGAACCCAGCGGTTCATCTTCAAGTTTGCGAATGGCCCCAAAACCAGTAATGGAACTACCTGCTAGTATCGCTCTACCGCAATTCTCCGCAGATCATTCTTCGTCCGATCACGCATCTGCCTTATCCCCTATCCGATTCGACACGGTATCTGCGATTAGCAACTGTGATCTGATGGAAACGTTCATCATGGGCAATGGAGGGTTTGATCACCCGTTACACATACATCATGACAATTCCATGCTTGAAGAATCGGATCTTGAAGTAGGGACTCAACCAGGCCACCAAGGAGCGTGCCCTACTGTACAAGGCCATGTGGAGACCAGACACAGCCCTAACGTGCCTGACAGGTGCTCAATTGACCTCAGGTAATATCCCAAGTCCCCTGGAGAGGATCCACAATATGAGAGACATTCTAATCCAGATGATATATAGCCATGTTCGTCGGTCATATTTATGTCAGTGGAAGAATTGCCGGAAGAATTTTACTTCGAAGGGCAGTTTGATGCGGCATCTTGATACGATCCATGTGGATCCTCGATCGCTCAAATGTGCTGAATGCTCGCACATCTGCAGTCGCAAGGACCACCTGAAAGACCATCGGCTACGGAAGCATGGTATTAGAGCGTGAATTCTTACTCGGGTTAAGGGGTTTGGGATTTACTTTCGCGTTTCATCCTACACATTCTTTTGTTGGCAGGTATGGCTAGGTCTAAATATCTTTGGTCGGGATAGAAGTTACTGTCGTTTACTGGTACAAGTGAGGCCATTTTCTCAATAATTGTGCTTTTCAATCCAGGTGTATCTTCATGGGCATAGATCATCGCAGTGGTTTCTGGTAAGCAGTTCAGTATACGTATGAGCTGCATCGGGGATGTATTACCAATGGCAAAAAGGAGAACGATAACTCGGATTCGATGCTTCAGGCTCGCCTGTTTCGTCTCATGGAACGCACCACCGTATCGAGAACAAGGAAATTCGAGGCCCTGGATGAACCATTTGATTGCCATGCTTTTGCCTCTGTGATGAAAACCAGATTTAGTGACAATCCAGAGCTAGCAATGCAGGCTGCCATAGATTTGGATGTGGGGAATCCTAGTGCGATTCCTTCGATGGGGATCAATAACCTCTTGGGCGAGGAATACTTGCTCTCATTCCTGGCAATGGATTGGCTACCGGGTTCTTTGCTAGAAAGTGCAAGCGTAAAACTCCCGAGTTCGAGTCCGAGTTCATAGATTAGAATAACTAGTGGATGATTTTGCACGGGGCGATTGATTATAGAAATGCCTATAGCTCCAAGGCATATCAATTGAAATTATTTAGCCACAAAACCGCTCTCATTTGCAAGCCAAGACTCAAAGGTCTGCAAATCTGGGCGAATTTCCTTCAGGGCAGTGATGTCGGCTCCAAACCCAGAATCGTAGAACCATTGGAACATGTACCCCAATTCATTCATCATCCACATCAAGATCCGGCTCACAAAGTGGAACGTCAAGGGCACAGCTCGTCCACATTCCTTGCGAAATATTTTTTCCATTTCCGCAAAGGTGAGTTCATCCCCAGCCAGAGACAAGCATTCATTCCGGTATTCCTCTGGAGAGAGGAACGCCTGAGCACCGAAAAAGCCAACATCAGTCACGAACTTGTCATCGGAGTTTCTATGGCGGAAATCATCGCCCAACCGATATAGAAAAAGAAACCGAAGGAGAACTCGGGTTCCAGATTGTGCTCTGGCTTTCCGGTTATCGATAAAAACTAAAATACAAACGTTGAAGCTCCTACCTAGGTATAAAGCCAATCGCTGACATCAGCTACTTAGTATAGCTCAATCGAAGGAAGCCTCAAGTGGTGAGCCACGATAGCTTTGGTCAGACCCTGATGGTCAGAGAGTCTAGCAAAGAAAGCACGTTGCCGGTCGCAATACTAGAGTTGAAGAAGAATATCGATTTCTTCTCTTTAAACCTTGGAGTAGGTTATCTCCTCTCTGAGAAGGTGAAGTGTCTTCGGCATAGTGGAAGCGACTTCACAGTAAGAGTGCTCGTTTTGCGGCTCCTTGATTTTGTGCTTGAGCGAACGATTGTTGCATTTAATGAAATATCCACTATACCGCAAGGAGCGAGACAAGGTGACATTGAATAAGTTGTTTGGAAAAGCAAGCTAGAAGTATTTAGAACAGATGGAAGAAAGGGGCTCAGGGGCTGGAAACCACGTTACCTATCCTGTCTAGGATTTCTGTTGTACATGCGGTATGATTTTTGAGCGCTATCTTTTCTACTGAGTTTCGTTGCGAAAATTCGGTTTCCATAAACCTTCGGTTCCACGACTTGTACTTGAATAAAAACATGTAACGATCATGCTTTATACAGATTGGCTTGTTTTGCCGCCGAGACTTTGTCTCGCGTAGCGCGCGCAACCTCGCATGAATCAACGCCAAATATAAGCAGGTTTTCTTTTGGAATTTGCGTTTCACTAGCTCGGTATTGCTCTCTATATAACAAAATTTCATATTAGATGGCTGGAAGTCCCTCGTACTCTTGTCAATGTATTCTTTTTCATATCATCAATGCATACAGGCAGGCTAACATCTAGTAATAGATAATGTCAACGTTTGTACATATCATAAATGTTTCCCGTGCGCTTCTCCTGGGAACTTTTGCCGGCTGCTTCTGCCGCTGCCTTGTCCCTCTCAACTTTTGCCTCTTGCTTGTTTTGCTTGCGCTTCTCCTGAGAGATCTTCCCAGCTGCATCGGCCGCTGCCCTGTCTTGAAACCCTTTAGGAGGAACAAACGTCTTATCAGACATGGCGATAGAAAATGGTGGAATCTCTGAAAGTGTTATACTTTAGTAGGTTTGGGGCGATGCGCTTGTTTCTAAAAACACACCTGTAAACCAGCGAGATAGCGAGTAAAGTAATGAATCGACCCTTAGAGAAGGCTTCCAATATATAAATTGTTTCGAGGGCACGGTCGTGGAAACCTTGCAACTGGATCAGGGAGAAAGCTTTTTCTGCTTCGTAGACCTCGGAGCGGCGTACAACCTGGGCTTTTATATTCGTACGGAGATGGAAAAGACATGAGAGATGGGTGACTGTGCCTTCGCAACCTTCCACTCAGCCTTCCACTCAGCCTTCCACTCAACCTCTCACCCTGCAGATGGCGCTTAGCCAATTCGAACGGGAGATTCCGGCCAATATTATCCTTGCCTGATGACATGGTTCCTGCGGATCCATTCCCATTTTATGCTCTACGCAGTATATCTAAGCTGAGCTAAACGCTGACAGCATGCAAGATGCAGCCCATCTAGGCTAGCAGGTTTATTCGCCTAGCGAACGCAAGGCAGACTAGGCAGACAGAAAATGCGAAACTGCAACGGCCTAGGCGCCGAAGATGATGTGATTGGAAATGTGATTGGGGATGTGATGGGTAATAGACATCTAGGCTAGGCGATAACGGTTCGGGACTATTGTTATCCCGAAAACAGTACTTTTGTTATTATCATGTGATCATGTCCATAATTGCTGGCTTCGGTACTGTCCCCTATATTTTTCCATTCACCGCCAAACAATTCCAAAGGTGCTGAAAACTCTATCTTTCTCAATTTATCTTCCCATTCATTCCTCTCAAAATGCTCACATATAAATCTTACGACGATGTTGCCTGGGCAATAAGCACCCAGATCTGGAAGGACTGGCCAGAACTTCTTCGCACTGATGGGGACATCTACAATGATATCGGAATTATTCTTTCTGAACAGTTCAGTGACCTTGAATGGGAACTTTTCGAATTCCTTTCCACTGGTGGTTTCAATGTCTGTTTCAAGATGAATTTCACCAATAACTTTGGCGCTGTGATACGGTTCCCACTGCCCGGTGCTGTGATGTTTCCTGAAGAAAAAGTTCGCAACGAGGTCGCTGCTATGCAATTTATCTTGGAGAAAACTTCAGATAAAATACCAATTCCAGTGCCTTCTGTCTTTCGCTCGACAGAGACAAAAGAGAGTCCTTCAGACCTAGGTCCTTTTATCATCATGAACTATATCCAACACAAAGGTAGTATGGGTGATCTTCTTGAGACTCCGGGACGCCAAGCAGGAGAAACTCCTGTGCTTAATCTAGGCCTTGAGCTAGCCAGACTGGAATCTCTCTATAGAGAACTGGCCAAGATTTCTCTTTCAATGGCGACACTTTCTTTGAGCCGGATAGGATCTCTGCACAAGAATAACAATTCTATATGGGAAGTATCATGCCGTCCACTATCCTACTCTATGAACGAAATTGTTCAGTTAGGGACGCTGCCTCGATCAGAACTACCGACCACTACTTATGATAAAGCTTCATCATACTTTGAAGCCCTGGCGGAGTTACATATTTCGCATCTCAAAAGCCAAAGAAATGAGGCTGATATTGAGGCTGATATTGACATTGATATCTTGGCGGATGATTTCCGGCGCAAATTTGTTGCTAGATTTCTCTTCCGAAAACTTGTTCGAGACCCAGAGCGAAGGCAGCAATGGATATTGCATGATAATGGCCCATTCCCAGTATGGTGTGACGATTTTCGACCAGAAAACGTTCTAATTGATGAAACCGAGAAAGTTATCGGAGTCGTGGATTGGGAGTTTACCTATACTGCTCCAGTTGAATTTTCTTATGCACCACCTTGGTGGCTGCTGCTTAAAAAGCCAGAAGATTGGCCTGGAGGCCTGGATGAATGGTGTGCAGAGTATGAGAAACCGCTTCGGACGTTTCTTGAGGCAATGCGAAAATGCGAAGATGAGGCAATTCAGAAAAAAAAGCTACTTGAGAGCCAGCGGCTGTCTAGTCAGATGCGAGACAGCTGGCAGAGTGGAAACTTCTGGATCATGTACGCTGCAAGGCATAATTTTGCCTTCGATGCCATATATTGGAAAAAGATTGATCAGCGGTTCTTTGGGAAGACACCAAATACAGACGGCAATCATTGTGATGTATGGCGCAAGAGGCTTCATCTCTTAGAACCTGGAGAAAAGAAACTGATGGAGGAATATGTGGCTTTAAAGCTCAAAGAGAGGAACATAGTGCGTCTCAATTGGGATCCAGATGAGTACACTGTGGGGTGGATACAACGGATGAAGGAGATCAGATGGAAGGAGATGGAGAGGGAGGAGAAGGAAAAGACAGAGAGGGTGTCACCGCCAAGCCAGGACGGCTAGTCACGTGCATAACCCCCCCATCTAGCAAACCATAGATAGATCAATAAACCATCTTTACATCTCCCAGCTTCGGCTACAGAGGGAGAAAATGGAAATATGTGCTGAACCTTAAATGAGAGTGGAGTGCCAGCCAATGGTAGCGAGCGACCCTTTATCAAAATATTGACCCCTAACAAAAATAGACCGAACCCTGGTCATATAAACTGAACCTCTATCAAAGTCAGAGAGAGAGATTATTGCAATCAAGTATATACGAGAACCACCAGATCACAGTTGGTGAATGATACATATAGCCGAGGGGTGATGCGCCATTTTGTTCAACCATTTTCTGAGGCCCGCTGCTTTCAGAGCTTTGAGAAGGACCACTCACCTCCCAGTTACGGTTGGTTTCCGACCTATGCGAGTTGGGGGTGCGTGGACGCTGCCAAACTGCCGCAAGTTTCTGCAAATATTTACGATCGTGATCTGGCTGCACCCAGCTTCTTCTGCAATTTCATCAGTTCTTAGTGACTCTTTCTCTATCATGTCTTGGGTGAGATGCAGCTTGGAAGGAGACAGTCTCGGGGGTATATGGCAAGCCTAGTGTAGGAGGTTCGGTCAAGAGACATTTTGGGAGCTATGATACTATCAAAGTGGAATTAGCGCTCATTACTCGAGCAAATAATTAACTGAAAGGTTCTGTCTCGAATACTCACGTCCTCACCCTAAGAGCATGCTTTCGGTTGTGACATACCTGGGGAGATTGGCTTTCTGGATGGTAGCAGCATATCCGCCGTCTCGCCCAGCGCGAGAAGCAAAACATTTCCAGGTACCATCAACATGTAGATGAAATGAGCCTACGCGCGTCCCGGACTTTATTTGCAGCCCTACGGTAATAACGGCCTTTGGGTCATCTTTGTCTTTCGAAGACTGTGTGTGCCATTGCACCCCTGACAGGAAGTATGTAAGTAATCAGTTTCCAGTATTGATGTATACTTGACTCAACTAAAAGAAGCAGAAAGATTGGCGCTTATGGTGGAGGTAGCCCTATGGCTGGCAAAGGCAAACAGGAGACGATCCCATGCTTCCGTTGCGCGTGGTTCGGCGGTGCTTTTTTTGATGCCAGCTTGAGGAGCGAGGACGATCTTGGAGTCGCGCTTTGCGGTACCTCGCGATCAATTGCTGACGGGGGAGGGGACAGTGGGTCGGAGTGGAGAGGTCGAAGCGGGTGACCCGGTCAAGCAGGAATTACGTTATTAGGATGTTCTGGATTATATGATTAGGGTTCGAAAGAGTGCCTCTCTGTTCATAATAAAGAAGGCGAAGTTGGGTGCTACTGTACACCTATAAGCTCATTCCTCAAAATCAAAGATCTCATTACATACATACAAGCACTTTCAAACATAGGATGACCATCAAACCTTTCCCAAAAGCTTCTCTACAAAGTTTTCGCAGTTTCTTCATAGACATCGGTGGATGACATATCAGAGATAAGAATGCAATACATAGCCCAAGCAATGTGATGCACCTCTCTACCTACTATCAGTGAAAGTGAGACCGTAGGAAAGTGCGTTCTAGTCAATATAGAGAGAGTTGACTTCGTCTCGAAAATACGAACAATTACAGACAGAGATATCAAACTAAATTAAATTAATTAGAATCGTTTCCTTTCAACGTTTTGACGCCAATGTTAGCGCTACTGGCCAGGAGAAGGCTCGCTTGGCGTGTGCCCCTCCCATTTCCCATTGCAGCCGCTTCCATACCGGCCGCACCGACTCCTCATCGATATAGGGAAAAGGGAAGATGTGATTGGCAAAGGACTTTAATTGATCCACCGTCCAGTCTTTTCGCCAAAGTTCAGGGTCCTCGATCTCTAGCACTTTCTCCCGCGGCGTAACTCGACTAACTGGCTCCACTGGAAACCCACACGCCCGATTCGTGAAGAAGCCCATTGTTGTCCAGCTTGAATTCCACTTCCGGCGCTCAACGTCAATCCAGTCAGACTCATGGAAAGGTATATAGTCCAACCAGCTAGCGATGCCATCGGCCGTTCGCTTCCAACTCGCGCGGGTGGCAGGCGCCATATTGTCAGCTTGAATCACGCGTCGAAAGTGATGATCAGTTATCGTATCCAGAAGAGGTTGACAGCGAGACGCGTACTCGGGCTCTGCAAAGTGTGCTCGTCCATAAAACCAGATTGCTAGTGTGCTCCCGGGTTTAAGGAGCGTGTGGAAGCTTCGCAGTGCAGCCTCAGTATCTAGAAGCGGGAAAGTGAGTGCGCACACCACCAAGTCCGCCGAACCGCTTGCGTACTGCCCGCCTAGTTCCTCACCTCTGGCGACTTTGAAGGAGAAGGATGAGTCTCCAGGATGACCCTGCTGGCTTTTAAGCTGGTAGAGCGCGAAATCGACATGGTTTGGATTGTTATCGCTAACAACCACATGTTTGAATCTCTTGGCAAGCTTCGCTGAGACCTGACCTGGTCCGGCACCCACGTCATGCGCCAGATTGGAACAATTGCTATGTGCATCGTGATAGGCATAAATGAGGTCATAGAACTCGGTCGTGTACTTTGGTCTGGTGGAAAGGTAGCCAGTCCAGTACCGGATGTCGTCTTCAACGTTCAATTTCCACACATTGGTGGTGTCCTCGGTGTGGGAGCTTATGGATCTTGAGCCTCTTATAGTAGTATTGAACGCAACTTTCCGACAGAAAGTATTTCGTACGGCCATGCTAGTCATGGCGGGATTGTGGGATTCCAACTTGCTGGAGTAGAGGCAATAAAAGTTGGGGGCTGCTCCTTATGACATAGACACGCATTCCATAACGGACTAATAATTGAATAAATAATGCATCATTGAAAGCGATCGGGCTTCAAATGGCCCCAGATTATTGCCATTGGATGCGTGTCTGTCGCTGCCTGAGACTGCAGCTGACCATGAGTACTCGGGATTATTTCGAGTGGAGATCCCTGCACATGCATATGCGCGTTGACGCATTTGGTGTATTCATGCGGATTGATCCACTTGTTTACTGTAGGTAATATGACTTGACTCTCGTCCGTAACTGAAGAACCGAATGGTAATATGGTAACGTTTACAAATGACGTATGAGAAAATCTTTCGGCTATGAGGGAGGGGAAGGGAGGGACGGGATTTTCGATTGAAATTCCGAAGTTACTTATCACCAGACGGCTGCAAACAATTAACCTTAGCCTATAGTCAGTCTTATTCAATCTTTTACCGATAAAATGGCAGCCTTGAGTTTTGCCTACTCGCGCGTAGCATCTTCTGATCTCGACGATTCGTCATCTTCAAATGGAAAAGCTTCAGACAAAGGCTCCAAGAGGCAGGATGTGCGGTCTTTAGTGATAACGGGTGCGACTTGGGGCCTCCTAGTCATATCCAACCTCACCTTGCTCGGTCTATGGTGGAGATCTTCACAACTGGCTAAAGTGTGTGTGCGGCCAAAGCTTTCTTATTGTACGTTAGGAGATTGAAAGTGTCACTATCCAATCCTCAGGTAAAAGGCTAATGTATCCTCCCCAAAAAGCCCCGGCCAAGGAGGCTATCAAGTATGAACTTCGGCGTCTTCATCGTGCTCTCGACCACAATAACTTCACTGGTGAGCCACGCCAGGAGTTTGACGCAGCCTGGAACCAAATACTTGAACGTATGCAAACCTAGTCTGTCTATCAATTGACTATTACTGTAGCTTGGATGGGATATAGCTGACCTTTTGGATCCCAAACATGAAACAGCGATGACAATCAAGATATCCCAAGAAGAGCTTTCTCACCTTTCGGACGAGAGTATCGCATTTCAAGATGGATCCGGATATATCGCAGAGTTAGCTGTTTACCATGAGATTCACTGCGTGGTGAGAACTCCTACACCCCACGAGATTTTTCTCTAACTGTACTGGCTAAATGGAAGGCAACTGTTCCAGAAAATTTTACGTCGCTTTCTAAACATGGACTATTATTACCCCAACATTACCAAGGAAAAGCTAGATTTTGAGAAAGTCCATGCCGACCACTGCTTGGAATATTTGCGCGAAGCGGCCATGTGCCGCGGTGACACCACTCTTACCACCTTCTTCTGGAAAAATGAGATTCCTTACTCTCGAGTGTACAGTGATCACGAATGTGTGAATTGGGAAGCGCTGGACACATGGGCGCGGTCGCGTATGGTTGATATGAGCAGTTATGACCATTTAGAGCATTGAATTAAATTCAGGGCTCGGGAATACATTGCTGTCTTGCGAATTGATTTAATATATTACTTCACAACGCTCGAATGATATCCTTCGGTTCGTAGGAGGAAATAAACTTGTAGCTCATCTGTTCCTTTCTCGAGCTTTATAATAGGACCGATCCCTCGATCCCTCTATCATTCTTGACTAACATGCTCGCAATAGTCATATGAAGCTTCACGTTAATATCCCAGTGTCAGTCGAATTAGCCCATTTTTCCGCCCACGCGAACACACTTGCGTAGTCACGGCATTGTTTCGGCTGGTTCCAGCCACTTGTAGTGTGCGTATTGAAGTCCAGGGCCTCCATGTTGGTGTCTGCGGCGCATATAATGGTCTGTCGCAGGTAATCAAAGCAATGCCGGATGTGTGATGGCGCCATACGGGTGCCCGTGCGGTTGAGATAGCTATCAGGAGGCGTTTTCCCTTCAGCAATTTCGGCGTCTTCAACAGCGTGATAATATGAAACCACGATTGCATGCTGCGTTCCATGAATGATATTAACCGTCACGATGCTTTCTTGAGATGGGTAATCGATCAGAAGAATACGAACCAAGCAATGGAGTTGATGAAAGACGGCAATCCCGGAGATAAATGGCGCGAGATGAGGGTGATGAACGAAGCCTCGGCCAACTAAATGATTCCATGGATAATTAGACTTTGTATGAGGAGCTTCTTGAGAATCTATTCATGTGCTAACCACGGTGGGCTTGTATGGTAATAGAAAACATACTCGGCATCAATGCATTCCATGCCTCTTCGGACCCTGGGGTAGGACGTTGGGAAAATGTGAGGTTGTGTGTCCATACACTATGGACTTCACCGGGTGGCCCTGAGGAGAAGATTTCACGAGTTAGGAACTGGTGGCTTTCTGGTACCTGAAGCATATCGAGGATCTAAGACTTACGGAGGAGGCCATCTTGCGATGACGATGAGAATTCTCGGCCGCCGAACCAACCCAATATTAACGCAACAGCCATAGCAGCAACGATTGGAACTGCTGCCGCTACAGGTCTTGTTTTCGATGTATGCGCTGAAGGTTGTATCGAGCTCAACCCCCCTGGATCTTCTAGCTTTGCCAGATGATAATGTGTCCGATCCGTAGCGGAGGGAGGCGCCATCATAGGCTCGTGTGCTTTGTGCTAAGGGGAGCTCGGCTCTGTCCAAAAAGAGAAACTGGAATATCTGATGCTCGCTAGTACCAGCAGACAATTTGTAGGTCCAGAGTGTATTTATGAGACCGTTTGGAATAGATAGTTAGGTGGCGGTACCTTCGATGTATGTACGAAGTACAAGACAAAGTCTGCTGAGGTACCAATTTCTATCTGTATTGTCAGGAACCCAATGGAATCAGGGTTCACATGTATTGGACGCTCGGATTTTGTTCACGGTTCGGTTTTTGTCAACTAGTATTTACAGGGTAATACGCCTAGACTACCACTTCGGTATGGATACAGATGCCAAGGTCCTCAATCTGGTATTGAACAAGACTTGAACTTTAAAGGTGATTATGGAGAAATTCAATTTATGGTGAAGTTGCGTTGCAGGCTTTTTCTATCGTACGGAAAGTGGGGATACATGGCGATGGGGGTAGGATCCTAACAATGTCCGTACAGGAAATTTGGGGGCCATGCATAATATTAGTGACCATACCGAAACCAGAAGGGTGATCACTTGGATAAATGGGGGCTAAGCCCATTCTATCCCGTCGTAAGGTGAAAAAGAGGGGTAAGCTGATCAGAATCCAGCCAAACAACCGCTAACTGGCGGTGCCTATTGTTATCCTATAAGTTGGTGGGGGCGGGGGAATTTGAAGCTAATGACGCACAACATGGAAAGAAAGACTATGTACAGGACGACTTGGCCCTTGAACAAATCATCTTTATAGCGTCGTTCACTCGACCTGCGAGGGGGTCTGTGGTTGGTGTATGCGTCCTGCAGCTCATGGTCATACACGGCCGGTCTTCGCTATAGTTGAATGGAAGAGTGCACCTCAAAGATACCTCATGTAGGAACTTATCACAAATATATACTTGTAAAATTATGGGTACCCTTGATAATGGCCAGATCTCTAGCTCATATTTACTGCACTCTTAACTTGGAAGTCGCCGTGAGCTTGGGGCTAAAAAATTCTTGTTAATGGCGCTTTTCTTCACAATCGAGGGTTCTTTGCCGATCTCGTATTTCTTCGCATCCCTGGTCGATCGCTCTATTTCCGACTTCTCATAGTCCCCCGTAATGTTGCACCAAACTTGCACCAAACTTGCATCATACTTGCTGCCTTAAAAAGTTAAATTTTAAGAGCGCTCAGACTCCAAAAATGTCTAATTACTATTTGGAGTTACCTACAGATAGGCCGCTTCGAGCATGAGGTTTGCGCGTCATTATGTAAACTAGTACTTCCAAAAATATATATAGAGCGACGTCAATGTTCAATTGGAGAGGAAAGCTGAATCCGTTAGCCATAATTCCTACCTCCCCTCTTACCTCGGTTGATCCATTCTACTTTTGCAAAAGAAAGCCAACCATCCACGAAAAGATTTCCTGCTTTGAATCGAGTCCAGTTTAGCTTCAACAAAGAGCATGCGTCCCTCGATCTTTGTATCTTTTGTTGCTCTTCTGGCGAGCGGAAGTATTGCCCACCCCGTTGGTATGTTCCTCGAACCGTCGGTCCCTTTCCGCTGTATATTCTCGAACTAAAGCTTGTCTGAAGCGGGGAAGGACGCCGACGATATGGTCCGTAACAGCTGGTCTGAGAAGCGAGCGGACGCCGACGATATGGTCCGTAACAGCTGGTCTGAGAAGCGAGCGGATGCCGACGATATGGTCCGCAATAGCTGGTCTGAGTAATGCGATTATTCGATATTTTTAAGTCTAGCGAGTAAAGCGAGCGCGGTTGAGGCTATATTGAATCAAAGTCTAAATTTGACCAAGCAATTTTTAATTTTCGAAGTATAGATATATATATGTGTATGCGTAAACATATTCTCTGCAAGGAATAATAGTCGCTCTATAATATATGCAGCGAAACTCCTTGATACCTGGGGTAAAATGGTCATACTCACATAGAGGGAGCCTCTGGATATCACTATCATATGATTCAAAGCTTGAAGGACCTGGGCAGATTATCGAATGCTCCCAAGCGCCGAACACACGCCGAACACATGCCGTTGCCACGCATGAATGGACTTATGTGCTCTGCGTACTTTACCTCTTTGAGGCCGAAGTAGTAGAGGCGGATTTGCCAGCACTTTACCTTTATTGTTTTTTTGAACCACAGTACATAGTAGATGCTAATACCGTCAACAGAATTGACCATTCTCCCTAGTGTTTGCCACGCAGTACTAGTTGGTTTCACTAAACACTTAATTCAGCGGCTCGCGCCCAAGAATGATATCAACCGCTTGTTCTGCAATTGCATAAAGGGTCGCTTGTGGGTGCCCTCCAATACTCAATGGGAAAACGCTTGCATCAACAACACGAAGGTTTTCGACCCCCAAAAGGCGTAGGTTGGTATCGACCACTTTTCCCATGGCAGCGGTACCTGCTGGATGATGATGGGCCATGCCTGTCGCACGGATACGCGCCTCAAATTCTTCATCCGATGATTGAGACGTGAGAGCCGGCATACCTGGTGGGGGTACTTCGCTTTCTATGTAATCGGCCAATGCATTTGTATCTAGTAATGCCTGCATAGTACGACGGGCGCCATGTATCAGAGTGACACGGTCAACGTCTGTGTCAAAGTAATTCGAGTAAATCTTGGGAGGGTCAGTGGGCGATTTAGAACGGATGGTGACTGATCCGCGAGAAGTGGAACCAAGCAGCATGACTGATGTTACGACCAAACTTCCATCATTGGGAGCGTTGGGGATCCCCGCCGGAGCATATATGACCAATGTCTCAACTAGCGGGCGTCCTGGCTTTAGGAGACGCGGCGCATTATTGCCGAATCGCACGTTATCACTTCGCATTGCAGCCTCCAACTTTTCTGTTGGTATATCCTGATTTGTCGCCCAATCAGTAGGGAAACCATTCATGAATGCGGGATCAGACAGGCTGGGATGTCCGAGGGCTAGTCCTCTTTCGTGGTCCCGTAATTTGAAAACCTGATAGAGTGCGAAATGGTCGTTCAGGTTTTTCCCCACTTCTGGTGCATCGATGATTTGGGGGATCCCATGCTGAGATAATTCGCTTGCTGGTCCAACCCCGGATAACATGAGGATCTGGGGTGTTCGGATGCTGCCCGCAGAAAGGACAATTTCTTTTCGTGCTCGCACACATTGGCCGTCAGCCAGGATGACAGCGGAGGCTCGAAATGCGTTTCCGTTGCTTGGCTCAAATTGAACCCGGTCGACAATCGTGTCCGTAACCACCCTGACACCATCCAAGCTATATGCCTGCTGTGATGCCTGCCGCTTGCCTTGACTCCAAGTCTCCAAGAATTCGCAGACACCATATGAGCTCCCGTTACAGCCGTCAGGATTGAAGGGAACACCAATTTCCTCCCACGCTTGCTTTATTGGTTCACGCAATGGATATCGTCGACCGGGGTCACTTGCGGAAACAGAGGTAATCTTCACGGGCCCGTCGAATCCGTGATGATAAGGATCCGCTTGAGGATCAAAGAAAGATTCGGACCGGCGAAAGTAAGGGAGTAACCCATTGTAGCTCCATCGTTCATCGCTGACTATCGTAGCCCAATCGTCATAGTCCGCCGCATCCCCGCGGCTCCAACCTCCGAAGTTGATGGTACTTCCTCCTCCTAAGGCCTTCCCCGCATGAACCTCGTGTGTTCGATTGCAAGTATTTGGCTGGGGTTCCGTCGTATAAGTCCAATCTAGGTTAGATCCTAGGAGAGAAAAGAGACCGTGGAATGTCTGCGTGTCGAGATTACTTGAGGCATCGCTGCCCCCTTCGATAACCATGATGTCAAGGGACGGGGCTCGCTGCTTCAGACGGGAGGCAACCGCACAGCCCGTCAGGCCCCCTCCTACAATAATGTAATCGACCTCCATGAACGCTGATAAAGATTGTTGGATCCAAGGACTGAATGTACGTGAACTAGGGGAGATGCGGCGCGGAATAAACGTGCCTTTTTGCTGTCTACGTGGACGAGGTAGACTGAGTAGCAGGTGGGGTGACGGGACGCCTCTGGTTCAGTCACTGAAACAAAGACGAAAAAAATGCCTCATACAAAAAACATGCCACCAGCGGAGATTTAGGACCGATCTTCCCGGACAGCAAGCCCATTTGGTTATTTGGAATGAACCCCTGTATATCCACTGCATGGCGACGGATTCGCGGGGTTCGGTCAGGACCCTTTCGAGTGGGGGCCGATTCATAAACCTTGCACAGGAGATCGACCCACATCGTTCTGTAATCTCTATACACTACATTGGCCTTGAGGTATCTACGATGGATTTACGCGTATTCGGTTGGTTACATACAGCTCCGAACATCTAGGCAGGTCACTCGGGATATAAAAGAAAAACAGCCTCGTCCTACCTAGTTCATCGATTTCCCTTCTCCTAAGAACCAACAACAACGCAGGGGTTTGTTCATTGCTCTATATCACGTATAATATTCCCGAGTCAATTGAATACATTGCATTTTTGGCCATGAGCGCAGAGACAATTGTTCTTATTACGGGTATGGACTAGACACGATGAACCAACTACCACACCCCATATTGCCTTGATCCCATCATCAAATCAAACAGCAAAATACACATAGTCCAATATATCTAATTGAATGACCGTGTACTAACAATCATACCCCGCAGGTGCCAACCAGGGCCTTGGTTTCCACACGGCCAGAGAGCTCCTCCTACTCCCGAAACACCATGTCATCGTGGGAAGTCGCAGACCATCGTCCGGTGATGCCGCTGTTGAGGCCCTGCGCGCTGTACCGGGCATCCAGGGAACCGTCTCGACAGTAGCATTGGATGTGACCGACCCACGCTCGATTGCGACCGCCAAATCCCATATTGAGACCACCTTCCAGCGACTAGATGTCCTCGTAAACAATGCAGGCATTTTTATGGTGCCCAAAGATATCAGCCCTTCGGGCGAGTCATCGATGGTCAATGACAGGGCCCTGCAACATATCTTCGCAACCAATGTGGTTGGCGTGGCCTCTGTCACCGAAGCCTTGCTCCCCCTACTTCGTCGTTCCACTTTGCGACCGCGTCTCGTCTTCGTATCCTCGTCTATGGCGTCTTTCACTTATAACAGCGACCCGAGATCTCCCCACGGCGGCAGCTTCGCTGTTGAGTACCGCGCAAGCAAGGCTGCAATGAATATGCTACTCCTCGAATACCATATGTCTCAGCCAGACATGACAGTCATCGGGGCAGATCCGGGTTTCTGCGCTACCGAGGTCACTGGAGAGGGTGCGGACGCGATGAGAGCACAGGGCGCTGCCGAGCCGGAGGTTGGCGGTCGAGTGATCGCCTCGATCGCGAAGGGCGATAAGGACAATCTCCCAGGACGGGTCCACAGTGCACAGGGGGTAGTGCCATGGTAAATTACAAAAGAGATTGCGAGGACGTTATATCTTAGAGGTCTCTTTTCCCCTCTTTTTATTACGCCACTAGTCAGAAAATGGAGAATGCGCATCGATGCTGCTCATCGCTACAAGGTTGAAGTATCATTTTATCAATGTGCTCCGTATTGGAGACGAAGTCCTGTTGCGTCATATACATGCCACTAATCGATCCAGTTTGAGTGGTTGGTTCCAGAAGGCGTCATGCTCAAACCTCAAACCATTGGTCAAACACACTGCTTGGATCCATCTTCTCCTTGATAGCTTTCAGCCGGTTCACATTATTGCCGTAGACTGTGCTGAGGGCCTCGTCACCATGCGCAAAGTTGATGTACCTATCCATGCACATTAGCTTGACATATCGCGCGAAATGAGAGGCACACTGAAAAGCAGAATAATGACAATAAGACGAAAATGATTACATACGCAGCAGGTGCATCCAGTCCGTCTGTCGAGCGCCACAGATCGCGAAGTTTGCGGCCCCAGGCTTCGGCTTGCGGTGTTAAGTGTTTATCGTAGTACCAGGGCATAGCGACCGCGTTGAAGTTGACATGGTTTCGCCAGGCAAAGGAGCTAGACGATTCAGGGAAAGCGCGCGCAGTGTCCAAGGAATAAGCTTCCATTATGACTATGCTACTGCTTGTACCATTGATTCCCAGAAAGGAGACGTATTCATCCCAGGCTTTTTTCCATGTGCTTGGGTTCATACGGGCCAAACCGACAGAGTACGACGGTTTGTATCCACCTTTAATGCAGAAGCTGTCTGCTCCATCGTTCCAATGTGGATATTGAAGCTCTGTTGTAGTATCTTTCGATGGATTGAGATCGAGGAAGGCTTTGAATGCTGCCCGGCCTTCCGCTTCAGTGCCATAATAGAACGGCGTGATAACGACCTGTGGCGTGTAGCTTGGAGCACCGCTGGTCATAAAGTAAAGGAAAACACTCATTTTGGGCTTGAGGGCGGTGCTTTGAATGGTATTAACAACCGCCTCGACTTGATCCCCGCGATAAACGAGCTGCCCAAACCAGGCAGTTTGGCCGGGAGGGGATACTGGGAATGATTTCATTGTTGCCGATGTGACAATTCCAAAATTAGGCCCAGCACCTCGCAAAGCCCACCAGAGGTCCTCATCGTTCGGGGTGACTGTTTGTAAGCGGCCATCGGCAAGAACCAGGTTCACTGACAACAGGTTGTCGACGCCGAACCCCACGAGTCCCAGCAGGTTCCCGTATCCTCCTCCCAGAATTGCACCTAGGGCCCCTACACAGTTGCAGTTCCCTGTTTGAACAAGAGCGCCGGCCTTGGAGGCTGCGGAGATAACCTCCGATATAGCAACTCCTCCACCAACTGTGACCTGCGACTTGTTACCATTGAACACAACAGTGCGCAATGATCTGAGGTTGATCAATAGTCCGTCTGATCCAAGGTGGACTGTGTCTGCCCATCCATGCCCGCCGTTTTGAGTCACAAAAGGAATATGGTTGGAAGTACAGTAGCGCACCTATCGCGAGTATGGACCATCAGTGGTTGTCTACGTCAACTACAGCAGAACTTCGGGCAAGACCTTACCGTTGCAGCCACGTCTGGCTCCGTTCCCGGCGTCACCACTACACCAGGGTGCGGAGCAGCAAACTCGCTCCAACGTGCATCTGCTGTTGCATTGTAGCCAGTTACCATGGCCGTCGAAGAAAGATAAGGCCCCAGGCCTTGCGATACCTGCGCCGGGGAGAGCCCCAAGGCTATACACGCGAAGGTAACCACGAAAGAAACAGGTGCCATAGACCGGGCCATGGTTATGGGTTCAGTAGCAAGCCAGAGGAAAAGAAAGAACTAATAGTAGAACAATAGTGCCTGTAAGCTATTTAAAGAGAGTTAGCTCCAAAGGGTCCTCTATTCGCCGACACCTTATAGTGGGTTTCGACCTTCTTATACGGCACACGTCGCTTCGTCCATGGTAAACGAGGTGTCTCCGTAATCCCAAAGTAAAGCGTTTCAAATGCAACATGTATCGATGTATCAATACCATGAAAAATCCGTTACCGCCACTACTGGAAATTGAGATCCTTGAAATTTACACGGTGGTGTTCGCTATGCAGCCGACATGCAGCTAATGCACCCAACTCAGCCCGTTCCTTTGGCCCACTTCTCATGTACGTTCCGCCCCGACATTGCAGCGGCCCCGGGGCAGAGACACGTACTTTGTTGTAGGCCAAAGCGCAACACTGTCTTGTGGAAAGAGCTCTCTGAGAGGCTAGTTTTACGATGCCAGCCTACCTGCAATTACTGCGGACACATAATCCCTCTAACCAATGCTTTATTTGAACATGTGCCCACGCTATGGGGAGGAGGGATCTCGGTTCCTTCGGACCGCATATCATTGTGAGCAGAGTAACTGTAAGTACCCGGATCACTTGAGTTCTCAAGGCTTTCGTCCCCTTCATAAATTTAGTTCACCTTCTGATTCGGTATGCTGCCCTGGTAGAGTTAGCCCCCACCATAGTTATGTCTATCCCGTGTGACGAAAAGGGTATTCCAAATGCAGATAAGCATGTTACCTGGTGACCTGGCGCTCTAATATTTTCAACAAAACCCTCAACTCCGCAAAATCCAGAGCCTCCATCTACCCAACAAGTTTACACCTCGTCCCATGATTTTCGCCCATCATGGGAGTCGATGCATTCTCGAAGAGTGAGATGATCGCGTTGGGGTTCGTCTTTTTGATCCTCCCCTGCATTTTTGTCGCTCTTCGAATCTGGGCCAAATTGATTTCACGGCATAGTCTGCAGGCAGATGACTATCTGATCTTCGTGGGACTAGTGAGTCCAAATACCAAGGAAGAAGGCATGCGCGAACATATGGATGATTAATGATATTCCGGGCTCAGTCATTCTCGATCGGATGTTCCATTACGCAACTGATAGGTAAGTACTCACAGTAAAGGATAAATCAGTGGAGACACTCCCAAGGTGGCTGACAGGAGTGTTTTTCAGGTGCGATCGATGGCGAGTTGGGACAGCATCAGAGAACGGGACCCGCTGGGCAACCTCTTTTGGACGATCCCAAATTCCTCATCTATGAGAAAGTGAGTACACCGCTAAGTCAGTTCCAAAGGCGGAAGATGGCCCCCCTCCCTATTTCCACCGATATCGTTTAACATGATCGATCGCATAGTGCAAATTAGCAAGTCAGATAATGGCTGTTATTGGTATTGGCTCGACCAAGTTGTCGCTACTCACATTGTTTCGAGGAATATTCGGTATCTCCAAACCCTTCAAAACAACCACCACGATCATGATTGCCGTTACTGCAGCATGGACAGTGTCCTTCTTTTTTAGTAATTTGTTTACGTGTTATCCAGTGACGGCCCTCGTGGAGTCATTCTACGGTAACAAGTGTCTCGACAGTGTCGCTATGTGGTACGCTTCCTGTATCACTGACGTGATCATCGACTTCATCATTCTTGTCATGCCGTTGCCCCCTGTCTACAAGCTTCAGCTACCTCTGAAACAGAGGCTAGCCGTGGCAGGCATGTTCGTAGTGGGTACTGCGTACGTGTCCTTCCCTCCTGGGTGTTTTTTTCCTCCTCCCGCTTGTTTACAGCGTCGCTGAGCTAACGAGCCCCGACAATCCCAGTGTCATTGCAGTGAGCGTCACTAGGCTAGGTTTCTATGTCCATATTGGGACAACGTTTCTTGAACACTATAATGATGAAACATGTAATGTTCCTTCCTATCATCCTTCTCTCGAGTTTCTCACCGGCGTAGCAAATGATTACTGACCGGTTTTAGACTATACTTCACCTGTCTTCTTTTGGACGAACATTGAAATCTCCTTGGCTGTTATATTAGCTTGCCTACCCACGTTACGGCCTCTGTGGAATCTCTTCCAGCATCGGCAATTGCACTCTACCGCCAAGTCATACGCATCAGGTTTGCCTTCGCATTATAGCGACGGTTCCTATGGAAGCAGCAGGCGAACCCGAGAAACTTTCAATGACATCGATACGATCAACCTAGTCCAGCAACATCAGCAACCAAGCGATGCGTAGCGTCAACTATGATTAGACAGTTACCGGTCCCCAAGGGGTAATCCAATTTTCAGTAAGTGGCATGGGGAAGAATCGCAGTGTTTTGCCACTGTTGACCTACTACATATATACAACTTCCGTAATGTTTATTTCCAGTGCAACAGTTGCTGAATGAAGAGTATGTCATATTCACAGTGCACTTTTTTATGTCAACGGCTCGACCACGGTTGAAGAAGTGAACCAGGTTGCTGGTCACCTGCATAAGATTTAGCATGAGTTCGTTCCGTTTGCAAACAGAGATCCAGTCGTTCGTCCGATATTTGCGATAGGGAGAGGACCTTCTTCTTTTCGGAGGTACTATCCCTTCTACCCTCCACTCCCTACCTTTTAGTCTGTGGAATTCATGGTACCATCTTTCTCTTCCAAGTAGATGACTGACCTCTTTATCACCTTATATCTATTAGAATCTACTGGCTTAGGCAATAATCAAGATTGGAGTCTCGTCTGCTCCTCCGCTTTTTGTTTCAAGGCCTTTTCAAGACGTTCCCTCTTCTTCTGCTTAGATTGACCTGAACTCGATTTCTGTATCTTGTCCCCTTTTTTCTTCGCAGTGCCAGGAGTCTTTGTCTTTGAGGGACAGAATCGGTAGACTTGCCACCACATAATGCCACCATGGCTATTGCTCGAGTAGTGTCTCGTGTCAAAAAACAGGCAAAGCTGGATCGAAAAGCATAAGATGGTAACCTTTTATATCTCTAAGTCTCTTTAAAACTTATTATTCATACTCAACCCGCAGCCAAAATAGTAGGCCGTCGTATTCTAGACGGCTATGCCACGCCATGTGCGGGTGGATTAGCACCAAAGACAGCAGAAAGTTTAGGCATCCAAACTGTTGCCGAATACAATTTTTTCATACCAAGTTTCGGAACATTCAATATCAAACAGAGGACACTCTGAGCGTCTGATAGAAGCTCGTCATCGGCATCTATATGGAATCTCGCGCTTTGAACAGAAAATACATGGTAGCCGAGATGAATTGGTCTATCGAAAATCGAAACTCTAGAAGGCGTCTCGAACAATCTTTTCTAGGATCAGAAGGCTTACATAATACTCACTTAGCCACGCCCGGGCGGGACCTCGGGACCTCATCAGGGCGCTCAGAGGCATGCTCAGATCTACTCAGAGAGCATAAAGCGGCGGCAGCTAAGATAGGAAAGCCCCACCTGGGATGGGAAAAATGTTACGTATAGCTACCTAGGTAACCCCCCCTGAAAAGCAATGGGGGCAAACAAGCCCTCGTAAAAAAAGTTGCCAATGACAGCGACGAGAAAAAGGCCTGCCAAGCCCTCCTTTCTACGTGCGGTCTCAGGCATTCCGATCATCGACATGATCGCCCTTGGCTGCAGTCCAGAATCCAATTATTGGCACGCCGAGCCTCAGTTCTGAAATCTTCCTCCTTTTTTTCGCCGCTCTCTCAATTTTTTATCACTTCTGATCGCCCTTGGCGCCCAGACTCGCTGAAGCTCCTGATCTGGCTCTTCCGTGAATCTGCTCCCTAATCTCCACCCCCCTGAACTCATTCTCTTCTGCTGCAGATGTGATCTCCAGACTGGGAGATCATGGAGGTGCCCATCTAGGACCCCAGTTTCATCGATCCACGTTGCGTTCGCTTGGACCGGCGTTCGTACTATGGTCCCCACTCCCGTAGCCTCGATCTCACCCGTCAGCCTCGCCCCCATGTGTGTTATTCATATTTTCTTTTTTTTCTTTCCGTTTTGCTTTCTTGGATGAGTCGATCGCCCTGCGTTCTCACGGGTGCCGGTCGCACCGGGCGCATTCTGAAGATGGTTACAGTATCGCCTGGGCCTTGGCGGGCTGGTGATTCAGCCCCTTGCCAAGCATTGCTGCGGAATGAGGTCGATTTTTGAGGATCTGCGAAGTCGGTCTGATTTGCGAGGTTGGTCTGGTGGGTAGGATCGCGATCTTCAAGGGATTGCTTGGCGGGTTTCCTACGTATCATTCACTTTGGGATGGCCCTGTTCTGCGAACCGTCCTAAGCGGCTATTGGCTTCTGGGGCTTGGGGCTGTACTCCGGGCAAAGTATCGCCGAGCTGTACGGGGTACGCATGTTGTCCTGTAAGATACCCATGCTGTATTCCAGCCCTGGAGGTAATGGCTGCCAGCTGTATTGAACTTGGGTCGACACGGTTGGGAACTAATTATGGCCCCTCGGAGTGGCCATGAAACACAGAATCCTCCGGTGACGCCCAAGTATGCTCAGTCGCCTTATGGCGAGTCTGGGTTAGCCAAAAGTGGTTCCAAATTGCCGAGTGTGGTGATATCAAATGCAATACCCCCAAGGGAGCTGAAAGAGAATGCCAGCATTGTGGAACGCCCGCTGATGGTTCCTAGGACTTGACGAAAGGCATATATGGAGGGGAATTGTAGGTGGTAGCCCTATGGAAACCGTACTACCGTCGGCATCAATAGCCGGTGAGACGTAGGGCTATAGTAACCCGAAGTGAACAAACTTTGGCCATATATAACTAGCATGGATGAGATTAGGAGTAGCCGTAAGAAATGCGACCCAATTGATTGTCAAAGATATCGAATTTGATCGGAGGGAGAGGCCAAATTTGCGATCCGTTTTATCTCGGTTTTGGTTTTTCTTTTCCCCCCGCCTTCTTTTTCTTGTTCCTTCGCAAACCCAAACTGCCGACCAGCCAAGCGAAAATAGCCGCTGTCAAATTCGACAGCCAAAGGATTCCTGACTCAGGGCCAAAGCTGCATGTTCAGGGTGGAGCAATTAAAATGCCTCATAGTAGGGAAGTACCTACCTTCACTGGGGCCGTACAGCCAAGTGGTACCTATGAGGTCGCTTTCTTTTTGACTTTTTTTTTTTTAAACTGGGGGGAGCCAATGCGCCGCTAACCACCTGTTCACCCCCCAATCCTCCTAGTCCCAGTGCGTACGTATTTCTCCGTGAACTCGTCTTTGGTGCCTATTTCGGACTAGTCTCACCAGAGCGTGACTCCACTTCCCCGGTTGTGTTGCCGGTCAGCATCTCCTACATAAACACTTCCCAGCCATCGTCTTGACTAAGCCTGTCTGGTCGCTAGGGTAATGTAAGTCACAGCACCCCCATCGGAATCGCGGGCGATCTTGCCTCTGTAGTATGACTCCTCCACCTGCACAGTTCACACCTTATTATGCGACACGGCAGACTAGCCTGGACTGTGGGCCTTGAGGGATTGCAATCCTCGAACATTTTCCCTTTAGGTGCCACGGGCGCAACGCTGAGTGGTTTTGTGTGAAGGCCCCTGTTTGCGTAGGGCATCTTCCCCCGGCATGAAACGGCGCTGGGACTAGCTGTTACAAATTCCTTTCTGCCGTCTGGACGTGGGGGTCGTGTAAACATTGACAAATAAAGGAAGTGTGGTAGCTGCCCCCTACGAATTTGGCCGTTGGGAATCGTCGAGTGTTGATTGGCGGGATGAGATCGCCAGCAGCAGCCAGTTAGCAAAAGAATGATCAAAGAGAAACCGATAAAAATCCGATATCCACACGCAAAAGCGGGAAAACGGGAAAAGGAAGGGGATGGGGAGGGGAAAAAAAAAAACATAGAATAATTATGCCAAGTGGAGCCCAGCGCTTTGACGGGCGTGGTTCCCCAATGGCCTTGTTTTCTTTCCGACTAACCGAACTTTGCTCGATACATCCAGGTTGTAACTTCACTTGTGCTCCAATAAGCAGTTTGGATCGACAGGATCCGATGCCTTGACGCTGGTCTTCATTTCCCGGCGGGCCAAAAATTGAGAGAGAGATCTCCGGTAGATTAAAAATAGGGGATCTGAACCTTGATGCTTTGTGGGACAAACACACGGTAGTGTCAATGACCAAGATGGTTCTTTACCCCACTTGGAATACCGGATGCCAATGGCATAGGGGAACTTCCTTTGTTTCGCCCACTCACGGTCGTATAGAAGTGGAGAGCTACTCTGTCCTTATACATATGTACCTCCCAAGTACTCCGTATATACCTAGATACCGGCCTCGGCAGCAACAAGCTTCGCCCGCGATTGCAAACCCAACTGCATTCTCCGCTTGAACCGGTCTGCAGGCAAATCAAAGAAGCCCAGCGTTTGGACAGGGAAGATGCCCGCTCGCACAGGTGCAGTGTGGGGAGGCGATCGAACGATTTACAAGCTTGTTACGATCTCAAGGTCCCTGGTTGACTGTCTCGAGTCCGGCTTTTGAAGTTAGTACCCTGTATTAAGGTACTTCCTGCCATCTTTCATTGTTCTGTACTCTTGTGTTTCCCGCCCTTAGTGCGTCGCTAACTGGGGAAGCTTGCGAATGTTACCAATGCACCCGTTGGAGCTGGTTGGAGCTGGTTGGAGCTACTCTTCTTGGCTGACCGCTCCTCTTTTTGCGCCGCGGACAGCCCGAGTCAGCGGCGCCTGAAGGGCAGCCATTGATAGCCCTCCAGGGCTGGTTTGCTCCATAGTTGGTGCAGGTGAATGCTACGAGAATGCTACGGAGCCCCGTCTCCAGTCTCCTTCCAGAGCCTGAAGCTGTTTGTGTTGGGAGTAGTGGGGTCAAGGGATGGTGCCCGTTTCACGGCAGGCCCGGAGTAAACATGAAGCGATATGGGGGGGCCCCTGTTCTTCAGTCCACGCGACCTCCGTGCAAGTTTAGCCAGGCCAGGGTTCATTTCTGCGGTCTTTTCTCAGCATCCCTAGATCTAGGTCTATGATGAAGCTTGGCGGCATACCGACCTATACCACCATGTTGAATTATTGGTCTTGGCAACAATGCACTGAGGATCATAGTGGAGGTGGAGGTAAGCTGTACGAATACCAAGCCTGATCTACCCGAGTAAGGCATGGTGCAGATACGGAGTACACAGGGAGTAGCGTATTGTGGTAGTGTGGGGGGGGGGACGTGAGTCTCAAAACAGCACTCCGCGTCCGTTCTACGTCAGTGGGATGCATGGGCCATGAGCAAGGGAAAATGTCCATCGCCATAAGGATCAGCGCCATCGCCAAGACCTCATAAGGAAAGCAAATGCGAAACATCAGGAAGCGCGCAGACCGCGTTAAGGGAGGAGGACGGTCCTCCGATGGGATTGGACCAAGTGGCCCGTGTCTGACCCCCCGGCGGTCACACGCTTTCCCTGAAAAGCCCTACTGCTAGTAATGGGGCTAGGGCTGTTTGGGGGGGGGGGCACTTGGAGGGTTTGGGGCTTTCAAATTGCGACTCAGGCACAAGGCAGGTACTGGCTAATACGAGCAATCCATCTCCGAGAACGGTGGCCGGGCGGCTACTCTGACGTAGGGTGACCGTACCAATACGGACACACGAACCCGTCTTGGTCTACCACACATATTACGGTGAGAACAGACGAAAAGACGGTCACGATCAAGATATATCCGTCAGTAGATGAGATACCATTATTCGAAAGAGCTTGACTTTGTAGTTGGCAGGTATCACGGTCATATGCCCGAGGGCTGGGTCTGATTCACGCATTAGAGCATAAATTACATAAATTACAGATCCTGAAAGCGATGGCGCCCTGATCAGGCCTAGCCTGCACAAAATGCCTCATAGTCGGCACTCGACCAACTGTACGAGGTCAACCCACCATGAAAGAAAAACGACCCGTCACAGCATTGAAAGCCTTTGTATTTCACGAAATCCTATTGATGTCTGAAAGTGACTCTCAACCTAAAAGGCAGAAAAAAGATACCCAAGCTGTTGTACTCATGTACTCAGCCTTTGAGAGGGTTTCTATTTCCAGGCGCAGGAACCTGCACGAGAGAGTGGGTCCTGGAACAAGCGTGGAAGGACCAGGACTGTCGGAATTGTGGGCAACTGCGGGTGTGGCAAGGGGAAAAAAAAAACTGTAAAAAAAAAAAGGCGAAAAAAAAAAACCACGCTAGACCAAAGGCGACCGTGCCGCCCTCCCGTGTATCGTCACTCCCAGCAAAACCCAGTGAACCCCCCCCTCTACTTAGTCCATATACTACTACTTCACTAATTTCGATCTCTATTTCCCCTTAAACCTCTTCCCCTCTCCTCTCTCCACTCCTTAACTATTCTATTTCCGCTTCATTGTCTTTTGGCTTCACTCAGGCTCCCTCCCCTGATCGCCCTCTACAGCCCCAAAACTGTGCAGGCTTGGCACTTGGCGGCTAGCCAAGTACTACTTGTGCCACTCCAGACGCCCTCCTAAGAGGATTTGAAGCAACAACCAGCCATCCTTGGCGTGATTTTCCTTCAACTCACACCTCTACGCCCCCAAAAGCCATGTGTGTTATATCATGAGGGTTTGTCCTTCGCGGGACCTCATATACGATCGATCTTGATCGATCTTGAGCACACTCACCTCTCTTAGACGTGCTTGTGCTGCCAGTCTCAAATCGTCAACATGGCTCAATCCCGTGGTGAACGTCCCTTTTCTTTCCAAAAACTATTGAAGATGTTCATTTCGCCCACTTCGGCCTCCCGGCCGGCTCACGATGAGGCCGATGCCACGGAGGACTTGGACGAACCCCCCCGATCACCAACATATCTTTCACGACACCTCGATTCACCAGCACGAGAGCATCGAATTTGTCCGGCCGCCGATGATTTGCCGCCAGGAATCTTTGCTCACGCGCGCCTTGAAGAACAGCCCGGAAATGTCCCCGACAGACCAGCATCACTCCATCTACGACTCTACCTACAACTACCGTTCCTATCCCCACAGCAATATCAGTGGCATCTCAACTGCCGAACTCACCAGCGACGGTGGTATGACGAGCCCTTCGCTTTCTAACACTCCCAGTCCGCCACTTCCTCCCCAGATGTTGAGCAAGCCTTCAGTGACCGGTAAGAAGGAGATGGCTCCCCGAGTTAAGGTGGTGGATACGAGCGAGACGGCAGTGGAGGCGAATCTGGGTCGCAAGCGCTGTATCAGTTTTGCATGTGGCCGGAAGGCCGAGCCACCCAAGCCAGCAGAACCAGCACCTCAAGCGACTCCCGAAACCCCCATCGAACCGCCAAAACGAAAATCGGCCCTGACCTTCGTTTGTCCCGGACGTCAGTCTCCAGCACCAGCACCTACATCGGCGCTTCAAAGAGAACGCTCTCCTGCTCACAGGGCTGCTTTCCGATCTCGATGCCGTGGCTCCCCAGCCCCTGTCGGTCGTAAGGGTTCTCCGGCCCCTGCTCGCAAGATCTCTGCGGAATCTGCAGGTCCTTCGCGGGCGAAGCCCGCGGAGAAGGCAGAGAAAGTGGAGAAGACATCCATTACTTTGCCTAAGGGTGTGCCTACCAGTGGTCTTGGCCTTTTCGAGGAATCTGAAGCCACTCGCTTTCATGAGTTCGCTAGCTCTACGGATGAGGACGAGGAGTGGGTGAAGAAGACCACCGAATACCCTGAGAAGATCACCATGAACGACTGCATGAAGAAGGAGAATGCCATCCGCCGTCTTGCTGAAGAGGTTGATGCGGAGGCCCTTGACGAGGATGAGGAAGATGATGATGTTGAGGACATCGCAGACGATGACTCAACTATTCATGACTTTTCTTCCGACGACGGCAATGAGTCAGATAACGAGGCGGGCTTTGCCGACTCGGACGACAGTGACGATGATGGCTCTGACTACGAGTTCTGGGCCCCATCTATCACTGTTTCAGATGGGTCTAATGCCCAACCCATTGATGTCACACCGCCTGTTTTGGAGCGCCGTGCGTCTAATACAGGTACATCATTTGACTCATTGACTGACGACCATCAAAAATGGCTCCCGGCTCCCGTTCGCCGAATGGCCATCCGCCGCTCTGCCTCGAAGCCAATTAAGATGCGACCGGGCACTCCTAAGCTGCCCGATAGCACCGACTTCGTGTGTGGGACGTTGGATGAGGATCGTCCTTTGGAGGTTGCATACAAGTCCTGCATCGAACAACGGCGTCTCCAAAGGCGTGTTGTAATTCCTCAGGATATTGATCCGAGTTTCCCCACAAGCGACCCTGAGGACAACGGAGATCTGGAAGACATCTCTCAAGATCAGGACGATGACGAGCCTGCTCTCGACTCAGCTCGTGGCCGCACCGACGCTCCTGTGCGCAAAGCGTCTCCCCGACACTCGCCTAAGCGGATCATGTCTCCTCCCCCTCCCTCTCGCCGGGCTGGTCGCTCGTCTCCCAAGCGTTTGAAGTCGCCTCCCCCTCGAGCACGGGGCCTCCGGGCGAAGTCCCCATCGCCATCGAAGCGGGCGCTGCCGGACGAGATGCCCCATATGGATTCTCCTCGAGGTCTCAACATCAGTCACTTGGTTCAGCAGCGCCAGACAGTGACCCGTACAAAGTCATTGCCTCGCAAGCCTAACCCATTCTTCGCGTCCGACCAGTCATATCGGTCCGTTAGAATGCCTTCTTTCCAAGAATCTCACGAGCGTGAACCCTCCCGCACTCGTGAGCTGCACACACGAGGACCTATCGATATCGTCGAGGGCCTTGAAAAGAAGCGCCAGAAACGCAAAGAGAAGTTCTGGCGCCAGCACTGCCGCAAAAACGCCAAAGAGCAGATTGGACGGCGGCCGATACCCGGCAAAGGAGCCGAACGGATGAAGGAGCTTGGCCTCGAAGTTGCTGAGAGGACCAGGGCTTATGGTGTTGGTCAAGACACCCAGCTCGTCCTATCTGTTTAGGTTACCTAAGGGGATATATTCTTATACCTTTTTACCCCTTTTTCGACTTGTACATACATACATTACAACTTTTGAACGTTGCGCTTGGCCCTGGGGTCAAGTGTCTTTCGCTTACATACTTTTTTTAAACCAACTTCATGTCATCCACTTGCTTGGTCTCTTTGCCTCTGAATACCCCTATCCGCCCTATATATGGGAAGCCTCAGTCCTTGCAGTCTTTTTATTTATTCATCTTTGCCCCCTTCAAACCCCCCTTGTGGGATTTGGAACTCAATAGCTTTCTCATTCTTGTCAATTTTAGCATGGCTGGTGCATATACCCCCCCTATCTGCATTTGCTGCATTGTGGATAAAAAACAGGCGGTTTGGAATCAATGTGGATAATAAGGGATATGAGAATTATCTGATAACTATTGTGACGATCATTGGAGGTCTCAGTAGAAAAATCGTTAGCATAGTAGCAAAGGCTTCCGGTATGGTTCGCGGCCCAGTCAGGACTTAGGCGGTTTTAGATCTCACCGTTCCGTCACTGTTGCTGCCTTAATGCCTGAGGGAAAGCTAGATCCCGAAAACAAACCTGGCTTTATCTTCTTCCCCTCTCAACCACCTGTCACCACCACTTGCGCTATTGTACTCTCGTCGTCTCCTTAATACTCCCTACGGCTCCCTTGGTCCCAGTTTCGCCATGTGGATTATCAACTGGTGTAAGTGCTTCCGAGTGCCCCAGCCCGACCCTCGGCCCAAATCCTCCCCACCAGCACCGCATGCGGAGCCAAGGCCATATGGACCAGACCTATGTTATGTGGCCTGAGAGAACCCCGTCTAAATGAGTTATGGACGAAGGCTTCTTGATGTGTTGTGTTCGACCAGATAGAAAAATGGCTGCATCATGGTTGCATGATGCAGCTATACAATGCCGTGGTCCTTTGCTCGTGATTCGGGGTTGGGCCCTGGAATTTTGAATCTCAGATGTACTGATTCATCGTCTCGGTTTAGTCTACGATGTTCTGGCCTCTCTTGGCCTTCTGAACAAGCACGCCAAGCTTCTCTTTCTCGGTCTCGACAACGCCGGCAAAACCACCCTCCTGCACATGCTGAAGGTGAGTGAGGATCAGATTGGTGGATTCTGCGCCGAGGTGGCATAGGGATTTCCGGTGTCAAGGGTTTGGCGATGGAGCTCTCTGTAACAATTTGATGTTGGGAGGCAGACGCCCTACCTTGGGAAATCTCGGAACGGCCGGCGCAGAGTCACGGGGGGTATAGTGTGGCTAATCGGCTCTTTTCAATCTGTATAGAATGACCGTGTCGCTGTTCTGTCACCCACCGCACACCCTACCTCGGAGGAACTGGCCATCGGCAATAACCGCTTTACCACTTTTGACCTGGGTGGTCACCAGCAGGGTGAGTCTCGATCTTGATCTCCGCCCCCGTTCGCGGAGCCGATTCCGAAATGGCCGGGGTTCTTCAACCTGTGGACTTACCAGGCATCAGGATGAGGGCGTGAGATGACTTTTGTTGGTATTGAATTGACACTGACTTGTAACGATTAAAGCCCGCCGTTTGTGGAAGGACTACTTCCCTGAGGTCAGCGGTATTGTCTTCCTTGTAGACGCCAAGGATTACGAGCGATTCCCCGAGTCCAAGGCCGAGCTCGACGCTCTCCTCGCCATGGAGGAGCTTGCCAAGGTCCCCTTCCTCGTTCTCGGAAACAAGATCGACCACCCCGACGCCGTCAGTGAGGAGGAACTCCGCCATCAGCTTGGCCTGTACCAGACTACTGGTAAGGGCAAGGTGCCTCTCGAGGGTATCCGACCCATTGAGCTGTTCATGTGCAGTGTCGTCATGCGACAAGGTAAGACCGTTCCGCAGATCTTGATCTTCACAGGAGCTAAAAGTATTCACAGGTTACGGCGAGGGTATCCGCTGGCTCTCTCAGTACGTCTAAGGTTCTATAGCCTAGACATGGTCTTCTCATCCACTCCAATACCCCTGTCGTCCTTTGTGAACCTTCCGCCGATGCTGGTCTAGGATTGGCCATGAGGCGCAATCTGAGAAGCGTTTTGCTCTTCTCGTCCGTTCCTAGAAACCTCTTCTCTGCCTACTCTCTCCCTTTCAAATATGCCTGACGTCTTTAAAAAAAAAAGACGATGTCTTGATGTTTCCTAACTTTGATTCGCACCCCCATCAATGCATGTCTATTCGGCTTTGTTTCATCTGCCCCCTTTCTCTCCTGTTCTCCTGCTGCCTGCTAGGTATTCCTATTTGCTGCTCGGTCGGCTGTTATTTCATAGTCCTAAAATGCCTTGCTCCCCAATCTATACTGCACGCAGTTTAGTATATATCTTGATATAAGCTTCCGAAGAGTCTTGATTCTGCGGACTGGTGATCCATCAATCGCTAGATCACTAGATTCTCAGGGCCCCGACTCGCAGTTAGTGCAACATTACTCCAACGATGTCGATTGGTGATCTGAGTAAAGAGATCACTATGAGTGCGTCTGTCCATTGAGCTGATTCATTCCAATACTCCTGTAGACGAATTCCCCATTAGCCCTATAGGCTGTGCTAGTTGAGGGCCATGGTGGGTTAGTCCTGATAGTAGCCAAAGATACACGCCGTGTCCCTTGTGACTCTTGGAGCCGTCAATCGCGATTTGAACCTCGCATTTGATGCTTTAGTCCAGAAGATGCTCCCGTATCCAATGAGGGAAGCATATCTCCCTTCGAACGCGACACGATGCCGCCGTATTCGGCACTTCGGGGCATTAGCGAGGCCTATATCGCTGTTGAGCGGGCCAGGCGCACTCCATCTGCTGTGCTCCTGCGGCTTGGATCAATCCTTTTCGTTTCGAAGAAAATACCCTGGAAAGGAGCAAAGCGAAGTCGACAAGTGGGATAGACCAAGCTGCTGATCCGGTGAGGGTCAAGCTGGGATTGTCCGATGTTGAGGACAAGTTGATTCTTCGCGAGGATCTTAAAGCTGCCCTAGCAACGGCTGCGTTTTATAAGAACCTGAGAACATTGTAATACTACTGGTTTTTGTACACACTTGAAATGCACGATCAGCTGTCGGACACGGGTGATGTACAAACGGAAATATCAACTGTTTGCAGGGCATCTATATTGTCTTGATTGGCCCGTCTTTAGAGCCTCACGACCTAGTCCGTGCTGGGAGACCCCCTGCATCGCCCTATCTAATTGGCCGAGAGTGCTAGTAAGATTGACACGGTGACTGGTATCGACGAATACTACAAGAGCTGGTAAATCCTCTAGTGTAAGTCTTTCATACGCATAGATTGGTTATCCATGGGATGTACAAGTATTGAAGGGCAAAGGAATTGACATCGAATCTTTGGATTAGACCCGGGGGAAAACAAGCGCCAGCCACTTACGCAGTCTAAATTATCGGCCAATCAGGCGAGGGGCGAGATGGGTTTATCGTTCAAGGGTCGTTCATACATTCAGATTGCTATTGAGATCCTTCTTCAACCATTGTCGTCGTAAGCATGAACAGGCTAGGTTGGACAAGCGGCAAATGAGCTACACCACCTACTAGACGTAATACGAGATGACACAATTGAGCATGAGAATCAATTGAATTCAAGACACAAGACCGATAAGACAGAAACAGATAAGAATAAGATGAACCAGGCGTTCCCAACCCCCCTTCCAGGATGCCGAGAGAAAACATTCCGTCCAGATGGTAAGAAACAGGAAAGCAGAGGAACATGATGGAAAAAGAAAAAGGGAAAGAAAAGGAGAAGAGACATGGATGAGGGAAACATTTCCGCTCTGAGGGTACAAAGGTCGCATGGTCGGCCCATGAAAGGATGGAGACAGGTTTCGCTGATCGTACCGGGGCCCTCGAGTCGATAGAGGAGGGGGTATCGGATTATCGTAAATGTGAGAGGGCGGAGTTTGCGGGGGCGAGCCCGGTGTAGAAGAGGGTTCCTCGGTCATTCATCGCTTCGTTGGTATGCGGCGGAGGTCATAGATGGGAGGGGGCTAGAGGATGTCATGTAGGCGGTTGTGGATGCGTAGTTAAAAAGAAAAAAAAGGCTTATCTCCGCCCGAACCTGCTGCAAATGGAAAGCTCGTATCGATTCCTTTATTTCTTGGATTTGCGTGGAGTAGTGATGGGCCCGCCGGCGCTCATGCCACCGTAAACGTACTTTTGTTTCTTTTCGGCTGGTTTCAAGATCTGTAGAAGCGGAGAAAGATTTTCTGGTTAGTACATGGGGAAAGTGAAATGTAGGTTTCCGTTTGAGGAGTATCTCACCTGGAACGAGCAGAGCAGGCTTTCATCCACGCTCATCATGGCACCTGCGTTATCGAATTCGCCACAGTAGTTTGGCGCACTGAACAGTGTCACCAGCTGTCGCTTAGAGAAGAATTCGTATCCATCCTCCACGACTTGATGGGCACGGCAAATCAAGTCCATGTCGTGCTTCTGTAGGAATCGTGATACCACATCCGGACCGAAGGTGAATGACACACCACGATCGTTCTCGCTCCATCCTGTGATATCCTTATCCGGGTCGGACCACAAGAGGTCACAGAGGAGACCGCAGTCGGGAATCTGTATAAGTCAGCGAATCTGGCCCTCAAGCCGGACGGCCAAAGAACACGGATGCCACTTGTGGAAAACCAACCCACATAATGTGACGAGAGGCAGAACTCAAGAGGGAGAGGGCACTTACATCAGTGGGACGCATAACACGGCGGATCTGCTCCATTGAGTTCAGATCAGGGCTGAGACCACCGTGCATAGTGAAGATCTTCTCGTCAATGATAGCGGCGATTGGGAGGCAGTTGAAGCAATCGGTGAAGGTCTTCCATAGCTTGATGTTGTATCGGCGCTTGCACTCGTCGTAGAATCCATAGATACGGTTAATCGAGGCGCACTCGTGGTTGCCGCGAAGAATGAAGAAATTCTCCGGGTACTTGATTTTGTAGGCAAGGAGCAGACAGATGGTCTCGAGGGACTGCTTGCCACGGTCGACGTAATCACCGAGGAACAGATAATTGGCCTCTGGGGGGAATCCGCCGTACTCGAAAAGTCGAAGTAAGTCGTAGTATTGACCGTGAATATCACCACAGATCTAGAGATAAGAGACGTTCGGTTAGGCATCGGTGACGAAAAGGAGGGCGGGAAGAAAAGAAAAACCAGGGCCAGAAGAGAGGGGCTTATCGTGGACATACCTTGATGGGGGCCTCTAATTCCAAGAGAATTGGCTGGGAGATAAAAATTTCACGAGCCTTGGTGCACAAGAAGCGAATTTCCGATTCCAGGAGTTGCACTTGCTTGCCAGGTCGGCTGCCCCTCACCTCCAGCAGCCTATCAATGATGGAGTCGAGATCGACGTCCTGTTCGGCCATAACGGGCGGCCCTTACTGAGCAGGAAAAGAAGGAGAAGAAGGGAAATAAGCCCGTGAGAAGGGGAAAAAAGAAAAGCACGCGCCGGGGAAGGGATGGCTTCCGGGGGTGGGATACTAATGACGCGGCGGCTATGTTCTGCATAAAAAAAAAACGCGAGTCGTTAGTGATGTATTCAAATTCAACAAGAGCACCCGCCCGGTTCTCAAAACCCAAGTCGATTTCCACGGAGACAGTCGCGTTTCTGATGACGAAATTTTCTTTACCGCGCTATCGTTCCTCTTCCTTCTGCGACCCAGGGGTTCGAGGGGGATGGAAATCCAGTCAACAGGATTGACATACCACACAATAATTCAATGAGACCAAAGACTCAGGAGATATTTTTTAAGAGGCCTTGCGGCCGCGAAGGGTTTGGTAGGTTGATCTGCGGCAGGGATGGCAGAAGTCGACAAAGTGACTCTCCGACTGTCAAAGGGGGTATTCGAAGACGAGATAGAAGATTTGAATCGGCTCCTAAGCGGCTTGAAGAAATAACAGGCCGGGGGAGACCACAGATCACAGGTCGTGGATTTGAGCGGGATGGAAGGGAGAGGGGAAGGTGGGAATCGAGACGAGATTTTCCGGGCGGGTAGGTGGAGAACAAGAGGCAATCAGAGGCGAAAGACAGGACGTCCAGAAGAACCGATCAGTTCGAGAATGATGGCAGGACGAGACTGGGCTGGACGCGATGGAAGAAAAACCGGGGACGTGATGAAGAGGGAGAATCTCTGCAGGGCGAGAAAGCGGGAAGTTTGCAGGTTTGCGTGTTTGCAGGTGTTTGGCTTCCGGCCGTTCTGAAACCTCTTCTGCTCAAGGGCCTCGACAGTTTCTACATCTACTTTGGCTGGTTTTATTTCTACCCAGTGCCATTTTCGTATTGCTTTACCAATCTCTGCGCCTTCGTGCTGCTTGGTCCCCCTCCCCTCTTTTCTGTTGGAGGGGTTGTTGCATCAATAGCCGCCGGTCGAGACCCTCATGGAGTCCACTCCTCATCAGGTACATACGCCAAGTACTTCGCCCATACAGGGCCTTAGCGCAAAGTATGCGGTCCCTCCTCCCGAGTCTCCATAGCAGGGGATTCGACCCTAGCATGCGATTGTCCTGCATTGGCCCGGTGGCCGCGATGCCGCTCGACCCGGAATTCCCATTGGGCATCCAACAATAGACGAGGCCCATTGGATCCCCGCGACCTCACTTTTACCCACCTGGAAGTCGGGGAGCTACACTAAGGATGCTAAGGAAGCTATAATGGAGGAAACGTTGAGAAGAACATTATTTTCCAGACCGGCTCATAGCGTCATGCCACGTATCCACCCTGCATAGAGTTCTAACAGAAACATGCCACCAGAAACGCAGCACAAGAACAAAAAGGGGAATAGGAGAGAGAATCGAGAAAGGTCGAGCAGAAGCAAAGCAGAAGCACTCAGAATAGACACATCCATAAATCGAAGATCAAAGCATTCCCCTCAACACCAGCGAATTCAGGACAGGGAAAAGGCAGAGAGAAAGGAAAAAAAGAGGAAGAAGAAGGAAATACAACAAGCGCGCTCTAAACGGTTCTTTCAAAATGTCCCTCCCGCGTATAGGCAAGACCGGTCTCGACCAAAGAACAATGAACTTCAGTGAAGTCGAGAAGTGCATGAGACAAGAAGTCGAAGGTGGGGCAAAGGGGCGCAGCGCAAAATCAAAACAGCCGTAAGTGTTCATACATCCAACCCGCCATAACTCATAAGTCATCCAACGCCATGAAAATGCATAAGCTCGAGAGCTTAGAAACAGATAATTCAAACCTCGAGAGGGAAGGGGTGTTGGCTTTATTCATTAGGATAAAAGCCATAATCAATCAGCAAGTGAAGGGCTCCGGAGACTTTCGCATGTCTGGGACAAGTATGATGGTATTTACCCACTCAAGGTACGGCCAGCGCTCAGGATTGGCTGACGTGGGCCTCGAGGAAGCGTAGTAGTGGGGATGGCGGGGTGACCCAACTCTGGAGCTACCAGATGTGCAGCAAGTTCCTTCTGGGAGTTATCCCAGGGGTGCTCGCCGAGCACGGTGAACCAGCCATGTCCGACGTCGTGCTGCAGAGCTTCCAACTGCTGTCGACATACTTCTTCATCCAAACCCCAGTCTTTACTAAGGCCAGGCTGTACCACAGTGGACTGAAGAGGAGACAGACTAGGAGAGTAGGTTTGCTTCGCCGGGCCCTGGATACTAGAAGAGCCAGAGGACACTGTACTAGTATCCTGCTTCCATTGGTGCTCATGAGGAAGAACAAAGGCGGTCTGAGTCGGAGCATGGATCTGTTGGATAGGAAGGTTCTGAGGGACCGTGGGACCTGGGCCACCGAGGCCATCCGGGCTGTAGGCACCATCTGTAGAAAGATTCACAATCTTGCGGCGCTGAGTTTTCTTTCCACGGTTGGTTCCCTCGTCCTCATTCCGCGAGGTGGTCTTAGCGATAGGCGGACTGGCGTCTTCGCTTGACTTGGGTAAAGGAGTTCCTTGAAGAAGGGGTGGAATCGGCGGGAGGGCCTTATGAACCAAGGCAGACTGATCAGCCGCACTGGAACGAACCACTGGAGCGCCCTCTGGTTCAGCGACGCGATCAGCTAATTGCTTTCGCTCAGTATAGCCTGGGCCTCGGCCGTCGATGATCATGTCCTCTGCATACCCGGGGGTCCGGCGGAACAGATTCATGATCACGACGCGGTAGCCTGAATGAGTCTTCACGAACGGGTTTCCGGACACCCAAATCTCCCGTATCTCAGGGAGACTGGTAAGCCGGGCCATTTCCGTCGGATCCATGAGGTTGTTATCCCGGATATCCAATCTCTCGAGAGAAAGAAGTCGCTCAATGCCGGCAAGTGACCGAAGTCGGTTACCGCGTAGATTGAGGGCGGTGATTGCGGGGAGGGGGCTGCGCGAAAGAGAGTGTAAAGACTCTATCATACAGTGAGACAGGTTCAGGGCGCGCAGCGACATGAGAGACGCAAGGCTGTCCGGAATCTCGATGAGAAGATTCGACGACAAGTCCAGCGAGTTCAAGGTATTAGCCACCGGGGCTAGACTGGCAGTAGAAACGCTAGTCAGCGAGTTCTCCGGGAGACCGAGGTGTCGCAGGAATCGCCATTTCGAGGGTGGCATGACGCCGGGGAGGAGAGTCGACGAGCTGCCGGTGCGATAGCCAGCTGAGGTGTCGCTTGAGTTTGAACTGCCCGAGCCAGTGCGTTGGATTCGACCCGACTGGCCACGGCGATGCCCATGCTTTGTAGGAGGTCGCGGAGGCGAAACACTCCCAGCCCGGGAGCGAAACCTTGCGCCTTCAGACTCAGCGCGGATCATGGAGACAGCTCTGGGGCTTGCGCTGCTTGCGAGGGCAGTGTCTGCGGTTGGTGATCCCGGGGCAGAGATAGCCTCGGGCGGGTATGCTGATTGGGAATTGGAGTTCCAGCCAAGGGTGGGCGACTGCTGCGATTTGCCTGACCGTCGGCGACGCTTGTCGATGTCATCTAAGACAATCCTGGTCAACAAATCGGCGGGGTCATCGAGATGGGCCCGCTTGATGGTCAGAGTTCGCAACTGCTCAGACAAACGATCCCAGCCGAAGAATGAACGATAATCTATGTCAATGATCTCTAAAGCGCTCAAGTTTTTGAATGCATGCAACGGCACAGCCGTATCAAAGGGAAACTCTTCATATCCACGGATCAAGCAGGCACGGTGATCCGGAGCCAGACGGAGACAAGGGATTTTAGTAAATGCAGAATAGAGATACTTCAGGTCGTTTTCCAGGGCGAGTTGGGCCTTCTCGGTTTTGGAAACAGAGTCCTTGGATCCTAGGCCGAAGGAGGACCACAGGCCGCTCATACCAGACATGACACTACGGACACTAGACACCGAGTGGATGGAGTCACGATCCGCGCCCTTGGACCGCTGGGGCTTGTTCAGGAAAGATACATAGGACTGGGAGACCTCCGTTTGAATGTTTTCCAGGCGGATATTCATGGGCCCCACGGCAATAGACAGATCCTCGAAACGGGACAGAAGGTAGAAGAGGTGGTGAGGGGTGAGAGTAAGCTTAGCCGGCTTGATGGTCTGAGAGGTGAATTTTAAGGCTCCGAAGGAAAGAGCAGATGCTAAGGTCAAGGAAGTGGAGGAAAAGGCACCAGAATTCGAGGCATTAGGCGGCGATTGCGGAGGTAAAGCATTTTTGCTGGTAGATTGCCGGCGCAGCTGTAGGGCGTTTGCTAACGCCTTCTCGTGGGTTCGTACGAAGCTGGCAAGATTCTGTTTGAAGGAGAAAGATAAGACGGTTAGTCGACTATTCTCTCGTCTGATCCCATCTGACGACCGGAGGGGAGTCTTTTTCTTCTTCTTCTTCTTCTTTTTTCCCTTCCCCCCCCTTCCAAGGGGATGCAGGAGAGCGGCAAGACGTAGGCATACCTTGATGAAGAGTTGTCCATCTTCAGTGTTCAGCTTCTCCATGGTGGAAAAGGGCACTCGGTGAGGACCTAAACCGGAGAACTCTGAAGATGGATAGCTCAACAGGTGGTAAAGACGTTGGACATTATGAAGGTCTGCGACCAGAGAAATCTGAGTAGCGCTGTCGCCTAGGTGATGAGGGGGGTCAGCGTGACGGGCAGCGTGAACAAAGGTACTATGGACCAACCTGGAGAAAGGAGTGTGAGTCGACCGAGCTGAAATGCGACGAGTCGAGCGGCAGCAGAATTGGGAGGCAGAAAAAGATGGGGAGGGAAAGTACTAAATATGAATCGCGATAATCACGCAGGGGAGTCACCCAGGTCACCTTTCCGCTTCCCATTTTACGACCAAAAACCCACTAGTCCCACCGAGGCGGCGCTAAGCCCCCTTAGGTATTTCTTAACTCTGTATTCGCCCTCTTCTATTACGATTGGGGACCATTAACGGCCTACTCGGCACAGTGGAGAATTCGGATCGTCCTGGTTCATCCTGTGGCCTCCTATCGATTCCAATTACATTTCTCCGTTTCTCAGGTATCTCCAATCAATCAACTTCTGGAGAGCGGATTATGTTTGTGCCGTCTATCTTCTGCTCCCCTCGCCGCGGGCATGCGGTAGGGTTCAACGGGCGCTGTCGTGATGTCTCGCCCTCTGAACGGGGGTTACATGGCATGTTCAGCTTTCAGAGGTAAATATATCGATAATATCTGGTTCTATTGACGGGGAGGATGCAAAGGTCTTACGGCAAGCCGTGTCCCAGGGTGCTAATCCCTGCACTTGCACCCCACTAAACCCAGATGGGCCCAAGTGGCGGCGCTATGGAGGGGTCACTCTGCTCTTGGATTTGGTGTTTGATTTCTGAGCATTGAAATTTCGCTTCTACCAGGCTCGCCCTCGCGTGGATCCAAGCACCTTGTCCGTGCTATCGGCGCCAAATTTGAAAATAAGATGCTTGGGAGTGCCCCATTGAACCTCGAGAAGGGATCCGTGGATGGTATCAGCTTTCCGAGTCGATCACTGTCTATCACGCCCGTGGTGGGTCCGTCTTTGCCCCCCCCTCCCTCCGATCGGCACGATTAAAAAAAAAAATTCATCGGAAAGGTACCTACATTGTTCCTCGATGACCTCCCCAACTCCTTCAGGATTGGTTTTGGTTGACTATGGAGTACAGCAGATGATACCTGCGAGTAACCCACGATGCAGACCTAGTGAGAATACCATGTTTGGACCAGCGACCTCATGCCCCCCTAGTCACTTAGTCCGCTCTTAGTGTCTTTGGGAGAATTTTTATTTATGTTTTCTTTGGTCACATTTTCCAAAACGGGCCTTTCAAGGTTTCTAGGTAGCTTAGCGTCCTGGGTTCGCACCCTCAGTCCTTGCTGAATCCTACGGCTTTGGTCATCTGCAGTGTACGCTTGAGGGCTTCACCGCATACACAGTAGAACTTTGGATTGGATTTCTTGGAACCCGCCAAGCGGCACGAAAACGGCGTCAAAGTCAAGAGCTGGCGAATAATCGAATAACAGCAATTTCCGCTGGCGCGTGAACTATCGGCAGAGCGAATCAGGGGCCCACGCACTGAAATCAGCCGAGTCAGCTCGCACTGACATCTGACATTCCAGCTCGTGGTGGGGTCGTCCCCCGATTCCCCCGTTGGAGACTTCGAAATGACATCAAGCCCAAGACATTCCGTGGCCGTAACATGCCATTGCCATAGAATCACGGTAACCTATGGGATCTCGAGATATCTTCGTCTCCCATCTACCAGCTACACCGCTGCATTCTCGGGGTCCCCAGGCCTGCCACTTGAGCCGTGGTTCGTTGTGGTCCGCTAATATACTTTCATCGATGGGACGGGAACGGGAGCGACTGGATTGGGGTAATCGACTTCCGTACACAGGAACAAGCATAATCCATTCATTACAGGAGCAGATGCAAGCCGCTTCTCCCGGCCATCGTTGTACTCTGGTACGGATACTAGATACATGTCTCGCCTATGACCTGCGGGCGTTTCAGAAGTGCACAAGGTGTAGACAAAGCCACGATCCCGGCAAGGTGATTCGTCTCCCTAATTTGGATCATAGAGGAGCAGATCCCAGAAGCGCGGGGGGAAGTCGAGGAAATACGAGCATTCTTCTCCCCCAGAAGTGAGGCGCTCGGTCCAACGTCGGATCCTAGTCCCATGCACATCTGCACTAGCAAGGGAGTTCGTATGCATCATCCTTGCATCGCAAACTTTGGCAATCTTTGTGTCTTCTCGTACTCCGTTAGCTTGAATTTCCCCAGTCAGATGGCCAATGTTAGCCCCGAAGATTGACCGAGAATGTGAGCACATGGGAATGATAGCCGTGTTTCTGTATCAAGGGAAGGGGGGAGGGGAAGAGGGGCAACCGCACCCACCTGATAAATCCGATCGACAAATTTCAAGCTAACCTCGCCTTGCAAGCCCCGCCCCCTTTGCCCTTTCACCCTGTGAGGTCTGTTAGCCATATGACTGCAAGCGAATGAACACCCCCTTCGGGGCGCTGACTTGCGCCATCGTCTCCACTAGTCGATCGCAGCACGAGGATACGATATCGTGGGCGTGGCCCTCATTGGCCGAGAGTTGGAGTCGGTCATTTGCAGCGCGCCAAGGCTGATGGCTCGCTGAACCTGCAGATTCGCCATCTTTGACATTCGGAGACGCCACAAGAATACACCGTGCCAGTAGCGATCTGCATAGGGCCAAATGCAGTCGCGGGACAAAGTTTGATACGCCGGTCCATTCCAAGGATTGTGGCTTATTCGCTAAGCGGGGTGTAAATATTTTGTGCACCTGCTTTTCGCCCCCTGCTAGACGGAGGATTAAGGTGTCCGCCATACTAATCTCCGGGTTGCCTGTACTACTTATGTGCACACCTTTTACGGAGTAATGTACCCGCGTTCCACTCCACCTGGATGGCGCCGATGGAGATAGAAATTAGCTACGAAGTAAGGCAATCTAAAAAGAATGGCTAGGCGGCTACCGCGCCCGGGAATTCAGATTTGCCCTATTATGATGCGTGTGCCAGCCGTGTCTACTAGAGAGTACACTTTTTGTCCGTTCAATCCGAAGTTCTACCGGCAGCATCAAGAACGGTCAGGGTTAGTGGAGGGGAAAGAGAACACAACGAGAGCTGTGCTTGCTTTTTCTTTGTCTTTCCCTTTCTGCCTTTGGCTTGGAATTGGCTAGGAATTGGAGACCCAGATTTGAGGTCGATCGGCACGATCGACATCAAAGGAGGGTGTGGTCAGATTGTGAAATGAGAAGCTGCCGGAGTCGGATACCATCACGGTTAGCCTCTCAAACCCCGGCGCTGCAAATCATCTGCGAGTTGGGTCAGGTGACCTTCATATCATTGGTCCGAGTTGGCGTTTTCGCCCTCGGAGATCAGCTTTCATAACCTTATCAACGCCCTGTTGCGGCCCTGTGGTAGGACTCCTTTGATGAGTATCGAGTTCATGAAGGGGTTGGTGGAGGGGTTCCACCACCCAAAGCGCCACAGCAAATTATGAACTACCATGGAGGGGGTTTAAACCCCGTATCAGAGAACCAGCGTCTTTGTTCTTTTCGTAGTACGTGTAGTTTTGTACCTATCTGTGCCCCAGTAGAGACTTTCCGACATCGCCGCAAGCGGGAAAACCAAGCAGCCTCGCAGTAATTTTCTGCTCCTCTAACGCGGGACAGATCAAGGTGTAGAGGGACTTCCCCCTCCCGAGACCAATCACAGCGTCAACCGCCGTTGACCTTGAGATCTGAACGGGCTTGCATGTAGCGGTGAGCGTGCCGCGGAGCATTCTATTGAGTCCTGCCGAGGATAGCACAACATCGGACGTATCGAGTACAAGCAATTGCCTCACCATCAGCGCTTCCGGGCTTCACGTCGCACGCAGGGTGTACCGAATCAGGATCTCGCAATGCACGAGGCGGGTGATAGGAGACCCATCGTAAATGGTGAATGGATAGAGTGGCCTGTCCTCGCCAAACTGGATCACTGGAGAAATGGATGTTCAGATGGCCGATGTTGCATGCGATATGTGTTGGTTAACTTCAATAATGAGAACCGATAACCCCCACCACAATGATCGCAACCATGGATCCCCATTCTTCTTATCTATGCGGGGCAACGGCGAGCCCCAGTTGTTCATCAGCAGAATTCATGCGCCACACTCGAGCCACAGACCCGTGGCACGTGATCTGACGTCAAATCTCCAACTACCTGGCAGTACCTGGCAGGTTGCTTCTAGAGCGCCAGTCATTATGCAACAATGTCTTCAGAGAAGGCATTGCCTCCCGACCGATTCGATCCAGCTAATCTACCTGACTACGATCACGATTTCATCACACCCGAAGAGTTAGCCCGGTTCGAGGACGCATTGAATGCCCCCGAAGCTTCCCCACTCGTAGCCATCAACGACTGGCGTCCTATCAACCAGCGAGTGCGTAAGAGTCGCGGCCGTCGCAAGGCCCCCAAGCGGAGCAGGGACGAGACGAGAGAGGGCGTGCTATACACTGTCCTCAAATGGCCGTTCCTGTTCACGGTGTTTACCTGGATTACTCTGCTTGGTATCGCGTACGCTTTGGTCCGCGTGTACATCTTCCTCTATGAACAAGGTGTCACCTGGCGTGGGCGGCGAGAGCGGCTGCGTCGCGATCTAGCGACCAAGACAAATTATCCAGACTGGCTGAAGTCGGCCCAGGCGTTGGATGCCTACCTTGGAAATGAGACGTGGAAGCAGACGGACGAGTATGCTTACTATGACCACCTGACGATCAATAAGGTGGTGGCGCAGCTGAAGGGCATAAGAAAAGAAGCTGAAAAGGAAGTGCAACATGGAGTCAGCGCGGGTCAGGCCTCTGCGGTTGAAGAACTGAGCTCATTATTGGAGGCCTGCGTGAAAAATAATTTTGCTGGCGTGGAGAACCCTCGGATCTACAGTGAGGCCTATTCCGGAACCAAGGACCTGGTTCAGGAGTATATCAACGAGGTGCAAGCCTGCATTCAGCTAGTCTTGGAGAGTAAGCGGATCGATTCAGAGACGAAATACCGCCACTTCAAACATCTTGATACCAATTTCGGTCGCACTGCTCTCTGTCTTTCGGGAGGCGCCACTTTCGCTTATTACCATTTTGGGGTGGTTAAGGCCCTGCTCGATAACGAAGTTCTCCCTGAGATTATCACGGGCACCTCTGGTGGCGCCTTGGTGGCCGCACTTGTGGCGACTCGAACTGATGAGGAACTGAAGCAGCTGTTGGTCCCAGCCCTAGCACACCGTATCCGCGCCTGCCATGAAGGGTTCACCACCTGGATCCGTCGCTGGTGGAGGACAGGTGCCCGCTTCGATACGCTGGATTGGGCGAAACAATGCAGCTGGTTTTGCAGAGGTTCGACTACCTTTCGAGAAGCCTATGAGCGTACCGGGCGCATCTTGAATGTCTCGTGCGTTCCGTCTGATCCCCACTCACCCACGATCCTCGCGAATTATCTGACGAGTCCGGATTGTGTCATCTGGAGTGCCGTATTGGCTTCTGCGGCTGTCCCGGGAATTCTCAATCCGGTAGTTCTGATGACCAAAAAGCGCGATGGGACCCTGGCGCCTTACTCCTTTGGTCACAAGTGGAAGGACGGGAGTCTGAGAACTGATATCCCCATCAGAGCGTTGAATTTACATTTCAACGTCAATTTTACCATCGTTTCCCAGGTATGCAAATCTACTTCTTCCATTTTGCGGCTGGCCGCTAATTAACTGGATTTTCAAGGTCAACCCTCATGTGAACCTATTCTTCTTCAGCTCTCGTGGTACCGTAGGGCGACCAGTCACACACCGGAAGGGCCGGGGTTGGCGCGGTGGGTTCCTAGGCACAGCGATCGAGCAGTACATCAAGCTCGACCTGAACAAATGGCTACGGGTCCTACGACATCTTGAACTTCTTCCAAGGCCTCTGGGTCAAGACTGGAGTGAGATCTGGTTACAAAAGTTTAGTGGCACAGTAACACTGTGGCCTAAAACTGTACCCTCGGACTTTTACCACATCTTGACAGATCCAACACCGGAACGCTTAGCGCGGATGATCCATGCTGGCCAGCAAAGCGCGTTCCCCAAAATCCAATTCATCCAGAATCGGCTTAAAATCGAAAACACCATCATGCGCGGTCTCCAGCAGTGCTCCCCGACGGGTGGTCGCTCCCTGTCGCCGATTCTCTCGCGCCGTTTCCAGTCCTCAGATACAGAGGATGCCATGGCAGATCGATTGGATGACACTTTCCCAGAGCGCTTTGAGTCTAGCTACGCTGATACCACTGACAGCTTATCCCAATCAACCTCTTCCCGGCCACATAGCCCCACTCCGGCCTCCCACAGAAGGAATAGCGTGATGGAGGAAGTGCGGCGCCAGTCCGCAGTGTTCTTCGATGACACCGAGTTCTCTGGTGACGATTCTATCGCCATCACCTAAGGACTAGGGCCTGAGTGGGTTCAAGCGTCCTGCATGCCCGATTAAATTCGTTCGCCTCATGATGCTGAGCTATGTCCTTCTGCTTTGGGCCTGTTGCAGCCCTACTTACCGTCATGGTACTTCCTGTCGGATCCGCAATCAGGTATGACAGGCGGCTATTGCTGATCAAATTTTTGCTTTCCCTTTTTTTTTCCCGCGGCTTCCTCCGGGTCCCACTTTGCCACTACTTGACATATTCAGCCCCGCCTCTCCGGTATTCCCAGTCGCATGCCAAGGCGTTATTTTTCTTTTCCCCCACAGCGTTGTTCTCTTATCCCCAGCCCGATTGTCTATTCTATCTTTGGCTTGGCCTCCTGTTACTTTCCTTTACGACGCTTACGACCTGTGATCAAGATGCTTTGTTTTACACAGTGCTGGTTCAAGTTTATGTACCATACCTTCATTTTGATATCTTAAGTGTTACATGAACACGAAAGCAAACAATACTAAACTAGTCTCATGTACCATGATGTAGTCGCAGTCTCGATCCTGACAGACCAAAAGTCCACAATGATGAAATAGATAATAGTAGTACGTCTTATGCCGTCTCGAGGGTGCAGATCCACCGAGTGGGGTGGAACGCCCCTCTTTTAGGCACCATGACGTCAGACGATGTATGCCATACTGCATACTATCAGATAAACATTAGACGCGAGTGGGCGTCGAATGCTGTCATTGGGCTTATCTATCTCAAAAAGATTCAATTGATATGCCTGGAATGGTGGCTAATTTGTCTTCTTTTTTTCGTTTTGAGGCTATTGAAGGCTGACTAGGTTGGCTCTGGTTTCTAGTTGTGGGGATAGCCACTACTTTGGATGAGCCTAAATCTTGCAACGTATGGGTCTGGAGCTTCATATACCCGTGTATCAGGAAAGATCAGATTGTATCAACAAAAGGCGTTGTCTATCAGACAGAAGGTGCTCTCAGATGACGAGAAATCGAGTGCGTATATGTATTGCTCAGAAGAATGACCAGAACATGTGCGACTTACACCTGCAATTTAAAGACATAACGTGAAACCCTGGTCAGCTATTAGAGCTTTTCAAATACCTCAATAGCAGCCTTAGCGGTCGAGGAAGCACTGGCAGGGTTCTGGCCTGTAACAAGGTTTCCATCAACAACATGGAAGTCATCCCAGATACCAGCTGAGCGCTCATCTGATACAGTTGTCAGCGAAGGCCAAGATCTCCAATATTTAGAAAACGTACAGTTCGCACCCAAGCGGTCCGCAAGCTCCTCCACCATTTCGGAGCCCCATCCGCGGAGCTCAGACATAATGCCCATAGTGCTCTCCGCCTCGGTAGTGAAGCCAGTGATTCTCTTCCCTGTGACCAAATGTGCTCCAGTGGAGCGGTCAAGAACGTTGGCAAAAATCGCAGGGCCATGACAAACAGATGACACAACACCGCCGTTAGCCCAGACTTGCTCGGCGATTTCCTGAAGCGCACTTGCTGTGGGGTAGTCGAGCAAAGCTGCATGGCCGGCCGAGGCGTAGAAGAGGCCGTACTGGGAGCCGTCGACCTCGGAGGCCTTGGGCATGTTATCGAGCTTCTTGCGGAAATCGCTGTCCAGGTCCTTCCAGGTCTCGAGGTCCGAGCCGTTGAGAAAGTCCGGCTGCAGCGAAAGCCAGTCGGGGGTATAGCTGCCCGTCTCAGAGGTGAGGTCAACCTCGAAGCCGGCGGCGACGAGCGCCTTGAATGGGTGGAGGGCTTCAGAGATAAAGAGGCCGGTTGTCTCTTTGCCATTGAAGAGCGAGGCACTGGCAGAGGTGACAGCGATGAGGGCTTTGCGGGCAGGCATTTCGATATTGTATTGATCTGTGACTCTTGGAGAAGTTGGTAATAGATTGGGTTGAGCTAACTGTTGTTCTGGATTAGATCCTGAGATTGTTGATGTCTTTTTTGGAGGTAATTCCTCTTCTCTTTATGCTAGAGCCACATGATTCTCTTCTCCTTCTTCTTCTTCTTCTTCTTCTTCTTCTTCTTCTTCTCTCCGTGTGACGGAGTCCATTCGAATAAGATATTTCCTAAACTCCGTGATAGTCATATCGCACTATTGGCTGGGCATTCCCATAGCTTCTACAGAGTAAGCGCTAAGCATCCGCTATCCAGCAGACAGCACCCACAAGCATCTGAATTTCGACCTTGGGGGATCTTTGGCTTGAGCCTTGTGTCAGAACGGAATTTAGGAGAGCGAACCTTGATCGACAAGGTCGGAGTTGCGGAACAGTGGGTCCTGCGCTTATCTTGACTGTGCTGTATTAGCATCACGTTCCGAAACTCCGGTGCTGGCCACCTAAATTCGGAGATGCCCCAAGTGCGCAGTGGCAGGATGATTTAGTAAATCGGTTCTAATAGCTCGGAGAAATAATCGGCACACTTAGATCCGATTTAGAATATAAAGTGAGACCCGCCCGACCTTCCGATCGCTCTTATAATTTCTCAGGACCTTGGAACTTAATCAATTCCTGGGTGGATAAAATAAGCCATCAAAAATACTCAAAATGGGTTCCCACGCTGCTCCCCAATATGTGCCGTCGGAGACAAGGCTTTTCAAGCCATTGAAAGTTGGCAATGTTACCCTTGAACACCGAATCGCGATGGCTCCTCTGACTCGCCTCCGAAGCGACGACAATCACGTCCCATTGCCTCTGATGGAAAAGTATTATGCAGACCGTGGTTGTGTACCAGGGACTTTGGTAATCTCTGAAGCAACCGCCATCGCCCATGAAGAGGAAGGGCAGCGTAGCAACCCCGGATTCGTGAGTGAGGCTCAGACCGAAGCCTGGCGCAAGATTATCAGCGCCGTCCACGCCAATAAGTCATTTTTCTTCCAGCAGATCTGGGGAATGGGGCGAGCATCGGACCCGAAACATCTGGCAGAGCGGGGATTCCCGTACCGATCAAGTAGCAATGTTCCCATGAAAGGGATCGATGTCGAACCGACTGCCTTGACCGAGGAGGAGATTCTACAGATTATCCAGAGCTTCGTCGACACCGCCAAGCGTGTTGTCGCCGCTGGCGGTGATGGTGTCGAGATCCACTCCGCCCATGGATATCTTCTTGATCAATTTCTCACAGCCGGCGTCAACAAGCGCACTGACAAGTGGGGTGGCTCTATCGAGAACAGAGCTCGTTTGACACTGGCGGTTCTCAAGGCAACTTCCGAAGCCATTGGTGCCGAGAAGGTGGCTGTTCGCTTTTCCCCATACGCAGGCTTCCAGGGCTCCGAAAAGAGTGATTCCGTCGAGCTCTATTCCTACATCATTTCGGAGATTAAGAAGATGGGTCTGAAGCTTGCCTATATCTCACTGGTCGAAGCCACCGGTGATCCCGGAGCTATCGTCCGAGGTGACAAAGCCATCAATGTCGGCAAGACTCTCGACTTTATTCTCGAGGCCTGGGAGAACCGCTCACCCGTCATGGTGGCGGGTGCCTACACACCGGAGAGTGCTGCTAAGGCTGTTGAGGAGCACTATAAACACTGGGACGTTATCGTGGCTTTCGGACGGCATTTCATCTCCAACCCAGATCTGGTCTTCCGGGTCAAGAACGGTATTCCTTTAGCACCTTACAACCGTGCCACCTTCTATCTCCTCAAGCAGTGGGAGGGATATAACGACTATCCATTCAGCCCCGAGTTCTTAGCTGCTCATCCAGAGGCTGTTCACCCCATGACCGAATAAATTGGTCAAAAATTACATGGCACTGTGCTTTTCTTCTTAGAGGAGTGATCTATATTCCCGCCCGTTGATGTTTTTTGTCCAATCATGTATATGGAAGTGTTGATCTTTCCTTCCTCAGCTTGCATACTATAGACCAATTCACAGTTTCAAGCATTGTCCGAAGCTAAAACCTTAATATCCCCAGATACTGACCACAGACGGCAAACAGTATACTAGTGACAGCGAGAGAGCTTTTGAACGAAGTAAAGCTCTCTAGCGCCATTATAGCGACAGGACACTACTAGTGTAGTGTAGAGCAACACAACTTACACAACTCGGGGTACTATGCCTTGTCGACCAGTACTCCAGATTAATATTTCTCCTGTAGGTATAGCTTCCCCCCCACATTCCCCACGATCAAATTTATCTTGTTCCGAGGTTTCTGTAGTCCGAAATAGGCAAGTGGTGTAGAAGCGGTATACTACGTCTTCTATTTTATTGCTCGGGGTTTTCCTGATACTGGGCTTAAGATTTCTCCATCGAGTTCAGTCTTTATCCACCCGGTCTGGCTTTTACAGAAACAGGACATAACCACCTGCGCAGGCACCGGTGTCTGAGGACAATAGTTAGTTACCCCCAGATAGTACTGTTAGTCCTACCAAGAGCACTCTACTGGCATACATTGGCATGGAGGTATGGAGTGCCGCATAGTGCTTTGCCACCCACTATTATTTGATCGTTGGTGCCGCCGATCGCTCATTGGCCAGCCCGCGCCCAATTTTGTTCCCGCTTCTGACAAATTATCCCTTCGGACCCGTTAACGTCTTGACTTGATCGACATGATGTGCGCGGTCTGACCCTCTGCTCCATCAACCTATACAACCATGGCGGGGACAGCAGCCCCTGTCAAACCGCTCCGTAAGCAGGTCTCAAGGGCCTGCGATTGGTGTCGTGCGCGACGGTCCAAGTGTGAAAATGAGCGACCATGTAAAGCTTGCGTTCAAAGGAATAAGCCCTGTACTCAAACCGGTGTCGAGGAACCAAAGACCCTGCCGCAAGCGCTCAGGTATGATGCCTATTGACACAACCCGTAGCCAAATCCTCACATGAGTCACAGAGAAAATGAGAGGCTCAAAGAGCGCGTCAAGGACCTCCAGGACGAGCTGCTTTGGTACAAGTCTAGGAATCAGTCTGGTGCGACCTCAATGACGACCACTTCGCCAGAGGTATCGCCGTTGGCTAGCTCTGAAGATGCACCTAGTCAAACCGCGTACCCGTCGCCGGCGACCCAGCACTCACAGAAACTAAATGGAAATGAGACTGCCGTGCAGATGAGATGGGAGGGAATCGAGGTTGGAACGGCACGCTCGCCAAACGCATCTTGGTACGGCGCCTCGTCTCTCTTCTATTTCATCGGGCGAATGAACAAATATTTAAGTTCAACGCTTATCGAAACGCAAGATACCGACCAAATCGTTCTTCATAATACCACAAACACTCTCCTCGAAGGCTCCAACAATATCAACCTCAATCTCGCGAACCCAGGTCACCAATCTGGTGCCCGACGGATAGACGAATTCCTGAGTCCCACTCAAGAAGAATATTTTATTGACTTGTTTTGGAAGTCGTACCATACGTCATTATTTCCAATCATCCATGAAACCGAGTTCATGGATCACTACAGATCGCTTTGGTCCGAAACAGGAGACTCGAGAAGGCCATGCGCACTCGTGGATATCGTCATTGCTCTCTGCATGCAATATGGTGCATCTACCCTAGCCACGGTGAGACAACAGCCGTTCATCGAAGGAGATACCAGAATCGCTGGCCGATGGTATTACCGACGTTCACAGTGTATCGTCTCGTATCAGCTTGAAAGCCCCACTATATGGACAGTACAATGTCTTTGCCTCACTGCCATATACCTCTGCAACGGTTCATTCCAAAACATGTCCGCCGATGCCTGCGGCGCTGCGGTGCGAGCAGCATATACCGCTGGGCTTCATATAGACCCACCGGCAACTATGCATGAAAGTGAGCGTCAGCTTCGGAGACGATTATGGTGGGCGTTGTACGAGTTGGATTCCAAGGTCGGGATGAAGCTCGGGCGACCGTTCTCAACGCAACGAGCTTTGAACGAGCCCAAGCTTCCTGATGACAACCCAGAAGCGGCTTTGCAATCTGGATCGCGTTTCACGCCCCTCGGGGAAATAAGACATGGCTTACTTTTCATGTCAGTTGTGTCAAGTTATTTATCATCGCCCGCGAGATGCATACGACTTTCGTCAACCAAAGCATGACTGTTCCTCCAGACCAAACTATGTACGACGACCCAGCAGCTCTGGAGTCCCAGGCTGTGGGCATGATTTCACACTCCCGCGCTCTGGATCAGTGGCTTGAGGAGCTTCCTCAAGCACTTAAAAGCAGGAGGCAGGGTGGCAGCCCCCCCTGATTCAATTGATGCCTCCCGCCTTGAGATTGAACAGTTTGCGCCTCAATGGCTCCAGCGCCAGCGGATCAATCTGGAATTAATATATCACACCGTGTGTATCAATCTTTACCGCCCTTTCATCTGTTTCATCCCGCCTGAAATGAAGCGGCGATTGCCACGGCAATTGGCACAGAAGTCCGCTCTCCATGCCATCACCCACACGAACATTATGCATCAAGTGCTCACAACCACGACAATACTAACTGGATGGCACGAGGCGTTCCAGTGGCAATGGAACGCATCCATGACTTTCGTGGGGTTCACTCTGGCATGTCCTGCCGGCGCTCTGGCATGCGATGCTGTAGGCGTCATTGACATGTCAATCGCCATTTTCGACAAGTTTGGCGAATACTTCACGGTCGCCAAGAGTGCAGCGGGAATATTGCGTGGCATCAAGCCAAAGGTCAATCTTCGCCTGCAGAGTTACGCAGAGGCGCAAAATACATTTGAATGCGAAGGCGTAGGGGGGGGGCGACCCAGGCCAACCTGTCCGATGCAGAGAATGCTAGTATGAACAGGTCCATGCCTGCCTCTGGCGCGTCAGCGCAATTATTTGACAGTCTCATGACAGATGCCCCTCTGGAGTTTGATCTTTCGGATATGCCTTCGATGCAAGAGATGTTTCAAAGTGCCTATTCGATTGAGCAGTGGACAGACCTCGGGGACCTGATGCCAGACGTGGGAGGGAACATGGACAATTTGGTATACAGTAATTAAGATGTCAAGATAATCAGAACATGCAACTACATATGAGTTCCAAATAGGGATTCTACCGTCGGCGTTGGGATAGTTCTGGAGGATATACTAACTAGTCCTCGTCCTCGTATAAGCCGTTAATGCTACCTCTTTGCGTACCGGTGCTTCAATAGATAGGTTTACAGAAAGCCATTGAATCAATGGAAAGCAACCACCTAGACACGTGAACTGCCTGAAGTCTAATATCCTCAGATATGGGTGTGATAAATGTGGTGGATCTCATTGTTTCTCCCATGAGTAATAAACGCCAAGCTGGCCCGAGTGATGCGGCCCGCCGTCTGGTCCAACCCACCGAATTCCCCTGTGAACCACTTCGACGTCTTCACCAAACGGCATTGGTCTGCCGCAGGTTCTCTCTTGGTCAGTGGGACGAGCTCAGTGAGCTAAATGGAATGACTACAATGACCGTTCCCCCGACCGGCGCAATGCCGTCCGAGGAAGAGCCTATCGATGCGTTGGATGCAGGTACGCGGCCCCCGAACTGAGCATGCGAGCATGTGAGCACACACTAACCATGAACAGTGGACTATGATCCAGTCGATCATCTAAATGCCATTTTCTCACATCCCTCAACCCTCTCCTCTGTCTCGCACATCTCCGACGCCCTACGCACCTATGAAGATGAATTGGACTACGACATCGGCGCGCTTGTGGAGGAGCAGGTCACCTCCAATGCGGAAAGCGTGGAACGTATCCAGGCGGCCAAGGCTGACCTGTCGGAGTTATTCAAAAAAATTGACGATGTACGCGAGCGAGCCTCCAAAACCGAGCAGGCCATCACGGACATGACCGCCGACATCAAACAATTGGACAACGCGAAGAAGAACCTCACCCTTTCTATGACCGCCCTCAAGCGACTGCAAATGCTGACGACCGCGTACGACCAACTCCATGCTCTTAGCCGGACGCGACAGTACCGCGATTGCGCCCAGCTTCTGCAAGCTGTGATTCAACTGATGGCCCACTTCAAGTCCTACCGATCGATTGACCAGATTGCGATTCTGAGCCGAAATGTGGCGGATATCCAGCGGGACTTACTAGAGCAGATCTGCGAGGATTTCGAAATTGCCTTTGCCAAGGGAGAGGTTGCTCAAAAACGGGTGATGCTCTCGGAGGCTTGTTTGGTAGCGGATGCGCTGGGTGAGCATGCTCGGTCCCGACTTGTGACTTGGTACTGCAATACCCAACTTCGCGAATACCGTCAAGTCTTCCGGAATAATGAAGAGGCTGGATCCTTGGACAATATATCGCGCCGGTACTCCTGGTTCCGGCGTATATTAAAAATTTACGACGAGGAAAATGCTGCTATTTTCCCTGCTGCATGGAGAGTGAATGAAATTCTAGCGAACGTCTTTTGCGAAGGCACCCGTGAAGATTACAAGGGAATCTTGTCCCGATCAGTGCGAAATGGGCAAACGATCGATGTGAACCTGCTCCTATCTTGCCTGCAGGAAACTCTTGAGTTTGAGCACTCTCTAGAGCGCCGCTTTAGTCCCCCTCGCCCATCTACGGATACGTTTGCATCAACCGAAAACCCGACCTTCAGTCAATCCATATCCGAAGCATTCGAACCATATCTAAGCATCTGGGTGGAAGCGCAGGATAAGCAGCTGGCAGCCTTGTTGCCCAAATACCGGCAGCAGCCTATCAAACCCCCAGATGATGAGTTCAATTCCCACATTGTGGTTTCATCATCAACTGAACTTTTCAACTTTTACCGACACTCCTTGCAGCAATGCTCGAAGCTTTCAACGGGTGCAAGCCTAGCGGACCTAGCAAAGCTCTTCGCAAAGTATCTTGACCAATACGCCCAGCAGATCCTTCTAAACTACATCAGTGAACGTCCGCCCGGGAGTGCGCCTTCAGCAGTGCCCACAATCGAAGATTTGGTAATCGTTCTCAATACAGCTGACTATTGCTACACCACATGTAATCAACTGGAAGAGAAGATCAAGAGCCGACTAGACGAAAGTCTCAAACAGTCTGTGGACCTACAATCTCAAGCAGATTCGTTCATGGGTATTGCATCTGCTGCTGTTCGAGGACTGGTCCGCCAGGTGGAAATCAACCTCGAACCATGCTGGCGAGAGATGCGGAATACCCCCTGGGGGAAAATTGAGGCCGTTAGCGATCAAAGCTCATATGTCAGCGAGCTCCTCTCGCACACAAAGGAGAAGGCGGCCGAGATTCTGCCATTGCTTCACAAGCAGCAATATGCGCGTGCATTCTCGGACCACCTTATTGAGTTGGTGTCTAGTCTCTTCATTAGCAATGTTTTCCAATGTAAACCTGTTTCGGAAGCAGGCGCTGAGCAGGTACATCTGATACTATGCCCCTTAAGATGACCTATCCATGCTAACTGCGTACAGATGCTACTCGACTCATACACTCTCAAGAGCGGCCTTTCATCTCTGCTTCCAGCTCCAGCTCCCGCAGGCTTCGTGAAGCGCGTCAACAGCAGCTTCTTCAAGATCGAAACCCTCCTCAAAACCCTGCAAGTCCGACCTTCTCCGCCCGAAGCTCTCGTGCAAGCGTACCTGATCCACATCGCGGACCGCAACAACAACAACTTCCGCAAAATCCTCGACCTGAAGGGCATCCGAAGTCGCCAAGAACAAAACCACCTTGTAGAACTCTTCCAGCTGCACCGCGCTTCCGATCGATATGCCTCTAGCCTTCAGCAGAGCAATCCCATGCTCACAGCCATCCAAGCGCCTGCTGCGACCAGTACATCCAGCGGCTCGGTCTCCCAGGGTCTGGGAACTCACCGGCACCCCGTCCGTAGGCCGCTTTGACGCGTCGATGCTTGGCTCTGCGATCATTTCCGCTGCTAAGGATGGCGTCGACCGCTTCGGCAATCCCAGTCTTGGGGCTGGTATTACTGGTGGCACTGGTACAGCCGGCTCGGTTACGGGGCCTGGTACTTCGTCTCCTGTTCCGAATGCTGCGCAGCAGGTTAGCCATGTTCACAGTCCTTCGGAGTCGAGTTCTGCGGTTAACCTCAATGAGAATTTGAAGAATATTGGGAAGTTCTTCCGCCGGGACTTGGGTGGCTTTGGAGGCCGCTTTGGGCGTGGAGCAGACGAGTAAGAGCCTCCCAACTTGGAAGTATCTGGCCTGGATAGCTTTTAAATCTTTTTTCTTTGGGACTTCATTTTGTCTGTAATGCGTCATTAGAGGCATGGATACCATGAATATACCATTTCTTTTGAGGATCATATTGAATCACGTCTGCTTTGTATGTTGTAAAACTTGAAATGCCATTGATCTCTAACGCTACCCTGAACCCTGTCCAAGTCCTATCTTTTCAGGTGCAACTTCGAGTCGTGGCAGAAGTCAAAAAAAGTCTACGCGTCAATGCTACGTTCGGTTTGAAGTGCAGGCCTGTGGTATCTTTATAAAGTTAGCACTTGTTCAATGAATGATGAGTGATAGTCAAAATGCAAATTTGTTGATTGGCGTCAGCAAAAAATTAGAGTGTTGTTGTTGCGTTTTTAATCGTCAGCGCGGCCACGGGGCCATTGCTCGGGGTTAAAAATTTATAATCATCCGCCGGATTGTCGAGTGATGGGAAGACGAGGGAAGAAGATCAAGAAAGGAATCGAAACTCACCAATTATGATCAAGACAGTGAATGGAACGAGTCTACGTCCATTATGTCTAAAAAGAAGGGACAAAACACAAGTGTGTCGTTGCCAAGTCATAAGTTTTCATTCCCCTCCTTTTCAGGTAAGGGTTAAGTTAAAAAATCTAATACATGGCAGTCGTATCCTTTTGAGGATTGGGCGCTTAGTCGAAGAGACCGAAGCCCATGTCCTCATCGGACTCCTCTCCTCCTCAGCGGGCTTCTCGGCCTCCTTGGGGGCATCGGTAGCGGCACCAGCGGCGGCGGCGGGAGCAGCAGAAGCGTAGGCATCAGGGTTGGCGATGCGGTCCTTAAGCTCATCAATCTCGGGCCAGCTGTAGTCAGTCTCAACAGCAACAGCAAGAACCTTCTTGTAGGAGTTGATGATAGAGTGGATGGTGGCCGGGATGGTAGGGTAACCAACAGCCAGAGAAATGGTGGTGATGGTGTTGATGGCAGAGCTGAAAGCCTTGAGCAGGGTCTCATCGTCGATATCCAGGACATCGGCGCTGAAGCACTGGCCGGCATCATAGACCTGGGAAATGGTCATACCGTAGGTGAAGGGCGAGATGTTCAGCAAGTTGAGCAGCGAAGCCTCGGAGGCACCGACCTTGTTACCGGCCTCAACGAGCTTGAGGTCGGAGACAATTTCAATGGTACCACGAGCAATCTTGGTGGGGACACCGAGAGCCTGGAAGAAAGAGGTCTTACCGGGTTCCATACCAGTGTTACCGGCGGGGACCCAGACATCGGCGGGAGCGAAGGCACCGGCACGGGCGGGAGCAGCGACACGGTTAGCAAGGATCTTCTCCTTGGTAGCCTTGAGGTCACCGTTGGTGAAGATGAAACCGACGTTGCCTGGAGGGCGACAGAAAAAAAACGTTAGTCAATTGCTCGCGCGAGAGCTAGTTTCAGCTCTGAGAGAAATCGGAACTCACCCTTGACGTGAGGAAGCAGACGCTCAAACTCGGGGTTTTCAGTGATGAAACCCTTGAGAGCGCGGCGAACCATGGTGTTCTTTCCCATCAGGACGACGCCCTCGCCGCGCAGCGACATACGGATCTCGTGCATCTGCTGGGAGGAGACATTGTCGACGCCGACGATGAAGACAGTGCGGTACTCATCGAGAAGCGACTTGAGCTTATCGAAGTAAGCGGCCTTGGTTGCTGACTTGCCCCCCCATTTCTCCTTATTATCACTGAAGATAGGTTATTTAAGGGCAAGGGAATCTGTAGTTGAGTTGGATATGGAAAAGAGAAAAAGCGGACGCAATTTTGTGCCTATTTCTTTTTTTGGTGCGGTTCGCTAGTGGGTCACGTGCCATCGCCTTGAGTACGCGGAAGCGAGAAAGGCTGCCGCAAGCGCGTCAACAGCCAGTAAAGTTCTTGCGGTAGATAAAATGTTATTTTCTGAATCGTTGGGATACACGATCCTAGCTTTACCCTTTTCTCCATCTAATTGGTACGAATATTGCCAGTTCAACGCTGCCTACCGGAAGTAAAGCTGTGGCCGCTTCTGCAAACCTAACCTGCTCCACACCGCCCGCGTCCAAAATTTTGCCGAGTCATCGATTGATATTGAATTGCGCCAAGTCACCATGGCCAATTTTCAACATCCTTTTCTGTGCCTCCGTCCTGTCAAAAGGGCCCCGGGTGCTTCTGAAGTACTGGTTGCATCGGCCGGACCATATCTATACGTCTACGACACGGCCAATGGGGAGCGTCTAGATGCCTGGCCATCCACCAATCTAGATTCGACAAAGGCTTCTGCTTCAGGCGCAGCAGAACTTCTGTCTGACAATGGTCCGCCGGAGAAGAGGAGAAAACTGTCTGATGATGCAAATGTAGATACTCAGGTGGACCAGGAAGAGAAGGCGCAAAAGAAACAATCGGGATCTACTGACGACAAGCTACAATGGTCTGAGATCCCTATTGTTACGATCACATCCGACGGCCAATATGTAGTAGCTGTGACCCTGGAAGATAAGACTTTGCGAGTATTTGAACTAAGTCACGGTGGAAAGCTGCAGGAGTCGAAGCCCCGGTAAGATTATCTTCGTTTGCACACTTTTTCTTCGAATACTTACATTGTTCCCAGCGTCATGCCCAAGCGCTTGGCAGCGGTGACCTTTACTCCAGATGAGCAAACTCTTCTTTGTGGCGACAAACATGGAGATGTGTACTCGATGCCGCTGATTCCGGGAGACTATATTAAGAGTCGCATCGATGAGACTCGAAAGTCACTGGCAGCTACTGAGCTTACTGTGCACTCTGGAAGGAATCTCAGGTCTCTTGAACAGCAGAAGCTCCAGAAAGATAATCCTTTGAAAGGGGGTGCTCCGTCTCAAGAGGAGAGAAACGTTCTTAATTTTGAACACCGCAGTATCCTCGGCCATGTCTCTGTGCTCACGGACTTAATTTCAGTCGCGGTATCTGGCCGCAACTACATTCTGACTGCGGACCGCGACGAACATATTCGAGTTTCACGAGGCTACCCCCAGGCACATGTCATCGAACAATTTTGTCTTGGCCACAAATCTTTCGTGAGTAAGATTGTTGCTCCTGCGTGGGCGCCCGAGCTTCTCGTTTCTGGTGGAGGTGATGGTCAGCTTTTCTTGTGGGATTGGAGGAAAGGTCAAGTTCTTCAAACAGTCTCTTTGAGAGAGGCTCTCGGCGCAGAGGTCACTGTGCGGGGGATCTGGGACATCTCTGTAGAGGGGCTGAATTTTATAATAGTTGGCCTGGAAGGGTACAGTCCATTCCCTTTCTTTGCTCCTACATCTAACTAACATGCCGGCAGGTCCCCAAAGCTCCTCTGCTACAGTATAGTGGATAATCAGCTCAAGACAGAAAACACTACAACTCAGCTTTCCGGAAACCTACTTGACGTTGCTGTCTCAGATGCACTGAACTCGGTTATCATATCAGTGGACACTATCCGCGAGGTCGGCTCCACGAGCCAGTGGAAAGCCACCGCTGATTTGCCCCAAAGACTTCTCGAGGCTTTCAAGGTCACTCGCGGCGATGATGGACTTGAATTCGTCCCCGCAGAAGATTCAATCATCTCGAGCGTGAATTCTCTAGGGACCTCTGCTCTACCACAAGGTCTCAATGACAAGCAAAGAAGGGCAATTGATGACTTGCATTACACGATGATCAATTTGAAAAAGCTGAAGGCAACCGAGGACAAGAACGAATAGAAGAGCCGTGCTATGTAGTTGCTACCTACCGGCCCTATAATCAATACTAATGCAAAAAGTGCATAAATGAACACCAGTATATTGATATTCGTAAAAAATGCAAGAAATAAGACGAGTAAGTTTTCCTAGTAAGACGAATGCATATGCCAAACTATCTTAGCGGTGAGTCTAGATGAACATCTCACAGGCATGGAACGAAACATTTCAGTAGGAATATTATGCCCAAATTGAAGGAAAATTGCAGCATGTATAAACCAAAAACTTCTCAAATTTTTACTATGAGTATTCAAGTCGCCAAGTTCCTCACATGGTCGACAGCTTGCACCAGTTACTCCCACAAGGTTCCTCGGCGGTGGATCATAGATTGGCTCCGCGGCTCCCCGAGAATTCCACTTCCCCTCCTCAACCTGCACTCAACCACCCACCCACCATGCAGGAAAAATTCGAGCCACTAAGGAATGATCTGTTGTTGAGGGCCGCTCGAGGTAATTCCAATCTATCTCTCATTTATTTCCTAGACCATGGCTAACAATCGCAGGCGAGAAGGTGGAGCGTCCTCCTATTTGGGTAATGCGACAAGGTAAGTAGACTAGACTCGGCCCTAGCACCAAGCACCGTGAAACAGAACATCATTCATGACTGATATCTACTGCGCTAGCTGGTCGCTACCTTCCCGAGTACCACGAGGCCAAAGGCAACCGTGATTTTTTCGAATGCTGCCGCACACCAGAGATCGCTTCGACCCTTACTCTCCAACCCGTTGAACGCTACGAGGGTCTCATAGATGCCGCGATCATCTTCTCCGATATTCTTGTCATCCCGCAGGCCATGGGAATGGTGGTTGAGATGGTGGATAAGAAGGGCCCGCACTTCCCCGAGCCTCTCAAGTCGCCAACAGACGGCCAGTATGAGAAGGTTATGGCTAAGAAGGTCGATGTTAAGGCAGAGTTGGACTACGTTTATAGCGCCATCACCCTCACTCGTCTGAAACTTCAGGGTCGTGTGCCCCTGATTGGCTTCTGTGGTGCCCCGTGGACCCTGCTGTGCTACATGGTCGAGGGCGGTGGTAGCAAGCTCTTTGTTCAGTCCAAGACCTGGGTCTATAAGTACCCTAAGGAGGCGCAGGCATTGCTGCAGAAGATCGCAGATATTTGTGTTGAGTACCTGGCTTTGCAGGTGGCCGCTGGTGCCCAGCTGGTGCAGGTCTTCGACTCTTGGGCAGGTGAGCTATCTCCAGACTCGTTTGCCTCGTTCTCCCTGCCCTACCTCCGCCATATCTCTGCGAACCTCCCCAAGAGACTACAGGAGATGGGCCTGGAGCCTGTTCCTATGACTGTTTTCGCTAAGGGTGCTTGGTACGCCCTTGACGACCTGTGCCAGTCGGGTTACAATGTCGTGGGCTTGGATTGGCTGCACGACCCTGCTGAGGCTATGCGCATCGCGAATGGCCGTGTCACTATCCAGGGTAATGCTGATCCTGGTATGCTCTATGGTGGCCGTTCTGCCATCACCGATACGGCGGAGAAATTGGTCGCCGGATTCAAGAAGGGCAAGCAAGGTTGGATTTGTAACCTTGGACACGGTACGTAAGACCTTATTAGATCTAGCAGTCCTATACTTATCCCTTGAGCAGGTATCACCCCATTCGTCAACCCCGACGATCTCAAGTTCTTCTTCGAGGAAATCCACCGCCTCACTGTATAATATCCATACGAATGATACAAAGTGGCTTCGTCACCACGATACTGGACTACAAAAGCTCTTCTACTCGTCGTACACGGCCGTCATTAGGCTGCAGAGCCCGATTCTCTTTTGATTTCTACCTGGGTATCTTTTATCCCCGCCCGGGTGTCCGATCAAATCTCCGACTCTTGTCAAAACTTCAGAGTACTAGACGGCGATATCCTCATTCCTTCACAGGGGATTTCGGTTAGTTTCGATCAAATAATGAAAATCAACTGGAATTACGAACCAAAGCTCCGGCTTCTCCTTCATGAAGGTGGACATGAGGTTCTTGCACTCTTGATTATCCAGTACGACAACTTCTTTGCCCTTGTTGAGTAGCAGGTCCTCTCCGCCCACGAAGTTCTCATTCTCGCCAATGACCACGCGTTTGATCTTATAGAGAATACATGCACCGGTACACATGTCACATGGGGACAGAGTGGTGTACATCGTAGCTCCCTCGTAAGCCGAGGCCGGGAGACGGCCGGAATCCTCGAGAGCCGACATCTCGGCCTGGAGACAGTATTAGCTTGCATGAGACCAGCGTAGGGAGAGGAACCTATAGTATGGTCCTCTTCTGGATTCTACTAGACGAATTGGATCTCCTTACATGTAGCACAGCGCTCCCCTTCTGCACGCGCATATTGTGACCGCGGCCCAGGATCTTGCCGTCCTTGGAGACCAGGGCAGCTCCAATGGGGACGCCACCCTCCGCCGCGCCTTGTTTGGCCTCTTCGACAGCAGCGATGAACCCGGGTTCTTGATCCATTGTGTTACTTGAGAAAGCAGATCAGAGTACTGAGAGGTGGTTTGGGATAGCTACGCTAAACAGGCATTCTCTGCCGCAATCCTTATCAATTGCTATCGTCTCCGCGGCGAGTTCCGCCCAAGACCGAAGGGGATGTAAGTGGAGCGCAGACCTTTCCCTCCAACAGCCCCTCCGCTTATCGATAAGAGTCGTGGCTGGGTGTGGCGGAGAGGAAAACTCAGCACAGATTCTGCCTCAGTACGGTATTGTAATACATGATACTTGCTGCTGCTGATCGGTGGATCTAGACGAACTTTACTTGTGCAATGTACAAAGAACAAGAGTATTTCTGTATAAATGTGCTAATCCTGTCAATATCTCTATTCGATATATCGCAAGAACATGGTCTATTAGAACAAACTGAGTACCACTTCCGTCACGGCTCAAAAAATCAGCAAGGTGACTGTATGCATGAGCCTGATTTAGTGGAGCTCTGCCTATAGGAAGCAGTGTATTCCGTGCGCGGAAGGACATGGAATCGTGGAGAACCCCATCGAAGGCCGCAGAACCCGGTAGATTGAGCGCTCGGGCCCGGGTTTACAAAGGTCAGCAAAGAGAAACCATCAGAAGAAAAGAATGACAAGTGACGATATGGAATATATAGAAACAGAAATTCTTTGACAGATGTGGAGAAAGTGTCTGAAATCTAGCAATTTTCCTCTAAACCGTTGAATATCGTCTAGCCGGTACATAAGGGCCCGTATCTCGCGCGCGGAAGACTAGAACTTCTGTACCAATACGGCATCAGTACGACGAAACAGTACCTGAAAAGAAAAAAATAGTTATTCAGCCGATTGTGTCGGGCTCGGGCTCCTGATTCTTATCCAAAAGAGATCATTTGTGCTCTCAACCCCCTCCATCTTTCACGCTCTCCTCATCCTCTGCGGCATCTTTTCTTGGGAAAGTTGCAACTTCGCTTTCCGTTCTTTTTCTTAACTGTTCTCATTTCTTCGATACCCGACTCCTCTATTCGCCGTCGCCTAATCTGCCGACACAATGGTCAAGGATACCAAGCTCTATGACTTCCTCGGGGTATGGTCTATTTCCGCTACTCTATGTAGATCGCTTTCTGTAGCTAACGGGATATGCTTGCACAGGTTCCCCCAACAGCCTCTGAGAGCCAACTGAAGTCCGCCTACAAAAAGGGTGCACTCAAGTATCACCCTGGTACGTTGCACTATCACTCGAGATGGCCGCCAAATCTCGGAAATACTCTCTCTCCTTGAATGAATACTGACCATTTTCCACTTCAACAGACAAGAATGCCGACAACCCCGATGCCGCTGAGAAGTTCAAGGAGCTATCCCACGCCTATGAGATTCTGTCCGACCCCCAGAAGCGTCAAGTCTACGACCAATTCGGCGAGGAAGGTCTTGAGAATGGCGGCGGTGGTGGCGGCATGAATGCCGAGGACCTATTCTCTCAATTCTTCGGCGGCGGTGGTGCGTTCGGTGGAATGTTCGGTGGTGGCATGCGCGAGCAGGGTCCCAAGAAGGCCCGTACCATCCACCATGTGCACAAGGTTAACCTCGAGGATATCTACCGTGGAAAGGTATCAAAGCTTGCTCTGCAGAAGTCAGTTATCTGTGCTGGCTGTGATGGTCGTGGTGGCAAGGAGGGCGCTGTCAAGGAGTGCTCTGGCTGTAACGGTAGTGGTATGAAGACCATGATGCGCCAGATGGGCCCCATGATTCAGCGTTTCCAGACTGTTTGCCCTGACTGTAACGGTGAGGGTGAGATTATCAAGGATAAGGACCGTTGCAAGAAGTGCAACGGGAAGAAGACTGTTGTTGAGCGCAAGGTTCTGCACGTCCACGTCGACAAGGGTGTGCGTGACGGCCACAAAATCGAGTTCCGCGGCGAGGGCGACCAGATGCCTGGTGTGCTTCCTGGCGATGTTGTTTTCGAAATTGAGCAGAAGCCACACCCCCGATTCCAGCGCAAGAACGACGACCTGTTCTACCAGGCTGAGATCGACCTGCTTACCGCGCTTGCTGGTGGCACCATCCACATTGAGCACCTTGACGACCGCTGGTTGACCGTCAACATTGCTCCAGGCGATGTTATTGTTCCAGGTATGTTTTGTGCCATTGACCAATGTGAAAGCCTTCTTCGTTTGCTAACATGTTCCGATCAGACGCCATCAAGGTCATTGCCGGCCAGGGTATGCCCTCTTTCCGCCACCACGACTACGGCAACCTCTATATCAAGTTCGACGTCAAGTTCCCCGAGAAGGACCAACTCCAGAACCTTGAACTTTTGGAGCAGGTTCTCCCACCCCGTATGCAGCAGATTCAGCCTCCACCTGACGCCATGGTCGAGGACTTCGAACTTGAAGGTGTCGACGGCAGCGAGGGCTCGCAAGCCCGCGCTCACGGCGCTGCTGGATCTGCTATGGATGAGGATGATGAGGACGTGCCTCCCGGTGCTGAGCGGGTACAGTGTGCCTCGCAGTAAACGGGAATTTTTTTTTTTGAAGGAAGAAAGAATTGCCGTGGAATCTGCAAGCCACGAAATGCGGCGTCTCGGGAGTGGGAGTGGCTCCAATTAGTGGCCGAAGGCTGAAAAGTTCACTTCACTCATGATTCCACGTGAAGTGTAGCCGTCGCCATGAAACGAATCAAGCCCTATCATGCTCTCCTTTTTGTCTCTTTCTTGATCATGTGGAACTGATTTGCTTTGCGATGGCGTTAGCTCAGAAGACTGGGAAGATGCTTTCTGCGATCCCTGCATCTTCTCGGGAAATTTTTCTTTTATTTCTTTGAATTCGTTTGTAATTCCACTGCGCCCCTGAATTTTGCGCTCTGCCACGACCTCCTATGCTACCTTTCGCCCCCCTTTCGAGTTATTTTTTTTTCTTTGTGTGTTTGATTCCGTTTGTCTCTTTTCCTAGCGGTACCGCCAAGGGGGCGTCGGATTGGTGGAGAATGTGTTTGCGACGAAGAGAAAGCGCGACGAGACCACGACACTGCAACTACAGATGGAGCGAGGCATAAGACAGCCATGTTCTCTCTTCTCTGTTTTATAGTCATGATCTCATGTCGCTTTGCTGGACGGATCGTGGAGCCATTCATATTGGATTTCCTTTCTCTGTCTCCTTTTTCTCCGGCCTGCACTGATGATGACTGAATAGACATTGCGTGGATCTGAATTGAATGCATTGTTAAAAGATATACTGGCTTGGGGTCATACCGCATTGTAGCAACTTTTGCTCCTGCAGCTCTGATAGTTCCGAACAGTTTGTAGAAACATGCAGCGTGAAATTCGTCTGAAGAGCAGTGTGGTAGTACTAATACGGCGCGAGGAGGACCCTGGGGATTTACTACCTTGGTAGTCCAGCACAGACCGGAGAAACCTTAAATAATCTAGCTGTTAGACTCATAACGGACACTTACAAGCCTGGGCTTCTAGTTAATCTCTGTATGGAATAGTGTATCGATTCTCCAATACAAGAGAATCACTCCAGAGGGACTGGCGCGACTAGCCCCCTTTGGTGTTTGCGACGTGTATATGATTTGCCTTGATTCCTAGCGCATCTATCGGGAATGACAGTGGTTAATGGTGAAACATATGTTTACGGAATGCTATGGATCTACAATCTCATATCTGCGAGTGGACTCGACCCGAACCTACTCATTACCTCCCAAATTGGAGTGGCCCACTGCCAAATGTCTTCGGCAGTGGGGTTGAAATGCATGCGATGCTCCGTCTTAAGTTTGCAGAACTTGCACATTAGCCTGTTGAGTTTATGATGTAAACGTAAAGACATACAGGCTGGTTATCAAATAGTAGATGTTGTTTTGCCTATGGAAACCATATATACTGGGGCATGGCCACCCAGATACGCCAAAGCACCCAGTTCTAGATAAACACACCCATCCCTACTTAGATCAGCCAGCTAAGCTAATCAACAGAATAACATTCCCGGCTCTCATCGGACGGAAACACTGGTGGTGGGCATAAATACGCAAGTCTGCCAAGTTTACGCTCAACCCTGCTAGTATCGACCTGGTTGGGTACATAGATTGCTCTTCATGTCCTCCCTGGTGCTATAGCTCCAATTTATATTGCCAAGATCTACTAAGCTGTCTTTTCAGATGGTTCAAGTTCGGCCACCAGAAGTGTAGTGTCAGGGTATGCGGCTTGAACGTGTCTGACAAGAATGTCTAGCTGGTCACCTACTTCTGCATGGTGATGGTAGAATTTGAGGGTGACTTGGACTCTGACATTTGGATCCATAAGATTGCCGAACAGTTTACTCATAGGTTTGCTTGGGGAGTAGTTGTTGACGGTGTTTGTTTCACTACAAGGCGATCTGTTACATATGCATGTGGAATCAGCAGTGGTGGATCCGGTGGGTCTTATCAACATTAGCTATCTCCAACTACTAACAACAGCATTACTGCTCTTGGGCTTGTAATATGAAAAGCTACCACTGAGCTTGGATTCCCACTGGCACTTCAACTTCATGTTAGACTTCTCATTCTGTGATGCAGGGCACCAAAGGGCTAATACTACTATAAATTATGTTACGACTCGGCGTAAGAAGTAATGGCGTCTTGGGATGGAACATGTTCGTTTTCTACTACGGGTAGGAGGATAATTGAAGTTCTGACTTGAAGGCCGATTTGAAATTGAGGTTTCATTCAGGTTTGGCTCCGAGTCGGACGCGGCAGTTTGTAAGGTTGGTCCCTGGGACCGGGAAATACACAACGAACGCCGCCGCCATGACTGCTACACTAGACATTCGACCTTCACATACGTCGGAGAAATACAACATCTGGAGCTGCCAGTACTGCCAGTGGCTATATGGAACGTATAAAATCTTCTGATTGAATGCTCAATGACGGGGACTAGGACTAGCGGGAATCAGTAAAGAGCCCTGCAGCTCCGTATATTTCAAGCCGGGCTGCTACGAGTAGCTAGTGGAGAGAACAGAGCGCAAAAACAAGACATTTGGTCGAGTCACTCGGAACTGGGTCAATGGCCGATCAATAGGTTGCCTGAAGAGCAAAATGAGCTTCTACTGCTAAATACCGGTAGAAGTAGGCAATGTCAAGACCGCTCAAAGAACTAACGTACATGGGAAGGTATTCTGTACGCAAAGAAGAGCCGTAAACGAGTCCTAGCTAATTCAAGTGCCTCGGTCCAGACCCCAGAAGGCTCTGCAAGGAGAAACCAAGAACTCTATGAAATGAGATGCCCCATTTGCGCTCATAACAGGATGAAGTGGATCGAACTCTACCGGGTCTACCGGCTCCTTGTCTCCGCAAAGGCGCTCGAGCCAGCCTGCCTTTCAGCTGCAATCGACACGAAGACAGAAATACGAGGTTGTTTTTTTATTTTCTGGCCGAGCATAGCGCTGATATTGAAGTCGCCGACACTAGATGGCGCGGCTGGAATTTGCCCGCCATTACAGCTGTGATGAAACTGCTCCCTAAGGCAATCTGAAATGGAGTACAAATGAGCGAAGCTGCCAAAAAGTGGCATGAGAGTCAATGGAGGTATTTTGGGCTCTCAGAGTGGTGTGTCGGGTAGGAGTCCTTCATCTTTTCTTGATCTTGATCCTAATTCTCAATGCTACGCAAGCGAGCTAAAAAGAGCTCCTTGATGTTCCCAGTCCATCCTTGTAGGTTAATGAGCTTTCTTGGGTGCAAAGCACGGGTCTCTATTCTTGCTTCCGGTATGAAAGATGGCAGAGCAACTGCAGATTGTAGTTGGCTATGCCCGGATCGAGATTGAACCGGGGCTCCATTTTTGTCTTGGGACCTTCCTGATTGATGAGAGAAACCCCCACCCCCCAACGCTGCCACTTAAACCGACCACGATGTTTCTCGTATGTCGCAACCCGGGCGGCAAATGCGTTGACATGATGCAATGTGCGTGTGGAATCAATATTGCTTGTTTGGTGATGAGCAGTTGGCTTCATTCGTTGCGTAACATCAGATCCGACAAGAATACCCGGCCGCAAACTGCGTTCTGACAGGACAATCTGGCTTGCGGACCCTGTGCCTGTGTAGCTGCTCTGGGGTAGAAAGCAAGTCCTGGAGATTCGTTATGTAGTCCCGGCGATGGCATCAAAAGTACGCCACAAAAGTTTACTTATGGTGGCAACAGGAGGTAGAGAAAGTTTACGCGAGGGGAGAGCTTCAAACTCTAAGCGTGCGATACCCGCTTTATTGGCTCGTATAATAGAGTTCTGCAATTGATCTCCTCATGCTAAGCTTGCACGTCCGAGGCAATCATGGATGATTGGTGCTTAGCCACACGCCCATAGGCACGCGAGCCGCTATCCGAATCGGGCATAGCAAAACACACAGCGGTGCAAGATTATTGCGTTCCGGCTGGGGACTGCGAGCAGATGTTCCTCCAAGACTCAAAACGTTCGAGCGCATCTCATAGTGAAACGCAGACATTGCCAACTGGGGGTAATTTGGGTGTCTCAGGTCGATACGGAGCCCGCAAGACCCCAAAGTCATGACAGGCATAGTCGCGTCGGTTTTAGGTTATGGGCCGCAGCCGCAACAAGCTACAATGACGTGATTTAGATCTGGATGGCGCCTTTGCTGCTCCCAGTTCGCCTCGTACTTTTCTTCATAGAGTTTCCACCAATGAATTGTGGCTTACAAATTGTACATCTCATGCTGCGAACCAGGAGTCATGGTACCCCAAGTACCTTTCGACTCCGCTCGGTGTGAATCCGATAGAAAGGATTGGAGCATGTCGATCGAGAGCAAACAGCACAGACCATGAGAGATTATCAGTACGAACGATTCGAGGTCTTACGCCCACGCTTGGCAGGGGGGGGTGGGCGACCGGTGGTCCCTACCCCATTAAGCAGGTCTCTGCGGAACTCGTGGCCACCCAGCAGGCCGCTCTCGGCACTCGAGAGAGCGAGTTCATGAGCGAGTACAGAGTACTTGCTCGGGGGGCTCTTGCTCTTTGGTCTTTACTCGGAGTCTTGGTGTGGCGAGCAGGGCTTGGCAGCCTCATGGCTTGGCCTCGTAGTTTTCGATCTATACTCCATGGAAGTTCTACGCCGCTATGAACGGAGTGCACACCTCGTGCCTCGGATGTATTTCATGTACTCCGTGGCCAAAAGACATACGAAGCGTGGAGAAGCGAAGCAGCTAGACCCTCTCAGCGCCTCCTTTTGAAACGTGGAAACGAGCAAAATTCGTCGTGCTGGTGTCACCATCGGCGCGGGTGATTTCACCATCGCTGCGCTTACTGATTGGCTTGAAGAGACCCACCGTAGATCATCTACACCCGCTTGATGCTCCTGATTGGCCCCTCTGTATGGGCGTTAGTTACATAAGCTGGGCTGCTTGGACTTGATTGGCAGGGGCCTTTGACACCACACAGCTGCGTACTGCGGACAATCGACAGGATTCCAGTGTGGTATGGGGGATTTTGGCACTGGCCGATCAAACGGCTCAGGCTATCGCAATGCCTCGCAAGATAGTCCTGTACCAGCAGACGAACAACGGGGGATCTGGCCCGTAGCTTCTAGAAACAAGGAATTTCGGCCTGCTCCACTATGAAAATGCGAAAACATTCATAATCTTGCAATGGGGGAGTTGGGGCTCCACGCTCCTCGTCATCCGTCCAGGCCCTGGAGGTTCCACCGGTCTTCCGCCGCTTGATCATCATGAGCGGGACACCCATGGATGCCCTGGAGCTGTGTGCGCAGGGCCCCCATATCAGCCGTTGGATCCCCCATTGCTTTTTTCCTCTCGAAACTTTCGAACTTTTCGAGCCCAAAGAAAAAAAAAAAGCAATCAACTTGCGACCTGAGCGCCGGCCACTCAAGCCAAGTTGGAGATTGAGATATTACGCCATCTCAGGCCGGATCACGCATCACCTGCTGCACGCTTGTATCTCCCCTTTTCGGTCAGACTTCGTATTGGGAACCTTCTTCTATTTTTTCTTTTCTCTTTTTTTGCTTTTGGGTTGGTCGACATGGAAAAGGTGTGATCATCAAAAAGAAAAAAAAATTTGCGAATTTATATCCAGCTGGAACCCCCCTCGAGCCACGTTTTTGAGATCTGTCAGCCTCACCGTTCCCACTAGCATCCAGGCCCTTTGACGGCCGGGCCTATCATTGTCTACTTGATATCATTCTTGGAATAGATCTTCGTCACCCGCAATGGGTGAACAGAGCACCAAGGTCGGCCATGCCCTAGCCAAAGGCCTCGGCATCAAGCTCGCATACCGTGATCCTTTGGCCTCCAACAAGCCCGAGAAAGCTGAGGAAGCTTTCTCGGTCGGTACGGCCGACACATACTCCTATATCGAACCAGAGCCAACCACCTTGGAATGGATCCAGGAGGTTACCCCAGTGGGAGACAAGTCCTCAACTACCTGATTGGTTTATTCCCCTTCTTGAACTGGATTCGTCGCTACAATGTCCAATGGCTGATGGGTGACTTGGTTGCCGGGATCACCGTGGGTGCCGTCGTTGTGCCTCAGGGTATGGCCTATGCTGAGTTGGCTGAGCTACCCGTGCAGTACGGCCTGTACTCATCTTTCATGGGAGTGCTGATATATTGGTTCTTCGCTACGTCAAAGGATATTACTATCGGGGTGAGTGATGCTTCAAAATATCGAAAACGAAAAAAAAAAAATTTCAAGAGCAAGCAAGCTGACCGTGATCTCGTTGTAGCCTGTGGCTGTCATGTCCACCTTGACTGGAAGTATCATCCTCGATGCGCAGAAGTCGAACCCCAAATTCGACAGCGTTGAAGGCAAAATCGATATTGCAAATTGTCTGGCTGTTATACTTGGTGGTATCGTTTGCGCGCTGGGCTTCCTCAAGCTTGGCTTCCTGGTGGATTTCATTCCCCTTCCGGCGATCTCGGCTTTCATGACCGGCTCTGCCGTCAATATCATCGCGGGACAGGTCCCAACCATGCTGGGCGAGAAGGCGAAATTCAGTACCCGCGGTGCCACATACAAGGTCATTATCAACACCCTCAAGCATCTGCCCTCTGCAGGACTTGATGCCGCTATGGGCGTCACTGCTTGTGCTATGCTATACATCATTCGATTCGCGTGTACATACGCCGCTAAGAAGCAACCCCACCGGGCAAAGCTCTGGTTTTTCATTTCAACACTGCGCACGGTATTCGTCATTCTGTTCTACACCATGATCAGTGCTGCATGCAACATCCACAGACGGGATCATCCCATGTTCAAGGTCCTGGGCCATGTCCCCCGAGGCTTCCAGCATGCTGCTGTGCCGGTTGTCAATGCTGAGATCATCAAGACCTTCTTGCCCCAGCTTCCCGTGGGCGTCATTGTCCTCTTGATCGAGCACATTGCCATCTCCAAGTCCTTCGGTCGTGTGAACAACTACACCATCGACCCCTCGCAGGAGTTCATTGCAATTGGTATCACCAATCTTCTGGGACCTTTCCTTGGTGCTTATCCCGCCACTGGTTCTTTCTCTCGAACTGCTATCAAGTCCAAGGCCGGTGTGCGTACACCGCTGGCTGGTTGTATTACTGCTATCGTTGTTCTTCTTGCCATTTATGCGCTTCCGGCCATGTTCTGGTATATCCCCAAGGCGTCTCTGGCTGGTGTTATTATCCACGCCGTCGGTGATTTGATCACGTCTCCCAACACCGTCTACCAATTCTGGCGAGTGGCGCCATTGGATGTCATCATCTTCTTCATCGGTGTCATTGTGACCGTCTTCACCTCCATCGAAGATGGGATCTACTGCACCATCTGTGTCTCCGCCGCAGTCCTCCTTTTCCGAGTCGCTAAGGCTCGTGGCCAATTCCTGGGCCGCGTGAAGATCCACTCCGTGATCGGCGACCACCTGGTCGATAGTGATGGCAAGTATGGGTCTTTGGCCGACCGAAAGCAGGCCCCTCTCAACGATGACCACCAGCAACGTGCTATCTTCCTCCCAGTCAACCACCAGGACGGATCCAACCCCGACATCGAAGTCGAGCAACCCCACCCCGGTATCTTCATCTACCGCTTCTCCGAGGGCTTCAACTACCCCAACGCCAACCACTACACAGACTATCTCGTGGACGCTATCTTCAAGCAGACTCGTCGCACGAACCCGCAAGCATATGCCAGACCCGGTGACCGCCCATGGAATGACCCCGGTCCCTCCGGCAAGGAGATCGCCAAGGCGACAGAGGATACGCGGCCCACGCTGCAAGCTGTTATCCTGGACTTCTCTTCCGTGAACAATGTCGACACCACCTCCATCCAAACCTTGATCGATGTCCGCAATCAATTAGACCGCTACGCCGCCCCGCGCTCGGTGCAGTGGCACTTCGCCCACATCAACAACAGATGGACCAAGCGCGGCCTGGCCGCCGCTGGCTTTGGCTTCCCCACCCCCGCCCCCGGCGCCGACGGCTTCCACCGCTGGAAGCCCATCTTCAGTGTCGCGGAGATCGAGGGCAATTCGTCCGCCGCGGAATTCGCGGAACGTGAGAACAACCGGCGGCTGCAGGGCTTTAGCGGTGACCTTGAGGCGGGCATTAAGGAGCATGACACCACCGAGCGCGAGATCAAGACTCCTGAGTCTTCATCAGATGATGCCCATGTCTTTACCGAGGATAAGCTGAAGCAGGACTTGGCTGATTCTAGACCCTACCAGGGTGGTCGTCGCAGGGTCGCTATCGTGCAGGGCATGAATCGTCCTTTCTTCCATATTGATCTTACGAGCGCATTGCAGAGTGCTATTGCCAACTGCGTGGAGGATGATTTGCATACTGAATGAGTCATTTGAGAGCGTTCTTCAGTTCAGTTCTGTTCTGTTATCTTTTCTCTATTCTTATTTTCTCGTCGACTGCGTTTTAAGATTCCCCCCCCTTACCCCTCGTCTGATTGCGTTTTGGTCACTGGACTCGGACCTGGATAGGCCGTATGGATGGTCTGATATGATTCATAATCTTTGTATTTCAATATGTCCAATGTGCTCGTGGTTCCTTCGGCAAGAGATTTTGTCTGGCGTATCTTGCTGTGGTCGGAACGCATATTTCAATCTTGAATTGGGTCTAGTCATAAAAGGGCGTTTTCTTCTCGTTCAGGATACTCTACCAACAATAGAAAGCGTTGATTCCTCTAGCCTTGAGTATCTTACAATTTCGTCTGAAATTTGATTTGATCATAATTCTTCTTGTCCGAGCGGCTGCTGTCAAAATTGTGTCCAGCCTATGGAAGCAATTTCCAACCAGGAGTTTGGACTGCTCCGAGGCATCACTTGCAGCTTCTTGTCAACGTTCTGACGAGAAACCGTCCACCGGGTTATGCTGATTATGTTTTCTGTCAACTTACATCTGAACTGTGTCTACGGGAGCTTGAGATGTTGAGTTTTGAACCGTTAGTTCATTATTCCAGTCCAAAGATAACGACTTCCATGTGAGTTGACCATATATGGGGTGCATCAGGCGAGCAACTCGCACCAGACCCGAGCCAGCCCCAGTTCTACCTCCCAGCAAATAAACAAGACACGGTGCAAGAATCCCAATATCCAGAATCACCGCAACACACCTCCAACTCCAGCCCAGCCCAGCACAAACCCAGAAAGTGCCTCGCTCATGACGCCGCCCCCAAGCCAAAGATCCTGCCACGCACCACTCCTCAGCACAAAGCGTCTCCCTTCCTTCTTCGCGCCGTTCAGCGACATCCGCACGACGCCCCTCCGGTCCATATCCACCTGCCCATCGATCTCACCCCCGCTGCCCGGGAAGAACGCACCGGAGCCGGCGCCGCCGGACCGCTGGAGGAGGACGAGGTGGAACAAGCCGGATACGAGAACTGTGCCGGCGAAGTAGAAGGCGAAGCCGACGGCTGATTGGAGAGCGAGGATTCCAGCGGAGATGCCGAGGAGGAAGGCTGTTAGGCTGTGGAGGGAGGAGAGAACCTATCTCCAGAGTTAGACATGACCGGGAATTTGGTATGTGTGTTATAGAGGGGACTTTGGGAATGCGAGCTGGAGGGAGTGGGAGTGGGCTTGGGACGCATACCCGGTTGTTGTGCTGGACGGCCTCTGGTACGAGGGGATTGATGAGCAATGAGAGCTCCTGCTTTGTGGGAGCCATGGTGGGCTGTGTTGGTATGGTTTATGCACAATTTTGGCTTGCGGGTTTGTCGCCTTGGCGGTAGGCGCGTGAAAAGAGTGCTCTTTCAGCTTCAAATTTCAGAGGTACGACGTGAATTGTGGGACTCTGGAGTCGTAAAGCCCTGATTGAGCTTGGTGGATAGAAAGTGGCAGGAACGAAGACCCGCGTGCAACTCGAGCGGGAGTTCGGGCGTGGTTTGTAGAGGCGCACGGACCCTCTCGCAACGAGACGATCTACTCTCTTTATACTTTCATGCGAGCTGGAATTCTATACTTTCGAGCTTCGAAGCTGGGAAGTCCATGGAAGAGTATGTAAATTCTGATTTTGGTCACAAATTCTTAACAGGAAAGGTTCTGTTCATATCTACGATTACCCCCGATGTTTTAATGTCCAGTACCCCGAAGCCATCATGAAACCATTTCTTGACATCACTGCGTTTGATACACAAATCCCACAGCCATCCTCGTATTACCGGGGTACAAAAAGATCACAGACCGAATGAAGAGCGAAAATAAAAGTAAGAAAGAAAAAAAAAAAAACCAGCAGAGATGATAGAACATGACTGACATATCCACAGTGTCGCTTGGATGTAAATGGTACCTGCCTCCACAGGAAGCTAGGACACTCACCATCCTATGCTTTCATGCACAAGTTGAGAATGGACGGTTTTACGAGAGGGCATCGAATTTGCCCTCCGCGCGGGCTTCACGAACCTGCTCGAAGACCTGTGTTTTCCCCCACCATTAGTATAGATTGAAGTGGCTTGGTTGGACATTAATAACTCACCTTCAGCATCTTGTTACGGGCACCCAGTGCATTAACGCCTCGTTCTTCCAAAGCCTTGTCATCAAGTTCAACGAGCTCGGTCCATTTGAGATCCTTCAGTTGGTCGGTATATTTGTGCAGACGAAGGGATCGCAGCCAGCTGGGGATATCCTTCAGGAGAGAGGGGTCGGTAGGATCTTCTGGTGGCTTGGAGCTGCCACGTCGGCCACGAGGCGAACGTCCACGAGTGACTTCAGAGTGGTCGGACAGATAGCCCTCACCACCCAGGCCGAATTGTCCGATGCCAAGGGAGTTAAGCCCATTGCCCATGAGCGGGTTGTTTGGGTCGTAAGCGGCTAGGAACCCATTGTTTTGTGGGGATGTGAAGTTCATATGACCCAGGCCACCACCAGCACCCTGCAGGGCAATACCAGGAGAGTTTGGACGGGAACGACCTCCTGCCAAGGCGGCTTGCTGCTGGGCCTGCAGAGCAGCCAGCTGCTGAGCGTTCAAAAGCTGACCAGCCACGAGGTTGTTTCCCGGCAGACCTGGACTAGACAGACCCTGAGGAACCGCATGGTTGGAGTTTGCGTTCCGGTTTTGACCGTCATTGGAGCGCGATCGGCGATACTTCCGAGCATCATCCAATGCAATACGGTTGTTCACCGTTGACAGAGCTGCAAGTTTCATGGCAGTAGCATTCGCCACCATGTCCGCCTGGGAATTGCCTTGATTCTGCTGCTGTCCGAAAGTCGCCGTCATCGGAGTGTTTGTCATTGACGCCCAGCTGTGGTTACCAACGTTGTAGGGCGAAAGAAGCGGGGGCTCGATGTCCGGGGCTGGGATGGTGGCAGTCTGGGGGAGAGGGGACCGGAGACCTGACGAGCCAGAGGGCTGACTGAACTGCCCCATGGGCTGATGCCCAGAGGATGATTTCGGGCGGGCAATGGGAGGTTGGGTGTCAGAAAGACCACCGCGTTGGGCCCATGGCGATGATGGCGGGTCATTGCTGTTGTCTGGTGCCGAGATGGTGGGGGCAACAAACGAGTTTCGATCTCCAAAGACAACGCTGTTGCGATTGGAAGGCGGGGCGTTGCCGGTCTGCTGCGTGAACTCTGCCTTTTTCTTAGCGATGGCAGCTGCAGCATCCGGGAACATGGCATTAATAGTAGAGGAATCGAGGCCCGAGTTGCGCTTTGCACCCGGGGATGGTGGGGGCCGGCCCAAGGAGTTTCGAGAGGTGTCCATATTGATTTTAGACATAGCATCGCTCAAACGACTCGACATAGCATCTGTAGATAAGGAAAAGGAGTGTTAGTGAAATAACCTGTGAGCAAGAGAAAGAATGGAACAGACCTTTTTCGCCAAAGTTGGCCGGTGACAGAAGTCCGGTGATGGGATGGCTCTGTGCCATCTGCTGCAGCACCTGGATGAAAAACCGAATCTGCACCTGGGTAGTCTGCTGCAGCAGGGCGTACAGAGCAGCCGTACGTTCGGCTTCACTCAGGACCCGGAACCATTGCTCGATGGCACTGAGCTCATCCTTGAAATCCTGGTCAAGGGTGGCTGCAGCCATTTCCTCGAGGGTGGTCTCATTTTGGTCGATATCCGCAAGCCACTGTTGAGCGGCCCGATCCATGGCATCCTCCGATGCATTCTGCCCCTGGGATTGCTGGTTGAAGAAGACCTCGGAGGAGGGCCGCATACGCGAGGAGAGCGGCGAAGGGAAGCCGGACATGTCGGCCGATGCCCGTAGCTGATGAGAACCGAGGTTTCGAGCAGAAGACGGAGGACGCAGGGTCGAATTCTGAGGGGCCTCGGGGGTGCTGTTGCGGTTGCCGATAATATGGCTGGCCATCTCACCGGGTCTTTGCGGAGGGGTTGGGTCGAAAGGTGACTAGTAAATACAGTGGGGTTGGAAAAAGATTACTGCAAAACACCTGCAGAACCTGCTGAGTTTGCGTAAAGAAGAATCAAGAATCCCTGGATCCGAAAACCACCCCGTAGTACCCTATAATTGATGGCTCGAGGCAAAAGAAAAAGAAAAACGAAGGAAGCACAGAACCAGTCCAGTGGGCTGTGCCTGATTTTTTTTTTTGCCAGGATCGAGTTCGATCGGTATGAAGCCCGAACGAAGGAAAATCAGGACCAGGAAGGCAATAGTGTGTCAAACACAGCAAGCCAGGATGGTCCTGCAAGAAAGAAAGGAAGGAGAAGGGGGAGAAGGGAGATTCGAGATTAGAAGTTGGGGTGGAGGGAGAGGGAGAAGTGCGGTTAGCGGAAGCTGCTTTTCTTCGGGGTTCAAGATCACGGGTTCCGTCTGGAATGGAACTTCGACTTCTTCTCCCACAAGCTCCCCTCTGCGGTTCCTCCTACATCTTGGCCTCTTGACCCCTCAACTGACTCTGATTTATGTGATTCGTGCTGGTGGGGACGTGGCGATGAACATCAGCCGCTCCTGAAACGGCCTAAAATCAGTGCGCACGTCTCGGCCTTTTTTTGGTTCTATACACGCGGTCTGGGCCACGGTCTGAAAAGATTGTTGGTCCGGGATTCCTTGACCTCTCATTCATCACTTGAGCCAGCCCGAAGTCGATCCCCTACGCGCTAAAGACTTACACACCACTACTAGCCTGCCAGCTTTGTCTGGCCCGGTCTTTTGACCATGGCGGCCCAAGATCAAGATTATCCCATGGGCTCGCCGGAGGAATATGAATATTCGGCTGCCAGCGAACCCTATGAGTATTGGCATAGCGATCCGCCCCCGGTGTCGGATGAAATATCACCCGCCGTAATCGATCCCAGGCTCTATGGAAATGACATGGCAGCTGATATCATGGCGGACAGCCTTGCTCAAGCTGATGAATTCGATTATGGGGCAATTGAGTATGCGGCCAGTGACCGAGAGATCACACCAGATCTAGATGCCGGTGAAGACGATTCGGATTTTAATATACCAGGTAGCGAAAGGTATGACACTCCAAGGTTCTAGTAACATCATTCCAAACTTTCAATAACGAGTAAAATAGTGACGATGAAGATTTTGAAGATGACGACGAGGACGATGAAGAAGACGATGAAGATGAAGATGATTCAGACAGAGAACGCCGCCGCCGCAGAGGAGGGGGTCGCTTTTCAGGTCGTTATGGAGCCCGAGGCCGTAAGGGTGTTAAACGTGGACCACGCAAACCTTTGGAACCCGGCCCGGAGTTCAAGATGCTTCATTCCGAAGCTACCGAAGCGTTCATCGATGGAGATTATGATCGAGCGAAGGAGAAAGTGACCCAGGCTATTTTGAAGAACCCCGAGATATTTCCAGCGCATTCATTACTAGCAGAAATCTTCCTAGCCCAAGGCCAGATGGACAAAGCCTTCTTGGCTCTCTTCAACGGTGCTCACACCCGTCCAAAGGATGCCTCTGTGTGGCTCAAAGTTTCTCGATACATCTTACGTCGTGCGGGTCAAGAACGTGAACGGGCGCTGAATGATGTGATCTATTGTTATACCCGCGTCCTAGACATCGAGCCCAAAAACACCAATGTCCGATATCAACGAGCTGCAATTTACCGTGAGCTTGGATTGAACGGAAAGGCGGCTATTGAGTACGAGCGTATCTTGAAGGATCGACCACACAACCCACGCCCCCTCAGACATCTAGCAGAAGTTTACATCGAACTCAAAAATGTCCAGAGGGCGCTTGATATCTGGAACGAGAGCATGGCCTATTACAGGTCTTTGGACCCAAGCAAAGCGAAGAATTTCTCGTGGTCAGAAGTGAACATCTATGTCGAGCTTTTCAGCTATGTGGAACAATATGAGCAAGGGATTGAAGCACTCAAGTCTCTATCGAGGTGGCTACTGAATCGTGGAGAAGACCGATTTTGGGATGGATTCGACGCGGATGATCGAGAGTGGGATATAGAGGACTCACCGCGCCGGATCAAAACTAATGGCTTCATTCCGGGAACGTGGCCATCGGAATGCTATGGCGCCGGGCTTCCACTAGAACTTCGGATCAAACTGGGCCTTTTCCGATTGAAGATGGGTCATCAGCATTACAATGAAGCATTGGTAAGTTTTTGAAACAAAATAATACGGTACGTCTCTAACTGAACTTGGAAAGCACCATTTTGAATTCCTAATGCCAGATGTCACATCTGAGGGAGCCCCCATTTTTGACTATGGTGATCTTTTCCGAGAGGTTGCCGACGCTCTCAAAGAGCACAGACTGCTTGCAGAGGCCTACCGCTTTTACTATCCTATCCAGGAGACCGCTGAGCATGCCGATATCGGCTATTACATGGCGATGGCTGATTGCTGTCTGCAACTTGAAATGTGGACAGAAGCAGAATCATACTATCTCACCGTCGCCGACAATGATCACAAACATATTGAGTCCCGTATTGAGCTTGCCAAATTGTATGAAGAGTTGGATGAGACTGAAAAGGCTTTCAAGTCGATCAATGAAGCCATTCGAATTGGTCGAGAAGACACCAAAGCACGACGGCGAGGAAAAGACACTAGACTTGAACAGCTAGCCGCTGAGTTCAAGGCTGCCGAGCCAGGAGCCACCGATTTCACCACTCAGCCAACAGCATCACTTACTACATATGTGCCTCCTGCGCGAAATCGGGTCCGCGAGGAAAGCAATCGAGTCGAGGATGCACAATATCTTTTTGCGAAGATGCAAGCACTGGATCCTTATGTGCAAGGAGGTGACGAAGAAGCTCTAGAAGATTGGCTTGATATCGCAGATGCTTTGCTACGCGATTTCCGGTCCAATCGTGTCTTCTATCCAAATATCCGGGAGGAGTTTCAGGGGTTCCACAAGAAACCTGGCAAAGCAAAGAAGGATTATACAGCGTTGGATCGAGCCCAAGAAGTGGCAGATCGTCTACAAAAGGCCGCTGGTAGGTCAAGCATCCAGCTCCTTACTTCGATCAACCTTTTTGTCTAACGGCATTTCATAGGTCCGATTGTCCCAGAAGAGCCTGCGTCTGACACCATCCCCGATCGATACTATGAAATCTCCTTTGATGATTGGCTTGATATCTTCTTGCAATATTCCCTCCGGATCACTGATCAAGGCGAGATTGATGAAGCATATGATACTCTGTATGCTGCGGCGAACGCTAGTGTTTTCTTTCATTCAAAACCCAAGGCACGCTTGATCCACGTCTGCTGGTTTAGTAAGATCTTGCTCCCTCTAATCAAACCCGCCATTCCACGCTGACATCAATTATGTAGCATGCGCACTTCGGGTTCAAGATGATGAAACCCTAGCCACTGTGGCTCGCTGGTTCATTAAAGAGTATCAATTTGTCACTGATACTTACCGACTATTCTCGATGTTAAGTCGACTATGTGGCAACCCATTGAAGCCTCATTTCCATTCTTCCCAGCATATGAAGTTTATGCTTCGCCAAGTCAAGGCAATAGATTTCACTCTTCCAGACAGTGCAGAAAGGCCACAACTCGATCCAACTCTCAGGTGGAAAGACCGTGCCTCTCTCACAACAAAGGACGAAAACGGGGAATTGGTTCCAGCGGAATCGCTTGATATTGCGGTCCTTGTCTTGTATGGCCACATTCTCTACTCTGGGGGCAGTTTCTACCCCGCATTGAACTACTTCTTCCGCGCCTACGCTCTCGATGACGAAAATCCAGTTGTGCTTCTGTCTATTGCACTCTGCTACATTCACCACTCTCTCAAACGACAGTCAGACAATCGTCATTACCTGATTTCGCAAGGGTTGGCGTTCATGCGTGAATATCGACAGGTTCGAACCAAACCTGGTGTTCTGTTAGTGGAGCGACAGGAGATGGAATTCAACCAGGCCAGAGTGTGGCATGGCCTTGGCTTGCTTCAGCTGGCTGTAAATGGATATGAGAAAGTTCTCGCAATTGGAGAGGAGATCAAGAAGGAGAATCCAGAGTCCAGTTTGGCAGACCGTGATGTGGACATGGAGGGCGACAACCGCCCACAGCATGCTCTGTCACCCCGAACATTTGTCGAGAACTTCTCGTGCGAGGCCGCTTATGGTTTGCAGAACATACACGGGCTTTCCGGCAACAGCAAGGCTGCTATGGAGGTCACAGAGAGATACCTAGTTATCTAATGTCTTCTGTCCGCTTCAGAAACGAGTAATGTCTCAATGTATGATACCACATCCAGCAATGCTTGATCCTACAAAAATGGATGGCCATAATATCATGGAAATCTTCCAGGGCAGGTTTCTAAACCGATATCTACTAAACTTGAGGGTCTAAGTAATTCTCAGCGTTCGAGACCTTCTTCACGATCAATAGAGTACCACAGATCGCAGGCTGAAGCAACTCTTCCCCTTCCTTGACTCCGGCTTCATGCAGCAGCCGTTCTGTAACCCTGCGGCCTTTTCTAACAACGTCTTCTTCAGTTCCAATGGCATGCGGGTGCGCCTCCCGCCATCGGGTGACAGGGCTTCCCACCCCGAGTATCTTTTCCAACTGATCCATATTCACGGCCCTCTGACGCTCGAGAAACTGCTCATCAACCGTCCAATCGCGGCGGAAGAAAGTGCTCTCATCAAAATCCTTGACGGGCGTGTCTAATGTCCACGGCAGCGCAAGACTCTTGTACCCGTCTCGGGTCAAGCGATTCCCAGGCTCGAAGTACGGCACAAGGTGCGTCTCTTCGAGCTGGAGAAGAGCAGCTTCAATGGCAGCGGCGTTCGGCGTCGATGGATGCACGTGCAGGCCGCCAGAGGTCCACAGGGCAACACTACCCCCTGGCTTCAAGACACGGGCTGCATTGGGCCAGAATTCGTCTAAGTTGAACCAGTGTGCTGCGTTGCCGGAAATGATTAAATCCACCGAGTTATCTGGAATTGCCGGCGAGAGGTCGGAGCCCAGCTTGCTGGCAGTAGATACGCCGAATCGCACCGACTTGGACGTATCCTTATCGCCACTTGTAGACTGTGCGGCTTGGATCATCCCCTCCGAGGGATCGATAGCGAAGGTCTCAGTGAAGTAGGGTGCCAGCGAGTGAGTCGCAGTGCCGGGACCGCAGCCTACATCGAGAAGGGACCCGAACTGACCTCCGGTCGAAGAATGATGGCTGCGGATAGTGTCATAGACACTGGAGTGGTAGTTGGGACGGATGTGCGCATAGTGCTCTGCTTGGTCCTTGTTGTAGGTACTGAATGTCTTTTCTTGCTTGAAAAGATTCGTGACAGACATGATGGATGGTGCAGGCCTAGAGACTCAGGGATATAAGGCAGTAGTCTAGAAATTTTTGGTACAACACCAAATCTGGGATCGAGCATACCTTATATAGATTTCGTTTTTTTTTTCCGCCCTCCTCTTTCCAAAATCTACTTGAAGGAATACATGAATATAAGCATCGGGGCACTGCAGTTGCATTAGCTCCGTTGACCAATCAAGTACCAGAGAGCCACATGGGGATCCGCTGCGCTAATCCTTTTATGTGCCACGACTGCGAGGCTCTTGGCATTGTCGGTCTTGTCCAGGCTGCGAGGGCTTTTCTCCTTCAACGACAATCTCGCAGTGACTACCTTAAGAGGAGAAGGGTCCATCTGGATCTCAGAGTTCTTCCGCACGATGGTTTACTATGGCGCAGTCAGTAGAGGTTGCCAGCGGTGTCGCCATCGCAAGGTCAAGGCATGACCGCCCACCGGACCCTACAACAGTCAAGCCGCCTCGCAAACTGACTGTCTTCTTGTACTAGTGCGATGAACGGAAGCCTGGTTGTCTGAAGTGCCAGAAGTCTGGGACACAATGCCCTGGTTATCGAGATCTCAAAGAGGTCTTATTCCGAAACGAGTCCGACAGGATCATTCGCAAACTCCGCAAAAAGAAGGCAAGCATCTCATCAGTTGATACGGGAGATAGACGCGCTCCAAGCACGGATTTCTCCTCTTTCAATATCGCCTCCTGTGCCCTCATCAATTGAGGCTCCCCCGAGTCTTTCACCAGCTCTGGACGACCTAGCCGCCAACTTTTTCTTTACCAAATATCTCCCCAAAGAAACACTGATAGCAAAGAACTTCCATAACTGGCTTGAGGGCGCCTACCGCAAAAATAATAGCCCTGCTTTAAGTGCAATAGTCCAGTCTGTTGGCATGGCAGGACTGTCTAATGTATCGCCCGCCCCAAACATTACAATGGAGAGTCATAGACGGTACCATCATGCTCTATGGAATCTCAAGCAGGCACTGGATGACCCGCTGAGAGCGGTATCTGATGAAACACTTACTACAGTCAATCTACTATCTCTGTACGAGGTAAGACTCCTGCTTCTACGCTTCTCAACGTACCTGCTTATGTTTGAAGATCGTCAACTCTCAGTCTATAAGTGAAGAACTTCCTCTATCCCACACCGAGGGTGCCATGACATTATTGGAGCTACGGGGCCAGAGCCAATATACATATGAGCGCGGGGGCCATCTGGTAACTCAGACATGCTCGCGAGTGGTAAGCCCTGGGTGCATCAGAAGGCTCGATCGCGTATGCTGAGTATCCACATCACAGCTCCCTATCTGCATGCAACAGAAGCAAACTGTTCCTTTCGCCCTGGTTCGAGCTACGTCGGCTTGGCAATCCAGCCCCCTCCGACAGGAATGGGGTCGTCGAAAGTATTCTCACCCGGGCTCTCTCTCGGAAATTTCATTCAGGCTGGTCAACCTCCGAGCATTTGTCAAAAACGGCCAAATCCCTGCCCCTCATATCATTCGTCGGGTTGCACTCGAAATCGACCATGATCTGCAAACTTGGGAAGCTGTCGTCCCTGTCACCTGGAAATATACCATTGTTGACAGGGCTGCCGGTCCCATGGACTCGGAGTTGCCTACAACAAGCCACATCTATCCTAATCTAAGAATTGCAGAGGAGTGGAATAATATGCGCATTCAACGGATCGCCATCAATCAGATCCTCCTTCGCCACTCAGACCCCGTTTGTATTTCGGACATAGAGTCCGCAATAGCAGTCATTCGGCGGGCTTCGCTAGAGATCTGCACGTCCGTTTCATCTCTCCGAGATTCACCTCGTACGTTGAAAATGAACCATGTTCTTGTTTTTTTTTTTCTATGACCTTGTCATTTCACTCGCCATCCACATCCATCTTCGATATTTAATACGTATCAAAGCTGACTTTGAAGCAGGCAGTATATCCCTGATCATGCCTCTATATATAATATCGAACGAGAAACTCAATTCGGTAGCGTTGCGACGATTGGCGGTAGAGGAGTTGCGATATCTCGGCGCAGCTATGGGATTCCGTAAAGCGGGATTGCTAGCGGAATGTGCAGCCACACGGCTCGATAGAAATTCTAGCAAGTCAATATAAAGGAAGCAAGCACTAGCATGTTGCTATTTAGTGGTTTATAGAACGCAGGCTCTAACCTGAGACCATCGAAGGGGTAGTGATATTGACCTCGACGCCCTCGACGACCGTGTTTTGAATTTATTATTCCCACTCGATAATAAAAATCAAGTTCAATGTGGGTTTTCCTCTACTAGTTTGCACCCTTACAGGGATGAATAAAGCCTATAAATTACAGAATGCAGGCACGGCAAACCGAGTTGGTATTATGGACCGTTTTGACACGCACAATCTCTGTACATTTCAATAGCACGGTTGGTTCGAGGCTCGAATAGAAAGGGAGAGATAAAAAAAAAATCACAGATTCAACTGGACAATATGAAATGGGCTGCAAAGGACGGTAATAGACAAACAGATAAGATAAAACCTATGCACCGACCCAATGTGCAACTCCATTTAATGCGCAATGCAACAGCGGTAGCAATCATTTGAAAGCGGTGGGTATCCCGCGAGGAAAACAGGAAAAGTGACAAAACAAAAGATAGGTAGGAATCGGGCAAGCCGAAGGTCTAAGTCTAAGCTGCTAGAACCATGCAGGGTTGAAGGAAAGAAATAGGAGACTAGGAAACGATCGGTGTCGTCGTAGTTGCGGAGAAAACGATACGCCACTAGAGGAGTATCTCCCAGCTTTAGTAATGCATGGAGTTCATATTGTTGTTCAGATAACCATGGTGGGCGTAGCCCTGGTTTTGTTGATATGGCGGGGGTGTCTGGGGAGCTTGCGCAAGCTGTCCGTACCAGGATGATCGGCGGGGCTCATCGAGACGGTGGGGCTGATGCAAGGCATCCCAGGTTTGACTGGCGCCTGGCAGATTGTACATAGAATCGTGACGGAATGCGGGCTGTGGCTGTTGATACACAGAGGGAGCTCCGTACATGGAGTTCATGTGCTGCTGTTGTTGTTGCTGCATAAGTTGCTGCTGTTGCCGTTGGGCGATAGCATGCTGCACCATTTGATTTGACATGCCCTCCCTCATTTCCCGCTTCTCACGTTCGCGGACGTCGATGGTCGACACAAGGCCACCTGGGTTGACCGGGGCTTGTGACCGGAGCCTGTCCTGGGACATATCAAAGAAGGGAGAGTGAGTGACTCGTGCAATGTGCTCCTGCTCTCGGGCAGAGAGATGGCTCGACATGTCATTGTAATTTAGCATCGATCCCGTGCCTCGGGAGGAAGGGCGCTGGCTGAGTTCGCCGTACGAAGTCATACGCGAGTTGGGGCGAACTTGCTGGGTCCAGTCCCCCGACGAAGGACGCTGAAGAGGAGGGGTATGGCTCTTCGACCTCAAATGCTTATGTGCAGGGGGGCTGGGGGCTACTCGGGTCTCCGCTCGAGTCTGGACGAATTGCTCAGGTGTGAGACCTCCGCCGGGCGTGGTCGGGCGGCCAGCGGTCATTCCGGGCTGCCACAACATGCTTCGCCTGTGATCGTCCTGGCTAGATGGTCGAATATGCCCGTGGTCCATGGCATTGGTAGGGACCGAAAGTTTCCTGATGGTATCACCGGTGCTGGGGCGCCCAGTCGTGGGCATGTAGGTCATGGTTGGGCCAAAGTCAACCGTTGGAATATCAGGGCTGGGTTCAGCAGGCTTGTCAGTGGAATAATGAGCATCCCCAATAACAAGGTCCTGCTTGGCAGGTTGGCCCACCGTCTTCAAAAGACCCATTCGTGGCTTGGTTGAACTCGTCGACTTCTTGCTGTAGACTGAATCATGGGTGCTTGCGTAATCGGGCGAAACTGTGGATATAGCATCGTCGTAGACACTTGCCTCGTCTTCATTTTTTGGAGATGTAGGGGATGGCAAATGAGCAGGGCTGATGCTATTCAGCACATTTTCGTCCAGGGTATGACGGAGGTCGTCATAGCTTGGCTCCCCCTGGCGACTGTGGCGTGTCTTCAAAAATCTGCCTCTGGGGAAGGGGCTTTCGCTTTACAGAGGCGGCTGAGACAACTGGGGGCTTTCGCTGGGGAGACGGGGTACTGGTACTAGTTGTACTCGGTGTTCCAGGGTACTGACCATGGCCTCCGGTGTATTGCTTCGCGCCTCTGAGCCCTTCATCACTTGAATGGTGTTCTAGAGGAGGGCTCATGAGCTGCGTGGGCTGTACGACTGCGCCACCTATCTGATTGGGAGCCTGATTGGAGAGAAGCTCAACACTTGACGAGTCGGAGGGCTGCTCTTGGAAGGAGAGCGAGCTTCCACTGCCTCCCATATTACCAACTGACCTCAGTTGGGTGAGGGTTGAATAAGACATGCGGTTATTGGCGAGTCTTTGGCGACTGTCTGGCTCCGGGCGGTTATTTGGCATTTCTCGAGGCCCGTGGGAGAAGGCTGGTGGACTAGCAACCGGCGAGGGAGGAGTTCGTGGGTGGACCTGTTCTTGGTCGTCGAGGTGGAAATCCATCTCGGCGCTCCTACGCTCTGCAATTGGTGTCACCACTTTCAGGTCTCTGTCCCGCGGGAGCAAATCTTGCGCTGATGAATTAAGCGAATCATCACCAGTATTAGGTGAATTATCACCACCATATGAAGGCGGTCGAACCCCATGCAGCCCGGTCACGTCTGAAAATCCTCGGTTGTGGTAGATCGGCGAAACGGGAGCGTCGTTCTTCGGAACTTCGCGAACTACGGCATCGGCGGACTGGTTGAACTCGGGTCGGATCACAGGCGCCGGGTTATAACGGCGCGGAGAGTCGTTCAAGTGACTGCCATTGTGGTGACTTGATATGCTGGATCGATAGCGTGGTCGAGCACTGCGCACACTGTTTGTCCGGCTTCTCCCTGCTGATTGCCGCTTCTGAGTAGCCTCTTTCAATTTCCTTCTCCACTGCGACTCATCCCATCCCTTGCTTTCAGGGCTCTGGAGCAAGTTTATGATGTCAATAACATCGAGATAACCATAGCGACGCTCTTGTGGGAATGCAAACATGATACTCTTTATATGGTTCGTGTCCGCCACAAGCCGCGTTGGACGACCGTAAAGATTGAAGGTATCAAAGGTCGGGAAGAGAAACCGGAGCATCATCTCGAAGCCCGAGACGGCCGGGTGCAATTCAGGCATAACAAAGACAAATCCTTCGGCGGGTTGTTGGCCTTGGCCTTGACCGTGCATGGTTATCCGTCCCTCCAACTTGACCAGGGTAGACTGGTCAATTAAAGCCTCCGCTTGCGGATAGATCGCATAAGCCGAGTAAACATGAGTGACTGTCGCGATAGGAGTGGCCTTCTTCGTCTTTTTAGTCTCAAAGAACTGGATATTTCCAGTAACGGGAATGGACAGGCGGTCGTAGGCCGACTTCTTCGCTGCTTTCTTGGCCTTGGCCATTTCTTTGGCGTCTGGAGGATTGATCACAAACCAACATCGCCTCCACGGAGTTCCTGCGCCAAAACGGACACGGCACCAATCCTCATGTTGAAATCTTGTCGGCGCCAAGATTGTTTGAATGCCGTTCAGGCTCTTACCTTTCGCGGCAATCAGGGAGCCCGTATATGCTTCGTACAAAGAAGTGTGTTCGAACATCGCCAAACGAACAGCGGCGGTCCATTGGATTAAAGAGTGGTAGGAACTGAAATGGAGAAGGTATCGATTTCGACCGGCGGAGGAAAGACTGAGAACGTTGTTGAGTGGAGGGGCCGCTCCGTTTCTCACGGGCAAAGTCTCGATCTGCGAACAGTCAACTGTCAAAGAGGCTCAAAGTTGTCGGGACGAACCAAATCCTCTAGACATACCATTTTGATCGAGGCATCTGCCAGGTTAATAAAAGTCGCAGGGACCTCCGCGCCATCCGTAGCGTCCAAGGCCGAGGCATCCCAGAGCGAGAGCACCGTTCCGACGAGCTGGGCGTAACATTCCAGCCACTGGCGATCGGCACATGGTCGACCCTCTGCCGTATATATTAGTTGAGCTGAATCCCCCCCGCGGAACCAAGTCTTGGGTTCCATCAATTGAGGCGAGCGCGACTTACGGTTGTCCTGGTCATTGAGCTTCAGGAAGTAGCCCTCGTGGTAAACCTTGTTGGTGTGAATGTTGAGAAAAGAGAAGATCGGTGACAGCTCCGGTGGGGTATCCTCCGCATGGGTCATGAGCGGCGGATTGCGTGAAAAGATTGTCGATGCCGGCCGCGCACCCTTTCCGTCACTCCGCGGCGTTGCGGCGCCTCCCGTCGGCGCAAGCTCTGAAGGCGGGGATGGGGTCTCATAACGCGGCGGTGTTTGGGCAAGGGTGACATTACTCGAGGAATTCGAGCCCTCCTTGTCCGAGTCATTGTTCTTGGGGCCAAAGACCGACATGAACGAAAGCACTGCCAATACGCAAAGGGCCAATTAGCTATACAAACATGTCTTTTTTTGAGTCAAAGACCCCGGGTGATCTGCGCAATTGACTTACCACGCTTGCGGACCATGGCGGCGAAGGACGATTGGTCACTGATCGCCCAGACTGTAAATCAAGCCGCGGGGACGTCTCCCTAACGAAAGAAGTAGGACCAGAAGTCCAGGGGTGGTGCTCCGAAATGACCGGTGCACTTTGCGATGGAGTACGGGGTGGGTAGATCCGAGGACACTGTGGTGAGGTCCAGAACGACTTGAGCCGGCTAATCCATGGAGAAGGCGAGGGAAGGAAAAATGGAGAGACACCAAAATTCTGGCGCGGACTGAAAACGACTTGAACCGCGTGCTGATAGAAAGTGGGTAGAATGACGTTTGGCCGCCCCGTGGATGCGAAGGTTGGGTGGAGCCGTCCGAAGTAAAAAGCAAAGATTGGACGCAAGAGGGGGGGGGGAGCAGAACAAAAGGCTCAACCGCCCAGAAACAAGAGCAAGGAAATGAGCTAAATGGCCTAAACCCCGAAGGTTCGCCCTAATGGGATTGTGACTACTTTACTCCGTACTTCCCATAGCAAATGGCAAATGGCAAATGGGAAAATTGGGTTCCAGCTAAAAAGGAAGCCAAGAGGGCAGCTAAGAGAGCAAAAGCCACTAGTGTGGCACAAGACTTGGTCAGGGACGAGTAACCGACTGCCTAGTGGTTCTAAAGGGTTTTAGTCTTTGTGAGTGTGAGACCCGGGCGGATTTTAGGGGTTATTTTTACATCTAGCTGCATTCTTTTTACTGCCGAGACCCGGTAGATGCGAGGAGAAAAAAAGAGAAGAGAAAAGGAAAGATGAACAGAAACATGAAGCAGACCGGCAATAAAGAATGGGTTCAGTAGGCGACACGCAGTACTCCGTACTATAGGACTGGGTCCTTAAGTAGCCTCGCCTAAACGGCCTAGCCAATGCGGGAAAGCCCATGTCTCACCAAATATAGCACAGCCAAGCTCCCACTTCAACTTTAGGTCGTATAAGAAACGCAGACGCCTTACACCGTACTCTCAGGCTGTCTGCGGGCATCTAATGAGTCGTCCTACCTTGCTCGTCTGTCCTAAGTACCGAGTATTCCCCGATCCTTTAGGTAGCCTTGCCACCGTGTGATCAGGTCGCCGAGCGGGTCAGCGCGGCACAGCCGACCAGATCAGGGACTGCGTGTTCGGGGACGCGCAACCACTTTAATCATCGCATGAGAAATCCTTGAACCACGCCATGCCCAGGTGGCTGGAGAGTCGCTTAGATAATTCTTAGGCCCGCATCTGTGGAGATGGGTTCACAGGGCCTCCAAGGGGACTTTGACCTCCCATTGGTCTTATTGGTCCCTCGAGACGTACTCCGTACTTTGCCTGCATGGGAGATCACCTCTTATCGAGATCCTGCTTGCTGCTCTTCCCACCCTTTTCTAGGCACGCCATGCAGAGTCCACGTAACCCTTTCACGGTTCCAAGATCCCACCGTATGCCCCGGTGACGCTGATTGGCATGAGTTCGCAAAACCCCCGGGCGCCTTTGGAAATAGGTGGGCCGCTTAGCCCAATATGGAGTTCACGGTCAAATAGTCTCAAGCCTGGGGGGTATCCACGGTCAACTCTCTCATCAAAAGAATTCATTTAACCAGTCACTACAGACTGCGCGGCTAACCATATTTACGCTCCAGTTCTCTCACCCATGCCGATCTTGTAATCCTGCCATCACCGCCGATACGCTACGCTATTGTTCACCTACCACAGTAACATTACCATCCAACCACCATACATTGGTACCGTCATACTAATAGTATCCTTGTTGAATTCTTTGCTTTGAAACGTCATAACCCACGATCTACCGACAACCAAAGGACCCAGCAACTTGAAGGATCAGCCTTAGCCTTCACCGTGGCGCGGGCACTAAACCTTTTACACAAGTAATCCTGGTACGTCCGGGTTGGGTATCATATGTGGGGTTCATTTCTGCCGCATCTCAGATTCAAGTTCGATTTCCAGCTTGGACGGGGTAATGGGCAAATTGCAAAATTGCACTCCACGCCAAAAAAAAAAAAGAAAGAAAGAAAGAAAGAAAGAAAAGAAAAGAAAAAAAAATATGTTCACGTTATTGTCGTCAGGCACGTTTAAGCTTATACAGACCACGAGGTGTACGCTCAGATGGGCAACTCAGTCCTTCGAGTACACAGAACCCTATGAACTGCGGCCAATAATGATCACTCACACCGGCACCGAGGTCTATAAGCATTTAACCGTCGTCTCTGAAAATCAGGGAGCAAGCAGACCCAGATGTAAATTCGCCAGAAGTCTTGGAAAATGAAGAGGATTACCCAGGAAGCTTGGAATGACAAGGAGACTTGAATTTGGCGAGCGGCATGCGTTACAGGTCCCATTCTGTCATGGAGTAAAGAGCACCCCCATCGCATCCAGTTGGGCTTGACTTACTACGAGGCCGATGACTCGCGAGCTGCATCACATCAGCCACGCGGACAATACACAGACAACAGCTACGCGGAGGAACCGTTCCCGCGGTGACTACACAGAGCCTCCGTTCCGAAAAAGTGTCTTACTTCGTCTATTCATTAGAGATCTCGAGGTAATTCTAGAATTATGCCTCTTTACATCGTTATCACAGGAAACCCACTCGGACTCGTCTTATCTTCAGCTTTCCATCAGATGATAAGCTAAGGCCGGGTCGATCAATGCCATTTCGTCGCGATTGGGTATTATAGAATCAGCAGATTGATTAGCGTCCACAGAAGGGAGCGCATCTTGCATAAAAAAATCATTGTCGGGGGTTTGTTGCGTAGCTCGGGCGTTTCTGTCTTGTTCTGCATCCATAGGTTGGTCTTGGCTGAAAGGGCCCGGGGCAGGTTGTAAGAAGCTTCCATCGTCGAACTCCAACCCGAAAATGCCAAGCGAGTTGCCTCCAGGGCCAGACTGGTCTCCCAGAAGAGCTCGTCTCATGAAGAGGCCCTGGACTTCGTCTTCAGCACAACCGTGCTTGGAAGTCATGTGCACCCATAAGTCGTAATCACGGTGGAAGCGATGCTGACAAGAAGCGTCAAGACAAGGGATATGACGACCAGTCTCTTCAACGTAGCCATGGCCAGTCAAGGCGGCTAGTGTAGACATTGCGGAGGCTGACTCTCTCGGTTTCTTGGCCAGTCCAAGTCGTTCACGGCGCTCGGCCTTAGAATTTGGGAGTCCAAGGTGAGCGGTGCGAATGTGTTCTTCCAAGGCCAGTTTGCTGCTATACCTCTTTCCGCAGCCAACACCATCCCAGCCTGCAACTTTCTTCGAGGCAGAAAGGTCGGTTTCTCCGCATGAGAAGCGTTTCTCACCTTCGTGCACTGTTCGAATATGCACCGTAAGGTTGCCTTTCTTGGTAAATTTGCGGTCGCAGCCATCATAGGTACAAGGGAAAAGCTTCCTGCAGTCTACACCAACTTCCCCGTGAGCAACTTCGAGATGGCGTCGCAACTCCCGAGAGGTACTACAGACGATAGGGCACTGCGGGCACTGGGGAGGATGGACGGTTTTGATATGATTTTGTAGAAGAGCATATGTCGGGAATGTCGCTGAGAATTTCGCATTGCCGTCGGAGGTATGCATCGCAGATCCCTCCTGCTTGAGCTGGTTGGAGCACTCGGTACAAGTGAAGCGATCCTGGGTGTGCAGCCTACTCTCATGGGATCGGAGATTGCCTGCGGTGTCGAAAGCCATATTACACTTCTGACCCGTGTTTGGGTCGACAAATGTACATGGAAATGGCTTCCTATGCAGGTGGACCGTAGTGATGTGCTTCTGCAGTGTAGAATGCTTCCGAAAAGTCTCCCGGCAAGGTGGGTACTCAGTGCAGCGGTGCTTATCTTGTCCATCGTGGGCGGCAATATGGCGACGAAGACGGGATCCAGTCACGAAGCTTTTGCCACACCCTGGACGGTCGCATACGTAGTCTCGGACGCCCGTGTGTGCACTCTTTATATGGTGGTTGAGATGGGATGCCCGCAGGAAGGTTTTATCGCAGCCCTCGTATTTGCACTCGAAGAGCCTCTCATTGGTATGAGACCGGATATGTTCTTGGAGCCGAGCAGGTCGATTAAAAGCCTTATCGCAACCCTCGAAAGGGCAGAGACGTGTTTTGAGTCGCGATGGATACTTGGAGGAGGTAGTTGAGAAGGGCGTTGCCGGGGTCTCGTTCGAATCATCACCAGGTTCACTTGCTTCGTTTGCTAAGCTAGGTGTTCCCGGAAGTGAACAATCATCATCAGAGTGGATTTCATCAAATATGGGATCTATAGACAGGCTGTCAGTCCCAGAAGTCGGGGATTTCATCTGGCTCCCGGCTTTACCATCACTAAATAACGAACTCGAGAGATTCTGTTGGCGTCGCTTGGTCGGGGACGCAAGCTCTGATGATGAGGCTCTCCGCTTCAGAGCCATGATCAGTGGCTCATTTGGCATCCACAACACCACGTTCAAAGGTGATTGAGTGAATGGGACGCCGATCATACGCTGACGTGCGGTAAAAAATTATTCTGCCGTCTCGCTGCAAAGGCGGAACTGCCTGAAGTGGATTAGTGTGATGGAAGTTTTTCCGCTTCTTTTTGCAGTCGCGAAGTTCGGTGGCCCGCGTTCAAGCTTTTTTCCTCTCCTGGTTGCCTTACTGTCTAATCCTCTGCTTCAAAATGTCTGACTATGGTGGTGACGATGGCGGCGATGGAAAGTAAGTCTTTATCCGCAATCGGTGAATTGAAGTCGGCGCGCCAATTGCAGCGGACCCCAAACTTACATCCCCGTATGAACCGATGTGCTGACTAGCCTTTCCCTGCAGCTACGACTACGAGCCCCAGGAGGAGGTTTTTGAAGACGCTGACCCCGAAGAAATTCCGGACCACTATGAAGGCGAAGAGCTGGCCGAGGGTGAATCATACCAACCCCCTGTGACAGATGACAATATCATTGTCTCAGGCGATCCCAACGCTGGATATGCTGGCAAGGTCATGGAGCAGTCGCGGGAGAAGAAGGTTCCCAACGACAAGCGCACCACCACCCCGTACCTCACTAAATACGAGCGCGCGCGAGTCCTCGGTACTCGAGCCCTGCAGATTAGGTACGTTTCGCAGAAGCTAGCAAAGCGATTTTTACGGGAACTCACAACTCGATAATAGTATGAATGCTCCCGTGCTTGTCGATCTGGAGGGAGAGACCGATCCACTGCAGATTGCCCTGAAGGAGTTGAACCAGAAGAAGATTCCTTTGATCGTGCGACGCTATCTGCCAGATGGCTGGTAAGAACATCACCCACCGATTAGAAAAGATATTACGCTAATGATAAGCTCCAGGTACGAGGATTGGTCTTGCGAGGAGCTTCTTTAGATGTTTGAGTCCTTTTCGAGGCTCGGGGGTTGTGTTCTGCTTTACAGGGTGGATAATCGCATAGCGTTCGGAGTTTGGGTATTTCGAAACCGTGGCTCCAAAAGAAAAAGAATCGTAGATATCTTGACAGGGGTTTCATCCCACTGTATTTGATCTGACAGCGTTCCAAAAAACAGAAAATCAATATGATGACGGCTTTTTCACATGACATGTGCCGTACGTTGGTAGGATCTTCCAGCCCGTAAGAGGATGGTTGCTTCTCTTCCCATCGTCTTTTACGTATCACTCAAGAATAAACAGTCTATCTTTGAGCTCATCATTTTCGCCATGCAGGGCCAGCCACTTCCAAGTGCATGGCTCCGATGGGACCTCGGGAGACAGCAATGTGCTTATAAATGCTGCATGCGCTTGCAACTAAGTTCTGTCAAGGTTCTAGGGTTCCACGTGTGAGCCACTGAGTATCGTGCCAGTTTAGGAAGTGCCTCGGAGGCCTCCGATCAGTAACTGCCAAGTCCCCCAGATTTTGGCTCCGGTTTCTGTATCTGATTCCCCCAGACCGTTTCCAGGTTAGGAAATCAAGGGAACCCCTCCAAGGACTGTTTTCGCCCCGCTTCGCCCGGATAATCGGCAGTCGGAACATTCCTGGAGAAAGGCCCCCCCGGCTGCTATTGGCCACTGGCGGTGGTTTCTCCAACTCATGGAGCTGCAACCTGACTCTCTCCGATAGTAACTACGCGGATAGACCTATTATAAACAATTTTGGAAGGCGATGGTGGATGCTGGTGGATCCATTTTCTCCCCGGCCGCAGTAACCTTTTGGGGTCCCGTAGGAGCTTTTCAGCCCCCCCCCGGCTGGGTTCTGTTGATTTACAATCGAATTTTTTGCCCCCCCGTAGTTCTATTGCGAAGGATTTAGATGGCTTAAGTTCACCTGCGTGCCTCTCCTAGGGACTTTTTATTATCGGCTAGTGCCCTTAAGCTTGTCTTGTGACAAGGACACACTCGAAATGGCGACCGATCTAGAAGTAGAAAAGGTCCCCACGGGGTCGCCCGTCGCCAAAGATGGAGAGAGCACCGATTCACCCATCTCAGAGGAAACCACCTATGACACTGGCCTAATTGCTTGGCTGCAAGTTGTGGGCTCCTTCTTCCTCTTCTTCAATTCATGGTATGCGGCTGTTATAATCTCTAGTAGCTAACAGGTGAAAATACGAAGCTAATCAGAAATATCTTTGTAGGGGGGTCATCAATACCTGGGGCGCATATCAGACATACTATGAATCCGATCTACTAGCTGGTACATCTTCATCCACTATTGCTTGGATCGGTTCCCTCCAGTCATTTCTCCTCATGCTGATAGGAGTCGTCACTGGTCCACTCTTCGATGCTGGCCATTTCCATGCCTTGGTTGGGTCCGCATTGTTTATGCTACCTTTTGGTCTGATGATGACTAGTCTAGCTTCAGAATATTGGCAGTTGATTCTTGCGCAAGGTATCTGCGTTGGACTGGGCGCTGGTTGTCTCTTCGTGCCCTCTGTGGCTCTTCTGCCCCAGTATTTCAAAGAGAAGAGAGGACTGGCTAATGGAATCGCTGCTAGCGGTAGTAGCATTGGAGGTGTGGTCTACCCAATTCTCTTCGACCAAGTACAGAAGAAAACCGGATTTGCATGGGCGACTCGCGCAATTGGTTTCCTCGTCTTCGGCACTATTTCGATCTCCTTCGTCCTCATGCGCATTCGATTTCCCCCAAAAGAGAAGCGCAAGCTTTACCAACTGTCCGCCTTCAAAGAGCCCGCCTACACCTTGTTCTGTATCGCAATGTTCTTGGGGTTCTTGGGGTTCTATAACTTCCTCTTCTACGTGCAATCGTTTGCCATTGATACTGGTATTGTGGACGCACAACTGGGCTTCTATCTTCTCTCCATGCTCAACGCTGCCTCGACATTCGGCCGAATTGGACCCAACTTCATCGCCGATCACACCGGCCCGCTCAACATGCTCACCCCGGCCGTCACAATCACTGCGATCCTCGCTTTCTCATGGATCAGTGTCCACACCGTACCTGGGATTATCATCCTGGCTGTGTTCTACGGTTTCTTCTCAGGAGGGTTCGTTTCACTTCCCCCCGTGGTCATGGCTTACATGACTCCGGACGTTCGTGATCTTGGCACTCGACTGGGCCAGATGTTTGCAATTGTCTCATTCGGGTTGTTGATCGGCACTCCCATCGGAGGAGCTATATTAAACAGCACAGGCGGCTTCCTTGGCGTCCAGCTCTTTACAGCCTGCTGCTTGATCAGTGCTGCGAGCATCATGGCTGCCATGAGATTCGTGCGATCTGGCTGGCAGCTGATTGCGAAGGTTTGAGCTGTCTGGTAGCTTGGGGGCAATGTTTGCCTTGTCTTGATGCGTTCAATCTGGGATTGGGCGGCTGGGAACCGGGACCAATGCCAGTGCCACTGCATTTTGGCCACTTGGAATGACGAGGTCGCTCCAGTCTTAAGTTATTTGCATATTGCATGATGGGGAAGGCATTTTTCATAGGCTGGCGGTGCATGATCAGTCTTGGTTTTGATATAGAGATTTGTTATGTCTATGGTATCTCTGGTGAATATCATTAATAAAAGTGCTACTATAAATTGAAACAGAAACACGTATATGAGTACAATTCAACCAATCGATTAGTTACACGAAATGTCAGTGTCAACACCGCTAAAATATGCATCCCAGCCCCAAGTGTGCATGTATCGTTTCCAACTTGAATACTTGCGTATGCATCCCGTTTACCGTTGAGGCTTCGGCCTAAGTGACATCTTCCGGGCTCACGAGGAATTCCTCGCCTTTGTCTCGCACATGCTCCAGCTTTTTGTCTCGACTGCACGGTTTCCGCATATCAAAGGCATCTTCGCCCGAGTCTGAGAGGCCTGTTGGATCGTCGCTGTAATAATTGACAACGCGGCGGAAGACAGAATACCTGGATAGACTTTGGTTAGTATGCTGATCCTACCAGAGATCTCAAGCGGGGCATTGACTTACCCCCATGTTTTTGTACATATCCACCGCTACCTTGTTCCCGGCACGGACATACAAGTCAACAAACCATGCGTTATTGATGTCGGAGCCGCGCTCCAGCTGCTCCGTCAGCCGAGACGCGTAGCCAAGGCGGCGCCAGGACGGCGCAACAGTCAACACGGTGATATGACCGTGCCAAGGGGTATAATGTTCTGAGTGACGCATGGAAGGATGTTGCTCCTCCAGCTTCCCCATGACTATAGCCTGTTAGATCTACATTACGCTATCATAACTCAATTGCACATACTGTAGCCGACAATGCCAGCCTCACGGTCTTGCACTGCGCTGAAGAGAGACGGCCATTTGGTCAAGTACGTCAGGTAGAAGGCAATGTCGTAGTTCTCCGTCAGCGGATCCAAATTTGTCTGGTTAAGATCCAACAGGTCCAGCGGGGACATGCGCTTGATTGTCGTCATGGCGTACTGTCGAGAAGAATGTGGGGTTGATATGATTTGCTGACCCGCCTTATTTTGCCGGGCGGTGCGCCGACACCCTGAGATGCGTTGCAGACCGAAAATACAGAACATTCAGCTGGAAGTGTCCTTTCAATTCCTTACTGAAGACTGCCCTCCTTCTTGTCTGTTCACTTCGAGTTTGCGAAGACCATGACGACATAGGACCTACGCCGTTCTTACTACAAGCGTTGACCATTTCGATCCTCCATCACCGCCCCCGAACGCAACATCTCGAAGTTGCGGGTCATCCACTCCTATCTACCTTCTCTTCCATAAGAGTTCTCGGCTCGACTCCCTTTATATTTTTTTATCATTGATGGTTACGTGTTTGGATTTGTTGATGCACAATATTAGCCACTACAAAGCATACTGCATGTCCCTCAATCTCCCCTGAAACGAACTCACCGCCACCCCTCATCCATCATGAGCGATCTTCCAACTTCCCCCCGAGCTCCCGGGCTGAATATCATTGCTCCGCCGAGCCCTGGGCTAACACAAACTCCTCAAATGTCAGCACCGCCGTCCCCGGTTACACCACGCCAGAATTTGGCCAGCGGGTCACAACGAGAGTCGGTGGATTTCTCTACCGAGGAAAGTGGTGGTGGCGGTCTAGGGAATCTTGCTGATGAACTCGCGGATGCTTGGGAACAAGAGGAAGACGGCTATAGCTACGCATCCGGTCAGGATAATAGCCGTTCTGGTTCCCAACAATTAGACTTGAGCGATGTTGAAGATGCATATACTCGCTCTGTCCAGAATATGCGCTCCCCGTCACCGCCAGGTGAGAACTCGCCTGCCTCAAGGAACAAGCTCCGAGCAAACCAGCTGCGGCAACATCGACGGGAAGCATCTCACTATGATGGCTCGGACTATGGGAATGATTCGGACCTTGATGAGGCCGGCGACCTATCCCCCGCATTGGAGGGCCAAATGGCCGATATAGAGAGTCTGGTGCGACGAGGGGTCGAGAACAATGGTAGCGAGCATGACCACGTCATACAAAGGACAATTGAGGCGCTCCGGGACTTAGGCGGACAAAGTGGAATCGAAAATAGCGCCACGCGGTAGGTGGATCTTCAACACAAGGATTCAAGGCTCGGCAATACTAACACTGGCTCGTAGACTGATTACCGCCCATTCCTCGATTACTTCCCACCTCACTCACCAGACCCGTATACTCCAGTCACTCATCCACCCCTTACTCTTTTCCTCATTCCCGCTCCTCTCCGAAGACGAGATCGACTCCCTCATGCCCCTCATTGACGAGGGTCTCCTACCAAATATGCCATACCCATTTCCTGAACAGGCTCGTCGTAGCTCCAGGCCCTCTACCCCTTCGGCAATTAACCCCCCTGAACCCTCTGGTGTCTCTTCAAGCCCTCATTTCTCAAACCTCTGATATCACTCATTCTCTTCGCAGTCTGGGGGACACCCTGTACGAATCCCGCCAGCTAACATCTACCGCTTCACGGCGGCTTCGTTCTGCACGTGAACTGGTTGCGGAGCTCCGTCGTGAAGAGGAGAGTCTTGAAGAGGGCTCCCGGTGGATCGAACGAGGTGAGTGGGACCGTAGACTCAGAGACCGCGAAGCTGGCAAAGAGTGCTCGGATGTTGTCAGTGGGTTCGAGGCTGTGTGCGGCGAATGGCGTGAAAAGCTGTTTGGAGCTCAGGCTGAGGTGGCTGCTGCATAAGCATAGAATTTTGTCCCGATGTCCTTTGATTCATTCCGCTTGGATCCTGCGTGACTAGATTGTTATGTTCTTTCTGCTTCTTCATTCATTTTCTGATATCCCCCTTTATTTTATTTTTTATGTTTTCTTCCTCGTCTGACTGCAGTTGGGCATGATCAGGATGAGGCCCAGTTACTTTTCACTCTTTCGGCCAGTCTCTCCCCCGGTTAGTTTATATCCCATGGCCCATTGAAACTAGACTTGCAGCCCATTGAAACTAGATACATCCTCGAGATTATGATACCATCTACTCTACATCAAACTCTTACTCTACCCGTCCTAGGATCTGTTGAATGTAATTTCACTGTAAATGCGTCTTGATCGAACACATAATGCGGTGGCCAAGCATCTAAACTGATCTCTGTTCAGCAACGACCACTACTCTTTTTTTCGCTGATATCCCCTTCTTCAGTACTTCCTATCCCTTGGGAATGACACAGAATCCTTTGGTTCGCAGTACCACTGGCTCCGGAGCAACAGTGTACTTCTTCTGCTCCAACACAAAGACCAACTATTCGCTCCAAATACCCAAGACATCATCCTGAGTAGCCCCGAGAAGGAACTCGGCCTGCTCACCCTCAGGAACCATGTCCTGGGAAATTTGGTCGCATGGGTTTATTGCCCAGACGTGCGCGCCGATCACCACCTGGGTTAGGGCGCGAATGGGTGGGTAGGGTTTCGCGGATAGAGGAGCGGCAGGACGCTTTTATCTTGTCAGGCTGGGTAGTGTTGAAGCATCTCGGGGAGATTGGCGGTGATCTGGATTGGAGTTTGTGTGGTCGAGATCAGAGTTGGTTCAAGTTCTTTGCTTCTTGAAAGTCTTATGGTGGGCATTGGGTCCTTCCTATAGCTTTGCTCTACTTCGTAGTTAGCATGTTCGGAAGATACTGACTGGGTCTGTAGATGCTCAAAGATCTTATTCTCTGGGGCCTCCCAATATCTTTCAGTTATACTTCTCACTTACCTAAACGGGCATTTCGAACCGAATTTGGTTAGATTGAACCTTAAATCTTTTTCTATATTCCGCTGAAGGCTGGCAGGCGTCGAGGCCTGCGTCTCAAGCACCCTGATCCTAGTAATGGTTTCCAAATTGAGGTTGTTTCCAAAAGGGAAATCAGCCTATGCTGGAGCCACTCAAATCTACGTCTCTTAGATGTCTTACGAGATATGAACTACTTGTGTGATAAATGATAGCCGATAGCGAACGGAAAATTTGAAAGGTTCAAGAGCAGTAGTATTCAGGTCTCAGACATGATCCATAGCCGACAAGTCCTCGTTGATACGGTACTTCAGCAATGGAGCATATGATATTGGCATCACAGACGGACATGGGTCCGTCTGAAGAGAGAAAAAGGGAAGTTAAGACATGGAAACGCGAAAATCAAAGACTAAAAGGCCCAGCGGAGCACAAAATAGCCGATGATACATGGTCGTTGCAGAGGGGGGGTCATGAAAAACATGCTTCGGGTATAGGGAGAAAGAGGAAATACCCGTCACTTTTGTGGTTTCCGCCCTAGAGAGTGAGATGTAGAAGAGAAAATAGAAACATCGACGTATGCAGCTGCTTAGCTCTGCTGTTGCTTCCACCTTGGCACCCACTTGCCGCTGCTGGCGGGCTTGGACTCTTCAGGTCGGGCGGAGGGAGCCTCGCGAGGCTGGCGGCTCCATCGGTCGGCAGATGGGCCATCGCGGGGAGGGGCATCGCGAGAGGTCTCGCGAGCAGGCGCAGAACCAGAGCCAGCGGCACCGGCACGAAGGTGAGGGGGAACATAGCCAGTGCCAGTCCGGCGGGGAGGTTCTTCCCGGACGGGCTCACGCACTGGGAGGTCACGACGAGGAGCAGGTTCTGAAGCACCGCCAGCAGCCTCCTTGGCAGCTTGGCGCTCTCTCCAACCACCGCCGGCAGCGGTAGGGCGGGCAAGGTTGAGACGGGGAGCGGTGCGTTCGGTAGGCTCTGGGACAGGGGCACCGCTCTTGCGGGCAGCGCGACGGGCCTCCGCCTCCTCCTCGCGCTGCTTTTGACGAGCAGCAGCTTCATCCAATTTGCTAGAGAACGAATTAGTTATAACCCTAGTTTCTAGGTCATAAAATTGGAACATACCTTCTTTCCTCATCCCGCTTGGCCTTCTCTTCGGCGAGAATACGGCGGCGCTCCTCATCACGAGCAATACGTTCCTCCTCTTCACGCTTAGCGCGTTCTGCTTCCTCCTTCTGGCGACGCTCCTCCTCCTCACGCTCCTGGCGCTCACGGCGACGGCGCTCTTGGACTTCCTTAATGCGCTGCTTCTTCTTAGCCTCGAATTCGCGCTCAGCAGCCTTGCGGCGCTTCTCGAATTCTTCGTGACGCTTCTCAGATACTTCCTTACGGAAAGCAGTGAAACTAGGGACAAGACGACCAAGACGGTGCTTGAGGGCCACAGCCTCGGCGTGCTTCTGCTTGGCTTCCTTCAGGGTTTCTGCCTTCTGGCGTTCGTAGAGCTCCATGTCATGCTTCTTCTGTCTCTCGTAGTCCTCGGGAATGTGCTTCAGTTCTTCACGACGGAAGGCACGCTCTAAGTGGTCAATACGCTTAGCGGTGGTGCGAACGCGATCGTTGAGCTCGTTTTTCTCCTTCTCAAGCTGAGCAAGCTTGATAGCACGCAGACGGTTGGCATCCAGGTCCTCGATGTCGATCTCGCTGATGTCGATACCCTTGACACCAGTCTTGAGTTCCTCGAGCTGCTTCTTGAGCTCCTCCTGGCGAATGCGGTCCTGCTCGTCCTTGATGCGCTTCAGCTCACGCTCACGCTGCTCATCCGCCAGACGCTGCTTCTCGGCATCCTGCAACTGCTGGGTGCGGATACGCTTGCGAGTCTCTTCCTCACGCTGCTTGCGCTGCAAGGCATCAGTAGCAGCCTCCTTCTTCTTATCGATGATTACACGACGGGCAAGAGTCTCTTCGTGCTCCTGAGCGGCCCCAGCCAAGGCGCGAGCCTGGGCAGCCTGCTTGGCCTGGAGACGGGCCTCATTGTAAGAGGGGTCGACGTACATGCAAGTAACGTGCAGAGTTTTGGCAAGACGAGAGACCTGGAATCGCGCAATATCTGCGGGGTGTGCTGGAGGCGCTGGATGGAGCCAACCTCGCTCTCAGCAGAGCCAGCGCCGCTACCAGCGTGCTGGGCCTTGGAAGAGGAGAAGACGTCCGAATCGAATGTCAAGACGCCAGAAATGTGATCGACACGAATGGCGAGGTCACCCTTCTTGCAGCCATTCATAATGAACTTCTCAATCATGGCCGGGGTGATCTGGAAAGGATCGGGGAATTGGGCAAGCTCATACACGAACTTCAGCTCAACGGACTCGTACACCTGAGAGAGCTGCTGGAACAGACGGGTGAGAATGACTTGTTGCAGGGGCACAACGTACTTCTCCATCTCCGGATCGGCACCGATTTGTTTCAGGATAGGGGTGATCTTCTTGCAGATAGAGAGAGGGTGGAAGTCAACCTCAAGAATGTTGTACAAATCACGAATTTCAGGGCGCACTCGCTTGAGAAGCCCCTTGTTCAAAGCATCACGGAAGAGCACGGAACGAGATGGAGGTTGGGCCATACCAAGCAAGTTGGTAAGGCGGGTGTTCTTGTTCTTGCGAGCCTCGTCAACGTCAACAAGAGCGCCACGCGAGCGGGTAGTGCTAATGACGGGGATGGAAAGAGCAGACAGCAGCACAAACGAAGCAGCCTTAGTCATTTCGGCATCTGTGACGGAAGGATTTTCCTTCTTGGTGCTCTGACCAGTGGCCAGGGCAATGGTGGAAAGACGAAGCAGGTTGTAGTAACGGTTCCAGGCAGCGGCGTGGAAGAGGTAGTTCTCGCTGACCAGGAAGATACGGGCGAGCTTCTCGTAGTAGTTAGCCATCATCACGTTCTTGGCAGGGCGCTTGCTCAAGTTGAGCAAGGTGTGGATATCTTCGATACTGCGGAAAGCCTCCTGCCACAGCTCGAGCTCCACGGCGACGTTCAGCTGCTGGAAGCGGGTATCGAGATGACGCTGCAGAGTATCCGCATCGCTCAGGTTGATGGCGTGCATTTGGGTCGAGTACTTGGCGGCATTCTGGACGTGGTTACGCAGGAGCTCACACAGACGGCGGAACTCAGTCTTGCGGGTGTACTTCAAACAAAACTGGAAGGCCTGAAGAGCGGTCGACTGGTACATCACCTCAAGGCGGGCGTTGTTCTTGAGGATTTCGAGGACAGTGCGGTAGGTCTCCCACAAAAACTTGAGCCAAGGGGTGACGACGGCGCGGTCGGTACGATCGCGAGACTGCTCACCCGAGACAGTGGCGAGAAGAATAGTCTCGGGGGTTTCAATAGCCTCAAGGTCATCGATGTTGGAAGATGGGGCAGCGGACTCAAGAGTTGACTGAATTTCGTCGGCCTTGGCCTGGGCCTCGGTGACCTTATCTTCGGCGAGTTCGATAAACTTTTTGAGGACGACTTCGATGGTACCGACGTTGGTGTTCTGTGCGATGTTCTTATACTGGTACAAGCCATCTTTGGCAGCCTTTCCCTTGCGCAAGTCGACACACAGTTCAACGAAGAGGAGCATGACCGGTTCGAGGGAAGCGATCGGGCTGCTACGGGTCCGCTTCGAGGTGACATGTTCGTGAAGGACGGTCAAGGCAGCAGGGGCCTGGCCGACGGCGATAAGTTCCTGGGCCCGCTATAAAGAGCAAAGAAGTTAGTAAAGACTTGTTCCAATTCAGTTTCGTCCATTGCGTCGGTCACGTACCTTCAGGACATTCTCAGGTTTGATGTGAGGTGGAGGCGGCATGGTGGGCAATTAATCCACCCTTTCGCAGGGAATTTTTCGGAGAGTAGTTTTCGAAATATCTCTGAACTGGAGGGTGCAGAGCAACGGCTAGCACACGGGCAGTGGTCGCAGACCGACGTTGAAAATGCTGCCACGCGGAGTCCCAGGTCTTGGAGGGGAAGAGCCTGTTGTGCGTGGATCAATGAAAATTGCGGCCGAGTCTCCCCATTTGGGAATAAACTAAGCGATTTGGTGCGAGGATCACATGATTAATCCTGGCCTGTGCTCTTGGCGTTCAACGTATTACGTAACCATAGTGCCTTGTCGCCTTGAAGCCTTGTGGCCTGCGGTGTAAGGTTCAGAAACGCTCTGTAGAATCCGGGCGATGGCCAGACCCGTTATTTAGCAGTAACTTTCGGGTATTTATGATACGTTACATTTCTCTATACCGGGGCGTCTCTAGGCTCCGCACGCTCCGAGCTATGTACGTCGTTGATCCATGCCAATGCTCTGTCGGATGGACGTTGCTCTTGATGTCGGCTTCTTTTCGTGAATCGCCCAAGTGGATGCAATATATTGCAAGACCCATGTATGTTTTCCTTGCGTTCGTCTTCATAGATGGAGCCCGTGTTGACTATAATCTGCTTGTTTTTGGTCGATAGAGATGGGACCGTTCCTGGAATGGTGGCAGATGAGATCGGCGCAAATCCAAAAAGCCCCCAAAAACTAGTCTGACCTGCAGCATCGGCGCTTCGAAATTTCCTTTGGATGGTCAGATGGACTTAGCCCCGAATAATGGGTATGGGGGTCTCGTTAACGCGAGTGTAACGTATGCTATTAGGACACTATTGGCGACCATAAACATTATCGAAGCGCAGTATTGACAGTATTGGCAGTACGAGTACGGTCCTACAGTACACTTCTGGTCCAATATGCAGCGCCATCCATGGTCCCGGTAATTTTACACACAGACCTCTCCGCAAGTTCCCCCTAATCGCCCGGAGAGCACCAATAGAGCCTAGGTTCAGGGCGTAAGAATACCCACTTACCGTCCAATACACAATACAATACCAACCACTAGACGGGGAAAATCCCTCTGCATCCGCCCTGACCTCAACCTGGTGATCCCTCTCCCTAGACATCCGCTCTCTGCCATTCTTTCATTCTACGGCCCCGGCTGCCTCGACTTCTAATCTTCCTCGAGCGCACGCGCTACGCCTTTCTGTCAACGACATCTCCTAACGACTCCCTTTGCATACACGGATCTTCCCCCAGTTGAGCCGTGTGACAAGACTTAACCCCCCCCCCTTTCTTCCCTCATTCGCAAACGTCTCCTCCATCACCATGCCTACCTATGAATTGCGATCCGGCGGCGATGTCAAGAACAAGAAGCAGAGTGTCGCCGACCTCAAGTACCGTCGATTGACTGAGCTCAATGCCCGGCTGAAGGAGGATCTGGACCGCCCTCGTGTGAAGGTGTCGGAAGCGGCTCTCTCGTAAGTTCCGACCCCCGTCGAGCGATGCCACCGCCAGCGACAGCAACAACCTTCCGAAAATGAATGCCTGCTAACAAGGACTGTCTATTTGTCCAGGCTCATCAGCTACTGCAACAACACCCGTGATTTCATGGTGCCCTCGGTATGGGGTCAGGTACGCGACTGTTCATTTCCAGGCGCATGCGCGCGACTGATCGAGCCTATGCTAATCTTCTCCATTCAGGTTGACAAGCGGGAGGATCCTTATGCGCCTCAACAGCAGGGGGGCTGCTGCACCGTCATGTAATGCTCTCATGACGATGATCTTGATCGCCACGACACGATTTCTTTTCTCTTCCTTCCGCCTAATCGCCGTATCCTCTAATGATCGGTCCCTACTACCTCCCGTTGGACTTCAAACAAAACGATCATGATCGCTCAACTTTTCGGGCACGAATAAGCGACTGCTGGCCCCGCGAGGAGTCGTCTGCTGGCTCTGCACGAACTCCCCCTCCCTCGCCCTGTACCACGCGGGCCCCGCATTCCGGTTTTTGTTCCTTTGCCCTTTTGATTCATCTTCTTTCTTGGTACCAGCTTTTGCGCCCGGCGATACGCACTGCTGCTTCGCCCTATCTTTCATCCTGTTTCTTTTTCTTCTTCTACAATTTGTTGGCCTCCTTCAATAGCTCCATTCCCCATTTGTCATCCTTGTGTCTCTTGTGTTTGTCGAGCCATTTTCTTTTGTCTCTGGGTTCTCTTAAAATAAAAACCTTGCTTGTCTGACATGGGAGTCCGGTTGCCATTCGTGTATCATAGATTCGATTTGCATCCATGACCAAATACAATACTGTTAATCACATTCCAGCCCGTGGGGGCCGTCTTGCATTCTTGAATAGGCTAGAGCAGATTGCCAACGCGCTCTAGGCGACATTAACAACCGTTCAAGTCAAGGCGTCCAATAATTCAGCCTCCGAGTGAGCCTCAGCACGCTGTAGCCAATAATTCGCCGGGGTACATGCAGCGCACTCATCGACCGAATCAGGCAATTCCCACGCTGACATCATCCCACCATCGGGGTCGGGAATATGGATATCAATCTCCAGTTTACCCTACTCATTGGTCATTCACTCAATACAATTCCCCGATGACTGAACCTAATCCTTCAGTCGAGGTAAGCTCGACACAAGCGAAGAAGCCACAGTCTACGACAACTCCACCAAAAGCCGAGGTCACTGCTTTGGAACAGGTGCATCTCCCTCGCATCGCCATCAAGTTCTGTACACAATGCAGATGGATGCTGAGAGCAGCCTATGTAAGTTGAATCATTGCCCCGTGAGGTCCACATTCTGATATCTGGCCATAGTTCGCGCAAGAGCTCCTTTCGACCTTTGGCACTGATTTGGGCGAGGTTGCGCTGGTGCCCGTGACGGGTGGTGTCTTCACCGTCACGATATGGCACGCGGCGCAAGCAGCGTCGGAGAACGAAGTCAGTACTCAGGAGACTCTGCTCTGGGATCGCAAGCGGGATGACGGATTTCCAGGTAAGTATGAAATCGAAATTGGTTTCCGTTTCGTTTGTTTAACCTAGCTACTCTCGTTTAGAAGTCAAAGTCCTCAAGTCCCGTGTCAGGAACATCATTGCCCCCAAAAGGGATCTGGGGCATACAGATCGAGCATTAAAGAAAGATAAGGAAGAGAAAGAGAAGGAAGAGAAAGAGAAGGAAGAGAAAGAGAAGGAAGAGAAAGAGAAGGAAGAGAAAGAGAGGAAGGAAATGAGTCAACAGGTTAAGGACAAGTGCGAGGATTGCGCATGAGTCCTAGCCAAGGTGTATATCGCGGTCATATCTTGCTAGCACAGGAATTTGAGATCGTCTAACACAGCCATTGAGAATTAGAAGTTTAATTCCCCGTCAATTTCTCTGGTCTATCCACGATGCAAGGACACTGCCTTTTGTAGCAGTAGCAATTGGCTTGGACTCCGAGATGAAGCTATTAGCTCTTCCTGTTCTGAACAGTGACGAAGCTGTCGTCCACTGCCAGATGTGTGTTTTTTGTGGATCAGATCACCATTCAGTCTACGACATATGAACCATGACCGATATTGAAATACGGTCCATTGCCTGAAGAAGCGATATAGTTGCTTTCTCGAATCGCCTCTTGCTGCAGTGGCGAAAATCCCACTAGGAGTACATGACTTACGTTGAGAGATATTCAATTCAAAGGAACGGTCGCGATCAATGGTACATTGTATATATTTGAGACACAGGACCTCAGCAAGACTAAGCTCGCCGGCCTCTGTCTAGTAGTGTAAATTTGTTTCAAAAGCAAACACGAACGCCACCAGCCGCCGAACCATGATCTAAAATGACCTCCCAAGAACCAATGCAGCCACCAGTGAAACAAGTAGAAAACCAAGTAGAGATAGCAAGAATCAAAACGTCGAACATATCAGTGATCATCACATAGGCGGGTTATGATAGAAGAAAAAGAACCCGATGCAACAGGACAATAGAGACTATTGGAGATAAGAAGCGAAGAAGACGAAAAAAAAAAAAGAGTAAAGGAAAAGGATGCGAGATAGAAAAGAAGAATCCAAGAATAGAAAGCCACCAGCGCCGGAGACATACAGACCAGTCTGTTTCTGGACGATATGATACAACTGTACGGGACATGGAGGAGACTAATTTTGAAGGAAAATCGCATGATAGACAGGCATGCGGTGGCCGACGGTTGTAAGCAGGAAAGGATGGAGTCGAATGTGTAGTATTTGGAGTCCGATTAGCCCGGACAAAATCGTGTCTTCGTGGGGGTCATGGAATGGTATAGAATGGCAACGCCAAGAGAATTCGAGATATAATCGAGTAGGACAGGGGCCCAAAGATACGACGTATCTTATTTGTTCATCCCAGAAAGGGAATGCCCCATTTGATTAAATCGTGAAATCATGTCAAGAGGTGAGCGCTCTTGTGATCACCGCGCTTGTAAAGCATTGTGGTCGGATATGAGACGAGCGGGTCTCGGGGATCAACTTTCGCCTTGGACTTCTTGCTGATGGTGATTGCGGCGTTTCCAGAACGCAAGACGCAGTCGGCTGCGACGCTTTGGTAGCCGGCGCAGTCCAGGTCCGCCGTTTCTGCTGTCCTCCCCTGACATGTGCTCGTTCTGAGTACTGCCTCCAGTGGCGGTTGATTGAGTGGGGCTTCGAGTACCGTTGATGATAGTCGTGGAAAGTTCCTTGCTATGGCCATCCTCAGATGAATGGCTGGGAGCCATGCAAGAACTGCGGCCAGGACTGTAGTTGCTCTCGTGGTCACCCATGTTGGAAGCATATGAGGTACTCGGACGAGTACTGCTGTCATCTGGACCCCCTGTCTCGCTCTGGGGAGCACTGTCATCGGAGATACGCTTCTCATCCCCGCTGTCGACGGCCAAAAAGCTGGTAGCATTAGTGGCCGGGGAGATCGGCGTCATGTTGTTGCTGTATGCGCTGATGCTGTGAGTACGGGTGCAACTGTTGCGGTTGGAGCTAGACGGTCCAGAGGTGCGTACGGAGGAGCTGTGATGTGCATGGTGAGAAGGAGGAGGCCCTTGACGAGAACTGCTCGGCCGATCAACGGAGTCGCGATCTGGCCCAGCTGGGGCGGCACTGTTATTTGTAGCTGAACTGGCATAAAATGCGGCTGCCAGGGTCGCTGGGTCGGCAGAAGACGGTGTGTCCTCTGTGAGTGCAGTGCGGTATTGCTTGCCTTCTGATGCCCGTTTCGGGGCCACAGGGTTAGAGAAGTAGGCAAGGTCCGGCATCGCACTAGAAGACTTGCGTGAAGGCAGATCAGGACCGAGTGGACTCCCAGTAATCTCGATCTGGGGGCCCGGGGTGTCTGGGGAAGTCACAGGCTCTATAGTGTTCTCCGGGTAAGCACTAGGCTGAGAAACGGTTTCCTCAGATGAACCAGGCGAGATAGAGTTACGACATTTCTCTCCCGCCAAGCCAGGAGCTTCCTCTGCTTCATCGACCCCATCAGTCTCACCAGGGCGAGCAGGACTCCGGGAGCGAGGAGAGACAGTATTTTCCTTAGGATCTTCAACTTGGAGTCCTTGTTTCCGCATCTCATCGTTGGCCAGCTGTTGCCACTGCGCTTGGTTATCGCGAATGTGGTCCGCGGTGAACTGCAAGGTAGGAAGCAAATCAGAGACACCCTCGAAGAGGGGCAAAGCAAAGATGGACATGAACCCAATCTGGCCTGTTGCCAGCTTGTAAATGTTACCCAGCTCCGGTGGGCCACCGAACAGCGCAGTCTCCATACCAACTTCCTTTTCCATCTCGCCTTGGTTGGCAAACTCTTCTTGGAGAATCTGAGTCCATTTCTCGGCAATCATCCACGGCCGTGCCACGTTGCTAATATCGGCGCATTTGATCAAAAGGCCACACACAAGGGACTTGTACATTTCGATATCCTGGGGTTTCCAGCCCTCGACCGACTTCCCATTTTCATAAAACTTTTCTTGAAGCGACCCCATGCGCTCCATGAATTTTTGATGCACACCCATATCCGTTGCGAGAATCGAGCTGATAAGAAGCTTTCGAAGTTGCTTATCCTTGAATGCGGCGGGCCAGTGACGACGCAGAATCTGCGAAAACGCAGCGCAGTGGAACGCTTCGAGAACGGAGTTATCATTATAGAGCTGTGCTAAAGGTGCATTAAGCTTGACAAGAAAGAAGTTGTTGACTCCGGGGTGGCCGACGTCATGGCCGATAGCGGAGATGAGTAGTGTGAGGGAGTCGAAGGGGGAAAGAAGAGAGGTGACAGGTGATTTTTCAACGGCAGTTTGGCCAATTGGTTCGTACGGAGGCAGAGCACCAATGTGGAGGAGAAAGCAAAAGACCGACTGAACGACGTCGATCGCATGGCGGAAGTTGTGATAGAGGACGAAGGAATTGTATGCTGCACGGCACGCAAGTAAGAATGTCTGCAGCTCGCCGGGAGCCAAATGCCAATGCTCCAGCCCCGGCAGGGTGAAAGCATGTTGGAGTATCGTGCATGCTCCGAAGACCAGCTCGTCCTCGGAGAATTCATGTGCGGAGAACCCCCAGCTGCCCACTTGCTGTTTGATGTATGCCTCACGCTCCGGCTTGACGTCAAGTCCGTGATCCTGGAAATCATCGATAATCTCCTCTGGATTGCAAATTCCCTTCATGAGTTTAGAAACCATCGCCTCTCTTAGGTAAGAGTAAGGCTCTTCGTCGTTGGTGCCAACCCACGAAAGCTTGCGCTGCTTCCTTCGTGATAAAAAGCGCGACATTTCCTTTTGCGCCGTGCGCCGGGTCCTATATGCATGGACCACCAAGCCCTGAATCCTAGGTCGATCGAGCGGCGTAGTTAATACATCAATGGCGCCGGCATCGAGACACCGAGCAATCTGCTTGTGCTCTAAGGTCACTGGATTCCGGTTCAATTCCCCTATTTCTGAAGCATCGGGCGCACTGGAGCTGGTGGAACGAAGGATCGCGATCGGAACGACGAGATTCGGGCCTTCTTGGACTTGGATATCGGTGGAGATACCGGAAAGAAGAGACAGTCCAGGGGCTTCATCGAAATGCGAAGAGAAGGTAAAAGTGCGCTGGACGGAGCCGGGCGAAGGAGGACCATTGTCTATCCACGAGGCCCGATGGGCCTTCCGGCGAGCAACATTCGATTCGTCGCTTCCAAAGTCAATTCCGAAAAACGCAAATATTGGGACACAGTCGCTGCCCGATCGGTCGCTCAGCTCGGCCAGTTTTGTGGCGAAGGAGGAGCCGCTGCTGCAGAGGTAGACTAGGATGGCAGGTTAGCACAGCGGGTGAGACGACAACGCCGATCGGCCTCAAAGGAAAGGAGCATACTCTTTTTGCACACGTCCAGTAGTTGCTCCACATCCGCCTGCAGAGCCTCGGGCTCGTCGGGGCGGAGAACGAAGCGGCTGACGACACAGTGGATGCATCAATGGAGTTTCTGCGAACCCATCTCTCTGACCGCACTCGGTCGTCGATGTACACGCCCGATGATTCCACACGGTCCACCATTTTATGCGGGCGAGAGGGGAGAAAGGAGATTCCAACGCCAGAATCACGGTAGGGTTAACGTTCGGGAGAGAAAGGAAGGCCACCCTGGTTTGCATAGAGTCCCAGGGCCGCGACAGTCGAACGGAATACGTAGAAGTGACAGGAAAAGGTGCTCCAAATGCGAAGGAGCGACTCGGCCCCTCAAAACAATGGAGTTGTGCCTGCAGGCCAAGTTGTGCGGGCCTGATCCGAGACAAGAGACGGTCAGTCCCGACCGGGAAGATTCTCAGAAAATTCGATGGGCGCCGCCCGCACGTGAGGGGGGAAGGAAGGGGGGGAGGGGGAGCGGATAATGACAAAGAAAAACCCGGGGGGGAGGAAGGGGAGAAGGATGAGACGGACAAGAAAGAAAGGAGATAAGAGCGTCAAGGCGACATGGTTCGAGGCGGAAGCCAAGAGATCGGGAAGATTTAGAGATCAAAGTGGATTGGGAAGTGAGGAAAGAGAGCACAGATACAGTCAGATGGAAGGAGGAAAGGGCAGCGTTGGAGCAAAAGCACCAAGAGGGGGGACAGAACGGGGGGGCTGTCTTCCTTCCTTTTCTTCTTTGGGGCTTCTGGAAGGTCTGCGAGACTCGGGGCTCCAACACTAGGGCGTCTGGGAATCCACCGTCGAGTCCACTTAAAGAGGGGGCGGGATGATCGTCCTTGTTTACGCAGGTTTTTTTTGCGTTTTCTTTTTCCTTCTTACTTTGATTCGGGTTGGTTGTTTTCTGCTGAAACACCCTTTTATCGAAGAAGCCACTGTTTCAGTGGTCCTTTCTATCTCCCGCCTATGGTGTCTATGGAAGAGTGCAATCCCCTGGGAGGTAGAGTCGTTGGTAGCTTTTGGCAGCTCTGGCACCTTTGTGTCCCTTTTGTTCCCCCTGAGGTTCGCTCTATGTCCCAAACATAACAGGGCCCTCTTTGTCGGGATCGGCAGAAATGCGGAGAGCAGAAGACCTCCCCAGCCACAGGGTACTTCTTCCAACCTGCATAGATTATGGATGTTGCAATTTCTTTTCGACCCTGCAGAGCCTCGATCCTGGTCAGTGGAGTCCACTTCCCGCCCAATGGCGCTCTTCTTGGGCCCGGAAATTTCTTTCTAGAAGGCCCGCTTCTCTTAGTCAGAACGCAGACAGTCGATTGGCTTTAACGCTCTGCAGGATCCCGTTGAGGTCGGGGCTCCAGCCTTCCCGGGGGACTCCGTCGGGCACTGAGTGGAGAGGATCCAAATCCCGTTGGGGGCGCTGCCGCCAGATTGGAAGACGCGATCGCGCTTTTCGCCCAGGATGATCTCATCGACTTCGCCGGCACGTCCGCCATCTTCATTGGTCTCCTGGGCGGGGAAGCCCACGCCACCGTTCCTGGTCTGCTCTGGTCCTTTTGGGCATGCAAGCGTAGCGTCCGTGGTTCTTGAGGGCGATCATGCCCTTGGAGGGGGGACTGGCCAATCATGCCGCCCCCGCTACCCTGCACTCTGTGCAGCCACTCCCAGGTCGCAGGCTAAAAAGACATGCTACGTGATAACCTTCCAAGCTGGTCCAGGGGGCTACTCATCCTTCAGTACATTGCGCTATCTTACCCATGTAACTTAGTTTAGGTCCAAACTTTGCTTGTGTGGTCTGATTTCTGCCCGTCATCCCCCGGTTACGGGGGATGCTTTCCCTTCGCTCACGCCCCTTTTCCTTCTTTTACTCGATAACGCAGATGATCTTCCCCTTGGTCGTGTTGCTTTCCAGCAGCTGATGCGCTTGCACGATTTCGTCGAATGGGAAAACCTTCTCCACGAACACCTTGAAAGTCCCGTCCGCGAATCGTGGCAGCGCCTGCGATACGAGTGTGTCACGCAGCTTGGCCTGGTAATCCTCGTCGCGGCTGCGCAGTGTGCTCCCCTCGAGCCGAATCCGCTTCATCAGGAGCGGCGCAATGTTCACACCGTCAGGGAGCTTGACCCCACCCATCAATCCTAGCAACACCACTCGCCCGTCCTTGGCCGCGACGTCCAGGTTCCCTTGGAAGTATGTTGCGCCCACGAAGTCCACCGTCAAATTCACGCCGGCGCCGCCCGTCGCTTTTTGGATCTCAGCCGCCCAGTCCTGCGTCTTATAATTGAATGCCTTGGTCACGCCGAGCTTCTGCTCCAGAAAGTCAATCTTCTCCTGCGAGCCGACGGTCGCGTAGATCGCCTTCGCCCCGTGCGCCTTCGCAAGCTGGATTCCAGAGAGAGAAACCGAGGATGCACCCGCGTGCCATAGCACAGACTGGCCAGCTTGGAAATCGCCAATCACAAATAGCGCCTGTGAGGCTGTGATCCATGTCTGGCGCTTTTATTAGCAACTACACACTAACACATGATGCTCCCTCTTCATTGGGAAACTCACCTCTGGAATTCCCGCAGCTTCTTCCCAAGACAGATGCTCCGGTTTATGAATAAGCATCTTGGTCGAGACGACAATGTATTCGGCGTAGGCACCTAGACCGTATCAGCAAATAATCCACTATATCCCCCATTCCCAATGACATTGCAGGTTTCTTAAATCCTCTTACCTCCGTAAGCAAGTCCAAACACTTCATCGCCCGCCTTGAACCCTCCATTCGTCTGTTCTCCAAGGCTCTCAATCGTACCAGAGAACTCCACTCCAATGGTCTCCGGCGCCTGCGGAGGAACCGGATACATCCCCTCCCGCTGGAGGATATCCATGCGATTCAGCCCGAAAGCCTTGATTTTAACAAGCGCCTGGCCCGCAGCAGGGACTGGCTTCTCGATCTTATCAACATAGAGGTTCGTTGCGGGGCCCTTGCCGCCCTTGACGGCTGTGATGTCATCCGTTAATTCTAGTTCAACTCGTCTTTCGCATATAGTGGAGGGTCTGCCGCCTTCGGGGCATAATCAAGCTCACGAGCTCCTCGGGGAATAAGCACGCTAATGCTTGCAGCCATCTCATTTCGTGCTGCCGAGCTTCTGCAGAGATGGCCCGAGGCTGGAGGGAAAGTGGAAGTGGGGGTGCGGGGACAGTGTCACATACCGATTGCGCGCATAGTCGGCATGGTGTTGTGTGGAAAAGGTGAGGGATTTGGGTTGTTGAATTAGAGGGTACTTGTAGAAAAGTGCTAATACTTGTAGGGGAGTGTTGTATGAAAGGAAATCTTAGGATGGTGAGGTTAACCTAGTGAATAGGGCCGACTCCGAAAGTCCGACAGTCTGCGAGCTTCCGGCAGCTTCCAGTTGAGCGGGTCCCAAGCAAGTCCAACGGGCCCCAAAATTCTTAGGCATTGGTCATATGATTTTATGCGCGATTGGTGTATTTCATTATACCGTGAATGAACCCTAAGCTAAATCCCTGAACTCGATACAACTTCATACAATAATTTCAAAGAAACCCTGTCACCTAAATACCTAGAATAATTATGGGGTCCCAAAATAGTATTCATTATGTGGCTGGATAAAGTAGTGAAGATATGTATTTACCGCGCAAAGACTACCTCTTACCAAACTTCTTTCTCTACATCTTCCACAACAGCCATATAAAAGATGCTTGATTTCAAAGCCAACACCGGCATTGACGGTGAGCAGCCCTACGGCCGTGACGATTGAGATAACCCCAATAGTGATAGTTGAAAGATTGACTCCGCCTTGGTGCGAATGAAACAAAGGCAAATAAGAAGAAATAACATCCACTGTTTTCAAAGGTCAGTAATTTCGAGTATATAAAGGATTATATGAGACTGAACTTTGGGGCCCGTTCAAGTGGGTGACCAGCTTTCGAGCCACTGCCAAGGTTGAACGAGTCGCATCTGTCATGGGGTTCGAACTAGTTAACGAATGACATCATCCATCATTTGGCCGAGTGGGAGTTTGGCAAGGCTCCAGAGGATGATGGGGTGGCCAGTGAGTTAGTCGAATTTGGGGTTAGCTAGAGACTTGGGTTACTCCGTACTTGTGCAATTCCTGCCGGGACCCTACAATTACCAGGATGCTACTAGGAGATGGACCAGAAATATGAAAATGCTACAGATCACAATATGCATCAATTCTTAAACGAAAGGGGGAATGGTAAATAAAATCATAAAAGCCCAGCCCTACTCCATGCAAACCAATCCACGAATCGATTCACGCCATGGACGCATTCTCCACGTTTTTTGCCTGCCATAATTGAAGACGCCGAAATGTCACTTTAAAGGACAACAAGACAAAGAAGAAGGTAAAGCGAGGAAAAGAAAAGAAAGTTCAAAGGTTGGAAACGCCATACGCACATTACACAAGGCCTCCCAGAAAAAGACACCTTTCCGGATATTTTCAAGGAGTGAACGTGGGTTTGCAGGCAGCCTCACGCTTTTTGTTTCCGTGTCACAAAACCTGCAATAAAAGTAGAAGTAGATCGGAAAGAAGAATGTATCATACAGTCAGAAAAAGCGTGGGCTCAATCAAAAGGCACAACCGTAAGACAAGAAGACGAAGGAAAAGATGAAAGATCGAGATCACGAAAGGAGGTTCTTCAGGAAGGGCTGGCGCTTGCTCCTGAGCTCGCACTGGCGCCATTCATGCCTGGATGCCGACCAGCGCTGGGAGGTCCTCCCAAATGAGATGGTGGAGTCTCGTCCGGTCGGTGGGTGGGCGTCGAAGCGCGCGGGTCAATTCGTGTCTGGGCGACCGGCGGCGAATGAGAAGGTGCACCCATACGATTACTTTCAACCGCGTACATCCGGGACGGCGGACCCCCGTTCAGCGCGCTCAACGACGCCTGAGGAGACCGATTCACCGTGGCTTGGACGATCGGTGGGGATGCTGAGGCGACATATGCAGGCCGAGGCGGCGGCTGTGACAGATGAGGAGAACGTGCTGTAATCGGACCATATGGGCTTTGATGTGCGTACGGCTGCGATGGTGGTGGCGCTGGGGGTGGGCCGTAGTGTGGTGGAGGTGGGCCAGGGTGACTGGGAGGGTAGTTTCCCATATGAGGAGCAGGTGGAGGGCCGACACTCGGATAGGCAGGGGGGGGACATCCCATTGCGCAGGCTTGATTCAGCTGACGGGATTCGCTGCTCAAAGCCCGGGTATCCTGGAGGCGCAGTGTGCGAATGAGCAGGGGCCATGGGCCGGCCAAGAACCCCAGGGGCTTGAGGTGGAGGCGGGGGCCCGGGAGTCACAAAAGAATGGCTTCCCATTCTAGGTGTTGGAAGCACCGGGCGTTGAGCCGGGGCTGGAATTGCCGCCGTTGCTGGAGCGGGGAAAACAGTTGTTCGAGGCTCGGGGGCAGGCTCAGGAGGCGGAGGGTATTTCAGGTGGCACTTGTGGCATTCGTACACCTGCTCGCCGACATCTCCATTGGCGTGGTGGAGTGTGTTCTGCGCCAGAGGAGGCTGTGCATAAGGATGGCTGCCGGGGTAAGCCACGCCATTCACCAATGGGCCCCGGGGGTCGGCTCGTCGTGTACTTGGCCACCATCGCGGGCTAATGTCCGTTGCACATCGAACACACTTTCGGCTTGATGTAGGGCCAGATGGCATGGGCTTTGGGGCCGGGGGATCCTCAGTGTCGATATCCATCTCATCGGCATCATCGACGGGGGTCTGTTGTTGCTTGATCTCTTTACTAGTAAGCAAGCCATTGCTTGTTGAAGCCCGCCGGTTCGCAGCTGTGATGGCATGCTGCTGTGGAGGGGCGACCGACTGCTGCATGTATGCAGCCTTTCGGGAAGTCCCAGTGAGCGTTTTATCAGCCTGTTTGTAGGTCTGGGCGAATAGTTGAAGGGCATTCAACCCATCTTCATTCGTAAGCTCGCCGATCTCATGGATGTTGGGGGGGCACGGTGTGGTTGGGACAGAAGACCACCGGCGTCGCTGCACCTTGGTCAGAGCCGAGGCGCACAGTGGGCGGACTGTCTTTGCGAGAGCCCTTGACTGGTACAAGCTCGAGGCCGAAATGGTACTGTGCTTGGAAAGCGCAGCCAATGTGGAAATGGTGAGTGCATCCGGAGAAGCTGCACGGGATACAGGCCCCCCCGGGATGACTTGCAAATCTTGCAAGTCTCGCGCCATCGGTCCTTCGGAATAGATCCAAACCCTTCTGCAGGCTCCAACTCGGCCGCCTCCCCAAACTTGATCTCGGGGGTCCACAAAGAGCACAAGACGTGAGACCAGTTGTTTCCAGCTGTGCGCTTCAGGGGCTCTCGGGGGCCTACGGGTTTGCCAGCGGTTTCCTGCCGGCTGCGGTAGAGCTTGGTTGCCTCCGTAAGCATATCTTTCTCCATGCGCTCCTTCTCCTTATCCCTATCCGACTTCTTCTTGCTGTTGTTCTTAGTTGTCTCCATCAAGTCATGCTCGGTCCAAGTCACAGGACAAAGCACGCATTCATAAGTCGTGGAAATGGACGGGCTCCGGTCATTCAAACACATATCACATAGCCATTTTTTGCCGGCTCGATTTCCCCGTACTCCGTAGCAATTGCGGTGGATAGTCAAGCGGCAATCCCGGCATGAAAGATGCTCATCGGCGACAGGTTCCACCTTATTGCAAACGGCGCAGGGTAAGATCTTCGCCTTTGGTGGATCGGGAACGATTGGTGCTGTATCAACGGGCTTGTCGGCCGCGGTCTTCTTCTTCGGCATGGGTTCGACGGACGATGGCGCTGTCGACGTCGCAGTACTCGTGCTGGGAGCATCGGTGCGAATCTTCTTCTTTGTCGGGTCAAGTTTGCTCTCATGCTGAAGTTGCGGGTTGCTGTCGACGGAAATGCCCATCGAAGCTGCAGTTGCTGCTGTGGTGCTGTTGATAGTGAATGGTGTCTCGGTGGCTAGGATCAGCTGAGCGAGCAGCTCTTCGTCGATACGTCGTCTCCACGATTTGTGACCACTGGTTGCGATTCGCTTCCCCTAACTCATCCACGTCCTCATACTGGATGCTGTACTTGCGCCAGAGGAGTGCACACCGCAAACAGAGAGCGACCATTAGCATGGGGCCCTTGTCCTTCTTAGCGGAAGGATCAGAGGGAACTGCGAAGCCGGCAGCAACCCCAGGCGCACGTCGCCACTGTCGGGAGGAACGGGTTGAACAGAACTTGCATTGGAAACCTCGCTTTTGGGCCGCCGCCTTGTCGTTATCAAAGGCAGAATCGTCGTAATCGTCGGCGACATCATCGAGCAGTTTCGCGTTCGCGATACTCTGCCGCCGGCTCTCCTTCTTACCACGTCGGCCTGCATATGCGCCCCAGACTTGTCGCCCTCTGGGGGTCTTTTTCCACATGTAGTAAAATCGAACGATCTGATAGTGAGGCACAGTCTTGACATGTTTTGTAATGTTGCGCCATTCAGATCCGTACTTTGAAACGGCTTGCTCGAAAAGCTTCACTTCTTCAGGGCGAAGGTTGGGCTCCTTGAGATCCTTATATTTGTTGACCTTCTTGAGCTTGGCGAGGGCGGCTTGAACATCAAAGCTCTCAGAGTAGAGCAGCTCTAGAGCCTTATCGAGGAAGTTGGTGGAGTACTTCTCGACGCCGACATGAGGAGCCAATTCCTTCGCTTGGCGCATGTATTCGTCAATAAAGGCCTCCGGGTCCGCGCCGCTCGGATGCCCGCCCGTGGCATCATCCTCGCCTGGGCAAGGAATCTGTTCAGGTGTGGGCATCTTGAACAGCAGTTCTGAGGTATGAGCCTGCTTGCCATTGATGAGCACAGGCTCGTCCAGTCCGCGCTCTATGTAACCTGGCGGTTCGTCCTGCACCCATTTCGGTCTCGTGGCGCGTTCCTGTTTTGAGGCGTCGATCGCGGCTTGGGACTCCTTCGTATATTTCATCACACTTCGGCCGCCCGCTACCCGCTGCATCTTCTTTTTCAGTTCAGGAAGCTTCACATATTCTACGGGGCGTCCAGGCCAGGGGCTAACGTTTGCTTGGTGTCGCGGACCAAGGCGGGAACTGGCGCGAGGATAAATTCGATCATCGTAATCGAGCGCATCTTCCACACGGCAATGAATACCCAAGTAGCGGTACGGCCACATCTTAGCTTGTGCTGTTTGCTCCGCTGTTGCTGGCTTGGGCATAAATTCTTCAGTGGCTGCAGGTGTACTGGCAGAGGTTTCATTGGCGACACCGTTGGCGTGGTTCTCGTCTTCCTCGTCTTCCATGATTTCGTCTTCGCCGTCTCGATTTTCACCAATCATGGGGGTATTCCGCGCCTCCAGTTTCCGCTCTTGGGCTCGGCTGCAGGCTGCGCACGCCCAGGCAAATCCCCGAGCGGGCTTTTTGGTCAAGGCAGGTCGAACACAGTGCATGTGGTAAGTCGAATGGCAGACCGCGCAATCTACCGACTCGGAATTTGCAGCGAACAATCGGCAACGCTTGCAAGTCTTTACAGCGCCGGTCAACTCTTTTCCTTTGCCCACCTCGACTAGAATAAACTTCCAGCGGTCATCGAGAACCTTTTTGACATTGGTGGGGACGTTGATGACATCTTTTGTCGGGATAACATCGTACAGGCGATGAATATACCGGTCGAACATCTTGTCGTACCAAAAAGAGTCACGAGTTTTCTTGTATGTGTTCATGTCTTCGATTTCCGTAACGTGGCGGATTTGACATTTCCCACGAAGTGAAGATAGTGGGCAAGTATCCGAATGCATCGAGGCGTATAGAAATCGGGAGTCGGGACTGTGGCGCTGAATGTCTCTGGGACGGTAGTACCAATTAACCCGTAAAGCTTCGATGACACCTGTCTCTTTTGTTTTAGAGGGAGAAACTCCATGATGCGAGCCAGATAGTATGGTTCTCCTGGGGGCTCGCAAATCAGATAGACATGATCTATAGTATCGTTAGAATATTCTCAATTATCTTTTAAATTTGGTGGAAGGGAAAATTGGATTTTTCTTTCCGCTTCATAATAGCGGGAAAAACGTTGAGTGAGAAAATCAAAAGTGTACCGACCATTTACGGCAAACGTGGTGCCATCATCTGCAACTAATTGGCCATCCTGGAGGAAAGGCTGGGAGGCCTCAAAGCTGACCATGTTGGTAAAATAACCATCTTCGGAATCTCCTGGCGTGCCGGTAAAGATTTTCTTGGTAGGATATCCGGAGCCGTTCGGGCCACCGGGGTGTTTGCGTTTCTTTAATGAACCTGAGCCGTTCTCATCAGGCCGCGCCGAGAATGACGAGGTTCCCGGAATCGACTCTTTAGGTGATGCATTAGCCGCGGCGCCGTTGGTCAGGCTTTTGCGCGACAGGGTGGGCGAGGATTTCTCGCTGTCTTCGGATTTGGAACCGTTAACATGGTTCAGACCCATGCCGCTGGTGCGTTTGGCAGCTTTGGCGGGAGTCTCAATCTCCATGTCAATGTCACGGTCCTCAGCATAGTTGGGCCGAGGGGCGTTGCGGCCTCTCGATCGCGTGCCATAAGGGGCCGCGGCGGAGGAGCTGGCCGGATCGGCCACAGCCTCCGGGGAGTTGCTGGAGGTCATGAAGAGCGACTTTGAGTCATCCAAGGCAGGCTAGTACAATAAAACTGGTTTAATTATTAGGCTCCCGGATGACTGAGACGCGAGGACCAGCGAGAACCAGCGTGGTAAAACCCACGGAGCTGTGGTGGTGTGTCAGTGACGAGGACAAACAGGCGTGGCGCGATGCATGTACGTGGAAGCGGGTGGATATGTGGGCAAAGCACTAGATTCCGGCCGGGGGCGAAAATCTAGCAGGAACGGGGAAAGTGGGCAAGGCAGATAATGCGCCACCAGAAGAACACGAACACCAGAAAACACGAGCTGTGGGGATGGATGGAGGAGGGAGGAAGAAGAAACGCGGGAAGAAAAGAAGTAAGTGGACCAGGTGGTGTCAGATCTGCTTTTCACTGCAGGGGTGGAAAGAAGGGTGGACGGGGCAAATATCAAGGTGGACCAGGTTTGAACCAAATGCCATTCAGAGCAGACGGGGGATGGACTAGCGGCGGGTATGCTATAAAATCCCAAAATGGGAAATAGGGAGCCTGGGGATCCAAATCAGAGAGGAACTTACCAGAAGGCAAATTGAGACCGAGAGATAGGTAGGAGGGAAGAATGGGCAATGGGGAAGAGAGAAAGGTGAGAAGCGCGATTGGGGGGGTGGGAAAGAAAATAGTGAATTAGAGAAGCGCCGTGCGAAACAAAACAGGCGCGCAGCCACCCGGAAACTGTGAATAGAAAACCAAAACGAGGAAGAGAATGGGATGATCTGCTCGAAGCTTAGGAGGGTGCGGAACCTCAAAGCACTCTCAGGACCAGAAGTTCTGGGAGGGATTAGACTTCAATATCAAGAAGAGAAGGGGAGGAAGGAGAGGGAAAAAAGCGTCGAGGATCCCGAGCGTACTGGCCCCTAGTCCCAATATGTTAATATGACGGATCCTCAGGACATTCGAACCAAGGGAAAATGCTCTCCGGTTGCTTCCCAGGGGATTACTTTCCCCCTCCACCTCTGCGGCGGATTAGGCTTCACTGCCCTACTCTGATCTGCATGGGGTCCTGATTCGATCGCTTGTCTGATATAGGTCCTACATTAGGCTGGGCAAGCTAGAGCGGATTCGGGGATCAGGACTAGCGATCTACGATATTCTCTACAATCCTGGACGATCAGAGCAAGCGAAAAGGCATGGGCAAAAAAAGAAAGGACAAGAAAAAAAAAGAAAAAGAAAAAACAAAAAAAAATTGAGAACGGGCGACGGTGTAGAGCAATTATGGCTCCCCGTTGGTCATGACGATTAGGAATGCTGTCACGCACGTACAGTTGGAATATGCGCGTTTGGGGGAAGAAACGATGGCGGGGGGAGAGCCTAGAAGAAGGAATATGGTTCCCAGCCAATAATGAACTGTCACTTATATCACTTACGATAATCATATACGACCTGGGCGCGTTCGAAGCTGAGCCCCCGTCAAATTACGGCCCTAGCGGTCTCATGGGTATCGGCTCTATGGGAGGGGGCGCTCTGGGAGGTCTCATTCTAGTAGCAAATTGTACATAAGTAAAGTAGGGAACCTGTTGAATGTTGTGCGAGGGTCACCAGGTTCAGCACACCCGTAAATTCCCCCAAAAGTACCGACGTTGGACCAAAAAGTGCTCAGGGCATTATATTTTTGGCGACCCGGATAAGACGGGGCCCAGGCTGAGGCCCATCCATGACGACTGATATCGTGGTGGATGGAGCGTGGTGAGAAAAAAAAGGGCACTAGAGAAAGCCGGGACTCCACAGCTCCATCCACGATCCCTGCGGAAAGATTACGGTAACGGTACCTGTGAATACACGTTTTCCCTAACTTTTTGGTTTAAATTACCTTTCCTAGGGTGGGTTCCAGGGTGGGTTTAGCATGATGGGGCCTTTCACCGGCTTTGATTTGCCTTGTACCACCTAGCGGAGAACCTCTTTCACCGCAAGCGAGCGTAGGTTATGAGGCCCCCTTAGAGAAGGCCTGAAGAGCGTTCATCGCGTGGCCACTGTTGGCTTCGGCTCGCCGCGACGGGGAAACCTTGGGAGCTTTTATGATCTCGGAAGGACATGACCCGATCCGGGCCATCGCACTGCCTGAAAATACTCAATGCTAATATCTCTATGGGTAGATGGCACTGGCAGTCACCTGAAACTGCCAGTGCAGCACGACTAGTAGATGGGGAAGCATTCGGGATGGGGAAGCATTCGGGATAGGGAGGTGTGGGAGGTGTGGGAGGCGTGGGCATAAGGCACCAAAGTACGAGTAGATCACTATCATGAAAGCGAATATTTTATGGAAAGGGGAGCATGGACCTGAAAGGATCGAATCTGGGATAATTGACAATGACCATTACGTCGCCTATCATTACCGGGACCAATCTGAAGAACCGGAAAACCTGAAAGCCCCGACCAAAAAGGAAGCAAGGGAAGGGGATAGTTCGACCAGGCCTCAATCTCCCTGGTAATTTAAACTTCTACCGCCCACTCGGTCCAATGACGATCCAGGCCGCCGAGAACTGCCCGCTGTTGGCCGAGGATGATTTGCTCCCGGCGGCTGTTGGTGTCGCCACCTTGCAGGGCCTAAACTCCTCTGAACGTGCCATGAAACAGCGTGGGGAAATTTGGTATGTGATATTCCGAGGGTCATGACTACCACGATCCTCTTGTCGCAGCCGTCCAAAGCCCGTCCGGTGATGGGGATTATATATTTCAAAGTTGGGTGCTCCTGAGGACCGCTCGTGATCGAACGCGATCGGACCCCGGATATATTTCGGCGGATCAGCCGCTTCAAGCACTGGCAAAAGGCACACGATCATTCTATACGAGCTCGCCATATGGCTTGCCCACGTTGCCCCTGGCGGATTACTCCCGCTCTAACAGACGGTACTCTGCATCTTCAAATCGCAGACTCCGACGCTTCGGCTGGAGTTGCGGGTTACAAGTGCCGTACTGGGGTATCGCTATACTGCGTATCTCACATTCCACAGAAGCAAACCGGCCAGATTCCAGGCAGATCGGCATATTCCACTTACCCGCGCAATTGGGCCTATTGCACTGTGACAAGCCCATAACGATTCCGTCTAAATTACTTTGAGCAGCTACTCCGCAGAATGTGTTAGTTATATATACCCAACGTAAAGAGCAAAAGTACCCTAGCCGTCTTTGAAACGCCCACTTGCGGCAAATGTCTAAATAGGGCTGCTAGGCCCACAGCTCGGGGGGATCACCGCGTTGTAACGGTTTATTCAGCCACTTCAAGTTAACTAAAGTTCCCCTTTGCCAACAAGGAGATATGAGCAATGCTCTACTGGGAAATCGCGAGAGCATCTAGTGCAGTACTACTAGGAGAAGATATGATCGACCGGAAAATATTAGATGACTCGTCACCAGGTTCCAACACCAATCAGGACCTTGGCACAATCCAGGGCATCCACGGACCCGATCGGGTTTCACTGATAGGCGTAATCTTGTACCCCCAAAGATGTGCAGCAGTTTCGCCTATGCGGACGGTGTCTCGTTTCTTGTCCGCCAGGCCGGAGTTTGAGTTGGCTAATTGGCTACGTGGGATTACCCCCTCACCCAGAGACATTGAGCCTGGTCGCACTACTTCTGCTTCGGGGGGGATGTACGTTGTTTCTGCTGCGAACACCCAATATCATCACAGCCATGAGTTGTACCATTGCTTTCACCTGTGCAAGGGGGTTGGCAGAGCATGTCGGTGTTTCGTCTCGGACCAAGGCTAGTATAAACCTCACCTTGCTTGCAGGAATATTGATACCCGTGGGCCGCTCACAGCCTCGTATCACGCCCGCAGGCACCGAGGCAGCCAAGCAGCCAGGCAGTATCGCAGCCTGAGCCGGGGGGCAGAAACATCCCACGCGATGACCGCGTCGAAACGACAACAGCGGCGACCAGTAAAGGGGAAAGTGCCATGAATTCGTAGTTAAGAATACTCCTGACCAACCCCACATGCTATCAAACGCAAGGCTTCAAGGATGTTTCTCCAGGCGCATGGGTTCGAGACCTCAGTTGACATCGCCCGCCGACAAACCTACAGCCTAGCATCTGTAGCAGGCCAAAAACGCCCATTCAAAACAGAGGGGCCATTTGTGAAAGGGGAAGCTGATCATAGTCATCAAGACAATATTGAAGCTCGCCGAGGTTTACGAGAGGAAATCTTGGAGTCGACCCCTCTGGAGTCAGCTCAAGACCTGTTGAGCCGTTCGGTAACTCGATTTACCGCGAGTGCCATCCACCCTGGAGCGGGCGCACCAACAGAAGACGAGCGCCCCCGCGCCGCAAGTGTACCTCCTGGTTCAAGCCACAATCCTCTGCTATCGCTGGCAAATCCCAAATATGGTCTTCCTGCCGCCCTGATCAATAATTTTCGGGACCTAGGCGTGGATACTATTTATGCTTGGCAGGCGTCCTGCCTGTTGGCCCGAGGATTGCTTTCCGGCGAACGGCACCTGGTATACACAGCCCCTACAGGTGGAGGCAAGTCACTAGTGGCCGATGTCCTACTGCTGAAACGCATCATCGAGAATCCCACCCGCAAAGCCATTTTGGTCTTGCCGTATGTGGCTTTGGTCCAGGAAAAACTGAAATGGATGCGCCGACTTGTTGAGGGCGTGGAGAAATTGGTCCCAGATGAGGATGACGATTGTACCTCTTTCTCTCGTAAGCGGTGGAAGAAGATACAGAAGAGTATTCGCGTGACTGGATTCTTCGGAGGCAGTCGCGTGACGACTACCTGGGCGGATACCGACATCGCAATTTGTACAATAGAAAAGGTGTGCCAATTGCCCCTGAGACATATGCGGTCGAAATCTCCAATTCCCGACTGACTGTATCTCATAGGCCAACTCATTGATCAACACTGCAATTGAAGATTGTAGCATTGGCAATCTAGGTGTTGTGGTACTGGACGAACTGCACATGCTTGACGATGAACACCGAGGTTACCTGTTGGAATTGATGGTCACCAAGCTATTATTGCTACAGCAAAACATACAGATTGTGGGGATGAGCGCAACCCTTTCCGTATGTCGAGACCTAACACGACAAAAAGAGCTATGCTAACGGCACAAAGAATACGGAGATGCTAGCCCAGTGGATGCATGCTAAATTCTTCATCTCCACCTACAAACCAGTGCCAGTTGATGAATACTTGGTCTATGAAGATGCGATCTACCCTGCAGCAACCTCGAGACAGTTGTTACAAACAGCATCAAAATTGACTAGCGCAAACGCAAACTCTGTCCATCATACAATACCTCCGCATCGGACGATTGAAAAATCCCAACATAAAGAATTGGCTAACTCTGCGACAAATTCCTTGATAGCATTGGCAGTCGAGACGGCAGTTGCAGGCTTTGGAGTTTTGGTATTTTGTGGAAGTCGTTCAGCATGTCAGGTTCAAGCAGCGATAATCAGTGAAGCCATGCCACCCCCAGAGGATGTGGAAGAATTGAGTAAAAGGCTTGATCTTCTTGCTGATCTGAGGAGCCTTGCATGTGGACTGGACCCAGTCCTTGAAAAGACGGTACTCAAAGGAGCGGGTTTCCATCGTAAGCGATACAGTTCCAAACTTCACGATCCCAAACCTGACAACATTAGATGCTGGAATGACGACCGAAGAAAGGGAGCTGATTGCAGCGGCTTATGACTCGGGCGTGCTCAGGGTTCTCGTGGCGACATGTAGCCTCGCTGCCGGTGTAAACCTACCAGCTCGTCGAGTGATTATTAACGGCGCCCGCATGGGTCGAGACTTGGTAGGACCGGCGATGCTGTAAGACATCCCCATATGGACCTTTCGAAGTTTGAGCTGATTTCCCAGTCGCCAGATGTGTGGACGTGCCGGGCGCAAGGGCAAAGACGAGGCCGGAGAGACGTACTTGATCTGCGTCAAAGCTGATATGGAAGCGGTATGTGACCTATTGGATGCCGATATGCCTGCGATAGAGAGCTGCTTGGCCCCCGAAAAAAAGGGGTTGAAAAGGTATTTTATCCAGATCTAGTTTCCCTTACACTTACTCATGCTTCCTTAGAGCTCTCCTTGAGGCGGTCGCTAGCGGGTTAGTGTCTGGGTGCGATGCGATCAAAGAGTACGTGCGATGCACACTCTTGTACCGCACCGTAGATAAAAAGCTCGCATACAGCATCATGACATCTGCTTTACAAGAACTCATTGACGAGGGATTGTTGCTGTACAAAGACGATGAATCTTACGAGGCCACTTTATTAGGCCAAGCGACCGTGGCATCTGCCTTTGCCCCCGAGGACGGTCTCTTCGTCCATGAGGAGCTTAAGCGAGCTTTGCAGGCCTTTGTCATGGATGGCGACATGCACATATTCTACATGTTCACACCTTTGCAAGCGGCTATGGATACGCAAATTGATTGGCAAATATTCCGAGACCAGCTAGATCATATCGATGATAGCGGTCTTCGGGCATTGCAATTCGTCGGAGTCCACCCAGGTTTCGTTAACACGATGTAAAAGCCCCCGTCTTCGTCTAGCTTGAAACAACTAATACTGATTTTCAAAGGGTCCAATCTGGCGCATCATTAAAAGAATCTACTCCGTCACAAATCAATCAGGCCCGCATCTACCGTCGTGCGTACGCTGCTTTTCAGCTGCGTGACATTAGCAACGAGGTTCCTCTGTCGACGATTGCATCACGGTACAAGATCCCTCGTGGCACCGTCCAAACCCTAGCTCAGCAGTGCCATGGATTTGCCGCTGGCATCGTCAAGTTTTGCCAGCGCATGAACTGGGGCATGATGGCCGCCGTGCTGGACCACATGCGTGACCGTCTCGAAGCGGGCGCCCGCGCTGATTTGCTTGAAATGGCGCAGGTGACCTTCGTCAAGAGCTGGACAGCACGCCTGCTGAGAGAAAATGGGTTCAAAAACTTGAGAGCCCTCGCCGAGGCTGACCCAAAGGATCTGGTTCCTGTCCTTATGATGGTATGAAGGAGTTCCAAATAGGAGCTTATCCAGTCGCTAACATCTCTCGCTGTCTTAGATCAACCCTGGCAAAGCCCAGAAGAGCCAGCTCTACCCCACAGAGGCAGAACGGTACGCTGCCAAGCTGTTAGCAAAAGCGGAAATTATCGTGGACTCTGCGAACAAGATCTGGGGTATGTCACCGGCGTTCCGATGCCCTTCTTTAAACTGGGGAAACTGACGCGCTTTTCCTGTAGAACGAGAAATGCAAGTCGAAATAGATGCATGACATGTCGGTCACTGGTCTGGTCCTTTGTGATACTTGTTCGCAATTCTACAGATATCCAACTTTCGTAGAGACTATTACCATACAGATTCCGAACAATATCACAACTTTCGAAAATGCAAAGCTATCACATATCATATATATATGTACATGCTCTGTTCGGTAAAAGAGAAGAAATCGAGATGAACATCAGGTCGTAATCTGCCAGTCTCTTAAGAGAGACCGTTCAGAGAGGTCTGGGCACCAAGAGGATCTCCCTGGTCGACAAAGTCAAGCAAGAGGACGTTGGGGTTGACCTTGTACAGAGCCTCACACTCGTCGGCCTGCGCACCAATGCTTCCATCGCCGGTGGCAGCGTTGGTAGTGCCAGCAGCGTCACGGTCGGGTACGTCAACACCCAGGATATCTACGTCCAGGAAGTGGTTGACGATGTACATGCGGCCCTCAGCCGAGGCACCAGGGGGACGGTCAATGCTGCAGTTGGAGAATGAGGAATCGGTCACATCGTAAGGAGTCTCGAAGTAGTACGAGAACTCGTCGTTGATATAGTTGACTGTGTCGGTGTTCGCACCGTAGTCTAGAGACATGTCAGCGTGACGATCTTGCAATCCCGTCGATTACGGGCTCTTCAATTGACTTACCAAGGAAAACAATAAGTCGGGTACCAGCAGAGATAAGGTCACCCAGGGTAGGCCAGTCACCAATGGCCAGGGGCTGGCTGGAAGGAACATAGATATAGTTGACGAGCCCATCAACGCCGGAGAAAGTGTCTCCGAACACGGAGATATCGACCGAGTCGCCGTTGGTCAGAAGGAGAGTGACCACCTCATCGGGGTTTCCATCCAACCAGCTCTTGACGGTACCAAGGAAATCAGACAGAGGGCCAGCATCCTCCAGGAGACACGAGGTATGGCAGAGCTCGAGAACGGAGTCATCGCCAATGGACTTGTGGGTCTGTGCCTGCAGATAGCGGATACCGAGGTCGAGCTGGGCGGTAACATTGAGGTTCTGGTTCTGGGTAGGCAAGTCGCCAACGAAAGCCGAGTCGTGCGAGCCGACGAATGTGATGTTCGAGTACGAGCGCGTGCAGTATTCCGAGCGACCGTTACAGGTGTCTTGGCCCAAGACATTGGTGGCCGACAAGAACCCAAGAGCGCCGAGCAGAGCCCGGGTCCATCCCTGATTAGCAAATGTCATTCTGGCTGATCCTGGGGGGGGCACTCGACGAGGTATAGAGGGACGAGGCTCGAGACAGACTGGAAGTGCAGATGGCGCCCCTTTTGAGCAATTCGAATGAACCATTCAATCACCCTGTGACCACCTCTAAACACCTCTAGCTATAGCGAACCACCCAGGCACGGGTGCCCGGAAGGATGACCAGGATGACAAGCATTCCACATGCCGCCGATCTTTGGCTCAGAAGGGATAGCACAAGGCGGCTGCAAATGATGGCCTCATGCTAAAGCCACCCATGATGATAGGGCGTGGGCGAAGTCTGGTGACTCGATGTAACAGCGGCTTGCGCTATTATAGCGGGGTGGGCGGAATCACAGAGATGCCCCCCCACCCCTGAACGAAGGAAAGCCACATCTGCAGCATCCTTGATGAGAACTTAGGCAGTGCAGCACTGACATTTCGTACTCGGAGAAAGGTCTACACGAGGCAATGAAGGGATTTGCCAAGCGCAGGGCGACCCCATCATAAAGGCCCTCGGATTTTCCCCTGCCAAAACCGATCACCCTTCTGGGTTAGATGGAATCCTCTATTTGGGCGAGTAGAGTTTAGTTTAAGCACAAACTAGGCTTCGGCCTGTTATATGGCTAGATATACTGCAAAGGACAGGATATGACTGATATTGCTCAAGGTTAGGATGCTTAAATATATCAGTGTTGCAAGGGCAAAGGTGAAGAGATCAAAACACAGAGGAAATCCATTCGAGAATAGATAGTCGAAAACTATGCCAGCCAATCCAACTTATACCAATTAAAGCAAACCACAGTCCGTTAGAAATTCATAGCTGAGTTCATAACCCCTGATCTCTGGGATGATGCGGGAGTACATGAGATCTCTGCCACTTTGCGAAATATGACGTATGCATCACTGTCTCGATTACCGTTAAGTGAGTCGAATTTCCACCATATGTGACCTGCTGCCCGCCCAGCCTCCTTGCGATGGAGGGTCGGATAGGAACACGCAGAGATCTTAAACCCGGGGTGGTCGTTACCATTTCGCTCTTCCACAACAAGGTCGGTCGAATTGGCGAATGTCCCAGGATGATGGTGGACCGCCATGTCACCATTACTGTAATGATTTGTTAAGAGGTCATGAGCAGTGCCATTCTCTTGAGGCTGTGTACCCTTGATTCAAACCAGTCCAAGCTGAGTAGGCTCATCCTCACCACAATTTTGCATGGAAGGAGTAGAGCTAACGGGATTAGTGCTTTTGAAGCTATATCCTTCAGCGTCAAAGACGTTGTGCACCATACCTTGATAGTTTTAAAAGGCCCATCTAGAAGCTCTGTAACTTGTCGCGAATAGCCTCGGCTTCTTTGGACACTGCATGAAGGGAAGAAGTGAGCGATATTGTTCCACTAACAGCAGGCCTAAGGTATTGACAGTTTTCTGCGTTGTAGTAGCAAATCGAGGTAGCGGTAACAACAGCCGCGGTCACAACAGTGATCCTAGATATTAGTAGTCAATATTCTTGTTTTTGGGCCTGGCTAACTTAAAAAAGGGTGTGAAAATTCACAGAGGATTATATGGATCGATTATCCGATCTACGTTATCCTCTCAAAACTTAGCGTATGTCCTATGTGTGACGCTGAGCTGCTGATCTTCTGGATACAGTCAAATCTTTGGGTTCTTTGGCTACAGGGTCAGAAGAGTTGGGTGGCTTATTCCCGACGAGCTCGAATCAAATTAAAGTGTTCAAGTTCATCTTGTACTGCAAGAATCACTCAGAGGCCCCCTCTCTCTTTGGGCGGATTAAATGTCTTATGGCACTCGTACTAGGCGGCTACGGACTTGCCAAGCCACAGTGGCTCAGTTTCTCAGCCACCCTAAACAGCTCGGGCCGTTCCAGGCAACGGAGCTGTGAACTCGCCTACTCCACATGTTTACCACGTCCGAGCTTGCCTCTCCTCATTGAAGTCACCTGGCCGAGTCTTACCCGACCGTCAAATCACAATCAGTATCCCATCGCGAATATCCAACTCAAATACCGCCTGGTGGCTCATACTATTCCTCCCTTTTGACCCGGCTCCAGCAATGATCATTCGAGTACGCTGAGCTCGATGGCAGAGGGCACCGAGGTCTGGGCATCCGAGGATGAACTTGACCTAGGCCAGGATAACAATAGTCTCCGACTGCCTGATCATGATATCCATTACCGCTCCCCGAATTCTACAGGACAGCCATTCAACGAGGAATTGGACAACATAGATACTGCGGAGGAGGCATCGGAGACGACGGTAGGACCGCCAGACGAGACAGAACTACCGCGAACCCCGCCGCAACAACAAAGAAATGTCGCGGTTGGGGTCGGAAGTATAGACGAAAGAGCCTCGACTCCTGATGATTCTCCTTCATTACATGTAAGCGGATAGTGCGCAAAGCGCTTCGCGAACCGTTGGTTAACGTAAATACCAGGATTCTCTACTATCTTCACAAAGCGGACCTGCTTTATCATTCCAAAGCTCTCCACGAGTCAGCCCAAGTCCAGCGCATCGTCCATTTGATCTTCGATTTCAGTCCCGACTATCGTCCTCCCCGACAGGAGGTTCGCGAACCGGTTCGCCATTCCTAGCGCATATCCATTCACGCCAATCATCGATCGCAAGTCAAGTGTCTCCTACCCGGAGTCGGAGCCAGACCTTCCTCCAAGCCCGTGGGATGTTGTGCGATGGACTAAGCTGCGAAAGATCACCGGTCAAGCGTTCTCCGAGGTTGGACGTCGTAATTTTGGCCGACCAACATGTCTTGCAGTTTCCACAAGCATTGTGATTGGCACCTCGAAGGGAATAATACTGGTGTTTGATTACCAACAAAGCCTGAAGGCTATTATTGGGACTAGTACGCAAGGTTTGTCAACTTCTCGCCTGCATTCTCGCTTTGGAGTATACTGACCACCTCCCAGCGGTTGAACGCGGGCCAGTGACTTCTCTTGCGATTTCCGCAGATCACTCTACTGTTGCTGGAGGACATGGACTTGGTGATATATTTACGTGGGAAATTGCACGCCCAGCCCGGCCTTTCCTCCACATCCCTCCATTACCAGCAAATCAACTTGAGTTGCGCACATCTGACAGCCACATTGAAGGAGCTGCTATCATTCATATTGGATTTCTTGGAACAAGACGAACTGCCCTTGTGTCCGCAGATACAAAAGGCATGGCATTCTCCCATTTGGCCACGCGAGGTATGGGATCAGTCGGACGGACCGTTAAAACAACCCGGATTCTAGGCAGATACCCGCAGACCACCATAGAAGAGATTCGTCCACGCAAGCCCAGTTCCGTTTTGGCATTTTCTCCCCTTCCACTCGGAAATGTAGAACAGCCATCGGACTCTCTGGGCCTTGTCGCGATGTTGACCCCATATCTCCTGGTGATTGTATCTACTACCCCTGTCGCACAAACTCAGCACAAAGCGCCGCGACCCAAAGAGGTCCCAGCTCATAGTGCTATGACAGGGGCATTAGCTTGGTTCCCCGCAATTCGGTTGAAGGGAAAAGATAGCCAAACTTCCAATACGAAATTGGTATACTGTTGGTCGAATGTCCTGACTGTCCTAGAAGTGACCGAAGCGGAGACAGACGAACCTGGTAATAGAGACCGGCCACCAAACCTTGTTTTCAGAGCACGCAGCCGCTGGAAGGCTGATGAAGCTATCGTGGCTGTTCAATGGCTGAGTCGCTCTGTTTTGGCAGTGTTTACAATTACCCAGCGACTCCTCATCTTGGAAGACTATTCTATGCATGCAACGGACTCCATTGACCTGGTTAACCGACATGTCTACCACACCGACCTATTTTCTTCACAGTTACACACTTTGGTCGAACAGTTGGATGAGGAAGACACTTCAATGCATGGTGTGGTAGCAGATGCATTTTACATGAGTTTTCGAGCTTACAAGGGACGGTTATTCTTGCTTGGCTATAACGAGACTCTGGTCGGCAGCCTGTCTAACTGGGCAGATCGTCTCCTTGCCCTCATGGAAGCTGGGGATTTTATCGGGGCCATCCGACTCGCGACTTCATATTACACAGGGACAGCAGAGAAGCTCACCGTTGGTCTACCGGAAGAAGACATTCTGCGACAGCCCATCGTGCAGGAGAAGCTACTTGAGATGATATCGGCATCCCTAAAGTATGCATTTGGTCGCAACGCCGAGGCCGATGGCAGGAGACTAGACAATCAACTTCTCGAAGAGCTGGCCGAAGTATCCACCACGGCGTGTATTCACATGGCCGATGAAGATTTTCTTTGGGATGAGGTTTTTTCTTGGTACGAGGAGCATGATGCTGCGGGGGTTTTCCTAGAGGTCCTCGAACCACGCATCATTGATGGCGTCCTTCGTTCATTGCCTCCCATTGCAGTGAAGGCCTTAATAAATCACTACATGGTGACCCACTCCCCTGGCCGACTGGAGGAAATCATATGCCTCCTCGATACCACCACAATGGATATCGACCAAGTCACGACGTTATGCAAGAAAAATAACCTCTATGATGCTTATATTTACGTTTGGAACCGTTGTCTTGCCGATTACGTGGGTCCACTTGAAGAGCTTCTGCATCAAATCCCGTCTCAAGCTGGACCGCTGTCCAATGGCGACTATGCAGCTGAAATAACTCGCCACACCAACGCGATGAAGATATTTCCTTACCTGTCCTTTGTGCTGACTGGCCGCGTCTACCCAACAGGAGAAGATATGGACGAGTTCGAAGCTTCACGTGCCAAAAGTGCCTTGTACAAGTATCTCTTCTCGGGCCAATCGTCCAGTTCAGGTTCCCCCCAGTAATCGTGAGGAAGCAGGCTCATTTGCCCAACTACGAGCTGTGCTCAAGTTCGATGCTTCCAGTTTCATGAGCATGCTCAACGAGGCATTTGAGGATAGTTTTCTCAACGACTCTGATGCTGAGACTGAAGAGATCCCGGCTAATGTTTCTGTCAACCGACAGTATCTCATAAGCATTCTTCTCCAAGTGATGGATGCACCCTACTTCTCTCCTGATGATACCATATTCTTGGATATGTTTGTTGCGCGCAATCTTCCCAAATACCCTCAGTATATTCTTTTGTCAGGTACAACTTTACATCAAGTCCTCGTTCGTCTCTGCCAATACCCCCACCCGGATCTGGCTGAGGACTGTGAGTTGAGCGCAGAGTATCTTCTGTCCTTCTACCATCCACCGGACATTCAAAGTATGGTGCCTTTGTTCAGAGAAGCCCGATTTTTCCGGGTTCTGAAGTCGACCTATCGCTCCGAAAAACAATATTCGAACTGGATCTTGGCTTTCCTTGAGGATCCAAATAACAAAGAAGACATATTTACTGCTCTCTATGACTGCTTACGATCTGGTTCTGGCCTGGGTAAAAAGCACAGGCGGGATGTTATAGACGTGGTGAAGGCGCATGCGAGGGAGATGGCTTCGATTGATGTGAGACGTGCTGCCCACACAATGCAGAGTTTAGTTCCTGAGGCGCATTCTACATTTCTCCACGTGCTACAGGAAGATTCATCCAGTCAATACCAATATCTTATGGTTCTCTTCGAACCTGTCGGTCTGAGGCGGAGCGATTCGGTCCACGGCGGGCGAAAATTGGATGCTTGAACGATATGTGCAGCTTCTCTGCAAATACAATCCATCCCACGTTGCGGACTTCGTTGACGGTTTACGGGTAGGTGAGATTCACCTTGAAGAGCTACTTCCTGCTATTGAGGAGAGCGGGGCGATCAATGCTGCCGTCATTCTTCTTGCTCGTCAAGGACAGCTGAGGCCTGCCCTGGACCGCCTCGTTGCGCACCTCAAAACCCTCGAATCAGGCCTCGTCGGTCTCATTCATAGCGAAGATGAAGCTCCAGACTCAACTAGCACTGCGGAGGCCATAGACGATTTACTAGAGTCTCTCAAGAAATATGCCGGGGTTGGTACTTGGCTCTGCCAGGGTCAAACCACGACGGCGAAGCAGAACCATCCTCACACCAACGGTCAGCAAGGAGCTTCGCCGCTTCAACACCCCCTGACATTTGATGAAACTCTTTGGCTCGATCTGATCGAGGCAGTTGTACGCATTGCGAGCAATGTGTTTGGACTTTTACGTGGATACCAAGCTGAAGATACGGAGAAATCAAAGCAAGAGCTTGCTTTGACAAAGCCTGCCGTGAACACTGATCTACTGACCAATGCTTTCCGGAATTTGGTTCAGCAAATTTTCTCATCTTTAATAGCAAGTACGGTGAAGGGAGGTGGGTCGTCCACTCATGAGAGAACGGACATGTCTTTCCTTCGGGTCCTCCGTGCCTTCCTCACACGGGCTGCCAGCTGGTCACCCTCCCTTCTTGAGCTACGTGCCGTCCTGGCCTCGATCTTTTCTGCATACTCGTATGAGAGATCGTTGTTGACGTTAGCCAATGGCATGCTGGATCGTGACTTGTTCGTGCATGTCGATGAGGTGACAAAGCTTCGGCAGCACGGCTGGCGGCCCCGGGGCCAAGTGTGCGAAATATGCCGCCGTCGCATCTGGGGCCCTAATATTGGAACATCACATTGGACGGCCTGGCAGACTAAGCAAGCCCACGAACGACAGCGTCGCATCGAAAAGCGTGCGGAAGAAAGCTACGACCCGGCGACTGAGCGGGGCAAAGGGAAAGCGGCCGCTGCAGTAGGGGCTGGACAGTCGCCTGGGATGCTGGTTGACCACGTCGGCCCCATCAGCAGTGTGGATCATGAGAACAAACCGGAGGATGAGCCTGGGCAACCCGAGCGACGGCCCCTTGAACCTGCAGTAGTCTTCTCCTGTCGCCATCTCTATCACCGACAGTGCATCCTGGACACAATCAATGTTCACAATCGCCCCACTGCGGTACCTGCATTTCGGAATGAGCAACCCGACTGGTCTGGAGCTGGCCTCTTTTGCCCAGCATGTACATAGTATGTAGATAGTCACGCCTCATTAGGGGTTTTCATTCTTTCCTCCCTGTTCTTGTTAGACCATTGCGTGTATCCTACGCAGGGATCGCAAATGCAAATGTGACATCATACGGAGATTACTCCTTGTTCTGTATTGAACACTAGAATGCTTGAGTATTACTAGTATGGCCCGGAGAATCTCTGTTCGTTGTTTGCATGTGGAGCTACTGCTCCGTGTTCGCTAGAGCAAGCATCGACAAGTCTTACGTCTGAACTTGAACTTGCATGCAGGTACTGAACTCCCGCAGGTAGCAGGAGCTGCCGCGTGTCAAATTCTACACTCTGCCGAATTCCGGGCCCCCAGAGTCTTTCGGATTACGAAGTCAATTCGGCACGGAGAACGGAGAAGAGACACGAAGCCCGTCTTTATCTGGAACACTTGCCCTACCGGGGTGGGATCGAAGGATCGAAGAGCCTTGAGATAAGGACTGTTAGTGGCCCATCGCACTGATCGGCGCTGATGGCCCCTGGACCTTGCCTACTCCGGCAAAGTAGCAGGAATTCTCAGTGCCCGATACAACTCAAGGCTTCTGCATGAAAAGTTCGTCGGCGATATCCCAAAAGGTCCCAGTTCGGGCCAGACGAGCTAACTTTAGGCACTCTACTCCGTTGCCCTCCCCTCCCCTCCCCTCCTCAGAACGGTTTTGATCGACGATCGCATGTAGGAATGAGGGGTAAGGCTAGCCTTGAGTCGAGGACTTTTCTAAGAAGGGCCACGTACGACTCCTTAAAACACGGAGAAGTAGTCAGGGGTAGACGATTTTCCAGAAGAAAGTCTGTTTATCCTGGCGCGTGTCTCTACCGAATACCACGAACGGACGGAGGTTTAGGATTTGAGGCGTCGCCGGGAGCAGCAAATGGCTGACAAGAAGCTGGTCAATCGAAGCGCAGAGTGGGAAAAGTGGACCCCAGAAACAAAAGCTTAATGATCGTCGTCCCGAACCACAAACGACAATTCGTCGGTGTCACTTGCCACTGTTTCCTCCCCGGCTGCGCTAGGGGACACCATGCGTGGCCCAAGTCCTCGGGACTTGGACATTACCTCATATGATTGGCTCGATTGTGCAGATGAGCACACCCAGTGATGGAGACAACTGGCGCCCTCCCACACTCAACCCGTCGTATCAGCCGTCGTGGATCGGATGCTTGGACGAGTCAGACGATGGACCTCCATGATCGCCGGCACAGTCGAAACACCCAGGCCACCGAGTGCCAAACCCTCAGCACTTCAGTTTCCGCCCACCGGGCCTGGACTGATGGTCTTTAGATGACAGATCCCACATTCGGCACTTGCCGCCGACACTAGGAGCGTTAGGATCTTCTTTGTCTTCCTGAATGCGTGGCGAGAATTTGCAGGTATACAACCTGACAATAGCCACGCAGCAATGGCGCTCAGTATCGGAAGTTGGGGGAATGAATAGTCTTGAATTGGCCCGTATAGGTTCTGTGATTGTCTACCTCACTAATGCTCTAGAGTCCGGTTCTCCGGTAGAAATGCGTTGTACTCCGCTCTGTACAAGTATACTTCACATCTGATGCAGACGTCGCCCCCGATGTGGTCTGCATAAAACGGACCCTTTGCCGCCCCAATTTTCTAGTCCAGTTCAGGCTTCGTCTTTGAGGAGATGGGCCTGGACTCGGACTCCGCATCCTGTGGCACTAGCAGACTCATTATTCCTCACGGGGAATTGCAACCTTGGGAACTCGATGGAACTAAACGCCAGGTGGATAAAGTACCCGTTTTGTCAGGGCACTTTGGTTTCACGATGAAAGGACCCGCAGTTCGACCTGGCCCCTGGCCCTGGCTAGCCAATGTGGGAAGCGGCCTCCGCGTTTCGCATATCTCACATGGGCCATATGCATGTCCCACCAAGTCTCAAGATCGGGTCGGGTGGGTACACGCCCGCCACGCGCAAGTGTCTTTCGGGGCTCTTTATGCACTACACCCTTCCCCTGATAGCCCTCGTATATAATTCTCCCCTCCTTCCCGTGTCTTGTTGTTTTCCGTGTTCACTCCATTGGCGCCCCGTCTTTCCTTTATACCCTCGTGCGTTCTTCTTGTGATCGCACTATACATTCCTTTCCGCAGGACTATATCGTCACTCCACTGGTTGGACTTCGTATATTATACCTGCCTTTCATTCCTTTGACTCCCCGAGGGATCTTTATCACATCCTGCAGAGCAATCTGGCTTTATTAGGCCTTGCTCAACTCTTGATACCCCATCTTGATACCCCCGTCTTGGTACCTCGCCTTCATACCCCTGTCTTTATCCGATACGACAAAAATGCACGTCCTTTCCACCCTCGGCTTGTCCCTGTTGGTCAGCGTTGCTGCTGGATGGCAACTACAGGAAGACTATGGCAATGATAGCTCGTTCTTCGACAAGTTCACTTTCTTCACTGTATGTGGGAACGTCAAAATCTGGCATAGCACCCAGGTAACTAATACTAACTTCACATGTAGGATGAGGACCCCACCCACGGTTTTGTTACATACGTCGATCAAAGCACCGCCACCAGTGCCGGCTTGATTAGTGCCAATGATGGTACTGTCCACATTGGTGTTGACAGCACCAACTCAATCGACCCTAACGGAGCGGGTCGCCAAAGTGTTCGCATATCGAGTACGGCGACATACAGCGTAGGAACCCTAAGTTATTCTCGATTTGGCACATATGCCCGGGACTGCGTGTGGAAGCTGGCCTGCCTTGTAAGTTTTGATCATTGAATCGCTCTTCAGGCTCGGATGAATTGAGACCGTATGAACCTTATGCTGATATCGAATAGCTGGATGCTTGGAACAGGCTCTCAGCCCTGGCCTGCAGAGGGTGAAATTGACATCATCGAGTATGTCAATACCAACCAGCAGAATCAGATGACACTCCACACCAGCCCCGGTTGCTCTATCACCAACTATGGCAGCGGTACGTCCGCTGGTTCTACCGACTGCGAAGGCAGTAATGGCTGTGGTGTCATAGATACCGACCCCAACTCCCTTGGAAGTGGCTTCAACAACGCCGGTGGCGGTGTTTATGCCACCCAGTGGGCCGCCGATTCAATCAGCATCTGGTTCTTCCCTAGGAACAGCATTACTTCCGACATCACCAATGGGACACCTGACCCCACCCAATGGGGTACCCCGGTTGCTTCTTTTGGTGGCTCTAGCTGTAATTTTTCCACCGCATTCGCGAATATGCAGATCGTGTTTGATATCACCTTCTGCGGTGACTGGGCCGGGTCCTCCGGGTCCTACCAATGCGGCGGAGGCGCCACTTGCCAACAATACGTCGCCGACACCCCCAGTGCCTATTCTGACAGCTACTGGGGTATCAACTCTCTCAAGGTTTATACCGGCACCGGCTCCCAGAAGCGTGCCGAGGTTCCCAAAGTGAACCACGCGCACGCAGCTGAGCACATCAACCGTCGCTCTAACCATCACGCTCGCCCGGGCCCTCGCCCGAACCTGAAGAGCCGCCGCGATACCATGGCTGGCCTGTAAATGGCTCACTGGGGGGCTTGTGGGCCAGCGCTGACATGCTTCTTAAGAATAAGACATGCCTTTTTGGTGTCTTATTGTCGTTTTCTTTTCACCGCTGGTTGCGGCTTTATTTTTCATTGGCATAGTTGATGCCACATGGTGCTTGGCACCCTTTTCCCGAGAGTCGGTTTGATGCGATGTGTGAAGACGTGGATCTGTGTTTCGAAATACCCCTATCTGTCCTTCAATAGTCATCACTAGCATATGACTTTGCATTACCATGCTTACAAAGTGCTTCTAGACTTATTAGTTGTACGCTATTGTAATTTGTAAGCTGGAAGTTGTAGTTAACTAATGCGTGATTGGTGAGGGCACATGGCTCCCAGTGTTGATCTGTATACTGCTCAGTATGCGGAAGCCCCTTTGTACCGGAGCCCTGGATGGTCATTCGCCGAGTCTGGGCCCTTTGGCCATCGTTGAGGAAGTTCTCCCGCGTCGCCGGCACTGCGTACTCTCCCGAGAATACTACATGCGCCGGAGTACCGGCAAAAGATACTTCACAATATCCTCAAAACCGGCCGGTGCAGTCCCATAAGAAATATTGAGACTATCGACTTCACATTTTCTTTTTCCCCAACATGATCGTTGGCTCCAGTATCGCTGTGAGAGCTCTGACTGGGATGAACATTGTTGCGTCATACCATCTACGGCCGCTGGGGGCGGCTATATACCCTTACTTTGGCGGACTCAAGGCCAGATTACCGCTAGTGCAATCATCTCTTTCAGTATCTACGGCACTTACTTCAACAAGAAGGCAACCAATGCGCAACTGATCAAATGGCCCTTCTTCGGCATTGTGTTCCCATCCCTGTTCATCTCTACACTCGCGACGGGCTTCGACAATGGCGGAGACGACATAACATGGCTTCTATATGTTACTTGCCCTGAACCGGAAAGAACAAACGAAAGCCGCCGCTGTCGCCTCCCCAATTATCGGGATCGCCTGTGGAGTTGCTATCTGGTTGGAAATGCATGCGCCTAGTATGGTGAGAGTGAGGTCACCATCACATCAACAGGAAATATCCTGCCTTGTTTGCACCGATCACTTCGTCCTGGGCGCCTCTTCGACGTACACCCGCGATATCGCTGGCCCAGAACCACGAGTAGATGAATTGCTTCGTGACATCCACAGCTTTCCATCGCTTGGATCGTGATTTCTCTCATCTGGCTTGGTTTACGCTGGTAGTGGCCATCTTCCATCCGGTGATCGATCAACCCAGCAAATTCGGTCTGTTTGATGCAGGAGGGCAAAAGCGCTCCAGTGACTCGACATCTCTAGAGCTGAACAGATAGAGGAGACTGGCCAAACGCCTAATGCTCAATGCAAACGCGCGGGGTACGCTAGACACTAGGATGAGGACATTAGGGGCGTTCTGAACCGAGATTCTGGGGTATCATTCCTCGGGAGATTCAACCCTTTTTGCATAGATCTGACTTGCTGGGATGCTTGACATCAGCCGGCTGCATCTGATGCGGGACTGGACTCAGCTGAGGCGGACTTGCCCGCTGGAGGCGCTGGTTATCGGTCGATTGCCTTTATCGGTCTGACACCCACAACGTGGCTGGGGGACTGGGCCAATCAGACTTAAGGTCGCTCTGAATTGAGATTATCGAGCCAATGGACAACACGACCAGGGACCAGGGGCCTAGGACCACGGCAAACCTGGGCGAGGCCCCAAACCGCGTGCTTTCTATGGGATGTCGCGATTACTTTGATTATGGCGCCATCCCAGAGCCTATGAGATTGGTGCGTTTGCATTCAAACGTCGCTAACCTTGCCTCATCTTGACCCATCTGCCAACGCTAAGCTTCAAAAAAACTTAACGTATACTGATGGCCAAACTAAAAAAAAATAAAAAAGAAAAAGAAAAAGACTTTCTGCTGGAAGCTACTCTGCCTGGGCCTGCCTTAAATGGAAATAGGTCCTGAGAGCTTCCTTCGTCCAGCCTCTCTCTTGAGTTCGTCTTTCTTTTCGCTCATTCCCACACGTTCCGTTTCGACGAACCGCGATCATGTCGACCTTGGAGAAAATCGACGAGAAGAAGCATGGGTATACGCTGGGGACCGTGGCGGATGAGTCCGGTTCCATTGATACCATCGCGGCTTTAGTCGCAGCGGGTATGTCGCTGAACCCTGCTGACATGGGGAATCTACCGCTAATCGTGATACTAGATCACCAGCATGATATTAAGCTCCGCACGATGTCCTGGAAGAAGACCGCCTGTCTGCTCGCAGGCGAACAGGTCTGCCTGGCGATTATGGCGCAGTCCTGGTCCCTCTCGTGAGATCGCGCACCCCGCATCCCCTCGATCTCGATTGCTGACAATAGATAGAGTGCTCGGCTGGGTACCCGGCATCATTACGATGCTTCTCTCGGGGATTCTGTTCTGGATAACCTCCATGACCATGCACAAGTACATCATGAAGTACCCTCAAATTCTGGATATCTGTGAGTGGCATGCGAGGCATCTGAACACCGTCCTGGGCCTGCTGGAAAACTGACAAATGAGCCTCGCTTTAGGCGACTTCGGATACCACGTCTTTGGGCGAAGCAAGGCCGCTTATGTCTTCTCAGCCTTCATGCTGTTGGCCAATAATATCCTTCTCATCGGGTTCCATATCCTCACGGGGGCCAAGATTCTCAACACTCTCTCGGACCACTCTCTTTGCACGGCCGTCTTCTCGGTGATCGCGACCATTATGGGGATTGTCATGGCGGTGCCGCGGACTCTTCAGCATGTCAGCTTCATGTCAATGTTTTCCTGTACGGTTCATCCCCCGTGGAGCGTGTCGATGGATTCTTTCTAACAAATTCTTGTTCACCATAGCTGCGTTCATGGGCCTTGCGATCCTTCTCTTCCTCATTTTCGCCGGTATCGAGAATGCTCCTCTGTACGGATACGGCGGCAATTATCCGTCTCTAGGGCCGGTCAAGACCTATGCATTCCCACTTCCTGGCACCACCTGGGTTAACTGCATGAACGCCGTACTCAATATCACCTTCCTTTGGGTACCCCAGATCCTCTTCCCTTCATTCATTGCCGAAATGGAGCGTCCGCAAGAGTTTCCCAAGGCGTTGGCCGTCCTGACGGCGATTTCCGTGATTCTCTTCATTGTTCCGCCCGCAATTGGGTTCCGATACCTGGGACAGTATTCCACGGCCCCTGCCTTTGGCAGTCTTGGGGTTGTCTCCTACAAGAAAGCGTCCTTCGGCTTTGTGATTGTCCCTACGCTCATCATCGGAGTGATCTACGCCAATGTCACCGCCAAGTTCGTCTACCTGCGCATAATGGGCAAATCCAAGCACGCCCATAGCCACACCGTCATTGGATGGGGTGTGTGGATACTTGTGATGGTCGTCATCTGGGTGCTTGGTTTCGTCTTCGCTGAGGTGATTCCCAGCATGGGTGATTTTTTGTCCCTTCTGAGCGCGGCGTTCGACTCGTTCTTCGGCTTCATTTACTTCGCAGTCGCTTACTGGCAATTGAACCGCGGAATGCTATTCAGGGGCCCATTTCAGACCTTGATGACTTTGACAAACATCTTCATTTTGGCCGTGGGTTTGTTCATGCTCGGCCCAGGCCTGTATGCTGCGGTCGAGGCTATCATCGCCGATTACTCCGGGTCTACGAATCCGGCTTTCAGCTGTGCTAATATGGCTATTTAGAGGAAACGAAACAACGAAATTGCTTCTTGTCAGGCGTGTATGGGAAATCCTTATATTAGACGATGCAAATGAAAATAAATGCCTTCCTATCACAAGTATTACATGTTGCAGAGGGGGCATAAAGTGGCCCAGCGCCAGTGGCCTTAGGATCTTCGCTTTACACAGACCGATCAACTTTGCCATAAGGGAGACAATGCTGTTAGACCCGGAAAATTTCTAATGTATTATCATCGACCAATCTCAGGACGAGCCCGTCCTCGAGGTTGTCCAGCGGTCCATACATGTCCATGCCACGCGCTTGAAATCACATGACCGGCAGGTTCAAGCTTTAACAGGTAGCTACGTGACTTGTAGTTCTCCATATGGAGTTGAATATTCAACTGTGACGGCTTTTCTTTTCAGAATTTAGACTATCCTTGAAGATTGGAAGGCCCTCTATTATCTATAGACATATCAATGATCCCATAACACCGTCGTGGGTAATGTAGGTCAGATTTACTGGAGTGATCTGTCCGGATTTTGAGGGAAGAAAAAAAAGATATGATACATGCAGTGATCTAAGTACAAGACGGGTGTAGATCATGATGCCGCGTCGTCCGTTTGGTATATGAACCCTAGAACGTCTCTCTGATCATCCGTCATGCGACCCCACTCGAGGAGTAATCGAAAGAAGTATATCTCCATGTCCTCTTTCCTGAGGGCTTTCTGTGCCCAATCTCGACCTTGCTGCGCGATCCACCAGCCTTGGGTCAAATGTTGCTTCATCCACATCTGGCCCTGGTCAGAATGCTTGTCGCTGATCTGCGAGCCCGGGACACCGGCGAAGTACGCTAACGTACTCCAAAAGCCATGGAGACGGATGTCGATGGGGACAAAATGGTACCAAGACACTATCCTACTATCAAACCATTGGCGGAAAAGGCCGGTCTTGAAAGGCAAGCTGTTGCTTTGTAAGAAGGGGAGGAATCGGCCGCTGAATCCCGCTCCGTCGAGATCAAAGAGGTATCTATGGGACCAGTGGGATTGGAAATCAACATGTGGGGCAGTGCCCAGCTCAGCATGTTGCTCGTCGCAGTCTGCGCCGCAGCGGGCAATTGGGTCGGCAATATGGACAGATGCTTGGAGCTCCAGAGCCGTCAGAGGTGCGTCGCCATTCAGTATCTTGTACCGGTAGCGGTCGGGGCTTGTCGGGAGCAGAACCGAGACTTGATTTGTATTATTGTTGACCAAATGTGCGAATCTTTGGCGCGGCATACCTTGCCATTCTCCAGATCGACTCACTCCCTCTGAAGTACTGCCGATCCAAAAGAGGGAGTTTTCCTTCCGCTCAAAGACTTTGTCCGGGTACTCTTTAGTGGGTTCATACTTCGTTTTATCCACATAGTTCCACGGGCTGGGGAAAAGAATGTCGCTGAATCCCTTCAACGCACTCTGACTGAATATTGGTATGAGATCTTGAGAGACCTTGAACGACGCAGGTGAGATCAAAAGGCCATGCAGGAAGGCCAGATCGGGTTGGTGACAGATATCCGAGGCGAGATCGTAATTGATTGGAAATTGGCCCATGGTATGGGGAGCTGCACATTCCAAACACGTGTCGCGACGGTTCCAAACCCGCCTGGTGAGAGCGCGAGAGGAAGGAGGGCAAATCTCGCTGACATATGGATCGAATACGCCTCGCCAAGCCCCATCGGTGAAGATCGTTTCGCTCGTTTGATCTGCAGGCTCGATAGGCCCCCAGCCATCCTGTCGTCCTGGAGTCCAATCGCGTATAACATCCTGCTCCGGAACGAGCTCATTTTCTAATCCTTTCGAGATGCGCTTGAGGGGGACTAGTTTCTTCCAAGGGATTGCCACGCGCGGTTCATCGTTGAGGTTGAAAACAAGATCCATGTCTGGGAGGTGCTCGGAAAATTTCTCGATCATCGTCGCTGCTCCAGCAACCATCCATGCATGTGTGGGTTTGATCCCCTCCTGAACCCTTGCAGTTCCATTCCGTATGCTGATAGCACCAAGGTCGTTGAAGGGGTTTGTTGCTAGTTTTTGGGTCATATCACGTAGCTCCGCTGGTGGAATCGCTCGGAAGGGTAGCAAATTCTTGTAAATTTCATCGAAATCGTCGATGATGACTGATGATCGATTGGTCGCATATTCGTACCATTTATCAAACCCTCTGGAGAACATTAGCGGGTCCTACTACCCAGGTGTAAGGGGAAGGGGGGGTTTACGTACGGGGGAGGATGTTGATGATATCTCTTTCGGTACTCAGCGACTGCATCCCCCAGTGTTTTACTGGTCTTGGCCTGCCCGAGGAATTGATCCATTTGCTTACTCCCTTGGTGGATGAGAATGTCGATCGGGTGTGTATGAGAATAATGGTGCTTGGAACTTGCAAAAGCAAGTGCTACCACGCAGAATAGGGCCAAAAGTCCCTGCAGCACAATGTTAGTTCGGTAGAGAGCTTTCGACTCCTCTTCGTTGATGATCCTCCCCGAAAGGAAAAGTATCGCTCCGGCCGAAGAAGCAAGGAACGGAAAAGCCGCATGGCCCCATGAAATGAATGGGTAGGGCATCTGCTCGAAAGCGATCACCGAAAATGCGGAGAAAAATATCATGATATATCCTCCTAATATAGATATGCCGAGAATGCCGAATAAGGGTAGCTTGTAGAGGGTTCAGTCATCGGGGAAGTAAAACATTGGATAAAGATGCGCACCCACCATTTGCCATGCTGATATTATAGAAAGAACGACAAGAACAGTTTGCCCGAATGCACTCCGCGTAAACTCTGCATCCAAAAACAGCTGATTGTCATGCTCAGATCTGCTGTTTTGGACGAAAGCCCCGATGACGGCCCAAATGAGCCCCACGGCCTGCAAATGGTTAATACGCCGCATCTGAGGACAAATGGCGACCAGGTGCTTACAAGGAGACCCGCTCCGAGAGAAACGAGTACTTTCTTTTCTCTTGCTTCCTTTTTCTCGGGCTCCGCTCGGAAGAGTTCCGCAATGCCCACCAGAATGACCGAATCACACAACATGCTCAAGAATGCAATTCCCCGAAAAACCGCTACACCATTTGTGACGGCTGGGCATATATACGTGGACCGACTGCCAGCGTAAATGGATACGGTACTATATCCACCAAGCGAGACGAGAGTAGCGGCGATAATGCCTCGAAAAGAGCTTTTGGTCACATAATGAAAGGTGCGCCGAAGTATCGAGTATGCTGTCTGAAGGTGCACTTTCTGGAATCGTCGAGATGCGCTATCCTCCTGCGGTGGCTGAAATCGCCGAAACCGCCAAAAGTCGTATACGGAAACAATAAAAGGAAGAGCGTACTTATATGCGCACATTAGGAACCGTTTTTTCACTGTACTGAGAGAAGCAATGGGTCCTCCCTTACCGAATATCCATGAGGCGAGCATTCGTTATGAAATGTAGCCTGGCGAAAGAATTCAACTCGTATGCCGCATATAATCAACAGTAGGATGAGCGTCCACAGAAAGCGTGAGCGGAGAAAGGAGCTCGGTCTACTCGAAAAGCTCCCGGACGGCGAGGAGGACCGGGGGGATGCGAGTTCAAACTGCTCGGCTAGTGGAACCTCAGGCCGTTTGTCCACGGCTGTCAAAGACCTTGAGGCTAGAGGGGCGAAACGGCCGAGGAGTATGAGAGTCACTCCCGTGAAAAAGCATACTAGAACAGCTGTATTGACTGGGCGGTCTTCCAATCAACCCCGTCAGTACCATTATACGCAACTTATACAGAGAGAGAAACGACTTACCGAAGGCGTATGTCGCATTGTATGTTGAGGTTAGAAAAAAAGACCATATGAAAAAAGACCTGGGGAGAATGCGACCGTTAGAATTTAACTCTACCCTCCCCTCCTTCACGCGACCAATCTACCCGGAATGGCATCGCGGAGTAACAACGTACCCTACAAAGACCGTAAGTCCAGTCTCCGCAGAGAATTGGAGCATATTGCCCTCCAAATCTTTTATCGTTTCAGTCCAGCAAAGCCAGCAATATAGCCCATCGCGCCGCTTCGTGAATAGTATGGTGCACTCAAGATGAGCTTCCGTGGCGCGCGCGCATGTAAGACCCCAGACAAGGGGAGTTTTCAAGGCATGACGAAGCGTATGACGATGAGCTCAAGGCCCTGCACTCCTTGTGGAGACCAGGGAGATTGAGACAGGCTGTTACGCGGCTGGGCCTTGGATCCGCCATTTCAGACGCCTTGAGCGACAGGCCCAAGAGCCAGTTAGAATAGAGCTCAGCGTCGATCTACTTGCGCCAACGTGGGCGGTTGGGTGACCAAAGCACGCAACCATGGGCCTTCTCAATCCATTTTAAACAGTTCTGACCAATGAAATTGATGATCCATGCAATCCCGGGCTCCGGCCTGGCGTCCCTTTTTCATCTGGATCCGGAATGCGCCCAAGACGCTCAAATATGCCGAGAGAGATCAGCGGCCAGAATCAGGACTTGGCTCCCGCGTTCCACTTGGCGTCGGCGCCAGAGCGCAAGGATGCTTATCTCTCCTCCCCGCTACGGATGATACGCAGCGGACTTGTCCCATGTGCCAGACAGAAGACCATAGTCAATTACTCTGCCTCTTCAAGCGCCTTCATGCATATCCAGAGATAATATGGTCCATGTAACCGTCGTACAGCTAAACACTTTCATAAACGGTCAAGGTGGGGAAACGTTGGACCCTTGGAACCTTGGAACACGGGTCGTGCTGACTAAGAAGTATAACCCGCCGAACAAAGACCTTCAGTGCAAATGATACAAACATGATATGATCCCGACATCACGTGGATGCCGTACCGCCTGTTACACCGCCATCTGTATCGCGGCAGTACTATGAGATTTTTTTTTTCTCGGTGCAGTTTACGATACCAGCGGTCTTCGAAGGAAAGCTCGTCCCCGGTCTACTGTCCTTCTTTTACAACAATCCCACCGAGGGCCTGGAACTCTTGCCCGACGAATGCCCGCATTCCCTCGGCAGCTCATATCTAATTGAAATATCGAAGAGCGAACGTCCGCATCCCAACATTTCTTGCGGCCAGTCCCGCACCCTCAAGCCATGCCAAGGAAGGCTATTGATTCGCGCATCCCAGCGCTGATTCGAAATGGCGTCCAGGAGAAAAAGCGCAGCTTTTTTGTGATCGTTGGTGATCGTGCAAAGGATGTGATTGTGCATCTCCACTACATCATGTCCAGCGTGGATGTGAAGCAGAACAAGCCCGTGCTGTGGGCTTATAAGAAGGATCTTCTGGGTTTCACCAGCCATCGGAAGAAGCGCGAGGCAAAAATCAAGAAGGAGGTCAAGAGGGGTATCCGGGAACCGAATGAAGAGGATCCTTTTGAGCTTTTCATCACCCTTAACCAAATTCGTTACGTCTACTACAAGGAGACCGAAAAAATCCTGGGTAATACCTATGGAATGTGTATTCTGCAAGACTTCGAGGCCATGACGCCAAACCTGTTGGCTCGCACAGTTGAGACCGTGGAAGGCGGTGGTATGGTGCTGTTGCTGCTGAAAAGCATGAACAGTCTGAAACAACTATATACTTTGTCCATGGATATCCATTCACGATACCGCACCGAAGCCCATGATGATGTGGTCGCTCGTTTCAACGAGCGCTTCATTCTTTCCCTTGGAAGCTGTGACTCGTGCTTAGTGGTCGATGATGAATTGAATGTATTGCCGATTTCGGGCGGCAAGAATGTCAAGCCTTTACCTCCCCCAGAGTCCACCGACGAGGCCGCCAACTCAGGCTCAAAGAAGGAACTGAAGGAAATCAAGGAAAGCCTTGCGGACACACAGCCTGTGGGTCCTCTGATCCAGCTTGCACGCACCGTGGATCAGGCCAAGGCCCTCCTGACGTTTGCCGATGCAATCGCTGAAAAGACCTTAAAGAGCACTGTCACCCTGACCGCGGGTCGTGGCCGAGGAAAGTCTGCGGCTCTCGGTGTAGCGATTGCATCTGCTGTTGCGCATGGCTACAGCAATATTTTCATCACATCCCCTAGCCCGGAGAACCTGAAGACGCTCTTCGAGTTCGTATTCAAGGGTTTCGATGCTCTGGGCTATCTGGATCATGTTGATTACACTATCCTCCAGTCTACCAACCCTGATTTCAACAAGGCTATCGTGCGAGTCAACATTCATCGCAAGCACCGACAAACAATTCAGTACATTCAGCCGCAAGATGCACATGTTCTAGGACAAGCCGAGCTTTTGGTAATTGATGAGGCTGCCGCTATCCCACTGCCCCTTGTTCGCAAGCTGATGGGACCGTACCTGGTATTCATGGCCTCTACCATCAACGGCTACGAAGGAACAGGTCGGTCACTTTCTTTGAAGCTGATCCAACAGCTTCGAGAGCAGTCTCGTGGTGGCATCAGACTCAAGTCTGATGATACTGATGTGGCGGATCGCACGACGGGCAAGGCCTCCAAGCATAGCGACAAGAACTTAGCTGGTCGATCTTTGAGAGAAATCACACTTTCGGAGCCTATCAGGTATGCTCCTGGTGACTCTGTCGAAAAGTGGCTGAACAAGGTCCTGTGCTTGGATGCGACTCTCCCCCAAATCTCGCATTAACACTCAAGGCTGTCCTCACCCGTCGCAGTGCCAGCTATTGCAGGTCAACCGTGACACTCTGTTCTCTTTCCATCCCGTGTCCGAGAAGTTCCTGCAGCAGATGATGGCCCTTTATGTCGCGAGTCATTACAAAAACACACCTAATGATCTTCAGCTTATGAGTGATGCACCTGCGCATCAGCTCTATGTGCTTGTCCCCCCAATGACGAAGAGGCCACGAAGCTTCCCGAGCCTCTTTGTGTGATTCAAGTGGCACTTGAAGGTCGTATTAGCAGACAAAGCGTCCTCAACAGTCTCAGCCGTGGCCAGCGGGCTGGTGGTGATCTGATTCCCTGGCTCGTCAGCCAGCAATTCCAAGACGAAGACTTTGCCAGCCTCTCGGGGGCTCGTGTCGTCCGAATCGCCACAAACCCTGAATATGTGGGTATGGGTTACGGCTCTCGCGCCCTTGAGCTCCTGGTTGATTTCTTCGAGGGTAAATTCACCAGCCTCTCAGAAGACTCAGCTGCCACTCAGGAGGAGATGGTCCGTGTTACTGATGAGGAACTTGCGAACTCAAGCCTCCTTGATGACAACGTTCATGTCCGGGATATCCGTTCCATGCCTCCCCTCTTTGGGAAGCTGTCAGAGCGCCGCCCTGATGCCCTGGACTATCTTGGTGTCAGTTATGGTCTCACTCCCAGTCTCCACAAGTTCTGGAAGCGGGCCTCCTTTGCGCCAGTTTATTTGCGTCAAACGCCCAATGAGCTGACCGGCGAGCATTCTTGTGTGATGCTTCGTACTCTGACCGCTAGCAGCAACGATGCTGCCTGGCTGGGTGCTTTCGCTCGGGACTTCCACCGGCGGTTCCTTGCCTTGCTCTCCTACCAATTCCGTAAATTTCCTTCCCGTCCTCTCCCTCAGTATCTGTGAATCGGCCAATGCTGGTGCCAAGCTAGACACCTCTGCTACTCCTCGGGGTTTGACAAAAGCCGATATTGATGCTTCGTTTTCCCCCTTCGACCTCAAGCGTCTTGATAGTTATGCGAACAACCAGCTGGACCACCATGTGATCTTGGACCTGGTACCCCTCATCGCGGAATACTATTTTGGCAATCGCCTTGCAGGCAAAGTCAGTCTCTCTGGTGTGCAGCAATCAATCCTGCTTGCTATTGGCCTGCAACGGAAGAGCATGGATGATATCGAGAAAGAGCTGAACTTGCCTTCGTCCCAGCTCCTTGCTATGTTCCTGAAGATCATTCGAAAAGTCTCCACTTATTTCCGAGGCGTGGTCGAAGGTGCTGTTGCGGAAACATTACCCGCACCACAAGTCCCTAATACGTCTGCGTCCGCCGCCCACGACGATGAAATGGTGGTAGATCGTTTCAAGCCCTTGGAGACCTCACTGGAGGAAGACCTTCAAGAGGACACTGCGCAAGTTTCCGATGAGATGCGTGAAAAGCAACGCGCGTTGATTGATGCGCTCCCGTTGGACAAGTAAGTGATTCGAGAGTTCCTTCCCGTTACTCATTCTCCGGAGTAGTTTAGGATGAACAATAACTGATTTCTAGCCTCCAGATACGAAATTGACAACGGTTCCACGTCGTGGGAGGATGCTGAGAAGCAGATTCGAAGCGGCGGTGCCTCTACAGTCAGCGTCAAATCCAAGTCATCGAAGCGCAAGAAGGGCGAAACTGCTCGTGAGATTTACGACAAAGAGATTGACTCCAAAAGGCAAAAGATGATCAAGAAGGGCACTGAAGGCCGGAAAAAATAGAGCTTTTGTTCTCAGTACTTGGCGGCGTTATTTTGCATCATTTACGGTGTTCACACGAGACTCCATGTTCAATGTTTCTATCGGTATATAGTATACAGCTCTGAATGAATGTAGTATTCCTGGTCAAACTTGGGATTTCTATCATCCTCAGCTCTCGTGAAGGTACTACTCGTACTTCTTATTCTAGCTTTCAAATGTTCAGGGTCAAATGTTTAATATGGGACTTGAAATTGCTACGTAAGAGCTGGCAAATAAGCTATCCGGGTATCTTCTGGGGTATCTTCTTGGGTATGTTCTAATTTCGCCTGCTATTTTATGACTTTGTCACCGATCGAACCTGTAGATCACCAACTCTCGATTACCATTCTCGCCCAAGAGATACTTCTCGCAGCCGCAGATCTTCCCCCTGCCTATGAAATCGATATTCTCGTGTGTCACCTGGAAGTGAATAGTTTGGACAGACAGGTATATCGGTTGATCTTTTCTGTTGGGATCTCTTTCATCTTCGTCCCAGGTGATAGGGTTGAAATGAAGGCAGAAGCTGACACCGGCCTTATGATCAATAGCCTGTGCAAGGATACCATACCAGCACTCGGCAAAGAAAGCCATGGCGGATAATGGAGTGGTTTCTAGACTGCAGTTTCCGCGGTAGGGTGGGAAGATCAAACGACTTTCCTCTCGTAAGTGAGGCCCATGGCCTGTTAATGGAATGCTGGTGACGATGGTCAGAGGCAGACCGAAGGGATCCGGAACGGTCAGCCATGTGTTGATATTCTCTGTGATTATTATTGCTCCGCCATCGTCCGTGATTTCTAGTTTCTGCATGCTCGGGCAGCCGCGTTGTCGAACGCCAAAGAATTCTAGGTCTCGGAACCCGAACCTGGACACGATAGAAGGAGACCTGTCAACCTCTGGTCCCGACTGCCGAGACATGGGGTCTAGTGATGGTCTGTAAGAGGATTCCTTTGAGATATCCCAGACAAACAATGACTCGATGGGAGCATCTTCGTCGGCCGTATACAAACTGCGATTGGGCTGCCATATGTAGATTGCATAATGAGAGTTGCTGTGGGCCGAGAAGAACCTGTCTCGCTCACTTAATGGGTGACCGAGAAACATGATCTTCCATTCGTTGCGTGGGACAACACTCCAGTTTCCGTTCTCCTTCAGTATCACGTCGAAGGAGGATGCAAAGTGACGATGTACCCCATCGCTCTCGTTGAGCCAGTGGAATGCTGTTGGCTCCGCCCATTCGATGACCAGCAGTCGTTTTTGCAGCCGCACTCTACGTACGACCTTGCCGCGGAGGACGAAAGGAACCAGGTATTGCCGGTCATTGATCAGATCCAGAAGCATCAAGCTCTGGTAGTCGGCACTTGGGTAAACCAGCAATCCACCTTCATGGGTCCACATGGCCTCAGAGAACTGCCGATCCACGATCTGCCTCGTATGGCTGGCGTGTGACTCCCATGGCTGGACCTGGAACCATTCTCGGTCGCCTGTGCCGAAGTCGTCACACAAGCGATACCTCTGAATGGAACGGGGCTTCCCGCGCTTTAAATAATGGTATCGTGCAGTGACCTCAGCAAAAATTTTGGAAGTCGTAGGATCTTCGCTTGCATCTGCGTCTAGATTTCTTACTTCCTCCGTCATGGAAAATGCTTTCGCATGAGTGGGGCCAAGATGGCCGGGTTGGTGAACGCCTCGTCCCAAGCCTTAGAAACCGCACGACAGCGGACAAGATCGCGAGGATCCAGATATTCCAGAATAGTCCAGAAAATTTCCCGAGGCAGAAAAGCCAGATCACTCAGGAATTGGCAAGTCTGGGCCATAGTTGCGCGGCACAAGAGGAGAAAGAAAGCCAAGCTTCCTATTGGAGAAACTATCTCTCCGCATGCCAAGAGCTTCAGGACACCTTGCGTAAAAGGCACCTCTTGTTCTACCCTGGCCTGTCCGAAGCTTGCTTTCTTTTTTTGCCCACGTCATGGTCTTCTAAGACTACGCATCCTTTTCCAACTCTTCTCACTTGTGCTCAAAATGCTTCCTCAAAGCTCGACTGGCCTGTTAGCCGCTTTGCTGCTCTCCGCTTTGCCCGCCAATGCGGATGGCCTTTACACGAAGAAGTCGCCGGTCCTCCAGCTGACTCCAAAGACCTATGGATCGCTAATTGCTAACTCAAATCACACTTCGGTAAGACAAATATGATGCGTGAAACACCCCAACTGTCCAAAAGAAGAAACGAAAAAAAAAAACCGAGCTAATCATTTTCTGTGTATAGATAGTCGAGTAAGTCGTCCCCGCATCGCGATTACCCCGACCCCGATACCTACACCTCGCCCTTCTCCATACTGAACCTATACTCCTAGATTCTATGCGCCATGGTGTGGCCACTGTCAGAACTTAAAGCCGGCCTATGAGAAAGCAGCTCAGAACCTCAATGGCCTGGCAAAGGTGGCCGCTATCAACTGCGACGAAGATGAGAACAAGCCTTTCTGTGGACAGATGGGTGTCCAGGGATTCCCCACATTGAAGATTATTGTGCCTTCGAAAAAGCCGGGGAAACCTCGCGTGGAAGACTACCAAGGACAACGGTCTGCTAAAGCGATCGTGGATGCCGTGGTTGACCGTATTCCGAACCACGTCAAACGCGCGACAGACAAGGATTTGGATAAGTGGGTGGCACAAAATGAGGACCGGCCCAAGGCCATCCTCTTCACAGAAAAAGGTTCAACCGGCTCATTAATTCGGGCTCTGGCAATTGATTTCTTGGGAGCAATTGATGTCGCCCAGGTTCGTGACAAGGAATCGTCATCAGTTGCAAAATTCGGCGTTTCCCGGTTTCCAGCACTGGTCGTTTTGCCCCGGGGCCGATGCGGAGCCAAAGATCTACGAAGGCGAACTCAAGAAAAAGCCCATCACCGAGTTTCTGAGTCAATTTGCGGCCCCAAACCCGGACGCGACGGGCGAGGCTGCAGGTGACTCTAAGCCAAAATCCAAATCAAAGGCCAAGCCCACCAAGAACGGTAAACCAGAATCTAGAGAAGATGCCGTGGAAAATCAGGAACCGGAGGTCAAGCCCACACAAGAACCAGTTGCTGCGCCATCCATCCCAAGCTTAGAAACTCTCGAGGAGCTCAACTCTAAATGTCTGGGACCAAAAACCAACACCTGCGTTCTCGCCCTAGTTGCAGACCCGGAGAAAGCAAATGTACTGTCGGCATTGTCGGAAATTGCCCACAGACATAGCCAACGCGGAGCGCAGTTATTCCCCTTATTTGATATCCCCAGTGCCAATACTGGGGCCCAGTCTGTGCGTACTCAATTGGGTCTTGGCGATAGCAATCCAGTCGAGCTGCTCGCCATCAATTCTCGACGTGGATGGTGGCGCCGATACGAAACTGCAAATGATCTAAGCATTGCAGCTATCGAGGCCTGGTTTGATGCCGTTCGGCTGGGCGATGGTGCCAAAGAGAAGCTACCCGAAGGAATTGTAGACGCTCCGCAGGACAAGGAGACATCTGACCATGATGAGCTGTGAGACGTAAGAGAGATTGTCTCTACACACAAATGATAAGTAGGTCTGCTGGGTATATTAGCTTATACTAGTATCTTATGGAAAACTATGCAAATTGGCATGTTCTTTTATAATGGGGCCTGTTATAACTATCTCATAGCCACTAGTATGACTTAAGTTCCCTTTCTTTTCTATAGGAGCGTGTAGCGTAGTAATAGAGAGTACGCGCGGCTTCGCCTTCATTTGGTTATTTGGGGTCTTGACTAGATGTGAGATCATCCTCATTCTGGCAAGTCCTCTGATCGCCTTCCCATTCCCTTCGAGAAAGGTCAAAGGAGACGTCTCTTTTGCCCCAAGAGCAGCGTCTCTTATAGCAAAGACCTGCAACGAACACATGCCTCCAACCCACATTCTGAGCAAATCTGGTTGTAAAATGGCCTCCATAGGTGACATTTCTTGCACTCAAGCTGGCCATAGCTCTTGTTCCAGGAGCCAGAGTGCGAGCATAGGCTACCAAGGGAAGCCGATTTTCTGACATGATGTAATGGCGTAGCATCGCGGACTGCACCCTGAAGCTCGCCTAGGAGATCCTCCTTGGTGTATCTGCCTTTGCCACATTCTAGCTTGGCGTCGACAAAAGGCTGCAAGATCTGTAAAAGCTCATTGGGAGGCTTCGAAGGGAGATTCGTTGTCGCATATTGCGCTTCCATACCAAGTTCAGCAATGTACGCATCAGGACTTATGGACTCGATGCCAAAAGGCAGGTCCTTTCCTTCCGCGACTTTTCGGTTTATATTCGAGGGCGTTGGAGTACGCAATTTATTTTCTTCAATCTCATCTCTGGCCCTCTCAACTTCTGGGTCAATTCCAGCCCATTGCATTTCCCAGTCTGGTAAGTCATTCATATGCCGTGCTTTCTCTTCTCTTGATTCAAAGGAGTCAGGGCTCATGTGAACGCTATTCCCATGGGAATAGGCGTAAGCATCATATGTATTATGATGTCGACTGGGATCACGAGCATGGGCACGTGTTGTGCTTGCTTCTCTGTCGTTTTTGAGCTCAACATCATAACGCTCGCGGCGTCTGGGGTCTCGAAGGATCTCCCCCGCTTCTTGAATCTATAGTAAGAATAGACTGGTTAGTCTGTGCATATATTCCAGATCTCTCTCAAATATCTCTCATAGTAGTAGTATGCAGCTGATTGAAGTGGTCAACACGACATACTCTTTGAAATAGTTCCTCATTTCCATCCCCAATCTTGTCCGGGTGGTATTTGAGCGCTTGCTTCTTGTAAGCAGTATCAATGTCCTTCGAATTCGCATTTGGAAAAGACGCCCAGGACCTCATAAAAATCAACGCAGCGTGGCTTAGATGTCATTTTCCTTGCTTGGTGGAGGCGTATGGAAAGAATGGAATCGGATGTGGCCGTGATCCCAGGTTAACCGTCAAAAGGATTTTGGAAGTGAGATGAGACTGTCCAAGGACGGTGAGTTAGTGATGTTCGTTTGAATGGGATGGAGACCTGGAGTCAAGTACTTGTCCTAACCCGTATTTGCAAAAGCTAGAGTAACTAGTAGATGAAAAGATGTCTCATCCACGCTCAAAACTCCAGTGCACTGGGAGGTAGGCTGATGGCAATCTCATAGGTCTTTCAAGTCCTGGTCAAGGTCTACCGCAATTACTGCTCACATTTTAACATAGGATAATCGAGGCACCTCGGATCGGAGCTTGGAAGCCAATATGAAGCTTACCAAATACCTTAGCTGAGACACGGGAAGTGATTACACGGCCCAGCAAATGAGCACAAAGGAAATTGAATGGATTGACACTGATTTTACACAAATGGAGGGTCGATCTAATTATCAACAAAGTCACCCGTTAGAGTTACTTCAGCCCAGAGAAATAGAAGACCTCTACATGTCTTCAGAAGCGGTGGCACCAGTGATGATCTCAACCAGTTCACCGGTAATGGCGGCTTGACGCTGTCGGTTGTACAAGATCTGGAACTTGTTGATCATCTCACCAGCGTTCTTGGAGGCGTTCTCCATGGCGTTGCGACGAGCCTGAGAGCGTGTTAGTAAGGACAGGAAGGCACGGTTAAGGAGAGGGAAGACTTACGGAAATCTCACAAGCGTGGCCCTCAGCCATAGCCCAGAAGATGTTGTTGGCCAGAGCGTACTCGCGGAGACTAGCAAAAGCCTCGTCGTCCACCTCGAAGGCAGAGATGTTGGCTAGATACCAGCACAGTTAGTATCGATGACGCCATAAGATGCTAGGCAGAAATAAGCATGGTCATACCAGACTGGGTAATAGCCTCCTCAGAGAACGCGTCGATGGAAGTGGCCTCGTAGGTTTGAGCGTTCACGAACTTGTTGTAAATGATGCGGATGCTGCTGTAATCGGTGGGGAGCAGAGAGATCTGGTCGGCAACAGCCTGGGCATCGGCGAAGGTAGGAAGATCCTTGCAAACGTTGGAGAAGCTCAATTGGATCTTCTCGGGCATGAAACGCGACAGCTGAGCCTTAGCCTTGTCACCGAGAACGACAATGTCGGCATCCGGGTTCTCGGCAACCATGCGGCGGGTGGCCTTGGTCAGAGTCGAGTGAATACCACCGCAGAGACCCTTGTCGGAGCTAGCCACGACGTACAGAATCTTCTTGTCCTCCAAAGGCTTGGTCTCGGCCTTCTCGAAGACGGTGTTGGAGTTCTCACCGTAGTTGCGAGATTCATCCATGGCTTTCTGGGCACGAGTGAGACGGGTGGAAGCAACGATCTTCATGGTGTTGGTGATCTTCTGGATATTCTTAATGGACTTCAAACGGCCCTCGATCTCACGCAGAGTCGCGAAGTTGGCGGCATTGGGAGGTGCAGCACTTAATTTAAAGTTAGTGAGATGGTTCCGACTTATGCCTCGAAACAGCGTGTCTTGCAGAGGTTCAATGGCGTCGTAGTGATGTCGGACTGGCCGGACGAAAGAACCGGACCACGAGGCAGGTGTCGGAAGAAGAACTTACCGAGTGACAGCGGCGCTGCCAGCGCGCACTGCCGGGCGAACGGCACGAGAGAACATGGCGAACGATGTTTAGAGAAACTAGACGGTCGAGATGGGGAAGGAGGAGAGGAGAGCAGGACAAGGGGGGTTGAGGGACCTCTCGCTGGTTGCTGAGTTGCTCAAACGGGTCCGGGAAGTGCGATTGGAATCTCCCCTGCTCGGCGGATACCGGAAGAACGGACTCATTATTTTCCGAGCTCGCGGGACCTCCATGCATGGCACGTGATCTTTGTATCGCCTCAGGCACTTTCCATACCATTCCCTGCATTCTCCCCAAATTCCCCCAATCCTCGTGCGTGCCTCATACGGCAGCTGTCTTTGCCTCTGGCCCTCTCGTGTTCTCTCCCCATCCTCTTCCTCACCCTTACAATTTTTTACCTTTCGCACAGTGGATGGCTTATCCTTACTAGAACATCTGGTTGTTTTCATTGGTCAGGATTACCTTACTTTCATCCATCTACCAAGCGGCTCGGTTTGCCCGAACCAGCGAGCGCCGTATTGCCTCTTACATCCCTCGATACTTTCACGTCCGGACCTCCCACCTTCACTTGAGGCTCCAGCCGAGAATGAGTTCTTCCGAAGATGATATGCCACTCGCGCGCGCCAATGGCCGTATGAATGGTAAGCTCGTTCCCCGGCGTGAATCGGCTTACTAGGATGTCTGGCCTCGGCTTTTATTCCTCCGTCAAGGACACCCTCTCTGTTCATAAAATCCCCTGCCTCTTACTCTTCCTATCTCTTTCCTTCTTGAATTGAGACCACATCTGAACTATCGCTTCCTCTTTACAATCAGGCCTCCAAGTCATATCTCTCTTCAGTCTCAGTGCCCTAACATGGACTCTTCTACCGCTACAGGAACGTCAGCCTCTGGCACCACGAATGCGCAACCCCAGAATGGCTCCTCGGAGCCAGCAATCTCGATTCGATTTGGCGCCGTCCAAGACAAAGATGTGGAAATGGAGGATGCGGCCACTGGCGCAAGCAAGCGTAAATCTCGAGCTAGCATCGATCAACAGAAGTCCTACGCTGAACCTGAAAGCAGCGAGGATGATGATCGGCCTTTGGTACGCCACCCCGTAGGTCCATAATAATGTCCATTATTTTGGATTGCGACATCATTGTCGCTTTTGGTTTTAGCGACTGACCATCTCGACAGAGTAAGCGCCGTCGAACTTCCGTGAAGCACGAAGACCCTGAAACCGACGACGACGTTCCCTCGCTCTCAATGGCCGGAAGCTCCCCAAAGCCGGTGAAACTGCCATCGGAGACGAGTCAGACTCCGATGTCCCCATCGGGAAAAAGCTTACTGCGCAGAAGAAAAAGATCCAGCAGAAGGCGACTAAGGATGCGAACGGCACGACGAAGCCTGCGCCTGCGAAGGAGACCAAGTCGGCTGCCTCCACGAAAAAGGCCAACGGCGTAAAGAAAGAACCTGCCGATGCCAAGCCCGCTCCCAAGAAGGTGAAGGCTGAGTCAGTAACTCCAAAGAAGGGCAAGAGTCAAGTGAAGGCCGACAGTGAGGAGATGGATGCCGACGAAGACGACGAATACCATTGGTGGGAAGATCCTACCAAGGGCGACGGCACAAAGAAGTGGACCACCCTGGAGCACAACGGTGTGGTATTCCCACCTCCTTACGAACCCCTGCCGGAGAATGTCAAGATGAAGTATAACGGCACCCCCGTAACCCTCCACCCAGATGCGGAGGAAGTTGCTTCATTCTTTGGAACAATGCTGAACTCTGAACATAACGTGAAAAATCCCGTCTTCCAAAAAAACTTTTTCATGGATTTCAAGGATATTCTCAAGAAGACAGGCGGGGCTAAAGATCCTCAAGGAAACAAAGTTGAGATTAAGGAGTTCGACAAATGCGACTTCAGGCCCATTTTTGAGTACCTCCAAGCTCAGCGTGACGAGAAGAAGGCCCTGCCGGCTGCCGAGAAGAAGCGTCTGAAGGCTGAAAAGGAGGCAGCGGAAGCCCCCTATCAGTACTGCATCTGGGACGGCCGCAAACAAAAGGTTGGCAATTTCCGTGTTGAGCCGCCGTCTCTCTTCCGTGGCCGAGGTGAGCACCCCAAAACCGGCCGGGTCAAGACTCGGGTGCAGCCAGAGCAAATCACGATCAATATCGGCAAAGAAGCGACCGTTCCTCCGCCGCCGCCTGGCCATAATTGGAAGGAGGTGAAGCATGATCAGGAGGGCACCTGGCTCGCTATGTGGCAGGAAAATATCAACGGCAACTACAAGTACGTCATGTTGGCGGCCAATTCCGATGTCAAGGGCCAAAGTGACTACAAGAAGTTCGAGAAGGCCCGAGAGCTCAAGAAGTATATCGACAAGATCCGCAAAGACTACAACAAGGCTCTCAAGCATGATATGATGGTAGAGCGCCAAAAAGCAACAGCTGTTTATCTAATTGATCAGCTGGCACTTCGTGCCGGTAACGAGAAAGGTGAAGATGAGGCAGAGACGGTTGGCTGCTGCTCACTCAAATATGAGAACGTCAGTTTAAAGCCCCCGAACAAGGTTATCTTTGATTTCCTTGGTAAGGATAGTATTCGTTTCTATGACGAGGTCGAGGTGGATCCACAAGTTTTCAAAAATCTCAAGATTTTCAAGAAGGCTCCCAAGAAGGAGGGCGATGAGATCTTCGATCGCTTGACGGTAAGATACGTCACTCGAGATTTTTTGATCCTATAGACTAACAATTATAGACCTCTGCACTGAACAAGCACCTGCAAAATTACATGCCCGGCCTCACTGCAAAGGTTTTCCGTACCTACAACGCGTCATTTACCATGAGCAATCTTCTCAAGGAAATGAAGGCCACAGGAACCATTCCTGAGAAGGTCAAGGCTTACAACGATGCTAATCGTAAGGTCGCTATCCTGTGTAACCATAAACGAACAGTCACTGCTTCTCACGCAAACCAAATGGAGAAGATGAGTGAGCGGGTAAGTGTCACTGACAAAAGCCTGGTTTTTCCAAAACTAAGCAAATCTCGCTTTACAGATCAAAGGACTTCGGTACCAAAAGTGGCGTCTCAAGCAGCAGATGCTTGCATTGGAGCCAAACCTCAAGAAGAAGAAGGGCGCCTCTTTTTTTGCGCTTGATGAGGATCTCACTCCAGAGTGGCTCCAGGAACACCAAGCATTCCTCATCGAGGAGCAAACCGCAAAGATCAAGAAGAAGTTCGAGAAAGACAACGAGAAGCGTGTGTCCGATGGCGAGAAACCGATGAAAGACTCAGAACTCACCGAACGACTTGAGGTGGTGAAAGAAATGGAGAAAAAGTTCAAGCAAGAGAATAAAACGGGCAAAGTTGAACCCGAGGGAAGGGCTCCTACCGTGGAAAAACTTGAAGCAAACATTGAGAAACTCGACCAGCGCATTGCCACCATGTCTGTCCAAGCGCAGGACAAGGAGGACAACAAGGAGGTAGCGCTTGGCACCTCCAAAATTGTAAGTCACTAGGCCTTCCCGCTGCCGTTCCGTGTTAGCTAACAGCCCTGCAGAACTACATTGATCCTCGACTCAGTGTGGTCTTCAGCAAGAAGTTCAATGTGCCTATTGAGAAGTTCTTCTCTAAGGCACTTCGTGAGAAGTTCGAATGGGCCATCAAGTCTGTTGATGAGGACTGGGAGTTCTGAACGACTCCCCCTTTGACTATCTGGCCGCCCTTTGACGCCATATTAGACCATCTGGTGCCTTTTACTGCTTTGCTATTTCCCAGCTTTGTCTTTGTGAGGATATACCGGTCCTCTTTCCCGCTTCCCGTATTTTCGACTCGATTTGTTTGCTCTCCCCCCGCCCTTTCCCTCTGTCTTCGCGCCATGGATTCGAACAAATATGAGTTCTGGCTCGAGGCAATTCCAAGATACAAAAGAAAAGAAACGAAAAGAAAAGAAAAGACGCACTTGATGACCATAAGACGCGCATTGCATGGCACCTTGCTGGCTTTCTATACTTCACTTGAACCCCCATTCGACTTCCGCATTGGTATTGACTGGTGCGTTCAGTCAGTACATGAAATACATCTTTAGGAAGATCGCTCGCATGTATTTTATTCCACCTGTCTGCAATCTCGGATATTAAAAAAAAAAAAAGATAGAAAAGAAATCCAACATATTGAATTCAACATCCGTATCAAAACATCTAAACAGAACGCCATGGCACCATGATCCTGACAAACTGGAACCTACCAATCAGTGAGTAGTATGGTATAGGAGGATTTGAAGGCTCCGAATGTTTATGCTACTACTATTAATAATAAACGAGTCGAGCACTAAATTGTAAGATCTGACATTCCTAAAAATGAACTAGTTACTGGCCGTGCCTCTAAGAAGCCCTCTTGCAGTGGGAAACAAGTGTTGCTGGCGAGGGACTGCACAACAATGCTGCGGCATGCATTACAGCTTGAAGGAATGACCAATCAACAAGGAGTATTCAGGCATCAGTGACGCTGAAAAAGAGTGGTAAGTCTTATGAATCATGCTCGCAGCTCATCCAATCATCTTTGGCATTTTCTGTTGACCCCCGAGGCTTTCTCCTGGTGTTCAACTTGAAGTACTGGGCCTGGACCGCTCAAACACCTCATCTCCTCAAATGCTGTCGGCTTCACCTGGTTCAGAAGAAGTTGATATTGTTCTTGTAGACCATGAAGAAGCTCATGATTTCACCGAAGATTCCATTCTTCCACTTGCCAGCAAAGGAGCGGACACAAATCCGGAAATGGCACACCCTACAACCAGAAGAACAGTGAATATTCTAGACACCTTGCATCCTATCTCGGTGGCATTTCGAAATGGATCATAGACACTAATACCTACAAGCAACGGCATCGAGGTAGCGAAAACGGGCTGCTCTAGAAAGTCTGTCATGGCTGCTTCAGTCGTCGACCAGTTGAGGAAAGAAGAAGCTCGTGTTCTGTTCTTTTTCTTTCGACAAATTCTTGAAGTCAACCATCAACTTATAGCTGTGTTACGTGACTGGGTATGCCAAATTCTGATGGGAAGACTAATTCCAACTTGCTTCCTCCATGTCGCAATTGAACCACTCGATATTCACGAACCAAGGAAATGGGACGAGAGCACCCCACCGCATTGCCCAGGATGTAGCTCAAGGCCCCGAGGGGGGCCCTGTTAGCTTTCTTGAAGTATACGCCCAATCTCAATGCTGGATATGCCAATGCTGATACCGCTCTCCATGTGGCTATGGAAGTCGGGAGAGACCAAAAGAGACCAAAAGGAGGCCTGCATTGCCGCTTTTCTGTCTGCAGGAGCCGATTCTAGAATTCAAAACAGGCAAGGCAATATACCTTTGCATTTCATAGGTTGTTTCAAGGATTACCAGATAGCAAAGATGGTTGTGGAAGCCGATGCAGGGCTTGAAACTCGGGACCACAACGGGGAAACTGTTCTCTTCTGTTCGGTTGGAAGCGATCAGTCAACGATAAAGTGAGCCAAGACTTTATATCCTTGGGCGCTCGTGTTGATGCTCCGGACTTCAAGGGCAGGAATGCACTCCATCATTCCCTGAATTCAGATGAGATGGTGAGGGATCTGATTGGCTTGGGTCTTACCCTGCCGCTCCAGACTACGAAGGTGATACATTCTACGTCTCTGGCCTTCAACGCCACGCCCATGGGGACAGTCGCATGCTTGATGATATGGAGCGTTGGTCTGAACTAGGCGTGGACACTGGCAAGCTGAAATATTGTGGAAGAAGAGTGTTACCTGCATCGTGCACAAAGCCAAATTCTATACACGAACACACTGCAGTTCAGTGCTTATAGCATGTTCTTCGTGTACCCAAAAACCTTCACATGGCCAATTTTGTTGGTGTCGACCCAATACATTTTGCAGCTGCGACATCTACAGCCTCTGTAAGGACCATCTTCTCCATGCCGGCGCGGACATCATACACAATGACTCCTACTACTAGTAGCAGCCCAGGATGTTATGCTAGCAAGGCTTGTGATATGTAATTGCAGGGGCGTCGGCCTTGACGTAAGCCATACTTAGGATTGCCCAGGTGACCGGTATTTAGGCTCCTAAATAATTGGTTCAACGCCCATCTGGGAGGTCTACTTGATAGAAAGCAAAAAAGAAGTGTATACCGGTTTATGTCTCTAGATCACGTACAAATCCAACGAATCATGTTCTAGCGTCAACCGTATCAACGAAGAGGAAAGGAAGCAGCAAAAGAGGCTCAGATGCAAATGCACGTTCGTTTCAACGAAAGGCACAGGGAATATATGCGAGAAACGAAAATGAATAGGCTAGACCATCAGGAGGCTCCCAAATGAGGTAAGAAGAACCAAGGTTCAAAATATAGAGGGAAGAGGTATCATAGAACGAAGAAAGACCTGAGAGAGTCGTCCAGGGTCTGGTCTTGTTGAGTGTTCTTTGCCGACACAATGCGATGCGACATAGGGAGGTTTCGGGAATCTCTCCTCGACCTCGTGCACCAGATACCGGTCGCAAGTCGGATGGAAGAGGTGTACGAAATGGATCCCCGAGGCGCAGTCGTCTTTTTCGCTTTCCTTGATGTTCTTGGTTTGGTACTGACGGGTACTGATTGAGCTCATGGCCACCAGTTCATCCGCTTGTAGCTCTCCACCATCTCGCGAACGCTGTCTGCATTGAAGGTTTCGTATTTGGGCTTCCAACCGGTCGTGCTTTCGAACAGCGATCCATCAACTGACATATCCTGGTCCCGGCAAACTTCACGTTCAATGAAGGGGCCGATCGGACCGGGCGAGGGATCTCCTTCTTGGCGACCAGCTCTGCCCATTCCTGCAAGTTGACTTCGTTCATGTCGTCGAGGACCTCATCCAGGTTCAACTTGGCCAATTGGGAAGCAAGAGATCCAACGAAAGAGACTTTGAGACCGAATACTTCGGTCAGGGCTTCCGCCAAATGCTGCTGTTTGGTATCGTTGTGGTCGACAACGTTGAATGCTATCGGCCGGCTCGAGTCCTTGAATATGTCCGGTATTTTCGGGTTACTCGGCTCAAGCTTTCCCACGCTCGCGCGCCATTCAGCAGCCCTCCAGAGTGCCGAGGCGGCATCCCTGACGTGCAGCGTATTCACCTTCACATCCTTGTTGTACAGTAGGTCGAGGTCCTGCTGCATTTCCACGTTCACACGGGCCACGCAGATGAGCATCGCAAAATAATCCGAGTTGTACGCGCCGTAGACATGTGGCAAGCGCAGGGCGCAATACTGCAGATTGGGGATCTTCATCAGTTCATCCGACGCCTTGATCTTCCACTTGGCCAAATTATGCCATGGTTGAATCTTATCGGTTTCTTTGCGCGGGTGTGGAGGAGGCTTTGTAGACATGTGCGGTCGAAGTCTCAACAAAGGCCGAGATCCCACGGCGAGCGCACTCTTTAGCCAGGGTCATGGTCAGCGCAAAACTGCGAGCCTCGTACACATCGTCTGGCTGGGAGTGGCGGGTTTCCCCGCCGCAATTGATCACGTAGTCGAATTCCTTGCCATCAGCCCGGTCGAAAATGCGAGGAATGTGCTCTGCTGCCGGGTTAGTTCCCTCGCTTCTTTCGTCGTTTTCTCCGAGATCTAACGGAGCGACACTTACGTTCGCGGCTAGCATCGGCCTGGACGAACTTCTCCTTTGAACATGCCTCCTCGAATTCGGGGGCCAACCATGCGAGCTGCGGAAGTACCTTGTCGACAATGCGAACCTCCGAGGCCAGGTTGTTTTCGTGGAGATAGAGAGCCAGGTGACGGCCAATGAAGCCTAGCGGAAAGGGTCCGGGATAAGCTGATTGTATATGAGGGGTTACAAAGGGGGGGTCAAGGGGGAGGCTATTCCGTACCGAGACCACCGATAATCAAGACGGTGGGTTTTGAGGAGTCGGCCATGGGCACAATCGATCTCTACCCGCGTAGAGATGAAGATGAAATTCAAGAAAAGGGGGGAGGAGAGAAATCAAAGGAGGGGGGAAGAAGGGAAAGTGAAACCCACGAACTCCCATGGAGGAGTAAATGCACTATACTTGCGCCAAACTCCACAACAAACCCACCCCAATCCACGTCCCACCTTCCCACGGGCGGTCGCTAGAAAATTCCGGAATGTTGAGCATTTGGGATCCTTTCTCCCCCCCTGCCAAGGCCCCCTCCTATGATCCAATTAATTTGGTTCGGTGACGCCGTTGATGTAGAGCCGGCCAAGTGGGTTTTACGGTGGATCTTTCGTGCATGATCGAAATTCAAGACACTTTTTTGGGCGAACCTCGGACCCCTTGGACCGCAGGTGTGGGATTCTATGGGAGGGGTCTTTCCCGCCTCTGTTCATTTCTGATTGTAGTTCCCGGGGGCTTTTGTTCAATGTTGTCCAGGGTCTGCGAGGGGATTCCCACCGCACTGGGACTCTGGTGGTACGTGGGAATTGGGGCTCTGGGGGATCTCCCCGACCCAAGCTTTGGATTAATTGATTGATTGGTATTCCAAATTATGATTTCGACCCTTTTTTGGTAGCCGATCAGACTAAGGCGTTTGTGAACTCCACATCCCTGCTTCCTTTAACCCGGCCGCCCCTCTACGGTTCCATCTTGAGGATCACGCGAATCTCAAATTCGAATACCGTCAAGTCGCCTCGCTCCTGGGCCCGCCACGCACAGCCTACCCGGTTCATCAGCGCCCGCAGATCCTCGTCCCGGTGCCCGCGGATGATAAATTCTACCCGCGACCACTGCAAACGCACCACCGCGTAGCGGCGTCGAAGGCTCGGCATCTCGTCGTAGAATTGGGGGGACGGGTCGTCGAGATCGATCACCCCGGCATGGCTCTCCATCTTCGCGAGGAAGGCCGATGACGACGGGAATACCTCGAAGGGCACGCAGACAGCCTCTATCTCGGACTTCTCCTCTCGGACTAGGAAGTAGGTGGCTTGGAAATTTCGCGAGACAGGATCGGCATCGTGCAGCGATAAATACTGAGTGGCGTTCAGTTGGCCTGGAAGGTGGGGAGGATCAATCAGCGGAGCACCGGGCAGGGACCAGATGCCAGATGACATTTGGGACCGTGAGAAGGGCGACTATTCTTACCTGAGGTTGCCGCCGCGACCAATTGACTGTCCAACTCTGCATCTTTCATGTTTGCTTTTTCTGCTTTGGCCCCTGAGTCCAACCCTTTGGGGTTACCCTGCGGGGAAGGCGCGTCGCTGGCCGATGCGAAGGGTCGAGACTCGATCACGATCTGAGGTCATACATCAATCAGCCTTCTCCATCCCGACAGAAGTAATCGGTCGTGTCGATAGCTGGCACAACGCGTGCGCTTTGGATCAACATACCTCGGCGATAGAATCGCGTCGACGTTTAGACATCTTTTCCAGTAGTAGTTTGATGGCTTGGGTGATCCTTTACCACCGGGGTTAGCCCGATCGCTCAAGTGAAATGACTCTCTGATCAGGATATTTACTGACACTCTCTGGTTGGCGGGATAACGGAGGACACTCCGGTTCTCAATGTTTCGCTGCAACATGAATTTCTTGCGGCTCTCCACTGAACCCCAATATTCCTTGCCGACTTGGTTCACGAATCGCTGAGCCATCTCGAGGCGCTTGGCTCCATCGGTCGATATCTCCTTCCAACTAGACGCACATATCACATACTGGACTAGCCGGACTTTGAAACCTTCCCACCATTCTGGGCGAAAGTCGAGGAAGAGTCGGAACATATCAAGCTTGCTGGAGCTAGTAAGCTCGATTTCCTCGAGCTCATCATCGTCATCATCGTCATCATCGTCATCATCGTGTGATGCAACCATCTCTTCTGCCAAAGCTTCTTCTGCGAAAGTGGGCTCGTGCTTGACAGAAGCGCTGCGGAGTACAGGGCGCACCATCGATACGCAATAGAACTCTTTTCACGGTGGGTAAAGGAGGGGAAATGCTTTGGGAGGTAGGGGCATCAGAAGTGAGAGTGGGTGGGCAGAATGGAGACTCTGGAGACGACAGTAAAGCTTCTCATCAAAGCACCCGAGAGCATCTCCCAATGCTCCCTCATACGAACTATGAGCAGAAGTACATGTTCAAATCCAGGCTCATGCCTGCTTTATTAATTAACAGAGCTAAACTAAACGCAGCATTCATATTGTGTACTGCTCATGGTATGCCTTTCTATTCCGCACCAAGGTACCTCAGAGAATTCCTGAGTTCCTTGATCGCCGTGTCAACATCGTCAAATGTCATTGCAGAAACAGCCCACCGCGCGTGTTTCTGTGCTAGCGCAATAGCATTGTCATCTACTGTGTGAGAAAGTTGACTCGATACGGCTGGCGCAGGAGCCACGGGCGCAGGGCTAAATGCAGGCCTAGGGTTTGCCGCGGCTGCTGGTGCCGGGATGTGAGCACTAGCATTTGACGGGCTATAGAACGAGGCTGGGTCGGGGGCAGGGACAGACGGGCTAGCCGTTGGTGGGGGGAATGACTGGAAAGAGTCTGGTTGTGAGGGACTGGGAACGTGAGCATAAGATGAACCCGGTGTGTCTGGTAGCTGGGGTATAGAGCTGGGCCCCCCGAGGGCATCTGGGGCCGAGGGAAGACTGAGCTCGCCAGGCACCGAATCAATGTTCATTTCTCTTCCCGGGGTCCCTGGTGCGTTTTGGGGAACGGACGGAATCTCGGGCGGTGTAGCAGCTTGAGCAGGAGGGCGAGGGACTGAAGACGTTCGTGACGGGTGTAGCGATTCATCAAGAGATGACTGATGGGCTAATTGTCGACCAACACGGTCGGCCTCGTCGGATATCTCCTCCACCGAAGCTTGACGAGGCTTAGATGCTTGCTCGGCCACAGACTCATCGAATGCCTGTACATCGGGCTTGTCGATAGTAGCTTCTTCTTCCTCTTTCGGTGCCGGATTGGTGTCATTAGGGTCCTCGCCGGCCTTTATGGCCTTGACGATTCGAACCGCATGGTATTTCGCAAATTTAATTCGGCCCGCAATCTCTGGATCAAGGTCTCCCCATACTTGACACAATTCCAGGAATGTAGCAGCCGCTTGGAAGGTGTCCGCCGTCTGTCTACATACCGAAGTATATGAGTATCTTGCAGTGTTCAAGGGAGGTCGCGCAGAACTCACTTTGTAACTTTATTCGCTGCCATAGCGGCCTCGGCACGACCAAACACCTCAAGTCCAAATTGTTCCACATACGCACTCGCTGCGACATTATCGGTAATTGTTTCATTATCGGGGTTTTCGCTTTTGAACTATGACCAGTCATAACCGTAAGCGCCTACACCTCCTCCCGCAACCAGATGAAGCAAGACTGGGCGCAACGAACCTGCTCGAGTTTGTCCACCAAGTTGGTTGTATAGGTCTTTATTTCGTCATCCGTATTATGTAAACCCCTCTCGATAATCTGGTTCACGATGTGGAAGTTACCTGGCGATTAAACGATAAGATCAGCAGGGGCGGCCGTCTCGTGCGGGGGAGACAGCAGCTTACACCAGTAGGCCACCACGGGCTTGACCTTCTCAATTTGCACAGCGCGCAAGGCAAAGCGCCCAATATCTGCTGTGCGAAGCCTAGCAGGAATACTACTGGCCATGGTGAAGGCAAAACGTGGGAAAGTTGAAGGGTGGGGAATGTCGCCTGAAGCAGATGACGTCTGGAGCTTGGACATGCATCCCACCGCCCGTGCGGCGCTGGAGCCGCTTTATGCTCTGTGTCGACAGGTCTATTCTGGGCCCAAAATTGAATGTGATTGGATGATTACCTCTCAGGGCTTAAGCTGAAGAGTCTAAGGAATGAAACAAACCCGAATTGCAGAATTATTGCAATTTATCGCCAAGTATAAGGGAATCTACCCACGACTCAAGGATGGGTATTGCCGGCAGGAATACAGTAAACACAAGGTTGTAGATACACCGCTCGTTGGGCCGCTTTTATACTATTGATCACAGAAAACTCGCAAGACAATTCGCTTGAGCCTGCTGTGATTTTCCATGACAAAAACAGGGCCCCAAGGTGGGCTAAGTCACAGCTTAGTACGGAGGTTTCCAATTGGCAGGCGAATTTCTTAATCCTGGTTACCGTTACTGACTTGAGGTTTGAGACTCGCGTGTCTATCGCTTCCGAACTTCGAAGTGGCCTTGCCATTGACATTTTTTTTCTGTAGGTATCATCGAAGGTTAGTGAGTATGGCTCGCATGGTAGATTGGGGACCTTCCCACAACGGTGCAGAAATCACGTTCAAGACAATGAAACTGATCCCCATCATATTATCATTGACCGCTATCTCTGAACTCTTCTATTTTTTATACTTGACTTTCTAGTACAAGAGCAGATGATCATGCATCCTCCACAAGCCATTCCCCAATCTCGACTCGCTCTTCGGCGAGCGCTTCTACTTCAAGCTGGTCCTCAACTTGCCCACCTGGGCCCCCAATCCTTTCGATCACGATCCATACTTTTTGTCGTGACTCTGAAGTAGGCCCCAAATCAAAATCCTCGACACGCACGCCAGATGCTGCATCACTGTGGGTTCCATCTTCGGAAATAGCTAGGGTTTCTTTATATGGGCCCTGACCCCGCTCTACGGTCATTAGTACTGGCGAGGGGGCTACCGCGCGAGACCCGATAGTCGATGATCTGTTCCTGGCAATGAGCTTGAGTCGCGTGAGTCGCGACACATGCAAAGGAGCCAACATGCGATCCTTGCCTGGTAAGAGGACCCCAACTCTTGATAAAGTCACGCGACGGCCTGCATTCTCCGGCGACAATTGCTTGACCGCACAGGGTACGGTGGACGATATCCAGAGCGTGAAGCTGCCGAGCTGGTCGGGAGCAAAAGTGGAGCAAACTATAGTGTAGATGCCTTGGTCCAACGCCTTTTTCTCGGCGAGTGCGCATCCTCGGCGATAGTCGCCGCTGTCAGCAATCATATCCCGATTCCGTACGCGGGAGACACGTTGGCCGTTGGACCAGAATAGCTTCACATGCGTGGCAAGGTCCACCTCCTTGCATTCGAGGAGAATAGACACGTCGGTCGTTTCGGAGACTTGCAGGCTGAACTGCGGGTTGGCAGAGTATCGGGCAGAATCAGAATTCCCACCGGCAGTTAGCACACTCCAGCTGCCAGCGGCCTTAGTAAGGCACATGTACTGGTGTTCTGAAGGGGAGATTTCTATGGGAGCATTTGAGAATGCCGAGAGCGTGAAGTTCTGACTCGACGAAGGCAGTGATTGTTCCGAGACAACTGCAGTCAGAGTAGTCCGAGGTGCCATTTCCAGTCTCATCAGGGTATTAGGTGAGTCCACATATGGTCCGCGGTGCAGTGCTCCATCATTCAAAGTCACTCTCTTCCCATCTGCTTGGAAAATATAGATACTTATGAACCCTAGGCCTCCGTCATCCGGGTCGTGACTTTTGAGGCGATGATGTTGATCGGTTGTGAAGTGCTTTCCGAGCAAAAGCCAAACAGTGCCACCAGATTCACTATGGACGGCAAACTGCGGGTTTCTGAGAAAGCAGCCGGGAATGCCATTGCCTTGAGAAAGATCCCAGTTGAAGTGAATGTCCTCGCGACATTGGAAAAGTCTCGGGTTCCAATTGAGGTAGAGATTTTCAAAGTTTTGCCAGACTTGCACACTATTCATCCAGAACGTCCCCGGCGCGAGAGATGGTTGAGAGTCATCGCCGGATTCAAGATGATTGCTTTGGATCGTTGGCTCTGCTCCAGCCCATGGATTCTTGAGTAAGAAACGTCCACGGCCATTGATCTCTTTCATATCCAGAATAGCATAGTCGTGTTCACTCACTAGTCCCAGGCCTTGCTCTTCGAGATCAGTCAATTTTCCCGTCCCAATTGTCAATACCACATCTCCCCGTAGGAACGACTGATACATTCGCGTCCAGATCTCTTCAGGTGTTGCGTCCTCGCGATGTAGAAACACTTGTTCCGGAATCCATCCGGTCAGGACCCAGAGGTCTGTCCCCGAGTTGCTTCCAGGGAAATCATAGCCACCGCGGACTTTCAAGTAGGCCTTCTCCACAAGAGCAGGCCATAAGAAGTTCGGATTGTTGCGGTCTATCACATGAAGAGATCGCTTGGTTTTTGACGAAGGCAGTCGGTCATCGATTATAACCCTCCTGAAACTTCCGTTGAAATAAAAGCAAAAGATATACTTCCCAGAAGGTGAAAGCACAGGCTCTCCTGTATTCCCGTCACATGGGTATATCGCTGGTGAAGCGTCCTGGAAGAGGTCAACTACTGTCTGACAATCATGAGATTGATAAATAAGGCATACCGTGCCTCGACCACGCTCCGATCGAGATGTTATTGCACAGAGACTAGCAACTACCGAGCAATCCGTCAAGACATCTTGTACAAGGTCAGTGGTGTTTGCTACCGACATAACCGGGCTAGTCGCCGTTGTCGTCTGCTCTATCTCATTCCGTGCCTGCAGGAGTTCGCGGGGTCGCTTCCACCCCGCAAATATGTCATCTTGGACACCCGATAGCTCCAGATCCGGCTTGTCTCTGGTGTTGATCAGCACTTGTATCCATACAGCCCAGACCTTTTCCTTGGGTCCAGCATTGAGTGGCAGTGCGCCAACAAGCATGATACATACAGAAAAGGTTGGTCTTCCTCGATAAAATCAGCCGCAGTAGGCGGGCGCTCCCAAGGATGGAACTTGAAGCCATTTAGTTTCGCACCTTCCAGGAGAATGATTTCCTCCCGGGTGGTGAGCTTCCGCCTGGAGGCGGGAGGAGCGGTTCGCGGGTGCTGCGACGGGCGACCGATCGCCAATCGCTTGCGGATTTAATCTTCTCAGCATGAGTCAAGAGTTCCTTGCATTTCGCATCAAGATGCCTTCTGTCGTCTACTGGGGCCAGGCGTAAGGCTTTCATATAATGCTCCACGGCATTGATCGCGGCACTTAATGCTTCCTTCTGCGAATTTGCAGTGGAAATGGCGCTCTCGGATTTCTAAAGGCTTGTCAGCTACGGTACGAGTTCGGAGGAGGTCTCTCATCATATACGGGGGCATATACCAAGGCGTGAGATAAATGCGATTGCTGTGTTGGGCCATTAGATAGAGGCATGCCGAATCTGATAGGCCTCAATCTTTGTTACGTTGGATAAGGAAGATGGGAGTCGCGGCGCCCCGCAGTGGCTCTGGCAGTTGCCAAAGACTAGCCAAGCTCCAGAACATGTATGCTTATCATGCGGCCACCCCTATACAATGGTGATCTACATGGTGTATTCGACATAGCCTGATATTTCTACAGAGTATATGCGATCGACCCTCGTAATAAATCCCCATATCAGATTGAAATGTCCGTGTCGACCCGCTCGTAACGTTATGACGATGGCTGACATAATCAGCCCGATTGACCTCGGCTCAATTGCCCATGGCGCCGAGGTGCTTCTGCGTCTTGTGGTATTGTCTGGTTTGGTTGAGCTCGGGCGAGCATTTCGGGTGTCATCGGTGTCATCGGTTAACGTGCTAATTCCTGGTCACAAATCTGGGTCTTCAACTTTCTGTCTCTCCCGTTCGACCGTTGACCTGTTCGTCCCCGGAAATCACCAGTACTAGACGCCCCGCTCCCCATTTCCCCTTTTGGTCCGACTATTCTCGCTTTCTTATTGCTTTCGATCCTCTCTTTTTAATTGTCTCCTCGCGTCCTCGATAGCTTCGGCGAGCTCATATAAACCATGGCTGGCCAATCTAAACCGGTGCGCCTCTCTCCATGGGGAAGCGCCGTCGCAGGTGCATCCGGTGCCGTTCTGGCAAATGCGATGGTATACCCACTAGACTTGTGAGACTGCCTTATTTGATCGTCGGATCTACCACTTTTCAAACAAGAAACAATGATCTTCTAACTATGATACTGATATAGGATCAAAACGAAATTGCAAGTTCAGGTGAAACAGGTCAAAAGCGATCAAGGGGCACAAGAAGTCGAACATTTCGAAGGAACTCTGGATGCCATTAAAAAGATTGTGGAGAAGGAGGGTGCGAGTGGTCTATACCAGGGAATGGCTGGATCTCTCCTGGGTGTGGCCTCGACCAACTTCGCGTACTTCTACTGGTACAGCACGGTTCGAACATTGTACATGAAGACGAGCAAATCTTCCAGCGCTCCAAGTACCGCAATCGAGTTGTCCCTCGGTGCAGTGGCGGGTGCCTTGGCCCAACTTTTCACCATCCCGGTCGCCGTTGTTACTACTCGCCAGCAAACACAACCCAAGAACGAGAAAAAGGGCCTGATCGAAACGGGACGAGAGGTTATTGAAAGTGAGGACGGCTGGACCGGCCTCTGGCGTGGCTTGAAGGCCAGTCTCATCTTGGTCGTCAACCCTGCTATTACTTATGGCGCCTATCAACGATTGAAGGACGTCTTCTTCCCTGGAAAGAATAATTTGAAGCCATGGGAGGCATTTTGTGGGTCCTAATCGGCGAATATGTAGAAGAACGCGAGTGCTGATCCTTTTGTTAGTCCTTGGAGCTGCCTCGAAGGCCCTTGCCACTATCGCGACCCAGCCTTTGATTGTTGCAAAGGTTGGTTTGCAATCCCGGCCCCTGCAAGTCGACAGGGAAAGCCATTCAAGTCTTTCGGAGAAGTCATGAAATACATCATTGACAACGAGGGAATACTTTCCCTCTTCAAGGGCATTGGACCCCAGATCCTGAAGGGCCTTCTGGTTCAGGGTCTCCTTATGATGACCAAGGAAAGGTAAACCGAACCCCACTCCCAGGAAGTAAAAAGTATCCGCGATTCTAACCAGCTTGCAGAATGGAAATCTTGTTCATTGCCCTGTTTGCCTATCTCACTCGCGTTAAGAAGAGCAAATTATCAAAGGCTGTTGACGCTGCGGCTGATAAGGCCAAGACCAGCCTGCCTGCAACTTTGAAATAGAACCGACTTTTTATATTTGCCTTTTCGATAATCTCTCTTCTGGGTCGTTTCCGGCGATGGCGTGGTATTTTATTCAATCTCGCTTTTGTTTTCTGGCCAGTCTAGGCATCATACGGCATGGGCTGTGAGAGAACTCGCATGACCATCGGTATTTCTCATCGTGTTACCCACGAGCACTTATACTAGTACTCTTGAATCTGTTGATACGGCACATGGAAGCAGAAGAGATGAATAGATCCTGAATAGATCTGTACATAAATAAGCCGTTTTGTACCGCAAACTCGATCCTTAAAAAAGAAAAACGGATTCCTAAATCAGGAAACAATCCATTCTCGTATCGTCTCTGTACGAATGAATCTTCGATTCTTTTCATCCCAAGTTTGGGCTGCGTGGTGACAGTAGTTGCACAATACTCGACGGGACGCAATTGGGCTCAAGCTCCTACATAACTCCGCGGGCCGCACTCCGATCCCGACAACACTCACGTCTCTTCCCCCTGCCCCTCAATTCTTGCCCGGGCAAGGACAGAGGTCGTCATGCGATGGCCGCCATGGAGTTCCCAATCGAGTGACAAAGGTCAGAACGACAAGGTCTTGGGATCGTCCGAGCCGTCAGCGCCTCCGAACAACGCGAGCTCCATTCTCGATTGGAAAGCTTTCACAGAGCCCCAAACCCTGGTGTCATCGATCCTCCTGACAAGCGGAATCCTACTTGCTGTGCGTTTTCAGCGTCACTACCTCCGCCGCATTACCGATGCCCCCAGCATCTCCCCCCTCTTGGCTCAGACGTCGGACCGTGTTCGGACAGGTTACGAGTGTCGGCGACGGCGATAATTTCAGACTATACCATACTCCCGGAGGAAGGCTTGCAGGATGGGGCTGGCTGCCCTGGAAGAGAGTTCCCGTCAACAAAAAGGAGCTCAAGGATCAGACAGTAAGTTATCAGCAAAAACTGCCGAAGCTGGATTCACTTGGGCTTTTTATTTCCACGTCTCTATCCGCGCGGTTTCTAATTCATGGTTATGGGACCAGATTCATATTCGTTTAGCTGGTATCGATGCGCCTGAGCTCGCACACTTCGGCCGCCCCGAGCAACCCTTCGCCCGCGACGCCCACGCCTGGCTTACTTCATACCTGCTCAACCGCCGAGTCCGGGCGTATGTATACCGGCAGGATCAGTATTCCCGCGTTGTCGCAAGTGTGTACGTTCGGCGAGCTTTTGATTTGCCTCCATTTCGGCGAAGGGATGTGTCCTATGAGATGCTAAAGCGTGGGCTGGCAACGGTTTACGAGGCAAAGGCAGGGTCAGAATTCGGAGGGCCTGATAAGGAGAAGAAATATCGCAAGATAGAGCGGTGGGCCAAGGCTCGCGCTAAGGGCCTTTGGAAGGACTACGGCCGTACTGGCTCTGACTGGGAGAGTCCACGCGAATGTAAGACCCGCATGGGCCTGGCCGATGACGAGAAGAAATTGAAACTGTGACCTCTCTCTTTGGCGCCTAGTCTTTATGCTAGCGCCCTCTTTTCCACTGGGTGTAAATTATGAAATTGATACGATCATAGCATTATATATGAGACTCATGATACAGAGATATGTATCTCGGGGACATTCGTTGGTACTGTACAAGGGCGCTGAAAGATTGCGCCATAATGTACATGCACAAAAGGGGCACACACCCTAGTTATCTAAGCCCCTGTAACATGCAATGTAAATATCGCTGTGTATCATACATACCGTACTCAATTGGCCTAGCAGAACCGCCGCTCGACTTCCGCATATAATTGGGGAGAAATTTCGTCACTGGAGTTACCCTCCACACGCCACAAACATCCACGTTTGTCGTAGTGGTCCAGGAGGGCTCGGCTAGTTTCTTCAAACTTCTTCAAACGCTGCTTCCATGTATCAATGGAATCATCCTCTCGTTGCGTCAGTGGCTCGCCTGTGACATCGTCCTTGCCAGGAACTTTCGGTGGGTGGAAATCGGTATTATAAACACGCCCGGAAGGCTCGTGGACCCAGCGCGATGCGATCCGGGAAAGAATTACGGATGGAGGAGTGAGAAGGTGCACGACAAAGTTCACAGGTACAAGAGTATCGAGACTGGCTGCTTGTGTAGCCGTACGGGGAAGCCGTCAAGAATGAAGGATGCAGACGGTGATAATGTGGGAGTCTGGGGATTTTGAGTGGCGGAAGACTGTGAGGGAGGGAGCCAGCCCTTGGATTGGAGTTCGGAGGATATCAGGTTCAGAATCATCGAGTCAGGGACCAAATTGCCCGATTGCATAGCTTCTTCAGCTTGAAGGCCTATTGGGTATCTGTTAGCCGGCTCTGAATCTTGCAATGGCCGGAGGGCATCTTTAGACTACTCACCCAGGGGTGTCCTGCGGCGCACATTCTCTCGCAACAAGTCCCCCGAGCTGATCGAAGCCAGTTGTGGAAAGCGCGCCAGTAATCGTTCTGACTGTGTTCCCTTTCCTACCCCTGGAGCACCGATTAGGATGATGCGCGCAGCCTTCTTCAGCTGCTTGGTTGTGTGCGACATCCTGGATGTGGTCTCGAATGTCTGGCGCGGAATTCTTATTTCCGGACAATAGAGTTGCCGAGGTGTTCCTGGGACTGGGCGGAATATTGTAGGATGCCGGAAACTCAATAGCCGACGAGCCTTGGGATACTATACCGGAGAAGACGTCCTGAAGAGGAGCAGAAAAGGGTTTGCGCAAGCGCAATTTGTAAGCTTAATCTACATCCTCAATTCCCCGAAGTTGGCTTTCCGTGGGGTTGCGCACGGGTTGCCTGTCTTCGGCGGCCGGTGAGACAGTATCAGAATCTCCTGGGGCCGAGGGAAAGGGATTATTCGAAATACGGTGGGTGCTTGATCTCGATAGTTACTGAGAATACAAGATACCGAAGTGATAGAGAAGTCCGTTCTGGCAATTTCTTGTGCTCCGGTGCTACCTGTTGAGCTGCAAAACCTGTATTACATGCCAGTGGACCACATGGCCCTCTCTTGCATCTGTTATCAATGATTGATTCTCACATGGATCTGGGCTGACCGCCCGAGCTTTCGCGTTGAATTACTCACGTGATTCGCAGCGCGTTCCAGCCGCGTCCACACTGGACGCGGTCAATTAGGGATCTTATCGCGAGGGTCGGGTTTGCCAGCAACACCATCATTGAACTGCACCACCGCGACCATGATTCGCCAAGACGCTCATCGCATCGATCCAAAGCGTCGTGCTACAATTGACCATAAGAAACGACAGTTCGCAACTCCCACCTATAAGCAGCAGGAGTATCCACATCGTCTGAATTTGTATGAGACGCCGCCTACTGCAGAAATCACACTGGAACAATTCGAGCAGTGGGCCATTGACCGTCTCCGAGGTACGCTATATAGCATGTCGAGCCGGAGCACCGAACTTACAATAGTCTAGTCCTGGCTGAGATCGAGGCTTGCTCATATCGCAATAAGAACGCCAAAGAGACAGAGGATCATATTATCCCCCTCCTGCAGAAATACTTGCCTCTTTCCTCCAACACATCAGGAGGCTCTAACGGTGCCGCGGATCCACGACTGAAACATGAACGTCAAAAAGATCACTACTCCCATTTTATTCTTCGCTTGGCCTTCTCCGCCACGGAAGACTTGCGGCGGCGATTTGCCCGTGCAGAAACGATGCTCTTCCGATTCCGCTTCCAAAAAGATGATTCAAGGGAAAGACGCGCTTTCATTGAAAGCCTGAGTTTAGACTGGGAGCGTGTAAGTGATGAAGAGCGTGATGAGGTGGCCGAGCATTTGATCAGCTCAACCCCGGGGTTGCGTCGCGTGGATGACGAGACCTGGTATAAGGTTGACTGGGAAAAGGTGCCCGAGCTAGTCGAACGTCGTTCGGTGTATCTCAGACGTGGCCAGGCATATGTCCCTGGGAAAGAGCAGTTAAGTATGATCATGGCTGAGTTTACGGCTCGCCTGGAACGCTCGCTCGAGGTATGTTCAAAAGAAACTGAGCTGTAATTGGCTTTGAGACTTATGCTAACTATATGAAGCTCACGAGCCGAGCTCTTCCTCGTTTGGACGAGGATGACCGTTTGACCCCTATCTTGAACCACCTCTCAAAGAACTTTGGCAGCGCGGAGTCGGTCTACTCGGAAAGCGAAGGTCACGTCGACGGGACAACGATCTCCGCCGCGTCCATCGACCAACTTTCGCAATACTTCCCCCTCTGCATGCGCAATCTACACATGAACCTGCGAAAGAACAACCACTTGAAGCATTTCGGACGCCTACAGTATACCCTGTTTCTGAAAGGTATTGGTCTTTCTCTAGAGGAATGTATCCTCTTCTGGCGGCAGTCATTCAAGGGAAAGACTGACGATGAGTTCAACTCTCAATACAAGTACAACATCCGTCACGCTTATGGAGAGGTCGGTGGTGATGTCAACCGCCGTGGTCGAGGCTACCCTCCATACTCCTGCCAAAAAATCCTCAGCGACAATAATGTAGGTGTTGGACAAAGCCACGGATGCCCATACCGCCACTATTCCGTCGATAACCTGGTTGGGCTTCTCCAAGCCACCGGGGTGCACGACAAGGAAACCCTGCGCGGAGTCCGCGACGATGTGGGCAAACAACGGTATCACATTGCTTGCAATCGGGTCTTCGAGTGGTCCCACAAAGCTGAGATCAAAAAGGTCAAGGAGGACGGAACCTGGACCGCAGCTGATTTGGACACCATTGTGCATCCCAATACCTATTTCAAGCGCGGCTACTTGCTTAAACAGCTCGCCAAAGCTCCGCCTCGTGGTGAATAAGCAATATTTCTGATGTGAGACTCAATCATGATGTTATGCAGGTCTACCGAGGTTATTTTTGTTGGCGTTGCAGGCGTGGGAGCATTTGTACATTCTCATTTCTATTCTCCTGCTTAGTCCAACCTGGCAGCTCATAATTACAGCTTCAGCTTACTACAATACGTAGACCAGACTGGCCATGAATCATGTTTGAAGTATAATTTGTCGATTGACGGGACTATATTAAGGGAGAGGTATGTGACCACAGCTGATTCCTAGTAGATCCGAAAGGATCGGAACGACCTTTCAAAACCAGGTGCCCAGCAACGGGCCAAATCGATCTCCGCTCGACGCGAAAACAACTTTAATCATAGAGAGATTCAAGCTGTCGACAGTAATGTGATATTGAGTCGGCGTGGTATTTTAAAAAGAAGAAAAAAAAGGGAAAGGGACGGGAAAAAAATTGCGGATTTAACATTGTTTGGGTACGGGTGGCGGTACAGACCAGTAGTGCTGCAACCTGGCCTTAATGGGGAACCCGCACCTTCACACATACACTGGTCTCTATCTCGATTATCCCCCTCGAAGTTGACGTTGGGGTCTTTGTTATTGGGTTTATCTACAAGCTGAGGCGTGGTATTTTGGTCTCGAAACCCGTTGGGTTTGTCCGAATCTTAGACTTTTATTCCAGGACTTGCTCCATTTCTCCCCTCCTCCCCTTGGTCAACAACGGACAAACGCCGCCAACTCCTGCCCGCCGTCATGGATTACGAGGCTTTGAAGGATCAATGGAGTGATATCGAGGACCGCGATGGTATCCGGCTCAGCTGGAACACGTTCCCGAGTTCTCGCATGGTGAGTAATTGATTGAAGCCCCTCTCCGATGCTAGTTCCCCTCCCCGACTAAACCCCGGATCTAGGAAGCGTCCCGGCTGGTTGTCCCCATTGCTGCCGTCTATACCCCTCTCAAAGAGAAAAGCGACACTCCATTGCTTCAATACGAACCCGTGACATGCAAGCAGCCCTGCAGGGCTGTTCTCAACCCATATGCGTAAGTGCCGTACTGGCGATCCCCAGGTTGAGCCTCATCCTTGGGTAAACACTAACCAATGTTGTAGCTCTGTTGACATTCGTGCGCGCATCTGGATCTGCCCCTTCTGTCTAATGCGAAACCCACTTCCTCCTCATTACAAGGATATTACGGAGACCACAATTCCCCCCGAACTTCATCCGCAGAGCACCACAATCGAGTATCAGCTGGCGCGACCAGCTCCGGCTCCTCCAATCTTCCTCTTTGTAGTCGACACTTGCCAGGAAGATGACAGCCTGCAGGCTGTCAAGGACTCGCTCATCATGAGCTTGTCATTGCTCCCGCCCAATGCGCTTGTGGGTTTGATCACATATGGAAATAATGTAAGACTGAATATTTTGCGGAATTCTTCGTTAATATTCACTAATCCTTTTTTTTAAGGCTCAAGTGCATGAACTTGGCTACGTCGAATGTGCCAAGTCTTATGTGTTCCGAGGCAATAAGGACTATACCGCCAAGCAGGTTCAGGAAATGCTTGGTATGGCACATGGCATCCGGCCGGGTGTCCCTGCTCCGCAACAACCAGCACGAGCTCCTCTTCCTCCCGCAGCACGTTTCCTCCTCCCTGTCCAACAAGCCGAGAACCAGATTACCAGCGTCCTTGAGCAACTACAACATGATCCTTGGCCTGTTGCGAACGACAAGCGGCCTCTCCGCTGTACTGGTGTGGCATTGAGTGTCGCAGTCGGTCTTCTGGAGACTTCTTTCATGAATGCTGGCGCTAGAATCATGAATTTTGTTAGTGGTGCCGCTACAGAAGGCCCCGGTCATGTGGTTTCCCCCGAATTGAAGGAGCCTATCCGTTCGCATCACGACATCGACCGTGACAACATTAAATACTTCAAGAAAGCCGTCAAGGTGAGAACCTATCGGACTCCCCTTTCTTTTTTCAATTTTTTCCCCGCCCAGCAACTAATAAAATCCATAGTTCTACGATGCCCTTGCCAAGCGTGCCGCTAACAATGGTCATATTGTGGACATTTTCGCTGGCTGCCTTGATCAAGTTGGTCTCTTGGAGATGAAGAACTTGTCAAATTACACAGGAGGTCACATGCTTCTGACTGATAGCTTCACATCATCTCAGTTCAAGCAGTCATTCATTCGGGTGTTTGACAAAGATGCCAATGATAACCTCCTAATGGCTTTCAACGCCTCGCTCGAGGTCCTCACAACCAAGGAGCTCAAGGTCACTGGACTTATAGGCCATGCTATTTCCCTTAACAAGAAGTCAACTTCTGTCGGTGAAACAGAGGTCGGTATTGGCAATACTTGCGCGTGGAAGATGTGCGGTATTGATCCTTCGTCGAGCTATGGTGTCTACTTCGAGATCGCCAACCAGGGTGGACCTGCCCCTGTACAGCCTGGTCCCCAGCAGGGTGTGATGCAATTCTTGACGTATTATCAGCACTCTTCTGGAAACTACCATCTGCGTGTGACCACAACTGCCCGCCCATTAAGCGGTCCTGCTGGTGACCCAACACTGGCCCAGTCTTTCGACCAAGAGGCTGCAGCCGTGCTCATGGCCCGCATTGCTGTCTTCAAGGCTGAAGTGGATGACGGCCCTGATGTGCTACGCTGGGTTGACCGCATGCTTATTCGCCTATGCTCACGCTTTGCAGATTACCGCAAAGATGACCCAACATCGTTCCGCCTGGACAAGAATTTTACACTGTATCCCCAATTCATGTTCCACTTACGACGGAGTCAATTCTTGCAGGTCTTCAACAATTCACCTGACGAAACTGCCTTCTACCGCCACGTCCTAAACCATGAAGACGCCGGTGACTCTCTTGTCATGATTCAGCCTACTCTCGACTCCTACTCTCTGGAGTTTGAGGGAAGCCAGCCTGTGCTTCTTGACTCTGCATCCATTCAGCCCGCACATATCCTCCTCCTCGACACTTTCTTCCATATCCTAATCTTCCACGGCGAGACCATTGCCGAATGGCGGAAAGCTGGATATCAAGACCAAGAGGGCTATGAAAATCTCAAGGCCCTTCTGGAGCAGCCAAAGGAAGACGCTCGGGTTCGTACCACTTCCGCTACCACTCAGAGTTCTGCAATTTTCTAACTTTTACACCTTTTACAGGAGCTCATCGCCGACCGTTTTCCTCTCCCCCGGTTCATTGTCTGTGATGCCGGTGGCTCCCAGGCTCGTTTCCTTCTTTCTAAGCTGAACCCATCGACGACTCACACCAGCAGCGGTGGTTATGGTGGCGGCGTCTCATCCCAGACGATCTTCACTGATGACGTCTCCCTGCAAACATTTATGGATCATTTGATGAAGTAAGTTCACTAGCATCCGTAATTAGCAGGTCGTTTACTAACTGCCCAAACAGACTTGCGGTGTCTGGTACTAGCTAGAATTTTACGAGATGTTAGCCATGAGAGCAAAGGGTGGTCTCTGACCCCTCGGGTCTTGTGTATCTTTAGCGGTTATTCAAATACAGTATTTTGGTCCTTTTCAACTAGTACTAGATTCAATCAATTGATACCAGTATCGCTGTGAACCCCAGTAGCAACTCTAGAGTCACGTGAGTGTCACTCGCTGTACCCTAATCCTGCGCCCTATTTCCTGACTGGGTTAGTCATGTGATTCGCTTACCGAGAAGCTAACGGTGGGTCCCGTGGGAAACCACCTTTTCGCCCGTCGAGACCTTTTTTCTTTTGTTCCTCATCCCACCCCTTTTCGACAACCCAAGGCAGATTGACTACCTTTCGCACTCGCCATGCGTAAGTATCATCGCCTGGGCTTATACAATGGCGACTGACATCTTTCTAAATAGCTCCCAAGTTCGACCCCAATGAGGTGAAGATCATCCACCTGCGTGTGACTGGTGGTGAGGTCGGTGCCCAGTCTGCCCTGGCTCCCAAGATCGGTCCCCTCGGTCTGTCTCCCAAGAAGATTGGTGAAGATATCGCCAAGAACACTGGCGACTGGAAGGGTCTCCGTGTGACCGTCCGTCTCACCATTCAGAACCGTCAGGCCGCCGTCTCGGTTGTTCCCTCTGCTTCTTCCCTGGTCATCAAGGCCCTCAAGGAGCCTCCTCGTGACCGCAAGAAGGAGAAGAACATCAAGCACTCCAAGTCCATCCCCTTCGATGAGATTGTTGAGATTGCCCGCCAGATGCGCAACCGCTCCATGGCCAAGAGCCTCCAGGGTACTGTCCTCGAGATTCTCGGCACTGCTTTCTCCGTTGGCTGCAAGGTCGATGGCCGCAGCCCTAAGGATGTCTCTGATGACGTTAAGGCCGGCGAGATTGATGGTATGTTGAGCCTGATTTGCAATTCTTGTGTCTGCCCTCGCTAACGTTGTTCTCCCTGCAGTTCCTGAGGAGTAAATTATTCCTCTAGAGTAGAGCGAGGTTGCTTTTTTTCTGCATTTGCGACTATATGTCCTCCGCGTGAAAACGGAGCTAGTTACAAAGCACAGATTGGTGCCTCGAACCCAAAAAAACCAAAATGTTCATGAGTCATGACTTGATACCTCTTCTTCACACTTCCACAGCGAGTGTTCGAATTGAACCATACGATTGATCTCGCGTCCCTTGTATAGTACCTTTTCCTTGCCTCTTACTATCTCTCCTGTTTTCCTTACTTGCCTCTCACCGCAACCCATTGGCGATGAGGATACCGGGAAGCGCACTAGATTTGGGGAAATCCCCTTTTTTCCATTTCGGAACCCTCCACAACACTCTGGCCCTTACCGTTCTCTCCTTGCGAGGTTTGAACATTTTACCATGTGGTTTAGGCTTATTTTACGTGGAGGAGAGCAACTGTCCCTTTACTCACCGCGGTAGCCTGGGAGGCTCGGCTTTCAGCCTTGTCTTCGTGGTTACAGTGGTCCATCAATTTGGGTCTACATTCCGAGATTTGAACTTGATGTTGGTCTCTCCGTAGTTGGTACACAATACTCCTTTGGTGTACCCTGTAGATCCCTGACATCAGCCTTATCGAACAGATAGTAGCTGGGAATGAATGGTGCATCAATTTATTGAGGAATTTCTTCCTAGCTTTCTTATTACCTCAATGTGTGCGTACCTAGACGTCACGCAATTCACATAAAAGTGATCTGTCGACCTTTGGAATCATTTGTTTCAAATAAAAGGGCCTGTTGGCAGCGTTTCAGAGCCCAGGCTCCCGTACACGAGTATCGGTGTCAATTTTTTTCCCGGGTTCGTATGCGTATCCACGAAAATTGCAGGATCTACAGGAAACCTTGGAAAGGACATGGACACAGAAGTATATGGGGCGGGCAAATTCGAGTGGACGATACCGCTCACGATACCTGGCCCCCACCGCTCCCCACCGATATGGCAATGAGCTTGTCTACGTCAAAAATAAAGAGCGCAAGTGTTAGAACATCTCAACGGTCAAGGAGATCGACGCAGCATTCCAGCCTTGATCCGCATGGGCAAACAGCCTCGCGTAACGTGTAGCCAAGTCGGCACCACGTTGATTGGCCTCTTGTCCCAGCACTGGGGCTGGGCTTTTTTTTATTCTTGTTTATTGTGTTGCGGCGCCTGTGTCTGGCTATTCTAAGAAACGCCAGCTCCCAGTAGCCCGGTCAGCAACGCCCCATGTAGCCCATAGAAGGCCCATAGATCCCTCGATGGCACGCTTCCCTCCCCTCCTTTCCCCCTAGGCACATCGCCTCGCCTTCTACGATGTGCAAGTGCATCGTATGGAGGAAGCGCGACATGCGGTCACGCTGCTCGGAGCCATGACCCACGAAAGGCTGCAGTATTTCTCCACCACCCCCCGACGATCAGTCCTGGCTAGGATGAATCAGACAGTGTTCGTTGGCTCGACGCGGAGAGAGTGGGGTGGTGCAGCAGAGTGGAGCTGGGAGGATACGAAAGTCCTACCAGCGCACGTCGAGCTTGTTGCGGGAGGCCCTGCGTCCAGTGACCACACAGACAAGATTGCGGTGGAGCAGAAGATGGCCCTGGGGCCTGGGAGGGGCGCGCACGGCCACGCACATCACCGCCTATCGGGGACTAGAACCTTTTGAAGCAGAAAACGGAGTCGGAGAATATCGACAGTTGGACAAATAAGACGCTGCCCTAGCTCCCATTCAGTTCCAAGATTTTGCGCTCCATCTTCAAGCCCGTCACTCGCCGGTCTAGTGGTTCCGCCTTGTACCACCCGACCCGCAGCTGTTTGGACGTTGCGCAGATGCCAAGTCACAGGGATTGGCGAGCGGAGCTTGGAATGTTCGTTGAACTGAGAAGAGAGCCCTGCCGTAGAGGGAGAGACAGGTGCTGTACATTGCCGATATGGATCAGGCTGGTCGGGATTATCGTGGAAACGGATAAGGACGGATGATCCTAACCATTTAACTTAGAACGGGTCTTTTCCCTCCACTGACAGGGAAGGGTCGGTCTTGTCCCTCTAGCCTCGGTGCGACCGTGCTGTACTAGTAGATCCATGTCAAGCAATGCAGGGTGGATTATACGGCGATATATTTGGGAACACCGGCGCTTCATACCCAGGCATGCACTTCCAAGTGACTACCAATATATATAGATACCTAGGCAAATACATATAAACCAGGGAAGCCAGCACGTCACCCGTTTTGCTGAGGATACAGTAGAAGGCTTCAGCCCTTATGACACAGCAGATTTATGAAATCGGGAGAAGGCAACTGCCCAAGTCTTTGCCGGTGGCACAGAGAAAGGAGGAAAGTTTATATACGAGCCTAAGAGGAACAGGGGTATACTCACTAAGAGGAAAAGAAGGCACCTCATAGGCTTACAGACCCCCCCCGTTTACCAAGAGGACCGAAAAGCAGGGACGGGAGAAACAAAAGAGGGAAAAGAGGAATTTGTAATCAGACATAACCTACCTAGAACCAGCATTAGCAGCTGCATACCCTGGCTTAGCAACCCCAGAGTTGGCCGAGATAGGCAAGGATCGCAGCCCCGATAAGGCGGGCAGCAGCAAACAAGGGGGCTGATGCGCCTGTCACCGGGACCAGAAAATGGAGCGCAATGATTTCTTTCTCTTTTTCTTTTTGGCGATGGATTCTTTTGAGTTATGGCGGTGCAGTGGCTGCAGTGCGCCTACATGGCACGAATCGTCCAAGTGGGGCCAACATGCCGGGGCTCGAGACCAAGTATCTAACAGGAAGTGAAGATTGAGGCGGTTGATAACCAGAAGATCAAAACCAAGTGTCGCACCGGAATCGAGTAGCTAGTGTGATGGACACGGAAGTGAACCCCACCGGCGAGTGCGTGGGCTGGACTCGATCATCCCGGGGCGCTACCGATCCATGCCTAGTGGCTCGGGCGGATCCAATGGCCCACTGACGTTGACCACTCAATGGAGCCTCCAGGCCAGACGGTGGTTCAGCCGTTGGATCAAGTGGGTCGGTGGAGCTGGAGGAAGGAGAAGACGGTGGAAGGGCAAGGGAGGAAAGGGACGAAGGGAAAGGAAATTTGACGAGCGTGGTGAAACTCGAAAGTGTCAGATATTCGGTGCTAGAGAGCCAGAAGAGAAGGGGCCTTTTTAATAGCAGATCAGGGTATACATCGTACTCAGTCGACCGGATCAGCCACGTAAAACAGGGGGAGCGTCACACTTGGGGGATCCGCATGTCCTTTGCTCCCCACTCTGTCCACTTGCGCTCATCCACTTCCAAGGTTCTGGGCTGTGATCCTCCATGACTCCTCCGGAAACTTCTTACTTTCAAGTTGAACTTGCGACCGACTCGACTCTCGCTTTCCTCTCTCACCTCTCCTTCCTCTAGATCGTTCACCTCTGCCAACGTCCCTGCCCACCCCTCCTCTCCGATCAGCTTCTTCACACAATCCTGCCAGGATCGCCCGCATTTCATTGGTTGAGGACCCGCGGCCACCAGCATCGCAGACCTGAGCCTCTCCCCCCCTTCTCCCTTGCATCTGCTCCAATCTTTTCCATCTCACACCTCTTGGCTCTTGAGATTCTACCCCAAAAACCCCAAATACCCTTCGATGACGATATCCTGAGCTCGCTGGCACCCAGCATTGCTCTCCTCCGCCCCTGCGACCACAGTCCCATAATGAGGTGTCGGAAACGCTTAAAGGATCATGCTTGTTGATTGCTCACGCGTTTGAATCGTGTGTCATATTTTTTTTCGCTCCTCTCTTTACCCAGCACCTGGCTCCTAGTTTTCTGCTACTGCGGGCTACTTGTCCCCTTGGACGATCGAGGGGACCTGGTAGCTGAAGAGGCGAAGACAGGGCCCTTTAACCCTCCCAAAAAGAAACATGTTTCCGACGGTCGCACCTTTCCCACCGGTTCAGCCGCATCACCACCTCCACCACTATCCTACTGCCGAAAACGTTCAGTTTTACGACGTGAATGAATTGAATTCCCCCGGCCCGAACGACCCCTCCAAATCCTTTTTCAACCCTTCACGTTCGCGTCTCCAGCTTCCGCATCCTGTCCAACGCCTCGATTCCCGCGATGCCGCCGGGTCCGGCTCTACCGCGAGTATGTCTGGTGAGCATGCTTTGAGGAGGAAGACCCCGAACGGAACTCTCGCAGCTGGCTACGATGGAACTCCCGGTGATTCTACCCTCCAACCGGCGGCAAAACACATCTTGGTATCTCCCATGGATGTCGGCCAATTCATGCCCCAGCAAGGGTTGCAGTCCGATAACTGGCAACCGCCCGCTGTAGATTCTACCTCGACGCATATGAATTTCCCTCCGGTCTTCAAGAACGACGGCAATGCGGTTGCTCCGGGAGAAGTTGTACAAGATGCGAATGGGACTAGTTGGGTTCGCCCGGTCAATTACCCCCAGGGAATGGACTCAGTGCTTAACCAAAGTTTACCGCTGCAAACGCCCCATCGGTTCCTTTCCCATAATGGCGCATATATTCCCACAGTACTCCCTGCGACTTTACAGCCATGTGTTGGACCGACTGCATCCGCAGGCTCGGGTCCGTTTGGACCATATTGGCCGGATGGCGCATACATACCCTATCGCCCGGTCGCCTTTCGTGAACCGCGTTTTCAATCGCCTAATCCCACCAGCCAGCCCCTCTTCGATCACCATCAGCCGGTTTTCAACCAACCTCAAATGCCACTGGGCAGCTTTCCGGATTCGGGCTTCTCTTGGGGCCCACCCCAGCCTAGTATGACCGGTCAAAGTTCAATGATGAAGCCTCATTTTCCACCACGGCATTCAGATCAACAGCTCCCATATCATGCTCGCGCCAATCGACCTCTATCTTCGTACTCGTCAAATAACCCTACTTATGAGGCTATGCCTTGGAACAGCCGAGCTTCTGCAGGTTTCCAGGCCCCTGGTCCCGCGGTTCCTGTCAACATGGAATTCAAGGAGAAGGTTTTGTCCTGGGCCCATGGGGTCTATGTTGACCTTCTTGCTACTATCCATCAAGCTCGCCGCAACAGCGCGTCCGCCGGTGGTCAAGGCGGCCAGAATCCACGCTTCATGAAGCCGAGCATCTATCCTAAACCGCCTCGTCAACCCGGGCTCGATTTCTCACAAAATATCCCTCCTAATATGCCCCGACACAATAGCTACCCATCCAGCCAATTTGACCTTCAGCGACAGAAGCTCGGCCTCTCCCCAGTCTCTGTACTGAACGATCCTAGCCATAAACCCGGCCAATCGCAAAGGCATGCCCGGCGGCCTTCGTTGAATCAGTTCACTCAAACGCAGAGAGGATCGGACGCTTCGATGCACGATGCGGGCGTCTTTTCCGGGAGGTCGTCTAATTCACGATTCTCCGGTTCTCTTTTCAATGAAGGTACTCCGGTGAATAACGCCATGACGGCATTGGAGATGCTCTCTCACTTGTGCATGGAAAGTCGGTGGGAGTGGATCGATGGTATGCTTCTTGGAGGCTGCTTGGCATATGGACTAGGTGATTACCAAAAAGCTTTACGATGGTACTCCCGCATCATTGCGCGAGATTCAACGTGAGTATCTGTTCTCTCTCTGTCTCTCTCTTTTCTTTTCTTTTCTTTTTTTTTTCTATTTTGTTTTCTTTGGGACTCCAGAGTAAAGAGAAGCTAATTGGTCTCCAGGCATGTCGAAGCGATATCGAATTTGGCAGCGACCCTTTTGGCACTCGATCGACGAGAAGAGGCCTCGTCGAATTGGCTTCGCGCCGTCAAATTACGCCCGAGCTTCTTCGAAGCAGTGGAGCACCTGATCGGTCTGTTATGCAGCACTCATCGAGGCAAAGAAGCCGTCAATATCATTGACTTTGTTCAAAATTCACTGCGCCTTCCGAAAGATGGTGACTGCTTCAAGACTGATGAACATGCTAGCGAGCCCGAGAGCGATGCTGAGAGCAATATGTCAGACGTGGCGATGTACGACAAAGCATCTTTTGATTACGAAGATGACATCGGTCGCATTGGTCGTATTCAGAGTGTGGACTTGGGCTCACCCGACCCGGTCGGCTTTGCCACCAGCGGATATGCCATCGCTGGTGCGGATAATGGGAGAATGTTGGCTCTGGTCCATGCCAAAGGTAACATGCTCTATGCACTAGGGGATAATGCCGGCGCTGCCGCCGCCTTCGAAGACGCAGTGTTAATCGCCGCTGGGCGCCAGCGGCATGGCATCCAAAGCCTAATCAAGAAAATATTCGCGGCCTTTTCTCACGTGTCGAGCAGCAACGACTATCAACAGCCAGCGAGTGCGACCGAAAGCATTCTCTTGTACCCGGACAGAGCCTTGCAAACTTCCAAACTTGTCTTCCGCAGTGGCACCCCGCCTGGGCTGAAGTATGTGGCTGAAGGAATCTCAAGAAATGCCGCGATCTCTACAACAAGCAACTCCCTGTTGTCACTAGCAAAAATCTACCAGGATGGGATGTCGACCGTGTCAGCAAAATCACCAAGATCAACACCCGGAGTACGAGATATATTGGCTCTTTACTATCTGTCTCTTTCTTTGCAGCCAAGCCCCTCTACCGCCAACAATGTGGGCATCTTGCTGGCAGGCATTCAAAATAATCCGCCAGCCAGAGGATTGGTACGATCGAACGGGGAAAGTCAGCACCCGGAGATCCCAGGTGTTGTACCGGGCAGCGGGATCTCTTTGGCCTTGGCATACTACAACTACGGGCTTCAACTGGATTCCCGCCACGCTCATCTGTACACCAATCTCGGTAGCCTCCTGAAGGATATTGGTCAACTTCAGGCTGCCATCAAAATGTACGAACAAGCGGTGCAGTGTGACGGCAACTTTGACATTGCTTTGGCCAACCTGGCAAATGCTGTTAAGGATGCTGGCAAAGTGAACGATGCCATCTCATACTATAGACGCGCCGTCAAGGTGAATCCTGAATTCGCCGAGGCTGTGTGTGGATTGGCAAACGCATTAAATTCTGTGTGCAATTGGGTGGGCCGCGGGGGTATTGTCAAAGGTCGGGGTTTCCGTGACCGATGGCATGTGGATGAAAAGGGGATGTTGCGCGATGCACAAAGCAACGACACGGGTGCTGGTTGGATCAAACGAGTCGTGGACATTGTGGATCGGCAACTTCGAGAAGGCGAGTACTGGGGTCGAGGTTTGCTCACTGCTAGCACTGCCGATCAATTATGTGCCCAATTGGCTACTGCCATTGAGTCGAGCCGATCCATGTCGAACAAACGGCCATCCATCACAAAAATCCTGCAGTCATGGGCGGGTCAGAAATGGGAAGGATCTCGCATCGTCCGGCTTGTCGAGCGAGCTATCAGGTCTCTGACCTGGCAATGGTACCAAGATCGCTATGTGCACGGCAAAGACTACCCGTCATCCAAGTATCGTCGGCCCCATCTTCCTACTGCTCTCACGGCGCCCAATGCCCCGACTGTGCTTCCATTCCATACCTTCACATGTCCCTTGTCAGCAAAACAGATCCGACAGATCTCCCAGCGCAACGGTCTTCGAATCTCGTCGTCGACCTTGCGGCTGCCATGGCTCCCGGCGACTGTCTACCAACCTCCAGCACCGCCAAGCCCAAGCCTTCGCGTCGGCTATGTGTCCTCAGACTTCAATAATCATCCTCTGGCTCACTTAATGCAATCTGTGTTTGGTCTGCATGATCCTAAGAGGGTCACGGCATATTGCTATGCTACAACAGCAAGCGATAAATCCATACACCGGCAGCAGATCGAAAAAGAAGCACCGGTGTTCCATGACGCCAGTGGATGGCCTGTCGATCGACTAGTGCAGCAGATTGTCGATGACGGTATCCATATCCTCATCAATCTGAACGGCTATACTCGAGGAGCTCGGAATGAAGTATTTGCTGCTCGGCCTGCACCAATCCACATGTCATTCATGGGCTTTGCCGGAACCCTTGGTGCCGAATGGTGTGATTACATTCTTGCGGATCAAATCTCCATTCCCCCGGAGACCCTCAACCCGGTGCGACGCAAAACGCGCATCACTGACCAGATCTTCGAAGAGGACCATGGGGAGGACCTGGAAGACTGGGTCTATGGCGAGAAGATTGTCTTCACTCGTGATACGTTTTTCTGTTGTGATCACCGCCAAAGTGCCCCCATGCCAGCGAGCGACTGCTCACTTGGGATGAAGAACAATGTCGACGCTGGAGGATGCGGAAAGAACTGTTCCTTAAACTCAGCGATGATACCATCATCCTGGGCAATTTCAATCAGCTATACAAAGTGAGTCTGCTTTTTTCGGTCTGGTTCACTTCCAGGCTCCCTCGAACCAATCAAACTAACACTTCTCCCTCCAGATTGAGCCGACGATATTCCGAACATGGCTGCGCATTCTGGCGCGAATTCCCAAGGCCGTCCTCTGGCTGCTACGGTTCCCAGAAACAGGCGAGCAAAACCTTCGGGACATCGCCAAAGCGTGGGCAGGAGAAGAGACCGCGTCCCGGATCATATTCACCGACGTGGCACCGAAGAACACGCACATTGCCCGGGCGAAAGTGTTGGACCTGTTCCTTGACACCCCGGAGTGCAATGCGCACACGACAGCAACAGACGTTCTGTGGAGCGGCACACCGCTGCTCACGCTCCCACGATACAAATACAAGATGTGCTCGCGCATGGCGAGCAGTATTCTCTCTAGCGCGCTCCCGGGCGACGAGGCTGGACTACGAGCTCGGGAGGAGTTGATTGCCTCGTCTGATGACGACTACGAGAACAAGGCCATTCGCTTGTGCATGGACCTGCACTACGTGCCGGGGGGCGGTGGCAGAGCCACCGGCCGCCTGGCGGAATTGCGGCAGATGTTGTTTTTACAGCGACATACGAACAAGCTCTTTGACACGGCGCGCTGGGTGCGTGATCTTGAAGATGCCTATGAGGCTGTGTGGGCGCAATGGGTGACTGGCGAAGAAGGCGATATCTGGTTATGATGTGCACAGCGATTTATACCCCTTGAGCGAAGTTTTTCTTTTTCTTTTTCTTTTTTTTTTTATCTTTGTGGTCTTCCTTTTCATTGGGTTTCTTTTCGATGATTTTGCATCTGGGACTCATCTACATCGGTTTCTTCATTCGGACTGGATTTCTTAAGGGAAATGGGGGTGGGTTTCTTTATCTGTGGCTTCCTTTCATTTGTCTAATCTTAGACATGTGTATTCGTAGTAACAGCTTCGATCATGCAGGCGTTGTACCTGCGAGTCCGATAGATCTTTTGGGGGTCTTCTTGCCTGGCAGGGCGGAGAATGCATTCGTTTATAACTCCGCCGACCATTTGGAGTGCTAGCTTTCAACTTGTAGCATCATGATTGCAATGGGGGTGAGGCAAAGATCGTATGGCGGTAAGCCTTTTGAAGGCCTTGACAGTAACAGCACGCGACCGATATTATCCCCGAATAACCTGATGAGAGAACGTTCGTCAGAATCTTCGGGACAAGAATCTGAGCGTGATGGAATACAAGACGCATTCTATAGGATTGCTCTATCGATCGCTGAGCTTGGTCTCAGCATCCTCGCGTACCAGATGTCGGTCCTCTTGAAGGCCCGAACCCGTTTTAGGGCTTCGGATAAGCTGACCGCGGGGGACTGGGCAGCACCATGGTACTGGGTTACGGAACAAACCTTACGTCAGGCTGAGTGGTTCGTCCACGGGTAGTGAAGAATCATAAGGTTTCTGCTGGGAACTTTGAATTCAAAAGGTCTGAGATACTCCTAACTTCGTATAGCCATTCCGCAGGGAGTTTCCCAAAAGGATGTCTCCCGACGACTCGTAAAAACCACTACTCCGTACCGGTAGTACTTATGTACGTAGAGACCTCCCCACCGCAGTACGGGGCCTCTGGTCTAGCACGGCATTTAACCAGGTCATTTATTGCAGGACCCACGAAACCCCAAAATTGAGACCTTCCGGTGTGAACAGCGACCCATGGGCCCGGTCGTGTACCAAACCACTTTACCCGCGCAGGAGCCGCCCGTACGCTCTGTATCAGATGTACCCGAAGTAACTCGGCCCCACATACTACGTAGATCGATGTGTACATACGATCTATACGTCCTCAGGGCCTGGTCTCGGCCTCCGTATCAACAAATTCAGCCTGGGGAGCGGACATGAATCTGCTTTATTGCCTCGACTGTGTCATAGCAGCCAATGCTGGATGGTTCTGTATTTTTTTTTTTTTGGCTTTTCGTTTTTTCCCTGACCCAGCTGAAGACCGGGGCACTCCCATAGGTTTCAATAACCCCTCTCAATAATTGTGGTGAGGATCCTCTCCATTCCGGCATCCAGTGCACGGATAAAAAGGTGAAGCCCGCATGTACTGTAGATCATCGCTGATTTCATTCCACAAACTTGCCTGCTTAAAAGCCCAGGCGCATCACTTGTCCCGACAGGCGGGTACCTCTCTGCGCCAGTCCACGTTCGGACTAGTCTGCAGATTGCACCGAGATCGCCCGTAGGCCAATGAAAGCCCTCAATTGTGACGACAGGAGTGGGGATGGTTTTGGCAGTTGTACGATGGATAACTCTCGTCATCAAACGGCTGTATTGAGCGTACGGGAGCAACGACCCCATCAACCCCCCCCCCCGAAGACCCACTATCCCATGCCGGCAGGGATTCTTTGATGGCGGGTAAATTGATACCGTCTGCATGAAGGATGACAGGGCTTTGATCGGATCTTTCGCCCTTTCAGATCAAGTCCCGGGTGCCCAGGGTTGGGCTTGTTTGACATTGTCTTAGCCGGAAACAAAGGGGCCCATGGATAGACCCTGTGTCAAGTTCCCCCCGATGTCCATGGTAATAACCGATCGCTAAACTACCCGCAGTGGACATGGTTTATTAGGGTTACCCATATTTTGCGCGGAGTATTGTTCCGTATTTACCGTCGATATCGGGGCAAGAGGCGTCGATCGCAGGATCCGGTGGGCTGGAACGCAACGGGCGAACCCAGTCCTTCCCGACTTTGTGCAGTCCATGTACAGTTACGAGTCCAGATCAAGCCCCCCCCCAAGCTAGTAGAGGATACGATAGGTTTACTCGAAAGGGAATTTGTTTGGGAGGTTTGGATGTCCCAGAGTTCCCAGGGGGAAGTGTACACAGTTGGAATTCTCGAAGTCCCTCTTCTTCCCCCAGCTGGTTCCTTCACCAAACTGCCGGGACTTCACCCTATCGCTTCTTCTCCGGCAGTTTGGGTTCTTTGTGAGCCAAAAAAACCCCCCCGGGCTGGTGGGGGCTCCATGAATACATAATCATTCGGGAAATCGCCTGGGCGAAGAGGGAGAGATCTTGCCATTTTGGGTCTAGTGGCGTATGTCATGTCATTTACCGGACATTTACAGGCCCCATAATTCCAAATTCCAAATCACCGTGCTTCCCCCACAGTGCGTGCTACTCTAATTCACGGCTTCTGATGCAGGTCACTCTTACCGATCTGCCTCACTATTGATTATGTGCGATCCCAAGCTGCGTTTTCTCGGCTCTGATTCGGCCTCCATGATAATCGGAGACGTCAGAAAAACCAAATAGATCCATTTCGACATCCAAAAAAAAAGAAAAAGAAAACGAAAACAAAAAGAAAAAGAAAAAGCGAAAAAAAAAAAGCAAAAAAGAAAGAACCTCTTAGGTCTAGCTGTCATGAAGAGAGCAGATGGCGTTCACCCTCCCAGCTGAAACTGGGAAACATCATCGACTATTGAACTTGCAATGTACGTCGACAGAACCCGGATTTCCGTCCGTAGCTTCTTATGGAATGATTCTCCTTGCTCGCAAGCTCTTGTACCCACCCCGATCTCAAAAACTTGATGACATCCAAGACCAGCTAGGATATACTCCACGATACCGCAGAACCCATCCTACCAAAACATATGCAATCCTGGGTTATTAGTGGACCTCAAACTTTTACCCGTTAGGGCAATGGTAAAGCTGGGGGAACATCAACCGTAAAAAAAAAAAGAAAACAAAAAAACAAAACGCCAGATAAACCCCTCCCCAACGGGAATGGCAGCAGGAACCAGGCAGAATCCAGCCAAGAAAATACCAAAAGGGCAAAAGCTAAAGAAGATGCAAAAACGCCTCTTTGATCTTTTGTCCCGGGCTCGCCGGAAAGTTGGCCCCGGGGGCGCATGCACGAACTCGATTGCCAGCGCAGGGAAGAGCCCCGCCGTTCATTCCGTCAGAAGTGACCAGTCTGATCGACGGGCACGCTGATTGGCTACGAGCGCGGATCCTCAGCGGATCGCCCTTCGACCGGACCACTCGCTCGCGTCCATCGAGCTTCGATCGAGGATCTGGTTGGCGCCAAAGCCGTTGGGGGCGTGAGCATGCGGGCTGGGGACGAACTGGTGTTGTTTAGACTTTGGGTGTTGACACGTACGAGCTTTTTTTTTCTTTCTTTTTTTGGGGGGGGAGGGATTTGTTCCTTTCGGGCTTTTCCCAAATTTTGGCGAAAGTGTATTGGTTGCCTCCGGCACTTGTCATGCGCCTCGCAACAGTATATCTCGTTTAGCCCTGCTATACATCGGTTAAGGAGGTGGGAAAACTGGCGCGCCACTGCCAGGAATCTGAATGCGCCTCTTCCTAGATTACTACGGAGGACTCAAAGGCATATCGCCTATGGGGGATTGGCCCTATCGCCCCCCCCCCTCTCCTGGAATATACTAGCCATCGGCTTTTTTTTTTTCTTCGCCACCTAGCCAGCAACCCATTAGCCGGTATGGATCTGTTGCATCGCGTGGATCCTGTCGTCACTGTGCAGGGGTTCAACGATAGAAACAGGAGCCGTGCATGGGCCCCAGTGGATCTTGCCGGTCCATGCCTGGAACCTCCAGTGTCCTCGTGAACGTCTGCAGCCCTCACGTTGGGAAAATCCGTTTCTTCGCAGCTTGGATCTCCTTCTCTGGGCTATGCTTTTTTCTCCGAACCTATGAGCGTTCCCACCGGGACAAGAGGCGGTACGAACTATTGCCCTCACCCCCCCCCTTCCCCTCCCTTCCTCGATGGCCTGTGCCCTCGTATGTGCAACCTTGCTTGGTAGATGTACAAGTTATGTCGGTCATCTGGATCGACTTTGCCACCCGTTCCACGAGGCCTCCCATTGTACCGTGACTTCAAGTTCACCGGCTCTTTCCTTGTCCCAAAAGGTAGTGGGACTGGGTGAGGCGTAGCTGATGTGCGACTTTTTCTGGGTCTGCTCTCCATTGGATATGCCCTTTTTCTGCCCTTGATTGTCATCTGGGACTTTAGTAGTTTCCCCCCCTTGAGTTGGGCCCGATTAGGTACCGACACTAACGTTTCCCCTCCATTTCTCAGATCTACTAGTGGACCGGGGGTTCTTTTTCTTTTCTTTTCTTTTTTTTTTTTGGCTCTTGATGAAATCAAAACAAGTAATGTCATTCCTGCTTGCAGTCGGGGGTATTATAGAAAGACTAATGCTAGCATCCAAATCGAGAGGGAAGATCATTCCTTTTGGGTTTGTAGTGTTTTGCCCCGGGTTCTTTTTCTCTTCCCTCTCAAAGAACTCCAAAGGCCCTTCCGGCCTCATAATAAGAAAATGTGACAAACCCATATTAGGAGACCCCGTTTCACCGAAAGAAATAAAAGACAAAAAACACCCGGGGGATTTTTTTGGAGGAAGGGGGGGGGAATATCCGAACCGTGGTAATACACATTAGGAGCACAAAAGAAATATTCCCTCAAGGAGAATCGAAACCAAACAGATAAACGAGCGTGGGGCTTTTGGAACATGTACAAACCGCTGAACTCATGTCCACCCGCGAGAGGCGAGGGCAGTGGGGAATAAAATGGGCGAATATAGGACAGAGAAAACGTAACCAGAGGGGGGAAGGTAAAGAAAAAAAAAAGAGCAAAAAAAAGAACTCGTACAATCATAAGGAGAAACCGAAACCCAGGATTAATGTTGGTGGTCTTAGTTCAGGAGATTGTTGACTCCCATACGGGTGTCTTTGGAAGACTCGGGCCTTGACTCCCATGGTTTGGGGAGGGAATCGGCTGGTTGGTGCCATGAGGCCATGGTTGACTGGTGGTAGTCGACCCAAGGCCGTTTTGAAGCCATGTCGGGGAGAGATTCTAGGGCCCGAGCAGGATAGTTCGGTGAGTTGTCAACCACTTGCACCGACGCCACGCTTTGACGGCGGGCGTCATAATGTGATCGTAGATCGATAGGCAAGGGGAGCATCTGTGGGGAGGGGAGAGTGCGTGGTGATGAAGAGACCGAGTTGTGGTCCGACACCATGGAAGGTGGTTCGACGGAGGTAGCATTAGAAGCTTCGGAGAAGGCAGGCGAGGTCAATGGCGCGTCGATAGGGCGGTTGATAGAGGGGAGAGTGTAGATGGGGGAGAGGTGGCGAGCAGTAGATACGGAGTCGCGGCGAGTGTAGTGGACGGAATCGGAGTCGGCCCACGGGCGAGAGCTGAAGCGAGGTCGAGATGGGCTCAAGGCTGAAGCACGAGGGTATGAGGGCTCGACTCGGCCAGTGTAGGTGCGAGACAGAGTGGGCGTTGCGAGGCCACGGCGCTTGCGGTTCATGCTCCCATTCCACCAATTCTTCACGGCATTGTCACTTCGATTCCCTAGGCGGCGAGCGATCTCAGCCCATCGCTTTCCCATCTCACCGACCATCCGTTCAATCATAAGCCCCTCGTCCGCAGAGATAGGTTCGCGGTTCAAGGACGGCTTGAGGTTTTGGTGGAAACGTTCGCGGCATTGCTTGGGAGAACGAAAGTGAATGTGTTGAGAGATGCGGACCCAGTTGTTAGGACCTTGCTCACGGACGAGCTGCAGGAGCAATTGGTCCTCTTCAGGAACCCAAGGGCCGCGACGGTGTGAAGGAGCCATGGAGGATAGGAGGGAGGGGAGGAGGAGGGGGGGGGAGGGAAGTATAGCGAAAGGTACGTAAGAGGAACGTGGGAAGGATATATAGTTGATAGCTGAGTACCTAGAGGGGGAGAAAGAGAGAAGTCACAAGGGAGCAGTGGCCGAGAATTATATCTGCATCCCAGGGGGATGGATCTGAAAGAAAAAGGCCCAGCTCCACTGTGCACACGCTATGAAAAGAAGATCACGATCCAAGATCTCGGAGCTGACACTTCGGAACAATACTGGTATTACCGTATGAGGTACCGTATTTGGTATGTGGAAGGAGTACGGAGTACACGTTGCGGCCTGTTAAATTTATTTATTTTTTTCTTTTTTCTTTTTTCCCTTTTTCTTTTCTTTTTCTTTTTCTTTTTCTTTTTCTTTGTATCGATTATTTATTTTCTTACTGTCCACGTCCCTTGTTTCCCTCTTCGGGCCTATTTGCTTTTCCCTTATTTGTTTGGTCTCCCCCTTGAGACGTTGCTTCAGATCCATTTCAGCTTTTTTTTTTTTTGTTTTTGGTCGTTTCTTCTCTTGTGGTACCTTTGATGAGGATAATCCATAGATCCTCCTATGGCAGCCGTCCATATTTCGATTAATCTGAACCGCTTGGATGCGCGGAACCAATGAGCCAGCGATATCTCGTATTCGCATGAGGATTCGTAGACTATGGACGGTCTCGTCTTGGGTCGTACTTTTGCGGCCGACAATAATGGAGAAGGTAAAAATAAAGAAGGAAAATAAAAAGAAAAATAAAAGTCAAAGTGAAAGCTCCAGCGATCGTCAGTACGACCCGGGAATCCGGGTTGAGGAATTACCGTAATAGATCAGAGCAGGATCGACATTGAGCCCCGTTGCTGGAATTCCAAATCATTGTCGCGCTAAAAAAACGACGCTAGTGACCTTTTTTCTTTTATTTTAACCCCGAATGCCTGAGCGTGGTCGCATGCTTGTCGTGCAGAGTTCCAAAACGCCGGTTTCCCCTCAACCAAAAGGAAACGGGAGAATAATGGTATTAAGCATTGCCTTTGATACGGGACATAAGAGGGCACAAAGCGGCGAAGTAAGGAAATTCTGCTAGGACCTCAAAGAGTCGCAGAGGGAAGAGATCAAATCTAGTTCAAGGGCATGCAACGTCATGACACCGTCCAAGCGCCAGGGGCAGATCGAACAGTTGACGGCGGTTAGGGTCTTCGATCATGGTCAACTGCCGTGCTCAGCCAGCCATGCATGACACTCGGGGGGCTCTCCACCCTGACACCATCATGTTTGATCGAGCGTCTCATCGGCCCAGTAGCGTTGATTATTGGCTTGATCAGCGGCTCTGGGACCTTGTTCCAGGAGCGCCCCACTCTTCGTGGTCCCTCTCGTCGCGACAAACTCCTCAAAACCATTGGAAACTGGGGAAATTAGGACTCTTGGGGTCAGATCTGGGCACCACCGGGTTGAGGATCTCTGGGACGTGAGCCCTTCCCCTTTTTTTACGCCTCTTATTGATTTGGCTTCCGTCCCCGAGCAACTCCGACGCGGTGGTGCGGGAGGAATGTGGATCGAGCGTTGCACGTCTGTACGCCCCCCCCCCCTTCTTAAACCTATTATGTACCCATTACGGTACTATGTGTATCTGCGAGTTTTGGACCGACTACCAGGGAAATCCTTTTCCTATGCGCCTTGCAGCCGCTCCCGCTATGTACGTTGTCCCGCGATCTGTGATCTCCATGGCTTGCGTAGGAGGCGTGCAAGTACTCGAGAGTCCTTTTGCACCATTGCTCCCTCCTGGTCAGGCTTGGATCGTGCTCGGCTACCCCCGAAAGCACCAAGACTCCCCCCTGGAGATTCGCCTAAGCAGCTCGCCAAACCTCCCAGGAAGAATCACGCAGGGGCCACCGGCCGGCGGTCACAGCGACTTCAAAAATAAGTCCCAGAAGGATTAATTAGATGGAGTTATATGCGAAATCCCAGGAGATCGACGATCATTCAGCTGCATGCGCGCAATGGCGCTGCTTTTTCCGTCTCTTTTTGGTAGCCAATCCATGGGCGCCGTTGGCTTCCACAATGCCCACCGGCTCCACGTCCAGCCGGTTCCAAAGGTTGTATAATCGGATATATCACAACATTGTCCCTCATCGGGTTTAGGGAGATCGCCTGGGGCTTGGGACAGGGTATTACCCGCTTGGGCCTCGCGCAGATAGCGCTTTTCCAATAGTGGAAACCGTTGAGAATGTTCCCCGCCACACCCTTTTTTGGCGTGTCCATTCCTGGGCTGTTTGGCCGTTTTACCCTTGCCGTATCACCTCCTCCCACGCTACACTGACGCTAACCACCGCCGGCCCACTGTGACGAACCAGTCGCTGCGCCGCCCTTGATTGGCCGCCCCAGGTATTTGTCATTGATCAGTGGGGTTTCCTGATCCAGTAAAGGATAGCCTAGGCGGAAGGGCACCGAACCCGTCATGAGTAATCTTACAACGAGATCTTCCCGAGGTCTTTAATCTATTCCTAACAGGACTATTGAATGCTTTTGAAGCTGCGCATTTCGAGAGCAACCGAGAGGAAATAAAATGGAAAATAAAAAATGGATCTAGGGGTGGGTTGTTGGCCGTCGTTTTCTTTTTTCTTTCTTTCTTTCTTTGTTTTCTTGTTTTTTTTCTTTTTTCTTTTTTCTTTTTTTCTTCTTCTCTTTACGCGTACTCCACCACCCCTGTTTGAACGGGTCCCTGTGCTTTGAGAAGGATTTTATCAGAAACAAGGCAGAGACAGGATTCCCCTACTTCCTGGTGTGGATGGGAGAAGGTCCTGTAAGGTGTCTATAATACGTTAGCTTATGGGGAGGAAGAGGGGGGAAACTGGGGTGTCCAGGGCTTCCACGCCAGCAATGAGATCCCGAACCCCGTGCCATACTGCTGGGAAAACGAGAAAGCCGTTGTCGACGGGAAGACCCCCATTTGCTCTGGAATGCAACATCGACGAGGATAGACCCGAGATGTGACCTGTCAGGCTTATGGACCAATCAGAGGACGCGAAAGTATTTGAGATAAATCCCTGTCAGGCGCTGCAGGGATCACCGGTGATCGCGCTCGTGCACGCTGAGACCACAATTGCCCTAGAACAAGGAGAATAGGAGACATTGAGATGTCGTTCTGCATCAGAGAGTCCACTCAGACTCCGCCGATCAGAATACCTCTCATTGATCCAAGACATTCAAAAAGCAGGAGAGCATGGTGGTCTGGTAAGTGCGGGAAAGCCCCAGGCTCCCAAGAGCCCAAGTGGACCGAACGGTCTCGCATCCCGCCACTGCTTCCTGACTGTCGGGCCCTGCGTGGCGAGGCCCAAGCATCATCACGTGGTCCGTATTGAAATCTTCCCAAGGTTCATGGTAATGATCGTTCCATGGTTCTCTCATCCTCTGTTCTTTTCCCTGGACTGTGTAACCATCCCAGATCCCCAGCGAGGAAGAAAAAAGAAGAGAGAAACAAAGAACAAAGAACAGCATATGGAAGCTCCGAGAGCAGGAGAGCGGACCTACCTGGGCCTCTGATTGGCCTGTGCTCTCGGGGTTTAAAATGTCGGGCACCATATGGTCCCCGATCTGTAGGAAACCGTTGAGGCACGCGCTTCGGCGGGCTTGGCCCCTGCTCCTACGCGAAGCGCACTTGGCTTTCCCCGGTGGAGCCTTTTCTTTTTTGCTGCCCTAGAAATCCTTCCGGCTAATTCTACGTTCTCCCGTTCAATCCTCCCTCTCCGCTTCTGGTACCACAAGGACTCGAACCGGGAGCCGGGTTAAATTCCTCCAACAGCCTAGAGAGGAAATCCAGATATCCTAGTACTCCTAGCATAGAACTGCAAACTCTCTCAGCGAACTCTGACATCCCGTTGTTTCAGGAGCTATACATAGAAGAGAAGCCTCGGCCCAGGCCCGTCTAGTGTTCATTTGCCTCTTTGTGTGCTGATAGACCGAGGTTCTCGATCCCGCAGAGACCCATGATGCGCCGCGGTGGATGTGACAGTTCATTAGGCGTTCCCGCGAGCATGGTGGACTAATAGTATTCGCTGTAGGGAACTCGGACGCGGGGTGAGTGGGGTTGACAGGTGGCGTGCGAGCTCGATGAACCGGTTCGTTCCAACCACACTAGGTGCACTCTTGCCTTTCTGCGGCGCCAACGGGCCTTCGGAAGACCGTGGACATGGCTTGTGGCTCGTTACTAGTGTGAATTTTTGGCGCCCTTCCAAATTTGTATTCTCAACATCAGAACAACCGGTAGTACCAGTCTGAATATATATCAAACGAATCTGGAAAACGCTGCGAGTAAATATTTGTTTGGATACACGTAGAAGGGCTGAATTACTCCAAATATCATCACTAGTGCATACGACCAACTAGGTACAATATGTTCCTACACCGGCAGTCTGGCACGGACCTAGCAGATGCATATCTGACAGCACAGGGAACTCAAAATTGGCGGAAGCGAAGATGTTGCCCAAAGTTCCGGGGGCATGATCCATGACTTGGTCCAACCACGTTGGCGTCTGCCGGCCCAACCCTATCTACCCGGTCCCAAACTCAATCGGATGTCGAGCTTCTTGACTCTGTCCCACGAAAGGTACCGGTTGGCTGTTTCCCCTTGACAGCGGGCGTGGTCTTGTCTGGCCTTGTCTGGCCTCGTCTGGCCTCGTCTGGCCTTGTCTAGCTCTGGTCTGTGTGTCGTGGGTTTCCGTGGGTTCATGGGTCCGGGGAATCGAGGGGTTTGTCCGCCGTTCCATGTTTCAAGCTGGATTTCGGAGACCCAACTTGGCTCTCGACTAAAAAGACGCCCCCTCGCAGTTCGAGGTCATGAGGTCAAATAAGTCGGATTTCATTTGTGCCGACCAATGTCAAGGAGGGGGAGGGGGGGGGGGGGCCGGATAGGTGGGAACCAGACAAGGGGGAGTGGAGTTGAGCGTGGAGTGTCCCACGGGTGTCATGACACTTCCAGCCGGGCCCTCTCGATTCTCATGGCGCCACAGGATGCAGTTTACCCCTGCCATGTACTGGAGCAGTTTCGTGCATGCGTCTGGTATCGAGTACGAGGTATACGGGACATGTAACTAGTATGATACTATAGCGGAACCTGGTGCGAACCGGAATGACCCCGAATACGTCAGCGCCTATCACCATATTTGAAAAGTCCCGAATCACCAGGTGGCAGGCTGCTCACTCTGCCTCTCTGAGAGAATGTTTGACTAATGTTGCAGCGCAAAAGTCCTTGAGCCTCACCATGCCCCCGGCACCTCGCATTCAGCATTGCCTCTTGTCGGTATAGCGTAAGGCTGCTTACGTCAATCTAGCTGTTGCAGGCCCAATCATGGCCCCGGTGCCGGTGCCAGAGTGGCCATAAACCCGGGCCATTTCTGTTGTAGACTCGCAAAATCCTGTGGAATACGTTGTGCACGGGCACTTTCCTAGTACTTAGTTAACTATGTATAGGTCCTGACATAGCAAACGCCAATCACTTCACGGCTAACATGATAACTAAGAGTCCGTGCTCTCAGAAAAAGAAAAAAAGGAAAAAGAGGGGGAAAGCCGCCCTCTCCCCCCGGAAAAAGACTGATGCAGTTGAACGAAGTGCCGTTGGTCGATTGCGGAGGGCTTTCTCTGAATCGTGGATCCTCTTTGTAAAGACCCGGCTTGCCCGTTGCACGCCCCACCATATACCGCACGTATCTCTTCTATTTCCTTTGCTGAGAATATACTTTCCTAGTACGCTCCTCAGAAACCCTCTTGTCGATCTGTCTCGTCTGAAGTGGGCTTTTTGTAAGTCGGGGATATGGTTTCGAGATAACACCAATACATTAAGAAACTTACGGATGATTTAGAGTTCGGTATTAATTAGAAGAGATAGGTATAGCTAAATCCGGAAGTTTTCCCTTCTGCGAATCTAGCAGATCCTCGCAGATCATCCCTTCGTACCATGTCGTGTTTCACTCCGAAGAGAGTGGTGTCCACCGTCGATACAAGGCGAGGGATGCAATTGGAAACCCGAGGGGCCAGCGAAATTACGCAGAAATACGAATTCCATTGTATCGAGGCTCGGTCGGGGGACTCTTTTGGGGCTAAATAAAGCGATAAAGCGATAAAGCGATAATGCGATAATGCGATAATGGGATCTGGCCCGACCCAGTGATCTATCGATTTCCAACGCGGGCAGTGGCGTTCACCCTTTTGGGATCTGGGTACCGACCACGCCAGTCACATCACAGAACAGCCGAAGCCTCATGCTGCCACCCTCGGTCATGCCGTGGGCTCCCCGGGGACATGACACCACACATGGAATCCTCGCATGCTTCACAACTCGTGGTGGCCCCGTTTTTCCCGCAATCAGTAGCTGCCGGCCGAAACGGCAAGCCCATGCAAGGGGTGCAAGGGGGTTGAAAAAGAAAAAGGGAAGATTGGCAGGGGGCGGATCAGGAGATCAGAAGATCAGTACATGTGTAAGGTTCGGGCAATTAGGTTCGCTGTGTCTGGAGGGTCGCAGCATCTCCTGGAGCTTGTGATATTGTGATAGCTTACAAGGGCAGGTTGGGAAGATCGGGTCCTTCTTCTATTGGGGGTTTGTCCGCTTGCACCACTGGCGATTTCTACCTGGACCTCAAGAGCCTATGAAGTCCATGATCGAGGTATACAACCTACGTATTGCCGGCTATTGTGCACGGAATTGTCATCTCCACTGGGTGGAGTGCAGCCCTAGAGCCAGGTCCACGGATAACATGGTCACACCATGTGGCCCGTGAAAGGGAACTTGCAGAATCAATGAGGCCTGGAATTGACGGGATGCAGCAGTTGCCCCTTACAATCCCACCCGTCTTGGACGCAAGTCATAATCACGATATCCCCTCGTGCTGGGCCGTACAGGGCTCCCCCTTCCTTCGAGCATGCGGTTGAAACCTGTCTCAGCGCTCGTGCCCTTCGCATTCTCCTCGTTTGGTCGGGGATGGAGAGACCTCAGCTGCAGCTCAGGATTGAATAGCATGGGTCCGAGTTCCATATATGGCCCAAGGAGGAAGTGGCTTTTTGCGATTGCCACGTGAGGAGTGGTTCCAGCTCGGCCGAGTCGGGATTGCAAGACTTGGTTTGATATGTTCATGTATTTCATAACAGGAAGTTCTTCAAGGATGGACCTCGGGTCGATCAAAGTTAGTAGCGATTGAGACCGTCACAGCGGAGGTCAGAGGAGCTTCGTGTTACTGGCCTGAGCGCATACCCTCGCTTGGTACTCGAAAGGGTGTTCTCAAGTATTGTATTGTATCTGGCTCCCGTGGCATGAGAAAACGATGGCCCCATGCGTGTGTGTCTTGGTATGAAACCCTACTAACTAGTAAGCGTAGAATGTCTCCCCGGGGCCGTCGCTGATGGTCTTGCCCCTTCAGTAAACCGTATTGGCCTAGCAAGATGCAGCGAAATTCCCACATCGTAATTGCACAGGCAGCTGAAGAATCATTTGAGAATCCGAATCCGCCGGCAACAGATACACTCGGCGTTGTGCTCGACTGCCATCTGAAAGCAGAAGGCTTCCGGTTGAGGTGGGCTAAAGTTCTTCAGATTACAATTTACTAAAGCTTTTAGTAGGGGACTGCAAGATCTGCTTTCACACTGAAACATGGCCATTGATTTTGGAGACTTTTTCCACCGTGGAAAGTATCCTAGGCAGCCTCCACGCGGTACAATTTGCGCTACAGTTTCATATTCTTTAGAGCGTGGCTTGCGATGGAGATCCGATTGATGCAAGCTTGAGGTCGACAGGAAGCCGCAACTTGGCCCCTGATTCAATTGGTGGGCCCTGCTTCTTTTCAACTGATAACGGCTCCCATTCCAAGTATTTTGGCACCGCCTCACAATAACAAAAGTGCAAAGGGGATGCTGAGTTGTCTGCGGTAGCAGCTTCAGATATGTCCGTGTTGACATCCGAGTCTCTGATGACGTGCCGACACTTGGGCTGACTCGAAGTTTTTTTCGTCGCGAAACAAATTAATTGAACTCTCGCTGTTGAATGAGAGCATTTTGTTTGAATCAGATGCTGACGTAGATGTCCTGAGTAGCTTTAGCGTGTTTCAAAGTGCTACGTTGAAGCTCGGAGCTCCATTATCTCGCACTGACAGAGTAACCCTTTGAAGATTAATACTTGAAGCTCCTCGCTGCATAAAATTATGCATCTATTCTAGCTCGAAATGCCTTCTTCACGTCGGACTGGCCTTGCTCTAGCTGCAACAAAGCATTTCGGACTGCCAACGTGTCGATGGGCCTGGCTTTCAGCACCCGTCCCGTCGCTCCCGAGCGCAGTTTCTATCCTTGCCCCTCCCAAATCCCAAGTCGCTCAAGAGGGAATACATCTGTCTGGGTTGGAATGGGACAACTTCCGGTTGTTTGGTTCTATCTATTCCCGAAAATTGGCAGGCGGACGACTGGAGCATTAATGCCTTCACCCTGAGATGTTCTAGTCTGTTGTCCAGGTGACAGATTCTGTGACTATAGAAGACTAACTCATCGACCAGCTAATACCGAGCACCAGTATACTGCCAGGGTTCCTCGGCTCGTACCGAGGCAGCGCTGTTGAGTGCGCTAAAGCACTGTTTCCGTTCACTATATGTTAACCGGCCCAGTTCTTCATTTACGAGACTAATGAATTCCCGTCTAGCTTGGATCGACACCGCACTTGCTCTCGATGGAGACACCAACTACCCCAATACCATAGGCGAGGACGATGGAGCGACGGTAGGTAAGACCCCCACAGACAGAAGAAATACTTGAACCGTCAGCAAGGTTTCTATTCGTGGGTACTCTTTGGAAAAACAAGCGCTGTGCACCTGTTTCAGAAGAAGCACATTACAGACTGGCAGACTGTAGAATCTGGAAGCTTACTATATCATAAAAGGGAGGGGACAAGCTGGAATCGCCATGCCTCTTGGAGCCATGGCGCGGTCTACAGTATCTCCTTTCCGAGTCACTTCAATCAAACCGAGGGATCCCCATAGACTGTGAGTTGACGGCACATAGACCAAATACATATAGCTCATGGCCCTGGGAGCTAGTTTTACCCAAAAATGTCACATAGCATCTTCGGGGCCTTGTATCGCGAGAATCTTATTCCCCAACAATCCTACCTTGACCCTTGGGTTTGCTTCACTCGAATACCACTGCGGTCTACCATCATATCAACACCACCGGAGTGAGCTGGATACCACTTGGATTTCATACGATTATTAACATAACCGGGCTCAACATAAGCCAATTCACATCAGAGAGGCGAAACACGCACCCAGTTTAAAGTGTCGAAGCAACGGTCGAACCAGACTCGTGGTACGCCCCCACACGCTAAACCGCTTTTGGCCCAACCGCGGGCAGCTCCAGCCCGGGTTTTCTCAGCTTCATCAACCCACCAGTCGCGCCTTTCAGCTACCTGCCACACCAGCCCCAACATGACAGATGTATTTACAGATGCCGCCCAGGCGCCAATCGCCGATCCGTCCATGGATATTGACATGGAGCTAGACCTGGGTCCGGAGCCCGAGATTGAACTTCCACCTGTCCAAACTGTGAGTGAAATCCCGCGCATTGGCCAGAGGGCCCAGACTGATATCCGCGTTTACGAGCAGGAGGACCTCATGAAAGATGGTCCGATTGATGAATTGAATGAGGAGGCAACATATGAAAAAGTTCATGTGCGCGGCGTGGACGAACTCACCACCGAGAACATCAAACAATTCTCGACCAGCCACTTCGAAGAGGAAGCGCCCTCTCGCGTCGAATGGATCGATGATACGTCTGCCAATCTTGTATTCTCATCGCCAGAAGTAGGGCTCAGAGCCCTTGCGGCATTGACCCAGGTGAACGGAGAAGAAGATCCCTCCGCCCTCCCCTCTCTGCGCCTCCGATCTGCGAAACTCCTTCCCTCACACCCCGACTCTGTCCTCCAAGTACGCTCGGCCGTCAAGACGGACCGCAAGCAGCCGCGCGCCCATGAGAAGAGTCGTTTTTACCTGATGCACCCCGAACACGACCCCCGTGAACGCTTGCGACAAGAACTTGCAGACCGGCGGCGAGGCGAGGGCGGAGACGGCGATTATCGCCGCCGTCGATTCGATGACCGGGAACTGCGCCGCCGACGTGACAGGGACCAGGACGAAAACGTGAGTGCTGGCATGTATGATGATCAACCCGAAAGTGTATCAGACTCAGGCCGTGGCCGAGGGGGCCGAAAGCGACGAGGACGCGAATTATTCCCGGAGGAAGACCTGAGTTCGGGAAGACTGCGCAACCGTAGTGCGTCGCCGGGACGAGACACACTGGAGGAGTCAGGCTACGTTGACCCCTCTCAAGACCGTAAGCGATTCCGTGAACGGTCTCCCAGACGTGGCAACCAAGGCAAAGAGCTTTTCCCATCACATGATTCTGGAGTTCGTGAATTGTTCCCCAACAAGCCTACGTCGAGCTATATACGAAAGGAGCTGTTTCCGACCAAGCCTAGCAATCACCGTCGATCGGATGCTTTTGATGCTTCTGATGATACTGATCCTCTCAGGCGGCGAATCACGGCTCCTGGAGATCATTCCCGCCTGGATCTTACCGTAGATCAAGGATCTGCGCTTCGAGGGCAGTCAGGAGGCCTCTCAATCAAGGGTCGTGGGGATCGGCGAGGGAGTTGTTTCCGTCGAAACCTAGCAAGAACGAGGGCAAAGAGTTATTTTGATACGCTCGAGGGGCACGAGAGGATGCCACTGTCGGGCAGGAGACAAATTCCTTTGAGTTATCTGATGATGTGCAAGGCAAGCGATCTAACAGCTTTTTTTTCTCCTCCATATCTTTCTAACTTTCTGTCTTTCTTCCCTGCTTGTTGCCTGCTTGCTTTTCTTTCCTTGTTTTTTTTTTTGGCGCGAGGACATGATTCCTCGATGGCGTTGTATGAACAAATAAAATTGGGCTAAATAGAGTGCGGTTCTGATCCTCCCCGTCGAATAACGATACAAATAGTAATGATCCAATTGCAACCAGGCGCACAGATATGACGCTGCACGCCCTCTCCCTTCTCCATGAACTATCTGGGCATCCTACGTGAAGATGAATAACCAAAGAAAATACCGAGGTCTCCAGCACAATGCGCATCTTTGATTCGTCCAGACGCGCTGTGGTTCTCCCAACGACCCACTCGGCATCGAGATATCAGCGTAAAATCCCAACACAACCTCCAATTGGAAGCAAAGAACCCCGTCTGTATCGGATACGCTGCCTTCCTTGGGCTGCTGCTCCGATAGTGGCTGTGAAACCGGCACCGGCAGATTGCGGAGATTGGAAAGATATCGCTGCTCCTGGGGGCCGTCGAAAAGTCCTCTACCCCCCCCCTAAGCCCCTGAACCAATCAACACTCCACTGCCTACCACAATGGCTCCGCCACCAGTGTCTTTCCCTGGCTTCAGTGCGATATCAGATCGCGTCTATCTGCGCGACGGGCACGAAAAGGCCAAGCCTGCCCCTCCGAATGAGCCCACCACTATAGTTATCTTTGGCTGGGGCGACGGCCTCCCCAAATACGTTTCCAAGTACTCCGATGGCTACCACGAGCTATATCCATCTGCTCGAATCGTGGTGGTTCTTTCTAAAACATTCCACGCCTCAAACCAGCCCGAGGAGCAACGCATCGAGGCCATGATGCCGGTCGTGGATACCGTGTTCCCGACACCGACTGGCAGTGGCGCCGACGAGCGAGTCCTACTCCATTGCATGTCCAATACTGGCGGGATCTTCCTTGCTGCCACATTCGCCGCTTATCAGCGCCGACATGGCACCGATAAAAAGCTTCCTCACCAGCTGTTAGTTTGCGACTCCACGCCTGGGAGTCTAGACTTCTCGTCTCAAGTTGGCCGCTGGTCCCGGGCGATGGCGGTTGGAACTGCCAAGCACTTCCCCTGGCCATTTTTCATCACCCATGGCTTCTGGTATGCGTTTCTGTGGGCGAATTATCTGTGGGAACTCATGCGTGCAGCTGAGCCTTCGGGACACTGGGCGATGCGGATCATGAATGATAAGTCTGTTGTACCAGTTGAGCCTCCAAGGCTTTACCTGTATTCTAAAGAAGATGAGATCATCTGGTGGGAGGACTTGGAGGAGATTGTGGCCCAGGTCAAGATGGAAGGATTCCAGGTTGACATGGAGATGTTCGAGGGCTCTTCGCATGTTGGCCATATGCGGCTGCATCCCGAGCAATATTGGAACAAAATCTTTGGTTCGTGGAAAGCGGCCATTGGAGAATAATGTTTTAGAATAGATCATGATAGACTGGGCAGCTCGGGGCCTTTATTACTTGTTGGTTGGGTTGTCCCCCGAATTGCTTATGTTGGTGATAGACCCCCCATTCTTTATTCACACGACCGAAGAGCAAATTAATGCGATCCTACTGGGATTGAGGCATTTAAGAAATAATACGACGAGTCCAGGAATACAGTCCTGGTATTTTATTGACCACCATGCACCACTGCCAGTCGATGGTTGGACCCAAATAAGCTACACAACTGACAGCGTCCTATACTGGGCAGAGTTGCTGCCATTTAGCTGGATTCTGCTTCCCGTTGGTCCCGCCCCGCAGACTTCACTCCGCGATCTCCGTCCGGCTCTCTATGGCGTCCTCGAGTTCAGTCGATGCCCTGGCAAGCGCCCTGGTTGCTCGATTCCTGCGATCCAATAATTATACAGAGACCTTGAATGCGTTTGTTCGGGAGGCTGACCTCCCTCCAGACGTGGGGAGTGCCTCCGGCGATGACACCCACAACTGGTCTATCCAGAGCCTGATAGAGGAGAAGAAGAAATTCGATCATAGTGTGAGCTTCGAGAGATATGGGCAGGAGGATGAAGGGAGCGACCTCTGGACCGTGCCTGGTATGTGCAAACCGTGCCTAGGGTGATGAGTAGCCGGCGTTTTTGCCATCGAGAACAGACCTAATTTGTTATGTTTTTATCTTTTTCGGTACAGCACCGTCCAAGCCAACTGTCGTCAAAACATCCACAGCATCAAACGTTCTTTCTGCATCAGTAGATCTGTGGCAGAACCTTCGGGATGATGCGAACGAGCTCATTCCTCTACAGCCGGTTGTCATCTCCACAGGCGCTGATAGACAAGTGCATGTACTGGACACTGCTCCGGGTCATGCGAGACTGACATCTCTTATCGGAGTATCCGATTCCCCCGTGCTATCATATGCGTCGGTCCTCGATGGCCGCTTTGTTTTGATGGCTAACATGTCCGGGCGCCTGCTCCTTCAGCAGGGGTCTCGCGTCCTTGACAACAGAAAAGATCATGGAAAATATGTCGTGAGGATTGTCGCCCACGAGGAGAAGACTGAGTCGGGTTCAACTATTCTGTGGGTTGCTACCGCTGGATGGGATGCCAAGGTTTTCTTATACAGAATCGAGATACCGGATGGCGCATTTGAAACAGCATCTCTGGCTATCGGAGAGCCCGTGGCGCAGATCAAGTTATCCACGAACCCAGAGTCGCTGTTATTTGTACGCCATCCCGACTCGGGAGAGCTCGTGTTACTTGTTTCACGTCGAGACTCGACATACATCTACTACTACCAGGCCAAGCCGGGCCCAACCTCGATTGATCAACCAGCCACTCCACCAGAGTGCTCCCCTCTAGGCAGACAGAATTTGGCTCCTCACTCCAATGCCTGGGTTGCATTCTCCCCAGCATTCATGGCTCTCAGCCCGCGTGATCCTGGGCTATTAGCTGTTGCCACTTCTACGCTTCCACACCTGAAGGTAATGGTGGTCCGCCTCTTATTTCCCTCGACGGAATTGCTGGGGGGATCGAATGTGCCTACTGCCGATGGTATGACACAGGCAACCCAAGCCTTGGCAGCATTGGCAATTCAGAATCGCGAGGATTCCGCTATTGTCCTGCAGGCGAATACATTTGCCCCGCAAACAGCATATTCCACGCCGCAAGTGGCTTGGAGACCTGATGGCTCTGGGCTCTGGGTCAATGGGGACGATGGAGTGATCCGAGGTGTTGAGACGAAGACCGGCAAGCTTATTACAATTCTGAAAAACGGACATGAGCCAGCCTGTAAAGTTCGGACGATCTGGGCGGGATACGTGGATGTACCTGGTGACAACGCTGCTTCGGTGCGAGAGGAATGGGTCATTAGCGGCGGTTTCGATAAGCAATTAGTCATATGGAAAGTGTGAAATGGAATACGGATGTGAAAAAGAAGCATTGATATTATTCGAACCTTTTCAAGTCGTCCATCATTACCAAATCATGTCTACAGCTTACGATATGTAGCCGTCCATCCATGCACCCTTTCACCATCGGAGGCGAGAGGGTGACTGAAAGAGACGGGGGGCATGGGATCTTCTCTTGGCACGTAATAAAAATCCTTCAGCAGGCGCGCATAGAAGAGCACGTTGCTGTACACACATATGCCGTTTGGGATGGGGGAACTCGAGATAATGCTCGAGGTAGCCCGATCGGAATCAAGCCTCATACAAGGAAAGATGATGAATAGGAAAACACCCGGGAAAAATATTGATGTTCCACACTGGAACTGAAGCCGCTGCATGGATATCGATTTAAGCCTGTTGATTTCTGTATCTCAAACAACTCCAGGCATGCGCAAGGAACAAGTAGAAACCAGGCTATTCGATACAGCGGACCTCTTTGGTCGTCGCACGTTATTGTATCACCAGTCCTTGCGCGCTCCATATCTCGCCAATTTTTCCATTTTTCTTATCGTATCCACATTTATGCGGACTCGCGCTTGCCCTGCTTGACCTCCTTCTGTTCGGGTGTTAGTACCGATATAGAAAATCGGTCTCATGGGTCGGTACGGGATCAACGTACAAGAGCCTTCATGGTGCCGTGCAGAGCGTGACGGTGGTTGCGGCGGAACTTGGGGTCAACACCCTTGAGGGAGGGGTAACGGTTGGTCTTGGGCTTCTTGATACTGTATGGCGGGGGGATGTCAGCGGTCGGATCTTGACGCAAGTGGTCGTGCGGCATCGAAAAATCCTGAAAAGGAAAGACCAGGGGGAAAAAGCGAGATGCGTCATTGAAAATCAAGAATTTGAACCAAGGCTGCATTGTCTAGCAATTTGGGTTCAAAATGTCGAATTCCAACAAACCACTGGACTCTTTCCGCCCAGGTCCCCGTGGAATTTTCGATTTGTGACAAAGGAACAGAGCGATGACTCGGGTATTGGTTCTGAAGCTCAGGGGGGTACTGACCCGTTACGGTGAGCCTTCTGGCTGGCGTGGTGCTGGGACGCGTTCTTGGACTCTAAAAAGCGCAAACGTGGTCAGCAATTTGGTCTGCAAACGAGGTCACGGCCATGATGTCCGGGCAGCCATTAACAGGATCACATACTGGCCATCTTGACGAGATTTGTCGGTTGACGTGGACGGGATGGAGAGGTGAAGTCGACGGGCTCCGGAAATGACCAAATGGACGGGACTAGGGTTGTGTGGTGGATTCGTGGGTTCTCGCTTACCGCCGCAGCGCACGGACCACTTATGGCTGGACTTCGCCGGATATTCCAGAGATCCTGAATTTCTCTAATGACATAGAGGTTTCTCCTTATTTTCAGAAGTGGGATTCATCTCAATGTCTCAGCCAGATTAATTGCTCGCCTTGTTTCTGTGCGTTGTCAACCAGAAGCCGTCTCTTGGCCGAAGACAGGTATTTGTAAATCACGTGATCTACTTAGTATAGCGCTTCTAGTCGGAAGTAATCTTAAAAGGAGTTTGGACATCACCTTATAAGAGTGTATGCTGAATCGCTACATAGGTGTGCACAAAGGTTTGTTCAATTGACCGTGGTCTTTAGTCTCTACTACGAGAGATATCCAATGCGCCGGGACTAGCCATAAAATCCAAGTGTACAGTATAGCATACAAGTGGCATTCCTAACAACCGATGTATTCATCAATTGTATATATGAGCAGGTGATGATTTAGAGCCTGAAGTTACATCTAAATCAATCAGCCCGTACCCGGGAGGCCGTCTGATTATTGTTGGAACAAAGATTTAGGCCTCACAGTAGTGAGAACTCGCAGTACGAGACAGTACCCCAGAAATTTACTTGGAAATGCATGGAAGAGAAGCAAAGAAGCGGGACATATACTGAGGCACCTCAAATTGAATATCGAAGCTCATTCTGCCAGGTGTCCTAATGCTATTTAAGCTGTCTAGTCCAGCTCGGAGCCTTTGGAGGTTGAAGACGAGAACCAATGGCCACGTGATCCGCGCTAGGGAACAACCGGCTTCCGAACGTCGACCTTTGCAACACCAACCGTCAAGAGGGATCTCTCTAGCTTACCGTCTCCCCAACCCATTGCCACCATGAACTCCTTCCGCTTCGCTCGTTCGGCCCTGCGGGCTCGCCCCTCCCTGCTCAGCGCCCCTGTCCAGCGCCGTGGCTACGCTGAGGCCGTCACGGACAAGATCAAGCTGTCCCTGACCCTTCCTCACCAGGTACGTTGAAATAGGCTTCGGCCCAGTCGCCGGGTTTCATATGGGGCATCCAGCTAACACGGAATGCTTCTCACAGACTATCTACCGCTCGACCGGCGTGTGCGTCACCACCCCCCGTGGCTATAGCTTGTTTACCGGCCCCTAGTTACTGACGAATTTCGAATCAAACAGGACCCAGGTCAACATCCCCGCCGCCTCTGGTGAGATGGGTGTCCTTGCCAACCACGTTCCTTCCATCGAGCAGCTGAAGCCCGGTCTCGTTGAGATTGTTGAGGAGGGTGGTGCTACCAAGCAGTACTTCCGTACGTTCGATACCGCATTGCCGGTTCCAGCCCGACAAACTTTGCCAATCCTTGCGAGTCGACTCGCTAACGAGATAATGTTATAGTGTCCGGTGGTTTCGCCGTTGTCCAGCCCGACTCTCAGCTGAGCATCAACGCTGTCGAGGGCTTCCCTCTGGAGGAGTTCAGCCCCGAGGTAAGGAAGATATTTGCAATTCCTTGCGCATTGCGTACTGACCATTTTCTTTTTCCCCCTCTCAGGCTATTCGCGCCCAGATTGCCGAGGCCCAGAAGATTGCCAACGGTGGTGGCAGCGAGCAGGACATTGCTGAGGCCAAGATCGAGCTTGAGGTACGAGATACGCCTTTCCTTCCCCCGACGGCCCGCTAACGCCTCAACCAGGTTCTGGAGACCCTGCAGGCCCACGTCAAATAGATGTACATATCCAATTTCGCACTGATCACCCCTTAACTCTGTAGAATTACATCTATTCTTTCTTTTGTCGACTTTTATCTTTTCTGCTAGTGCCCGCGAGCAAAAAATAAAGTGAAGTTAACTTATGAAGGCGCGAACCAGGTTTCGCGGTCATGTTGGCCCTTACCTCTCGCTTCTCCGCGCTTTGCGCTTCCTATTCCAGATTCTCCACCCCTCATCGACCTGAATTGTCTCATTCTCGATGATGTCGTGGAAAGAACCCCTAGGCATGTCTGATTCCCGCTTAACCATGACAAGCAGCTTCGAGGACCGTGGTTTGTCTCCTTCATATGCATCCATCCTGGAATACTGTGATTGCGAGATCTCAGACCTCCTGCCTCTCGATGAAACGGACACCAGATCGCCTCGAAATCTCACTCTCAATCAGCGATGTCCTCGGTTAGAACTTGACCCTACCATGGATAATTTCTACACACTCGACGGCCTCGCCGAGCAGCAGAATCCTCAGAACACACCCACGACGGATAGTTACGCTGCCAGCCCTGAGAGACGTAAAACTCAGCCCTTGGCTCAATCAGACCGATCCCCCAATGCACCGCACTTGGATCTCGACTGGCTTGATCGGTCTCTTCTGACACACCCGATACTCACAAGGAGTCAAACAGAGATGGACCCATTGTCTCTTCACACGCAGTCTGCAAAAGGTGTTACACATAGCATACTACGCAGCGGATCACCCACGCGTGAATACAGTCTCGATATGCCTGTGACCCGAACGGTTCGATTCTCACCTCCGCCTTCACCCAAGCGTCCGCGACCATCGGTCGAACGGAAGCGCGACTATATCGTCTCTCATCGGCAATCCAGGCAGCACGCGAAATGGAAGAGCGTGAGACGTCGCCAAAGCGCTGTACAAGCCCCTAAACTGAAGGGAATCAACGAATCGAAAGGCCGCGGTACTCACCTTCCCCTGCTTTCTAAGGTTCCCTTACCTTATCCTATGTGCGCCGGGCCAGGCACTTCTCACAGTCAAGCCAAGGGAGGAACTACGGCTGCAGCTCAACAGGAAACTAGGCAGGCTCTCAAGCAGCCGAGTGTGTACGACATGATTGTGATCAATTTCGGCGTGTACGGGCCTCGATACCCAGAGCACCTGGGCCCTAACTCACAATGGGCTTTCATGCGCATCAAAATGAACCCTACTTTCATATCAGCACGCGATCTTCGCTCACAGCCAGAAGAGACCAAGCAAATTGTTTGCCGCTTGCCCGCGGAAAACATCCTCTTCCATTTCGTCTTTGTAGTCCCGGCCTTCATAGTTCGTCGCCCTCATGCCTTCATCTCGTTCGTTCGTCGGCTGGCGAACTCGACTCTAGGCCTAAATGCCTTTACTCTTCTCAAGATTTTCTTCTTCGGGATTGCTAGCCTCGTCAACCTGATCGCGCAGCTGGTTTGGGATATGGAACTCGGCTTCCAAGTCAACATCCACCGCCGGTTCTCTGACCGTTTCTCTGACCGACGCCGTCAGGTCTCTCGCTAGGTCCGCTCATCATTCCGATTTCTCAGTTCGACTCCATCGCTCCAGCATACTTTAAGTCCGCTGTTTCCACGCCCATTATCTGTTGTGATAGTTTTATTGTTGCCTGTGTTAAGGATCACATCTTTCTTCAAGTGCTTCTGGAGGGTGTCGAGGTTCATGGAATATGACCCAGCGATATTCATTAATCATGTGCTTTTATCGTCCCTATATGGTGTTCTGAATACCGGAGTTGACGGGGGGTTATCGTCTCAGAGCTGCCAACTTTAGCCTCGTTTAATCTCACTTCCGCCCAATGGACTTTCTCTAGAATGTGCTTTGAATCAGTGTACTAGTACTTTTATGTCCTGTGGAGTGTGCTTCTCTACTCAGCAGCTACGATTGCCGGCACAAACACCGAATGGACAAGCATACTCGATGAGCCTTTATTGAGTTCTTAGATTTGGATAACAGTCATATGTAGCAAGTATGGCCTGAAAGGACACAGGGAAATAAATCGTGTTGCACGATAGATGCAATCGGCAGTGAGAGAAGTTGAAACGGAAACAGGAAAATATGACTCGAAATGACTCCAACCGGCCATTATAAAACAACGTAAACATGATTTTGCCTGCTCCGTTCCTGACGAAGGAAATGGAAGCATCAACAATAAACGAGAAACCTGTATCCATTCGCTTTGTTCCATAGCCTGCATGAAATTCTTTGGGAGCGGGGGTGGCAGGGGGGAAAACATAAAGAAATAAAAATCATAAATCGAGCATTAGACCATCCATATGAACAAGACGCTCCAAAAAAAAAAAGAGAACTCGTTTTATACAAGTCGTAGAGAGGTCCATTAAACATAAGACAAGATGAGAAGATTTGGAACAAATCACTCGAACTCAACGCCATGCTGCTGTTGTCTATCCTGCCTGGCCCGAGCGCGTTCTGCCCGGCGTCGGCGGCGATTATTTGCATAAGATCCACTGGCTTCAGTGCCGGTCCACGTATCGGGCGGTGAGGTCACGCTATTGAATGGCATAGTTGAGGGAGGGGGCTGTGGAACGGGAGGGGGTCGGGGAAGGTTGATGTTGCTGTGCGATTGCGGAGGATAGGCAGACCCAGGGACACTGGCTGACGGAGCAACAGACCCTGGGCCAGCGGCAGAAGCGGCAAGAGCAGCTTCTTGCTCCCGTCGCATTTGCTCGGCCTGTTGTCTCTCCAGCTCCTCCACACGACGCCAGCGATCTTGGCTCCGTTCGTCGCCGGATACGGAACTTGCGCTGCCAGCACGCCGACGCGAGTTCCTTCGCTCCCGTCGCCGTGCTTCACGCTGAGCAGCAGCTTCCTCTTCGGTCAGACGGCGTAGGGTCACATGCCGGCCATCGTTGTGCATCTTCACCTTGACCGAAACCGGAGGAGAGTCACTATGGTGTTCGTCGCGATGTCGACTTTGGCTTCTACTGTCTCGACGACGGCTAGGTGCACCCCCTAACGCCGCGCCGGCCGCCGCGCCGGCCGCTGCACCTGCCGCTGCACCCGTGGCAATCTCTGTTCCATCATGGGAATCTGGAAGCTCCGACCTGGAGTCCGCACCTGCAAGTTCGTGATGCACTGGAGGCCGCGGAGGGATGTCAGAGTGCGTTACGTCGTGAATAGCACCTGATGCGACAGGTTCAGGTGATAACAGAGATGTACGAGAAGGTTGCCGAGGTGGGCGGGGAGTCAAATCCGTAGGCGTGAGCTCAGTATCGGAGTAGGCACTGGGAACGCGGCGCTGGGGATATGGACCTGCTCCTGGCCCAGGTCGGTTATCGCGGCGTTTGCTGTTCATTCGCTGTAATCGCTCGTCTTCGTCCTCTTGGCGACGAATGTCCTCGAAGCGCCGTTTGTCCTCATCAGCTTTGTTCTTGCGCCCGCCGAACATCTTTTTGATGCCAGCAAAGGCGCCCGCGCCCAGCAGGGCGTCGCGTATACCATGGGACGGACGTCGTGGGGCAGGCTCCGTCAAGTACGTACTAGTATAATAGTACGATGAGCCAGGGCTTGGGGATCTGCTTGGAGGACGCGTTGGAGGTCGATTGATAGGGGCGGGATGACTAGGCGCCGGTCTGCCATCTTCCAGGCGGCTAAGAGATTCCTCTGAATAGCTGTCGCGGGAGTCGGCTGGTCGGTAACGGCCTGCCTCTGAGTCGTCTTCGCGTTTCTTTCGGTTATCCCACCACCTCTTGGCCAGAAGACCAGCACCAGCCAGCGCTCCGATTTCAAGTAGCTTCTTGCCGAAGCCGCCGCCTTTACGGGACGCTTCGTCGGAGTACTTTTCGTCAGATATGGATGTTCGTGAATCTTCGTATCCCTGACTGCTGTGGCGATTTCGTCGACGGTTCTTAAACATGGAGCCCAGCGCGGCACCGAGGGCACCCCTGCTAAAGCCTCACCCATGCCGCCCCCTCCTCCTCCTCCGCCATGGTGATGGCTGACTTCAGACGGGCCGGTATACCGAGACCCATGTTCACTGGGTACGTGGAACCCCTCGTCATCGTAGAGGTAGGATAGGATGAAGAAGGCAAGCAAATATGCGAAAGCTGCCAAAGAAAAGAGGATGAAAAGTACCTTGGGCGACCCGTACAAGGTCAATCCTAACGGGATCTGAACAATGCCCAAGAGGAGCAGTGCTCGACCCAGCCATCGATGGATCTAATTTCATGTTAGTATTTGTTTGGATCGGGCGGGGTGTCTCTGGGCAAAAGACATACCACCAGCTTCAAGGGGACTCGATGTCTCATTTTATTTCTCTCCACCTTGTGGACAAACCAACCCCACAGGACTTGGAAAATCACCATCACATAGATTGCTAGGCCTATTCCGTGGTGTGGGTTAGTCAAACTTCTTTTTGGTCCGACTGCAAACCATCCTAGCATGAATACCACTGTAGACAGCAGTAGTGTCATTACTTGAAACCACGCATGAAGCTTGAAAGCCCAGTAAGGGTTCCATCTGCCCATGTATCGGATAATGAGGGTCGAGGTCGGAACGAGACCCAAGAAAACAATTGTTGCGATGACTCCGTGCGCAACTATCATAGGACGGTATCCGGTCATATCCTTGAATCGATTTCCCATGCCTATTTCGCACGTGTTAGCCACGAGTTCCCACTTTTGTTCCAATAAGACATTGTCGCGCACCATTGTATCGCATTGTGTCAAAATTTAATCCCATGAGGTTGGGTAGCAGAAACGTGTCCCGCTGCGTGTCCCATGTTCCATCTCCCACATGCAGCGTATTCGAGGAATACGTGCTGCTGCCAGGAGCTGTGAGGCCAGAATCCGCCATTGTGCCGATTGTCCTTGTGCTCGCTCTCGTCTGGAACGTCGGAGCTTATCGACGGAGATCTTGTGAGATCCCCCGGGCCGAAGAATGCACCATGCGATGGGGGACCGATCCGTGGAATGTGGAGTGACAAGCGGTGTCCGCTAGAAAGCTCAGCTGTGCGCAATCCGATGGAGGAGTTGTTGAGGGGAGGGGAAATAGTCGTGGTAAGCGGTAGCACACTGCTCGTCTTTGGCAGCGAGGTGAAGATTGGGATTGAGACCGGGGTAGCGACACGAAGATGAGAGCAAAATGCCCGTCGTACAGGCGACAAACAGGGGACTGGGTGTACACTTACCACCCTATTGCGTTTAGCTTCTTTGTTGACCCGCCAACGGGACCCGCTGAACCAGAACGGAAGCCTGAGATGCGATCGACTCACGTGACATCAATATCGTGACATAATCACTTATCACGCCCAACGATGCTCATATCACGAGGATCTGTCGCAACCTCCCCTCCCACCGATTCATGGAGCCTCGATCTTCTATAAAACGGAGGGAGCATACTGGGATAGGAAGGAATACCAGACCGTTGGAATATCCGAAGCTATGGGCTCGTCACAGCTAGGGATCTTTGTCCGGGCCTTATCTCGGTAAGTAGCGTGAAACTCTCCACCTTACACTTGAGCTTTATGTTTGAATAACTGACATGTGGCGGCAGTCTTCTGGGGTGGATATAGTACGTTGGATGTGTGCAAGCGCAACTTGAAAAGAGTTCTCTCTCGCCTGAATACTGAATCCAATGACAGTGTGGCCTGTTGGTCGATATCTTTTTATCCTCAGCCGATCTTTAATTTTCGGCGTCGTTCCACAGCCGGACTCACGATCGATTTCCCCACAATCAACTTTTTGGGATTTGTTTGTTATGCGATCTACAATGGCGCGTTTTTATACTCCCCGGTGATTCGCTCCCAATACGCGGCCAGGCACCCGCTTTCCGAAGAGCCCACAGTTCGGTTCAATGACTTCGCATTTGCGGTGCATGCGGTCATCCTTAGTGGAATTACTTACTCGCAATTCTGGCCAGCAATTTGGGGGCTCCGAAGTGTCTCGGACGCAGCGCCTCAGCAAGCCCATCGCGGGCCTGTTCTGGGGTTCGATCCTGGTACCGATAATCGTTGTTGGCATTGTCGCAGTGTCAAGCCCGAATGGGGGCTACGATCCCTCCTATTGGGCATGGATCGACGTGGTAAGTGGTCTTGTATCTCTTCCAAGGTTGCATGCCAGTCCTTCAGCTCTCAGAGAAGATCGTCGTGGCTGCGTGGTGGCTTTGTGTCTCATGCATACATACCGGGCCATGTGCTAACGGCGTCTGATCCAGATCTACGCCTTCTCATATGTCAAAGTGGTAATTACGGTGGTTAAGTATCTGCCCCAGGCATGGTTGAATTACAAGCGCCAGTCAACCGAAGGCTGGAGTATCTCTCAAATCCTGCTCGACTTGGCGGGCGGGATCCTGTCGTTGGTGCAGCTGGTCTTGGATTCCAGCCTCCAGAGTGACTGGAGTGGGATCACGGGCAACCCAATCAAATTGCTTCTGGGGAATATCACGATTGTCTCGGACGTGGTCTTCGTGGTTCAGCACTATATTCTATATCGGGATCAGGCAGGACCCAAGGCTCAACCGGCACGAGACATCACGACCCCCCTGTTGGGTGACGCAGAGGCATCATGAGAGATCTAATTTCGGCGAATGCGCCAGGGGAGGTTCGAATGCAGAGGTTGAGCGTGGGTCCTGGAGTCATTGTGTGGAGAAACAGCGGGGCTATTTTTGGAGTCGGCAGATGGTTCCACCAAGACGCGCTTTTGGGGGCCGAGTTGCGGGGGCATGTAGATCGGATTTAAACTGATCGGTCATTAGGAATGCGTTCATTGTAGACCAATTATGCATCGACCAATGATGAATCCTCATTTGCCAACACTTGTGTCACCGGAAGAGGACGGATGAAAAAAAGTCAATCGGAGGGAAGACGGAATTGCAAGCTCGGGCAAGGTCCGTCTGTCTTTGTTCACCTTGGTCGTTCCCATGGAATCTTCCACGACCAGTTGGGCTAGGCCACGCGGGACCTTAAATCCGATAAGGAACAAGCACCAGCACCAGCACGAGCCGATGCAGCGCTGCACGAGCTCGCGGAGACAATACTTCAGTTCGCGAGTAGAATTGTTGACGCATAGAGAAGGACCTCCTCAAGGGGCGGTCTGGTCTGTGCGGGAGCCACATTCGGGTCTCGGAATCTTGGAATCTTAACCAAAAAAAAAAAAATCCGAAATCCCCCACCTCCCATAGAGGTAAAAGCGATAGTTTGCGGCTCGTGAAACTGGGCATCCACCGACACCGCTCCCCATCGTACAGGGGCGGCGCTCCACCGAGTACCGAAGGGGCCGTCCCGTTGGCCGGCTCGTCCCAGGTCAGTACCATGTTTTACGAGCCAACCAATCGTTGGAAAGGTGCGAATCGTCGGTGTCCTCGAAGTCAAAAAGGCTTCGAAGCCGAACGACTGGGTCCTGCCAGACCCCATCATCTGTATCCCCCGCTTGTTTCAAGGAACGACTCTGACTCGTAACGAATGCCCGTTTCGTCCTGGCTCCCGCATCCCGCTCGGCTCGGACATAAACCCTGGGGATCAGATCCTGGGCCAGCACGGCCTCACTTGAATGCTACCTCTATGCTGCCGTTACCTTCAAAGGCGCTGGCAAGACGTCGAATACCTGGACAGCTGGAATCCCCCCATGCACACTGTGTTCGGGCGACCGATCGGGATAAGGCAGGGTGGTTCGTTTGTAAATCGGCTTCAACCACTGAATGACATCGCGCGTACTTTTTTGCCATGGCCAACATATTATGATTCAGTACCATTGCCGAATAGAACATTACAAGCACATTTCTTGGAGCGGAGGTTTCACCCGCTGGGCTGCGTGGGGCCGAACCCAAGGGGCCACTCTGTAACTGTCCGCTGAAGCTTGTTCTAGTGAAATTGAAGCCACGTTCCTCTCCCGAAGCTCTAGGGACGCAGGGGAGGGCTGATGCTTTTCCTGTCAAGGTCTCTCAACGTTGGGAATGGGGAAAGTATAGACCTTCCACATGAGTCAGTAGGTGAGACCTCCTTCGCAAATCGCGAACTATAAGCTTCGAAGCTTAGGGGTCGGCTTTTCGAATTTTACAACGGTCCAAAACATCTTTATTCGTTGGCCCTTGTCCAAGCCGCTTGAGCCAATGGGAGGGGACCCCTTCAGCGCCGCCCCGCGCCGCCCAACGCCGTCCCAGCGCCTCTGCTCGATGTATTTTGCGCGTGGCTGTCGGGGCTGCTCGGACATGCAAGCGGACCCGCTTCGTAGTTGGAAGGACCCGGGCGGGCCGGCCAATCAGCAGCGGCCCCATTGGTTCTAGATTAGGTTTAACGTTGCGCCAGCACCAACTGGTGGTCCATGGAGTTGTTGGCTCATGTCTCGTTCCCCCACTCTGGGACCGCGCCATTCGCACCACACGCCTATCAAAATATTCCTAGCATATACCTCTCGCAGCCCCGTACGCTCGAAGCAATCATCTTGCTAGGTCCGCCAGATTACGATAATTCCTCTCAATTTCCCCTCAGCCCTACTCGGGCCGGCCAATGATGGTCATGGACCAAGGTGTCTGGCTACCCAAATGAGGAAGTCGCGGTCCTAGACGATGTTCTTACGTCGATCCAGTGTCAATCATGCAGATGTGCCCGGCTCGTCGAGCCCCATGGAGATCTGATGCACGATGATTTGAGTTTTCCCTCTCTACGTCCGTGGACGTTCGTTGGCTCCCGCGACGGGTCTGAGGCTTATGTTATGTTTTTCTCAGTCTGTTGGTTTCCTCCCCCCCTGTCTATTGCCCCATTTCCTGTTCCGTCATTTATAATTTGAAATTAATTTTTTTTTTTTAGTGATTTCATTGTTCCCGATGGCAGGCTATGGACGATAGGGACTATCGGACTCCTGCCGACTATGTACAATATCCTGCAGATCATTACCCGTCGCTCGCATTTTCTACTTGGATGTGGTTTTATTTTAGTTCTGCAGCTGGTTCCTATTTTATTTTAAATGCGGAACGCCTGGACGTTGAGAGAGGATCAAAAAGCACTGCCTCGTTCTGCAGCATTCCTCTCTCCGCTCTTATACACCCTTAGCTCCGAGCCGGTCACACGGCATATTCGCCAGAAAGTCTCTAGATACAAGAATAGCCTTGAAGTCGAACCATACTGCCCACCCACCCCCCCATCATTTCATGCTTATCACAGAAAAGGAACTCATTCCGGACTTGTTTGAGACCATCCTGACCGGTGCATTGCCCCAGTAACGCCTTTATTCGAGCTTCGGTATTTTCGAAGAGACCTTGTTATAAAAGCAGGCGACGTGCCCAGGTAGTGGTTCTTTGCCATGCACATCACCTATTCCCCGCCCACCACCCTGTTAGACTTTGACCAAGAAGTTGAGGTGCGGTCGAGCTTATCGGAAAGAGAGTCGTTGATCAACTTTGATTCACGAAATTCGCTGCCGAGCATGATGAAGCGCAGTGCGGGATATCGGTCTGAACACCATGCAGGGCCCGTTCCGAGCACCTCGGGGTGCGGATTATTGGACAACCAACAGTTATTGCGCTTGGGGGAGATCCCTGTCAGCTCTTCGTCATCGCCCGCGCCCTCATCTGCCCTGCAGCAGCCCCCGGGTTATGTACCGCCGCACGCTGAGTCCGTGTCCTTCCTAGTCCCAGATAGCTATTTATCAGACCAGCGGGCCTCGCCTGTCAGTGATGCCATGGGTTCTCTTTACGCCTGGTCTAGTACTTCCGACGCCGATGCTTTAAGACCGCGTGCTTCCTCATCCGATCGTCCTATTGCTCCTGCAACCACCTCGCCCTATATGCCGTCCTATTTCCCGTTTAGTCCTTCCCACTCCATGGACTCACAGCTCCACCAAGTCTCGGGCTACACCCCTCAACAGATCAATAAATGGTGCCTAGACAGTGATCATGCTGGCAGTTTCTACACCACCCAACAACCTTCCTACCCAGCGATCTGCCCCCTGTCTTTTTCGGGGGGCACAGAAGGGTCCCAGGGTGCCTACCCGTCTATGACCGAGAGTGTCAACGGGCCTGCCTCGGAGAGTTGGTTCAGTTCCACTGCATTCTCAGGGACATCATCCCCCCCCGGTCTCCGCCGTCATGGAACGGGCTTTTCTTTCGCCCTCTAGCGGCACCATCCCCTTCGATTCCCCGTCAGTCATGAGTGCCTCGCCGGGCGCAACTACTCCCGACTTTGAGTCTCCTTCCTCCCGCCATAGACACACCTCTCCCTCCAACCCAGGAGATTTGTCCCGTTACGGAATTCCTACCGCGGATGGGGCATGGCGCTGCGCTCACCCCGGTTGCACTTCCCAGGCCCTCTTCCGCCGGGGCTGCGACCTGCGCAAGCATTACAATCGCCATCGCAAGCATCTGTTCTGTCGTCACGAAGGTTGCCCTCAGAGCCAGCAAGGGGGATTCTCCAGCAAGAAAGACCGCGCACGGCATGAGGCGAAGCATAACCCCGGCATTATTTGTGAGTGGGATGGCTGCGGCCGCGTGTTTAGTCGAGTGGACAACATGAAAGACCACGTGCGACGGATTCATCGTCGCGGTGGCAGTAGCTAAGCGATTATTGATTTGTCTATTTTTTTTTCTTCTTGTTTTCTCATGACCTCTTTTCTGCGGCCATACAAGCGGTTATGGGGTTACGACTACAATGTTTTGTTTTTCTTTTTTGATTGGATTTTATTTGATTTTTATGGCTTTGGGCTGTATATATACCATGGAACAGCGGGCTTGGAGAATTGGCGAATTCACATTTAGCGGATCTTAGACTGGGGCTTCCTTCGGTTGTACCATGAAAGAAAAAAGAACAAATTTAGAATCGAAAAGAATCAGAAAAAGAAAAGAAAAAGAACACCAATCTCATACGCAAGATGGTCGGGAATTGGGGAAAATAATGATCGGGCCTAGACATTTGCATACCGGCTGGGCGGTCCATGACAGCGCATCTGTGAATGAAGATCTAACTTGTCTCATGTTTCTATAAATGGATGTTTCAGATCGCATTAGATGAATCTCCAATCTGATCTAGTATTCTAGTAGAAAACCAACAATTACTTTTCAAGGTCAGCAAAAACTGTGCTGTAACCGTGGCCCACACCGATTAATGGTTTACTATGCCCGAAGCCCCGTTCGCGGATGCGCCACCAGGACAAGCATCGCCGCCATGTTTCTAAGGGCGTTTATGTTTGAGACATTTGAGGACCCCAACAGCGCGTAAATGCCGAAAACCCTGACTGACCAATCATCTCCGATCCGACAAGGCCTGCTCGCACTTCTCAGCGATAGAGGACGGTCTTGGTTGATTTGCGTGGGCTGTTACTACCTCCCATTCCATCTGAGTCGGGGCAGCTTGCCACCGCGTGGACCTGTATAGCCGAGATCTCTTGTATCCTCGGCCTAGCGCTATTTGATGTTTGCTGGCACGCTGGGGGCTGCCGTATATTCACGTGAAGATCGACGCTCTGTGTAAGGGTATGGTCTTTTGGGGGGGGAGAGGGGTCCTCCCGCGTGGCTTACTTCCTTTGGGTCCAGTTCTCGTCGATACCCGATCATCATGAGATGGAGACTCGGGGTTATGCGTTATGCCCTGAAAGCTTAAATTACTCTGTGATGAATGTTGGGTGTTGGTGTCGGTTGAGCTCGCATGATTTTCCCGACGGGGAAAGATGTATACACTTTAATGGCGGAACGGTTCCGCCTACACTTCGTATGCCGAGGGTCCACGGGTTTCCGCTTAGAGCTGACCAATCTATTGAATTGACCTATTCCACGAATGGCCTGCGTCTATCCACCTCGATATAATGACCTTGATCTCCCGGCAGATTAGTCGAACTAGCAATATATATAAATAAAGGCGACTCGTACTCAACAGCGCCTACAATTACACTTAGCCGCATCCTGGCGTAACAGCAAATGTGGCTTCAACAGTCCTGTGCGACCATGATACCATGATCAAACCCCCAATTTTGAAGCTGACAGCCCTCAGACTTCACGATGCTGTGAAAAGAAGCAGATTGAACACGGAAGTGAGACTTGACGGGCCAGAGAACACCTCCTGCTACATTTTGTGCGGCACACTCTCTTGCTATCAGCGTTCGATTCCAGGTTCGTGGTACCTGTGGCTATATCCAAATCTATAAGGAAACCTTTGTTTATTGACGCCATCCGAACACTTGGACATCATTTTCATCGCTTACTAGTTAACCCCGACTCAGACAATTTATTGACAAGAAACCTTCATACCCATGGATGACTCGGTTTCCTTGGGGGGCATTGCATCTGCATCTGCATCTGCAGCTTCTTTCTCCGACTGTAACTCTGTGCACCTGCATCAGACTGACACCGCCTGCTGCCCGGGATACGCCATGTGGCATTTGACATGCATGGAAAAAAAATGCAGTTTATTCTCCAAACGTCAAGGCCACGAGACAGCAGCACCCATGGGTATTCCCTGTCCACGGCGGCTCCGACAAAGTTCTAGGCGGGGGAGCATGGGGATCGGGGCATATTCTACCCCTGGAAAGGATCCCTTCTGAGCCACCTGCGTTCCGAAGACTTGAGGTGGCACAAGGATTTACGAGCAAACGGTTCCCTGCTTTGGAGGATCGGGAGATCTGGCTGCACAATTTAAGGTAGCATGCAGATGGGCGCACACAGCGATCATACGTAACAAGCTCTTTCTTTCTTTCTTCTTTCTTTCTTTCTTTCTTTTTCTTTGCATTGTGGCCTGAAACTCGCGTGTTTGGACGAGAGCGTCATGTTGCAGGTCATTCCCCGCCGTTGATCCGGTTCGTCTGGCTCTAGTGGTAGACAGGGAAATCCCCTCACGTTCGCAAGAGATCAGTCCCAGCACCTTGGGAACATCAGCATTCTGGGGCAAACGATGGCATACAACTGGGCGTCGAACTAAAGGACCAGAACCCTATTGAGCCCCACGTCCGACACTTTCCACAGTTTTGCCTGAGGTTACCGCTGGGTGCCTGGGTTGATCCATGGTTCGCGGAGCCCAACACGAGGTTACCGGGGCCTGAGCCGACCTAGTAAAGAGTCTACACATTCTACTCCAAGAGGAGACTTAGGGGGGGTCTTAGATCTGACTTCGTTATGTTCATTGCGATCGATCCTATCTAGAGACAGATCGTTCCGGCATCATACATTCATGCATGAAGGGGCATTTAGTAACCGTTGTAGGAGGGGGGCACATCCTCGATGTTCTGGTAAGCCTGGCGCTTGGCCTTCTCGCGGTCGATGAAGTCAAGCCCCCTGGTCTCGACCTCACGGTCGACGAAGGCACCAGCGAAGCCGGCGAGGATCTCCTTGGCCTTCTCGTGGCTCTCGGGCTTGCCTGCAAAAAGGGGAGAAAAGGTTTTAGCTATCCGACGCCGATCGGTAGGGCGGGGTAAATTTCTGGAAAAGGATGAAACATACCATTACGTTCCTCGTACTGCTCGTAGGCCTTGGCGGCCTCGTAGCTGGCGGCACCGGCGATCAGCTCGTGGGCGAAAGAGGGATCATGCTCCCGGGGCTCGCTGTTTTGCCACTGGTTGTAGGAATCCTCGTGGTCGCCTGGGTAAAAAGGGAGCCAAGATGTTAGCGGAAGCTTGGCAGTGACCCCTCCATGTAAGGGGGATGTGCGCGGTCGATCACAGAGGGGTGTAGATCATCCCAGGCTTACTTACTGTGGCCGTCGAACCAACCCATGATGATAGATTTATTGATGAGAGTGTTTTGAAATTGAATAAAGTTAGCTGTTAGAAACAGAAGAAGAGGATTTGGGGGGAAAGGAGAGGGGTTAATATAGGCACAGGTGGACATCCAGGGGGGGGGTTTACGGGTGTCCCCACCGATCAGCTTAGCTACGTAGCTCGTGCTTCCTTCGTGCCCCTCCAAATCAATTTGCGTCTCCTAGAGCGGGGTTTGCGCCACGCAAGCGGGCCAGATACACCAATCGATGCCAATCGATGGGTTGGCTCGCTACCCATTGAAACAAGCCACTTGTACGCGCGCAAGATGAGACCATAGTCTGGATGTAAAAATAGGACGTGTTTCGCATTACGATCACACCACTACTCTCCTGTTCAATGCTAAGCTAGATACCAGACATAAATAATGGAAAGACGGAGGTTAAGCTTTTCTAGAAGCTTCCGGGGAGAATTCGCCGAGAAAAGAAACGAGTGGACCGTTTTTAAAAGAGGCGGTGTTGAAAGAGGCGAGGGAAAGAGGGGTGGGGGGGGGGGGCAGACAGAGGAGAAGCAATTTCCCAAATTTCCCAAAGATTCGAACAAAACGAGGGACCCATGTATGATATCATGCTTCTAACGTGTTGACAGTGGTATCATCGAAGAGAAGAAAAAAAAAAAAAAAAAACAGAGTAGCTCAGCTAGCAATTGGAAGAAGAGTATCAGGAAGAGAGAGATTCGTTACGCGTAAGGTGGCAGAATAAGGCGGGGCTCGCTGACTGGCAAGAATGCTGTCGTCATAAAAGGTGTAGTTATCATGTTTAATCCCGTAGGAAAAGAAACAGCGCTCAAAAACTGCAGATCAGGAAAAAAAAAAGACAGCCTTATGCATTTATTCTCCTCCGCCGTCCTCGGGTGCTGCCTATGGGGCGTTGCGCGAGGACCTGACGGAGAGTGGGGTCATCTTTGCTCTTGTCGACGTGATGGACCCGAACATGTCTTGATTCGGCGTCAGTGACGCCTTCGCATGGGAGGATGGGATGCTGAATCTTACCTCTGGAGATTGTCTGGCCGGGGATACTTATGTTGTTGGTCCGGACAGAAGGGGCAGACATAGCCGGGTGAATTATGCACTAGTCCATGTCGCATCATTTCATTCTTACGCTTGAACCCTTTGCCCCCGATCCCGCGAGGGCAACCGTCTACAGGACAGAAGTGAGGACGATCTTGAGAATGAACGTTCGCATGAGAGCTGTGGTGTAGATGGTCAGACCAGGCTGGTTGATGAGCGGGGAGAGAGAGAGAGAGAGAGAAGGAGGGAGGAAGGGAGGTATTTTGGGTAGAGTCTTACTTGAGAAGGTACTGTGTTTGGAACGGCGCTGCAGTGCACCCGGGGTGTTCACACTTATAATGGCCTACTCCAGTCGGGACTCCATTGGCCATCATGTTGGCGCTGAACGTCGATTGACCCGCTACGCCGGGAGCGATCTGCTCAGTCGGGGCAGGGTAGTTGGTGGCGGGACTTTTCGCTGTCACAGGGGACATTTCGTAAGGCGATTGGGGCACCGGCGGCTCTGATGGCGCTGGCGGAGGGGGCGGAGGTAATGCGGTAGGTGCGACGGCCGACGTGGGTGTACGCCATGTTGCGGGCTGTGACGCCGGAGAGGGATTGTTGGACGCATCCTTCGCGCTCAGAGCACTCACTGGAGAATAATGTGTATAGGGACTCGGGGGTATAAGGCTCGGCAAATGGCGGTCGAGTGGGGATTCGCGGGGCGTAGGCACCCCCGGCCCTGCGTAGGACAATGGTGAAAAGGCATTATACGGGCTGGCCGAAACGTCGGATTTGTTGAGACCCAGCGCCGAGATGGAGGGCAGCGGTGTGTTGTTTACCGTCTCTGGAGAGGTTGCCGCACTGGAGGAGGGAGGAGAATGAATGGACGGTAACGGCTGGAGGGAGGGCACAGAGAAGCGCGATTTCACCTCCGTAGGCGGGTTCAGGACGGGTCGGTCGAGAGAGGCTCTGCGCTCGTGCGGAGGGAGGAGATTCGGTAAAGGGGGTGCGTGAATGGAGGGGAAACGACGGCGTTGCGGCGGAGATTCCAGACTGGGATTGGAAGGGAGGATGGGAGGAAGGGTCGTCTTGTGTCCGGGTGACCGAGGGTTCGGTTCCTTGTCCGCGGATGTTGACGGTGTAGCAGCTGTGGTAGAGTCCTTTTGCTCCTCCTTTGCCTCCTGAACAGGCGGGATTGGGGGCGCTGCAGGACCGTTCCGTCGGTAATGATCCAAGTCCCTCGGTCGACCTCGCTTGGGAGAAACCTCCAACGGATCGTCGCGTGCGATTCTGGCCACATCCGGATAATCTGGTCCCAAATAGCCTATCAGCAGGCCATCCCCGTGGCGCGTTTGGCAAGAAGACTCGGGGTAGTGCGGCTTACGGGGGGAACGATCGCGCGTTCCCTTGTCGCACTCGGGGAATTCGCCATTGCGAACAAATGGCGGAGGATCCTCATCCACGGCATATTTCGGGACGGCGGCCACCAGCGGCGGAGTCCTGTTCATGGGCTCGTCCGGATCATAGTAGTCGGACGTCATGAAGGCGGGCGAGGGGGCATGGACGTGGAGACCAGGTTTTTTGTGGCTTTTGGCCCGGGGAAGAGCTGGACGAACAGGAGAAAACAACAGCGATAGGGTTAGAGACCAACTGTAGTCCACTGCGTTTGGCGGTTAGTTCAGGAACCCCAATCAATCCTAGACGCCTGGTAACGCTGAGTACACCTGCTCCAGCTTTAAGCGCTCCCCATCTGCTTCGTCACCGTAACTCGAGGGAACTGGGTTGCAGGACAACTCCCAGTAAAAATACAAGCAGTGGATGAGAAGGGCAAACGCGAAACGTGAAACGGACGGGGAGAAGGAAGGAAGAAGGGGGGGGGGGGAAAGAACCCAAAAAAAAAAATAAAATAGAAAAAATAAAAACACCAGGATCGGGGAAAGAGAGCAAAGGCTCTCGGTTCTTGGGGCGTATGAGGCTGAAAATAGGTGAAGGCACTTACGGGCCGCTGGAGGGCCTGATACCAAAATAACCAAATCACCACGAAGGGACCCGTTTACCCAATATGATCAGGAACGATGAGGCTCAACAAAGGTCCATCTGGATGAGGAAATGGCCACAATTGCCGGGTCTCCAAGGGAACCTTTAGGAAGTCAAGGGGAAAGAGAAAAGAGGCCAAGGGCGAAAAGAGGGGGCAGCAGCACGGGAAGGGCGAGTCCACGTCAAAAACGGGTGCACGGGGAAGAGAATATGCGGCTCTACTACTGTGGACCCCCCCCGAGGCTCGAAAAGAAACTTGGAATTCCCCGCAGGCAAATTTCAGTTGACGAAATTTTAGGACATTTAGTGTCCCAAACCTGCGTTGAAGAAATGGGATCTGAGATCTACAGGATCTTGACTTCTTGGTGCCCAGGTGGCTGTTGGCCCATTCCTGCGCCAAAGCCCATCTTGTTTATACTACGAGAATAACCGAATCAACATTGGCCTGGTCCGATGTACTGTGTCGATTTACTTCGGCGAGACCCCATGAGGCGAAATAACCCCAGAGAGAGCCAAAGAGCAGAGATTGTCCAAGGCAAGAATGCCAAAAAAAAAAAGCCGCCAGGCTCGAATCCAGTAAAATGCGACATTCCTGAATCCCCTAGCTGTTACCCGCTGACTGGTGCAGATGATCTTCGGAGGATTATGGAAAGGGGTGATAGTGAGCCCCGTACGAGGGGGCGTAATCGCCGTAGTACTGGTCTTTTGGGCCCAGCCTATCCTTTTGTGTACGCAGAACGTGTACGGCATAGGCTCCACTCCTTTCTCATTTTCTCCTTTTCCTTTGCCTTTTCTCCAAGCGGTAAATAGCCCCGTATTACTTACCGACTGCTGCTGCCGGAGTCAACATCCGGGGTCGGCGGGATTGGACTGGAACACGGGCAGACCTACGGTCCACTTGCGACGATGCATGCTCCGATTTCTGACTTTTGCTGCCCGAGAATAGTTTGTCTTTGCCAGCACACGTTTCAGGAGCCCCAGTCCTTTTTCCAAGATGTGTTGTGAAAAAGACAATACGCGGCCCGCACCGAGATCAATTGGTTGCGCATGGCCTGGTGGGTTGCTTTGCAGAGACACGGGCCATGTGGATTCTTCACCTTCTGCTTTGGGTCTTGACGCTAGTCTCTGGTTGGGACCAGAGGTTGACCTTCGGTACGCAGTTCCCGGAGTTGACCTGGCCATGTCTTGGGCATGATCAGCCTCACTCAGTTCCAGAGCCGCAGAACCGACGCAGCCTCATTCCTCCCGGCCCCCCCTTTTTTTGACTCTTTGGCCCCAAAAGTTCCGTCATTTCGCATTCGCATCCTGAGCCCTGTGGCCCTTGGGAGGGGAGTCCTTGCTGCATGGTACCTGGGCCTGGGGGGGATTTTTTTTTTGCCACCCTCCCCAATCCGAAACACGAAGTCTGGAAGAGCGGGGCTCCACTCGAGGGGGGGCTCTTCGTGGCCCGGTCGAAGTCGCCTTTTTGATTTGTGGCTATCCTGATTCTGGGCCATCACCGCTTAAATGTGGATCGTCACCGTCCCGACTATTTTTTTTTATTGATTACATCTCGCCTTCTTTTTGGCAGATGGTTAGGAATAATTGGTGCACTATCAGAGGTTGGTGGGTAGGTGGATAGATAGCCCTCCGGGTTACGGAGTACTCCATACTCCGTACACCCTTCGCAGAAGTACCGATACCCGACAATATGGACACGTAGAGAGGGGAAAAACAAGCCCCTCCCCCCCTCTTCCTCCAGCTACAAACTAAGCAAAAGAGAAACAGGAGTGTCTGCATGTGTGGCGTCCGATTAACGTGATATCGGTCGTGTTGCGGCATGATACAACCGGTTCTCGACTAACGTGGTCCGAATGGGGACAAGTGCTGACAATGCTGGAGGATGCCCAGGTGGGCACGATTTTCTGCACGCTTTGGGGAGCCCCGCTTACTCGATCGTTTCTCGAACGGGTAATGATAGTGAACTCGATCGTCAGGATCCTATGGTTTTTGGCCGCCTCGGACTCAAAAAGCTTGGTTTTCCTTGCCGGGGCGAAACATCGGCCGCCCCTCGTCATCGATCTTTCAGGGCCTGATGGGAGTAAGATGGAGGCTCGGGTGCCGGAAAAAGGGACCGTTTACGGATTACCGAGTTCATCTCTTGTACATCTGCATGGAGCGGTCTTGTTCGCAAGGTCCCAGGAACATGCCATATATGCGGCTTACTCGCAGGTTTGCCCTTGGTTTGTAGCCAGCACATCTCCCAATGGGTCTTGCGCCTAGGGTTAATGTAAAGTTATCCGATATGATCGTCCGATGCTAGTATGGAACTAAATTGACTGTCTAACTCCATTTTGAGTCTTATTGACATTTATAACTTGCCCTTTTGTGTCAGCCCTTGCACCCGCTGCACCCGCTCCCAGGCTTTCAGGGCGAAAGGTTTGGCCCGTTTCGCATACTCGCCTGCGTTAGTGCTACTGGCCTGGCGCTGTGCGTACCGGGCCGCGATGCCCTGCATGATGATGGCCGCCCGGAATGCGAAGAACGCATCGCCCCAGACGATGTCATCTGTGGGATTGTATCCGGACACCTCGCTGTACCAACGGATGCAGTCCTCGCGCGCCGGCAGCCCCGGCACGGCCCCGGGCTGGAATGATTCGATCGGTGAATCGGCCCCTTCCAGCACCCAAGGACTGATCAGGTTACAAAGATCCGAGAGCGGGTGTCCCACCGTCGCCATCTCCCAATCTAGAATCCCAATCACCCGGGGCTCCGTGCGGTGAAAGATCACGTTGTCGATCTTGTAATCGCCGTGCACGAGCGTGCCCCGATCGCGTGGCTGGGTCGCCTTCTGCGAGAAGAATCGTACCATGTCATCAAAGTGCGGCAATTCCCCAACCGGCTCCTGTGTTTCTACATCTTTGGCCTGCGCCTGCGCTTTGGAGATCGTGGTGAATGTTGCGACCTGTCGATCGTAGAATCCTGTCGGTTTGCCGAACTTCTCAAGCCCTATGTTTTTGGGGATGACTCGGTGGAACTTGGCTAACGTTTCTACTGCACTCTTCCACCTACGGGACCCAAAACTCGTTAGTCTATCGATGCCCGGGTCTTGATATCCGACGGTACAGTGTGGAGGGGGGAGGGGAAGGCATTTCCCGACCGAGAACCCTTGATCGCGAATACTTGGGGAAAGATGGGGAGGGGGTCCACGTACAGAGCAGTCCTCTCCTCCGCGCTTACGCCTGGCATTGATGGGTCTGTAAAATGTCGGCCATCCAGGAACTCCATGATGTAGAATGGGGTCCCAATGACGTTGTTGTCCTCACACAGACAAAAGACCTCGGGGATAGGCACATCGGTTGGACCCAAAGCTTTGATGATCTGGTATTCACGGTCGACTCGATGCGCTGTCTTTGAGAGCAGCTTGCCAGGAGGCTTCTTGCGCAGGACATATTTCCTGCCGTCGGCGCTCGTAAGCTGATAGGTAGGGTTGGATTGCCCAAAGCCGAACTGGAACATATCAGTCTCTATATCGGGATGGATTGACTAATCCTTCCTACCTGCTTTATGTCCAGAGGAGTCTTCAATACTGGCACATTCTGGTCGATATAGCGCTCCAGAGACGCAACATCTATAGGCTGGCGGACAGCTCCCGCCATGGTTCCAAGGGTTTGTAGATTATGAAGGACTAGGGCGCAAAGGGAAAGGACTGGAATATAAAGGGAGTCGAATCGCTCCTCGGGTATCTACAGGTTGAAGAAGCGCGTGGGAACAGCCGGGGAACCTCGGCCCCTATGGGCTTCGGCCAGCCCCATCGACTTAAGCGGGGAAGGAAACAAACAGCACAAACAGCCGCGGGCAAAGCACATTATATGCACAAGCAGTACACAGCTCTGGAGGGGACCCAGGCACCGATATGGCAGGCTTCGTCTATTCTTAGCTATACACTTAATACTTCTCCAGGTACCGAGGGACTGCGGGCAAACGCGATTTCTGGATTAACCTCTGCTTGCAAGAACCGTGGAAGCCTTGTGAGGAGAACGCGTAAACTTCTCCTCGTATAGAATGAATTCGCCTAGACTGAATGTTGGTATTGGTCAGTCGCTGAAAGCGTTTGCTACTTGCAGTTCTCCGAAGAAACGACGTCGATGCAAATGCCTTTTCGAGGCGTGGAAGGGTACTCTGACTCGTCCAATGTTAGATTGAACGCTAAGTTTGGGACGCGGGGCGCGTCCCGCGTTCAATCCCCCACCAGCGGTGAATATTCATGACGCGAGGGAGGAAAGCACTACACCGCAATTTTTCCCTCGTTCTTCATTCTTTTGTCCCAATCCTCTTTAAAGAAAAACGATCCCTAGAGTACACTCCACTTGTGGACCTCTTTCTTACCTCTTCCATCTCAGCTCTCTGGCCATGACCAAAGAGACCACCCCGCCTACCGAACCCACCACAGCTACTCACGAACCTCCTTCACTCCCGACCTCTCCACTCCCCAAGCGCACCAAGACCGACGCCATGACTGCTCCTCAGGCCCCTGCTGTTACTTCCATTCAGCAGCCCCAGCCCCCCATTGCTGGTTAAGAAGCTGGTGGACACCGCCCAGGCTCCGACGCGGGGATCTGCTTTCGCCGCGGGCTACGATATTTACAGTGCGAAGGAGACTGTGGTCCCCGCCAAGGGCAAGGTGGCGGTCGATACTGGCATTGCAATTGCAGTGCCTGAGGGTACCTGTAAGTAGATCCTATCCAGTTGGATGATTGTGACTGCCATTGGCCGCTTTTTGTGTCCTTCTTGTGACCCGTGGTTGTTGGCCATGTCATCGTAAGGCTGCCCCGACCAGGATAAGAGGCTAACATTCCGACTTTTAACTGGATAGACGGCCGTATTGCTCCTCGCAGTGGTCTCGCTGCTAAGCACTTCATCGACACCGGTGCTGGCGTGATCGACGCTGACTACCGTGGCGAGGTGAAGGTTCTGCTCTTCAACCACTCCGACGTCGATTTCCCTAGTATGTGAAGGGTTGGGTTTTTTTTGGATACATGGGCTAGTATGACTGACGTTGCGATATAGTCAAACAAGGCGATCGTATCGCCCAGCTGGTTCTTGAGAGAGTAAGTTCCCTTTATCTGGATTTCCCTAGTCCGGTTGATTGATGCATTCTAGATCTACACCCCCCGAAGTCGCAGTTGTCGAGCAGCTGGAGGAAAGTGTTCGTGGCGCAGGTGGCTTCGGCAGCACTGGTGTCTAACGGTCGAATCAACTTGAAAATTAGTTACCGGAGTTCACATGGACCTCTAGAGGGGCTCAAGCCGTACAGAGATTCCGGGAGGAAGGCTCCTTGCTCAGATGAAAGATATAATGATGCAATGTCCACTGGGAATCAACAAAATATGATAAATAGCTCATGCAGGTTCTCTCTTTTCATGCATAGTCTATGTTATAACTCTATTTACAGGCACCTCATAGATATCGGAGGCAAAGAAAATGGAAAAAAGAAAGAGAAAGACAAATCTCCAAGTAACTGGAATTGCATCGGCCCCCTTCCCGCTATTGCAGGGAAGATGGGAGGTCTTCTTTGAGCCATTCTTGCACAGTGAATTGAGCCACGGGCTCTCGGAGGAACCGTGCATTTCGGACTAATCGCACTTCACCGGCCTTCGTGCGCCGTAAATGTTCTTGCTTCTGCTGTTCTTCGGCGGTCAAAGTGCTGTTTTGGAGAGGCGGCGCGGCGGCCAACTCCGCATCGCGAGCCTCCAGAGTCTTCTCCAAGATACTGTGCATGCTTGAGAGTACTTTCAACGTAGCCTGTGCCAATGGAAGGTTGCTGGCGGTAACATCATCTGGCGAGACCCAGGAGCGTGCGCCTTGGACAGCCGGACCGGCGGCAGCAACCGCTTCGCGAAGACGCGCGACAGTCAAAGCGGCGAACATGTCCCCGGTTCCGCTGAAGAAACAGTCAATCGCAGGTACGTCGATGCGGAAGAGGCGAGGGGACCCGTTGGAGCGGATCGTGGAGCCGATGACGGTTAGCAAGTTCTTCGACGGGCTTGGCACTGCGCCTGACTGGGATAACTTGAAGAGCTGGACAGAAGTAATGATTACATGGGGAACGGAGTAGGTGCAGTGGATCACATTGATAGCCTCCGCAAGAGTGGAAAGTGAGTCGATCTTAATTCCGGAGAGGACCCTGAGGATGATCCATTAGAGGCGAGTTTCAACTACAACGGTTGGGTCAAGGTTATTTCTTACTCCGCTTCGAATTGATTTGGTAAGATCAAGTCCGCGTGATGTATGATTTTCTTGTAGGCCGGGACCACGTCGTCGTTGACGTAGAGTCGGCCTTGGTCACCCATCACGGGATCCAGTACTGTATTCTGTCTTTAGCTTTTCACATCGACGTTGTGTATACAGGGTGGCCCTTTGAGGCATTTGGAAGCTTACCCCAGAAGAAGGAGCCTGGGGTTCCCTCAGCTTTCTTCTGCAGGTCGATGCCAATAGCACCCACGGCTTCCACGGCGGCAGCGCTTGGGGCATAACCTGAGAGCATAACGTCAAAGTCCGTTAAGTGACTCTGAAGCAGCCCCTGATAGAGCTCTGATATCTGCTCTGCAGTAGACCGAGTGCCTTTGAATTGACGATAACCGGTATGGTTGCCTATGCGCCAGGTCAGTCTTCATCTTTATATGGTTATCTTGGCTTATCCGAGCCATCCGATACGAGTTGGGAAGGAAGAGCGTACTGAAATCCACGGTATTCAAAGATGCTACATCGCAGCCCAAGACCTGCATAACGAACACTGCCATTGAGTTTCCCACATGGCTAGAGCGGGTTAGTTCATCGCGTGCAGATTCTCCGCGGAGGAGTATCATCTTCCCGAGGCGAGATGGCAAGGTCCAACATACCCATAGACAACCTGCACGAGAGTTAGTTACGATCTCCAAGAGATAACTTGGAGCACTTACATGGCTGGCGACAGCCAGCACCCGCGTATCGGGAACAAGAAGATCAGACATGGCGGGGGGTTGAGTCGGAAGATCCAAGGTGGGATTTGCATATCGCAAATGTGGGGGGGGGTACGAGACGGGGAACAGGGCCGGTATCCTCTTACCTAATTGGTTCTCCGGGCAGGGCTTGCACGTCCAACTGACACCGGAAGTATATGAACTGCAACTAGGTATTATATCAGATAGTCTGTGATGCAATGCTGCTCTCCTGCGTGTGGCATGTCTAGACATGCGCATTGCAGAAATGAGCCGTATGTCGCCCGCCGCTCCGTTTCATCTTCGTAATGCTATGCCCTTGCGTTTACTGCAGCAAGCCTTGGACCATGGGACAAGTGATATATACTCTTGTCCTCTTTATTTATCCTATCTACTTTATCCTCTTTATTGTGTTCTGTACTAGTATAGACTTGTGCGGGGGCCCAAAGTACTCAGATACGCCAGTGTTTCAACCTGTACTCCTTGAAACGAGAACGCGCAGAGACCCCGAGGATCACATCGCCCGGTCATGGTGTACTTGGGAGCAGCAGTACGGAGTCGAAGTAGTCTATGAAGAAATGTAACCAGCGTTACGAGGCAGCCAAAAGTTTAAAGAGGGATCGACGGTAGTCCCTGCTGTTCCTTGGTCAGCCTCGAATCTCCAACGGAGCCTTTTCAACGGTCGGGAGCGTATCGGCTGGTCTCGCCCTTGGGATTTTCCGTGTTCCCCTGGATCGATGGATCCTGAGAGAGAAAAAGAAAATATCCATCGCACTCAGGGACCTGGTAATCTCTGAATCTGCCGTACGGCCAAATTCGTTGGACTCCCTATTCTCAGCTATTCCCAGCTTATCCCATCCTATCCCTGCCCGGGGGCTCCACAGGCCGCTCTAGTCCTGCGCCAGCCCTGGTATTTTCGAGTTTAGCGTCGGCTTATGGTTCACTGGTTGCTGGCTGTAACTTCGTAATGGGATTATAGTATTGCTACTGGCTGCAGCAGGATCCTGGGCCAAAAGACCCCGATCATAGCCGTACCTGACCCCCCCCCCCCCCCGGTCTCCCTCCCTAACCTTCACCTGGTTGCTATCTGTAGCGGGTTGCTCTCCCTAATATCTGGATGGCTTCTTGATGCTCATCCTCGGGCTCTTGAGTATATCTGCCATGTCGACTTTCTAACCCCTGCGCCATTCCCTGTATATTAGCCCTCTGGGCCCTTTCGCTCGTTTTTTCGGCTGGCTATGGCAGGCCGATCTGGCTGTACCGACTGCTTCGACAGTCGGGAATGCCGTTCACTCTCTCACGTCGATTTACCCCGTTGCACACGCTCAACCCGTCGAGCGACCGTTCATTTTGGATCCATCTATCACGCCTTATTAATCTTAATACTGTTTTTTTGCCTGGTGCCGGTTCCCGCGTCAGCGTACCCAGCTGCGGTGGCAGACCTGGTCGATGCTCCACGATCAGCTTCGACCGGTGAGGAGATTGTCGCGCTTAATCTTCACCAGCGGTCCACAGCCCCCGAAATAGCCAATGTGACAGTCAATGCATCCAAGCATGCCGCCGAGAGCAAGGCAATCGTCACCGCAGGCTCCTCTTCGTCGTCGCAATTGCCTATCGCGTTCGACACGATGGCTAACAACTTTGCGAACGCCAGCTGTGTCCAGTTCTTCTCAGACCACTTGGAAAAGCCCACTGTAGCAAACTGCCGTCCTCTTTCACTATACCTCCAAAACTCAAACTCGTTCTTTCACGACCTCCGTTCGGAAGCAGGCACCTCGCGGGTCCTGGACGCCACATGCGCCGACCCTGTCGACGAATGCGCGACGTCCATGACCTCTCTGGCGGAAAAGCTGCTTGACGACGACAACTGCGGGCAGGATTTCAACGCCGGGAACACAGTTGTCCAAAGCACATATAACGAGCTGAAGGCATACGAACCGTTGTACCGGGCTACATGTCTGACCAACCCCGCCACCAAAAACTATTGTTTTGTGGACGCGGTGACCAATGCTTCCGTTCCCAACGATTACAATGTGTATTTTATTCCGATTGGCAACCCGCTTGGGGAGGGACAGATCACCTGTAATGAATGTCTCAAAGCTACCATGGACATCTATGCTCATTGGGCTACCATCGACCAACAGTCCCTCGATACCACCTACTTGCCATCGGCCCGGACGGTCAATGATTATTGTGGCGCCGGCTTTGCGAAGACCAATGTCACTGTCGGCATCCCCAAAACCAGTGCTGCTGGGGTGAACCGCCCACTGGGCAATGCTGGGCTTGCAACCTTCAGCATCACCGTCGTCGGTGCGATACTTTCAGGGATGATTTGACCCCGAGGACGGAGGCTCCATAATAATTTTATACGCTCCTTTTCCATACAGGCTTGGCTTGTATATCAAGGGGGCCCTTCTTGCCTCTCCTCGCCTAGAGCAAGGGCCACGTGTGATGACAGCGACCAGCGGACGATTTTCAACTTTGATAGACTTCCATTCGTGTATTTAAACTCTTGATAATTGATTGGATCTGTACGAGGATTAGAACAATCTCCAGTAAAGAAGCTCCTTATCCCCTGCCATCTCATTGACCATGTCCCCGGAAAATCTACTGAACCGCTTTGGATCTTTGCAAAGAGTATACCCGCCTGGATCCTCCCGTCTCTGCCGTATCTGCGTGGTTGCTCAATTCTCCGTGTTGTCTCAAGTAGGAATGCAGACCCCACGCCCACGTGAATCTGGGGGTTACGATAAAAGCCCGAAGGGAGTAAGCAAGGAGTCAAGGTTACCCCCCGGTGGGGGCGATGTACAACGCCCAAGTATGAAAGGGAGACACATGCCGGAAGAAGCAGCTCCATCACAGAAGGTGAAAGAAGGTGAATGATGGAGGGACCCACCACTAACATGACCCTCGAGGCGCGAGGCCGACCATTGCGCACCTCCTCACCAAGCCCCCCAGTTCGACTATTGGCGGACGCGCTTTATGACTCCACTCGGTCGACCGCCCTAATCAGCCACGCAACTGGGGCTATTTCTTTCATCCTTAAACGCTAAAGGACTGACGTATCTTTGGGGTGCGCGCAGTGTGCCGCCTCGAGGGAACCCCCGCTTGTCTCCGGGTTTTGCAGGATTCATCCTGTCCATGAATCCCTGAGTGGGGCGAAGATCAGAGGTCGTCCTTCGTTGTTATTTAGGAGCAGGATGACCGCCAACATGTCAATACCACTGTGTGTAGCCTCGAGCTCCAGATCGAAGCGGGCCTTCCATTTATTGACTTGCTTGTCACTAGATCGCAGACCAACTTCGACCGTTCTCTCCGCAGCTTCATCAATGACATACGTGCTGAGCGGCTGGACGCCCTTACAATTCACACTGTCCAAAATGTATTGAGCAAGTCGGTGGCCGAAACGACAAAGGAGGAGGCTTGGGCAGAGATACAAGCGAAGCTGGAGGAACTGGGAATCCCCATCGATCAATCCACCAGAGACCGGAACTACGTTGTTTCAGCTCTCCGTAAAGCCGTCGAGGATGAGAACCTTCTGCGGAACATTCAATTCCCCACATCAAAACCTGGCGCGCCAATCGTCTTAGAGTCGCCAGCTAGAAGGGTGCCTAGCCACGATGCACTTCAAACTGCTCAAGGGCAGAGTCCCTCGGAGACCCAGGGTCCAGCAGCCTCAACCCCGGACTATTACCGAGAAGACTTCGGCCTCTCCGACAAGATTACAATACCCCAGAAGAACTCCCGCGCCAACTTCCGTCTCAAGTTATCAGCGAGTGCTGTACCGACACTAGATGCAGAGAACCTTCCTATACCAGTCGATTTTGATTCTAGAGGCACAGGTGACTCAGAAAAGCAGGTGGTGACCACGTCGCGCACACATGAGGACTTCCCAATCCCAGTGTCAGCGACCTTCTCGCCTGTCGACGATGCGGACAAAGAGGTTCTACCGTATGAAAGCTTTGCAATATTGTCGGGCGTGGAGACCACTGGTGATCACTCGAATGGTACGCGTTCAGCGAGTCAATCGGAGGGCAGCCGCCCCTCTCTTCCCTCGCCCGCTCTGACCTCCACCATCTCCCATCGCCCAAGCAGCAGGAGTGCCAAAAGCAGCAAAAGACCGAGTATCATGAGCCGGATGAAGTTCAAACTTTCCACCTCCAAAGACGAATTCATCTCTGTGATCCAAGCTGGTAATTTCGTGCCAGTCCAAGTAGCGCTGGACAAAGGGGCAGATCCCGATACGATGAATTTACAAGGGCAGACTGCTTTGATGGTAGCGTGCTCATTCGGCCACGAGTCCATTGTTCATCTGCTGCTTGAATACGGGGCCCACCCGAATAAGATGTCCAACAAAGGAGACACCGCATTGACAGTAGCGGCTTCGCGAGGATACGAGGGCATCGTACGCTTGCTTCTGGGACGCGGTGCACAGATAGATGGCTCCAAGAACATTGGCAAAACTGCGCTTTCGTCAGCCGCAGAGAATGGACACGAGAACATGGTTCGAATCTTGTTCAACTCGGGCGCCGATATCAACGCGCTTTGTCATACTGGTGATACGGCTCTTGCCCAGGCCGCTAGCAATGGACACCATGACATTGCCCGGTTTCTGCTGGATAATGGAGCCTATGTGGACCTCACAGCGTACCCAAGACAAACACCGCTATACAAGGCTGTTTATAACGGCCACACTGCCATGGTCCAACTGCTATTGGAAAGGGGAGCTGATCCGAACTGCGCGGATTCTGTGCGAGGTCAGACCCCCTTAAGGATTGCTGCCTTGTATAGACGGACAGAAATTATCTATCTACTGCAACAACTTGGTTACCAAGTCCCCATGTACGATTTTCAGCCTCTGTCTCACTCGTTTGACGATGTGATTTTCTGATCAGTTCCATTCTAACGACACGACTCGCATTACAGACTCGCATCTTGAATTCATACCTTGCTACATTTACACACTCTTCTGTGCCACCCATGCTGCCGCAAAGATATCCATGTCGCTCACATACCCATTTGTTCTGGTTGGTTGCCACCCCAAGATCTGCTGAGCCCGTGCTGATGAACCCCGGAAACTAGTGCTCATTCCCTCAGCGAACCTGTTCCCCCCATGTCCCTTCAGCTCAATTTTCCCCTTAAATCCCCAGCATCCAGCCAATGCATCGAAGATACCCCGCATACTCTCCTGGCTAGTCACCAGATTGAACACAGGATAAATTCGGGCCCCTGCAACCCATGGCAACTTCTCGATAGCCTTGACAAATCCACTCGCAACATCATCCACGTGAACCAATCCCGGTTTGGAGTCTTCTTCTAGCAGGATCTCCACTGAGCCCTCAAATCCACTCTTTGCCGCCTCAAGCACAGGTGTAAAAAAGGAGGACCAAATGGCCCCTTCTCTCCCGTAGACCAGGGAAGGCCGAACGATCATCACGTCGAGCGAATCGGACGCCTGCAGAATAGCATCTTCCAGCTCAAGCCGCCACGCAACCAGCGCTGGGGGCGGGCGGCTAGCCAACGGTCCGACCGGATCAAGGTCATTGACCAAGTCGGTGCTCGAGGAACCATGCACCCAAGTCCCGGAGCAATAGACGAACCCTAGCTTGGGACCTTGGATTCCGCGCCGCTTATAAGACTCGAGGCGCTCTGCACCGATGCGCGACAGCTCGGTCAAGATCTTGTGGGTGTCTGGGCTTGTGGCCACGTCCAGCACCACGTCGATGTGTCTGTTGCGGACGATCGACACAACAGCCTCCGGGTTGGCGAACGGATCCTCCGAAATGACGGGGATGATTTCCTGCTGGGCTAGTTTCTGCGCCTTGGCTTCGTCCCTGGCGACGCCGTACACAGTATACTGACCACTTTGGACGAGGAGGTTGGCGATTTGCTTCCCAATGTAGCCCGTGGCACCGAAAATAAGGATCTTTGTCATTTTGCGGGTTGTTTTCCTGAAGTTGTCTCGGGTTGCTGTCTTTATTCTGGAACTAGATGAAGATCTTTAATTGCTCATCGAGAGAGGCATGTGTGCTTTATAGCTTTTATACCGTGACCTGGAATAGTCCCGATGCTAGTATATTCTTGTATCATCTAAGGCCCGTTCCGTTGGCAGTAGAATAGAAGAGCCAAACCATTGCACTTGATACTATTCCCATCTCCCATCGTATGCCGCTGTATATCCGAGAACGCGAAGGGCATAGCAGCTCGGACTAAAGCGTGATTTTATCGAACCCCCCGGAAAGGGAAAGTGACCAGCAGCGTCTATGTCCGTAAAGTCCGAGTCCGTGCTACAACCGGATCGTCAGTGAAATACGCCGGAGAAGCTTATTCGACAGCTCGATTTCCTGTTTGGACCAATTGGGATGGCGAATGGAAATAGAAGCTGTGATCCCTTATTACCGCCGGTCTTCGTCGTACGGGGTTTATGAAGGGGGCAGCCCCCATGCCCATTCGACAAGCCCAGTATCCCATTTAGACTTATTGGGACTAGAACATGGACTTAAGAGCGTCTTTATGCCGCAAAGATGGGGCTTTCAACGGCCCGAAATCGAGGGAAGTGTCAGTAAACGCCGATGGATCTGTATCTTCGAAGCCAACGTAAAGGACTATCGTGGTAAACTAGCCAGCCTATGTAACAGATTTTCTATGCCATGTCTTAGCTTCCTCTTTCCGCTTTCGGGCGCACTGAGCGCTGCTTTATGCTCTCTGAGTAGATCTGAGCACGCCCCTGAGCGCCCTGATACCTAGGTAGGATCAGTGAGTATTATATAAGCTCCCTGATCCACTCCAGGGCTCCAGGGCTCACTGAGCGCTCTGACTAGCTCACTGAGCACAACCTGAGCACAAGGTACCTCAATAAAACACACTACACTAGCCCCATCGTGAAACTCTCTTTCCCTAGATCGGCCCCACCGTCCCATCCAAAAAGCAATGATAGCAATAACCTAATGTCTCATTTTGGTAACCAATGCACCCCGGTAAAGCCTAATAATTAATCAGCCTCTCAATTAAACTATATACTCCTAAGAACCCTTACTTACTAGTTTCTACAATTTCCTAGACAGGCATAGAGCTATCCTTAGAGAAACCACATAAACATACTGGGGGACCGCAAGTCTTCCTCTAGGCAACTTCTCCCTACATTGAGCACACACACCGGAATACATGCTTGATCAAACCCCATCTTCACGGGCTCACTAATTCTCTAAAATAGATTGCTCCTGGGAACTTGCTGGATAATTGATTGGTTGATCCATAGACCCTCTTAACCGAGCAAGCCGCTAGATACTCCTGGGAACTGTCAGACTCTACGCCATTTTGTGCGCATGTATAACGAATTCCACTAGCCCGCTCTTATCCCATCATTATCTAGGTTCCTAGGAGCTCAAGTGTAGGCTATACCTCTGAAGACATACTAGAGACAACTAGTGTCAATTTCATTGCAGGTATATATTTAAGCCTCCCCTCAAGAAGTAACCATCATCGTCACTCCCCTATCTAACCATTTCTTACCAGCATTGTTGCCCCAAATTTAGGCACGCTCAACAATCCCATATTGATCACAGGTGATCTTCCTATGTCAGACTCGACTTCCAATCCCAACGTGATCCAGCTTGAAGATTGGTGTCGCGATGAGCCAGACCAGCAGCTTGGTTCCGACGCCGACACTGAGGGAATGACTACGCCGGAGTTTTGGGGGTCGTTGGCTGGCGGAAATTTCCCCTATCCGGAAAAGGATGAAGCAGCTATTGCTTCGTCTTCTATCCATGTCCCCGCCAGCTTGCTAGACTGTGAATATCTGGAAGGCTTTCAGTCACTTGAACAGCTTCAGCCGGACCCCGGAGCATTAAAAGCCACTGAGAAGTCATTTGACGACCCCTTTGGGGCTGCAAGGATAAAGAGCGCTGCGAGTGATCACGAAGGTACACTTAGCTGATGACTGTTTAAGGAATATTATGCTGAATATATCCAGGAAGTGAGCACAGCACGAAGCAAGGAAATCCATCCAAGATCAAGAAACCAAAGGAGAATCTTAGTGCGGCTGGTTCTTATTCGATAACCTGCGACCTTGTTCTAGAAGACATATTAAAAAACGACAATCTTTCTGGCCAGAACCTTACATGCGGTCCTTGCAACATGAGATCCGCAAGCGACATATTAATGTATGGAAAACAGATAACATGAACGGCACTAAATGTTTAGGCAAATCAGAATTGACTTGGGGTTCTTCTGTATCTACTGCCATTTATGATGAACTAGCCAAGGTATACAATCACGTGGACTACTGTCAGGACGATGATTGTTTACAAGCTAGAGCTTTTTTGGATGAAATACAGTCTCCTAGTGAGTGATGCCGTGCTGTAGTTGTCTAATATAGTCACTAACATGTTAAATTAGCAGAAAACACACAATCAAACAATTCAAAAAGACCAAAGCAGGTACAAGGGAGAACCGAACGAGGTCGCGTGACCATGCGATTCTATGCTCCGGGAATGAAGAAAGGAGCAGGCACTGTTGACATGTCATTTTTACTTGCGCTAATTTTATTTCTCCAATCTTGATCTGTGTCAACAGCTGCCTTGGCCAACAGGCTACATGCCCTCTTGGTCCAGCCACGCCAGCGGCGGTGACAGGTGTGGAGGCTTTCCTCCAAAATTATATGCCCATCATCCAATGGTCAGCTTTGTGACAACCTGAACTTTCAGGGGTGATCTGAGCGCCAAGTGATACGGCGGTTCCATGAAGGTGATGAGTAACTTAACTATAAGTAACTTAACTATAGGCTCCCAGTAAGTTTGTGGCGCTCTGGTTTTTGAGGGCGATCATCCAGCCATTACGCGCTCATACATGATGCGGGCACGCAGCCTCTTTCCCGAACAGATACTCGAATTGTTCAAGCCAGTCAACCATGCTTATTCGAGCCTTGAGTATGATGGCAGTGTTACGGGGACGTGAACGGCGCCAAGTCAGAAGCTTTCACTGGTTGGCTTTCTGATTGCCGCGTGCTTTACGCATTGCTTTCGTCCTTGGCTGCTCCCCGTTCCCGCCTCTAATGATACATAGATTAAGCGCCCATTAACTTGATTCTATTCTTAGAGGAGATGTAGATTGGAAGACAAGCCGAAGTCAACACTCATCACATCTTATCACGCAGATAGCCGTTACGACTCCTTTTAAAGAGCTGCGCAACTAGGGAGAAACATAGATATAAAGCCCTCCAATGGGTCTACTTGTAATCCAGTTATAGAGAATAATCTATCACTCTCAAGCATCCTTAGACACTATCCAGTCCAATTAGCGCCAGTTCCAGCTATATTTTCCAAGATCGCTTGCATAATGCCATCTAACAAAGATCGTCTGTACGTTGCTCTCTATGCACGTGGAGGCAATCCTACCATGCTAGGCAAGGAAGACACGTAAGTTCATTGTGCAAAAACTTCTTCCGCGGATATTAATTGAAAGACTGATGTCCTATCCGAGCTAGATACCACTGGGCCTTGATCGTGGGACCGAAAGTTGAAGCAGAGGATGGTATGGGGGTCCGTTACCACGCAAAAGAGAGGCTAGAATTGGCAGGGGGTTCTAAATGGTTCTTCGAGGAGCGCGAATGTCCACTTGCCCCTACTAGCATGCTGCTTGTTCGTATCATGGTTGGGAAGGTAGCGGATGGAAATCGCCTAGTCGAAATTCTGCGGAACACGCCTATTCGACAAGGCCAACCAGGTTGGAACTGTGTCACCTGGGTAAAGGAGGCCCTGGAAATGCTTAAGGTTGATCCCAAGGCTTTAGGCACGAGTGTCGTTGAATGGGAAAAAGTACGCAGGGTGGCGATGGATTATTGTCAGCGGAAGAAAGACCAGCACCGTTTTGATGGCCAGGGAAACTTTGATATGAAAAAGGTTCCAACGTATGACTTGATAGAGCGGAAGGAGATGATTGTCTGAGTTACAAGCCGGAATTATTCAAGTATCTCCAAAGTGTTTTTGACGGATCCGTTCCATCGCAAGCTCTTCGGGCATTGGTTGCAGGAATTTGTCAATCTCATTGACCCAAAACGAGTTTTGTGGGTTGACTTGGTGGGCAGAGGTGTATTCCCAATATGACGGATACCAACCAGCAGTTTCCCAATCAATAATACCAACGATATCATCCCCACGTACAAGAATGTTGAGGCTGCTAAGGTCACCGTGAGTAAATACCAGAGGCCAAGACTTGCTTTGTTTTTTGATGAGTTCCTGAACTTCAGGTTCAAGCCTTGAATCAAATTCCATGCCCATACGTAAATGCCGATGGAAATCCTGCACGGTATCAAAGGGACCGAAGCGTAAGGAAGGGCCCGGAACGCGACAGTCAAAAAGCGATCCACCATCAACAGAAGCAACCCTATTGCCTTGGGAGGGCTGAAGGTCCCGCATCTCGCGAACCTTTCCTGCTAACTGCGAAAGAAGTTCCGCCTTTGAATCCTCACTTCGTTTCACCCATCCACTGCCGATTATGTCACCCTTGATCCTTTCCATCACGATATATGTCCGCCCGGAACGGGTAAATGCGCATAAAACTTTTGGTACCGGGATGGATGTATGTTGCGATATGAACCGCATTGTTGATGCTTCAGATAAATGAACGCGGCGCCCATACTTGACGCATAGTCCATCCGTCAACATGAGGACGTTCCCTTCTCGAGGTCGAATACGCTTAAGGATTTGGATCGCTAGAAGTGTCGAACACCGATACAAAACATTGCTATTGACTGGTTTGGATGAGTTCAACGAAGTAGTAGATGGTAAGGGGCGAGGTCCCTTTTGACCGGACGACATTGTGGTTGTATTCGACGCAAAGGAAATGTTGAAGGAATTATATCGGGAAAATTTCCTTCCTTGGTATTAGATAGCAAGGAATCTAATAAACCATTTGTGAAAGTCTTCGATGAGAAGTAATAGTGGTTGGTGAAGTGGAAGTTCACGATTCCTAGTTCGGCGTGTCCTTAGCTGCACGTGATATCACCAGGCGGCCGGACCAGCCCAGTGTAAGTTTCTACCACGGAGCCAGGCATAAGTCTGTGATATCAGTGATACTCAGTCCTTGGCAATACAAGGATCAATTTAGTAGCTGGTATTAGCGGTGCGTGAAGATACTTGAATATGTTCTTCGTTTTATGTATGCGAACAGCGAGGGAGGGAAGAAATAGAACCAAAGACGATGTGTCTCAGTTTTGCGGTCCTATTACCTCCTCAAAGAGGACACTGAACATTAGCTGTGTGTGGCCTCAGTGGGGACTCCGCCCAACCGCAGGCCGGTCAATTGCTCAATGGGCAACCAAGTTACTGTCATGACATACTGCAGCCGTGACACCCGCAAAGCCAAACTCTCATATTTGTTATCTTGATCTTGAATTATTACTAGAGCACTGCGGAGCTTCGACTGGGTGCGAAATAGATAACTATGATGAATATCCGAGTAATCAGTGATGGCTCAGTGAGTCTGGAGCCCGGACTGAAATTTACTCAGTGAGTCCGACTCTGAGCGCCCTCATAAAAGCGGCGGCAGCTAAGATAGGAAAGCCTCACCTGGCATAGGAAAAATGTTACGTATAGTAACATATGTACACGATCCAAAAATACGTACAGGCAATCATGATACGGGCCAACGGGACACCGTCCTTAGAGGAACGCAAGAGTCATCATTGGAGGGATTGGAAGATAAACCCTAGCAAGGGACATATATGCACATGACAAAATCGTGAAAATGATGGAAAATAAACCCAAAAAAATCGCTCAAATAGAAACCACATTCCTGAGAATGGTTTTACGACAGCTAGCTCCTTCGGGCTTGGCTTTTTCCAAGAGCAACACCGACTGAGACTTTGTGGTTCGCCGCCAAAGCTAGCACCAGGTGTAGTATTAATAGGAGAACCTGGGCCGGAGATTGGGCTTTGAGGTTCCTTTTCTTTCTCTCGCTTCGCACGAGTGTACCCCAATTTGGCGAACCGGTTCAAATGCCCCCAGAAGTGACGCCCGGCCGGGTGAACTGCAATGCGATCAAGAAGTTCTACTGTCGCCTCCCGGACGACTGGGTCCGGGTGAAAGAGACCCATGCTGAGATAAAAGAGGCCAGCTTGGTTCTCGGGGGCGATCGAGAGCAATTGACAGATGCCCGCATAGTCCTTGACCACATGGTTCAGGGCTATATAAATGGCACCTGCTTCAGAATGGGAGAGCTTTCCTGAACGTAGTCGGTCATGATGGTGGTGTAGATCCGGCCGCTGGATAGGGCGAGCAGGATAATACATCGCTGCGATATCTTGGATATACGAATAGTACGATCGGGTGTTTTCTCCAGCCTTCAATCCGTGATACGGAAGCGGAAAGCTCACGCTGCTTAGCGTAGTCATCCGGCCACACGTATCCGTGGCCTCGCAGCGAACCTGGATCCGAGGGATCTGTCTGCTGGCCGGTAGGACTATCGGGAGAAAGCTCTTCGCCAGGGCCGATAATGTACAAGTTGGAAGCACCATAGACCGTCTCCTCGAATGCTGCTGCCACGCGGACAAACTTGGTAATATAGAACCGCCACTTGGCTCGGATGGAGTTCTCGCCATAACGATTTGTGATGCTTCGTAGAATATCCTCCATGAACAAGTTATCCCCAGTGGGATCTGCATTAGCGGGGTGCGCATTGTTATTCGGCAGGGGTATATTTTGCTGCTGGAAGAACAAGAAGCCCTCCGTCACGGGAGCAGGCTCGACATGAGTGGAAATCTTTATCCGCCCAGTGGGTAAGTCGCAGAGAACATCCCACCATTCCGGATGGTTGGCAAATGTTGGGTTGGTGACACCAGCAATGAAACCGGGGACATTGAGCAGGTCATCGATCTTGGTTAGGTCGGTGTATGGGAAGGCATGTCGGGTGAAGCCGCGCAAGATGCCACCAGAGGCGAGCGCGCAAGCCGCGAGTACTGCCTCTGCTACCTCCCCGGATGGGCGATTGTGCCCTAAGAATATCACGCGTTTTTGTGTGAGAATGGCGTTGACTAGGACAATGATGGGATGTGTGAGTGGACCGCTAGTAGTGAGATGAGGATGGTTCGGGAAAGGTTGCGGCGAAGCAGCATGAGGTGCAGCAAAAGTTTGGATGAGTTTAACAAGCGAGAAGTCCCCGACAGTCTCAGGCCAGATCACCGTAGGGATTTTGACGGGGACGGGAATGTCATTGTAGACTACCCTAGATTCAAACTCGTGGGTGTCTCGAGGGAGGCTGTACCGGCTGGACTTTTTTGGTGAGGGTGGTATTTCGCCATTTTCCGCCTCCTCCTCCTCACGTTGCCGAATCATCTGCTCAAATTTCTCGATGAACATCTCCTTAGTGTTACTCGATTGTAAAATATTCCGCTCCAACAGAGACATCTTGGGCATGAGCGAAAGGTCCATGGCGTTTACTGCGTCATAAAGCGATGCGAGAGTCTCGGGGTATGGGGATTTGAAATAATCTTCAAGAGCTAGAAGAAGTAGCGGCTGGAAGCAATTAGTAAGGATTGTAACGGAAAAATTCTGATGATGATCTCACCTTGTATATATGGAGGAATGAGTGTCTTGTACAGATCGCCATGGCCTTGACAACGGCACCTCTGCATCATTCAGATTAGAAGCTGGGTAGAGTTGTTACCTGTGGGGAGTCACCTTACCTGCGAACTGTGTTATCTTGCTTTGTATTCACCAAGTTCAGGACGTACATTAACGGGGGACCCTCGCCTCCTTCGTCGTCGCTGTCCTCTTCCTCTTCCTCTTCGTCGCCCGAAAGCGTCTCCGGGTTGTCATCTCGAACATGGGCAGCCTCGTCATTCGCATGGTATTTCGACTTGCGCTTTTTCTTCTTGCCGCCGTCCTCGCTCTCCTCGTCTTCGCCACTGGTGTCCTTGTGCAAGAAGAATATCGTCCAATCCTGACTCCGCACATGCGTTTGGTCTGGCAGCATCAGCTCAGCTAACATGCTTTCATCACCACTGATAGCTGCCGGGTATTGATGCTCCATAATTGGGCCCCGGTCGATGTGGAAAGACGCAACCAGAATATATTCGACATGGCGCTCTGTTGAATCTAGTGGGTATTGTGACTTGCATCGGCGCTGTCTTATGGGGTTCTCTCCAGATGTACGCCGGAACGACCCTTGTGAGACGCTAGGTGAGCGGCCTGTGAAGGAGGTAGCTGGCGAGAGCCGAGGGGGGAAGCTCTGAGGAAGATTCGAAGTAGACAGAGTCTCATTCGACGGCCGATACGGCAGTGTTGTGGCCATTTTCGGCGGGGTTGTGCGTCAATCTCGTTTCCGCCGATCAATAAGGTCGAGGTACCGGCCTGACCAGAATCGACAGACTGAGTGAACACTGGACAGGGTCAAGTGGCGATCAAAGACAGTGTGCCATCCCAATCGCCGTGCACTCCGAATGGTTCAGGGGCCGCACTTCAGAAAATGGGTGATCTCCACAGCGGGGGGAACGATAAGGGGGACGATAACGAGTAACAAGCACCTTCCGTAGATGAACTATCTGCGAGACAATTCGGGTCTTATTTGCAGGTGACTCGGAAGTTATCGATCCTGAGGAATAGTTCGCACAGTGCCTTTTGTGATATATCACACAGCATCCCAACCTTGCTCCTTTTCCCTTCCAAATTGAGAATCGACAGGTCGCGGGCCCCCCCCAGAAGTGGAAGATCGATCGCCGTGCACGGGCCAAACGCGGGCCGACTTTGTTGCCGGGGCATTGTTTACTCGTCAACTCGTCCTCTGCCTGTCGGACTTGTTGCATCAGAACAACGATGGTAAGGGACCCGGGCACTCACACAGATGAATCATGCAACTAAGAACATCGCTGTATTTAAACAGGCAAACAATCCCACTTTCAAACCGTCTCCGCTTTCGTTTGGCAGCCCGCGGGCATCGCCCTTCCGTCGACCTTCCACCCCCAGTTCTCCGCCCTCCGCTCGCGGAGGAACCCCAGGAAGCTCACCAAGCAGAGGATATACGCCGGTGCAGTCGCCTAGTAAACTCAATCAGTCGTACACAGTCGAAGAGGGCGAAATCTCGCCAAGAGCCCCCATTCCCCAGCCTAAATTTACGCGCGAACTTCCTCCATCCCCGACCAAGGGCTCTGCGTCACCAGGCCACACGTCGCCAATCCTCAACAGATCGAATGGGAGAATTGGCGCAGAGGTAGATGCCGTGTCGAAGCTACCGGCAAATCAAGTTAGGGAGATCCGAGAGGCCTTCCAGGTCCTTGACAGAGACAATGATGGTTTAGTCAATAAGGATGATGTCGCTGACGTTCTAATAAGCTTGGGTAGGTGCTAGACTTTTGTTGTCAATGCTGCCGGAGGGCTAATATTAACCCACATCGAATAGGCCAAGATGCCTCTGCACCGGCTCTTTCACGATTCTTCCCGCCCGGTGCTGGCCAGACCATTAACTTTGCGACCTTTATGAACACCCTGTCGCAATTGATGTCTCCGATGTCATCTGCCCAAGAGCTCAGCAATGCGCTAGCGGCATTTGACGACGACGACAATGGCCAGATTGACGTAGCAGAACTACGAGACGCGCTCCCTACATACTGCGCCTGAAGATGGCGGTTTGCCTTTGACGGAACAGCAAATTGACGAGGTCTTCAGTGGGTTCACTGGAAGACGTGCGTTCGGAGGACGGGGTGCTAAGACGGGAATGGGCAAGCGCGGGGAAGTCTTCCAGTATCATGATTTCATCCGGAGCGTTGTTGGAGGTGAGAATGGGAACGGAAGACGAGAGGCTAGCCAAACGCCAGCCTGATTTGTATGAATGGGCGATCTCACGTGGCGTTTTGGGTGTCATGGTTTATGAGTGCACGGCTAAAGCGATCAAGATAGTCTGTTTTCCTGAACCTCACAATCAATTTATTTGCAGTATATAAACATACAAGAAATTGAAACTGGGTAGTAATGCGATGCTAGGTGGATACGAGTAACTTGTATTCGATGAATCAATGTTTCGGACCTCCAGAGCTGCGCGTGCTCCACACTTCTCTGGCGGGCAGAATCCCTCCAGCCTCTCCGGCGCGCTCCCTCAACCCGCCGCAAAAACCACCATTCAGGGCGCGTACCCCTTGAATGTCATAAGTGCCATGGCCAGCGATCAAAATCCTTGGGGCCTTGGGGGCCAACGAGGTCCCAGCATCGCCTCGGACGATGCGAACCCTACGCAAAATACGCTCCCACCAGGTCATGACGACTTCAAGCGCCTTGATTGCCCAGACACAGTCCGCTCGAGGCGTCGCAACCCGGCCTAGCGAAGCTGGAGACGGTTCCACTCAGAACGTAACTTTACGAACCCCGACCCGTCGGGCGCGATCGAACAGTGATGCTGCAGCCCGCGAAACAGGCCTGACGGTTCCTGTCCAAGCTCCGAGACGACCTGCGCGGAAGACAGGCTCTGGTATTGGGGTTAAGCGCTCGATGTTAGAGAGCTATCTGCGCGACGGGCCACCGCATGGGAAGGTTCGTGAAGGGCTGCAGGAGCTGAAGTATCTTGTGCTATCAAGTAGAGTGGATGCAGATAGTGATGGCATGGTAAGGAATCGCGTGCTGGCTATTCCGCAGTCATTCAAACGTTGTGATGATCGTCCACTGCTAACATCTAGCGACTGTAGTCTGCCTATCGAATATATCTATGGCTTATTCTCCTCAATATCCCCGCGGTCCGCACCGATGACTATCTCGCGTTGATTCACCGAGGTCGTTCCCCAGCCTACAGCAAGATTCGCAACGACACGTTTCGAACCCTGGCGACTGATCCCCTTTTCAAGCGTCGTGTTACCGAGGCTAGTTTGATCCGCCTACTCAACGCTGTGGCGTGGAAGCTACACGATTCCAAAGTGAAGCCCAAGTCGCGGCCCACCTCATCTCGTCGGCGTGAGAGGGAGTCTCTTGTTGATACACCCCCGAGGATCCCCGAGGAGCCCGAGGAGACAGGATCTGTTGCAAGCAGTCTTGTCGCTGACTCTGCCATATACGTGCAAGGCATGAACGTTCTTTGTGCCCCCTTTCTGTACGCAGCTCGGAGCGAAGTCGAGGCCTTTGCCCTCTTCCACTACTTTGTCACCAAGGAGTGCCCTGGCTACATCCGTGGGGCCATGGATGGGGTCCACAGGGGATTACGGTTGGTGGACCGCTGCCTAGAGATCGTGGAACCCAAGCTTGCTGCTCATCTTTCCTCGAAGGGCCTGCATGCGGAGCTGTATGCGTTTCCGTCCGTGTTGACGCTATGTGCATGTACGCCTCCCTTGCCAGAGGTGCTTCATCTATGGGACTTCCTATTTGCCTATGGCCCGCATCTAAATATCATCTGCATTGTCGCTCAGTTGATACGCATGCGGGATACCCTTCTCGAAAGTCCTAGGTGAGGGGATATGTTCTCTCGTAGCGCAGCCAATGCTAACAGTGATACAGTCCTAACAAAATATTGCGGTCCCTGCCTCCGCTCGATGCTAAAGAGATAATCGCTTTGACCGTTTATCTCGTGCAAAAAATCCCGGACGACCTGTACACGGAAATGATCAACCACGCGAAATGATGCAATCTTAATACAGCTGTTTGCAGCTCTTTTCTTGTTTTATTCATGATTATGGCGTTTTGGGCACTGGTTTGGTTGGATATGGTTGGTTGAACTCGGAAATGGGATATAGGGACTTTGCATTGCCGCGGATTATTCCGACACGATCGAACAAATGATTTGACGATCCCTTATCGATAAACCATATAAGTTCCAGGCTGTTGCATCCACGCAGCAGTGAATTGCCTTGTTTTCTTCAATCACTGATTACCACGGGCCTAACACTTAATTGGGCAGTCTCGTTGAGGTTGTCATACTAAGCAATGTTGTCGGAATTCTGCAGAATTGAGACTCTTTACGGTTTCCTAAGATATATATCGAGGTACTGGTATCTTTGGTCAAGCCCATCTATTGTGCTGCTTCCTTACTCATCACCATACGGGTGGTCGGGATGTCTGGGGTTAATGACTCCTTGCCGCTCATGGTCGAGTTATGAAACCGTGACATCCCAGCTCTGGGGGGTCCCTCTGGGCTACTAGGACCTTACCTATCCAATTTGAACGGCCCAAAAAAAGGGAGAAAAAAAAACTTAAACCTGAAGCTTCCTACTACAGTGCCAAGGTTTAAATCTCAAGGTTGAAAACCATCGATGGGTAATAAAATAACGTAAGGGTGAAAGATAATTCACTAACTCACAAACACCTGGTTCCAGAACTCCACGCGGTCGATAATAATATGTCATTTCCTTCCCATTGGGGATATTGCATCACTGCACCTCCCTCATTTTCACTTCGCTTTCACGTCATTTTACATGCTCAATTGGGAGCTGATGTCGACAGCATCTCTAACGACCGCCGCTGCTGTCCTGACCCGTCCACCACCAGGGGTTGTCCAGGGTCAGCCGCTTTCTGAAAGGGAATGCCCTCTCCATGGTCTTCACTGACAGAGCTTAGTTCGCTACCGCTTTCACTCACCGGGTCGGAGTCCTGCGTCATCGCGCTATCCCAGCTGCCGCTACGAGCGGCATGACGGTAATCGGTCCTCACGCGAATACATGAACCCATGAACATGACGTTGTTCAGAGTCGCGACAGCACGCCTTGCGTCTTCAACACTGTGCATGATCGCCGAGCCATGGGTCTGGACTTCCTTGTCGTACGCGTCGGATGTGACTGTCACGTTGCACTCCTCCACGTTTCCTGTCCCTTGCAGCAAGCTCCGCAGGTCGGCTGTTGTTGTGCTAGGGTTCAGGTTGTTGATGTAAACAGCCCGTGAGGTTTGAGAAGGGAATGGGGCATTGATATTAGCGGTGTGGGTAGCCCAGGGCTCCTGCGGGTGCCAGTGGGTGTATTCGCCCGAGTCATGGAGTGGCTGGATGGGCGAGATGGGCGAGATGGGATACATGGGCATCATGTTCCACCCAGGGGCATCATACATGGCGGCGTGCATCATTGGGGACGGGGGGTAGCACTGCATTGGCTGTGTCATGGGCTCAGTCATTACGGGCATGAACTGCTGCGGTGAAATGGGCATGGGCCCCATCATAGGTCCGTATTCGGTGTACTGATAGGTCGAGCTGGTAGACTGGGTGCAGCTGCATGTGTGTTAGCGACGGGTTTTTGACATTCCGCTTGGGTCTAGGGACATACTCGGGGGACACAGGAGATGGGGGCAGGGCCATGCTCCCGTGAGATCGAGGAGGTGTGGAGTGACCGGGCACGAACGTCTGCAGAACTGCTGGTGGGCTTCTTGTTGGCCCGGCGATCGGTTTTGTGGGAGCGCTGATGCGTGAGAGTGTGACAACCAAGCTCTGACCTTCCCATCCGTTGGTTGATAACCGGTCTGCGTCTTGTCAGGATTTTATTCCTCAAGGGATCGATGAAGTTCGCTACTCACGATATGTTCGCCAGGCCTCATCTTCATTCTTGATAATGATCTGTCCTAGGCCGGTAGGGAATCCATGACTGTCATCATATACCACTGCTTGCCGGATGTGTTGAGCCGTCTGGCGGACCAGATCCTTCAATTCTTGCCAACGACAGTGGCCAGGGATCTGTGATTTGCTTTGTTAGAGAACCGAGGGGAGTCAAATTCGGTCACATCATGATATCAAGACGCTTACTCCTTGTAGAAAGACAACAAATTCATCATCTGATTTGAGAGATCTGGGACTACGTCTCTTTTCCTTGCCTAGAAACGGCATGGTGGGTGATCAAGGCCTTTCGCTCTGGAAATCTCGATTATTGCTCTGTAACGCTCTGCTGTGCGGCAACAACAGCTGGATAGCTCGGAATCCGGTCAAAGTTGCGAAACTCTCGGTGGGCTGGTTTGGCCGGTCGGAACTGCAATTAAAACAATGAGCTTTGTGCAGAGCCAATGCTTTCTCTGACAGGAAGGTCGGTCCTAGTGGAGGTCAGATATATCGTCGAAGGATCAGTGGATGAGGTGAGCCAGGTGGTTAACCAAGGCTGCTTTCCCTCCACTTTGACCCGGGGGGGGGAACGACAATCACCAGGCATAAGAAGGCGACAGATTTGGGAAGCGATACACAATATGACATACCTCGGGTGTTCTGGGTCAAATCGATGCAAGTCACCAGGTTGGACGGGCTGCAATTGGAGGGTCGAAGGGGGGAGAAGACCATCCCCTGAGAAAAGGATGTAGATTGTTATGAGCAGTGGGGGAAAGAAAAAAAAAAGAAAAGGTGGAGGGGGAAGAGCAAAAGAATGAAGTGTTTCACAGGAGTCTCTCTCTTTCTCTCTCTCTCATTCTCAAATTTTCAAATTTTCATTTTTCTTTTTTTCCTCTTAAAAGCCTGGATTTCTCATAGTCAGGGCGACTTACATTTAGTTAATTGGAGCAGTGTTAATAATGGCTTGGAAACGATTTGTAGGCGAGACCCAACGAGATGCACCCTCGACCAGCCAGCCAGTCAGATGGCAGCATGACGGGGTTCTGCTCCTCTCGACGATGCTGAGATATGTCATTTCAATCACGGACGCCTCCGAGCTCAGCTCCTCCTGTCCTCGCCAAAATGCAATAGATTGTCGCCCCGTACCACCCCAGTGGGAATAGCTCCACCTCTCCAATGCACTGGTGTCAAGTCTTTTGATGCTTGCTTGCTTTTTCTCCCCTCGCCTACCCCACTCTTCTTTCTACCAAACTTGCTCTAGGTGAACCGAAAGCCAACTTGCCTCATCGTAAATCAATTGGTCTTTGGACGATTGCCATCCTCGAACCCGGGTTGCCCTCCTCCCTTTCGCAGAAGGCAAACCGGATGAACAGCCGCAAGCCAATGGGGGATATCTTCAAATTCTTGTAGGGCCATGCAGCCATGCAGCGCTTCGACGGGTTACACCGCCAGAGCTGGGTCGAGGTGTTCCCTGCTTCTCAGGAGGGGTTCTCGAGTGGAGCGCGGAGCGGCCCATTCCCACTGCAGCGGCATCGAGCGCAAAAGCAATAAGATCATAGGCCGGGTGCTTCTGCGATCTGATGGAGCTCCTTCGGCTCAAAAAGCTGCTAAAAGCTGCTAAGTGGGCCAGTCAGATCTGATCCGACCCAACCTTGTCCATCCCTTCTTGAGGGATCGACGATCCGTGACGAAAGTTCACCCCCATGGCCCGGGTGGCTGGTCGGGGCGAGACCTGGATTGGAGCAGTCAGACTCCATTGGCAGTGACGGCCCTGCATCCTGAGATTCGCCTCAAATCTAGCGACTATTGATTCACGATGTCACGATGCGAGTTGCAATGAGAGTACCTGCAGCTGCGAGAAGAATCATGGCTGGCTGCGAGGGTGGGCTAGTGAGGTTGAGTTCGAAGATGATCGCGAACAGGTTCCACAGTGTGCTGGAAGCTGCTGTACAGGCGGCCCGCCCACACGCCGAAGGGCGGGTTGATCTGTGCGCCCTGGGAAGCCCCGAGGCTGGTGGTGGCGCATTGCATCTCGGTCGCACTGCAGCTGTTTTTTTTTTTTCTTTTTTTTCTTTTTTTTTCTTTTTTTCTTTTTTTCCCGTTTGATTGCGGTTCCTTTGGTGAGGAGTAAAAAGACCCGGTCATTTTTGTCATCTCCCCTCCACTGCAACTCTCGGCTTGATCTGGACCTGTCGCTCCCGGCTCTATGAGACGTCATTCCATTCTGCATCTGCTAGAGGGTCTGCGGGTTCTTCAGTGGCGTGTGCCGATCTGATGATCTTCCCAGAGTCTAAATTTATATTCTTGGTGAGAGGAAAGCAGATGTTTGGTATGACTTTGGCTCGGGTGTTTACGCAGTATACAGGAGCTATATGCGCTCGTCTTTGGTAGGACAAGGATGCACCCGATCGGATCCGTGCTCGTGGGGAAACCGGGCCCCCAAACGCTGGGCTAGCCTGTAATGTCCATACTCTCCCCTTCTACACCCCCCAAGCTTTGGGCAAGGTTTGCCTATGGACTTGATTCACGAAGCAGGTCATGTATACCACGTGAACTGATCCCTTATGTCTCTCGGCTCTCATTGAGGTTTGGCATGAAAGACGAGAACCAGGAAAACTACATGTCATATATTCATATCATGATGGATCATGAAATTAGATTGGCATTGCACAACTCTGAGGGTCTCGAAGATGAACCAAAGGCTAAGCCTCATGTATTAAGGTAGGCGGCAAAGGATGCCTTGCAGCCTCAAGAGAATGCAACGGCTATGCCAGGGACACTCAACGCCAAGCTAACGTGAAATGCATGCAGGGGCAGTGATCGAAATATGATACAACTCGCGTTTCAATCAAGAGATTTCACTAAACTCCATGTATCCGCAGGACATACCTCTCCTATTCCAATCCTCCCGCTTGAGAGCTTCAACTCCAGGTCGGCCACCCGACTTTCCCAATTTGCGGTCATTCGACATTCAGAGTACCAGGGATAATCTTTGCTGATCCAAAGACAGAGAAATGTGATTTCAGCCAAAATGAAAGATATGTCTTGTCATCTGCTTGCGACCGGAACGAAACGAGCGACACGAGGAACAAGTATCGGTCGAACTAGTCGCGAATTAAAGGAGCGAAGTATTGAGAGGAGAGAGGATTGGGATCAGCCGAGGTTCCAGGTCCAGCCTGGGTAGATTGGGTCCAAATCGGTTTGGTGGTTTGTCTTGGGAGGGCGTTGAATGCACTCATCGCACGAAACCGACCTTGGTGGCGCATCGAGTACAGTAGTAGGAATTCATGCCGAACTGCACGGCGCCAAAGCCAGCTGGACCTGCCAAACTGAGCGATTGCTGGCATCTGGAGCAGCGGGCGATATCGAAGGTCGGGGACGATCCCAGTGTTTGGATGGGACGCGGTACGGGCCCCGAGAGGGGAGGCACCGGCATGTTCGCGATAATTCTGGCGAGGGCCTAGTAGATATGGACTTTGGGGAGAAGGAGACTTGGAAGATTTTCTCAGGAAGGAATATCGGCTACCTTAGGCCCTAAAATACAAACACAATGCGGACTGCAGAGTCCCCGTCCCCCTTGTACTCTGTACCACGGGGTACCGCCCCCAAAGCCAAGAGTCTTCTGAGTGGCTGAGCGCGACCCCCCCAGTTCAGGAGTCGTCTCCAGTCTCCAGTAGTCTATTTCGCCATTACGTATTGACTTTTCCAACTTTCCCAGTTGTTTTTCTTGCTCAACCTAGCCCAAACCGTGGGTTTCGTGTCTGGTCTGGTCTAATTTTCTGAATGTCTGACGTTTTTTTCTATCAGTCCAAGTGGAGGACTGCAAAGTAACCCCCAAAGCCCGCATTGCTGAGCCCCCGAATTCCCGCGTCCAGGCACCGGCATTCTGTTATCAGAGGCACATGGAGTCCATCTACTCCGTGATCCTGGTATGTTTCGTATGCAGTCATGTGGTACCTGCCGAGAATCCCGGGTCGTCCGAGGTCAGGCCTCGAATTCTCGAATTCTCCAGGCTGCGAGATGGCGTCACTGAGGTTTGGTCGCCTGCACGACGCCCAAAGGGGCCCCGAGGCATTCTGGCGAATGCAATTAAAGTGTGGCAAGGGCCGTGGGAAGTGGTGGAGCTCCCGTGGGGAGATAACGAAATCCCCGTTTCCAATGGGTATGGAGTAGACAGCTTCAACCCATTCGTCGTTGGCAAGGATTAGAATCACAAGTATCCCGATGTACTGTACACGGGGCCGTTGACGAGGAAGAGCAGGGTTCCCACATGCGACCTGGAAGCCGCGAAGGATGATGCACTTGGTTCCCCCCTTTGCCGTTTTTCCGAGGCCAAATGAACTCTCCCTAGGAAAGGATAATCCATGGACATGTGGATACTTGCAGTGTACGGAGTACTCCGTATCCGTACATCCGGCGGAATAATCGATGACCCATAGCACAAGCACAATTTCTCTCTCGCACTTAACATGGAATAGCCAAGCTTTGGAGGAGGGGTTGAAGTTCATATGCGAATGCATTGATCATTCCAAGGACATTTGTAGGTAAATGCAGTGTAAGATACAAGTGCTCGTAATGATCGCATCAAATCAATTGAAATCGGATCGATCTATGACAGGACAAGCCCCACCGCGATTTCTGTTTGGGTGCTCAACGCGCATCCTCCCCGTCACCCTTTCTTTGGCCCCCGCCGCGTCTTGATCACGACACGCAAGGCGCCGTGGTTGAAGGTGCGGACTGTTCCATCATGCCCATTCCAACACGATCAGCCTTGCCGCGTGATCCTCGGCAGCCCGTCAGTAACCCCTGCGACCCCCCCAGGACGTCGTTAACTCCCGACAGAGTTCCAGCAGTGCACGATCGACCACTGGCAAGCCTCCAACCCGCCAAACAGCTACCTCCGCCCCCGTACCCACGCCCGAGGGTGCCAAAGATAGTGGTATCCCCCGCGGGCGGACTCTCCTCCTCAACCAAGTCAATCCACTCGCGAAGATGTACCGTCATTGGGACAGGCCCGGCTGCCTCCGCCTGGGAGCAGACTCCCACGGGGGTCTGTCTCTCCCAAGAGGCAACAGCAAACAGGCCCAGAACCTGAAAAACGAGGCCCCTCATCTAAATCTTCCTCCGCGGTTCCTGCGCAAGGAGCAGCTCCTACACGTCGCCAAAGCCTGATGCGTCCCACTTCATTGAAAACATACTCGACCAAGACCAATGCATCTACTTCAAAGGCCCTCCCGCCTGCTCCTGGTTCAGCAGCTACGCAGAAACAGCCGCCATCACGATCCGCTGCGCCTGCGCCTTCCACGTCGAGGCCTTCTTCCCCCAAGAAGACAGATATGCCACCCCCACCTCGTCCTGTGCGATCCGCCTCGCTACGACAGCCAGTTGGTGCGGCATCGGGCCCCCCAGCCGCTGTGCGAGGACATGCTCGGCATCGAAGCCAGTTGACGCCGACGGCAAAGCAAGCCACAGATGTTACCCCCGTTAGTTCTAAATCTCGACCCGGCTTCTCCACTTATCAACAGCACTTCTCGCCTCGCAAAGCTGGGAAACCTCCTACGCCTACTCCTGGTGAGCCGACTGGAACGGGCGATTTGTTGATTCCATGCTCGTGGCCGGATATTACAGCACTGCAGATAGAGCTTCTCCAATTAAGCTTGTTCCATTCAAATCAACTTCAACGGCAGTCCGAATGGAAAGCCGAATCTGACTCTCGCCTACAGAAGCAGTATGATGCGGTTGCGAATCAATACCGAACGATGCTTAAGAATGAGAAACTGCGACAGCGACAGTTGAATGCGCAGGCGTTGCAGTGCTGGGCTCAGAATTGTCGGGATCGCAATGGCCCTCATGGCATCTCTGAGCAAATTCAAATTCTCTCCCAAGTATTACAGGAGACATCTGACTTAGTCAATAGGGAGTTGGGTGGGCGCTATGCGCGGGCGGTGGGCGTCTTCGAGGACTGGATTGAAGGAGTAGGCCAAATCTGGCAAGAACGGGAGGAGTCTGGGGTCATGGCGGGCCTCGTCTTCATTGACCCGCTAGACGGGAGCTGGAAGGAGGAGTTACAGGGGCTACGTGCCAGGCTGGAGCTCAGCGTGCGACAACTACAAAGCTTGGACATCTTGGGATTTGGCGAGCTCGAGCGACTAGAGCAGTCTGCGTTGGCCCGGGTTGCTATTGGGCTGGGGGATACCCTCCAACTCATGCTACAAGAAGTCCGTGCGATGCAAACCCTGGAGGCCGAGGTGGTGCGTAGCGAACGAGAGATGGTACGCAGCCTTGCCACGCAGCTTAGTACGGGCCAATCCGCGGGGGCAAGGGTGCGTGAAGGAATTTGGCGAAGAGAGCGTGTATGACCGGATTTGCAACGCGGATGAGTCGGGCCCACAGCATCCCCCGTGTTAAAAGAGACCAGGTGGGTTTGTTGCACTCAAAATGGGTCCTGAGTACCGAACACTTGTAGCCACTAAAAGTACCTGCAGGGGGTTCAAAGAAATCCAAAGAAGATTCCAGCATCCGGTTTCCAAACATTCCCGTACCGTATTCTGTCAGACTCGTCTCGGGGTTTCCGCAGCCTTTGAGGACCAAAAGTAGCTGCTACATTGCCTATAGAGGGTTTCAGCGAGCGGCAAAGGCGAAATCAATCTTGTTTTGGACATTTTCTTAAAACCAGTCTGAGATGCCAAGAACCTGCCCTGGGTTTCTCGCAACAACTCCCGGGTCCAGGACTCGGGGAGTACTTCTCCTGCATGTACCGTTCTAGCAGCCCCACTACGCGTCAGTACATCTGGTGGAGGTACCCCGGAAGTACCTATACCTAAATCAAGCTAATCAACCTTGGAAGTCTTAACCAGCTTTTTGGCAGTTGCTGACTCAACTACCCGTCATTCAACCATCTGCGTTGCTTGGAACAGTCTGGATCGTTGGAAGAAAACGCCGATTCCCAGTTCGGTTTTGCCAACTCTAGTGTGCCTTCCCACCCCGTCGGCTCTTTTCGAAGATGCGCTCCCTTATCTCTTCTATCACGTCTCTTTGATTTCTGCTTCCACCTCGCTCTCCCCAAACCCCGGAGGTCTCCCTATTTGACGTCATCTTAAGCTCCACTGCGAATAACGGGTCCTCGCAGCAGATCAAACCAATCTTAACTGTCCGGAACATCTCTTTCGCGTCCAGGGGCTATTCCAATTCGCCATGTGCGCCGGTCGCCTTGAGTGACCTCTCTTCGACCCGCCTCGGCAATGGCAGCAACCGTCACTATGAGGAGCACCCTGTATGATCGCCTTTGGCAGCGCGAATGCGGCGATCTTCCCCCGCGCCCCGGGTTGCGAACCATCTACGGCTCCCAAGAATGGGTTGACGATCTTGATATCGTGAATGAGTTGGGTGGCCACATGGGTTGCATTAATGCCCTCAGGTACGCTAACATCAGCCCATCTGCTTCAACCCCGTTGCCCGACCTTTCCCTTAGTTTACCGGTCATCTCACTTTCATTCGCCTCCAACGATATCCTTTGTCGCGCTGCGCTTGCAGAATATGCCTACTAACTGAGCTGTCATAGTTGGTCCCGATCTGGTAGTCTGCTGGCCTCAGGCTCAGATGACCGACATCTCAATATTTACTCCTATCAATCAGACTCGAGCGATGCGCCATTTTCCTTGAAGACGACGGTCGCCACGGGCCATAAGGCTAACATATTCTCTGTCAAATTCATGCCCCACTCCAATGACCGGACCTTGGTCACTTGCGCGGGTGATTCTCAGGTGCGTGTCTTCGACATCGAGTATGCGAGTCGAAACGGCAATGCGGCTGCCACTTCCGCCCTGGCCGCTTCGGCGCGAAGCCGCCGCTTCAATAATTTCTTTGACGGAACCACATATCTAAATGAATCAAACACCAATGCTAGGGTCTATCGAAGTCATGCCGATCGTGTAAAGCGCATCGTCACCGAATCGTCCCCGCATCTTTTTCTGACCTGCTCTGAAGATGGTGAGGTCCGGCAATGGGACCTGCGCCAGCCATCATCGGCATATCCCGCACCGAATGGGGGTCAAGGCTTTATGGCCTACCGTCCAGGCTTGCAACATGATGACTCTAATGTACCACCACCGCTTATCTCTTACAAACGCTTTAACCTCGACCTCAATACCATCTCCTGTTCGCCATCTCAACCGCACTACATTGCGCTCGGGGGTGCCCATATGCATTGTTTCTTGCATGATCGTCGCATGTTAGGTCGAGATATCTCGGCTGAAAGGGGCTCACCGAGTAGATCTCCTCCGAGTGTAAGGAGTAGGGACGACGAAATGATGGGCCAAGCTACTCGGTGTGTACGAAGATTTGCGCCTGGAGGCAAGAATCGCATGAGCGAGTTCGACGATGGGCATATTACAGCTTGCAAAATCAGTGACGCAAATCCCAACGAGATGGTAGTCAGCTGGTCTGGCGATCACATCTACAGCTTTGATCTTGCTCGCAGTCCGGATGCCCGAGACTCCTCTAACGGCCCGGACTCCGGACCAAAGAGTCCCAGCAAGCACCGCAAAAACAACTCCCGTACCCGCAAACGCAAGCGTTCTAAGCCTACTTCTACGTCATCCCAAGAGAGTGCAACTCGTTATCAGTATCGTCGCCGATCTGCGGAGCGGCAAACAACTCGACTCGGATTTCATAACGGCGATGTATCAGATGTTCCGATTCTGGACCTTTCTGAGGTGGACGATCAATCGCCCGAATCTATACTGGAACGTGCCCGGGACTCGGTTTTGAGCGATGCTCAGAAGCTTAGCATGGAGATCGCAAAGGGACTTGTCAAGCTTCGACGCGCTCTTTTCTCAATTAAAAGGACCCCTGTGGAAAATGTCGAACTGGACCCAACAGATCTCTCCTTGTATTCAGAATCCTTTGAGTCAGTCTTCAACTTGGCATCTACTTACTTACCGCGAATGAACACAATAATCCGAAGCTGGCGATACCCCTTGAATCCAACCCAGGAAATCGTGTCTTTGCAGCAAACTCTCCGTCGGAATCGTTTGGCCTCTTGGAGGTTTGTTCAAGCTGCTGGGACTCTTGCTCAATCTTTGAAGGGCCGGAATGATGAAGCTGAGGATCCCCAGTTGCATACGGACTTCTTGAACATTATCCCTGCACCAAGTGAAGACGAATCAATTGAACGAGAGGCACAATTTGGCTATGACTTCCTTAAGGCGATCTTGCTGTGGTTGCGCGGTGGTAGACCGGAGCTCCTAGCCGGCTTCAAGCGCTGGTCATGCAATACCAGGCCGTATGGCCGCTTTCCCATCCCCGAAGAAGCGGGCGAAGAGGCCATAGATGACATTCTAATCCCGTATCTTCAGAGCTTAGCGAGCGATGTCCCGATCGTTAATGTGGATTATTCTGAGCTAGGCCATGAAGGTGCGCGGTTTTTGTTCCAGACAGAGCGAGCTGCAGTGACGGCCTTTGGTAATGCCGTGAAGATACCCATAGAGGATATAAGAAACGGCAGCTGCTCGATTCGATAGACGCCGTGTCTCCATCGCGTCGTCTTCAGTTCAATCTCTTGATCGTGCATCCGCCACGAAATTCTGGGTTCTGCGCGTTGGCAGAGGTATTTTGATGGCGGCGTCTAACGGTGTCAATTTTGCTTTTGTTAATCGGGCATTCGGGGGACTTCACACTGCAATCTATGATCCTGAAAGTGAGTCTGATGAAGGAATTCTAGGAGACGATGGGACAGCCGGTATTGCCCCTATGGAATCAGAGCTACCGATTGGGTTGATGAATCTTCAGCCCGGTCATCACGATCACCCTGCGCAAGATGATGATCCTACAGGGGGCCCGACACGACTGCCACGCCTAGAATGGTGGAAAATCAACCGACCAGCGAGGATGAGAGTTCGGATCGCTCGAGCGAGAGCGGGGACCATGAAAGCGAAGATGACGATCCTGGAGATTCCTCGGATGGATGGGACTATGACGTGGCCTTTGACAGTGACAGTGATGAGCCATACCGCCGGCGTTATAGCGACAGCCAATCTCGGCGTGGCGAAATTGAAATCAACACGCCTTGCTCTTCTCACATGAGAGCCTACCGCGGACATTGCAATATCAAAACCGTCAAGGATGTCAATTTCTTTGGCTTGGATGACCAGTATGTGGTCAGTGGGAGTGACTCAGGCCACGTCTTTATTTGGGACCGGAAGACCTCGAAACTGGTCAACATCTTGGAAGGAGATAGCGAGGTTGTCAACGTGGTACAAGGTGAGCAGGGAAATTTTTGGTAATATCGATATTTTCAACCCTGACTGAGAAACGCAGGTCATCCCTATGAACCCATGATGGCCGTCTCGGGCATTGACAACACCATCAAAATATTCTCTCCGGACCGACATGCTCAGGCCCAGGCCCGCCAAGGGATTAACATCCTGAATCCGGACCATCTCTCCAACATACTTGGTCCACATGGGCACATAGTACCTGGTTTGCAGAGTCGTAAGAGCCTTCATGACAGCTACCGGATCATCAGCCAAAACGATGTTGATCGGCGCGGTGGCATGAGCGAGGCTTACATTACGGTTCGTGCATGAACATTAGCCCTTCCCGTTCTTGGGCTTCTATGAATCCCTTCCTAATACTTTGTCCTTCCTATAGAGAAGTATGCTCGCTCGACTGGCTGCCACCCTCCGTGGTCGTCAAGGTCTAGGAGCTGACCTCGATTCCTTCGGTGGGGACCAAACCGGCGAAGGAGCCACCATTGTCCTTGATGAGAACTGCCTTGTAAGTCTTTGGTATTTGGGACCAATCGAGCATTTGGGTACTAATTGTGGCAACAGGTAATGTGAATACTCGACTTACTTTCTTTTCCGTGTCGTTCGCAGAGATGCTCCCTTTGACACGCTTTTTCTATTAATATTTCAGAATGCTTGTGATGACTGCGTTCTGGCACACAGGATGGGTCTTTCTGTTTTATTTCTCTTGATTCCCCCAGCATTGAGAATGGCATTTCCAGGGTTGCGAAGGTGAATAGTACTTGTCAATCCATAGGTATTCATAGGTACTCATACGAGGACTATTCGAAAACTATCAAGATTCTTTCTAGAATGTTTTCGCGGCCAAAGCTAGATAGTTTGGGTCATTACTACTTATTCCCCTGGGACAACAGTAGACAGCCGAGACAATCCTACGATCTCGTTCAAGTCACATCATGACGCCTGTGCACCGTATTGGGCTTTCACCTGATCGAGAAGGAATCTGTATTCAATGAGCGCGAACCTCGGAGTAATGCGGAGGATGGGCAGACGGCATTAGTTTGCATATGCTTTCTACTATAGTAGTAACAGCGGGCAGTGGTGGGAGGGGCGTATACACACCGACTCATAAGAATTTAAGCCATCTTTCTAAGGGCCCTCTTATCTCAAAACTAGAATAGTATGTACAAGCCCAAAATTTCCAATTCGTAGGCAAAGGAATTTTACCCAAGCCAATGAACATTTCATCTAGGACATCAGACTCCACCAAAGCAGCTAAGAGAACCATACGCTAGTGATACTCTCCGCGTCCTGGTGCGTTGAATTGGGTTCCGGTAAATTCAAAAATTACCTGGTGGATGGAAATCGCTTTCTGGTGAAAGCCGACCGCACGCTGGTGAAATTTCCCCAATCCTGGTGATATGATGCCTCTTCACCTTGAAGTTGGAGGGGATACTCCCCGCAGCCCCACCGGGGGAAAAAAAAAGGAACGCCCACTCGGATCTGGACTTTGCAAGATGCACATACTTCCCTTGCACGATGGCCGCTCAATTATTGCAAGGGCGCGCTGCAAAGACTTCACAGCTCTATAAGGATCCTCATAACCCACACCTGTACCTCGACCGCGCCCGCCTCCATGAGCAATTGGGCTTCCCAGATCTCGCGGCCGCCGACGCATATCGTGCTCTGTCCCTCCTCGAATCCGTCGTAGACCCCGAAGGCTGCGAATTCCACGCCAGACGCAGGGTAAAAGACCCCGTTGAAGGTGTCACGCCTCCTCAAACCCAGACTGGTGTACCGATCGAGGGCGAACAACAAGAGGAGAAGGAGGATGACGATGACGACGGAACAGTTGGGGTAACATTGGAAGAATACAACAGCCTCATCAGCGAGGTCTATACAATCCTAGTTCGCGGGCTAATGCGCTGTGGCTGCTACCGAGATGCGTATGAGTTTGGCGTACGCGGAATCGGACTGATACGCCAATTGGTCCACGATACGGCGAATAGCGCAGCACACGTTGCGCTAGATGAGCAAATGGAGCGTATTAAAGAGATCTACAAGTCACGCACAGCTGCCGAGGGGAATATCGAGTTAGATGCTATTGACTCGGCTCGTCTACCCGCCCAAGGCTCTGCTCGCCGCGTCCTATACCCTTGGAACACTCAGGAACCCGATCGCCGCTCGCCAGAAGAGTTGGAGTTCCTCAACAAAAGACTTGAGAAAGTAGCGCCAAAATGCGAAGTCCGAGCTGTCGCTCTTCCTGCCCTACATGACTCGACTGCTCCCGAGAATGCAGATGCAGATACCGAGGTTTCAGTCCAACTGGGCCTTTTCGCGAAGGAAGACATTGCAGCTGACGAGATCATCTTGCGGGAAACATCTTTGCTTACTGCGACAAACCGCCTCCATGACGATCTCTGTGATGCCTGCAATGCGCCTCTCCCGGAGCTTTCTGCTGCTGAGCCGCCGGTTGCCTGCGAGGGCGGCTGTGCTGATACGATATTCTGTAGTCAAGACTGCCACGATACTGCGCAGCAAGTTTACCACGGGGCCATCTGCGGCTTAGAAGACGGCCTTGAGTCTATCGGAAAGGACATCCCCGACCCAAAGGACAAAGCAGATTACTTGTATCTCCTTTTGTTGGGCCGGGCCCTTGCGATGTCTGCTACGCAGGACGTACATGCGCTAGATCTGCCTGAAGTCAAGTATATCTGGGGCGATTTCCACGATTTTGACATCGACGCCTTCGTCAATGGCGGAGATCAGACTAAAACCGATGCGTCTGGTACGCCTCCGGACTTCTCCCTGCCCTTCTCGTTCCAGTTGAATATCCTCCAACCAACGCGTTTCCTCGAGGAAATGGAGATCGATCCCTACGCCTCTCTCCCCCGGTACGACACCTGGGTTTTGAACACCCTGTATGCGAAATTCCGTGGCACGGCCTCTGGGCGGCTCTCGACTTGGGACGGTGGACCAGAGCTATGTGCTGTTCACCCGCTGTGGTGCTTGGCGAACCATTCTTGTGATCCTAATGTGCGCTGGGAGTGGGGTGGAGAGATCACGTTCCGAGCGAGAACGAATGAAGAGAAAGCTATTTGGACTCGCACATTACCCAACGGGCAAGTGGAGAGCAAGCCTGCCGGTGCCGGAGGAATTAGAAAGGATACGGAGATTTTAAACCATTATTGTGATATAGGGTTGCCCGTGAAGGAGCGGAGAGAATGGGCTTGTGGCGCTCTGGGGGGTAATTGTCGTTGCGATCGTTGCCAGTGGGAAGCTCTGGAGGTTTAGATAGAGCCGTGGACGAAGGGACACACAATGCGGCCTGTAGTAAAAAGAGGAACGGTGGTTTGTTTGATACCCAATGAGACTTGATTTGCATTTGAATATCTAGCGTCTGCATAGGAGTGACTAGAGTGCGGCCGCCTTAAGTCGAGAAAAGGACGCCGCTATAAAAACAACTACACTGTGAAATATGTCGCTCCCAATAACCAGCAGCCCGGTTGCCCTTCCCGAAATAGAGGTATCAATGATCTGGAGCAGGGGGGTTTTTGTTCTCCAAACTGTAAAATTAATTAGGACCAAATATACTATTTGCCACTTCTCTGAACCACGTTACCTAGCGGCGACGAGGAGGTGTTCTCGAGTAGCTTCGTCCATGTGAATCACCCCGGCGCCTCGGAGGGGTGCGGCTTGGAGAACGAGAGGAAGAGTGCCGTCTGCGACGAGGTGGCGGCGAAACAGATTCGGAATAGCCTCGGGCGTCTTTAGAGACGGGCCTACGGCGGGGAGGTGTGACGGAGCGAGATATTGACCTCGAATAACTTCGGCTCCGTCGGGTGTAGGAAGCTCGTCCACGTCGGGGTGGGGTCACAGATCGCGAAACTGAGCGACGCGGACTCCGGCTAGGGGTGCGCGAGTCAAAAGACCGAGTACGACCCCTGCGAGGCGTACGTGATCGGGACCGAGACCGAGACCGAGACCGAGACCGAGACCGAGACCGAGACCGAGACCGAGACCGATCAGCCGGCGAGCGAGACCGACTGTAAGAAGCATTACGACGGCTGCGTCGGACAGGAGAGCGCGAACGGGAAGGTGTGTAGCTCCGTCCCCTCGACGAAGGAGTAATGGAACGAGAGTAGGAGCGGCCTCGGTCCCTAGAGGGAGACCGGGAGTATGAGTAGGACCGAGAACGGGTCCCGGAACGGGATGGGGATCGGGATCGTGAGGAGCGAGAATATGTGGAGTAAGACCGGCTTGACGACCGAGAAGGAGATCGAGCAGGAGGAAGAGCAGGGGCAGTCGGACGAGGGAGGTTGTTGAGATACTCTCGCATGTCCTCTGTAAGCACACCCATACCAATGCTGGTAAAATAATTGATCGAGAAACGAGTGTGGCGGGGATCCTCTCGGGGGAATAAACCCTCGAAACTTGGCATCAGGATCTCGTCGCGGAACCGCGATTGAAGCGCGGGGAGGCCCATGTGCTCTGCGAGGTCCTGGAACAAAATCTTGATGAAGATACGGCTGCTGGACGTAGTCTCTACCTCATTGAGGTGGATGACCGATAGAACATGCCATCCAATGGCGTCGTTGCTAAGCATGTGCCCGAAGAACTTCGCAATGTTGCGAAGACGGTTCGTTTCGTAGCGGTGGATTGTGTCGTAATACTTGGCAAAGGCAGTCTCAAACAAATCGCACCACAAGCGATTGATCTTCGCGAATCGTTCACCGATCAGGCCGTAGAATTTGGAGTATGTGCGCTCCTGGGAGCAACACTCGATGATCATCGAGGGTAGTTCCGGCTCCATACCCACAGGTAGGTTAATCTTCATAAGTTTATGACAGCATTCTTCGAAATCCACACTGGACATGATTGTCAAGTAGATCGTTCGGCGCAGGTTGACCAGATCGGTATTGCTTTGGTCCTTAATGTCCATTTGTTGCTCCTCTGCATCGGATTCTTCGTCGGAGCTGTCGTCCTCGTCCTCGTCCTCATCCTCGTCACTATCCTCGCCTAGGATATCTGCCTTGAGATTCTTGTAATCCTCCTCAGATTTTTCCCATTCGGGGTCAAATTTGAAAATATTCAGGGAATCCTGTGTTTCAATTTTGTCGTCCAGACTGAATTGATGAGTGATCTGATCCTCCTCCTCGACCAGATCAAGCTCCTCCCTGATCGCGGGATTATCTTTGTATCGGTCTTTGCGGACCTGGAAAAGAACTTCAATCATGTACTGTGACCGCTTGTCGATATCGGCCTCATGTAGGATGCTTCGGAGCTTGTCAAACACTCCAAGGGCGATTGTGGGGTTCATTTCTTCTAACTTCTGTCCAACTTCTCGGGTAAGGCCCACCGCAATCTCCACACTGTCATCGGTCGGCTTGTTCAAGAGCAAGAGAAGAATTTGAGCGGGGAGCATTTCGTGGACGACCAGGTGATTGCATAGATGAGCGATAAAAGTCGTGGAAGAGATGCAGACAGCTTTGTCGTTTCGCTTAAACGCCTTGCGGAACTGGACGATCAAGCGGGATAGAAGAAGTTCGCCCACTTGAGGTAATTTCGTGTTGACGATCGCAGCCATGGCAGCATAAATGGGTGTAAAGGGTAAACTGGCCGCTTGGGCTTTCATGATTGACCGGCAAAACAGGCCGCGGCCTCGGAGCAGATTTTCGGCAAAGAGTTCAGGAACAATGAACTTGATGTTCGAGACGTTGACCTTGTTGATCAAACCGTTGATCGACTTTTTCAGCGCTTCCCATGCCATGCGCTGGTACTCCTTACTCGACTTGTCCGTAATCTGAGCCTGCAGAGCACGGAGCCTGGCCGGTGGGATATAGGTACCACCGGATCGCATATTCAGCAGTTTTTCGTACTCTGCCTTGGCTGATGCCTGTTTCTCTTCCTCCGTCAAGGGCTTCCGCGCAGCTTCTTTTCGCTCATGCTCACGCACACGTTCGGCGAGCTGGCGTTCTCTTTCAACCGCACGCTCGGGGTCCATAGAGGGAACACCGGTATCGTCACGCGACGAATCTCCGGGGGCAGAACGACGGCGGTTAGGGAAGGCGAGCGCGAAGGAGGTGATCGTTTTCTCGAGCCTGCACCGGGGGATGTCACGCCTGGGGGAGGCGTGGGCACTCGTACCGCAGACTGTAGCACCACTGGATCCGCCATGATGAAAACCCGCGGGAGAACTCAGGCGATTCCAGGCGAAAATAAGGTGGGAGAAGGAAACATCAAAGGAGGTGGTTGGCGGTCCGTTTCTGGGTCGCAGCTCAGATAAAAGATTGTCGTCGTCACGTGACCATGCACCAGAGGCCAAGTCGCGCATTATTTTGCTCCTGAACGACCTTCGCTGTTGTTTTTTGATCGGGCTCATTCATTTCCCCTCCTTTCCTTCTTTTCCTTATTTCCAAGAGATCGCTCTTTTACAGAATGGTTTGTTCGCTCTGAAGTCTAATTTGCTGGGAATCCCTGGCTAACTGAAGTTTAGCTGGGCCAGCTCGTGGGATCCGCCATGCTTTTGGCCGCAACTGCTATCTTCCTCTACTATACGGCCTGGACCCTATTGATGGTGGGATTGACCTATTACCTTGAGATCTTCAATGATCCAGACCAAATGATGAACTACTGTGTACTGACATCCACATCCGTGCAGCCCTTTGTTGTGCCTGGCCACCCTATCCACGCCCTCTTCCCTCCCCGCGTTTGGGCCATCCGTATCCCCGTGATCTTGACGTTGCTTGGATCGGCCGTGGTCGGCACATTCATAGGCATTGTGATGATCAACAGCAACAAGAAGAAGGCAGCTAAGGCCAAGGCAGCTGCGAAGAAGAAGACTTAAAAGAGCCTCCACGGAATCAGGGGCCTCAACCCCGCGCAAATCTCCCTGTATCAACATCTATCAGCTTTTCGGCCTAACCAAGCCGGCCATACCTCATTAATAAACGAATCTAAGCCAAGTTGCTGCTTTTATGTGCTTTGATCTTTACTTTTTCCAGAATCCTGGGGCCTCGGGCCCGGTAGACGGAGAAACGTGGCGCCTAGGGAGGAATGCGCAGGACCAACCCCAAGGTTCAGTTCGCGTCACCTCAACCCGTGACCTGTTTCAGCGTCCCCACCAGTCACTGTTCCTTAAGGGAGGCCCAGAACAGGGAACTGACGACCTTTGTGGTTTTAGATGAATCAGCTCGGACTCCCAAATTGGAAGCAGTTCCATGGTTGGCAAGTGGCCAAGCTTAGATAAGGATGCAGTCACGATTGCCGTTGAACATCTCAGGATATATGACGTGACCCCTAGAGCCAGGTGATTGAGTCACCCAATGAGTAATGTTCATAGCTTATAGCGCAGAGGCGAATAGTCTAGAGCCCGTGAGGGGCTGACCCGGAGAGAGTGACCCCGTCATTCTCCGGGGGGGGTCCACGAACCGGCAAACGCGGTACCTGACTCAGGCTCTATTCTCCTCTCCCCCCTCTTCTTATCGCGCGTCCCCAACCTTCCTCATCTCCTACACCTTGCTATACTTCTAAACAGATTCACTTGCACTGCTTGCTACTTGCCCTTCGGCCGATTTCCACAGAGACAGGATCCTTAGTTAATCCTGTCTTACCTTGCTGCCTTCGGTATTGCTGCCGATCTCCCTTATCAAAGCTTCCCCGCGTATTCAGGAGCGAACTCCACGCTCCAGATACGCTGACTCAAATCGCTACTCCCCACCCCTTCCCCTCAGGCAACAAGTCGATCACGTATTATTTGGTGAGTGCAGTGGTGACCTTTTACTAATCTTGAAAATGATTGCGAGGGAAAGAAGGAAGAAAGTGTTGCTGATAGGTCCGGTACTTCCCAGGTTCGGCCCCTCTTTGGCATTCTTACCTTGTTAGCCACGGCCAACTGCAATAAACAGCCCACGTCTCCCCGACCTCAGACCTTGTTAGGGCCTGGGATCGGCTGCTTGTCTTTGAATCGTGTGCCTGTAGTTACAGGCACCTTCCATTTTTATGCCCCCGGCCGCGCCTGACGATTTGATCCGCCAGCAGAGCCGCATAGAAGACGATTCCCCCTTCTCATCAGACCAGCCTCGCATTATTCCAGAGCATGAGACTGTCAGCAAGAGTAAAAAGAAGAAGAGTGGAAAGAAAGCCAAGGCCAAGGCAGCGGCCGAGAGTCCGCCCGAGGAGATGTGGGATAGACCTTTGCAATGGGATGAATGCAACTCCGCTGACATTTCACCCAGAATTATCTCCCCTGCGCCTGACCTCCCCGACTTACCAGCCCCTCCAGAGCAGCCAGAAGACCCTGTAGAACCAGAGCCTTCGTCTTGGCCTGACCATGATCCTCTCTTGGATCACCATGCCCCTCCCGAGGCTTCTCCCCTGTCCCCTGTGACCTCGCCCGTGCTGGATGCACTTGGTTCACTTAGAGAAAGGGTAGAAACCCATGACTTGAATAGGCGCACCGACACATGGGCCAAGTCAGTTCCCTTTGGGAAGAGCCCTCCAACAGACTTGATCGATGCCGAGCTTCCCCAAGATTCTCCCCTCAACTTCCCTACCATCCAGGAGCGAGGCTTCAGTCAACCCTCTTCAGCCTCCCCCCCAACACGTATTCGCCCTTTCAGCTACGGAAGTGGCTATCGGAGTAGTATGATGCGTTCCCGACAGCCGTCGGTGGATCGAAGCAAGAGTTATTCTTACGGAAGTCCAATGAGCAACTTGGCTCCTCCTCCGCACATGCCCCAGGCTCATTTCTACGGAGCTCCAGACGTTGAGCTTCCGAATCAACCTCGGTCAGTGGCAGATGACGCATATTCATTCTGTGGCTTCGATGTGCTCCCGAGTCTATCAGCTAAATCGGCCCGCGGTGGTACAACGGTCTTGGTTGTGGGAATGGATAGTCGGGTGGAGATCTATGCTGTAGAAAGTCGTCGATCTCGCCTGGTCGGTCAGATTACCGGGCTAAATGGCCGTGTTCTGGATGCAAAGATACTATCGGATTCCTGTCAGAGCGATCCTCCCAATCCTTCACACCCGCACGTGGCCATCATTATCCACGGGCCCAAGGCACATGATAGGGAGGACGGCCGCTCTTCTTCTGTCGCGTCAGAAAACAATGAGACCCTCCCAACCCCAAGCAGAGGAGAACCTGATAGACGTTCTACCAGCGATGTTCCTTTTTACCAGACTCGAGTGGAGGTTTATTCGTTGCGGTCTGGCAACCAAGTTGCAACATTGTTCGCAGGAAAGCCCGTCCCAGCAATGGAGTTCGCTCCAGGCCTTCCGAGCTTAGCACCGCCTCCAGTCGGCAGCTTGAAGATCCAAAGTAGCGGGAAACATATTATCGTGGCTTCAGGTATTAGTGGAGAAGTCTATGTGTACCGTCAAACTCTTGGAAGCACCTACCAGTGCTTGGGGAAAACTTGGACCAGCGTTCAAACTGGTGAAACTCGGAGGTACTCGACTTCCTCCAGCTCGACCGACCCAGATGGCTCTCATCTAGACTCGGCTCGTACAGCACCACTGGAGAACCCTATATTAGGTATCCAAGGGCGATGGCTGGCAATAGCCCCTCCTTCGAATTCCTCCAAGGAATCAATTCGAGGTCAGGTCCCCGCCGAGATATGGCATGATCGAGCCGAAGGGATTGCTTCACGAAATGCGCCCACGATGCCATCCGTGAATTGTGCGACGGATGTCGGAGAAGGCGAAAGCTTCTTTGACAAATTTGCCCGCGGCGTCACCCAGGAATTCGTGAAGGGCGCTCGTTGGATGGGAGATCAGGGAATGCAAGCTTGGTCTAATTACTGGAAGCCCCAGCAGCCCCCCGGGACATCCCCTCAGCGGCCAGTCCGGGCCTCAGATTCACCAAACCCGAGCTATGGGGCTTTCCCTCCTACCCATGCTCAAGACACACAGTCCTCGTCGCCGGCCGAAGCAGATACCGTGTCCATCATCGACTTGAAGCAATTTGGGGACGGAGCAGACGCGAAATCGGCGTCTCTGCAGCCTGTAGCTACGTTCCAAGTCCCCAACGGCTGCAGCTTCCTTTCGCTTTCACCAAATGGGCTTATGCTGTTCACGGCCAGTAAGAAAGGAGATGTCCAATACGTGTGGGATCTCATGCAATTTAGGCATTGCCGAGCCATGAATATGATGGCTGATAACTTTTCTTACCCAAGCGCCAATGTGCGACAAGTGGCGCGATACGCGCGGTTGACTGCATCCAGTATTATGGATGTCATCTGGGCTGGACCCGCCGGTGATCGCCTTGCCATCATCACTCGGAAGGGGACAATTCATGTCTACGACCTTCCCAGAAGTGCATTCCAATGGCCTCCTTTCCGCCGGGCCCGTCCTGTGGCAAAGTCGCCAACTGTTGACCCAGCAAGTGACGAACTACCAGGACAATCATCTGGAGGTAACCCCCTGTCGGCGGCCATCAAGCTGGTCGGAGGTAAGACCCAGCCATTCTTTTCGGCCGTCCGGGGTCGAGTTCCCTCTACAGGTGCCGCAATTCCCAATATAGGTGGATTTGCATTGCCCGCGGCAGCAGGCATTAAAGGTGGGAAGGTTGTCGCCGCTGGCCTCAGTAAGTCCATGGGGGCCGCTGCTACTGGAACTGTCCATACCCTGCGGCATGTTGGCGAGAACCGCGTTCATTTGACGGGGCTTGCACGGGACCCAGCGGCTGCTCGCGTGGTGTGGATCCTAAGTAAAGGCCTGATCTACCTAGGTGCTGTAGACGATGGGATCTTCAAGCTTTACCGGCTTAAACTCGGACCTACCAGCCACAAGAATCGCCAGTTTCACTCGATTATTGGTGGCAAAGAGGTCCAGTATAAATTGCCTGCTTGTCTGCAGTCTCACTGCGGTCCAGCGCTCCTCTCGCAGTATGATCCTAATCGCACAGTTCAGGGCAGCCTGATCATGCCTTCCGTCGGTACCCAGCATTCCTACACAGGCCGTCATCTCACCCAGCCTCTCTCACAAGCGGAGATCGAGACGAATACGCCATATCAGCCATTTCATACGGACCAGCGAGTTGGGCTGCATGTTTTCAATGTCGACAATGAAGTTACTGATCCGACACTCTCATCTCCTGGAAAACCATGGGTCTTTGGAGGTGACATTCCAGTGACCAAAATACACGTTCGATCCTATAATAATAGTGGTGAGGATGGCCTTGCAGATGATGAGCAGGAGGACGCTGCAATTCATGGCCACTCTTTTGGCGCTGGGGGAGATATGGAGAATCTTATCAGCCTTGCCAACAGCGCCGGTCAGGTCGAAGAGGTTGTGATTACAACTCGACGTAAGAAGAAACAATCTTCCCCTTCGAAAACGGAAGAGGAAATTTTCGAAGACGACTGTGAGGTTTTAGACTTTGCCCGAGACCGAGTCTAAGCTCTACCATCCAACCTGATATGGGTTGCTTTTTTTTTCCAGTTATTCCGGTTTTTTTTTTTCTTTTGTTCTTCTTTTTGTTCTTCTTTTTTCGGTGATTTAGACGCTTGCTCGCGCATTCGGCGTTTCAGAACTGTCATGGCGTACTTTTGCGAGATTTCGTTACCCCTTCTTCTTCTTCTATTCTGCGTGATCATGTCCACGAGATTGCATCAGATTATTCTATGAGCATAGATCAATCTGCCCCTTTCGAAACCAGTTCTCCCTTTGCATTGCTGTTTGCGCACTTGATGGCCCGTGATGATTATTTTGCTTCCACAGAAATCCAAATACCCAAACTTGCACTGATTTTGTGTGCTGATAGACTGGTGGTTCTGCGTTGTTTCACTGTCCTTTTATCCCCCGCTCTTCTTTTTTTTGTTTTTTTTTCTTTTTTCTTATTCTTCTTTTTCTTCGGATCCTGACCTAATTGGGGACATATCCTGCACTGACCTCTCATTTGTCTTGTCTGGTGACCGAGGTTTTTTCTTATTTTTATTTTTTATTTTTTTTTCCCATTTCGTGGGACTCTCTTATATGGAAAGCTGGTCTGTCGCTCGTTTTAGACCAGATTAGCTAGGCATATCAATCTACACAAGGGGGTCTTGGCTTTGGCCAGGTGTCGATGACGCTCTCGCTAGCCGTTAGCCTCTATATTCAACATAGATCAGGCTTAATTTTTAGAATGTCAGCTTTGCATCATTCATCTCCTCTTCCCACCATCCGCGAAAGATGTTCAGTCTCTCTGTTCGCACCCGAGCCATCTTCCGCCCGGTCTCAGTCTTCATCATCCCTTCTAACTTCTCCAGTTTGTCGCTGAAATGCTCGATCGAATTATCCATTTCCCATTTCCCATCAACAGCGTACTTCTTCCCTACTGCTCCAAGGAAGGTAAAACACCGCCCGATTCCAATGGCTCCGATTGCATCGAGTCGATCTGCGTCTTGCACCACCGCCAGTTCAGGGTATCCGGTGTCAATCAGTTGTCGAACAACTGCCGGATCCTTGCACTCCGTTGTGTATGACACGTGCGAAACAATCTTCTGCACTTTTGACGCGATGCCTTTGGGCGCATTTTGCTGCAACAGAGCATGCTCGACCATGGTCGTCGGGTCCAGTGACTCCCCATCGTTGGACGAAATATCGGGAGGTATTTCCGGTCCCCGATGTCATGTAGCAAAGCCGCCAGTCGGACTACCGCTCCATCCAGCTGCCCTTCAGGCCGCCGGGCCTGCTCTTCAACCAGGATTTTATTGGCAAGGCTCACCACCCTGTGAACGTGCGCTGGGTTGTGTGATGGGTCGTGGCCCGACATGCACGTATCGACGAACGCTTTCATGGCGTCATAAAGAGCTTCGAATTCTGGACTGTCGACATGCATTTTGTGACTTATTTGGCCTGAAATCTCGCACCAGGGCTAGCTTTCGACTTTTTCTTCTTTTAGCAATGACAGCAATGATCGCTCATTTCCGTCCTTGCAGATACACCGATGTTTCTCTGGAGCCCTAGTCACCTGATGCGCTAGCCTAGATTGGGATTTAGGTTGGACCCCTGGGGGTATTGGTGTACATACGCTGGCGTACATCCTCGAATTGCAATAAACGATACGAGTTGTCTTAGAAGGGGCATACATTGTGGCCTGCAGGTACGCTTGCTAGTTTTAATCCTGGCGAGTACAGCATATTCCCATGTTCCGTAGCTTAGTAGTTTTGCGCGGGAGGCAACGTGACATCTCCGATTTGTGGAAAAGATAAACAAAGAATTGATTTTGATCCAGGTACGATTATGGTCACTTATTCCCAGCAGACTCCGAGACATTAGGCATCGAAACGGTTGTCACATCATTAAAAGATAAAAAAAGAAGAAGAAAGCATCGTATGGGGGATCTTCTCAAAGCAAGATGCCGACCAGATTGTAAAGATATGCCTCTTAGCATGGAGAAGAGGATGACATGCCTCACAGGGCGAGAGCGGCAAGGACCAGGCCAAATAGGCCGGCACCAGAGGCACCCAGCCGAATGTTGGCAGCAGCGTTCTCGGTCTGGATAGCACCGGTGCTAGTGGCAGTGCCGCTGGACTGGGTGGAGTCGCCATTCGAAGCTGGTAGGTCATGGTCAGCATATCACTTTTTCTGTACTCAGCGTTTGGAGATGAGCACTTACAGCTGGTAGACTGTGCGAAACTAGTTTCGGTGGTGGTAACACCATTGTGGGTCACGGTAGTAGAGGTGGCTTGAGCAGTGGCGCCATCGGCAGGGAAAAAGTGAGAGCTGTAGCAGCTTTGCTCACAGTCGGCAAACTTCTTGGTATCCTCGGGAGAACCGGTGCCCTGGGGGCAAGCGCGGACACAGCTGTTGGTGTCATTGGCCTGGGTCGCGTTGGGGCAGGGGACGTGGTAGCACTTGGCGATGCAGCAGGTGTCGTTGCGGTCACCTAAATCGAAACAGTCATGAAACCATCCTCTGGATACGGCGACGCGTCAAGAATGACTTACAGTGAGTGGCACACTGAGCCTCGGGACTCAGCGTCACGGTGGCTGTGGGCTCGGTGGTGCTGGTAGTGTCGGCCGCGGCGACAGCCAGCGCAGCAGAGAGGGCAATCAAGCTCAGCTTCATGGTGAAAATAAGATGTTGATGAGAGGAGGTCTTGTGCGAGGGGAAGAAGGTTGAAGGTCAGTAGCAAACGAGTGACTGAGGATTCGAGGGAAGGAAAGGAAGCATGGAAAGCGAGGGAACTTTCCGTTGTAATAAATAGGCTACTGCCTAGCAGGGTGTATAGCTCCTCACGCTAGCTTTGTCTGTAATTGCAGCTTGATTTACGGAGTATTGAGCCTATTGACCCTGAAAAAGAAAAACCGGCACCAGCTCTTATTCGCTGTGTCTCAGGCTGTCGGTGTTTTGGTTACTTTTACCGGTGGGCTTGTGTACCACTAAGGCCTGAACAAGGAAAGACGCCAGTTTCAAGTACTGGTTCGCAGGGCCTTGCGTCTGTGGGGACTCGGACAACAACCTTGGAAACCCCCCCCTGCAAGCAAGTGCAGAATTGAGGAGACACTAGACCAGCACTAAAAATTGGGCTTTGGACCTGTCAAAATCTGGGGATGCTATTGCGGATGCTGATTGGCTTGATTGGCCTGGACCCTGCACCTCTAGGGGGGGTCGCCGCGAGTAGCTCCAGAACTGCTGCAAGGGAGCTTTTGAACATTCCCAGGGCAACTTCGACTACGATCTCGTAGCTCCTCAACACTACTAGTCCGGGCACTGCTGAAGGCAGTGTGTGATTTATTATGCGACATATCGGACCAGGGACAACTTGGACGGAAATTGAGCAAGTCGTGCCACAGTCCTTTTTGCTCGAGATGGATCACCGGGCGTACATCACATGAGGACCTTAAGATTGGCATAGGTTGTACTGGTAAATGTGGGGGAGTATGAGATTCTCCAGAATCGTCCACGTCAAAGGTTGGGCTATGACAGAGTAATACGGCCTGGGGCAGTTCACACCTAGTTCAAGCCTACAACGAAAGGTCTAGGAATGCCATGAACGCGATCCGGCTAAGTCCCAACCTTCAAGTTTGCACATTGAAATGGCCGGCCGTGGACGGTGTAACTAATTCTCGTCAGTTCTGGGCGAGGACGTTGCCAAGTCTGCCTGGGCCCTTGGCCACGCTATTTGTGGTGAACACTTTCCGATGTAGAAAACTTGATTAGCCGGAGTACCTGAGCTGTACCTACCAATTGCAATCCTCATCCTAGATTCTGCTAGAATGAGTTGAAGGGTGCAAGTCTACTACCTTTATCCTACCTAGTCAAGCACTAAGCGGGAATCCGTTAATAGTCATGCTTGCCGACTGTGAATATATATCGAACTTACTGAATCGATGCTTGGATTCAGCCTACCGATAGAGCTGGTTGATCTGATCAGACTATGTGTGGATTCAATTACGAAAAAGGCCCAATCCCCATTCCTGAACAGAGGAATCCTCTCGCAATTCTAGTATTTGGTTGATGTCGACTTCTGCTGCAAACCATGTAGCTTCCCGCTGCCAGTGATGGGCAGACTTGGAGTACTAATACCACGTCCCGCTGCGAACACGCACCTCCGCTTCAAGTTGTCAACATCTTACCCGGTTGAATTGTAGTCCCTCACCACCCCCCATCATGGCTGATGCACAGTTTGACAGTGCTCTGTAAGTTTCTGGACCCCTTCGAATTCACCGGTCATATCGAGGATTGGGTCACTGCACATCGAATAGCCCTGCTAACCATCCCCTCCCCCCATGCTGCGACCCCGCCCTCAGGTACAGCGACCCTTAAGCTGACACCCCTTCTCCTAGCGATCTCCTTCGACGCCTGAACCCTCGAGACATAAAGGCCAATCTCAATGCGATCACTTCCATCGTTCCTGACCTGACAGAAGATCTCCTTTCATCCGTCGACCAACCCCTGGAGATCCGTCGCTGCCCGCAGACAAACCGCGATTACCTGCTTTGTGACTACAACCGTGACGGCGATAGCTATAGGTCACCATGGAGCAACGAATTTGACCCGCCGCTCGAGGATGGCACGGTTCCTAGTGATCGAGTGCGCAAGCTGGAGGTCGCGGCCAATGAAGCCTTCGATGTTTACCGGGATCTCTACTACGAAGGCGGTGTTGGCAGTGTCTATTTCTGGGACCTGGACGACGGCTTTGCCGGTGTTATCCTATTGAAGAAGGGTAGGTCTTCTGCAGCGAATGCAATTTGACTGGTGTTGCTCGGTGTGTCCAGTACAATGGCTGATTGGGTGTTTCTCTAAGGTGTGAGCCCCGGTTCCCAGAGCTCCGGCGAGTGGGATAGTATTCACGTTTTCGAGTCCACCGACCGGGCGCGTATGTCGCACTACAAATTGACCAGCACGGTGATCCTTCACTTATCCAACGAGAGCCAAGCTCTTGGAGAAATGGATCTGAGTGGCAACATGACTCGCCAGGTTGAGGTCGATCTGCCTGTCGAGTCCGACGCAAGCCATGTTGCCAACGTAGGCCGATTGGTGGAAGATATGGAATTGAAAATGCGCAATTTGCTACGTATGTCGTTTTCCCGAGAGGCACTCTTGGCAGTGTTTATCGACTGACCTGCTTATGTGAACAGAGGAGGTTTATTTCGGCAAGGCTAAGGATGTAGTGGGCGAGCTACGAAGTAAGTAGCAGCTGTATACCCTTTCAAAACCGGACTAACAAATGTTTCACTAGGCCTGGCACCTTTGTCGGAAACCAACCGCGACCGCGCGACGCAGCTAGAGATGATCAAATCCATGCAGAAGTAGAGCTTCGCAGCCACAGGGACTCTAGTGGCAATATTCAGGGCTCTGGGAGCTTGCGATATACATATTATCTGTTTCCTACCATTTGCATAGATCTTTTGATTAGAACGTATGAAGAAGGCTTGGGTGAGTTGTCTGTATTTCAGAATTATCGTAAAGCTGGTCGTTCTGGCATTTTGGGGTATCACAGTGCATAGAAGGAGAAGAAAAGAGGTCGCCGCCTCGGCGTTTAGCCGCAGACAAAGTCCCTCAGTCAACCTGCATTTTCTCGGCTTCCACCCCCGTGGTTGAAGTCTTCTCGAGCTGGTCCATGAACTGTCGTGCACCGGCCCACAATTCTGCCTCTTTGTCTTTCCCAACGGTATCCTTCCTGCTATTCAGCCAGCTCACATCCAGGGGGTTGGCAGCTGTCCCAGATGCTGCAGCAGGCCCAGCACCAGCGCCACCACTGGCACCAACCGTATCGCCTGTCCTAGATGCAGTTTCGGGCGCTAGAACTGTAGCTTCCTCTAGAGCATAGACCTGTCGGCGTAACCGGACGTCGATGGAGGAAAGCAGGGCAAAGTACTGCTCGGTCGCTTGCTTGAATTGCGTTTTATGAGACTGCAGAGAGCCATCGTGGGCCGAATCCTCGGGCCTTGCGTTGGTTAAGGCTTGAATGGCGATACCAGCGGAGTGAATTAACTTTGCGACATCCTAGTCGTGAATTAGAGCCGTCCCGTGAACGTGACATGGCATTGTCTTATATACCTGGTCGATGTCGTTGAGCTGGCGGATCCTGTCAGCAGAGCTCAAGAGCCCCTGGCTGGTCTGGGTTGCATTCTCCATTTCAAAGCTGCAAGATCTGGCCGCCACCACTTCGAACACCTTGAAGAGACGCGGCAGGAAGGGAGAAAGGGACGGTGTCACGTGCATACTCCGGGGGGGGCTGAATCAGCGTCCCGTTGCGGCTTTCCAGCTTTCCGATCCATCGAGATCGAGATATCAAAACCACCTCCTGCATCGGTCATTCCCCGTCTATCCTTTGGTGATTCTTCTTGTCGCATTGGCTCTTCTCTGCTTGACTTGATTAGTAGTTTTATTGGACAAATCGCCATGTCTGCGCCTGGTGGCGCTCCCAGCCCCGTGCCGCGCAGCGGCAGCATAGGTCCTGGCGCCAACGGAGGTGGCATGTCTATGAATTCTCAGCAACCCATGTCAGGCACTCCAATGCATCCTTCCACTCCGGGGCCACCCCCGCCCCAAAGTGGCGCTATGTCTCAGCAGAACCTGAACCAGATAGTAAGTTGAATGCCTTGTTATACTCGCAAATCACCTTTTTGAGGTTCTCGACCTGGATGGTTTCGTGCACGTTATGGATTGTTTGGTCTTCTTGTCTGGAACTTGGTTGTGGTGACTGGATCCAAGAAAGAGACCCAGTGTATCACTCCTTGTACTTTGTATATCGAGAAAGATAAATCCATGACTTCCATCAAGCGTCTTGGTGGCTACGGTCTGAAGCTGTTCGATGGGAGGTTGGCAGAATGGGCGGAAAAGAGACCTACGCAGAGACCGTCTCTGTTGTTTCTCGAAAGCTTCCATCTTCCATCTCCCTCCATGTCACAAAGTCGTCTTTTCCTTTTCCATTTCACTTCACATCCCACCTACGTGCCTTCCCCTACTTCAGCCTTATACACGCGTGAGTGGTCCCTACATCAAGATGCCTCGCAAAGGACCAAACAGGCCGAGCGTCAAGCGCGTTCCTGCATCGAGTGGGCCTGTCACTCCAGGCAGAGCCCGAAAATCAACTCGAGGAGCATCCCAGTCCCCTTCACGGCCATCTCCCCCACCATCCCCTCGCGAAGTTCAAGCCGAGATTTTGGAGAATCAAAACCGAATGATAGGAGGCCGAGATACCATGACCCAATTTCTTAATGCTGGCGTGCCCCAATATCCCAGCACCGTGGACCTTGGCAATTCCGTTGGTGTTTCATTTTTGACCGGGTTCTTCTTGTGTTTTTTATGCTAACTTGTGATGGTGTTCCTAGGTCATTGATTACCTGGCCAAGAAGGGCTACGGCCGTACAGAGGCTATGCTGCGCATGGAATCTGCTAATCAAGAAATTGATGGCCGTCCATTACCCCCGTTGGAGAAGATGCCCGGCCAAAGTTCAAGCAGGGATTCGGTAAGCGATCTGTCTTGATCTATTGATTATCTAGCTTCTGCTAACAAATTCAATCAGATAATCTTAAGGCGTGGGTGGAGGAAAACCTCGACTTGTACAAGGTAAGCATCGAAGAAGCCCTACCCACATGTCTGGCTCCGCTTTACTGACCGTGAGACTAGCCGGAGCTGCGCCGCGTACTATGGCCATTGTTTGTGTACTCATTCATTCGGATGGTCTCCTCGATGTACCAGCAGGAAGCCAAACAATTCTTTGAGTCGAACAAGAACATGTTTCTTCCTGAACACACCGATGACATTCGTGTCTTTGAGCCAATGAGCCTTCCTGAACATGTCCAGGATAACTCTGTGGCAAACCTCTATCGCAACAACAAGTACCGCATTGTCTTGAGCAACCCTGCTTACACAAATCTTCTGCAATTTCTGGAGAGCAAGGAGAAGGAGGGAGGCTCTGTCATGAACGCCATTCTGAGCAGCTATTGCACCGTCAAGACTATGGACCGGGCTGCTGATGATAGATTTAGCTTTGCAACAATGCTTGGTCAGATTGGGGCTGGCCACACGTTCCCTCCCGAGGATGAAGGTATTCCTGGCCACCACCCGGGTTCAGCGTACACTGGTGACAACCCGGCCATGGCTGGAACCCTTCCCCGCCTGAAGCTCGGGAAGCTCCCCATGGAGCAGACGCTAGAAGAGGATGTCCGTGCTGAGCTTGCTGAAGATGACGCGAAAGAGCCGCCTCTAGCTGGACGGAACACTTTGGTTCAAGAGTTCGACCAAATGATCAAGAAGGAGGAAGAGGAGGAAGCTCCTAGCCGAGCCGACATCCCATTCCCTCCATCTACTGCTCGTGACGTGGCTATTGAGGTCACCAAGGTCAAAGAAAACCGAGACCGGTACAGGATTGAAGGCCGCAATGGCGGCGTGGGACCCGGTGTCAGCGTGTGCATGTTCACTTTCCACAACACTTATGATGGGTAAGTTAGAGACTTTGAACCAGAACCCCCTTGCCAACATTCGTAGTTCGAGGCTGACTTGTTTACCAGGATCAATTGTCTCGACTTCTCTGACGACAACGCTCTGGTTGCAGCTGGATTCGAGCATTCATACATTCGTGTTTGGTCATTGGATGGCAAAAACATCGAGGCTGCGTATCCGGAACTAGATGACCTTCCTCCCGCCAATTCGCGACGCCTGATTGGCCACTCTGGCCCTGTTTACGCTGTTGCTTTCCAACCTTCTGCTTCCCGGCCCGAAAACGCGTCTTCTGATGATCATGTTCCAACTAATTCCCGCTTTTTGCTGTCATCATCGGCAGATAAGACAATTCGTTTGTGGTCCCTTGATACATGGCAGTGTGTGGTTGTCTACAAGGGCCATGACCGCCCAGTCTGGGATCTGCGATGGGGGCCTTTAGGCCATTATTTTGTATCCGGTGGATCTGACAAAACTGCTCGTCTCTGGGTAACGGACCACATTCGCCAGCAGCGCATCTTCGTCGGCCATGATCAAGATGTTGATTGCGTTTGCTTCCACCCTAATTGCGCATATGTGTTCACATCAAGCTGCGATCACACGGTCCGGATGTGGGCTGTCACTACCGGTAATGCAGTTCGCATGTTCACCGGACATACCGGAAACATTACTGCGCTGGAGTGCAGCCGTGACGGGAAGATCTTGGCGTCTGCAGACGACCAAGGCTCTATCTTCCTGTGGGATTTAGCCCCCGGTCGACTTCTCAAGCGTATGCGTGGCCATGGCAAAGGCGGGATTTGGTCTCTCAGCTGGAATGTCGAGTCGAATGTGCTTGTCTCCGGAGGGGCCGATGGAACCGTCCGTGTCTGGGACGTAGCGGGACCACAAGAAGGTGCAAACCAAGGGCGCGTCATTGGCGAGGGGTCCACAGCTACCAAGATCGACGCTAGTAACGCTCCGGCCGGTCAAGGGAAGAAGAAGAAAGGCAAAGATGTCGTTGTTACGGCCGACCAGATCAGCGCTTTTCCCACCAAGAAGAGTCCTGTGTACAAAGTCAAGTTCACTAACATGAACCTGGTGGTTGCTGGAGGTGCCTATCTGCCCTAGGTCGTACATTTTAAATGACCTTTTTATCTCCATGTCATTCGGCCTTAAATACCCCGTTCTTCTCTTTTGCAATTTCGCAATTTCTGCTCATTCTGATTCCAACTCTATCCCATATTGTTTTCCCGGATACACCGTGGCGTCTGGAGAAGAAAATGGCCTCTGGTGTTCAATGGATTCATGGCGGGCGCGGTGCTTTTTTTGTTTTGCTTCTTCTAACAAAAAGTCCATATTACTCTCATCGGAAAACTTTCTTTGGTTGGCGTCAAGCGACTATTGAACGTCAGCATCGGGAATAGATGATAGGGCCGTTGGGACTGCTTTGCACTTTTTAGCTTGACTTAATTAGAAGCATGCTGAAACTGCAACATTCGCAATGAAAATGTTCAACTGCTACAGATATTCCTATTCATGAAGACAGATTTTATAACGTAGGACAGCGCACCAGGCGGAATAAGGACCATGCTTGTAACTTCTGTAAGTACAGCCAGGGCTCTCTTGCTGTAATTCAATGGTCTATTTCGAGTGGTTGGTCTTCAAAACACCAGCTTGCTTCATCGCAGCCGACGCCTGCATATCAGCCACCTTGGGGGGGGAGAACTAAAGCACTGCGGTCATTGCGGCGGTAGAAATCCACTAGGACTTGCGCCGTCTTGGCAGGTTGGTCTTCTTGCACGAAGTGGCCTGCCTCTGGAAAGACTTGAAGTTGATACTTGCCTACGGCAAAGTAATAGTGATGATAATCAGAACTGCGTACAGGAAAACAGGGGATTCCGGAAAATGGACGTACCTTGCATTTGACCAATCATCAGCTCTTTGTCAAGCCTATCAGTCCCGGCCAGAAGTAAGAGCTTTCCCCCTCGAGCTTCGAGAAACTTCTTGCTCAACCCAATGAACCAGTCCTCCCAAAATGGCTTTGTTGCCGAGAGATTAGTTCGCCATACCCACGGCCGGTTGTTGTCAGCGCTGTCACTTTCTTTGTATAAAAGCGACGGGACTGACGCCCGAGCCGACATGGTGTTTCGGATCGTCCGTGACCGGGTACTGGGAAACTGTGTTGAGCCCCATGTGGCATAGAAGAAAAGAGAGAAGGTCTGCTTACTGCCATTCGATGCCAGACGACAGTGAAGGAAACCGAGTTGGTCTCGTGGAGAGGTATTTCTCCATGCTCTGAAGAGCATCCATAGCCGACCCTTGATGACCCATATATCAATATTTCAGCCACCTAAGATGGAGGGAGATCGAACGGTTCTTACCCTCGACAACGTCCAACACAGCATAAGCCAACACTTTAGGCCCCAGCTCCCCTTTCTTTGCTGTATCGGTGATAACCGCTCCACCGAGACTATGACCCACCAGCACAATGTCTGGTAACGTCTCCCAACTCATCTTCTGTTGTGTCTGGCGGACCACGAAGACTAGGTCCCGACTAAGCGTGCTCAGCTTTAGATCAAGCTCGGTCTGCCCTTCCGTTTCATATTGTGCAGCTTCTGCCAACGAGGGATTCTGGTCACCTCCTTCATTTGCGCTAGATGTTATAGTGGTACGACCGTGGCCCCGCGCATCGATGGATAGGATACCTGCCTTGGGAAGTGCCTTTCGGATTTCTTCGGCACAGGTGGCGAACGACAGACCTGAGGAGCCTGCCCCATGGTGCATTACAAAGAGAGGACCCGATTCAGAGGGAGGGGTCAAATAAGCATGATGGATGATATGACTGCCGTCCACGTCTTCCGGTAGAAACAACTCTTGGCTGAAGAAATCCGTCCAAGAGAGGGAGTCTGATGATTGTCTGTCAAATTGAGTTAGTTTTCAGGGTTGTGCTCCGGGGTAAAAAAGGGGAAGAAGCGCCAGGCCGAGGCTATTTGAATCAGAGATTCTTATCCTGAAGGTCCCGCTTTAATAAGGAAAGATGCGAGACAGACCTGGAGCCTTTCCGAGCGAAGAGATGACGAGTCGGAGACGGCACAAGGGTACCTGTGGACGAGAGCGACGAGGCAGAAGAGCCCTCTTCTTCCTGCGGCTCGCTCGCACTGGCGATCGGCTCGGACATTGGAGCTTCTTGGGGGAAGCTGGCCAGTTTTGCTTTGGCGAAGGATTTCTGGAGTTCGCTCATCGAGTGCGGGGCGGGAGTCCCGTGGGAAGAGGCGTGAAGACTATCAACAGAGTTGCCAAAAGCCACGGCCCAGGGTCCACAGAAATCTTGTGAGCTGGGCTATTACATCCAAAGCAGAGATCGATGCACGATCGTCAAGTAAATTCGCCAGTCGTTGGGCCGATCATGACCAACCAGGTGGCTGACTAAGATCGTTGGAGTTGCGTCTTACAGAGAGAACTTGGGAACGAAAAGGCTACTGGCAGCTGAACCAGGCAATGTGTCCTATAGAATGCTATTCTAGGGCAAAGTGATCGTATTGGATTCGTCCATTCTACCAAATGCGTGTAATTCAATATAAACTTCCAGGAGGATGCCACAGTGTCTAGTACCCAGGCAAAGAAACCAAGCATTGACAGCCCCTCCGCTGGCCCTATCTTGCCCCATGGTGTTTAAGCACCGGCTTTGGCTCCCCCCGTATAGCCTACCTTGTGCATCCACTGCTCGAGGCTGCGCACCCGCTCAGGGAAGATTCGATCGAGTAACTCATAATCTCGCTGCAAGATCCCTTTGTTATCCGCCGACCGTGCATACAATTTCCACCATGCAGTGAAGTTCTCTCGATATGAGAGTAAGGTGGGGTCGTCCCCGGCAGTTTCAGCGCCTATCTTGACGTCGGCCACTGGCGAAAGAGGGCCCTTTGTGAACGTCTCCTCGAACGTGATGTCGCGATACTGCGCCGGCTTGCCCGTTACTTTGGTGAACGTCGTAGCTAAGTGGCTATACGAGACATGTTCCACTGCCACTTTGAGGTTCATCCCCGCAGACTCATCGATATGAGAAAAGATCCAATCCACATAATATCCCAGGTCATCGAGGTGGACGAAAGGAACTGCTCCTTGGCCGAGCGGAGCATCGAAGCAATAGGTGCCGTGCTCATCAGTAGTCGGCCGCAGAAGCTCTGAAAGCATTTCGATGTACGGACCGGTGGTCAAGATCGACCATCGGGTCGAGTCTTCGCGCTGGGGGATTGACGAGAGCCATTGCTCGACGTGGCCCTTCCCATAGTAATGGCCCACCCGGAGTTCCTCGTCAAAGCGAGTCTCGACGGCAAAGTTATCCAGCGACGACCATATGAAATGCTTGACGCCAGCCTGGACCGCCAGTTCATAGATGCGGATGCCCCAGTAGATCTCCCCCTTAATACCGAGACTCCAGCTGTTGGTGTTGACGAAGGCAAGGTCCACCCCCGCCAAGGCACGTCTCAGAGCAGGCTCGTCATCCGCACTCCCCGGATAGAGGGTGACCTTGGGCAAAGAGGCAAGCGCTCGGCAGTTGTCAGATGTCGGATCACGAGTCAGAACTCGGATGGCGTGGTAGTTATCACTGCGGGAGAGTTCTGGGTCCCCCCAAGGCCCCGAGTCAGTCCTAGTCTACTGGGGTGAGGAGATCTTTCCAGTTGGGACAGGAATGTTTATACCTTTGACGATCGGTATCCCCTGGGCACCGGATCCCCCAATTACGAGGACTGATTGGGGTGTCATGCTGAAGAATCCCAAGGTTCAAATCGAAGCTGCGCAGCTGCTCCCTGCAGGTACTAGTAGTGTGTGATTATTGAATCTTGGAGCTTGAAGTGTGAATGTTAGATGTGATTCGAGAGATGAAACCTTTGAGCTTTATATCTTGCCCGCACATGCATGGCCTCGACATCCGTTCGTAGATGACTCGGCGGGTGGTTTATCATCATGCCCGACGTTCGCCCGTTGAGCAGACTGGCTGAATGTGTTGGGATTGCCTCTGGATGAGCGTGTATGACGATGCTGCGCGAACGATTACCAAGCAAGGACTTTACGACAAACCCTTCCAGGGGTATAGGGCCTATTCTCAAGTGGAGGCTGCGATTAATCAACATTCGGCGGGCGGCAGGATGTATTGAGCCGCTCGGCGGGGCTAATAATCCAGCGCGGTCGATCATCGATCTGCTCCTAGTAAAATTTCTAATGCGTTACTAGTATGAGCAGTTCATCGTTCGTCCTCACAGTCTATTTCCAACGCCCTGAAACACACTTCCCGTGAGAATGGTTGTTGAAGCTCTGAAGATCGCCTCTGGGCGAGGTGACTCGGAGCGTCCGGAGACTCCTGCAAACCACACGGTGCATGTTCGTATTTGACCAAACCAACACTGCAAACTACGCGTAGTCGCTGCGAAGTAGAATGCGATTAGATAGGCATCGACAGTGGCCCTTGCGCGATCTCGATCGTCGAGCTGATGTGCTGCTCGGCAATGGTGACGTCAGGTATCCATCCTAGCTTTCCTGTAAAACAGGGTGGCGATCTCTACACCAGACGCGACCATGCGGATTTTATCTTCTTGCAATCCTCATCCCTGAGGAAACTAACCAGGTCTTCTTTCCGGAGACATTTGGCGTTTGAATATGGCCTCGTTCTGGGGTTCCAGGAAGCGCAATGCAGATGCCGCGGAGTCAAATGAAGCTCGCGATGGAGAGCATCAGTACGGGGACCCGACGGAGCGCACGAGGCTCCTCCCTTCCGATAATAATCAAGGCCCTTTGAGCCCAGATGATCCCGCAGTAAGGACGGCGCCAAAAAATCGTTCGGTGCAGCAATGAGTTAATCAATGATCTGTAGGTATCGCCTCTAAATCTCCTCAGTGTGCGCGTGCTCCGTTCAATCGCCCTATGTTTTCTAGGAGGCACGTTCATCTGCTGGACCATCCTCCTGGTTTCGATCTTCGTAACCCCACCGTTGATGCATTCTCGGGGCTCGGGATTCTTTGCTTTCGCATTTACAACCCTGGCCATGGGCTACTTGGCGCTTGGACTGTTGTTCTTTGCCGTCCCATCTAAATCTATCCCGATATGGGGAGGGATCCTGGCTTTCTTTCTGGTGGTGGATATGCTGCTGATCGTCGTGGTCCCTCGCATTCGTCAGGAAGAAGGATGGGTGGGAATTATTTCTGTCGTCTGGGCAATTGTGGTTTCCATATACCAAATCATCCAAAACCGAGCGGTGGCCACGGGCAAACGGGAAGAAGAGGAACGACTGACGGGCCGCGAAGAAACCCGTCGATCGCTACGAGAATGGCTGGCGGTGACGGTGGAAACGGTAGCATTGGTGGTCATGGCCCTCGCTGCCATTCTGATCATGGCGACCCTGAGCATTCGCATCCGCGATGCGACGCTTGAGCCTCGAGGAACTCGATACTCCGTACACGGGGAATCTTACCAAGTCCATCTTGCTTGTGTAGGCAACCGGACTGCCGAAAATGCTGATGAGCCCACGATTCTGCTCGAAGGGGGATACGGCCCTGTTGAGCATACCTTGCAGCCGTTCATGGAGGACGCGTACCGCAGTGGAATCATCAGTCGATATTGCTACTTCGATCGACCGGGGATAGGATTTTCGGATAATGCTCCCTCACCTCACTCGGCAGGAATGACCGCCGACGCGCTCTCGGAAGCCTTGGCTTTGGCTGATGAAACAGGGCCCTGGGTTGTGGTCTCTGCTGGGATCGGGAGTATCTACTCCCGGCTCTTCGCGAGCCGGCATTTACTCGAGGTAAGCGGCATCTTCATGATTGACCCGCTGCACGAGGCCTACCTGAACAAGGTGGGGAGCTCCAGCCATGGATTCGTGCTGTGGCTTCGCGGGGTCATTTCTCCACTGGGGTTGGACCGGTTAGCAGGGGCTATTCTGCGTGGACGCACTCGAGAAGATCGGATCGTGGGACGATCGGCATATCAGTCCGACAAGTTCATCAAAGCGAAGCTCCAGGAGAACTTGGTCGCCGTTACCATGACGGCAGCCGAGGTCCAGTCTGCTCGCAACGTCCAGATGGGTGAGACTCCGCTCATGGTTATCAGCTCCGGGCGTGAAATCCAGAAGAGCGCAGAATGGGGTCAACGGCAAGAAGACCTGTCTCATATCACGAACAAACTCTTGTCTTGGGATATAGTCCACGATGCGCCCCATGAAGTGTGGACGGTGACTGCTGGCCGGCAGCTGCTGGAGCAACGGCTGAGGGAGATGGTGAAAGCCAGCCACGCACATCGTTCCCAGAAGTAACCACAGGTCATCGAATGCTTTTCTGGAGAATCATGGCGGTATGTGACGTGACCACTGTTCTGTACACATGAAATCAAGCTGCCCATATTAGTACCTATGCGATGTGATATTTACTGGAGCGTTAATACATTGTGCAGTCGAAGGATTTCCCCAAGGAATGGCGTTGTGTCTTTATAGTATGTTCTGGCGTGAACTCTAGTTTTTCGAGATCATGGGGAGATCAATGTATTACGTTCTCCGTACACCGGCATAACTTGGGGTGGCCGTGAAGTTGAACACCAATCTCGAGGTATATTAGGATCTAGTATTGAGCCTGCTCGACGACGAAGAGAATTCCTAGAAATGTAATGGCGAGAAAAGTCTCTGTTGAGGAGGGAGAGAGAGCCAATGTAGGTCTTGTGACTAATTCTAAGAAAAGCCAATAACCATGCACACATCTAGGATATCTCCATCTCGCTGGTTTACCTTGTTTCCTCCATCACCGGCACACGAAAGAAAGGACCGTCGGCACCAGGCAATACTGGTTTGCCTCGTAGGCATGATCCGAGGAGAGGAGAATTCCACTTGTGGCTATATTGCGGAAGCCATGGAAAGAACTTGTTGTGACGCGGGGGAAGGAATCGGGTATTCTAGAACGAAACTAAAAGGCGCGGATCCACAGGATCAAATAAATCATTCTAAACTAGTTCCCTTGAACCTCTTAGCAAGTTGTTCACCGTCGGATTTTGGAGAGAGGGAGCGGGGGGTACGGGTAGCGGGTGAATTTGACCGCCACATAGGGTCGGTTGCAGAAGGCCAAGGCCGCTTAGGGGGGGCGCTCACCACTCTCCTGGAGAATTGTCATCAAAGTAGCCCATCCAGATGTATTCAGCAGCTGCATTCCATCGGCGGGGGAGTGGGAGGTTGCAACTCGGCAGAGAAGAGCTTCTTCATCCTATGTTGATGATTCCCGTCAGTATGATTCATGCGTGAGTGCTTCGAGGGGAGTTCTGAAGCCGCCTATAAAAAGCCATCAACCCACCTTCGAGAATGTAGAAAGCCCATGTAAGAAGCACAGAAGGTGGAAGTCCGAGACGCCCTGGATGGCTTTATCCGGGTCGCCGGGAGACATCAACTGTTGGGCTACGTGTCGTAGCTCCTGGCTTTCGCCGATGATTTCGCGATTGGCGATGGGGAACCGGCTATTGATGAAAAGAGGGTTGGATTCCGTTGGGAAGCCGTGAGTCAGAGTCACGAGCAGAAAGTCCACGGGGAAACTGGGTTTGGCATTCTCCTGTACACTAGCCCCGTGCTCGTTGATACGTCGAAAGAAAACCTCGGGGATATACCTGGTCCGGCTTCCAGTATCCTCATCGTCCTCGGATTGTACCAGCATGACAGAAGGCTCTGCCGAGGGTTCAATAATATCCGCGCGCACCATTTCCACGGCTGAGACAGTCGCTTGATATGAGCTTACAGCAATTGCCCCGGTGTCATCACCGCTCAGCACACATGTCACGAAGTCTGATCCAAAGCGTCCTGATCGACTCCATTTTGTCGCTTTGGGGTTCTGAGCTTGCAGGCGTGAGGCGAATGCAATCTCTAATGAGGAGAGGAAGTAGGAATCGATGTGGCGTTTGCAAATCACAGAGCCATCTCCCCGGCCTGCGTCGAGAAGATCTGTGAAGATGACTCCGACTTTCTGTAGACCACAAAGGTGTGCGACCTCATCGACTTCTTTTTCATTGTGCCAATCATGGAGCGTGATACCATCCACTTCGTTGACCTGCGGCGGTTCATAGATCGCCTGGACCACAGCTTTGATCCCGAGAGGCACTTCTGTGTATTCTTCGTACGTTCCGTAGAGGAAACCTAGTCTTTGGGCACCCGATTTACGCCAGAAGTCCAGAAGAGAGTTGATCAAGTCCGGGGTCGAGAATTCCACATGGTCCACCATCCGGAACTCTTGGGGTTGTAGGCTGATTGCGCTCGGTTGACATTTGGTGCAGATGCCTTCCGGCCATGGTGGGTGGCCAGACGGACAATCTTGTCGTACTCGGTAGAAAGGCTCATTCAAGGGAGGTATATAGGAGTCCTTGACCTCGGGCTTGTTGGTCGAAGCATTGATCTTTCGCAAGTAGGAATGGAAAGACAAGTGTTTGATTTTCTTTTCGGATAAGTAGTTCGAGTCGTAAGGCTCGAGTGGCATGCAGTAGTCACACATGCCCCGAGGGCCATGTTTGCACATCCGCTGGTCTTGCTTGCGCTTGATCTTACCGTCTTTCTTGTCTAGGATGTTGTCTAAGGCCGATTGTTTCACCACATCCCATGGATTTGATACGTCAAGGGTAGGAGAGGTAGGCTTTGGTCGGTGGTGCATAGTCTTGTCTTGAGGTACCGATGTCCCGTTCAGACGGCGTTCAGTATATACGGATGTATGTCCGTTCGAGGTCCCATTCTGCGGCGTGGAGCCTTGCTGATATCCTAAGAAAAGCTTGTCGCCATGCCTTGTCGGTGTTAGCCCCATTCACCCAGCTTTCCTTAGACATTCCCAATATTATATCACTCACTTCAAGCCAACTTGGGCGATTGACACCCCATCCAATGCCTGAAGTTGTCGTTCCTCACCGCCGGTGCCTATAGGTCGATTAGACAAGGACAGAGATGCTGGATCAACGTCTGGTGGCAGGTTTTCGAGAATCTACCGACAAGGTTGCATTAAAAGGTGCACGAGGTCAACGGAATAAGCGTAGCGGCAAAACCTACCTTTTGTTGAAGAGAAGGGAAGAGGTCGCCCGGGTTCACAGTGAGTCGGAACTGGCCATTTCGACTCTCAAACCGCAGGAGAATGGGCCGTGTGGCCATGATGTGCTATGATTGATGCCTCAAGAGGATATAGCCAGAGTCTGGGTACGTGTTTTCAAGTGGGGGAGGGGAGGTGGAAGCAGATGAAGCAGATGGAGCTGAGCTTTGATCAACGGTAACGTCACTGCCGCGGGCGGTACCGTCACATATTAACGATGCGCCCGCAATATCACGTAATAAAGACCGGTAATATTTGTAAGCAGATTACCCAAGATTACCCTCGATATTAGGATAAGAGTAGAGCAAATATTGAAGTTGAAGATCGCAGCTTTAAGGGTCGACAGCTTTTGGGCCTGGCCTGACACACGCTTGTGCCAGCTCCGGAACGGGGGAAAAAAAAGGGAATGTCCAGAAGGCGACTTGAAACTTGAAAGTGGTCTTTCCTCAAAAGACCCATCACTACTTCGGTTTGCAAGGTATATTTTACTATGGAAGAGAGGAAGAATAAATAATTGTAGTTTATTGATTATTGAAGATTTATGGGTTCACATGACGCTTGCACATTAAAAAAAAAGAGAGGTTCGCGGCCTTTTCATTGGATAGAACATTTGGCAGGCAAGCCGCATGGCCCCTCTTTCTTCTTGTTTTCTTTCGCTTGAGGCTGGGTATTTGGTTGCTCGGGTTCGGGTTTCTGAGCCTTCTGGGTAGTTGCAGCTGCAGGAGCAGACTCGGCGCCGTCATGTAGTCACTGATGAGCCTTGGCAACGGTCTCGTAGAAGGCCTTACCCTGGGCCTCCGCGATGGCCAGCTCAAGGGCGGACGGCTGACGGGATCCATCACCAGCCTATGAAGAGGATTAGACGATACACTATACCAACCCATCAGGAATTGAACTTACAGCAAAGGTACCGGCGCCCCAGGGGCTGCCGCCGTGGACCTCATCGAGGTTGGTGAGCTGAGCGAAGGTGGTCTTGTAGCCCAAAGGAACATAGATGAAGCCGTGATGGGCCAGAGTGCTCATAGAAGCAATGGCGGTGCTCTCTTGGCCACCACCGGGGGTGCCAGTGGAGATGAAGAGACCAGCGTACTTGCCCCAGTAACCGCCGCTCATCCAAATGCCACCCGACTTGTCGAAGAAGGTCTTCCACTGGGCGGGGAAATTGCCGTAGCGAGTGGGGATACCGAAGAGCACACCGTCATATTCCAGCAGAGTTTCAGGCTCAGCAATGGGGTAGTTGGGCTTGGGAGCAGCGTGCATCTTCGCCAGGACCTCCTCGGGCAGAGTTTCCGCGATCCTTCAAGAAAAGTCGTAAGTCAACTATTCAAAGACCAAGACAGAGTTAGATACGCCGTCGGTGCTATGCACATACTGGTAAATATCGGCCTTGCCGCCGGCAGCTTCAATGCCCTTCTGTTCGGCCTCAGCAAGCTTTGCAATGTGGCCCCAGGTGGAATACTTTTCAAGATGGTGTCAGCTAATGAAAGGGCACAGCGGGATCGGGTTGGAATCACATACGAAGACGATCGCGATCTTGGGAGCCATCTTGAGACGTGGTTGTATAATTGATTACGTGGGTAAGTGGAAATTGGAGGAGCTGGAAGGTTGATCTAGCAAGGGCGGAGGGGAAAGAAGGGGAGGTATTTATACTTAAAGTTGTCTCTCCATCTTCCCCCCCCCACTTCCAATTGATTTCAACACCTGCAGAGAGTGCCATGGATTCCACGGAGCCCGGAGTCCAGCTACCAATGAGCTGAGGAAGACCCGAAAGCTTCCTTACGCAACCAGCCCTAGAGCATTTGAAGTCCATCAGTCATGAATGACAAGATAAGAGTTTCATTGGTGGGGGGGGGCCCCACACCGCCTTAGTCGAGTCTGACCGATCGTGACAAAAGCCCTTTTCCCTGCTTGCCGACCCAAGAGGTATTCCGTCCCTCCAGGGCGATTGCTACGAGAATTGGTAATACTGATGAGCATTTCCCGCCCAGGCGGACTCTAAATTGAAGCTTTTCAACAGTCCATGTGGGGCAGTCTTTGCTGGCTTGGGCTGCGTAGGACCCTGGAGGCTTGGAGGCGGGGCTGTCGTGGAAGATTCTCGGTCCATCGCGGGGTCCAAAGTGCATGTCTCCATTAAGGGTATCTTCGAACTTAGCGGCATAGCTAAAATACAAGCGGGTGGAATTGTTCACGCCAGGAACACAACACAAGACCAAAAAGAATTGAACACGCCATAGCTCCGTAAATGCAATGCGGCCATGAAAATCATGTACAGAATAGCTTTTGCCCAGTGGCGGGAACCATTCAACCGCGGCCTCGGCCGCGATATCTGCCTCGCATGAAGCCACCGCCACGCCCACGCTCACTGCGCCATTCACGCTCTCGCTCCTTCTCGCGTTCTTGTTCTTCTCGGATCAGAGCTCGCTCATGTTCTAGTTCCTCCTCTGTCTTTTCCGTGCGAATTGTGGGCCGCGGAAGGTTCTCCGTCCATCGAGGATGAGCGTTGGCGCATGCTTTGCCATCGGGACAAAACCCTGCCAGATAGAAGGGGCAGATTTTGCGTCGGACATGACGCTTTGCGCATAGAGGCCCTAATTCGCAGAATCCACGATCATAGTGCTCGCACGGGGGAAGCCGTGCCTCTTCGCGAACGTGTTGGTAGAGACAATCGTCGCCGTTTGGGCAATACCCAGAGCGAGAGAATGACTGGCATTCGGGCATGCGGCGCAGATTGTACTCATGCAAATACTCGCACTTGATGCCCTTTTTGCATAGCCCCTTCAAAAAATGTTTGCACACCAGGGAACCGTGGGTTGTTGATGGGGCGAGGCCCGAGGCTGTTGTCGTAGATGTCGTGACACGAGAGGGTGTGGGATGTCGGTCAGGACAGGCTGGTCCTAAGGGGCAATGTCCTTCACCGTAAGCTCTGCAAGCGGGGACATCGCTGACGAGACCGAACCCGAAATTTTTGCGGAGAAAGGGGCGAAATGAGAATTCATCGAATGCTGGATCACGCGTGGGTTCGGCAGAGAGAACACGGCTCGCCGCGTTCGATATGTCGGCAGTCATGGCTGCAACAATTTGGGTATTTCGGCGCACGACTCGTGGTTGATAAAGAGAAGGATTGGGACAATGCGAGACGCGATGTACACTGCACCAAATAGAAGGGCAGGGTGAGCTTTATCAACTGGCGCTGGAGCTGGAAAGCGGAATGTCTTAGGGCCTTACAAATCAGGCATTAATATTTGCCTAGTTTGCACTGGAAAGAGCCGCCTCGAAGCTTCTCCGCCTCTCTACTTCTCAGGGGGGGGTTCTTCCTCTCTCATTCAACCCTTCTCTTGAGTGGCGTAGTCGGGCTATTTTTCACTCATATTTCAGCAGTATTAAGGCACCCTAAATATACTTACCGCATTACTCAAGTCCTCACCCAGCAGACTTCAAACCTCCCTAAACAAGCCTGTCCCCTGTTATCTAGATGGGGATTTTGTATATTTCAAGCTGATATTTCAGACTCTCCGGTCATACTACGGGCTTCTTCATGGGAATCAACGCCGGAAAAGCTCCGCTGCTACTTCCATATGCAGTGCATTATGGGTAGACACAGATAGGAGCGAGGCACAAACGGCCAACCATCCACCATCCAAACGCAATAGTAGCCAGGAAGACCGTGGGAAAGGCCTGGGAGGAGTTTTCGAAGCTTCTGTTGCAGCAAATATGATATTTTGAGTAGTCCTCGGGGGAATAAGTCTGATCAGGCCCATCCAACCCCGTTCGATAAACAATATGAACAGTTTGAATTTTCTCGCTCAGGCAGGCAATACCCACTCTGGACTGGAATCGTCTCGCGCAGGAATCCGTACGCCTTCTGCAGAATGCTTGATTGGTCCTACTAGTAGGGCGAATTTAGGCCCTTCAATCTGCTTGTTCCACCCGGGGCATCAGGCCGCCCACTTAGCTCTCTATGTCCCCCAGATCCAGATCATCCCCAACCCCGCTAATAGACAACGATCGCCAGAGTCGTCTTTGGATGCTCTGGAATCAACGATGGGGGAATTTCAACCAATTGATTGGAGACACTTCCGGCAAATACTTCTCCAGAGGCACGGCGATCGTAAATCGCTTATTCACGGCGGCGGAGGCGTGTTGGCCTGAGGACTCGGGCGATCGTTTGCAGATCGTAACTGGTATTGACGCCTAAGCTCGGGATGAGGACGCTCTCGTCGGAGCTCTGAAAAGAAAGCCAATCGGTGGAATCCGTGAGTCATATCTACTATGCTGGTGAGCGAACTAGGCATAGGGCGTCTGTCTCCTAGATAGTTTCCCGTGTCGGGACCAGGGTTCCCCTGAAAGAGGATTTTCCTCGTGTTCCTGGAAAAAACATGCCAAAGAACTTCTTCTACTTATCGCCAGGTCGATTTACTCCATGAAAGCCCTGGTCACGGTGTTAACTCAATCACGGTGTTAACTCAAGCCAGATGTAGTTGTCGGGGATATGCTCTTTGGGAACGCCAATGGCATGACACAAACAATGGGCATCTATTTGGGGTTCTACCGGGCCCTGAAGGGGCGCTGGCGCGGAGATCTCATTCGCTAGAAACGACCTCGAGGCAGCTGGCGCTTGGAGTCTACAGGTTGGAGCCGAGATATTATCGCTGGGTGCGGTATATTTGTTTCCCTGCGGGATCGGGAGAAGGTGTACGGAGTACGCAGTACGTAAAAGCCTTCGATATTACCGACAGCCCCACTCCTGTGCATGGTCTCAATGATGGCCCATCCTAGTTTGGGCTGACAGGCTCTGGGCCGCCCGGGCGGGGTGGTTCTGGCTTGTGTTTGACAGCATACATTGACAGCACTAGGTCAAATTCGAGGTGCTATGCCAGCAGCGAGGCCTGCAAGCAGATGTGATCTCTAGGAGCACGAATGATATCAGAGCTAGACTGGGTAAATAACACCCAATTGATGGACTTTGACTGGCCCTTGGATGTGGGAAGAGGCCATGAGGGATTTAGGATTCAACAAAGAGCTCAGTGCCGAGACTTCTTGGTACGAGACATTTGATAGAAAATTGAAAACAAGGATTACGCTTCAGACGTATGACCCATCCGAAGCTTCTATTCCGTGCGGTCGATGCCCTCCTTTACTTTGGGGCTGTTCTGTATAACCCCAGGATCCCTTTGAATCCTGGTTCGAATGAGAAATTTATGCCCGGTGGGCTGCCCAAGTGTCATGAGACTCATTACAGATCGGCCCCATCACCAGGACCGGGGGCAAGATGCAGTGCTTATCAAGCAGAACGTAGAATCCCTGTAGCTCTTGCTGAGAAGTCTCAAGACGTTGGCGCCATAAGCAAGAAAAGCCGTGGAAGAAAGAAAACGAAGGAAAACAAGGAAAAAAAGAAGAAAGACATAAAACAAGACAAAATCGAGAAAAATCGAAATTCCTCGAGTGTGGAGATCCAGTGACGAATCATGGAGAATCATGGAAAATCCTCGAGGGTCATGAGACTTCGTGCAGGAGCCCTTGGAAATCCCGGGAAGCATGATTAATCGTGGCCATCTGATTGGCCTCATAGCGAAAGTGGATGCGCCTTCCCCCACAAGTGACGCCCGCCATTGTGCACGAGACAAGAGCCTCCGGATTTACTTCCCCCAGCTTTTTGGTGCTTTTTGGTGCGTTTGCTGAAGAAGTCGCATCCAATAACACGCGCCCAATGACAGAGTCTGTCACGTGCACTCTGACTTTTCCCCCAATTGTGAGCTTCGTCGAATCCACAATCCGATCGCTCCCAAGTCTCGGCTTTCGCTACACTCGATGCTCTCCTTCTTCCGTCGGCGTGGCGCCGACGCCGACACCGACGAGCCCCAGGCCTCGTCCAAAGTTCCGTTATACACCAATGCAGCTTATTACCCCAACTGGAGGATCTACAGGAACCAACCGCCGTCCTCCCTGCGTCTAGGCTTTATTTCGCATCTCTATTACGCTTTCGCATGGGTCAAGGAAGATGGTGAGATTTATGTATGCTCCTGATAATGCCAGATAAGCCCATCAACCCCCCCCACTGACAACATGTTCAAAGCTCAGCGATCCGTGGGCCGATTTGCAAATGGAAGTAGATAGTTGTCAAGGGGCCTTACGCGCTTTCATTCAACTCAAACAGCAGTACTCTCAAATGCGCGTCATTCTGTCCATCGGGGGAGGAGGCAAAGGAAGCGAGAACTTTGCATCCGTGGCCCACAATCGCGCGAAGTTGGAAACCTTCGTACGAAGCGCGCGCCAATTAGTGGATGAGCATGGTCTGGATGGAATTGATATTGACTGGGAACACCCTGCGACGTCCAAGGAGGGCAAAGATTACGTTCGCCTGCTTTCCCGCCTGCGCGAGGTCCTCCCTGCCCCCCGTTACACTCTGACAACCGCCCTACCCGCTGGACAATGGGCCCTGCGGAATATCGACCTCTCGGCGGCGCAGAAATACTTGGATATGATCAACCTGATGACGTACGACTTCTCGGGGCCTTGGGAATCCGAGACTGGCCACCACGCCCAGCTCTACGGTTCTCCCACCTCATGTTATTCGGCGGTCAATTATGTTCTCACCCAAAAAGTGCCGTCTCAGAAAATCATCCTAGGGATCCCCACGTATGGGCGCTCCTTTCTAGGAAGCAATGGACCGGGCCAGCGATATACCGGCACGGGTGGTGAGGATGGTGTGTTCGACTACCGCGACCTCCCGCGGCCCGGTGCTCAAGAGTATTTGGATGAGCAAGCTGGTGCTGCATCATGTGTCGGTGGGGATGGGGGCTTTGTCTCGTATGACAATCCCTGGACGGTTCAACAGAAGGCCCAGCTGGCCATCTCCTCCAAACTCGGAGGCCTGTTCTATTGGCATATCTGCTCAGATGGCAGATCCCCAAGCCTCATAGAAACAGGGTATAACACTCTCCACGACTTGTAAAGCGCTTAAAATTTGAATGCGCCCACCGACAGACTATGTAGCACTGCCGGAACTGCGCCTCTTCTTCAAGTGAGCGATATAAACAGATAGGGCATAATTCCATTAGCGATCTGAGAAGTCAGCTCCATACAGTTGAGCCAATGCTAGCATGTGTCCTCGGTATTTCGTAATTCTTTGGAGAAAACAGGCATAGGGTGTCAGCACGTGCCGTGCTGCGGAGAGGCTTCTCCACATGCGACGACCGAGGCTTATATCAACCCCGCATAGTTCCCCTGAAACTGAATATGTCTCTTGCTCAACCTCACCGCAGGAATATGTTCTTTCCAAAAGCTTGCTGAAACCTAAAAAGTTCTATAACATTATTGCAGATGTCGCCGTTATCTGAAGCTGCAACCGCTGAGACGGGATCGTTTACTCAGCCTACAGCTTTAGAGAATACGTACACCTCCGATCAGAGCCTCCAGAGAACTTTGAAATGTAAGATGCGATGAAAGCGGATGCTTTGGTTCATTCTGACATATTAGGGTATCTCCCGCCAAGTATTCTTGGATCTGTTGAATCGCACTTCATCGAGCTCGGCGCCGAAGCTGTGTCCGAGAAGATCCGAGAGTGGAGCTCAGATGCTGAGAGGAACCAGCCTTACGTGAAAAGCTACGATGTATGGGGAAGACGATACGACTATGATCGTTTGATTACAGCCGAAGGCTGGAAGCAGCTCGGCAATTGGGGGGCCAGACGCAGAGTTGTCTCGAGCGGTTATGATTCTTCGCTGGGTTCTCAAAGAAGGACAGTGCAGTATGCCTTGTAAGGGATCAAAAATCCTTACTCTGAATCTCGCATTGGAGCTCACCATGCCTCTAGGAACTATCTTTATTCACCCTCCTCGGGTTTGTTCTCGTGCCCTATCTCCATGACTGATGGCGCGGCTTTCATCTTATCATCCAAGATTAAAAACCTCCCACCCACGCACCCATTCCAACTCGTATTCCGACGTCTTGTGGATGAAAAAGAACCATGGACTTCCGGCCAGTGGATGACGGAGAGAGTTGGAGGCTCCGACGTCCAGAACACCGAGACATTTGCCAAATACGCACCCTTTGACAAGGAATCCATTGATCCTTTGGGCGAAGGGGATTACCTGATTAATGGGTTCAAGTTTTTCTCATCCGCAACTGATGCGAATGTTGCTCTGCTACTTGCCAGAACACCATCCGGCAAACTCAGCACTTTCTTGGCGCCCCTTCGAACCACCGTCGTTGGAAGTGATGGAACGCATCGACAGGTCTCCAACGGTGTGCGCATCCACCGTTTGAAAAACAAACTTGGAACCAAGGAATTGCCGACGGCTGAACTGGAATTGAAAGACATGCGCGCGCATCTCGTTGGAGAGCTCGACCAGGGTGTCGTCACCATTGCGCCCCTGCTGAATGTTACTCGTATCCACACGTTCATTGGGTCTCTAGCCGCATTCCGCCGCGCAATCTCGATCGCAAAGAGCTTTGCCAAGGTTAGAACAACAGTGGGTGAGCCCTTATGGTTGATTCCCATGCACTTGCGCGTCTTGGCCGATCTGGAAGTCAAGCATCGCGCCGGCTTGAACCTTGCCTTCTTCACGATTGCGGTGATGGGACTAGTGGAAGACGATGTTCTCCCGCCCCCCGAGCTTCCCCATTTACCCCGGGCTGGAAAAGAGGCAACCGTCGTCTTCCGCACTTTGACGGCAACTACGAAAGCCGTAATCAGCAAGATGAGTATTGCAGGGATCCAAGAGTGCCAGGAGGCTATGGGAGGGGTTGGTTTCATGGATGAGCCTGATGAGCCCGAGTTCAACCTCTCCAGGCTGCTGAGAAATACCTTGGTGAACTCGATTTGGGAAGGCACCACCAATGTGTTAGCCAGTGAAGCCACCCGATTCCTCTTGAAAAATTTCAACACATTCGATGCTTGGATTGAAAGAGTTCACGCTTCAATCAAACATACGGAATTCCGAAATGCTTTGACTGTCTCTTGGGCGGCGCTGAAGACTCGATTCTTGTCAAACAGTCAGAATCCAGCGACAGTGATCGCAGATGGTCGTCGCTATATGTTCACTCTAGCTTCCATACTCTGTGGTACTCTCCTGGCCCTGGACGCCGAGAGAGATGGAGATCCAGTATACCATGAAATCGCACGTCGCTGGATCTTGGATGTCGAGAGTGGCGTTGGAGGCGCATTTTCCGACATTGTTTCCTCACGAGAGTCGAAGTCCTCCCCTACTGAAAGCCACGCCGATTGGGACTGCAGGATCGTTTGGGGCATTGACCTTCCCCAAAGAGTCTCTGGCCACCGCTCCTTAAACTCGACCTCGAGGCTGTAAGCCACTTGGTGCGAGCCACCGTTAACGATTCTACTAGTGATGCGCAGCAACCTAACATGAGGCCTTGGAAAGTATATTTAAAGTTCATAACTGGAGACTTCAATTCAAGTTCTTGCATAACATCAGTTATGGGCAATACTAGTACTAGTGCTACTAGTAGCTGCCATAGTAGACCAGCATCAAACGGACCGGAAAACACTATGTACCAAGACAAAGGAATGAGAAACGAGGGTAATATATGTACATAGAAATACATTCATCCTGCAGAACTTGCAAATAACTCGTCAAACAAGCCTGGGTGCAACTCATATCTGTTTTCTTCATCGACAGAAGCAGAGGACATCTTGCCAAAGGCCAAGATATCTCCCGCTTCAAGTTCGCGCAGAGGTTGCTTCATCCCATCCCTTTGAATACCGTAGTAAGCGTCGTTGATAGTCTCCAGAATGTCTGGATAAGACGGCTCGAGTAATCGAGTGGGGACGATGGTCCCTTGTGGTGGAAAAAGTAAAGAGTTAACCTCGTGTAAACTTCGATCAATTCCATCCACGCCCGTGGATTGCATGTACGCGGGTTGCACCTCTATTTCACCGGCGGTATTTCCAACATAAGGATGCTCAAGATGGGATTGAGGGAAGCTCCACATCCGCCTTTCGTTTGTTCTAGACACTTCATCGAGATGCCCCATGACCTTGGTTAAGACGGCTTCCCAGGTGTCACGGTACTTCTGGGCCTGCTGGTTTCGTTCAGCAACAGCGAATAAGACTGACGAGCAGGCACCCAAGTCGTTTGCCACAGAAGCCGAACAGGGCTGAGATGATTTGAACAGACAATAACTGGATTCGAAAGTCAGCCAGGGTTTTCTTGGAGTTTCAATCCTCCTGTTGGGCGCCTCAATCATACCATAGTGTGAGCCCAGCCTGGAAAAGGAGGCTTACGAGAACAAATCCGAAGCCCATATATCCTTTCTGATGAAGGCCTTTGAAGAACTGGCACATCTGCCCTGATGCCTTCATGCATGACTGAATCAGCTCATGGTCCGGAGGTAGGTCGCGGAGAAGAGGCTGCAGAAGGATCCGTATGCCATTGTGCCATTGCAGGTTAATCCAGTCGTTATCTATTGGCGAAAGATTCGATTTCAATGAGCTCTTGAATTCTTTCAGAGCGCTGTATAATGGATTGATCTCCGGCAGCAACAAGGATACCTCCATACCGACGCGACGGACCCTTGTCTGAATCTGCGATTTCAAGCGGACGAGTCTGATGATGGGCAGAAAGACGTCTTCGCTGGCATCAGTGCCTCGATCTCGGAGAAATGACTGTCTACTACGGAAGGTCTGAGAGGGCTCCTCGTAGTCAGGAAGCCTCACATCGATTTCATGTTCTCCAATAGTGAAAGGCCGGTCGAGGAGTCTCGCGATGCTGCGGTCCATTAGATAGACACTCCAGAACAGTCTTCTTTGTCGCCGCGACTCCTCCGGTTTGAGGTGGGTGTACCCAGCTTCTCGGTGGAGGCCAAGGGTGATTGCTGTTCGCATCGCTGCGCTAACCATGCTGCTCACCATCGAGCTGGTAGGGACTCTACAGTTATACATTGTCAATAAAAGCATTGCTTCGATGCTTTGGAGAGATCGAAGTTCCGTGAGCGGCGACTTGTATTTCAAGGCCGTGCGCAGAAGATCTTTGGAAGACACACTCGTGGACTTTTGCGAGATTCTGCACGTTGCAGCCCCAATGGCATATACCATGTAGAGCTTGAAATACCTCCATCGGGTTGACGCATCCTGAGGTGCCAATGTCACGGTGCTTCCGAGTCGCTCGTCGTGGGTATTATATAGCTCCATGGTATCTGCGAATGGTAGCTGGTTATGCATAGTCTCTAAATAGGCCTTAATGAACATTCCTCCCTCGGATTGAGTAAAGAATGGACCAAGCTCTGCATCCTTCGAGGCGTCTGCTCGCGTGTATTCTCTACTGGGAGAATGCGCGGCGAGGGTGCTCAGAACACTATCTTCGAAAATTTGGTTCATCTCCTGAGCCAGTGATTGATTGGAGAAGAAGGGAATTTTCAAGGGGTCTGGATGAAGTTGATCGGAAATCGAGATGTTCAGAGGATCCCACTTCGGGTCAGGACTATGGTCGTATGGTCGCGGAGGTGACGATCTCTCCGCAGCTCTAAGCTGTGCTTCCAGCTCCTCGATTCGATCAAATAGAGCATCTTTGGACATGCCATGGTATCTTTCCGAGGCCGGACGGTATGATGTCGGCTCTCGGCCCTTAAAGCAAGAAGATCCTGCTACCTCGCAGTTGACACATGGATCGCCGCCAAAACAGCGTTGCTTTCTCCTGTGGCATCTCCGGCAAGCCTGGGGATTGCGTTTACGGATTTTGCTTGATTTAGACTCCATGACGGAACAAGCGTATCGAGGGATTCGAAGTTTCCATTGAGATTGAAGTTGGCAAGAAATGGAATCGCTACAGCCGTGCCCCTCCGGACTTTTAGTATGTCGTGACTATCGCGGAATATCGCGAACCCCGCGCTGACGGAATCATCACGTGGAGGAGACAGGGGGAATTATGTACACCCCAATGAGGAAACACGATTGAGGAGGTTGACTTGGGGGGAAATATACAGAATAATAGTAATTGGAGTCTTTCCTTGTCCTGAAGGGTTTCCCGTTAGTATTACAGACTCAGCAGCCATGAGCCACTCCAGTCAAAGCCTGCCCCCTCCCAGTCACTACCGAACGGATCCATAGTCGTATCCAATGCAGGAATTCCATCATTGTCCATGATAGGTTCAGAGCTCGTGTCAATTTCTGGCAGGGAATTATCAGAGGTCTGTAACTCTGTCAACCGGGGTGTGTCCGTGGGTCGCAAAATGACTTCAGATTCGACCTCTTGTCCGATCAATGCCCATTCCTTACAATACCCCACATCAAAGCCCTCGAAGAAGGACGCCGTGTCAAAGTCCAATTTCGGTAGCGGCTCTTCAAAAAGGCCTTGCTCTCGAACCTTGTCTGTCAATTTATTCAATGCCCTTAAAGGTCCGACCGCGGACGGCCATCTCTCCGCAAGCTTTTGAAGGCAGAGCTTCACAACTGTCAGTTCATGCTCTGCGTGAATCTGGAGCTGGCTGTATCGCCAGCTGGATAGTAGCGGTAGGCCTGCACAGAGCGGGTAAAATGCATATACTGGGCCTAAATACCGAAGCTCATCCCGAAGGAGAAACTCCTCATAAATCCCGGCAATGAATGAGGACGCGATAAGAGAGGCTGGGGGTGGCGGGCTATTTGGCGTCGGTGAGCGATGCAGGATAGTCAGGACCACAAAGTACATGACAGAGACTTGCTGCACCTCCAGTTGTGATGTGATCACGTCCTCCTGGGCAAGCGCAGAGGAGCGTAGTTTGGGGATAACCTGTTTAGCCCACCGGAATACCGAATTTTCGAGGTCCACTCGGCGCTGCCGGAAATCTTGACGGAGACAACATTCGACGGTGTCCCCAAGAAGCCCTGAGATTGTGCAGTACGCCAAGAAGAGTTGGGCTCGGAAATCATGCGTTGGGAAATCATCCATCGAGGGTGGAAGGACATCGCTGTCACGGAGGTTGATGGTCCTTGGCCGTCCAACTCCAGCCGATATCACATTATCTCGGATCTATTGACCGTCAGAATATAGCTTTTCGGGCCCGGCCGTGAAGATGCTCACCACTAACGACCACCATAACCGCCGTCGAAGACCTCTGTCCCGTGCATTAGGATGAGGTTCCTTGTGCAAGCCAATCTGGAAGGCCATGGCTCCAGCCGTTCTAATCCAAAAGCCGCTCGTATCGGTGGACACATTTTCTGGACCAGAGGGGTTGTACCAATGAAGTAAGCATGCTGCGACGATGGAGATAAGCGAGCCATGACCGCCGCCAAAGAAGAATAAGAGTTTAGCTCGCCGGTAGAACACTTCGCTAGACCCATAACTGAGGTGTGCTTTGGAAACTCGGCTCCCTGCCAGAAAGATCGACTGCAAGAGCAGCATCGAGGGCGGCGTATTGCCTTCCAGCCATTTCGGGTCAACGACCGGAGTCCACGGCGCGCAGTATTTGTTGAAGCTTTGCATGAGTTCTTTTTGTATTGCCAAAGGCGGCAGTTCATATGCGCCCTGGTCTCGTAACATCTGAACGTCGGCGGCGGAGACCTTGGGAGCCGTTAACCCTTCGACGACCATGTTTTCGTCGAAGGGGCGAGCCAGGTATTCACCCCGCCCCGGTAGCTTTCCTCCTTGAGGAAGGCCTCGCCATTGCTCACGGACATCGGAGCATAATTGCTGGCCTCGCCCGCTGCGTCATTTGGCGCAACAGAGACTGCGGGCAGCTCCGGCAATTGCGAGCTCCGCTGGCTCGCTGACTCGGACACGCGAGCATCTCTACTTGGAGAGAGACTGTTGGTGAATCTCTTGCGCTTGCGAGTGTAGGGCCTTGGACGTTAGTTTCATCTTCCTCGATCTTTGAAGCGGGTCCTTACCTGCACTCCACTCCAATCTTCGAGCAGTTAGTGCAGGGATTGCGGGTCGCTAAATCACATCGCACCTACGGGCACGTCAGTCCGTTAAGTAATATGCATGGGGCACACGATACATGGGCGTACTTTTCGTTTGTGACAGATGATACAAGCGCTCATTGCTGGTCAACCCGGGTGAGGGCGGATGATGTGCAACCGAGTGGGGAGGTTCGAGTTTGCGCACGTCGAGTCATCTTCCCGGCATGAAGCCAAACCAAGCCCCATCGACGACATTCCTGTGATTCACCCCCTCCTAAATGGTAGAATGCTGTATTTCCATAAACTTCAAATTTTACTGGTTAGTGTGCAAGGTAATATTGTCTGACTATAAGCGGTCAAAGCTAGTAATACATGATCAACTTGAATATACTAGGAAGTCATCGAGCAAGGGGCTCGATCGGAGGATGTCAAGTCTAATCTTAATGCGTATTCATACAGGCAACTGCTCAAAGTTGCTTCGGCCATGGGCTGTTCCCGGGGTAATGTCACGTCCAGCACCACGTGGTTACATCTGTTATAGACAATGCAGAACCTTTTAATTGGTTTTCTTCTCATCGTCGTCCTCCTCTGGCACGAATTGGATCCGTTTCCCGTAAATGAATGGGGTTCGCGAGATCACCGAGCCTAGTGCATACCCAATGTAAGCACCGGTCAGAATAGTAATGGGGAAAGCCTGCCATGGGCGGTCCCTGCGATGCACTGTCAGTTGGACCGAAAATCTGAAGACCGTACCAAGAATCAAATCGAGAACCGACTTACCAATCCAGTGGGATCGGGATGGCACCAAACCAGGCTCCCAGTCCAGTGCCTAGGGCACTGCCCCAGACAGCATCTGCAGGCCTGGCGATACCCCAGACCTCACGCCAGACTGCCCCGTCCACGCCGTGCACGTAGATCAGAGGGGTGGCGGACAACAGAGCCATATGGGCTGCACAGAGAACCGTCTCGACATTATGGGTAGTCAGAGGAGCACCGAAGAGTACAAGGAGGATTGCAAGGACAGGGGTTGCAAGGAACGAGGTCAGAGCGAAAGAAAGGAAAGTTGGCTAGAGATCGAGAGTTAGCATGGGTTGTTTCGAAGTGGGTGGACATCCATACCATCAACTTAGCCCAGACTCGAGACCAATCGTTCTTCCCACCACTGTGCCTCTTCCGAAGTCCCGGTTTACTGGAGCGAAGAACAGCACCGGGGCCTGACGACGAGCGAGCGGACGCCTTGCTATCTGGTACCGAGCTATCTGCGGCCGGGGCTGATCCGGCGGGGGGCAGGCAGACGATTACGTATAAAAGTTGCAGAAGGGCCAACCATGGGAGATCTGCGAGAAGTTCCTGCACAGGCTCCGCTACCAATGCCTTAAATCGAAAGGCGTATAAGCTGAGGAGAAGGGCTGGATGCACAAACGAGTATATTTGCGCGACCTGCGCGGGGAGGATAGCCACGGGAGGAGGTGATGGTTTCTCGACTGGAGCCTGGGCTGGCGAGAGAGACGAGGTCATTGCGATGGGGGAATTGGCGGATGCCATATCTGAAGCACCTGCCCAGTTCCTGTCCAGCGGAGGTGCAGGGGAGGTGCAGCTCTTCTTTTGTGAGAAGGCGGCTGTTGGTTTGTTGGGTTTGCAATGTTGCAGCCTCAACACCACAATTCTCAGGCCATATGCAGGAACATAACCGCGACGCATGCCTCATGCGCAAGTCCTTTTGCTAGAGCTTTACCAGTACAAATTCTTCATAGAGGCAATTACATAAGACTTTATTTTCCCGCGTTGCGGACATGCTCGAGAAACATACATACAGTCGTATATCACGTAACAACGTCGTTGATGAGGACAAAAGCCTCCGTAAAAAGGGTAAACACAAGTTAGATATAATAGCAGCGAGACAAAAGGAGGACAAAAACAGTGCAGATCATGCTGCCAATAAACAATGGGATGGGGATCGTCCAGGCTCACAAGGAAGTCATTAAAAAAAAAAAGACCGAAAAGCAAAAAGCCCACCGCGAGGCAGTGGGAAAGAGGGTCGACCCCAGCGATGCGCCAGTGAACGCCGAACCCTGAGCCATGTAGTAATTCAATGTCACAGGGATACAAGCAACGAGCTAAGGTACAATCCAGAAAGATACGGGCGGGTCAGGGGTAAGTCATAAGTTCACAAAAATAGATCGTGAACAAAAAAAAAAAAAGGAAATGGAAAAGGAAAAGAGGCACGGGCAATCCAAAGACACATGCAGCAGACAATTTCCCGACATGGCCAGGCCACAAGCCAGCTGGTTTTGACTTAAGCTTCTAAGCTATGACATTGTTAACGGGGTCCTTAGTATCCTCAGTGGCTTCTGGAACTTCATTTGAAGCTGTGCCCTTGGGGGCATCCGAGGGATTCGATTCAGCTGGTTGCGCACTTGCTGGCTCTGGAGTCTCCTTCGAATCTTGCGCTGCAACCTCGGTAGATGGCGCAAGAGCAGCTACCTCCGGGCTGTGCGGCTCTTCAGGAATTGAAGGAGGCATACCAGCGCCTGGGAGCGGTGATGTAGGGGAGCGCACAGGCTCCTCCTTAGTACCTTCGCTTGGGATTTCAATAGTCGGCTGTGCGTCCGCCTGCTTGTCCGTCGTGGGTGAAAGCGGCTGGGGGGCTGAAGAGGGGTCATTTTCAGCACTGTTGGGGCTCTTGACTCGGTCGCGGTCGTCACGAGCACCGTCCCGCACCTGCGCCACCTTGGCCTTGAATTTTCCAAATAGACTCTTCTTCTCCGGCTCTGCACTAGAGACGGAGCTCCCTCGACCACTGGGATCCACATTCAAAGACTGGCTTGTGAAATCAAGGTTCTTCTGCAAGCCACTGCCGATTGAGCTTGTGCTCTGCTCTTGTTCCAAGTTGGTGGCCCCAAGAGGGGGGACGAGAGACCGAGACCGACCTGCTCACTGCTTCGCTTGACAGACCGGTGGAAACGCCAGCTGCGGCGGTTATCGCGATAATCCCGACTCGCATCTTCAGGCTGATCTGCATCGGAGTTGTCGGTAAATGAAGATCGGGAGTTCATTGACGGAGTCCGTGACTGGCTTGGCCGTAAAGAGGTCTCGGTGTGATTTTGATGCGCAGTGTCGCCTGAGCCCGGCTGTAAAGCGGCTGGACCCTCGTGGCTTAACGTCGCTGTATTTGGAGGTTTCGGCGTAGCATCACCAACTACTGGAATATCTACGGACCGCCGCTCCTGCTTCATCTCTGAGGGGAAAGCAGGTGGGGGTTCATAGGCAGGGTTGTGTAAGGAATTGGAGGAACTCTGAGCACTCATGCTGGCACTCCCTGGAATCCGTTTCTTCTGGAGACGCTTGGGCTGCCGCGTCTCTTTCTGTTCCCCCGTGGTGGAGATTTCACAAAGAGACTGGATAGTTTCCGCTCGCGCGTAGGGGTAACCGCCTGGGATGGCGAGGGGTAGGATGTTTCGGGATGATCTGTAGGCTGGGAGGTATCGGCCCTAAGACGTGCGGCAGCTGCAAGAGGTATGGGACCATGGGTTGATGTATGGACATAGGAAGAAGCTGTGCCACTTGAAGGTGTAGGAGGCGCTAGGCCGGGTTTCGTTTCCTCGGGCTCTTCACGTACCGACGGCGGTCTGCTGCCTGATCGAGAACTGCTATGCGACACGGAGAGGTTGGAGGGGTGGACCGGGTTGGCGGTGTTCGTTTCAGCGGCACGGGGGTAGCGTGCAGAGGTGACAACGGGGCCCATCTTTGAAGGCAAGGTATTGCTTCGGTGGACACTACCGGACACCGAATTGGGAGTGCCTGGGCTGGGACCAGTGTTGGAGGTGCGCGAGTTGCGAGACGAAACGGAGGCATTTCGGCGCAAATTATCAAGTTTGCGATGACTTTCGGCGCTGGCGCTAGCACTGGATGCAGATCGCCTGATGGTAGAACTGGGAGACTTTGCGCCAGTCGGTTGACCTTGCGGAGTGATAATCTTTGGTGGGATCCCAGCTTGAACCTCTTTGATTGTCTGCTCGTCGGCCTTGGTACCATTCATGCCAACCAAAAAGTGGTCTTGGTTTTCGATCAAGAAGATCAGGACATCCTGGCTCAGCTTGTATTCCTCGGGAGACATATCATGTTGGGGATGCGAGAGCATCCCCGGTTGGAATATGGCTGACAGGTTGGCGGATGTCATGCGATTCTGTTCTGACTTGGAAGCGAAAACGGCGAGAAGATCCAAGATATAGAGGAGGAGCTGCTTGTTCAGAGGGGGCAGTTCGACGATCAAGCGTTGGTAGGTTTCCACGGCTTTTGGATGGTCGAATTTATCAGCGTCGGGAAGCTCCTTCTCTTCTTTGACTTGCTGCTGGTAGGCTCGGAGAGGCTCCCGGAAGCGCTCATAGAACTCGAGGGGCACAATGGGCTCCGGCAACTGGTTCAAGTAACGACGCAACACATTTGCTGCATCGTGGACCGTATATCCATCCCAGTCTAAACCCTTACCGTACCGTTCGGGCGAATCGAAAAGTTCTTGAAGGTCTTTGATTCGCTTTGCGGATCCATTCAAGCGGAAAATGCCTTCGACATCGGTTGCTGATTGAGAAGGTTAGCCCAAGGTCAATGAGAGATAGTGTAGACCATGAGAAAGGGGTAAGTCACGGCGTACCTTTTTCCTTGAGGAACACACCACACTTAGCGACAACAATCGGGACATATCCGTAGATGAAATTTTCGCCCTGCTCGTTTGTTAAAGAGATTGCTACGTTTGCGTATTTGATGCTCTCGTTGAGCGGCACGCCGAAGATCCCTCGAGCCGGCTCTATGGCATAAGTTAGCACGCAGTTCTGTCTGTTTCAGTCATGGGTGGGATTTCTGCATGAAAAACGATTGGCAGAGGGCCTAGCACCCCAGGGGGAGAGAGAGGGAGGTCTCATTCCCCGCCATAGGTGTCGACAGATATAGGATATTCAGGGGAAGGTTATAGAGGGGCTTTAGGCTGCCGCGCGACAACGCAGACAAACCTGAGCGGGCTGGCGCTGCCGATGCGCTCAACTCATGCGAGGAGAAGTCCCAAATACCTTTCAGCTCATCTTTTCTTGAGTTCCGTTTGAATTGTCTCCACCACGAGGCGAGGTCTCGCTTGGACGGAGGCGACGTGGCACCGACCGGGTCTGGGGAGGCTGGGAAGGGAACCTGCTCGAGGCCCGGCTGCGATTTTCCTGTCACCATTGCGAAGCCTTTCGAGGCAGAGGAAGAGGACGAGGGGACAGCGCGGGAGTCGAAGGCCGGATCGAATTTCAGGAGGAGGGGGAAGTCGCGGGAGTTCAACGGGTGAAGTGGGACGTCACCGCCCGTAGGAAAATCCTGGGGGTGAGCCCAATGAACAACAGGGAAGATACTGAAGGGGAGAGGGGAAAGGGAGAACACGAGAAGGGGGAGGCGTTGGGTGCGAGCAACTTGCCCAAGGCCGACAGGGATGTTGGAGGGAAGAATAATTGAACGGATTCAGCAGAAACGGGAGCTCGAATAGCAACGTTCCAAGGTTCCAATGTTCTCGTGTAATGGTGGCATCGCATAGATTGCTTCTAGAAGGAGGGTTGACAGTTGACGGGGCGGCTGACACGCTAGGACACATTTATCATTCATTCTTTCTCTCCTGTTTCGAAACTACGAGGTACTTACGGGTGTTATGTTGCTACAAGAACGTTAATGTTCCTATACATAGCTTGCCCCTGCGAGTCCTCAGGCCTGCGACCATTATGTCTCAAAGCATCAATCCTCCGCCCTTCCTAGGGGCCAGAGGAGCCCTCTGGAGTTCATTAGGCGCATTCTTGCGAGTTACGGAGCGTGCCTAGACCCCCAAAAACAAAGGGTAATTCTCTTTTTTTTTTATTTTTTTGGCTGAGGCCAGCACTGAAACTAGCTTGGGGCTAGACTGTGCGGGTGGAGTGGATTTCCAGGCACCAGGTCAAGCCGCGAACCTGTGGGCGAGGCCTATGTCGTAGGTGTGGATTCCGTATTTCGACCTACTCGCAGTATTAGGAAACACCAAGAATAATTCACTAGCAACATCCATTCTCGGCACCCGTTTTGACTCGAGCTGGACCACCTTGTCCCTGTACATCATCTGCATGCGTCACACGCCTCAAATCCCGTGACTGCGCTAACCCGAATCGGCTTTGATGGCCTCAGGCGATAACAATCATGTGATATCACTCCCTCGGAAGGGGATCAATGTAATTGCGGCGAGAAACAGCTTCGGAGCTGCACGCCTGCTACGTCCGCCTACGTGACCATACTCCCTCAATTCCATTACATCCGTCTTTCTTCAGATATTGTCATCGACGATATATCAGGAAGGACCAGACTCATATCAGCATGGACGGGTATGTTGTAGCCCTTTCTTTTTTTTCTCGACGCGCTCAGGGGGAATTTGCTTGTGCCGTCTTGATTTTTTTTTTTCATCTCCTTCAGCCAAGGTTCCACGCTAACAGACATCTCCGCAGCCTCAACGCATCCGAGCAGCGCGAATTCGCCTCCCGCATGGAGCGCAAGCAGATGAAGGAGTTTATGACTGTATGTCCGAGAGCAAAGCCTGCGAAAACAAGACCTAACCTGGTGGATGGATTGGACAATGCGCTTCCTGAATCCTGCCCGCTTGCGGTCTATCGCCGGTGAACCATTCACTGATCAATTCCTTCTTTCTCAGATGTACTCCAAGATGGTGCAGCGCTGCTTCGATGACTGTGTTACCGATTTCACCACCAAGTCACTTATCAACCGCGAAGAGCAATGCGTGATGCGCTGTGTTGACAAGCAACTCAAGGGCTCTGCCCGATTGAACGAACGGTTCCAGGAACAGAATGCCGCAATGGCGCAAAGTGGTCAGATCCCCCGGTAAATTATGATGGGGTGACTGTTCAGATGAAGTCGTGCGGGAGCAGCTCGGAGAGAGCGGCTTACCGAGAGCGTTCGTCCTCCGGTTTTATAGCTGGTCGACGTGTCCTTGGTTAGTATCCACAAAGGTATCCACGAAGATTCGGGGCGATAGTCTCTACTCTCCATGTACAATAGTAATTGCGAATCTGGAGCGCTCATCGGGGAATATGGATGATGCCTTCTAGATCTCGAATATGAAAATCGGCCCCTTGCCATTTAGACGAAATGCGGCTCATGATAAGCTGATTCAAGGTGATCCATTATTCGGTGGATTACGTTACTCTTTTGGGTATGCGAATTTGCAGTAGAGCGATCGGTTGCTGCGTATCAGCCCCACCCTGTCAGTCTACGGCTCACGCATCCGTGTCGCCCGCGGTGTCCCGATCCCGTTGGAGACCTAAAAAGATCAAGGAAAGACCCCCCCTCATCCTCCTCATCTTCTCCTCTTCTCCCCACTCCCCTCATCCTCCAAGTGACTCCACTCCCTTGCTCAAAAACCCTGCCATTCCCTATCTTTCCTCGTCATCCATTTCTGTAAGTGTCCCGCCCAACCCCCCCCCCCCCTCCATTGTCGGACATCTTCTTATACCACCAGGGTTCTTCGATTAAGGTTTCATCATGGCCAGCACCGTAGGAAAGGTATGTATCTGTATAAGCTCGCTTTCTGCTTAGGCCTTAGCTAACCTTAATTGCAGACCATCACTTGCAAGGTAAGCTAGAAGCTTTAGCGTTACTGCCGGTGAACCTGGCGTCGCGACAACCCCGCGGAGACATTGAAGGGCGCGTATAACTGAACATCCGCATTACAGGCTGCCGTCGCATGGGCTGCTACTGAACCTCTGTCGATTGAGGACATTGAGGTTCTTCCCCTCGTGCCCACGAGGTGCGCATCCAAGTTCACCACACTGGTGTTTGCCACACTGGTAAGCTTCCCGCTACCCCGCTCTCGTCATAAATCCCCAAAGTCCCGGACCAAAAAAAAAAGAAAATAAAACATAAAATCCAAAAATAAAACAGAACCACCAAAGTGCCAAGTCCAAGCTATTGACACGATTTAGATGCCTACACACTCTCCGGAAAGGACCCCGAGGGCGCCTTCCCCATCGTCCTCGGCCATGAGGGCGCTGGTATTGTCGAGTCTGTTGGTGAAGGGGTGACTTCGGTCAAGCCCGGCGACTACGTCATCGCGCTCTAGTATGTCCTTTTCCTTTCTTGGTCCATTCCTCTGCCATTGTGGCCTCTCGAGCTAACCGAAATTAGCACTCCTGAATGTCGCGAGTGCAAGTTCTGCAAGTCTGGCAAGACTAACCTCTGTGGTAAGATTCGCGCCACCCAGGGCAAGGGTGTGATGCCCGATGGAACTACACGGTTCAAGGCCCGTGGCAAGGAACTGCTGCACTTCATGGGCTGCTCTACCTTCTCCCAGTACACCGTCGTGGCCGATATTTCCGTTGTGGCCGTGACCCCCGATATCCCCACCGACCGCGCCTGTCTCCTCGGCTGTGGTATCACTACCGGCTACGGTGCCGCTGTGCAGACGGCGAAGGTCGAGGAAGGTTCTACCGTTGCCGTCTTCGGTGTCGGTTGTGTCGGTTTGTCTGTTCTCCAGGGCGCTGTCAAGAACAAGGCCTCCAAGATCATTGCCGTTGATGTCAATGACGGAAAGGAGTCATGGGCGCGCAAGTTCGGTGCCACCGATTTCGTAAACCCAACTAAGCTGTCTGGCAAGACCATCCAAGAGCACCTCATCGAGATGACTGACGGTGGTTGCGACTACACATTCGACTGCACTGGTAATGTCGGTGTCATGCGTGCCGCTCTTGAGGCCTGCCACAAGGGTTGGGGTCAGAGCATCGTCATTGGTGTGGCGGCTGCGGGTCAGGAGATCTCCACTCGCCGTAAGTTCTTCCCCCGGGTCTTCTCTGTCCTCGTTTGGAGCCGTCCTTTGCTAATGCTCCTGCTTCACAGCATTCCAACTGGTCACCGGTCGTGTGTGGAAGGGATGTGCCTTCGGTGGTATCAAGGGCCGTTCCCAGCTGCCGGGTTTGGTAGACGACTACTTGACCGGCAAGCTCAAGGTGGACGAGTTCATCACTCACCGTGAGCCTCTGGCCAACATCAACACTGCTTTCGAGCAGATGAAGCTGGGTGACTGCGTGCGCTGCGTGGTTGACCTGAAGTAAAATGTGTGATAATACCTGGATTAATGATCTAAAAAAAAGAAACGAGGAATATGACTTTGACTTTCGGTGTGCGTGTGAACTGTTGGCTTCCAGTTTGTAGCCTGTAATAATGAGAATTGATCACGAAAAACTCAATACATGTGTCCAAATAAGTATCCTTATATATCTAATCCTACTATCGCTTGATATACTCGGGATACCTCGCTCGATTTAAACTCATCAATATTCACCCACCGAAGGGACTTGAGATGGTGCCAGAATGGGCTTCATATAAAGACGAGATCCAGGGAGCACCGATGATTTCTTGTATCTATTTGAGGGCTGGGAGTTGATTACAGACAGAGTAGTCTAGATATCGTTTTAGCGAGATGATTCAATATAGGAAAGGCGTATTCAGGGGAAGGAAATTCAGATATCTAATTCATAACGATTGCTTCGCTAGCCCTATCCTCCCTATTGCCGCTCCCCGGTTCCTAGCTGGAAATGCGGAAATAAGAGTGGGCGGCACTTTTACATGGACGCGGCCACTGCAAAACACGCTTCCAAAGAAACCCGGCGCATCGACTTGGTCTTCTTCAGTTCTCCAAGAATCCTAGCAGAAGAATCAACGGCATCCTGCGTCCATATATGCCCATGGCCCTCGAGGAGAGCTGCGCGGATTTGTTCGTTAAGAATATCCCCGAGCGGGCGGCCGCGTTCATTATTGACATAGTCGAATACACAGCCCTCGTCCTGTCGCTCGAAATACGAAGTGACCCCAAAGGTAGACCGTTCGCGACGTTCAAGGGCCTGATAGCCCCGGCAGTAAGCCTCCCGCGCGAGGTTCCGCTGGTGCTAGAGATATTGACCGGCGGCGGAGGAGCTCTCGCCACAGAGAAGGCCCAACTCCTCGCAGAGCCCAGAGTCGGTCTATCGAGACAGAGGGTAGGCGTTGCGAGGAAGGGATAGGCGGGGGAGCATCTTATTTAGCGCTGGTCAGGCCGAAGGGGCTCTTGCGGGTATACATCTGATCCTGATGGATGTTGGCAAGATCGGGCCACGTGCCAGACTCGCGGATGTCGAGCGTTGTTAGGTCTTCCCGGATCCTGACAAGCCAAGATAGTACGCAGTACAGTCTGCTAGACCCGGATAGCTAGGCCCATCGAGTTATATAGGAGACCAGGATGGGAGGGCTAAACATCACCCATCTACCAGACGACCAGACTCCAGTCCGTCTAGAAACGGGTTTAATTTAGGTCATAACCGATATAAGGGTAGTATTTTGCTTTCCTCGAGGTCAGGAAACTTTCGACAATTCAGTCGGTAATTGAAAGGGCTCGGTCGGAAGGTAATCTGATGCAGGCTACTCTTTTTAGGCATCATAGTCTCTGGGAGGACGTGCATCTCCCACCCACCCGCATGGGTATGGCGAAACTTCGGGGCATTATAGGCATCAACCAACCAGAAACCAGGAGGCTCTCGGACTCTGTAAATTGGGGTATAGTCGCCAAGTGAATTGTAGGCACTCTGTGCCAAGACCCCATCATCACCGGCCATGATATACTTCAAATAGACATGAGCACGGTCTGATGCTGAGATCAGTCTCTCCTTTCCTATTTGTTAGATCAGTGGACAGCAAAAACCCGGACTTTGCAGAATATGTACGGGGACAATCCGAGACATGTTGGTCAAGAACCGTCCGTTATTCGGATTCCGTGACATTAGCTTCTGTCGCTTGTGCGGTGAAGTTCAAGGTGTTAGGGCGACTGGCTGGACGAAGATATTAGTTGAGCATGTTCAGAAGGAAGATGCAGAAACAGGGATAGTTGAGACTCCTATAAATGTATGCCTCACTTGACCCAGGTCGGGTGACAGTAAGCTCTGAAGATAAGGCAGTTTAATTAACCTTTACAGGTTGAATGCAGGTCACATGATATTCAGGTATTATCGGGCATAAATGTTTCCCAAATAGTATAAGGAGCTGACAGCTGAAGGCAGGGAAGGAGCTAAAGGGGTAGCGGAAGGAGATAGCTGAAGGAGTGGCTAAAAGGGGTAGCGGAAGGGTGTACCTACCTGGGTAACTAGTCAAGCACTATCATTATTCCGTGCCTAGAAGAATTTTAGAGCCCGTTGCACTGTGTTTGGGGCCCGCTCAATGGGTTGCCCAATGGGCCTAGTTTGACAGGAAATGAAAGTATCTCGCATCTCAGAATCGAACGTAATGTGATAATCCGTGGTTCGATTGATGCCTAGTGCCTTAGAACACTGATAGTGATCAAGATATGAGGACCTAGGTGAAACCAAATATCCCCATTTGTGGAACACATTCTCGACTCTTCAGCTAGTATCGATAGCTTCGTTGTAGCCACTGTATCTGATAACTCTATCCCCCGTGCAGTTCTGCGGTCCCCATTCTCCACTGTATGGACCTCCAGATGCTCTCGACCCCCGCTTTCTCTGCAATCGAGGGCTTCATACTTTCCTGCAAGTATCCAAACAGTCCTTATGTATGCCGAGATCGGCTCACATCCGGGCTATGGCGGCCGCGATAACACTCCTTTACCGGGAAAAAGGTGACTTTCATGGCCTACGGGTCCTAGTACGGGTCGGGCTATGATCGAGCCTTGCTTTAATTGGCTTGTTGATCGCGCGAGATAGTCTCATCTGGCAGAATCGCCGCGGTTTGAACCCCCCCCGCGGCCTTGCGACTGCCCGCGGCCGTTTTACAACCACCTGGTATAAAGTCAAGCATGCGAGCTCGATAGCCACCTTGTGCAGAGCATCCCAAGGTTCGGGGCTATTTGTACCCTTTGTCTAGTCTCTATTCCACTACAATCCAATCACCCTCCAATTATGGCCAAAGACTCGCTTCCCCTCCCCGAGCCTTTTGCCTCGATTCCTCGAACTCCGCTTCTTCTCGGCCCCTCACCGATCCATGCGCTCCCCCGCATCAGCTCCGATCTTGCCCGCACGAGCACTCACCCGCCAGTCACTATTTACGCCAAGCGCGATGACTTGAACTCCGCGTATGCCTATGGCGGCAACAAGACGCGTAAATTGGAGTATCTCCTGGCCGACGCCCAGGCGCAAGGCTGCGATACGTTGGTCTCGATTGGCGGCGTGCAAAGCAACCACACGCGCCAGGTCGCAGCGGTCGCGGCGCGGACGGGCCTCAAAGCCCGCCTTGTGCAAGAGCATTGGGTGGACTGGACCGACCAAGGGTATGAATCCGTCGGAAACATTCAATTGTCCCGCCTGATGGGCGCCGACGTGAGGCTGGATCCCTCCACCTTCGGCATCGAGCATAAGACCACTGCGCAGGCCGTCGTAGAGGAGTGCAAGGCGAAGGGCGAGAAGCCTTACTATATCCCTGCAGGAGCTTCCGACCATCCGCTGGGGGGGCTGGGCTTCGCCCGCTGGGCCTTTGAAGTGCGGCAGCAAGAGCAGGAGCAGGGCTTGTTCTTTGATACGGTGATTGTCTGTGCTGTCACCGGATCTACATTCGCGGGGATGATCGCCGGCTTCAAGCTGCTCGAGCGCTTGCACCCCAATGATCCCAAACGCAAGATTATTGGCATCGACGCCTCGGCCACTTTGGATGCTACCCGCGCCCAGGTCCTGCGCATCGCTCGCAACACCGCGGAAAAGATCGGCCTCACGGCGGACGATATCACAGATGCCGATGTGGTTCTCGATGACCGCTACCACGCCGGGATCTATGGTGTTCCCGATCGCCAGACATGGGACGCCATTGAATATGCGGCACGCATGGAGGCCTTTATTACGGACCCTGTGTATGAGGGGAAGAGCTTTGCAGGGATGGTGGACATGATCCGCCGAGGAGAGATCCAAGGAGGAAATGTCCTTTATGCGCACCTAGGGGGGCAACTGGCCCTGAATGCGTATTCGGAGATTGGCAAGACCGCCCAATAGATATAATGAATCATGAAGTACTATATACAGAGCGTGGGGATGTTAGTACCCATTGATGTCCAGCGTGGAGGAAGTGGCGAAGCCTAGGCTACAAATTTATCAACGTAATGCAATGAAGACTATCAATTCATATTTGGATTTGGAAAGAGCGACTAAAAGTTGGATAGAGCTAGGTAGAGCCGAGGGCTCCAAGAGAGGTTGAGAGGTATTTAGAACAGCTTGTGTTCAAGAGTCATCTCGGACTCGGGCTGGAGGCCAACACACGCTCGGAAGATATTGATCAAAGCCGAACGTTGTTTGCCCAACGCGTTGACCACCGGGGTGCCGGGAGGAGTCAGCGGAGCCTGTGCTTTGTTAGCGGATATAGAACACAAAGGATGTGAAGATTGATAAAAAAAGGGACATACCTTGAGCATGTAGCTGAGGACACTGAGGACACTGTGGAAGCCCTTGTACTCGGCACCCTCGTCACTGGTCTTCCAGCTGACACGGGTCATCATCTCGGCCAGCACAACCAGGTCGATAATCAAAGGGGACGCAAGCAGCGAGTCTTCACAGATGTTGAACAAGCTGATGGTCTGGTGGCCACCCATGAAAATCTCGGCATAGTATTCGTCCAATGCACGCTTGTTGTCGCCGACAGCAGGCATGTACTTGATTACGACCGTGTGGTCGGGGTGCTCGTCCTTTGCATAGAGGATGTGGTTCGCGGCAACCATGTCATCCACCACATTCGACTTGGAAATCTCCTTGGAGCGGAACTGCTTCTGGGAGCTCAGGTTCTTTCCATCGTTGTTGCCCAGGTGGTTGTAGCTGGCAATGGAGGTGAGCTTGATACCGGCGTTGATCAGGAAATCCACCAAAGCCGACTTCATTTTGGTCTGGCCGGACTTGAAGTCATCGCCACCGATGAAAGCGCGATGCTGCTCTGCGAGCTGGAGGGCACCAGGGACGAACGTGTTCTGGGGGGAGCCGTTGATGAACGGAGTGTTGTCCAAGATACAGGCCACGGCAAACACGGTGGAGGGCGAAACCTCCGCATGGCCAGTCTTGATGGCGTTGATCAAGTTATCGGCAGTGTCGTTGACACCTGGGACAATATCGGCGTAGCGCTCAGTGTTGGCGGTCCACATGACAATGACTTTGTCAAGGCCATTCTGTGCCTTGAAGTCGCTATTGGATCGTTAAGTATGCAAAGCAAATGGTATGTGATTTTGGATCGTGGAGTCTTGGGCGCTTACCGAATGTCCTGCTGGATCTTTTCCACGTGGGCCCAAGAAGCCTTGGTACCCTCGAGAACATTGTCCGCACGGTCCTCCTGGTTGGCGGCAATGAAATCCGGGTAGTAGATACTGGGCAGAGGCTTCATCTCAGCCATCTCCTTTCGGACCAGGGCCTTGAGGCTGGGCTCGAGGACCTGGGCGCGGTCCATGGACGCGGCGAGGTCCAAGCTGCTGATATCCCAGCCACCAATGGTCAGGTCATTGGGGTGCACCATGGGCAACAGGTCGTGGAAGGGGATGTTGATCTCCTCGCCGGTCTTGGCGTCGGAACCCAACTTGACGGTGGAGCTCATCACGATCGAACCATAGTAGTTGGCGGACTGCTTGCCCTCGCGCGTCTCCCAGGAGAGCTTGCGGCGATTTGCCAGGATACCGGCAGTGACGGTGGAGCCGTTGTTACCACCCCAGCCGACCAGCATCATACCAACCTTGCCGACCTTGCGGTCGACCTTGAAGTGGTATTCCGTGGACTTGGGGGTGGCCAGCAGCTTATTGTCGGCAGTGCGGGTGACCTCGGTAGTCTGGTAGGCGTATCGAGACTTGATCTCGTTGGGCGTGTACTCAACATGGGGCGACTGGACGGTAAACAGCGAAGACTCGAGGCGAGCCGACCCGTTCGCAGAGCCATTGGCAACATCGGAGCTAGCGTGGGGAGCCATTGCGTTCACAGATTGAAAAGCGGGGGTGAACGGGGAGCGTATTTTCTGGGAATTTGGATACGTTTACTGGAAGTATAACGTATGGTCCGGCGCTCCTCCACGGTTAGAAGTGCGTCGGCCGTTGAACGGGTGGTGCCGCCTGGAGAGGCATGTTAGCGGCTGACGATATTGAAAGCAATTCCCTTCTCCCATTGCCAGAACGACTTACGAGTTGAGATGTGTGGAGAAAATTGTGACGGTTGTATGTGATCACTGTCTCGGGGAGAAGTGATCGAACCTACTGACAAGGCTTATACGAACCGTAAGGTCGAAATTTGGGAAGTGCAGGGAAGTAGTAATGGTGAAAGAGAAGGAGGGGGAAAAGCAGGAAATTAAATAGTCTAGGGTTTCCGGCTTCCAGCTTCTACACACCCGTCGGGCTCCGAGATTGTCGTTTGTGTGTGCTATCGGCAGTTCTTTGCAGCTTCTTGGATCCCAGAGTGTGTCATTGGGCCCTTCACCGTGTTCCAGCAAATGGTATAGCAGGGGCAGCCCCATCAGCCCCGCGTTTGTAGGTCTACACCTTGGTTTACTCGACCGCTCTTTCCCTATTGCGCTGTTGGGTGCTTTCCGTAGACGGCCGAATCACCCGCAAAATGCCCCTCCCCCTTTTTTTTTCCACCTTTCGTTTCCCCGCCAAAAGTGGATCATGCGCAATCGGAGGCCTGGGGAGGTCGCGAGGCCCACGTTATGAAACTTGAGGATTGGCCATGCCTCATTCTGTACCCCGGCTGCTACCCCGTTCTATAAAATATGTACGAGCGGAACGAGTACTGCGCGATCATCTGGAGATCAACTGCGCGGGCCAAGAAAGGGACCGTGCGGATCCACAGGAGAAGACGCAACCGGACCGGCGCGGAGAAAAGATACCGCCGGACTTCTCTTTGGCACACCGCACTTTCTTGGTAAGAAGTCCGCTGACCTAAATTGCTCAAGAGATCCCCACGTTGCAACATCGTGACGATCAGTTACTTGGGGATAGTCTGTGGACGACGGTTTGCTTCTGAGAAGTAGATAAAAGTACACCAGTGCTTTTTCCTAAGCTACCCGGAGATAGATATGAATAGAAGAGAACTCAACTTCCTAGCAAGCTTTCCAAATACCCAGACCGGGGTATTCATATTCCGATCCCGTCGGCCGAATCGAGGGCCTGTGTCCTAGAAATTATCAGATTCATTGAGGGCTGTGTTAAAAAAAAAAAGGACTTTGCGAGCGCTTGTACCATTCCCCCGAAGACTGGCCTAGCTACTGATCAAGGTATTATGGGAGACTCTACATAATTCTAACGAGTAGCGCTCGACGAACTTTGTACTTATTTCGAGACGTCGACATGAAAGATGAATAAACGAAGTTTCGAATGTAGAGGACACTGATGAGGAATCACGGCGAACATCGAAAGATACAACTATGGCGAGAATTGTAACAGAGAATTTCCCCAAGACTGTGAGATATATAAAAGGTTCTCAAAGTATTCCCAGACATCGATGGGATTGATTCGTATGATGCTTTCCCTGGATGGATGAATTGATCTATGCATTATGCACTCGCCGGGGAATTATGCAGGAGGACGACTATACGAAGATGCAATATAGATCCACCTGGGCATTGAGGACAGGCCTTAGCCAGATACTCCTATTGGGTAAATTGATCATTAATGCTCGAAATAAGGACAATGAAGACAATCAATCACAGGAGCCATCTGAGGTTTGAGGACATGTAAAGATCGACATCATATGCATGCTGGTCCGGGTCCGCAAATCTGCAACCTTCCTCCTTACCGGTACACTGGGTTCGGGAACGGATCCTTGGGAAGGGCATGATGTCGACTCAAACATTATCTCGACAGCATTTCCGATTTCAAGCGGCGGCTGCTCGCTACATCATGTATATCGAAACCCCTCATTCCATGACAAGGACGTTGAACAGGAATTTAACCCCGAGGTTGGCACTTTCCCACGGTCATGATGCTTCCTGCGCATTCATCATGATCATTTCAATCCCACTTTCCATGGCTGTTCTATGAGATTACTGCTTTTAATAGCCCTGCAGATTCGAACCGGCGATCAACAGGCGGGAGGCTATCACGAAAGGCTCGCGATCCTGGTTGAACTACGGAAATTAGTCCGCGTAGCTTCCAATGTAGTTTCATCCTCCTCCCACGGCTGAATTGGAAAGCTTCCATACGGGCAGTCACATGTCAAAAATCGAGTCTTCAATAATTACACCAGTCATGATGCACTGCTGCCAGTGATCTCTAGTACTTCCGGATAAGGTACCGTGGTCCCGAGGTGCTGGTATATATTTCAGCCCAAGTTGATGATATTTTGAGGATTTTGAAAGAGCGCAAACCACTGCGGGCGATAGTCGCGACTACCAGGTCCAGGACTCAACGATCGAAGTTCCTTTTGCCTCAATTTTCCCTTAATTTTCAATGCTGGGATATAGGGAAGGCATAGAGGCAAGTAGAAAGCAGCGACTACAGGCTACTGGTATGACCAGCAGGCAGGCTCAGGCTAGTAGTGCCCGAGAGCAATGAGTCTGACCGAAGGGCTGTGCTAGAAATCGCGAGACGATCATGGAAGAGGCGACTTCTGTGTCCCGAAGCGAACCGATCATATGGGCACAAAATAAGTAGAACAGACGACCTTGGCTACAGACTGTTGCATCGCTCCAGTGGAATTTGGATGAAGTTTAGGATGAAGGACTAAAGGCTTCTTCATACGCGTCAGAGAATTATTTCGAGCATCCGTAATGAGATCTGGAAACCCGCCGAATCTCAATTTCTTGTTATATAACCATTTCTGTATCCATTCCATACATGTTTTCATAGAGCCAAGCGGAGTTGTGGCTGGAACCCGCTTTTTCCCCGCCCAACGTGAAATCCCGGCCTTCAGTCAACTCGAGAAATGAGCCATGGCGGTAAGAAAGGGTCATTGCTGGTGAGTCTTCGCCAGAAGATGGTCGATTCTTCTAACAGTTTAGTGATCCATGCCGATTACTGCACCACAAATGTGAGCCAACTCTCGCACAAGCTCGACTCTCTTCTGACCCAGACAGGCGATGGAAACCTGCCACAATGCGGGCGATGCACGCGGACCGGCCGCGATTGCGCAAGAGGCCAGACGAGACCGACTCAGTTTCGTGCAGCTAGCGGACGGAATCGTCGCACGCGATTCCCTCGCAACCAAGTGTGGCTTCAACCGCCATCGAGAGGTGGGGAGCGAGATTCAGCGTCGTAAATTTGAAGTTCCCCGTTAACTGACCCTTCCGTGACGGTAGTCGATTTTGTTCTCGAATCAGGCAATGGAGATACAGGCAACATCACAAATCTCTCCATGGAAGACCCCTCTGAGAACAACAATTACGACTCGGCTGTGGATGGCCCCGACACGTCCCCTTTCGCCGGAGTCGAACATATGGTTGTCCAGCGAACAGCCGACGGGCTCGTTCATGGCTTATCACATGGGAGCACAAGCCAGCAGTTGACGTTTTCGCCCTCAGACACCGCGAGGGAACGATGCTCATCAGAGCGTTCATGGCCCTTGAGAGATCCGAAAGAGGCTAAGCTACTGAGACACTTTGTAGATCGGATCTCAATATTCGTGAGCTACACAGTTCTAATCAGGAATCAGACGGGTTCTTTACTGACAAGTCCAAGTTCGACTGCACAGATCGGCAGCAGCACTTTGCCGTGCATATCCCCCATCGTGCGCGATATTGTGATACTTTGTTCAATGCAATAATGGCCTTATCTGCGCGGCATTTGAGCTCGACTGCGGACCTTGCCCCGCTTGTGTCGGACCAGTACTATCAAAAGTGTCTCGAAACGCTTATCCCGGCGCTCAATGACCATCGCGTCACCATGGACGACGATCTTTTGGCGGCCACAGTGATTCTCCGGCTTCATGAGGAATTCTCTGGTGAGTAATTGGCCCTGAATCGTGCAAGTCAAACCATAAGAGAACGCCTAGTTCACGAGAAACTTCATGCAGTCCCCTTAGCCGGATCAGATCTCCGTGGCCATTCGTTTGGGACCAAGGCTTTCATCCAAGGTCCTCCTCCTTCGGCGACATCCACTCCAAGTCTCCGGCAGGCCGTCTATTGGAGCGGGCTACGTCAGGAGATCTACAATGCCCTGAGCCTTCAGCAAGCTCCAGATGTCGACCTCAGTTCACTACATTCACTATTCACAGCATTAGGACCGGACGCGGGAGATTGTGCATGGGCCAACAGAGCCATTGCACACTGCGCGGATGTGCTTTTATTTTCCTTCGGCACGCACCCGCGCTCTGTGGCGGTCCATGCGGGCCTTTGCGAGGAAAACGGGCAGTGGAGAGAAGCTCGACCTGCGTCATTTGACCCCTATTATTCAGACAGCGACGTAGTTGAGGTGGGAGCAACCTTCCCAGATATTCGATTTAGTTCGCCTTGGCACGGTAAGGACCCCATTGGAAATGCCCTTTCAGCTGCGGAACTGACCTACTGTCTTTTTACCTTGCTCCTGGAATAGCCATTGGTAACCAGTATATTGAACTTGCAAGAATACTTCTCTTAGTTTACGACCCTGGACTCCCCACAGTGGGCCCCCTGCGACGGCGATTTGAAAAGGACGTTAAGGTAAGTGGACCGCCAAAACGCTACTAAGGCCTCCCAGCCCAATCCGCTACTCCCGCAAGAGCTATGGCCCCGTTGAAAGGCCTCTTCGAGTTGACAAAAAAACCCAGTACCAGATTCGTAAGGGAGTATGGACCGTTTGCGGAGTTGCTCTAGCTAATACCTCTGTGCCCCCATCAATGGTTGTTGGTTGCATGGCCATCCATATCTGTAAGTATAGACAAGCTAGGGGATATGCAGAAAAATGAGGCCACCGTCTGACATCTCAAAAACTACCAGGTGGTGATCGATTCACAGACAGACAGGAACAAGAGAAGTTGATTCAAGTTCTTGCGAGGACAGACACCCTGCACGGTTGGCCGACCCACGCCCTTCGAGGACAGCTCTGCGAGAGCTGGGCGGTGCAATGATCAACAACAATAAAGAAAACTACACAGGGATGGCTCTTCACGCCACAAGTGAAGTCAGTGCTACATGCCACCGATGTATACAAATCCACTTGGGGCATGTCGGGAAAGAGTGAGAGCATTGGGGGCGGCACCTCTATGCAAGCTGCGTCATGCGCTACAAATCAGGAACCTGCAGAGCCCGAATAAGGATTGTCGGTTTAATTGTGGAAGTGTGGAACGTCCTTGAACCCCGAGAAATTGAAGGGACGGCAGGATTGCAGAACGTACAGTAGCGTGTACCGATTAAGATTTGGGGGGCGCGCAGAGGGCATTGCTGGCATCGCTGTTGTTGCATTCACCGATCTAAATCGGAGCATTCTCTGCTTTGCGAGTTCCAGCTGGAGTTAATCTCCTCTTCTGGGGATCGATGATTGGTGGTGTAGAGATGATCAACAGAGACGGGCGCAATGCGGCAAGGCGCAAGTGGGGAAAAGGGGGCGATTCCTACTTTGGAGCATGAATTACGGAGACAAAAGTCCTCTTCTGGACGCTGGGACCCTGGAGCTGGCCGACTCCTTGTCTTTTGTAGCTTGGGTGTTTTGAGCGAAGCCCTGGAGTGCAGTCTTTGGATGTCCGCATGCTCGAGACATTCCCCCATGCATATCAGGGTATCCCGCCCTGACTCCTGAACACGGCAGTGCCATACAGGATTGCATCACAAGAAGTGGAACTCCATTGTGAGTGCTTCCGTGAATAATATTAGAGTTAGCATCTACACCACGGTGGAGTAGCAGAGTGTCACAGATGCAATAGACCGGGAGTATGTGTCGCTTTCGTGCCACGCTGAGAAAGAAGATACGTTTAACCCCTCCCATTCAACAGGAGTCGCATACTATGCACTGTGTTTGATTCTTTATTCCATTGCATATTATCCCGTAGAGCAAGGCCCTATTTCCCTCGACTGGGCGCAATTACCCCTGAGCAAGTGGAGCCTACGACTTACGAATCTCCATCCGCACCGGAGACGCTACGGCTGTTTAGCGCAGCGCACGGGGCACGTTTGGGTCACGCCACTGACGATTTGGGGCCTTCTTACTGGTGTCTTGCTGGGGCGGACTGACTCGCCTGTTGGTTCCTGGCGTTCAATCGCTCCTCATTGCGCCTGATTCGCTGTTTTCGTGGGTTAATCACCGTGATCGACTGCCTTGTGTTGCTTGCTCCACTGCCCTGTTCCCTAGGCCTTCCTCCCATTCCAGAACCTCCAGAACCTCCAGAAATCTCCAGGTTCCCCAACTTCCTCCTCCCTGTATATTTTTCCGAATTCCCCACCTTCGAGCGACAAGAGGGAAGCCCCGGGGAGGGAAGTGATGAAGTTTGAATTCTACGCTCAATAACCCTTTCCTCGACCCGCTGTGGTCCTAACGATATGGCGACGACTCCGGGCTTCTTGCCCACGATCAAATGCTCCAACTGCAATCATGATGTCGAGATCTCAACCATGGGGGATCATGTGTGCCCTCCAACTACTCATAGTAGGTATCCATGCTGAGCCGCCCCTGAGAAAGCGAGCTAATCCGTTTAGCCTCCTTTGCGCCACCATCACCACCTCCATCCGCGGGGTATGACTCTCCTGACCGACTCACAACAGCCATGGCTGCCAAATCAGGTCGATCAGGGGCTCTTCCTCGCATAGACCCAACGATCGCAAGTAGGTCATGGACTCATGCTCTCCCTCCTCCCTCACTACTGCAGGACTGGCACACTGATAGCCATAGATAACGCCTACCTACAACCGAATGTTCCGACCCCCGCGAGCAGCATTGGCTCACATTTGCCTTCACCCATCAACTCTGCCCCTCGGTCACCAATTCAATTATCCCCCCATGAACTCCCAGGCAGTGAAACATTGGCGTCGCCAGATGGATCCGTGATCGACCTGGACTCTGTTTTTAACTTCCCCATGCCGGGCAACCGGGAATCCACCCGGGTCTCCGTGTCGGGGTTGAATGCTCCCCCCAGATCAGCGAGGACACCTTCTCCAGGATTGGGCCTGAACTTGGCCCCAAAGAATGTGCCTCTCCCACCAAGCCCACTGCCCCCCCACGCCGAACGACGTGGGTTATCAACGGGACTCGTACGCAAGTCATAGCAGCTATAGAACATCTCTCGCCAGTACTCGCAACGGAAGTTCCACTGCCAGATCATCGACATATAGTTTCTCACGTGGCTTCCGGACCTTGATAGACGAGAAACCTCCAATGCCCCCAGCGCCGCTGCGAACACCCAACAAAGCATCATTCTCACGAGATTCGGATGTGTCCGCAGGCTCCACCTATCCTAGCGACCAAGAAGATGCCTACAGCGGATTTGACTTTGGTCTCTCGGCTGAACCCGCGTCCACCCCCCTACATGATCTCCCAGAGGAACCAACGCCGATAGAAGAGCCGAACGCAGACCAGCAAGAAACTTTCCCATTTCCTCCACAGAACCACTTGCACCCCACCGATGCGGAATTGGGCGCTGATGCACCCAGGAAACCCTCCGATGCGACAAGCGAGGGTGCATTTTCCATCACAAGCTTCGCACGGGCGCTGGGACTCGAAGATTACGCGGCGGAGGAAGGCAACTCACTTTCGTCAGAAGCCTCCCATCCGGCGTCGGAGCATGGCAGTGGGAGCTCGATGTCCAGCCTTTCATCTAACGCGAGTATGAACCGACGGAAGATGGAGGATCCTTTGAATCTGGGACCTCTGGTTCAACAATTACCTGCGAGAACGCGTCAGACTATCGTGGAGCTGCCCGGTCGAGTGAGATCCACCATGGAGGAGGTGCCCCCCATCCCCGCCGCATTCTTCAGCCCGGATTCGCCGACGGATCCTGCCATCGGCCAGGGCAGCTTATCCTTGATTCGCGAAAAGACGGATCAAAAATCGTTAGTTTCTCCAGTGCAGGAACAGCCGGAGCCACCATCAATCCCTGATGTCAAAGAACCCGACCATTCTGAGCCCAAGGAGCCGTCGACGTCCCAGAAGAACGAGGGAACAGCCGCTGTTCCGGACTGGAAGATTCGACGTGCAGAGACCTCCCTGTTCCCCGACCTCATACTCGTTCTGCCACCCGGTCCAAGGGTAACTGCAAGGGTTGTGGAGAGGCCATCACTGGAAAATCCATCTCCTCATCTGATGGACGCCTCACCGGGCGATACCACCGCGGCTGCTTTGTTTGCTACGAGTGCAATTCACCATTCCAGTCGACTGATTTTTATGTCTTGAACAACCTCCCTTACTGTGCCCAGCACTATCATGAACGCAACGGATCTCTTTGCTCGACTTGCCATTTAGGTATCGAAGGACATTATTTGGAGACGGTGGAGCAAAATTACAATCGGCCCGAACGTCGCCGATTCCACCCCGAATGCTTACAATGCCGCACATGCCATGTTCTTCTGAAAGACGACTACTTTGAATGGAACGGAGGGATCTTTTGTGAGCGGGATGCCCGTCGTGCTGCGGCTTCCTATTATCCACCCCCGCCTGGTCGACGGCGACCAACCATCGGGTCATCGCCATTGGCACCGCCTCGCGGGTATCCCCCGGGCCCTGGATACGGTCCTCCGCCACCTCATGGGCCAGGCCCAGGCTCACGCCTTGGTCCTCGTTATCCCCCCGGGCCGCCGGGAGCCATGCGGATCCCAGAGCGCCGCACAACCAAGCTCATGATGGCTTAAGATATGCATGGCCTTTTTCCTTTGTATATATTTTCTTCGACGCTTCAGCAAACGTCCTCCAAGCGATGATCTTTGTGAACCTCTTGACAAGATCATTCTGGTCGAATTCTCTATTCCCCTTTATCTGTGTTTTACCATTGCGCTATACCCTCGCGTCCGAATTCTATTCCACTTTCTCTGGCAGTTGTTTTACAGAGCTCTTGCACATTCGACATCCATTTCTTTTCCCCCTTGTATTAATATATCTATGTACCTCTACATTGCGCTCGCTCTGCTCTATTTTTTATCTCTTTCGGTGGTGTTGCGTCTTCGGTTTCGTCTGGATGGTCCACTGGCACCGTCATTTACGCCGGTGTTGGTATTTGGGTTGGGTCATGGGTACGCTGGCATGCAGCCGTCGGACATGGTGAACGTTTTGGCGGGCTGCTCGGTCTTGCAAATAGAGCTGAATGAACCTAATGTTCTACTTGTTGGAAGGTTTAAATCGCGCCGACTTGCCCATTGTCTCCCTCTAGTAGACTCTCTATCCTCAGTCCGTCTTGCCTAGCTCGATGTGCTCTCGATCTAAGGGCGGCAGGTGCTTTCGTCTCAGCATCCAGCCAAATGTCAGAGCAAAGAACATGATCAGGACCGTGTAGGCTCTCTGGCCCAGCGTCAGACGTTCCAACTGTGGATCGGGCGAGCCTTCCTTCTGCTCTTTCTCCCATTCCTCGCGAACCTGCTTGTACAATGCCGGGTAATCAGTAATAATGCCAGCGGCCCCGTGGCGGATGCCCCATCGCATGAGGTTGACCTCATTCACGGTCCACAGATACACTTTGCGTCGAGCCGCAAGGGCCTCCTCCATAAAGCCCCGTCCCAGCGGACCCAGGAGAATGTACTGATTGGCGTTGAAGGAGACGTTCGGAATCTGTAGAAACTGGCGTGCATAATCCATGTGCACACAAATCAAGGTCAATTCATACTCGGGGAGATATTGTGCTCTGGGCGCCACGTAACGAGCCGACCAGCAGCCGAGTACAATTCGCTGAGGCCAGCCTGGTCCACTGAGGACGGGGACCGATTCTAGCGCCTCTGCGATGCGGCGCATGATGGTCGTCGGGTCATTCGCGAGCTGCTCGCATCCTCTGCGTCAATGATGTCGCTCGGGTCGCCGCTCCGCTTTGGCACATTACCTTGATGTCTAGGAGGACCCACAAATGTTCGCGATCCGGCTGCCTCACATACTCTCAGGACGTCCAACAGGCGGGGCATCGGTTCATGAGGGGCATTTATGGTGCGAAGGGTTTTGAGATAGTCCCAGTCGCACTCCGCCACCTTTTTATCGATCCCATAGCAACGTTTGAGAGTGGGGTCCTGCCGTGGATTAGTGGTGTCGACTGGATATCGACGATTCCGCGGCTCACGTGTGACAGGACAATGACCCCGTCCTTGCTGAGATGCAGATCAAGCTCTAGAGCATTCGTGCCTGCCTGAACCGCTTTGTCGATTGCACATAATGTATTCTCTGGGTACTTCGCCTTATAGCCTCGATGAGAGATAACATCCGGTAGTCGGGGTGAGCTTTTCGACGTGGCCGGGTGCGAATAAGAGGTATCTACTGCGTCCGTACGTCAGCATTCCGCAGGAACCATATTGAGGTGTTGGACTGACCAGCACGAGCTGCCGAGCGACTTTCCGCCATGGTGAAATGCTAGGTAGGAAGAGAAAAAAATGGAGAACCTGGATGGGTAACCATGAGCTGATAAGTTTAACCTCTCGGACTTTTCGGGGATAAATCCTCCCTGGGGGGCCTGGATTTCCCAACGGGTAAGAGGCTAGGCGGCCGTTACGGGACTTTAGGCCTCACTCCACCACACAGTGGATCTTGACGAAGCCACTTTAGGAACTGGGGGTGGAGAGAGGAGAGACTACAGGCCGCGCACGATCGCCAGTATCAGCAAGGTCGTGGACTCACTGTATCTAATCGATGCTAGGATAACATCCGAGTCGATCCCGAGGCCCATCCACTGTGGATGACTCAGCGGTTGAGTCCAGGTCCCCACTGTGGCTCGCTCGTTTCGAAGGTCTCACCTTTTTTTTCTGCGAACATGTCGATTCAGCAATGGACTACATCTTTACAGGGGCTGGACAGCCTTCAGAGAGCGGAGGCCCCGATGCCTTCCCCGGGGCCGGGGGAGGTGCTGGTGGAAATCCATGCCGTTTCTCTCAACTACCGTGACGTGGAGGGTAAGAAAAGGTGGATTCAGGGTCAGATAAGCCTGAAATTAACATGACTAGTCACCAAAGGGGAGGTACACCCATCACCGATCGGTCGGGCAGGACGCCACCATTGTGCCGTGCTCCGACATGAGCGGGACCATCTTGACGGTTGGCCCGGGGGTGACGCAATGGGCTGCAGGCGACCGAGTACTTTCGACTTTCCTGCCCGAACATCAGACCGGCCAAGTGTCCGAGAAGCACCTGGCTTTGGGTCTGGGGCTGCCTCTGGATGGGGTCCTCGCCACCCATCGGGTGTTTCCCGCCTACAGTCTTGTCCGGACCCCCGACTATCTGACCGACGAGGAGGCATGCACTCTGCCAATCGCAGCCGTGACAGCGTGGATGTCCATCAATGGTATGCGGCCTTTGGGGCAAAGCGGTGGGAAAGATGAGTACATCCTGCTGCAGGGAACGGGGGGCGTAGCTATTGCAGGCCTGCAGATTGCGAAGGCTGCTGGTGCGAAAGGTGAGTAATCTCACCATACCACCGACCACGGGCCCTGGGACAAAAGTATATATATATATGCTCACACCCATCCAGTGATAATCACATCCTCTTCCGATGCCAAACTAGACCGAGCCAAGCAGCTCGGCGCTGATGCCACCATCAACTACCGGACCAATCCAGACTGGGAGCTGGCGGTCACACAAGTCACCGATGGCCATGGGGCGGATATCATCCTTGAAACCGGAGGCGCGCAGACTTTGCGCAAGAGTTTCGATTGCATTGCGTTCGGCGGATTGATCGATTGTATTGGGTATGTATCCGGTAAAGTGGACGCGACGGACGATCGACTCAACGTGAATCTTCTCGCCTTGCGGCGCAATGTGACTCTGAAAGGCATCCTCAACGGCCCCAAAGATCGATTCGAAGAAATGCTCCAATTCTACCAGACGCATCAGATCCACCCCGTGGTGCATCGATCTTTCCCGTTCAGCGAAGCACCAGAGGCATTCCGATTCTTAGAGAGTGGCAGTCACTTTGGCAAAGTCGTGATCCGAGTGCAATGATCTAAGGGCGGTGTCTAAGGGACCCGTGGACACCTGAAAAAGGAGCAATGATAAATCCAGTATGTACCTGTACTCCGAACGGTACTGCATTCGATGCGGAACTAGCCTACTGAATCGGCTCACTCGGTTTGATATGTGGCTCCAGATGTCCCAGGTCTTCCTCCAACCGTATCCCATTCACCGTCACTGGCTGGCAGGCTTGTAGAACAAAGATGACCCGAGCCCACTCGGTAGCACTAGGGTTGCGCCAACCATGGATGGTGGCTCGCTGAATCGCAATATCCCCAGGGCGCAGGCGTACGGGCTCTCCCTCTTCCATGACCATCTCCACCTCCCCATGCAGCACAATTCCGTAATCCAGACTCTGGGTCCGATGAAGAGCAGCCGGGGCCCCCGGCGGGAAGTCCATGGCCCGAAGAACAACTCCATTGGGGTTGGTTAGACCGAGTAGGCCGGACTGGGTGATCCGTTCATGAGCCGCAATATCCGCATCATCGTTCAAGTTGGGCGGAAACTGGGATGTCGCGTACACGACGTTGAATCCCATGTCATTTTTTACGCCAGGCCGGAAGTGGTCCCCCAGATTAGTAGAGATTTGGGACGAGGATTGTACAATCGCCTTCCCGGCCGCGTTATGGCCAGTGATGTAACGAGTCACCGGCGGCATCCTCGATGCTTCGCTGGGGTTGGTGTAAGGGTCCCCAATGGTCGGAGAGGTCTCTTCTGCGCTGGACATGGTGTATACCACTGGCGTTGACAATGATGGCAGATGGCAATTGGCAAGTGGTCGGTCTTCACTGTGAAATTGGCTTGCACAAGGGAACCCCTCATCTTTGTCTCACCTCGACTAATCCACCTTACTGAATGCGGGGAGGCAAACGGGGGGGGGGGGGCCAAATCTTAATGTAGATCTGCCGTCCTCAAAATTTACAGCGCCCTACTTGCACCGCGAGAATTTGTTGCTACCTTAGAATATTATATTAGTGATCATACCGCCGCTCTTCTATGTCATTCCCCGGATCTATGAACTATGACTAGACGTTTGGGCCCCGGCCCAATCCCTCCAGCTGTTGCGTGACCATACGAGGCAGGTCAATGACTTGGAGTATCCTGCATTCTAGATCAGCTTTTCATCAGAAAACGGGGTTGCAGCTATATCGCAATAGGTCAAAGAGAAATGTGGCCTCTCAGAACAACCTTGAATCAGTGGCCCATCGCCTTAAGCAATGCAATGGGATCATATCGGCGAGTGAAGGTTTCATCATGGAGAAGTCGGGAACACTCCGATTTAAAGGACCTCCAGGGTGGCAGACTTACTACATGAAGCAGATTATGACGACGCTGACAAATTGCGGGCGACAAATTCTAGGCTTGCTGCCGTCGTGGAAGCACCGAGCGGGTTACAGAAAGGGTGCAGACGGGCGCCAGCAGCTCTTATACTGCTAATCATATGTCTCTACTGTTCCTATCAGCAGTGTCCATTTGTAAATGGACCTTCCATTTCTCCAAACTACGATCCATAGTGGCTGTAAGCTCCACCTTCTAAGAAACCACTGATTGGCTGATGTTCCGTGACTCAGGGTGAGTCATGTTGTATGCGCACGGTATACAACACTACCTCAAGCCCTCGACAATCTGAGATCGAAGAATGATGATATGAACAGATATTCTAGGAAAGATGGTGCTGCAATCCAAAGAAGAACAGTTGAACCCAGCAACGCGTTCCAATACGCCGGGGAGGTGATCAGTCCAGACTCGCCCACATGGCATGTTTACACCAATCAGCCCCGTCCGCGCTTTGCGTCGGCTTGAATGGCCTCCTCTGCGCGCGCTTTCCAGCTCTCCTCCCAGCGAGAAAGAGCCGGTCGTCCCTCCACGACATCCTCACTTCCCCATTTCATTCGTGCCTGGTCCAGAGCCCGGTCGGTCTCCCCGTCTGGGCAAACAATATAGAACTCTCCTTTCTCCATGCCCTTCAGCAGCTCTTCCGCTACTTGACTGGGGTACGACGCGCCGGCGGGTTTCGTGATTTCGTCCTCGTTGGTCGGGCCCACATTACCCATGAGACCGGTCCACGTCCACCCAGGGATCAAGAGGTGGACGGAGATATGGGGCAGTCGTCGGGTCGCTACGCAGATCAAAGGCAAGATGCTCGGTCAAGCTCTTGATCGCCGCTTTGCTGGCATTGTATGCCGGATTACCCGCGCCGGGAGGATTGGTGATTCCTTGTTTCGACCCCGTCACAACGATGGACTTGGGGGTCTGCGACTTGGATGCGAGAAGAAGAGGGAGTAGTGATTGTAGCCCATTCAATGGTCCGTAGACATTTGTTTCCAGTGTCTGGATTTGCGATTAGTGCTCTGAAGTCGTTTAGGGCAAGGTGTTGGACGCCCGCTGAATACCCACCTTGCGCCAATAAGAACCGTCTAGCCAGGGACTGAGCCGTCCGGCCGTCTGATCCTGCCGTCTGAAGGCCTTGCCCGCATTGAGGACCACAAGGTCAATGTCAGGGAGGGTCCTCGAGATGCTCTCGGCAGTGTGTTTCCATCCAGGGACATCGCTGACGTCGAGGGTATAGGATTCCGTCTTCAGAGAAGGGTCGAGCTGGGTAAGCATGCTCTTTGCCTTGGACAGGTTTTCTGCATCGATATCCACTAGCGCGAGGTGCATGCCCTTCGTCCGGCAGAGCTTCGCAATGGCAAAACCGACCCCCGAAGCGGCGCCCGTGATGAGTGCAGTTTTCTGCGCTTGGAATACACCCGCCATGATCTCTTACTGTTTATGAAAATTACTGGAGGGGAAAATGGTGGAAAGAAGTATGGAGAGGGGGCCCCCAAGGTGGACCAGGCGGTCGCGATCACATCGGCCGATGTCATCACGGACTTAAAGCGCGGTGATATGCAATGAACGACGAGATCCTCCATATTCTGCAGCCCCCGGATTGACACAACCGTTACTAGTCCCTACTGGATCTGGAAGGCCAGGCCTGCTGCTAATTAGCCGGAAATAGCCTCTTTAACCCTCAGCTCGGAGTTCCCTCGTGTATATCAATGTGGGGCTGGAGATGTGAGGGGCATTCGGACTCGGCAGAATTGGAGATGATACTCTATTTAGCCGATTTGGCAGCGTTTTTATAAAGCTCTGCTCCAGTTGCAGGCTCGATAGGGCGATCTACGCGTATCTGACTTGATTGCTGATATCCTTTTCTACATTGTCTCTCAGCACCATGGAGTTGCTTTCGTATAGTACATCCGCTCCACCCTGGAAGTGGAGCTTGATGACGATCGCCATGGTGATACAGAGTATAATTGCAATGCCTCTACGAGAGGTCGAGGCGTCAATTGATAAATCTCCATCCCACTGGGTGGACATTTGGACCACAATGCCCCAGCTGGTGGAGTCCTATAATCTCCCACCAGCTCCGTTTGTATGCCCCGACCAACTTCGCCGTCGCCAAGCGATCACCCTAATGTTTGCATAGAATGGGTCAACGGGCGTATTTCTCAATTCCACCCTTCGACAGACGGTCCAAGTGGGGTTAGACGCTACTGAAATCCGCATTCGCCTGTCTAATGCATTCGGGCCAAACGATCTGAAGGTAGACAAGGTGGTCATCAGTCTCCCGCAGGGCCAGAAAGCAGGCACCAATACCAGCGATCTGAATTCTACTGCGAGGGTAGAATTTGGCACGAGCCCAACCATCACCATTCCAAGCGGGGCCTTGGCTGTATCAGACCCCATTGCATTTCCCCTCGCAGCGCAGTCGATCTTGATGATCGATATCTATCTTGCAGCAGGACAGGAGGGGTTTTCCATAACCGGACACCCAGGGAGTAGAACCACATCCTACCTTGCAGCGGGAGACCAAACCGGCGTGCATTATTTGAGTGGAGATGGCGTCCAGGAGACGGAACATTGGTGAGACATCAGGACATCGGCACGTAGGGGAATTAGACAACTGATATCAGACCTGGAATCAGGTATTTCATCAGCGGCATCGAAGCGCACTTATCGCATGAGGCTGGGGCGTTCGTCATTCTCGGCGACAGCATCACAGACGGAAAGGCAAGCATTACGAACGCGAATGACCGGTATGAACAATCATCCTATCCCAGAGACGCCGGACTAATCAAGCAGATGGCCCGATTTACTTCTCGACCGAATGCGTCACCACGCGGCGACGAAAAAGCTGGCCGTGGCTAATCAGGCGGCCGGTGGGAACCGTGTTTTGCACGATGGCCTGGGGCCCAGCCTTGTGAGTCGGATTGACCGGGACGTGCTCGCCCAGTCTGGCGTGACCCATGTGATGCTTTTCGAAGGAGTGAATGATATCGGCGTCGCGGCCCCCGATCGAGAGTCCCAGCTCTACGTGGGAGATCAACTCATGGTCGCATACCAGCAGATCGCAACCCGAGTGCATGCCGCGGGCCTGCCTCTCTACGGAGCTACAATTACTCCATTTGGAACCCCATCGAGCTCTAATTATACGCAGCCATATTCGAGCCTCGAGAGGGAAAAGACGCGCCAACGAGTGAACACCTTCATCCGTACAAGCGGCGTCTTCGATGCGGTGATCGATTTCGATCAAGCCGTGAGGGACCCGGCAGAGCCTTCTCACCTCCTCGCAATCTATGATTCCGGAGATCATCTCCATCCCAATGAGGCTGGCTACCATGCTCTGGCGGACTATTTCCCTCTTGATGTGTTCAATCGAGTAGGCCCGGTATGGGGCTCAGACTAACTAGTCCGTGGCATAAAAGACAGGAGAGATTAGGATCTAGTAGTGACACGAGTTTGATTTTGATGTGCAGAGTCGGATTACTTAGTAAGACAAGGGGCTTGTCCACGAGCTGTGTCGAGCGGCATCTGACAAAAGACCCGGACAAACCATGACTACTCAATTGCTATATAGTGCAGAGTGGCTTAGCTGCGTCGACGCAGCCGGGGGCTGAGACTGCGTTTTTTGAACGCGCCACTATCCGCCAAGGCGGCGGTGCGTCCTGGCCCGAAGTCAGGCTGGCCACCCAGCGTGCCGAAGATGTCGCCAACATAGTTGCGGGCCTCCACGCCCTCGGCAAAAGTTGTCTTCCATCCCTTAATGATACCTTGGACGACATGGATGCCGGCATTATAAATGTTAGCTAGCGCCGGCTCAAAGCCGCCAGCATCCGCATAGAGGAGGTTGTAGGTGGTGCTGGACCCAGGGTAAGGGCGATCAAAATCAGAAGCCGTGCGCATGACGATGATCCGGGAGAAATCAGTAAGGTTGCGAGTCGAGGAGCGAAGCAAGGCCTCTAGGGTAGCGTTATCTTCCTGGGCACTGGCGCAGTACTCGCCGGTCCCGTTAGTCAACAACTTGGTCGTGTTGTCAAAGGTGTTACCCAGGATGTCGCCGCTATAGTAGACATCGGACGTGGCAACGTCGCACTCCACGATGGAGGGCCCCAACGTGGCGGCCTTGTACCTCCCACTGGGGGTGGCATAATGGGCACGGTATGCCTTGGCAGCGGCCGAGTCAGAGAGATTGCCGTGGCGCGCCAGTCCCACGGCAATCCGACGAAGCTCGGCATTGACCTCGAAAACCTCGGTGCCGTAGATGTTGGTGGGGTATTGATTGGGGTAGTCCGCTCCAAGCGGGATGTAGCCCGTCGAATAGGAGCTTGGAAGCTCCCGAATGTCAATTTCGTATTGCAAGGCGACCTGGACGGCGTATCGTGCGAAGGTGGCGGAGCCGAGGGTCGCGCGCTCCGGATTGACACCAGCGATTCCGGCAATGAAGAAGTAGGTCTGCGTGAGGTTGAAGAGCGGCGAGAAAGCAACAGAGGTCACCGTGGTGGCGGCATTGATCTCCGACTCGCCCGTGATCAACTGGCAGATCTCGTAGTCTTCGGTGCAGTGCACGTCGGGATACAGAGGCGACAGGCCCGGGACGGTGATATTATGGGCGAGCAGATCGAACTCCCGGATATGCCACCAGGCTTGCGCTTCCGGCTCAAACTGCGGCACGTTAGCACCAAGCTTCCCTGATTTCCAGCCCTCCTTGTACGTACCATCGAGACAATGAAGACCTTCGGGGTGATTTTGTCCGTGTGAGAGCCCGTGGTCGCGACCGAGGCCGTCGCCAAGGTGCTTCCTAGCAGGAGCCAGGAGGCAATCTTTCGGAAGGACATGGTGAAACTCGTGCGATGGCTCCGACTCAGTCGCCGCGAGGCCCTCTGCGCCCTTTTAACCGCAGAAATTGGTTATCGCATCCTGTGGGCACGCCCTTCTCTGCGAGGGTAATCGCGGCCCCCAAGTGGATTCATTACGCGATGCAAATGCAGTAAGGATCGGCATTCAACCTTCGAGAAGACTCGGGTTCCCCTGACGATGAAGGCTTTTCGGTGGGTCTTGTGCTTATCGAACGAAGCCTTTATCGCCCGACGCCGGAGGGCGGCGGAGCTGGTCGAGGTCGACCGTCCGGGGTTGATTATCGTCCATGCGATCCATTGAGCTTGCGTGCAGGGAGATGGTGGCTGATACGGGAGCCCTGTGCATCTGGAGCACTACCCCGTACTGGGTAAAAGGTCGTGGACGACCCGCAGGGCTCAATAAAATACTCGCGAAGGCGACCGTGGAACTTCCCGGTGGATTTTTTTTTCCCACCGGGCATACGGAGTATCGTGGCCGGATAAGCGGTGGGTACTCCGTCCAGAATAGGATCTGACCCAAACCAGTGCTTTTCCACAGACAGAAATCCACGATCACCGGTATGACCTAATTGCTTGTTAGGGGCTCTCTACGGAGTACTGCGTACGATACGAGCAGCATTAGTACTGTTGATGAACCACACTCCCAAGACACCAACAAGTGGGTCTCGAGGATAATACAAGCCTAGCCTAGAAAGGACAGGGAAAGGGTCACAATCTTGTATTGAAAAGGTGGTTGTTAGAACTCAGGTAAAGAGAAGCGGAAGCCTCCCGCAGTGGGTAGGCAATCCGGAATGACTAATCGTGGGCACATGATCCCGAAGGGGGTCCGTAACCCAATACCACACTAATCCCAAATGGGCTAAAAATCAAGAAAACTGAACTTGGTCACAACACTGTCTCTTGTCCTGCACGAGTCACATGAGTGCGGGGAAACATTCCGTTTCAGGTTCTGAAGAAAGATCCTGCAACCAACGCCGATAAGGCCAGACGAGATCATGCGCCATGCTATGCCCAAGACCGTACAGCGCCTGGGTTCTGTTAGGTTCTGTTATAAGATCGTTCTCGTGAGACTGTGAGACTTGGACTCGGAAGCGAGAAAAACCGACCTTCGCGACACCCGCGGGAACCGGATCCACCACGGTAGGCGACGGAAACTATCCGTAGATCGCCCGGGTATCTCAAGCGGCACTACTCCGTACAGGTTGACAGGCTTGACAGGCCTGACAGGCCTGACAGCCCTTGATCCTTTAAGTTTGTTTCCATGATCTGAATCTGCCCAGTGGCGTGGAACGATCGGGTGTCTCTCCCCGAACAAGGAAATAGAAAGCGATCGCCTAGGCCGAGAATCCCCACGTGGCGAAAAACAGGTCTGACTGGTGCGAAAATAAGATCGCGTAAGGCCTTTACATGTGACCTCCGCTTGTCAAAGAATAAAGAGAACATTTGGGAAACAGGACTTTCTGGGAGAAGACCGAGCGAACTCCTCCCGGCCGAGCCCCTCAACCGTTCCAGCTTCTACCGTGGATCCGACAGTTTCTGCTTTTATATATGATCCCAAGCCTTGCAGGGTCCAAACCAGCCTTCTCCGCTGCCCTCCTGCTGTCGAGGGCTGAAGAACGCCAGTGAAGATTTCATCGGATGCTGACCCTGCGTGGGTTAGTCACTGCCCCAGTGGAGCCACCCGAATCCAATCAATTTCTCGACTAATCCCGGGCACAGCTGTCACGTACTCACGAGGGGAAGAAAAAATATATTAAAATAAACAGAAAAATGGAAACCTTCTCCCCTCCCCGGAATATCTTAATTGTCGGAGCGGGAATCGCTGGAATCGCCTGCGCACTCGCACTATCCAAAGAACTCGCACCGTATGTTCCCGGTCTCAAGATCACCATCTTCGAGCGCCATGACATCCTCTCAACGTCCGGTGGTGCCATTAACCTCACTCCCGTCGCCCAGCGCCATCTGGCTCAACTGGGGGTGTTGCAGGAGTTGGATCGGCTGGGCGCGGACGGGGGAGCGGAAGTCAGTGCGATTGAGATGTACTCGGTGCGTTCTGGGCGATCGATCGGATCGATCGATTTCACCGACCAGAAGGGGAATGGATTTGGAGGCTACAAGGGCCGCCGTGTCATGCGGATCATGCTCTCCATGGCGTTAATGACCGTGCTCGAAAGGACGCCGAATATCGAAGTCCAATTCGGGAAAAAGGTTGTCGGAGGAGAAGAAATCGATGGGGCTGCCACCCTGCACTTTGAGGACGGGTCCAAGGCCATTGGTGATCTGGTCATTGGGTGCGATGGGGTTCATTCTGCCCTTCGACGCTGGGTCGATCCCGACTCTCCGTCCGAGTACACCGGTCTTTCCTTTTTGCAGGCAAATATCCCCCGGAAGACGATTTCGTCGCGCATCCACTTCAAGGCGTCGGCTCTCAATATCTCTCGGCATGGTTCCTTGCTCACCAGCTTCTGTGATCGCGATCATGACGAGATCTTCGCGGCAGCAGTGGTCCAGTTCAGTCATGCTGACCTGAGCTACTACCGCCTGGAGCCAGGACAAGACTGGGCAACGCAGCATCGCATCAAATCTGCCTTACGTGATGAAATACGAGCGAGGTTCTCGAAAACCGCCATTCCGTGTATCCGAGAAATAGTCAATACTAAAGCCGACTGGATGCTTTACCCGGTCTATCAAGTTCCCCCAAGCGCACGCTGGTGCATGAATCGGGTTATTTTGCTGGGAGATGCAGCCCATGCGGTACGTTGACCTGACAATCACGAAGATCCGAAAGGGATCAACATCCCGAAGGCAATTTTACTTATTGATGATAGATGCCCCCGCGAGACGAATCGGCTGCGTATGCCCTGGACGACGCGATCCTATTTGCGCGGATCTTAGCCTATCACCGCTTCGAACCATTGACGGACGTTTTCGATACCTATGAGGGGATCCGCCGAGACAAAATCCACAAGGCTTTCCAAGAGTCCTCCAAAATGTGGGAGCGAAATCGGGACATGGGACTCCTCGAAGGACGGGTGAAAGAATGGACCATGCCATTTTACCTCCGAAGCCATCGCGAGGAGCGCCAGGCCGCATGGGAGTTTGACGCTGCAAAGATCACGATCCCCCCTTTGACCCCCAGTGATGATTCAATGAGCCTATCGTCGTTTCTCAAAGAATCAGGTACGGTGTGATCAGGCTAGCGATCTCGAGAAGTAGTGCATAGGCGGCGTTCAAAAGTTTTCATCTGATATGACCTGATACCCTCAAAATAGAGCAATCCCATCTCCTTTTTTATAATGATATAACTGAACCTAATTCTTACCGCCACACCTAACCCACGTCCAATCTCGGAAACCCCGCGAGAAGCTCCGGGGGAACCCCGGGGCTTCCAGGGCTCGCTGACTCATCCTGCCATTTCATCATGGCGCTCCTAAATCACATCTTCCACACAGTCTTGGGAATCTCTCGTGCGTGGCACTCTATAGAATTTCTCGTGAAATGTAAGCTTACTGGGCAAGTTTGCCATTGAAACCCGGCCGAAGAAAACTGTGGAACCCTCGTTGACCAGCAATAGCGTTCCAACACAGCCCAGTATCCATTTGAACATGCCTGGAGACTTCTCGACCGTTCCCATAGTAGACTTCTCTCGCTTGACAGATCCAACGAGTAGAGATGAAGAGCTCTCTCGGCTACGTGACGCGATCTTTGTTGTCGGGTTCTTGTATCTAATTAACACTGGACTGGAGGTAAGGCGTTTCTTCACGGCATTATGACTTGGTACGGATTTAACCTACGAGATAGGATAGCATCCATCGGACCCACAAGGAACTGCCATCCTTGTTTAATCTACCAGCCGAGGTCAAAGAAAGGTGCAATATGATCAACTCCCCTTCTTTCCGGGGTACACTCGGTTGGGGGCAGAGACTACTGCGGCCAAGACCGATCTTCGCGAGGTATCATGTCCTTTTTCTGGTACACAATGAGACGTATAGCTTATCAATATAGCAATTCGACTTTGGGACCCCGGGCATGCGAGAATGGACGGAGAATGAACCTTTCTGGAAAAGGCTGGAGGGCCCCAACCAGGTATTCCCTCGCCCTCTCCCTCCAAGCTCCTAGTTCTAAAACAACCCAGTACCCAGACTACCCGGGGGCGGAGAAACTCGTCCGAAACTATATCGAGAGCATAGATTCTTTAGCTCAGAAATTCGTGCATCTTGTCGCGGAGTCTCTTTCTCTGCCGCCAGACACATTTGACGAGTTCAAAGGAAGTATGAGTCGGCTGAAGTTCGTGAAGTATCCACCTGCCAAAGCCCTGTCCCAAGGGGTGGGGCCTCATAAGGACTCAGCTGGTCTTTTCACCTTCCTCTCTCAGGATAACATCGGCGGACTGCAGGTCCTGAATAATAACGGGGAGTGGATCGATGCTCCCCCCTTGGAAGATAGCTTGGTTGTGAATATCCAGCAAGGTTTTGAGGCAATCACCGGTGGCATATGCCCCGCGACCACCCACCGAGTTATCGTAAAGTCTTCCCCTCGTCTTCCTTGGCCGTATCGCACTGACGCATACCATAGGCGCCGACCGCCAAGACTCGGTACAGCATACCTTTCTTCTTGAGTGTCCGCTTGGATTTGACTCTCGAGAAACTCCAAGCATCCGCCTCCCATATCAAAGCTCGACTCCCGGTTCCGAATACCGAGAAGAGGCGTGATGTCGACGTGCCTAGTGAATTCTTGTCTCCGTTATATTCTTGCGTCCGTACTTGAGAGCCCAGTCGTTGGATCCAGTCTCACTAACTCAGATTTCCGCAGTTTGGCGAAGCACATTTGAGAAACCGCATTATCAGCCACCCCGACGTCGGGAAAAAGTGGTACCCCGACCTCTACGAGAAATATTCCCAGCAACGCCTTTGAATCGTGCATTTTGATGTAGCCAGATTTGATATCAGAGTAGGATTTGATGCGAAGGGAATATATACATATATAGATATGCTCTTTTGGGGAATCGCCAGGAGAAAATATCACCTTCATGGTTAGTGGGGCCTTGTGGAACTAAAAAGAGGGGGGATGCAGTCTCCCCCGCTCACAGTAGGAATGTAGAGGCCCGTCTTCGTTTGCCCTTTGAATTGGGGAAAAAAAATGCAGGTCACAGAACTCTCTTCATCCCAAATCGAGGCGCTTCGTAGCCAACTGACCTCCGCGACTGTCCTTGTTCCGGGGTCTGAGGGTTACGACGCAAGTCTCATCCGATGGTCTGACACAGGCGCGAGACCCGCGGTAGGACGAGAGAATTGGCCTCTCCTCCCGGAGCAATGTAGACTAATATGGATTCTCACTAGGGTGTCGTCGTCCAGCCAATTGATCCTGCTGATATTGCTGCTGCGCTGTTATGGGCGCAACGCGAACGAGTTGATGTCGCCGTCAAGGGCGGCGGACATTCCACTGCGGGGACCAGCTCGAGCGACGGGGGCTTGGTGATTGATCTGTCCCGCATGAAGCACGTCACTGTGGACCCTGCGCAGAAGACCATCACCGCGCAAGGAGGCGCAACGTGGAAGGAAGTCGACGAGGCGGGGGCTGTGCATGGCCTGGCGACCGTGGGGGGAACGGTGAACCATACCGGCGTCGGGGGTCTCACCTTGGGAGGAGGGTACGGTTGGTTGAGCGGGCTATACGGACTCACAATCGACAATCTCCTCTCAGCACGGGTCGTCCTGGCCGATGGACGCCTGGTGACGGCCTCTGCAACGGAGAACCCCGATCTGTTCTGGGGGCTGCGAGGCGCGGGCTACAACTTCGGTGTCGTGGTGGACTTCACGTACCAGGCGTATGACCAGCCAGACTTGGTATTTTGCGGCGTGCTTGGCTTCACGGCAGGCCAGCTGGAGCGCGTTGTCGAACAGCTCAATGCCACTTTGGCGACCCCGGATCCCCGGTCAGGGGCGATGTGCGTCCTGGCCCTGGCTCCCGATGGATCTGGCCCGATGGTGGTGGTCATCTGCTTCTACAATGGCAGTCGTGAAGAGGGACTCCAGCGATTTTCCCATCTGCTGGACCTGGAGCCTGTCCTCAACACGCTGGACATGACGCCATACGCCGTGGTGAATACCCTGCAAAACCCCCAAGCTACCTACGGGGCACGCAAATCGTTCAAAGGAATCTTTTATGAGCCACCGATTGATCTGTCCTTTGTACGCACCGTCTTCACCGACTTTATGGCAAAGATACAGAACGATGAAGACTTGGCTCAGTCCGCCATGATCCTCGAGTTCTTTGACATGCGCAAGGTCTGCGAAGTCCCTCTGTCGGGGACCGCCATGGCGAGCAGGAATTTCACCCAGAATGGGATTATCTATCTTCGTTGGACTGATCCGTCGAAGGATCTGGAGCACCGAAGCTGGGCGCGGCAGATGCAATCAAAATGGAAAGCTCAGCTGGATGCACACGCCCAAACACTTCATGCTAGTAGCCATGTCCCCCAATACATCAATTATGCCGAGCGTAAGTACTCCCGCACTTTTCCGCCCTTACATTATTGCTCGAAGCCTTTCTGACAATGATCTGTTTCCTGTACTAGCTGGCGACTCGGCGGTCCCGAATATCTACGGGGAGAACATGTCGCGACTCCAGGAGGTGAAAGCCAAATATGACCCAGGAAACATATTCCACAAAATGCACCCCGTGCCCTTGGCAAGGAAGGAAGTAGATTAACACAGTGGGCTCGCTCTGTTTGACTCGGGAATCACACCATGCGACAGTCGCAGTTTCACCAAAATTGGATTTCAGTGAAGCTAACTTTATATATACAAGGCAGCTCAGTCATATTTTACTGTCCGTTGCAACAGACTTGGAGACACATGCGCTGACAATGCATTGCGGTACTGCGGAATCATGCAGGAAGAGAATAGGAAGATCACCTGGGCACCTGCAACGTCCAGTTGAATTAGTAAGACCCTGCTATTTACAAGCTATGCTAGAGTTATTAGAAATTGCACCCCGAACGTCGAGTCTGGTTGTCTGCTGCATGTAGAACGATCCTTTGCAACCCGTCGCCGTGCACGGCCTGTAAAGGAGCAACAAATGCCATTTGGCTCCATGAAAAGGCTTGGTTCTTACCGCCATACACGAAGACTTCAAATCGCCCGGCAAACTCACCGTCAACCCAAACCCGACTTCCTTCAGTCGCATCTGTCGTGATAGTGATTTGACATTTGTAGGGATGGGGACCACTTTGTGGGTCGAACTGGTTGAATTGGCCCAAATGCGCCCTGGGGCCGCCGCGTCAAACCCAGCGGTCTCAGCAACAGACCGCAAAGGATAATCCCAGCCGTCTGCTGAGAAGATCAATTGCCCGTCCGAAGATAAAGACAGAATAGCATCCTCGGACTCCAACGAGAATGGGCCGGTTATATCAAGCTGCGGAGTGTAATTCATGCCTTTACTTCCGGCTCCAAGCTGATAAGTGCGCTGGGCGGGCCGATTGTTAGGCTTAGCCCACGTGAAAAGTGGCTCGTCGCCGCTCAAGGACTGTTTCGACAAACGGCGATCCAAATTCTGTCCCAGCACATTCGCCGCAAGCTGAACGATTGACTGATCCAAGCAAGATTGATCTAAACGGGGTCCAGTAGTGCCCGACCATGCACGAGATGCAACGACGGGCAGGCCATTCCTAATGGCATAATATGCTTCCAGCTGAGTGGTTGCATCCGGACCATTGTCGTTCCACGCGGCCATGATAGCACCGCGAACAGCGGACCGGAGAGGTTGCTCGGTTGTGTTGACCGGATTGAATAGACCGGGTGTCCATTGCCAGCCCTGAATGTCTCCAAAATTCACGACCCGAGTGTTGTTGAAGAACTGCGGATACGGAGCAGGCGATATTGGGACATGGTCATTCTTGAGTGAGAGATAGGCCCACCAATCCTCGGAGTTGATGATCTGGTATCCGCCGCGGCCCAAGGCCACTGGGTCGGACTGGCCATATTGCCAATGCTGTATTGTGATATTTGTGTCGATCGAGCGGGAAGCGGAAGGCTCGTAGGTGCCCCAGATGCGAATTTTCTTACCTGAAGCCTCCAAGATAAAAGCCGACATTTCATTGACAAAGTCGATATAATCATCCGCCAACGTCGAATCGTACTCATCTGCGCCGATATGGACTTCTCTGGTATGAAACCAAGGGAGGAATTCCGACCAGATGGATTTCACCAAGGGGATCGTTTCGGGGTGCGTAAGATTGAGAAGATCCCGCGAGGCCAGCGCAAGCGCTGGCTTCCATTTCGTGACCGAGAGGCAGTGCCCCGGGCTTTCAATCTCCGGGATCACTGTCACCCCTCGCTGGACGCAGTGTTGTTGGAACTCGTCAAATTCAGCGCGCGAGAGCGTCTCATTGGCCCTTTGCACGAGGGGCAGAAGCTCTGGGTCCTCCGGCCGTAGGGAGAATTGGGAATATACGTGATTCCACGAGACATTCGGCCCGCGACTAAGAGGATAGTTGTCACTGGCATGGTAGTGGAATTCCGAGAGCTTGAAGAACGAGGCGTAGGTGCAGAGATCCTTCAGGTAGTCCAGGGAGTACCATTTCCGACCCGCGTCAAGCATGAAGCCTCGGACTGGGTAGGCAGGGGCGTCGTGAATCTGGCCGAGTAGGATCGAGTCGGGGTTGAGGATGAGTTGTTGAAGCAGCGTCCGCGTCCCCCACCACATCCCTCGCGCGCCCGATCCGTTGATGAGCACACGATCGCGCTCAAAAAGCATGTCGTATCCTTCCTCGGTGGGGTCGCCATTCTCGTAGCAGTGATCCTGCGATTGTGATCTGCTCAGGTAGATCCCCGACGCGTGCGCCGGCAGGTGCTTGACAATCTTCAACGCCCATGATGAGTTGGTCAACTCCTGCAAGTCGCGGCGGAAGGTGTGTGCGAATTCAGATGCCGACGGGGGGATCAGCGTGAGGCCATCTTGATCCACCCACGAGGCCAAGTCTCGCGGCAGATAGATGGTTCTCTCTACATTTGCGAGAGAAAATCCAGCATTCCCCGACGGCTGGAACTGCACGGGGGGTAGAGTCTGGAGGGCCGAAGCCAAGGTGGAAAACAGCCCAAACCAAATCATCACACAAACGTGGGTTTCCCGTACGCGAGGCCCATCTTGTCCTCTTTAAGAAGGGGGTTCGAGTCTGCAATTCCGACCGTTACATTCCAACCGGAGAATGCTTGACAATGCTTTATCTTGCGCGGGATGGCGTGGGATCGCACGGGCCAAAGCGGCACTCCCGTTCTTTTCATGGAATCTCGTGTCTAAGCTGCTATTGCCCACCATGGCAAACCTGCGGCAGTATCCCCGGGGAGGATCTGAAGGCGACGAGCCGCTTTTTCCCGACTAATAATGGCAGATCCATATCTGTAGCAAGCTTAGTACATAGCATTCCGTATATGTGCAGGAAGCTAGTATTTACTAAAAGTGTGGGAGTGAGTTATATATCCGTATCTGTGTTCTCTACCAATAACCAAAACTAGTAACAGCCACGGCGACGCTGTTTACAAGATTTTGGCCAGATCGGCTTCCGATAGGATCGTAGCATCGCTCAAGGATAGAAAAAAAAATATAAGAACGTAGTGGCTTTGAATCCTTTTAGTTGCGACTTTTTCCAGGAAGTGTCCGTGCCTGGATGCTAGGCCTGAATCTTTAATATGGCCGGGCCGACGGTATTTTCTGAATTGCGTTGATGCATCTCAACCGGTCGTCAGAGGGGCTTCTCGATCAGCTGAACTCGGGGCCTGTTAGCTATTCCAGGGAGGTTTATATACCTGTGCCCCCGTCCTCGACGATGATTCAGATGTCAGCCGGGGCGTTATGTTGTGCAACTTCCCCAGGAGTGGGAGTGAGACAGGGCATACAGCCGCATTCTACTGCAGAAGATGCCATGATCAGGGCGAAGGTGTCGCTCGAATCATCTTTTAGCATCTCACATCCTTCCGATGGGCCTGGTTGCCGAGTTCCGCGGCGTGCAGCCCCACCCCGATAGCTGAGGTGCGGGGAAGCTGGGGAAGTCGGGGGACCCTGGAGAAGTCTGAGGAGCACATGGGGATGAAGCTGCAAGGCGTTCGTGCCGTCTACTTTTTAAAAGCGCGGGTCATGCCACAGAACCTTCTAGAGTCTAGGAGCCCATGCTTCACGTTGGTCGATTGGTCGATGTGACATGTAGAGCAAAAGAACGGGTCTTGAAAGTTGCCGGGAAAGGCGACCACACCTTGGTTCCAGGCATTTATGTAGAGATCGGCGCAACTTCCCTCGCAAACTTTGAATAATTCCGGATAATTCGTCCCACAGGGGAAGTGCCAAAGGAGGAGAAAGCCTCAGGAGGTAGTCGACAATCAAGTGGTTGGCCGGTCCACCTGAACTTTGTGTTGGATTTTTGTTCCTCTTTCATCTCCTCAGCCCTGGAGTCTCTCGATACTCAATAGTTTCTAATGTGGCTGCGCGATTAAAAAACCTGAGAAACAATAACTTAAGGGTCCTCCATGTTGCGACGAACGCGAAGGGCGCCGACCGCCTGTGCCTGGTGTCAATATCGCAAAGTGCGATGCGACGCCTCGATCCTGGGGCGTCCATGTACGCGCTGCAGACAAGACGGTCGCACAGACTGTGCCCTTCGAGAAAAGCTGCCGCGACCGTAAGTTTTCTCTCTCTCTCCTCAAGCATCCCACTCCTGACATCCTGCAGTGGCAAGGATCACTCTCATGTGCAACCCCTCCAACCACAAGCCAAAGCATCCAACTCCTCAGGCCAAATATCGACTCCCCGACCGGCCAGAACCCCGTTAAATCCCCCCTGTTTCTGCGGAGCTCGCCATCGCCACGATCGACGATCACTCGTTCCTGTGCTCCCAGGGCTTGAAGGAAATCCCGCCAGAAGACGTGACGTTCTTGTGGTCCAAAGGCTCGCTCAGTTTCCCTGACCGAGAATCGACAGCAGAGTTCCTGGATCTCTATTTCAAGAAAGTCCACCCCCTTCTACCCGTCGTGGATGAGGTTCATATCTGGCATGTATTCGAGGGGAACGTGCCCGATAAGCTCTCTCTGTTCGTTTTCCAGTCAATTCTGTTTGCTGCCTGTCAGGTAGGAGATTTGCCGGAGCGTTTGCTCTGCAGCAAAGCTGACGAAAGATAGTTTGTCTCGCTGGATACTATCCAGAAATGCGGGTATTATGATAAGCGCGATGCACGGAAACAGTTGTTCGATAAGTCGAGGGTGAGCGCCATGACGCCGTTGACCAACTCAGGATCTCTGACAGATTGAAGCTTTTGTTCGATTTCAACGTCGAAACGAAACCATCCGCCAAAGCACAGGGGGCTGTTCTTCTTACACATTACTTATCAGGGGCAACCCCGCAGGCTCAAAGTTTTTGGCTTACCCGTGCAATCGAGAATGCAATGATCATGGAGGGCCAGTCCTCGGCAGTGGCAGAGAATGTCATCGAATCAATGAAAAGACGAATTTGGTGGTCCATCTTGCTCCGTGATAGGAGTATTTGCATTGGTCTTCGTCGTCGCCCTCAAGTCACATCGATCAACCTCCACGCGTGCCGCGACTGCCTAACCGAGGAAGACTTTGAACATGAAATGCATGATTCGCGAGCCTACGATCGCCAGACCAAGCAGGCCATTCTCTCTTCCCTTCTGGAGCTTTGTCACCTGGCTGTCCTCCTCACCGATCTCGCATCTTTGATCTTTGCACCCCGTGTATCCCCTGCTGTGTCCTACACGGCCGAAGAATTTTCCGCTCTCATGGGGACGGTCGAAAAGATCAAGCAGTCCTTGCTCGTGTGGTATGAAAGCGCCGAAAGCGCCAAACCCCCGCCGAGACCTACGAAACAACAAGTGTATGACCCGACCGCAGTCCTGCGGAGCTTGACATTGATGTATTACCGGTAAGGGCTCTCATTCCCTTTAGCCTAAAAGGATGCCCCTCAAAGCAACTAATCATACATTCATTGTAGTTGCGCCCAGATCGACCTGGCACATTACTGTGCCCTTGCTATCGAAGAATATCCTTCACTTTCCCCTGAGATGTACCAGACGGCCATTATAGGCACGGGCAGGGATCTCAAAGCTGGCGTGGATGGATTAACTGAGATCATCGAATACTTCAGTTTAAATGGCCACGGAGAGAGCCTACCTCTCAGTGTGTAAGAGTCCCCTTCTAGTGATCCATGATCGAAAGCATGAAAGTTGACGGGTTTTGACTACAGCCTCGCGTATACTGGGATGCCTTTGATTCTAGCAGCCATCGACTTGAAGCTTTCTTCAACAAGGGAGGACATTGCTCAAAGAGAGAAGCGATTGAATTGTCTGAGCGGGATCATTCGCCACTCTGAGACTCTCTTTGATGTGACAGACTTCGTCGCCGCTGGGACGAATTACCTATTGCAGCTGGCGTACTGGATCACGCAAAACCTCTTTCTCTCGGGGTCAAGGTCCCCGCTTGGTACTGGAAATCGAGTATCGACCGGTGACGGAGACCTTGCTCTGTCTCTACCCCATATCCATCAATCTAAGGTCGTGATTTCGAGTCGCGCGAAGAGCTGGCTGGATGCCTTCATAAAGTACCCGCGGGCCTACTTGTTCATTTCCACCTCGGTTGACCATTATCTCTCGGTCGGTCGAATGCCATATGGCAATGACCTCCCTGCTCTTGTCCGCGATATCCCGGCCGAAGCACCTTGGGTGACCACTGCGTATCCGGCCAAGGGACCGTTCGCCGCCCATTTCTCGAACTCACCAACCTCTCATATGGGGCTGTATCGGTCGGGCTCGGTAGTTTCAGGCAAGGCCATCCAGACTGTGATGACCGAGGAAGCTGCTGATCAAATATCCAAAAAAGCTGTTTTCTTTGGGTTGCATCTCGGATCACAAGCTATCCATCAAATAACATGGGAACCAAGCCCTCGGCCTCACAGATCACTCCAACAGTCCGATCAAAGCCATGTCAACCTTGACTTCCTAGATTTGGGAGGTGATACCGTCCCCGATGGCCTGGGTCAGACCCCAACCCCGGCTCCCAACTGTAGTTCCTTGGATACCTTCCCAATGGAGCCCATCCCAAGCAGCGTGCACTCCGTTCGCCCGGACGATGCCATGGCTTTATAAGACTATGCGGACGGTGGGGCCATGACTTCAAGTATTGATACCATGTCATGCAGCTAGGTTTCTCAAAGCGATATTGGAGATACTCTGAGTCCCATTATTAGATCGTGGATTTTTCGATTTCGGCCCAGGCATCCAATTCGTAATGTTGAAGCCACCGAGCCACCCGTTGTCGGTGTTTGCTAGTATCAGCTCCGTGACCTTGCTGTGTATACTCACAAAGACTGCACATATCCCATGTGGCCTCAACGGTTCAGTGCCTTGACCCACTCTCCTCCAGACCCAAGTGTTCTTGGATCAGGTGATTCTCTTCATCCTCGGGCTTACAATGTATGGAAAGTCTATGTTAATTCCTTCGACCTTGTGCAACCTCCTCAGTCTGGTCCGTTTACATAAGCTCGGCTTTAAGGACTTAAAAAGGCCGGATGGGGGCCATTGCGCAATCAGATACGAGGGACTTGTTGATAGACCAATATTCATGACATAGCCAAGGAGAAGAAAATATACATGCCCTATGGGGTACAAGTCCATCTCGACGACAGACGGGGAGACATTGAGGGCGCGGGGGGGCTTTTCTGCTTTTCTGATACGAGCGAAGGTTAGCGCAAACCCAAAATATCGGAGTTCGGCGGGTTGATCCACCTTCAGTTAAAGCCGGTATGTCCGGGACCGGCTGCTGCTCACGGGGCACGACGGAGAAGCTGCAGTCTATAAATACGTCCATGCCTGTCTACAGGTCTCGGGAGAAGAAGTCACGACCATCAAGAGCGCCCACTAAAGAGTGAGCCAAAAATGTCCACTAAAATCGTCGAAAGAATCGCTATTATCGGGGTAAGTCTTGAAATTCGCAGGTCGGCATGATAGATTACTGATCGAGTTCAGGCGACTGGCCGGATCGGTGGGGCGTTCGCAAAAGCCCTCGTTGGGACAGGGAGACATACAGTCACAGCCTTGACCCGCCAAGAGAGCAACGCAAAGCTCCCGGATGGTGTACAAGGAATTCGAGTCAATTATGACGATGAAGCGTCTATCATCGACGCCCTGAGGGATCAGGAGTTTCTTGTCATAACCCTTGGAGTCCGAGCCCCCGCGGATCTTCACAAAAGGATCACGATCGCGGCTGGAAAGGCGGGAATCCGCTATATCATGCCCAATGCATATGGATATCCGGCAGTTCTCAGCAACGAGCCGCAGATCGACGACGCCTATACGAAAGCAGTCCTCGAGAGGATTCAAGACGCCCAGAACGGAACGTCATCGTCGATCACCCTGCCTTGCGGATTCTGGTATGAATGGAGTCTTGCCACCGGGGAACAGTGGTTTGGCTTTACGATCAAGGAGCGGAAAGTTACATTTTTCGATGATGGTCAACGAGTGATTACCGTGAGCACTTGGGATCAATGTGGACGTGCATTGGCTGCTCTTCTCAGTTTACCAGAAGCTCGGGCGAGTCCGTCGGTTTCCGAATTCGCCAACCGCGAAGTTCCCGTCTTCAGTTTCCAAGTTTCCCAGCGCGACATGCTGGACAGTCTACACCGCGTTCTGGGTACGACGGATTCGGACTGGGAGATCAAATTCGAGCCTGTTGAGAAGAGGATCCAGGACGGTCAGGAGGAACTCAGTCGCGGAACTTTTACAGGATTCGCCAAGATGCTGTATGGCGGGGTTTTTCTGGCAAGAAACACCACGAGCAATTTTGCTTCAACGGGACAAGCCATGAATCAAGTGCTTGGACTACCCGAAGAAGACCTCGATGAAGCGACTAGGCGCACAGTGGCCATGGTTGAGGAAGGCTGGAACCCCTTTGCGAATATGAACTAGGGAATCAAGGACCGAAAAAGACAGATATCCCAGGCCTCAGCTTATTGCGTAACCGGAGTGCAGACTTTTAGGTTATTTCCATTTTCCCATTATATCGTTTCTTCAAAATACTAAGAGAAGCTCACTAGGGGGAGCCCTCAATTTCTAGCTTGTGGGTGTCACATTTTATCCTAGATTCGATGGGAAATCCACGGCCTCTTCCTGAGACGCTGTTCCCAAAACATAGTTCCTAATTTACCCCTTCCTATTGAACCTGATCTCAATTTTTCTCCCATTAAAACACACCCAGATGCTATTATCAAAAGTCAAGAAACGCCCTCTATCAGAAGCTAGTCGACCACCTCGACTTGCAGTGATCGATTTTCTGTTTTACGATAACCCCGCACCCCGCAAAAGAATATTAGACCCACTGAGGACAAGACCGAGGCCCGTTCAACGGCAAACACCCTTGTCAAATGCCCATCATTTTCCTAACTGGTAGGTTACCCGCTCTGACGTGGCAACGGTTTGACAGCCAGATCGCCAATCCGATATGGCCATAACACCCATAAGGAGGAAAGGTTACATCTAGCCAGGTACAAAAGTCTGGACGGATTCTACATAAGTGGGCTAGGCTGCGCCTATCCCGTCGCCTACGAGATAATGGGACATCGTCTCGTTTTCAGCCTTCTCGGTCATCTCAGCATGCTAGAAGTCGAGAAAATGACACAAGTTGATCCTAGCTATTCTCGGCCGTCTGTTGGCCTCTACACGGCCCTGGCCATACCTATCGCTGTATATGCTGTCTACTATTGTATTCTGTTCCCACTCTTACGCACCGATCTTCGCGTCATTCCAGGCCCATTTCTTGCTAAACTAACCAACCTGCATCGTGTGCTCCTCGTTCGCAGCGGGGTTGTTCATGAGCATCATATTGACCTTCATAGGCGGCATGGTCCGTTGGTTCGGCTTGGGCCCAACAATGTATCTGTAGGATCGCCCGCTGCTGTTCCTGTGTTGTACAACATTCGGACTCGATACCCTAAATCGGATTTCTACCCAGTCATGGGAAACATGGCCAACGGCAAAGTCGTTCCTACTATTTTTTCCACCCCTGACGAGTCCGTCCACGAGGTCATGAAACGCCCCATCGCACAGGTATATGCAATGTCGAACTTGAAGTCATACGAGCCGCTGGTAGAGAGCACCGAAGCTCTCTTTATTGAAAAGCTGGAAAGGCTCGCGGATGAGAAACAACCGTTTGACTTGGGAACTTGGCTACACTGGTTTGCGACCGATGTCATCCTCGAGATCACCTTCGGACAACGTCTCGGGTTTCTAGAAAGGGAGCAGGACGTGGATGGGATTCTCCAGATGATCGAAGAGCGTTTTTGGTACGTCGCCATTGTAAGTCATTATCGTCGGTTGTCTGAGTCTTCAATGCGTAATTGTGACAACGGAGCTCTGAAGAATACTGATGGAGGTTTCCGAATTTTAGGTCGGCCAAGTGCCCTGGTTGGACAGATTGCTGCACAAGAACGGCCTTATGAGTTATCTGAAGGGTCTCTTTTCAACATCTACAGTCTCTCCAGTATTGGAATTTGCGCTGGACCAAATTGCAACCCGGAAAGCGGAGCGCCTTCACCATCCGGAGACGAAAGCCACGAGGCGAGACTTCTTAGCACGCTTCTTGGATATCAAGGAAGCCAACCCGAATATCCCTGATATGTGAGAGAATCTTTTCCCGCCATGCTCCCAGAATTACTGATGCTCGAGAATAAAGCTGGATCCTGTCCTGGTGTCAACAGAATGTTCAGGCTGGCTCTGATTCCACTGCCATCACGTTGACATCAGTTATGTACCACCTATTGAGATACCCTGATTCAATGGAACTATTGATGAAGGAGCTCAAGGAAGCCCACTTAGCACATCCTATTCTATGGGAGTACGTTCACAAGTTACCGTATCTTGATGCCTGCATCAAGGAAGCTTTAAGGATAACCCCTGCCGTGGGAATTCCATTGGAACGTGTTGCCCCCGAAGGAGGAGTGCATCTCTGTGGGCGATATTTTGCGCCTGGCACAGTGCTTGGAATCAATGCATGGGTTGTGCATAGAGATAAAGGGGTCTATGGCGACGATGCTGATTCCTGGAATCCCGGGAGATGGATGACAGCAGACGAGGACAGACGAAAACTGATGGATCGTACATTATTTTCTGTATGTTCTGCAAGGATTTCTCTCGAACCCCAACCTGGAACCTGATCACAAGGCTAACTTGGTCGTAGTTTGGAGGGGGGACAAGAGTCTGCCTCGGAAGGAACATCTCCTACCTGGAGATGTACAAGGTTATTCCAGAACTACTTCTAAGGTTCAAGGTATGGAACGTTGTATGGAACGTTGTGGGGCCCGGATTTGGCATCACGCTAATGATACCCTGTCTCAGTTTGACCTTGCTAGCCCACAGAAACAATGGGAAATTAGGAATGCGTTTTTTACATATACGAAAGGTGTGATGGTGACAGTGAAAAAAGTGCATCAGGAGTAGAGGATAATGAGAGACAGTTAGCAGTATGGTGGCAAGGTATCGGTTCTATATATTCCCGAATTGTTTTTCTTGAGCCTTGGCTTGAAAGCAACCAAGAAAGAAACGGACCCGGTCATGTTGCTAGCACTGGAACAGATCTGTATAGTTCATCCTATGCCCTGTCTTCTGTTAAGGAAACAAGATTTCATTCCAGTTGTAGCAGTATATTCTAGACACCATTCGCAGCCACTTAGACCATATTGACCACCTGATAACGAAATACCTGCTGCAACTTCAATCTCCTGTTGTGCCATCACTCATATTGCACTCGGACAAAACATAATTCCAATATGTTGGATTTATACCAATTCGTAATGTGCTGCAGTACAGTAGATATGGTAGGGCTATTGAGGTTGGTTGACATGGTTAGGCAGCGCCGAGTCGGCCTGTGGCGACTGCGGATGTATTGAGGCACTGATCCTGATCACCTGAAGCGGTTTCCGTCTACAAATGCAGGTGAATAATGCTCTATAAATCATATTGCAAAGTACTCTTCTGTTGAAAGGCTGCTAACCCTTCAGAAAGGTACTCCAGTTGCTATTATATCAACGACAGAAACCAGGAAAATAGTAGATCTAGAATCTCTGATCTAGCCTGATGACTCGGAGCTTAGTGGAATAAACTGATATAAGGCGCAAAAATCTTCCAACGACGCGGGGTATACAAGGGTATAAGGAAATGCACAGGCCTACACTTGGGTGGCGAAAGGCTTATCAGACACGTAGCTAGATTAGGCGACTTCTTGAGACTTACACCACCTGTCAATATTGCGCCATACCCGACACACGAAATATCAACGCACACTGTTTCATCGCCTCCATTCCTTTTGATAACATTGCACGCGTCTGGAACAGTCACATCAATCGGGGGACTTGTTGACTTGACGTATCCATTCAGAATGTTATTGCACTTGGGTAATTCGCGCATTGCGGACTTCAAAGGGGTTCGGGCATAGCAGAACAAGAGGCGGGGCTCCCATATGAAAAACGTCATTAGCACAATGGCTTATCTGAAAACTCGGAAACATGACAGCCTGACACTCGACAAAATGTATACAAGGCTTGTGGTTACATAGAACCCCGTCTCTATACCCGCTTTTTCCCGAAAAACCGGTAAGGGTCTGCAGATCTTCTCTTGATACAGACTGAACTACATTTCCGAAAGTTTGGGATTAGCACGAGGCAAGAGCTCCTTAGTACATTGCGTACCCATCTTGCTAGCTTAGAAGGCTATAATAAGCTAAGAATTGCCTTCAATCCAATCTTCATAATTTCTCTTACTACTTCTGTGACTTCTATTCGAGTAGAATCATAGTGGAACTGCAACTTCATTTGATCACCATGGAAATGTCTCAACGTGCAGATGAAATCTCGAAAGAGGATTATCGTACCATCGTCTGTACATTCTTATCTACACACAAGTTCAACGTCGTCAAAAATGATCCAGATGTCGAAAATGCCGTCTTCACCCAGTTTCTTAGATATGAAGAGATTAGTGAAGAAAAGGCCAGATATCTGGCTATCATTGGGGCTTCTACCGCGCAGCATTTTTATCCGTACCACAAGAGAGAAACTCGACAGGCAATCGGCATCTTCACTGCCTTTTTGGGAGCTGTCGATGACCACGGAGCTCAATTTCTGAGCGGAATTCAACAATTTGGACAGAGTATCGTTGGTGACACATCGCAAACTTCTCTTCTGCGGGACTACAAAGATCTGTGCTCACAATTCGGGAACTATTATACCCCTTTTTGTGCAGATAGGATCCTAGTTGGAACAATCAACTTCGTCAGTTCCACCGCCTTGGAAAACGAGAGTCATGATTTTGCTCACCTCTCGAAGGCACCGAATTTCCCACACTATTTTCGGTCCATGACTGGATTGTCGGAAGCCTTTGCTTGGTTATTATTGGCAGAAGAATTCTGTTCATCCGCTCGATTCGATCTCTTTATACAAATTGCTCCGGATCTCATGGACTATACAGACGGTCTCAATGATTTGCTATCTTTTTATAAAGAGTATTTTCTCGCCACAGAAGAGACAAATCCTATTTGTCTTCGAGCGAAGGCTGAAGGCTGTGACTTGAAAAAGGTACTTCATTCATTATGCACGGAGCTTGAGAGGTATGCCGACCGGATGAAAGAAGTTGTTTCGGAGGACCCTGAGTTACTACGGTTGCTCGATGCTTACTTGCAAGGCTCTATCGGTCTTCATATCAGTCAGATACGCTATCGGTTGCACGAACTCTCCTTGCCTGTTTAATGTTTGGATGCTGGTCGTTCTTTCCATTGTCTTGGAGGAATGTACTCCATCTTTTCTGCAAGAATTCTACTGTCTTAAGATCGTGAAATGTTCTACGGCTAAGTTATTCGTCTGATCAGTTGTCCAGATATTGTCTATTGAAGTAACTATAATCCTCCTATTCGAAAATATGGTGCCCAGAAATTCCAAGGCCGCTAGACCAAGTGTGTTCGTTGCTAGTGTACACGAGACTGCGGGTTAATTCTGCTTCAAGCTTAGACTAGCAGTCGACACCGCCACAACAGTTAGGGACGGGTAAAACGCTAGACCGCAATAAGACATACGGGCTACTTTATATGACAGTCTCCAATGAACTCGAGACCATTCATTGTGTCTCTGCATGGTCCCACTGCATCCTGTCAAGCGCTCCTGCGGACTTACTGTCAGACAACTTGGATTTTAATGCTGAGTCAACGTTAAACTGTCGTTTACCCACAATCCAAAGTAGGGCTTGACCGTAATACATGAGTGGGGGGCCTATAATGGAATATGTTTCTACCTAGGTGTCCTGACTACTCATTTCATTCATATCAGCATGTTGGATACTAAGCATCCACGTGACAATCATCACCGAAAATAATGACTTTCTAATGCTAAGGTGTGAATAAGCGTACCTAGGAATCTGGCCTAGTCGGACACTCAACTAAAGATGTCAAATGCCATGGTAATTCGGCCATTCGTCCTTCGGGATTCACTTGGACTGGCCTTACTACCAGGCTTCTATGCCAGGGGTGATTTTGATCTGAAGCAGATTCTCTTGCTGAGGGAGGTTTAGGAGACAAAAAGAAATGAGCTGGGGTGACAAGGTTTGTAGAGCAGTCGATTTATTCCAACTCCAACTCTAATCGTGTTTCCAATGAGCTTTTGCCCTGCCATGTCGTCCAACTACCTCCCCAATGACCAATCAAAATACCATACTTTTCTACCATCAACAATGAGATCAAAATGTACGTGTAGTGAGGAGTCGTCCGTGGTGTTGAATTCCAGCACACCAAATTTCGACGAGCCCCACGCATGAGTATATACTTCCACATCTGTATTCTCGACTTGCTTATATGTTCGTTGCATCGGTTGAAAGAACTGGCTTAAAGGGCTCGTCGAGAACTCAATGACATTTGTCTTGTTGTTCGGCGACGGGAACAAGGTGGTAGCGTGTTCATGTCGGTCACCGCTGATGATGACGACACCTTCTGACTGCCACATTATCTCAAGCAGCTGTTGGCGCTCAGAGAGATAGCCAGCCCAGCTATCACTTTCATCTGAAGCTCCTCTCCAATTTCGGGTGAATGGCACACCGCTGACGAGTACCTTCCACTTCGTTTCATTCCTCAGCCAATATTTGAGATCGGCTAACTGGGATGACCCCAGCATCGTTCTCATTTTTTCATCTGTGACCTCGGGTCCAGAACGATACCGCCTGTTATCCGTAACAAAGAATGAAACGTTGCCGTGATCGAAGGTGAAGTAAGTCGCACCCGCGCGGAAGGGCGGCGGATTTGCTTGATGTTGATAATGGATAAAGGGCTGGATAGCCTGTTGGTAAAGACCGGTCTCCTGGGCAGACCAATCATTCGTAATCTCATGGTCATCATACATGTGCAGAAAAGGAATGGACTGAAGATTTTTGCTCCAGCTTGGTGATGCATACACATGTCGGTAAGCTGTTTGGTAATGCGCGAGGCCGCAACCATATCGCTGAGGAATGTCGATGTATATAAAATCCCCCAAAAACAGCATGAAGTCGATCTTCGCATGCGTGATGTACTTTGACAAGTATTCAAGCCCTCGTATTCGGAGGGAATGATCTGTCGGAACGTAGGGGAAGAATGGCATCATGCAGCTTGATGTGGCAATCGAGAATACTTTGGGATGAAGCATAGGCGTACGAAAAAAATCCACTATGGCTGGCGTTCGTTGTGTACGTGTATAGAGTATTCTCTTGTAAGCCGGAAAGGACGATCGTAGCCACGAAATCACTGTCGTCGTTGAAGCCTTCCACCATATCTGAATTCCACTCCGACTCCTTTTCAGACTTCCATTGCACACGGACCCGCTCCACACCTGGAGATCGCATCATGATCCGCGCAGAAGAAGAAGTCAGATAGCCTACTCTGGAGAAGGAGAGGTCTTGGCCGGAGTGCAAGAATTGACTCCTCCACAGGAAATCCCACGTTGCAACAATAGGAATACAGCTCATGAGAAAAGCTGCGCTAGATAGCCATAAGTGAGAAGGTTCATACCAGCCAAAAAGAAAAATACGCAGCTTAGATGGTCTCCTCCCCAATCTGCCGCGCTCTTCAGTCCGCCTATCATATAGGATATGGAGCGTGAAGGTGCTGAAGTACACAGTAGCGGTTGTGTAGATGATCGGTAAGTATCGAGGTCCAAGTGGTAGCTGCGTCAATGAGCATATGGAAAGATAGAGAGAATGGACAACATACGAAGCGGAGAAAGCAAAATACAGCCAGGAAAAGTAAAATGCGGCTGATTGCAGCAGCCGCTCGCAAGGTATTCCCGACAGTTATGCAACCTTGTAGAATAACCCCTAAATAGCGAATATTATAGTTCAAAGTAGTCATATTGAGCTTAGGAACCTGGAAAATTTTTGATTTCCTGTTTGCTCATGCGCGAAGCAGCCGTGAAAAGTGGTGCAATTCCTAAAGCAAAGGAATCAAGTGCTACCACCCGCCGTCCAGGGATTCTTTTCGTGGGCTAGAAAGATATGCCAGTCTAGCATCGGAATGCGCAAGACTTGGCATTGATTGAATGCGAAAATAAAAAGAAAAAAATATGTAGATGATAATTGATAATTCGCAGTTCGAGCACTAACGTTTCATCTTCGGTCCACGTGCTGATCTTAGCGTGCCGCCGATGCGGCTTGGGTATTCCCCACTCATAAACTTTACCTACCAGATACATAGCTCCTATTGGTTGCTAAATTCGCTTGGCTTTTCGTGATCCAATATCAAGCAGAAGGCTCGACACGTGGCCATTCATCTGCTATTCCACTTGCCAAGAACTTAAATTCATGGGCTGGGGAGAGAAGCTAAAAGTCTCATTAAGCGATATGTGGCCATTAGTCACGAACGTACTCCCTCTGGTTGGCCAGATTGTTAGGTCCTGCCATGTTCAGTCAAATAAACTCACCGAGGCCCACAGGGGCTTTTAATCATAGCGAGGGTTGGGTCAAATCTTTAAGGTTTATTGTATAGCGCTCGGAGAACCATTTTGGCAGGAGATAAGGAAACGACGGTCCCTTTAGTTTGGTAACGTAGACTTGGAACCTGTGTTAATTCTCATAGTGGCCATTCGAGTTAATGTTTGGGCAGAATTATCCGGGCTAGTAAACGAGCTCTAGAACGGCTTCAAGGATGAGGCTTTTGTTACATAGCCAATGATAAATTGTCCCAGTTGACCACCCGCGCCAAGTTTCAATTTCCTCGAACAAGATGTCAATAATCCGCCATTTCTATAATTTCACCTGCACCACCGCGTGGTTGGCAAAAACCTTTCGTCTCATTAAGGCCATCTCCCAAATCGTCACTGAATTTACCGCTGGCGATGTGTCGAAATCGCGATGGGCCGTCGCGAAGTCACAATTGGCGCTAGGTCAGTCACCTCATTTCCCTTTTATGATATCATAAATGCGTATCAATAGATTATAATATCTTCTAGCCAAACGATACTTCAACTTCTTTGAGGTTATTCATTCCTCCGACCACGTTGCTGCCATCCTCAGCGGAGACACGCAAGGGCGTGGAATGCTATGGATACTAGTTGAACTAGCACGTTGGAGCTGTTTCGGAACATATTTCTTGCTTGAAGACACAACGGTCAACGGTCGTAAGTTACTCTTTCCCTAGTATTCCTAAAATGCTGGCTTTGGTTTGGGCTTGGAAAGAAGCTAGAATACGTGATGGCTTAGTTCTACATAATGGCAATCTACCCGGCACACTGGAATAGGCCCGAGGTCGAACATGCTTACCGATTCCGGTTTTGTGCGCTTGCACTCTCCGTTTTCAGTCAATTTTCTATTTTAGATAGAAATTATCTCTTCCAATATCGAATGATGACTGTGGTCTGAATGGCGCGGAACTTATCCGAGCGATCCATAGGGCCGGAAATAAACTCGAAATCCATCTTTCGGGCACTAGTTGGTTCATTGGACTTTTACATATGACAGCCTAGCAGGGGCCTTTGCGCTTCTCATTTAAAAAGCTCTAGACTTCTAGTCTTGTGTCATCCAGACGGAGTGTCTCCGGTGAGCTCTCTGGCTAAACCGCTTTGAGCTCGAGGCACCACCGCACGGTGCCAAGTCAGGTCTAAATTGAAGATGCCAAGCTTGTACACTTGCCACGTGCTTGACCGCATATTATTCATGGATTTGAATAAAGGAGTTAAAGATGATAGACCAGGGCTGGCTTAACGTATATAAGGCCGTGCGCAAGGTGTGATCGATCATGACTTTGTCCAACATTGAGCGCACTTCACAAACCACCGTACCTCACAAGGATGAGTGACCATCAAATGAGCTCTCATGCCGTTAAAGGCATAGATGATACCATAACCCAGGTCGAAGTACCAGAAGGCCCAGTTGTCAAACGGACACGTCAGACAAGTTACCTCGATGTGCTGGTACAGGGTGTGGCTTTATTCTCTGATGGTTATAACATTCAAGTCATTGGGTACATGCTCACGGTTTTGGCCAAGCTGTATGTCAATCAAGAAGAGATACAACGCGGAGATATTGATTGACACCTTCCTAGGTACCCAAAGGATACGACTGGAGATGTTAAGACCCGACTCTCCAACTCTATCCTGATCGGTGACATTTTTGGAATGCTCATATTTGGGTACTGTATCGATAGATTCGGGAGACGACTCGGTGTTATCCTTACGACGTTGTTCCTCGTTTTGGTGAAATACTTCAAAGAAGCCGCACTTTTTTCAAACCACTAACAGTGTATATCAGGGCATTATCATTGCTACCGCGTCGCATGGAGCTACGATTAGAGGGATGTACTGGATGATGGTTATTGGTCGCGGTGTTGCAGGAGTTGGCGCCGGTAGGATCCCCTTGTGCTGGGAGAAGCTCTGGGACTAATTATCATAGGCGGCGAATATGCTGTATGCACATCTCAAGCCCTCGAATGCGCCGACGGTTCGGAACGTTTGCGCAAGAAAAGAGGAATGTTAGTTGCCGTGTCCACAAATGCTGCTATCATCGCCGGCTTTGTTGCCTCTAGTATTGTCTCTATCATTGTTGTTAAGGCATACAACGGCAATCCTAGCGACGGTATCTGGAGAATCTGCTTTGGAATTGGAATTATCGTACGTTGAACTGATTGTTATTGGAGAAAGGGGCTAACAGGATGCAGCTTCCACTGACAATCTTTATCTTCCGGATGCGTCTTTTCGACTCAACTCAATACGACAAACATGCCATACAGCGGAAGGTCCCATACAAACTTGCTCTGAAGTATTACTGGAAACCATTAATTGGGGCTTGTACTGCCTGGTTCCTATATGATGTCATCATCTACCCATTCAACCTCCTCGCGCCGACTCTGGTGGCCGGATTCTCTAGTAACTCCACCCTATTGCAAACAATTGGCTGGAGTGCACTCATCAATTCCTTTGCTCTCCCCGTGCATTTATTGGCGCCTTTCTCATGGATCGTATCGGCCAAAAGCAAACATATGTCCTCGGCTGGGCAATGGCTGCAGTGTTCGGTTTTATCATTGGAGGCGCAATGTTCAAGCTGCAACACGTCTTCCCGCTCTTCGTTGTTTTGTATGGACTCATGCAAACATGTCTCTCCATTGGACCGGGAGATTGCAATTTTCTAGTGGCTTCAGAGTCCTTCCCAACCCCTCTTCGAGGCCATTTTCTCGGCTTTGCAGCAGCGATTGGCAAAACTGGTGCGGCTGTCGGTACAAGTGCGTTGACACCAGTTGTATCAGCATTCGAGACAAAAATGGAGGGCCAAAGGGTTCTGTTCCTAATCGGAAGCGCCATCTCTGTGCTTGGGACTCTGGTTGTTTGGTTCCTGATTCCTGGGGTACATATCTCGTCCTTAAACTATAATGAATGAAGCTGACTGTTTTCTAGCATCCTGACGCTCTTGAGGACGGCGATGTCAGATTCAGGGAATATCTTGAGGCTAACGGGTATGACACTAGCCATATGGGTTTGAAGTCTGGTAAACATAATGAAGTTTTTGTTACTGGGCCATTTAATTGAGAAAGGGAAACACTTATCGCGGCTGTGAACTCAGTTACGGCTCAAAGTGCACCTTTTGTGTACTTAGCGAACGCTTATTGGGTATATGAGACCAAAAACAGAGTTAGGCTTTGGATGTTAAGAGGTGCCAGCGTGTGAAAAATTGAGTTGAAATTACTTGCATATTCGGTTGCAATCGCGATCCAGGAATGGGCAGCAGGCAGCATTTTGTTAGATGGTTCGAGTGGAATATATTGGCAGACTATAGTTTCCAGGTAGTCTACCATAGCATGGACTACAATTTCCTGTAGAGGACTCGGAAGTTATCACCGGATCCATTTACGCGATACAGCTCGCTCTATACACGCATAAAGTAGTGCTATCAGGCTAGCCGACAGCCAAGATTGGTGGTATTGGATTAGGTATTTCATCAAGTATTCGCAAATGGGATATTGCTCGACTGTTTCGAATATTCCTCAATTAAACAAGAGTATAAGTATGGCATGTGTATAACCAGATCTTTTACCGCCATAGCCTTCCTACTCGAAAATAACATCTTTTTCCCTCCATACACCCTCACCAACAGCGTTTTCTCCCGTCAACTACCGCTTGCACACTCAGCCATACCAAATAGTGGTCGTAGACCTGGTGGCAGCCTCTTACCAGGCAATACTCCTTTTCTTCCACCCTTGAGAATATATATATCATATATATATATTTCTAAACCCAATATACCTGTACCCAAAGTAGTAAGCCCCGCCTACAAAGTCTGTCTTTAACGCAGAACAGACATAATGGTTTACTCTTCGACATATATCAAGAGATCGTTTTCATAGAAGTAGGCTTCCGCACAGCCCAAGTTGGGTTCAACATCAGGACCCAGAAACAACCCACATTAGGTCTAGGCTAAAGTTCCACAGTCAAACCCTAAGATACTAGTTTTCTCACGTAAGAACAGCTTTCACACCTCGAGTATGGTGTCTGGTATAGGGATATTTTCTTCGATAATTGGCAGACTGCATAGAATTTTAATGGGCTTTAGCCAGCAAAAGCTTCCTCTAGATAACTGCACTTAAGTTGAGTTGCGGAGAGACCAGCTGTAAGGGAAATTGAGGTACGAATACGGTGCCTTTGCCCAGAAGCTTACACCTGAGCACTTATTCTTGGGAGTGATTAATGCATAATGCATAATTGCACCGCTAATCTGATTTAACTGATTTCGCCAATGGGGGTTTCCGGCTTTTCCTCAACTAGATGAAGAACCGTCCCCATGCGATCAAGCATATATTGTACTTGCGAAGTGGTTACCATCCTGTCATCAAAGAATGCCCAAATGACAATTTCCTCGCTTTTAACTTGGGCCACAAAGCAGAGACTCCAGAAGGTAAATTCGGCTTCGTGAAATTGCCATTTGGTGACGCGATCGGATCTAGTGTTGCTATAGTCCGGTAGGAGCATAAGGCTCGTTTGGAATTGACAAGCTGCTCTGGTTTCCGGACTGAGAGTTCTGATATGGCTCAGCTCTGCGCGTTGGTAAGGAATACTTTCCAGGGCTTGCTTCTGCACTGCATTTAGCGTCTCCTGCAATGTGTCCCCTTCATGTAGCTGGATGCGCACAGGTACTGACGCAGATGTAGGACCGAATATGTGCGCAATTCCAGGCAGAGGGGCATCCCGTCTGGCAATATGAATCCCAAAGACAACGTCCTGGTCGCTCGTCGCAGAAGCAATTGCGGCTGCTAGGGCTAGTCGAAGTTTTGATTCGACTGTTGCCCGGTGCACCGAGTGTTGGGGGATCTCAACTCTCTTTTCAAGCATGCTGGAGCCTCTGGGTCTATACTCAGGACAGGGTAGTGGGGGGAATATGTTGCGCGAAGCATCGAAGGTTGCAAACTTGTTTTTCCAGAACTCGTCGACAGAAGGGCTGAGTGTCGATGTCCATTCGAGAAACAGATTATATGGATAAGCTTCCGGAGGGCAATTTCCCTCGTATGCCGCTTCTAGCCGCTGTAGAAAAAGTTCAAGTGAGAAGCCATCATGAAGGACATGGTGAAACAAGATCGTGAAGTGATTGGAATCCGCTTCCCAGAACAATTGCAGGAGCGGTTTCTTGAAACCCCAAATATCAGTTCCGCGTGGAGGTCTAGACGGATGAACAATAACGGGTGCTTGGGTCTTCATAACCACCTGGAAATACTGGCCTTCAATTTCCAATATCTCAGTGCGGAGAATGGGGAACTCGCGCACCATCATGCACCATGCATTGCAAAATTGTTTTGGATTCGACTCCGTTAATTCAATATGCAACGTGAGATTGCCATTTCTGTGAGCTGAAAGATCGATAGATTGGGCTTGATCGTCGGTGCAGCGATAAATGTCATGAATGGCTGCAATTGGGTTCTCCAAATGTTGATATTGGCTCAAGGCATTCTGTATAATTTGCTGTGTAACTTGATCATTGCCTAGCAATGCAAAAGGCTTCAAACCTTCCAGCCGGGTGATGACACTGCTAGGCTTTGCGACACCTGCAAGGGCGGCTAGAGTAGGATTTTGGAGGACGTCTTGGACGCTCATTAACAGGCCATTCTGAGATGCACAGTCGATAAGCTTGATGGTCAATAATGAGTCTGCACCAAGGTCAATCCAGTTACTCTGGGAATTAATCGTATCTGATGAGATATTGAGGACAGTAGCCCACAACTTCTGCAAAGCCTTTTCATTGGCTGTCGATAGATCGTTCGAGTTTGGTGTCTCGGGCTGATTCCGATGGAGGAGACCATTTTCTCCCAAAAAGGCCATCGCATCTTCTCTGAGACGCTTTCGATCCGTCTTCACAGACGTCGTCATTGGTACATGCGTGACAGGGATGAAATAATCCGGGACCATATATGCAGGAAATTGACTTTCGAGCTTCATTTTCAGCTCTTGAATTTGTTCCTCAAACGGGGGCGTTGGATAACCGCAGATCGAAGCGGAATAATAGCCCTTGTCCTCCCTGATGGCCTCAAAACCGGGACAATATAGCAAAACACATAGCTTCGGCGCTTTATCTTTGATTGCTACCACCTCCGCAATCACGTCTCTCGCCAGTGGGAAGCAGGATTTCACCTTCACCTCTATCTCCCCAAGCTCTACCCGCTGACCGCGGATCTTCACCTGTGTATCCTTTCGGCCAAGGAAATCAAGCGATCCATCCAATCGGTCATTGTACCGGACTAGGTCTCCGCATTTGTACAGCTTCTTTCCGGTTCCTGAACGTCTGAGCTGGCCCATCCAAGAGGGGGGTCCGATATACGTCGCTGCTGTCAGCTGTGGCTGATTGATATAGCCCTCTGAGAGTGCATGGCCTTCGAGCAACAGCTCTCCTTCCATACCAACTGGCATGAGCTTGTGATGGTCTTGAGGGTCCACCACCCAACAACACAAGGCCGGCGATAGACCCAGATTCATTGGACCAGGTGCTTGGGCTAAATCAGGGACGATAGTCGTATTGCATCCACCTGCCTCGCATGGGCCGTATCCAATCTTCAGCTTGACATGCGGACTCCACAGGTCAATTTCACTCTGAGTCACTGCTTCTCCCGACAGCAGAAGATATTCGAGCGTCGGCAGGCTTTTTGGGCTCAGAATGCGTGCCAACGAGGGCGTGAAGGCCGCCCAATTTGCTTGTAAACTGGTAAGCGTTTTGGAAAGCTCGTTCTGTCGTTGCCACTCCGACGGAATGCAGATACAACCACCACTGATCAAGGTGAAAAGCATATCCATGACCCCGACGTCGAATGCGTAGGAGGCGAATTGAAACACGCGAGACTTCGGTCCAAGCTCAAGTAGCTCTATGTTCGGCAATGCTCCTGTTATGAATGCCGAATGCGAAATTACCGCGCCCTTGGGCTTTCCTGTCGACCCCGATGTAAATACCGCCCAAAAGGGGCTACTCGATGAGATGTTGGGACATGGCGAATGTTCATATAGAATTTCCGTATCTTCTTCTTGTAGCAATTCTTCACCCACAATCATAGAAGCGGGCGCAAGCATCGAAGCTATTTCTGATTGATTGGCCGATGTCAGCACCAGAGCTGCGTCGATATCCTGACATATGGACTGCAGACGTTCTGGCGGGTGGTTGCAATCGAGAATGACAAAGGCAGCCCCGGCCTTAAGAATGCCCATAATTGCGACCGGAACCCATCGTGATTTCTCTACGCAAATTGGGATAAAGCTTCCTGGATGTATGACCTCTTTATGGGGACCACCGAGTAGCCCAAGAGCTAGTCTCGTAGACAACCTTCCAATCTCCGCGTAGGTAAACTCTCCGTCCCAGCTGCAAACGGCAAGTGCATTAGGTTGAGATCGAATCCTGTCGTGGATGACATTCGGGATGCAAGAATCGACAGCACCGGGAAGGTGAGCATTCCATTGTTTCAGTTGCTGAATGTCTTGGACAGTCAAATCAGAAATTCCAGCTGAGCTGAAGATATTCTCCGCGAAGTCATTCATCTTCATGCGGAACTTTTCGGTGTTGATCTGGGAATGGGCTGCTAGTGGGCCTTTAAGGCATTGAGCGACGTACCGTAAGATTGATTCGGCGTAGGACCGCGTCAGTGTATCCGGGTGCCGTATTCCGATTCATACTTTCATTACAGTGGGAAACACTTTCTTTAGAGGCGTTACCAGACAATACATATCTAGTCCCGGTGGACTTAGCAGCTGTATATTAAGCCATAAATTACGTTTATTCGAAGCTGAATCCATCTAAATCTCCAAATCTACAATTCCCTGACATCTTTCAGTTACGGACCACATTAGTAAGCTTTATGTTCAAAGGGCGGTGCTCCCAAAGGCCATATTCTAGGGAGTCATGGGGATCGATGTTATCTGGCTGAGAATCCAAGTCGAAGTTCCATAGCAGGCGCGCTAGGGTCAGTCTCATGTTCGAGCTAGCCAAGCTATGCAAATGTCAATATCAAAAATTGGAATGTACGTGTGTCGCGAGACTTACTTTTGGCCGATGCAGTTTCTCGTTCCAATCGAAAAAGGGTGGAAAACTGCTCGGTTATCGGAGTCAAATCTCGGATCTCCCAGCCATCGTTCCGGATGGAAGGATTCTGGGTCCTTGAAATAGTCAGGCCAGCGATAAGATGTCAATTGAGTCACGGACACCCATGTCTTAAGGAGAGGTCTGGTCAGGACAAAGTAAACCAAAGAAATGGAATAGAAAGACGCACCCCACCAGGAACAAACTGTCCATCGATGAATCGGCCACCCTTCGGAACGATTCGCGGTAGTCCCACTGGTACACTCGGGTGAATTCGCATCGCCTCGTCAATAACCGCTTTCAAGTACTTTAACTTCATCACTTCAGGAATCGTAATTGACTTCTCAGTTGGGAAAGCGTCCCGAATCTCTTTCACGAGTGCCTTGTAGCTGTGTGGATTGTGTGTGATGTAGTAGACCACCGAGGTCATGGTGGTGGCCGTGGAATCACCACCCGCTGTCACCAGAATATTCACATTATCCAACAGTTCGTCATGCGACATCTTATCCAGCAGGTAAGACAGAATATCCGGACGCTCATTGTCAGTCTTCTTCAAGCGTTCGGTGAGTGCTTTGGTGCAGTTCTCTAGGTGGAATATATACTGGCTCTCAATATCTGAGGGGATGAGTTTCTCTAAGAGCCAGTGGTAAGGCTTCAGGCGGTGCGCAGACTGGATCAAGGTTGAATGCTTGATAGCAGTATAAATCACCGAGATCCATGGGTGATATTCGCCTTTTGAGAGAGAGTCAATGCTGGCGCCAAAGCACAGCGAGCTTAGCACGTCAAAAACTTCAAAATTGAACCATGCCGCCAGGTTTACCACGCCATCTGCAGCAGGGAAATAAGCTTCACCCGTGCGCTTGTCTAATGAGCTCATCATCTGGTCGATCGATTGTTGGATGAGAGATTCCTGGTCGCGGATCGCACGATCTGAAAATGCCGGAGACATTAGCTTGCGCACTGCGGCATGTTCCTGACTGTGCGCAAAGAAAATGTTGGTGATATCCTGAGACCCCTGCAAGTAGGCGATTCCATTCTTTTCATAGACCTTGCCGATACCTGTAGTGCCGTAGATCTCCTGCCACGCGCTCGCGCTGATGAAAGACAACTCGTTGGAGGCGGTGCGTACAACAGGACCGTATTTCTCATGTAGTTTGGTGATATATTTTGTCGAGTCGCCCTTGGCAAGATGGTATGACCAGACGACCTGAGACATTGCATCCAGCTTCGGCCCGGGGAAGCGTCGGAGGGGGTTGAGGAAGAGGTGATATAACGCCAGGAGTAGGTGGAAGCCGAGGAGCTAAGTTTGTTAGATTGTGGCCACCAATGCATGGAGGAGTAGTATATACCGAACCGAGGATGGCTCCGGCGGCTTGCAGCAGGATACTCAACATTCCTGCAAAGCTGGGAACTGCAAATCGGGAGATGCAAGATATTGGACAAGAGAGTGTGAGGAGATGATCTAGTCTATGGCTACAGCCAGGATTAACTTAGTGATGTAATGAGATAAGTAGTAATAAAAGATTCCTTGATTGAATGCTTTTGTGCCTGTACAATTACTCGTACCATACAGATACCGACGAACGTGTGTATTGTATGAGTGACCGCCTCTAGCCGTATTTCTCCCGCCAAAGCTCCACTATGGTGCAGCTCCGCCACAGTCCCACCATGCCCACTCCCAAGGCCATCGATTCAGCCGGTTCCTGTCGATAGGTCGATATACTAATGATTCGTGACGGGCGTATTGAAATATACATACAGGATTTCCTTCCGTGTTAGTCCCCAAGCGAGGTTTCTCAATTCTGGCTGCCTGCGTTAGCGGACTTACCCAGCCACCGGTTGCTTGACAGGAAAAGTCTCAATACTGTTTACACTACACCTACAATCATGGCGAAAGATGCAGCAAGTATGGCATCTCATATCCCTCAGTAATAGTATGTTGCTAACCATATCACACTGAAGAGCCGTTTATTATGAGAGAGGTGCGTTCTGAGGCAATCTCTGCAGGAATAACTGCTTACAGGACACGCAGGATGAAATGGAACGGCTAGGTGCGTTGAGTGGAGATTGAAGTGCTTTTCCATCCAAAGCATTTCTTCTAACTTCACCATTTGTAGATGATTTGCACGTTATATGCTCAATGCTGGCAAACGGAGGTTTGGGTTGGGCTCCAGTCAGGGCTCCAACCAGTGTCTTGGACCTGGGATGTGGGACTGGTGAGACCAACAAAGTAAGGAGAGGGCATCAGTTTAGCTTACATCTTTTTCTAAGGAATGTGGATGGCGGAGTACTCGAAGGCAAACCCTTCTGCTCAGGTACGTCATCAAAATTCCCACCAAGCATTCAGTATGCTTAGCGCACTTAGATTACTGGACTGGACCTTGAGGTGGCAGATCAATCAACGTAAGCACTACAAAAGCGAAAATCAAGAAGAAAAGAAAATCAACAAGCAACAAGCGACTGATCAATTGAAATAGCTTACCCGAAAACTGCGTCACACTGGAGGCCGATTTAGAGCTGAAATGGCCATTCACTACCACTTTTGACTATATACACACACGGTGGTTGGTTGGATGCATCTTTGACTGGCCCAAGTTTTTCCAGCAGTGCTATGATCACCTCGAGGAAGGCGGCTGGTTCGAAGCCCTTGACATAGGGTTCCCAGCGCACTCTTCCGACGGGACCTTGCGCCAGGACAGCCATCTTGTGGCATGGAATGCTTTGCTGACGCGGGCAGCCTCGATATCGGGGCGGGAAATCACCGTCGCGGAGAAATTTGAACAAATGATGCGTCAAGTTGGCTTCAAGAATGTCACCGTTGTTGAGAAGACGCTACCGCAGAACGCATGGCCATCTGATGACCAGGGGAAGGCGCTCGGCAAAATTGCCCTTCCCGTGCACAAGTTTGGCCATGAGCGTTTGGGGCATGACTTCCTGGTACCCCACTTGAAGTTATCTCCGGAAGAGGTGGATGCCAAGCTTCAAGATGTGTGGAAGGAGATGGAGGATGAGACTATCCATGCCTGGTGGCCTATGTAAGTCATTTTCTGATTCCATGCAAGATTGACTGCAGATTGCTGAGGTTTGGATAGTTATATTGTATACGGCCAAAGACTACGATAGTAGTAGTTGGTACTGAGGACTGTGGCGCGGATATATCTTGTTCTGTGTAAATCGCAATCTCTTCTAACTCTCGACCACGTACCTCAAGTATCACTTTTGATAAATTTGCAATTATATGAAAGCAGAAACCTTTCTCTCAGAAAGGGCATGAGTCCTCAGTCAGGGGTGCGGCAAGTTGGTGGAGGTTTAGAGCTTGGAGTGAGACAAGCTAGAACAGTGAGACAAACTAGAACGAGACTAAGCGAGCAGAAAGAAACGAAAAAAAAAATTGATTGAACATAAAAGTCAAATGCAAGGTAAGCAAGTGATAAATCTTTATCCGAACGTTCCTTGCGCGCGGGGTGCTCGTTGAAAATAAGGCCTCATCTAAGCGACCGTCTTCAAGTGATGCATGTATCTACCTATTAAAGTCCCATCCATCGCAGGAAACTGAGGTGCGGTAATTCCCAGGGCCTGCTCAACGTTTGTTTGGTCGTATACCGGCATGTTCTCATATAACTCCCACCGGGTCATCCCCTTGTAGACAATCTCAGCAAGCATGGGCTGCAACGGCTGCAAAGGCAGCGGAGGTGTCCTGGCCAGCTTCTCAATCCAATCTTGGTAACTGACTTTGATGATCAACCCTGTGTCGGTAGCCTGGCCGACAAGTTCCATGGTGTCGTCCATGTCAATAGACACATCTGGATTCGGAGGGACGATATGATACGCATGTCCAAGCAATTGGCTGCCTGTTGACGGGGAGGAGGACAATTTGGCTATTTGCACGATGATGGCGTTGACATAATCGACGGGTACAAACTCCTTCCGCTGGTTTGGCAATTGAGGATAACAGCCCATCTGCGCACAAGCCAGTATTAGTCGGCTGAAGAAATCGTCCGGGTTGCAAACCCCCGTCTGACTGTGTCCAGTAATAAAGCCCGGGCGATAAACTGCGATTGGGAATCCTCGTTCAATCAATCGACGTAGAAGTTGCTCCACGACCCATTGGCTTTGTGCATAGCCGTGATCATATGGCAGGGCATCCACATGCTTCATCAAGCATTCATCCTCCAATACCCGTCGTGTCCCAATGAACATTCCTGTTGGGCCAAAACACGAGATACTAGAGACATAGTGCATTGGCTTCAGGCGGCCTGTAATCGCAAGCTTCATTATGTGGAGCGTTCCCAGAGTATTGGCCGGGCGGTGTAACGAGTAGGGCTGGGTGTAGTTGACGCGAGCACCTAGGTGGAAGATCACACTCGCCCAATTCGCGATTTCCTCGAATCTCTCAGGACTCATTCCCAACCATGGATCCTCCAAAAGCCCAGGGAGTGCCAGAAGTTTATCTTGGAAGCAATCTTCCCAAAGCCCGTACTTTTCCATGCCAGCCTTAATTCGCTGTAGCCCAACAGCGGGGCTTGTTGCCCGAACTAGACAACCCACCTGGCGGACCTCCTTCATCTTCAGCAAATCGACGAGCATGAAAGCACCGACAAATCCAGTCGCACCGGTGAGAAAAACCCGGCCCTCAGTATCTCGGCACCAGTCCACAAGCCGCGCGGATGCAGGGGTGGGAAGATGATCTGCAATATGAGTATCGGCAACCCAAATATCGCGCTCATTTCGAACTGCTGTCAGGGCCTTTACCTGTGCTTTGTCGATTGTAGCCGATAGAGCGCTCAGAGTAGGGTTGTCATATAGTGCCAACAGAGAGATTTCGCACTTGAACACGGCACGGATCTGACTGATCAAAAGCGACGCCTGTAGGGAGGTGCCTCCTAGCTCAAAGAAATGATCCGAGTCGCAATAGATACTGGCATCTGGTGAACCCAGGATGTTGGCCCAGAGACTTTCCAAGCGGTCGCGCGTGGTGTTGGCCTTGACATCCTCCTCCACTGGATACTCGAAATCAGATTTGGCAATAGGTTGCACGGGTTTCCGCTCATTCCATCGTTGGCAATAAAATAGAGCCAATTGCTTGCGGTCGATCTTGGCATGTGCATTTAAAGGCATCCGTTCGATAAGTTCTATCCGGGGGACCATGTAATCTGGCAGAAGGCTGCGCACCATATCGGTTGCCTGTGAAATCGACACCAGCTCAGGTGAGACGGCAACTGCATACGCCACGAGCAATGAGTTGGCCCCATCTTGGGACGCATCGACTTTGAGAGCTGCAACATCGGAAAATTGCCCTGTTTTTCTAAGTGCTGCTTCGACAGCCTCCAGCTCTATTCGATATCCACGAATCTTGACTTGGTTGTCTGCCCGACCGAGGAAATGAATTTCCCCGTTCTCTGGGGATCTTCGTACCAAGTCGCCGGTGCGATACATGCGGACCTGGGTGGCTTTGCCATCGTTGCCAATCTGATTTACGTAGACGAAGGCTTTCGAATTTTTCTCGTTCTGGTTCAAATAACCAGGAGAGACTCCGGGGCCGGCAATCCAAAGTTCCCCTGGTTCGCCATCAGCCACCGGGTCGCCGGTCTCGTGGGAGCATATATAAGCTGTCGTTCTTCCAATTGGCTTGCCGATACTGACTCTTCCAGCATTGACATCATCAATAGTAATTTGATGAGCGAGGCAAAGAACGCAGCACTCAGTGGGTCCATATGCGTTAATGAGGATGTCTGGTGGACCATAGTCGAAGATTTGTTTTACGGCCTTCATATTTGCCGCCTCGCCACCTATCCAACACATGCGAAGCTTCGAAAAGGCTTGGGGAAATGTGGTGGCCGCTAGGTTGAGTAACGCCGTCGTTGTGGCCATGACCGTGATCCCCAGCTTGTCTATCTGCTCTGACATGAGAGGCATATCGAGGAGTACTGATTTGGGAAGTACAACAATCCGAGCGCCTCGAAGCAAAGGGGCCCAGATGTCAAAGAGAGCCACGTCAAATGTGGTGTTGTTGACATGTGCAACAACATCAGTTGCATGCAGAGGTTCAAATGGTGCATGATACACCACCTCCAGAACAGAGCGGGTAGCTATCGCAACTGCCTTGGGCTCGCTTGTTGTGCCGGAAGTATGTATAATATGCGACCGGTGCTCGGTATCAGTGAGAATAGGAAACGGCGAGGCTAGTGTTATTTCCGTTGTTTGTTGTGCCGAAGTTGTCGAAACCTCGAATGTCGACGATGGGTGTGGCTCTGCGTTCACGATAATCTGGTGGAAAGCGAATTGGAGCTCCGGTCGATGAGAATTGGCAGCGTCCACCAGGACAGATTGAGCGCCTATGCGTTGTAGGCGAGCCTGGATTTGGCTTGCAGGGAGCGTGGGATCCATAGTTGCACAAGTGCCACCTGCATAGATGATCGCGACCTGGGCGACGACGTCCCAAATGCCATGACGAACCACTATCCCCACCGGTTCTTCTCGAGCAAAGATGTGGCTATTCCGAAGCTCATTAGCAATTTCAAGGGATTTAATATGGAGTTTAAGGTAGGTTAGGCTCAAAGAGCCGTCAACCACTGCAATGGCATTGGGGGTTCGCCGCACTTGGTCGTGCAAGAGCTGGCCCAACCCTGAATTCTGGGCCAACATAAGGTCGTAGTCATCTGAAGGGTTATATATCATGGTGATTGGGAGGCAATGTTACCTGGTGATGTTGGCATAGTTAAATGAAGACTGAAGAGCCGAACACATTGCAAGGACATATATCGCTCTTCTATACCGTGTATAAAATGACACAAATACATAGATACACGAATACATAAATACGTAAATACCTGAAAGGCGTAATGTCCCCACCTGTATCATTGTATTGAGATCCTAGAACCCTGCCGCTGATCATGTCGGTAGGAGATGCATACGGGGTTATTCTCCAGCGTTGATCCCTTGCTAGCTTCTGAGCTAATGTACTCCACAGTTGCAGAGGGCGTTCTTGGCTGTGGGTTGTAAACCCATACCGAACACGACCGAGGGGCACCCTCTCTCTGCCTCAATATACCAATGGCTCATTAACATCCAGAGGTTGCTTTGTGCTCTTTCTTGACTTCTATTTCTTATACATAGTGTTCTGAACATGAGCCTTATTACAGTTTTTGGAGCGACTGGGAATCAAGGGAGCTCCGTTGTCCGGTCCCTCCTCCAAAACTCCTCCTTCCGTGTCCGAGCCATCACGCGCACTCCCTCATCTCCTGCAAGTCAAGCGCTAGCTGCTGCGGGAGCTGAGATTGTTCAAGCTGATGGCTTCAAAGCCGAAGAAATTCGAGCGGCATTTGAAGGGAGCTGGGGCGCTTTTGTAAACATCAACTCGGACGATAAGGTGTTTGCAAACCCAGATGGCCCAACCGAATTCGACTTGGGCAAGACAATCGTCGATGCCGCGACTGCCGCCAGAGTGAAACACTTTGTCTTTAGCTCAGGGCCACCATGCACTGAGATGACGGAGGGCAAGGTCCGCATGAAAGCCATGGATAGTATGACCTCCCACCCTTCCTGGTCATCTTTCGTGTGTCAGCTCACTCCCCTTCTCTAGTGAAGTACCAGATAGAAAAATACGCCCAGAGTCTCGGAAGCTTCGAGACTGTCATACCCATTGGTGCTGCATGGTTTTTCGAAAACTTCCTTGGCAAAGAAGTTGCCCCAGTCTTTGGCGGATTCCCCCATTTCCCTGACGCTGAGGGCATTCGGACCTTTCGTGTCCCTTACTGGGGTGGCGATGAGCGCGTACCATTCTTGAGTGTGGTAGAAGACTGGGGAGATATTGTTCACGGTATATTTCTGAATCCCGGTCGCTGGAATGGTCACTTCGTCCATGGAATCAGCCATATTTGTAGCTTCGACCAGTTAGTTCAAGATTTCCAGCAAGGTATGCACTGCCTCGACCCTTTGTTGGCTCAGAATTATCAACTGACGTCATCCTGTAGCAACTGGGCATCCATCGCGTTTTGCTCCAATCCTTCCTTCGTGGGAAGCTTTCGAGACTCATGGTATTCATGAGCTCCAAGATGTGAAATTGATGTTTGGCTTCACTCAAACTACCGGTGGCTTGTATTTTGCTACCCCAAGTGAGACAGATACTGCGGCCCAGTTGAAAAAGGCCACAGCACAGGCATTGGGCCGCCCAATGGCTGCACAGAATCTGACAACAGCTCCAGCCTGGTTCAAGAGTCATGCCAAGAGCTTTGAATAATTCTGACCAAATAGATCTGGATACTTATTCCGTATTATCAAATAGAACGGCTCATAATGAAGATATGTGAAAGAGGAACGAATTAGTATTACGGGGAAAATAGACCAAATAGGGCGACAAACACCCCACACGACCATAGCATCTTGTATGCGTGAGAGAGACATCTGCATGCAGAACGACAATCCCTCAATCTGGTTGAATCTATTCCTAGGTATGTGTCTGCGCGCATGTGTATCTTCGAAACCGTAACTTCACCAGGGCTATGTAGATATAAGTCTGTGTAGACAGGGATGCGGTCAGTTGACAAGGAATAGACACTGTGTGGCCATATGTGGCGAATGAATAGCGGGATTCAAGATATGGGCACATAGCTGGTCGTATCCTTCTGCCAGTTTTGGGTCATCAGCGTGGATTGATTATTGGATGGGCAAGCCTTGATGAAGCGGAGAGGAATGACCTCTCTCCCCAAACGGGAAGACGGTGGCACTGATGATCACAGTAGCGAAACCATGAGGATGAAGATGGTCAGAGAACATCAGCAAAGGACTCGTTGACTTCATACAATAGAATTGAAGATGAATATATGTGGAAGAATGGTGAGTCAATGGTATGGGAGGAGGATGAGCAGAGCTACAGATATATAATGCTATTTTGAGAAGTAGAGCAGCAGCGGATCAAAACTCAATTAACGCTTAATATTCTATGTTGTTTATTTCGTCTAATCTAGACTGACGGAAGATAGTAGTAGTCACTCCGAACTCTTTTAACTATATACAATATCACCACTTCACAAGCCATGGACGCCTATTCTGAGGATATCAGCATGACGGGTCTGTACTGCGTCTGCTATTTCCTCCACGTTCCACTTCGCCCACGCGAACCGCCCATGCAAAAAGGCAGCTTTAGGAGAGGCGGCCCAGACAGCGAAATTAGCAGGGAGTTCTTCTGATTGTCTAATAAGCCTCGATGTTAACCCTAAAAAGAATCGGCTGGACGTACCGTCATCCCAATCCAAATCTTCATGGGTGCAGCCCATGGATCTCATGCCCTCACTGTAGATAAACCCGGGATGAAAGCTGATGATCTGGGCCCGCTCTAGGGGTGTCTCTGTAGCCAGATGCTGTAGCGCACTAGCAAAGGCGGATTTCGAGCTAGCATATGCCTGAAACCCAGCTGCTATTGCCTGATCGTGGATGAATGGGCTGGAAACATTCAAAATTACCTAAAGAATCCAACGATTAATGAGTAAATCGTTGCTTCAAAGGCGTATCCAATCTCCTGCTTACCTTCTGTTTTGTGTCTGCTTGGCTCATCATCTTCTCCACCAGAATCATATTTCCTCGGACATTGGTCTCAAACAACTGCCAGGTTTTTTGCCACCCAAGACCGAGCATAGATGATTCCTGGGCCTGTACACAAGCAGCGTTTAGAACGAGCACGTCTACAGCAATTTGTCGATCATTCAGCTGCGCCCATAACGCCTCAATATCGGTCGGGTCCCCTATATCGCACGTAATGGGGATCACTGTTGCCTGAAACTCCGATTCCAAATTGAGCACGGCCATATCCAGCGCAGCGCCACCTCGAGCAACTAGAATCACCCGAGTAACTCCGGCGATTGCGAATGCGCGGGCAATGGCAAACCCGATGCCCTTGGAGCCACCTGTGATCAGCACAGTACGACCAACTTGGGAAAGGTCGGCGTGAGCGGCGCTGATGGCGTCGTATGGACCCTTGTGGGTTGTTGGCGTAAAATTCGTCATGGCTATCCCAGATCCTCAGCTTCGCGGTGGAGGGAGGAGTGGCTCCCGGAATGGGATGGTGAAAGGGGCTGTAAATTTAACTTGATGCTACCATCACCAATCGACAACGAAGCCGTCTAAGAAGCGGTGAGAGTGCAGGCATCCACAGCCACCGATTTAGCCCACTTCGCAAAGCGAAGTATACCTATCACTTTCATTTGTGGACAGAACTAGTGGAGTGGATATGGTTGAGAGAGGGGAATTAGCGCTGGTGGAAGAGAATGGATCTGGATCAGTCTCAGGTCCCGATCTAAACCGGGCAGAGATCGGTACTATGAGGGGTCTGGATCTGCATCTTGAAATATGCCCCCACACAGCATGCATTCCGCCAGGAAGGAAACTAGGCAGTGGGGCTCGCTAGCTGATGCTATTTCTCCGCCAACCGATCATTACTGTATGATGAGCCATAAAACATGCATCTCGTATCCGGTGGGGCCGAAGATTCAGGATATTGTGTGTCGTATTGAAATACGCTAGCTTGTAAAAATAATTCTTACCCGGTATGTATCAAAACAGGAACGCTGAAACATGCCGAGATTCAAATTATTCAAGGTACCAACCAAGTTGAAATCCCACTTGAGCTCCTGTGGTGGATTTTGTTTCTGATGTTTGTTTCTCCCCCTGCCTTCAACTGCTGGTTTATTTAGTCTGAAAGTCCTCATGGGGTCTACCTTGAACAAGCCTGCTGCTCAATCGCACCTCGCTGTGACATGTGCTGCATATGACAGTCTGCAAAAGTATATTGCAGGTGAGCCTATCGCCATTGATGGTAGTACTTTGGATTTGGCAGCCGTCGTCGCAGCTTCATAGTAAGAAGCACTTCATTTGTGAAATCCCCTGAACAACCTTCTGACTAGCTAATGTAGCTACGACTGCACCCCGGTGCTTACCGATGATCATTCAGTGCAAGAGCGTATCACGGCCAGCGTGGATGTCTTGATGGATCATCTCACAAAAGGGCACAATGTTTATGGTGATTACACCAGCCCCAATTGTCTACAGTGGGAGTTTCTTTTTAATCAAAATTCTAGGCGTCAACACCGGATTTGGCGGAAGTGCTGACTCCCGCACGGGCAAGTGGGCCTCATTGCAAGCAGCATTGCTGCAGCTCACACAGGCGGGTGTTCTGGTTAGTGCAGACAGGAACCCCGGGTCCCTGGATAGCTCCAGTAGTTTTGGGGCCCATGCCATGCCTGGGTCATGGGTGCGTGCCACAATGGTTGTTCGACTCAACCATTCAGCACGCGGTCATTCAGCCGTCACGATTCCTGTGATCCAATCGGTCTTGAAGCTACTGGAAATGCGGATTACGCCCGTGGTTCCACTCCGAGGGTCAGTCTCAGCTTCTGGAGATTTGATGCCCCTGGCCTATATCGCCGGCGCGATCCAGGGTAGCCCTGATATACTTGTGCAGACGCCGAATGCTTTGCCCGCAACTGGTGTGAAAGTCACTACCGCGTTGGACGCATTAAAGGCTGCGGGTGTTAGTCCTGCTCAATTAGGCCCAAAAGAGGGACTGGGCCTAGTGAACGGTACTGCTTCTTCAACCGCTCTGGCTAGTCTGGTCATGTTTGAAACACATCAGCTGGCGGTGCTGACCCAGGTGCTGGGAACGATGGCAGTAGAAGCGCTCCAGGGTAGCTCGGAGAGTTTTCATCACTTTATCTCTGCCGTCAGACCTCATGCCGGACAGATCGAAACCTCGAGAAACATGATGGCCATGTTGCAAGGATCTTCTCTCGCCAAGGGCATTCTCAGCAAGAAGAACCACCACGAGCAAGGACTCGAGCAAGATCGGTACGCCCTACGCAGTGCGCCTCAGTGGATTGGCCCGCAGTTGGAAGACCTTCTCCTTGCACACAAACAGGTTGAAGTAGAGCTGAACTCTACAGCGGACAACCCCTTGGTCGATAGTGAGAATGGTGAGATCTACTACGGTTGTAACTTCCAGGCAGCCGCCATGACTTCTGCAATGGAGAAGTCGCGTTTGTCACTTCAGATGATGGGAAAGCTGTTGTTTGCCCAATCTACGGAGATGATGAACCCAGACTTGAGCAATGGGTTGCCCACCAACCTCGTTGCGGATGATCCAAACTGCTCCTTTACAATGAAGGGCGTGGACATCAGTATGGCTGCATACATGGCTGAATTGGGATATCTTGCCAATCCGGTCAGCTCCCACGTGCAATCTGCGGAGATGCAGAACCAGTCAGTCAACTCGATGGCGTTTGTCTCAGCACGCTATACGCTGCAGTCCGCTGAACTTGTCTCCCTTATGTCCGCCGCATTTATCTATATCGCTTGCCAAGCGCTTGATCTCCGAGCCATGCATCTGGCTTTCTTGTCAAGGCTCTCTTCAATAATTCCTCCCACGCTGAGTGGCTTTGCCCCATATCTGTCCTCGGAGGAGCGGACTATGTTGGCCAATGCCCTGGAACGCCACATGGCCAGCAACTGGAAGACGACTTCAAAGTTAGAGGCGACGGCTCGTTGCCAAATCCTGGTGGACTCCTCATTGGCGATTATTCTCCAGGTTCTCGTACAATGCAAAACCTCTACCCCTCGAGAGCCTCTTGATATGACCGCTATTTTGGGAGCTTGGAAAACCCAGGCTTTGAGTGCTTTGGTCCGTGCCTATGATGAGAACAAGGATGCGTTTTTCGCTCACCAGCACACGGAAGAGTTGCTGGGTATGGGATCCAAATTGATCTATGCTTTTGTTCGGAAGGATCTGCATGTCCCCTTCCACCAAGGGTTTACTGAGCATCCCACTGTGGAGAGCGATCAACTCAATGGAAGACCAAAGAAGACGGTGGGTAGCTGGATCTCAATCATCTACGAAGCTCTCCGGACCGGCCAACTGCAGAAGCCTTTGATGAACTGGTTGTCTGAAAACATCGCAGCGTTTGAGTAGCTCGGATTCCCTGTATAGTATCCACCTGCGATCTTCATGAATGTACCTGTGATCCGAATACATAAACAAATTCGGCTCCTTTTATTTTATATCATTCTTGTAACACGGCGTCTTTGACTCCGATCACCCCGACCCTCAAAAACTGCTGATTTGCCAACTCCTTATCGCCCAGTTTCTTCCGCATCTCCTCTATATCCCATCCTGCCCAACAATATCGTCCATGAAGGAAAGCTGCCTCATTCGTCGCAGCCCATACAGCAAAGTTCCCAGGGAGAGTTTCTATGAAAGTATCTATGTTAGCAGGAGCATAATGTATTGGATCGAAGAAGTGCATCGCACCATTGTCCCATTCATAGCAATCCCGCGGCAGCATTTGGGCGATGGTGTCTGTGTAAATGCCACCAGGGTGCATATTGATGATTTGAACGTCTGATACCGGGATTTCGAATGCAATATGTTGCAGAAGGCAAGTCCAGGCTGCTTTTGTCGCGGCATAAGGTCGTTGGCCTTCCATGGCTTCGTAGTTATTGATTGCATCTGACGTCACATCCACAATGAACTGAAAAAAGAGGTAATTATCAAAGATCTCTGAGAATATTGGTTCACTGTATTTACCTTTTTGCTTCTCCCTTCGACTTGTGTCTGCCGTACGAATTTGTCGACGAGCGTCAGATTCCCGCGCACATTCACCTCATACTGCTCCCAGACTTGGCGCCACCCATTTTGCAGAATATCCTGGCTCTCGCCCATGTATGCCGCATTGAGAATAAGCACATCGACTGCCAAGGAAGTTTCCAGGACATTTTTCCAGACACATTCCAGGCTATCGGGGTCCGCAAGCTCTACTACTTGAGTCATGACCTGACCCGAGAACGACGGAACTTCTTGTTGTAGGCGTTTTGTTGCTCTTTCTAGGCGAAGCCGGTCGCGTCCCAACAAGATCAAATGCGAGGCATTTGCAATTGCGAACGCACGGGCTATAGCGAAACCGATTCCGCCGGCACCACCAGTGATCAGGACCGTTTTACCACGCTGGCATTGCGATGGTAGAGCAGCATTGATACCATCATAGACAGTTTTATGGATCGTAGTAATTGGCTCCATGTTGTCAGAGGGTTTATTCCGGGTGGTTTGATCTGAGGGAAAGGAGTACGGGAAGCGCGCGCAATTGAGGAAGTTACAGTCTAGTTCTTGTCACCATACGCCAATATTACCGTTGTGGTATGTGTTGGAGCTAGTGAAGTTCTTTAGCGCGTAAATAGTGGTATTTTGGGGGGCTTACTTGGGTCACGACCCAACGAGCTCGATGCAGATCCCACCCCAATGCATGAGTAGTGCCTGTCACAGTGACAATACAATACCATCAGTCCAGGGGATCATGAAATGTTCATTGTCAACTTGCGACCGGTCGAATTATTTGATCTCTAGATAAAACATCCACGCTGCACCCTCGATCTCCCCCTCCCCACCGCTACTATGGATATCTCTCCCGTGCTGGCTTCCTGGGTTGTCACAAACCTCCAGCCGCTTACGACCATACTCTTGCTCTGCACCACCAAAAAGGGTCACCCACTGCGATGGCTCAATGTTGTAATTCTGATAGCCCTGGTCGTCATACATGGAAGGTATATACACCTGCTAAGCATGAGTAACCCGAGCGATGTGATGCAGCGTATCAGCCCTCTTCCAGTACTGTTACACACCATGGTTCTCTTCAAGGGAATCGACTATCAGGATCTGCAAGCACAGCAGAAACCTGAGGACCAAAACTCGCGGATGGCAAGCATATGGACCGCTATGCGATTGACGATGGATTACTCTGCAGTTGGGACGCGCTGGCAAGTGCGCAATGTGCCCAAGATGCCCGCTTGGCTTGGCGCCAATCCCACGCGCAGTCGTTTCCTGGTGCGTCAGCTAGCAGTGATAAGCTGGCAGTATCTCGCCCTAGATTTCATGCAGCGGATGATTCGTGAGGACGAGTTCATTTGGAATGAAATCATTGCAGTACTGCTTGAACCCACCACTACTGCGAAGCACTCCTGGCTTGTTGAAGTGACTATCAATGTTGTGATTTGGCATCTTCTCGCTCGTTTGTCCCTGGACTTTAAGTGGCGTGCCACATCCATTGTGGCGGTTGGCTTGGGGATCTCCGAGCCTGCGAATTGGCCCCCAATGTTTGGGAGTAGTTTTGAGGCCTACAGCATACGGAACTTCTGGGGGTCAGTTTCTGTTGGAGAGTTGGAAATTTGGTCGTGTGCTGATTGGGAAACTCTTTTATAGAAAATACTGGCATCAACAGCTCCGTTGGCCGTTGACAGCGACGAGTTCCTTCCTCCTCCGTGACATCCTCCGCATGCCTCGACCGTCAATACTTGAACGCTACACGAATATTGCCTTGTCATTCTTGCTTTCTGGTTTGATTCATCTCGCAGCGCAATATAAAGGATCAACGTTTGATAAACCTGGCGCTGTTGCATTCTTTACCTCATTTGCCCTGGGTATAATCATTGAAGATGGAGCCCAAGAGCTCTGGTCACGACTTACTTCGAGTGACAGCAACGAAAAAGAGAAAGATACAAAAACAGCCGTGTGGAAGAAAGCGGTTGGATATGTCTGGGTTAGTAGCTGGTTGATAGGGCTCGGCGCATTCTATTCATACGATATGGCTTACATTGCGCTTATCGAGGCCATGCCACTTCCGGTGAATCTCTCGTCACTGTTGACGGTACCAATTACCGCCCTTTTACTTGGGGGAGGATTGCTGTTCGGGGTCGCATGCCTAGGAGCTGAGCCATAGAGGGATCTTGACGTCCAACCGATAATGGCAGTCTAGTCAAAAGCCTAGGACCTAGTTCAAAGTAAGTTTGAGAAGGTACTGTGTGTCTAATCCACACTGCCTCGACACAACTGGTAATGCTCGGTCAAACCCTCGTTTAGTGTGCGGTGTATCTGTAGATGGACTGGTGTAATACATAGAGTATGCAGGTATACAGCTCTCAACCCTTTACTTTATGTCCTGGGTGTGAAAGATAAAGGAATTTCAACCGTCATGTCCAACGCCAAAGCAGCGCAAATGCTCTCCTCCAACGCCTTCTTTGCCTTTTCATGAGCTTCCTTCTTTTGCCCCGGCGCACAAGCAAAATCTACCCTATATCGAGAAAATATCACAGCGAGGAAGGCAACGAACTCGACTTGCGCAAACTTTTTGCCCAAGCACGCACGCAGCCCGTCGCTGAAGGGAATGTATGACCCACGGATTGGTCTGTGTATTGTTGGATACTCCAGGCCGGCAGCAACGTTTCCAGGTCGATCCTCATTCTGTGCCAAGAAGCTGTCTCGATTTCGTCGGTCCCAACGAGAAGGCTCAAACTTTGAAGCATCGGGGCCCCAATATTCAGTATTGTAATGAAGACTGGTGATGTTGAAACAGACGTGGCTACCTGGGGGGAGCATAACGGCTCCTCCTTCGTGCTGCAGCGGCTCCGCATCCTGCGCAGTCGTCCTGAGAATGACTGGTGCAGGCGGGTACATTCGCATCGTCTCGAGCATCACACATAGGGGTGCCACCAACTGAGGATACATGGTTGCGTAATCCCATTCATTTAGGCTGGTAGGGTTACCATCCATGGCGTTGCAGATCCCTTCGTACATCCATTCCTGTATATCTTGGTGCAGGGCCAACAATACCAGAGCGAAACGAATGGTAGCCCCCCGTGCTTTCGTGGGCTAGCATCATGACGTGAGTATTGCCTAACACCTCGATCTCACTTAGCGAGCTTTTCTTCGATTCATCTTCGTCGTCTACCAAGTTCTGTGCGCGCACAAGGCCTTGCAGTACATTCTGTCCTCGTGCACTGAGCCCTTCCTTTGGTATGTCTTGATTGGCTTGTGCTATCATGGCATTCATGTATTTGCCCAAATCGTCGTAGGCGGCAAAGTCATCCTTGAAGAAAGGTACAAGTGCCCGAGGCATCCATGTAGGAAGCATTGTATTTGCCATGAAAATTGAATTCCAGTGGCCCATCATGTACTCCATGACGGCGCGCAGCGTGAACTGAAAGCCAGGAAGGGGGTGTGCTGTGTCACGGAACATAGTTGATATGCTGCTGTCATCTGCTTTGGAGGTTGCTTGGAAAGGCAACTGCACCCCAAATCCAGCTGCACAGAGCACATTCAATGTGAGCTTCAGAATGTCATCTTTTGGACTCAGCTGAAGTGTCGTTCCCATGGTATACTTTTTGCACCAGTGGTCTAACATCTGCGTGGTCTGTCGAACAGTTTCCTGCCAAACAGTTGCGATGGTATTTTCACCAAAAGCAGCAATCGTGTGCCGCCGATGGCGAGTCCATTCTTTACCTTCAGTCTGCATGTATATGTGGTTAACATCGGGGAGACAAGATTTGAAAAAACAAAACGCAAGAAAGGGATGCAACACATACCGCAACCACATTCGGCCCGTATAGCATCATTGATCCTGCAATGCAAGTTGTTAAAATACGGCGCAACAACAAGGTGATTACCAGATCACGAAGAACGTAGAACACTTACCGTACACCTCCAGTGGCTTCGGAAAGCCGGATCGGGAGCTACATATTTGGGATATCACCGCCGCATCTGCAACATGGCAACACAGGTTATCTGGAGTTGCTACCACATAGAGCTTGCCGAGTTGTCTTGTACGGCGATCCTTCACCCAGAAATGATGGGTCATCACATTGTCGTTGACAACATCTGTCAACCAAGCAGGAAGCCAGAAGTTGATAATATGAAGCACAGAATCAAAGGAGCAAAGTGTCAACCAAAAGGTATTCAGCTCAGCATAGGGAAAGACTGTCCACCGCAGGCCGGTCGCAGTGGCCCGGCGCATTTGTCGAACCCAGCTTGCTCCGGTCCATGCTAGATAGAGGACAATAACCCCTAAGAGTAGGGTGCTATAAATCATTGTGGGTGATAGCCAATTCACTTGCCAGCGACTACAGGATGTATAATTTCCTCCAGAAGAAGTCACGAGCTGAGTGATCAAAAGGTAAAACCCGTGGACAATCCGTTCGGTATTGATGTGTTTGATTCTTTCCGTACTCCGTACAGGGGGAACAGTTTCCAATTTTTCCGTACCTGTACCGAAATTACCAAACACTGTAGGATCGCGGTGCAGCGCCATCTATCCCAGCGACGCCACCATATTTCCGCAGATCTGGCTTAAGAGATCCTGAAAAATCGCGCAGTGGGGCTATAAGCAATTTGCTTTTGCGAAGATTCTTTTCCAGCTACGAAGGTTGGGGGCATCATGAATGGAGGTTCCTACGGGATACTCTTCCCTACGTTACGCTAGACGATTTAGCGTCGTAAAGAGAGCGGCGCATGTGAATGCTGCGCGGCGAATAGCCATATGGGTAGAGCATAGTGTAACATAACTGTTATAATTGGCTACAAGGACCTTATCTCGGTTCAAACTCGTTCCTTCACTTGAACAAAAACGGGATGATGCTCCCACAGCCCGTATTCCTTCAGTGAATCCGGATCGATATTTCCCGGTTGTGCTTTTAGATCAAAATTCCAGAGAAGTAGTGCCAGTGCCATACGGATGTTGGCATACGCGAAGCTTGGAATCAAATTAGCAGTAGGTTTTAAGCAAAGCAGATTGAGGACATGACGAACGTTTTACCAATGCATCCACGCGCCCCAGTTGAGAAAGGTCGAAACACGAAGTGGTTATCGGTCGCATAAGTCGTCGTGTCGGTCCATCGTTCCGGGATGAACTGATGAGGCTTGGCAAAGTATTTTGGAGAGCGGTAAGCACTATATTGTGCCACAGATACCCAAGTCTATAGAGGCACGAAGTAAGTACATGCTGGCACTGAAAGAGTAGAAGTTTCTGGGGCATCGTACACCTTCGGGGACCCAGTACCCGTCAATGAAGCGGCCACCTTTGGGAACCAAGCGAGGTAAACCCACAGGTACACTGGGGTGCAGGCGCATGGTCTCATCAATCACCGCCTTGAGATACCTCAACCCCGAGACACTCGCAATGGTGATTTCTTCATCGCTCTTGAATGTGGACTGGATCTCATGGACCAGTTTGTCATAGCTGTCCGGATTCTGGGTGATGTAAAATATGGCCGCACTGAGAATGGCGGCTGTAGAATCGAGCCCAGCCACAACCAACATATTGAGGTTCTCAAACATCTCCTCATCCGTCAAGCCAGGGGCAACATACTGGATAAAGTCTTTCTTGTCCGAGGCTTTCTCGGCCCGTCGGTTGGTCACCGCGCTTTGAGCCTGGGTGAAGTATTCCAGAAATGCTGTCCCGAAATCGTTCGAAACAAAGCGCTTGATGATCAGATGGTAGGGCTTAAGCCGATGTGCGGCGCGAACCTTGGTAGAATCCTTCAAGGTTCCATAGAGATCGGTGATGAAACCCGGATACTCTCCAGTTTTCAAAGTGTCCCAACTTTGCCCCAAGGCCAAAAGTGTAAGAACATCTGTCACCTGAAAAACTGACCAGGCGGCCATATTGACGACACCGTCCTGGTTGGGGAAATTTGCCTTCCCCGAGCGATTTCGAAGAGCATCGATGAGTTGGTCTAGAGTTCGACGCATGAGTGATTCCTGTTCATGCAGCGCCCGCCCTGAAAAGGCCGGCATGATGTGCTTGCGGATTCGGGCATGCTCTCTTCCTGGACAGAAGAAAATGTTCGATACTGGTTGGGGACCAAGGACGTAGAGAATGGGATTTTTCTCGTATACATCGTCCCAATCCGTCTTCACGCCGTATATCTCCTGCCATGCTGTCGGGGTTGTGAACGAGAGCTCATTTGAAGCGGTACGAACGGCATCGCCATATTGCTCATGTAGCTTGGCAATATATTTACATGAGTCACCTTTTACCAGGTGGTAGGACCCAATGAGCTGGGAAAGAGCATCACATTTGGGGCCAGGGAAGTGCCTCAATGGGTTGATGAACAAGTGATACAAGAAGAGCGCCGCATGGACGGCCACCCACTAGACACTAGATTAGCGATGTATAGCATTAGAGACGCACAAGTAGGGTATCACCAACACAGCTAATAACGACCGCGATAAGTGCCAGCGATGTCCAAAACATTTCATGTACCAGGGCGTCAACGGGATTCTAGACTAATGTAATTAGATCAATGGCCGTCGTCAGTTTTGAGCAAGTTGGGATGAAGCTGAGGCCAGAGTAGCCGGACGGGGCGCTTACTCGCGACTCTGTATCCTGTATCATTATACGTCCAGATACGATGAGCAGATCCAAGTGGATACCCGACGTGTCACAGCTGACGAACTGGTGGGGAAATGAAGCTCGTCTTTCTCCACCCTTGATTGTTGATTGATCGCACTGGGTCCACTCCTCGTTTCTCCAGTTGCGCGCCACAAATACGGTTCCTATACCAAGCTCGGGCAGCCAGGTACGGAGGATATACAGAGACGGTATTTGTGTGATCAGTGCTAGCTATCTCCTCCAACTAAGCAGAAACACAGCAATTGCCCATCAATCATGATGAGTCCCTCGGGTGCCCTTTCGCCAGCTGATCTGGCTAAAATTCAACGCTGGAATCAACACGCTATTCCCCCGATAGATGCGTGTATTCATGACCTGATCATAGAACGATCCCAGAATCGCCTTTCGTCGCCCGCAGTATGTGCTTGGGATGGTAATTTCACCTATGGAGATCTGGATCTACATTCTGCGCAGCTTGCAAACCACCTCCAGGCAAAGGGGACTGTTCCAGAAAGCAGGATCGCTCTCTATTTACACCGGTCGAGATGGTCACCGGTGCTAATCCTGGCCATACTCCGGGCGGGCGGCGCATTTGTGCTGCTAGAGCCCATCGCATCCATTAGATCGTTTGAAGGACATGTGCGCGGATACAAACGTGACTATGGTCCTATGTTTCAAAGACGATACAGAAACCACAGGGCAGCTAAATGTGCCTATCTGCGTGATTGATGTCAACAGCGAAGAGGCACCTTGGCGCCATGAAACTGGCGAAGTCACCGCCACTGCTCAATTCACAAACCTCGCATACGTCGCGTTCACTTCAGGGTCTACTGGCAAGCCCAAGGGAATCCAGATCGAGCATGGCCAGTACTGCAGCTCGGCGGCAGCCCATGCCAAGGCCTGGTCAATCGGTGCAGAATCACGGGTCTTCCAGTTTGCGTCCTACGCCTTTGATGGATCGATTATGGAGATGGTGACGACATTGCTGGAGGGGGGGTTGCGTATGCATTCCCAGTGAAGAGGAACGGCACAACAGCCTAGTGCAAGCCTTTTCTATCTTTCAGGCCAATTTCATTTGCTTGACTCCCTCAGTTTTGAAGTCCCTCGACCCCCGTGATTTCCCAACACTCAAGAATCTGCTTGTAACTGGGGAGCTTACACCGCAACAAGAACTAGATCGGTGGGCGGATCAGGTGCAGATGACCATTACCTACGGACCAACTGAGTGCTCTGTCGCGTGTGCTGTACATGAGCATGTCTCCAAAGTTTCGGATCCGAGAAACCTGGGGCGGCCAATGGGATGTCATCTCTGGCTCGTTGATCCCAACGATATCACACGCTTGGTGCCTGTGGGCGAAGTCGGCGAGATCTGTATTGAAGGACCTATAGTCGGTCGCGGATATCTGAACACGCCTGATCAAAACCGTACCACCTTCTACCATGATCTACCATGGCTATCCGTGACTCAGAGACTTAACAGTCGGGTCTATAAGACAGGCGATCTGGGACGATACAACGAGGATGGATCTATCTATCTGCTTGGTCGCAAGGACTTGCAAGTCAAGATTAGAGGGCAACGCATTGAGCTGGGTGAAATTGAAGCTCAGCTTTCTCGTAAGCTCCAACACGCTCGCGACATCATCGTTGATGTGGTACAACACAGTGAAGGAGACGCACTTCTCGTCGCATTTCTCCATACGCCCTCCGGTAGCCAAAGTCGAGGGCTATTACCATCAAGCGATACCTTCTCCAATTTGTGTTCCAAGCTGAGAGAGGACGTCAAAGCGTCGCTGCCAGAATTCATGATCCCTACTCTATTTCTCCCGGTTGCCAATTTGCCTCTGACGGCTACCGGAAAAGTTGATCGCCATTATTTGCGGTCTCTTGTGCACGGCTTATCAGTCGATGCGCTTGATCGATACATTGGCAACAAGGATAAGCGTCGCCCATTGACTGATCGGGAGCAGCGACTACATGGTGCTGTGGCTCAGGCACTGGCAATTTCTCCCCAGCGGATTGGAATGGATGATGACTTCTTCGTGCTTGGAGGAAACTCACTCACTGCCATGAAGCTTGTCAGTCTTGGTCGAGAAAGGGACCTGTGGTTCACGGTCGCCGACGTATTCGCTTATTCGCAGCTATCAATGCTCAATTCTGTCGCTGAAGATGCAGCCCCTGAGGCTCAGATTCAGCTCGTAGAGCCAAGCCCTTTTGCCCTTATGCCAGGGATTAGGGATTCTGAATCATTTGTTCGCGACATTATTGCTCCAAAGCTGCCATTTACTCGACCAGAGGAGATTGTCGACGTTCTTCCTGCCACCGACATGCAGTCCTATGTTGAGCGCTTCCCTCCACACTACCCTCTTATACGGATGGATGGGAAGATTGACCCATTGAGAATCAAGATGGCATGTGATCAGTTGGTACAACGCCACGCTGTTCTCCGAACAGTGTTTGCTTCTCATGATGGTCAATTATTACAGGTTGTTCTACGCAAAGCGGATCTGCCCTTCCAGTACTTTGAGACCGATATGGCCATTTCTGCATTTGAAGAAGCATTTTGCAAGTATGATGGAACCGTGAAGGTTCCCACAAGCGTCTTGGGACTTTCTTTTGTGCTTGTCTCTCGAAGTGAGAGAGAACATAGTCTGATTATTCGCCTTCCTTTACCATTGTGTGATGGCGAGTCTTGGATCCTCCTCCTCCAGGACTGGATGGCACTATATGAGGCTCGATGCCCCCTTCCAGCACCACTTCCCTTTGCTGCATGGATATCTCAATATAGTACGCAGCAAAATGAAGCGACCTACGCCTTCTGGCGCCAAATCTTACACGGTTCTTCAATGACACACCTGTGTGACGCGACCATTGACCTTCCTGGAGAGGATTTCATATTCTCGGTACAAACTATCCCTCTTTTGTCTACTCCCGGGGCCATCACGCGCGCAACGGTAGTAAAACTAGCCTGGGCAATGACACTTGCAAGGTATACCAGGAAAACCGATGTGGTTTTCGGACAGCTTATCCACGGTCGGGCCCATGCACATGATGGCGAGGACCGAATTGCTGGTCACCTGGCCAAGATCATTCCTGTGCGGGTGGACAACTGCCAGGATACCACGGCGGACCTCCTGGGTCTTTTAGACCAGGTGCAGAGACAACACTTGGCAACTATGGCACACGATCTGATTGATTTCCAGAACTTGGTAGACCACTGCACTTCATGGCCACGGGACACGCAATATGGAACATATATTCTGCATCAAGACAATGAATATCTGGGGGACGCGCCAACTATGGGCGATGTGAAAGTCAGCACTAGTATGGCTTATAATCCTCTTATTTCGAAGGCAGTGCGGGAATTTGTCTTAGTTTCCACTCCAAGGGAACAAGAACATGAGTTGCAGATTTGTACAACCAGTGTTTATGTGGATCAGAAGAGGGCGGATGAGATGCTTGCGACTATGGTTGAGAAGATGAGCCTTCTAGCTTCCCTGGCGTGAGGGAGGCTCTAGATTCTATTTTAGGTCAATTTCTAGCCAAGTAAAAAGACCTTGGCAATATTGAGAATAATGCTGAGGAACTACAGATATTCAGTGTCAATGTTCAATCGTGGACTGTTATGGCAAATCCAGCAGCAGTTTTACCACATTCAGAACCCACATTCAGAATAGACCCTGCACCCAAAATTCTCACATATAGCTTGAGTTGATCATGGATTACTGGATCTGTACTCTACCTCTGAGATATCAAGGCTCGTAACCCCTGCTCAGGCAAGGCAAGGCCTCCCTTTCCGACAAATCATTGCAAGGTTGGGTTCATCAAGCCCGACATCATACAATACAGAACTGGATTAAAAGCCGAAACCCAGGAACATACCAGAACTTGTTATATACCTCGTACTGTAAGGCAGCATTCGAATACCGGGACACTGTATCTAAACTCTGATCTCTCTGTGGATCTTTCCAAGGGCGGCCCCACCAGCTTCGTTGATGTGTAATTACAGTACTGTAATACCGATGGGACAGGTTCGTGGGGAAGACAGCTGAATGACAGTCCCCACAGCGGATAAGAACTCCGGGGAAGTGGGGGTCAGGCATGCAAGGTTTGTCTGAGATCTAGATCCAAGAAGAACTCCACCTCGGCTGAAGACACCTCGGTAATAAGCGAGTTGTTTCTAAATTCAGGTAAGATCTGCATACTAGGGTATCACAGTATAACAGGCATAGGGGATTGGCAACTCTGTGACTAATCCAGCAAGGTCTGCTCTACTTTAAAGTTTACCTACTCTGCGAACCAAAACCTACACATCGTGGGCCGGACGGCCGCACCAAGGGTGGTGGCTGCATGGATACGAGCTGATCAACTAAGGTGTTCGTCACAATCCACCAATGAATATCTCCTCTTAGTGCCATCGCATGTTCGCCTCCCTTTTAGTGGAGCTGTCTTGTCGTGTACACCTCACGAACCAATAGTGGGTCCAGCTATAGGAACGTGCAAGTACTCTTCGGGCGTAAATAATTTTTCATTGAAAACTTGACGGCTTTTTTTGGGATGGGAGCTCATCCGTAACACGTCATTACGATGATTTGCCGTGAATCCCCCAGACGAGAGTTTCCCAGATCTTGGAACCTCGGGAGCGATGTTCCCGGCCCGCTCGCGTAGTCGAACACGAGGGGACCCACGTCCGAAACTAGTATGGTCGAAAGGGGAATGAAACGACGTCAAGTAAGGGAGTATGCGTACCAGCTCGTATTGTGGCGGCACAATCTACAATGTGTTGGCTTTTCGTTTGTGAGAATTTGTTGAAGTGCGTCGATGACGTCTTGTCTCACAATATCACCCTGATTAACGTGGCAAAAGCCGATGCTAATAAATGGACCCCGAATAAATCCGTAGCGGCCAGATCACCGTGAACTAACCACAACCCCCGCCCCTTTCCCCCGGCTAATCTCGTCACTACGAGCTAGCCGATGAGGTGGCGAAGACTGCTTTTTGAGGCCTGCTGGAAAGATACTATGTAGAACAACAATTACAACCACCATGACTTTCTTCCTGCCTGTGAGCTCCATCTCGCGATTCACTCCTGGGCTATAGTATAATAAAAATGGTGCTCCCAAGAGCTGAACACGTTTTGCCTCCCTGCATGGATTTTCGCTCAAAATTGGGTTCTTGCAGCTCTTTCCAGGCTAGGCATTGATTGCCATTCGTGAGTTCGCAAGTGGGTCTATCTTCGCGACATGAGCAGATTTTCATAAGCATCACTATCCACTAACTAGATGCATCCCTAGATCCATCCCTCGGGGCAAAGATAAGGTTAACAAGCAGGTGTAGGGGAAATCAGCGGGCTTAGACAGGGACCCCAAGGGGGTTGTACTTGTTCATCCATCCTTCTGTCAGCTCTATAGCCGTCATCCTCCAGAGGTCCAGCACAAAAATATCTAGTGGTCTTTAGAAGACTAATTGCTATCATCTTACAGTGAGAATGGCAGAAACAACCTCAAAGAAACCATGGCTTCTGTCCGTTCGGTCATCCGAGCGTTTCATCATCATTGTTGTCACCATGGCCATGACTACTGTAAGTCAACAGAATGTTACTCACAATATGAACACCGTGGACTAATACTCCTAGTTTCTAGGATGTTCTTTTGTACAGCTTGGTGAGTTCATTTTCTTCAAGGAAAAAATAGCCGGAAAAGCTGAACTTCGTCGGAGATCATACCGATCATACCTAAGTCTTTGGTCGCACACGCAGGCGTTCCGGAAAAAGATGGTATCTACCCCTCTCCCCTCCCCATTTATTCTCTATTCCGATCCCTTGAGTGATTATTTCGCACGGATACTGACGAACATATAAAGCTCAATATTGGATCTCTGTTTTACTTGCGGTTTACGCCTGTGCCCTTTTGGTTGGATCTCGTGAGTCACTGACCATTCTTGCATTCTCAATTCTCGCCAATCAACTCTAACAGAGACACTTTTTTCCTAGCCGTGATTGGGTATGCAGCGGATCACGTTCGGAGTCGTCAGCTTCCATTTGTTCTCGGGCTTGCAGCTCTAGCTGTATCGACTGGCCTGTTTGCTCTCGCGAACTCTCCTGGAACTCTCGTTATCGCTCGAGCGTGTCAAGGCCTGTCGGCCGCCACTGTATGGGTTGTCGGCCTGGCCATGCTTGTGGATAATGTCGCTCCGGAACGTATGGGTGAAGCAATGGGTAATACCAGTACTGGCATGACACTGGGTTCCCTCCTCGGGCCGATGCTTGGTGGTGTAACGTATGTCGCCCCGATCATTAATGATTGTATAAGCACTCTACGTTAGTTGGATAATTGGGGCTAACATGTCTCCAGATATGATGAATTTGGATACTATGGCGTTTTCATTCTCCCTTCCGTGATGATTATCTTGGAAATCGTATTGAGGCTGACTATGATTGAGAAATCTAGTATGTTCCAAGATGGGCTTCCACTTGACACTACTTGAGTCTTCCTGACATTCAATACAGCGGCCAAAGAATGGGACGATGGTTCTACCGCGCCAAAGAATACTTCTTACGAGACCTTTGCCGACGGTTTCCCTCGTGCAGATCCCCAGAACGAACAGTCACCTCTCTTGGGCCGGTCATCCACTAGTAGCAGCTCTGAAGGCATCAGGAATGGCAGCAAAAAAGCCCCTATTCTACAACTTCTGAGCTCTGCTCGTCTCCTCACTTCATTGCTTGTCACTGCCACGGTCGGATTTACACTGGGAGTGGTAGAGACGGTAAGAATTTGGTGCCGTCAAAGCGACAAGCTACCACTACTTTGCTTCCAGCCTCGCTAACCCGACTATGATCGTAGACAATTCCATTGTTTGTCATGGAAAATTTTCAGTGGTCTTCCAAGGGTGCTGGTTTGATTTTCCTTGCTCTTTCAATCCCCAGTCTAACTGGAGGCTGGGTGGGAAGGGCCCTGGATCGCATAGGCACCCGTGGCGCTGGATTTGGCTCCTTGGTTGTAACTGGAACTGCGCTTTTTTCCCTTCGCTTCGTCCAGCATGACAGTGATCCCGATAAAGCTCTCCTCGTTGGATTACTCGTCGTTATTGGCTTCACTGTCCTGATGATCCAGATCATCTCAATGACGGAAGTATTCCAGGCCATTCAAGCATGTGAAGAGAAAAGTCCGGGTATTTTTGGTGACAAGAGTCCAATGGCGCAGGCCTATGCTCTCTTCAACATGGCTACAGCCACTGGTCAGCTCACTGGTCCTCTCGTTGGGGGCCTCGTTCGTATCCACGCGGGCTGGGCCGGCATGACTCTGACCAGTGCTATTCTATGCTTCTTGGTCGCAGTTCCTGTTGCACGCTACACTGGGTCTCCAAGGCCAAAAAAAGGGGATGAGCAGTCAACTACGGGCCACATTGAAGCTTGATCAGGACAAATATTCGGCTCGAACCCCTTCCTGGCAAATATAACGCGGCTACTGCTATATATACTTGGTGATATACCGCTCTTCTTAATATGTTCCTCTATGTCTTAAGCGTCAGATTCTTGGTCCAATGTACCACCACGCATAATGATAATTTCTTCAATACTCGCGAATAGAATAATGGGCTATATCAGCATTCAAGATTGAATAGACACGGCGCAAGTGTCATAGAAAGGCCTCTCGTATTCAAATAATGATCGAAGGAGCAACCCGGCGGACTGTTGATACGATTTGCTCCTCCGAAGGTGCGCTTTTCCTGAGTAGCCATGCAAATCCCTTGAACATCTCCAAGTTGCACCGGCGGGATTCACTTATCTCTATCCCGGCGAAATGAGCATGGGGGCACTGTTGGACGCGCTATTAGTATCACGAACGCTATAGCTTTTGTATATGCTTTTGCCGGCTAGCGATGTATAATTCATGCTCAAGACTCACTCCTGGATATATGTCTAATTTGGTCTCCACTCCATTCTGGGACAGTATACGCTCGTAGATAAGAGAATCATCGCGAGCAAAGCACCGCCCAGCAGCTTGAAAGTGCACCCTCAGCCCATGCTTTGCTAGAATTTTATGAGGCTCGGGGTTAGGTGAGTTGATTGGGCTATACCACCGACTTCTTGTGTCCCACTGTTGCATCTTGACGACTGCTGCGGGTATCTCCCCGCTTGTGCTATCACCTTTGAACTGTTCACGGCTCCAGAACAGCTCCTGGTATTCCTTGGGGACGTGATCTCTAGAGGAAAAAAGGAATGGCACTGACAGCCAGATTCCCGTGAGTTTCGGTCGGCTGCTGTTCTGTGGGCTGTGATCCTCATTCGCATACTCATCCACCCACATCTGCCCAATTGTTGCCGCAGCGTTACCCCCAGAGCTCACCCCTCCTACTATAAACCCAGCGTTCATGTCAGCTCCCAGCGCACTTTCCGCGTTTTTGGCAAGCCATTCCAGTGAATCCCAAATGTCTTGTTGACCGACGGGGAAGGGATGCTCGGGTACCAGCCGATAAGATGTCAGAACGACGGTTGCGCTATACAAAGCACGAAGGGCGACGGCCTGGGCAGCAAAATTAGAATTGTCGCCACAGCAAAATGCTCCACCGTGAATGAGGACAATAACCGGAGATGGAGGGCTGGGGATGGGACAGCTTTCAGAAAAGGTGGGTCTGAATATACGCAGGGACGACTGATAGCCATCGCGCATGGGGATATTCATGAGGATGCCCTGGTCAGGCAGTAAATTGCATTGCTCACGGCTCCATTCGTCTACAGCGGCACGAGCAATTTCGATGTTCGACCAATCCATCTCATCGTCTTCGGGATTCGCCTTTTGCCATTCTGCATATTCTGGGCTTGATGGCACCCGGTCAGAAATAGGTTTTCATGTTGGTCTTGAGTTCGGAGATCAAAAGCGAGACTTACTCTTTGTCTCCTAGCGCAAGTATACTCTCTTTGCTCAGATACCCGTTACTCGACATGCTGGGTTTCAAAATTAGGTACATCTGGCACCTGCTTGCTGGGAGGCAGTCGGTATTTATTTCCCTAGGGCCTTATTGTAATGTAATACAAACCGGCGTATAAGTGGATTACTTCGGAACACGAGGTGCCGTTACTACCGTATTACCAGTCGCTTATGTGACACCGGCAAAAATGGCGATCGGAATGTTCGGCGTGGATGATCTACGTGTTCAAACTGCGTTGAAGAGTGAAGTACCCCTGGGAGAAATGTGAAGAGCTGTTCCGTTGATTGGTCAGTTTTTCTGCGTCGCATGGTCCTGTCAGCCAGCTTCCGGGTGACGACTCAAATTTCGGTAGCGGGGACTACCTTTACCAGAGATTGGATACTTGGTCA